TGTTGACATCGTTGAGATGTTGCCGCAGAATGGCCACCGAATCGAACAATTTGCGATCAAGCCCGACAAACCGGGATACCTGACCACCGAAACATAGGATAACGGGTCTTTCGGTCTTTGCTGTTTCGATGCCCGCGTTGGCAGCGAGATCTTTCTTGGATACGACTTCAGCCGCCTGGTCTAACTTCTTATATAGCTCGTCCATTGAGGAAGGGCTGAAGATAAGTGCCTGAGCCAGGCTACGGTTGGACTGCCTGTTGACATTGAAGGAGAGATCGGCCAGATTTGGCTCCTTGGGGCATGACCGTAGCCACTGGGCAAGCTTGGCGCAGTATGCAGCAATGGCTCTGGCATCGAAACCTGGAATCCAGAAGGGAGCTCGGTTCCCAATTTCTCTTGACGGTAAGGTAGCGATTGGCTCGGATAGGGTCCTGTCTGGCTGGGTGATGATCATGCTTGCGTTGGACCCGCAAGCACCGTAGTTGTTGAGCAGGGCTATCTTATGCGGCTCGTCCCAGGACTGTAGCTTTGTCATCACCTCCAGATTGTCGTCAGGCCTAACGGGAATCTTGCTGTTCATCTTTGTAAAGCTTGCCTGAGGCGGAAGAAAGCTGCCGCGCATCATCATGATGATCTTGACAAGTGCAATGGCACCGGAGGCACCTTCGGTGTGGCCAATATGGCCCTTAACAGATCCGATTGGCAGTTTTCTCTTACGGATAGGGCCACCCAGAGCCGCAAGAATACTCTCGTACTCAGCTGGATCTCCGACGGGCGTTCCGGTACCGTGGGCCTCGACGAGTGACACATCGTTGGCGGTCACCTTGGCCTTACGCATCACGTCCTTGAAAAGATGAGAAAGAGACGGCGAGTTAGGCACAAACAGAGGTGTACAATTTTGGTTCTGGTAGACAGCACTGCTAGCAATGGTCGCGATAACGGGGTTACCGTCTCGCTTTGCGTCCGACAACTTTTTGAGGAAGACAAATGCAGCGCCTTCGGCACGACAGTACCCGTCTGCATTGTCATCAAATGGCTTACACTGGCCGGTCGGGCTAACGAAGGAACCAGCGGCGAGATTCTGGAACCAATTCATGTTGGTCACTGTGTTGGAACCTCCAGCTAATGCTGATGTGCATTCCCCGGACAAAAGGTTTCGACACGCTGTGTGAATAGCCACGGTCGAAGAAGAACATGCTGTATCAAACGTCATACACGGGCCAGTCCAGCCAAAAAGATGCGACACCCGGCCTGTTATGAAGCTTTTGAGAGCTCCCGTGGCTGTGAAAGCATTGGGCTCGTGGCAGGAGATATTATGCTCGTAGTCGACTCCGCATGAACCTAGATAAACGCCGACATGCGCCTTATCACGTCCATCCGGTGTATAACCAGTAGTGGTCTCTGCAAAGTAGCCTGATTGCTCAACAGCCTGATATGCTGTTTGGAGAACAATACGGCTCTGTGGGTCCATGGCAGCGGCCTCGCGAGGGCTCTTTTTGAAGAATTTGTGGTCAAAGGCGTCGCCATCACGGAAGAAACAGCCATAATATTGACGCTTTGGGTCGCTATCAGCAGATTCACGGAATAGCATGTCGTGCATGAGTCGATCCCTAGTGATGGGAATATGCTGTGATTTGCCGGTCTTAAGCATCTCAGAAAATTCAGCCAAATTGTCGGCCCCTGCAGTTTTGACTGACATGCCAATAATGGCAATGGCCTCTTCCCCAAGCTCTACAGCTGGCTTCATACCTCCAACATCACTTCTTACTCGTTGTTCCTGCTTCTGCTGTTGTCCGCTTGGGACTTTGGGTAACCAGCTGGAAGGCTGCGCAGGGTACTTGGGCATATCTTCAAAAAAGACCTGTCTGGTCCCGAGGCGTCGCATAAGGGTGGGAGGTACGCAACGCTCAAGGCCAAATGTCACAACAGTGGGATCCTGCTGGCCCTCCATCACGGCCGAGAAGGTGTCATACCATTGACACTGCTGTACCAAGATGGACCGCAGAACCATCTCGCTCAGGCTTCCTCGTCCAGGCAACAAGGGCTTACCCTCGCCTTGGTTGTCGTAGGTCGTGAGTGCAAGGTTACCGGCATCAGCATACTGTAGACCAGGCATAGTATTGCACAAATCAACAAGCATATCTGTTTGGGCTTTCCTGTCCGCATTAGGACTATGGATCTGGCCCTTGATGCCAACCTCGGCTGCTGTGATGCCAGCAGCGCGTAACCTTTTGAGGAGGAGAGGAGCGATAGTATCTGAAGCTGTCACTGTGGCACGGGCCTCGTCGTAGCGGACGGCAATGTAGGCGTCGGTTGACAGGTTGTCGATAATGCGTGTCATGTCATGTTCTTGCTTTTCCCCACGCCAGGCAATTGCGTATGATGCTGAACTACCCTTACCAGAACCCATGTCCCATGCTTCTTGGGCATCGATCAAACCTCCAATGAGCATCGCCAATCGGACCGCGACGGCGCCATACTCCTGGAAGTCCTGTCGGTTTTTGGCGCTGGCGACGGCAAGAGCGGCTAATAAACCTGCACAAAAGCCCAAGATCTCAGTGTTGGCTCCCTCCTGACTTCGATGCTGTGCAACCAACTCTGCCTGCAAGTCTGTGACCTGCGTGTTGTTGGCATTTGTCTGCTCCAGGTAACGCCAATATTGAGTGAGCTGTATCAATACGACGAGCGGGCCGACCATTATACTGGGTAGGTTTGTATCATCTTTCGACAAGCTGTGCGCTCCGTGTCGAATCCAAGAGTCAAGTTCAGCCAGTGACTGAAAGCCATCAACATCGCGAGCCAACTTGGGTATCTTGGCTGTCAGTGCTTTGTAGTACTCCGGTAAGCCGGCCACTGTGTCGAGAATCCATTCTCTCTGGGGGCTTTGAGAAATTGGTTGTACAAGCTTGTCCATTGACTGACTTGTCAAAACGCCAACATGTGGGCCGAAGAGGAAAATGTTGTAATTGCCGGGAGATCTCTCCGGGGCGCTTGTTGTCTGAGTTGTCATTGTGGTCAAAATTGACTGTATCAGTCCCTTAGTGAAAAGAGCTTCTGATACAAAAAGTTCGACAAGTATTTGCAGAAAGGAATTCTGTTGAAGAGTATGGTGAATTGTTCTAGCTCATGATACAGGTAAATATGACAATGGAATAACTTGTGCTGAGAAATGAACCCGTATTCTCTTGATTGAACCCTTCCATGGATCTGAAGCCCTCGGAGATTGCGGCGCTACTATTCCCGACAGATAGACTCTCTGCATCGTACTAAAGCCCCGGAGTCAGTATGAACGGTCTAGATCTCAGTTGACTGGTCTGTAAGCTCCAGATCCTTATCGCTCCGGTGGGTTTTCTACTGCGGACTTTCGGACCCGCTGACTGGGGCATCAGTAGTCCGAAACTCCGCATGACTCCTGAATCCTAATGTCCAGCTTAGTCGATGTTTTCATTATGGAGTTGCAAAGGGCAACATTGCATGGTAATCAAGCCGTGGTAATCGACATCTGAAAATTTGTTGTTGTTCATATTGGCTGGTGTTCATGGCACCGGTTCTCACATGTGCATCAAGGGTCGTGGGTATTGTAGTGGGGAAAGGGGAAACTGCACATGTGCTATTGAAACGAAGTGCCAAGCTTGCCAAGTGAACAGTTCAACCTGAGAATGTTCGGAGACCGGATGAACGTTGTGCCGGACGGGGAGAACACCAGTTGACTGCCAACCATCTTGTAAACCTGATCTTCAACATCCTCTAAGTACACCGGGAGTACCACTGTTTACTACAGGGATACAGAGTAGTACGTACTACTAGGTACTAGGTAGCGATATCAAAATCATTTAGAATAGATTCATTAATGAGAACTTGAATTTAATTTAATTTAATTTAATTCTTTTTTGATATCTAAATACAGGGGTAGTAAGTAGCAGAGACCATTCAAGGAACCAGAGCTCCCTTATATTTGAGTAAAAAGCTCCCCAGGTATGGATTCTGCTCTGCTGGCCTAGTAGTCAGCGGCCTGCGACCCAACCGGGGACAAAGGTATTGAAATCGAGGTGGGCCGGGCCGCTTTTCGGTGCCAGAGATACTAGCGGGTAGGTGGGATTTCTGGCTACGGTCAGGGACATTTATTTTTTTTTGAATTTTGGTTTTTTTTACCCACTATACTCTAGCTATTTACTTTCCATTGCAACTCTGAGATCTTCAAAGTAAAAAATAATTGAGGGAGATAGAAGGGATTCTGTGTTGAGGATGGATGTATCAAGTAAGAGCTGTTGAGGCTATTCGCGCATTTCTAATTTTGAAGGCCCTGGGTTCGATCCCAGACCCTGCTGGATTTCTTTAATATTTTAGTATTATATTTTGGTATGAGAGTTTCCTGGCATGAACTGTGATCATTTGACCTCGGAAATTAGATAGACTTGAATAACATGCTTCCACCACTCTCTCATCAACCTATGCAGGTGGCTATTCTGGATCTCCCGTTTTTCCTGGCTTAATTAGGTGCTGTTTACCTTGCTGGATTGACTCGTCCATTATCAGTGCACCGCTAATGACTTTCCCTCTCTTCAATTGATACAGACTACCTAGGTATTATTTAAATGACCTTCATGCTGTTGATTACTTCGACTGCCAGAGCTCTACCTCGCTAACCGAGTCGATGGCTCGGATAGCGAGAAGCAGAAACTTGGTGAAACCCAGTACTTCCAACCTCAGGCTTGGAGTGTTGAGGAACTTGAAGTCTGAAGATGCCTCATATCGTACTATTTGACCATTGAGGCTGTGATGATCAATAATAACAAAGTGATCGTGAAATTTGAAGTATGATGAGACCAAAGCTAACATTTAAAAACAGTCTTCCCAACCAATAGCCTTGTGTATTTTGGTTGGCTCTAGCTCTACAGCTCCGAGGACATTCAACTTCATACATAGACACTCGAGTGCTGGCATTAACAGCTCTCAAATCGATCACTCGCATCATGATGGCCTCAAAGAAATATAAGCATCTATTGACCCGAGGGCCCTTGAACCGCAACCTGAGAATCATAGACCTTCTTCGCATCAGTAACCATGCCGTCCACATCAAAATCCCAAATGACTTGCGAACGCCTCTCGAACTCGGCCTTGCATTTGTCGCCATCATCTCCAGATGCAGGATATCGCCACTCATAAATGTCTCCCATCTCCCGAGAGCTCTTAACCAACCATTGGCTGCGCTCAATTCGTACGGAGCTGTATGTCTGCAAGGCTGTTCTGAGGTTGCGCTGTATGTTGGGTGTAGGCCCAGCGTCGACGCGTGTCAAAAGCTCGGCCAGGACCAAAGCATCCTCAACGCCCATGCAGGCACCTGCACCGTGAAATGGGCTGCTCGCATGTGCTGCGTCGCCGGCCAGACACACACGACCGGAAGCGTATGATGGAAGTGGATTGTCAGCCTGGTCGAAGATGGCATATTTGCTCAAGGTTTCGGGAAATTGATCAACGAGTTCCTTGATATGCGGTCCCCAACCCTGCAGTGCCTCCACAACTTCGTTACGGGAGCTGGCGACGGTCATGGTATGCCCATGACTCCACTCCTCTGGATCGTGTAGGAAGACGAAAACATTATAAGCCTGCGCGTTGTTTACCTGAGGATGGAATGAAAATTAGCTTGGCAATATATCACCAGAACTTGAATTTCCGTGTACAAACCGGGAAAGACACGATGTGGGCATCAGGTCCCATATGCGCAATTTGTACATGGGCCTTGTCGGTCCCTAGTGCATTGATTGCGCTCGGCATGGGCACCATAGCGCGGTACATAGCCTTTTGGGAGTACTTAGCATTTGCGGCCAGGTGGTCTGCACCTAGGAAGATCTTGCGGGTAGTTGAATGAATACCGTCGCACGCGATTACTATTCTAGGTTGTAAGTAACTAATATCAACGCTACACAGGTGCATCTATCGGCATAAGCCATGCGTTGTACGGGAGACAGACCAAGGTCGGAATGTGCAGTGCTTCCGTCTGCGAAGCGCAAAATTACCTTCGCATTTGCCTCATTGTCATCGTAGTCCACCAGTCGCTTGTCGAACTTCATCACGTCGTCGGGAAGCTGGGCAGCCATGTCTAGCAGGAAGTGACCCCTTAGACAGGCCCAATAGGCCATGTTCTTTTCCAGAATCTCAAATAAGACTGCGGAGTCCGCTTCCATAGCAGACTCTTTAGTTTCAGGGTGAAAGCCATCCCAGTAACGAACCTTGTCATGGGGACTTCTTTGGGCAACTCGAGCAAGAGACTCAAGTACGCGCGGGTCGAGGCGTTCCATGCACTCCCGTGCAATTGCTGTGAAGGCAAAAGCGGCTCCTACCTCTGGCCATGTGGAAGCACGCTCATAGATAGTAACTCTAAATCCTCGACGCAAGAGCCCTAGTGCCGTCATGACGCCAATTATGCCGCCTCCAACGATAGCAACCTCCAGATGGGCTTGGAGGTCGCCATTACTCGACGCCTCTTCGTTTCTGGTTGCCATTGAAGCTCTTTTGTTCGCAAATATCGCTTTTATCGGAATGTTCTATGCGGAAATGTCTAGTGTTGTCCTCTTCTTTTAGTACAAGTATGTGTTCGCCTTAGCGTCACCAACTACTTCAACATGATTTATGCAGAGTGATCCCTTCAAGCCGTGAGATTTGATTTTCATACTAATTCCAACAAATTAGAGCCGTCAAATGGCTGAGTCATGGCTCGTTTGGTGTTCGAATTTGCTGCGTCCGGACCTACGGAGTTTGCATCTCCGCCTGTCAGCACGCTCGCACTTCGTGGGGCTCCGGGCTTGAAACGAGGGAATTAAATGATTGCTCTCCGAGTTGAATGCATATAATGCCAGCTCAAAGGATCATGCATCAAACTCCGTGAGCTTGACACAAAACTGTTTTCGGTTAATGTGTCAAAATATCATGTGAAATTAAGTCTCGTAGATTTTTGATGCAGCCGCCGGAGTTTGCGGGCGGGGCCCGGAGCGGAACGTACCGGACGGGAAAGCGGCTACGCAGATCCCACTCTAGATCTCCCGCGCATTCTTTGCGTCCGTGGCGGCGGCAAGAATCCGCAAATATTCAGGACCCAGTATCGCGTCATCCCATCCCATCCCAGATGGATTCATTTCATCTCGTATTTGCTGACGCGCCATTCCCCTTTCAGCTGGCCCAGACGTCCCATATACAGCGGACTGGTTTGATAGGGTTCAGCCAAGGGCTTCGTTGTTTTATTTGCTGAGAGGGGCCCGCTTATCGACATGGGGTTTGTTTGGTGATAACACGTGGTTCGGATCTGACCTGCTGCGGCTGCCGACCATTCATGGAGATGGGCTGCCAGATCCTGGTATCGAGATGCACAAGAGCTGCTGCCTGGAATCAAATACGAGACTTGTAGAGTGGGATAGAAATCATCGAGTGCCTGTTATAACCAAAGATGTTAGTGCAGGGTTTCTGAGATCCAAGGCTTGATATCAATCTTCGGCCACTCTCCAGGTAAAGAGTGCGAAGAGAAATGTTAGTGGTGGGATTACTATTGAAAAGTGTCAAGCGTGCCAAACTTGACGTACTGACCAGTTCAGAGGATGGATAAACATCATACCGGACGGGATTCCTTCCGCGCAGAATCTACACACATTCAAATGTTTGTATCTAGAAAAATCAGAGAAATATATACTCTATATTACGATCCTCACATGAATCATGCATAATGTGAACTTTGATAGGGCTTTCCAGTTAATATGGATCGAAATATTTAATACCCTTGTCATATGATGGGGGAGTTACTCTACATGATTAGTGAGTTGAGACACTCGCCAATAGGACCAACATCTTCATCATTTATCACTTCTCCTTCCTAAAGCAATAGTAGTATTTTTTAAAAAAAGGAATTCTCAGAATAAGCCCCATGCAAGAAATACGCTACTCTCGGAACCATGTTTCTAGGCATATAATCCTGCAGAAAGCTAGGAAGCTCGGGCTTAGACGGAGACTTGAAGCTTCGGATTTTGAAGACAACCAGAAATCAAACTCCGGCCCGAATTTGATGCACATGTGTGAGTGAAAGAATCCCCTGATCTGCAGCTCGGATTGTGAAAGCAGATTCCAACCCTTCAATCCGGTCCAAATCCGATGCGGATGCAGGTGAAAGAGCTGGATCTGGATTTCGGAATTGAAGTCCGCTTCACTCTAAAACCAACCTTTGAATCGGGGATAGGAGTTCAGTCCATTTGTAATTAACACTCAACTTAAATTAAATAAGAGGAATATGCATCTATGATACTTTCATACTTACCCTCTAGTCATCACAGTATCTTATCACCACCTCAAGTCCTTGACCCACACCCTCGACGAGAGCGCCAATCCTGCAATGGCCGAAAAGAATTCTTCACCTTTGGATGAGCCTCCTGTAGACTCATCTAACACTTGGCAGAACCAACCCCTAGAAACACAAGACGGCGTCGAAATGAGCGCTGCCAGTGATGATGAAGAGCCCAAGCACGAATATCCTTCGGGCCTGGCAGTTACCTTTATCCTCATATCAGTCACTTTGGCCTATTTCCTATTTTTCCTTGATCTTGCCGTGATTTCTACCGCCAGTCCGTCCATTACCTCCGAGTTTAACTCTTTGGTGGATGTCGGTTGGTAAGTTATGATCTTTGTTTATCTAGATCAACTTGAAAACTGTTGGGTGTTCATTGGCGAGATACTGATGATATACTCCGCCAGGTATGGTGGCGGCTACCAGCTTGGAAGTGCAGCATTGCAGCCCTTGAGCGGCAAGATCTACAGTCGGTTCTCTATCAAGGTGTGTCTTGATTCTTGTCATGCCAGTAGCTCATGCATGGTCATCACACGAAAAGGAAATGCTCACAAGCTCAATATACAGTGGACCTTTCTTGTCTTCTTCCTTATCTTCGAAATCGGATCCGCTATTTGCGGAGCAGCTCAATCATCGGCCATGTTCATCGCCGGCCGCGTTATCGCGGGTATGGGGTCTGCTGGAGTGGCTAACGGCGCAGTGACAACCATTTCCGCGATCCTGCCAGTGAAGAAACAGGCGCTTTTCATGGGACTTAACATGGGCATGGGTCAGCTTGGCCTTGCGACCGGGCCTATCATTGGAGGAGCTTTTACCACAAATGTGTCCTGGCGGTGGTGTACGTTATTATATTCCTTACATTGGAGACCTCCTCCTGGGCAATACACTGAAATTTCTCTTGGTTAGGCTTTTATATCAACCTTCCACTAGGTGCTGCGGTCGGCGGATTTATTCTTCTCAATAAAATTCCCGAACCGAAACCAAAAGCTCCGCCTATGCAGATTCTTGGCTCTGTCATCAAGGAGCTGGATCTCATTGGATTCATGCTTGTTTGCCCGGCGGTGGTTATGTTCCTCTTGGGTCTCCAGTTTGGTGGTAACGAATATGCCTGGGACAGTTCAGTTGTCATAGGCTTGATAATCGGTGGTGCTGCTACATTTGCTGCATTCCTTGTCTGGGAGTGGCGCCAGGGGGATGATGCTATGGTGCCACTTGCCATGCTCAAACACCGAGTTATTTGGTCGGCTGCAGCGACAATGTTCTTCAGCTTGTCCAGTGTTCTGGTGGCCGATTTCTACATTGCAATTTATTTCCAGTCGATTGGCAATGACACGCCCCTGATGAGTGGTGTTCATATGCTGCCAATCACTCTCGGTATTGTCCTCTTTACCATGGTCTCAGGCACCCTAAGTAAGTGTTCTCTGTCATTCACTCTGGCCTCTAGTAAAGTACTTTGTCCACTGACCTTCACTGGTACTGAACAGTTTCCATTTTGGGCTACTTTCTCCCATTCCTTCTTGCCGGCGGTGCTATATCATCTATTGGCTACGGACTCTTATCGTTATTGAGCCCTACGACTCCGACTGCAAAATGGATTGGGTATCAAGTCCTCTACGGTGTCGGAAGCGGTTGTACGACTGCGGCGGTAAGTTCAGTTTTTGTCGAACGATAAGCGCATCGGCTGATATACTGTATTTTCTATTTAGCCCTACATCGCCATACAAAGCCTCGTAGCTCCGGAGCAGATTCCCCTTGCCATGGCCATTATCATCTTCTGGCAAAACATTGGTGGTGCCACGTCTCTAATCGCCGCAAACGCCATTTTCGATAACAGCCTTCGTTCAGAGCTTCAAAAACGCGCCGCGGAAATTAGCGTTTCTCCAGACACCATCATCAATGCTGGAGTCCGCTCCATCCGTAGCCTGGTTTCTGGCTCGGAATTAACTGCTGTACTCGCCGCATATGCCAAAAGCGTTGACAAAGTCATGTACCTCGGCATTGCGGTCAGTCTCACCGTCATCGTGGTATCTCCAGGACTTGGATGGAAGGATATTCGGAAGGTCAAGGCCCATGACCTTAAGGTACTCACTAGCAAGTCTCCTAACAGCGGCGAGCAAGATTCTGCAGTGACTGGTGAAAATTAGAGTTTTTGGTGAGTGATCAACTGGGGAAGACCGTTTCCATTTCCTCTACGGCTGATGCGGTCGCATGTTTACCGCCATGGTAGTCGTTTTCGGTTCTTTCATTTTGCTACTTTTAGGAGTCAACAGGCTATTCAACCGTCTTTTTGGGAGATAAATTACCCCGATGTACTTATGGTGGCATTTGCTTGGTTCAGACAGTTTACACAACATTTAATACTATCTCTTTTGTCATAGTTTTTACTGCACCATTCCTTCTAGTAGGCAGAGCGTTGCTCAGTATGAAAAGATCATAAAGGTTCCGCTCTCCTACTTTGGCATTTCAACCATGTTGAAGGTAATAAATTAATAAAATGATTCATTTCAGCCTTTTTCTCTGGGACTAGTCAAATGTTGCCGCCCATAACCAGCACTTGAGTGTATCTTGCTTAGCTGCGCCCCTTTCACTCTACCCGTCCCGCTGACCTCCAGAGTCCCTACACACCCTCATGTCATTTTGGTCGAAGGTACATCTGAACATTTGAACGTACCCGACTGAGAGAATTACGTCTACCTATCTACTCCAAGGTTGAGGGGAATACTAATAAAGGCTTTATGCACAAGGCTGTCAGAAGTCGCGGTAAAAGGGTATATTCAAGCAAAAAGCTATATAATCGATCCATATCCTTCAAGGTCCAATCTCGTCCTAATTAAAATCCATCATTGAGCCTGAGGGTCTTTCTTCGCCAAGTTAAAGCGTCACAACAAGTTTCTTCCCCGAGACACCCTTTCTCTGGAGATGGAGAGCGTCTTGAATCTTGTCCAGTCCTTTGCCCACGACATGCGGAGGAGGAGCTGGTATATACTGGCCCTGCTCGAGTGCATGTGGCAGGAAGTCCTCGTAGACATGGGAGACGACGCTGTCAGGGTCAACTAGGCCGTCGACCATGATGAATTTGGCTTCGACGCCAGTCCTCATGCGCGTTCCGCTCGATTTGATCATGCCGCCCATCATGGCCATCAGATAAGTGCCCTTGCCAACAAATGTTGTAAGTTTCTCGGGAGGTATGATGGCTCCGGCCACGGCGATAAATTTCCGGGTAAGGTTGGGATCATGTTTTCTCATAACCGTGGTGCATGCCTTGACAGAACCATCGCCAATTGTGTAGGCTCCGACCAGTTCGTGGCCTTTCAAAACACGAAGGAGATCGTTGGCTAACGTTTTGCTCCTGTAGTCAAAAACGTGGGTGGCGCCCAGACCCTTGACATAGTCAAAGTTCTTAGGCGACGAGGTAGACAAGACTTGGTAGCCAGCGGCCACGGCAAGTTGTACAGCATTGCTACCAACACTCGAAGAGCCGCCAGTGATGATGACAGCGCGCGGCTTGCCTGACTTGCCCACGACTTTGGTGGGTGCTGGGACCTTAGGCATGTCGAGAGCCAGATAGTTGGGGTGGAAGAGGCCGTACGCAGCAGTACCAAGACCCAGTCCCAGGACACAGGCCTGTTCATCAGTGATGTTGGGTGGAACCGGTGTCAACATGTTCTGTCGCATTACTGTATAAAGCTGGAAAGCTCCCTCGGCAGGGCGATTGACCTCTTTCGCAATGGCCGCAGCACTTCCACAGACTCGGTCACCCACATGAAACCTATCCACATCGGGGCCGACCTCAACGACTTCCCCAGCAACATCGGTGCCAAAAATGAAGGGATAGTTGATATAACCAGCAAGTGCAGGGCCAATGTACTGCAATACCCAGTCGAAGGGGTTAATAGCCACAGCTGAGTTCTTGACAACAACCTGACCTGGGCCAGGGCTGGTATAGGGTGCGTCGCCAACTTTAAATGGCAGAACCTTTTTTGCGGGGATCCATGCCGCCTGATTGGTTGGTGCCATCTCTATACGAAAAGATGAAGAAGATAAATGGAGCACCAATTAGACACGATGAGTATAGGTGGGACACGAAGCAAAAATGAAACCCCAAGACTCGGGCAGAGTTATATGTACATGCATTGCCATACCAATTTCACGTCCCCTAAAGGATTCAGGGGTTCTTGAGCGAGCTGCATTAAAGCCGGAATCTGGTCGGCATTCAGAGAACCGAAGTCCGGTCGAAATCCGGTCGATGTCCGTTCAAGACGTTAGGCTGAATAATTGGCCGCAGGTTCTTTCGCAACAAATTCCTCCGCGCAAATATTTCCAAATTTATCCTAGGGGCGCTACATATACACAGTATCAGGCCAAATAACTCATAAAAACAAAACTCTCCTGCATGACTAGTCAGTCCGTTTCAAAATAACCGACTACCCTATATGGCATATGGCCAACTTGAACCAAAACATTCGAATATACATTACTAGATTCTATACAGATAATGGCAGTCTATTTTACGGTTACTATAGTGATGAATTTTCAAATGTGAGCGAGTGCTAAAGAGTTCATTCGAGTTGGTTATTTGACGAGATAATGTACGCTTCACATATGCATTCCCAAGCTCTCTCAAGCTCTTCTTTCTGCTTTCAATGTTCTGCATATGCATCTGCAATTTATGATCTGCAATTTACGGTTAGTCTCGGGTGCCCCTCCTGCGGTGTAACACTATATGATAATATAAATGAGTTCTAGCCTGCCCTCACGGGTCTCCCGTACCTCATGAGGAATGAGCTGCGGTAGGCTGGAAGGATTGATGCATGTAAGACCGCTTGGCGAAGCCACAATATGAAGTCATGATGCGAGAACTAAATTAATTCGTGTAGTCTCAACGTTCACAACAGATGTGAACCCTTTTCTGAAATTAAATTAAAAACGTCCACCTGGGTATTCTATCTGGATAAATACAAATTCAATGAAGATGATGGTTAAAGATAATGCTAGGGCCCGGGGTTAGGATGTCAGCCATTGTACTAAGAACCTGGGTCACGGTGGGCTGTGATGAATAATAAGTGAGGCCGCCAAAGATGGGGCATAATGCATTGTTCAGCCTACATTTCCTTTAAGTTAGATGTATGTACGCCATTGGACAGGATCGCTTAATCTACTAGTACTCTCTCAGCCCCCTCGGCCTTCTGAAGTGGCAAGCACCTGAGTAGAAGGATCTATACCCGAAGGATCTGAATCCCAGAGGTTTCTATCAGAGATCTGGCATTGTGAACCATGGGCATAAGTACATACATCGTATATAGTAGTGGGGTGTCAGACTCAAAGCAATTATTCTGCCATCTCTGCTTCAACACACGGGGACTTGAAATGATTGCGGGCTGATATATCAACTTCTAATATCAATCCTCAAGTTTTACTACACGAGAAACACCGGAGTCATTGCTTCATGGCTTGCCAGACGGGAAAGAGACTTAGGCAGCAGCCTGGCTTTGCGTGCGAGGAGTGTCGCAGACGTAAGGCACGATGTGACAGAGCAAGACCAAAGTGCGGCTTCTGTACTGAGAACGACATGGAGTGCATTGTCATTGAAAAGCGACAGCAAAGGAGTCCTTTGAAAGGCAAGCTCAACTCAATGCAATCACAACTTGGTTGGTCCACCAAATTTCATTTGTTTCGCATTATGCCTTTCTGCAAGATCATTTTCTGCATGGAGTTGGGTGTAGATCCGATCTCATCCCTGTCTTTCAAATCCGTCGTTCCCACTATGCTTTTCTGCCACGCAACTTGTGGGGTTATTGTTGTTTTCGTTGTTGCATATTCATCTGACTTTTCCTATTTATCCGTTTGGGAACTTTTGAGATGATTAACAAGATTTATTCTACAAAGCATCGCTACAATGCCATCTTGAACAATACCTCAGGCCTCAGCCTGACCTGCTTATGATCCCGCATGGACCCATTGAGCCGGAGCTCGAGGTCCATGCACACATTCCTAGGGTGCTAAGCGACTGTGATCTTCAGGCGTTACTCGATAGCCAAGACCTATCTGTCGCAGCTGCAAGACCCGTAGGAACAACAACATCTACTTCGGTGATCTCAGACTCTGGATCAATGCCAGGAATTTCAGCTAGTACAGAGACTGTTGGTTTAAGCTTCCCGGTCTGGCCAGACTGGCTAGACTGGCAGGAAATCAATAGCACCAGCTCGACACCACCGGAATTTCTGGCCAACATATTAGCTAGTCCCCTTGATCTTGAAGCTTCAAATGAGAAATTGCCAATAACATCCGACTTCATTTCAAAGATCAAGATAACAGATCCCATTTGGGCCGAGCTGTACGAGCCCTCCAACCCCTCTTTAACGGTCTCTTGAGCTTGCTGACAGCCCTTTGTAGAGATCAACTATATTTTGACAGAGTACACGCGATATGTCCCATCATACACCGCCGGCGATACTTTGCCTTAGTTATACAGAATAATCATACACCTGCCCAATCATGTCTCCGTCTGGCTATGCAAACACTTGCTGCAGCTATGTCTGCTCATTGGTGTCATCTCAGCGAGCAGCTTTATTCTGAGACACGCAGTCTGCTCGAAGCTCAGAGCCAGATTCAAACTAACCCTAGGGACAAGGTTCCTCTTGAGCAAATCCAAACTTGGTTACTTCTGAGCCATTACGAGCTCCTGCGAGTCGGTATTCACCAGGCCATGCTAACGGCCGGTCGCGCTTTTCGCCTTGTACAGATGGCCCGTCTCTCTTACATTGATACCCCAGGTGGGGATTTACAAGTCTCTAATCTGGTTTCTTCCTTGCCATCTTCAGCATCATCTTCCTCGTCTTTGTCATCTTTTACATTCCCGCCTTCTTTGTCTGCCTCCCTCGGTATCGAGTCTAGTGAGAGTTTTGTTGACGCCGAAGAGAGGAGGCGAACATTCTGGCTGGCTTTCAGTTTCGATCGCTTTCTCTGCTTACAAAATGATTGGCCTCTAACGCTCCAAGAAGAAACGGTGCGCTGTTTCTCTTTAACTCCTTCGCTACACACCTTAAAGATGCAGGCTTGGCTAACTATTTCTTCCAACCAGATTTCTCCACGTCTTCCGGCACCAGAGGAGAATTTTCAAAATAATCAGCCCACTCGCATCAGCTTTCTTCACGAGGCAGTCGCGCAGACAGGAATTAGCAATTTATCACCCTTCGCAGAATCCATTGTATTGGCAACACTTCACGGCCGCTGCATGACACACCGGCGGTCCTATGCAAATGAATCCGAGACCGGGACGAGAGAATTCTGTATCAGCCAGGGATGGCTGGCCTCAGCCGTGGAAAAGCGAGTGCAGATGCTTGTATCTTCACCGGCTATTGAAAGTGACCCTATACTTCTTTTCACTCATATGCTGGCATACCGCGCGGCCATTGATCTTAGCAACACGGTACAACGGGCTCCGTGGCGCACTCCCGATCAGCAGGTCTTGACAGCAACATACCAGAACCGTGCCGCGCAAGCAGCTTCCGAGATTGCGCGTCTATCTAAAGAAGTACCTTATCTCGGCCCCTTCAAGACTCACCCTTTATTGCCTGACACTCTAGCGTGTGCGGCCACCTTCCTCTTCACATTTGCCGGACGCCATGGGGGTGACTATGATGGCGTCCAGGATCTGCTCCAAATATTAGGAGAGTTGCAAGATACTCACAGTCTAGCGCGAGATTCTTTACCGACCTTAAAGATACAATATTCAAAAGGGGTAGACAAAATGAATGGGATACCTTAGATAGAACCTACTATATTTGTTTCAATAGACATCCAAGTCTAGGTTTTCGAACCTGCTTCTTTCAATTCACCTATCAATGTCAACTGGTTTGATTATTTGACACGGGCTCAAGTTCGAATAGTATTGATGATTTTGTGATAACCCTACATGTTATCACATACATACCATTCTTCGGGTTTAATGATTTCAACCGACAATGATCCTGATCCGGGTCTTTGTGCATCGAGTACCTTGACAAATCACGAGGCCAAGTGAAAAAAACGATGAGATAATGAATTACTCCGATGATTAGATATCGACTTTTATTGATAAATATGCCCAACAATGAATGTGGGTACGGACATCTGGAGTAGATAATTTCATAAACGGAGTTCGGAGGGGCAAATCCGGGGATCCTTACACGGGTCCACCGGGCGGGTTTCATATGTTGTAACGATGTGGTAATTACAGCGTATCTACATACAAGAATGGGTAAGTTATGATAAAGACGAAATGATCTGATACGGATCAGTAAACCCGTCGGCCCCGCTCACTCCGGCCCCCGTTCCATAAGCAAAGAACAAAGAACAAAGAGGTATCTCTACAGCCCCCGCTCACCCAGCTAGGCACCTACGATCGACTTAGATATCTTTCGCTTTCAGCATAGTCTGCCCTACCAATTACCAATCACTATGGTTATGGAGAGATCGAAACCAACCCCCAGCTCAACCAGCACCTATGGCCAGGCTTGCACCCCGTGCTACAAGGCAAAGTGCCGGTGTGTGCGTACTGCAAATGGCGAGAATTGTGAAAGGTTGTTGATTTGAAATACCTTATGATATTTGACATTAAGCTCATTTTTTTTCTAGATGTGTTCGCCTTGGAAAAAGGTGTGAGGCATCAGAGTCGGTTCGCAAGCGTAATACTTCAACAACCCCAGCCGATGTGTCCGATACGCGCATCGCTCGGCTGGAAGACAAGATGGAGAGCTTGCTCTCTGCAATGACAGCTTTTGTCGGTACTCCAGGGGGCTCTTTGTCTTCAATCAACATTCTGCAGACCCCTTCCCTCCATGGAGGCAGCATTTCGTCAGCCACCTCTTACTCCAATAGCGCTCTGGTAACCCCCGCAAGCACTAATCTGGGCTTCAATGAGGGGCCTGCATTTTCGACGAAACCCATGAACACAATATCGCCAAATTCAAATTCGCTATTTGTGTCTAATCCTTATTCTCTCTCACCTTCTTTTCCACTGGCAAATCAACCAGACGAGCGGCTCAATTTCTTCCGATCTCGCATGCTGCCATCTTTCCCTTTTCTCAACCTCACCCCGGATATGACAAGCTGGTATCTACGTCAAAATCGGCCATTTTTGCTCCAAGCCATTCATACCGTTACTACTTTCTCGACACAGGAAAGATTTGTTCAATCTGAGGAATTGAAGCGTCTTCTGTTCACATCCGCTTTGATGAAAGTCGAGTCAAATATCGACCTGCTGCTTGGACTACTGACTTATCTCGCATGGAGTACCGACGCTTTTCTTGGCAGGGCGGATCTGGTATCTCGTCTCATGATGCTCGCTATCTCAATGATATACGATCTGCGGTTGTTTAAATCATCCTCACCAGATGCACAAATCATGATGACTATTACTCAAGGACGGGATGAAGAGGGTCACATCCCTGGTGACGAAACACCCTATGACTTATTGGAAAGGCAGCGGGCAGTACTGGCATGTTTTATTTTGAGCTCGAAGTGCGTATAGCCCTCCTTACCTTCTGCCAAACTTCATCCAGGGAACAATCCAAACATACTGACGTATGACTCTGTAGTGTTTCATCACATCTTGGGCGTCAAGATGCTATACGATGGACTTCACAGATGGAAGAGGCACTTCAATTTATTACAATAAGCAATGCATGTGCCGCCGATGAACTATTTGTCGCTCAAGTACGCTTGCAACTCCTGAAGCAAAGAGCCAGCGACGTCCGACAGCAGGATGAGACAAATTCCACTCGCACAGGAATGGCTTCTGCGGCCTCAGTCCCTCGCATATTGTATCTGAAGACTTTACGGAGACAGCTACATGAGTTAAAGTCTTCGTTTTCGTGCAGATCTCCAACAGATCGGTAAGTAATTTCTCGGGTGAACAATGTTGTAATTTGCCTCTAGGACAAGATGGCTAATAACTTGACCCGGGGTGGACTCGGACTTGCCATACAGATATTCTCAGCACACATGCGCAATACGTCGAATTATACATCAATCAGCTAGCGTATTCAATCACTCAAGATGCACCTCCTCTAGATCTAGCTGGACGACGGGGCGATGGTGGAATTCTGCTGGGATTTGAACGCCTCGATTGTTTATGGCAGTCTGTCGAGAACATCAAATCATGGCTGGCTAACTTTCATGAAATTCCTTCCTCGAAGCTCGTCGGTCAACCCTTCCATTTTTGGTCACAGATGATTCTGAGTATCACACTCTTGAAATATCTTTCAACACTTACAGACCCAGATTGGAATGCTCAAGCAGTACGAAACAGAGTTGACCTCATATCGACGATGGATTCCATGCTTAGCAGACTCGATATGTGCAGTAAGGAGCCGGAGCTTCAGTGCAGTGATCATCTCCTGGGGTATCTTTCCAAACTTTTATCCAGATGCCGGGTTTGGGCTGAGTATCGGTGGAACATGTCTTCGCAGATGCAGAATGAGACCAGACCGTGTCAGAGTGAAGGCCACAGCAGCCATATCCCTGATCTGGATGAGATGGTCTGGATGCAGACTATGGATTTGGGGAATGACCAATGGTTTGAGAATGTACTGGGTATGCCCGCAAATCTCTACTAGCTCCAAGTTTATTATCGATTTAGTGGAAGACTCAGATTCATCCATAAATATGCCATTCATGCCCGTGCCAATGGTTACCGGAAGTGCTATCTTGTGCGTCGGTCTACCTCGTTATCCGCCCGGCGATCTCTCGTTAACCCTTCCAGCTGCTCCTGGAACTCTTTCGTAATTGATAAAACCTTCTTCAAGTGATCCTTCCGCAAGCTTCCACCCTGTCCATTACTGCAGGCCAATGCATAGGCACTGTTCACAAGATTACGGATCTGGCGACCGTTGAGCTTTTGTTCCGAGCCAATCTCCTCGACCCACTCATTAATATTCGCTCGATCAGAAGGAGATATTATGCTTCTGTCCTTCTCTTGAAGCTTATCCAGGAAGCTGCTAAAGACCTGTTTCTTCTGCCCTTTAGTGAGGTCCTCGTAGCGAATAGCAAGATGAATACGGGACTGTACTGCGATGTCGAGCGATGTGATTCGATTTGTAGTCAAGATCATGATTCCCTCGTAGTATTCGAGCACTCGAAGCAGGACAGAGACCAGAGCATTCCGGTTGGGATCACCTGTGCTCATACGAGACTCAAGAAAAACATCTGCCTCATCCACAAGAAGAATGGCCTCCCAGGCTCCAGCGAGGTGGAACATACGCTCGAGGTTATTCTCTGCCTTGGAGGCATTGAGGCCAATTTCGGCCACACTGACAACGAGGAGCGGTTTTCCAGTTGCTTCAGCGATAGTTTCTGCAGTCAATGTCTTTCCCACACCTGGTGGGCCATGAAGGAGAATGACGAGACCACGCCCTTTGCCCTCAATCACGTCCATGTCTTTCCGATTTGCTTTGGAATCATTTGCCTTGGTATGGTTCTCCACCAGTGCTTTAATAATTGCTTTATATTCCTTGTCCAACTGCAGATCCGTATCAAATGCGGTCTGAACCTTGACCGGCTCAACTTGTCGCACGGAGTCGACTTTGAACTGGCCCCAAATCTTTTGCTGAGTTGAGTAGCCTAGTACTCGTGGTGCGCACAGAATGGATTTGTCCCTTTCTTCTTCAATGCTGAGAACATCATAGTTATTCTTGTTTTCGTTGGGATCCTCCACGTCCACGCTGGTATATTTTCCCAGAGGATAGGAGCCATTGCGGGATCCTGTAAAATGTTAATTCTATTTGCCCGGGCAAGTGTTATTGCATAATGCTCACCGTGTTGCAAAAAGGCACCCGCATCGACGATAAATTTACCCCTGACCTATGAATGAATTAAAAGAGAGGTTTAATCATTTTCAAAGAGAATGTTACTCACAGCAACGGTCTTGATATTGTTATCATCCTTTGGTGTTGAGGCGCTGTGGTTTTCGGAGAACTCATCTTCGTAGGAAGACCGTAATGTGCGGTTGTCATCATCCTAAAGCAAAACACGCATCGTCAGATACAAATTTCTTTCTCGCCAATGTCACTTTACTTACATCCTGAACTAATGACCTCGAAATGTTACCACTGTCGAGTAAAACGACGTCGTTATATTCACACATCTGTTTCGCGCCTTTCTCAACAGTGCAAAGTTGAAGAAACATTTCGCCTCTTTTCCTGAGCATCTCAAGGAGATCTTCCGACTCATTATCATCCTTTTTGAGGTACTCAAGTGGAAAGCAGAGGAGGCTGTTGATCTCCCTAGTACCACGGAAATGCTCGATCTCAAACTCGTAATAAGTTTTGACCTGCGACTTTCCGTTATAATCGTAGCACCAGCATGGAATGGTAATTCCTCGTCGTTCAAAGGGATCAGGGGAGTAGGGAACTTCAAATAGCTGCGGCAAGTTCAGGAAAGCCTTCGCATAAACTTTTGTCTTCGGGCGAAAGATAGTCCAGAGAAACTCGTAGGTGATGACGCCCGCGTTTATGATGGACTCTCGTGTCTTGAAGTAGGTTTCTAATTCTGTGCTGACACGAATAGAATTCATCATCACATCCAGGTCCTCTCGGGCCTGCTTTTTTCCTTCAGTATCATTTTCCTTCGGTGTTATCTCAGCCTTCAGCTCTTCCCAATAGTGTACCACAGCCTGGAAAGGACCAGGTATATAGACGCTTGTGCCATCGAAGCTTTGACCAGGGTAGTCTCCGATGACGTCCCTGAGCAGGTAACGTAAATGCTCCGACTGGACCTCTATCTCGGAATATGCTGGTTTTGTCTTCTCAAAGGTTTTCATCACAGTCCGGAATACGAAAGCAATATCTTGGGATTCCTCGCTCTTCGCCGCGGGAGCATCGACGTCCTGGTCGATGTTACGGCCTTGCTGTTCATTCCAGCTGCTGATCACGTTGCGCACTCGGGATTTCTTCTTGGTCTAATTAAAGTTAGGCTTGTACAATTTCTAGACCGCAGACAAAAGATATTTTCGATTCGTGTTGAAACATCAGCTTCCGTACCTTTTCTTCCTCCTTGTCTTTGTCTTTGTCTTTGTCTTTTGACTCAGCCTTATCCGCAGCTTTGCTTATTTCCCCTTTAGAGGTTGCATCGCCATCTTCAACAGTAACACTGCTTGTGTCAGTCTCGTCTTTAGCTGGTAGTTCGGCGATTTTGGTCTCCTTGGGCGGTCAGCTTCAAGATGTTATAACTCATTGATGAGTTTATTAATTGACAAACCGCTGCTGGGGACGAGGTGAGGCGTTCTAGATCGATAATCCGTTGTTCAAGAAGAGATATGTATCTCTGTTCCTTCTGTCTGATCAAATCGCTGATTTCGTCACTAGAAGGTGCCTGAACGAGGAGTCAGTAAATCTCATCATCTCCTAAATTGGTTATACACACGCTAGCGCCTCCGGAGGGTTGTTCTTGCGCCATCAGTAGGCAGATAATGCAAATATTTCAGAATTGATGAGAAAAGCGGTTGAAACTCGACCGGGCAATTCAGGAAAGCAGGATAATAAGCAACTTGAATGTAAATAGGTAAAATCAATCAGCAACTCCGAGTCACAGCCCTGGAGCTTGTATCCGATGAGGATGCACTTCTTCCTGGATTAGTAATACATAGTGAGGACGAGTCGGAGTAAAAGCCCATGTGCACAGACATCTGGATGCGGATATGTTTCCGATTATGGTTCGCACCGCGTGAACCTAATAGTCAAACAATTTGCCAACTAGTTTGGCCGTAGGCAGATGTTATTATCATAGGTTGAGATGAAAGTTGGCCCCTCGTTGGCCCCTCATAGCCCCATCACTACCCCCGCCAAGGACCTGTCATTACTCCGGGTGGTTAGTTGTCCAATAGCATCAATAGAGCTTTGCCGTGTTTGTGAATTTAAATGATGACGAGTATTGGGCGCTATACACACATGTGCAGCTAGGCTAAATCATTGCGTAGCAAACTATTCTTTTCTTACAAAATACGAGACTCAGTTACATGTTCTTTTTCATCGGAAATGAGATGAAGACCTGCCTGTACCTTAACTGGATACAAGAAGGTATCATTCAACCCATTTTTTATCCCCGAGCTCAATCAAGCCATCCTCTCAAACAAGGATTGCTTCTGCATGAGGCCATATGAGTGGAGATAAGGAGGGGTTCAGGGCCCAAGCGCTCGGGCAGGCCGGTGATAAAACAGTCAATACTGGTACTATGCCTAGGTACCTGCTGACATTCTGAAGGATTTCTAATATGAGTTTAATCCTTACGTGGCAGTAGATATGAGGGCGATTACTCATCTAACGTAGTGTTGCGCAGGTGTTACAACAGGGCGCAGGCAGATAATTTACTGTTTCCATGATTCTCGAGGGACAATTGTTACTTAGAAGTCCATCCTCTGTTTGGAGCGAAATAGTTAGTCTGAAATCCTAGATTAGCTGCAGAATAAGAGATGGCATTAGACGACCCAATCTCCCAGCCGAGATGGTTTCGAGGAGGAAAAGCAAGCAACGAGTGAGTGAGCTTCTCAAATGGCTATCAAGTGAAAAACAAAGATTAAAACTGAAAGCACTAACCATTCATAGCAAACTTCTGAGATCACACTCAGATACAAGCTCTCAGTATGAAAATCTCAAGGAGAGCGTTCGCTCTATCGTAGGTCGGAAAAACGTCGACGGCAAAGTCAAGCACTCGAAAGAAGAAATCGAACAACAAATCCAGGAATTAGACTACTATGCACTGAAAGAACTCGGACAGAGCAATCTGCAAGATTCAAAGTTTGCAAGATTGAACTATCTGGAAGAACGACGCGGAGGCATAAAACACTTTGGAAGTGGTCTTCAGAAGTGCCTTAATAGCTTTTCCAACTATCTTACAGCATATTCCGGGATTGTAGAAGTCGTCAAGCAGGCAGGTCAACCATATGGAGAGGTTGCATACGGCGCCCTTTCTCTACTGCTGATTGTATGCTCACTTCTCATCCTCACTTCATTGTACACATGCTCACTGTTTAGGTTGCCGTTAACAAATCTGCAAATGAGGATAAAATCACAAGAGCTCTGGATGATCTTTGCAGATGGTATCCACGTCTCAACGATTTGACAGATATTTACCCTGAACCCAAGCTGGAGGCATGTGTTGCATCGGTTTATAAAGAGGGAATAGCCTTTGCTCAAAGTTCCGTTACTTATTATACAAGCTCACCCGGTAAGGTCAGCGGTCTGATCCAATCTTTATTCTTTTTACTGACTTGTGGCGACTCTTAAGTCCGGTTTTCAATGTCAGTCAAGTCCTCAAAAACCGAGTTGGATGCTGCAATTGCCGCTATAGAAAAGTCTCTCGCAGAGGTTCACTTCGAGAGCAGAATTCTACTTCACAAAGCAGTCAGATCAATAAATGGGCAAAATCATCAGTTATTAAGAGGTAATGAAGAGCTGAAGCAAGGCAACGAGGACCTAAAGCGACAAATCGAGGAATTGAAATTAAGGAACGATGAGTTGAAAAAAGAAGTTCAGGGTATGTAACAGCCCTCTGTGATACAACCAAGGAATACTAACACCACAATCAGTACTTTGCCAAAAGGCATCAAATAAACAAATTCAAGAGGACTGGGAGAGTCTGCAGCGCTTCAAAACACTTCTCGACGTGCCTGACGAAGATCCTTCTCCGGAGGTCGATCTGGATTACTGCCAAAAGACCTTGGAAAAGGCTTTCCGAAAAGGAAGCCCCAATGTCAGGTCTAGCAGCTCATTTTCAAGGATGACACTCAATGCGCTTGAAGAGGATGAAGTGTACAATCGATGGATGAGCAATTCTCACTCTTCTCTGTTCGTTATAAGTGGCCGGACAAAACCGGAGTCCCATGACGGGCATAATACTTGCTCATGGCTTTCTATGGCTTCTATCGATGTTGCTGAAAAGCTACGTGCAGATGGTAGCTTCACGCTTTTCTATTCATGTCATCCCAAACTTCGTGCCGACGACATCATTCCTTTTCAGGCTCCACTCTCAATGTTAATCTACCAGGCGCTAACACACAGACCTGAGCTCCTTCGGTATGAGAATCAACATCTTCAATCACTGATACGTCAATGGCAGAAAGAGAGCCACGATCGAGAGAAGTTGACTTTGATGATTAAAACTCTACGCGAATGTCTCGCGAGCGCTACTGTTAACCCGCAAAAGCCAATGTATATCATACTCGACAGAATGGACCTCTGTGATGGCACAAAGGCTCTGAAAAGGCATTTCCTAAGGCAATTACTGTCTCTGGTTACAGATGACTCTTTGAATTTAAAATTGATGCTTGTTTTGGACTCAACATTGTGGGAAGGTTTGGACGATTTGTTTGATGATTTATTGGACGATTTAAGGTATGATGCCAAGGACCGCTTGCTCGGTAAGCTAGGATGGCATCAGACGGAACAGACACCGCGTTTATCCTCCCCTGAGTGGGTGTGACAGTGTTTGTCTTATGATACTATTCCTTATATCGAATCCATGTCCGTCATGCCCATCCATACTTTTAGAGCCACTGGTCGTTTGCACTTCTAAACCAATACCTGAAGACTCTATTTTCTTAATTTGAATTTGAATTTCTCTTTTCTTTGCCTAGTGCTCTTCTGGACTCGGATGCCGAAGTCTCCATTTTCAGGAACAAGCGATAGAGCTATACTACTTAGTAGCTCCGAGTCTATATTGATTATCCGTAGCTGACTCAAAACCTTGGACTCGAAAAAAGATTTAGTAGAATTTGATAATCGGTCAATCTGATTTGAAGCTGTATATCCTAGCAAAATATTATGATACACGACCTTAAACCTTGGAAGGTTCATGGATAACACTAAACTCATCCATAGTAGGATCTGTGACTAGATATAGATGCAGTGCCAGTAATCCTCATGAATTGACACACCAGAGCGAGTCCAGTTAGCCTGTTGGGGATATCTACCCACCAAAACATGCATGGTTAGCATCAACATGAAAACCGAGATCAACATGTATAGCAACGAAGTAACTCACGGGCAAATTTTGCGATTATGCAGCAGTCTTGTTGGGTCTGTGTTATTCTCGAAATTGGTCGTGACCATATATGATGGCGCATGGCCACCCTCAACCCAGCTCATCAGTGCGAGAAAAAAGTCGTGCGGGTAATTTTCAACGACATTCGCAGGGGTAAAGTTGAAGAAGTTGCCGGCCTGATACGGACCAGCCAGGTACCACAGGGCCTCCACACAGTCTGAAGTTCCGGTGCAGTGTCTGTTTATCTATCAGCAAAGTTCATCTCCCACATAAAAAGGACGTCAATTAGTCGACAGACACTTACTCGAGACCAGGGATCAGGTAAAGGAGATAGCTATCGGTCATGTTGATGCCCTTCTCCTGGGCAATGTGTTCAGTCTGGTTGTGGTAGTACACGCTTGGCCCGGGGGAAACAATCGAGTCTGACATTCCATGCCAGTGGAAAAGCTTTCCTCCTTTCTCAAAGAACGGCGAAAGGTCAAATTCGTCCGCATTACCTTGGGCGGGATTCAGAGATTCCGCTTCTTTAATGAGTTTGTAGGTCAGGTCCTTGGATGTGAAGTTCTTGAGCCCGAGGACGTTCTTTATATACCACGATCCGAGGGGCAGGTCGCTATCAAATGAGGCATCCCAGGTACTTTCGCTGCCCATGCTCCGGGGTAGATAAGATCACTATCAAACGATTTCCCCTCCCTGTACATCTTTTGAAGGGTCTTTAGCTGAATGCGGAGTGAGACAGTCAGAGGTTTGTGTGCTGTTACAGGCCAATGCTGCGGCATTGAAGAAACAGCCCTGAGGGTTTGAGACCACCCTGTCGGTCAGACCATCCTGAGGATCACATTGACGAATGACTTCCCCCTCAATGACGGGATAAAGAGACGATGGAATTGAGGAGTTCACATTACTGGAGCCACCCAGAGTTGTCTGTCTGTTATTGTAAAACTCCTGGTGAGTCAACCACCATGTTGGTGCACCCGCCATCGCACCATCATAGTCATCAGGGTAGGTCTGAATGGACTTCAGCACTTGTCGCCTTCCTCCAGAGCAACCATTAATATAGCTATACTTTGTCTCCACGCCATACCAAGCTTTGACGATAGCCTTGGCAGTTATAGTGGATAACTGCAACGCACGGTGGCTCCAAGCAGTCAATCCGTTTTGTGTTTCCCAGCCCGAAACATGATCCGGCTCATGTTGTCCGGAGTTGGAAGCGAAAGTTGCGAAAGCGTATCTCAAACCAGCACTGGCGACACCCCAGGATATTCCGACATCCGGGGCAGCCATCCTATAGATTGTCAGATTTGTATCTAAGCATTGTGAAAGCTCATACCTACATCAGACTTCTGTTGAAGTGAGCGGGAAGAAGGGCACCAAGTCCCCAGCTAGCACCCTCTTTGTTCTTGCCATCCACTCGGAAGGCACACACAGGCGTGCCACTGTTCGTGGGAGTGAAAGTTGAGGCATTGACATAATCCGTAAACTCATTAAGAGTGGCATTGTTGTTGATGTAGAAAGCATAGGCGACAGTCAATCTTGTCTCATTTCCTGCAAGTTTATTCACGAACTTTTGAACGCCACTAGTCGTACAATTTGGAGCACCAGTTGCTTCATAAGTTGTGGCATTTTCAAAAGCGCAAACATCACCTGCCGGCAAGCTGCACTGAGACTGAGCACTAGCAAGACTGAAGATAGATGTCCACGCCAGAAGGCCAAGTGAGAGCATCATCTTGGGCTAAATTCGAGTATGTTTGTTTTCCTTTCAAAAAGGAGGGCTTCAGGAATTGGACCTGGTTTTATAATGCCTTCGCCTTGCATCATCGATACTTTCTGCAGTAAGCATCAATGTAGATCAATTAGATCAATACACATTTGCATCACTTGCAGGTTTTCCAGTTTCTCGATTTGGTCATGGCCGCCGGATACCCGTTGCTTGATTTCATCCTTCAGCATGAAACATAATCTGTGGGTCCAAATGATAGGATCAACATGCGGAGGTTAAACTGTTTTTGGTCTTACAATTTTTAAGGTTAATTTATGAAAGTTTTGTGCAATTCTTCAAGTTGGTTTTATCAAAGCTGTTTCAAGGTTCTTAGAATTCTTCGAATCTATGTGCTACTAGTATTATTATACCTCTAACAGTATTATTTTCAGTGGGATAAATTTTGGAAGCATTCTTTCAATATTACCTATAATATCTCCACCAAATTATGTCTGAGTAAAATCACAATTTATCGCAGAATAGCCTTAGGCTGGAGTACTTATCAGCCCCGCACATCCTACACCTGGGGCCAGTACTTTGTCCTTCCGGAGGTTCTCTCTAACATCTTCCATACTCTGATAGCTCAGAGTTACCTCTTCATGGGAGGCTTGACGTGAAACTGAATGATTCGGAGATTACACGGATGTACAAGGTTCACTTCAACGTATACTAAAAGTATGTTGACCCGAAATTTAATAAACCTCATCCCGTTCGAATGTTAAATGTCCTCCAGCCACGTAGCAATTTAATCACTTTGGAACCTACCAACATTGAAGGTTTGAGATCACCTGGGTATAATATTCCCAAGACTGAAACATTCAAGTTGAATAGATCTGAGTTTTGGGCTGGGGGTTCTGTACATACCACCTGGGTAGAGGGGCCGTGGTTCCACCATTTACGTAATCTTGTAGATCCGCAGATGTCAATCATCTTGATAATCACGTTCAAGTTAATATTAATTGTGAATTTCATTGAAATTTCCAGTGATTTACAAAGAATGATTCAAGTTGTATATAACGCAAATTAATTGAGAAATCACTATCAATCAACTCTGCACATCAGACTAGGTAGTAGAACCTCCAGGGCTGATAGTGCAAGTCTGAACTCCGAGTCATTAATTCAAAGTTTGCGATCCCAAATTTCAATGTCAAAATTTGAATGTAGGTTCACTGATTCAAATCTTGATTCATTCAAGTACTCTTACAATGTTTCCATATCACTGACTGTGGGAATGATTAAATTATTGTCTTAGTATGAAGAACATCTAAAAGAACATTTTGAAAACGGCAACACTTGAGCCCAATTCTGAGAAGAATTGACACAAGTAAATTCTATGATTCTCTATCCCTCTACAACTCGACAAAAATAAGACAAAAATGGGTGGGTATAAAGAGAATTCCATGCATAAAAAGAGGCATTGGTCACAATTTGATATGATGTGCAGCCTTTTCGAGGGTTGAGTCCAGCCAAGGAGCAGGTAGGTGCTATATCACAGCCAACTCCCAAACAATTGGGAGAATGGTGGGGATGATAGCATAGCGGATTGATAAAGTATGGCGGAAGTCGTGGTAAGAAAGAGGAGGAGGTCGTGGTTATCGAATAAGTTATGAGGTAAAGCGTTTGTACGTTTTCCCACCGAAGCAGTGGAGCAAAAGAAAGGACCAAATAGAGGTAGGTTGAGGAGGGTATATGGCATGAAGAGGAAAAGTCTCAAATATCCGGGTAAGATAGAGACAGTTGGTGGATTGCTGTGGGGATGAATCGTTTTATTCTTGTCCTGCGAGGTGACAAGTGGTAGAACTTTTGGCTTTCGACGTTGAGGAGTCGATCTTCGATATGTCCACCGATATAGCGATGATTCGTCTCTCTACCATCCGCCAGGCCCTCCAGGCCCTCCGGGTCCTCCAGGGCCACCAGGACCACCGCCGCCAGGACCGCCGGGACCGCCACCAGGGCCACCGAAACCACCACCAGGACCCCCGAAGCCACCGCCAGGACCTCCGAAGCCACCATCGGGACCACCGGGGCCACCAGGGCCTCCAAATCCAGGGCCACCGCCGAAGCCAGGACCGTCATCACAGCAGCAAGAGAGGCAAAGACCCATGTTTGCAGAAGAGATATGAGGATGAAGTAAAAGAAGGTGAAGATGTAGATGGTCTGTACTCAGATGAGAGCGAATTATGGAAAAATTTCACTTCTTCTCCACGTGAGTTTATATACAGTTCGATAATCACGTAAAAGAGTACGTCAGCGCCAAGCACTAGTAGTATCCAGATGTCTACACTAGCCCCAGAAGAGGATCATAGAAGGTACGCGTCACCAAACTCGCGCCACAAGGGACAACGAACAATAGAAAAGGGGCTGAATGATGAGAGTACATAATACAATTTCGTTAGTGCAAAGTACGAGCCACAATTCCAAGATCACTTTCCATGATTCCATGGTTTCAGTCAAATACATTGCAAATGGTGTAAAACCTTGAGATCCGACATTCCATAGGGCTGAATATCGGACAAATCAGATTCTCCCAATTTCCCCTGATCAGCCAGTAATTCAATCACGGAATTATGATCTTCCGGCTTTTACCCGCAAATCAGCCCCCAACCTTGCAGCCTTGCAGCCTTGTCCCAGGTGGAATTCATTCATGTTCCCCATCATGGGCACGAACATAGATATCACATTGCGCCACAAGCGTTGGCCCGGTACGGAGTATGGGATCGACATTAAGGATTCGAACCAATTTTGAATGTTCGAGCTATTTATAGCCCAGGGTGCACATGGATTCAAATGTTTCTACTAGAATTGAGTGACTACATACTACAAGGTAGGACCAGTTGAGAGCTTAAGTGCTTAAACCTTGATCGGGCCTCGGCAAAAGCTTGGTACAATCTTGAAATTTTTTATGCAACGCTTATGCGTCACCTCAATGTACTCCGTATACGGCATGTGCGAAGGCAGCAACATTTGAAGAATTCTCCGAGTCCCGGCCGTGACAAAGCCCTTCAAAGTTTGAATTTGTTTGATTGATTCGATTACTACTGGTAGTATACATTTCTACATCAGAGACTACTAAAAGTAGTAATACATAGCACTCCATAGTAGTAGTAGGTACTAGAAAAGGCATATCGTCACTCCACTGTCGCTAGAAAGCTGCGTAATTCTTGGGACCAAAGGTCTGCGAGCTGAGCGGGGGCCAAAGATCTATATCCAGATGCCCGATGCCACCATCGACTCCATCACGCCACATTCAAATTTCCGAAGCTCAACTGTTATCTCATCCATTCCGAGTCCTGAGGTACATTTGTATGCCTGGGTAGGAAGGCATCTAATATGGGACAACAAAGACTCGGACGAGGAGTTTGAACTATGCGACCAAAATGCTGGAGACCATCTTTCATGCTAGTTGAATATCAGCAATGGGCCCTTTTGTTTAAATGAAACCAGTACACTTTTCAAGGTGTCAAAATTCATATGCATTTACATTAGGTTGGATTTCACTTGAAGTTGTCAACTGGTGTATGCAGTATCACATAGTGAATTGAGGCTTGGCGTTCCGCCCTCAGTACAGAGCCTCCAACCTTCCAAGGTTCACTTCTCCAATCTACGCGTGACCATCAATTCTTTCCCAACCCAATAACCAGTATGGAGCCCGCTGCACAGCCGCCGTCTCCGGCCTTGACGAATCCTCGCTTCACTCTCGAGCTGGAGTTTGTTTCATCTCTTGCGAATCCTTACTACCTCTCTCACCTTGCGGTCACCTACCCAAACCTCCTGGGTATCTCTCGCGCCGACGACGATGACCCCGATTCTGCCTCTTCGCCCGATGCCCAGGCTTTTGCAGCCTATCTAGCATACCTCTACTCTTACTGGAAGACCCCCGAGTATTCTCAGTTCCTCACACACCCCGGCCCAACCTTACGCGCCCTCCGCCTCCTACAAGAGGAGAACTTCCGCCGTGATATCATCCTGCCTCAGGTGATCGAGGGATTGGCAGGGGTCAATGTTCCCGGAGATGCAGCACCTGCCGAAACCGACGATGCAGGTCCCGCAGAACCGCAAGAGTCAAATGGTTCTAAGACTTGAGAGCACGGGTTGAACTATGACGTTCCCATTGTCTGAATTACTATCGACCACCTTTCCCGCCACGCCCCCTCCCGAATATCCTCTGCGGAGAAGCATTACTCGAGCATAACAGCAGTCAATCATTCTGTTATCAGCTACTCGGCATTCCCTTTGGTCCGCAAGATCATAATTGCGGGGAAAAGGTGATTCATGTGCGACCGAGGTATTGATTGAGATCGGCCGGCAGTTTGTCGATCGAACGACCACATGTTCGAGGTTCGCCCCAAGTTCAGGGTTCATGTTATCCTCAAAGGGTAATTGCTGGGCCTTTGCATAGGGTTCCTTGAAAGATACTACGGGGTTGTGAAGGACAAAGCGTAGTTGTGAATGAAGAAAACCGCGACTAGTTAGTACCTCTGATGTACTACAGATGTTTACGTGTACTCCATAGAAGCGCCGCATCCGTATGGTTATTTTCTTACTGTTGCAATTGATACTCCACCAATGAAATACATTGCATCCAGGAATAATTTAATATCCATAGAGACTCCATAAGCTAAGCAGAATAACTTGATATGTAGTGTACGTGGATCTGACACCATCGTGCGTCTCTTGCTTTTTACCTTTCGTCATATTCCGAGACTCAGGCTCTTCCCAACCTTTTTTTTCCCCGGACACGAATCTTCCCTCCACTTCATCCTTGAAATCTCTTCAATCTCACACAAAGCAGATCCATTCTGATCTTTTATCGATAACAATTTAGGGGAATCTCTGGTTTCCTTGGTTCTGAGTTCACGGGATTAGCCCCACCCCCTGGTGGTGATCGGCCGCCAACTACCTCATCGGACAGCCGTTCCCGTCTAACGTGGCTCTGAACGACGCCCCCCATTGACGACAACCCTCTCCTATGGCCGTCTGACGGAGACACAGATATCTTTCTTTGATCGTTTTGGCTGAATCGTCGGCTTCGAACCTCGTCTTACTCCCGCTTACGGACCTCCCTCGGGGGGTACCTCAGACATCGTTAGCGCTATGGAGTCAGTACGCCAGTCATGTCGGCCAAAGCATCAGGTCCTGACGTTGAAATGCTATCCTCGATATCAAAAGGGCGTTGCGGAGGTCAAGCCGAACCCCAGTGAACTCTCATATCTTCTCTACTATGCGAGTACACGGCGCAGTAAGCTGACCAAGGTTGGCGCTTTTCTGGAGAAGAGGGTGGCCAAAGACGTTTGGCGTCGCCGATTGGGGTAAGTTGGATGTGAGGGGTGAAGATTGCAAGGCCTCAATCAAATCGGGAGAATAATAAACAGCTGACATTGACTTACAGCAACGTCCAGGTTGCGCTTCATATTCTGACCGCGCTCATCGAAAAAGTCCCTCGCGACCTTCCTATCTACGCGCGCTCTGTCCTAACCATCATCGACACCGTTTTACGATCGAACGAAATTTCCATGGTGGAGGACTCGATTGCTACTTTCGAAACTTTCTGTCACCACCAGGATATCGCAACCATTGCGGCTGAACAAGGAATCGCCCAAAAATACCGAGAGGTCGTTCGTCTCTACGCGAGCTTCGCTGACCCATCCGCCGAATTTTACTCGCCCGCTAAAGTCAGTCCCCCGATTTCGATCCGATGGAGAAATGCAGGACTGCATGCCATTTTCGAAGTGTTGTCGGATCCGACAGTGTTGCGGCCGATGGAGGGAACTCTCTGAATATTATCTTGCCGGTCATTCTGGAGAATCTTTACTCGCCAGATGAGGATGTGATTATTCCGCTGAACGCCAGACTCCGTGAGATCCAAGAAGGTGATCATGATGCCGCCCGACCTAGGAGAATGAGCGTTACAACTGTGCATACGGTAGATACGGTCGAGGCCGACCCTGCACTGGCAGGTGGAACAGCAGCAGACGTTGATCGGAAGGCCGAGATGGATGCTAGGCTGCTGGCGTTGCGATGTCTCGAGAGGATCATTGTTTCTGGAAGCAACCGTGGTCAAACACGAATTGCGGCTTCTATTATCCTGCGATTCATCTCGAACAAGCATTTCCCGCGGTTGGATTCCCAGGACGAGTGGAATGAACAAAGCCGGCGTGGAAACTGGGCTACTTCCCTTATTGAGCTGATTGCGAACTGGTGTCCTGTTCAGGTTCGATTTGTGATCTTGATCACAGCAATGGATATATTGCTAGAAACGAACCCGAAGGAGAAGGCCCTCGACTCGTCATCCACCATCCTTTCTGTGGTTAATTGGCTTCTTAAATCCTCGGTCAACATGATCGGCTTGAGCGTTATGGATATCCTGCTAGGACTGATTCACTACGCCTCCAAAGTTCTATCTCCACAAGAAGATAATGACACAGAAAAGAAGAGAGATCCTCGACCTGACAGCCCAATAGTCATTTCCGACCAGCGAAAGGCCCTGCTCAAACTTCTTGAACAGTGCATTGGAAATTTGGCTACTCATATCTACTATGCTGATCAGGTGGCTGACATGACACGAACTATTTTGCGACGCTTCAAACCCAGCCTCAATCACGATAGTGCTGCCCAATCTACCCTGGCCACTGTTCATGAATCCACCGCCTCTCCCATTGCTCCCACTCAGTCTCTGTCAGACCCTACTGGGGAAAAATCCCAGGGAGAGACATATTCGCACGCCGCTGTGAAAGTCACAGCCCTTAGGGCGGTCAGAGCCATCTTCATCGTGGCGAGCCAGAGAAAACCGACCTCGGATTCCGAATCTAGAAACCCTGTTGGGATTCATGTCTGGGAAGGAACTCAGGGCCTTCTCCGAGATTCTGACCGCGATGTTCGTGACGCCTACGCCAACGCATTGTGGTCCTGGCTCCGCCTTGAAACAACAAAGGACGATCTCAAGGTGCGAAGCGACTGCATGAAGTATGTCAAACCTTCTTCGAAGCGTGAGTCTGAGTCTATTGACAAGCCGAATCGACGAAGTACTTCAGCGCCAGGGAATCAAAGAGAGATCATAGCATCGGCTGCGCAATCTACATTCCTCCGATTGCTTCATTTGGCCATTTACGACTCTGCCCTTGAAGCTGCTTCAGATGACTCTGAAATCCAGCTGTTGCAGATCCTTCTAGAATGTCTCGTCGGCCACCTTGGCGTCAATGCTGTTCAGTTTGGTCTTCCTATGGTCTTAAAGCTACAGGAGAGTATGTACACATCGGTTGACCTAGGCTCATCCAAGGCCCGAATCAATGTTGCACACCTCGTTCATAGCTATCTTCTTGCTGTGACAGAGAAATTTAACCTCGAATCATCCCAGGCTGGTGTCGAGATACGTACCGAGATTGAGAGAAGGCAGAGCAAGGGGCAGTGGCTATATAGTACCCGAAAGCCACTGACAGATTCTTTTGATCTCGGTATCAATGATCTTGCTGTCAATGGCGAGCAGGCTATCCACGATGATTCTGTTTCGTCGGACGATTTGACATCTTTCCGAAATGTTGAGACCCTTGTGAATGGAATTGATGAATCCTACCGTAAGACAATCTCGTCACCTCCCCAAAGCCCCCCCAACATCACCAGCTCAGGGCTTCAATTTTCCTGTGTTGAACCAGCATCCGTCCTCTCAATCACATTTGGAAGAGGGTCTTCCCTCAGCTGTGAGGGAACAAATGTTATCTTCATGGTCTCGAGAGTCATGCCTAGCTGCCGTCGAGAAGGAAAGTGTCAAAACACTTTCTCTCAGTGGCTCTCGTGGAGGCACCTTGCCGCGTAACGGGAATGCAAACGGCAATTCAAACACCTCTCCTGCTGGCTCTGCTACGAACAAGAACCGGCGGATGAGTGTTCATGATGCTTCACGGACACCAGATCACAGTTCCAGCAGAGGGTCTCCAGTACGTGCGATGGATTTGCGACGCGTGCTCTCAACGAATAACGGCAGTCAACTTCGCAAGCTCAGCCCACTGCGAAGCCACGTTGATGCATCAAATATCAGCGTTTCCTCCGGAAGCGACAGTATGGTGACTGACCACTATTCTGTTTCGGAGATGGACCCTGATGGGACATCTATTCGGCAGCACGATGCAGATGGATCAGAGACCCCCCGACCATCCGCATCAGGCGACAAGACCACAATTGAGCAACCCATCAATCTAGATTTTGCAATCTCCGAGGAAATTCCACCAGTTCCCCCTCTCCCCACCAATCTATCCATCCCTGGTGGTTTCCCTAACGACTCTCAACGCTCCTTACTCACTGAACGACCATCTACAGCCCCTGATTCTAAATCAGCTCAAGGTCAACCACACGCTCGCAACAAGTCCTTGAACCGTCACAAGAGCCGTAGCAGCCACAGTCTTGCCACTGCTTCCTCTGACGCATACCAGGATTTGAATGGCGAGTCTGCCTTGGACAGCACGCAGCGAGACGAGTTGAAAAAGCTTCTAGATGGTTTTTTGGCTCCTGAAAACAGCGCACTGGCCAATGGTGACCGTCCATCAACTGCTTCCAAAACACCAAGCAGATCAGTTTCAAGCCGACGACAAGTCAATGGCGGCATTGGACGTCCTCCTTATTGATTTTCTCCTAAATTTTACCCTTTGGCGCCTGCGCCCTGTACAGTCGATTCCGATAACTCGGTTCTTTGATATCTCATTCTCACCTGCCCTTTTTTTCATTTCTCCTTTCTCTTTTTCTCGGCCCTGCATTGTACATGTTTATAATCCCGGTCTCTTCCCGTTATCATGCCTGCTTTGACTCTTCTGAAGGGTGTTAGATCTACTGCGCCCTCAGAACACATGCATCATCGGCCCCCTTCTCCAGGCCCGGTATTTGCCTCTACGTTCTCTTGTACCTGCTCTTTCTTTTCTTCTCTTTTTTCTCCTCGGTTTACTTGATCTTCCGTCCTTTTACTCTATTTCTTTCTGCATATGCTTATTTTCTCACCCACCCGCGTCCGATTTTCATTTCCTTTCTTGTCTTGGCTTTTTTTGGATACTATCAGCGAATTTTTCGCTGTGGGTACTGTATCTAGCTACGTTGTCGGTAGACGCAAATAGATGGTGCTAGAAACAGATCGAGGATCGGTTCCTGGTCATGTACTTTTGTTCAAATCCTGCTGTAGCATCCGAACTCTGAAGTAGTACTAGCAATAGAGTGCACGATGGGTAGCACCCGTGGACTCGGACACGGGTGTAATCTTGCACAGGAGTAACAGCTGAACCCTTCCAAGGTTGAAGTCATACTATCAGCTTTTACAACTTTGCGAGGCACATCAAATGCTTGAATCTCAAGGATGACAACTCTTCATAGAAGAAGGATCAAATTGATGAGACACTATGCAAATACGCTCAGAATATCACAATTCAACGCCAGTGCATAGAGATATAATAATAATAACAAGGGAATGCAGAAAATCAGTTCAATAAGGATAGAGCCGAGGATAATTTACTAGACAAGCTCAAAAAGCTGGCTGCGCAACTAGACGCACAGGTACAGACTCAGACCCAGACTCAATATCCTCTCCCAACCCAGAAACAAATTTCTCTAGAGCATCATTCTGCGTCGGGCTGAAGAACTCCTTGAAGGTCTTCTCCAACACATCCTGCTCAATCTGCATATGCTCCCCAGGCAAGGTCCGGAAATCCAACCTGTCCTGGTCATCCAAGGTCTTCAAGCCCAACCAATCCTCCAAATAAATCTTCCTCTCCTTCAAAGGCGTAACCGTCCCATCCGTACCATTCACATCCGCAAAATGCGCACTTTCCTTTGGCACAGCGACGGTATCATTCCCAAACATATACATAACGAACAAATTCAACGTAGAAAGCCTCTTCTTATACTCCACCTTCTTCTCCGCACGCTCATTATTAATATCCGCCAGAAAGTTACTATGCTCCAAATACGGAGCTAGATCATTCCGATCACGGAAATACTGAGCGGGTACAACATGCGCCTGGACGAATTCCACCCACGTCCCTGAACGTAGTAAACTCTCGGCTGCATTGCAGAACCAGTCGCCCAGCGCACAGGATTGGAACTCGCTTATCCCGTTATGTTGACTGCCGAATGTAACGAGGTTATGTACCGGTGGCTTATTACAGCGCTCGATATATCCGCGGAGAAATTGTCCGCCTTGTGAGAATCCCATCGCGTTGATTCCTGGTGCTGTGCTGAGGATTGGATCGGCGGCTAGTTGTTCGCAGACAACTTCTAGTTGCTCTGAAACGTTTCCGAAGAATGTGGCTTGTCGGTCGCTGTTTCCTGTATCTGCGAGTCGGATTATGTGCACGTATGTACCGGGGTTCGCGGTTTGAGCGAGCTCGGCTACTTTTGTAAGACCATCGCGCTCGTAGTTATCGCCCAGGCCGTGCCAGATTACCAGTGGAAGTTGGGTAGTGTCTTCGTCATTGGGGGCTTGGGTGTCGGGTTTGATGGAGAGGGAGAGAGTGGTTGTTGTGAGGGAAGCTAGTAGAGGGAGGAATCTGATGTACAGCATTTTGGTGCTGGGACCAGTGCCCATGGAACGTTAAACTTCTTGAATGAATGGGTCAATTGAACTTGAAGGTTGAAGTTGGATGATGTGAGAGCTGGAGTGGAGCCGGATCTGGGTCCGGGGAGAGATATGTATCTCTCTATCAGCACGTGACGGGGTCACCAATTGATGTGAGAAACCGATATTGATGAAGTGGAGTTGTACAATGTGGTATTACTGGAGTAGATATTATGTTAGAGAAACAGAAATTGAATGTATCCGGGATATTCTCGGATCGATCTGACATCTGGACCTGTCGAGAAACAACTTCAAATGTTCAGTATGACACGGCAAGGTCAACAGACGAATACCTACCTCCAGATATACAACTTGAACCTTGGAACAACCGTGACCAACTTAAAAACTTCAAAATGTTGAAATGATCCGCAACTTCATGTTGAACTTGAACTAGTGTTGTAGCACTTCAGTACTAGTATCTCATATTCATGCTTCAAGCGTGGATTCAAAATTTGAAGTTATACATTTGAATGTATTACGATAGATGTGATTACTACATACTACCTAGGGGGCTTCCAAGGTTCCAAGCACTTGAGGCTCCACCAAATTACTCTAAGTTGAACTAAGCTCACCGTCGCATGCCCAGGTGGGCTGACGGTGCGTTTATGCTCATGACTTGAAGCTCTCATTTCTACCTAGGTATCGTGTCTAATGCGTTCTAGGAACTTGAAGTCATGTCTGACGTGAGTATTGAAAAGTGATGGTGGAACTTGAATTTACCAGCTTGAACCTTGGAACATTTGAGCATGAACTGTTGAGACTTGAAATGTACTTGAGAGGAAGGACATAGTACTTCAGGACTGGTAAAACCACCAGTTGACGAGTTATTATCTGAAATCTTCATAAACAAATACCATCGACGGGTGTCTTTCAAGTTCCATATGTATTTACTCTCATCCAATCAGTTTTGTCAAGAGCGACTGGACTGTACAGAGGGAATAGTTCAAGTTACGGGAATTATGGCATCTGGAAGAACCGGAATTTTTCTCGAAATCTGAATGTATATGTAAAATTTGATATGAAATAATTTGTGGGTAGTACAAGTTCAGGTAGTTTCATGGCTTGATCCTTGTCCTCAAGTCTAAGGATCTGCCCAAAAGTCTTCACTGGCACCGGACACATAGCCATTTCCCTCGGCAACCAATGATGGACTCGACGGCATTGTGTGAGGACCCGCTTGAGCAACTGAACTTTGATAATTGCCGCTGCGACTGCTCTGAATATTCCTGGAGACTGTGGTCCGTTTTTGATGTCCAAGCCAGCTGGAGGTCTCCTCGAATGATGCATCAGTACGAATGAGTGGAGGGGAAGTAGATCTTTCTTTGGGACTATAGGATGATTCATATTGCTCCTGTGAACAGGATTCCGACTTTGAATTGCGTTGAAGTTGCTCTGCAAGGAATTGGTCATCAATGGTAAAACGACGAGGTCTAGCTAATGGCGAGCCTGTTGAAATATAGTGGATGCTTGCCAATGATGCAAGGTCTGGTTGCAACTGAGTAAATGGCGGGTAATGGTTAGTAGACCCAGCGCCCGAGTCTGCAATTTGGGATAGACCGTCATCTGAATACTCTATCAGGGGAGTTTCAGCCGTGTTCCTTGGCTCTTGAAGACGCAGCGGTGTACGGTTATGACTTGGGGCCAGTGAAAGGCGCCGAGGAGCGAGTCTCTGGGAGGTCCCCCGGTGAGCTGGTAGACTTGACGAAAATGATGAAATGACATTCTCATTATCTAATAACATCGAATGTGACGATGGATGAGTTGTTGGTGTTTGGGTGTCACCAAAATTGGAACCGGCAAGGTGGCCATCGATGCGAACTTGAATGTGACCCAGATCGGACTCTTGCTCAACAGTCCCCGCGGCATTTTTGCGGAACTGATGGCCCTGCAGTAAACTCTGATCTCCATGCCGAATCGAGAGGCGTTCTCGGTCAATCTCCGTTAGCTTACGTCGTTTTCCGAATCGCGCAGATTCTGTCGCCGAGGTGAAATTGATATCCAAGGGGCGAGTCACAGAAACCGCAGCCCAGTCAGATTGTTGTAAGAGACACCGCTTCAATGAGCCCGGTTCTGCAGTGGAGCTTGGGAAAACCTTGGTGGGTTGAAATGCAGAAGAATCGACGGTCCTAAACCCCAGTCACAGACCGCCGGTTAGCACAACCGCAGAGCTAATCAAGCAATGCCGCAGAAGAATAATAAATATAAATTTGTCAGAAAGTCCATGTTTTTGCCACTGACTGATCTGCTTCTGCCGTATCCCGTTTGTCTCGTTGTGAGAATGGAAGATTAGGGAACCCATGAAACTCGATGGCCTCACCCGGCGTCTTGTTACGAGTCAGTCGAGATTTGGCAAACTTCTGTTTTTGATTCTTGGATAGTCCACCAGGGCGTGAATGTCGGTGTAGTTGACCACCCGTCCAATTCATTTTTAAGAGACGGTGAGTTTCAATAGTGAAACTTATTCAAGATTTGAGTCAGTTGATAGTGGAGCTTGAGTGGGGACCTCGATATCAACACTATTCCCAAATAGGGAGACGAACCAAACAGAGTAAACAGTGCAAACAGTACAAATAAGTCACATGACCTACCGCACAAAATGACGATTTCTCTTTTTCTCTCTCTTCTTCCCTTCTTGATTATGTGAAAAATGTTATAGCACAAACCCCTTTTACGACAACCCGCGACAACTCACCAGATCCACAGGTAAGCCGTGTTTGCTTTCCAGATTTTTGCCTTTTTTTTATTTTTATTTTTTTTATTCGCTTGTTTGCGAGGATCCGTGCCCTCATCTCCGGTGACCACCGGGATCCTCGACCTTCTCGACCCTTTGAGTCTTCTGATGAATCAAATAATTAAAAGCATAGTTCACCTGAAATCTTCGGATTGCTGAACGAAAAACTTTATCCATCTTTCTCATATCTGATATTGTCTCAAAAATTGTTTTATTTTTATTTGTTCTGAAATATTTATGCGATTTTCGGAAATTCAGTCACTGACTCCAGTCGACAGGTCCACTGAAAAAAAGAAAATATTGACGCCCAAGTCTGCATTGCTACCCAACGTGGGTCATTCTCGCCCCGGCCCGCTCCTCCGGGATCCAGTTAAATAGAAAATTATGATGATACCTGTTTTACAATCTCGCGTGTGCTGTTCCTCTTCTCCTGTTGGACCTGGTTGGACCTGCGTAGTCCCTGTAACTCAGTAGTTTCGTCCTTGTCATTCTTGTCATTCTGACGGGGCTTTGCAGATTCCCCCTCAGCTGTAATGATGATGATTCCGTAACCCTCAGACGTGGACGATTCTCCTCCAAACAGATACTCTGTCCACGCGCGGAGAACCTGCCGATCGCCCATCTAGGACATCATCATGCAGCGTAAGCCCGGATGGGGCCACCAATCATGATCTTATACGTACATTGCCAAGGGACCCAGATGTTGTCTTCGTCTCACCGCTACAACATACATCTCGCTTGAGCCACTCGGGACCAACCATTTGCAAACCGAGTCTGCAGATACTATCACCGCCAGTCTTCATCAATGGCTATTGCTGGTGCCAACACCTCACTGCACGATGCATGCTGCGAGTCTGGCACACGCCATGTTTGACTTGGCCCCACCCCACTCCGAATACCGGTGTCTGTGTGTGTGTTTTTTCTCCTTTCACTAGGAACTCCCCTCTTTCCCCCCAAGTACTAAAAAGGCTGCTGATCCCACTTCTGTGCCTAAACTCCTTTTCTTCTTTCTTCTCTACACAAAACTTGGATACCCAACTATTATCCACCGACTTGGTTTGATTTTGACCAAATTGCATCATTACTTCCACTCCATATACCTACTCCCCCCCCTTTTTTTACTATACCCATACTTTGCCATCAACCAGTCTCAGGACCATTGGAGGCCTCCCTTTTTGCTACACACCAAAAATCTCCCTGGTTATACTTGCCCACAGGATTTTTTTTTTCTACTGCCACATTTCCCTGGACAGGATTTGCTTTGTTGTTTCCCAGGCTTCTGTTTAGTCTGCTATAACTTCGCGCCAAACCGAAACACATCAGGTAGTCCCCATCACAATTTCTTTGGTTTTGCTTTTGATATTTCTCTACTTGTTTTTCTTGCTTGTTCCTATGCGCTTTCATTTGTTCGATCTACTGGACCTGTACCATCGCCAACCTGTCTACCGGATTTCGACAATTGTATACTATTCCTTAGTATTGCAATCCAAACTCCCAGGATACCATGGATTCCTCAAGTGCCCTACTTGATCTGACCTTAACTGGTTCCACTGCCTATGGCAGCTCCCAAAAAGATTAATGTATCTTTTGTCACATGGAATGTCTCTGGCGCCGGTCGCCAGTTCCCAGGCCTATCTGAGTGCTGTTTTATGTTGCACACTCATTCGAAAACTTCCCTGGACTTTTTACCTTTTACTACCTGGATCTCTTTTCCGTGGACTCCCTTCCTCCAAGCCTGGTGTGAAGTGGATTATGGATTCATTAACTCCCTGGATACTTACCTTGGCGAACCTTACTACCTGGATTTTATACTTGTTGATACCTATACATCTGGAACAAATAATGAATAATCCCTGGAATGACTTGACCATGGCCTACTTTCTCTCAACCACTATGGATCCACTACTACAGAATTATACTGTCCCAGGACTCTGAGCTTAATGTTGCTCTTTCCACATGGAATGATCTTTTTTACTTTCAACATCTTACCAAGGCCACACTGATTTATGGAACCTGGCTATGCAATCCTCCTGCTGGCCTGTCCTCATTTGACTGTTTTACCATATGGATTCCGTTTCCTGCTGCATGACTCGACTAGTAGCTTCCTGGCCACGAAAAAAAAAATCCCTGGCTCTTGCACCCCAGACCACAAAGACCACAAGATTGTCCCATAGGCTCCGACTCACTCCCTGGATTTCATACTCGACAAGCACAACACAAGACTTATCCTAGGACTTTTCGACCACTCCGTGGAATAATTCTCATCTGACCGTAAATTTGGTGCGTCCAGACACTTGCACTCTGCAACAAGATGTCAAAGCTAATAGCCATATAGGTTTTACAACTTCTCTTCAGGACCATGGACTCTTACACGTTTTCTTTGCTCTTTTTTATTTCTTTTTTTCTCTTGTTCAGATTTCATTTTCTATATACTGCGATCTTGATAGATTTGACCGTGTAGATTACTGACTTGATGATGCTTCTTTTCTTACAGTGACTCCACACACACATACACACCTATACACACAATGTCTCCCAGGACCAGCACAGACTCCGAGCGAGTTTCTCTTTCCAGACACACCATGGTACACGGAATGTCAAGTATGGCCTCAAGAACACTCCAGGATGATGAAATGTCGTGCCATGACACCTCTTCTCTTTGCTCAAGTATTGCCACAAACCATGGAAACCCCCAGGACATGAAAGACTGGAGCATAAACACTTCAGATTCTCTCGATCAGGCCATTTCTTCCAAGGATTCTCCCCAGGTGCAAATGCTTTCTTTTTCGCTGTCTCAGCAGCTGATGACCCCCCACGGTCGGACCAAATGATGTGATGTACACAGGCGTGGACTTCCCAGCAGTCTCAGACCTGCATGATCATAATGAATTGCCCCGGGATTTTTACTCATTTGTGGACCTTTCTTCCATGGATAATGATGTCTGCGGTGTACAGACAGGCACACCGGATGATGCTCTGTCTGTCGCACACAGCCCACACACTGATGAGGGTCATTACATGACCAGCCATGAATCATGGAGTGTTATGATGGCTGATGGCCAATACCCCGGAACCACCCTGGACCAACTGTCGTCAAGTCTTTTCCAGACTGTGCCAGTCTCGCCGCCTCTGACTGAAGCTAGCAATGATATTCCCATTACTTCTTCATGTTCACACCAGGGATTTCCTTCTTTCATGACCGCAGATGATTCCATTCTGGGAGAGTTCACCTCCACCTCGCCCATTACCAACCACGGGATTAACCCAGCGGAGCCCTTGTTCCCAAACACATCCACTCCTCTCAGTGAGCAGGACCCTAACAGGTAGGTCGAGTTCACAAAAATGTAAAAACATGTAAAACGCCAGGTCAAGTTCTAATCATTCTCTTTTTCCCTTTCAACAGGACCATCAGACCTTCCAAGCAATCCCGTCGGACAGCCCTTCCAGGTGCTTCTCAGCCCGATATCAAGGTTGAACAGGATTTCTTCCCTCCTCTGCCCATGAGAGAGCCAGCTCGCCAAAGATCCAAGGATGGAATTGAAGGCCGCAACCCGCGCGAGCACCACTACTACTCCCTTCCCACTCACAGTGATGGAAAATACTACTGCCCCTTTGCCAATGGAGAGAAGCCATGCAACCACCCACCCACCACGCAAAAATGCGCTTACCAGCAAGTTCCCCCTAACACTCACACCTTTAAGAAGTACGAATCAAAAGCTAACCGATACTCCCACTTACAGCAAGTACTTGGACTCCCACCTGAAGCCCTACCGCTGTAAGGTCCCAGCCTGCGTGGGTAACCAACTCCGCTTCTCCTCCAACGCATGCCTCTTCCGCCACGAACGTGAAGCCCACGGACTACATGGCCATGGAGATAACCCCCACCTCTGCCTGTGGGAAGGATGTGAGCGATCCGTGCCTGGATATGGATTCCCTCGTAGATGGAACCTGTACGACCACATGCGTCGTGTCCACGACTACGTCTCTTCCGAGCGCCACAGCTCCCCAGAGACTTCCCCATCTGCCCCCATTCCACCCAAGAAGAAGGAATCCCCCACTGCCACTGGCCGCAAGCGCAGAAGTGTCACGGGTCCCACCCCGGCCCCAACCATGAAGCGAACCCGCTCCATCCACTCTCAGACCGGACCCGTCAAGACTGTTCAGTCCACCGCTCAACATGGTCAGCGACTTCGCACCGCCGAGCACAACTACTACAAGTGTCGCTCGCGTCTTCTCGAGGAACTAGCCAAGATCAGTCCCCAGGATACCTCGATGCACGAGAAAGTCAACGCCAGTCTCCAGGAACTGTTTACTCTGGGCCTGAACTACCGACAGATCGAAGCCAGTCAAGTGATTTCCCAAGTTCCAAATGGATTGCCTGCGTGAAGAGAGTTCGCTTTTGTTAGCTGGGAACTGTAAATCCGTTTCATTGTTTTTCGCATCGAAACCGGAGTACAGTAACCTTGGAGAATTAGTGTTTGATAAAACTTCCGCGGAGGATGGATCTTTGTTCTTCTTTCCTTTGCTCTTCTTTTCCGGCCGGATTGCTTTGCGTGGACTTTTCGCGCTGCTTTTGTTTGCCGGATCGACAAATATCTGAAAGGTTCCTACGGGAATCATGCATACCTAGTATTGCAAAAAAACTTCCGGCTTCGGAGCTTCTGCTCCATGTCATGCCGGAAGGCTTTTCGGGGATCCATGAGGATCATGGTCTAGAGCCGGGCACTCTAGTCACATTTTCCTCGGATCTCCATACGGCTCATGCAATTGATTTTGCTGTTGTTGAGTCGAGACTCGCTATCACTGGAATGTGATGGACGAGGATGAGGTATGGACTGGATTCATGCCTCGCATATCATTGAGAAAAAAAAGAAACAGAAAATGGGGAGAATTTTTGTTAGGCAGAAGGCCTTTGCATTTGTATTCGAGAGATGGCGTTGCTTTTATCATTGGTGTTTGATTTTAGTTCAATCTATTGCTTTTGCATAAATTGTATCTTTCCTTTAAATTCTACCTAGACTAGACTAAATAGTAGTCAACATCTCTAGAATGTAAATTTCTCTAATCCATCAGATCTAAGTAGGCTAAATTGTGATAAATGCAAAGTCGTAATTTTGTCTCATAAATCATAATTACATCCACTCCGCTCTATGCAATTCTATCAATACCCAACTTCAACAGATACCATCTCTACCTACACAAGTAAGTATCCATGCAGGTTAAACCTCCCGATTTCAATCCTACGAATCATCCTCTGCACCCCCGAAATTCGAATTCAAAAATCTCACAAACGCATCTCCAATCTGATCCGCCGTCAACGCACCCTGCGCAGCTCCATGTCCACGTGCAATATACGAGCGATTCAAACTTATCCATTGTCTCCTGAAACGCTGCAAGCGCGGCAACGCAAGAATCCCACCCGCACCCGCGAGTTCGTCCGTAGTACCAGTGGTAGCAACATGAGCCGGAATGAAAACCGGGATCGAAGCCTCGGGGACAGTAATCGAGATTCCATTCGCATCCTTGCTTTGCGCAACAGCGACCTCTGCAGAAGGTGTATTCTGTGTGAAAGAACGGATGGCAGTCACAATTGCGGATGTGCGTTTCTCCATATCGTACAGCGCGGAGTGCTCTGTTGCTGCGGATTGTACGGTGGCTTGGTGTTGGACGATACGAGGCCGTGAAGAACCGCCACTTGCACTACCGCCACGAGTAAACGATGTGCGTGTTGTGGTGACACTCGCCGCAGATGAGAGGTTTGTCGTAGCGAGCGAGGAAGTGAGGTCTGACATGATAGTTACGGCTGGGGCTTGGGCGGAGGGAAGGACTATCCCTGTGATGGCGTGGAAGATATCTGCTATCGGGGGTGTTTCGTCGGCCCAGGGCACTGTGAAGAGGGGTCTATCCCAGCGGCTGTGGGTGCTGGGCTCTTCGTAGCGGAAGATGAGATTGTTGAGCAGCTCTGGGGGATACGCTTCTTCGGTATCCTGAGTTGCAGATTTGGATTCCTCTGTTGGAGCGGAGACCGAATCATTTTGTGGTTCAGTCTGTTCTTTCTGAGTTCTCTCCTCTCTAGTAGCTTGACGCTGGATTCGGGCGTCATTGTTCGCGACACACTGGTCGATCGGTGTTCCCACGTGAATCTGTGTCTGAATTAGTTTACTATCCAACAACCTTAGCAGAAAAGTACAAAAACATACCACACAGCATGTGGTTCCAGCGGCTTTGGCCTCACACCAGAGCTGATATCTCCATCCCTTGATATAGTTCATTCCATCGAGAATCACGATGTTGTCTCGTGTGAGGTTGCGCTTTGCGCGGGCGTACGCCACACCACGAGCCTCCTTTTCTGTGCGCGCATGGTCATATACAATGCGTCGGTATGAATCATCATGCGAGGGAACGATATGGATCTTAAAGCGAGACTTTAGAGAAACGGGAGACCCTGTCTCTGTGGCTGCGAAGAGCTCATCTTGTGCTTTCTCGAGAAGCGAGGCAAGTTGATTTGCGCGGTAGCTCAGGCCGGAGCAAGGGTATCCGGTGAGAATAACGAGCTAATAGCAGGAATTCAGTCAATACAGATTATCTACCAGTGTATTAAGGGCTCAACTTACCGGCATCTTGGGCGTCGTGTGTCTTGATGCGGCGAACTTTTTTTTCCCGCGGGGTTGAGCCATGTGACTGCGGGACAGCCTTAATCTATGAATAACCTTGGAAGACTAAGACTGCCCGATGAATTGGACATATTCTTCAAGAATTACTCTATTTAAGCATCAAATTACATTTCCATAATTGATAAAAAAAGTATTGGGTATAAACTTGTTTCAATTGTTCACTTTTTTTCAGATTTTCATCGCATAGACCGCTCATTCAAGTTATGAGAATGTCCCGCGATCAATAGTCTAGTATATTTGGTGCAAAATGCCAGCACTTGAGGGTATCACATCAACTTTTAAGCATTGCTCTCCAACTGATCCGGAGCCCAGCGGAGTTCATATCCAAAAACGGTCCTTCGAAGTCTCTCGTCCTACAATGAATCTATCAGCGAAATGTGGATCGTACTTGGGGTTAGCAGCACTTACACCAGGATCGTCTTCAAACAAAACATCACCCATAAGCTTCTCAAAGATCTTGGTTACGGTAAATCCACTTGACTCTGCCAGAGGGAAGAACTTCTCAGTCTGCGGTAACAACCACGGCTGATAGGGTGTGAAGATGACCAAAGCCACAGCACTAGGGTCCTTCTTGAGTGCCATCTGCATAGTCTTGATCAGATTTCCATGCTCGCGCCAGGCGTAGACCACATCCGCCATGATCAGCACATCAAAGCTGACAGGCTTCTCGTCACCAGTGGAGGGGATATGTGCCAGCAGAGGTTCCACCGTGCTGCCCCATTTGTAGCCCTCCACGTGCAGCTTGGATTGGGACGGGATCTTGTCGAGTGCCAGATCGGCATTATATTGCATGTTCTGCACGAGATCCAAGTCCGGATAATCGGTCATCACGGTAGTACGAGCTCCCATAATTGCACTGACAATACTCGGGACGCCCGCTGCAGCGCCGATCTCCAGAACATCCTTGTCGCGAGTGAGAGTATCGGCTCGCTCTTCGATATAGTGTGCGCTGGTTCGTCCGGCGTTCCAAAGCAGATTACCCTAATACCAATCATGGATCTGTTAGTCCCTTGCAGTGGCGGCAATTGAGAGATTCATTGCTCATAAGCGGGGGAGGGGTCATACATAGAGCGGGTGACTGCCCACAAGACGCACGCGCACTGTTTGTCCTGATAACATTTGGTGCTCGGCGAATGTGGGCTTCTCCTCCTCAGGGTAGTACCCCTCGGGATCCTGGAAGAGATCACCAGTCTCAAAATCCTCGTCGGCCATGGCAATTGATTTTTGTGCCCCTCATGCGCAAGGGAAAAAAATGGGTTTTATCGGCCTTATCGGATTTATGCCTGAGGCATGAAGGGACCGAGACCCTTCTCCAAATTGCAATACATGATTCATCCAGTGGCAGGGGTAGATCTGCAATATAATTTGAATATGTACTATCCAGGAGTTTTTCTTTGAGTAAACATTCATACAAATATAATTATAGCGAGCTCATAAGAGCAGGGATGGGTTCTATCTCCGTCGCACTCCGTACTTGGCCACCTTTAGTCTCAAGTTTTGACTAAGTGTTAATCTGAACTAGACACTAGTCTAAACGAGGTTTCGATAAGCCCATTAATGCATATAATCCACGAACTTGAACCACTCAGCTTTGGTGGCGTCCAATAACAATGACTAACTGGCATCCGAGTGTTAATCGTTCTTCCATACTTCGTACACATGCCCCGGCCGAGGCATTATTGTAATTACCGTATGTAATTTGCCACCTTCTGAGTGACAAAGGGTGTGGAGAGAAAGTGGAGATACATGGTAATTACGCGGTTAATCATCGGCCCCTCCGGGAGATCTTTGGAGAAAACCATCACGCCAGATTCTCTTTCTCCTAGATTCTCAGCTCTGTCATTCTCTAAGCGACCTGGGAATTCTCATCTTTCCCTCTCCCGCTCTTCCTCATATTATTATTCAATCTTGAATCCTCATACCATTCCCGTCATTAGTGGGGCTGCATCAGTCCACTCATTCGTCTTCCGCGGCTCCATCTTGAAGATCTTCACGGACTCGGTGATCTTACAGCCCCAGCGTCATCCTGCTCCTCGAGTTCTCCTTGGCATAAAGGATTTATTCACCCCATAAGCAACATGGATCCAACACAATCAACTTCTACTCAGACCCCAGCGTCTTCATCTTCCTTTGCAACCACCATGGCCTCTCTTACACCTTCCTCCACTCTAGCTAGTGCAGTACCCCAACCGCCGATTCCATTCACTATCCCTTCAAAACAAGACCAAACCTTGGCCGCTACTCTACAATCTACGTCCATCGGCGCTGCACCTGCTATGTCTCAGGGTCAACAGCCTTTATCTCACGTTTTCAACGGTTCCGCCTCAGGGTTACCAGTTGCGCAGGGAATCAACCCAGGTAGCATCCAACGATCGGAAACCGCCCCCGGCGCTCAACCCGCCGCGGACTTATACCCGCATCAGATTACTGGACTTGGGGGTCCTACTGCAACTGCCCCATTCCTACAGGACTTTAATCTTGTAGCAGAGGCAGCCAAGCGGGCGCAGATGGGGATCGTGATGCGTGATCTAGAGAGCGTGACCCTATAATTTGGATGGAGGCGCAGATAGCGACGAGGGGCCGGTTCCCCGGGCGGGGATAAAGGGGAGAAATACACGATACAACTACGAAACCAATCAACGTTTACACCCCCGATTTCCCGATACGAGCACAGCAGGTTTTGAATGCTCTATCTATATTTTCTTTGTTTGGCGTCAATCATGGGATAAGTTCTATGGGGGCTGACTTTGGGATAAAAGAATCTGGGCTCGCTTCATCTTGGACCAGCGATTCAGAATCTTTTCCCTTTCATGTCTTTATGCTGGGCGTTGTTTCCATGGCGTTTGATTGGCTGTGCGTTCGTTCTAGTACCTTATACCACATTTATTTGCAATACACGGAATTTTTACTACTGGGAATGACCCTTCTCCAGATATAGAGGTTTGATTGGCACTCAGAGTAGGCCATATTGGCTGGATGCCAGTAGAATATCATTCGCTTACGGAGTGATAGTCCGCATATAGTTACTTCTGAATAATGAGGGGTTAGAAGTATTGTCATTCTCATCCAGATGTCGAGTCCAGATGCAAGCCCTCAAAGAACTAATTTCGAGAATTTGAATCAAGTACAGACTTGCATGAATGCTACTACATCCTGCACATGCAGTCACAATAATAAGCACATTGTTTGCTGCCTTGAGCTGCACAGCCCTGTATGAAAAGACCTCTCAGCCACAATCCCATGTCTCACCCCACACATGCAGCTGCATTCCGCCATCTTCAAGTTGACCACCAAAGAATCCTTCACATGGCACTCCGTTCTGAGTACTCTACATTCGCCTCTTTTTCCTCGGTCCAGAACTCTCCTGCGGGGGACTTGGCGGACCCTTAACTTTACCAAACATCTTATCCAGCCGTTGTTGCCCCTGTTCAAGGTGTGCCACTCTAACCTTCTCACTAGCCAGTACAGGTGGCAGCCCACGAATCCGCCGCTGTGCATCCTCCAGTAATTCCAGCTCGCGCTCTCGTTGCCCTTGCACTGTGGGTATGGACCACGATCCCGATGAAACGGATTTATGTGCGAGTTTATACTTGGATCCTGTGAGATGGGTCTCGTACGTATTCGGGTCGACTTTTCGCACATGCTGGATGGTATTAGCCTTAGGCTATTCCCTCGAAGTACTCATTTCATTGCAGTAACCACCGAAATCAAAATCGGCAAACTTTGTTTAGTCTCTCTGCTCCGCCATGGTTACTGACTCACTTGATGTCCCACAATTAACCAGTGATATTCCGTTCCAATAGGTGCACCACTTCCCTTCGGGGCGTTACGAGCTCGTCGCTTCCTCGTCTGATAGTCGATACTCCAGAGGTCCGGTTCATTCTTCGTCTCTTTCCATACACCTGGATCATAGTTCCAGGTATGAGAGCCACCGATCGCCATCCCGGAATACAGTTGCCCGTTATGTGTTTTTATGGCGTTGTAGCCTAGACCCGGAATTTTAGATTGAGTTGGCGAGGCGACGATGTTATCTGCTTCGCCTCCCTCTAGTGCGTTTTCTTCCTCGTCAAGTAGAACAGGGTCTGGTGAAAGTTCCTCGGTGGGAGAATCATTGGTCTCGTATTCTGCTGAGCTGGCACTAGATGTTGGAGAGGCTGCCATTTTGTGTAAAAGTATTGATTCACTGGTGAATTGGGTTACGATTGGGTTCAGAATTCTTGAAGCTAAAAGAGCTTGAGTATGCTTAGAGCCATTTAGATGATGATGTCACCCTGATGGTATACTAGGTGTAGAGCTCTGGACCTCGGGAATTGATATAAAATCTCACTAAATTGGGTTAGCTTGGTTGAGCACCCCAGCTATACAAGTTGAACAACCTTGGAAAGACCTCACTTTACTCAGGTCGGAGGAGTAGAGGGGCTCAGTCTTCTGAAATTCAACCCAAAACATGATAAAGCACCTGGGCATTGGCATTGGGATCCCTCGTCCGGGCATCAGAGATCACGCACTGGTTTCACATTCAACTGGCACGGTGACAATCTCGGAAGGCAGTGTTTTTACAAGGAGAGAAAGGAAACCTACTATAAGAACCAGTACAGGGAAGGCGGATTGCTTGAGTAAGAAGATTTTCGGTATCTCCAAGGTTCAAGTGAAGCCACGATGGTATGCAAACAAATGTTGGTGTTTATTAATGTCATACCGCCCCGACTACTACTAGTACTGTAGCCTTCAAAGGTTATATACCTCACTTCTTGTTAGAACTTAGAACCACTGATCCGTCGTTCTCCCTCTAGAAAGCACCTCACCTCTCTTCTCCCTTCCCTTCCCCAAACACCGTCGGTGTAACGCTTTCCCTCTCCCAACACGATTCTAAAGAGTTTCCATATTCTTTTGAATCGGGAATTTGGCCACCTGGAGAAATGACTCTATTTCACGACTGTAGTCAAGTTCCTTCATCCCCAAAAATGGGGCTTCCGCTTTTTATGCCACCTTGCGTCCATTCAGGTCCGGGCCTGCAGCACCATCCACCTCCCGATCGGCCGGTCAGAATTCACGTTGAAGGCCCTGCCATCGCCATCGAGAGACTTTTCCCACATATTTGGAACTTGGAGGACGGAAAACGGACATTTTCACAGCAGGCAGGCCCAAAGTTAGCACGGTTAACTTTTCAAACTCTATATGAACGAGACGTGCGTCCAGATGTGGTTGACGATATGGTCATTCGGAATGAATATTTGGGCTGGATGAAAGAAAAATCCCCTGAGATGTAGGTTTGTGCTGTCATCCTAACAGAACAATCTAGCTAATTGTTTTCTATTAAAAGGACCAGGGAACTTGCCTATTATGGTGTGACATTCGATCACCTGGTCCCAGGGCATGGTACCAATCCCGAGGTATTGCATATCTGCATAATGGAGATTGAGAACGACAGGGGTACTTATGCGAAACATGGCTATGGAGTCCCGTTGACCCGACCGAGTATATCGGGAAGAAGGTACTCGCTGTGCCACGTTGTTGTCAGAAGAGGAAATCGTCGCAGGATCGCTGCGTAGTGAACAATTGTTTTGACGAGAGAGTGTACAGCAGAAGCTGAAAACCCAGCCTGGAACAGAATTTCACCCCTTCTCTTGTCATTGGTGCTTTAAGTTTGTGGGTATTTTCCGACATAGTCTGCTGAATTGAAATGCCAGTGAGCATTTGCGATAATTTAGTCATGAATCTAACACTATGCTTTAAATTTTCTTGTAACTATGAATCTGGAATAGAGAACCTTGGAATATTCCTATCATTCGAGATTCAAAACTGTGGAAGAATGCACATGGTGAAACCGGAAGCAACTTGAATTGATCACTGACTTGTAAGCATAAGACCGGCCCTAACCTGACTGCGTTTAATTATTGAAGATTGGCCCACACCACCTGGGTAGAGCACACTCAGGTGCTCACTTCAAATCTTGCTCTACTCTGAGGCTGTTGAAGCGTAGACTTGATAGCACTTGAGAATATCCCAGATTGCCAGCTTTCTGCAACCGATGCCAGTGTTGCTCATACTTAATTCGCGTAGGTAGTTCCTAGGTCGATTGGGAGTGTTTAAAGAGTCTAGACTGTACATTTATTTAGTCAGACTCGATGATAATTCCAAGGTTTCAAGGTTCGTATCTAAAGAAATGATGGTGATACTAGTAGATTGGTGGCAAATAAGGGGGTGATTAGGGCTTTGCCAAACCTTAGCGCGAGGGTGAGGGGTAAGCTGCTCAATTGAGAATTCAGCATTTTTATAATAATCTAACTTTACATAGTCAGTATGGCCTGCCAAAAATTGATACTATACTGGTAGTTTCAAGTTACTAGTATTAGTGGCTAAAACACGGATCCGAATGTCCATACCTAGTAGTGCTAGGTAGCACAATGGATCCAAGGTTGTAATCCTGCAGGGTCAATTCGGCCCCCACAATTACCATAACCCTAAACTCGCACTCAGTACTATATAAGATCAAGCCCGGCTTGCATCTATTTTTACTCTAAAGAAATTCCGCCATATAAGATCAATTCTATCTCTGGCATTCCTACTTTCTTCTTCACACATTTTCCCTTCATACTACTCGGCCTACTTCTAAGAATTCAATCAAACTCCACTTCCATTACACCGCATCATGGCTGACATGGATATTGACGCCGGCACCAAGGCAATCGCCTTCACTACAAAGAACTACCGCTCCCTCTACCCTGCCATCGATCCCACTAGTCCAGACTTATCCCAGAAGGGAAAGGTCATCGTCATTACTGGGGCCAGTCAAGGACTAGGCCGTCTAGTAAGAGACCACCATAGGTTGATACTCGAGCTCAAATCTCTTCTCTAACCAGCCGATAGAGCTTCGCTACCTCCTTTGCTCAAGCCGGTGCCGCCGCTATTGTTCTGATCGGTCGTTCTGCCGATGGACTCAACGAGACCGAGAAGACCGTCAACGAGATCAACCCAGATATTAAAGTTCTCCGCTTCGCGATCGACGTGACCGACGAGACAGCCATCAACGACGCTTTCAAGTCCATCGTGGCACAGGTCGGGGTTCCCCACGTTCTGATCAACAATGCGGGTAACCTTGCTCCTCTCGCCAGCACGGTGGAATCGGATCTGGATTCATGGTGGAGATGCCAGGTGCGTACAGAGTACACTCTGAGTCAGCATGTCAGGATATGACCCCAGGAGCTAATATCTGATAACCCTTTAGGAAGTCAACATAAAGGGAACTTTCATCGTTACTAAAGCTTTCCTGAAAGAAACCGGATCGACTCCATCTGACCCAACAACAATCATCACTATTACTTCCCAAGCATCGATGGGAACTGCACCGGGAATGGGCGCTTACTCAATGTCGAAGATGGCTGTCACAAAGCTGATGGCGTATGTGGCCTCCGAACATCCTACCATCACGGCACTAAGCCTCGATCCGGGTATTTTGCCAACTGCCATGGGCCACAGTGTGCCATACCTCGCAGAAGTTTTGCTTGATAAGCCGGGACTTGTTGGAGGTCTGGCTGTGTGGGTGTCCAGCGGAGATAGAAATTATCTCTCGGGCAGATGGCTCACAGCTAACTGGGATGTCGAGGAGATAGAAAAGCGAAAGGACGAGATTGTGGAGAAGAATCTGTTGAAGTATCGCATTCATGCGGATTTTGCGACAAATCCGACTGTTCATTATTGATGATGTGGAAGCTTTGTTTCATCTGATATATGTGGATTGATGATCTTTTTCAAATGTTTCAGAATTTTTCTATTGACGTGTATATACACGAATGCATTCGTGGGTTACTGCGTAAACACTTGGATTTCAGATATCAAAATTGAATGAGTTGAGGCTGGGTCAACATACGTGGACTCGGATGAACATCGTACTATATTTGGGATGAAACAAAACTCGCAGTCATCGACGCGTACGGGATAGCATGCAGAATAAGTCACCAACTTTCACCCCACAACCAGACCGAGAAACATTCATGGATTTAAACATCATCAATTAGTTTTAAGTTTGATGTTCTATAAATTCAAGATGAATAATGTATTTCGTACTACTGGTAGATCCGACCGGACCATCCGATCGACGTAAGGCGGCTAAAAAAGCCTCATGGCTCTAGCGTACACGCGATTGAAAACCCGCATCATCACGCAAGGCACTAACCGTATGATACATCTCCAAATCAAAATACCAATACTAGTACAACCTCAAAATCCACACCGTGGATACTACATCCACCATTCCCATTCTCATGATCCATGGATGAAAGTGACACCCGTCCCCACAAACATTGTTTCAAAACAGTGGACATCTGACGAGTACCTCCACTCCCAGCCTCGGTTCACAGATGACGGCTAAGGTGTTTTCGACGAACGACAATGGTGTGATTGCACACGAGAGAATAATGTAGCCGCCTATTTGGCTGAACCAGTGATAGTGCTTTTAGTGGGGATCTTGTGGAGGTGCTACTACTTAGTAGTGGATGGGATGGGTATGGTTTAGAGTTGTCGACTCATTTTATAGGATCAACGTGATGGGGTCTCTTTCCAATGTTCAAATGTTCGGATTGTATGAATTCCACTTGAAATTACTCAATTTAGAAGTTTACTCCGTACTTATTTACTAGTTACTAGTACCCCGTACATACTAGGATTACCTAAAATTATTGCGTATCCCACATAAACAAACATTTTAAACGATACAGTTTATGCATAGTATTGAAGCTAGTGGACATGCGCAGCAATTTCAAGTTAGTTCCAAGGTTATACACCTCCGAGTCCAGTACACCTGGGCACTGGCAGAGTACTGAAACTTAAGTGCCTGAAAGCCAGGTGGCCTTATGCATGCACAGATGTACTCAGTATGTACGTCGGGTACGGAAGTTCAGGCCCGAAGGAACTACTGCAAGTGGACTGAAGTAGTATTAGTAGGAAGAATAGATGGGGTAGTATGCATATTCATATAGTCGTATAAGCGAGGATGGACTGGTTCGGTTCCAGATATCACTAGCCGAATATTTCCTAGTCAATGTATATACTAACCTGGCACTGACCAAGAATCAAGCATTTGACCTCGGGAGTGTCTATCAAGAGAGACATTTTGAATGTAATTCGTACTAATGAATTCGTACTAGTGTCATTTCCCCTCACGCGACCGGGTAGATAAGAATTTTTTTCCTTTTTTTAGTGCTTTTTTTTAGGACGAGGCGTTTGCTGACGCACGTCGATCCACCGGCAATGCTTAGGTGGCTGGCAGTGCATGTGGCGCTCTTTCGACGTCTGAGACATGCATGATGATGCCAGAGAACCCGATCGTAGATTTTTGAGGAATAGTATCAGGGACTATCATCATCGTCCCTGAGTATTATGCAATATCATGCACAGTGAGATCAAATTATTTGCCGATTGGGTTGAACTACTTCAGTATATGAATGTTGAAGTGGGCCCTGAACTACGAGTAGAGGATCTTAGAACCAAGATTAGATGCAAGATTTCGATTTCGATTTCGATTTCGATTCCCAGACTCCAAGCTATGCGCAAATGTCAGAAGTCAAAAATGTAAATACAATGTATTCCCAGTGAATACAGACACAATCATTAGCTGGGAATTATCCAGATGTAAATGTACCAAAATGAAATGTGGAGGAACAACAAAAACCCCACTCCAATGGATATAATGACAAGAAAAAAATAAGAAAAAAACTCCGCCCGAGATTAAATAACTCCAGGGCCGCTATTTCCAATGTGCGGATTGCATGTGTATGTCTCATGGACATGTGTATAATGATCGTCACTGCAAGCAGTATCCCGATGATGACATCGGCTGTTTTTTGAGGTTCTCATTCCTTCAAGGAAGAGTTTGATTTCATGATAGTTCGATTTTGTTCACTTGGGACCATGTTTCCCTCGGCCCGAACGATAGCCCATTTTCATTTCAATCATGCCATGGGGATCCACAAGAACCGGATGGACCCGATTCAGCCCATTCTCTCCCCATGAAATAAGAAAAAAATATTGATATGAATTTGAATGTGAAACTCAAGATCAATATGAAAGATTCGGAATAGCCATATTAAATGTAGTTGGCCTGACGCTCCGAAGTAAGAGTCGAAGTTCCAATAAGGTTTGGTGTAGAGATGCTAGCGGTGTGAGGGCGTTGTGCAACCTTTCCACGACCACCAAAGATAGAAAGTCGGCGTGATAGACGTTGACTCAGACCACGCGAAGACCGGGGTTCCACGGAGATAACTGACATGGGGCGAGCAGTTGAAGGACGAGGACTAGCTGTTTCTGGGCGATAGGCATTGGGAACCAGGCTACCATCCAGCAAGAAGGTGGAACGACGCTTCAACTTTGCGGCGGTACTATCCGGGTCTGCCATGTTGTAGGCGAAATCTTCCTTGATATCATCGAGGGCATGCGAGACACGGTGCAAAAGCTTGGGCTTCTCAATGAAGGAAGCAGGACGTTGCTCGAGACCATAGACTTGAATTGGTGTAGAGTCTGTGGCCTCATCCATGGGAGTAGTGTAAAAACGAGGGTATTTTGGAGCCATGCGGGTACGGCGGGGGTGTTGAGAGCCCAAAGACAAAGTTGAGGTCGGTTGCGGATGTTGATAAGGAAGATGAGGATCGGAGGATGAGACACTCAAGGAGTAAGAGCTATTTGTGGCTGAAGATGCCCACATGGTTCTCTAAGATTCAATCTGAGAATTATGTGACGAGTGTATGAAGGAGAACAGGGGGGGAAAGGTTATGAGATTTAGTATAGAAGGGGGAAAAGGGAATGAGAAGAAGCTAAGAAAAAAAACGGGATAGAAGGGGAAAGAAACCAATAAAAAAAGGGAACTATGGAGAAAGCACTAAACAAATAGGAATAGAAATAGCGAGAAGAAAAGACAATTCACATTTAAAAAAAAACCTATGGATCTTAATTGGGAAAAAGACCAAAAGTGGATCAAAGACATTGAGCATTTTAGTTCCCAAGCTACGAGGCGCCGGTCCGTGTAACACATAGATGACTGTAATTTTATGTTTCATCTCTTTTTTAGATCCTTATATAGTCAGATGGATGCGAATCCTGTGGAGAGATTACGTAGATGGCATAATTGTGACAAAAAGAAATATACCTATAATAGAATATTATATGGAAGATCATAAGGGGGGGAATATCTGTTCTTTGTTCGGGGAAGACAAATCCGTCCTTTTTATTTTCTTTTCTACAGTTGTTTTTCTGGGCCTTTTTTTTCTTTCGCTTTTTGACTTATCCACTCATAGGTTAGTGCAAGCGGAGGACCCATATCAGATCATCCCATGTCCACAATTGTCTTGGAATCTGACACATCCCGGCTCTGGCGTAAGTAGCTTTCGGTGACGCGGCAGAGAGCCAAGCCTCCTCGGCGTTTAACTTCGATGGTACAAATGTACCAAGATCTGGTCTACTCAGAAAAAAAAGGCAAAAAATTGGGGAACCTTGGTGACAAGGTGTCGTACCGTGCTAGTTCCAAACTCCGAGCATAGTGCTAAAGCGTCGGGGAAAGCAGTGGACCATGGGTCATTGCACCAAGAAAAGCGGATCTGGGATCTTCTGCCGTGGAAATTTCATTGGATCGCGGAATCTCAGGGGGGAGAAATTCGCGCGGTACGAGTGTTGGAATGGTTGGTCGCTACGAAGTAATAATATGAAAGAGAGGTCCAAAATAGTGCTCATTTGGTACATGAGGAATTGACCAGCTGATAGTGTCTAAAATAGAGAAGGGGGGCACAAAAAAGGGTTCGGCGTCAAGGGTTGTTCTCCAGCGTTCGAAGATGCGAGTCCGAGGTGGGGGCCTATAATGGGGCCAATTAACAAACCACAGCGACACATCGGAAAACACACGAGGTCCGTGGAGGGGCTCTGAATCGTTGACCATTCATAAATGGTAATTTCAACTATCCACTATGCACTCCCCGCACAAAAGGATCATCCCCAATTCCATGGCAAAAAGACGAGGGGGTGTTCCTCCTTCGGACCTTCAATAGGAGGAAATGATTGTCGCCACCTGGGCACTAGGGGCGGAAACTCCTTCGGAAGAGATGTGACCGAAAAACAAAAAGTGGGAGCAATGGGAGAAATGAAATAGCCATGACATCGTTTCTCATTTCTTTGAAACTATTTACATAACAAAGCGTAAATTGACATCTGTGGATCTTCGTTAGTATCCCGTAGTCAAGGTTACACGGCAGATCTTGAACTTACCAAGAGGGTGGCTGCAGCTGAGTTGCGGCTTTTGGGTATATTTGCCGTCGAGTTCCGCCCGAATTGTATTTAACAACTGGAGATAAGATTGCTGGGGCCACTGCTGAAGTGATTTGATGAACGCCCAACTGAGGGCTCCACGAGCCTGTCCATCCTGGAAAGTATCCGCCCTGCAGGGAAAAAAAGGGGCGTTAGTTAAAATGAACTAATGTAAAATTAAGGGTTATCTTTCCCCGCACGTCACTTACGATGTCTGCGTATCTTTGGAGCCGGAAAACATAACCACATCGGCTGGTGACGTTTTCGTCTGGATGGTACGTTGACGCGCTTGGCCACCGTTGGCCGCCTTCTTGAAAAATCCAATAGCGGTGTTGGCCATGCTGGACAAATCTCCCTGGCCGTAGGAGCTGATGGCGCTGAAAAGATCTTGAGCGGCTTCCTTTGCGAGATTGGGTTCCTTAAGCACACCCTGAGTTGAGTAGATGTATGGCAGATCCAGCGCGGTTCCTGAGTGACAAGAGTCGAAAATGGCCGTCAATCGAACACCCGGTCGCAAGGGACGGACCATAATGTCGTGCATGTCATCGTCGACGATATGACCAGCAGTTTTGTAGTCGACAGGATAAATCACATCGTCGTATCCATCATCCTCGTCGCCGTCCAGGTCAGGGGTGCGACCACCGTGACCGGAGTAGTGAACAAACAATGAATCGTGAGGCTGAGCATCCTTGACGAGCCACTGCATGGCGCGGATAATATTTTGCTTGTTTGGGATGCTCATTGGGTTCTTTTGGTCATCAGTAAGAATGACCATGTCCTCACGGCGATACCCGAACTTGTCATGCAAGAAGCCAGACATGTTAGTTACATCGTTGATACAGCCGCGCAGTGCATTTTCTTGACCGAAATAGTTGATGCCAATCAGAAGAGCTTTACGGCGTCCTGTACAAGCCGAGTACTGGAAATGATAATTCGATGGGGCGCCCTGTCCAAAGTGCTGCATATTCTGAGGGGGCGTTGGTGGCACATTCGGAGAGGGAGCTCGTCCCGGTTCTAAGTGAATCCCGTCAGTACATGGTAACTATGTGGTTAACACTCCTACTAATAGTATATCGTAAAATCATACCATTGCGAGATGAGCTTAGATTATGCTGATGCGATGGATACTGTGGCGGATATTGTGGAGCCTGTCCATAGGGCTGAGAGACTGGTCTATAATTCTGCGGCGGCTGAGGACTCGGTGTCTGGTACGGTTGCGGCGGGGGTTGCGGCGAGGGTGCGTGAGATGAGTATGGCCTTGGTGGCTGAGGAGGTGGTCCTCCATACTGAGCATGAGGAGGGTACCCATGTGGCGGTGGGTGTCCATAGTAAGGTTGTCCCTGGTGGCCATATTGCTGGGGGCCCGGAGGAGGCGGACCGGACCAATGCCCATGAGGCGGTGGGTGATGGTGTCCTGCCCATGGCGGGGGACCAGGTGGTGGATAGTGAGGCATTATATGAGGGGCTGGATGAAGGTTCCAAGAGAGAAGCCACCTATGTACATATACGAAAGAAAGTGGGATTCTCGGAGGAAGTTTTTTATCACAAGTATCGGCTTAGCTGATTAGTGGGGCACGCAGATCCTCGGGTTAAAGAAGTTTGAAATCAACGGCAACTCTTGCCGGTGGATAAAGTATATAGAAGGGAGCGCATAAAATCAATCTAGGAGGCAAAAAAAGGCACAAACGGGAATGTACCACGGCTTCTTTTTATTTTTTTTTATTTTTTTTATTTATATACCATGGAAGGGGCCAGGAACATCAAGGAAGTTCGGGAAGTTCAGCCCTATGGGAATACTGCAGGCAACAATGTTTTTGCGGCCTCTCCGAGTCTTGGCATCTGGGCATGACATAGGGCAAATCAGGCAAAGCGTGCAAACAAAGCAAACTGGTCAAACAAAGTAAACAGATCAAACAGATCAAATTAAAACATGTGATCAAACTTTCTGTTCTGTCCACGTGAGCTCCGAACTCGGATGGAACAAAAATAGAGTATCACGTAAGCCTCGTATGCGCGGAGCCCGCGGAAAGACAAGTCGCAGTTCGCAGCCCGGAGTACGGGCTTCGGAGTACTCCGTACACGTCCAAGTTTGTTGCGCGGTGTGGACCTGTCAGAGCATATTCTTTTAAAATGAGATTCAAACGAGGCTACGTGCGCGATGCGGGGAAAATCCTCGTAACACCGCGTCATTCAAACTTGAATTTGGTCTAGAGGGGTCACAGCGTTGGATAAACCGGGAATCTCAGTTGAAATGGCAAGTATCACACGAACCATGGGGACCTCACATGGGCCTTGGAGAATCACTCCATATCATTCATATCATGTGTTTGGTGGAAAGAAGTCGGATGGCTGCAATTTCGAATAGGACGGACAGAGCCTCATGGGAACCCAACACCCCAGAGAGGGGAAGAAATGATAATCAAAAAAATAAAAACAAAAACAAAGAAACAAATAATAATAAAGCTAGATTATAGATTCCACATTCCTTGAGCCCCTTAGGTAGAGAAAATTTCTTTTTAGTCCAATCAAAAATGGGCCATGGCCGAAGTTGAGCCTCAATAACGCCTCAAAAGGGCCAGGTGCATTCGAAACAAACAATTATTTACTCTAACAGTAAGACTTCATCTAGAATTTACAGGGATTCTATTTGACCTCGCCAACTACTTCCAAGGTTATGTCTGAGCGTAATTGCGTGACTGCGGGAATCTTGCCGATCACTTATTCATTGTTTTTTTTTTCTCACCTGTGGACTTTGAGGCTCCAGAGCTCGGAGGTGTACTCAGCCGCGCCGAGTGTCTCCGCTCCCATTCTTTTTTTGATCTGAGCCTCATTAAGGACCAGAGTGAGGAGGCTCATAAAATCCTCACTGGCCCGGGAAAAATACCACTCCTTTCTTTCTCTCCCATTAACCATTAATTCATTCCCATCTGGGATTTTTAATTATTTCATTTCTCTTCGCTCCCTTGAACATGGATTGTTCTTCTTGATATCTTCTTTTCCCCGCTACAACTTTCTTCACATTAATTGACTCCACTTAGAGCCATGTCCGCAACCACTACGAACTTGGACTCTTTGCCCTTTGATATTTTTTACCAAATCGCTAAATCGCTGGACGACCGCGATTATATTAACTTAAGTCGAACCAACCGTGCTCTTCGTGACTTAACGAACAGTGATCTGGTCGCCAGAAAGACTGTTGAGGTAACTAGCGGGAATAACCCCCACACCCCCTCCCATCACTATTCCTGGGGGCCAAAGCTGACTCTGCATAGAACGCTCTCCTCTACAGTATAGAGGGGCAAAAGGCCTTGGCAAATCGGGCTGGCTACACTTATCGCAAGGCTGTTGGGCATCGGTTTGACATTCATGAGGCGGTCGCAACTGCAACTCCTTATTCTGTTTCAGTCCTAGCCTATGGGGCTGATTTTCTATACAATCAAGGATTTTTATGTTACCGAGCAGGCCACGATATTCGTTTGCTTAATGTCCATGCTGGAGGCAAACAAGAACGTGTCCTAAACTTACTCGACCTTCTTCGTCGCTTACATTCAGGCCCCGATGCAGTCGATCGGGTATCTTTGTTGCAATATGCAGATGGAATCCTTGTGTTCCGAGTTAAGGAATTCAATGAACAGGATGACATGCTACTGGCGATTGACATGTCTGTGCGTCCAACTAACTTAAAAAAGGGACGCCTGGTTCTTCAGAGGACTGTCCCTGCGTCAGCACCAATGTTTGTCCGGCACTCCCGCTCCTATCTTTGGTATGGTGTATTTACGGCCATGGGCGGCTCAGACGGAGTCTGGGCTATTCATGGAGCGGATATAACCTCCCCTGACACAAGGGATACTAGATTCACTCTTGACCGAATAGTAGATGGAGATCTTGGTCAGTCGCTTTGCTTCGAGATGTATAATGAGCATCTTTATGCAGTCTCTACCCAAGCTACCACCGGACAGGCCGAAGTATACTCTTCATTCTATCGCTGGTCCTGCTATGCGCCTCGTCGGGATGGCCGCCAACAGGATGGAACTATATGGCGTCGCGAGCATTGCGAAGGTCCTATTAATGAAATGTGGACTGATTTATCCATACGAATTGATGAGGTGACTGGGAATCCCGTTATCTTAGAGTGTCGCCGAGAATGGCCTGCGGGGAAGAGTGAAAATCATCGAACCTATTATACCCAGCCCCTCCCAATGCCAGAAGAAGTTTTTGGCATGGATGACGAAGGTAGCAGTGACTCGGACTGTCTACCTTTCGCACAAGAGGATGATCTGGATGAAGCCTTAACAAATACTCATCGTCCCGCCAATTCACACCGACCAGCAAAGCGGCTACGTCGTGACTATCATGCCGAATATGAGCCCTCTCACGACCATACCCTGCGACAAGAGTTTATCGCAGCACGAACGAAACACCGCACCTACAACCTCGCCGCATCAACATTTATTGACCTTGTTAATGATCCAGTGGCCGGCGGCGTCCGATCGCAAGACCGACTCCGACTTCGTACTGTCTCCCGAAAGCGCAAAAGCCCTATTGACGAAGAAGGGGATGACGGTCACCAAGGTCTAATTTTGGGTCCTACTCAATATAATGACGATGGAATACCTCTTGAAGGCTCAGAAGAGCGCTTTATGTCTCGTGGTGTCCACATGTGGCCACCCGAAGACTCTCCCACCGAACTCCATCGAATCCTTTGTCCAGATTCACGCATTAACAGTGTGCGCGTGATCTCAGATGAACGCTCAATTCTCTATTCTATACAATGCTCTGGTCTACCAGTTGATCACAAGGCAATAATCCTTATCAGTTTCGACCCAAAAATCCACTTCAAGACTTTACTCCCTTTGCGCACTACGAAGGCACCTTCTATTCCTGAGAAGATCTTCCCCGTTGAGGCTCCACAGCCGGAGCACTTGAATGGGTCGCTGCTCAGGGAGGCTAAGCCTCTTTATGAGGCTATCAATTGGGGCTATTGGCTGCGATGAAGAGTTGCATCGCAGGATTACCCTGCATATTCTAGGTAGTTTATTGAATACTTTACTCAAATATAACTGATATCGATTCTCAAGATTCACCTTTCTGAAGTGCCTATGCAGTTCTCTTTTCATATTGAAAATTATAACTTGAATTCAGCAAGATAATGCTCTACTATCAGTGGTCATCTGAAAGAACTGCCAGTGGCATCTTGAAAGGCTGATGTATCGTTTAGGGTTAACCTTGGAAGTGAATGATTAATGATGGATCCATTCACGTTCGATAATCCCTTATCGATATCGATATGAGAATTGTTTGCCTGGACCTCGTGACCTCGCTGTCGCTCGCTTAATAGGCGGGGATTGAAGTGTTTACTTCTCACTCCCTCGTTCCTAATTTTCTCACCACCGCGCTCTCACCACCGCACCCTCACTCCCCGTTCACGAAAACCACAATTTCTGAACGAAACAAAGATGTGTAAGTCTCAAAGCCTTCCAGTCACTACTCACACAAATATAAAACGCTTTGACGCGTTATTCAGAGTATTCTGAGACGAAAATGTCTGACGCGTTTCCTGAAACGGCTTTACTGACCCGTCACTAGTCGTCTACCACCGAGAGCCCGGTATGCCCTGCGACTTCGGGGGCGACGCCGAAAGATGGCTGAGTCGTATGTACATCTAAATATCCCCATCCATCTACTCCCTTCCAATATCAAAGCCATATTAACAATTATATAATTCTAGCCGACCGCGCCCGTCAACTCGGCTTGACTGAGTGGGGCAACCCCGTCACCACCACCTGGACCAGCGACTTTGCATGGGCCTTGTTGCAGGCTCGAGCTCACCGAAACGTGAACTGGAGAGTCCGCCGCCGGGCTCATGCAAGGTCGAACCCAAGGTGGTCCAACCCTAACCGGCCAGGGTACGCCGCATATGCCCAGCAGGCGGGAACTGATGCCCCGCCTGGCCAGGAGTGCACTCGGTGCGCCCGCGGCCGCGCTGCCTTTGGCACGTGTGCAGTGTTGGTCTTTGATGGCGATATTGCATACAACGGTAGTTGCATCGCCTGTGGATACGGCGATGTTGCAAACCAGTGTTCTCACCGTAAGTGATATGACTTCAGGCCATTCAGTGAGAGATGAATGAATGAAGCTAATCTCGTATAATAGGGAGCCAACTACCGCAATACGTCTATGATCTGGTGGCCGCTGAGAATCCAGATCATCCCATCCTGCAGCTGCCGGCAAATGCAGCCCTGGCGCGGACGACGGCCCAGCCCGCGAACCAGACAGTAATGGAGTATGATGCTCCCGGGTCCGATCCCTTTGTCGACCATTCCGAAGCCTTTGTCGACCAAGCTGAGCTCGAGTCTCTGTTGCTCTCGAGTGACAGTTCCTCTCTGAGCTCGCTTGGTGCGACCCCGAATTCGGCCGCCGATTCAGAAAGCTCCCAGAGAACGGCGCAGCAACCCCTCCTGGTCATAAGTGATGATAGTAGCTCTCTGAGCACTATTAGCACTCCGACCCCGAATTCGGGAGGTGAGGAAGAACCAACAGAGTTCTATTTCGGTCCATGGGGCTCCTTTTAGGCCTGCTCAAACCCTCCTCCCCTACCGACCCGTCACATCGGTATCTTGGTCCTGATGAACCGCAATACATCAACCTTTTCACCACCGACCTGTCACATCGGTTATCTTGGTCTTGATGAACCGAAACCATCACCGCTCACTGACCCGTCACATCAGTTTCTTGGTTGGGTGAACCGTAATCACCTAGCAGAGTCCTAATTGCCTCCAGTCTGCGTTACGCACACCGTTACCTTGAAGTTCATGACCGCCACCACAGCAACCAAGCTCTTGCCATCGAAATTCCACCTCCCTTGCTGTCACATCAGCCCTTGAATTTCATGTTCTAAAGCTTTCTTGCTCCTCACCATCATACTGGCCCTTGAACTCAGATCCATACCGTGAAGTTTCTCCCTCCTTACGATCACACCAGCCCTTGAACTTCATCATCTCAAAGAATTCAAGCTGTCGACCTCCAGACCCCGAAGTTCCTCCGTGTTTACCATCACATCGGCCTTGAACTTGCTGGATTAAAAACCATTATGCCCTGAGTTCTACTGAGTTCTACTGAGTTCTACGCCATCGGAGTTTCTTCTAAAGTCACATCGGTCTCTTACTTCACATCGGTCTTGAACTTCATTATCTCAAAGAATCCAACTGTCAACCTCCAGGCCCCAAAGTTCCTCTATCTTTACCTCCTCATTGGTCTTGAACTTTCTGGCTTCAAAACATTTACGCCCTGAGTTCTACGCCATCGGAATTTCCCCTAAAGTCGCATCGCATCGGTCTTGAACTTCATATCAGTCTCGAACCTCACATCGGTCTTGAACTTCACATCAGTCTCGAACCTCACTCGGTCTTGAACTTCAAATTGGTCTTGGCACTTCACATCTGCCCTTGAACTTCATCATCTCAAAGCATTCAAGCTCTCAGCCTCTAGGCCCCGAAGTTCCTTCGTCTTTACCACCCCATCAGCTTTGAGCCCGCTGGATTTAAAAGAAAATTGCGCCTGAGTTCTACGCCATCAGAATTTCTATTGATGTCGCATTGGTCCTTGAACTTGCGGATCTAAATCATTTACGCACTGCGGTCTGCACCATCGGACTTTCTACTAAAGTCACATCAGTCATGAACTCCAAGATCTCATACCGTTTAACTTTCGGGCTCTATCTTGTCGGAGTCATCCAGACTGTCACGTTGTCACATTGTCCTTACAATCCATCTCGAGCAATATGAGTCGATGAGCTCCATGTCGCGAATCCCATCTCTACCATCACATCGGTGCTTCGGGCTAGGATTCGGAGCCATCCAAAATACTCATTTTTGGATTCCATACAATCTTCAAATTTCTGACCGTGACACGAAAGGCCCAGACTAAAGAGAGGAGATCACCCTTTTCTGCTTCAATTGGCCATTTCTCTTTTTACGCTTTTTCACCGCGCTTTGATTATTTCTGTTCTTTCTTTTTGCTATCTTTATGATACCCATTTCCTTTTGTTATCTTTGTGATACCCATTTCTTTCATAGCTCATTATTTCAAGTTCTCACAAAGGTCCTTGTTCCCTGGTCTTTCTTCTGCCGGGCAGCAAGAGAGCTTGACACATTGCCAGCTTTGATTATGCATTGCATTTTTGCTTGACCTCTTCTTTGATTTTCGTGCCAGTTCTTGATATTCTTTGACTTCTTTTCGTCTTTTCGTAAAACTAATCACCCACCACATGTGCACTTAGTAGTCTAAATCTTCAGGTGAGTGCTATTAGGGTAGTAAGATAGAAGTACTCTCAGTAGGAATACTACTAGTAGTTCTGTAGGCCTGCCAGATGATCTTAGACTCAGCACTTGGGTGATAGTACCACATATCTTTCTGTTCGGATGAGTATATACACCCAGGCCCATCTTCATTCGTGATTGTTACAAGATAATTTGTTTCGATCACCTCCATGTGAATACTAGTAGAGTTTTGGATCCATATTGCCAAAAGTAAAACTCCTAAACATTTTTGAAACCACGCCAGAGACGAATTCCCCAGATCGCACTCCAAACCTCCATTTGAAAGAAAATGATTTTGGCCAATACGAGAGGTGAAGGGGAGGAAATATTTGAGCTTTGAGCCTGGAGAGAAACACTGGTAGAAACATTTGAACTTGAGAATAAAGCTCGGGCAATTAATACCTGATTGAGCGTTGGAAGGTCTTGAAGCTTTGGAAGTTGAATCATGATGCATCCGAACAAACATTGGAACTTGAAAATTTTAAACCTTTCCTCCAACACATAAAAACCAGTATTTAAAGCACTCTTAATCTCTCCCACTTCTCAAGCGCCTTGATATACCGAGACCGCTGCCTCTCAAGCCTTGCACGCATTCTCGCATCCGACTCGTCTTCACCAGCTATGGCATTCAACTCTTCATCATCTAATCTCGCGAAGGCCTTGACAGATACAGCGAGCATGGGACATCTTGGTCCCAGTATGTGTCGCTCCACAACCTGCATGGCCACATTATCAATGAAACGATACAGTGCAATCTCATAGTATGACTGCAGTCTAGCCCGCACAAAAAGCACTTGATTGAGAATCGTGGAGATGAATCGACTGTCATCGCCATGACTCTCGGAGCGACCCTTGACATCGTCATTTTCATTTTCGGCCTTGGGGACAGGCTTCTCTGCAGATTTCTTTTGAGACAACATCTTCTTTCCAAGAAGGATCTCTCCTCGATTCCGATCCGCAAGCACTGTGTCCGCCATCAATCGTGGATTGCGTGTTACCAGCGGTCTGGCTTGGTTGTCCTGTACAAGGTCAGAAAGAGCGATATCTGCATCTTTGTGCCACTCTTCTGTTGCCTTGATCATGATGCGAGTTAGCTCGAGTCGCACTTTGCTATTAGGAATGGCAATGCGGATCAAGACATCATAGCAGTTTTTAACAAGAGCTTTCACGTCTTCGACAAATCGCCGCGCAATCTCCTCCCAATGAACAGACAGCTTGCGGAAGATCTTCTCCTCTACATCCGGGTGTATGGTGCCAGGGAGACTGCGTCCTTCGCTGATTTTAGCCTCTCTGTAAATCTCACCATAGAGACCAGAATCACGTTTGACCATCTTATCCCAAACCCTCGGGTCTTCGCTCTGAGAAATGAGTGCATTGAGGTCGCTTTCATAGTCCGAGAACGGGAACGGCATATTTTCCCTATCCCTCATTTCATCGTAGAATTGATCCACGCGGCGCTGTACTTCATATCGAAGCATGATTCTTGGATCTTTGGAGGGCACATCTAGGTACTGACCCCGAAGTGTTGCCTCTGCCATCCGCTGCATCTCATTGCAAAATTGAAACACAAAGTATCTTTGCGATTTTGCATCGTCGCGAGCTTCACCCATTCGGCTCAGATCTGCTTCACACTCCTTGAGCTTGTCCCGGATCTCAGATACGATGTGTGGGATACCAGACTGGATCTGCGATCGACGTTCTTTGTCCACATATTTGACCAGTGCATTGATACCTGTGCGGTCCTTCACGACGTCTTGCCAGTCCTTCTTCTTGAACTCGTCACGTTCACGTTCATCTCGCTCGGCATCGGTGAGGTGGGCTTCGTTGGGGACTCGGCTTCGCAATCCGAACCATCCGTGGTCGAAGTGGGGAACGGTGGACAGGTCGTTCTGAAGAAGTTTGACCATCTGATAAAATTAGCATATTTTAATGGAGTGTAACCGAGATAGGTACCTACCCATTCATCGGACCCTTCTTGTTTACGATCACATTTATTCAGAACACCAATGCATCGCTTTTCCAGGCCTGGAATCTCTTCCATCAACTCGAAGATGCGGAGACGCTCCACATCCACATCATCAATGACGACTCTGCTTTGATATTAGCATGGACCTAATAGAAGTTGTGATGTCCGGTCGCTTACAAGACAATGTTCCGTTCGTTGGCTAAATATCCACGAGCCAGCTCTGATGCGACAGCTGCATTCATCTGCATTGACTTATAATCCAGCACTTCGCCTTTCGTGCCGTTTACTACAGGCTCCGTTTTCTTCTTGTCACCTCGAATAAGACCGGGAAGATCGATAATAGTCCAATGCATCTCATCTGGACCCGACCGCTCAATGCGAAGCGTCGCGTCACTCAAGCTTACCCTCTTCCCAGGCTGATGCTCGCCAAATATACATTCTGTAGCCTGAAATGCCCAGAGGTGAGAGTATATCCAACCATTTTGGGTGCCGAACATACCTTCTCAATAATCTCTTTAATGACATCAGGGGTCAGCTCCTCCTTCTCAACTGCGAATTCCTTGATCCGAGCTAGCAATTCCCCATCATTCTCGCATTGTTTACCTGGCACAACAGTAGCCTTGACAGGAAATTTCTTCGCAGTAGAGCTCTGACGAAAGGAAATCTGAATAGGAAACCGTGTGCAAGTCCCGTCCTTTACTGGAAAAGAGACCTCAGTGATAGCTTGGAGCACTGAGCTCTTGCCCGCACTTTGGTCACCTACCACGACAAGCTTGTATAATCAGTAATAGTATCAAAGTGATGTGAATAGCTTATCCAGACTTACTTCAGGTAGATTGATAGAGTTACTCAGTCCGAGCGCCTGTAGCTCATCAATGAAAGCCAATTGCTCTGAGCTTTCGACTCCATCGAAATGGCGCGGTCTTCCCATATTGAAACTAAATTTGCAACTAAATTGGAATTGAAATTGGAATATCTAGACCCCAATCTCCTCGCGGTACATTATCTCTCTTATAGCATTCTCCGCTAGACTAAGAAACAATTCCATGGATTCCGAGTCCGCAGCGAGTCCGCAGTCAACCCTGAATCAATCACTGCATTTACATTAACCGAGGAACTGTCTAGCTACAGCTCGCTGTGCCAGACATGCATTAGTTCCCACTGAAACCGCTCGTGGCGCTAATCCCAGTAATTTCCTTGGGTAATAATTGGTGCATCGGGCACTAGCATTGATTTCAGGCGTTTAGCGTCGAACTACAAGTGGTTCGCCTCTTACGAATACTGTGGGTCTCTGTACACAGGTTCACCTTGGTGGAGTAACTTGAAGTGATCATGTCTCAGCGAGTCTCAGCACACCTGGTGCGGTCAAGTGATGTTCTCACAGTCTCAATTGGTTGAAATGATTGAACGCTTTATTTAGCTGTTTCATGTTATCAAGATTCTGGGCTCATCGCAGGGCCAACAATATCAATATGTCCAATTGTCTATCGCGCAACAATTATGGACGGATATTTGATCCAAAGCCACAGGATCGGGGCTAATTTTAGCCGATTGTCGGCAATATTGAGGATTCAGATATAACTGAAGATAGATAGGCGTGGTTTTAACAGCTCTGGACGGGCTTAGATCAAGGCAAGTCGTCATGATATGCCTACACTGGTAGTACACAGTAACTTTGGAAGAGATTAAAGCTGCTACTCAGGCATAGGATTGGCGCAAAATCCCCTTCCCAAATTCTTGTGACGGATATTCTGAGCTCAGATTCCAGTTATTTGTGCTTGCATTAACCCGGGTGACTATCCCTAATGCTAGACCAGGAGCCATCTTAGGCGGCTTAGGCCCCCACAGGAGTGGGGTTAGTGGGGAGGGACAGTCTCCAGATGTCAGATAAGGAAGTGATTCTCCCTCCTAATCTCCGTCGTGGCTTGATCAATTTTGCTTAGTTCAAATCAGAGAGAACTAGTCGACTTTAGCTAAACGGAATATTGGAGCAACACACAGGAAATGGCTTCCGGAATAGAGGCACTCAAAGGCCAGTCTGCAATCGTGACCGGCGGTGGATCCGGGATCAACCTTGCTTTTACAAAGCTTCTTGTTGATGTTGGCGTTAATTTTCTCATCGCCGACCTTTCCCTACACTCTTCTGCGCAGACTTGGATCAAATTGCATGAAACAACAAATGGAAGTCACGGCCGGGCAGTCTTAAGATTGATGTGAGGGTCTGGTCTTGGCTTGAGAGAACATTTGATGAATGCCTCGTTCAGTTTGGTAAGGGTGCATCTATTGTGGTACCAGGGGCGGGAGTATTCGACCATTCGACGAATTCATTCTGGGAGGATTATGATACAGATTACCGGTACAAAATACTTGATGTTAACCTTGCGCATACGATCAAAATGACTCGGTTGGCTATTGCCCGCTGGCTGGATGATCGAAAGAGAAACGGGGCATCGAGCGGTATCTGCGGTACTGTTGTTCATATCTCTAGTATTTCAGGACAAGTTCCGAGTCTCGCAACGCCCTTGTACGTGGCGAGCAAGCATGGGATCAATGGATTTGTCCGCTCTATGGGTCCTCTGCAGCAGGCATGTGGAATCAGAGTTGTTGGTGTTGCTCCTGGGTCAGTATACATATGATAGTAACTCATGATTGAAGCTGATGGTATGTTATTAGGCTGACTGAGACACCTCTGCTGGTTGATCACCCTCTAACTTTCAGTATTTACGACCCTCGGACAGACATGATCCTCCCTCCCGAAGAACTGGCTCGCGCAATGATGGCGCTTGTTGTTGAGACCGAGAAGTATCAAGCTGGTACCATTCTAGAAGTTTGTGATACTGAGGGACGTTGGTGTGAGGTTTCAGTTTTTAATGACCCTGGTCCCCAAGGTCCAGCGAGTAAAATGTCTGGTGGAAAAGCTGTGATAGATGATCTTTGGAAGTCTTTGGGTCTTAAAGCAAAGATCTAATTTTTCAGACTTGGAAGATTGAGTCTAGTGGGGAAAGTTTAGCTTGTGCTTTGACTCCGGGCTCTACCACCTACACACATCCAATCACTACTACCTAGTATGAGCTTAAGAATCAAAAGAATCACAGAGAATAATGTCCATGCACCTTATGGAAGTTTACAGCCACTCAGACCGTGCGAACGTTATTTCTGAATTTAAGTGGCTGCAGCGGTTGCTCAAGATGGTAAGTGGCGTTGTAGTTCTACTTGGCTGACGATCTCCCCATTTCATACAGTCTTTAATGTCCAGCTGACTGCAGATCAGAGATACGGCTTAGTTATGTCCCCTCATGAGGATCTCTAATTTGAAGATTGACATTCTCCTCGCAAAGAAACATTTACTCTTCTCTCAACGCATTTCTACTTGCTATTCTGGTTGTTCAGTCGAACTGCTCCAGTCACACTGCACGCTCATATCCACTCCACTCCATTAATATCTACCAGTACTATCTTCACCTCGTCATGTCGGATGACGGACTATCTCCGGCCACAGATGCGCGCTCGGCAGATATAGTCGAGGCACATGGACCTATTCCAGTTCCAGCAAATATATACCCTCATGAAAAGATGGATCGAACCCCACCTAGTTCGAAGGAACGGGACTTCATCGACCGACCTTCACGACGACCCAGTTTTCTTGAGAATCTAGCAGATTCACGGGAATCGCAGTTTCATCGACCAGTCAGGAGTGAGCTCCCGCAATATTTTGTAATGAATCCTGGAACTAGCCGGTAGATGTGGTTGATGACTGACGTGTTTCGGTATACAACTAGCACGGACCCCGCAACATGACTCAACATTCAAAATGGCCAATCGTCATGCGAATCCAAGGGAGTATTATGCCACAGATGATCATCCCGCTATTGGTTGTAGGAAGTTGGGCTACTCTCATTACCTGCATTTCGCATTTCTGGCATAGTCGTGAGTCTTCAGCTGATGAATCGTCCGATCTCATATTTATTGATCTCTTCCTCGACTGTTCTAGTTGGAATCAATAACATTCTGCTCACGGTGCTGGGATTCGTCGTGGCTTTTTCATTGTCGTTCCGTGGATCAACCGCATACGAAAGGTGATGCCCTCGCAGCTCAAAACATCTGAGAGATGATTATTATTCGACTGACATACCACAGATGGGCCGATGGACGCAAGTACTGGGCATCACTTATTCAAACTTCACGCAATCTAGCTCGGTTGATATGGGTACATTTCGGTGAGCGAGAAGGAGAAGACGGGAAGGTTGATCTCTTGAGAAAACTGTAGGTTTAATGTGCCAAGAGGAAAACTGCTGGATAATCACCATGAATAGATCTGCGATGAATCTTATTCTCGCGTTTGCCGTCTCTCTGAAACATAAGCTCCGCTTTGAACCCGATGTCGCGTACGAGGACCTCGCAGGCCTACTGGGCCATCTCGATACTTTTGCCCTCGATGCCCATGACCATGATGTTGTAACTCCGCATGCGAGAACAATGTGGAAGTCTTTAGGCGAGGATCTGGGCTTTTCATTTGCTCGGTCAAATCCACGCAAGCTTGTTAAGCGAGCCAAGAAGCCGTTAGGACATCTTCCACTTGAGATTCTCGTTCATCTCTCTTCCTATGTTGATGCATGTGTAAAGAATAACACGCTGTCGTTGGCTCAATTTCAAGGACAATCGAGTAAGTTGAGAACTCGATTTCATTCCAAGTTCTCTGGAGACTGACTGCGTCATGTAGTGACATTATTAAATACACTCAATGAGATATTGACTGGAACAGAGCGGGTGCTGGACACTCCTTTACCTGCTGCGTATAGTATCGCCATTTCTCAAATAGCTTGGATCTATGTTATGCTACTGCCCTTCCAACTGTACCGATTCTTACATTGGATTACCATTCCAGCCTCTATGGGTAAGCCTTTCATTTTCTGCTATCCAGGAGAGTGTTCGTTGACCGTATTACCCAGTTGCCACATATATCATTATCGGACTACTCACAATTGGTAGCGAGATTGAGAATCCATTCGGGCAAGATGTGAATGATCTTCCTCTTACAACGTACTGTCGCCAGATTGCACAAGAGCTCGATATCATCACAGCTACACCTCCTCCAGATGTAGAGGACTTCATGACACGAGCTGACAATCTTGTTCTGTTTCCATTGAGTCAAGAGGGGTATCCTGCATGGATAGACAAGAGCAAGGGGAAGATTCGTTCTGCTCTTCAGGCGAAGTTTGTTGCGAATCCAGGGCGTAATCCTGCGCTGGATGGAACAAATGCCTCGACTCGAACGATGAGTTTCTCAACGAGAAGGACTCAGGAATCCGTCTGAGTATAGTTAGACAGCAATGTGATATACCAACTCGGTGTGGAAGCAGCCTGCATGAGCGTGGTTCAGAGGCCATAAGACATGACCGATTCCAACCGATGTTATAGCCTGATTAGTTTGAAGGTCGCTATCATCTTTTGACTAGGAGAAATTATACAGACCATTTTAATACTGCGATAAATTGATTTCATTGATCACTCTCGAGATGCTTGGAATTCCAGGCATAAACCGGTATGCAAGGGTGCAAGGACCAGGCACATCACATCCAAACCACTGTGCTCGCAGTTCCTTCCTCTCCTCAATTATTGTCCTCACACATACCATTACTATCCATGTATGTTTTTCCTTCTTATTCTATAGTTCAGCCTCTCATTAAACGATCCATGGCTCCAAAAATTGTTGAGGCAATAGATCGCCCTTATGGTGATTACGTGATGTCGCGACGCCAAAAAAATCTGCCGCCAAACACGCAAACCTTGATTCTTCCAACTCCCACAAAGCCGAATCATCGCTGCAATCATGTCCCTCAATGCTCCTGCTATTCCTGATGCAGGCCAGATTGCTCAAGAGCCTCGCAATGACGAAAACCGCAGTGTCGTAGCTGAAAATGAAGATGATCGTGAGCTACTGAAACTCGGTTATCGTGCAGTCCTGGCCCGAGGATGGGGCAGCTTCGACAACTTCGCGTGTTCCTTCTCGGCTCTGTACTGCATAGGAGGCATTCGGGTGTTGTTTTATATTGCTATCAGTGCAGGTGGCCCTGCTGCTATGTAAGTGCTTCGGAATCCCGACTCGGCGTCACGAAGTGACTTGCTGACAATCATTGTTATAGGTGGAGCTCTTGGGTATCCGGTAGCATTCTCTCGATCATCACCGCTGCTTGTCTCGCCGAAGCTTGTTCCAGCTATCCCGCCGCGGGCTCGATCTACTACTGGGCATTCCGATCGTGGGGTGGGGGACGTATCGGGCGCTTCGTCTCGTTCATGGTGGCGGCATGGACACTGGTTGCTTGGACTGCTTTTCTGGCCTCTGATTCCTTTGGAGTGGCGAATTACCTCGTGTCGGAGATAGTGGTGTTCAATCCGGATACAAGCTTTCCCTACAGCACCTCTGATGTGCGTGCACGAGCCATTGCCTGGGCATTCTCACTGGTCTTCTTGGGAATTGCAACGTCTCTGAACTTCCTCCCATCGCGAATGTATTCCTGGGTTTTCCGTGCGGGTGTCATCGTCATCATCATTGATATGTTGCTCAACTTCATCTGGCTTCCGATTGGCGTTTCACAGACCTATGGTTTCCAATCTGCCGAGTTCGTGTTCACCTCAACCTACAACGGTGGAGATGTTACGCCTAGTCTGAACTGGGCTCTATCTTGGTATCTGACTGCCAGCTGTTTGGTCGGTGAGGATGCGTCGGGCCATGTTGCAGAGGAGACCGTTTCTGCTAAGAAGGCCGCCGCGAAGGGTGTCTTCTGGGCGACTGTCGCCTCGGCTGTATGTGGTCTTCCGATCATCATCTTGTTCCTCTTCTGCATGCCGTCCATCGATGTCTTCTATGATACCAGTGCTCCCCAGCCATTCATCAATATGTACGCGCTGGCCCTGGGTCCGCGAGCCCACGTGGTCATGACGATCATCTCTATGATCGGTGCCATCCTCAATACCTCGATCTCGCTGGTGGCTGCGTCCCGTCTGGTTTTCGCTGTCGCGCGCGATGGTATCTTCCCCTTCAGCCACGTTCTAGCTCGTGTCTCAAAGTCGAAGCAGCCTCACAACGCAGTGATCTTCATCTCGACTATTGCTGCACTATTGTTGTGCACCCAGCTCGCATCTCAGGTCGCCTTTTCCAGTCTGATCTCCACTTCGGCCGCGGGATCGATTGCAGCTTATGGTCTTGTTGGCCTCGGTCGCACTTTCGTCACTCGCAAGTCCTTCCAGCCAGGCGTCTGGAATTTGGGAAAATTCGGCGTGGTCGCAGCTGTCATCACGTTCATGTGGAATGGTTTTGCTTTTTCGATTCTCTGTGCTCCAGAGTATGCAAACAGCGAGATCGACAAGGATTCCAGTCTTTTCAATTACGCGATTGTGATTATGGGCGGTGTCACCGTTCTTGGACTAGCCGAGTGGTGGCGCAAGTCCCAGAACGATTGGTTCCAGCATCTTGAGACTTCTGAGTCGTCCTCGCAAAGCGATGGCTCGATCAAGCGGGAATCAAAAGGCCCTATCTCATCTGAACCGATGGCGGTTTGAATTTTGAAAATGAGGAAGCTGGGAAGAGATCACGACGATCAAAATCGATGGATAAAATGGACCGCTTAGCGGCCTTGTGGTGGAAAAGATGGTAAGTATGCCCTCTGGGGCAGTGAAGCACGCATGGCGGGTGTTCGAGACTTTGCTTAGCGAAGTCTCGTTCTGAGACATTACCGTTAGAACTTGATCTGGACAATACCAGCGAAAGGACATGCATGCTTGACTTCTTCTACTCTCTTTGGTGTCTCGGTCTCCAGGCTATGTCTGGGACAGATGCTACTAACTTTCCTGTGTAGATACGGCTTGCTGCTGCGGGTGCTGCTCGGTTACTCTGGGCATGGGTCTTCTGGGACCTACGGTCTGGCAATTCGCGCCATGCTCTACGTGTCTATCAAGGCTACAGGAGCATAAGGCGGAGCCATTGGCTATGATGCCATCCATACCATCCTGATGGAGGTATGAGTTAGCGACATGACGGATTGCCTGACACCGTTGGCTTCCCTATCTCTCGCGCCCAGGACGACCCCTGCTCGGAGACTGGACTCGACCTTAGCAGACAGCAAGCTATAGTCTGTAGTTTGTATTATTATAGATTCTACGTAGATGGCATCTGGGACTGATTGCCCAAGTAAATTCGTTTCCCAGTTGCGTAGCAATGACCCGAAAGCGATGAATACGCCAACAGATGGAAACTATTTATCCTCCTCATAGGAGAAAGGGACTCGTCCATATTGCTGTAGTTCATGGTCGCGATTCACCTGTTCCCCACGCGATCAATGCCCAGGTACTTTTAGTGAACCGTAAGAACGACCTACCCGTGGCTAGACCACTCCCGATTTGCCATATCAACCTTCTGTATCCGAACACTAGGTACAGAAAGAGCTTGGAATCTTGTGGAATAAATGCGATCAATATTGAATACATTCTTATTTTCAAGCTTAAATTAGGACGACAGCATTGCATTTTCTCTCAAAATGAATCGGTCGAGATTCAAATCCACTGACGTCACATGGAATGATCACTGCCAAACCCGTCGATGCCTCCGCACTGAGGGGTTGAACGTGGTCTGTAACCCAAGAACTGGTTAACTCATAGAACATTTTCCGAGCTCTCATTCCGGTCATAATTAGTGTTGTTACTGTCACCCACGGCGTGATCGAAAAAATGGCATTCGCGCGTAGGCTAGCCATTCTACCCGGAGGTCTAGGTAGGGATAACTACTGAGCTCTACCCAAAGCATGAATTGACACTAATTATCTTCAATAGGAGGAATTGGAACATGTATAGGACAGAAGCTACGACAACAAGGAGCTCGTCTAGCAATCCTATATGCTCCATTCGAAGCCTCACGCCGAGACCAACTACTCGAAACAGGTTACGGCCATGGTAGTAGTAAAGACCTCGATGACATCCGCGCTTATGAATGTGATATCACCTCTCCAGAATCCGTTCAATCCGTATTCGACGCTCTCCAAAAAAATACAGTAACGCCGACTTCGTCATCTCTCGCCGAGTGGGCGTTCCCAAGTATCCTGATCAATACAGCCGGATATGTATCTCTAAGTGATATGGAGATCACACCTCCAGAGGAAACAATCAAACATCTCACAACTAATATCTTCGGACCGATGCTTTGTTCCCAAGCATTTGCGCGACTTTATTTCGCTGCTTCGAAGCTTGCGGAATCCTCGACCAGCCCGCCTCCGCCTGGTAGGATCGTGAATATTTCTTCGCAAGCTGCGCATGCGGCTCTGCACCGACATGGTGCGTACTGTGCCTCGAAGGCTGGGTTGCTGGGTTTGACGAGGAGTATGGCGTCTGAGTGGGCAGGTCGGGGGATTACGTCGAATTCTGTGTCTCCGACTGTTGCGTGGACGGCGTTGGGGAAGAAGGCGTGGGGTGAGCAGTCGGTTAGAGAGGCTTTTCTGAAGACTATTCCTACTGGCAAGTTTGCGTTGCCGGAGGAAGTTGCGGATGCTGTGCTTTTCCTTTGTCAGGATTCCAGTGGGATGATTAATGGCGCGGATATTCGGGTTGATGGGGGGGTTCACTGTTCGATAATCGTGAGATTGTGTCAGAGTGATCAATGACATTTCTTGGTGGTATCTTCTCAATCAGTTCTACTTAACGGTATAGCGAAAACTGTGTGTCATAGGCAAACTGGATCAGGGAATTTTTTAATGGCATATGGACTAGATGCTAGTACTCTCTTCGATTTGTATGAATCCGCAAAGTGCTCGCATGTCTAGCTATTCGGGACACCAAATCATACCAGAATGACGAAATATTCCAAAGCCACTATTATCAGCTGCATATTTCCCTAGATCTATGTTGACATGTCTCGTTTCCACAAATCCAATCGAGGTAAAGAAAGGGATAGAAGGCGCCTCAGCGCAGACCTTAAGCGGAATTCCCCAAGCTTTGGCCCGATCAAATCCAAGCTGGACTAATCTGGAACCAATTCCCTTTCTCTGTGCAGTCGGCTTGACGCACATGTATGTGATTTCTATGCGAGTTAGTATTGTAGGCTAATTGATGAAGATTCGAGTTCAACTCCAAGGCTTACCGAAGCGGTCCATTTCCTCAGTCTCCTTTCCGATCTCGTTTACGGCGTTATTGATCTCAGCGAGAAGAGGTGAATTCGGCCCTTCCGAAATAGGTGATTTAGTTGAATCTATTTTCTGATCTGATGGATTTCCTGATTTCTGTGACTGGGCAGTTATGACGATATATTCGACTATCTCTTAGGTAATATTGTCGATTGCCTTGAAGCATTCCGATGAGATATGATGATACCCCAAATGAACTGCTCTGGAATATTGAGCACTCTGGAGTTCCTCATTTGGCCAGTTTAGATATAGAAGACGGTTGATACTCAGTGCGAGTTTGGCAGAGTGGATGAATTTCCCAAGAAATGGAAGGTCATCCTTCTCCACACGCTCGATCCTGTAGTTCATCGTGATGCCAGAAGTGAAGATTTGAAGCTTGGAAGCTGATAAATTAGTCCCGGGTGCCCAGGTGAGAACTGGAGGCTGGGTCTGCTGGTGTTAAATCATGCCGTCAATATTAGACATCTTTATTTTTGAAATTATTTATCAATAAACATTTGGAGCTAGTTCTATATATTCAGGCAACGAATATACTACCCATTAGGCTACCAAATACCTTGAACTCAATCCAGGTGAGTCCTAGCCGTGAATTCAGATGGATGTGATACAGCTCGAAGCATACGTAGGTACATCACAGTTTATGAGTATACATATGCCAGTGTATCCATGTGGTGGCCTAGTAGTAGGTTTTGGTTGACCTTTGAACTGAGCACTGTTTCCGATAGGCACCTGGCAGTAAGCCGGGACTGAGTTGATCCACTTATTTAAATAAAACACAGCCTATGTCCAGGTGTACTAGTTGAAAACTTGGAAGATTTGAAGGAATGGATATTACCTGTGCAGTCCCCAAATATTTCATTCAAGCGCTGCCTATTCTGAAGATGCTCAAGATGTAATATGTCTTCTTTCATGTAGATGGTGGTGATTCCTGAAGAAATTCGAAAACCTGACAGCTCCGAGTCGAAGGAATCATTGGATCGTCGGGTAATTTCGGTAGGTATCTTGATACTTCCGCCCCAGTATGTCATGGTAAATTCAAGTTCTTTCGCGATCCTCAGAAACATGTTTTGTTGTTGCACTGGATTCCAAATTTTTGTTGAAGCGACTTTCCCGTGAACGGACAATAGCTTTCCCACATGTCCAAGGTGTAGTCCAAAATAGCTGCCGCTAGCCCCATACCATGAGAGTATCTCTTCTCTGTGATCAAGTGCCGCAGATAAAATTCGCTCAGCTGCCTGCCAGTCGGAGCTCTCGACTTTATTTGTTCAAATACGAGATTTGAAACGGGGGCCAGAAAATTGAATAACTCGTCAAGTGGAGTGTCATTCTCGGAAGGTTGGCCAGCTTGAGCTACATATTTCATGTCATCTGCTAACGGCAAACACATCTGGAAGGGAATATTAACAGTCAGTATTGAATTTACACAGTTAGGGAACGGATCCAGTGACGAACGATTGAAAGCCTTCGTTGGTCACGAGTCAGTAGTTTCATGACAGGCGTTGAGGCTTGAGCATCGGTAAGCTTCTTGATACAGATATTTGTCCCATTCACATGTGCGACAAAGGCTCCCATGCCATATGGTGAATACAAAACCTGAATGATGTATTAGCCTCCCAACAAAAAAGCAAGTAGGAAGGAATTTAGTGGTATCTACCTCTAGCATCTGGAATATGACAGTAGCAAGGATGATCTCATCGCTTAGATCATTGCGTTGGATCATATGCAACAAGTGTCGAGTAGATGAATTGTACCACCATATCCCTTGCTCAACCATGATTTTATCATGATTCAACTTCCCGATACAAAGCAATGAGATTGCAATAATAGCCCTCTCTAGCATTTGAGACTTGTTAGGGATTTGCTGAATATGAGTGAAAATCTGATACCAAGTATCTTTTCCAAACCACATATCAATTCCGGATATCTGTGGAGTGTCCATAGGAAACCAGAGGTTGATATAGGTTGAAGATATCTGTACGCATTTCGCCGGGCCAGGGTTGATTTCTTCGGGTTCATTAGAGTCACAGCTCGCTTGGAGGCAAGGTTTCTTGACATCTTTTTTGGTTTTCCTGGTTGAAGGATTTGGATAAAAGGTCTTGCTTCATACCCTGGGCAATGTATACCTCTTCTGACGCATCTTCCACATTGAGGTTCTTGTAAGTCACACTGATACGGTGATTAGTGGGGTGATTCTCATGAGATAGAATGATGGTATCGACCTTGACTTTACTTGTTTTGCAGTTTTTGCATGCTTTTGAGGACCAAGGAATACCGCCCATAATGTGTGAGTGGTTGAGGTGTAGATGAACTCTTTAGTAGACCTAGGCAAAAATTAATTTCCCGCGAGGTGAGTGATCAAGAAGTGCTGCCAGTGTTTATTAAGGCTATTTAATTCCAAGAAGGCGGTTAGCATCAAAAAGCAGTAGGCAAAAACTCTCAGTTCCAAAGTTGCTTTCGTTACTTATTATTAGTAGCATTAGGATCCTGACATCGAAATGCTGGTGTCCACGCACGCACAGGTGCATATCATGATGTGACTGGTCTGTTTAGTCCAAGTCCGAGCCAGGAACTGTCCCTCAAACTAGTTCACCGCGGCCCAGTTTACATCTACAGACATACAGTATGGGGCTGTTAGACCCCATTACATCCCCTCAAGCTGGGGATCGGCGTTGGCTCCTAGTTAGCCCCACTCTACCGTGACGTATTTAGCATCAATATTTCCTAATTGGGTTTAGTAGTGTCGGAATCTCCATCGCCTACGTATTTCTATCAGCCCCCGGGGTTACTATTCATATCGGCCCCCGGGGTGAATATATCGGCTAGTGGGGCTCAATAGGTTATCTGGTATATCGTCATTACTGAACCCGACTAGGAAATATTGATGCGGCGTATTTATACACATGTAAACAGTATGAGGCACTTAGACTCTAACGCTAGTAAGGATCAGTAGTAGTTACTGTAGAACACGTAGTCACGGACATTTTGCTCTTTATGTTTTAGCTTTCTGCCAGGTTCAAGGGTTGAGAACTTCCCCTCCTCACATTTTCCCACACACTCAGTTTTTGCGTACTCGGTTCGAACAAAGAAAACCTCGGAAAATCTCGGAAAATCAGATACCTAGGAGGTATACGTATATTCCGGTCGGTCGACTCGAAAAGTCCGACTCTTTTAGCCTATAAGTCCGCACGGTTCTTTTTAATTGAAAAGAATCTATCCCTTCATCCCATCGGGTCAAGTGATCTTCGTTTCCTTCGTCCTATAGAAATGGCCCCAAAAGTTCACGCCTCCGTTAAACTTACAACCTTGTCAGCCTTCGCTTGGTTTGGATCGCGTCTTTTTGGGTTCAGATTGGAGTCACTATTGTCACTAGCAACGTGGCTATGTGCTGTGTGTATTCTATATTGCATTCTGGATCTGGCTTGGAGAACCTACGGCCGACCATATTTCAGTCCCTTTAAAGACCTACCAGGGCCCAAGGTGTGTGACCCAGAGGGTTGACGAATCAAACCAAATTCTTATGCACCACACAGAGCGAGAGCTTCTTCTTCCAGAACTCATCTGCTATCTTCGACGAGCCACTGGGAAATCGCATTACTCACTGGGTGAACACTATTCCAAACGACGGCTTGCTTCATTTTTTTGGGTTATTTGGATCCGAATACCTCGTACCTACCAGCATCGAAAGTCTCTCAGACGTACTCACCAATCGCTCCTACCAGTTTCAGAAGACTAGTGGGTTCCGTCGATACGGCATACGTTTCTTCGGTGATGGCATTGTTGTCCAAGAATCCGATAAGCACAAGCAGAGCAGGAAGTCATTTCTTCAAGCTTTCAACCAGCGACAAGTTGATAGGCTAAAACCAGTCCTATCTTCCAAGGCATCTCAGATTGTACAGTATGTTTGGGAAAAGTGCACACTATATGAGAATGGCGAAAAGAACTTGAAGGCTGCAAATGTCAAGGTTGGCGAGTTTTCTAGATTGATATCTCTAGACGTTATGGGTATTATCGCCCTTGGTCATGATTTCCATGGGATTTCCGGTCAGAGTCAGCAGATTTTCGAGATTTTCCAGGCTTTGTTCTCTTCAAGCGATCAAAAGAGATCTCACTTTATGTGGCATAACTGTGCTCCACCTTGGCTCATTAACATGTTTCCATCAAAGACCGATTCTCAAATGGAGCGGGCATATGAACAACTCCGAAAATATCTTGAGCAATTGATTCCTGAGAAGCTCGCTTCACTCAACTCAACAATAATGACGGATCAAGACATTCCGACCCCTCAAATAGCCTGCTCAGGTGACTTCACAGAAGGCGAGGTTATTCCTCAAACTATTACTACTTTATCCGCTGGGTGGGTTAACTTCTAAGATTATGCTGATATAATCTGCTAACTTTGACATATACAGATTTGAAAGTACCGCAAGCATCTTATCATGGACCTTATATTGTCTAGCAGCCTATCCAGAAATCCAAGACTCTTTGAGAAAGGAGTTACACATCGCCAAGTCTTCATCAAATAATACCGCGCTCATGGAGACTGACTACGAAAGTCTACCGCTACTCAACGCAGTCTGCTATGAGACCTCTCGGCTATACCCAACATTTGCTATGACAATGCGTAAGGCTGTCTCTGATACCTATATCAACGGCCGTCTTGTTCAGGCTGGCACCTACATTGCTCTTGTACCACGGGCCATCAATCGAGCGAAGCATCTATGGGGCGCCGATGCAGAGCAGTTTTTACCGGAAAGATGGATAGATCGATCCAATCCCTTGATGCCAAAGATCAACCAGTTAGGAGGTGCTTCATCGCCAATGTGCATGCTATCGTTTTTATATGGATCTAGGAGCTGCGTGGGACGCAGTCTGGCTTTGGCAGAGATACGAAGAGTTACGGCACGCTTAGTCGAAACCTTTGATATTCAAAAATCCAGTTCAGCCGAACCAATACCAGTTGGTTGGCTATCTTCAGGTCCACCCCCTGACCTAGACCTTATATTTGTACCAATAACTGAATTTGGTTTGCGCATACAGGAAGAGTAATAGTGAATTCTATTTACCATGACCTCTTTTCGAATGGATATGCAGTATTCAAGAATCACATCTCTAAATATGTACACATCGCTCATGGCATAGGAACTTAGAGCCTCATCGCGGCTTATCATGGAATTTTACTGTTCCTTTATTTAAGCCGCCCGTATGACGCATGATTGCAAAAATATGAAATATCTGTGATGTCCGAGTCTCACAAAACCTGGCCCCGGGGGCCATCTTTACCCTCAAGATCATATCAGGCTTATCCTTCCGATCTTCTCACTTTGGTTCCATTGTCTTAGCAGACAAATACATAGTACAGGGCTCATCCTGGGATCAAACGCGGGCAAATGAGAGAGATGAAGAGAAGAACCATCTCAGGCTATCGGTACTAACCATGATGCCTGGTGCACGCAAAAGGGTCCGGCCCCAAAGAGGAGCGTAGACCTTTACATCATCACGCATACATATGTGAGTTGGACTACGGAGTTTTATTAATAGCACACCAAAGCAAAGTTGATAACAGGATATTGGAAGATTCTTCTCATTTTTTGCGATGTGACTCGAGCTATTCAATCCGATAAAAGTACTTACCAAGCAAGCAACGATCCAATTCCTTTTCAGGGAATCCCCCTTCCCCCCTTTCTGCTAGCAGAGAGGACTATGGGCGGTGGTGATATGGAGGGACGAAGGAAGGGGAAGGCCATCGAGGTGTGTACTTCACTCTACAGAAGATACCTTGGACCAACTACACGTGCAAACTGCCATAATGAGGGTATCTGGAGGCTTCTTCCCGCTTTATGTAGCTAACTGGCCTCATTACCATACTGGTGCCATGACCTTCTTGAACCAGCAACTCTATGACTGGTTTGAGGATGTTACGAAGTCATAGTCAGGGTCAACAGATACCGAGGTTATTATGATAAAAGGGCGACAAAGCGCCAGTGCCAGACCACACGCGTATATTGGAAGATCTTCTTGATTTTGAGTACGTAGATGGTATATAGAAAATTGATCAGTGTTTTGGAGAACCATATGCAATTTTGGATAGTAAGATAGTATGTCTGTCACAGTCTGTGAAGTAGCCAAATAACCTGCAAACGACCTCCGAGGTCGGGAGTCTGAAAAAGGAAAGAGATTAGTCAGAATGCTCAAGCTCACCGCCCTCATAAAAGCGGCATATTCCAAGATTAGGTAAGCCCCGCTTTCCAAGAGAAATTCAGTCAACTGGTCAACTGGTTGATATATGGATATCAGGTATTGAGAGTGTCTCTAAATAGCAGAATGACGACAACTCTCCCCATATTTCAGGTACCTGGACTGAAAGTCTGGTTTCGGACACATGTGCGCGAGGAACAGGAAATAAGCGTGGTCATTCTCGAATTGCACATCTTTACCCTTTGAGGTTGAAGAATGTTACAACGGATTGATCCGCTCGGGGATTAGAGCTTGGAAGTGCAAGCCGAAAGTCTATGAGACATGGTCGTATCCTGCCACGTTTAAGGAAAAACCCGAAGCCCGGGATGCTCGGAGATGTCAACTATTGATTTTTTCGTAACAATGCATCGATAATAATAGCTATATCGGGGTGCATCCAATTCCATTTTGACCTCCGGATTGGGATCATGGTTCGTGTGCTCCAGCCTCCAGGTACACGGCAAGTTAATGCCGAACCCATTTTTCTCTCGTACTCCGTACCTCTGCCTCTGACGGTATCGCATTTAACCTTGAAAGCCATTTAAAAATCAAAATTGGTGCACCTGGGTGGGGAAATGCAGACTAAAATGTTCTAGGCGCCCTATTGCAGGACTTTCAGGATGAGAATCAAGCATCCGCCCCGCCTAATGTAGCATTCGAAACGATCCACTCGGGCACTAATTGCTGACACTCCCCTATTATTGGGGGATATACCATGCATCTCTTACTGAATCTGACTCCAAACGGGGATGGTATCGATCGTTATGGTCGCTATACTCCGTACTCTTCAGGGATATAGTGTGAGACCCATGAACTCTATAAGATCGGGCTTGATTCCCCCTATTCCTGGAAGCACTAAGACACGAACTTCAGATTAATACAAACAAAGTCCTCCAGCATACTTTATTTCATTATGCGTACTACAGTAGCTCTGCTTGGCTTTGCTGCTGGTAGCTATGCCTTGGAGAAAAGAGCATCCGCCTCTGCTTATTCTTCTAACTCGGCCGGAACCTACAAACTCTCGTCCATCACAGCTCCAGTTCAAGGAGCAGGAGATCCTGGATCAAGCTCAACATGGAAACTGAGTATCGATGACACGTCCTCCGGTTACAAGCAGACGATAGTTGGCTTCGGTGCTGCAGTCACTGACGCGACAGTGGAGTCGTTTAACACGCTATCTGACTCCAATCTCCAGGATCTGCTCAACGACCTATTGACCGATTCCGGTGCCAGCTTTTCTTTGATGAGACACACCATCGGAGCCTCAGATCTCTCTGGTGATCCAGTTTACACCTACGATGACAATGGTGGCTCAGTGGATACATCACTCTCGAGCTTCAATCTCGGAGACCGTGGAACTTCCATGGCTAATATGTTGGCCTCCATGAAGTCCCTTCAATCCGACCTCACCATCTTCGGCTCACCTTGGAGCGCACCCGGCTGGATGAAGCTTAATGGAGTCATTGAGGGTGATACCACAAACAACAATTTAAATGATGGGTATCTGAGCGGCGACTTTGGAGAGACAGGGTATGCCAGTGAATTCGCACAATACTTTGTCAAGTACATTCAGGCATACCAAGATCTCGGAGTAACAATCGACGCGATCACAATTCAAAATGAGCCTTTGAACAGTCAGGCGGGATATCCGACGATGTACGTCTATGCAGATGAGTCTGCCCAGCTGATTCAGAACTACATCGGCCCCGCTCTTGCTGATGCCAACCTTGCCACCAAAGTGTGGGCGTACGACCATAATACAGGTAAATAATTCAATTTTTACTTCATTGGGCTATGGATTTATACTGACGCCTACTCCAAGATGTCACATCGTACCCTCAGACTGTCATCGACGACGCCGGTGAATATGTCGACTCGGTCGCCTGGCACTGCTATGCTACTGATGTCGACTGGACCGTTCTCAGCACATTCCACGACTCAAACCCCGATGTTACCCAATATATGACCGAGTGCTGGACCCCTTCATCTGGAGACTGGTACCAAGCAGCCGACTTTACCATGGGACCCCTGCAGAACTGGGCTGCCGGCGTGGCAGCATGGACACTTGGCACGAACTCCAGTGATGGCCCGCACCTTTCTGAAGGTGGATGTGCTACATGCACTGGGTTGGTGGTTGTTAACGATGACGGAAGCTACACGTTTGAGACAGCCTACTACATGATGGCCCAGTTTAGCAAGTTCATTCCGACTGGTGCTACTATCCTAAATGGAACGGGCAGCTATACTTACTCTGGTGGGGATGGCATACAATCTGTGGCTTCGTTGAACCCGGATGGAACTCGCTCTGTTATCATTGAGAATAAGTTTGATAACGATATCTATTTAACCCTCAGCACTGAGAGTGGAGAGGAGTGGTCCGGAGATATCCCGAGTGAGTCGGTCACTACTTGGGTTCTTCCTGCTTCGTCCTAGTGCTGTAATGATGTTGAAAAACTGGAGCCAGTTTAATTCCATCCTTTTACATACTCCATTTAAAATTGAAAATCTCAGTTCAATTTCTCATTCCCTTCGATGGCTTCGAATGCCCACCAAATACTAGTAATCCAGACATTCATGTTCTTCTCCATACAGGTGTTGGCCTTGCCACACCAACGAACCACCATGTATCTACATATCTGAACCCCAGGCGAACAACACCATGATGTACCCTGCACAAACCCCACAGGTCGGGAGTGACTGCAGCCGACTGGCCCTATGCCGCGCTATCATGCTTGACTTGCCTTCAAGGTCACTTTTTATGTGTTTCCTCAGCTTGGCACGTCCCTATACCCCCTGGGAGGTCTTAGGACGACCGGCCTACGCCGGCCGGCCGCTGAACGAAAATTAATATCATCATCATCAACATCATCATGTTCTTCTCCATATTTTCTTTCTATATACGACCCCACGACATATTTAAAGTTATAGGCCATGTCTAGTTCTATGCTAGTCATTAATTCCTACTCTTTTTCTTCATCTAGCGCTTTATATGTCTCTATATTTTATCATGTACTACTTGATCAAATACCTCCTTCGATCACTTCCTTTAATCACTCCTTCCAACCCTGGAATCACTTTCTTCGATAGCTCACTTCCAAGGAGCTTCATTCACCTCTCAAATAGCTATCAAATTTCTCTTATATATCTATCAATGAATCCATTATTCCAATCATTTCCAAGTTTCTCCCGAGGTCCCGCCTTTGGAACTTTCACTTGCTATTACTACTTCAGTCACTTTCTTCGATCACTCCCTTCAATTCCCTCTTCTCATACATTTACCAACCTCCTTCTCATGACTTCATATCTCGATCACATTCTTCTCGCAATCTATTCTCTTCTTCACTCACCTCACACTTACCCCTCTTATCTTCTCTTTGGATCTCTCTGGCTTACTATATTCATGCCCTACATGCAAGCATTCATTGACTACAGCTCAACATGAGACTATTTATTTGCTCTCAGTGGCTCTTCTAGGACTCAGGCAGATCCAGCCTACAGCTGCCTTTGCGCACTTTGTGGTGTGTTACATCTCCCATTCTTCCCTACAAACCATGCAAAAGTGAATATTAACATGGACTATAGCTGATGAACGCCGAGGGATACACCACAGACGACTGTGAAAATGATATTCAAGCTGGGAGGGAAATCTGGATAGGCATATTCATGTTTGCACCGGATATGGGGCGCTCCTATTCAAGAGCTCGAGGCCTATGGACCTCTCAATTTGGTATGTAGCCACGGGTATTGCCGGCCTTCGTTCCCCGGACATCTGCAATAGCAAAGATCTTAACATTCAATGCATTCAAGGAGGTATACAACGCGGCATGCATGATGCTTAGCGAGTTCCGACATACGCATACTCAACTCGGTATACCATCATGCCGGTCCGTCGTTATTTTGGAGGAAGAGTTCGAGAAATTTAATCTGGCGCTTGATCGCGCGCATGAACGATGTAACTACCTCCGTGTCCCCTTGACTCGGAAATAACTCCTCAATCTTCGTCCATGGCTAGTTCGATATGGATACATTTTGGATATACTGTCACCTACAGCTGCCTTCCCAAATAGGAGACAGAGATTGTTTCTCAAAAGTGTTCTAGGACAGCCTTCTTATGGCTTCTGAGAGAGTGATAACTTTGGAACCCTTGCCCTACAGAAGGCCCCACACCCATCCTCTTCTTCTTTCTTTCGTCAACCTTCATGTTCCCCGTTCTCGCACCTGATTCCTCGGACATCAGTAGACTTCTTACAACAAGGACCATTGAGGAAGACGGATAATAAGAATCTACTGGATTGGAAAAGGTGATTAATTAAACAGAGAGGTTGTGGCTTGCCATCCGTGATTCCTAATTTTATACCACTGTTAAAACCCATACTGACCGAAAATCTTACCGATAGACGATATGACGCTGATTAATGAGAGAGCTGTGGTTGAAGCTAGCGAGGGCACATGCGAGCAGCGAGACAGCTCACTGATCTCAAAATGCTTAACACGCCAAGTCCTATGCTATTGGAGTTTCTAATACAGTCAGATGAGTCCTCAAACTTCACGATCTCATGAAGCACTACCTATCACCCATCATCGCCCTGCAAGGTCAACACATCAACAACTCCCAGTTTACAAGCAATGTGAACCATTTGCACAAATGAGAGACAACTACACTGAGTGGGGACGCTACACTCACCCTGACCCAGATGAGGAAATCCGGTTTTGGAAGAAATACAAACCGTTCGAGAATTTGTTGAGCGCTACAACACTTCCGATCCTATTCCAGCAAATGATGCCGCTCGTAAGCTCATGTCGCTTATCAACGAGGAGTGCGTGATAGATTAGTGCGAGGATCCCGTCGAGGACAAAGGCAGCCGTGTTTCTTATTTGTTGTGGGATGTTGGTATCGACATACCGCGCTACCAACTTGCCATTCTCAAACTAGTAGAGGCTATTCGCGTGCTTTCCGAGCTGGAAAGAACTGAGGAGCAGATCCGTGCTGGTCGTCTTGAGGACAAATTGGAACTCTGGAAATCGTTGGAGAGATTCGAATACGTTTGGGGTACTACTTATATGTGTTGTGGGTTGCTTACTCCCTCCAAAGAACAAAAGTCTTTTTAAAAACCAATTTTCATGGACTGAATCTGTTTATGCTGATTCTTCAATAATAGACTGGTGGCCTGCGAGACATGGCCTGTATTATCCATTTAATGGGCCGAATGAGTACCACAATGCCCAAGCTTTCTATGCGCACCATCTTGCTACATATCCTCCTGATTCGACAGACAGTTCATGTGAATTAGCTGCAGCATTTCAGCTCGTCATGTTCGCATTAGAGCAGGATCCATGGAATTATGCAAACATAAGTCGCCTAGACGTCCCCACTGATCATATGCAAATGTTGAACGTGAGTGAAAATTAAATTCTGGATTACAGTTGTTATGATTGACTGATGAAACCCAGAGTGATGTGCATGGCATGGTTCCATTTTTTGAGGTTTCTGGGCATATTATCTTTAGATTTCTGGGAAAATATGACCTGTCGGCAATTGAAAAACTGAATTTACCTGAGTGTAACCTGTGGGAGGGAGACTCCTCGTTCTCCATGGAAAGATGGGAGTTTTGGAAAACCCGGCTGCGATGGGTAAGTGAACAAGATGGATTGCTGGAAATAACACGAGATGATGCCCGGAAGATCGTTCATCTTATGCAAGAAATTGAGCAACAGGCCCAAGGAATGGATCCAGTGGGTTAGGCTTAGCACAGAAATGCCTTTTCATTTTACTTAATTACAACCCTATGTAGATCGTATAACAGAAAATGAGCTCAAATATGGATGAAAAATTAAAATACGCATAGTTATCATCGAAAGAGACTAGTTCAAAGGAATTAATATCAATAAGATAAATTCAAATCAAGTCGACTAAAAGAGCGAAAGGCAAAAAGTAAGAAATATTATCGTGACTGTCTTCTGCATGATGCTTGCTCCTTTCCCTCAAAAGGGGGAATCCTGATTGATAAATGTCACGACGCATTCCAAGGTTCTTGTATCCATTACTCTTGCCAATATAAGCCTCTGTTTGACGTGTCCATCTAGGCCTACATCCAGCTGCATTCCCCAACCAGGTGAGATATGCAAGTAGTCTCATAGAGTTTGAATGAACAAGACTGCGCTGGACCCTTTCTCAGTGAGATTTTCCTTTCAGGAGTTCGTTTCGTCCTTGTTTCTTGGATAATCCTCCTTGTCCTTTTGCGGTTGCTCTGAGTCGTTGTCTTGAATTTATCACTTCTTGCGTGCCTTGCTAGATGTTGGAGGCTTTTTGGCTTTGTGTGACTTGCTGATGTAGTAGTCTCTTTCTTCTTCCCTTTGGCCTTTTTGTCTTCTTCCGTTTTGTTGGGTTCCACCTCAGCATCATTCTCCTCTAATTTATAATCTATGAGGGAGAGTGGCATCGTCAGCGGAGATTTCGTCATCAAAGTCAATGAAACCGGAGTTCTCCCTGTCTGTCAGAGCGTCAGATTTAGCTGTCGTAACATTGAAATATTCACATAACAGCTTTACTTACCCTGAGCCTTCTCTTGTTGCTTCCGCGTCTAGTGCCTCTATTCTGACTTTTCTTTGGCTTATGGCAGAATTCATATGGAGGCATTAGCTTCCAAGGAAGCAGTGATTACTGCACTGGGCCAGAGATCTGAGCTCTACCAGCTGGCTTTTATTTAAGATAAAACTCAGGATACATACCCTGCAAAAGAGGCCATGGCCCATGGACTTCAAAACATGCGGGGTGGCTGTAACAAAGAACGGCATCATCCTCTTTAATGGTGCATGTGGCTTCCAAGACAACATCCCTGCCGACTCCTATGTTGGTAAGATCGATGAAATTAGTGTCTCTTGGGGCTCAGGCGCAATAGAAAGTCTGGGATGGGGTTGGGAATAGCTTCTTCGTCAATCTCCATCCCATGAGTCTGAGAGGATGTAATTTTTGCCTATGAATTGCGCCTTCCAGCAGAATGGGAACTTATGCTCTTTCCGTATGAAACCTTCTACATGAGAATGAATAGTCGAAGCTAATCGTGGTGGTAGGTACCAAGCGTCCACAGTGGGCGATCGTACAATTTAATCTGACAGGCTCTATGTCATCGGAGTTGTCGGTATCCTCACGTCCCTCCTTAGAGTCTATCTCGAACTATATCAGTTGATGAACCACCTCATATCACGGAGTCCCTACATACTGTCACATCGGTGCCTTACAGCTAAGATTCTGAGCCATTCAAAATTCTCATTATTGGATCTCATACAATCTCTCAATCTTTGACCGTGAAACGAAAGGTCCTGACCAAAGAGAGGAGATCACATTCTTCCATGGTCGGTGACTTGTTATTGTCAGCAGAAATCGTGATCCTCCACCGTCTTGGGCGGACTTTCAAGGAAACATATGTGAGGCTAGCAATAAAGCCAAAATGCCCAAATAGAAAGGCTGCGACACAAAACTTGGTTTTGATCACTCAAGCAGAGCTAAAAGCCAGTCTCCAATGCGCCAGCGAATCAAACAGTATCTCCGACAGGAATGTTGTCCTATGTGTTAAGCAAGTACCCTGGCAGAGCACCACAAGGGGAAGCTACCCGAACCGTACGGCAATAGCGACAATATAACCTTCTCTGTGAGTGATGAACCACGGAGAGGGCTACGGTAATTGCCTCAAGTTCCCTTTCATGCCTGATGAGAGAATATTGGAAGCAGAAGGGACAGTGTGATTGATTTTGGTGTGTATCACAAAGAGCATACTATCAAGTGTTTTAAATAGAATTCTTTGCTCTTCAATCAAACTCTACACACCGAGCAATGCAGGCAATGAGAATTATCTCGGGCCTGTCCAAGGAACCAACGGACGCAGGTAGAGAAGGGCGAAGTGAGACGAAGCGAGACGTGTGTAAGTCCTGAGATATTGATCACCTAACACCAACTGGGCACCCGTAGACCTGTTTCAGTTTGCTATGTTCCTGATTATAGTCCAGCACATAACTAAGGCTTTATCTCAGTAGACCATTCAAAAGAGTGTTTACCTAGTTTTGCTATCCCAATTAATATTTACAGTTTAGTTTATAAGACTCAACTATCATTATTCCCACTTCTATATAGTATCTTAGGCTACTCAAATTTTGAATATTTGAAATTCAATACATAGTGTGACCATGGGTTGATGGCGGTGAGATCAAGCCCGCAATGATTATCTTCCTTTCTCCTCCGGGGGCACTTCTTACCAAGAGCATGGTCATGACTCACAAAGAGCCTGGGAAATGCCAAGTTCAGGCTATCAATGTACTCTCTGTCAGCAGAGTTTCTCTAGCCGAACTCATCTCAAACGGCACGAGACTTCATCCCGTAGGGTCCAGCATCAACCAGATCGGGACAAATCGGGGAAGCTGACATTGCTCTAGACAGCTCACAAGCACAAGCACAATGTGAGTTTTGTGGTCGCAAATATTCCAGAAGGCAAGAAACCCCATCATTTCACCTGATACAGATATCCTAACACCTAGTAGAGATGCACTGAGACGACACTATAAGACATGCACCTCGGTTGGTACCTTACCAGAACCCAGTCCAGCAGGACGTTACCGGACTGCATGCGACGCCTGCGCCAAGAGCAAAACCACCTGTGATCGAAACACACCGTGTGTTTCTTGTGTGGATCAGGGTGTTTTATGTACCTATCAGCGCTTGAATCGCGCAAGTGAACCATCCGCCCCCTTGCGTACTGGTTCGCGTAGTTCAGGTCCACCTCAGAACAAACGCGTCTCCACGCAGCAATCTGGACATTTATCTGTTCCATTTCTCTTAAATAATTCTGCGCCAACTAATCGGAGCCCGGGAGATGTGAACCAGGCTCTTACTTTGTTGTCAACCACAGAGTCTAATGAGCACGATGTGGAAGTGGATATGGATGTGGATCTTGCGCTTCCGAGCCTCGAAGTCGAAGCTAATACCAATGACCTCTTCTTCGAGGAATCTTGGGCTTTTTTCTTTGGACCTATCCCAAACAAAACCTTTTCTAGAGACTCACCGTTGCCTGAGGGATTGGACGACCCTGAAGAACGACAGCTCGCAGCTAATAGAATGATCGAGTGTCTGTCGACAGCATGCTTAACTTATACTCACAAGCAGTTTGATCTTGAACTTAGTCATCTACACTCCTTTTTTACACAGGAAAATGTTCACAATTTCATTGGGGCATATTTTGATCAGACAGTCAGACCTCGATCTCGCATCGTTCTGAAATCACCATTCGTTCTTGGATCTACGTCGGTGCCGCTACTATTGGCAATATTTTTGCTAGGTGCCACATGTGGTCACTCCGATGGAGCCAAGTTCCAAGCTGTGATATATGCTGACCTTGTTGAATTTATCATTTTCGAGAACCCGATCTTGCTTCAACTTGTGTATACTCAAGATCTCAAGTTCGATAGTTTGAGTCGGATCGAGACGGAAATTATCCAAGCTGCAATCCTCATAATACTGATGCAGTTGGCCAGTCCGAAGCCAGATTCTCGTCATCGAGTTCGAATCCAACGATATCCTGCTTTGGTTTCGATCGCTCGGGCGACATCTATAACCATGCTAGATTGTCACAATATTATGTTTTTCAATAGTCCTCCTCAATTTACACCATCCGAGTTCGACTTTGATCTCCCCGCTGAAGAAAAGGGTATCGATATTCGAGATAATATGGAATGGGAGGCATGGGCACAGAATGAGAGAAAATTCCCCAGGCCTCCGCCATTGAACGAATTCATCCAAGAACTACTATCGGATGACTGGAAGGGGATCGACGACCCCAGATTCAAACATCTCAACGTATTCGCTCTATTTATTGCTGTTTCTGGTAAGTCTTCACCAAAACAGCCAAGTATAATCCTCAAGCATTTCAACCGATAGTCTTCGGACTAAGATCTAGTCTTTGCGATTTATCCTTTGCAAAACAACAAATCGGAAGGGCACTGTCGCGATGGATGAGTCTATGGAAACAACTACAATCAACTTTGACCCAACAAGAGATCTATCGCGCAGGGATCACATACCATGCACCTGATCTCTGTGTCTTCGCCCGTCTCGTTCTCCAAAAACTACTATCAGAGACCGGTGAAATCGCCAAGGATTCCATGGCTCAAATACATCAAATGCTAAAGGGATCAAATGAGCGGGCCATCAATTGATCTCACCAATAATATTTTGATATTCCAACAAGCTCTAGCATTCTATTGGCTTTTCTCACTCTTCTCGCCGGGTTTATAAAACGCCAATTCCAGCGAAGCACTCATCGAACAAATCAACACAATCCACGTAGCCCTTCCACTTTGCTTCTTCCCCAAAAGACGATCAGAGTCCCACATTAAATTCTTAATACCGCTGAATGCATGATATGTGAATGGTATGGTAAGACCGAACTTAATCGCTGTCTTGACTGTGACGGGCAAAGAACCGAATGCTTCGATGATTGTTGCTGAGTCAAGGTGGAGTCCTAAGGTTGGAGCAAATAGATATAGTGTTGCGAAACCATATAAGCTTCCAGAGAGTAGTATTCCGGTGATTCGATGTAATGCGGAGGATGAGTTGACGTAGTTCCATTTGTATACACTCAGGTGGGGCGATACTGGACGACGGAGTCGCTGGGCGACAAGTCGGTCCTTGGGAGATTCGGGGTATATAGTTTGGGTTGAGAGATATCTTCTATGCCCAGGTACCTTGTTAGACGAGATTCAGCTTGAAATATCTGTGTTAATTTTCGAAACTTACAGGACTGAGGTCTTGGATGTGAAAAGTGTTGTTCTTGGGCGAGCGATGCCTCGGTATACTAAGGCGCAAGACATGGCTAGTCCTGGAGCTTATATTAGATGAATGGATAAGAATTTTCAATTTGATCTGAATCTCAACTTTAACTTGAGTATCTTCAGTTGGGAGTAACTAATGATATTCAAAAGGAACAATCATAGTGTTGTGGCTTAAAATGTTAAATAATTCAATGTTTATACTAGACTGGTCGGAAAATACCCACAGGTGGGTATTCTCCGATGGGGGTAAGTTCACACCCGCATCTGATCCCATTTTGGTCTATTACTAGGACTAGTCGCAAACGATTATTTAGAATTCATATTGCCAGCACTAGATTATTAATATTGACATGATTTTTGAGCCCTATATAGTATCAGTTAGATACTACTAGGTTCTAATACTAGGATTGCCCACATGTGTATGTACTTGGATAAGGCTGAAGTATTCAAGTTGGTGCCTGAGGCTACCAAACTTTGGATGGCACTAACACCTGCACATGTGGGCATTCCAACCTTGGAAGTCACTAATAGTAGTGCTCGGCTGTGCTCAAGAGCTTGAAAACTTGGGACTAATCTGGTTCAAGGTGGTCCAGACCTTTCCAAGGTTGTGCCAGTGCACTGGCAGGTCACGGTGTCACCTTAAGGACTCCGGTTGTGGATGTATATACTTGTGATGAATCTTAGTAGATTCCAAGGTTGGTTGCCACTGGCAGTCACGGTGCAGTGAGACTTCCGAGTCGGGAAAACTGAAGACCCCGAGCTGACTCGGACTCATTTCCAACAATATCTTCCATGTTGATCATCGAGATGACATTTACAACATTTGAATTTGTCATCTAGATAGGCTTACAATCTGAATTCTATACATGCATCATCATGTGGGTCCCCGGGCGGCGTCTTTCACGATGACATAAGCAGAGCTATGAAATTCACCGCCTGACAGAAACCTCCCCCATTGAAGAATGAAGGCACGATACAAAGTCCGGAGAAAGCAAGGACCCGCCACTCCACACCTCAGAATGACACCATCGCAGATCATGGCGTGCTTGGAGAAAGGGTAACAAGGTAATTTCGATCTCTTTTCTAGAAAATATAGCTAACCTAAAGACTAGCACGTAAGACCCTGAGAAATGGGGCTCATAATATGGATTGGTCAGCCCTTCGGGACCTATGACCGGCATCATTTACGGAAAACGCCATTCCATTTCTTTCCGATTTCTCCTCGGAGATGAATTAATCAGCACTGGAATCAACTCTAACCGGATCGGAGATTGGGAGATTGATGCCTGGAAAGCACGAGAAGGAGGTTCGAGCAAGGGCTCCTTTCATTATGGGATACGGAAATCCACATCGACCAAGAGCGCAGATATTGCGTGCTCAGGTTCAAGTGAAGTGGAGACAGTTGCAATTTTCTCAGCAGGCTTCCGCCAATCACAGACCAAGGCAATTGCACCATCTATGAGTGAAGCCGGCATTCGGGATACCCAGGCACATCATCGCCCCTGCTCTGCTTTATATTCTTGCTGTTTGTGCTGGTCCTTGGTTCTATTCTCTCCCAATCACCTCCAAAGATCCATTCCCAGTGGCTTTGTCATACCACAAACATCATTTGAGCATTCGGATATCTTCAAAAAGCAATTATTGCCTTTATTTCTTTAACACATCAACACATTTAACCCATCCTGCGTGCATACTCTTACACAATGCCTGCCCAAATTCCCCAGTACACCTCCGATCTCGAGGGCGTCGCGTCTCGAGACAACACGGAATCTGGTTATGTCAGTGGTGGTTCAAGTGAAGAATACATCCCAGAGATTGTTTTCACAAAGCCCCATCTGCAGTTCTTGAACCGTCAATTGCAGTTTCTCGAGCCCCAAGGTATGTAGTAAATCAACCCCGCTATCAGCCAAAACTACCCCCATGTTTCAATGGATCAATCCTGACTGATGACCCTCTATAAAGATATCCTGAGATGGTGCATTACATCACTCCCTCATCTCTTCCAGACCACGGCCTTTGGCTTGACCGGCCTGGCTACCCTGGATATGCTCTCCAAGCTGGATGTGCCCCGCCCCCAGATGGTGGACCTCATCTTCCTGGACACCCAGCATCACTTTTCTGAGACCCTCAGCCTGGTCGACCGGGTTCGCAAGCGTTATCCTTTGAACAATGTCCATGTGTACAAGCCTGCTGGTACTGATAGCCCTGCTGAGTTCGAGTCCAAGTATGGTTCCCGCCTTTGGGAGGCTGATGACCAACTCTATGACTGGGTTGCCAAGGTTGAGCCTGCCCAGCGTGCCTACCGTGAGCTCAATGTCCACGCCGTGTTGACTGGTCGCCGCCGCAGCCAAGGTGGCAAGCGAGGTGACCTCGACGTCATCGAAGTTGACGAGGCTGGCCTTATCAAGATCAACCCCATGGCCAACTGGTCCTTCAACCAAGTCAAGCAATACATCCAGGATAACAATGTCCCTTACAACGAGCTCCTTGACCGTGGCTACAAGAGCGTTGGTGACTGGCACTCTACCCAGCCCGTTGCCGACAACGAGGATGAGCGCTCTGGTCGCTGGAAGGGCCAGCAGAAGACTGAGTGTGGTATCCACAACCCTCGCTCCAAGTATGCTCAATACCTGATGGAGATGGAACGCAAGCGCCAGGAGGAAGCTTTGACATCGGCATTGCACGCTCAGCTCTCTGCCGCGCAATGAGCTGTGCTTTGCTCTTCCGCATACTTCCTTGGCGTTTGGATGATACCTCTTTGGCGTTACTCTCTTATTTTTCCATTACAATTACGTTTCAGCGGTGCGACTCAGCTCTTGAAAGACTGACGCACATTCATGATCAAAATATTCCCGCTCCTCCCCGATGTACATAGCCCTGGAGGAGTCGGTTTCCCCCCTGACCCCAGGCCACCGAGCCACGATAATGACTTCCGTATGATAGACACAAAAGCTTTACTTTGTCTATTTCATAAATTCACATGACTTTATTGAAAAAATCCGATCTTTAGTAAATCTTATACATTTAATCTTTTTTTAATTGCAAATGTTGAGACGCATCTTGGTGGAGTTGTTGCTCGACCCCTCACGTGCGTGTGTCCAACCCTAACCCAATGCCTTGCAGCACTTGAGATAGAAAATTGTTGGTAATTGACCATCTTTTTTTAATCTGAATCCGGCTCTTGTGTCTTGTGTTTGAAAGAATTCAAGTGATTTACCTAAAATTTCCATTTATAATACAGTCGGAGTCCGGGATTTCATGGACTAGATTATACCCCTGCAGTGTTAGACATCCGCGTTAAAACACTTCCGTTCCTATTGCGATCGACATCCCACCTTAAAATCATACCCACATGGTTCAAATGTTTGAACAGCCAAGAGACCTTGGAATTTCAAGTAGATCATAAATCTAGATATTTACCAGATAACAAATCATACTCGAATACCCCCAATAACCATTATATGTGCATTCATCGCCGACTTCGCAATTAATGACGCATGCCAGGAAATTACCCCACGTGACGATCAGCATTTCCCTGTATTTTTTTTAATGAAGCATCTTCAACCTCTGGACCGACAACCACACCTTTTTCTCCTAAATATACTCCGCAGAACGGTCATGGCCGATCCAAACGCCTCCCGCCAGCGACCCTCGCTAGGCCAAATGCGCAGTAGCTCATTCATCCAAGACCACCAACAATATAAGCCCCCACCAGCAATCAACCAGAACATCGGCGAAGTGCTGGGTTCTCAACTCGACGAGAGCCTCACAATCGCCAACCCTATCCACCCAGACCCCGAACGAGTTCATGACAGCGGTGTGATCCACAGCATCTTCAACCACCACACTAACCAGCTCGCAACCGGTACCCCGCGCATCGTCGCAACTATCTTCTACAAATCCTCCAACCCCGTCCACCCGCATTTCCACCCCGATGCAGTCACCCAAGGCGATAAGCTCCCTTCGCCTCGAGTCCCCGAGGGCTCAGCTCCGACAGATGATTTGGAGAAAATCCCTCGCGAACCGCCCGTTCCGGAGCCAGAGCCTCTGGACCACATCTACGGCCCTTACGTGTCGCAGTTGTGTCTGACCAACTTCTTACAGACTCTCGAGTCTCTGCCTACGCCTTACCAGCGCATGAATACCTCACACCGTTGTCTGGATCGGGATGCTCATCCTCGCGTCGTGGAGGTTACTTTCTCCCCGCCGCCAGACCCAGCGTACCTCTCCTTCGATGATCTGCGCAAGCATGAGAGTATCTGGCGCTTTGAGCGCGAGTGGAACGTTGAGGTTGTTCTACAGAAGGAGAGTGTGTTCCGTCGACACAAGCGTCTGGCTGTGTTTGACATGGACAGCACTCTTATCGAGAACGAGGTTATCGATGAGATTGCCAAGTTCATTGGAGTGGAGAAGGAGGTTTCGGTGTGTTATCCCTTCCTATATTGAAACAGCACAAATTATATCGCGTTGATCGCTAAGACTCTTTATAGGAAATTACCGAGCGTGCGATGAACGGCGAACTGGACTTCTCCGCATCGCTAAAGGAGCGCGTTGGACTTCTGAAGGGCGTCCCAGCCGATGTCTTCGACAAGCTCAAGTCCGTCATCACTATCGCCAAGGGCGCGCGAGAGCTTTGCGCTGCTTTGAAGGTCCTCGGATTCAAGATGGCCGTTCTGAGCGGTGGATTCCAGCCTTTGGCTGAGTGGCTCGCCGGTCAACTCGGACTGGATTATGCGGTCGCAAACCATGTAAGAAACGCATTTACCCTTACACCTCCAATTGACATATTATTATCTCTAGTTTACGTAGTCTAATCTGGTATCTAGCTCGAAATCGATCCGGAAACTCAAACTCTTACCGGTAGACTGGTCGAGAACAAGCCCATTATCGACGCTGCGCAGAAGCGCACTCTGCTTAAGTCCATCGCTGCGGAGAACAATATCCCCCTTTCCCAGACACTGGCTGTCGGTGACGGGGCTAATGATCTCCTCATGCTTCATCAGGCCGGCCTTGGTGTCGCCTGGCGCGCTAAGCCTAAGGTTCAACTCGAGGCGCCAACCCGTATCAACGGGGAGAGTCTCGTCGATATCCTCCATCTACTTGGTTTGGAGAAAGAGGATATCGTTGAACTTTCTGAAAAGGCTCAATGAGTACTGATTTACAGTACTGAACCTTTTTCTTTTGGATCACAATACCCATTTCATGTCACGTCTTTTCTTTGCCCGTGCTCTATTATACGGCAGATGTGAGTTCTCTGGTTCTATCAGGAGTACCGAGGGTTACGCCGATTGGCTTGCTTTGCATGTTCAGTATATAGCTTAAGCCGGTATGATGTGTCTTGCTCTCGGCGTAGATGCTGGTGCTATAGGATAGAGTTGAGACTCTTCTGGCGTGTAGTTTAGCCGGGTTTTCGGCGACACGCAGTCAATTGACAATACACGAGAATATATGAGAATGATCATTGAGTCCTTACAAGATCCAAGCCTGTTTTTTGTAGATTGATTTCATTTTATTGACTAATGTAAAAAGAAACTCGAATCCATGCAATCTTGCCAAGTAAGAATGTACAGTAGAAACTTCAATGGTGATACAAAACATTTTGACCGTATGTTGAAACGAAATATTGAGAAGAAGAGACGAAACAAAAACGAAATTCCAACTCCGAACCGAAGCAAATCCAGAATGATGCAATTAGGCGCCGAGGTGAATGACCATGAACCATATTCGATATCAAAGACGAAAGGGTCTATCAAGTCATGCGGATTATATTGTTGAAAATGACAAAGAGAAAGAAGAAGCCAACCAGGGCCCAGGGACGAAACTAACGAGTAGCCTCATCGGTCTGTACAACAGTCTCACTGACAGCACCCTCCACAGTTCCAGGAGTGCCACCAGTACGACGCTTCTTCAATACATTCTCAATGAATGCCTCACCAGCCTTGTAACTACTCCTAACCAGAGGTCCAGAAGCACAGTACAAGAAGCCCATATCCAGAGCACGCTGACGCCAAGCCTCAAATCGATCCGGAGTAACATACTCCTCAACAGCCATATGACGCTTAGTAGGACGCATGTACTGACCAAAGGTCACAACATCAACATTAACAGCGCGAAGCTGACGCAGCGCATCCCACAATTGCTCATCCGTCTCACCAAGACCCAGCATCAGACTAGTCTTCGTAATAAGGTCCGGCTTCGCCTCCTTAGCAGCCTTAAGCACACTGATAGACTGCTGGAAAGTGGCACGACGATCACGAACATAAGGTGTCAACGCCTCAACAGTTTCAACATTATGCGCATACACATCCAATCCAGATCGTGCAACCAGCTTCGCCATCTCAAGATCTCCACGGTAATCACCAGTAAGACACTCGACGAGGATATTCGGCGCCTTAGACTTAATCTTGATGACCGTTTCCGCAAAATGACGAGCACCTCCATCGGCCAGATCATCTCGATCAACACTGGTCAAAACAACGTAGCCAAGTCCCCATCGAGAAATTGCCTCAGCCGTATTCTCCGGCTCATGCGGATCAAGCGGCGCGGGATTCCGGTTCGTCTTCACACTGCAGAATCGACAACCACGAGTACATGTGTCTCCCATTAACATGATTGTTGCAGTTGCAGCAGCCTTGTCACCTCCACCCCAGCAATCGGAGATATTCGGACACCGCGCCTCCTCGCAAACAGTGTGTAGGTTTAATCCACGGAGATCTTTCTTGAGACGCTGGTAGTTCTTGGAATCTGGGATGGGCGTCTTGAGCCAGGAAGGAAGTCGGGTCATTTCCTTCTTACGACCTGCGGGTCCGACCATTGCGGTCTTCAGGGCGAATGCTTCGGATGGATCAAGTGGCGCATTGTCTTCTCCGCCGGAGACGAAGTCTGAGAATGAGGGCCCGGCGTTCAGTTTGTCTTGGAAGGTGGTTTTGCGGCGTCGGGTGATTCCCGGTGTGTTCGTGGCGGAGCCGGTCTCTGTAGTGGCATAGTTGCGGTGACCGAGGGATGTGGTGGTTGATACTGGTGTGATGGATGTCCGGATGGACGAGAGATGCCTTAGGCTACGTGCTGGTGTGGCCATTGTGCTTTTTGAGGTGGAAATGGGTGAAATGTGAAGTTGGAGAAGAGAGGTAGGCCGCTATCTGAAGTAGAGAGATAAGTTGAGAATATTCCCGCGGGAAACTGGAATGACTAAGCAATGACCAGTTCCACACCGAGGCTACCTATCCATGGATGAACTACAACAAGCAGGAAATGATATCAGTCTGAAAGCTATATGTTGATGATCAAATGGATGAAATATATCTTCCTGCTGGATCATTTTTCAAGTTCCAGGGTTCCTCAGATGAATGTGATAGGTTGAGACCATTCACTACAACCTGGTTAGCGGATTCAGACCAACAGAGTTGATTCATCGGAAGAGAGTACAATACTGAGAGTGGAAGATTTACGGCACTACTAGCTTGTCTCAATGAAGTGTTTGTAGCAAGTTTATTATCGATTATGCTTCACGATGATCTCATCACTAAATTGTACATGATTGACAAGAATTTGAAAGACAGGCCCAGAGGGCGGAGCGCAATGCAGGGTATGAAGATGAAAAAGTGACAGATAAGGAATTGCAGCGCGTGTGGGAGTCGAGGGAATGAAATCAATCCAGCAGAGAGAATTAATACATGCAGGAAAGTGAGAGGGGAGCGAGAGTGGATGGTGCGAAATAGGAAAGTAGGAAGAGAGTGAGGGTTGCAAGGAAAGGATGCGGTGAAAGAGAGGATTTGAGGAAAGCTGATAGAGTATAATGAGGGTGTTATGGTGCCTTAACCTCTAGCACCTGAGCTAAAACTTCAATGGCAGATTTCAGAGTTTCGTCGGAACGTCCACAGATGGCGAAGAGTAGGTTATCGATGATTCGTTCGACATCCCGACGTAGATCTGCACTGCGAGAGCCAAGGAATCGGTCCTTAATGCGACCGGGAGAGCCTGATGGAAGTTGGATACCAAGAGTGCTGTAAGCCTTGGTTGGAATGGCGTCAATGCCGTAGATGTCATTACGCGCCAGTAAGGAGGGTTTGTGGCGGTGAATGGTGGATAAGGAAAGGAGATAGTTGCGTGCAATGAGTGCTGCACAGAGACAATCAAGTAGATTCTCTGTGACATCTGGGAAAATAGTTCGAAATGGTCGTAAGAAATCTCGGTCGTCGCTTTTGCGGACATGCAAGATCGCAGGTGATGTGAGTCGAAGCATGTGCCGGGGAAAATCTTTGACGGAGTGTTCCAGTTCGTCCAGCGTCCATTCATGATCATCGAGAGTCCACTCATGGTTTGCATCATCCCATGGTGTTGCCTCTTCGGATTCCTCCTTATCGGAGTGATTGGATTTTTGACCGAGGCGATGATGGATGGGTAGTCTGACTTCGGGGCTTACACTTCCAGAGCGAATTTCCGGCTGAGGTGATCTGTAGCGCTCTCCCTGCGCGGTTTCAGGCCGTTCGCCAACAATTGTTGATGTTACACTGTCCGAGGTCAACGAACCTGGATCGGTAAAGGCATCGTCATCTTTGGCATCTTCGTAACTTTCGAGAGAGTAGCCGGAAGTTCTTGTGTCATAGCCATTGTCCGATATGTCAAGTGGTGTATCTGGGCTGAAAGCCGACACTTCCTCATGTCGATGATCTGGCGTCATTGGGAGAGGATGTGGCATCAGGGAGGGTGGCGGAGGCATCGCTGGAGATGACTGTCGAGCAATATCAACCAGCCTTGGCTTGTTCTTAGGTTTGCTTGCCACCGCAAATCTCTGTAATACTGACATTAGCATTCCGATGATCGATATCTCATACAGAGGGATGGAACTCACCAAAGGTTCGTCTAAAGATTTCATACCGGGGATGAAATCTACTTTTGGAACTGGAGGATCTTGTTCAACAATCTGAACTTTCCTTCGGTTGGATTCCTTGACATTTTCATCTTTCCCAGTCATGGGGTCGAAGGGAACACCCTTCAGCCATGTCTCACAATATGCCAGATTACTAGGTATCCAACTGGCTTCACTTGAGACAGTCGCTGTCCTTGGCCGGTGAGGTCTCGGGGAGCTGCCTGGAATGAGGTTGGATCCGGGGATAGATGGAGGAGAAGAAATTGATCTAGCGTGTTCGTCGCGATCCGTGGCGGTGTGTTTTGTCTCATTGGCGTCGCATTGCCGGACAAGATTCGAATGTGCTTCGTGGACATTCGTCACTTCTGTCCATCTTTGCTCAGGGGATGGCTCGCGTGGTTCATCCTTCCACCCGGGAGGGTGGTACGCCATGTAGTTGATTCTGTCGTCTGTCCCAATACTCTCCGCTAGTTCGACGGGGTCATTCGGCTCATCTGACGTCTCGCTCTGACGATCGGATGTTGCGACCCCGATGTCCTCTTCTTTGACATCATTTTTACTCTCAAAATACGATGATGATGAATCGGCCCCAGCGCTAGCTGGTCTTGACTCTGACATTGGCGGACTAGGCAAGAGACCGAACGCAGACATGCTAGTGCATGTGAGGTTTTGGTCGGAGCGCCATGTTCGTAATGTACGGCCATTCGGTAGCGGTTTGGACTCTCTGCTTGACTTTGGGCGAAATGTAGGTCCATTGTCGCATGATGCTGGTGACGTGGGAAGCATCAACTGAAATGGTTCCTTCATTTTGCGTACAGATCGAAAGGGTGAGATACAGGATGGTCCTCGACTCACAGGCCTCCTGGATAGTGATGTGGTTGAGTATTCATGAGTCTCTGCGCGTGGTAATGTCGGGGACGGCACGAATGACAATGTCGGAAATTGCCTGCTCCTTCTCCGGGGCTGATATGTAGGAGACCATCGGCGTGGTGACGGTATGGGTTCAGGAATTGCTATGGCATCGTGGCTTAGCGCAGACGAATAAGAATCCTGGCTCTTGATGTGGGTTTGAATTGGGGCCGGGAAGCATGCATTGTTGGGCATTTTGGCAGCACCACAGTCCATGGCGGACATGGTGCGTCCCTTTTGGTGAGAAGCACTCCTGGTCGCAATTGAAACTTAACGAAAGTCAAAATGCGGTCGCGCTGCAATTACCCGCGATGGTAGTTGGAGAGCGATACTGAAGTGAGCAAGAACACTTTCACATTCAGAAATGGAAGCTTCACCCGACTGCAGGGGCTCAATATGTCCTTATACAATCAGAATGACACTACTTTCTGACGATTCATCCAAGGTTGATAGGGTCACCAGGGCATACAAGACTTCGCATCCCTTGACAAGGAAGTCAGTGTCCTGCCATGGGGAAACTCGAGTATGTAAAGATCGAAGTTGTTCCCCCTTCAAGGTTTTTGACTTCGTTTGGAACGAAACGAGCTCAGCTCCTCTGTAGGCACGGGCCAACCTAATAACACTTCAGTGCTTAAGAATGGATGTTGCATTGTCCTTGCATTCCCGAACAGGATGAGATTCATCTCGGCGGAAGACCATGATTGGCCCTGGATTGCTACTCATGTCCTGCAAGACCCTGTCAACGTGGATAGACCCTCATCTGTCGCCTAACTTCGTCATAGTTCGGCATATTGGTGGATACAAGGAATGAGACAAATGGGATGCAGAGAGGGGGATAAGCGAATCACAGTCCTTGGGAAGGGCAATAAGATCGGCCAAAGGGTGTACAGTACTGTGCCCAGGCGGGTCTTCATTGGTTGTAGTGTCTCGTTGCAATAGCAATGAGAGAGCCCCCTTCATGGGGTCTTACAACCCCTTGCATCGGAGTCAATCATGCCTGGCAGCAGTCTGAAACTTGGAATATAAATTGATAAAAATGCTTCGTCATGCTTAATCGCTTGCATTTTCTCGTTCTGTCAAATTTAGGATCTTTCATCACTGTCAGATTTTGCTGGAACATGCCATTGAAGTCCTGACAAATTGATAGATCAACCTGTATAGTTCCTTTCATTTCGCTTGCGCATTCCACAAGCTTCGTGTTCTTAGGAGGATTGACAGGTCTAATGGAAGGATCCGCCCGTCTCGACACATGGCCTGCTGAACCATATGATAGATCTTAACATTAATTCGATTGTCCTATGGGATGGATCCAAATTAGAGTAAATGCAGCGGGTCACATCCGATCGGAGGTTGGAAGCAGAGTTTCAGACTGATCACATCTCTTTAGTACCGTATACATCGTGTTCAAGGTGGAGAAGAGGAGTATATTTTCCGGTAGGCGGTAACTTAATGCAAACATAGTGCAAACATCTCTTATCAATCGTATCAGGGAAAAAAAAGTTGCGCTGGGAAGAATGATCCCTTCTCCCATATTTCATGCAAGTGCTCCATTCTCCATGCTTTCCGAATCATTCATAGCGGCGACGCTGTCATCCGCTAAAACTCCGACCGCCACTCTCAGGGATGTCGGGATTTGCGTGCATGAATTCCAGCCTTCGCCTCAGATTCGCTCCACTTTCAAGAAGAGCTCTACTACTCCCAATTGCTTGGCTGTGACCCCGTCGCATATTTTCACTGCTCAGGCAGACAAGGCTGTAGTTCATGTCTATAGTCGGGAGAAGGGAAACCAAGAAGCTTTGATCCCATTTCCAGAGCGGATCCGCAGCATTGCTGTCGCGGGCACCAAATATGGAGACGTTCTAGTACTAGGTACCGAGGGCGGCAGGTTGATTCTTTGGGAGGTATGACTTGTCAATTTACGCTTATTTCTGCTTATCTCCTTTTGTTGTGTTCCCACTTTGGACCTATCATACTGTGAATTTGAAGCTAATCCTGCACCCCGTGTTTCAGACATGTACAGGTCGTCAAGTGGCTACCACAGCCTCCCATCTTCAACCCGTCACATCGCTTGTCGTCGACCCCACCTCCAACTTCATTCTTTCGGGCTCCTCAGATGCTAGTGTCCACGTCTGGTCCATTCCCGGCATCCTTTCATTCTCTAAGCCCGCCCAAACTCAAGACCGACAGCCACCTAACTCTCCCATCCGTACTTTCTCCAATCATCGTGCTGCTATTACCTCGTTGGCTGTAGGACACAGCAATGGCCGAAACAACATTGCTGTCTCAACAGCAAAGGATAACACCGCCATTGTGTGGGATTATCAGACCGGACGTGTCCTTCGAACCTATCTACTTCCAGTCTCGGCAACCTCTGTGACCTTGGACCCCGTAGACCGAGCTGGATACGTCGGATACGAAGATGGAAGCGTGCAGTCAATTGAGTTTTACCGTAGCAACTCGACACAGCATGCTCTTCACGACTCATCCTTACAATCAACCCCAGCCCAAGTCTCCGCCGAGGACCGATGGCTTCCTCCATCTTCAGAATCGGGCGCTGTGCACGCCCTCTCGCTTTCATATGATGGCGCGACTCTGTTTTCCGCACACGAAAGCGGCAAGGTTCTATCATGGACTGTGGCTCGCCGCAAGTTCGCAACCACTGTTGCCGATTATACACACCCTGTAACCAACTTGGTCGTCCTGCAGCCAAGTGGACTTTCTACTTCCTCGCAGGAATTGAACCGCACCACCCACACCGTTGTCAAGCCTAGACATGATGGTGCACTCTCCGACCCTGCTCATGCACCTGGAGCCGTTCCCGCAGCTTACTCTTTCCACACTCATTTGCTTGCCTCCTCGCGTCCTCAATCTCGCCAACCATCGCAATTTTCCTCCGCCCTTGCTCATGCATCATTTCCCAACTCCATGATTGAAGAGGGTCTTGCAGAGCTAGCTTCTTTCCGTCAGTCAGGAACCGACGGACCTCGTGTTGTAATGACCACTCCTGCCGTCTCGGATTCTATGGTTGACGCAGGTCAAGATGAGCGCGTCGCGGAGCTGGAATCGGAAATTGATTTGCTGAAGAAGAAGGCTGCAGTCAGTGATAAAACCCGCCATACCTCTGCGGAGGAAGTTGTCCAGTTACGCTCCGATCTTGCTCAACTGCAGGATTACATTAACCAGCTACATGAGAAGCAAGAGACTGCGCAGCAAGATAAAGTGCAGCGTCAGGCAAGGAAGGAGGCGCAGGAAACCAAAAGACGTGAGGCATGGTTTGCTGCGGAGAAGAAAGGGCGCAATGGCGATGCAGTCATGAGGAAAATGGAGATTGATGATGGCATGTTGACCAGTGACTCCGATGACCAAAGTGATGAATAAGGCTTTGAAAATGTTTATAAAATTTGATATTCTTCGGACTTGACCTGGCGCTCGGCTTGACTATTGGCATACTCTTTACAGCATAATTGGAATTCTCCAGACTAGAATTGAAGACATGACTCTCTATGTACTCGTACCTTGCTCAATGACTATATTCCTCATCTCTAAATGATGCCTCCCAAGTTTCGAATCTCATCAAAATAATGATTCTGAATTTTGATAATCTTAATATTGAAATTTACCTCAATGTCCAATTGAAATAGTCAAAGCTAAAAACACATCATCAACAAAAGTAGTATATCACAAGCCTCCTCGAACACAATAGCCCGGCTATTGATCCAAGCCAGAGGAAGAAGAGCAGAGAGAAATCAGGATAGGAAAAAAAATACAAAAGATACAGCGCCACCAATCAATTGGCAATCATGCATAAACCATGACAAGGAACATAATGCAGCAAAAGCAAATGCCATATCGATCATAACGCCGGAGTTCTTGAACTGGCCATCTCACCATACCGTCCACGGCCCTGGGTAGTATCATAAGCATTCAAAACACGCATTTGACCGCCATCATCAGCTTGTGAAAAGGCGTATCCACGCTGCTTGCGCATGCGTTGTACCTGTCGGACTTTCCGAATAGCCTTTTGGAACTGCTCCATCCGGGGTCGGTAGTCCTGGACATTGTACTTTTGGATCTCCTGGACGTGATGATAATGCTGTGGGTAGTACATGCGCTTAGCATACTTCCAAGCAAAGTCACGCAGAAGACACAGTGCGGGCAAGGCAAATGCCATGAGGTAGAAGATGGGTGACTTGAAGAGGACGGGGATTGTTCCGTAGTATTCAACGGAGAAGTTGAGAGCGGGCGCTGCGTAACCGTAAGCTGGAAGGAAAATAAGCCATAGCAGCATGGATCCGGGAATCGCGATGAATGTGTATTTCGTCCAGATGTTGGAAATCAAAGCTGCCTTGCCGAGTACGGTGCCCAGCACAGCAGTGTATAGTGCCTCGCCCCAAACCCAGTGACCGGCCGTGTGACCGTCAAACATGGGTAGATCCCAAAGGAAGATCAACTCCGATGCAATGTACAGAAGGAGGGAGTGGAAGAACCCGTTGAGAACCCAAGCCCAGAAACTATGTTTCTTGAAGAAGAGTCCTTTCTGGCCCATTTGGTACAATTGGGGGTATCGATCCAAAAGTCGTGCGGAAATGTACTGGTCAAAAATACCCATGGCGAAGGGAGGCAGAACGGTAAAAAGCACGTTGTAGTATGAAAGGGTCCATGATTCGTAAATGACTTCTCCAGAGAAGGCGTTTTGGAAGGAATACTAGGGAGGTGTTAGAATGTTGTGGTCGATATAAATGAGGAACAACGTCAAAACTTACCCAGAACTGTGTCATGTACAGTGTAATGTTCTTATAGAAAGAGTACAAGATGACACGACTGATGCGAGAATAACTCCATGCTCCGTGAACCAACAACAGTTTTCGGAGGAATCGGAACTGAGCAATTGCCACATCGGCAGATCGAGCAGCTTGGAGACCTTCCATACCGCTAATACCAACACCGACGTGAGCTGCTTGAATCATGGATACATCGTTCGCACCATCACCGATAGCCAAAAGGAGAGATTTGAGGTGGCGTTTAACAAGCTTGACGACCAAAGCCTTCTGCAAGGGAGAGACACGGCTAAAAAATACTCATTAGTTAATTTGCTTACATCGGGATTTCAGCTGCACTTACCAACAAACCACTGCCTTGCATACCACAGCAAGATCCAGGAACAACCTTTCCATGTCTTTCTCCAGTGCGAAAGTCAAGGACTTGCCGTCAATGACCAAGGCCAGAGTCTCAATATCGCCAGAATTCGCTTGACTCTTGACAGCGTCCAACTTCGATTGTAAGTTGGCGCGTGTGGCTTCCGCTGACTCCTCGTTAATGATCAGAAGAGTCATATCCTCAGAGATCAGTTTACAAGACATGCCAATATTGATAGCGGTCTCTTGACGGTCACCAGTCAAGACCCAGATCTTGATTCCTGCAGTCTGAAGCGTGTGGATAGTATCCGGCACACCATCCTGCAGTCGATCTTCGATAGCGGTGGCACCAAGGAGATAGAAATCCTTTTCAATCAACTCAGCCGCCTTGTCCAGTTCTTCAGCACGGTTACCGCCGACAGTAGTAGCAGCCTTATCGAAAATTTGCCACCATCGATGGAATTCATCATCGGGAACCTCCCGCATCGCAAGACAGAGAGTACGGAGACCATCGGAAGCATACTCTTCAAGATGCTGCAGAGTTGCCTCCACGGTAGGGTTGTCTGGATGAAGACGCTCAAGAATTACTGTATCGGCACCCTTACAGTAGATGCGAACTTTGCCATCTGGGCAGCGGAAAATCGTCGACATTCTCTTTCGCGTCGAATTAAACTCGCAGACAGCCAGCAGCTCATACTCAAATTCTTGACCGCCAGCTTCAAACAGAACAGATCGAGGTTTGCGGTTTGTGAAGCGGTATCCTAAAGAAGCAGCGCCGTCCACCAGAGCACCCTCGTCGGGGGAGGCTGCCTGGTACTTGATTTCATTTGGATCAGATCCATTGCGTTCGGGAATGACTGTGTGGCAGGTAGCCAGTAGAGTGAGGAATTGCTGGATGAGAGCTTGAGTAGGGTGCGATTGTAAGTTCTGGCGAAGGGTCTTCAAGTCGTAAACACCATACTCAGCATCCTCAGCAGATGTCACACGCCGGTCTTCGGAAACGTCGTCTCCGTATTGAATGCCACCAATAGAACATTGCTTGAACTCCATTTGATTGCAAGTCAATGTTCCAGTCTTGTCCGAGAAAATATACTCAATCTGCCCAAGTTCTTCGACCAGAGACGATGTACGACATGTCGCAGGAGTATCGGTCTCTGGGTGATAGATGTCCAAATCAGAATTGATCAGATAGGCCTGGAAGTACTTGACGATTTCAATGGTGACAAAGAGGGAGATTGGGACCAAGTTAGAGTAAAGCACCCAGTATGTGAAGATATCCATGAAGAACTGCTTGACCAGATTGACATCTCCATAATCAAGGTAGACGAGTGACGAGGATTTGGTTTTACGGATAACCAAGTCGCCGACCGAACTGACAACACTGAGAGCAACGAGGATGCCCACCAGCATAAGAATCTGAATATTGACCTGGCGCTCGACGGCTGTACGCTTGATCGGAGTTGCTGTAGCATTTCGCATCAATTTGGTCTCATGTCCGGTGAAAACAACAATACCATGAATCCAGGGAGTATTACGCAGAGTTGCGCCACGAAGAAGCAACTGGTCGGGAGCAAGAGACAATTCTTTCTCACCACCTCCCGCGTTCATCGTCAACGTGGCCTCGTAAGTGTACAGACTGCTGTTCGGTTGTTCGGATCGGACTCGGCCACCCAGGCGACCCAAATCGCTGGGGCTCACAAGATGAGCAGTTTCGGGGATAGCCTGCTTGATCTTCAAATTGGTCTCGCCATCCAAATTGGCTGTCTCAATGTAACATAAACCCTCGGGTTCGGACGAAGCCATGAGAACCAAATCAGCGGGAAATGGCTGCTCCGACTCGACTCGAACAATGTCACCGACTACCACGTCCACCCATTTTGCTTCATGGAAAGAAGAACCTCGAAGAACCTGCGTCTTGGAATAATTCAATCCTCGATCTGACATTCGGCGCTTGTAATCTTCGACTAATTCCTTGATCGCGGATACCGTTAACACGATAACCAACGGGACAATAGTGGTGTATTTGCTCGTCGGAGAAACATTGGGAATTTGTTGGAGAACAGCTGTGAGCAAGAAGAAAAGGTTGGCGTATTTGGAGAATTGCTCGAAGAGGAATTTGGGAATAAAGGTGATCACGTTGTATTTCGCAGTCGATACGTGGTTGCTGATGAATTTGTGCACGGCGTTCGCAGGAGGGTTGTTGACTTGGATGATACGAGGACACAGGCTTGCGGGGTCAACCTTTCGTCGTCCAAATATGGATGTGAGATCGGATGCGCTGAACTTCTTCTTTGTCTTGGGTACAGCTGCCGCTCCACTAGAGCTTTCGACTGCGGCTCTTCTGGCTCCAGCCTCCGTTAATGGAAGGTCCATTTCGGAGTACTGTGGCCCCATCCCAAACATGTATTTCGCCTTGCCCATAATTCCACCTCCCAACCCCATGATACTGTTCCGCTCGTTCGCTTTTCGTACATGATGCGCGCTGGAGATCCTGTCTTCGTCCGCATCGAGATCATAATAGCCGGAATGGGAATCTTCAAGTTCGTCAAAGGAGTACCGTTGGTAGTTATCAAGGCCGGAGGTCTGGGAATAGGTTCGGCTGTGGGAATTGTCGGCATAAGGATCGTTCATGTAAACTCCAGGATTGGCGGCATGCGCCGGGCCAGAAGCGACATTTTGATGGGCTCCAGCCTGCTGCGCGCGACTGCCGACAAAACTATCATAGGATATGGAAGGGCGAGATTGTGCTGCGTAGGGCTGGTCGGAGTCGTCAATGTTGTATTGTTCAAGTAGATGCTCGTCGTTCACGGGTGGGGGCTGGCCGGAGTTATACGTTGGACCAGAGTCCAGGAGCAAGTCATCATCGTGGCCAGCCGCTGGATGCGATCCGGGAGGCCTACCGGCCATGATGCCGCGGAGGGGAAGCTAATACCCTCACTGAGAGCAATGGTAGTGCCCCTGAGGCATAGATCGGAACCGACGGAGATCGAAGACAAAGAGAAGCGTCACAACGGGATCTATCAGAGGATACCTCAAAGGTTCAATATTTACGGCAAACAGACTCAAAGCGACACGGTGGTGAGTTGAGTGAGAGAGAAAAAAAGACGAGTCAAGAATGAGGTGGCTTAGCGAAGGCAGCAAGTAACTAAAGCTGTTGTGATCGTCCCGCTTTTTCTCGGGCGGTAAAAGACCCCAACTCTAATTCGGCGGAGATCATAATGGTCTTTTTAGGGTGAAGATCAATCAAAATATTTCCAATTGGACTCCATAGGATTAATTCTACTAAGGTCAATAGACATCAACTCATATGCGCTCTATCAAGAGGTGGTTGCTTGGCATCTCCGCAGTCGGGCATAGATTGACACCTGCAGCCAACATCTTAAATAGTGAAATGATGATCGACGGACGAGAAGGAACCATTGGAAGAGAACCGTAGATGAGTAAGAATATTGATTTTGATAAGACCTAAGTCAAACTGGAAACCCGTCCAGGAATTTTGGATCAAATGATCCTAAGTGTAAATTATGTACAGAGACCCCTATAAAAACACCAGAGGGCTTGAAAGTAAAGATAGCGATAAAAAAAAGTGGAGTAAAGGAGAATGAGCCGGGAAGATTTGGGTTGAAAAGCCCTTGGAGTTGAAGGAAGACTCGTTGAATCAGCGGTCATTCGCTGCCTTGGCCGCATTGGTCATACCAAGCTCTGCACGCTGGGCGAGATCGGCCTTCAGTGCCGTCTGCAAATTAGCATTGTGCTCTTTGATTCTCTCAGCAGCGACTTGGATCATGTTAAGGGTTGACATTGGGTTGGAAGCGACGCCTGCCATCTTTTCGTAAAAGCACAAAAGACCACTGTCATCCATGGCAATCACAAACTCTCCATCGGCGGCCAGCTCTTCCTTGTAGGTGGGATCAATAATATGGTTCTTGACATCGTTGAAGAAGAGAACGGAGACGCAGAGAGGCTGGCGGGTGATGTTCAGAGGGACTGGGACTCGTTCCTCAAGTCTGTAGATGATGGCTTCGCCACCACGCGACTCGGAATCGGGACGGCGGAAGTGCTGTAAGGCAGTCATGATTGCCATGCAGGCAGCGTCGGTCAGGTTGCCATCGTAATCAACAACATGAACATACGCAGTAATGTTCCAGCAGCTGACACCCTTAACAATGCACAGCGATTCTGTATCGAGAGCGTTGGAATGACGGACGACTCGGTCAAGGACATGGACAACCTGAGATTCAAATTCGCTGGGGCTTTGAGAGAGAGAGAGAGAGAGCTTATGTTAGCAAGGCTTCATCAGAGTCAGAGTCAGGAGATGAATCCTTACCGGCCACTTTCCCAACCGGGACTGCCCATGGGAGTCAATTCCATATGGATATTGAAGGTACCATCGAAAGGGCGATCTTGGTGAGGCTTGCCAACAGTGGCTGACATCCGGACAATCACGCTGGAGAACTTTTGTTAGACCCTGAAATTTGCTTTGCTCATATCTAGGTAGGACGTACTTGGTTTTTCCCAGCTGAAGATTTACATGTCCGTAGTCTTCGCCGAAGGAGACTTTCAGCTCTCGGTAGTCATGGTCACCTCGGCCATCATGGCGATAGCCTTGGCGCAGACCACTGAGAATGAACTCATGTTCGATGGCGGCCAGAGTTTCCTTTGACATCTTTTGACCGGTGCCAAAGGAAGGGAGAGTATGTTCAGCGGGGGCAGCTTTAGCTACCTTTGGTTTGCGGCAGAGCCGCGACAAAAAACGCATTTCTGCCATGGTAGCGGGCGGTGAGTGAAGCGGTGTGGAGGGAACATTCAAGTCAGGAAGGCGGTGAGAGAAGTATTTAAACTCACTGGTGCCTGGAAATTCCGGCATGTAATTCACATTTAACGTATTCGGTAAGCGAGCTGGACATGTAAGCGAGCTGGCCACCCCACCCAAAACGCGTCCATGTATTAGCACTTAGTCAATTCAACCCCCCTACTATGCCACCAATTCGCTCCCAAACCTCACGAAATTCAGCTGAGCAGGAGGGTAGGATTTTGTTAGCTATACAAGCTATAAAAAATCAAGAAATTATCTCGATTCGTGAAGCAGCACGTCGGTTTAATGTGCCGAAATCAACCCTCTCTACCCGTCTCCGTGGTGTTCAAAACCGCGCGAATACACGCGCCAACTCGCATAAATTGACAGAAACCGAAGAGGAAACGCTTCAAAAATGGATCCTCTCGCTTGATGATCGTGGAGCAGCGCCCCGGCCGACTACTGTACGAGAAACTGCGAATCTTCTTCTCGAGGCCCGTGGAATTACCCCAGCTCAAACAGTCGGCGAAAAATGGGTTTATAATTTTGTAAAAAGGCATCCCGAACTATCGAACCGGTGCTCGAGACGTTATAATTACGAACGTGCGAAGTGCGAAGATCCAAAAATCATCAGTGAATGGTTTAATCTTGTTCAAAAAACTATACTCCAATACGGCATCGACCCTGATGATATTTACAACTTTGATGAGACTGGTTTTGCGATGGGATTAACAGCGACCGCAAAAATTGTTACAAGATCTGAATACTATGGTCGACGATTGCTTTTACAACCTGGAAATCGCGAGTGGGTGACTACAATTGAATGTATAAATGCTTCTGGATGGGTGCTACCGCCATGTGTGATTTTTAAAGGCAAAGTTTTTCTTGAGTCTTGGTTCGATAATCTCCCAGATAACTGGCAATTTGAAGTAAGTCCAAATGGCTGGACATCTGATGAAATTGGTATTCGTTGGCTTCAAAATCTCTTTATTCCATCAACTTTTTCACGGTCAAAAGGCCAATATCGACTTTTAATTCTTGATGGCTATGGAAGTCATTTAACACCAAAGTTTGATAAAATTTGTGAAAACAACAACATCATACCAATTTGCATACCTGCATATTCATCACACCTTTTACAGCCACTCAATATTGGTTGTTTTGAGGTATCAAAATGCTCATACAGTCGGATGGTTGAAATGAAAATACGGCTTGGGATCAACCATATCGATAAACTTGATTTCCTTGAAGCATATCCCCTTGCCCGAATTGAGACATTTAAATCGGAGACTATTAAAAATAGCTTCGCAGCTGCTGGTTTAATACCTTTTTGTCCCAATCGGGTTCTATCAAAGCTCAATGTTTGTCTTCATACACCAACACCTCCACCAAGCCATGATAGCGATTCAAGCCAGAACTTCACACCAAAAACCCCGTTTACCGAAAAACAACTACGTCGACAAGCTTCATCAATTAAAGCTTTACTTCATACAGGATCTCAAAGTCCCCCCCAGCCCGTCAGATCGTGCGATGAACCAACTTGTTAAAGGCTGTCAACTCGCGTTACAAGGCGCTGCAATCTTAAGAAAGGAAAACAGCGAATTACGCGCTGCCAACGAGAAACAAAAGCAAAAACGAACTCGATCAACTAGACAGATAGCCCACGAAGGGGATCTCTCAGTTCAAGAGGTTCGTGAGCTACGTTCAGAGCCATTCGAGGCCCAAGTAGCACGAATCAATAGCTATCGTGAGCAGGTTTCAGAGGGTTTACAGCCACGTACGCGGGGCCAGCGAGGATGTGGAATATGCAGGCAGCCAGGACATAGAAGAGAAACATGCCCAGACAGAGAAAATAGCTAGTTTGATTAATTTAAAAGCGCGTTGGTTGAGAAAAATATATTTCAAATTAATAAATTAAGTTGGGTGGCCAGCTCGCTTACGTACATGTCCAGCTCGCTTACCGAATACGTTAACTAAAACTAGTTACCTCACTTACTTTCATTTTCTCCTTCACTGACTCCCCAATTTTCTCTTTTTTTATTTTCTATTTTTTGTAAATCAAATTTCTTTGCTCACTTAAACAAACTGTGATCCAAATCTACTGGAATTGTTCAATTTTTGATATTAAACCATAGCACTAACAGTAATATAACTTGAACTCAAATGCCTTCCAATGTTCAGCTAAAATATATACCAGATAAGACCCCATTGCCTAGTACCTACTAGTGCTACTACTATTCAAACTTTTGAATGATGGTTTCCAAATTGCTGGGAATTTCAACAAAACCTGACTTATACAGCCCCCTCCAAGATGTCAGAGCAGCACCTGGCATTACAGCCTGAGACTATCAAGACTCCGAGGTCCCGCTCCAATAAACACGGGAGATCTTGGCGCAAACGGGCCGCCAAGCCACTGCCCAAGGTTCCTACTACTTCCTGAACTCCGGTTCACAGAGTTCAAGTTACAAGCAAAGAAGGAAAAAAAAGAAATAATCACTTTGCGATATGATCGCCTACATTGGGTGAGGCTGACTGGGCATTACCTATTGAGTATGTGATGCTGACCTTGGAAGGGGCAGTGTATAGATGCTGTGTCAACATCTGGGGCAACAGCCGAACTATAACGCCCTGCTTTTGACAGCCTCTTTACCAGAGACAAGATCGACATGAGACCCCAATCTCGGAGATATAACATCTTGAGTTTTGACCTCCGATGCAAAGCGAGCCGCATCACTGCTCCCCGCAAGTTCAAATGGGAATAGTCTTTGTCCTCCAAGACCTTGGCGTCTGGGCGCTTCCCTAACAAGGACCAAATGACATATCTTATTATTCACATTTGAAAGAAATCTGCACTGATAAGGGTGAAGTTCTGGGGAACACCGTGACTGTCTACACATATGCAGTAAGTACTGGTAGTAGGATCACTTCATGTTTGTATAGATGTTGACGGGTATGCATAGGTGATACAACACAGCCTTGGGGCTTAGTACAGCTGACTGCATATACTATGAGAAAATGACCAGCTAAAACGAATTCCAAGAAACTTATCCAGAATTGAAGCCATAAATCTCTTGGCTTGGTTAGGCACCGTAACGCTGTTCCATCTGTCATCCTATCTACTCCGCATTTCAGAGAAAATGCCTTGGCTCTCCACTTAGCTTATCTGGATGAATGATTAAATGAAATTTAAATTCTGCGAATGACATTTGTTCTTATCTTTTCTGACATGCAGAAAATTTGGACTTGTCTGTAACTTGTGGTGCGCGTTTCTAACGTGCAGTTTGTTCCATCCTCAACGTGTTCACAGTCCTTCTTCCTTTTACTATCTCACCCCAGCCCCTCACCCAGCTTCTTAAGGTCAGTACAGGGTTAATATTGAAGCCTAGGATAAAGAGATCACATACCTTGATATCTGGCATACCTGAAAATACCACCTGGGCGCCGGTGCCTTCATTATCATCCATCGCTGCCTCACTACCAGCCATCTCTACCTCATATTATTTCTCGAGTCTTTCCTCTTCTTCCATCTTGATGTTGTGCTGAGCAATCATGGAAGCATCGGAGATCAAGCCCCAGATTTTTGATTCAGGAGACCCCCTGAAGACTGAAGTTAGCAAGGAAGATGTGGCTACCGCAGAGGAAGGTGGTCTTTCTGATCCAACCCATGTTGATCTCCACAGAGCCTTGAAGGCTCGACACATCACAATGATTGGTGAGAACTACCCGAACAGAGGAATAGGTGAAGAACTGACAGTGTATAGCCATTGGCGGTGCAATTGGAACTGGTTTGATTATTGGAACGGGCGAGGCACTTGCAAAGTAGGTGCCCAAATGCTATCTGTGTGCAAAAGACGAATATGCTAACTTTATCTACTTTCTCCTTCCAGGGCCGGGGTATGTATCCGATGGTAGTTCCCTACTTGATGTCCGAGTTCTAACCTTGATAGCCCGCTTCCATACTCATTGCCTACGCCTGGGTTGGATTCATTGTGTACTTGGTAATGTGTGCCCTCGGAGAAATGGCCGCATGGTTACCCCTCCCATCAGGTTTCACAGGTTATGCCGTGCGATTCTGTGACCCGGCGCTCGGATTCACGCTAGGTTGGACGTATGTATTACAGACTTGGCCTAAGAGATTGACCACTGACGGACTTTTTAGATACTGGTTCAAGTACATAATCCTGTCCCCAAACCAATTGACTGCTGGCTCCCTGGTCATATCTTACTGGATTCCTACTGAAAAAGTCAATGCCGGAGTATGGATCACTATCTTCCTGATCTTGATCGTCTGCATAAACTATTTTGGAGTGCGTTTCTTTGGCGAATTCGAGTTCTGGCTATCCTCCTTCAAGGTCATTGTGATCCTTGGTATCATTCTTCTTTCCTTCATTCTCATGCTGGGTGGAGGCCCGGATCATGATCGCAAAGGCTTTCGGTACTGGAAGAACCCAGGAGCATTCAACACATACATCGAAAAAGGAGATGCAGGGCGATTCTTCGCTTTCTGGTCCACCATGGTCACTGCTACATTTGCCTACCTCGGAACAGAGCTTGTTGGTGTGACTGTGGGTGAAGCGCAGAATCCTCGGCGAACAATCCCCCGTGCAATCAAACTGACGTTCTGGCGAATCCTCGTATTCTACGTCCTTTCGGTTCTTCTCGTCGGTACCTTGGTTCCATACAACGACAAGAAGCTCGCATTTGCCGTGGGCGCCAACAGCTCAGCTGCAGCTTCACCCTTTGTCGTCGCTATCGAACTGTCTGGGATTCCCGTGCTATCTCACATTCTGAATGCGTGTATCCTCCTCTTCGTCTTTTCAGCTGCGAACTCCGACCTGTACATCGCCACTCGCACGATCTATGGCTTGGCTCGCGAGGGAAAAGCGCCAAAGATATTCGCAAGAACTGACCGTCGCGGTGTCCCCGTCTTTGCCCTGGGAATTTCCTCGGCTTTTGCGCTGCTTGCCTACATGAACGTCTCCAGCGACGCAAATACCATCTTCAAGTACTTTGTCAACCTAGTCACGATCTTCGGCCTTTTGACTTGGATCTCAATCCTCGTCACTCACATTTACTTTGTCCGAGCCCGAAAGGCACAAAATGTACCCGTTGAAAGTATGGCATATGTCGCCCCTCTAGGCGTGGCAGGCTCCTATGGTGCTTTGGCATTTTGCATTCTTATTGCATTCACGAAGAACTACGATGTTTTCACTCATAACAAGAAATGGGGCAATTTCGACTACAAGAACTTCATCACAGCTTACCTCGGCATTCCTCTGTATCTGATCTTGATCTTCGGGTACAAGATCGTGACTGGCTGCAAGGGCGTCAAGCCCGAGGAGGCTGATTTGTGGACTGGAAAGGACGAAATTGACCGCGAGGAAGCTGCTTTTGTTGCTCGAAAGGAGGCTGAAGCTGAGAAGCATGTTCAGGCTCACTGGTTTTATCGAAAGTTTGTGTCGTGGCTTTTCTAGCTTAATTTTTGTTGGGCGATAGACAGCCTTGGAAGCTGTCGTCTATGCATGCACGCAGCACATGTGGTTTTTACCTAGTTCAAGAACTTACCTTTTAGTTTTGCCTAATGTTACTCCTTGAACCTAATCTTTGAAATAATCTTAAACCTCTCCTATTTTGCGACACGGGACGAGTTTCTACTCCGGTTCAAGGTTCCAAAGTGGCTTGATAGCACCAGCCCCCGCATTGCGGCTCTATAACCCCTCACTTAGAAGTTGGAACTCACTCAGTCCAAAACGAGCATCTGATATTTCCTTCCCATCTCCTAGCTTACGAGCAACACATATTAACTACTTACAATTCCTTATCTGAAGTCATATAAGAGTCCAAGGGTGGAGGTGAATCCAAGCGCCAAAACGGGCCATTCCATGGCAGATGAGCCCAACGCAAGGAGAAAGCCAAGAAGAGTCAAAGGTACAAATCAAACACGATTACTAATTCATTTATCGCAATTTTCGTAACCCAAACTTTCTATAGGATGTCACAACTGCTCTCAGAGGCGAATAAATTGTGATCAGGGGACCCCGTGTCAAAAATGCGTCAAGAAGGGTCTTCAGTGTTCCGGTCTGGGGATCCGCTATCGCTTCAATAATGGAGTCGCATCAAGGGGTAATTTGGCGGGGGAAAAGATCCCAGTTAAAAATTCCAGGTATAATCTTCATTTTTGAAGACTATACATAGTGCTGACATGCTGACATCGATCCATTCATGCAGTCCTGATCTAACTTCCACTTATGGCGAACCGACTGCGCAAGAGGAGCCCCAGTATGAAGATGCTTTATCAATGTCAACTGTCTTACCTTCAGCGATTCTGGACCACTTGGATCGGAGATCTCGGTTTCTACTGAACTACTGTATGAGACCATCCATTTTGATGCTTGGATTTTTCTAACACTAGGCAGTCTCACAAAATGTTGCACCAGCCATGATCGCTATCAATACCCTCTTCAATGGCTACAATGACCTCATATTACCCATATCAGAGCACGATGTCATGGTGAGAAATTCAATACTCGCGGCATCCACGTCTCACCTTGCCATTCAACATGCAGAATGGAAGAAGGACGCGACGAATTATCATATGGCTGCGATCAAAGGTCTTACACAACAAATACACGACGGACATCTAGACGACACCCTCATATACTCTAGTCTATCTACTATGGTCCTCCTCTTAATACAAGAAATGGTTACCGCTCGAACGAGAGACTTCCAGATCCTTCTCAGAATGATACAAAGTTTTGTTGAGTCACAGGGAGGCGAAGTCATCATTGAAAAAAGCTCTCTCGGAAAGTTTCTCATTCAACAAATTCGAAAGTCTGTGTCTATCCCATCCCGCTCATCTAAAAATTGATGATTAAAAGCTAACTGTATCACTAGGATGTCACTGTATTCTGCGCCTCTCATTTCTGAGAGCCTAGCAATCCAAACTCTACAGAATGTCACCCGAAAGGACCTGGAGTTCCTATACGGGTCTCTCGAAACCAATCCAACCAATTTCCCTCTGATATTAAAAATAGCTAGTCTCATCCATGGCGCAGCAAGCGTTTATCTTGCTAGAGCCTGCAATGCGTCAGATGACCATGTTTTCATGCTGGTGCAGCATTTCTTAGCGGAGACGGCTACTTTCAACGCAAGTTCTCCTGGGGGACATATTTTAATATGGCCATTTTTTATTGTTGGCACAGAGTGCTCACTGGAGGCTGATCGGCAGTTTGTCATTGAACAGCTAGATAGTCTGTGGAGTGCTACTGGATTTGGGAGTACCTTGTATGCGATTGAGCTTCTGAATAACATATGGCAGGGGAAACATGGAGGAAACTTGACAAAATTTCTCGCTGATAAAGTTGAAGGGTTTATAATGTGAGACGTCTCTTGATTGAATACTTTATTTATTTACCAAGTCCTTTTTTAGTCTTCATTAAATCTTAAAAGGTCCACATGTGCAGGCTGTGTATGCTTCATAGAATATAATATAAGATTAATTGAAACTAAAATCAAAAATAGAAAAAAAAGAAAATCCAACTTTCCCTTCATCAGCCTCCGTATTTCCAATTGGAAACTACCTTGAAACCATTGCACCCGCTCTTGAACACCCTCCTAAGACAATCTATCTATCCCTACTAATACCAGTAGTACCGCTGAGAGCCAATCTTATTTTTTGTTCCTCGAAGATCTTCGAGGATTCCGTCGCTTTCCAGAGTTCTCTTCGGAACTACTATTCCCACGCCGGAAACGCTTCCCAGAATCTCGACTACTACCACTACTTGGCATAGTAATGAACTCATCAAAAGCATCCGGGGAAGCAGGATCCACTGGATGAGGATCTCCAGACCCCTGTGCAGGGCCTGCTGCAGGGCCTATTGCAGGAGGTGCACCAGGAAGATTAAATATAGGGAATTCTATCATACGTTAGAAATTCGACACGCGAATTTGTTCATTGGATAAACTTACCTTGGGAGTTCGGTACCACAAAAATTGTAAAACAAGGCCGAAGTCCATTTGGCGTGGGACCTCGATCTCTATTTCTCTTGCCATAATACCACGGAAAAAACTCTTGATAGGTACGGCGCACAATTTCCCGGAATCCATTTTCAGTGAGTATGGGTGTTCGATCAGTCGCATTCATAAGCATCATTCTCCATTGGTGTGAGGGTCTAAAGCTCCACCAGACACTGCCTTCCGTCGTCATCGCTCCCAAATCAATCAGACGATTGACGAGGGTCAAGATTTGAAGGCCCTTGCAGTCTATCCACATGTCATCAAAGCTCACAAAGTCGTCTTTCAGATAGTCTGGATTGAGAGGCGAGTCATCGGCCAAAGCCTCAGAGAGATTGCAGCTGTGAAACTCATGTTGGCTGCAATCGGTGGGATTATCGGGATCAGGAACTACAACTAGTAAAGGCGCATTCCAGACCAAATCATCATTGTTGTAGTCAAATCTACTAGCGCGAATGCCTGGCAACTCATTATTAGCAGGATCATGCATGAAAGCAGGATCATATGGATAACCAGGATCAAATCCAACAGGAGGAGCAGCCGGAACAGCAGGAGCGAAAGGTGGATCAGGAACTGAATGATCGAAAGCTGGCGCAAAATCTGGATTAAAACCTGGATCAAAAGCTGCAGCTGAAGCAGCAGCGGCAGCAGCAGCAGCACCCTCAGGATCCAATCTGGCCAATTTGAATGCAGCTACATCTTCTTCCACCGCTTCATTTCTATCCTGTCTACTTAGGATCCATAACTTCCTAACTTTCTTGTATGCCGCTGTCCCTGCAATATTTCTATAATTTTTGGGATCAAACCCATCTCTTTGGAGACCTCTGAACCGTTGGCCTTTGCGCCATTGACGCCAAAGTTTTCTTAATCCTTCGAGTGCCCTTTCTCTGGTCTCGAAATCCAGGATCCTCGCATTCAAATGTGCGGGAAATCGATATGCTTCAACAACTCCAATGATATACTCTTCCCACTCCTTCGTCATGTGCCCAGGTCTTAATGGGCCGAATCCCGTTTGTATCTCAATATCTTCTAGAATGTCTATGACAGATATTCGCTCAGCATTTTGGTCGGGCTCAATAAGATTCAAGTCCTGGTGCGCCCAAAGACCATACATTGGTAATCTAGCTATAGATTGCTTGACTGGGGGCTCGGACGCCATGGCTGTGAATTATCACTGTGGAGTCTAGATAACATTTGAATCAGTACTAAGCACTGTGGTGCATAGAGGGAACTTGAAACTGCTTGAACAACTTGATTGTACTGGACGTACTATAAATGCTAGAGTTTGGAGTAAAGAATTGTGAAGTTATTGCAGTGGGCAGTGGTTTTTCAAGTAGCACTTCAAGTTGATTATTAACTTCAGTGTTCAACAGGTGTCTATCCTCGGCGGCGACTTGGGTTAAATAATTACTTTTAATCCTAGCGCTACCCCAGTAGGATTTGTTGATTTTGGTGAAGTCTCGCTGAAGCTATTGATAGTAATGCTATTAATAAAGAATCAGAGGCATTTGAAAGTACGTTTCATGTCAATAAAAGACTCGTTGAGAGGGATTCTAAACTTGGAAATCCTATTGCTTTGAGCTATAATGTTCATCCCGGGGCTTCCATAATGGTTTATGGGCTTAAATTCCTGATACAAAAGACAATATGAAAGGCGGAAGCCTTCGAATGTTTGCCATCAACCTCTTTAAGAATCCGAGTCATCGGCGTCATTCCAAGGTTCTGTTGATAGATCCAGAAATAGTCACAGCACAGTTCCGGGTCTCTCATGATTTCAAAAGCCCTGGATCGATTTCAGCTACTCAAATGAGTTTCTTTGCTATATCACCCCATATTGCCTATTTTTAGGCCTATTGAATATTTCAGTTTTGGCATCTAGATGCTCACTGGTCAATAGAATCCTCATCCAGAAGGCCGCAAAATTGGATTCAGGGAACACGTAAGAATCTTAGTAGTGGCAGACAGCTGATATTCACTCCGTGATAGATCTTTGGCTTAAGACTTTTGATAAAGTCCGAGGTATTGGAATCGTCTTTGGAAGCAGAACACCTAGCTTGATAGTACGTACTGTTCAAATGTTGATGGTTTTTACGACCTGAAGTACTAAGAAACCTTGGAAGTATGGTCTATTCCGCATTTAGTCCGAATATCGTGCACAAAGAGTTCATTGTGACCAAGTATATTGCTTATTAGATATCCATGGATTCGTGAATGACTAACATTTGAAGGTCTCTAACCCAAAAAGGCAGGTTAAATGAGCAATTGGAGCCCTGGAGATAAGGTTGTGCGGGGTAGACATGAGATCAGCTAGAATATTACCAACATTGGAAGATAAAATGAGCACTTCATGCAGGATAAGAGATCTAGAATAAAATTGAATGGTCTAATAGTATTCTGTCTGGTCGGAAAAGAGGTTGTCCATAATTGTGGTGCCGCCTTATCGCGAGGCCAACCATCTGATATTTCATTGAGAATAAGCTCAATAATCCCTTCAATCCTGTCTGCACATTCATCCATGGATTTTCTGAATCTCTCTTTCTCTCATTCACCAACTTTCATCTTTTGCCATGGAATGCTTTCATGCTTTGTTGCACTGGCCAGCCTTACCCACAATTTTCTGGTTCAGCTTTCTTTCTTGTTTACTATTTCTTTTCATCAAGAGTCATAGAAAGGCAGACCTGGATTCTGTTTCTGAGGAATTGCCAGAGCCAGACTGCTATCCAACAGTTGAACCTTTGCCAAATTTCGAATGGAGAAATGTGGAGCCAGTCAGGATTCGGCCTTTCAAGCCGAAATACAACCTCACAATGAGTATCTGTCGACCCTGATCAGGAGAGATAGAAGAGAGACGAGCCTTTACTAACAAGCTCATGTCAATTCTAGGTATTCAAGAAAGTACTGTCAGCGAGTTAATCGAAATCGACAAGAATTACCTCGACCGCATCGCATTGCGCAAGAAGATCATGGCACAGTACCCGGATAATGTACTTGCTGCAGAAGAGCCGGTAAAGAAAGCCGTCGATGAATTCTATACCTGGCTTGTCGGCACTTACCTCCCATCACGGTATCCTCGGACGTTTCAATTAAGATGCAGTGAGAAGGGATCAGAGCATCTATATAACTTGGCTACAAATAAGAAGGTCCAGCTTTTGCCTTCGAATGATCCAAAAGATACATTGAAAATACTCGGTGGTCTTGTTGAGGATGACTTTCTTTTCCTGCTGCCATCTGAGGATGGTGATGGCTATACACTCAAAGGCTTTGTGACTTGTTTTCCGAATGGCTTCGATACAGCTAAAAAGTTGAACTTGAAACTAAGGGATATCCATAAGCCGGTGCCACACTATAAGGAAAACCTTGAAAAGAGTATGGATCGATATTTTGCGAAGTTGAAGGTGGGAAAAGTTGTGAAGCGTGCAAATGTAAGTTCAGTTCATGGACTTGACAGACTCTTCGAAGTATTCAGTGTGAGCTTTTCTAATGACTTCTCTAGTGGGCTATTCAATCAAATGATCAATTATACAGAGCAACTGGCAACCACTTATATGAGGGCGAGGAGATTCCTGAAGAGAATTTTGACATTGATAAGGTACGTTTCTCCCAATCCATTGTTAGACTCACACTGAGTGTTCGATGTAGATGCGTCTCCGCGTTGAGAGGCAATGCCTGCATCGTTTACCTCAGAGCAAATCATTGCTCTTCTCTTTCAAAACTTTGCTTTACACTATTCCGGAAATCAAGGCGGAAGGACTTGGAGAAAGTCTTGTAGGTGCTATTGATGGACTAAGAGAGGGAAATTCCCCTGGTTTTCACCTCTACAAGCGAGCTGCTGTCTGGGGAGATTTCGTGAAGGAATACCTCCGCTCCTGAGATTGATATTTAGTCTTTGAGAGTAACCAGAGATTAAGCTTCATGTAGTAAGCTTACAATCATCTACTTCATTTATACCACAATATTTGGTCATTTGGAAAAGAAAGTTGCTTCGGGCTATAAGTCTACCAGCACCGCCTAACCTTCACGATGATCCAGACTTTTATTCTCTATGGGACTTCAGAAAAGAAAATCACCGTATCATTGTCAGAGATACTGAGCCTTGGATAAAGAAAGGTTTGTAACGAATATTGGCAGTTGAATTAAGGTCCTAAGGAAAGGCACATAGGACCAGGTCAGCCATCCCAGGTACTGGCTGATGACGTCCCTTGGATCTACACACAACCCATATCCGGCTAATCTAAGTCCTACTCAAAAATAGGTCCTTGCATGAATCTCAAATGAAAAGGAAGTGATATACCTTCAAAAGAAGATCCAGCACAGTCTCGCCACCCCATCCTCTCACAACATTGTCGATCATTTGAACAACTTGAAGATAACGCGGCCACGCATAATTAACCCACCTGGGCACTAAACCCACACATCCATATCCCACTTCTCAATCACCCACGGTACCCAAACCAAAACTGAGATCGACGACAAGCGAGAAGGAAGGGAAGTAATCACCGACAACAAATCCGCCCAGGGCCGTGCGGAGTCCCCACACTCGATAACCACGAATCAGAACCATGAAATCACTCGTACCCACCCCCACAATTGCTAAAGTAAAGCTGGGCCCGGGGAAGAGGCCCACCAGGAGTCCGGGACTTGGGTTGGAATTGGCAAATCGTGATGCAGGGACGAGTTCGCGAAACTCTCTTCGAATGGCGTAAGGATTATCAAGACGGTTGTCAGATGGTGCCAGTGGGGTTCGGCTTTGATGCTTTTGGGCTTTGCCGATGTCCTGCAGATCTGGCTTTACTTAAAAGATGTAGGGGGTATATTTGGAAAAGTTGGTTATTTGATGTTATTTTGCTCCTCGGGAGTGACTTTAATGGAATTTGGATCTCTCACTCGGGCTTGCAGGTCATCTGTCATCTCTTCTGAATTACCTGGAGGTAGTATCTTCTTTCCGTGATGGATATCGAGAAACCTGAAATTGTCCATCGGGATGGTGTCTTGAGTCCCGGGAAGATCGATGATGGAATTGACCTTGAAAAAATTGGGGAAAGAGAGGGATACGTCCTAAATGATGCTTCTCTTGCCCATGATCGTGGCTTGAAGACAACTGCAGATGGGGGGGACTATCCTGATTCCACAGCCAAGCGATTCCCCTAATGATCCATTGAATTGGTCACAATTTCGCAAGAGTCTCATCTTGATTATTATATCTTGCACTGCGTTTCTACCCGACTATGGCAGTGCAACTGGCTCAGTGACACTCACACCTCAAGGAGAGTAAGTAACATAACATGCCAACATGATCATTGATACTAACGAATTCGTTCTCGTTACTAGAGAGTGGAATATGGATCCCAATGTTGTGAATCACTCCCAAGTTGGCAACGTATTCATGCTTGGAGCTGCTGGGCCTATTATCGTCGCTCTATCCGCCTATTTTGGCCGATATCCCATTCTATTCTGGTGGACATTGCTAGCACTCGCAACCGCAATCTGGTGTGCTGCTGCGCAAAGCTTCGAGTCATTCATGGTATTTCCTTCCTCAAACAAGCCACACTACGAGCATGAAGAACTAAAATATCATCAAGGCTGCCCGTATCCTCAATGGTTTCTTCTCAACAGTAGCTCAAGGTGTAAGTCACCCCTCCAACCTTGGAACTGCTGGACAATCTAACAAGCCCCAGGGTGGTCTCATGTTCATCAAAGACATGTTCTTCCTCCACGAATACGCCCGCAAAATCAACATCTGGTCAGGGTTCATTATCCTATCTCCCTACATGGGTCCTTTACTCGGAGCATTTATAACAAACACCCAGATCTGGCAATGGGCATTCGGCGTCTACGCCATTGAAACAGGTCTATGCCTTATAGCTATTATCCTCTTCGTCGAGGAAACCTATTATGATCGCAAGACCATCCAGCCAGAACTCGTTCCCAATGCCCCGCGCTGGCACCGTATGCTGGGTATCCAGCAGGTGCGCACGAAGTATATCAAGAACTCGTTTAAAGATGCGGTTATGCGGCCCGTGGTTATTATTTGCAAACCTGTGGTTTTCTTAACGGTCATATTCTACTTACTTATGTTTGCTTGGGTTGTCGCTATCAACACCACGTTGTCGATATTCCTGGCGCCAAAGTATGGGTTTGGTGCGAAGCAGATCGGTACGTGAAACGGAACTTCATCGCTACTAAATCATTTCTGGGGAGGTTTAAGGGATTGCCGGTTAATTAATCTATACAGGCTTCTTCTACTTCACACCCGTTGTAGCGGCCATCCTAGGCGAAATCACAGGACACTGGCTGCACGATAGTATCGCGAATCTCTACGCAAAATACCACAATAACAGACTGGAACCCGAAGCCCGTCTATATGCTATCTGGTTCGCTATGCCATTCATGGTGCCCGGATTGATTCTCCTTGGATTCGCACTGGAAAGACACTATCATTACATGCTCGCGGCTCTAGGCTGGGGTCTTTATGTCTTTGGTATCATGATTGTTACGGTGGCGGTTAACTCGTATGTACTTGATTCGTATCCTGAGGCGAGTGGTGAGGTTGCGGCTTGGGTTAATTTTGGGAGAACTACTGGGGGTTTCATTATTTCTTATTTTATGGTGGAATGGGCGCAGGATATGGGCACTGTGAAACAGTTTGGAATCATGTGTGCAATTTTGGGAGCTGCGTCTTGTATGGTGGTCGGTTTGCAGATTTGGGGAAAGGCATTGAGGGTTTGGGCTGGACCAGTGAGATTGAAGACCGCTTAATAGGTGATGCATGTGGGATTTGTTAGAATGATTTCTTTGTCAATTGGGTTTCTATTATAGTATTTGGATATTTTAGAAGTGTCAAGTCTTCCTTTTTTGAATTGCTAATCAAAAATGCTAACTCGAATCATGTCTCGTCATTTTGTTTGACGTTCATCCTACATCAGGATTAGTCCAGTGTGCTTAGAAGCCAATATGTACCAGGTGTGCTAAGACCCTGAAGAGAATATAACACCCGACGCCCATTGGTAAATGCAAACATGTCATCAAAACATTGCAAGAAATATGGAAAAACAAATAGTGTTGAGAAGATCGTTAAGAAATTAAGATGTAGATCAAGATTAGGTCAATGGTTGTTGATCGGGTGTGGTCTCAAAGTCGAATTCTGTATTAGAAAACGGCATATCTTCACCCCAAACAAATTTTCCAAATGTTAGAAGAGCGTGGAAGATCTCTTCTCCCGTGGGAACAATGTGCTCTGAAGGCAAGAGGAACCCGTAGCTTCCACGATCACGCAATTTGATCTGGTAAGAGTATCTGGCATGGAGGTTATGGTAAAACCAATCCAGTGCGCTACCACCTGATGTGACGGTATTTGCTGAGCCTGAAGACAGAACGCCTTCACAGGCAGAGGTCACATCATAGGGCTCCCCAGATGAATGTCGGATAGCTTTAGCAAGACCCAAGGCCAGCTCCTCAAGACTTTCGAGAGTTGGAGGCACCGAGGAACAAGTATAGGAATAAGGATATAGGATCTGCTGGGAATATGAGTGGAGATCTAGGAATCCCACAATTTTTGAGCGCCCACTCTCGGTCTCATTTATAGCCCATCGAGCAAGTCGGTAGGATTCCAGAGCCTCGAAGGGCTCTGACCCAGCGTAATTCTCTGAGCATGGGTTAGAACGGGTTGATTCACCATCCCATTCAAAATCCCACGCGCGGTCCAGGTCAACTCCCGGGCAGAATGGAAGACCAGTGGGTTGTCTGTTCTTGCGCCAGAGGCGATCCGACTCCCATGAATAAACATATCCGTCTGGGTTCAGGGTTGGAACAAATACCCAGTCATACTCATCTAGAAGATGAGTGACCGCGTGGGACTGGCCGTATTGAGTGATCAGACTATAAGCCACATAAGTCACTGTCGAAGTGCTGATCCATTCTCGGGCATGTAGGCCACCGACAATAACGATTGTCTTGCGCGGTTCGGAGGTGGGGAATCTCGCATTCCCCAGTCGTAGCGCCGGAATTTCCCGGCCTTCGTAAGAGAGTCCGATGCTAGTAAATCGGACATGGGAAGAGAACATGGAGGACATCAATCGCATCCATTGAGTAATAACCGAAAGCGGCTGGTAGTCACGGAAAAAGACATCATCAACTGTCGAGGGTTTCTCACGGGCCGCAGATCCATGCTCTGTCTTCCAGCTGGTGAGGTGTTGTCTCGGATAAGTTGCATAGATCATCTCAACCAGATCATCCATGAGGGGAGAGTGGGCCGTTCGGAGCGAGGGAGGGAGCAAGTCGAGTAAGGAGGGGACCTGTCTTGAACAGTAAGTTCATCGTTGTGCTGTGACCCCGCTGGTCTGCTGGGAGGAATTGAGGAGTAAATTTTTGTAGACGCACCATGTCATCAGCTAGACGTATATCGACATATTGCGCCGTAATATCCCAGATGTCTAGCACCAAAGCCTGTGATGCCTCGGCCAATGCTTCTGCCTCTTCGGGATGACGCAAGTGAAAGCGGAGAACTACATCGTTCTCATATCGCTCTCGTACATTGCGTGGCGGACCTGTGTTTTTGTGAGAGGAGCAGCGCCCAGTTCCCCAAACAGATTCAATCACCCAGTCTCGAAGTCGGGTCCAAGGACGTCGTGGATCGGAGTGAGTAAGGAGGCGGCCGGGCTGGGGTTGGGGTTGAAGATCCGGGGCGATACTGGAAGCGGCGGGAATGGCGGAAATGGAGGGGATAAGGGAGCCGTAGAGCAGGAGAACAGGTAAAAGACGCATCACGAATTGGATGCCACCTGGACAGTACTGGCCAGCGATGAAGAGTAGACCAGTGCAGGAATATTAGTATGGGGGAATATGGAGAGAAAGTACTTGAGTTAGTATGGACCAATGGGTCTAAATGATGGTGGAGATTAGTCTGGAGTAGATAAGGACCAGGCTACCATATATGACATAATGTTAGTACTAACATTCAAATGTTGTAATATTATATTAATATGATAAATATTTTAGAATAAAATAAAACAATGATTCAATCTACTTAGATCCTTTATAGTAGACTCCATTTCTCATAGTAATATAGTTCTATCATTGATATTCAGTTCAATATATGTCGCATCCATACATTCAAGTTGCCCGCAATAGTAACAAAAGTACCAGTACTTATGCACGTCAACTAACAAGTTGAAGATCTCACATTACTAGTATTATTAGTATTTTCTAAGTTGAGATTTAAGATGATTGAATAATTCTAGAACATAAATTGAACAATCTTGAACCTATACTATATTTAACCCACCAGTTCTTTATATTAATTTATAAACATAATAATAGTAGCATTTGAGTGTATCCCCATATGTTCTAGAACCAATGAGACCCCCAAATCTCGTGTACTCTTAATCCTCTTCTCAACTTCTTTTTACCCCTCCGCATCTTCCTTCTCTCCATATCATATTGATACTCTTCATTAAACTACAGATTTAATAAGAAAATCCAACATTTGATATTTCCATCAAAATATTGGTGGTGTGGCTCATATCAATCTTTGGATCAGAGAAACCCCCTTCCCGCCCGCGCGTTCCCCTTTTTCTGCAAAGCTGATGACGGGTCTCTCCACCTCCGAAATCCGAAATCCCACCGCGTTCTGGAACACTCTCCACGTCGCTATGTTCTCCTAGACCATCAATATCGATACCTTAACCCTTTACCTCCTTTCTCGCCCTTTTATGATCCTGAAATCGATAGGATCGGGAAATTTATTCTCCTAGATCATCTGCAAACTGCAAGGCACCGACCACGCATGGGTCTGGTCGCCTCGGTTCTTCGCAGTTATGCATTGGAAAGGCCTGCGGCTGGTCGCCGATGGCAGCTCCAAACGTCACAGCACATTAGAACCCCATTCCCAGTCTCGTCGCAGTGAACAGCTGTCACGTCCGCTTCCCCCCGTGGCCGAGCCCAGACTGTCCGAGTCAACCCCCCGCGGTCCAGATCACTCAACTCAGAATGCAGCTGACGAATCGAGGCTTGACGTACCGGGAGACCTGCCAGACCATGGAATGAACCATTCCAATATCGCGGGTCCTTCTTCCGGAGAGACACCTAGCTTGCGACGAAACCGATTCAGCTTCATGAGGTTACGACATGCATCTGACCCGCAGCTGTCCAAAAGCTACGCCCAGGCCCAACAGGATGCTCCACCAGTGCCCTCCTTGCCGCGTAAGTGGATGTCTGAACGAAATGCCGGGGAAGAAGGTTGTGGTTGAATGGACAGCATTGATAGACTAACGATTTTCTTGTCTCATACACTGCAGCTCCCAAGATCATTACCACTGCCCCCACCAGCCACGAGCTCGATCAACCCACTAAAGAACCGTCCAAGTTTAAGCTTCGGCCCTCGTCACGAAAGCACTCGATGGAGGAGCTATCCCGCAACTCAACAGACCAAACGAGGACGAGACCAGCACGGAAGAATCAAGGGTCAACGGATTCGCAGGCCGATTCCGGTCTCTCGACATTCCAAACAAGCATGGAGCAACCAGGGCGACTCTCGACAACCTCATTACGCAGTGGGGGTCGTGACCTACCGATTGAGTCACAGCGGTCCTCGGTGACCGACCCTCGTTTCTCGGAATCATCTCGTTCGGATCAGAGCTACGGTGACCAGGCAACGTTTCGCACCAACTCTCCACGTGAGGGCTTCGGATCAACTTCTTCTGCAAAGCGAGGGTTCCGGTTACCACGTCTGAAGCGAAATCGGAGCCCTCTTTTCCCTCTTCCTCCAAAACCTCCAGCAAATCAGTCAATTCTGAATGGTCCCAAGTTTCCACCAGCAGATACTCCGAAATCAGATGGGTCTGGAGAACAGGATCAAGTGTCTCCGCTTCCTTCGCCTTCTCGGTCATCTGTAGGACTGCCTATCGTGAGTACCCGGCCACAACTGCAACGTCATGACTCGAATCGCTCGGTACGATCCAGCCCTTCTCACCAAGCTAGAGGGAGATCGTCCACTATGGGATCCTTGGCCGAAAACCAGGAGGATTTGTCTCCAGTTCCATATCTCGTATCATCAGGACGCACATCTACATCTACGACTGGCCGCAAGAGCTTTGGTGATCTTTTTAGCATTACTCAGAGACTGAGACAAAACTCAGAACCCCCGATTCCTCGCAATGGGTCACCTGGATTCGGTGGCTCATCCACACCCATCTCAAAACCTGATCTCCCGCCCGTTCCAGAAAGGGAAGAGAGTGATACGCCAGCCAGCTATTTGACAAAGCTAGAAGAAAGCATACCCCGTGGCATGATTGGTGGTGTATTGTCCCAGTCGGGCGATGAGTTTTATAAGGTTGCTTTGCGGAAATACATGAGATCATTTACCTACTTCGGAGATCCAATTGATATGTCCATTCGCAAACTTTTGATGATGGTCGAATTACCCAAGGAAACTCAGCAAATAGACAGATTCCTGCAGTCATTTGCGGATCGGTATCATGAATGCAATCCAGGGATCTTTGCAACCACAGGTACGATAATTCGGATTGACGAACTCCCCTTGAACTGATGAAGACTAACTTCTCTATTTTCTCAGACCAAGCATATTTCATTGCATTCTCGATATTGATCCTGCACACCGACGTGTTCAACAAGAACAACAAGCGGAAGATGCAAAAGAGCGACTATGTCAAAAATACTCGCGGTGAGGGTGTCTCCGATGACATCTTAGAGTGCTTCTACGAAAATATCTCCTATACCCCGTTCATTCACGTGGAAGATGCAAATCTACGAGACCGTCATCTGGCCAAGCCCCGGCGAGCCTTGTTCAAAAGTACTAGTACCGAGAATCTGGCTCTCCTAGGCCGTGAACCCGTTGATCCATACACGCTGATATTGGATGGGAAAACCCAGTCGCTGCGTCCAAGTTTGAAAGATGTAATGGATCTTGAAGATACCTATAATCATTTCGGAACCGCCGGCCCACCAGACATGGAAGATCTCCATCAAGCGTTTACAAAATCCGGCATTTTGCAGATTATCTCGCTCCGTTCTCGTCCCGACGCATTCATGCAGATGAGTCTCGATAATCCGGGCGTTTCAAATCCGGGTTTGGTAGATATCAAGGTTGCCAAGGTGGGCTTGCTTTGGCGGAAGGATCCGAAAAAGAAGAGGGCTCGCTCACCGTGGGCAGAATGGGGTGCGGTGCTCACCTTCTCGCAGCTCTATTTCTTCCGCAATGTCACATGGGTGCGCTCGTTGATGGCACAGCATGAGGGCTACTTGAAGAATGACCGACAAGGCACGCTTGTGTTCCGGCCTCCTCTTGCAGAGTTCAAGCCTGATGCGATTATGTCTACCAATGACGCAGTTGCATTATTAGACACGAGCTACAAAAAGCACAAGCATGCTTTTAGCTTTGTACGTCACAATTCCCTTGAGGAAGTCTTCCTTGCGGCATCTGAGTCTGAGATGAATGATTGGATTTCCAAACTCAATTATGCTGCGGCCTTCAGAACCACCGGTGTGCGGACGAAGGGTATGATTGCTACAAACTACGAGGGCCAACGATATCGTACGAGCCAGCGACTAGAAACTGCCTCGATCAACTCTCATGAGTCAGCGCCGAGGGAGGAGCCACCTTCGCCAAGCATTGCCACTGATATTGTTGCCGAATTTGTTGCAGCTCGAAGACAACTGATGGGCCAAAAGATCCGCGAAACGAACGAGAAGCTTTTTGTAACACAGAAACAGCTCGAGGAATTGCTTCGAAATGCTCGTCACCTTCAGGTATTGACGCCAGTCAACCCCAGAGCCCGCGAAAACGTCATTATGGCCGCAGGCCGCATGGCAGCGAAGCTCAAGTGGGCCAGACAGGATATCTGGCGCAACAAGTGCTACCGTGAAGTTCTCCTCCGGGACTTGGGAGAAGATGAGAGTTTTGTTGAAGGGCGTGCCCGGTCCGTTGCTGAACAGACGACATCATCAGATGCAGCACGGGTAGCCTCCATCTCAGGGCCGTCGGTAATCTCTGAGCCCAGCATTCGCGGTGCGCCTAGTATCATTCAGACGACCTCCAGTCACGATATCAATGATCAATCTGTGGGACCTGCAGCACCTGCTGAGATTCATAATCCACCCACTGCTGACCTGACTCGACTTCAACGACCATCAATGGATGAGACACGTCGCCCCAGTATCCCGGCTTCTACCACCTCATCCGATGCAGCTCGCGTTGGCCGACCCTTGTCCATGGCTGCTCTTCCTGACAAGCATTTGGATGGATCAACAACGCAGCTAGAGCGAGAATCATCTGTTCTCAGTCGTGTCAGCAGGTTCGATGGGGCCAGTCTTGGTTCCCGGGCATCCAAACTCACATCGCCAGTGAGCTATGATGAAGGCGAGGAACGACTTCTGCGAGAGAATGGCTTATTAGACTTGAGTGGCTCACCGCCGCCAAGAAAACCATCCAGCAATGTTCTAGAGTCAGAATCGGACAACAAGATGGATGAATCTTCGGAGGTTTCTCAAAGTGACCATCGGCCTAGTCGTGTACGACGTAGTCTCCATCGCACACTTCGAGACTCGCATCCTCACATGCCTCGTCATCATTCTCACAGCAAGAAGAAGCGTGGATCGGTCTCTAGCATCCCACCGCTCGATGATGAGCAAGCTCCCCAGGATGCGGAAGGTCTGTCCCGAAAGACTCCCAATTTCACCGTTCATGGCAAAAAGGCTTCCATTGTTACTTTTGGATCTGAATGGCAGAATATGCCTCCTGAGGAACGTCTCAAGCTTCGAAAGCCAACTCCTCATGACGAGCCCAGAGCTTCGGAGCCAACGATAATTGGCAGTCCTGAATCAGTCGTCTCGGACAATCACCCTGATCGTGTTCGACCCCTGTCTATTCGAAGTGCAAGCACCACGACAAGACTCAGCATCCACAGTGATGGTGGACCGGTGATCGATTTCTTCAAGGATGCTCATGAAACCTTTGGAGGACCTCTGCACGCACCTGCCGTTCCTCATTCTTCCTCGATTCCACCCGATCAGAAAGATTCGGAACCAGAAGAGACAGATGAAATCCGTCGACCCACCTCTGGCTCTGGGTCTGTGATATTTGGTCCTCGTCTGACAGCACCTGGCGGCGATGAGAGAACCACTTCGTCAACCACCTCACTCAGTGAACGAGCCGTCGATACGCCCTCCTCTGAGAATCTACGACAGCAAGCCGTCGGCGCGTGATTATCTCCTTTTTCCTAACTAACTACCCTCCCTCTTTTGTTTTTCCCATGTCCCTCCAAACCCATCAATGTATAGCCTCCACCTGTTCTCATTGTTGCTTTACGAATATTATACCCCTTTTCGACTCTTGCGATCTGTTTCCATTGGGGCTCTTTCTTGACGGCTCCTAGTCCGCTCTCGGTTTCTTACATCTGTCTTGTTTCATTGTTCTGGGAAGCATTCATTGGTGCCATGTGTGCCCTATCATATCTAGGATACATCCTAGATCCTGTCTGTCCTCTGTCGTTTTCTCATCTATCTCTGCGTCTCCCTGGAATCTGCAGCATTCTATCGAAGCCCTTGCATGGCCTTCCACACAAGCATCAAACTCATACGTGGCGGTTGTACCTATTAGACAAAAGCTTTTCTACGATTCATTCTTGTCTCATCTTGTTTCATAAATGTAGTATCTGAAAGAAGCACCTGTATACGTAAGGTTCATGACCCGCCTAGGTAGGACTATATCAAGACTAGTCCTAATTAGGTAAAGAGTCCATCCCGAAGTCCCAATATTATCTCGGCATTGAGATAACAGCTTGAACGCTCCAAGGTTGACAGTACCCTTTTAGGTACTATGTAGTAATCCAGGGCTTAGTACTGCTCCAGACTTCTTCAAGTTTTCTTCTCAACCACTTCACACATGTGCACCCTTTAAGGACGCTTTAGGGAGCAACTTCAGCTCTGGCAGCCTCTTTCTTCTCTGGAAAACCACACTTCACGCGCCCAACGAGACAATCACCTCTTCAAGATTCCCAGGCTCCTAGCTCTTGAGACCCGCAATATGACTACTCTGAGTCTCGATGGACTCCTCCCCGAGCTTGTATTGTCAATCATGGACTTTCTTCCTTTTGCTGATCTGACTTGCCTTTCCTTATGCAATCACCGAATGCTTGAGCTTTCCCGGAGACAAGTCGCCCCCTCCTCCGCTCGGGATAAACTCTCCCTCTTAAAATGCTTGGAGAAAGATCTCCCAGAATACTTTGCGTGCAAATTTTGCAAGATTCTTCACCATTATGATGGATCTGAGTGGTTTATACCTATTTCACCTTTTGATCCAGAAATCAACCAGAAGTCCCCACTTACATGTATCCAAAAGTGTAAGTGGGACAGAGATGTACGGGGGTTAAGGTTAAGAAATCATGGATACGACGACCTTTGTGTGCCAAGCATTCTTTCTTTCCTTCATGTCAAGCTCGCCATGAGGAGGTTTTACTATGGCCCAAGAGCTGGGATCAGTACCGATTGTCTGGCATATGAGCATGTGATTCACTTCCAAGTCGAGCACAGATCCCGACTCGAATCAGATATCATCTCAATCTTCTCTCGCGATGCTCTAATACATCCAAGTCCCCCCTAGTCTATATATCCGAATGCAGGATATAGTCCTTATAAGAGGACGAGATGACTTCACTCATCTAAGTGAGCCATGCACAAACTTGAACGGCTTCTACTATCATTTACAGAACTTTGAGCTATGTCCACATGTCCAATTAATGGAAATCATCAATCCTATGATGAATGTTTCTTTGGAATGTTGTGATGGAGTGAAAGCCCCTATTGTTTCCTCTTTTACCTGTGATATATGCAATACAGATTCATGTGTTGAGATCACTACACACAGCTCTACTGGTATGATTATGTTAATTGTGACCAGATGGGTCAACTTAGGCTCTGGCCTTTCTCAAAATGATATCTTATGGAAGGTTCATACTAGTATCAACTCACCCTTTGACTCAGAGAAACATACAGGTGTGCGCGCTGGGTGTATTCCAGATAATCTCCGCGGGCGTCCAAATACACGACTCTGTTTTGAAGATATGGCTTCCCTATCATTCCAAGAGTTAAGGTGCCATAACCTCTCCCACCTCGAAGGCTACGGTTATAACAGTTTCATGTCTCCGAGTCCTGTTCCACTTACTGAACTTGGATCGGGTAGCTTTTGGTACCCTGAATGCACTGATATGAAAGAGCCTCCCCCAGGCCAGACTCGGAGCAAAGATAATCAATGTGCGTCAAACATTTAAAAGAGAGGCGAACCGGCATTCTGCGATTTTTACTACGATATCTCGCGGAAGGGCTTGAAACGCACCCAATAAAGTAAAACCGTGCAACTTCAAGTTCTATGGGGCCGTGGTATTCAAGTTGTTTCCTTCATGAAGGGTGAACCTGTTGGATATTTTGCTCTAATATAGCTTTAAGGCTAATTAATCGTGTTTCAAGGAACAGGAACTTGATAGCTAAAAAGACAAGGGATCCATTAGAAGGAGATAAAGTGATCGTGAGGATGAAGTGATAGTACGGGTGAATTCAAGTTGCTAGTACGGGTGAAGTAAAAGTGAGTGCTAGTAAGCACTTAAAATTTGAAGCCACCTGGGCAACCTTGGAAGTAAGAGTAGGTATATAAACATATTATGTTAGTCGTTCTCCATTCTTCATCATCCTCCAGTCCCACCATCAAGGCCAAGGAGAAGGAAGCAAAAGATCATCCGGATAAAATTCGCCTTGAAGAGCTGCGCCAGACCAACGATAAGCTTCTGAAGTCCCAACAAGATGTAGCGACATTGCAGGGAGATTTGGTGAGGATGCAGGGAGACATCAATAAGCTGCATGACCTATTTGGGTCTGCAGGTTTAATTACAGGTTTCCAGAAGACTCCCATTGGTTCAGGCAGTGTATCGAAGCGCTATTGGAGAGGGACCTTAGGGACACCAATAAACACAATCTTGAAAGTTGATCAAGACATATCTATAATGGCCATTATTATTCAGTCTTAACTGGGAATATAGTCAGTTCTAGTACATTAACAGGAGTATTTCTTGAATACTATTATAGTAGTTGGTGCTTCTTAGTGCTTCTTTACTAGATATCACATACAGTTCCCCACATAAATCCACCCCAACCAATCAAACTAACCACCTCGACAGCTACTCAATCTCAATCTCATATTCCAGATTCAACCTACCAAGTCAATCTCAACTCCTGCATTCCTCCACCTCAGGTCCTTGACAATAAATAACATAAAATCCATGATGGCGCACTCAAAGCGCAACACCTCCCTCCCCCATTTCACCGCCTACGAACGCAGCCTCCTCAGAAACAGCTGGGGTACAAAGCGCAGCATAATAGGCCGAGACTCATTCCTCCCCTTCGCCTCCTGCAAACTATGTCTTCAACCCGCCCGCAGTCCCGTCGTTGCTTGCGCCACAAAAGGCGATCTCTTCTGTCGCGAATGCGCAATCAATGATCTCCTCGCTCAGAGGCAGGAGATCAAGCGGCTAGAGCGGGAACGGGATGAGGCGCGGAAGCGCATTGCGGATGACGAGAAGCGTGGGCTAGAAGAGGCAAGACTGAAAGAAGTTGCTGACTTTGAGCTCGTTTCTATGGGATTAGAAGGTGCGAATGCGAAGAAGAGAAGGGCTCTTGAAGAGAATGTGGAGTCAAGTACAAGTGCCGAGGCGAGTGCGAAACGGAAGAAGGTTTTTGAGCTTGATGAGGAAGAGATTAGGAAAGCTGAGAACGAGAGGATGAAGGAGGAGTTGAAGAAAGAGAAGGTTTGTTTTTGCGACCTATATAATGCTATTGGGTTGTGCTAACTTCATGCTAGACCGAGTCAAGCAAATCTGCTCTTCCTTCGTTCTGGGTTCCGTCGTTGACACCAAATACCGATGCGGATGAGATTGCAGCGAACAAAACTGTCAAGCTGGCTCCTATTTGCCCTGGGTCCACGGAGACGGATCGACATAATTACTCGTTGAAATCGTTGGTTGAGGTGCATTTCACAGAGGAGAAGACGGCGGATGGGTCCGCGTCTAGGATTTGTCCCAGTTGCAAGAAGAATCTTAGCAACGGGCTTAAAGCTATGCGTATGTATTAAATGCGAGCATGCAAGACCAGATTCATACTAATCCTTCTGCTTAGTTACTAAACCATGTGGTCATGTTATCTGCTCGCCTTGTGTGACCAAGTTTATGACACCACATGATACCCCCGATCCCCATGCTTCAAAGGAGGAACAAGAAGCTCATAGTCGAATTTTGTGTTATGTGTGTGAAACAGACCTAACAGAGAAATCCACTCTCGGGAAGGGAGAAAACGGAAAAAAGAAGTCAAAGAAGGATAAGGATGCCATCAAGCCTGGTCTGGTGGAGATCAGTTCAGAAGGAACCGGATTCGCAGGAGGCGGCGGTAATGTGGCTATGAAGAGCGGAGTAGCCTTCCAATGCTGATGCTGGACAAAAAAACAAACGAACAAAAAAGCCTTAACAAGTCTCGATTGAAGGGATATAATATTTGAGAAATATCCCAATGACAATTACCCTCTAGGGCTAAACGCCCGAACCATGCTATAACGATAACCATGTCCTTGATATGTATACACAGAGCCTTCCGGCTCAAAATTTCCACTTTCTCCCATCACTACTTAAGCAACCTTCTTCTTGGTATTGTTGAACTCGCGAACCGTAATCTCGCAGCGCACATCTTGGCACAAGCGACGACGACGACTGGGGTCCAACTGAGCCGCAAACTCCAAACCGGAGGCACGCTCCAAAACCTCTAAGGGGACCTCAAAGTCCGACAAGCTCTTCTGGTTCGCGATGCGTGCATTCGGCAACACAAACGCGCCGAGCGCAACCTTGCTATTCGGCGAGTTCGACCCATCCTCGCCATAGATAACCTTATAAAAGTGCGTTGGCACAGCGACATTGGGTGGGTTACCAATAACCTCGTAGTTCACACGCCACTTTCCATCCGGATCCCGCTGAGGCAGGTACAGGGGTCCTGTAACAATTCGCACAGAGGGATAGCGCTGTGTAAGATTGCGACAGAAGTCCTCGAAGTGCGCCCAGTAGTCCCGGTTAAATCCCTCGCCGACTTGCGGGCACATATTCGTCAGTGCGAATGTACCGTCCATGGCCTCTTGTGACCACTTTGCGTCGGCGGCTGGAACCTGGTGTCCGCGGTCGTAGCCGGAGCGGAAGTAATCGGACAGCTTAGCGCGGAAGAGCGCTGGGATGGAGGTATCTTCGAAGAAAGTGCTGTGTTTCCGGTCACCGTTCTTCATTGCGACGGACTGGGGGGTGATGTGCTCGGCGACCCAGGCGGGATTGCGGGTTCGGCGATCGTACGCCCCGTGGAAAGGCAGTGAGCTGAGCTCGTCGGCTACGGGACCGGGGAATCCATATTGGAGAATTCCGGCGGGGTTAACGGGGCCGGTGGCTTTGGTTGCGAGGGTTGGAATTGGGGTTGTTGTTGGGACTTTCACGACTCCGGGGGTGGAAGCCGGAAGTTGCTCTGTTTGTTGTTGCTGCTCCTTTGGTCTGGGGTAGAACATCGCAGTAACACCAGCGCCAGTGGCAGCACTGGCGGCGGCGATGATAGCCAATGTAGCTTTGGACATGGTTATGAGGTCCAAATGGGATTGAAGGTTACCCAACTGGAGATGGAAGAAAGAAAAAAAAAGGAAACGGATAAGAAGATATCTAATATGGGGAACCACTCAACCAATCATGGTCACTTGACTCTCACTATATACCAGGTGCCCAGGTGAGCATTTAAGTTGAAGTCAGCTGGTTTATTTATAAAATCAGATGAATCTTTAATATTTATCAAATGATCAGGTCAAAATTATTTGAAGACTAGACTGATCTATTTTCTATTTATATGGCATAGTGGGATTGCATCTCGAGGTCATCAGTATAGTCACCTGTTACTACACTCTATAGTACTTGACTACCTTTAAGTCCTTGTTCATAATTTATTCTAATCCCGATATGTATGCATATGGAAATACCTAGTAGTTTCTAATGAGTATGGTTTTGAATGTTCTCTCAACTGGAAATTAACTTGATCAGTACGACCGGAATAGCCTCAGGGCGGGACTCGGAGGTATATAACTTATGCCTTAATATACTAGGCAAAATGATACTCCGTACTTCAAGTTCATACAACAACTCCAACTTGAACCCACTCTCCAAGACGTTCACCAGCCCTGAATATGGTGTGCAGATTGCTTCAGGCTCCAACTATGGAACAATCAAGTCTTGGGATGCAAGGGCGATATTGAAGTAGAAGACCAGACACAATTCACGCTGTGGCCTACCAACGAAGCACGTGTAGTGTAGCGCTTCAGCCGCAGCAATCGATGTTTTGGGAACTGAAGTGGACCTATTAGGCCTTTGATATTTCCAATTACTCGAGTATCGAGTCATCTGTCATCTCTTAAGCCCCATTGGCCCAAGTGCTCGGAACTCCTATAAGATCGGGGTTAGTCTCATATTGTATAGATTCTGTTTTCTTTCTCAAAACAGACAGAAATTTCAAAATCATTCCAAGGTTATATCAAAGCACAGGATCAACCTAGTGTATGGGTGATCTGTATATCCTCGCATTCCCAGTGATGCCTTCCCTGTCTGCTGCACAAATGGGGTAATTAGGGTTGTAGAGAAGAGGACCTTGGGAGCCAAATGCATGGGATGCTCCTAGATTAAAGAGATGCAGATTACCTCTTCTTGATCTTGATTTCCCCCTTGAGAATGAACCATCGAGAATTCCCTGTCATCATTAACAATAACAATAATACTACATAAAAAAAAAACCTTGGAAAAGAAGGTTGAATAAAGTTGGGCGGTCAACCCGAACTGGACCCGAGTCCTGACATCACGCTCCCAAGGTTCCTTTCCTCTCATTACCCCCGCCATGGCTACCAGCAACGATCTTCGGGGCTGGGTGATGAGCATTGTCTCAGGCATTGGTAAGTTTTTCCCTCTTGAATTATCATCCTCATACTGATCATATGCAGCTTGTGTCCTGGGATCCTCGGTCATCTGCGCCGATCTGGTAGTGCGGCGGGTAACTCGCGATAAGAGCTTCCAGATCGCCAACAGCAATAACTTTCTGTCGGCCTCACTATGTCTCAGTGCAGGTGTAATGGTGGGTGATTCGATGTCCCAAAGCAATTTAGAATATTCCAGTCTATTTGTAGCTAACCGGTCGCAGCTCTTCACCTCTTTGTATAGTATGCTTCCTACCTCGCAGAACTACCTCGCTCGCGCCGGCTTCTCTCCCTCCCAGTCGGCGTATATTTTGATCGGTCTCTTTCTTGCCGGCGTTATCGTGATCCGGCTTGTCTCCAGCTTCATTCATCGTTTCATCCCATCGCATGTGGTCGATTGCGCACACAGCCATGCATCCCCGGAACAAGATCCCGAGCGTGGCGAAACGCAACGACATGGGCATGATAACCATACCCATACTCATGCCAATGGTAATACGGAAAGGACCCCTCTTTTACGACCATCGCATCCTCAGGCTTTCAAATCTACACCAGCCGTGCTGCAACGTACAAGCTCCGGTTCCAAGTCCGTCAAGCGGGAATCGTTACGCGCGATCCTGGCGCGCCGTCTGAGTGCACTGGTTGGTGGCGCCAAGCCGATCTGCGACGAGAATGGACCTTGCTATGGAGTTTCGCAAACATGTGGCCAGGAATGCACCAAGGTGCTTCCGAAACTTACTCCTCCGCCGTCAATCTGCACGGATGAAGTCGTACGACCGGGTCTGGTCCCACAACATCAAAGTATTGCGGTGCATCTGGACTCGGAGCGGGACCCTGGTGTAGATTCGAACGTGGATTCAGTTCTGGCGACAACCGACACGGGTTACTATGATGCGATATCTGCTCAGCATCCTCTTCATTGTGCATCTGCAAGTGCCAGTGTACCCGCATCTTCTTCCTCGTCGCAAATACATCATAATTCAGACGAAACTACAAATAACCATTCCAATACTAACTCGCATCATAATCACCATCATCACCATGAAGATATTGATTCGGCAGCTAAATCTGCCACAGACACCACACATCATCATCACGTCCCGCAGAACGCATTCCTCTCTATCGGTCTTCAAACCTCCCTTGCCATCGCTTTGCACAAACTTCCAGAGGGATTTATTACATACGCGACCAACCATGCTAACCCAACCCTCGGTTTTACCGTATTCCTTGCTCTATTCATCCATAACATTGTCGAGGGTTTCGCTATGGCACTACCCCTGTACCTGGCGTTGAACTCTCGATGGAAAGCCATGTTTTGGTCCAGTCTACTCGGTGGTATCAGTCAGCCGGCAGGTGCTGGTCTTGCCGCCCTCTGGATTTGGACCTCCGGACATACCGGAAAAGACTCCACAGGCCCCTCGTGGGGTGTATATGGAGGCATGTTCGCTGCTACAGCTGGCGTGATGACCTCTGTCGCTCTACAACTGTTCAGCGAGGGCTTGACACTGACTCACCACCGAAACATGGGCATTGGATTTGCCATTGCTGGTATGGGCTTGATGGGTGTAAGCTTTGCCCTGACGGCATGAATTGAGTGATTACATGTTCTTCCTTTCTGCATTTCCGCTGTGGTGTTACATAAAAACCAGGAAAGAGCGGGTTCCGGAGTTTATGTAGTATATTTGTGCTTTTTTTTGTAGGATGTGTGGCTTCAACGTCTTGCATGATCATCACGGGCACATTATGTGACTTATTATTATGCCCCACAGTTTATTTTTACATATCATATTACTAACATTCAATGTTATCTTGCTTTCGAGCCGAATGAACACCTCATTTTACGCTAATGCCTGGTAGGTAGCAGACCTGTGCCTAGTATATGCAGGTCCACAGATTCTGTGAGTCCTGATGAAGCCAATACTAGAAGTACATTTTTAGACCCATAGGTAATCTTCAGTCGGATTTACTACGCTGCATGAGACACAACTATACTTGGAACAGGGATTTTAGATTGAAAGTGTAGACTTGACAATTTGGTTGACAACAAGACAAAAACAAAACCATCACAATTTCAGCGTGAAGACACTTAAAATCTTTTCCAATTCCACCACAACATATCCCCATCCACTGGCAAGTTACAGAGCTTGCACAGAAATCCTCCTCGCACCAGAAGTACTCATCAACCCCGATCCACTCGACTCACGCAGATGATTATGATGCATCTGTCCCTGATCATCCAAATCCTCAATATCAATACTAAACCTTCTTGGCTTAGACCAAACACCGAATGTCTCTCCGCCATGCGCCTTCAACTGCGTATCCTTCAACCCAAACTTTTCCGTAACCTGCGCCACAAGATCCGCATGCGCAGATGTTCTTGCCGCGCTACGCTGGCTACCCATACGACTCTGAGCGCGTCTCATAAGCTCAATATGCTGCGATGCAGTATCCAGCGCTTCTGGGTGCGTGGTTGCGTCCGAATCGCTCATCAGATCGTGCAATACACCTTCGTGCAATGTTGCCGCTGAGGCGTGGTCTCCGGATGCGGTAAATAGTCCCGATAGAAGTTTTGTCATTTCTAGAGTCACTGTATCGTAACTTCCCCAGACTTGGCGAAGATTGTAGCAGATATCGCGACAGAGTTGGATGGAGGAGTCGATTGCGCCGCGACAGAATCGAGTTTCGACGAGTCGGCGTCCGATCCATACTACGACATCTGGTGTCCAGGTTCGTTGCACGATTCGGGATGTCCAGAGTTGGGTTAGAATTGTTTCGAGATCGTCAAACATTTCGTATTCACCCAGGAGGGTGATGATATCGTTTAGTTCGTGGAAGGGGAGATCCACGATTTGGATACCGATGTTCTTGGAAGAGAGAAGAAGTTCCTGCAGGAGAAGTTTGGATTTCACGGACATTTCTGTGAAGAGCTTTTCGTTTTGACAGCGTGTTGCTTGATGACCGCTGAGGTATAGACAAAGCTTCGTGCCAGTGATAATGCTCTCGTATGAATTCAGTCCATCTGTTAGGTGGAGGAAGGAATGCAGTACACCGGTTAGGTCACTTGCATCCTTGAATCTACCAGCATTGCATAGATCGTGAACTAAACTGGTCGTCGTGGTGAGGATGTCCATGTTGTAGTTGTCTGTGTGCACCTGGCGAAGACAGATGGCGTAGAATTGCTTGACAATATCGCGGTCTGCAATAGCTGTCGCTGAGAGCGTAGCACAGAAGTACTCGTACAGCTTGCTGCGGGTTTCTTTGGCAGCACGTGTGCGCTTCTGCTCGGACTGTAGAGTTGCCAATTTGTCACCGGAGATGAGCGTGGGAATGAAATCATGACCCGAGAGGTTCTTTGTGAAGGCTTGGTGAGTTCGCATCTCGCGGGCCATCTCGCTCATGATCTGATCGTAGGTTGCGCGTCTACCGAAGGCTTCTTCGAACGCAGCTGTGAATACAGCATCCCTTCTGTCACTCAGCGCTAGTGCGGAGGTATCAGAGCCGTAGACGACACGCTGGCGAAGCTCATCAAGGACAGAATTACCGCCATCGATGAAACCACATTCGAGATAGATGGCTGCGATCTTGCGAGCCCAGCTCATCATCATGTTGGTCTCTCCGCCGGCATGCAGCACGTCTGTGACGTAGGTATGCAAGAGAGCATTGCCTTGTTGCACGGAGGTGGAGGTACCCTGTCTGGAGTGGGCGAGGGCTAGCTCACGAAGCCAGGAAAGAGTGGTTACAGAGAAGAAGCCCTGAGTCTTCTTCGCCAGCTGGAACTCCTCCGTGTAAAGGGATCGAGCTTCGTTGGTTGAATCGCGCTTGCGGACAAAGAGCTGAGCGAGCTTGTGTTTCAGCGTGATGGGCAGCGGAGCAGTCATCTGGTCCAGGCCCTTAGAGGACTGGGAAAGTGGTATCCATTCACTTGTCTGAAGAGGCTTCTTGTACAGACTGATAGCTTGGTCTGTATGTGGGTCACTTGTTTCGCACAGCTCAGCGAAGAGCAGAGTCGCACTAAGAGTCCTTTGGTGGGTAGGACCATAGACATTGCGGCAGCTTGTCACGTACTCAGAGGCAACCTTGTATCGCTCAGAGAAGTCGCTGAGCTTAGTACGAGTAGTCAGAATAGACATGTAGCCCATGTATGTCTTCTCGAGCATTCTCTCGACGGTGATGCGATCATAGTCGTGCATGCTATCTTCAACAACAAGTGTAGGCCACAGGTGACGATAGATGTCCAGAGCAGCTTCCCACTGAAGCTCCTTTTCGTAAAGAGCCACAAGTGCCATAGCAGCTTCAAATCCCTCTGGCGCAATCTTGCCGTTACTGGTAGTGCACTTGTAGATACGCTGGTACGTACTCTTGGCCTCATGGCTCATCTCCAGACGGTTGGCAAGGGCAGCCTCAAGATACAAGTTCTCGATAGTGTGCTTGTGCGTGTCACCCAATCTGATGGTCAAGAAGTTGCTCACCGAGTGCAGGAGAGTCAGTGCCTTGGTGAACTGGAACGTAGTCTCGTAGAATTCAACGACAGCCTTTGCTACAGCGAGAACAGAGGGGACGGGAACTCGATCCGAGGTGAGGAGCGATCCAAAAGCATTCTCGTAGACAATAGTAGCCTGCTCCAGATGCAATCTGCGGAAGTGGCAATACGCAAGGATGAGAGCCAGGTCAGCGATCGGTGGAGCCAGCTCAGTGGTGAATTTCTTGTGAGATCCACCCTGCTCGACAGTAGGCCAGAGGTGCTGCAGAACAGCCTTGGAGCAGTCACTAGCCTCAATCCAGTCTTCCTCGCGGACGTAAATGCTGGATAGGTTGTGACATAAGATCAATGTAGACACGGAGAGGTTGCTGGATGACGACGTAATGGAATCCAGAAGCTCAACCATCAATCTGCGGTCTCTTCCAGACAACGATCTACTATCCTCAATAGAGACAGTATTGGCCATACCCTCAGCAAGTGACATGGCCAGGGTAACCGCTTCGGTAGAGTACTCCATGTTGGTCTCCTTGTAGTAGCGCCACATCAGGATAGCCAGAGAGCGATCCAGACTGTACATGTGCATTTCGCGAGTCTCAGCACGAAGCATCTGTACACGCTGCATCATTTCCTGAGAGTGGACACCGGTGACCTCAAGGTCAGCCACAAGCTCACGAATGATGAGTTCAGCCTCATCGTTTCTGCCCTGGCGGCGCAGGAACTGGTAGTAGACAAGGGCAACATTTGCCTTTTTGTCCATCATATCGACAGAGTCGATATCACGAGAGTTGAGACCGGCCCACAGGCTTGAGAGCACACCTTGAGCCTGAGCTCGCTCACCCTGTTGCTCGTACAGCTGCGCCATATACAGAGTATACTTGATTCGACGCTCATCGGTGACTTCCATTGTACGAACAACATTTTCGTATTTGGTTCGCGCGATGTCACGACTCATCTCGTCGCTGCCAGTTGCGGAGAACTGAGTAGTCAAGAAGTCGGCAGTCTCCGAAGATTGGCTTGAGTTGGTACCATACTTCTGCAGCACCTGTTGGTAGAACTGCTTGGAGATCGTGAGCGCAGAGGTATTGTCACCGCGGTACTTATAGATTCCCACAATCATTCCGAGGTACCTGAGTCGCTGATTGAATTCTATTCCAGTGATCTCAGAATCGGTCAGGATCAGGTATTTCATAGTATCCTCCTGCTGAGAAGTCATTGTGCCTTGCTCAGTGAATGACTGGGTCATCATCTCCGCACAGATGAGAGTGATGGTATCAGATTGACCCAGGAGCTCTTGGCTGAGCTTCCATGCTTCGTAGCAATGTTCATCGGCATGGCTAGCATGAGCATACGCGGCGACACGAGCACTGAGCAGAAGGCTCTGAAGCAGTGACATAGATTTCTCACCAAAGACCAGTCGACGAATATCGGTGGCCAATCGGTAGAGCTCAACCACGCTTGAGCGGGTAAACTGCGACTCTCGACAGGTCAATTCAAGACGAGCAAAAAGAACCGTCTGTGGGAGTAGATTGACGAAGTTTTCGTTGAATGAGAACTCGCCCTCGTCGGTAACGAGTGGTGAAGAGAGAAGATGGGAGAGCCAGTAGCGGGCAGTGTACTCGAGAATCACATATTTGTCAAAGAGATGGTTTCTCTCTTCCATGCTCAGTTTGTCCATGGATATCTCAGCATCCTCTCGCACAGACATCTGCACCCAAGCAAGACATCTTGTAAGCAGGTCATAGTGGGCCTCCTTGAGATTCAGCGCGGCCTTGGTACTAGCAGATCGAGCCTTCTTGATGACATGGTCGCGGATGCAGGTGTGTGCAAACGAGACGACGCCATCGCGGGTCATAACCACTGGGCTCAATGCCTTACTCCAACTATTGTTAGTGTGCGAGACGCGGGAGCTGAAAGTTGAAGTCACCGGATCAACGGCCAAGAGCTGCTCAATCTCCTGGACGAGCAGGGGTCTCTCAGAAGCAGCGAGCCAGGACATGATGTATTTTGCTTCGTTCTGGCTAAGATCCAGGTTCTTCACGTGGAAATCAAGCAGCTCAGACATGGATTGTGGTAGGCCTTGCACAGACTGGATGGCCTGACCTAGAGTCCGCTGCTGACGAGCATACTCAACTGCCATTTCTGCCCAGCTAAAGGAGCCCTGGGAGCGATTGACAATAGTATGTACTGCTGCCTCAAGCTGGCTACCCTTTGTACTATCAGAACTAAATGCAGATGAAAGCTTCTTTTGGACGTAGGCCACGAGATCAGTCTTGGTCTGAGATGGCTGCATCGCAAACTGTTGAATGGTCCTGGAACTCATTTTCGATTTGAGAGGCCGAGTGAAGACGATCATTTTGGATCCCTCATTCTGCTGAGCCAGCACATCGCTGAATTGGTCCATGAATGCAGTGGCATCGGCCTCGCCACCCTTGATCTGGTCGAGACCGTCCACCACAAACATGTACTGGATATCCGACTCCAGACCGGTACGAATACCCTTCCAAAGGCTTTCTTCGACCTCCGTCTCACTGCCACCATCAAGAGCACTTTGTGCTGCCTTGGCGACATGGAAGAGAATATCCTCCTGAATACTCTTTTCGAGGACGCAATGGTCTAGCATTTGATGCAAAATGCCTTTCAGGATGCGCAAAGGCAAAGTTGCAACAGGGATATCGGCACCTGGAGCTGTCAGCAAGATCCCAAGGATTAAAGAGAAAAATGATTCAACTCACGGATTGTGTACGGAATTACATTCCAGCCCTCATGTTCAGAGGACTCCTGCATTCGGTCCACAGTCCACTGTGCCAAAGCACTCTTTCCAGAGCCAGCTCCACCATTGATCATCATCACTGGAGTCTTGCCCACGGTGAAGTCATACAAAGTGTTATTAAACCACTCAAACGAGCCTTCAGCTAGAGAATGACTCCGAGAGTCCAAGATGAACTGAAGTGGGCGGTCCTGCACACCAAGGAATTGGCGGAGACTACCCAGCTCGGGACTAGACCAAATCAAAGTGCTCTGGTGAACGACGGCTGAAGTTGCCGATTCAACGATAGCATTCCAGTGTGTCGAGTATCGGGTAGCGTATGTGACGAAGGCTGCGTCCACGTTATACCCGATAAGTTGATCGGATTCCTTGGCTTTGTATCCTTCGACAAAGCTGGTCGTAGTACTACAGACCATCTCCAGAAGATCTGCAAAGACTGCAGCGGCCTCAGGTTGCAGTTCAATGTTAGGCTTGTACACACTTTCATACTGCAACAACAGGCGAATGCCCACGGCAACACGGCCATATCTACCGAAAACGCTTTCGAATAGATCCGTGTTATCGATATCAGACTGACGAGAAAATTAGTATCTTAAAACCATCTATTTCGACACCGAATGGCTCACCTCTAGAAGCATGATCTCGAATCCCCAGATAAGCTTTGCTGCTTCATTCGCTCCTGGAGCAAATGCTCCGATTGACTCTCGGAGATGGTCGACTGCATAAGCCAGTCTAGAAGCCCATCTGAGACAACAATCAAGTCTGCTTCCGTCACGAGGCATCCAGCGAAGACGCTCCGCGGCCACGGCGTCGAAGAAAGCATCGACAGTGGGACTGCGCAGACTAATCTCGCCAGCAGAGCCACCAAGCTGGGTCTTGCACTTCTGAGAAACGGACTGAACCTTCTCTTGAAGCACAGTGACCTTGCAGCTGGTTCCACTGAAGTTGGTAACAGTTCGAGTAGTAGAGGATGTCTTGCCACCAGCAAATGCGCCTGTTCCAAGACCTCCTTGAGTGAGACCACCTTTGCTGGCACCCTTCTGGCCCACAGCTTGCGTGATGCCTCCTCCAGGCGCACCTAGCATGCGGCCTTGGGTGGTCATTCCCTTGCTTGTCGCTCCAGCTGAACTGGCTTGTTGGCTGACACCACCCTTGCCCATTCCGCCAATAGCACCGAAGGCAGCACCACCGGCAGCGGCTTGGCTGTTTCCTCCTTGATGCGAAGACTTAGGTTTTGCATGTTCCATTTTACCTGTACTCAGCCTTCTTCTCTCCTCAAGCTTCTGCTCGATTCCGGGAGTTGTATAGGCGTGGCTGTTGTTTTTCATAGTGTTCTGGAGACCATTCCTGTCACCAAAAACATCCGAGCTGATATGAGCCTGGTTATCGAGTTCCTGGTCGATGGAATTGCCGCCCCAGACTCCACCAGCTACACCAGGTTTGCCGGTCAATCCCTGGGTTGTTCCAGAGTCGGTACCAGCAAGGGTGTTGGCGTAAGATCTCTGAGCTCCAGATGTACCGACCGATTTGGACGCGCCAGTTCCAGATGTAGTGACTCCAAGCAATCCAGCACCAGTGCTCATACTAGCGGCACCAGCTCCAGATCCAGAGGCAGAGCCCTCGCCAGTAGCCCCAACAAGTTCCTGGCCAGTATCTCTCTGATCCCCTTCGGTAATGGGACCCTTTTTGATATCATGATTCGGTCCAAAGCCTCCAATACTGAAGCTTCCCCGATGACCAAAAAGACGTTGGCCGACACTTTCAGCGTTTTTCTTGTTGATATTCTCCTTGCTCAATCCTGTTTCTCCAATAGCTCCTGCGACATCGCCTTGGGTAGCGGCATTTTTAATATTTTCTCCTTTTCCTGCAGCATCTTGAATGCTACCAAAGTTGCCGGATGTAAGATCGCTTTTCATTTCTTGGCCCTTGTCCATCATTTGCTGGCCAATTCCACCTTCGCTGGTGGTGGTCTCCTGAGTAGTGGTTTCCTTGGTGGCGGAGTCTTTGGAAAGGCTGTGAGAGAGCTTGCGGCTCAGCTTCTTCGTAAACCAGGAGCTGCTTCCCTGGCTGGCCTTCTCAACCTCATCGGTGTTCATAGGAGCAGACATGATGTAATTGATATGTTGTCAGTTATTTAAGATGAAGTATGTGTTATTGAATAATATAAGATAATACGTGATAAGGAAGTCGTAAGCAATTAAATTGAAAATATCATAAGTCGTTTGAGTTCAGTTGTCAGTTGTCAGTTGTCACGAGGTAGAAAAAGAAGGAGGATTCATCAAACTAGATTTGGCGGCAATAAGTAGTTAAATTGGAACTCTCCTCACACCATTGCATCATGGTTTAGCTCGGGGATGCCGAAGATAGCCAGCACTCCTAGCTCAATGTAAAACAGGACAGGATCGAGTGTGCTGCGGTTCGAACCGTTCGGCAGCGAGCCATTCCGTGCCATGATTCTATGTAGCTGTTTCCAAGGGCTGCAAGCGGTTCAACTGATCAATTGTTGGCGTTGATTCCATCGGTACCACTATCGCTTCAAAGTCGATGATGCTGTATGGCAAGGTTGGAGGGGCTTAGTGGGCCTTTTTACCAGGTGATTTCTGAACATAGGCTTTAGGTTTCGTCACTTGCTTGTATAGAGCTAGGGGTCTAGCTTGAATTGAAGCCTCTTCGTCTCATTTTCGTGAGGACTATAGTCATTTATTAGCAATTGATATTCATTCTTTCCAGATGTCTTGCTAACAAAGGGATAAATCCTTTGAGGCTTCAATTCTCCATGCAACGATATTCCAAAATGAGGAATTGACATATTATTTGCAAGTATGGGGTAACAATTGGAGGGTTTGAAAACAATAGGGAACGATGAGCAGTGGTTCCAGAAGAGCTCTTTGAGTGACGTAAAGACTTCTCTCACAAAGAATAGTTCGGGGAAATTCCCCAGATACTCGATATCCATAGCGCTTCGTGGCCCTTAGTCATCGGACTGTTGAACTTAACTCAACTCCATGATCCATGGGTATGACTGTTGTGAGGTCATATCCTCCAATACAATGCACTTGGGCAAATGCCGATTCCGAAGGTCCCGCTCATGAGATCATGCCTTCATGGCTGCTGCTGGAGCTTGTGCGACCACATAACATTCGACTCCTAAATCACCTTCAACTCAAAACTGTTAGTGACCGGTTATGTCATGACTTATACTTCCAGGTTGAGTCCGAGTCTGCACATGTGGGGGATTTCCACGGATCTAGCTATTTGTTTGGACCGGACGGGATGAGGCATTTGTGAATACTGTCGGGGTCAGCCGTTGATCTCCTGTTTAATTGAGCCGATCTTCGGATTCCAGACGATCATTAGCCCTTTATACCATAGGAAAGGCACTTGAATTATGTTGCTGGATGCTATTATAGGTGGCTTTTGGGATGCTGTGTCGGGGAGATGAATTCCCAAGGTTCGTTGTGGTTGTGGGCTTAGGCTTTTATCAGGGTTTGATGATATACTGAACTCGATAACAGATCTAGATGTATCACATGAATCCTGCTGCTTCATTTTTAGGGTGCTGATGGTTTGGTAGAGTGAAGACATGGACACATCTGGGCACAGCTCTCACATGCAATAAAGCTAGAGGGTGTATCAGTGCCAGTGGTTACTGTAAAATATGAGACTCTAATTGTTACTGAGTTGGAAGAGGGTCCGAGGGGATTTGGAAGTGCCAGGGGCACTGAAGTAATTAGCGATCGAAAGCCTAGCTTGTCTCTAGACAGATCCCAATAATCATCAATGTGCCCACTGGCCTTCAAAAATGAACCCTCTTGTAGATACTACGAGGCATCGAGAGACCCTTGTAATGGCTCCGGCTCCATACAGAGTAGACCAAAAGCCATATCCCATGAAGGCCGGAAATCCCCAAGTCTGCCTCTGATGCCGAGCTGGTGCCATACACAAATGTGCAGGCAAAATCAACAGCAAAGGCCTACACAGCACATACTTTGAAGGAAAGACTTGATTCCAGGATCGGAAATGCAATGCATGGAATAGCCTATGTAAGTGAGTCGAAAGCGATGATCCTGAGCGCAGACTGCACAAAAGTACAGCCTCACTCCTATCCAGAACTTTTCATCCTCAGGCCACCATGTGGTATTCATCCATTTCCCATGTTCCACCCCTCAATAAACCGATCCGTTGCCGAAAATTCAAAAAATGAAACGCAGCATGATATCATCCGTACAAGTAGCCAGCCGTATCTGGTAAACTTTCGTTTCGACGAAGCCGTATTGTTGTCGGGGTCTTGCGAATATATCTTTCAAAAGTTCGTAGTATCTCGACATTCCTCCACGACTCGGGGGTTTCTTTTATCGACGCGCACCAACTTAAGAGCCGGGGTTGGGGTTCATCTGTGTGAAAGTTTGTCAGCCTTCTATTCCCGGGTCTGTATTGCGTATGTGGTGTGTGAAGATGTATATCGCGGGGTGATGCGGGTTGATGATGGATATTCGAAAGATTTTGTTGCTTTCGAAAATGGGGTTTCGTGCGAGTTTGGGTTGAAATGGAATCAGTCGGTATGTACCTTGCGCTTGCCACCGGTCATGGTAACGTTGACGAAACGGCGGGTGTACAGGACACGCTTGTAGGCGCGACCCTTGGGGTTCTTCTTCTTCTCCTGGGGCTCAACCTGAAATCGATATTTTCGTTAGGATGGCGGATTCTGATGGCGCTCTCGTGGTGATTTGAGGATCACGGTGGCGCAAAGGTTCGATGTTCGCTGGATAGACTGACCTTAGGAGTGGCGGCCTTGACCTTACCGGCACGGGCGAGAGAACCGTGAACCTTACCCATCTTGGATGATTTTTGTCGTTGAACGGACTGGGGTAATCGATTTGTTGAAGGGGGATGGAAGCAGGTCGCTGACGATAGGGTTTGCAAAATTGGTCTTCACTGTGGGTGGGGCGGCTGACAAGCGAGGGCGATCGGGGCGGATAAAGGACATTTTCCGTTATATGAATGGCTGAGATGACTCATCATTGGCTGACTCATCTCCCTGACTCACCGTGCGCTAAACTCTTTTGGGTCTCCGCTCCAGCCCTGGACTCATTAAGGCGTCCACGGGTTTGAGGTGGAGGTAGTCTATGCTAGCAGTCGACAATGTCTATAATTTTAATTTGTAGGTGGGTTGATATCAAGCCGGTATTAATTATCACATAGAATGATTACAAGATTATAATATTTTTTCTAAGTGGATAGTAAATTCAACTTAGACAAGATGTGTAATAGTACAAGTGCCCTCTAGAACGCCATATACAGTCCAAACTCCTTGGAAGGCTTCAAATGTTTGAAAATGCAAGTATACATAGCAATTTCATCACTGCTCTGTTCAATAGAATAAGAATCAGGTTGCCTTTGCCTTCGCCGCGGCTTCTTCCCGCTCGCGCTTTCGGGCCAAGTAACGCTCCTTTGCACTGGAGACATCTCCAGTCGTTTTGCGGCTACGATTCTTTTCGGCCAGCTCCTTTTCTTTGGCCGCTTCGGCTTCTTCCTCCTGTCTAGCACGTTCCTCCAGTTGTTGGGAAATCATCTCAGTCTGACGAGCACGCTGAGCGCCACGGCCAGATTGGTTGCCAGCTGCTGCTGGTCTTCCAATGGGACCACGAGATACAGGCTTAGCAGCAGGCGCTGTCTTCGGCTTCGGTGCCACGTTCAATCCTGCGGATAACAGTTGACGCTTATCGACAACCTGGCCTTCGTCGTTGACAACAATGTGAGCACCTCGGGCATTGAGATCCGCGGCCTTCTGAGCTTCGGACTTCTCATCGGATTCCGCTGTAGGCTCTTCAGTAGCCACACCTTCTTTGACCCGCTTCGCTGCCTCCTCAGTCGCCTTGACCACTTGGTCATGCTTGGCCTCTGACCGGGATAGCATGTCTCTGTAGAAATCCACCATACCCGACCCACCATTCTGCTTTCGTCGCTCTTCCTCCTCTTTCTCCCGCCGAGCCTCGTCTTCCTCCAGCTTCTGCATCTCCGCCTGTTGAGCCTTGTATGCGCCAGTAACGAATGTCTCTTTGTCTGCAAAATCTTCACCCTCTGCTTCGCGTTCCTTGGCTAGTTGTCTGTCTCGGGCACGGAGCTGGTCCCTTTTGCGAATTTCGGCGCTTCGTAGGAGGTTTTCCATATACTGAGGTACTTCGCTCTTGCTAGTTGTTGCAGACTTCTCGGGCTTAGCATGCAAGCTATCATATACTGCATCATATGAATAGATTGCCGGGTCCAGTTCCTTGGCTTCCTTTGCATGCTTCCTGCTGCTATGGAGTGCAGACAGATTCGTGAAATCTTTGGGATTTGGTCCAGTATTTTTGGATGTGTTGAATCCGAATTGAACTTTGCCTTGACGCGCCTTTTCCTTCTCTTCGTCTTCATCCTCGTCGTCGGCGAAAATCGAACTCCTGTTCAGCGGCTTGACACTCGGTTTTCCAGTACCCAATTGCATCTTTCGCTTAGGTGGGGGTCCGGCAGTTTTTGATGATTTGGAGGCTGACTGAGGCGCATCTAATCCCCCGAGGGTAGATACTTCGACGGCACCATTGTCATTCTTCTTGTCTTCATCATCCGACTCATCGTCGAAAATATTCTTCTTGCGCTTCTGTCCGAGGGGAATTCCCGGCTTCGCCCCAAGCTTTTTGCTCGGCATATTCAGCCCATTTGAAAATTGTGGCGGCATTTTGATGGTTGATTGGGCTGTGCCCTGCTAGCAACACAAAAATTCTCACCTTATGGTTTAAGACAAAATAAGCGGAAGAATGAAAGCTTAGGTACGATAAGCCATTATTTCTTACTGCCATTCCACACCGCTCCCCCCATATAGTGGATCTTGATGCGGGGATGTGGATAACGTAATCCTGAATATTGTTGCCCGGTCGAGGCATCCATCTCACATATTTCCCACTTTCAAATCTCAACTGCCTCGGATGTTGATTCAAAACAACAATCTTCTGACAAAAGAAAAATCCGTGATTCTTTCAGATTCTACTACTATTTTAGTTACTCAGTCTAGATGAGACACTCACCTATTCCAGTCATTGTATGCGAACCCAACGACCTTGGAATTTTGCCTTTCGGGCTTTAGGCTTACATTTTGAGGCCCGTGCGAGATCTTTCAAGGTCACAAGATATCGGCTCTCGCCTCTTTCATTCTGCAGCTCCCCGGGAACTCCGTCCCGACTTTGATGATGTACAGTGGCGTTCCTCTCATAGCTCGGCAATCCTAACTCTCTTTCTTGATCTAATTTGGTCCTTGTATAACATTCATTCCTGTTGATGTTTGTACACCGTATAGAGTAGATGCAAGTAGTTGCGATCACTGTGATGTAATGGTAGCAAGAAGATTCACTAGCAGGGAAGCTAAGCCGACGATCTTCCCAATTTTTGAAGTTGGTCAACCGCGCTAGAGAACGCATGTCTCAGCGGATTTGGTCAACATCCTGATCAGGGTCTATGCAGGGACGTCGTATCCGATGAATTGGTCCCGGGGTATACATTCTTTTTTTAAGTATAAATAAAGGGACGTGGGTCTCTCCAGAATTCCATTCATCAACATCTCAAAATCATTTTTCTCACGACATATTCCTCTTCTCCCAGTCCATTCACCATGAAGTCCCTTCTTGCCCTGTCTACTTTCCTTCTTCTTGGAGCTGCCGCTGCTCAAGAAGTTCAATCTAAGCCTTTCCACTTGGTTATTACTGCCGCAGCCAAGAAGACTTATAATGGCCAAGAGCTCGCTGCGTGCCATACGGGCGCTGCGATCGAATCCCTTTGTTTGGCCGGTACTGCCGGCTCCGAGTTCTACCTGAACACCACCAAGGGCGAAGAGCCCGCTATCAAGGGAGAAGGCCTCTCCGGCACTCTTATCTGGAACCTGCCCTATAATGGTGGTATGTGTTGACTTCTCATCTTTCTCATCATGCAATCAGGCAATACTAACAGAAGTGTAGATGAGTATGAGTCCGAGCCTATGAGCTTCTACAGCGACCCATCCACCAATGTCGCCATGCTCCTCTTTGAGCCTGGCTATACTCAACAGGAGGTCTTCTTCGATAAGACCAGTCAGATGGCAATCTACAGCTACTACAATGATGCTGTCACTCCTCCAACTGATGACGAGGCCAAGATCTTGAAGAACTGGTACCTCTGTGAGACCAACTTCTCTGGTTACACCTACACCACTCTCAACTGGGTACTTGGAAATGGCAAGGCCAAGCCACAGAACCCCAGCTGTGTCAAGGTGCAAGTTCAGCGCAAGTTTGTATAGTGGACTCGCGTGATGGAATTACGGATAACGAACGACTACTAGCTCCCTAGAGCTTTAATTTGCTGATGAGTGTATATAACATGAAATTTCTGAGTCACGACAACTTAATACTATGATGTTTTCCCCGCAATTTCAATTAGCTTATTCCTAGATATACGAACTATGTAGCCCAGCTCGGATTCAAGTTGAAGGTATAAGGTATGAGTACCTAAATCGTGGCGTATCTAGGGGAGACAAAAGTTTGATTAAAAAGTGTTAGATGCATCTGATGAATCAATCTATCGCGCGACATGACAAGTGAAGCGGGTGGGTGCATTGTAAATGTTGAGCGGTGACCCCGCATCTGTATGCTACAGACTTTCTCGGCTCAGCATTGAAGTTCTGCCAAGTTGATCAGTATCGCCAGTCATCGACTGAATTCAGGCAAAAGTTCGAGGCTTAGGAAACCTTGCTCATAGTGGAATCTATTATAGATCACTTTTGGACGCGTCAGGTGATCCTTCCTAGTAGATAAACACTATCGTACCTCATTTATCTTTCTCCATGCTCCCTATGAGCCTCATTCATCCCCATCTCTTCCCATCACCTGATCACAGGAATCTACATCTCTGTCTTTGGTGGTCCCCTCCATTGTGTACTACTCGCTGTTCCTGACACTTGCAACGATCATACCCGATGCCTTCTAATAAAGACCGGCTATATGTTGCTCTTTACGCAAGAGCTGGCAAGCCTAAGATGCCAGGCAAAGAAGACACGTGAGATTATCAATCAAAGCATCTCCAAACAAGTTGAAGACTAACATCCTAATTTGAACAAGGTACCATTGGGCCTTCATTGTAGGGCCCAAAAATGAGTCAAGTGAAAGCAGAGGTTTTCGTTACCACGCGAACGAGATGCCAAAATTGGGGCAGGGCTCTGAGTTCTTTTACCAGGAAAGCTATTATCGAAATGCCTCCAACATGCTACTGGTTCGTATTGTCGTTGGAAAGGTCACAAATAGAGCTCGCCTTCTTGAAATACTGCGGACCAACCCTGTACAAAATGACGAGCCAGGATGGAATTGTGTCTCGTGGATACGGCAGGGACTGGAAAAGCTACAGTCCGATAACATGGCTTTAGGTACGAGCGTCCTTGACTGGGAAACCGTGAGGTATGAGGCGATGGATTATTGCCAACGGAAAAGAGACACGCGCCGGTTTGACGGACAGGGGGGGCATCTTTGATATATGGAAACCCCCAACATATGACTTGTTGGAGCGGCGGGAGCTCATTGCATGAGTTTCATGTCGAGGCTCAAGACAGAACACTCCAAAGCTAGTTTGACGAGTATGTTCGATCGCCAGTTGTTCGGGCATTGTTTGCAAATTCTTATCAATCTTGTTTATCTAGAAAGGGTTTTGGGGATTAACTTCAACTTGAAGTTCGCACTGGCAGGTACTGGCAGGGGTGTATTCCGGATATAACAGATACTAGTACAAATTCACGAGGTCAGAGATACTATATTCTGGTATAAACCGCACTCAGGCTGTCGATGCGTCAACTAGTCTAACTTCTGATAGATTCACACAGCATTTATATTAGGAAGACATCTTATCTGTCAATTTCGGCTCATTCCCATGGCTGGGGAAAGCATTTGAGGATTTTCCAAGTTGATTGGCAAAAGCGTCAAGAATTAGTAAAAAGCCGTGTCATTGGCCACGATGGGCTTCACGAAGCTGAGACTGGCGAAGTGAGAGGGCTTTTCCAGGGTAGCCTCATTGCTATTATGCACCTAAAATCGGATTAGAAATACTTCAGAGATGACTTTCGCCCGGGCGAGAATTCAAACTCATATTGAGCAAAATAAAGAAAACACACTTGTCCAAAATAGAATATGAAGTATGAGATAGTGCCCTTCCATTGGACCTCGGGAAGGTTGAGCCCCGCCTGGAGATTTGTCATCCTTCGTTTTATGCCTCGAATCTTAGGTGTCTATCAACGACGCCTAACGTGATTCCCAAGCGAGCGGATCACCCAAGCGAGCGGATCACCTACCACCTATTATACTACTTTAGATAAATTATTAACCACCATAACGCCAATTTATTAAAATATTTATCTAAATATCACAATGATCTGACCTATGTCCTTCTTCTCCACACTTTTTACATGTCGGCAGCTTTCTCCTCGTTGGCTGAGGCTGTAAAACAGGCGCTCTCCGCGGTGGTACGGGAGGGGCAATTGGCGCTTCAACCACCTGTATAGCACGCTGTATAGCTTCCTGGCCCTCTTGAACCGTCATTCCACCCTCATTAGGTATCTGTCTAGTAGACCGTTGGCGCTTTTGCTTCTGCTTCTCGTGTGCGGCACGTAATTTACGTGTTTCAACCTCTAATAAAGCTGTTGAATGCATCTGAATTTCACAGGCCTTAAGAACTTGATCGATTTGCTGTTTGAGTGGACTTGGAGGGCTTCTTGAGCGTTGTTTTAGAAGAGATTTGATTGAACTAGCTTGCCGCTGAAGCTGGATAATGTTTTGAGGTGTCTTAGGTGAAAATTGGCTTGATCGACTGGTAGGGCGGCTACCTGGGGGTGTAGGTGTTCGAAGAAGAATATTCAACTTAGAAAGCACTCGATCTGGGTTGAATGGTACTAAACCAGCTGCTGCAAAGCTGTTTTGAATAGTTTGGGTTTGAAAAGCCTCTTTACGAGCGATTGGGTAGGCTTCAAGAAAATCAAATTTATCAACATGGTTAAAACCAAGCCGCATTTGATTCTCAACAAGCCGACCATATGCACGCTTAAGAGGTGAAAAACATCCAACATCAAGCGGTTGATGTAAATGTGAAGAATGAGCTGGCATACAAATTGGAATAATATTATTCTCTTTGCAAATCTGGTCAAATTGGGGAGTTAAATGACTCCCATGACCATCGAGAATTAAAAGTCGATATTTTCCAAGTGTACGTTCAGTTGTTGCTGGAATAAAGTGTTTTTGAAGCCATCGAAGTCCAATTTCATCAGTTGTCCATCCATTTGGACTAGTTTCAAATCGCCAGTCAAGTGGAAGGTTCTTAAACCATCCTTCAATCAAAACTTTACCTTTGAAAATAATCACTGGTGGAAGGGCCCATCCAGATACATTAATTGTTTCAATAGCTGTTACCCATTCACGATTTCCAGGCTGTAAAAGTGATCGTCGACCATAATATCAAGAACGAGTAACAACCTTAGCAGTTGCTGTAAGTCCCATTGCAAATCCAGTCTCATCAAAGTTATAGATATCCTCTGATAGAATACCATTCTCTTGAATTGTCTGAAACACAAGATTAAACCATGCTTGAACCACTTTTGGATCCTCCATTTTCGCACGCTCGTAATTATATCGACGAGAGAAACGGGTAGTAAGCTCTGAATGTCGTCTTACGAAGTTTGTAACCCAATTTTTGCCAACAGTTTGAGGGGGGGTCTGGCCACGCGCTGCGAGTAGAATATTGGCCATTTCTTGGACAGTAGCCGGGCGGGGGGCAGCTCCACGTATATCCATAGAGATCACCCATTGGAGAAGTGAATTCTCTTCATTTTCGTTTAATTTGTGGTTATTCGCGCGAGTTTCGAATCGATTGGTATGACCATTTAGTCGGCGGTGGAGGGAAGTAAAAGGCACGTTAAACTGACGTACTGCCTCACGGATAGAGCTAATTTCATTGTTTTTAATAGCTTGGATAGCAAGTAAGATCCTTCCCTCCTGTTCGATTGAATTTCGAGAGGTTTTAGAACGTATTGGTGGCATGGTAGGTGGTTGAAGATGGCTAGACGCGGTCGCGACGCGAGTTTTTGGTTGGGTGATCCGCTCGCTTGGGTGATCCGCTCGCTTGGGAATCACGTTATCAATCCAGATAACTTCTTCCCCAGACTACACCCCTCAACCACTTCACAATTCACCAAAATGTCATACTACTTTACCATCCTTTCCCCAACAGACACCCCTATTTTCAACATTGCCTTTGGAACCTCCAAGGGTGGTGGCGATGGAATTGCGCGATTCCGCTTCCCTGATACCGCGCAGTACATGAACCAGTTCATCATCCATTCAAGTCTGGACATTGTCGAGGAAGCGCAATGGACAAATGGTGGAATGTAAGCCTCCTTTCCCAGAACTATCACAGATCATTGTGGCTTGTCTAGCCCAATTATATGATGGCCGTCCCAATCAATCAATCATCCCACCGATCTAACCCAGAACACAAGGTACCTCAAGCATGTCGACACCTACCCTCCAGCCGCAGCATACATCTCCGCGTTCCTGACTCCTAGTGGTGCTCGGTTCCTTCTTCTCCATCAACCACCACAGCTCCCCTCTAGCAACACCAGTGGCCTCGGCTCATCTTCTCTCCTGGGTGCCTCTGGATCCACCACCCGCACCTCCTCCAGCTCTGTCGCTGCGAACCCAACTTCGCCACAGACTGAGGAAGCTGTGCGCCAATTCATGAATGAAATCTACGAGAGCTATGTCAAGACAGCCATGAGCCCGTTTTATAAGCAGGGAATGGAAATCCGAAGTCCTGTATTTCGCGCAAAGGTCACAGCTGCAGGAAAGAAATGGCTGTAAGGGATATGTGAGGGATTTTTAATTGAATTCTGGGTTTGGCTTTCTTTACAGCGTGGCGTTTCTGGATTGCATGGGTTTATATCTTACACTTGTGAATATGGACTTGTTGGTTGAGTCGATGAGTGAGGGTAATGTCGCTCCCTTTGGGGGTAATTATTGATACTCAACTAGTGATATGATTAGTATAGGAAGCGCATGGGAGCATTTTACGATACCCAGAGAGGAGGGCCTAGAAAGGGCTAATGCACACTGTTTAAGAAAATTGTTTTCAATCTGTTACCGGGAAGTTCCAAGGAGTGACATGGTAGAAAGAAAACAAAAAAAACAAGGTCAAGATGTCAGTGGCTCACCCCACTGAACCTCAAGAAAAGAAAAGAAAAATGGACCATTTGGCCGCAACAAATGGGAAAGATATCCCGCGGCTCTGAGAAAGAAAAAAAGAAAAGAAAGGGGAAAGCAAAGGATCCCGAACCCGCTAAATCCACCAAGACGCCGAAGTGATGCCCCAACTCCTGGTCAAATTGACCCGCTCAAGAAAAAGCAAATCAAAGCTTAGTTTGCCACCTGAGTGGCAAGCTTCTTCTCAGCGGCGGCCTTGAAGGTCTCCAGGGCGTGAACCACGGTGTCGACGTTGGACACCGCACCGAAGATTCCACCCTCCATCTTGACGGACTCGATGGTGCTTGTGTGGAGGGCCTGTTCAGCGGCCGCAGTTCCGTCGTCGAGGAGGAGGCAGTCAAAACCGCGGTCGTTGGCCTCACGCATTGTGGTAGAGACACAGACGTCGGTAGTGACGCCGACAATTACCAGGTTCTTCACTCCCTTGTTGCGGAGGATCAGCTCGAATTCGGTGTGAGCAAAGGCTCCGCGGCCCGGCTTGTCGATGACGGGTTCGTTGTCAAGAGGCTGGAGCTCGTTAACGATGTTCCAGCCAGGTTGACCACGAACCAAAAGACGTCCAAGGGGCCCCTGGTCACCAATGCCCAGTTGCGAGCCGTTGTGAGAACGGAACTGCTCACGGCGTGAAAGGGTGGACAGGTCCGGGCGATGGCCTAATATAATAAATTTAGTAAATGTGTTTCTAGCATTCAGGAAAGACGGAATACGTATACGTACCTTCACGGGTAAAGTAGACGGGGAATTGAGCACGACGGAAGATGTCCAGGACACGAGCAACCTTGGGGATCAGGTTCTGTGCAGCAGAGATATCATGGCCCTGGAATGCCATGTAACCGGCGGTGTCACAAACTAATGGATATGTTAGTCCTATTGTGATATATGAAGCTTTCTTCCGGAAAAAGAGACTTACAGTCACGCTGCATATCAACAATGACAAGACCTGTAGTGTGAGGGGAGAAGGAAGCGTCGTGAGGCCAGTCATAGGGGGCGGCCTGCAGCTGGCCCTTGCGAACCTTGTGCTGAGGGGCCTGGCGGGGTCTATCGAGACTTGGGCCATGGTTGTGATTGGGGATGGTGACCTCCAGATTCCATTCTCCATTATCCAACTTGGTCAGAATCACCTTGAAAGGACAATCCATAAGACGCGAGGTGCGACGACGCTTGCGGGTCTCCTCAGTAAGTCCATTGCGAGCACGGTAAGATCCACCACGATCACAGCGCAACCAAATCTTGTGAGTACGTCCAGGCTTCTCCGGGGTTGGCATGCTAGAAGTCTTAACGACTACATTGTAACCATGAGCCTTGCTGTGAGCATGAACTGAATTCATGAGTGTCTCTCTAGAAGAAACGTAGGCAGCCGAGGTTAGTGACGTAACGTGACGCGACGCGATATTGTTTTCAAGAGAGAGGACATACTTATCAGGGTAGCGGCCAGCACGAGGAGGAAGCAGTGTCATAGAGGCATCAGGAATGTCCTGAAGATCGCTTGGAGCGTCCAAATTGAGGTCGTTTGGGTCCGACATCGTGATCGAGCAGGATATCGAAGCCAAAGATGGGGAGGGGTAAGAAGAACGTTCAACTTGGTAGAAGAAAGAAAATAATGGCAGCCTTTACATCAACAAAACAAACCTGTGAAGGCTTGTCCGCCTGAAGTAAATGCAGATCGGGGTGATAAACAAGTGCGTGGAACAATCACTATGATCAGCTCGCAGTTCCAGGTCGTGCGTGGTCATATGGGAACCCCAGATCGGCTCTGGAAATGGAATCATGGCCCCGGAAATCATGGGGTCGGATTATTGTTATCCCGATATCAAGCCGATCGGGACTTCGGCAGAAGATTATTCCGTGGCCGAATATCTTGAGGGCGGTAAGCCGATCGGGAACTCGGCAAATAATTATTCCGTATCCCTATGTGTTGGCGGTACAACATTGTTGGGAGAGATGGATTCAAGGTCTTCCTTGATATGTGTAGCACCGTAGTTGCAATTGAGGTCCATTGGGTCAGGATCATTACCTAGGTACAATTCAAGCCCTAACTTTGGGCAGCTCTGCATACATAATACATATTGACACCTACCTAGGGCAGCCATTTTTCTATCTCAGAGTAGCTTTGTTATGGCTCTGTAGGATGCTACTATAATCCAGCCAAAAGGCCCTTAGAACATTCAAATGTTGGTTTGAGTCAAACTATCTTGAATATCAAAGTTTTTTATCCTCAATGGTTCAAATGTTGCTATGGAATGCATATCCATGCCGGCACCTATATATGTGTAGTCCTTCCAAGGTTCCAAGGTTTAGTTTCTTCCGACATCCATAGCCCTTAATTTTTTGTACCTATCTACCTACATCCATAGGTAGTAATCAGCACTGCATGTGTGACTTGAGTGCTATATGTATATATATATTGGCAACGGACCCTACCCCGGGACCTCCAGGGCTCCGACCTCGGAGTCCTATGGATACGGTGTACATCTAGGTGGATGTATGTGTGTATAAGAGTACCTACCAACCGAATATTGAATGTGCACCAGTTGACCACTGGCAGTCCACTTCAAGTTTGTGTATGTACATAGGTCCCATTCAACTTGAAATGCCCAGGTGTTGACTTCGATTTTTGCTTCCAACATTTTGAACATACCTACGCGTAGTAGTATCTTTCAGCTCTACTATAATTTACTCCAGGGCTGGTAACTTGAACATCAATTTCAATGCTCACTGTTCAAAAACCTGAATGTTCAATCCCAACTTGAAGGTCACATCATCAACCTTGGAATTGATGTGCATGGATGACTCGGATGTATATATTTTCTGGTGGTGGTGGTGGTGGGTCACGGTCCCGTCATTCCAAGGTTCTACTCAGCCCTGGAGGCCAGGGTAGTACTAGTAGCAATACTAGAACATAGAACATTTCCAAGGTTGTATCACGGAGTTCAAATTTGTGATCTGGAAGAGCTTGCGGAAGAATCACTAGTCCTGACGACACATCTAGTAGCCCGCCACAACACAATTTCACATCCTCTGCGCGTTCCAAGGATTTAAGATGATCATGCCAGGTGGTTGGCTCGTGTGGTATATAGACCCACTTTGTCAGTGGCAGCCCTGGAGTTCGCCAGTTGAGTAGTAGACATTGAAGTGTGTTGAACTTGGGTACATATAATCGGCTTCGCATTAAAATTGCTAATCTGCCCGCCTAAATATGATGGGTAAACTGGAGGTAATAGGAAAACTATTTATGCAAATATTTGCAGCTTGGAATCGGCAGCACCTGCAGTCAGTCACCTGGGCATTTGTTATTTCGTTTCATTCCACTATAGTGTGTACATCTGATGCGCGCTATCTTTGACAGCCCTTGAGCACACAAAGCTTTTATCTCAATTTCAATGTTGAACAAGGAATCCCCTGACTATTAGTAGGTACTTAAAACAAATACTTTCAGGGTCAGTTCTTTGACATGTCATTTGTCTATGTGATATATGATAATGATCTACTTCACCGCCATCCAATTAGATCTGGGCTCCACATGGGACCGATCGATAGGCTGACATAATACACGTGTGTCCCATGGCGACTGATCAGATGTTAGCGCGGTGCCCCCCTAAATATCAACAATCTAATCAGTCCAGTTCCGCTCTGCAAAGCACCCACCACCGTGGGAGTTTCGGTCCAAAGAAAGGGAAATAATAGGGTAAGTTTCCTCGGCCTCCTGTGATCGCCACTTGGGTCTCTTCCTCTCTTTCGCATCATACCCTCTCTACGGTGGAGGGTGCAAAGTCGACCATCTCTGCCATCTCAGCTGCGTCACCGCCTCGCCGAGGGGCATCAACAACCCACGGCTATCCACCATCAACCAGCCCATGGTACTGCGAGAAGGCCGATCTTGAAGCCCGAAAGCGCTTTTTACCTCCCAGGACAATCTTTTGAAAGGAGAATTCGCTAATCGTGGTCTCGTGGACGTCTTTGCGACCCGTCGCCGGGTATCTTGACGCGGGAAGATGCCGGCCCCCGATGAGTCGCCTTCTGAGAGAAAGCACACCAGCAGTTCTTACAGAGATGAGCTTGCGCACTACAAGTCTCAATATGAGCAGCTAGAGGCCGAGCTTTCGGACTTTCAGGTCTCCAGCCGGGAGCTGGAGGCCGAGCTGGAGAAGGACATCGAAGCTTCAGAGAAGCGAGAGCGCCAGCTGAAAGAGAAAGTGGACACTTTGCGATACGAGGTTGATGAGTGGAAGGTATGTGGTGGCTATGTACTCCATTTCCTTTTCTACGCCGCAGTGGCTCATTCGTTTGCAGACCAAGTACAAGCAGTCTAAATCCGAAGCGAACGCTGCCCAAAACACTCTGCAAAAGGAGATCACTTCCTTGCGCGAGACAAGTCGCTCTCTCCAGTTGAAGCTGCGCGACATTGAAGTTGCCAACGATGACTATGAACGACAAGCTCGGAACACCACCTCGTCCTGGAGGACCTGGAGTCGAAGTATAATATGGCCATTGAGCGCGGCGTGCTTCTGGAAGAAGAAATGAGAACTGGAGACCTGGAGCGCGAGAGTCTTCGAATTGATAACCAACGTTTACGTGATGAGCTCTCCGATCTCAAGGTCGAGGCCGAGATCGTTCAGGAAAGACTGCGAAATGCGGAAGGGCATGGATATCGCCGTCGCAAGCCGACTCCTCTTTACCGAAGCCCCTCCACACCGCAAACCTTTGAGATTTTCGATCGGTCGCCCAATACAGCAACTTCTTCTCCAGTCTTTGCCACGCCACCTGCCAAATCCTCATTGGCGTCAGCTACTGCCACTCCTCCATCGCCTCCAATCTCGGAGGCCTCGACCAACTTCCGGAAGTCTATCAATGCTACGCCTACGTTCCCCGAACAAGAGTGGCAGGACCAGACCCAGTCAACTCTCGAACTCTTCACAATGCTAGAACACAGCCCCGACCCACACATTCTCGAGCCTCGTCTCTTGCGTACAGCAATAGTGCCCGGTCCAATACTACTCCCTCGATCAGCTCTCGCAGCAGCATGGCGAGAATGAATAATGCCCCGCGCCCTTCGGGATTGCCCAAGTCGGGTTCTCTCTACCAGATTCGAGGTCTTATTGGAAAGATGCAGAAACTCGAAGAGAGAGTGCAGTCTGCCAAGTCACGACTGCCCGCGCCTTCAGATACCTCGTCTCGTGGCTCCCCTCGTTCTGGGTCTGTTGTGGGAGATAGTCCAGTTGCATCAACCATCACAGTCCGAAGAAACTCTCGCAAGCGACTGAGTGGTAGCAGTTATGGGTCATCGATACGAGATAGTGAAGGAACCCCCTCATACGTTCCCCAAAGCCGTCAGTCGTTCGGAGCACGTACTGGGGACAGTCGCCCCAGCAGTCGTACCAGCTTCTCTAGTCGCAGTTCATTCAGCCAAAGCGTGCATTCGGGTGTGCCTGTCCGACCGGAAAGCCGACAGAGTCGAAACGGTGCCAAAACACCGATGGGTCATTACTCAACTAATCCTACCACCGAAAGTCGACGACCGCGCTCCTCCTTGAGCAACCACAATGGGCAGACTATTGGGGTTGGTAGCATGTCAAACATTGAGGAAGACCGAGACCCCTCTACTCCCACCTCTTGTATCCCACAGGAGCTCCGACGGCCATCGGTCTCGGCTACTCCGACCCTGAAGAAACGCACAACTAGTGGTATTTCGGCCATCCCCACCCCACGAAGCTTTAAAAGCAGTATCGGGCCGGGACCCATGCCACCGCCCGATCGGAAGCAACTGAACGATCTGGGGGAGACCTTCTAGATTGCACTGTCTTACTTTCCCGAGTCCCCACCATGATGGGTCTTCATTTATTTTTTTTCTCCAACGAGATAGATTTGCGGAGAGGACTTTGTCTCACTGGTTTGCGAGTATGATTCTTGACCGTGATGACATTTGCACGTTTTACTGTTTTACTTGCGAGGCAAGGCAAAGGAAATATGTGACTTGTTATCTTCTGATTTTTTTTTCTTTTGCTTTTCTTTTCGCATCACACGTATGCATGCATACTAGGGTCCTCCCTGGGTGGTGGGCCTTGTTAGACTTACTCCTTCTGCGCATTCCTGTACAGCCCTTTTTACCCTGGAGCGTCTAGGTGGTTCTTCACCACTCTTGTTGTGCTTCCCTTTTTTCCCCCTACCAGCCCCCATATCTATTCCTGTTTATGGAGCACTTGTGCCTATTTATGGGTATTGTCCTGGATGGATTCCTGGGCGTCCTAAGCTGTGTCTCAGCAACTCCCCCTCTTTTCATATTTGCAGTCGCGCGGCGTTTGATAATACCCACGATTATTGTTCTGTCCATTCCAATCTTCATTGTAGTACAAGTAGTGTTATCTGAGTCACGTTAGGCGGTCTGTCGCATAGCGGATTACTATCATGCAGAGTCTACGGACTCGGTGTACGGAGTACCTAACCTTGTCCTGTTCAGGCCCCAATCCCGACAATTTCGATCACCGAGGGATTTAGACGAAGCTCTTGATTTTTGATTTTTGATTTTATTATTTTATTATTTATATTTTTTACTTTTTTTTGGGGCTATTGAAAAATGAACGTCATTCTGCAGCTGGGGCCGAAGGTAATGTCCAGTTATAGTATCTTGAAAATATGCCGTGAGAGGGATCTACTAATCAATTCGGGGTCTGTATTCCGTGCTCCGTGGTGATTGTATACATTGAGAGTCCGAAAACCTATCTCTACACATTGAACTCTCGGGCATACCGGAACATGAGTGTTGATCCCCGAAGATCCTGGTGCCCACCAGGTGCATTTGGTACTTTCGGGATGTCGAATAATCCCCGTTGGGAGGGTCGATGATGAGCTAGTCCCGAATGACCCCGAATGACCCCGACTTCAGCCACTTAATTTGGAAATCGTTTTTCGAGACGTCTCTACGGATCCCGTGGGGTCAATAGTCCAGGGATATGAAAAAGGGGAGTATGATTGGATTGTATAAAGTAGGAAAGTTGATGATTGGGTGAAACAGATAGAAAATGTTGGAAGAAGCGCCCAACAAAGCTCAGTCAACAGTGTACCTGGTTGGGGGCCTCCACATAAGTGGATTATTCTAGTGAATTCCCCCCCAATGTATCTTTGTATATTAATTTCTATGTAAAGGTACTTCTGTCTTCTTCGTCTTCTTCATCAGGATCCACTTCATGGACCTTGGTGGGGTCCAAACAGAATTTCATTTCTCAACTTTTTTCTTCTTTTTCTTTTATGGTTAGGAATCTACTTCATATACATTCTCTTGTTCTGGACCTGAAGAACATTTTGGCCAATTTTTTTTTATTTAATTTTTTTTTTCTCTAAACTTGATTATATCGGATTTGTGGTGGTTCTCTCCGGTACGTTATACTGTAACCCTTTTCTGCATCCATCTCAACTAGTTCCGCTTGCGGCTGGTCTTGGCCCCTGCGCCTTTTTTCTTTTTGGCTCACCAGGAACTGCTGACGGCAACGTGAGATTGTGTCTGCGTGAGCAAAGGAAATTAGAGAGAGAGTGAGGATACAGAGAGAGTGATCTTCGTCAATTCCCTACTTTCTTACTGATCAATCTTAGATTTCTCGTTTTCCTTCCCCTCCTCTCTCCCCGACTAGCCACCGGAATTGCCTTCCATTGTACATTATTTTCAACTCTCGGCAGCAGTGCTGTTTAATACCCGACACTTTTCACCTTTTACTTCCGCCTCCTCTTCCCCTTTTTATGGGCGTTGAAACGATCTAATTGATCGATTACACATCATGGGTGTTCCCAACGGCAATTCTCCAGCCAACGGCGCTGGTAGCTCTCTCGCCGATATTCCTTCACATTTCGTCGGTGGCAACAATGTGGAGGTAGCGCCCCCGAGCGCTGTCAAGGACTTTGTTGTCAACCATGGAGGTCACTCCGTCATCAGCTCGGTAAGTGTGAACTGTTGGTGGAATAGAAGTGGGAAGAAATGGAAAGCGACAAAAAAAATGAGGGGCAAAACACTGGAAGAGAAGAAGAAAAATAAATAAAAACATGAGGAGATTGGCATTGGGCGAAAAAGGAGGAAATTCAGATGGAAAGACGCTTGGGGACAGGAACAAATCACTACAAGACCAAAGTACTAACCATCGCGGGGGGTTTTTTTAGGTGCTGATCGCCAACAACGGTATCGCCGCCGTCAAGGAGATCCGTTCAGTACGGAAATGGGCTTACGAGACCTTTGGCAATGAGCGTGCCATTCAATTCACTGTTATGGCCACCCCCGAAGATTTGCACGCCAATGCCGACTATATTCGTATGGCCGATCAATACGTCGAGGTGCCCGGAGGTACAAATAATAATAATTATGCCAACGTCGAGCTGATTGTCGATGTGGCCGAGCGTATGGATGTTCACGCTGTCTGGGCTGGTTGGGGTCACGCCTCTGAGAACCCCCGGTTACCTGAGTCGCTGGCGGCCTCGCCCAAGAGAATTATCTTCATTGGTCCTCCTGCGTCAGCCATGCGCTCATTGGGTGACAAGATTTCTTCCACCATTGTTGCACAGCATGCCGGTGTGCCCTGTATCCCCTGGTCAGGAACCGGTGTCGACGATGTAGAGGTTGATGAACATGGCATTGTTACCGTGAAGGATGATGTCTACGCCAAGGGTTGCACATTCTCCCCCGCGGAGGGTCTCGAGAAGGCCAAGCAGATCGGTTTCCCCGTTATGATCAAGGCCTCCGAAGGTGGTGGTGGTAAGGGTATCCGAAAGGTCGAGAGTGAGGACGACTTCGTCTCCCTGTACAATGCGGCTGCGAACGAGATTCCCGGTTCGCCCATCTTCATTATGAAGCTGGCTGGAAACGCCCGTCATTTGGAGGTGCAGCTGCTGGCTGATCAGTATGGAAACAACATCTCCCTCTTTGGTCGTGATTGTTCCGTTCAGCGTCGTCATCAGAAGATTATTGAGGAGGCTCCTGTCACCATCGCCAAGCCCATTACTTTCCAGGCTATGGAGAAGGCTGCCGTCAGCTTGGGTCGTCTGGTCGGTTACGTCTCTGCTGGTACCGTTGAGTACCTGTACTCCCACTCCGATGACAAGTTCTACTTCTTGGAGTTGAACCCCCGTCTGCAAGTCGAGCATCCTACCACTGAGATGGTTTCCGGTGTCAACTTGCCCGCTGCTCAGCTTCAGATTGCTATGGGTATCCCTCTGCACCAGATCCGCGATATTCGTCTCCTCTACGGTGTTGACCCCAACACTTCCTCCGATATCGACTTCGACTTCTCTAGCGAGGAGAGCTTCCAGACTCAGCGTCGCCCCCAGCCCAAGGGCCACACCACCGCTTGTCGTATCACCTCTGAGGACCCTGGTGAGGGTTTCAAGCCTTCCAGCGGTACTATGCACGAGTTGAACTTCCGTAGTTCTTCCAACGTCTGGGGTTACTTCTCCGTCGGTACTGCCGGTGGTATTCACAGTTTCTCCGACAGTCAGTTCGGTCACATTTTCGCCTACGGTGAGAACCGATCTGCTTCCCGAAAGCACATGGTTGTTGCCCTGAAGGAATTGAGCATTCGTGGTGATTTCCGTACCACTGTTGAGTACCTCATTAAGTTGCTGGAGACTCCCGCTTTCGAGGACAACACCATCACCACTGGTTGGTTGGATCAGCTGATTTCCAACAAGCTGACTGCCGAGCGTCCCGATCCCATTGTCGCTACTGTCTGTGGTGCTGTCACCAAGGCTCACCTTGCCAGCGAGGCCGGTATTGAAGAGTACCGTCGTGGTCTGGAGAAGGGTCAGGTCCCCTCCAAGGATGTCCTGAAGACTGTCTTCCCCGTCGACTTCATCTACGAGGGTCACCGCTACAAATTCACTGCTACTCGTGCTGGTCCCGACAGCTACCACTTGTTCATCAATGGCTCCAAGTGTTCCGTCGGTGTCCGTGCCCTTGCGGACGGTGGTTTGCTGGTTCTGCTGGACGGCCGCAGTCACAACGTGTACTGGAAGGAGGAGCCTGCTGCCACTCGTCTCAGCGTTGACGGCAAGACTTGCCTTCTGGAGCAGGAGAACGACCCTACCCAGCTTCGCTCGCCCTCCCCCGGTAAACTGGTCAAGTTCACTGTTGAGAACGGTGAGCACGTCCGTGCTGGCCAGCCTTACGCTGAGGTTGAGGTCATGAAGATGTACATGCCCCTTATCGCTCAGGAGGATGGTATTGTGCAGCTCATTAAGCAGCCTGGTGCTACTCTCGAGGCTGGTGACATCCTCGGTATCTTAGCTCTGGATGACCCTACCCGCGTTAAGCACGCCCACCCCTTCACTGGTCAACTCCCTGAGATGGGTTCGCCCGTTGTTCTCGGTACCAAGCCTCCTCAGCGCTTCACCCTGCTGTACAGCATTCTTGAGAACATCCTGCGCGGTTTCGACAACCAGGTTATCATGAACGCTACCCTGAAGCAGTTGGTTGAGGTCCTCCGTAACCCTGACCTTCCCTACGGAGAGTGGAACGCTCAGTCCTCTGCTCTGCACTCCCGTATGCCCCAGAAGCTGGATGCCCAGCTGCAGAACGTCGTTGACAAGGCCCGTGCTCGCCAGGCTGAGTTCCCCGCTAAGCAGCTCCAGAAGACTACTGCTCGTTTCATCGAGGAGAATGTCAGCGCTGGTGATGCTGAGATCCTCCGCACCACTATTCTGCCTTTGACTCAGGTCATCAACAAGTACCTTGATGGACTGAAGGTCAACGAGTACAATGTCTTCATTAGCCTGCTTGAGCACTACTACGAAGTCGAGAAGGTCTTCTCTACCGGCACCAAGCGTGATGAGGATGTCATTCTTAAGCTGCGTGAGGAGAACAAGGAGGAGATCACCAAGGTTGTTTCCACTGTTCTGTCCCACAGCCGTATTGGCTCCAAGAACAACCTGGTCCTGGCCATCCTGGACATGTACCGCCCCAACCAGCCCGAGGTTGGCAACGTTGGCAAGTACTTCAAGACTGTTCTCAAGAAGCTCACTGAGCTTGAGGCTCGTGCTGCTGCTAAGGTCACTCTCAAGGCCCGTGAGGTCCTGATCCAGTGCGCCATGCCTTCTCTCGAGGAGCGTCTGTCCCAGATGGAGCATATTCTCCGCTCCTCCGTTGTCGAGTCCCGCTACGGTGAGACTGGCTGGGAGCACCGTGAGCCCGAGTTCGGTGCCCTCAAGGAGGTTGTCGACTCCAAGTACACTGTCTTCGATGTGCTGCCTCGCTTCTTCGTCCACCAGGACCCTTGGGTTACCCTTGCTGCCCTGGAGGTTTACGTGCGCCGTGCTTACCGTGCCTACACTCTCAAGGCCATTGACTACAGCCACGCCACCGAGACTCCCTTCCTGTCTTGGGACTTCACCCTCGGCAAGCTCGGCCAGTCTGAGTTCGGCTCTGTCTCCTCCACCCAGCCTTCTGCTCCCGGTACCCCAATTTCCGAGAGCCCTAGCCCCTTCAAGCGTATCAACTCCATCAGTGATATGTCTTACATGATCAACGACCCCTCCAGCGACCCCGTCCGCAAGGGTGTTATCATCCCTGTTCAGTACCTGGAGGATGCTGAGGAATTCCTGCCCAAGGCTCTTGAGATCTTCCCCCGTGTTGGTGCCAAGGCTACCCCCGGTGGTAACGGTCTGATCGCTAACCTTGAGGGCAAGCGCCGTCCTACCGGCACTCTCAAGATTGAGCATGACAGCGAGCTTACCGGTGTCTGCAACATCGCTATTCGCGATATTGAGGACCTCGATGACGCTCAGCTTGTTGCTCAGATGGAGAAGTTGCTGGCTGATTTCAAGGAGGAGTTGGTGTCTCGCCGCGTTCGCCGTGTCACCTTCATCTGTGGCAAGGAGGGTGTCTACCCCGGCTACTTCACTTTCCGTGGCCCTCTCTACGAGGAGGACGTCAGCATTCGTCACAGCGAGCCCGCCCTGGCCTTTCAGCTGGAGCTGGGACGTCTGTCCAAGTTCAAGATCAAGCCCGTCTTCACTGAGAACCGTAACATTCACGTTTACGAGGCTCTTGGAAAAGGTCCTGAGAACGACAAGGCTGTTGACAAGCGTTACTTCGTTCGTGCTGTGGTCCGTCCTGGTCGTCTCCGTGATGACATCCCCACTGCTGAGTACCTGATCTCAGAGGCTGATCGCCTGATGAACGATATTCTGGATGCTTTGGAGATCATTGGTAACAACAACTCTGATCTGAACCACATCTTCATCAACTTCTCTCCCGTCTTCAACCTGCAGCCCATCGATGTTGAGCAGGCCCTGGCTGGCTTCCTCGACCGCTTCGGTCGTCGTCTGTGGCGCACCCGTGTCACCGGTGCTGAGATCCGTATTCTCTGCACTGACCCCACCACCGGCATGCCTTACCCTCTGCGTGTGATCATCAGCAACACCTACGGATTCATCATCCAGGTTGAGTTGTACATCGAGCGCAAGTCTGAGAAGGGCGAATGGATCTTCCAGAGCATTGGTGGCACCACCAAGCTCGGCTCCATGCACATGCGTCCTGTGTCTACTCCCTACCCTACTAAGGAATGGCTGCAGCCCAAGCGTTACAAGGCTCACCTTATGGGAACCCAGTACGTCTACGATTTCCCTGAGCTCTTCCGCCAGGCCTTCCAGAACAGCTGGACCAAGGCTCTTGAGACCATCCCCTCTCTCGCCTCCCAGCGTCCTCCTGTTGGCGAGTGCATCGACTACAGCGAGCTTGTTCTTGATGACACCGACAACCTGGTTGAGGTCTCTCGTGAGCCTGGTACCAACTCCCACGGTATGGTCGGATGGATCGTCACTGCCCGTACCCCCGAGTACCCCAAGGGTCGTCGCTTCATCATCGTTGCCAACGATATCACCTTCCAGATTGGTTCCTTCGGTCCTCAGGAAGATAAGTTCTTCCACAAATGTACCGAGCTTGCTCGCAAGCTGGGTATCCCCCGTATCTACCTGTCTGCCAACTCCGGTGCTCGCATTGGTATGGCCGATGAGCTGATTCCTTACTTCTCTGTTGCCTGGAACGACGCTGCCAAGCCCGAGGCTGGCTTCAAGTACCTCTACCTCACCCCCGAGGTCAAGAAGCGCTTCGATGCTAGCAAGCAGAAGGAGGTCATCACTGAGCTCATCACCGAGGATGGTGAGGAGCGCCACAAGATCACCACCATCATTGGTGCCAAGGACGGTCTTGGTGTTGAGTGTCTGAAGGGCTCTGGTCTCATTGCCGGTGCCACTTCCAAGGCTTACGAAGACATCTTCACCATCACCCTGGTTACTTGCCGTTCCGTCGGTATTGGTGCTTACCTGGTCCGTCTTGGTCAGCGTGCTATCCAGGTTGAGGGTCAGCCCATCATCCTGACTGGTGCTCCTGCTATCAACAAGCTCCTGGGTCGTGAGGTCTACACCTCCAACTTGCAGCTTGGTGGTACTCAGATCATGTACAACAACGGTGTCTCCCACATGACTGCCAACGATGACTTCGAGGGTGTGCAGAAGATTGTTGAGTGGATGTCCTTCGTTCCCGACAAGAAGAATGCTCCTGTTCCCATCCGTGCCTGGTCCGATGACTGGGACCGTGACATCGGCTACTTCCCTCCTGCCAAGCAGACCTACGATGTCCGCTGGCTCATTGGTGGTAAGCAGGATGAGGAGGGCTTCCTGCCCGGTCTCTTCGATAAGGACTCCTTCGAGGAGGCTCTCGGCGGTTGGGCCAAGACTGTCGTCGTTGGTCGTGCTCGTCTCGGTGGTATCCCTATGGGTGTCATCGCTGTCGAGACTCGCGCTGTCGAGAACGTCACCCCTGCCGACCCTGCTAACCCCGACTCCATGGAGATGATCACCCAGGAGGCTGGTGGTGTTTGGTACCCCAACTCTGCCTTCAAGACCGCCCAGGCTCTGCGTGACTTCAACAACGGTGAGCAGTTGCCCGTCATGATCTTGGCCAACTGGAGAGGCTTCTCTGGTGGTCAGCGTGATATGTACAACGAGGTCCTAAAGTACGGTTCGTACATCGTCGACGCCCTCGTCAAGTACGAGCAGCCCATCTTCGTGTACATTCCTCCCCACGGTGAGCTCCGTGGTGGATCTTGGGTCGTCGTCGACCCCACCATCAACCCTGAGCAGATGGAGATGTACGCTGACGAGGAGGCCCGTGGTGGTGTCCTCGAGCCCGAGGGTATCGTCAACATCAAGTACCGTCGCGACAAGCAGCTGGATACCATGGCTCGTCTGGATGCCACCTACGGTGAGCTCCGTCGTTCTCTGGATGACCAGACCCTCAGCAAGGACCAGCTCTCAGAGATCAAGACCAAGATGGCTGCCCGCGAGGAGCAACTTCTGCCCGTTTACCTGCAGATTGCCCTGCAGTTCGCCGATCTCCACGACCGTGCCGGCCGTATGCAAGCCAAGAACACCATCCGTCAACCTCTCCAGTGGCAGAACGCCCGTCGCTTCTTCTACTGGCGTCTGCGCCGCCGTTTGAGCGAGCAGCTCATCGTCAAGCGCATGGTCGCTGCTTCTCCTGCCCCGACCACCCCCACCGGTGCTGCCGGTACCATCCCCTCCTCCGGCCCAACCACCCACTCCACCACCGAGTCCCCTCGTGCTGTGCACCTCCGCACTTTGCACTCCTGGACCGGTCTCCTCGACAACGAAGTCGAGCACGATGACCGCAAGGTCGCTACCTGGTACGAGGAGAACAAGAAGCTCGTCCAGTCCAAGGTTGAGTCTCTCCGTACTGAGGGTGTTGCCTCTGAGGTTGCTCAACTCCTTATTGGAAACAAGGAGGGTGGTCTCCGTGGTGTTCAGCAGGTTCTTTCTATGCTTCCTGTTGAGGAGCGTGAGTCTGTTCTCAAGTACCTTGGATCTGCTTAAATTGATTCCTTGGTTAAAAATTGAACTTCCAACGCACATGAATGCGTCGTCGCTTTGGATTGCGAAGGCGAGAATATATTTTCTTTGGTTTTTATTTCTTTTATCCTCATGACTTGATGTTTATGTTTTTTCTTGGTTCTTTTCTACCTGTTTTTTACCTTGCAAAGCTAAAGTGTGCATCGGTGTTTTTATGAGGTTTATTTGTTATGTTAATGAGTTATATTTGTCCAATACATATTCTAATGGGCTCATAAATTTCCATTCTAAGTCAATATAATAATTCCTAGATAATGTATTTGTCCTCATTAGTCGTAGGCCTTCAAAACTGTACTTTTGTACTACTGAGTGCTGGCCACGGTCAAGCAAGTTTTTCGCTTAGGGTCCTTCAACATTTGAAGTTAGATTGCCACCAGAGCTGGTAGCCAGTATTACTATGTAATATTCCACTGGAAAGTTAGTAGATTGCTCTCCTGATTCTCGGTCTGTGATATGGTTATTCGGCCCTGGAATTGGGTCCAGAGAACCACGTCAACGTATTCGCTGTGAGCGTCAAGGTGTTCTGCCTCCAAGGTTCTCACGGCTCGCGCTGAGCATGCAAGGCTATTCCTAAAACGGTTCCGAGTCCTGCAGCCCTGTAGGGCGCAGGTGGAGTAAATGAGTAATATGCACTGGCGTTTCGAGCACGTCCCAGGACTCGGACTTCTTTAGTACCTATCTTTACTGGTAAGTATGCCGAGCCTGTTAATTCAAAGACTCCGAGCGGAATTCAATGATCTAATGCATTTGCCGAGCTCCCGTTTCATATTGAGTCCTAATTTCATCATGGTTGCACTTATGCACTGTGATTGCACTACCTGAACTCAGACCTGACAGGAATCTTCCGTTCAGCCGTTCAGGGCAGGGCGGTTGGTATAGATACCGATGCCAGGCAGCAGAATTACAAAATTCTTTCCAGGTCTTATCCAATTATTTCTGCTGCTACGTGTAGTCCGTACTTTAGACCCGTTTTTAGGGCTGATGACCCACTTTCATGCAGGTAGTATTCAATTTGATTTGGAGAAAACTTAGGGAGTATTAGGGATTCGGGTAACGATCAGGTAGAGTCAGGATCTGGGTACTACCAGATGTCACTCATAGGTAGGGGAGAGAAGGAGGCAAGAGTATTCCAGAACGCTTCATATTTCATTTCAATTCTGGATGAAAAAAATCAGGGAACAAGAATTGAAACTACTGGTAATTGTAGACACTTGGGGAATTCTCATGCATGAAAGAAGTGAAACAAGCTCCAAGGAAGAGAAAACGTAATAAAAGCCACACAAACTATAACCGCTCCACCGCTGTCATAACAGGCGCTAAGGTCTTGAGGAGAGACTGCCTAGGTGGAGTAATCTGAAGATGCAAAGCCCATCAGTACAAATCCTCAAAATTCATAATGGCTGGTGGATATTAATCACCTTGATCTATTGCTGTCTAACAATACCAGCTTCCATATGACTCGGTGTAGTATATATGGGATACGCAACCGGAGCGGGTTTCTGGACCGGGCTCTGAACTTGAAGAGGATCAGGGTAGACCCATTGTGAGAGAGGAGGTAATTCGGCAGCTCTCTGCCGAGCCTGTTTCGCTTCCTTCTTTCGGTCTCTGTGTATCTTTATACAGATCACAATGGCAGCGATTATGACTGCGATGACGACGATGGGGACGAGGATCACTTTGAGGAGAACCTTTATGAGGCCCATTGTTCAAATGTTATCACGAAGTGGATGGCCTTAGTCGGGAGGGAATAGGAATAAGACGATGGGTAAGTGGACGGGGTTCAAGGAGTAGCAGTCCTACCTAGTAATGGGAATGAGACACTCTTACATGTCTAGAGATCACTCTGTTAGCATTCATTTTTGGAGAAAGAGGTGATGTGATCATTAAATTGGATAGAGGATCACTTGAATTCGGCGGTTATACTCCCTGGTTTATTGGGCGAGAATTGTATGACCCACTGATACTGCTGCTGATACCAGTGTGATGCTTCTGTGTTACCATTCCAACCTATAATTAGACCTCCAATGAGGTTCATTATCGAGTGAACTTAAAAGTCTCGACTCCTCTTCGGGGGTGTAGGTTTGAGCTAAAGCTGTCTCAGCCCTATAGAGCTTGTGACTGTGATTGCTGCTGCAGAGTGGAGAATAATGAGTGGAACCGCTGGAAGAACCATCCTACATTCAAGTTTTAATATGGCCTGAAATTACAGCAGGAAATTGGAGCGTTTCCGATGGCTCGGATTACATTGTTAGATTTTGGGAGCCTGAAATGGTATTGTGAATTTCAAGGGCTATTTAGCAATATGTCATACATGATAGTCGTAAGGTGGTTAGGTTATTGTAAGATATCCACCAAGGCATGAGCAATAAATCCCTGTGTACCGGAAATGAATACCAAACAGCTGGGGCAGTCTCAAATGAATTTGATAAAGAAATGCCGAGGCTATGATGTACCGCTGTCGTAATCTAAGAGCGAAAGAGCTTCAAAGTTTCACCATCCGCGAACCACAGCTTCTGGAACGATATCTCCAAATTCTTGTAGCTGCTCGCTCATAGTAGCACGGGATGCATATTCGCGAATTGTTGTATTAGAAGCAGGTGAAATATGCCAAATTTTGACTGAAAGGCCTGCTTCGTGGAACCTTTCGATTTCCCCAAGAAAACATTGCCAAAGGTCCAGGTGGGCAACTGGTTTTTTCTTCGATTTTGTTATCCAGCCCCGCGACTTCCAGCCCGGCACACAGGTTGTGATAGCGTTGCCGAGTGTGTTATTGTCCGTCGCAAGTACCATGGTCTTGAACCCATCTTTACTCCAGTCCCGAAAACGTAAAGCAGCAAGCATCGCACGAAGCTCCGCTCTGAGGACATCTGTAGCGTCACGGCTTCCCATCGGTCCTTCCATCTCCATGGGAAAAGATACGTAGCCGGACTTCCCCATTGTCTTTGTTGGTGATCTGAAAGCAAAGGCACATCCCACTTTCGTGCGTGGCTCCCAACGACCCCTGGTGTAGATTAAAAACTGCGTGGGATCGTCTCGATTGATGAATCGGTGCATCGATTTACCTGGAATAATCCGATCTGGGAAGAGGTATGCCGGACTGGTATTTGGTCCGCGAGGAACATAAATACCAGGCACTGCTTTGCCGTATCCAAGCCTGAGTTTCTTTCCAAATGGAGGTCCCGCACGGACATAGACCACGCGACTATCCTCTTCGCCCTCATCCACTGGTTCCAAATCTTGCTCGTCTTCCTCAAATTCAGCCCCAGGATACGGGGGCTTATCATCCCCATCATAGAATTTGGCCCTTCCATCCTCAAGTTCATCAATGTTGATATCGTCATTCTCTTTGGCAGAGCGCAAATCAACCGCACACTCCGGACAGATGATAAGCCAGTGGCTCTTGCAGACAAACCGGCCATTAGGTAGCTTGATGGTGGTAGCGGGAGCGAGGGGTAGGTTGGAAGCTAATGAAGCCATGGTAAAGATTGCAAGGTGTTGACTTGGGTGCTTTTGTCGGGTCGCGTCGCACGTTCAAGGCGAGAGAGTCACGGTTCGGAAATGCCGAGCTTTGTTAATACCTTTGTCATTTTGAATGTCATTCATTAGAACCAAGTTCAAGCACGTGGACGTATTTGACTAACCTGATGAGAAGCGATATTTGGATGGTAGAAAAGGAGCACGTTGTGACTGCCCAGGTGAGTGGGATCGAAACCGCTCAAGTGCAAGATTGAGAAGGCACGACAGTGGTCATATTTCTTTTGTTTGCCTTCTAATCGCTTAACGATATGATAGTAATTTACCCTAGAATTGGGATGATATAATGCCAGAGCTACTGGTTTGATCTGATTCTCATTTTTATGAAGAATTCAAATGTTTATTAACATTCATGAAATAATCACAATGCACAAGGATATACTAGCGTACGAATGAATATGCCTCAGTCACTATCAATGAATGTATCTGTCAAAGAGCTTTAATTAGTTCATAGTACTAACTGCCAGTGGGTTAGATGTTTCAAGTGGCAAAAGGGTTACTGGTTTTTTTAGGACCCTTTAAGTTGGATTTTAATGTCAGTACATACTACATTCGAAATTCCAGGGATATACAATATCCACAGCTTGACCCTCCGAGAACCCTTCATGGGCTAGACTCCAGAAAAAAAAAACATCACCCTACATATAATTCCAATGATCTTTGAATGCTTCCTGGATACTAGTAGGAATATCATTTCATCCATATCCCAAGAATTGGGGTGCTGGTATGGATAGAGAAAGAAATAGCTCTAATGTTTGTGTAATTAACTTGAATAGAACATTCAATATCTGAGTGCTATAATTAAGTATTATTATATAGATCCCTGACCTATAAGAGAACTAGACTAGCCAGATCTGGCTTAGTGACATATCAGCTTACATGGATTTATAACGACACTCTTGAATTTTACTACTCACTTAATTAGTCCTTTAATACATATTCAAGAAAAAGCGCCTTGTATCAAGTTTTGGAGTCCGTTTCCCGCGAGTGCCGGTGTTCGCTATAGCCTAGTATAAGCTTCCGTAGGCGTAACCTCCAACGCCTTCCGTGCGTCTCGGGTGCAGTTCATTCTGATTAAATTATGACATGATAGTATAAAGACATCATGAAACATTTGAATGCTGTGGGCTGCTGGGAAAAAATCAATGAATCAATGAACTTGAAGCTTTTTTACATAGACCTATAACGCATGGTCGGTTATTCAGGACTTGAGTGACATATGGACAACTTGAAATTGCATGCCCCATCGAGTGACTTAGCGTGTAGCGACTTCAATTAGAAATAATGAAGATGGGCTACTAGCAATACTAGGTACCTAGGTTATTAGTATGTGACTGTCGAGTCCAAGGTTGGAAGATACCACCTACAACTACTACTGGCACCCGTGGACTAGGTATTCGTCTATGCGAGTCATCGAAGGTTATTTTACTCAAGTTAGACAAAAATTTCCCTAATGATAACCTATTGAAATATTTTTAGTCAATTATGAAAGTCATTTCAATGCTGACCATCTAAAAATTCTTGCTAGTACAATATTCAGGTATATCGAAAGCAAGCACGAAAGAACAAGCTTGAAATCATGAGATCATAATAATCGTCCTCAATTCTTTCAGATTAGGTGATACGGGAACTCATTTTCTGCCCGGTTTCAAATGTTTAGAAATCAAAAAATTGGGTTCCATCGTGGGTCCTCCTTTCTGCCATCAACTTGAATTCTACCCAACCCCTCAATCACTCCCTTTCAAAAACCTCACACATACAAATTTATCACAATGGCTCCTAACGTTCTTGTCGTCCTTACCTCTCATGATGAGATCCCTGGCAAGGGTCCTACCGGCTGGTTCTTGGTACGTACCCCACCATAGCGGGGAGCTTAAGCTGTTCGATAAGGCAGCTAGGAGCACCCGCGGGAAGAAAAAAAAAAGAGAAAAAAAAATTTACCAAGGAGATGCCATTGAAACATGAGGCTAACTGTATATTTCAACAGCCCGAATTTGCCCACCCTTATGATGTGCTCTCTAAGAAGACCAACCTCACCATTGCCTCGCCCAAGGGTGGTGTTGCACCCCTTGATCAAGGCTCCGTGCAGATGTTCGCTGCCGACCCCTCCTCTCAGAACTTCCTGAAGAACCAGGAAGCTCTGTGGACCAACACTGAGAAACTCTCTGACATTGTTTCTCGCGCCGGCGAGTTCGATGCTATCTTCTACGTCGGTGGTCACGGACGTAAGTCTTCTTCATGACGTCATAAAATAGCTATTGCACAGCTTGTATGGAGTACTAACATTGTGTTCAGCCATGTTCGACCTTGCCATCGATCCTATCTCCCTCTCTCTTATTCAGACCTTTGCTGTCGCCAAGAAGCCAGTGGCCGCTGTCTGCCACGGCCCCGCCGTTCTTGTTAATGCCACCACTCCCTCCGGCGAGCCTCTCATTGCCGGTGCCGAGGTCACTGGATTCACCAACCTCGAGGAAGACCAGGTTCAGCTTTCTTCCTTCATGCCTTTCATGCTGGAGACTGAGCTTCAGAAGAAGTCTGGCAAGTTCGTTAAGGCTGATGAGCCCTGGGGTCCTAAGGTCGTTGTCTCCCAGGTCGCTGGCCTTGGCGGTGCTTTGATCACTGGCCAGAACCCTGCTTCTGCTACTGGTGTTGGTGAGGCTATTCTGGCTGCCCTCGGACTGTAAATATATCCCGGGTGGACTATTACAATTATATAACTTCAGTACCTACTCATTCAACGTATTTACAATAGAAATATACGATCATCTCTGAATGGCTCGGACCTATGAATATTTGAAGCTTAGGTAGTGTCGCTCGCGGATATCTGATTTAGTTGAGAGATTGATGCATCGGCCTCTGTGGCCAATACTTCGCTCATCTACGCAACTCCTAATAAGTGCAGCGAGTTCCAGAATTTAAATTTATAATTTTCCCAACCTCGTCGGCCACTTGAGACATACTAGAAAGAACTTGAATGGTTGTAAAACTGATATGGTATTTTTTCCCAAGGATCTTTTTCAAGTAGCTTCCTCGTTAAACCGAACTTCTCCAACCTTTCGGAAAACTTTCACTCGGATTCCAGATGTCGGAGTCTTGCTTTGAGCCCTGCGAATCTAGAAATGGTGCCATCTTTGCGGGATGCTAAGTACTTTGATAAGAAGGTTGGATCCTAGATTATTTAGTACCTAGCCTCTAAGAGCCTTAGAGGCAGAGGTGTTATTGGGAAGCGAGTGGTTCTGAGCTCCGAGTCACCACTACCCTGCTGTTCCCCCAACACGCTGGAAGTCGGCCCGTATGGGTTCTTCTTCCGATGATACTTGGTGTGTTTGTCCACGTTAGCCCAATGGCGAGCTTTCACTTGCACATCGTTCAAGGTCGCAGCATCAGCTTTCGGCCTGCGCACTGAAGTTTTGTCTGCTCTCTCATTGCTGTCACTTGACAGGTACAACGGATCAACACCCTCGGGAAGAGACTACTTCCCAAACTGATCAGCGGCCAGGCGTGTCGATAGAACATTTCAAACACGGCCCGCGACCATTGAATCATCTGTGAGTCTCATGAAATAAAAGGTGCTGTTATCGGCTGATAAACCCCAAATAGTCTTATCCTTCCTTTTATTATCCTGATGATGTTTGTGGACTGATCCTATATAAGAATTAGTACATAAGTAAAATCATAAGTTCTTATTAGAATCCAAGTTTAGTACTGCGCTCTGACTTTGTCAATCAAGAAAACACAATAGGAGCCTCCTATCTTCAGCAAGCGTCGACGGTAAGTTTACCCTTGTAAATCACCGAGAGACTTGTCGGCTCTTTGGTGAAGTCTTTGGGCTTTATAGGGGATTATAATCAATACATCATTTGGCATGATGGACGCTCCTGGCTGGAGGCTGTATTCTCAAAAGAGCCCCAGACTTGACATCTATCGCGAAAGATAAAATGGCCTGTTCTGCCACTTCTAGAGCGTCCACAAATAATTGACGACGTCTAGATATCAATATTCGTGGCACAAAATATTGCACAGTGTCACTGTGAACTCATATTAACCATTATCAAATCGGCTTTGCCTCGTCGCTTCTGGTTGATTATTCCTTGACGACTCCAAGTATCCCTGGAATAGTTACTCATTGCTAAGCAGTATCAAAGGGATGGCCTAGTACCTTTCGCATGTCCACTTCGAAGTCGGCTTCATTGGCCATAGTAAGTCAAATGCACCTTAGCCAGAGAGACTGTTGCTCGAGGCATGATCCACCCTTCCATTATACCCTGTCAAGTCACACTGGCGATTCTTTCTTGGAGATATCCGTGTCTCTGATCTTCCTTAGGATTCTGTCGATTGCCATCCTAAGATTTGAATGAGATGATCAGAATTGAATCAACGCAGGTGCATAATTTCCAATGATTGACTTACTTACTGTGTGTCTACCTATCGTCAATGTTACTAGATGAAAGCTAGAAACATAAAGGAGATGTTAAAATAAAAAGAATTCAAAGTAGGAATTTGAGTACCTACCGAGAAGAGAAGGGGAAACCAACATCTCATGACTTGGATAAACATGAAGGATGGATAGTTTGAAGGAAGAAAATATATCTGAGAAGTATTTCAAACCTGAAGAAAGCAGCAACAATAACTCAAATAAATCACTTCAAGTTTGAGAAAATATAATTTGATTGTTGATATGAGAAACAGAGATAACAGTTAGCTTCATACAACCGCGTAGCTGCCAAGGGAGAATACCTGTTTCCTGGCTTTCACCTCTCTTATAGAAAACCTTCCAAGGTCAGAAAGAAAATGATATTAACAATTAGAAAGGACATCATTGTTACTTCCAAGGCTCAGCTCAGAGAGAATAAGAAAGATAAGCGCCCAAGGTTAATTAGAGCTATGGAGATCTACTTCGTAACTCACCTAATGGATATCTTACACTGGCCACCCTCATAGCTCATGAATAGAAAAATGAAGGAATACATACAAGTCATGATTTTTCATCAGTCTTGATTTAGAATCTGTGTTTCAAGTTGTATTTGGGGTAATGGCTTTCCAGGTACGCAGCATAATAAAAATGCTCCGCTCATCTACGGAACTCCGGACAAGTGCGGAGGTTTTTCACCCACTATTCAGTGATCGAAAGATATATAAAGCAGAAGCTCCCCAACAATCAAGTTCTTTTATCATCACTGGCATCCATCTAAACACTGATTCCCTCAATCGATCCTTTCGAACATGATGAGCGAAATCAACACACACTCCCGACTGTGACCTTCTTTGGGGCCACCAGAGGATGTACCATCCACTGTTTGGCACCCGCATTAAATGCTAGCTATAAATTTACAGCTTGTAGGTACTTCTCTTCTATTCTACCGCCTGAATTCACAAACCCAAGGCTCTCACTTGACACCTCAAACTAACCCTTTCTATGCAGTGGTCCGCAGTCCTCAAAAGCTCCAGGATATGCTTCGCCAACAACACAGGATATCTGAATCTACTCTTCAGAACCACCTCACAATTGGGCAAGGAGACGTAACCGATGTCACTTCCGTGCGACAAGCACTTTACGGACCCTACGAGCAACCCGTTGACCTGGTCATCTCGGGAATTGGTGGGAAAATGTCGTTCAGCAATCCTCTCCAACCGACATTAGTCAATCCGACAATCTGTGCCTCTGCAACACGAACCATCCTTCAGGCAGCACACGATCTATCTGCACCCATCTTGGAACAAACTCATATCAACGGCGTGACCGAGGTGCGGTTGAGGCTGAAATGATTCAAAGTCTCTGGTGGCAAACGCTTTGTCTCTGCATGTGGGCGTCTATCCAAATGAATATCGAGTTCTCTGATTTATTGCCGGCACGCTTGATTCAAAAGTTTCCTCCTGCAAACGAAGGCGAGTCTGCTTTGCTAAAGCCTGATCGCATAACTGGAAACATCGTTACAAAGGATGCTCAGACTTCTTCACTGCAATCTGTGTGGTTACTTGCTCATGCAAGCTCTTTGGCAGCATATTCCTACGCACTCAATCCTCAACTTAGAACTGACACCTCCTCTTCGAGCTCTATACCGAGCTGTTGGCAGAACCAGCTTCTTGCAAGATTAAATGACTCGGTAGATCGTGAGAGAGGCTTGGCAAAAATCTGCAAAGATGCTCGCGAAGCTATCCAGGATATGGTTGCCTGCGTCAATACGAATATCCAGGAAAACCCTGCTGGACATTTGCTTTTGGCCATGTACCACGCAGTTTCGATTCATCTTCTCTTCTCACCATCCAAGCCAGCGAATCCAACACACCATGATACCCGAGAAGACGATAATACCGAAAGAAAATCGACGACAGCCCCTGAGAGCTGTCTTACCTTAACAAATAGCCTGAAACTTGAGACACTTACTGGGCTTGAAACTGCTTGACAGGGATTAGTGACCCTCTTTCCGCATGTCCAGGCGGCATGCAGCTCTGAAGCTAGACGGACGGCCCCAGCCGCATTTTTGCATTCCTATGTTCTAGGTATCGATGCAATTGGGCGTGCTCTCATGCAGATTCTCCTTGCATACAATAGGGTCTCCCTTCTCCACCAGCAGCTATTGCAAGAAAGGATACCACGCTTTTTATCAGGTGCCGCTGCACTGCACCAATTATTTGTTCACGATACCCTTCTACGAGATCATCGCTGGCGATTGGTAAAACGACAACTCAAGAGCGTGTGTAAGGGACTCGAAGAGAGTTCTACAACGATCTCAAGTGGGGTTTCCAGTGGCCCTGACTATACATCCCTGGTGAATACCGTTGAAAGCGCGTTCTGGGCCGGGACAGAATGCCAAACGGGTCACACTCACCAAGCTGGCTCAAGTACCCAAGACCTCCCTGGCTTTAATCTAGATCTCAAACCATCCTTGGATGATTACTTTACGGGTCAGCAATATGAAAACTATACCATTGTTACCGATGAAAGCTTGGAAATGCATATGTTCCAAAATGCGACCCCGTTAACCTCGTTGTGGAATGAGTGAAAGGCAACTGGTATGAGCGATCTGGGTCAACCACCCAATTTCCAGTTATCTCAACTGGAAATTCAGCTCGGCATGTATGGAAAGAGACAGGCAGATGCATTCTCTGTTGAAGGTGGTGATTGTCTGTTGGGTGACCCTGTCTTCAGTGGCTTGGATCGCCCCCTCACCTCAACAAGAGAATGAGGACATCATCAGATGAAACTTCCGGCACCCAAGAAATGGTGTGATTTTGTAGCAAGATTGCTTTCCAGTTCACTCCTTATTTCATCAAAGTGTACTTATTTAGATCGGGGGGGAATTAAAACATGCAACTCTGAGTCAGAACATGAGATCGTGGATACACCGTACCACGCTGTCTCTAAATTTAGGAAAAGCACTAAGGCTTTCATTTTGAACCCTGGAAATGAAATTGGAAATTTTTTCATATCGTGAAAAAACAAATAACATTGAAATCATTGACTAAAAATTGGTATAATGAGGAGGGGTGTCTACTGTTTTCCCTCTACCTCGAGGTATCTATCGCTATTTCTTTATCTCAGTAATATCCACATAAACATGTCCCAAGGGGCCCTCGCCCGAACTCCATCCCCCATACTCGACTCTATACTTCTTGCTATTGTCAATGGTCTCGACCAAGTTGACATATTCTCCACCTCGATTCTCCCAGTGCAGCTCGCAGATCTTATCCTTTCCATGAAAGAGATCAAGGCGGCCTTCGCTGCCTCGGCGACCGCCGGCATTGATTTCGCCGATGCCATTGGCAGGGATGGTGATCTCATCGATCTCCTCTTCAGTGAGCGACTGACGACGGCCGTTGGTGTCCCAGAATTCACCACTACATGCATGGTTAGTACACACGACTTGAACCTACACCAGGAAGGAAGGTAGAAATACCCTTCGATGACAGTGTTCTGGACAGTGACTTCGCCGTCCTTGAGGTGGTCCCGAATGTGGAACGACACCCATTGAGAATTGTGCTTGTCCATGATGGCGAACTGGATTGATGATAGTTGAACCTTGTGTGTGTAGAGATGAGAAATCTGAAGATCGAAAGAGAGGACATGACCCCGGATTTATATGCTACCCCACAATACGGGCGGGGCGGTGATCGTATGGTGATCGTATGGTGATCGTATGGTGCATATGGTGACTCGTAGACGTAATCTACCTGCGGATGTTGTGGTCATAATGCATGCGATTGGTCAATATTATTGGCTCCCGCTCAACAGAGCCATGGAACTAATGCACCACTTGAGTCTGGCATGACTTAAGTTTGCGGGGATGCCTATGATCGCCTCCTATTATTGCTATTGTGTGCTGTTCAGGTCATCTTTGCCAGCCAATCCTGTTAAGCGGGGTTGGCTAACAGAGGCTAACAGGTACATTACTTGCGGATCAGTTCGGGTATGGAATGTAGTTACGAGGGAATATGATCACGCGGGCACTCTGAACTTGGAAATTGATAAGCAACAAAGAACTTATATTATACTTCTTGATTGGTTGCTTACAGCCCAGTGTCGTAGAAGGGCTTTTGCAGTCGCTGCTGCTGTCATCGCTGCATACTCTTGCCAGCGTTTGTTCTTGTGGCTATCTGCATAGTCGCATACGCCCTTGATAATCACGCAAGGAATGGTATCCCACACCCCCGACCCTTCCATCTCAAATGCTATTACATTGGCGTCCTTGGATATCCTGTCGCGTTCTGGTGCTGATTTTAATACTGTGTCTCCTGATGCTATCAATCCAAAATGTACATATGGCCTGTTTCGTTGGTTCTGCCGGAATCGGGGGATCAGTTGCTGCTGGTCGCATTGGAGATCTTCACACGTCGCGTCCATTGCCAAATTGCAAACTCCTGTCAGACAAGGAGTGCATATTTTAATGTGAGATTCTTGGTGTTTGTGGACATATTCTGAGCCAAATAGTTTGTCCTGCTTGTGCCCAGGGTAAATATCATCGGGAGTGTCGGAACCACAATCCAATTCATCCAAATAGGCAGCTATATTTTCTCGGAGGCTCAACTGATGTCTCTTAGTTTCCAGTCTAGCTATAAGAGAGGATATCTCTATATCGGGTCGACCGGGCTGATCATCAATGGTAGCCTTCGGTCGGAAACCATCGGGATACCGTCGACCAAAATCATACTGCACGATACCTTTGCTGATGACCACATCGCCCAAAAGAATCTCCTTCTTAGTGCCAGGGGAAGGGACACCACCACAAACACCAACTATAAGTATGAGCTTGAGGTTGGGGAAGCTCATAGAGCATGTAGCAGCAACTTTGGCAGCTGTAGCCTTGCCCATTCGGGGTTGGTGGGCGAGAACCACATTGTGACGTCCGATCGAACCCGTAGAGTAAGAATTTGGATCATTAGACTGCTTCCCATAGTCATAAACGCTGTCAATATCCCAATGCTCCTCAAAAATATTTTGTACAGCATTAGCCTCTATCTGGAGAGCGCAAATAATGGCGATTTCGAAATGCTCACGTCTCTCCGGCCTACTCAATTGAATTTCTGGAACAGCCGAAAAGACTCGCTGTTGAGCGAAAAATGACCGTTCTTGATCAATCGTACATGTTGCAGACCGGGTAGATTTCGAATAAATTGGAACTTCCTTTGGCATGAGCCTGGTGTTGTTGGTTGAGAGCGATGCAGACCATCGACTGTTGCTAATGACGTCATGTGTTCCCTGCTGATCGTTGAGAAGTAGTCTGGTATTGCTAGAGGCGAACTGTACGCTAGCTAAGTCGCTTGCTGTGGTTTGCGAAAACTCAAAAGTCTTCGAAGTGAAGACCTTGCAGACTCCTGTATCGGTATTTGGCGGTCGCAAATCATCCACCTGCTCCCAGGTCCAATGGGCTCCCTTGACAAGGTCTTGCTCCAATGGACGGACAATATTGTTATAGTAGGTGTCGATGAACTCTTGGCTGTGAAGAAGAGCTTCGGAATCCAATGTATCAAAACGAGAAAATGACGCGCGATCAATACAGAACTTCACAGCACGGATGAGACCAGAATCCAGAGTGAAGTGTTTCTGAAATTCCTTCAGAAGATACCGTGCGAGGTAAAATGGTTGACCTTTTTTTGATTCAAAGAGAGGTTTACTCTTAATATCTGGAAACTCTTCACCTAGTTCCAGCTCTATCAGAATGATGCCTAGAGCCAAAATTGTGGGAAACGGGTGAATCTTGTATTTGCCTGACGAAGTGAGATTTGTTTTTGATTGATTCCCAAATCTTGTCGCGATGAAGACCTTTTCAAAGACTGGGTATGGTTGATTGTTGTCGATTTTGCAGTATACGTATATGTCGTCGATCGACATGCAGCCATCTAGCCAAGGCCCTTCGAAAAGATGGAGAATGGAACGAGCCAAAGTTACCCCCATTACCCGTTTGGCTGAGTATGTTGGTTTGACAATAGTCAACAGCTTGCTCAAGCTCATCTCGACATATATCTCTCCAGCCATCATTATTTCAACAGGCCGAGCAGATCGTTGATTATTCCATAATTGATTATCTCCGTCCATCGCGAGATACAAACAGACGCTTCGAGATTGATCATCATGATCTATGAGACACGCAGGCGCAGCATTGTCGTAAGAGCTGGCAAAGCTATTAGTTTGAAGCAAAAGCAAACAGTACGCTTAAGGAGCTTGCTCACCTAGAGCTGTTTACACAAACTCTACACTCTTGCATTATGTCGGGTCCAGTAAATAGCATCAAGAAATTGTCATTTGCCTCAGAACATGTCCATTGAGGATCTAAGCAAAACTTGGCTTCCAGACAAAGACCCAGGCGTCCATTGTGGTTATGGTTCTCCGAGTCACATGGCCAGTTCTTGTGAAGGACGTCATATAGGGCCTGCGACAGGTGATGCACACTATCCTCTCTTTGGAAGACGCTCTCTATCGTCGGAGGCTTCGGTATCTCTGCTTCAATGAGTTCTGAATCTTCGACATCACGATCGGTATTGTCGTAAATCTTATCTACTAGCGAATTCCACCGCTGGACCCGATAATTGAGCTCCTTCACATGGCCGTCTCCGTTCAAAAGCTCCTCCAGCTCAATGTTCTGTACATTGCATCTTTGAACAAGATCACGAAGTAAGTGAAGTGTAGGGAAGGGTCGACATAATATCTCGTCGATTCGTTCCGTCGGGGTCGGGTTTTTGTTACCACTACCCCAGAAACCGACTCGGAATAAGGAGAACGGGAGGCTTGAAATTAGATTCTCTTTCTCCAAAGCCTCAAGGTAGCGACTTTTGAGATAATCACTAGACAGAACTTCCTCCAAAGAGGAGGCCACTTTATGTAGGACGGTTTTGAACGGGTCCCGCTGTTGAGCCAAGGCTTGGGCAACACCCGGTGATCTTATTTCAGCGATCAGTTGAGCGAGGGAGAGTTTGAGATTTCTATGAAGACTCCCTGATTTAGGCCGGCTAAGGTTGATGACCTCGATCAGCGCAGCAGCGACATCTGGCACCACGACCTGAACTTGAGGAGTGAGGTCCATTTTCCATTTTTATACTCAAATCGCCATATCGGAGGAGGACTGAGGTCACTATTGGGTTATTAATCGTTCAAGTGATTCTCGAAGTAAATTTAACTTAGTAAATATGAAGGTAAGGTAGGTTCTCCAGTGCAGAAGGTGCCAATGTCATCCCTCTCTAGCTTTGTCAGCTCTGCATGAACCCCGCTTCAAAGGAGATGTTGTTAAATTGACCCACCCAATGCTAAAGAGGTTTAACTTGTACTGCTTCTTACAAGCAGATACCAGCCTATAGTCTAATAAGCCATATAGCCAAAACCCCTATATGGCTGGCAAAAAAAGAGAACTACATGTATCCCTCTTAATTCAGCTATTTCTCCCTTTAGACTCAGACATCTCTCACTTTTACTTTAGATATTTCTTACTTTCACTTTAGCTAACTCTCACTTTAGCCTTTTATATAATACACTATGACTGTGATACATGTATGATACCTAGCCTTGAAACTTACAAACTAGACCTATTAGGGACATAACATATGTACTTCAGGCAGATTGGGGGTGTCTATTTAACAACTTGAACCTTCCTCAAAATGAGGCTAAACAAACCGAGCCCCTTCCACCTGGGCACACTCCACCACTTCTGACAACTCAGCGCTCCGACTTCCTGTCAGAACTTAGCAGCGATGTCTATCGCGGCTCGGGCCAAGGAGGCCGCGAACTCATTTGAAGAATGGAAAGATTCTGCATTTGACTCGTCGGACATTGAAAACCAAATGTTCAGATTCAACTTATGGACCTTCAACAACTATGTCTTTGAATCTCCTCGTGCATCGATGGACTGGAGATTGAGAAACACTCCCTTGCTACTATCCACAATGGAAGATCTTCTGGAGGATCTCAACACGAGTTTGCTTGGTGAGTCTATATCTCCAAATTCAACAGAATGACCAAACTCATGAGAGTGTTAGACAGGATAAAGGCATCGTTACAGGACTCAACAGAGTATGGCATAGTAGGACCGGAGTTCGAGTCTGTCGAGGCCATTCTTGATCAACTTTTCCGTTTCTCCAGAGCTATACGTCGATCAGGCATCCTTCATAGACTTGTGAAGATTGCAAACCACATCGAATATGACGCCGATGGAGTCAACCTTACGGCAACGTTCCATGCCGGCATAAGTAGACTTGTCGAGCACTACTTGAAAGGATGTACTGCTAGCGAGGAGCTACGTGATCGGCTGGTAGAGACGATATGTTTACGTCGACAAAACTTTTCGTACCTCAAAGCTCAAAGAGAATCACGTTCCTCGAGAAAGCCAACAAAAATACCGACTCAAGCCGCTTCCCGAGCAAGGTCGACTCTAACTTCGAGTTTCAGTATCAATATGCCAGTGTTTACGGCAACAAGAAAGATAAAACCTATTGACTTGGATCCTATTCCTGAATTAAGGCAATCAGTTATGACAGCAACAACAGCACAGGTTGAAAATGTCCCGATCAATCATTCGATTCAGTCATCCGTAAGTACTGATCAACAACAGCGGGATAACGAAGAGGATGCACTGAAGTTGGAGCTTCCGCGGCCACCTGAGATTCCCTTTGGCCTCAGAGAGTGGGAATGTCCTTACTGCTTGATAGTTTGCCCTGTCGAGGATTTCAATTTAGAGAACTGGACGTATGTGAGACAAATATCCGACTAGGTACTCCGGGGTATGTGCTAATGAGAAAATTGAATTTAAATAGAAAACATATTTTGGCCGACATCATGCCTTACATCTGTCTCTTAGACTCTTGTCCTTTGTCAAATAGCCTGTTCAGATCGAAGAAAGATTGGCTTAACCATATGAAAAACGAACACACCGCCCAGAGCTGGACCTGTTTAGATTCCACTCACGACACAAAGTTATCATTCCAGACTCAAGATGAATTTGAGCAACACATGCGCGACGAGCATGAGGGTCAGTTCGAAGAAGCTGATTTGGAAGATTTGATTGAGGTCTGCCTCGAGAGCAGAACGACCACTGTGAAATTCAACGACTGTCCCTTTTGCCCTGACAGCATGAATACAATACCCGGAGATTGGACTCAGCACATAGCCCAACATCTCTTGGCTTTTTCTCGAATGTCATTTGATGGATACATGGAGGGGGAAGATAAAGCTTCGGATTTCTCCCAGTCAATTGACTCATCAGATGTTTCAGGGGCTCAGGTCTTGTCCAAAACAATAGCGGATGAACTTCGCGCAATGCCTCTTGATACTGATAAGGTGCATGATTATGACCTTGCTTTCGGCCCCTCAGAAAACCGATCCCGCCTTGAAACAGAATCTGAAATTGAGGAAGCAGCATTATTGATGTCGCTCTTGGGTTCAAACGAGTATGACGCCGCAAGGGATTTAATTGAGGAGAAGGACGAACACTGGGATACATCTATTTTCCCAGACAATTCTTCAATAATCCGAACAATCTTAGAAGATCCAGGAGCGCAGCTTGCCCAGGAAAGGGCAACTGAGCTTCGCGAAACCTTACTAGATGGTTATGAGAATAGTTATAATCCCATGGTTGCCCCTGAAATCTCAGAGGCCCCACCTGATATTGAAGAAAAAACCTGGGAATTTTACTCCTTTCGCCCGAATTTCAACCAGTATGACGCTTCAATGGATCCTATCATCAGAAGCTTCAGCAAGAATTTGGGTCTTCCAGAAGAAGAGCGGGCTGATGAGATCAATCAAACCCTGGAACTTCAAGTTTCCGGTGTTCCGGACCCTGATACAAATCCATGTATCGAGGGCAAACCAAGCAGGATAGAGGATGATTCCTCAAATTTATCTTCACCTGTGAGGACAAGCCTCGATCAACCAGTTCCAACTCCAGAGGGGTTAAATAAAGACCATAAGATGGGATCAACCAGCGTAAGTGATCTGATAATCAGATTTCTCGAGCAACAAGATCGGTTGTTCCATGCAGAAATTCCCTTTTTGACCTCAGGCTCGCCCGTGCAATTGAGCGATGAGCTACAGCGTTTCCGTCTCTGGACCACCGAGATTGGAATCCTTCGGGCGGGTTATATTTCATTGGAGTCTCGGTTAGAAGACTCACCAGACATCAAAGAGCAAATAATCTGGCATTTGAGTAAGCTGGAAGAGGCAATGAGTGTTATTGTCTCGCAACCAATTCCTGAACCTGATCACATCTCCTCCCGGGGCGCAAAAGAAAATGATGACTCTTCACGACTCGCAGTATTTTCTACATACAAACTGGTGCAAGCGACTATCGATGCCCTCTTTCAACTTTCCCTGTACCTTGACCAAAAGTCGGAAATAGGCCCCTTCGAGCCATCTGACAGACAACATGTGAAAGAAAAATATCCACATGCAAGTAAAGAAATCACAAATCGTCTCGGGCTGGCAAATGCACAGCGAAGGTTTCAGATGTGGCGTCTTAAACGTCGGAACATCATGCTTGATCGGGGTCTTGAGCAAATTTCCATTTCCTGGGGAGATGACGCATCGTCTCATTCGTCGCGAACAGTGAAATCTACACCTGAAGAAGCTACTAATATGACGAGGGATGACCTTGAGTGGCATGTACCCCCTCCCCCTATACCCATTGCTCTAAGTGATTCAAGTAAAGAAACAATACTCGAATGCCCCTATTGTTTTTCGATGACTGCCATCAGGACTGTGAAGGATTGGGCTCGTCATATCTTCAATGACTTGATGCCCTATGTCTGCGTCTATCCCAAATGTCCAGTCCCTCAGCAAATGTTCCAAAGTCGACGACAGTGGTTTCTCCATATGGCAACGGAGCACCTCATCAAAGAAAACCCAGATTTGCCCAGAAAGTGTCCGCTGTGCTTATCTTCTTTGTGGTCCGAAATTTTCGAAAAGCACGTGGGGCGGCATCTGGAAGAACTGGCTCTTTTTGCTTTGCCAGTCATTGAAAAAGAGGATGATTATGGTGCGTCTTCAACCTCTTCGGATGTTGGGATGACACCCCCTGTTTTATTCACTGCCCATGACGATCACGATGTGGGCGAAGATGAAGATTCACAGGATTTGCATTCCTCTGGGCTAATACAGCGATGTCCTGTCTGTCATGATTTATTAATTGATATGAAAGCTCACATACTTGCACACCAGATTGGTGGTCTGGAAAAGTGTCCAGTTTCGAATTGCAAATACCACGTAACGGGATTTGTTCATGGGCATGACAGAGATCGTCATATTTTGACCCACTACACGGGTGACTCATTTTATTGTGATTTTTGTTTTCAGTCTGGGACTTCAGATACAACACGCTTCCCCCGGGTTGGTACCTTCAAAAACCACCTCATCTCAGTTCACGGCGTAGCTGGGGATGAACCGTTTGATTCGTACATCAATCAGGCGAATGACAGTCCGGGACGGTGCTGCATCTGCAATATATCATACAGCAACCCTCACTCCCTTTACGATCATCTTGAGGAATGCGTGAGGCTCAAGGTACTTCGAGATATTCTTCCAGAAGATCTGGATCTCTCTCCCGTACTAGAGTGGGAGGATAATGGGAGCCAATCAGAAGCACATGAAAATGCCACCGCTAGCCTGAGATCACCCCTTGATGCAGAGGCCACGGACCCTCGTGCCGAGGGCTATTTGAGTTCAGATCCAAATCTTCAGCATATAGAGGATGGTGGAGTTTTCGAGCAGGTCAGCGATCTATCCAGACACCGGAGAGGAAATCTGGGAGCACTACCATCCCAGACTGATGCCAACACATCGTTCAAACCGGATTCTCCTGTAAACCCTCTTTTCACTACCCTGGGCCGAGAAATAATCACCTCGAAGCATCGCTTACTCAAGCATCGCCCTGGAGAAGATGACCATGATGTTATCTTTATAATACATAAGCTACGAAAGGACCCCCAGTATATTGGAAATCTCCACGCGCTTTTCTTTGACTCGAGTTCAATTGAGGATGGTATAGTCACTATTGGCATGTTGCGAAGAGCAGCTGCAATGAAGCTGAGAACGACTTCTGAAGACGCCATTTGCATGTCTCATAATGGCAAACCGCTAAGCTACGACCTGATGTCATGTCGAGAGGCGGGATTAGAGCACAACTCCGAAGTGCTTTGCAAAGTTACCAACGAAGGCCCTAGCATGCAGTGCCAAATCTCTGATCCTGAGACCATATCCTGGCTCGATCGGCTTCAAACTCAGGATGAGGTTGAGCAGGATGTTGCCAAGGCCAAACGTGATGCTGCTGTTGACTATGAACATGGATCTGCACCATTTCCCGCTCAACAGAGCATTCCAGAGATCCCCGATTTGAGTTCAATTCCCAGTCCCATGGAGAAAGTCACGGCCTACAAAAGTTATTTTCAGCAAGAGCTGGTCCCGATATGCCTTGAATATGTTGATCGCCCTACAACCGCTCGGGAGCCACGTTTTTATGACACCAGACTCATGCGCGTGCTTCATAACGTTCTCCAACTTTTGAAAATACTGAATGAGATGAATCATAAACGCGATATGCAGTCAATACTGGCCTGTCAGACCCTGAAATCCCAAGTCAAACGGGCTTCGGAGCAGCTCATTGAAGCTCGTGGAACTTGAAGCTTGAAGCTTGAAAATTACTGTAGGACTCTCATGCCATGTTTTGATGGAGCTGAGCTCATGTATATACTATTGATGCATTGCTAAATTCAAATTCAAGTCGTCCTGGATACATACTATCTCGCTCACATGGTGCCCCGCAAACTTGAACTGTTCAGTTGTGGAGAAGCGGGGTTGATGATTCCCTATTTCCCCGCCAGTGGGATATCATCCACAACATTGAATGTTAACATTTGAACCCACCTGGGCAGATCCCAAGGTTTCCCTTTTCTTTTCTGCAATTTATTTCTCGGTGGTCAAAATAATCATCCAGTGATCTTGAATTTCAATGTTAACTACTGTGTCTACGCACGCGGTTGTTTAATTATTTGATTATTTTCATCCTAAATAACTCTTTATCCTCTGGATCTTCTGCTTCAACTTACCGGGATTCGATTTCTTGTGTCAAATATTGGAGTTCTTCAAAATGGCCGAGATCGATGCAGTATTAGCCAAATTCACTGACCCCATCAAAGGAAGCATTCATGGTGCTACATTTGTAGCCATTGATAGAAATGGTAAGACATATTTATTAACCAATTCAGCATACTACATAGTGAGAGCCCGCGCTGATGAATGGGCTCTTATCCAGGGAATGACATCTACCGGAAATCATTTGGTCACCAGAAAGTTGACACCAGCAAGTCACCAGTCCTGACTCCGGATACAATTTCATGGATTGCCAGTTTAACCAAACTCACTTCATCTGTGTCGGTGATGCAAGTCGTCGAAAGGGGACTCATTGGATTGGATGATGATATTCGCACTGTGCTTCCAGAATTGAAGGATTTGAAAGTTCTGATTGGATTTGAGGGAGAAGAAGAAGAGCCTGAGCCTGAAGTGCAAGTCAAAGATAAGAAGGGACCATACAGTGCCGAGCCAGTGGTTAAACCGAAGGGCAATCCTATAATGGAGGATGTTCATGGTCCCATTACTCTCAGGTGAGTTTTCTCGGATAAAACTATCTTTCTTTAAAATTTCTTCGAGACTAATCATTTGGCACAGACAATTGATTTCCCACACATCAGGCCTCCGCTATGATCTGGGGAGTACCCTTCTAATGCAGTATTCTGCTTGGGCTGATCGGAAAGAGAATATGTTCTTTGGGACTTTAGAGGGCAACCTCACACCTCTTCTCTTCCAGCCCGGTACCTCTTGGGCGTATGGACCGGGGCTTGACTGGGCGGGTGAAGCAGTGGCGAGACTCACTGACATGAACTTCGATGAATACCAGCAGAAGTACATCTGGCAGCCACTAGAAGCAAAGAACACAACATTCTTTCCAGCGAATCGCGGTACCACTGAAAAAGATCTCCATGAGATAGCAGAGCGGTCACAAGGGGTAGGCTCCCAGGATCTCAAATTTGGATCATTGCCTTGGCTCTTCGAATGTCGGGATGCTCTCGGTGGGGCCGGGTTATACTCCACTGCCAATGACTATAGCAAGTTGCTGGCCGCTCTGTTAGCAGATGGAGGGCCACTTCTTAGCAAAGCATCTGTTGATGAAATGTTCCGACCACAGGTAGGCGCTGGTTCGGTGGCTGGGCTGCGAGCATCCCTTGTTGGAGATGGTTCGGATAATACCCACTCCACGACCTGGTCACATTCTTTCGAGGCCGATCGCAAAGATCTCATGGAGATGCAGCACTGCTTGTGTGGAGTGATCAACACCGAGGATGTAAATGGGCGGCGGAGAAAGAATAGTATCGCCTGGTCAGGACTACCCAATCTCATTTGGTGGATTGACCGTGAGAGTGGTGTAGCGGCCACTTTTTTCACTCAAATGAACCCAGATGGTGACGAGTTTATTAGAAAGCTCCAGTGGGATATTGAGCATGCTCTGTATAGACTTATAGATAGACGTGGTTCCAGCCAGGAATAAGTTGGTAGTAATATCATTCTCATCCAAATATTATTTTAATCAACAATTGCTCGCTGGTACATGGATTAGCACTGGTGAAGCCTAGCTGCTAGTTGGATATAACTGGTAGCTCTATCGATAAGCTGTAGGCTAATTCTGCCCCGGGGGTTATGCCAGGCGGTAAGTAACAGTGTAGGAACTCAGTGAAGGAGGCCTATTCCACACTGCATCTATGGCGGCCCATAACGGCTACCCCTACCCCAGCCCCGACATAATTAAATCTCAAATTATAAAACCGGCATAATTTAAATTACTGTAATATCTCCGTATAGGGTCTAATATCTATAGGTACCTGCCAGTGCTTAGAGGTGGGTAGTATATTAGTGTTATTAGTGGTCTAATATTTTCAGCTAAGATACATAGCCTGGAGATTTGCTTAAGATATGAGAAAAACTTATGATATTATAGGGGAAGAAGTATATGTGGAAGATGGCATGGAGGGAGAAGAGAACCTTGGGAGGCCATACTGTAGTAGGCACTTGGGCAGATAGCCGCAGACCTTAGACACTAGCCAGTTGGTCAAATATTCTAACTGGAACTTTCTAAATTCTACCTACTATCACTTAGAGTCTTAGACCCAAAATGAAATCTTTATCTCTTCCAACTTTCATATTTTAAATTTAATTTTAGATAATATTTAGTTAATCTAAATAATTCCAAGCCCTAAATAGAAAAATAACTTTATCATTAAGATCAATTTAAACCCTCAATGGCTCTTAAGCCTAGAACTACTTAATTTACTAGACAGCACCAACAACTAAGACCTGGGTACCTAGGCAGACACTGTTTACGCCATTACGAAGGCGGTGTATAATAATTCTTAATGGAACAGTACGAATACTAGGCAGTGTATAGGGTATAGGGTGGTGAATTAGAATTTCCTAATTGAATTATGTCGGGGGGGGGTGGCCGCTATGGGCCGTCTACTGCATCCCAAAATTGACCAGCCATGGTTTATTCTGACTTCCTCAGGCTCTACGATGATAAGACAAAATGCGGCACTCAAGTCATCGGCATATTCTCGAGGGCTCTGGGAAATTTCAAGGGCGGGGCAAAGACAAAATTTGCCGAGCTGTCATAGCCCGTAGCTTAATCCCGACCACCAGCCTTGTCAATTAAGTCGAACACGCAATCGCAGGAAAAAAAAGAGAATTCGCCAGAGTCAATTTGGTGGGGCTGAGAATTTGAAGCCAATGTTTTCTCACCCATTTTCCCGCCCAGAAGCCGTGAAACAAGCGACGCAGTCTATTTGATGTGGAGCGAGTCCATGGGAATGCCGAAGATTTTCCGCCGGGGATTTACGGGGTTGTGGGCAGCGGTGGGCTTCTTGTAGCCCAATCTATGAATCCAGTGCCCAGGTGGAGTCTAGTGTCATGTAAGACAGCTCAACCGCATTATCTTGAAATCACCGAAGCAGATCCCCAGATAACACAGCTTTAACCAATCAAACAACGAACGGTTCTTTCCGATGATTGAATCACTTGACATCGCGGATGTATAACAAAAAATCTGTCAATACTACTCAACATTGCAGCGTACCGGCTTTTGTTAAGCGAATGATCAATTTTACCGGCTCGTGGTCCCCACTTGGTTGCGCGGGCGGCAGGGTCTAACTGGTCCATATTGAACTTGGCTTTAGTTCGGCATGTATGGCTACGATGGCGCAATTGCTCTTTGATAATTCTTTGCATTTCCCAGTATAAACTTTGCCTCCATCCTTGAAAATGCTTGCTTTCACCTTGCGAATACGGTCCGCCTTGGATTAGCGTCCATCGGAACTCCGTGTAGTCTGCGCTAAGACATCGTGTCTAACTTCATTAGAGCTCAGCGCATCATTTAGGTTGCAAATAGCACCATTAGCTTGACGTGGAAATGCAGTTTCCGATGTATCTCGGCTAGTGATGCGATTGGGGAGGCAATTCATGCAACACTAGCCTGGCGTATTTAGACCGGATATTTCCCTTAAATTTAATGTTTTTCACGGTCTTTTGTCTTTTCGCTTCCTTTGGTTCTTTACCTCTTAGGTGCTTTCTAAGATGGCTGGCGAAATCGAAGAGCCGATCAGTCGCAAGATTGATCTAGATCTCGGGTCTGAGGAGAAGAAGGGGACTATCACAGAAAAGTCTCTTGATTCCAATGATACTCCTGCAGATGAGAAAACCGAGAACGAGGTGGATATTAATGATGAAGGTGTTGGTTTCCAAGGAGATGACCATGAGGAATACATCAAAGGGCATCCTGTGATTCGAAATGGTAAGTAGCTGCTCGTGGGCACGCTATAATTGAGCAATTCATTAATTCAGATTTTCCTCAGGTCTTGATGTTTCAAAATTCCTGATCTCAACTAGAGATGATGGCGACCCATCATTTACCTTTCGATCCATCGTTCTAGGAACTATCTTTACTGCCCTGTCTAGTGTTATCACTATGCTTTACGTCTTCAAGCCTGTTGAAGTCTCAGTATCTACTGTCTTCTTGCAATGTTTGTGCTCCATCTACAGTGTGATCAACATAATTAGATTTCTAACAACTTAAACAGTGCTGGTATTTGTTTTTGGAGAGGCATGGGCACGTCTGACTCCCAATCCAGAGAGATTTCAAACAAACTGGGTCCGAAAGACACTCCAGCTTCTCAATTTTGGCCAACCCTTTGGTATCAAAGAACATGTCGTCGCCTCACTGATCGCCTCGTCGGGTAACAACGGCTTAGCGGGAGTGGAGGTGTATGCTATTGAGCGTTTGTTCTATGACCGAAGCATCTCCGCATCAACTGCTGTTCTTGCCACCTTCTCAATCTCACTTTGTGGATTTGTCTTGGCTGGTGCACTGCGTTCGCTCATCGTTTACCCTGCTGAGATGGTCTACTGGTCAACATTACCACAGGTGGTTCTCTTTCAGAATTTGCACTTCGACCGCGAGAAGAACAAGAAGCGTCTGAATAAATTTGGCATTGCTCTAGGTTTATCTGCATTTTGGGAATTCTTCCCAGCTTACATCATTCCATGGACAGGTGGTATCTCGGTCTTCTGCCTTGCATCAATGAACGCACCATCTAAGACCAGGAACATTTTCGGAAAGGTTTTCGGAGGTGCCTCCTCTAACGAGGGTATGGGACTTCTTAACTTTGGTCTTGATTGGCAATACATTCAGAGTTTGTATTTGTCGCTTCCTTTCAAGCAACAAGTTAACACTTGGATTGCCTATGTTATCTGGTATCCTGTTATGCTGGGTTTATGGTACGGCAATGCCTGGAATGCCAAAAGCTTCCCGTTTATGTCGACATCTCTCTTTGCAGCAAATGGAAGCACATTTTCGACAACTTCAATCCTCGACAGTGCTGGAATCGTTGATGAAGCCAAGCTTGAGGCAACGGGCTTGCCATGGCTGACCTCGAGTACTGTTTGGGGATACTTTACTCAAAATCTCGCTATTGGAGCCTTGATTTCCCACGTCTTGATTTTCTACACCAAGGATATGATCGTTGCGTGGAAGGGTGCACGCTCCAAGAAGCTGCCTGATCCTCATTACCAGGGTATGCTCAAATATAAGGAGGTCCCCCAGTGGTGGTATATCGTTCTCTTTGTCCTGGCCTTCGTCGCTGGAATTATCGTCACAGCCAAGGGCGAGACCACCCTTCCTGTTTGGGGATACATCATCTCTCTTCTGCTGGGAGCAGTTATTGCGCCGTTTTCCTGCATTCTTTACGGACTCTACGGTACAGGTGTCTCGACAAATCAACTGTCAAAAATGGTTGCCGGTGCCGTCCACCCAGGTCGACCCCTGGCAAACCTGTACTTCGCCAGCTGGTCGCATCAGGTCATTCTGCTTGCCGTCAATCTGGCTAACTGGCTTAAAGTTGGACAATACACCAAGGTTCCTCACCGCGTCATGTTCTTTACTCAAATCTACGCCACCCTTCTTGGCGCTGGCTTGAACTACGTTGTCATGACTATCATTGTTAGCAGTCAGAGAGAGATTCTCCTAAGTGCTGAAGGCAACAGTATCTGGAGTGGATCAACACTGCAAAGCATGAACTCACAGGCGATTACATGGGCGCTGGCGAAGAAAATGTACAGTTTGAATGGTCAGTATTACATGGTCCCTCTTGCTCTGCTCATTGGTCTTGCGCTCCCATGCATGCACTATGGTCTGAACAAGGCTTTCCCTCGTCTGCGTAAATGGCCGATCAACACCCCAATGATTGCACTCTACACTGGAGCCAACTACTATGGCAATACCTCATGGGTCTGGTCATCTATTGCAGTTGGTGTTTTCTCGCAGTTTTGGCTTCGACGACGTCTCCCGCGAATCTATAATGAGTACAATTATCTTATTGGAGCTGCGATGGATGGTGGATCTCAGATTATCATTTTCATTCTGTCATTTGCGGTTATGGGTGCGGCTGGATCCGAGCATCCGTTCCCAACCTGGTGGGGAAATCCAAGCAGTGGAAATGCGGATCATTGTTCATAAAAGAAATTTCCTTCAAGTTTGTCAGATAGCTGGTTTATATTTGTATATACATAGTTCAAACCTTACAGCAAACCTCCTTCATTGGTTGTTCACAATCTGTATCCGACTTTTGTGTCCCCATCCACTGACATTCGTTCTTCGAAGAAAAGTTCATGCTGGATACCTCTAATGATGAAATTGAAGATTTCCAACGTCAGTTTGGAAGGGTCCAGGTTTTCCAGTGGCGAATCCATGAATACCCGCTTGCTGAGGTCCAGGTTGCGTACAGTTAGGCCATCGAGAACTTTCATTAAGACCACGTACGGTGGGATCACTATGCCACGATTGGCAAGTCCTTCGCTCGCAATGAGGACGTCCTCGACGAATTCCAGTGTTGACGCATAATCGGTGACCTTGATATCATTCCACCGTTCCAACTTCTTCATGTTCGCGTAGATATTCATTCCTTCCATATGCTTGCGGATAGCCTGAAAGATCTCGTCTGCAAATATCATACGTGAGTCGGTCTGATGAATGAGCTTGCTGATGTCCTCAGAAATGTTCAATATTAGCCATTCGGCAACTGCAAGTGATAGCCGGTACCATGTCCGTCCATTGTTATCCGTACGCTTGGGGCGGATTATGTTGATATCCAGTAGATCCGTTAGCTTGTCCTTCTTCAGGGATGCTCGAATCTTTTTCCCAGTCATCGTATTCGCCTATGGTCGAGAGGGTGATTGGTAGGTTTTTTAAGGTAACGGAATTGTAGTCGGGCAGGTTCGTGGCCTATGTTTTTGCCATAGCAGTTGCCAGCTCCAGGTGTTCGTACCAATTGTACTCTTCGGTGGGATTCACCGTGTTGTTGATAGGACTTGTCATGATGGCGATAGAGTCAAAACGCGACAGTCTCGTCTTGGTCGGATATCAGGTCTCAGATCGTCTCCGTCTCGTTTCGGGGAACTCCGATGCCAAGGAGTTATTTTGTTGTTGATCGGTATGCTTTCTAGTTCTTCTCGTGTAAGGGGGTCAATGAAGAGGTGATACAACCGGCTAGTGGGGAGAGGAACTATTTGGAGGTGGCATGGAGAAGAAAGGAAGGAAGGAAGGAACCTTGGAAGGAAAGGCCACCGACGCGTGAGCTACAGGCTACAAGGCAGACATCGGACCAACTAAGAGCAAACAGGAGCAAACTACAGCCCTGGTCTGATAGGATCTTTGCTGGTCTCAGCAACCGACGACCAGCAGCAATCAATCCTTAAAGTGAGTTTTTATGTGGCATATAACGCCTTGTTGCATTTGGCCGGATTGACTGACGAGGCCGTCCAAAATCAACGCCTACTTGCTCTGGCGGTTCAGTACCAGGTGCGCAACTTTTACTCGACATTCCAGCAAATTCATTCCACCTGCACATATGGTAATGGCATATTGGCATATACCTGCAGGTTAAGCAAAAAGAACTAAGCAAGAGTACTTGGGTTGCTAATACAAAGATATCGGTGGAAATCTAGATGTCCTGTAGTATTTGGGGGCAGGTGCAAGCCCTGAAGGCTTTGCGCCTTTTCTGGAGAGTGTGCGAGTGTCTGGGGAGTAACATGTGCTGGTAATTTTGGCCATTTGCATAAAATTTGAACGATACATAATCATTTTAGTTTTGAATGGAGTTTGAAATCAACTAGGGTATCGGTGTGCGAAGCATCCATGGATGTGCAGCACAAGGATATAGTTGGCCAATGAAATATAGTACTATGATCTTTTATTGCTTCTTACATTCCCAAATTGGCATCAAATCCGTTCAAACATTGACTTTTTCTCTAATATTGAGACTGCACATGTAGTTTTTCACTAGGGCGTAAGCAGCTGCAGGGATCTAGACAGCCAATCCGATGTGCTATATCACGTTGATTTAACCGTGACCCTTTCCAGTTTTTCATTAAGCCCTTCCTTTTGCCGTCTCATCACTTCACTCTCGCCCTTCTTTCTTGAAATTATTGTGCTACCTATCATGCGGATCCATCCTGAGATATTCTATAATTTGCCCGAACAGCACTTACCTGCCCTCGAGACATTCTGGAAGCTATGTGGGGAAGGAGGACTTCTGGCCCGACCAGAGGGTCTGTCAAAAAATGAGACACAGGAAGGACTAAATGATGAAGTCACTCTCTTGTCTGTCCCTATTTCCCAACGCAGTATTGCTTTGTTCGCTGGCGAAGATTCTAATTCGAAGCTAGACGGTACCTCCGGGCCGGACGTTACGATCCCCATCAATCCCTGAAGCAGTTCCAACAAGCCAGAAAAACACATATTGAAAATCAAATGCCGATCCGATACAATGAAATTGACGTATTGGAGTTTGAGACGGCACGCCTCCTCGTGAGTACTCCAACTTCCTTCCACTGTTATAAAGAGTACGGACATCTCTTCTAAACAACATGACATCGATATAACCAGTATCCTCATTGGTGCGGTCGACGAACGAAAGAAGGTCTACCCATATGCCTGTTCGACTCTGGACATCTCAATAAATCGACTCTCGCCACGTATGAGAAGACCCGTGGCACCAAGTTGGGGGAGAATACGAGCATAAGTGTAACCCAGAGAGCAAGTATCGCTCACGACTATCTCACCCGCTTCGTATTCCCACTATGTACTGCGATGAAAGACCGACCACGGCCTAATGTCCCAATCACCAGCTCAGTATACCTCGTTGACATCAGTACTTTCACGATGAAGCAGGGTTGGGATGTCAAAAACTATACCAGTGATATTGCACAATTGCTGATGACGGGGTACCCGGAGATTCTTGATCGGATTTTTGTGAGTCTCCTATGGAATCTTTCTTTTCACTTTCCTTTCATTTGCTTCCCGTACACGCTATGAGCATGGGAACTAAAAGTAGTACCTTCTCAGGTCCTGAATGCCCCGTCATATTTTGGATGGATGTGGGGTATTATGAAGAAATGGATAGACCCGGGGACGGCGGCAAAGGTGGTCATCGTGCCAGAAAGTGAGATGATGTCAACACTGACGAAGTATATTGATCTGGAGAATATTCCGACCAGATTCGGTGGGGAGTTTTCCTGGGAAAATGGCACGCCGCTCGACTTGGATATCAATATTCAATCTGGTTTAGAGTGGACCGAAGACGGAAAGTTCCCACCCGGACCGATGAAATGGGTTCTTGATGGATCGGGAAGAAAGACAGCTGTTGCAGTGGGTAGCCTTGAGGGCGTACCAAGGATTACTAGGATTGCTCGGGTGAAAGAGGAAGACAAGCCGACCAGCGTGGAAGATCTGGAGAAGAACATCGAAATAACAGACCTGAAGAAAATTTTCTATGATAGCTATAGCAACAATCAGCCTACCATTTAGAAATGAGAGCAGCCGAGAGAGTCAGACTATATGTCAAGCAGCATCCTGCACCTTCGCTATTTACGATAGCAGCAGCATAGTGGCCATGCAAACATTGAATTAACTATGCATATCATCATCGTGTAAATCACGCTAGTAGATGTTGAATTCTGAGCCGAATAAATCAAAATCTTTCGCCAAACCGTTCCCTGCTGCCTCTGCTTCCACGTAGCCCGGAACCAGTTCAGTCAATGCCTCCTCTACTTCTTCATCCTCCACTACTTGATCCTCCGGCTCAGCTAACAGAATCTCCGAGAGCGGTTTTTCCATGTCAAGTCTGTCAACATATTGTTAGTGCATATCGCCCAAAAATATCCGAGCTATCAAACCTACGGTTCGAAACAAAAATAAATCCGCTCATCATTTGGGTCAGGATCATGGCCATATGATTGTATGAGGTCTTCCAATGGTCTTCCCATGCCGACAAAAGTCATTGATATAGAAAAGAAATTCAACGCGAGCATGCGGTAGCCCTGATAAGGCTTGCCATTGTTATAGGAGAGAACAACAAGTACCAACCCGGTATTCAGTGCAAAGTCATCCACAAGAATTGGAGACGGGTGATAAGGATCATAGAGTGCCTCTCCGGCATTGTTGAATGCCAAGATTCCAAAATTAGCAGTCTCTAGAGCCTGATATCGGTTGATGTTATCAATAGTAGCAGGGTCATTCTCCTTCAGTGTGATTGTAAATGTTTCTTTAGCAATATGACCCCACATTCTATTATAATCATAGAACATCAATAGAATTTCAGCCAAAGTCCCCATTTTCTTGACGGTCTTGGGGCGTGCGCAGTAAGATATAACTCCCAGAGCGTAGGTCTATTGTGATAGTAACCTCCGTAATTAGAGATTTCCTATAGTTGGTTAGAAAATAGATACACGCTGTGTGGACTAACTCCCATAAAGGGAAAAGGGAACTCTTCATTTTCTTACCTCACGAGAGAATCGCTTTTCTGATTCTAGGGTCTTGTTTGTATATGACTATTATATGTTAATATCATATATCTATAAAGAACTTGAATGATCAGACGTACATCTCGGAAATGCTGCTTAGCGGTGACCCAGGTCTCGATCAGGGCTCGACGTTGCTGAGCTTTGGAGTCATCCGTTGCATCATCGCCTGAGACCCAGTTCTCTCGGATAAAGCGATACCAGCCATTGGCAATCGGAGGGAACTCCCAGGGCTTGACCGTGAAGTTCTCTGTTGGGGACTTAATGAAAGAGGGAACGCCACCTGGCCAGAATTTCGTTTCAGTTGTCAAATTTGCTTTGTCAAGAGACCGCTGCAAAATGCCAGGCACAGCCATGATACTGAAGGAAGAAGGATAAGGCCAACGCGTTGAAACAAACTTGAATAAACCCACTTGGCAGGTTTGACGAATTTCACTAGACAGGGTATGGGTTAATCGGGATTGCCGAAGGCCTTGTGTACTTTTATAGGTACCTCTGTGAACCCTAAATGTTGTTAGCGTAATAATATTAGAATTTGATTGAATTCGAAGGCATTCAACCCGCAACACGAAAAAAAATCCTTCGGTCGCATGGCTTATTCTCCTTGAAATCTCAATGAAAAGAAGTCGTCGTGCGCGTGAGTCGAACCCACAACCTTGTAACTCGGAAGAAGTCCGAAAAGGGCAAAAAGAAAACAAAACCTGGATGGAACTGGCAGCTTTTGGTTTTCCCTATTATGTATAAAACCTATCCTCAAATCCCTTCAGAAGTCAAATCCGATTCCGACGTGTAAACATCGAATGTATCTTACTTGTTTCAAGTTACAAAGGGGCATTCTCAGGTGAATTCAAATGTTCCAGATGTTCTCCAAGTATCGAAGATTATAGGTTCCTTTCAAAAGAACACATTCAATGTCACTGGCAGATCATGATACTTGTTTCAACCCAGGTGAATTGCAGGGTGGCTGTTATTGGAAGGGTACCTATTCAGCTCTGCAGTGCTTCAAATGTTTCAAAAGAAAACATTGATTGAATTCATGTCGGATACTTGTTATTCCTCTACGTCCATCCTGACATTGAATTCATCTTTTACAAACTATTTTCCTTCGTTGTACTGCCCAATTTGGCGGTCCGAGTTTTCTTGGTCTGGTTCAAGTTGACCTTTATCGTGATATTTGTCCTGCCCAGTCTGCGTGCCCAAGTGGTTGTCACTCTACTTATTGATTATGTCAACTTCTGTTCAAGGAATTCATTCTTTCTATGACACTGCTATGAATATTTACTTTGATCACATCTTTTTTTAGTTGATCTTGGAGTATTGATAGTTGAATTATAATCCAACTTGAACATTTGAAGGGGTTAATTTCTTAAAAGTAGAAGAGTACAGAAACTCCAAGATTAAGGCAAACCTTGGAACTTGAAGGTGAGCAGGCTGCGTAAACACGTATTCAAAAAGTGGGGGCTGTTCATCAACCAACCATATTCCACAATATTAGATGGGCTATACTATATTAGGTTAGCCTCATGTCATCATCCCATATATCGTGTTGAAGAGTAAAAAGATGACATTTCACGGACCTAAGCAACGGGGTTTACTTGGAGCCGAAAAAAAAATTGGGCTATAAATACGGGAGATTCCTTGATGTACTAATTATTTTAACCAAATATCTTTTTTCATCTCTCTTCAGCCTCAATCCCTCTACAATAGTTCTTCAAAATGCATATCATTCTCACTGGAGCAACAGGCCTAGTTGGCTCTGCGGTGTTGGATTCTATGCTCAAGAATACCGCAGTCTCAAAAATCTCAATTTTGAGCCGGAGGCCAGTACAAATGGCAGAAGATGCAAAGGACCCTCGAATCAATGTCATCAACCACAAAGATTTCGAATCTTACCCACCCGAGTTGCTTGATCAATTGAGAGACGCAGACGGCTGTGTCTGGGCCTTGGGAACAAGTCAAAACAACGTGAACAAGGAGTAGGTCAATATCTTACTTTTACAAACGAAGACCTCGGATTCTAACATCGAATAGACAATACATCAAAATCACCAAGGACTACACAATGGCAGCCGCCACTGCATTCTCCACCTTGAAGCCTGAGAATCCTCCCTTCCGATTCATTCATGTGTCCGGCGAAGGAGCTACACAGGAACCCGGGAGATTCTCACCAATCTTTGCCAGAACAAAGGGAGAGGTCGAGACACTGTTGGGTGAATTATCGGAGAAAAACTCAAACAGCTTTAGAGCCGATAGTGTCAGACCTGCGTTCGTTGACCCGGCTGCGCATGATGCGATAAAGCCATATATCCCTGCCCTTGGAGTGATCTACAAGGTTTCCGAGCTTCTCCTTGGTCCTGGAGTCAGGCATCTCTACAAGTCTATGCATTCCCCCACAAATCACCTTGGGCCATTTTTGACGGAGATGGCTATGGGTCGGATGGATGTGAAAATCGAAGGCACTGGGTCTTTCAAACTTGGTGGTGGCTGGGTTGTGGAGAATAAGGGCATGCGGAGAATGCTGGGATTGTAATCGTTCTAGATTTGAACAATTTCTGTATATTAGTATCTAATAGTTAATCTTTACATTTATTAGAGTGTGTTCAGTGAAAATTGAACCTTGGAATGACAAAATATTCTCTTGAGTTTTTGAATCTGTCACATAAAGATGTTTTAAGAGGGTCAGTCCGCCAATTGTAAAGCTTCGGGCACTACATTTCGTGCTAATGGTGCCGTTATCGAAAGGTCTACCCGGAAGCCTCTTTGAAATGATGTCTCGGAGAAACCATCAATCGGAATCCTGAAGATTGATATTTGGATAAAAATCACAGGGAAAAATCCAAGTAAAGCAGTCTTCAATCTCAATTTACATAGAAGAGAATGAAATGAGTTGAATTGTGAGTGGATCGGATCTAATAGGGTTCAGATAAAAGTTCAGATAAAAGGGCCTGAGAGCAAGGTGCGAGAAGACTCAACGAAGTCAGGCATAATAAAGGTTAAACAGTGAGGCGCATGCCCAAGGATTTTACGATCAGGCGGAGCGTAAATCTCTAGAAACGGAGGTGTCGATAGGCTAAAGACTTTGGTAGGAATGTGGGTCACGGAGCTGAAAGATGAAATCGAGGCTGATCATGATAAGGGTGATCCCGCTAAAAACCTTGGAAGGCACTTTGGTACGTAGAGAAACTGCATATGAGCAACTGCTATTAGACCCCCTACAGAGAGAGGAGATTGTTTAAGTTGGAAATTTTGAGACTAGAAAACGGAAAGAACTGATTCTCGTGAATAATATTTGAAGTATAAACGAAAAGAGCCTGGAGAAAAAGGCTTTCCAAGATCGAATGTGATCGGTATGTACCTTCAACATTTGAAGTTAGCTAAAACATAACTTGAAAGGACGAATCACTATCTTCTAGGCTACAATCTCCGATACGAACTGATTGAATGTTTGACATCAGCGGTGTGGCTGCCCAGGCGATAGAGGGGCAATTGTCACTATCTAACCAATTTTTCCCGTGTTTGTCCCACTATAACCCTCAGTGGGCTATGTAAGGGCTCCACTTGTAAGGTTTGCTGGGATTTTTCACTATCAACAAACTTCAATGGCGCAGTTTGAGTAGATTTTGTGACATCAAGTTGATCTATCACATTCTTAATATCGATAAGAATATTGCAGAAAGGAATAGCTATCAGGGTTTCTGTAGGGAGAACATATTGACTTTACAGATGCTGCTGATCAATGAAGTGGGCATCGGGTCATCTTCAAGACCCATCGAAGTATTCTAGGGTGCAAGATCGACGCTAAAATCTGTCAGTGACGTGTCACTGCATGATGCAAATCAATCGCTCGCGATATTGGCCACGAAGTTCCTTGTGGGCTGAGACTAGGAACTTTAATTGAGAATTTGAGATACGAATCTCGGACTCTCGGTCAAAATTGATTTGAACGATCCTTCGGGCCGATTGTCAATATTTTTGTAATCAAAAGGAATTATGAAATACGGAGACCTGGCAATAGTAGTCGATCCACGTTCTTGGCGATCCCTCAAGTGCTACAATCGACCTGTCAAGATGTGGGTCTTCATGTCTGACGGAATCCACTGAACCTCTGACACTATGTACTAGGTCAGCCATCTTGGAGCAGTGAGATTTGCGGAATTATAATTTTTCAGCTGCATCCACACTTCCTCAGTCTCCACACGAGAAAAAACTCATCGGCGATACCGACCTGCGGGGCTGAAATCATTCATGACTCTGAGATAATCCGTCCAGGGCGGGAAAAGAGCGGTAATAGTGCGTCGATATGTCCACTTTCAAGGTTAAAAGCTCCATAAAAAACTTACGCACGACGGAGGTTTATTTACTTGCACTTTTTCTCACTTATAAATACCTTGATCCGCTCGTAATCTCGAAAGCGCATTGTTATATTGAGGTGGTTTGATCGTCGCTTATACAACCCCAAGGAACTTGAAGCTGGCAGTGAAATAATCTGATCATGGATACCACACACCGAACTATCCACAAATCCCTCCGGGTATCACTCAAGGGTCAGAATGTCACGATTCCAAGCATGTACGAGGTATTCCCTGAGTGGAAGCCTCAAATCCATCCTCAGTATGTGAAGGCACGGGATGAAGTCTTGAACCCATGGATTGATAGGCAAGTCTCTACATGATTTCCCCTTCAAACTCAAGGTAAATTCTGACTTTTGCAGGTGGGTCGTGGATAAGCGTACTGCTAAAGGCTTGAAAGCTGCGGATTTCGCTGTTTTCGCTGCGGTCTGGAACCCGAAATGCTCCTTTGAGGTACTTTGTACTGCAGCGAAATATTATGCGTGGGTAAGACTGTCCCAGAACACTGGAACTGAGAACGAAAAACTGACATAATACTAGTATTTTGTTTACGATGACAGTATGTGCTGGCTTACTTTGTGTCACCTTTTCATGACAGAATGACTAATATGGACTCTGACAGTTTTCGACTGCGGAACTCTCAAGTACAACAAGTCTGCGGCTATAGAGTACCGTGATGCCAGTCTTCAATACTTCAAGTTCTTCCTGTGTGGTGAAGGAAGTCCCCCTGACCTGTCCTCCTTTGATACTGAGCTCCGAAATGGGCTACATTGTTGGGATGAAGTCGGGACCCACATCTGCCAGGTGAATTCAAAGGGTAATTAACTATTTCAATTCTTATCTCGACCATGTCACAATATGGGATGCATACTGATTTGAAATTAAGAGAGCCGCCAGGTACTTTGCGACGAGATGTTACGATACGTGGGAAGCCTGGATAATGTGGACAGCATTTTTGAGATCTATGAAACCCCATCTCCTGAACAGTACTGGGAGCGCCGGGAAGCTACTGCTGCAGTACACTGCGTGTCTGCAACAATTCCGTAAGGCGAATTAATCGAATAGGTCCACCTAGGTACTAAATTCGGATTAATAGATTCGTCTACGGCATTGACGTCACGAAAGAACAGATGGAAGCTCAGGCCATGAAGGACCTGTGGCGACACACTTCCTTCTTTGTGCATATGTGAGTACTGCAGCGTTGACTGCTTTTATAAACACTATCTAACCTCTCTTTAATAGCTCCAACGATATGTTTTCATTCAGAAAAGAAGTGGTATGTGGAAAATCTGTTCTTACATCTGATAAGCGTACCATACTAACCTTCAGAAAGAACGATGATCAAATCGAGAATCTGATTCCGGTATTGATGATGAATGAAAATGTCACTTGCAACGAGGCAATGCAGAAGGGCTATGCTCTTTTGCAAGAGGAGGCGGCAGGATTCTATGATGCAAAGAAACGACTGATCGCCGATGCCAAGGACGAGGACAAAAATGTCTCTGAAGCCTTCATTGAAGGATGCTTGAATATTGCTATGGGACTAGCTCATTGGAGGTAAGAAGTGGTGAACAAGAAAGGTTATGAATAAATACTCACGTCATTCTAGCTATTGTGGACACCGTTATTTCAAGCCGTGGGAGAGAGATAGCCAGGATGTGATCCACTTTACTGTCGGTCCCCCGCCAGCTCCACCAGTCTCAGCAGTCTGCACTTCATCCGAGTCCGAGTCATTCCTGGGGAAGTTTCCGATCTGGGACATGTGTCTCAATCTGGTACACTTCAGTCCATTAATTATATGGACTGTGGGAGCCATTGCGCCTCGCTTTACCAAATTGGCCTCTGTTTCTGCTTGAAATAAATCAGACCATAGACAGGCTGTATCATAGATTTGATGACTATATGAATGAATGACACTCTAGATTTCAATAAAAAGGCACACTAAATTGAAAAATATTGGTTCACCCCTTGCTAAGTGAAATTTTGGTGCCCAGGTGGGAAGTGGCTAGATTGTAAAGAAGAGTAGTATTTCGCAAAGAATATCTTGAATATTGGTACGAAAGTGATCCTATTTAGACTTCGCAAAATGCTTATTAGTGCAAAAATCAAGTCGAATCCAAAGGTTAACCTCCAGACTATGCTGGACGACCTCATGTATGGTAGTCCGATATGCTAGGGGGAAGGTCTTCGATACTCGTTCCCCACTCGCTTTCCTCACTGCCCAATTCGAGCTCAAGAACGCCACCATCAGCAAAGAAGTCATGAGTAATCCAATTCTTTGACCAAGGCTTTCCATTCCATGTCACACTTTGGATGTAGATCGACTCGTAAGTCGGATCAAAGTTCACGTTTCGAATCGTCGCAACGTTTCCGTTCAGACTGTTTGTAAGATTCACCTCTTTGAAATAGGGCGGAGTAATAAGATAAACATCCTGTCCTGGGACTGGCCATAGGCCCATCATGCTCAGCACAATGAATGATCCCATAGCACCACTATCATCATTACCCGCGAGGCCTGAGACACTGGTGTTGAATTGGGATGGAATGTAAGAGTGGCTGTAGTGAGAAGATAAGGCAGGACGTCCTGAGTAGTGGAACTGATAGATTGTCAGGAATGACTGCTCATCACCGACATATAGCAGTCCAGATTCATGGAAAAACTGGAGTCGAGAAGTGAATGTTTCCATGCCACCGAGACTTTCGACCAATGCACCCATGTCATGTGGAGCGTAGCTATAAATCGGAAAGGAAAGGTTAGAGGTACCCTTCACTCCAAACAGGGTTTTTAGTGTCACTTACAAGCTATAAAGCCATGAACTGCCTTCATATGTCTCGTGGCCATCAGTGCTCAGATAGCATGAAGTGAAGTTCAAAAGAGGACTGCAAAAGATTGGGTCTTGATAGCCCCAGGTACCATTCGTATACCGAGGCTGCAAAAATCCAGTGTAATTAGTCATGACTCCATTGACACTGGACTTCTGGTCGGCCTTGAACATATTGACCCAGTTTCCAGAGCGTGATATGTATTTGTCGTGGTCGGCAGAATGTCCCAATCCCTTGGCCATCTCGGCGATACAAAAGTCATTGTACGCATACTCAACCGTTCGCGAAACGCTGCGAGTGTGAAGACCAGCTCCATAGGGGTCATAGTCATCGGTTGGAATGTAGCCAAGACCTTTCCAGCTGTGGAGACCACCGCGTCCTTCAACATTCCAGTTTGCCGGCTCAACTTCAGCATCCTTGACAACGGCCTCGTAAGCAGTAGCCCAATCGATATCAATGACCTTCTTCAAATAGGCATCTGCCATGAGCACATCGGCATTAGAGCCTCCTTGGGTATATCCCTTGCAAAGGGACATACGGCAGTCAGGCAAATAGCCTTCATGTCGGTAGATGTCAACAAGACTCCGCATCATCAGTGACTGGGACAGTGGGTCCACCAAGGTCAAGAGAGGGTGGATGCTGCGATAAGAGTCCCAAATGCTGATGCAAAAATGGTTAGCAATATAGAAATTTTCGAAACAAATAAGGAATAAAGGAGTCTCACCAGTAATAGCTGTCGTAGTACGGTTCGCTGCTTTCCCATAGTGGATTCTCACCGGTATAGTCCTGGGGGCTGATGAATGCGCGATAGGCTCCACTCCAGAAAACAGTCTGGAGGTCGCTCGAAACTCCCTCAGCATCAATGGAGATCACATTCAACTTTTTCCTCCAAGCTTCTTCGGCTGCTGTCACTGTTCCATCAAAGTCAAAGTTAGGCTGTTCAGTTTCCGCATTTTCACACGCATGGCTAACACTCATGAAGCTCACACCAACACGAGCCAAAATAGTATTGTTCTCGGGAGGGTGGAATCTTGCAAATGTGCCCCCAGACAGAGTCGCCGGTGTGTTGACTCCGTCAGCCCACATTGAAACGTATTCCTGGCTAAGGTTGGCACGATTCTTGGTCCAGACACCGGTGTCGCGTAGCTCAGCGCCCTTGAAATCAACGCAGAAGTGTAGGTCGTAGCTTCCAACACCGAAACTGGGGTTAAATGTGCCGTTACCACTCAATCGCCCGGTTGATGGATCAACAACAGCAGTACCATTTGTGCGGGATTGTGGTAGATCCATCAAATCTACCAGAATCACAGGACCCAATGAGCTATTCGACGATTGCTCAAACGTGAATCTGTACAGGGCCGATCGATTGGTAGTTGTCATTTCAGCAGTGACGCCATTCTCCAAAGCAATGGAAAAATATCCAGGGGTACCTTTTACAGAGTTAGGCTTCCACGCTATAGTTCGGTCATTTTGTTGCCAGACACATTGGTTGATGTCATCGCGGGGACAGGCAGGTTGAGCAAAGATGGGGAAGTTTCCCATTGATGGAGACTGTAAGAATAGTCAGAAGGAATTCATCCTCATAATAATTGGCAAGACTTACGCCACCGGTTCCAGAGTCGTGCATATGCGAAAATCCAGTGACAGTCGGATCATCATATGCGAAACCTGCCTCATCTTCGCCCACTGTATCTGCGACAGCCTTGGCCATACCTAATCTTTATTAGAATTTTAGTCGATCATCTGACCTTGGAAGTGAGTCACTCACCAAAAGGCAAAGTTGCGCCAGCAAAGACATGTCCTACGGTACATTAGTCTTCACTTGATGTGGATCTTGATACCTCTAACAACATACCTCCATTTGCCGTTCCAATGAGCGGATCAACATAATCTAGCACGTCAAAGCTACTTGCAGCTGCAAGAGAGTAGCTTGGAAATGCAGATGAGATGAATAGAAGCGTCGCAATGGTACCAAGCCCTTCAGTGTGAGGGCGAAGTAGTGGTGCCATCATGCAAGCTAGGACTAGAGGTGAACAAGTCCCAGAGCAAAGCCTGATTTGTGCGATATGTCCGATTTCTCGTCTGAAATAAAATCAACACACATCTTAGACTGGGATCAAGCTCCTTATTTACCCAGAGGTCAACCGCGGGGAAGCATTCCATACGCATCGATCGGCATGCTGATCTCCCAGTTTAGGAACGGTCTATTTAACCACATCTTGGGCTAGACTGCAAGAGTAAGGTACGTCGTATCGGGAATCTGTGCCAGTCGGATGCAAGCCTTGTACTAGCAGTGTGACATCACTATAATCCGTCCTATATTGCATAAAATCCTGTATGCGGATTCGATTGAGACTGGTATGGGTTTGTTTGCTTACCTCACGCTTTTCTACTATCATTAGCCCTTCAATAGGCAATTTTGAGGTGAAAATGAGTACCCCAACCCTTGCAAAGTGTATAGGCTGTAATCAACAGAGGTCAACAAGCTGACAAAAATTAAGGGTATGTATCACAGCGTCCCCGGGTTCCTGGCCGAGTGCCGATCCTTGTTGATATCGGGCAGGATTGGCAAATCAACAAGTCCGAGCTGCGGGGAACGCGAGCGGCCCGGAAGGGATGAGATTCGTGGGCTTTTTAATGAGTGGAGAACATTGAGTAGCTCGGTCCTCGTCACTATGTAACCTTTGTACACTACATCGAGGTCAATTAAGAGAGGGGAAATACTAGGTGTTTGCGTTGGGAGTAAGACAACTCGGTTGTTGGCATATCGGCTACATGCATGCATTTCCAGCCAAGTTGCGAATTGACACTCCTAGTACCTGTGCAATAGGGTCAAGATCACCAAGTTTAAGAGATAGATCTTTAAATGTCTCTCACTATCCTAGTGTAAAGGTAAACATGAAGTTTTTGTCTTGAACTTTTTCTGATATTGCGTCTCATTTATCTCTCATTCTTAAGCTTATCGGGTTCACATAACCCGAGAGTGCTTCATCTTTCTTCTTGGTCTAGCTAATACTAGTATTCCATTCCAGGTCAAGAAGAAAGGTCAAATCTAAGATAGGAATCTTATTTGAATGGCTCAATTTGGGAAGATTTAATCGTCCGATACTATATGGATTTTCAATAGTCCGAGTTACCCCGATAATATCTACGAGAGAATGGTACTTCTTCAATTTTCAATCGAAGTTCTAATTTATTATCAGGTGTCTCTCACTGAATCATACGATTGAGATACTTCTGGACCTTTTAAGACTTGTTGAACTATGAACTGCGTACATGCGGGTTTGCTTTGATGGCAAATCCGAATAAAAGCCGAGGTTATTCCGGGTTACATAATATGATCCCTTGATGGATGAGGAACGATTCTCTTTTCGAGATCCACTACAAATCACCATGTTTTTCGGGATGTAAATCTATATCGATTGGTTTCTTGGAATAAAATATCCGAAATAAATGAAAAATCCCTTCACTTTAACACCACTCCAAGCGAATGCCGCAATTTCCGGAGTTTTCCCACGAATATGCCGGGAGTCCCTTCCAATAAAGCCTGCGAACGATGCAAAAAGAAACATTTAAAGGTACGTACTCCTCTTGAGCTCAGGTGATGCGAGTTGACTCAATTAATTAGTGCGACGAAACTCGACCACATTGTCAACGCTGTACTACTGCGGGGGCGGAATGCCCCGGCTATGTCCAAACTCGCAAGTTCATTGATCAGGGAGCTACCGTCAGACGTCGATATGCTCCTTATCAAAATGTCAACTCCAAGGCTGGCTCTGTACAACACGCAAATGTACGTTTGTTCTCTCTCAGTTAACATCTGAGCGATGTCTTATATGTAACCTAGACGGACGATGTTGCCCAGCCATCATACACCGCTCAAACACATCCACAGTCAGACACGCAGGAAAGCCATGGGCCAATATCGTCTAATCTACTGAATGAAAATGGTGATTCGAGTCATGAGGAAACGAGTCCAAACTTAACACATGATGCTCAAATGATAGCGGGGACAGGCTCCTCAGGCCAACTGAGCTTCGTCACCTCTCAAAATCAATTTTTTGATCCACACTCATCCGAATCGCAGCTTCTTGAAGAACATAATTATTTTCCGGATCCCAATGTTGGTTCAAGGTCATCCAGAAGCACAGGTCATGATTCGATTTCACCAAATATCGGCATGGGCTTCCCGTCTCTACCTGGAAACACTTACACGCCAAATCCGAACTCCAGGCCAGATTATCCCGGACTTACTGCCTCTGAGAGCATGATCCATCAAAGTGAAAAGGAAGATTTTCAGGACTTATTTTCCGAGATCAAAACAGGCACAGAGCATGAGATCGCCTTTCTCACGCGTCACTATGCAGAAAACATAGCCCCTTGGTGCGTCGCCACAAATACGTCAGAACTTCTAAGCTTGACCAGCACTAATCTCTTGTTACTGTAATAGGCTTGATTTATCTGATTCGGGAAAGTTTTTCACGGTTTATGTTCCTATCAGAGCCCTCAGCTGTCTATCCTTGAAGTACGCCATCACTTCATTAGCGGCAAAACAACTAGGGCGAGTTAAAGGTGCAAAGCCCATGGTTAGGGGCGGAATACCTGCCAGCCCAGCTATCACAGAGGCATATCCAAATGCGGGAAACGCAGATTGGTTTCTCAAGGCAGCAAATTACTATTATATGTCAGCTTCTGATCTCAACAATAACACATCTGGTGGCTATACTGCTGTCTCTAGCTCAGCTGCCCTAGAATCACCCATCGAGATAGTCAACAGATGGCTCAGTTCCAGATCTACTCAAGAGCTAGCACGAGACTCCCATGATGGCGCTTTCGTTCGAAAATTGGAGGACATCCTTTCAACGGTGACTCTTCTCACATTATATAGACTTTTGGATCTCAAAGGGGATGACTGGCACAAGTAAGTTCGTGGGAAATATTGGCTTGCATGAGACATGCTAATAAATCCTCCCAGCCACATGTCAGGCATCGGATCATTATTTGAGTCTCTTTTGCATTTGGTTCAGATACATTCAACTACTTTCTCCCAAGGAATCCGTGCATCGTTTTGGAATTTCGTTCGATATGATTATCTTGGGTCGTATCTGAGTCGATCACCACCCTATCTCGGGCCGGAAAAACTGGCATTATGGCGCGCGGCGGGAATATCTATTGATGAACAAAAGCAATTCCGGATCAGCACAGCGGGGACTGTCAACTCGAGCCAAGAAGATCAAGCAGCCAATGGACTGATTTGGATTCTCTCGAAGGTTGTCACTTTCAGAGCTCATTCCAAACAGTCTCAGATAGCTCAATGGGCAGGCTCGCCACCCTCCAATGCAGCCGGCGAAAACAACACCGATTCCGCGGAGAAAGACACAAATATCTGGCTGGACCTCTGCCTAGAACTCCAGACATGGTTCGAGGGTGTTCCCGAGACATTTCGCCCCTGTGTTCGGATAGAGAAACCCAGAGATCTCTCTGGAAATTCGGATGGAGCACAGATGCCGTTTCCAGAGGTCTTTTATAGCCTACCAACCTGCGCAGCTGCCATGCAACACTATCATTTCGGGCGCATTGCTCTTCTGTTGAACCGACCACCCGATGTCCTCACTGCACCTAGTACGGCGTTCGATCGCCTACAAGGGTACAGAGAAGTCACTAAAGAAGTGGACTTTCGTAGTCGTGAGGTATGTGGTATCGCTCTTGCGAGGCCACAGAGCGAGATTCGTGTACACATGACGGCGCTTCTATTTGCCGTGGGCCAATGTCTAGAGAGCTCAAAAGAACACCAGATCATTGTGGATCTTCTTTGTGGTATCGAAGCCGATCTTGGCTGGTCGACTGATTATGTGGTCCAGGATCTTCAGAGTTCATGGAATAATCGATGAGTGTTCAATCCATTGGGATTGGGGCTCCTTTCGCGAAGTCATAGTCTTACTAAAGTTACCCTTGGTTCTCAACGTCAATTGAACGTATTCTCGCGGAGCCTGCCACTTTAAACGCTTTTTTGTGCCTCGCAGGCTGGCTCAAGCCTAAGATTGGTCACATCAACATTGATGTTGTTCTGATCCACCTACAAATATGTTCCAAACGCGTTGTGTATATCAATCAATTATGATGATTATAATAGAGCACTTAAGAGACTTCAGCAACGACATGACCCCAATTTTAGAATAACTTTTATATCGGCAGCACAACGGGGGCCTTACATTTACGTGAATCACGAGATCAAATTCCGCACCCCTTCTTTAGTCACCACTTGTAGTATAGGCTTTACTGCGGGAAAATGCCGTGCGGAATTATCGTATAAAATCTCGTGGCAATGATAGGCGACTCAGTAAAGTTTAAAGCCAGATCAAATCATCCTGTAATAATTTACCCCGGCTGACATGGACAATGCGGGGGAGAATCTGGGGTCAAAGTGGAATCTGGGGGTTGTTGGTACTGGTGTTCCGCCCTAATGGTCCCATGTCTAAACCTCTATTTGATTAATTGACGACTCAGTCAAGCCTTGTTCAGCCATTCAAACTCAAAACATGGGCAAAAGAGATACCTAAATGGTTCTCTCTGTTCTTTTGACTGATATTGGAGATTACAGGCCTCCAGCCAGAGTATTTTTTGGGCCTTGACCTCCCCTCTTAGGCTCTATTTCGGCAAGTTAATTTTGGGATCGGCAATGATGAATCTGACACGTCTTAATTCCGCTCTTGAATACTCTCCTATGAAAGCTTACACATGTGGGGCATAAAAGCAACTCATCATCCGGAAATTTATCACAGTATTGAGCGTCGAACCTTCAAAGGTTTACACCGTTCGACTATCATAGACCGGATTTTTCACGTTCCGAACGTGCCTCGTTGGCGCAGCTATCCAACATGGAGATGAACTACAATGAAGGCGTGAGTTTCTCAGAAAATCAACTTACATATGTGCCACTGGGATAGAGGCATAACTAACAACTCTCATTATCAGGTTCTCCATCAGTTTGTGCGCCCAGTTTATTCTCAATATGCAAGTACTGAACAATTGTCATAGGATCGAGGCGGAGATAGGCCAGATCATCTTGCCTGGTACGGAAATCATGGCTGATGTTGGCTCGCACCATTTCGTGAAATCTTCGTCTAAATCAGATCGCGTTTTGGTGCCTCAGCCTTCGCAAGACCCTCATGATCCTCTGGTATGTATACTTACATTTTTGTTGAAGCTTGGTCAAATGCTAATCGAGAATTCCATCATAGAACTGGAGCCGCCTTTGGAAAATGAGCACCATGACCATTGTCACGTTAACGACATTTAGTCAGGGATTTGGGCCTCTGGCACTGGCACCTATGTTTCCAGAAATGGAGAAAACATTCAACAGAAGCTTATCCGATGTGGTTCAATTTACCGGTGTCTGTATACTGGTCCTCGGTTTCAGCAATTTCATCTGGTAAGACTGATATGAGGTATATGAGGCGTATGAGATACATGTTAACGCCATGCTATTAACAGGATTCCTCTCTCGACTTTATTCGGTCGCCGCCCGGTCCTTATCCTTTCAACTCTTATATGCCTTGCAAGCAATGTGTGGCGAGCACTAGCGCCTAGCTATGCTAGTTATATGGGCGCATGCGTTCTTAATGGGATAGGTGCTGGTCCTGCTGAGGTGAGCTTTCCACCAGTCTATTCGCGATATAAATATCACATGGCTGGAACTCATCATATTTGTTTTCGCTGCAGACCACACAGCCCCAGATAATTGCAGACATTATGTTTCTTCACGAGCGAGGCGCTTACAACACCCTCTACTTCACCTTCTACTTCGGGTCTCTGACCGTGGGTCCGATTATCGCTGGTCCCATCGCAGAACACATTGGCTGGCGCAGCTTCTTTTGGCTGAACGTCGGACTGTTAGGCCTGTCGCTTATATTCTTGATCTTCTTATTCCCAGAGACAAAATGGCACCGTATACACCCGACCAAAATCACCAATATACAACAGAATACGTTACCAACTGCAAATGAGTCTGATCCTGAGAAGCCAGCAGGGGTGACACATAAAGAGACGGCCGAAGCAGAAAGTTCCGGAGACCAAGATCCATACCTACACAAGGGATTTCCCTCGAAAAATCAGTTCAAGTTGTGGCAGGTGGATGGAACTACACTTAAGGACGTCTTCATCAGCTTCTGGCTTCCATGGAAGCTGCTCGCATTCCCTATTGTTGAACTCTCGGCCTTTGTAGTGTCTTGGTCGGCGAGTTGCTTCTTGACATTGAATCTAACGCAAAGTCAAGCCTTCGCAGAACCTCCATATAACTTCAACAGTCAAACCATCGGATTCTTCAATTTTGCGATTCTCATCGGCGCGTTCATTGGCCTGGCTACTAACGGACCTCTGTCAGACTGGCTCTCTATGAGAGCGACTAAGAAGAATGGTGGCATTCGTGAGCCAGAAATGCGACTCCCGACTATGATCATCTATGTCGTGATTATGATTATTGGCAATTTCATCGTCGCCTTTGGCTACGAGTATAAATGGGACTGGCGCGTAAGTATCCCGACAATATTCGAATTACATGAACGTGATCTAATCTGATTTTCTTTTCAGATTATTGTCATCATCGGGTACACTGCAGCGGGTATTCAAGTTGCTGCGTTGCCAGCCATTGTCAGCACTTATGCTGTCGACAGCTATAAGCCTGTGGCTGGATCAGTAATGGTTGCAGTCACTGTTAACAAGAACCTCTGGGGCTACGGTTTTAGCAAGTTTATTACTGTGTGGGTTACTGAAAGTGGATTTGTAAAACCTATCATGCTTAACATGGCGCTCTGCACACTTTGGTGTCTTTTTGCGATCCCATGTTATTCCTATGGAAAGAAGCTAAGAGGGGTGACGGCTAAGTCGTGGGTTCACAAAGTGTAGCCCAGCTTCATTTCCAATGATTGTCGGAGAAGAGTTTTGTTTTGAAAGAAATATTGATTCCTTTGGAAATATTTTGAAACGTCTGAGCTAGGTGGTATAGCTGGTATCATCATGAACAAGAGCATTTTGCACGCTAAATTCTCAAAAGTCATCGTCGTCAGGGTCGTACAGATCAAGATCAAGAGTAGCCTTGGGCTTTGGCTTTGGCGCAGGTGCCGCGACCGGCGGCGGTGGTCGGACCACACCAGTAGCAGCCGAAGCAGCCTGTGCTGCAGCATTAGCAGCTTCTTCTTGTCTTGAGTCGACAGGTGGAGGTGGTGCAGGAGGTTCTGCAACCCCAAGCCCTTCAGCTTCACAGATCAATCGTTCCACCTCCTTATCAGGATCAGTGCCCGCGGCGAGCTGAACCTGGCCCATTAATCCCATTCGTATCCGTTCCTCCATCGGGTATGGCAACATGTAAATTTCGCGCGTAACATTTGCAGAATCGTCCAGCCACTGTGTCGCAGTCTTTGTGACTGATGACACCGGCTCAGCCCCTTGCTCTGTGGTGGGCTCTCCATTCGCACCCGTGCCCGTCATAGTCATATCCTTGTCTGGTATCTGTAGTCGCGAGCCCGGCTGTTTACCTGAAGCAAAAGCCCCATTCTCTGCATCTGCGGCGGCCTCATGATTGTACTTGCTGATGCGACGCGCAAAATCAAGTAGAAGTCTGTAGTCGATCTCTTTTCGAGATGATTTCCGGCTGGTCTCGTATTCGTCGTTGGAATCGAGATCACTGTCGCTCTCTTCGTCATCGCCGCAGGCTGTTTGGATCTCCTTGTCGAATTCTTCAACGTCTTTAACAATTGATTTCACTCGCTCCTCTAGCCTTTGTGCTTCCGCGCGGAGTTGGAGGATTTTGGTGTAGTTTTCTTGGTGTCTTCGGAGTGCTCTTAAGGAGGATGAGAGGGCGTCGTCTGCGTTGAGTAGGGCGACTGCTGCAGCCGGCGCTCCAGCAGCAGTTGGGGAGGTAGTGAGAGTCGTGAGAAGCGCATTGACTTTAGCCTCGACCTCGGAGAGGGAGGATTGCATGACGGTATTCATTTTGTGGGAAGAGCTAGCTCGCGCATCTAGCGGAGGGCTTCGAAAGTTGTGAGGTGGAGGGAGTTGTCCAAGGTTCTTATGATGCAATTTGTATTATGGAATAAATTGGAATAACGTGACGAGGCTGTGTGTAGGAGATTTCACCCAATCTTGAGATGGGCAACGCGTGGATGTTAAGATGAAAGCTATGCGGAGTCTGCGGAGTCGGTCAACACGGAGTCACGTGTACCCATTGTATAGGATCTATGAAGTATATAGAGCGATTATCCCAATTTGCTATCACTACTGATAATAATCAACAAAATATCTATAAAAATGGCTTCTTTTACTTCAAGTTCACAAGGACTGCGTTCGCTATTCCGCTCTCACTAGTGGGGTGGGGTAACGGAGAGGGTTTTGTCTTACAGATCACTTATCTACACTTTCTTTCTATCAACTACTCCCAATCTGGATATTAATTCCAAGAAATTTGCTCAGTTTGAACAGGAGCAGAATGACTGACACTTCAAGATTGCCATTTGCTAGACCGATCTCATTCGGCCCTCACATAGTGATCCAGCCTCCGCTTACACACCTCGGCAGTGGACCAGGGCTACTTATCCTCCGGCCGTTATGCTTTGCCGACTGTCAAAACAAGAATGAAGCACTAGACCCAGAACCCCTCCAGAAATGGGCGGAAGAAGGCTTTGCAGTTGCTCAAATAACTCTTGATGCAAACAGTAGCTCTGAGACAATTCATGAGCTGAGCTCTCAAGCTAGAAAACACCTATCGGATCTTCCGCAGTGCACTTCCAATAAGTTTGGATTGATAGGTTTGTTCAAGCTTCTATCAATATGTGAAGGTCTTGTTCCTCACGAGTACTGATAAATTTTGAAATTATACAGTATATGGATCCCAGGCCGATTATGGCAAATCGCCAGACAACGCCTTGCGTTTCGTCTGTGATGATGTAGATGTCGTCGTCTGTTTTGATTCTTGGGATGAAACAGATAAAAGAACCCTTCTACATGTACACAACTCCCTGAAAGAGGATATTGCCAGCAATGATTATCAGAAGGTATACATCTACCCAGACATTGCCTCCGCAGGATTCATCGTCCCCGGCCACCCGGACTTCAAAATTTCAACGGCGGGTGTGGCTCATACCCGTACGCTAGGCTTCTTGAAAGAAATCATTGGCGGTCCTTATTTTGATCTTGAAAAGATCTGGGATGAGCACACTCACTACGAGTTTGGCGATCGATCAGTTGAAAAGACTATGGCCACGATGGTTCAAGAACCATACGTAAACCATGTTCCAACTGTGAGTTGAGAGAGATCTGCCGCTTTAATGTCAATATCGGGAATATTAATGTGTAATCTGTTAGATGACAGGAGGCATTGGTCGCGCTAATTTAAGCCACTTCTATCTTCATCACTTCATTTTCAACAATCCAGATGACACGGCACTGGAGCTAATTAGCCGTACGGTCGGCACCGACCGAATCGTTGATGAATTCATTTTCTGTCTCACGCATGTGAAGCAAGTGGATTGGCTGTAAGTTCTTCATTTGTTCAGTCTCTCTGAATCTCTCTACGGATAGCTAACAACTCATCTCTAGGGTCCCTGGTATCCCTCCAACTGGAAAGTCTCTTCGTATTCCTTTCACCTCGGTGGTGAATATCCGAGGAGACAGGTTATATCATGAGCATATTGCGTGGGATCAAGCAACTGTGCTTGTTCAATTGGGCTTGCTTCCTGAGTATCTTCCCTTTCCGTATGCCTTACCGGATGGCACAGTCCCAGCTCCGGGGAAACGATTCGAGTACCGCGTTCCAGCTGCTGGGGTTGAGACTGCTAATAAATTGCAAAATGAACATGAGGTCGCCTCGAATGCAATGTTCGAGTTTAAGATTCGTGAGGTGGATGATCGTTAATCGCTGAAGCGAATTTTTGATACACCAGGGCTATGTACGGAGTACCGTTGACCTAAATGCAGGCAGAATTCTAGATGCGACCACTCAATACTGTCTAGGAACTGTGATGGAAGTTCAATTAACTAGTCTGCTTTATTGGGAGGGGTCCAAGCTACTGATCTACTGTATTGAAAGCATGGAACGTCACAATGTTGCATCAGATGCTTTCGTAGAGTAAATGTAACAAGTTCAACCAAGAATCATTTAGTCACCTAGGCCCGGGGGAGAGTGGTATAATATAATGCCTGGGTCAAGCCTTGCATAATTTTAAACTGAAGCTATCTAGTAGCTAATTATCAGTATTGCTTCAAACCTTGGAACTTGATGATCTACGCATACATGTACCGAGGTCGCTTTAGTGCGAACGTCTGCTTCAAATGTTCGGCATGATGAGCAACATCTCAGGCTCCAGACCATTCAAAATCTTGAAAATGGGACAAGGCTTATTGAATTATTATAGGGAACAGAATGATACACTCGAGTGCTCGCTGCTTGCAATTTTCTTCAGTTGAGGCTTCTTTACACCTAGTATCATCATCGTGAGATCCACCTTCGAACTGAGCGCGTCACGTAGCACAACCTTAGAACCTACCAAAATCTAGTCCCACGCTTCCATGTTCTAGACCATTTTCCTTGCATAATTCATAACTATTCGTTAAAACTAACATAGAAAATTGGAGATTGTGGATATCGGTAGCTCATCCTTGATGTCATTTAACGGGACGTGCAACGTGCACGCCGGATGCAGTAAAAGGAAGGGCCATTGACCGCTCATCGAGTTCAAGAGTTTATCATGCATAATTCTGTACCAGCAATGAATATCAAAGATCAGCATCTTATTTTTGAGGCTTTATTCTATATGTAACACTCTGCTTTTTAACTCTATCATAAATGCGCTGTGTTTCCTTCCGTAGAGGGTCTGAGAGCGACGAGTTCATGTGCTTCGACGTTTTCATATAGAATTGTTGCACACAGACTAAACCCACTCGAAAAAGAAAATTGATATCGCAAAGAACTTGAAGCAAAAACCAATACAATGTTCAAGTTATTAGCATTCGTACTACTAGCTACATTGTCAACTTGCTCGGCATCTAATCTCCCAATCGTCGATCTCGGCTACGAGTTACACCAAGCAATCTCATTCAATGTCAGCATTCCCGAACTTCTCTACACATTCCTGACCAATATGCTGACAGATCCTTCAGAGTGCCCAAGGCTTGTACAACTTCAGCAATATCCGCTATGCAGCACCTCCAGTAGGAGATCTGAGATTTCGAGCACCTGTTGCTCCAGCACGAAACCGCACGAAGGTCCAAAATGGCACAGTTGGACGTGTTTGTCCCCAGGCAGTTCCGATCTGGTTCCAGTATATTGAGCCTGCGTTCCTGCTGAGCATATCGGAGGGAACACAGTTTAATCTTTCGACAAATATCTCTTCTTATCCCTATGTGCCCACGAAACCAGACCCACGCACAACGGAGGATTGTCTTTTCCTCGATGTGGTTGTCCCCGAGAAGGTATTCAACCGGTCGCGCAGTAGCCGAATTTCTTCGGGGAAGTCTTTGGCTCCTGTATTGGTTTGGATTGATGGGGGCGGGTTCACGCAAGGTGATAAAACGCAGTTGAATCCTTCAGGGTTGGTGAACCGGAGTACTGTTGTCGGCGATGGGGTCGTCTTTGTTGCGATAAATTATCGGGTAAGTTTTACTTCCTCCCAAATATTCATTGAACCACCTGGGCAGGATTTAACTAAATGATATGTCAGCTTGGTGCGTTTGGTTGGCTTGGAGGTCATACTCTTATGGCCAATGGAACTGCGAATGCGGGACTGCATGATCAACGCTTTGCCCTGGATTGGATTTCTAAGAATATCCATCTGTTTGGGGGCGATCCTAATCAAGTGACAGTGATGGGGGATTCCGCCGGGGGCGGCTCCATAATGCATCAAATCACCGCATATGGGGGCCAGAATGGGACATCGCCGTTTCAGCAAGCGATTGTGCAAAGTCCAGGATGGGTTCCCACACCAGATGACAAACAACCAGAGCAGGCTCTGCAGCAGTTCCTCAAGCTTCTTAACGTTAGCACGATTGCCGAAGCGCGGAAACTTTCATCGAAGAAACTGATTGCAGCCAACGCATATCAGATCGCGACCAAGCCTTCTTGGGGTGAGTTTGTTTACACCCCAGTTGTGGATGGTACTTTTGTGCCGAAATTACCTGGCCAGCTCTTACTCGAAGGTCGATATGATCATAACTTAACTGTCATGACCGGACACACCTCCAATGAGGGTATCGAGTTCACTTCTCCAGATAGTAGGAACAGTAGTACCTACCTCGCCACCTTGCTGAAGAAATCCTACCCCTCCGTCAAGCCCAACGTCTCGAGCTATATCACCGATGTGCTATATCCGCCAGTATACAATGGTAGCCATGGCTACAACAGTCCCTTCACGCGGGTAGCGGTCGCGAACGGGGAGTCCGCTATCGAGTGCAATGTCGATTACCTCAACTGGGCATTTGGAAACCAGACATTCGCATATGAATTTAACGTTCCTCCCGGATTGCATGGCCTAGACATGCTATATGTCTTCTACAACAAGGGTCAGTCAGCTGATGATGGGGATTTGCCGGGGCTCAAGGTTCAAAATGAGACCGTTGCTCTGATAGTGCAGGACTACATTACTAGTTTTGCTCAGTTCGGCGCCCCCAAATCAGCACTGGGCCCGGCTTTCAAACGATATGGTCCACAGAACATGGTGCTTAATATTGGGAATCACACTATTGGGCCGATGCGTGATACGACCAATGCTTCTCGATGCCATTTCTGGCAGACAGCGCCGTACTATCAATGAGTTTGTTTTGTGGAGTTGATTCAGTTCAAGACCCTTTCTTTTCCAGTGTGGAATCGATGATTTGTGGTTGGTATGCCGTGTCTCAATTTAGTTTAATACCCGTGGACCCTGTCTTGAATTTTAAAATGAGTTGGATAACCGATGAATAGATTGTTTGTATGAAGATACAAAAATGCATCAAAATCGCAGGTAATACTACATTCGGTAAAACCACAGGGCTGTGACAAGTATTAATTACTAGGAGAAAATTCCTTCAAGATGCGGGCAATCGCGGAGCCAAATTTAGCTGCGAGTCATGCTTGTTTGATTTTTTTTTTTCTCTTAAATCCACACTATCCTCTAATCCACTTATGGAGTCAACTCCGGTCAGCATAAATTCTCGCATAAAATCTCGCGTGGAAGAATCACAAACATCAAGCATGGACCGAGTGGTACTAGTATCGGAGTTCCCGTGGCTCAAGTTTTAGCTCGAGGCTGCAAGATAATAATGACTCCACCGCTGATCTTTCTCATGTTCTCAGCCAAGAATAGATTTCGTGATTTGATGCATCATGATCGCCTTTTCAGGAACCATCATGGTACAGGGTATCTCGGTATATACACAAAGTCATCCTGGGTCGCGTGTGATACCAAAATGAGTGGCGCACTCTTAGGTGACATTGGACAAAGATGCCTTTTGAGCGTTACCGGTATCATGGGAATACCATGCCCAACTGTCCACATGTGCAGCTGAGCAAGGATTCTTGATTATATTGAAAGGGCGTCTTTAATTGAAGCGATTTGGGTGCCCAGTTCAGTAGCGTGAAAAAACAAAGCAACGTTAAACCCTGCCCAGGTGGTCCTTTACGAGAGTGGATATTGCATTTGCCCCGATGATAAGGCGCCAGGTGAAACCCACGATGAGCAATATTCTTACCTGATTTTCAATGAAGCTCTTTTTAGTCAATTTCTTTATTTTCACTGTCTCGGATGGAACCGTTGAACCTCTGAATCTCTGAGACAGGGTAGCTCCACTCAAACACAGCCGTGCCGATCATGGTTAATAAGGGAAAAAGGAGCGGCAGGCTACGGAATACCTGGGGAGCAGAGGCAGGAGCCCGTATCACAAGCATCTCGCAGATCCTAGAGGTAAAGATCATCAGTGTCATTATTCCTGATAGGAAGATGCTGTATTGTGACTCGAAGAACCTGGTCTAAGTGGTAGGAAAGGCCCGATGACCCAATTGTGATTCCATTAAATTGGACCCTTGTCTCCATCGGCACCAATCACCCTCTGTATCCGGAGTAACTCGCAGGTTGCAGGGGGAGGGGAAAAAGCTTAGGTTCTGGGGCGCTAAGTGCTTGAGAGGCAAAGAAAATGGGGAAATGAGAAAAATTCCTATATCCTTGGTGAGACTGAGTGAGTGAGCCTTGGGAGAGTGTAGATTATAGTGTAGGCATCCAAATTACAGAACGAATCATCATCCACCAAAAAAAAAATAAAGTAAAGTAAAGTGGATTCGAGGGAAAATTATAAAAAACAATTTAATTCGTATAAAGTAATTCTATTAAAATACCAAAATACTTAGATCCACTTTAAGCCTTGCTACATCTAACACACTTTGGGGTCGGATTTTGGCAGCCTTGGGCTTAGACACTTAACTACCTGACATTTCCCCCTTGGTTCCTCCTTCTATTCACTCTCATCCTTACTCTTTTCACCTTCTCACATTCTCACATTCAAAATGCGGTTCCCTTGGTCCGCCCTCGGCTTATTTGGTGCGATCGCATCGGCGATCCCCCTCGCTGCCACTCACGAGATTCACCTCGCCTATCTTCCTACGGACGCTACCACAGAACCCAGTTCCCAAGAAAGCTCATACCTGGTAAGTAATAAGTGATGAAGACTCCAATGAAAGCGCATCAAATAAGAAACAAATCCAGATGAGGGGTACCAGCATTAAGCAAAAACTAACAATTCCCGCAATAGTCCATCAGCTGGTCCATGCAAGATGGCTCATTGTACGCCAACAACGATCGCGTCTTCCCACCATCCAAGTCAATGCACGTGAAAGCGCCACGCTTCGAAGGCACACACATCGAAGAACAAGTCCACCTTTACTACTCGTTAGATGCGCGACCCTTATCGAGTCATGAAGTGGGGGCCCCGAATAGTCTTGTGCGGGTCCGCGTGGAATTGCTTAATCGACAAGGCGACCCTGTTACCCCTAACATTGTGGTACTCGATTTGCTGGATCACCCCGATGGCAGTTTGCGCATTGCCAAAATTCGAATTGAGCCTGGAAAATCCAGTCAGGGAACCCCGGAAAGTGAAAAGTGGCACATGAAGTTCTGGCAGTCTGAAGTGGGGAATCTCTTGAAACACACTGGCACCGACCACAAACAAAACAACAAGCACTCGTCTACAGTGAACAACTCGGAATCAAAGTCGGAACAGAATTCCGATTCCACTTCTATTTCGAAAACTCAGGCAACAGCTGAATCTGCTGATACCGAGCCGTCTCAATCTACCGGTCTTGCTGCGAAACCTTCTCCTGACTCCACTATTGGATATATATTCTCGCCGTACTTCGCTCCCGCTTCGTATTCCCACCGCTCACATCGTCGCCCACACGGCCGGAAGAATGATCATAGTTTCCTGCGATTGATCAGCCCGGTCATTCTACCCGCTTTTCTGGGTGCCGTGGCTGGGTTGGTCGCTTGCTTGCTAGGTTTCGTTATTGGCCATCTGGTGATGTCTGTTGCTTTCCGTTTAGGCCTTTGCCAAAAGCGGGATGAGCGCCACAACCTGGATACAAAGGATATTCAGGTGGAAGATGGAACTTACTCCGAGAAGACCGGTCTACTTCCAGAGATCTTTGTGACGGAGGTTGAAGAAGTCTAAGAGGCTTAACACCCTTAAAAACGAATTATGCATATTGGGCGCGGCGCTGGCAGGTCTTTCACTCTCTTTTTATGGTCTTTTTTCACTCTATGGAGTATCCATGCATAGCAAGCATTATTTCCTTCTGTTCTCATTTCTTTCTGTACTGATAGAATATTGTATGTGTATATCTCTACTATGACTTATATGAGCCTTTGTGTTCATGATCAATCTGATCTTTTGCCACTACACTTCTCTGCCGCTCATGTAACCAACTTTTGCAATCATTTCAACAAGGCCGGCTGGCCCAATGGCAAGGCGCTTGACTACGAATCAAGAGATTGCAGGTTCGACCCCTGCGTCGGTCAATTTTTTGGTGCTTTTTCATAGGAACAAATCCTCGTGGTGGATTAGATTATCAAATTTTTTCATCTCAAGTATGGATTGGATGGAGTCCGGATGGAGACATGTGGGCCCGATTCACATCCGAGGGAAAAAAAAGCCCAAATATTAAATGGGGCACTTTAACCGGTCTTGGAGTCTTTTCCTTTTCTTTTCCGCTAAGGAGACTAAAGAAAAATGAGAAAAATAACACAAGAAATGCTTGTGTGAGCTCAATTCACAATAGCCTTGTTGATCAGTCTCAGTGCTTATTCTGGGGATACGACCCAAGCCTTTTTGTCTCAACCATGGTTATGGATAGTACAGCGGGTCTGGGCTGATCCTCGGCCCAGAATACTCATCGAGCATAATTCAGTAGTCCTTTTCAAGTTTGTACAATGTACGGAGTACTACTAACAGTACTATTCAATGTTAGCGCATTTTAGCTTTCCGAAGTTATCCCTTCTCTTCGCCCACAAGCAATTTACTACTAAAATGTAGATCCGAATCCTCTATCCAATAATGTAATTTGGATTAATACACCTCCGGGTTCTCCGTACACCTAAAGACCAGCCATGTTCAGCCACGTCCCGACTAAAAAGGCAATCCGAGATCTAGCACTTGCCCAGACACTCTGATATCCGGTCCGTTGCGGGGTAGACGGGATAATCAGTGCTCAGAATCGATCTTCATCACGGGATGTATGCAAATCCTGTTCAAACACGGAGTAGCCCGTATACTCACTTGCTCAGCTCTGTACGGACTAGCCCCGTAGGATTTAGCCTTATGGTATCATAATTAGAGTAATCTTCTGCCTAGAAGACGCGTTACAAAATGTTAATAGGCGGGTCATCCACTCTCTTGAATGTCGTTGCCTGTGCGGAATACGGAAAAGTACCGTTGATTAGATAGCACTGCATCTGGAGAATCCATCTTGAGGTAATGGGGCGTCGAAAGCCCGTGATTCGAAGTTGAATTGCCGCACGCCCCCTTCACTTTGCACCCTTGCCCAGGAGATTCTATTGAGGTGTTTTCTGCCGATGTGTTAATTGAGTTAACCTTATTCCACGCCACTGTATTCTTCACGGTACTTGGCGTTCCCCTTGGGCTTTAAGGATAATTTGTTACCACCAGTAAGCCCCCGTCGGTGTTAAACGTGATGCCCTAAGGTTTGTGGCATCAAGTGCTGAGAGATGGCAACTTGAAGTTATTACCGGAAACATTTGAATATGCCAGTGATGACCACGTGGCATAGACAATACTATATTGAACATAAGCGGTGTGTTCACCAGTTGACGCAGTTCACGCTAAACAACCTCTTAACGCATGGGCCACCTGCCATTATCGTATCAGTAGTACCCGGGCATATAGAACTTCAAGTTGTTGAATGAGCTGTTTTATGGATTCTGTTATAAAATGGAAGGCCGACTGCCTCTAGAGACCAGATTCGAGCTGTGAACGTCAAGTTAAAGCATACCGTAGAGATTAAGTTGGGATGAAAGCCAGGCTAATATTCAACATCTCAACATAATAACTTGAACTTTTCATCCGAACATTGTAAAGTATATCTGAGGATATCAGACTCATATAATAACTTGAACTTGAATACCGTGTGTGGAGCTCACGGCGATACTACTTAACCAATGTGCCATGGGTTTTAAGTCTTTTGAGAACCTTTTCTGAGAAATGTGCGCCGATATTTAAACTTGAACATCGCAGCAGGGTTAAACTTGAATCAGATGACTGGATGAATCATCGAGGAAGATGTATCGGAAGGATGTATTTTTAGAGATCTATTGAGAACCTGAAATAACTTCAAGACTTGGGTTGCTTTGCTATAACGTGTCGCCTTGATTGGAGAGTAAAGAGTGTAGGAAAGTATGGAATACTCGGTAAAAGCCCAGAATTTTGTACGTTAGCATCGCATGCAAGCATCCTACATACTGATGCATGCATTGGTACGTGGCCGACTTGAGTACTCGATCAGCTGATTTTCTATCTATCATACGCTATGCAAAGTTTGTGCCCAGGTGGCATTCGCTTTTTCCGTGGCCTTATGCAGAATATCCAGATGTCGTCATGGACACTGTTTTCTTGTGCTCTTATTATATCCAGCATATCAATTTCAGGAAACGAATCTGGGCACCTGTTTCGTTAGATTTTTACCAAGGCACGAATTAGGCATACTTTCCAGATATTCCATACTCCTTCCTTTATTCCGTACAGCCCGTAAGGTTGCATGATGAATCCAGATCTAGTACAGGGTGTCGAAAACTGACTTCAAACTGGGGTCAGACCATTATCTCAGCCCCTTGCATCGCGGGAGCAGACTTTTGGGTTAGACACTGGTTAAAAAGTCTAGAAGTCGATAAGGGTGATAGGATTTCTCGGCCGCACTGGAAATATTGTTCCCTGCATGTAAGAAGGCTGGACATGGTTGCAAGGAACCCCTCGCTGCAAGTAGCGAACACATGGGTTCGCATTGGCCTCTCAGAACCTGCATTACATGACGCGTGGCTAGCTGAAATTGAGCCATAGAAATGGCTCTGACCTGTAGTAGTAAATCTTGGGAATAGGCTCCATAATTTCGTACGCCAGCGATGCTACTCCGGATGTCCGTACTGAACCGAATTGTGAAGCTCTATAGGCACTTGGCGATATCGGGCTGTCTAACCAACTTGAATGACGCGCAAAGAGCTAGAGCTGATTTGAATAAAGAATCGCCACAAAAACTTTGCAGATCGAGATTTGCAGAGTACCGAAAATTGCGAAGATGAATGTTGTCAAACCACCGCATAGATGCACCTGCCCAGGTGCATGCTGATGATTAAGCGACCAACTGGTCAACCATCTAGATGTCTGTAGATCTCGTATTTGGAGGTAGCACTGCGTACGAGGATCAAGACGATCTCAGGATCTCCTCTAATGTATATGAGAGGATGAGTTCGAAAGCGGCATTCATATGACGATCATTCTGTCTCATAAATTTGCATCTCAACTACAACCAGCCGTGTCTTCTTGCGACGCAACGTGCGCCCGAATCTTTACTTGTATGGCGTTGACAAAGCATGCACATGTGCATGAGACGAATTGCATTTCATTTCGTCTTTTTATTTTTAAGAAACATCTGAATAAACTTGAAAACATATCGCCGCATCTTAGTGTTCGGAGAATCGGAGGATAGTGGCGGTGACGGGAGAATTCACTAGTGCGCTCGGGGCCATGATCTGGATATGATCTGTCGCGCCACAACATACAGGGTTCACTTCCAAGATTTGTGTCCCAATCCCAGGGCTGAATCTAACGCCACCCGCATTTCCTTGTTATTTCATACCTAGAATTAAGTCGATGACTAAAAATCAGCTATATTCTTGCTTTCTATCTCTAATCCCCATCTTAATGGTCAAGATTCCTGGGGAAAGCTCCATGACGAAAGAATTTTAGTATGAGCTGGACGAATTGGTTCATGCAAGCTGCAACCTATGCATCATAGCTCCTCCATACCCAGTTTTGTGTACCTTGTAGCCCCAAAATCCTATCCTCAATAGCCGATCCATTCTAAATCCAGATTTACGTCCTGCCTAATTCCACATCAACTTACAAAGAGCAAACTCTCAGTCCTTTGATCTGATCATTGCATTACAGCATCTGGCCTCCAAAGTTGGTATTGAGAGACTGTGGCTGGATACAGCAAATTCCCTGCTAGCCACGTTGGGTTGGGCATCACTCATGCAGGACAGCGAACCACTGGCAGTGATGCAGACACGCTGTACTACGTATACCCCAATCAGCTACATCACACCTGAAATTGTGAGTTTTGACCGCTCTCCGCAATTTTATTTTGCTTTCCTTGTCAGGATTCTTGCCAATATAGGTCAAGTTCAATGGCCCCAACCCAGTTCTAAAGCTGATATGCAGTGCCGTGTATACGTAAGTCCGGCATGGAGTGGCCATGTATGTCTTACAAGAAAAGCTAGATAAGAGCGATGGGATAAGCTATTGAATTCTAGTCCATAGCTTGTCCGACTGGAATATTTCATCTCCTGTTCATTATAAAAGGACTTGGTGCCGCACTGGGAGCCTCCTTGATTGTTTACCTTGACTCTGAATTATCATCTGATCTATACCTTATCTTTCCACCTCATCTTTACATACATCTCTCTCCTTCAGGAAAACTATAAATCATGAAGTCATTGCTCATTGCCTTGGCTATGATAGCCACCGCTGGCACGGTCTCTGCCGCGGATTGTGCTGTACGTTCTGCCCAGTTGATATCAACATGACTTCTTGCTGACGACATAATCTAGCAAAGATGTCTCTCAAACATGGAGGCCAAGGCCTCCGAGCTTGGCTGCAGTTCTGGGGATGTAGCATGTCTTTGCCAGAGCCAGGACTACATCTACGGCATTCGTGACTGCACTACCGAGGCCTGCCCTAGCGCCAATGCTTCACAAGTTGTTGCTGAAGCACAAAGCAGCTGCTCTTGTATGTCGTTCATCACATGCGGTTTATTAAATTCGATATCATATAGGGTACATTCAGCTCACTATGAAATTTAGCTGTCCTCGCCACTGCTTCTGGCACTGCCTCTGGTTCCACCACTGTTACTTTCACAACTTCGGCATCGGGAACCCAGACTACTGAGACAAGTACTCTTCCGGCTAGCAACTCTGCCAGTGAAACTCCTTCTAGTACCGAAACTATCACTACTTCTGTCTCTGGAACCCTCACTACTGAAACTACGGTTGTGCCTGTTACCAGCAACAGCTCCGAGTCCGGTACCAAGACTAGTACGGAAAAGACTACCGAAACATTTACCACTAGTGTCTCCGGCACCCTTACCACTGAGACAAGTACTGGCACTCTCACCAAGTCCGCGACTATGACCACAGAGAAGATCACCACTAGCATTTCAGGTACTCTTACCACAGAGACAACTGTCGGCACCGTCACTGGTACTTCCTCTAGCACTGCTGGAGCTCACCCAATGGCTACAGTTGGAAGTGGTGCCTTGGGTGCTCTTGGGTTCGCCGCTATGCTTGTTCTCTAAATAGAGAGCTCTCTCGACTCTCTCAAAAGCAACTTTGATAAGGAGCTGAAGCGAGACTAGATTAATGATCGACTTAATTGTTGAGAATGTGGAATGACAAACACGGAAATGGGAAATATGAATGTGAATGTAATGACGTGGTTTCTGGGGCAAATACTGCTATATTTAATGAATGTGATTTGGAGTTCCATTTGACATCGAGTTCGAGTGCGTTAAGTAGGAGTTAGGTAGTCTTATAACTGCGTATTGTCGATTAGTATGAATGGGGATATTGAACGTGTGGATACTTTTTATCTCTCGAAATGAATCGAGTTGGAACGACTGCATTCTTTAATCAATCTGGACTAACATGGGTCTCAGGATAAAGAAATAAGTTTAAGCACAGATATGATTGCGTCCATCATCCACCGTATTAGCGTTGATACCACATACGCAGAATCTTCTTCTGCAGGATCATGACCCCATAGATCAACGCTTCAGTGGTCGGGGGACCTGTCACAAGAATGAAACATGAGTACTGATGTGGAGCATTATATTCTCGTAGTTAACTCACATCCAGGCACATAGACATCCGCTGGTACTATCCGATCGCAACCTCGAAACAATAGCGTAGCTAAAGTGGTAATAGCCACCACCATTCGCGCAACTACCCATACTGATGACAAAACGTGGCTCAGGCATCTGGTCACAGACTTGGCGAAACGCAGGTGCTATCTTATTTGTCAAAGTTCCCGCAACGATAATGACATCTGCCTGTCGAGGCGAGGCTCGGAACATAAGACCCAGGCGATCGGTGTCGTAGCGTGGACCCGCCATATGCATCATTTCCACGGCGCAGCATGCAAGCCCGAAGGTCAGGGGGTACAAGGAGCCCTGTCGGGCCCAGTTGATGATGGAATCGCCGGTTGTTCTAAATTAAAGTTTGTAGTCAGCTCTTGTGCCACTCTTGAGTTGATCTTGAATTATAAACAGGATGTATTCGGCTGGTCCAGATGGGGAAGCCTGGCTAAGCAATGGAACTTCCTTCGAGGCTTTCCACTTGAAGTCTTGGGAGAATGCGACCGTTGAAAAGGCATTGGAATTCGGCGCATCATGGAAGGTTGGCGTGGGACCCATCGTTGACCTTGTTGAAATGACGATTTAGGGAGCTTTTCTTTGTGGATTCTTTGTCTCTCCAAGGTGTACTTACATCTTTGAGCAATTGCGAACATCATTTTAGCTTCACAGACTAGAAATGACAGGATGTACGGTTGAAAATAATGGATGTAAGGACACGTGAATAGTGGCGGTGATATGAAGAAATCAAAAACGTTTCGTCACTTCCAAGGCTGATCTGCTCGCCTGAAAAACTTGAACATCATGTTGCCTGCCTGTTTTTGTAGTACCTCACACTCAAGTTCTATATAGATACTTCAGGTCTTTGAGCCATAATAGGTAATGTTCGAAGGTTTAATTATATCCTAAAATCAGTATTAATCATCAAATGCTCAAGTGGTGCATTAGAGCTTTTGTTGATTCCAGTCACGGTATTCATCAACATTTGAGTAATCCAGGGCTATCAAGAGCTCCGAGCCCCTCAGAAATATCTCAATTAGGGGATTTCAACCTTCCATGTTGGAGTGTTTATCACTCAAATGCTGTATAGTAGACCCGTGGACCTCGGGAGGAATCCATCATATTAGTTGTAGCATATTCTGGTCTTAGTCCACGGGTGAAGGTATATGATGTCTTCAAGTTCCAAGGTTTGCTTCAAGCACCAGACAACTTGAACTTGAATGTATAGCCCTGGAGCACACATTATATTGACTGGCATTGTTCCATTTTTCGGTAATAGTGATTATAAAAGTGGATCAGTGACCACGGGATTATCAGTAGTGCTTATTTGTATGTGCCGGTGGAAATTGAAGCCAAGACGGTCATGGAGCCACACATTATGTTGAAGATCCAATAAGATATAACAAACGTACAGATAGATGTCAAGTCGACCATGGTCTAGATGTTTGCATCGTGTACTTCAAGTTGTTGTTGAAAACACAAGCCAAGGAAGTTCTATCATGTTTAATCTGCTTAAGGTATTAGGAAATGCCAATAGTGCATGGTTTGCATCATAAACTTGGACCCCAGAATGATCTTTGCTGGATTGTAGCACCCGTTATAGAGGTAGTTCAAAGACTCCGAGGTTATTTTGGGGGTTTGACCTTTCAAAGAGGTGAGAATATGCTGTGTTGTACCTATAAAAAAACAGCATTAAGAGGGCTATTTCTATTGTAAAGTTTTCACATCCTCACAATTTCGAAAACCTGCATCATAACAGGATTTCTTCGCCTTCTGTTTGGTTAGGACGCAAACTTTCTCACTAGTCCAAATTAGCGGTGGAGACTCAGTCAGACTCAGTTGTTCCAAAGCAATTCAGGTCCATTCGGATGACCTCGCTTGGGTAGTTCCCCCCACTTTGAGGCTCAAAGCGTGGTCGAGGGTCCAACTCTCGTAAATTTTCGCGATGGCGTAAAACAAGTGCGATTCTGGATTGGTTGCACAGAGCAGTCCAGTGCCTTAGTGTCCTGCACTTAGGACCCTTGGCCCCAATCAGGGTCCTGGGGGCCAGTGCTAGTAGGCATCATCGGGCGGATCGGAGAGAAAAACTGCCGGAGTTAAAGGGGGGAGCTATATTTAAACCAGCTCGTGTGAAAGAGTTTTCCAAGGTCCCATGGTGATGTTGGGAGAGGGTTGGAAGTGGTGAAAAAGTGAAAAATATTCAATGGAAAGCCAGAATAATTAAGAAAACAATCGGATTATCCATCTTTACTTTGGTAAACATACCAAGTCGTGTTTTGTAGAAGACATAGAGAGTAAAAGAGTGGCTGCGTGGATACCGGAAGAGTGGGGAGACCCTGGCTGTTGCCTTGCTTTGTCACAGCCTCGTCCATTCAAAACCGCCGCAACGCCCACTGCTTATCCCCCTCATTCCAACTCTTCTGTCTCTCTTTTCTTTCTCCCACTGAGTTCACTTTGTGTATCTTGTGGCCATTTTCACTATGTCTTCGGTCAGCGCACATCTGATGCGCCGTGGTGTCGAGCTTGCCTCGACCCACTTTCAGGAACCCAAGAAACCTGAGGATGAGCAGACTCCTGGTGGCCTTGTTGCCCTCTTTGCGCTGAGTTTCATCATCTTTGTGTTGATCCTAGGATCGGTTAGTGAATTTGTACCTTCAAACTCTGCTCAAAACATGCATGCTAATAACAACGATAGATTGAATACACATATGGCCTGGTTGTGGGAACCCTTGCGGCTGTTGAGGACTCTAACCCAGATATCTACGTGCGAATCGATGGAAATAACGACCCTACTAAGCCATTTGACCCTAACGACCCTGAGCCTGCTGCGGCTCCAACTCCCAAGCCTATCACCAGCAAGCTGCGTACCACTATTAAGCACCTCCGCTCCCGTGCTGGCTTCTGGTCGCGCTTCCGTGGCTTGAGTATGTTCCTGGCTTGGAACATGGCCCGTGGATTCATTTCAGCTATTATTCCCATCAGCTCTAGCTCTTTCCTGAGTCAGTTCTTTTTGCAGTCTATCGTCACTGTGTTCCTGTGCACATGGCAGATGGCCTGGGTTCACATTGTCATCACTGAGCCCTCCCCCAAGCGCTTCTACCAGCGTATTCCTAGCTGGCGCTCTTGGATTAAGATTGTACCCGCTGCTATTCTGCAGGATGTTCTGGCTGCTGCTGCTTTCTTCTTGCCCATGGCTATTGCCAAGCTCACTGGTGCATTCAACATCACCCCAGGTGCTGATAACAGCATGAAGGATATTTTCCGTTCCCTGGCTTTCGGTGCCATCCCTGCTCTTCTTGCTCTGATTATCACCATCCCTGCCCGTGTTGTCTTCATTCGTGTTGCTGCTTCTATGCTGCCTGAGGAGGAGGAGACTATTGTGCCTTTTGACCGCTCCTTTGGTGGCAAGGTCCAGCCCGCAATTGTGGGTGGCAGTGGAAAGATTGGTCTGCTGGAGGCTTGGACCACCTTTGACTGGGCTAGCCGGGTTCGTCTTTACAAGGTCATTGGCAAGACCTTTGCCATGCATGTAGCCGTGCTTGTGGTAGGAGGTCTTGTTCTCGGTGCCCAATTGTTCATCATGATGCCCAAGAACTCTGGTCAGAACAATGGCTCTGCTGGCACCCCTGCCGTAGAATAGATTACTCTCCAACTCCAGGTTGGATTGGAATCTGCTACTTGTCAAAGTAGAAGATATGGCATCTGCTTTTTGTAAAGCTTTTTGGTTGTCTCAACTCGTGTTTCCTAGCCACAACTCTGGTGAATCCAGAATTTGATATAACTCTCTTTAGTTTCCTTTATTTACTTTTCACTTTTTCAAATAAAGTCTATCAGAAACAATAGTAACTGAATTTGATCAAATAAATTATGGATTGCCCTAATCCATCTATAGAGTGGCAACTGACCCGTGGACACTGCATCCATATGCTGCCTAGTAATCAACTGGTTGAGGTCCGCCACCGCCACCTTTCACCGCCTTGGTCATATTTTCAATCTGCCCCTTTTACTTTACCGTCCCCCCGCTTTCCATTCACCGCCTTCAGGTCTTTTCTCGCATGGTGAGTGTTCTTCCCCTCATTCATGTGCTCTTTACAGTCACAACTTCACCCAATATATAATCCAGAATCGTGAAATCATTGATTTTCAGACTCCCTTCCACCTCTTTACTCACTTAGCAATCTCCACAAAATGGCGACCACTGCTGCTGGCCGCATGCTGACCCGCCAGCTGCACCAGATGCAATCCGATAAGGACATTCCCGGCATCAGCTGTGGTCTGGTCGACAACAACATCTTTGAATGGGAAGTCATGCTCATGATCTCCGATGATGTCAAGCTCTATGGAGGTACGGATTATTCTTCCATCTAGGTCCCCCTAGTCCTACTGTACTTGTGGCAGGACAAAAGTCTCAGCGGGCAGCCTAGGCCCTGAGGCACTCACGCATTTCAAAATTAGATACCATGATACTAATATTCCTCCAGGTGGTTTCTTCCGTGCTCGCCTCACCTTCCCTATTGAATACCCTCATATGCCTCCCAAGATGAAGTTTGAGTCCTCGCTATTCCACCCTAATAGTAAGTGATCGCCACATGACCACGTGGGGTGCCACATTTTCCAGAAGGCTGGAGAAGACGTGGAGTTTATACGGCTGGACGGTGTGAATTTATACTTACCATATCCTTTCTATAGTTTACCCTAACGGCGATGTCTGCATCTCTATTCTGCATCCGCCCGAGGAGGACAAATATGGATACGAATCTGCTGCAGAGCGCTGGTCGCCTGTCCAGACCCCTGAGACGATTCTTCTTTCGGTTATATCCATGCTCTCCAGCCCTAACGACGAGAGCCCTGCCAACGTTGAAGCCGCTCGTCTGTGGCGTGAGGACCCCGCCGAGTTCAAGAAGCGTGTGCGTCGCTGTGTTCGTGACAGCCTGGGCGAGGATTAAACGACTGATACGATGGTTATTTTGCTATCATGGCGCCGACTTGTCTTTCTGTTCGTTTTGAATACCTATCTCATCTTTTTATTTCCATGGTGCATATGGCTGGTCATTTTCTTCGGGTTCTGTCTCCTGGGGCTTTCCCTGGGGGACTTCAGTTCTTTGCGTGCTCCTCGGTGTTGCTCTCTTTGTTTGCATGATAGAGCGGGCGATATGAGGGAATTTCATATGGGCGCAATTATCTAACGTTCATGACCGATATCCTCTTATCCCCAAAGCACAATCTGGGTGGAGTTTCTTACTGGCTGTGGACTTTTCGCATTCGGGACATTGCTCTTTCTCTTTATCTTTAGTACTCCCAGCCCAATATTAAAATTTATTTCCACAGTTTCTTCGAACTAACACATGCCAGTAATTATAAAGGACTTGGAAAGTTGCGAAATGTTCAATCTTAAGCTCACATGCAAGGTACTCTATTTCAAGTTTCTATAGCTTTCATCTAGTCCATAATTGAATAGGATTTACCACCAAGGTATCCACACGCACTACAGTTCCACCAGATATTTGATGTTGAGCATACAGTATCTATGAATTTGAAAGGTGAGTTGAAAAATGTTATAAATGACTATGAAATACTGAAGAATCTAGTTCTTGTTCTTGTATCCAGTACGCATGGACGGAACGAACAGGCCTGGGTGGAAGAGGCTGTATGCCAATGTAGCCAAGGCAATCATCCTATCAATATTGTAAGCGGCCATTCTCAGTAAAAAGTGAACATGTATGAGACTTACATTCCATCCAATACCAAGAACTCGTTCTCCTTCTGCATCAATGCACTGCCCCATCCGCCAGCCATCTCGGGGATACTAAAGACGGAGTTAGCCAATCCATCGATATCTGGAGTAATGAGTAGTAAAGGACTATAACATACCGATAGATACACCGAATCAACACAGTGAAGTAGGCAAAGATCTCAGCAATGATAATAAGTCGCATTCGACTAGGCGGAATCGTGGACTCATTAATCTCTGGATTCTTTTTTCCCCAGTCAAACCATTCCCATGACGAGCAACATTCCAGAAGAAGTTGAGCCCTAAGACTCCACAGACTGACATCGTAAGCACTTGGAACGCAATACCCGCAATGATAATATCATCACCAGCTCTCAGCAAAGCCTGATTGGTATTTCCAGCAGCAGCAGCGACACCACCACCCGCAGCCTGCAGAATCAAAGACCCAATATCACAACTGATGAAAATCCAGGTAAAAAGTCTCGGATTCAGCTTCGAGTGTTCAGGTCCTAGATTCAGGACAATATGTTTCAGGGTTAGGTAAACACCTGCAGCGACGAATGTGGGCGCTAGAACCAGACACACGATCTGTAATTTGAATGCGCCCTCATTCCATGGATTCGAATGCATTAATATCCGTCCAATGTATCCTGCCATCTCCATAAGTGCTCCGATTCCTAGCGCGACCATGAATGTCCATGTTCGATAGTACACTCCTAGTCCTACCTGCGCTACTCCCATCACACCAAAGAAAGCTGTGAAGAAGGCATTACCGCCAAGGTTGGGATAGTATCCGTATGTTGTTGCTGATACAGGACACTCAAGTGTGATGTGTGTACAAGTTTCGTAGCTCATTTTATCAGGAAGATAGCCTTAGGCCGATAGGAAATTTGAAGGAGATCGTAGCGAGTAGTGATAGGAAGGGTATCGTAAACGGCAAAAAGCGATGTATTAACTGTATATGATATTCCAGGATTTCCAGGCTGTTATGCGCACGAAAAGCACCTTAGGAAGAGTCGCAAAAACGTACACGAATCCTTCCCCGTGAAAAATGCGCTGTGATCATCTTTATAATGTCCTCGTCAGCGTGGAGAAACCCAACCAAGGAATAGGCTAAAACTGGCCCACTCACCTAGTGGAGCATTAGTATCAAGGTCTGGATTAGTGAATTGTTATTGGTGGGGGGGTTCTCGCTCTCGTTCTCTTCTTCGTTAGCCGCGGTCGTTCCTCGCTTCCAGGTCCCATTAACTCCGTAGTCCCACTTGATCCACTCGGAGGTCGCATTATCGCGTGGGATGATGACCAATCGGGGAATTGAGCATATTCTGTTTTTGGATTGCCGGAGATGATCTGTTAGTAGACTTCATTCTCTTTGTCCGTTTTGCAGACTTACTAGTAGAGAGAACTGAGAAGCGATTCAAAACGCGCACTGAGCCTGAGACCGGAGCTACTATGATAGGTACTATCATGTGTATAGTACTACTAGTATTACCGACAAGAACTCCGAGTCGACCTCAGGGTGCTCAACTAGTAGCTGGAATACCTATCTCCGGGTATTATATACTCCTACTAAATTTGCAGTGATGACATGAAACAGGATAATTTATGTATAAGATAAATGCGGCACAAGTATTGGTCCTGTTCTTGCTCGCCAAAAACTTGGCCTAGAAATAGTACAATTGATTTATTGATTCAAGTTCTTGTTCCCTCCTCCACACCAACAGCGACCTTCCCCATCACGTTCCACCTGGACCACAATGTCCATGCCCTTATCTTGCAGATATTGAACGGTTCGTTGACGAACATCCTCAAGATCAGAGCCACGAGAGGCAATAACATGAATTACACCAAAGACCTTTTGAGCTTTGCTCTCGTGGGCATGGTCGTGATCATGATCATGATCGTGCTTGTGTTCATGTTTATGATCATCGTGACTATGATCATGAGCGTGGTCATGGCCACAGCTCCCATGGTCTGCATGGCTGTGAGAGTGGTCGTGGGCCGCAGAGGACGAGCCCGTGTCATCAAGCCAGAACTTAGGGACTGTGTATCCAACAACACCCCGCAATGTGCTGACTCCAGCCAGCGTCTCGCGCACGTTATACTCCGTATCAGCAGGCAAGGCTAAAAGCAAAGTTTTAGCAGTACTGCTGACCAGCGGCACAGCGGAGGCAAAAATCAAGATAGCAATGAAACATGAGCCCAGAGGATCATATCCAGACCATCCCGTATAATGGACAAGGATGGTAGAGATGACCACAGCAACAGAACCAAGTGTGTCGGCAAGAATGTGCAGGAAAATACCATGCATATTCTCGTTTCCATGAGAGTGATCATGTCCATGATCATGCCCATGATGGTGGTGGCCGTGCTCAAAGCTGAAAATGCCAACCAGGTTGACAAGGAGACCCGCAACACTCACAGCCAAGAGCTCGCCGATACGATTCATCTGACTACCCGATGACAACCGCTCCACGGCTTCGTAGATAATCTCCACACTGATGATCCTGCTAGCTGTTAGACATAGCTCAAGATATAAGCAGCAAACATTTGAAGACACTTACATCAAAAAGATTCCATTAGCAAATCCAGACAATGTGTCTACCTTTCCGTATCCGTAGGGGAAACGAGCGTTTGGAGGCCATTTGCTCATGACGGCAGCACATAGCCCAACCACGAGGGCAAGGCAATCGAAAAACATGTGGATACTGTCACTAAGCAGTCCCAGTGATCCAGTCAAGAAACCATAGGACAGCTGGACAAGCATGAAAGAAAAGTTCAGACTATGGTGGTCAGTAAAGAGAACATTGACTGGGGCAAATAGCCAGAAACTTACCACATGAAGTAGAAAATGCTGCGGGAATCCTTTTCTTTCAGGATGCTGTGAAGTAGAGGATACACTTCACTGCGATGGATAAGCCATTTCGTAATCCGAGTGGTAGACTCGGGCGTCTGCGAATGGCTATGACTGTGATTATGATGAGAGTGGTTATGAGAATGAGCATCCGAACGGAGATGACTATCATCCATTCTTGAGGCAAAGAAGGAGATGGCAGCCAAAATACAGCGTGCTGCGTAGACAGGCATAAGGTCATCTCGAATGTGCGGAGAGCAGAGTAGGGCAGCTGCTCCAGTACAGACAGCCAATCCATATTTATCAGGGGTACGAACACCGACTGGGAAAGAGATCATCAAAGGAATCGCCAAGAGTCCCGCGGGGATTATCATGTAGGCCAGGTCTGAGAATTCAAATGGAAGTCCTTGGGAAAGAAGTATTTCCATGATGAAGAGAGAAGCTCCCGAGACCAGAGCCAGAGGCGCATCCGACGTAACCAGGACAGCAGACTGATTCATGGCGGCTGATTTAGCCTGAGATATCGACTGCGCAACCAGACCAGGCTCCGGGATAGGACCCTGATGGCGGAGATAAGCCAACGGCGGAGAAAGTACAAATATAGAGGTTAGAAGAGCTAGATATCCCAGTACTGGGGAGGAATCCCATGGCTTGTTCAGTCCAAAAAAGCTCAATATAACCGCTACCGCCAAAAGCGCAATTGTAGCGGGCTTTTTGCTGTATTTCTCAGGGGCTGAATTACGGTATTCGGCTTGCACCAAGTTCGGGACTCCAGATGCTGTTGCAAGAAGTAGGGCAAACGCAACCAGAAACCCTCCAACTTTCAACGCAGCGTAAATTGGTAATGCAATCGACACCACCTGCAGGAATGCCGCCTGAGCGGTCTTTGCGGTCGGCGCAGGCATCTTAAAGGAAGATACCGAACTCCCCGCTTGATTCTTGCGCAAAATTTGGACGGTCCCAAATATTAAAAGGGTGAATGCGGTCAAAACGCCAGCCTTCTGTCCAGCCTGTCCAATTCCTAAAATACTGCTTTTGACCGCAGCATTAGGTGCCTGACAAGCCTCTGCGCACTTTCGAGGGTACCAGGAGAGTGCAACCCATGGCAAAGAAATCAGTGCACCTGCTAGGATTTCATGTCTAGAATTTATACATGTTAACCTACATTCTGCCAAAGGCGATCTGTATCTATCCATCCACTCACAGTTGTTGAGCCCCATTCTCCCTATGAATCTCTGCTGGCGGTTTAATATCATGGCTATGCGACACATCATGAATTGAGGCGATGCTATGATTGTGGGTATGTGTATGGGTGTGACCGTGGTCATGGTGTTGATGAGGCGTAGAGAGGGAGTTTGTGTGGGTATGGGAAAAAGAATGTTGCGACGCATGGCTGTAAGAGTAGCTCCCATTCGTAACACTTGAATTCTCAGGTATGTATGATCCGTTCACATTGGAGCCCCCGAGGGAAAGGGAAGGTGGCGGTTGTGCATAGCGGGAGCGATTGTGGCCGCGTCCACGACTATGGCTGTGAACGTGGCTACTGGACGCGGACGAAGGCGTAAGGTCCGCAACAGGAGGCGGTGCCCCCGTTGACATGATCTTGTTTGAGAATGTGGGATCGAAATCGAAAAAGGAGGTCGTGGCAAGTAGGGTAGGGGTGGCCGCTCGGCGCCAAGATCTGGGGGGTTTTGAAGCTCAAACTCGGTCACAGATAGTCAACAGCGCACACAGCATTTCGTGTTCTTGTCGCGGAATGGATTGAGCTTTAAAGACCAAATCCGATCAGCTCGATTCGAGGAGACAAGTACCTGAGTATGTCAATGTTCTTCACGTCTTGATTGCCACGGCGTGGACCTTAGCCACGTGATTGCTTATCGCGATCGGCAATCAACAATCAAGTCCACTTTGATGACGAGTTCACATCACTTGTAGCTAGAAGAGCTTGAAAGTGGACAGATGTGCTGATATTTGTCGCCATGTTCGACATTATTATCAATGTCGCATTCTGCGTCTCCAGTTTGCTGACAGTGTTGATCTTGCTACTTCCATCGCAATATGATCCTCGTCCTCCCAACTCCGGGGAAACCTCATCTCGTCCGAAGACAAGTGTACAGATCCTTGTGCTAGGAGACATTGGGCATAGTCCACGTATGCAATATCATGCCTTGAGTATTGCTAAAAATGGTGGAAAAGTGGTGATTATTGGATACAAAGGTGAGATACGACCTCTGGAAGGGATAGAGAGAAAAGAGGAAGAAACAATAATTGGAGTAAGCTTGATGGCTAATCTCACGTATATAATCTGCAGAGTCCGACCCTCATCCTGACTTAATCTCCCACCCAAACATCTCAATTGTTCCAATTCAACCTCCTCCGGCAATTCTACAAACGAAGAACAAATTACTTTTCCTTATTTATGGACCCCTGAAGGTGTTGTTTCAGGTTGTATGCCTATGGCGTTGTCTAGCATACACTGCCCCGCCATCGCGCTGGCTGTTAGTACAGGTAGGACTCGGAGATGATAGATATCTTCAATTTCTACACCTAAATTGATGGAAGTGCTGACAAAACCAGAATCCTCCTTCAATTCCATCACTAGCAGTGGCCTCGCTGTCTTGCTTCCTGCGACAAACACGACTTGTTATCGATTGGCATAATTTCGGATACTCCATTCTGGCCTTGAAACTGGGCCCCACACATCCCCTCGTGAGAATATCTTTAATGTATGAGAAGCTGCTCTGTAAGTACGCATTCGCGCATTTCTGTGTCACCGATGCAATGCGCTCGGTCCTCCAGCGCGATTTCCAGCTGCAAGCTCCCATTTTGCCTCTGCATGACCGCCCTGCCAGCCACTTCAGCCCAATTCCAGACCCTGCCACGCGCATCGACTTTTTAAAACAGCTCCCCGAAGCAAAAGATATGAGTTCGTCCATAGAGAAAGGGAACACGCGGGTATTGGTTAGCTCGACGTCATGGACCCCAGATGAGGACTTCTCGGTTCTTATTGAGGCATTGTTGCAGTACTCGAAACTTGCAACCTCAAATCCCAACATCCCAGGGATCCTGGCTATTATCACCGGGAAGGGTCCTCAAAAGGAGATGTATCTCCAGAGAATTGCGAGCCTCCAAAGTGCGGGCAAACTTAAGAAGATAACCATTCGTACCGTATGGCTGAGCATGTCGGACTATGCAAAGCTCTTGGCTTCTGCATCGCTAGGAGTGAGTCTGCACACCAGCAGTAGTGGAGTAGACCTTCCAATGAAGGTTGTCGATATGTTTGGTGCTGGCCTGCCAGTCGTAGGCTGGAGCCGTTTCAAGGCATGGCCGGAGCTGGTTACCGAGGGTGTGAATGGTATGGGATTTGGCTGTGCAGATGAGCTATCAAAACAACTGGTCGAATTATTCGGCGACAGTAAAAAGCTTGAAACTCTTCGAGTGGGTGCGCAGAAGGAGAGCACTCGACGATGGGATGATGAATGGAACCCCATCGCAGGCAAGCTACTTGGCTTAAGCTAACAAAAGAAAAAATTTCCATCCAAAAAAAAGACCCGTGTCAAATCTGGACCAAAAACCATCATCCATGTCTCGCTGACTAGATCTCCATGATGGGCCATTAACGGTCCTGGATGATAGCCTGGAATTTCTTATCGCAGTAAATGCACGTATCAAATGTGTCGAAGAGGTGCATGAATACTGGGTCAACATGGCCATCTCGAACACGAGTAAGAATGTCTTCGTCGAAGTACTCAGCTTGGCAAATTGAGCAGTATTTTGATACACCAGGCTCTTGAATTGCCTGGAAGCTGAGCCCACAGCGCACTATAAATCAAGGAAATAAGCATCAAACCAAAGTTGAAAGTACAATTTAAGAACACATACCAAAAAGATGACCGTTCTGACACTGTACCTCCCTGGGTGAATCCCATATAAGACCAGCATCGCAAACCTCACACCGCTCAAACAAATAGCTGCCTGGTCCATTCAAGTGATCATTTGACTTAGCAGATATCATTGGAGAACCATTGGCACATTTTGAGATTTCTTCACTCAGATCAGCGCCTGTCTTTTCTGCCAATCGCTCCAGCCATTCTCGTGCTTGATGTCGGACTTGTTCCGTTTGTTCATCCGTAACAGCACAGCATGCGGCAGTGTAGATCATCTTGTAGTTTTCTTGGCTAAGCCCACCCTCCTGATCGATGGTAGAGAGTACTGATGTGATGACTTGGCCTCGTTTAACACGAGTAGAGTTTTGTCCGTCATCACCTACTGGTGGCATGAAAAAGGCGTGCATATCAGCAACTTCCCCTGTCGCTTCATCGATAAACCCAACGAAGGCTCCTTCAGCGGAGTTCATGCGATATTCAACCATATCAGTTGGGTGCATCGTGAAAACAATAGCAGTAAAGCCCTGATATGTAGCCAGCCCCCAAATGCGAGCGAGATTGTAGCCTCTCAGGTCACGATCTAAATCATATTCTTCACGATATCTTTGAACGAAGTCCATCCACTGTGGAACACGCCAGGTCTTGAAGTTCCCGGATTTATCAAGGTCGATAGCTGCTCCTAGGCCACCGACGGTGCCCATATGGAGAGTGCAGAGGTCGTCTTGGACATTTTGTGCTGTGAAGAAACCTGCGGGGATTAGTTGGACTCCACAGAAATTCTTTCATTTTATGACTGACTTGATACTGGCTCCATGTGCCGGGGGAACAGTTCCCCTTCTTCAGTTGGTAAAGATGAGCAAGGCCATTCCTGTATCTCGATACCAGCCCCTGCTGGTTCACTGCAATTGAGGGCGGAGGAGGGACATGTGATAGTGAGCAAACCACCGACAATACCGATTGAGAGTGTGATTTTCTCATATTTGCTCTACCATGATTGATCGCCATCAGCTAGATTATTCCACTTGTTGCGACTCTTCCTCACTTACCGCGTGCACCCATTTAAGTGGCCCTACTATTCGATTATGAGCCCACTTTTCAGACAATAAAGTCAATGGATGGTGTTTCAGATCGATTATTGCTTCGTATTGAGGCGTGACTTCGTGATCAGGATCTGTGTCCACCAAGGCAACTGTCGCTTGGATAAACCGTAGTTCCGTGCCATAAAGAACAGCAATCACCGAAGTCGCGGAAAATAGAGAGCCATTAGATGGCTCCTTCAGCGTTAGCCATGGACCGCAAGAAATTGAGGTGAGGCGTAGCTTTGATTTAAGTGCACTTTGGAGAAGAGACCCAGAACAAGCCATTGGAAACTGCTTCTCGGCACCATAAATCGAATGAGTAGCAAGCTTATTCACTATGTATGCTTTTGATGAATTATGCAGCCCAGTTGGACGATAGATTCGCAGGAAAACGACTTCATTGGAATCAGTTGTCGCAGCCATTAGCTGCACACCCCAGCGGTCTTCAGGGGTCCTTGACCTTGACCCAGGATTTTGGGATACCTGAGCAGGTGGGCACCATTGAAAGGAGCGAATGTTTGTTTTCTGTAGACCGGCTCCATGTAGCTTCTGTAAAGCTTCGGGGTTCGGATAAAGGGCATGGTTGATGATACAGACTCGAACCCACTCTCCATTAGCACCTACGGGCTCCCACAAGGAGAGAATCAAATTTGAGGTTAAGATGGCCAGGACGCTCCGTCGGTACCTAGCTAAGCCGGGTGGTGACCAGGCTAGCCCAATAACATTGCTTGGAGACTGTTCGACACCGACTGAGAAGTCATCCCGGTTTTGTGGGTGGACAGTCGGCCATTCAGTAAATGTGAAGAAATTGACCCGTAGAATGCGAGTGATGTGCCAGCCCTCGGATGCATTTTGTGCCGTGTTGTTCTGCGCCTTAGCTTTCCATGTCTTTAAAATTGTCAGTCATGGTAATTCTTGTTATTTGCAACTTGTGACACACCAGAATATGAACTTGATCACTGCCAGCCACGGCAAGCTCCCCATCCGGAGACCAGTCGGCAGCCCCAAAGCAGGAAGGAAAAAGAGACAACTCCACAGGTTTCGGCATTTCGATACGTCAGTTCTTTCCGTCCGATATCAAATCTTGGCTTCTTTCCTTATTCATCAGTCATATTGCGACGTAAGGAGAATTGAGAGATGAATGGAAAGTAAAGAGGATCGGGACGCGATGATTGTTATAGGTACCCGATTTGGACTAGCGTCATTCCAACCGTTTTTTTGTTTTTGATCTCAATGTTTACTCCTCCACTCTATCTATAGGATGTTCAGCACTCATAGTATTCAAATGTTATCTCAAATTTCATTCAGGTTAAAGTTTTCATTCACATGTGCAAGTTAGCAGGGATTTATTTTACTATACGGGTATCCACATATTCAAATCTTGGTTCAATTTCACATTCAGATGTTACTTGTATATTTACAGGCCTGGGGTACTGCTGGTAGTAGTATGAGAGGGTATCATTATTAGCATTAAATCGTGCTGTTTAATCCACACGATCCAGCTTTTGCACAACCATTGCAGAAGCTGCACCACCGCCGTTACAGATAGCAGCCACTCCATACTCACCAGGCTGTAACTGGTGGAGGAGTGTGACCAGAATACGGGATCCAGAGCTACCCAGAGCATGGCCCAGAGAAATGGCGCCACCCAGCATGTTGACGCTGGCATTCTCAAGTCCAAGAATCTGCACACAGTATAAGTCAGTGGCTGTAGTTTCATACTTATATTTCATCCGAATCAGGAGGCTAACTCCAACATACCTTTTCATTGGCTTTGATCACGGCAGCAAAGGCTTCATTAAACTCCCACACGGCGACCTGGTCCTTAGTAATACCAGCACGTTCCAAAGCGATCGGAACAGCCTTGGCCGGGGCCACAGGGAAGTCGACTGGGTCAATGGCTGCATCAGCTGTAGATACAATGCGAGCCAGGGCACGTCCACCAGCACCAAACTCGCGGGCCAATTCCCTATTAACAAGAACCAAAGCTGATGCACCGTCATTCATGGTAGATGCGTTTCCAGCAGTAACTGTTCCCGTGCCATCACGCAGGAAGGCAGGCTTCAGGGTCTTAAGCTTATCTGCGCGGAGGTTTTCGAAGCCCTCATCTCTCTCGACAACAATATCGCCTTTCTTGCTCTTGACAGTGACAGGAGCAATCTCTTCCGCAAACAGGTTCTCCTTCCATGCCTGCTGTGCTCGCTCATAGGACTGAATGGCATACTGATCTTGGTCTTCTCTTGAGACTTCATACTTCTTTGCTGTTTGCTCTGCGCAGATGCCCATGTGGAACTGGTTATACACATCCCACAAGCCATCCTTGATCAGACCATCCTCCAATTTGATTTCACCAAATGGAGGCAACTGACTTGAACGTGGCATATAGTATGGCACTCTGGTCATATTCTCCATGCCGCCTGCAACTTGTGCTTCGGCTAAACCAAGCTGAATATTCTGAGCTGCAAGAGCCACTGCCTTCAACCCCGATGCACAGACCTTGTTCACCGTCAGAGCTTCCACCGTGGAGGGCAGACCCGCGAAGATCGATGCCTGACGAGCAGGTGCTTGGCCAACGGATCCTTGTAGTACATTTCCCATATACACATCACTGATCTTTTCAATGGGAATATTTGACTTGCTCAAAGCTGATTTGATTGCAACGGCACCTAGTTCAGGAGCTGGGACGGAGGCGAATGATCCATTGAACTATGTAAAGGAAAACGTGTCAGCTAAATATCCCCATCAAAACCAGTTCCAATACTGTCTAACCTTAGCGGTAGGAGTACGGGAAGCACTCAAGATATAGGCATCCTGGATTTCCCTCAGCGTTGATCGGGCGGAGCTGAACTGCCTCTGGTTGCGAATTGCGGGGACGGCAACCCGCTTTGAAAGGCGGACAGACAGTCCTGTCGTGGGAATCATGGCTAGATGTGTAAAGAGAAAAGTTGATGAATAAGTCAGATGAAGAGACTAGAGAAGTATCTTAACTATATGGGGCCTCAAAGGTAGATCGATAAAATAAAAAAGAAGGATCCAATCCGTCTCAAGTAATACACCTGGAGAGGGATACACCTGTTCCCGCTGCCGCCTTTAACCGCCTGGACCGAGGCTGTTTTAGACCACGTGATATGACATAAGAGCAGATAACGGAAAAATAAGAATTGCCAAATAAAGATATATTCCCCATTAGTATACTTAATCCGAGTTTGTTCCCCTCCTCCCGCGTGCTTGGGGAACAAACTCATAGTCCGCCATCACCAAAGCTTCATTCTCACCTTCTCAACCCCACAATTTCCAGCTCTCTGTTGCATTTAACTCCATATCTGATTATCCGATATCATGTCGACTTCTGCCCGCCGTCGTCTCATGCGAGACTTTAAGGTTCGTTCTCAGCAGCTCTCTCGGTGGTCGGGTGATGTCAATAGGTGATTCAAATACATCTCTACTGGCGGTTGAACTCAGCATTGCGGTATTCTTTCTACTGAAGCTCTGTTTCAATTGTTCTTGATATGATCTCTCCTTATGACACTCCCTCACAAACCCCGAGTTACCCTATTACTTCTTTATCTCCAGTTAATGACGGCCCTTGCTAATTTATCTGCTTCTTGAATATAGCGCATGCAAACCGATCCTCCCGCTGGTGTTTCTGCCTCGCCCGTTGCTGACAATGTTATGACATGGTATGGATATATTATCGCAGTGAACGATGTTCATAGAGCTGATGATTTGCTAGGAATGCTGTCATTATTGGCCCCGCAGACACACCTTTTGAGGATGGTACCTTTCGCTTGGTGATGAACTTTGAGGAGCAATACCCCAACAAACCACCTGGTGTCAAATTTATTAGCCAGATGTTTCATCCCAATGTATATGGCACTGGTGAACTCTGCTTGGACATTCTTCAAAACCGCTGGAGCCCGACATACGATGTGGCGGCTATTTTGACCAGTATCCAGAGGTCAGTTGGCCACCCTCTCTATCTAACCCGGACCTTCAATTAATCTCCCAGAATGGATGATGATTAGCTGACTTGGTATCGATATTATTAGTCTACTCAACGACCCTAACACTTCCTCGCCTGCGAACGTTGAAGCCTCCAACCTTTACAAGGACAACCGCAAAGAATACATCAAGCGTGTTCGGGAGACCGTGGAGAAGAGTTGGGAGGACTAAAAGGTCTGCAGCTCCTTTTGGATTATGTTCTTTTCCCTCTTCTATCGTTCTTTTACCAGCTTTGGCCCCGCCAACCACGTTGATCCTTTATAAAAGCTTGTTCAACGTGGGGCCGAAGCAAGTCCCGGGATTGATATACCAAAGTGCAATATCGCCCTAGGGCCGTTTGATCAGCACAGCGTGGGGTTTAGGCGCCTGGTTTACATGATTTGCGTTGGTTTCGTTTAGCTTTTTATTTTCTGTCCGTCTCTCTTTCATTAATTATCAACCAATGATTCCTTCAAGTTGTTTCTCCCTCCCTGTTGTTATAATGCATCAGTCATTTCCTCCACTGTTTTATAGTTTTTTCTTTCCCTTTTTGCATGAGCCATTGAGAGTTGCACATATTCAATGAATTTATGTGGTATTATTTTGCATAGGCATGATAAATCCTTTCATTCTATGATATTTTGCTGTTTGTTGTGGAGTAAAAATCCACCTATATCGTAGTCCAAGATCAAAAGTCAATAAAAGCCCATATATTGACCGGTCACCGTGCTCATGGTCTGGGGCGGTCGGCGAGGAACCCAAACGGGCGAGTGTCAACAAATCCACATTCACACCTCTTTTCTATTTCCCACCCTCCTGAACCCGACCTGGTGTGCTGGGTTCTTTGTGTGCTGTGTTCTCATTTGTTTTTTTTTTTCTCGGTTTCTTTTGTTTGTGATTTGTCCGCGCTAGTGGAGGAACCCCTGACCCTGGACCCTCCAGGCAGAAAAACCCCCCGTGACATAACGCAAAGCCCCTCGACATAGGTCTGCCCCTCGCCGGGGTTCGTTTATTTCGTTGAAACTCTTGGTGAACTGCAAATATGGCGTGAGTCCTTCATCTTGATCTGGAGGAGGTGGGCATGTGACTAACTTGAAATAGGTCCGCGGGGTCGAACACCATTAAGGGTACATATAAAGTGGTTATCGGACGAAATGACCACCCAGCTAACGTTTGATGCGAATAGTGGTTGCCCGATTCCGTCCCCAGAACAAGGTTGAATTGAGCTCTGGTGGTACGCCGATCGTCGATTTTGAGAATGAGGAGTCATGCGCTGTCACTGTGGGTTGAGATCAATGGATAGGGCAAGTGGATGACATGCTAATTGAGATATAAAGTCCCGAGAGGGCACAGGGTCCTTTACCTTCGATCGAGTGTTCCCGATGGGCTCAGCGCAAGCCGATATCTTCGATTTCTCTATTCGACCAACTGTTGATGATATTCTAAATGGATATAACGGAACGGTTTTCGCATACGGTCAGACAGGTGCTGGAAAGTCGTACACCATGATGGGTTCTGATATTGATGATGATGAGGGAAAGGGTATCATTCCCCGTATCGTCGAACAAATCTTTGCCAGTATCCTCACCAGCCCGAGTAATATTGAGTACACTGTGAGGGTCAGCTATATGGAAATCTATATGGAGCGCATTCGCGATCTGTTGGTGCCGCATAATGACAATCTGCCGGTCCATGAAGAGAAGTCTCGCGGTGTCTATGTTAAGGGATTATTGGAAGTCTATGTGTCGAGTGTGCAGGAGGTTTACGAAGTGATGCGTCGAGGTGGAAACGCTCGAGCTGTGGCTGCGACCAACATGAACCAGGAATCATCTCGTTCTCACTCAATTTTCGTCATCACGGTCAGCCAGAAAAACGTCGAAACCGGATCAGCAAAGAGTGGTCAATTGTTTTTGGTCGATTTGGCTGGTAGTGAGAAGGTTGGAAAGACAGGAGCCAGCGGACAGACACTGGAAGAAGCGAAGAAGATCAACAAGAGTTTGAGTGCCCTTGGAATGGTTATCAACGCACTCACAGATGGCAAATCAACTCACATCCCATACCGCGACTCGAAACTTACTCGAATTTTGCAAGAGTCCCTCGGTGGTAACTCTCGCACAACCTTGATTATCAATTGTTCGCCTAGTAGTTATAACGACGCCGAAACAGTCTCTACTTTGAGATTCGGAGTGCGAGCCAAGGCAATCAAGAACAAGGCGAAGGTCAATGCCGAATTGAGTCCAGCGGAGCTGAAGCAACTTCTACGCAAGGCTCAGACACAAATGACTACATTTGAGACCTACATTTCAGCCTTGGAGAGTGAAGTCCATGTGTGGCGTGGCGGTGAGAATGTGCCAAAGGATCAATGGACCCCAGCCCGCGGTAATGAAGCTGTCAGTGCTGCAAGAGCTGAATTGCGTGCGCCTCGACCGGCTACCCCATCACGCTTACAAGAGACTGCTCGCTCTGAAACCCCTCGTCCAGACTCTCGCCTTGGAGACCGCTCAAGTACTCCCAGCCTGGTGTTGGAGAAAGACGAGCGCGAGGAGTTCCTTCGTCGCGAGAATGAGTTACAGGATCAACTTGCCGAGAAGGAAACGCATATCGCCAATTTCGAGCGTGGTTTGCGTGAGGCCCGAGAAGAGTTGAAGTCTATGAAGGAGAATGCTGGACGTTCGGGGAAGGATAACGACCGCCTGACCTCCGAAGTCAATGAATTGCGCATGCAACTCGAGAAGGTATCATATGAGGGCAAGGAAGCTGCTATCACCATGGATGGTCTCCGGGAGGCCAATTCTGAACTCACAGGTGAATTAGATGAGGTGAAGCAGCAACTCCTTGACGTTCGTATGAGAGCCAAGGAGACTACAGCGGCACTGGACGAAAAGGAGAAGAAAAAGGCTGAGAAGATGGCTAAGATGATGGCTGGATTCGACCTGGGAGGCGAGGTCTTCTCCGACAACGAGCGCAAGCTGCAGGATCTGATTCAACGTGTTGATGCTCTCCACGAGGTCAGCGCTGCTGGTGAAACAGTCGCGCCTGATGATATCCTTGAACTCCGTGCTAGTTTGTTGGAGACCCAAGGGTTCATTCGACAGGCTGAGTTGACTATGAACGACCGAGGTGACTTCAGCGAGCTGCAGGACAGCCGCCGGGTGGATCTGGAGAAGAAATTGAATGAGGTTCAACAGGAATACGAAGACCTTTTGACCCGAAACTTGGGTGAAGGTGACGTCGAAGAAATCCGCGACCGATTGGAGAAGTCTTTCATCAGTCGTAAGGAGACCGAGACTGCGGCCGTGGAGGAGCTCCGCAGCGAGATTGGTCGCAAGGACGAGGAGTTGACTAAGATGCGACAATCGCTTGTCGATACACAATCCCAGACTTCCTCCAACGGCGCTGCTAGCAAGACCTTGCACCAGCAAATTGCCGAATTTGATGCTATGAAGAAGTCTTTAATGCGTGATTTACAGAACCGCTGCGAGCGTGTGGTGGAACTGGAAATTTCCTTGGACGATGCTCGAGAACAATACAACAATGTTCTTCGGTCATCTAACAACCGCGCCCAGCAGAAGAAGATGGCATTCCTGGAACGCAACCTGGAGCAATTGACCCATGTTCAACGCCAGCTTGTGGAACAGAACAGCAGTCTGAAGAAGGAGGTGGCCATCGCAGAGCGCAAGTTGATTGCACGAAACGAGCGCATCACCAGTCTGGAGAACTTACTCCAGGAGAGTCAAGAGAAGTTGACTCAGGCCAATCACCGGTACGAGCTTCCCATTAACTTAGAACATGGATTATCCTATTATCATTATTGCTAACTGTCTATATAGATTCGAAGCTCAACTCACTGCTGTGAAGGAACGGTTGGAAGCCGCCAAACAAGGCTCTACACGCGGTCTCTCTTCTATGGACGGCACTGGAAGCTTCAGCTTTGGTGGTTCTCGTATCGCAAAGCCCCTTCGTGGAGGCGGTGGCTCAGATGGCCCACCAGCGAATGCCAACGTTGCAGGTGTGCAATCACAGGAGGCTTCCGGCAAACGCATGAGCTGGCTCTTCAATAAATGATTACATGACACTAAGCCGAAGCTAATCACCCAATATGATGATGTACCTCCACCTTGACGGATGTACTGTCCCTGGCTTTGGGTGAATTTAGAATTCGCAAAGGCTTGCCTTACGTTCTGCTACGAGTCGCATCTTTCTCTTTGTTCTGTTATCCTATTTTCTCTTGCTATTTCCACTCCCCTTTGAAGGTTCCCTCGCTCTTTGCCTTCTTGTTATGTCCGAATTTTTGTGACGTTGATTTTCGTCAGTTTCTTTCTTCTGTTCCCATTTCCTTTTTTTTCTTTTATCTTCCAGTACATTAGATCATGCCCTGCATGCCAGGGACTGGAGGCTCGTGGATCTTCCTGATACCCTTTGTACATCAAACTCAGATAGAATTCAGTGGAGCTGGTAAGTAGCCTTGGGCGAAGCTTGATGGATGCGGCTCCTGGAGTTCAAATGTTGCTAGATGACGTCATATATTCAAATGTTCAATGATAGTTTGAGAATTAAATTTCCACGCTACATACCGATCACACTACTAGTGCTCATAGTTGACATTACTGGAGGTGAATTCCATGGTTTTAATTTCATTGATTAGGTGCACTGACGGCCTGAGGCTTTGATGCCCAGTGGAGATGGACTCGAACCTTGGAATCCGTGGATCGTGATTGATACAACTAGGACGTTGCTCAAAGATTCCTTACTGCCCATTGTCGTTTCCATGACTTCTCAAGGCCACTCGTCCTTGTGTTCTTTAAATAACATTAAAGACTCGGCGTACGAGTATCTCCGTTTTATTGACCTTTGATCTTGCACATGTGGGGTTCATACCCAGTGTGTAATGACATGGAAACACCATACGTAAGATCTCAATATTGACAGAAGTCCACTCCCGGTTGAAAGTAAAGACTAAAGCAACGAGCTTAGAGTGACCATATGTTGCCTAACTCCATGCTATCATAGGACAGATGACATTCGGATAGGATTTCATTATATGACTTCCAAGCCCTGGAGGTTGGAGCAATAAGGCTTGCATATAGTGGGAGCCATATTTGGCAATGATGAACACATATCCAGAGAGACTCTGAATTTTAGGGGATTTCAGCATGCAATTTCACTCCACTGAGCTAGAAAAATTACTTTTGCATGTTAATACATAGACTAAGAGCGAATCTATCTCAAAACAAAGGATCTTGTTGGACAGTTCGTATGTAAAAGGAAGACCGAGGAGTTAGTGCCCAGGTTCCAATGTTGTTTTCTTTCAATCTTTTCAAATTCTTAGTACTCGGGAAATCCAGAACTAGATAGGCTGCATGTTTCCAAGGTTCGAGTTTGCTGGTGGCTGTTTCAAGTCCATCACGACTCGAAACTTGACCCCACTGGCAGATACCATTTGGTTCTTTTACGATTTTACTCCAACTCGAATCGAAATGTTTCCTCTCAACTATAAATATTCCCCAAAAGATTTTTCAAGCTGGCAGTTCTAACATAAGATTCAAGTTTCCCACGTTCAAGTTGATCTCTTGATATTTAAACAGCTTAAGTCGCTTCGAGCCTCTCTTGTCGACATTGTTTGCGATACTTCCAGACTTCAAGTTATATTAAACTTGAACTTTTTCTCTTGATGATCCACAGTCTTGATCGAGTCTTCCAAGCACTGTTATAAATTAATCCCACTACAACATTTGAATGAAGAAACCTTGCCGATCAACCTTGGAAACCTTAACGAGCCTTTAAAGCGCTCTAATCGTGGAAAATGGTTAACTTCGAGTACTCGGTCTCAGATGCAAAACTGCAATTATATCTCCAGACCACATATAAGGATCAGAATGTAAGTGATGCTCATATTGCGACGGCTATTGCAAGAATCAAAGGTGAGACAGACGACTGGGAGGAAGAGAGCATCGGCCCTATCGATTACGATAGACTTCTATTTGAAGTATGGGCTATAATGGTCGAAAAAGGAGCGCCTGGAATTATGGGAGTGGGCGAGAAACTAAGAGAGAAGGCCATTGAATTCCCAGACCCGAGATTGGAAGAGCTTACTAGAGTACTACCCTGGCTCTGGAAACAAGCTAGAGATGATTCTAGTATGTGCCTTGATAACTCTACTAGACCGGCTGTAGAGAGGTCACGGGCTTTGAAAAGAACGGCGATCACCCGCTTTATCACCGAGGAAGCTTTCAACTTCGATAATTTGTGCCGGGCTTTGGAGTTCGATATGGCGACGATACCCCATTTTTTCCCTACTGAACAAGATCTCGAAGACGAACGGAGCTTTAAGGCTGAAGCAATTTTCAAAGCCTACCATCGGCTCCGAAAAATCATGATGCATTTTGAGAAAGATATAGGACGTCGTTTCCAGAAAAGAAATGAACAAAAGCGTCGACGTATCATTCAAGATGCATGGAATGACAGCGTCATATCAGAGGAACCAAAAGAGCGTCGGTTTTTGCCTAAGGAGCACTTCCCAAGTTTCCGGGCTTTTAGTAGTGATGGACTTTGGGAAGGGAAACGGAAAATAGAACAAGATGAACTTTTTTATACTTGGATATTGCCAAGTTGTATCAATCTTCATGATCTAGCATCCAAAAATCCAGCTGTCTTGCAAATGCTTCTCCATTCTCGAAGCCATAATGCCCCGGATATCTTTTACTTTCACGATGTATCACAGATCAAATTTGAAGAAGGAGACTTTTTGGGAGCAGGCGGACCTCCTATGCCTTATGAGACCAATTTTGGCATGGAATTCTTCGGTCATAAAACGCCTGATAAATATGGGAGGCTGACCACAGTAGAAGACGTTCTCGTGAGTCGTCGGGGCCATTGCTGTTCTTTTGGTATGATTTTATTGGATGCACAACGTCGGTTGTATGAATTTCTACTATCAATTTGTCTGAAAATTACACAAAAAGACTTAGCGACTCTTGACGCCTTACCAGAGAATCCAGCAACGCCAGTTGAAGTAGATCCTGAGAGCACTGCGCATGGTCCAGACGATTTGCTTAGTTTTCGCTACCCCGGTCGATGGGAAGATATTGATGCTATGATTCCCGAGTTAAAGGCGAGACGAGATGCCGCCGTGTCTCACCTCAAGGCATTAAGAAACCAGCCAGATTATTTTGGATCTTACATGATTGAGGAATATAATCATGTACCAGAGCATTCAAGACTGCAGAAAGGAGGATTTGCACCGGAGCGAGACACCGAAGAGCTTTTGAAACGATCGGCTTTGATGGTAGTTAGCGATGCATTCGGCAAACTGATGTGCTGGGATAAACTTCACGTATTATTCATAGAATTGAAAAATGAGCTCAGGACATTCCAGATGAGCGGCATCGATAACATTTCCGTGGAGGATGGTTTACCAGATGAACTGCGCAAGTCAATTACCTTCTGTGACTCATTTTTAAGTTGTCACTTCACGTTATTCTATAGAGAACTGTCCCGTCTCGCGACTTGCGCCCCAAAATTTCGTCATTTAGCCTGGATTTACCCATTTACGGGGCATCATGTGGAGCCGGTGCTGCCTCGATATCCAGATTGGCGACCTGAAGGTGGTACGAAGTATGGAATTTGTTTCCGACGAGGGCATTTCGGAGAAGGAACTCCTACATCGAAAATTACAAAGGCTTTGTTCTGGAGTCTAAATCGATTCCAGCTAAATCGGTTTCAGACACAACCAGTGATAGAATTGGAGCGGGATCTGTTGACATCCGAGAACCAAGTCCTCAATGAGCACTTATCTCGGTATATTATGGAGGGTTTATCTGATCTTGCATTTGTCGCCGTATTGCAATTGCAGTTTACACGTTTCCATCCCTGGACTTTTTTCTATAAATGGGGATACGAACGTGATGAGTCGAACCCGCGCAGACTGAAGCCAAAACCAAGTCATCTAACGGCCAAGGGAAATCCTAAATCTGCGATCAGGAACGAAATACTGCTCATAGGTAAAACAATGAGCTCAGTTGCGCCACTAGCAGCATGCTGCGATGGTGCGGAATTTGATTATCCCATCCATCGATTTGCAGATCACAACAGCAAAGAGCTCACAGATACCCTTCAAACCGCCGAAAGGGCTTTGGACAACTTTTGGAATGAGCTGTGCAGTGAAGAACATAAAACCGTTATTGATCAAATAACTGGTGGTAATAGGCTCCCAATTCCTGGGTTCTGGCCAGAACTGGATGAAGATCAATTCCGTACTCCCGATTGGGTAGAGCCACAGGCCAAAAATGGCAGAAATGGCAGAAATGGCAGAAATGGCAGCAAGCGATCCCATGAGACAATGGAAGACCTTCCAATTCGCACCCGGACATCTCCAGATGAGCCTGCAGAGAAGAAGGTTAAGACAAAAACCCGAGGTGTGCCTTCCCGCCCCACAGAACAAGAGAATGAGCAGGAGGCCGAACCAGAAGAGGCAGAGCCCGTAATGATCACTTTGAAGACTCGAGAATATGATCTTCTGGAACTTCTTTTCTGGGTACCAAGCCGACCAGTTGGTGCACGGGAACTGAGATACACGGAATTTCTTCGTTTTATGACAGCTATAGGGTTCACAACTCCAGCTAATGGTATGTCAACTGGTTCCGCCGTGCGCTTTGATCCACCTGAAGAGCTCGCAAGACATGGAAGCATCGTAATTCATGCACCTCATCCTGAGATCTTCTACAGTTTTGGAACTGCTCGGAACATAGGGAACAGATTGAAGAATCATTATGGCTTGAGCAGAGAGAGTTTTAAACTTGATGAAAGGAACACTTGAACTTGGCTTAGAGCCCTGGAAAAACTTGGGAATTGGCAATTCTTGAGAAATATTGAATTTGTGAGCAATAATATTGATGTTTGATTTGTTTTCCTTTGTTTTCAAGTTTGTTCAATGCTTCGAGTTTGGAAGATTATATAGTACTAGATAGTTGCTGGTTCAAGTTTGAGTCATTATACACACATTCGCGTTCTTCAACTGATTCATGGTAAGAACTCGTACGTGGGGGTATTGATCTCTCTCAATGAGAATATGGTGCTCGCTCCATTACTTGTACCCACATATCCGAAATAGCGAAAAGCCCAAGCAAGTTCCGTATTTTCCAAGGATGCGTTGGGTTAATCAATGCCAAGTCAAAATGGCGCAGAAGCTAATAACAAGTATATGTCAGATCATTGCATTAAGAAAAAGCAGAAACAAATTGATGAAGACCCGATTACCAACCTCAAATATTGTCTTTCCAATTTCAATCTGAGCCACTGGCTTGCCTAGGCATTGAAAATTACCATATCCGAAAGAGAGGCCATTAATCCGAACCATCTCAACTAGTTTTTCTGGATCCGACTCAAGCCATCGCTCAGGACGGAAAACCTTTGCATCCGGGCCATATATCTTCTCACTATGGTGCATGGCGTACGCAGAATATCCAATGCAAACACCGCCAGGGAGAAACACGCTCTCACCATCGACAACGACTGTATCGCCATCCTTTGGCACATCTCGCGAGAAGATATTCGTAACAGGTGGCCAAATTCGCAGCGCCTCGCTGATGACGGCCTGAAGGTAAGGGAGCTTTTTAGCCTCGACTGCAGTAATCAATCCTTCACCTGCGCTGGGTGCGTGACCTTGGCGCACAGCATTGTCAATTTCATGTTGTAGCTTGAAGTACACGCGAGGATTTGTTAATATGTGAAGTAATGTGCCACGAATAGCACCAGCGCTAGTATCGGATCCTGCGATGATCTGTTCTAGCGCCTCACTTCTCAGGTCATCTCCTGCGATGCCGTGACGCATAAAGGAAGCTAACATATCCGACCGCCCTTCAATTGAACTTCCGGCGCGTTCGTCAACGATACGGAAACATGCGTTCATCATCTTACCGAAGCCGATTTTGTCCTTAGGTGAAGGCAAAATGAACTTGCCAATAAACGGGGCCTGGGAAACCCAGCTAAATCCCAGAGCAAGTGCAATATTTCCCATTGCTAATCCTTCCTCGCTTGATGCAAGATAGCTATCCACATCTTCATCACTTTTCAGCATCCCAAATTTCTTGCCAAGGCCGATGCTACTTATGACATCGAGAGTGAGGTATTGCACCTTTTTCGCGAGATCCATAGGGACGACTTGGCGATCAGACGACAGATATTTGGATCGAATAAGATTTATTAAGTCTTGGACTTGCTCATCGATGGATTCCTCAAGGTGCAGATTCTCTCTTCCAGAATACTTTGAAATAAACCATAGTCAGTATTCAGTTTCAATATAGCCTTCGAGATTAATAACGCCAAGCGCAATTAAACAAGACTTGATTCAAAGGATAAAAGACATGGTCATTATTACCCCTGGAGCCATCTGCTTTCGCCGCATCGCGTGTTTTTTGTTATCTGTCTGAGAGAAGACATTGTCTCTTCGGTACTCGATTCGTGTGGCTCTGTAGTACCAGTCCGAGCGCTTGTATCCTGGCTTGGTATTCACGTGCATCCAGATATCAGGCGAAGACGTGATGAGAATCTTAGGCGCGACGCGGGCGATTGGACCTAGCTCAGAAAGAAGAATTAGTTCGAGTCAGTCAGTTTGATGAAATGGGGAATTCGAAAAGCACAGAACGATTTGTCCATATATCTGGATATCATGGGCTCAAGCTCGCACCATATTTATTGCTGATCTCAGCGTACCACTCATGGCAATTTCCTCGAAGGAATGCTATGCTATGAGGCCAGTTTGAAATGCCGGTCCATTCAGGACCTTTGAACTGCTTCAATCTCGCATAATCTGCAGCTGTTTTGAAGATATAGACGGTCAAAAGACCAGCAAGAATGGTCAAAATCTTCCCAGAGATTGATGTGATTCCAAGGAACAGAGCAATAGAATGTATCTGATCCGACATGGAAGCAATAGGCGACTTCCGGTGCCTGCAGTGGTGTAAATTGAAGCTGAGACACACACTATTTTCGAAGAAAAATGGTTGGATATTGGAAAAATTTGGAAATGCCGTAGATACTGCAGTTAACCTATTGAGGAGATGAAACTTGAGTTCTCAGGTTGTAGCGGGGATAAGGGGGAATTTGTACCTAGGCCAGTGTATCGACCAGTGTATCTTGGCGATTAGAAAAACCTCCTACAACTAGGCCTCCTGGGTACATTCAAGTCTCTTTTTCACTGTCACAAAAGTACTTGCAGAAACTCTATGCATTTCAATCTCGTATGATAGGTCAATTCATAGAGAGTAATGAAATGCCCCACTAAGCCCATTCCAAGTGGCTAGTGGTGGTATATACGCACTCAAGACAAGCCATGCAGTAACTGGAAAGCTAAATCAATTGATTTGTCTCAAAATTCGCTAAAAATCTACAGTAGGACGCCTTACTTTGCTTGAGGGATCACGATGGAAGAAATCGCTACGAGTGACCAACTGAAGTTTGAATGTACCGCAAGATAGTTCGAGACTCAGAGAGCATTGAGTCTCAGAAAGATCGGGCAAGAGTACCTTGAATGATTCAAAATGTTCAAGAGACGCATGTCGCGGTACATGTGTACCCTATACTATATGATGATACATATCCATGAAACAACTTCAAGTTCCACCTGGGCAAGGTATTCTGAATGTACTAGTACCGTACATGAGGTATGGAAAGTCCGACTTGAAGCGAGCATCACTTCAGCTTTTAGCGAAAGCGAAGCTCAACTAAAAGTTGCTTCACCACTGTACCTATAAGTATATCTTATTTTAGATGGAATACTAGCAATGTGATGTGGATCTAATAGAGCGGGAAAAATAATATGTGGGGCGACACATGTGGATGACATGGAGATCAAAACGGGATGAGTTCAAGTAAGGAGAACATCCTCAATTAGCTTTGGAGCCAGGGGTCATATTTTGTTAATGTAAGACCCGGTATAACAAGAATTAACCTGATATCCCTGTTCATCTCACGCAATGGCTTGTTATGATATGAACTGCAGTGGAGTCCGATGTCGTTGTATGATGTCATTTACCCACGATCGAGACAATTCACATGGTAAATGAAGAGAACAAGCTGTGTTCATGGTTGCTCCACTAATAACGTCACATATGAAATGTGACAGGTCAAAAGGTACAAATGTAAAGCTGTAACGCCAGAATTTGGAAGTGATTTGTTATTTCCCCTTCTAACCATCACTCCCTAATTACCATGGCGGAATCCGAATCCCCCATTCTGGCTTTGATCAGACATCCATTTGTGGAAACCTTCACTTTGCTCTACCTAGCTTTTCAGGAAATACTCAGATTTATCTTCGCTCCCGTTCCACCTCCTCCTTCGGCTGCAAAATCGGATGTTACCCAGAAGAGAGTCGCTGTCATCGGTGCTGGCTTGACTGGAGTCTCTTCCGCTGCTCATTGTGTAGGTCATGGCTTTGATGTCCAAGTCTTTGAGTCAAGATCGAAAGAGAAAGGATTGGGTGGAATATGGAGCGTATGTGGTTCTTCTGACTCCCCTATCGGAATTTCTTGACATGACAAGGGCTAATTATCTTCTCAGAGGGTCAATTCCACCTCAGCACTCCAGGTGCATAGTTTGATGTATCGATTCCATCCTTCAGTCCACTACGATAGCGCCTATCCAAGTCAACAACAAATCAAAGAGCAGATAGTTGCTCTATGGGAACGATACGACCTTGAGCGGCGTACGGTCTTCGACACTCGTGTTACGTCCGTTAAAAAGACCAACAAGGGCCAGTGGATTATAAATGACGACGAAGATAAATACGGATTATTTGATGGTGTCTTAACAGCCGCAGGTGTTTGTGGAGATCCACAGATGCCTACACTGCCCGACCAGCAGAACTTTAAGGGCCAGATCTTCCATTCATCTAATCTCGACGGTAAAGATGCCAAGGGCAAGAAAATCTTGATAATTGGTGGTGGAGCTAGTGCAATTGAGGCGCTGGAGTTTGCCGTCAAGTCTGGCGCAGCCGAGATTGATGTCTTGTCGCGATCTGACAAGTGGATCATTCCGCGAAATGTATTGGTTCAGTCACTGCTTGCCATGAATGTATTCGGTCAGGAGACTTACCTTTCTTGGATCCCTGAATGGTTTCTACGCAAATTCTTCTATCGCGACCTTCAAGATATTGCACCAACGAAAGATGGAATTTTCACCCAGACCCCCATGGCAAACTCGGAACTTTTTGACCAGATTCGTGCTGGCAAGGCTCGTTGGCTGCGAGGTGATATCGTTTCAGTGGAGGAGAATGGTATTTTGTTCAACCATCGGGCGCAAGGTGTGCCCAAGGGTGGTCCGGGCAAAGAACAAGTAGTGAAGGGTGATATTATTGTTATGGCTACCGGCTTCAAACGTCCATCACTGAATTTCTTACCAGATGTGGTATTTGAAGAGCCATATGGACCGCCAAATTGGTACCTTCAAGTCTTCCCACCACAGTATCCGGATATCTGTGCAAACAATAGCACCTACGTTAACGCCATCGGTACTGTTGGTAATATGCACATTGGAATTTATACACGGTTCTTAATCATGTTTTTGAGCGATCCGTTGACACGTCCGACGGAAGAGAGGATGAAGACCTGGATTGACTTCACTCGGTTCATGAAGCGTCTTGCACCTACGAATGCCTTCGATTTCTTCACCTATGCAGAACTCATGTATTGGTACACATTTGTACTGATTGTTAATCCCTTCCGATGGAAATGGGCGCTCTTTGTGCTCTTTGGAATTGGACATGCTTTGCCTATGATGGTTGTTGAACAGGAGAATGCATTCCGCGAGGAGTTGAAGGAGCAACGCAAAGTCAAATAAGGTTACAGAGTACGACGTACTCGATGTGCGACGAGATAATGACGAATTGATGCATGTGAAAGCCGACGATGGCTTAGATACTCAGCGTAAATGAGTGCTTGGAAACATGTTACAATCAACCACTGGCAGACTTTACCTACTAAACTCAGGCAAATACCCAGATTGGCCTCTTCAAACATTTGAATACATCTGGAGTCCTAGAAAGAAAAAAAAACATTTGAACTTAGTAGTCAAAGGAGATTCTAGTTCATAGCAGTTCAATGTAAGAAAATCAAGCACTTGAGGGCTTCCACTTCTTCTCCTGTCGGCAGATCCATAGGCCGATTTTGTATCTTTAATTTGGGGTTTGTTTATTTGGCATCCTCTCCGCTATACCCAATTAGGACACGAGGGTAATTTTACAATCTCGAAACACCAGATTTGACCTCGGGAACCGAAGGTTGGAAGCATTAATTGGGGCACCCCCTTTAACTATCCCTAAACACTACTCAGGTCTATAGGTAGCACTCTAAGCCCTATATCTTAGGCTATACACCCCTAGGGCCCTATAGTAGACTTTGGTAATATTTTCTTATTTTAAGTATTATTTAGAATATAATCTATTTTCTACTCCTTAATAGCCTTTATTCAATCAGAACACAATTTCTAAATCAGATTATTTTAAATTTAATAATAAATTCAAGTTAAAAGCTACAGCCTCGAAGACTTAAAAGTTGTAGTTTAAAACCTCTGCATGGGCCGACCGGGGCGATGGATAGTTCTAAAATTTCCAAAGGTTCTAAGTTTGATACAATATTTACAAATCATGTGATATATTGTGGACCCTTGCCTAATTGGGAGGGTGCCAAATCAACAAACCCTTAATTTGGTAATAACGACCACATATACACTTGTAAACCTCAACTAGTATATAAGAACATCCATTTGAACATACTCCAGGGACAGCATATATTAGTGCATATCGTCGCTCACTTAACCCGTCCAGAGGTCTGGGAATCAGGATGAACATCAATTGAAAAGACACAGGCTCACCACTAACGGTGACAGAATGAGGAAAGAAATTGCAAGGGTAGGTAAAAAAGTGAGCGAGTCACTCTTGTTTGATCTCCTCAATTCTTGTCTCCAACGAATAAGCCAGATTACCCTGTGCAACCCGTCCAGGAAGATAGCCCTTTTCCTCAAGCCAAAGCATAGGCCACAGAAACATCGTTCCAAGGACACAGAAAAAGGTGGCGAGCAGATGCCAGATAGAAACCACCCAATGTCCAACGTGCGGCAGCAGAAACTTAATAAACTCCGATGTTTGATAAAGATCCTCTTGCCTCCGAATATAGTATAGTGTTTGATCTGAATTGGGAGGAGGGTTGCTCTGACTCGAGTCGGTGGTCAGATCCAGAACCGTTGTCAAGGTCACTGGTGCAACATGGAAGGGCACAAGCCAGATGGAGAAAATTTGTGACATGTGAACATATAATTTCAAATTTGCCTCATCAAATGCTGAGATCCGTCAGTTTAGAACATGAGCATCATCATTGTATCAGTAGCATTCTTAAACTCACCAACTGAATGGACCTCTATTTCTATGCGCGGCGACATCACCTTGTACCATTGGAAAATCTTCAGCACATACCATCTGCTCTCTTTGAAGCTTGGAACTCGACAGAATGGATGGTAGAATGCGGCATCTTTAGTGAAGAAGCGCTCAATGGCTTTTTGCTGTAATGAAGGTACTGATTGGGTGAGTAGACGGATCACCGTCGGGATCTCTTCCACTGATGATGACCTAGATTAGTCTTTTTTTTTTTTGGATCTGGGGGGTAATTTGAGTCTGAGATACCTGGATTGTCCATGCTCGAATAAAGTCTCAATAAGTAGCAAAAGAGAAATGTGATCAGATCATCGGGCACTCAAGTGTATTAACGTTGAAGTTGTAAGAATCATGGCAGATTGAACAAGAGCATGACATCATCTCTTGACATGTGAACTAATCGGTCCTGTTTTGTCTCTTTTACAATAAAAATAACCCTAATGACTACATGATAGAATGGTAGCCATTCTGGTTGCAGATGGGCGTCGTATTTCTTTTGAATACTACCTCTAGGGCTGTATATTTTCATCGCAAGGCTTTTTTAAAACTCCCTGCTGGGAAGCGCATACCTAGAGTTCGGCATGCCGATATGCCAATCTTTACCCGAGCCATACCTATTCATAGGGACTTGAGCATACCGAGTATACCCCCAAAAGTTCTGGTGTTAGGACTTGCATACATAGTATGGAGGCGGGGCTCGGAATAACAGAAGCTGGAGACAGTAACTTGAATATATGTGAATCTTGATAGATTTGGACATGCATCTGAATTTGCAAATAAGCCCAATAGGCTGAACAAAGGTAGTTAAATCATAATGTCTTTTCCCTGGCCAACGCCGGTGATGATGGTAGTCTCACAAATAGTAAACATAATAGAAAATAAGAATATAGCAGGAATCATACAACGATCCCATCGTCTACCGCTTCCAGCTATCGACCTTCTTCCGACGCTTATCAAAGATCTCACCAACTCCAACACCATCGCCGCGCTGTCCATCCTCGTTCTTGCGCTTCCGGCTCTTGTCCAACGCAGCACCTCCACTCTTGCCCTTGCGGGTGAGACGCTCAATGCGATCGGCTCCTTCTGTAAGACCTTTCCACTCGTCACCACCATATGTTTGGCGATCGCGTCCACGTCGCTTGGCCATTTCCTTCTTGGTCTCTTTCGGTAAACGGACAAAGTTGGATTCTTCGTAACGGTTTCGATCGGCTTCCCACTCCCGGTCCTTCTTGGACTTGGTCTCGCGACCACCGGCGACAATGGTACTACCGATACTAGGCTCGGCCATAGGTGCAGATGACATCTCAGCACTAACGAACTCGTCGATAACATTAGACCGACGTGGTCGACGATCTTCACGCTCTCGCTTATCGAGGGTAGGAAGGGCGGTAGGCATGATCTTAGGTGGTCGGTAAATGCCGTCGCTCGGCGCTTCCCGGTTGTTTCGCTTGGCGTTGACTTCGGATTTCTGATCCTCCACCTTTGCCTTGGAGAAGGCTGCGACATTGGGGCGATAAGCCATTTCATCCATATCGTCCTCATCCTCCTCCTCGCTACCGCTCTCGTCTTCACCCTTAGATTTCTTCGATGGAGCGGGGCGCTCTGACCGCTCTGCCTCCTCGGCCGCCTTGATAACCTTGTCAATCTGGTACTTTAGTCGCCCTTCAAGTGGACGCACACCGCGGTCAAGGAATACGCGCAGCTCGACCAGCTTTCGTGAAACCTCGTCTCGGAGTGAGTCTTCTGCAGGCTCTTCGGATTCGGTGGAGCCCTTCGTGGAAGATGCTTGTCGCAGTTGAAAGATAATCAAGAAAACAAGGTTCTGAAGGTATGACAGGAGGATTTCGCTTTTCGTATCGAGGAGAGAGATACCATCTTTCGGAGGCTCAATAGAAACGTTGGAGGACTCATCCTTGTGGGACGATGGGAGGGAAGACGCAGCGCTTGTAAGACATGATGTGAGGCTCTCGAGAAGTGTTGAAAGTCTCCCTGTGCGCGAAGGCGCAGACTCTGTAGCAGCCATGATGGATGTTCATCAGCTTAAACTTGCTGTTTCCGCGGAAATTTTTTTTGGTTTGATTGCGAGTCTTATCGCCACGTGATATCTAGGATCGGGTGTCACGTGAATATATCAGCACGATGATCGTCATCGCCATTCTGTCCTGTTCTCAGCCTCGTTGCTTAGAAACGGCCCGTCTTTCAACATTAGAAGTGTGTTGAACCCCCTCAATCTCATCTTTTTGGGCTTTCAATTGTACACATCGAGATTGTGGAGTTTTGGGTTAAATCCCATTTCTCCATTAAGAAAACTGCTTTTGAGTAGATAAATCAACAACGTCAACAAGCTTTCTCATCAAATACATGCTGCCTTGAGAGCTACCGTCGAACATCCTTTCCCTTCACCATGCGGTTCACCGACCGGAACTCCGTTCTAGCTTCGGCTCTCCTCGTTCTTCCTTCCTTATCCTCCGCATTCTATCTTCCCGGTGTCTCTCCAACCTCCTATGACCAGGGCCAAAGTGTCCCGCTTTATGTCAACCATTTGACCCCTACCCTTGCTCGTGATGACCAGCTTCACTCAGTTTTCTCATACGACTACTACCACCCGGCCTTTCACTTCTGTCGACCTGAAGGTGGCGCCAAAGATGTGAGGGAATCCCTAGGCAGTATTCTGTTTGGTGATCGAATTCAGACTTCTCCACTGGAATTGCATATGGGTCAGGATGAGACCTGTAAATCCATCTGCGGCGAGACCAAATTCGATTCTCGCAGTGCCAAATTCGTCAATCGCCGAATTTCCCAGGGATATAACATTAACTGGCTCGTGGATGGATTGCCAGCAGCGCAACTCAACAAGGACGAAAACACCAACACTCAGTTCTACAGCCCCGGCTTTTCTCTGGGAGACTTGGACGAGAGCGGCCAAGCTGTTCTGAACAACCACTTCAACATTCTCATTGACTATCACCGTGTCGGATACGCCGGTGGAAAGGACAAGCTTCGTGTGGTTGGTGTCCTCGTTCAGCCTGAGTCCCACCCAGATTCCAGAGTGTTGGATGATGGGTCGGTAGACTGCGGTAACAAGGGTATTTTGACCCTGAACGAGGATGGTGAAGGTGAGACTGCCGTCACATGGACATACAGTGTTTATTGGAAGGAGTCAAATACCGCCTGGGCTACTCGATGGGATAAGTATCTCCATGTTTACGACCCCAAGATCCATTGGTTCTCTCTCATCAACTCTGCCGTCTTTGTGGTCTTCTTGGTTGGAATGGTCAGCATGATTCTAGTCCGGGCCCTCAGGAAGGATATCGCTCGTTACAACCGTCTGGACTCGATCAACCTGGATGATTTCGATAGTACGTCTGCAGCCGTTGAAGATGGTATTCAGGAGGACTCGGGCTGGAAGTTGGTTCACGGTGATGTCTTCCGTTGCCCCCAGTCCCCACTCTTACTGAGTGTGTTGCTGGGTAATGGTGCTCAACTTTTCATGATGACCGGTGTTACTGTTGGTATGTATTTCTCCTCTTCAAATACAAGCATAGTACCTGATATACTGATCAATTTTACAGCATTTGCTCTTCTTGGCCTTCTCTCCCCTGCCAATCGAGGCTTCCTGGCCACCGCGATTCTCATGATCTCTGCCCTCTTTGGTGCTATCGGTGGATACGTATCAGCTCGTGCCTACAAATCCTTTGGAGGCGAGGCTTGGAAGCGTAATATTATCATGACTCCTCTGTTGCTTCCCGGCTTCATCTTCGGGCTGTTCTTCCTGCTCAACCTATTTGTCTGGGCCAAGGGATCTAGCGGTGCTGTTCCTTTCGGCACCATGGTGGCCCTGGTCCTCATCTGGTTCGTTATCAGCGTTCCGTTGAGTGTGGCAGGTAGCTGGGTTGGATTCCGTCAGAAGGTAAGACCTGACAATCATTTGCTTTTTAATTATCATCTTTACTAATCTTTGAATTTCTGTACAGGCCTTTGAGGGACCTACCAAGACCAACCAGATCCCGCGTCAAGTGCCGCCTATGGCTGGCAGTCTTCGTACGATTCCCTCTATCCTCCTGACAGGTATCCTGCCATTCGGTGCGATTTTTGTTGAGCTCTACTTCATCATGACTTCACTTTGGACGAACAAGATCTACTACATGTTCGGTTTCTTGTTCTTGTGCTACGGTCTAATGATTATCACCTCGGCTGCCACTACCATTCTCCTTGTCTACTTCCTGCTGTGTGCAGAGAACTACCGCTGGCATTGGCGCGCCTTTGCAGGTGCGGGTATGACTGGCGGCTACGTGTTTATCAACGCCCTGATCTTCTGGGTGACCCGAGTGAGCTTTGGTGGCCTGACGGGAGCTGTTCTATACGTCGGTTACTCTGCTATGATTGGTTTCCTTGTCTTTGTTCTGACTGGTTTGTTTATCCCGTTCCCTTCCAAGTCAAGTCCTTTACTGACACGTTTTTTTCTCTTTCAATTCAGGCTCTATCGGCTTCTTTGCCAGTTGGGCTTTCGTGCAGCGCATCTACGGCTCCATTAAGGTGGATTAGTCTCCAACACGGCACTACCTCCTTTTCTCTTTCATCGCCAGCTAGGTCTTCCTGCTCCTGGCGCTTTGTTCCCATACTCTCAAAACTCCCCTGAAACCTCTTCCTTCCTCCCCTTTCCCCCTCTCCCCCTCTTCGTTCATGCTTTTTGTCAATAACCCCCACTGGAAGCATTGTTTTGCGAGGAGAGATAGAATTGTTCTTTAATTGCGCACCGCATATGTCTTTTCATACTTGCTGTCTTTGGTTTTATTTGAAGATATCCCTCATAATGATCGGGAAGGCGGAGTATTGTATATATAGGAATGGACCCGGTAAACTTTCACTTATGTTCCAGTGTTCAAGTCCACTTGTAAACAGACTTCATTGAATGTTGAGTCCGCAAGGTTCCTCATCCCGGTAGAATCCGGCATAGTCAACTTCAAGTTGAATACATACTAGTAACTCCTACGTGTACTCATATCGAGTCAACTTAAAAGGCATGTCATGCCAAGCCCCCCGATGGTCTGGACTTCCTCGCCACTGGTGCCAATCTTTCTTTTACTTTCGCACATTTTCTTTTATGGATCGTCTCTAAGAAAGATCTTCTCATTCACAAATCCACCTGACGAAACTCTTTAAAATCCTCATCCATTCCGCTCCCGGATTGCGTGTTCCCTTGACTACTCCGAGCACAGCCACAATCTCCCCTCGTCAACGGGTTCTACCCCGCGTCTTCCCTTCAACTTTCTTTTCTTCAAAGCCACTGCGTGGCCCTGCCGATCCTCTTTACTACGACTTGCATACATTTAAGACTGTCGTGAGATTACAAAGCTTGAACTTTTGGGTGTCTCACAAATTCACAATGGGCAAATCGTAAGCGTCCCCTGCGGCTGCATCCGCGCTGCACCCTCTCCCCACACACCAGAGTCCAGACTTCCGGAGTGCCGGAAAACTTGCGACAGACCACGTCCGAAAACAAGCGAAGGACCTCCACTTGAAATGCATAAATTTGTTTAATATCGAGCCTCGCCATCGAGCTCAGGGAGTGTTTTTATTTATGTGGTGGCTAACGAGTGGCGTCATAGTCAGTCGAAGCTTTCTCCTTCTCAGCTCGAGGAGCTGCAGAAAGCGACTCATTTCGATAAGAAGGAGCTCCAGCAATGGTACAAAGGTACGTGGAAAAACATAAGCTTTCGAAAGCCTCCACATTCAAGCTTTTGGGCCTAGATGTTGACTCCGGCGCGTTCCTGTATATCCGCGGTTGCTAATTACCACCGGCTATTGCAGGTTTCCTTAAGGACTGTCCGTCCGGCACTCTAACTAAGGAGGAGTTCCAAAAGATCTACCGACAATTCTTCCCCTTCGGCGATCCGTCCTCATTCGCAAATTATGTATTCCGGGTATTTGACTCGGATAACAGCGGAATGATCGATTTCAAAGAGTTCATCTGCGCCCTCTCGGTGACATCCCGCGGGAAGATGGAGGATAAATTGGATTGGGCTTTCCAACTGTACGACATCGACGGAGACGGGAAAATTACATATGACGAGATGCTGGCCATTGTGGAGGCGATCTACAAGATGGTGGGCTCCATGGTGAAATTGCCCGAAGATGAGGACACGCCAGAGAAGCGTGTACGAAAGATCTTCCGCATGATGGACAAAGATGAAAATGGCAGCCTTGACATTGAAGAGTTCAAGGAGGGCAGCAAGCGAGACGAGACTATCGTCAGTGCCTTGTCCTTATATGACGGATTGGTATAGTTGGTCGCTTTTTGGGGCGAATCCGGCGCAATTGTGATTGATTCATTACTTACATTGGTTTTCTTTTCTTTTTCGTTTTATTTATTTTTCTCACACTCTATATCTTCTCTCTAGAAGAGATTTAGAAGGCTTGGGGGATCTCTGTGTTTTTTTTTCTTTCTCTGGGTGCTAGCACTCTCTCTACTGAATTCTTGCATTTTTTGAGCATTTGATTCCATCGTGTTGCCTTCTCCTGCGTCGTTGTTCATACATGAGAACTCTCTGCCAACGCCTTCGATACCAGACAACTCTATGAGTTATTATCAACAGCATTAACTGTTGCGAAAAGAAAAACATACTCCATTTTACTATGTGCTAGTGTTCATCTTTCCCATAACCGACTTCTTCGCTATACCCACGGATCCAAATTGTAATCTGCCATTCTCATTACCTATGGTATGGATGGCCCCTGTTGTTCACTCGTCTTCAGGCTGTCCTACTCCGGTATGCATGAAGATGCTATTAGATAACATTCATTATATCTGCATGCGCGATTAAATACATCCGGAATACTTTGGTAATTGGCCTCGATGGACCAAATGAGCTAGGCCAAAGGAGATGCCCAAACGAGGTACCCACTGATTATAGCCTCATTTTTCGAGTCTCCACACTCCCTCATAAGCCGAAGGGCATCCGATCCGACGGGCTTTCAATGTCGGAAAAGTGGCAATCGGCTTGTTTCCAGTGATTATCTCGGAATTTACTTGCACCTGGAAGATAGCGGCACATATCATAATGTAGTTGGATAGTTATCTACAAGATCTTGACATCGGGATATCATGTCTACTTCCGAACCAAACATCCGGCTTACTATTATAGCGGGGTACTACTAGTACATAATGCAGTGGATTCGGAAGAAAGCCGAGATAAATAGCCAATAATCTCCAGCATGATTGTAACTAATTAACCCCAGCTTTCGTCACTTTCCTCCCCCACCTGAATTCCCATCTGCATCTCTCACGGCCTCACCATACATCCATCCATCAGTCACCACAATGGCAGACGTAACAGTCGAAAGCGAACGCGCAGCCAAGCTCCAAGATGCTCAAGATAAAGCCGCGCAACTCTTCATCGAGATAGAGCGGGATCTCGTCCGCCCCGGAATCAGCGAAAAGACACTCAACGAAGAGATCTACAAGCTTGGATTCGATCGCTACGGAATCAAAACCCACTGGCACAAACGAGTTATCCGCAGTGGCCCAAACACTCTCAGTCCATTCTCCGAAAACCCTCCAGACCGCATTATCCAAGAAGACGATATTCTCGTCGTGGATTTAGGACCTGTCTTCGAGGCCTGGGAGGCTGATTTCGGTCGTACGTATGTCCTCGGAAATGATCCGCACAAGATCAAACTGCGAGATTCATTGCAGCCTATTTGGGATATCGTGAAGGCGAAATATGATGAGAATCCTGATATGTCAGGCGAGGAACTTTATGATATTTCGTGTGGAATTGCGGGGGAATATGGGTTTGATTTTGGGGCTGATATTGCGGGGCATTTGGTTGGGTCTTTTCCCCATGAACGAATTCCTAGGGATCGTACGACGCTTTATATTACTAAGGGGAATAATGAAACTATGAATCAGCCTGGGAAGAATGGGTTTAAGCGGCATTGGATTTTGGAGATTCATTTGCGTGATACGGCGCGTGGATTTGGTGGTTTTACTGAGCAGTTGTTGACTGTTGGTTGAAAAGGTCGAATTTGTGTATTCCAATGAATAATATCAATTCCAAGGTTGCAGCTTTCTGCAATAGTTGATATATCAAAGCTCCCGGAGCTTGTAACATGTCAAGTTAATACTGAGTAATCGATGCCGTATCCCTGATCCCTGTTCTACAACGCGAGATCTGGAATAATTCCATGTCCTCTCACGAGAGGCCTTTCAATACCTCGCAGCAAACCTTCTTGGCCCGCCTGGATTTCGCTCTTGAAAGTCTCCCATTCGCTGACAACGATCAATGTCCCATCAACGCTGAGTTGCTTGTCAACGAAGAACAATAGCAGAGGATGGAATCTGGGACAGGTAGTTTCCCAAAAGATATTCCACATATCATGTAAAGTTCCATCTGATAGATTCGGGGCATCATCGGGCCTTTTCCAGGGGATATGGAGGGTTTCCATGGGTCCCCATTCTGGGGGTACGTCCTCAAAGCTATCCCAAAGGGCATCTTCAAGACCGTTGAAATCTTCATTGGAGAACATATCCGTCAAATAAAATAGCGGAAGGGCTGGAAAATCGGTACCGTTGTGCATTGGCTCTCCAAGGTGGTGGATTCTCATAAAGTGGTTGATCTGGATCACTTAACCTCTCCTTGCAAATCATCTGATACAAGGGAAATTCTTTTGGTTTCACTGGTTCCAGATCACTCCATTTGATTGTTTTTGACAATTCTTGTTTCACGATTCCAGTGAAGGAATTTCTCACTGCTTGTACGATGTACTCTAGCGGCTGTCCTGCTGCCACGATTTCTGCAATGTCTCCGGGGAACATCTTCTGCAGTGTCGCCAGTTCGGAATTCTCCAATAGTTCCTCGTCGTAGATGAGGAGAAAGAGCATCGAAGAAGATAATGACGAATATTCCCTCTCGCTGTACGATAGTGATGCTGGAGGTCTCGTCGCGTGGCCGGCTGATTGTATGGCCATGGAACAAGCCGCACATTGAATTGATCTAAAGGCGACTCTTCCTCTCGACTGGTAGAAAAATCATTCATCTCTGTTGGGGTGCTCTCTCCTGATGTACTCTCTTCTGGGGTTCTCCCTCCTGGGGTACGTTGGGACAGTTTGATGAGCAATTGGATGGCCCATTTGAGACTTTCGTGTCGTTCTGAGAGTGGAAGGTGTTTCGACATAATCAAATTCAAATATCTTCTTCATATATTGGGCCATAGCATCGTGCAAGCGCTGGAATTGTAAAAGAGTTGTTGGGAATGCTAAAAGAATCGTGATGGGATGTGCTTCAATGGCCGTCAAGGGCCAACAAATTATGTCCCAACCCAGGAGAAATTGCGATCACGAATTCTGTGATCGAGATATGAGACGATCTCGGCTTTCAACTCTGGAGGTAGAGAATTTGGTAGCGCCGAGGCGATCTTGTTTTCGAATTTCCAACGCCCAGTTGAAAGCAAAGTGGGCAAGGTGAATAGGTCTTGATCAGCATCCAAAATTTGTTGAGCGTATTTTGATGGCATGTCAATGGCATGTTCAGGATGTCACATTATGGGAGAATCATCAATTAGCAACTGATCATCATGATTCTCATCTCCATCGTCATCCGCATCGTCATCCGAGTCATCCGCATCGTCATCCCCATACTCATCCGCCCTATCGGTGATACGCCATTCCTCAGACGATCCTGTGTCATCTTCATAGGTTGTATCAGAGTAAGAGTCACGTTATTTCTGACTGTATATGACTCGTCTTTCAGCCAACACAAGAGGACTCAAAGATTTAAAGTAGCTTTTGATGCTTTTCCTTTCAGGCGGTGGCTTGATATTAACAAGCACCACCGACAGGTCCTCTTCTTCACCATATCGACAATCGCCTGCCAGTTGCCGCAAGGTCAAGCCATCAGCCACCAAGAACTTAGAATGACCCAAACGATGGAGAAGGATGGCTAGTTCATAGATGTGTCCTTTGCTGTCTGGGATGGGTGGAGGGAAATACTTTGATCTGGGCTGTAGTGGGATATGGAGGCTGCCTGGTCTTGGTGTCCAAACTTTGGCTTTACGCCATGGTGTGAAGGTCTGAATTCGGGAAATCAGGACTTCTTGTTTGGGATCAGTAAAATTTGCGAGCGGGACCACCAGCAGAGGCTTGGGAACAGTGAGGGGCGCGCGTGGCACGGTTGAATCTGTTGATTGATTCAGGTGGGATGTGGGAGTTGTGAGAGATGGTGGTGACGGTGAGGGTGCTGATGTCGAGGATGGATCCATCATTTCATCGTTAAAGATTGTCAATGGCATCATATTAAAGGGGATATTGTAATATCCGCGAGGTCAATCAGAGATAGCTGTTGGAAGGAGATGTTGAAGAAGAGAAACTCAGCAGAAGATTAAGAGATTGAATTGAAAACAAGCTTGGAACCTTGGAATTCACCTGGGCAGCAAACTTGTAAGTGAGTGAGCTCTGTTTGTTTTCCCTTCTGCCCAAGTCTCAATCATTCTGAATTATTCTGCAATAGGCAATCATTCTCCTTAAGACACGTGCCTAGCTTGAAATCGACGTATTCATAATTCTGGAATGTGGAGTACTGAGAGTCACATTTCATATGAATATTGTTCCAAGGTTTGAACTCTTGTATTCTTGCTCTATCATCTCTTCAACTTGAAATATTTCTACTCCATTTATATGAACAAAAAGGTAGTACTACAGATATCCCACCTTGAGGCAGGAGATGGGATTTTCAACATTCATCTAATTTAAGAGAGCCTAGCTTTCTCCAGAAGATTCAAATAACTTGAAACCATCATGATGATATATAAAAGAGGACTTGGATTTGTTGAGCTAGCTACATGTAGACCAATCATAACAATACATCATGCGACATCATCAATATGTAATGAGCGTGCTGATGGATATTTCCTCCAGATTTTAATCATCCAAGTTCACTTTATACAGGGTCAAATAAACAGCACTTTCCTCCTCTCCAGGGCCCTCAAAACCTTCAATTCCTTTTCTCCACGGATTCGAAGCCAATTTTCTGCAAAAACCTGGCGAAGTGGAAATCATCCTTTGCACAGGACCCGAATGCTGAATCAACCCCAATTTCCCTCCGCTCATACTCCAGCAATGCTCCGCAGCTTCATTGACCTATCCCATTGCAGTTTTCCCGTATAGAGTTGCATAATTAATCCATATCGGGCGCCAGATAGGAATTCGGTGGCTGGTATTTCATCATTCAAACAGTACCAAGAAGTGTGCTTTCAACCAACATTGAAAGATGCATTCTCGTGTGGCTTGAGCGAGACCAAGAAGATGCCGTGGTATTTATTTCAGACATAGTCAGCGTGGACACGGCTGTGAAGGAAATTAGACATGGAGGCCTTCTCAAGCGTATCAATGCCAGTCAGACCGCAACCTTGGAAGATTTGCACATGTGATAAATTCAAGTTCTTCGGTGTTCCATACTAGTTTGACGAGGAACGTTGGAAGGCACGTGAGTGCTGTGCGCAGGAGAACATTTGAACCTTTGGAATCGGTTAAGAAGTAGGATAGAGATAAATATCGTGGTGATATACTACTAGTAAAACTTGAAAATCACTAGTAATCGTTTCAATTTTGTGTACCCTGGTCTACCTCAATACCTAGGTATTCAACATTTCAATCTAATAGCAGATATGTAACAACAAATAAAACACACTGGTGAGATCTAGAGGCAATGAACGGCACTAAACGGAAATATGACTCGTCGGACCGAGTTATCCTGATCCTACCCATGGACCTACAATTCCTCGTGTGGAATGATTTCATGTCCTGGCGAGTCAGGCCTGAGATAACGGTACACAACATCGACTCGATCGTGGCCCTCGACTTCGTTCCGGAAATAACTTAGAACAGGTTCATCCTCCATTGATAGGCTTCCATGAGCGGAAATAGCATCAAAAGCGAGAATCCGGCCGTAGACCATTCCCCTGATCCAAGGCTTGTCAACCCGTTTCAGTATATCCTGGTAGTGCAAATTGTTCATCTCTTTGAGATGCCACCAATCGACCATGATCAAGGTTTCATCAATGAAACTCTGCTCATCGGCGAAGAAAAGGGGGACGTCAGAACGGGGAAATTCTATCTGCCAAATTTTATGTATCTGCCAGAATATGTTCCACATATCATGCAAGGTTCTTGTCAAGGGAGTGGTGGATTTAGTCGTACAGGAAACTCGGAGGACTTCGCCCCCAAGCTCCAACATAATGGCTGATTCAAGTGAATCTGCTTGCTCCTCCGTGAATTTATTGGTCAAATAGAAGATGGCAAGCGCAGGAGGTCCATATCTGGGATCCCAGTGCTCGTTGACGACGAAATCTTGGACAAGTTCCCAAGGGGATGCGTTGTGATAGAACCCCTGATCATAATCACTCAAAGTCTCGTTCCAAATTTGGTTAAGGGAAGGCTCTTTTGGCTCCAGAGACGATAGGATATGCGAGTCATTGGCGAAGGGTAACAACTCTTTTACAAGCCCGGTAAATGTCTTTCGTGTCGCGCCTATGGAGGCAGTTGGCCAAGGACCGGGACGTTTGACTAGAGTCGCAAATTGCGCGTTACCCAACAGTGTCTCATCGCTAGAAGAGAAAGGGCATTTGAAAAGATAATGCCAGGGGGTGTCATAGTGCAATTCAAGGAAGTGATGAACGATGTTTCGTCGCTTGGCTGGTTGTTCATAAGGCCATCGAATGAGCTGTACACTGAAGAGATCTAAGGGCCTTTCACTTTCCTCGTCTGGGCCCCCGATCGGACTAGAGCAACGAATGAGATCCTGGATGACCTGTTTGACATTTTGACGTTCCTCAGAAAACAGAGGTTGACGCGAAATTGTTTCTTCAAAGATTTTCTTCATCCACTGTTCCATAACGGATTTTAAGTGCTCAAATTGGGAGGGACTGATTGGGAATGTCAAAAAGATTGTGATAGGCGCCTTCTTAGGTCAAGTGCCCATTAGGACCACGGAGAGAACTACCATGATAAGGCATTCGGTGGTCAAGGTATGAAACGATGTGGGATGTCAATTCCTCTGCTGAGAAACCTGGTAATGCCGACTGGATTTCTCTTTCAAAATTTTCGCAAACTGTCAAGCGCAGATCGGTCGAGGTGAATATTTCCTCATTACCACCCAGGAGGGATTTTGCATGTCTCGATGGTGTGTCTATGGCAAGCGAAGGATGGAATGTCTTGTCGTGTCTGAATATGGAAGGATGGCGATTTATGGCGCCTGCTGCATTATGTCTATCGTACGCCTTTCAGCAGCGACCTTAAAGCGTGAAGTTTCATTGGCAAGAGAGTGTTTCCCACTGGACTCTTGAAGTGATGACTTGATCACCACCAGCACTACCGACAGACGAGGGTGATCACCAGTTCGACACTGTTTTGTCAATTGACGCCAAGTCAAATGATCAGCAACCAGGAACTTCAGGTTTGGATGACCTGCGCGGTAGAGACGTGTTGCCACTTCGTAGATATGTGCTTTGGTGTCCGGAGAGTCATGCCAGTGATAGTCCGTAACTTTTCTCAGTGGCGTGCGTATGATTTGGCTCCCTGGTTTCCATGATTCGAGTCGACGAGGCCCAACTAAATTCTGGATTCGATTGATGAGCTTGGCTTGATCAGCAGGAAGAAAATCTGCCAAAAAGACCACGCGCAGTGGATTTTCGTCTGCAGGGTCAAGCTCATGTGCCATTGCTCAGATGTTGAATGATGCTTGTGGGTTGAGGTATGAGGTATGGATGGGGTATGAGGGGCGTGTGTGAGAAAGACCAAGGGAGAGATAAAGCTCTAATGGTCAAAAGAAAATTATTTTGCTAAAAGTCAAGCTTTACCAGCCTAATTATAAAGCTACTACTACCTACCAGGGCTATTTCAAGTTGGCAGACAGGATATCCATATTCATTTTTATCATCAGAGTATCTGTAACAAGGCTCGCAGTGTAGACGGCAAGGGTTCATCGCGTGGCTGATAAATTACCTCAGGGCTACCTTGATGCGTGTATGGATGTGTAAAGCCTAAGCCTCCAGGGGCCTCATTTTCCAAAGAGTGTCACTTGATGATTTTTTCGGGCGTCCATTTCCAAGGTTAACAAGACTCAAAATGCTTACCACACAGCACAGTAGTAGCCTAGTAGGTAGCCGGTAGGAACAGAGATCATGACCGTCTCCACAGTAATATTGCAGCTAGACCGAGAATTTCAAAAGAAGACTCAAATTTGGGAGAATCTATGGACATAAAGCGAAATCGATGAAATGAAATGGAAGTTGTCTGGGAATTGCCAAATTGGGACACTCGATGTCATAGAGCAGGCGGTGAGAGAGGTCCGCCAATTCTGCCACTCTTTCACTCTCCAGCTTCCATTCACGCATAGAACTCAACCCAAATTCGCGCGAGGTGTCTGGGAAGGTCCTCGAGGACCAGTGGTAGAGCCCAATATCTGCATTTATCTGCTCTTTATAAACATGCGACACCACCTTCAGCTCTCTACTTGACTGGCGACCAACCTTTCATTCTTTTCACGGCTCTCGTTATGGCACCCCAAACCCCAGTCTTGGACCAGTTCCTGGTCAGCATTGCTGAGCTTGTTAAGAATCGTGATGGCACAAAGCTACAGGACTACCTTCAAATCGAGCCTCCTCTGTCAGAAATCTACCTCCGAATGGTCGAGGAATTGCGCCTGCGATACAAGCCCGGTCCCCAGAGCGATACCGAACTCCAGCAACGATGCGAGGTCCTAGTCCCGCATACTAAGGGCGGGTCACCTTGGTCTGCTTTCCCAACCTTCATGAGACTTTATTTCTCATTCCTGCGAGACGTCAATGTCGAAAATCTTCTCGAAACATACAAGCTTCTCCGGGCTCTAGTGAAGTAAGTTGGTCTTCTTCAGATCTCAGGCTATATCAATCGGTCAATGGGGCAACATGACTGACCGTGCTTTACGATGAATTTAGTCAATGTGTACTGGCGCTTGGAGATAGTCTTCACGGAGTCATCGTTCTCCCCACCGTTCTCTACCTCTCGAAAGTTATGGCAAAATTGGCGATGGGTTTGGATCGACGCCCTGAACTAATCGCACACATTTTGCGCATGGAAGGTGGTCAGAAGCAAGAGGATAGCATGGAAAAAGTGACACTTGTGGAGCAATCGGCCAACGTGGTGCGTGAGGCATTCATCAAGTGCTTGACCGATCGCAGTGGTAGCACCGGGTCACATGGAAAGCCCGAGGGGAAGCGAGTTGGCATCTACTTAATGGCAAATTTATGTCTGAAGCTTCTTTTCCAGGTTTGTTTTCCTTATCATTTCAATTGTCTGCAATGACTCATTACTGATGGTGATATTATCAGTGCGGAAAACTGCGCAACGCAGAACAAATGTTTGCTAGCATCAGCGCCCAATCACCCCCTTTGATGCATTTCCCGGCTTCTCAGCGCGTCACCTACCTCTATTACCTGGGTCGCTATCTTTTTTCGAACAACCTATTTCACCCAGCCCGAATTGCTCTGCAGGCAGCTTATGATCAATGCCACCGCCAGGCACTCAGCCAACGAACCTTGATCCTCACATATCTCATCCCGTGCAACATCATAATGGGCCGATTCCCATCCAATACTCTTCTTCAACGACCCGAGGGACAGCCGCTAGCTGAGCACTTTGTGCCCCTCTGTCAATTGATTATTAGGGGCGACTACCTCGCGTTCCGACGACACCTTTCTTTCGACTCGCCCACGGCTCAATGGTTTGGCAAGAATGGTATTCTTTTGACCCTTCAAAATAGATGTGAAATCCTAGTCTGGCGATCCTTTTGTCGCAAGGTTTTCATTCATGGCGGTTTCCATGGGAAGGCAGATTCTCCAACCCCACCCCATCTGTATCTTCAGAAAGTGCTGTTTGCTACGAAGTGGCTTCAGTCTCGTTCTGAAAACTTGACCCCGAATGGTACCAGCCACGCCTCGGTGAAACCTCAATATGGATCACAAACTATCTCTGAACCTATCGACCGTGAATATGCAGGACTTGAGAACCCGCAAAGTGTCAACAGCTCCGAGGGCGATAACAAGTTGATGGGGAAATATGGAGACTACTTGTCACCACTTGGCTTTTTCGATGCAAGCGGCGAATTCATCAAGAATATGCCTAGTCAACTTGTGGATGCCTTTGTCAAGCCCGATTACGACGAGTATGAATTAGATCCCTATGCCGATGAGAGCATTCTCCAAGAACAACCAGCCATGCTCATGGGAGAGATTGAATCTATCCTATCCTCACTCATCACGCAAGGATTAATGCGTGGCTACTTGACTCATCAAACTCCCCGATTTGCTATCACAGGTGCTCGACAGCGGGGTGCCTTGCCAACAGGATTTCCGAAGGTCTGGGAGACCATCTTCAAGCGAGAGAGCGAAAACAACAGTGTTCCGGGCTGGGTCAAGCCACGAGTAACTCCAATGGGTCCACCGGCAGTTGGAGGTGGTCGTGTGCTGCACATGACAGGGGCGCGACCTGTTGGACTGCAATGAGTACAGATTTCTGAGGAACCATTTATTTTTGCTTTCTTTCTTCTTTTTACCCGCATGATACCTTTGCATATGCACAATGAATACCTCAATACCTGAATGCCTGAATACCCAATTCAAATGGAATGATTGAAAGATATCAGATTAACAAAGCTCTATCCACGATCTAAACTCTGCATATCGACTTGCCAGCAAAACACATCACCAAATCGTATACACAAACAGCAAAATCTATATGACCAGAAAATGATGCTACTTTAAAGATGAGCTCTCAAGTTGCCCGCTTTAAAGATACCAGGGCGCCACATATCATTGAACAATGGGCTAGCATTGACCATGTCAGGATGGAGTTGATCGAGAGAAGATACCCCGAGCATTTTCATACAAATTTCTAGCTCCTCTGTGAGAACTGTTATACTGGTCAGCTTCATTAATTCGCAAATGGCCCAGAGTAAGAACTTAACACTTACTGCCGGTACATTTTTCCACTCCTTCAGTGCCATACGCTGCGAGTGCGTAGAAATATGGTCGGCCAACCCCCACAGCCGTTGCCCCAAGACACAATGCTTTGAGAACATCAGCTCCATCACGAAGTCCACCATCCACAAAAACCTCTAGGTTGTCAAATGCTTCGGGGTAATAGGTGCGGATCTCCAAGAGCGTCATCAGCGCACTAGGTGCTGAATGAATCTGTCGGCCTCCATGATTGCTTAACAGAACACCCTGCATACCATATTGCACGGCTAATTTAACGTCCTCGACTGATTGAATTCCCTTCAATACCACAGGCCCACCCCACTCCTGTGAAATCCATGATAAATCTTCCCAGGTGAGACCAGGATGCAAATATCCTGCCGTAGGTCGACCACCAAATGCGGGCCCGAAATCATTCTCCGCTGCAGCTTCTCGCACCATCTCACGACCGCCCTGCTCTAGCTTCTCTCTTGCTTGAAGATAACGGTCTGCAGTTCTCTTCCCCTGTGTTGACGAGTCGACGGTGATCCACAAACTGTGATACCCAGCAGCCTTTACCCTTTGGATCAATTCCTTGGCCTTTGTCCGGTCTGGTGGGACATATAGTTGGAAATCCAGTCGTGTAGGACTGCGATTATTGACCTTCTGTTGCTCGTCGATATGGGCTTGCATGATTGCCTCCAAGGACTTGGAAGTAGCTGTACTGATCACTGCATTGATTCCCTTGCGAGTTGCACCTTGAACGAGTGATGGCTCAGCTCCTGGATGGGCACTGCCCAGTGTACCCATGGCTGTTATGAAGAATGGCAGCTTTGATTTCTTCCCAAGCACGTTCCGTGATGTGTCTATCGTGTTGACCTTCCGCATTATACGGGGACGAAAGTTAATGCGGGACCAGTCGTCTAGGTTGGATTGATGTGACACTCCTGATGCTGCACTGCTGGATGCATAAACCCATGATTTTTCGGATAGTTTCTCCTTCGCAGCGGCTTCGAAATCAGCCGTAGTGACACAAAGGTCGAGACATTCTGGCGCCTTGACATTTGCCATAATGGATGAAGATTATCGATTGAAGTTGTCGTAAGTTGAATGATATTAAAAGGTTCGAAACATGTATGATTCTATGCTTTTATGAAATAGCAGTGTTGATCTTCAATCGTTATTCGCCGACGTACGGCAAGCGACACTGTCTCTGGTTTAAATACATCCCTTGAGCCTCCCGACCGGATAATGATCAATAATGTGGATACTATCATCCATGGCTGGCCACACTGGAAATTGATACCCGTGCCGATTTCGGGATCGATCATTCTTCATGCACTTGCATTAGAGTAGACAGCTCTCCCCTATGAACACGCTGATCGGCAATAAGCCTCTAGGGCTAGAGCTGAACAGCCGCTCGGAATGAGATTTTCCACCAATCAGATAATCGGGTAGCCGATCCAAATGCCGGGCTTCTCTTCGCAGAGTGAATCTATAGACAAGTGCGTATTAATTCCAGAGTGTGATTACGACAATTCCAATTCTATTCTGGGTGCAATTGGATCAAGAGAAATCATGATGTCCTGCCTCCTCCTTTTTTATACACATTTGACGGTGAATGGTAACACTTTGACTAGTACGGAGTACATGGCTACTCAATTATTTCCCGAAATGCGATCCATGGATCGAACAGCAGTAGGAACTAGTCGATATTCTACACAATAAGTTTGACTATAGCATGGAGCATGGGTCTTCAATGAATGACTCGGTGAGTAGTCCACGGCCGATGCCCGAGATCATCTACACTACACATCTCAACCGGCCGAGAGAACAGAGAGAACAAAGCGGTAAATGTTGGGGTAAAAATGCGGGGTGATGAACTCGGGGATTCAAATATCCTGCGTGGCGCCACTGCGAACTTAAAGGTTTCCAAGACTTTTAATCTGATCGGCATCTGATCGGCTATTGAACTTGAACTTGACATAATGGGGTTCCGGGCCGTAGAGGATCGGCCGACTCCAAGAGAAGTTTACAATTGGCGACTTTACTTTGAGACCCTAGTCATTGCGACAGGGTCCTTGCTGTGAGGGCAATGCCTTTCATTTCATTTTATTCAATCCTGATGTTTGATCTTAAAACCTTGGAAGTATAATCAAACTTCAGATTAGTTAACACGCAAGATATGAATCAGATTCGGCTATGATTCGGCCTTCATTGGTACCACAATTGCCCGCGATAGCTTCTTGACCGATTTCAATATCACCGCTTCCAATAGCAGCGCAATTTCCAGTAATATCACTTCGGTCTTCCAAGCTGGAGCCTTTTTCGGAGCACTTTTTTGCTTCTTCAGTTAGTGACTTGCCGCAACTGCCTAGTTCCTTCGAAATATCTCGTTTTTTGACGCCAATTTGAACCAGACCCACTACTAATGATGAATGGAGAACAGTTACCGAACGTCTCGGCCGAAAATGGACGCTCCAAATCAGCGTGTTTGTTTTCATCATCGGTGCAGTGATGATGGTAGCTGCGACTCATCAGCTTGGCTTGATCTGTGCGTCATTCCTTTCCTAGCAACAACGTTAATATCCACCACTGACTCCCATTTAGATGCGGGCCGTGTATTGACGGGACTGGAATGTGGTGCTATCACGGCTTCAGTCCCTAGCTATCTCGCAGAACTATCGATCCCATCTATTCGCGGTATCTTGACGGGGTTCTTTGAATGCGCTTATCAGATCGGAATTTGGAGGCTTACAAGGTCTTGGAGTACATTCGGAACTTGCCTGTGGAAGATCCTTACATTCAGGAAGACATTTATCTCATTCGGAATCGATTGAATGAAGAGGCAGGAGTAGCAAGTAAGTATGGAACTGGATCGTGGGCCTTCTTCCGTGGAGTACTGGATGATTTCTCACGCAAGGGAATGCGCAATCGTGTGTTCCTCGTTTTCTGTGCTTTTACACTACAGAATTTCTCGGGTGCTGCAGGTATGATCTCGATGTTTCTCTGACTCCACATCAATCGTCTCGCTGACTCCGTTAGCCATTAACTATTACTCACCCACCCTGTTCGAATCCATTGGAATTGAAGACACAACCCTATACACAGGAATCTACGGCCTAGTTAAAGCAGTTTCATCCCTCATATTCTATCTAGCATTCGTCGACAAAATTGGTCGTCGGCGCCCAGTGATCGTATCCTCCTTTGCTTGCGCGTGTTGCTTATGGTATGTCGGCGCCTACGTGAAAATCGAAAATCCTGCCGCAATTCTCGATGCCGGTGGCTCATTATCCTCTTCCAATTTCCGCGGTGGTCAAGCGGCGACTGGAATGGTGATGATCTATGCTATATTCTGGTCCTTCGGTCTCAACGGCGTGCCCTGGATTGTATCCGCTGAGATATTCCCGGGCGCTCTGCGGAATTTTACCGGCACATGGGCCGCACTTGTGCAATGGGCTACCCAGTTTGCTATTAGCAAGGGCCTGCCTTATATGTTTGACTCCTGGGGATATGGGACCTGGTTTTTCTTTGCTGGGTTCTTGATTATGGCAACGATTTGGTCTTATTGTTTCCTTCCGGAGACGAAGGGTCTGACTATTGACCAAATGGATATGATATTGTATGAGATCTTAGAAAATCTCTTGAGTTGGTGTTTACTGATTGTGGAATAGTGGATATAACCAACCGGGAACCCGTGGCATTCCTCATACACGACTCTCCAGGTCTGAGGCTATTGCGTCAACACTCACGGAGAAGACGGCACATGCAGAGACAGAGCATCACGAGACTGTTTAAATCTTACTCCAAGTCACACACACAAATGTGGCTTTTACGACGGATGCAGCTAACATAAGCAAATTTGATTTCAGAACTGGTAAATTGCAAGTTGAAGTACTAGTACTAGTGGATGCTGAAGCTTGTCATGTCTCAGGTCCCAATACAACATTTGAACCATATCATCACACATGATAGCAAAACAAGCATGTAAAATTACTCATAAAACTTTCAAAGTTCGTTGCGCATTCTCAGTTTGAAGAGCTGAGATCATACCGTGGACCCGTGAATTAAAACCTGAGCACGATCGGAGTTAGAAACACGGTTTAGTCTAGAAAGGGAAATGGTAGCTCACGGCATCATCATCTTCTCAGCTCGCATGGCGCTATCAGCCTTCATGGAGGTTGGTGTTGCTTCAGCAGTTGGTGTAGCAGTTCTCTTCATTGGCATGGACATAGACATGCTCGTAGTCATGGCATCCTTCATGACTCGGTGATTCTGAAGCTCGGTTAGGTCGTTGCTCTTATTGATGTTAGAAGTAATTGGGAATCGGAATTATCTTACCTGATTGTCGACTTTGTGAGGAACTGCGACGACAGTAGCAGCAAAAAGAGCGATGATATATCCGAAACGCATAATGAAGGGATAATCATTCAAATTGATGATTTCAAAGATTGAATTGGTTGATTGACTCGGAGGATAGTCAGTTGTTGTGTCGATGTCGATGTTGATACTTTCTCAATTCTCTGCAGATTAGATGCCCTTTAAATATTGATACCAGCTCATCGCTTTCCTCGATCATTACATCACTGGTGTTTGATGAGGGGTATATTCAGGCGAGGGGTAGCTGAAGGCAGCATCATGATCATCTCCGTGAGATCAGAGGGAGGGTGGAATCACCAATCATGGAAGGCATGAGATGAACGATCTACTTCCGGACTCAGGAGTTAAAGTGCACTGAAGTTCCTGCAGAAGGCACCTTGACTGTTCTTGGTACCTGCATGGCTTATCAGGGATTAATCTGATGTCAGTCGATATGCGCAAGGGGTATTCCTCCATGCCTTATGACATACACACTCCCCAGTTTTTGATATCCCTTGATTCATGGAAACCTTCACCAGCTATAGATGAGACGTTTCTAGAACACGAGAGGGTATCATGGTGATGATCAAAACCAATGGATAATAACATTATTTGTCTATCGGGTATAGTCTAGTAGTGTCTATTTTCAAATCCAAGAGAAACTTGGTAATTCACTTTTGGCGCTCAGCGCGGCAACGTCTCCAGCTGGAGAACATGAAGCAGATTGAGACGAATAAACCCAGTCCTGCAAGTCCAATTCCCATGTAGAGAGCTCCACGATAACCTCGCAGCACATTGTTGCCGCCATCATTGACGTGAGTCTCCACCGTACCCGCAAATCCGAGCCCAAGTGAGATAGAATAGTTGACAGTTGTGGCCACTAGAGATGCCGCAAGCCCTTGATGGTGGCGATGCATTGAGTTACTCAGAATAAGAGTCCCAGATGGGAAGGACATATCCCTAAAGCGAAATGGTCAGCGCATGATGAATTAGTGACGCGTGGCAGGTGTGGACATACATTCCCCAAGAGGTGATCAAGCTGACGACGAATGCTTGAGCCCAGTAAGTCTGGTGGACAGGTACGGTGGCAAAAATTGATAATCCCGCTGTGAAGAAAGCCATTGCGCAGAACATGATGACACTGGGTGGCAGGCGACCGAGCAAGAATCCGGTGACTAGTGCTGCGATCGCACCGCTGGCAGCCGCACCAGACCACTTGGCTGTAGCTAGTAAGGGTGAATCACCCTTAATCACCTCCATAAACTGGTAGAAATAATAAATGATAATACCGAAGCTGGACCATCCGGCCGCAATACAACCCAAGACCCATGCTAGATCTCCAGTGAAGACTGAACCAGGTAGCAATGGACACAGAGCTGTGCGTTCCACCATTGCAAAAGCACCCAAAAAGATAAACCCAATAATGAGAAGAATATAGCAATATGGTTCTTTCCATCCTGCCAATGCAGCTTGGTTCCAAGCAAAATTGATCAGAACCAAACCGGAGATGCCAGCCGCGCCACCGACTAAGTCAAGTCGCTGCCAGAAGCGCAAATCATCTTCGAATTTCGGCGTCGGTGTATTCGGGATAACGATCCATCCAAGTAGGGCTAAAACAGCACAGACGATGGCGAGAACCCAATAACCCCATGGCCACCACACAAGTTGAGCGAAGAGAGAAGAAAAGACACCTCCGACGATAAATCCGCCAGGCGCGGTAGCACCAAATAAACTGAAGATCATTTCTTTTCGCAGACCAGGTGGATAGGTTCGGCCGAGGATTGCAATAGCATTGGGTAACAGCATAGCAGGTCCAATTCCTTGAAGAGCACGACAACAATCGAAGAATATTTCATTCGAATAAACGCTGAATCCTGCCAGAAGAGACCAAAGACTGAACCAGCTAAAGCCGATGATAAAAAGACGACGATGGCCGTACACATCACCCAGTCTACCAGCAACCAGGATAAAAGTACCGACAGTCAAGCTGTATGCGGCTGCAAACCAACTTAATGACGCGGGGTTTGTGGTGGCGAAACTATCTCCGATGATATGCACAGGCGCAATAGACATGCAGAGACCGCACTGTGTCATGAACTGTGCCATACACACAACACTGACAAACATTATCTCCTTTGAGAGTGATTCAGGAGGTGACATATGTGACTGTGATGTCTCTAGGCGAGTAAGAGCCTCTGGGTCGTTATCATGATGCGTAGGAGGTTTATGGAGTTCATTCCAGTGAACTTCGGAGTCAGTTGTTGATTCCGCTCCATTCGGACTGGGGATTGGATCCATTGTCGTTTCCATCGTGATGAACAGTCAAGAGATTTCAAACAGCAAAGGAGAAAAAAAAAAGATTCCTGGAAACTGAAGAAGCTCATCTACTTTTTCTATGCTAGATGATGCAGCAAAGTGGGTCTTTGATCGATAAGCTTGAACTTCCGTCGGAACCCGAACCGTCGGAATAGCTTAAATTCGGATTCTATTCCCATCTTGAAATTGAAGCTGGAGATATGCTAAAAAAAGGTTGAATTTCTGGAAATCTGGATCGTTCTGAAGGCTCTTTATACAAAATCTGAAATGCTGGTTGAAGCTTCGAGTCATGCTGGACCCGGGAGTATACTCATAGTAGGAGACTCCAAACCAGTGCCACATGGGCAGTGCCAGTGCTGCACTATGTATATCTTCAAGCAAGACTAGTAGTACCCTAGTCTTCCTAGACAACTTCCACATGTTCCTCTTTCTCATCAATATCCTTCTTTGGATTCGAAGCCGACTTGTTTCGTTGAATCAACTCATCCCCAATCTCAGCATATCTCTCTGGTCGTGCTAGAGAGAGGGCCTGGGGTTGTTATGGACAAACCAAGACTCATTCTCCCGGAAGAATAAATCAATATCCTCCAACTGACGGTTTGCTGTCTCTGGGTAAAAGAAATAAATCGTTGGTACGAAAACCAGATTCATAACCGTCCAAATAATATAGAACCTCCACTTGAGATTCTCAATACCGATCGGTGTGATTTCCACGACCATAAAGTTGATTGCCCAGTTTGTCGCCGTACCCAATGCGGCTCCCTTGGTACGCATGCTGAGTGAATTCAGCTCCACAGGCAAAAGCCACGGAATTCCTTGAAATCCTGTGCCAAAGAAGACATAATATAGGAAGAAAAAGGCTATCGAGGCAGATGCTACCTCTTTCGAATGAGCATAACCTTCTTTCTCGTTGAAACGTAGAAGCACTGTGATGAGGAGATAACAGAAACCTTGGCCCAAGGCGCAGATCATGAATAATCTCCTCCTACCCCATTTTTCGATGTTCATCACTCCAATCGTGCCTGCGATAAGGTATGACACCGAGTTACAGGCTGCCAGTAGTCGGGCCAGTGTTTCTGAGAGGCCGACGGATTGCATTAAAACGGTTGGCAAATAATAACTGGGATATAGAATTAGCAATTTAGTTATGTGAAGTCATAGAGCTTTGTGACCAACCTTGTTACATTGATTCCTGCCGCCTGTTGCATGAACTGAGCGCCTGCGCCCAGCATCATCCGACGAATGGCACATGTTCCACCCTCCTTGGTTCTTCCACGTAGGAGATCCATCCACGAGACAGCATGCTGACGCTCATATTGTACCGCAGCCACGATCTCCGTATATTGAGTCATCACATACGGGTCACTAACATCCATGTCCTCTAAGTCAGCAATGATAACCTGAGCCTCATCGGGCCGATCATGAGCAATAAGCCATCTGGGAGACTCAGGTAACCAAGGTACTGTGCCAAAGAGAACGAAGATGAAGATAAACTGGAAGGCTAAGGGAAATCGCCATGCCACTGGTCCAGGAAGAAATGAGAACGCAAACGTCATCCAGTTGGACAAGGAAAAGCCAGCAATGTTCAAAGTCAACTCAATCACGATTAAACGACCTCTCCATTTGGCTTGGCTAGTTTCACCCTGCCATACGGGAGCGGTTGATGTGTTGATACCATTGCCAAGACCAGCAGTGATGCGACCAACGATCATTTGAGGAACACTGTATGCTGTGATTTGAAGCAGAGCACCAATGGACATGACGACAGTTCCATACATAATGGATAATTTTCTGCCCCATCTTTCTCCCCATATCAGAGCAATTATAGCGCCGAATAGACAACCAACGTCGTAAATTGCTGTCACAGTTCCTAGAAGTGTCGCACTATTATTCAGGTTGAGGGTATCAAGGAAGTCCTTGGTAACAACAACGCCACCTTAAACATTGAGATATTAGCTTTCATGATCAAGTTTCTAATAAATTGGGACATTTACCAAAGACGCCTTGATCATAACCAAATAGCATCATGTCAGTAGCACAGGCGACAGTGACCCAAAAGGTCAACCATCCCCCGCGTAGGCCAAAATATGGCCGACTGGGCTTTAATGTACTCAGCATAGCGCAAAGCTAACTCGCGCACAAAATGTAACAAGCAAACTTGAAGATACGCAAAGAGATTTTGACTTGGGCAGATGATGAAAAATGTTAAGACACCTGGACTGCTCGCATTTATAGGTATACATAAGCGTCATTGAGGGGATGGTACTTATCTTGAGTACGACGCCTACTAGTACTTCCACCACACTGGCAGGAGAAACCACGGGGATACTATAGCGTGGATAGACAGGTCTATTTCCAAATCAGGCGTAGGTAATAGCGGGGATACCCCGGACGCCCCAGAAAATGACCGAGTTCGCTCAATTAAAGCGAATGAAGGGAAACTATCAGCCAATAGGAGATCCAGGGAGGCAAATAGGAAGTTGGGGTCACAGTGGCGATCGACAGTTACTCCGATTTGTGGTTGAAGCACGCGTGTGCCAAGAGATGTTCAAGTTTAATCTGAACTGAAACATGGAACAGGAACTTGAACGAGGTCATCGAGATCTCTATGAAATGGCCTGGAATGACCTGGAAAATGATTTTTGCCCACAATATTTGTCTTTTTGACACTGGAACAATAGCCTCGCCAAGAGTAACCGTCTTTTTGAAGCATACTGTAGCAGAGAATGAGAAGGTGTCGGAGGGTTCACAGCCAGGTATGCAAGTACGTCATCGTGGATAGTAACTCTCCTGGAACTTTTTGAAACTTTCTTGACGAGACAAGGTTTGGATCTGCATAAATCGGCCCATTAAAACATTATTTCAAACCCTGAAGGATACCGAAATTCACTCACCGAGATGCCGTACCTTGACCCACGGCCCGGGGCACACGGTGATATCGGGCACTTAAACCTTGCCGGCCGTGCGTGGTCCGACATTGTTGACTGTTGGACTGATCAAGAGTGACAGAGTTAAATTCGCGCATAGAATGATGCTGGTACTGGTGATAAGGCAGAATTCGGACCTCGAAATATCGGGTTGTTTAGGATGGTGGAGGAGGGTAGTAGTGAACAATTCCTATCTGGGCCCCCGGCATGAGGTGCCTCATCTGGGCATCCGAGTGTACATTATGTGATCACTTGACAAATACCTAGGTACACTTGAACAATTAACATGAGAATGATGGATAAACTACTGAATACATTGCTATGATTGTTTCTCTCCCAATTGCATGGTCTATAGCTTTGAAGATCGCTCAGTCACATCAGTGGGCAAGTATCTCTTTTGAACCTTCCCACTTGGAGTCCGTGGAATTGCATCAACAAAATAAACCCCTCCAGTTAACCACTTATGACGCGCGAATCGATTCTTGATGATGTCAAATACTTCTGCCTCCTTTAGAGTCTCTGTTCTTCGCACCACAAATGCTCGGGGGTACTCCTGTCCATCGCTGAAACACCGAACCGTCAGAAGAGTGAATAAAGATGGTATTAAGGGGGAATTTTCCTTACATTTTGGCACCCACTACAGCTGCATCTGCAATATCTGGATGACCCACGAGTGCTAGTTGCAATTCAGCCGGTGCTACTTGAAGGCCTTTCACTTTGATAAGTTCCTAGATCTCCGTCAGCTCTGATCATCTAACGATGTCTCTTTATCTTAGTCTCGGCTCACCTTAAGACGTTCGACAATATAGATGTATCCCCGACTGTCAATATATGCAAGATCGCCAGTCCGGATCCATCGATGACCATCGCTTTGCACGACAGTATCTCTCGTGGCCTTGTCGTCCTGCCAATATCCTTGCATCATTTGAGGCCCTGATACCCAAAGCTCCCCAATAGTAGCTGGTGTGTCTGATGAAGGGTCCTCCTTATCTTTCTCGACCGGAACTATCTGAGCAGCACTGTTCGGATTCAGCCATCCGACACTTCTCCCATCGTCGTAATCATCGGGGGCAAATGAAGCCACCGAGCAAGTTGACTCTGTCATGCCCCACCCTTGTTTAACGACAACTCCCGACTTGAGAAATTTCTGTGTGATCCTGGAGGCAAGATCCCCATCAAGGGGCGCGGAACCAGTCAGGACAACCTCCACTGCGTTCAGATTGAATCTGTGTGGGTGTTCGTATTTATCAAGCATTGTTATAATAGTGGGTACAGTGGTCATGAAGGTGATACGATATATGTCCAGGAAGAGGAGATATTTCTCAAGAGAGAACTCCATCATGATGAAAATCCTGGCTCCCAACCGAGCCGCACTGAGACAAGAATAGGTCTGACCGTATGCGTGATACATTGGAAGAGGAGTAAGCCATCTCTCACCAGAGAGAGCTAAGTTCTCCCTTCGTCTCTTGGACTCAGGAGTATCTGAGAAGTGACTGCGTTTAAACAGAACCTGTTCAGAGTTTGCGACAAGATTATAGTGCGATATTTGAACTCCTTTCGGCAGTCCGGTGGTTCCACTGGAATAGTTCAGAACGGCAGTCGTTGCACTTGCTTCTTCGAAAGTTGTGATTTGATGCCATTGCCATGTCTCTGCCTCCTCTGGGGTGACCCAAAGCTTTGTCCATGGAGCCACAGGTAACAACTGTTCAAGGTCTTCATTGGGATCACCAAAGGCAAATATCTGTGATAGAGGTAGAGACACCTCCGCAGCTGCTTTTAAGGCCGTCTGGATTCCACTGCGACTAGTTAGCAGAATACTAGCTCCGCTATCTTTCAGTTGATATGCCAATTCTAGCAATAAAGTTAGCTTATTATTAGAAAGACAAGGGGCTAGAGAAATCCTACCGCCTGCGGACGCCGATGGAGCTATGCCGGTGAAGACACAGCCTGCTGCAGTAACAGACCAGAGAACCACTGGAAATAATAACTTGTTTCCGGAATACAGGAGAACTCTATCCCCTTTGCGGAGTCCATGTCTAAGCAATCCTTTGGCGAACCTTTTGACATAGACTTCAGCCTCTTGAAGGCTGAAGTTTGTCGAAGGACTGTCCGCATTGAAATACACGGGCGCACCTCTAGATTCCTTTGTCCCCGAAGAGAAGACATATGATGCGACATCAATTGTTGGTAACTTCATGGATAGAGGTGATTTGACTATTGTGCCAACTGGCAGTATGCTGGTCTGGGAGTCACCGGTAGCCATTTTGGAGTCTGTTGGTGTGCTTTGGTAGGAAGTTGGGAAAGTTAAGGCGATCCTTTATAACACTTAAGGCCTCCAGTGACCATGAATACTATCTTCGAAATGTTAGACTGCACAAATGCTTTTCAAATGCTTAACCATGGAACTGAGTAAAGGATTCCCTTTGCACCATACCAAATTATCAATTGTCAAGTTCACTCGCAGCAATTCGAAGGGTTGATCTCATAGCCCGTTGACCTTAGAGATGAATTTGAACTACGGAGTAGATAATATTCTTTTTTAGAATAAAACCTCGGTAGACATGCGGGGTATCGAAATTTTGGACTACATTTGTTAGCCGATCACTAGGCACTGGGGACATCAATGACCTCGGAAGTCACCGAGGTCGGACTTACGGTGTTTCCCCCGCTCGGCGTAAATGCAAGAAGATCTCGAAGATGCGTATCACTTGACTCCGCCGAAACCTGTAAGAGATTGAATGTTACGCCGACGAACAATCCATCGGATCCAACTTGCCATGACTTATGAGCCCACCAGTTGATGATGAAAGGAATGGCCGATCTGCATCCGCGCAAAAGACGACCGACGGCATGCATCCCTTGCCATCAGCGAAAGGTTCGGTGTGACGCGGCCACAAGTGGTACACCATGCTCGAGATGCATCTCCAAGGATGTAGTGCAAGATTGTACTCTGGTCCCTCCAAGAGCCTCAAAGAGAGGGTCCACTCGTCCCCAAACCCACCCCCTGAATAGCGCGCGTCGGCGCCAGAACAGCAATACGCGTCTTAACTGTGCCCATGTGGTATGCGCACATTTCTCGTTAAAGACCCATCCTTGATGATTAATTGCATTGGAGTTGCCTTGTCATTATCAAGCTCGTTTTGACTCCAATATAACCCTTACAGACGAAACTAATTTGTTAGAATAGACTCACGTTACTGATTCATTTGGGACTATTGGATCTCCAACCATCCAAGATGAACTGACGCAGTTTCATGGGCCTCAAAGGCTCGCGACCGGGGGTTTACAGCCATTTCAGTCGATTACGACACCTAGCTCGAATATTACCGGAGAATCTCTAGGGAATTCTCACACCTCAGTCGCAAATTACGCAGTCTCAGAGGAGGACGCTCATGTTTAAACACTGCACCGGATGACTGATGGAAATGAAATAATCTCATCACCTGCAGGGATCTCAGATGAGCCACATAATTACGAAGTAGTATAATATTTCGACAATCTCAATTGCGTCTCCATTCTAGGAGAGGCACTCGGGCGATGCCAAACGAGAAGATTGATTCAACTTGATTTATCACCACCACATCATGCTTCAGCTGAGCAAAGGGCGCTCTCCAACCTAGACCCTGCAGATGCTAATTATTTATGTTCGCGTGATGTGTTCAAGACTACACCTAGGGCAGCGTGGTCAGTATACTCCATCACTATTTGAAGAAATCAAACTTATTGTTACAGTGTCTCTCTAGTTCAACTTTGGTTTAGGCATGTTTACCCCTATACACCGGTATTGGATCGAGTCGACTTTAACGAAGATTTCATCAACAACAAGATCTCTCATTTTCTGTCATTTGCAATCTTGGCTAATGTAGTTCCATACATTTCTCATGGTCTCATTCAAAGTGCTGGATATTCTGATAGGAATTCCGCACAGCGAGACTTTTCCTCCAAGGCGCAACTTCTTCATGACTTTGGCTGTGAGAGGCGACAGATGGGTTTGCTACAAGGGTCATGCATCTTGAGCTCATTTCAAGTCTCTTATGCACCGACCAAGGATTTCAGATTTTGGCTTCATAATGCCTTTCGTATTGCCACGCAGATGGGACTGCACCGCAAAAACTTGGCCGATGACTTGGATTCACGGACATATCGTTTGTGCCTCAGGATTTGGTGGATGATCTATGTCCGTGATCTGCGTTGAAGGGAATAAAAGGAACCCGCTAACAATTAGATAGGCGAGAGATGTTTTGTTCAATCTGTCTGGGTTCGCAATCGCTGCGTCGACGATAGAGAAGTGGATATTTATCTACCTCAAGAGAAAGATTGGCCAGATGAGGACCTTCCTGAAGACGTCAAGTCACTTGGGTCATCAACGAGCATCCATAAAGCCTATTTTTCACATAACTGTAAGCTGGCTTTGCTAGGTAAGTGATACTACAGGCCATCAGAGCTTTACATGCAGCTCGCTAATTCTGTAAACTAACATAGGTAGCAAGTTCCTACGCTTATCCAGGAATTCCACATCGCCAATCACCGAATCAAGAGCTCGGCAGTATGTAGACGAGATGTCTACATGGCGGAATCAGCTTCCCGCTGAATTCTCAACAAATCACGTCAGCTCATGGACAAGCGATAATGTTTGGATTCTTTTTCTACTGGCCCTGAGCTACAGGCTAGAATGCTTCTTTTATCGAACCACTCGCGACCAATTCAGACAAACTTCCAATCAGGAACGCATCGAGTGGTGTAAGAGACTGTTGACTGGTTGTGTTTTCGAACTAGATACACTGATGAGCAGAGCAATTGAGCATGATGTGCTTAAGTACGCCCCTGCTTCCTTGTAAGTCCATCTATATGCAATATTTTATCTTGCAGCTAATCAGATCGTAGGATCGTTGTTGCATGTAATTTGTTAGCATTCCATATGGAGTCCGCACTAGATGATGAATCGAAATCATCTCGCAGGTATACAGCCAAAGCACGAATCAATGCTCTGCTATCCTATTTCGAAGAAGCAGGCGAAAATTGGCAGATGGCGAAGTGGACATTCAGGGTCTCTGAATGGGTCATTAAGCAGGCGGGGTTGAGAGTTGATGAGGATGCTATCATATCCGAAAACTCTCCAAAGTCAGTCGAACCGCAGTCAAACGATTGGAACTGTGGCGACCAGTCCACTGCTGCGTTTTCTTCAATTCCAGCCCCATTTGCACCATTCTTCACAAGCGAATCACTATTCGCCTTCGGCGATGCATTTCCGGATCCGTGGCTGGAGAATCTGTTTGGAGATATTTTTCACAGGTAGTTCGATAGGAAATTTTTGGCTCCAAGACCGGATCTTGAGCTTTTAGTAGTATCCTCAGAAATCCTGGAGTGGTAATCGGATACTCAAGCATAACACCGAGCACCGAACGCCGAGCATAAAAATAGGCATGCTAGTCATGCCTCCCCACCGCTTCCCCGCATTATGTACCTGGGATAACATTTGAACGGGTTACTTGAAATATTAACCGAATATTCATATTTATCAAGATGAAAACATAACTTCCTGGCTGAAGAGTGCCTTTTTATCCCAGATTATCAAGAAAATACACATTCAACAAAGATGGCTTCACGCCTACAAGGAAAGGTTGCAATAGTCACCGGTGCTGGGTCAGGCTATGGATTAGGAATCGCCACAAAATTAATAAGTGAAGGAGCAAATGTTATCATCGCAGATATCTCAGAACCAAATGGCATGGTAGCTGCGAATAAGCTAGGAGCTACTTATGTGAAGACTGATGTGACCGACAAAGCCCAATGGCAAAACCTATTGGAGAAGACGTTGAGCACTTACGGTGCACTTGATATCGTTGTTAACAATGCTGGGGTTTGTTACAACAAGCAGCCTTCAGAGACTCTCTCAGATCGCGAGTTTGATCTTACCATGAATGTCAACGTGAAGTCTATATTTAACTCCGTCGCCGTTATCATGCCTCACTTTCTTCAACAAAGTGACGGCGTCTTCGTGAACGTAGTATCGACAAGCGCTATTCGTCCCAGGCCGGGTATGTCTACCTCTAATACTATTCTATGAGATTTCTATTGACTCAAATTTAAGGACTCGCTTGGTATGCCGCCAGTAAAGCCGCAGTCAATGTTGCAAGTAACGCTATGGCTATCGAATACGGCTCAAGGGGGGATCAGATTCAACACTGTCCGGTTGTTGGGCTCACCTTTATGTACGAATTATTTTCTAGATATTTCATCCATTTTCAGAGCAATTTCTAATCTTAGATGGGACAAGCACTATGCAGCAGTCTGATCTGGATGCCTTTGCATCAGTCATTCCACTAGGCCGAATTTGTACTCCAGAAGATGTGGCTGGCGCGGTTGCTTATCTAGTAAGCCCAGATGCCAAATTTATCACTGGTGTGAACTTACAGGTATGTTACCTATGCGATTTTCATCACTCCAAGATTTATTTCTCTATTCAAGTCTAGGTGGATGGGGGAAGATGCGTTTGAGACTATCACCATGGGTGGTTAAACGGTGTATCTGGTTTTCGGCATCTCATGTAGAAACCTAGGATAGCTTTTCATCGGATGTCTGCTCTAATCTGATCGCTCAATAGCTTCTAGGACCAGTCTCAATGAGTAGTAGTTACTGATCGGATCTGTATTTTAATCTTGTAAATCATGAGAACTCAATATGATCAATTGATGAAAACAAACAGAGAAATCTAGAATACAGCATCTGGAAGGTCGCTCGGTTGTCTATTCTTCCCATCCATCAATCCATAATACCAAGTTAGATCGCTCCCATCATATTCCCGTACGTGAAACCCGTTGCCTAAGAAGTTGAATGCATTCCCACTCAGATATTCAATCTCATAATCTTCGAATCTCACATTTTGTAGCATGGTGAGATACTGAATCCGTGAGCCTGGCCAGATAGCAGGTTTTCTATTCTTGTCACCCGCCTTGAACCAAGAGGAGCATGGCCCACTGAAAGCCGTCCGCTTGGTATACTCATCCGCATGCTTTGAAAATTGCTCAGCAGCTGATCGCTTCACTTGAATCTTTTTAATGTCTTCAATCTGCGCTTTCTCGAGCACTTGAATCGCATAATTGGTGTAGGCTTCGACCATCGGACAGACAGAGCCATGGCCAAGGGGACCATACCGACCACAAAACACGAAATAGTTCGGTACTTCTGGGGTATTGACTCCTAAATATCCGGGATTGTTGGGATCGAGGAAGTCATCCTGCACATTGCGACCGTTGCAAAGAATTGGGAATTGAGGACGGAACGAAGTATCAAATCCAGTAGCGCAGATTATGGTATCACACTCGTGATGAGAGCCGTTGGCTGCAATGAAGCCAGTCGGAGTGATCTCAGCAAGTTCTTCTTTGAAGGTTGTCGTCTTAGGATTGACAAGTGATTCTAAGAATCCGTTTCCTGGAGTTGGGCGCCGGCAACCAATGCCAAAGTTCTTTGGCATGAGGTGATCGATAAGATCTTCTCGCCCAGCAAGTTTGCGGCTCATCTCCTTGGTGGAGTACTCTCGAGCGTTTGTAGCTTCTTCAGACTCATTAATGACGATACGAAACCTTTGATTCAGTTCCGACTCCACTCCCTTACAGTAGGAAAGATAGAAGTCCGGATCGTTCCTGAAGCGCTCCTTTGTCTCTTCCGAGTATGAGAAGTTCTTGCCATTCTCACCTGCATACTTGGGTGCAAACCCAGCTGTGATCCAGGTAGCAGAACGAGCGACGACAAATAGCTGGGAGATTGTATCGATGATAGCGGGAACCACCTGAACACCCGAGCTGCCAATGCCGAGGACAAGGACTTTTTTATCCTTCAAGTCCACTGTTTCATCCCAGTTGGCCGTGTGAAGCAACGGCCCCTTGAATGTGCGCAGGTTTTGAACTTCAGGCCATTTCCACGAGTTAAGGAATCCACCTCCGTTTATGAAGAAGTCGGCATAATCGACGAAGGTGCTAGAGGGATCTCCATCCTTCATGATTGTCACTTTCCATTTACCCTCATCATCAAGCCACTCTGCTTTGACTATCTTATGATTTAACTTCACAAACTTCTGGACGCTGTTCTCTAGAGCAACTGTCTTGAAATATTGATCGATTTCCGCAGCTCCAGAATAATACTGCGACCAGTCCGGCTTGCGAGCCCAAGTATATTGGTATGAAACACTTGGAATATCGCAGGCACAGCCTGGATACTTGTTCTCCAACCAAGTTCCACCAAAGTCATGATTCTTCTCGTAGATGGTGAGATCGATATTTTCCATTCGCTTCTGCAGCTGAGAGGCGAAGTTTATCCCACTGCATCCAGCTCCCATGAATATCACTTTCAGCTTTCGCTTTGTACCCATCAATGTCTCCCGGATCCTGTAATCAAAGCTTCCTTCTGGTTGCACAACGGAGGCGTCATTGTGTTTCGAAACAGTATCGTAACTTGGGAAATCTGAGATCGTGATAGTTGCCGGATGGACGGATTTTGTGGTCAGAGTTTGGGACAGCATAGTGACACGGAGGAATCAGATCTGTGAGTTCTGGGATAAGGAGTAATTCGCTGATGTTCGTCGAATGACTGAGTCGATTTGGCATTCTTTTCAAGTTATCTCAGCATTTACCTCAACAGTGAGTCACCACTAGGTACAGTAGCTCGGCGTATCTGGCTGGTCGGTTAAGATCATGATAAGATCATCATGTCCCAGCAATTACCCCACTTTTGAACCCATATGTACCCTGTAAATTTACAAGGTATCTGCATGTATATCGGGATGAGTGCCGAAATGGAGTTGTTGGTCTCGGTCTCGGTCTCGGTGTAAGTGAAGACGAATTGTTCATTTTCGCCGCGCCGAACACCATAGCACAAGCCAGTTCTAGGCGCATTCTGTCAATCCAGGGTGGAAACTGTTGCAGTGATCGTAGAGATATCTCAGATTTTTGTGATCAATTAATTCCGCAATACAACCAACGATTACCATCAGTATCCTTCCTAGTGAGCAATATGAATTTGATCCTTCTCATTCTCCGCCACCCTCTCAGAACCATTTATTTCCTGTATACCTGGGTAGTTCAATCTATTTTTGTAATTCTGAGGAGAGCTCTTTTGCCTCATTTACCGATGTATCGGCCTCTTCGTATCCAGCTTCACCGGGCATATCTCTCTTCTTGTGCCACCACGTTCCCCGATCTTGTATATCGATTACCGGTCGGACAGGTCCCTGAGCCAAGAGCCAGTCTTACCAGGTCTGATTTTGTTGGATATTTGATCCCGGGAATAAAGCCCTTTTGCTCTCACAAATTCCAGAGAAGCCCAGCAATTCCCAATGCGTCGTGCTATATGCCCATGGCGGCGGATATTCTCGCGGGGAAGCGAGGATGTATCTCGATTATATGGAGCGCTGGGTGAGGTTCGCCAAGTCAGATGACTTAGATATTTTGTTTCTTAGTGTTGAATACCGTAAGACTATTTGATCTAATATGTGAATCAGACTAATCTGAATCATCGCTTTAGCTTTGACCGATCAAGCTTCGCACCCGGCCCGAAGAGACGCCTTCTTGAAGGCATATCAATATTTACTAAGCCAGAAGATTCCATCCTCAAAAATATTTTTATGGGTGATTCCGCGGGTGGTAAGACAGACTCGATGTTTTGGTCGATATTTTTAACGATGACTGCTAATAAAAATTCAGGCGGTTGCTACATCCTCGGTGGTATCGAGTGTAAATCACATGGGTTACCCCAACCCGCGGGGACTATCCTCATATCTCCATGGATCGACATGGCAACACACCCAAGAGAAGGTGGGAATGCTTTAATGGACACGGACTATGTTGTCGGAGCAAATACATCTACCCCTTGCTTTGCCATGAAGTGGCTAAATGGAATTTCACCAACCGATCCAGAGGTCAATCCAATTTATCGGCAACCTGAAGAGTTAATAGGACTTAGCCCTCAGCTTATCCTTGTTGGTGGTGGTGAGTTTGCTTTACAGGAAGCGAAAGACTGGGCTACACTTTGCAGAAAGGCGGATATCCGGCATGAGATTATCTGCGAATGGGGACAGTTGCATATCTATGCTCTAGGATCGGCATGTATTGAACCGTCTGTCTAGGGAAAGGACCGATAGCAGTATCATGACTTGGATTAAGCAATGTATCACTTGATGTCAATCAATAGTAGTTGTGCTACACAATCGCGATACGTGCATCCATGTCAGTTTTAAAATTTGAATAGCAAACAAAGAAAATCTATTTGAAAACATACAGACCATTAAAATTCTTGAGGAACACACACATAACTTTCAATTCATCCATATCACTCACCCGTCAAGAAACTTGAATCATAAAGTATACCGGAATAGCGGGCTCTTATCTCCAAGTTCAACCCACTCGGCATCTGAATACTGAGCTCTGACCTCCTCGGCCGATTTGCCGCTCATGAACTCATCCCTCCTTTTATTTCCCCTTTGTAGAGCAAGGCGCAGAGCGATTGTACTGACAGTTGAGATGATGAGAACCCCAAGGCATGTGCCAAAACCAGCAGGGTACTTGGGAGCCTGGCTTTGGAGAAAGATATTGCTGCCTATAAAGCCACCAAAGTTGCCGATAGTGACGAGAAGAGCGAGGCCGACCGCTCTTTTAGAGCTTGGAGCCAGATTATTTGCGCAGAGGCACATTATGCACACCAATGGTCCATATATACCAATGGCAATGAAGAAGAGGAACAGGTAAGTGACTCCGAATAGCCGGTCCTGTGGAATAGCAAGCTCCGCAATGAAGCCGATAATGGCAACGCTGTAGCACCCAATGATAAAACGTGTGCGTGTCTGTATGTGGTCAGACCATAAAGCGATGATCAAGACAAATACGACTGCACTCATGTATATCTGTCTTCATGTCAGTCGTTAAAGGCTTCATGAAGATGTACTGGAGCCGATTGAAAATACCGGGACTGTCATCAATTGTGCGGTGGCTGAGTTATAGCCCATATCCTCAACTACGGTGGGTAAAACACCTGTGAATCTGTAAACGCCGACACTAACTCCCTGATAAATCACTGTCATGGCGTATATCTTCCAATCCATCCGAGTATCTTTGATAGACGACCATGCAACTTTATCGGTGTTGTCCGTCCCAGTCTCGACTTTTAAACAATTTATTATAAATGCCTTTTCCTCGACTGTCAGGAAATGCGCAGTTTCTGGCTTATCAGGCAGAATAAACCACACTGCGATGGAGCAAGCGACTGGGAACAACCCCTCAATGATGAAAATCCATCTCCATCCTGCAAGACCACCAATGCCATCCATCTTCTCGATCGCAAAGGCAAGTAGGCCGCCAAATGCTCCCGAGAAGGAGCAGGCAGTATAGAACACAGCCATACGGCTTTGGATCTCATATCGTTTATACCTATATCACTTGTCAACTTCGGGTTGAGAATACTTCCAGAACCTCAGACCCACCAGAGAGTAAGAAGATAGGCCGCAGCTGGAAAAAAGCCAGCTTCTGCTAATCCGAGAAAGAAGCGCGCTGCCACGAGCCCTTGATAAGAACTAACTATTCCAGTGAGGGTCATGATAATTCCCCAAACAAACATCATGACAGCAATCCACTGTGAGGGCTTCATGATTTTGAGGAGGATGTTGCTGGGTATTTCAAACAGGGAATAAGAAAGAAGACAGATAGGGCGACATTATATCTGTTGCCGTAGAGGTCAAGATCTGATTCCATGCCAGCGATTTTGGCATTTCCGAGATTTGTAACATTCAAGAAGGACGCTCTATCATATGGTTGTCAGAATTCATAGTGATAGAGCTAGTTGAGGATTCTCACAAGTAAAGCAGAGTAAGTAAAGGAACCAATCTCCAGTCAATCTTCCACAAAATTCTTGCAGTTTGTTTCTTGTCATATTCTAGGATCATCAGATCGACATTGAAGCTCTCTCCTTTTTCACTTGAGGCATTGTCAGCGGTATCTTCAATAAAGATCTCCTTTGGCTTCAATTCCGTCATGGCGATGAAAGACCGCCGAGTTTAAAAAAAATCAATTATCCAGATGTTCAAGCAAAATGTATTTCTGAGTTGATCTGTGATGTCAATCATAAAAAGGTACCAACTTTCTGGCTGACCCGCATCTTCAAGGACAACAAGATCAATATAGGTGCGCAGGGCTCTTTCGGCGAGACACCGATCTGCGGGGGAGTGGGCATCGGCGTAGGTTCCCCAGATTTTGGCACTTTGACCGAGAGTCTATTCGGTGTACACAGTGCACATGCGGGAAGAGGAAAGGTCAAAGCTAAAAATTGGTTGGTTTATCAATTTTCCAAACTGAGATTTGTCCCAAATTCAGACCATCAAATCATAAGTCTGAATTTACTCGGTCTTGTAAAATAGCATACGTTCAAAGGTTTCATTTTCATGGATAATCGCTGGATCATGAATATATCACAGGCTCTTGATTACATTGGGTAAATCATCCATACTGTACAGGAAGAAATCAAACTCACCTCGTACTTGTTCCATATCTTCATGAATATCATCAGTCCACCTGTAAATGTAGATCGTTTTCATCCCAAGTACCTTTGCAGCACGAAGATCATACGCGTGTGCTGCAACCATTACGACCTCCTGGGGACTGCGCTGAACCAATTCCAATGCTTTGCGATAGGCATCCAGATTGGGTTTGTACAGGCCCAAAAGTTTACTCGAAAATAACATATCGAATTTCAGTCCCGATGACCGAGTCAAGTCAAGCTGAAGACGAGTCGTCCCATTAGCATGAACGAACACTTCAAGACCAAGGTCCTCTCGAAGGCTTTGAATGGCCTTTGGAACCTCGGGCCAAGCTGCTTGGGAGTGCCAAGCGTCCACTAGCTTTTTTTTTCTCATCGGCTTCGAGCTGGGGGTGACTGGGAGCTTCTGAGAGAGCAGTTTCAAGAACACGGGCCAAAGTCACGTCGATGTCTTCTGGGGCCAGATTCTGACGGAAGCGCCCTTCGTTCTCAAGGAAGTATAATCTGCGCCAGTTCAAGGCCAGTTTGGATGCATCGTCGGTGGAGATTGAAGCAGGCATGGATTTTACCACGCTGGAATGCCAATCCAGACAGGTTCCCATGAAGTCAAAAAAGATGGCTTTGGTTTTGCTTTGAGACATTTTCAAGTTCAACTGGACACTGGCGGTTCATATGTGCATGTGCATGTAATACTTCATGCACATGTGGGGATTAGATTGATTGATTGGTTGATTGCAGTTAGAATTGAAAATCTTCGGAGTGACTTGGAACAGTTAATATTTCTTGTTTATAGTCCTGGAGATGGAGATAGAGTTCAACTCAGCCCTTGAATGATTATAAATCAAAATGCTGACAAACTGAAACTCGTGAGATTGAAGTGTGTAGATACTCAAGTCCTTGACTTTGGTATACCAGTTGACTTATATTATCAGATGATTTCTAGTTTAAAGTTAGAGCACGTCATTCGGTTATCGTTTATCCGGTATAAGCACTTGAGTGGAGACAATCATTCACAAATATCCATGGATATTTGTTAGATATTTTTTTCACCCAGTACTACTTGTGATATCAAGCTCATCTATGCTCATATTATAGTCCGATTTGAACCTCTTGTCTCAAATTTCTATAAAACCATCAGCGTATCATCTTGTGAAATTTTATAGTAGTCTTACAAGTTCTTATCAGATAAAGCTGTAATAAAGCGGGATCATCCCGGTACAGCCAGGATGGCGTCACTGCCAGCTATGATGTGCTGGATAAAAAAGCAATATAATCTATACAATTTCTTTACAAGTACTATGGCTTCTATGATTTTATACCTACATATTACCCTAGCATCCGAGGTCCATATAAACACAATTATGGGTGAGGGGCTCAAAGCCCCTTACATAAGCATCACATGCGGATATTTTTCTTTGGCGACGTGGAGCTTTTTTTTTCTCTTTCTATCATACTTTTCTTTCATTCCTGGTTTTCCTCATTGCTTGCTCAATCTGCAGATTGGGCACTCTGCCTGCCATGATCTCTTGTGCTTTTGGGATGTTGCTTGAGTGCTAAGAGATCACTCTTCCCATCATATACTCCCCCTCTTATACCCCCTCTATACCCCTTCTCCACTTTTGAACGTGAAACAGAACGAAGACTCGATGGATTCTCAACCCATAGTCTTTATTGTCAGGTATGCCTTGTTATTGAGATCTCTCATCACATCAGCTGATTTTTTTTTTCCACCTACTAGACATGGCGCACGTCTCGATGCGGCTGACAAAGACTGGCACTTAACCTCTCCCACCCCCTACGATCCTCCTCTTTGTTACAGTGGATGGCTTCAGTGCCGCTCCCTGGGAATGCGCATAGCAAGTCTCTTGCAGGCACCAGATTTTATAGGGAAGAGCCAGGGAGAACAGACCGAGCCTGTCACCTCGGAAGACAAGACGAGTCCAACCCCCGCAAGCTCGGATCTACATAACCGGTACAACGTCATCATTCACACGTCCCCATTCTTGCGATGTCTTCAGACCTCGATTGCCATTAGTGCAGGTCTCAGCCAGTCTGGTGAAACCACAAAATCCTCCGATACAGGAGATAAAAATCAAGCTTTCCATAGAGATGCTGCGGATATCGACCCGCGCCCTCTGGTGCGCGTCGACGCGTTTCTAGGGGAGTGGCTGTCTCCAGACTATTTTGATCAAATCACCCCTCCGCCTAGCTCGGACCGGATGGTTGCTTTGGCCAAAGCAGAACTGCTTCGCCGAGGGGAAATAATCCCTCAGGCGTGGGAAGGGACTAAAGGGGCTAGAACTACGTCAGGTCATTTCCCAGGTGGCTGGAGCAGTCATTCTAGTCCCACGACCCCCGGTGAAGATGACGGCCACTCCTCTCCGCAACACGGTCTATCTTCGACCCCACGACAAACTGTCCAACGCCAGCGTGCTAGTACTGTTGATATACCGCAAACCCCGATTTTACTCGGTGGAGCTCCAACAGCCTTGGCTCGTCTGGACACCAATTTGGAGGCTGTGAGAAATCGCTCCTATGTGCCTCCGATCCCTAATTATGCTGTCTCTGGTTCAGATCCCATTCCATCAGGATATGTCACCCATGCGCGAGATGCCTGTACCAGAATCGACTACCAATGGGATAGCATGCGGACCCCCATGTGGGGCACGGGCGGCGACTACGGTGAGGAATGGAGTTTTATGCAAGATCGGGTTGCCGAGGGATTTAAGCGAATGATGAACTGGTATCGGTCAAATCCAAGTGACCCTAGCCTTAGCCCAGTCGCAATGGGTGCGCTACCCAGCGAGGACCGCCCAAAGCAGACCGTTCTCATTCTCGTGACCCATGGTGCAGATTGCAATGCATTAATCAACTCTGTGGCCGGTCACTCTATCCTGTTGGATATTGGCACGTCGTCTCTGACATTGGCCGTGCCACGTAAACGGCTACCAAGCACAGATTCAAAGTCTGATCAGACATCAAAAGCTTCCTCACAAAACACCGGACAAATCTCGCAAGAATATGCCCTTCACCTTGTGGCATCTACAGATCACTTACGATCGGGTGTCAACCCCTCTCAACTGACTACACTAGCCTCCCCCCTCGGCTTCCCAGTCAGCATCAAAACCCTCTACGCCCACTTACCGCAATCGCGTCAGTTCCCGGCCCCAGCCTCTCCAGGGTACTTTTTCGATGGAACCCGTCTCTGTAAATGGGATGGGCCCTCGTGGATGGACCCTTGCACGCAGACCGTCCACATCGGATATGCCTCGAGCGCCTTCCGGTCTTTGGGGCTCCCTTGCTTCCCCCATCGAGAAGGACGAAGAGACGGAAGAAGATTTGGTTCCCAACTTTGGAGATCAACGCCCTACTAGTCAAGACTCAAAGCTTCCTGAAGGTCCAGTGGATCGAACTGAATGGGCGACAAAGCTGCCTCATCGAACTCGTTCTCAGAGAGGCTTATGGGGTAGCGCAGTCTCTTTGGATGATCGCGACTCGCCATCGAGACGACGATGGACAGTAACGGAACAGAAGCTATGAATTCATGATGTCTATCACGCCTTTTAATTTTTGTTTCTAATTTATCTTATGACCTCTCCTCTCGGGATACCTTCTCTTGCATGGCGCTGGGCGTTAGCTAATTGCATTTTCCAATGTACATATCTTTCAACTCAATGATTCAATGGAGATTTCCTCCTTTTTCCTCAGGCATAAAGGCACCAAGGCACCCAGGCACGCAAAGTGGCTTCCCCAGATTAGCTCCGCCCTTTGTCCCACCTTCCTAATCCTTGGAAGCTGGTTCGCTTCCAAGTAAACAAAGCTCCTTATCTTCGTTTCTTTCCCCTCTAAACCCCTTCCCCCTCTTTCTCCTCTATTTCTCTTTCCCTTTTCTTCATACCGTTTTTCTTTCCTATCCTTCTAACCTATTGTTAACCAATTCCATGTCGAAGCTCCAGTCCGACGGCTTGTCCGTCACTCATGCCTCGGACCGCATCGGCGCCCCAGATCTGCGGCTGATCCACTACAACGATGTCTATCACGTCGAGTATGAACCTCACATCTACCATATTCTGACATTGAATTTGCGCAAATTGTACTCACTATTATTTCATTCAAGGCCAGGATCTGCAGAACCAATTGGAGGCGCCGCCCGCTTTCAATCCCTCGTGAACTACTACCGCTCCGACCCGCGATTTACCGGCCAATCCAATGTCCTAACATTCTTCTCGGGCGACGCCTTCAACCCTAGTCTGGAGAGTTCCGTTACAAAGGGGAGACACATGGTCCCATTCCTGAATAAGATTGGGACTGATGTAGCATGCGTGGGTGTGCGTAACCCAAATCGCTTGTGCTGTGGGCTGTGAACACTGCTGACATGGTACAGAATCATGATCTGGACTTTGGAGTGGCCCAACTGCGCCACCTTGCCGCCCAATGCCATTTCCCATGGCTCTTGGCAAACGTGCTCGATCCCGCCCTGGGAGAGAGTGTTCCGATCGCCAACTGTGGAAAGTCATGTATGTTAAGCTCGTCGAATGGTATCAAGATCGGCGTGATTGGCTTGGGTGAAAGAGAATGGTGAGATCTATTTGGTCCAATGTGCTATTCGTTATACGCTAATAAATCTTCAGGCTAGGTACGATCAACTCACTTCCACCTAATCTAATCTACAAGTCCGCAACCCAAACAGCCAAAGAGCTGGCCCCTAAACTTCGAGAACAGGGTGCGGAGATGGTGATCATTGTTTCCCATCAACGCGAACCAAATGACAATAAGCTCGCAACCAATCTTCCCCCAGGATTGGTGGATATTATACTCGGCGGTCATGATCATTACTACTCACATTCTATTATCAATGGCGTTCATGTGCTTCGATCAGGCACGGACTTTAAACAATTAAGCTACATAGAAGTTTTCCGCAAGGAGAATGGCGCCCCGGGCTGGGATTTTAACATCACTAGGCGAGACCTTGTTCGGTCTATCCCTGAAGATTCTGCAGCACTGGCATTGGTCGATCGTTTAACCTCCAGTCTCAAATCAAAGCTCGAGAAGCCGATTGGATACACGGTGATTCCTTTGGATGGTCGCTTTTCTACTGTACGACAGCGGGAATCAAACTTAGGAAACTTTGTCTGTGACTTGATGCGATTTTACCACGATGCTGATTGTGCAATGATGGCGGGTGGTACCATTCGCGGTGATCAAATATATCCGCCTGGCGTGTTACGCATGAAAGACTTGCTTAATTGCTTTCCGTTCGAGGACCCGGTGGTACTTTTACGAATTCGCGGGCAGGCTTTACTTGAAGCACTTGAGAATGGTGTCAGTACGCTTCCTGCCCTTGAAGGTCGTTTTACACAAGTTTCAAACATATCATTCGGGTTTAAATTGGCCGCGCCGCCTGGCGCTCGCATCACTTTTGCTCGTATTGGTGGCCAGCCTATTGATCTGCAGCGCGACTATACTCTTGCTACACGTGGCTACATGGCTCGTGGAAAGGATGGTTTCTCCTCATTGCTGGTCAAGTCAGAGGGGGGAGAAGTAGAAGAGCTGGTATGTGAAGAAAACGGAGTGCTGATTAGCACAATCCTCCGCCAGTACTTTATGAGTCTCAAGGTTCTCGGTAAATGGGGCCGGTGGAGTCCGAGTCTTCACCGGCACTGGGGCTCTGTGCATCAAAACTTACACAGCGAAGGGTGGCTGAAGGCCCCGTCTGCTGCTGCATCTCCAGTGTCAGAAAAAGCACCAAGTCATCGATTCACCCCGCGACCACCTCTGCAAAGAACCGGCCATGAGGCTTATTATTATGGACGCTTTCCAAATGAAGTCGCAGCAGAGGGTGCCCCCGATGTGGGTAATGGGAGCGGTAGCGATGTCATGGACTCCGATTCGGATGAGGATCCCAATCTTCTTACTTCTCCCAGACCAATGATCAATTATGTGACAATGCCTGCCCGGTCATCTGCAGATGAGGAACATCGTCTCCAACTGGCACGCCGAGTAGTTCGCAAGTGGATGCGCCATGCCGGTCTTGACTCTGAGAGGCTTAATCCCATGGATGGCGAGGGCGAATTTACGCCGCCATGGACATCCGGGATCTCGCCTCGGATCGAGGGTCGAATTGTAATAGAATGAGGCTCAAGTTTTTTTCCATATTCTTAAATTTCGGGTTTGCATTTCGGCGTGTCTTACATAGACCTAGAACCCAAGTTACATTCATCATTTGCAGCATACAGACTGTGCCTGGCGTTTTGATCTACAACGGGACAATCTACCTATTTGCATCATTCATACCAGTATCGCTATCAAATGTTCATTTCTATACATTGCTTCAATTTAGTACCGTCATTTATTTAAAAAGACGAAATTGTAATCATACTACTAGTAACTTGGTGAACATAATTAGTAGTCCCCAGGACTGGCGACCTTAATAAACGTATACAAAGAGCTCTGGGGGCTTCCTACAAACTTGAACTAAACGTAAGGGCTTCTGGAGTACATAGTGTGTCCATTCAATGTTGTATATGTACATAACTCGAAGGCTCAACCTTTGATGCATGTGGTCTAGCGGTGTATCTCCTCCAGGGCTCCTCCGTTCTATTATGTAATTCATGCTGCCACGTCGACAGACCCCCATCCACCGCCACCAGCGGTCTGGATAACCACCCGATCATGTGTTTTCACTGATACAGTATTCTTGCCACCAATATTAATCTGACGCTCTTCTCCGGTCTCCACATCGCGTGTAATCCAATGATTCAAGCCAGGCTGTGCGTCCTCTCCACCCTCTAAGCCGTATGGCCTGTGCACGCGTCGCTCCGATAGGATTGAACACTGCATAGGGGCAAGGAACTCGATATCTCGTACCACACCTTCTCCACCTGGGTTCTTACCCCGACCACCTGAACCATCACGTAGTGTAAATTGGCGGAGCAGAGTGGGATAACGTTTCTCGAGAATTTCCGGGTCAGTGATACGAGTGTTCGTCATGTGAACTTGAACACCAGATTCGCCTTTCCAAGTTGGACCGGCACCACTTCCTCCAGCGATCGTCTCATAGTACCCAAATCCTGGGGTAATCACTGCGCCAGTATCAGGGTCAAGCTTGGGGTTGGTTCCGAAAGTCAAGTTGTTACAGCAACCCTGAGAGGCGGCGCAAGCTTGGAACGCTTTGAAAACCACATCAGTGATTCTTTGAGAAGTGACAACGTTCCCGCCAACGACAGCAGCAGTCTTGGTGGGTGACAAAATGCTAGGTGACGGTACTTGGATATCAATCGGAGCCAAGCAGCCCTGGTTAAGTGGAACATCCGCATTAATCATACAGCGCAAGCAGTAGATAATAGCAGAGTGCGTAATAGCAATTGGAGCGTTCCAGCTACCATAAACCTCAGATCCGGTTCCAGCAAAATCGAATACAGCTGATCCGTCCGCCCCATCAATTGTAACCTTCAATCGAATGGGAGTACCATCATCCATATAATCAACTGCCTCAAGAGGCTTCCCGCCAAATTTCTCATGCAAACCCTTGAGTAGATTCCGGACGGCAGTCTCAGCAGTAGCTTGAATAGCATACATGTACTTTTGCACTGTTCCAACTCCATACTCAGTGAAAAGGGTTTGAATCAACCCAATACCCCGAGTATTAGCCGCAATTTGAGCCTTAAGATCCGAAAGATTGTCGCTGATACATCTTGCGCCTGAGCAGCCGGGGTACTGGGAGGGCTTGGTAACCAGCAATTCGATCAGGCGGGCTTCATCTAGAACTCCGTTACTGACGATCTTGTCTCCCTCGATAGCTGCACCCTCTTGCCAAAGTTCTGTGGACTTTGGAGGCATTGATCCTGGGAGAATTCCGCCAATATCAGCGTGATGGCCACGCGATGCAACGTAGAACATGATCTCTGTTCCGCCTGGACGATCGAATACGGGTGTAATCACCTAGTCACATGGCATTAATTTCAGTGTTTTCAAAATTTTGGGCAGACTTGACTCACAGTAATGTCTGGTAAATGAGTACCACCGCAGCTAGGGTGATTGGCAACGAGCACATCTCCATCTTTCAAGTTACCCAACCATTTCTGGTGCTGGTATCGCACGGCAAATTGCATTGACCCCAGATGCACAGGGACGTGGGGAGCATTAGCGACAAGGCCTCCGTCGGGAGAGAACAGAGCACAGGAGAAATCCAGTCGCTCCTTGATATTGGTGGAAACGGAGGTTTTCTGCAATGTTCGGCCCATTTGTTCAGCGATAGACATGAATCGGTGGCCGAAGATACTGAGACGAATCGGATCAACTTCAGATGAAGTCTGCGCGCTTGGAAGGGATGCAGTAGGCTTGTCAATGAGGTCGATAACGATACATGTCTCCAGCAATTGAGCAACTGCGTTCGGAGCAACGACAATTGTCTGGGTTTGATCGATGATCACTGCAGGTCCGACAATACGACTATACTTGTCCAGTTGATCAAGTAGATAAACAGGGGTATCAATTCGCTTCGAGAAGCCATCGAAGTACGCAGCAGTTGTGTTGACTGGAGATGCGGTCACATCTTTGATAGTAGCATCCTTCAGTTGAACCAGTGGAGTACGCTCTGTGCGTACCTTAGATGAAGCGATGGTGCGGACGCGGATATCATCGACGAGAATCGGTCTTTCAGAGTTGAAGTTGAATTCGCGACGATGACGATCGCGAAACTCGCTCAGGAAGTCTGCTGAACCTTCCGGTCGCAGTATCATCAAGCTGGTGTCTGAACCTTCGTATCGCATATTCAGGTACTGTTCGTGACGCACTTGGTCAGACGGGAATCCTTGATTTTTCATCTCGTCTGTTGCAGCGTTGGACATGTTCTCGAAGCGTTCTAATAGAGTGCTGTGTGATGAGAGATAGTCGGAAGATACTGGTTCTTGTGATTCCTTGACGACTTCGGCGAGAGCCAGACCGTATGCGGACAAAACTGAGGAGTATTTATGGATGATTATACGGGAGATTCCTAGTGAAGCAGCGACCGAGCATGCATGTTGTCCGCCAGCTCCTCCGAAGCAGGCGAGGTGGTGTGAAGCCGTTTCAAAGCCTCGAGCCTCAGTGAGATTCCGGATAGGACGGGCCATCGACTCATCTGCCACCTTTAAGAATCCAAGCGCAACCTCTTCAGCGGTGTACTCCGGTTGAGATAGCTGTCGACGCTCAAGGTTAATCTTCTGAGTCAGTTCATTGAACTTTTGTATCGTGATCTCGGTATCCAAAGGTTGATCCTCATTCGGTCCAAATATGTGAGGAAAGTATTCGGGAAGCAACCGACCCAGGAACAGATTGGCATCTGTAACCGTCAAAGGTCCGCCCTTCCGGTAACAAGCTGGACCTGGGTGCGCGCTAGCTGATTCGGGTCCAACATAGAAAAGACCGTTTCTCCATGAGAGAATTGAGCCACCACCAGCAGCTACCGTGTTGATATCAAGCTGAGGGGACTGAATGAGGACTCCAGCCACCTTAGATCCAAAGACATGTTCCAGATGACCATCGAATCTGGATACATCGGTAGATGTACCACCCATATCAAATCCGATAACGGGGATCTTCTCATCTGGGTCCCAGCTGGTAGCGGCGAATCCTACAACTCCAGCTGCAGGGCCAGAAAGGATTGCTTTCAGGCCACTGAACTTGCGGAAGTCTACCAAACCACCATCTGACTGCATGAACTCAAATCTGCATTGTTCTTGGCTCTCAAGTCCGCCTTCAAAGCTCGCGGAGATGGAGTCGATATAGGTTTTGATGACCGGGGTAAGATATGCATCAGCTGCGGCAGACATGCCACGAGGCACAATTTTAATCATGGGCTGTAACTTGGAAGACAGCGTCACCGAGAATCCCATCTGCTCGGCAATTTCGCCAATCTGATTTTCATGATCCGGGTAGGCAAAGGAATGAACAAGTGCCACTGATAGTGACTGGTATCCTTGGTCCTTGAGCCGCTGTAAGTCTGATCGTACTTGGTCGATATCCAATTCCTGAATTACGCGAAACTTCTCTCCTGTGATACCCTCCACAGTCCGAGCACCGGAGAAGCATTCGGAGTCCGCATTTGGATGACAAGGTACAACCCGTTCATTGACTTCAATAACGCTCTCTGGTAATACTCCTGGCCGCGCCATGGAAAGGTCGAAGATGGCAGGACGTGACTGATCACCTATCTTGAGCAGATCTCGGAATCCTTTGGTTGTTAAAAGTACTGATCGTGCTCCTTTGCGTTCCAGTAGTGCATTGGTGGCCACTGTGGTACCCATTCGCAAACAACCGATACGATCCAGCTTCAGCGGCTGGCCTCGGGGATGTGGCTCCCCTGTAACAAGCTCCAGGATCTGACGAATACCCTCAGTTGGAGCATCTTGATAATGTGATGGATCTACCGAAAGGAGCTTGAGAATGATATCTGAGCGACCAGGTACAATAGCATGAACATCGGTAAATGTTCCACCGCGGTCGATAGAGATAGTGATCTTCCCTGGGGTAGTCATCGCGGGTAGAAGAATGAGGAAGATATAGCGACGGTTTTGGTCGATTAGAAGAATAAGTTGGGTAGATGAACACTGGCACTTTCGAGTCACGAGGTCATTTATCAATCAAATTTTCTTTCAACACTCTCAGTGGAAATGAATCCCCGCCATACTATCTCTCTCGGATATTGTATGGGAGTCACGTGTCGGGCCGATGACCGGCGCGTCGGGATCACCGGGCCGAACAGTATTTCTAATCGAGATAGGATGATAACATAGTGGAGAATGAGGGGATGATAGTGGGATGATGCCGAGGATATCTAGGAAGAAACATGATGAAAGGTATCTACTTAACCGCTAGGATATTAGGACGAAAAATAAGGCAATTTTCCCAGGAATAATTGACAACAAACCTGAAAAGACTCGGAGAAGATATTGTGCTATGCAACTTCAAGTTGAATCTACTCAAGCTAGCATTTTACAAACAACTTCAAGAATGGTACATAATATACATAGAGTCATTTTTGATTGTTTTCAGGTTGAAGTGCTTTATCTTCTAAGCGCACTTTCGATCCAATCGGTATCCATATCAATATCAATCTGATTCAATGCCCCCTCCCAAAGTGCCGAGTCATCATTGGGATCAAACTGGAACGAAATTTCCTGGAGAGAAGGAAGATCAGGTGGATCCTGCCAAATATCCGCAGGAATGGCCCGAATGGGTGCAGCTACTCCACTTTCATGCGATTCTGGAGCCATTTCATGAGTACTAGTGGGCGTGATCAGGTCATTTGAAGAGTGAACCTCATCATCGCTCATAGAAGCAGCAGGTCCAATGGCAGCTCGTAATTCCAAAAGCAATGAATGGCGGGAAGATAAGTATGTATTACCTCGATCGGCCATGCTTCGAAGTAAGCTGAGGGCTGTCTCCATTGCACGGGCATTTGTTTCGTTGTGTGGGAAGGCGGCATTCACCATGACAAGTAGTAGGGCGGCGGAGAAAATGTATTCACCGTCAAGATAGCCATACGTAGCTGTTTCAAAATAGTGTGTCAGAAAATCAATAGTGCATACCGAGCAGCAGGACATTGCTGAAGAAGAGTTAGCAATTCATACCTATCTGGTTATGTTTCGCAGCTGCGTCCATGATCAGAGTCGTGGCCCGGGCAGCTGTAATGCAACTATCGATCACAGCAACTGTATTAGAGGCCAGGCCTTCTTTCCAGTCCTCCGTGCCACCATGAAGCCCTGCCTCTATTCGTCGTTGAATAACGTAAAATACTAATGGCCGTGCCGTCATATTCACACAAGAATAAAAGTGAAGGTTAATAGAAACTGTCTCACGATTTACGTGAGTATCAAGGGTGCTGAAATCGATTCGGAGACGATCGGGGGCTTGTCGAAGCCAACTCGACAAATCATTCATGATGTTTTGTACAGACATTATCAGATTCGAGCCTGATCTAGGTTTCTTGCGATAAATCTCTGTTTATGTCTGAGTTAGACTGATATGGCAGTATTGAGAGAATGATTTTCCTCCTCACCTTCGCCAATCCTTCCTAGAATTCTAGAAAGTTGTGTGTAATTGGTCAGCACAATCGATGGCCATTGCTCAGCGGTTGATCCATCCTAGAGCAAAACCGTTAGACATGTTTCCTATTTTGTAACCCAGATCTAGGTTTTAGATATACTGAAGTAGACGGCCACATAATATCTATATCCTCATCTTGGATAGTGATCGGATTCCCCGATTTGACCGATAGTAACCTTTTGATATGCATGTTAGTTATACTCACTCTGAGCCACGATACCGTTCTCATTACCTATCCAGACTATAGACAGACCACCAAGCCCGTCTTCTGCGATTTCGGTCTGCCTCGCTGATATCCCGGTCAGATACCTCTTGATGAAGACCAAGAGATATCGCCATCCGTAAAGCAAGTCCAATCTAGAATCGTCAGCTGTTTCGCCCTTGTACTAAAAAGAAGAATGTCACTAACATAAAGAAACGCCGCATCGCGACGGTTCAGGTTCTGCATGTAGTATGCAACGTAGCAAAGCACTTCCACAAAAAATATTGAGCCTTCCTCGTGGATATCAGGTAAGAAGCGCAAGGCATATTTAAAGTATTTGAATCCTGGCGGTCCATCGTCCCCGGACCACTGGTTCACAGAGTACATCAATCCAAAAGCAATGACAAGAAGTGCCTGGCAGTACACCAAGCATGATTCTCGATGGCAGAAGTCATGGGGTTTGTGGTAGACATAATCCAATCGCTCTTCAAATTGTGCAGGCTGAATTAATGAAAAGATCGTGCCAATATATGCATATTGTACCGAGAAGAGTCTCTTTGCAAACTCAAACGGTGGTAACTGAGGAAGAAAATCCCCAACTGGTCGTCTTAATGATGAGGCGTCGTCGTATAGTGGGCGCACATCCCATGCTAAGTTCGTCGAGTCGGGGTTGAGGCGCTTTGCTAAATGAGTAGTTGACGATGCTCCCACAAAGTCTAGATTCCAAATCAGTTGAGTTCTCGACACAGTTTTTTTTAAAAGTCACATACGGTGTTCGCCTGATCTATCCAAAAATAGGTTGTCTGTTCCTTTATACCACCAGTCGTCACGTTCCAAGGGTGGCTCGCCTTCTGAATCGCGAGTTGTTGTTGAAGCTGTGGAAGTTGTGGATGGAAGACTTGAAGGAGTTGATTGGCTGTTTTTTCCAACTATTACATGATGCAATGTGAGCTTGATCGGCTTCTATGTTAGTTTATGCGAGAAAATAAATTTGAGAGTACCTTGGGATCGAGCTTGCGATTGGAGATGTCGATAATAACTGCTGGCACCAATTGTCGTCAGATATGTATGTTGGCATAGTAGGTAGGCTCTTATTCAGTCACAGTGACCTACCTTTCTGTAATCGAGACACGCTTTTCGGCTTCTGAATACACACAAATTTGGCCTACATCCACGCACGCGGCACAAGGTTGAGGTGGATTCCCAGCACAACGTGTCTTACGATTGCGGCACCGATTACACCTGCATGGATCAGCATCGCCCATTTTCCCTTGTAACCTGCAGGTGATTTCACATACGCTACCATCGATCGTCTAATCACTCGGTCCTGCGACCGTATTACACCTTTCCCATGGAGCATTTTGGAAATGAGAGATGGAGAGAAAATAGGCGGGGAAGCGGTTATCGGGGTAATGCCTCAAGTTCTCCACATAATTTCTCTTATCTTATAGTGTCTCACGTCGGTCCGATACCGAAGTTTATGATGGTGATAATTTGGAGTCTTGGGACTATACATCAAAAATTTACTTCTGATTTATCACTCATCTTCCAAACATATCAGGAAAATAAATTTGTAACAAACCACCTTAATGCCTAGAATATTGCGACTCCATTAGGAGGACTTGCAATGCCGCCAGAAACCTATGAATGGACCTCGGGAGTTAGTACATTTTATAAACTAGCATCGTCCATTACTGACCTTAAGGGGCCCACTGCTGAAGAAGAAACTCCAGCGGTCCCTCTGTCGACATTCTTGACTTATCCGCTCAAGGTCAAAGAGTTCGCCGATCGGCAATCCCCAACCCGCCAGGAGCCACTCGTGTAGTAAGAAATCTGGATTCTGACAAGGATAGGCTTCGAAGCTCGGCATATCAACCACTACAGCAGAGAAATCCTTCCAGATCCATCGCAGCATCTCCTCTGATGATTCAACTCCAATCACCGGTGGTGCCTTATAGTCCGCCAACTGTTGACATTCGGTCGCTGAGAGTCTCTCGTATGCTCGTGTCCAGCCAGTTCGAATGAATAAAATATCACCCGGTTTTCAGGAAACTTTCTGACTGGCGGCGACTTCCTGGAGAACAGAAACAGGAATGGATTGTGTTTGGAAACAATTCACAGCAGTACCTTTGGCCTCCGCCCATGCTGCATAGTCAAGAAGTACCCCACGCCCGACAATACCACCATTTTCAGCCCAGACTGTTATTGTTAGCTTAGAAGATTGAGTACAAAGAAGCTGGAGAACTTAACTTACCGTGAATTCCGTTCCGAGAAGATGTTTGAATATCTTCCAAGGAGCATCCATTGTAATATGTACCTTCTTTGGACCCGTAGTGTCGGAAGCCATCCCACTGGGAACTACTTTGAGTCACGGTGTTGAAGGTCAATACATCATCGTTGACTGCCCGGGGTGCTTTTTTCTTGACAATATACTGAAAGGCAGATCGCCCGAAGCATGGCTTTACCATGCTATCGAGTTCCCAGTCAGTTGACACTCGTACCCCTTCAATAATTTCGCGAGCTGCAGCGGCTGTATTCGCCCGAGTTAGGAGATTCAACATCCCTAATTGATCGTGGTCTCCGAATAGACCCCATGCGTTGCCATGCGGGCCTTCTGAGAGAAGAGGGAGAGAGTCAAACGTGGGTTTGAGTGAAGACATATTTCTGGCATTGGCAAGAGGTAGCTATACGTAAACACTGCATATGCACATGGGCATTCGTCTAATTTTAATATTATTTACATCCATACATACCTACTAGTACTATGCGTTGCTAAGTTATACTACTAAATACACAACTAGGCATGGATAATACTACACTTACCCCGCAGACTCGGAGCACTAAAGTTGTTCAGCCGGTATGACCTTGGGCTAATAGTAGGACTCGGATAGCTTTATCCTGATGTAGCCGACTTGACTCGTTGATATATGTATTTCAACTTGAGATGATAGGTAGTATTAAAAGGAAATTTTAAAAACTGTTGTCAAACATTTGAATGCTTGAACTTGAAATGAACAATCGAAAATTTGAATGCATTCAAATGTTACATACATACATATACTTCAGTGGCACTGAGAAGTTCAAGACCCTATGTTATCTCTGAGTCCTACCCAGCACGCCAGAAAATTCAAGTTGCTGCTCCCTACTAGGGTCAACTGGCCTTCGCGAGGAAGTCCGATCCTTTCATCTGAGATTGGGGTATATCGGATGACAGCCGATTCAGGCCTCAAGTTATACTAGTTAGCCAATCACATACACTGGCGCTTATGTACATTCAATGTTATTATGAATATGGAATCCACTGGTAGATATCACTGGCAGTAAGTTTACCAAACAGCCTGAGGATTATGCCAAGGCGTCCCCTGCAGACTTCCAAAGTCATTTTTTTGTCTTTTGTAAGTGATTCAAGTTCTGAAAATGCCTATATCCCGACCTTTAGGCGTCTAAACCATTGGATCATCCGGTTGTGTTAATTATGAATGATGCTGACCCGCTGGAAGATGCAAGGTTGGCTTTGAACTGCATACTAGTCTTTTACTTGTAATATTTGAAGGTCCAAGCTTGCAGAGGAGTCAGCCCTGCCTAGGTGAAGGGGTCTCAAGGTTGGAAGCGCGTCCCGAATCATTTGAAAACTTGAAGTTTGGTGCACATGGTAATGGATAATGACTGGTAAGCACATCCATGAATTTCTTTGAATGTTTCAGCCTAGCCACACGTACATATGTGGGCAGTTCAACATTAAAATGTTCAATTTGTTTTAATCAATGTTCCAGCATTCAAAAATGTTGGCAGTCATTGAGGCACGGCACCTGGGAGTTATGACATCTGAAAAACAAGCATTTCAATTCCCTTGTGCACGCACGCGCACTTGTACAAGCTTGGAAGTTATGTTATGTAAATATAGACTCATGTGGATTGCTAGGCATGCCATCAAATTTTTGAGGTATGACGATCGTAGATTCAGGCATCTGCGAATACAACTTTAATGAATTTTCAAGGACGTACGACATAAAGATCGGGCGATCCCGCCACCTGCTCAGATCATGATGCCCAGGTGGGAATATTCAGATTCAAACTTAATGTCAATGTTACTAGTGACTTTCTCATCTTATGAAAATATTTGAATGAAAGACCTCGGGATCAACCTTGGAATTGATGGAACATTCCGAGTCCGAGGCCCTGCCCACCTGGGCAGGTGCTAGTGGGCAGTGCCAGTACTACTACTAGTACATATGTAGGTAGTAGTACTGCTAACATGATTGAAGAACTTCCAGATGTCAAGTTGCCCACCTGGGCACCTGGCATCTGGCAGGTGGACATTTAAGTTCCGATCGATTCAAGTTGAAGTAGGCGATATATTTACCGCTACTCCAGCTATGACCCACTTTAGGCCACCAGTTCAGACATCACCGATGATGTGTACATGCATGGGCATGTATGTGATAGCAGAGATTTTTTTAGTGCTTTAATTTTGAATAAACCAGTAGAAACCCAGATATCCATGGAAATTTCTGAGCTATGGTCCGAGTAGAATATGGGATCTCCAGATGTCGTTACACAAAGTGCCAAATCTATTTTATAGATTCCAAGGTTATTTTGGTCCTAGGTGGACCTTACGTCATCCATGGCATTCCTGTGGCTGCCTAGGGCAACCATGCACGTGACAGCACACAAACATGACTTGCCTCCGAAAAAAGCACGAAAAGTCACAAAAAAGGACCTCGAGAGGCTCTCCAGTTCACCTCCTCTCCAATCATATCATTAATAGTGGATCCTTAAAATGGAGTCCCCACACCATGAAATCAACCCCTGGAAGACACGCTTCAGGCCGCCCATTATTTCCCGGCGTCACCCCAGCCACATCGGCATGTGTGAGAGCATGGGAGCGTGCGACATTGCTTGGCATTTGCTCCGCGACGTTACAATTTCCTCCATTCAAGTTTTGATATGCAATATATGAAAGGAGCTGGATTGTTAGAGGTTGGTTTCAGACCCTGGAACATTTCTTGGGAGAAAGAAAGGGATGGCTTCTAATAGGCAGATCGGGAGGAGTCTACGATGGATCCCGGCGTGGCTGTCTCCTCCAATATGAGGACGCGTTGCCTGTTTGCCCCGCTCAATACCTCATTCTGGACAAGTGAAATTATCCACAAGCCAGCTCGGTTACCCATAATCGTTTTCCCGTCCCTGGTACGGAGGTGTTTGTCTTCACCCACTGGCAGCAATGGAGATTAATGCGGAATGAGCCACTTGAACCCCCAGTCATCGACCCATGGGCAAAGGTGTGGCGGCGCTCTCTGGGAGAGGTGGTCTGCGCCAGGGGCAAGACGTACTATGCCCAGCGTGTCTCGGACGCGGATCCATCAGTGGTGGAGCCCCCCCCAATGATGGCGAATGATTAAGGATAATTAGAGGAGAATATGGACCATCACTGGCGCCTCCACCACTCTTGTCCCCTTTCCACCAGTCCACATCGTCTGTGTCTCCAATCAGAAATTACTACCAAAAATATCTTTCGTCCTGCAGGCTATGCTTGTTCGCCATAGCCTTCGTTCCTTTCCAGAAATAATCGGTAGTTGGGTCTCTATCTTTAGCCAGTGTGATCATCATCAAGATTTTCCCTGACTGCGGTGACCCTGAGTACGGAATACCCGACCGTTAATCCGCTTTGATATATTTTTTTTATTAGTCTTTCCCTGGACCCATCCATCGCTCCTTTAACGATCTCCATAAGGCTGCGGTTGGCTATTCTAGGAGATCTGGCTTTGTTCACCCTGAATGTTCTAGCGCCTGTCGATTGTACCCTTTTTCCCCTTCTTCCTTTTCTTTCTTTTCCCCAGCTTTCCTGCTAAATATATTCGATTTTGAATATTGTTGGCTTTATCCGAGCCTTCAAGTCTTTGATCCCCGATCGTTTTTTGAAGACCGATTATTGGGGAGCTAGACAAAATGGGTTCCCCTATGTCTCCTCATTCACCGCACTCTGCCCATTCGCCCCAGGCGAGTGAGAGTAGTTTGTATTCGCATAATATCCAGGTGGGTAACTTTGATGCAAGATGACAGACATCTTGGGCGCAATCAGATGCTAACCGCCATTTGCAATGATCAGCACGAGCACAGCTATGGATACGAAGAAGAAAAAAACGAACAAGCGGAGAGTCAGCAATCCCTCCTCTATCGCAACCAACCGAGCCCGTTCAATGGGCCATTCGACGACCCTTATGCCTCTAGCGACTCCATGCGACGCTATACGCTGCAAGATCCTGGTGCGGCCGTCTTTTCTGATGGGGCATACCAGGAGCCTGCAGCGAGCAGCGGGTTCAGCGGCCGCCCATCACGAGTCAACTCTCCTATGTCCGAGACTGGTTCCGAGGCCTGGCAACAGCGACAAGCCCCTGGCTCTGGGCTCCGCCGATATGCCACCCGAAAAATCAAACTGGTGCAGGGCTCCGTGCTGAGCGTGGACTACCCAGTGCCTAGTGCGATTCAAAATGCCATCCAGAAAGAGTACCGGGAGTCCGAAGAGGGTTTCCCCGAAGAGTTCACGCATCTGCGCTGTGAGTAGCCATTCAGGTTTTTCATCTTGCCAGTGTTATGCTAATACAGAGCCAGACACCGCCGCCACCTGTGACCCTGACGAGTTTACCCTGCGCAATGGATACAACCTCCGACCGGCGATGTACAACCGACACACCGAGTTACTGATCGCCATTACCTACTACAACGAAGACAAAGTCCTTACTGCCCGTACGCTACACGGTGTCATGCAAAATATTCGCGACATCGTCACATTGAAGAAATCCGAGTTCTGGAATAAGGGTGGCCCTGCCTGGCAGAAAATTGTCGTTGCGATGGTCTTCGACGGTATTGATCCTTGCGACAAAAACACGCTTGATCTGCTTGCCACGGTCGGTATTTATCAAGATGGTATTATGAAGCGGTCTGTTGACGGACGCGAAACCATTGCCCACATTGTAAGTTTGAGATCAAGTTCTTTTGGTCTGAAGATGAGTTTCATCTCAACCTATCATCCCAATTTTGATCAAACTACGGATATACTAATAATACCTTTAGTTTGAATATACCACTCAGCTTTCCGTTACTGCCAGCCAGCAATTGATTCGCCCTCAGGGCAATGAATCAACCAACATTCCCCCAGTTCAAATGATTTTCTGCTTAAAGCAGAAGAACAGCAAGAAGATTAACTCCCATCGTTGGTTGTTCAACGGATTTTGTCGTATTTTGAATCCTGAAGTTGTTATTCTTCTTGATGCCGGTACTAAGCCAGGAAAGAAGTCCCTTCTTTACCTGTGGGAATCTTTCTACAACGATAAGAACTTGGGTGGCTCTTGTGGTGAAATTCACGCCATGTTGGGTAAGGGCTGGAAGAATCTGATGAACCCCCTGGTTGCGGCACAGAATTTCGAGTACAAGATTTCCAATATTCTTGACAAACCCCTTGAGAGTGCCTTCGGATACGTTTCTGTGTTGCCAGGTGCCTTCTCAGCTTACCGTTACCGAGCTATTATGGGTCGTCCTCTTGAGCAGTACTTCCACGGTGATCACACGCTCTCAAAACAACTTGGAAAGAAGGGTATTGAGGGAATGAACATTTTCAAGAAGAACATGTTCCTTGCTGAGGATCGTATTCTATGTTTCGAACTTTCTGCCAAGGCTGGATTCAAGTGGCATCTGACCTATGTTAAGGCTGCCAAGGGTGAAACCGATGTGCCTGAAGGTACTGCGGAATTTATCAGTCAGCGACGTCGTTGGTTGAACGGTTCCTTTGCTGCCAGTCTGTACGCCATTATGCACTTTACTCGTATTTACAAGAGTGGTCACAACATCATTCGGTTGTTCTTCCTCCACATTCAGATGATCTACAACTGCGTGTCTCTTATCATGACATGGTTCTCTCTCGGTACGTGATTTGCCTATCTTATTGGTGTTTAACTAAAACTAACAATTTCTTGAATAGCCTCCTATTGGTTGACATCATCCGTTATTCTTGATCTTGTGGGAACCCCCGGTGAATCCAACAAGGAGAAAGGTTGGCCATTTGGTAACGAAGCATCTCCTATTGTCAACAACTTCATCAAATATGGCTATGTGTTCTTCCTCATGCTCCAATTCATCCTGGCGCTTGGAAATCGACCTAAGGGGTAAGCAATCCTATAGTTATTAACCACAAACATTAGCTAACGTCGATTTTCCTAGTTCGACTCTCGCCTACACGCTCTCCTTCATGTACTTTTCATTTGTTCAATCTTATGTCATGATCTGCTCGTTCTACCTGGTCGCAAACGCCTTCATGGGTGGCACTTTGGATTTCGACATGAGCCAGGGTGTTGGACACTTCCTGAGTACCTTCTTCAGTTCTTCCGGCGCTGGTATTGTCTTGATCGCTTTGGTATCCACCTACGGTATCTACTTCCTCGCCAGTTTCATGTACATGGACCCCTGGCACATGTTTACATCCTCTTGGGCTTACTTCGCTGGAATGACCTGCTCTATCAACATTCTGATGGTCTACGCTTTCTGCAACTGGCACGATGTCTCGTGGGGTACTAAGGGATCCGACAAGAGTGAAGCACTGCCAGAAGCCCAAACCAAGAAGGAGAAAGAAGATGACAAGTCGAATTTCATTGAGGAAGTCGACAAACCACAGGCCGATATTGATAGTCAATTTGAGGCTACTGTTAAGCGTGCGCTGGCGCCCTACATCGAGCCGGAAGAGAAGAACGAGAAGTCCATGGATGACTCGTACAAGGCTTTCCGTACCAACTTGGTTCTCCTGTGGATTTTCAGCAACTTGATTGTGGTGCTTCTCATTACTGCTACTGGTGTCAAGCGTTTCTGTCTTACTGTAAGTTTCCTTCCCCTTCTTAACACGAAAAAAAAAACATTCGCTGACTCTTTTCAAACACAGAACACCTCCACTGTTCGAACTGCGAACTACTTCTCTGCCATTCTGTGGATCACTGCTGGCTTGTCCCTGTTCCGTTTCGTCGGTTCGATGTGGTTCCTGGGCAAGTCTGGTATTCTCTGCTGTGTCTCCCGACGCTAATTTGGTGGTTTCTTTGGTTGTCTTTGATTCTGTTTCAACATTTGAAGTTCCTGTATATACCATCGTCTGAGCTGTTGATTTGTACTGATAATGACGTCTTCTTGAGGGAAACGTGTCTCATAGAAAGCTTAGGTAGATGATTTTTTTTTTGCTTTTTTTGAGTCTTTTCTTGCATCCCCATTGGGGTAAACGATCTTCATTGGCATCTTGTTCTTATCTGTTTTAAATGTTTGATCTTGCGTTGATGAGGTTGATTTGCGCGCATATTGAACAGAAGTACCAAAATTTTTATTCTTCTTCCTTGATTCGATTCCAATTCTTTTCATCTTCCATATAATTTCTATTTTCTCCTATTCTTATAACTTGAAAATGCCAGTGGTAAGATCGTGCCTCACTTGACTACTGCATGTCTCGCAGTCTGGGGGTGGATACCTCTCCTGTGTCAAGGATGATCAATAGTGGACACGATCACGGAAAAAAAGGGGTCCCAACAGAAAACCAGTTTTCAAATACTGATAGCAGTATGAAAACCAGAAAAGACCATTTCCACATGTATCCACAGAATTGTGGATCTACACCACCTTTCGATGCTTCAAAGCTATACCCGATGTGCCTGAGCGTTACAGTGAGATATTAGATTCAAATTGCCTCGGAGGACAGGAATCCGAGCATGCTCAATGGCCAGAGTGACATCGAAACAACCAATCAATGAGAAGAACCAACGGATCATTGACATTCTTCATACGATCCGGAAGTGGAAGGGAAGGTTGTTCTCCTCTCCTTGACACGGGTGGGACCGTTTTCTCCCGCACAAGGCTAAAGAAGGAATGGATCGTGCCTATGTGTGGTATGGTCGATGCACTTAGATGCACTTAGATGCACTTAGATGCACTTAGATGCACAGCCCAGAGCCTATATTGGGGCTTCAGCTGCACATCGGCGTCATTGTCCGCTTCCCCGCACATTGGCGATCTCCCTGCGGTCCGGCGGGGCCTCCAAGCTCGTGTACGAGTCGGAATACCTACCATGATGGTCTGCGCACAAGCACAGACAAAGGAGACGACAAGGATCTTGGAGATAGCGAAGGAATGCACTAGGCTCTATGAGTTCTTTCTAGTTCCTTTTGGGCCAGTCAACTGAGATACCGTGTCCTTTGTTTGAACCGAGTCGTATTTCGGAGGCCTAGATTCTTGACTTGGATTGGGGACCAATGATGCCATTTCGTCATCTCAACCGGTTCTGAATGGTTCCGAGGCCCCTTGAGCCATATATGTGCTTCCGGCTTTGGTACAACAAGTATGGACTGATTCGGAATTGAGTTATAAAAAGGCCCCTTCGTCCACCTTCTGTCCCCCCTCAATTTCTCAATTATTGAGTCTTATACTCTACACTCTATCGATCTGACCCACTTTGGCTTGATTGCCGGCTGCCGAATCCACCCTAACTCCACCCCAGATGTCGCAGTATCTCCCTCAGATTTCATCCGAGTCCCTTTCGGATAAGATTGTTCTCATTACTGGTGTGTCTGAATACCCCATGGCCTTTACCACTACTCAATTAACACTTAATAGGTGGCGCAAATGGAATCGGCGCAAGTCTAGTACAACAATGTCTTGAAAGTGGTGCCAATGTCTGCTTTGGTGACCTTGACAACATCGAAGGAGAGCGCCTGCTGAGAAAGTCTCTCGAAAGATTCCCTTCAGAGGAATCAGGCCAGGCCCCGCGGGTAATCTTCCAATCAACAGATGTCACCAATTATCAATCAGTATTGAGCCTGTTCGATTTGGCTTTCAATACTTACAAGCGCATTGACCATGTTGTCTCTGCGGCTGGAATCGTGGAAATCGGGAACTGGTTCGATTTTGGGCTCACATTGGAAACTGTTCGTCAGGTAAGCTCTTCATCTAGTCCCTACTATCTTCACTCTTTTCCTAGACCCAGAAGAAGTAACATCAATCTCCAGACACCCACCCACAAAGTACTTGATGTCAACCTCATCGGCTCAATGTACGTTGCCCGCATTGCCTCGGTCTATCTTCGCCATAACCGCGGTCCCCGCGTAGGCCGCTCTATTCTCCTGTTTTCATGTTCCGCCGGATTCAAAGACAGTCCCTCTCTATTCGTCTACCAGGCCTCGAAGCATGGTGTAGTGGGCCTGATGCGCTCTCTGCGCAGCTACATCTCCTCTCCATACAAGCACAATATCCGCATCAACACAATTTGTCCCTGGATGACTGAAACCGAAACTATCAAAAAGATCGAGCAGCAGTGGAAACAAGCTAGTTTGCCAACAAATACACCACGGGAGGTTTCCACAATCGCAACTAGCATGCTAGTCGATGCATCTCTGAATGGTCAGTCCATGTTTGTGGAAGGTGGACGTGCCTGGGAAATTGAACAAAATATTGAGCGCCTCGAAGCTCAGTGGCTTGGCGAAGCTCCCTCCAAGTCTCTTGCTGCGGGCCAGCAATTACTCGATGATGGTTCCGTCTGGACAGCTACTCCTCGTAAGCGGAGCAGTATTTCTGTGGATGGCATACCACCTGGTGTTCCTCTTGCTAAGATCAATGGCATTGATGGACATAAGAATAGCTTCCCCAATGGCTTGACCAACGCCAACGGACACGCTGCTCCTCTTACCAATGAAATTCATTGATTGGGTCTTCATTACTCCGGCCTTGGGAGAAAATCTGACCTCACCTTGATACCCAAGTTTTTTCTTTTATTTTATCTAAATTGGCAATGGCTTGAAGCTTTGCCCTCATACTTGGTGTACAAGGATCCAATCCATGTATTGCGATGCAACTATTACGCACGCAATAGATAACGCATCGGTTCAAATAACGACTTACTGCTTATGTTATCATTTATTAGTTATATTGTTCACGGAGATAGATTGAGACCAATTTACTATTTTCTTCTCCATTTCCACTTACATATGTAAGGATTTCCATGAGACTATTGCGATACCAGTAGAACTTCGAATGCTTTCAAGTTAAGAAATAATCATTTAACATTATCACCATCAGTAGTAGTAGTCTATATAAAAAAGCAATCTAAATACAACACCGGATACATGCAATGGTATAGAATAAAAAAAACCGACCCTCGAAATCATCACCTCGAACTTTTGACGCAGCCTCTATTTGAAAGACTCGCGTGTGTTGACGCGGTCAACATCATAGGGGTTCGCCTCGTAAGTGGGAACCCGCTGCATCTCGGTAGAACCGCGAGCAGAGGTATGCGTCGCACAGTGCTGGAGAGAGTGAACATCAACATCACCCTCCTTCATAGTCCCAGCAGTCTCAGTGAGAGAAGGCACGGTGGAGACTGGCTCATCAGATGGGCCTGATTCAGAGATCACTTCTTTCTTTGCACCACCGGCCATACTCTGAAGCAAGCTCTGAACAAACGCCTCTGACTGGGCAGAGTACTTGCAGTATTTGCGAATAGTCAGACCCTTCTTGTAAAGAATGAAGGGGAAAGGCACACAAGCCAGAGCGAGAAAAGCTGGGATACAAGAAGCCCAGTGGATGCCGAGGTTTTCGAACATGTAGGTTGTGAAGAGAGGGAAGGCGAAACCGAACAAGGAACGGAGCAGGGAGTTGGCCGCAAGAACTGAGGCGGCGAAAATGGTGTAGGCGTCGATTAAGTAGTTGAAGACACATAAGAAGACCATGACCATACCGAAGCCGAAGGGAACACCGGCAGCCACACTGGCCATCCAGTGAACCGATGGAGAATTGGTCCATGCGAACCAAAAGAGACCGATGGGAAGAGTGAGGGAAGCAAACATACAAGGGACAAGACGCGCCTCGGGAGGTGCGTAGCCACCGTTCTTCTCAAGGAGTTTTCCGTAACGAGTATTCTCGGGGATCGAGTAGGCGATAGCGGCCAACATTCCCACCATGACTCCCAAAAATGCAAGACTGGCAACACCCTGGTTCCATCCTCGGTGAACTTCGTATACAATCGGATAAGCGCCAAAGAGCATGTAGAGTGTGCCGTAGATGATAGCGAGGTAGGTCGAAAGGAGAAGGACGATGGGTTCCTTGAAGAGAAGAACGAATGGACGGGAAAGAGAGATCTTCAACGATTTCTTCAGGTTAGGTCGTCCTTGATCGATGTCCAGTTTGCTGATATAGACCATGCCGGTAAGCTTGGAGAGGGTCTTCGCGCGTTGACGAAGAAGAACCGGGGCGTATGTTTCCGGCTTGGATACTGTGCCGACGAACCACATCACACCACACAGGATGGTCAACACACCCATAACCCACTTCCAGCCGACATCCATACCGATGAAACTTCCGATAATGGGACCAATAACCGGACCGAGGAAAGGAGCCAGGGCGAACGCAGATAGCGCCAGGCCACGCTCGCGGGCAGCAAACATATCAGCAACCACACCACCAGAGTTCGTAAATGGGGATGATCCAAATGCTCCAGAGAGGAAACGGAAGATAAGCAGAGATGTGATGTTCTTAGCACCAGTCGTGGCGGCACAGAAGATAGTCAGACCACAGTAAGTACCAATGAACACAGATTGACGACCGAACATTTCACTCATCGGGGCCCAGAGCAAAGGGCCCAAGGCGAATCCAAGAACGTATAGCGAGACACCGAGGGTAGCGATTTCCGTTGTGACTCCGAACGCTTCCTCGATCTGAACAATACCACCAGTATAGGCTGAAGAAACCAGAGCCACGACAAGGGTCTCAAGGGCAGCGACCATTGTGATGGACCATTTCATCGTCAGAGTCAACTGCAACGGATTCCGAAAGTCATTCGGCATCCATTGTACCACATAGGGATCCTCCTCTGTTCCCGATCCTGCATAGGGATGATCGACAACCTCTTGGGTAACCACACCTGGCTCGGTCAATAAACGCCAGTAGGGAACCTTGTTTGGTAGGTTTAACGAGGCCTTAGCCTCCATGGCAGGCGCCTCCGTTGCCATGAGGAAAGAATAGAGTTCGAAGGGCGATGATCTGCCGAGAAAGAGATTGTGGTTCAATAGTTTGAGTCGGCAAACCGAGTATCGAGGCTTGTGAAATGTAGAATTAAGAAATTAAGAAAAAAGAATGTATCGATCTATTCCCTAAAGAAATAATATACACCGGAAGAAATAAAACAGGAACAGGATAGAAAAATGAATAATCATTAAAAGAAAAAAAATATTATAATCAATATGAATTGAGCCGAGGTGAAACTGAGTACCTTTTTTTTTGTATAAGAAATTGTTTGGGAATTAACGGAGGAGTTACTTCTTTAGGGGATCCTCTTTTTCCTAGTATAGTATAGTAAAATCCACTAAAATTGTACACCCAAGTCTCTCGTTGGACCAAGATAATCTAGTCATATAATTAAAAATCTCAATTATCTCAATTGGTTTAAAATCAGAAATTTGTCGGACTTTCCCGAGTCTCGGTCCAATCGATCGGCCCGATCGCATATACGGATTAGAATGATTTTGATAAGATCCATCATGATGTCTATGAGAGACTATGATTGGAGATGAATACAGGGAATAACTGGGTCATGTTCCCACTTACCGAGGCTCATTCAAAATCTGTAACAGAAAAGATTTTTCTAGAAGAGAAAAATGGACAGAAAAGGATTGAAGAACCTCGGAAACCTGAATATTAATCCACCTTAAGTGGACACCATGTTTAACACCTCGGTTATTAACATCCCACTATGCTATGCTATGAAGAAAAATGATCATAATGCAGAGCTCAGGCCGTTGGTACAAAAAGATACATTCAGTAATCACCCCCTAAATCCATGGCGTTCGCAATATGATGCCTAATTTCGTTGCTTTAAGCGAGAACGCCATCGGGTTTCCCCCACTCGGAGTAATTTCAACCGACTTGGCCAAGCGTGAGATGATAGTAACATGATCCTATTTAGCCGGCAAGTGAGGTCCCGAGCTCATAAGACCTTGGTGGGATGATGCCTAAAATAATAAATCCTTCTTAGAAGTTATAGATTTGTGATATTGTGGTGGTTGGATAGTGACGAAGTATTACTCCGGGTAAATACTCAGCCGGGGTTTCCGCCAACTGGTCTTATCAATGTTACTACTATACCTAGGTAGGGTAGGAGAACAGGCACCGTGCGGTAGATAATAACTACCACTTGGCAGTGGCTGGGTCAGATTGAGGGACCTTGAAAGCAAAAGCATGTATTTTCAGATGCTATCCCAACTCAAACTTGGTATACACCTGATATTAACTTCATATTGACTCATATTTTCTAATGACCATCGACTGGATATCTACAGACCCTTTTCAATTTCTCCAACCTCGGCCATAACCTCCGCAACGGACTTCTTCACTGCCTCCCCAACTGGCTCATAAGGATGACGAGGCAACAGCTTAGCTTCAGCCTCTGCGATACCCGCCAGGGAAGCCGAGTACCGGGAAACTGCATACTTGGTCGATCCAATACCACTCTTGATAGGACTCTCGGCGAGAGCTGCCTTGCGCTGCAGCTGAACAGCCTCCTCAAATTGACCCTTCTGGTAAAGTGTATAGATCCGTGCTGCCGTTTTAGGGAAGACATTGGCAAATGCCGCGATGCACCCAGCACTACCAGCCGCCAATCCTCCAATAAGGAAATCAGACTGTCCACCGTATGTCGCGAACTCCTCTGGCGAAAAGGTTGCTGCAAGACGTGTAATCTTTCCAACAGAGCCGCATGTGAGCTTCACACCCACGACATTCGATTTACCACTAGGACTTGCAGCTGCCGATTCACGGACAACGGAAGCAATGGTCTCTGAATCCATATCCACACCGTTACACACGCCCGGGAAGTTATACATAACCACTGGAAGGGGAGACTTCGCCGCAACCTCGGAGAAGAATCGCCTGACCACGTTCATGTTGGTGGCCTTGCCGAAGTATGCGGGCGGGAGAACGAGAAGGTAATTGGCACCAGCAGTCGCGGCATCGTTGGCCAGCTCTAGTACTTGCTTTGTTGAGTGAGCACCCACACCGGCCATCAAGGGAAAATCAGGTCCAACTGCGGTACGTGCGGTCGCGATAAGTTGGGATCGTTCTTCGCGAGTAAGTAGGAATGCCTCAGAGTTGGTACCCAGGATCACCAAGCCTGCAAGGCCTGTGCGAGAGAGGTAGGTGAAATATTGCGCTTGCGAGGCCAGATCTAATGAGTCGGTTTCATGGTCGAAGAAAGTCACAGCGGGACACCATACTCCCCGTGGGGGAACATGTGGTTGAGGAGAGACAGTCGCGTGAGAGCCCATGTTGGTTGTAGAATTTGAGGAATGATGCTAGGAATGTTAGGAAGAGAAAAGGTGAGCGAACGACCCGTTAATTAGTATTTCTCGTTATGACATCCGGTGAATCAGTTTCCCCACCATGATGAGGGGTAACGCGCCATGATTCTATGATGAGAGAGTGCATCGGCAACTGCTCGAATATGCCGTAGTCTATCATCTCGGGTCGGCCTCCCGACTGTCGAGCCGGGGATATCGGGTAGGTCGCCCGATGACAACACTGGAATTGTTAGAAAGAGTTCATTGTAATAAATTGATAGGGTGAAAGACATTCAACTCCGCTGACTTAAGTTGCTGTTTATGGTAATAGATCCCCACTGTATAATCTTAGAGTGAGGAGGCAGTAGAACGGATCCCCTCCCGATTGTATAGTATCAAATTGTTCGGATGCTCGGCTTATCGCACCGAGAATAGTAGAAGTTGACTCCAACTGTTAATTCTCAAGTGACACTCTCAAGACTCTAGCATATTCATATCTATAGTACTAATAGTCTGTTAAAATGCTTGCATCCCGTCTGATCCCGAAAGGCATATCACATAACATTCGCAACATGGCTACCAAGGCACAGTATAGTTCCAACACTCAAAAATCATGGTTCAACAAGTCTGAATTCATTCCTCCGGATGCTATATTTGCCTTGACTGCAAAATATCAGGCGGATTCATTTCCTCAGAAAGTCAACCTGGGTCAGGGAACTTATCGTGATGCAGACGCACAGCCATGGGTTCTTCCATCTGTCAATTTCGCACGTGAGGCACTTTTAACAAGAGGTTTACAACATGAATACCTCCCTATCTTGGGATTGCAGAGTTTCAGAGAAGGAACGGCGAAGTTAGTACTGGGCTCTGAATTGTTCGACAAGAAAGCGACTCAGGTATGTCTAAAATTTGAAGGCTGCTGAACCGCGCTGACCGAGTGATCACTATATCTGATAGATTGCAACATGTCAAAGCTTGTCAGGAACTGGCGCATTGCATTTGGCTGGACTGCTGCTGAGGGCTACTCAAGATAAACAGCCTGCAGTCTACATCCCTGAACCAACTTGGTCAAATCATCACCAAGTCTTCAAGTCACTAGGTTTCCCTTGTGAAAGTTTCAAGTACTATGACCATGAAACTAGAAGTCTCGATATCAACTCCTACTATAATATGTTAAAGCAGGCAGAGCCTAACTCGGTGGTCATTCTGCATGCATGCGCCCATAATCCAACAGGCTGTGATCCCACCAAGGAACAATGGCGGGAGATTGCTCAGCTTATGAAAGCGCGACAGCTATTCCCTCTCTTTGATGCCGCATATCTGGGATTTAACTCAGGTGATTTCGATGAAGACGCATTTCCGATCCGTCTTTTCATGGGTGAGATGGACATGGAAGCTGGAGTCTGTATTTCCTTTGCGAAGAATATGGGCCTTTATGGTGAGTTGAGCTGAACTAAGTATTACCATGAATCTAATGCTGAAGCCTCTAAACAGGTGAGCGAGTTGGCTGCTTCTTATTAGGCACGAATGATGAGCAGGGCGCAGTGAAGCTACAGTCCATACTTGAGATGCTCCAGCGATCCGAAGTCTCTAATCCCCCTGGATTTGGCGCCAAAATTTCAAGTGAGGTTCTCGGTAATGATTCATTGAAGGAGCAGTGGTTTCAAGATATGAAGACGATGAGCGGCCGGATTCGCGCAATGAGAGCTGCTTTATATCAAAACTTGATTGCTTCCGGTACGTTCCCACGGTGACTAGAAAGTTGAGGTTTTTTTCTCACATTAAATCTCAGGGGCACCTGGGTCTTGGGATCATCTGATTCAGCAATCTGGGATGTTTGGTTTCCTGGGCCTCTCGTTGGATGTGGTCTTGCGATTACGTGGTAAGTTCATCTTTCCCAATGGATCCCCAACACCGATGCTAATTCTCGGTCATTTTCCGAAGAAAAATATCATATCTATATGGCGGATAACTCCCGAATCTCTATCGCGGGCTTGAATCCTGGAAATGTGGAATATGTCGCGCGTTCAATCACGGAATGTTTGAGAGATTCGGAGTAGATCCACCGAGTGGAACCGATATTGGGGACGTTGCGGATCACTCAGATAAGACTGAGACTGGGCCCCATTCCAGTGATAAGATATGGATAACAACGTGGTTAGGTGATGAGAAAGGTCATGACTCGAAATTGAAACATTCGAGAGTTTTGTTGGAATGTATGACCGCAGGAGCCTGGGTTTTGCCCCAGTCAGTATGTCATACGAGCACTAGCAAGTTGGGGCTAAATTGTCTAGTGTCAGCTTCTTGCGGCACAATGACTCATAGGGATACAGACTATTTTAGCTAAAATTCCATCCATTGAAATCAAGTTGAACCTTGAAGCAGGACCTTTCAGTGCTCTTGAATAAGAAAGCAAGAAATTTTACTCTATACGAGCGCAGTCCATCAAACCCGACATGCTCTAAATACGGACATTTTCAAGGCTTGAAGCTATGTCGTCTCCACAAATTTTTATCGACCAAAACAAGGCCCATATTTTCGAAGAAGTAGAAGCAATACACCTCCGTCGCCAAGCCGAGATATGCGCCAAGATCTACCGAGAAGAACAAATCATGATCCATCCAGCCCCCAAAGGAGGCCTTGCGATAAGAACATTGCCAGACTTTGGAGGAAAGCTTAATCGCGCCGTTGGATGTGGAAAGGACGAATTCCTGCAGAAGGATCTCAAAGAGCTAGAGCTGATCTACATGCCCTTGGGGCTGAAACCTGAAATTCAACTCAGCCCATTTGCGCAGACATCTACCCCCAAATTGTTACTCGGCAATGGGTACGTTGAGAAAGGGGATCTGAGCACCTATTGGTGTGATGTCAGGAAATGGGCTGAGCAGTCTTCTCCGGATGATCTTCCTGGAAACACGGTGGTGAGACTAGCCGAACCAAATGAGGTGGAGATGTTTATGTACGCATCCGCCGTAGGGTTTCAAGATAAGGGGCGCACCCCAGAGCTGCTACGCATGCTTGCCCAACTTGCGATTGAAAGAAAGGACATGTTATACCTCTGCTTAGTGGATGGTGAGATTGCGGGAACGGCTGTAATGGCGCTAATGGAGACCCCTGCTGGTGGTGTGGCGTATTTTTATCTGGACAGTACAGTTCCCGCATATCGAGGGCGAGGTGTGCATAGGGCCCTCATCCAGGCCCGACTGCGGGCCGCGCACCAGTTGGGGATTTGTCTAGCGACCGCCATTACTAGCGTAGGAGATGGAAGTGCGCGGAACGCTGAAAGAGTAGGACTTGTGATTGCGTATATTACCTCCCAGTTTACCGCACCGCGGCCATGACCGCCAATGAAACCTTGGAACATCATAGATACAACATGAACACCGCCTCGGTAAACGTTGGTGGGATCAAAATGTCATAGCGGTTGCATGGAGGCGTCTTGGACTCTTGGCCCCCTCAGAATTCTTGAATAGTTGAAGCTAGCAACGGAAGGTCCTTTTGGAAATGAAAAGCTGACAGGATTGCTCCTCTATGCCGGCTAGGTGTTGTTCAGGATTCCCCAACATCCTGGACCGAACACTGGACGAATATTGGATATTCATTTGTAAGTAGTGTTAAATGCCTCATGTTTCGTGAAATGGTCTTTTTTGAGTTTATTTTCTTGGCTGTAGATACTTTGTGCCTGGAGTGAATCTCCAAATCCATATTGCCGGGAACTACCCCAAGAATCTTGGTGTGCTCTAGACGATTCCGAGTTAGGAGTAAGGGGCGAATCACCGTATTGGGATCAACAATTGCGCTAATTCGGTGCGGCGCGGTCGACTAACCTGATGGCGTTGGTGGCGCTCCGCCTTTTCCCCAAACCCAATTGCCTAGGCCCCCTAGGGGCCAAACTGGTCGATTCCACCTCAATCCTGCAAAAATGAAATTTGACTCAAACAGACTTGTGGGAGTAATACGAGATAGTGGAGAAAAGCATAGATTGGCACAAGGATTGCATGTAATGAACCTTGGAAAGATATGAGCTACTGAAGAGGAAGTTACTGCGCATAATAGAAGATCAAACAAACAGTGCAAATTGCGCAAACAATGCAAAATATAAAGCCACTATCACGTGACTCCGGATCGACCGAAATCTTGGAAATCTTATACTGCTGACTCATCCCGATTTCTGAAATTCCGCGATTCTGATTAGTTGATGCCCTCTTAACCCTTCTTTGACCTCTAAGCCCTGACGCAGTTCGGCTGAACTACCGGGTTGAAGATCGCCGGTGGCGTCTTAGCTCTCTTTGAGAAAAGCAAGTCGTCGCCTTGTCTGATATCCGGTTTTTTTTTGACCTCACTTTTATCCCCAACTTTTGTAATTTTGGCACGCTAATTCGGACCTTTATTGCTTGTCACTGTCCCCCGCAATCGTGGGGATAATGACGGGCTCCATTGAGGACCACCTTATGTAGTCCGGGGACCAATGTGACATTTCTTTTACCTAACAACCGAAACTTTCTTATCGTCTAATCAACACCGGGCGCTCCGGGGCACAGGATGAGTTGCCTCGACGGGCTGCAGGTGGGCCGATCCAACCTGAAAGCGGACATTTTGTTGGGTGGATGATCACGTAGAGTGGAGCAGCGTCGTACTCCACGTGTTGGCGGCCACACCAAGGTCAAGATGCGGGCAATTTCGTTAGTCAACGAAATTCAATCCGTGGCCTTTGATAACGCCGCATCCAGAAATCCACCGGGGAGTTCTTATATTCTACCGTAGCCCGTCATACTTCCATTTGGTTCACTCCCTCTCACTCCCATTCCTCCCTCCCTCGTTCTCGCGTTTGGCAGTGTCGCGAAACACCCTGGTCATTATGGGTTACGAAGACGACATTTCCAACGGTCATGACTCCGGCAAGTCCGTAGAGCATGACAACGAGAAGAAGGCCTATGCCTCCCCACCACCTTTCGAAGGCGCCATGCTGGGGGAAATGACCGACACTGAACAAGCGATCTATGACCACGGTATTAAGAAGTACAGCCGTCTGGGATGGAAGCGACTCACTGTGGTACTTATTGTCGAGGCCATCGCTCTGGGTAGTCTGTCCATCCCTTCCACATTCGCCAGTTTGGGCATGGTTGCGGGTGTCATCTGCTGTGTCGGAGTCGGTCTGATTGCCATCTATACCAGTTATATTGTCGGTCAGGTCAAGCTGCTCTTTCCCGAGGTTGCCAATTATGCCGACGCGGGTCGCCTCATGTGGGGGAAATGGGGTTATGAGCTCATTAACTTCATGCTGGCTCTCCAGTTGATTTTCCTTACTGGATCCCACTGTTTGACCGGTACTATCGCCTGGCAAAACATTACAGAATCATCGATTTGCTCTATAGTATTTGCTGTGGTATCTGCGATAATTCTTTTCCTTTTGGCTATTCCTCCAAGTTTTACCGAAGTCGCTATTCTCGGCTACGTTGATTTCGCGTCCATTATCATCGCGATCGGTATTACTATTATTGGAACAGGTATCGATGCGACCAACTCCCCCGGTGGTCTGAGTGGTGTTGCATGGTCTGCTTGGCCAAAGGAAGGCCTTAACTTCGCCGAAGCTTTTATCGCTATCTCGAATATTGTCTTCGCATACAGCTTTGCGATGTGCCAGTTCTCCTTTATGGATGAGATGCACACCCCTAGTGACTTCAAGAAGTCCATCTGGGTCCTTGGTATTATTGAGATCATCATTTATACCCTTACTGGCGCCCTGATCTACGCTTTTGTTGGCCCTGATGTGTCTAGCCCAGCTTTGACTTCCGCTGGTCACATGCTTGGCCGTGTCGCATATGGGGTTGCCTTGCCTGTTATCTTCATCAGTGGATCAATTAACACCGTTGTCTTTGGTCGTCTGGTTCACGGCCGTATCTTCGCCAACTCTCCGATTCGGTTCATTAACACCAAGATGGGTTGGATCACCTGGCTCATCACCATCGCCGCTGCCACCATCATTGCATTTATTATTGCGGAAGTTATCCCCTTCTTCGATGATTTGTTGTCGATTTCTTCTGCTCTCTTCATTTCAGGCTTCACATTCTACTTCCCTGCGTTGATGTGGTTCATGCTTATCAAGAAGGGTAGCTGGAAGGACCGTGATAACCTGCTGTTGGCCATTATCAACGCTATCATTCTTGTGATTGGCCTTCTTATTCTAGTCGCCGGCACCTATTCCAGTATCTACGATATCGTGAGTTTTGCAATCCAGAACCCCAGGTTATTTTTTATACTAATGGATTTAATTTACAGATCCAAAACTACAAGAATGGTGATGTACGAGGTGTCTTTACTTGCGGAAGCCCCTCCACATGAGAGATAATGTTTTCCATGATTTTCGCATACAGTCTCTTGTCCTACGACTTTTGATGCATGAACCCTCTCGGGTATGAAGTCCCTTGATGCGGTGCAGGGCACGGTAGAGAGACGAAACTGCATTTTGTTTATGATAGATATCCACCTCTGTTCGACCACAGCCAAGTCCTGTGGTCCTGTACATATAGCATTGAGATTCCTTGTTTACATGTCATATTTAAATGATTTACTCCATGACCACTTAAAGATACCAAGTAAACAATGCTTCGCCACTGTAGCTGGAGGTCGAGTTTTGATCAAGGTACTACCTGCACATAAGCACTAAAAAGACCAGTGACAACCGGTCAGCAGTGGTCAGTATTCTACTATTATTGCTAACATGCATTTCACATTACTACTAAAGACTATGATTAATTAGAAATCAAGTGTCCACTTACTGCTTGGCAGCGTAGCGAGCGTTTAGCCGTAGCCGACGTCCAAGGCGATAAGGGACCAAGTGCGGAGGCGCTCGAACCTCCGCACCCTTTACGCACAGTTACACACACACAAGTGGTCGGATATCCTGCTCAGGTGCGCTGCAACTCCGAAAGGCTAGTCAAGTATCCTAAATGGGTCGGGACTACAAATGTACCGAACCTGGTTGTGGGAAAGGCTTCCTTCGACCAGAGCATTTATCGCGACATCGTCTCAACCGTAAGCAATACCCCCGCATGACTCCCATCCCGCGCAGCAAATAACCGCTTGACAGATCGGCCTAAGCAGATCTACCAATGTCCGAACTGCCCTAAAAGGTTCGTCCGCAATGATCTATTGCGAAGGCATCAAAAACGCCATGAGAGAGGCATGTGGTTTCGAAATTCCGGTGGCATCGTACCCTCCGACCTATGCCAAATAGAGGAACGTCGGCCGTCGCAAGAGGCTCGTTCCTCTGACTCGGACTCCATTATTCGGGCCGATATGCGAGATGCATCTGTGACGCCGAATAGCTATGAAAATCACAATGATGAGCCGGATAATTTGAAAGTCCCAAGCACTGCACCTCCTATAGACCACAACAGTCTACCGGGCTCTTTACACCACATGGTGGATGCTAATACAGAGAGCAATGTCACGTCACTTTTCTGGGATCCCTCATTCAGTGCACCGGATCCTTTACTTGATTTCGATTGGCTTTTTGATGATATGTCCAACTTCAATACGGGTGACGCGACCTTGTCGTCCGAAGTTATCTCGCCAGCGCGAACTGGGATATCGGATATGTCCCCGCCGTCATTCCCAATGGGTTCTCAAGGGATTCGCTTATCTGTGGCATCGAATCCGTCGTCGTTCGCACCATGGTCTATTGTTCAAGGAAGATTATTTGAAGCATTGACTACACTCCCACAGAATATACTCACTTCTCCATTCTTCCTACCTTCGAGTTTATCACATTTCTTCGACCTTTACTTTCAAAATTACCATCCACATTTTCCAATCTTACATCAACCAACATTGGATCCAACTCAAGCTCCTCCGTTACTAATCGCGGCAATTGTGACCTTGGGGTCCACTTTATCCTGCGAAGAGGGTCACTTTCAAACATCAGTCCAGATTCATGATTCATTGCGATATATCATCTTTAACGTGAGTGGACAACTATTATTCCCAACAATTCCCGAGGTCTCCCCTAGCTAATTCATCTACAGAGTCCCGACTTCGAACCACCGGCATCTCTGTGGTGCGTTCAAACACTTCTTCTTATTCAAGCCCATGAGAAAATGTTCTCTACGAGAAAACACCACCAACTAGCACATATATTCCATGGTGCTATAATAACAGTAAGTATTGGGCCTTACGAGTCGTGATACTCTGAAACATTTGATTGTGACCAGTGCATGTTCATGACTACTGACAATAGATATAGCTTATGAAGAGAGGTGTATCATACCACTCATCGTATCAAGGGCTGGATGATCTCCAGCTATCATGGCGTCAGTGGGTCGAGATCCAATCGTCCAATCGCACGGCTTTCTTTGGATTTGTCATGGATGCACAGCATAGCTTCATGTTTGGCCACACCTGCATACTATCTGTGCAAGACGTTCGCCTCCCGCTTCCCTGTCCTGATTATCTGTGGGAATGCGGTGATGTGCTTGAATGGGATCGAATGATTCGAAAATCCCCAGAACCCCCTGGATTTCTCCCAGTTTTGAAGAAATTGATAGCCCGTACTCCGATCCCGCCACAATGTACAGCATACGGTCGGCTGATCCTCCTACACGGTCTTTTCAGTGTTACTGCCCATCTAAAGGCCAGGGACTCGGTCACCCTTGGCGTTGGAGGGGCTTTGCCAGATCGTACCCGACAGTCGACCGTCGATAGCTGGAAGGATACTCTGGAGAAGGCGATGGACACATGGTCATTTTGTCTAGTGTCGCGAAGCTCGTCATTGGCACTAGAGGCTTCGAAGCCACTCCATCGAATGGCATATGTGGCAATATACACTGATATCACCGACATGCATATCCTGGCTGGTGCTCCATCACTCTTAGGAAATATGCTTTCGGAAGCAGATCTGGTCGGAGCTACTGCTCGAGTTCAGACTTGGAGCGAGCGACCAGAGGCCAAAAGAGCGCTGTATCACTGCTTGCTCCTCATTCAAGAGATTCTTTTCACTGGAAAACCATATCATGCGTCCCAGGATAACCTTTCTCTCCGACCTTGGTCCCTTTATCATGCAGCACTTATCTTGTGGGCATATGGATTCATGGAAGGAAGGCGGAATCCCTGTCAAGAGAAGGAAATTTCATATACTGCTGAAGAATATCTTGTCCGCATGCTGATGCTCATACGAAACGAGGAGGATATTGGTATTGCGTCACAGCAGACGAGTGAGTTATTAAGTGCTGTGAGAGATTCATTGATTGGTTGTCGATGGGAGCTACTCCAGGAGGCATATGGAACACTAGGACGATTGATCGATAGCTCATGACAGCGAATCAAGCTGCCAATGCATATCTGAAGGTAACATCCATGATTTATCTAGTGGCACTGATAATGTACTGTTCTTGATGAAAATTCCTGAACCCATGGTATAGATAGAGACTTGTGCATGTGCATTTGACTCTACGAATGATACATCTGGATGGTGCTGTTATCTCCGTTCCCCAATCCCACGTTGACGCTCATGCCGAGCGAAAATGGAGCCACTTAGTCGAGAAACGTAGATAAATGCCCTAATTTGGAATAGTTGACTTGGCTGCATCCCACGTACTAAGTGGAGTCGCCTTTCAATGTTTCCGGTACATGACGGCTTTGATGGATCATGCTACTGTATTGTTATGGAGACAATGATAAAATCCGGGGTAAGCTAGTAGTGCTAGTAACGTTACTTTACTATTGAGTCGGACTTCAACCGAGCTTGACTGGATTCCCATAATCTTTTTGATTTCCGATTCAACCGATCTCAACTACTGTGGGTTAATAAATTGAGATGAAACCTGGAAGCGTGGGGGGTACCCGAAGCCACATGGTCAGAGCTCTAAGTCTACCATGACAGCGCTTCCCCAGGCTTGAATCAATGTTTGAAGATCTGAGAAACAAGGATAGAATAAATTGAATGTATCATTAGAATAGAAAGATATCGGACATTTGGAGCGGTCAAAAATTATAATGTTCAGGTCGCTTCCTCACTCATTTCCATGTCATTAGCCTGGGGGATACCACCCACTTCAAGAGTATCCTCGACGCGCTTGAAGATCAAAACTAAGACAAAGACCATAGAGCCAGCTAATAGACCCCAATAGCTTCCAAACATCGCCTGGTAACTGATTCCACGAACATCTAGACTGAAGACTATCGCGGCCCCCATTGCTCCAAAGACCTTATAAAATGCAGAGTATATAGACAGAACCAGCGGATCGTTGGAGAGAGCTCCCATAATCCACCAAGCGAACGTCTGCCAAGCTCCATCAACAGCACCATAAAATGTGTATAGTGTAATATAACCTGCAGCCTTTTCATCATGCACATCTAGAAGATGCTCTGGGGACACACCCCGATGTGAGGCACGAGCAGGAAATACGCCTCCAATGAAAACTGCGTTGATTAGAAAGAAGAGAATTCCCCAGCCAACGAAGGCTCGTCGACGCCGACCACCTAGTTTTGAAAAGTCAAGCAAAAGTCCAAGAATCACAGCCATGGCGAACTGGCCAAAGTCGAACCATAGACTTCCAAACGCACGTGTGCGTAGGTTGAAGAAATATGAGTTGAAATCATTGCTCTGGTATGGAATGTACTATAGGCCTGCAAAGCTGTAAGGGAAAAAGAGAATGATCCATGGCTCTCGTTTGACTGCCAGAACGACGTTCTTCAACTCTTGCACGAAGGTTGTCTGACGAGGAACAACGACCCGAGATCCGTCGTCGCGAATTACCTTCGATGGGTTCGACACAAAGCATGCAACGACACTTCCCATCAGCATCAGTACAAATAGGGCAATGTATGTGCTATCGTTGACGCTACCCGCTGTTGTAACGCCCCAGTTTTCGACTGTCGGGATGATGGCACCGATTACTGTCCCGAAGAACGACAAGCCGTAGAAGATGCCGACATATTTTCCTTTATCCTTCTCCAGTGGAAGAGACATAATCATCGAGCCCTCAGCGGTCCTAAGAAAAATAAATCAGATCAGCTAAAATTCAATGACTGGTGCAGAGACAGAAAAAGAGAAAATATAACTCACCAGAGAAAGGCAGCTGCCACTCCACACATAGCACCACCAAAGTAAACGAATGCCTGGTTCGAATTGTTGTTGTAACTCCAGTAAGAAGCTGAAAGAAGAGAATATCCAATTCCACCCGCTGCAAGAGTGACTTTTGGTCCCAGAAAATTGCATACTGATCCAGAGACCAAAGCAAATGCACAAAACAAACTGTATAGAATGGTGTTTGCGTTGTTACTAGTGGTAGGGTCGACTTGCCCTCCTCCTCCTAGTGCAGAGAGAACATTGAACATTCCAACAACTAAAAGATGAACAAAAGCGATGATGATACATTGTGTTATTGGTGCTCGGTATGCGGGAAGGGTGAAGCCAGCGACACGATATCCCTTTGGGACTCGGGTGTCTTGGAATATCTCCATGTCCCCGACCATCGCGTCAGGCTTATCGTGAGTCTCTTTCACGTCTTTGGTCATCTTGGGCAGATCTTGTTGGTCTTGCATTGTGAATCAGAGTGACTTTAATATAGATTTTCATGAATATGGATTCACTTATATGGCCTTGGAAGTGAGAGCTCGACTTGGATCCCCTCCGCCCTTTGGTCGGTATTATATCTTTCTCAACATGGATCTGATCTCCCCATTGCCATCGTATCTGAGTAGTATTCTATCAACTATCCTATCAAGTCATAATCTTCCCCAGTACAGCGGGGAAAGTGTCCAGAGTGGGTCATCAGACCTTATCAAGCGAGCCTTGCGTGGGATGGCCGGGTCTACGCGGGATGGGCCTCGTATACGCACTATTCAACTGTGACTCCAGAGCTGGGCATTTACTTGTGTGACTTCTTGAATACTTGAGAGCTTGCAAGTATTTCTCGACATTTCAAAGTTTCTCTAAAGTACCTGCATATTTAAGTCAGAAGCTGTGCCGATTAATTGATGACGGTGCATTGATCCGAAGGATACTAGTACAACAAACAACAATTCTCTCTTTCCCCGATAAGCGTCTCCCAACTATCATGGATGTTCGCAAAATATCTTTCACTTTTGAAAATGAGACCGACAAGACAAGCGACGATGTCGCGTCTCTCAAAATTGCCTTCTTGGGAACTCGGCATCCGCATGTGATGTATCGATTTGCGATCCTAGAGAAAATGGGTGGCTTCGAGTTTTCCGGGTTCTTTGAAGAGGACACAGAGATCGCAAAAGGACTAAGTGAAAGACTACCACAATTGACACGATTTGAGAGTCCGGAGGGACTACTGGACACCAATCCCGATATTGTGATGATACACTCCTTGGATCCAGATGTTCCTCGTTGGGCTCGATTCGCGATTAATCACCCAGCTCCCTTCAGAGGACTATTTCTCGAAAAGCCAGGGGCAGCTATCCCTGAAGACTTCTACAAATTAGCCGAGGAAATCCAGCAGAAGAGGCCGGGCCTTGCAGTAGAGCTCGGATATGAATTACATTATTCTGAATCTCTACAATTCGCCCGCAAAGTCATCCAAGAAGGAGTCCTTGGAGATATTACCACTGCCCGGTTCCATGGAGGCTGTCCTTCGGGAGCTGGAATGGATTTGTGGCAATCTATTCCAGAAGACCTCGGTGGAATTATGCAAACTGAAGGATGTCACACCCTGGAAAATGTGTTGGATCTCTTTGGAGAACCAGACAGAGTTGTTTCCTCAATCCGAAAATTGTCACAGAGACCACCTCATCCTGTAGTGGGCTGGATCCCAGATATTTTCACTGGGACAGTTGAGAGTGGCCAGTTTGGAGTGGGGTCCTTGTTGTATGAGGACGTTTGCTCTGGCATTATGGAATATCCAGATAAAACCATCGTGTTGGATATGACTGCCTGGGAGCCAACTGAGTGGTGTAATGAATGGGCAATCGATGTGTATGGAACTAATGGATCTTTACACGTCATACCCGACTACCCAGTCGCGAAATTGTATCTGCGTGAGGGCAGAGGGGATTTCCCAGCTGGTGAGACCAAAATGACAACGGAACACCCACATGGAACCTCTAATATCCCCAGCTGCTACCGCAAACAGTTGGAGACATTGTTCACCAGAGTTCGGGACTCTAAGCCTCCTGCTGACGGCTGTTGTGATCTCATGACCAATGTTGGCATATTGAAGGTCATTGATGCGTTTTACAAATCAGCAGAATCTCGCCAGTGGGTTGATGTATAGTAAGAATTAAAGCTAGCTTGGGGTCATGCATATCCTGTCAGGGTGTGACCTCGAAATGTAAATTAAATTGATCTTGAAAATCATTGATGGCGACTCGGAGTATCCATAGTGCTTTATCCAAGTACTATTGATTCTTCATGTAGATTTGAAATTTGAATGATCATTTATTCGTGTACTTTTATCCCAATTAATACTAAAGTTCCAAATTCCAGCACATGCGACATCGCAATTCTGGTATGGAGCACTGCCCCCTGCCTGGTATCAGAGTCACAATTGACTCTCACCTGGGCAGTCTTCATATTGCCTTGACCTTCGCTCGATGAGCTCGGACTGCAGGTGACCAAGGGAAATGACCCAACGGGACCATGAAAAATCCGTTGCTTGTATCGAACACACCAGAAAATGCATTATACCATGCAGTTAACGCAGCAAGTAAGCCAAAGATTCCACCCACCGTTTTTATTGACGTGAGGATTTCCCCATCTGCGTGGCACTTCAAGTGAGCGATGCCAAGGATAAGGTAGTTCATATCCAAGAAAAAGAACAAGAGAAACATGGCTAAACTGGACTTCAATGTACAGAGTAGCATGAGGGTGGTAAAGATGAACCAGGCCTGTATCATGAGTCGCTCAGGCTGATTAGATTACATCGTCAGTGGAAGGATGACAAGCGCACATACCATCATAAACACTCCTACTAGCTCTTCCGCAGCGCAGGTATCTTGGGCAGTCTCAAAATCCGTGCTTTCAAGAAGGGACATGACACCGAATGTAATCCAGTAGGCGCCATATGAACAGAACGAAGTAGCTCCGAATGTGTTCCCAACCACCATCTCCCTATGGTTATCAATTTGAGTTCAGCTAAAAACAGAGAGCAATATTTTATCTATTGGTCTAAACTCACCATATTCCAGCAAAGAGTTGTACCAGACCACCATACGCCAGTGGCAGCGCAATATTAATTCCAGTCGATGTCACATTGGTTATGTAAACATTGGTAGAATTCGAGACAAAAGAGGTCAGCGCAAAGGCGCATAGACCGAGTGGAGCTGAATTCGCGAATCTGGGACCGTCATCAACTACTGAGATCCTCTCTTGTCTGAGCGGCGAGACTCGTTCCAAAGGGCACTGTTCGTGAATCAACTCCTTATGATCGGAATGGGGGACAACTAAAATTGGAGCTTGATAGCCATCGCCTCTGGATCCGCCCAGCTCGGCATCGTGAACGGACCTTTCAGCTGTCTTGGTACTGAAATGGTGCTGCTCCATCCGTTAATTGTCTGGTCAATCTTGATCTAGTGAAAAATGGGAAAAGTTGAGGTATGTGTCTCTGGAAGATATAGGACAGGCTAGAAGTCACCTAGATATGAATGATGTGAGCGAGAAACTTGGAATAACTGATGGAATACAGGCAGATTCTGAAAGAAAAACAAGACTATAGGCTGCCAAGTAATCGGAAAATGACATGTTGCCTTTCTATAAAGTATTATTTCATGCCCAACACGGCGAAACCCGCGGATACCACCATTTTTACGAGGTCATTTCGAAGCTTGTATCGGATATTGTCAATAGAGGGCCCGTGAGAGCATTTCCAGGTTTGAACTTATAAATTGTGTAACACGAGGGGCCATGAAGGAGATCTGTATGGTGTATATACCAACATTGAACGGAGACTTCCGGTTTAATCAAGATCTAGAACCAGCTCTAGAACCAGCCTCAGAGTTTGAAGCTAAACTGCAATTGGGATCAAACTAGTAATTGTCATGAAAGCTGCAGAAACACGCAACTCTAACCTTACCAATAGGAGGCATTGGAGACGACTTAAGTACCTTATGAGATTCAACCTTGAACCGCATCTTAAAAAATGTCAAAATGAGTTTTTAATCGAGTCTAGAGCGTTCTGGGCCTGGGTTAACACCAGAGAGCCATATATCCTAGCCATTGAAAGATCTGGGGTTCAAGTTCTCGGGATAACTTGCATCAATTGTAAACATTCGAAGAGAAAGTAAAACTATGTATGTACTAGTTTATGTCTCACATATGAGGAGATGGAATACGTGGTACCTTCATTATGGATCGGGAGTCATTTGACATCAATCTGTTTTGGGAATTTAGAAACGTAATAGCCCTGAAGATTCCGTCCGAGTGGGCTTCTCCCCAATATTTCAATGTTCCGACCTCTAATTTCTAATAATTAGCTCAATTCCATGTCTTTGGTAAATTTCCAGACCGTTTTGTATGTTTGCATCAATTGGTAGCAGTCAAGTTCTTATATATATGAGGTTGGAGTAGTGGTGATAGTGCATCGATGTTCGGAACCCGAGGCAGTTGTGGTTAGGGTTTCCCCAGAATTTCCCCGCGGGGGTCGGCGCTCTCCGCAATGAAGCCTATTATGTATGGTCATAACATTGCTCGGAAATTGGAACAAAAATATAAAATTACCAGTATATCGAAATTGATATTACTTTAGCTTATGAGTGAAACAGTATCTTCAAATTGAATTCAAATTTTCATATTCATTATAACTCATCTGCGCGTATTTTCATTGAAGGCCAAGCCCAAGCACAGATCTTTCGGGTATTCCAAACATAAAGAGGCATTTCAGTCGGATCAGCCTCGCAACATTGTAAGATATTACAGGATATATTATTCACACGGGACATCAAAGGAGCCCTTAAACAGGGACGGCACATCCGAAAGAGGTCGCCACGGTACCACCAGGGCCGAAGACGGAAATAAGACCCTCAATAGCAGCCCAGGAACCCATGCCGGATGTGGCCAGACCACCAAGGAAGTAGAAAACACAAAGAGTGTTGATGATCCAGCTCTTCTTGTATGCACGCACCCATCGGGTCACGCCACTGTCATGACGGGTAGTAACGCCGGTGACGGGATCAAATCCTTCACCTGGAAGGGCAGCATCACACTGGCAACGGTACCCAACGTAGAGCAGAGCAGGGAGAGTGTATGTGAAGTTCAGAATGAGCAGAGAACCGACCAGACTGACGATACCGTTGAAGTTGGGCACTGCGGCAGCAACAATGAAGGCAAGGATCCAGTAAAGAGGGCCCAGGCCGTACCACAAGTAGCGACCCTTGCGGCTGGCAATGTCGGGGAAGCCGAGGACTTCCTGTCCAACCTCGAGGTAGATGGTCTTCATACCGACGTTGAAGTAAAGGACTATTTTTGGTGTTAGTTTTTGATTTATTAGGTTTGAATATGAGGAAATGTCACGTACCACATGCAATGAAACTGACGATCAAACTCAAAATATTACCAGCAAGCTGGAGACCGTATGGGTTGACGGAAGTGTTGATAGAGGATGAGGAGTACTGGCCCCAGAAGTGGTAAACCTGTAGAAGGGAACAAGTCAGAAAACGTATAGTTATGCAAGAGATGGAGTCAAAAACTTACGAAAGCACCGAAGACGATGTAAACGACACAGATGAAAGCCTGGGCAATCATCATACCCTTCCAGAAGTCCATAGGGTGACGCATCTCAGCCAAGAAGGCAACGAAGAGAATAGCACCACCGTAAGAGTCTGCAAGAGTCGTTAGTTTCCTTCAATACAAGAAAGGGAATTATTCCAAGACGTACAAACAAGCTCATCGACACCATTGAATTGACCGACGAAGCCAGCGCCCTGCTGCTGGTATTCGGATGGTGGGGGACCAGCGAAGGTCTTGATGGGTCCAACAGCCTTGATCAGAGTTGCCGAGGTAACGGCGGAGTAGTCGGGCAAGTAGTTGGCAGCGGAGACCATACTGGCAAAAGAAAAGGGAAATAATTAGCAAAAAAGAAGAAAATCAGGAAAGTGAAATCAGAGAGTCCAGAAACATACATGATGATAAAGCTGACAATGTTAATCCACACGCTGACATTGGTCAACCAACCCAGGCGTTGCAGACTGCGAATGCCTCCGAGGAACATGCCGACGACCATACAGATAATCATGCAGACAACGAAGCAAATCTTCTCGTCGGCAAGCTGAGACAGGGTTGTCGCATTACCCAGAATGAGTACGGCGACTGACATGAATTGTTGAAGCGACTGAGTGACATTGATGAAATGGCGCCAGTTAGGACCGAAGATGCGGAAGTAGGTATCGCCAAAGCTCAGCATGGGGTAACGGGATGAGTCGAGGTTCAAGAAGACGGTCCAGAGAATCCAGCCACTGATACCAGCGGCAATACCGAAGATGATGTAGAGAGCTGTGGCCGGGCCGTATCCAAGACTTGCGTAGACGAATCTAGAATCGGTTGTTAGAAACAAGGATCTTGACAATTCCAAACGGCTTCTAAAAACTTACGGGCAAGAAGACCATCCCAGAATATCAGTAGTGATCAAAAAGAAAATAGTTCCCCAACTGGCTGTGCGCAGGGCACGGGCAGCAGTCTTCCACTCTGGGTCCAAGCTAGCTGCAGTCACTGTAGTATCGGCACCCTTCTTGTCAGAATATTCATCTTCACTTGAGTTCTGTGCGCTCGCCTCAATCGCGCGTTGCTCCTTCTTCTTGTTCTCGTGATGAACACCCTTGGAGAAACGGTTCTTGATAACCTTTGCGAAAGTCAAGGTACCACGCTCTTCCGTGTAGACCCGGTTGTTCTCCTCTTCTTCCTCACGCTCAATTTTAGCCCAGTGCCTGTACTCCTCAAAGGAGACAGATGGGTCACATCGAGCCGCGAGACCATAGACACGCTCGGGAGCCTGTTGGGTCACCTCTTTGGAGTTGGGCTTCCACACCGCGTCGTAGGGGGGAGCGGCAATCTCGTCGTCTGCCATTTTCGAATGCAATGTGAGATGAAATATCTATAATGAACAAAAGAAAAGCCCAGTTACACTAGGATCCGATTTTCCCTGTTACGAAATACAGAAGGAAAAAAAGAGGATGGACAGATCGAACCAGTTCCACCGTGGGACGGGATTGACGGCGTTTATAACGAACATTTCTCAACAATTTGGTGATTCAGACCCCATACTGGGAATTAAACCTCAAGAGATAAACGCGTGTGCCCGTTTTCCTCGAGGTGGATCAGTTCGATGCGCTCGTGGCCATTTGGTCGAGATTGGTGCAATTAGCACCGTTTAGCACACGGCTGAGGCCAATGGGAATTCTCGTTTACTCCGGTGCTAGGGACGCCACAAGTCTGATCGCACTTCCATCAACAGCCGACGGGGTTTGCCTCCCGAATAAAATTACTCGAACGCAACTGTCTTATCGGTCATTTCGGGGGAACCGTTCATGTATGGAGATTTTGCACTGATAGAGATGTTACATGGTCTGTGCAGCCGAGATATTGCGGACCCCCGGCGGGCCACCGAAACCAGAATCAATTGAGTCCCCAGCAATTCGGTCGCGTAAAATGTTTGTGGAGTTGTACGGGCCAGCGAATACGGAGGATGGACCATGGACTTGTTTTCCCAGTGGTGGCGAACTTATCACGCAGGATTCCCCATATTAGTGTGCACAATCGTGCGATAGGCCCCAATCGAGGTCTTTTTTTCGAGAAGAGATAAGCACCATGAACGCCACAGATCTCCCATATGCATGAGGTTAGATTTGAGGTTCCAATCTCTATCAATTGCATTAATATGGATTTCAATATACTTCCGGGGAGGAATCAAGACTTGCCAAGAAGCTTGGAAAGTCCGGAGTAGCTTGCCGATGCACGGAATGAGTCTCTGGATGAAACTTCACCTCTCTCTCGTCTCTTGGCGGTCACCTTTCTACCGCGTGGGGTTCCAACCAAACGATTGTTATTGGGTCCAAGCTTTTAGTGGCGTACCATAAGCACGAATTGGCAGGGGTCATGAAGCTTTGTTTAGCGCAGAAATTCTCAACCGAAAGAACTTGGCATGGGGAGATAGCTGGAACTCCGTATGACCTGGCCCAGCTGACCCAACTGACCCAGTAATTTCCCCGATTACGGGGTAATTAAAGGGCTCCGGGGGCGATAGAGATAGGGATTCATAATAAGTTCACAAATTATGTGTTTTGCCACTCGGACCTTGAAGTATTTTCATTATGTGGTTCGACTTGCCTTCAGCAGGGATTTAAATTGAGTGATATGCATGAGATGGCGCTAACTGACCTGGGCTTGATAGTAATCTTCAGCTCACACGTGGCGCAAACCTTGCAAGGTCGGAACTTGTCCTGACTTGTCCTGACTCCAAGTCATATTCAATGTTCATAAGCATAAAATCCATCCACGCTAACCTGAAAGGACGCAGAGAGAGAAAAAAAAAGAGCGATGTTAAATGGACACCCGAAAAATACTAATGGACACCCTTCGCCTCAAGTGCCCAGGTCCACGGGTGCTGATTACGCTTAGTCTATACACCTCCCTTACACGTATCAAGGTCCCTGGGGCCATAGCAGCCGGCAACAATACACCAGTTGACCTTTAGCTTCCTCCATCAGAGCCTGCTTGTCTACCCCCTTATGTTTATAAGTAGGTATATGGGCACCTACCTGAGTACCTAATACTCCACTTGCCCTTATAGCTAGTACATAGTAGCCCTAGAATCTCTTTTCTGCTTACCGTACCCTTGAAATTGAATCAAAAGTACATTGTATAGCTGATTGATTACCCAGGGGCCTTGATGTCTGTATGGATGTGTACAGGCTAAGCCTAATTTGCTAAAGGGTGTCCATTTAACATCGCTCCTTGACTCACATACTGATCAATGTTCATAACTTGAAGCATAAAATCATCAACGCTAACCTTGGAAGAGGCAGAAATTAAAAATAATGAAAGGTAGTATGTATCGCGCATTTCATATTCATAGCGGCATCAAAATTGTCTAGACAAATGCCACCTCCAAATGTTCATATATTCCAATATTTGACCAAATAGACAAGAAATCCAGAAAAAAAAAAGACATTTAAATCTTGCTGTCACATCCACCTCTAGTGATCAGATGATGAATAGTCCAAATCATCTACTCATACTGGGAGGCGTTCTCCACTAAGCATCACGCTATCATCTCTTTGCCACTACTGCTGCTTCTTCGTGTTTCTCGGTATGGGCTGAGCCTGAATAATCCCTGCACCAACCTTGGCGGACTCCGACCAGCCTCGCTGACGCATCCAAAACCGCTCCGCCGGGTCGGTATCTTGCATAGATGACCGACGGACTTCATTCTCGAGCGAAACACGCGACAGGCCCGGTGGGCCAGAAGGATCGTCCTCGGCCGAATCGGCTTCGCTTGGTACGGTAAGAGTGGATTCGAGATAGCGCTTACGCAGGAGATATCGCTCCGCCCGTTCCTTACGCGCATTAGGAGGCTCTAGCTTGCCCATAGCAATCTGCACAACGTACTTCACAGCCAAGTACAGATGCTCTGATAGGAAAATCGATAATAGCAAGGCCCAGCCTTTGATATCTGTGGGTTCACCATTCGGTCCCTGCTGGGGATTCCCACTGAACATGTGAACCAGCGCGGCACTGGTGATACTGCCGGTCCATGACAGGAATCCCAGGGTATCAAGCCAGGGGCCAATGGTATCAGAGCGGAGTGGTGTAGGTCGTCGGAATTCGTTGCAGATTTTGAAGAAATCCGAACGAAGTTCAATCCAATTATTGGCAAAGAAAGAGACTGGGACTAATGGCCATACTGGAGAGAAGAGCGCCAAGTATCCAAACTGGATGCACATTTCTCGCAGGTCTTCGGTCACCTCGTATTCCGAAAGCTCCATCTCATTGCGGACCCGCGTGAGGAACTGTGCCTCTTCAGCTGGGTCATCGAAAAGAATAGTGGGCTGTCTCTCCGGTGAGTCATTGTCGCCGTTACGCTCCGACCGGCCATTGCGCTTCTTATTGAAAGCTTTGTATTTACGGAAAGCATGCTGTTTGATGTATGGAACGATTGTCTCCATCGCAAAACCAACAATCTGAGCAGTCACAGTGAAGTAGATCACTTGGTTCTGTAGTCGTGCTGGGTCGATTTGGAAATTCGACCGCTTGGCAATGGAGTGTTCCTTGGACACAAAAGGCCGGACGGTCAGGCGGAATACGTCCAAATAAGGAACAATCCAACTGGCGAAGGGGACGTAGACAAAGGCTGTAAGAAGAACTGGAAGATAGGAAGTCATGAAATTAATGACGAAGACCTTCTGAGTCAGAGCGACATCATATCCATCGCTAGTCTCGTGGTTCTCATAGTCATTCAGCTTGGTCGCAATCGAGACTAGAACAGCACTCATCGTTGGGACCAACGCGGATACAAGAATCGTGGGAATGAAAACCTGTCTGGTTAGCGATCGTAAAACTCATGAAGGCAGCTCGGATATAACCTACCAGGTATGTCTTGAGGGGTCCATTGTACAGCTCCGAGATAAAGATCTCGATCGCGAAGCAGGTAGCTATGATCACACCCAGAGCAGTCGCAGCCAGCAACGCAAAGGGGATCTGCAAAAGCTGTCTCTGCATGCGCTTGGTCGTTGGGAAGACTCCTCGTACTTCCCCAGTGCTCTCATCCTGGACCTCCTTCTCGGGTTTGAACTCTCGTCGCTTTGTCTGTACAGCCGAGACGCCTTTGGTTTGCCAACGGCAGCCCAGATCAACTTCTTGTCGCTTCCAGTATTCGACAAAGATAATGCACCATAGGGAATTCACAACCGTATAAATAATTGAGTAGCCTCCTAGGAGGAACCAGCAGCCAAATCCGAATACCGCTGGGAAGATAAGGAATCGAAAGTAGGACTGCAGGAAGGCGAAATAGAAGCCGACCTGCTCATTGTGTCAGTACCCGTCATTTCTCTTTATTGATTTTCCTGGCACACACGGATTCTCCGAACTTATTTCTGATCTGGTCCAAATCATCCTCTGAGAGGAAGGTTTTCTGGCTCCATTCACGCATCCACCGTTTATTAGTCTCCTCATCATGGAGAGGGAATACTGCCGTGACATTCTTCCACTCTCCATGCTGAGGTGTAATCCCCGCACCACCTTCATGAGTGGGGAGAGTTATAAGGTGGTTAATCACTCGCAAGCGTTCGGCCTCGGTTTCGGCTTGGGGGTCGATGGAATCGGCGGGTTCTGGCTCAGTGTTTCGAATTCCATACAGCCAGTCGCGAACTCTAGGACCATGGTATTAGCTTGACAGATCATTTTAGATCCAAAATATGAAGGGCAAAAAACAATCCATCGACCCGGAAATGTCTCTGTCTTCGGGCAAGTAACGAGTCCTCGCAGGGTGCAGGGTGCCCACTCACCGTGATCGATACACCGCCTGCTTCAGCTGGCTCTTGGAAGCCCGCACAAAGACGAGCAAGGAGGTTTCATCGCCTTGTCGTACTTCGGTTTGCAGACCCACATCATTCAAGGCTCGCAGTAGCTTCTCCAGGTTTTCAATCGCCTGGGGTTGATCTAGACTCCCCGAAGAAAGAGCTCAATCAACTGCGGACACAGACCCTCACGGCATATCTTCACTCACCTATATCGCCGAAGCTATATTGGACGACATAGTCGACTTGAAGATTGTAGCCGAGAGCATTTCCTTCGGTGGCCGTGGCCATGATGGGTGGTTGAATGGTAGTGAGAGTTGAAGCTGATCAAGTTCAAATGTTCATGAGCGGGAGCTGAAGTTCGACGACGTCACCGCAAAAGCTTGGCTGAATGACGATAACCAGTTGACCTATTTACTATAATCCTGTTTATCATGCAAATTTGGAGTACGTATCAGTTTGGAAATCTCATTAATTCATTATTATTCTCATAATTAAAACTGAAAATGGTTGCTGTCTAGAATAATTCACATAGGCTAGGGTAGCAGTCAACTGGTGACACTATAGTGGGCTTTCAACATAAATCCCCTTAATACTGGACTATGACATTTAATCCTTTAATTATTATCAGAGTCTGGGTATTTCAACTCTCTTTTTAAGTCTGCTTACGCCTCTGGTTTTGCCTCTGGTTTTGCCCATAGCGAGGGATTCTTCCTATTCCACGACAGTATTAGTAGCCTAGGCGTAGTGTTCCTATGAAATGAGTTCAGAAAAAACATATATGGAATCACAAAATCTTCCATTCTTCTGCCTAATTTTAGTCTTAATTTGTACAGATTTACGCCCATTTATGCAGATCAGTCTTAAGTCCAATGATCATGCACGAAACACGGGATGCAGCAGCTGATGTCTGGGCGCTTAATGTGACTCGCTTCAGGTGTCAGCGGCTACAGGTCATTTGAGGGGAGAATTTCTCGTATAATAATAGCACATGAGCCCAGGCTATAATTTAAAACTATTTCGATACTCCTATAATTCTACTTCTACATACCTAGGATCTTGTCCGATCACAATATCGCACTGGTCTCGTGTTCAACGTGAAGCTGCTCGTGTTTGTTTACCTTGGCTGCCTGCTTATCCCCGCGGGGAAAACAATCTCAAGATGACCGAACCATTTTTACGCGACACTCTTAATCCCCAGGACTATTATGGTGGATTTAAGAAGGAAAATGGATCTTTGCAGCATCATTTTCAAGATATCGATGACTTGACCCATTTTAAAACATACATGCGTCAACTAGAACAGCCTGAGACTCGAAATTTTGTCCTGGACTTTGGAAATGAGGACGCATACTGTGCAATCAACCTAGAAACAGAGGATCTGAGAGCTTTATTGAGTCAACCGGTATATGAGCCTCCACTCTATCAATATGCGATCGCGAACTAATGATAGGCTCCCTATAATAGCGATCTAAATGTTTTGGAACCCGGTGGATGTAAGCATTACCCCGACCTCATAACTCCCATATCTGGATAAAATAATAACAGAAAAAAAGTCATCTTTGGGCGCCAGAAGAGCAAACTGAGTCTATAAAGGTGAGTCAAAAATCGCCTAGTTCGGTAGTTGGATAATGTTCCCCAAGCTGACTCACAATAGGCGATGACCTCCTTGTACGGTGTCTCAGAGCGATTACAAGGCTTAATGTGTACTGCGCCTGTCATTCATCCACCAAAACCAGCAGCACAGCCAAAGAGTCGAAGATCGCGAAACCAAGACTTACCAGTGGACCTTCCAGTTGGCCATGAACTTGATGATGTCGAGAACGCCTTTCGGTTGAAACATATGTCGGAGCATGACTCCCTAGTACAGGATAACTCATCATTTAAGAATCTGACATTTTCGCAAGTCACTGATCAGATCTGGCATTTCTGCTCGGTTGATCATGGTCCACGATGTAAGTCCTATCTGCAAACCATTTCTCAAACAAAAGCATCCGCTAACGAAGACTTAGATACTTGTCTCGGCTATAACACGTTGTTCGTGACGCCCGGAGTCTCTAAAGAGACGAATAATAATGGGAAAGACTTACCTGAGGGTAAACGACTCTGGAACTGGCTGATCTTATGTAACGATGGCACTGTTATCTCGATCCAGGAGAATCCATTTCCTCGTCAACGAGGCATGTTGAAAGGAGATCAGATCAAGGTGCTGGATATTGTGCGCCGAAATGTGCGATTTATTTTCTCAGGCGTCTCGAAGCAGCACTTAACCATGTCGGAAAGCGATTCACTGGTGACTATTCGGGTGCGCCATTTCAATGAAGTTGGACCGGATCAAGCGAATATCAAGCAAGAGGATGGGCCGGGCTTACTCTTCTACTATATTTTTGATGACTGGGTGTCAAGCTATGGGCTTATCGCGAAGCGAGAGCATCAATATGGCGTTGTTTTGGAAGAATTGGTAAGGGCCCATAACTGATATACGATGTTTTTACCCCCAGGACCATACTAATTTCAATTATAGAGAAGTCAAATGCTCGAACGTCCTATTGTTGCCTTAGTCAACGAGTTGCACTGGTTGGGTCGACGTCTGGCTGTATTGAAGCGACTTTATCAGAGCTATGAGTTGATCATGCGACGCGTCTTACAACGACAACGTCTACTCCGTGACGAGGCTCGCTCAAATAATCCCGCCCCTCTATCCTTTGGAGCCACCTTTGGGGATATCGAGTTTGCCGATATGAGACAAGGGAATTTAATCAGTAACGGCAGCGCTCCACAGTCCAGAGATACCTCAGTCGGAGTAATCCTGACATCAGCTTCCGTGGCAAGATTTGAGAGACTCGTCGATCGTATCAATTTATACTGCTTGAGTGAAATTGAGACGTGTTTACTAGAGAAAGAATCTTTGACATTTTTGGTAAGTGAAGTTGGGCCTACGGAAACAATTCATTTTCCAAGAGCGCTACTAACTGTTTGAAAAGAATTTCAACTTGATCGCTTTGAAGGACTCACAGGCAGTGGAGAAACTAACTCGGATCACGATCTTACTGGCAAAAGCAACAATGCTGTTCTTACCTGTCAGTCTTATGACTGCCTACTTCTCTACTGAACTTCAGGGCGTTAAGGGCGGATATACAAAGATCGATTACTGGGCCAGTTTTGCGGTGATCTTTTTCTTAACTTTGGTTCTCCTCGCGATGTTTGGTCTTGCTAGCGATACAGTGGAGGGCAAAACTATCTATCGGTCTCTCATCAAGACATTCTTCCGTAACTCACGGCAGAGGCTGTCTCTTCAGCGGCGAGGACCTCGGTCCAAAAATGAGGAAAAGTGAGAATGCGAGAATCATGCACACTTTTGAGACTGCGGAAAACTTTGGGATTTCAGCTACAGCGTCCAATCACTTGATTATACCCATACTCCTTGTTGTGATCCGATAATCTACGTCGGACCAGAAGGTCAGGTATGATAATATGTAAATTTGATTTTCCAAGAGAACTGAGAATAAAAACCGACACGGGTTTCGAGGCCTTTCGAGGCTAAGAAGAAATTCACAGCTAGTAAAGAAACAATAGAAAGGCAAATTTCTCATCATATTCAAATAACATCCAGTTCAAACTAAAACGCTAGATCCGTCATTTTTCTTGCATGCACAGTTATTCGTTCCGGCAGCCACCTGCGATGGAGATCGCGCGTAGCTGGGTGGAACGTCGAGGACAGGATTCCTGTCAAAGAAGTTCCGAGGACGCAAAAGAAGTGTCATCGGCTCAGCAGGCATGATAGGGTAATCCTCAGGTGCTGGGAAATGAGTCAAACCAAATGTGTGCCACAGAACAACATCAGTGTTGTCAATTGAGCAGTTTGGACCTGCCGCCTCGATCCAAGCTGGCAAGCCAGATGAAGGCTCTCCGGAAGTCTGTGGTACGTGACGGCCGGCAGGGTGAATCTCCTCGTCAGAATCTAGAGAGTATTAATATCTGAAGACCAAGCCAGAACATGAGAGGCTTTTAGTTTACTTACATTTGGTAACGTGCACTGCATGACGTGCAAATCCAGCTCGCTTCCAGACCAGGCCACCGGGCTTTGGAAGAAGCGGCGGGACATCACGACTCACCAGCTTATAAGAAACGGGCTTCTTGCTGTATGGGTTGAGCTTGTTTGTGTTCGCCATATCCCAGGTACGGGAGGTGTTTCCGTTATAATCAGACATGGCCTCGAGTGGAGTGCTATATTTGGTCTTCTTTGCATAGAAGGCATTGCCATACTTGTTCTCTGCGCTACCAACCTCTCCAGGGCCTTGCACAGCATCAACCTGGAAGACTGTGTTGTTCGGGCCGTCAATGTTTGGATCGACACGTAAACAGAACAAATGCTGATGGTTGTGAGCATTAACACCTGGGTAAACTTCAGTGCCCCAGCCCTTGGTGTCCTCGCCAGGGTTCATCGAGTATGTGTTCAAAATTCCGGTAAGCTTAATCTCCAGCTGGACGGTACCATCTTGATGGAAGATCCAGTAGACGCAGTACTCATAGTTGGCTGCAGTGAAGATATGGGAAACAATCAACTTTCGGCCTCGAGTTACGACCATTGATTCATCACGGAAGTCAGTGTGCTTGAACAGAATACCTGCATCCTCTTCATGAATGCAAATGGCGTTCTTGATTGTCGTAGAAGCACCTGCGCGGTTGACGAATGCTGCATCCATGTAATGAATCGCACCCTTGCAGTCGCATCCAAGAGACAGACTATTCGTCATATAACCACCACCGTACTCTCCCAGGTCAAATGCATGCTTTCGTTGATGTGGGTGCTCCGGATTACCGTATGGAACAACCATCTCCGCCAGTGAAAGTCGATAGAAAATTGGTCGAACGTTTCCCTTATCATTGAATGTGATGTTGTTGAGCACAATGCCTTCTCGGTAGTTAAAACCGACATGAATATTCCAGTTTTGCCACTCAATGATGCGGTCCTTCACTTGGAAGGATACACCCTCAGGCTGGGTGATATGGATTGGTTTGATATCAGTCCGGAATCCACCCTCCTTCTCAATGGACTCTGGGAGGTAGTTGTTAGGCAGTGATTTGCTTAAAGGTCTCCGTACCGGGGGCACATCTATGTGAATAATCTGTTTTGTTTCGGAATTGAAAATCGGGCAAAAGTCCAGTGGATATGTGTACTGGGAGTCATCGATATGAGGGCGATAATACATGAGAGCCTGCTGCAGTCTCACACCAGTACCGAATCTTTCGTCGTAGCCGATAGTCCAAGCTATTATCAAGTGTTAGAGACCATAACTCTCACCGATATAATAACGTGATACTACTCACGATCACAATACACCTTGTGCATATCCTCTGGTGGGATACCGATTATTCCACATTGCTCAATGACCTTCGGATCTTTGCGTGCAATTGACTCGACCTCCTGCAAATCCTCCATCGTGATAAGAGGCTGAACATTTGGTGTATGCTTCCACTCCAGGACCTTTTTCTGGTCCAAGTCCACTACACCATCATAGACATTTCCACCGGGTGCGATCGCAACAACATCGGCGCAGCGAGCTGGGCGAGGGGCGGTTTCTGGATTTTCCAGCCAGGCCATCATCTGAGCCTTGCGCGGCTCATATAGCGTAACAGCATTGAAGTTGAGTGAGCCATGCTCGGAGTCTTTGCGAATGATTGCAACAGCGGTATCGATCTCAGATGTTGATAGAGGATCGAAGGGATGAGGGGGCGGGGCAGTCGCCTTGACCTGGTAGGTCAACTGCTGGAGGCGGTCGAGAACCATTCTGTTTAGTAAATATGCTAATCGTCTTTATCGGGTGTGGTTGGGATGACTCTGATGAGGTATGCTTATCAAATCGTGCAAATCTCTACGAGGAGTAAGAGATTTCCCCTCGGTGTTAATCAACAGTTGTGACCTGGAGATATTTGAAATTGAATGTCCTGGAAATTGAACCCCAGGTCTTTATGTATCTACCACATTGTACCACCGCATTTCGGCCTTGTAGCTTCGCGATTAGTTAAAGACCCGTAGATTGTGGAGTCCGGATCCCTTTCCTTGATCGGGTTTAGCGTTGCATGTCCCTTACAGAACAGGAAATGCGATGCTTGCGTGCATCTGAACGATAAACCACCAATAATGCTGCTTACTCCATGATATTCGTAAACTTCAAATGTTTATGGCTCGTATATTCCTCCTGGATAGAGAACAGACTTCTGGGTGGATTCAAGTTCCTAGAATTGGGCCTACTTTGGATAGAAACCCGGTACCTGGGAGATCAATTACGAGACGAGGCACTTCAAATGTTGAGTAGATGCTCACAAACTGTACAGACTATGATCACGAGTAGAAGCTATGAGTCCTTTGGATTCTGGAAGGAATTGAATAGATACTAAGGCATTACTACTACATTCAAAATGTTACATTGTTGTCCACTATGTAGTCAGTCACCTACGAGCAGTCACAAAATACGATTGAAAGAAACTGAGGGCTACAAAAGTCAATTTAATGGAGGAATAGTACTTTTATCGATGAGAAATCATTTGGAATGGATAAAAAGGTCAAGATAGGACATACTCTGCGCCAAGTACAGTCTCAATTTGAAGGTGGGCGTATTCAAGACGCTCCGGCGCTCGAGGTCTGTAGATCATTGGCATAGCCGTAGGGACTATATTCAGTGTTGCAGAATAAACTCATCAAATAGTGGCAATAAATTCAAATCTTGACATACCTGGACCCTTACTGTACCTCATAGTTCATTGTAGTTGTAGGTGAGGTGACACCTGAGTCACATTGACGTATCTTCTTCCAACGTTCCGCTGTAGGTATCCGAGGATTTCAGCTCTCCGTTCCCTGTTGATACCATCATTCTATTTCCGCTTGTCAGTATCGTTGCATTTCCGTCTCTCATTTGCCAGGTACGCCAGTGTGACCTTCTTGTTCTTTGCATGCTGTTGTAGAACATCCCACTCATCAGCAGACATGATATTCTCTCCAGGTTGTTCATCGAAAATTTTGGTATTTCGTGTACGAGAAGTTAATCCACGAGGATAGCAGCGGAACTTGAAAGATTCCAGTTGTGGTGGGCGCGATCCAGCTTGCGAGGCCCATTGAAATTCACACAAATTCAGCTCAGGCTTCGAAGGCATCCTAAAGGACCGTAAGGAACTATCTGGATGGATGTAATCCTCGGCGTCTAACACTGTCCACATATTCAATCGATTAGTAGACTTCAATGTGTGACGAGGGGAGTTAGAAAGTCGTAGCACACGGCTCCAGGATTGTGAATCCCATTTGCGCTTCTTGGATAGATCCTTGCTCTCCTCAATTGAATCATTGGTTGTTAATTCTACTCCTAAATTCACATGTAAAGGATCGGAGAAAGGTAGCGGAATTTTTTCAGAACCTCCAGATTTAGCAAATTCGAGATAAAACTTGAGACTGTGGCTTTCCAGGCACCGACCATCTATGAGCAAAGGTTGTGCGTCCCTAAAGTATTGGTAGGCTAGGGAGAAGTTGCGTTGCTCAACTTGTATACGGCCCAACCAGTAATAGCATCTGGCACGGTCCAACCCCTCATTCATCTGTTCGGCCATGTCAAGTGCGCGGTTGATTTCTTCTTCGGCCTCGTGATACTGCTCAAGTGCCAAATGGTTCATCCCAGTCGTGATGAGATTGGAGATTTCGAGTCGGGCGAGTTGGTAATCGAGGTCTGGCTGAGGCTCAGGTAACTGCAGGGATGTTACCAAGTTCATCAGTTCCGCCCTTTGCTGTTGTGATTTGATTAGATTTTCCCTCATGTATTCCAGATACCCGCCAAGTCTTGAAGCGAATGAGTCAAAATCGGACTCCAAGCCAGATGAATCAGACGCTAAGGTCAAGACTTCGAGTGCTCCAGTATTACTAGCAGTGTCGATATCAGGTTGGTCGTCTGATAGTGAACCTGCCGCACCCAATCTTCCTCTGGGCTTCCATGTCGATTGCTCAAAATTAGCCATTTTCACCAAGTTGCCAGTGGGTAGGTATAGTGAAAGCACGATGACTATGTATCAAAAACTCTTTTTGTACAGATATGTGCCGATAGACTGATGATATAAGTGAGTAGTAATGGAGATGATTGCAAGAATTCAGATGAGAGTGGTTTTTATATTCTATAGGTATGAATGCTTGAAGTTCCTCTCCTTCGCTCAGGCGATACTAGGTAGAAAGGAACTCGATGGCAAATGTCTGAGCAAAGGAACAAAGGCATTATACATTGGACAAAAGGAGATAACGCATTTATTTCAAGATCAAAAAACAAAGATCAAAAAACAAAGATCAAAGAACTTTGAAAACAATGGATTCATTCAAGTTCGCCCTCTTTGTATTTTCTCTTTGATCAAGACAGGCGTTCCATTCAGCGCTACTCCAGCTTTGAGCATTCCAAATTTTTCACTGTATGTATATGTAGCGCGTATTTGGGTCGCTGAGTCTTAATCTGAATCTCAAGCCTGAGAAAGACTTTGTTAAACATAATAATGGTGACTAGTTCAAATGTTTAGAATGCTTTTTGGGAAACGCTGAGATATGCATTGTATTTCTATTGTTTCTTCGCATAATCGACTGAAAATAATACAGCCTTATCTCTCTGTTCAACAAAATACCTGACCAGCACAAGGGGTATGAGATATTGAATAATGCCTAGTACTCAAGTGTTTGTTTCATCGCATCATAGATTCCTAGCGAAAGCGAACGCAGTGTTAGAATATACAATCCGTAAACATAGGAATATTCAACTTACTTGCGACATCTGGCAGAATAAACTGCTCGTATGTAAGCCCTGTATGTGTACTACATCCGGCAACTCGTTTGACGGGCGCTTCCAATCGGAGGAATGCACCCTCCTGTATTGTAGCTGAGACCTCGGCACCAACACCATAGTTGATCATACTCTCGTGGACCACGACAGCTCTTCCTGTTTTTCGCACACTATCCAGGATAGTCTGACGATCCCATGGGTAGATAGTACGGAGGTCAATCAATTCCACCTTAACTCCTGGCATAGTTTTCTCCAGCGCAGTTATGGCGGCAGAGCAGAGATATAGAGGTTGACCGTAGGAAATTATTGTCAGGTCCTTTCCAGCTTTTATCACCTCCGCCTTGCTCAACGGAATTGTGTAGTATTCATTGGGTACATGCTCCACAGCTGCGCGATAGAGAATCTTCGGCTCCAAGAAGACCACGGGGTCATTATTCTCGAAAATAGATGACAGTAGCAATCCTTTAGCCTGCGATGGCGAGCGTGGCATTACTACACGTACACCGGGGATATGTGCGAAAAGTGCCTCGGGTGACTGTGAATGATACCTGGAATAAATCATCAGAGTTGAGTTCTTTGTTCCCTAAAACGTGGGAATGACTGGGATATTCAACATACAAAGCGCCATGGCCGACTGCGCCACATGGCATCCGAAAAACCAAGCCTCCAACATCGACTCCTGTTCCACCTTCTCTGTATCTGAACTTGGCAGCTTCGTTGACAATCTGATCAAATGCAGGAAATACGTAATCAGCGAATTGGATTTCGGCTACCGGCTTCATGCCTTCTGCAGCGGCCCCGATGGCGAACCCTGCTATCCCTTGTTCTGTCAAAGGCGTATTGAACACACGGTCGGTGCCAAACTCGGTTTGGAGATCCATGGAGCAGCGAAAAACACCCCCAAATGCAACATCTTCTCCAAACAATAGGACTTTATCTGATGTTGAAAGGGCGGTTCGTAAAGCCGAGTTGATAGCTTGAAATAGATTGAGGCGTTTGCTGGTGGCTGCGGCAGGGAAATCAGAGACACCGGATAAGGACGAAGGAGTATGATGGAGGATGGAAGTGGTTTTGTAGTCGATTGGCAAGTTCAGCTTTGCGGCAGGAGAAGGTGCTCCAGAATAGTACCGGCGGAGTACTTGGGGTATGACTGCCCTGGGGGCCCTGGGCAACGCCATATTTGGGCGATAAGCAGGAAATCTAGGTGGGTAGTTTTTGGAAGAAAATTAAAAGTAGTTGAAGGTTCTAAATTTGATTCATATTCCCCTATTATTAAAAAAAGAGTAGTCCTTGATCAAGTCCTTGGAGATGACAAGACCCCGGTTTGCGGGGGAAAACAACGCCGCGAATAACCGATATTGTGCAAACGTGACAAACATAGCTATGACGAAATGTATCTCAACTTTAACACTGTCAACACTGTCAATATCAGTTCTATTAATTATAGAAAATACCAAGTATGATCCCTATTTCAGGATAGGATATCCCTTCAACCCTGAGATCAACCGACACCATTTGGAGGACTATGTGCCTAGCTAGTCCTAGGCAATACATGGGAGGCCTAAGAGACCCGAGCAATGTGACTTCATTTGATCAATTTTTCTATGACACAAAGAAACAAAAGAAGCAATAAAATACGAGCATTATTGAAAGACTTTGAATCTGATTTTTTTTTCAGGACTTCTGGATCATTCATTGAGGTGGCTTACTAATATCTCTCACGTTTTTTATTGTGCAGCACTGAAGGCAATGATAGTGCCTGGGTATTACTACAGAGTATGTGGTTCGAAGGTTAGTACTTCTCCTCTAAGGGTTCAAATTTTCCACCTAAGACAGACTCGGATCACCAAATGCACAGTGTTCAAATACATAGTTCGACGAAGGAGCCAAGAAGAAATGAATAGCTCTGGCCCCACATTCGACAAATGTACATAGGCGCCACCCCGCTGATCTTGATGATAGGATACCTTGAAGACTTGCTTCTCTTGGGATAAGATCGTCACCCCATAGAAAAATGTACATGAGGAGACCATGATTTCCACCCTATATTTGTATCACCCGGACTCCAATTAGATGGTCATCCATCTCATACATACATTTGACCCCACCACATTTGACACTGACAGAGCCCCATCATCTTAGCCCCACATTCAATCGAGCACCACATTCCAAATTGCTTTTCATCGTGTCTTTTTCCCAGTAAATTTTATTTCATATCTAATCTTGAGTTCAATTACTCTCTGTGGAACACGGCACAAGCCTAGCTCCACAAATATCCAAATTCAAAAGCTTTCCCCAGATATTCGAACAGCTTAAACATCATGGCTGCTAAGCTTCACAGCGCCCCTCCATTCCGTGCTGAGCACATGGGCTCCTTGTTGCGCCCTGAGAACCTTCTCGAAATCCGTGCTAACATTCGTGACACCGGTATCTCTGAGGAGGCCGCTGGTCTTCCCGCTGCTGAGAAGGTTGCCATTGCCGATGTTGTTAAGAAGCAGCAGGAGCTTGGTCTGAAGGCCGTTACCTCTGGAGAATTTAACCGCACTCGTTTCTGGGGTCTGATGTGGGATGAGTTTGAAGGTAAACTCCCCTTTCTTGTCAACTCACTATATGATTTCTCTAACATCTCGAACAGGCACTATCCGTCTGCAAGATGCTGATGCCTCAATGTTCCGCCTGTATCACCCTGACGTTGTGAGCTTGATCGAGAAGGACCGTAAGGTCATGCCCGGCGACTCAGTCATTGCTGGATCCAAGCTCACCTGGAGCCCTGAGAAGTCACTGTCAAACCTGCACGAGCTGGAGTTGGTCCAGGAGGCCCTCCCCGAGAGCGAGTGGGGCAACATCAAGCTCACAATGATCACACCGGCTTGGTTCCACATGCGCTACAAGCAGGGCAAGGCCTATACTCCTGAAGCTTACGCCAATGATGCCGAGTACTTCCAGGGTGTTGCTGAAGTATACCGTGCTGAGCTGGCTGCATTGTACAAGGCCGGTCTGCGCAATGTGCAGTTCGATGACCCCGGTATGGCGTACTTCTGTTCCAAGGCATTCCGTCAAGGATGGGAGGAGGATAAGGACAACAGCGGCACTGTCGAGGATTTGCTGGACGCCTATATTCAACTCTACAACGACTGCATCAGCGAGGTTCCTGCCGATATGCACACCGGAATTCACCTGTGCCGTGGCAACTTCATCGGTGGCCGTCACTTCGCTGAGGGCTCATACGATATCATTGCCAAGAAGCTCTTCGAGAACCTCAACGTCAACACCTTCTATCTCGAGTACGACACTGAGCGATCTGGTGGCTTTGAGCCCCTGAAGTTCCTTCCCAAGAACAAGAACGTTGTTATTGGTGTTATTAGCACCAAGCTCCGCGAGCTGGAGGATAAGGAGGCCATGAAGGAGCGAGTCTACAAGGCTGCTGACTTTGTCGCTGCTGGTAGCGGTCAGACCCGCGAGGAAGCCCTTGACCGTGTCTGCTTGAGCCCCCAGTGTGGTTTCAGCACTCACGAGACTGGATACCCCCTCTCTTTCCAGGATGAGAAGGACAAGCTGGGTCTCGTTCGCCAGATTGCCGATGAGATTTGGGGCCAGCCATAAATGGCGACCCACACTCATACTTTGGCCATGAAAAAGTGATCCCAGAATGATATCCTGTAGCGAAGTCTGAGAGTAAGTTTTCTGGAAATTTCAACAGTGATGGAAAAACTTAATGATGTGATGTGAGATGAGATGAGATGAAAATGTACATAATTCAACAAAGTACCCCCCATTTCCCCCCAAGGTTGTCAATACTAAACCTGTTTCAATGAACATGATTTTTAATCAAATCAAAAAAATGCAATCTACAATTAATCCATACTAGCAGCATCAGTTTGATGGAAATCTATTCATTCAGCATTTGAAAATCCCCTTTATTATTCGCCGCGGTTACCACCGCTCCAATCCAGTGATTTCTACAAAAGATCGACGCAATCTTCAAGATGTTGATCATCGCACACCTGGAAATCTATGATCTGCTGGGGCTAGTGTAGTCAGGATTGAATAACTGAGAGTATTTTGATTAAAGGAAATCTATTCCGAAGTGGCCATCACTACTTTTACTTTGACGTCATGTCCACATACTCAAGTATTGTGGTAGGCGAGGCTACAGAGCTTCCGAGTCTTTCATAACACTCAACAGGGTAGAGAATACCCTTTTCTAATTAGCCATGGGCGTTAAACCTCGTACCGACCGACCGGTGGCCGTCATCGGTGGAGGTGTTCTGGGACGACGAATTGCATGTGCCTTCGTGGCAGCCGGCTACCATGTACACATTCGGGATAACTCACCAGAGGCACTGAAAACCGCGATTGAATACATCGATGCACATAAAGAGGAGTATTCAATGATGCCGCGTATCTGCAAAGAAACGGAGTCGACCTCCAGCGAGCCTGAAAATGTGGATGGGAAGGGTTCTGAGTCTTCCATCACTAAAGTAGACCTGGAATCCTACACACACGCTCCGTTTGGTAACTACAAGCCCTTTATGGAAATGGAGCCCACCATTTCCAACGCATGGTTAGCTATTGAGGCTGTACCCGAAAAGCTGGATCTCAAGATTGACACGTTCGCTGAGATGGATGCGGCGGCTCCGGCGGATTGTATCTTTGGAACAAACACCTCATCTTTCAGATCTAGTCTCATGGTATCAAAAGTTTCACCTGAACGGCGCAAGCGTATGCTCAATATTCATTTCGCGATGCTGCCTGCCGTTCGAACCGTCGAACTTATGACTGATGGCGAGACCGATAGCGAGATATTCCCATACCTGGAGGATGTCCTCGGAGAATGTGGCATGTTACCCGTCACAGCTCGGTGTGAGTCTACAGGGTATGTCTCTTAATCCCTGCTGTTATTTTGCGCGATCAGTCACTCACATCTTGTCTCTCCGCATGAAACAGGTTCATTTTTAATCGCCTCTGGGCAGCAGTCAAACGAGAAATCATGCATATCCTATCCGATGGCGTTAGCGACCCGAGCGAAATCGATCTTCTATGGGAGCATATGTTCAAGAATGGACCTCTTCCATGCCAGCTCATGGATCAGGTCGGGCTTGACACAGTCGCTTATATCGAGGATAATTATGTGAAGGAGCGAGGTATGAGTGGCTCGTCAACGGTCGATTGGTTACGAAGGGAGTACATTGAGAAAGGCCGGCTTGGAAAGAAGAGCCAAAACGGCGGCCTTTATCCCCCTCATGTGCGGTCATCAACTGCTGAAGCTGCACCGACAAATCCACACACAGCGGCGAAGGATATCTACGTTCTTGACGTGGGGTTGGGGAGTAATGCTCGCGATGTGTCTCAGGTTCATTCAAACGGGAAGATCTTACGTCTGAATTTAGCAACGCAGAAGCTCACTCCCGTTGTCGTGGGCCAAAATTTGCCGGATGGTATTGATGTCTCACTCGGAATACAAAAAATCTTCTGGACCAATATGGGTCGCAGCACCGCCGCTTGTGATGGGTCGGTTTGGATGACAAACCTGGATGGAAGCAAAACACGTTGTCTAGTGCCGCCAGGCAAGGTACATACTCCGAAGCAGATTGCAGTCGTGGATTCTCGACAGCAAGTGTATTTTTGCGACCGGGAAGGTACCAGCGTGCATCGTTGCAACTACGATGGCAGCAACCACGAGAAAGTTGTGCAACGGCATATTCTGCCAGAAATGACTCTTTTGGAACAAATGAAACTTTGGTGTGTCGGGATTGCTATTGATGACGAGCATGGGTGGATGTATTGGACTCAAAAAGGTCCAAGTAAGGGCGGTCGCGGTCGAATCTTCTGCGCCGGCCTCGATATTCCACCTGGCGAAACCCCAGACAATCGATCGGATATTCGCCTTATTTTTGATAACTTGCCTGAGCCAATAGACATAGAGATTGACAGCAGCACACAGACTTTATACTGGACGGATCGCGGCGAACATCCTATGGGATGCGCGTTATACCGGGCTTATGTGGGTGGAGAGAGTATCGATCTTCAGAAGGTCATTCTAGCACGGCATTTTCATGAACCGATTGGATTGAAGTTGGACAAAGTGAATAACATCGTGTATGTGACTGATCTTGGTGGTAGCCTGTACTCTGTCTCGTTGGATGATGGTATGAAAGTTGAACTGGTGCGTAATGATGGGTGTTTTACAGGAATCACTTTGGTATAATAGAAGATCCAGGAAAGAATGTAAAAAATTATGGAGATTATTGACCATAGAGAAACTTGAGAGGCTAGCTTGGAACTCATCTGGGGAGAAAAATCATAGCAGAGATATTGAAAAGTCATGTACTCTGTACCCGAGGTTGGGCATTGTCTAAACGAACCTGCCAAGGGATGATGTACCTGGGGGCGGGGCGGAGTAAGGTCATCCCGCCCCGCAACGGGAATGCGAGTCGCGACCCCCCTTCACATCCACTCTGTCTTCTCCTTGTTTTGTCCCTGTCACCAACCAGCGAACAGACATTCACCGAGGGCAATGGGCAATGCGGGATACGTGGGAGTTACAGTCACCGAATGTCGGGCTGATTTGAGGGTCGCAATATCAGAACACTGGCCGTTCTAGAATGCGTTGTTTGGCTTTTTCCTTTTTAGTGGGTTAGATGACTATATGGGCACCTGCCCTGAGTCTAAGAACGATGCAGTTTTGATCTTTATCTGTGGGAAATGAGTTGGCTAGCATTCCTTTCTATAGTATCGGCGATTCTCGACGATATTATACGTGATGGCAATGTTCCTTTTCAAGACCCGCGTCAAACTGTTTCATGGTTTCATGATGGCTACCTTGCCGGAGTTCTTGTTGCTAGCCGTGCGTTTATTTTCCTTTTGCAATATGAGGGCCGAGGGTTTCTCGAGGGCTAAAGACTTAAGGGTGACCTCCTATCAACTCTGGTTCCTCGAGCAAGAGAGCTTACATTCGCGTACGGGAGACTTGCAGAGTCCTCCTGTCAAATGGGTTACACATGTCTGTCAACTATTTGTCTTATTCGCTGCTCCTAGAGCAGTGTGGTTCTAGGGCACTTCTCTAGGCCTGGTCTATCTTGTTCCCCTGCAAGATCTTCCAACAAATAATCTATCGCTGATACCGACATCCGATCACCGCCTATAAAACTCGACATTCAATATTCGATGAAAAAAACACGATATAACACGCCAACTCTATGAACAACCATCCTTATTCTTCAATCGGCAAACTCAGCATTCACAATCAATTACTCGACACCACGCAAGCCTTGAGACCGACACCCCTGATCGGAATCACTCTGGCATATTACCAGTGGACCTTTCCGACATGAGATGGATATCTGAGTGGATGAAAAGCATAAGGCTATGTGAGACGGACACAATGATGGATTTATTACTATGTATATACTGCGTCATGTATCTAGGAACTATATGGTGGATGAAGCGAGTTCACAATCACGGTGTGATGTGCCGCCTTAGGGGGAAAATTAAAGTAATTCAAGACTGAACTTGACTCTTCATTATTTTAAAGCTCATTTCCGTTTTTATTCGACTTGAACTCAATTGAATATGTCTAGTTGACTGAGAATAATGTACTCGTACTTGAGTCCGCCAACTGATTGCTTGCCTTATCGGGCTTATCGACGCTGCGATAGCGGCCTGGGGCATAAAGAATTACCATAAACAGACTAGTGTCTACGGAGACCCCAAAGAGAGAAAAATTCCCGCAACCCTGGATGAGATAGAAGAATATCCATTATTGGAGTCTTTTTCTACAATTCGAGGTTCATGCCTACTTTCACACCCTGGCAGCGCAACTTGACCGCAGCCATTCCTCATCTCAGAAACCTATCCCCTCGTCTGTCCTGCAGCAATCAGCTCTTCCGATCATTCTCAATCAAGTTCGAGCGCCCCACGCCCTCTGAAATATTCGAACGCACGCCATGGCCGACAACCAAGGCGCAGGAGAAGGAGCTGGTAGAAGGCGTAAGAACCGCGATATGGGTCGAAATGAATGGAGGTATGCAATAAATCCCCATCAGCTTCACCCTCGACTGCAGCTAACTAAGCCAGTCGGCAAGCCATAGATAAACGACAACGCCTAGAGCGCCAAGCTGAAGCAAAGCGACAAAAGATCGAGAATGGAGAGGCCGTAGAAGCTCCAATCTATGCGACACAGTTCTCCCCGGAGGAAATTGCGAATGAAGAACGACGCCCAAAAAAGAAGGTCGCACTTATGATGGGCTACTCCGGAACGGGCTACTATGGCATGCAGCTGAACGAAAACCAAAAGACAATCGAGGGTGATCTGTTCGCAGCTTTGGTTGCGGCAGGCGCTATTTCGAAGGCGAATGCTTCTGATCCTAAGAAATCTTCCTTTGTGCGATGCGCCCGTACCGACAAGGGTGTTCATGCGGCAGGCAATGTGGTGTCTCTGAAGATGATTGTGGAGGATCCCGATATCGTCCAGAAGATCAATGACAATCTTAGTCCTCAGATTCGTGTCTGGGGCCTTGAACACACCACCGGAAGCTTCAGCTGTTATCAACTATGCGACTCGCGAGTATACGAATATTTGATGCCGAGCCACTGTCTCCTGCCACCTCACCCCAGTACATTCCTGGGTAAGAAGATCGTCGAGCAGGCGGAGAAAGCTGGCAACATGGATAAAGTCGATGCTAGACAAGAAGAGGTCGCAGGCTACTGGGCGAAGGTCGACGATGAATATATCCGACCAATCTTGGAGAAAGTACCAGAAGACGTTCGCAAGATCGTGCAAAAGTCCCTTTTCGTGGAGGAGGAACAAGAATCATCGGAAAACCAAGATGATTCCGCCCCTGCCGCAGAATCAGCTGTTAATGCCGAAGATTCGACCACCCAGCCCACTGCTGCTGAGCCCTCCGAGGAGCCAATCAAGGAGAATAAGCCATTTGTCATGGAACCTCGGCAACAACTCATTCATGACACTATCAAGGCAGTTAAGGCAGCATATATTACTGCCAAGCGCGCTTACCGTGTCCCCGCGGCTCGTGTTGCCCGCCTGCAAGAATGTCTGAGTCAATATGAAGGCACAAAGAGGTTCCATAACTACACGATTCAGAAGACCTACAAGGACCAATCTGCCCAGCGTCTCATCAGGTCTTTCAAAGTGAACCCGACTCCAATTGTCATCAACGGTACTGAGTGGCTCAGCTTGAAGGTCCACGGTCAGAGTTTCATGATGCACCAGATTCGCAAAATGGTCGCCATGGCTGCTCTTATTACGCGCTGCGGTTGTACTCCCAGCCGAATCTCGGAGACCTATGGACCCGAACGAATTGCCATCCCCAAGGCTCCCGGTCTTGGATTGTTACTCGAGCGACCTATTTTCGAGAGCTACAATACCAAGGCTGCCACTCTTGGCCGTGCACCCGTTGGGTTTGAGAAGTTTACTACTGAGATGGAGGAGTTCAAACAACGAGAAATTTACGACCGTATCTTCCGCGAAGAAGAACAAAGCTCTGCGTATGCCTCCCTTTTCACCTGCCAGCCCGTATTTTACATCAGCTAACCCTCATGATTTACCACCAACAGCTTCAGCATCTTTTTCAACCACATCGACCATTTCCCAATCGATTATTATCTCTATGTCACCTCTGGCGGCATTGAAGCTGCTCAATTAGTCGCCGCTCCTACTGACAGATCGGGAAGTCCCAGATCACGTAACCGGGGGAAGTCTGAAAAGGAGATCCTTGCTGCAGTTGAGGCTGAGTCCGAGGATGAAGTCAATCCAGCTGAAGACAGCTGATCTGGGCTTTGAATGACGAATTAAAATAGAATTTGAAATATTGGTTTTTCTGTGGACATTAGAAAAAGACTCTGAGTCAATATTGATATCAATTGATGGCATACCCAACCTTCCAACATTCAAAGGTTGCGAAGAGATATGGACATCCATCTGGATCCATGTGAATATGTATGATCGAGCTAGCATCAAGGCCCACTTCAAGTTCACATGTGCAATACTGCCAGTGGCATTTGAAGTTCCTTGTAGCATGCCAGCACTTGAGTGTGTGTATATGTAAAGTGAAAATCACATGTGCACATGTCCATGCCAGTCATATCAATGTATACATCGAAGCAGTGCCGTCCACGGGTCACTCGGACTGCCAGTGGTCCAGATGTCCCTTCAACATTGAATAGACACGCTGGCAATGGCTGGTGTGTGCTCCGTATTTGAATGTTCTGACATCTGGACTCGGAGCTGACACGCCTCAACCTTGGAATGAACTCCTCAAGTGCTAGGTAGGTATCCATTCAGTGGCTGAAAGTTTCAAATGTTAAAGCTCCACCTAGGCAGATTTTAGGGATGATGATGTTGAAACAACTTCAACATTTGAAGTTTAAAGGCTCCAATTAATGTTAAATTTCAATTCAACCTTGGAAGTTCTACATAAAAACTTGAACTTCAAGTTCAAGTCCGAGTCTGAATTTCAAGTTAAAGGAACTTGAAACTGGCATTGATGTGCACTCAAGTGCTGCCCGGGTGCCAGTGTCATTGAATCCATCATGATTTAGATGGACTTGATGTCAACTTGAAGTTCAACATTGATTGAAGTTGGAGTGTTCACATGCAAGTTATTTATCCAAACTTGAAGTCGAATCACTGGCAATTCGAAGGTTCCAGGGTTGGTCTATATTTGTCTGGTATATATATTTCAAGTTCATCCGAACTTCAAGTTCAAGCTGGGCAACAAAATTGAACCTCAACATAACTTGAACCTTGGAAGTTCAATAGTATACATCCTGGTCGATATTCAAATTTTACATACTATCTAGAAATCAATTGACTCAAATTTTGTCTACTGCTGATGAACCTTAGAAATTCAATTCAAATATGGACTACGGAGTCGTTGGATACTATTTCAGCGCGCGGCTCATTTGCCGATGTGCCAGTTGGCATCAGTGCTCGAGCATGGCTCAATGAATGATTTGAGTGCCGCAAAATCAGATTAATTATCCCCTGAGGTTGAAATACATAGGTTCAAGTTTCAATAATTCATCTTCGTGAGTATCAATCGCTCTATCGAATTCTAAAATTTGGTTCCAGCACTCAACAACTGCTCTGTCGTACAGTTGGCGACTTCCAAGATCCATTAACATCAATGTTTCGATTAAGTTTCCGACACTATGACGTCGCAAACTTGAATTCAGATTGAACGAGAACGAGGTCAAAACTTCCACTATCACTTAGTATAAAGACAGATATCGGATAGTTCTAAGCCAAGGGGCTCTCGATGCGTCCATCACTCGCCCGGGTGCCGTTTTCCGTAGATCGACGTCCCGCGGGCGATCATTAGAATAAACAAATGCAAATTCTGTGGCTTCAGCTGCATAGTCTACAGCATAGGATAGGAGATTGCGAACTGGGCCAACCAGGGGCAAATAGTACCTCGCATTTGAATTTTATTTGCTTTTTCTCAAGAAGTTACTGAAATTTCTCCAATATTTCCCCCGAACGATCCGATAGTTGGTCAAACAATAAGACATGATGAGCAAGATGAGTTTAGACAAGATCCTGAACAAACTAGTCAGACGAGAAAAAAGAACGAAGTCCTAGGTGGCACAATGCTCCATAATAAGGCAGCATAGATAATGTAAGTATCAATTGATCGACTTATGCTGCCAAATGCGGATCGGAAAAAAAGAGGAAAATCGGAGGATATGAATCACAAATCACAAATCCTGAATCAGTGAGGCTATACGGAATGTTGGGCCTCTCAAAGGAGTTGATGCATAGAGCGCCACAACCAATAGCATAGCCCCTGCATATCAGGGGTGCAGCTGTTCACCATGCACAGTTTATTGATCACAAAATATGTACTCTGTATTTCCTGCTGACGGCTCTAACAGAACGTCCGATACTCCGTACCGTCAGGTACCTACTGAGTCCCCAGGTGCTGAGGTCGAGAAATTCGGGGCCAAGACGACGTGAGACTTGAAAAACTTTCTAAGTCTTTAACTTCAACTTTGTCTCGGCTTCCCGACGGCGCCCAGGATGATTTCCAAGGTTACAACCAACAACGGTCTATATCCAGAATAGTGAAAGCACATACGCTCAGATCCCTTGATAAATTGTATTTTCATACAAAAAAAATACAATCTTATCATCTCAAGAGGGAAAATACATATGATCGACGGTGCGGGATGTATGAGCGGGAGGTGTGAATTCTTCACTTCCCGGGAGGTTATCGTTTAGCAACGTTTAGGTATATCGAGCCCGAAACGTGCCACTATACGAAACTCTCGGTGCCCACCTAGGCAAGTGGAGTTGTATGTTCAGACCTGCTACTCTACTTCATACGCTGTACGGAGAAGTTGAACGGAGTAACTTTCCTCTCTTTCAGAATACACAAAATATCAATTGATTTGAGATTATATCCGCACTAGCTCCTGCAAGAACTAGCTTACGTGGACGTAGCTCGGAGGGTTCTTCAAGGTAAAATTACATCTTCTCTTGGCTTCAATCCTTTAGACAGCAGGAATATTGTGAGCAGCCAATCAAGGGTTGTGCGTTTCACATATGTGAATATTGGAAAAATCTCTGGAATAAGCCATACACCGCATATGAAGCTGGGCAGGAAGAAAAAGTTTTCTTTTCTTTTTTTTGGTTGAATAGTTTCAATAGCCTGAGGAGTGGATTGCATAGTGCTTCTAGATAGGGGGGGCAAATCGCCGCACGGTGATAGATTCCGCTAAGATCCACCGGGCTGAGCAAAATCTGCGCTCTTACTCTTATCCTGTATTCGTATGTATCACAATTTGATAGAGAAATCTTCAAGAACCATGGAATTGAGATGATACTATCTCAATCACAAGACAAGTTACCCCAAATATGAAGACATAAATCAAAGAATTGACCTGGAGTTCAACCCAGTGTTTCTTGTCAACTTTGTACTCCCCGGTGCCATATTTCGCAGAAACACCTCCAAACCTTCTTCGCTCTCCACGGTGGAACCCGAAGTCGGGTTCGGTCGGTTAGATTCCGCCTTGGGTCTGGGTTGTCTTGTGGGTCATTCACAATGTACTCAAAACTGTCTCTGGACTCACCATTCTTGAGATGAGGGGAAATCCACGGTTGATCAGCGAAGCCAAGAGATATCGCAAAAAACGAAAATAACATACAAGGTAGCATTCCAAAGAATTCGGTCCGAACAAAATCGAAGCCGAGATTGTATTCCATGATCCTGAAACCACGGAGTCCCGACTAATGTACTGTAGATTCAGCCCTGCCGATCGGCACTGAGAGAGAGACCCACGGAATCCACGGAACCCATTAGTGAGCCCGATTATTAGAAATTAGGGCGACTTGCGGAGTACCCGTGGACTCCGGAGAAGAACCAGAAGAAAACTTGAACAACATTCGAAAGAAAAAAAGACCCAAGTAGTTGGGGGAAAAAAAAAGTCTAAGATCCAAGACTCCACCTGAGGCGCTTGCTAGATTAGTTGCATAGCTTGAGCCTAAGCCGTCTTGCTAAGGTCCGAGGCCTTAAGCCACTTAAAATTACTCGTGCGTTCAGATGTCGCTTACTGCACTGTGATTGCATAATGCGTCAGGATTCACCTCGCAGGACGGGAAAAGCTCAACTCTTGGATAAGCATAATGCTTGCGATTGGTAATATGTACTCTAAACTTTAAAGGATTGCCTTGATTCATTCGAATAGAGAAACTTAGTCGAGTCATGCCAGTGCTCAAGTGCTTGAAAAAGTCGCTGGCGCCTAGACACATGTGCATGCATACGCCAATATGCCCCAGGTGTCAATGCGCAACTTGAAGTTGAGATTTTTGAAGCACTGGCAGTGCCCAGGTGGGTAGCAAGAATAGATGCTAGACGTATGTAGCTAGAAGAGTAGATAGTAGCTGTCAGTAGTCTGCCTACTAGTGCACGGGCGCTCTTAGACTGGACAGATGATACAGGTCCATACATTTGGTACCTCCCTGTACTGGTACATATACGAAGTACACCTGTCAACCCATTGACGTGCTACTAATAGTGGGGTACCATGATCACAGTAACCAGGTGCGCGGGGACAGCCGATGCCATCTGGAGTACATGGTACTAGCAGTTTATATGCAACTAGTTAAGAGTAGCCGAGTATGGAGTACAATTGTGGACATCTAGATTCAGCTGGCGGGGATTGCATGTTATAGTTCAACTTGAACGTGCAGTTTGCTAAATACTCCATTCTAGCTGTCAACTTGAAGCTAACATTGGAGAATACATGTAGGCAATGAATGTCAATAATTTCCCGAACTATTTCTGGAACTATCAGCTTTGTTCAACATCATAGAGATCATAAATGCATATGTGATGAATCGTCTGGTTTAAGTTGATTTATTACATACTTCGTATTTATCTTATACTGTACAAATGCTCGTGTTGCCATCATGATCAATCCGATGAGATCGGGCCCCTTTGGAGTACAGGATAGTACATAGTACTAGTACTTTGTAGTACATCTTTTGAAGGGGCATGGCTGTGTACTAGTAGATACTTGCCTAAGTAGGCAAATAGTGTAGCTCGCCACACGCCACAGCAATGAGCACTTTACCGCATATGTACTAGCTCCGAGTCATGTCAAATTCGGTGAGTTTTTAATGAGGATCCCGAAGCCCCGAAAGCCACCGAACTCATAAAATAGACTATATGATCTGAATGTGAAAATACGAGAACTTTAATTTGAGGAGCGATTTTGGAGAAATCAGTTGAAGTGAAAGCACTTGAGCGAATATCCAGACATTCGATTATGTGGATGTTCTAGACATTTTGGATTGGAGATAAGGTTGCATGTTCAAATGTTTGAGGGGATCTTCTAGTTCCGGACTCAAAATTACCTCAGCAGTACCTGCACCTATGCAAGCACGGACCTCAAACATAGCTTCAAGAGCATTTGAATGTATGAAAATCCTACGAGGCAGTGAGATTGCATATGTCACGATGCACGCAGTACTTGATACATAGATGAGTGCATTGATTATTCTGTATACAGTGCTCCTTCATTGTCCGGGAATTTTCATGACTCGGAGCCGATTTACTACGCACGCGATATGGTATTTGAATTGCGTTGATATTTCAACGACGCGGAGTTTATTCAACATGAAACCAACATTTGCCAGTAAATGTTGATCACAATTGACTAATATTCCCAATGGTTAATCTCAAGAGCAACATTCGAAGACTCTAAAGAAAATACAATGGCTGCATATTGCATCCTGCACATGTACGTCGTCATCTATTAGCACTAGTATCACGTCAATTGATGTAAGATGTTTACGTTTCACGGCACCAGGATGATCACGATAATACAATTCTGCCGTTAGCACATTAGTACGCTAGTTTGCCCGAGCCTGGTGGCGGATGAGCTTCCAAGGTTGTTTATATAAAGTAATAGAAAAGAATTGACCACACTTTAAAGCACAAAGTGGCGAAGCTTGCAGGAGTTGACCCCCGCTCAGCCAAGAAGAGTGAAGTCATACTCCATAAAAATGCCTTGATCTCATCTACCTGAAGAAGTGAAAGGAGACTGAGAGAATTACTCGGTTAGCTTAATTTGAGGAACATCTGATAAGATGCAAAGAGACTCCGCTCTCTGCCGTGATGGCGATCTTAGCCTGCTTAGTATGGTAAACCCGATGAAACCAGTTTAGACAACTGTATAGAACCTTCCTATTCCACGAAAAAAAGTTCCATTGAGATTGAATATCATTAAGGGGCTAAGAGTAAAACATTCCTTGACCCACGTGTCTCCGAGTAAATAGATCTCTCCGTTACAACTTGACATTTCCGAGTCGTCGATTGAGATGATACTATTGACTGCAGGACCCGTGGACTCTAACCACGTTTGCCATCGGAACCTTAGACTCGGAACCTTACCATCGGCTTTCGGGTGGATCTCTCTCGGGGCCCCTTGTATCTCTTTTCTTTTTTCTTCCTTTCTTTTTCTGCATGATGTATTTTTTTCATGAATTTTTCATATTTTTATTTTATTTTCTATTTTTATTAGAATTTTTTCTATTTTTTCTATTTTTTCCCTCCCGTCCAATTGAGATGACCCCGCTAAGGCTGGGTGTATGAGACGTATCGGAGGGGAAAGGATTCATGGAGGATTTCTTGCACATTTGTACATTTGCACATGTTACCGATGCTTGTAATCAGTACCAAGAGTCTAGACAACATTATATATGTCGAACATGCAGCATGTCAGAAGCCGGGGAAGGGGACAAGACGCCGTTGTGCTTGGCTTTTTTCCAAGACAACTAAAACCGTTTTGCCAAGCTAAAAGAGCTCAGATAATGAACCATTCCAAGGTTATTCTCTGGGTAATCAATTTTGAACCTCAGTGGTATGGACTATACAAGATTCTAGTATGAGAGGAACGGTGAGTCCGGATTACGAGAACGAAAATTTACGAGGTCTTGGTATTCTTCAACTTGAAAGGATCTGCACAGGGAACTGCCCCTTTAATGATCGCTGATATCAATTCCGGGCTAAGCCGGTCCACCAACCCACAGAGATACGCAATAGGGTACTCCGTACCATAGCACGCAATAGGGGTCATTTTCCGAGTATCATTTAGCCGGATGATAACATTTACCTTCTCCCGGACAAGATTTGATAAGATGTACGGAGGAGTCCGTATGGGTTCGTTCTTCGTTGGCTCAACTTGGACGGGTCCTGTCGATCGGTGGGACCTGCAGTTTGATCTAAATACAAGTCGGATCTAGTAGCAATTCCTATTGGAGGAAATTGCCGGTCTGTGGATCTTGGCCTGGAACAATCCAAGCTTTTTTCTCGCTGATCGTCCGGAATAGCTACTTTTTTGTGTGAATTTCATTCTACATAACAATTTGAACCAGGTCGGGCAACTCGCGAACCGGGTCAACTGGTGTCAGTCCACGGATGATTGACGAAAATTTTGGAGTACTTCCCCCCATCGCTTAGCTCTCCAATCTTGGTAATGTCCGGACTAGGAAGTTGTCAAGGTACATGTACCTACAGTATGCATTGACAATATGTACACAATTCCATCGGAGGCAATTGAACTCCGGTACCGGATTTCAATCTCATGAGGCAGCTTCGGGTTTCTTTTGGTCTATTTTTCTTTTCTTTTGATAATACTTGAGGGAATTTCAAGTTGAATTTGATATTCATGCCTGAGGACAGGGATATGACGATTGCACGCAGATTCAGTGGGGTTAATTGTTATATTTCTTATTTCCTGTGACAGAAATATTGTCAAGTAAGCTAGGTGAATCCGGCATAATCACCATACATACAATCTATACCTCAAAAAAGAAAGGGGGAAACGCCAAGATGCTCCCAAGCTGAATAGTGGGACACTATGTGCCCACCGGAGCGGACCCACGTGAATTGGGCGAGCCCGGCAGCCCTAACCGCCGATCATTGACGATCCTGAGAAACTAGCCATGGCAAACATTAGCAAATGGAAATGATACAGAGAAAAAAAACATCAAAGTCCATGGTCAACTTGTGGGAGCTGAAATTCAAGTTTCTAAAATAGAGGATACAATTGAGATGTAGATATTATCACGCTAAAGAATTCAATAGGCCATGGAGTCATTACAAGGAAGCTCTGCCGTCTCTCCTCGACAACATGCATATATTAATACCAAATTGAGTAAAGAAAAAAACAATATGGAGCAAGCAGCTGCAGGGTTTCATCTGAGGAGACCATAACAAGGTTTTTCAACATTAAGCCGGCACATGCTCAATTGGTCCGGGCTTCATTTTAGTCTGTAATGTATGCTTTGTATCAAAGGCATTGGAGGTACCAAGCTTTTGGTACTTTACAACCCTGGTATAATAGACGGGACGAGGCTTGCATGTAGCTTACTGGGGCCATCGGATCCAAGTGGGTATGTCTCCATAGCTGAAGATTTAGCCACGGCTGGAATGATGGATGATCTTCACTCAGTTCGCCGCCGAATCGAGAATATGGAATCCCAATGGAGTGCGTGATGTAATTTTCAATCTCCCAGTGGATCTGTAGATAAGTGGACCAGTACATTGTTACAAGACAGGATATCCGAGGCCATATAAGATTGCCCACCCCTCCATTGAATTTGGGATTCAGTAGATTGAGAAGAAGCGAGTTGTGTCTTTGAATAGAGTATAACTTCTCGACTGGAAATCCACAATGACAGATTTACCAGGAAGTCCGTACGTGCAAGAATCCTTTTTTTTTATCCAATTGGCTTTTTTATTCATATCCCAATGCCCCCTTATCTCCTCATGGTGTTGCATTGATGCTATCTTGCTTCTCCTTTCTATGTTTTTCATAATCCTCCAGCCTCTCTTATCATTGGATTATCCTTTTGTCCAATGCCCTTTTTGGTCTGATCTAGTGATGATCCATCCTAACTTTCGAATAGCTCACAGGGACAGCTTCTACGCTTCCGCAAGGAAGCATCTCATCCAGACTCTCCCCAACAGCTCTCTTCCCTTCTTTCTTCGAAGCCCGGTGTTTGGCCTGTCAGGGAATTCCGTGACCTGATTCTCGCATTTCAAGATATTTACAAGTCCCTTCCTGAAGAGCGCAAGGCCCAGGAGGATGAGTCCATTACATTCCTCCGAACACAAGTCAAGCAGGCCACACCTTGTCTTGCTGAGCTCATAGGAACAGACCCTCGTGCTGGACTTATTGATGCTACTTCTGGACGAAACCTGACACATGGTGCCATTCGTTCCTTTGTACAGAACTTTGAGCTTCCTGTTGGTCCATCCCAACATGGCAAGCCTCGCATTGCTGTTATCCTTCCCAATGGTCCGATTATGGCACTTGCTGTCCTCTCCTTTGCTAATAGATATACCATGGTTCCCATGGCCAACAACACTGTACCAGAGCAATTGCAAATGGATATTCGACAGGTGCAAGCCGATGCTGTTGTTGCACTGGATGCTGATATTGCCAAGTTGAAGCTCAACGATGGAGCTCGACCCGTCTTTGGTCTTGAAGACCTTGATGATCTGACTTTACAAGTTGTCTCATCTTACAATACTACAACTGAGAAATCGAGTTTCTCGCCTAACGCCGCCAACGATATTGCTATCATTCTCTTTACCAGTGGTACCAGTGGTACTAAAAAACTGGTCCCTATAACAATTTTTAACCTCATTGCGGGTACCATGGCCACTATCGAGTCCGTGGAGCTTACGGAAACCGATACCTGTCTCAACATGATGCCCCTAAACCATGTGTAAGTCCCTTGCATCGTTTTCCTCGTATTCGTTTGTTACCTGTCGAAAAGAAGCAATATACTAATAAATGATTTGCAGTGGAGGTATCCTTCGCAGTATTCTATCCCCTATTCTTGCGGGCGGCGCCACAATTTGCTGCCCTTCCTTTGATCCCAGTATGTTCTGGGATGCCGTTGAAAGCCCTTACATGACCCCGACATGGTACTACGCCACACCCACTATGCATCAAATGATCCTCGGTGAGGCGGAGCACCGGCGCGAAGCGGTTGCCCAAAGTGTCATCAAGTTTATTTGTAATGCGGGTGCTGGTCTCCCCCCGACCCTTGCCATGCAGCTACGTGATATGTTCCATTGTGTTATCCTCCCCAGTTATGGTATGACAGAATGCATGCCTATTGCTGCGCCACCAAAGAACTATGCCCTTGATCGACATGGAACATCAGGTCGAATTGTCGGCCCCGATGTGGCTATTTTGTCAGAGGAGGGTCAACCTGTCGCAAAATGTGGAATGCTAGGACGCATCTCCATCCGGGGATCTCCCGCCTTCGAAGGGTACCTTACCGCTGAGGGTAAAATTGACAAGAGTGCATTCAATGCATCCGGCTGGTTTGATACCGGTGACTTGGGATACCTTGATGCCGACAATTATCTATACATCACTGGTCGCAGCAAGGAGGTTATCAACCGCGGTGGTGAGATTATTTCTCCCGTCGAAGTTGAGGATGCTGTCTTGGCAGCTGCCAAGGATCCCGAATCCCCTCTCTATGGCCGTGTCACAGAGACACTAGCCTTCTCTGTTCCCGATGAGGTTCTTCAGGAAGTTGTTGGTGCTGTGATCGTCACTCCTCCCGGAAGTACCAGACCCGATCTCCGTCAGCTGCATGAAGCACTGCAGCCCATCATTCATCAACCTAAGTGGCCTGCCGTCATTGTGTACATGGATCGTGTACCAAAGTCAAATAACAAGATCCAGCGTATCAAGCTCGCTCAACGTCTGACCCTGGATACCCTCACACCCACTACTCCCCTGGCAGACCGACACTTTGAGGCCAGTTGCCCTCCCAATGGTACTCCTCTGAGCACACCCATCGTCAAGAAGGCTTGTGTCATTGATGATCAGATTATTAAGACGACTCTTGCCAGGCAAGACAGTGTCGAATCCGTCCACGTTCATATCAACCCGCGCGATGGATTCGCCCACGCTGTTCTGTTCGGTCAGCATCCTGACATGGACCTTGTTAAGCCCAGCGATTTTCATCATGAGCTCGATGGTTACCTTATCCCCGGTCGCATCACACCTCTGAACTGCTCGATGCCTCTTGATAGATTTGGAAACCCCGATCACACTGCTATCGAGGCAGCCATCCGCGCCCGCAACTCTGACGGCAGTCTCACTGCCACTCAGCGTCGTGTGCGCGAGGCCTTTGCCAGTGCCTTGTCTTGCACTATTGAAGATATCTCCTCTTCGACTGACTTTTTCGCTGCTGGCGGCGACAGTCTTAGTGCCGGTCGTCTGGTCTCTCAACTGCGTCGCGAGTTTGGTATCTTCCTGGCTGGTGACATTCTCTTCCACCACAGTACTGTCGGTGAAATTGAAAGTAAGATTGTCGAGGCTGTGGAGATCAAGGCTGCCAAGGGTGATGAGGGAGAGGTTGAGCTGCCTGGCTGTGAGAAGACATACAGCAGCACCAACCCAATTGTCATGTTCTTCCACCTGTTCCCCATTGCGTTCTTCTTCCCTATGAAGCGTGCTTTCCAATGGCTTGTCTTCGCCTATGTTGTGGCCGAGTGTTCGATTCGATTCCCCATCCGATTCGACCTCATTGGTCGTTTGGTCTTGATTGTGTTGGCCGTGTTGGCCGCTCGTGTTGCTGGTCATATCCTCTTTCCCTTCTGTGCCCTTGGCTGGAAGTGGATTTGCATTGGTCGTTACAAGGAAGGTATCTATCCCATGTGGGGTCCATACCACACTCGCTGGTGGTTGTCTCAAAAGGCAAGCCAGGTCTGTGGTCGAGGAATTTTCAACCACTTCAACTGGTCTCGTGTTCTCTTCTACCGTATGATGGGTATGAAGATTGGCAAGAATGTTACCATCTCCAGATCTGCGAAGGTTGGTGAATACGACCTGATCGAGATCGGAGATAATGTCGTCTTGGACAACTGTCAGTGCCGTCCCTTTGCTGTGGAGCGCAACACCTCTATGCTTTTGAAGCGTATTCGCATCGGCAAGGACTCCAGTGTTGGTACCAAGTCACTTATCGCTCCTGGTGCTGATATCCCTGAGAACACCTGCATTGGTCCTAATTCCTCAAGCTGGGAGCTGCAAGATGCCGATGAGTCTAACCGCGATCTGCTTTCTACTCGCATCCCTCAGCCTCACTGGATCTTTGTCCTTCTGATTGTTGAGCCTATTCGTATCATCGTTTGGACTGCTGCTCGTCTTACTTGGATGGGTGGTCTTGTGCCCATGGTGAAACAGTTCCCTGCCTACTCCAACGACATGTTTTTGGCTACCCTGGAATGGTACACTAGTGGTCGACGAATTGGTCTGCACATCGCCGCACGAATTTGTCGTGCTATTGGTGGTCCGATCGTCCTTTTCATCACAGTCCTGATTTTCAAGACCCTCCTCGATCTTATCTGCGGCAAGCCCAAGCCTGGTCCTGCCTCGAAGATGTCCACTCGTCAGAAGGTGCGAAGTGCCGTGCTTGCGGAGATCCTGCCTCATGGTGATATCCATGAGCTTACCCGTATCGCTGGTCGTCACTACGAACTTGTCTCCATGGCTATTCGCCTCCTGGGTGGAAAGGTTGGAAAGCGTATCTATTGGCCCAGTGTTGGTCCCGCTCTTCCGGACTTCGATCTTGTTGAGGTTGGTAACGATGTTGTCTTCGGTTCTCGATCAACCATTGTCACTTCCGATGGCTACGGTCGCGACCGCGTTGTGATTGGTGACGGTACTATGGTCGGTGATCGTGTGGTTGCCCTGCCTGGTGTTACTATCGGTCGCGAGGCTATGATTGGCTCTGGTGCTCTGCTCCGTCGAAATGGTGATTATCCTTCCAACACCATCTGGACTGGCAGCAAGGGTGGTAATGCCGTCCAGTTCCCTTCATCCAACTCGGCCACTATCTCAACTGCTCCCACTGTCGTTGGAAGCAGCAACAGCAGCCAAGACGGTTACAGTGATGACGAGAAGCACCCAAGTGAGAAGACATTCACTGACGAGAAGCCAACAATGGTTGTCACCAAGAACACCAACAACTCTACTGAGGAGATCCCTGAGACGGACACCTGCAAGCCCTTTGGTCGTGCGTTCTACCGTGGAGAGGCAAACTACTACGTCCTCCGCATCTGGCAAATCGTCATCTACTCCTGCCTGTCAGTAATTTTCACTACTGTCTACTGGCTGCTCACTGTCGTCTTCTCCCTCTTGGCTCTTCGTGCTGTCCTCACCCACACTACTATGCCTGGTTTTGGCGAAGGTCCTTGGCGTCCATTTGTCCTCTATGGTGTCCTTGCTTCCTTTTTGTCAGCTATCAGTTTCTTCCAATCATTCCTTGCCTTCGGCATTGTCATCTGCTGTAAGTGGATGGTCATGGGTCGCCGCAAGGAAGGTGCTTTCCATTGGGACAAGAGCAGTTACAACCAGCGATGGCAATTCCTGCTCTCTTGCGAGACTCTTATCAAGGACTGCTACGGTGGAATTGGTCTTCTGCCCATGATCACTGGCTCTGCCTACATCTCCTGGTACTACCGCCTTCTTGGTGCCACCATTGGCAAGGACTGTGCTATCCACGCCAACGGTACTCCCAACGTTTTCTTCACTGAGCCTGACCTTATTACCTTTGGCAACCGTGTCGCTGTCGATGACGCTAGTGTGGTCTGCCACGTGAACTCTCGTGGTGAGTTCGAGCTACACACTCTGAAGATCGGAGACCGGAGTATTATGCGTGCTGGATCACGTCTGATGTCTGGTGCTTCTATGGGTGAGGATGCATGCCTTCTGGAACACACCCTGGTCATGTCTGGTGACCATGTTGAAGACAAGGCTACACTTCAAGGCTGGCCCGCAGAAGGCTTCCAGGGGAAGCGTGCATAGATTTTCTCTTCCTGTCATATTTTTTTTCTCATTCCCCCTTTTTTTCTTTATCTAATATTTCCCCTTTTCTTTGGTCTTTCGGTGTCATCTTTATAAACTCGGGCATTGGTATTGGTTTCATGTATAGATGTGATGGATATCAGGATTCTTTTGGTATTGCTTCCTGCCAGAGGCAATGATTCACGTGAAATGCTTGTTCTGTGCGACTTTTTTGTCGTCATTTGCGAATATACTGTTGGGTACATAGGTCTTTCAACAATTTATCGATCATACAGTTCCAAGCTCAGAACCTTTAATTAAACATCGTATTCGTTATTTTTCGTTCGTACTCGTGGACTTCAATTTTTAATAATATTTATCCTGTCAAAACACCCTTCATTTGGAACATGTACTATTGTGGAGTCATCTTCAAGTCTTACACACCTTGGAATCTAGGTCGTAGTAAAAGTTCCTGCGGGACTGGCAAAGGACCAGACAATTAATCAAATACTCACATGGCGTTAGATAAGTTGGGAAGGCAATCTGATCTTTCCGCTACCCTGTCGTCTGATTTCGAATCCAAAATAAGGGGTGTTATGGGTTATGGCCTGGTTTAGTCGAGGGGCGTGGTTTTGGCACAATAAGTGGCGTTTGGAAGCTTCAATGAGAAGGGGAACTACCTGGGCAGGGGAGTCCAAGCCAACTAAGGAATATGAGAAACTAGGGGAAACAGGGACACAGAAGTTCCTAGAATCCAGTGTAAGGGACATCTAGTTTCATTTGAATTTTGAATTTTCTCTCTTACACGCAGGTTGATGCATCATCCCTTGGTATTGATCCTTGCATGAAGTGGCTATTCTGGGCTGCGGCTGAATCACTAATGCGCCAACTCCGAGCTTCGACGTATCAGAGATCTCTACACTGTTTTTATTTTATTTTATTTTGGATTTTTATTTTGAGGTCAAGTGGGTGATGCCTTGTTCTTTATATTCAGATAGCTTTCCTTGACTAAGAGGCAATTCCTCCTGTGTGGCATTGACCCTTGTTACCTTGTCAATGCAGCAAGGTCGTCCTTGGTGTTGAGACCTGTAACCAAAGGGCCAGTCATATTTCGAATGCGAAGTGGATTTAGCACATGTGCACTCTGAAATAATACCTAGCTAGATCTAGTCTCTTAGCTGTTTATTAGTTATTAGGGTCATTGCTTCCTTTTATTGCCTCCCTGTTGCCGTGGAACCATTTCCTTTTTCCCTACTCTTTGCCCCTCTGTTTCCTCCCACTCTTTACTACTTACGATAATAATCTAATCATTATATTCTGACACTGATTTCTTTTTGTCAATCAAAATGGCTTCTTTCTTTGGCAAGGCAGAGCCACCGCCAATTGAGAATCATCCAGCTTTGGAACTTCACGACCCATCTGACACTGATGCCCATTCGCAAAACACTGGGAAACATACCGATTCTAAACCCTCAAGCGAAAAAGAGAGTACACTCGTTGACGAGCCCATTCACGACTCGACAGCCCCTCATGATACCAACAAAGAAGCTACGGCTGCCGACTTACAAAATGGAGCTGTCAGTAATGAGGATTCCACCAAGGAGTTGGTCCCTCAAAACGACACGGATAGAGAAGCTTCAAAAGAGGAGGGAGATAATCAAGATCCAAACGCGGACAATACGGACAAGGATATCGAATACCCTTCACCGTTGAGACTGGTGCTCATTACAATTGCGTTGTGTTTGTGTGTGTTTTGCGTGGCATTGGTATGGTCTCAGATGCCCCATGAGAGAATATTTTCGAAAACGGGCTAACAATAGTTTGAAACTAGGACAATACCATCATTGCAACAGCCATTCCCAAAATCACAGATCAATTCAACTCACTGAATGATGTGGGATGGTACGGAAGCGCATATCTGTTAACTACTTGCTCTGTCACTTTGATGTTCGGAAAGCTATACACCTTTTATTCCATCAAATGGATCTACTTGATCGCTCTGTCAATCTTTGAAATCGGCTCCCTGGTTTGTGGTATTACTCCGAACTCAGTGGGCTTGATTTGTGGCCGTGCTATTGCAGGCTTGGGAGCGGCTGGCTTGTTCTCCGGATCTATTCTCATCGTCACTCAAAGTGTTCCTCTTGACAAACGTCCGGTATACACGGGGCTTGTTGGTGCTATGTTTGGTATCGCCAACGTCGCTGGTCCATTGTATGTCAAAATACCCCAACCCATCCATACTTTGTATCTTTGGAGTATGAGCTGACTTATCTGTGTTTAGAATGGGAGGTGCGTTTACAGACAACCTTACCTGGCGCTGGTGCTTCTATATCAATCTCCCAATTGGCGCAGTCACATTCTTTTTCATTTTGTTCTTCTTCCAGAGTCCCAGGGCGATTAAGAAGAAGACGGGATGGAGACAACAATTGGCTGAGATGGATCTACTTGGTACATTCTTCTTCCTCCCTGCTATTATCAGTCTTTTGCTGGCACTTCAGTGGGGTGGAACAAAGTATGACTGGAGCAACGGGCGCATCATTGCTCTGTTTGTGCTCTTCGGCGTGTTGGGTCTTGTGTTCATGGCCATTCAGCATTGGGCTGGTGACCGTGCCACCGTACCTCCACGCATGATAAAAAATCGCAATGTCTGGGGCGCTGCTTGGTACTCCATGGCCATTGGTGCATGCTACTTCGTCCTCGTTTACTATGTATGTTTTCCATTCCAACCTTTGGGGTTGATCCCCTTCTCTACTCTAAACTAACTTTTTTCAAGCTTCCTATCTGGTTTCAGGCAGTCAAAGGGGCATCGGCCATCCATTCAGGTGTCATGAACTTGCCCCTGATCATCGCAGTTGTGGTTGTGTCTATTCTGGCTGGTGGCTTCATCTCAGCAGTTGGTTACTACACACCTTTTATGATCTTCTCATCTGTCATAATCACCATTGCAGCTGGGCTATTATCCACGCTTGAAGTTGACTCGGGTCACCCCAAGTGGATCGGATACCAGGCCCTGTTTGGAATTGGTCTCGGGCTGGGTATGCAACAGCCGATGATCGTAGCACAGACAGCTCTCAAAGCTGAAGATGTGCCCAGTGGTACTGCGATCATGATTTTCTCTCAAACCCTGGGAGGTTCTATCTTTTTATCTGTCGCCGAAAACATCTTCCAGAACCAGTTGCTCCACAACCTTGCCAAAGATGCCCCGAAAGCCGATGCTGCCAAGTTGGTGTCGGCTGGTGCAACTATGTTGCGCACTCTCGTCTCTGGGTCGACGCTGCAGGAGGTACTGGTTGCGTATAACGATGCAATTACGCAGACATTCTATGTTTCAGTTGCCATCGGTGCATTGTCACTAATCGGGCCCATCTTCATTGAGTGGTTATCTGTTAAAGGAAAGAAGATTGAGATGGCAGCAGCTTAATTGAACCTGCATGGAGACCGTGTTGGTCTTAGGAAGTTATCATTGCCTTCCTTAATATATACCTCTCCCAATCCCTTCATCTTGTTGCTTCGATCTTCGATTCCTATGTCTCTTTTTCTGTCCTCCTTTCCCTAATTCTTGCATATTCTTCCATGTTTTCGTGTTTACAAGCCTGGAGGGGCCTACATGTTCTGGGTAGAACCATCAAATAGCCTCTTTAACATAATTGAATTACTTCCAAACGTCCAAAATGGTATTCAGGAATAGAACTCCAAGGTTGCCTGTACGGTATTTGTGTAGTCGGTACTCCGTAGATTGAATCTCATCATGCACAACTTCAAGTGAAGTCGCTGCAGCCTGCGCGGAAGCCGATGATATCCGTCTCACCGCCTTCATGTAAGATATCCGGCGAATATCATTATCTCCGTTAAGGCTCCACCGTCAGCTCAGCACAATCATGTTGACCACGGCTAGAGATCTGTCTTTACGGCGGATTTTATCTGGGCGTCTTTCTCAGATACAGTACGCGACATCAGCGACGCGTCGAAACTACAATTGGGCTCCCCCTCCATCCAGTAATTCTCGCGATCAGGTTGCCCGAGATGAGGTTGCCCGCCTGGCTGCGACCCCTCGTCGCTCACTCACATTAGCAGACTTATTACAGTCAGTCGCAAAATAAATAATCACCGAATAGATACGCGATCTCATACTAATATTTTCTCTTTGTAGGCATGGTCGGCCACCATTGTCCAAGGAAGCACTTCTTGCCTCCGCCAACTTTACTCTGTCGCTTCTTCCAGCTCGACTGGCCTCACGAATACAAGCCTTACGAAATCTGCCCTTCATTATCGTTTCGAACCCACATATGTCCAAGATCTACCACAACTATCTCCACTCACTCTCTACCCTCCTTCCGTATCAGCAACGCAAGATCACCACGTTCGAAGAAGAGACGCAATTCGGAGATGTGCTTGCCGATTTAGTTCAGACACATACCAATACCATTCCTGTTCTGGCGCGCGGCTTCCTTGAGTCCCGGAAGTACATCAGCGCTGAAGACGTTACTCGTTTCTTGGACACCCATCTGCGCGCTCGAATCGGTACACGTTTGATTGCAGAGCAGCATCTGGCTCTACATTTCACATCACAGCCGGTCGTAAATGAGTCCTCGGAGAAAAACAAGAAATCGCCGACCGATAACCCTGGGCCGTCTAACTATATCGGTGTAATTGATACGGCCCTGCAGCCCGCCCGAATCATTCGATCGTGCGAGGACTTTGTCAGTGAGATCTGCGAATTGAAATATGGAGTCCGCCCGCGTCTCGAAATCGGAGGTGACCCAGATGCGACCTTCGCCCATATCCCCGTTCATGTCGAGTACATTATCACAGAGTTGCTGAAGAATGCCTTCCGTGCAACCATCGAGTCCGGCAATGAACGAGAACCAATTGAGGTGACAATTGCAGCTGCCCCAGATGTGCCCGGAAAACAGCGTCCTTTTCAAGAAGACGCGGATGGCAGATTTCAGCTCGCCTCCCAAATCAACCCTATGGATTTACATGAAGCAATCGGAGACACAAATCCTTCATCTCAGAGCATTACTATCCGTATTCGCGACCGAGGCGGCGGTATCCCTCCAGAGGTCCTGCCTCATATTTGGTCGTACAGCTTCACTACCTTCTCGGATATGGACATGGAATCTCCGGATAGCTCCAACCTGCGGGCTTTGGACACTCTGGCTGGCTCTGGCGGTCAGATGAGCAGCATTGCTGGTCTGGGATATGGCTTGCCGCTTAGTCGGGCGTATGCGGAATATTTTGGAGGTAGCATTGCCGTGCAGAGTCTTTGGGGATGGGGCACAGATGTTTATCTGACTCTTCAAGGAGTTGGGAAGATTGACTGAGAGTTGACTTGACAAGGAAGTGCCCTTACGACGATGAGTTGTTTCTTTCGCGCATAATACCCCAAATTGTTTGCTTTCTACTAGCTGTTCCTGTGTCGCGCGCCGTTTCGGCCTCTAGCACTCGCTTAGCATACTAATGAAATGTTGAATAAGACCTCGATCATTAAATTCTAGTCTTTTTCAGTCCAACTCGTTGTTTTTGATTAGATCACATAAAGTTTCAACAATAAGCTAGTCTTCAAGTTCAAAATTGGGCTCGATGCTTTCCACTATTTAGAAGATCTTTGTCCTAAAAAGCGATGTATATTAGCAGCGCACGGATTCACCATAATCCGCCACCAATCAAGACGTCCTCATGGTGGATGCCTAAAGTCACATTGATAAGCACAGTCCTCAGCCTCATTCAAGTTTCCTCCCTCAGCCACATCCTGTAGGATCATAAGCGCTGTCATTCAAAATTCAAACATCACCCCCATCGGCCATAGTTTTTCGAAGTGTCAATCCTTGCATTTGCATATCCTTCCTCGCTTCGAAGTCATACCTATACACCTAAGAAATCATCATGGGTGCCTCAGGTCCATCTGCGCCTCAAGAAGCCGCACCGGCATACGAGGAACTCTTCGAGCAACGTCCCTCGAACCGGGCGACTGGAGTAAGTACCTGGTTATTCCTGCGAGTGGTCCATATGAAAAGTGCAAAAGAAATTGATAAATTCGCAGTACTCTCAAATTCCCGCTACGGATAACGTAGACGAAGACATCGAGCACCATAGTCACGGACATCATCATCACGGTACAACCACAACGGACTCTACACTCCTACGGCAGAGGGATGCAGAATTGCATTTCCATTGCGAGACTTGTGATCTTCGACAGGAGCGGAGGGAGAAGAGACTGAGTCATGAGAAGGTGTGCAAGATTGTGGCAGGAACGTTTGTGATTATTATCTTTTGTTTGTGCGCTTTTGGGTTTGGATTGGCTGGTTTTATTTCTCGCGGGAAAGGTGAAAGTCATAAGAGAGATATTCAGGATATTCGAGTCTGGAGTGACTGAGATGCTCCTACTGGTACATATAACAGTAGATGTTTAGTCCGGAGGTTAGTTCAAGTTTGTCAATGTAATTGTCATGTATACCCATCGGGGAGTTCTACCACTTTGCCTCCGTTTCGAAGATAGCTGCTTCAAGTTCATACAAGGCTGGACCATCGATCAAAAGATCCGTAATACTGAACCTTCGTAAGACCGTGACCGACCATAGCCAACTGGCTCTTTTGTAGCAATGCTAACTCACGGAAAGGATTTTATACTAATGCCCAGATCCTTCTCCGTCAGCCATATCTGTCATTAGCTTAGCTGTTCGATCGGGATAATCTCCATCGAAAACACTTTGATGTTTGTGTCGATGCTACTTCAGATATCTTATACCCACCGGCCTTACCTGCAAGATTGGTATGACCCTTACCGAGCTCAAACCATTACCTATTTGATAACTTCAGCTAACTTCCACAGGCGGTGCCATGTCACATACATTCTCTATGTGAGTAATACAATATTCTATGCCCTTTTCCTCGACATCAACGACACCACACGCCAGGAATTGCTCAAAGATGTTGAGATAAGCCTCGTCTTACCAAGATAGATGGATACCGTGAGTGTGGCGCAGAAGTGTTTGCGACTAATTGAGAGCGTGGTGGACATTTTACAGTCCTCAACGGTGAAACAATAGATCACCCTCTAGCAATTTGCCCCAGCTGACGAGGAAGGCGTATCGTGCGCACAATCAAGGTCGACACCAAGGAATCAAAATGAATATGAGTTGTCAAATGTCTTCATGCATCAGATTGAAGGTCTCACAGGTCATGCAAGCAATCAATCAACCCAGCAGGCATAAGCAGACGATTGCCCACGAGAAATGCAATGACAGAGATCTAACAAGACTTTATAGCATTCTTGGCGCCTTGAGCGGGATCTTCCACTGCCATTTGATACTACAAAAGGCCTAAATTGTTCAAGTTTGATTGACGCTGACATTCTGAAACTCCTTTCTGAGGACAGTCCTTTAAGCTCCGCTAGGAACTTTGAGAGCCAAGATTTCCTGGCTTATGATCACTACATGTTTCAAGATGGATGTTTGATCACGAAGAAACCCAGGATGTATTGTATAATACAATTTGAAAGCTAATAGTATACAGAAAATCGGTGCTGATTAATGATTCCGCGTCGAAATTCTTCAAATTCCATAAATTTGCCAAATTTCTCTTCAATTCTCACTCGAAATACTACATCCATAACATACATGATGGCTTACAGGAACTCGGACAATGTGCACGGACTCGATATTTCGGTAGACTCGGATCATTTCCAAGAACTTAATTCGGCAATTTATTCATTGGTAGTTTACTTGCCCCACAGATCAAGAACAACCTTGGAACTTGATATCCACCTCGAATGCGTTTTGCTGTCCAAGGCCCGGTTACGTAAGTCCTCACATCGTTCAACTCCCGGAATTTGACCGAAGCTAAACAAACCAGGTGGTGGCGTCAAACCAGTATAAATCCTTGGAAACTATTGGGGTGTGATCAATCCGAATACGATGTGGGGAGTCAACGACTCGGACGCACTATGTAATTTTTGGTGAGAGAGCCACATGTGCATATGTAGTAGGTATTGTGGGACTGGAATTTGGGCAGTATCTGCCACCTCACTACTACTATTCTGTGATATTAGATATCGCAAAATGAAACCAACTTGAACTTGAAGGTCCATGCTAAAGCAATATTCGGTCTATATGAAGCAGGTAGAGTTACGTGGGACTCGGACTTGATCCGCGACAAAAATATGCAGAAATTCAAGTTGGATAAATCAACGCACGAATTCAAAGTTGTGGTAATGTTCAGGCTTATACACAGCATCTCGCAGCAGGTTTCCATTTGTAGTTTACATCTACTAGATTTCGCTAACGAGTTGGCCTACTTGGGATTCAAAATGTGCTGAGACTTTTCACTTGCACAACTCGGAGGGTTTTCAGGGCCGGGGTAGACACTAGCATCCCCGCATTTCCGAGCTAAGCCCCAACCTTGGAATTTTATAGCCGAATAATAGGCGGTCTGATACCCGGGGATACCTGGGGTTACTTATGAACTTCCCCGCTTTTGGTGATTATGACCGTGCCCTTAGGGGCCATATGCCGAGTATTGGCATTATTAATAAAATCTCGGGAATTCAAACGTGCAAGGATTTGAGCCTTTGAAGAACTAGTTAATTAAATTAGTGCTGATCTTATACTACGCTTAGTTAGTAGTAAATTGATATACTGCCAGGTGAAAATTTCTCTCAGATCCCTAGCCCGATAGAACCTGAATTAATAGCAATAGGCCTGTTGGCAATTTGAACTAATCCGTAGATGTGCCGGACGGGTTTCATATAAAAATCCCTATCGCACAAATTTTCACTGCTTCCAGTAACTCGACTTCATATTTTTGCATCATTGCTGACCAGTTGCGGTCTACTGGTTTGCAAAGATGCGCGGCCTAAATTTACTTATCGACCTCGCCTTGGTTGTTGGCGCGCTGGGCAAGGCGACGACTATTAGGAAGACTGGTACAAAGCCGACTGGTTATGAAGTTGACTTCGTGTTTACACCGAACTCCACGACTCATGCTTCCTCTGTCCTACTCGGCGGCTTTCCCTTTTTCTCAGACTCGTTGCATGCATCGTTATCAAAGACTGACGGTTACTCGCCTTATGAGTGGGGATCAAACATGTTTTCAATGCGAATGACCCCGGACTATGGAAACGAGGCAGGCACTCTGTCAGGACTTGAGATGAAACGAAATGAGAAAACCGGTGACTGGGAAGTTACTGTTCCACTGCCATCCGGCACTTGGCTATACGCCTATTATCCCAATTGCACGACAGGGAACTGGAGGGATTGTGACGTGTCGATTGTAGATCCGTCTAATCTACCCATTGAAGCATTTTCAGGCGATCAACTTCTGAGTGCTATTCAATTACCGTTTGATCCTGTATTTCAGGTCAATGATTACAGCTGGCAGCTGCCGCTGCAAGATGTCTCAAAAAGAGGGAATGTCAGCTTCCACCGGTACCCGTCTCCAGGGTCAACCTATCCATATCCAAGTCAGTAGTCTATATTATGATTCTAATGATTAAGTTGAATTAACCCAGCTTGACTATGTAGATATTCATGACGTGGGGATATACCTTCCCAATGAGTATGGAAAGATCCCAAACAAGGGATATCCCGTCCTGTACCTTTCCAACGGTGGTCAAGGCTCGGACTCGGATTGGTTTCAACAGGCTCAGATTCATAACATTAGTATGTCAAAGATATTTGAAGCCGTCAAAATAGCCTCTTCTCAAAAAGAGGGTTTCCAAGATGCCACTGAAATTGTCATGCTAATTGAGACCAATGCAGTTGATCGTCTGATCGATAGTGGTGAACTTGAGCCTACAATCCTTGTGACCCTTAATTGGTATGACCTAGGTTTTACTCTGGAGGAATATCAGACAAATGCGACGCTCCAAGCGGAATATCTAGATGTTGGTACGTAGAAGTTTCCTTCGCCGCATCCTCGAACTCTTTCTAATTCATCCCATAGTCGGATATTCTCGTTTTTTCAACAAAGTGCGTGAGAACCTTTTCTCCTATTTGATGCCCTGGGTAGATGCCAACTACGCGGTATCAAACTCTTCGTCTCGCCGCGCATTTGGTGGCCTCGCCCTCGGTGGGACTCTCACCTACGCTATGCTTTTCAATGCGACCGACTACTTCTCTTCCTACTGTGTCATGTCACCCACCCCCGGTCCTAATGGCTGGGATGGTCAGTATGATGCTTCTTTCAACCCAGATTTACGCAATGTCGGAATTATTACTGGGGCTGGATTCTATGACACGACATTTAATGCGGCGCGCGATTGGGAGACAACGTTGGCTGAGCAGAACGTAACTTACCTGAGCCACTACATCATGAATGGCGCGCATCAATGGAGCACCTGGCAGGAAATCGCATACATATACCTAAGGGAGGCATTGTGGAAGCCTGTCCCATATGGCAGGAAGACGAGCCTTAAGCAGTTTAACTCTCTGCCACTGAGCGACTTTTGAATAGTTGAACTCCGATTAGTTAACCAGAATAGATTATTGTGAATCAACTTGAATTAGATGACAAGAATAATCATGGTTTTATACTCGATGAAATTCCAAATTGGGACAACCTCATCATTTCAAGGCCTTTAAAGCAGCAATAGCATTTCTTTGCATCCAAACTTGGACAAGATCATATTGTTTCACTCTCCGGTGAGATGGTATCCATTCATCCCAACAGAGCCTTGGAAGACACGCTAGTCAACCATTTTTTCTCCAGTTAATCCGTCTTATTTACTAGCGAGAGCCCGGGAATTTCTCGGAGAAGCCGCCTTTCTACGTTCTTTTCTCGTACCATCCTTGTATGCCGCGGCCAAAGCCATAACCTCAATTGATTCGCTGTAACCCCCTCCCCAATATGAAGCGGAGACTCTCTGAATCACAACCACTGATTTATGGGGTCAAGAGCCAATCAATGAATCCACCTTGACACGATGGTAGCATACCTAGCTTCAGTATTGTGGAGACAAGGGATCGGCTTCCCCAGCTTCCTGAAAAGCAATTTTCCGCGATGAGATTCGGGAAATCGGCATATATTGCGGGGCAGTCATAGTTGAAAATAAGCGAACTAGGTTTTTGAGATGCAGGACTTATCCTGAAAATGACAGAAGCTTGCCCGTTCTAGTATACCCCACCGTCGCAGAGGTGTAGTAAGTACGAGTAAGGATGCTTGAGAGTAGTATAAATAGAGTGAACGGGGACACTCCGTCAAGCAGTAGAGTGACTTTTGTGTTTTGATCATCTATCGGATGCAAAGAACAAAAAACAACTATGATTTTTGCAAATTATTTTCTCTTGCTATGTCCTGGGCTTCTCTCCACAGTCTCTGCTGCGGCCGTGGTCAAGAAAAATACTAGTACCGCTGCGAGCAGTGCCCCCCAGTGGCACCCCGACGGTGACAGTGAAAAATGGAAGCTACTATGGTGTCCACAACCCATACTACAACCAGGACCTTTTTCTGGGAATGCCATATACTCAACCTCCTGTCGATGAACTTCGATTTCAACTCCCGCAGTCATTGAACACGTCATGGACCGGATTGAAGAATGCTACGGAGTACAGCCCCGAGTGCATTGGCTATGGTAGCGACACATGGGTATTAGGCAACATCATCTCTGAGGATTGCCTTACTATCAACGTCGTCCGTCCGAGTTATATTCCACCTGACACTCAACTGCCCGTTATCTTCTGGATTCATGGAGGCGGCTTTACAGATGGTGGCAGCCGTGATCCGCGATACAACCAGTCATTCATGGTTCAACATTCAGTCGAAATCGACCAGCCCATCATTGGTGTCAGCATCAACTATCGTTTGTCGGGCTGGGGATTCCTTTGGGGAGAGGATGTTGCCAAAGAGGGCTTGGGAAACCTGGGTCTCCGTGATCAACGTCTGGCCCTTCACTGGGTCCAAGAGAACATCGCTGCATTTGGTGGTGACCCATCCAAGGTTACAATTCAAGGTGAATCAGCCGGTGCAGCATCTGTGGGTGTGCATCTTGTCGCCTTCGGAGGCCGTAATGACAGTCTCTTCCGTGCTGCCATTACAGAATCAGGCGGTCCAACAGCCCAGGCCTACTACGTCAGTGCATCTGAGTGGGAGCCCAATTACGAGAAAATCACTCAACTGGCTAACTGCAGCAATGCTGCTGACACGCTGGACTGCCTTCGAAAAGTCCCCACCGAAACACTGAGCAATATCTTTAATTCCTCGAGTGTCGACCCTTCTGCAGGAGTAGTGATTGACGGCGACCTTCTTCCAACCTCAGCTACTACCCTGACAAAGAATGGTAGCTTCGTCAAGGTCCCCTACCTGATTGGAACCAATTTTGACGAAGGTACTCAGTTCGGTGTACAGGGCATAAACACAGATGCCGAGTTCATCGCATCGATTAAATCCAATGCGCCGCTTCTCAACGACTCTGTTGTCGACACCGTCACCACACTATACCCAGACATCCCAGAGATCGGCATCCCAGGGACTTTGCATGGTCGACCGGCTTATAATTCAACCTGGGGTTATCAGTGGAAGCGAGCCGCTGCATACGGAGGAGACTTGTACATGCACACGGGCAGACGTATCACGACCCGGGCGTGGGCCGAGCATGGTGTACCGGCTTACTGTTACCACTTCAATGTTCTTGTTAATGGTGAAAACATGTATGAAGGAAGCTCACACTTCCAAGAGGTAGCTTTCGTCTTTGATAACATCCAAGGTGTTGGTTACAACACCTCTGTGGCAGTTGACCCGTTCGCCAATGAACCCAGAACCTTTGATCAGCTCGCCAGCATGATGTCGGGGGCTTGGATTAGCTTTGTCAACACGCTCGACCCTAATCGCCATGCACTCGGTGTTGATGGCGTTAACCAGGAGGGCCTGCAGTGGCCTGTATACACAGTGACAGATCCGAAGAACATTGTTTTCAATGTCAACGTGACAGGAAACGCATACATCGAGCCAGATGTTTATCGTGCCGAGGCAATTCATTACATGGCGGCTAACTTTGATACCATCTGGGGGCGCTAGTCATAATGTAATCTAGCTGATTGTGCAAAGTGATTCATGTGCCAGTGTGCCAATTCTACCATTCATGTTATATAAGAATGCTCGTATTAATTTATGATTAAAGTCGTTGATTTTTTCAAATCTTCTCATCACACAGAGCATTCAAATGTTCGTATTGACACAACATTTTTTTGAATGTGAACAGATGAGTGGTATGGGCTCAAAGATGAAGGTATGGAACTACTCAGGGCTATTCCAAGGTTGCAGCAAACGAGAAAGGCAGACTCCGAGCTATTAGTACTTCAAATTTTCTCAACTACACAATCAATAGTCTACAAGTTCACCTAATTCTACCAGGTCGGATTCGAGAGGGATGAGAACCTTGGAAGTGCCAATCATGGAGTGGTAACAATTGAATGTATTTGTAATGACTGACAATTCCAAGTTTCTCAACTGAACTTATAACAATTCGATAAATGAGATCTTGCGAAGAACCTCGGAATGAGAAAAGAAGGAATGACAAAGTGACCGACTGAATTTCAAAGACCAAAAGAACCCTTGGACAACAGCCCCGATATGCAGCTTGATTTTCATTCCAAGTTGTAGAGATTAAACCTTGGGATGAACATCAGATCTGCGGTTCCGTGAATCTATAGTCTAGTCGCAGGTCACAATAAAGCTGTTGTATACAGCGTCACCTGTTGCACAGCCACCTGAGACTGTAACTTCCTGCTCTCCCTGAGTACAGTCAAAATCACTATAGAAGTAACCTATTTTTTCTAAGTTAGACTGAGTCTGTAATAAATCTTCATAAGCTAGAACTTACCGACACATCCATCGATGAGAGGTGCAAAGGTAATTGAAACGGTATTGGGGTCGATCGTGCTGATACTCGAACTGCATACGCCGTTCTGGGAACTGTACACACCAAGTTCGCCCAAAGATGGGATAGTGCAGTTTGGCGAAGCATATCCACGCAGTGTGACAACTCGTGTGTCCGCAGAGCTCGTAGGAATGGCCGATACGCTCATGGCGAGAGCCGAGGCAGAGGCAATAAATTTGCTGAAGTACATGTTGAGAATCGGTGACCTTGGGTGGTTTGAGATCAAAAAGCGAGTGAGAGGATATTTCTTGAGCTTTGATGAGTGCCAGTGATTGATTGTAGACCTTGCTTCTTGGATTGTCTGGCAATGGGGCTTGAGGAACTTATATAGTAAATTCCAAATAAGATCCTGGCTCTTTCTGGCAGTATCTATCTTTGGACAGAGGCAAATTATGATCAAGAATACAACATCAAATCTGAACCATTGTCAGGTCTGACCGCAAAACACGTAGCTTGCCCCCGGGGTCATTCACTTGACCCTGCAGGAGGAGGCCTTATGCCGACTCCCGGGAAGGAAACAAACCCAGATGGAATATTCTACTGTAATAGGTACCTGAGCCTTTTCATATGAAAGCATTATAGAGTTAGACGGGCTACTAGATGAATCAGAGTTCTACTTGAAACTCAAGTTTTTCTCGTATGTTTATTCAATGGATGTTGTACTAGTAGCCAGCATCAACGAAGATCTCCCGGGTCTATGAAAACGTTTGAATATTCTTTAGCTACTCCTTTCGGACGAATGTGGCGTTTGAACCTTTGAACCCTCTTCACCGCCACATTGAATCGACACCGACTAGTACATGGATTTACTATGGATAGTGTATGATATGCATAGGTCTACTTATTACAAATATAATTCCGGCTCAACCCCGGATTTTCGTCAGCCGGCACTATACGAACCCGTACGGGTGGCCGTGGCTTCGAAACAGTGTCATAGTGACCTGTGAAGACCCATCAATCCTTTCTTACTTTTCGTAGAGCATGGACATTCGGATCGGTTCAGTGGTTAAATCGTTAATTTGGTATCCGCAACGTTGCGTAATCCAGCTTAATAGAGTTGGGGCGCCTGATGTTATGGTACACTGAATGGTTATGTCTTGGGAAGAAGCTCGCCTGAAAGTACACCTTGATATCCATGTCACATGGAACCTAGTGCACACTCAGCTATCCTTTTCATCGGATCAAGCCTTTTTTAAATATTTGGACTGGAACCTTAATAATAGTCTGTCTCCACGTGAGCATGACCCGATCGGCTAGTCAACTGGCCAGTTCAAAGAGTCCGGCACACATGCACCATGTACTTATTTGACGCCGAGTGGAATATTGAACATATAGGTTGGCTGGTAAAACTTGAAGTCCTACTAGTAAAAGGCTAATTCTTCTTTTACCTTGAAGGACGTCATATATAATTTCCATCATGATACTTAACCTAGTCCATGCCAGTGGTTTAGGGGATAAAAGATAGACAATTTACCCCATACACCACCTATCCACCTCTCCACCTGAACACACGTGGAATACGGAGCCCTCGGATGCCGGATCCCGACTGCACAGATGATGAACTTCAAAGGGGCCAAAGTGATGAAGAATACTTTCTTTAACGGATAAATTTCCCATCTAAATTCACAACTACTTGAATTCTATTCAACACAAACCTTGTATTTATAGAGAGCAATGAGAATGGAGATTTTCATTCAGAAAACAAGTAATTTAACAAAAATCAAGAATAACAACAATTGAAGACGTGCTATCTGTGCGAGGCCCACCGAACTGTTCCCCTCAAATTAGTCAAATATCATCCCTGAACGCCCCGCTTCGGAACCTTCCATACTGCAGACTTTCCCTTGTTGGAATATGAGCAGGGGTTGTAATCCATCAAATATATCAAAAGAGACCCCCTTGCCAAAATGCCAGAAGATAACTTCAAAGATCATATTACAGTCGTGAGTGTGCACTTCGATTCCGATCCACCAATCTTACGCGAGCTAATCTCCACTATCACACCCAGGACCCCGACATTTATGCACTCACTAATGCATACGAACTCGATGACAACCAATCGTAAGACCCATCCGCCCTTTATTTGCATATATCCTCAGTCTCGGGACCATGACTTACGCGTTTGGGTAGTGAGACAACTTCTCTCGCCTCATCAATTTACGGGGGTGATGGAAAATGGGCGTCGGTGCGGATAAATGAATTGGACCCCTGTCACAAAAGTGGGACCGAAGGGACTAACATCCATCAAATCAAGATACCAAACCATCAGAGAGGGCGAATACTGGTATGCTTCGAAGGAAAGAAATATAGAGAGAGACTCTATATGAAGAATAAACAAAGTATTGACTAAAATAGGGGTCCATCTGATGAACAACAATTTGAAGCGCTAGAAGCAGGGTACGTCATCCACCAGGACCAAAAAAGCCACTACTAGTATAGCTCATATACTAACTCCTCTAGTCATTTGGTAGCACTGGTGATGGACTCCGAGTCCCGAAATCCACTATTTCAAGCCCCAGTCAAAGACCCCAAGGTGCGACCGTTTCTTGATTGCCGATAGCAACCTCCGCTCACATAATTTTTGTTTAGCGTATCTTGGATATTGGTACAGGCCGAGGCAGCTGGGCTGTGTGAGTTTCCGGGATCATACTATATTGATGGGTGTGGCTAATTCCTAATCCAGCGACGCTGCTGACTCGTTCCCAAATTGTATGGACGCTCTCATTTGCACAAACAGGATATTGTGCTAACCAACCCTTGAAAAAAATAGCCACCGTTTACGGAGTTGATCTCTATCCCCCTCCAATCACTTGGATGCCACCAAATTGCATCTTGGAAGTGGACGATGTTCTTCAAGAATGGACCTGGCGTGAGCCATTCGATTTCATTCACATGCGCTTAATGCTTGGCGCATTCTCAGCAGAGGAGTGGGACACTGTTTATAAGCAGTGCTATGATAACTTGACTCCGGGTGGTTGGTTTGAGCAATTCGAAGGAGGCTGTGATCTACTATCTGATGATGGTAGTTTACCGGAGGATAGTATCTTGACTCAGTGGGGCAAGAATATCGTGGCCGCCGCCAGTAATGCTGGAAAGCCCGTTGACACACTCGACACCATGCGGACTGAGATTGAAAAGGCCGGGTTTGTTGATATTCATGAGAAGGTATACAAGTGGCCTATTGGGCCTTGGCCAAGAGACAGTGTGCTCAAGGAGGCTGGACGACTGAGTTATCACATGTGGAGAACCGGTATGGAAGGATGGGCAATGTACTTGCTCACAAAGTATGGTGTTCCTGAGCCGTGGAGCAAAGAAGAGGTTCAAGTATACGTTGCAAAGGCACGAAGGGATATCCAAAATCCTACTTATCATATTTACCATAAGTCGTGAGTGTTGACAACCAGACTGCATTCTCGATTTTGGATTGTTGACCATTGATATAGACGTCGTATTTGGGCGCGCAAGCCAACAGAAGCGGAATTGGCTGCTAAAGCTGCACAGAAGGCGAGGAAGATTGCTGAGCAAACTACAAGAGTCAAGGAAGAGCCTCTTTCTCCACTATTCTCACCATCTGACGTGTTGTGACCACATTTCATTCCAAGGTTCCACTTATCCCATCGGTATCGTGAAACGAAGAACGGCGACTGCTTCGCCTCTTCTCTTCCAGTTAAGTTGTCATGATTTCGCATGTTTTATCAGCAGGACTCCAAACCATTGGCCAATGGTGGCGAGCAAACAGTCTTTACAGATTCCTGCAAATTTGACGAATGAATATGTGATAAAGCGAGATGATATACCTTTGGCGTGACAAGTCTCGAAGTTACGATGCCATCTGCGAGTCAAAGACGATAGCTTGATCTTCGATAGCTAGTACAGAGAACTATTTGTGAATGCAAGTCAACAGAAATGAAATTGTCAAATTATCCATGATATCACTTAAATATTCTTCAAGTCCAAGAGACTTTTGAATGTGAAAAGTTACATCTCTCGACTAGTAGGTATCATTAGATTCATAGTCCACATGGGGCGCGAACTTCATCTCAACAGCACCGACATCAAACACGGTGACAACATTCTTCTGGAAGGTATCTCCCAAAATAAAGAGATCCTCAGAGTCATCATCACCACCATCATCAATTCCGGAAATACAAACATCGTTTCCATCGTCATCGGTGCCAGCATACAGGATCAAGTCGAGGGGGTTGATGGTAAATGTGGTACCACCAATAGTAATACCATGTGTAGGAGGAGTAGCATCACAGTCAACAACGTAGGCACCCTCATCATCACTGTAAACCGCGGGTGGGTCGAATGCGGCGTTGACCTCATCGGCGATTGCAGTTGGGTAGTAGTTGAGGGTAGTGCCAGAATCAACCTAGTTCATGTAAGTAAACGCATATTCAAGCCGAAGCCGATCGGCACAGAGAAACCATTTATGACTCACAATGTACTGGACAGAACCTCCAGCAGCGGTAAGACTCTTGCCGTTCAAGGTCACAGCATCGATTTCGATGGTGTAGAAATCGTAAGTCTTTGTGTATCCCTCAATCGAAGTGATCAGGATGTCGGTGGTAGTGAAAGTCTCGTTGAACGTAATTGGGGGAAGACCACCAAGGGTGAGATAACCAGCATCGCCGGAAACATTGCGCGAGATGGCGAGACTGAAGTAGGAATCGATCAAACCGTCGTTGACCATGGTGGTGAAGATTGGGTTGTATACCTCCTGGTCATCGGTCTTCTCATTGTAGGCGCTCGTCCTATAAAATGCTTAGCGGAAGAACAACAATTCATGATCTTTTCGGATAATTCTTACAGAGCTGGGTAGGCCAAGCCAGTCAGACCAGAGGTGGTACCATCACCTTCCCAAGCAGCCTCAGTGACAATGGCAACCTCCTGGTCCACAGTGATGGAGGCCAGAGTGACAGTCTCGGTACCCATGTATCCATACAGATACTCACCATCACCATATTCGATCTCGAATTCCTCACCCGAGATCTTCTTAAGCGTACTGTCGGTGGTGTAGGTGGTACCAAACTCGCAGTCCGACTCGGAAGTCTTATCACCAGTGTCAAGGTCTATACACTCAAAGTCCTCCTTGACCACCCAGGTATCACTGGATCCCGTGTCGACAATCACGTCAAAAGTTTGGGTGCCAAACGTGATGGAAGTGGCATACTCTTCTCCCTCAAACAGGGAAATCAATCCAGTGCTTCCAGAGGTTGTGCTCGTGCTCTTTCCAGTCAGACCTTTCAGATAGGCCGCACTGCGAGGATTCGCACGAGTTGTCGTTTGCTTCTTCAAGCTCATGGTGTAAGCTGAGCCGCCAGTAGTGGCGCGAGACTCAACCAAAGCAGTCGGCTTCCATGTGATAGCCTTAGCATCAGCACCACGTTTGTGCACAGCACGTCGGGCTGAGTGCCGGACATTGCCAGCTTCCAAGGGAGCTGCATAGGCCGATGCGGCCAGGAGAGACAGTGCCGCAGCACAAGTAGTGATATGCATTTTGGCTGGAACTACTTTGACAGCGACAGAAGAGAATGAGTCCACGAGAGAAAAACAAATTTCAGGGCAAGGATGTGGTTTAAATACTCCATCTCATGCAATTCATACCCCATCTGCCCGCTCACGCTGTACCGTCCCCATCGGGGCTCCGTGTTGGGCGACGATTCAATTCTTCAGCATTGTACGAGTCCCAGAATGGCGTATTCCGTACTTTCTGGCAGTCAACTCCGAGTCTTATTAGGATTATACTAGTGTGCACCAATGAGACCTCTACGATTGTGATGATAATCACAACCCTGTGGCTTATCTTAGGCTAAGCTTCCCCGTCTCCATCAGCCCCGACGGGCCCCCGCTTGGGCTCCTGTTCGCTTATGAAGGAATCACTCATTTTATTCATCATCCGTGCTTATGCGGGCGCCTGGAGAAATTTTGGCTTGTATTGAATACTATGAGTCGTAAATTAAGAAAATAAACGGTATCTTAATGACGTGCAGACGCTATCATTGGGGGTATCGGGGTAAGAAGATTGGCCCCATAGGGGATAGAAAGCTTGATAGATGTAGCTTAATCCTTCAAGTTTACGGAATATGGAGACGGATTGTCCAATCGCATATCTTGAGATCAACCTGGGCATTGAAAAAAAATAATACCTAATTCTGCTGGGATATGCCTATGGGGTATTAAGCTGGACAACACCACCTGCCAGGTGGGCACCACTCCCGAAGCAACCATTAGTAGTGCCATAGTGCCACTGGCAGTTGTTAGCTGCAGCTCCGGAGATGCAGGAATGAATACCCCTCTTCTTCCAAGGTTTAGAGTCAATCTCCGCTCGTTACTCCGTACCTTAATCAATATCGGGATACAAGATTGGACGAAATGCATGTCCTAAAGTTTCATCACAGTATCATCGGGCGAGTTACTCCCTTAGGTATGGCCATACAATCAGGGATATTGCTTCGCAGCAAATCATCTAAACCTTGTAAATCACGGAATTCTACTAGCGTGATAGTAACTCCGCATCTTCATTCTTGTACGATTATTCAACATTTTGATGTTTTGACGAGATGGAATTTACGACATCCAGACACCAGACCTAGGATCACGCGCAAGCAGAATCCAAACTTACATAGCGAAGGTACACACCCTACGCTAAGTAGTTTATTTCGCTGAAGATAAGTATAATTCCGGTGGCGCAAAATTAGTTAACCTTGAAAGTGGACAATGCTTAATGTCGTTATCATATGCCCCACTTACATGCACGCGAGTGACGCGACTGATAGAGTCCGAGTCGTCAAGCAATTGATGAGCCAAGATTAAGCGTTGAATATTCGGAATATTGATTAATCTCATAATAGAGTTCATAGATTGAATAAATAGAATACATTTTATATATTAGTTGAAATACATACATCATGTAAAAAAAAAAGAACGGCTAGCCTCATTCATGATCCGTTATCATAAGGCGCCAGTAAATTCCAAGGTTGCTCGGGTATCATGCACATTAGTTGTTGAAAGAAGTACACATTAGTTGTTGAAAAAATAGCAAATCAGCTAGGGTCATTGCAGCCGAGCGATTATTCCTGTTTCTCAGGAAGAACGACTTCTGTGTCAATCTCAGGCTTCTGATCGGACTCAGACTCGTGAATAGACTTAGCCGCATCATCGGCCTTTGGGGCGTTCTCATCAGGGACATAATTGCGAACAGCGATCCAGGTGGGAACCACACAGAGACCTGCGATGTAATGTTAGCCTTGATCCGATTAGTTTTAGAACTCTGCTGAGAATGCTTACCGAGAAGAATAGTGTTCACAGCCATGGGAGCGCGACCACCATACCAATCATGGGTATTGAGACCATAGGAAATGGCCTCGCCGAAACTGATCTGTCCACGCAGAATACCCGTCAGACGGGTGAGTTCGGAAATATCATCTGTCAATTGACCAATGAGGTAGTACAACCAGTTAAGGCCGTTCTGTTGGGCGAACTGCCACAGGAAAATGACAAAGGCACCCTTGGTAAATCCTGGAGTGTGGATATCGAACATGGGTTGGGAGTGAGTGTACTCAGATTGCACAACCCAGGCATAGATCCAAGTCACAACATGGACCAGCATGACCCAGTACCAGGAGTAAGTGATTCTAGTCTTGCGGTCAAACTTCTTCCAGTCCAGGAAAAGTGCCAGACTCTGTGATGCCAAAATACAGATCCAGTTGGAGACGAACGCAATGAGAGCACGAGCGCGAACAGTGAAATAGTAAGTTTCATAGTTGCTGGAATACTCATTGAAGTAGATTGCCCAGAAAATTGGCAGCAAGAGGATAACGCTGCGCATTTTGCAAGTCCGCCACAAGGCCTTGAATTCATCCTTCCAGCTTTGTCCGGGGCGAACAATGACGCGGGATCCATCCTTTCGCTGCACCTTCTCCGGAGAACTCAGAGCCAGAGCGAGGGGAACAGCAAGACACTGCAGAGCGATGAAGACAATGTAGGTGGTGTATCCTACACTTCCCTCACCACCTGTTTCGATGTTAAGTCCCAGGACGATGGCATCACCGACAACAGGACCCATGGTCGACCAAATAACCCAAATATTCAGGTACTTAGCTCGCTTCTCTGGCTCGGGGTAACCGATTGCAATGGCACCTTCCACAGCCCAGTACAGTCCTGCAGAGATACCGCAGCATGCCGAGCCAAATAGAACGAACCAGATATTTCCAAATCGATCATTGGTGTATAGACCAGCCGAGTACAAGGGGTATCCAGTCGCACCAATAACCAATGCCCACTTGAGACCAATACGGTTCGCAATGGGGGCACCGAATATACAGAAAATACCCATCAGACCAAAAACCAAGGCATTAGCCGCGTTGACCAGGAATGGCTTCTCCTCTCCTCCCGCACCCAATGAGTTCATAGCATTCCATAATCCGGGGGCCAAGAAGCCCACAAAACCAATAAGACAGGCATTGAATAAGGTTGAACGATACCAGACATGCTTCTCGGCGATCAAGCCACCGGCCTCGACAACGCTTTCTGTGACTGACATGGCTTATGTAAGTACCGCCAAGGGTGGAAAAAAAGCCTTTGAAAGCTTAGTTGAAATTCAAGATTCGAACCAAATTGTTTACTCCGAGCGTATATATAGATAAATTTCTTCAGTCCCGGAAATTCATCGTATATCTTATCCTTCGCTTCTAAAATCCCATCTCGCAAAAGCACGCCATAATGAAAAAAAAATGCATTTCGAGCCAATGAGAAGGGCAAATCCTCCCTTGTTGGGGCCATTGTAGTTGATTTTTGAAAATTCAGCAGCGACAGCGGCCCCGCTTGTGACATTCTTAATTGTCGGCCATTGGTTGGCCTTGTATGCTCGGCAAATGCAAATCCACTTATATCTCAAGTGCTCGCCTATTTCAGTGGCACTGGCATGGTCAATGCCTGTGCTGACTTCTCTTGTGCCGTGAGCTTGTTTCAAATCCCGTCCTAGATCATGGCATTTTGAGATGGAATCATCATATGATAACTTTCAAAAGGTTCGAACAGAAATACCTATCAATGCAAATGAATGAACTGCGAATTGCCTCGTTGAAACATCTACTTCTCATATTTTTAATACAAAGAGCAAAAAAAATATTCCTGCCCCCATCAAATTTCTATTACAGGTGGAGTTTAGTGGTCCGATCTCGGGACAGTGGAGCTATCGAACATTTTTCAAAGTCCTTCATGTACATATTGAACTGTCAATATCCGCATAGGAAACCTTATTCCGGAGTTTTTCATGCATCTCCATACGAGATTACGAGTCTGGATCCCGGGAGAACATCGGAGGTGCCATAATCCGATGAAAATAGGCCCTTATCAACACCGCTGCTTTTTACACGTTGTGCTGCTCAGATGTGCATGCACATGTGGGTACATACTATCCATCGATCCTGTCAGCTTAAACTGCAGCAGCTAAGAGTTCCAAGGTTAGCTTATGGCTTTTATTACTACTATCCTCAAGCTAGGCACTCAAAAATTTTGCTTTATTTCAACTTGACTTCCCTCTGAATCACCTTGAAAAGAATTTCAGCCCTACAGGGCTGTATCCTTTTGAACCGCCAGGGCTTCAAGCTGGGACATGAATATTTCAAATGTTCCACATACGTAGGCACATGCATAGTAAAAAAAAATCTGGAAGATCAATCAACCATGGATACATAGTACTGGGCATAAATAATTAACCGCTATTCTCTCTTCTCTGTGTCTCTGGAAAGCACTGGCACTTGAGATATCTGCAGCTCCAAGTACATATTTTCTGCACTCAAGCAAAAAGATGGTGATTTTACTAGCCGAATATTGGATATCGAGACTCGGAAGTGGAGAAAATCTGAAGTAGGTAACGAGTTGACATCTGGACTTTCATGTCGAACATTCCAAGGTTGAAGGTGGTGGACTTGGACTGGATATCATGATCTGGAACTTTGGACATTCAAGTTACGACTCGGATTTAGAGGGCAACCCTAGAACCTGGGAGCCTGAGACTGGCAAACTTGAAATACACCTGCCCAGGTGCCCAGGTGCCCAGGTGGGCATATCCAGGTGCACATCCATAGTTTATAAGATGAGCATTGAAAACTCGAAGAAATTTTTCAAGGCGAAGATTGATTCCGAGTCAGCACCCGTGGACTTGAATACTTGCTAGATAAAATGACAAAGACTTGCTTCAAGTTTCCCGTACATAGATGGGTTATATATCGTATCTAGAGGTCATAGCTTCGATTTGGAGCCTGAGGCAGAAATAAACATAGTATATGGCCAATCGTCTCGGGCTATTTGTTCATTGGTTTGTTTCATTTTAATCGGAATTTGAAATCTTGGAAGGAGAATGCAGATTAGAAATTCTGAAATGGTAAGAGGTCATTTCAGAGCCCTGGAGAGCAGGTGGGGATATGTCAAACTGTTTTGACTCGAGATGAAAGAGGCTCTACTCGAGTGATCGGGTGACCTTTCATCTCATCCTATTAATAAGGTCCCTCATGAAAATATCATGTTATTCTCTATCGGCCGATAGACAATCAGATGAAAATATCTATTCGCACGTCACCATTTTACAATTCGGTGGAGCAAATTGAGACTACCTCGTTGGTTTATAATAGCGAGCGATCGCGTCGCAATCGGGTGATAATTGCACGCAATCAGTGTATTCTGTCCAGTTACGTGCAGACCCCTCCACGCGTTTCAAAATAACATGTGTTCTAGAGCTTGAGCATTAATCTTTAACTGTGCTGCCAAGGTGTATACTAGTCAATTTAATATGAGGTGATAGACTGGATCTACTGGTTCCTGTACTTCTGGTCTACCCCTAGGGCTCCGACCTTCTAGGCAGATATTTTCTCTCCTCAATGTTCGGATTGAAGACAAATTGTGCATTGATCCTATGTCAACAAAAACATCTTGCTATTGGCTATTAAAATTTATTAGGTGACAAAGGCATCAATCAAATACGAAGTCACTTCAAATGATGATTTTCATCAATCTTTACGCCTTCCGCAGCCATGGAATCTAGTGCTCACTGCATATGCAATAGCGCAATAGCGGGCACGAACGACGCAACTTTCACCCATGAGCTCGCGCTTGGACTGTATCAATTCATCAATGAAATCATTGCTTGAAGCATGCCAAGTCTGATATACTGCCTAAGATTCTCCAAAGCTAAAAATTGAGGGAATACCATAAGTATGATTGACATATCCATCTCAACCTAGAACCTTTCAAATCTGAGCTGTCTGAAGCTCTGTAAAGTAACTCTTTTAGTCGCTTCGTCATGTCTAATACAATAGATACAGCCAAGCTGGCTTTGATATCCCAGGGTGCGGCGTATGGCCTACTCATCGGCCTTGGGGTTCTCTTTTGTGGAGTGATTCTTTTTGCTGTGAAGATTCAAAAGGCTTATTTATCTGAAGATTCCGGAAAGTCTGAAATGTTCATGGTCGCTAATCGCTCAGTCGGAACTGGTCTCACTGCCTCTGCGGTCTTTTCCTCGTGGATGTGGATCAATGAGACGGTATTGGCGGCAGCCATGTGTTATAATTATGGATTAGCACTACCTCTGGTATGTTCGTCCATCTATCTTTTAATCCAGAATTCACTAACTAGAGATTAGTGGTGGGGCTCTGGACTCTGTTTTCAAATTGCTTTAATGGCAGCATTGGGTGTTATGGCAAAGATCCGAGTTCCTTATGCGCATACCTCTCTTGAGATTGTTCGAATGAGATATGGAAAAATCGGTCACCTTGTTTTCATTGTGCTCAATCTGGTAAACAATGTCTTTGGATGTGCATCCATGATCATGACTGGCTCTCAACTCATCTATGGCGTCTCTGGAATGAACTTTGTTGCAGCGACTATTCTCATTCCACTTGGAGGTAAGAGTCGATTTCACTTTCTTGATCAAGATATAAAAAAGGCTAAATATCTCTAAGTTGTCCTCTATACCGCGGTCGGCGGTCTTAAGGCCACATTTTTGACTGATTTTCTTCATACTGCTATTGCCTTAATCCTCATCATCTACTTCACCCTGTCGGTGCTAACAAATCCTGCCGTCGGGGGACTGAGTGGACTTTATGATAAGGTGGTGGCTACCGCCGGAGAAAACTATGTCTCTGGTAATTATGACGGATCCTTGCTCACTTTCAAGTCGAAGGGTGCTATCATCTGGGGACTGATTTTGAAGTTTGGAAATCTGGCTTTAGTTGTCATGGTAAGATGGGAATCACTACTTCACTCCAAATCCTCCCTGCAAAACGACTAATGAGAGGTATTTTAGGACACGGCATTCTGGCAAAAGTCATTTGCAACAGAGGTTCGAGCCACTGTCCCTGGGTATAACATCGCAGCCATCGCCGTTTTTGGTATCCCCTGGGGACTTGGAACAGTGATTGGATTGACAGCTCGAGCAATTCACAACACTCCAATTTTTCCAACTTACCCTAGTGACCTGACTTCTACTGAAATCAGCATGGGCATGGTTATGCCTTACACTATCAAGGCACTCATTGGAGATAAAGGAATCATCGGCTTCTTCTTCCTCCTCTTCATGGCACTCACCAGTACTGTCTCATCGTCCATGATTGCCGTGAGCAGTATCCTGTCCTACGACTTGTATAAAACATATGTCAACCCACGAGTGACGGATAAAAACCTTGTTCGGGTCAGTCATTTGACTGTCGTTTTGCACGGTGTATTCATAACAGGTATTTCAATTGCGATGAATTATGGAGGTGCGAATATGACATGGATCAACTATCTGCGACCGGTCATCTCCTGCCCAGGAATCCTCCCTCTAATTCTGACGTTATTCTGGTCTCGTCAAACACGACTCGCGGCTGTGGTATCTCCAATTCTTGGCTTCTTTACTGGCCTTGCTGTGTGGTTAGCAACAGCTAAATCAATGTATGGTGCCGTGGATATTGAAACAACTTCCAACGAGTATCCTGCTCTCTATGCCGCCATTGCATCTTTCTTCTCACCCGGGCTTTATTCTGTTTTGTTCTCACTTTATAAACCTTACTCATTTGATTGGCGAGAATTCCTCCGAATCGAATTGGCTGATGCGCCTCATACCGGATCAGATAAAGACACATTTGTGGAAAGCAGTGGGTCTAACACGGGCCTTTATCTTGGTTCTGAGATGCCTACGAAATCTCTCCCTGCCGAATCTCAATTAGCAGCCGACGATCAAGACGTCAGTCACAGGGACCTTGAGAAAAAGAAAGGAAACGAGACACCTGCTTCATTTTCATCGGCCTCCATACAGCAGCAGAATCTCGATGATATTCAGCACCCATTTGACGATGCGACATTGAAAGATCTGTATAGGTGGCTCAAAATCGCATGTTTTACATTTGTGGTCTTAGTTCTGGTCACTTTCGTTGCTTGGCCACTCCCTCTATACCGTGACTATATCTTTACAAAGTCATTTTTCTCTGGCTGGACCACGGTGGCTATTATCTGGCAATTTGGCGCCTTCGGTGCTGTTGTCATCTTCCCACTCTACGACGGAAGACACGCAATCGCGACTGCTGTACGTGGTGTTTGGAAACACAAAGGGTTTGCGAAGCAAGCACCAAAATCATAGGGCATAGATTTGTTCATCCATACTTGTATCACAACGTTTGAAGAAGCGTGGGGCTCGGTATACTTCATCATGATATTCCTTAGATCGCGCTTCCTACTCCCGCTCATTGAATAGAAGAAATTACGATTAATAGTACATATAACTTAGATCAAAATTCGAGAGCGATTTTGAGTTCTCCATGGCTTAGGTGCTCTGGTCCCTTTTTCCACTCTCTTCTTGACTCTGCAAGGTGCCAGTAAGCCTCGTTTGCACCTGGGCACTGACACTATTCTGACTAACCAGTTGGTGGCCCGACGCGAAGACGCGTGGAAGGATTCGGAAACGGAGTCCGTTTCCCGTTCCTCTTCTATTCTCTACCTAACAACTCCATTTAATCAATATCTTCAACAACGGGCTCGGACTCAGCCGGATCGGCACTAGCTAGTCCCCTTCTCGTGTCATTCTACTCCAGCTCATTTCCGTGTCGCCCGTTGTGGTCCCGTTCCAGCGACCTAGCTTACGCCCTCCTCCCCGCCATGAGTGACGCCAGTGGAGCCCGCATGCCGAAGGCATGTAGGACTTGCGCCAAGGCGAAAGTACGATGTGAGCCCCAAGCGGATGGTACTTGTAAACGGTTAGCTTCGATATAACTCTTTTAGGAGTGATATCAACTGAATGATTTTTCAGATGTCGTCGCTTGAATAAAGATTGCAATGATCAAGCTCCCGGATCCCACCGCCGCCCCAAGTCTTCCAAAAATCTGTGAGTGTCCTTGTGACTTTATCTTTATAAGAGCAACCTCTGACTATATCCAAAGAGAGGTCTCTGCATTGGAAGCCAAGCTAGACCGAATGGTCGAGTTACTAGCAGCATCAGAAAAATCAGCCAAGGATCTGCAATCCAACACTAGTCATTCACCAGAGCCATCACCCCCGATGCATGAGAACCAACCCGCTACTAGACTAAGCGATCATGAAGGTGATGCTCTTCTGGAGATATTCCGAACAAGAATGGTCCCCTTGTTTCCATTCATCGTTGTGCCGGCTCATATTACTGCGGCGCAGCTTCGTCGGGAAAAGCCATTTCTCTACCTAAACATCACTATGATCGCCTGTCAAGACGGAAATCGACAACGGGCCATGGTGAAGATTGTCAAACAATACATTTCCGAGCATATTGTGGCGTATGGCGAACACAGTCTCGATATTTTGCAAGGTCTGCTTGCTCATGTGGCTTGGTTCATTTCTGTTCCTCGGTTGCCTGAAGGTCATCCAGCTGAAATGCCTTGCAATTGGCAAGAGAATATTGACCTGGGCCCTAGAGCTCACGTTCAAATAAGTGCGCAGATGGATGTCTTCTTGCAGCTCGCCATAGGACAGCTTATCAGCTTGAATTTAAATCAAGGGATAGCAGCTTTGAAAAACTTGGATCGACCTTTATCATACGTCAGGGCCACAGACTTCCAACCTAATCAAATACCCGCACGTACTCTAGAAGAGCGACGGGCTTATCTGGGATGCTACTACCTGAGCGTGATGTATGTGTTTCCTTCCACCTCAGCGTCCTGGATATGTGGATTTTACAATGATAAAACATGACTGACACACAGTATATTCAGGCTGACTACCTGTATGAGAGATATGGAGCCTGTTCGCTTCACCAAATACACACAAGAATGCTGTCAGGAATTAGTTCGAGTGAATGAATTAGTTCAAGTGAATGAGGTTCCCACCGACTCATATCTTGTTCAACTCGTCCGGGTGATGCATCTTGCCAACAGAATCCATCGTGGCGTGTCCTTCGATGAGATCGACTCTCCAAACCTTTCAGCTCCGCTAGTTTTGGCGATACGGTCTCATCAAGCTGAGCTAGATCATCTGAAAAAGTCTTTTTCCAGTGAACCTCCATACTCAGGTGAGAGCATCGAAATGATCCCTCAAAGACAAACAAAATGCTTCTGACGCTGACTTCAAATTTCTCCTGGGCTTCCAGCCAATCTATCTGTTCATTATCATATTGTTGAGATTCTTTTATATCGAATCTCTCTTAGTGAACACTTCTCTGACCTTTCATATGGAGATCATCAAACCACGCGATTGGATCTTCTGTATCGCTGTTTGGAGGCAACAAAATCATTTTTCCTTGAATTTCACTCCCTCCCATTGGGATATCTTCTTTTCTTCCCTCTCACATTTCTGGGTCAATTTGGTCAAGCCATGGTCACGCTCTCTCGCCTGACCCTATTTCAGGGTGACAATATTGGATGGGATCGAGCCTACGTTCAATCTATACTGGATTTCGATAAAGTTGCTGATAAGATGTTACAAAGACTCCAAGACGCACGAGATCTATTCAACCAAGAAAAACAGGCTCTTCAACTTTGTGTTGAGCAACCTGAGGTTATTCAAAGACTATCGGCGAGAATGGAAATCATGAAAGAGGTGCATCGGAAGAGACGAAAGGCTCTTGAGAAAACAAACTTACAAGCCCCACCCGAACTTCTAGACTTGAGCTACATCACCAACATGCCATTTGATATATTTTTTCCATACGGGAATTATGGCGAGATCCCGACCAATCTTGCTTTGTCGGAGTATTTCTGACTCAATTACAAGGCTCGAAGGATGGAAATGCCCACGAAGGATCTTAGTCACTGGACCGGAATTCCGCTCCTCCGCCTGGTTCAAGATTAGATCGCTATCAAGTATGTATCTACTAGTATATAAAATGATACTGTCGCAGCTCATTTTTAGTTCATTCAAGTTCCTCAAACAATTAGCATTCTGACTTTTCATTACTCGTGCCACTTCTTACTCTCTTGTCAATCAAACAATCGATATGCCTTCCCTCCCTGTACCCGAGACTCCTGCCCAGCCACTACCAGAGAGTGGCCTAGTTTGTGATTTACCTGAACGGCTTCCTGAATCACAAATATCTATTCTTATTGTCGGTGGCGGAGTGGCTGGCCTTTTCGCCGCTCTTGAGTGCTGGCGCAAGGGTCACAACGTGCGGATTATTGAAAGAAGCCCCTCGAGATCTGTGTCTGGTATGTGTTCAATCGAAAAAAACGAGTTAAATTCTGATTCAGTCTGGATACGTTACGACCTCATTCCAGGAGATGGGTTCTCCATTAGCACGAGTGCAATTCGTGCTTTACAAAAATGGCCCCAAATGGCCGAGGAAAACGAACGCATCTCGTATGAGCCTTGGGTTTCGTGGCATAAAATCACCGGCGAGATGATTTCGGGCCCGGCACCTTTTCAGCTAAATCAGTCAAAGAATCCTGATCAGAAGGACCTCGAGGAAAAGCCTGTTCCAAAAGTTTACAGACACAGTCGTCCAAAGATGCACAAAATGCTGTGCGATCAGCTTGAACGAGTTGGAATCATAGTTGAGTATGGGAAACAAGTTGTGGAATACTATGAGGACGTTCATTTGGGCAAGGCTGATTTATTCTCCAAAATGACCTGAAGCTCGAGGCTGACCTTGTCATTGCTGCCGATGGTGTTGGAGGCAAGTCTTCGCGTATTACCTTGGGTCGCGAGGTTCCAGCCCGACCTATTGGATACTCGATTTACCGAGCCTCTTATCCCCTTGATCAGGCTCTTTGTGACTTAATCCTTGATGAGAAGCTTCCGGTCATGGAGAATGGGATGCCTTCTTCACAAATTTGGTTAGGGTATGTTTCGCTTCACCCTGTACATTTATCTGGACATCAAGCTAATAAAAGCTAGGGAGGACGTCCATGCTGTCTTCGGGCGAAGTGCCGATGAGATGACATGGTATCTCACTTATCCGGTAAGTCTACCTGAGAAAATTTGCCCTCTATCACTCATTTTTACTGACATAAATTGCAGAATCACGAGCAAGGCAAAGAATCATGGTCCCATTGGGTTGAGCCCGAGACTGTTCTCAAGACCACAGCTATAATCAAAGGCTGGCCTAAGTTTGCAAATCGTTTGATTCAGGCAACACCGAAAGGGCGAATTCATGACTTCAAGCTGATGTGGCGTGAGCCTCAGCCCTGCTGGACCTCTGCAGGTGGGCGAGTAGTTCAGATTGGAGATGCAGCGCATACTTTCCATCCCAGCTCTGGGCAGGGTGCAACACAAGGAATGGAGGATGCTGTGTCAATAGCTGCGTGTTTACAAATGGCTGGGAAAGACAATATCCCATGGGCGACTCGTGTCCATAACAAGCTCAGGTGAGTCATTTGAAAGCAAGGTCATGGGAGATGTGTGTGTTTGTTGCTAATTATTTTCGTATAGGTTTGAGCGTGTCTCTTGTCTCCAACTCCTTGGTGTGGTCAATCAGGAAATTCGGCATCGCTCGGTCAACGCCCAGCCCTCTCAGACAAAACCAATAGGATTACTGGGAGCTTGGATATGGGAGCATGACCCAGAGCAATATGCAATCGAAAATTATGACAAGGCGATGAAACACTTGGCTGATGGGTGTTCTTTCCAAAATAACAACACACCCCACGGCTACAGTTATCGCCCTTGGACCTTGGATGAACTACTGAGTGATAAGGAGATGGGCAAGAAAATTGTGCTCGAAGGCGATTGGGAATAGATGGAAATGCTGCATCTCGAGGGATACAACTTCTATCGATGAACTGGTAGCATTGTTTTAATTTGTTTTGATTTTTTTTAGTTTAGTTTTCTTATATTAAGACTCAGCTTATTGGACTTGATTTAATTGCAATAGAAATAGATTAGTTATTTGCTTGATATGGACATATTACGTAACAAACAATACTTCGAAACCTTGGAACTATTGACGTGTTGCAGAAAGGCTAGCAAAGTCATCGGAGGTAGCTTCATGCTCGCTGGGCGCGCGCAAAGAAAACCCGGATAGAAAAGGGCTTCCCATCCTTGATGAATTCAAGCGGTTGATCAATCGCTTTGTACTTGAACTCACTGTTGAAGCCAGCTTCCTCAAATAGCTTCCGCATACTCTCTTCAGAGAACCCGTGAGTCTTGACTGTATGAGAAGCTTCTCCAAAATCAGTTTTGTGCGCATGATTGTGGCCATGGTCATGACCATGATCTGGTTGTGGGATCAGATCGATGATAAAACATGTGCCTCCTTGTTTCACCCGCTCCCCTAGGCGCTGTAAAGCCAGAAAAGGGTGCTCAAAATGGTGCAGAGCCATACTGACAGTGACAATATCCAGATCCACGTAAGGTGGTCCAGCAAAGTCTGGAGAGGGTGTATCCGCGAGAAGATCGCATTCATGGCCAATGACCTTGTCCGCTAGCCCGAGTGTAGCGGCATTGCTGTTGAATTCTTTGATCATGTTACCTGAGACATCCATCCCAATGACTTGGGTCAAGAAAGGAGCTAAGGTCTGTACATTCAATACCGAGTCAGTCCTGTTAGAGGCGGGCGTTATGGATAGAAAATGAATACTAGGTTCACATACCATGGAAATTATACCCGGACCACAGGCATACTCCAGCATCCTGACCTCCTGGTTAGGATTGACGGTGTCTATCCATTGGTCACTGATCCATTCCCGGTTCTTCAGTGTCTGCTCAGACACTGTTTTCAATGAGCTGGCAAACTGGGCTTTGTAGGTAGTAGCCATTTTGCTATAAAATTCCAAGGTTGATTAGCCAATGCCAGAGTATATAACAACATGGATCCTTCACTTCAATCATGTCGCTGGACTTACTCGAAATACTGCCGGTTGGCTTCAGTAAAATCCGTCATGGTGACAAGCTGGGACGAGATGTTCTTTAGTCCAATATTGTATAGTACAGTCTGATACGATAACGCGGCGGTGATTAGATAGAAAAACGTTGTGAAGAAGTTGTTTTGTATGATCCAAGCTTGATTCGGTGACTCTGATCTGAATAGTATGGTGATGCTGATGCTGATAGAATGGTAGGTTGCTCGGCCTTATATAGATCCTTGGGTGGAGAGTTCGAAGGCTTCGGAGACATCTCGGATACTTCCAAGATTCCACTCCACAACACTTTCGGAGACATCAAGACTCAATTGTTTCATAGAATGTCTCCGAGGTCCTTAGTAAGAACTTTTGGAAGGTCCTCATTATTTCCACATTCAATTTGAACCTAGTCCAAGACCTCTATCCATTAGTACTCCGTTAGCATTTGGCATCGAATCACGTGAGCAACTTGAGCCCTCGACAATGTCCCAGATGAAGTCCGGATTTTGATCAGGATTGCCATAGATGACTCAGTATCGTATCTTATCATGCTCACACAAGATATATGTTGAGATAATCCTCAGATCTCAGTAGATGGTGGTGAAGTGTAGTGTTGATGTAGATCTAGAAGCTCCTCTCACCGCCCGCAAGCTGCCTGCCAAAAAGACATCATCACAGCTTCCCTTGTCCGCCCCATCCTATCCTCCACTTTCCACGTCTAACGAAACCCCCTTCTTATCTCATTACCTCATTGTCCTCTCCATTCCTTACTCCCGGCTCGTTGGAATAATCCCCCCCCATCCCTTCACCATGGAGTCCAAGATCCCCGACTTCCTGGCTGAACAGCAAGCAAACGGCACCCCCGAGACGCAAACCTACTTCCTTACCTTCGAAGATCTCTGGGAACGAAAGCTATGGCATCAACTCACAGACGCACTGGTGGAATTCTTCCGCTTGCCGGAGAGTGCGCCACAGCGGTTAGCCATCTTCAAGACCTTTGTGCTCAGCTTTGCCGACCGTATCAACCAGCTCAAGTTCGTTGCGCTGGGATTGATGGCATCAACAGAATGTGCTGGTGAGTGGTCTCCAAGACGAGTTTTTTTCAATTATGTAGCCTTGAAGATTTCGCTAATAAAGATGATATGATAGATGACAAAGAACGACTTGCTTTCCTCACATCCCTCGCAGGCAAGGTCGACCAGCCTGAATCACAAGATGCCTATGTCTATGCGCTTGCCGATGTCGCCAATATCAAGCTACGACTACCAGATTTGGAGGGAGCACAGAAGGATTTGGCAACCTGCCAAAATGTCTTGGACTCTTTTGACTCAGTCGAGACAGTCGTGCATGCGTCCTTCTACAAAGTAAACGCAGACCATTACCACGTACGTCACTCATCCTTCTTCGCTGGAACCCAATATATTCCCTACCTCTGTCTGGTGGGAATGGGATTATTCATCAGAAGTCCGAATATGGTCTAATCTCTTATCTTAACACAGGCTAAGCAAGAATTCGCGTCCTTCTACAAAAACGCCCTTCTCTACCTGGCCTGTATCGACCTGGAAGAGTTACCCGAAAGCGAGCGTGTCTCCCGCGCCTACAATCTCAGCGTTGCTGCCCTCGTTTCCGATTCGATTTACAACTTTGGCGAGCTGTTGCTGCACCCCATTCTCGATTCCCTGACCAAAACCCCACATAACTGGCTCCGCGATCTACTCTTCGCCTTCAACCGCGGAGACTTGACTGCATACGACGTGCTTGCGGGTAACATTAGCAAGAACAAGCTGCTGGAGTCGCACCGTGTATTCCTCTATCAGAAGATTTCCCTTGCGGCTCTCACGGAGATGGTGTTCCGACGCCCTCCCCACGACCGCTCCATGGCTTTTTCGGCCATTGCCTCCGAGACCAAGGTGCAGCCTGATGAGATCGAGCATCTGGTCATGAAGGCTCTTTCTCTTGGTCTGCTACGTGGTTCAATCGATCAGGTTGCGCAGGTGGCACAGATTCACTGGGTGCAACCCAAGGTTCTGGATATGAATCAGATTGATGGTATGCGAAACCGATTGAAGGATTGGGATGCTGGTGTCAATGAGCTAGGACACTGGATTGAAGGAGTTGGTAAGGATGTCTGGGCCGCATAGAGGGCTTATGTGTTGAAGCCAACTTTGATCTATTATAATAAATGAATAGGCTGGCTGTATTCCCAGTGATAGCATATTTTTGGTGTCTTCTATATTATGTAGATTTGGAACATGTAATTGAGCGATTCGCTCATATGAGTAATAAAATGTGTAACATGATGGAAGGAACAATGCAATGAAATCTTGGAAGGATCTAAAAGATCGATGCGCCTAACAGGACACATCCAATTAGCCAGGCTGGCCACCAAACACACCATATCACAACTTGTGTCCACATGCCCCAGACATCCCAACCGAATGCCGCCTGGGTGAGTACAGTCTCCACAGAGACGCCGGTATACCAGCAGACACCCATCAAAACAGTGGGTGGGGAAAGAAGATTGAGTAACACAAGTCCCAAGCCTGCACATGCACGTCTTTTTGGTGCGGAAGGGCAATGCGAGCGGTTAACGAAACTGAGAGGGGCGCAGAGAAGGCCAATCATGAAAGAAAGGGAGAAGTTGAGTGTAGCTAGAGTCGACAGAGCTAATCCCAATAGGAGAAGTGCAAAGGACTTGATCAGTAAATACTGTTGTGGCACAAGGGCAGTGGTCAGACCCGAGCCATTGGCGAGAAGGGCAGCCAAGAGTAAGGGTAGAACGATGTCCACAGCGACGAAGGCATAAGTAGCCAGTGTGAAAAACTAGAAGCAAGGATCAGTAAAGTATTCTTGAGCTTTTTTCGGGTCTGCTAACCTGGTGTGGAAGAGTATTGAATAACCAAAGTGGAACCAGTCCAAGCAAATGAAGACCAGTGACAAGGGTAAGAGGCAAAGCTAGAAGGCGCTCTGCAACCGCAGGGCCAGTGGTCTCGGCTGGCTTCTTCTTCTCTTCAGACTCCCCAGCATCTGAGCTCTTCTCTGAACTCTTCTCCTTAGGCTTATCAGCCTCTGTGGTCTTGGTAGACAGGGCATCTGCATGATAACCAGTTCGCATCCACAGAGCAATCGCCATGATGGTAAAGTTGCCAGCGATGAGCATAGCACTGGGGAGATAAGTTCCAATGCTAACAAACCGATTAGACTGCATAAGCAAGTAGAAGAAGAAGCTCTGGTGGAGATGCTCGAGGAGATTGTTCAAGCTACGACAAAGACTTTCGATGGTCCGTCCCAATGCCATCTCATCTTCCCATCCTTCACCGGTAGGTTGTAGAGTGATCGCATCGATATGATATGGCATGAAGCTACTGTGGGCTCCAGTGGCATATCCCAGACCCTGTTTGGCCATGCCGCGCAAGATTGTCTGCAGACGCGCCTCGTAGCTGTCGTCATGCTCCCACATCTCCTGCAAATTGGATCCGAATCCCATTTGGCCGCCTGCAATGGCCACCGCAGTGTTGAACAAGTCCAAGTTCGGCAATTGACCATTGACACCATCGTAAACAATGTGCAAGCTCTTAAATCGATGCTCAAATGGATATTCAATTACCAGGGCGCCTTGTAATGCGCCACTCTTCAGTGCCAGAGGCTGTACAGATGCAGGGTGGAGATCATGGTAGGCGTCAATCCAGGCCTGAGTGCCGGATTTACTATCGGGAGTAAAGAGGAATATAATATCTTTGGACCAAAGTGACCAGCCTGTAACCGAGTCAACCTCATGCAACAAGATGTTTAGGTTGAGCATAATGCGCTGCAGGACTTACGTTTGAAGTATCTGGCCAACGTCAAGGCCAGAGTGACACCATTCAAGTTCAACTCGTCATTCGCTGTTCTCCACGAAGCCACCAACACAATTGCCTCGGTCGCATCACCTCGTGGTGCATGGATAATTCCATAGGTGTTTTCGCCGTGGTGGGTGATACCAGCTGATGTGTACTCGTACTTCTGGGTCGCAACTTTGAGTCCAGCAGCCTCCAGAATAGAGCCAATCTTCGTAGAAATGCTTTTTACACTGTCAGCCCTCTTAATCGTCAAGTATTCCCATTCCTCTGTTTCCATGTTCCACGTACGCTGGAGTTAATTCCGCTTGGTCGCGCGCCTCGACACCGTTCTGTCCTTCATTCAAGAGTCCTTCGAATTCTTGCTTGTATCCTCGGAAGATATGCTGCTCACTTCCGCTGAAATAGGCATGAACCTGGCCTGGAAGGAGTGCGTTCTCGGAGATGTAGGTGTGACGAGAGTATTCATTCAAGGGGAGGAGTAGGAGCCAGACCACTCCCACAACGATACATAGAAGCGACAGGAGGTTCGGGAGACGGATGAAGAGGATTTGAGGGTTATTCCGCAGATTGCGGATCGCAGCTATAACAAATAGTCAGTATCGCAATCAATCATTCCACTCTATGATGATGTCGGGGAAGAGCAGAGTGGGGATGTTGTTCTGAGGAACTCACATTTCAGCGCCATTGAGCCCAGATCATCGAGATGAACCACTTAATATTCCCATTCCGCAACAAATATAGTTCACCGGAGAGACCAAGAGAACAAAGTTGCAGGAAGTGGGTGATTTACCTGATGCTTAAGGTCGGAGCTCCAGCTGTTGTTTACGGGGAATTTACGCCCGGCGGTACCGACCATCCACGCACAATGTTATACACTTCATGAAATTCGCTATGCTATATGGTGATGATGAGATGATTCACAGATATTTTGACCCCTTGATCCTCGGAATTACCCACCATGCGTAAGCCCAATCGTAATTATAAGTAGAAAAGAAATAGCAACACGACGAAGAAAAAAAAATTAATCAGGAAACACTATGGGAAGGGGAGGGGACAGAGGCAGGTTGATACATGGACATTATGCGAGCCCAGGCTTATTCGGAGCCCAAGCGCTGGGTCGAGCCCAAGTAGCTCATGGGGGGTTTGGTTTCCGTTAGATGGGTTGGTAGATGGGAGGACACCATACCGACCATACGTCTTTTGGTCCACAGAGACATAATGAGGCAGGCGGCCCAAGAGGTTGAGCTTGCCCTCGATCCAGCGCAGGACCTTCTCTGGGGGAACAAGGAACTTGAGATAGCCAAGGCCAACTAAGGAAATGTTAGTTATTGCTCTGATACTTCCGACAAAATGATGGAGAACTTACAAATATAGCCGACAAGAATCGCGCACATATGACCCAGGAAGCTCACGTTGGACACAAGGATAGACAGCACGACACATGCAAACAGAGGTGAAGTCCAGGTAGGGATCTTATACGGGCCAACGCTAGCAAGAAAGCATTATTAGCAATGCCACCAAAAGATGGGAAGAGTAATTTGACACACCTGAAGTAGGGATTGGTCTTGAAGGTCCGAATAGCCTCCGAGCCCAGAAGTAAAAAGACCCAGACACTACATCATAGTTAGAATACATATATACTCACTGAATGATGGGATCATTCTTACCTCGCGCCTACCACTGGGGTATTACTATGCAAGATCACTTTCTCGATTAGGAGATAAAGACCAGCTGGGAAAGTTGAGAGGGCTAAAACAAGCATCAGTTGAAAGTCCATCAGAATAGAAGTATACCCAAGTATCATACGTCCAATAAACAAGGCAATTGAGGTGAGAGTGCCATGTTCAGCCTCAAATCTCTCCAGAAGCGGTGTCAGAGCCATCGCATTCAGTAGCGCGTGGAAGAATCCCGTATGGATAAGGGGAAAGGTGTTCAATCGGTACACTTATAATTCCAGATTAGTCGGACGCCTTTAGTTGAAAACTCAGGTTCTCCAAGCCGGTGAAGCCTGGTCCCTCTTGGGTCAAACATACTGGTTCCCAGATTACACTCATCGGGGGTCAATGAGCCCCATTGCACCACATTCCACATAGCCTGCAGTTCAAGCAACCAGAATGCCAGGATCACTAGCAGTACCAATCGTGTGAATAACGGCAGGCGCAACAAGTACGATCGTACCTGTCTAGGATTGAAAGGAAGTGGTGGTAAAGCGGCCGGAGTTGCCATTTTGCTGAAACAATCCCCGCGTTGGGCTCACACAAGGTAACAGGCCTAGTTTTGATCTTAATAACCCGGAATTTTGTGGTTTTCTTTCAGAATTCTCTTCGGCGATCCAGATGTGTTAATCACGTCGACGCTGGAATTCAAGTAAAGAATTGGGTCGCGAGGGGAGCGGACAGGCTGGCAGTTCCGAAAAGCGTCTCTGAAGACTTGCGATCGCGATGAACGAGGACGAGGCTCAAAGGGAATCAAAGTATAATAATGCACAAGACCTATGTAACAATCCGGAATGATTAATAACTGTAGTCGCCTTGGGCATTGGGTTATCGGATCCAACTCATGAACAGGGATCACTTACGAGGCACAAGGTGCACGCGATCCACTCTGTTGCCTTCCTATACACGCGATGTGGGGTTTCTGAAGAGAGAGATGCCACACAGCGATGAGATTGAAACCCAAGTATAGGAGTTTCAATATTCAAAGCTCTGAAGTGGGAGACTGAGGCGCAAAAAAGGTGGTTCAGGTGGATTACTCGATCAAATGTTCGTCACGTCGGGAAAGGCGCACCCGATCTCCGCTAATCCCCGTTGGGCAAAAGGACCAGTGGAAATACTGTAGATGAAGATTTCTAGTACAATGGTTCATAATACTCAATAAAAGTTTGAAAGCATTTCTGATTCAAAGGATTCGAAACAAACTTTAGTCTGGTGTCTTGGAATATTCCCTACACTATCCCCATGCATATTCTGTCCACATAAGCCGACAGGGGTACAAAGGATTCATCGAAGATCATACACGTGTGCATATAGGACTAGTAAAAAAAGCACATAATACGCTGTACGCAATAAGGATTCTTGCTGGATTTCAATTTTCCATCGATTTGATGCCGATGGTGAACAGGGTTTGTTTCTTTTCTAAATTCCCTGTACCCAACCTGGAAGTTATATGGCTACATCGGCTGTCTTATACCTGGGGACTACAATACAGTTACTTCCAGCTTGAATCTTGAACTTAACGTATAAGTGGCATGGACCTGATGTAAACCTTGGAAGGCTTCAGCAGAGATGAAAGAATCAGATCATGTATGACATTGTATCATTATTTTCCTCAACTAATCCAGAAGACCTGCATTTCTATTATCCCTTTACAGGTGGTAGTTGAACCAAGCAATAGCCTGGCAGAAGGCCTGCTCCTTAGCCCACTTCTGCTTGGGGTCACTCAGGTCAGCACGAACAGCAAAGCCGTGCTTGACACCGCTGAACAGATTGATTTGCCAAGCCTGGCCAGTCTTAGCCAGGGTGATCTCAGACTCGTGACGGAGCTGGACGGAGAAAGCCTGGTCGATTTCTGCGGAATTTTGTGAGTCTAAGTACTTCTTTCAATTGGGACTATATTGAATGGAAGCTTACCAGCAGCAGAGATAGAGAGAGGACCCTCAATGGCGGCAAGGTCTTCGTGAGTGGTACCAGTGGGGTGAGCGTGGTAGCCGACGTTGATTTGACCATCCTTCAGGAAACGGGTGACGTACTAGAAAAAAAACAAGATATTGTTAGAATAAATGCGCTGCAAAGTAATGTGGTGTTGACAATGTATAGTTGAAAGGTTGTGTGACATACGCGGGCACCAAAGCAGTAACCAACAGCAGCGATCTTCTTCACACCGAGAGTCTCGCGCATGTACTTGATGGTCTGGGCGACAATGGGGTCGACGTTAGGGGGGCTGGTAGTCCTTAAGCCACTCCATAATGTTGACCTTGCCGCTCTCCATGTCATCGGTGGTGAGTTGACCGCCACGGAACAAGTCAGGGAGAACGGTCAAGTAGCCATTGTTGGCAAACTCGTCGACGAGGAGCTTGTTGTTGTTGAAGAGACCGAAGATATCGGACAGGAAGAGAACGGCGGTGTCAGCCTTCTGGTTACCCTTGGGGGTACCAATGTAGGTGTTCACTATTCGAGGGGAAATTGTTAGCTTCTCTGAGCTCCAGAACCACTAGCTTTATCTGCAGTGCTATTTCACTCGAACTAACCTCCATCAATGGTCTTGAGCTCGCCGACAGGGGTGCCCTCATGCTTGAAGCCAGTGGCACAGCAGGAAGAAGGAGGGTTGGAGGCCATTATGTTTAGTTTGGGAGAAAAAGTTGATTAATTGATGGTGGGCTAGTAGTATTGCAATCATACAGGGGAGCAACGCTCCTATTTAAACTCGAATAACCGTGGAACCCTGAGAATGACAAGTAGGGATCCTCGCTTCCAATCACAGACAGGAATTTCATGCTAAGAAGCCCAATGTCGTTTTACTTTACCCCTCTATGGACTCTATGGAGTTCTCTTGAATAAGATGCCCCACTTGACGCGGATTGTCCCTCTTTGTCGGCAGTTTCTATTACGCTTCTCCGTATCGCTGTAGAATGCAGTGCTTGTCAAAGATCAATTGATAACAAGTTCAAGTACACCCCGGGATTAAAGTGAGATAAAACCACCGGATGTTACACCTAAGCACTTAATAAATTCTGCATGCTCTGACTGAACATGTCAACTGGTTAGAAAACTTCCCGTCAAGTCGGTTCTCGGCACCGTCATCTCGGCGTTAAGAATTAAAAGCTTGACTTATCTCCCCGTCGGCTAAACGGGAATACTCAAATTTTGATTCAATTGATGTAAAATGTGGAGCTTATTAGAATATGACCAGTGATGGTCAGGCTATATGGTAATTTGCGCCACAGATGGTGTAAGAGAGTAGAAAATAAGAAACCGTTTCATTGGCATGACGACTGGATAATTCAGTTGCTGATTAAAATGATTGCCACCTCATTAAAACATGATTCATAATATCGAATGTCACATAGTGTAAACGTAAAACAGGAAAGGGGAATATTGCAAGGTATCACAAATGAGCCGAACATTGTCCTTGCTAGTGATATGAATCATTAGTAAAGACAAGACCCCAGTCAAAACAATAGAATCAAAGGTTTAATGGGTATCAAAACTAAAGAGTAAGACCTACATGACTTCAACTCTTCATGGAAAGTGGAAGGTAGGCTGTGAGCGCTGTTCACGCTTTACAGCCCACGCCTTCAGCGTGACCATCAACACTTCGAGGGACATGATGAAAGCTGTAAATCCCATGCCCACCGTGAATGTAAACATGGCATCAAGCTCGTAAAATTCCATTAATTCGATAACATTACGAGTCTAAAAGAAATCAAGTTAGCCTCAGTGTTTTCCCAATACTCACTGACTGAACACTTACACTCAGCATGAAGATGAGTCCACCTGCCATCAGGCAAAATGCGGCAATGATCTCTGTCGGGGGACGTGCCGGCAGATATGAAGTTGGTGGACGCAAAAACAACAAAACGTATGTCAGCCCACGGGCTAAGGCAAAGCCCACCAGCATGTTCCCCCACTGCTTGTGTACCATAGTCGAGGTCATGCTAGTCTGGTGGTGAGATCCCATCATCATACCAAGCAGCAGGATAATGAGAGCAGGCATGGGATTCAAAGATACACTCTGAGACTTGGGAAGCTGCCATCCCTCGTCACGAGTACCGTGGGCAGGAGATCGAAGGACAGTGTTGTTGAGCACCTCCCGAATGCGTGTAGATTCAAAGAGCATGCCCACCTGAGTAAACAAACAAGCCTGGTTAGTCCAAAAGTATATTAAGAGCTTTGTTAAGGTATTAAACTTACCAAACCACCTCCGAAAAACATAATAGAGATTGAAACATGCTCGAGATCTGTGGCGGACCACGCTTTACCCCAACTAGAAAGGTGCTCCAAGAACACATTGGATACACCATAGATGAAGATGACCAAACACTCCACAAATTCTCCGGAGGGCACCTTGGCCTTCCAGCTGGTCACAATTGGAGTCATAGGCTTTTTATTCCAGGCCCAGCCCAGGTCTGCCCAGCAACCCAGATACCGTCCCAGTGTGAGAATTCCATACCAGAAAAAAAATTCCACCTTTGATGAAATGCGCCAGACCATTGAAGATCTCATGACCTCTCATAATACCGCCGTAAGCTACTGCACCTGTTGTAATTGCGACAAATCCAAACGGGAGGATGATTCGGTCAATCACATTGTAAATGGTATTGAAGACCCGGAGTACCCGACTGGAGACCATTCCAGGAACACGATTCGAGAGAAATTTGCCCACGATGCTGTTGTGGAACCAGCCTCGTGCAGGAGGCTGAGCAGGCAAAGGCTCCTCGGGTTTCTCAAATCCGTCATAGTCTTCTGGAGAGTCGCATGGTGATCCAGGGCTATGAATTGAAGATCCGGGCTCAGTCCCTTGTCCACTATCCCGGGACCAGCGATATTCATGCATGGGGGCAGATGGGAAGGTATGCAGGTGCTCATCTGTAGAGACAGGCAAGAAAGCCGCGCGCTCATAAAACTCCGATTTCGCCTTGGAGCTCCCTCGGCCAGCGTAGGTGAAAATCAAGCTCAGGACGACTTGCGCAGTAATCACCCAGGTTATTATCCAGCCAATCTTGTGGTGCGCATTGTTATCGTAAAGATCGGGAGTCTGGTTATTATAGATTATCCCCAGAAGCAAACCGAAGGCATTAAGGATCAGGAAGAGGAACTGGGAAGGAAGGGCCAGTCGGGAGCGCGCAATACTAAGCATAGTCGCTGTTGCAAGTGAAATATTAGTGGGGAGTTCATATCCGCAAGCTCTCAGTTGAATGTCGCGTACCTGCAGGAAGGACAAAACACCAAGCTATCACCATCAGAGCAATATGCCCTATGATGGAACTGGAATGTTTTCCATATGCGAAATAGCTCAAAGGGTTATCTGCCTGGGCTGTCGGAGCTGCAGTAGCTTGCACTGTCTGGACAGGTGCATGGGAATCCATGCCCATGTCCATATTCATGTCCATCATGGTCTCATCTTCGCCATGCGCATGTACTGTCGCAAGAGATGCGACCAGTAGCACTGCGCTAGCTATTTGTGCAACCCTGAGCCCCATCGGACCAATAGACCTAAAGAAGAAGCTCCGTGGTGCAGTTGGCTAACTGAGAATGCGCTTTTGATTACGGTAGGAATAAAGCGGAAAAGAAGTTGAGCTTCTATCGTATCTGCAACAACCAAAGCTCCGTGTCCGCAAATCGTGACGTAACGACAATGCGAAAGCAGAAGGGAAGCTCCAACCTGACCTTTTTCTCTTCTTTTATTAATGAAAAGAAGAAAGAATAGAGAAGAATAGTAATTTCTTCACGCGTTGAAACTTGGAAGTAGCTTAGCTGACCACTCTGTACAACAGTCCAAGCTGAAAGGTCCAAGTAGTGAGTACCGGCAGATAGGGCTGAAAGGAAAGTATAGAGTGGGAGGGACCAGGCTATATAAAACAGCTCTCTTTGTCTTGGCAAGACAGGCTGTAAGGAATTAATAAGGTAATGAGAAGAAAAAAGAACCGGAAAATATACAATTATTAAAAAATGAGGGAAATAAAAAATAAAATAAATTTATTCCCAAAGGCTCGCTGGCGATGATTTCCAATGCTTCGGGAAGGGCGGGGATAAGGAACTGGCGCCGAGTGCGTGGTCGTAAGCCCTGCCGATACTTCCATGAGGTGATTCTAGTCCCTCGCCTGGGCTGACACATCATTATAGTTATTCATGACTACTATCTATATCAAGTTTTCAAATTCTCTACTTAAATATTATTATAATATCTATGGTATAATAACAGTTCAGAATATCTAAAGTGAAGTTCAAGTTCCTCTCACATGTAAGTGCTCTCAAGTTCACTCAGCTTCACCATACTATGGATCTGCATCTGCAATGCATTAAGAACTTTGCACAAAGCGCTGACTCAAAGAGAATAATTATTAATTGAAGAAATTTACCATGTCTTGGCATTATTGAACTATATAAAATAAACCAATCAAAAAATATACAAATTCAGGTTCCAAAGCCAAAACTCGGATCAGTCGGGAAGCTCATGAACCAGACAATCTGACATCTCCGAGTCCGTAGTGACCTCATTTCCCAGCCTTTTTCTCATAGTCCGCCAAGAACTTATACATGCAACTGATGGAGTGGAATAACTAGAGGGAAATAACTCCCTATTGAAATTTCACACTACCGAAGCTTGCAGGTTAGGCAGAGGTGTATTAGCTAGACTACATGGATATATGCACCTCATAGGCGCCCGGCCCCAAATGACGTAGTCGATCGCTGCCCCATTAGGATTCTAGATACCGTCTTCGGTGTTTTACATGTACACCGCTAGGACATGCCAGGCGTTGGCATGTAAAAAGTCCCATGTCAGGTTCAAGTTGCTGCCTGTAACAAGCACTTGAGATGTGAGTGAACGCATAGATCCCAAAAAATCAGCTTGGTCAGCCAAGGTCAATGCCAACAAGAATCTTCTCCAAAACTACCTAGGGATGACACCATCTTACATGACATTGACCCTGCCGATAATGGATCCAAAGCTAGCTTACATAGACAAAGGTACTCCGTACTTGCATACATTCTGGGTTGTAATACATCCACCTGGGCAGCATAGGGGGGGTGTAGTGTGGAATGTTGACCCACAAATCACATATTATGTACTAGTATAAGGCAGACCGCATGATTCAAAGTTTGACATTGCTGCTACAAGTCACCTGGGCATCGGACACGGCTTCACAAACTTCCTCGAGAATCCGTATCTCGGCCATTCGCTTCCAAGGTTATTTGGTTTCCGAACCGCATTGTTGGAATTGGCGGGGGCCTATATGACCATATCGCCCGACAAACTCCGATCGGGAACCTTGGAAAAACTTTTACATAGTATGACCATGCATGGGAACGAGGGCTCGACCTGCAAACTCCGAAGCTGGGGGGTTTAGTAAGAAAGGAGCCCCACCATGCACCTGGAGCATGGTCACCCTGGTATGATTCATCAAATGCAAGATGATGTTAACGCGTTAAATCTGATTATCCTTAGACCATCCCCGGAAATCAAACCGTCTTTCATCTCAAAACAGACAATGGCCCCTTGTCATTTGAATTTACACTAGCAGGTTCCATGTTAGAAATAGTACTAATGAATTGATAAGCAAAAATCCTCCTTATTACTCCGTAGTAGTGTATACCTCCGAGTTAAAACTTTCTCAACCGTTTTGGACATGCCCATCACAGTGCAAATTATTATGTACTATGGAAATCGATATTCTGATTTCAAAGCATCCAGATGTCAAATAGATGAACTGTTATGTTCAAATAAAGTACTACTATTAATAAACACCTGCGTCGAGTCGTGCTCATGCCAAACTTGGAAACCTTGGGTTAGTCTATACTCGACCTTGGGAGTACCAGGCAACAAGAAATGATGCTGACATGTAGTACTATTAATATCAACATTTGAAGTCAAATCAATACTATCATGATTGATGTAGCACTTGAGTGTAGCGCTCTCCAATTCAAGTTTCAATACTAGACCAGGCAGCAGTGATAAACTTGGAGTATGATGTCGAACACCCGTGGACACGTCACTCAGCTTGAACATCTGGATATTATGGAATCTAACTATGCATTTCGCAAAATAAAGTAGTGTAAAGCCAGCTGTATCCATAGCCTGAGGTATTCTCCTGCGCTAATTCTGTGTCTTGAATAACCTTGACAGATCTTGTAAGAACCACGTGAGAATTGCAGGGTTGATATCGTTCGTTCCATCGATGCTGTACAATTACAGGTATGTAGCAAACACAATCATGCGGCTCTGTTACACTGCAGAATTTACCTCATCCAATCATCTCAATAAACCCCACAGAACCTGAACGCCATGGCTTGCAAGGGCCGAAAAACATATACTGTAGTCGCAAGGGGTTGGATGTGAACTTCCAACAGATGATAGTATTGTAGATCCATCGACCGAGAGCAGCGAGACTCTCTGCAAAGTATTAGTGAAGAGCTATATGGTATTCGATCAAGGAGATTAAAGTTTCCCCGAGCCAAGACTCAAGTGACCTCCGTGCATTCGTCTCAAGTATCAGCAACTCTTTAAACAACTCGGAATGAAGTAGATATTGTTGAGAGGGAAATGTTCGCTTTGGGATCCATCATCTTCAGCCCTTGGAATTGACATGGTATTTATGTACTGGTGTCAGAAGAGCCATTTGCAATATTAGATGATTAAACGCTATTAGTACTAGCTGGAGTATATCTGAGCTTCAAGTTACCTCTAGCAGTTGAGATTTTAGTTAAGACTAATCCTGAGGTCATCATCCGTCTAAGCTCGGTTTAATCGATGTACGAACTATACTGATATCCATTACTACATGTACAACTTGAAGTTTCATAGCTTCATTGACACATTCAGCCTCACACTCACACGGATGCAGTCATTGTGTGTACTACTTGAGAGCTGCCTGTCATCAAGAAACAACCGCGGTATCCATTATACTAGTAACAACCGATCTCTAAAGCCGAGAGGCCCGTATGAGCCAATATTGCCAAACAAGGCCAGCCGTTCTTCCGAGGTGAGATTGTCCAGATCAATTCGATTCAAGTTTTCCTTGCCCCATCTATCGCCGGAAAGAACGGGGCTCAAGTTGAATATATCCGAGGGATCCACTCGTTTTCTTGGATATCGTGGATTCGTGGGTTCCTGAGATCAATCAAAGTGGATTATCGATGTATGTATTTCCCCGAAGATCGGTGATATTTGATCATGGAAAATTTTTCTATGTAGTTCACTCACTTTGGATATCAGGGTATTATAGTTGGAACTTCGCTTTTTCTAACCTCAAAGGGTCTGTGGATATTGCTGATACTAAGTGAAAGTCCAGAGCTTGAAGACTCCAGATGTCCAGATGTCGTACACCAGGAAGCCTATTCGTCCTGTATTTTCCGTCGTTCCTTGAAGTTCGGATCATAAGACCAAGAACAGGAAACTGCCAAGCCTTCTCATCTGACAACTGAAGAACATTGTCAAGTATCCGCGGTCTTCCGGCTTTTAGTCCAAGAGCGGATTTAGCAACGCACACGCACTTTGACCGCACGCACATCCCGGCGATCGGCAAGTAGACGACAGAGGATTTTCTTCTCATTTGGACTGATTTTTTCTCACGGAATACAAAGTCCGTGGTTTTGGATACATGTGATTGGCGGGTCCAAGGATCCCCAATCACTCTCCTGCATAAGCCTAATGAGTTGCCCGCTAGGTGCTCTCACTATTGCTCCGTAAGGAGTACAGGATCGTACGGTGTCACCATCAGCAATGCAAATCCTGCAAAACCCACAATAAACTCCATGATCTTTTAACTCAAAGCTAATACAGATTATTGTGAAGATAATCATGCAGATCCTATTGATATCGTGTTCCACAAATATTATATCCTACATGTACTCCATAAAAATGCGAGTGATGCACTCCGCACTCTATACTAGTAACATTTGAACTTGTACTCCATCCCGTTTATGGAGTACTTATGCCGCTTCACGCTAATGACCAGCCCCTCCTCAGATGATCAACAGATCGGCGTCATACGTCTTCACGAGGACAAGCCATCAATTCATTAGGTTAGTTCATCAAGCCTACGGAAGTTCGGGTGTTCGGCACTAGGTTATCCGTAAGCCGTGTAGACCTGGGTACGTAGTAGCCTGAGGAGGGCCCCCAGGTACCATTTCCGGCGTCCAATGGGCAGCAGACGTGCCTGTGCCTTCCCGTGCGATCGGCGATGACTATCGGGGATGGACACGGACTCGAACTCATATTTTAGTGTGCATAAAATATGCTTCTTAGCGATCGGTCAACTCTATCCCGGATACGGAGTACAGCTATTCCCGTATCCGTGCCCATAGTCCCACACAGACCACCTGGCCAGACGTTTCGGAATCTTCGCACTCGAGGGATAGAACAATACATTCCGCAAGAGGCTCGTGGATGGTTAAAATTCACGTACTGATGGCTCAAGTGCTGCTCATTGAAGGTATATTCAACTTGAGAGAGGTAGTAGGGCAGGTCCTGAACACGGTCCTGACTACAACTCTACCCAATATCACCGCGCACCCGCAGCGCAACAGATTTTGAAGTATTCAGTTTACAAACAGTCCCTGAACACCCCTGTTCAAAACTTGAAGCAAATTTCATCTTCCCATGGATGAATGAGCTGTTCGGGGCTAATACATAGTTTCGAAGACTTAAGCTCCATATAAATTGATGAGGCACTCTGAGATCGCCTTCCCAATACGGCATTGGATATGATCTGGCTACTGACCTCGGGACTGCATATGACAGAGCTAGTAAACATTGAAGATCCAGGTGTCTGAGAGAATGGCTTATCAGTGTGTCAGTGACATCAGAGTGCTTTTTATGCGGGGAATCCATGTGGCGGTACTGCCTACATAAAAACATTTGAAGTAGCCCGGGCCTTGCAGGGTTCAAGGATCAATATGTAAAGCGGGGTGCAAGAACTTGCTGAATCCAGCCGGCATCCATCCCATAATTACTAGTAGGATGTGCAACAATCAAGTTTGAATGAATATAAAGTCAACCATATAAATCCATGGCTCATAAGTCCCCTCTAGCATAATTCTCCGCACAACTTGATTCATTCAATATGCACTCCAGGCTGGTATGGCTGATGACCTCCAGAGCTTGGAGTGCCTAGAAGGGTGGGGCCGCACCTCTAGGGCAGTGGGGCCGAGATCTATTCCAGATGTCCACTTCGAATGACACTGCCTAGATGGCACCTATGTCTTCTTCAAATGTTTCTTTTAATCTAGTGGCTCAAGTAACACTGGCACTTGAGTAAACAGATGTGCATACGTGTAAGAACCTTGGAACGACTAGGTAGTATTGCGGTTTTGATCGGTTCGTGTATTCAAGTTTTATACAGTCCGAATACATGATTCCGAGTCAACTGGTCTCTCGTAACTTCAAAATATTCGCTTGAGCTGAAATTCCTGCCCATGAACAACATATCTGAAGACCTGCTATCTTGCACTGGCGAGACGTCAATCATACTATCATACCAATGGCCAGACAGCTGGCGAGGACTCCAAATTTCATGAATCTCATCGTACACAGCCACCCGGGCTCATCAATGTGCATAGCATACTGATCGAATAGTATAGGTATGCATATGAGACTTCAACTGACATATGGCCTGGGCATCGGAAAATTCAATTTTTGCTCGGAACTTTTTCTCATTTTGTGCGTATTCATGTTTCACCATTGCTCCAGATGTCACCTATGCAACGAGTCCTTTCCAGTGTCATGAACTTGAACCAATTAATAGGGGAAAGGGACTTGAATGAGGCCAAACCGGAATGGATTATAGTACGTACGGACTACCCATCTGATACTTGATGATTCCAGCCTGGATCCATAAAGGCACAACTTGTGCGTATACATAGACTTCATCTCATATTCTTCATTAAGTTGACGTATTGTTCTGATTTTTAACCTCCAAGCTTACGCGCAAAACTACAAGATACTAAGTTACCTTGAAGTCATTTACCAACACTCTGAAGCCATGATTATGAAATCAAATCATCTGAATAGAGTTGTATGGTACTGGGGAGGGGCGGAAGTGGCATGAGGAGGGCGTGCTCTATTCATCTGAACATACGGCACAGCCTTCAAGTTCTGACTACCGCGCTCATTGCCTGATACTATATCGATAGGAAGGTTCAGATGTGCGTCTTAGAATAGAAGGAGCGCTCTTTCGAGGGAGCCAACCAAATTAAAATATGGTCGAATAACTCTTTATATTCTTGGGCGAAACGCTCGGCCTAGTGGGGCAGCGCTAAGCATCCTGGACCCTGGTGGCTTCAGCATGAAGTGGGTCATGTCTATCGTAATTTGGTCAAATCAACCATTCTCCCGTCCGGTTTCTCACTCTCGATGGTCAGAATTTTGGTGGCGTCTGCCCATGCAGGTACTTTTGATACACTATCATAACTCAAGTAGGTGGAAGGAATAAATCATCTCGCACTTTACCGCCCAGTGCTTGCTGGCTCGGTTTTTTTCTACCTCTTTTCTTAATGGTTTCAGTCTTATCACAAACCATGGCCTTGAAGAGAGGTAATACTGACTATCGGTCGCAAAATCCAACTATGCTATGCTACAGACCGTTTTTCTTCCGGTCTTATAATATTTCCACTTGATCATGTGCAAGTGAGGCTGAAGCTAAGCATTTATGAAGGATTACCATCTAACGAACCCTTGAACCTCGGACGAGCCTATGGCGTTCTAATCACAACTGCCAATGGCCCGTGCACCAAGCGCATTTTTTGCGCCGATCAACAAGGTACCTCAGCGATGGGGTTGGGGGCCCGTTTTGCCCTTGATGAGATTTTCTTCTCTCTCCATTTCGCCCTCTTCTCTCGAATCCCTTTCTGCTTCTTGAACCCCACAAACCTTCAATCATGACAACTACGATATCAGGCACGACGGCGGCCCCGCTTCCTCTAACAACAACTTTCACCCCACCAGGCGCATGTCTCTCCGACCTGTGGGCTGCTCATAGCTCAGGCTCAGTCTGGATGAACCTTGGCCCTATAAATACTACAGAATGTTTACCCTCGGGATGGTCCCCATCGAGTGCCTTCTCTCCAGGAATATGTCCAAGTGGCTGATGGCCGCTAGCTCAACGGGTGACTCTGAAGATTCTGTCACTGTTGGAACCTGTTGCCCGGAATATTTGTGAGTATAGTATCTCTATTTTCGAATTGGTGTTTACGTTGTGCAATTCCAAGGTTGAGAAGGCAGATTGCTGAGCTAACTTGATATATAGACCTAGCTCAACTGAATGAGTGTTCTCTACGCGGCCAACGGGAACCTCAAAATATCCATGGTACAGCACGGAGCTCTGCCAATGGGTCCCAACCACAACTATATTTTACGGGTACACTTTGACTGATGGAGACACCACTAAATCGACGCCGGGTAGTATGAAACCCGGTGGTCTTTGGAATGCATATGGTATTGTTGTGGAGTGGCAATCAAGTGATAGTCTTTATCCTGTCACTGCCACTGCCACTGCCACCGCAACCACAACTGCAGCCACATCCACATCCACAGCCTCCTCAGCGCCAACATCCACATCCACATCAAATGACTCTACCGGTAGCTCATCAGGCTTGTCTACTGGAGCAAAGGCTGGTATTGGAATTGGGGCCGCAGCCGGTGGTATATTGGTTCTGGTTGCGCTTGCATTTCTCTTTCTTCGTCGACGAAAGCAGTCCAACTCCTCATCAAATTTCAATGGAAACGAAAAAGGCTCAAATGTGGAATTGCCGGCCGACCAGCCCATTCAATACGAGCTGAATTCAAGCCCAATTCATGAAGTTGGATCGCCTCTCAAGTCTGTCCATCCATTATATCAGGAGCCTGTCGAGTTGGAAGGAAGGTAGCATTGAGGACTATGGGCCTGCAAGATCTTATGCCTAAGATTCCTATATTGCGACATGTACATATTCAGCAATATGATGGAATTTCTCAACCTGGATAGGAGAATCTTGTTGTTGATTGCGAATCACGAACATTAATATGAACGTATGTGCGAAATTCTTCTTCTTAATTGTTAGTCTCTTAATTATTAGTCCAGGATTCCTGCGATTGAAAAATTCTACAGCAATCCAAATTTGCACCTTGGCATTTGATATTATCTATTAGATCTTGATAACGGTGCGTATAGTGAGTAGAACAGTTGTTCTAAGTCTGGTCAGCATCTTCGACGGTCTATCCAAAAGAACACAGTAGATAAGCTGATATCGATAAGGGCTCAAATAAGTGCCGGAGAGTAAGAAAACTTTTAGTGTCTCGAAAGGAAAGAAGCAGTTCATGGTAGAAGGACCTTGGAGGTTGAACATTCGAACTAGATTCTAGTACCTTTCTGCCTCAGGCATTAACAAATTACGTGACCGGTCGATTTGGCGCGTAGTCACATGATAAATACCCGAAATAGACTAGTGGGCTAATCAAGCGAGTTGGCCCGTGCACTTCCCCATTGGGGCGGCACACAACGATTTTCGACCCTAAACCTTCGACTTTCCTCCAACAGCGCCAACGACCTTCGTCAACAACCCACCCGTCAACTCCCCCCTACGACATCTCAAGATGACTCACGAGTCCGTTTGGTACAGCCGCCCCCGCAAGTAAGTCGACCGAAACCCCTGGACCAGGTATGAAAGGCAGTAATTAATTGATTTCTCTAGGTACGGCAAGGGTTCCCGTGAATGGTGTGTTCGCCCCAAAGATTACTCCCCTCGATAAGAAACGATCCCCAAGAGAAAATAAGGAAACGACAGAACGACAAGGGAGAGAATTGGTCGACAAAAGAAACAATCGGGATTCGAAAATTGGAGGAACAGTTTCGCTAATCATACTTCGCTCGATCACAGCCGTGTCTGCGCCCACCGCGCTGGTCTGATCCGCAAGTACGGCGTATGTGGAATCCCTCTTGTTGAATGATGCTTCGGCGCATCATTCAATACCCCGGATATGAGTCAAGAGTCACTTGTGGCTAATACGGATCTTTTTTTACAGATGAACATCTGCCGTCAGTGCTTCCGTGAGAAGTCCACCGACATCGGTTTCAACAAGGTTCGTGAACTCTTCAGCCTCCACGATTCGACACCTACGATACCTCCCTAGCGCTCGTGGGAATTTATGATACAGAATTTCGAAAAAACTAACATTCGGTTCCTTTCGCCATACAGTACCGCTAAGTTACCAAAACTATGTCTGCTGGAAAACGCCCTTCCTCGATCCATTCGCGTCCATGATCCGTTTTACGTGCCCCGGCGCTCGGGCACCACCGTGTCCAAGGGAAGGGATTGTTTCGAAGTGTCGGGAAATGTAATGCGCCCACGTTCCGTTCTTTCGCATGACGGCTCCCAAAAAAGTGGTTGTTGATTCATTATGGAGGAGACATCTCTGTTCGGTGTCTCACGTGGCATCGATGGACGAGGTTGGGACTGGGGTTGTTGTGTGAAGGAGTTTTTGAAAACGAGGATGTCATGTTGAACCCTCATCCTTTTTTTTCTTTATCCAATATCAATGACGGGTTTTCTTTAATGCGTTTCTCCTGGTTCTTTTTTCCCCTCCATTTCGCCTGGGATTTTGCGTATTGGCTTCAACAAAATGATCTGGCTCGATTGGGGGACATCATATGCAATTGCTGTGCTATCTGATCTCTACGTTTTTCTCGGCCTCTTGAAACCGGTAGGTTCTGTCTCCCCAGGGTGAGCATTTTGAACGTAGATTTTGTCTTGTAGTTCCTACATGCCAGGCGGAGTCTGGCAATCCCGCAATCTGGCCCGCTATAGATCCAATTCTGCTTAAAGGTTGAAAATGGTGGTCCATTCAAAAACTTCCAAGGTTCCAAAAACGGGTATTTTACTCTTCGTCATCATGCTTTGCATGTACATAAGGGAAATCGATGCTCCCGGCAGCCACATCAGTCTCTCGAATCTCAAAGCCGGGTACTCCATTCATCGACTAGTCCCCTTTAGATCTTCTCGGTACCGATGGATCGGATACCATAAAACAAGAGGTAGGCATCCTGACGCAGAACCTCGGCGATACTAGCCACAGTAACCTTGTTGTCGTCCATCAATACCCACTGGGAATGAAGTGATCAGTAAAATCGAACTTGTCAAATTAATTGAGAAGGCATGCACTTACCTTGTCACCAGCCAAGCGGGTGTACGCGTAATAGTGACCAGAGTCCATGGAGCCCTGGTGAACGATAACGGTGGACAGGTCATAGATATACTTGGAAGTATCGACACGCTCTTTATCCTTCTTAACAGTAGTGTAGGGCAGCATATTGAGGGTCACGGGGAAATCAATGTGGCCATGCATCTTCTCCGAGGAAGACGAGTTGTGCTCATAACGCTGACATGAGATATTAGAATTGAAGAAATTATAAGACAGAAGTAAGAACATACCTTGAGCTGCATGCAAAGGATGACCGGAAGCTTGCGGATTTGCAGCCGCTTAGAAGCCCGCTGAGGGGTGTTGCCGCATTTCTCACAGTGGTAAGAAGCATCGGGGGAGAGGTCCTCAACTGCGGTAAAGCTATCCAAGCAACCAGTCAGAGTAGCGGTGTTTGAGCTCAAACGAGGTCCCAGCTTTCGCTTCTTGCTTTGAAGCTGCACATCGAGACTCAGATCGGCCATGGGATCGCAAGTGTGGGTGGTCTTGCCGCATTTGTGGCACATGACGCTGCTGCGGAGTTCTCCATAGAAGGTTCGGTGGAAGAAGCAGTTGCATTTGGTATCATAGCTTTCGGTGTGGCCGGGGGTGGAGGCATGAAGTGCGTTGACCAGGAACTGGAAGTACTCGTGGGCATCCTGCTGACGGTATCCGGCCATGTCCTATCGTCCAAAGAGGTTAGCAAATGAGTCTCGTCTAATTTCGATCTATGCAAATGCATTTGTGTCTGACGTACTCGTGATGCGTCCCAACCATGATACAGAAGAGTAGCAGCTGACACAGCCTCGGTCTTCTCGCCACTATTGAAATCCATGAAAACTTCAGCAGTAGCACAGGCCACACAGAAGCTTTTCTCGCAGGTGTGGATGTCATGGCCTCCTGCAAGAAAGTAGGCAGTGAGAGTGGGGTCGTGAAGCAAGGCCTGGAGAATAACAGATTGATAGCAGGTTTGGCCCATGTTCCAGACACCACGAGCACCTCGGCGGGAGCAAAGATTCTTGTTTGCGTTAAGCTTTACATACGCATCTGCGGCTGGATCAGACACCCATGCAGTTTTAGTGTCTACGTGTTGATTAGCCATGAATCCACGTGTATTTGCGTAATTCGTACTCACAATCAACTTTGGCCTGAGGTCCACAAAATCTCTCAAGACCATGATCATAGACAAAGTCCACACATTCCTCACAAAAGAGAAAGCGATTGCGTGATTCTATGTCTGTTCAAGCATTAGAATCAGGGTATTTGGCCCAAGCAACCTGAAGCACTTACAGAAGCCATGTCCCGTCTTCTTGGTGTGTGCCTTTCTTTTGGTATTCAGACAAACCTCGGAACAGGAGAGACAATGATATTTGGGCTTCAGAGATGATACAGTGCGCAAGCCCGTGGCCTGCACAGCAACCGGCTCAGGCTTGGTGTACGGAGCCAGGGCCTCGTATTGCTTGCGAAAGCCAGTTTTGAACACAGTTGCAGTTTGAGTATCTTTCAAGATCGGAGCCAAATGTTCTGATCCATATTTTAGTCCATCAAGCTCAAGTTCTGCGATTGTCATGCAGACAATCGCCATTCAGACATTGTTGGTACATACCACAGCCATATGCGGCCTCAGAAAGGATATGAACACAATCAAGACTAGCCATTTTGACTGATCAACTTGAAAGTTCGAACTGTAATGATAGAGATTAGGACAGAGAGATTGGACGCAAGAAGGATGATGCAGGGCAAAGACACAGTAGGTTCCGGCCTTCTGTGTCTCAGCAAGATGTGGAAGCAGAGAAAGAAACAGGAATTAAAAGGATAGAAGCACTACTGTGCAGAAACAAGAATGATGGAAGAGAAATGGTGAAGGAATTCAAAAGTTGAATGTTCCAAGAAAAGCGCTGGTCAGATCAAAACTCCTTTGACGTGGGATGGTGAATGGACCTGATTTTGCCTATTAAGGACAACCCCTGAGTGAAGCCAGCATTTCACTACAAACAACTTCAGGTCAGTGAATATAAGTGACAGTGAATGAATCATACTTGTAACTTACATAAAAAGGGGAAGATATATTAGAGCGGGATAGAGTGAATGTGTATAAGGCGGCTCTTGATGCGCGTACAATCGAGGGTTGCCGCGGCAGCTCGCTTCACTCCTTCACTCCCGTAACCATACCCCGCAGGGAAGACCAATTAGTCCCAATGACCAAGAGCGATCCTTGAATATAAACCCAACTCAAGGAAGGACTTAGAAAATGAACCAAGTAATTCCCTCCAAAAGAGATACAACCACGAGGATCAAAGGGTTGTTCGGGATGAAGTTGCTGTCGTTTTTTCTGCTGCGCAAAAGAGTGACCGCCCCGGAGATCTTCCGCCTTGATGTACTATTATAGTAATTTACTTCAGGACTATATGTGATAAGTGTTATTAGAATGGGTTTTATTTCATGACTTCATCATCATTACAGGGATATCATAAAGTATGTGCCTAAAGAAACATTCTTCGATCCAAGTCGAGTCCCCGAGTCTCCGAGTCTCCGCCGGCCCACTCTAGACTCTAGAGCATCTAAAACGTCATCCGTGATCGAGTCGATTCTTAGATCTGGGTTGACTCATTCTCAACACTGGCCGATCCCATCGTTGTCTAGATATGCATATCACAAGAGGTGGGAATTTATCGAGTTCCACGCCCTCGAGGAAGACCACTGGCTCGGCCACGGGTGCTAGACCCTCGTGTGGCATATCGGCTGGTCGCCGCACCTCGTGTAGTGCCGCGTGTAGTACCACCACGAGTAGTTCCCCGGGTGGAATATTTCGGGGTGGGTTTCGACGAGGCCGTACTAGGTGGGTGGTCGACGAAGGAGGTGTCCGTAGTCCTAACAGTATGAGGTTAATAAAATGGTACAACCATACAACCAACATGAGCAAGAAGGTGACCATGTATAGAAAGAAGCGTCAATACTTACAAGAAGGTCATTTCCCCATCATAAGCTGGTCGTTCTGGTTCATTCTCTTCTTCTATGTCCAGTGTTAAATCAACATATCGCTTGTCCAGAGGGCTCTATCGAAATACCTTTTTGAGCTTCCGCCTGCTTCGCTCTCCGGAATGAGTCTGCAATTGGGGCCTGAACATCATATCAGTACATCAAGAACTATATGAATCTCCTCCGTCTGCCATTCCTGGTCAAGCCATACCTCCGGGAAATCCACGCAGAACGCGTTCATGTTCAGACCGTATAGGAAGCTTGCAAAGCTCTCGCTGAACCGGGTCAGACTCTCATGCATTAATTGAAGATGCATGAAATTGGCCTCGAGATCTGCCATGGAGTCTGCCAACTCGGCGAATTGCGGCTCCAGCGCATTGATGGCGGGTTGTGTGTATCCAGCATTGCTGATGCTATTGCCATAGCCATGAGCTTCTCGTAGGGACGAGCGGGAGCTTGGACGCAGAGGCGTTGTCGGTCGGGAGGAAGGTCTTGGGCGGGACGATGATCGCGGTACTGAGCCCTCCATGATGAAGTAGAATGGCGCGTAGAATGATAATCACAGCTACGCGTGTGGATCAAAGATCAATATTTTGTGTGATCCCGAACTTCAAAGGCGGTGGAGACGATAACAATCAACATCGCATGTGGCGCTATATAGTACTCTAGGGTTCTGTTCATAGTGTGGAGTTGTGTACTTGTAATTCAAGAGTTGATATTTAGAGAGAAGAGATTTTATTCCATAAATATAGCAGGATAATCATATTATTCTGTACATAATCCCTCGACGCAAATTTGAAGCCCTTAAATTCCACTTCCGTCACTGCTCCCCGCATACGATCGGCGTTCAGGGCAGGGAATATCCACTTCGTCCTTGTTATTTGCTCTCGTGCCACGGACTTTTATACTCCGAACTACTATCTAAATATGATGATTGTGGTTTGATCCCTTTAATTTCCTATTCTCTTCCTGTTCGCTTCTTTCTCTTGGCTCGTCTCCCGCCATATGCGGGCCTGCTCCCTTCTACGCCGTCGCATCCATTCCTCGGCCAAGTTTATCCCCCAACGCCCACAGACCTCCAGCTTCGGCCCTCGACTCCGGTCTCATCCATTCGCGCAATCATACGCCCCGTATCCACGCCTCGAATCACCCAGAGAGAACTCATCTTTTTGGATCGCTTTTACCCTTCTCGCCGTCGGGGGAGGTGCTTGGCTTCATCAATCCTTCTATCCCTCTAATCCGTCACCGGAACTCCGGTTCCCTCCGCAGAGCGAAGCGTACGAACAAGAAACATTTCTTCGTGTCATTGATACCCTCCGAGCCATGCCGATCGAACCAGCCCCAGGTACTGTGGGCACACTCACCCCAGAGCAGGAGGTCAAGTTGCAAGAACTTTGGGTGTTGACTCTCAAGGTCTTTGGAGTCCCGCTTGATGCCCTAGAGTCCAGCGCCAGTGCCACCGGTGATGCTGCTTCGCCCAGCGCAGCCCAGGATAAGAAGAAGTCTGGCAAACGCCGATGGGGACTCTTTGGGCGGAGCACAGAAGACGATGGAGCGGAGACCGCAAGCGTTTCATCAGCCAGCGGTGTCAACTCCAGCCTGTCCAACATGGAAATGGCGGACGGCGATGACAAATTTGGCCAGATGAAAGAATTCAAACAGGCGTTGGAAGATATGAAACCTGAGGAATTCCGTACCTCGTTCTGGAACATGGTCAAGCAGGATCATCCAGATGCGCTGCTGCTGCGTTTCCTGCGCGCGCGTAAGTGGGATGTCAAGAAGGCTCTTGTCATGATGATCTCTACCATGCGCTGGCGTTTGCAGGATGTGCATGTGGATGATGATATCATGGCTAATGGAGAAGCGTTGGCCTTGAAGCAATCCCAGAGCTCCGACCCTGTGGAAAAGAAGAAGGGTGATGATTTCCTGTTCCAGATGCGGAAGGGCAAGAGTTTCCTTCATGGAGTAGACAAATGCGGTCGTCCCATTTGTATGGTCCGAGTGCGGCTGCACAAGGCATCTGAGCAGGATGTCGAGAATTTGGAGCGATTCACCGTTTACACTATCGAGACGGCTCGATTGCTTTTGGCTCCTCCTGTTGAGACTGCGGTACGCATGCCATCACTGCACACGGGGTTCAAAGAAAGTTCTTGTGGCTAACAGGTGTATAGACTATTGTTTTTGACATGACCGATTTCTCTGTAGCGAATATGGTGAGTTTCCCGCGTTACTGGCCCTTGTCGAGCATTACACTTACATATTGTTTCACATTAGGATTATACGCCCGTGAAGTTTATGATTAAGTGCTTCGAGGCAAACTATCCTGAGTCCTTGGGCACCGTTCTTATTCACAAGGCGCCATGGCTTTTCTCCAGTTTGTGCCCCTCAACCCCCATCCCTGAGCCAGTATCTCATTCACAATGTTTATAGGCATCTGGAGCATCATCAAGGGCTGGTTAGATCCCGTTGTCGCAGCCAAGATTCATTTCACCAAGAACCGCCAGGACCTGGAGGCCTTCATTGCGCCCGGTCAAATCATGAAAGAATTAGAGGGTGACGAGAACTGGGAGTATAGTTACACTGAAGTCAAGGAAGGAGAGAACAGCAAGATGGAGGACACCGAGACTCGCGATAGACTTCTCGTCGAGCGCCAGGAACTTGCTAAGGAGATCCAGGCCATCACTATCGAATGGCTGCGAGCCAGCGCTAAAAAGGAGACGGAAGCTTTGTCCGCAGCCCAGGAGAAGCGGAAAACGCTGATCGAGAAACTGCGCAAGCAGTACTGGGAGCTTGACCCGTATATTCGAGCTCGCTCTCTCTATGACCGCCTTAACATTGTACAGGGTCATGGAAAGATTGAGTTCTATCCAGATGCTGAGAAGGCAGAGAACACGAAGGAGGACAAGAAGGAAGTTCCTGCCGGCACTGCGGAGTAAAATACTCAGCGGAACCTTTACATTGCATTTCTTTTTTTAAACTTGTTTTTCTTTCTGTTGGAATCATTATGTTACTATCCATGTTGGGATCATGTGCTAGAGTCTCGGATTTACTAGAAATGGATTATGCATGACTGTGTAGTATATACACTCCATGTTTGCCATGTCTTGTGATACTTTGTTTACTATTGAGAGAGCATCACGGCATAGGGACAGATTTGCCCAGATGGCAGCACTGACCTCGGGAGGGCACTTGGTAAATTGATCTCTAAGTAGTTCATCGGTAAATGGTGCTATAACTGCGCTCATGCAAACTAGAGCTACCATAGATTGGCGTTAATCAAGCAGAGCAGGACACTTCTTACATCTTAGACTTGATCTCTTCGTGCAAAGCCTTCAACTTGTCCATATCGGTCTCCTGAGTGGGCCAGCCAATGCTCATACCCTCCTTTTCATTTGGCTTGGGGATCTATAACTCGAGGTTAGTATATTAAGATTCACTTAGGATCCAAGAGGTGGTAGGGGAAAAGGAAACAGTCATACCATGTGGAAGTGGACCTGAGGAAAGGGAAAGTATTAGCAATCATCACATACTAACAGAGTAGGTAGGGTATAAACTCACGTGGTCAACAACTTGGTGGGCGATACGACCATTGTTCTGCAGGATGTTGAAATCTGTGGCACCGCTAGCCTGGGCAATCTTCTTTGCGACGGGCTATAGGATGCAAACCAATGACAGACTGGTTAGTCAACTGTCTCAGGGACCTTGGGGGTGGTACTAAGACCCAGATGTTTCCATTCTCCAAATCAACCTTCTTCTTGATAATGTATCCTCGAAGAGTATCCTCGAAGAATTTCCTATCCTATACTGCCAACCAATTCAATTCGATTTATCTCACTTACCAGGATCTCGAGAAGGTCCTCGTCGGGGATATCAGTCAACTTGGCGCCGTGGAACTTGGGGATCACGAGCTGTCACCAGGGAATGTCAGCTACAATTCGGATTTTCGGGGCGAATTTGCAGATTCTCGAAAATTGCCCAGGTATCGATATTATCTTCTGAATCACAGATACATCGCGACATTGGACTCGATGGAGTCGACGCTTCGGCAGTGCGGGGGAAGGGGACATAGGATGGAGGACGCACCGCATGGCCGCGACTGAGCGGCTGGATATCCAGGAAAGCAAAGACCTTGTCGCTCTCAAAGAGCTTGAGGGAAGGGATGTCACCTGCATTGAATATGCATTAGTATTGAAAACATGGCTGGCGAGAGTGGCATGGAGGGGGAGAAAATAGAGATCAATTAGCTAATCGATACTTCATTGACATACCCTTGATAATCTTGCAGAAGATACAGGCTGCGGAAGACATGTTGATTTATTTTATCGAGTATGTTTGTTTTGGAGTCGAGGACAATTGAGGATAATGTTCTCCAAATCCGAGGGTCAAACTGAAGTCATCGAATGCGGGGTGGAGCATAGCTCGGGTTCGGGGAAATAAAAGAAATAGAATAATGTTGAGCTCACCCGGGTTCGAACCCGCGACTTTTCCCGGTAAGAGCCCCTATATATTTTCAAACAAGAGAAATAAGTTGAGGAGTGGGACAGGCTAGTGCAGAACCCATTTCTTGCCTTTTACCAGAGATGGCCGTGGTTTGCCCACAAAACTCCTCTATACAATCTTTGGATCTACAACACGACACAGTTGTCTGTTTTTTTTAAAACTTTTTTTTTTGGTAGTTCTATTCAATTCAACTTCTAGTATCGTTCTCTTTTTTCCTGAAACTTTTTACCCCAGGAATGGCTCATTCTGGCTGTAGTCGAAATTGAGGCCGTGGCGTTAAGATATCTGGGAGTGTGTGCACGTATGGCCGTCCATCCCAGCTATTATCACACACATCCGTCAACTGGTCAGCATCCGACGTATGGAAACACCTCAACCAATTGGTAATAGAACATATGTAATCTAAGAACTTGGCAGTTTCTTTAGCCTTGATAATGAACATCCGGATGCTTGCTTCAAGCTCCTCCCTTCCTGAAACATACGATGGCATATTTCGAGGGATCAATCTTGGAACTCTACTATGACTACGGAGTATAATGCAGCAACTTGAAAATGGAAATAATGGTTCGTTATAACTTGAACATTGATTGCTCTATTTTGAATTTTGAATTCCACTGCCAAATGGGGGTGAATGGTAATATCATTTGGAAATCTGCCATAACCTTGGAAAATATCAATAGAACTTCATTGTTAACCCAGCATCTCATGGAGGCTGATTATGTAGTAGTGCCAGAGCGGACAGCATGTTATCCAATCACAGAACTTGAATTGTCAGACCCGTTGGAGGTGCAATGCAGCAAAGTGCGTCTATATAGCTATTGACTGAAGCCAAATGCGAAAAATGAAGTCTTGAGAATCTTGCAACTTTCAGATTATTGAATCACAGTATCTTTGAAATATCAATATCCGCAGAACGTGGATATAAGGGTGAAGTTGTGCTGAAGCAGTATGCCACGACTCTTCCAAATTCAGACTAGCGTCCTGGTCCCGTGCCGAACCTGCGAGAGGGCATGTCCAACAACTCCAAAGGACCTCCAAACCCTCCTATCCCCACTCCACTCTACTCACACCCCGCTGGTCTCCTCTGATCTGCTCTGTCAGAGACCATGCAGAAGTCCCGGGCTATCAATTCCGCCCTGGGTGCGCGGGCATTCGCCCCGACCCCGCGGGTATCCGTCCACATCCAGCGCCGCAACCTCCAGGATGTCGCTATCACTCGCACTGGAAAGCCTATCTTGAAGGTCCAAGGTGGCCGGTAAGCATCCAATGGCTCTCTGTATGACTTCTTGTTGCTAATTGAAGTCGCTTCCAGCTCGTCCCTCGGAGGTATCGTTCGCTCGCTTGCAACCCACCGATCTCGATTCAATATGCTCATCTCTCCATAGGTTACACCGCGACTGTCTTCGGCGCCACTGGTTTCCTGGGTCGCTATATTGTTAACCGACTTGGTATGTTTGGGGAACCCCAGAGAATCAGCTTTCCTGTGTGTCAAGGGACAATGGACTGACCTTCCACAGCTAAGCAGGGATGCAACGTCGTCATTCCCTACCGTGAGGAGATGACCAAGCGTCACCTGAAGGTCACTGGTGATCTGGGTCGCATTAGCTTTATCGTATGAATATATCTGGTCTCCAGTATAATCAATTGGTGTGGTATCTAATGATCTATAGGAATACGACCTGCGCAACACCCAGTCCATCGAGGAGAGTGTCCGTCATTCCGATATCGTCTACAACCTTGTTGGTCGCCAATACCCTACCAAGTGAGTATCATGATGTGCATACAGCTTTATGGTCGAAGGAATTGGTCGTTGACTGGATTCAGGAACTTCTCCTACACCGATGTCCACGTTGACGGTGTCGAGCGCATCGCCGAGGCTGTCGCCAAGTACGATGTCGACCGTTTCATTCACGTTTCCTCCTACAACGCTCGCCGGGACTCTCCATCCGAGTACTTCGCCACAAAGGTGTGTTTATATTTTCAATCAATTCGATTACAAACATACTGAGACAGATTTACAGGCCTGGGGTGAGGAGATTGTTCGTTCCATTTACCCCGAGACCACCATCGTGCGTCCTGCCCCGATGTTCGGATTCGAGGACAACCTCCTTCACAAGCTTGCTGGCGTAGCCAACTTGTTCACTTCCAACCACATGCAAGAGCGCTTCTGGCCCGTTCACGTACGTTATAATACCAAGTCCTCGATTCTCCTTGAAAACGCCGGTTCAATTAACATTACTATTAGGCCATCGATGTCGGAAAGGGTCTGGAGGCTATGCTGCACGACGATACCACCGCTGGTCAGACCTTCGAGCTGTACGGCCCCAAGAACTACTCTACCGCCGAGATTGCTGAGCTGGTCGACCGCGAAATCGTCAAGAAGCGCCGCCACATCAACGTCCCCAAGGCTGCCCTCAAGCCCATGGCCCACTACCTCAACAAGCTCCTGTGGTGGCACACCATGTCCGCCGACGAGGTGGAGCGTGAGTTCCTTGACCAGGAGATTGATCCCACAGCTAAGACCTTTGCCGACCTTGGTATCCCACAAGCCGATCTGGCCGATCTGGCTGACCTGACCTTCCACTACTTGGTAAGCCCAACTCCTATATCGTATAATGAAAGGCCGACATACTAATTCCTCTTATAGCAAATGTACCGTAGTGCCTCCTACTACGACCTTCCCCCGGCCACTGAGCGTGAGCGACGTGAGGAGAAGAAGTACCTGCATGTGCTGGACGACCAGTAGTCTGTGTTTTTAATGTGTAAATAAGCCGTCCTAGACTCAAATTTCAATTTCCTTATGTTGTCTGGATCATTTCAGAATAAATCAAAATGCAATTCTTTGACTTGACTTTTAAATTTCAAACGTATACTAGTCTCGTGAGATTTTCACCTCTAGGGCTGTATAAGTGGTTGAGTAATTACCCCAGCTCAATCAATCCGCCCCGCAATCGCGATAACCAAAAATCCCGAAGCTTCATTCCCCTCTAATATTCAACTTTTCAACCACCACAATGCCTCCCAAAGTACCAATTCTGCTCCTTAAAACCCGCTCATCCCCAAATGACAGCTATGACGACTTCTTCAACGCAAAAAACTACATCCCCTCATTCATCCCCGTCCTAGAACACCGCTTCAACAAGACAAACTTATCCCAAGTACGCAACCTATTCGTCTCCGGCGCATTCACACAAAAGAGCAATGCGAACCCAACGGCGAATACCAATGAGGATATTCAATGGTATGGTGGTATGATATTTACCAGCCAACGCGCAGTCGAGGGCTTCGCAAATATGATCGAGCAAGAAGGACGTACGTACTTTAGTCCCAGTCCAATAAAACACCAAGACTAATGATATATAACTATAGTCCCCCTGGATCCTAAATCAACTTCCTCATTAATCCTCTACACTGTCGGTCCAGCCACAGCGCGCTCTTTAACAACTCTACGAGATGCACACCTCCCCGGTGCAACGATCTATGGTGCAGAGGCTGGAACCGGCGAGAACCTTGCTCATATGATGCTGAAACACTATAATACCATCTACCCGTCGAGTTCCAGTACATCTACGCCTAAACCTGCGCTTTTGTTCCTGGTTGGTGAGCAGCGCCGAGATATTATACCGAAAACACTTATGTCGGATACGTTACCGCTTGATGAGCGGATTACTGTTGAGGAGATTGTGGTTTATGAAACTGGGGAAATGGATTCCTTTGAGAAGGATTTCCAGGGAAGTGTACAGAGGTATGAGAATGATGGACATGGGGAGATTTGGGTGGTTGTTTTTTCGCCATCGGGATGTGAGGCTATGTTACGGGTCTTGGGATTGGGACCATTCGCAAGTGATAAGGGAGATGGGAATAAGGATGAGAGGAAGGTCTTTGTTGCTACTATTGGACCTACAACTCGGGATTACCTGCGCAGTAAGTTCGCGTTTGAAGCGGATGTTTGTGCTGAGAAACCGAGTCCTGAGGGGGTTGCGGAGGGTATCCAGAGCTTTATGGCTAAATAGACTGCCAGTAGGCTAGGTACTTTCAAGCTTGTATATAGAAACATAGAATTGATAAGCCGGATGTACATATTACACGCCAGAGAATGCTGCTTGGATCTGCCTATCTACTTCGCCTGCATCCAGTTTTCCTTGATACACCTACGTGTACGGGTGAGTAATTTGTAATGGATTTTTCCTATTTTTCAAATGCTCTGCCTAAATCGCAAAAAAACCGCTGATCGGCGCGGACAGAATAATCAAATCGCATGCTCGGCGTGGATAAGAATGAAGTTGCATGCTCGCCGGATGATAACAAAAACTCGAACTTGACCTCAAAAGGGATGATTTAGCGCATGATCTCCTCGTAAATCAGATCTAGAAAAGAAGTTAGCAAAGTAGTCCATAATCCAGTAAGACAAAGAATAGAGGAGGTACGCACTCTTCAACTGCTCCTTGCTCAGAGCATCCTTGTTCTTATCGAAATCAAAGAATCCATCAGGGATTGGGGGAGCAGTAGGCTCATCATCAGGATCGTGGTATGGCTCAAGGTAGGGGTGGCGCAAGGCTTCCTCGACGGTGATACGCTTGGCAGGATTGAAGGCCAGAAGCTTCTCTAGCAGATCCAAGGCCAGGTCGTTGCTCTTGGGGAAGAGAGCACGGAAAGGAATCTTCTTCTTGAATGGGAGGGAACGAATGTACTCGCGGGCTCGTCGGGACTTGATGCCATAGTAGTCTTCCATGGTGGGTGTGCCGAGAACATCAAGGATAAGGGTCAATTGGTGGTGATCTAGAGAAGGATAATTATTAGTTTGCGCCCTTTTTATGCAAAGTCTGCTTGGATTTCCACTTACAATCCTTTCCGGGGAACAGAGGCTTTCCGCTGAGCATCTCGGCCAAAATGCAGCCCACACTCCAAACATCAATAGCCTTGGTGTATTCCTTGAAGGTCAACATGATCTCCGGGGCACGGTACCAACGAGTGGCCACATATTCAGTCATGAAACCAGAGTTGTCATCGGTGGAGGCAGCTGAGCGAGCCAGACCAAAGTCGCACACTTTCAGATCACAATTGGCGTTAAGCAGAAGGTTGGACGGCTTGAGATCACGGTGGAGAACATTGGCGGAATGCATGGCCTTGAGGGCACGGAGTGTTTGGTAGATGAAGTACTGGCAGTGATCGTCCGAAAGCTCTTGGGTGCGAATGACTCGGTGCATATCAGTTTCCATGAGTTCCTGGGGTTATATTAGCATGGATCAAGGGTAGAAGAAAATACAATTGCGTTGGACGCACCTGAATCAAGTAAACTTCGCTGAAAGCCTCATAGTTGCGGGGTCGCTGGATATCCAAAATAGAGATGATATTCTCATGGTTGAAGTATCGCAGAAGCTTCATCTCACGCAAAGTTCGGAGACAGAACATGGAGTGGTCGAAGGGCGTAATCTTTTTGATGGCAACTTTCTGGCCAGATGGCTTGTGAATGGCAGAGCTGTAAGACTTTGTCAGCTTGGTGTCGCAGGTCGCAAGTCGCGTTCTGGGTCATACTCACCAAACAACACCATAAGCACCTTCACCGATAACATCCTGAATTTCGTATTGATCGGAGACGTTGAAAGAGATCTTGCGCGATCCTCCAGAGGGGGGCTGCGAAACCATGACGACGGTGTTATCGGCGCTGTGGGGTTGATCGGGCTGGTTAGCGTTGAACATTGCGCAACAATTCATGAAAGCAAAGAAGTGCGGAGACATAATGGAAAAGGATGGAGGAGATCACCCAGTCAGAAAGAATTTAAGTGGGATCTGTAGCATAGTGTGGGCAGTGAATGTCCACATGTGATTGCCAGTGAATTGGGGGAAATGGGGAAGCTCAACCATGGAACAATCATGATCAGAGCGAGATGAGATCGCAAACAAACATTCACTGAGGGACACGTGAAGGGAGAAACTTGAGACGAAAAGCTTTACATTCACTCACAATGAACAAACGACTTTCTGAGGGTTGTTGAGGTTCCGGCGCTTCACAAGCTCTCTCCTAATAGGGAAAACGAGAGAGTCTGGAGCTATTCCGGTAGCGCAGTGATATATAGAATGGGGAGAGGAGTAAATATGAGGATGAATGATTATTGAAAGGAGAAATTTAAAGACAAATGAGCTAAGTCAATTGTTTCGGGAGAGCTGAACCCCGTGTTAGCCAGTGTCAACAGAGATGCGACAACCTTATGCTTGGTCATAGTAAGGAAGGGTATAGCTTCCTCATTACATAGAATAACATATAGTTATTCTCAAAGTATAACAACTGAGAAGAAAAGCAATCACATACCTGTTCACATAGGATTCAAATGTTCAAGTTGGAGGAAGGTGGGGGAAGGAGGAGAAGAGAGAGGAATCAGCGGGACTCAGCCACGGGCCGGTGTTTTGGTGGGGCACAAGTAACGAAGCTTATAGGAGAGGAACAGGAAATAAAATAGTTCTATCTTAAGAGTTATTTAGAAGGGGCCAAATTGAGGAATAAAGGATAGAGTGTGTTAGGTGAGATTAATGGGGGGGAGAGTTCCAAGATTTATTGTATACTTCTCTATAAGGGTATAAGAGGTATATAGGTCACTTAGTATTCAGCTATACTCCATAATATTAATAAGAGTAAGGAGTACATCTAGAACACTTAATTATCACATCTTCACATCTTCACATCTTCACATCTTCACATCTCATAAATCACAATCCATAGGATATCTAAACTATATGAGGTCACAATCCGGAATCTTCCTGGGGTCAAAGCCACCAGCGCCAAATCCGCCATCTTGACTTGCGCTACTGTCCCCGATCACAATCACAAACGTGACTCTCCACCATTCTAGCATTTGATTGGAGCTGATTGGAGACTGACGCGGGTTCTCCATTCTAGTTTCACCCTTTTCACTTTTCTTATTGGTAGATCGGACCCTAGTTCTTATGCGAGTAGAAGGGGGAGGAGGAAGTAAGAAAAAATAACATCTAATCAGAAGATGCAGAGTAAAAAAAAACACATATGCATTGGAAGAGGGTCCAGCAGAAAAGAACTTGAAACTCCTACTATTCATAAACATTGAGGATCTGCCATTTGAAACCATAGTGAAAACCTTCAAGTTGGGTAGAAAGTGACTGGTAAATTCTGGCCCCATATGTGTTTCAGCTCTGGAGACATGTCGTAATCCTCATATAGCTCCCCTGGGTCATCAGATTCATCCATACCCTACTAATAAGCGCGTACATATAAGGGGGGTTTTACCCTATAGCCTCCATCAGCCTCATTCTCAAGTTACATCTAAGATTATCTCTGATCGAATCAGTAATCAGATAAAAAAAATGTTAAAGTAGAACTTGAAACACACATGTGCGATCTAACAGCCTCCATATACAGTGGTCAACCCGAGGACTTCGGCAGGATTCGGGGGATTACGGATAATTGATAATTTCGACATCGAATGGTCCATTAGGCAAATCATTGTATCCTTTCTTTAGATTTCAAAAACAAAAAAAAAGAGGAAAAAAAATGGGCTAAAGAATAGCCCTTATACTCTCTTCGATCTCTTCCTCCCAAATGATCTACTGCAATTCCCAAACATAAATGTGCCCTCAACAGAGATATCAGAGAGCCCCTCAAGTATTGGTACAGGGCGAAAAGACCAAGCAAAACAAATCATGGTAAAGAAGAAAAGAAAAACAAAATGAAGAGGGAGTAACGTGGGATTCGTAAGAGACAAGAAGGGGGAGAAATGGGGGGATGCAGCGTTGAACCGCATTTACTGCACAACCTATACAGATGGGAGAGACCGAATCAGTACATGAAGTCAAGGAGGCTATAGAACCCCCAATGAAACCTCAAAAGAACTTCATACCTTCTCGCGAAGTGTAGTCATCCATTGGTCCAAGCTCACGCTTTGGTCGGCGCGATCCTCCACCAACATAGTCTGGGCCCAAAGTCGGAGTCCGGGCTCACCATCCTCACGAACCACGTACAAGTGAGGAACAATCATACTACCCACTCCCTTGGCTCGGTGATCGCGACTCTTCTCAATCACAGCACGCACCCGCTGGTTAAACTCATTCTCCACCTCCGGCAGAGTCTGCTTACCAACCCGCAGCTGGCTTCGATCAGGCACGCCGAACACATCCTCAATTAGCTGGGGCACAGCATCCCGGCCAACCCACAGGAACTGGGTCTGTCCGTCGTCAATCAGGTACAAACCGTAAGGAGCGAGACGCTGAGAGGACAGGTTAAGCGCGGGAGGGAGGAGAATCTCTCCAGTTTGGGGGTCGGGAATACCGGCAGAATCAGGCATGTCGTGGAGGGAGTACATCTTGGGGTAGATATACTGAATGAGGAGGGGCAAGGGCAAGGTCGACAGGAGACACAAGGCAGCGGAACGCATATCTGTCGGGATCTGGGCGGACTTGCGGAGACCAAGCTAGAAAAATCAACTCAATTAGTACCAGAGAGAAACATACATGTTAGATTCTTGATTGCAGCTTACGTTCTTGATCAGGGAGAGGAACAACACAGGTAGACCACGCAGGTTGGCGGGGAACTGGAGACCACCACCACTCACGCTACCACCAGCCAGTTCTTTGCGGTATGTAGTCAAGAGCTCAATGATCTTGGCCTGCAGAGCGTCACGGGCAGGCTCAAGACCGCCACTCAGAGTACGTTCAACAGCCTTGTGGCTGAAGAAGACCGCAACAGCCTGCTGATCAGCAGAGGCATAGATGTCGGACAAGTTTTGAGTTGTTGGCAGGGCGAGAGTGAGCACACGAATGCGGCGCTCGCCATTGCAGGTAGTGTGGAGGACGGCAGCTTGCAGACAAACCACGGGCTTCGCCACGGTCTCATCAATAGCCACCTCGACAACGTATGCCTGGTCACGAGGGAAAGCGGGGAAAGCACAAAGGTCGGAGCTGCGGTTGAAGAAGTTACCGTAGAAAGTGTTCATACGGAGACCAGTAGTGGCACGGACACGGAGAACGGCCTCCAAACCAATCTCAGAGGACAAGTAGTCGGAGAACTCGCGCGCAAACTTGATAGCATCCTCGCTTCGGGCGGCATTCCAACCAGGATAGAAGTAAGTCTGACCACCGGTGTAGCGAGGCAAATTGCTCAATGATGCCACATCCTGGTATTGGGAGGAGAAAAGGAACATATCCACGGATACCTGAGCCTTGGAGCATTCAACCGCAAAGCTCTTGTAGAAGGAGTTACCAGTTTGGAGAAGACTTGACTCCTTGCTGGTTCCAAGCACCTTCTTATCCTCGCGGAGGGTGAGCGCACCGTGACCAATGTTAGGCAATGAGGCGCTCAGAACGGTCATCTTACCACCCACGGGTGAGATCAGCTGGTAACCAGCCCGGAGAGCAGATCCCATCGCGCAACTGTTGTTCTGTGTATTCTGGAACATCTCCTGCAGCTTGTCAAGGAAGGACTCAACATTCTCCCGGCATTCGCTCAATGTGACCAGGAGGTCAGTGGGAATCGGCAAGAAGGGTTCATCAAGGTCGCTAACGACCAGCATACGAGCTTCTGGGCTGTCGGAGCCATCCCGGGGGATGCTGAAGTACTGTAGGCTGGAATCCACAGCAATGAAGCCAAGACGAGTGCGGCGGTCTGCATTTGGAATACGGTCGAGGCTTTCCTTGATGCAACGTGCGCTTGTAGCCAACAGACCACTGGTCACAGAGGAGTAGCTGACATCAATCAAGAAGAGGTATACTAGCGGCTGAGGAGGTCGGACCATGTATTCTTGGGGAGCAACAAACTCGACCATGCTGTGGTTCAAGTCGGCGCGCAGAGACCGGTCGGCGGGCTTCTGCAGGGCTGCGTCCCAATCAAAGGCCTGAGGAACATCGTTGGTCAGGTTACACATGTTACAACGCCAGCGGTGGCCCTGGTCGAGGAAGGTGACGAAGGGATTGATATAAGAACGACAGCGTCTGCATCGTGAAATAACCTGGTCGGGGATCACGGGGATAGGGTCCTCAGAATCGTGAAGGGAGGCATAAGGTTGAATGACAAGAGCGAAGGGAAGTTTGGACTTCTTGAGGAGAGAGCTATTTGTGGGAACCGCATTCAATGTTGATCGCATATATTTTGTCGGGCAATTGGCCGTGGGAGATGGGTAAACACTGGTCTGTATATTTTCGACTGGTTAGCATGTCCGTCCCCCACATGTTTAGATGTGTCCATTGGTCTGGATCATACCCCGGGAGGAAGGATAATAGGAGGAGGCGGGTAATCCAATTCTGCTACATTGAAAGGCTGCGAAATGAGGTCCGTGGGATAGAGCTGGTTGAGTTGAACATTGCGCGGGGGTTGAACTGCCGGCTGCTGAGGCGGGGGCATGTGGTGTGGTTCGGCCATGCCCATTCCGCCAAATTGCTGGGTCATCTGCGTAATACCTTGATCGGGCGCCGCATATCCTGCCGGTTGCTGCTGCAGTTGAGTTGGGTCCGCGCCGTATGTCGGTTGTTGATATCCCGCAGGTTGGGCTTGCTGAGGGTATGCATCGTAGGCACCTCCGGCAAGAGGCTGTCCCCCCAAGTGCAGCATTGGCGCCCGAGCCAAATTCAAAGGCCTGACCAGCATAGGCTCTCTTCTTCTTTCCTCCTGCAGCGGCAGCTCCTTGTGGGGGAGCTGGCGACGACTGCTGCTGTGTAGGGTCTGGAGAGTCATAGCCCGGCTGGGCATACCCTTCCTGGGGAGGGTAACCCCCTTGTGGAGCTGCCATTAAGATGTGAGAAATTCGATATTTTCAAGTGAAATCCTCGGCGCGCGCGGCGGGACGAGTGGGAGGATTTAGTAGGGAGCGGTGTTGGTGGTTTGGTTGATACGGGGGAGTGGGATGCGGGTGACAGCTTCGCTACTAGTAGCCCCACAATTGGGATGTAAGCATAAAAACAAAACCGAGATAAAAGCGCAAAATCAGTCGATAGAATGAATACCCACCGAATCCAAACGTATCAAGACGAGGGGGGAAATGAAGCGCACAGAGAAGCGGTGATGGAGTGATGGTGTACGGTGGCCTTTAGGTTGCCGAAGTCCAGCCAATCACGAGGCGGTGGAGCTTGTACAGTTGATGAACGATAGATCTAGATAGTGTGGGATGAGCATAATAGGTGATTATGAAGATAGTTATGGATAATAATATGGTATTGGTATTGATATCTAGCTTGGAAAGGCTAAGATAATCGAAGCACTCAGTAGTATGTAGTAGGTAGAATATTAATAGTTGAACTTAGTACTAGGTCATAGTATACTCCGTACATAATAGCGAGATTATATATCCACTGATAGAGAGCACCTGCCAGTGGGCATGTGCACGGGTGTTCTACTATGCACTATGGTATTTGGTCTAAATTACTACTACTAGTACTACATGCCGCTACTTAGTAGAGTAATACTATATATACAGCTCTTCAATCCCAATTAATGCTATTTTTGAAATATAGAACAAACCTTGATAATGTCAGTACTATACCTTATACGATGTGCAGACCATAGTAAGAATGTGGTCACGCGTTACCCGGCCAACCCTAAACAACGCGATGTCTTTTCACCAACTCCACTTTAGCACTGATGAACTTCCATCTTTTGTGTCCCACAGCGGTAGGTAGTTAGGTAGTTTCTTTTTCCTTTTTGTTGGTTCGTCTTTTCTATGCGGAGGATTTGATATTTTCGGTTCTATCCTTTCTTTGATCCGGTCCTTTCTGCATTTATCAGCATTTGCATCAATCTCGACCTGTCAACCCCCAGTCCAGACGAACGTGCATGCATTGATCCACCATGAGTGTCCGAGTCGTTGCCCGAGTCCGACCCCTTCTGAAATCCGAACGGGAGCTGGATGTTATTCTTCGTACCGGGGCATCAGCAACCCCAACTGATACCAAGTCGCAGTCGACAGATGGAGATCGGAAACTGGCCGCGTTGAGAGATAGAGATAATGTGGTGCGGATCCCGAATCCAAAGAATGAAGGGGAGGAGTACTCTTTTCAATTCAATGCTGTCTATGATGCCGATGTCACCCAGCAGGAGATGTTCGACGCCGAGGGTGAGTGGTTCCCGGAGAAGAAAAGGGGGATTGGTGCGCGAAGCGACATGGCCCATGCTGATTGAAGAAAATCCCAGTCGCGCCCACAATTAAGCACCTATTCAATGGATTTGATGTGACACTCTTCGCCTATGGCGTTACCGGGACTGGTAAAACACACACGATGCGCGGCGGTAAAAGTCTCGCGGACCGAGGTGCTATCCCCGTCTGCTTAGTGGCGTATATCGGCGAAGTCGGAAAATCGAGAAGGACGCCAATGGGGAGACAACTGTTAAAGTTGCGCTGAGCTATTACGAAATATATAACGACAAGGTTTATGATCTCTTTGAACCTCCCGAGAAACGCACGTTGGCAGGTCTTCCTCTTCGCGACAATGGGGGCAAGACCGTGGTTGTTGGCCTGACCGAGAGAGCGTGTACCACATTGAAGGAATTTGAAGGCCTTTATGACCAAGCTAATAACAACCGGTCGACTTCAGCAACCAAGGTATGATCCCGGTGGCTTTATGTGCCTGGTTAAACGTGGGTGGTTTGGACTAACAAAAATGGCTGTAGTTGAATGCACACTCGTCACGTTCGCACGCAATCCTCGGAGTCAAGATCACTATTACCTCGCCAGAACAGACTCGAGTCAGCACAGTTTCCGCAATTGACCTTGCCGGTTCAGAAGACAACCGACGGACGGAGAATGACAAGGAGCGCATGGTGGAGTCGGCGAGCATCAACAAGAGCTTGTTTGTACTCGCTCAATGTGTCGAAGCAATCACCAAGAAGCAGCATCGGATTCCGTACCGCGAGTCCAAAATGACGCGTATCTTATCACTGGGCCAAAACAACGGTTTAACGATTATGATCCTCAATGTTGCACCAGTTCGGTCTTATCATCTCGACACACTGAGTTCCCTGAACGTCGCCAATCGTACCCGGAAGATCGAGGTGCGAGAGATTGAGAATGATCCTATTTTCAAGGGCCCTGCTAGACCTGCCCCACGACCCTCGTTAGCAGCCAATCGACAGCCCTTGCGTCCGCTCACTGCATCTGTCAATGTGAACATGCCTGCGCCTGCTGCCAAGGACCCGGCTAAGAAGGACGACGAGAAACCGATCAAGGCTTTCAGTGTCTTCTCTGATCGACCCCAGGTTAAGCCCGTGACCCAAATCCGAAAGTCTGATGTTTCAAAGAGACCCTCTCTCGCCCCCGATTCCCACACCACCAAGTCATTGAAAGCACCCCGTCAAACTCTTGGCTTGAACACCGCCTCATCGGTCTACGGAGAGCTCTCCGCTGCCAAGATCGAAGAGATGGTCGAAAGGAAAGTCGAGGAGATTTTAGCTGTTCGGGCCGTTACCGAGCAATCAAGGGAAACTCAAGCCCGCGAATTAAATGATCAACTTCAACGCCGCCTTGAGCTACTCGAGCAGCGCATTGAAGGAACCGAGGATGCTCGGGCCGAGGGACTTTCATATCTGCTCATGGGCAAGCAACACCAGGCTCGAGGCGAAAATAGCTCTGCTCTTAAGATGTATCAGCTCGCGCTTCCGCACTTCCCTCACAATGAGAAGCTCGTTGCCAAAATCGCTGCTTTGAAAGAGCGCATGCAAGAGCAGGCCTTCCCAGGCGAGTCACTCCTAGCTTCTCCCCCGAGCAAAGGGAAGTTCGGGAGCATGCTTTCACTTAAGCGAGAGTCCACACTCACTCTCCTTGGAAAGCGTCAAGCTGATGAAGCTTGTGATAATGACGTGACTTTGGCCGACGATGACTGCTTGGCCAGTGATGATGATAGCCACCCTCGACAGAAGAAGAAGCGTGTCACATCCAAAAGCCTTTGTGAAACCGAAAACGACATCGAGTCCCTGGATGAATATGAAAACGGCTCTCATTCTCCTCGAAGCATCCATCTCTTGTCCATTATCAACTCAAGAGATGTTAGTCAGATCAAGCTTCTAAAGGGCGTTGGTGCTAAAAAGGCAGAGGCCATTGTTGACTGTCTCTGTGAGATGGACCAAGCCTCAGATGAGTCGATGGTATCTGACCAGCCTTTGTTTCAAGTGGGTAGCCTAGCTCAGCTGAGCACTTTGAAAGGCGTGGGTGTTCGAACCGTTGAGAACATGCGCAACGGAGTCTTGGTCTGAGTTATGGAGATCTTTGCAACTTTGGGCATATCTACGGCGCATTTTCTATTGTTGTTCATATATTTAGATTCTATATGCATCTTCCATCAGCGACGGCGCTGGGGCGTTATGGTCGCTACCCCTGATGAGGGTTGTCATTATCCCTATTTATGGGGACATTTACATTTATCTTTCTACAATTTGTCTCAATCCACATATTTCCAACATCCAAGCTTGAAGTTTTGTTCATTTCAGCCTGCTTTCGCTAGGGATATCCTATATCATGACATCCATAAGTCAACTCTGCAAGTGCTATCTACTATACATATGCACCTATATAACGACCCATTAACCATTACTTCGAGTACCAATTCCAGCCTGGAGATTTTGACTACCTCTGTCCCATTTGATTATGACTCGGATTCAATCCAATATGTCCACATTTTACTCCTGACACCTGTGCATCTTTGTTTCCATGGTTTTATATCTTGTTGAAGTTGACACCTCCCACCACGATTCTGGCAACCACAAACAACGTCGCTCCAGCCACCATGGTCACACCTGCGAAAATTTGCAGGTTTGTATAAGAATCGGTCAACACACTTGGGACAAGGGCTCCACCAATAGGGGTACCAGTGAGAGCCGCAAAGGAGATGATAGAGAAGCAAGTGCCGTTACGAACACCGACCTCACGCAAGTCGGAAATCTGGGCAATGATTGCCGGCGCAAGCGACACAAATGCACCGGAACCGAAGCCGTAAAGGGCACAGAACACGATTGCTGGGGCATTTCCACGGGACTGAAGCCACAAGGCTAGCACCAGAATGCCAGAGAAATAACTGAAGAAAATCATGACGTTGTATCGTCCAACTCGATCTGCTAGGTAGCCCGGAACGGTACGACCGAAGATACTAAAGACCTGTTAGAATTTGTGCCCCAGATTTATCAAGAAGAAAGTGCTTGGAGGTCTGGTAGTACATACCTGGCAGCGTTCAAAATTGGAATAAGATACTGCGACATGTTGGACGACATGCCATACTCCTCAGCCTGAGTGATCACAAAAGTGAAAGGCAAGAACATGCCCCAGAAGAAGCAGAAGGAAGCCGCAACCGTTAAAACGAATTTAATATCCTTTAGTGGCCGGACAAAGTTCATAAGGTGAACGGGCTTTTTCGTGTGAGTCAGTCGCGACCTGAGAGTCAGGTTGGAAATACCAAGCATGAAGAGAATCAAAAACGCGCAAATTCTCATAGCCCACGGGAAATCAACCTCGGGAATCAAATGCGAGACCATGATTGGGAAAATAACACCACCCAAACTCGAACCAGCAGCCATCACACCAAGGGCGAAAGCGCGGCGCTTTGCAAACCATGTACTGACCGAGTTTACGCAGGCGTTGAAAACAGCACTTGCGCCAAGTGCACTGCAGATACCTTGCGCAAGAATGAACTGATAGTATTCAGTGGAGAGAGAGGTCATCATAAGGCCGAAAACGTGTAAAAGGGTTCCGCCTAGTAGAATCCATCGTGGGCCATAGCTATCAAAAAGGGTTCCAAATATTGGGCCCTAGGAGGTAGGTTAGCCTACCCGATCTTCATATTCAACGAGGAGCAGCTATAATAGAGCGAGAAACCTACTGCGAAGAACATGACAAAAGTCTCCACTGAGGTGATCCAAGCTACCGTACTGGGAGAGAAGTTGCTGAGCTGATTGCTTTCATAGTATGTCTGAAAGACACCAATGCCTATACCAATGTTAATCAGTCTTGCTCTGTCGTTTGAGCTACAATCAAGTGAATCTCACAGTTAATCCAGCCAAAACTGACAAATAGACCGCAGAAGCCCCCCAAGACTGTCATCCAGGCATGGAGCCCTCCATCTGGTGGTGGACCAATACCAGGAGGTCCAGCCGGAGGCGCATTGGATTTCTCCGTCATAGCCTCTGCGCTGACCTCGTGCGACTCCATGATACCCGTGTCGCCTGTTTCCTTGCCCTTTTCAGGATCGCCCGTGAATTGATCGCTTACTGCCGGTGTAGAGTTATCGGATTCCACTGTATATGATGTCGCATTGTCCACTGAGGGAGCATCATGCTCTTGATGTGTCGCCATATTTCCCTTTTTGAAGCTTTGAACGCTGATCGAAAAGAATGTCTAATGAGTTGTTTGATGGGCTATAGCCGTTGCAAAGGCTATACTAGGAATCGATAGATGCCTATAAGATTGAAGCATATTTAGCAGGCATTTTGGGTAACATAATTGATAAATTTCTTGTAGCATGAATCCACATCCATATGTTATGGAGTAGCGAAACAACAACAAAAAAGAAGAAAAGAAATGAATTAAGATCGACTCATTACTTACCTTTTTTTTTTCTTAGCAGCGAATCGGAGATTAAAACTTTAACACAATAACCGTAACACCTCGTGGCGAACTTCAAGGGTTTCACAGAAGATTAAGAATGAAGTAAATAACCATTTCAACACCTGAGAACAGGAAAGAGAAAGAACTTTAAACTTGAAAGAAAAATCATAGCAAAGAAAGACTGCCAGAGCTCGGCTTAACCAATCTACGGGGTATGAGAGTCGGATACCGCGCCCACTAATTCCGAGAGCTTGGATCTCTCGGCGTCGTTTGGACGCGAATTGATAAGCACCGCTAAACCATGATGAGAACATTGGCAAAGGTTGAACCAACCAAGTGAATCCACTACTCTAGTTCATCCAGGGTTCTCACCCTATTATGGTGGACCACTGTCCCCGCTGACCCCCTTTTCCCATCTTTCTTAGGAAACATCACTGAGAATCCCAGAAAAGCCCTCAAGGTTCCCCCATGTACCCTGTGGAGTGGAGGTTTCGGGGTCTGCATTGGGAGCTGGAAGCACTGGGTCCTTGTTTATCTGATTAAGAGGAGCAAAAACTCGCGGGTCTTTCCGCATCTGTGGACCTGAAATTGCCGACTCCGATTATTTCACCGATTAATATCCCGTCACCTGGTTATTGTTTCTTTGAAGTGGCTGTTGGTCGCCTGAAACTCAACTGCTAATACCCACATTCATCTTGTCACTGGATATAGACATATGTACTTACCTACCCTTCATAAAGAGGTTACGCAAGACTCATGCTCTGCTAACACGCTAGTTTAGTTCATCCTCTCGGATCCACTATGCACTCTATCTCCGAGAGTCCGAGACTCGGCAAATTGCATACATCTGTTCCAAAGCCAACTATTAAACACAAATTACCGACTCCGTAGCTAGTTGTATTGGGTATGGTGTCAATATGAGTCACATTTTCAATCTGTTAGGAGTAATAGAACCATTGACACAGTTGACCATTCAATCCTGAATCTGCTGCATGCAGTTGTATCCAAATGTCAAAATCCGAGTCGATGGAACCAGCACTTGAGACAGCGAATGCTGCACGGAAATGAGAAAAAATTGGACGCTCCAGGAAAGCAACATCATCCAACTTGAAGCTTCAGATGACCTTCAGCTGACAATCTCTTCGTTCGAATCCTCTTTATTCGAATCATCTGCTACCGCCGGACTCTGCTGCCCCGAGGCTTCTTGGGCCTTACGAATCTTTTTCATAGCGCGGTAATAAGCGTTCTCTGCACCTGTCAGAGAATATCCGGTAATCCTAGCGAGAGAGGTAAAACCAACCTAGACATCAGGTATGAAGTCTTCATGAAAGTAAGTTGGATGTGGTAGATATGAACATTACCTCAAATTTTCCGCTCTATAGCGCACATAGCAGGCAGCAAACATCTACTGGGCGAAGCCCAAATGTTGTATCTTCCATAGTTGGATTGCGTGGTGGTGCCATGGCTGTGAACTGCGATGGCGAGGTGGATGGTTATCATAAAAGTGATGGGCAGTGAAGTAGTGAAGAGACTGAGGGGATGTAAGAATGAAGATAGTGGGAAAGCTGGGGTTGGATGAAGACAAACTTCGAAACATTGAGGTTGGTAAGGAGAAAGTATGGCGAAAATCTACTCTATTCATGGAGGCACTTTATGTTGAGAACTATTTTGAGGTGATTATTGGCAGATTTAATGAGATATCCAAAATTAGAAAAGGACTCGTGGGAAAATGATGCTTTTGGTTTTTGATAGTTGACGGTGTTATAATCAAAAACATCTTTTTAAACCAACAACATTCTGATGGTCTCTTCAGGACTTATAGACTAGGAAATCAGGACAACTCCCTGGCCTCGGAAAACTCATAATGGATAGTATGATAGTATCGAGGTAAGAAAAAAGGCTTTAGGAAAGTGATATTCCAAGTCGACCTTGGCAGCCTTCAAGTAATCCTAGTTGTCAATTTCATTCAGATCCTCCGTCACCTCCTGCTTCTTCTGCTCGACATCTGGGTTAGCCCGACGAAGTCTTCGCAGTGCGCGTTGAAACACAACTCGTGCGCTTTTCTCCGAGTATCCGGAAATCGTAGCAAGATAGACATGATCTATCTACATTTCCAGATATCCAGATGTCAGTTGAAATCTCTATAGAGGACTTGGGAAGAGGGGACTGGTAAATATTCTCAATATGATATTGAAATATTACCTCAGGCTTCATGGTCAAAAGGCCCGGTAGGAGACATCGAACTTCTCCAGCACCAAGCCCGAAGGTTGCCTCCTCTAAAGTTGGGTTCCGTGGTGGTGCCATGATCATCAGCTGATGGATTTCGATGTCAGTTTGGATGAGTATGACAAAGTGTGTGAGTAGTGTATTGAGTACGAATAAAGAGGCGTTGGATAAGGAGAGTCTGGATGAGGTGAAAGAAGAGTTGGAGATTTAGGACGCGTGGAAGATGATAATAACACTGGAAATAGAGAATGTGGTAGAGAGTGCTAGTTTTACAACTTATTGCTAAAGACAAACTTCGTATATCAATGTACTAGTACATTTACTCTATTCACAGCTGGAGAGTTTCCTAGGTAATTTATGCTTACAACTAGTTGAATAGAGTTATCAAATGCAATACATTATTGATATTGACAAGGGAAAACTGATTCTTCAAACTTCAATGCAATAGATATTGTAATAAACACATCTTTCAATTTGATGGCAACTTGAAAACATCCATCGATATCTTGCTGGGTCCTGGGACATAATGGGTAATTTGGGCACTTCCAAGGCAAGGCATCTAGATCACACGAGCATCCAACAATTCGTCTCTGCCAGTGGAAATCAAAACAGTTCTAGAGAAGTCCTAGTACCCAGGCGTTCAAGGGATCCTAGTTGGCAATCTCGTCATCCCCATCATTCTCATCATTCTCATCGTCCTCAGGTACCTGGTTCTCCTGCTTGGCAATCTTATTTTCATGGGCGCGACGAAGGTTGCCGATAGCGCGGTGATACGTCATTCGTGCAGTTCCCTCCGCATAGCCGGAAATTGAAGCAAGTTCAGCGATCTTGAACTAGGTACCGTTAGGTCTACATGTATTCCATAGCATAAAGCAGGATGCTGCTGCTATCAAACCTACCTCAGGTTTTCTGATCAACAGCACCAAGAGAAGGCAGCGAATTTCCGCTGGACCAAGCCCGAATGTTGCCTCTTTCAAGATTTGAAACCGTGATCGTACCATGGTCGTTAACTGATAGATGATGATGTGAATGGTTATCAAAATATTGAATGTGTTGGTGTAAGGTATGACTGGGTAGGGTAAGGATAAGTTCAGGAGTAAAAGATAGGAAAGATGATGAAGCCTGAGAGAAGGAGTCAAAACATAGGGAATGTCAATTCAGGTGTGATTTTTGTGATCTAATATAATTTAAACACCGAGGTTCAAGTTTACGTCTGTTTATAGAAGTAACCTACCTGTATAGCTACTAGGTGGGTTTGTAGAAAGATAAGATGCAGGAAGATATCCATAATAGTAGAAGGAGAAAGAATGATTTTCAAATTCAATTAAAAGACATCACTTGTGCGTGGTGGTAAAAGATTTTAACCAAAAACCCTTGGAATCATCATATGGCCTCTCCGGGCTGACATAGACTAGAAAACGCATGCACTGCCAAAGTTGGAAAGAAAAATCATACTAGCACTCAAAACCTCATTCTGAACGGCAAAAACGACAAAGTATCTCGAGGAGAGGCACAGTGTCAACTAGGCTCCTGGGGCCTAGTTGACAATCTCATCATTCAAATCTTCCTCCGCCTGGGGCTTTTTCGAGGCCTCATGGGCTTTGCGAAGTCTGTGTAGAGCCCGACTAAACATGCTGCGTGCAGTTCCAGATTTGTATCCGGTAATGGCGGCGAGCTCAGTGGTATCCATCTATAGACTGATATTAGTATTTCGAAGGCAGGAGATGAGTATTGAAGCTACCTCGTATTTCAAAATGAGAAGTCCCAAGAGGAGACAGCGAATATCGGCTGCGCTGAGCCCCATCGTCACATCATCCATTTTGAGGTCGTTACGCGGCATGGTGTTCAACTGAAGATGATAGTTTGGATAGCAACGTTCACAGTATGATTGAGCAGTGTAGTCAACAGACTAGTGAAGGCAAGGGTGAAGGTGGTTCGAGTGGGGTAAGATGGGAAAGGCTCGAAGTTGATGGAGATGATGAGGAATGAAGATGGTAAGAGGGCAAAAGATAGCCCTTATATAGCAGCAGAGGTAAGTTTTAAACACTGGCAGTTGAACTTTACTTCAAGTTTTGCCTAGAGCAAACTTCAAGTTGAACATTCCACGAATAGAATTTGAAAGGAAGTCAAGCTTGAAGACACTATGGTTCATATCTTCAAGTCAGAGCCAAAGATATCCTAACCCTGCAGGAGAAACTCGAAGACTGCTGTATAAAAGCCTGAAAATTCATATTCAAGAGAAAGAAAAACTTCATTGGCGCAATGACACGATTTGAGATGCTTACAATACTGTACAGGATACCATTCCAAAAACCATTCTAAAAGCCCATAAATCAAATGCTAAGCCAGTCCAGGTTCACAGCCTCTAGGCCTCCTTACCATCAGTGCGAATCTTAGCCACATCCTCGCTGAGACTCTTGATATCTTGGCTTGAGTTCTCAACAGAACGAGTAAGGTCTGACACACCGCCAGGTGCTTCTTGGGCCTGCTTCATCTTTTCGTTCTCGAATTCCTGAGGAGTGTACGTTAATCCCCGAGGAGTATTGGCAATCTCGTTGAGTTCACGCTCCGACAGGACATCATTCAGACGGGGACCACGGGATTGCATGAGAACAGTTGCAGGACCATCAATCTGCAGGAAGAGTCTATCTCCCCAGATGGTCATGCGAGACCAGGTTCGCAGCTTGTGGAAGAATCGCATAGTAGACTTCCAAGCATCGGAGCCAGTAACATTTTGGATAAACTTGACGTTTTGCAATAGTCGAGGGAACCTGTTTAGGCCAGGAATTTGGAAGCTGAGTGTGGTTGACTTGAAGCGGTATGGCCTGGGAGGATTGGAGGACATAGTATAGGCGACCACGTTGCTTTGAAGACGTATAAGCGAGATACCATCATATATGGAGGGATTCAAAATCGACATACCTAGGGTGGGCGATATATTGCTCGCCTTCTTTTAACTCAACCGAGTAAACCTGGCCGTTACCGACCAATGCAATCAGTCCTCGTCCAGTGACTTCGGAGCTACCCCAGTGAGCCAAGCCCTGCGCTTGATTAGCTCGATGATTCGATCGTGACCAATGGTCTCTTACTCACAAGGTTTGTGTTGATAGTGGGCTTGATTGACAGAGACCGGCCTGTCCATGCCAGCAGAGCGCGCCGTTGAGCAACCATCCAATCCACAGAGCCATTGAGGTTCACAACAGTGAAGGAAGTATTCGGAGAGCGAGTGGAGATGAGCGCAGTGACGGGGGTTGCTGAAGAGACCTATCCCATTTCAATTAGCATTTTCGCAATAGACTGATCCAACTAGGAGACATGCGCCATACCTTTTGATAAAGGAAGGGTACGCCGACAGCCGCCCTGCGGAAGGGTTCGAGGACACTCAATGTCGAGACCACCTATTGCAATCGAGTCAAAGGTCAAAACTGTACTATAAACCATATCCAAAAGACCAGAATCGATCACCCACATTGTCTGCCTTGCCACTCAGCCCTACTAGGGTACCTCGGCGCGTGTATAGATTCTGCGAAGCGGAGAGCGATACTGAAAGGAGTGAATATGGGGCGCCAACAACATCGAATCGCGCATCTATCGGGATCAAACGGTTAGTCTCAATTCCTCTCAGCATTCTCATCCTAATACTCACCTCGCGACTGAGCCGAGCTAGGCGTGCCGGCGAGGGGCAGGTGGTCCCCATTGACGGGCTCCGCGGAGGGAGTTGCACGGATCTGCACATATCGTGTCTGTCGATGGACACGAGGAACAACTCGAGTCCAGGACAAAGTCCGAACACCTCGAAGCTTGAGGGCAGGACTCATGGTGCCAAAAGAAGGACTGGGTTGGTCAAGAAGGACTTTCTCTACGTCAGTTTTCGGAGCTTCAAGCAGAAAACACGGGAAATCGTGGACCCGAACAACGGCAGTAACTTACTCTCCGCATGGTTCTCTTCTACATAATCTATGGGTAAAAAGTTGGGACTTACATTCAGATTGGATTTTGGGGATTGATTTTTCTGGAGGAAATATTATTATTCCTTTTTTTCCCTTTGCATTTTGGCCTTTTTCATTACCTAGAGAAAGGTCTTTTCTACCTTGATCACCTTTCTCCGAAGCCGGCGGCTCCCAAGGTTCTATCGCGAGCTGAGCTGCGCACGCCATTCCGTTCCCACCTAAGCTACATAATGCTCCCCTAACCTCGTCTAATCGGTGCACAATCCGCATTTTTGTGGCTAGGTTTACTACAATCTAGCAGCCATGCTGCTCAGAGCAGCTCGATCATCATGCTGGCGCCCGGCGTTACGCCCACAGCCGCGCTCCGCCGGACCTTATCTACGCACGAGACCAGTTCCCACGCAACTACAAAGACACAATTTGTGCGGTACCATCCGGAACCAAGCAACTACCAGCAATGAAGACTCTGCGCCCAAGAATACCCCAGCTACAGCTACCCCGTCCGCCCAATTGTACACCGCAAATGCCGAAGCTACAAAGGTGGAGGGGCAGGCCGCAAGCCAGCCCAAGAAAGAATTACTCAATGAAACCGCCCAGGCCAAGAAGGAACAACGGAAGGCAGATTGGGAAATCATGAGGGAAATGGCCAAATACCTCTGGCCAAAGGTACTTCTCCTGTCACAGAGGTATTATTGTCAATGGAGGGCCTAACATTGTACTAGAATGATTGGGGCACCAAGCTTCGTGTTGGAACGGCTTTGTCATTGCTAATAGGAGCAAAGGTCTGATCTCCCTGATGAATGTTATGAAATTCATGCAAAGTACTGACGCAAGAATAGATCCTCAACGTGGAGGTGCCATTTTACTTCAAGAGTATTGTGGATTCAATGAATGTGGACTTTGCTTCTGTAGGAGGCACCGCCTACACTGTAGCGGGATCTATGATCATCGCATGTAAGACCGAAAAACCCATACCAGTTAAAGCTTCCAAGCTTCATATCTAACATCTTCTCAGATGGAGCTACTCGAATCGGAGCCACTCTGTTCCAGGAACTTCGAAATGCCGTTTTTGCCAGTGTAGCCCAGAAGGCCATTCGGAAAGTAGCGCGCAACGTGTTTGAACATCTTCTGCGTCTGGATCTGAATTTCCATCTATCCCGTCAAACCGGTGGCTTGACTCGGGCCATCGATCGTGGTACCAAGGGTATCAGCTTCTTGTTAACATCCATGGTCTTCCATGTGGTACCCACTGCGTTGGAGATCTCAATGGTGTGCGGTATTTTGGTAAGACTTCGTGAGCAGATGAAGAAAGCAGAAAATGTTGCTGACATTCTTCTAGACATATCAATATGGCTTTCAATTCGCGGCTATCACAGCCACCACTATGGTTGCTTATACCGCATTTACCATTACCACTACCGCGTGGCGAACCAAGTTTCGACGCCAGGCCAATGCAGCGGATAACCGTGGAGCTACAGTGGCAGTGGATTCACTCATTAATTACGAGGCTGTCAAGTACTTCAACAATGAAAGATTCGAGGTAGCTCGGTACGACAAGGCTCTCAAGAACTATGAAGATGCCTCGATCAAAGTGACCACCTCTCTCGCACTGTTGAATTCTGGCCAGAATATGATTTTCTCGAGCGCATTAGCAGCCATGATGTACCTGGCAGCCGATGGTGTCGCGACGGGATCATTGACAGTCGGTGACCTGGTCATGGTGAACCAGTTAGTCTTCCAGTTGTCCGTACCACTGAACTTCCTGGGCTCAGTGTACCGTGAATTGCGCCAATCTCTGCTGGACATGGAGACGCTGTTCAACCTGCAAAAAGTCAACGTAACGATTCAAGAGCGACCGAACGCCAAACCGCTGGAATTGAAGAGCGGCGGCGAGATCCGCTTCGAGAACGTCACTTTTGGCTACCACCCGGACCGACCAATTCTCAAGAATGCCACCTTTACCATCCCGGCTGGATCGAAGTTTGCTATCGTAGGCCCGAGCGGCTGCGGTAAATCCACGATTCTCCGATTGTTGTTCCGCTTCTACGATACTCAGACTGGTCGTATCCTGATCGATGGACAGGACGTGCGAGATGTAACTCTTGACAGCCTCCGGAAGGCCATCGGAGTTGTGCCGCAGGATACTCCGTTGTTCAACGATACAATTGCCCATAACATCCGATACGGCCGGCTCGATGCAACGGATGAAGAGGTGAAGCGAGCCGCGGAGCGTGCCCGTATTCATCAACTTGTTGCTGGGTTACCTGATGGTTATGAAACCGCCGTTGGTGAGCGTGGTATGATGATTTCCGGCGGCGAGAAACAGCGCCTAGCAATTTCGCGTCTCTTATTGAAGGACCCGCAATTATTATTCTTTGACGAAGCTGTAAGTGGTTCCACCCCACCCCCATCTTCCCTCCCTTTGTCTATTACATGCGTCATTTGGACCACAATGCTGGGACTACATGATACTAATCTTGTTTTTTTTTTAAACTCGTTTAATAGACATCTGCCCTCGACACTTACACGGAGCAAGCCCTCTTACAGAATATCAATAGTATTCTTAAGGAGAAGCGTCGGACGAGCGTGTTTGTGGCGCACCGCCTCCGAACCATCTATGATAGTGACCAAATTCTGGTTCTAAAGGATGGTAATGTGGTTGAGACGGGGTCCCACCGCGAGCTCCTGGACCTTGAAGGTGTTTATGCCGAGTTATGGAATGGTTAGTCCCCACCTCGTATTATGGAGTTCCTTATTTCTTTTTCCTTTTTACTAACCAAGTTTTAATTTAGCCCAAGAGCGAAGTCTGGCTCAAGATGAGGAAGTCGAGTAAATGAGAAGTTAACTTACAAATATCTTGGAGTACATAGAGAATTAATCTAAATCTAGATTAAAATCGATTGCGTATGTAACATGGAGTCAAGTATGGATGAAACAAGGAGAAGCCCAATTAAACCAATGAGAATAATAATTCTAACCTTGGGAAGACGCTAATCCACGTTGTCAGGGTCTCCACCGCGTGGTTTTTGGTACGTGCTTTTTTTGTTTGTTTTTTGTTTTTTCTTCTAGCTTGAGTCCCGCTTAAAATAAGGAGTTGATTAAGGAGTTTTAATTGTTCGATGGGTTCTAGTCCGTGTCTTGGTGGTCCTTAGTCTTTTTTAGTGTCTTTCTCTAGTGTAATTGTGGATTCTTCTCCTCTTGTCCCTGTTTACTCTCGTTAACTCTCAATTCTTCACTTCCTTTTTCTCTCCCTTATCCAGTCCACTCATTTAACGCGATTTGTGCAGCCACACTCTTTTGATCTAACTCCATTCTTTTTAACCGAGTACATTTACTGGAGCATTCCAATTGGATTCTTGTTCTCCAGCCCCTCCGGATTTTTGTGGCACTCACTAGTTCCTGGCGCTTGTTATCTTTTTGTGCCGCCTTTCCCCCCCTTTTCACTTGAGATATACGTGAAATTGAATTGAAAGGGAAAAAGAATTCCCTTTAATAGGTATGGAAAGAAAAAGGACATCAGATCTGAATTCATATCCTTCTATTCAAAAAATTAGGACCCTGAATCTGACTTATGCAAACAGTGACGTTCTTAAGGATTCCGTCCGGTGCCGGTCAGACCTCACGTTACGTACTACTGCATGAGGGAATGATTATCCATATATAGAAACATTCTGGATCTCGAACTTGAATACTTTGAACTTCAATCGAATCTTCTCCATCTTTCATCACTTTCATTTTCATTCATACAAAATGGGTCTCGCTCTTTTTGAAAAGCTTCAAGCTAGTACGTCAACACAATATTCATGCTTAACTCCGAATCTCGATTTCACAAATGAAATATGAGGGGTATAAGAAAAAAAAAAGATAGAAGAAGCTAACATATTACAAATTTAGAGCTTGAGCTCTACAGACTCGAACAACGATATGCCCGCCGCAAACACCGAAGCACTTTCTCTACAGGCGCCCAATATGTCGACGGCGAATACGTTTACAACACAGGTGCCAACTCGCCCACAAGCACAATCTCCAAACAATCAACCGGTAGCTGGTCACGACCATCTGGCTCGGGATCTCACGAATCTCGTTGGCGGTGATGATCATTCATAACAACTGAGTATCACTCGTTCTCAGTTCGACTCGATTCGATTCGATTATCTGGTGTACATATTGGCGCTTTGGAGGCTTTTTTCTTTCGTTGATCCGTTTTGACCTTTTTGCTGCCACTTTTAGCCGTGTGCTTTCCTTTTTCTTCGCGACATGTCCCTGCGAAGATTTTGACGACCTTGTGCATAGTCGCCATGTCTGTTCCGTTGGAATATTTCTTTTCTTTGTCTATTTTTTTTCTGGTCATGATTTGGATCAGCGGCGACTATCACCAAAATAAAGGATTCTTGTGTTTTGTCGAGGATGTCCTGCATTTCCAAGGTTGAAGTCGGGATTCTGGCACTTGACAGCTCAAGTGCTCTCGACTATTTTCTGTTCATATTTCACTTGCACCATACACATATTTTCATAGAATTGAAATATTGAGTTTGGCCAGAAGCTTACCTTTATGAGATCTTGTTAAACTAGATCATATAGTATTTACTCTGGGATATACGGTCTCAGTCTAAGCAGTATTATCACCGATATAGCTACATAGTATAAGAACAAGCAGCCTGAACTCATGTAATGAAGTAAGAAACATGGGTATCTTAATCTACATTTTCCCCAAGGCAAACCCTCATTTTTTCTTGCGGCCCCCAATACCAAGTTGCTGTCTTAGGTTAGGAAGACCCGATCGTTGTTTCGGCGTCGTCGAGCCGCCCTTCGCGTTAGGCTCTCCACGATTGGGGCCCGTCAGAGTACTCGGTCCTGCAGCTCCCAGGCCTAGATTTCCAGGACCGGGGCTAATCACACCAGCTCCACGCGGCGTGTCAGGAAAACCAGATCGGTCCCGAACTCCTGCAGTAGGGAAAGCTGTACTAAGTGATGGATGTAGCGAATCCACCTGATCTATCGTTTTAAGCTTTGAAGCCTGAGCACGACGAGCCCGTTCTTGAACAGTTTTGAACTTGTCAAGCATCTCAAACCAACGAATGGCGTTTTCTTCGCGGCTTTTCATACGGGGTCCCGTGGGACGATCATACGAGGGAGCGGCTTGGGGAGCGCTGCGAGGACTATTTAGCAAGGGCTTGCTCTGATCGGAATCTCGATTTGCATACCTGCGGGGTCCGCCTTGGAGAAATCCAATATTGCTGACGCTGTTCAAGCGGTTCTTGAGCGCAGCAAATGCGGAGCTTTGGGGGAGGAGCATGAGAACACCGTAGAGACATTTGTACAAGTAGGGGTATTTTTCGGGCTCGAGAAGTTGGAGACGAAGGTCTTGAAACTCATGTTAGTTAGGTTTTGAATAGGCGCGGTATCAGTGTGTGAACTTGCATGTAAAGACGGGGGATTCTAAAAGCTGTACAAGTTTGTCGATTTGAATGAGCATGTTGACTGTCATTTCAAGCTCGGCACTGTCATACGTTAGAAGGCTCCAGTGACTAATACTAAATAAGACTAGGCATAGACTTACAAAATCTGGAGGAGGTTGTAGGCCTGCTCATATGCTTGAGCAAGCAGGCACAAAGAGAACGTAGAGACGGCATTATGGCACCATGACCGGAAAAGGGTAAGAAAGAGCGTTTGGCCCTCCTAGTATTGAATGTCAGCCAGCTTCAACTAACACATCAGTATATCCAAGAAGCAGTGCTTACCCTTGAGTCCAGACTTCTCAGGCGCTTCCTCATGTCTGATAGTTCTGGTGCAGTGATCAAGTTATTGTTGAGATTTTGCACCATAATGCTTGCGAATTCAATGTCCTTTTTGGAGTTAGTAAGGCGAGCCATTACCTGGAAATTTTGCTGAGATCTTACCTCTTCCTTTTCAAGACACTCTGCCAGAGTCCGGTAGATACGCTCCGGGCTCAAGTTCAGACAAAGCTGTCGGATGATGAGATTTCCGCGTACTTCCAGCAGATGTCGGTCCGTGGAGAAAAGCTGTAGTAAGTTAATCATAAATGAGGAAAAGTAACTGTCTTCGCTGTGCTTCGAGATCTGGGATAGTAATTGGAGATCCTTTGTCACAACCGCTTCTGCCGGATCGGAGAGTGTTTTCAGTAGGGCCGGGAAAGTCCCATCGTTGAATGCGACTACCTTCCGAGGTGCCTTGCGGTGTAACATGATAAGCCACGAGAGCGCAGCTACCCGGGTAGCTTCGTGCTCGTTGAGGAATTGCAGCGTGAGAGAACTAACAGCCGCGGCATAATCCAAGTCGCCCGGTTGGAATGGAGTGGAAACAAGGCTACTGCGCGGCGTCATTGCAGAAGACTCTTGTACTGACCTCCTGCCTTCGAGGCTTGGAATCTCAGAAGACTTTCGTTCTAAGCCCTCCTTACTGGGCGTAACAGAGGGAGTCTTGGATGACGCGTGGGCTGCTTCGTCAGTTGTATCATCGGAAAGCGAGTAGATGTATTCGAGTAGAGACTTGTTGACGTTGTTTGCAGCTGTTCGGACATTGGTGGCACCACTAGACATAGCTGGGAGCACCTGAGTAAGTAATCGAGGAACAAAGGGAAGAATATCTTCTGGGCTAATCTCGAAGAAAGTATCGATCCAGCGGAGTGCAGTGAGTGTCATCTCCTCCTCTATCAATATGTTAGTGTGGACAAAGAAAGGCTACACGGCGCTGAAAGACTCACCATAAGAGGTGTCGACAAAACCCACAAGAATGTCCAAAATCCTCGGATAGTCTATTTGCACATCTTGTCCCGGAATCCAATCTCCCTCGGTCTGTGTGATATCATCGGAAACGGAAACTGATGCCGAATCCACCACGGCAATATCATCTCTATCATCCTCTGTTCCACCAGCGGTGTCCACCGTCTGTTCGGTTTTGCCACCTAGGCTGATCGTGTCGCTTGTCGCAGAAGGCCGGTAACCTTGAGACTTGCGGCTTTCTTCAATTCCCTTTTTTAGGCGGGTGATTCTTTTGATTTCGGCGAGAAAGCGGTCCAAAAGGCCTTGTGCTGCGACATTGACATCCTTATTCGGCCCACCCAGAAACTTAATCAAGCCTTCCAAAAACTCCGGCAGGTAAGTAACCAGTTCTAAATCGGGAATCGTGTCAAGAAGTGTCAGCCAGGACACCAGGAAGTTGCGAGTGAATGGTCCGATGACATGGATTCGTTCTTTCAGTAGAGGAATGAATTTTGCGAGAGAGAAAGCTGTAGGCAAGTCGTGTTCTTCGAAACCCTCTGGGTCTGCTATGTCCTTCTCCGATAGCTGGAGGACAGAAACATACGAAGCTGCCGACTCCGCAACAATATCTTTGACCAATCGATCGAGAAGTTCCGCCCCGTTCTTCACTGATAGCTCAGAGTCAGAGGCAAGCTGCGATAGATGATCAGCATCAATGAGTATATGTGAGAGCATTTTGAATTATTACCTTGGCTAGCGCATCAAAAATCTCGTTGAAGAAGAGCAGAATCTCTCCTTTGGCCACCTTCGCGATGTTGTACATACTCTCGCAAGCATAGTACCTGACGCGAGCATCTTGGTCGGAAAAGCAGGCCAAAACCGGCGGTACAATCTCCTTCAGATAAGGCGCTACACCTTCCTATAATCCCCATATCAGTCCAAGCCTTCGATATCTCTCTTTACTGGAGGACTCACAGATCCCAGAGCAATCGAGGCTGCGGCCAACCCGATCAGGCCACCATTTCGGGCATGTGGCTGATGCACGGCATATGCATAGTCATGACACAGCTGCTCCACAATCTTTTGTATCTTTTCGTGTTCCGATTTGAAGACGGCATCGCGGACGATTTTCTCGAGCCTGTGGAAGAGTCACATGTCAGCGTTATTCGGTTCTGCCGCTCATGCATCTTGACTGGGCTGCCTATAACATACTCTAAGGCTCCCTGCTTTCTTTTGTCATAGAGTTTGTCGTTGAGGAGTCGCTGGATAGATTGATCCATTGCTCAGTAGCGGGGAAAGCTGTTCCAAGCTCCGATTAAGCAATGTTCATGGTGGAGAGGGTGTTTTTGGAGGGATCGGGTGATCAAAGATCGGTCGGCAGGGAAATAGCCTCCAGCAAAATAAAGCCAGGCGGTAAAGAACAATCAAAATAATAGCATCCACCTGTGGATCCTATTGAATGAGAGGGTGGGGGTAAAGGTCATGAAAGGACGATGTGATGTGTTGTCAACGCGGAGTTGAGCCCAAGCGCGGTGTGACGTATGTCAGCAAAAGCAAATCGGCGTTGACTCGGGCCGATATAGATCGGTTCCAAGGTTATACTGAGACATCTGGAGTGAAAGAAATTAACAAAGAAGTACTTTTTCTTAAAATAAACCATAACAGAAACAAAGGATATTCAATAACTGTTTTATGTGTTTCAAATTTACAGCCTGTGCTAATGACTCATTTCCTTCGTATAGATGTACTGCAGTAAGGTGAGGGGTAGTTGATTGAGTAGGCTGGACATGTACCTCGTATGTAGTAAAATCATGATTTGAAGCAGGTGGGCGTGATGAGAGATCATGAATAGTACTGAGAATTCAGACTACTAGTACTTAGGGGTAACCATTTACCAGTTGACGTTGGCAGAACTTGCATGTGAAGTCAACGGCCAACATTTAACACATGTTTACTGATCCTATTATGGTATAAGAAGACAAGGCTCAACATTCAAATGTTGTGTTTGAATGATGATTTCGGCTACTAGTATTTCTTAAATCATGAACTCTATGTTTTTACCTGACATCACCACTTTCTAAGGAGGAGTGCCTACATAATGTGTGTAGTTACTAGTTAGTACTTTATACCGAGGGTTCTAAGAAGTCAAATACTTCCCAAGGGTTCATAGTCAAAATGAACTATATGTAAACCTAGGTATCTTGGTAGATCTATATCCTCATTCTGTACTTGTATTATTGATTTAATTTATCAACTGACATTCATCGAGCTCAACTTGGAATTCTCTGGGGGAACTGGGGAAACCGGGAAGCTTAAGCTTATGAACGGCATCTTCCGATACCCCGGTCACATGAGCGGGACTATTGTTTACGAGCCCATAGCAAAAAGGAATAAAGGACACTTTTCAAATTGTTTGCTATCATCTCATTTAGTTCATTTGGTCTGATAAGGTTCTCCACAAATGGTCTCACTTGATTCGTGCCCGCATGTGTCATCTCTCCTCACTTGGAGTTGTCCTGAAGTTATCAGGCTAACAAGCCAGTTGAAGCCACTCATGCTCTCTATGTGGGGGGGGATTGTTTGAGATTTTGCCTTTCTCGGAGAGATATTCGCAGATAGCATGCGAGGAATTACCAATTTGAATTGGGATGGGTCTCTCAATTGAATTTTAGTGACGGTCAGAGCTCTAGCCGAGAGACTTATTATAAAAGGCAGCCCATATCGATGCTACTAATAGTAGTTGAGTTTTTGAATTCAATTGATCTTATGCCAAAGAAAGTACTTGAAATCACATAGTCAGAGTTTATTCATTTTGCCATTGATAAGAGTCCCAAGTCTCTCATACATTCGAACATCACCCAGCATGGCTAACAAGCCAGACGAAGTCAGGGAATCGCCACAGTATGATGGAGAGCAAGCAAAACCTACATACTCCGATGGCAGCGAGCTCATTTCGCTTGGTGATATTGACCAAGCTTTAGCTGCTAAGATGTACCTTGTCAATGATGTCCGTCTCCCTCATATGCTTGAATAGATATCACTCAATTTTTGCGTATAATGTTGGCTGACGCATATGAGCAGGCAATTGACATGATTGGTTTCACATCATATCATACAAAACTATTTTTTCTCAATGGCTTTGGGTAAGTAGTAGACTGGTACTTGCTCGTTTGAAACACTGAAGGTCTTATCAGCTAACCTTCGAAACAATGTCAGTTATGGAGTCGACTCACTTTTGCTTTTCCTCATGAGTATATCCGCCGATCAAGTCGTGGCACAATACCCTCCGAAGTTTAAGCGAGGTGCACAATTGGGCTTTTATCTTGCCTTACTAGTTGGTGCACTATTCTGGGGCAGCACAGCAGACATAATTGGCCGAAAATGGGCCTTCAACTTCTCACTTCTGATTAGCGCCATCTTCGCCATTACGGCTGGCGCAGCTCCAAATTACCCGGGATGGGCAACCATGGTTGCCTTGTCAGCTTTTGGGTCAGGAGGAAATCTAGTACTAGACACCACTGTCTTCCTAGAGTATCTTCCATCCAACAAGCAATGGCTACTTACACTGTTAGCAGGTTGGTGGGGAGTTGGCCAGACTGTGGCTGGTCTGGTTGCCTGGGGTTATATGGGTAATACTAACTCTCTTCCATCCTTCAAATGTTCAACCCAGAAAATGGTAATTGCCAGTAATGAGCTAACGGAGCTTTAGCCAAATATAGTTGTCCAACTGATGGATCTGTCCCTTGCACAAATGCTAACAACATGGGATGGAGATATTTGTTTTACACATGCGGAGCCCTTGTTTTCATTTTAAGCATTGCTCGAGTACTGGTTATTCGATTCCATGAGACACCAAAATTTTTGCTTTGTCAAGGCCGAGATGAAGAAGTGATCAAAACACTTCAGGATCTCGCTAACAAACATGATCGAGTGTGTCATCTGACATTGGATCAACTCCAAGCGCATGGCCAGATTCATAGCTCTCACGCTCAGAATAAAGCATCGTTCTCTGAACTAGCTGTCCATGTACGAGGTCTCTTTGTCACAAAGACTCTAGCCTTATCCACATCCCTTGTTTGGCTCTCATGGGCTTTGATTGGATTGGGCTATGCGCTATATTACGTTTACCTGCCAGAATATCTAGCTTCACGAGGCTCTTCTGGAGCGAATTCCGTCGATATTACCTGGCGTAATTATGCAATTACCAATCTGTGTGCGATACCAGGTCCCATTATAGCAGGATTTATGTGTGAAATGCCAATGTTTGGACGAAAGAGAACGATGTCTATTGGTGCAATCATTACTAGTGAGTTAACATGATAGATCTTTACGAACAATAGCACTGACAAAATCCAGTGGTATTTTTCTTTGGATATACGGCTGTCAAAACAGATGCCCAAAATTTGGGCTTTTCATGTGCGATCTCAGTCTCGATTAACATCTATTATGCGACTCTATATGCCTACACGGTGGAGGTTCTGCCATCTGCACATCGCGGCACAGGAAATGGCATTGCCGTTGCACTGAATCGATTGATGGGGATGGTTTCAGCTCTTATTGGCGCCTTTACTTCCACATCCACCTCAGTGCCAATCTATGTGTGCGCGGCTCTGCTTGGCATGGGTGGCATTCTTGCTGCTCTATTTCCTTTCGAGACTCGCGGGAAGAAGAGCATTTAGTTATCATGTCATGTAGTATTGACTTCAGCTATCACGCGGAGTAAAATCTATGTATCCTATCTCTCGTCTGCTTTAATTGATAAGACACGGAATAAGATCTCAAAACTAAATTAAATCACTCAATTCCAAAGTCCAATCTCGGAACGAGTCCGTTCAGCTGATCTCGGATGAGACCGTCGGCCTCCGTCCGTATCACAAGGCTGCATGGACCAGGATCTGCCTACCAGAACGGAAGTTGCCCTCGTGATACAGTCTTATCTTTTCAGATTTTTTGCACTTTTGGATGATTGAATGATATCATGTCTGAAGTACCAGTAGGCAACAGATGGGACCAAAGCAAGTAGATTTACCTATTATTACAAATTTCCCACCTCCCAAACTCCCCGATAAGGATTCTCATGATCCTGAAATTGAAAGAACGGATCATGTGTAATATCCATGAAAGACATTTCTGTCGGAAACCCAGAACCTGGCCATCCTAATGGATCCCGTGGCAGCGGCTGTTGAGGTGGGCCACCAGTACCATTATAATCAACCGAATTTCGACTAGATCGGATCCATGGCTCATTTTCTGAGTTTTCTGAAGCTTCCTGGTCAAAAGTACTCGAATATGGTGGCAATGCCTGGCCTCCATCTGATGTATCCACCGCTCTAGCGGAATGATGGAAAACTTCTGTCTCAACGGTCATTTTATTCTGGTTCTTTGGCGGAGGCGGTATAAATGACTTGTCAAAGAGACCTTCTCCTGGGGAAGCAAGAGTAATTTTACTAGAGCTGTGGCATAGAATGTCCCACATCAACGTAGTATCTATTGACAGTGTCCTTCGGGCTAGACGATGATGGTTCGCACGCGGGCTAACAGCAAATGCTGACTGAGTAAGCTCTTGGATTTTTTGATGCTATAGTAAATTGTCAGTCTAGATTGAATTGATGATATATGATGATCACATACCAGCACCTGGCATCTTGGCCATTTTGTAGCAAGGTTGCTCAAGTATCGTGTGCAAGTTTCGAGCTTCCGGTGAGCGGATTCTCGCATAGTGGTATCCGCGGCACAGCAGTAATAAAGATGAATTGTGGCTGCTATTGCCACTGCATGGCATAGAAACGGATCAGATATGTCATACTCTTTTTCGACAATCATGTCAATTAGGCGAACTGTCCATGTTGTGTGAATCAGTGCCAACTCAGATGATGTCTTCCAAAACGTGTTCGGTACTGCCAGCTGAGCTGACTGCTGTGGTCGCCATGAGTAGAGAAAAGGGTGGTTGAGAACGCTGTGGACAGCGTGATAGGTGAACTGAAGGTAGAGCCAAGGACTCCAGTAGCCCCGGTCTCGATGTAATTCTTCCCGTGACTGATCCTGGAATCTCACGGAGTCGTATCTGTTGCAGGTGGGAAATTTCGTCTCAATGTCCATCAAATGGGCTCCAATAATTGAATATCCAGAATCAACGGACCAAGGAGGTGTAGAATATCCACCGGCGCAATGTGAAACGTATTCTTGAACTTCGCTCCACAGAGTCGCCAGTTGCACCATGTAAACCCAGATACCGCCTCTAGAAGTGAAGGCACCGTTTTCCTGAGGAGTCTGTGGCGGCTTCATCCCCATCTCACGCGGAGAACCATTATTAACTGCCATGTATTTTGGACTATGGATATCCCGCAGCATATTGAGATGCATACTGTGTGGCGCATAGTGTTGCTTGAGAACATGGATGCTCCAGAAAACCCGCCTTCGCTCTTCAAGAACGGGACTAAAATCTCCCTCATGCATTTCAATGTCAATACCAGCGCATTGAGTGAGATTTGATGCAAGGCCAATGTGCAGCCAAACGAGATGCGTGTCATTAGCTAAAGCGGTTAGATATGAGCTTGATGACGGGAAAAAGGAAATTCTCACCTATATACTCTGCCAATGCGACCAGACAGAGGCTTTTAATGGTTGAAAGATCCACTGTTCCCTGGGCGATCCGAAACATAGCATAGCTTCGAGTAGCTTCGGCGTAGTATCGACACAATTGATCTGTCCGTTCGCCCAAGAAAGCATTATTTGAATAGCGCAGAGCAAGACTGAGCATTCCGAAAACCACTTCTCTGCGACAAGCTCCAGGTATTGAAATATCATCCGGATCAAATAACCAAAGGGGCTGTTTATGACAATATTTGAAGTAGAGGGCAATTCCTTCTGCAACGATCTCCTTTGACGGCAGTGAAAATGGAAGAGGGTTTGTAGTCCGAATTATCACTTCATCTTCCTGCACATCTTGTTGCTCAATTGATTCTGTATTCTCGCGACTTTGTGGCGCCTGGGAAGCCGACCTGGGTGTCCTAACTTGACGACTTTGGCTGTCGTAATCAGTACTCTGACCTTCGTTCATATGAGGGATAATGGCGATCCGCACAGTGAGCCCTCTATCATCATCTCCATTTTCTCCTCCAATTGTTGTAGTCTATCTTCCTATTTCAAATTAGCCACTGTAAGGGTACTCTTTGAGCAGTCTGCAGGCATACGGTCATACCAGAACTCGATCGCCCCCTTGAGGCTTGTCAAAGAATTCATAGTTCCTGCTGTATTGGCATGACTGTCGTAAGCGCATGCAGGTGGAGCAAGCCGGACGTTCTCCAGGACATCTTGTCTTTTTGCGCCTTCAAATTTTTCAAGTTAATCATATATCCCCAGGCTCAATGCATCGGCTTCATTGAACCAAACCTACCTGCAGTTTTCACAGGCCTGATGTAATCTTTTCTGAACACGATTATTCATCTGGGGTAATTCAAATCTAGATATCAAAAATAGAAAAAAAGCAAGGTGAAAAAGAAGGAGAAGAGGTGAGCTATGCATAATAGACTGGTGTCCTTTAAAACGGTCGCGGGGTTACCGGGTCTGAACCCGCGAGCCGGTCATGATAACACGCGGGGGCGCTCCACTTAGATCATTAGACTCTATCGAGGGGAAACATTACCCATAAAGGGGAGCTGATGACACAACGCGTTCTGGACACTCTTAGCCTTCAAAAATTTTCGATTTTCCCTATGTGTCCCCGAGGGGTTACAGCTTTTTCGTTACACGACATATGTACGACTTTTACAAAAGCTAGAGAAGGGTAAGGACTAGATCGATGGATAGCATCAAGATTCAATATACTCGAATATTCAGTATCAGGCAAATTGAGTGAAAGCGCTAGAAATTATGCAGCTCAAAAACTTATCAAAAGAAATTTGAATCAAGGCTACCACTCCAACTGACCATTGCTACCGCTAGAGCATGATAACCCCGAGCAAAAAGCGATATCTTCTGCAGTAGCTTGTCCTGTTGAGTCTTGTCTTGCAGGCCAGATCTCTCTCCTCTCACTTTTCTCTTCTTCGCGATGAGATTTCAGAAGAGCTCTGACAGTATTCTGGAAGAAAATAGGAGCACTCTCAAGACGAGGATGCAGTTGGCCATTCACAAATATGCCAGCATTCAAATTTTTCTGAGCTGCATTGCAGAGATGTTTATCTTCGTCCAGGACTCTTTTGAAGAATGAATCAATGTACTCAAAATCTTCATCTGAGGCCTCTTTATGTCGATAAACCTCATACTCCATAGAGCAAGTTCCAGCAGATGTTGGGACACATCGCATCATGTAAAAGAAATGAGGTCTGAGGAGAAATGTTAATGAATATTCTCAAATTTGCAAATTTGTAAGACTTACGACACTGTCATGCAGGCATTGGGAAAATAATATGTGCTGGCGTTTTGAATGTCCTCACCAACCTTATCTTCCTTGGGTCGGGAGAAGTGTTGAATATGCCCTGGGGTCGAGATGGTGTAGTAATATGAAAGATCAGCAAGGTTGGCTACGTCAGGGTGCGCAACAGTGCAGTGATAGCATTCATTGTAATTATCCGCCAGAGTTTTCCAATTATAGTTGCCGGTCATATGCCAAGTATGATCAAACTTGTATTGACTGAAGTCGAATTTCTGGAATCGCTCCTGCTTATCCACACCTTTGAAATCCTCTTCCCAGGGAATTGAATTGGAAGATGCATTGAGGTTGACCCAAATAAAGCCAAGTTCGTCAACATGCACATGAACTGGAAATAGACTCTGATTCTCCTTTTGAAATCCCGGGACATCGTCGAATTTTGGTGCTTTGGCGAGCTTTCCGTTCAAGCCATATGACCATCCGTGGTATTTGCAGGAGAGTATCTTCACATTGCCTTCATTTTCTGATAGCAAAGGGAAGGCTCGATGACGGCAGATATTGTGGAATCCATTCAGATTGCCCTCTCGATCGAGACATAATACAAAAGAGAATCCGGCTTCTTCAAATTTGAGAAAATCGCCAGGCTTGGTGAAACGTAACTTGTGGGTGACCAGGATCCATTTCTTTGAAAAGATGGCCCTTCGTTCTAGCTCATATAGCTCTGGTGAGCAATACCAAGAGGCTGGAAGCGCTTTGGGTGGCTCATCTTGGATTTTGGGAATACCCGGCTTAGAAGGCTTGTATCCAAATAATGATGCAACTGCTGTAGCCATGATGGTAGATTGCTGTAAATGCTTCACAACTCGATCAGTGAATCTAACTTGGGTAGTCGGCGCCAATCTGGGTTATATCTTCCACATTTTGATCCATGCTGAACCCTCTTGAACATCTTTCCGATCACGCGACAGTGTACCCAGAATGTTGGAGCATGTGCTTAAACGAGGCGATTCGTGACGTTTCTAACGCGGCGTGGGGCCGACGGTGAGAGTGCCGTCCTACTCTCGCCGTGTTTGATATTCTATTATCGCAGACGGTGCAACCCGCCGAGTCAAAGATCAGTGCGTTTTTAACTTTTCACTAAACTCATAGCTTGAAGAGCAGCCGATCCAAGTTTAAATCAACACGGCTCATCGGCTTTTATGCCCGATCACGTGTATACACGCAGTGTCGAGACATGGATGCTTGACGGGATGTGTGGTCACTGTGGTGGCTTCAGCATAGTGTCACCTAAATTACCTAGGTAGTCATGCTCGTATTGTGCAAGTGAAACTTCACTATAAGAAACGCAGTAGTTTATGCTTAGCGATAGCTGAGATTGGAAAGGAGACAAGACTGAAGTCACGAATTGCTGCAATACGGAGTCCTCCGGTCATGTGCACCCCGCATTGTGATACATCGGATTCATGGGGCTGCGGACCGTCTCCATATGGAACCTTGGGGAGTCAATTCATATTTTTGGTCTGATAATTGAGTTTTGAATATTGAAGCATTCCAAATTTCGAGAAAATCAGCTCTCAATTCTGTTATCATCCAAAGCTGAAGCAAAATTATTTGTTTAGACACAACCACCATGGGCTCGATCAACACAACAGACGATGGTTCGAGATTTGTTCTGACTGCAGAGGCTCTGAACAAGGCCCTCCCTACTATGCATCCTACTACAAGAGCTATTCACGCGGATGATTTTGTCACCCCTCATCGCGCTATTGCCCCTGGTATGCACACGGCAGTGAACTTCCGCTATGCACGAGACCCTGAGCACCTGGTTCCAGAGGAAAACAAAGATGTGAGTTTCAAGTCTCTCTAAAGAAGATATCATTTTCTGACGGAAACCTCTAGCCAAATGCCCCTGATGACTCTCATGTCTACTCCCGCTATACTGCGCCGAACTCAAAGCGCTTGGAGGTTCTGCTGCGTAGCCTCATGGGCGGCGAGGTAATCACTTATTCTACCGGACTGTCCGCCTTCCATGCTATGGTGATCCTTCTCAACCCTAAGAAAATATTCATTGGTGATGGATACCATGGGTGTCATGGCGTTATAGACATCATCCAGCGACTGTCAGGCGTTCAAAAATTGGAGTTGACAGATATTGACCAAGCCGGTCCCGGCGACATCATTCATGTTGAAACACCCCTCAACCCAACTGGCGAAGCCCGAAATCTTGCCTATTACCGAGCCAAAGCAACCAAGAAGGGCGCCTATTTAACTGTGGACGCTACATTTGCGCCTCCTCCCCTCCAAAATCCGTTGGATCTCGGAGCCGATATTGTGATGCATAGTGGTACCAAGTACGTTGGTGGTCACTCCGATATGCTCTGTGGTCTCTTGGTCATTTCTACAAAGGGGGTAGAGAAAGGATGGATGAAGACTCTACACACGGATCGTCAATACATTGGAAGTGTTATGGGAAGCTTTGAAGGCTGGCTGGGTATTCGTTCGGCCCGTACTATGCAGCTACGCGTGATGAGACAGGCTGAGACAGCCCAAAAGCTTGCCGCCTGGCTGCAAGACCAATCAAAGGACCAATCATCTCCAGTTGGTAAAGTCATAAGCCGAGTTCAGCACGCGTCGCTCCAAGCGGATGATCTAAAAGATGGCTGGCTTCAAAAGCAGATGCCTGGAGGCTTTGGACCTGTTTTCTCTATCTGGGCTCACAATTTAGACCATGCGCGTCGACTGCCGAGCAGAATGTATGTGTTTCAGCATGCAACTAGCCTTGGAGGAGTAGAGAGCTTGATGGAGTGGCGAGCTATGAGTGATGCAAGCTGTGACAATCGATTGCTAAGAATAAGTTGCGGCATTGAGGAGTTTGAAGATCTCAAAGCGGATATCTTGCAAAGGGTGGAGTCTCTCGTACGTGAATTTCCTTAGATTTTGCTATCAAGTGCTTCAATATTCATACACGGCGGTGTTCCAATTACAATAAAATATTCCAAGGTTTATATGGAGGTAGGGTTGACCTGTGGTAGTAAATTTTCGCTACCTACTTCAGGGCTTCATACTCTCCTAGCATTCATCGGAATCCATGCCTGCAGTCTCTCTGCAGAAATTATTTCTTAGCCTCCATGTTGAAGATATTTGTTGGTGTTCCTTTGGCCCTGACTAGCCCCACGCTCCATATGGAGTGGCGTAACCATAGTAATGACCACTGGCCGCGCGGCTCAACTCCACTCTTTTTTTGATGCCTAACATCCCCCTCCGAATGTGATGGATATTTTCGTGCTAATTTCTTTCAACAAAAAGTTAGCATACTAGTTGATATACGAAGCTTATCCTTTAGATTGAATGTAACACAGAGTGAGCTACACTCAAGGTCAAGAGGATCACACTGGTGATATTGATGACGCGGTCTTCTGGAGTTGACACTAACATCCATGTTGATAGTGGCTGGGATAATTCTGCATATCCATTTTACACGTTCCAGCTCTACTAGATTATCTATTGGCAAAGCTTCTTTCTGCCAAGCCTCAAGCCTCATACGACATGATCCCAGCCATTCTATTGATCAACAGCCCTCAAGTGCTGGAGGATACACTAAATTTCGGCGCTATTATGAACATATCCTTGTTTCAGTCTCTTTGCAGAATTTTCTGTTTCTGGGATTCCGTATAGTGAAATAGGTCGAAATCATCCATCCTTATTTGAGAAATCCCAGGAAATGAATTCAAGCCGAGCTATAACTAGATACTACTATAACGTCGATGTGAACCAGTATGTACTTCATTTCTTCAAATGTTTGTGTTAGTGCTTTAACCTACACGGGAAGTTTCAGGCAGATAGGTTCTCTGTAATTGATTTGAGCTTTGATTTGATGTGTCAATTTCGGGAGAGACGGGGAATGATGGTCACTAATGCGAGTGTTGTTATGCACCCTGGAATGGATCTGGATTCATCCCGGGGCCTCTACTAGTACCGACGCTCTCCACTCAAATCTCCAGGCTCTGCCTATGAAAAGAGGACATTAATATCCACTTAATCTAAGCCACAGATAACAAGAAATGAGGGAGGCGCATACTCTATTAGCGCTGATAAGATCCTCCGTTGTCATGGCACACTAGGTCAGCTCGGTGGCTGGGGGTCAACAACTTGAAGAGAAAGATCAGAACCATCAGTTTAAATAGCCAGTACATTCCAGTCCTTAAGATCTCAGTTCAAGCTTCACTCCTATCCACTATCGATCTGACTCTATCAAAAACAAACCTCACCTTCTATCACCCTCCTCCTCAGACTCAGTGTGCTTCTATAAGAACATTCATCAACATGAAGTTTACCATTCTCAGCTCTTTTCTCTTCTTGGCTACTGCCGCCATGGCTGGAAGTGGCAGCTCTGACTCCACATACTCCGAGTCCAACTCAATAAACGATTCCGGTTCGAGTTGGGGCAATGAGGGCTCATCAGAAGGCTCAGGTATTACCCAAGCTTCAGGCAGTCAGTATACTGCTGCCGCCAATCGAGACGACTCTTGGGCATCTGGTGACCAGAGCAATGGAGTCACCATGCAGCAGTCGACCTGGACTACCACATTCACAACTACCAACTCAAACGGCCAGACTACCACCGAGACTTCTACTGTTACCAGTAATGTTCAATCCAACTCCAATAGTACCTCCACCACTACTGCTACGGGTACCTCTACTGGGAATAGCACAAACGGTGCTTTTCCCCGCCAGACTGGCTTGGGAATGACAGCTGGTGGTGTTGCTGGTCTACTTGGTGTCCTCGCGATCCTGTAGATAGTCTCTTGACTCAATCTCGGATAGCATGGATATCTTCTTTATTTGCCTTTTTCTTCTTCGCAAACCTCTTGACCCTCACCTGGGTCTCCAAAAATACTTGTATGATGACGGAATGGGATGAGATTTTGTATACCCTGATCACGATTGACGCTTTTGTTTTCTTTTGTTTTGTTTCTTTTTCTCCATAGAGACTTCACACAATGTTTCTACGAGTAATTATCAATTTTTGTCTCCTTGAAAATACGAATCACGCATGGATTACAATATTCTACCTGATTGACATTTTTCTTATGCTCCAACTCCAAGAAAAGTAACGCGACCTGTCTTATGACCCATAACCAGAACATTTCCCCTGGTCACAACAGCACACGTTGGTTTGTACTCCGTGGGGAGGATCAATTCATGCTCTCCACCGCGAACCACCCAGTCCCAATCCACAAATAAATGACGACTATTACTGGCATTCCAGTCGGCCCTGAACACTCCCAAATCTATGCGGCCCATGTTGGTGACAACCATGCCGTCTTCGAAGTAAAGAGGCTTTCTGTCAATTGTTGCACAGTATTCCCATACGTTATGTTCATTGAGTAGGACCATTTCATCGTCAACTATCTCTCATAGAGCCAATTCATCGGAGCCAGCCAAGGACGCGACGAGGTTTCCATCAGATGAGAATGCAACGCCGTTCCAATCAGGAGCGTGATTTTTGGCGGTCTTCTTCACGAGGTTATAGGTTAAGTAGGCAGCCTCCAAGTTTTCACCTATGAATGTGACCTGTGTTCCGTCGTTGGTCCATACAATTCGTGTCATATTGCCAAACGAGGTATCCTTCTCAAAGAGACATCTTTGTGCCTTGACATCCCAGATTTCAACTCTCGGTTTCCTTGATCCATGCCATGATGGCCATTCCTCTAGACCGAATGCTAGAAGTTTGTTGTCTGGAGAGAATGACAGATGATTGACGTATTTGTATTCGTTGGTGAAAGTGTGGATCACTTTGCCGGTGGCCGCATCCCAGACCTTCACTATGGGAATGCCACCTTCCTCCTCTTCCTCCTTTCCTCCCTCTTCTTCTCCTTCGTCCTCTTCATCCTCTGACCCATCATTATCATCTTCGTCATCGTCATCGTCATCACTCTGTTCATCTTACTCAAAATGCCAACTAAGTCTCTCTTCACCCAGTCCTTTCGCAAATAGGCTGCCATCTGGGGTCAATGCCATACGACCGTCGCCGAGAAACGCTCTCCCAAAATCTTGAACAAGCTGGTTTGTGACAATTTTCCACAGCTCCTTAGCTCCAGAGCGACGCCCATCTTTCAAGAACACACTTCTGTTACATTCAGGGGATGGAAATGACTCATCTGCCTCTTCCACCTGTATTAGCCGCAAGAGGGTGTCAGCTTTTATATCCCACAGACCAACGTGGCTTGCAGAAATTGAGATTGCATGTTTCTGATCAAACGACAACATGAGCTTGTATACTCCGTCTGGGTGGCATTCAATCTCCTCCAAGGCTGATATTGAACTCAAATCCCAGAATCGGATGTTCGACGACTGATACACAGATGCGAGGGTCTGACTATTGGGAGAGAATGCAATATTCTTGACATCGTCCATATGGGTGTCAAAGATATTTGCCAGCTCACCAGTCGCCGTATTCCAAATTTCAATCTTAGATGCCGTCCTGTTATGCCGGCCAAACAACCCTGAGGCGAGGAACTTCCCATTTGGCGAAAACTCAAAGTCGGGATGTTCTGCAGGCATTGCTCTTGAAAGTTCTCCGGTTGCGATATCCCAGAGTCGGAGCTTTGTCTCACTGGTCCAGGATGCGATGGCCTGGCCATCAGGCGAGAAAGAAACCTTGTTCTTGATTTTATCGTCCTCAAAACTCATGTCATCATAATAATATTCCTCATCATCGACTTCACCCGAACCTGATCGTTTAGATTATCCTGATCATTCGGAATCACCAACAGCATATCCTCAGTCGTCGTATCTCAGAGCCTTATCGAGGGACTATCTGCATACATACTTGCCATGAGTTTCCCGTTGAGTGAAAATGCGACACTTTCTACAGGAGAATGATAGCTCCAATGACTTGACGACGAATCATCTGACGAGTCACTTGCGACACGGCTGCTTCCATCAGAGAAAATTCCAGTCGACTTCATACTAACAGATGGGCCATCAAGGGTCTTTTTCAAATTACCCGTCTGTGTCCCAAAGCTGAACAACACCGCCAGAAGATGCGATTTCCAAAATGCCTCCGTCTGGAGAAAAAGAGAAAATGGAGGAGTAATCGGCGTCAGTGTCAATTCTTTTCGTCGTCTCCTTTTTGATGTCGAGCAGAGTTACTCCCTCGTCGAGAAGTCCTGCAACAAGAGCATGTGTCCCGCTTTCTGATATCACTTGAGATTTACTCATCCCTGACAGACCGGGGACAGTCATCTCTTCAATTATCTCACCCGACTCGGTATCCAAAACCGTAAGGCGACCGCAGGAGTCGAGACATACAATCTGCTTATCGTCATTCGAGAATACACAAGTCGATACATCCGTGTTCGACTCGACTTCCCGCAAAAGCGTCCCTGTCGCCATGTCCCAGACGGAAACAACCTGACTGATCGACGAGAAAGAGGCAAGAATCTTGCCATCTGATGATATGATTATATCGTCACCTGCATCCTCATTAATCAGTTGTAGGAGTGGGTCCCAGTCTTTTTTCATTTTCGGAAGCTGGAAAAATAATTTTGGTATCGAACTCTGGAACGTTTGTCGGCAAATACTGAGTTCAGGGCAGAATATCAGGGCCATTCAATAGACCTGAAGTGGCGCAATCAATATATATATGGCTTGCAGGCGAGGACGAACCGCGTCATATCAAACAGCATAGCATGCAGATGAGTCCTTTCTTCGCGCTAATTTTCATTCAGTCAGGCTGGTGGTTCTTTTGTTGAGAATGAGCAAATGAAGTTTAAAGTTTTACTACTCACAGGCAGAGCATCAATATAGTCCGAAAATTTTAGCACATCATGTGCTGCCTCCGGTATCATATTAGTGACCCCCATGACCTCAAGCCAGTGCAGGAAATGCTCCTTAAGAAACTGATGGACTTCATCATCATCCTTGGGCTCGAGATGAGCCTCTTGTAGGTGATATAACCAGTACTGGGAGGCATACTGCACCCGAATTGTGACGTTTTGGCCCAACCAAAATGACTCAGACTCATTTTCTTCATTGTAACCATATAAGTCTCCAAGACCGGCTATGTCTTCCTTTAAAGTACCATTTTGGACCTCTAAGCAAGATTGAAATAGAGCCGTGTGGGCTTTCTTAGGGTCCAGGCGAAATTCGTCCAGAAGACATCTTCCCTTCGGTTGGTCAAGCAAGAAGTCGCGAAAGGACAAGTGGAGTAACTGAATGGTGGAGTCTTCACTGTCTCCAAATGATAGAACTGAGCCTAGAGTATTCAAAAGGCTTTGTGTTTTATTTTTCTCACTTGCAGACAAGAGTAGAAGCTCGCCAAGGATGGTGATTGACACTGGCTCAGCTAACATGATAACGGCCCCAATTACTCGCTGAAACAGATCGTAAAACTTCCTTTTCTCAACCTTTGTTTTTCGATGGCTGTGAATGATGGAGAACCGTAAGATCTGGCTGTAGATCTGGTCTAGATTGTTCTGAGAGTATTCCCCTTCTGCTCCGTCACCGAGTGCCTGCAAACGGTCGTCTAGGTCAATTCTGTCGCTCTCTACACCTTCCAAAAAACGACATGCTGTCGCTGCGTAGATGAAGAGTCCATCTGCCTTTATAGCAAGATCTTGAAAAATGCTCGCTACTTCGGCTTGGCTCAGCCAGGGCTGTTCTTCAGTTCCTGGGTCCAAGCGGCTAGTCAAATTTTGCCTCGCAATAATATTCATTTTGTACTGCAGGTAAGTGCTTATATCATCTGCTTCATCCGAGTCAGACGTCACAAGGCCTTCTTGTAGTTCAAGTTCATAGCAAAAATCCTTAGGGAGCGCTTTAGCACAAATCTGTGAATGTATCTCTGGTCTGCTGGTGATGAAGACTTTCAGGCGGATGCTTCGCAGTTTTCGCGCCATTGTCATAAGTTGCAGAATTTGTTCAATGTCACGCACATCCTTTTGGGACTGCGCCGGATCCTCGGATATACATTCATTAAGAGCGTCTATCACCAAGACTAGGGTCACAGGTAAGAGAACTTTCTCTTCTAGGGATACAAGTGGGCCAATAATCAATTGGTTCCACTGGTTGCTCCATAGCTGAGTCCCAATTGACCGATTATCTGATATCGCCTGACAAATATTGTCGGTTATCGGTGGGAATGACTCAGATAGTCCCATAGAGATAGAAGTTAGAGGTCTGTCGGCTCTATTACGCTCAGCTTTGGTCCTGTCGAAGAAGAAACTAGCTCCGAGGCAGAGATTTTCTGACAGGGGAGTCCCGTCAGGCACTAATGATGTTCGATTTTGGCACGCTGCAGCAAATGTGCGCGAAATAAAAGACTTCCCCGTGCCGGCCATTCCTGTTAGCCAGAAGACCTGGCTTTCGTCGGAGGATTCAGCCCAAGCCTGGATTTGGCTGAGTATCTGTATTCGGGTTCCTTTCAGGCATTGCGATTTATCTGCATCTTGCAGAGCATCAAATCTTGCTCCCAATGCGACAGGTAGTTCTTTGAGGAGGTCTTGTTGCTCAGAGTCCTTGGAAAATTAGCAACAACCTTCGTTAGTGAAATATTGAAAGGAAAGTACCATGAACTTTTCAAGCAATCCATCTAGAGACTTTATAACCGCCTGCTTGGGCCCTCCTAGCTCAGTTATGATCTCCTGCACATCGCTTCCAGCGAATGCTCTCAAATCATCACTTATCCGCTTATCGAGGGCTTGAATGGATTCCAGCATCCCGCTCCATTTATCAGTGACCGCCCAGTCCTGGAAAAATCGTATGAACCCCGAGTGGACGAAATGCTTGATGAGCCGCATATGAAACTGCAAGATGCTGGAGTACAATTTGACGGTATTTGTTCTTATTAATTCTTCAAGATCCTTAGCTGACTCTAGTTGACTATGATCAGTCTTCGAGTAAATCTTGGCCTGATTCTCTTCCAAAAACCTGTACCGAACCATGAGATCCGAAACAGTCGCAAACCCATTCATTGCGTCTTCATCCTGCTGAAAAGATTTCGCTAGCAGATCTAATAGCATCAAAACTCCGGCCCATGCAAGAGAGGCTTGTGGATGCGCGCTTATTGCCGATGAGATAATTTCTTTTGCGGATAGGACAACTTCAATAGATCGACGGATCTGCTTTCTGACTTCAATGCTTCGTCCACCGAGTGGGATTTTCAGTCGTGAATCCTCGAGGGCAGCGATTTGGTTTTTGACGACAGATTGTAGTCGCGGGTCAAAGTCGCGCTTTTCGCTTGGAACATCGTGAGAGCTATCCGTCTGTCCTAATAGAAGAGCCTCGTATTTTTGGAGGAGGTCTGAGTCTTGACTAACAATCTCATCATAAGCTTCTTTCCAGAGGCCTTCAAATTTGAGAGGAACCGGTGGTTCTTTGGGGGTAGGATCAGTTATTGATGCTTGATTTTTCTCCGCGATCAACGATTGAGGAGTGGACTTCTTAGTGTTTTTGTTTTTCTCTGGATTGGTCTTCTCTCGCGACGAAAGAAATCCTTTTTTTTAGCTTTTCAAGGCGGTTTGAAAACGGCATGTTTGCATCTAGTCTGCCTGGTATTCCCTTTCGAAGAAGCAAGTGCAGCGAAAAACGTGGCTTGGGCAGTTATGGAGGGGTAAAATAGCCCAGGTACCTCCATTCCAATGGCGCCTCTCCTCTCATTTCAGCTGTCATGCAAGTCAGCCAAGCCAACATCTTCACATAGACAGTTCACCACCTACGCTAACCAGAAGAAGACGATCTAGCGTGCTTATGTCCATTTAACAAGTCATGTTGGGGTTCAAACAGTTTCAAGTTGTTAGATCGATGGTAATTGGAGCATGAGTACGATGGCCATAGGTAGGTTTAACATGTCCACTCCCAGGAATATTTGGACCGTTCCAAAGTTTATCAATGTGGATTTAGGACATTTAGAGATTTATGAGACAGAAAAGAAAGCTCACTGGCACAAGCACTTCAACTTGAAGTTCTCAACACGACTAGCATTGAATACTCTCCACTAGATATAGCACTTGAGTCAACTGGTCAATGCAGATGCTGCAGTTCTTCGACGTGAGTTCATCCAGTCATTGACGAGGTGATTCCCGGAATTCACAAGTCTGAGTATTATAGTGAAAATATCCAGATATCAAACCTTGGAAATATCCCAAGTTCTGTGGCGCTCTATTACCGATCAAGTGACCGGGAAAGTGGTGTAGCATTCGCCGGTCATCTGCACGGATCTACACGGACTTCACCCCCACGACAAGTGGGTATACCAGACCCACTTCTATTCGGTGACACCCGTATTCTGGTTTGGATTGAATGATACGGGAAGTGAAACACACTCAGGATGTACTCCATGCAAGAGTCCTCACGTGAACGGACAATATTCATGGAATCCGCGATCAAGGAGGGGAAGCCTGTGACATATACAGCATAAAGTCAAACTTGGAATCCAATCTTGGTAAGTCAAGACTTGAGTTATTTTTTACGAATTCACACATACAATATGGAGCATTACGACGTTGCCGTTGTTGGACTTGGTGTGTTGGGAAGTGGAGCAGCCTACTATGCTGCTAAAAAGGGCGTCAAAGTCATTGGATTTGAACAATTCGAGCTCGGTCACGTACGAGGAGCCTCTCATGACACATCTCGCATTGTCAGGACGTCAAATTTTGCACCAGAATATGTGGCCCTTGCCAAATCGGCCTATAAGGATTGGGCGGAGCTTGAGAAGGTCACTGGCTACAAGATGTTGACAACGACTGGAGGCGTGGTGTTCTTTGCGCCCGAGTCGCCAACTACGGCTAGTGACTTCACAAAGGCTTTGGATGCTCAGAATGTGCCATATGAAACGCTTGATTCTCAAGAGGTCAAGAAGAGATGGCCTCAATTCAATATCCCGGATAATGTGACGACTGTGTTCACCGCTGACTCGGCCATCGCTCATGCTGCTAAGACCGTCAGCACTCTTCAGTCTTTGGCCCGATCCCATGGCGCAGTTTTGAAAGATAACACTCCTGTCAACCGAGTGACACCACAAGCATCCGGCGGTGTTGTGATTGATACTCCCAGTGGTCGATTCCATGCCAGCAAGGTAGTTCTTGCCACAGATGCATGGATCAACAAGCTTCTCGCACCGTTGAATGTCCATATCCCGGTGTCTGTGATGCAAGAACAAGTGACATACTTTAAACCTACCGACGCCTCCACTTTCGATACCAGCAAGCTTCCTGTTTGGATCTGGCAGGGTGCCCACTGTTTCTATGGCTTCCCGACTTACGGCGAGCCGACTATCAAAGCTGGTCGTGATTATTCAAACAACTTCATGTCGCCGGATGAGCGCACTTTTGTGCACTCACCGCAGCTGTTTGACCAGCTCACTTCCTTCATGAACGAGTTTATGCCTGATAAGGAGCGCCAAGCCCTCCGCACAATTACCTGCCAGTATACGATCACTCCAGATCGACAGTTTATCATTAGTCCTCTGGACAGCCATCCTGATATCATTATTGGGCTAGGTGCTGCCCATGCTTTCAAGTTCGCTCCGGCTTTTGGACGTGTCTTGGCAGAGTTGGCAGTCGATGGAAAGACTAATGAGGATATTTCGAAATGGGGGATTCCCAAGGCTGCCACTCTCAATAGCAAGCTTTGATTGCAATTAATTAGTTGAAAGACATCAAGATTTTTCGTTTTTAATGTGAATGAATCACCTGTCCTTCAACTCACTGTTTCTCAGTAAGCGCAATGCAGTGTCGTTATTGAAAAAGAGCTCCTTTCGAGGCAAGTCCAATATTTCAATGTTTGATGGGTAGGAAAGGTTTCTCCATAAAGTGACGATTTTTGCACGCTATTGCTTTTCAGTAAAATTATCAAAAAGCCCACAAAGTGCTTCAGACGACATGATGTATGACCAGTCTGTTTCTCCATATTCCATCATTCTAGATCCATCCATTTCACCCATTCCATCCAGAGGGGGAAACATCATACTACCGTCAAACATCATGTCCGATGAAGCGGTTTCTCTTTCAACATCGGCAACTGCGGTGCTCATTGAAAGACTCGAGTTCTCAAGCTGAGCCTCTGAAGTTTCTGTGAAGCCTGTCTGTTGTTGGGATGCCATGCCTTTCGAACTGTAAACTCTCCGTAGTAAATGGATCAATTCTGGCGGTTCTACAGTTTTCCCATGCTTGAGTTCAGCCTGTTCACGGGCATTCCAAGCTTTAAGCATAGCTTGCCCAAAAGCGGCATGCATGGGACTTGTTACCTTGCGTATCATTCCTCGGTTATGATGATTGCTGCAGATAGCTTTCCATGCACGCTCACAGAGTGAGCCAGTGGTACGGTGGCGTAGTTCACTGATAAGAAAAATAAAGCCAGGCATGGGAGCTTGATAGTGGGTATACCAAAGAAAGCCACGAAGACTTTCAATAGTGTATATCTCATCATCACATTCGATCATCTGCACAGCAATGAGGAAAAGGGCTTCACGCTCTTTATCTGGAATTTCAGATGCTGGGATACGCCGACATATGAAGTCAACAACTCGAAGCTTGTACAAGGATACTCGTCCCATCATCAGTGTAAAATGCTGAATAGGGATCTTGGTATCGCAGTGTTTGAGATATTTAGTTTCGATATAAGCACAATAATCTTCCAACGCATGAAATGACGACGGCTTTTTGCTCCTCTCGGCAGAAGTTGATGGTGGAACCGAGGTGTCGCTATTACTATTATGCATATTCCTCACAATTGAGGGTTCAGGCCTCGCGCCACTAGGGGCAACAGCGACTAGAAGCTCAATGCGAGTGAGACAAAAAAGCATTTCGGTCACACAAGAAGAAGAAATCGGCGGTTCCTTGGTATGTTTGTACAAATCTGTATCGTTGACGTTCAGGGGAAGTCGACAATCGGCTCGAGAGGATGAAAGAGCGGTTATGGCTGATCCCGTCATCTCTGCAATGCGCTTGTCGAGTAAAGCGAGCTGCCACCAAAGACGTCTTCGTTGCTCTGTTTCAAACGGAGAGAGTCCAAATTGAGCGCCATCTCGATGTAATCCTATTCGAGTGGCTACACGTATCGCTATGCCAATCAAGCAGAAAAAGGAACGAGGGTCCATGTACCGCCCAGCACTGAGCTTGAGATTTGAGTCAATGTTAGTATTTCTCAAGACTGACATGAGAGAGGAAAACACACAAGGTATAAAAGATAAGCCTGCAAGGTCATGAGATCGCATGATCTCATAAATCCAGCATTTATGAGGGCACTCTGTGAGGCTTCATGATACCGAGCTAACAACACGCTCTTTGAGGTTCCAAACGTGGTTTGAACTCCGTCGTTCATCATTGATGAGATGGCTATGAGGTAGATGGAGAACATCAAGGCCTCTAGGGGTTTGCCAATGTGGGAAAGATTGGCCCCAGCTTCCACGATCTGATTCTGCAAGGTTGGTGCGTGGCCGATCTTCAACAGAGGGTTGACGTTATTGAGATATACTTGCCATAGCTGAAATATTTGGATTGTGGAAGGGTGGAGATGAGTGATCCGACTTGTAGATCCTCCCACCATGAAGGGAAAACCATCATTATTATCGAACATGGTATCGAATGCCTGGTGTATTGTTGGCCTTTCATGCTCATCTTCTTCCGATCCATAAAGCATATCATCAGTCGTTTGATACTGGACCAAATCAGAGATCAGAGAGTCGAACTTTCAAGCTTGACAGGGACGCGATTAACAAACCTCGTCATAATATGCAAACCATTTGGAACGTCTGCCTCATATCAGCTTTCTGTTTCAAAAATAGCTTGCATTGAAAATATTTCACTTTTTCTGGCTCGCATTATCTCTATTGTCGGGATTTGGTGCATCGGTCCCAGGGGATGGGTTTAGCTCATCCCTACTGGCATTCTCCGGTTGATCCCCGGTCGCATCGCTGTCAACGGTTTTGAAGTCGACCCCGTTGCGGGTCATAAGGGCCTCATATCTTTTTAACCGATCGGTCAGGTCCTCTTCCTGAATTTTCCTTCTCTTTCTTCGCCCTGGTTGGGGAGGTACAACCTTGCACTCAACCTGGGCGCGAATACAATTCGTGCAGGGTTTCTGTTGATCGCAACGGACCTTGCGCTGCTGACACAGCACACAAGAGTGGCCTCGGGTCAGACTCATGATATTACAGAGATGATTTCCATGAGTCAAGCGAATATCTCACGGTGAAGAACGGTGATCTCGGTCCCGAATAATGACGTCTCGGTCCCGACAGGCTCTCTTCGCCAAATTAGGCTTAGCCTGTCCTACTATCAGATTCAGAGCAGGTGGTTGTCTACTCCGTAGACTCTACCCTCTTATGTTTCCAAGGTTATAAGTACCTACCTCGGTCAAGTCCTTCTACTAGGTAGTAACATTAGAAATATTAGGCTCTTTTAAATTTACAGTAACCTTTCAAGGTTGAATGAAAGTGCATTGTGTAGCTGATTGATTACTGTTGAGCACTGGCATACTATATTCAAGTCGTATTGTAGATCACATGGTCATTTCTGGGTGAAAACTCATGATGATAGGTACATATGTTCAAATGTTGTTTAGCAGACGTATTAGGCCGCAGTTATGTTCAGATAAACACATTAAGACAAAAGCTTGGTTGCGGCGTGAATCCGATCTTGGATGATATCGCTCCATTTCTAAAAAAGACAAGTGGTTAGACAGTGAACTTGACGGATACAAGTAGTTCATAATGAAGATAGATAACTCACCTCAGCATTTGCCAGGTCCCGCGCCTGAAGGCTTTCCACCAATCCAGGATAAGTAGCTCCCGAATATCCTGTCCAAATTCCAGGCGCAAAAACAACGTGCTTAAACCAATCACGACCGTCAAGACCTGGCTCGTACAGGAATGCACGCTCCAAGCCTTTATATTTGTTATTGGCGATACGAATCTCTACGTAAAGCTGAGCCTTCTTCCACCAGTGATACCAAGGAATGTCCTCGCCAAGCTGCTCGGTGAGGCTGGCTGTGTAGGCGTCAAAGCCCGCTGCGGCCGACTGGAACTTCAAGATAGCCAGATTCAGAGGAGCAAAGTCAAAGTGCAAGCCATGAGGAAGATCCTTTGCAACAGGCGCAACCTTGTGAAGGTATGTGTATAGACCACTGGCATAATCAGCCGCGCTAAAAGCAATAACAGGCGACTCGATCAGACGTGCCGCTGCTAGCGCCCATAGCTTAGTGCACGCAACGTGGTAGCTCCAGTCTGAATCTCCATACTTTTCCATCCAAGCAAAGCTATCATAGTTAGAGTGATAGTGGTAAACGGGGTCATTCTTTGCGTGGCTGAATCCAAAGTCCAGACTCGCAACGCCTGCGAAGTCTTGAAACGCGGTAAAGTCACTACCACTTCCCATGGTCGCAATCTTGCCATTCCAAACATCACGTACGGTTTGGCCGGGAACTGTTTGGTTGGGCGATTGAACCAGCCCAGTCACCTCGTAGATGACCTGGTTCAGGAGCGGTGCAGCACGGGGACCAAATTCTGTGCCAGCAGCAGCAACATCCACGTTGAGATAGGCTACATTGGCCTTGGAAAGCCAGGGAAGATTTTCTTCCACCCACTCGGTAGAACCAAGCAGACCATACTCTTCGCCATCCCAGCTAGCAAAGACAACTGTGCGCAAGGGCTTCCAGCCAGCCTTCAGAGCCTCACCGAAGCTGCGAATGACCTCGTTGAGAGCTGCAGATCCGCTGTTGGGGTCGCCGGCGCCGCCGGCAATCCACGCATCACGGTGGTTACCCAGGATGATGACCTCATCTGGAATACTTCCCTTGATAACACCGATAACATCCCAGAGAGGAGTTGTCACGTACTCCTGCTCATTGTTTAGATTGATAACAACATCTTCAGGTGAGGGACCAATGTTATATTCGACACCCTTGGGCGATAGGCCACCACCCTGCCAGTACTCATTAAAGTCCGAGGCTTTGGGTCCATGGCCATTCAGTGCCTTCAAGAAAGGCAAGACCTCCTTGTAAGAGATCGGAAGGGATGGAATAGAGGGGATTGAGTTATGCGGGTCTTGACGTTCAACACCTGGCTTAGATGCATACCCGGGAGTGGTTGGGTCGCCAGGAGCAATACCTGTTGTTTCAATCAAATCAGTAAATAGATCTTCGTCAAATATTAAGTAACCACATACTCAAGAACTGTGTGCTTCCTCTCTGGATCGCACTAGGGTTACGAGCAGGTCCGTTGGGGTAAGCTTCATAACCATTTTCTTCGGTGATTTCACCATCTTCTTGGGGATCACTGTAAATTAATACTCCGACCATTCCAAGTTCCTGTGCACGCTTCACCTTAAGTCCTCGGAAGATACCACCATACTTGACGATTGCAATCTTGCCTTCCAAGGGAATATTGGCGTTGACCAAGTCCTCAAAGTCCCAATAGGTACCAAAATTGGCATACACGAACTGGGCCGTAACGTTTCCACTGGCCGAGTACCCGTGGAAGACAGGAACTCGATCCGGCAGGCTCGAAGTAGGATCCTCCTCCAGTAAATCCTCTTCTAGGGTAGCTTCGAAGGTAACATCGGTCTTATCACCCGACTTCTTTAGCAAAGCCAGCCGGTGACCGAGTGGGTAGTTCAGGTAGATATCGTAAGTAGCCAGAGTGGTATCTTCCACGCCAAACTCCTTCCATTTTTCCATGGTCCAAAGAGCTTGGCTAAGGTTCTTGCCTGCCAGGTGGGGCCCAGCGGTATAGTAGGAGCTCCACTCGCGAACCTTAGCAGCCGATGGAGTATTGAGGAGAATATCCTGCAATTGATCATAGGGAAGTCCATTGCCATGTGGCCATGATTTGTGGGGCAGACCATGACCGGAATTCCACGGGAGATATGACCAAACAGAAGATGGGATAAGAAAGAGAACAGTACTAATCGCTAGCAGGATTGCCAGAATCGAGGTACATGTACGGCGAATAGTATGATGTGGGTACCGGTAGCGCTGCGGAGCGACATTTACTGCCAACAAGGGCGTTGTCTCCGAGGATGCCATGGTTTTCTCCTTCATTTTTGCAGTGCAGATGAAAGCAGGAGAGGGGAAGAGGAGAAGCTATGGGCGGTGGTGTTATTCTCCACTTCGTATCGCGTTATCAGGCCGATGATGTAAGTCGGCCGAGGATAACGGGTCGTACTAACACTAAGCCGAAAGAGGTATTTGATACTGTGTGACAGTGTGACCCTCGAGGCAGCGACATCCAACACTCAGATTGCTCTCAGATGGCTCTTCTTCGGGTATTTGACGGAGCCTCACCTCGGAAATAATGAAATGCAGTGTGACAAATTGCCCACGTGGCCCGATATCTGCAAGAAACAGGCCGCGATCCCTTGCTCCGACCCTAGCGACAAGAGGAATGAGGAATGTCAACTCGGAGATTGAATAATTTAGACAACAGGTCCCTTGTTCAAAGTGATTCATCTCGACTAATTTTGTTTAGTTGTATCAGGACTCGCTTTGAAGTTTCAGCAGCTAGCCAAGGTCCGAGGCTCTAGAGATATGGCAACATCAGCGGATACTGAAAAGCAGGAGGACCTGATACAACAGACACAAAATCAACAACATGAACGCCCATCTACCTTATCACCCTCTGATGTTCAATATCATCCCAGAACACTCAAGTTCTGGCTCATCATGTTCTGCAACTTTCTCGCACTATTTCTAGTTGCCCTAGATCGAACAATCATTGCAACCGCCATCCCTCGCATCACCGATGAGTTCCACAGACTCGGTGATATCGGATGGTATGGATCTGCCTATATGCTTGCAAGCGCATCCTCTCAGATGCTGTTTGGTCGAATATACAAATTCTACAACATGAAATGGGTGTTCTCGTCTTCAATAGTCCTCTTCGAAATCGGATCGGCGATCTGCGGTGCTGCTCCTTCGTCCAATGCCTTCATTGCCGGACGCGCCATTGCAGGATTTGCTTCGGCTGGAATATTTTCCGGTTGTATGCTGATTTTAATTTCCATGGTCCCTCTTCATAAGCGACCGATGTTCCAAGGCCTGTTTGGAGCTGTGTTTGGAATCGCTTCGGTCATGGGCCCTCTTGTGGGTGGTGCTTTTACTAGTGGTGTGACCTGGAGGTAAGTTCGATGAACTTTTTCCATAATTACAGATTCAATTAGCTGATAAATACCGGGATAAGGTGGTGTTTCTACATCAACCTACCTATTGGAGCTGTCAGTCTTCTAGCCATGATTATGTTCTGGCATCCCCAAAATGTCCAACACGAGTCTCTTCCCATTTCCACACATATAAAACGTCTTGATCCATTGGGGATGGCCTTCCTTGTGCCATCGATAGTTTGTCTCTTACTAGCTTTGCAATGGGGGAGGATCAACATACTCATGGAGCAACAGTCGCATCATTGCTCTCTTCGTTCTATTTGGTGTCTTAATACTCGTTTTCGCAGGCATCCAGATCTGGAGGCCCGAGACAGCCACAATACCAGCAAAGACCATTGGTCGCAGAAGTATTCTCAGTGCATCTCTTTTCGTCTTTCTTTCATCCAGTGCAATGATGATAATGATTTACTATGTTCCCATCTGGTGTAAGTTAACCCACCCCCCACTCATAACTACATACAATCCAATAAGTTGAGCATGCTGACTATTAACCTAGTTCAAACCGTAAAACTGGTCAATCCTGTGAAATCTGGAATATACACCCTGCCTCTTGTTCTCAGTCTTGTTGTCGCAAGTATCTCCGGAGGCTTGCTGACCCAAAAGATTGGAAACTACGTACCAGTCATGTACCTCGGCCCAAGCTTCATGTCCATAGGAATAGGTCTAATGAGCACCTTCAATCTATCTACTGGGTCATCTCACTGGATCGGATACCAATTTCTATCTGGATTCGGCTTTGGCCTCGGGATGCAGATTAATGGACTCGTTGTGCAAAGAATCTTACCACCACCAGATATCCCAATCGGTGTCGCGCTGATGTTCTTCCTTCAGCAGCTGGGGGGAAGCATCTTCATCACTGTCGGTCAAACGATCTTCAGCAATACCCTTGTCTCCCATCTCAGCGGAATTCCAGGCTTAGATACTGGCTTGATTGTGAATGAAGGTGCTACAAAATTGGTCACAGTTGTGCCCTCGAAATACATAGTGATGGTTCAAGAGGCGTACAACTTTGCCTGTACCAGAATATTTTTCGCTGCTTTAGGTCTTGCGTTTTTGACGCTACTTAGCTCTATGGCAATGGAGTGGAAGAGTATCAAGAAAGGCAAAAATGGACAGGATAGTCCCACTAATTCCAACCACGGCCACCGAAAACCACATGACTCGGCGACTGGTGGGCCTACCCAGTCACCACCGGATCAGACCGAAGAGAAAGCAAGCACTCGATCACTATATCGCATTACTAGATGGCTAGATCGTTCAAAATGTTTTCTAAATAGAACACCCAACCGCACGCTACTGGTCAGTACAGCGGCATATGCTAGGGCTTCAAATAAAATGGTAGAAAAAATTTGATTGAATGAAGTTCTTATAATGTAGCGTGTTTATCCAACGATTTTGCAAAAGCCAGTCTAAAATTGTTAATGTATCAATAATCCCTCTATGAATGCGCTGCACATGTGTGATGTTGCTCCGTTCAAATTAAACTGTATCAATGACTGATGTACTGGAAGAGAGCTGAGACATCTCGCTCACCAGCTTCCTGTCGCATTAGTAAATCTTGAATCTTGCCCAATGGTCCTTGCTCTCCAGTGTTGACAAGATGATTCCACGAGCTTGTATCCCCATAAAGCATGGCCGGTGCCTTGATATACTGGGTTCCATCTGGTCGACATCGTTTACACTTGAATGTGTCGTGTGTGTCGCTGGTGGTTTCGGGCTTGAATTGGAAAAGCTCACGCAATGATTCCAAGGAGAAATGACGCTCGACATCCTCCGCCGAATCCACGACACAAGATGAGAGAGATTGCTTATGTGACTGACGCTGGAAGATCTTCTCTTCAATGGACCCAGTAGCAATAAATCGGTAGACGAAACAATCTTTCTTTTGTCCGTCACGCCACACACGAGCCAAGGCCTGCTGATCAGCAGCGGGGTTCCAATCAGGGTCGAAAAGCACTAATCGATTTGCGCCAATCAAGTTCAGACCGCAACCACCAGCTTTACTACTGAGAAGAAATACAAACTCTTCGCCGTCGGGGTCGTTGAATTTGTCAACCAACTTTGTTCGCTTCTTGATGTTCATCGTACCATCCAACCGCAGGTTCCCGTACCCGCGTGATCGGCAAAGCCGCTCAAACAGATCCAAAGTTTGTGTGTAGTTGCTAATAAGGACGATCTTGTCATTGGTATCTTGACGAATACGAGCGAGCATGCGATCAAGGACCATCATTTTTCCTGAATACCAGCTCTTCACCTCTCTATCTCGTCCACGAGCCTCGGGTGGTGTGTAGTCCTCTGGGAATGCGTGCTCACAACCCGGCAAGTCGTTTGCCAAATCAAGAAGATCGGGGTGGTTACATAGCTTCTTAAGAATACCAATAGCCTTCAATGGCTGACTGCCCTTTCCTCGAAGCAGGCTTCGGATCTCTGGACTTTGGATGAAGTGATTATACAGGCCCAGCTGGAATGGAGCCATATTGCAGAAGACAACGTGTTCGTACTTAAGAGGTAAGTACTTCGACAGAAGATCGTTGCTTCGGCGAATGATGAACTTGTTCACAATGCCAGAAAGCTCTGAAAGGCGTTCGTCACCAAGCTTTCGGGCGTCCTCAGTTCCTGCTGCATCCCGGCCACGCAGGATGGGAAGCTCAAATCTTTTGCGGAAATCCGCCTGAGAGCCCAGCAAGTTGGGATTGGCAAAGTGGAGCAAAGAGAAATATTCTGAAAGATCATTTTGGATGGGTGTACCAGAAAGGATGACACGTCTGCTCACGTTGAGGCTGTTCAGAGCAGTCCATGTCAAACTCTCCTTATTTTTCAGTCGGTGACCCTCGTCGCAGAGGAGAAGTCCAATTGGCGTGTCCTTCAGCGCTTCCACGTACATTCGGAGTGTTTCATAGGATACAATGAGGACGGGTCGCACGATGCCGCGACCCGATGCGATTGCCCACTGCTTGATCTGAAGGGTAAGCTCGGCCTTAGATGCTTTGCCGTCTATTGCAAAAGGTGTAGTCGCATCCTTGCCAAGCCATTTTCCTAGGAGAGCGAGGGTCAGCTGAGTTGAAGAAAGCCAACGCATCGTTACATACCTAGTTCGTTTGCCCAATTACCCACCAAACTAGAGGGGCATGCGATCACACATTTCTGGATGGTTGTTTTGCCAGCCTCCGGGTCTTGCTTGAGCAAAGTCCACATCAAAGAGATACATTGAAGCTAGAAATTTCAGTAATTGAGCAATACTAGTGTGTTTTATCTTCCGACATACCGTTTTTCCTAATCCCATGCCATCTGCCATGATACATCCATTGGCATTGCTATCAACCATGCCTGTAGTACATCGATACATAAACTATCAAGACCAGCTTGTATTAGCATGTCCAAAAAAAAAAAAGGTCAATGCCGGGGCTGATTGTAGGGTCTCCGTACCTTCACACCCTCCACTTGATGGGGCCGAAGAACCTTGGCTAGTCGAGGATCGATAACCACAGGTACTTTCGGCCGCTCGTCCACATTTTCTTCAACCCCAAAATATCTGCCAAACTCTTATGTACCAGCGGTTCGTCCAATTTCGGTTCATCTTCTTTGGGGGCCGCCGGGTCCGTAACAATAGGTTTTTCCGTAATATCGTCGATAGTCGGGTCGTAAAGTACAATAGCAAACTCTCCACTGGGATCATGTAACGGTTTAACAACGAATGTAGCACCCTGTCGCATACCCAGCGTTGGCGCCGCTCGACCGGCATTGTATTCGTCCGTAGATTTGTTGATGAAAGGGATGCGAAACCTCTGTCGAAACGCTGCATCTTTATCCTTTGGTTTAAACACAGGGAACTTATTCACTTCTCGCGTTGCTAGTGCTAGTCGATCCTCATTTGTGTACGGCTTCTCGGCTCCATCCTCTGTACTACCATCCGCGTCGGCGTAGTTGACCTTTCGTCGCTTCCTCGCTGGCTTCTCCGATACTCGAGTGTAGATCGCTGAGCCTGGGCATTTGAATGGTTTCGCGAGCTGATCCAAAGAATTCGTCGACTTGGGCTGTAATGGTGTCTTCACGCCGGCGTCGGTTGTGGCTGGCCGGGGCGATACCTCCTAGGGCGTTAGTAAGGATCAAAGACGGGGGCAAAAGACACGTACATTATTCCAAATGAGTCTCAAAAACAGTGCACTGTACAAGAAATCAGCTGTACAAAGCTCCTTCGACGATTGGGAAAGTGGAATGTAATGTTATCATCGACGCGTTGAGTCAAGCCGAGAGTCGCGTCTGCCTACAACACCAAAGTGCCACGGCCCCACGTGATCCACCCCGCAGCAACCTTAAAGTTGGGGCAACTGGGAGATTGAAAAGGGAAAGTGGGACTCTGCAAATATTCAATTCAAAGAGAATCTCGAATGGCGGTGGATTTCTGGGCTGGTTACCTCAGTGGTGCACTTGGAATTATCATTGGAAATCCCTTGGATGTAGTCAAGGTGCGACTACAAGCAGGCAGTACGATCTATACCCCTCCATCCCACCTAACTCGCTTGGAGAAGGCGAGTTCACTTGTACGAGGTTAGTTTCCAAGGTTACATTCCTGGTATATGATTCAGTCGGTATACCACATTGCACGTATTCATTCTCTGACTTGATATATAGGTGCCGCAGCCCCGATATTAGGATATGGAGCTCTCAATGCCATTCTATTTGTGGCATACAATCGATCATTGACGGCCCTGGACCATTCAGTCGTGGACCCGACTAACCCCAGAGAAACATCTTTGTATAATATTTGGCTTGCTGGTGCCGCAGGCGGATTAGCCAGCTGGACTATCTCTGCTCCGACTGAGTTCATCAAGTGCCGAGCGCAGTTGGACTCTCGTCCCGAGGTCTCCTCATGGTCCGTTGCCAAGGATATATATCGCAACCGCGGCTGGCGAGGATTATATTATGGGGGAGGTATCACAAGTGCTAGGGATGCAATTGGCTATGGATTTTAGTATGCAATAATTCCCTTTCCCCTTACACCCAATTTCATGCATGGACTCGGTTGGACGAATCATTAACAATCTCTCTGTAGTTTCTGGTCTTACGAACTATGCAAACGCTTCATGACCACCGAAAATGAAACGTCTCACCAAGAAGCCTTGAAGATTCTCCTCTGCGGTGGTATTGCCGGCATTATCACCTGGGGCTCTGTTTTCCCTCTGGATATGATCAAGACCAGACTTCAAGCTCAGACGATTCATGACATAAATGATATACACAAGCTTGTTGGGTCCCATGCAGAAAGCCAACCACTGCTACAATCACGAAAACCCTTAAATACTCTTCAAATTGCCCGAGAATCATACAGAGCCGAGGGTCTCAAAGCATTCTATCGAGGACTAGGAGTTTGCAGTATCCGAGCGTTCATCGTGAACGCCGTGCAGGTACGTGGCTTGTTGCTTCCCAGCCTCCTGTTCCTTTCATTCGTCAAACGGCGCTAACTCGGGCTAGTGGGCGGCATATGAATGGTTGATGAAAAGTTTTCAGCCCCCTACATTGAACGAGCCCATCGGTTCCCATGGCTGAACGGATATGTCCACGGTTACTTCGTCTATAGAAATGGATAACGTGGGGATAGCCCCATTAAACTACAGATATACCGGGAGCTCATTCAGGTTAGACTCTTTTAATTTGGTATTGAGGGATTTCTATTGGAATTATTACTCCGGGGTATTTGCTAGGAAAGGTAAGTTTCATGCTTTTGGAGTGCCGAGAATCGGCGGTTTCACTGTTGGCCCGCAAACCGGTAGAACACAAACCCGGCGACTCTCGGCACATAAGAAAAAAAAAATTCCCCTCACGTGAGACTCCACTCGATGCAGATGCAGTAGTGAGGTGGACATCAGATGTAGTGCTTTTGACGTCGTTGTTTGTTTTTTGGGGCCATTTTAGGCAAATCGAAGCCGAATGGCGATGAACGAGGTATTGATCAAGGGGATAGCAGGTGGAATGGTTCGTGGACACGCTCAGTCCTTCATGGCGTCGGCATTGTCTTCAGATTGCTTGAGAACGTTGAAGTTATCGACACCCAGACCGATCACAGCTTCCGCGAGTTTCTGAGAGTGAGGCTCTTCCTTCAAGATGCGAACTCTATGGAGAATGAACATTAGCGACCGCTAAATCGACCTTGAAGGCTTGCGCATCCCCGACTCACCGTCGCTTGTGGTTCTTGCCCTTGGTGTGCGCATTGAGGTTGTAATCGCTCTCAAACCATTTTGCGCACTCTACACAGTAGTGGCGTCCCAAACCAGGAAGATCCTCAGTATCCTTGGACTCCTTGTACAGCTGCAGGTGACGAGGCTTGTCGATGTCGGCACAGACCTGATCGTAGTCTCTGATCGCAATATATTAGCCTCCGCCCACATTGATGGTTGAAAATTTTTCTTTCTTGATTATTGCGCAAGTTCATGGGATGGGAAAAAAAAGTACCTTGTGCGACGCTTGGTCTTAATTCTGCGTGAAGCACCCATCTTTGCTTGACTTCGGCTTGCTCACCGACGTAAAAATTTGAAGATTGAAGGTTTGCAAGCAAAAAAAGATATCACCGATTTCCGGAGTGATAATGGGGCGTAGTGGAGAACGGGACAAGCGCCAGGGAGAACAAAGAGCGAAGTCGTGGAGGGAAATTTCCGCTGACCGAGTGGAACCCGTGAACGATTGAAACGCATGGGCGATGATTGGTGGTGCCCTGCTCTTTCGCCGTGGGAGCGGGAGTCCCGTCGGCACGCCTCGGCTCAGTTGGTCACCGGCTTTACAAGTTATACGGTATGTATCGTATAGCTTGGTATAGTTGGTATTGATCAAGATCAAGAATTATGCTTTATCCCTATGACGTTTGCATTCACGGCATGTTACTCCGACCCCTGTTCTGAGACAAGTCACACCAAATTGGATTATTGTGTATCAAAGGGAGAATAATATATTGGTCTGAATTTGAAAACTGATATTGAAATAGTGTTCAGCTGTGCTTGGTTGCTGGGGTTGGTGGCTGGTGGCTGGGATAGTAGATCCGAAGAGCTTCATATCTGTCTCCATGGCTCCATCAAAGGATCCTCCAAGCCCACATGCAACGGGGTGATACCCGGGCAGCAAATGGTCTCTGGAGTAACCATACAAAGTACTGCAATAGAGTCTCCATACCCGAGTTAATCCCTTTGGCCCGAATGAAGTCCACGATGATATCCTGCTCAGTCCTGTAATCGCAAATTCGCTGATTGGTGGAGCGCAAGGGCCCCGTCACATGCCGTGTATTGTTAATACCCGCCTTTGAGGACCTCGAGGAGTTGAATAGAGACATTAGATATGTTATTATAGAAAAGCAGAGGAAGTAGCTTGGGTCTATGGCTCAATATAGATTGCATTATTTATTTTCACAAAATTTGTCATTGTTTATAACTGTCAAGGGGCAGATATAACCGCAGTTGATCAGCTGTGCGCATGCGGCCAAACCCCCATAACATTAAAATACATTACGGTATCGCAGTGGTAACAGCGAGTTACGGCTGTTCGGCTCAATTCTCTCGCCCACTCAAAACCTCCAAGCTTCCCTTTTTCTCTTCTTTTCTCTCTCTTCCTTTTCCACTCTCCACTCTACGTGATACCACAGGTGAAGGTGGTAACTTACATTTGGATGTGCTGTGCTTCTTCTTAGAGAGCCTCTGCCCATCATGATTTCCTCCCGCCTCGCGCGCGCCGGTGCGCTGGTAAGTCCTGAACCCTGTCCTGTCGGAGATGGGGGATTGCTTGGAATCCTCTCAGATCTGCCAAATGGCAATTGTGATTCCTGAATACACGCAATTGATACTAACCTCTTATCACAACAGGCCCCCTAAGTCCCGTCTTGTAAGCAGCCTAATGCAGCCGCCACATATGGATATGTGGTCTTGCGTCACTCCCGAAGATCGGTGTGCATGAAAGACAGCAGTGAACTAACAAAGCTTCTTTTTCTAGCTCTTCGGGACCCGGGCCTACGCTACCGTTGACCCCCTTGACAAGAAGGTCGAGATGACCATTCAAGAGAAGGTGTGTTTTTTATGCCCTGTTTCCCTGAGAGCCGTTGCCAGTAACATGGCCGACCCACTCACAAAAAGCAAAAAAGAATAACGGCTAACCATAATGTTTGCAGGGTAACTACATCAACTACAAGTACGATTTCACTTACCTGACGAGATATTCGAAAATTACGAGACAATTGGAATACTAACATGATGGTGTTTACAGGAAGATGAACGAGAACCTCAACATCGTCCGTGGTCGTCTTCAGCGCCCTCTGACCTACGCCGAGAAGGTCCTGTACTCTCACCTTGACGACCCCCACGGCCAGGACATCGAGCGTGGTACCTCCTACCTCAAGCTCCGTCCCGACCGTGTTGCTTGCCAGGACGCTACTGCCCAGATGGCCATTCTGCAGTTCATGTCCGCTGGTATGCCTTCCGTCCAGACTCCTACCACCGTCCACTGTGACCACTTGATTGAGGCCCAGATTGGTGGTGAGAAGGATTTGGCTCGCGCCAACGACATCAACAAGGAGGTCTACGACTTCCTTGCTTCCTCTACCGCCAAGTACAACATCGGTTTCTGGAAGCCCGGTTCTGGTATCATTCACCAGATCGTCCTGGAGAACTACGCTTTCCCCGGTGGTCTGATGATCGGTACTGACTCTCACACCCCCAACGCTGGTGGTCTCGGTATGGCTGCTATCGGTGTCGGTGGTGCTGACGCTGTCGACGTTATGGCTGGTCTGCCCTGGGAGCTGAAGGCCCCTAAGGTTATTGGTGTCCGTCTGACCGGTGAGCTTTCCGGCTGGGTTACCCCCAAGGATGTTATCCTTAAGGTCGCTGGTCTCCTGACTGTCAAGGGTGGTACCGGTGCCATCATTGAGTACCACGGTCCCGGTGTTGACTCCCTGTCCTGCACTGGTATGGGTACTATCTGTAACATGGGTGCTGAGATTGGTGCCACCACCTCCATGTTCCCCTTCAACGACCGTATGTACGACTACCTGAAGGCCACCAAGCGTCAGAACATTGGTGACTTCTCTCGTGAGTACGCCGCCCAGCTCCGTGAGGACGAGGGTGCCGAGTACGACCAGCTCATCGAGATCGATTTGAACGAGCTCGAGCCCCACGTCAACGGTCCCTTCACCCCCGATCTTGCCACTCCTCTCTCCAAGTTCAAGGAGGCTGTTAAGGCCAACAAGTGGCCCGAAGAGCTCAAGGTCGGTCTGATCGGTTCTTGTACCAACTCCTCCTACGAGGATATGTCCCGTGCCGCCTCCATCGCTCGCGATGCTCTCGACCACGGTCTCAAGTCTAAGTCTCTGTTCACCATCACTCCCGGTTCCGAGCAGATTCGTGCTACCATCGAGCGTGATGGTCAGCTCGCCACTCTTGAGGAGTACGGCGGTGTTATCCTGGCCAACGCTTGCGGTCCTTGCATTGGTCAGTGGGACCGTAAGGATGTGAAGAAGGGTGATGCCAACTCCATCATCTCCTCCTACAACCGTAACTTCACTGGTCGTAACGACGCTAATCCCGCCACCCACGCCTTCGTTGCCTCCCCCGACCTTGTCGTCGCCATGACTGTTGCTGGTTCCCTCAACTTCAACCCTCTCACCGACTCCCTGAAGGACAAGGACGGCAATGACTTCATGCTCAAGCCCCCCACCGGTGACGGTCTCCCCCGAGCGTGGCTACGACCCCGGTATGGACACCTACCAGGCTCCTCCCGCCGACCGTGCCTCCATCAACGTCGCTGTCTCCCCCACCAGTGACCGTCTCCAGCTCCTTGCTGGCTTTGAGGCTTGGAACAAGAAGGATGCTACCGACATCCCTATTCTCATCAAGTGCCAGGGCAAGACTACCACTGACCACATCTCCATGGCTGGTCCCTGGTTGAAGTACCGTGGTCACTTGGACAACATCTCCAACAACATGCTGATCGGTGCTATCAACGAGGAGAACGGTGAGGCCAACAAGGTCAAGAACGCCTTCACTGGTGTTTACGATGCTGTCCCCGCCACTGCCCGTGACTACAAGGCCCGTGGTATCAAGTGGGTTGTCATTGGTGACTGGAACTATGGTGAGGGTTCTTCCCGTGAGCACGCCGCTCTGGAGCCCCGTCACCTCGGTGGTCTGGCTGTCATCACCCGCTCCTTCGCTCGTATCCACGAGACCAACCTGAAGAAGCAGGGTATGCTGCCCCTGACCTTCTCTGACCCTGCCGATTACGAGAAGATCAAGCCCGATGACAAGGTCGACCTCATGTGCACTCAGATCGAGGTTGGCAAGCCCATGACCCTCCGTGTTCACCCCGCTGCTGGTGGTGATGCCTTTGACATCTCCCTCAGCCACACCTTCAACGAGTCCCAGATTGAGTGGTTCATTGATGGTTCCGCCCTGAACACCATGGCTCGCAAGTCTGCCAACTAAATGGGGATCTAAATCATTTTTTTCACAAAAAGATATGACCCTGTTTTGTTTTTTATGTTTCCCTTTTCCCCTTTCAGGAATGTTCACAGCAGATTTTCCAACTGCTTGAGATTTTTACCTGTGTAAACTACGTTCTCTCGTGTTGTTTCTCAGCGCCCCCCAAGAACGATGGAGTGGCACTTACGATCCTCCCTCCAGGGGAATCACAAGTTGGGAGGGGAGGTGGTTCTCCTTTTAGCGTGTGTGTGTCTCCCTGTTTTTTTGAGCCGGGTATGAGGAGTTGCTCTCTTAGGAAAAATTTTTCATGATCTTTTGATTTCGGCCAGTTGGCCTTGCGTTGGATTCCCGATTGTTTGGGTGGGCTTCAACGGATATAGTTATCTCATTTCCCTATATACTGTATGTTTCTAGGATAGCATGCATACACTATTTTTTATGTTCACGTTGGTTCTTCTTGTTCTTGTAATGACGTAGTAAATGTTCTTTCGTCGAATGTTCACAATTGTTTGCTTCTAGGCGAGTGGGAAACCCATGGTTCTGTGCACGTGTCTCTGATAACGATAACTTATTTTCTACTTCACTATCTTGAAAGCTTTCCCATCTATGCTTTGTACATACTAACATAGAAGGATTCCATTGCCTCGGAATGCAGCTGAGCTAAGCTGCCGAGGCCCATTAGAAAGATCCCCCGCAGAAAGACCTAGACCAGAGCCCATATTTTGTGATTGTGATACCAGCACGGAGTACGCGATCGGACACGAAAATTCCGCATTTGCAGTATATCAGTACCAACATCAAACCTCGGGAGTGATAGTGAACCGGAACTTCTCTGATCCCCGAATTCATTAACCCATCCACTGACCAACCCGAGTCTCGGCGATTCCAACTCCAAGTACTTGCACCTCAATCCAAAGTATAGAAACCTCATACTCTGAGAGTCCACAGACCCATATAAGCTAAGGCCATCCACTCAAAGAAGAATAATGGCGCAACTAGTCCCCCTCCCGGAAGTTGAACGTCTCAGCAGCACGGTAATCCGCATTCTAGGCGGGAACCCAGGAAAGGTAAGAGGGCATCCTCCTCCCTGAAAACCTAGAAACTTGAAAGCGACATTGGGCAACAACGGTGGCTGATTTATTTTCTGCACCTAAGTTCACACTGCAAGGTAAGTGACCGGAATTGGGACATGAGGCGTTTCCCCCTCTTTTACCTAGTATCTCCTCCCCCTCATTTCTCATCAGCTCACCGGGACCAGGCACCAATACATACCTCGTTGGTCGTGGACCCCAGCGAATCCTCATAGATACGGGCGAGGGAAAGCCCACGTGGGGTGCCCGTCTTGAGTCCGTGCTATCCGAGGAAAAAGCCACGGTGCATCAGGCACTCTTGACGCATTGGCACCATGATCATGTTAATGGGGTTCCGGATTTACTACGGATCTGTCCACAGGTGCAGGTCTTCAAGTCTGGACCTGGGGAAGGTCAGAGTGGGATTTTAGATGGTCAGGTCTTTCGGGTTGATGGGGTTACTTTGACGGCGGCCCATACACCTGGACATACAGTTGACCATATGGTGTTTATCCATGAAGAGGAAGATGCGATGTTTACAGGTGATAGTAAGTCCAGTTCCTCTATATGGGAAATTCTACTATTTTTCCGAGGGTTATTGATTAACCGGGAATAGATGTGCTGGGTCATGGAACCGCTGTCTTTGAAAACCTCAAGGTCTACCTTTCTAGTTTACACCGGATGCGAGATCGGGTATCCGGGCGTGGGTACCCAGGTCATGGAGCCGTGATCGAGAAAGCTAGTGCACGCATCAGTGAGTATATCCAACATCGCCAACAACGGGAAGATGAGATGCTCCGAGTACTACGCTCTGGAACGGTGGAAGTCTCAAAAGGGGAAGCCCTGCCCGAGCGTGATCCTTTAAAAGAATGGACACCATTAGAATTGGTGAAGGAGATTTATCGGGATGTACCCGAAAGCCTCCATTTGCCCGCATCACATGGAGTTCTGCAGGTGTTGATGAAATTGGAAGAGGAAGGGCAGACGGTGCATGATTCGGAGACGGGGGCTTGGAGGTTGGGTGGGAAAGCGGCATTATAGCGGGGCTTGGCTTACAAAATATAGCTCCTTATGATATTAAATTTATTTTCGTTCTAATTTTGGAGGGTCTGAGTGTATTACTTGGGATTAAATGGTTGGAGGGTCGGAGTATAGAGAGCCGGACTCATACTACTTTGCGGCTGAGAGTAGTCTAGACGAGATTCTACAGAGTAGACTATCATGATACATTATTCTAGATGATCCCTAGAATACCCGTGAATAAGCAGAACATTTGAATTAGTAGTAGATACTCTATATTTATCTATATTTAATTATCTCCACTAGTACTGAGTATTAGTATTACATGTCCCTCCCGATCGACGTCAGCCCACAGTCATGTCGGGTACCTATACTAGTTACATAGTACATAGCAAAAAACCTGAGTGGTGGGATATTACAGACCCAATCACGGTCCAACGGGTTATGAAATCGGGAGATTAATTGTTCTTCCCAATATTAATCCCCTATAATTGTCTGCTCTTCTCTTCCTTCCTTCCTACTACCATCTTCTTAATGTGAGTGCTATTGAAGAGCTCCACCTTAAAGTTCCCAGTTTCGGGGCGCTGACCTCACCTCCCTTCTTCCAACCCCACTTTGACTCTTGACCTTTTTTTTTGTTCCTCAAGGGATCTACTTACTTCGGGGGATGACTGTGTGAGTCTATGTGAGAGAAAGAGAAGAAGTATTGAGACCCCGTTTGAATCTTCCCAAATCTTGTGGGATTCTACTTTTCCTGGTGGAATTGATTAGTGCTTGGTTGGCCTCCCCTCTTCCCCGCGCTTAAGAAAAAGCATTGGGTCTGACCACATTCTTGTTAGAACTGCACCATCACACCCCTGTCTCATCATCCAGAGACCCTGTTAGACTGTCAGATCCAACTCTCTCAACTCCAGACGCCTTATACCAAGTCTCGGCCGAGCTATTCGTCACCATGCCATCCCTAGAAGAACCAAAGAACGAAGCTCGATTGCTATTGGTCTCGAACCGCCTGCCGATCACCATCAAACGATCCGAAGATGGCAAATATGATTTCTCCATGTCATCAGGTGGCTTGGTAAGCGGCCTGAGTGGCCTGTCCAAGTCTACTACATTTCAGTGGTACGGCTGGCCCGGATTAGAGGTCCCCGAACCGGAGATCCCGGTAGTCAAGCAACGCTTGAAGGAGGAGTACGGCGCGGTACCCGTTTTCATTGATGATGATCTGGCTGATCGCCACTATAATGGATTTTCGAGTAGGTGCGCTCGGCTGGCGATGACTGTGGAAGTGTATGAGACCACTAGAGACTGACCACATGGCTATTGTTTGAACAGATTCCATTCTCTGGCCACTATTTCACTACCACCCCGGTGAGATCACCTTCGATGAGTCCGCATGGGAAGCCTACAAGGAGGCGAACCGCTTGTTCGCCAAGGCGATCTCAAAGGAGGTCCAGGATGGCGACCTGATCTGGGTCCACGATTACCATCTTATGCTCCTGCCAGAGATGCTCCGGGAAGAGATTGGTGATAGCAAGAAGAACGTGAAGATTGGATTCTTCCTGCATACGCCATTCCCCAGCAGTGAGATCTACCGAATCCTCCCGGTGCGCAACGAGCTCCTCCTGGGAGTTTTACATTGCGATCTTATTGGCTTTCACACCTACGACTATACTCGCCACTTCCTGAGCAGTTGTTCGCGTTTGCTGTACGTATGACTCAGCGGAGAAAACCGAGGACTTCAACTGACAAGCATAGGGGCCTGGCCACAACGCCAAATGGGATCGAGTTCCAGGGCAAGATTATCACTTGCGGAGCCTTCCCCATTGGTATTGACCCGGAGAAATTCAAGGAGGGACTGAAGAAGGAGAAAGTCCAGAAACGAATTGCTATGCTGGAGCAGAAGTTCCAGGGTGTCAAGCTTATGGTCGGTGTTGACCGTCTGGATTATATCAAGGGTGTGCCCCAAAAGCTTCACGCCCTGGAAGTCTTCCTCAGCGACCACCCAGAATGGGTTGGAAAGGTAGTTCTGGTCCAAGTAGCTGTTCCGAGTCGCCAGGATGTGGAAGAGTACCAGAACCTGCGAGCTGTAGTGAACGAGCTGGTGGGACGTATCAATGGCAAATTTGGTATGTGCAATTATTTATGACCTCGACGAAGCGCTATTGCTAATTGATATTCCCTACGCAGGAACTGTGGAGTTCATGCCAATTCATTTCCTCCACAAGTCCGTCAACTTCGATGAGCTCATTGCTTTGTATGCTGTCTCCGATGCTTGTATTGTTTCTTCTACACGTGATGGAATGAATCTCGTCGCCTACGAGTATATCGCGACACAGCAGAAGCGTCACGGTGTCTTGGTCCTCTCCGAGTTTGCCGGTGCTGCTCAAAGTCTGAACGGGAGTATCATCGTGAACCCCTGGAATACGGAAGAGTTGGCCGGAGCTTACCAAGAAGCGGTTACTATGAGTGACGAGCAACGTGCTCTAAATTTCACCAAACTCGACAAATATGTCTCCAAGTATACCAGGTATGTCAACTTCTACATCCAGTCATCCAAGAAACCACCACTAATACATCCACCTACAGTGCATTCTGGGGCCAGTCATTTGTCACCGAGCTCACCCGGATATCAGCTCACTCAGCTGATAAATTCCAAGCCAAGAAGCTGGCTGTTGCCGAGAACGGTGAAAGCGAAGCCCCAACTGAGCAGCCCACTGAGGCTGCTTAGAAGGTGACTGATACTGATCTTCACTTGGAGTGTGGTGGGATTAGACACGCTGAATGATCTTGAATGCTCTCACGACATGGATGTGGCGAAATATTGTGATTTTATCTTTCTTGTTTCTTTGGGCTGCATGGGCTTTTGACACTCTTTTTTTCTCTCAATATGGTTCTGTTCGAAGAATAATTCCCTACTCATCTAGATGCAACTCATTGAGATATTTTTCCGGCTACGGACTTGTAATTTACTGTTTTAATCCGACGGCTATTCATATTCATTGATAGGACTAAATTGAAGTCTACTTGTGCTTCAGGGCTACATGTAGTACATCAGTTGTTGGGTGTAGAGTTCATGTACTGGGAAAGGCACTGAGCCACCTAACGCCTGTATATGCACTTGAAGCCTAGCCATCACAGTGCATGATTGTACCACAAAACAAAGTCATTCCGGCGCTCCGGATCCATTAGATTCAGAGCAGGAATTACAACCAATCAGTCGAGGACTAAAAAGGAGGGGTCATTATTCTTTACAATATGAGATTAGGAAGATATTGTTGTTTAGACAGCGGCTCTGGAGAGAACTTCTCCTAAGATCAAGTCTAATCAGACTCAATGAACAAAGTTGGTCCGATTATTCCGTTCGTCCCTTTCCTTTTCGGAAATTGGATAGTCCCCAGAGGTTGAGTATGACCATTGCAAACAGCAGCCCAAGTCAAACAGGGGTAGATGCGGTTTTACGGCCCAACACGGCTCAGCTGCAGGGGTGATGGGCATCCCGAAGATTCGTATCACCTCCAGGGCTTGTATATCCTATAGCAGATGTTCAACTGCGAACAAGTGAGGCATATATTGACTGTATTCAATTATGTCTCGACCTATTCATAGACGTGGAAGCATCCGGGCCGAAATGAGGGATTTTGATTAATAGATTCTGCATGTTTCGTCAGGGCTTGATTATGATCAAGGAAATGCCAGAGCCCATTCCTGACATCTGGAGATTCTGAAACCTCATTAAAACGGGATGAATATCGACTCTGAATGTACACCATGCTTCATCTTTTTTGATATGACTGCTGGAATCGATACGGGTATTCTTCATCGAGAGATAATCCTGTCGGTATAGAAGATCCATGTCGTCATGGAAAAGGCTTCAGGCGTCAGTTTGACAATTATGTGGCATGGCATGAGCAAAAAACAGCAACATAAGCTCGCCTCAAGTTTTGTTGAAGTTGAGAGGCAGTTCTTTGATCTCACATCCATGGATTTGGATCGTCAGGGAATATCTACTAGTATTTCAAGAAAATATATTCCAACGGAAGTTCAGGCGAGTCAATATTACAAGAACACTCCAGATGATAGCCATTCGGATACATTCTGTGCCCATAGATCCTACTGCGGACTACATATTTCAAGTTTGGTATGGGACGCGTGCTGGTTTTGATCTTGATCGTGGGTCTTGTAAGTAGGTAGTAGTATATCTACCTTAAAATTCAGAGAAAAGTTTATCTTTCAAATGTTCTAATTTTTCTAGGGCCGATCCCAGAAAGTGCCTTATTTCCATCGCAGAGAAGGAAACCGAATGGACTCGGCGTATACATAGGGAGGCCAGTTGAGCTTGACTTCCCACATAATGGTATCTTCCCTGGGATTAAGTATCCCGAAGACTATCTGGATCTCTTAGACAAGTATCTCGCACTGGTGCCATACCTTCTTCCAAAGGACTCAGATACTCCACTCAGTCGGCCAACTCTCCATCATCCAGGTATGTCACTTTTTTCCCTACTCGGAAGTGTGTTCTAACAAATTTCTTCAGATCTTAATCCAAATAACGTATTCATCTCACCACAAACCGGTGAAGTATCCTGCATCATTGACTGGCAACATTCAAGAGTCCAGATCCCGAGGAATTCTTCAAACTAATATAACCTACACCACCAGAATGTGACGAAACAACGCTTATAGAACAGAAAGACACAGCTGATGAGCCTTATCGCCGACGTCTTACCTTTTATTACTACCATCTCTTCAATGGTCATCTGAACAAGCCCCATCTCAAATTTTTCTATGATCCCATTATTCTCCCTCGCCAACACCTCGTGAATCCAGCTAACAGGGACTGGAGTGGGAACACAATGACTTTGAAGGATGCCTTATTTCGCATGATTCTGGCCTCATCTGCCTCATACAGAGGGCATCAGATACCCTGTATAGTTCCTAGAAGATGAGATCCATGGGCTTTATTAGCAGGAACAGACGTCATATGAATTATATGAATTGAATGCAGTTTTGGAGCATTGGATCAGTAATGAGAAGTACGACGAGGCTATTCAGAAAGGGAAAGTGCGCAAAGCTTCCCTGATTGCCATTGGAGAAGAGGATGAAGAAGATGGTCTGGAGGATCTTGCTCTTCTAGAAAAGGATTGGCCATTGTGAGACTATGAAATTCGAGAACATTTCACTATGAATTATCAGAAACGAAGTCCTTTCAGAAGACCATCACACAGATTCACACTAGGAGCATCAATACCACCTAGCGGGCTTCAAGCCTTGTAATGAATTCCCTAAACTGACGCTTAAAATGCGGGGTCAAGGCTGGAGAAGTAGTGTTATTTCCAATATTTCTTGCTCTCAGACGTTAAAGCGGATTCAGGTATCAACCGGGGAAATTGACAACCCAATTCATAAATGTTTCCAAGGCACCTTTCAGATCTGTATAGAGAAACTGAGATCTGCATAGAACCCCGGAAGATAGTAAAGCCGCTTCCGTATAACATGTTAGTCTTGGCTTTCTCTATACAGATCTGAAAGAACCCGAATATTTCTATTTATGCAATTCTCACCTCTAAGTGCCTTTCGAAATCTCTGAAGATCTTGCCTATGAATTTTTGAGGTATAAAAAATGCCTCAACCTCGTCGACCACGACCCAAGATCTCTCTATGGGCACGATTTCGGGTATTCCTGCGCTACTAGCATTCACCCTTAAAACTACGCCGCAGCTGCTCCCAACTAAGCTCACCCGATACGAACGGCTTCTTTGCGCTCATACGATTACTCATTCCCTATCCATCTTGGCACTTTGCGATCGCCGGACCCTACTCTCCGCGTGAGCTTATCGATGATGAGAAACGTGAGACAGGAATAATAAGCTCCCAATTTGGCGATTTACGCAATCTTCAAGCCATCCCCCTCTGGCGCATGCGCGATACACCATTAAGATCAATTTACCGAATCTATGACCTTCATCTTGCAGATCAGTACGGGTTCATGGGATATGAAACGGAGTATTTCTTTTTCCATTCCGACTGGCGACTACGAGATATCCCAGATCCAAAAGACCCCGACCCGGTCCGTTATGCTGTCGTCGCATGCATCGTGGAGGAATTGCAGGAGTCATTGAATTGGAAGCTAAGTCTTGGTTTAAGAAGGCATGGCGAACAGATTATTCGTGAGCGGAACGAAGACCCGTACCCGGAGTTTGTTCCCGAGGAACTTCCTGCCTGGACAAAGAATGTGCCGGCGATTGACAAGGAGCTCTTGAAACAATCTGTACCTTCGCATATGCTGAGCACAGAAGGGCAGTTGGTACTAGAAGCAAAAGGCTTGAGTCTAATTTTTGCTCAGCGGAATATTGTAACAAATACTGGTTGGTTCTATACAATTTAGTATGGTTTGGACTGTTGACGCATTGATTATCCATGTCTGCCTATTGGTATCTGAATATCGGTACCCTGTGACTTCTCCGACCTATCTCGTCGCCATCATTTGAATATTTCCCTGTTGTACTTCGCACGATACTTCGCCGCGACCATCTCCATGGTCTTGACATCTGGAAGTACATCAAACCCATTCCAATTCATTCTGCGAATCGATTCCATGTCAAGAGGCGCACCGCTGCGCTCTCTTAGGCTCTCCAGAAGCGCAACTGCATCTGTTATATCGAGGTCTGCTTTCCGGCCGCGGTCTCCGGAATAAATTCTCCGCAGCTTTCGCTCCAGAGCCCACTCGAGGGGGGGCTGCCAGAATCTCCAGGTTTTCACCTTTGAATAGGTAGATATTCTGTGCCTGAGCCTGAGCAAACGAGCTCTGTCGGGTATTACTCGTCACGAAAATGGTCGTGCGTTCGTTTATCCATTCCTCTTCATAATTGAGTTTGTCGGAGACTGCATCGATAGCGCGTTGGAGAGCATCTTGAATCTCCTTATCTTTCGCGAATTCAGGGTCAATCAGATAATCGATGTCGCCCGTGCTATCGCGATTCTTGAGATATGCCACCGCGAGAAAACCGCCGGCTGTGATTATACGGATAGGCGCGAAAGCAATAAGCTAGGGATCACCACTCATTTGCTTGTCGAGTTCAAGGAGACCTTTTATTGTTAGATGAAGAGTTAACGCAGCTAGTTCAAAAGCTTGTGCGGGTTCCCCTATGAGCACCTGGGGCCAACTATGGGGTCGAATAGTACATACCTTCCTGAAAGTCTTCTGCATTGAGAAATGCCTTCTTTCGGCTCATGGTGCCGGTTGGGTATTGAGAGGTCTCTAGGTCAAAGGTAAGAACAGGAATAAAAGTACCAAGTCAGGTCGAGCGCAGCTGAATTTGGGATCACGCACCCCTGGAAGGAACGATGGAGGTGCCTAGTTATGTACACTCCAAGTCCAGGTCAACTTGAGCCTCCATTCTCTCCTCAAGTGCTTAGTACTTTGAACGAAGTACGTAAAATGCGCAATCCAAATTCAAATGATGCAAAACTACGTAGGCTATTTTTCAAAGCACATTATTTAGAGCTTGACTCGTACCAAAAACGGGAAAGCCTCCAGGGCTGTATGAGATACCCATTCATTAACCGCCACACTCCACGCTAAACCTTGCCGGGAGAACTCCAGCACTCTAGGGCTTGAGGGCTTGAATGAAACCTTGGAATATTGGACAAAATAACCTTGGAAGCCAAACGGTCCGGGGCGATCCGTATAGATAACTTACAGATTCGCCCATATCATAGACTCATATGATTTGCATAGAGCCCCGAGTCTCGGAGATTCAAATATTGATGGATTTCAAGTCACTACTAGCCCTTGAGAGGCACCGGCTATGAAGGTGAAGATGAGCGTGGATGTATGGTCACACTTTCAAGTTGATGATACCCGGACCCGTATTCCTCCGAGTTCAGACTACAGAAAGAGCCCTGGAGCCATTTGGTCCAGTGGTATACCAGCACTTAGTATGTATAGATACAAGTACGGAGCACTGCCAGCTGAATATACGAGAGAATGGATCCCGAGTCAAACCTTGGAAGCCCTGCGAAGATTCAAAGGATTCGATCTGCAGGCCTTAATGCAAATGGTGCATACGAGTCGCACCAATAGAAAGGTTCATTCACTATCCATCCCGTGTTGATGATTTTTTGCACAGCAACTAGTAGCTGGGTGTTGTTTCCCGTTCGTTCGGGTTGATTAATGGAAGAGCCTCGTGATCTAGCTAAAGGGTCCTTCAATAAAGGGTCCTTCAAAATTCCGTGAGCGGTGGTTCAATTCGCTTCCCGATAAGCTATACCTATTCCAAGATTAGCGAGTCATTCTACGGAGTACTCCGTACGCCTCTGCCATGCATAATTTGGCCGACCCGCTGTAGGTAAGCACTATTGTCTTGGAGTAACTTATACACCCGTAGAACACCATGATTTATATGTGATAAATCACGTGTACCACAATGAATATTTTCTCGTGAAAGTAGAGTACAATACAGATTAGCTCGTACAGCTAGACCATAGTCAGTTAGTATGGGAAGCGGGTCAGTGATATCCTGCACACCAGAGGCTGTAGATACATTGTGGGGCAGGTCGGCAGGGTCTAAACACGAGGGTATTCTGCCAATTTTTCCCGTCCACGCGCCAAAACTGGAGTCATTCTTTCAGCTGACTGAACATGATGATATGGAAGTCACAGGGGAGCAATGCTTCGATTAACAGGCACAGTTTTGGGGTTACTCCTTAAAGGGGTCATTGGAGCCTCGAATTCTTCTACTTCTGGTATTGATCCCATCCAGAACTATTGCTCCCGTTTTTATCATCAATGTGAGTACAATCTTTACTCCTATTTCCATAAGATGGAGTCTTTGCTAATGAGGGGCTGAAATTCAGCTGTTGTGAAAAATGGAACATTGTATATTGATGGCGGAATTGAGCTCTTCATTCCATATAACAATATGGGTGATCTAAAAGGATCCATAAGTGTCGGTTATAGTAAGTTACTGCTAAACTTTGTCGCAACCTTGGAACTCAAGCGGTAAAGAACTATTCTCACTAGCTACATAGACACATATCTCATTACTGCTTCAATGGACGCATCTTGGGATTGGAAGACCAATATCTCGATGACAGAAATCGCCAAAACTGCCGACGCAAATACGGGTACCGACCCACCAGTCAACATTCGTGGAGCCCTATACGCCGGGACGCAAGACGATGATAGTGTCTATACCTACGGCGGAACCGTGTCATGGGTTAACGAGACCTTCCCGGGATTCCAGTGGCCAACCGCCCCTGCGTACACCCTATGGTCGTATGGCATTTCCAGCAACGCCTGGGATCAATATGACATATCACTGGATGCTCCATATCGTCCAGCTGGAGGTTCATATGCAGAGGCGACAGACCAAGGCCTCGGTTTCTATCTGAATGGATACATTGATAATGGGTCATCGTCACTTTATTCCTCCTTGACAAATTTCCAACGATACCTAGACGGTCTTATCGTGCTCGACATCAGTACCCAGGAAGCAGTCAATATCTCAACCTCGTCCCTCACCAATTATCCACGCGCAATGGGTGGCTTGGTCTCCCTGCCCAATATTGGCAGCAAAGGCATAATGGTTTCTATGGGAGGAGTGACAAAATCAGCAGATAACAGTAACTTGTCGGATAATGGGACATATGTAAGTTCAAAATAACGATCTGTGAAGTGGGAAAGATATTGACTAAGGGAATTATCACAGGTATCCTTTGACAGCGTCGATTTCTTCGATATTGCGTCCATAAATACCACCAACTCAAGTGTGAATTGGTACACTCAGAGCACGACTGGAGACATTCCAGCCCCCCGAACGGACTTCTGCGTCATCGCCGCGTCTGCCCCTGACAACTCGAGTCACAATATCTACCTCTATGGCGGCAAGAATAGCACTACAGTCTACGATCAGATGTATGTCCTAAGTATTCCCTCGTTCGAGTGGGTCAAAATTTACGAAGGATCATCGCCCCGTTACGGACACACCTGTCACTTAGTGGCACAATCTCAAATGTTGACTGTCGGGGGAGTCGAGTATATGGATGTCACAGAGAACTGTGACTGGGAAGACAGGGGCGTGGCTATCATGAATTTGAGGGATTCCACATGGGGCAGTGTGTACAACGCCAATCCAGGCGAGTATCTGGTACCTTCTAAAGTTTATTCGGTTATTGGTGGCAGGTAAGTTCCCAGAAGCGTCTCCCATACCTGATCCCAAAAAGAAATCCAAAAAATACTAACTTCGTTGAAGCGCAATCGGAAATGCCACTATGAGTAAGCCGTCGCGTGGGTTCAGCAATGATGCAGTTGAGGCATTCTTCGATCACAAAGCCACAGCATCTACCAATGCGAGTACAAGCACAACCACGAACACGACCACAGCCACAAACACAACGAAGAGCAAAAATGTTTCAAGCTCAAGTCTCAGTGGTGGAGATATCGCGGGTATTGTGATCGGTTCTCTTGCTGGCGTGATCCTCATAGCTATGGGGTTGGCCTGCTTTATTTTTTTTCGGACGCAGAAAACAACCAATTGTCGACCATCCCGATGTCCATGAGGTACCGGGAAGTGAGAGATCATTGTTGGGGTCTCTGTTCGGTAATCCACGACAGAAAATGCAGGAATTACCTGATCAGTTAGCGCCTGAGATGCCTGATTCGGCCAGGTATGAGATGCCTGATTCGGCCAGGTATGAGGTGCCTGATTCGGCCAAGTATGAGATGCCTGATTCGGCCAAGTATGAAGTGCCTGATTCGGCCAAGTATGAAGTGCCTGATTCGGCCAAGTATGAGATGTCTGCTGATGTTGCACCTGTCGAGCTTCCAGGGTCTGGAGAGAACAGGAGGAGTGTTTACTTACCAGAAAAATTTTAAAGTCCAATATTGATAAAAAGGGCGAAGATATCATAACTGACGGTCGCCCAAGAATGAATCTATTAATCATCTTATAATACCAAAACAGGTTGACTGACTCCTTTTTTCAAGAGGAAGGTTACTTGATTTAATATAAATTAATGTTTTTCTCTCATCTATCACAATATGAAAAATATCACGTCAGTCCTCCAATATGATAAGAACATCAAGTTGAGCCCGAGAAACCGTTGAGAGATCACTTCAAGTTCAAATATCATGAGATCTGCTACGGAGCCCGCATAAGATAACAGCCTCCAGGGTCGTTCATATGAAGTCTGACCTAATTACATTAAAAATGACCTAGGGACTCGGACCCACCAACCACCGAACTTGAAATCAACGTCAGAGACTTACATTGATCAGAGCATGGTGGAGACTAATCCATCCAAATATCCATTCTTATTCTTAGGCCCGGGAGTAATTGTAAAAAAAGAGGTAAAGCCACACCGGTGGCGTATTGGGAGCTCCGCAGGACTCCGGAGTTGTGTATACTAATTATTAATTGTGCTTTAAGCATCTGAGACATTGATGTGGATCAGATAGATGCAGAAAATGATCTCAAGATTCTCAACCATCCTACTAAATTGTATGATACCATGCCACTTCATGTCAAAATTTCTTCCTCAATTCATGCAATGGACTTGGCAGTGGAGAAATTCGATGCCTCCTAGCACATATGCAGAGTTTAATGTAAAATTGGGATACATATGTGCATATAAGGATAATCAAAGTCAGCCTTACATATGGGGCTGGTGGAAAAGAACTCTAGCGGGAACTAATTAACTTGGAACTTGAACCCTATGAACTCCACATACCCAGATTTTAACTTGGACTTGATCTTGAATCATCCGAATCGGCAAATATAATGATTGAGAAACATTAAATGACTAAATCACGTAATAATATAATCATATAATCATGTAATTCTTCTGATATTAGTACAAATTATACCATCCGAAACATTTGCAATGCCGATTTTTATGACATCTGGATAGTGCGAGATCAAATTTCAACTTGAAAATTCTAGATGTGAAGTTCAAAATAACATTTGAAGGCCTATAAAGGATAGAAAGTTCTTAAAAGCCATCAAACCTACTTCGGGTCTCGTACTCGTACTCAACAGACTAACCTGAGACAGATTCTCCATTTTTTTCATGACAATCACCCAGTTATCAGTTATCAAAGCTTGAACGGAATAGAGAATCCTTGGAAATGGATCCCAGAGACCTTCAAGTGTGTCCTTGTTCTGTGGAACCAGTGGAGTTGTGGAGCCTCATTTGTATGTCGATCCATCCGAACCTTGGAAGATTCCACTGAATTTCTATTGAATTTCCCCTAGTAATTCATGTTTCGTTTCTTTTCGAAAGAGTACTAGTGGTTTCCTAGTAGTGTACAGGGTATACTCAACTTGAAGTTAGTTGATTCTATGTGTATTACTAGATAGTACATATGCTAGTAGTCTTAAGTTCAAATTCAAATGTTATAGATTATAATGAGACTACCTACTATCATATAACCTTGGAAGTATAGACTTCCAGTTCACAAATGTGCATTATTCCAAGGTTCCAAGCCCTGGAGGGTTCGCCCCGTTTTTCTTTTCCCTTGAACCAATCCATGATCGCAGAATTCGCATCAGTTTGAGTGTATAACCCACACGGGTCATACTCATCCATCAAACTATGCAAAGTTAGGGTTCAATTCCGTCTACCCGTGCATAAATCAAATTACGTACCAGGTCCTTCATTACACGATGATAGATTGCATGCTATCTGATAGACCTGGCTCATGGGTACTCAGCCCCGACTCGGAAGGTGAGCTGGTGAGCCGTCTTTTGTCTAATAGTACATAGTAGGTCAAAAGTCTGGCCCCACCCCATATATAAGATTTCGGCCGAAAAAATTAACTCCTACATTAAAAAAATTCTTAAAAATCAAGTTTGTAATAGTTTGAGTTAAAATTGGATGATAATACAGCTGCATAGATATTCTTCCTTTTCAAACACTAATATTTAGTGTAATAGCCCCGTACATTGTAAACAGCCCTACATCGTCGGGTGAATGACCGAATCAGCCTATCGATAGTATCTTGTGGAATATTCCACCACGCGTGTTTCAATAAGCTATGAAACTCAGTCCAGGCTACTAAGGAACGACCAGTGTGTCGTAGGTCAGGGCGCAATTTGAAGACCTCACGTTTTAGAAGGAAACAATAGACCTCAATTGGATTCAAATCAGGTGAATGAGCTGGCCAGTCCATAACGTGTATTCCATGAGCCATAAAAAATTCTTGGGTGGACTCCGCGGTGTGACTTCTAGCGTTATCTTGCTGAAAGATCATATCTGGTATATAGAAGTGTAAAAAAGCTTCTTCAAGAGCCCATTGGTAAGAATTAGCTGAGTATCCACCTCGGGGGGGGGGGGCTTCAGAATCACGCCATATAACAACTAGGTCTGTACGACCACCAATCCAGATAGCACCCCAAACCATTTGTGCAATATCCCGGCCATGGTTTGTAAGATTAACTAAATGTTGTCGATAGGCTTCTGAAGCTAGCCGAAATACCCATTGAATTGTTGAATTTGATCGTCTTTGGACTGAGCATTCATCACTGAATACTAAACGATCTAGTTCATTAAATCATTGCCATTGGCGTACAAATTGCATACGCTCACGTGCGTCTTTTGTTGTTAGTGGGATACGGCGACGTGACTTCCACTTGCGAATTCGGTAATTGCGTAAACAACGATAGATTGTCGATCTTGATAGGGATAGACCAGCTTCTGCACTAAGGGCTTCCCAGCTCATTCTAGGAAATCTTCGACACATGCGATACACATAGCGGATAGTTCGATCACTTATGATTATTGGACGGCCTGACTTCGGGCGTGATTTAACATCCTTGCGTTCCTCATAGCGTTTCAACGTGCGATAGACAGTCTTGCGATCGATATTCAAATCACGCGCGATCTGAGCCTTCGTATGGCCTAATTTAACAGCTAGAAGAACCGCAAAATGCATCACATGTAATAGCTCTGATAGCTCTGCCTCTCGCGGGCGATTTCCCTTAACAACAGTGCCAAAAGCTCGCATATTGGTGGTGTTATGATTTTTTGAAGTTGGTGGCGTTGAAAAATTAAGTTTCTATATAAAAAGTGGGGCCAGACTTTTGAACACCCATGTAGTACCAGTAGTAATAGTATGTACGAACTTGAACCCCCGAGTATAAATTGAGCAGGACTGGCACTTATGCATGCATTGGCATCATCTTGACTTGGAATCATTCCTTCTTTCTCTATCAACCCATTCCACATTGGAATCATTTCAGATTTCAACGCTCGTTCCCTTCATATTATCTTTTTTCTCCTCTTCTGTCTGTTTTTCAAAGTCTCCTGACTCGGTGTTCATCATGGCGAAATTCGCCTCTTTTGGTATGCTGGCAGCAGCCGCCACGTTAGCCCAAGCTACCTCACTGGCAAATATGTGTACAGACACTAAAGCCAAGGCCACGGTCCCATCGACCGGTCTGTTTCCAGGCATTGTTACTTCTGTAGATGTAACTGCCAACCCAGTCTACAATGAGACTGTCGCCGATGAGGCTTACTACCCAGACGCTACTTTCGACTACTGCAACGTCACCATGTCTTACTCCCCACAATGGGAAGACTGACAAGGTACTGCTGAACTTTTGGCTTCCAGCCCCAGAGAAATTCAACAACCGGTGGGTCTCTACTGGTGGTTTTGGTTTTGCCATCAACTATGAGACATCCATGCCTGGTGGTATAATCTATGGTGCTGCCACTGGACGAACTGATGGTGATTGGAGGCTTTCATGTCAATTTTGACGATGTCTTCCCTCTTGCAAACGGTACTTCCAACCTGAATGCTCTATACATGTTCGGGTACCAGGCCCATCACGAGATGTCCTCCATTGGCAAGGCCTTTACCAGGAACTCTTTCGACCTTGATGACTCAACAAAGCTGTACGCGTACTACCAGGGTTGTTCTGAGGGTGGTCGTGAGGGATTCAGCCAGGTTCAGCGTTTCCCTGATGAATGGGATGGTGCTGTCATTGGTGCTCCTGCCCTTCGCTACGGTCAGCAGCAGGTTTACCACTTGTTCCCGCAAGTTGCTGAGAAGACCCTGAATTACACTCCTCCCTACTGTGAGCTGGAGAAGATTGTTAGCCTTACCATTTCTGCCTGTGATGTCCTTGATGGTAAGGCTGACGGTGTCATTGGACGTTCCGATCTTTGCAAGCTTCATTTTGACTTCAACCCGACTGTCGGCGAGGAATACCACTGCTCCAGCTCCGAAGTACCCCCGAACAGAGCGGCTCAGTGACAAAGGAGGGTGCTCACCTTGCGTACACCATCTATAACGGACTTATCGACACTGATGGTCGCCGGGCTTACTTCTGGTTACCAATATGGCGCAGAAATGGAAGAGGCTGAGACTGTGTATGACTCTAGCACCGGCGAATTGGAAGTTTCCATCTCATTCCTTGGTGGAGAGTGGGTTGCTCGTGGCTTGCAACTCCTTGAGGAGGACAACATCTCGAGTCTGGAAGATGTTAGCTACGATACCCTCCGTGACTGGATGCTCGAAGGCTTGCATCGTTACGAGGGCGTTCTGCAGACTACATGGACTGATCTGAGCCGCTTTGAAGCTGCTGGTGGTAAGATCATCTCGTACCACGGTGAACAGGACCCCAGTATTCCTACCGCCTCTTCTGTCCGTTTCCACGAGTCCGTTCGCTCTACCCTCTACGGTAACGAGTCTTTCGCCAAGGGTACCTCGAGTCTGAATGAGTGGTACCGTCTTTTCTTGGTTCCTGGTGCAGCTCACTGTGGCACCAACCCTCTTTAGCCTAATGGTCCCTTTCCGCAGACTTCTCTTGGCTCACTCATTGACTGGGTAGAGAAGGATGATATGCCTGTTACCCTGAATGCCACCGTTATGTCTGGCGCTTACAAGTATGAGCAGCAGTAGCTTTGTGCTTGGCCCTTGCGCCCTCTTTGGAAGAACAATGGCACTACCTTGAATTGTGCATTCGATAAGGAGTCGTATGACACTTGGATCTATGATCTTGACGCCTACAAGATAGCAGCTTTGATATAGCTGAATTACACACTCCTTTATCCTCTATTTCTTGGACCTTGTGGATTCCCCTTGATGTCCCATGCATGAGACTATCAGGATGGTTCAATGTTTAGTCGGTTGTGCTGAGTCCACGGGTCGATCCATGCACCGCCGAGTGTACTGCCTAGAGCGTTCCCCTCTTCAAATGTTCACTAGGTAGTGTGTCGGACTTAATATGCTGAAACTTCAAATGTTCAAGTTACAGCAAATTGCGAACATTTGAAAATGTGGACTAATATGTGGACTCTAGCTACGTGTGATTTTGTATTTATACTTTAGTATTCAATAGAAACCCCAAGAGTCCTTCAGGGCTTCGAATTTTTATTACTCTAAACTCATTAACAATCATGGATGTAGGATTGTTTTGTTAAAAGTCGGTTAATTTAAAATCTGGATATCAAACTATTTGAAAATGAAAAGTGCTAAGAATCATCAAAAACTCAGAATGTCCCATAACATCAGATCATGCCCCCAGAGCCTCATTGAAAATTCTGAAGTTCCCTTCATTGCGCGTATCCAGAACAGCAAAAACGATTTCTTCAAATTTTCCTCTCCACTCCGATTCACTCAACACCTCGCCGGAGATGCGAGCCACCTCTCGTGGTGGATTGTGGAAAGCACCACAGCCAAGTGCACCGAGTACACAATGAGTAACATTGTTCTGAGCAAGAACACGAAGCACTTGTCGCATTTTATCCTTGGTGACTCGAATATCTCCCAGATTAGCTAGAGCAGGTCAGTATAAAAACAAAGAATGAAGCTGCGGCCAGAAATTACTGACCAAATTGTTGTTTGTCTTTGGACAATCTAGGGTTTCGCAAAGCTGCCAGACTGACGACCCCAACAATGAAAATATCATCATGAGGGTAAATACGACACCACCTTGCTACCTCGTCGCGAAACACAGCCACTCTCGGGGACCAAATCGCCCCAAATTCGGGAAGAGGGTAATGTGAGTCATTGAGAGTTGCAGCCAAAGTGCTTCTGAAACAAAGTGCCTCTTCTTGGGCTAGAGCCCCATGTAGCCACCCTCCTCCTGGGTGTTTCTCGCTGGCCATATTGAGAACCCCGACCTTCGCCGTCGGGTGCGCGTTTAGTATTCTTTGGGCTGCGGTGAAACTGTCTGCATTCTGAACGGTAATTCTTGGACTCGAACTCGATGTAGTGAGGTTCGGTTGAATGGGTGCCAAAAGATGCTGATATAGTATTGATTCATCCGAAGCCTCAGTTTGCACGATGATATTTGGAGTGAGGTTTTGAGTCTCTCTGGCTAGATCCCGGCGATGATGTCTCAGTGGAGATTCTTGGTTTCGATCATTGCGCTGAGGTCTCCATCGGGACCAAAATCGTGTCATCTTGGCAGTGATTGAGGTGAAGAAATGGATCAGGAATCAGCGTTGAGAATTTCTATTCGAATTCAACTTGAAAACCAAGTAACTTGAAGTAAAGAAGTGGTGAAGAAAGAAAGTTGGTGACTCGATCGTTCCGTCTTATAGTTCGTATTTACTTTAGGCAAGAGCCTCGGGTGCAAACAGTGCAAACTCATCCTGAGAATTTCCTTCAAACATCGAACTCCGCAACGCCGCAACAACGATCTACGCCCTCGTTCACCCCCGTTTTACTCTTCAATCTCTGTATTTGATCCCCCGTATTCTCGTACCAGGGCCCAAGACCGAGAATACCTAGCCATAATGGCCCCCCCATCACATTCTCCGGGCCGCAATGCCTATCCGATCACTCGCATCACCAATGGTCCAGGCACGATCAACGCTCCTCCAATCCATCTCCCAGTCTACTCGATCTGCCTCAAGCTCGAAATCTTCTCGCAACACAGAAACACCTAAAGCTCCCTCACAAACCACTCCCTCCGAACTCGCCGAGCTCAAGCACCTCCAGGCACCCGCCCTGCTCCGTTCCTACGCCTATACTCTCAAGACCGGCACCGTCGAGTCAGTCGGACGCATGGAACGCACCGTTAGTGTGATTCAGCGCCACACCGCCTGGAACCAGCAGATTGGAAAATACTACCCCCAGGAGACAAGATACCTAGTCTCTGATCCCCGCAACTCGCTGCGCGAGGGCGATGTGATTGAGTTCTCTTCCGGAGCTCCTAAGAGCCGCCGCGTGCACCACGTCATTGAGCGCATTATCACTCCTTTCGCCGTGCCAATCGAAGACCGACCGGCTGTTCTGTCCCGTGAGGAGCGCGAGCAGGAGCGCGAGCGTCGATGGGCGGAGAAGTACGTGCGTCGAGAATCGCGCCGATTGGGCAAGGAGGTTAACCTGTCTCAACTGGCGGAGGCTATGAATATTGAAAAAGGAACCTCGGACGCTCACATTATTCATCAGATTCATAAGGGTAATGAGCGGATCGGAAAGGTGAAGAAGTTGGTGTTGGAGAGAACTACTGGAAGCCCAGCGCAAACTCCTGCTGAGGCTCTGTGATTGTGAGATGTGAAATATATTGTCTTTCTTTTGTTTCCTTTGGCCTTGTGGACCATTCTGATATCCATGCTGGTGTTGCATGTTGGGTCATATCATATGTACTATATTATACAGCTTTCATTCTATTTCATGGATACACATTACACGTACTAGTTGACATTGATCTTGTAGAATACTGTTCAAGTTCTTAAGTACAGGCATATAGTTTGGGAATCTCAATGATAAAACGTTGCGGCATTAGAGAAGTATGTACGAGAAGAGAGCCCCATTCATTCCGCTCTCAATACTAAAGTCCAAAAAAACATCGTATAGACCTTGGAAAAGAACGGCCGTTCTCCTCTGGCGGATCCAGCCGTCCAACCCCCATTCGTAAATCACTTTGTAAATGGAAAAGAAAGTCACTGGTATCAGAGGAGAGAAAAACCAACTCCGTTTGCCCTGAAATGACGAACAGTATCTCATCTAACGCTGAAAATCTCACGGTGTGCCAGGTGGTGGTCCCGGTAGACAGTGCCTTTTTTTCAATCCCTGGGTCTGGCGAGATTGTTCACCTCGTATCTTTGGCATGGTATCTGGTCGACAGATTCCATGGCAGGTCTTGCCTCGGTAGCTGATCAAGGCCTTCATGATGCAAAAACTTTGACCTTGAGATCCACACTACCAGTCGCTAAGACGCATCGAATGGACATCTTGTTTGCTGCGTTCGGGTCCTCTTTCGCACCATTCGATGATGTACCGTTGGCTCCAGCATCACCGTTGGCCCCGGTGTCCTTCATCAAGGGAGGAGCCCACCTGATTGAGCTGACGAAATGATCATGGGCATCAATTGTACGCACGCACTTGCATTCCTGAGTGAGATCCCAGCAACGTAGTGTTTTATCATCCGCCACTGACAAAAGATATTTCCCACCTGGGTGGAAGACCAACCCGCGCACCCAGTTGTCGTGTCCAACGAGTGTTTTGATACAGTTACCTCGTGCATCCCAAAGACGAATGGTCTTGTCGCGACCTCCTGACGCAACAAACTCCGCCGATGAAGAAGTCGGTGGCGGTTTTTTCTGACCTGCAAGAGCTGCAAGGTGTGGGTAACTTGTGGATGGAGCAAATGCAACACACTCAATGTAGTGGTCGTGTCCCAAGAATGTCGATTTGGTCTCTCCTGACGAAACATCCCACAATCGAGGAATTTGGTCGTCGCCCGCCGAAAACAAGAACCGACCATCTGGAGAAGGTGTGACATCACGCACCCATGCAGCATGGCCCTGTAATGTTTTCACGCAGTAACCTGTTGTCACATCCCAAATTCGTAGTGTCATATCACGAGATGCTGATACCAGGAGATTTCCTGACATTGGAGATCCCGCAGCCCCTGACGGGATAAAGCGAACTGCAGATACACTGTGGTCATGGCCTGGTAAGGTTCGGATATTTTTATATTCGTCTGCAGGGTCCCACAGTTTGATTGTGAGATCGGAGGAACAAGATGCAAGCAAAGTACCCCCTCGCGGGCCACCATAATCCACATCTAAGACAGCCCTAGTGTGTCCCTTGATAGTCCGTTCAAGCTCACCCAGCTCCCAATCCCAAATCTTAATGGTTGTATCTTCCGAGCCAGACGCAAGGGATGAGAAAATAGGGTGAAAAGCGACGCAGGTGATTGGTGATCGGTGCGATTCGAGGTCGTGGCGAGCTGGTGCCCGGGGCAGCCACGAGGCGGGATCTTGGTTTCGTCGAGATAAGGAGGTTGGAGTCGCAGTATCCAGCTCAGCCTGGAGCGAGGCACACCGTGATTCTAAGTCCATAATCTATACTCAGAAGACAAATTAGTTTTCTCCCCATTCCTGTATATCTCTCTCCCGAGATCGAGGTCCACTTTGATATGGGAACAATGCTCCATACCTTTTTCTGTAGTCGGACCACACTGGTCCATTTCTTCTCTAGAAGTCCCTCATATTTCTTCAATGTGGAGTCGTCAACAGTAACTGAATCGCCCAGTTCTTCTCGTAGCGCAATAGAGCTCTGAGGCAGGTTCGCGGAAGCCAAGTAGGCAATGATTGACTTGTGTCTGTAACCCGAAAGTGTCATATTAGATCATAGCCCTTGTCGCATTGAATTCCAAATCAATAAACTTACAGCTCCTCCGCCTGTCGCGCCGTGAGTAGCTGGCTCATGGTGCCGGCGGTTTTGTGTGTTTCCCAGACAGTCGCTAATTCCACCTCCGCATACACCGGAGGATTGTCGCTCAGAAGAAGGAATGGGAGAAAGTAAAGTTGATCAGGACGGAAGATCTGGGAGAATTGGACACAATAAATAGAATTATCGCCTTCTTTGTCTGTTCTTTTCTTCAGAAAGTCGTGTATTTTTTCATAAGTTCAAGAGATTCTAGAGGTTTAAGATCCACCGCGGGGTTTCAAAGCAACAAAACAACACCGCCAAGCCCGCTTGTTTACTTCCCGGATCCGCATTGTGTTTATTTCCTTTTCCCCTCCAGGTCTTGAATCTTGAGATCCTATTCCCTTTCAGAATTTAGGGATCTGTGAGACTTGTCGCACTTCTCTTTCTTTTTTGTCTTATTTTGTCTTACGAGTATTGCATCTTCGTCCGCAATCCGTATTCCCCTGATCGCCTGGGGATCCGATCCCGAATTTCTTCCCGTCCTGTTGCTTGGGCACCAAAACCTCCCTGTAAGAGGATCACCGCCTTATCAATATTAAGAGGATGATGAGGCTTTCAATTCTTTAAGACGAGAGCTATTCATCAATGATACACTGAAGCAACTAAGACATCCGTTTGCAAAGGCTGACCACTGAGTTCTGCCAGATCCCGATCCAGTAACACCATCCTTAACTTCCTCTAACCCGTTACCATGGCAGAAGGTGAAGAGGACTTCTCTGCCTTGCCGCTTCCCGACCGGTTCGCTCATAAGGTGCGCGAGCCCTCCGTATCGCAGTCAACCCATGGCGGAATAATGCGAGACAAAAGACCTCCCTGAAGCTGACCATGAAACCTTGATCGAACAGAACTGGAAAGTCCGAAAGGAAGGATATGAAGACGCAAAAGCACAATTTGAAAAGACCCCAGATGAATCAGACCCGGTGTTTCAACCCTTTCTCCTAGACCCCGGTTTGTGGAAAGGGGCGGTTGCAGATTCTAACGTTGCTGCACAAGTGGAGGGTCTCACAGCATACTGTGCATTCTTAAAATTTGGAGGCGCACAAGCATGTTCAAGGTATGGTTTCAGATTCATTGGAGGAAGTTCTTGACTGCAGTGGACATCATTTGCTGACTCTATTTCCTCCAGGACACGGAACACGACAGTCGGCCCCATTGCGGAGAAGGGTCTACCCTGCGCCAGACCAGTCGGTAAAGCCAGCGCCCAAGAAGCCCTATTATTATGCGTCGAACTAGACAAAGCCGACCCGGTTCTCGAAGATCTTTTGCCTGCCCTTGCACACAAAGTACCCAAGGTGATCGCTGGTACACTAGCCGCCTTGACCCTTATTTACCACAACTTTGGATGCAAGATTGTGGACCCTAAGCCAACCCTTAAGGCCTTGACAAAGGTCTTTGGACATGCCGACAAGAACGTGCGTGCCGAGGCTCAAAATCTCACTGTGGAGTTATATCGATGGCTTCGAGAGGCCATGAAGCCTCTGTTCTGGGCAGATTTGAAACCCGTTCAACAACAGGATCTGGAGAAGCTTTTTGAGAATGTGAAGCAGGAGGCACCGCCAAAACAAGAAAGATTCACCCGGGCTCAACAGGATGCTATGGCTACAGCTAGTGCGGCACCATCCGGCGACGGTGTTGAGGATGAGGGTGGTGAGTTCGGTGAAGAAGAAGAGCCCGAAGTCCTCGACCTTGCAGAGCCTGTGGACGTCTTCCCCAAGGTTCCCAAAGACTTCCATGAACAACTTGCATCATCAAAATGGAAAGATCGCAAGGAAGCATTGGATGCGCTTTACAATGTGCTGAATGTGCCTCGTATCAAGGACGGCCCCTACGATGAGATTGTGAGGGGGTTTGCCAAATCTATGAAGGATGCCAACGTTGCGGTCGTCACAGTAGCTGCCAACTGTGTTGATCTACTGGCGAGGGGATTGCGGAGCGCTTTCGCGAAACACAGATCCACGATCATGGTGCCAATGCTGGAGCGTCTCAAGGAAAAGAAACAAGCGGTTGCCGATGCTTTGGGCGGTGCACTGGATGCTGTCTTCAGCTCAACGGATCTTTCAGAGTGTCTAGAAGATATCTTTGAATATCTCAAGCATAAGAACCCGCAGGTGAAGCAGGAGACAGCCAAATTTTTGATCCGTTGTCTTCGTACTACTCGTATTGTTCCATCCAAAACTGAGATCAAATCCATCGCCGATGCCGGTACAAAATTGTTGACAGAGTCAACAGAAGTTATGCGGTCTGGTGGTGCAGAGATTCTGGGAACGCTTATGAAAATCCTTGGAGAGCGAGCTATGAATCCCTACCTGGATGGACTTGATGAGATTCGGAAGACCAAGATCAAGGAATATTTCGAAACTGCGGAGGTTAAGGCCAAGGACCGACCCAAGCCTATTGTAGCACCGCCCAAGCCAGCCGCCCCGGCTGCTAGGAAGGGTGTGCCCGGCAAGAAGCCCGCTATGGGACTCAAGAAACCGGCCCCTGCTGCTGCGCCTCCTCCTATGGAGGATCCTCCTAAGGCTGCTCCTAAAGGCATTCCTTCAAAGCTCGGAGGTCTTTCAAAACCGGGTTCAGGTCTCGCTCCTCCAGGCTCGAAGCTACGAAGCAAGCTTGGTGGTCCAGGTGGATTGGCCTCGCCTCAAAGGCGAGCTGCTCCACCTCCAGCTGAGGAAGAAGCACCCCCTCCAGCTGCGCCCAAGTTCGGCCTTGGTCGTGGTCTAGCAGGTCGTCCTATTGCAAAGCCATCAGCAGCCGCTGAAGCAGCCCCTGCCCCAGTAGCGCCAGTCATTAGTGGTATCTCTGCCGCGGAACGTGCTGAACTCGAGGAACTTCGTGCAGAGAAAGAAAGGTTTGCTCGTATAATCGAAGATCTGAAATCCGAGCGTTCTAAGTCCAACAATGAACTCACCGAGCTTCAAAACCAAAATGCCCAGCTCATCGAGGACCACACTCGCGATGTCTTGAGTATTAAGGCAAAGGAGACACAACTGGTTCGTGCACGAAGTGACGCGGAGACTGCGGAGGCCAATGTTCAAAAGCAACAGCGCGAGATTGAGAGGTTGAAGCGCGAGCTGGCACGGGCTCTTCGTGCAACTGCAATTAGTCCACCCAACGCCTCGTCTGATACCGGTAGCATGGGCATGCCTGATGCCTCGTCCATCTATCACGAGGCCTCCAGCAACGGATACCCCTCGGCATCCCGATCTGGCCTCCACATGGGATCTCGTTTTGAGAGCCCTAGGCCCCGAAGCTACGCCTCCGCTAGCCCGAGTGAGGAGAAAGAGAACAATGGCCTTGAATCTCCGGGTCTTAGCAGCAGAGAGAGCGGCCTTGGTCGACGTAAGCTGAGTCCAACATACGGCTACTCTGGTATTGGAAGCCCTACTCGCTCGTCTCGAAACTCGACAAATCCCACAGATGAGGAACAGCCTCGATCAGCGGAACCCGCAGAGAATTGGAAGCGAGCCGCTGAGGTTACCAGTCAGCTCAAGGCAAGAATTGAACAAATGAAGGTACGTCTTCATCGCTCTACTGCCCCAATGGATCCCCTTCTCACTCAGTGACAGGCAAGGCAAGGACTTTCACGACCTCCTTCTCAACGTTAATGACCCAACGTAATGACCGCCATCATGCTTTTCCTCTTTTCTATTTCGATGCGTTGTTAGACTGGGTTTTCTTGATGCAATCATGATCCGATCTTGCGGTGGGTATTTTTGGTCTTCCGGGTGGGCTGGGGCCTGGGGCTACTGGCTTCTGTACTTTTTTTTTCATTTTTCTATGCCCCTTTGCGTTTCTCTTATTTCCCTGTAATATCTCCATACCAACTTGTCGCTTTTCTTTTTCTTTTTCTCATTTATTTTTATTCCATGGGCTCTTTCCTACAAAGGTCTTTTCTGGCTAATGAACCTTCAAATGGTGTACTTCAAAATTTCCTTCCACAATACCTGCATTGCTTTGAACTCAGCAGATTGTATAGTAGTTTCCGTGATTTTATGACCATATGAACTATGTACTATTGAGATTCCAGCTACTAGTATAATCCTGTCCAACGTTTTCAATAGTCTTTCGGTGTCAGATGGAAAGGAACCTCAGGATTGCCTAGCCATTAACATTCAACTTGGATCATTCATCATTCATCACCTCAGACTCCAGCTAGTAAGTACTCCGACAAGGTGTCGCATATCTTCACTGTTCTATTCAACTACGGACAACCTTGGAATCCAACTATGGACGTCATAGACTGGATGCTCCTGGCGCTTCTTGTCATTCTCATACCTAACCACCCCACTGGCAGTAAGTCTGCCAGTGTTCCACCTGATATTGCCTCGTCAACCCCGTGCAACTGCCAGTGGATCCTTCAACACTTGAATCACAATGGCATACAGCAGTAGCAACGAATATATACCTAGGTATCTACTACACGCCGTGACCTACATGGATACTGTACCAGTAGCCTGGGGTTCCAAGGTTCTACTAGTACTAATAAAAAATTCTGGAAGAACTTGAACTGTGACACTGACAGACTCGGAGTCCTGGGCCACTGTAGTTCCTAGTATTCGCAATTCATCCTCTTACTAGCACCGAACCAGCTGCACATGTGTGGTACCACCTGGGCAAAAAACTGGAAGATACCCATGCACCTGGCAAAACAGAAAAGCTCAGCCCTGGAGGATGCAAGGGTTGAAAAGGTTCAGGGTATGAATGTAGCACTGCTGGAAAGTCAGCGGTCATCCATTCAACATTTCAAACTTTGAAGAACCTGAAGCCTGAGTTGTACTAGTTTGAATTTAACTTCTCAAGTTTTTACATAGCACGAACATCTGGAGCAGACATCTGGAACAGTTGATGGATCCGAGTCTAGAACAACATGGCTAACATTTTGAAAGTAACTAAGTTAGAACATTGAACTTGAAGGGATCAATGAACTTCACCATGTGAACTCAGGCTTCCAATATTACATATCGGGTAATCACAGCTACATTTACGAGGCTACAAGGCTACGAAGCTACACAAGCAGAGTGCATGAATGCTGATCTCGAAACATTTCTACAGGAGCCATGTGGAACAAGTAGAGAAATGCATTCATGGGTATCTGCAGAAAGTTGGTACATAAGGGTGTTAGGAGAGTTCATGAAGTTCATGAGAGAAAAAATTATTTCTTTTTTGTCAGAACAGGAGATCGAAATGCCAATGGCTCTTTCACACCCATCTAAAGCTAAAAAGAATTGGCCGTTAACAAGTAATCCAGAGCCCTGAAACACCTCGTGGTTCCCATTAAAACTTTTGGAGGAAGACGATCCCGTCAAACAAAAATCCAAGTCACGGAAGAGAGACTTAGACCTTGATGGCGTTCTCAGCGGCCTTGCGCTTCTTCTCCTGGCGGGCGTTGGCCTTGGCACCCATGATACCACCACCCCAGTGGCGGCGGGACTCCTCGTACTTCTCGGTGTAACCCTCCTTGATGGCGGAGAGGAGCTTGGAGAACTCGGTCTTGTCCTCGGAGCGGACCTCGGTCAGGGCCAGAACGGCGGAGGTCTTCTTGTGGACAACAGTTCCGAGACGGGCCTTACCCTTCACAATAGCGTAAGGGACACCCATCTTGCGGCAAAGAGCGGGAAGGAAGACAACCAGCTCAATGGGGTCAACGTCGTGAGCGATCAGGACGAGGGAAGCCTTCTTGTTCTCAACGAGGCCAACGACGTGGTTGAGACCGTACTTGACGTTGTAGGGCTTCTTGGAGACATCCTCCTTCTTCTTGCCCTCGGAGACGGCAGTAGCCTCCTGGACGAGACGCTCCTTCTTCTCGGCCTTGGTCTCAGGGCGGTACTTGGCGAGGAGCTTGAAGGTCTGGGCAGCAGTGTTGCGGTCCAGGGTGTTCTGGAACTGAGCGATGGAAGGAGGAACCTTCAAACGCATGTTCAGAATCTTCTTCTGGCGCTGAAGACGAACATACTCGGGCCACTTGACGAAGCGGGACAGGTTGCGCTTGGGCTGGACGTCCTGGCCGATACCGTAGTTGCGGGAACGCTTCTCAATGAGAGGGTTCTGTGAAAAGGGGAAATGTCCCATGATTAGTACATTGCTTCATCTTCTCATAAACTCCCGGGGAAAGAAGAAACTAACCTTGGCCTGCTTCTTGGAGGAGCCAGCCTTGCCCTGGGGGTAGGGCATGGCGGCGGTCTTCTTTCCGGACTTGGGAGGCTATCATTGAGAAAAGAAGATCAGCGATCTTGTCCACTATGGGCTGCATCTTCTTTAAACTCTAGAGAGAACACGAGTACCTAGGCGCCATTTTACAGGCGCCTCGGCTCGTGCCTCAAGCCAGTTTCATCGCCAATGCCTGACATCTCTTTCGAAGCTGTCAGGACATTTTGACGGAATTGCTTTGATCACGAGGATCGAAAGCTAGACAAATTGTCCTTGAAGGAATCACTACAGCAGGTGAAACCTGTATTAGAGACGATCAGAAGCTTACCACCATGTTGTCGACTTGGGATCGTTGCGCGAGATTGGCGATGTTCGAAGGAATGAAAGAGAAAAGAACGACAGTGGATGTTAATGAATTTCTCGTGGGTCGCGCTAATGCGGACATGTGACTAGGGCTAGGGCATACCCGCTCAATAAGGGCAATTCCATACACGTGATCCAGATCTGTTATTATCACGTGATATCATCGCCTTCCATATTAGGCGACCTACTAAGCTATATCTTGACAACCTTGGAATACTGGATTCTGGTGCATCTTGACATACCCGAGGAATACGATAGTTCTTCTCAAATATTACGATCGGCTTGAACGTCAAAGCTAGATTCTTTTCTCATTCAAGATGACATCCCGCAACGAATAACCCAACGACAGCAATGTTCTCTATGTACTCATCACGAACATTAAGAACGCTACTAACAAAAAAGAGATGAAACAGTCCATGCAGAAGGTATGTCGCTAAAATATATGTATGAAGGCCAAGGGTAACAGCGAAAGAAACAAATAAACACTGGGTATCACCGCCATGCTCCCAGGCTTGGTAGAGCCCCTCGCCCAAGGCTAGTGCTCGCTGCTTGAACAGCCTTCCTCTTCCCTGTAGTACCCTCTTGACTACGCACTCCTGCAACAATTTTATCAATGTTGGTTTCAACCACAACGCCACCAACAATCATCTCGCTCAGGACTGCATGCATCGTCTCGTAACCAAAGATAAGGTCTAGCTCGCAAACGTTCTCAAACATACGATCCAGTGCCTCCACGAAGACTTGGATCAAGTCAATCAGCGCGAGTGGTGACTCCATAGATGTAGAGATCATAATGAATGAGAGGGTGGCATAGGTGCGGTAGGTGATCTGCGTAGGCGCATCAGAGGGTCCATTGGCCGAGGAGCTGGCACCCTGCGATGAGAGAAGAGGAGGAAGAAGAGGGAGGAAATTGCAAGCGCTTGCAGGTCGCTGTGCTACCAGTCTGTAGATTTGCGCAATGAGAGATTGCTGTGTTTGAGTATCCTGAGATAGACGTGTGAGCTTCGGAGATACCTGCAGTTCAGCTGGACAAGACTCACCAGTTGAGTATAGAACTTTGTCAGCCGTGGTTGGCCATTGTTATTGAATACGAGCACCGCGTTAATCATGATGAGTGATTGTAGGAGGATTATACCTAGGTAGTGTGTATTTGATGGAAGAAGATCAATGTAATGACTCTCCCTCATCCTCAAGATCCCGCGCCGCTCTTATCGATAACCATGGTTGGTCCGTGCGTCCTTGATTTTCCGGAGAACTTTACGCGCCCAGATGATTCGACTCTAAACTACGACTTTAAAGATGAATCGCTCTATTTCAAGGTGCTCCGCTTTTGCAAAGCGCTTATATTCCACATCGAACCCTTCAAATCCGCCTAGTACCTCGAAATCCTCATCTTCAACTAAACGGGAGCTCCAAGACCTCACACCTTCCGACCTATGCTACTATTGGGATACAAAACAGCCTACATCATCCCAGCTCGCCTTTGCCGACAGGTTATTCATACCCTCACGTCATTCTCCACTCAAGTTATGGTCTGCAAGCAAGTTCCGCACGACACCGATGTCCTCGGTCGAGCCTGAAGTCGCATTTCTCGGCCGTTCCAATGTCGGCAAGAGTTCGCTGTTGAATGCCGTTATGGGACAAGAGATATGCTGGACATCCTCTAAACCAGGCCGGACAAGGGAAATGAATGCATTTGGTATTGGTGGCACAAAAGGTGGTGAATCAAAAGTGGTACTTTTAGATATGCCAGGATATGGAAAGGCTAGTCGAGCGGAATGGGGAATGGAGATCTTGAAATATTTACAAGGGCGAAAGCAGTAAGTATATTGACCCTCAATTTCTCCCTTACAAGGTTTTTTGAATCCCCACTTATAAATTTCATCTGCAAGACTTCGCCGCGCATTCATCCTCATCGACAGCGAGCATGGAGTCAAGAAAAACGATGCAGATATCCTCAAGCTTTTCCGACGCTATGCTATTCCCCACCAAATAATCCTCTCCAAGGTCGATAAAGTCCTCGCCAAAAAGAAAAAGCAGGTGAAAACGGGTGTTTCAGATGTGAGTGTTCAGCGACTACACAAAATGCTGCACGATCTGAAGACGGTTATTCAACCGGACCCGAGCATCTCAGAGGGACCTGGTGCACTTGGTGAGCTTGTCACCTGCAGCGCAGATGTTCCCATTGGTGACGGACAGTTCCTTGGTATGAATGCTGTCCGATGGGCCATTTTGTCCGCGGCAGGAATTGATGGGAGCTTAGAAGATGGAAAACTTGCACCAAAAGTCGAGGTGATACCTCAATCGTCCGACCTTCCTGAATCATAGCCTCTCTATGAGAGGTGCAACCTCTTCTGTATATAGGTTGAGCAGGGTTATGGGAGGCAAAAGGCTGTAGATACTTCTTTTCAGAGACATCTCTGGGACCGTGTAATATAATTGTACTAGTACTCATGTAAATATGCAATGACACTTCAAATGTTGAACATTCATGGTTTCTACAAGCGAATCTAGATACAATTTTGTAAAACCGAGCCCATTGAATATGCGAGTGCATGTGTCAGTCTCGATTCAAGTTGAACCTTGGAAGTTTTAGTAAACATGATCAATACTAACTTTCAGGTTGGGCCAAGAACATTTGAAGGTAAGCATACCTCGGACACTTCGCAACTTGAAAAAGCCCACATTGAACATACTCTTCAATGGCGACACTCTTGATAGTAAGGAGAGCTCGAATCCATATCACAAACCCAGCCAAGCGGACAAGCCAAGGGTTCCTGGCAGGTTTGAGCCGAAGCAGGGGCGACAAGGATGACCCAAGTAAGAAGAGTGAGGTTCACAAGAAATTTGAGATTTAGCGCCTGCATGGTCACAGATGAGAATGTTTACCAGTAACGAAGTGCGGGTTTTGAGTCTGGCAGGTTTCTGAATCATGGATAGTTGTAGTTTACAAGATCCAAGTTGGAGATGCCAGCCTTATAACAATTTGAAGGTGGGATAAGACGAGAATTTAGAATCCGACTCCTATCGGCTTTGTGATACTGAATGTCACAGTGCCATATGAGGCTCCGTATGGGTTAAAATGTATGAGTCTTCAATGCTGCAGAAACCGTCAGTCATGGTACCACCGTAAGCCTACAAGTTCCTGCCACCTAAATTTTAATTTTAGGGATCATATTCAAATGTTGGAAGGGGGTTCCATGTACGGTCTTTCTGGATGACGTTTCTTAAGATGAGATCCTATCAAGGAGATAATCACCTGGGCAGAGACCTGAGCTGCCAGTGTCTACTACCATGATAGTCTCGCCTGGTAGGCGTCTCACTATCTGTGGTATTACAATTCGTGATATTAACTTGAACTACAAATTTCTACGGGGATTTTCCTCCGGCCATTTCAATTTGCTGGCTATGCGCATGGATTGTATCTATTAGCACTGAGGAATAAGAATATATCAAAATGAATAGATATTGAAGGCATTGTTGGCCTAAAAAACACCACGGACCCAGTATCGCCCAGTATAAAGCGATGCGCGAGGAAATGATACAGGTCAAAAGTAGTGCAGAAATAAGAAAGTAGAGTAACATGAGTATGCAAAGGGGACGGTTCAAATTCGAGTCAAAAAAATAACCTTGAAAACAAATAAAGAACCTATCCCAAAAGAATCAGGAAACGTCACGCAACGCCTGCCCCTGTCGTAATGCTGGATGACTGAATAATGCCGACCACGCTATGCAAAGGGTTTTGTTCAAGAGAAGATAAAGGCCATAAGGATGGGGTATCGTGAATGGGTAATGGAGTAAAGAAGTTCGAATAACAGGGGACGGAAAGGAGTCGCAAAGGATGTTTGTAAAACAAATGAAAAGTATGAAAAAAAATAAAGCAATAAAAGAGGACGTCGTTTAAAATGGAGCTGTTCCAGGTAATTGTCCAGGAAAGCAGATAGGGATAGTTCATAGGTCGGAATCGGACTGCGAGATATGGCTTTCCGCTGAGATTTCACGGCCACGACGGCTCACGGCAATGCGTCTGCCAAGTTTGCTCTCGGGGATGCCATCTCGTGCTGCACCAAAGTCAAGAACCTGCATGTCTAATGTTAGCTCTATATGCCATAAAATTCACAAAACAAGACCAACTCACCTCGATGTAGGTCAGATTATCCCGCTGCACTGCAGCAACACAGCGACGATCATTAAACTTAACTTGCCAGACACCACTGAGGTCAGTGAGTAGGTCTCGAACACAGTTGCCGTTCGTAACATCCCACATCTTCAAAGTTCGATCAGAGCCAGATATGACCTTCTGACCATCATGCTGGAAGCAGGTTATTGCTCCAGTGTGAGCACTGAGGGTGTTCTTGCAGTGACCACGCTGTGGATCCCAGATCCGGAGTGTAGAATCAGCGGCGGCCGAAACAAGATGGTCACCCTGCAAGGCAAGAAGACCGACAAGGGAGGTATGGCCATCGAGATTGTAGAGCAGGGCTCCATCATCGAGTGACCAGATCTTGACCATATGGTCCATGGCACCACTGATGCAGCGGTTGCGCTCGTGGTCCAAGACAACACTGTAGACCTTGAGGGTATGGCCGGTCAAAGTGTATTTCACGTGTCCGGTAGAAATCTTCCAAACACGCACAGTGCAGTCATAGCTACCACTGACCAGAGTATCACCATGGGCTGCGATAGCACGTACCGAATGGCTGTGACCAGATAGGACTCGAACGAAAAATGGGCAATCATGATCATCTGCTGTAGGCGAATTGGCCAAATAGAGTGGGTCGGTGGGTTTTGGCAGCTTCCACACACGCAAGTTTGAATCGCGAGAACCCGTAATTATCAAAGGCACCTTAGGCATCATCAGGGAGCGGCCATTGGAATCTTTGCCGATCTCGGTGGGCAGAACAATTTGCAAACAACGAACAGTGGAAGTATGTCCGTGGAAGACTTGCGTGCAACGGGCTCCCTCAATATCCCAGACGCGGACTGAACGATCTGTTGATCCTGAAACCAAAGTATTGCCATGATATTCAAGCGCCCAGACACCGCCATCATGACCCTCCAGGGTAGCCTTGAGGGCACCAGTCTTGGTGTCATACACATTGATGTTGGTGTCATCGCTTCCAGTCAAGATCTTATCCGAGTCGAACTGCAAACATGTGACAACATGGCGGTCATGAGCACGGAAAGCAATGTGGTGGGGCTTAACTTCAGGCTTCATCCATCCGCGACGAATAGCATGGAGTCGACGGTAGATAGCCTTGAAGAGGTAAAGTCCGCGTAGAGCAGGAATGCCGACTTCTGGATATGGAACCGCGGCAGCAGCGGCATTTGCTGCTGCATACGGTGCTTCCGACGCCGCGACATCCTTCTTCCAGTCCGGCTCGGAATGATCCGTTCCACTAGAGGAAATCTTGCGCTTCGCCAGCTTTCGGCTCGTGGTTCGTGTGTTTGCTTTTCGCTTCGGGCGTCTATTGAGCGGCATGGTCGTAAGAGGGACTCTGTCAGTCGCCGCAGACGAAGAAGGAATCGGAGATAGCTCGTAGTCGGGCTTGGGGGGTATTTGAACTCAAATCCTTTTCCCAATTATCGGGGCTACTAATCTGCCATCCCCATCCCTCTTTGATGGATCGCTCCAGCTCTCCCTCAGATAGAGTGTAACCATCTTGGTCAAGCAGCTCCTTCCAGGTTTTCTCATCCGAATTAATGATATGACGCCATTTCTTCGAGACCTGTGCCGCACGACACATGGTTTGAACATCAAAGTATTTCACGATATTCAAGCCAAGCTCCAAGGGAAGCAAGGCGATGAAATCGCATTTGAGAGTGGGATTCACCACGTCAGCCACAAAATGCAATGTGGGTTTAGGGCATCGTCGGAGGAACTGGTACATCATGTAGGTCTTCAATTCATCAGGGACCGAATCAAAGAACTCTAGCACCTTTGGCATATCCATCAGCGAAGCTGGCGACCGCGCAACAGGCGCAGCCATAGTCAAAGCCCTGCTTCGGGAAGATTCCGAATCATTAAGATGCACCTTGGAAGACCGTGGAACATTATTGTCAAGGCTAGAGTCAGTGTCCACGTCAGGCCCTTCAGATTCGAATGAGGACTCGGCATGGAGAGCATTCATAGCAGTAACCGGTGACAGACTAGGGCTTGGTAAACACATATCTTGAGCCATCGCATTATCAATGGCTGAGAGTTGAGTCGACAATTCTGGTCGCGGCTGTGATGTGTTTTCCTGGGTAGAGAATGAAACACTTTGGCCGACCGTTCCAGAGCCAGATGTACCACTTGTATCAACTGATGGACCTTGATCATCATTTTGGGTGAACACCGCATCTTGTGAATTATTTGCTGCTCCAGTCTCAGCTGATACAGGAGTCCGTAACAGGGTTTCTCGGCGGGAGAAATTGGCACTCTGCGCCCTTTGTCTGGAAACCACTGCATCTCCAATGCTCCCAATATTGTGTTCTGTCTCCGGAGTGGCCAGGCCTGCTGGAGAAAGAAAGGCGTTTGATGTCTCATGGCGGATACGTCGTGTCACGGGTTCCGAAGGAACTCGGCTTCCACGCGTCCGTGGGAGGATTGATGGACGAGGTTCAGCGATGGAAACTGGAGATACAGGCCGATTTTGGGCGTTGGGACGGTTGACACGGGTCATAGATCGGGGAGGAGCCAGTCGGCGAGAAGCACTATCATCCTCAGAGGAAAATGAGTTGACAGACCGAATCAAGCCATTTGAGGCTCGCAGTGCATCATTCCTTTCCTTCAGCTATATGTCATGTCAGTAATTCGTGACGTAAGAAAAAAAAGAAAAATGTGGGAGATGGGGAAGTCTCACCTGACTAGCCGCAGTCATAGAATCATCTGGCTCATTGAATATGATTGATCTTTCACCAATATTGAACTTCAAGTTTTTCAGAGGAGATGGGGTAGGTGATGCAGCCAACGGGTATTGTCGGGCATCCAGATCTCTAACCGCACGCGGAGGTCTAATGATCAGGGGAGGAAAGGAAGTTGTAGTGGTAGTTGTGGTTGTGACTACCGTAGTGCGCGTTGCAGGAGCGAAAGAGAACTGGCCATAGATATTGTTGGTTGGTCCTTGCTCGATCTGGTCGATCTGCTCTCCTTCGTGGTCGTCCATTTCGCGTTTTCGGGTATGAACCAGGCGAGACTGAGGATGGTGGGTCACATGGGAATTAGATGCAGCAAAAGACGCGTTGGGTTCAGAGGTGTGTGTATTGTGAGAGATGTGTGACGGGTGGCGAGGGCGAGGAGAATGAGAAGACATCATCAAAGGAAGCAATCAAAGTGGGGGGGAGTTGTGTGAAGGCGATGAACCACTTCGAACCGGGGTCAAAATGGGTGTTAGCAAAACGCCCCGACACAAAAGACCGAAGAGACCATCTACAGCAAGGTAAAAGGGTCTAACAGGCGAAACATGGATGTGTGTTTTTTTGAAGGGTGGGAGAAGGACGCAAGGATGATCAAAAGGGGAGGAGAGAAATACTGTGGCGGCTGACAAGGGAGTTTGGGCGGAGAACAACAAGTTAATCCGAGTCCCGGATTGGACGATGTCATGGATAACGTGCAAGTTTCTTTGATCTGAGAACTACACTTCATAATGCTTGGACTAGTATATTTCTTAATTTCGAATAATCTAGAATTCTCTTGGTTTGAATTTCCTTTCTCCTCATTTTTTTATTCCTTTGATCGCCATAATTTTCAAATTCTGGGGTGGTTTTGCCCGGTTTTTTGTGTTTTCTGCAGCATGAAAACCTTGACTGTACTGTGTGGCTCGGGATGTCCCAGTGGCGTAGGATTCTCCGTGGAAGATTCTTTTCTTCTATGCTTTTTTTATTGTTATTTTTATTCTAATTTAGCTTGAGGTTATTTGTTTCTATTTTTCCAGACTATTCTTCTATTCTATCAAAGAATAAAATTCACATTTACCAGGAGTTTATACACTATCAAATCGTAAATGTATATCGAGTCGGGCTACAAACCTGTTTAGGGATGTGGAGATATAAATCTTAGTCAGCGTTCCAGCCATTTCAGTGATCACGTGGATACAATGGAGAAAGTTCATAACAAGTAAACTCCGCACTTCCAAGTTGACATTTGAACAGGTTATTATGACCAGACATGATGAGAATATTTGAACACTGCTCATCCTTGGAAAATAGCCCCTTCCAAGGTGGGGCCCCGGACTCTGGCATCTGAGAACCAACTTGTTTACTATCCACCTGGGCAGTGGGATCCACTTAGAAACAGGGATAGCGGGATCGATAATGTGCGATAAGATAGGGAGATGTACAAAGTACGTGATCAGGGGAAAAAAAGAGACAAAAAGCAAAAACAAGAAAAATTTCATCAGAGACGGGAGTCGCAGGGATAACCATTTCCTGTATCCCTTTTTGGATCCATGCACGAGCGGTGTACGTACCTTCGAGGTACCTGACGCATGACCTGCAGGTACCCCTGAAGCCCTGCCCAATTCCCTAGTGGAGACGGACCTCGGGAGTCCGGAATACATATATCTTGAATATCTCTCAACTACCCGACTTTTTAGACTCAGTGTTGAAGTTTGATACACCTGTGCAAATGGACAAAATTTCCACGGGCTTTGATGTAAGATTTTGAGCCTAAGAGCCAGCCGAACACCCCAGCCCTGGAGGTCGATGCTTCAAATGTTCAAGTTGGGTATTAAGTAGTACTGCGTACATGGATACATGCATATACCCATGTGCATTTGAACACATGTGCATTAACTTGAACATTGAAATACTAATAGTACATGTGGCCCTGGAGTATTACACCCGTATGTGCATATGTCAACTGGTGTCTGCTGGCTACTACAGCATTTGAAGCCACTCCCGAGGTCAGGGCTCAAGTGCTGGCACTGCCAGTGGCAGCATATGGATGTGTCAACTGGTAGTAATGTGTCAACTGGTACACAATAAATAGTCCACGGGTAACAACACTTGAACATTTGAACTAGTAGGTGGTGGTAGTATTCAAAATATACTATGTACCTACTAATACGTGCACATGTGTCAATTGATACCTATATATGCTCGGAGTCGGGTGCAATTGAGTAGTAGATGATTCAAGCTATATGTATATATTTTTGAGTTTTTAAAATTCGAAGTCTGCCACCTGGGCAGTGGTTCAAGTTGTGAGACTGCAGTAGTAACTTGGAAGTAATGGTACATACCTACTAGTCAAAGAACTAGTACTATCGAGGTTGGCAAGAACTTCAAGTTCCAACTTCAATGTTGAAGACTACCTAGTACTAGAGCTCCCTCAATCAAATAAGGCCTGCCGTTCATATCAACCTGAGAAGGAATGTTGATTGGAATAATTAGGTCTCGTGCGTGTGAGCCTTATCTATTAAAATTAGTCAAAGTGACCAAAACAGTACGTAGAAAACTTGAGAGAAATTTGAATGAGATGATTCACAACTTGGATGAAAACAATCTACGCTTGTACACCTTGGCTCCCATTTTTCCATTCAAGTTTCTACTTAGTCCGAGTGACCACTGAAATTTGAATATTTGAATAGTATCACCGTGACCTCCAAGTTAGCACCCACAGTACTACAGGCGTTCAAATAATGTTGTGGCTGATGTCACACCATTGAGGATACATAGCCACAGGGACAGAAATGATCATTATATCTAACTCACATGCCAGTGCTGTCTAAACCTACATAGTACGTATGAATGTCCATGTCTGTACCTGGGGTACGAGTAGTAGTTCCAGATGTTCCATGTGAGAGACTCGGCGTTACTACATATACATATAACCTTTCTTCAAATGGTTTTTTTCTTTCATTTTCAGTGCTCTTCCATCTCAAGGTATCAAACCAAGGTATCGCAATTCCAACTTGAAGGCTTCGAACTCGCAAGTGTAAAGTCTGGGCCTCAGGTGCATCTGGCTGGATTACAATATTACATAGCCGCCTCAGGCTGTTTTGCAAATTTCTTTTGAATCGCCTGCAATATTTCATTTCAAATACCACTGGCAGTCTCGAAGAGAAAACTAATCATGGAAGAAGATCTTGGCTGAGTGTGAGAGCTGTCGCAACATCAGATAGAATATTCATCCATAAGACCAATATATTCCCATTCCTGCTGAAGAATTCCAAAGGCCGAAAATATTAGATCTTCAAGGAGAATTCGAACGATATGGAAAGCGATCAATCACATATGCACCAGATCAATCACTAGATTTCCGTGCAAGTCCACGGGTGAGCGATCTAGATCCCGCCTCACTCCATTTGTCTTATTCCAAGGTTATGCCCAACCTCTGTAGCTTCCACATCCACATGTACAGATCATATTCTCTCACAGAGATTTGGAACCGGAAAACATTGCCTGATAGAAGGGACTTGTTGCTGGGAGAATTTATGGCCTTATGACTCGGAACTACGTGTATTTCCGTGATTATCACCTCAAGAATTGAACCCATGTTTATTCGAAGCTAAAATTCAAGTTTTGAACATGACAAAGTCAAGTAGATATGAAGCCAGTAATCCGACTCAGTCATCTAAATAACCTTTCAAGGTTAGAATGTAATCGATCCTTACTCAATTTTCCGTAGATCTAGTCTACTCCTGTCAGTGGTGAAGATTACTTCAAGCCCTAAAAAAATTAGTCATGAGTGCCACCCACGTTTGGATAATATTGGGTGATCGTGGTCTTTATGACTCGTCGTTTTGAGATCATTGCACGAAGTAGGACTCCCCGTGCCTACCCGTTTGATGTATTCCAAAAAGGCACCGGGGAGGAACTGATGGTGACAAAGGTACCTTCAATTTTGACGTCTGGACATTCTGGACTCGGATTTATTTCAAAAAATGCTTTAGCGGTGGGGGCACACGACATCCCTGCCTTTATTTGACAAATTATAAGGCTCCAGATGACTCTTTCTTTGTTTGCTCTTTTCTTTTTTTTTTGATCCATCGTACCCAGGGGAGTGGTAAATCTCGGAATGCTCCGAGAAGCCTCATTTTTTGGTTTCGTATAAATGCGGATGATCTGCCGCTATGGAGTCAACTTTACAGATCACTTTACAGATCACAATTCTTGAAACGCACTAACCAGCCCCTGCTAATACTCTGAAGCTTACTCCGAACAACCTATTAGAAGAGCTTAAATCAAATAAGTGATTCAGTGGCTGGTGCAATGGGCAATTTCTATTTTCTTCTTTCTTTTCTTCATCGTTCGATCGATTAAAGAAAAAAAAATGCAAAACCCGAAATCAGGATTCTACAATGATGGAAAGCAACATTGTCGGAAGTCCGCATTCTAAGGTTATACCATGAAGACCCAACTACGGAGTACGGAGAACACATGGAGGCACGGGGTATAGAGCACGAGGTACTCCGTGCTCCATCCAGTCCACTGGGATCAGTACCTCAGGCTCCAAACTCCGTACTCCGGATCAAGCCATGAAGAAAGCTTCGGATGATGAGCGCATGATCTACAAAATCCACCGAAAATCATTAGCTAGATCATGAAACTAGAGCCATGGGAAAAACAGGCAACTATTGCATGCATTGTGGACAACCTGCGCATTGATATTGGTGATGAACTATTGAGGGACCATTTGACGCTAGTCGTCCCCAACCAGTGGTTTGGCAGGGATGGGAAATAAAAAGGAGTTCCCACCACCTGTCAAACCATTCATTTGGGTTCAATAGTCGGCAAATAGGGAAAATAATTTCGATGCTCGCGGGGTAAACCTGATAAACGTTGCAAGAAGATTCATCTGTCAAAACCTTGTCAATTGGGTTCAAATGTTCTCTGAAAATTTAATCCGTACTACGTAGAGGATGGAATTTCATTCGCTAATTTTACCCCCTATTCTATCGACAAATTTAGACTAAAAAGCATTACGCAGATGCTATCAGCTTTAGACTGAGAGGAACCAATAGGACGGTTAGCGGCAGGAAAGACTCGATTAAAATTAACATTCTGGGGAGTGTGTGAGTGTGTCACTGCGGCTTCGCACACCTGTGGGTCCTTGGACACGGCACAAGGGGGCTTGAACGGAGCTGTCCGGCAAGCTAGATCTCCATCGATCGGTATGATTTGCTCGGATCGGAGTAGATGGACACGGACTAGAGCACGAACGGAAAAGGGTCCCTAGTGACACACGTAGGGGGGGTTGCGTGAAAGGGCCAGACACCCATGAATCAAAACCCGAATAAAAGTACATAGAGAAGTTTAAGTCATCCAGGGTCTTCAAGAATTGCCGGGTTTTGAGTGAAAAACCTCAAAAAATGGAAAAACTGATATGAATTCTAAGACATGACAACCTGTCAAACCCTAAGCAATTGAATTTGAACGTTTTAACGGAATCCTCCACTTGTACCTGCCTTAGACCCAACCTAGAGAGCCTTTGGGAAACGCCCACGTTCTCCGTCAAGACTGGGCCTCGTGGAAAGCGGGCTGTGTGCCGCTCCAGTTCTCCCTAACGGAGTGTAGAACGATTTGAGTTTCATCACACCAAGACCAAGCTTGTGGACGCGTTGTGATGGGAATATAACTAGGGGAGGCCGATCATTACCTTTCACCACCCGGCACCAGAGCCAAGAGAGGCAATAGACATACGTGACATCAATAATTTGTCATTGTGGCTCTCGATTCGGGCGGCTAGGGGAGTTGCGATCGAAATGACCGGCCCCGACGGACTGGGAACTGGGTCCATCACCGATCGAAGTGCAACACGCGAATCACGCGAATCGACGGCCATAGCGGCCGATATTCTCCATCGGATCCAGAGTTGAGGCGATGCTCTATACCGAGTCTGGAATACAGGGAATCAGGTTTCTAAAATACTCCATGCAATGCACGGGGCGCTTGCGGGTGGAGCTTCACATGTTGTCGTCACTTTGGGATGGTGAATAGTGTCTGCCACAATTTGATAGATGTGGTTGCCTAGTACGGAATATGGAGTGCACATGTGCAGAGAAAAATTCAAGTTTTTCCTCGGAAGATGATTTCGATTCGATCTGAGTAACACAAAGAGAAGATGTTTCCAAGGTTCAAATGTTCTTTGTGATACACATATTACCCTTTACGGAAACTCCAACCTGCTCAAATGGTTTATGTGGGCAACCGTGACTTAACCGTGACCTTAACCTTGACCTACCCGTGGTCATTATCCCTCGTGGGCACGTGTTTTTCTCTCAAGGTTATCGGAGGGTTTAAGGTTATTCTATGCATTTCCAAGGTTTCTTTCCTATAAGCGAGGATTTTAGTTGCACATAGTTATCATGACAACAACAAAAAAACTATCATTGATAGGATAGGATTGACCAGGATGAACCATTGCAATCTCCGGAGTTCTCTAAGATAGACACTATTTCCCTTTCATCGGGACTCGAACCGTGCGACAGGAATGGAACCGAGGACTGGTCTCGTTAGTGCCTGTCGATACTTGCTCTATTGGGTTCACAATGGAGGAGCTGAGATGTCGATCTCTTAAGGTGATTTTCTTTTTCTTTTCCCTTTCAGAATAAGATTATGATAATTATAACTATCATTATTAGCGGCCTTGTCCTCAATTGCCCCCCTGAAAAAGTGCCACAGTGCACAGTGCCACCTGTAGACTCATCATATCACATCAGATCACACCAATGTACGACATCCCTGCACATGTACGGAGTAAATCTATGTATAGAATAAGATAGAAAAGAAAACATGTCAAACTTCATATTCAAATCATCAGATTCAAAATGTCATATGAGAAATATGTACTTTGTACTCTCCAAGATCCAATGATCATTCCCCAATTCCTCCCCCTTTAACTCCGTACTTGTTTAGAACTTGGTCCAAGCGGGAAGAAATCCCAATTTCTCCCCCTTTTTTTTCTTTTAAATTATTATCAAAATATTAAAATGAAATCCAAAAAATACAATAAAAAAAATTTTATCCACAAAATAAAACCTCCACTAAATTCCAAAGACAGGTGGAGCATCGCCCCCCTTTTAGGACTGAGAGAGGTCCATACGATCTTCTAGGATACTCCGTCCACTACGGAGTTGAGGATACTTTTTAAACTTACTGACTCCCCGCACTCGTTTCTTTTTTTCTGCTTGGCACTTACGATCTCTCACGGGCTTGTCAACATCCCTTGGAAAGAAGCAAAGAAAAACCATCGCCAAATAAAAAACTTGGATTGGACACGCACACTGGTACGTGGTGGAGTCCCCGGGTTCCATGTCCCGTACCACGGCTTTGAACGGCTACGAGAGCTCAATGTCCCGGTGACTAACTCAGTGGTACATTAGGTTCAATTTCAAAGGAGAAAAAGAGACCTTCCTTTCTTTCACATTTACCAGGGTCCAAACATTATTCTCGAAATCTATTCTTAGTTGCATTGGACCCCGACAACCACCTTCATATTCACGCCGAGGAATTGAATCCTTACCCTTATTATTCGCCATGGCCCCTCGAGACCAAGCTCAAGTGCATGTACCGCTACGAACATCGAGTCGTAATCTACGGTCCGACGCAATGAACCAAGAAGATGCGACCTTCGTGGATCGCAGGACCTCCAAAGCGCAGCGCATTCTGGGTACCGATTTGCCCATCCACAACCAGGCTCAGATGGAGTCACAGAAGCACTCAAAATCCCGCCGGTCAAGCCTTCGAACGCCTGATAATAATAGCACCAGACAAAGTACGGGATTTGTTCCATTCCCTAATGCGATCCAAAGCGACAGGATGATCCCGCCTCAGAATCTCCGTGTCAGGGCTTCATCGCCTCTACTGGGCCATGAATATCTCTCTCACGATCCTACTCCGCCTCTTCCTAAACCTTCAAAGAGAATTCATCAATCGGGATCCTCTTCTACGCTATTCTCCTATTTTACCTCCAAGGAATCGAAATCGAACTCCCCACAAGGACTACAACCCAGAGTTAGCAACAAGCTCGGCATCGATCCCCATGTGACATTCAAGCAATCGCAGAGTCCCCCAAAAGAATCGAAGCGAAAGATGCGTCCGCCTCGCATTGATTTGTCTATTCTCTTTCCTAAGCCTAGAAATCAGGCACCGCCCCTTTTATCCCCTCAGCGCATGACGAGCTCGCCTTCCCCAGTTTCTACAGTGGTGTCAGATTATCCCACCCAGACTCGAGACAGAACGAGCAAAAGTAGCAAGACTAGCACATCAACTGCGCGAAGATTTGGCGATCCTCTCCCGGTGCGGACATCTATGGTTCACAGCGAAGCTCCAAAGCCGCACATGGATCGATCAGATCTGCTGTCTATTCCGGAATCGAAAGATAGCGACTTCCTTGATCGTCCGTTCGAACGTACCGTTGGGACAAGTGAGATCGACCTCGCTTTGGATAGATATGCTGCAAGACGTTCAGTTCTTAGTCACTCCAGTACTATGTACACTGCAAGTCGTGAACAATTGCAGACAGATCAACGACGGCCCTCGGAGACCAGCAGCAACACGCGGCGAGGTCAGAGTCCCGCTGATCCGCAGCGACAGAGCAGAGATGTGTATTTGAGTCCCAAATCCAAGTCTCAACCTGCTTCTCAAATCACGAGTCCTCCAGAACAAACCTGGCGACAAAAGGACACTGGCAGGCGCAGCTCGCAGGGTACCAAGGGCTCTGTTACCAAGAAGAGCAGCAAGAGTACTCTGCAGAATAAAGACTTGCAGAACACTAGCGTTCTTTGCCTCTCCTCATCAGATGATGAGACCGAGGATGAAAAATCAACTCCGACGGATACTCGTCTCCCGAACAGAAAGTTCCGTGATAGCGTGGCCACATACGACGAGTTTGATGCTGAGATCTATACTGCATCGACCGCCCATGCTGCCACTGCGCAAATGTTGAGAAAAGTAGATCGATCATCATCTATCGGCAGTAGTAGCCGTGGATCTCAAAAGATTCCCCAGAGGCAGCTTAGCCGGCAGCACGTCTCTAATCCTTCCATGTCATCAACGAGCAAGTCATCTACAACGACTCGCCGGACTACTCAATCCCGACGATCAAGTGGAGTACCTATCATTAGCGAGCCAGACATCTTGGATCAATTACCGCAACCACCTCGGCGCACTCCTCGAGAGCTGAAGGACTTGAAGGAAATGAATCGCCGAAGCCGAGTCATTGCGGTAACTCGACAAGAACAGGATCTGTTGGAGGCAATGCGCCAGCGAAAGGGCAAGATTACCCCCAGTATCTTCAACTACAATACGGCCACGGAGCCCGATCGAAATTCAGTGTTATCAGTCCCTTCGCGGGATTCATTCTGCGGATCTGATACCTCTTTCTTGCGCCTTAGCGCTGCCTTCCCGCCGTTCCCTCAACGGTCTGATCAAGGTGCCTTACACAAACACAAGAGCGGTTCTCCTTCGCAGAGTTCGAGTTCTGATAGTGAACAGAAGACTGGCGGTAGTGGCTACTCAGATTCCCTCCCATCCCCTTCTACTAGCGGTGCCTCGCCGCTCACACCGACACTCCCCATCCACCGCTTCTCGCCTCTCCCTTCTCCTAAGCCACCCCCACGTGGTCCTCCTCCTGCCATTCCGGAGGATCAGAAACAGCATACCCGACGTCGTACCGACAGCAGCGAAGCTATTATGCTGAACGATGAGCCACCGCGCAAACACGACCTTCCACTTTGGTCCTTTGACTTTGATTGGAACCACGATCGGACTAGCGTGGCTGCTGTGCATTAAATGGCGTATCCCCCTTACATTATCTCTCGAACTGCATTATTTCTCCTACCTCTCCTCCTCGTGCGCCTGCTTGTACATCTACGGAGTGCACCTCCGACTCTTTTTTTCCTATGCCGCAGCTGGTCGCAGAAATTTTCATTGGCCCGTCATTTACTTTCTGCCATTCCTTGCATTACCATCTTCGGTCTATTGGTTCCAACTGGATCCTTCTCACTCTTCGAACTGTGTTTTCTTGTCAGACTACTTGTGCATTTTGCGGTCATTGCCATGCGTTGTGCTTTTTCAAGCATCTTGTGTTACGAGAATGATTCCAATCATTTTATCCCGCATACTAATTTCCTTAACTTTTCCCCCTTTTGTTTTCCCCCTTTCGTGGGACACAATATACCCTTTCCTATGTTTTCTTGCATGTCGGAGGCTATCTGTATTATTAGAGCTCGTTATGGGACAATTGAATATCCTATTGAATGTCAACTTGATCCAAACTTAAGTCTCTTTTCCTGTCGATAGAGTAGCACAGTACTTGATCCATCAGTGTTGATTATGGTCACAAAGTACACTGTTTACTCCGCAGCCACCCATGTAGAGCGGGAAAATTCTACGCTTTGATCCCTCACATACTACAGTCATCAAGATGAACACCAATAGGCCTTATCCACGCCTCAATAAGCATGGTCAAGCCTTTTCATACGGGTCATATCTCAACATTTTACATCGTGCAGATCTGTCCCCACTGCTCACGTAGTCCAAGGCGGTACGAAGTCAGCCCTAATCGGCGTGGCTGACGTGCAGCGAACCAATTTGGTGGCTGGAAAGCCAAGTCCCGACTGGATCGCACACGCAATCGATCTGCACCAACATCAGGAAATCGAGATGGGTATATTGCCTCATTCCACTGCATATCGTTGTGCATGTACTGAGAGTAGAGGATAAGAGGGGCCACGAAAGGACGATCTGACGTTCCAAGGTGGGCTTTGACGTCAGGCGATGCAGCTGTTGTCCCTTGGACATATGCAGCTTGGACCATAGGCTTAAGAGTACCTAAAACACCATCTCATTCGTGGATACGACAAGAAACATGGGAGAATAAAAAAGTATCCATGAAAATCTGGATTCTCCCAAGTTGATTTGATGCCCAAGAAAGAGTCTGGACCCGTGACTGATTACCGTGATCCACACCGCCGTTCCTCACTTTAAACTCCGTTGTTCCTTACCCCGGATTCATGTTCAATTACATCTCTCTTTTTCTCCGTTGCAAAGACCACAAACTTGAGATTTGTTAAAAAAATTCGAATCCACTTGATTTGAACAGGTTTGATTAAAGGCAAACTTAGCCTGCAGCCTCTTCTTTCGATCCCAGCCACCTTCGCACGGAGCTCCGTCCGCGATCGCCAGCCGAAGTCCTGCCGCTGGGCGCCATTGAAGAAGATCGCCGGGTCTCCCCTGCCTTAGCCCCAAGGTGTGCGGAAGTGCGAGAAAACCCGCAAATCGGGATTTTGGTTTCCAGACTTCTAGTCGTTCCCTACACTCCTTCCCATTGTACCCTACTTCTAAAACACACTCCTTTCCCCTGTCCCCGTGTTTACCTCTGCGGGAGAAACAATTCCAGGGGCGCACCATCATAATTCCACCTAACCAACAATGGGGGATCATCGCACACAACGCCAGCCGTCATGGCTACAAGCGACATCGCAAAACGTGCCATGGATCTTGGTAAGGAGATTTCTAAGGATCGATCGCATCAGTCTACGACAAATTACTGACATGTTTGTTTTTCTATTCCTAGGTGACCGCGCAGTCGACTGCGTTTGTGTTGGTGAGCCCCTCCTTGTGGCCCCCCCGTATGATCCCAACGAGCAGCCATGACTAACAAACACTTTCTTTCACGCCCATAGCTCTCCCACTATTCTCGAGTCATGCCACCTGCTGGTGGAAAGCGATACCTCACATCCACCGCGGTTGTCTTAAACGAAGTGGTCAAGTTGGCTATTTCCCTTACAATGGCCCTCTATGACGTCTCTAAGACTGCACCCCCTTCCATGCCCGCTACGTCCCTCTTTTTCTCCCTCACAAGCGCTGTCTTTTCCGGCGACAGCTGGAAGCTGGCTATCCCCGCCGGCCTCGGCGTCCTTTCCAACTCCCTCCAATACGTTGCTCTATCCAACATGCGGGCAGCGACATTCCAGGTCACACTTCAGTTGCAATTTTTGATGACAGCGATCTTTGGTCCAGTGGTCCTCCAGCGAAGCATTGCCCCACGTAAGTGGGGTTTGCTTCTGCTATTGGTAATTGGTGTGGCTTTGATTCAAATCCCCGATGCCAATACCGAGCATTTGAATTTGAACGACGAGACTACGTCGCTGCATTTCCCTCGTTCTTTGGAAGAATGGAAGGCTGCAAGGGGTCGTGCGAGTGGGTTGCACAAACGCTCTGCTACATATGAGGGAATCGAAGAGGATATCTTGACTGCTGATCCCCATCTTGATGCGACGGCTGGCCTGCTCGCAATCATCGGTGCTGCCCTTGCCTCGGGCTTTGGCGGTGTATTTTTTGAGAGGGTTCTCCGCGACAGCTCGCAGCACACTTCTATGTGGGTGCGAAACGTGCAGTTGGCAATTTACTCCATCTTCCCTGCTCTCTTTATTGGAGTTGGCTTCCAGGATGGTGAAAAAGTATCGAATGATGGCTTCTTTCAGGGTTATAACTGGATAGTTTGGTCGACTATTGCCATGCAGGCTTTAGGTGGTATCATTTTTACCTTTTCGGCTCGTCATACACAGAGAGACCCCAGTTGCATCGCAACAACGGCTACTACTATTCTGGGTATCATCGGGAGTGTCTGGTTCTTTGAATTTGAACTCACTCCAACCGTATGTAGCCTCCAAATTCCAGCATTATTCTTGCGTGAAGTCCCAGTGACACTGACTTGTTTAATCTAGTTCTTGCTCGGATCTGCAATTGTACTAGTAGCCACCCATTACTACGGCAATCCGAGGTTCAACTCCGTTAAGGCCAAGGGTGGTGTCCGTCCACCTCCTATTCGAGTCGATAACTACGAGAAGGATAGAACCCCCGACGATGTATCCCCAGCTGATGGTTCTCCTAATGAGTTCTCTATCAAGCTCCCCACTACCCCGTTCTTATCAGATGGCATGTCTTCGTCACGGCCCACCTCTCCAAACCCAGGCCACACACGCGTTAGCTCCAATCGCAACGTAAGTGGAAGTAACTACTTTGAGAAAGAGTAATTTCGGAGACGGACCATGAGCCTTACCACGATTAAACTGGGTTTCTTCCGATGACTGTTAACGGTAATGATGACTTTGGATACCTGATAGATGCTATTTAGTCTGTGACTTGAATGGCCCCCGGCTTTGTATCATTTCCGTCCTTGTGCTTTAAGGCGGTTTGCTTGCTTGCGAGCGTGTGTTATACGAGAATGTTTTGATCAATGTTTGCATATATACGAAGAAATGAGATACTTCATATACCCAAATCCGCCTATCCTTTTCTTTTCCATTGAATTTCAAGTTGTCGAGATGGGGTGGTAGTTAATGTGAAGCACGTGCCCAGGATTCCCACAACGTCGATATACTTTGTTCTACTTTCTACTTCCAAAATTCGCCATTTCTTCTATCCTGATTTCTAATCCTCGAATACACGTCAAGATGCGACGTAATCAATTGCCTCAGTCTAGTTCCTTCCAGCCTTCCCCGAAGCGCCGTCGAGTTGAAAGCAGATTCTTTAGTTCATCCCAAAGCAGTGCTCCGGGAACTATTGATCGGAAGTTTATCGATGGCTCCCAGCAAACATACTTATCTAATTCATTTTCTCGATCAAATCCACCTAATGATGAGCCTCAAGATGAAAGTGCTCAATTAGATGACTTCGGTCAGTGTCACCTTTGCATGAAATCCACATATGCTGATAGCTACCACAAGACCTCCAACTGCTGGCACAGAACAGCAGCACTCCCCCTCGTCGTCCTCCCCCACCACCTATCCCGCTCTTTGAGAACATTCCAATATCCATCCGAGGGGTTGCTCTCGTATCCGTGGATGAGCTCCCAGATCAATATCGACAATTGTTCTCATTTCCATTGTTCAATGCAGTCCAGTCCAAATGCTTTCATCCAGCATATAACACCAATGACAATCTTGTACTATCTGCACCAACAGGCAGTGGCAAGACAGTGATCATGGAGTTGGCAATCTGCAGACTCCTCAACGTACTGAAAGACGAAAGATTCAAAGTCGTGTATCAAGCTCCTACCAAGTCACTATGCTCCGAAAGATTCCGAGACTGGAACACCAAATTCGCAGCCCTGAAGCTCAAATGCGCAGAATTGACAGGAGATACAGATAACACACAGTTGCGAAGCGTGCAAAGCAGTCAGATCATCATAACAACTCCCGAGAAATGGGATAGCATGACCCGCAAGTGGAAAGATCATATGCGTTTGATGCAACTGGTGAAGCTCTTCCTTATTGACGAAGTGCATATACTCAAAGAGACTCGAGGTGCGACACTTGAAGCTGTGGTCTCTCGAATGAAGAATATCGGCTCTAATGTGCGTTTCATTGCCTTGAGCGCAACTGTCCCCAACTCGGAGGATATTGCTACATGGCTCGGCAAGGATGCGACGAACCAGCATGCCCCTGCACATCGAGAACACTTCGGAGAAGATTTCCGCCCGGTCAAGCTGCAGAAATTTGTGTATGGATATCAGTCAACTTTGAATGATTTCGCCTTTGATAAGGTCTGCGGATCCAAGTACGTGTTGATCGATTGTTTCCTGTGGCGATTAAGAACATACTAACTAATATCATTCAGGCTGACCAAGGTCATTGAAAAACATTCATGTCAAAAGCCCATGATGATATTCTGCTGCACTAGGAATTCTTCTGCTTCCACAGCAAAAGAACTCGCTCGTCTGTGGAACATGACAAATCCGCCTGGCAGACTCTGGAAAGGGCCCAACAGACGGATTGAGGTACATAACGAGGATTTGAGCAGTGAGTGTATCTAGTACACCTTGAATTTGACACTATGCTGACATGGTAGTATGTAGCTACCATCTCCGCTGGAGTTGCATTCCACCATGCAGGTCTTGGTCCCGGTGACCGACATGCTGTTGAAAAAGGGTTCCTGGAGGGTCACATCAACGTGATATGTTGCACTTCAACCCTAGCGGTCGGTGTGAACCTACCATGCCACCTCGTCATCATCAAGAATACTGTTGGTTGGCAGGATGGTGGCTGCAAGGAGTACTCTGATCTTGAGATGATGCAAATGCTTGGACGTGCCGGGCGACCGCAATTTGATGACAGCGCTGTTGCAGTCATTCTTACAAGAAAGGATCGGGTAGGCCACTACGAAAGGCTGGTCTCGGGAACAGAGAGTCTCGAGAGCTGTCTCCATCTAAATCTCATTGATCATCTCAATGCAGAGATTGGACTAGGCAATGTTACCAATCTTGAAACAGCTACCAAGTGGCTTGCGGGAACTTTCCTATTTGTGAGGCTGCGCCGAAACCCAACTTACTACAAACTCAAGGAAGGTGCCAGCGAAGAGGATGAAGACGAGCTACTCCGCCAGATTTGTGAGAAGGATATCCAACTCCTGAGATCGTGTGGACTGGTAGAAAATGAACGGTTTCACTCAACAGAATTTGGTGATGCCATGGCTCGATATTACATTCGGTTTGACACGATGAAGATCTTGCTTGGTTTGAAGGACAACGCTACCATCTCGCAAATTGTCAGCTCTTTTTCCAATCCAAAGAGGTTCTTTGCTAACTAGTGTAGCTCGATGTGATTGTCCAAGCGGATGAATTCCGAGAGATTCGATTCAAAGCAGGCGAGAAGTCACTCTACAAGGAGATCAATCGGGACCAGGGTATTCGATTTCCAATCAAGGTCGATATCGCACTTCCATGCCATAAGATCTCCTTGCTCCTTCAATCCGAATTGGGGGCAATAGAATTTCCAACTGGAGATCAATTCCAGAAACACAAGTTCTCCCTTCAGCAAGACAAGAGTATGGTCTTTGCCCATGTGAACAGAATTATCCGATGTGTGATTGATTGCATGATTGCACGTGGTGAGTCTGTTTCCACGCTGAATGCATTGGAGCTAGCACGAAGCTTCGGCGCAAGAGTTTGGGATGACTCCCCACTTCAAATGAAGCAGCTTGAGCAAGTTGGGGTCGTAGCTGTTCGAAAACTGGTCGCGGCTGAAATCACAGACATTGAATCTTTGGAATCAGCAGAGCCCCATGAGATAGAGATGATTCTTAGTAAGAATCCTCCATTTGGAACGAAGTTGCTTTCTCGCTTGAAGGAGCTTCCCAAACTGCGCATCGCGGTGAAGATGACTGGAAAGGTTTGTCACTATCAAATGAAATATGATTCCTGTTATTGACTTAGATGCCAGGAAGCCAAGAATGGCTCTGTCAAGATCAATTTCAGAGTTGAAGTGGCTTTCATGAATGATAAAACTCCAACATTTTTCCAGCGGCGCCCTGTCCATATTTGCTGCTTGACAGAGACATCAGATGGCCGATTAGTTGACTTCCGGCGTATCAGGTGATTTCCCCTTGTTTGCTATTGATCATTTAAGCTGAGAGATGTCTAGTGCAAGCAAGCTTCAGACCAGTTTGGAGATAGCCCTCACTACCGACCTAAAGAGTGCTGATCAGTACATCGTGTGTCATACTATGTGCGATGATATCGGTAGGTCTATGGTACCCCTTTCAATGTCTCATTAGCGTCCATTTTTAACATTGATCAAACATAGCTGGGACAGCGAGACAGGCTGAGATAAGACCGAAAATGGCTTCTAGCTTCCCATTCAAGCCCAGTGGAATTTCCAACCCGGGGAACTCCAACAAACCTCCTTTGGCTCCATCTCAGTCCTCCAAACAAATTACGAAAAGGAAGCGTCAGGATGACTTTGATGACTTCGATGCGTTTGATGGAGACGATTTAGGACTCGATGACTTTTTGATAGCTGATAAACGCCAGGAAAGCCCAAAACAGAAACCAATGACTGCGGATTCCCAGATTGACGAGATTGACTGGCTCTCGATCGATAGCACCCCGACTCCTCCGCCTCCATCAAAAATTCAGAAGACATCAGCTGACACGTGGACGATTGATATGGGAGAGCAAACTGATGGGAATGAACCCATTCGACTTGCCAATGGGAACTGGGCATGCAACCACAGGTGCAAGGACAAAACAAGGTACATGGCTCTCCAAAGTGTAGGGAAACCCCCTGCTAACTCTCTAGCTGCAAACATATGTGCTGCAGAACAGGCCTGGAGAAGCCACCAAAGGTTGGCAAAAAGCGAGCCCCGCCACCATCCCAGAAACCTAGCGGGTTGAATCAATTGACCTTGTCCGCAACTATCACCAAGAGGGATAGCACGCTCAGTGAGAAACAGAAAGGAAAGCTTCCAGATAGGCCAGAATTCACCGAGAGAAATTTTCCAACAACATCCATTAGAGGCAAGGACCTGAACAAGCCCGGTGCCGTCAAGAACAAAAGCGCAGGAATGTCCTCCAGCAAGAACAAAGTCTCTCAGAGTATCTCGAAAATGCTTTCCAGTGACCACGAGTACGATGATTTTAGTGACTTCCCATCCACGTCGGATCTTTTCAACGTCGAGCCTGATTTTCGACCGCCCCCTCAATTTGACTTCTCCGGAATTGATCATGACCCGATGGACATGGACATTGTTGACCTTACATCGGAAAAATCTCCACTTAAGCCTAAGGCCTACAGAACTTCACTGGAGACAGCACAGAGTGTCGAAAACTCACCAATGAATTCTCAATTCTCGCTGACGCCAAATGATACAGGCGCCACGGGTACCTGGATTCCCGGAGAGGACATCTTCACCAGTCCAGAGAATACCAGCAGTACTGTACTCAGTATGTCTCTGACCACACCATATGACAATTCTCCAAATTTGAAACGGAAGGCAGGACCCCCAGATGAATCACTTGTCCCGCCACAGAAGAAAGTTGACCGATGCGCAACCCCGGAGATTCTCTCTGCATTCAATGCAGATGATGAGATGCATGAAACGCATGGTCTGATTGAGTCAGAAGGATCTCCTGAATGGGAAGATGTGGATCGACTTTTACTCGAAGAATTCAAGGACGTTATCGACTTCTACTGACGAGCCGGCTTATGGATTACTGCTAATGAGAGGAGGGAAGTTCGATCTATTTCTACTGACGAGTGAATGTGTGGGGATCAGGGAATTCATTACAATTTTATTGTTCGCATCATACTTTCTGACACCGAACTACCGCCTGATCAGGCTCAAGGCATGAATTACGATAGCTGACTATCATCGATTCTACTATTTTTCATGTCCCACGGGGTTCCTGCAATGTTGCCTGAGGGTTCCATTACAATGACTTTGGATTTTATTGAATTTCAATATCAATGCTACTGAATATCTTCAAGATTTGAACTGTGAAAGTGGATGTAGAAGTGAGTCCAAGGTTCATTAATAGCACAGTACAGAGATTATGCATCCCTTGTAAATTTCATACAAAGTCGCAACGGAATATTCATATGCAGAAGACCAAATCAAGGACAGATCTCCATGATAAGTTCCTCAACAAGCCGACGAATTTCATCTCGAATAACTCGGACAGCACTCAAATCCTGTCCAGCTGGATCCTCAAGTTTCCAATCAAGATAGCACTTCCCAGCAAAGAAGGGACAAACATCCCCACAACCCATAGTAATGACAACGTCACTAGCTTGAACGGTATCGGAGGTTAGGATCTTGGGTATTTGATTGCTTAGATCAATTCCTTCTTCACGCATGGCTTCCAAGGCGATGGGATTGAGAGAGTTGGCTGGAGCTGAGCCGGCAGAGCGAACCTCTATTTTGTCGCTGGCGAGGTGGGTGAGGTATCCGGCGGCCATTTGAGAGCGGCCTGCGTTATGGATGCAAACAAATAGAACGCTTGGTTTGGCCGTCATGATGCGGTTTTTTGAGTTGTGTTCGTTATAGTAGGGAGTAGATGGCTGTAGTGTTGCTGGGCAGAATGGCAGTATACTTGTAGCAGGGAGCCGATAGAATAAGGAATGAGGAGTCGGGTGCTTCTCAAATCTCAGGTTAAGATTGAGTCACAATTAGAAAATTATTAACTTGAGAGATTTATAATGAATTTAGAATATTCGTTTCGATAAATAACATTTGAAGATGCGATCTCGCCCAGTATGTTGATATACCTTATGTATAGAGTGGGGAAGAGTATGTCACTCGACCACGTTGATTGGTCGAAGCTTGAAAACCCTGTCACTGCTTGATTTTGATTGGTCTAATCCGGGCACAATGTCACTCCCTTTATGTGATTGGTCCACTCCGTGACTTTTGCCATGTATATCAGCTACAAGAAAATGCCCAAGCGGTGCATGATCAGAATAAATTCTCCAATAAACCCATCAGTTTCTACACATTTTGAAAATCCCGATTACCTCCAGCTATGATTCCTAAGGAATCTGAAAGATCACCGGTGCCAGACATAGACACCATGTCTACTACCAATCATCAGTCCACAGCGACTACTAGCGATGTCGAGAAACAAAGCGATGAACGCGATCCTTCCACAGAAAAACAGTCTGCCTTTAAACACCTAGGCTGGCTTGATCGATTCTTGGCCATTTGGATCTTCCTGGCCATGGCCATCGGCATTATTCTGGGCAATTTTGTGGAAAATACAGGGCCGGCCCTTCAGAAGGGAAAATTCGTCGGGGTTTCTATTCCAATCGGTATTTGCTGACCCTTCTCCCCTAATCATTGGAATTTGACTTACCATTCAAAGCGATCGGTCTTTTGGTCATGATGTATCCTATTCTTTGCAAAGTGCGATACGAGTCCTTACATAAGGTCTTCCAGGAACGAGCCATATGGACTCAGATCGCATTCAGTATCTTTGTTAACTGGATAATTGCTCCTTTCCTGATGGTTAGATGTGAAAGATGTAGAACTTCCTACTGTACTGTTGGCTAATAAATCTCATAGCTTGGATTGGCATGGGCTTTTCTACCAGACGAGCCTGAGCTTAGGGAAGGCTTGATTCTCGTTGGATTGGCGAGATGTATTGCTATGGTAAGTCTCAGCTCGGTATAAAACAACCGATATAAGCTAACAATTCATTTATTCCAGGTTCTCATCTGGACTGGACTCGCTGGCGGCGATAGTGAATATTGCGCCATCCTAGTTGCTATCAACTCACTGCTACAGATGGTGCTCTTTGCTCCCATGGCGATCTTCTTCATCAAGGTCATCAGTCATTCTAGCAGCAGTGTTGAACTATCCTATTCAACTGCAGCCAAAAGTGTCGCAGTATTCCTCGGAATTCCCCTTGGTGCTGCAATCCTTACCCGAGTGACGCTTCGAAAGCTCGCTGGTCCACGATGGTATGACCAGGTCTTCTTAAAATGGGCCGGACCTTGGTCCTTAATTGGTTTGCTTTTCACAATTCTGGTCCTCTTCGCATCCCAGGGCCGACAGGTTGTTCACCAGATTGTATCAGTGATCCGAGTTGCGGCTCCACTGGTCGTTTATTTCATTATTGTTTTCTTCGTGACTCTCCTGGTGACTTATAAGCTTGGATTCGGGTATAAGGTGGCCGCAACTCAAAGTTTCACTGCTGCCAGCAATAACTTTGAGCTTGCTATTGCTGTTGCGGTCGCGACTTTTGGTGTTGACAGTAACCAAGCACTTGCTGCTACTGTGGGCCCGTTGATTGAAGTACCTGTGCTTCTTGGTCTTGTCTATGTTGTCAAGTTTATAGCCAAGCGAGTTGGCTGGAAAGACTAGGATGATTCTTACTATATGTTGAAAGCACTGGGAGTTATTCCTCTTTGGTTACAAAATGGTGCGTTACAGAGATTGATGGGAAGGATAACGCGAAGCAGGCATAGAATGTAATAGAACGATATACTTGTATGAATAGCTTCATTAATTTAGAAAATTTTCGATATGCCCTGTCATGGCAATAGCAAATGTTTCTCTCTAGTTCTTTTATCCTGTAAATCTCAATCGCTGGACTGGTAAGTCAGAGCCGAAGAGGAAATAATATCCTTATTGCTACAGTTTGGCTGAATCTCTCAAAGCTCTCTTAGAATTATCTAATCAAAGGATTTTAAATGAACGCAGGAAGGGAATATTGTGAGCTCAACGCAGACGCTCAGGCTTCATACTTGAATGAAGGGCAGTTTTTTCAACATAGCGATAGAAACCGAATACATTCTGGTTTTCGGTAGAAATTGGAAGTTAAGACCTCATACCACTAGGGATTTAGCTAAACTATAATGAGTATCCACCATCCACAGGAAGTGCCACTCCGTACATGAAGCTTGCCATCGGCGAGGCTAAGAAGATGATAGCGTCTGAGATCTCTTCAGGCATCGCTACCCTACCTGCGGGGGTGCTCTTAAATTCAGGGTCCAGCATACCAGTCTGCAAGACTGGTTGAATCATTGGGGTATCAACATAGCTGCTTTTTGTTAATTCTGTGTGGATTAGGAGAGAATGGGCTGTAACTGACCCAGGGCAAATGGCATTGATTCGAATACCGAGCGGACCATATGTACTGGCATCCTATGTGTCCTGGTTAGTTTTCATTGAGTTCTTGAATAGTTTGAATGGATAGTATGTACTGCTTTTGTCAATCCAAGAATCGCTGTTTGATAGGTATTAGCCTTGTCACTAAGCTGGCGCTACAATAAGAAAGCTCACCATGCTTTGTTGTTGCATATGGAGTGATTGGTATGACCCCTGGAGGAGACACCCTCCCGAACATAGACGACACATTGATTATTGAACCGCGACCTTCTCGAACACCTCGAGTCCTGATATTTAATGTTAGAAACCAATCAATGATTCACACGTAGAGGTGTTTTCTAAGAGAACGTACTCCTGGCCAAGCATCTGCTTAATGAGATACTTCTGACATAGCCAGACACTAGTCAGGTTAGTGTCAAGTACTCCCTGCCATTCATTCAACGGTAATTCATGAGAGGGGACATGAGGTCCGTTGATTCCCGCACAATTGACAGCATAGTCGATTCTTTCGAATTTACTTGCCGCGAGCTCAATGCTGTTTTGAACAGTTGATTCTATTGAGGCATCACCCTCGAGTATGATTGTATCGATTTCGGGATGATGCGATCTCAAAAGCTTTTGGGTATCGTCCAGTCTGTCGCGGTTTAAGTCCAGAAGAGCTAGCTTAGTGACACCGTGACGGGCAAACGCAAGGGCTGTGCTCTTGCCAATTCCTAGATCCTCGTGTTAGATCTGGTTTTGAGATCGGAATCAAATGATGTTGAGGACATACCCGAGCCTGCGCCAGTGATGAATGCAGAACCACTCAATCTCAACGCCATTTTACTGGTTTTGAGACACGGAGTTATGAAATCAGACCACAGATTCGAGAGAAGAGGAGAAATATCTAAGCTTAAGGATCTCAAAGGAAGGGGGAGGAACTAGTGGCATTATGCAGAAGTATGAGGTATGCCCAGGTAAGCGGTGACCACTGTGCAGCTTCATGATAGAGATCTGATCGCCCCCTGCGGCAACTCGGCGACATTACATTATCATGATGTTCGCTTTTTTCGAGCACTCTTAGTAGGCTGGCGACCAAATGAATACTAATTATGGCTCTCCTAAGGATATATGGCACTATAAATTTCAAATTATACTAGTAAGAACAGTCGAAGTCTGAACTATGGGCTGCTGATATTCGTACAGACCAAAGTCAATCATGATTAACCCTAGCATATCATTCCTCTTATCATTATTCTTGACATTTGAACACCAATCTTATTTTCAATTAAAAGAACTCATCACTACTAGTACTATTCAGAATTTAGTTCAATGCAGACGTCTAGGTTGAGCCCTAGAGCTATTGTATAAGTTGGGTGACATGAAGATGTCTAGTCATTTGTCCCGATGTTGGTATACTTATTCTTCCAGACTGATATGTCTCCAGATGTCTTTTTTTATACATTATATTTCAATATAAATTCTATGACTATAAGTCTCTAACTGTTCTATAGAGTGGATCGATAAGCACGTGAGGCCCCATCTCCCCCGCGATTTTGGCTTCAAGTTTGAGAACTCGAACTTTTACCATCAACACTCTGTCATTTATTATACACCTCCTATATCCTGCCTTTCTTATCTGATCCGAATAGATCATTTCATCATGTTACGAGCCAAGCGACAAAACACTCAACCTCTAGAAGAAACCTCCGTCGCCCCTGAAACTTTCACCGATGGCCTCCCACTACCCAAACTGATCGCGTTTGACCTGGACTACACTCTATGGCCCTTCTGGGTTGATACACACGTCAGCGCCCCGGTGAAACCACGCGACAATAATTCCCGTGTGGTAGATCGGTAAGAGTGCTCCCAATGCATGGAATCCGTCGAACCACGGTTCTCTCCATCCGATCCGTCTATCTAACAATCCATGTCACAGATGGGGTGAATCCTTCGCTTTCTACCCAGCCGTATCCTCCATTATCTACGCCTGCAAGAGTCGCGCGATTCCTCTGGCTCTAGCTTCAAGAACCCAAACCCCGGATCTAGCCCGCGATCTACTCAAGGCCTTACATATCATTCCAACATTCTCGGATAACCCTGCGGCGAATAGTCGCACTAGTCGCGCCTTGGAATACTTTGATTTTATTCAGATTTTCCCGGCTGATAAGACACAACATTTCTTACGCATTCACCAGGCGAGTGGGGTTGAATATGAAGAGATGTTGTTCTTTGATGATGAGGCGCGGAATCGCAATGTGGAAACGGAGTTGGGGGTCACGTTTTGTCTTGTTCGAGATGGAATGACTCGAGATGAGGTTGATCGGGGTGTTTGGGCATGGAGGAAGAGGAATGGTATTAAGCAGAAGAGTGCAGATGGAGAGCAGTGAATACCCTTGTCCCGAAATCCCTCTGTGGGGGTGTACATGCATGATGACTATTTAAAGGGCGGTATGGATTGTTTCAACTAGAATAGATACCCGGCGTATATTGAGAATTTATATAATACTTGATCTTTCATATCATAAAGATCTTGGTGCTAATTGAGCTTAAGTGCATGTGTACAACAACTTGAAATCCAGGGACCTCTACCTACCCCTGCAAGGTACTCTGTAATATTCGGTCTAGCTTGGTGGAATATTTGATTTCCTAATTTATTAACAAATATAATTGTAGAATTCAAATTACGCGTAAGATCAATTATAAAATGAACTTGAATGCTATGAACCTGATATGAACCGATACTATAAGTAGAGCTATATAGCGGATAACAGAATTAGACCACAAGCTCAAGCTTAACTCCGGTCCTAAACTCAACTCAACTCCACATCATCAACATCACAACTCCAACAATGGCCACCTTGAAACCACCCCCAGCACAACATCGCTCTTCCTCATCCTCACGTACACCAACCGGTCCACCAAAAGCTCCTCTAAAAGCAGACCCTTCCTCCACAATCGCCGACACAGCCGTGTTCCAGGGAACATACCCGGTAACCATCGGCGCGAACACAATAATCCATCCACGCGCCCGGTTCTACGCGTACGAAGGACCCATAATTGTTGGCGATGGCTGCATAATCAGCGAAAAAGCCGTTATAGGCGCTGCACCAAACACACCAGCCTCATCACGAGGCTCATCACGGGCTCCATCACCGCGACCAGATCGTGAAACAAGGACACCAGAGACACGGAGTGAAGATTCAGAATTCAAAAGCGGGACGACAGAAACAGAGACTACAACACGACTCTCTTATTTCGTTATTATTGGTCCACAGTCTACCGTGCTACCTGGTGCACATATCCACTCCTCCGCGAATATCGAATCCCTCGCTACAATAAACCGATACGCGGATATCGGGTCCCATGTGAAGATCTGTTCCGGCTGTACAGTTCCAGAACGAAGTTCTGTACCAGAGTGGACTGTTGTTTGGGGTTCTGGAATCGGGCAAAGGAGAAGAAGAGTGCGTGAGGCGAAGTCTCCTGGTGCGGCTGTTTTAGTTGCCGCGCATATGACTCAGAGTCCTGTGCCAGAGGCAGCACCTGAGGGAAAAGTCATTGAGGATGCGAGATTAATGGTTCTTCAGAAGGAGAGGGAGGTATTGGCACGAATGATTGTACCTGTTGGCGCAGGCAAGAAGAAATGAGGAATACACCCATACCCGGAATTTACTAAGTAATTAACATTGAATATGGATTGGGAGTGTCGATCAATATACCTTAGGATGTCGAGCATTGGACTTCGAATATCGTCTTTTATGTCCTTTATCTTCTCTCCTTGGTCTTGATTTTGTCTCTTCCGGTTTATACCCCAGGTAGAACTTTGAATGGTTGAAGCAATAGTCCACATTCAAAATTTCTCAGTAGCACATGTGCATAACATCATCTGATGCCTTCCAAGTGATTCCCTTTTCAAAACATATACACATGTGCATGTATCTGCATAATTCGAGTTTCTTAAAATGCAATACTAGTAATACTACCTGCTACAGCTTTGGAGATGTATACATAGGCAATCCTGGCTCCGAGCCTGAGTGTCTTGAGGGCAAAAACTTGAAAATAGATGTGTTGATGATCCAAGTCGTGTACAGCACCATTCAAAACTAAGTTCATACTAGTATCTGATCATACTGCCCAGGTGGTAGTATACGGAGACAGGTAGCACTGGCAGTGCCTACCTATGTAGGTACATATGTATGTAGTACCATACATACTACTAATAGTACTACTACCTAGTAGTACTTCCAAGCCCTCCAGGGCTGTAGGTTAACACTTGAACTTGAAGTATGTACTAGTAATAGTAGGTAGTAGTACCTACATACTATGCTTCAAAATATTCCCGAGACCCACCCGTGGACCGTGGTTATCATGGAGATCCATACATACCTATATACTCCAGGGCTAGTAAACTCCGGCTTGTGTTCAAGCATTTGAAAGCTTCAGGTTGCCAACATCCACTGGCACTGAAATGTCCACTGGCATTTCAAATTAGTGATGGTAAACGTCTTGGAAATTTCATACTGCAGTCGGCGTCTACTCCAGGGCTCGGGCTACAACCTTGGAAGGACTACAAAGGATTAAAATGAGAGACCATCCATGGACCAGAACATAGTTTACATTTTTTTATTCCCCCCCTCGAAGGACACAAAAAAACCATAGCCTCCCTCGAGGAGGGGAATTAGATACATGAAGCTGCCAGCGCCGCGCGGGCGGCCGCTGGCAGCAGGATTCCCCCCCTCGAAGGACACAAAAAACCATAGCATCCTTCGAGGAGGGGAATTAGACACATGAAGCTGCCAGCGCCGCACGGGCGGCCGCTGGCAGCAGCCGTCGCCTCGAAGGGTAAAAGGAACATATGTTACCCTTCGAGGCGACGGAAAATCAAAGATTCTCGCCCCATGGAGGGGGCGAGAAAGTACATAAACTCCCGCCCACGTCAGGGCGTGGGCGGGGAAACATGAGGTCGCCCTTCAAGGCGGCAAGAAAAAAACATGAGAGCCGCCTCGAAGGGCGACCAAAGGTCATTTATGACCTTATTAGATACAAAAAAAGAAATAAAGGAAAGCAAAAGAACAAAAACAACAAACCAAAACAGGAGAGAAGAGCGGGGACTGCGTCCCTATAATTCTTCCTCCGGAACTTCAGCAGATTCTATCATCGTATTATCAGGGGAGCGGAACTTGCCGCTCCCTCGCACTCTTTTGAGGGTTCCTTCACCCTCCAATGGCTCGTCTTGTAATCGTTTGGTGGGGATGAATTGGGTGGCACCAGCAGCGGCACCGGCACCTCGGATGACCCCAAATGGATTCGGCGGAGGTGCTGGAACAGCAGGAGGCGCTGGAGCAGCAGCAGGAGGCGCCGGAGCAGCAGCAGGAGGCGCCGGAGCAGCAGCAGGAGGCGCTGGAGCAGCAGCAGGAGGCGCCGGAGCAGCAGCAGGAGGCGCTGGAGCAGCAGCAGGAGGCGCCGGAGCAGCAGCAGGAGGCGCTGGAGCAGCAGCAGGAGGCGCCGGAGCAGCAGCAGGAGGCGCTGGAGCAGCAAGAGGTGTTTGGACAGCAGGTGCTTGTACAATTGGAGGCGCTTGCACAGCTGCAGGTGATCCAATAGCATATGCTGGCTTACCAGGACGTCCCGATCGAGGCGATGGCTGGCGTTCCGATCGAGCCGGTCGCGGTGATGGTGTTTTGCTTGATTGTGGTGAAGGCGGCTTACTTGGCAAGGAAGTCGACTTTTGTTGAGTCTTTGATACTACTCGAGCAATTTGTGCTATTTTCCATACCTCGGCCACAGGGGTCTGAGGGGTTTCTTCTGCTGCTTTCTTCACAGCGTCAACCTTCGCCTGGGCGGTCTTCCAGCGTTGTTCATTCATGCTGAGGCGAGCTGCGGTTTTCTTTTCATTTAACTGCGTTGCAGATCTGAGACGCTCATCGTAAACGACTTCGAATCGAGCGATTAGGGTCTCCTGTTCTTTCTTCGCAGCCTCGAGTTGACCCTGTAACTTTGCTGTCTCCTTGTTCACTTTTTTAACAACATTGGTTCTAACGACATGGCGGATTGTGGAGTGCGTCGCAATTAGGTCTCGAACTTGTGCATCTGTCAAATCAGGAAGAGCACCAGAATCTTTTCCAGTCGTGGCTTTCTCGTCAGTGGAAATTTGATCGCCTGCAGATGACATCTTTAACTCGTCGACTTGCTTCGTATGTTTCTCAATCGTAGCTTGTAATTCGGTATCCTTTGCGGACAGCGCAGCCTCCAACTGACGGAGCTTTTCTGCAAGCTCGTTCATTTGCAAGGGGGATGAAACGTTTGGTGGTATGGAACCGTCAGAAGTGTTCATCTCGTTACCGACTGAATCCGACATCACAGCAGTAGATGCTAAAGGTGGGCTAGCCAACTGAGCCTTCAGCGAGGTAACCTGCTCCAACAATGTTTCTTTCTCTTTAACGGCGGCTTGCAGTTCAGCAGCCTGGGCATTCAAACGCCCAGTGAGATCTCTTGAACGAGCCTTGAACTGGTCGGTTAATCTGGCACGTAGTTCTGCTAAACGTTTCTGGTGCTCTGATTTTTCAGTCTCCTGCGTTTCTTCGTGCAGCTTACGGAGCTCAGCGAGCTCCTTCTCAGTCTTCAGAAGTTTTTCTTTCAGTGAATCTTCATCAGTCGGTTCTCCATATTTGCCAAGTAACGTGTCAACCCGATTGTGCCAGTAATCTCTTTCTAACTCAAGTTGGGAGATAGTATCTTGGTGCATTGCCAGAGTCTCCGTCAAGCGACGCTCTCGGGATTGTAAGTCGGGAATTTGAGCACTCAATTTCTCGATCTCCTTATTTTTCGATTCAAGGGCCACATCTTTTTCGTACGTTTCGGTTCGGAGATCACTGCACGTTTTACGGAAGAGTGCGGCCTCAGCAACAGCGTTAAGTAACTGTGCCCCGGACGATCGATCCGGATCAGCAAGCTTTGCGGCCTGTCGCTCCTCGTCGAGCGCAATGGTCGTTTCATGGAGATTCCGTTGACTGTTCTCAAATTCAAAGAAAAAACGGTTTGCTTCCTCTTGAGAAAGATTTTTCTGCATTCTTTCGATTTCGATTTCCTGGCGGAGAAATTTGATGACTTCCTTAAGACTTTCCATTGGGGTATTGCCTGACTCCTTCGCGTCCATCTCAATCATCTCGGCATCAAGTCGGCTCTGTTCAATTTGAGCCTTTTGGGATGTGAGCTGGTGGATCGAGTCCAACAAAAGATCATTTTGTTTTCGACATTGTTCGTAACGTGTCTCCCAGTCGATACATTCTTGGGAGAGCTGGGTCCGTTTTTCGGCCCAGATATCCTCTTTTTGAGAGTGATCATTTTTGTCCATGGCAGACTCGGCTTGCAGCTTACGAATGTCCAGGCGCAAGTCATCAGCCTCGGCACGAATTTCCCGAAGCTCCTTCGCAGCCTCATCATATCTGTTACTCGCAGCGTCATAGTTGGCTTGAGCCTTCGTACTGATTTCAGTCTGTCGCAAAAGGTCTTCCACATGACATTTGTTTTGTTGTGCCAGACTTTCGTTGGCTCGAGAGAGTGTGTTGATCTGCATGTTGAGGCTGTGCTTTTGATCCGCGAATGTTTGCCGCTCATTCTCCATCTTAGGATCCATGTCCGCGACTTGCTTTTCAAGTTCACAACACTTGGCTTCCAGCATGGAAATTGTTGTGTTTCGGTTCTTGAGGAGAGCTTCTGTATCCTTGTGATAATGTGTGTGTGATTCTGTAGCTTCGTTCAGGCGATCTTCAGATGATTGGCTGACGACTTTAAGTTGCTCAGCCTCGTCTAGGGCCTGGTTGCATTTATCCTTCGTATGAGCAAGCTCACGCTCAAGTTTGGAGATCTTGACCTTCAGCTGTTGCTCCGGAGTAAGATCGTCCTCTCCAGTCAATAGCTGAGTGGGACTCGGGCTTCTGACTCGACCGGGTGACAAGGTAGGATCCGCATTGAATACTCGGAGACGTTCCTGATCCTGATCCATGGCGGTATGAAGCGCAGAGTTGGCGTGCTGGAGGCGGTTTTTGATATCCATTAGGGCTTGATACTTGCGATCGTCTGACTTCCGGGCCTCAATCAATTCGTCGATTCGATTTTGCTTAGTGTCTTCCTCGGAAATGCGGCGCGCTTGCAATCTCGAATTTTCGTCATATGCCTCGGCTAACTTGTGCGAGAGATCCCGATTCGTGGATTGTAGAGATTCCATTGAAATATTCCCAGCCCGGAGGCGATCAGCGTAGGAATTGGCATCATCAGTGGCAGTCTTCTGGGTAATCGCGAGAAGTTGCTTTGTCGCATTGTGTTGACCCTGCTCAATCTCGAGATCCTTGATTAGTCGCATCTCTCTGTCAAGCATGACGGCCTTTTCAAGTTTAATCCCAGCCAACTCTCGCTTGAGGGACTCGAAATTGGATCGGAATTCGCCCAGTTCTAGAGCGCTCTGTTGACCCTGTGATTCCACGTTGTTGAATGTCTCGAGAAGATTTGAATAACGAGCTTCAATTTTGCTGTTTTCATTCTTCAGCATCTCGTAGTTTGCTTGCACACGAGCAAGACGCGCATTAGATGCCTCAAGGTCGCTGGTGCGTTGGATGAGTTCGATGGCAGTCTCATTGGCCTTGCGCGAATATTCTTCAACCTGATCACGCATAAACTTCTTATCCTGTGCGGATTCTTCTCGGAATGCATCAAATTGTTGTGTCACAGAGCTGAGTAACTGGGAAAACTCTCCAGATGACGAGGGATCCTGTGCTGGAATTGGACCATTGACAGGTAGATCGATTGTGGTGTTTGGATAGTCATTGAAATTATTATGCACTAACATGCTCCGGAGGATGTTGCGCTCGGCGGCGTGACTTTTGCTCAAGGAGAGGAGACCATCAATCTCGCTCTGCATCGATTTAATTCGCATAGCCGAAGACAAAGCATCTTGTTCATTCTGAGACAACTTATCGGCCGTTTCCTTGGCCTCGGACTTCGACAGGTCGAAGTTGTAAGCTGCCTGTCGAAGCGATTGTCGGAGAACCACATTCTGATCAACCAGATCCTTCGCGTCCAGAAATCTGGTCAAATTCCGACGGACGAACTGAGCCGTAGGAGTAGTGCCCTGTGCATACACTTCAAGGTCGATGTGCATTTGTGACTCAAATTCAGCGCGATCAAATTCAGCACCCTGAAGGAGGGCATCTTTTTCGCCGACTAAGCCTCGCAACTGCATTGCAAGATCGTTGACATGCTCTTCCAAGAGCTTGTTCTTAAGATCTTGGCTGAGCATACGATCTTTGCTGTACTTAGCCTCAGTCTCTAGGTCAGTCTTCTCTATCGCATGCTGATTCGATTGGTCGGCCAACACCAACGTGCCATTTTCGGCACGTCCTTTTTTCACCGCGTAGATAAGCCATCTCCGGATTTATGAAGTCAAGAGATTTCGTCAAATCTTGGGTTATGCCGTCCATTGAGTGGTTATGGGTCCGGGATCCCCTCAGCGAACCCCGCATAGTGGAAGCTTCGACAACAGTTTGGGTCTCTGACTTCTCCTGGGGTGAGAACGGGTGAAGGCTGGGAAACAAGCGTTTGCGCTTGGGGATATTGGAATAAGGTACTCTATTTGTTGACCGACTGGTGGAGATGTCCGGAGTGCTCTTGTGTGTGTCTTCGGCCAGTTGCGACTCGAGTTCGGTCACACGACTCTGGGCGAGAGCCTTGTCCTTCTCCGCATTTTCCAGCGCGCGGGCCAAACGTTCTGCCTTTCGGTGTGACAACTCGAGGGCCGTTGACGCGTCTGTGGCATGTTCTGAACGGCTGTTTGAAGTGCTCTTGTACATATCGCAAAGCCGCTTTTCAGATTCCAACTCGTTTCTCAGATTCTCGATTTGGTAGTGGTGATCCTCCTTGAGGTTCTTGATGGTATCCAAAGACTCCGCATAACGCTTCTCAGTGCTCTCTAGAAGTTTCTTGGCGTCGGTTTCACGGCGCTCAGATGTCTCAAGAGCAGTTTTTGTGGCGGCATTTTCTTTTTGAAGAAAGTCGATACGCTGGGTCTTTTCCTTTCGATACTTGGCGTGCTCCTTCTGGTGCTGTTCCAGTGTGTCCGCATAATACTCCTGGTTTACTTTGGTGCTGTGGAGCTCGGTTTGGAGAGTGCCGATACGCAATTGGTAAACATGAGCTTCACTAGTCTTTTCCTGACACTTTTGCTCGGTTGCATCAAGTTGACGTTTAAGATCGGCGAGTTTTCTGTTCAGGCCCTCTCTCTCTTGGATGGAGTTCGTGGCATCGCGATTTTTGGCATCTAGCACAACAACAAGTTCATTGGAAGACTTCTTCTGTTCGGCAAGCTCGTGCTTTAGACAGCGAAGCTCTTCGGCTTGGTCTGAAGAGACCTTCTCAGCATGAATAGTCTCGGCTTGACAATTTAGTAACTCCGCGGCTGTCAGATGTTAGAATCAGTTGAAAGTTTGCATTGAGGGGATAATTACCGTCATGTTTCCGCTCTTCATCGTGCTTTTTGATGGTGTCCTGATACTGTTTAACTTGTCGCCAAGCCTTGTCGGCCTCGTTTTTGAAGTGCTTCGCCTTCGCTTCGGTCTCCAAATTGGCCTTGCGATTCTCTGCGTCGATCTCAGCACGTTTGTGTGCAAATCCGGATAGGCCTTGGAGGAATTGGTTCATGAGTGCAACAGTCGGCGATTGGGTCAAAGAATTGAGAATAGACATGGGCAAAGAGAAAGTTCGCGACAGGATACCCAAGTCAATGTCGCTCTGGGGTTCGATACTTTTGATCGCCACATTCTCACTGGCCACGGTCGGATCCGCCATTCTGAATGAGATTGTTTGCAGCTGGGGCTGCGCAGGCGCAAATTTTTGTTGGAAGAATTTTTGCAGGTTTTCTGCAAAGTGAGAGAGTGAAGGGGGTGTGGTGTTGGTAGCGCAATCTATCAGAAATGATGATTACACCGAGAGAGGAGGAGGATGTGCGTTGCACGAGGTGATGGAGGATGGTAAGGTAGGTTTTGGTGGCAGCTTGTGCTGCAGAAAAGGATGTAAGGTGGGGGTCGCGTCGCAAAATTCGTAAGAGTAGGACTGCTAAGACAGTGCCTCAAGGATTCTGAGAGGTGTTGCGTACAGCTCAAGGAGATGTAAACAGCACGGCCAGAAGAGCCTTAGGACATTGCCAGCAGACTAGAAGAGAAATAAAAACGATTTTGCAAAGCGAAACGAAGCAAAAAAAGAAGAAAGGAGTTGAGAGGGTGGAGGGTGGAGGAAGAAAGAAAGAAAGAGTGGGTGGTGAAGTGAGATATAATAAAGGGCGAGTCGCGGCCTGGGACAAGGCAGTAGTTTCGTCGAAGGCGGTGCCAATAGTCACATGATCTCATACTACTCATATCTTAACTTGATTCCCATCCCATCAGGCTGCCAAACTCCTTGACTTTTTTTTTCTTCTTTCCCCCTTTACTGTCTTTGATGAGGTTGTCTCAGTCCCTGGCAACTACAACAAATTCTAACTTATGGCATAATCTTTGTGTCTATTGTCTTTCAGAGAATTACGTCATTGCCCTCGATCGCTCATGAGGCCAAAGTTCAACCCGGCTCACACCAAACCAGCTCTGAACTCGAACCATTCTGTTTCTTCCATCTCGAGTGGCGCAAGCAAATTGATTGGACACTCTTCAGCCATGTCCTACCTTCAGCAACAGCTCAAGAGCTTCAATGCTAGCGTGGTGGAATCTGCGAACCGCATGCCTCAGCAGAGGCGTATGGTCAGCAACCAGCCTGTCTCTGGCAGTAGTTCTCAGGTCCCTTCATCAGCACCTACTCCGTCTTCGTCCGGTGAAATGAAAAAGAAGAGACACGATGCAGATATTGTCTACTCTCAACCTGCGAACACAGGTACGGGTAAGGATATCATGACCCAGGTCCTGTTTGCGATTGAACACATGAAGGCCAAGGGAATACCACTCAAGTTCGCCGATATCGTATCCTACCTATCGCTACAACACCGCGCGCACGATCATGGTTATGTCCAGGCTCTTCGAAGCATCCTGCAAATGCATGAGAAGGTGGAATTCGACCCAAGCGGTGCCAACGGCGAAGGCACTTTTAGCTTCCGGCCTCCTCACAACATTCGCAACGCGGAACAACTCCTCCAAAAGCTTCAATCCCAAACAACAGCGGTGGGAATGAGCGTTCGAGAGCTTCGAGAAGGTTGGCTCAACGCCGAAGATACAATTAACCAACTGGAGAAGGAAGGAAAACTCCTCGTCACTCGCAACAAAAAGGATGACCATCCCAAAATGATTTGGGCGAATGATCCATCCCTCATTCAGCGATTCGATGACGAGTTTAAGCAAATTTGGGATAAGATCAAGATTCCAGATGCCCAGGCTGTCAAGGAAGCGCTGGAAAAGGCTGGCATTACACCGACCAACAAGAACAAGGTTACCAAGGCTCGACCCAAAATGGAACAGAAGAAGACCAAGAAGCCACGACGCAGCGGCAAAACAACTAATACCCATATGATGGGTATCTTGCGAGACTATTCCCACTTGAAGCGGTGATGGACCATGGTTCTAACTTGTCTTGGGATCAACATTTCGCATCTGCATTGCATCGGCGTTTGTCTTACGGATTTTTTTTTTTTTGGATTTCCTCCGTCCATTTCCGTTTTCTTTTTCTCTTTTCCCCCATCTTCATCATCCTGTCTCTCGCACTTTCTCGTTTGCGCCCACTTCATGCCAATTTCTATTATTATTATTATTATTATTATTTTTATCAAAGTTGAATAGATACCCAATCAACAATATTTGCCATTCTCGAGTCATTGAGTTCCATCTCCTTTCATAGGGATAGATCAACCATCCCTCCAGCTTTATTTGAAGCTGATGAAATCATGACATGCAAATCGAAGTCTGAAGGGCAAGTTTAGTCACGCATCCAAAAATGATATCAGGACTTGAATAATTTTCATTCTTATACATTCAAGTTTCTATACCAACACACTACTCAGTGCTCATGAAACAAAAACCAGTCTAAGGCTTTTAGTAATTTATCTAAAGAGGTATCCAGAGGAACTGTCGAGAAAAACTAGTAGGTACAGCATTGAAGAAGAGAGGGCGATGGAAAAGCGACAACCCGAAGTATACACAACCGAGATGCAAACGAAAAGATAAGAAGTAACTTTAGAAAAGACCCACCAACAGATACGCAAATCAATGCGACCCATTCTTCACGCTCTCATTCTTCTCCAAGTAGGCGACCAAATCTTCAATCGTACAGACCTTGATTCCCCACTTCTTGCCAAATGCCAAACAAGCATCCCTCCGCATCATACCATTGTCGCCACGAAGCTCCGCAACACCCTCAACGACTTCACCTCCTTCAACCAGCTCGGCGATCACACCGGCTGGTGCCTTCCCGGCAAGGCGACAGAAGTCTACCGCCGCTTCGGTGTGACCCATGCGCTCGCGCACACCGCCAGGACGTGCCTGGAGGGGGATGATGTGACCGGGTCGACGGAAAGAGTCGACACGAGCATCTGGAGAGGCGAGAGTGCGACATGTGAGGGCACGGTCTTGTGCAGAGATACCGGTAGTTACGGAATCATCGCTTGAGTCAATTGTGACGGTGTAGGCAGTTCCCTTTGGGTCGGCATTCTCGGATACCATTTGCGGAAGTGCGAGGCGGATAGCTAGGTCTGGGGTAATGGGAGCACATATTAAGCCACTAAAGGGAAGGTCAAGGGTTAGAAAACATTGGAATTGTATAAAAAAAAGTGGTAGCTAGGTAGGGCAAGCTAGCTCGGAGCGAAAGGAAACCCCGGGTTTGGGTTTCTTGGGTAGGCCGGGATTCGCCGAGTGAGGACCAGTGGATTGCGTTGGCTTACCTTGTATGACGGACCAGGAATGCCATTTGGGCAGCGGTGATAGACTCTGCTGCAATTATGAGGTCGCCTTCATTTTCGCGATCTTGGTCATCAAGGACGACGATGAATTCGCCATTCTCTGTGGTGAGTCACGGTTAGTCACGAGGGGAGTTTGAGGGCTCAGACTGAATGGAATATGCTGAATAGGCCGATAGAGATCCTGCGCAAAGCATGTACTTACTAAATGCCACAATTGAATCCTCAATGGAATCAAATTGAAGTGCTGGGTCTGTGGTGGAAGGCATTTTGGGTGGTGGGTATGCTTTATATCGTGGTTATTTTGCCCCTCACTACGGAGTCGCAATTGGCAGATCGTAAAGGTAGTAGAAAGAGATTGAGTTGTAGAAGTGATAGATTGAAAATGCAATGCCCCAAGTCAGGTAAGGAAAGATAAAAAAGAGAAGGATCTAGAAAATTTGCCTCCGTAACCCGTTTGAAGTCCGTAATCGCTGACAAGCGCATTAGAAATGCTTGTGATCCATATCGAACGCGGGGAGCCGGGCGGTGAAAGCGCATTCCCGGTGCCTCGGATGCTTCGGGGTCTCGGCCGGTTCAGCTGTGTAATCAGGCGGAGTTACTACTCCGTAGAATGGATGGTGATGGAAATATAGGTTTTTGGTGATGCCCAGTCCCAGTAAAATTGTGCGAACTCCGACCTCGGAAGTCATTCCCATGCATCATGATCTCATAGAGTGCGACAGGGGTACCACTATGTATAAAAGGCACGGAATCCCCTTCGCAGTCACGCTGATACTAGATTTTCCCTGCTCAGGTGCGGCTGAGACTTTCAAGTTGCGGTAATTCACGGTGGTGATACGCTATCTCGAATTATTGCCCCTTGGTCACTAAGATGGCAGGATTTCAAGATATTCTCACTTGGATATCGAAATGGAAAATAAATGCTATGAAATTTGGAGCTCGAACCTGAATAAGGCTACTACTACTGAGGTAGTGGAGGTCAACTGTTTACAGTATCAGAGACCTCATACGAACATCGAAGTAGTCCGTACAAACCTTGTCTTAAGACTCATGTTAGTCACCGCGCATAGATGTTGCAGAAAATCTTGGTATTGGATATAATCAGCTGGATGAAGACGCAATGGGCAGATCTATATGCTTCCAACATGGCGAGTACTGAGTGTAGACTCGGACATCAGCGTCAAACATCCCAGCACCGTTACAAAAAAAAAGAAAATGAAACGCTGCAAAAAATCAGTGAGAAGGACGTGGGCAATCAGCTCATGTTCTCTGTTCCCATCCATCGTACTTCGTCAGCCTGTCTCTCGAGTGCTCGCCGCATGGTCTCTTCGTATCGTCTCTCTTTCTCCCACTCATCTCGTTGCTTATCGCGCAACTCTTGTCGGGTCTGTTCGTCGACCTCAGCATGCATAAACCACTCATCTTCTTCTTCCTCCATGCCTGAATCAGGCGGGAGAGAGAACTTGATGCGTCCAATCCGCTCTCCAGTCCACACCAGGAGTTCGTCTCCGGTGAGATTTCCGCCTGTTGGGAGGATCTTTCGTGCAACCTCATTGTTGGTGTTATCGGATTGGGAACCTGGCCAGAGTCCACGAGGTTGTGATCCTGCATTCTGGTTGGAGATTGACGATTGATTGCGTCGGGATGATGTGTATTGTGGCTCAGAGGTATTGAGATTCCAGCGACGAACCTCGGATCGGCCGTTTCGCTCAACCCATTTGATATTTCCTTCGGAATCAGAGTAGACAAGACGATTTCCATGAGAGGCAACTGATAGAAGCTTGGAACTGGCGGCACTTTGCCGATTCTTGTATCGTGGCGTTAGAGTGGATGATCTATCCGAAGGGTTGCTTTGGGGATCTTGAGAGGTGGAGCTGAGATCGTATAGCTCCAGAGATCCTCTGCCATTGTATTCACCACATGCCACAACAGTGTGTGATGTAGGATAATCAGAGTCTTTGAAAACAGGGAATCGGGGCTCGGGGGCAGATGTAAGCCCACAAAGACGACCACCGGAGTGAACAGTACTCTGTAGACGAGGGAAAAACCGACGATCATAGCAGAGGATGCTGGGGAAGCGACCTGCGAGGATAATACTATTTACATTGGGGGCAGGTGGATGAAGAATGGAAAGAGGGCCAGGTTGGAAGAGCGGCGCATAGTTAGTATCATCTGAGGGGTCCGGGCTGCGAATGCGATGAGGAGGTAGTCCATTTGGCTGAAGTTTCAGTAACGGGAAATCCGGATGGGGAAAGATATCCAGTTCGGGGAAAGATGGGTTCGGATTATTTTCGCATCGTAGACTGATTGCTTCCTCTTCCTCAGTGGCGGATAACCTGGCATCATATATTTGAAGACTGAGTGTGGTGGCTAGGGTTAGTGGAACAGAATAATCCGTCTCTTGCGAAAGTGCAAATATGGACCACGGATAGCGTTGCTGCGAGATCAACTTCAAGGTCTCCAAATCGACTTCATTGAGAACATTCCCAGCTGCTAGGTAGGCCCGATGCCGAAAAGAGTCTATACTGACCCCTTCGCCTAAGTTGATAAACTCAAGCGATGATTTGGCAGCGGAATGGTCTCTCCGTCGAGACAAATTTTTCATGAGCAGGCCTGTTTCACTGCGACCCAGGATATTGCCCTTGCTTGACTGCGATTCACCAGTGTGAGAATGATTCAGATCCCAAATGCAGACACTTCCGTCTTCTAAGGGCGCAACAATTTTGTTTTGCCTGGCAGAACTCCAGTCTTTCAACAAACCCATGCCTTTGATTTCATGAAGCGCGGGCTTTCGTGATCCTTCGTTACTTGTCACAGGCTGCTGTATCCAGGATAAAGACATGGGTCCATGACGTGCAATATATTCTGAGTACCAATCAACATGTTCTCCCTGGATTGACGAGTCCCAATCCGACGCTGCCCGGGCTCTTTCACTCAGCGATAGTCCTCCAGGTTCGTCCGAGTGGCTACCTTCCGATTGAGGCGCTGGAGGTTGAATAAGATCGCGCAAAGAGTTCTGTCCCAATGTACTCAAAGGCGTTGTCGAATGCGCGAGGAGGCTTTCCGATATCCGGCCTGCCGGACGAGAAGACCGTAGGGCGGCCCATGATTCCTCATAGCAGTGCAGCTTCCACAGGTTATTATCACGAGCGAGGTCAAAGAACTTCTTAGAAACTGATTGAAGCTGTACTTTATCAGACGGGGGAAGGACTGGTTATCGTGCGACGTTATCAGTGGGTCGTGTGGTTCTCTGTTTTGCTTTGCTTTTCTTTTTGCAAGTGGGTGCGGGGAAAAGTTGGAGGGGGTTTTCGGCGGCGCTTACGTTCGATGATTTTGGTTAGGATCTCTACCGGCAACTTGTCCATGAGGGAGGTCTGGGCGATGGCAGCATCGGGGGCAGATGAAGATAGACGAGAGAATCACGGAGTTGTCTTGTTATGTTTCGCCTGGAGAAAGTTCCAGATGTTCTTCCCCGCGATCTGCAAGGTTATCACGTGGCCTAGGGCAAGATGAGGTACACACAGAGAGTATAGAAACGTGAACGTTCAAGTTCTAGTAGGTGATCTATAGTATAAAAATATTCAAAAGTCAGTGTGCATAGGCTCACTTGAATCTATTAAAATGCGAGATTTGGAGTTGCATGTACATTGAACTTCCAGCTGCCAGTGGTCAGATAACAACCATCTTACTCTGTACACCGGGAGTATTTCCCGTATGCAGTCAACATTAGAATCAAACTCAAATGGATCGGTTGAAATCTCTATGACGAGGATGAAAAAGATATAATACATTAGACAATACATAAAACATGGGATCCCCACTGGGAGACTTGATGTCCAACAGACAAAACGCCCACCAAAGCCATTTCCCTGCCCCGCCAACATTAAAGTCGTGAGTGGTCATAAACAACAACATAGCCAGGCATGATTTGCGCAGGAGCTGAACAGTCAATATGTGAAACATGGAGCTTGCATCACTCCTCGGGCTTGAAGACAGCGTCCTTGCATAGAATGGTCACTTTCTTGAAAAATCGGCGCCATTCTAGCGGATCACCTTTCACTTTGACGAATTCGACTTCAAAGATCCCTTCTGATACGCATTCAATAAGGACTTTGCCTTGAATTTGACATAAGCGGCCATCCTTGGTGACAACTCGAATCATTGCAGATGTGTCTCCAGCGGTAACAGCAGGCACTGATGGAACTGGAACTCCAAGTCGATGAAGAGCTTCGCAAATTAGAGGTACCAGGAGCTTGAGTTCCCATGCCGAGTAAAATCGAGTCATCGACCGGGATGGAATGATATCTTGAAACTTCTGAGCATTTTGAGTGCGGCTAACGGGAACAGACGGTTGCTGAGAGAATTGAGACATGGATGGTTCATCTTCCAGATGGTTGATGATTACCGCATCTTGGGTGTTAGATAGCTTTCCAGAGGGCTGAGTGGATGAAAAGGCACCAGAAGTCATATCAGGAGCATCCCAGTCCATAACCATCGCCCCGGCGGGCATTTCAGGCTGTGTAGAGGAAAAGCCCGTACCATCAGCGCCATCCATGTCCGTATCCATATCCATTGTATCCAAGCTTCGACTCGCACCTTTTCGCTTCTGAGAAAGTGGATCTTGGCTAAAGTCAATATGCAGGGACTCAAACATCGACGTTGCCAGGTTGATCGGGTCCCTGAGTTTTCCGTCTGATGAAAGGAATCTGTTTGAACGTGTATACCACGGATGCCTTCGAACATCCTCTAGGGAGAATCGAGATTTTGGATCCACGGTCAACATGCCCCTCAACAAGGATAACGTAGCTGCAGGAAGCTTCTGCCATAGCTCATCTGTCGTGCGTGAATTCGTAGCTAGGTACTCGTGGAACTCATAGCTGTCGTCAGTAGGGCTATCCCACGGGGTATTGCCTGCTAGAAGAACAAACAGTACAATGCCACAAGACCAAATGTCCACCAGATCTGGGTGATACCCCGGTCCCTTATTTTGACCTCGGGTACTACAGGTGATCACCTCCGGGGCGATGTATGGTGGACTTCCACAGAAAGTGGACGACAACTTCCTCGACCCCTTGTACTCAAATAATGCCGCCAGCCCAAAATCCGCGATTTTCAGATTCCCATCAGCTGTGAGCAGCATGTTTTCCGGCTTAATGTCCCGATGACCGACGCCCTTTGAATGCATGAAGCCCACAGCACTAATGAGTTGTGAGAAGTAAACGTGGGCAATGTCCTCTCCAACACCCTCGTCGGCCTCAATCTTGTCAAAGAGATCTCCACCCTCGGCCAATTCCATCGCGATCCATCGCCAGATAGGGTCCTCGCCGGTTTGATAGAAAGTGATGATATTATTATGTCCACTGACATGCTTATGAACCGATACTTCTAGTGACAATTGTCTTGTGCTGATCTTTCCGTGCTTTGCGGCGTATTCTTTGTGAATGTACTTGACGGCGAATACCGGATTGTTCGAGTCCAAGGGGCAGGCTTTTTTGATGCTTGATTATTTGAAAACAGTTCATTAGCTTTCTTTGTATACATATTGATTTCATGCAATAGCGGATCCACTCACCAGGCATAAGCGCCTTGTCCAATTGTCTTGGAGACGATTCGGAAAGGCACGTCGTTTGGCAACGGAGCCAACTGGGAATGCTGCATCTTTGGCCCAAATTCAAGTTCAGGTTATGATAAACTGAGCAGATGAAAATGGGACGAGAGCCTTAAAAAGACCAATTCAAATGAGGTGGCTTGAGAGGGAATTGGCAGTAAGGGTAATGACTCTAATGAGACGCGCAGGATAAGTGCATGTGGGACGCGAGCGCGGGGCGCCACTTAGACCTATTTTGGAAGTTTGTTGATTCTGCCTAAAAACCTCACTAAGGGATTGTAGCATTTGAAGTAGTAGCCTTAATGGGCAATTGTAATAAAGAGAAACCATTGTGAATATTCCATGAAAATATTAGAAATGTTAAGATTAAAATATCAAGATACTTAAAGTGGTTCTATTTAATGTTCTAAGCCCAATACTTAATAGTAATAGATCTTTGACCCGCCGATCGCACTAGGATGTTTCACGCATTTGCTCTTAACATGTTAGAAAGATCTACAGCTCATGTAGGTGCTAAATTCATTTCTGATTAGCATTATTTGAATTTCCATTTTATTCCTCTTTATACATTTAATTTCTTTTTCCCTTAAATATTTTGTTCACCATATCACTGACATGATGCGTCATTTAATAATTAGGATGAAAAAGGCTCCAATGTTAAGCGGGGATCATGGTTGCCCGGGACTCCAGTAAACAAGACTAGTTGGCGCTTAATCTCTCAATATTCTCTTCTCTTTCTTCTCTCCCTTTACCTTCACCACACTAAGCTCCTTCAAACCTTAGATTTTCACTCCTCTTCCGTCTGGCTTTGTTGCTTTGAACTTTGGTCGTTATTGCTAGTGGGTCTTCTGTTTTCAGATTCGTCATTCCAGATAGCAACCCTCGTGCTACTGTTACTCGCATTCCAGTCACCTCGGGAATCTGCGGACCTTTACCGATCGCTCGAATTTAAAGATCCCTTGCACTTCTGCTCTCTCATAATGGACTACAACATGGAAGATACTCAGAATTCGGCGCCCGACGCCCTAGAAGCTACCAAGCTGAATTCCTCCGCTCAGCGAAATGACACCCAGAGCGTGACCAAGCGGTTAGTAACTTTGTTCCCCCTGCATCAAGTCCAGGGACTTGAATATCCCTTTAGCCAATCATGATTTACTGACCTGGCCAATTTTGGCTGCCTTTAGCCTGCAGGCCGAGTTGATGCAGCTGATGCTGGCGCCTTCGCCCGGTATTTCCGCTTTCCCCGACGCCGATGGAAACCTGCTCTCGTGGACTGCAACTATCACTGGCCCGACCGAGACTCCTTACGAAGGCTTAACATTGAAGTTGTCTTTTGCATTCCCCAACAACTACCCCTACTCTCCTCCGACCGTCCTGTTCAAGACTCCGATCTACCACCCCAATGTTGATTTCTCCGGCCGTATCTGCCTGGATATTCTGAAGGACAAATGGAGTGCTGTGTACAATGTCCAGAGTGTGCTCCTGAGTCTACAAAGTCTCTTGGGTGAACCAAACAAGTAGGCACTTTATGAGCTCAACTTAGCCTGGGAATACAATACTAACAACACAAATAGTGCGAGCCCGCTGAACGCCCAAGCTGCAGACCTCTGGGACTCTGACCAGGAGGAGTTCAAACGCCATGTTCTAGCTCGACACAAGGACCTTGATGACGAGTAGACTCACAAATATCATGTTTGAACATTGTGGTTTGCGTCGACTTATGAGATCAACACCTATCCTCAAATAGAGGAAGGTGTGGACAACGCACGACAAATGCATACTGGCCGGGTTCATTGGGAAAGGAGTTTTCGTTTTTCTTTGGGGTTATTCTCATCTATTATTCATTTTATTTTTATTCCCGACCGAGTATAGGCGCGTGCAGCCCTGATTTTGCACCCGCAACTTGTACCTTCTTGATGCCCTTTCTTGTTTTCTCTATGTCCCTTGAAAACTTGTACAAGTGGTAATGAATTTCTGTACTGTGTATTCCAATTTAAATTTGGATCTAATTATCCGATTCCAGGCTGTACTAAGCTTGCCAGACTGGCTATCAAGCTAATGGCAAATATAGACGTTGCCAGTATCCAGATAGGTACTACCCATCTATAGACTTCTACACCTGGGCATCTATGGATGGATTAGTGGAAACTGACAGCTGGGCAATTCGAGTGATGTCTTAGGTTGTCTGGTGGTACCTACATAAAGAGTGTTCAACAGTGCAATATTTCTGTGGTGAACTGACACTTAGAAGTATTGACTATCGCAAAGTGGAAAGATTGAGAATTGAAGTTATGCATTCAAATTTTGAGAACTTTTATGATACTATTTAGGTCAATGTGATTCAAGTCGAGATTCAGATTGAAGACCAATGGTAGTATCACACTGACAGAATCAAGAAGTGCTAATATACGATTTCTCATCGGTGATGAGCATGCCCGCAATCGCCGCGCTGGTAAAGGTACTCAGCGCACCGGTGATCATAGCACTAAACGCCACACGCGAGACATCGGCACTACGACCGGGTGAGATCTGCGAGAGGACACCAATCTGGTTACCCAGGGAGCCAATGTTGGCGAATCCACACAGCGCATATGTAACAATCAGGCGAGAGCGATCCGAGAGGGAAGCGTAAGTAGCATCAGTTTGGAGGTCGTTATATGCAACAAATTCGTTCTAAATGGAAGAATTGTTAGAAATAAAGCGTCCTTCACTCAAAATTTCTTTTATCATAAACATACCGAGATAATTTTGAGCCCAATCAGCTGGCCAACCTTGAGCAGATCATCGTTGTCCCGGGATACACCAAGCAAGAATGCAACAGGGTAGCAGATATAGCCCAGAACAAGCTGCAGAGTCAATGGAGGATCATCGATATTGATATAACGGCCCCACCAAGTAAGCAGACCGTTAGCAAGACCAATCAGGGAAATGATACAGAGAAGCGTGGCACCCATCATAGCCGCAATCTTGAGACCAAGCCAAGCACCAGTAGAGAAAGCGTGAAGGGCATTCGACGCTTTATGCTCCTCATTATCAGGGATAACGACCCGACCTGCCGTCAAAGTTTCTTCCTCTTCAGGCCATCGAAGCTTCGAACAAGCCAGTGAAGCAGGAATACTCATAACGCACGAAGAGACCAGGGCCTGGGAACTCACACCCATAGCGATATATGCGATAAGAACACTACCAGCGATAGTTGCAAAGCCGGATGTCATGACCTGATGCATTTCGGCAAGAGTCATATGTGCCACGAATGGGCGGACTAACATCGCCGATTCACCTTGTCCGATGAAAGGCGAAGCAGCCGCGACGACTGCCTCGGCTCCAGAGACGCGCATACTCCAGAAGAAGAACACGGCGAACTTTCCGACGAACCATTGTAAAACACCGATATAGTAGAAGAGCTGTACGACTGAGACGAAGAAGATAATGGCAGGAATAGTGCTGACAAGGAACCAGGCACTTGGGTCGATGGGACTGGTCATGTCATAGAAGTCTTGGGCAGTTAAGAAAACCACACCATCGGATGCAAAACCTAAGAGATCACGGGCGAGGGTAGCAACGAAATTGAAAATGTCGTATCCTGCACCACTGCGAAGTACGAATAGTGCAACTAGGAATTGCACGAGCATTCCCACGATGACGGTGTGCCATACAATCTGCTTCCGGTTTCGCGATGTGAGCCATAGAAGGAAGATGAAGACTGCCAGACCAAAAAGGCTCACTGCACGGTCTGCACGATTATTTCCTTGGGTGGTAGGAGAAGCAAATGCGCCGATCAGGATAGTTCCGATGCACACGAGAGCGCTCGCAGGTAGTCGTAGCTTTTCCGGGATGAAGTTGACAACGGGACGAGCGGTATATGTCCACACAAAGAACAACGGTCTTGTGATGATGGAAATCGGGACATAGAAGAAGATTATACGTAGTGTGATGGCGAGGTAGAGGAGGAATGGAATGATCCAATTCTTGTCATGTCGATGTAGAACCAAGCTAGCGATCCACCAGCTAGCAAAGCGCATAAGTCTCTGAAGAAGAAAAATGTTGCTAGATGTGATGAATAGCTAACTCACCCGGTAAATAGAAACCAAACAACAGCGTGCGCAATATGTCTCCAGTTCCTTGTTATGCGACGGTGCCATGGCCTTGGCGCTGGCTGCGAGTCTGCTGCCTCGGCATCCTTCTCGTTGGGACTGTTCCCTTTGTTCAATGGGCTTGGATCGGGTACAACGTCTTTCTCAAAAGACAGCTCATTGCAATAAACCACCTCCTCTTCATGACCCTGTTGCGCAAAAGCTGTGTGGTGGTGATGCGTATGCTGGTGCTGATGTTCGCTTTGCAGCGCAGGGTCTAAATTGGGCGTATCTTGGGACTCCATTGTCTTCTATGTCGGTCGTAGATGAGCTAGTAGGTTATAATGAGTAAAGGTAATGATAAATGTCTGGCTTTCGCGTTGCGATTCGTTTTCGTCGCAGTATTTGTTGTAAAAAAAAGGCGCTCATGCGATCATTTCTGTGTGCTTGTGGAAGAAGCAACAACCCAGCGCTAGCACAAGGCAGTAATTACTGCTGCTAGGTCTGAAATCCGTAGGTATATGCAAAAATTAGGAGATCTGCCCACACAGCAAGGGTAGGGGAGAGCTTCTAGTGCAAGTAAAAAAAAAGATTGAAAAAAATCTCGGCGCCAACATCTCGGTAAATTCAATCTGGAAGATCCATAGTGTGGCATTTAGCTCATATTATTAAAAGATCCCTATTGGATAATTTAAATTTTAACTCATCAACCTTTCTGCGGCTGGACTTTCTACTATAGTATGGGGAAGTTGATAAGGATAGATTTCCATGTGTAAAATGGTGTGAAGGAAGCAACATCGGGGTAAATCATTTCCAAATTGTTACATGATTCTTATTTTTTCCATTTCTCATGTTAGTGCGAGCAAAGATATGTCTCTCTTGAGACCCATGTATGTAACCATATTAGACCCGGTGGATGCAAGAAAATGGCCATGGCGCACTTAGCTCGGAGCTTTAGTACGGTTCAGGGCTCTTTCTCCTTGCCACCTGGGCCCTGAATCGCCCTGAATGGATGATTGGCGCTACCAGATACCCTATTAAGGGCTTGGAATCTCCGCACCCGTGGGCCTCAAGTGCGGCAAGTGGGGAGCGTTGCAAAGGTTTTCGTAAGAAGATCGTGTGTCCTATGAGAGTTCTAATATTGTGAGTTTATTATTCATTTTGTTTAAAACTTGCAGAATCTCCCAGAAATACTTGTAGATTCAAGTTGGTTAGACCAGTTGTGGTATACATGAGTCCTCGTGTAGCCTTCATAGATGTCGTGCAGTATCATTGTAGACTCTTTGTGATCCACAACCCCAGAAATTCGTCTATGTGTCTGGTCTTGAGAGAGAATTAGAAGTCTTAGCACCAGTGAAATTGAAGGGTTGGTCATACCAGTTTTTGCTTGTACGACAATTCCAATCCAAGAGTTCAATATCAAACGATATCTTGCTTCGCTTAATCTAGTTCAAAATGTTATCCAAGGGTTTGATCGAGTTACACAGTTCCATCCTCATTACCTTACACAGATGCTCTACGGTTGAATCCTAGAGTTACTGCTACCAATTCTCTTTGAATTTTGCATGGAAAATCTCGACATCTAAATTCGATCGTGTGTTTGCTCTTTTCTTTTCTTTTTCTTCTTTTTCTTCTTTTTTTTCTTGGATGGGGCCGTGGTTAGACACGGAGGACACACTCTTTTGGCTCAGATCTGACCCACTCACGTTGTTGGAACTAAGCCGGATACCTTCCGAACATTTGAACGGTCTATTGGGAGTGACCGTATGGATCTCATCTAAGTATGTATTACTGAAGATTGCCTCTGATTGTAGATTCAAGTTAGCACTTGACTCTTGAGCACAGCCTGAGATCTTCAGGCTCGAACCTGAGGAGTCCTACCTATCATACTACTCAAGTGCTATCACTACTATTCACTAGTAGTATTGCTCGATTCACTCACTATGACGATCATTTAAACATTGAGTAAAACTCTGAGTCATTACTAGTATTACTATTATGCACTTGAATGACGAGTCGGCAGTCACAACTTCAAGTTGAAGGATAGTAGGTAGTATAAGTGGTACTAGTACTAGTGAGGTGACCTCCGAGTCGGGAGTCGGACATCTGGAGTTAAATAAATATCACTGAGGGATTACCTGGAAGGATGAATGGATAGGACGATGTAGAAAAGTTAACTAACTGAAGAAAACTTAGTTTGGATCCACTGAGGCTCATAAGCTTGGAAGTATAGACTATGGAGTCTTGCAGAAAATTGAAGCTGCGAAGCGCTGGTCAGCCGAAAGCGGAATGTCAAATGGCGGGGTGCCCCTCTCTTCAGGCCGCCCATATCTCTGGACTTGAAGCAAGCTGCAAGTCAACTCTGCTCACCTCAAATCTCCATTCAAATCAACAAATCATGACAAGCGATAAAAATCTTGAATGGGAATTGGAGGAAGGCCTTCCTCAAGTCGAGGACCCATTCATTCAGCAATATTTGAAGGGTCGTGACGCGCTTATCACAGAGGAGCAGAAACAACGTCACGGTAAGATTCAATGATCGCAACGAGAGATAAATTATGCATACTAAATAGCAGTTGAAGATGCTACTTTTCGCAGGACACTCTCCCCGATTGCTGCACGGGCTTGTCGGATTGTATCTCAGATCCGGGCTCGTGAGCACAATGAGGTCTGGACAGCTGGATTAGACCCCGCTGCGGCTCATCAGTCAGATGAGATCCTCTACCCAGGTGTTATGTTTCACCATGCAAAGGGTCGAATGGAAAATACAAAGCTATGGAAGATTGTGGAAAAAATGCCCAAGGGATCTTTATTGCATGCTCACATAGACGCGATGTTCGATATTGATTTCTTACTTGATCAAGCTTTCTCCACGGCGGGAATGCACATCGCAGCACCAGCTCCACTGATCACTCCAGAAGACTACGAAACTGCACCCTTCATGTTTAGATTCTCATCTCAGTCGCATACAAGCTCTGATCAACCCGCAATTTGGTCCGACAAATACGAACCCACGACACTGATTCCCCTTGAAACAGCCGCATCCTCATTTCCTAATGGTGGAGAAGCTGGATTCCGGGAATGGGTCAAGAGTCGGTGCATGATTATGCCTGAGCACTCGTATCAGCACCACCATGGAGTAGATGCGATTTGGGCTATCTTCAAGAGAACTTTCACAGTTATCAACTCAATTCTGATGTATGAGCCCATTTTCCGAGTCTGCTTCCGTCGAATGCTGGGGCAGCTTGCGGCTGACGGGATTCGATACGTTGAATTTCGCATCGTATTGAATCCTCTGTATCAGAGAGAGGGGAGTGATGAAGCCGAACCTGACAGAACAGAATTCTGCCGGGTTTTTGAAGAAGAAGTGGAACGTTTCAAAGAGACCGAGGAAGGGAAGAGCTTTTACGAGGCACGAATCATTTGGTGTAGCTTGCGCGCCCTCTCGAATCAAGACATCGTCGAAAGTATGAAGCAGTGCATCTCAATCAAGGAGCAATTCCCAGATTTGATCTGTGGGTATGATCTTGTCGGGCAAGAAGATGCTGGGAGGTCTTTGAAGGATCTTGTGCCGTTGCTGTTTTGGTTCAAAAAACGCTGCGCGGAGGAAGGCCAAGATATTCCATTCTTTTTCCACGCCGGAGAAACACTTGGGGATGGTGACGCGGCTGATCAGAATCTTTTCGATGCTGTATTGCTAGGGACAAGGCGCATTGGACATGGTTTCTCCCTGTTCAAACACCCACTCCTTATTGATTTGATCAAGGAGAAGAAAATCCTGGTTGAATGTTGTCCCATTTCCAATGAGATCCTTCGACTGACGAGCTCTATCAAATCTCACCCATTGCCAGCGATGTTATCCCGTGGCGTTCCTGTATCTCTTTCCAACGACGACCCTGCCATTCTTGGTCACGGGAAGAACGGATTGACACATGACTTCTGGCAAGCTTTGCAAGGCCTTGAAAACGTGGATCTCGCTGGGCTTGCAATGATGGTCCAGAATTCAATTCGGTGGAGCTGCTACGAGGATCAGTCGACAGCCGAGTGGAAGGCCGAAGTTGGGGAGGGGATCCTGGGAGAGGGACTTAAGGCTTCCCGTTTACGAGAGTGGCACTCGGATTTTGAGAAGTTCTGTGAGTGGGTTGTAATGGAATTTGCGGAGTTTGATGACGATGATTGAATCAATGTTAGATACTGCCATTCTTTTCGAAATTCAAGCCATCAAGGCACCTTAGAAGCTGAGTTGTTATGTCAAACAGGACATATATGAACTACAATCTTCCAGGCTGAAACATGCACATGTGCTTCTTCTCCCAATTTACTCATAGGCGTGCACCGACTGGTGATCTTAGTTCCCGGCCATATGGACCGACATTGACTTCGAGTGACTCTACTCTACAAGCTTCAACCCCTTTCCCGAGCTCTACAACATTCATGTTTTGTCCAACTGTAGGAAAGTGGTCTAACTCTTCTTTTCTTTCACAATATGAAGGAAAGTGTAGGGAAACAATCGCCCTACATGGCGCCATAGTAGATAGGCTGCGAGCCTCAGGCATCTAGAACACTGCTGCAGGGTTATGTAATCGGACAGTCAAACTAAGAAATTTATTCCAATTCTCATTGTCTATCTAATCGAATATTGACCTATAGAGCTGAAATTTTGCCAGAAAATATTCAAATTGCCAATGCAGTGATTACGATTCTTAACAACTGAATCTTGGACGAGAGAAGGATCCACGTAGATCTGCAACGCTGCCCAATATACTCCGTACGGAGTAGCAACTTTGAAGTCCATTTAAATATTCCCATATTTTGCGGGTATAATGGGATACATATCCGTAGAGATTAAAAGAAAGCCCAGACGATCTCGAATAGATTAGTTATCTTTTCAAATACACCGAATTCGGTTCATTCAGTACATAATCCGAAAGTGTCATCGGCACAAGAGCATTTCAGTTTGTTTACAGCGTGGTGTGGAGCCGCCTGACTGGGCGGATCACTTATCGCCTTTATCAGCTGCCCACTCCCACTCCGCACGTCATTGAATCCTCTCCTTCACCAACTCCCTCCGGGGAACTCATTAATAATTTCGTGCTTCTCTTGCTTATAATGTCGGGTATTCGGTGATCCTTTGCCTTTGCATATCTGAGCGATCCTAGCTCTTCCAAAATGGCGTACTTTCTACCTTCATTCTTTCAAAAGCGGCTGCTCAAATATGCCATCTCCCGCTTGGGACTCGTCGACACAGAGGCCCTGGATCTGGACAACTTGGGAATTCGCTGGGGACAGAGGAGCACAGTTGAGTTGCGTGATATTGGCTTAAAGCTGGAGGTAAGTATGAAAAGAAACCGTGGGGACTTTGGGAGCGTCTATTATCCCCCTTGTCATATCATAAAGATACGGAAATTCTGATATGTTTGCATCTTCACAGAAACTAGCGACTCTCGTCAACCTTCCTACGACTTGGAACCTTCTTTCTGCCCGAATCCAGCTACTCAGAATCACCATCCCGGCCGATATCTACAGCAGCGGAATCATCTTCGAAGTGAACGGTATTCATGTGCATCTGCGATGCTTGTCAGATGAACCATCATCAGGGACGCATGGAAAATCAAAGCCACAGTCTCATCCCAGTCCCGGGATACACGGATCAGGGGAGGGCCAGATTATACCCACACCGTCGAATCTCGCAGAGTCTTTCCTAGAGGCTGAGCCCCAGGAGGAAAAAGAGGAACTGCAAGCAGCTATCACATCACAATCTCATGTATTACATCAAAGATCATCATCTGCAGAAGAGGAGGATGAAGATGAAGAGCTTGGACTTGGAAACGACACACTGTCCCTTCCAAGTTTTGTTGCTGGATTCCTTAAGGGCGTGGCAGATCGGCTGCAGGTGAGGATCAAGGATCTGTCTGTACGGCTGGACATGGAGTTGAAGCAGGACGCACCATCCAAAAGACAACCAGAGGAAAAGCCAGATGTTGTCTCCTTTACTCTGAGTGTGGGTGAGATTGATGTTTACGATATTTCTGGATTCATGGCTCCCGTGAACGACTCTCTACCTGTTCGAGAAGGAAAGAGGCCGGTATCCTTAATTGATATCAACCTTGGTCTTGTTGCAGATCCATCCGTGTTTGCAAATTATTCGCGTTTCATGGCGCCTGTCTCTCCGACGACAACTATGCAATCCAAGGAAAGCCAAGCATCAAGTAGAGCGCCCTCGCCCCCTCTCTTGGATTCTCCAGGCTCAGAATCCGCGCTTGCAATGACGAGATCAACCATTTTCGGGCCACCACCACTACTCAGTCACGAATACAATGCAGACAACGAGGTTGAAGAATCGATAGTACTTTCTCACGATGGCCGTTTCTCCGACGCAGAATCGGAAACGGGAAACCCATACGACCGTTACCTTGAAGACTCTCAGGTTTTTGGAAATGATGGCCAGTTTGGAGATAGCCCTGGATATCTGCAATCCATGCTTGATACTCAATCCGATATTTCCGATTTGGAACAGTACGAAAGGCAGTATTCCGAACGGTATCGAATGGATGGGGGAGATAGAAGCTCTTATTTGAGAAGCCATTCATTCCGTACCAACGAAGACTCGCCAGAAAATGAGCCCTTGGAATATGGACACAGCTCTGTGGATTCGGAAAATCTAGGTGGAATTTCAATTCGTGGATCGCGCCATGAACCTCAATTTGAGTCCACGGCAGAGGACGTGCCCGAACCACTGTATCCTTCCTATCGTCATGAAAGCCCGGCTATGAGTCGACTGGATGATTCAAGAAACTTGTCACAGCCTCCTGCACCACCCTCCGAGTCTGGAAGTGTGGCATCGGAATCAGCCGCGCCCAGTGTAGATCTCATAGAGTCCAAGTACTTTTCTCATGATGAGGCGCAGAGCTTATACATGAGTGCTATGAGCCATGGTGATGGTCAAAGCTTCATCCCAAACATGCCAGGCGCATGGGACTCTTTTGGATCTGATCAGCAGCAGTCATACCATCCTTCCGTAGACCAGTCCCAGACTGAGGATGCGGATGGTTTACGATCCAGTCAGGATATGCAAGATGAGACGACGGTATCGACACCCAAGTTAACCGGCCCAACGGACTCCTATTTCAGTGATCAGAGACGTTCCGATGATCAGACAATATCGCAATCTGAACTACAAGACAAAAATTTGACCGCATCTTCTGCATCGAACAAGGTGACTGAGATTAAGAAGTCTGTCTTCAGTATTGACAAGATATTGATTTGGATACCTTCCCCAGTCGAGAATGAATCTGTAGAACATCCATCCCCTCAGCTGTCTTCCGCAGGAGCAGACGCAGATTCCAATGATCTTGCATATGGTGTCGAGGAGAGCATGTTCGCTTCCAAGGCATACGCTTCAACCAAGTTTCACAAATTGCCAGTCGATTCTCGGACGCTCCCTGAGACGGACAACTCAGGCCACCGCCAGAATCCCAGCATCGATGACCGGCATAAATTGGAGGTTGAAGTGTTTTCAGCTGCAGCTCATTTTGACATAGCCACTGGCTGGTTGTTGATCAAAGCAGCACAACTGATGATATCACAAGTTGCTAATGTCCCAGCGAATGATCAACCTCATGAACCATCGGCCACAGACGCAGCTCCCCAACAGACACCCTTGAATGTAACAATTCACAAAATCTCTCTCAAGTTTGTTGAGCATGTACCGGGTCATCCATATTCACCTGCATATCCTGATTCTCTGCCCTTGAGCCAACCCATTCCATCGGAGGATACTGTTCTCCAGATTGGAGTGACGGAACTCAAGATGAATTTGTCGGCAGATGGGAAGCGAACTCATCTCGGTCTCACCGTCTCGAAATTTAACTTCGGATTTGCTTCCGAGGATTTGATATCATTCAATGAGTCCCTCAAAATGCGTGAATCGACAAGAGATCTTACAACATCCTCCCAAAATGACATCTCTCTATCATTAGTAAAGTCGGCGGACTCCATCAAGGTGGAAACTAACACCCTTCCTATTCACATCAACCTCAACATACAGCGATTGGAAGAAGTTTTGGGCTGGGTGGGTGGATTGAGTACCATCCTCGAACTCGGGAGCTCCATATCCTCTGCGTCTACAATGAAAGGAGGAAACAAAGTTCCAAACAAACGGCCACGTGGTGTTCATTTCGAGACTCCAGCCCCAGAAAATGACAAGGGATCCACATCTGCAGTTCCAGTCAAGGTCAACATGCGACTTGGTGGAATCGTCCTGGACGTCACGGGTGAAACCCATTACTTAACCCTTTCCACAACCGCCGTGAAATTTGTCAGCAGATTCGAGGGAATTGGCATTCAAATTGACAAAGCAAGCCTCAATGGGCCACTTTCTCTTCATGATTTATCAGACTCACCAGCCAAAGTGACCCTGAACAACATCCGTGTCGAATTTCTCTTTGCCCCTAAAGAAACCGACCTTGATCGCTTGTTGACCCTTATCACTCCATCTCAAGACAAATATGATGACGATGACGATATTATGGTCGACACTCTTCTGCGTCAAAGGCGACAGGGATCTGTGCTTCGCACGACAATCAGCGGTTTGAAAACAACGGTGTCTAGTATTGAGGGCCTAGCTCCTCTGGCAGCCCTGGGAGCAGAGTTGGGTCGGCTTTCAAATGTCACTAAATATCTCCCGGAAGATGACCGTCCAGGTCTTCTTACCCTGACTCTGGTTCGCGAGTTCAACGTCAATGTTCATGTCGGAGGAGATGTTGGAAACATGAATGCTCGTCTAACCAATGTGGAAGCTGCCTGGATCAGCATGCCTTCTCTTATTGCGACTCAGATCAGTAGCATTATTCTCGTTCGAAACGAGACTGAAGAGCTTGTGGGTGAAGCCTTGCTTCCCGAGAAAGCTCAAGGCACAATTCAGCCTCAGCCCCCTGTCTTCATGGCTCGGTTTATCCCGGACGAAATGGATCCAACCTTCAAGATCAAGCTCCACCATCTTCGCGTGGAATATACCGTTCCTTCAGTTATGGCATTCCTTGGGCTGGGCCACGATACTACGGGGGCAGACTTGACCAGCGAAATGGCGAGCTCGATTGCCAATCTTGCTGAGCAGTCCATTCGAGCGACTGAGATGTCATGTCAGTCTCCGACGATATCAAATGCATCCAAATCACCCGCAAAACCCATGAACCTTGCACTTGTGTTCAGAGACTCTGTTATTGGACTAAATCCTCGAGGTTCGCCAGCAAATGGATTGTTTGTTCTTTCAAATGCTAAATTCAGTGGTACGATGCACAGCCAAGAGTCATCCGAAGCCACATTGGACATCAGGAAAGCGACCGTCATGATCATTGACGACGTGTCAAATGTTGGCCGGACGGACAATCTTCATCAGCGCAAATCTGCCGTCACCCACAGCGATCAAGCATCGGCTTATATTGGCGAAGGATACGTCCCGGTGACGACTATCTCCTCAGCCACCGCTGTGGTGAAGGTGATGCAACTGGCCACCGACGGAACAAAGTCCCTCGATGTTGAGTTCAGGGATGATCTTTTGATACTCGAGACATGTGCCGACTCTACTCAGACCCTAGTTGGTATTTTGAATGGCTTGCAGCCTCCAACTCCGCCAAGTGTTGTGGCCAAATATCGAACGGAAATCATGCCAATTACGGATATGATAGCTTCTCTTACAGGCGATGCGTTCTCAGCCGACGGAAACCTTCCCGCTCAGGGGAACAGTGACATAGACCTCGACAACGAGGAATATCTCCTGGATGACCAGCTTAAGAGTGAGGCTGACTACGTTATCGATTTCTCCCCACAGAATAGCTCTGGAACTGACGAGGAGCCTGAACTTCTGGGAGTGCCCGATTCTGATGAACTCCTTGACAGCTTCCATTCTCAGCGCCAGGTCTCGTCTAGCATCTCAGAACTAGAATTTCGGGAAGACCACTTTGCCAGACAGTCTGCTGTCGGCGGCACTGCTCACCGATGGGACTCGACTCACAACACATATGGTCTTTCTAATGACCTAAAACTTCAACAGAGCCCTCTTCGTCTGAGAGTACGTGACATGCATATTATCTGGAACTTATTTGATGGCTATGACTGGCAAAGAACCCGAGATACCATCTCCAAAGCAGTCAGGGACGTCGAAACCAAAGCCACAGAGCGGCGAGCGCGGGCTACTCGATTGTCACCCGAGGTCGAAGAGGAGGAAGAATCTGTCATTGGTGATTTCCTCTTCAACTCTATCTACATCGGCATTCCAGCGAACAAGGACCCACGTGAGCTTCACCGTGAAATCAACAGAGACATCAATGATTTGGCAAGTGAAACCGGAAGCTATGCGACGACCACCACGGTTACAGGCGCTACTAGTCGTCCGGGTGGTCGACCAGAAAGAGAGAAGAAGCTGCGTCTTCACCGAAGCAAACATCATAAAATGACATTCGAGCTCAAGGGTGTCTGTGCTGACTTGGTCGTGTTCCCACCGGGCTCCGGAGAGACTCAAAGCTCCTTGGATGTGCGCGTGGGAGATCTGGAAATATTCGATCATGTGCCTACTTCGACTTGGAAGAAGTTTGCGACCTACATGCACGAGGCTGGAGAGAGAGAAAGTGGAACGAGTATGGTTCATCTTGAAATTCTCACAGTCAAACCTGTTGCAGAACTTGCTGCTTCGGAGATTGTCCTCAAGGTAAGTTTTCATATTATTTATGGGATATATTCTGTTTTGCTGTATGACAGGATTCTAACATCTTCTTAGGCCACTATTTTACCTCTTCGCTTGATTGTTGACCAGGATGCTTTGGAATTTATGAGTCGCTTCTTTGAGTTCAGGGACGAGTCCGTCGAAGACGTTGGGACCCCAGGAGATGTTCCATTCTTACAGCGAGTTGAGGTGAATTCGATCAAGGTGAAGCTAGACTTCAAGCCCAAGAGGGTGGATTACGCTGGACTCCGATCCGGCCGTACGACCGAGTTCATGAACTTCTTCATTCTGGAAGAATCCGATATGGTTCTACGACATGCCATTATTTATGGCGTGTCTGGGTTTGATCGTCTCGGCGTAACCCTGAATGACATCTGGATGCCTGATGTCAAACGTAACCAGCTACCTGGCGTTCTCGCAGGTGTTGCACCTCTCCGCTCACTAGTCAATGTGGGTGGTGGTGTAAGGGACCTGGTCGTTGTTCCAATGCGAGAATACAGGAAAGATGGCCGCATCGTCCGCAGCATCCAGAAGGGGGCATTGGCATTTGCCAAAACCACATCTAATGAGCTAGTTAAGCTGGGTGCCAAGTTGGCCATTGGCACTCAGACTGTTCTTCAGGGTGCGGAAGACCTGTTGACCTCACCCAATGCCCCTGTCAGTGCTGCGGATGACGAGCGAGATGATGAGGAAGAAGTCAAGAAGATCTCTCTTTATGCCGATCAACCCATCGGTGTGGCTCAAGGTCTTCGGGGTGCTTTCCGAGGACTGGAACGAGATCTTCTTCTCGCCCGGGATGCTGTGGTCGCTGTTCCCGGTGAGGTTGTCGAGAGTGGAAGCGCCAAAGCAGCGGCCAAGGCTGTTTTAAAGCGTGCTCCGACAGTCATCCTGCGGCCTGCCATTGGCATATCCAAGGCCGTGGGCCAGACCCTTCTGGGTGCTGGTAACTCATTGGATCCAAGTAACCGGCGAAAAATGGAAGATGTAAGTTGCTATAATCCTATCGCGTTTCTCGAGGGGATAACTAACTTGTCTTAGAAATATAAACGCCACTGAGACTCTCTCTTGCTTTCCGATGATCTATGATGATTCTTCGCATTTTGCTCTTGTTTCTTTTTCTCATCTTATTCAGGTCTTTTCGATGTTTCTTGTTATCTTGTTTTTACTCGTAGATACACCCCATTCCTTTGCTGCGATGATACCACCGTCGGAACTTTAAGTTGGAAATATGACCATTTCAAATTGCTGCTCTGAATGCATGATACGGGAGTCATGGATATCTGTTGTTATGCAATTGCTATTGATCTTATATTTATCAATTGATGGGTTGCACATAGAATGACTTGCATCAATTTAAGTTGAACCCGTCCACCAGTATACCTCCAGTGCTACTAGTATTGTCCAACCTTGGAACGGACTAGGTACCTATTTCGGCCCATTTAGCATTTGCGGCTTACATTTAGCTTTAGATGATTCAATTAAACAACTTTATCCAGCAAGAACTAAACCCATAGACTTTCAAGTGTTGATGTTCAAGTTGATATGGAGATGAAAATGCTTGGCGTATATTAATGGGGGATAACGCCCAACAAGGCTATGTGATCCGGGGAAGAACATCGCTTGAACTTTGAGATCGGGACTTCCTCCATTCTACTTGTAACAAGCTTGACTCCCACCTTGAGCACCCACTGTTGTGCTCCATTCCCGTCGAAATGCAGGCATTACGACGAAGCCACACGAAACTTCGTGGCCATGGTCCGCTACCATGCACCGCGTGGATCCTCGCAGCACGCGTCCAAAACAGACCTGGTCTCCAAACCCGGGCAAGTTCATCCGATTCATCTCAATCGCATTCTGCGAAAGGATTCTCGCGAACTCTAGGCATCGTCGCAGCGACGATGACATTGACATTTCTGGGGACCAAATTATGGGATTCCCGATCGGCGGCAGCACCCGTCCAACTTGAAGCTGCCAAGAGCGCGAAATATGCCGATAAGAAGACGATGCTGATTGTTAGTATCCAAACCTTACTCTACGGATGAAATTACAATCATATGATTAACTCTTTAATCACAGGCAGTTGATCGTATTCGCCAAGCATTAGGCGATGATCGAGTCAGTTTAGACGAAGATGACATCGAGGTTCACGGGTACTCTGAATGGTCGACTTCAAATACATCGGAGAGACCAGTTGCAGTTATAACACCACGCAGTACTGAGGAAGTATCTTCTATCGCAAATATCTGCACCGAATACCGTGTTCCCATGATACCGTTTGGTGCAGGCTCAAGCGTAGAAGGAAACTTCTCTGCGCCGTTCTCGGGTATATGTATTGATTTGTCCCACATGAACAAGATAGTATCTTTTTACGAAGAAGATATGAACGTCACAGTTCAAGCTGGGGTGCGATGGATTGATTTGAATGACGAGATCCAATCGACCGGTCTCTTCTTACCAATGGATCCTAGTCCAACAGCTTATGTTGGGGGAATGGTTGCTACGAACTGCAGTGGTACTAATGCGATGAGATACGGTACTATGAAAGACTGGGTTGTCAATTTGACAGTCGTGCTACCCGATGGACAGGTTCTCAAAACAAAACGTCGTCCTCGCAAGTCTTCTGCTGGGTATAATCTCAATGCTTTGTTCACAGGCTCCGAAGGTACATTGGGGATCATCACAGAAGCGACTCTGAAACTTGCTGTGATTCCAGCGGAAACAAGTGTTGGAACTGTGACTTTCCCGACAGTCAAAGATGCTACTGCTGCCGCTTCAAAGCTCATCCGAGATGGAGTTCCGCTAGCAGCTCTGGAATTCATGGATGAAGTGCAAATGCAAATTATCAACAAGAATGGCGGGGCTGGGGGTCGCCTATGGACGGAACTACCAACTCTATTCTTCAAGTAAGAAGAACTTTCGCTCCTTCTGCTTAGCTTGGATGAGAGCGACAAATTACTGACGGTCTGCAGGTTTACGGGAACAGACGTGGAGATACAGGAAAGCATCCAGCGAACTCAGAAAGTTCTTCCTTCGTATAAAGGCGACAAGCTAGAATTTGCATCATCCAAGACTGACCGTGAAAATCTTTGGGCCGCAAGGAAAGAAGCTATCTGGGCCATCATTGCCACCGGACCTGAAGGCAGCCAAATCTGGTCAACTGATGTGGCTGTTCCAATTTCACGGCTGGCGGAGATTGTTGGTATGTTAGACCTTGCACGCTCTCAACCTTGCAATGATTAAGAAGAGGTTACTAATTTTATATTTTTATAGAACTCTCAAAGAATGAGTCTGGGGCGCTGGGCTTGTTCTCCACAGTTCTGGGGCATGTGGGAGATGGTAATTTCCATCAAGCAGTTATGTATGATCCTAAGGATCCTGAACAATATCAGGCCGTCAAATCTTGTGTGTCTCGGATGATGCATAGAGCTCTTGAGATGGAAGGGACTGTTTCGGTAAGTTCTTCGGTTCTCGAGACCGTAGCTAGGTGATACCTTGTTTAACATGCTCATAGGGAGAACATGGGATAGGACTTGGCAAGAAGGTTTGTGATGTAATACAAAAGAGACTGGAGGCACTTACTGACCTTATGTTTTAGGGATATTTGAAAGAGGAACTCGGGGAATCGACTCTTCAATTAATGAAGACATTGAAGCGGAGCGTGGATCCACAGTATGCATTACCTTCCTCTCATGGTTCCATTGCCGATATTAACTTGAACTTTCTACAGCTGGATCATGAACCCCGGAAAGGTCTTTGATGAACTATGAAATCGACTTGAAGGCTTCATATGGATAGTAGTTATGCTAGGTGCTACTAGTAAGAGACTGCATATGTATGAGCGCAGATATCTTATGTGTAGCAACTCTGTCAAATTCAAGTTGGAACTATCAGCTATCTCGTACACATAGAAACTCAGCGCTTGAACTGAAGTTCCTAATATTGATAGGTTGCGATTCAATCTTGAAAGATCATCATCCAGCACATGAACATACTACCGGCTCCTGCTCCAGTCATAATCAGGGCTCAAAGAGTAGCCCGAATCGCACCAGTTCTTGCTTGGCTTGAATACCCTCTCAAACTATGCTTTATTCATAGTGACAAGCGAAAGTACTACGCTGTTGTCAGCCTGCTGATTCATTCCGGAATTTCTCTAGGCCCGAGGAGGCTTCGTGTCACCGTCAACGTCATCCTGTCCCTTGATTCTTCTCTATTCTTGATTCTCGTACCCATTACTATATTCAGTAAATATTATAATCAATATCATGCCTTTTCAAAATCTATCCTCTGACTCTGTGATCGCCGGGTGCACTAAAATCATACAAGCAGGCTTGGAAGGTAGCAAGCTTGCCCTTCAAAAATCAACCGATTTGACAACTCAGGTTGGTGTGTACCTCATGTATGAAAGCGGCGACGCTGATAAATCTATCTGGTAGGCAGCCAGCTGGGGTGCTCAGAACCGGACTTTAGCCATTTGTGCAGCTGTCGGCACCACTGGGGCTGTTCTTTTGGCTGCCCCTGGCGGCGCAGCTGCACCGATCCTTGCGGGTATAGGCTTCAAGGCAGGCGGCATACAAGCGGGTATGTGCGAAATTTCACCAGTCATTGATATGTTATCCATATCTTGTGACATCCTAGCCTATGCGACCATATACTTATAGAATACAGGGTCTATGGCCGCAGCATTCCATAGCTCGATTGGGAATGTTGCATCTGGGAGCGCCTTTGCTATAGTACAGAGTGCTGGTGCAGGAGGAAGTGGTCTAGCGGTTGTCAGTGGTGTTACGCAGGTGGGAGGTGCCGCAATGACTATGGGCAGCGCTGGCATAGCATGGGTCAAGGCTAAATTATAAATTTATTGTACTTTGACATTCCTATCAAAGGAAAGATACAAATTCATCATTATCACCTCGTAACCCTGGAAGCAGGCTAAGCGTGCCATAAGGAACAATGAAGAAGAGGGAAAGTGTAAGCGTGGACATAAAAAGCCCCACGTGACGCAACCTTTCAATACAATTCAACCCCTAAAATGAGGCCAAGCGGTATAGACTTTAGGCTATTCCATCACAGGGTTCAGCAAAGGATCTCCGTGTGTAAGTGGTGAAACTGATTTCGATCCTGGGTGTATACTGTAGAGACCTGCACCGTCCTGGGTGGATCCAAATATAGATGACTAAGTTTACACGTGATGCTGAGCTGACTCAACTTGGTGTCATGTGACTAGGGCGGTAGCCCTAGCGAGGACCCCGAAAGAGGAATATCGCACTTTTCGTCGCGCCGGAGCTCCACTCTCCAATCTTTAAATCACCCATCTTTTTCTGGATTGTCAAAGCGATTCCCCGAATTGCACCAGGAACTCGCGACAATGTAAGATTCCGCTCCAATAATCTCTGATTCTTTCAAATTACTGACAATTATGCAGGCTTATCCCCAAGGACGACCGCAAGAAGATCCACGAGTACCTCTTCCGCGGTATGTGACTCTCAACCTCACCCTCGCCTACGCTACTGGAGTTCTATATGCACGACATTCAGAATTTCGTAAGGACGACCTGGGACAAATTGACTGACTTTTATCTCTTACAGAGGGTGTCCTCGTGGCCAAGAAGGACTTCAACCTTCCCAAGCACGGTGACATTGACACCAAGAACCTCTATGTACGATGACCCGTTCCACCTACCAACTAAGCCTTCTTGGAGTTGCCCATGCTAATATTCAACTTTACTCTCTAGGTCATCAAGGCTCTTCAGTCCCTGACCTCCCGCGGTTACGTCAAGACCCAGTTCTCGTGGCAGTACTACTACTACACCCTCACCCCGAAGGGTCTTGACTACCTGCGCGAGTGGCTCCACCTCCCCGCTGAGGTTGTCCCTGCCACCCACATCAAGCAGCAGCGTTCCCACGCTCCTCCTCGCGGTATGATGGGCGGTGAGGACCGTGAGCGTCGTGCTCCTCGTGCTCCCCGTGAGGGCGGTTACCGCCGTCGCGAGCAGGAGGGCAAGGAGGGTGGTGCCCCCGGCGAGTTCGCTCCTTCTTTCCGTGGCGGTTTCGGCCGTGGCCGCGGTGCCGCTGCTCCCCAGTAAGGGATAGGCTTCGGTGCTCTGTCATCCGCTGCTCGGTCATCCTTGGGATCGATGTGGCCGGTATGAGTTCTTAAACGAACTGGTACTAGGCGCATCGTTAATACCCCCTCTGTCTGAGACCAACGGATACGGGAAAACAAAAAAGTTGAAACGAATGCCACTGGCTTGATGATGTATCTAGATTATTCAATGACACTATCATGATTCAGTGCCAAAACTTGTGCAATTGTAAACCTACAGTAGATCTCACCCATACTGGATGTAGTATGTCCCATATCATCATACTCGGGTAAATTATACCTATTTTCGCATTTATTCAAAATTTCAACTTCGTTACTAATCCAGACGCGAAGCGCGTCTTCTGATCCGGATCGATATCAAAGATTCTAAGTCAGGTTCAGACAGTCCTGGAGATGCGCAATACCTGGAGTGTGCAGCTTGTAGGTGCAGCATCTGACTTTTATTCCTTCAAGTTCTTCTGATCTTTTTCTTCTGGTTCTAGTGCTCATTGTTGTACTTTGTAACAACATTGTCTACACATGTGCATCTATTCAAGGTTGGCATCAAGTAGAATATGCCGATCTTTTACGCGCAAACTTGACTATCCTCCTCAAAATGAAGACCTATCATTGATTGCTTACTCCAACACTATGCACGTCAAACCATAGCCGATGAGCAGATCCCCACCTACTCCAATGTGGGGGATGTACTACATAGTATAGTACATTGCCATCGGCATGTCGGCAGGGTTATCGAGGGCGGACTTTGTCCGCAGTGTTCCCCGCTTCCTTATCAATTACCAAGAGCTATAGATTGGACGATTGTGTCTACATAAATACAAGTCGCTCCTCTAAGGTCAAGATGCAATCAATTCTACATGCGACTCGAGTAAGACCAAAGTTTCGAGTACTGTCGTTCCCAAGAACCATACCACTTTTTCATCCACTGATATACAAGCCGTTTTCAACCACAGTGTTTCGCACCATGTTCACAACAGACCTATCTGAAGCTGAGGTCTCAGCCTTGAGAGCAAACAAAGGGCGCCTTGCGAAGGATCTACATGAATCATGTCAGTGGGGATATGGAATTCGATGGGGAGAGTGAGTGTCTTCACCAGTATACATCAACATCATATACCAGAGCACTTCAGAGCTAACTAGAATCCATTTGGTCTTTTAGGGGAGCTACAGATACTGGAATGCAACGTCTTGCACTGTCTGAAGAAGATAAGAGCGTGCGAGATTGGTTTATTCAAACTATGAAAGATCTCAAATGCCAAATTACGATCGATGAGATGGGCAATATATTCGCAGTGCGCCCAGGTCGAAGGGCAGACGCTCCAGCTACTTTTATTGGTAGTCACTTGGATACACAACCTACTGGAGGACGCTATGATGGTATTCTGGGTGTTCTTTCAGGTGTGGAAGTGATCAAGAGGATGGACGAGATGGGACTGGAAACAGAAGGGGGAATTGGTGTTGTTAATTGGACAAAGTAAGACTATATTGGGCAATGCATTGACCATGAACGATATGCTAACTTGCATAGTGAGGAGGGAGCCCGATTTCCTGTCAGCATGATTGCTTCCGGTGTATGGGCAGAGTGCATTCCCCTACCACGTGCCCACGAACTGAAGGAGGTACCAACAGTCGCATCGTTACCGACGGCTAGCTCAGCACCAGAAACAATGAAGAGCGCTCTCGAGAAAATTGGCTATCTGGGCAGTGTGCCCTGCTCATACAAAACTACTCCAATGGCAGCTCACTTTGAACTGCATATTGAACAGGGCCCTCACTTGGTTTCCGCTGGGCAACGAGTTGGAGTAGTCACCGCAGTTCAGGCCTATCGCTGGTTCCGACTCAATGTGATTGGGCGAGATACACACACCGGAACAACGGCATTCGAGCACCGTGCAGATGCCCTGTACGCATTTGCGCAAATGATGGTGCGTGCAAGAGAAGTCGCTGCTTCCAAGGGCTGTTTAGCTAGTGTGGGTATTATCGAAGTGAAGCCTGGTAGTGTGAACACAGTTCCGGGCGCGGTCAGCTTCAGCTTGGATATCCGTGGACCAGAAACTGACCTCGTAGTCGAGGTTGAGAAGCAGCTACGGAGTGACTTTGACGCAATCGCCGCTGCAGAAGGAACAGGGATCGGCAAGCCGTGTCGTGTTGAATGGACGCTTGATTTTGACTCACCTGCTGTCAAGTTTCACCAGGATTGTATTAGTTGCGTTGAGGAGTCTGCTTATGCTGTAGTCACAGATGCACCGGTATCGGATACCAAGTCTCTTGTGCGACCAATTATGAGTGGTGCTGGCCATGATAGTGTCTTCACCTCTAAGCGCGTACCGAGTAGTATGATCTTCGTGCCCTGCAAGGATGGTCTGAGCCATCACCCGGAAGAATTTTGCTCTGCAGATGATTGTGCAACGGGAACATCTGTTATATTGCAGGCAGTTGTACGCTATGACCGAAAGCGATTTGCTTAAGACAAGCAGCACTCCAGGACGATCATATTTCAAATTCCCGATATCTCGAGAATTCAAACAAATACCTAGATCCAGTCCGCAAGCTTCAATCTCAAGTGCTCCAATTAAAATCACTAGTAGATGTTGAAAGTGTGTAAATAACTTCCAGTTGTGTTGAACTATAGCACGGGTGCTATATCCGGCATTACAATTTTTGAGAGCGTGCAAACGACTTGAATCAATACCGTATAAAGTATCAACCCGAATTTTGTCATAATACTTTTTAGCGAACTTGAGTCATTTCAATTTCCTAGTCTTACACCGTTGTCCTTTCGACATCTCCATATCCTGATGCAGCTGAAATTCATACATTCCGATATCCGAGACGGAACAAACGGAGCAAACTGGTTCCGAGTCCCGGATACTTACCCCGGACTTATGCAAACAACCGTGACACAACATGGAATGAGCCAAGTTGTAAGGCTAAAAAGCACTTCTTCCCTTTAACAATTTGTGACAACTTTTAAAAACTCGAGCACTCATATCAAAATGGTATCACTCGAATCAGTGCAGCAACATAATGCCAGCCTGAAGGATTTTGGCCCGAATCTAGTGGCAGTCTTTGGTACATTTACCTTACTTGTTTCAGATCAAGTTCAAATCCATCTCAGTTAAGCCTAGCTGACATGCAAACCAGTCGGTGGGACCAGCGGGATTGGGGAATCAACTGCCCGTGCATTTGTTCGGAATACTGATTCTTCTCGGGTCTATCTTGTCGGGCGCAATGAATCCCAGGCCTCTAAGATTATCGAGGAACTTCGTCAACTCGACCCGGATGGCCAAATCAGTTTTGTTCAATGCGATGCTACAAGATTGCACAGTGTGGATGACGCTTGCAAGTCCATCCAGGAGAAGGAAGAGAAAGTCAACCTACTCTTCATGACGGTCGGCACAATGACAACGAAGGGGCGAGATGGTACAGGCAATAAATCTTCGATACGAAATACGGCATTCTTTACTAATTCCTATTTTAGAAACGGATGAGGGGCTCGATAAGAAGCTTAGCCTTCACTATTATTCCCGGATGCGTTTTGCAACAAATTTACTGCCTCAATTGACCCGCGCTGCAAATGTCAGCGACACTAGTAAACAAGGATTAGGTGGCAATCTGTCGCGGGTTGTGTCTGTGCTGTCTGCAGGTTATGAAACATCCCTTCAGTTGGATGATCTAGATCTGAAGACTCATTACTCCCTCCGCAATTGCAGTAGCCATGCGATCACCATGAACACCCTGTTCGTGCGAGAGCTTGCGGCGGCACATCCCGCGACGACATTTATCCATGCCTATCCAGGCGGCGTGAAGACTGGGCTCATGCGAGAATTTGGCCCCCTTACCCGGGCTGCAATCAGTGCACTGGCAATTCTGGCCAAACCCTGGATGGTGCCATTGGATGAAAGTGGTCAGCGACATCTGTATGCCTCAACTAGTCCACGATTCCCACCGCGAGCCTCGGGAGAGGGCCCTGATGTTGCAAATGGGGCAGACGGCAAACAGGGCAGCGGGGCGTATCTATTATCGTGGGATGGATCCATTACTGGTAATAGAAAGATTCTGGAAGCGGCTGACGAGAATGAAACGGGAAAATTAGTGTGGAAACATACATGGGGGATCTTCCAGTCGATCTGTGGCGGTAACTAAGGATCCACGTATGTCGTCTTTGTTCCATATGCAACTCCACTTTATGTATTCCATACTCTTAACTTCATATATAGAGACCTTAAATCATCACAAAATTAATCAATGAATGAACTAATATTTCAAACAGGAATGAATGAATAGAATACTATCTCTTTAAAAACATCAAAATAAGTTTCTATTGCACTGATTGTTGCCCCGGATCACGTGGTCTCGCCTCCCAGCGGTTAAGATGGACCCGTGGATCTTCGTTGCAGAGACTTAGGATTTTCGGAGGCGAAATCGGATTTTTCCCGCCCGGACTGGCATATATCGTCCTTGTGCCCCCCTGCCGTGGCCTGTACAGCCAGACTACATCGTCTTGCTGCGGACTCGAGCGCAGGACAACTTCATTGACACTCATTTTCACTCCCCGAACGAGCAAAAAGCCCCCTTTGACTCACACATTTGCCACATCATGTTCGAGGATTTCTCCTTCTCGTCGCCTTCTTCACGGCCGACTCGTTTAGCGCTTGATGGAGACGATCGGATCATGGTCGATGGTGACAGTACACTGATCTCGCCATTATCATCTCGCTGTCCGTCGCCGACATCGCACCGCTTCCGTACGCTCTCGCGCTCGCGGTCCTCTTACTTTCGTTCTCAACAGCCGCCCCCAACATCCGTGCCATTTCCTTACGAATCCAAACGCCTCTCAATCGCGACTCTTACTCAGAAACTCCATGAACATACTCTCCAGTCTCCAAATGGCGAATCCCTCCCCGATCGCGGCCGCTTAGGGCAAGATGGACGACTTTCTGGTCAATATGCCGGCTATGTTCTTACCCCACCAGATACAGATCATGATGAAGATGGTCATTACACTTCATCACCTTCTCTCTGCTCAAACCCAAGCCCTACATCTATTCCCCCAGATTTTCCCTCTCTAGACGGACCCCCGGACCTGTCAAGTGATCCGTTCAATATCCGGCGGCAAAGACAACAGATCTCGCAATTACAATGCAACCAGGGTGACGTCGACGCGATCCGTCGAACAGTCTATTCCGAGGATGGCGAAGATGATTGTCATCCCAGTTCTTTACCACCACGATCTTCTCCACGTCGAAGGGCACTTACGCAACACCGCAGCAGGTTCGGGCCCGCAGAGCCATTGGGAGAATCTCGGGGGCGCAGAAAGAGCAGTTGCAGTGCTTTAATGTCTCACCGGATTGAAAAGAGTCATCATCCTTCGTTTGCGGGACGGGATGCCTCTAAACGGAATGAGCAGGGTCTTCGACGGAAGAGTATGGTGACTGCGGCGCTGGCGTCTGTAGTGGAGAAACCATGATGGCATTTCGCACTATATTCGTTGTATATATTTTCAAAATTGATACCCGATTCTCATTCTATTGAATATTTGACCTCAAATCATACTAGTATATCATCTACTGATCAAATTACTGGTGGGATTCATTGACATGAAACACCCGGGCAGCGGCAGCTGGAGACTCAGAAATGCTGGTGGCAATGAACTGTAAACGAACACGCTGCCGACTTCCGTAGACCATTATCCTGATTCGAGAATTGAGGACACGACTGGCCCCAGTATCCAGGGCTACAGCTGAGATTTCTTAGTCCGGTTTAGAATCTCTATGCAGCGCGTATGTTCGTTCAAATGTTCCCGGTGAACGTGGGTGCCTTGCTACCCGGACCCCGTATTCTGTCTAGACAGATATTATACCAGTGACTCGGATACCCAGGTGGTCAGTGGATAGAATCGATTCATCATTACTGGTGATGAGGCATACGTGAGCAAAAAAGCAACTTGAATGCCCGCAGCGGTGATCTTGGTGCTCAACCCTTCAAGTTCTATGAGAATGGGTCCAGAGCTCCGTTGGGACGGAGAGTTCGTAAAAGCAGGTATGAATTCTGACCTGTTGATATCCGACTGTCTGGGTCTTGGGTTTCTCATTTCCTTCATGGTTCAGCAGGAAGTGATCTTCAATGACTTGTTCCAGCCTAGATCTGCAGTGAGTGCCAGTGGGCTACGGAGTAGAGTGTCGCGGTATTCAGGTGCATGGTTGCCACTCAAATTCATAGAGCTATCAAAATTAAGATGCGTTATTAGGATCTAGTTCGTAGACATGATTGCCATGTATGCTTTTTAGACTTTATCGTCTCTAATCAATATTACGATATTTGAATTACTTTAATAATTAAAAGGGAACTTTGGAATCGATTTTAATGTACGGACCAGACTTGGGGAGTTTTGAGACCACTGGCATGTACCTATGTAATATACTAGTATGTAAAGTGGCTTGACACATGCATGAAAGGCCCTATGTAGATGTATAGATAATAGCGTGAGAGCTCAAGGTGTCCGCTTATACTAACAGTGATACATGTAGTAATTAGGATGTCTCCTGATCAAGATGTTGTCCATATACAACCTTGGAAGTATTAGTCGTAATATTAATATCAGAACCAGTCATATTCAACCCAAAGTTTGAAGAGCCATAGACTCTTAAAAAGGTAATAAAAGAAGTAAAAGTAATAAAAAAGGTAAAATATAATAAAAATACAGCTTGAAGAAGAGAAAAAAGAAAAGCCCTTAGAAGATGAAGAAAACGGGACGCCGCATTCATGTCATGGTATCGTGTCCAGTGTATCAATTCCCAGAACGCCAGCTGAAGAACTTGCGTAGCTTTTTACGCTGCTTCCCATTGTCGCCTTTGCGTGTACCATCGCCAGAAAGAGAGCGGGAATTTTGGAACCTCCGCTGCAAGTCGTCCAGCGCACCGGGAGGTGAGCCGCGGAGGCCCATGTTCTCGGCGTTGGCCGCGGCCAGCACGGATTGTACATGGGGATCAAAGTAAATAGGGTCATAGGGATCGTAAGTTTGAGAGTAGGCGGGGGACATTGTGTTGGCGAGGTAGGTATCGTATGGTGAGAGAGGTGGAGAGGGTGGTTTGCTTTCAAAAGTGGAATAGGTGGGAGATGGGAGATCGAGGAAGATGCCACGGTCACGTTCGTCGACCTGCGACCATTCTCCGTTCGCGTAGACTGGGGAGCCTGGCTCCCCGATTTCACTTTCTCCGGAGTAGTATGTTGGTACGGAAGAGGATGATGGTCGTGGGGAGTCCGGCTCTGAGGGAAGGTCTTCCCTTGATTCCTGTCTCTCTGAGATTGATACCATGTGGGCTCTGGATGATTCCCCTGGAATGTCATCATCGTATTTGATTTGTTGCTCTGGCTCATGATAACTGTCTGAGGTCCAGTAGTTGTGTTCGTGAAGAGAGAAGTCGGATAGCGAGTGGATTCGATCGTGCACCCCAGGTGACGAGGAAGGAATATCGGCTGATTGCATCTTGGGCGTGGAGTATGCCGTTGAGAGAGAAGTATATAGTGATGAAGAGTAGTGAGAAGGTAACGAGGCGTCTGTAAATTGGGAGAGCGAGCTTCGATCCAGTCCTTGGTCTATAGTGAACGAGGACACCATTGAGTCGCGGATTTGGTCCGCCGACATAAGCGAGCAGGTGTCAACATCTTCAATGAAGGAAACAATTCGCGCGAGATCCAGCGACTTGCGTGGGTTCAAGATCTCAAAGGAGGCCCCGCCATGAGAGATGGTGGCAGCGGCCTGCGTGGTGGCCAACATCTCGGAATCCTGGGGGCGGGATAGAGGCGAGTGCTGAATTTGTCCACGAGCCTCAAGCTTTTGGCGAAATGTGTTCTAGAAAAAGAGTCTGTCAGAAGAGAGGGTGGGATGGACTATTTATTTTTGTTTCAGTGTACTCACCAATCGTTTCCTGTTAGGTCTTGGACGAACCAGGTTTTCCGAGACAAGATCAACTCGTGGCCCCTGGACAGGATGCGCACCTGCAGGTCAATTAGAATTTGTGTTTATTTTCTTATCAATGCTACTGCATGCGGTACTTACCGAGCTGCAGCTGATCAAGAGTTAGGTCCGAGACCTCGTCAAGCTCGCTTCGTTGAGAGATGACACTGTGTGAACAGGATGGCGACAAGGGTGGCGGACTAGATGCCCCAGATGATGAGATTGAGACAGCGTACGAGGAAAGTGTTGAGATATCAGGAGGTCGGTTCAAATTGCTTGTTCCCGTTTTTCGCTTGAGTGTTTTTTCTGAACGATCTACGGGATCGTCGTTATACTCTGCAGCTTGTGCCAAATGTTTACGATAATCATGAAGTGACAATGAACCGGTGAGTCCAAATGAACGAGTAGGGAATGATGATGTATCCGCAGAAAGGGGTTTAGAGTCAGTGCAAGTTGCATTGACACGGTCCATGCCCGTAGATAAAGATGAGCCATCCGGCAGCTCATGATCCCACAACTCGATTGAGGCGGTGGCGGGGTCCTCGTGATCTTTCACCATTGTGCACAAGCTTGATAAATTGACTTTTTTTTAAATGACTTGAGAGGGGGTGTTCGTCTCCAACAGCTTTAGCGTTGTGACATATCTCAAGTGTTTCCCCAAGTGATGATCCTAACACCCGCAACTCTATACATTTCAATTTGTTAGAGCGGGGAAGAACTGCAAGGGACATGATGTATCAAACTCACCCAGTTCACCGTAAATGCAAGGTACAAAAAAGCCGAAATTAATCAGATTCAACCGAGAAGGATTGAGAAAATCACACAGAGATCCAATCGATTATAAGAACAATTTCTATCGGTATTCGGGGCCGAACGGGGTGCCTGGTCTTGTTCTCTTCGTTTTTTTCGCGCTGAAGATCCACTTTTCCCAATAACCCACAATCTCCACATGAGTCTCGATCCTGGGCCCTGGCTAGACTCAGGAACGCTGGGTCGAACCGTTGGTTCGGCATTCATAATGGCCTTTATGTATACGGAGTAAAAGGGATTGCAAATGGAAGACGTCACCCTCCGTTGGATCCGGGCAACGGAACATTCTTGGAAGAATAAGGGCGAAAAGTCGGTGTCGGGTTGCATAAAGTCTGTGAAGTCTGTGCCCTGAAGATTATGGCCCAAAATCTCACAAGTAACCCACATGTGTACCCCTTTTTTCCTACTCTATAGGGCATCAAGATTCAAATGACTGGTTCAAAAAAGTCCAACAAAGTCCAAAAATGACATGCATAAGAAAGAGATTGTCATCATCTGATCTTAGTGGCATCTTAGTTTCACACTGGCCCGTCTCATCTTTAACCAATCATTTTTTGTATGGACTATTTTAGCAATCCTAGTTCCACACCCACCCGGATCTTGCCAACCAGTCGGCGGCCAGAACGAGCCTGTTGTCGTCAGGGCTGAAGGCGATTACACATGTGAGTAGATCTACTCCCTACAGAGTGTTAGGTTGTTCGCCCAAATCCCGATACAGAATTGAATCTATAGTATGAGACCCTATACTCCACACTATGAGTATGTAAAACTTGATTGTACATCGCACAAATTACCATTAATATATGCAAGTATCGCATCAGCAGTATCAATAAATAATAAAAGAAATTATCTTGATGTAATACAGATCATGAGAACTTGGATCCGGGTAAAATTTCTCGACATTGGATCTATCTTCTGGCGGTGGCGGCCGGCACGTTCTGTACACCCGAGCACTCACATTATCAGACTATCCCGAGTCCCTGATCGCCTAAGATGTCAAGCACATCAAATGAAGTATCCACAAATGTCAACTGCAAAGAATTTACAAGCGCCACTGGGGCAGAGTGAAACCGTCGCCCAAAAAATGTCGATCAGCCCCCTTCGCCTTTTACCCCCTTGGCTGTATCATGAATCATGCATGTTCTCAGGTACGAGCTCGTGAGTTTTCGCTGGAGGGTGTGATCCATGGATTCACACGAGATTTTCTGCCCCCAACTATGCCCAACAGGGATCCCACCAGGGCCCGATGAGTTCCTAGAAGATGATGTGGGTCTCGTTTGGATCGCCATTTGACGACGCGGCCGCAGGGTTTTTTTGTGGAGGGTGCGCCACAATTCCACCAATCTGGATCGTGTCAGCCAACGAAGCCCAGATACACTATGAACTTAGTGGGGCTCGGTCGTTTAGGCCTTAGAACCCCATGAGCCATAGAGAACCGGAGATACAGCCTCGCCACTGGAGTGGAAAGATGAAGACCGCCTCACAGCCACTGCTATGACCAACATTTTCTTTTTTTAACTTCTCTTTGAGACCTTTATTTCTCTCAAGTTGTTTCAAAGCATCCGAGTCCTTCTGTTACTACTCTCTTCTCTCCGAGTCTGAGTCTCGTAAAAACATATACTAGTACTAATATACTCCGTACTAGTAGAAGTGCCACGAATACAATGTGTGTTAACGTCAACCCAAATCTTCTCTACCACGTGAACCTTGGAACTTAGTTGGCTAGAGTGTAAGATTGCAAATCTTGAACTTGAAGTCCCCTCACTACTAGATAATCTTTATAGTATGGGGACTTACAGTAGTACTCACTGCCCAGGTGGACATCTGGAGTCGAGGACCTAGTCACCGGGGCAACTGCCAGTGGTCTCATTATGTAGGGTCGTATCATACATCAGTCGATCACGGCGCCCGTAGACGTGTCAGGTTGTATTATATCTTTTGGCATCTTAAGAGGCGCAACTTGAAGATCGCCGTAGCGAGCCACCCACCTGATACTACTACACCAAAAACCATTGCCTGGTACTGAAGGTTGCGATCTGATGTCATCTAGGTAGTAGCAGTCGGGGGAAATTAGTATATTGTTGATTGGATTATTGTAATGGGTCCTTCCCGTTGTCCAGGTAGTAGTCAAGCAAGAAAGAAAAAAAGAATTCCAGCAAGGTCAGGGATCGAACCCAGGACCTTCAAAATCAGAAATGCGTGAATAGCCTCAACAGCTCTCACTTGATACATCAATCGCCATCACATAATCCCTTCCATCTCCTTCAATTATTTTTATTTTGAGGATCTGAAAATTGGAATAGAAAGAAAATGGCTAGAAGTATAATGAGTAAAAATATAAAAAATTCAAAAAAAATGCATTATTCCCTGGCCGAAGCCAGATACCCTCCCACCCGCCGGTAAAGTCTCTGCCACTGAAAATGGGTCCAGCGTCCGCATTTCAGTACCTTTGTCCCCCAACGGGTCGCCGACCGCTAGACTAGCAGGGCAGAGTGGTTACTTGGAGACCTTTCTACTCAAATATAAGGGAGAGGTGGTTCCATGAATGGTGTATAATCAGTCAACTCCGAGTCCGAGTCTCTACTATTTACTCCAGGGCTATAACCCCTGTATTTAAATATAAAAAATAAAAATAAATCCAAGTCCTGGATAATCAATCCATTCCAAATGGAGTACATACTTCCACCTGGGATGTGGATCTAAGCTTTACCTAGGTATTCATGTCCAGGTGGTTATACTGTTACTCCGAGTCCGAGGTCTGTATCCCTGTAGTATACTGCAGACGGATGTCCGTACAGTAGTAGTACTTTCCCTTCAAGTTTTATACATCCATAATATATACATCCTGCTGCTTGTACTGGTAGTACTCCGAGTCCGTTGGAAGATTCAAGTTCAAGTTCGATTTAATCACAAGGCCATCTGGCAGTAAAGATATATACTAATAATAGTAGTAGTTCAATTCAACTTGAAGTTTCAAGTTCCACCGTGACCTGCCAGTAACACATGTGCAACATCTACTAATATTGTTCAACTCCGAAGTTCCAAGGTTCAAACTTGAAGTTCATACTATCTTGATCACTTTTTGTCTTTGAAAGTCCCATGTATCACATACATCAAGTGGGCACCAGTTGACAGCTCTATACCTATGAATGTGGAACAATAATATACCGATCCGACATTATATACGGTCTAGCTTTATTAGGCCTCGTCTTATCAGCGCTATCGATAACGCGGTCTGACCAGAAAAAAAGCTCCGCGTGAACTCCGCAATTTTACATGCGCATCCACCATGGCGCCTTCTTCTCGAGGAGCATTATCGCGAGCAATACAGCTTGGCTCCTTAAGATGGAATTACCAGCCGAGGTTTAGCCGACTGATTGTCACAAAGGCCACTTTTCCACGAACCCCCCCGGCCCGATCCCGATTCGTTGCGACACACGCCCAGAACCCGTGTCGCTCCTTTTCAACCAGCCGTGTCCAATACGAACAAAGTGTCTCCGAGGAGCTTGCAAATATTCTACCCGCATGTTGTCCTGGATGTGGAGCCTTTACACAAACAATTGAGCCCCAGGAACCAGGGTACTATAGCGAGACTCGGAAGCAAAGTCGAAAGTTGCTCGCCCTCCGAAGAAGTGAGGTCGAGAAAGAAATCGCAGATTCAGTATCAACAACGGAAAATATTGCAGAAGATGGAGAAATTCAATCTATCACGGAACAGGTTGTTCCAAAGCCCTCTCAGGGTATGTTATTTATCTAGCACGGTATTTGGTGGATTTAACTAACTGAATGTAAGATGTTGCACTGCCAGACAATGTTGCGTCCTCATCTTTGAGCTCTTCAGAGTCTGAAATCCGAACCACTCACGTTTGCGATCGATGCCATGACTTGATACACCACAATCAAGCAGTCTCGGCACCTAAGCCCTCCATCGTTTCCATTCGAGAGTATCTTAACGAGTCGCCTTACAAAAACAACCGAGTATATCACGTCCTCGATGCCGCTGACTTCCCTATGTCTCTTGTGCCGCGAATCCACGAGGCACTTTCGGCCATGGAGCAGCGTTCGCGAAATCGGCGATCCGCTACCGAGAAATACTTGCATGGACGGAAGCTACCTACGGTCAGCTTCATTATTACAAGATCTGATCTGCTAGCAGCTACAAAGGAGCAAGTCGACTCTAAAATGGAGTATTTCCGTACAGTCCTTCGCGAAGCCCTGGGAAGAACCGCGAAGGATGCTCGTATGGGGAACGTGCATATGATCAGCGCGCACCGAGGCTGGTGGACCAAGCAGGTGAAGGAAGAGATTGCAGAGCATGGTGGCGGGATTTGGGTTGTTGGAAAGGCCAATGTGGGCAAGAGTAGCTTCATTGAGGCATGTTTCCCGAAAGACTCCCGGCGTCTTGAGAATATGGCCGAGTGGACCGAGCAGCAATTGGAGCGGGAGCTCATGAATCAGCAACAAGAGGCTGCCACAGGGGCTCCAGAAGTGTTGGACCCTGATAGCCTTCTTCCACCTGCCCCCCGTGAAGATCTTTACCCTGTGCTTCCGGTCGTCTCGTCTATGCCAGGGACCACAGTTTCTCCGATCCGAATTCCATTTGGACGCGGAAAGGGAGAGATGATCGATTTACCTGGTATGGATCGAAGCGAGCTTGAAGACTTTGTATGTGATGAACACAAACGTGATTTGATCATGACAAAGCGTGTGAAGCCTGAACGGCATACAATCAAGCCTGGTCAGTCTCTCCTTCTCGGTGGTGGCTTGGTCCGAATCTCAGCAGTCAACCCCAATGATACTATCATGGCTGCTAGCTTCGTGCCACTTGAATCACACGTCACAAAAACAGAAAAGGCCATTGAGATGCAGACGGAGCAGCGGACTTATCCGGGCAAGATCCTCATGAGAGAAGGCACTGGCAGCTCTATCATCTCTGCTGGGAAATTTGATTTGAAGTGGGATATTACCGGTTCAAACCTGCCCACATCAGTCGCGAAGGCTATCAAAGACAAGGGTATCCCGGTTCCTTTCCTGCCGTATAAAGTTATGGCTGCCGATATTCTTATTGAGGGCTGTGGCTGGATTGAACTGAGCATTCAGATCCGCAATAAGCGCAGCCCTGAAGAGGAAACGGTGTCTCCTCAGGTCGAAATATTCACCCCACAGGGCGAATTCATTGGACAGAGAAGACCCATTGAATGTTGGAATTTCATGGCGGAGAAGCTCAAGGCTGATAAGCGGAAGAGACCTCGTACGAGACATCGTTATAGCTGAGATGTAAGTCGGGGACCTGCTTTATTAGACCACTGTACAATAGAAAATCGAGCATAGCGATTGGCGTTTCTTAGAGACCCATTTGAATTATACAAACATCTCCACAATTATGAGATCATCTAGGCTTTGATATCCATGTGGATAATCAAAAGTCAAAACTGGCCTTGAACTTGAAGAGTATACATTTCGATTTCGAATCTTCAACGCCTATACACCGTAAACTCAAGAGCCAAGAAAGTGATATAAGCAATCAAAAACCCCCAACCAGCAATCCGGCTTGGCCCAGTGAAGACAACCACCGTAAAGCACAATGCAGATAGCCAGAGGACCTGTAGATCAAACAAGACATATGTATCTTTGCCATCGACAGGAACCCCCGAGATAGCCACGACGCCAACACACAGTGTCAACAAGAAGATGTTACTCCCTGCTGTAGTCGCGACAACAACGCCTCCTTGCCCCCGGAATCCACTGATCACGGAGATGAATTTCTCTGGAAGCGTCGTGGCAAAGGCAATAACTGTAAGCCCGAAGACAGTCCCTGACAAATGAAGGTCGTCCGCTATAGCCCCTGCACTATGGGCAAGAATATACCCCGATATAGAAAGCGCAAGTAGACCAACGAAGAGATGGAAAACATGCTGATATAGAGGGCGTGGGAGCTTTGAATCGCCATCCTGTGGTCGTGAGTCTGTATTCTCCAAGAGAGGTGAACTTTCTGAAACTGTTGAGTTATTTTGACCGGATAATCGTTCTTCGTCGTTTATAGAAGTCTCTTCATCTCCATCACTATCGCTATCGCTGTCACTGTCCGACATTTCAGGTGCCGAAGTAACTCCCTTATAGATGGCATATCCAATCGAGAGAAGATAGATCACAAACGAGGCAATAAGCAGAATACCCGTGACTCTATTCAGTTGGTCGGCCAAAGCCAGAGCGACAAATAGTGTAGTGATGCAGAGTAAAATACTGCTGTAAATCTTTGCGCTAGCATCGAATTGCATGCCGCCAGGTTGGCATAAGAGACCCAGTGAAAAGGCACCAAGGATATTCGAAATTGCAGAGCCCATCACATTGCCTAGCGCTAGTGGGGTACGATGTTGCAGAATTGCTGCAATGACCACGGCGAGCTACATTTCGTTGATCAGTCGTCTTCATGAGGCTATAAAAGGCGGAGGAAGTATAGTAGAGTACCTCTTCGTACTCGGCACCAGCTGTTAAGAGAGCGATAAGGGTGGGCGAAATGCCCAGGCGTCGGCCCACGATAACTGTATGATCCAGGAATTTATCTGCCCCATAGTCAAGGACGAAGATTCCAGCTATAGAAGTGGCTATATTGAAGCAGAGGTTATCCCAATCCATGTGGGCGATGTTATGAATACTGAGACCTGGATTGGTGGTAAAGAAGAGGCGGGAAAGGATAATTCAATGTTGGAGCCTTAAGGGGTGTCGGGTACGGACCACTTAACAGTAGTTCTCAGTTATGGATGTTTACCCCCAATTCTCTAAGGCGTGAGGATAAAACTACCTAGGTACTAGTATGTGCTGTAATTGGGACGAACTGAATAGTGATACTATATTAGAAAATTACTGAATCGTGCACTGGGTTTCTACCAAGAGCCTGGGACCAGAAATGTAGAACTAGGAAAATGCATTTTTGTTTTCTAAGCATAAGCACATAAGAAGACGTGACTCTTTATCACCATTAACTGGGCACATCTACTACTCAATATTGGCAAAGGCGAAAGGGTCCAGTAACGCTGGCCACTATACGGCAAGGCATAGGGGCCACAGCTCGCATGCCTATTTAGGCCTAGTTTTTAGACCGCTTCCAGCACCGCCTTTGCATGTCTTGTAATCCATACGTCGTAATGAGTTTGGAAGACATGTGTGCTTAGTTCTTGGAGTACTCCGTACTAAAAGTGAATTATGAAAATATTGAGAAAGAGAGAGCCTTGGAAGTTGGAAGTTGGAATACATACCTAGGTACTTTTTGGGCGGTAAGATTCTGCCAATTATCCATCCTTCTCCTGGTCTTCCCCTTAACAACTACGTAATACCAATTCAAACCTATCTTCACAGTGCTATTCTCCATTATAATATGATCTTAGACATACATATAGCCTGAATTACTATAGCACCTATTTGATAGGATCTATTTTTCCTGGCTTATAACCCCTTAGATGGTCAAGCTTGATTACCAACCTTGCATGGTGGATGTGGGTGTGTAATTGTATTTCCAGTCATTTTATTTTCTGCTGCTGAAACTACCTAGGTGCTCCCAAATACCCATGGATGTGAGCTGTGGCCTCTACGACTTGCTCGCTCTCGCAAACGAGAGTTTCGTTTGCCTGAGCGGCAGCCTTTGGAGCGGGATCGGGTCGGGGGTCTGGAGTGCTGAATCGGGTACCCCACACAAGACCGCAAGCCGCTTCACTAATAGCGCGAGTTGTTGGGCGTCAATAAGAGCGTGATGGTTTCTGCCAGAAAGAGGATGGCCTTCCCCCATAACGACGGGAAAGAAAATCGGCAACCTTAGCGGGAAAACTTGGCCTTCGAAAGCTGTCTTTCCTAGAATCCTGTCCAGGTTGTGTCTGAAATCCTGCATGACCAAGTAGCACCTGTCGTTTCCAGGCAGCACTCCCGAATGACCAGCGGCTTCTAGCCAGTCTCACAAGTGAGATAGATCGAACTTCGATTTGGCCCAAGAAATGAAAATCATTTTTTTCGGGCCGAGGAAAGAGTTTCCTCAGTTTCGCACTCACCTGCTCGACAGACATACAGCCGTCTGCCGAGGACAGAGCGCGAGCTTTGCGCTCGAATGTGACCTGCAGGATTTCATTCATGCTGCCCGGGTCTGCTGACGTCCTCCGTGTCTCTTCGCGACTGAGGATCGTACCGCAATTTAGAAGTTTCCTTCCCTCTAGGTCACATATACCCACTTGAAAGACTCGACCGGTGCTTACACAGGCCTCCAGATCTATACACACAGCCGAGGGCATCCCGAATTTCTCCAGGATGCCGCTTTTTATCCTCGAGAGGACTTCTTTGCCAAGCAATGAATCCTCCCTCAATTGCCAAGGATTGCTCGAAGACCTCTGAAACTGGCTTTGGAGGTTTATCATAATCTCTGGTCCGACGCCAGAGTCCTCAGTGAATTGGCATGCACTCTCTAGAATGTGGTCCCGGCAGAACGCGCTCGATGCCAAGATTTGTGAATTGCAGTCACGGAATCTGCAATAGACTTGACCTGGTTCCTTGTCCAGGTGGAGTGCTTTAGCCAGCTTGTAAAACTCCACGCGAGATCTGCAAGTCAGACATCTCCTCGAAACACTCGCTGAGTCCGTTGAATAACTGTGAACCAAGACAACATTCTCCTCTGTGAAAATGGTGTTGTGCGGGCAAAGTGCGGAAACCCTCAGTTGACGTACTAGACCCGGGCCCGTGCACCTGTTGCCTACGATGTTCAGTATTTTTCGTCAAACTTCAGGATCTATGTGAACCAAAATTAGCGCCCATACAGTCGATGTGGGGATTCTTTGGCTTACCCTGCTGCAGAAGACTTCTTCCATCAAGGGATAGGTCGCTCGACTTGATCTTGGATCGATGTCCGAGTATTGTCATCGCTTCAAGGATCTCTTCATCAATCAATGGGTTATCATCTTGCCAATCATGGTCTTCGACATCTCCATAGTCATCGCTGGCGACCATTTCTTCCTCCTCAGTTACATCGCATTCATTAACCTGACGACCACTTGGATCAATCTCAACCTAGGGCTCACTGTTAGTACTGCTCATGTAGAAGCTTTCTGGATGTCATATAATGATGAACATACTCACACAGGGTGCCACTCAACATCATTGAGATGCCCATGCTTTTTATGGGTCTTTTTGTGACTATTGATCGCCGCGTTTGTCATCAACAAATCTTGAGCATTGGCGACCCACCACGAGAATGGGCATTTCCACCGAGAGTAATGATCTGCACTATGCAGGCCTCTGCTGTTGACGACTCAAAGGTTGCGTTACAACCTAACTTCTCAGAATGTCGACAAACCCACACCACGTCCATATGCTCGCTGAGATAATGGATAAAGACAAACTCTTTCGTCGTCGATGTGAAATCACAGTCTCTATCTTGGCACATCCATATTCCGTGTTTTTTCTCGGGCTGAGGGAGGTCTTTTCTGGCGGGCACTTCCCTTCCGTCCCGAAATCTCACTTTTCGGTGATCATTTTCATTGGCGGCCATTAATTGAACACCTATATTGGGGTCGAAATCCTCAGGGTGGCGCTCTTTTACGTGATCTTCTACTTTCCAGGGTGCGCTGAAAACCCAAAAACACCCTTTTGTGGCTCTCGTGGGACATTGGAAGCGGAATTCCCCCGGTCCCAAATGGGCACGAGGGCTTGTTTCCTCCATATGATTGAGCTTATCCTGGAGCAAGTCCGCTGCAAAGACGTCATTAATAAGGTCTCCAAATATGAGTGTTCATGGGCAATTGAACCACAAACCTGATGAAAATCCATGTCTCAGGTGCTCTTCGCACTTTCCTAGCTCGAAAAGAACCACATTGCATCCATCTTCGGGGCAATGGTACTCCCCAAATCACATTTTGTGCTTTCTAAATGCATGGCCAAGTGCGTAGTCTTCCGTTTCGAACATTTGTCTGCAGTTTGTCTGCTCAGCGAAGAGGCATGGCACGGTCCTCTCCCATATATCCCAGGAACTGAAACCGTGCTTTTTTCTGGTATGCCTATCTGCGCCTTCTTGTGAGACGAACTTCTCGATGCATTCCTCTTCCTCGGCGAGGGGGCATGGGACGGTCGCTTCTTTACCATTCCGATAGATGGGTTCGTCGCCACGCTCTTGTACAGGATGCGTAATCAAATTGTCTTGCTGGTCACGCATCTCTAAAAGGCCATCCTTATTGAGGGAATATCGGATATCCGCTTTGTCAATTGATGAAATTTCAGACTCCTGAATGTGCTCATGCTCTTCTTTGGAATGATGAATGGCTTCGGCTTCCAAGGTGGACGTTTTGTCGCAGATGTCCGTTTCCTCAGATAGACATGGAGAATTTTCTCGTTCTATTTTCGCTCTTTTTTGAGGAGATGAACTCACATCTCCTTCCATGGCCCTTTTTTGACCGCGCACGATCATTTCTAGAATCTCGCCATAACCATGCTTTTTTTTGCATGCGAATTGGCGCCACCTGTGTCAGAGAACATTTTACTGCAATTGTGTGACAATTTACACGGACAAGGAAATTTTCCTGATCCTGCTTTCGCATGTTTCCGTCGTGGGGACGCGGGCACATCTGCGTCAGAGTATTCATGCTCTCGTTTAGCATGGTTGATCGCAGCATATTTAGTGCTGAAAGTTTTGTTGCAACTGTCTTGCTCTCTGCATGGACAGAGATGCTCTCCTTCTCCTCTCTTCGCGCTGTCTGGACGCCACGGCGCGCGCACAGGAGCCTCTGGGTCAATGTAATTGTGCGTTTCACAGCATGAGTAATGGCACCGCCTTTTTGAGCGAACGTTCGGTCACAATTGGGTTCAATACTGCAACGACACGGATGCTCTCCTTCTCCAACCTTGGCTCTTTCCTTAGGGGGGATTCGGGTTCGTCCACTGATGCTTTTCTTCAGCATGAAGGATGGCACCCCATCTCTTAGCGTACACTTTATCGCATTGTTCTTCTTCTTTGCATGGACAAGGCCATTTTCCTTGTCCTCTCTCCGCTATTTTTCGAGGCACCGAGGCTTTCGTCATGCTAGAGCTGGCAAAGGAATTGCAATGAGGCGAGAGAAGAACCGATCACTTGGTGGCGGGAGAGAGAGAGCGAGATCGAGAACAGGAGTACATAGGTGGGCAGGTGGTTTGCTAGTTGGTAGCTAGTATCGAGAGACCTGGAGTGGGGATGGAGTGAGGAAGAAGGTGATACTGAGAAGGACTATATGGGCTACACCCACTGGTCTCATCAAGTAGTTGTTATTTTTACCTACCAAGAGCTCCCAGAAGCTATAGACTGCTAATTTACTGTAAGACTCTATGATACCAGATCATATATACCTTCCTAATTAGGATATTTTAGTTATTTCTATGCTAGTAGCTAGCACTAGCTGCTGGTAGCTACAGAGGTAAGTGAGAATAAAGTGGGAGATAAGTCAGAAGTAGAAACACTAATTATTAGAAGCTACCTACTGTTAGAACTTAGGACCAATGCCTAGGTTGTCCACACGTTCCCTGTAGAGATATCACCTTCCTCTCTCCTACATATATGACACACATAGATACATACATATTCCATCACATCCTCCTCCCCCTCGAAAACACTAATAGCTATTACACCCTCGGAGAATTTTGAATGACTTAGCTATCTGGTCAGCCTCTAAGGTAGAGTACTAGAGTCTGGTAGACTTAGGTAGTATCTAATAGATGCTACTAGTAGTGATACTTCCAAGGTTAAGAGTAATAAGACCTGAGAGTGCTATTAGAATTAACGAAATCTGACCTTGGGAATCTTTAGAGAATTTTAATAAATTTGAAAATTCAAGAATCTGACTCAGTTCTTGTAGATAGGATATTTTAGTGAAGATTTCTGAAGGTAGTTACTACTAATTACTACTAGTACTAATAATTATTAAAAAGTATCTATTATTAATTAATATAATAGAAATATTAATAACATTTGAACAAACTTAGAGGCTTCCCTATCTCTCAGAACGATCCTTTTGGGTCATCTTAATAGTTTGAAAGCTTCTTGCACAGTATCGTACCTGGGCATGATAGAGCGTATTTGAAGGTTCAAGTTCGTCAGCAAGATATTCTACGATAAGCGTCTACAGACATCTGGACTATAGAATCCATTCTCAAGATAATAGAGCGAAGGCAGTTATCTAAGTTTGTGATAGCGAGATAGACTCCAGGGCTGCTAGATATTCGTTCTTCGTCTCGCCCGGTAGATGGGTCGACCGAACTACGCCGAAAGTATGGCACATCGCTGCATCAACCTCGGAATCACTATTCAATCCAGGATATGTCAATGAGATAGCTGATATGAGTCCTACTCTTCTTAAAGCAGTCCCCGGGGCCTCGTTGTCACAAGATTCCAAGGTTGCATCCTAGTACTTTCCTTCCACAACGAGGAGCGAGAGCTTATCAATGCGCCTTTACACAAGCTTCAAAATGTTGGCCTTGATAAAGTCCGCATCAGAATTGTGGGATACAGAATTTAGAGAACTCTCTGTTTAGATACATCCCATGGGAGTGATGACTGTCGGAAGAGTACGTGGACCCCCGTGCCCTTGCAGTGGTGGCACATCTACGTTAGATTTTGGTTGAGACCCTAGCTAGAACAAGAAAATGCATTTTTATTTTCTAAGCATAAGCACATAAGACGTGACTCTTTAGATTGACAACAGGATTTGAATCCTTATAATTCGCCATTAACAGGGCAGATCTACTCAATGTTGGTGAAAGAGAAGGTAGGCTGGCCAGGGACGGCGTTTTCAGCTGAAAGGCCCTCCTTCTTCTCACCAGTACCAACGACCTCACCAGTCTTGCCACCCTCATCAACAGCAACGATCTCAACCTCCTTGTAGCCAGCAGAGCGCTTCAGACCACCAACCAGCTGTGACAGAATGGCAAACTCGTCGAAGGGAAGCTTGCGATCAAAGACAGTCTGGGGAGCCTCGCCACCCTGGACCAGACGGCGCTTGAGACCCTGGACGAAAGGCATGGCCTTCTTCATCTCACCGAGCTTGCCGATCTTGGCGTTGAGCTCCTTGTCGTTGATGGAGAGGGTGAGAGAATCGAAGGCATCGCGAACAAGGTCGATATACTTCTCTTGCCAGACAGGGTACTTCTTGGCAGCGTAGATGGTAACCTTCTTAGCCTTGCGGGGGTCGAATGCCAGATTCTTACCCTTAGACAGACGCTTGGTGAAGTTGGCCTCGGCGGAGAGGATGGCAGAGGCAGTGCCGCGAACGTACGCCTGAGCGGCGGAGAGCTCAGCAGAGGGCTCGGGCACAACGGGGAACTTGGCAAAGTGAATAGACTCGGACTGAGTTTAATGTTAGATACGAAATACCAAAGGGAATGTGGGGGTAAGATATAAACAAAGAGAACTAACCTTCTTCAGAACCTCAAGCCAGACATACTCGGCCCAGTGAGGAGCAATAGGAGCAAGCATAAGAGCCTGGAGCTCAATGTAACGCAGGATAACATCGCGGTGCATACCAACGCCAGAGGCAGCGGTAGACTCACGGTAGGAGTCACGAGCACTGACCAAGTCGAAAAGACCTGACTTCAGAGCAAGCTTGAAGTTGGTGCTGGTGTGAAGTTAGTAAGGTGTTGTAAGGAATGTAGCTTTTTTAAGCTTGGCTCTTTGCAACTTACTCCTGGTAATGCTTCTTGGTTTCGCGGACCATGGTGTTGATGTCGTTGTTGAACAGCTTGTCGGCGAATTCCTCGGCAGGGCCAGTTCGCAGGGACTCGTCCTTGGTGACCTCATCAATCCATTCCTTCAAGGTATGGAGACGCAAAATGTTACTGTTGGCAACAGTCTCCTCGAAGTTGGCATCCTCGATACTGTCACCAGCATCGGCGAAGGCAATACGAGTAGCATCGGCACCGAACTTGTCAACGGCATCCTTCAGGGTGAGGAAGTTACCGGTACTCTTACTCATCTTTTCACCGTTCAGCATCAGATGACCGTTGGCACGAACACCACGGGGCCAGTACTCAGGCGGGAAAAGTGCAACGTGGATGTAGAGGAAGAAGGTCAAGTGATTCTGAATGAGATCCTTGCCGGAGACACGGACATCGAGAGGGTACCAGTACTCAAACTCACGACGCATCTTCTCCAGGGATTCCTTGTTGATGCCACACTGGGAGATCAGGTCGTCGCTGATTTCCCGACGGGTGAAGATGTAGTCCCAGACCTCATCAATCATCTGATCGGCGCTGATATTCAGGGGACCAGGGGTCTTTCCGTAGCGATCACCATGCAGAAGGTGAGCAATGGTGTAGTAGGCCATGTAGACAGTACTGTCACTGAGAGACTCGACCAGGAACTGTTCGTCCCAAGGCAGCTTAGATCCAAGACCGTAAGTTCTGGCACAAGCCCAGCGGTTGAGCCAAGACAAGTTCTTCTCGAAGCCGTTCTTAGTCTCAGGAGCGTAGGTGTTAAGGCCGTTGACAACGTAGTCGAGGGTATCCTGCTGCCATTTGGCATCGTTCTCACCGTAGTTCAAGAACCATTGACCCAGGTAAGCAACAACACACTCATCGCCACTACGGCTGACAACCTTGCCCATGGGGTCGGCGAAGGGGAAAGCATCTCCACTCTCGTAGAGGGCAGCCCGGATCTTGTCCTTGGCAGCGCTGACAGCCTCACCCTTGTACTCACCAACAATCATAGTACCCTTGTAGAATCCCTCCATGTAAGCCAGATCCTTAGCCTTGGCCAGCTGGTTGACATCCTTGGGAGAGTTGATCTTCAGCTCCTTGACAAGAGTAGGAGCAGTCAAATTACCGTAGGTAGGGGTCTCAATGAGGGGGTGGATCTCCTTCTCGGCCCACTCCTTCTTGATGCCGTAGTAATCGGCCTTCTTAATCAAGTCCATCAGGGTGGCATAGTCATCGGGGCTGTCGGAGGGGACAGAAGTGACAACACCAGTACCCTTGGAGGCTGAGACACCATCCATAGGAAGAATATAGACACCCTCGGTGTGGAAGGACAGAGGGGCGTTGACCAAGGTACCAACAAAGTCGGAACCAGGGGCCTCAAGGACAAGAGGCAGCTGATCCTGGGTCTTGGGGAAGTTGCCGGCCTCGAAGAAGTGGCCCTGGAAAGCCATGTTCCAGGCAGCGCGCTTTGTGACAACGATGTACTCCTTCTCCTTCAACTTGAACAGACCGTACTTGATCTTGGGGCCAACGAAACAGTTGGTCTGACCGTACATGGTCTCGGGACGCAGGGTCGCGGGAACAAAGTAGACCTTGGCATCCTCCTCGACCTTGCCCTTGACAAGCTCGGCGATCTTAGGAGACCACTCCTTAACTTGCAGCTTGATAGCAGAGTATTCCTGGGGGCCAACACCCTCACCCTCGGTACGGTCGTGATCCATACACGGCTGGCCGTCTTTCGCGCTGAAAATGCAGTACCGTGACCCGTACAGAATCTTTTTCAACTGAACGAGGCGGTTCATCTGCCAGCGGACAAAAGCGTCATAGTAAGGGTTAGCATCGGTGGTGACAAACTGACGGCGCCAGTCGACACGAGCACCCATGCTGTCAAGATCACGGATAGCAAGAGGAGGGAAGTGGTTCAACCAGTGGTTAGCATCAGCAAACTTGTGGATATCCTCGATAGGGACACCAATGGCCAGCATGATCTGGAACTGGTACTTCATCTTCACAGTCTTGGCCGCGGCCTTGCTCTTCTTGCCAGAGAACTTCTCGGCCTGTTCCTTGACCTCCGGCTTAGACTCCTGGGTAGGAGCAGGGGGAGCAGCAGCCTCTTCCTCCTCCTTGTATCCTTCAAAGTTCTGACCGAACATCTTGACCTCATCACGCAGCTTGTCGGCACAAGCCTTGATAGGCATACCAGTGCAGTGGAAACCAAGAGGGAACAGAGCACGCTTGCCCTCCATGCGGGCGAAACCAGCCATGAATTCAACTTTGCTAGCAGTGAAACTATGACCAGCGTGCAGGGTTCCGTTCATGTAAGGGTAGGCCATGGTACCGAAGAACTTGGGGTGCTTCTCACGCATCTCGTCAGCAGTCATGGAGCCCTGGGGGACCTCCTCGAACGAGGGAGCATCGACCTCGAAGACCTTGTTCTCCTTCCATTGTGCTTGGTACTTCTTCTCAATTGCGATCAGGGTATCACGCTTCTCGGTCTAGAAAGAGAAGTGTATAAAGTCAGCAATAGTTTACTCCAAAAAATGAAGAAAAATAAATTTTGGAGACTCGATGGAGGGGGAGGGGCAACTGAACATTTTCAAGCTTAAGAGTGTTCTTAGAGCCGTTGCTCGGGTCGAGCGCAGCAGATGCAGCGGCGGCCGCCATGATGTTATCTGAGCAGAATATTGCCCTGTGCAAGACTCTCTGAGGGGCAGAGAATGGATCGCGGGGGAATATAAAATCGATAATCGATAATGAGTGGGTGAGTCAGGTTGGTAATACTGCCGTATTTGGGCATTGATCTATACCGTGTATTTTAAAATCCTTACCGTACGACGAAAAAGAAGAGACTAACAAGGCAAAATTTCCACTTTCTACGATAATAAAGAAGGTTTACTTACTGATAAATATTTCAGATTGACATTTAAAAGATTGAAAGACTTAAATTATCTCTGTAGTATCAATTGAGATCTAGTCTAGTATATAGAAATTATACGTCGTATCGCCGTATCGGAGGTCACGTGCGAGATATCACGGAGCAACTTTGAGACGCAACAGTTTCCGCAACAAATTTCCCCAGATCTACGAGACCACCGAAATCACCATATTCGAAACCAAATCAAGTGACTTAACGCACCCATAAACTCCGCCAACCCTCAACCGATCTTTATTATATCCAAGCTAGCCGCTCCGCGGCCAAATCTGCCAATATGGTGAACTTCTTCAAGCGGATGCGGAAGCTCAATACAGTATGCAATCCTGACCAGGGCAATTGTCCCTCTCTGTCTAAGAGGCTCAAACAATGTGAAATTTTATTTGGCTAACCGAAATCTTTTTTTCTACTTACAGAAAGTAAACCACCCCTACCTCATCCCATGCAATTTCCTCATCTCCGGAATCTTGAGCCTCAACCCTCGACATAAATCCCAAGATACTGAAAATCCATATGGATGCTGAAGCGCATTGGACCGAGACAAGAAGGAAAAAAACATCCAAGCCAAAATACGAGAACTAACAATCCACCTACAATCAGATCCTCGAAGTCCGAACAGGCGTCGGCGCAGCCCTCTTCCCCAACGCAGCCACTGCCACAAAAGAATTCCCCACGGTTACTCGCCTGCACCTCACATATGCCCGCAAGATCTACAACGGCCACCAAGGCGCGCGACACTTCTGGCGCCGAGCTCTTCCCCGACTGAAATACCACAACCCCAGCGTCGCGATGACCGTGAAACCAACAGACGAGCAAGATGGTCCCGCCGTGCTAACGGTGTACTACTCCGAGCGACTGAGCAGCACAGCGCCTGGAATCGCAGGCTCAAAGCCTGTTGTTGATAAGTACGCGCCTGCCCCGGAGGCGAACGAGAAGAGCGCTGTGATCGATTTGAAGAACTTGAACTTTGAGGAGATCTGGAGACGAGTTCAGGCTTCAACTGGTGCTAAGGACTTTGTGCCTACGGCTGATGATGAGGCTAATGCGAAGAATTTGGCGGATATTACTGCTCGGGCTCCTGGGGATCGTCAGCGCATTAAGTCTATTCGGCAAGCGAAGAAGGATCAGGAGCGTATGCTTGCTGAGGCGAGAGGTGAGGTTGAGAAGCAGTAGTTGACATATCCGTGTGTGGATATGTTCTGTTTTACCATACTGGGTTTCTGTTTCCTGTTGAGGCGGAAATCCACCTGTAGCATAGCTTGTTATCTGTTTCTTCTCCTTGTCTAATATACATTTGATCTAGAGGAAAACTTGACATTTTACTTCTTTTCCTCCCAAAGACATCCATCATTGTTTGAGCCGGTTTGACATCAATTGTACTGTCTGATCCTTCATATTCTTCAATTATTTGGGAACTATAAGCCACATTTGCTCATCGCTTGCCACTAACCGTGGACAGAGCGGAAGTATTCAATTTGAGTGTCATAATTTTTGAATTTTCATTGAAAGGTTGATCACTTATGACTGGTATAGAGCTGATGGAACTCAAATCGGAAAATACACAAAAGGCCTAGTCTCGAACTGGGTGACAACATGTAGCCTATTTGAAATAATATGAAAAAGAAGTCAAAGCAGAGGCAAACAGGTCATCAAATCACACACCAAAAGAGGTATGTAGAAAATCGAGGGCTCGAAAGGGAACCAAGATATGAGGGCAATGTACATCATGAGAAAAAGAGATAAAAGGTGCGACAGCATAAGATGCTCAGGGGTCTACAACCAAGAAGACATGAACAACCCGCCCAGAGTGATATATGTCCAACACGTCGACCTAAAAGCCAAAAATATCCACAAACGCCTGTTCCGAACTTATGCGTGATCTGGATTATAATTGGTTCCACCAAGCATGGCCTGCCCGGTGGAGGCAGACGGAGTCGGTGTTGTTGGGCGCGGTTGTCCTAAGTTGGGTTGCGCTAGTGATGATGGGCCGGCATTTGAGCGACCGCCTGATACAGCAGCTTGTAGACGTTGGTCCAACGCCTTGAGTGCTAAAGCGCGGCGGCGCTCAGCCTCTTCACGCTTACCACGAGAGCTTCCTCCACGTTGGTTTGTAAGAAGAGTCGGTAGACCGGCTTCCCCTCTGGCCATGACTTGTTGATTTCCAGATGCGATATCATCCTCCGAAAAGGGTCTCAGGATCTTGACCGCCACCAGCACAGCATAGATCTGGTCCGCGACAAAAGCGATTGGGGGTTGCATCACATCGGGGAAGAGGCAGGCGAATGCGAAGGTCTCGCTGGCGTCACCCTTAATACCCATACCGTTGGTTGATGTTCCAGTCAGGTCGGGCTGCTGCTTATAGAAACGGAGGTACGTCCAACTAGTCAGGATGCCAATCCAAGCCAAGACGGCGGCGGTGTCCGTTCCTATAATAATTCCACTGAGGGCGTTGAGAAGGAGGAAGAGGGCCGGGAAATGCTTGACGCGCATTTTGACCAGACCCTTGAAGATAGCGACATTGTGTTCCGGCACAAGTTGCTTGAATGCGACGAGGAAGGAAGCCTGGATGGCAACACCACCACAGATCTGGGTAAGACTAGATACGAGAAACGGAAATGTAAGTCGAAGGCAAGGAATGAACTTTAGAGAAAGAAAAACCTACCCTCTGGTTTGCTGGCCAGGCATAGCACCCCAGATGAGGTAAATAGGAATAATCACGGCATTAGGGATCAGGGTGACAGCTGCGATAAACTTGCTGAACTCCCGGGAGCCCCAAGCACGCTCGAGATACTTGCCACCATAGAAGATGGTAGCCGCATTCAGGAGCACTGTAAAGATATTCTGCTCAACGATGGTGGCAGTTATCAGAGTCCAAGGGTAGTAGAAGAAACGAGAGGGAACGAGAGTCAAGTAGGGAATGAGTGGAGTGGATTGAACGGCGCCGGTGTAGTCGAGTTCACGCCATCGAGCAATGTTGTAGAGTAAGGAAAAGGCGAGAAGGCTAACAAGGAATAGGCGGGTAGCAGGGGGAATATTGACTCGAATGGGCATCTTGGCCAGGAGCTCGCGCGGCGAGACCGCAGTGTTGTTGTAGACCGCGGAGTTGAAGATGGAGGAAGCGACACGATTAGCGGGAAGTTGACTTGGGCGGATCCACCAGTCCCAACTTAGAGAGAACTCCAAGTGTTAGCTCTCCGCTATATGAGATTTTTTGCAGTTTAAATTGTCCAGATGTCTTTGTCAAAATATCAGGTGACTTAATTTGTGTTCTAAGATTCTATGAATATACAATTTTTAGATAGTCACTCACTAGTAATACTTCCAAGGTTGTAGCTCATTTGAAACAACTAGTGCACTCCACGTCACATACATAGTATATTCGCCGGCGGCAGTATTTGCCCTTGTAATTTGTTAAATTGAAGCATTTGGTCTTTATGATGATTTAATAAATATAAGACTCCAGAGCTACATCCTTGGATGCTCCTTGTGTGGCTATTTAGTACTACTACTATGTAGTAGTCAATATCGAGGCCCTGTACTACCTACTAACTCCGTACTTACCACTCTATAGGTATTTACGCATCAATCAGTACCAGGCTGATCTTCAATGTCCCAGTCACTTTTGATTTGCATGCTACAATCTGGCTGGAATAGCCTGAGGCCAATTAGGATCCACATCGTACATCTCTTTATATTTCGTGCATCTTGATGCTTGGCTGTTCGTACTCATGCACTGGGTGTGGACTAACATATATCATGTCAATATTTGAATACCAGAGTGCTCAACCTTGGAAAAATGACTCGAGGTTTGAATATTTGCCGGCATTGGCACTAATTCAATCTAAAGTATTCTAATTATTGAAGTATTTAAATGCCAATAATCTTGAAACAGTAGGTAGAAGGGCCTAGGCATTAATGTTTGAATGGGCACCTGGGGTCTGTGGCCTGATATACTAGGCCCCCAATATCGATCTAGTTACGTTAGAACCTTGGAATCATTCAACAGTTAGATTGCCCAGATGATGCTTCCAGCAACTCCATGTATTTCTGTCACCATGAGCAGTGACATATGCAGGCTTATCATATTGATAAAAGAGAGTAAATAATTGATTCTTCCATGTATACAATTTGAGGTCCATGGGCCAATAATAGTGTAATTGAAATGTCAATGTATATACTAAGTACTAATTTAGTTGGTCAAGGGTTAGTGTTAGTCAGATTCTTGTCCTGACCTGGGAGATGGGCGTCATTCCAAGTTCTATCTTATAGATCCCATGTAGATAATATCTCCTCTGATGAAGATATAGTAAAGTGAATTTGAAGGATTAAATTTACTCAGATAAAAAAGAGACTTTAAATCTTATTTCTTCAAAAAGATACCTATATTCATCGCAAATATACAGTAATCCTCAGCGGGATCTGGAATGCGCTATGATCCACCTTTTGCCGCCCTGCAGTGTTGCCGGGTTCGGGTGCGTGCAGCTGGTGCACGCTACTAGTAGAAGAACCAGAAGTCCCGCTCTAATGATAGTATCATTAAAAAGAAAAAGATCTAGATCGAACATTTGAATATAAGAATAAAATCTATTTATCTATATACATTTTTAATCTATATAGTCTCTACACTAGAATCCTGGTGGAGTCGTCATAAGCGAGTGGCCGGTACCAGAACAGGCGACCCCAGAAGGAAACGCCACATCGGATTGGCTTGCGGTCATTTCAAGATGGAGCAATCAGTGGCTAGTGCGCTTAAGCTCCTCTCCATCTTCAATTTATCTCGTCCCTTTTTCCTTTCTCCCTAGATCCTGTCTTTGATCTCCGATCCTCAAAGTTCCGCCCTAGGTGGAACCTCGTTCATCTCCCACTCCTTCTCCCTTTTCTTTCTTCCACCCCCAACTTTCCCACTTCCCAACTCCACATTGAAAAGGAAAAAACGTGCACCGACACCTCCAAGACTGAGCGCGTCTTTCTTTTTGGGGATCAGCCTCCCCTTTTTCCCGTTTCTTTTTCTCCGGCTCCTGCTCCACATTGAAACTTCAACACCCCAAACCTCCACTTTTTTTGATTTTCCCTATTCCCTTGCGGAAGCAACCCCATCACATCTGGCATGTTCCGCCTCTGAGTGGTCGCACATGTAATCATGGCACAACCCGACCTTACATCGCATCACGTCAACTACCTAATATGGAGGTACGAGCTCTCTAGTCCCGTCTAATGCTATCCGAACTAACCGTTTTATCCAGGTACCTTCAAGAGTCAGGTTAGTAACTGGTGTCATCATTTTTGTCTTTTCATTTCGGTTCTCTTCCCCCTTTGTATCACCATCGCTTTAGACCCATTCAAGACCAAACGCGCATTAATACAAACAACTGGAGGCAACCTTCATTTGGTCTGTTTTGACATCGCTCATTCTAATCTCGTGCTACAGGCCATGGTGAAGCTGCTGTATCACTGCAGCGTGCGTGGTATCCAGACCCACAAAGTCTACCCTTTGCGCGCCACATCAAAACCCATGCGCTGGTCTCGCTTGTGCAAAAAGGTTTGCAGTATCATGAGCTGGAATCCTCGATTGACAAGGTAGGTTGGACGCGACAACTTTGAATTTGATACCCGTTGAGGCCCCCGGCCTCACTGGATTATTTAGCCCACGGAGATTCCTAATCATTATCAACAGGAGGGTAATCCCATTACTTTTACACCAGACGACAATTTCTTCGGCCCAGAACCCTTTGAAGCGACTGCCTTGAAAAGCCGGGAGACCGTCACCGAGGCCCCCGCGCCAGAACCCGCACCTGAGCGCATCACCAATGGCCATGCGCCTGAGACTCCCGGAGAGAATCAAAATAATGAAACCAATGGCGATTCTATGGAAGTCGACGCCGAGACTGAGAGCAAGCCAGGTTCACCTATCCCGGAGCCGGTGGATGGGGACGGGGATGTGAGCATGGGGGCCGATGAGGTGCCTCAGGAACCCACTCTCAGCACGGGCACCAGCATTGGCGTCCAGATCTCCCCCGCCAAGGCTGCTGATTTGACACCCGACACCGCCTGCCTAGACCTTGATGATCACGTGGTCAATGCTATTTGGCGACCAGCAGACCCAACTATACTAGTAACTCGAGGAGAGTCTCGATGTAGCTTATGGCAATTATCGTCGACATCAGAACCCGTTCAGAAGAAACTTCACGACTTTAAAACAGGTGGTTATGTATCCGCGGTTGCCTGGGATGGAATCGGAAACAAATTGGCCGTGGCATCGATTCGGGACACAAAGGGTGCAATCACCATGTACAACTCCGAGGGCAATGTGGTCGACCTTCTTCCGGATCTTCCTCGAATAATCAGTGGCTTACATTGGGCCGAACATAGTCCTCAACTGGTGATTGTGGCCTCCGACGAACGAACCTCTGAGCTGGCACTCTGGGATGGCGCCCAACAACCAGACATGTACCCACCACCCCAGGTCGTAGACGGTCACATCTATGATCTGGTCTGGGTCGGTCGAAATGACGTCTTTGCTTGTGGTGACGGGGTGGTTTACCACTGTGAAGTGAACCAAAATATTCGACTGGTTAAACAGTTCAAGTCCCAGGACAGCGAAATTGCGTGGACGTTCCTTCGCTGTACTCAGGCTTCGAGTGGTCCAGTGGCTGTTGTGGCCGGTTCTACAAATCTATCGATCTGGATCCCAACCCACGATATTCTAATCGAGAATGCGCACCGGGAGGCCATCACAGGTATCGATATTCGTCCTCAGTCGCCTGCCCAGCGACGGAGCTCCTCGATCACAGGGAAAACCGTGATTACGATTGCTTCATATTCGATTGATGGTGCCGTCAACGTGTGGAATGTCGATCTGGACCTGAAGGAGTACAAACGAGTCCATCATCTCCGTGTAGGTTCTAACACGCCCGCTCTTGCGGGTGGGTTTTCACCGGATGGATATGCCCTTGGCGCAGTCAGCAAAGATCGTCTCTTCATTTGGAATGCTGAGCGCGGCAGTGAACCCATGTCTGTATGGGCTGCTCCAGGCTCGGGCGAGGTAAAAGAGGAAGCCGATTCTGCAACAAACGGACAGAATGGCCATAGCAACTCAATTGATGCCGCGCTTTCATGGGATCCTGATGGTAAAAAACTCGCATTTGGCTTCGGAAATAAGGTACGTCTCTCCACTACATTTTATTACTCTCTCGCATCAAATATCTTACTAATTTATTTCCAGATGTCTATTGTGAATTTGCAACGGTGACCGATTTACCTGAATAAACAAGAACAAAAAATTTGAGAAATCACCTAATTCCTTTTATTAATGTGTTGAACTCAGCCGAGTTTCTTCCCTTTGGTCTCATGGCGTGACTCCCAAGTCACCATTCTCACAAATTTAATCCTGCGACCATAAATCCGGTCTAATCAACCCATTAAGAAGGCGAAACCTGGCATCCTTGCCACGCGCCTTTTGATCACGTGGGCCTCCTTTGGTCTGAAAAAAGGGTGTTTGACTATGTATGTGGTTAACTCAACCTTCCAAGGTTGGAACTCTTTGATCCCTTCCAGGAACAAGATCTGATACCAATTCGGTAGTTGATCATGGCATATGTCGACTTATCAGCACCAATCTTGTTCTACATATTTTCTCTGGACATATTTTCTTGATTTAGAAGATGCATTACGGCATACGTTACTTGGGACAGGACTTGGGCACGGCGAACGGGACTTTGGCGAGGGTTGGGTTACTGCCAGTGGCATTTTCGTTCTTAATTCTTTACTTTTCAGACTCTATTCACCTTGGGGGGGTCGGTCATCGGCGGGTTGGTTTTCTTGTTACTTTTTTTTTTTGGATCTTGAAGCAGAAAAATGCATCATCTTTGATAAACTAAACTCGTGTGTCTCGTGATTTTCATAGCGTCATAGTTGTATATACATATAGTAGTACAGCCCTTTCATCTCACGACAGATTATCGGGGGTAGTGTTCATCCCGAGATCGTGTCTTCGCAACTGTTGTCTCTGTTCTCTCCGAGTCCTCCGCCCCCGCGCTCGGACCTGGAATTCATCTTCAACGTCTTTCCATCCACGCATCCAAGCGCTCAGACCATCCAATACCATCTCCCCATCAGTTTCACTCATTTCAAAAGGTGGCTTTCGACCACCCCATCGTCGCATATTTTTTCGTGCAATATCTCTCGTGGCTCGGGCTTCTCTCTGACCCTCTCGCATACCTTCAATCCAATTCCGGAGCCCATGAACTGTGCCTTGCATTCCTTCCACCTCAACTGCATCTTGTTTCAAGTCAGAGTGCCTAGAGTTTCGAACCCGTCAGTGCTGTTCAATTCAATCAATAAACCTAATGACATACAATTCGGATACTTCATCCTCCAACTCAGCCACTGTTCTTGTCAATCCTCGACATTTGTCTTCATAGAGCTCACGGATTTGCACCGATTCCTTCCGTCGTTGCTGCAGCTCCAGATTCAATGTAGTCACCTCCCCCAGGAGCGTCGTCAACTCCGATGACATTTGCTGACAACGACGCTCATCATAGCGAGTCTTCGCTAGCCAATCCGGTTCCTCAAGATCGGACGCATCAGGCTCACCAAGTAAAGACTTCGTGCGAAAGCTCTGCCGTCTGCCCTTACGTGTTGTCTTTTCATCTGTAAGCTGCGGCCGCGGATCGCGCAAGATAGACTCGATTGCATCGAGGTGCTGATGAATTAATGGACCCGCATCGCTATCCCTACTATCAGCACCAAAGGATGCGGACGCTAGGCGTGCCAGCTCCGCCAGGCGGTCTTGCCATGGCGTTCCTCTGGCTGGGCGGAGCTCTGTCGTGGAACTATGCTCGGTCTGTATAAACTGCCGGACGACAGTCTTAGTCGTTGTACGACTAGTATATAATTCTGGTGATTCCATAAGGATATCTGTGCTTTGAGAATGACTTATATTCATCGTAGATATATGAAAGAATACATGCTCAATGGCGCCAGAATTGCAGATGTGGCTGGGGATCTGCAGCTTCCAGACGCAAAACACGCAGGGAATCCTGGTCGCTTATCGATAAACGATTATCAACTCCCCGCGCTTAACCCTTTTAGGATCCATGGTCTTTTTGTCTCTTTTGTATCTTTTGCACCTTTTGCATTCTCTTTAAGCCCTTGATACTCGATTTGAAGTACTCAATTATCATCCTTGAATATATTTGGTTGATCCTCAAAGCTACAAAAACCAATATAGATACTTGTTAGCACTATAGTCAGTCATACATACCTCCCCACGCGCACCCGAAGCCAAAGCCCCACAGCAAAGGCCATTTTTCCACCGCCAAATCCCTGTGTCATCGGGTCTCCAATCTTTGTCCGGACATTAAACAGCAAATCTCACAGACAATGGCACCTCCAGTATGTATGCCCCTGTGCGACTATAATTGTCATGCGACTGCCAATACCAGACTGCTAACGACATGTGCGCGATGACTCAGATCAACCCTGTCCCGTCCCTAGAGACGGCGCGAGAAGTAATTTCGCAGTCGAGAAACTCCCAATTCGCTCCCAACCTGTTGCCCGTGACTGCCTCGATTCCTGCGGATCTGTTGACTCCTACATTGGCATACTTGAAAATCGCTGAGAAGTAGGTGGTGCATTTCACAATGCGAACTAGCCAGCCCTGCCCCGCGTAGCGGGGGACATTTTGGACTAAGAAGGGCTAATTCGCCGATTGACTTATATAGTTCCCGATTGTCATTCTTGTACGAGAGCGCAGCGACGACAGAGACTATTGGAAGATACAGTTTTGTTGGTGCAGGTGGGTGTGATCATTGCGACGAGAGTTTCTATTCATCCGATCTTTTGACTCATCAAATTGCTTCTTAGACCCCCGGAAGGTGATCAAGACTGGTCCAGGCCATGGCCCCGAGGCTGACCCCCTGCCATACTTGGAGAAAGAACTCTCTCAATTCCGGGTTGCAACTGTCCCCGGGTTGGTCCTCCCCCCTCTGACCGCTGGAGCGATCGGATATGTTGGTTACGACTGTGTCCGATACTTTGAACCGAAGACTGCTCGCCCCATGAAGGATGTGCTGGGTGTACCGGAATCATTCTTCATGCTGTTCGATACTATTGTAGCATTCGACCACTTCTTCCAGGTTGTCAAGGTTATCACCTATGTTCCAATCCCTGCATCAGACGCCGATATCGAGCCTGCGTACCGCAAGGGCCAGGAGATTATTCAGAACACCATTGAGACTTTGCTGCAGGACCGCACACCGCTGCCTCCACAGGGTCATATCATTCAAAACCAGGAGTACACTTCTAATATCGGCCAAGAGGGCTATGAAAGCCATGTCAAGAAGCTGAAGGAGCACATTGGCAAGGGAGATATCTTCCAGACCGTCCCCTCACAACGTCTGTCTCGACCCACGTCTCTTCACCCTTACAACCTTTTCCGTCACCTCCGCACCGTCAACCCCTCCCCTTACTTGTTCTACATCGACTGCCAAGACTTCCAGCTCGTGGGAGCTAGCCCCGAGCTTCTTGTGAAGGAAGAACGCGGACGGATCATCACTCACCCCATTGCTGGTACCGTGAAGCGTGGTAAGACTCTGGAAGAGGACACCGCGCTGGCCGATGAGCTGCGTAGCAGTCTGAAGGACCGTGCCGAGCACGTCATGCTGGTGGATCTGGCCCGTAACGATGTGAACCGAGTATGTGACCCAATGAGCACCCAGGTTGACCGCCTGATGGTCGTGGAGAAGTTCTCGCACGTGCAACACCTTGTCTCACAGGTCTCCGGTGTCTTGCGTCCTGGCAAGACCCGCTTCGATGCTTTCCGCTCTATCTTTCCCGCAGGCACCGTATCCGGTGCACCCAAGATTCGCGCTATGCAGCTGATCGCCGAGCTGGAGGGTGAGAAGCGTGGTGTCTATGCCGGTGCTGTAGGATATTTCGGATACAACAGCGCCAACGCTGATGGCTCAAGCGAGGAACCTGGTGCCATGGATACTTGCATTGCTCTGCGAACAATGATGGTTAAGGATGGTGTTGCGTACCTGCAGGCTGGAGGTGGTATTGTCTTCGACTCCGACCCATATGATGAGTTCATTGAGACTATTAACAAGCTCGGTGCTAATATTGCTTGTATTCGTGGGGCGGAGGAGAAGTATCTCAGCATGGAGTCGAACTAGAGCATCTCATGGATATTTTTGTCATTGCAGCGATTTTGGGGGCCGGTTGAGGACAAAGAACAATTTCAATGATTTTACGCAATTTCCTTCTTTTTCTCTGGATCGTTCAATAAGTTTAGACCAATGTATATCTCGGCATGACTGGGTCGGATTCAGAATACTAGTACTACTTCTAAGTATCATTTCGAAACAAGCATCTTGAGCGCTATGCCAATATCTCCCAGAATCCCAATCGCTCGACCTTCCTCTTCCATCTCCCAAGGAACACATCCAGAAGCATCCATGCCAACGCGAATCAATCGAACTCCACTCGACGATTCGATGAGATCCTCATTCGGCCACCGTAACACACCGGGAGTATTTACCCCAACTCCCAACTCCAAGATAACTGTACCATTGAAGTCATCACTGCCAGTCTCCATACTGTGTTCAGTCCCACGATCCAGTTCATGGACTCGCTCCAGAAATCTTTTCCAGACTTTCTCCTGTGCATGAAATGGTGCAGGGTTGAAGTAGTTTCCACCACGCACACAGATCGTCACCTCTCCACCACAATAACGACACATCGGCACAAGTTCCTCATTCGTAAGACTTTGCGAGACAGGATCGATAAATGGTAACGTAGCCTTAAGAAAAGGCTCAGAAGCGAACACTGCATCAGCTCTACACTTCCTCAAACACTGCAAAAACGCATACTGACCCTGCGGAGTCGAGATATTCTCAGCAGGGAACCCATTCTTCACAAAGAATCCATCTGCATTTGTTGTGCGGATGTGGTACTTTGAAGATGAAGGTACAGCCGAGGCGGACGAGAATTCGTTCACGAGCTCATGTAAGAGTCCGTATATAGGTGAAACAGGCCATTTGCGGACCATATCAAGATGAAGGAAGTAGTATCCCCATTTTTGACATGGATTATCCCACCCGTTATACCCGAAAACATCGTATAACCTGTGCAGACCTTTCGCTTTGAAAGCAGGGAAATGTGACTGGAAGAGTGTAGTCGAGGTATAATCCAACCCCGCTGCAGCTGATAAGCCTGCACCCGCTGTAATGATAAGATGAGAAGCACCTGCAAGCCATTCGCGAGCTTTCAGAATTGGTACACTAGATATGGGAACTGCTGGAACGGGAACTGATGTGGGAGGGCTGGGTTGAACAAGGATAGCGTCTTCAGGAGCGAGTGAGGGGACCCGACCAGGTAAAGTCTCCAATAAACCTCGATAAAGAACCTCATCACTCTCGAGAAATGTATCAAAAATAACATCCGTGATGGAAGAAGTTGATCGATCTCGAAACCATGATACAACAGTCTCAACTGCAATGGTCGCAGCTGTGTCAGCAGGGAAAGCAAATAGTCCCGTGGAGATGCAGCAAAAGACAACGATTTTCTTTCCATTTGATGAAGGAGGCAAAGAATCTGCAGCATCAAGACAAGCTCTATAGCAAGAAGCGAGCTGAGCTCTGTGATGTGCTTGAGGTTTCTGTCTAGGACTTAGTTGTGGACCAACGGTGTGTAGAACCCATGGGGCGGGGAGGTTGAATCCAGGTGTTATTTTTGCAGAACCGACGGGTTCTCTGTATCCCTGTGAAACGATAACATCATGACAGGCGTCTCGAAGTTGGGGCCCAGCAGCGGAGTGAATGACATTATCGATGCATCGATGTTCAGGTTGGAAGCAGCCTTCAAGTTGAGTATTGGCGGCGTTGACGATTGCCGTTATATCGGTGAGTGTTGTGATATCGCCCTTCCAGATCGATAGATTCAGTGTAGACTTCTCGGGACTGGCTTCGTCATGACGAGTTATCGTTGTGCTAGGATTGATCGAATTGGCTGATGTGTGCAATTTGTGGTTATTGTGGTGTTTGATGACGGCTTCGATATGGGTGAGAGTGTCGGCAGGGATTTGAGGGACTGCGGGTCGTTGGCAAAGCATCTTTCGAACCGCCTCTAATTGAGACCATGTGTCTGCCTCTAAGATCCATTCAGAATCTTGTTGATGTGTGCAACTATGGCATGCTGAATTCTCATGTTTCTGGTTCTTGAGAAGGAAGTGAAGGGCTTCTTCAAGATGAGAAGACATTGGAAGCTCCGATCCCATGATGTATGATACTTGCGCTCTGTTTTATTTAGATCTTGGGTATTGGTCTTTTGAACGTAATTTTGTGAGGTAGAAGTGATTTTTCATGTTGATAAAAATGTTCAAATGTTCGATGCCTTGATCTATATAAGCAAAACCCTAAATTGATTGCAAACAGCGGACTTATTCCGCTCAATGTAATGTGATTGGATAATCTTAAGTTTGATTGATTTGCATTTGAAACAAACTCTTCTCTCAACCAATCAGCATTCAGAGACCGTGTTTGTTCAATTGAATAGTGACGTAGAACACTTGGCATGATTTGGAATATAAAGAGAATATTCAAATGTCGAACTTGAATCTGATCATATCAGCATTATAAAGAAAAATCAATTAGAGAAAGCTCTAATAGTCAGATTTTACCCTTGTTATCCATCATGGCCTCGAGTATCCGCCCTGTTGTGGCCATTGCCGGAGCTACGGGTCATTTGGGGCAGCATGTCACCTCAGCCTTTCTTTCCCCTCTGTTCCGTGATCAATTCTCAGAGATAATCCTCTTATCGCGAAAAGAGTCTTCGAAATCTGCGAACGAAAATAAAAAATATACCACACGAAAATACGATGACGCCAATCTCAAAGACGCACTTCAAGGAGTCGACATCCTCGTCGATACAATCGGACACTCAGGACACGCATTCAAGGCGAATCTCGCTCGTGCGCTTCCTCATACAAACGTCCGTATCTACTTCCCATCTGAGTTTGGAGCAGATCACTATGTGCACGATTTTTCGCACTCGGAGTGGGACCAGAAGAAGAAAAACCTAGCTTTAGCACAGGAGTTGAATCCCAGCATCAAGATCTGCCGAGTATTCTGTGGTCTCTTCCTAGAAGACAGCATCGGCCCATGGTTTGGATTCAACACAAAGAATGGGAAATATGAAAGTGTGGGATCTTCTCATTCACCGATCTCATTCACGGATCTTGGCGATGTTGGCAGGACAGTCGCTGCGCTGGCCGCTTTGCCGGAGACAAAAATCCCAGATACGGTTCATATAGCCGGAGACACACGCTCTTTTGTGGAAATAGCAGATATCATGCAAGCAGCTGGTGCTGGGCCTATCCAAGTGGGGGAAATTCCACTCCAGAAGTACAAGCAGGAGCAGACCTCGACAACTTCATGGGATCCTGCGAACTACCTGCGATTCTTGATGGGGGAGAATAAACTCAATCACACTTTCGATGCAATGGGAAACAATAATAGCTTGGTCAATCCTGAAGACCAACGTTGGAAATGGCGAACTTTGAACGACCTAGCGAAAGACACGAAGGGCCAGCCGTGGAGGGATTTCGAATGGCCTCCCAAATGAAAGATCAGCATGCACTAGTACTATGATTACCACCTAGGTAGGCGGTCAATTATTACATATCAAACGTTTAACGTCTTCAAAATCCCACCAGTCAAAATGTGCGTCTCGTAAGTCTTGGTTCTAAAAGCTGGAGGCACATTACAACTAGAGGCAATATCCACATGATCATGGTTCCAACACCTTTACACATATGTATACGCTGTTGTGATGTTAAATAAATATAAGCTAAATATTATTTTCTAGCATAAAAAATCATGCTTTTGTAAACTCATGAGAATTGTCCGCATGCTCAGGCCTGAAAGCTTCATCATTGTTCAATGGACGGTAGTACAGCAGCCTGGGCGCCTATTTACTAACCATGCTACTCTCCCTTCATTTCCCCGCTTATCTTTCATATTCCTCAACCTATCACACCTTTCAATATTTCACAACCATAAAAAAAGTAATGTAGATGGCTGGTCGTTCATGTTGACCGATGTGATTGTCACTGATTGGTCCCGCCATCCACGGCTAATAGTCAGACGAAATACGGATCATCAAAACATGCAACATGCCCAAGGCACTGCATCTGTCATCTTCATCCTACCACCATGGCTAGAACAGATCCTGAGCTTCAAACACTCCTACAACCATTCAATATCGAAATTGACCAGCTATACCGCTTGTCTTACCGTCTATCAGTCACGTATCGTGAACTGGCGGCGGGCTCCTCGGAACAGTTTTTCCCCACTGCCACCACTCGTCTACCTACTGGCCGTGAACAAGGACACTATTTAGCTGTCTATCTTGGTCTATTCTATCTCCGAGTGGCATTCATTGACTTGCTGGGCGAGGAGCAAGTAGGGAAACACTCACATGTTCGACGAACGCTAGAGAAAGCGTGGCCTATTGAGAATCGGCTGCGCCAAGACCAGGCGGACTCATTATTTGCATGGATTGGAGATTGTATCGCAGAAGTCATTCATGATGACCTAGCCAATTCCAAAGATGATGCTCCATCCGAGATTACTGCTGGAATCTCTTTTTGCTTCCCTATCAAGTGTGTATCATCATCCCTTGCCCTCGCTAGTTTAAGTCATAACTGAAAGACTAACATCGCTGATAGGCAAACGCTCCTCAATGAGGCTATTCTGATGCCCACAGGCAAAGGGTTCACTCTAAAATCTTCTTTGAATCTTCGGCAGGCCTTGCTTGATGGGTATGAGTGTCATACAAGACGCTCAGATGAAGATCCAGACGAGATTCCCGCCAAGCGACAGAAGAAGTATTGTCTCCCTAAATTAAAACTTACCGTCATGACTAACGACACGATCTCAACTTTTGCATCTCTCGCTTACTCGATTCGAGTTTTACCCAACACGCGGGTCGTGATGGGCCTCATTGTTGGCGCCGGTTGCAATTCAGCAGTACCCATGAAATTGACAGACCTCCAAGAAGCGAAAATTCGACATATTCGAGAGAAAGAGCCAGATGCCGAGGATACCATTGTCTCAACTGAGTGGACACTCCGAGGCTCAAGCGGACCTATTCAAGAGCTGAAGATTGTGAATAAATGGGATTCGGAACTCGATGCGCACTGCAACCGACCTGGTTTCCAGCCATTGGAATATATGGTTGGAGGTCGGTATATTGGAGAGCTAGTGCGAATAATTTGTTATGATTGGTTTCACAGCACAAAGGCAATGCCTCGCTCCTCCTTACCTTTAAAGTTGGTGGAAGAGTACACTCTGAGCACAGAGTTTTTGTCCTTGGTAGTGGCACCCAGTTACTCTGATGAATACCTCGCAAAAGAGTTATCGCAAGAGCTTCCAGCGCCAGAATCCAGTGAATGGAAATGGACTGCGCAGTATGCGGGTCATCTACGGTCGATTGCAGCCGCTGTACAGAATCGAGCTGCTGCGCTAATTGCCGCTGCGACTGTCGGCCTTCTCGCCTGCACACGCGAGATCCAACTTCAAGATACCGGAAATCCTTGTTCAACAGAGGATCCATCAAATAAATTCCAGTCAACGTCAAAACGCGAGACAGAAGTGCCTGAATTCGGATCTTCAATACCAGGCTGGCAAAAGGGACCCGAGGAGCTTGTTGTGGCGGTATCTGGAGGTGTTATACAACACTACCCTCATTATAAACAGACCATTCAGCGATACATTGATCGATTGGTGATAAAGGCAGGACCACAGAGTGAAGGGAAAAGTATCTTCCTTCGAGAAGCAAGTGATGGTGGTATAATAGGCGTGGGAGTTCTTGCGGGTACCGTCGCAGGAGAGATACAGGGCATCGTCGGCTCTACAATGGAAGAGCAGGAAAAGTCGGAAGAGAATTTGCAGGAAAGCTGTAAAGATACGAAATACTCTTCATGTATGTACTGAGATAGTGAATATGAAAATTCCCTCTAATATTGAAGACTCTCTAGTCTTTTTTACCTGTATTTCCGGGTTCTTCAGACGCAAGTTTATCTCAAGGCCTAGTATTTTTGAGACCGAAGAGTATTGATTAGGGTGTGAGAAGACCTCACATGCATGTTCTCAAAGATGATGAAATGATGAAACTTTGGATTTTCTATTCATAGCCCCCGAGGTCTACAGGGACAGTATTATCTTTGTATCATATATAGGATTAAATGCATTTAGTCTAACACTCGGGTTGATATACTATTTTAAGTAAATCTAGATAAATCTCTCCACTTTATCATTGTTCTCAGTTGTCTCTTATTATAGAATCGGCGTTAATGACTTGGCTGCCCTCTAGACAATGATTCCTCGTGGTGATCTTTATTCACTGGAAATAGACTACAAGGGTATCAATTTGAACTTTGGAAGATACAATGGCACAATGACACAATGAATCAATGTTCTCCATTCAAATGTTGCTAAATCAGTGTTTGATCTTGAAACGCATTGTGATAGACAAGAGAGATTATTATACTCCATTGTTTTCCAAGGTTAGATGTTATTGATACTATATTCTTATTCATTATTGACCGAAAATCCTTCCAGATATCTTTGTCTGATCCATTTTATTTTGTTACAATGTGGGGACTCATATATGGCCTTCACTGACACTGCTGGCAAGCATAAATACGTGCTTGATGTCCAATTCCTTAAGCATCCATCAACCAGATACAACAACAGAAGACAACAAGATCAGACCTCAGTCAGTATCCAGGATTTGACATCTCTTACATTGAACAGAACTCAGATAACTACTTCAGCTTGTCAAAATGGATTGTATCTGTGGCTTGCTTCCCTGTGTGTGTTCTGATGAACTTGCAGATTCTGGAAGCCCTGAATATATTGACGGTCCTGCTGCACCCAGCTGGCTACAACCTCGAGGAGCTCGGGTAGTTCGATGGATTGAAACCCCCAATGCACCTAACTGCCCTATTCGACGAACCTCGCTTACTTTTGAACAGATCATGCGCGTAGATCCTATATTTACTCGAGATGATGGTGTTTATCCACAGGGCGTGGAGCGATTCCTCTGCATCCCGGAGGACCGCGAGTGGCCCCCACATAACTATACAGCTTTGACCTTACGATACGATGGCTTTCTCTGTATGGGACATGTCCAAGCTGGTAACGGTCATCTGGTTATTGACAATATACATCGTGCGCGTGACAGCCGCGTCCGCATGTCCGAGGTTGTGGTGGCCCTTTACAATAGTGTGTCACCCATTGAGAACCTGCGACATGTTTCTGTTTCATTCGTTATCGAGGAACAGACTTGTAATTTTATCACTAAGGATCTGTACAGTGCATGGCCAACCCAGGAGACTCGAACCTGGCAACATGGCACTCCAGAATACTTTCAACTTATGGGCACTCGTATTGGACGAACCGTAGCCTACATTGTTCTGAGTGGCCTTCAGCGCGGATCTCGTCGGATTTCCCGTGTAAAGGTTTATAGTTGTGGCGATGGAGATGATACTGTGAATCTTCGGTTCGATATCGAGCCTCTTAACTAGACTTTGGGGCTCTTGATACTGTCAGTATCGACTCATTCCAGGGTTCAATAACCTAATTCGACTCGCCCATCGTCGGATTCGACCAGATACATATTAGATTGATGATGGACACGGACAAATGTACAACTGGTCAGGTTCAAGTTAGACTGCTGTCATTGTTTAATGTCATTTACCATTTGGAGTTCATAGATTCAACATTGAATAAACTACATGCAATGATTTCGTTCAGATGTTTGAATTACCCTCTAGTATGTAGCTCAATTATACCTAGATTTTAATCTTACCCTCATAGTCTAGTCCCATAAGATTATTCATGGCTCTCGAGGTCATATTTTTGATTGAGATTTCTTTCCAGTCAGTATCCATTTCAATCAATCAATTGATCTTAAATTTAGATGGACCTTTAACTTTGGAATACTTACTTAATTCGAACATTTTTGTACTGAAGGCTACCTGTAGCACGCCCGAGGGCACTATAGAGTATGGCGAAAATGCTCCAAATATGATCTACATAACCTTAGAATGTCATAGCCTGGGTATATAATTTTTTTGAGATAAGTCAATGGACATTAAGTTCTATCGTACACACAAATCCTGATAGCAGGCATCCCTGCCCACTATCCTAAGGTATCATCAGAAGTTTGGAAGAATTCTTGTAAGAAGAAATGAGAAAGTGCATAGTCTCAGGCTATGAATGAGCGCCCACTGGAATTCCAGTCTAGGCGTTGAATCTCCTTTCATATCGAGTACTGCAGTTGTCTCGCAGATGAATGCAGTTTACTGCTGGCGTGCCTGCCACTGCTCGGGGGTGTAGCACTTAGGGGTCCAGGCATGAATGGCAGCAATCTCAGCCTTGAGGACAGAGTTAACGAGACGGTGACGTGCAAGCATGTTCTTGCTCTCAAACTGCGGGGAAACGATCACGGCTTGGAAAGCTTGGCCGCAGCCGCCTGCACAAAGAATTCATTAATATATGCTGGAAGTATCTCAAAGCGCAAAGTCCTCACCTGACAGGTCTTCAATCTCCACATGTTGCGCCTGCAGTTGCTCAATCAGCTTGAGCTTGAGCGACTCTGCAGTAACACCCGAGGTATCGGCCATGGCAGCGTTGACAGCGGCGAAGGAACGTGCGGAGAGAGAGAACGAAGCGCTGTGAGCGGGTAGGGGACGGAGAAGGTAACGACAACCTCTGCTCAGGACAGTGAGGGAAGAGGCGCGGGAGAACATTAAGCACGATGGGAGTCAAGAATAAGTTGTCAAGCTCTCCAGTTGGAACGCGAATTGATGAGGTTCGTCTGTATTACAAATTCGGCCATTGTGGCTGGTGCACAAGCACGTGAAGATAGCGCCTCCGATAACGTCACTGATACTGTTTCCACATAGAATCTTCCTTTATATCTTGGACCTTTGAAGGCATTGAGCTGCAAAGTCCATGAATTCTTTACGCTTAGGCCTACGATACTATTCCAACATGTCATCTACTCCTGCATGCTCACCCTTTACCAGAGCGGTGGTTAGCTCTATGAGAAAGCTGTGCGTTTCCCAGGGTTCAAGCTCCCCGCAATTCTCCTGGAGCTTTCTGTTGACCCGCTATACACAGATACCCTGAGGCATTGGCTGATAAAAGCTTTGATAATACTGGGTGTAAGTCGATATTACATATCTATATTCTTGTTTATGAACTTTGTTGCAAGAAGCTAATCATTCGTTCTGTTCCAGTACTTTTGGAAGCTCCCTTTGAACCATCACGTCGCCAGAAGAACTCGGTGCTGCTGGCCATTGACCTGACCACAGCAGTGGCGGATGAGGCAATTCGGCGCCAGGATTCAACCATTGTTGCATACCGTATGTCTACAGCATGAATCCTTCATTCGATTCCCACCACTGCTTGTTTCATCAAGAATCCCTCCCTTGGAAATCACAAGACCTATTATCGTTATACTCATAGACTTGAGCTAATCGTGTCCCAGACCCAATCATTTTCCGTGGTCTCAAGTCAATTACTCTAGATGATACCCAGCAAAGATCTCTGCTACGACTAGCCCAGCATGGAATCAGCGTCTACTCCCCTCATACCGCCGTTGACACCGTCCCGGGCGGCATGGCCGACTGGCTCTGTGACGTTGTTACCGGTACATTCAAGTCAGACGCCCCAAAGCGCACGCTGAAGACTTGTGACTCGAAGCTCTATTCCGAACCCACTTACCCCCATGCCGAATTCGTTCCGACTGCTGCATCAGCCATCGCTTCCCAGCAAATACCTCATTCCCGATCTACCATTCACCCTTCGCCGCCAGCCTCTATCCCAGAGGGCTTCGAGTCTGCTGGTGCAGGTCGCCTAGTTACATTCAACGAGCCCCAGCCCCTTACCGTGCTGATTGATCATATCGCCGGTGGTGTCGGTCTTCCGGGCGGCATCCCTATCGCCACTCCCCAAGGAAAGTCTATCAACGACATCAAAATCCGTACAGTTGGCATGTGTCCCGGATCTGGATCTGGTGTGCTCCTTCGTGGCAGTCAAATCCCCGATCTTCTATTCACCGGTGAAATGAGCCATCACGAGGCTCTTGCAGCCACAGAAAAGGGATCCGTCGTTATCTCGTTGGCTCACTCGAACTCCGAGCGTGGATACCTGCGTGCAGTCATGCAAAATCAGCTTCTCCGCGAGATTTCACAGACTTGGCAGGAGGAGAGAAAGGCCGTTCTCCAGGCAATCCAAGATAACGCTAAGCAGGGTGGAGCAGCTACTACTTCCTCATCTGAGGAAGTGTACCAAGATGCCAGTGTTGAAGTCTCCGTTAGCGAGGCTGATCGTGATCCATACGGTATCATGGTTTGGCGAAACTAGATACATTATGGCGTAGAAGAACAAAATTCCGACCTTAAAGAAACGATTCATAAAAGAATCTTTGCATTTCCAACCCCGCAAGTAGTATACATCTTCTCAGGTAGAATCAATATGCTTCCCTTAAGGACAAACTAGATGCAAGATGTGAAATTGAAAGATTTCTTTACTCAAAAAAGCTCTTCTCAGCCATCAACGCCCCCGCAACCTCACAATCATGTCCGAAAATCAATCTAGCCCCAAAAAGCCTCTGCAACCGCCTTATCATATTCAAACTCCGATACCAAGCATTATGGTCCCTGGCCAGACCCCCATGCGGATGTCCCAACTCATAATTCTCCACCACATGAAACTGATCCGTCGTCCAAATAAACGTCCCATCCTTCTCGAGATTTACCTGCATAATACACAATCCAGGCGTATGTCCCGGCGAGTGATGTAAGATAATCCCTTGAAAGAGATCCAGTTGGGACTCCGTGAACGTTTTCCAGTTGAGTCGCTCTAGAGACATGTAGTGCCCTAGATAAACGCCTAGGTCGGCACCTGTGCCAACAGCCCAACAGGCGTGTTTGAATTCTTCTTCATGTACCCAGATTGGGATATTAGTGTCCATGAAGTGCTCGAGGCCTCCGGCATGGTCGAGGTGGAGATGGCCTATTACCACGGCTTTGACGTCTTTGATGTCATGGCCTGATGCTTTTATTGCAGCTGGGAGTTTGTGTTCTTCTTTGTACTCGACTCGGGGGAAGACATCTGTTACAGGTGCTGGCCATTTCTATATGGAGTAAGTATAGGTGAAATACATACTATCCACGAGTCCTCATCTTGGGGGGGAAGATTGGCAACGTACAACATTGATATCCTCTGCACAACCGGTTTCATAGAGAATGAGTCCTACACCGGGGTACTCAATCAGAGCTGAAAGAAGAATTAATCGACGACGTTTATGTTCCGGGTTCGGATTGCTAAGTGTGCTCGCGTTGACACCTCGAAGAAGCCTATATAAGATAAGTCCAGAACCAGAATCAGACCAGCTTCAAATGTCTATACGAACCATGATTCATCTGCTTCGAGTGTTCCTAGGTTTAAAATGTACATCTTTGTCCCCGGTGGACAGTTAAATGACGGGATAGCCGCGGATGCGAGCGTAGGGACATGGTTTGTAGCTGCCATTTCGAAAATAGTGAAGTAGAACGCACTCAGATGCAAGTTTTGTATGTCTCCAAGGTTGAAGAGAGGAGAGATCAAAGTCATTTGAGATGAATTGTATCAGACATGACAGATACTCGCACGAAGACCGAGCCCCTCACGGATCAAACCCCGAGGTGCATAAGGATTCCTCAGTTGCGGTTGGACAGGCAGATTCTTCCTTGTGGACTCTGGGGAGTTATATGGAGTTAAGAGCCATGGTGTATCCAAAGCAGTGGTATTTCAAATCTTTTTTAAGTCAAGTTTACACTCCGAACATTTGAACTATCTCAAGTCATACAATGTGTTTTCAGACAGAATCACTGCTAGCAGTCTTTATATAGATATCTCAGAAAGAATTATGAAATCTTCTGAGGTTACAATTCCAAACCTTCTCTCCAGTTGTGCCACGTAAAAAGGCTTGGACTGAATCGTATGACATTATTCAAATACCCCGCATCCGAGTCCATAAATGATCGAAGTCTCGCTAAGTTACCAAGTTACCAAATACTGATAGAGTTGGTACAAAGAGGCTTTGGAGTGGTTTTACCATATTCAAATGTTTTGGTTAATCTCCAGCCTCAACTAAAAGAGCTATAGGCAAGGATGATGCAGATTAGATCTGATAAGCCAAGCATATGCAAGCTGCAAGATGCACATCCAACCAAGGACTGTAAAGCAGAAGATGGGCTAGATCAGTCCCAAAGGACCTAATAAAACACTTTTTACGAATAGTGGATCGAAATGCAGACAAAAAGAAAATATCATGAAAACTTTGTGAAGTGAAAAGGATATCCTAACGACAAAAACAGTAAACAAATGAGAAACGGTGTACGGAGGAAAGAGAAAAAGAGGAAAAGATGACACGCGGATGGGAATGGATATCTGGGCTCCAAGGGAAAGAGAGGGCATGAATATAGTGCCGAGAAATCCCCGGTCCTGATAAAAAATCGGCTCCACAGTTCAATTGCTCTTGCCATGCATTTCTCCACCACATGTGGGGGAAAAGAAAGGGGCATAGTGGTATGAAGATAAATCAAGAGGGAGTGGGGAGGGGAAGAGCAATGGAATCAAAGAATTGGCAGGCCACAAATGTTGAGAAGTTGTAAGAAAGAAAAATATGAGTGAAGGAGGGGGGGAGTGGTATCAGCAGGGTCCGTGGTCATAAGAATTGCCGGGATAAAAGACTTGAGATTACAGGTCAATCAAACTGCCACCATGCTGCGATTGCTGCTGAGCTCCCCAGGGGTTGCTATTGGATTGCTGCTGCTGCACAAAGCCTGTTTGCTGAGGCACTCCTGTATAATGTTGGCCAAAGAAGGGGTTGCCAGCGGTCTGGTTGGCATGAAGACGGTCCAATCCTTGACCAGCAGAGTTGACGAAAGTGCCAGGTGCAGTGTGTTGGGCAGGAATACGGAGATCTCCAACGTTTCCGAATGTATCCTGACCCTCGCCCGAAGCAAGAAGCGCGTTCAGACGGGCGTGGTGAGGGTCTAATGCCTGAGGAGGAGTACTCCTGGGTGGCTGTGGAGCTTGGAAGTTGGAGATAGGGTTAGGCTGGGCCTGTTGAGAGAACTGAGTAATCGGGTTGTTAAACTTGGTTGTGGCGCGGTCCTCTGCAAGGGTGTTGAGAGATGGCGGTCCCGTTGATTGTTGTGGGTTTGTAAACTGGGGTTGAGTGCGTTGAGCGAATGGATTGTTCGAGCCGGTTGCCATAGGCTTGAGCGCATCGGCGGGTTGGTTCGATGCCCATGGGTTGTTGGTTCCCGCAGATAGGTAGTTCTCCTGGCCTTGTTGCTGCTGCTGGTGTTGCTGATGTTGCTGCTGTGAGAAGGCGTCGTTGGAACCATATGGATTAGTGTTGGGGAATGCAGTATGCTGGGCTTGGAGGGCCGCCTGGGGCTGCAGGAAGTTGTTCTGAGGCTGCTGTCCGTAAGGGTTCTGGTCGAAAGCTGAGGGCTGCTGGTAGCCATTTGCGTAAGGGTTTACACCAGTGGCTTGCTGTTGGAATCCGGTGGGCTGCTGTTGGAATCCGGTGGGCTGCTGTTGGAATCCAGTGGGTTGCGCATATTGATTGTTCAAATAACCGGTAGTCATTGGCTGCTGCACATTGATCGGGTTACCAAACCAGTCAACAGCACCTTGCTGTTGGTAGCCTTGGTTGTAGCCAGTGGGCTGGACCTGGGCTGGGGTATCATCAAAGAGCGCATGCGCATTGTTCTCCTCCAACTCCCGCTTGCGAAGTTCCTCTTCTTCCCTGCTAAGCTGGATAGCCTTGGCCAAGTCCTCGTCCTCGTGGCTATTCGCAGAATCCTTGGCCCGTCGTCGGCGTTCCTCCTCGGCTTCGGCCTTGCTAGCCTCAATGGCTAGTCGGTACTCGGTATCGTCCTCATCGTCACCCTGGCGTCTTCTTCGCTCTCGGCGGGGAGGCTCGTTTCCAAAACCACTACCTTGACCCTCATCCAATCCACTCACTCGAGTCTTCCAAAGTTTGCGGTCGGATCGTTCGCTGCGTAGGCGATCCTCGTCCAGAACCAGGGCAGTAAGTTCCTTCGCGGCCACACGAACTGCGCGAAAAAAAAGTTGAATTTAGTAACTGAACTTGTTCACAATCGTAGACGGTGGAGAATATGGCGTACCATTCTGGCCCACATCACGGCCTTCTTCGTCAACATACTGGAACTCGCGCAGGGTCTTGATGATGTAGACATTCTTCCGAGCCCAAGTGACCACCAATTCTGAACCCTCATGCAAACAGTAGTCCAATACCTTCAATGACTTGAGCACATGGCGCCAGTTCTTGCCCTTATCATTGAGACGCTTATCGATCATGTCCATGATCTCGTAGAACTCGTTCGGACTGAGACGGAGATAAGGTCAGCTTGCAATGATTCCTAAGTAATCAGACGTGATCAGGCTATCGAGAAACCTACCTCCCGAAAGTCATGGACGCAATCTCCGACATGTCGGTTCCTGTGGGACCCCATGGATCGTTACTGGTAGCTAGAAGATAGAGTTGTCAGCATGGCATGACATGTACACCCAGAGAGCGCGCGGTGATGGCCAGCCCCTGGGAAGATCGGCTTAAGCGCGCAATATCAACCCCGCGGCCAGCCAATGTCTCGCAATTCCATTATGTTCGCGATGGTCTCTTCTGAGCATTCAGTGGCGAAGAAGCCAGACATACCATTTCGGACCTTGACCTGCACGGAGGAGTACCCCTTTGTGACGTTCTTGACGCTGCGCACGACCTTGGACATGATGCCGGTATATCCGCGACGATTGACAAATGAAAGAGAGGAAGGTAAAGTGGTCGAGGTAGTGAAACTTGATCAGAAGGGTCGGGGAATTAGGTCTGGAGCGGCGGTGTCTTGCCAAGCTCTCACAGCCCACTTGGTCTCAAGACTCTGGATAGCGGCCCAAGGTGTTCAGGGTGAGTTCGGCGATTCGACGATTGGTATAAGGGTTCGCTTTTCACGACAGAACAGAAGAAGACAATATAGGCTCACAGAAGAAAATATGTTTACCTGAAGAGTAGAGAAGGAGAGATGCGGAAGAGGGGACAGTGGCTGGAACGGGGGAAACTGTCTTGGCAATGACGAAGCACAGTCAGTGGAGATTAGGACTTTTAAGGGACCACTCTTCATACAAGGGTATGTCAATAAGAATTTTAAGATGACAATTAATAGGATTGTGTCCACGGGTCATATGAATTCATTTGCGATTATCGTTTATGCATACGTACCACACTCTGTTCATGCTTAAATGGCTGCCTAAGTGAACCCGACGTGGCTCTTGCTACAAATGTGGCAGTGATCCCAACTTATGTACTTCATACAACAAACCGGATGAAACAGGCTCTACAAAGCAAAACCTTTATATCAGGGATTGAATCAATATTGCAGGGATTTGCTCTTTGAATTTTCATTCATTCGCGTCTCAATAAGTGGATCAAAAACGGTGCTGGAATGGACAAGCTTGTTATATGTATGAATCCTATCCTAATTTGAGGCCCTTTCAAATTAAGAAGCACATAGGGACAGAGAATAACCAGCAAGCAGAATATGCACTTCAGACTCTTGCAAGTGAAAAGATAGAGGCATTATAGAAGCAAGTATTTTCATTGAAGAGATCCAACCAACTTGAACTATCGAAACAGGAGTATATTTTGGAACTTACTACAGAAACACACTGTAGATCAGGAGACTCCCTTCAGATTCAAGACAGAATCACCTATTTAGGAGTCTTTTCACTATTCCGACGTTGATCTGAGTCGCTTCAACAATGTTTACTCTTACACATACTCAGTTCTAAGGTTACTCGTACGGCATGGCTCCATTTGACGGGACGTCCTGCATGAGATCTTGTATTTTGATGCGTCTCATCCTTAATACTATATATGCAAGGAGACTTGGAGCTCCGAAGTGCCCACCTGCCATTCGTAAGTCTAATTAGTCATTGCTCTAGTTGAGCACCTTCTCGGCGGCGGAGACTAAATTCAGCCCAGGTTAGTGACAAGGTCTTTTTTGAACAGATTGAAGGTGGAAAGAAGAGAACTCCATTCAACTCACCATTGAGACCGGCATTGTCAGGCTCAACAAAAGTCTCAGTCACCTTACCATCCTCGACCAGCAGCGCGTAACGCTTGCTACGGATGTTGCCCAAAAATGGAGGTGCTGTCGAAGGTCAAGTCAAGGGCCTCGTTGAACTGACCGGTGGGGTCACCCAAGAAGCGAATCTATAGAATTATCAGTTAATTATTCCTTTGGGCTATTGTGTCAATTCAGGTCGGTTCAGCACTTACGCCGCTCTTGCCGCTGGGGTCAAGGGACTCAGCCCAAGCCTTGGTACTGTCGTATCGAGACGCGTTAGTGAGGCGATCGCGCGTATCACATTGTTTATGGCTATTCTTACACGAAGGGATCGTTGACAGCGACAACGAAGACCTGACCGGCGTTCTGGAGCTTGGGGTGGTTGATGTAGCCGGGAACGTGAGTGCTTGAGCAGGCAGGGCCTACAAATAGTCAGTAAACACGTTAAGTTCCAGCGATATTGTCCAATGGATGACCTACTGAAAGCAGCGGGGACACCAACGATGACACCCTTGCCCTTGCTGCCGAATTCCTTGGCCAGGTTGACCTTGTTTCCGGGGGAGTTCTCAACCAGGACGTTCAAGTCGGGGATCGCATCGCCCTTCTGCACGAATGCGGGCGCGGTCTGGTGGAAGAACGCGGCCTGGGTGCGCACGCGGGGCAGGTTGGTAAGACGACGAGCGGCGAACATGGTGAAGGTATGAGAAGGATGAATCGTGGACAAGATTGTAGAGGTTCTGAAACTCAAGGGTCAAAAGTTGTGAGGGGAGCTTCGGAGATTTCGTCATGGTCTCGGGGCCCGCTTCGCGCCGCCGATCTTCATTCGCGCTGGAAACACGCCAATTTCTGATTAATTCTAGTGTGAATGGCAACTTGAATAAAATATTTGAAAATTAAGATCAGCTATCATTTTTTTAGATGTATGGGCTGGAATGAATTAAGGAATAAGCACTTGAATTGGATCACTGGCAGTTCCAAGATTTGAGGTCCCAACTTGAGTGCTGATATAATGTAGTAGGAGCAGTCCACGGGTACTAGTAGTAGTAGTAGTAGTAGTAGTAGGCACAGTACGGAGTAGAATATCATAGACATTCAACCTCCAAGTTGGAAATGTTCAATGATGGCACAGACCTTGAAATCCTCCAGATGTCTGCTAGTAGATCTTCAAGCCACGATATTCTTATATAGTGCGTATTACTAGTACTATGTAGTTTCCATAGAACATTATCTTATCATGTAGATGAATTGACAGAGAATAAACTTGGGACTAAAACTGCGTCAACTGGTGGAAGCATGAGTAATCTACATCATTGCCAAACACATGTGCAGCGCCTAGACACTATCTAACTGATTAGAGCTGCTACATATTAATGGGCCCGTGACCCAACATCTAAATTGCGATTGGATGCGATATATGCAGTAATTGAGGGTCCTCTCGTACGCTACTGTCGCTTGGAGGAGCCCTCCACATCCGCGGAGCCCCGGGCGAGATCAGGTAGTAATACTTCCCTCTACTATTTGTATACATATTTTCATCTGAAATGATCACTTGATGGTTGTGGGCCAACCAAGAAAACAAGCAAACGCCTATAGGTATAATAGCCTACTATATTAATCAATGGTGGAATCTCCATATGCAAGGTACCCCATCAAACATACTAATAAGGCCCTTGTAGGTACCTATACTCAGAACTACTAAGCAACCTCAAGCCCCTTGAGACATGCATGGTACACATCGCGACGTAGAACTACCGATAAATAGCTGGATTCATCCGATATTTATATGCATGTGAGGTATGACGTCGGAACTTCATTCTTGTGTGATACTGCAGGGTAGAGAATTATAAAGCCAGCGGAAGGAGGCGTCGGCGCCGAGCTGCACGACCGTTGAAGTCCACCATTGGAAACCCCCATTGGGAAGTCCACGTTTAGATGCTCCAGATATCCCAATGAAGGCCCCAGATTCAATTCGAATCTTGGATTAAGTGGAAGATGTCTCAGAAAGTGATGACGTATTGATATAAACAAGAGTAACTTCAGATGCTAATCGGTTCAAATGCTCTGGGAGGAACAGCCTCGAGAGTCAGAGATAAGTACTACATAGTAATAGAATAATTTGTATAGATGAATATGAACATTTGAAAATATTTATATCAAGTTTAAATATGCATATGGCCATTCACCTGGGCAGGAACAGTGCCAGTGGTTCAGATCAGTGACCTGATTGACTTATTGCTTATTGGATGAAATAAAAGATTCTATGGAGTCTGAATAGTACTCAGATCCGTAGATCCCCGTTACCTTGGGCTCTTATACTGATATTTAGATGCTTAATGTAATCCCTGGATAACCATCATTATGTAAATTCCAAATAATCCTAGTAAACTGATAACTCCAATTTGGAATCCAACATGCGTACCTACATAAGGTGGAGTACTAAGTCGACTGTACATAAATGGACTGTGCAAAGCTACCTCCACTTTCACCTGAAACCCTCTTCACCGCTATAACCTTCAATACCCACGAATATTGACAAGGCTGGGATGAGATTGAAACATTTGAACTTGAAAGACTTCAATTGTCTTGAATGGTTCATTGAAATCTTACAACCTACTCTTTAAAGAGAATAACTCCGAATTCTTCCAAGGATCCCGAGACGGAGGAGAATGAACCGGTCCGCCATGCATATGGTTCAAGTCTTTGGTGCATATTGGAGCCCGATGAATAATCTTCTCTCAAAATTTTTATGGTCGTCATCCTGATTTTTCCAGATTTTCAAAATTCTTGAACGGTGGAAACAATGAGTTGTACGCGTGTGGGAACCACGCCTTCGTGGCCCACTAGGGTCCCAAGAACTGTCGGTGGAGTATTAAGATTCTCCAGTTTCAACGTCTCAGGGCTTCAGTAATTTTGGTCTTACTGAGTACATGTTTTTTTTGTTCTCTTTTCGTTTTCTTCTCTGTTTTTGATTGAAATGATCTACCGTATAAGGTACCTACGATAACACCCCAATGCATGGCCCCCTCCATCTCGTGCGCACTGACATCTCCATGCATTTGGTAATTATGGAGTGCATTGTCGCCCTGGGGAGTACTAGAGGAATGTTGGAGTTGTATCAGTAACTAAAGTTCAATTTTGATGAGTTTCGAGTTCAAAGAGATCGAAGAATAAAAATAATAAAGAGGCTTTAGAAAAAAGAAATATTAAAAATAATTTATATATATAAATATCTGTATTATAACCTTGGGAATTGATATACATGATCTTCATATAATGAATTCCTATATATGATTTTTACATGTACCACGGCGTACCTGCGCAGTAACTTTGGTACATGGCTCTACCGCCAAACCTCTGGGCGGTACCCGTTTCTGCGTTCTGCTTTCTTTTCAAAATCCCTCCTTCTTCTTTCTTTGTCGAGGTCTTTTTGGTGCATTGATTTGCATATTCTTCCTACTCTCTTTAATATATCTCGGCAGATCAGCCCCAGTTTGCTGTTCGTTCGACCGGTCGCGACCCGGTTAGCCCCCCCATGGATGGCCCAGGCCAGACCTCGAATGCCGCCCCCGCGGGCAACTCCAGCGATTTCGTGAGTTTCATCGCCAGTGTTGAAGAGTTGCAAAATTTACTGATCCCTCATGTCTAGGTGCGCAAACTGTATAAGTAAGTTTTACTGGATGGGGCGACTCTATCTTCTTGCTTTCCCCCCTTCCCTTTTTTTCTGTGCTTTTTCTTTTTCTCTGCCCCCTCTCGGCAAAAAATCGGTCGATTTGCACGATGCGCCAACAAACTCGCGATCTAACTATTTTATCAGAATGCTGGAGGACCCCTCATATGCGTCCATTGTGCGCTGGGGCGATGAAGGGGACAGCTTTGTGGTTTTAGAGGTAAATGCGCCCGTGGCGTGGTCAACGGTCGCACCGTGTAGCTAACAGGGTACCAGTGCGAGAAATTTACAAAGACTATCCTACCGAAGCACTTCAAGCATAGCAATTTCGCCAGTTTTGTGCGCCAACTCAACAAATACGATTTCCACAAAGTCCGCCAGAACAACGAGGAGAATGGTCAATCGCCATACGGTCAAAATGTACGTCCATCCCGATCCATGAAGCAGGGGGAAGAGGAGTGGAGACAAAAAAAAGAAAGGAAAAAAGGCAAAGGGAACCCCCATACTAATGATAACGGGCATAAACAGGCTTGGGAATTTAAACACCCAGAATTTCGAGCCAACAGCAAGGAATCTCTCGATAATATTCGCCGGAAAGCACCTGCTCCCCGAAAACAAACCCAACCCACCGATGACTCCGTTCCCACCCAACAGATCGATCTGCTGAACCAGCAGATCCTCGCCCAGCAACAACAGATCCAACACCTTTCCGATCGCTATGCGCAACTTAGTGTGGACCATCAACTTATGTTGCAGGAGGTCATGCGGGTACAGAAGACAGTGTTGAATCATGAGAATGTCATTCATCAGGTGATGAATTACTTACTCTCAGTCGATGCACGGCAACGTCGGGATAGTAAGGCTGTTGGGTTCCAAGGACAAGGCTCGAATATGAGTCCCATGCAGGTGGGCGCAGTAGATGATGAGCCATCATCACCATTACAGCAAGCCTCGAAGTTGCTCAACGACATGAATGCCGAGATCCAATTCAACCTTGCCAACATGGATGCAGCCAACGATCCCCAAAAGGCAGCAGGCGCCGCTCCTGTTGCTACACCCACCATGGATGCATCGCGGAATGGAATGGTTCGACCAGCAACCACTGCGCCTCCGAACCCTGCGATGGTCTACCCTAAGATGGGTGGCGACCTGGAACAGGTTGTTTACCCAGTGGGAGCTACCAATGGTATCGACCCCATGTATAGTGAACACATCAACAACGTCCCATACCCGATGCCTACCAAGACCGAGGTCGATACTGCGGAGGTCCGCCGGCAGCAACCTGACAATCGGAAAAAGAGTACGAACGTCGATCCCGGCTGGATGCGCAGCCCACGGATCTTGTTGGTAGAGGACGATGCGACATGTCGGCAGATTGGCGGCAAATTCTTATACTCATTCTCCTGTGTGATTGACACTGCGGTATGTTTGGGATTCTTTGTTTACCGAATTCTGTCTACAGGTTACTAATGATCCATGTAGTTCGATGGTTTGGAGGCTGTGAACAAGATGCAGGGTGGAACCAAGTACGATCTGATTCTAATGGATATCATCATGCCAAATCTGGACGGTGTATCGGCCTGTCACTTAATCCGCCAATTCGACCAAACCCCCATCATTGCGATGACTTCGAATATCCGCAGTGATGACATTCAATTATACTATCAACATGGTAAGAGATGCAATACGTCCAGTTATAACTCGATAGAATGCCCAACTGACGCTCTTCTTAGGCATGAATGATGTCTTGCCTAAACCATTCACCCGCAAGAGTCTTCTCGATATGCTGGAGACTCATCTCACCCACCTCAAGACTATCCCCCAAAGTATTGAAGGCCCTCCAGCTCCCGTGGCCGTGACAATGGCGGCGGCTCAGACATCAGCCACTCAATCGATCAAAGAAGACAGTTCCCCGGTCAATCTCCCGCGACATCCATGAACAACTGGCAATCCCCTGGCCAATTCCAGGGGATGCAAGCAGTTCCACCAAACATGCCTCCCATCCAAGGGCAATATGTTCCAGCGGCGGCAGCACCTCCAACAGCATATGCTGTTGATCCGAATGGCGTCCAGTTTCCCGCTCCGCCAGTAGCAGTGCCATCTACAGGAGCTCCGATTCGTCCCCAGCATCGCCGACAAATGTCAGAGATGTCCAGTGCTGCCGAGAACCAGAATATGGCGAAACGACAGCGCATGTACACTCAACCCCAGCCGATGATGGCAGTACAGGCCGGTCGACCTGGTTAAACCTGCTCATTACCATCTGGCCATCATCTTTTTTTTTACGCCTACGCACGCATACAACACGCACATTCTCTCCCACACTCACTATCTCCTTTCGCTTTACTCATCATCCTCTTCATCCTATCCGCCTGTCTATTTCACTCACGATTCCCCACTGTCTATAACGAGGTTTCCAAATCGTACATTGCGCTTTTCCGGACGTTTGAGTCGGTCACGGTCATCTTACCCTTTCTACAGGTCATGGCGTTTCTTTGCAGGCTCTCTTTGATAACCTGGGTGGCGAAATGTGCTCTCTCACACGTGTCTGATTTTATTGATTTTGATTTTGATTTTTTTTGGAAAACATTGACCCATCCTTCAATGGAACCAGATGGGAAAGGATGAAAGATTTTTTTCAAGGTTTTCAATACCTTACCCTTGTTTCGACAGGTACATATTTATATTACATATTTTTTTTATTTCCTGCCAGATGATTCCACGGCTTGGGTTTCCTTGTTGATATTTCCTCCGAGCATACACCTGTTTTACAGGTCCCAGGATTGCGTAGGCAGGGGTATGAATGGTTGGACCCATGTATGGGACAACGGATCTTCTCTTATGTACTCATCATCAATTATCAACAATCCAACGGTCCACTCATCTTGGTTCCCGTTCAGGAAGGTCATCATGCCCCATACCTCCACCCGTCCCGGCCCTCAACCTTCTCTTCCAAGGTTGTTCCCATACTTGTCCACTTTGGTATGCATGCCTTGCCACTTTTGTCCGATAATGCACTTGGGCCGAGAACCTTAACCTAACCTTGGAATTCGAGAGAGGTACATGTAGGGTCAAGGCGGACATACTTGAACAGAGATACTAGGAATCAGTCTCTTGGTCCGATCCTTCATTTCCGAGACATGTCTGGGTATGTAGGTTAAAAACTTCAGGGCTGCAAAGAGACATCTGAATAATACGAATAGAATCCAAAACCTCTCAGCGCTGAATGCGCATCAATGTCTCTTCCCTTCTGCAAATGTGGAACAAATCTCATATCAAAATCAAACACTGTCCGTATAGACAACGCACAGGTCAGCCCAGTAAGTTAAAAGCAGCATCACATCCGAAACAAGGCGATCAGAACCTTAGATCTCTCAGTACATCAGTGAAAGTACTCTGGAAAGACGAATAAGGTACTCACCTGACGCGCCGTAATCACGAACCTACAAGACTAAAGAGTCTAGACCGTCGACGCGGACACATTAATTGCAGTGGTCTAGGAGGGCCCAGACCCGCGGGGATTTTTCCAGGGCAGTCTGGCTAGCCGGTGGGTCCACCCCTTTTTGGTTACCTGTCCATGCAACGTTGATTATGCAGATTCCTTGTTTGGGGGGTTGAAGGAGCTTGTTTGTGTATGGAGTATTGCGTAGAGGTTCAAGTTTCAAGTTCTCTGTGGTGGCCTAATTGATTTGCAGTACCTGGACAATATTGTACTTGTAGGCAATACACTTGTACCGAGTAATTGAACCCTTTTTGTAAACAATTATCTGTTCGATAGTAAATAATTGATTCAATACTACACAGTACCAATATAAGAATATATGCAATAGAATAGTTGATTATTGAACGATAGTCTGGAGCATCATCTTTGTTTCGCCAGTTGACGGATATCTGGACCTGGATGTGGCTTGAACCAAATAGTGGCTGATGAGGTTCTCATGCGCCACATAGATCACGTTACCTCCATGGTGCAAACCGGCCAAACATAAAGTGGGAGTCACCGAGGCTTGGCGGGGTTTTCTGTGGCTTTGAGAGGAACTGTGACAACGGGACGACTAAACTAGAGTAGCAGTGCAAAAACAGACCCTGTGCAACTTTCTTGGTCCTTAACTGCCTCTGTGGTTCAGCGTTATACTAGGTACGAGACATCTTTCCTCCTCCTGCCATACCGCCGCCATACGATCTCCGCGGAGTACATATTTCGATTCAGCGCCGATTGACACTTTCCAGGACCTGCTTGCAATGGGTGCTAAACAAAAGGGCGGAGGCTCAAAGCCCAAGGGAAACACTGCGGATGAGGTAGAGGAGACTTTGCAGGCTGTGGTATGTGAAAATCTCTTATTGCTGAGATATTTAGCTTGATGTCTTTTTTTTCTCCCTTCGTCTTTGCGATATCTTCGGATGATAGCTAATTTTGTGGCTTTGATTTATACAGGTCCTCGCCGATACTTTCGAGCCCCGATTCGAGCCATTCACTCTCGATAAGCCTCGCGTATGTAGATACCGAACGATGTCCTATACCACCGATCAATGATGTTTGTGGTCATGTATACTGTGAGAGCACAGCTGATTAGATCGCATAGTGTCTTCTCCCGTTAGCCAACACTCCAATCATTGAATATACCCTCGAGTTTTTGGCAAATGCTGGTGTGGAAGAGGTTTTTCTCTACGCAGGTGCTCACTCAGATCTTTTGGAGAAGTATATCAAGTACGCCTACCATTCCCGTTCGTCATATACAAAACCACATTGAGCCAGTCTAATCTCTTATAGCGCCTCAAAATGGAGAGCCTCCTCATCGCCTTTCAAGCAATTCAACTTTCTTAAATCTACCTCCGCATCTGTTGGTGATGTCATGCGAGACCTGGACGGCAAGCACCTCATCACCGGTGATTTCATTGTCGTGAGCGGCGATGTGATCAGTAACATGCCTATCGAGGGTGCGCTGAAGCAGCACCGCGCCCGCCGTGAAAAAGATAAGAATGCTATCATGACTATGGTCCTCCGTGAGGCAGGACGCAACCACCGTACCAAATCCTCCACAGTCTCTCCCGTCTTTGTTATCGATCCCACCAAGGACCGCTGTCTCCACTACGAAGAGATCGACGAGCACGCAGACAACAACCACAAGCGACTCAACATCGACACAGAAGTTATTCTCACTCACCCTGAGCTGGATATCCGCCAGGACCTGATTGACTGCAGCATTGATATCTGCACACCCGATGTGTTGAGTCTGTGGTCCGACAGTTTCGACTACCAGTCTCCCCGAAAGCATTACTTATTCGGTGTCCTCAAGGACTATGAATTGAACGGCAAGACCATCCACACACACATCATTAAGGATGACTACGCCGCGCGGGTACGAAACCTCAAGGCTTATGATGCGGTCAGCAAGGATATAATCTCCCGCTGGACATACCCCTTGTGCCCCGATACCAATCTTCTCCCCGGTCATACCTACGCTCTCCGTAAGGGCAACCTGTACCAGGAACAGGGCGTCACCTTGGCGCGGTCTTGTGTGATTGGCCGTCGGACGGTCATTGGAAAGGGAACGAGCATCGGTGACAAGACAACTGTACGCAACACAGTGTTGGGCCGAAACTGTAAAATCGGCCGCAACGTCAAACTTGAAGGTGCGTACCTTTGGGATGGCGTGATCATCGGAGACAACACAGATATCAACGGCGCCATCATCGCCGATGGTGTCGTCATCGGCAAGAACTGCAAGGTTGCCGCCGGTGCTCTACTCTCATATGGCGTGAAGATCGCAGACGGCATCACAGTTGAGGCTGGCACACGTATCACGAAATCCTGCCGAGACGGAAGTGAATCAATTTCGGACCCCAGCGTCGTCGGAGCAGACGGCGAGGGCCGCGAGTTTATCCAGGGCGAAGACGACGAGGAGGACGAGGACGATATCAGCGTTGCCTCCTCTGGACTCGTCTACCAGAATCCCGCCGCATCTCTCTCCTCCGCTTCCATCTCGACACTCTCCTCCGACATCTCCGACGCTTCCTGGCCGCGTTCCGCTCGCAGCAGTTTCTCAGACGGCGAGGAACAAGATAACTTCCACCATGATGCCACAACCAGTATCTTCGATAGTCTTCGCGATGGCGTTTCGGCTGACGTTGTCCAGCTTGAGCTGGTCAGTCTTCGTATGACTGCCAACGCCTCCGATGTCCAAGTACGACGTGCTATCGTCGCTTCATTCATGAAACACGTCCAACAGTTGATGGAAGGTGGCAAGAATGCCAGTGAAGCGGTGCATCAAATCTTTTCTACATACCGGGAAGTTGTGGACCGAACGCTGTTTGACCGCGCCAAGCAGGAGAAGAAGGATCAAGTCGATTTCCTCATTCAGTTGCAGCAGGACCTGGTGCACCGCAATAAGGGCGCGAATATTCTTCTGTTCACTGCTAAGGAGCTGTATGATCTTGAGCTAGTGGATGAGGAGGCATATGAACAGTGGTGGAGTAATCCACGATCAAGTGAGACTGAAGAGATGCGGAATGTCCGTAGCCAAGCACAGCAGTTTGTTGAGTGGTTGGCAAATGCGGAGGAGGAGAGTAGTGAGGAGGAGGAATCCGAGGAAGATGATGACGAGGAGGAGAGTGATGATGAGTAGATCATATACCATGCTCTTTGATTCCCAAAAAAATTAGTTGAATGGATCATGGATTGATGAATTACTACCACTGCTGCTACTAGAATTATTATTATCTCATATGGTATACTGGAGCGATCCGGCGCTGGAATGCTCTAGATGGACGCACTACCAGATGAAATGGGCTACTAGCCGGATAATGCTAGAACCAGGGAATACGAGTATCAAAATGCACAAATGCTGAAATCGGGCCTATTCAGAATCGAGGGACTAGATTCTTGATTCCCATGCAGTCATGCGATGCCTCTAGATTTCGTATTTGTTTCTGGCCTAATGACCTCCACATGATTATTCCAAGGTTTAGTCCAATCATACCACATTTGGAAGTCAGCAATAATATGCCACCATGGGCTAAGGTGTTATAGTAGAGTCCTCTTGTTGAAGTGTAGATCCTGATAGCTTGTGGCATCTACTGGTTTGAGGTGGTTAGGACCGGCGGTTGAAAAGCGACAGAGAGATCTGACTGTATTCGTGGACCAATAGGGGAGTACTCCGTACTGAGATGTCTTGGTGATCCCTGCTCTGACTGTATCTACCGCCTGATCAAGATGCCCTGAGCGCTCTCATAAAAGCGGCGGTAACCAATAACCCATTATAGGCATCTGGGTGAGAAATGTCAGTAAGCTGGGCAAATGCGTGTTGACGTAGATGAAAACATGTCATAGAGCCCATTAATTATTCCCAAAATGATTCATTGTGTGAGTCAGGGTAATAATTTTTGGACCTGTTCTATGCAGGTCAAAAGAGAAAAAGTAAGGACGCTAGCGAAACATCCTAGGCTCCTAGCACCCCTGGAGCCTGGAGGAGTCATCGGAATCTGTACCATCAGGGGGGGAATTAGTGAAATAGAACATGTACGATCTGATGAGCACATGACCAAGAAAGTGAATAACAAAAAAAGCAAACAGAACAAAACAGACAAAATATGCAAAACAACTTTTGGAAAACAAACGAGACAAAATTGACTCTCAATCCCAAAGAAACCAGGCAACGTTCTTGTATACTGCCCAGGTGTACTGTAATCCCGGTTCCCCACTCCGCCCCCTCCGAACTCACGCGCGATTTTTCCCCATGACGTTTTGCCTCCAAACGGAATCATTTGCAGTCCTTTCCCTTTATTAAAACCCCCATCCTCCTTCGGCAAATCGCCGCCCCTTTTTCACGACGACTCCCTCCACGCGAAAGAGAAAGGCGGCCGAGGCGGCGATTGCGGACGACAACGAGCCTCTCCCCAAATCCGCCACCAAGGCTGCCCATACCAGAAACGCCACTACATCGTCCGGCGACCCACAAGAAAACGACAGAGACATCCCTTCCACTGGTCTTGCAACCCTCAAGTCCATCGAGTCTAGGAGCTCGGCAACAAGCTCTGAGACTCAGAAGAAGAGGGGAATCGTGACGCCCGCGACAACTACCGGAAGCATGGACTCCGACGATGACTTCATGAGCGATGTCTCAAGCGCGGATGATTTTCTTGACACTCAAGGCAGTGATGATGAAAGCCTAGGCGAAGGTATGTATCTATGAGCGCCTTTAATTCTACGACGAATACGCTACGGGAAGAGATCACCCTCATCTTCCCCCACCTCCTCTTTATCCCTTCTTGATCACAGCGGCTGACCATCCTAAAGTGGACTTTGGCGACCTTGACACCGGATTTTCGGACGACAAAGATTTAATCAAACAGAAACGAAAAGCATACGAAGTCGAGTTCAAAGTTTTAGATCCTTCCGACATCGAACGAGAACAGTTGGTGCAGGTTAACAATGTTTCCGCTATCCTCGGGTTGCCGCCAGAGTCGGCTGCGATCCTTTTGCGGTTTGGTCGCTGGAAGCAGGAGAAGTTAATTGAGGAATTCATGGATCGCCCGGAACGGACACTCGAGGAAGCTGGACTAGGAACCAACTTCGAGGGTACGGCTAAGACGGAGGTGGTGCCTGGTTTTGCGTGCGATATCTGCTGTGAGGACGGACCGGATCTTGAAACATATGCTATGCGTTGTGGACATCGGTATTGTGTAGACTGTTACCGCCACTACCTCGCAGGCAAAGTTAAGGAAGAAGGGGAGGCTGCTCGAATCGAGTGTCCTGGAGACACCTGCCATCGGATTGTTGACTCAAAGTCCTTGGATCTACTTGTGACCGATGATCTTAAAGACCGGTATGATTTTGTGCTTGAGTCTTTTGTTCAATTATTTAGAGGATCATTCAATTTTGCTAACCCCTCTTTTCTCTTCAGATATCGCGTTTTGCTTACTCGAACTTATGTGGATGACAAGGATAACCTTCGATGGTGCCCAGCTCCTAACTGCGAGTATGCTGTCGACTGCGCTGTCAAAGCCCGTGATCTCAACCGTATCGTACCCACAGTACGATGCGTCTGCCAACATGAATTCTGCTTTGGCTGCTCCCTTAACGATCATCAGCCCACACCCTGTCCTCTTGTGAAGATGTGGCTGAAGAAGTGTGAAGATGACTCAGAGACCGCCAATTGGATTTCTGCCAATACCAAAGAATGTCCCAGATGCCAGTCCACTATTGAGAAGAATGGAGGATGCAACCACATGACTTGTCGTAAGTGCAAGCATGAATTCTGCTGGATGTGCATGGGTCTCTGGGCGGAGCACGGTACCAGTTGGTACAACTGCAGTCGCTACGAAGAAAAGTCAGGGTCCGATGCGCGGTCTGCTCAGGCTAAGTCGCGAGCATTCCTGGAGCGGTACTTGCATTACTACAACCGATATGCCAATCATGAACAATCAGCAAAGTTAGACAAGGATCTGTATCTCAAGACCGAAAAGAAAATGACTAGCCTCCAGTCACAGTCTGGACTCTCATGGATTGAGGTTCAGTTCCTGGATACAGCATCACAGGCTCTGCAGCAGTGTCGACAGACTTTGAAATGGACATATGCGTTTGCATTTTACCTCGCCCGTAATAACCTGACGGAAATCTTCGAGGATAATCAAAAGGACTTGGAAATGGCAGTCGAGAGTCTCAGTGAGATGTTCGAGAAACCAGTGTCCGAACTGGCCGAGTTGAAGGTGGACATTCTGGATAAGACCGCCTACTGCAACAAGCGTCGGGTGATTTTGCTGACTGACACCGCTGAGAATTTGAAGCATGGTAAGTTTGAATTTCCTTCATATATGTGCCTTTGCACATGTTCATCAGGGTGGTGGCACCACAATGTTATTTTGCATACTAACTAATGCGCACAGAGGAATGGTCATTCAACATGAAATGGTGATACTATCAACTTCCCTTATTGATCCCCGGACAAGACCTTGACGACGTGAATGAACTTCTTGCTTTTCTTTTCCCTCTTTCTTTTTGGGCCTCTTTTGTTTCTCCCTCCATCTTCGGTGGGTTCTTTCTGGTCGTAGAGAGGCCTGTCCCTTTTCCTCTTGATACTAAGATGACTTCACCCGCCTCCTGACCTGAATCTTGAACCCGATCATTGATTTTCACTTCATTTCCCGAGGCTGCGGCGCATGAGGTGTTGAGATCTTATTGTATTGGGAGCACCATGGACAGATAGCAGCCCTCTCTATTTCTACTTTCATAGCCAGATAGCGATTTGTTATTCCTTTTTTCTAGCATAATTTTCCGGCCGTGTTTCATATTTGGATTGCGTAAACCAGATCAAATCGCATGCAGGGGCGTTTCTTCATAATTGATGCACTTGAAGTAGATTGATAAAATTATAATAAAATCTTGGGAGATGATGATTCCATACCCTCAAGTGATTCAGGGCTGGTTCTTGTAGCTACAACCAGTTTCCTAAATCGCCTAGGCACCAGTAGCTATGTAACATGCAGATTTACTATAGCGCTTGAGTATTGGGAGATGCCCATACTCTACAATTAGAGATTAATAACCACAGAGGGTCTCGGCCTTACTACTTAGTAATGCGATGCGTAAGTGCAACTTGAATGAGACAAAAAAAGAAGAAAAAAGTCTAGTCTCTTCATAGGCTATCTTCAACAAAGAAATACGAGCAGCACATGTGTACTCCGTACATTCGCTCTCCATTACTCCATGGGTTCCATTCATATTAGCCGACAATCGGCAGAGCAAAGCCGAAGTTTTTCTGGCTCCTTGCTGGATACCCAGTATTCCCTTTTTAGTAGTTCCACCCGAATCAAACAGACATACTCCCTTACGCTTAGCAGTATTTCAATATTTGATTTTAATTACTAGTACCTTTCACATTGAATGTACTATTCAAATTTTGGGCTTTTTTGCTCTGGGTTGGAGAACATACTCCACTACGGAGGTCGGTCCGGAAAGTTCTCGCCAGAAATTATAATTTCTTTTTCTCACACTAGGCTATATACAGTAAATATTGAAATATATCGCGTAATCAAGATGTATATAAAACGGAAATATATAGTACTGAAATATAATAACAGCTTGAAACAGTAAATATTCACATATCTTCCCATATATCGCTGTCGCTGTCGCTGTCGCTGTCGCTGTCGTTGCCGCTGCCGCTGTTATAGGCGTTATCACCTAACCCGCTAGGGGCTACTTCACCTAATTTATCACGCCCCTCACCGTATTCGTTGCCCCCTTCTAGTCTAATGACTTGCTGTATATGCCATGGTATACGTTCAATCCAAGCTTGAATTTGCGCCTGTGGTAGATCACGCCACGCAGCCTCCCATACTTTAATCCCTTCTTTACGCGATTTAGGTGCTCCTTTTCGCGTAGTGTATCTCTTCATCCAAGGCCATGCAGGTTCAATCATATTTAGATCAGGCGAATTTCCAGGCCAGATCATTCGTTGGACCCCCATTATATCAAATATTCGCTGTTGGTAGTGATGTGAATGGGCTGGTGCTTTATCCTCTTGAACTATTGTTTTCGTTCGAATTCGAGCACATTCTTGGGCGAATGGAAGTAGTTTTGGGGCTAAAATCACGGTGTTGTATCGGTACCAATCGATTCCACCTTTCGAATTGCGTGCAAGCTTTCCATTCTTCTGAGTCCATCTCCACTGAGGTTGTCTTCCAGGCTTATTGCGTAGCCCTAATCGCTGTATACCTGAATTAAGCTCCCATTCTGCACGCATAATAGGCTCTAATTCAGTATTCCATTCGGCGATTTGGTGTTCTGCTTCACGCTTTTGGGCTGTAGTTTCAGGTACCCAACAATGACAGGGGCCCTTCTGATCATAAGAAAAAGCACCCCAAAACATGAACTCAGAGGCCCCCTTCCAACGTTCTCGAATACAGCTTCGGACGAACCGCTCACTAGAAGTACGCCATACACGATATCCACCCCGACGGTGTAATAAAACAACCGCAGTTTCATCAGTCCAAATCACATTCTTCCAGTCTTCTATAGTCCAATGGGCGTGTTTTAAACACCATTCAAGACGTTGTTTTTTCTGCTCAGCGGCAAGCCCAGGCTTACGTGTAGGCTTTGTTTTTCGTAGGCCAATTTTTCGTAGTACATGCCAAACTGTTGTTTTTGATATATTAATCCCTAATTATAGAAGAAATATTAGAGGAAATAACATATCAAGTAACATATGAGATAACATATCAAATAACACACCAAGTAACACATCAAATATTATACTAAATAACATATTAAATAACACACTAAATAAAATATCAAATCTTAGAATAACTAACCTGATTCACTGCGTAGCTCTGCAGCTAGCTGTTCACATGTTTTCTCACGCCCATAGCGGTCTACACGGATTTTCGCCCCAAGTGTGGTTTTAAGCTCATCTGTTTGCTTAGATGGACGCCCAGAACGTGCTTTATCAGCTAACATTTCATCTGATATATTGAATGGTCGCTGATTCGGCTGAAAACCTCGTTCGAGTGCACGGTTCCATATGTCTCCTATAGTACGCCGTGGAATATTCATAAATTCACTGATCTCCTTAGGGGCATGTCCTTGGGCCCTTAGGTATACAATGACAGCACGTTGCGCAATATTGGTCTTCATTGTAGCTGTATAGGTGGGACAAAAGTGTAGCTGTGTAGGTGGGATAAAAGTGTGAAGGGGTGTACGGACTGTAGGCGGGGTAAAAGATAAAGATCTACGTGTCCACGGGTGTTATAAGCAATATTTAGCCTAGTACGTAACACGGCAATACATCCAATATACAGCAGGCTATACACCTGACATACAGGGCCGGTAATATATCAAGAAAAAGAAATTATAATTTCTGGCGAGAACTTTCCGGACCGACCTCCGTATAACTTCTACCATTAGACTATGAAAAAATTAGGCCGGGTTTAAGCCCACCCGGACCTCGGCAGGGCAGACGGAAGAGTCGCGTGGTCCTTAGAACCCTCACAGAGTACTGAGAGCCTCCTTATCACCTGGGTCCTGGTGCTAATGCACCGTATAAAGGGGTTAGTGATTTTTTCTTTTTCTTTTTTTCTTTGATCAGAAGTCCATGGACTCCGGTGAGATAGATTGGGTATTCCCTTTAGATACTTGTTAGGTGACTCCGTAGGCTGTTTGAATTTGCCCATAGTAGATCCGGGGATCATCATAATGGATCCAAATGGACTTCTTGACCTTCTCGAAGCCTTTTTCCTCGCGATCCACTTCGGCTCTGCACTGTAATATCCTGGCACTAGTTCCCGATCACAGGGCATAATCTAAATGAAAATGGCAATCCCAGGGGCTTATCAGATTGATAACTCTTACAAGCCATGATACAGGGGCGGTACTTCCCGTGTCTGCTCTTTTTATACGAGTCAGTAAGTACCACTATTTGGATCTTCTTCAGGGCAGCCGAGATTTGTATTGATACATACAATACAGATTTTTTAGGTAAGCTCCGTCATCGGATGGGTCTCTGGGTGCACAAGAAGACACAAAGGGCTTTGAATAGGAGATGTTAGATGCTTGAACATTAGAAAAAAGAAGAAGAATAGGAGTTATACCTTCATAGATTCCATTTGGCAATAATCTGTTCCAAGTTGTTAAAATTGAAGCATTGAAAGAAAATGAAAATCCTTGTAAATAGTATCGTGGGCTCGGAGATCTCCTTAACCAAGAATGGGTCGGAGGCTGTGGAATCCGGCGATGGTCGGTCCTTGATAATAATTGCCTTAGCTCCGGGGACTGGGAATTCCGTTCCCTAATCTTCATAATTTTTTTTTCTCATCTTCTCTCCAGGTTTCCCCAGAGATTCTCAGATTCCCTTTATCGATACGATCATATTATACGGTCGTGGTCGCATCAATACGGACCCCCCCCTGGTTCCTGTTAGACTCCGCGGCGAACTTGTATTTTACTGCGTCTTCACAAACATCCACTCTTGTCTCTTCACACACCTCTGTCACCACAACTTCCTTTCCACCAACGCTCTACCACCCATTCATATCCATCCATAACCTTTCTTGAATCATCTCGACTGTGCGTCGAGCTATCCGAGCTCCATGGCGTCCGCCGATGAGGTCTCCGGGCAGGAATTTGAGTAAGTGATTTCTCCGCAGGTTTGGTGATGATTTCTTCTCCAGCCAGCGTGATGGCGAGTTGCGCAGCATCAGAACCCCTCGCACTTTGTTCTTCATAGTCGATTGAGCCTGGCACATGTGTCAAATTGTGTTTCATTGCGTTGATTTGCTTTATTCACCCCAATTCCTTGATGCCGCACTCCGGTGAAGCCGGTCTCATTTTGCGTCCCGGCAACCGAGATACGCGCATCCCCAACCCCCAACACTCATTCCGGAGTTGAATAGCAAGCTGACTTTTTTGTCTTTTAGTTATGAAGCCCTGCCTGCGAACTATGGTCTCGGCCCCTCCATGCTCGCTGGTGCCTTTGCCGGAATTGCTGTACGTGGGATTCGAATACCCTTCAGATCGATTGTGGCTAGATCGTAGCTTGGGTGGAGAATTTTGGCTAATTAGAATAACAGGAGCACTCCGTCATGTACCCTGTCGACCTTATGAAGGTATGTAACACATTCATGAGGATGTCATTTTTTCCTTGTGTTGGCTTGGGTTGCTGACAATTTTTTTGCTCTCTTAGACTCGTATGCAAATCTTGCACCCGTCGAGCGGTGGACTGTACACCGGTATCAGCAACGCTTTTTCTACCATCTACCGCGCTGAGGGCTTGCGCACTCTGTGGAAGGGCGTATCGAGTGTCATTATTGGTGCTGGTGCGTTTTTGATAACCCGGGGAAATGACTAGCAATCTCGGAAGAACTGGCGGCTGACATGTTTATTTTATTTTTTTCGCTATAGGTCCCGCTCACGCTGTTTATTTCGGTACTTATGAGGTGGTCAAGGACTTGGCTGGTGGCAACGTTGACGATGGACACCACCCCGTCGCTGCTGGTGAGTGCTATTCGGTTGTTGGAGGTTGGAAGTAGGCAGATATGGAAATCAGATGACTGACGGAGTTTGCATACAGCTCTCAGTGGTTCCGCCGCTACAATTGCCAGCGACGCTCTTATGAACCCTTTCGATGGTAAGTGAGCTCCCCGGGAAAAACAAACACAGAAAAACAAAAACAAGAAGAGGAAAAGTGGAAATTCAAAGGTCGAGGGGATTCAAGGTAACTGACTTATCTTGCAAAATAGTCATCAAGCAACGTATGCAGGTTCATGGCTCTGTTCACAAGTCTCTGGCTCAGTGTGCTAAGACCCTCTACCGCACCGAGGGTCTCCAGGCCTTTTATGTCTCTTACCCCACCACTCTTTGCATGACTGTCCCCTTCACTGCCACCCAGTTTGTCGCCTACGAGTCCCTTTCCAAGGTTATGAACCCTAAGGGCGAGTATGATCCCATGACTCACTGCATTGCTGGTGGTCTTGCCGGTGCTGTCGCCGCCGGTCTTACTACTCCTCTGGATGTTGTCAAGACTCTTCTCCAGACTCGCGGTCTCGCCAGTAATGAGGAAATCCGCTCTGCCAAGGGCCTCTTCAACGCTGCCTCCATCATCAAGCGCCAGTTTGGATGGGCCGGCTTCGTTCGCGGTATGCGTCCGCGTATCATTGCTACCATGCCCAGCACCGCTATCTGCTGGTGAGTATACTCTTTTATCTCCTGATTTCTCCTTCCCTTTCCTTGATACCAATACTTACCCCCCACTAGGACTTCTTATGAAATGGCCAAGGCCTACTTCAAGAATGCCCAGAAGAACCTGGAGTAAACAATACTCCATTTGCCCGGACTCTCAGCCTCTCTTCGGATGATCCTTAATGTTTTTTTCGTGATACCTGTGTTGTGATCGCCCCACACAACACCTTTTCGCCATTTTCCTATTCTTTTGTTTTAACTACGATCTCCTGAGGTGGTCACGGGTTTATCTTCTGGGTTGATTTTTATTTTTTACATGGTGATGGGCAGTGCCCAGCCATTGATAATGGTGGATCTGGGGCTTCAAAATCAGAAAAAGAACATGGAAAAGAAGAAAAAAAATCCCTAACAATTCAATTAACCAAAGCCCAGGGTCCATCTTCATGCATATTTGGCATATTTGGAACTGATATTCACCAAAAGCGATGCAATGTACAGATAAGTAAGGTAGGAGGGGAGTGTTTTATTTGGGAAACCATTATTTTGTTTCATCTCATGTATTCACCATTTGGAGGTGAACTTCTCTTCTTGACCTCCCTGTCTGATGTGCTCAATGTTTTCCTCTATTGGCGTTGGAAACATGCCTGGTTTGTTTTTGGTTTGGGGGTGATCTCTGCATCTACTTGGATTATGATTGATTTGTACCCATAGAACGTGGAATCTAGACGTGATATCCGATTTGATCATTACTACAGAAGTAGTCTACTAATAGTAGTAGTATAGTACTCTACTATAATGTAATAATAAGATAGAGTAGGTCATAGTAGAGTACTCGAAAGTACTTGAATCCGAGTATAGTGGTAGCTCACGTGCATTATGATGGTGCTATACTCCACACTTACTCGTAATCCATGAAGCCACCGGCCAGTACGGTGTAGGTTTTGAATTAATATCTTTCATCCAATTATTACCACTCTCAAATTAAAATCTGATACCCTCATAGTCCCTGCATTTGAGATCTATATAGTTGGAGGGTTGCCGCATGCAGTAACTGCCGAACCCGACGACGTCACGCGAAAATTCCTCCCCTCACAACGGGAGATCATCGCCTTCCATTTCTCCCCACCACAACCAGTTGTGAAATGGGTGCGGGCTTGTGTATTCCCAATGATGCGCCCACGGCCCGCGTCTTCCATGCAGAAGACGTATGATGAGTGCTATCTACTATGCTCCACTGCAGTCTATTTTGAGGGCCAGGTAAGCTTCCTGCGGCTCCCGGTCGGGGATATTGGGATGCAATTCGCTCATGACATCAGAACAATGAAGAGGAAGCATTGCGATCCTGGAGATCCGCCCTCGAGACTATCTATCACCACAATGCTCGCCGAGTATCCTCTACTTACACCCCCAAATCCGAAACCGAGAAGGCACTACAAGATTCCATCCGAGCCTTGGAGGTTCAATGCCGTGAACGAGTCGACCTGCTATCCGCTCTGCGCGAAAGTCGGAAAGAGACGGCTGAAGCAAACGGCAACGAAAAGGGCCCTGCGACACTCATAAAGGGTAGACACTCTGTTAACACTACTCAGCAACCAACAAACAACATCACAGGGTGGATCGGCGACGGTACGATCCCAGCAGTGGGCTATACCGATCTTTCCAAACCAGCTGCTATCCCTGGACGACCTCCTCCACCGCCAAAGCACCACTCCGATCCAATCTCGTTTCCCGAAGATTCCGCTCATCCAGTGGGCCTGTCGCCGGCCGGCTCGCCTGCCATGAGGATGAACTCGAATTCGTCTGAAAAGGAGAAGTCGCGTGGCTCCAGTCCGGAGAGACGGAAGCCGATGTTGACGACATTGCGCAGCACTGATGGCAAGAAAAAGACCAAAGTGAGTAGTAAGAAGAAGGAATCGCGGCCGGCCGCTTCCAAAGCAGCTGGCCTGGCATGGGGCAGCACATTCCGGTCTGCATCTGGCGATAAGACTTTCAGCGATGCGGCTGCTATAGCTTCGTCTCGGAGTGCCGCCAACGCCGAGCCAAGGACTAGTTCGGGAGACGAGCCTTTGCCAGGTCGACATCAGCTACCACGGAAAGACTCCGCTACAGATAGGATTCCGGCTGCCAATTGGCGGGAACCTCATCAGCCGTCGCCGACTCGGTCAACTCCGCGGCTTGTCCGCCAGCCTGTGGCACCCGAAAGCCCTCGTCCACATTCATCGAGGCCAGCGGTCATGCCGGATCCGAAGGACTTTACCTCTCCTCCCTCTCCTGTACCTAAACCTTCTGTCAAACCGAAGCCTGCTGGTTTGAGATCTTCCCTTCAGCCTCCACCTCGTGTCACCCCGGTTACTAGATCCGAAGGTAACTCTCGATCGGCCACACCGCGAGATGATCGTAATCCAAATTCATCGAGAAGTACACCACGTACAAAATCGGCGCCACGGACAACCAAGGTCGGAAAGTCAGCTTATATCTCACCATCATCAGGAAGCGATGATGTGCAAAGAGGTATGAATCGGATGACGATCTCGGCTGCGAATGGTAGCAGTGCAACCCGCCGAAAACAAGTTCCTGCTAAGCGACGTGAGACGCCGCCGTCAAGCGACCAAGAGTCTTCGGGGCAACATTCGACAGAAGATGAAGCCGAGGACGAAGCCGACGATGATAATCATGATATTGTGAACATTCTGAATAAGCTACCCAAAGGAGTCGATCTGCAGTCAGCACGTCAGATCTTGAACGATATTGTCGTACGTGGTGATGAAGTTCATTGGGATGATATTGCCGGACTGGAGGGGGCGAAGAAAGCTCTTAAAGAAGCGGTCGTGTACCCATTCTTACGCCCTGATCTTTTCTCTGGCCTTCGTGAGCCTGCACGTGGTATGCTGCTATTTGGCCCTCCAGGAACCGGTAAAACCATGCTTGCACGGGCCGTTGCCACCGAGTCCAAGTCCACATTCTTTTCCGTCTCATCATCTAGCCTGACCTCAAAATGGCACGGCGAGAGCGAAAAGCTCGTACGTGCCTTATTCGGGCTGGCCAAGGTTCTCGCCCCTTCAATTATCTTCGTGGACGAGATTGATTCGCTGTTGTCTGCACGTTCCTCCGGTTCAGAGCATGAAGCATCTCGTCGATCTAAGACTGAGTTTTTGATCCAATGGTCAGATCTTCAGCGTGCCGCTGCAGGTCGTGAGCAGTCTGCCCGAGATAAGAAAGAGGGCGATGCGAGTCGCGTGCTCGTTCTGGCTGCGACAAACATGCCGTGGGATATTGACGAAGCTGCACGTCGTCGTTTCGTTCGTAGACAGTATATTCCTTTGCCGGAACATCACGTGCGTGAACAACAATTGCGCAAGCTTCTCAGCCATCAGCATCATGAGCTCAGTGATTCGGATACCGAAGTTCTGGTCCATGTAACAGAAGGTAGGCCTTGACATCCTAATCATATTATAGATTGATCATTCTAGCTAACAATTTCAATAGGGTTCTCCGGCTCAGATATAACAGCTCTCGCCAAGGATGCAGCGATGGGTCCTCTTCGCAATCTTGGCGAGGCTCTCCTCCACACACCGATGGATCAAATTCGACCTATCAAATTCCAAGACTTTGAATCAAGTCTCTTCTCCATTCGACCTAGTGTTTCCCCAGATGGACTCCGCAAATACGAAGACTGGGCGAGGGATTTTGGCGAGAGAGGTGGCTAAAGCCAGCTTATCACTCTCTGAATGTATTAAGTTGTTCAAACAGATGCGTTGAATGGATTTTTCAGCTGCACTTTCTCCCTTTTGTCACGAAAACGGAAGACATACAAGAAAATCGGCGGGGCCGACTAAGCTCATCTAAAGAAATTTTGATACAGTTCGTTCTCGGGGGTACTCTGTGCTGTTTATTCCTGGCGTCTCATTTTTGAATTGACTGGGCTGAACCTTTAGAGACTTGAAGCATGACATGCTTGGAAGTGCCCATTCTCTTCTCTTTATTTTTTTTTGTTTGCGAGTGAGTGCATTTGGATCGTTTTCATGGGGTTTTGGATGCTGAGTGGGCATGGAGTTTGATGATGTTGATGATCAAGACTTTGTCCACGGTACATATGATATGTTTTTTCTAGCTCTCTTTAACGCCTATATGCACTGGTACTATGCATTCAATGCAATCATTGAAATTCAAATTCCAGAAATAAGTGGAAGTATCCAAATGTACAGCAGGGCGTGAAGTTGAAGCTACTAGGGAACTACTGGTAGAATGGTGAGTATGAGGGTAGGTACTCATGTAGTTACTCGTTTACACAGAGGAGTAGGCAACCAGGCACTGGAAAATACATCCAACATCCTACTTGGTAGATGGTCAAAAGTCCAGCACTGGCAAAAACCACATACGCCTCATACGCCTCCTGGCTTCATTGAGGTAGACCTTAGATAGACCTCTTTCACTACTCAGGATACAGTACATGTTTTGAAATCTTAGGGTTAATGTTCAATTAACTATTGCAGTTTAGTATGTGGGGAGGAGACGCTAACACGAAATGGTCACAAATTCTCCCTTATATTTGAGTAAAAAGCTCCCCCTGTAACCACTCTGCTCTGCTAGTCTATCGGGCGGCGACCCGTTTGGGGGACAAAGGTACTGAAATGCGGACGCTGGACCCATTTTCAGTGGCAGAGACTTTACCGGCGGGTGGGAGGGTATCTGGCTTCGGCCAGGGAATAATGCTTTTTCTGAATTTTTGATATTTTTCCCTATTATACTTCTGGCTTTTTTCTTCCTATTCCACTTTTCAGATCCTCAAAATAAAAATAATCGAGGGAGATAGAAATGATTCTGTGTTGAGGATGAATGTATCAAGTGAGGCTGTTGAGGCTATTCACGCATTTCTGATTTTGAAGGTCCTGGGTTCGATCCCTGATCTTGCTGGATTTCTTTTCTTTCTTTTTTTTTGTCTAAGAATACAAGAATACCAGGGCCACCTTGGCACCTGGGCAGCAGTCACAAAACTCAAGTGCTTCAACTAGTCTCGATGGCCTTTGTGGCTTGAACTATTGGACACCGAACCCCCAGCCACATTCTTAGCCGGTTCAAAAACACCATTATGCCGCTCGTCGGCTCTATATAGCCCCTCTAGCTGCTTTCTAAGCTGGCCTATGTCCTCCGACATCTCCTGTCGGAGCTCTCTGCCGAGCTCTGCAACCTCCGCTCTGGAGGCTAACATTGCCCCTAAGGCGAGGCCTTTTTCAGGGTCATGTTCCTTTTTCTTTTTCTTTGAGCAAATTTTTTTCACCAGCAGCACAGTTCTATGGTGTTTTTCAGAAAAGTCGGCGTCGCAAAGATCGCCGCAATAAACTTTCTGGCCGTGTCTAGGCCAGGGACCGCGTGGTCGGAGCTCTCTATACTCAAAACATTAGCCCCGATCACAATGATAGATACATGTGCAGAAAAGCCAGGGGATACATACTGCTGTCTTCTCCCTGCATCAACTCCTCGAGCTCTTCTGGCAAGAAGTGATGTAGCCCATCCGGGCCGAGAGGCGGCAGAGTCTTGATAGCAGCGGCCGAGGTAATATTGCTTGAGAAAAGCTACATAGTCATGACATGGTTGTAAGCATTCTCTTTCAATTGCATAGATGTCCAAAAACTGCACCTCAATATCCCGATGTACGCGGTCTTCCATTTGGTCTGAACTCTCATCGGCTTCGGGGTGGGGAGTAAAATGAGAGTATTTGTTTTCAATATCGCACAGCTCAGGCGAAGGCTCTTCTTCAACGCCACTTTCTGTATTCATGTAGGGAATCAGTAACGGCGGTCAGATGTTTGAAGTGGCAGTGAGTGATAATTGAGTGACAGAGGTCTCAGTGTTTGGTGTGGCAATGAGTGATGAAGGTCTCAAACGTTTTTGACAATGTTCCGCTAAATTTCAGGAATAAGAATCTACCAGTAGCAATGGGCGTTGTAGCAGTTGTGGAAAGGTGATATGAGCATTTGAAGTGGTAGATCGCGTACATGTCACTTTCTCCTCAAATTCACTTCACATTGCTCTCACTTACGAGTAACATGGAGGACAACCAGCGGCAGAGGGGAGAGGAGCTTCCTCATGGCAGGGTAATCTTCATGGTGATGGTGGTTGGCTGCTGTGGGTAGCTTTTATGGATTATGGTGATGGATGTCAACTCGTACTAGTATGGGAATAACAATAATATTGTTAAAGACTCAACCTGCGCTTGCCTTCTTTTCAATTGTAAGACTTCCAAGTTGGAGAAAGGTGCAGCCCTAGGACCTCTAGGGCTAAAGAGTAGTACAAAGATCTATGACTTTACCTAGTTCAGTAAAAGCAAACTTGAAATTCGAGGTGATTCGTCTCTAGCATCTGGAGTGTCAGTTACTTCCTTGTACATTTATTTTCCTCCATCATGCCCCTCGAGCTTCTGTCTTTCTATGTAGCGGAGCAACCCTGAAAATCTGTAGTGGAATGACTCTTCTAAGATTTTACTAAAGTCTACATTAGAACTCGGAGACACAACCTTGGAATGTCATGGAAATGTTAACTTCCACGGGTCGAAGCGAAGCCAAAAGCAAAACGGGCCTAGTACATATCTTTCTCACGGCGGCTTAGAAGAGTGTGAAGTCATTCAAATATTTTAAGGAATTCTCAACCTTTGAATACTTTACTTTCCTTCACTTCAGGTCTGCTACTACACCCCTCCTACATTCGAACAAGCAGCTGGGCACAAAAACATCACCTGAGCGTGTTCCAAATCCTAATCATGGATTCGCTCAAAAGTCGACTCAGACCTGAGTCTTTCCACCAGACGAACACATCTAATAAAAAGATTGATCTCTCCACCGATTCTTTGATCCTCGCTGAACTCCCAACCGAGATGATACAATGTATATCGGATTTTCTTGAACCCATTGACATGATCTGCTTCTCTCTATGCAACCATCGACTTCGTACCATCATGCCAAATTTTTGGAAAACCAGAAATCCGAGGCCCAGATGTAATAAAATGGCGTTCTTGACTCGTTTGGAGCGAGATATTCCCCATACTTTGCGTGCGATGTTTGCAAGGTCCTTCATCAGTTTGATGGATCCGAAAGCTTTGGACTTGGTGGTGGACGCGAGCAACAAACCAGTCAGCTCCCTTGTGTGAAGTCTGAAAAATGGTTCAGTCACCCTTTTGTGATGTATGCCCACTCGGGAATTGATTTTGAGTTATGCCGCCTCTCTTTCCTTCAGATCAAACTTGCTATGAGGAGGTTTTACTACGGTCCGTCGGCAGGAATCAGCACCGACACTTTAAGCCATACTCAAGTGCGCAGCTATGAGGAAGACGATTTGGATGATTCGGAAAGCCTCCGGTTATTTTCAGTAGAGGCTAAAATCCGTCCCAAGCCTCTTGGTCTTTATGTCAGGATGCAGGATATAATGATGCCACTGGCAGAGGTCGATAGTTGGGAAGAATTACATCGCCTAAACGATAAATACCGGCATAAAGGCCTGTCTTCTATTGAATCGCTCCTAATCTGTCAGCATATGCGAGTTTCCAAGGTTATTCGCCCTTGGGTGGATTTAAATGTTCTGCCAGGAGACCAGACCGTGAATAAGCCTGAGATCTGGTCTTCTGAAAATCGATGTGACATATGCAATGTGGACTACCATGTAAAGGCATGTGTGATTGATTCTCATCCTACCTACATAGTGACAAGATGTTTGAACCTGGGTCTTGGTCTTACAATGGATGATCCATCATGGAAGCTCCAAACTTGTCCCGACTGGAAAACCGACACAGAGCCTCTTAACACAGAGGGAAATATTTCACCTCGCTTGTGTTTTGAAACAACGGGCTGTCCATCATTGGAAGACTGAAGTTCGCATAACATCAACCACCTCAGAGATGATAAATACATAGAGACAATGCAGTTCTCAGCACCGATGAAACATCTCAAGGTCTTTCCTAATACAGCACCATATATAGGGTTCGGCTCAGGGAGATGGTACGTCTCTTACGGCGAGCCCACAGCGAGCCTCAAAGACAAAGAAGATTCTTAAACAGCTCCAAGCTGCTTTGCCTGATAAGTCAGTCTTTTTTGCAATTTCCGTGCACGAGAGTGATACAGAGAAATTGGATTGGAGATTACCGTGCAGAGACTCGGGTATGCGGCGACAATCTACGTTTGGAAGATTCTGAGATCACTCCGTAGACGAGACTGAGATCCCAACATCATGCATGGAATTTAATATGGTTTTCAGCAGTTGAACTTACGGCGTTAGTCGTCTGAGGCTCCAATCTTGGAACATTGCTCGAAGTCATCCATCTAGCTAAGTCCGATGACTTTTATAAGAAAATCACACCTCAAAATATGACCACTCTAGCTAGTAAATTGAGTCAGGGAAAAGGCCTGAAAATAAATAAAAAATACCATTCTATTAATGTATCGTAAAACTTTTCGTTCACGTTATAATCGCATTACATCTTGATATACTCAAGTAAAATCTCAAAACCACAAATTTCGTAGATTCAATGCAGTCCAGAGGCCCCGTCATTGTACAAAATTCGTTCACCATTCCCATATATACCCAAACCATCACCCAAATTCTAGTTTATTACACTGCATGAATACATTTTCCCATGCGGACTCGACATAGCCCATAATCTAGAAGACCATACCCTTGGTCTGCTTGACCTTGTTCAGATCAATGTCCTTGATCATGAACATCCAAACAAATGCCAAGGACATGATACCCAGACCAGCTGCAAGAAGTCGGACCTCGGAGTAGGCGTAAGCGTGCTGGATAGCAGTTCGGATGGCGGTTCCAGGAGCGTAGGAAATCTGGACGTCAACACTGTTGTAGATTGAGTCAAGGTCTCCCATAGCATCCTCGGGAAGATAATGAGCGAGGGCCTTCTTGAAGGTGTTGGTCCAGATGGCAGTGCAAATGGTGTATCCAGCAGAGTCACCGATGGTACCGATGACATTCAGCAGGGCCAAAGCAGTAGCAACGTGCTGGTGGTCGACGGCGGCAAGAATACCAAGTTGTTCAACGATGATGAAAATAGATCCACCGATGGAGATGAAAATTTGACACATGATCTGGTATCCAACGCTGGAGTTGGGCTTTCGGAAGTAGATCATCAATCCCTGAGTGAACACGTACAGAGGGACGGAAATATACAAGGTCCAGCGGAAGCGACCGGTTCGGCGGATAATGTAACCAACAAGGAGCAAGAGCACACCGGAGACAATGTCGAAGATGTTCATAACGTAACCAGAGGTTGTGATAGACATATCGTTGACAACCTGGAGGAAGTTCTGGTAGTAGTTGTACCAGCAGTAGTAGGAGATCTGGTATGTGGCGTCCAGAAGACAGGCGCCGAGAACGGTTCGGTTGGTAAGGAGGCGGTAGTCGAACAGAGGAGTTGGTGCAACCCAGGTCTCCCAGATAGCGAAGAAGAACAGCATGGAGAATCCGACAACCAGCATGGCGATAATGTAGCCAGTTCCCCAGCCATTGGGAGCCTCAGAGGCAATATCGAAAGGCAGTTCAAACAGGACGAGACCGATGGTGAAAATAATAACACCAACCACTGTGAGGAAAAAAGAAAAATTAGAACCACGTTCATCTCAGCAACTTAGGGACGGAAAGGGAAGGGAATACTAACAATCGAACTCATTAACCCAGAACCAGACGCTCTGCATGAAAGTGCGACCGCTTGGCTCCTTCATACGGTGACCTTCCTTCTCTGCCTTCTTAAGGTTGAGCTTCAGGACAATGTAGAGGGGAGCAGCAACGACTGGGAAAATGATAGCCCAGGCACCGAATCCCCATCGCCAGCCAACTCGGTAGTAAAACTCATCGGCGACCTTGGGTCCAGCAAAGGCGGTGATGATGTAGGGGGAGGAGGTGAAGGCGTACGCCAAACCTCGGTTCTTCAGGGTGGATGAATCGGCAGTGATAACGTCCACACAGTACTCCATACCGTAGAAACCAACGTAGTAGAATACCTAACATAGGAAATAAAGTCAGCGATGATTTCATTCACTCAGACGAGATCAATAAGGAATCAGGTAATACTCACGTTCGCAGCACAGTAGATGGGGAACGAATTACAAGAGGCCATGAGAATCAGACCAAGGGTGGCACAAATAGTCATGAAGAGGAAACCTTCAGCACGACCCCAGACATCCATCATCTTACCCACAGGAAGGTAGGTCGCAGCGGCGAAAGCATCAGCCATAGCAGAAGGAACACCGGAGAGGGAGTGTTGCGAGAAGGAACTAGCGACGTAGGAACTCAAACTGTCGTAGACAGATGACTGGAAAGCGTTCACAAAGTACAAGAACCACATGCTGTAGCAGAGTATTAGCTCTGAATGCACGAATTGGAGTCCAATCTCTTATGGATTGAGCCAATAATGATGAAAAGCAACAGGTTGAAACTTACTTAATGAAGACAAAGATCAGGGTGTTTCTGGACCAAGTCATGGTAATGGCCTCCACATCACGGATACCATGTTGATCATGGGCATCGATATGCTCTCCATCTGACTCTGATTGTTCTCCATCGGCATTGGGAGCAGGTTGTTCACCCTTGGTCTCTTGAACAGTGCTTTGCTCAACGTTACCCTCCTCGAAAGAAGTGGTAGTCTCTCGCTTCTCGCGCAGACGGCTAAAGACCGTTCTGGCCCTGCGCAGCAGGGGTCGGATTTCCCGGGCCATTTTCAAAGTATTTGATAAATGAAACCAAGGAGAAGAAAAAGGAACTGAACCCAGATGTCAGAAGAGATTTTCCTAAAGCCAAACCGGAGAGGGGCACCCTAGTCCTTATATAAAATCAGGTTTATCCACATCGGCATCACCGGCCGAAGAAAATCGAAAAGAATCCACCGCTTGGGAGACAATGTTGGAACTCAAGGCGCGCTAACCGGACACACTATCCTCAATGAGACGCGTGGAAAGCATCTGGGGGCATTCGGGGCCGCTCAGATCTTCCAATTTGTCGTATGATTCGAAGAAAACCCCCATCGAGTGGAAATTTTCTTACCCTCCTTACTAGCGTGGGTTAGCATAGGCCGCGCAATAAAAAGTCCACTTATTCCACCGAAAATGGAGACTCGTGGGATCTAATCAGTCTAATCAGTCTAATCAGATCAACTTTCGGGTACATTCATCTTATCTAGCGTGCCCTGAGAGCTCGTAGCGAGGATCCACTTTATACCCTTCTCCACTTCATCAAAATCATCGAAGTAGATTGGTCAGACTCAAGCTTTTCCTTCGTTGCTTAGCTCTAAATGGCACAGATAATTACCGGACTAATTGTGGAGTTGTTTGAAAAATAATCAAGGAACGATACGAATTAAAAAGGTCAGGTGGACATCTGAACAGTTAGCCCATTGTTAACTTCGGAAATGAGACTGAATCCATGAAGGAAACTAAACTAATCTATGCATATCCACGGATAGATCCTATCTGATTGTGGCCTAACCTGGAACCGACCCTGGGGCCCTGAAATCCTTGACAAGTACCTGCGCCATTTATATGAAGAAATGACAAATGAATTGAAGAATTGCCCGACAGTTTCCGATCATGCTCCGAAATCGACTAACTTGAATTCAGGTTATTGCCCAAGCTAGGAACATTTAGACCTGAATCATGTCGAACTCGGATACAAGTTGCCCATTCATAATAATTATAATAATTGGGGTGACTGTTCAAGCTCCAAGAAAAGCGTGCGCCCGGGCGATATTTCTAGAACTAGAAATGAGCTGCAGCCGCTACGCGTCAAATATGCCGGCCTCGGGATTACTTTGACAGCTTACGAAAAGCTTGGAGGTCTTGGAAGTCTTGGAAGTCTTGGAAATCTTGGGAATTGTGCGATTGGTTGGGCTACCACTGGCATCACCGCAACTCGAAGAAATCAAAGTTTTCCACGTCTCCATACTCAAATGCTAGTTCCGCTAGCTAGCATACATTGGAGAGACAGAAATTTGACACCCAGCTCGTTGTGGATAGAAAAGCGACATTGTACAATAACGTCCGTTTTCACCGTCAAGGTCGGAGGGAACGTGGTACTGGTGGAGCTGCATTATGGAGCACTTGAGACAAAAACAACGCTTTCAAGTTCCACACATGGATGATGGTATATCGCTTGGCTGTGGGTCGAACACGTGGATACCATGAATGTGGCTGCAGTTTTTCACAGAAAGCTCTGATATTCCAAGCTTGAAGTCCGTTATCAATCAGTAGTAAAAGACCCATGGACCACTGGGGCATCCTTGGAAAAGAATAGTCTACCACACATGTGCACCCCATAGAGTACGCTAGTCGACGTGCAGGAGTGGGTCTAAAAAATTGCCTACATGGAGACACTTGCATGCATCATTGTGTTTTGAATGTGGTTCTGCAGAAATTGGACCATCGGGTGATTCTAGCGATTTCAAGTTCGCTCAAAGATTTGTTCTAAGTGGCTATCGGGCTTATTTTACATTATGAGGAGCAATTATGTTCATCTTCAATCCACTGATGAACACATCACGCATCACTTGGGCACTCTTGATACGAATATCATCCAGGCATTCCGGACTGTGATAAGCGGTATGAAGAGAAACCACCAATCTACCCCTTAACCATTCTTCCTGGTCGCGATATGCTTGAAACAAAGGATGAATAACCCCTTCGACCGGAATAGGTTCATTCGAGGCTACATCTAGTCCAAGACCAGTGAGCTTACCCTCTTTTAGGCAACGCTCCGCAGCATCCAAATCAAGAACTTCTCCTCGTGCGGTATTAACCACAATGGAACCCGAGGGCATCAGTTGCAGAAGATCATATCCCACAAGGTTGATGGTCTGTGAGGTTGCCGGACAATGAATACTGAGTGTGGAGCTCCGACGAAACAATTCTTGAATATCACGCGTCCGCTCAATCCCAAGTGCCTTTTCGATCCCATTTGGCGCGTAAGGATCATACGCAAGAACATTCCACCCGAATGCTTTCGCCCGCAACGCAACGGCAGTTCCGATGAGACCGATACCTAGAATTCCAAAAGTGGCACCTTGAATTCGAGAGACCAATGGTGTTTCAATATGAGACCACAAGCTAGGTGGGGTTGATCGTTGACTGTCGTGGTGAAGAATGATACCCCGCCTCAGAGCTAGAGCCAGACTGATTGCGTGATCTGCGATCTCACCTGTTCCATAGTCTGAGCCAGTTATAGGCTAGCCGAAGTGGCAAATTAATATCGCTTTAACTTTGAATGTTTATGCATCTTTATGCATACCGGGAAGGTTACTGAGTATCACTCCTGTTTTTGCCAGTGCCACTCGGTCTACACGGTCATAGCCCGCACCCATCCTAACAATCCTGTGGCGCTGTTAGCGCTCAAATCCTTATATCCTGTGACTAGTACAAAGATGGAAAATCTGTCCGCTCACATACACTTTCAAGTTGGGGAAGAGTTCGAGGTCTGCCGCTGTGAAGTCTGGCTTCAAAATCGTAATGCCATCGACCTTGGCACGCAGCTCTGGGTCTATACTTGACCAGGGCTTGAAAAGAGGTTCTCCTGCGGGAGAGAGGTTTGTCTGTATATAGTTCACTTTGAATGGCTTCTCGCCATCTTTTACCGTGAAGATGGCTTGTTCGATTGAATCATCCTAGGTTTGCATTAGCCCTGTTCAATACTAGAGAGTTTACTATTGGGGTTCTCACGGGATATAGTCCATCAGCTTGGATCACCGTATATGTCGGAATTATAGTATCAAGAGAGCCCATGATGTCACAAGTCCACTAAAATGGAGGAAATCGGAGGAAAGAAAGTTGGAAAAGGATCAATGACCAAGTGTTGATAGTCCAACCCCGCTTCTCTCTTATGCCTTTGATTTATATAACAATCTTGAAGAACTCTCATTCTAATTTTACCGGCTAATAAACTACTAAATTCGCGTGCTTATTTTTACCAGTCAATTCTATGGCGGGTTTACTGAGTTGTGGAGACCCCGGGTTATGAGCTACTTGATGCGATGAAGCCGCGGGCGCATCCTCCCGGCGGTTAAACCATGTACGCTTCCAAGGTTCTAAGCTTGGGACCACTTCCAAGTACATTTGCACCGCCGCTAAAATCTGACATAATCTGGAACCTTCTTCCAAGGTTACTGAATCAAGTGAGGGGAAGCTGTGACATCTGCATAAAACTGCAACATTCGAGTAAACTCTTGAGATACTTCATAAACCATTTGATTATCGGGATTTCACTTCATCAAACTCACGACTCGGAATCATCGTCCACCCACCACGGATAATATCAATCAAAATGTCATTCCAAATCGCACAACTCTTTAGCGTCGAGCGCAAGGTGAGTGATGACTGCGCTATTCCCAAAATGAGAGTCTTCTAATATTAGGAATGCAGGTCGTCGTCATTACTGGAGGAGGCTCTGGTCTTGGCAAAGGTAATATACAATCTTGACAACGTGAGGAATAATATACTTACGATTTTTGGTCATTTTTAGCTATTGCCGAAGCATTTGCTACCAATGGTGCTAAGGTTTACATTACTGGGCGCCGCGAAGCTCTCCTTCAGAATACTTCAACCGAAATAAATGCCAAATCTACCCTTGGCGGCTCAGTTACTGCGTGAGTAACTTCCGATCACAGGGCAATGTGTAGAAAGACAAGCTAATATTTTATAGTATCCAAGGAGATGTCTCCACAAAGGATGGTTGTGCTCAACTGATCAAGGAGATCTCAAGCAAAGAAGACCATGTATGCTATCTCCAACCATAAGGCGCAGCTTTAGACCTTACTGACTATGGAACAGATCGACGTTCTTATCAACAATGCCGGACTTCCAGGAAAGATTGACTATCCTCAGTGGGACCCAAACAATTGTGAGACAATCCGAGTCTTTTATATCATTCTACCCATTCTGACATATATGTCACAGCCGATGAGGTGGAGAAGGCTTTGTGGGAAAGCGTTGATGAGTATTTTCCACCTATTTTTCCGACACAACAGGCATTCAATTCTAACTTCTGCGAAGTGACTCTTTCCATTCAACCAACAGTGGTATGTGATGAAGACTGATGTTTATCAGTTAATCTTGGATGTCATACTGATTTCAAAATCTGTTAGTGAACATCAACGGTATCTATTTCACTACTGTGGGGTTCGTTCCTCTGTTGCGAAAATCTACAGAGCCTAGCGTGATTATCATCGCATCACTTGCTGGTCTTATCAACCAAAGGTCTGTCTATACGCGTGCTATATCTACATATGATCGAAGTATCTAACTTGTTGAATAGAGCAATGGGAACTATGACATACGCTGTATCCAAGGTATGCGACTCCTAGCAATAGATAAGGAACACTGGCTTATTGATACTAATAAAATTCCTTTGACAGGCAGCCGGTATTTTCTTCTCTGAATTCCAATCATTGAGAATTCTATTCTGACTAATGTTTGACAGCGGTGCATTTGTCAAAGCTTCTCGCAGGAAGATTCCACCCGTGAGTCTTGAATAATGATCGGAAATTGACTTTCAACCACCACTAATATGAGTATATCACTAGAATGAAAATTCGAGTCAACTGCATTCTTCCAGGAATCTTCCCAAGTGAAATGACCACTACAGACAGCACAAGTAGCCACGACACCCTGAACAAGTTTGCCGTTTCAGCAGCCAAGAGATGTACTGCTGGTAAGTTCATACATCTTCCAAATCAAATGACGAGATGATATTTGAAGGATGAGGAATCATTCTGATAATAGATATAGGTCGCGCTGGATATGCCGAGGAGATTGTCGGCCCTTGTCTCATGCTGAGTTCCAAGGCAGGCGGATATATGAATGGGGGTCATATTTTGGTGGATGGAGGCAGAGCTATGGTAATTTCCCCGAACTAGTAGAGATGCAAGACATTACTAGTACTATAACTAACTTCATCTTCAGGGCGCCTCGATCAACGACGGACTTCATATGCCAGAAGATACCTACGTCGATTAAATCATGATGCCACGGAGACTCTTCCAAATGCCTGCAAGTTATGAACCATCATCACGGCCAGTACTAGATAAATCAAATAGAAATCGAATTTTTGTTTGCAAGTACATCTTTTTGGTACTTTAAATATAAAACGAAATAATGATACATCTCCTTACAACGTAAATAATCGAAGATGCGCCAGTAAATCGGGTACTATGTCTGAGTGGAACCTCGAGAGCTGCTAATAGTATTCAGCAAACGGTCGCGTGCCCAGGTGGTTCTTCCGATTCCTTAGCGATGCCAACAGGTTTGGAGGTATGATCCATGTAGAAAAACTTTTCAAACATTGAACATTGAAATTTAAATTAAGATCTGGAATGCTGTTCATGTGTGCCGGTGATGTTTGCTTCTTCTAGTAAGTGAGACTTTTCTCTGAGAATAGGGAATAGAAAATTGAGATCAAACAGATACAGAACTCTTTCAAGAGTAAGCTGACTTAATAAAATGTGTAATATTTAAAACTAGCAAGACAAAAAATGGTTGATAATCTATTCCACCTTTGAATAATACATTCTCACACCGACAGTTTAGAACTCTTGGCTTTCTGAAGATGACCCAACATTCCGTTCTTCAAAACACTAACATCAGTATTTACAGAGACCACGTCAAAGCCTTGGGAAACCCTTCGGCGTGCATCGTCACCATCTGTGCCTAGAAGAGAAAGAAAAGTTAGCGAGTTGTTTCGAATATAGCGAGGGTCTTTCTCTGGGAATCATACAGAAGATGGCAGTTGTCTTTCCTGCAGAATGAGCAGCAGCAAGCACTCTCCTCACCACCTCGAGTGACATTCATTTGCTTGGACAGATCGAAAGGACCGATGAACAGCACATCAACGCCATCAACAGAAGCTATCTTCTCGATATTTTCAACGCCACCCGAGATTCAATTCACGCAGCAACAGTCAAGCCACTCTGAATGCCTTCATCATAGTCACTACCGGCCACTCCCGGGAATGTATGAGGCGCCCACTTTGGCCCGTATCCACGCGTTCCTAGAGGGGGATATCTGCAATACTTCACCACATTGATAGCATCCGCCTTCAGGTTACATTGAGACTCGGTCAGCAATTACTCGGAATTGAAAAATTTCAGACAAATAATTGTTTTTCGCATACCTCAATATGGCACATGGGTGTCATGATACCATGGGCTCCGGCATCCAGGGCGCGCTTGATCATCCATTCCTCGGCACAAGGAATTCTGTTTATAGGACTTGCGCCCTCAGAGGCGAGAGCATTGTTTAACTAGTCCTTCGTTAATATCTGAAAGAGACAAATATGACTCTCGATACCATCATATCTCACCTCATAGTAATGATGATCAGATATCAGTCCATGTTCCGCGTCGATTAGGACCCAGCTGAAATTGGTAGAAGGTTCAGTGCCATGGAGAATCGTTTTTGCAACTGCGGCGCTTGGAACTCTGTATTATTGATTTAGTCAATCATACTACTAGCGAACTATCTGGGCGACGACCACAATTTCACGAGAAAGGGCAATAACGTACGTCAGCCAGAACCCGAAGGCAGTCGAAGGTTGCGCGAGGCTTTTTTGGATAGATGTCGGGAACCCCATTATTGCTAGGAAAGGTAGAAAGTAACCAATCGATAGCACGAGACTTTGAACTTTCAAAGTGATCAGATATTAGGACTAATAGATATACTAGTCAGGGGACTGGTTATCCGGTCCTGACTCCAGGTGTATTAGCCGATTTTAGGATCAATGCTTAGCAGCGGGATATTTCATCATTGATCTGCAAAAAAATAGTGAGACACCCTATAAACCTTGACTAGCACGTCTAATGTCATACGAGTGCGATTCAGGAAAAATCAGATAGACTAGCGCCGGCAATTTCAAACCTTTGGGCGTTGATGACTTTTTACTACCGGGGGTTGAACTCATTCGCCTCATCGCTTAACCCACATTTCCCCCAGATTATAACCAATGACCGAGGTGGAAATCTTCATTTCCAATACCCCAGACGTGGAGAGAGTCAGAGAGACGGGGTGGCGACATCTGGAGTACGTAGGTCTCCTTTGTCAAGCTTGGACCATCATCACTTACCCCAGGTCTAGTTGGTGATTCATAAACTGAGAGCCTGGCTCAGCTTCTCCCGAACATGATCCCCATTTTCTCTCTCATCCTTGAAATCCTCTTCCTCCGTGATGTCTGAGGACAGTAAAGTTCCTACCTCTGCGCGTTTTGAAAGTAGGTAGAGGGTTTCCGAGTCACTGCAATGTCTCCAGAATGCCTAGTGGCGAACCTGTTCTAACCTCTTCAAGACAATACCAATCCATCATGGTGGAAAGACCCGTCTCTGAGACGCAATGTCTTCTATACGTTCGGTTGCATGATGTGTCCGTTCTATTTGGGCTTCAAGATAATTACTCCTCTCAACAGATGCGACTGACTAATATTTGAGTTATGGACAGATGATCAATCTCTACTTACAAGTCTCCAAGCCATGTCATATTGGAACGATTACTTTGATACCCCAACTGGAGATTGACTTGGCATCATCTCTGCTGCAATTCTCATCCCTGGGATCGTGATGGGATTTCCCGCTGCTTGGATCTGCAATACATGGGACGGAAGTATTGTATCTTGATCGGATGCATATTCATCGTAGCCGGCGGTATCTGGAATGGATTATGCACTACAGCCAACGAATTTCTTGTTTGTGAGTCAAAACTTCCTACTCTGCTATGGAAAAGCATTAGCTGACCTTATTAGCCCGAGTTATCATGGGAATTGGCGGCGCACTGAGCAAGACAGGTGCCCCGGCTCTTCTCCAAGAAATCGCTCACCCGCGTCTTCGGTCCCCCATGAGTTCGATGTATTATGGATGCTATTACATTGGGTCTTTGATGAGCGGCATTATGTGCAGTATGTCCTTGATTGCTCTCGCAACACTTTCACATATTCATACACTCACATATCTCATTAGTCATTGGTCTCAGCGTAAATAGCAACTGGAGCTGGAGGTTCCCGTGCCTTCTGTCCATTTTTGGCCCCATCGTTGTCGCGCTTATTCTTCTTAAAGCACCCGAATCGCCCAGATTTTTAGTCAAGAAGGGCAGAATACTGAGGCTCTGACTATTTTAGCGAGATACCATGCCAATGGGGATACATCGGATCCACTTGTTATCTGGGAATATCAAGAAATAGAGCGGGCATTGGAAGAGGAGGCGTTGAGCAGCAAAACTTCCTATGTGTGTCATTCCTTCCACCTTATCCTACATTGAAAGAATTCATCTTACATCAATCCCCAGCTGGATCTTCTCAAAACCAAGGGTAACCGAAAGCGCCTCATGGTCACGCTTGTCATGGCAATGGGTGTTAACTGGGTTGGCAATGGAATTGTCTCATAGTGAGTTTTCGATGAGTTCACATTGTGTATCTCAGATCAGCGAACTGACCAAAACATAGCTATCTGTCACCTGTACTGAAATCAGTGGGGATTACCGAAGCCTCGAAGATCCTTGCTATAAATGCAGGTCTAGCTGCGTGGAACCTGATCATATCAGAGGTTTCGGGTTTATACGCCGATAAGATCGGTCGGAGACCAATTTTCCTGATCTCAACCACTGGTATGATATTGAGCTACTGTCTTGTGATGGGTTTCACTGCCGGTTTCAGAGAAACAGGCAAAAGTAGCCTTGGTGTGGCTGCCATCCCATTCCTCTTCCTTTTATTTGGCTTCTACGACTTCGCTTGGACGACAATGAATTACTCCTACGTTGCCGAGATCATGCCATTTGGACTCCGCGCCAAAGGATTGGCAATCTATCTCTGTGTTCAGCAAATGGGGAATACATTCAATCAATTTGTTAATCCCATTGCACTGGATGCCATCTCATGGATGTACTATGGTGTTTACATTGGTGTCGACGTTGTCCTTCTCATTTTCATCTACTTCTTCTTCCCTGAAACCAAGGAACTCTCTATCGAAGAAGTAGCAATAGTTTTTGACTATGATGATATCAAGATTGCGCGGAATAATGTGGCTGAATCGTTTAGCAATGCGAAGCAAACTGGTAGTGAGTTGGGATTAAGCCCTGCGCGCTGCAGCAAAGAGTTTACAGAGCACGTGGAAGTGAGAAACCGAGCCTACAAATCAAATGACGGTGAGATGAGTGCTTAGGGAAGAATTTGTCCCATCCCTAGAGAATGGATTGAATTATGGAGGATTGCCCATCTGGTCATATGTATAAATTGATCCCTGGGCGTATCAAGTGATCTTTTAGTACATAGCAGCCTGAGGAAATTTACACATATAGGAACAACATTTGCATACTTTAACCAGCGGCATTTACCACTGGCAATATTTAAGTTTATGTATTCAATACTTCTTCGATAGCTCATCAATTATTATGCCTTAGCCCTGGAGCCTAGGACTTTACTGCGTGGACTAGCTTCAAGTTCAAGTTGACACTGAAAGGTTGAATTTTTGTGTAGAATAATTAGTAGAGCTAGTACCGAGGCGTTTCTAATACGACTTATTTTACTAATACTAATAGTAGATAATTTCAAGTTGAAGGTTGCTTCATCTTTCTGCTATTCCCTCAGCTAAGTTCGGATAAGAGTGCTCAAATTCTTTAAATTCTTTAAGGGTTGTTAATATAAACTAGTATGGCACATCTTAAGATCTCTCAGATCTGGAATGTGTTGTATTTGACAGCAAAGCCCTCCAAGGCCCAGCAGGACCTACCATCTCAGGCTTTAAGTCCTCCAATCGCCATGCACATTTCGCATTGTATTTATGATTTCCTCTTGTAAGACTGGAGTATGAAGGTATTAGCACAATCTCGGTTTGAATCTAGCTTCAGAATTTGATCCTAGGGGTTGATCTCACTTTCTATGACACGGTTCACTCCTTCTTGGCCATGGGTTCCGTTGGCGTATAGAACTGGTCGACCAACTCCAACAGCTTTAGCACCCATTGCTAGAGCTTTAACGACATCTGCCCCGGATCTTATACCACCATCTATCATGATATCTATTTTGTCAAACAGATCGAGTCGCAAGATTCTGATTTCAAATAGAACATCAATTGGCGCTGGCGCATAATCTGCCTGTCGGCCACCGTGATTTGACTAAGACAGGTCTTGGTTAGTGGAGTTAGGGAGTCCAAGGATCGAGAGTATATTCATCTTACAATGATGACTCCATTCACCCCTTGCTCCACACAGAGTTGGACATCCTCGGGGCATTGAACGCCTTTGACAATAATCGGCAATTTCGTATTTGCCCGAAGATCTATTGTTAACGCATGGAATAATGGAAGGAAAAAGCCCTGGAGACGTGGTCCATACTCTGATAAAGGATATATCATTCCATGTAAGATTTCGGTCCTGATAGCCTCCGATTTGCTGAGCGACTCCCAGGTCTCTTTTTGATGGAATGGCCTCTTCAGAGACCTCCTTTGGTGGAGCAGTCACTGCTTTGGATCGCATCTCGAGCGTTTTTTTTGACTCCCAAGCCACGTCAACTGTGAATACAATTGCCTTCGCGCCGAGTTTTTCTACTTTTCGAATCAACTTCCCGGACTCCGAGCGGTCTTTATTCAGGTAAAGCTAGATGTATATCAGGAATTTTGTTCACTTAATTCTCAAGGGCTAGAATATCTTACCTGAAACATCAGGTTCTGTGTATCTTTGCTCGCAGCAAAGAATTCTTCCAGTCCACAGCTTGCGTTCGAAGAAATCTATCGATTCATGTCAACACTCATGATGAAGGATTGACTTCAATTTAACTTACCATTTGAATTAACCCATTTTGACCAGCAGCCTTTGTTATATTTACCTCACCAAGTGGATGACCTAATTTCGCCATAGCAGTGGGAGAAATAAACAATGGCATTGCTGATGGAATCCCGACAATTTCGGTTTCGGTAGTGCCCTCAGACACGCCACGTAGGATTCGAGGTCGAAAGAAGTATCCTTGGAAGGCGTTCCTATTTTCATGAAAAGCTAATTGCTGTTAGTCCAGAATAATATTTGCAATGCTTTTTAGGGTTTATGTCCTCACTTCTCTCCTCATCCGCTGCGCTGCGATAATATGCCTATGCTGTCGCACTGAGAACTCGTTCACCCTATTCTTCGAACTCCTGGAGTAGAAAGAAATTATGAGCTCCCGGCATCTCATCTCTTGCAATCTGACGTTGAATTTCGTCCTCGGATAGCTCTTCTTTGTCCCGTGATGGGAGTGTGGTGGGATCGATTGGGCCTAGACAAGCTTCGACTGGTAGGGCTTTAAGTGCATCAGGTGGATGAAGCATATTGAAAAGTTCACGTCGGAAAATTTCCATGAGAGATATATTCTTGAATATGTTAACACCAATGCTCACCTCGCTTCTTTCCCTGCCGCATTGAGAATAGCCTGGTGCCCACCAGGATGAATCTTCAAAAAGTTCGTCACATCATAAACAAATCCCTGTACTAATTATGAGTAGGAAAACCAAGGCCTGTCAAAAAGATCACTGACATTCAATATTACCCAACAATCGTCGGCAGATGTGTGCTCCTGCACTTGCCGGTATGAAATTTGAGGTTGTGATTTGGAAATCTCGTTTTTCGGCAATTGGGACTCGTTGGAACTTTGAATCGAATACCTAGGTAGAAGACTTTTACAGTATCCCTCAGACAATAACATCTTATTATTCGATAGATATAAAGTACTAAGTGAATACGAGTTCGTGCAGCTTCGCGAATATGATATTGGGTTTGTAATAAGCGTCCTCGATCGAAGGAAAGCGGAATACTAGTTGTAAACAGACATATAACCTTGGAAGTTATCAGTCCTTTTTAACATTTGAAGATATGATCTTAAGGCTAGACCTGTACCCTAGAGTTAATTTGTCCGTGAAACGAAGCGAACAGAGCGAGTAGGCCGCAATCATTCCCCGCGGTTATTGTGAAAAACTCACCTTTTGGTTCTGAATTTAAATCTCCTATCCTAACCTTTCGAGAAATGTCTTTGCTATAGAAAATAGAGGGCCGTTGATAGCCTTGACAGTTATACAGTTCAGAGAAGGGATGGCTCTGAGCAATATATTGATTTCTATAAATATGTTTTGGACTGCGGAAGTTTCGATCTGAGTTTCGTTAAGTACATAGTCTACTGAAGGCTTGTTTAAAAATAAGGAGCTCCAGTATGTAGTATCTTCAAATCTGTGAATTGTCTTTGAAAAAGCTTCAATATTTCCCTGCTATTTTCAGATAGTCGGATATCTTCCGATACTTCTTCTGATATCTCTAGTACCGGGAAAGTCATGGCTAAATCAGACACAAAGCCAGTATTCACAGGCCCGATAGTATTTAAGAATAAGTTCATAAGGCTATCGCTGTTCTACAGGCTTTCATCCACTTCGCGAATAATATGAGACTTAGGCATCAAGATATCGATCTCCATGGCTTATGTTTACTTGAAGAGATTCAAAATTCGAACGGGTCCCTGAGTGAATATGCAATAGAATGATGAAAAATTAGACACAAGTTACAAACGAAAATTTCAAACAATCAATATGAAGCGGAAAATTCAGACAGTATGTGTATTAGGATCCAGGGGAGACCAGCTGATTTTAAAACTTGAACCCTGGAACTGGACTCGGAGACCTCGGAATGACCGCTAAAATTATCAATCAGATCAGATTACGGATTTTCACCTGATCATGCCCAGATGGTAATAAGGCCCAGAGCGTCGATTCAAATGTTCTCGGTCGCATTTTCCAATCACTGAAAATCCAGCACCTGTGTACCAGGGTTCAGTTTAGAAGAAACCGAAAGCCACTCAAGAAAAGGCATTCACATCGGTGAAAGTAAAGGGTAAGATTCTGGATCATTCCACCTGATTGATTAGAGTTTTAGCGGAGAAGAAGAGACAAAAAGAAGAATATTCCAACCTAAGACCAATTTCCTGTTAACCTGGTAATGTCATTGTTAGCGTGAAGGGTAAGCTCGGCTCTGAAAGCCACATTGTCTTATGCGAGTCAGAATCTTCACTCAATGGGATTCTTTCACCAATTGAAAGGACCAGGATCAGATTAGATATGGTTGAGAGAGATATCCACCATGGTACGGAGTACGCGACCCTAGATCAGATAGATTGAAAATAGGCACTTTTTTCTATTTTTCTATCCCTATTTTTTGCATTAGACATGAGTCAAAAAGAGGGTAGGTATTCTGGCCCCAAGCCAATCATGCACTGATCTTGTCGAGGGACGCGCACCACTCAAGCTCAATTAGTTCAAGCTTATTATCTGATCGGTCGCCCCGATTTTCCTCAAATTGCCGGACTCCATAATAATTCGGGCCAAATTCCGAATTTTATTCCCATCATACCCTGCTCAGGTGGTTAAGGATACCACATGAGAAATTTTCTTAATTTTTCTTTGGTCCCTGACTCAGTTCGGGCGTCGAGCCCCACGCGGGACTAGATTGATAGGCTTGAGCACAATCTGAGTGGCTTAGTTTTGACCACTTTAAGTGGGGATGGGTTGAAAAGAAGGGCTAAGAGGACAAGAGAAAAAAAAAGGTGCTGAAAAGTTAATGGCACGCGAGAATGATGTGAAAGTATGGTTTTGGAACCAGAATAGAGCTAGCTCAACGGAGTAGAGCGATAACTTGAACCTTGCCAATCCTAATGCTAGGTCAGCCCATTTAAAGATGACCTCGCCCGGGCCTCGTGCAAATTTTTCTTTTTTTTCGAAGTCAAATACTTATTTAATTTTCCCTTTTCACTGGTGCGCGTTGCGGCATCCCCATCATCGGCATCATGGGTATAGTTGTGGATAGACTGAAGGGTCGCAAACCGTCTCAAGTCGTGGACGACCTTCGTCCTGTTGAAGATAATGACAATGTAGCAGCAGAGTCAGAGAAAAATGCGCCAAACCAGAGCAAGGAGGTTGAGCAGCACCCAGATGAAATTACCAAGGAAGCTCAGATGGGTGTTCAAAAGGCCGAGGCCGTTGCACTGGTCTGGAATAAGAAGGCAGTCTATATCACCTATGGATGGTGAGTAGTGACTCTATATACTTTGAGCCTGGCTATCTCAAACTAACATTATCTAGGATCTGGATTTGCTACTTTATGCTTTCCTTCCACGAGTACATCGGCACAAACGTAATTTACTATGCCTACTCAAACTTCAACTCCGCACCACAGATTACAACCGCCATGATCCTCGCAACTATTGTAGGTGGTGTCCTCAAACTACCCATTGGTAAAATGCTCGGTCTTTGGGGCCGCGCCGAAGGTCTGATGGTCTTCCTTGGTGTGTACATCATCGGCATGATCCTCCTCGCCTCTTGCACGGGCCCAAATTCCTTTGCTGCGGGCTACGTTTTCTACTGGGTTGGATTTGATGCTATTTATCTCATCTTGGAGATCTTTATCGCCGATACAGCGGGTATGCGGAATCGTGCTTTCGCTTTCGGCTTCTCCACTACGCCTTATATCTGTACCGCTTTTACAGGTCCTCTGGCTGCAAGCTCATTCCTCAAAACTGGAGGCTGGAGATGGGCTTATGGCGCTTTTTGCATTATTCAGCCTGTTGTCTTTGCACCTTTGATTATGACTTTCAAGTACTATGAGAATAAGGCAAGGAAGCAAGGGCTCTTGGTACGAGAGAAAAGTGGCCGAACCTTGCTACAGTCTATTATCCACTATATTCACGAATTCGATGGTATGTCAACCTACTTCCAAGGTTGCACTTCTTGATTACCGAGCTAACAATTTAATCTAGTTATTGGAGCCTTGATTTTAATGGCTGCTTTTATTCTCTTCTTACTGCCTTTCAGTCTCGCATCATACGGCCGTGCACAGTACAAGGATGCCTCATTTATTGCTGAGGTAGTTGTTGGATTCTTGTTGTTCTTCGTATTCGCAGCATGGGAGAAGTGGTTTGCGCGCAAGCATTTCATCCCTTACTACTTTCTCCGCGACCGCACTATTCTCGGCGCATGTTGTGTGTCGGCAATCCTCTATTTCAGCTTCTACTGCTGGGACAGTTACTTTTACTACTTCATCATGGTAGTCTACAACCTCGATGTGAAACTGACAGGATACGTGACGGCCATCTACACCATCGGCTCATGTTTCTGGTCTCCCATCTTTGGATTCTGGATCCGCTGGGTAAAGGAATTCAAGTATACCTGCCTCTTCTTTGCCGTTCCTCTCATGTTCTTGGGTGCAGGCCTGATGATCCACTTCCGTGGTCAAGATTCAGATCTTGGTTACGTGATTATGTGTCAAATTTTCATCGCCTTCTCAGGTGGAATGTTGGTTATTGGTGAAGAAATGGCTGGTATGTGTGCTTCTGATCGTGATAATATCCCCATCATTCTATCCATGATTGGTCTGTTCTCAAGTGTTGGTGGTGCTATCGGATACGCTGTTGCTGCTGCCATCTACACCAACACCTTTCCTCAGGGGCTGCGACAAGCACTTCCAGCAAGTGCTCAAGCCGATTGGCAGACTATTTACCTGGGTGGTTACTCCTCGCAGCTGGGATATGCCCCTGGAACGGATGTACGTGATGCGATCAACTTTGCGTGGGGTTATACGCAAAAGTACGAATCCATCGCAGCTACCTGTTTGATTGTTTTGTTGATCCCCTCAATCTTGGCTTGGAGGCATTATCGGGTGGATAAGGAGCAGAACAAGGGTGTGACGATGTAAGCGGTAGAGTTCAGTCATGGCTCATGGCATGGATACAATGCGGACATTGAAGGCGTCCAGGAGGTCGGTCAATGGAATGCTCTTCGTGTGAACATATACTACCTCCTTAATAGAATTTTAACATTTGGGCCTGCGAATTAAGCCATGTGACTATTCTTAGGTATCAACATAATATGATCAGGACCTCCTCCTACCCCTTTCTCTCTCATGGGCCTAATGAAGAGATAAAAAGATTATTGGTGGAGAGAGGGATATATGTCATTTACTACTCTTCTTTACACATTCTGATATCAGTCTGTCAGTATTTAAATTATCAGCTATAGCTTCTAAGGCTCTAATGTTACCTCTATTCACTTTATTATCTGGATTTTATTATTATGATATAAAAACCTTAATGATATTAAATAAGGCTAAAGTAAGAGACGTCTAAATATTTCAAAATAAAAGTGAGAGATAAACAAAATAAAAGATAGCTAAAGTGAGAGATAGCTGAATTAAGAGGAATATACTATATATGTCTCTTTTTTTCTACCAGCCATGCGGTTTTAGCCGTATGGCCATTGTAGGCTCCCTTAGTCCATATTGATTTTCTTCTTATCCTTGTCCTTATCCGCACTCAAGTGTAACGAATCGAACCAGGCTATGAGTAGGGCTTTCTCTTGCTGGATAAGGTCGTCCTCTTCCGTACTCAAGTGCAGCGAATTGTACCAGGCTATAGCCCGGTCTTTCTCTTTCTGGGTCCCCGCACCTGTCCTAACCATGCATTTCTGATGGTGTGTCTGCATAAAATGCTGGCGAAGGTTTGTCATCCTCAAAATTGGAACCTGAAATCGGTTAGAAACTACTCATTACACAGCTTTGGATAGAATTCAGGATAGTCATTTCCTTACAACGGCTCTATCGCAGTGCGGTAGTCTACAGAATACTTCTCCGGAGTACACAATGATGTGCCCATCGGCCTGCTCATATGATCTGTCAATCTTGATTCTAGGGAAACAGTCTGTAACCGGTTGAAGTTGATTCTCACAGTCTTTTCGTATGGCGGCAGTTGAAGCCGCCCGGCCGTTCCTTCTTCAAGATACCATTTGAATCGGGGGAGGTTTTTGAGGTAGGCCGGTGTCTTATTAGCCATGGTCTCCAGGTCGATGATGACTGTCATCATTCAATAGGTTAGAAAATGGTGATAACCCCTTTCAAACTGGTTTATAGACCTTGGGAGTTAAAAGTGAGGTATTACCAGTGTACAGGTGTATATGGGTCGTGGAATTCGGCAGGGTTGTGGGGAAGAATGGAACAGCATCTGGTGTTTTGGTTGGATCAACTAGAAGCTTCCATGGTTACATGTCCTAATTAGGACTAGCCTGGCCCCCTGTTCGTAATATCCGTAATCCCATTACTAGGTATAAATTACTACCCGTTTGTATACCACCGCAGCTTCCAAGATTCTTAAGCCCCAGAACACTCACATCAACATCACATCACAAGGGATTCCTTTTTTTAATAGGCCCAGGTTATCTCAGTCTATCCCAGCAACAACTCGAGCTTAAATTCATAACTACGACCATGGAAGGATTCTTCCGTTTGAGACGTCTGCTGCGGAAAAAAAAAAGGGTACGAAAACTACTCCCACTACTACGATCACTGATCTCCCTCCAGAGCTGATCATATGTATTCTTGATCACCTCTCGTTGGTTTCGAAAGCATGCTTAGTACTTAGCTGCAAAGCTTTCTATCGGCATTTTGAATTTATTGTGAAAACCCCAGCTTTCTGGCATCCCGATGACGTTCTACCAGCCTCACAAGGTATAAATGATCGGCTTCATCTTCTTTCGAAAATACAGACTCGAAAATGGAATCTTTGCAAAAAATGCTTATATCTTCAACCATCTAAGGATTTTGATAAGTGGGTATCACGCGAAAGTTGTAACCTTATTCGGATTATCAAAATCTGTCCATGTATCCGATTCCGCTCATGCACTTTGCATCATTTTCTCCACAGAGTTCGCCGGGAGCTAGAGAGTGCGTGTGACACAAATAGCGTGGGTCTTGGAACAAGGAAGTATTTACCGAACTGGCATGAATGCCAAATTTTTGACGGCCCACAAATAGTATACAACCTATCGATTTCTCTCTATTACGATGAGAATCAGGTAATCTGGTTTCATTTGAAATATGTCATCGATATCGTCCAGCCAAGTTCAAGTCAACTTTGAGCCTCAAAGAAGGATAATGCTCTGTCCCCATCTCGATGTTTATACCATAATAAAGACCAACCCAAGTACGCCTGTCTTTGAATGTCGCACGTGTCTAATCAACGGACCTATCGACTTCAAGGTAATGAACACGGAGCAGGGCAGAAAATACAGTATAAAACATTGGCGTTCATTTCGGTGTCAATAGTGCTATGTTTAAGTTCTGTTCAGGCGGACACTCGCAATAGCTCAACCCTGGAGGCTCGGAATGGATTTGGCACCTGGGTCTTCAAGTTTCAAGTTTTAGCTACCTGATCCAGCCCTGGAGCACTTCAAGTTAAACCAGTTGACCTGGGACTTATGAGATTGTGGACATGCCTAGGTGTATCTACCTAGTATGTAGCTGGTACATGATCAAATCATGTACATACATTGATGTGTTCAAGTTATTTTAATTGAAAATGGAATTGTCGTCCTGTTTTGATATATTTTTTGGAGCCTGATAGAGAGTAGAATGATGATTTTAGCGGAGTTTTATATGAATGCGAGAGACTCGAGACTGTAGAGTAGTTGTAGCGGTAGGTCTTTTTGAATGAGATTTTTTTTCAGTATATTTGAGGTATATCAAAGAAATGATTGCGTCGAGCTGATCGATCAAAAATGCCCCGAACCCCTTAGTCACATAAGAGAATTTCCAAAGTTTTATCCTCCAGGCCCGGGCTCAGATTCCTCTATAATCGTCGCAAACCTATTTAAGACTTGCTTCAAGGCTGGCCGTCGAATTGGTTTACTAGGTTCGTTAGCACCTGGTCTCAAGTTGTTAATCTCAGCATATGGATCGTACCTAATGAACATGTCCATTCCCGAGTCCATGCAGTCCTTCACATTGCTCTCTTCTGCGAAGGCACTAAGTGCCACGATTGGAGCAGAATATCCCATCTCTCGGATCAAACGTGTACTTTGGAGACCGTCCAAGTTGGGCATCTGATGATTGTTAATAAAGCCCTGGTATTTCCAACTGTCAAGCCAGTTTGTATATATGCACGTACCTGAATATCCATGAAGATCAGGTCGAAGAGACTGCCTCTTTCCATGTTCAGTTTCACTGTGTCATAGGCCTCCTGTCCATCCTTGACCATTGTCACGTCATATACGTCTTCAAGTGCAAGCATTCTGATAAAAGGTTAGCAATTGCATACCGCTCACACGATCATGGTATTTCATACCGGCGAACCACTTCCTGGTTTACAGTATTATCCTCAGCGACGAGAACGCGAATCTTCCTCGAACTCTCATTTTTAGCGTGCAGTTTAGTAGGCGATGTGCCATTTGAAGACGACTGGGGTGATGAAGGGACAGTTGGTGTAAAAAATGGTTGGCTGAGTCCAACAAGTCGTGGCTGGAGATCCGATTTCTCAAAGCTGGGAGCGATGGGTTCCCCTTTCACCGAGCCTTGTGTTGAAGAAGGCCGAGCACCTGTTGAAAACTCCCCCAAGGACAGCACACTTGGTGTTCGTGATCCTGCATTACTGGAAATAAGTGAACTTGGAGCAATCTCCTTCACAAATCTCAAGGGTATCCTCAATGTGAAAGTAGATCCCTTGCCTTCTTCACTATCCAAATCGATACTCCCACCCATGATGCGAGATAGTTGGGCGCAGATGCTGAGGCCTAAGCCTGTGCCTCCGTACTTGCGGTTCAATCCTAAATCGCCTTGTACAAAAGGATCGAAGATGCGTCTTTGTAAAGCGACCGGGATACCGGGTCCGTTATCGCGAACCTCGAATTCGAACATCCATGTGACAAAGTCTGATCCATCAAGATTTCTATCTTTTCCAGGGTTTTTCGCGTCAAGTGCGATTGGGTCTATATTCGAAATTTGACTGTTGAGGCTTTGCGACCGTAGAGTAAATTTGTCTTTTGATTCTGGTCTGAACGGCGTGGCACTCTCAAACCGGGGTACTTCTCCCAGACAACGAATCCGAACGTCAACCTTGCCATGTTCTGGTGTAAACTTCAAGCTATTACCAACCAGGTTGATCAAAACTTGCAGGATGCGGTGCTGGTCACCAAGAAGTACCATATCCATAAGCCTGCCAGGGGTTGGCCTGATCATAGTACCAACAGAATCGTCATGATCTAGACACAGAGCGTTTTCTGGATTCAAGCAGTGAATATTGAAGTCCATCTGTTTTTCGTGTACTTGGTTCTGGAAGATAATGGCCAGTTGCGCTCTGATATCAGAGATTCTGAATTCCTTTTCATCGAGCTGGATAGCCTGATCAATCTGATTTTTGCTGAATGTCAACAGATCATTGAGCAGGTGAAGCAAAAGGTCACCCGATTGATAAACCACCTTGAGGGATCGTTTGATGCGTGAGAGATCTTCGTCTCCCATACACACTGCACACATCCCAAGAATCCCATTGAGAGGTGTTTTGAGCTCATGGGATATGTTAGCAATGAACAAGGTCTTGCTCTCGTTGGCAGTTTCGGCTGCCAATTTTGCTTTCTCCAGTTCCCGAGTTCTCTCCGCCACACGTTCCTCCAATCGATGATATTGAATCGTCAACTCATCAGACATCTCATTGAAGGTCTTAGTGAGCTCGGTTAGCTCATCAGTCACACAGTGACTACGCTCTTTCACTCGTTCCGGAACACGCGAAGATCTTGTAAGTCCTTCGCTAGTCACATCTCTTGGACTGTGTAGGCGTTCCGTTGGTGCTCGCAGGCGTCTCGTCAGGAATGACGGGGCTTTCTCGCTGATTCCATTCTCAGTCTGCACTATCACTGTACCATGGCCACTCTGCTCATTCCTTCTCATCCGTGGCTCAGGTGCAAGATCTGGCATCACTGACCTTTTCGCTGCTTCGCGTAGGCGTCGAATTGGGGCAACAGCCCAATGGGTCAGAAGAGGAATAATAAATAGAATCAGACCCGCGGTTCCGAAAACACATGCAAGAATGATCCTTCGCAAGCGATAGACAGGATGGAATGCTTCCGCGTGCGTCTCCTCGGCTAGCAATATCCACTGAACAAGGGAAGTTTCAGGACGGATAGCGCCCACGGCAACATGGTAGCCAAGCTCATTCCTCGTTGACAAGTCACTTATCGCCTTGTTCCTATTTTGGTATGGTTCTAACATCAGCGTGAGGGCGATTTGGTATTTCGACAATAAAAATGGGTCGCTCGTGGTCATATTCAGATGACGATTGGTCTGTCCTGGTAATGCTGTAGGTTGAAACACGTAGTGCACGGAAGCATCTCTCAGCTGGTCGGCATCGGCGGAGGAAGTCGCGGTCGCAGGTTGGGCATCTGAAGCGAATGTATTTTGAGGTCTTGAGGGGCCTATGAGAAGAACCTGCCCAGTGTCTCCCATGCCTTCACGGGAACTCAGAACACTTTGCAAGCTCGCAGCACTCGCCACCACCCTATGGAAAACTCGAATGTGAGTTTCATCCCGATTTGACCACGATATTTAGACAGCTCATGATGTGACTTACGTCATGTATCCCAGGATATCAGCGTCGGATGTATCGTTCACGATGGGAAGAGTCAAAGAGACCAAGGAAAATGAGTCATTAACGGTTAGTGGGCCTAACAATAACTCGGTGTTCAAGCCCAGGGTATAGTCGGGGAAAGCACTGATAACTGTTCCGTTCCCATCGGATGAGTTGGTGTATGTTAGGTTGGGGTAGAGGCTCGTTGGGTACCCCAAGTCACTATCCCCCAGCATCACCGAGCTTCCATTACTATATGTATATGGTAATTTGATCTCCGGGACGCTGTCACTTGTGACGTTGAGCAGTCGGCCATCCCATTCACTACCATTACTATGGCTCGAGTACAGAGTGGCTTGGTAAAGACTCAGATATCCCCGACTTCCCAGAGCCGACTGCATATCCGCTATGGCGTTGACCCAATTGCTGGTGGATGTATTACCCTCATAGTAACGTCGGAGAGCGGACTGGACTAGAAGACGGGTCGCGATTGTTTTGCAGGTGACTTCTAGAAGTTCTAGATTCGTTTCGATTTCGCTCGCCTTTATTGTCGCCACGAGTTCCAAGCTTTGAGATCTTTTGAGAGGTTAACAACTTGTACCGATACTCGGGGGACACAGGTGGGTAAAAAAAGGGGAATCGTACTCAACTCCAACCACAAAGTCGTATGTGGTAGTCCACTGTGTCGTGAGGGCAGAAGGTTAGCGATTTATCGCTCAAGACCATCGTATTCTTCTTCTCTGCAAATCCTTACTGTTGCAATGGCAAGGACGGCAATTCCCGATAGAGCAGTCAACAGAACCAGCAGCGCCAGCTGCACGGCAATAGGGATTCGCATTCGATAGCTAATATTTCAGGGTAGCGTTCAGCTCATGTGTGTCGGGCATCACGCTAAAGAGCGCGATAAGGAGCGCCCGTCGGAAGGGCGAAAGGGGGCTATTGAGAGGATTGAATAAACATGGAGGGCTGGAAGATTTCGTCTTGGATGAGTCCGGAGACTCCGTGTGACAATAATAAGAGAGAAAGAGAAGGAAATCGGGCAAACAAGCCAAACTGCACATAAAAGGGTCTATCACAGTCTAGATTTCTCCACCAAATGTCACCCGCTTTTATCTAAAACATACGGATTCTCGGAGGTCAATTTAGCCGATCTGTATACCAGTTGACTAGATGTATCTCAGTATAGTGGTTTATTAGGATAACCTTATGTTAATGAGGTGGCCATTTTAATTAAATATAAATGATACGAGTAAGAATTAGTAGTACTGCCCAGGTGATATTGTTCGAGTCTTGTTTACTCTGTAATAGTAGAGGAGATTACAGCCGAGCCAATCAGATGAATTAAGTATTTGAGATTAATGAGAATAACTAATATTGATTCAGGGTCGTGCTCAAATAAAAACTAAAAATTCAATTGAACTTGTCCAATATTAGTAGTACGTATATTGCCACTTATATTGCCACTGCAATGACCAAACTACATCTCTAGCTTAGTGCGATCGGGGTTCCCCGCACCCCCGCTCCTCGTGGAGTCGTGGGACTCGTGGCCGAATAGCCGATCCAAGACATACTCAAATATTCTTGTATAAATTAATTGGTTTCTCGAGAACTTGGATTTATTGGATTGCAAAAATTATGTCTCCAAGATATTAATTGACTCTATGTCTACAATTGCCCAATTGCCCAATTATTAGAAATGACCGGTGATTGAGATTCGCCGGTACAATGAAGTACTATCACTGCATTCGAATAGTTCTCAAATTTGACCGAGGTTCGTTCCACACAATAGTTCGGTCTCCGCACAATAGCTCCAGTCTGGAAGAGATGTCAGTCATTGACCCCGCTCCAACCTTCATTGCTATATGAGATAGCAACTTCCCCTTCATAGCACTTGAGTATACCCTCAATTACTCTTCTCCACTAGTGTATCCCACGCCAGTATGATATTCACATCTACTCATCCACCTGTTACCGGTATGTAACGCAGAATGCTTCAAAATAATCTTCCAAATCAATATACTAACAATGTCTGGCTGATCTTAGTACCGGAAGATCTCACGATCTGGGACTGGCTTTTTGAATCCAAATCCTCACCTCTACAACAGGACGTCTCTTCGGGCTTCGGGGGGCTTTACAAATGCCATTACCCAAGAAAGAGTGCGCTATGATGAGATCAAAGATTATGCAACCTTCATTTCAACCGCATTGGTGCGGAAATTCCATTTCTCGGCTGGAGAGACCATCGCTCTCTTTAGTCCCAACACCGTCTGGTATCCAGTTGCCATGTTTGCAACTACTCGCATCGGTATGAAACATTATCTCCTAAATCTCTACCCTTTCATCCTATCATTCTGACTTGTTTATTTAATAGGAGGAATGATCTCGGGCGCCTCGCCGGCATACAATGTTGAAGAAATGACATATGCATTGAGGATATCTGACGCCAAAATCTTCATGACAACGGAATCTGCGCTTCCAGTTGCTATCCCAGCTGCCCAAAATGCAGGTATTTCGCGAGATCGCATTATATTGTTAGAAGGAACGCAGGAAGGCTTTGAAACGATCCATGATCTCATTGCCTTTGGACAAAACCAGCGCGATGACCAAGTGCCCTCGTTGAAGGTCAAGAAGGGAGAATCTAATAAAGATCTATGTGGGTTTCTCAGTTTCAGTAGTGGGACAACTGGTCTTCCTAAAGCCGTGAGTACATACTTCTATTAAATCCCAAACTATCATGGATTTATACTAAGGGCCAAATGATATAGGTGATGATTTCTCATCATAATGTGATCGCTCAATGTCTACAGGTGACACAGCTCACTCCCAAGGATCATAGAAAAATACTTGCCGTCCTGCCTCTTTTCCATAGTAAGCGCTCTACCTCTTGATCATCTAATACTCTGCTCACCACTCTATTTCAGTCACCGGTCTCGTCCATCAAATGCATCTACCCGTTCTTCGAAACGCAGAAGTCTACATGCTCCCCGCCTTCAACATGAAAGACATGCTCGACACAGTAGTCAAGCACCAAATCTCAGAACTACTCCTAGTCCCACCAATAATAATTCGACTTCTCCGCGATCCAATTGTGAAAGAGTATGACCTTTCCCATGTCCGCCGATTCTCCTCAGGAGCCGCCCCACTCTCCGCCGAAGTCCTCCAAGAACTTCAACGACGATTCCCAAATACAGGGTTCAAGCAAGGGTACGGTATGACCGAATCCTGCAGCTGCATAACCGCGCATCCAGTCGAGAAATCCACCTACGAATACGCTCACCGGGTTGGAAGCATTGTTGCAAATACCGAGGTCAAAATCATTGATCCGGATACAGGTGCTGAGCTGGGATATAATCAGCCTGGTGAGATTCTTGCACGAGGACCTCAGATTGTGATGGGGTACTTGAATAACGATAAAGCAACGCGTGAGACATTCGATTCGCAGGCTTGGTTACATACTGGTGATGTTGGATTTATTGATCAAGAGGGATTCATTACTATTACCGATCGGATTAAGGAGATGATTAAAGTCAAGGGTATTGCTGTTGCGCCTGCGGAAATTGAGGATCTTTTACTTGGTCATCCGAGTATTGAGGATGTGGCTGTTGGGGGTATTGCCGATGATTATACCGGTCAACGTCCCAAGGCTTATGTTGTCTTGAAGCCTGAGATTTCTGAAGGAAAGGATCAGGATGCGATTGTTGCATTGTTACAGGATGTGATGCGGTATGTGCAGGATAATAAAGTGAGGCATAAATGGGTTACTGAGGTGGAGCTTGTGCGTGAAATCCCGAAAAGTGCCAGTGGGAAGATTCTTCGTCGGGTTCTTCGTCAGCTTGAGCAGCGTGATGGCAAAGGTCGAGTCATAGTTCGCAGAGATCGTTCATCTAAACTCTAGTTGATCTGAAAGGATTTCTTTTTACTGGTTCACTACACTTTACTTGGTTGAATATTGAAGTTCAAAGTTGATTAAAATGAAATTCTCTAGGCCATTCGCGTGATTCATGTGTCATGCCAACGTAACCAATAAACAAAATGGGATATATTTATAAAACATGCGACTTTTCAAACATGGGAATCAAAATAGAATATGCACAATGCAAAATGCAAATAGGCAAGACCATCGCTTAACGCTTAGGCCTGCTCATTGTGGGAAGTAGTCTGCTCCTTGCGGTTGTCGTCCCAATCGAAACGACGGGGCATCTCATAGCTGCTGCTCTTCCAGGGCTTGACCTTGTTGACGTACATGTAGTCAAGCTCCTCCAGGGTACGGCCCTGGCCTTCAATAACGAAGAAGTAGATAACGAAGGCGGCAACGAACATGGAACCAGCAAAGACGTAACCGTAGGCAAAGTCAATATCGGCGGTGATGAAGGAGGTGAAGAAACTGATCAGGAAGTTCCAGATCCAGTTGGCGGAGGTGGACAGAGCCATACCCTTCGCACGGTACTTGGAGGGGAAAAGCTCAGCAACGATGGTCCAGATCATAGGACCCCAGGTCATAGCGTAGACGGCAATGAACAGACAGGCGACAACGATCATACCCTTTCCGGCACCGGGGGTGTTCTCAGGGGTGGCACGGTCGAGGACGAAGTGACCCAGAGAAGAGAAGATCATGAACATAAGGAACATCCAGAGAGCACCGAAGATAAGAGACTTGCGACGACCGAAGTTCTCGACGACGTAGAGACCACCGAAGGTAGAACCGAAGTTGACAGCACCCAGAATACACTGGGTAACGAAGCTGTTGGAGAGACCGGCACCCTCGAAGATGGTGGTACCGTAGTAGAAGAAGTAGTTGGAACCAGAAAGCTGCTGCAGAGTCTGCAGACCCATACCCAGACAGATACGGTAGAGCATACGGGGAGCAGTAATGAACTCAGACCATTTCTGGTCTCCGGACTCAACCTCAAACTGCTCGCGGATCTCATCCATCTCCTCCAGGATGCGAACGTGGTTCTCGGGGATACCGTACAGCTTAGCGAGGGTCTGCTGGCAGCTGTCGACCTTGCCGTGACGGAACTCGTAACGGGGGCTCTCGGGGAACATGGCCATGCCACCACCGAGGAAGAGGGAGAAGAGGAAGGTAAGACCAAGGGTGATACGCCACTGAGCAGTGCCGGTGAGGTTGTTGGTACCCAGGTTGATACAGTAGGCAAGGAAGATACCAAGGGTGACGAAGAGCTGGTAGCAAGAGATCATGGCACCACGGATGTGACGAGGAGCACTCTCACCCATGTACATGGGGACCAGGAGGGAGCAAGCACCAACACCGAGACCAGTGATGGTACGACCGACGACCATCTGGTACCAGTGGCCAGAAGGAGAGGAGATTTGGACAACAAGACCGATGATCAAGATAACGTTCCAGAAGGTAATGGACCATTTGCGACCAATCTTATCGGCAACGGGAGCACCGACAAGGGCACCAACCAGACAACCAATGGAAAGCATACCGACAATCAGACCATCACGGACGTTGGTGAATTCCCAAGTACCATTGATGTCTTGAGCATACCGATGCAGGTAGTTGTCCATATCCTGGAAACCAGAGATTTGACCGGTGTCATAGCCGAACAGCAAACCACCGAAGGAGACGAAGAGAGCCATGATGAGAGATCGGAGGGTGAATCGGGGATGGGGCCGTTCACAACGGGACGGGAGTTCTTCTCCATGGGGCTAACAGGGAAGGGAGCATCAACAGGCTTCTCAGCCGGAGTGATAGACTCCCTACGAGTGGAAGCTGAATCAGAATTCATGATGAATTCTGTTCTTTTCTCGAGTGGAGGAAGTAATGCAGGGTTCAGTGGAGAAAGTTTCAATATAAGAATAGAAAGAGAAGCTGAAGGACCACCAGTGGCCAAGCTCAAGATAAAGTATTAAGAAAGATGAAGGGGCTTAAAATCCCATGGGGAAAAGAAGAACAAAAAGAGCCATCAACGGGGAATCAGGGCCCTTTTGTATTCACGTCTTCCCTCTCCAGGGACGAAAAAAAAAATACACAGACACCCACACATTTCGTGCCGGGGACCTGGAGTGGGGAGAGAATTGTGGAGAAGCAACGCAACGAACGAGAATGAAGTCCCCAGAGAAAAGGGAAGCCGAAATGAAAATACATACTCCGTACTTCGTACATACGTATGGTCCCAGATTAGCAAGCAATAAACCGGCCGAGGCCGAATCGCACGGTCCCGATGAATCCACATCGGCGAGGAGACAGCCAGCCAGGATGAGATCCAGGTATGGATCGGGTGTGGTTCACCAGTTACAAAGCGGATAGCCGAATTGGCCGACCAGGTGCATTCGGGTTATAACATTATTTTCAGTGGCAAACCCGGTTCCCACGGTGCCGAAAATGACGTCCTTGGCTCGGGATCGGGGGCATATTTCATTATCGGGGCCGAGAGATCTCGCTTCCAGAAGTTTTCTCGAATTCTGTCATGAGTTTATCCCTATAGGATAAGACATCCACTGTCATAAAAGGACGCGGATAAAAGTTATAATATGTCTTTGATCTTGATGATTGTGTAAGAAGAAGTATAGTGGGCCTGTCAAAAATCTTGGAAGCCGGAGGTTCCGACCCCAGTTCTCTCCGGACTTCTTGATCCCCTCAGGTTATACCTGTTATGTCTCTCGGTGAGTTACATTTCCCCCTTTCTCCAGACCAACACTACAATTCTGAGGGGAAATTGCGGAGTATGGAGATAAAACCTACATCATAAAGACTGACGTTTTATAATTCACCATGCTATGCATTCTGAATCCTTTTTAAATCCACTTCATGAATTATTGTAGGTCATAATTTCCCATCTCCACCCTTGGTGCCCGAAGTTTTTTTTTTATTTCTCACCAGTAGACCCCCCAAATCAGTAAATCAGGTGATCTAAAACCAGTACGGTATTATGGTCGGCAAAATTTAATGAACCATAATAAAACCTATGAAATCGATTGAGTTTTTGATAGTCTTTACTCGGCCACACGCCGTCTGTGGCGCCGCCACACCCGATGGTACGTCACTGCAGAGTTTTCTCCCTTTACACCGTAAGGTACACAGCCGGATAGCTTGTGGCTTGAATGTGGATGGAATCAAGATTATCATTTATTTAAGATCATCGTCACTTTCTGATCTATCACTGTGGACTCCAGTCTAGTTCACTTTTCAATTAACATACCCCGTGAATTAATATCGATTCGGTTGAATATTCTAAGATAGTTCGGCTCTTTAAGCTATCTAGCTCTTTTCCTTCAACCACTTGCATAAACCTCAGTAACATTCTTCCCCGCTGAGTAATCTCGGAGTAGTTCTTATCCAAAAACATGAAACTCTTCTTCAAACCCGCATCATTACTCCGTTAATACTCCATGCAGGACGCCGGTTTACTCTAGTCGCGGCCCAGTCGTGGTCTTGCCCTTCGGTAGGGAGAAGCCGGCCCCATAATTGGATGTTTCTGGGGAGCCACGCGAATTTATTACGGAGAACTGGGGCCAGGATTCGGAAGTGTCTCTGGTCAGAGTTTTCAAGTGTTTTTATTATTATTATTTTCCTGTCTCGTGACAGAAAGGGACCTGATGGCTCCATTTTTCCTTTTCTTCAGAAGGTAAGCCGATGTGTTTAGGAGAACTTCCGATTCTGGGTATAGCACTTGAGTGGAATGATTCTATATAGTCTTCGGTCTTAAAGGCGGATACTCCGTCTAATTCTAGTTAATCGACCTAACTAATGTACTACTAGTAGCTAAATATCAATTGTTCTCCATGTTCTCCGTGCCAAGATTCGTGGCGTAACCAAGAACTCATTCAGCCTTGTGAGCCATACATCGTAGTTACATACTACATGTAGTTAGTAGATTAATTCAAATGTTATTTAGGCATCCGTATATGTATAGACTATCCTCAGGGTGGCATGTTAATTTACTGTTCATTCCCCGGCTGATTTCATCCCCGCTCAAGTGCTCGGAGTAAACAACCCTTGACTATTCGAGCTAAGCCTCCCGCACTAAGTGTCACCCCACACATTGTGCATGTACAATCCTGCGCTGGCATCTACATGGTTTACGGAAATTTGTGGTGAGCTTACCTTTTATAACTCCGTGAATCTTATTCCTATAGGACAACTGTGATGAAGCTTAAATATCGTCACGGAGGACAAGGACAAGATCCCCGACATCTCCTTAACCCCCAAACACTATATCTGCTTGGCTTCCCCGCTCTGATTTCCCCAAACAACACGGAGATGCGGGTGTGACAGCATTAAGGCCAATCCCTAATAATATATGGCATCTACATTTGGTCTCATTGCTACGGCGCCGTGTCCGTTTTAGTTTGAAGGACAAGCATCCGTTTCAGTCTCTCAATTGTGAAACAATTGTCTAGTATATTCCAAGGTTCCAATAATAGTTATAAAATCCGATCCAAATAACGTACAAAATTCTTAATTCCATAAAGATTCCTTCAGCATTGAGCAAAACACACACACAATCCCAATGAAGGCTCTTGCGGTCTTATCTCTCCTCGGCGCTAGCCTAGCGTCCGCCCAGGTAGCACCATATGGCCAGTGTGGCGGAACTGGCTACACCGGGTCCACAGTTTGCGAGTCAGGATGGGTATGCCAATACGAGAATGCGTACTATAGCCAATGTGTGGCATGTAAGTGACAACCTAGATGGAATGAACAGAATCCATACTAACATTGGATCTCCTCCAGCGTCTTCAACCAGCAGCAGTACTAGTACTACTAGCAAAGCTAGCACAACATCAACTTCGAAGACAACCACATCAATCAAAACAACCAGCTCAACATCCTCATCAACTACAAGTACAGCCGCCGCCTCATCAACCGATTACCCCAGTACCAACGGTCTAAATTTCACAATCGACGGAAAAACAAGTTACTATGCCGGAACAAACAGCTACTGGATCGGGTTCCTAACCGACAACGACGACGTCGATCTCGTAATGAGCCACCTAAACGAATCCGATCTCCGCATCCTCCGAGTCTGGGGCTTCAACGACGTAAACACAGTCCCATCTACCGGCACGGTCTACTTCCAACTCCTCGAGGACAGTACAGCCACAATCAACACAGGCGAATACGGACTCGAGCGACTAGACTACGTTGTTGAATCTGCAGAGGCACACAATATTAAACTCATCATCAATTTCGTTAACAATTGGACTGATTATGGTGGTATGGCGGCTTATGTTGCCGCTTTTGGTGGAACAACAACTGGATGGTATACCGATGCTGCTATCCAAGCTGCGTATCAGGCTTATATCGCTGCTGTTATTTCGAGATATGTGGATTCGGATGCTATCTTTGCTTGGGAGTTGGCTAATGAGCCTCGCTGCCAAGGTTGTGATACCTCGGTTATTTATGATTGGGTTCAGACGACAAGTGCTTATATTAAGTCTTTGGATTCGAAGCATATGGTTTGCATTGGTGATGGTGAGTACTATATATCTCTACTCCACTCTTTACTAACGAGTATGTACTGATTACTACTACCTATTCAAAGAGGGATTCGGACTCGATACCGGATCAGATGGTAGCTACCCATACACCATCGGTGAAGGCTTGAACTTCACCTTGAATCTGGGTATCGACACAATTGACTTTGGAACATTCCACCTGTATCCCGATAGCTGTACGTCCCAAACCAGATTATCAAAGTCATGCATGACATTAGCTAATCCTAATCCACAGGGGGAACCACCGACTCGTGGGGCAATGGGTGGATCACATCTCACGGAGAAGCATGTGCAGCAATCGGAAAGCCTTGTCTCCTTGAGGAGTATGGTGTAACGGCTAATCACTGTACCATCGAAGCACCCTGGCAAAGCACAGCTCTTGATACAACCGGCGTTGCGGCCGATTCATTCTGGCAGTATGGTGACACTTTGAGTACTGGGGAGTCACCAGATGATGGGAACACGATCTATTATGGAACTTCCGACTTTACTTGCCTTGTGACAGATCATGTTGAGGCGATCGGTTGATGAGTTCGGGGAGTCTCAAACTGCCGTGGTGATAAACAAGGCCGGATGAACTTTATTTGATTGCACCTGGTCCCATTCTGTCAATTTGAATCAAACCTTGGAACCTTTCACGTCTGGATTCTTTAGAATGTTCCAAAGGTTCGATTCCGGGCTTTGTGTATGTTGACTAGGCTACCACTCTATGTGCTCATATGGACCCACATATTACTCTGAAATTTTCAAGTTCTCATCTCAAGTAGTTGGAAACGGGGCTTCTGGATTCCCTGATGCTGAAAATAAATTCAAGCATCGGGTTACTTCGGAATCTCTTACTCACATTTGAAAATTTGGAGTTGGAGAAAAATCATGATGGATGTTCGAGCTAAATTGAGCATTGCTCTCATGAACACAAAAGGTATCATACAAGCGCGATCCCAGTATTGAAATGCGCAAATAAAAAGCAATAAGAAAATGCAAGATAGCTGGCACAGACAAAGTCTGCACATGTATGTACATCTAAGCAATGGTCCCGAAATCTTACGAAGGCGCATGTGGATAGTCGTTCAATCATCGGGTAGTAGCGATGGTGCGTATGGAGGGCATCTTTGGCGCAAGGTCAGGGGGTCATAACCGGAAGGGCGAATCAAAGCTTGGCTGCAATGGACCATGAACTCGGGGGTGTTGCCGGGGATGAATGGGATATATGGGCGTGGATTCATGCTGCGATGGTGAGATCTGGGACGCTTGGATTGGATATGCCGAATACGGGAAAGCTAAGAGCGAGCGGCAATAAGCGAGTCGAAAGGGCATAAGCTGCGATTGGGGATTTATCGGCTCTTGGTTTTTTGAATGTCGGCGGTTGCTTCGGGCATGGAATCGGGCATGGAGTCGCTGTCGCGCCCAATGGCGTCGGTGGGAGGGCCTTGGTAGTTGTTGTATCCCCACACGGCGTACCAAACACCTGCAATAAGCACAAACCCAACAAACACGACAGAAGCATAATTCATGCTCTCCTTAGTTACCGTCTCCAAGGTTGGCATGCAGAACAGTGGAATGGCAAGAACACTCCAGCCTAGAGAAAGTTTGAATATTAGTAACCAGAGACGTGAGCCATTCCTCACGTAGAACCGCAGGCGAAAAGAAAGAAACCAACAGGGGGGATGTCTTACAGAGAGCAACGACATTGGCAATAGCACCAACAATGCCAAAGTCGAAGTGGCCGTTCTTAATATCCTGTCGACGACGGAAAAACAGAGAAACTGCAATAGGACAGGCGTAACTCAAAGTCAAAAAGATGACACCAACACCAGAGAAGGCATTGTAAGCGGCCGTAGAACCAAAGTAAATGGCACCCAGAGCAATCTCAACTACCATACCCAGCATCATGGCATTGAGCGGAATGTCAAGCTTCTTGTTGACGACACGCCACCAGCCCGAACCAGGAATACCACCGTCACGAGCAAATGCCCATGTGCAGCGGGATGTGGCAGTCACACATCCAATACCGCAAATAATTCCAAGAACCAACAGGGGAATCAAGAGACAGAAGGCTCCTGCGGAGTTTCCAATAGCTTTCTGGAAGATCACGGGGGTGGGTTGACCGGAGGCGAGGTTGACCAACATGGTCAGATCGGGGAGGACGAAGCAGACGGGGATTAGGAAGATGAGACCCGCAATGGTGTTGATCATAACGGTGCCAATCATGGCCTTGGGGACCATGACAGCGGGTTCCTGGACCTCTTCACAGAGACTAGATTTCAGTTAGCACCTAGGTTCTTGTCTTGGTCGGACCGAACTGCCAAAGCCAATTGAGCTACTTACGAGACAATCATACCGGTCGCTGAGGTGGCATAGGCCGCCTGCAGCAGACCGATGAAGAAGGACCATCCTGCTGGCCAGCCAGCCTGGGGCACAAATTCGCCAAACACCCAAGAAGCCTCATGACGACCTTCCTTTGCAATAGCAAGGAGACAGACAACAATGGCAACCAAGCCTGCAATAGTCCAGAAGATGGCGAATGTCTGTCATTGAATTGCATTAGCATGTTACCATATGAGGAAGGTGGGCACGCGGAATTCTTCACGGCATTCGTTCACGTGATGTCAACCGCAATCTCTTTCGGGGGGTTTTTTTTTCTCCTTCACATGCGCTAGAGAGTACAACAGGATTCACATACCTCGATATAGGGCAGATATTTGTTCATCAATGACGGAATAGCATGAGTCAAAAGGGTGATGGCCAAGAAAATCAGGAAAGTCTGATAATCTTGGAAATCATCGGTAAGACCCACACCAGGAGATTTTTCGAAGACATTGAGACAGGCGACAAGTAGCAAGGTTGTTCCGAAGTTGACAGCCAGAGTGATGGTGATATTTCCAGCGACGTACGACCAACCGCAAATCCATGATGCGACGCGACGGCACCACGGAGGAGCGAGGACGAAGGTTTGGTAGTAGACACCACCAGCAGTTGGATAAACAGAGGTAATTTCGGCCAGCGAAATGCCCACACACATGATCAGACATGAAACCAAAACCCAACCCCAGACAATATTGGCCGGACCGCCTGCAGCAAGCGGGTAGTACAAGGTTGTTGATAAGCCGTAAGGAACCGAGGAGAGAATGAAGCACATAAAGGTAACCTGCCAGACGGATCGGTTTCGTGCGAGCTCTGGTGTATAACCTAGATCCTCCAATGTCTGGTTGGCCTTATCGTTGTTGGTGCCATTCTCTGCATTAGATATCCCGGATGCACGGCGAAATTCTGCTTGAGAAGCCATGATGATCGAATCAAGATGATATGGTGGATTGCATGAGGCGAATTGACCGAGGAATGTGATAACTAGTAAATCTGTATTAAAACACTTTCAATTTTGGAACTCCAGAGTCCAATTTCACTCCAATCAAAAGTAACTTGAATGTCAAAATTGAGTATAGAAAAGTCGAAAATAAAAAGGAAACAAGAAATAAGGAAATGGAGAAGTCACGGTAGAATGAGGCAGGTGGGGAACCACCAAGTATCCAAGTCTCACACCCACTCTCTCCCACTCTCCCACTCTCCGGGCTTCTCTATAGGGAATAGGGTTGAAATTGGTCTAAACCGAGGGTCCTGGATTCGAGAACAAAAAACACGCCAATCAATGAATGTGAACTGAAGCCTCTTTCAGCCACTAAGGCGCCCCCAAACCGCCACTAGGCCGCCACTAAAATTCGAAACAGTGGAGATTAGCACGCGGCCAGGATCGGAACGATATGAGAACATGGCCATCCCGCGCATTCTCCCGTTTCTCATTTGGTATGAGAGAAAAGTCCCTGGATTACCTTAAATTTAAGATTGTCTTACAGATTTAGATCAAACTACGATCTACATTGAACTTGAAGGATTCATCTTGCCACCCCAAAAAAACAAACCTCCATCATTCAAACTCCCAAATGCTATGAATTCCAAGAATCATGATGTCAGAATCGGAACAAGGACCCAATCCATGTTCCGTGTTTCGCCAAGTACTAATTCAAACAGCCTATGGCCATCCCGCATCATACTGTGGGGCAATGCGGGTTTTTCGAGAGAGAAAAACGTAATTAAACGGGGAAAATATCTGTTCAACAAGAATAATCATAATCTAAACGAAGTTCAAGTTTAATGATCAGCAATGTTGGGTACCAACTATGTCATGCGACTCATGCCCCTTTAAAAATCAATAGCCACTTTAAGCGCTTGATGCTGAGATGCGGCTTGGAATGTTTGATAAGCCTTGGAGCCTTCATCACAAGGGAAATCTACAAGGAGATAAAGATTAGTAAACAAGAACAGGGCGGAAGAGAAAAGGATTGTTCTACGGAACCTACGATGTGTGACCAAAGAACCAATATCTAATAACCCTGATTCCACCAGCCGGATGAGACGGGGAGTCGTCGTCGCATTTACCAGGGACATGTGGATACCTAAGGGGAATAATCAGTTTGTACTCCGTAGTCATGATAAAAGACGGTAAACGCGGATGAACTCCTATCAAGGGCTCGGAATCCTTCCGTCGAGCTATATGATACTCACTGATATTGCGGTCCCATAACTTCTCCAGATGTAAATCGACTTTCGTCCCATGCACTCCAACATTGGCAATTATTCCTCCGACTCCAACCAACTCTTGACACAGTGCAAAACTCGCTGGTATACCCACTGCCTCAATCACTGCGTCAAATCCATGTCCATCACTCAAAGCCATGAGCTGCGAGATAGCATCAGGGGCAGCGGAGTTCACCGTAGCGTGAGCGCCAAGGGTTCGCGCGGTGGATAAGCGCGTCTCATCCAGATCGACCATTACAATAAGTGCAGGCGTGTATAGACGCGCGGTCATCAAGCTGGCCATTCCAACCGGTCCCGCTCCAATGATCACCACCGAACAACCAGGCTGAACATTCGCGCTGAGAACACCACATTCGAGACCCGTTGGAAACGCATCGGATACGGCCACGGCGGCGCGGGAAGGGATCGAAGTAGGCAAAGAATGAAGGGAAAGCGTGGCATGGGGTACACGAACATACTCAGCCTGTGTCCCATCGACTTCATTGCCCAACGTCCACCCACCGGTTTCGCAGTGCGCGGTGATTCCTCTCTGACAGTATCGGCACTGGCCGCAAGAAGTCATACAAGATATGAGAACCCGCGACCCTACTTCAAATCCGTGAACAGCTGAGCCGAGAGCTTCCACGATCCCAACTCCTTCATGACCTAAGACTAACCCCGGCTTTGCACTCGGGACATCTCCTTTGAGAATATGCAGATCCGTACCGCAGATAGAGGCATGTAGCAGACGTACTACAGCGTCGGTCGGGTCTTGGATCGTCGGCTTAGGACGTTCAAGTACTTCGACCGTACCAGGTCCTGTGTAGACAAGAGCCTTCATTGTTGCCATTCTAAGGGTTCCTTTAAATCAAGACTTCACACGCCGTTAGATTCGTATGATGTAAAGTTGAGAGAGAAGAGGGGCTACAAAGTATAGGCGGTATAAACTATCACAGTAGCACAAGAAACTGCCAAGACGATTCGTCTCGAGGATCAAATACCAATGACTCGAACTTTCGGCGAATACAGCGAGAATCATCCCCTCTTCTATGCTTTCGCAGTCGGGGTTGGGCCGACCCCAGATCATTAGCTCTAGATCCGCTCAAGCCTTCCGGGCCGTGGAGTGCGGGGGTGGACAACCCCACATTGTCCTCCACATGGTCAAGACTCAAGAGTAAGGAGAAGACTATCAAAATATGGGAAGGCGGCGAGGCAAAGAGCCCCCCGGGTGGAAGCTAGTCTTGAATCACATCATGCAGTATGTGCTCAGTTATCCATGAAGATTTGAGCACTCCGACTGCCATTCGCCTTGCCAAATCATCAGTCAACACCGAGTCAGGGAAGAGTCGATAAATCGGCAGCGCCAACTGAGCGCTTGCGAATCTAAGGGCAATGCCCTGTGACAGGAACACCGCCCCCATAACCTGACCAATGTGCCGATTAAACCTTCCTTGGACCTCAGTTTCATTGCCAGTGATGATATGCTCCTGTTGTAGGCTGTACTGCTCACTAGATACACAGCTATATGGAGTCATATATCTACCTTGCCATTGGTGCTGGGCACGGTAGGTTTCGGCATCTGGCAGTCTATCCATCTTTCAAGGCCACCTTCCAAGCGAATTCGATGAATCGCGTGGGTTATAGTGTTCGAATTTTCAAGTTGTAGGGGTGGGGGACCGAAAGTGAGAGAATCAACGAAGGATGAAACAATTTGACGGGAGTATAGTACTATCAATACAAGAGTGAAATGAGGCTCAAATAAGAGCACCTGAGTACCTTCCAAGGTTTACTGCCAAGGAAGGTTAGTATGTGAGTTGAGATGAATAGCATACAACGAAACCTCAATGAATAGATGTACGCATATCGATATCCTCGCAACCCTCTAGTTATTTCTTCTCTTTTGATGAAGTCATGTTCTTTTGGTCTCTTACTGAAAATTCTATTGGACCAGACTGCTACAGATCATGCGGTCTGAGGTAAGTGATATCACTTTCAAGTTTCCAATTAGGATCTTCTAGTCCGCTCCATGAGCCTCACCATCTTCCTTCCTCCTGTAGATATTGAAAGGACCTTGCTCTTCTTCAAGTTTGAGACCTTCCAGTCTTTTGAGAATCACCTGCCCCTTTTCCCGGATACCTAACCAATATTGCTTCTAGTATTGGGGCAATTGCTGACAAAAGAGTCACTAGTATCTTAAAATGAACTTCTTTGCCCTCAAACTACTAATACGCCCGGGTGATAAGAAGAATTCGAGTTGATTTTCTTCCTGCTCTTACCAAACTGAAGACCTTGAATATACGGATAATTGATGTCACAATTTCTAAGCAGGTTGCAAACCACCTAGACAAGTTTATGTACATGCGAAACACCGCTATACAATGACACTGAAGAGATGCAACAAGTTATACGAACAAAGCTACTGGTATAGGCCGATGGTTCAATTGTTCGACCGGGGATTTGAGCATGAGGACCTCGGGACGGAGCTCACACAGCTGCCCAGGTGAGTGCTGGTTCTCCAGCCTGAGGGATGGAATACCTAAATTGATCTCCACAATGCATATGATCATTTGACTAATTTGATTCTCATTGTATTTCTATTCTAAGCGGGTCTCCCCATAACTTTAGCCAATCAATATCCATAATCTAGTGATATGATCTCACTCAACAAGATTATCTTATCAAAACCCGCACTCACCCGCACTGACCCGCATTCGATAGATCATGGCCAGTGGCAATGGTGATATTATCCCTGCGATGCCCCATTGCCTCTCATCATCTTTAAGTCACCCGAATTTCTCTCGGTACACGCCGCAAACCGTATCCTGATCGGCTGACTTTCATCGGAACTCGATATCTTTGAGCTGCAAGATCCCGAGCTTTATAAACCCGAACTCCCCAGGAACTTCAACTTGAAGAACACCAGAAATATTATCAATACAAGGTTCTCAATATGACCGTGTTACTCCCCACAATCCGTCCTATTCAACCACCTAAGGGCTCCGACATCGATTTCGGAGCTCAGATTGAGGGTATAAACCTGGAGAATTTGACTGGTTAGTGATCCCCGTTCTCTATCTTAATACCAATACTCATCGTTGAATATCCACAGATGAGCAATTTGCCATAATTCGAGACACCTTATACAAGAATCATGTCGTTGTCTTCAAGAACCAGGAAAAGCTGTCTCCTAAAGCACAGTATGAGCTCACGAAACGATTTGACCCTGTATCCGACAACTATGGCCACGGCAAAACGATCGATGCGAAACGCAGCATTCTCCACCCGGATCTGAAGACAATACCACATCAACCGCAAGTTCAAGTCATTGGAAACGGATTTGTACCTTCATATGAAGGGCTAGAGAACATCCAATTAAGACATCCCCACCACCGAACCTTTCACAAGGATCATATCCCCGACGACAAGGATTACGACTTCACCCGTTTCTACCGATGGCATATTGATGCAGCACTTTATGACTTGTATCCGCCACAGGTTACCACTCTACTGGCCGTGGCTGTTCCCAAAGGCCGTCGTCAAACATTGTTGTATGATGATGGAACAGGAGAGACACTAGACGTCCCACTTGGCACCACTGCTTTTGTCAGTGGTCAGAGAATGTATGAATTGCTGTCTCCAGAAGACCAGGAATTTGTGCGAACAAGCAAGATGGAATATGCGCCTCACCCGTAAGTTCCCTGTTAATATGATACCAAAGAACCAAGAAGTCAATTCTAACTAGTTCTTATCAGATACATCTGGATGAGCCCAGCTCATTCTCGATCAACTGGACTGGGGCTACACTCAGAAGGCCTGGAATTACCAGCTTCAGATCTCCCACCTATTGACGAAAAGAAAATTATGATCTTTCCAATGGTTTGGAAGAACCCAGTAACTGGGAAGCTGGCTTTGCAAATCCACCCATCTGCAGTTCGCAGAATCCATCTTGCGGATGGCACGACTATTGATGACTTGGAAAGTGTACGTGAGATTGTTTATAAGCTACAGAGACCTGCTATTAGTCCCCAGTTTGTATACCCACATGACTGGGAAGAGGGTGACTTGGTTTTATTCAATAACCGAGGAGTTATCCACTCGGTGGTTGGTGCATTCAAGCCGGATGAGGTGCGGATTTTCCGACAGTGTAACTTGGCTGCTTCGGAACCACCAGTCGAAGCTTGATTTATTAGAACTTGGTATATTAGATTGAACTGATAGATGATAACTGTATGTTGGAAGGATTATAGGATTTGATTGGGTGTTTGGTGTCATACTGAATTTATTTGCATTTACTATTTATAAGATCTACTCCGACTCTTGTAGAGCTACTATTAGTTCGGACTCAAGTATGGAATTCATTATCATAATGATATGATCTTACTGAAAATCAAAATAAATTCAATTATGTTCCCAAAAACACGATCATCTCATAGATCGGAACAATTAAAATACATGTAATATTGAGGAGTATCAGGCTTCGCCAGGAAGTGAAAGTATGAACATGAAAAATCTCACCAGTAACGAGTGTGTTACCTGACAATGAAGAATCCATTCAGGGCAATCTGCTTCTCTCTGTCTTGATGCGTCCCCGAACGAACACCAAGTCGATGGAATGGTACTTTGCCCACCCATTTCTGACCCCGGCTTTGCATATCAGCATATCCCTCCTTAGCTCGATCCATCCAGCCCGTGTTCTGTCGCGGTATCTCAACTGGGGTTGGGCTTGAACTCTGCAAATCCGGAGCCCAGGCGGTATGAGCCAGTGTATACTGAACGACAGATTCATCATAGGCATCAGCCAGAACAGCAGCCTCCGCTGCAGTGGCCCGCGCATCGGCTAATTCCTGACTCGTTTTGCCAACTGGAGGTGGAATCTCCGCTCGGAGAAATCCCATAACGCGAACTTCGAGTCTCGATGTTTGAAGAGGGACCTCATCCAGGAGGCGCAATTTCACACTAAGTTTGGCAAGTTGACTCATATCGATACGAGCTGCCTGTAAAGGATCTATCGCGCGAACAGAAAGTACGACAGGACACCATGGACCGGTAGTGGGGTCTTTTTCTGTACCAATGTCGAACCGAGTCCAACCAAAGAAATATCCGCGTAATCGCCGCGGGACCCAGTCAGGTACCTTATTTAGTGCGATGAATTGACTCTCGCTAGAGTTATGAGATTGCGAAGATTGATCAGGTTCACATCGAGCCTTGAAAACCATCGGGAATGGAGGCTGGGGTCCAAGTTCAATAGGAGGTATTCCATTTTCGAATTGCCTTGGGCTGGATTCCTCAGTAGTTGCAGTCTTCTTACGAGAACTACCAAGGTCATCGACAATACCGCTAACTTTGTCCTGTGCACCGCTGGCAGAATATGCCGTCTGTGCTGCAGTCTGAGTTAACCATGATGGACGATAAGGGTCCACCTTGGCCTGCACAGCTGACGAAACCGGCGACACCACAGCCTGCGCAGCTGTCTGTGCATAAAGGCTGGCAATCATGGCGCCAAGTTCCAGAGGCAATGTACTCAGACTAGCTCCTCGAAGGGAACTGGGACTTGTAGATGTCGATAGAACTCGGAAAACAGGACTGTTACCAAGAACCTTTTTCTTGGGACCCTGACATAGGACAAGCTGGAAGTAACCATCCCCGGACTCAGCAGGAATGCGCAGAACAGTTGTCTGTCGTAGTATATGAGTTTCTCGTGGGCGCTTGGGAGCTTTCTTGCGAAACTTTTTGATATCGCGTTGCCAAGCTCGTTCATCATCTGGATTTATTTGATCTGCATGTAATGGCATTGTCGGCGTGACATCGATCCAGCTATCACGTAAATGTAGAAGTGCCTTTGCACGCATTCCGGTCTTTCCCGACCACCCTTTGCTTTGCAACCATAAGGTGCGATCCGGAGGTAAAGGGGCATCAGAGAAGATCGATATAGCGACCGAAGTTGTTTCTCCACGATAGAACACCAAGCCATGAGAATGGCGCAGAATTGTCACATGTTTATTGGACTCAGTTGGATGGTTGATTAAGCCACCAAGAAAATGACGTGCCTCGCCATATACTTTCTGAACAGAAGTTGGCTGTGGCTTTGCTGCTGGTGAGGTCGATGCTTCACAAGCAGTTCGTGGTCTTGGAAGCGGACTTGTAGGACGAGAACTTGAAGTCCTCGGTCTTGGTCCATAGAGATCGCTATAAGATGGAGGTTCTAGTGACGGAGGTACTAGAGCCGGGGAGGTCCTTGCATGCGCCAATGCCCCTGGAATTTGAGAGTTTGCAGTTTGTCGTAAATTTGGATTTGATACTGGTTTTCGCCTTGGCATGAAAGCATCTGGCGGCCTCTCCGGCCGCAAGGTCGCGGAAGCCATAGTCTCATATGCTTCATCGCAGGAAGTTCAGGAATCAGAAGTACAAAGCGTCACCGTCATAAAGGGATCATTGGTTCACGGTATCCACGGGCTGGGATTGGTCAATTCGATTAGTAATATAGCATGCCTTAGGTGTAAACACAGAAATCGAAGCATGTGACCTCATTGGGATGGGATGAATACGAGAAACAGTCAATGATATTTCAATATTTGGAATTGAAGTTGAGAATGGAATTGGAATTCTCCCTTTATAACTCGTAATGTAAGATATCTGAATATTTGATCTGTTAGAAATGCATGATTCTCTCCCGCGCTCGCCCAATTAGGCACCACCAATTTATCTGCTCCCAGTTGCCTCGAATTTTTCAATATGCAGTGTTCCAAATAATCAGTGTTCCAAATAATCGATTCGCCGAAAACGCCAAGGGTAAAAATTGGAAAAGGAGTGTTTGAATAGTAGAAGTATTTTAGTTGATCCGCTTGGAGGGAAAGGATAGGAAAAGCGGCTGTCGAGAGGCCACAGGTAGGCTAGGAAAGCGGTTTCTGGGCTGTGAAAACGGCACTATGATGGGTTAGGAAACATATTAAACATAAAGTATTGTGTGGCTCTTACAAAAGACAATATAAATGCATCTTATTGGAATTTAGCTCATTCCGAACTTGCGCCAGCATTACCTGACACTCGGAAGGCTTCCAGTCTCCGAACCGGGTGAACAAAGCCAAAGTGTAGCCTTCAACAGCACTATCGACCAGTTGCGCTCTGAAATACTTTCCTATTTCCTTGAGATTGGCATCTTTAGGCCATGTGCCGATGGGAAGAGCATATGGTGTGTATTGGACGTTTTCGAATGCTGCATCCTCCAAAAGCCCTCGCATTTCTGGTACTAGATCCCACATTCGACCTTGAATTTGCGCGAGACGGTAGAACTCAGCCTGTAATAGTTATAAGCCGAGATTTCATATTAAGTGTCGTATGGTTTTAGACTAACCTCCCATGTTCGTAGATAACAGTCGGTTGGAAAAGAGTCGTCGTCACATTGGATACGAGGGCGAACATCTCCTACTTCGATTCGCCCACCAGGCTTGAGATGACTGGGAATTCCATGTTAGTTAAAGGTATTTCTGATTGGATCGATGTTCCCATACTTCCAACATTGTCGTAAGAAACTTGGCCAATGTTCCACGCTGCCTCCCATGCCTCGAAAGTGAATAAAATCGAATGACTTTGATGGGAAGGTCCACTCTTGGTTCACATCATCGATAATGAAAAGAACGTTTGGTGGCACCCTACTCCTCTATTAGCTATTGATAGACCTTGACTTTGGTCAAGTGTTCGGGATCCTGACCAACCAGGTTGAATTGGAGATAGGTCAACTCCAATCACCTCCGCAGAGGGAAACTCATCCGCAACTGTGTGAATAGTTAGTCAAAAATCCAAGGTGATTCCAAAGAAGAAGAAGAGCATCAGAAAACAGACCTTCAATCGCCCAAATGCCCGTCCCTGTCCCGACATCGAGAATTTTCTGTGGATTCTCTAATTTGGTGTGAGTAAGTTCACCATCCAGACAGAGCCTGAAGATATGGTGAAGAATGTTTAATCGGTCTATATATTGGTATGTTGGGTTAGTTTGAGAGTTATAATCCAGATAACTGATACATTGTACCCTGTTCTAGCTCATCATTTGGTAAAACCTGATAAAAGAAAGGTCAGATAAGATGATCTCACATCATCTCAAGAGTGCGTGGAATTTGGGGGCACAAACATATTGACCCGGCCTGTAGGCATGATAGGTGCGACCATTTTCATAAACATGTGAATAAACCGATTCCGTTAAGGAGGTTAAGTCACTGCGTATGCTTTCTTGATCATTTGAAGACTAGAAGATAAGTCAATAACACGCCATATTAGAATGATTGGGGGCATATCCTACAGTGACATCGGGATCCACTTCAATATCCCTTGGCAAATTACGTTCCGACATGATAGGAGAGGGATTTAGCATATGGGGATGGGGAACATGGGGTGCAACTGCCAGTGCTCGGAATCAAGAAGGAATAAAACCACGAAGGAAAGCTAAGAGGCGAAACAGCCAAGACGAAAATCATGGTCGAGCCCAACAGGGCAATGCCCGCTACTCCGCACCTCTGGAGCGCACACTCACGCACAGAGAGAAATTGTTAGTGTGACTCTCTCCCAATCTGTCGGGTCCACGGAGATGAAAATCGCTTGATCCGAACTTAAACCAGCTCCCCGGCCTTACCCCACTAGTAACAAACCAGTCTCTCGGTATAATGTATGGTGTTCAGAGCTGTCTTAGGTACCGGACTATCGGGGAAAAAAGAGACAGGGGTTACAAAAGAAAAAAAAAGACAAAAAAAACAAAAAATCCGTTTTCTATGAGTATTCTAAGACTATGCTCAATGATGATTAGGTGCAGCTGACGGATTTGGCGGTCTCGGGAATGGCCGATTCTTCCCATTTGGTATCCATGGATCCTGCATTTCTTCTATCACAGCATCAACAAGCATCAACTTCAAGGTAGTATAGTAAGATAGTTGATGATATCGTAGTATACTTTATTCACTTATTATAAAATTTAACTAATTCACTGCTCTCGATTTTCACTTCCTACCCCCTTGTATTCACTAAAAGCTCCAAACTTAAAAAAGTTTCCAAGATTAGGGGTATACTTGAATAACTTCAACCCATGACATCTTCACATATTATGTCAGAACCTTGGAATATCCAGGAGTGTGAGATATCGATAAAAATACGAGAAATACGTGATAGAAAAAAAGCAAACATTTTCAAATACGCACATCATGACTCGGAAGCGGTCTGGTGTCCACGGGTTAAAGCACAGAGGCCCTCGGGTTATAAGCAGTTTAGCTTGTGCGGACCCGACAGAATGGGCCTTCCCATCCCCACATGTACCATGCACCTTGGAAAAAAAGGGGGAATGATAGGTGCACATGTGTACACCTCTCGGCCGGGCTTGAGAAGGCTGTGATAATTTCCAAGGTTATGATGTGGTATTTGGATATGTCACTTTTGATTCTGTTGACCGTTATGGTGAAGTTTTAATAGTAGTATCTAGAAGCTGGTCATCCCTGAAGAACTAAAACCTTGCATGTTTGTCTTTTTTTTTGCTTTTTATCATACATAAATTCTTCTTGATTTCCCTGAATTTCTAAGGGAGATCATCGTTGGGTCAAACCCCTCCATTTCCCGCGCCGTCGGTAACCAATGCCGAACCAGGAACTGGGGATACAGTGGGGTACTCTGTACTTTGGACATCGGTTGGAGGGGTAAAAAGTGCGAAGAACGAACTCTCTCGGAGTTTTCTTGACAGGTCATATTTCATGTTAGTTATAGATAGCATCTTTCCTCTCAAGTGCTAACTTTATGTTCAGTCCTCGTAAATTCTCGCTTCCTTTCCCTCCATATTACCAAGGTGGCTATATCACACAATCACCACTGGCACTGAGGGGCACACCGAAGCGGTGTTAGTCTAACATGCATAGTCACTTCTCAAGTTCCACTCCCAGGCGGGCCAGGCGCGGCCATGGGGCCGTGATTCATCTAAATGCCCACTTTCTACTCCGTACGGAGTAGCCCTGGAGATCGACTTGGTTGAAAGATGCGAATGAATTCAAGCTTTCGGTTCAAATCGGAGATTTAAACGAGGATGAGGTCACAGTCAATCTACCCGTGTACTACTAGTCTACTAGTAGGACCTAACATTTGTAGTAATTTGTAGTAAAGTAATTTGTAGTAAAGTAGTAGTAGAACCCCCACATTCACACTATTATGCCTCTCAAACATGAATTTCATCATTCCTTGCTCCACAACCTTACTCGCCTAAATTTTAGCTTCTTTACGTCCGATTCTTCCTCCAATAGTACTTATCTGTCCACAGATAGCTCGAAAGAACTTCAAGTTGACCAACTCAGTGACTTCAGGACCCTTTATTTCTAAATTTTGAATATCAACAAACATGACACTTCGAGAGACATGTCACAACATTGAAGCCGAAGATCACATGCATAGAAAGCCTCTAAATAACAAAATCTCGTGTAAATAGACATAGCCTTCAGAGTCAGAGTATAAAGATTACAAGCTTTCCCCAATGGCTTAAATGTTGATCATGGTGCGAGCTCACACCTGTTGCTGCTCCGCTAGAAGCTTTTGACACTGCGTGACCTCGTTATAAGAAAAGCAAACACCCATAACTTCCACCATTTCGGTTGCTATTATAAATTAGACAAATTATCAATTCCCCATCGGAGCGAGAACTTACGTGATATTCTGACACCTTCAGAACCATCATCATCACGTCCATTAAGACGAGTGTACTTGAGGACCATTTCGACGCGGGGACGACGATTAGCCTCGTACATGCGTAGGCGTGCTGGGATATCTCCTCTTTTCGTCCCAATCGGAAGCAGTGCAGCAACCCCAACTGCATCTTCGATAGCCATCGCTCCACCTTGACCCATATCTTCTTTGGTGTTAGTCAATAGTCGCATGACATTTGGCGTGATCAAGATGTTTTTTTTTCGTATAACTTACATGGCTGAAATGGGTGTGCAGAATCGCCGATAAGTGCACTATGGCCTGCTGTCCATCTAGGTAAACCCTCCATGTCAAATAGCTCCCATATTTTGAGTTTCTCATCGGCCTCTTCAACGATCTTCCGAACCCCAGGGGAGAATTCGGAGAATGCTTTAATCACGGTCTGCTTGTCACCAGCTGTCTGCCAGCCTTTTCAAGACTCTCAGCTTCAATCCAAATAATTTGATTCGGGGATACTAACCGTCAGCTTGGGTATCACTGTTCACCTCATTAGAGGGTGCAAAGGCACAAAGGTTATAGACTTTGCTGTCAGAGCATGGATAAGCGACCAGGCGACGGTCATTAGCAGCCCATTCAATGAATATCCCTGGGGACTTGACAAAGTCTTTGGTTGAATCGAATTTTTGCAAATCCTCAGTGGGGAGAAGCCATCGGAGGCACGCCTTTCCAACTGGGTATGGCGCGGGAGCTTCAGGTGCAATAGCACCACGAATCTGGGACTATATAAAGAGACAACGGTTAGAATCATGGCAGTATCCCATAAAAGATAAGGACTCATACATGTAGTCCATCTGCACCAATTAACAGGTCTGCCTCGAATACGCGACCATCTTCTAGAGTGACGGAAGGACGAGAAGAATTGATATCGATCGCCGTGATCTTGCATTTTGTGTGGAGATCCGCTGTCTCGAGTGCACGATTCTTGAGATAATTGTGCAAGTCAACCCGATGAACGAGATACCACTCCTTTGAGTATAATAAGTATTTTGTCCAGAAATCCGTGACTTTTCAAGGTTTGCTTACAGCCTGCCACATATGGCGAACTTTGTCAAAATCCTTTGTATAATGAAGATCACCCTCGAATCCATACCGACGAAGCTAGAATATGAGGTTAGGCAAAATTAGGTTGCTTTTCTTTTTGGCTTTTTCTGGTCAATATCCCACCTCATGAAGAAGAGTGCCGCCAAACTTGGTAGGATCAACACCCATCCAATTCAGCATCGCAGTACAGTTTGGAGGTAAGTGGATGGCTGCTCCAGTTTCCTTAAGGAAACCTGATTTTTCCAAAATCTAGACTTATTAGCAAGCTATTTACTAGCAAATATTGATCCTTTTCTTGTACACATACAACCACATTATGACCTTGTTTCCCAAAAGCAATAGCGGCTGAAAGACCGGCAACTCCCGCCCCAATGATAAGGATATCTAAAGCCTGATTCTCAGATATCATTTCGATCAGGTAACTTCAAATTAAAATGTTAGTATGAAGCTGCAGGAAATGATGAAACAGTCGTGAGCCATCATATCCCTTGCTCAACTAATAAATAGTCCTCCAGCTTGGAAGTGCTGGGCGCTGTGCATATGCTAGGACTCTTAAAACGGTAACTCCGAGGATTATCTCCGAGGATCAACAGTTATTTACATCCATGAACCCACTCCATTTTTTCGAAGATGCAGATCTTTACCATTCCAATGTGAGCGGCCCGGGGAGGAACAAAAAAGACAAGACTAGACGCCTTGGTTCAGTGGGGTGGTGTAGTAAGCTGCGTTTTACCTAAGGTTCCATGTTGACCCTGGTAAATTGCATTTTGTTTGTGCCCAGGTGGCGAATGCAGAACATTTACATTACCATTCGAATCCTGCACATGTGGATGGAATATTGATATCAAACTTTACACTGGCAGCTTCATGTTGATCTAGAGAGGACAGAGTGATGTTTTTACCACTGGCAGATGTCAAACCATTTGAATGGTCAGATTCCCAAGGTCCCGGCGTTCCCCGCTCGGTGACTATATGCAGATCTATCCCGGATTTATATGACGACACGTGCGGATATATGACTGGAAGGTCCACGGCGCCTTGCATGCTTGACTTCCGTCGGGAATTTAAAAATCCCCTTTGAGCAACGTGGCTGTAGAGTTGGAGTTATCCATGCAAATGAATATGTAAATATGCATCTGTCTGATATCTTTCATGCTCCCTATACTAGGTAACTGATATAGATTGTCCCGTTCAAGTTTATATACAACATCCGCCTCATCAAGACTCTTGAACATCCTGGTACTTCATAAGCTCCTCCGCCGACAAATAACAGAATCTCAAGATCAGTCAATAACTGCACGAGGCTTGTGCTGACTTTCTGATTTGAGAAGGCTGTAGACTTGATATGGATGAAATTTAAGTTGGAAGGAGTCGCGTGCACACCCGTAATGCGCAGATATCTTCATGGCTATTGAGCTTTCATTTACTATTGAGGAAACTCGCAGCCCATGAAAATAGTAGTCTTGATAGGAGTGTCATAATACGGACTAATCTCAACGAACCCATATCTGCGGTAGAGGCGTTGTGCTGCAGTCATATCCGGGAGCGTATCCAGGCGGATACCACGATAACCCAGAGCACTTGCTCTTTCAAGAACAGCGACTACCAAATTGTTACCCAGACGAAGGCCTCGCGCTTCAGGAAGAACGTAGAGACGCTTCATTTCACACCAGTTGTCTGCGCTCCGCCGAAGTGCCACACAACCCACGACAGGGGCAATCTGTGGGGTCGGCGATGGAGTAGAAGGCGTTGATGAAGAAGTGGAGACCATATCTGACTTCTCCTGGCCTTCGTTGTATGCTCGAGCAATTAACAGTGCACCGCCTTGTGACTCTTCATATTTCCCTGGTAGCGTATCAAGCTCATCTTGGAATGATTGAAAAGTAAGGTCAATTCCCAGTGATGTCGCATACCCGGAAAATAATGTATGGATTATCTTGCTATCCCGAGGGAACTGCGCGAGCTCGATTGAAATTGGCATCATGGGATAATTGAAGTTTGGAGATGTTGATACAACCTGAAATTTACTCCCAGGAAGATCCATACCTGCCTATGGATGGCCAGGATGAGTCATAAGCGCCTAGTGGAAGCCCGAGATCTCGGCAGTTGGTAACACTGATCGTCCGGTCCACATACCATTGAATACTATCATGTCGGTGGGTTGGGGTCCAACTTCAGATGTTGGAGATAACACGAGGTAATAACCATGGCACTTCTATTATGTATTTTAAAAAAGGTTAGCTCAGCGATCGATGACAATTTTTATTCACGATCGCCTGTGGGTCTATGAAATGACTGGTTGCGGATAGTGTTCATCATAATGTAGGGCCCCCAGGGCCCCCACCCCCCATCCATAATTTGCTGCGAATTTAAAATAGCATTCAGCCAATAAGGCCTAGAATACCAGGAAATCAATATGCGATGATTCCGGGAGTCTGACATGCATAAATTGAACGATTTCACGTGGTTTTGATCCCCCGCCAACCTGCATCACGCACGACGAAACTGATATATTGACCAATACCCACATACTGGTTCTTTTCCCAATATTCCCCCACAAGCTGAGCCTAGTAACTCGATTGAGTAAACCTTGCAGGGACCTCAGCCTCTTTAAGTTGACGAGTTGCGAAGATGGATTTGCTTAGAAAGTTCCTTGCTGAGAATAGCCATATTCAATTTGCTGCCTCAGATTCTCCAGATTTCGCCGACCTATGTTCAGCATTCATTATAAATGCAACGAAGAAACCAAGCTTGATCGTCCGGCCCCGTTCGGCCGAGGATATAAGCGGGCTTGTATCGATCCTCACAACCAATGATATTCCCTTCACTATCCGTGGCGGTGGCCATGATATGTTCGGTCGATCTCAAGTAGACGGTGCAGTAACTATTGACATGCGTGAGATTTGTCATGTCCACGTCGATTCCGCCTCGAAAACAGCACGAGTGGGCGGAGGTATTATTTCCATGAATCTGCTCAAGGAACTGGAGAAGCATCAGATGGTCACTCCTCATCCTGTGACACCAAGTGTTGGGTATGTTGGCTGGGCGATTCATGGTGGGTATGGTTTACTCAGTACCAAATATGGACTTGGGGTGGATCAGATTGTGGGTGCGACTGTTGTAGATGCGAATGGGAATATCCTCGAGGCAGACGAAAGGATGTTGACCGTTATTCGAGGTGGTGGAGGTGCAGTGGGTGTTATTGTGGAAGTGAAGACCAAGATTTACCCTCTGGATCAGGTAAGAAGCATTCTCAAAAAAAGAAAATTTAGTCGGTATTAATCTGATGTGTATAAAGGTTCTTGCAGGAGCAATCATATATCAACCATCCGAGCTGGTTACAGGCTTTCGAGACTTTAATACCAACTTTCAGCAAGCCAAGCGAGATGGCTTTCCACCCGAGCTCGGCATATATCGATTCATCATGAATGGGCCTACAGGGAAAGCTCAAATTGTTCTATTCCTCTGGGCTTCATCGGACATCAGCGAAGGCCAAAAATGGTTGTCAACAGTTTCTTCATGGGCGCCTCTTGGGATGAGCACTGTGGCACCAACTACCATCGCCGCCTTTAACGAAGTAACCAACTCCATGGTCCCAAAGATAGCCTACGGGACTATTCACGCTCCCATATTCCGCAGTTTAACGCCTGAGGTTGTGGATGTGATCGGCAAGCATGCGCTATTACAACCTAATAACCCTGAGGTTCTATTCGGCATTCATGAGCTCCGTGCAGACGCTCCTATGTCATCCAACGGTTCGATTTTCAATGCACGCCAGGCTCATGTCTTGATTGAGATAATTCCAATTACAGGATCTCTCGACACACTGTATGAGACGATGGCTTGGGGTCAAAATTTTAATGATGCTTTGTTAGCAACAGATGCAGCGAATCGTCTCTCCTGCTCTTATATCCCATTAAATCCTACAAGGGATCTGGAATTTAAAGGTATTTATGGAAGCCAGTATGAGACTTTGCGAGAGATCAAGACAGAGCTCGATCCTGACAACAAATTCAAGCATGCACTTGTGCAACTTTAGGTTGTTAAGATGATCACAAGTTGTGCCAATAGAAGGGTTGAAAAGTGTCAAATTTTTGAGTCATTCAAATTGTCATATTATAAATAAGAAGAAATTTCAGATATCACAAGTCACTCCTCTTCAATCCAGTAGAAGATAAATCCTGGGAAACATTATCAAACAACCTCCAGTTGTTAATCACAAAAAACGCCGACACCAATCACGCTAACCACAGAAATCCCAGATTCCAAGGTTATTTACATACTAGCAACATTATTACCGGAAGATCAATCACGACTGGTAGGACACAGTGAACTGGGTGTCACTCTCAACATCGACCTTGGCGAGGACCTTGCCATTCTGCTGGATGTCCAAAACCTGACCACCATTGACACCATAAGACCCACTGGCGGCTTCAGCCTGAACACCAGTGAAAGTGACATCACCGAAGTTGACAAGTGGCACCATCGAGGAACCCGAGTTGAAGTCCTCAACAATCCACTCAGCGTTTTGTCCACCAAGAGTCGCAGAGGAAGAAGGGGCAGATAACGTCTGGGTAACAGTCTTGCCAGAGGATTGATTCTCGATGATGGCAACACCCTCGCTAGGCGAGAAGGACTCAACCTTCGCAACGATCACATCGCCAGCTGAGAGATCGATAGCAAAGTTCACAGCAGCGTTAGGGTACCATTCGTACCACGCGTCATAGGTCTTATCGCCGTTCTGAATATAGGCATCAACTCCGGTTTGCAAGATAGCCTTGGTATAAGAATCACCATCGATTCCAACCCAGGCGGAAGCAGCTTGCATATTACCGGAGTTATCCGTTGCTGTTGGGTCTGGGACGGTGAAGGTGGCAGAGACAGCGGTGTAGGTGGCACTGGGAGGAGGCTGTTCAAGGACGACACCGGCCCAGTTCTTGCTGTACTGAACGCTGGCTGCCTCGGAGTCGGAGCCATCCTTGAGAAGAACGCCATTTCTCTCTGAAGGCATGGACTGGCGAGACAGAACACCGCGTGCTTGCAAACGCTCAACTAGTCCAGAGCGTGGCGCCGCATAGGCACCAGTTGCCAACATAGTAATGGCCAGGGTTGCGGTGGTGAACTTCATATTGATTGAGGGGGGGATTGGTATACTCCAGAAAGAGACTGAGAGGACGACGACGAAGGACTGGGATCTGGCGTGACTAGGTAGCATATGTCTCCCAGCGCATGGAACATGGCCTGAGTTTTATATCCTGTCTTTTGAGAGGTTGCATGCAGTTTTCAACCGCATGAGGAAGTCACTCGTGTGGTAGTAGCTCTTGAGACCCATCGTGGGGTCCAGGCGTGAGAAATTGTCTCAGACCCGCAAGAAAGTAGAAATTTGGAATAAAACAGGTTCTTAGGGGTAGGGCTGTGGGTTCAAGGATCCCACTTAGTCTTTGGCCGGTTATGTTCTGGAATGATGATGATCTTATCCAATCAGCGTTGGTTATACGCCTTGATGCCTGCGCAGCGGGTTCACACACGTGTTTCCGTTATCATTTGCGGCTCAGAATGACCGGCTTGAAGGGAGCAGGCGAGGCCTCAGCTTGCGTGTCTGGGTAGCAGATACATTCCTCAAGGGCAGCGCCATCTGACAGCGGGACAATGACGGATTGGCTGAAGATCAGCGTCAGCCACCGATCTGAGCGCCACGAGGCCTGCTAACTCTAGATAACAAGTATTGAGCAAAGGCTGGTGTTCACATGACAGAATGATGATGATTTGATGTAGTAGACAACTGGATTATTGACTTAGATGTAGCCTGGTCTGAGGTTATACTCTGTATCAATTAGTAGTAGGAGCCACAACAAAGAGTCGAACAAGGACACTACAACGCCGAATGTAACCGTCTATAGAAAGCATCTAGAATCGCCATATTGGAGCAAAATCAAATCATCGAGATTTCAACGCCAAAGACGTGAGCGGATTATTATGACCAACAGCATTCCAAGAAAAGAATGCTGGCATTCTTCAGTGCCTTTTTCATCTGTGTTGATAGGTGCGCGGGATATATACTCACCGAATGCGGTTATCCATTGCCGATCACTTTATGTTCATTGAACGCGCACTGTCTCAAATCATCCGAGTTGGGATAGGAGGAAAAGTGTATGAGAACGAGTTCGGGATATTCCGGGTCAAGCATGCTATTTTCGCATGACTGGAAAGTGAGACCATGACTGGTTGATGAGTCTCCATTTGTGCGCATGTCTCGAGTGGGTGAGTCTGTGGAAAGTTATCCGAAGAATGTTCGTACGTCAGTGATAAGACAGGCAAATATCACGCGAGTTGAGAGAGCAGAATTGGATGTTGATCATCAGGACTGTATCCTGAGACCTCCTCTAGACCAATAGAAGGAAAATAGCCAGTAAGGCCGGGCTCATAGTAAGAACAATGGTTTCGAGGTTCTTCGGGGGTATATGAGATGTATTGAACAATGACAGCCTGAGAACAGGCAGTCTATAACAAAGAAAGCGACTTGAAAGAAACAAAGAAGGCGGGTTGCACAGCTCGAGTCGCCATGTTGAATAAGCGAAGAAGAAATAATAATAATAATAAACATCGGATCGTTCGCAAGTGTCAATCACATAGGAAGGGCACGCATCTCTTTCTCTGACCAGTACTTGCGCATATTATCAGCGCCTAAGGTCTTGACTTCTTGATCCAAGTGTGTCCATAGGACCTCGCCAAATGCCTCCATTAAACGCTTTACCTCCTCCCGTCTCATATCTTCTTCGCCAGATCGGCATTTTTCAAGATAAGCCTCCAGCTTCTCAAGCCCAGCATGGATTTGCTTATGTTGACTCAAGAGCTCAAGCTCCTTTCTGAATTCTGGCATCTTCTTGGCTAACACTGGGAAGATATGTTGTTCCTCAATGGAATGATGGAAATCAAGTTGAGAACAGAATTGCAGGCCTGTCATGATCATTTGACGAGCAGATAAACCGCGCTTGCCGGTCGCATTACATGCATCTAACAGTTGATTCCATGCGAGGCGGAAATGATTGTGCTGGATTTTTGTTAGCGAGGACTATTCAGCCCGCGGGGCCAAAGCGGATTAATCAGGGCTTACAAATGCGTCCATTTGCTCTGCCATGCGATTATATGTTCGAAATTCACTCGGGGAGAGTTTTGGGAGTTCGTCCCCAGAGCCCGCTGGGCTTGTGCTATCGCTCTTTTTTCCGGCCATTGGAATGGATGTGACTGGCGTAAATGATGCAGAAACTTGAAGTACAGGAGAAGATGCTGAGTATAAACGAGCAGCGATGGGAGCCCGGAATAGTAGTGGGGGCACAACGCTTCGCAAGCCACGCATGAGACGGCAGTTGAACAAAAGTCACTGCCGGGTAAAATCTTTTGATAAGAGGTATTCAATGACAAGTGCTTATAAGGCGTACAGGAGTCTTTATAAAGGAATCTGGAGATGATGAGAAAGCAGAGATTTCTGATTTGACGGAGCCTCGGGTCCCATCTACTTTGAAGTGGACCCCTGAGCTGGTGGCGTAACAGGCACTCGAGTGCCACTTGGTCAATACTTATGATTTTACTCGTGGACTCTCATCGTCAAGTAGTAGTAATACCTATAAATGGACAACTGCTATCAGTACACTACAGTATTAAAGATTGCAAGAATGAAGAATATTATGAAACCGTGACCAGATTAAATTAATACTATATAAACGGACAAAATCTTCTCTCTAGTTGAAAACAAGTTTAAAACCTGCACTACAATCGGTCTATTGATACCGTGGAAATGTCCCAGATCTTCAATGGACGTGTGCCATCACAGCTACTTAAAGCCACAAAACACAAATCTAGTACTCACTGGATAAAGAAAGAAATAAATCCTCCACTCAATATAAGCACTTCTTGGCACAACCACAGCCATGAAAGGGCTAGATTGCAATTTGACATCCGTGCTAATCATAATCAACTAGGAGATACCCTCGCAAGAAACATAAGTTAGCAGAAACAGGCTGGATGTGAAAATATGTCAATTATTATGAATACACATCGTGACACCGGTGGCGCAAAGTGGTGGGAATATAATCAAACAGGAGGCCACCGGCACGGGGGAATCAGAATTAGAGAATACAAGTCGTAACGCCGTGGAGTTAAAACAAGGGATCACAGCTCATTGCGAATAGAGGCAGAGACAGAAGCAGCCGCCTTCGCAGCAGCCTTCGCAGCCACTTGAGGTGGAGGACGGAAGTTACCAGATGTGAGCTCTTGCCAGGCCAGATCAAAACGGGCTCCAAAGAACCAAGCCACACCCATCTAATAGAAAGTTAGGAATACATTTTAGAAATTCATAAATGGGCCTCGCTTACCATAGTACCAGCGACAAAGAGAACAACGGCACCCATGAGCATCATCATGAAGTAGATATCAGCCTTGTTCTCGGCGTCCTCCTCTCGTTTCTTCGCCTGTTCGGCGGTAAGCTCACCCTTGACTTGCAGCTGGGCATCAGCGGCCTTTTGGGTTGGGAAAATGGTCTCAATAAACTTTTCGATCTATAGATTAAGAGTCAGAATGATGATTGTTCAGGCGAATCGTTGAAGGGGATCCTAAGTGAACTTACCCTGCCACACTCAATGCTGATCTTGAGGAAGTTGGGATCCTTGGGAGTGTTCTTCTTGTGGATCTTACGAGCGAACTGGCGGAAGGTGTTACACAAGATCTGAAGGTTTTGGGTTGACTGCACCATCAATTCACAGGCGTCGCCCTTGGTGATCTTGATGTTGCGCTCAAAGATATCGTAGTTGCGGAAGCACAGTTCCATCGTAGCGATGGCCATAGCCTGGGGAATGGCGCAGAAGTTGAACACACTCTGCTCCTTCAGACCGGCCAAGTAGAAGAGGCAGTCCTCGACGTGTTCCAAAGCATTCAGAATCATTTCGGAGTTGCAGTTGAGGGCCAGCTCCCGGTTCTCGGGCTTGAAAAGATCCTCGAAGTTGTCCACGTGCTTGGACCAAATTTCCTGGGGCCAGAAGCGTCGCTCATCATCGAAGTCCTCTCGGATATCACGGATGATGTTGGTCTTCTGCAGGAACAGACCCATGGACTTGTGGAGGCGGGAGCGTTTGAGGAGAGCAGGGTTGGCCAAACCGGCCTCGACGAACAGACGAGTCAGACCCTCACCAACCAGACCAGCAACGTAGTGGCAGTAAAGATCGTATTCCTCAATGGTCTTGACACTAGCATCATCGCTTGCAGCCTTGATGCAGTAGTCAGCCATACCATTGCCCATCTTGTCGGTGATATCCTTGATAGTCGCCTGGTAAGCAGGCTTCATGTTCTTAAACTCAGTGATGACGTTTTGGAACTGAACCAGCAGTTCTCGGTCTTTCTCCTCGGGCCGGTTTCCGGTGAAGTTCCAGCCATCTTGCTCCAGAATATCCTTAAATCCGCGTAGAAGTGGTTCCTTGGTCTTCAAATCGATAGACGTATCATCCTCAATTGTGTCGAGACCACGTAGGACAAGGTAGAAGACACAAACGGGAAGTAGCAGCTCGGGGTGGAGCTCCTTGATGACAGCGCTGAAGCTTCGGCTGGTCAGATCAAGGAACTTGAAGCATGCCTTTTGTGTCTCGGTATCGTTCTTAGGATTGCGCTCATGAGGCGGGTTGTGCCAAACCTTCCTATAACAAGTGATTGTTGGTCAGTTGGAGATTAAAAAAAGTACGGATCTTGGCAAGCATTTACCATTGAATGATTGACCGCAATTGAATTGGGTGAAGAGAAAAGTAGATCGCCTTGCTAACGAAACCCATATTGATTTGAAGGAAATGGGACACGTAAATTAAATTGCGGAGAAGTAAAGGAATAGGGGGGAAAGAGTCGAGGCGGGAGAAAAGGGAAACGAGGACAAAGAACACAACCACGTGATCTCCACCGCCTGGCGCGCGGTCCGTGAATCTTTGGCGGGGAAAAAGTACGCTGATCGTGATTACTTCCAAGGTTTCCAAGATTCTCTTTTATCTTTGAAATCCAACTTTGTCATAATTTCTCTTATTGCATATTTCTCCACTTTGAATATTAGAGAGTCTTTGACTCTGCTACCAACATGGTCGCTGATACCGCCTACTATGACGCCCTCGGTGTCCCGCCAACGGCGACAGAGCTTGAGATCAAGAAAGCCTATCGCAAGCTTGCTATTGTCACTCACCCTGGTATGATTGAAGATCGATCTCTCTATTAGACTCCCACTCTAACTATAATCCTCTTTATCCAGACAAGAACCCCGGCGATGAAACCGCGCATGCACGGTTCCAGGCGGTACGCCGGAATCCCACTTTTTAACTATAGCAGTTCCCTCGACTAATACCAACATCAAATAAATAGATCGGTGAAGCCTACCAAGTTCTGAGCAACGAAGATCTGCGAAAACGTTATGATAAGTTTGGAAAGGAGGATGCTGTCCCTGGAGGTGGCTTTGGTTGGTCAACCCGTCCTGGAAACAGGCAGCAGAGCTACAAAAGCGACATACTAACGTATGTCAACAGAGGATCCCTCGGAGTTTTTCAGTATGATTTTCGGTGGCGAAGCTTTCGTTGATCTTATTGGTGAAATCTCCCTCATGAAAGACCTCACCGCGACAATGGATATTACGATGGAGCAGATGGAGGAGGAGGAGCTTGCCGAGTCCGCGGAGCAGAAGCTCAACATCCACGACGAAGAGGTCAAGGCCGGAGAGGCGGAACCCTCTGCTAGCACTGCTAGCGGCACTGCCGCTAGTCCCTCGGCATCCGCTGAGACTTCCCACGCTGCCGGTGAAGCCTCTGCCTCTGCCCATGGCTCCGGTACCAGCACACCTCGGCGGTACATGGGCCAGCAGGCCCTTATGGACCGTTCCGAAGAAGAGGCGCGCATGGATGCAGCTGGTCTGTCACAAGAGGAGAAGGAACTGCGCAAGAAGGAGAAGAAGAAGGGTCTGTCCAAGGAACAGCAAGAGCGCCTTGCCGCATTTGAGGAGGAGCGGAGAAAGGCCCGCGAGGAGCGAGTCAACACTCTGGCCAACAAGCTTATCGACCGTCTCAGTGTTTGGACCGAAACCGACAAGGGTGCTGATGTTACTCGTGCTTTTGAAGAGAAGATCCGCCTTGAGGTTGAGAACTTGAAGATGGAGTCATTCGGTCTGGAGATTCTGCATGCTGTCGGTGCCACATACGTCCAGAAGGGTACATCTTTCCTTAAGTCCCAGAAGTTCCTCGGTATCTCTGGGTTCTTTTCGCGACTCAAGGACAAGGGCACTCTGGCCAAGGAGACCTGGACAACAATTTCAACTGCCATCGATGCCCAGATGACCATGGAGGAGATGGCCAAGCTGGAGGAGCGTGGTGGTGAGGACTGGACCGACGAGAAGAAGGCCGAGTACGAGAAGAAGGTCACTGGTAAGATTCTGGCTGCCGCTTGGCGTGGCAGCAAGTTCGAGATCCAGAGTGTCCTGCGTGATGTCTGTGACCAAATTCTTGGTGACAAGCGCATTCGTCTCGAGAAGCGCGTTGAACGGGCTCATGCCCTGGTCCTGGCTGGTAACATCTATGCTAAGGTAAGATTTCTGGTTTTATAATTTTATGGATGACAGGCATATACTAACTGCACGACTCTAGGCCGAGCGTGACCCCGAAGAGGAGGGAGATTACATGGCGTTTGAGCAGCTGATGGCTGAAGCCATGACCAAGGATAAGAAAAAGAAGAAGGACAAGAAGCATAGCCACACTGAGTCTCCGGAGCAGCCACATGAGAAGGCCTCGGCTTGAGGGTTTTTCTAATGACTTCTTGCTGTATCCTAATAGCTTTCCCTGCTCTGCTACCGCCCTTTCCTCACCTCTTTACATGATTATCTGGACATACATGTATTGGTCTTTGGTCTTCCCGTGGGGGATTTAGATCCCATCTCTTTTTCAAGCCTGTTGTTTTTTGTCTTCGCAACAGTAAATCTGTGCGTATAGCCCTGGTTATAGACTGCCTGCCTTATATACCTCGTCTTGATGCCCTGTGATAAGGACTACTTGGAACGATTCACTCTCATAAAATTAAAATCGAACATAGACAACTAATCGCAATAATTATTAACGGGGACCATTATTAAACAATATTCAGGGGTATCCATCTCCGCTCCAAGCACAAATTCAAATATTATCATTAGACCACCACCCGATACTAGCACTGTGACCGTATCGCTTCACATATAAGGCGGCCCAGGGCCCACCGGCAGGATAGTTCTGAGTCGGAATCGTTCAATTCGATAGACCGCGACATGAACTTGAAGAATTTCGACTTTTCAAGCGTGGTTAGTTTGGTGATCGTGGACGTTGTCAGCACTTAGTTCGGCACTGGCCATAGTAGCCGAGACCTCCGAGGGACTAAGCTGTTGAATGTTCGGCTGCTCATGTAGAGCTTCAGCATCCCGGTTGGTTTGAGGTGCAACGGGGTTTGTACTCATCGGAACCTCAGGGGCAGGAGTATTAGTCGATGGCGCATTCACGGCCTGTGTCTTACGCACCGACTGATAGCCTGCCCAATCCGACACCAACACACCACAAAGTGCGAGAACTGAAAGCACGAAAAGTGCGATGAAGAGGATCCTGGATTTGGAAATAGTGGATTAGCATGCGCATGATACTAAATAATGTCAATGAAACAGACTGCAAGGGGGTGAATGTACCAGAGCAATACTGCGAAGGCGATGATGGCGTTTAAATCGTCATTAGTGCTGGTATAGCCATCAAGCTGAGATGCAATGTCGGCGAAGACGGCGAGCCAGAAGACCATTGTAATGAAATAGACAATAGCGAAGGAAAATCCCAGAATTGAATTCAACTTCTCATTGGTACCTTTGCGGGTGTAGAACCATGACAGGACAAGCGCGGCGACTGATACCAGCATGGTCCATACTGAGGCAAAGATAGCGAATGACAAGATTCCAGGGACGCTGGTATCGACATTGCCATAAAAGTCATTATAGGCGTTTGCGGCGTCTTGCCAAACAGAAGCCGAATGACCGGATACACCTAATTCGATAATCGCGAAGACGAAGGATGTGGCCAGGAGGGCATAGAGGGCAATATGGAGGATCTGCATGGCGAGGAAGATATAGATACTATCACTTCGAGAAAGAAAAAGAAAGAATCATATAATATTCCAACGGACTCGGAATCAAAGACACCATAGAAATCTCAGCTGCAGGCAGTCGGGGGGGGTATTCCCTTGCTCTTTATCTGCACACGTGTGACCGTTTTCCGGGCCTATAGATACAGCCTCATCATCGGTGATCAGCCTTACAGCTTCTTCATTTTGATGGAGCTCGGATTATGGGCATCATCGGAAAGTCTTGGCTCCAATGGTGGACACTGAATACGAGCACCCACAGCGCGATGGCGCTGGCGCTGCCCCAAATCGGTGCAATGTAAGCGAGTGGTGATTCGGACCGAGCCATTTCCACCTTCTCATTTGATCATGAACAGAATTGGGAGTCTTTATCCTGTCAGACTCGGAGCTAAGTGGAGTCAAGTTGGCAGGAAAAACCGAGGTTTTTGGGATCGGCAGGGTATAATCAGGGTCTTTTCATGCAGCATGGTCCTCTGACCTACGTGGTTTTTCCCAAGCTTTGCAGGAGCTGTGCATGAGCTGTGCGTCTTAGGCGAAGTGTGGGTAAATTGTGCCTGACATACTCCGTGCTCCGCTCGGAGTTGCGGCCTTGGAGGTGGATGTGATGAGTCGAGGTTCAAGGGGGGAAATTGATATACGTACATAGCTCCTCGCATACGAATACGCGCTATCAGATGGATGGTTTTATGATCCCGCTCGACATTCATATTAATGAAGACCATATACTTTTTGTGAAACACATAGTCAAATTTTGAACAATTTAATCCCACCTGCAATTTATACTCCAAATTTCTGCATTATTTCAAAGTTTGACACTATTCTCAAAACTTGAATCGGATGGGGGCCATTTTGCGCGTGGTTGTGATGATGTGTCAAAGGAATTTTTTTCAAAATATTTCAGCCCCATGAACTCAAAGACCTCACCAACAAAGAGAAAGTTGTTTTCATAATTGCCTAGCATGCAATTTGAGGGAACCTGCCAACATTTGAAGTGATTCGAGTTGAAAATCTCTATGAATTTTGACCCAGGGAATATCCCAAATCAGACCAACCCGAATGAGATCCGTCTCCAATCCAGATATGGCCCCTGCTGTTCTCCAAGTTAGGATTCAAGCATTTGAGCGATTTGTACTCCGAGTCCATACGAGCAGCAAGGATGGCATGAGCCCCTGGAGGGACTGTGCTTGTGCCTATCTAAACGATTGGGTTTTGAAGGCCCCATGGATGTGGGGGCCGTCTAAGCCTCACTTCACCGCCGCGATCAAATGCTTCATCTCAAGTCGCGATTCTCGAGACATTTCCTTACTTGGTCTCAAAATCCTTTCTGATTTTCGGAACCTACCTCAACTGCTGAAATTCCTTCAAGTTGAAGGCGGCTGGCTAATCCCGGGTCATGGCTTCATACCTAGATGCGCTATAGTCAAATATGTTCACCGAACATCGAATGTTCAATGACCATCCAAACATTCAACTTGAAGTTCGAAGCCTTCAAATTCTCAAGCTCAAGTTGAAACTCGATGCAATTGAGTCAGAGCTCGTAAATGTCCAAGCATAGTATGTGAGAACTTGAATGACTGCAGCCCCCAGGGCTAGCTCCAGATCCTGGGTTGTCAACGCTGCCAGTGATCTCGGGAGTTCAAAGTTGAACCTTAGAATGATCGCATATTCAACTTGAAGTTCCTCGGGTGCGTACTAGTCCATGCCTTTTCTATCAATGGTTTAATTCAAATGAACGCTACTAGTAGTTGGGACGGATTCTTGGAAATTCCTCAATTAGTTCAGTCAAGGGATTGGAAAGTACAAACTTGGACTGTAAACTCTCGGTCCTTCTCGCATATATCAATTAATTCCTCATTTGTACGATATGACTTTAATGCAGAAACTTTTTGGTGCGCCAACAGGCTATAAATGGATTTATTTCCAGATATGGCTAGGATGGCTGTCGTTTGGGGGCTCTTTAACGTATTTTCAACTTAATCGCGCGACTGACTTGGCTGGGCGAACCCAGCATCTTCATCATTTAAAGGTAATCAACCGGCGGTCATATAGGTGGCTTTCCATGGCTGTGACGCGTTTTCTGACCTGAAAGTAGTCTGGGGCCACTGGGCATGCTTGGAAAGACTCGGCATATCTAGGCGCATTGGGGGCCGCTTTCAAGCCGTACTCCGGGTTTGAAAAATGTACTGCAATTGTTATCAAAAATGTAGACTGAAGGACGTCAACGAGTTGATCATTTTCAAATGCAGAGTAAATAAGTGTAGTAATATTCATCTAATGATTCATGCACAGATATGAAGAAGGCTGCTAATATAAGTGAGATTGAGATCAATCGGGTCCACCATCTGAACTTGAAGAGCCTCCGCCAAACTGGCTCTCAGGATCAACGCTGTAAATACTGAACGAAAGTGTCAGTAAATAAGGTTAATCATTGAATAAACTCTGACCAACTATTGTTCGAAGGATCTAAGGATTAGTGGGGGATCTAAATGAAGATCAGACTTGAAACACTATATGGAAACCACATCTGTCTGCCTAGAGAGCCCTTGGCCCCAATGACACTGGCCATATGGTGCAGAAATCCTTGGCCTAAGAATTGTTCATACGGAATAATTCTTAACGGCCAAGTTATTCTAATTTCTATTCCTGGCCCCCGGGAAGAAGATCACTACTATTCTAAGCTCGGTACTATAGAACCTAGGGGTCGACAACTGGAACTATTTATCAAATTGAGTATATAAAGGATCAAATTCCCATGAAACCCCTAATACCAGTCTACTTCGCATATCTATCTCGCATCTTTCCAGTTATCGGTTTCATCTCTCAAAATGCAAGTGATAACGTTGTACGCCGCTGCCCTCCTTGCTGTAACGGGTGATATTGTTGTTTCCGCACGACCGTCAAGTCGAACATCCTCAGCATCCGTTCCTACTGGCACTTCATATCCTGATGGATTCGATATGAAGACCAGCTGGGGAAATCTCAGTCCATACAAGGATGCTGATAGGTTCAACGTGACAAAGGGGTTTCCTACGCAGTGTGAGCTATCGCAGGTACATGTCCTACATCGCCATGCCGAGCGCTACCCAGGCGAAACCATAGGCGACGGACTGAACATGACGATTTTTGCAAACAAACTTGCTGAATATGCAAAGAAAAACCCCAAATCCAAGGTAGCCACGGGCCCATTGGAGTTTCTCAACAGCTGGGAGGACACACTGGGTTATAACGATCTACTTCCTACCGGTGCTGGCACCGAAGTGAGCGCAGGCGCTGGATTCTGGAGCCAGTACGGTCGTTTGTTATACCGTGCTGAGGGTGCTCAGGCAAATTGGAACAATTCCTTGAACGTGTGGCCCAATGGAACGGCCCGCGCAAAGCCCACATTCCGCACAACCTCTTATCCTCGGATCTTGGAGAGTGCCCTTTGGTGGCTGAGTGAGTTGCTTCTTAAATTCAAACCATTTTAATGAGAACGGTAACTGACTCTAGGATGAAGGTGGCTTCTTCTCGAACACAGATGCGAATAGTTCGTCCTCAAACTACAACCTCGTCATCATCCCCGAGGAAGATGGATTCAACAACACGCTTAGCCCGACATCTGCGTGTACAATGGGCGCTCAGGATCCAGTTGGGTAAGCTTTCATGTTGATACCAGTGGTATAATGATAAGAGCATCAGAGCTAACTGCATGCGACCGTGTTCTGTGTTATAGGTCCTATGACCTCATTCTTGCTTATCAACCATATGTCACTACAGGTGCCCTTGAACGTTTTTCCAACTACTTTCCTACCGACTTCGGCCTCAACATATCTGATGTGTGGGGTATGATGAACTTTTGTCCATATGAATATGCCGCTCTTGGTGCATCTTCCTTCTGCTCGCTCTTCACCGAGCAGGAATGGCGCAACTTCGAATATGCGCTCGACATCGAATATTATGGCAACTTCGGCTTCGGGTCTCCAAGTGGACGCGCCCAGGGCATTGGATATGTGCAGGAGCTTGCAGCTCGCTTGGAGTCGCGTCTCATCATGAGCAGTGATAGCAGCATCAACTATACTTATGATGACAATACCAAGGACTTCCCTCTGCATCAGCCCATGTATATGGACATGACCCACGACAACACCATTGTCTCGGTTCTGACTGCTTTGGGACTGGAGTACTTCAACTACGGACCTTATGGACTTCCATTGAATGCCACCAAGGCCCCTCGACGCACATTCCATTTATCCGATATTGCTCCTTTTGGTGCGCATCTGGACTTTGAGGTTTGGACTTGTGCTGATGAAGGATCGCTGGAGACCTTGCAGCCACAGATGTACAAGAACCCGGATCTTTCATCTGAACCGGACACTCAGCAGTATATCCGTCTGGTTTTGAATAATGCTCCTGTTCCATTTGATGGGTTTGCTCCTTGCAATGGCTCGGTCAATGGATTTTGCCCACTGGAGAACTTCCTTAGTCACATTTCTCAGCTCACAGAGGAGGCTCAGTATGATGCGGCCTGCTTTGGTGACTACTTCGAGTTGACCATGGCCGCGGACGGTCAGCCACCTTCATCTTAAATGACCTGAGATGCGATTGAAGGATCTGCACACATGATATGTACCACAATTTATAGAGCCAAGTTTGAATTTACTAGCAGATAGAAACAATTGTAATAATTCTGTTCATTCACCCTATCTCTACATAATGCTGAGACATCGTATTCACAAATCGTCGCTCTAAGTACAATGTTCATCTCATGTGGATATCCATCCAGTTACAGTGTTTGATTTCGGGCCTCCCGCTTCTTCATATAGTGTCGCCACTAATGATTTTCATTAGTTTTGCTCAACTCCAAAGCATGAGTGATCACGTCAAAAACTTACAGCAGGATTGAAAAAGTATACTGGGATACCAAGTAGGAAAATTCCTACAGTGACGCCAGTAAGAATCCCCACTGCGGTGGGATAACTGTACTTCTCAACCATTGGACTGAGACCATAGCTGACACCAAACGAGATGATATTTTTCGTGCCAACAACAGTCACAAGGGCAGGTCCAGGATTCTTCTCCCAGGCCTCAGCGGCGAATGATGTTGACAGAATGAGAACCGACACAAATGCGACTTGAATTATGGTCCAACCCATGAATGGTCCGCCCCATGTGGAGCCTCCACCAGCGGTGAATCCATATAGTAGAAGAGAAGCGACCATCAGAATACCTGAAAACAGCAGGGGTCAGTAGTTATCAAAGTCATTCCACAAAGAAAACTTACCAGGGAAGATTAACAGAATCAGCCTATGCTCCGGTTTGTGCACACCTCCAGAGCGTTTAGCCATGTAAAGAATGAACCAATCGCCAAACACACCAGCGTACAACATGCCTCCAAACCCACCAAACACACCACCAAGATTGATCAAGCCAACATTCTTAGCAGGCCAACCGTAGTCTTGGAGCACAGTGTCATAAGTCAGAGACACACCGACCGAGGACCCTAGAACAACAGATGCAAGCAATGTAGCATATAGAATACCCGGAGAAGAGAAAGCCTCAAACATTTGAAACCAAGTTGTCAGCACCATCCCAACAGGGTTCTTGACCGGCTTCTGCCATGGTTTCAGCATTTGGAGATAAGAGAGCTTCCGCGGAGGCTGTCCATCATTTGGATTTTCCAGCTCGTCTTCTGTCCTCATCATTTCCAGATAATCTTGCGCCCGAATTCCAGAAAGAACCCGAGTGACGCCAAATTGATCCGTGACAACAAGTTGACCGTTCCGCATCTGTGAGCGCCGCTGGTATCTTGTCTCGAAACAGCCAAAGAGAACCAGAATCAGACCGACACCAATTGCAATGACATAAACCCAGTAAAACCAGCGCCAGCCCAGAGCAGCAGCTTCATAAGAGCTGGCCATGTTCAGACAGCTCGTGACTACATTTTGGGTTGTCCAGTAAATGCCGAAGATAAGGCCGCGCTGGTGGATAAATGTAACCTCTGAAAGCATCAATGGGAGAAGCTGGGCGAGTTAGTTACGCGAAATTTCGTGAGGCTGAGTCAGGGATAACCAACCGATTCTGTGGCACCCGTTGCCAATCCTTGAAAGATGCGAAGACCCAAATGCTGATTGAAGTTCTGGGAGACGGCACATCCAATAGTCGCGGCGAAATTCGCGATAATCGATATGATCGCTGCGGATCTACGACCGAATACAAGACCCAGCGGGAGGATCAGGTAGTTTCCTAGAGATATTAGAACATTTCGCAGTATGGTGCCAAATTGTGATTGAATTCTTACCGATCCCAACAAATAAGGAAGGAAATGTGCTCAGCCATACGACTTTCGTCGAACTGACTCCCTCTTCGCCATATAGCTCGAAGAACACACTGAGAATGGCACCTAAGCCGCCGACCACTGACAAAGACATGATTGCTAAATATTATACGGATTAGCAATGTCAATACAAGATAAAATGGAATGCTCTTACAGAACCAGCAACAGCTGACAATCACACCCGTCTTCTCCCAAACCGTGAAATTGAGAGGGTCATTAGGATCATCGCTGGGTACGGGTAGCCACTGAATTTCCCCAGCAGCATCTACCAACACCTGATCCTTACCGAGCTCTGGAGGCTCAACATCCTCAACGAACTCAATCCTAGGTTTCTGGTCAATGATTGTCATGTTGCCAAGGGGTGTAATTTCACAAGCAGCTCCGAGGAAAGAAAAAGAGAAGATCGAGGAGGATTGACATGCTCCTTTTCTGCACTAGCACCTCCTCCACCACATACCCCAGAGCGGGGGAGCTAAGCAAAGACCTGACTGAACTTCATGGTCATGCGAAATGGATGAAGCTGTTGGGGTGGGTCTTTGACTCTTCCCCCACTTGACAGGGATTATTCCCGTGGGGGTGGATCCCCCACATTCCGATATGAAACAGATGGTTTATCATTGGTTTAACCAACGGAATTGAATAGGAATATGGAGAACATGTCATTATGGCAGATTCCCCAGATCTTCAATCAATGAACAGAGATTTTGAATCATCGGTGGAAGAATATCACCAGGTAAAGGGGGAGGAAGGTTTCCTTCAAACACTTGTCGCGCAACTGCCATAACAGAACGAGGACGACTGAGTTCACAGAAATCATGCCCGTCCCGGTGTTGCATTAAACCAGGTCGACCAATGCCTCTATTCAAGAAATTTTTCGCTGACTGGTCTTCAGTTCCATCGAGTGGGACAGCTGGTGTAATATCGTCGTCATTGATGGAAGTGCGGATCTCAAGTCTTTTCTCTCCACACTCTACTAATCCGTATACCCACAGCACCAAAGATGATTGATAGATGGATAAGGAGTCAAATCCACGAAACTGGTAAGGTGGTACGGAACGTGCAGCTCTGAGTACTTGGCCAGCATGCCAGATCGCAATTCGTGCCTCTTTGGTTCGACTCCATTCTCGTAGGCTTGGATACGCACGGCGGGCTTCAACCTCTCCCATTTTGCCAATGAAACGCTGAATTGCGTCGATATCGATATGGAGGTACATCATAGCAAACTCATTCGTTAAGACTGTGACGGGCGGAGATCTCGGTGTATCCTCCTGCACTGTCTTGAGAGTTGAATATCTATAAGAGAATTATTAGAATTCGGTGATGCATCAAATTTGATCCCAGACTCACAGATCTTCCTGTCTACTTTGAAGCCATAATTTAGTCGTAGCGCGAGACCCAGATAGGCGCATCTGCTGACGAAACTCCCATACCTGCAGGGCAAGTCCATGGAGTAAAGCAGATTTGGCTATGGCGAAATCCAGATGTGGTGGCATGTTGCTGATAAGTAATGGATCTGACAGGAGCTCATGCAAGCTAATTTCACATAAATCTCTATTTCGATAGCGAGTGGTCCAAATGTCTCTCCAAGCTGTGGCTGTAGGCGCTATCCATAGATCTCGAGCTGCCGGCAGAGGTAGTGTAAACTCTGTGTATGATGTTATGGCTGGTCGGTTCATGGATAGAGTAACCTCGACATCGTGACCAAATAAATGGTAGACAAGTCTGGGTACTATGTCAGCAAGTTTTGATATATTTCGCCCGCTCGTGTCCTAATTTGTACCTTTTTAGTGACTCCTGGCGTACCCAACTATGCCAGGCGCGTTGGATAGATGCTTCATCATCTCCAAGAGAGTAGGGAGTGATGGTAGAGTATGTCGATCTGTCAAAAGCAGCAGCGCGTCGAAGAGCCTATGAATATTCCTTCTGTTAGCCGCTAAAAGTATGCCTAATAGCATGGATTACATACTGTACAAAGGGGCTGTAGATAGCTTTCTGCAATCATCATCTTTCGTGTATAGCCACATGAAATTCCAATATCCAGCCATAGCATCGATGCCTGTAAGTACTGGAGGTCGCGAAGAACGCTATTATCCTCTTCAACCTAGCATGTTACAAATGCAGTTTAGACTCTGAATATAATGTTGAGGATAAATAAAGTGTACATACCAGCTGCGCCAGACTGACACGGGTAATTTCTTGAAGAATAATGCCTGTCTTGCTTATAGAGGGCAACCCGCAACAGACGCACCCTGCAGCTATCAGCGCAGTAAGTAGTTCTGGTCGGAGTTGTTGATATTCTGGGTTATAAAAAGTGTAGAGGTGGATCCACGCGTCAGTTTCAACCCGCTTTCCAAGCCCGATCTTGATCAAGGTATCGAGGTATTCGGAGGACGGAAAAGCCGACACAGAAAGCCGCGATCCTGCAGTTCGCAACACCAGTTTGAAAATATCGTCTCTTGTTTGTGACGATAAAATTCCAGGAATCCGTAGTGCCTCAAGTCGGGTCCAGTGCGTTGATGAGATACTGTCCTCATCGCGCAGTGTGATTTTTCGTTCTTCACTGAAGCCATGCTGATTCTTTTCTGGTATCCACAGCCTACCATATACGTTAGTGATAGGCCGCAAGATAAATATATAGAAGAATGAAGAAATGAAAGAAAGAGAAGCATCATTCCTGCTCATAATTAGGAAACCTACCATAGTGATCGCTGGAATGCTGCCGCACGCCGATTTGCAGATTCTTGGTCATCTAGTGGAGACGGATGATTCTCGTCAAAGTCCATGAAGGGTACAGTAGCATCAAATATTTTATCCAGGTCTGGAATGAACTCCCCACCGAATATATCTGTCGCTAATGAAATCGGATCGTTATCTCGCATTAAGTCGAAAATACGAGGTTGCTGTGTTTCATGGATGTCGTGCGACGCATCCACATTAGGAAGCATGACTTGTTCAAAGAAGGCTGGAAACTGATCGAGACTCGAAAAAGGTATTGCCGTATCATTTCCTTGCGAGATAAATTCGTCAAAGGTTATATGAGTTTGAGATGTGATGGCACCCTGTTGGGTATCGTGACTGCTTCCTGTATAGGACATTGTAGTTGGAAGGGGACTGAGGTCAGACTGGGCAGAGCTCGGAGTATCAACCTGAACGAGTGGCATCAATTCCCTTGGACGATTGATGAAGTTTTGATCTGATGGAGAGAAAGATGGCATATGTGGAGTAGAGTATTGTTCACTTTTTCGACGAGGAATGTATGTCTTTGGAACACACTCAATCTGTTTTGCTTGACAGCGCTATAATGTTACCAAAGTATTAGCTGAGATATCTCTTCATCTGGCAAAATTCGTATCCTTTGATTCTTTTCATCATTCCTTACCTCACAAGGTCTCTGGTTGTCGCAGCTCAGCTTAGCTAATGCGCACGCCGCACAGGCTTTAATGGCACGCTCTTTGAGTCGACGAACCGCGCTAGCCCCCTGTTCTTTTTCATGCACGGTCTGATGCCGTTGCAGAACGTCTCTATTCAAGTTAACGACTTGGGTTTTTTCCGATGCAATATCAGAATTACCTTCTATTGAAACCACGTTGGCAAATGGGACACTGAAAAATTCGTTCATTGCGATCTTTAGTTTCAACAATGGTTAGCATGCAAGAGTGCTGAGTTCAGACCAAAGCCATATCTCACGAGAATCCAAATGACGTGCGAGATGGTCTGGTCGCTCATATGCCTTATCACAGTGAGGACATTGGTGATTCGAGCTAGGAGTCCTACGCGGAGAGCGTCGTGGAGTCTGGGGACTCATCCCCATGGTGTTTGCGCAGTATGCGATGAGAAAGAATAAATCCCCAGATTAAAGGGAAGTGAGCCTAAATGACTCGGGACAGCTTGGATATGCGGGCCACTTAGTGTCAATGTCTAAATGCCTCGACATTTATGACCATTCAGAGCAACGGTATTTCCACATTTCCACATCTTTGTCCCGATTGTGGGGTAGCGCTTGGACCCTTTGATCTACTCAACGTCCATGCACTTGATCCAAGCTACGAAAGTCTTAGGAAAATTGGGATCATTCATTATGAGAAATAATAATTCAAATATTACCGTTGAAATTCAAATAGAGCTAAATTCTCACACATGCCATTTCTCACTGTGACAATACAGGGGGTTGTTGATTTTTCCACGCTTTGGCTCCCCGATACATGCAGTTGAAATCCATAAACTCATCAGGTTTCCTATTATATGAGAACCTTGAATTAGTCAAGTAACAGAGGGCAAATTTGAGATTGATCATACATTGTGACAGTTTTCTCGCCCTTAGCTGCTGCAGGCTTCGCTGCTTGACGACTATAAGCCTGGATCAAGCTGACTCGAGAATATCGTGCCTCGAATATGTCCTGCACATATTAGCCGACCGTTTTTTCACGACATTTTCATTCAAATTTACTTCAAGAGTCTTCGTCAAGATTTCTGAACTAGGCGAATCCACGATCCCTTCAAAGAAAGCTCCCAATGCCTCTGCATCCTCGATCGCTTGACTGGCGCCTTGTCCTTGAGTGGGTAACATCGCATGAGCCGCATCTCCGATAAGGATGACACGACCAGAATGCCAGTTTTGAAGAGGATTCTGGGATGTAGGTAAGTAAGAATAGGAACTTTGGCAGTTAAGAAGCACCCACCAAGTCTCGCAATTGCCATAACCCAAGATCCGCAGAGTGTCTGAGCTGGTTAGCATATGTTCATTGCAAACGCGAGTACTAAATGGGGCTTTATACTTAAAAATACTAGTGACCCATGAAGGGTACTCGGAGAAAGTTTCAAGCATTTTTTCCAATGAGCCTTCAGAGACCCAAGATTGCTTTGCATTGGGATCTTCATTCATTTGGTCTGATATGGTGAGTTCCCGAGTTTATTTAGATGGAAAGGGGATTCATACCGTCTGGAACAAGTGCAACAATACCATATACCTCTCCTTGTCTTCCAGGGCCCATAATTAAGCGACAGTCGTGAGCGACCATCATAGATGTGAGAGATTCACGAGGGTTGATTTTTGAGCAAAATTCTGGCTCCTCTTTCTCAAGGGTTTCCGTGGGGATCTTCGAAATTAGTGAAAGAGCTATCAATTCGAAGTGAATAAGGGATATCTCACCATCAAGCGGTATGCTATAAGTATTTTAGTGAAATTTCCAATTGATGAGAGATGATATTAACTTACCCGAGTGCCCTGTTGGCAGAGGACGTGGTTCTTCTTGTAGCACATGCTTCCGAAGTACACTATGACTGTATGCATTTAGGTGAGAGTCAGTAAACTACCCATTCGAATTTCATATGCATAGATAGTGCATCTTACATCCCATCTGCTCCAATAATCAAATCACCCTCAAATTCCTCACCACTCTCAAGAACAACAACTCCTCGAAGCGGATCACAGCTGATCACCTTAGAAGCAACCCGTACTTGAACGGGAGCTCCTCGGTTAGGACAAGCGTCAGAAGTCGCAGTCTTCTTCAAAACGTCATGGATATCTCTCCGATGAAAGACCAACCGGTCTCCTTCATAATGTGTTTTTGATAATAAAGGTATTGTGTTGACCAATAACCCGTCGGTGTTGTAGATACGAAATCCTTCGTCTACCAATGGACGAGCATCGTGTAAGTTCAAGCCCCAGACTGACTGAATAATTCTGGATGCATTTGGCTGGAATGAGATCAAAGCTCCAATCTCTCTATTGAGGCTTGATTGTTCCAGTACAGTGATCTGTCTATTAGGTCCGCGTAAAGCAATGGCTGCGGCAAAACCTGCAATCCCGCCACCGACAATGATAATACGAAATGGCATGAAGATGACTGGTTCCTCTCAATGAACAGAAAATAATGATAGTATTTTAACTTATTCCGTAATAATTAAAACTAGATCATTTTAACGATCTCACTTCGCAATGTACAGCTCCGCCCACTTTCCATCCCCCACCCCCATTTCCCCCACTTTCCGAGTGCCGAATCTATTGGTGTCAGAAGCCCAAACAGATACCAACAACGTGACCTTTGTTTTAGCTTGGTAAGATGAACTAATGACCGATTGCTCAATATTTTCTATACAGACTAGGCCTGCCTTCATTTTTCGTCAAGTGTGTGGATATAAAGCCAAAGGATAGCCTTATCCTCTCAGCAGTATTGAAATAACCGAACATTTCATCAAGGAATTCCAAAACTATTTCGACATGTCAAGCACAGTTACTATTACCAGCACAGGGAAGGGGCTAAAGGCATCATCCTCTGGTGCAATGCGCATGGATGGGACTGATCATGGCTTTGGCGATTTTCGCGACGACCTAACCCGAGATGGCTTTGCCGTTGTCAAAGGGGCCATAGCGAAGGAAAAGGCATTGGAATACGCTGATAAGATGTATTCTTGGCTTGAAGACTTGTAAGTCTTGAAGCCCTTTCTCCATGACAACCTGAATCATCTCGTTATGAAGATTGCTAAAAAGAAATCCATAGCAACCTGGGTTTCAAACGGGATGACCCGTCTACTGTTCACAAAGATAACCTTCCCGTCATCAACGAGAAGGGAATGTGTCTGAATTATGGACTCGCACATGAAGACTTTGTCTGGGGAGTCCGCAGTGAGCCCGGCGTGGTCGGCGCTTTCGAGAAGGTTTACAATGATGAAGATCTGATTGTGTCCTTTGACGCTTCGAACTTTCAATTTCCCAAGTATGCATTCTTACGAAGCCCACTCATGGAAATGAAAATTCAAAATATCTAACACAGACTAGCCGTACTGATATAGCACCCAACAAGCCTTGGCCACATCAAGATCAGGATCCTGCAAAACTTGGATTCCGCTGCATGCAAGGTCTGGTGAATCTGCTGCCCAATGGACCGGATGATGGTGGTCTTATTGTTTGCAGAGGTGAGAAATGCTGGACTCAAGTTTCATCAAATACCTTGACACTAATCGATTCCAAGGTGGACACCTTCTCTCCGAAAAATTCCACCGTGAGATGGCAGACGAAGAGCGCATCCCTGCCTGGACCCCTGAGTGGTATGGTTTCACAGAGCGTGGTATGAAATGGCTGGAAGACCACGGCTGCAAATGGGAAAAGGTTTGCGCTGAACCTGGGGACCTTCTCCTCTGGGATTCGCGCACTCCTCACTACAACTTGAGTCCTAAGAGCAACCAGCCTCGTTTCGCCATCTATACATGCTTCATGCCGGTTGCCGATGCTACACAGGACGACCTTCTGCGCAAGAAGGATGCCTTTGAGCGTCGTGTTGGAACCACTCACTGGCCCAATGCGAAGCATACTGGGTCAAATGTTGCAAAGAGAGATGGAGAGAACGACCCGCATAACCGTGATGCCCCTGTGAATGAACCAGTTCTCGGTGAGAGAGCTTTCAAGTTGACTGGTATCCCTTATATCACCAGTGGTGCGACTGCTATTATTGTGAACTAAGCTCCCGGGGTCGAATATCCAAACTGGTCTTCATGGATAACAGGCCTGAAGATTGGTTTACTGTCGTCATCACTTGAAGTTGTTTATGGAATGTATCTAGAATGAATCAAGTACTGCGCTTTTTGAATCCAACTCAATTGAGAAAAAAATTTAAAATCAGTCTCAAGATGCTCATCTGGAACAAAAAGAAAACTTGATTTGAATTAGCTGGTCAAGTGAGTGAGAGTAACCGTCAAATTAATGTCGTCACACGTGGCCCCTCACGATCATGATACTGCACCTTCCTCCGACATCAGGCCATACTAGTACCTTCCACTTCCAATCTTCCAACCTTCCGAGTTCCAAGGTTTCCTCATCTTTCCTCATCATCCATCACCATCCATTTAAACCCTCAACCCTCTTCTTTAGAATCTTTGATTATTCAACATCCCTTCTCTACCAAACATCGTGGTTCATCATGCCTGTAATTGAAATCACCAGGTAAGACTGCCCGCTTGCTTCCATTATTGACAGACACGACTCACAGGACCAACCCACAGCCATTCTGAGTTTCTGGAAAAGATTCTCAACTCCAAAGAGCCTGCCGTCCTCGATTGCTACGCAGCGGGATGCGCACCATGCAAAGCGATCGCCCCGAAAATAAATCAGTGGAGCGAGCAATACACCGACCTGAAGTTCTACAAGTTTGATGTCTTGAAGGTCGAAGAACTGGTCCATGAGCTTGAAGTCAAGGCGATGCCTACCTTCATGTTTTTCAAAGATGGAGAGAAGGTCACTGAGATTTTGGGAGTCGATCCAGTGAATATCGAAGGGGCCATCAAGTCTCTTCTGCTCACCAACCCTGCCTAACCGCACCCTGGTCATTCATGAGCGAGGAGATTGTGAGGGGAAGTGCCCCGGGTTTTATCTATTATCACTTTTCCTTTTTATGAGACTGAGGCCCGTTATGACTTTGGTGCCTACAATATGAGCTTATCGTTTCGGATGTGAGTCGAGTCGTGACTCTGATTCACTGGTCTCCATGTCGACTCAGACTCAGAGGACTCTAGTTTACTTCTACATCTGCAATAAAAGCTACAGTCCTGAATTACAATATTCCTACTCTATGTAAATAATTTGTACGTCGAAACGGAGCTAGCTCATGCCAGCGATCAAATGTGACGGTTTGTATAAACATAGAAAATGGGAGTGACGTACATGGCTAACTACCACAGCACATCGCATACTGATCCCGAGTCATGCAATGTGGAATCTTCATCATCCATGCTAATGGGCCAACCAGATTGACCACAAATAATCCGTCCTTGTGGGGCCTATCATGATCCCCAGGCTCTCATCTATAACGACGATCCCCCACATGCTAAACATCTACCGAACAACTGACAGCGATGATCCTCGTCGTACGATGTCGGTAGCCTGAACCCCGACCGAACTGCCGAGTTCTTTCAGTTTATGTTTTGATACTTATGCTGAATAAGACTGCGCTCGCGAATAATGCATACAATAGCCATTCATGCACAGTATACAAACTAATGAGGTGGTCGACATTAGTGCTTATTTGACGCAGTTTGCCTCGGTCGGGGGGTCTGCAGATACTCACGCCACTCTCCTTCCTCATCGAGAAACCTCCGGATCACGGATGAAGGTCTTGCAGATACTTCGACCTACTAGCATTTCTTACTGCCCAAAGTTGGTTGATTACAGCACTTGAGAGATTCCGTCATAGCCCTTGGGTTGTGGTATAGAGCTGCCCCGCACAGAGATGCCGGATGTTTGACATTCCTCGGTCCGCGCGATCACACTTTGTATTGTTGAGATTGGGTCGGATGAAATGTTTGGTGTTGGATGCAGCATGTGCAGTAAGATAGGTGGTCCACCTGGGTTTGGCCACATCAAAAGGGTTGTTGGATCCGAGTCTTTAATGGGCTAGGAAGCACATGTACTCTATCATGATTTATAGAGCATCGATAGCTCCAATCTGCAGTGTGAAAATAAAAACTACTGAAGACAAATAAAGCATTACAATTTGGAGCACATCATCTCAGTCATGGGTTGGCACATAGAATCTCTCACTATGCCTTACTATCGCATAGCTAGTACCCTGCTGGAGGCATCACCACTACAACAAGTTCTATTGACCTTGCTAGGAATATCTGCATACCTGTTCCTAGCCTCAACTATTCGATTTCAGAGACGCAATACTCTTCAAAAGAAATACTCTTACAAGACCCGGGAATCAATGAAATTCATGACGAACCAGGATGCGTGGGAAATTCAGAAAACCATTCTCCAGACAGAATTCCCATTTATTGTTGTCAAATCATTGCAGTTTGCCTTATTCAGAGTAAAATAGAAAAGCCCACAGAAATCATCTCTGTCAATATCTAGTGCTAACATTCTATACAGACCTATGGTATACCGACAATCTCGACCCTCCTCCTTAAGACCTCCCAGTTCTCCAACTCTTCCACCTCCTTCAAGCGATACGCAGATACAGGTACTCTAATCGGTGAATTCATGGCCTTCGATCCCAGTTCTGAGAGAGCCCAAACTGCTATCGCTCGAACAAAGTTTCTCCATCAGGGATACAGAGCAAGCGGCAAGATCTTGGAAGACGATATGCTATATACACTCAGTCTCTTTGCCTTGGAGCCTATCCGCTTTGTGAAAACATTTGAGTGGCGTGAAATGACAGAGATGGAACGCTGTGCATCTGGGACATACTGGAAGAGTTTAGGTGATGCACTAGGTATCAGTTATGATGTCCTTCCATCGGGAAGATCAGCATTCCGTGATGGACTTCACTGGTTGGAAGAGATAAGCTTCTGGAGTGAGCGATATGAGGAACAACATATGAAACCTCATCCGTGGAATAAAGAGATTGCGGATAAGACTATCGACGTGTTGGTATACCATCTGCCAGGGTTAATGAAGCCGTTGGGTGTTTACTTTGCCTCGTTCCTGATGGATGATAGACTTCGAACAGCAATGATGTATGTTTGAAGTCTACGCCAAACTACCCTATTCCAAGGACAAATACTTATCATTTTGATGAATTCTAGGCTTGATCGCCCACCTGCGTTTTTCGCCGCAATCTTCACTGTGGTGCTTCAAGTTCGCCGACTATATCTTCGCTACTTGGCACTCCCCCGCCCGAACTTTCTACGACCGGATGTTTTCACAGAAGAACCCAATAAACATGGACGCAACTTCGTCTTGTTCTATGAAGGCGCTCCATACTATGTCCAGCCAACGATCTGGAACCGGTGGGGCCCTATAGCCTGGTTGAAGTGGACCCTTGGACAACCCTTGCCTGGTGATGATGGGGATAAATATTATCCCCAGGGATACTACACAGCTGATCTTGGACCTAAATATTTTGAGGGGAAAGGCCGCAAGGAGGTAGAGATGATCAAGGAGGACATCAGAGCGCAGAGAGTGGGCCGATGTCCCTTTCCTTGACTTAATGAGGACGATGATTTTGGCATCTGAATGCAAGGGATTTTTATTGCTTAAGTGTTAAATGGTAGATTTCCATTAACGATCGTATATGAGGAATTAGCTGTCGTATCAGTATCTTTGAGAAACATCACAAGGCATCTAGTAAGTAATTTAACAGTATAATGACATGGTCGGACGGCATTTGCACGTAGGGTATCAATCACAAGTATTGGGGAGACAGTTCTGGTCAGTATGGATACCGAGACAGTCAGATCAACAACTCATCTGTGGTGGCAGGGCTTCAAGCCAGGAAAGCAAAGCGAGATAGCAAGAAGGAAGGGAAAGTTCCAGGACGGAAAGCCAATAAAAAGCCAATAGGTATCCGAAAGAAAGATGAGCCAAAACGCAATGCGTACAAAACACGATGTTTAAATCAATAGAATATAGATCCAGACTCGAAAACAGACATTTATAGTAATGGGGTATTTTGCAGGAGAAAGAAAAGAAAACTGTATGATAAAAGAATGCGAATATTAATCCGTCCCACCAGGAGACGAGGGTAGAGGAAAGGAAGCTGCCTCAGTGAATTCACTGTCATCGAATGATATACTGGGCGAGGGCATGAAAGAGCTATAGTCTGTAGATGGACTGAGAAGGCCCCGTCTATTTTCGCCCATATCATCAAGCTCTTCGGGGCATAAGACACGTCCACCCAATTCGATATCTTGAACATGAACGTTATACTCGAGGGCTTTGCGACCGGCTTTGATAAGCTCTTCTGTCCTAATGAGGCACTTTTTGAGACTTTGGTTCATCTTCTGGCTTTCCACGAGAAGGTTTTGATGGTTGGCAAGATCAATCATGAAGCGTTTTTCATCATGAGCCCGATGTTTGGCATCATGCTCAGCAAGAGTATCAGGGCTGAGAACACCTTCTGGGACGGAATCCTCATCATTGAAATCGGACATATCATCAGATGGTGCAGAGGAATGGTCACTGGCACTGGCATCCTCCTCCGCTTCGCTTGTTATGGACAAGGCGGTGCCAGAAAATGAGCGAGTTGAAGGAGCCATGGAAAGTCGACCAGAGCGGCTCAGCCGTCGAAACCGGCGCAACTCCGCGTTTTGTTTGCGCATTTCTCGCTCCAGGGTTCGATTGATGGCAAGCAGCGAAGAGTTGCTGATCTCCAAGTCTAGAATTTTTCGTTCTGTCCTAGCATTCAGGGCCCCATCTCCACTATCAGATTTACCTGGGCTCATAGGTATCTGTTGATGGGTGTCTGTAGAGACAGAAGAGCCGTTGCTGAATACACGGGGTCGTAGATTCGGGACTTGATCAGTGAGTATAGGCATAAGAGCGGGAGCATCAGTGCGAGTGTTATTTGGAATTATAACTGGACTGGCACGAAGAGCATCTCGTGGGTGTATCGATTGATTATTGGAATCGACGCTGGACGACTTTCGATGTTTTCCAATGGTAAGCAGTGGTGGTCTTTCTGATATGGTACTTGGAGGCGACCCGTAGCGATGAAGTACATTTTCGATGCCTTTTTCTGAACTCGGACCCTGGGTGGAATGGGATTCTAGGATCGGAGGAGCGGTTGCGTCTGATACTCGTGGGGATTTCAAGCGCTGGGATGGTAAAGTACCGGGTCGGGTGGTGGGTGCAGCGCGAGGGAGCGTTCCCGCTCGACGTGCTGGAGCAGCGGAGATCTGAGATTCGTCTGTGGAAGAGTATCTTTCTTGATCTCCATTTGCATACAGGAAGCTCGAGGCCGGGGACATCCTCCCCTGCTTCGGTCGGGGAAGTTCGGCATCAGAAGAATTGGATGATCGTGCATCTGATGCATGAAAGAACATAGGAGAACTCGTACCCGCTTCAGTGAAGGAGTTGGGACGAGAAACCTGAGGTCCATCGGACCCGAGTGTCTTTGCTCTCAGGCTCCGGGGTTGTTCCGGCTTCACCCCTCGAGCCGGGCTGCGCTCCGTTCGCCGTGCGGCGTTCAGCCCTGAGACCAACGTTCTGCTGTATGTATGGAGCTTGCGGCGAGGGGACAGGAGTATTTGAAGGGGAAGAGAAGCCGACATCGCGGCGAGTGCTGCGAGAGCCTGAACGTGGTGTGACGTTGGCACTTAAGAAGCTCGGAGTCACGGCAGGGACGGGAGGGACGTCCTCCTTGGAGGGAGTGGAATAGGGATGAGTCTGGTCGGGATGGGCGAGTCGACGAGCAACAGGATTACCCGGACTGGGGCTTGCAAGCTTCGGTGTTAAAGGAGCTTTGCTTGAACGGTGGAAAGCTGCACTGAGCGTGGGTGTAAACGGTTTGGCGGGATAGCCATTGTTTTGTTTATCGGAGGTCATAGTTGCGGCGAGGGTGCAAGAGATAGCATTGCGACCCCGGGCAATTCAAGCATGATTGGTACCAACCAAGAATGGGTAGCCCTTAGAGTCGTCAAATCTCGACCAAAATCCAGTGGCCTGATTTAGAGGATATTTGTGGGAGTATTTGAAGACGGTGGAGATGGTGGGAGCATGATTGAAACGCTTAACTAGAGGCACAACATTGGCGCCCAAATGGGTTTAGGGCGGGTCTTCACCGCATCAAGGATTCCACCTTGCCGCGAGCTTACCAGCTGTACGGAGTAGAAATAATTGAACTAGTAACTATAAGATCGATAGATTGATAAAAGATGGATCATGAAAATATTCAAAATTTCATCGATTTAATCTGGGGAAAGCTACAGATACATACTTCGTAGATGTCGACCTTTTACCCCTGTCCATTTTAGGTATCTTTTAGGCCAAATTCAGGCACCAACTCTTACCGCTTTCCCCACTTGCTGTTCACCCCGCTCTCACCGCCTTTATGTAAGCTTAAGTAGTTCCAAGGTTCCGTTGTTTGGTCTCTTCCAGGTTGATCTCCACTCATATACATTATGGAGTCTCGACTCTCGACACATATGAAAAGCGGTCTCGAATTTCCTGAGACTTGAATAAATGTCTCATTGTACGTGTGCGTTAAAAATGTGCACATACCCTCGATGCTTTAGGGTAAAAAGAAGTCACTCACAAGTTGTGGCGCCCAACTTTTAAGGCGAAAGGAGGCAAGGAGTATGTATTACGCAAATGCCGATCTTGGATTATATGGATATTTCATCTAGAGACCCATAGAGCATTTGAAAACCAATCACTTCATGTCCACAAGGAGAACAGAGATACTGAATGCTACTATGGGCTGGCAGAAATAATTGATACATCTGAATGTGCAAGAGGCGGTCTAGGTTGTGACTGCCCCAAAAGTACCTCCAGGAGTGGCAGTGAGTGAATGATTCAAATGTTAGTAGTCGACACTTCCAACATTTGAAGCATCACAGTGGGCCGGCTGGCATCATCCTGCATTGATAGTAGATATATGTATCTCGCGGGTGTACCTGCATCACTTTCAATCAGTTTGAAACGACCATCTTCTAGAAGATCACGCTCCATCCTCAATGCAGCCATTCCAGAGCCTGTGACTCCTCAGAACCCCAACCTTGGTATTATTTGATATTCAATCTCCTGCTATATACATTTCGACGCCAAAATGCAAGTACGGATGCACTACGATGACGTGGCATGGGAGATAAGTGATAGAATCGCTGATACCTGGGTGAAACATCTTTTCAATCAAGATACCGCCAGGGCTATTGGAAGTTTTCTTCTCAAGCTATATGGTGCTCATGATGCCATGAAATTCAGCCTGTTGCAGACAGGCGCTTTCAACACTGCTCTACAGATGAATTTTTATAAATCTCGCACCGCTATTATACGATTCGCGATACCTGGCGCCAGCATGTTTCCAGAAGAAATTTTATAAATCTCGCACCGCTATTATACGATTCGCGATACCTGGCGCCAGCATGTTTCCAGAAGAAAAGCTCCGAAATGAGGTCGCCACTATACGATTCATCGGAGATCAAAGCACAATTCCTGTTCCCATGATCATCCACTCGGGAGGGAAAAGAGAGGGCCCCTTGGAATTGGCGCCTTTTCTTATTATGGAGTATATCGACCACCATGCAAATATGATAGATGTACTAAAGACACATGGGCGCCCATTGGATGAGCGAGTGTCGATCAATCAAGAGATAAACCAGACCGACTTAGAGACCCTTTATAGAGGCATGGCGAACGTCATTCTTTCTATGTCCAACCTATCTCAACCCAAGATAGGCTCCCTCTGCCAGATTGACGATTTTACCTGGGAAGTGGCCAGTAAACCTCTATCTCTTCATATGAACGAACTTGTTCGACTAGGGACTCTGCCTCAGTCGAAGTTACCGACCACTACATTTGACACAGCATCGTCTTATTCCGAAGCCCTAGCTGAGCTGAACATTTCACACCTCATAAGCCAAAGGAACGACGCTATAGAGTCGGCCGATGACTTTCGACGCAAGTTTGTCGCAAGATTTCTCTTTCGGAGGCTTATTCGAGATGCGACCCTTAAAGCACAATGGATCCGCTCAGAGTCGGACCATGGTCCTTTTCCACTCTGGTGTGACGACTTTCGACCAGCAAATGTTTTGGTAGATGCTAACCTCAATATCACTGGGGTTGTTGACTGGGAATTTACATATACTGCACCGGTCGAATTCACCTATGCACCACCTTGGTGGCTTATTCTCGAACGGCCTGAATATTGGCGTGCAGGGTTTCATGACTGGGCTGCAGAGTATCAGAAAAAACTCGATATTTTTTTTCGGATGATGATAGATTGTGAGGAAGAGGCAATCCGTCAGGGGCAGTTAGCACCTGAAAGCCAGCGGCTATCTAATGCGATGCGACGAAGCTGGGAAAGTGGGGACTTCTGGATCATGTACGCTGTCAGAAACAATTTCGCTTTCGACTCCATATTTTGGACAAAGATCGATGCACGCTTTTTTGGAAAAATGTCTGATGGCATTAATATTTGCGACATCTGGAAAGAGATTCATGGAAAAGCATGCGAATATGAAGCTTAAAGAGATGGAAGCGGGTCAAGTTCTGGCGTGGAATCCGGATGAGAACACCCTAGAGTACATGAGATCTCTGGCGGATATGGAGGACAAATCACTTTCTTAGATCACCGTGACTGCCTAGAGGTCAAAGATCCTTGAGTCGCTTTTCAAATGTTTTCTTTGGGCTCTCTTTTTCAAGTTTCAGTTGAAGTAGAAGCGTTCGAACCAGCCATTTTTCACTCTTTGTAATCATGAAGATCAGTGGAAGTACTCGCGCGTTAATGGTAGCTTCTATCTTATTGTGAAGTCCGCTCTGTATCTCTAACTTCAAGTTAGGTAGGTACTAAACTAGGTAGCAACGTGTGGCGGAAGCACCAATGTAGATCCATGGTATATTCAAGGTCAATTATATGTGCTATGTCATTGAAAAAATAGTCGCTTTTGCCTTGGATCAGAGGAGGACTGAGAAATTGGTTTACGTTTCCGGCTAGGCGCAGATGAGCTTTGCTCTGAGGGATCCGAGGTATCTTGCACAGCCTGAAGAATTGTTTGTCGAGAAAGACAGAAATCCACATGGTCGTTGAATATGCGGTCATCGGCCGCTTGAGCTCGGCCACATATGGGACAATCCCATTGTGGTGCTGAAGAGGGATTGATTGGTTTGGCCGTAGGAGGACAGTCTGGAATATTGGCTGCTTCCTGACTGAGCTGCTCAAGATCATTCATCTCATCTTGAATTTCTTGGCGAGCAGCAGTCTCGAATGCTTCCTCAGCACTGATTTCATGTTCCGTGATGTTGCCATCGGGGTTTTCTATCAAGGCTGGTCTGCTTGGTGCTGCTGCTACGCCAAAGAAGTTGATGCCCGGTTTCTTAGTACTGACTAGATTTGTACACCGTAGACCAAGTAGCCGGAGTTTCATCCCGGGAATATCCTTCTCCAATTTTACGAGCATGGGCAGCGCAAATGCATACAGGTCTTTTGCCTGGGAGATAGCCCGAGGTGGAGCTGTTTGGCGAGTTAGAACTTCAAAAGTGTGTAGTTTCACTTTAAGAACAAGTGTGCGGCCCTTGAACTGCGTTCGCGCCAAATCCTTTTCAAGTTCTTGTGCCACCCAGTTGAGCTTGGCTCGAATCTCCTCTTTGTCGCCAATTTCATGAAATGTAGTCTCCGTCCCAACACTCTTCCGTTCATAAGTCTCAACCGGTTCGATTTTCGTACGACCGAGACCAAGATAGCACTGGGCCAAGAACTGAAAGGCCTTTTCGCCAAAAAGTTTTGTCAAAAGCGCTCTGTGTGGGTATATGTCACCACACGTTTCAACGCCAATTGAGCTAAGTTCTCGTTCAAAAACTCGACCCACACCATTCACTTTGCGAACTGGTAAGTTCCGCATGAAGTCCATGATTGCACCTCGTTCATTCGCGACACGAAACTGACCATTTGGTTTATTTTGATTAGAGGAAATCTTGGCGATTTTTGCATTGGCGGCGATGCCCGCTGACACAGAAACTTTGGTGGATTCCAGAATCTCGGCGCGCATTTGCTGGACAACTTCCTCCGGGGTCATGTTATTTTCAACGCAATACGGAGTAATGTTGAGGTAGGCTTCATCGATACTGGCACTTTCAAAGAGGGGATCATACTGCGCCATGATCGCTCGGATCTCCTTGGCCTTTGCCGTATATTTTTCATAGTTCTGAGGAAGCAGAACGAGCTGTGGACATAGCTTCTTTGCAACAAAGGATGCCATTCCACTGCGCACGCCGAACTTTCGCGCCAAGTAGTTGCAAGTAGTCAGCACACCTTTACCAACAGCCATAGGAACTGATTTCAACTCCGGGCGATCCAACTCCTCTACGGCCGCAAAAAAGGCGTCACAGTCGACATGAATCACATATTGGGACAGATCCCGGGTCGATTCTAATTCAGCAAGGTATTCATCTGCTCGGCGGAGCTCATGACTGAGATCCAATCTTTCTAGCCGAGCCTTTTCCTTCCGGATGCGTTCGATCTTGACCGTCAGGTTCCGATCTCTCTCTTGCTCATGATTGAAAAATTTGGAGCCTTTTGATGCTTCGTAGATAATTTCAGACACCTATTGTACGACCTTTTTAGTGATTTTTAGAACTCAGGTCAATTCAGATAGCCACTCACCTTCTGCTGATCAACGGCATCTTGGCCCGCTTTGGTTAAAGAGGGTCCGAGGAGTTGATATTTTAGAGTGTCGCTATTCTCCTCTTCTGCAGGCTGGGATTTCTTTTCATCACTCGGTCCACTGGGGGACACCATGATTACCTGTCGCCATAGATTCCTGGATTTAACAGAAATATGAGTCAAGGAAGAATTAGAAAATACATTAGAGTAGGCAGCAACGGCGCAAGTGACGCCAGATCACGTGCTCACGCGTTTCGCTTTCACGTGTGGTTCGTTGTCCAACGAAGAACTTCATTCATGGGTTCTTGTTTCTACAACGCTCCCGATGTGGATTTTAGAGTCAACAGGTGACTTCCTGGGTGGTATGTATTACCATGCGGCTTTGGTTCAAGCTTGTGGTCTAACTAATTGTTCGATTAGGGAAGCGTGTGTGGTTGCGACCGGGGAAGAAGTATCTACTGGGACGCCCCGAGAAGAATATCAATAGCGGTCGTATGTGATCATCCCAATAGGAATTACTATCTCAACTAACATTTGGTTCCTTTCATTTCTAGTGCACCGGGCCATCCCAAGCAACGTTGGCAATGGAGCTTCGGTATCCCGCAAGCACCTGACTATCGAGGTGTCCAGTGTTACCCCGCGTGATGGAGTATGGCTACCAGACACGTCTTGAGGGAGCCTCCGGCTAACAAGTAATCAGACCCATGTACGCGCAAGAACGAAAGTCACGGTCACCGATTTGAACTCGAAGAAAGGAACGACTGTCGATGGTGAACAAATTAGAGGGCAAGAACGAGTATTGAGTGAGGACGAAACAAACATCCAGCTGGGTCGCTCTGCCTCTCTGCGGTCCGTATCCTACCTGTACCAATCCGACTACTCGTCTAATACGATGCCTCGATAGGTTAAAATGGGAACCAGTCGTACTGAGCTTCTCTTTCTCTTCAAAGGAGTTGAGATCGGATGACCCGCTAGCCAAAGTTCGCTCCAAATTGGAGGACCTGGATATTAAGACCATTATACCATATCTAGTGGATCAAACCACTCATGTGGTCCAGAACAAACGCAATACAGCTAAGGGACTTCAGGCGTTGATAAATGGCAAACCTATCGTCAGCAACGCCTACATAGATGCTCTGGTTTATGCTACGACTCCTACCGAGTTTGAAAACGACGAGGCGCTGTCTCCGCTAGAGACAGATTTCGACGCTGCGTGGCCTAATCCCACCGAATACCTTCCTCCAGCTGGCAAAGAGCCAGTTGATCGCCCAGCATCCGTTTTTGGTCCAGATCCAGCGCGGTTTCACATTTTTGAAGGTTATACCTTCGTCTTCGGAGAGCCTTCACAATTCGAGAATCTACAGGCGGCGATAAACAATGGACAAGGAAAAGCCCTTCTATACCCAGTCAAAGCTGGGGCTACCACGGCGGAAGAAATTGTACAATTCATGAGAGAAGCGGGAGGTCAAAAGGGAACCAGGGCAAGACATGAGGAACTTGGCAAGGTTGTACTCGTGCGGTTCCGATTAAACGGCGAGAATGAGCAGTGGTCAATCGAAATAAGCAATCAAGTTGCTTGGATTACCGATCGGCGCGTGATTGAGCAGAGCGAGTTTCTAGGCGCCATTCTCGGCAGTGATGCCTCTCCACTTTGTCGCTCTCTGCCTAGCGAGGAAAGATCTAGCCAGACTTTGGTCGCCGCGACGCCAGGGCCTTCACAAGAGCAGGTTGATGTTGAGGATCACTCTGGCCCATCCCAGTCACAACCTTCTCCCGTACAAGAACAGCAAGTTTCAACTTCGAAAACAAAAACTACAAGGCTGCGCAAATTTGTCAGTAAGATGAAAACATTTGATGATGGATTTGACATGGAGTCTATTCCGGTCTACTCTGCTGAGGAGGAAACAAGCAATGATACCCAACAACCGGGCACACAATCAGTGGATGATGTTCGCCAGCCTTCTCAAACCACTCAGCCCTTGGATGAGTTGGAAGATGCAGATGATGATATTGTCCAAAGTCTTCTGCCTGGAGCAAAAGCCATGAAACGACGCCGAGAAGAAATTGATCAAGGCCGCAAGGGAAGCCATGCTTCGCACACAGAAGCCACTGTTGTTCCAAAAGCGAAACGTGCTAAGCTCAATATCATGGAAGCGGCACGAAAGCATCGCGAGGAAGAAGAACAGCAAAGAAAGGCAGAGGATGAGGCTTTCCCCTCTCAGGATGTGAATGTTGAAGAATTGAAAAATCTAGCTATCGTTGAGGAGATGGAGATGCCCGTTCGGGAAAGGCCAGCCAGAGAAGAAGATGAATCTTCTGATCGATGGGATGATCGATGGAATGGCCGCAAGAATTTTAAAAAGTTTCGTCGGAAGGGAGAGCCGCTTCACGCACGTCAGCGAATTCAAAGTGTCATCGTTCCCCTAGAAGAGGTGACAAGGAAGGACTTTGGCGTTGGCGAACACTACTGGGTCACCAGCCGCAAATCGCCCGTCGGGGATGTTGTGTTGGTAGATGAACAGGAGAATGAGACCACAGTCGCTCGAGCTCATGACGATGATGCAGTCATTCAAGTAGGATCACAGCCATCACTGGATCTGTCAGCAAGCCCTGAACCCACTCCTGAACCCACTCCTGAACCACAACCCGTACCATCACGCAGTCGCACTCAGAAACGCCCACTTGAAGTCCGTGACTCTGATAGTGATGATGAAGAACTTCGATTCCGGTTCAGGCGCAAACGCTAATCTTGACTATTTACCTCTTCACGATAATTTTGTATATTACCATTCAGCGAGACTACATTTACTGCATCGATACCCCTTCCTGAGCACTGGTGTTTTTCTTTTTCTTTCTTCCGATTTTTAATAGTATTAGGCATTATTGAAGTGAAGCTGGGGTTCAAGCCAGCTCATCACTGTAGACAGCGCCTAACCATACGCTCTCATTGGCGGCGTACAAGCGGTGGAGCCACCCTTGCACATAACGAAAGCCCTGAAGTCGGTGAGTTGAATCTTCCATTATTCAATCACTTGCAAGAGCATAGCCTCCTCCTCATCAATCATCAATCATCAATCATCAATCATCAATCATCAATCATCAATCATCAATCATCAATCATCAATCATCAATCATCAATCATCAATCATCAATCATCAATCATCAATCATCAATCATCAATCATCAATCATCAATCATCAATCATCAATCATCAATCATCAATCATCCGACGTGCTTGTGTTCTAATCCATCTGATTCTCAACCTGAGAGATGCGGACTCGTATGTGCTTCGATGACGTTGCGTGGGAGCGGAGTGAGGCCATCCAAGAGGCTTGGATACACACATTGTTCAAGAAAGAGACTTTGATGGATATAGGTAGATTCATCCTGAAACACAGAAGCGGGAAGGCAATTGAGCTCTGTGATCCAAAGGCCGGGGGCTTCAATATGTCCTTTAGAATGAAGTATGAGGACGGTGGCTCTGCAATGATTCGATTTCCCAACCCCGGCACAACAATGTTTCCGGAAGAGAAGGTGCGCCGAGAGGTTGATATAATGAGGTACCTTTACCAGCATACGACGATTCCTATGCCTTTTATTTTGCATTGGGGTACCAACGAAGAAACTCCTCTCGCGCTTGGTCCATTTATCATCATGGAATACATTGACCATGCAATGGATCTTGGAGATGCCCTCAATACCCCTGAATTGACGATTAAACATCGTCTGATCCTTGACCCAAACATTGATGGTCCCAGGCTTGAGCTACTATACAGGCAGTTTGCGGGTATTTTGATTCAGTTATCTAAACTACAGCTGCCTATGATAGGATCATTAGTTCAGATTGACGATTTTACCTGGGATGTGGGTCAAAGGCCACTATCCTACAATTCAAATAAGCTCGTCCGTCTCGGAACTCTCCCACGCTCAGAGCTGCCAGAGATGAATGAAACTTTTCAATCGGCGTCATCCTACTTCAGTAGACTGGCGGATCTTCATATCGACCACCTTATACACCAACGGAACGATGCTGTCGATTCTGCGGATGATCGTCGACGAAGATATGTTGCAAGATTGATGTTTCGCAAGCTGGCTAGAGAGGGCCGATTTACGAGTTCTTGTACAGATCTTGGACCGTTCAATATCTGCTGTGACGATCTTCGACCCTCTAACATCTTGATCAACGATGATCTACAAATTGTCGGGGTAGTGGACTGGGAATTCACTTATGCTGCTCCAGTGGAATTCTCTCACGCCCCACCATGGTGGCTCCTTCTTGAACAACTAGAATACTGGCCCGATGGGATAGTAGCGTGGACCGAGGTTTATGAGTTACATCTAAAGACATTCTTGAGCGTGTTGCGCGAACAAGAGAGCGTGGCCATCGACCGCGGTATACTGAAAGATGAGCAAAGACTTTCTGGGCCAATGCAACAGAGCTGGGAAAGCGGTGATTTTCTGGTCGTCTACGCGGCAAGAAAAAGCTTCGCGTTTGATGCTGTGTTCTGGAAAAAGATTGATGGCCGGTTTTTTGGACCCGGAACGAGCTCTGAAGATGACCGTTGGAAAGAACGGTTAGATATTTTGACGGATGATAAAAAGCAAACATGGAAAAGATAGTTGAAAGGAAGATGGAAGAGATGAGAACGAGGGTCTTGGCCTGGGAGCCTGATGAGATGGATCTTAAGAACGTGAGCTAGTCACAGCACTAGACTGAAGTACCTACAAAGTACAAAATACATGTACGCTGGCACGAAAGGGCACACGGTTTTGTAGTGGTCGCGCGTTCATGCAGCCACACGTATTCCAGTGCTTTATTTCGCGACTATGGAGTAACTCCGTATATTTCCCTCTACTCCTCCGTATGCAGGTTCCAATGCAATGTAGTGACAGATTTGACACCCCAAAATTACGACAAACATGTAAATTGCAATGCAATAAATTCCCAACTAACTGGGACTTATTGTGTTAGGCATTCCAGGCCTTCGTGAAATATCAGGTGATAATGCAAGGAGAAATTGGATCTATCAAGCGGGGGGAGTCTCAGCCCCCAAACAAATTGTCTTTCACCATCTTCCCGGAATTCCAACTCCATGGTTGTGGTATCGATCTCCAGAAACCATAATTCTTCATGGCTCGACTCCCTGACTTAGTCGAAGACTCGAAGCTCGGGGCAAATATTCTCCCTCATTTCAATGTGACGATCCATACATATCGTGAATCCGATCCAGATTCACGCCGTCGTCTGGTATCCAGGTCAGAGCATTGGCAACGACAGAAAAAAATTGGCGCTGGAAGCTATGCCAGTGTGTGGTTAGAGAAGTGTGTCGAGGGTGGACGCCACGGTGCTAGCACTTTGCGAGCCGTGAAACAGATTGATCTCAGTAGGAGTGGGCAAAAGCCAGGTTTTTATCATCGTGAGCTTGAAGCAATCGCGAAGTTCTCACATTCCAGGGTGTGTTGGTGAGTCTGCTTGCAGTGATAAATGTTCTAGCATAACTGACTGAAAAAGTACGAGCGATGCTTTGTGAAATCCTTCGGGTGGTATGAAAGCCTAGACAACCTGTATATTGCCATGGAATATCTCGAGATTGGCGATTTATACGACTATATGAATCGGCGTTCGCCATTATCGGAAACTGAAGCCCGACAGATCACCTATCAGATTCTCGAGGGTCTAGGGATGATGCATGAAAATGCCTTCACTCATCGTGATCTGAAACCCAATGTAGGTCTGATCTCCTCGAATCATTTTCAATCTACAGAGACGCATTCTCACATATCACTATAGAACATTCTCATTAAATCGCATCCGCCAAATGAGTGGTGGGTCAAAATCGCTGATTTCGGCATCAGTAAAAGGATTGGTGAAGATCTTGGAACCGCATCGTCAACACTCCGAGGCACGCCAGGGTATATGGCGCCCGAGCTATATGGCTTCATAGAACGTGGCAGCCCATATGCGGTCGATATATGGAGTCTGGGTGAAATCACCTTCGATATTCTCACGAAAACCGCAACTTTTGAGTCACTGGGTCAATTGTTTAGTTATGTCGATAACAGCACCTCATTCCCGACACACTTACTGAAGAAATCATCAGTCAGTCAAGATGGCATTGACTTCATTTTGGCTCTCATGCAACCTGATCCTTCCTCGCGGCCCACGGCCCATGAGGCGATTTCACTTCGTTGGATCAAAAATTTGCTCCATCCTCAAGATTGTTCGGAAATGACTCAAAATATGGAAGGAGACGAGATAATATCCTTATCCTCGGCTAATATGTCAATTCAAGGCCGTGGAATTCAAGATTCGATCTCAAATTTTCTATGGATGAACAAGGCAGCAAAGCAGGATATCCCCCCTGCACTTTCGGCGTTCTACGATCTAGTTTGTGTAAAACAAGATTCTCGATTTGGAGATGCTGTCATCATCGGCTCACTAGGAAGCAAGATTGATCTATACCAAACTCTGCAGGACAACTATCGCCAGGTGAATTCAGCCGCATTTTCCCCGGACCGTCGATATGTGGCAACTGCATCCGATGATAGTACTGTTATAATCTGGGATATATCAAGAGGCGTTGAAATAAGATCCGTACGAGAACATACGGATCCTGTTAATAATGTAATCTTCAACCCAAAGACGGGGCTACTGGTGTGTGCTACCGTTTCTGGTGTGGAGCTCTGGGGTCCTCCCTCAGGATTGAAGTTGAGCGTGCTCCAACCCCCTCTTCTACACGTACAGAACATCATCATTTCCCCAGATGGTAGATACATCGCATTCTCCACGAACAAGGCCACAGTTGGGATTCGAGGCCTTGACACAGACACAAATATCACGCTTCCAATCAAATGCAGGACGATGATGTTTACCCCCGATAACGAAGGACTCATGATTGCCGCCGACGAAATTTTCTTTTGGGAACTGAAGAGTGGAAATGTGTTCGAGGTCACGACCACTCGTGGCTGGCATCACAAGTTACTTTCATTCTCACCTAATGCCAGACTTCTCGCCTCAGTGTCCTCCTTTGGTTCTTCAACTGAAGGTGAATACATCGCTCTTTGGGACACTACAACAGGTGAACAATTGTTTCGAATACGCAATCTTTGTCCGGATCGAGTCAACTCCATGATTTTCTCACCCAACGGGAAACTGTTGGTGACTGGAGAAATTGGAGGAATCCATTTCTGGGATATTGCAACCGGAGAGGAATTGCACAGGATTGAGGATGACCCCCTCTGTGAGATCAAGAATCTTTCATTTTCTGTGGATGGAACGATGCTACTGTCTTGTATTCGAGCTGGACCGGCATCAACCCCTGGTCCGGCACATGTTCGCTATGAGACGGTGAAAATCTGGAAAGGTATCATGGTTGATTCTGAATCTGCCTGAAAACTGGTTCCAGGATTCTATTTTGGAGAGTTGGGGTCTTTCCTTGGTCTTTGTATCAGAATGCATGGTATCTTTTGATCACAATTCTCACATGCGGACTTATTTCCGTCATTTGTATCATGAAAATTTCTAATTTTGGTGTATGAAATATTTCAGATGTCAGTGGACGCCCCGATGCCAGTGCTTTGTGCTTCGTAGAGCTACCTTTTACCGGCCCATACAGATATCATGTAGTAGTCAAACGGTGGCATTGTTATAGGAAACTGAATGCTCACTTCCAGGGGTACTGAGCAATCTTGCCATATTCAAGTGGCTGGCCTCCAGGGCTGCTAGTGAGCTTTTAATTTTCTATAAGCTTCAAATCTGCGGGGAGAAGTTGAATACAAGAATTTTGGAAGGTCTTCATGCATTCATAGTATCAATTGACTGCAACATTTTAACTGATTGATTGTATACACGCCTTCTATGATGGATATTAAGCTTCAAAAATAATATACAGAACCCAAGATTGTGCGATTCGACTTGTTCTCAGTCCAGGCAACAGAAATGAGAACTGACTTGATCTCAAGGTTCAACTAATCCTTCTTGTCTCGAGGGACAATATCCTCTGCTCCACCTGCGTCACAAACAATAATACCCAGAATCCAGATGTTGACGGCGAAGAAGAATAGTGAGGCAAGGAAAAGTCCAGGGACAAAGGATGAAAGACCCAGGAATTCCAGGTTGTAGCCTTGTTGGAGCCAAAGAGCCTAATACAGAGTCAGTCAGTCAATTTTGACAAAACTAATCCAAGTTCAGATTAACATACCTGACCAATGACCCATAAAACAGCCGCCGAAATACCGAGCCTAGGCCTACGTACGAGGCTGGAAGTGGGAAGGTAGAAGGGTAGTAGAATGAGATACCATATGAAGTACTTGAATGGGGTTAGCTTTTTCCATGGCATAATACAAAGGGAATGTACGGAAAACGAACCTGGCTGGTGCACACTTTATTAAATGTGACGAAAGCAAATGTTTGGGCCAGCATGGCGGTTGCTAGGCTCTTTTTAGCCAGCACCAACGGGAGAGCGACCACTGCAAGTACCAGCTGAGGAATGAAAGCGAGAGCTTCGAAGTGCGATGTGGTATTTCCCGCTGAAGTCAGATAAAGTAGAGTGGCATATGGCGAGAAGTTGTGTCGGTGGTCAATGCGAGTGAGATGGTGGAAAAATGTGTGGTGGAGAAATGGCAAACCATATTGGAGATACATGACAAGGTTCAAAGTAGCGAAGGTGATAAGAGCCGTCAGTGTCAACTTCACACGAGATGGCGTGATAAATCGAATAGCCCGTGATATGATACTGAGGTCGTTCGTCGGGGCAGCACCATCGCATTCTGCATCCCACCACCATAGAATGGATGCACCATAAATGAAAGGATAGATTTTGAAGTGCACCGCTAGTCCAAGGATCAATCCTGCAAGAATAGCCCGTCTTGTCAAGGTAGCCCAAAGCAACCCTGCAACCAACACGCCAAGTAGCCCCTCGGAACTGCCGCGGGTACTAATGTTGGCGACCATGGGATTCCACAGCCAGACGGCAGCAACGTAGCGTAGTGCTCTTTCAGGTGAAAATCGATAGCATCGGGTCAAGAGCTGCACGACCAGCCAGCCAGCCAAAACATCAGCCAAGGCAAAGAGCACCTTGCCAAAGGCGAAAGTTAATGTTGACCAAGGAGCCGGGCCTTCCCATGCGGTCGGTAGGAGCATCCATGCTAAGAGTGGCGTATAACGATATGTGTCTCGAGCATATGGTGTTTGGCCCTTGGAGACATATCGCGCAGCATCCGTAAAGACCATGTAGTCAATATCGGTGTACTTCACAGCCGAATTAGCATCTTGCCAGCCGCCGTAAATCAGCAGAACTAGACGGAGAGCCGTGGCACCAACGAACACCCTGGCGGGAGAATGAAAAATGCCCATCTTCTACCTGGGCAACATTCACTGATAACACTTGAGGTCACTTTCGAGGGGTCAATCCCCTTTCCAGCGACAGGTCGTGATTGACGAACTCCAGTCGAATCCCAATTGGAATATTTTTCCCAATCGATGAGCACCAGTATCCAAACTTTCGAGCCGAGGAGCAAACCTATTTTGATTGGCTTATCATTTCATCGAGTGTGGTCAAGTGCTGTTTATTGAGATTGAATCTCGCATCCATCCATCCATGCCCAGGTGGATGTCAGCGCGATGATGAGTCAGCGGTTTCTGAGTCAGCGGTTTCTGATCTGCACCCACCTGGCAGGTGGGCAGGGGAGTTATGGAATTGCCCAGGACTATAAGTGAAAAAAAAATTCCATCAATATATGATAGCTCCGTTGGCCTAATTGGCTTAAGGCGTGTGGCTTTTATGCTCAAGGTTCTGGAATTCCTAGGCCGAGCGACTAGGCCGAGTGAAAACCTCCAATCTCACATCTTTTTCTTTTTCATCTTCGTTTTCGGTAATGTTTTTTTGAATCTCCAGGGCTTACAAGGTTCTACTTTAAATATTACCTACTAGGCTAGTCTACAGATTCCTTGGAAGAATGTATCACACTTGTCCAGAAGTCTTCGAGGCAGAAAAATATTCTGACTATCAAGTGCCAGTTATCACTACTGGTATTTACAATTTTCAATTTCGCATGAGCCAGGTACAATTGGGTCATGGATTCCGTAGTAGTTACATTAGAAGGAGAAGTTCAAGTTGCGTATATTGCTTCAAATGTTTGATCCATCCGAGCCTTCAAATATTGCAGATACTACCGAGGTCACGTCTAGTACATATACTTCCAAGGTTGGTCGATGTATAAAGGTGTGCATAATCACAACAGCTTTCAAGCAGAAAGGTGAGCAGAGCAGAGCTTCCAGATGTCCCTACAGACTAACGCTCAATAGTATAAAGGCTGATTGGCAAAATAAGAATCAGGGAAAGACTCAAAATATGGGTCGGTCCCAAACTTGGGGCCCTTTTCATGGTCGGGCGTCAAAACGGCCATCGCATCATTACGATGATCAAGATCCATACCAGGCCAAAGGTTGTTATCGCTCCAACTCAAATACTCCCAGAGAAATTGTCCCGAGTCATCCATCAAAGGAGCTGAGACAGATGTAGGGATGCCATTCTCTCCCATCGACATCCCCATGCGACCAGGCTCCGGAGGCGAAAATAGCGAGCTAAGATCCCGGCCAGCGGAATATAGATTCGATAAAGCAGGCCCTGCGGTTGTCGATGTAATCATATCTTCACCTCGCTTGCTTGCCTCGTAGATTCGAGACATGGTCTCCAGTGAGCGCTGCGCTGTATGGCCAATAGATGACATCCTGGCTAAGGTTGCCATGGCGATCTCAACTTGAGCTTGACATGACTCGATCGAGGCCCGCGGATCATCAGCTGTGGGGTCATTGAGGAATAACCCAACAAGGGGTACTAGGGATGCCTGGAATGTCCACCACACCGCATTCCAGCCACAGAGCTGATTGAGCTGGGCTGTGGCAGCGATGTTTTGAATGGAAAGCTCAGCAACCTCGCGACACTTCTCAATCGCTGTTCGCTCCTCAACACGAAGTGCAATGTAAGGGACACGACGCATAGCGTAGCTCAGCAGTGTGGGACGGTATATCAGCATCCGTTGATTGTGGTATCGCCATCGCATGACAGTGCGAACAGTGCTGATAGACTCAGAGCATGGCTCATGATCCTTGAGAATCGGTGGAAGGTTTTCCCACCAATCTAGGAGCTGTGCATCTGCATGCGACATCTCTTGGTGCTTGACAAGAGGAGCAGCCGCCAGCGACTCCTGGACCTGTGTTGCAATTTTTGCAAAACGAATGTTTTCAACCAGTGGAAGGATGTCGAGGAAATTTTCCTATAGAATAATTAGCGACAAACATCAGTTGATGAAGATAAATACAGACCTTGTCTCGGTAATTCGGTGACTTGACAGTGATATACTGTCCAAAACGACCCATGCTAGGTCTGCCAAGTGTCATACCCGCCCATGTATCCATGACAAAGAGCGACCACCAGACTCGGCGTTTGAGATCCATTGATGCTAAATTCGCTGGATTGGCTACCTGGCGAGTATCTGAAAACTCCTTGTGTAGGCCCAGCGTGGCTGCCATGCGCAAGGCGGCACCGAGAAGAGAGTATGCCAGGTTCGGTTGGCTGATATAGTGGCAATACCACCCACCGATGAGGCCTAAGGCCTGAAGGGTTTCTAAATGAGAAGAACCAAGAGAACTCAAACTCAAGTGGCTCTTGCAACGCAAGAAGTATGTTTGGTGTGTGTTGTCATCGGGACCTGTGGCAGCTATACTACCAAGGGCGAGAACAATATTTAACAAAGCAAGCCAGTGCTCATCCTTGCGATGACCAGTCATATACGTCTCCCGGAAGATCTTCTCATCGACCATGGGAGCGAACGCTTGGAAGTAGGTGAAGTAGGCATCCAGCATCTGCATTTCAGTTGGTGGGATGGAAGGTTGAGGTGGAGTCACAGGTCGCTGAGGAGGCCAAGCATTCTGTGCATCGTAGTCAAGAGATATCTCTTCGCGTAAGTTGATTGGTGGAGTACGGGCAAAATAAGAGGCGCAGCCTGGATCAAGCCATAAGATGACCTTGAGGACAGCCTGGATAGATGAAACTCCCAGATATGATGAAGGCTGCCGAGAAGATAAGGAGAGGGCGTTGACATCGTCAGAGACACCCTCTACTAGATCTATGCCATGAACATGGCGAATATCGTCAAGCTCGACTGGCATGGTTTGGAGTGATTCAAGATTGTCATCTTCATTGGATAGCGGGGATACATGGGCTTCCATAGAGCCCGAGGTAGATGGTGAAGCGGCATGTGCATTGGTATGTGCCTGTATAGCCGACGGTGGCGCTGATATGAGCTCAAGTAATTTTTCTCGTGAAAGGTTGACCAGGGACTCAGGTGGTACGTTAGGAAACAGTCTTCCAAGGATGCCGCGATATTCATCCAAAGTTGTTGAAAGCTTTTCTACATGTCTATAAAATATTTTATTAGCTGCGTACTATGTTCTGTACAACGAAACTTGAATCTCACCTTCTAGATGGCCTGGGATCAGAGTAATGACATTGATCTGCCTTTTTATACCATCTGCATGCTTCGCACGGCTTTTCACCATCACATTTAATCTTGCGATGTCGACAAGATGTACATGCGCGCAAGGTCGTCACTCGACGGCTGACAGACTCACGTCGCTCATTGACAGGCCGTGTTTTGGCAGGGGTTGTGGTTGTCGGGTTCTCAAACCCCTCAAATGTATGAAACATGGTTGTGACACAGGAATGGCGAAATGAAGAATTGGAGATCACATAGTTCGAGATGTCGCAGGTTATTGCAAGGGCGACATTGGTGGGATAAAATCGTAGTCGTATGATTTTTCGGTATCACCAAGGCCGAAATAGGGGAACAGCAATTCAGTATAGAAAGACTGAAGTGTCTCGTTCAAAGTGCCGAGTGACTATGAAGTGGAAGAAGGGGCCATTTTGTGCTATGAACAGCTATTTTGATGACCACTGTGATGAGGGGGATGTAGCCAGGAGAAAATGTCAGGAGGGTCCACTGCAACCGAAGATCATGGCAAGCAGCAATTTAGCCCAATTGCCAAAGTGGCGTAAAGTAGACACTCTAGTGCCACTAATTTGGGCTTCTCCCCCGCATTTCAGGGAACAGACCGGGGTTCTCTATAGACTTCGGGGTTCCCGAGTGTAGCCTCGCTTACTAGGAATGTGGCTCTCTGAGCTTGAGTAACTTGGGATCAAAATCTGAAGTTGATATTGTTGGGATGGATAAATCGATAATGGAGACATCAGGCTACTTCTCAAGCTCAGAATCGGCCCCCAGACTTCCCAAAAATTCTGCTTACTATTCCCGAGTATCAACCTTGGAAGTCCAACCCGAGTGAGATCCGTATACACTCTGACGCACTTACTACAGACCAACGCCACACATAAAACAGACCAGGGTTCACAGGATTGGGGGATAATATGGGGAATCCATGCTCTGCCGGCTTTTCTCCACGCGCCGAAGCCCCTTCATCAATTTCTCCAGAGCCACCCACTCGGCTAGAAAGACGCTTCGAGCTGCACGAATTGAAACGGACCTTGCAGAGCATCGAATGATCGTCTGGGGAAATCGCATACCAAGACATGCTTAGGTCTGTGGGTTATTTTCTTTGTCTGCAATATCTCATTCCGTATGACCGTAATAAATTATCAGAGTATTCCTTGAGCTTACATACAACATTTGAACCCCCAAAATAATATGTCTTATTGGAGAGTGGTTCTACTTGAACCTTGTTCATCACAAAGTATAGTCTATACTAAGCACGGCGCTGTGTCCACACACTGGAAACTTGAAGGAGAGAATGAGGATGTATTGCATGCTGGAATGGAAACAACCACAGGGAAATTAAGTCGTGCGGGACTAGGACACAGACCCTCATTTATTGATCATGCGGGGCACTGTTGTGCCAGTGTATGGTCCAATCACTGCTCTGACCGAAAAAGCAAAGACCAACGTCGAGTCTTCAGGTCAGGTGCAATGCCTGCTTTGAGGGAAGGGTCCGAGGTGAAAGAGGCGGCAGTAAGTTTCAACATGCTAGTGCCGAGCTACATGAGGGGTCTGGAGATGAGCTCCGGGGTATGGCTTCGGCAGCCCAAGGATGTAGAAACACTCAAGTACATTCTTTTGGGGAGGCACTGCAGCGCCAAGGCTGAGTCTAGCGTCTCCTTTGGGAAGACAAGTAAATGACTCAGGGTCGATTCATTTCGGACTCCGGGAGACAGACGATCATTGGTTCGGTTAGAAGGACTGGTCCGCCCGGGTAGGCACGTTAGCGTAGAATCTTTGGGGTTCAAGTTGCCCAGGTGGTGATTTTCAGGGCATGTCAGATTTTTGGTTTCTGAATTGGTCGATGCGAACGCTCCCTTCCATCCTTGGTTTGGGTAAGGGGAAAAACAGAGTTGCCTAGCGTTGCCATGTGAATATAACAGCCTAAATAAGGAGGGTCTGTCCCCTCTTTAAGAGGAATCAGAGAATAATGCCCTGAGCTGCACGGTATTTGTTCCGTGTCAAAAGAGGCAAGGCGTCCATAGGTGTGATCCCATGTAGGTGAGTGGCACCATCCCGTCAACTGGTGTCACAGTTATTGCTCAGTTTCACCTGGCAAATTGCAGGGTCACTGATATTGGTGCCTGAGGATACTTTATTGCCTGATTGCCAAGGTTTCAGGATCACATGTCTCGGGAGCTCCGCGCCAAAACTGGAAGGAGCGTGGGGTAGTTCCTTATCGATAAGACCATCATCCATCTAAATAGCTATCCAAGGAGCTTGTTGTCTCCAAAATCAATATTCTTCAACTTCTTTCAATCGGACATCATGATACTAAACTCCCATGAATTGTCCACTGGATGGACCTTCCGAGATCGTGATGCAGAGGAGGAGGAGTGGATGCCCGTACCCAAGGTGCCTTCGGTCGTGCAACAAGATCTCCTAGCCAACAAAAAGTAATCACAATGATAAGATCCCCAAGGTGATAGAGCAATTGATTGCATTACTGACTTATGCAGATTGGAAGATCCCTTTCGAGGGTTCAATGAGCTTAAAGCACGCTGGGTGAATAAGAAATCTTGGATATACCGCAACACCTTTGAAAAGCCCGAGATCCCCGAAAATGCTCGCATTGAATTGGTCTTCGAGGGCCTTGATACATTTGCCACTGTGAAACTTAACAATCAAAACATCTTACAGTCCGACAACATGTTTTTAGGACACCGTGTGGACGTAACGAAAGCAATGGAGGCCGAGGGCGAGTACACACTGGAGATTGAGTTCGACTGTGCTAAGCTTAAAGCCCAGGAAATCAGGAGCCAACACCCTTCCCACAAATGGGTTGGTTTTAATGGAGACATGTCTCGTCTGGCTGCCCGAAAGGCTCAATACCACTGGGGTTGGGACTGGGGCCCAGTGCTGATGACCGCAGGCATCTGGCGCCCAGTGCGACTGGAAATCTACACAGCGCGCGTTCATGATGTATGGCCCCAGGTGAAGCTTTCAGCCGATCATTCTGTGGCTGAAGTCCTCACTGTTGCTCGTTTCGAAGCAAATGAAAGTGATGACTACAAGGCTCGATTTTGTCTAAGTCTTGATGGGTATACAATAGCCACTCAGGACATCCCTGTGTCTAGTGATAATGAAGCTAGAGTTTCGTTTCGTGTAAATCGACCGAAGCTTTGGTGGCCAAACGGATACGGTAACCAGACTCGCTACACAATATCGGTCCATCTGCTCCGCGGAGAGGAGTTTCTTGATGAACAGTCAAAGCAATTCGGTATCCGCACAGCTGAAGTGATCCAAAGAGTGGACAGCCATGGAAAGTCTTTCTTCTTCCGCATCAACGGGATGGACATTTTCTGTGGCGGCTCCTGTTGGATACCCGCAGATAGTGTTCTGACCAACATTACCTCGGATAAATACCGCAGATGGATCGAGCTTATGGTGGAAGGTCGCCAGGTGATGATAAGGTACGTATGCCATTTTCTGTTGAGTGCGAAAACTAATGTGATGTGTGTCCAGAGTTTGGGGCGGTGGAATTTATGAAGACGAGGCATTTTATGACGCTTGCGATGAGTTAGGAGTAATGGTTTGGCAAGACTTCATGTTTGGATGCGGCAATTATCCAACGTGGCCGACTCTTCTTGACTCTATCCGGCAGGAAGCTGTCTACAATGTGCAGAGACTTCGACACCACCCATCAATTGTGATTTATGTTGGAAATAACGAGGACTATCAGGTGCAGGAATCAGTGGGTCTGACCTATGATTACAACGACAAAGACCCAGAAAGCTGGCTCAAAACAGACTTCCCTGCTCGTTACATTTACGAAAAGCTACTACCAGAAGTCGTGACAGCTCATGCTCCAGACACGTTCTATCACCCTGGTAGCCCGTGGGGCGATGGGAAACTTTCATCGGATCCCACAGTGGGTGACATGCATCAATGGAATGGTATGTTTCTTTCATCCGGTGATGTAATCTCTACTAATGCTTCTCAGTCTGGCATGGCACCCAGGAGAAATACCAGATCTTTGACACCCTGGGTGGCCGGTTTAATAGCGAATTTGGCATGGAAGCTTTCCCACACATGTCAACTATCAATCATTTCGCTGAAAACGAAAACGACCGTCACCCCCAGTCAAGATTGATGGATTTTCATAATAAGGCTGATGGTCATGAGCGACGGCTGGCAACCTATCTGGTTGAGAATTTTAGAGCTCCAAAAGAGAACAGCTTGGGGGTATGCTCCCCCTTACCCAATCTGAACCTTACAGTAGGACTACAGACCACTAACAGAAACAGGCATACATATATCAAACCCAGGTTATGCAAGCTGAAACCATGATGTTTGGTTACCGTGGCTGGCGCCGACAATGGGGTAATGAACGACACTGTGGAGGGGCTCTCCTTTGGCAGTTGAATGATTGCTGGCCCACTATTTCTTGGGCGATTGTTGATTATTTCCTGCGACCGAAACCTGCTTACTATGCCGTGAAACGAGTTCTGAATCCTGTAACTGTCTCAGTCAGACGTGAGCATCATGATTGGAGTGTGGTCCATGCCCAGCCACCACTGACCAGTAAGTATGAGCTATGGATCGCCAGCAACAAACCCCACGTTATTCGTGGGACTGTGGAGCTACGGTTCATTTCTATCGATACTGGAGCAGAATTACGGCCTCCGATTTTGCGGCAGGATATCGAGATTGTTGCAAATGGCACAACCGACATCATCACAGATGGCATAATTGATCACATCGCGGAGCCTGAACCACACGTGCTGGCCGCCCGATTGTGGGTAAACGACGAACTTGTGTCCCGAGATGTTGATTGGCCACAGCCATTCAAGTATATTGATCTTCCAGATCCACAGCTACAGGTCACAATTTCAAGATCGGCCTCTGATGATCAAGATCAGACCCTGAATCTATCTGTTACTAAGCCTGTCAAATGCCTGGTCTTTGAAGAAGGGGACGGAGTCAAGTTTAGTGACAATGCGCTGGACATGGTACCTGGGGATGAGCAACAGATCACGATTTCAGGAAATCCAACCATCGTATCCGGTCTGACATTTAGATTCCTCGGCGGCGATGCCGGTTACAATCTAAGTGACTTCACCGGTCTTCAGATCGGGACGGATAATGGAAATTCCTAGCAATAATTGAAGGCACATGAGTACCAAGGCGTTGAAATGAAATTATTCACAAACTATTCCATCTATGCATTAGTCTAAGTTCTCGCTTAGCATCTCATATCAATCCATAATTTCGAACTCGAAAATTAAATTCGCTTACATCTGGATGGTTTACACGCTGGATATTACTTCTAGCCTGGTCGGCGAAATCTGCTTCTATTGGTGATATATGGGGCGATAAGGCCTCCACTTGCACCACAAGGGGGGGAAAATAGCCGGCGAACAAACCCAAGCCGAGTGGTTCCTGGCTAAAATGTCTTAGCACTGGCCGCCTTAATATGAAAAAGTAAGCAACGAGAATTACTAAATCAATACTAGTCGTTCGTCGGATATTTCGGCGCATTGAGGCTCTCCCCACATGGAATGGTCAAAATTGTATGGCTCTGTGCCCTGAGCGCCACTGGCACGAGCCCTCTCTCAGGCATCCTACTAGTATCAATTCATTTTTCTTACTATTTTTGCGCTCCTTTCTCATAGTTCTTCGGCTGACTGAATCTCTGTCGACACATTCTTTCTACGCTCCTTGAGTCTTTTTTTCCTTTCTTCTACGAGACGTCCTTCCTTTGTCACATTCCCTTTATTCTTTTGCCAATCCGAGTCGATTTAAGGCATTCCACTCGCTAGCAACATGCATGTTCCAACACTTTCATTCTTTTCCTTCTCATTACTTGGATCTGCCATTTCAAGGACCATGTCCGAGTCAGATCAAGTGGCAGCTTTATCAAATTATCAAACCCCGGTGTCCATACTGTCAAATGGTGGATTCGAGACCGCATCTCTGGATACATGGCGCCTAATAGCCAACACGGACTCTGAAATTATTAATGACCCTGTCGAGGCCTCCGAAGGCTCATACTACCTGTGAGAAGGCTTCAAGCATCCCCGGTTTTTTTTTCTCGTTATAGGGTATGTGACTGATATTATCTCGACTCTAGATCCGCGAAGACAAAAACCTTTAATGGCGAGAATTTCATTTTGCTTTACACCGATGAATTCAGTAGCCCAACAAGCGGTCACTATACTGGTCAATTTGATTATAAAATATCTCTTTCCGGTGCTACGGGATGCACCCTGTCTGCACAGTTCAACTCTTCTGGAAAACCAAACTGGGAAAACTCGGTTACAAGCGATGTAAATGAATGGACGCAGGTCTGCTCTGGCTTCAGTCTTAATTCGAATCTCTTCCCCCAGATCATGTTATCTTGCAGTACCGGAGAACCTACACTAAAGATCGATAATATATCGATTTTACCTACAAGTAGTGCCCAGGATGAGTGCACAACTTCAATAATCACTACTGATGACAAGACGACATCACACCGATTTAGAACAGCCTTACTGAGGCAAATCGTTCTTTGAGGCACCTCATTTCAAATATCACTTGTACATATTGTGCTGCTTCAATGTTCTCGTCCGGCCTTTCATTCCTGGAGAGACTCTCCCGATATTCCTGGAAGGTTAAAGGGTCGCTCGTCAACCTCACAGATCGTCCCGGGAGCAGGGAGCTCACCCGTTTGGAAATAGTTCCTGACTACTCCAGACGTGCAATCGGATTTAGCAGAAAGTGAGCAGTGCTATTCATATCAATAATGTTAATATTTGAACCTAATATCTTGGAAACAAAGTCGCTCGTTAAATGGGGATACTTACGCCCGTTGAATTTTGATGTAGAACTTGAGAATCAGAGAATCCACTCGACATTTTAAAGGCGCTATATTTGATTAGCCCCTGTCCTTAATTGCTGACAATATTCCACACTTTCGAAGAGGCGTCACTGGGTCAAAAGAATTTCCTATGAAGAGTAGCGGGTGTGACGTGTTTTGAACAAAGGACCCTGGAGAATCTTTGATTAGCAAACAAGTTGACCATCAAGGATATCTCATCATATTTAGTAAATCTTTCGCATGTAGCTTACCGTTGAACTCCCATGCTGGCCGAATATTCCAACCGGGGCATGACAACCGAAGAGCCGCCCAATCATCTCCAATAAAGTGCCCTTGGTCTTCAAGAGCCTTCAAGTACTCCCTGTACTCAGACTTGTTCATTCCACGGAAATCAGCTCCGTCTGTGCATAACACACTAGACAGGACTTCTTTGGCATGCTTTTCGTCAATACCTTCCTTCCGTGCATAGGCTTTGAAGTCTGCAGCAGAAGAGCCATTTCTCTGGGAAAGATCTGTAAATACTTGTGCCACAAGTGGATACGAATCAACTGGCGAGTAGAGGGATGAGAAGACTAAAGTGTGGATATCACTGTAAGTGACAATCTCGGGTCCTCTGCTCTTTGATGCGGGAACAGCAAGAGGGCTACGTTTAAGATCCTCTAGCACTCTCTGAAAGCGGTCTTTCAAGTCCTGCAAATCATCAGATGCAAATGGACAGGACTGAGGTCCGGCTTCATGGCAATTTTCAAAGAATGTATTGAGCGCGCCATCCGAATCTTGCAGATTAGCAAGCCAGTTCCCAGCATAGAAGTCGTAAGAATCAACCACTCCATCGACTATCAAGCGATGGATTTTGTTCGGCTGTAGCGCGGCGAATGTAGCTCCAATAACTGTACCATAAGAGAATCCCCAGTATAGAAGCCGTTCTTCACCACGCTTCCAGCTATTCTTCTCTAGGACTTTCTTCTTCTCGGCCCGAGGGAGTTTGTGTGCACAGCTTTTCTTGAGTAACTTTTTGGTTTCATTCTCTCGCCATTCACCATGTCTCTCGACCAGCTCAACCATGTCTGCGATAACTGTAGGGGTGTTCATGAAACGGCCCAGCCACTCCGACTCATCTTTGTCGAACAAACTAGGATTTGTGCAAGTTTCTCCGAGAGCCTGGCCCCGAGCCCAGAGTGTGTCGAATGCAATATCTGAACTGGCGATATTGCCTTCGGCTATTGTTTGAAATGTCCATGCAATGCGATCCTCTGGATTTGCAAAACAGGAGAACGCGGGAGTGGTATTGTTGACACCTCTGGGGTCGAAGCTGACAATATCAAAATACTTCGCATCTTCGGACTGGGAATTGGGACTTTCAGGTGATTCTCCAAAATCAACGAGATCCTGGAGCATCCTTCCCCGCTTGATGGCCTGTGAGACCCCAGACCCGCTGGGGCCACCGGGGTTCAGGATAATGGGACCACCATATCGCGGATCTGTAACCGGAACTTTCGCGGGCAGCCTGATGACTGCGACCTCTACAGTGGCGCCTTTTCCATCTGTGCGGTTCCAGTCCATCGGCACTTCAAGGCGGGCGCATTGGTATTCATCAAAGCAGGGGTGATAGACCAGGTGTTTCTCGGGTGTAATCTATGCAAATGTAAGTTTCGCCCCCAGATAACGCAATTCTCTCCAACTCACATTTTCCCAGCTGAAGGCCTCATCTGGTGGTGGGGATTTATGATGCCCCTTGTGAGGTTTGTGAGGTTTCTTGAAGATGAAAGACCCTTGAGAGAATTGTAGTATTCCCCAGATAAACAGGACCAAAAACAAAACACCCGGTCGTAGCACACGACTCATCCATTTCTTTTTCTGGGGTGGAGCCAGAAGAAAGCTGAATTTCTGTGACACCTTGGTATCTGGACCCATGGTGATAGGGATAAGCTTTCGCTTTTGGGGCGCAAAAGAGTAGGAGGATGACCAGTGAAAATCGAGGTTCCCAAGGGGACAAACCAAGATGCAGGTACGGATGAGAGTTTTATGAGAACAAAAAGCACCGGTGCACCGCCGGCCTTATCCGACCGGTGATGGTCAAATACTACTTGACGATAGGTTATCAAGTGAAGGCGCTATGTAGCTCAGCCTGCTCAGGCGTCGAACTAACCCAGTTCGGTCGTGCTAATGGTTAGTGGGGATTGTAAGCCACGTAATCGGGCATGACTGCAGGGGTTCATGATGGTACACTGTTTTCTCGGGCATTTAACCTCTCATTAAGCAATACACTAGTGACTATACACATGTGCAATATTTGAAAGAAGATTTGATGTTGACCTAACCCATTCCAAGGTTCCAAGCTGGAGGAGTGTATGGGATCCCCGCAAGGTGAATGCTTTGTCAACCGGGTACTATAGTACAATGCCAACGTCAAGTGAGGGGTACTAACACTGATATGAGGTAAAGTGCACTCCGTGCTCTGTAGAAGTTCTATAGAACTATAATCAGACCGCAAACTAACTGACTAGGTACTATCATGTCGCAATCAACTTACCAATTGTCACCCCCTGGGCACAGGAAGCTATTCCCAATCGCCTGAAAGGCCTGGAGGCCATTTTGACCGGTGCGACGGGCAATATTGGCCTAGAATTAGCGCGTTGATACCTGTTAGAAGGGGCGAAAGTTGCTCTTGTGGACATCGATGGAGAAAGACTCGCCTAGTCGAAGCAGACTTTGATTGATGACACCCTCGATCATCTTTGGCCGGTGTAGAGGATTCAATCCTCACTGTGCAGGTCGATATCATCTCAGAGAAAGACTTCAAAACGCTCTGTTCAAAAGACTGTCGCAAAATTTGGCAAATTAGACGTTGCACTTCTATGTGCCAACTGATGCCGAACAGTATGACAATGGGATGCAAGTCAATTGCCAGTCTGGTAAGTGCATATACTATACAGACTTGACAAAGAGCCATTTTAATAAATCATCATACCTGGGCAATTGCAGCATTCTTGGAAGTGAAGCGTTGCGGCCAAACGATGAAAGATGTTGGTAATGAATGAAGCATCATGGTATCGTCTCCAGGGCTACCGCGGGTTTACGGGCTACACCTGGTCTGTCGGCATACTTGACATCCAATTTCGCCCTGCGTGATCCAAAGTTGCATCACAGCTGCAGCAGAACTGGGTCAATTCAATATTCCGGTTAACACAGTTCATCCATGTGGAGTAAACACTCCTATGTTTGTTGCCGCTGGGTCGAAGAGGAAATGAATAGCATGCTGGCCACTGTGCCACTTGGACAATGGGCTGAGGTTGTAGACGTTGCTGCCCTGGTGACTTTCCTCCGCAGTTCTGATGCACGGTTCATCACAGGAGGAGCTCTGAAGGTGGATGGAGGGATTGTATTGTATTGAGTTATCTTAGTCTCCTGCACAAGTACGGAGTAGGTACTTCAATAACAATGTTCCTGTAGTCCAATTGAAAGCAAAAGGAACATTGAAATGAGAACTTGAATGACAGTGGAGAATTGAAGAACAAAGAAGCAAAAAACCAAAAATGACCTCGACGTGACTCGAACACGCAGCCTTCAGATGGTACCAGTCGGCGAACCAACGATATTGGAATCTGACGCGCTATCCAGTTGCGCCACGAAGCCACCGATGATGTCATAGGTGACGCGTTAGCCATCATGGACCAATTGAGTATTGTTTGGTCTAAACTGGTTGTTTACTTCGCCCAACTTCATTGTTCAAATTTCTATTTCCAAGTCTCTATCTCCATCTTGCTCTTGAACCTTGGAAGTCATGTTACTAATAATTTCCATATTCCAGAAATTCAGTGTGACTCCAATTCCCTGCGTATATTTTATTTCCAACCTTCCAACCTTCAAATGTTCAAATTCGGTGTTTGAACTGGAACTTCAAGTTGAAGCAAGTCCGGGTCTCCAGGGCACCTGGATATATGTATTACATAGTGGGTAGCCTGATCTATTCCCAAACAGAACTCTCCACAACTCCGAGTCAAGCATTTGAGTGCCCCGAGTCCGATTTAACAAGCGAAATCTTGGAGAGAGTTTAAAATGCTCATTTAACTGTCTCATATCAATCTATTAACATTTGAAGGATCCAAAATTTGAAATGACACCTTGGAAGGATTGTGTGGTGTCCAAATCGGAGTCTCACGGAAACCGATCGGCTATGCAATGCGATGAAATGAGGGGGTGCACATCGTCCCCAAAATTTGAAGCCTGATTCCAAGGTTTGCATGTGAAATCTCTCCTCAATCTTACATTTCTTGAACAGAAACATTTCAGATGCCCAAGTGTTGAAATATTGAAAATGGCATCAATAAAACCCGATCGTACCGTTGTGTACAAGACAGTAGGATCTCTCCAGATTCCTATGGACATATTTCTACCGAAAAATGTCAGAAACGCACCAGTGATTTTATGGTTTCATGGTGGTGGATTACTGTAAGCCAGGAAATCCCTTCATGAAAAACAATGATTCCCGTACCAATAACATTTGAACGCACTCAGTCAAGGATGCCGCGACTCTATTGCCCCTTACCAGAGGGATGGAGTTCAAAAATATGGCTATGTCTGCATCTCAGCCGATTATCGCCTGGCGCCACAAGTGAGCGTGGGTGAGGTGTTCGAAGATGTGAAAGACTGCATTCGATTCATTCGCAATAACCTCTCGTGTCTTCTCGGGGAAGGTTTGGTAGATGCCTCACGTCTTGCAGTTTCCGGTAGCTCAGCTGGAGGGTTTCTCACTCTACTTGCTGGTCTTTACATCGATCCCAAGCCACATGTTATTATACCCATTTATCCAATCACCGATCCACTGGGTACATTTTTCAACAAATCCCAGCCAGCACCAAATGGGCGCTATTCGGCCTCAGAAGAGGAAATGGCAGTCCATCTGGACGTGAACGCACCCCCGATAGCTAACAGCGGCAAAGCCCCCGAAGATCCACGCAGTAACATGTATGTGTATATGCTGCGGACAGCGACGTTGGCGCAACTATGGGGAGTAGCTGGAAACGAGGATGATGTGGCTCCGTATAGGATCTCCCGACGGATTCATGAGTACGGTCTGCCACCCACGTATCTATTGCACGGAGATGCAGACACAGCTGTTGGAGTCGAGCAGTCGGATGAAGTTGCCGGTGCGATCCTTGGATGTGGGGGAACTCTTGAGTATGAACGTCCCCACGGGGAGGATCACTTCCTGGATAAAGAGGATGACTACCAGAACGACAAGCTTTATAACTTTGTGATGAGATATCTGTAAGGTCTCGTCGGAGAATATGCTCTTTCAAGTTCATGTGAAACATAGAAAATCAGATTAAAAATAATTTGAATATCATTTCATTCATCTGAGCTTCGTAGGAAACCAGCCCAATAGATAAGTAGTAAGAGCTACTAAATTTTCATTCATACTTCTTGCCATGTCCACCAGAATCGTAGCACATAATCTTAAAATTTAACATCAGGATGAAAAAAGAATTCCAGTGCTTTTCATCCCTTTGGTACTTGATTCACAATATCAAACCCGGATATTGGGACATTAAACATCATCAGTCCGTGTTCTCGCTGTCTTCTCATAAATCAGTTGGAACAACTCGGCATGACAGTCCAACGGCCTGTTCCAGCAGCCATCTCATTGTGTCCACGACATGGCGAAGTCGTAAATATTATCTTGGAACGAACTCTTACTCCTCTTAACATGATTTTGTGACGTGGAATTGCAGTAAATCTAGCCAGACTTACAGCCACACTGGGTTAGACTTGCAAATTTTGCACATCATCAATGTCCCACACGCATACTATGCTTAAAGTAGCCATTCTTTCCTAAGGTCAATCATTGTCATTTAGCGTGCATTTTTCTCGTTTCTTATTCCCGAAATTGTGTCATTTATTTACTGCTGAATTTGGGACTAAATTAATCAGGGATGAGTCAGACTAGAATCCTGCAACATCTAAATTAACTCCAAATTCCTCTTCCTCGTCGCTGTGTACGTCATTGATGCCATTGAATTATTCTCAAAATAATGACAAATTCTCTTTATCTTGGAATCGTTGGCATGTATACCAGACTTCTCCCTAGTGTACCCGTACTAACAAAAAAGCAGGGGTTGGAGGAGTGGGAACAGCCTTATTAGAGCAACCTGGGCGAATTTCCAATCCACCTAAGTTGGTGTTACTTTCCCGCTCAACGAAGACATTAGTAGTGCATACTCCGTCATACTCGCCCAGTATCCCTTTTGAAGCCTGGGAAGTTGCTGCGGCTGCACCATCAATAACTACCGTCGACGCTCTAACGCCAGAAGAGATAGCCGCGTATCTTGGTTCGGCTCCTGGCCGATCGATTTTAGTTGACAACACTTCGGATCTCACGCTCGCAAAGGCCTATCCGATATTTTTGAGACAGGGAATCTCTGTTGTGACCCCAAATAAAAAGGGGTTCTCGGCTGATATCTCGCTATGGAATGATATCTTTGCTTCAGCAGTGCAGGGAAATGCATTGGTATACCACCAAGCAACAGTGGGAGGAAGTTTACCAGTCTTATCAACACTGCGAGACCTAATCGCTACGGGTGATGAGATTGTTAAAATCGAAGGCGTACTTTCTGGCACTCTATCGCTTCTCTTTGACACATTTATGCCAGCGGCGGGGAAGTCGGATGCGAAGTGGAGTTCTCTTGTAGCTCACGCGTTGCAAATTGGATTTATGGAGCCTGATCCACGCGACGATTTGAATGGTATGGACTTTGCGCGAAAATTAACTATTCTTGCGCGCGTCGCTGGCATTCAAGTTACCGGCCCGGAGTCCTTCCCTGTCACATCGCTCATTCCTAATGCACTCTTGTCTCTTCCCTCATCTGCTGAAGGTATTGCTCAGTTCATGCGTGATCTACCTAATTATGATGAGGATATGGAGGTGGCAAAATCGCAAGCTGAGAAAGAGGGCAAGGTTCTGCGTTATATTGGCAGCATTGTTATCTCGACTGGTGAAATTCAGGTTGGTATGCGACACCTTGATCGAGATAATCCGATCGCAAATCTCAAGGGAAGTCAGATTGTAAGTATTTATACGAAGAGATATGGGGCAAATCCCCTGGTTCTGAAGGGTGGTGGTGGAGGTGGTGAGGTCACTGCAATGTGCGTGATGAGTGATCTTCTGAAGGTTATGGAGAGATTGGCGTGAAATTCTCCAGACTGAGAGAAATTGAAACAACTGTATAGATGATCATTTTCAGATTAAAAAAGTCAATTCTATACACCATGTTCTATCCGAATAATAGCATTTCTCTCATTATAGGATGAATCACTAACTTTAAAAGACTATATCGCACATTTCTGCAACAATCTAATTCTTCAACAAAATTCCTTTCTCCCGCCGGTTTATATCTATGCGTCAACTTGCTCATATCTCTCTTCAATTGGCTTCTCAATTCGCTCGGTGTTGATCGTGCGATGATATCCAGGAAATACGGTTTTACCACGGGTCTCAAAAACACCGCCTGTGATACCACCTCGCTCGAACAGGTGGTCAACATCCTCCAATTCGAGGCCCTTCGTTTCAGGGAAGAAGAAAAAGACCATAGGAATCTGTTCTTGTTAGCTTCGATTTTAGGCTCCTTTGTATCGTTCGGGGAACATACCCATGCAAAACAAAAACAAGCGAAAATAATGAAAGTTTTCCATGAGATATTATCGATCGCAGTAGGTGTCACTTGCACCACAATAACTTGAAAATGATAAGTATCAGGTTGATATTTGCGTTATCCAGAATAGACTTACAAACACAGATCCAGTTGACAAATCCAGCGAAGGCTTGGCCTCGGGCTCGAATGCGTGTAGTCGTGATTTCACTAGGGTAGAACCTGTGTCAAAGTTAGAAGTTTGCACGGTAGGCGATAAGACACAACGAAAAGACATGAAGAAATACCAAGGCACAGGTAGATATCCGAAGCCGAGGAAGATCTGGAAGAGGAAGATGAAGGCAGTCGCAGCGTATGCACATGTCTGGGTGCCAATAGACAGTAAGACTGCTACCAGAATAAAGCAAGTACTGAGACCAGCAGCCGAGATCATAAGCGATGAGCGTCGTCCAAACACATCCATACTCCATAGGGGGATGATAGATCCGACCAAATAAGAGAGAGATGTACAGCCACTGAGAATCAGAGACAAGTTCCGAGAAAGGCCCACAGCATTTTCGTACACAGTTGGTGCATAATAATTAATCATATTTGACCCTTAAAATAAGTTTAAATTAGTTCATTTCCCGGAAATTTAGGGAGGATGATTCCTACCTGTGAACTGCTGTTGCACATTAACAAGGCCAGCCAGAATCATCCGACGGAAATTCTGAGTCTTTCCTCCAGTCAGAAGTTCCCTGTATTGGAAGGGCCCACCAGCGGACTCAATCTCGAGAGCAGTCTCAATCTGCCGACGGAGATGAACCACCTCGGGTGTAGATTCATCGGCTGGCTGTTGAATTTGGAGACGAGCTAGAACCGAGGCAGCCTCATCGCTTCGATCTTGCTCACAGAGCCAGCGAGGTGTATCAGGAAGGGAGATCATTTGTACTACCAGACAGACCGCGAAGAAGGCTTGGAAACTAATCGGGAAGCGCCACTGTACTGGTGATTCGATGAAACTAAGTCCGTAATCGATCCAATATGCGATACATAGTCCGACCTGAAAATATCCGTGGTTAGCTAGCCCTTGCATTCTCCGTTCCCATAAACCTGGTACTCACAATTGTAACAGTTCCTTGTGCGGAAAGAAGCCGACCACGACGTTCTGGCCGAGCCATCTCTATAAAAAGTCAGTCAGTAACTCCTTGGTTGCATCGTCTTCGCGCTATTACTTACCACTCTGATATGTTGGGACGGTACTGCTGTTGATCCCGTTACCAAAACCAGTCACAACACGTCCAACTAAGAACTGTGCCCGTGTATACGAAGAGCCTAAAATGATGGTGCCGATGACCATGATTGCGCCTCCTGCCATGATCATCTTCCTTCGGCCCAATTTGTGGCCGACGACGAAGGCGAGTAGACATCCGACCGCACAACCAATATCATAGATCGATGTTACTGCCAGTGGGAGATGAGTTAGTCAAGACAGAATTTTCAAAAGACTCCATGTTCAAATGTTATATCATGAGCTCACATATTCCTTGTATGTTGGAGTCTGGATGACCAAACTGTTTTCCAAACTCATTGTTGGCTCCAATCAAACCACTCATAACACCTTGATCATAGCCAAGTAGGAGAAAGGCTTGACAACTCGCGGCTATATGGGGTTAGCATTGTTAAATACCAACTGGTGTACAAATTATAACTGAAAATAATACTCGAACATACCTGTCACAGCCCAATTCAAATATCTTCCACGAAGTTGGCCCATATTGCAGTCACGTCTTCAAAGAAGCATAGCACAGAATATGAATCGATAGATTTCAATGAGAGGAGATTCCGGGGTCCTAGCAGGTTTTCATCCTCTCCACAAATTGATACATGATGATCATGGTAACCTCGTGGTGTTGATAGACCGAGAGTTGGCTTCTCGGTTCACATTATCCCGGCGTTACATTGGCATTGGCTCGTTAGAGAGCAAGATCCGGGGATATGTGGAGTCGAACGTGGAATCACCCCGCACAACTGTGGATTGACGCGGCCAGTTCAGGGTGCAGGATAAGTACATGTAAGTAAAATTCGGCAAGGATAACTAGGCTTCGGCAAGGGCTTGGTGGCTTCTCGAATCCTTCACCGGGAGTCCCGCTACCGAAGCCACCGAAGCTTCTTTTTAGGGGTCATTATGGACCTTGTAATGAGCTCGCGGAATGCCGACCCTGGACTGGAATTCCACTTGGAAAAAAAAGATCACATATTTGAAGAAAAACTACATGCGGTAATGTCAAGCTTATCCCGATGTTAGGACAGGCTTCATTTAATTTAATACACTAATAATTCCTGAGAGAGCTTGAGACCAACGCTATTTGAATAATTTTTGACCTCATAATCACGTGCTACAGCTTCTTTTTGAGCGCTGTATATTCAAAATTTCTCGTCCTCGTTAACCTTCAATGTCCAGATGTTAATTAAGACGACACCTTGATCAAGTCTAAGAGCACACCCCGAAATCAGTGGCCAATCAATCGATAATCCTTTTATTCGATCACGATTATCCCATACTTTCTCTAGTCATTGAGGGCAAAAGAAAGTATTTCATTTGTTTGAAATTGTAGCACTTGAAAGAGCCTAGCTATCCATTGAGCATAGAAAAGATGAATCTTTGTTCCAAGGTTGGAGAATTTCAGTAAGGGGATGTACCTGGCAGTGGCCGATTCATGTAAGATACACCACTTGGCAAACAACTACCCTGCACCATATACTTCGACTCGGAGTATGACCTTGAAAAATTACCACAGAATTCATTTTAAATCGTTTTTTTCTTTTTAAATTATGTTATGTATCGCGATGCGAAATCGCGTGCAGGAGGTGTCTAGTAGCATCTACTACCTAATACCCCAGGTATTGAAGGGCCCGCTGCGGGGAACACTGCCGTGGCAGTCTGGACTGGCAGATACACACCACGACTCCACACCCTAGCTCTATACAGGACAACCATAATTTCAATGTACAAAACGTTCACCCTCAGAGAATACAATATACGAATCCAATCATAATAGAAATAGAATTTGCGGGGAAGAATAACTAAACTCATATCGATAGGGCGTCACAGTGACATCACCACCCGTAAAACGAAGATGACGTCCTAGCACGATTTGAAAGCCGACCCCACAAAAACGAATGAAAGAGTGCGTTGAAAGCATTGAAAAACACCAAAGACAAAGGGAATAAGTATGAAAAATCATAATTCTCATCAGCCCTCACATGAATATCAGAGGCAGGGGGATGAAATCTGATAGACACGCCATTGAGCCCGCGTAATCCCCAACCCCCCAAGGACACGTATAATAGGAAAATCAAGTAGAGCGTGGATCTTCATCTTCCTCAAGAATACCCTGAGAAATCAGTTCCTCAGGTCCAGGCCGGTTCTGAATCTTGTGTTCCAGATTATCGGCGAGCATATGGCGCTCGAGGTCGCGAGCATGAGCCTGAAGGGCTGGAGCGGTATTGGGGGCGGGGAGAATGTTGCCTTTGTTAGTTAGTATACTGCCATACCAACAGCTTTGTAGGTAAAAGGGACATCTAAGATCAACAATCCATGTAATTTCAAAATGAGGGGAAAGGAAGAAGAAAAAGGAATATCAGGGAGATATACGTTCCACCAGCTCGTCCCTTCCAGGTCGCTTTCCCAGATTCTTCTTTAGTTCATCTGTGGCACGCTGCCGGGCAAGCTCCTGATGGGCGGCTTGCAGAGATCTGTTGAACCATCAGGAGTCAGTTATTGTAATAGCACCTTGTGGGTCAGATTGGAACGGGTATGTTCCATACGGAGCAACATTGGTGTCCAGCAAGATGTGGCGGTCTTTGAGGTCCTGAATCTCCGGGCGGGTCTGAAGGTGCTTCTCAAGGGAGTTGCGACGCTCAAAGGGGGCGATGCCCAGGGAAGTCTCGTCAATAGGCATGATGATAAGGTGATTGACACTGAAGAAGGAATGTGTTGAATAGATATAAACCCAGAATAGAAGGGGGTTGAGAGGTTCTTAAGGTTCTTAGGGGAGAAAGGAAGTTGAGGAAGTGACAAAGTCAAGTGATGTTTGTCCCACGGGACTGTCACGCGGGGAACTTCAACTTTATTTTAATTAAGAGGATTTAAGCCCCATTAACAACTTTGACAGTTAAATTTACGGCAATTTACGGTAAGAAATTATGTAAGATAACTGATGCGATTCATTGATAAATCAAGGTCTCAGGGTAGATATCGGGAAAAATGCAAAATCCACTATCAAAAGCATGATCCTCAAAAATCACACTGCAGGCAGAGAGAATGAGGGGAAATGGAATGAAGAAAACAAAAAGGAAGCAAAAGAAACTTCTCGCAAGCGGGAAGAAGAGAGATAGAAAAAAAAGAAAAGAGGCTCACGGCAACCCGTCACTGATTTCTTCCAGGGGGAAATTCCAGGGGTAGGAAAAAGCACACGTAGGGCTCCTCGTAGGAAAAGAAATAGCCTCCAAACAGCAGTCCCCACCACGAGTCGAATCGAATCGAATCCTCCAATGGATTGATCGCGTTCGGGTTTGCGACTATGTTGTCGATGTGGTATGGGAAGTCATACTGTGGAATGCGTGTGTGAAGGGGAAGCACATAGCGAGAAGGAAAGACGTCCTGCAGACAAGCACAATGACGGCATATTTCCTCTATTATGTGAGGTGCCTGTCCTGTGAAAGGGAAGAAGACAAATTCGTGTCCAAACCCGACTGGTTCTAGATGCATTGATTCATAAAATGGTCACTGGATCTGCCAAGATCCACAAGGGAAAGCGGATCTCAGTAGATCTGGTTGTGTATGATCAAGGAACCCAAAGCTTACCGCGTCCACGTCCATTTCCTCGAGCTGCACCACGATTTTTCCCACCGCGACGTCCATTAGGACGGCAGGGACCTCCGGAATTGCCGCGGGAAGGACCTTGCTGGTTGTTGGTATCTGCGGTCGGGGCAGGCTTGCTGGGTCCACCTAGGGATCGACTGAATGAATTTGGATCGATAGGTTGAGTTGGGACCTCAATGGCCTTAGGTTCGGGCGCGGGCACGGCCGCGGGCACGGGTGGTTTGGGGGTGGTCTTTGCGGCAGCCTTGCGAGCTGCCCCGCCTCGAGCACCAGCACCACGAGAGGGAACCTTGCCATTGCCACGTCCACGGGGAACAAACACCAATTCATCTTCGTCACTGTCTTCCTCATAAGAAAGGAGAGTCTTGGGTTCCGAAGTCTGAGTTTGAGTCTGGGTTTGTGTCTTCTCGACGTATTTGCAGCGATTCTTGTACTCGCGCTCCTCGTACTGAATCGCAGTGCGCAACTGCAGGATATTCTTCACGCCAATCCCGAACTTCTGAGCCCATGCTTGAGTCGCATTGTCGTTGGATACAAGAATGCAACTTTTGGCGGAATTCTCGGCGTCCGGGCCACTGTGCAACCGCCACAAAAGAGCACGCAGCAACGGGCGCAGAGCGACCGGGGCCGAGGGAATGGTGGATGCAGACAGGGTACGTTCATGGCCGGGCTTGAATTTCTCGGATTTCGGTGCGCTGACATTCTCGTGCTGGGCACATTCGGGGCTGGTGCGTGAGCTTCGGGAAGAGGTGCGCGAGGCTGGCCCACTTGGGGTACCGACCGAGTTGATGGAGGGGGCCTCGGGTTCCTTCTTGAAGTTCAATTTACTGAGCAGCATCTGCGACAAATCCTCGGTTCTAGTAACACCAGTAGTACCCTGTTCCTCGATAATTGGCTCGGCGATTTCGACGTCAGCGGCAGCATCTGCGTCACTGGGGGCCTCGGGTTCCTCCTCGAATTCCGGTAAGAAGAATTTCTCCGCATCCTCCCAGCGCTCGTACTGTTCCATCGGACCCTGGAGGGTGACTCTTTCAGCGGCGATATGGTCCTTTCCAGAAGTAACTCGGTCAAGAAAGCGAACGGCCTCGCGAGCATTGATGGCAACCTGCGATCCCGCCCGCTTCAATGCATGCAAGCGCTCGAGGGCTAGAGATAGGAAAGTCAGTAAACTAATGCTTTCGGCATGTCAAAACTCCAAATTTCATGTAGCCCAAAATGAGTCAAAGTGAAGACCTACTGTAAAGAGGGACAATGAGGTCGATGGCACCGTTGGTGGTCCATTTCTTGATCTCGCTAATGTTGGTGGTTAGAGCCGTCTCGTCCACGGCGCAATGGAAGACCTTGCGCCCGGTCGACATGGCGAGAAGAAACGAATGTCGGTCGAATAATGCAATGGAATTTTAGTTCTGCCCTATACAGGGGAACTAGTAAGGTAGACAGCCGCGACTAGGAAGGGGAACTATCGGGTCAGCAAAAGAGATCCCACGAAGGAGGGTTGGGCGGGATCGAAGGCTATGAGAATGTGGGGACGGCGGGAGGTTGGGAACCGTTTGAAATGACTCACTGTGTAGAAGCAAGCAGGGACTCATCTGCAGCATCTTTAAAATGGTGCAACCCAGGGGAAAGCCGTGATGTGGGGATTGCGAGATCAAAAATGAGTCGATTCTGTCCGTCGAGCTGAGATGCGAATGCTGACTAAGCGCGCTACCGGGGCAGAAAATAGCAACTATAACAAAGAGAGAATAAAGAGATGAGAGAAAGAAGTTGGTTCTATTATGCATTCGGGACATCATTGAAAGTCGATAGAGAAGAAAGAACTGCCGCCAAAGGTGAAGCCAAAAACGAAGCCAACCAGCCCAGCCTATCCAGTTCCATGCCCGTCATCCGTCACTTGCCCGTCACCGCAGCTCTTACTGCTTCACCTTCTTGATGAGACCATCTGACTCCTTCACTCGTTGAGCCCATTCGCTACGAAGTGTTAGTATATAGTTTCAAATAGGATTATAGAGAATAATATAAGGAGTTAGGAATTGGGGTGGTACTTACGTCCAGCTACCATCGTAGACTCGGCGCAGGTTGGGCTCACCATATTTGGCTTCAGCCAGCGCAGTCTCGATAATAGTAGCAGTAACTCCAGTTCCACATGAGCTGATAATTGAGCGTGTGGGATCCACTTGGCGCTCTTCAAAAATCTTGCGCAGTTCCTCAGGCGAGCGATATGTCTTGGTCTCCGGGTCCAATAATTCCTGGAACGACATGCTCTTAGAACCAGGAATGTGGCCAGATGACAGGCCCGGGCGCGGCTCGGGATCAGTACCAGCCCAACGACCATATGAGCGAGCATCCAGAATCTCAACTTCTTCAGCGCCTTCCTTGCCATAATCCAATGCCAATTCCTTCATCTCACGGAAGGAGATCACCAGCTTGGAGTCATATGTCGGAACAGGATACTTGCTTTTTTCGACCGGGGCAAAATCACCACTTTCAGTTGGTAGCCCCTCGCGATTCCACAATCGATAATTGTTAAGTAGGTGCACATTCGGATGGCCGAAGACACGCAGGGTCCAGCCCACACGAGGGGCACTGAAAATTCCCAGCTCTGCAGTATCGTAAACAACCACTTCATCGTCGCGACGGATACCCAGTTCACTCATTGCTTCGGCGAATGTCTCACAGGTCGGCAGCATGTGAGGGTAGGGTGAATCATTATCTTTGACCGCATCGATATCGAAAAAGCGAGCCTGGGGAATACGAGACTGACGGAATGATTCAATGCCCGTACGTCCTTCTGGATCATTTGGCATAAACCAGGCAGCACATAGAGGGATAACTCGCGGTGAGGTGGAAATCTTGGTGGGCGGGTTCTTCTTCAAAGCTTCGTTCAGTTCCTTGGGGGTGACTAAGTAGGAAGAAAATGAGATTTGGCGAGTACCGTTGGGAATTTGAGCAGCCATGGTTGAGCGAAGTGCACAAAACGAACGAAATGCCGAGAAAGCCATGATATTAAAAAGGAGGGGAGTGACGAGATAAGTGGGCTTACTCGTCTGCTATGAAACGGAGGAGTGTGGAGCTGGCGTGAATTGGAGTGCGGAGAAACTCATGTGATAACGAAGCCGATAACGATAACCGGCCGATAAACAAACCCGGGCTTATCGGTGATTTCTCCCTTTGCAATCCTTCCATGATTTTTGAATTGATTCCTCCATCACATCAACCATGAAGGTCAAGCTCAAGAAATGGAATGCCATTGCAACCTGGCATTGGGATATGCCCGAAGATGAAGTCTGTGGTATCTGTCGTGTCCAATTTGACGGAACCTGTCCGACCTGCAAATTCCCGGGTGATGATTGTTCTCTCCGTAAGTCGCAATCAATCTATTTCTCCGATTCCTGACTAATAGCTTCTGTTAGTACTCGGCAAATGTGGCCATTCATTTCATATGGTAAGACCCAGAAGTCAAGTTTCGCGCGGGGTATTTACAACAAGGCTGACGGACATGGGGCTCCGTTCCCCGGCTATTAACAGCATTGCCTCTTGACCTGGATCGAGCAAGAGACGTCCAAGGGCCTATGTCCTATGTGCCGACAAAGTATGTATTGAGAATTCTCGCATCCAATTTGGAATTTATTGATTGCTAATTGTCTATAGAATTTGAATGGAAGCAAACTGAGGAGTAATGCCACCTGTGTGTTTGTTTACATGTTGCTCTATGATGGCGTTTAGTGGGTAGTTTTAAGGATACTCTTTGGTTTGAGATGGCAGGATTCCGCTATCTTTGCATATTTGGCGTGCTATGAGGTTCTTACCGTGCTGGTCTAAGTGGTTATTGTTTCATGGTTTATTGGGGATGTGTAACACCCCACCAATAAGGATATCCATACAGGAATACAATTTTCTTATCAAATTTTGATTTATAAAGCTCATTGTCATGATTTCTGTTGAGCAAGGCTAATGAGAATATGTGGAGGTTCTGTTGAAGAGACTGCGAATTAAATCTTTCTTTTGAATGAACCAATTCTAATATTGAATCACGTCAGACACTAAGAACGACCGATGTCCAGCGGGGCAAAAGCTCATGAACACTGGGTGATGCTAATGGTATAGCTACTGCATACATTATTTCTTGCATAGTATCCCCCAGGGCTGAACTTAAGCGTCATGTTCAAGCCTCATAGTATTGGACTGTCCAATACCACCTGGGCATACATACCTCCAGGGCTATGTATGACCTCAGATCTTTGGACATAAGTCATGCCGCGGCAGTACTGAACCGAATTCTCGTCGTAGTCTGCCCATTTGAGTAATAATTCCAGTTAAACAGATTACCAAGAATCAGTAACCATTTTGCTCTTTTGTCATCGCGGAGCCAGCTTTCAACCAGTTGTAATATCTTGACAGTTGGATCCTGGCGCCTGGAAATTTAGGCCTGGTTGGCGATCCGGCAACTTTGCTCGAACCGAGCCACGTTGCTTGAATGGCCTCAGAAAACTCATGTCGTCGGTAATTGGCATCGGACTCGATAAGAGTATTCGATACTAGGTTGTGATTTGCTGTCGATTGCCTGCTGTTGATTTTCAGCACTACCTAGCTTATATACAATCCGCTAATTTATTAACACTAACCCGACACCGCCAATGCCCACAAGGGCTATTATCGACCCTGGGACCGAGATCTTCTCGTGTATCTGATCGCAGCGTGTCGCCACTGACAAAGTCTAGGTAAGGGGGCTAGTGGATTTTCCAGTTGCTCCGGGTAAGCGGTGATTAGTTAATTTTAGTTGGTAACATACTATCCGATAAATTTCGGGGCGTTAAGATATATTCGGGCTCGACAAATTATGTGAACTCTGGGCGTGACGTATTGGCGGTGGGTCGCCCACACCGCGGCTTTGTCTAGCCAGTGCAGACAGCCTAGATCCGACCCTAGTGAAGTGCACTGGGGATAGAATCAGGATTCGGCAACAGACCTTCAAATATTTGGTATTAATCTGTGGGCCTAACTAGGATCAATAGATACGACGTGCAGATGGCCTTTGTTGATTGGTTTCCGGGATAGGAATGCTATGTACCGGACAACAGTTCTTCCAAGGTTTCAGGACACCCAAATGAAGACTCGGAGTATCATCACTTGAGGTGTTCCCCGACAAGAATAATTAAAACATAGATACGTACAGGCTTATATAGATGTCCTCCTCCCCTCCGACCAGCAGCAGCACACACCCTCCTAATCTCAATACCATCCTTTAAGAACACACAATCAATCCATTCATCCATCCATCCATCTATTCATTATGGCTACTACCTCCCGAATCTGGCTTATCACTGGCACCTCATCCGGACTTGGCCAAGAGTTGGCTAAAGTGGCCGCCCAGGGCGGGGATCGCGTGTTAGCTGCCACACGTAGTCCGCATAAATTAGCCAAGCTCGAGTCAACCAACCCTAACATCAAGGCTGTCTACCTAGACCACAACGAGCCCCCAGCCCAGATCCAGGCAGCGGTCCAGACTATCCTAGCTGTCTATGGCACGGTCGACATTATCGTCAACAATGCCGCCTACGTGCAGACAGGCATGCTTGAAGAGGCCACCCCAGAAGAGACTCAGCGTCAGTTCCAAGCCAATACCTTTGGCCCTCTTAACCTTTACCGCGCCCTGCTGCCACACCTACGCGCTAAGGGGTCGGGAACTTTGGTCACTATCGGCTCCATGGCCGCCTGGTACCCTATGGCTGGCTGCAATTTCTATAACGCCTCTAAGGCCGCTCTGCGCTGGCTCGGACTTGGGCTGGCGGGTGAAATCTCCCAGTTCGGTATCCGCCACTGTTTAGTCGAACCGGGCTTCTTCCGCACCGAGTTACTGAATTCGACAGCCAATATTACTATGACCGCAAAGTCATCGCGTCTATTGGCCTACCAGGAGGTAAACGACACCACCGACTCCAACTTCGCCGCTTTTAACGGTGCCCAGTTGGGTGACCCTGTAAAGGGCGCCCAAGTCATCTACGACGTCGCCACCACGGGAGTCGCCGAGGGTAAACCTCTACCTGTTTTCCTACCCTTGGGGAGTGATTCCAGCGAAGAGATTGGCAAGGCCGCATCTGAGACCTTGGCAGCGATTGAGGAATGGCGGGAGATTAGTTCTTTGACGGACTTTCCCAAAGGTTCGTAATTATGATGTACCCGGTATCATAGCTTCAGTATACACCTAGGACTTATTCTTGGGATTCAGCTAGTAATTCCAAAATGTTCGTTAATTGTTGCGAGAATATTCTGTACTGTCTAGATTGAATCCTATGATTCCAGCTTACTACATAGGGCATATAGATGCCCAGGTGAGAATAAATGATTCTATTGGCTAAGATAAAGTATCACCGGACCCACATTGGGACCACGTGATATTATCGATAAGAACCGGGGTCTAGAGCTCCCGAGCTCCGACTCTACGAAGTACGGTCGATCATCCATCTCCAACACTGAGAGATGTAGTAACCGAAATGTCTTTGAACAACCCAACCCAGCCCATTTCCTACTCATCAGCTCAACCGGAAACCTCACATGAAATATCTTCTCCCCGAGCGGAAGATATACATCCTCAAGAAGATCAAGAGCAAACCACAGACCATGTCACATCCCCGCACGGAACAGCAGAGGAACCCGGAACCGCAGCTGAAGCCCACGATGCAACCACCCAACCAGCAACTTTCCAGCCTTTCTTCACATTAATAGAAGACACACAGCTGGGGGAGTACCGCCATCCAACAGTACACTATATCTTCTCCGACGACGACATAGACATCATTACAGCAGCAGCTCTCCGCAGTCTGGAGACCCAACAGGATGCGCTGTCCAGCAGCAAGAAAGAAGAACTCCATATCGAAGAGCACGGGACGCCAGAACAAGAAAAGTCCTCCCTCCTTCCACCACCTATCCCCGGTGTACGAGAGAACTACCTCGTTCTAGACGTGGAGCCCGTGCCCGCACCAGAAAATACTATAACACCAATACCCACACAACCTACGGGTCTCGTGAATCCCGGTCCCTCAAATACTATATCTACCCTCCCCCGCGCAGCAAAGTCCTCTGGGCGCAGTGGCAGGAGCCTCAGTGCCACCCCAGTTCCGCGTCACATCAGCAAAGAGCTTTTCGCCAACATGGCAAGTTCTTCAGAGTGAGATATCCCCGGCACCGACTTTTGAGAATGATGCTGTGGGAGAGACTGGTGGACATGGGTTCATGCTGAAAATTCAAGGGACCGGTGGATTACCTTATATCTCTGACTCTGGGAAAGAGACTGGACCTCGGCGGCTGGAGGAGATGATGGATCAATTCGCGAAGAGAATGGCAGAATTGCAGACTATAATCGATGCTGAGGAGGTGGCAAGTACGAAAATCCAGGACGAAGTGGATCAAGAGGAGGAGAAGGAGAAAGGAAAGGACAAGAGCGAAGGGCTCACTGAGGATGCGCCACCGGGAGACACTGACGAGAAAGATGCTGTGGATCAGCAACTGCAGATATAATGGCCTGCGTATGTATTTTGAGAGTGATGCCTTTACGAGCATGGCGTTCCTGGTCCCTTTGACTAGCATTGGTTTTACATTAACGATACCATCAATCTACTTCAACATTTTCTTCTTCAAGGTTGACTTATAGCTTGCTCAAACGGAGAAATTTAAAACCTGAAATAGAGATTCAACCCCAGTGAGGTATTTGATTAAGACCAATTGGGGTCAAGTTAAAACTACATCAATAGATGTCTAACCAACCAACGCCATGTTGAAAATGCATCTTCTATCAAATCAAAGACAATGGTAATTCAATGAAAGACAACAAAGAGAGAAAAAGGATCGAGTAGTCAATGAGTGAAGTATGCTACAAATTTATCCGGAAACTCCAGTTCACCAAGAACCAGCGACATTGGGTATCAAGTATCGTGATATATGCCACATTCAAGCGATGAGACACAAAAGAAAAAGAGAATCGAAAGGGAGGAAAAGGAAGGGAAAGAAAATAGAATGTGTCCAACTAGTTGGATGGAGGATTACGGGTATACCGTCGGCCTCCTGGGACACCAGATAGGGGAACATTTTCGCGACCCTCCATCATGCTCGGCAGTTTCTTGGAGAGCATTTTCTGAGGCCGCTTAGTTTCCGCAATACTTGCTGTGCTCTGAGATCTAGACTGTCGACGCTTGACAGGTGGCTGCTCAGACTCGTCCTTCTCGGGCGTTGATTTTAAATTCGCCAAAGCGTCCTGCGCCTCGGTGTTAGGCTTGGTAGCCTGGGTGTTATCTTCGGCGAGGTCGGAGGTGACAGGCTTTGCGACGTTAATATCGACCTCCCTAAGGCCGCTATTGTTATAAATCGCAGGGTTTGGTGAAGGCTGAGCCTCGACTGGCTCTACGGGATCACTGAAGACGAAGTTCTTGGACGGAGATGCGGCAGGAGAGCTGGAAATAGTGGCAGTTGGTGTCTCCTCCTCATCGTTGAAGGGCAGAGCAGTAAACTGTTTGGATGTTCGGTGGCGAGAACGAAGACGATCATGCGGTTCTGTGCGTGGCAAAGAGGCAGGATACTCATATTTGCGTTTCTGAGGAGTAACACCGGTAGGAATGTATTCCTTCATTGGGTGGCTTTGCATAGTTTCTCGGAGGGCAGCCAGTGGCCGGCGTACCTCTCCTTGTAAAGGTGTGGTGGAGTCTTTCAAGCCTGTTGTATGCAGGTTGGCATCTTGTCGAAGTTGACCAGCGCGTTCGCTAAAGCCATCCAACTGGGTTTGCATAGCAGCGCGGGAGTCCCGGACATTCGTGGTGATCGCGGCGAGGCTAAGGAGTTGTGCTTCGTGGAAGTGACCGTTTTGAGAACGAGCCTTCGCAACAAAGTCGTCAAGGGCTTCCATTTGCTTGCTCATGTCGCTCATCTGGGCGTCTACAATACGCACCGTTTCTTGATGGACAGACTCAGTAGCACGTTGAATGGAGACATTGCGCTGATCAAAGGCTTCCCAATCATTTTGCATCTTGGTCTTGATCTCAACCCTGGATGCCACGACATCTTTCGCAAATTGCTCCTCCTTGAAAACCCATTCATCAACTTGTCGGTCATATTGCACTGTGGCTTGCTCGAGGGAATCCCCAGAGGCGGAAATATCTGTGCGCAATCGATCCATTTTGTTCTTAATGCGGCCTGACTGCCTTTGGCTTGAGTCCTCTAGCATATGACGGATCTGGGATAAAAGGCTGTCTCGCTCGGTTTGGGCATGCGTCTGCTCTTCCTCCCATACCTGGGCTAGGTTGGAAGAAGCTTTGCGGCTTGCCTCTACGGCCTGGTGGTTGGATTCTTGCAGTTCATGACGGAGGCGGCTGATCTCAGTCTTCTGTTGTTCCAGATGCTTTGCCATATTCTCAAAAATGGTCTTGAAATCCTTTCCTAAGGAGCTGTAGGAAGAGTGCAGCTGAGAGTGGAAGTCTGAAAATTCACCAATAACTTCCTCCGAAATACGTGCAGCTGCAGCCGAAAGTCCATTGAGGCCCTCTCCAACCTTTGATTTCACCTCTTCACGAAGAACTTTGATCTCTTCGAGAACCTCATTCATTTCGTCATGAGCCCCGCTGGTTTGCCTTATGGCGGCAGCTTCCACCTCCTTGAAGACTGAATCAGATTTTTGAAGCTTGGTGCTAGTCGATTTGATGGTCGTCATTTCATTGCCGACGAAGTCGTAGATGCGACTTGACATACCCTCAAGGAGTTTTGCGTGTTGTGTTTGAAAGCTTGCCATGCGTGCATCAATTTGCTGTGTAGCAGTACAGACTTCTTTGGTAGATATTTGCCAAGTTTGGCGGTTGTCGGTTTCCAGATCATCCTTGCGCTCGATTTTAGCATGCAGCCCATCAACGTCCTCCACGGTGCCGTCCAGGATTGCTAGGAGGTCCTCGCCAAGTTCACGCAGTTTGTTCTCAGTCAACTGATGAGCCTTACGAACTGTCGTCTCCTCATCCAGCTTGTCAGAAGCGCTCTTCAGACTTAGCTCGGTTTGCGCCAAAGCGCCGCGGGTCGATCTGAGCGTGTTCTGAGTGGTTTCATTGTCCTCCTTCAGTGTTTTGAAGCTGCCCGTGAGAGCAAATAATTCCTGAACTTTGTGTCGTAGGCTGGATTCCATTGATTCAATCTTGGCCCGCTGTTCCTCGTTCACAATTCGCCGAGATTCGCTTTCCATAGTCATCTCTTCGTATGAAGCAGGTGTCATATAAACACCGTTACGGTGGCGAGTAGCAATAAGCTCACTCTTGAGCTTTTGGTACTCTATTCCAACTTCACGCAGTAACTTGCTCTTGGCGACAGGTGAGTTAATTTGGGGCTTGTTGCGAATATTTTTCGCCCGGAAAGCGTAATCCAGTGTCGAAATTGTTTCTTCCAGATTGCTTCGCACCGGAGAAACGGTGGCGATGATGCAGGTTTTTGTATGACCACCCAGGGAATCTTGCAATAGTCGTGTGAGTTTCGACTCTCGATAAGGTATATGTGAGCTTCTGTCCACTAGAGCATTGATCACTCGTCCTAGCGTAAGCAGACTCTTATTGATCAGCCCTGCTTCAGCCGCTCGCTTGTTCTCTGCACCACTTCGTCCGATGTTCTCGCTACCAGCCAAATCCACCAAGTTCAGTTTTCCATGGCTGACATAGTCCTCACCGGACTCTGTAGTGCGATTTGTGAGAACCGAAATTGTAAAGATCGTATGACTTCGCGAACTAAGGTCATTGCATTTTGTTGCAGCCACTTGTCGCTTGAGACTGCCGTCCTGTAAAAGTTTGATACCAGAAGAGGCAGAATGAATATAGGTCTCCTCCATTCCTTGGACCACGGTGGATGGTTGACCCTTCTTCTCGTTTTCAAAAATCTTCAACTTCGTGCTGTCATCAAAGGCGAGCAAATCACGCAATTCTTCGTTGTAAAGTTCGATGAAAGAGCACTTGACTGTGCTGTCGGTGTCCTCGAGTTTGTTGAATAAAGAGTAGAGCGTTCTTGGAATAATACCCGCATCGTCTGAGAGAATCCCCAGTGTATCGGTCATATCTCCAGACATTGTATACGTCTTTCCGGTACCGGTTTGTCCGTATGCGAAAACTGTACAGTTGTATCCTGCGAGCATCTACAGCGGTGTTAGCCAGGAATCGCAAAACTCGAGAAAGAAAGACAGTATTCACCTCGTTGACAATTGGCAGCACAGTTTCCTCATACACAACAGTCTGATCTGCAGCTGGCGAAAACACCTTGTCGAAAGCATATGTCTTATTTGAAAGCGAATTGGGTCCCATAGACAGATCCACTAATTTTCCATTAACACCTTGAGTTGACAAGACAACTCCACTGTTCTCCTTGATCTCGCGATCATTACGACCGCGACAGCGTACTACCACATGAATACTGGTATCCTCGTTGATTTCACTTTCGAAGTCCCTCTCCTTTCGCTTTCCCGCCAAGCTTGCCTGGTCAGTGCCAAGTTTGGAAGGGCGCCCGGCGGCCTTTGTACCTAGCGCCGTCGCAGGTTTTGTAGTGACTGTTGGAGATGCTCCTCGTTCTGGTGCAGCGGAGCCGGCCCGTCGAGTCGGTTGGCGCAAACCCGTTCGCCTCGCCGGGATGGATGAGGCAGAAGGCCGAGTTGGGCCAGCCATGGTTGATCTTGCGGATAAGATTGAACAGCAAGACACGAATTTGTCGGGTACGGAGTTTTTCAAAGCATTGGTTTCAAATGATGAAAACGTGAACGTCAATACAGAAAGGCTGTGGATCGTTAAGATTGTGGAAGATGCATGGGTGGAGCCATTCGGGCAAAACATAAACAAACCCCACGTGACATGTCCCCATCTAGACGTGGGCATGTTGGTTATCGACAAATCTCCACCGCCTACTATGAATGTACTAGCGTAATGGGGTCATCCCCCCTCTCACATGACTGGTGGAGCGTCATCGCGCCTCTCCCCCGCGGATGATCGCTCTCGGTCTTTATCTACTCTGACTCCTCTTTCTTTCTTATTCTCATTTGTCTTGATGATTTCGCCTCAAACAAGCTTGAGATGACTAGCAAAAACTCGACTCCTGTTTTGATATTTCCAGGCAAGGGTTTGGGCTTTATCAGTATGTCTACTATGTTTATACATCTCCGATTCCCAGGCAATCTACGCGTATGGGCTCTGGCTAACTAGCTTTATTCAGCCCTGGGTGCTTCGCTGCACAATGTCCTTACCCGAGTCAAGTCTTATCCCCAAGCCTATCCCGCGATTGATCTGTCGTACTCACCAACCGACCCTCTTCGCACTCCCGTCTTATTACAACTCCCCGCCAACGGGCTAAGGCTACGGTTTGATGGCCCTGATCAAAGACTCCGCTTGATCGAGGTCTTGGATTTTTCTCGAGTGAACCTGGTCTATAAAAATCAGGATGTACTCAAAGGCAGTAAAGCTGATGAGTTAGGGACTTCCCCACAAGGTCCTAGCTTTCGACATGTGTATAACCGGCTCTTTGGCCCGTCCTACCCAGGCGAATATGTTCCTCCAACAGATAACTCTCCCTATGGAATCTATGTGCTTTCCTATCCGGGAGTGGCTTTTTCATTCCCTCTGCAGCATTCAGCATGGTCTGATCAATGTGACTTCGTAGCCTTGCTGTCGTCCTCAGCTGCTCTCCCAGCTACCTCTATGTCGATCTTCCAAGGGTCATCCTGGCCTGAGGTTCGAACAAAACTATTCACCCAGCAACCACAGCACCCCAGATCCTCTGCGATTGTGGGAAAATCTCGCGACTCAGTCGCTGATGAGGTGGAGGAGTTTCATATTCTCGGAGCTGGGAAGCTCGAGGTAGTTCGGCGGACAAGCCCACCTCTACTTCTGAACTTGGGAGAAAATACCCCACAAGATCTAATTGCAGAGTTTGGACCCCCAGATGCCATTTATCGTAAACATGATCGACGGATATCTATTCACCGAGTAGCAGGAGTTGGTGGTGGTGATGCTGTGCATCTCAGCCCCTCACCCAGCCGAGGGATGGATATTCCTGATACTGACCGCTCCTCCAGTAATAGCGTGACAGATGACTCGGATGATGAAATCTCTCCGAGCAATATTGGGGATCCAACTTCACTTCCAGCAGAGTGCTTTTTTAATTATTTTCATCATGGTTTTGATGCCTTCATCTCCTACCCAGTCACGCCCGGACCAGCGTTTCCGAGCTCTGAAATCTCGGACCCTTCCCCTCCGCCACCTTCTTCCCAGCTGACTGTTACCAAAATCATCCTACATGGCAATGTACCGGGATCATATCCATTTAATCGTCATCGACGAACCCGCTGGGTAATCCATCTCGATCAATCCGAGGATGAGCTTACGTCAGAGTCGCCATACGATGAGATCTCCGAGCAGCTTCGTGAAGTTTGGAAAGGTGCTTACGGCAACCAAGCGGAAGAGCGCGCGATGCAACGGCCTATGGTACTGAACCGTGGCTGGGGTGACAGTCCGGAGAGCAGTGTCGAGTTTCTTGGCGGCTGGGAAGAGACCACTGCCAAAGGGCCTAGGTCTGGTACGGATGACCACGATGGCGGCTTGGGAAATACAGAACTGTTTGGATTCCCAGGTCTTCTTTTCGAAGTGATGAAGAACGGCGCAGTCAGCTGCTTGACTGTATATTAACCTATATCCTGTTGCCACACTCTTTGATTTTCACCTTGGCGATTTGGCGTTTGGCAAGAAGGGAGTTTCTACTTGTTCTTATACATTGAATTTACAAGCGATCTAATGGATGCATTGACCAAATTATGTAGATAAATTCGAGAGATTAATTACAGATAAATCCAAACGTTCTAATGCTTGTTCAACATCCATAGATACTAGGACTTAAGTGTCAGAGCGATCTATAGCTGTAGGCTATAGATGCACATCAACTTTAATTCCTGCAATCCATCTCGCCCTCCTTGACTCAACTTAAACAGACAACTCGCACAGACACTTCAAGCAAACAACTCAAGCAGGCAATTTAAGCGGGCAACTCAAACAACTCAAGCGGAGACCTCAAACAGCGATTTCAAGAGTACCGCTGTAAGCACATTCGATATTAACACCAGACTCTGGGTCATCCTCACAGATCCAGTTTGTTCCAGTAGCGCTGGAGTCCAGCACAGCGGTGCCATCCTCGGCGATGGTGCCATTCACACGCTCGACTTCCAGAGTGAAAGAGTTGAAGTCATCAGCCCAAGCGGGAAACCTGATATAGTATTCCTCGTTGTAGCAGCGGGCAGATGGATCCGGTCCATCTCCATTGTTCCTATATCACCGAGATTCATTAGCTTGTGTGTTTTGTAACTTGAATGATGAGATATTTACCAGAATGTATAGCAGTCAGTTGGAGTATCATCAGGATAGTTCGGGTCGGTGAGAGTGAAGCTCACGATTCCATCAAGAACGGAATCTCTGGCAGTCAAGTCGGTGATTGCAATGGAGCTAGCACGCCTTGCGTGGGGGACCGCAAGAGCGGAGCTGGCAGCGAGAAGAACGGATGCGATGATGAACTTCATGATGAGAGATGCACGAAAAAGTTATTAAGTGATTGAACTTGTTGTATTGAAAAGCTGAAGATATTGTTGTAGTGGATTCTTGTGGATGATGCTGTTGATAGTTTTATTTTGATCGTGGAAATGAAGTTCTACTTATACATCCATGTGGATACTTTGGATGTTTACCATGTTGTTGCATAGCTGGAAGCCTTTCCAAAGAATCTTGGATCAATGAAACAGTATGCCGCGTCGTCCACGCAATCTGGAACCTTGACGATTGATTTGGTCGATTCATGCTGCTCGAAAATGCGTGGTCGGTGTCCAGGTGAACGGTGTCAGATGTATGGCCCGTATGGGGACGCCGGATACAACACTACACGAACATGTTGCATCTTGACTGGTCTAAATCTGTACCTTTCGGCAATTCCTTTCTTTTTTGATTGGATAAACTTATTTTCGGGGTCTATTATAAGCTGAATTCATGTTCTAGCTACTCTCAGGCGTCCCTCTGCCACTAGTGGCGTTCCTCAGGCGTCCACGGGTGCCAACGATGGATGACCCATCTCCGGGGTTATGCACGATCGAAATACCAATCATTCCAAATTTCTATTCAGGAGACATTCCCCATATCGAACATCCGCACGTGCATGAATTCAGCCCTGGAGATGAATGTAACCTGAACTGTCCCAATAATTTCACAGCCCTGGAAACTCGGGGTTGAGAGAAAAATGTACCCGAGTTGTTATTATAAGCCCTATAGGTACCTGAATAACTCCGACTCGGGGTCTCGGGCTTAAATCTCCAAGGTACTGACACCTTCCTGTGCACAGGTGGCATTCATTAATCATGCCAGCGATCAATTCAACTTGATATCCAGGGCTGAAATTCCAACTCGAGTGCTTCCAACTTGAAGCTACTAGTAGGCACTGGCCAGGTGCCAGTGGGCAGTGCAGATGTGGGTAGCACTGGCAGCATCATGGTGGATTCATGTACATAGTAGTAGGACGGTCTCAACTTGAACTTGAACTTGAACTCAGGCTTCACACCTGGGTATGCAACACTGGCATTTGTTGAATTTTGAAACTTGAAATATATTTTTCACTCTAGAGCTGGCAGATGTCCAGATGTCGGCCCGGACCTTGTAGACACCTTGGCATGTTCTAAACTTGGAACCTTGAAAATTTCTTAGAATAATTATCTAATATCATTAGAGTAGAATCTACACATATGAAATAATATATGTAAAACATTTAATCAATGGATATTTGAAAGAATGTCAACCTTGGAGGTTCTATGTGAGTTAGTGGAGCGATCATGCGAAGGCGGCCCGGTAATACCGTAACATTGAGACTTGACTATGACTAAATACCGTTATATTGGTAATTACCATACACAACCCGCTGGCCAAACTCCGCGATTTTCTTAGCTTTGAAGATTGCCGAAAGGATCTCACGTCTAAGCTCCCATGACATGAAGGAGGATGTCGAAACCGCCGCGGTCAATTCCCCGGTCTTGGACTTCGACTCTCAAACTCCCCAAGTCGACATTTCCCCCGCGCGTGTCGCCGGCCGACCAGAAAAAATACCTCAAACGATGCACTGATGAGCTATACGCCTGGCAGCGTCGCGAACGACCAGCCGACCAACCCTTCGTCCTTCACGATGGCCCACCGTATGCGAACGGAGACCTACACATTGGTCACGCGCTGAACAAGATCTTGAAGGATATAATCTGCCGCTTCCAATTGGGAAAAGGCAAGAGGATTCGATATGTCCCCGGCTGGGATTGTCACGGTCTGCCTATTGAGCTGAAAGCGCTTCAAGGGCTCCGTGATATGGATGTGGCCAATGGATCAGTTAGTGCAGCGGTGATCCGGAAATCAGCGCGCCAACTTGCGAGACAAACTGTCAAGGACCAGATGAAAGGGTTCCGCGGATTTGGTGTGATGGCGGATTGGGACAATCACTGGAAGACCATGGACAAGGCATTCGAGATGCGACAGCTGGGGATATTCCGGGAGATGGTTGACCGAGGTCTAATCTACCGGAAGTTTAAGCCCGTGTACTGGTCACCCTCAACCGGCACAGCGCTAGCAGAGGCTGAGCTGGAATACAAGGATGATCACGTTTCGACCGCCGCGCTTGTCAAATTCCCCCTGGTGAATATCCCCGAGCATTTGACCAAAGACCCGCTACTTCAATCGCGTGATGTGAGTGCGGTGATCTGGACAACAACGCCTTGGACATTGCCGGCCAATGCGGCTATTGCTGTTAGCGAAGAATTGGATTACACTATTGTTCAGTCTGAGACTCACGGATGTCTTCTCGTGGCCCAGTCACGGGTTGAGTACTTGCAACATATGCTGAATGAAGAACTGGATATCATTGTGCCTTCGATTCTTGGATCCGAGCTAGCTGATAAAACCACCTACCGACCTTTGTTCAAGGGCGCAGATGCTGAGGCTCAGCCAATTATTGGTGCTTCATTTGTTACTGCGGATTCTGGATCTGGATTGGTTCATTGTGCACCTGGACACGGTATGGATGACTACGAAGCCTGTCTTGCTCGTGGCATTGAAGTTTTCGCTCCTGTCAACGACGATGGCAAGTTCACAGAAAAGGCCATGCCTCATGACCCTGCTCGCTTGACTGGAAAGGCGGTCCTCGGAGAGGGCAACCGAGCCGTTTTGGACTATGTACAATCACGAGGTCAACTGCTCGCTCAACACCGCTACGATCACAAGTACCCTTACGACTGGCGCTCCAAGCAGCCTATCATTATTCGAGCTACTGAACAATGGTTCGCTGATGTTGCTGACATTCGTAGCAGCGCTCTTAAAGCGCTCGAGGATGTTGCATTCGTTCCCGAGACTGGCAAGCACCGTTTGGAGAACTTTGTGAAGAACCGCAGCGAGTGGTGTATCTCACGGCAACGTGCCTGGGGTGTGCCAATCCCTGCTCTCTACCACCGAACTACTGGCGAGGCCGTTCTGACCAAGGACAGTGTGTCCCATATCATGAACACCATTGAGGAGCGAGGCATTGATGCCTGGTGGACTGACAGCGCTGATGACCCTGCTTGGATTCCATCTTCGTTGCGGGACAACCCTTCGGGATATCGACGCGGCACTGACACCATGGATGTGTGGTTTGATAGTGGCACTAGTTGGTCGGAGATCGACGTTCCCCTGGAGGGACGCAGCCATCCTGCCGATGTCTATCTCGAAGGCACCGACCAGCACCGTGGTTGGTTCCAATCTGGACTTTTGACTTATATCGCCCATCAGCTCGCATCTGGGAAGGCTGATACCCCTCGTGCCCCTTTCCGTACTCTGATCACTCATGGATTTACGTTGGACGAGGATGGTCGTAAGATGAGCAAGTCTATTGGAAACACCATTCCTCCCCAGACCATCATGGACGGAACCCTCTTGCCACCACTCAAACCGCGCAAGGGCAAAGGAAAGAAACAGGCCGAGAACCAAGAACCAACCTACGACGCCTTGGGCCCTGATGCCCTGCGCCTGTGGGCGGCAAGTAGTGACTACACCCGCGATGTAGTCATCGGGAAACAAGTCCTCCAGACCGTTCACACTAGTCTCCACAAGTTCCGAGTCACATTCAAGCTTCTGCTAGGAGCCTTGGCTGACTTCAATCCTGTAAGCGCAGTTCCTTACGCACAGTTGCAGCAGGTGGACCGAATCGCGTTGAAACAGCTATCGGATATGGTTCTTACCTCCCGGAAATCCTGTGACAACTTCGAGTTCTACAAGGCCGTCAGTCAAATGAACCGCTGGGCCAACCATGACTTCTCTTCTTTCTACATGGAGGCGATCAAAGACCGTCTATATACCCTCGGCACCAACAGCGCCAGCCGTCGCGCTGCCCAGACTACCCTCTTTCATATCTTCAACCACCTGCAGGAGGTTCTGGGTCCCATTACCCCATTACTCGTGGAGGAGACTTGGTTCCACACCCCAGAAGCCATCGCGACCCTCAGTGAACATCCCCTGCAGCGAATTACCGCATCCCCTCCTCCCGAGTGGAACGATGCAGCCTTGGATGTTAGCTACCTTGAACTGAGTTCCGTCCATTCTGTGATTAAGAACCTGCAGGAGCAGGCGCGTGGACAGAAGCAACTTGGTTCCTCTCTCCAATCATTTGTTCACCTGGTTCTTCCCGAATCTACTAGCGATGCCTTCTTCCACAAATACCTCTCCGAGCTGCCCGATCTTTTCGTTGTATCATCTGTGACTATTGGCCAACCTGGTGAGTCTGTTCCGTCGGAGATCTCCCAAGCCGAGTGGCATTACGAGGGGACTTGCGAACTTCCCAACAACCAACAGGGTATGGTTCACGTCTACGCCCCTCAAGCTTCCAAGTGCAACCGATGCTGGCGATATGCAGTTCCCGAACCCGTGGAGCCAGAGACTGCAGTTTGCGCCCGGTGTGAGGTGGTATTGGATGAGCTGGAGGGTTGATTGCTCAAATCGCATGTGCAGGATCTGCTGTGTATAATAGATTCATTCAAGTTAATGTACCATATGTATAGTATTGTTTTATTTATTCCAATCTTGTGTTACTCCTCTCTCTCCTGCTTCTCCAGCAAGTTTTATTGGTGGAATGTCTAGTAGATGCATACTGTACCCCATTTTGTGGGTAATCATATGTTGGTCATGTTAGTCATAACTGCATGAAATTCCTTGAATTGTCTAAAATGATTTATTAAATTTGCCTAAACCAGCTTCAATTCTAAGTAAGGTTGGTCTAGATGTCAGATCTGGCTTGTTTCACGGTGGCAATGACGACAGCTCCATGTGTTCCATGATGTAAATCATTATTCCTGATTCAAGTTCTTCCCTCTTTTAAAACCACCTTTGCCCCTTTTACATCTCTCTCTTTCTCACTTTTCGAGCTATCAGCACTTTGATCATCGGAAGCTCTTCATCATGATGGTCCCTAATAACTTTGAAAGTTTCCCAACCCCTACCACCACCTCTTCGGTGGCGCCTATCCCCACAGTTATCCCGATCGCCCCGCATATTCAAGAGATCCACGCCACCGGCGAACGTACTCTATGGTAAGACCCCTCAACAAGCCATCATTCAATTATTATACTAAGATTAATATTCAATAGGGTCGTTACTGTGTTAATGGGAATCTCTTCTCTGGCATTCTACTCCCTCGGCTCCACAAAGCCTCTGGTATTATTCACTCCAACCATCCACCAAGTTTTAAACTACACAAGCTAACTTGAACCCCACAGTCAAAGCGGGTCTACCACACTCTGAGCGCTTTGATCACAACCATCTCCTTCATAACCTACCTCGCCCTCGCAACCGGTCAAGGCCGTGACTGGCTCTGGTTCGACATCGTCACAAAGCACAAACATGTCCCCAATGTCACCGATCAAGTCGTCCGCGAGATTCTCTGGCTACGTTACGTGAATTGGGCCCTTAGCACCCCACTCCTCTTGACCAATTTTGCCCTCATTTCTGGTCTCCCCGGTGCCCATCTCTTCTCTGCTATAGTCTCGAACTGGGTCATGCTGGCAGCTGGAATATTTGGATCCTATGCTGGTCATACCCCTGCACGCTGGGCCTGGTTGACTCTGGCTTGTATTGCGTACTTGACTACGCTGCATCATGCTGGATTCCATGCTCAACGTGCGGCACAGGGCAAGGATGCGTTGCTGACAAGATTCTTTGGAGCTTTTTCGGGGTCGGCATTCGTGGTTTTTGCTCTATTTCCCATGTAAGGAGTTATCACTATACTTGCATTTTTAATTTTCGGTGTTGCTAATTGTTACACAGTACGCTTGCTGCTGGGCCTCTCGCTCTGAAGCTTAGTCCGGATGTGGAGACAGTTCTCTTCGCTATCCAAGATATCTTTACCCAAGGTCTCCTGGGTTACTGGCTTATCTTGTCGCATGATAACGCGCAGGGAAGGTGAGATCAGCACCTTGCTTCCAATCTTGATACTAGTATTCTAACAATTATTTCTCGAACAGTACTCTTCATGTCGATGGTTTCTGGTCCCATGGAATCGGAAATGAAGGTGCCATCCGCATCCACGATGAGGAGGGTGCGTAGTTTCTCCTGAGCATGGCCTCTGCATTCCTTGTGCTATTACGAGGCGAATTGTGGATGCACACGGAGAAACTTGAAATGGAATGAGCATGATGACGAGAGACGCCTCTCTCACAATTATTCAGGTTGAGTTTTGAAATCCCATGGCGAAAGATATGCCTGCAGTTTACTTCTAACAAATTGGGGAGTTTATCATTCTTATAACCATCACTTTTAACGTCTGTTTGTTTCAAGGGTCTTTCGAGTTCTTTTCAGTCTATATAGTATACATTAAGCCTTGAACCTGAAATTACTACTAGCCCTGGAGAATAGCCTTAAAAGAGCAAAATAAAAATTGAATTTGAAAACCATCGAAGAGTTTACAACCTTAGAAGTCTACTTAGTATAGTACCGAGGGGACTTCATATGTTTGACGCTTGTAAGTCAAGCACTATTTAACAGGGCTCACATGCAAAACATTCTAATCCTTCTTCAAGTTCTCTTTCCTTTCCTTTTTCTTTTATCCATTCAACCAACATTGTTTCAGAACTTGAATACTACACGGAAAAGGTCAATCGACGAATTTCGTTCAGGCTACGTTGACTTTCAATTTTTCACACACTCATCAAATCAACTTCCACTTTCGCAACTTCCCATACCCTCTCATTTACAACTTGAACCTCTTCCATCCTCACCAAACCCACCATGCCGAAAAGCAGCAGACGACTAACAGCAAACTACGGCAAAGCAAGACCCACCAATACCTCACAAGTTACTAACCAAAATCACAGTGGTTAGAGCAAACGACGACCAAGAATGGAAAGAACGTCAAGGATATTCATTATTGGCCCTGAAAAACGGCTGACTGAGTTTGTGTTTCGTGATATTCTCAATAAGGCCGTTACCTCATCTCGTAACTATGTTACCTACATTATAACTGGCTTGTCTTTTGCTTATTTCTATTCGATGTATTTTGACTGATAGTATTTCTAGCGCTTTCAAGTTACTTTTTGCAACCGCCTGACTCACTGCCCAGGTGGCATTAAAGAGGTGTTGGTATGTACACCACTTTACCCTCTGGGAATCAAGTCAAGGTGAGTTTTCTCTATCTATTAATTCCTTAACTTGGTGATTCTGATACCTAATTTCTATCTCTTTCTTCAGCGACAAGCTACTGCATGGAATTCACATGGAGGCCATTGTAACTGCCCCCAGCAACGCCCCCAGCAGCGTTCAAAAATGCAGTCATACTGAAACCGATTGTGACGAACTAAGTCGATTGTCTGGCCAATAATGGTACGTTGAGCTACATGTAGCCACAATCGCAGCTCAATGTCCAAAATGGCTAATTCTTGTTTGTGACAGGCACTGTTGGAAAGAGCAGGGATCATCTCTGGTCGATCTTATAGAGATCGATCGAAATCTTACTGTCATCCTCACCAATCTCATCACATAAATCCTCAATCACCTTATTATCCTGATCAATCTTATTGTATGCAAGCTGAACTTTTCCATCAGCGAACCCCGGCCCTGTCTGACCACTCCGTCAATCAAGATCAGTCGGAAGTCCACAAATCATTTCAACTAGTACAATCACTCCAAATCACAAAGTCTAACTCTTATCCTTCTCAATCTTGGTTGGCTGAGAGTCCCTCTGAATCCCAGACCTCTCACCCTGAATCCACCGAGAGGGAAAGCATTATCTCGAGAACCCTAGTGGTTGGAAGGAGTATCTCACGGATGTTGAGCGATTTTGCGGAAACCGAATCTGATTTATGAATGTCCGCAAAATGCAGCTCCAGGCAAATAATCTAGAGCAAAGAAAATTGGAATTCAAGATGATTCATAGGAGGTCGGAATATGAGATTGATGAATCTTCATGAGTCTACCCGGAGACTTGCTACACACCATGAACACCATAACCCAAGTCCAAAGTCGATCTTGGTCACCAGAAAGACCATCCTAAAGCCTTTGCTAATCCACATAGACTCCCAGCCGCCCTCTGCCTCAAACTCCTTGCTTGATTCCCCAATCAAGCCATACGCCTATTACCTGGGAGGAGTTCCTTCGGATCAGTGCGGAGGAGGCCGAGCGGACCTGGGAGGCCCGTGTGGCATCCCAATCTGAAGTTTCTGAACTACCAGCTGGTATATCTTGAATTCTGTTTTTGTCTTGGGCTATGCTAATATACTTATGATGATGTTGTTGTGACTGGAGTAGACCAGGCCCCCAAGAACCAATTTCAAGTTGGAGGACAACGATGAGGCTACTATTCAGTCTTGGTTCGGCCCTACTGACCTTTTTTTACTTTTCTTATATAAACCTTGTATTTCAAATTTTGTTATGATAAACCATCAAGGCATTTCCAATCATGGCATTAATAATTTCTGCTAGTTAAGATTTAGAATTAAGTAATTCGGTATCGTAAGCGGCCATATGCCGTACACCTCGACTCACACATTCTCCACCTCTTCAAGTTGGGTCTCCTTCTCATCCCCCAGATCAATAACCTCCAAATCTCGCTTCACATTGATCCTCAAAACCCCAACTGGAACAGGTCGAAGATCAATCGCCTTAGGAAATCGAATAGAAATATTTCTCATAGCCAGCGGAAGCCAAACTCCAGCATCAACACAGTGACCCTTGAAATGGATAAAGCGCAATCTCAAAGGATCGAACCACTGAATAAATGGGTCTGCATCAACTACGAACCCGCTGAGTGTCAATTTTCGAATGGTGAGTCGAGAAGATGTACGTCCCATGGCGATGGCTCGGACCTTGGCCTTTTCGATTGCTTGTTTGTCGAGATATTCTCCATATCCGATATCAGTGTGAAGTGTGCCATCGCCTCGCTCTCCACTATCAAGCGAAGGGAATAAATTAGCAAACAACCCACCTTTCACAGGTATAAATCATATTTAAGGGGGAAATAGGGTCATAAAATAAGCACAAATGATGAAAACTTACAAATAAACTGGCCCTCCACTCATTCGCGGATCTAAAGTCCATCCCTCCTTGATAACCTTCCACCGAGTCTCATAGATCTTGTTGCTAATCTCTGGTTCCACTGCCATTCCAAGCTCCAGTTCCTCAAGATCAGTGTTCAGCCAGGCAGCCTGCCAAATGAAAGTTTGATATGACTGCATCATGCCGACAATCTTGAGAGAGCGTAGGTGCCTAAATTCACAAAGCGGCTTAAATTCACTGAGCTCGAGACATGGCTCATCCACCTCCTCGACCCCTTCATCCAGACAATCGGGCCAGAAAACATCCAGACCAAGTGTCGACTGCGAACGAGGCAGATTAGTCCAGGCGTTGCCGCCCCGGAAAAGGTGTAGGGGCTTTGTGACTGTTGCTATTTCATTGATATGCTCTTGAGTAGACTCATTGGTTTGCTCATCCTCAATATCCATTTGGTCATCCAGATTAGTGGGGCCGGTATCAGAAGGAGGTCGAAGTTCTGGGATAATTCCGATTCCAAGTCCAATTCCAGGGCCAAGTGTTTTGACGCCACGAGGCGGACAGGGCGAATCTGGCACTGAATCTGAGGTATCCATATCCGGTTTCGAAGCCGAATGGCTCGGCGTGAGGAAGATTTCTTTCTCTTCAATGACTGTTCCAGGTGGCGAGAGTGGTTCTTTTTGGGGAAACGCGCGTAAGATTCGTGGGACAATACGACCAGGTGGGATTGGACTCCATGGCACAGATGGTCTGGTAGGTGAGGGAGACTTAGCACGGCGGCCTAAACCAAAACTCGCTGGTAGATCACGGATCCGGGATGTAGTAGCCGCGACTGATTTGTTGCGCCGTAAAAGAGGCACTCCTTTAAGATCAGACATGCTGAGTTTATGACGACGGTGACGGGTGGTTGGAGGTCGGGTTGGAGTCTCTGGTTCCTTGGAGTTGGTCTTCTCCCCTGTTGGTCTCTTTCCTTCTCTTCCTTGACGTGAGGGCCTTGCTCTGGACCTAGGTTGAAGGGAAAGCGCCTATGAAGATTCAAATCGAGACCCAAGGCAGGACTTCCCTGCTTGTCCGTTTCATTCGTAGGTTCACATACAGTGGCAGGCATAGGGTGAGATGGAGAATGGGAGCGAGGAGACCAAAAAGGACTAAGGTGCGTATGAGACTTGCACCGGGTAGGTTGAATACAAAGAGTGCTTGTTGTTTCATTGAATTCATTGTTGAGCCTTTCTTCGTATTCTTGAGCATCTTTCCAGAAATCATATCCCAGGAGGGAGTTCTCCCAGTGCTGTCGATGATCATCCATGGTGGATTCAAGATGTAATGAATGTGATGTGGGAAGGTGGGAGATAAAGGAATGAATTTGTTGGGATGAGAAGTTCAAGTTTTCAACCTTGCAAAAGAGGAAGTGAGTACTAGTAAGTGAGTGAGGTAAATACTCATTGCGAGTTCCAACGTTAGTTGAGGCAGGAGCTTGATCAAGTTGTTCCTTCATAGATTCACCCATAAATAATATCCACCTGGACATCCCTTAGGGTACTACAATCAGTCCACCCACCAGTTGACATTAGTGAATGCTGGTTTTCAAGTTCAAGGTACATACTTTGGCTAAAATCATCAGCCGCCAATTTCAAGAGAAACCTGTCCCTGAGTTGTGATCAGCTGAGTTGGCATTTCGAGGTCCTAGCGCTGACGTCTGGCTGTAAGGCAGACCATGCATGATTGGTGTTTAACATATTGAAAATTCTTGACCTGTTACTCCAGTCCTAGAAGATTGTGAGACTTCAAGTTCAAAGGGACAAGTATACAGTGTATATAATTGATTAGATATGATTGGTAAATAAAATCATATACTTCGGGATTTACATGGATCCACTTGCTTAAAAGGTGGGAGATTGGCATCTGAACCACGAAGTGTAGATAGTAGCCTAGACTCTACTATGTGCTCCAAGGTTGGTTGTAGTGGTTGATTTGCCCTAGTACTAGATACTATCTCTAACTTGAAATTGTTGTCCATACTCATGAAAGTAATATATGTAATATTTGAACCATGACAAACAAGATTACTAGTCAAGTTCAAGATGAACATCGGTTGATACTGTGCTTGAATGCCAATATCTGGACACCTGGAGCATATACTCTATGCAATAGTACATAGTACTGACTTACAGACCTACAAAAGATGGCTGGAAACAGTCGTGGCTTGTACCCAAATAGGTACTGGGTGTTGTCTTTCCTTTCCCATTGAATACATACATTCGTGTCTAGATGGACACCCGAAGCCAAAGCGAGATGAATCCCGCAAGTCGCTTTTGTTTTATCCAGTAATATAGAAGAAGAAAGACCTTTTAAATTGGGGGTAAAGAAACTCGGAACTAAATCATGCGGACATCATTCCCAACAACCTAGTACTTCTTGCCCTGGCGCAGGACATCACCGAACTCCTCCAGAGGGCTGCGGATGAGCTTAGTCTCCTGCCAGAGGTTGGGGGTAAGGAAACCGTAGGTGTTGACGACGGCAACGAAGGTAGCCTTGAGGGTGTTCTCGAGGGTCTTGGTGGAACCGGAAGAGGAGGTGTAAGCGTCCTGGACACCGGCAAGCTGGAGCAGACGCTTGACAGCGGGGGAGGCAACAAGGCCAGTACCACGGGGGGCGGGAATGAGCTAAACGGAAAATCATTAGAAACTGCACAAGTGTAACAAAATCAAGGGGGGGTGATCTGATCGAGATCTGCGTTTTCGGATACGTACACGGACGGAGACGGAACCACACTTGCCGCTCTGCTTAACGGGCAGAGAGTGAGGCTCACCAAGGTTGGTACCCCAGTAACCGCGACGGACGGGGAGAACGGCGAGCTTGGCAATGGTGATAGCGGCACGGATGGCGGTAGCGACTTCCTTAGAGGTCTTGATACCGAGACCAATGTGACCCTCGCCGTCACCGATGAGGACGATGGCCTTGAAGCGGGTACGCTGACCGGCACGGGTCTGCTTCTGGACGGGCTTGATCTATTGGTTCAAAAGAGATCGAATTAGTCTTCCGAACTCATATTTCAATATGGAGAAATGGCGTAGGCGTCGTATTGCATGCGCAATTGGGGAAATCGCAAAAAAGTCTGTTGTCGGTTCTGTCGAGTTCGAATATTCCTCCCAATTCCCTTTTCACGATTCCCCCAATTGTGCGCGTATTCCAATGCCATTCCATTTCGTATGTCGATTGTTGTGTCGTACCTTCATAACCTCATCCTTGAGCTTGGGCAGGAAGAAGTCAACAATCTGGTACTCCTTGACGGGCAGAGAGTGGAGGTAGATCTGCTCCATGCTGGTGATCTTGCCGGCCTTCACGAGACGACCGAGCTTGGTGACGGGCTGCCACTCCTTCTCCTCCTGCTTGCCTCCACGACGGCCACGACCACGGCGGCCACGGCCACGGTCACCACCACGGTCGCCGCGCGAACCGAAACCACCACGTCCACGGGGAGCAGCGTCAGCCATTTTGTATGTAGGTGAGGGCGACGGGGAGTTGTTCTGTCGAATTGGGTCGGGTCGTCGGAGACTTCGATACTGGTGTTTGGCACCGAAATTTGCGGGTGGAAAGCTAAGCGAGGCGGGCTGCCCTACGCAGTACCCTAGCCCTAGTTCCTGTTTGGGTGAGATTGCGGGTGATTATGTCAGGCCGAATCTGATTATGTCATTCTGAAATGTGGCACGTGCTTGATACCGGGAAAGTCACATGATTGTCACTGTTTATACTGGAGTGCCGGAGTTTCCCTGAGCATCAATTAAGTAGAGGATCAAGTATATCCAATAAAGATATCGAGTAAAAAAAATTTATAATGAATTCAAATGATGTCTCTAGTCCAACTAATACCCAAAAAACAAAACTCCCTACATAAGATTGTTGCATTCTCTTCCAAGGATCTTGCATCTCTTGCAAATCAATTCTCGATCGGGCGGATCGATTTCCTAATTAGGGGTCGGCAAGTTGGACTGTGCACCGAGCACTTATCTTGTTTAAGCGTGAACAGGCAAGTTGACTCCGCAATTTAAAGATGTCATTGCCCCAGTCTTGATCTCCCCTGTATTCCAATATTCCTTTGCATTTCTCTTCCACTTTAATTGTCCCTTATACCGTCTTCTTTTCCTTATACCCACTATGTTGCGTTGGTTTGTTTACTCCCCTATCTCCCAGCCCCCTGATTGCCTCAAATATCAAAAATCTCAGTTGACTAAAACTATCCTCTTATAGGTATCAAGCTAAATTGGCCAAGAGGCCCATATTGACTGCCAGTCTTAGCAGTGGGGTGTGTCATTTTATTGCATGATTTTCCCTGGAGCCAATTGTCCTTCTAACGTATTGTCCAGATCCTATTTGGCAGCGGCGATGTCCTTGCCCAGCAGGCTGTTGACCACAGAGGTCTAGAGAAGCATGATTTTGCCCGGACTGGTCGCATGGCTCTATATGGTGGAGGTGAGCTACATCCCACTCTAGAGGATAACCCTCCCTTTTGTGTTCTGACCTGATTTTTCTTCTTTCCTGCCTAGCTGTCTTTGGTCCCGTTGCTACTGCTTGGTACCGTATTCTTCAGCGCCATATCGTTTTGAAGAGTACTCTCGGTACTGCAGCTGCTCGAGTAGCTGCGGATCAAATCGTCTTTGCTCCTACTCAGTTGACCGTTTTCTTGTCTGCAATGGCTATTATGGAAGGCTCAGACCCAATTGAGAAATGGCGTCATTCTTTTGTCCCTAGCTACAAGGCCAACTTGCTAGTCTGGCCTTTTGTACAGGCAGTCAACTTCACATTTGTGCCTCTGGAACTACGGGTTTTGGTGGTCAACCTGGTCAGCTTAGGTGAGTTTAAATTTCTTCTTTCATGTTTTGGATGGCTTTGACCTCTCACTTGATACACTGGTATTTGAATTGATACTGATTTGGAGTCTTGTAGGCTGGAACTGCTTCCTCAGTCTGTTGAACAGTGGTGAACAGTAAAAGTACTTCAGGTGATGATATACCTCGAGATCTGGATAGAATTGCATTTTCATGGTATAGCAACCTGGGCAACTCTTTCATGGCGAAACCTCTCATTTTGTTTCAAGTTATAAATTTCGGTTATAGGTAATAGGTGACCTGGTTCTTTAATGTTGATTTTTGGGTTCATACTGCTCTGGCATCTGGAGAAATTGGTCTTCTATACATAGACATGGGTATATGTACTTGGATCATGGTTTTTTGGGAATCTTCAAACTTTTTTTTTCTTTGCCAATATTAGGTACTATCAATGATATAATTTCAAACTCTTTCAATTTAATTCACAATTAAAATTATCCTAATTCACCACAGTAAATCATATCAATCTCATAGTACTTTGTTGTTCCAGTTATCATTAGGGCTGTGCGGCCCGACCCAAAAAGGCAAGAGTTTTTCGCCGCTTTTTTAATTTACGGATGATAATATCTCCAACTTCAAAACTTCGGTGCGGGTCCCTTTGATTGTGTCGCCCAACACTCTTTGCTCTTTCCCCCACGCTTGTCTGCCTTGGACTGCCTGGAGCAGATCTGATATTTAATCAGTTACCACTCGCTCAGTTCTTACCCAACGCGGCAACTCGAACTTAGCGCACCTTCTTCACTCGAGATCGTTCCGTCTGATTTTTTGCTCTTCATCCCACCAACACCTCACAATGGCTGCCGTCGCAGAGAATGGCCACCCCGTGGCTGATGAGAACGCTGCTCCCGTCGCTGCTTCTACCGATGACTCCAAGACTGTCACTGTCTTTGATGACCCCGAGAACTTCAACGTCAAGCACCCGCTTATGCATGAGTGGACACTTTGGTTCACCAAGCCTCCCAGCGGCAAGGTACGTTTTCTCATCTTCGCTATCAGACACAAGGTCTTAGCCAATTACTAACTTTGAGTCTTTTTAGGGCGACAACTGGAATGACCTGCTCAAGGAAGTTGTCACATTCAGCTCCGTCGAGGAATTCTGGGGCATCTACGTACGTTCTAAACCCGCGATTCCCGAGCAACCTTACAACCTTATGAAACCCTCCCCCACGATATATCCATATCTGCCCCTCTTCTTTTGATCTATGTATTGATAGATCTTCACCTTCCTGTCATCTATATCTCTTGAATCGGGCCAGTCACTAATCTTAGCTCACCCCCCCTTTAGAACAACATTACCCCCACCTCCGAGCTGGGCCTGAAGGCCGACTACCATCTCTTCAAGAAGGGCGTACGACCGGAATGGGAGGACCCTCAGAACAAGCACGGTGGCAAGTGGTCATACCAGTTCAAGGATAAGCGCTCCGTCCCTATCGACGACCTTTGGCTGCACGCTCAGCTCTCCGCCATCGGCGAGACCCTCGAAACCGACGATGACAACGAAGTGATGGGTGTGGTCGTCAACGTGCGTAAGGGTTTCTACCGTGTTGGTCTCTGGACTCGCACCGTTGGCAAGGGCCTTCCCGGTGACAAGACTGCTCGTACCCCGGCTCAGGGCAAGGACGTTCTGGAGGCTATCGGTCGCCGATTCAAGGATGTTCTGCGACTGAAGGAGGCGGATGTTGTTGAGTTCTCTGGTCACACCGACAGCGCGCACAGCGGTAGCACCCGTGCCAAGGCCAAGTACACCGTTTAAACATCGAATCTCATTCAAAAAAAATCGCATCGAGGAGCTCGAATGTCTGCCTTGACTGGTGCCCACGCATGGTTATCAATGAGGCAAGATTAGAAGTTGAGGAAGTGAAGGGGGTATATCTCATGGTGGAGGAGTTTTACCCATTACACCGGACTCAGGGGAGCGGCGTTTGCAGAATGGAGGAAAAGTCGATGATTCCCAGTCTCTCTTGCGTGCTGCATTTCTATCCCCATCTTATCCTGCAGGTTTCTTTTTTATTTTTTTATTTTTTTTTATTTGCCTTACCCATCGCAGTTATGAACCTGATTGCTCGCGACATGTATCTTACTCTTATCAAACGCATTTTATGAGGCATATGTCGTTGGTTGTGGTGTCTGGTCTGTGTGTCTGTATGTTTCATTCCAGTATATTCAGGTTCTCCTATCTCATGAATGAATGAACGTTGAAGCCCGGTTATATCGGTTGTATCCTGTATCTATCGGGTATATTGCGGATAATATCTTGCTGCCTGCAGGTAGTAATTCCCGACTTACTATGCCCAGGTGGTGTACCTGAGGATACTGATTCAACGTTACATCACTTCTTCCTGCTCCACGCATGATGCCTGGTTGCCAACTTTTGAGATTTCCGTCCGTGTATCCGAAACCTGCTCCAGGTGGGCACATCAATTGGCGATTCATGATGATCAACACCTCAGCTTCCTAGGCGCTGAGCCTCCTCAGGGTCTACTTCGTACTACGGGATATATCTGAGACAGTTAGAATACACTAGCCCCACGTCATGCCTAGGCATCATCTCAAAATAAGGGTTGCAGATGATGTCGTGCCGAATTGATATCCGCTGCTATTGGCATCAACTTGAGTCTCGTTCATATCGCAGCTTTATACCATTCAGCCCTGATCAATATTCACCTGAGTATAATATCATACTGCATTATGAGACCAAACTCTCCAAACTGGACTAAGGCCACAAATTATTCTACGCCTGTCTCTCCTTTTTCTTCTTCTCAAAGTTCTATTGCTTTTTCTTTCTTCTCCAGGGTCTGATTTAGTGGGCGCAGATCATCAATAGTGGATAAAAAGTTGGAACCGGCTGATCAACATTTGTACCGATCCGAGTCTCTACCTCGAGGCAGTGTTGTATCTAGCTGAATAATTCGATTGAGATAGGACCATAGATTTTGTCTCATTCACACTATCCAATTCATTTTCTTCGTAATCGATACGTAAAAACGTTCTGTTGTCACCTGGGCATGTCAAGTTTGACACCAAACTACCCGCTCAAATACTCATCCTCACAATACAGAGTACTCTGTAGAACTCTCACTTTTAATATTCATCGATTGAATAAGCTCATATGCAGCAACAGGCGTCAACATTTTGTGACCCACAGTGCTATAGCTTTATGGAACTATTCAGTCTGTTCCGCTGCATCATTCTTCAAAAGACACTGTCTCAGACGATCTTCCCGTAGACCGCCGGACCATATTCTCGAACGACGTTGTTTCGGACGATCTTCCCCACATCCAAGAAATATCAGTGGTAATTCAGCACACCGCCGAAAATGAGTTTCAAGATACTATTGATAATACTGTGACAGGAATAGCTCAGCATGCGTTGTGAGGTTGTGTGGTGCACTAGTACTAAGTGGAAATAGCAATATAAAAGGGCCAGTATCCCCGCCGCCAGAACAAACCATCACAACATCTGAACTCTTCAAACCTCTCAATCAACCTCCATTCCATTCAAATCCTCTCCAACCATCAAAATGGTCAAGTTCAACTTCCTCTTCGCCCTGGCCCTTGCTGCTGGCGCCCTGGCTACTACCACCAACTCCGACTGCCAGAACTCCTTCGATACCTGCCGCTCCTCTGGCGACCCCAACGAGGCAACCTGTGCCTCTGAGCACGCTAGCTGCTGCGCGACTGCTTTCGATGACTGCCGCTCTACCGGCGACCCCAACGAGGCTTACTGTTCTTCCCAGAACGCTGCTTGCCAGGGTCAGAGCTAAATGGGCATTGAATCCATTGAGCTTCTTACGTCCAAGTCATCTCGCATGGATGTATAGATGAGATATGTGTTTTTCTTCATTTGGGTGTTTCCAATTGGGGTTGATGTCGGATATGAATGCGTCATCTGCCAGATATGAAAGGAGGAGAGAGTTATTTTGGATTCTGTGATCATAATTGGATATAGCTACATACTATCTACGCTCTTTGAAAATATCACATACATATGCACCGTGACATTTGTACACACGACTTGGGTGTGTAATAATCACTTGAGTCTTCTGAGTCTGAGACTTGAATTCATTCAAATGTTGACCCGAGCTTCTTGAAAAATACTAAATGTACTTCCAAGGTTGTACTACTAGTGGGCTTTCTAGACCTCGGGATCTGCCAGCCCGATGCTTATCATTTGAAGCTATTCGTAGCTCCAGATGTCTTATTACTAGGAAAATATAAGTGCGATACACGGATTATCTGCTATTAGATGCCACTGGCACCCGAAAGGTTTCAAATTTGGGTACTACTAGTAATTTCATGTGTATAATTTCATGTATTTAATTTCAGATGTGTTTTGAAGATACTCCATATGAGTCGAGTGAGCCTCCAGGGCTAGATTTGAACGACTTGTCAACTTGAAGGTCTACTAGCACACGCTCAACCCCTGGAAAGTTTGAACACTGTAACTTGAATCCTAGAAAACTTTAACATGATCGAGATCGGTGAGCAGATCGGGAAGCACCTCTGACGAATGAAGAAATACCCTGGAGCGCTTTGGTCGGAGGTAAATATCTCGGCTGATATACTCAATTAAGGGAAGAGACGGTTGTTTTACATCAGGTGCTGCCTCGATTATTGATGTTCAGCAATATCCGGAGAGAACTACAGGGATATTTCAATTAAAGTTGAAATAATGTACTATTTCCGGTGACCTAATTCTCTCATAACCTCTCTTGGCATAGAGTATATTCCATTGAATACCCTCCAATTCGTGACATGAATCATGACGATAGCTGATTACAGACTCCGATCTACCGCTATAAATGAGAACACATATCCCCGTGCTTCCTCTCAGATATCAACGGTCAACAAACGAAGTGAGAGAATCAAAAGAAACGACTTTTATACTCTTTCATCGGGAGATATGGCTAGCAACGGAGGTAGCACAGAAGTGAACAGTTGAAGCATGGCAATATTGGCATCAACCCTGAAATCACAGAGTTCAAATATCGAGTTTCTTTTCCCCTGTTCTGCCATCGGCTATAAAGATATTAAGTTCCAGCCCTCCCTACCACAAATCTCTGACTTTAAGCCCAGAGTATCTTCCGCAGCTCTTCCGCCACGACCGAATTTTGCACCAATGGTCACTCGCCATGTCGAACGCATCTCCGAGAACAAACTACAAGGTTGCCGTACTGGTCTACGAGGGTGCCAGTATCCTTGATTTTACGGGTCCGATGCAAGTCTTGTCGCATGTCTCGCCGAATCATCAAAAGGGCGACTTGAGCCCAATCCCTATCTTCAAAATCAAGACAGTCTCACAGAATCCATTGATTCACTTGTCAAGGTCGATAAATATTGAGCCCGATATCTTGCTACCAAGTGTGAGGGATAATATCAAAGATTTTGATATTTTGATCGTACCCGGTGCTCCTATGTCAGTAATCCGACGCATGATTCAAAACAACGCATCTCCGGAACTAGACTTGATTCGTCGCTATACTACTACAGAATCTGACAGACCTCGACTTCTTCTTTCCGTTTGTACTGGGGCATTTCTATTGGGTGCATCTGGTCTCCTTTCCGGGCTCACAGTGACAACTCACTATCGAGCTTTAGATGAACTGAGAGATCTGTGCTCAGCTCTCGAGGACTTGAAACAAGGGAAAGTCTCGACAAATGTGGTACATCGACGGTTTGTCGATGCTGGGAGTTTGAAGGGAACGAAAGTACAGATCATTACTTCTGGTGGTATAAGTGCTGGTATTGATGCAGCGTTCTATATTGTGTGCAAGTTACTGGGTGCAGAAGCTGCATCATCTGCATCGCGCGACATGGAATATGGATGGATGGAGGTACAAGACGTGGATTGGCCGAGGAAGTTTCACTGTTCTCTAGATTGATGAGGATTCAACATTGAATGTTGCTGATGGATATTTGGAACCTAAACCACAGGTGGAAGACCTCTCAGTGCTAGTGTCCACGGGTTTGTTATTGTTGGTAGAAGTACACGGGTGGGATACTTGATTGCCAGCGGCATTGATGCCGTGTCATCCAATGCAATTTTTATTAAAGTTTGACATATTCCAAATACTTATCTCAATTTACGCATAGTGCCTCCCAGATCACACAATTTTTGTAGAATATTCAAGTCTACTGGATTGAAGGATTCCAAGGTTTGAATATCAGACGTATGGTGTTGGGGAACGTGCCCTTTTCGTTAGTATTCTTCACTGCTCTTTAGATTGATGAAGATTTAATATTAAGTTCTTTAAACATTGATTGTTGATGATGGATAGGTATCTGGAACCTAAACCACAGGTGGAAGACCTCTTAGTACTAGTGTATGTTGTTATTGGTAGAAGTACACAGGTGGGATATTTCAAGTTGATTGCCAGTGGCATTGATGCAGTGTCATCCAAAGCAACTTTTATTAAAATTTGACATATTCCAAATACTTATCTCAATTTACTCATAGTGCCTCCAAGATTGGGATTGAAGGATTCGGATATCAGACCAATGGCGTTGGGGAACGAGCCCTTTTCGTCAGCATTCGGGAAATTCGTCCTTGTGATCAAACTAATGTGTATCAACCTTTGAGCAGAAAGCTTAGGACTAATGGCGAGAAAAATAGATGATGGTTGGACATTGAACCAAAGAGCGAATGTATAAGATTCACGAATTCACCCAGTTAATCCCCAGTACTAAGCTCAGGAATTCAATTGATATTCTCCATCAATCCTGGAAACTTGAACATTCAACACGAGATACTTATCCATACTATAAGAGCAGAGCTACAATTCTGAAAATGGATGTTCTCTTTCTTGGTTTACCCCGAACGGGGACACAGAGTACGCGTTAAAATCCGATTCCTTTCACGTTGAGGTGTATTAACATTGAAACTTGAAATTACATGATAGGCATGGCTGAGGCTCTTCCTCTACTTGGATATGGCAAGGTTTATCATATGAAAGATAACTTCATACGAGGCGACCATGCGTTTTGGGCCAGAGTCATGGATGCAAAGTATGCTGGTCTAGGCGAACCCGTGACTCGCAAGGATTTCGATGCACTTTTTGAAGGAGAGTTTAAGGTAATATAACATGGTTTGCCTTATAAGGAAAGGAACTAAGACCGGAAAATTGACTGAGGCTGATAACAGGCCACGAGTGACTATCCCGCAGCCATGTTTCCCGAAGAGCTGATCGCCGCATACCCATCTGCCAAGGTGATTCTATCGGTTCGTGATGAAGACAGCTGGGTCAAGTCAATGGAAGATACAGTATTGCATATGTGGAATGCCAAAACAGAGGCTAGTCCACCTGAGACAGCCCCTGCCAATGATTCTGGGCCTGTGAATCATGGACCTCCTGCTCTTCATGAGATGGTTCGCAAGATACAAACCTATGCTTGGGGCGGTGATTTTGAGACAAATGGTCGCCAACTATTTCATGAACACAACGAGCGTGTCCGTCAGCTGATGGAAAATAGAAAAGAAGATTTTCTGGAGTACAGAGTGGCAGAAGGATGGGAGCCCTTGTGCCGGTTTCTTGGGAAGGAAATTCCTGGTGAGGCGTTCCCCGAAAAGATGAGTGGGCAGAGTATAAAGCTAGGACGAAGAAGGCCTAGAAAGTAAGCGAAGAGAGAAAGTATGTTGTTCCTTCAGGGATCCGGGCAGTATGCTAGTATGGACGTGTTGTAAGGTCATTCCGGATTCATCACGATGGCTTGATGTCTATGAACTCTGTTTATATCATAATACGATGTCTTCGACTAGAAATAGTCCTAATATGATGCGTTGGCAAATTCTACACGACGATTTCCCAAGATCATAGATTCTGACTCGAACCCCCTGATGATCTAACCGTAAGCCGGAGTTAGGCCGGCGTAGAATGCCATCTTGGTACAGATGTCCGAGGGCCCGCTCATTTCGGTGAATGGCTTCAGGTGAGTGCCCGACTGAGGACGAAGTCTGGGTAATTCGATGAAGTAAATATTCCTAGGATCATGATCGTGATCATGCTTCAACCTTGGAAAGATGTACCTCGTCTGTGATGTTCAAGCTTCTCGCCAAGCTCTGATATGCATCGTTGATCAAATGCTTAGCCGGAGAGCTCCGGCTTGGAGTTAGGACACGCGTGCATCCACCAGAACCAACCAGATAGAACACATTCATAATTGGTTTCATGACTGATCTATCAAGCATCATATCAATGGCGTGATAGACAACATATATGTCCCTGGCCGATCTCGGATTGCCAATCTCTTGGATGCTCTTGGTTAACCTTTCATTAAGGGCATAGGGACTAGCCAAGGGCTTGGAGGTACGCCCTTCGAAGGTGACTAGTCTCCCCGGAATCATTCACGATAAGCCTCTCGGTTGGTGGGAATTTGAAATTGGTGGAACTCTGGTACTTGATAGGCTTTCCTTATTTGCCCTGACGAAGCGAAGTCGGAGCGATAGGGTGTTGCGTATGTGGGAGGCTTTTTATTTATGCGGGCGGTCCCCATCTGGCAAGCGTCGTTCTTTTCTTTTTTTCCCTCTTTTTGAACTTCTTCCCTTTCAACATCGACTATCATGATCCATTCAAGTTGAAATGCTCGCTTTTGGGTCTAATCCCATTGAACCTCTAACTCCACTAAGATGACCAATACTCTCGACACCTCAAAACCTCCTTATCTGTGAACGGTCTTGTCTTGGCGAAGCGCCAGAGGACTCCACCTGCCCATTGCCTGCGCATTCTACCGCCGTGCTTTTACGAGAGAAAAATTACCCCGGAAATCTATCGGATCATGAGAATGTCATGAGATCAATCTACTATGAAGAGCTACCAAAACGGAAGGTCCTTAACATTGGACTATTCGCGTCTTTTCCAGGACCCGGGCCATGTATTCCAGCGCAGAGAAGAGTCTGGCCTTCCGATCTGAGGCCCCAGCACACCCCAGAATATCCCATCACGAGCATCAACCTTGGAATTGAACCTACGGACTCCGGGGTAGCATCGCTAGATCATCATCATCGAGACAATATTTGAGACAATCCCCGAAACTCAAAACACTTGGATTGAGTCTGACATCCCCCTCAATTGATAAGGATTTCGCGGGGAAATGCCCCAATGTTACAGCCAAGTGACGGGAGAACAAGCAGGGAAACTTCTGGGCGCAAATACCCGCATTCTTGGAATACAGAAGGCGAAGGCGAACAAGGACACCCCTTGCATGGAACAAATCAGCTGAATAATGTCAAGGACCTGGAATAGTGGCACCTCTGAATGCGGCTGGTTTGCCTCTGTCTCCCCTTTGGTGAGGGCCTAAGCGATCCATCCGCCGCGGACGTCAGCCGAAGAAGGAAAAAAATCGACATTGTCTTGGCAGATATCTCTGTATCTCTGTTTACTCATCGCACAACACGGCAATCGATTGATATCGAGAGTTCCCCAATAAAGTGTCTTCCCACTGAGCTTGACAGGTACAAGCGACTAATACCCGCCCTCAATTACCGGTGAAAAGGTCGAGACCCAAGCCCTAGTTCAACAATTCCATCCGGAGCGCTGGTTAGTCTCCGGCCGCATGCCAAGACCTCCCACTGTTCAGATGAGATTCGCCTCGTGGCGAACAGGGACCACAGGAACGCGATTCCGGAACCAGTGCCGCCATATAGATGGGGGCGTAAATTTTTTTTTTTTGACTTTTTTTTTTCTGGTCTTTTGGCTGGAGCCTTCAGGGCTTCATGATATCCACCGGCATTCTCCGACTGAAATCAACCAGTGAATTTGTACAGATAAGGGTGGAGAGAAACATCATGAATACCAAGACATTATGCTCGAAACTTTCTATTGCCCCCGGACCTTTGCGGTTGAGAGTTTGAGACTCTGATTGATCCAAGCGAAGGTTCCTCTCTTGGCAGAGATGCTTACTGACCATTTCACTATCATTGATATTAGTATTATTGCATGTTGTTTCGCATGCGTGCTGTGTTGCCCGGTCTGGGGTTACATCGGTGGAGTGTGCATGGGCAGCTGCTCTATTCGTTCCGGCGCGACATTAACACCTGCCGATCGCATCCACGGAACGGGAGACTTGTCCAGCTAGGAAACAATGTGGCTTTTCTTTTACTATTTTCTTTCTGGAATGGCTGTTCCCATTATCGCCTTCGCTTGACAAGTGGGACTACTTAGCTATTTGTCCAAAGAAGCCGTCCCATTAAATTGAAGTCTTGGCCTTGTTATTTTTTTTTCTCGGTTCATGCGCCGATAAGACTCAACCATCTCCACTGCCTCGGGTGTTGGGTAATAGAAATTGACTATATAGTATACGGTCGCGGTCGTTTATTTCCATTTTACTTCCCCCCTTTTCTTTCTATCCCGTTCTTGTGCTCTGTTGGAAGACAAGATCGCGTTCGAGTTTCCAGAAGTATCAGCCATGTCGACTACAACCAACGAGGTTGCAGTTGCTCCTCCGTATGTATTCACACACACACACACCTTCCAAAAACAAAAAATGGATCTGTGTATATGATCCTAGCAACTTGAAGAACATGTATTCTGACTGGATATCAGACCTTACGGAAATGACACTTCCGTCGAGCATGTTGTCGTGACGGATGAGAAGAAGGCTCTTGATATGGACAAGGAGAGCGGCCTGCCTACTGCCGATGGCGAGGAGCCCACCGAGGATGAGAAGCGTTCCCTTCGTCACATCGCGGAGCACCTGCCTATCTCCGCCTGGTTGGTGGCCATCGTTGAGCTGTGCGAGCGATTCACCTACTACGGCATGTCGGGCATGTTCCAGAACTACGTTCAGCGTCCATTGGATGGTAGTGAGGGACGTGGTGCCCTTGGTATGGCTCACCAGGGTGCTACTGGATTGACCACTTTCTTCCAGTTTTGGTGTTATGGTATGCTTTACAACCCAACTTGGTATACAACAGAGAAGAATATAATGACTAACTGTATTTCCGTCTGATTTAGTCACCCCTATCCTTGGTGCTATTGTCGCTGATCAATACCTTGGAAAGTACAAGACTATTGTTTGGTTCTGTTGTATCTACTTGGTTGGTCTTTTGATTCTGGTCTGCACTTCTATCCCTACCGCCCTGGAACATGGTGCCGGTTTGGGTGGTTTCATCGTGGCCATCCTCGTTATTGGTCTGGGAACTGGTGGTATCAAGAGTAACGTTGCTCCTCTGATTGCTGATCAGTACAAGCGCAAGAAGATGGCCGTCACTACCACCAAGAAGGGCGAGCGCGTCATCATTGACCCAGCCCTGACTATCCAGCGTATTTACATGATCTTCTACGGATGTATCAATGTTGGTTCGCTGTCTCTTCTGGCCACTCCTTACATGGAGAAGTACATTGGCTTCTGGTCCGGTTACCTCCTGTGTCTGTGCATGTTTGCCGTCGGTACCCTGGTCCTCCTCTTGGGACGTAAGTACTACGTCGTTCGCCCACCCCAGGGTTCTATCATCACCGATGCCTTCAAGGCCTTGTGGATGATGATTGTCAACCGCAACATGGATGCTGCCAAGCCCAGCTGGCAGCGTGAGAACCGCAACTCCGAGGCTGCCTTGCCCTGGGATGACCACTTCATTGACGAGCTTAAGCGTGCGCTTGTTGCTTGCCGCGTTTTCGCTTTCTACCCCATCTACTGGGTTGTCTACGGCCAGTTCTCCAGCAACTTCGTTACCCAGGCCGGCCAGATGACAGGTCACGGAATCCCCAACGATCTGATGCAGAACTTCGATCCCATCTCCATTATCGTCTTCATTCCTCTCCTCGAGACCTTCGTGTACCCTCTGATGCGTCGTTTGAACATCCCCTTCCGTCCCATCACCCGTATTGCTCTCGGCTTCGTCGTTGCCTCCCTGGCCATGATGTACGCCGCCATTGTGCAGCACCTGATCTACTCCGCCGGTCCCTGTTACGGAAACCCACTCTGCGCCGCCTCCGAAGTGGACGGCTCCGCTACTGGTAACAAGGTGCACATTGCCATTCAGACTCCCGCCTACGTCTTCATCGGCATCTCTGAGATTTTCGCCTCCGTGTCTGGTCTGGAATACGCCTACACCAAGGCTCCTCCCTCCATGAAGTCCTTCGTCCAGTCGATGTACCTGCTCACCAACGCCTTCGGTTCCGCCTTGGCTGAGGCTCTTACCCCCGCTGCCTTCGACCCTGCCATCATGTGGATGTTTGTCGCTCTGGCTTGTGCCTCATTCATTTGCGGTATTGTCTTCTGGTTCACTTTCCACCACCTGAATGCCCAGGAAGATGATATGAATGCTTTGGATGCTGATGATGATATGCCCGAGGAGCCTCTTCAAGCTGAGGAGCGCCGTGAGTCGAAGCAGTAGATCTGCGACTCACTTCTGTTATATTAGTATTATTGCACACTGCCTGGAAGCAGAAGTTCCTGCGTCTGAGACTGCTGGGCAGATATGTGGGATGAGATATGAAGTTAATCTCTAGTAAATAGTTACCATAAATATATTAAAAATGAAATTATACATAACATTCAAATGATGGATTTCTACTAGTGACCTTAGAAGGCAGTGCATATTTGTAGCACTTGAGGTGCCACAGAGTGTGGAGTGTGGAATGTTCGATGTGCTCAAGTGCTATTTATGGAATCGAAATCGTCCACTCAACGAATTAGCGTTAACTTGAACTTGACGCCGTCCTCCACATCCCGTTGATTGGCTTATTCCTCTGGGCCCGTGATTGTTCAGGTTGTGGCGTCAAGTACTTAGACACAAGTAGGCAGTTCTCCGTCAACGGTGCTTAAGAATATGCACGTTAATGCAAGTCAGTTAATTCAATCGGGCCAATTGGTCGCACAGGCGTTTTCGAGTCAGCCTCGTTGTATCGCGTGTTTACTCCGTACATTCGAGTTTGTGTAATGGCCGCCTGTCGATTAGGCGCCCTTATTCCACCATGGGCATATTCACGGTTCTACAGAATAGGCTGCGAGATTATAAGCTTTATCTCCAGATTTCTATATCTTCATTTAGTATTTCTTTAGGTCTATAACCCTAAGTATTATAGTTTAGTCCATGGAATAAAAAGCTCAAGACAATCATGACGTGCAGACTTGCCACCAATGTAAGTAGTGGGTACTTCCCATAATATGGAGTTAACTATGGGGCATCGAGTACCTGATACAAGTGGAAATGGTATCCTGACGTGCAGGGTCTCTAGATTAGTCCGCCGATCCCAGCCTCATAAATAGCAACAAAATGCATCAGCCCCAATGATGGGGCCAAAGCCGTACTCTGTAAGGGAGTCACTACGCAGGAACGTAGTCTTATTATGATTCTGTCTACCTACTCATAATCTCAATTCAATTTATTCTCCTATTTTATTTTAATTATTTTATTCTTCATTTCAAGGAACAACTCATCTCTTTGCCTCTCCCCTTATTAAACTATCTGAAACCCCTGATTATCACTTGAAACATTCTGCCTTCGATTTCCCACCGCTAGCGCTTCCGCCCACTTCTCCCGTCTCACCCTTCCCTTTCAATCTATCCTGAAACTCCTTGCTCACTTTTTCTACATCAATATCCTGTCATAATGAGTGTAAGTTATGCTCAATCACGTCTAGTTTGAATATTCCTGACAATGGTAGTACCAGGCCTTGGGAGATAACAATCAGGGGGGCTACGGCCAATACAACCCCTATGGTAGCCAACAGAACCCTTACGCCGAGCAGCAACAGAGCTATGGTTATGGAGGCGCTGCGGAGCAAGGCAATGGTGGATATGGTGAGTCCCTGAAAGCTTGATTCGAGTCCAAAGCTCGGGAGACACCAAAAACAAAGATGAATGCGACGCGCTAACCAGCCCCTCTCATCAATAGAGATGTCCAACATGCAGCAATCCGGAGGTCCAACTGCAATCCTGAACAAGTGCAAGGAGATGAACGATGCCATTAGTGAGCTGCGCACCAAGCGCGAAGGTCAGCTCGTCTCAGCTCAGAACGCCCTGCTGGACTCCAGCACCGGCAAGGAGGATCAGGCCGCCCGTCAGAACGTCGACTACATCGAGGATGAGATCAACACCGCTCTTCGCTACCTGCGCGACCAGTTCAAGCGCATTAAGGAGACTCCCGGCTCCGGCGATTCTCGTGTTTCTGGTCAAGTCGAGAATGTCAACCGCAACCTGCGCCGCGAGATCGAGCAGTACCAGCGCACTCAGTCCGATTTCCAGAAGCGTCTGGAGGAGCAAGTGCGCCGCCGTTACGAAATCGCCAACCCCGAGGCTACTCCCGAGGAGTTGGAGCAGGGTGTGCAGCTTGTTCTGGCTGGACAGGAGCAGAGCTTCGCTGTATGTTTTACCTCAATACTTTCTATCCTGTCTTTTGAGACTATTCTACATTCCGCGCGCAATCAGACCACTAATGAGAAATTTAGGTGCCCGGTACCCGTTCGCGCCAGGCCAACGATGCCCGCCAGGCTACTCTCCAGCGATCCGCCGCCATCCGTAAGATCGAGCAGGATATGATTCAGCTCGGTCAGCTGTACCAGGAAGTCGCTGAGTTGATTCACCAACAAGAGCCTGCTGTCACTCAGATCAACCAGGGTGCTGAGGAGACACACCGCAATGTCGCGGAAGCCAACACTAAGCTGGATAGCGCCATTACAAGCGCCCGCAACGCCCGACGATGGAAGTGGTATGCATTGGGTATTATTCGTAAGTCAACCATCTTCCCCGCTCAAACCGGGGATGTACCCTTTTTTTATTACCCCTCTTTGATATAATCTGACTAACACTCTTACTCCATCTTAGTACTCATTATTATTATCGTCGTCGCCATTGCTGTTGGTGTCACCGAGGCCAACAAGAATTAATCCCCCGAGTCACCAACTCCATAGTTTATTTCTTTTTTTCACCCGTGTACGACCCTATTATCCCAATGTCCGCGACCTAGACCGACTCCGACGATTCGATTCGATTGTATTGATCCTCGATATCGATCTAATTCCCTCACCTTTTGTCTTCTCATTCCCAATTACTGATTCCCGTTTGTCCCACGCCCTCCACCCCTTCGTTTCTATACCACCTTTTCGCATGTTTCAGTCACTTTCTTGTTTTTTTCCCTCTGTTTCTGTGTAAAAGCAATGCTCGATCGGCTTCGTTTCTTTGTGTTTCTCTCCTTTTCCAAATTACCATATGGCTGTTGCCTTCCTGCGTACAGCTTCGTTGAGACGGACCACCGCAAGTACCTTGCTGATGATGACTTGTTTCTTTGCTCCCTAGAATACCCTGGAATATTCAGCCGCCGCGTGCGATGCAGGGTTTCCTTGGATGTATATACTAGAATTGTTTGTTTTTCGATGCCCGCTTGTTTGGCGCTAGAATCTATCTAATACTGTTTATTAAGTAATGAAATCCTCCACTGCGAACGAATTCTGCAAATCTAAGTATGGACTCGGAGATGTATAGTTTTAGTAGATCGCTGATTGAACTTTCCAATTCTTCAACTCGATCTTGATTCTTCATGAATCGGGTATCCAATCCTCTTGAATAGAGAATACACTAATCAACGCTCAATCTACTCGAGTATCTCAAGTACAACATTTATCTTGATCGTTTAGCTTATGCTTATGCCTCCCGTTCCTTCTCCCGCTGTTCCTCCGCCGGTGTCTTCGTCTTCAACTGCAATGCGTGGATACCTCCCTCCTGGCTCATTTCTTCCTTCAAGAGGGCATATACCATGCGATGGCGTGCGGGCTGCATCTTCGATTCAAAGGCGGAGGAGGTAATTGTGACACTGGACATGTTAGCATCATGCCATACTCAGCTAACTCGTATTCGCCGCCGATGGGTGTATATGAATAGCCGAATATCGCATATAGCGTGCAAAGAGTGCGAATAGTGTCTAGGGAATAGGAGTGCGTACTGGAAATGTGTCTCTTTGGAGGTGGCACCTTGCATCGCAGCATGGTGTGCGTGCTTGTGGGAGTCATTGCGGATGATGAGGGTGGAGGGAGTGAAAGCATGGGCGATCTAGAGTTTCGATTAGCCTTTTCCTCGTATACCCATGCCTTTTTACAGATTCTGTCAAGGTGTATACCTTGTCGCGCATGAGGTCCTCCATTGGGGTTGCGGATGCCATTTTTGCGGAGACTGAGAAAAAGCGGCGGGGGATCTGGGTAGGGAGAGCGCGAAGCATTGGGAGGAAGGAGAAGGGAGGAGGTCGAGACTCCAAAGGATAAGGGTTAAAGTAGAATAAAGTCGAGTCGTGAAGAGGAGGTAACCTTGGAAAAGATAAGGAAAGCGGAAAAGATGTGGAGTTCAAAGTTGATTACATCCCGAGTCTGGGGAGTTTCCGCGGAACTTGAAAATGACATCAACTATTGTTCTTAATTATTCTTCAATTATTCCATACTGCCATTCTACCCTCCACAATACCTGGAAATACTTCAAAATATTATGAAAATCTTGTAATAGGCTCCCTTCAGCTTGCCCGACCTATGGCTCTCTGCATTCAAGCTTCGCGGCTTCGGCTTCTTCGACCTCGTTCTCCCATTCCCATCGCTCATGCACGATACCAGTGCCGAGGACCGGCGTTCTCGATTCACTCAAGGCTTCTCTCGACACTTCCTAATATCCCAATATTTCGATCACTTCAGAATCATGATCTTTCCAGTGTCGCTGTAGTGCATAGTGCATCGACTCGTTCCTTCACATATGGGAACCTTATTGCCGATGTTCTGCGCGCAAAGGATGATCTAGAGCGCAAGGCGGGTAAGAAGGGCAAGTTGGCTGGCGAGAGAGTTGCGTTCTTAGCAGAGAATAGCTATGATTACGTAGGTACTGTTACCTGCCTGGAATCTAACACTCAATTCTGTGGCATTGACTAATATTTTCTATAGTAACCCTTCTGGCTATCTTTGCCAGTGATGCCATTGCGCTGCCCTTGTCACCTTCATTCCCAGTTAGCGAACTTCAGTACATCTTGGATAATGCCCAGGCGAAAGTATTGCTCTCGACAGAGAAGTATGCTGACAAGGCGGGCCAAATCTTGGAGGCTGGTTTGAAGCAAGAACCATTGTTTGATATTCTACGAAAGATCGAGGTCGGTGCTGCTACCGAGTCTGTTCAACTGGATACTCTCAAGCAACCATCTGGTGGTATGATGCTGTATACATCAGGGACGACTAATCGACCGGTACGTTGGTGCTTCCGTTAAAGCCATAGCTCCATCTCTAACGAACAGACAGAAAGGCGTTCTTATCCCAGAATCCGCACTCGCCGCACAGGCTTCATCCCTTCTACAGGCATGGAAGTACTCCCCAGATGACCGCCTCCTACATTTACTCCCATTACATCACATCCATGGCGTAGTCAACGCAATTCTCGCACCTATCTTCGCCGGCTCCTCCATCGAATTCCTGTACCCGTTCAACACAGAACAAGTATGGCGACGTCTAGCTTCTCCATTTCTCTCTGAAAACACCACTCATCCTAAAATCACCTTCTTAACCGCTGTTCCAACTGTCTATAACCGTCTCATGAGCGCCTTCCCATCATTACCCCCGGATATCCAATCCGCAGCACAAAAGGGTATCTCGCCTGAACATCTCAGACTCAATATCTCCGGCTCAGCTGCTCTACCAACACCTACAAAAGAACAATGGACCTCTCTTAGTGAAGGAAACGTCCTCCTGGAACGATTCGGCATGACAGAGGTTGGAATGGCTATTAGCTGTGGTCTTGATCTCAATGACCGGGTAGATGGCAGTGTTGGATGGCCATTACCAGGTGTTGAAGCACGTCTTGTGGATACAGATACAGAGACTGTTATTCCTGAGGGCCAAGAAACAGATTCAACAGGTCGAGTTCGTGAGGGTGAAATCCAGTTACGCGGCGCTACTATTTTCAAAGAGTACTGGGGAAACGAAAAAGCTACAGCGGAGAGCTTCGTTGCTGCTGATGATGGTGGTAGCCCGTGGTTCCGAACTGGTGATGTTGCTACGAGGGAGATTGTCGAGGGAGCTGGAAAGGGAACGAGTGGAGAATGGGCACGCGGTCCTATGTATTTCATTCGAGGACGGAAGAGTGTCGACATAATCAAGACGGGTGGTGAGAAAGTGAGTGCGCTGGAGGTGGAAAGGGAGTTGCTTTCTCTGTAAGTTTTCCTGGCCCTTGACTTGGACTGTTTCATAACCTGCTTTCCGTTTCATGTACACCGAATGATCAAGGCTAACATTCTCAGACCCCAAATCGCTGAAGCTGCGGTTGTCGGTCTACAATCAGAGCAATGGGGCCAAAAAGTCGCTGTTGTCATCGTTCTACGTCCGGATGCTGCGTCGACTGGCCGAAATGGCAAGTCGTGGGGTCCGATGGATATGAGACGTGCGTTGAAGGATAGACTGGCGGGATATAAGATTCCGCAGGAGATGAAGATTCTGGACAGTATTCCTCGCAATGCGATGGGCAAGGTGAACAAGAAGGCTTTGGTGAAACAGGTGTTTGGGGTTTAAATCTACTGGAATTCATTAGATTCGATGTTCACATAGATTTACAGGTGGTTGTGTGAATAATTTTAATCTGCATCTTTTCTCTAAGTTTGCTGAATTCGTAGTGTACCAGTATACTCAAAACTGTTTGGATGACCTGACTCTTGATCAGTCGGGGAGAGAACTCATAGTTAGCTATGCAATGTACATAATTAGGTTTGATGATAATGAATATTGATGTGATGGAAATGAGAGGAAGATCATCGTCGAGAGAATTCCATTGGATATTATACATTCCATAGCATCATGCCAGTGGGAAAGAGAAGAAAATAATAGTACATCGTGATTTGGAACAACGTGGTGGTATAATATGGTACATGTGATCCGTCTGGCCTGCACACCAATAGAAAACAAAATAGTATCAAGCCCAATCGCCAACTCTCTCATACTCTTTAGTCAACTCAATAGCCTCCATCTTAACTTCCAGAGTAGACATATCAACTCCTGTGACCTTCGCATTCACAATCCCAAAAACATTGATGCGATCTTTACCCACACACCTTTCCGGCACGGAGACCACGCAGTTGACACCGAGATTGGTGATGACACCTGTGTAGACAGTCCCTTCACGTGCGGGAACAATTCTGGGTGTGCGGAGAAGAACGGGGAATGAAGAAGGAAGAGCACATTCTGCGAAATAGAAGGCACGGAAGAGAAGCATGCAGGCCCAGTGTTGGGTTGAGAATTGAGAAACATCGCGAAGACGGGTACGCAGGGGTTGAGAGTAGAGGATGTGATCGTCTATATCGATCTTTGAATATGGAAGAGGAGATGGAAGGATTGATGAGGATTCTGAAGGGTCTGAGTCGGTGATGGGTTCTGCTTCTGCTGCAGCAGACGAAGTTTCTTCAGCCGGAGCATTTTGACTATCCTGGTCTTGAGTCTCAAGATACAGGTCCTCCGCAGGCGCTGGCATGTCGGTAAGTGCATCGAATTGCCGGCCATGCTCTGCCTCAAAGCGCAACGCAGCTTCAATCTGATAATGCGCGATGACATCAGTAAACCGACGAAGAGGACTAGTACTCTTGACATAAGCATCAAGACCAAGCATGTGGTGATGAGCAGGCTCAGATGAAGAGAAAGCTTTCGGCATGGCAAAATGGTAGAAGCCCTCGCCGCCAAACTGGATCACATTCTCAGCAGTTACGCGCTTGTATTCTGGATCATACCAGGTACCGTCGTAGACAACTGGAATATTGCGAGTCGCGCAGAACTGGCCGGCGACATGGCCAGCCATGTTCATGAGCATTGAGACGAGGTAGTTCTTTGACTCGTCGCGCACTTCGTGCGGGTTGAAGTCTTGTAAGCGGAGTTCAATTATCGGGTCGCCTATGTAATAACGACCCTCGGTGACCTGCATCTCATATGGTTTCATTGGAGCTGTGCCCAACTGAACTGAGAGTGCAGGGTTGGGACGTAGCTGTTGCATATCGATGGCACCGTTCTTCTTTCGTTGCTGGCGGAAAGCCAGCATGAGCTGACGAAGGATGGTGAATGTCTCTTGATCCTCCGCCGTGAGTTTCTCACGGAGCACTTTGCCTTCTGGCAGAGTGTGTTTACTGGGCTGACCTCCGACAGAGAGAGCCTCCGGAGGCCGCTTGGCCTTTGGATCAAAGAAGTTTCGCAACGTACCGTGCGTGAGGCTGATGACGTTATGGACAGTTCCGTTTGTGACGTTGGTGTCCAAAATCTCTCCATCAAGGCGCATCTTCGCACTGAAAGTTATGGCTGGTCGACCAGGTTCAAGACTGAAGTGGCCCTGCGTAAGGGTTTCTGGGAAGATGGGATACGTGCGTTCTGGAGCATATGTGGTCGCCAGTCGAGAGGCCGCATACTCGACGATGGGATCATTTTGACTCAAAAAGGCTGTTGGATTGGCGACATGAACATGCATCCAGAATGTATCCTCAGAGCCTGGAATGCGCTCCAGTGACACCGCATCGTCGATCTCCTGGGCGGTAACGTCATCGATGCAATACACTGGTAGATCGCCCCAGTCCTTCCGCAGATGCTTCATGGAGTCCACCATTTCGGGAAGGTTTTTGCATGATTCCTCAATCTCCTCCCATCGCATGTCTTCCATGAGTGACACGCCGTGTCCTGGTAGCACCAGGTTTTGGTCGAGCAGACTGAGGTTTTCCCATGGAGCAATCACACCAAGTTCTTGTAGAAACATACGAGTAGATGACTCGCTCAGGCCAAGGGTGTTATACATGCCAGTGGCCCGCATAATATGTGATGCCGTCGACTTCAAAGTACCAGATGGCATTATGACGGCCGGATTGGCGTACATTTGAAGATATTCGATAATCTTCTGGTCATTTTCATTGAACTTCTCGGTCAGGACCTCGCGAAAGACCATTGCCTTCCCGTCCTGGCCGGGCTTAAAGCTTTCCGATGATGGGCCCACGCTGGACATGATTGTGGGGGACCGAACCTGTCGACTGAGTCGAATCAGGCGTTGTGCTTTTGCAATAAACTGCTGCATCGGGTGGCTGGGAAAGGTCGCGGATGTCCGTCCTGTTTTCTCAGCGGCTATTCCATCCAAGAAGCTTTGATGCTTCTTCCCCATGGCAAAGCGCGTGAGATACTCCTGATGTTCATGCACCCAAGTGGTAACATTCTCGACGACTGCAGCGATTCTCTTCGGCTGGATCAGATACATTGAGCTAAATAGATGCAGCGAGTCCTTTTCAAGAATGAAAGGATGACGACGGACAGCTTGATGGGTAGCGAAGAGGTTCACGCTGTTGAGCTCTGATTCTTCGATATCCAGAACTTGCATAGCCATTTCTTCAATAGTTAGTCGGCGGAACTCCGTCTCATCGGCGACAAGCTCATGTAAATTGTCCAGCTGATTCGAGTGAACTCGATAAAACTCGAGAATATGCTCCTCAAAGTTGGCCATCATCTCCAGAAGGTGCGCGCCAAGTGGCCGGGGGAGCCCGCCCTCTGGCATATTCTGGAGATCTGGGTTGACTTGGGCCATCCCTGAGGGAAAGTATTGTTTGATGGGTTCCAATTGTTCGACTGGAACAAAGCCCTTGATAACATAGTCCAATTCCCGGTTCCGACAGACTCGCCAGTTTCCACGAGCTGTATAGAACTGCTTTTGTCTATGAACGGATTGGACATAGATGGCAAATGCGAATGTTCCATCGGGTGTCAAGCGCGCCACCATATCACCCGGCTCCAAATGATCACCCACGAACTCATCCGATGTGTCAAGATCATCTTCTTGCGTTAAGTTCATTGTGTTCCATCCCGCATCGAAAGCGTCTCGGCCATTGGGCATAGATCCCAACAAGGAGCCAACATTCTCCGAAGTTGGTAATTGAAGAGGATCCAAGATGTTTGGATTGGTCGCTTGCCAGTTCCGAAGGTATTCGCGAATGTTTTTAAAGGCCTCAATTTCGGTAGCAGCATGCTCTTCTTGGGGACGTGATTGATCGAATTGATCGAATTGTTCGAGGGTTACTGACGGGTCCTGCCCTGGTGGTTGCTGGACAGACACAACAGTTAGCGGCGATTTTAACTCCTTGGATATTTCTTTTCTGAGCCGTACCTGGTCCTTAGTTTGATTGTCCAGTGCCGTTTTCAAGAGCTTTGTGGTGGAAAAGAAGCGGTGCCCCGGTAGTATAGGGGTCACTACCTGTGAAGCTAGACATGACGTCCGTCTTTGTCGAACTGCACAGCGTACATAGAGACTTCTGCCATTCGTAAGCCTCTGCAACGCTGCACTCTTCGGTAGCACCATGATCGTCTTTGGAGTCTTGGAAATGCGACGCCATCGAGACTTACATTATTCTGCGGTCATAATGCCATACCGCCTTGAGGCGGTAGTAACTGTAAACACCTCAGGTGTCAATAGTCAAGTGGATCCTTGTCAACCGTCAACTGGCAATTGCATTGTATACAGACGGCCGATCCTGTCTTTTTGATGCACAACAATCTTCAAGACTGTGTCCCTGGTTATCCATGATATTCGATTCTATAAGCTTTGACTCCTTTTGACTTCCATATCGATTGATCGTTCACTCGATACAATAACTGAATCTCACGCCCAGCCAGCCATGGCCCGGCACTAGAGCTAGCTCCTACGAGCAATGCAAGCCATCCTGCATCCGAGCACGAACACATTTGTACCTTACCATACTCTGCACAGGGTTACTGAGAATATCCGATTACCGTGAAATCCAAAACTCAGATGTCATACAACTCGGCACTCAAGAATCCTAGTGTAGACTGACTTCCAAGGTTCTGAAAAGACTCCATGATGCTTACACCCCTTTGCCCCTCTTTTGATATCAAATAGATATTCAAATTCCTTCTGGTTCAGTTTTATAACTTATACACCTCACATTTGTATTATTTACGTTGGGTCCCGTCCTCGGCATACTTGAACGGCTGCGGCTTCATGTGATGAAGTGCACTCGGGGTATTCCCCCACAGTTTCTATAGTTGTGTCGAACTAACATTGTCGATCCTTACTGACATATAGTTCGTGCGCAAGACCAAATTCCCAAAAACTGGGCTGGAACTGACTATCATTTCTCATCTAGGCTAAGCGAGCCATGGCCTGAGCTCTATGGCCGTGCGAACGGTCTATTTACCGTTTCTAGGAACTATCCAGGGGATAATTCCCGCGTCCCACTTGTCACAAGCTGAAGGACCCATCGGCAGTCGATCCCGGACAGGGTTCAATGAGCATTCAATGCATCCGCAACTCCTGACACAATCCAGCAATCACAGCCACAGTGTAATGCAGGAACTGTCCGGGGTCTTTTCTTCTTTTTGAGTTAAAGGCATAAATGCTTCCAGGGACAAGCCAACGCTAGCAGCATTTTCCAGGATCTGCATAGTTTGAATGTCGGTTATCAAGTCCAGGCATCTGCCCATTGGGCATTGAGATTTAAGTCCGATTTCCGGGGTTTGAACTAGTCATTCAATGTTTCTGCCATGTTTGTTCCCTGTATTATTTCCCATCAAGCTTGCAAGAAAATAACGTTCTTTAATCCACTTCAGTCGCCCCCACTCTCTTCTACCGGGAATAGAGCTGCTCCTTACCAGAATAGGCCATTGTACTCGGATGCTTTCTACCTATAATATGTGAAATTCACATCAAGTACCCACTTCGCTTCAGTCATAGATCCTGCAATGTCTTTCTACTGACACCTGCACATGTGGGCACTCTGGATCTATCACTCGGGAGGGGTAGGATACCCTCCGACTCGGAACGGACCATGGAGGTCCTCTTCTCCAGCTACTATCTATATAATAATGCTAGTGCGACCTCCATGGTCCTCTCCTGGCCTTTCAATCTCCGCTGCTCACACTCGGATGGATCCAGCTCACTATCGGATTGAAGTTGATCGGATCTTCCTGCCTGAGAAGATTATACTGTCCAGTGTTTTCCCTTCCAAGCTTCTCTTTTAGTCTGAGCAATTCATTAAGCCTCGACCTTTCCCTCGAGTCGAGCACAATGGCGGCAAGCCATCGGTTCGTTTTGGGATTTCTAACAGCAGCCATTGCTCCATTGGCAAAAGCCAGTATCTGCTTAACCCTCGCGCAGAGTGGCATTTCAATTGAGTACCCAGTATCTATCGACTACACGACCGATCTTACAGATTACTGGTCTGCAGCATGTGGAGACCTCAAGCCAACATGTATTGCCGCGCCCTCCAGTGCGACGGAAATGGCACAGATAATCATGAACCTCCATAATTCCAGCACATTGTTTGCAGTGAAATCTGGTGGCCATATGCCGAACGCTGGATTTGCGAGTATCGAGGATGGATTATTGATTTCGACAAAGAACCTGGACCATGTGACTTATAATGAGGCGGATCAGACTGCCGTTGTTGGACCTGGGCTTTCATGGGAGGAGGCGCAGAATGACCTCGATAGTCTTGTTCAGGAGCGGGCTCTTGTTGGAGGGCGTATAGGAGGCGTGGGAATTGGAGGTTACATGCTCGGAGGTATGTTTGGGAATCGGGACATCTGAAAATAATGATGGAGCTCATGTAAAGTATTGAGATTCTAATGATTATAGGTGGAATGAGCTTTCTCAGTACACAGTATGGCTGGGCTGCTAATAACGTGGCGAACTATGAGGTTGTCCTTGCTAATGGAACGATCGTCAATGCTAATGCTACTAGTAACACCGGTAAGACACAAGTGAGCGATTGTGCATCATAAGAAGGAAAAGCTGATTCGAGACCTCGATACTAGACCTCTTCGCAGCCCTGAAGGGATCAGGTAACAACATGGGAATTGTGACAGCTTATACTATGGAAACGCATCCCGTTGGCAAAGTCTGGGGAGGAAACTGGGTCTTTTCAGCAGCATCTACTCCCCAAATCCTCGCCGCACTGCGCAATTTTGTTGATGACTATCCCGATGATAAAGCAGCTATCATCCTGACTGCAGAGCACGGGGTAGGTGGACTTATTGATTTCTGGATCATGTTTCTCTTCTATGATGGACCCGAGCCCCCAGCTGGTGTCTTCGATGAGTTCGAAGTTATTGCACACACATCCGATACTCTGACTTGGGATTCATACTATAATCTACTTAAGTACAATGATTTTGCCATCCTTCAGTGAGTGCTCCTTCAGATACCAACTTTAGAGCTGCAGCTAACTCAGCACAGCGGCCAGCGCTATACTATTGCGACAGAGACAACGCCTGTTCCTAATGCTACTGTCGGATCTAGTGTCCTTCAAGAATTATATGATCACTGGCATAATGTGACCGAGTCTGTCATCAATGTGGTTGATGTTATCGGATCAATCGCATTCCAACCTGTTCCCAAGACGTTCTCAGAGAAGGCCAAGGCACGTGGCGGAGTAAGACCCCTATCACACTGATCACAAGTCAAGGAAGAACGAAGAAGGAAGCTAACGAAAGCAGGATCTCCTCGATGTTCCTGATGATACAAATTACATCTTCATCGAAATGGACTTTTCATATGGCTTGGCAAGTGATGATGGAACAATCGATCAAGCAAACCAGAGGCTATATGGAGGGCTTGGTAACATTGTTGAGGATAATATCGACAAAGGTCTTCTGCCAGACGTGTACCGACCACTCTTCATGAACGATGCCTATTTCCGGCAAGACTACTGGGGTCGCATAAATCCCGAGTCCAAAGACTTTGCGCTGAAGGTACGGGAAGAGCTTGATCCTAAGGGGTTCTTCCAGAAGCGAACGAGCGGTGGATGGCGATTGGAGTAATTGATCTGAAGAGAAGTCAAGTGTTGAGATGTTTGTATTGGATTTCAGATAAACGCTAAACATGTTTAACACAATGTCTATACAACATTAGATAAAGATAATTGACATCAAATGAATATCGTGAACAAACATTTCATTATGGACACAAACATTCCCCGGGGGATTTAGCCTCATCAATAGACATACACGGACTATCCCGAGCTCACAGGTGGGATAATAGCCACCTCATTCCCAGCTTGGATCACAGTTGTCGCATCCTCCTCGATATCGACGTATTCGCCCTCAAGACTGACACCACAGCTAACGAGAACTTTCTCTCTGATTTCGGGATATCGTTCCTCAAGGAGAGGGAAGAGTAATGAAAGTTGTAGTGGCGCAGGGAGGCGCTCGGTGTTTTTTGTTGTGTATTGGGATGCTGTGGCGAAGTAGTGGATTGTGAATGTCCCGGTCGGAGTCTGAGAGTCAGACAATTGGTTTGATGATGCCATGATTGAGAACTAATTCAGAAGAGATTGGTGTTGAAATAAAACATTTAAATGGAGAGGAGAAAAACACATTTGACGGCCAATCCCGATGCGAGTGCGGGGTGCGGAGTCTGATTAGATGGACTCCCCCTCTATACAGATGATAGAGCAGATGAGAACTTATACAAAGTCCACCAGTACTTCATTCTGCTACTATCAGTTTATTATTTTCAATAATTTCAAATGGTTATTTCCGAAATTTGAACAAAATTTCAAAACTTGAATTCTATAATATGCATGATCGTAAACTTGAAGTTTCGTAAGTGCTAAGGCATGATATCAATTGGGACATATCCAAAGACCATCTTCCATGTCTGGTCACTCTCATCACACTCATTCCGTGAGAACTCCATATAAAACTGATCCTCGTCTCGCCCCCAATGTGCAAAGTCGTCCCTAGTCTTTCCAGGCGGATAGCCGTCTCGCGGCCGAAAGATGCCATGAGGACGAATGCGTGCTTCTTGGGGGATAAAACCCAAGGACTGTGTTACTGACTCTTGATCGATATCCGTCAATGGAGGAGATGGGATTGAGGGTGTTCTAATATTCAGTGCCTTGAATGGGCTGCTTGGACTGCTCATATCAGAATAATATGGCCACGGTTGTTCATTGATAGGGGTCGTGATGCCCTCAGTTGTGTTGGGGGCAAGATCCAATGGTGATGTTGATATAAAATGGGCCTCCTCTAGTTCCATGATCTTCTCAACGACAATTATCCCGTGCTCGCGCTTGCTGAGACCTTGAATGCGATGTGAACTAGCAAGGAGTGACAATGCCGCCCGGCGGATGATCGGCTCGCGACATCGGAGACAAGTAAACCAAAGGGGGAGTCCGACGCTAATTTCAAAGGTATATGGTGATAATGCGCCATTATTTTGGACAGAGTTATTCAAGGCGATAGAGGCTTGCTCGACGATTGTTCGGAAGTTTTGTGTATAGGCGTCTGTGGAGACTCTCACTGGAGAGACACAAACGGAGAGGATCACGAGTAACATTTCATGATATGTGAGAAGCAGAGCGCTAATACTGATCTGTGTTGGTGAGAGACTCTCTTTTGTGTTCTCTTGGGATTTCATCAAGTTCGTAAAAGAAATTTGCCAGTCCCTTAGTCTGGCTGATAATGATCTTTGTCGCTCCATCAAGTCCTCGGATATGTACCAGGCGTGAGATGACTGCAGAAAGGTTTCGCATTCGTTCTCCAATATTGGGATCTCTGCAGCAAGGACAACGATGGCATCTCGAGCTGCCTTGAGAGAGGGGAATCCTGGCTTAGAAAATAACCCGCGTTCTCCATACGCCGTTTCCGATAATAAAGACATGGCAGAAGGCCAGGAAGACTGAGGAGCAAATATGCCCAATCGGACAAAGATTGGAATAACAGTCTCCCGTAGTAGAGCCAACTTATCGTAGGCTTTTTGCTCGCGCAGTGTTGCGATAAGTTGTACACCTTGAGCATAAAGACGCATGACCTCCTCTATACTGCCTAGCAAAGACTCGATACATATGAACAACACACATGTGATGAGTCCCACAAAGGCGTCCACGCTACCACGTTCGATGCCCTGCCAAACACCAGATACAGATCGCGAATACCAGTCCAGCGCATCCTGCCGATTCTGATTTAAAGAATGAGAGACCCGTTGCAGCGATGTGGGGCCAGAGTTTGAGTCAGGAGTCTCACACAGAGCACTGATGCAGATCATCGCATCCCACACTGCAGGCTCGCGCCGACAAACCTGCGGAACGATATTGAGCCAAAAGTCCACATCTAGGCCACCGCCAACAGATGTAGCGGCGCATTGAAAATAATATGCAAAAGCGCGTCGCTCGCGCGAGATCGTGTTGGGAGTCGACGAAAGAGGCGAAGCGAGAGCGCGAGATAAGATCAAGTCTGAGCTCAATTTGCTGTTGCCATACTCGCATTTGCGACCAGTTTGGGTGCATCGGAGACAGCTAGGCTTTTCTTCGCCACATTTGACTCTTCGGACTTTACATGTCTTGCATCCCAGTTTTGATTTCAGGGGTCTACCTGGGCTGAGTATCAAATTTGTGGATACACTGGGAGACATTGAGGCAACATGTCCGACCGGGCTTCAGACTCCCACGCAGACGAATTGTCACGATTCCCGGTATGTGTGTGCGATGATCATGAGGGTCAAGAATATTGATGGATTTTGCAGGATTTAGTACTATGGTGAAACAAATCTTGGCGATCTATTCCTGTCAGCATGAATCACATGATCTCCTATGAAAGATCAAGTTTCTACAGTGAAATAATTTTGGTTTCTTTTCTATTATCGGAATCTACTTAATTTAAACTAGTTGAAAATAGAACCTTGGAACATTTGAATAATATCAAAATAGGACCACCAAAGTGCATAGAATACTCGAAAGCGGATAGGCAATTTGGCTTATCTGCATCTACTAACTGCTCCATCCATCCAACATCCGCACTCACCGCACATCAACACCAAGATCTCCTATCAACATTTACACTACTATAAGAACGTTAATGAAGTCTGAGACTGGAAAATGCTATCTTTTCTTGCCAAGAAAGTCCCCCGAACAACCACAGCCACTCTCAACCCAATTCTTTTCGACAGTGGCCGCTCATCCATTGAATTCAAAGCTCCAAATGACCAGTACCTCGTGGTAAACCGTTGGCCACCCGCCTCCAACGAGCTAAACAAAAACATAGCATTACGTCCACCACTCCACTGGCACCGACATCAAACAGAGATGTTCCATGTTATTAGTGGAACAGCGAGATTTACATCGAATGGACAAGATATACTCAAAACCAGGGGCCAATCGATGCTCATCCCTGTTGAGACATTTCATACTTTTTGCAATGCCAGTTCGACGGAGGAATTAGTGATTGAATTTGTGTTGGAGCCGAGATGGAGAGATAGAGATGAGTGTTTCTTTCGTAGGTCTTATCTATCCTGGGTATCTTGGATTCGAGTTCGTTAAACTTATGCATGAATAGGTAATGTACAATCTTATCGTGATGATTGTCGGGAATCAGGCACCGCACGCAGCTTGCCCCAGGTCTTGTTATTCAATTATATGGGTGGCGTTGTGCTCGCTTTGCCGGGTCCACCTGTTCTTGCTAGGTTATTGGGAGTTTGGATGAACTTCTTTGGTGGTCTGATACTTGGCAAGTATATTTTGGGATATAAGGAATCATATCCAGAATACTATAAGCCAAAATCTTGAGGAATAATTGAGATGCTTGGGATTGGACTTGTCAGATGATGTCGGACTCACATTGAACGGAGTATAAATAGTAGTACATACTATACATATTATCTCCACATATACCCACCTGGGCACTGTATTAGTACCCCAGACTTTCTGCATTTGGCTCAAATCAGGCTCAAATCATTACTACTAGTAGTATGACTCGGAGTGGCGCATAAATTGGATCCAATATTTGAATAGTACTATGACCCATCCAAGCTGATTATTACTATTATCAAGTACTATCACAATCAAAATTTGAACAACTTGAAGCAGAACTACCTACCTAGGTATACGATCTACCGAGAAGCCAGATCCATGTAAATTGATCTTCAACCGTGACCGTGACTTGACAAATTGATTGCAACTTCAAATCCATGTTGAATTGATCTTCTATTGACATCTTGAACCGATAGCCCTCCTCTATGTACGGAGTAGTTCAACTATCATAATCTATTTCCCACTCAACTCCTTAAAAGCCTTCAACAAATCCTCCCTCAAATCCTCCCAATTCTCCAACCCAACACTAACTCTCAACAACCTCCGATCAACCATAGTATCCGACAAAGTCCTCCACTCAATAAGCGTCTCAACGCCACCAAGACTAGTCGCATGTTGAAAGAAATGCAACTTGGAAGGAAGAACTTTTGCAGAGCGTTCCTCCTTCATCGTGATAGAGAACACAGGCCCAAATCCATTCGGCATTTGTTTTTGTAACCAATCTCCCTCCGTCTTCTGCACACTAGCATGAAACACCTCTTCAAGTACACTCTGAACGATCTCCTCATCCGAACCAGCCCTCGGCGCTGGATCTTGTAATGCAGTATAGAGCCAGTTAACAAGACGAGTAGCGTTCTCGCTTTGTCGCTGAAGTCGAACTTCCAGTGTCCGTAGTGAGCGAACACAAAGCCAGGCTTCCATGTTACCCATTACAGAGCCCAGGAAGATCCTATCTACGAACAGCTGCTTGTACCATTCTTGATTCCGTGTAGCAAGCACGCCGCAAAGTGCGTCACTGTGTCCACCAAAGTACTTTGTACCGGAGTGCATGACGATATCTGCGCCCCAGAGGAACGGATCTTGGAGTCCTGGTGGAGCGAAGGTACTGTCAACGATTAGGTAGGCGCCACGACTGTGTGCCTTTTCGGCGAATGCCGCGATGTCGAAGGCTGTGCCGAACGGGTTCACGGGTGTTTCGAGAAGGATTACATCGCCCGATTCGAGATCCGTAGTGGCACAGTCTAGAGGCAGTTTTTGGAGACCTGTTAATCGGGTGAAGAGGTCAATAACGCCATGGCAGCCGTGGTAGCCTTCGCCGATGGAGATACGGCGAGGGTTGAGGAGTGTGAGAGCAGCGTGGAGGGATGAAAGGCCGGAGGAGTAGCTGATTGCGGAGCCGTTTAGGAGTGAAGAGAGGATTGTTTCGAATCGGGTGGGATTAGGCGCAGAGGCCCGGGAGTAGATATAAGTAGTTGGATTTGGGGGCTATCGGGGGAGATTTTAACAAGAATTTAGTATTATGGTAGGGTATCGGGCTATTTGGTTGCAGGTAATAGATAAACACATACTTCGCTAAGATCGGCAAATGGAATTAACGTCTCGGGGTCATTGGAATAACGGAAAGTAGTAGATAGATGCATTGGAGGAGCTACATCGGAGACGATATTGAGCACATCATCCGCGTGCAAAGAGCGCGTGGAGGTGCCAATGCTGTCGGACATGGTTATGCTATGTTCTCGAAATGGGGGAATTGTATGAACAGGAAGGTTCGAAACAGGAAGCAAAAAGTTATGATACAGCCCAGCGAGCTGACATGAATGATTTCAAAGACGTCGGGGGGGGAATTGGAAGAAGAATTGATGATGGAAAGAGGGGTGAACGCGTATCCGGTCACGTGGAGCGGGGAATCGCGCATGAGTATGAGAAAAAAAGAAGATGGGGGCATGAGATAAGGAGAACAGGATATGACGAATGGGGCTAAAATGGATTTATCTGCGTAGAGATCCCATGCGGGATGGTTCGCGAACAGATCCAGGTAAAGCCACCCTGAAATTGGTGCGATCTGCAATCGTGTTAGTCTGGAGCCACATCTATAGCCGATAGGTATATCGAGTGTGACACTTACCAAGTTCAGAATCGAATGTAATGGTGAGATCGTCATGTTCAATTGGATATTCGGGCATATCCAGGCACACGAATTTGGAAGCAGGGTCATCATCGGTCTTGGGGAGTGCAAATTTGGCATCCACGATACGAATGCCAAACTTGCCGGAACGACCAAAGGACTCGATATGATCCGTACCCTTGAGGACGAAGTTCATGCATGTGCCATGTTGGAAGTCGGCGAAAAAGGCAACCAACTGAATGATCTTTTCTTGTTTCACGATTTGAACTCGTGCTAGGTTGGCTTCCCATCTCTTGTAGATCGGGACAACACTGCGACGGCGGGAGATAGCAAAGCATGAGGCCGTCCTGATTCTTGTTAATACTGTCTCTCCTAATGATTAAATGTGATCAGATTGAAACTCACCCATCGTAAATGACCTTAAAACCAGTCACCGCTTCTTCAAATGCATGCAGATCTAACAAAAGACGAGTCAGCAATGCGAAAAGAGTAGGGCATAATCTAAAGACCCATGGAAAGAAAAGAGGCCTTGGAGACATACCTTGAATTGAAGCGAAATCAATCCGACGAGCCATTGGCTTCGCCGTGATTTTCTCAAGGAAACTCGTCACCTGCGCAGGCATCTCCGGCTGGATAAGATTGTCCGCCAGCGAAACTGTCAGATCCTGCTGTGCTGGGCGGAACAAACTCATTCCAGTCTTGCGATTGACATCCAGGCCAATCTTAAGCTCTCCAGGTCCTGTCCAATGTAAGTTAGTACAGCTGAATACACACTCCCATCACAAAGTGGAAGGTAACTTACCCAGATTTATGCGATCAGTCACAGATCCCCATTCTGTCGCAATAAAGGCCCGCAGATTTTCGGACAGAATGGTAGGACCATACCCATGCTCTGCATGGCTGTGCTCCTGATCGATAACAAAAACGTTTCCGGCTGGGAACTGAATATGGTTGACGGCAGGCTGGCCGCTCGCAGACTCTCCTGGTTGCTCAATGGAATACGAACGAATGGGGATTTCACGAGTCTTGGACTCTCCTTCCTGCGGAATCATCCCTAACAATACAGCGTGCATTTTGGTACGTTCTTCTACTTCATGGAAAGTGATAAGCATGGATCGGGTTCGGCCATCCTCAGTCACCTTGAGGAGAAGAGCAGGAGCGCCATTTTCTCCCCTCAGCAGACCAAAGACCACGGGAGATCCATGAGCGAGAATGTGTTTCACATTGCTAAGGGTCTTCACTTTAGGGCTGGTCAATACAGTCAATCGGAATCCGCGATGAGCATTGCGCGAGCCAGTGCCTTCTTTGATCGTGACCGAACGTTCAAACAACCGAATGCGACAACGTTCCAAAGGCTCAGGAGGGAAAGCCTTAGGGGTGCCAGGGTCCATGTACTGGAAGACCTTCACAGTGTTCTCATAGACAACGGTCTCACCCTCCTCTGGCGCAAGACTAGCCTCTGACTTCTGGGTGTACTTGACAATGTTCCAAAGGGTTTTGAAGTCTTCCTCTTTGAACGTCACATCCAATTCAAACCCACGGGACAATCTGACTCTCATGGAGTGCGTCCGGGCTTGCCATTCCACATCATCCCAAGTGGGACCCTGCTTTCGGTCGGATTGAATCATGATGTTGACCAGCTGACTTTGACTGGTAATAGCAGCAAGCACATACCAATCTGCCCGCTCTCGAATAATTGTCAGGCAGCACTGAATAGCATATTGCTCCCCATCGTCGTCTCTAGAACTCACACAAGCCTGAACAAACATACTACCATAGCTAAAGTAGCGAGCCGAGTCTCCCAGTGGCATCATGTAAACAATGCTAGGTGTCCTGCCCGGCTTTTCAGCCAGCATGGATCTTGTTGCTGCTCCCGAGAGCACGGCCGACACGTTGGGGGCGAAGAAAGGGTAACGCAACCACACGCTGGTGTCAAGGTGGCTGGGGGAGAGGTCATCCTCACCGATAAGCGCAATGATTTTGTTGCGCTTGACTGACATGGACAACGATCGCAAATGATTGAGAGTAGTCTGGTGCAAACTCAATAAATCAACCATCTCCTTATCACCTGTCGTGCTTGCAACAGCCAAAAGCGCATCAATTCCCATCTGTTGGCCGTAGCGAGACAGTTCAAAATGCCCAGGCACAATCTGTTCATTGATCCATAAGGCTTTTCCAAGATCAACAATGGCCTGCTTCGCATAACTTGGAGGACAATTGCTGCGCATGCGAGCGAATGTCTCTAAACGTGTCTTTCCTCGCAAGAACCACCAAACCGCAGCTCGGATCCATTCCGCCAGGGATGTCTCCGCAAGAGGTTTCACACTTTCTGCTGCAAGACGAAGCAGGCTATCGTATCGGTTGATATATTCTTTGAACTCGGTGAAGGCAGTGTCGCCGATCTGCGCTGCGATATTGCGCAGAGAGAGCTTTGGCGCCTGTGGGTTTCGCGGTGGTTCCTGACTCGCCGCAGTAGGAGCTGAAGCCATTTGACTCTTGGTGGATTTCTCATAGGGAGGGGAGGGTTCAGGGTGAGCCGCATGTGGGGGTGGCTGAGGAAGCTTAGGTGGTGTTTGCACAACCCTGCCTGGGCTTCCTGGCCTTAGCCCTGCAGGGAGTCGAGGGTCGATGGGACTTAAATTTGTCGCGCCACGGTAAGAAGCTGGGCTGCCAGGGTTCCGAATAGACTGAACGATTGACTTGAGGGACGGCGCATTCGAGGTATACGAGATAGGTGTTTCGTGAAACGAGTCTGATTTATGTGCGCTGTGAGGACTGTTGGGGCTATGCGCACTGTTCGCACTATGTCCACTAAGCGCACTATGAGTAGAATGGATAGGGCTAGTCACCGCATCGTCCTCATACTCATCGTTGACCTCTCTTTCTACTGGGTCCTCCACTGGGGAGGCCCCGTCTTTGTACCGATTATGCAACGCCCTGGCTTCCTCCACCTGCATCTGATTGCGCACACGCTCTGCAAATGAGTGTGAATCTGGCGATCCCCGGAATGAAAGGCGAGACCCAGGCTTGGTGATATGAAGGGTGTTAAGAAGATCGGCATCAGGGGTGTTTTCGACTAAGGGAGGCTTCCAGTCCGGGGTTATTCCACTTTGCACATCCTGTGGCTTTCGGCGCTGTGTACCAGCATCCTCAAGCGATGTGTTCACGCGCAAAGATGGCAAGTCTCTAGAGGGGTTTGGTGACCGCGACGGAGCACGCTTGGGTTGAGCAGGCACTTCTCTATCCCGAGCACGTTGTCGCGACCAGGAAATCTCAATCGTTGGTGCTTCCGTTTCGTCACCACCCTCTCCAATTATCTCTGGTGTGCGATCACAGAATCCTACTCGGAGGCCTTTGTTCTTACGGGGCTTGCGCGGAGGACTGCGTGTTTGCGACTGTGGCGATGGTGGTGGGAGTTGGCGGGGTAGGGATGGGGGTTGAGCTTCCGCAGGGCTAAATGCAGTGTACTTCTCGGTCGCCTTCGCAGTCGCAATCGGGGTCTGGGGAGTGGTAGTGCTTGCGACATCTTGCGAGGCAACTTGATATGTTGAAACGGTCGGGGGTGGTTGACTAGGATCGGCTTTGGTCGATACCGGTTGTTGGGGTTGCGGACGATTAGAAGCAAGGAAGTCCTCGATCTGTTTATCGGCAACAGCACCCTTGTTCTTATCCTTGGAGAACAGCTTCTCTCTCCAATTGTGAGATTTCTTTACCGGCTTGGGCTGGTCTGCAGCCACTGGCAGAAAACCGAATGGGTCATCACCAGGCATATCGAGTAGTTGAAATTAGTTGATGAGAATACAAGCCCAACGCGACCGACGTAACCTCTTTGCGCCCAAGGTGTCCAACCCAATATTGATGAGGAAACCAGTCCTCATCCAATCCCCCCCTTCTTCTTTCCTCAAAGGGAACCTTTGACACTTACACCACTGCGATCGACAGGGGTGGAAGTAATGAACAACCCGTCAGAGAGATCAGGGAACGTTAATCTTAGAGAAAATAGGAGAAAGAGAGAAAGACAAAGGTGGAAGGTGGGATATGAAGAAAATGAAAAAAAAAGGCAAGGAGCGAAGGAGGGGTGTGTTAATGGTAGCGCCCGTGCATAGGACCAAGATAGCTTTGGATGGAGTCTCACAAGGAGCCAGCAAAGAGATCCAGGTGGAGTCTTGGTGATCGACGGGATTTTGGCTTTTTTGGGGGTCTCTTGGAGTTCTTCGAAATGTTGAAGAGCAAGATCAAGAGTAAAGAAGTGAAATGTCTCAAACAAGTCCAATGGAAATGTGTTTGTAGACTCAAAAGGAGTTGTGTTGACAATGAAGCTGGACCGGAAGGGAATAGTAGATGAGATGGTGGAGATTTGACTAGATTGAGATTGGATCCTTTTTCAAGTTTGATCTTCTCTAGTGTGTATTTGGATATGGAATTGAATTATGAATTACATGAATTTGATTTAATAGAGATCTTCAAGTCTTTAACATACTATCAGTTTATCAAATGTCAATTTCTCTTATACTATTCCCCGGTTAAGTGGAGTAGATGTAGAGATGACACTTGGATCTTCATTTCCGGAGTTTTATATTAGATTAATAGGTATACAGTTCCAAGGTTCATGAAGTTCAAAGAGGACACTACTAGGTATTCTCTGAATATCAAATAACTTCAATGTTCACGTTGAACATCCAAATGTTTGAATGCTAGTGTAGCGCTATACACCAGCATACGTACCCCCTCAGCCTCGTTGTACCAGTTTCACCACTTCCATCTTGCTGTTACTGCGACCAACACTTAATCCTCCCCTGTAACCCATCAACCGCGCTCCTCTTACCCAATCAGAATCGTGAACCAAACCGCGTCTCATGGTGAAACTCCTCTAAACCCGGTTCGGCCATAACTAGATGGGCCCCAAGCGGGTCCCGCTGACGAGTTATCCAGAAAAAGAATTTCTATTTTTCGCAGATGAATCGTGGTCGAACACGTAGATCCTTACTAGTATGTCTCTACTAGTATCACGAAGATCAAGAGAGCGTTGCGTGATAGAGTATGACTGTTTAAGTTATTACCATCTTTACTACATAGAGGGAGAAGATATGCACATAGTATTCTAAGCTTTCCTTCAATTCAGCTGCCTACCGGCTAATAAAATAGTCTCTTTTTTAAATTGAAGGTACTCCATAAAACTCCATAGATATCTGTCCATGCACCTTCGCTAATCTGGCAGTTGATCATATGCCCCTTTTCCTCCCCGGCTTCCCCCTTTCGTCAACCCGGCGCCAGGGGGATTGAAAAGAATGGGCATGCGATCCCTGCCGACCATCCGGGTTCCTATTCGATACAAGAACACTGCCAGGTTCAAATAAAGATGCCTTTGGGGTTTCTATCACTGGGTCGGGATAATATCTCCCAAATCTCGGGAGTCACCGCTACATTGTTGAATGCCGCTAAAGCATACGTATGTGGAGGGTCCGAAATACGGGTCATGGGGAATCAAGAGGCACCACTGGGCTTGTTCTAATTATACTAACCGCTTAGTCTCCAGTCCTTCTCGTATTCAAACATTTCAAGTTGTTGCAACGTCAATCATTCAAATGTTTGAAGGAAACCAACTCAGGTGCTACTCTCAGGCCGTAACCTTGTAATGCGTCTCCGAGTCGACATTGGTATACATAGGTAGTATACTAGTAAAATCATAGAATATCCAGATGTCAATACTACCTAGTTCTAGTAGTACTAGAGTATGTAAACATCCTCAACCCAGAGCGGACGCCTGCATTCATGAAGGACTAGTAGACTCGGAGTTTCGGAGCAGCCTGAACCTCAAGTCTATACTGCGATTGTAACAACTGAAAAATCTTTGAATTTCAATAGTACATATCGGTTACATGTTTTTGGGACACTGGTTTCAGATTAAAGCATCAAAATTTGAACATTTGAAGCTACGCAAATGCAGGGTATACTTGTCTGGTGGAGAACCCGATCTGCAGACTCGGACGATCCCTATCAATGTCAACTGAACCAATCCGCATGTCAGTTACGATCTGGGCACTCACGCTCCCAGTCATATTGTATGTGAAGACCCTTATCTACCTACGTACCTCTCACTGGCAGGATCATAGAAGTGTTCCACCTGTGATGCCCACTGGCACATGCGCGTCTCCACCTGGACCCCAGGGCCGTCGATACATAACCTTGGAACCGAACTCAGCCTCACATGCACCTGTGGGCGAGTCCAAGTACCTGAGGCTTTACATCATGATGTACCTATTTTTAGCCAGATTTGCAGACTCGGAGATGACAACCTTGGCACATTGTTTGAGCCTGCACCTGGGCAATGTGGAATGTCTACAATTCAATGTCTGAATTAGTTCAACTTGAATCCACTGGCATGGAGAATACTTCAATGGTTGAATTTTGACCCCAAGGAACGGTAGCTTTATGTCTGAGGCAACCACATGCACATGCATACTCTTAGTCCAAATCTCAACTGGCAGTCAATGATGGAGAGTGATCAATTGATTGATAAAAACTACCCGTGTTTGATACTACTTCAAGTTCACACACTTCACGTTCTTTACAGCAGAACCAACCCCGGTTGGAACTCAATTCCTTGACATCAATGAAGCAAAGCCGATCAATCATTGCGATTTGAGGGAATCCCACCAATTCATTCAAGATGATTTTTCTGTGTGAGCCTAAAGAGATATCTTGTTACCCATAAAGAGCCTGAGGCTCCCCCACTCAAATTGCTGAGCAGATAGTATGGAGGGTGAACTAAACCTTGGAATCATGGAAGCCCTAGTTCCCTCTTGGGGTTACTGCAGAAACATGCCCGTGGACCCTGTCTGTAATCAATTCAAGGTAAAATCTCCTCTTAAAGACATCTGGAGTTTTTTACCCTTAGGCTATTCCAAGATTGGTTTGAATGTTGTTCAAATGGATACCACATGTGCACTAAATACTATACTATTTAACATTTTGAACAGCTTGAAATGTGCATGATTGCTGTAGGCCCATAGACAGACGTACGTGCACTGGCAGATATTACACCTTGTCCATGATTGCCGTTGTATTAAAATTTGAATCGATCGCTTCAGAAACATTGAATGGGCTCTCTTCTAACTCATGTGCAAGTACTCAGTGCTCAAAGTTTTTACATACTACTCCAAGTCGGTCTAACTTCAAATGTTGGATTAGTAGTAAAACCAGGACTGGGGTTTGAGTGCTTTTCTACGACTACAAATGTGAGCAATCTAGGCGCATTAGTATATGACTCGAAGTAGTATGCACACATTCAAGTTGCTATGTAGATAAATAACACATAGGTATTTCCAAGTCAGGCGGCCAGTGGGTAGGCACTCCAGATGTCGCTAGATGATCATCCAACCCTTCTAGCTTGAGTTTTCCTGCCTGGGTGCTAATGCTTATAATATGATACAACATGATGCCAGCATGACTACAGGAATGCCAATGCTAATAGCGATGCTTATTTCCAAGGTTGACTATACCTACACTCAGGCTGGCACGTATAGGGAGAGAGATGATTTAGTTTTAATTTCACTTTGTATTTCGTGTTTAGAGAGTGGATCAGTCACGGTTTGCTCAAATATATTAAAAAAAATCAGGTGAAAGTGTGCAGTTTTTAGTCATTTCTGTCTTAGTACTTGGTCTTACTTCCAAGGTTAACTCATGCCCATCAGATTCTAAAAAATGCGTTCATTATGACTGTTATACTAGATACCCAAAGCGATTTTTCTTTGCTCAAGTATTTACGGTAACTTCAATGTTCAAGTTGCTGGGCAAAACTCTAGGTGGCATGATGGCCGGCCTAATAAGCAGATCTTGCATTTGAGCATCAGCTCATAGCTAGGGTTTTATTGGTGCATCAGACCCTTGTTCAGCCACAAACGAATATCCTCGATCAGTCCCCCACTGTGCCACTGAGACATCACCACTCACCATCCGCAGATTTCCACCACTTTTCCTGACCCATGAGCAAAGCTACAACTTGAAGAATCTATGTTTTATCTACAAGTTACGAATGGCTTGTAGTGAGACTTGAAGTTACTTTTTCTATGTTTTCTTTTTCCATTAGACTAGCGAGAAAAGGCAACCGTTGCATATGCAGGTATAAGTATAAAATCTCCCGGCTTGAACCAGTGGAACGGGATCAACATGGAGTGAGACACTGAAACATACTCGGCAAAGCTGAAAGATCGACTGAAACCAGTTTCTAGAGCATTCGACCTGCAGAATCAGTTCATCTTGGATCAGATTGGAAGTATTATAAGGGACGACCCTGAGCCTAAAATAGATATACGCAAGGAGCTATAAGGCTGAGCAATACTAGTTATTATAGTTAAAATTATATTAGAAAGTTCACCAATTCAGCACGGTGACTCAGACTAAGAAAGCCGAGATAGTGAGCCGAATTTAGTGTTATTTCATCCTTATTAACTACTTAAATCAAAAGTACGAATTCTAGCGCGTGGATAGTTTTCTATAGTCATGTACCCCGTAGAACTCCACTGCGACCCAACAAGGCGCAGCATAATGATTTATTACTGCCTATTTTCTTTTTAATTTTTTTAAGGGGTCATTCTTTGGTGTCTTAATCTTACTGTTCAAGTGTTACTGAATTTTCATTCCTTGAAATTTAATTCATATCAAGTGAGTTGTCTATTCTAGGTGGCCTAGTTTTTGTACCGCTTCGAAGCTGGGCACTAGGGGACTGCAGACTTACGTAGGCTTTGGCTCTTCCGCCCCGAAATTCCCCTCTTTCTCCAATAAACCCGGATCCTAGCATCCACTTAGCCACTCTCTTTCATTCCCGATCGAACTGGATTTTTTTTTCTCCGCGCAATCCCTGACATCTCCCCCAACACAGCGATTCACAGAGACGCCGAGGTGGACGACAGATGAAAAACTCACCCTTACCCGACCTTGCCCCCCGAATTGTCAACACAACGTGGATTCGATCATCCACGGGGGCTGACCTCCCCTAGGAGGTCATCCCGAATGCCCGAGACACTCGAGATGTGTCACGACTCGATGCGATTCCGGTGCCATGCCACAGGTATGGCTGGTCGACAGCAGGGTGCGCCCAACTGCGAGAAATACGAGAAATATGAGTGTCGCGACCGACCCGTTCAAGACCGACAATGGCGAGACACATACAAACCACGATGGAAGACAATCTCATCAGGCTCCAGCTGGTGGACTACAATATTACTCTGTCTCATATTATCATTATCATCACCTGCAACCGCGGCATTGCTCAATTTCGACAACTGCCTAAGCAAAAGTATCCTGGAATCCGCCCCGTTAATGCTTCAATACGTGCCTCTTGACGTCGCAGTTTCGTTCAACCTAAATGACTCTTTACATCCGTTGAATGTGACCGTCTATGGAAACGTGTCGGGAACTGCGGACCAAGCGCCAAATTATCCCCCGGAGAATAGTGCCAACTGGACCAATCCTAATTCCACAGAAGGCAAGATTGTCGACCTGGATGCCTCGAATAACAAGTACAGCACACTTTTGAGCACCTTCAATGTCTTAAGTTTCACCCCCTGGAGCAATCCCTCGAGGTTTTGCAGCTCCCTGATACAAGGTGAATGTCCACTGGCACCGGTTTTCCAATACAATCTGTATGTATGCCCTCTTCAACAATTCTAATGACATTGCTGTCGTTGTTATCGCGATCAATGGTGAACCATTTTTCTAACATGGGGTCTTTTTTCATCAGGAGCGATTTGAGCACCCTGCACGCGTTCTCCGTTCAACATGATATGCTTTCTACCTACCGATTTTCCACAATCACGCCAAACTTGATCATTCGATCTGGAGATGCTGCGGCAGATATGTTGGGATGTGTCACAGTATCCATCACGCCAGACTTTGGGTCGCCTCTGAAAAATGCGCTGGCCTATGTGCCATTGATCATATTGATCATGGTGGCTGTTGGCAGTATTATCGCGGCCATGTATACACCGTGGGGTACAACGGACATATTTCGGTGGACCAGTAATTACGGCCGTGATGAGGACGTTCTGCGCCTTGTCACACCTGGCTTTGCTGATTGCCTGCAGTATCTCCAATTTGTTGTGCTGACTGGCTCCTTGTCCCTGGATTATCCAGGGTTCTTCCAGCCTGCCGTAAGCCACGGTTCTTGGTCTGCCCTGATGTTCAACCAGAGCTTCGTCCAGTCGGGAGGTATGAATCCTGTTCAGGACGGAGTTTACACGATCAATGGCACATACGGATTGGATCGAATGAGGCAGTTGGTGGGTATGTCTTCGGATCAAGATATCTGGCCTGGAATGATGATCTGGCTGTTGATTATTTTGGGAGCTCTTACCTTGATAATCCAGCTCGGCTTCTCATTGCGCTGGGTGCACCGTGAACTCGCACATAGCACTGAACAGGACCTACGTGCCAAAAACATGCCATTCACAGTCGGCAACATCATCCGTGTCCTGTTCAACTATCTTCTACTCCCTACAATCTCGCTTTCATTCTATCAGCTGGTCACTGCACAAGGCTCTCCTGCGTATAGTGTTGCTCTGGCTGCGGTGGTGATTGTGGTGCTTCTGTGCTTCGCCATCTGGTTTGTGCGAGTGATCGTGTCTACCCGACCGACGTCTCATCTTTTTGATGATCTCCCGACAGTTTTACTGTACGGTCCACTCTACAATACCTATTGCGATGATGCAGCTGCCTTTGCTATAGTGCCAATATTCCTGAACTTTGCACGTGGTGTGGCCATTGGTGCACTACAGCCATCTGGCATTGCTCAGGTTGTGCTGCTTGCTATCTGTGAAGTTGTATCGGTGCTTACACTGATTGCATTCAGACCATTCCCTGGTCCGACCCACATGAATATCTACCAGTGCCTGTTCTCTTTTATCAGATTTCTGACAATTATCTTAATGGTGGTCTTTGTTCCATCCCTCACTGTTTCCTCCGCGGCGCGAGGTTGGACTGGCTACGTGATTCTTGTCTTACACGCCATAGTCCTGATATTTGGATTCTTCCTTAGTGCTCTCCAAACCTTGATTGAGGTTCTGGCGCGACTAGCTGGCGCTGGTGGAGCAACTCGCGGCGGTCTGGTCAAGGTCTTCGGGAAGCGTCAGCTGTCAAGGCGTGTACCTGTACCACGGCGGGATATCACTCGGCAGAGCTTGGGCTCAGAGGCAGCCATGTTAGCAAATGTGGATGATCGTGTTTCTTCTCCATATGAAGAATCACGTCCCCGGAGTTTATCTGGAAGTTCAGGTCTCCTTTTGAGCCGTGCAACTGGGAGCGAAGGTCGTGCTAGCGCAATGATAGATTATGCTAGTTCACATGGCGGTCACAGTCGTGCTGCAAGTGCTAACTTGATGGCAAACTCTCCAACCGCTTATACCGGAGCAGGATTTCCGCCTAGCGGAGACTCGCCAAGTAGTAGTACTTTCATTGGTGGGTCATCGCGAGATCCATATTACCGACCTCCTCGACCAGGCCGACGAACACCCCAACAAGGGTCTGGAGAAAGGAGTAAGCGAAGCTCAAGAAGTTTTATGAAACCAATCCGGATGAATACAAATGATTCCATCGATACTTCTGGGCGAAACACACCGGTGCCTGCGTATTTACCAGCACCCAAAGATGACATGGAGATGGATGATTCGCATCAGCAGAAAGACTATGCTGTTCGAGAAGTTGACTTCTATTACCGAGTCCGTGGCCCGCCCCTTTCCCACACCGGTACTCGCAAGTTGAAAACTGGTCCTGCCGATCCTACAGGTCCTGTCTCATCTGCTACAGGTTGGTTCCGCGGCATCTTCCAAGGCAAGACTAAAGACAAAGGCAAAGGATTTGAGGTGGTTCGAAGTGCTCGAGCACCTCCGCCTGGACTTTTTCGAGAAGCTGCATACAATGGAGAGGAATATCATGACGACCCAGAAGACTCTGCTGCTGCTGTAGCCGCTGGTTCTGTTTCTGGTGGCCACTCGCGCAATGTATCTGCAGGCGAGGGTCAGTACCTTGATTCAGAAGGCGATCATTCGAATGATGATAAGCCCAAGGGGTCTCTGGATGGAAAGGCTCCAGTTCTTCCACCAGTGGGTTCTGTAGGTGGCATTGAATTACCCAGTCGCACTGGATCCCGCCGTACACAAGATGGACTGGAGAAGCCTGAAGAAGATGGTTCGGAAGCCCTCCCTCCAGTCACAGAGGCTTCTTCTCATTCGCGAACTCATTCAAGGGCTAGCACGCAACCTGCCCGCTCTGATCATCTTCGACCTGAGTCCCCTACTACAGGGCGATTACCTTTTAGCGGCAGCAGCTCACCTTCCCAAGAGCGCGGTCTTTCTGTTGCATCGACATCTGGCTCACTGACTTCCAGTCATCGTACTGGCCACGACGGAACACGCAGCGAGCGACCTTCTAGTATGGGCTATGTTCCTCAGCATCGCACACAGGATAACATCCATGAGGCACATATCGATGAGCCATCTTTTGCTGGCAGTTCTGCAGAACTAGTTGATGAACAACTGAACGATGAGCCATAAGAATGTCTGTCCTATCTCCTTTCCCTCCTGGGCTGTTGTACATTCAAATCCAAATCTTATACCGATCCATTATCTATCTCCTATGACCCTCCTCAACATACCTTCTATCTACTCTCAGAATCATCCCAATGTACTGATTTTCAAATTCTGGTGGCTTTGATTTTGTGATGCCACAGTGACGAATTTCCTTTCCTCTCTCCGTTTCCGTCTCCAGTACCTCTTATTGCGTTTCTTCTTCTCTCTTGTCGTATTTCTTTGCTCTTGTACCTGCTGTTTTTAATCTCCAAAAATTGCTGCGAGGCGTTTGATCTGGTTGAAATTTGGATAGCATTAAACTGTCCTCAAAGCATAATTATTGTGACTAGCGTTTTTAATTAATTCTATCCCGAAAACAGTACTTCTAACCAAACTATACACAACATGGTTAATGTACTGGGCTGGTGAATATTGCTACATAATCTTATCATGATATCACAGCATTTGAATTTCCTTCAATTCCGAGTCTTGCCCAGGTGCATACCACAGTATTAAGTAACACTGCACATGTGCAGCTTACTGACATCCATAGGTATTTGAGTATTAAATTCCTTTGAGGGCTCCAGGCCTAGTACTATAGTATGATTTGGAACAGCCCTGGAGATGCATAGTACGTTCAAATGTTCCTGCACAAGCCTTGCACATCTTGATACTAGTTCATAGCTTCTGCCAGGATACACACCATGTTCAAATTTGAACTATGAAATGTTAGTCTCCAGCAATAGACCAAAAGATCAACACCCTCACCCAGCCTATAATTCCCTAGACTTCTAGTATACAAGATTCTTCCTAGGACTCTTATACTCAAGTGCTCCAATAGAGCAAGTGACGTAGCGGAGATAAGCGCTTATTTCTGCCAGACAAGACCGCCCTGGCCCCACCGATAAGGCTCCCCCGTTATTTGGGCTTTGATTCTCCTGCATCCACCAGAATCTCCTTGTTTGGTCTTCGCCACTGGAGACTTTTTCGGGAAAGGAATTGCCTGAAGGTTTTGTGGAACAGTTTTGCCGCTCCATACTCCTCACAATAACAATATAAGGGTGCAAATCCGATCATATTCCGTGTCACGAGACCAGTATTCGTTATAGCCCTGCGGACTGCGGCTCTCTGAGTATTCAACTCCAATATGGTGTGTCTCCTGCTGTGAGCATGACTTAAAAGAGTTAAACCAGTTGGTATGTGTACATTACACATATACAGGCCCTCCAAGTTGATATATTGACAATATCATTCAAGTGCCTGCAATCAACATCATACGATTGACTGGAGAGTTCAACATCTGAGAAATCGTCTGACCTCTCCAGAAACACGATCTCAATATACAGCATCAGAATCCTCGATTGACTAAGAAGCAAGATGTCTGCTTCTAGTACCGCATCCTCAAGCCCACCTGCTAGCAGTCCACCTCCACCGGCTCAAGAAACAGATGCGAGTTTGAATCAGGAGACCAGTGAGGGGGCGGCTCGCCATACAAGTCCTATGAGGATATCAAGCAGCCCAATGAAAAGTGATAGCGAAGAGAGTGATGAAGCAATCAAACACGGCAATCGAAGTGAGCAAAGCAGTGACCTTGAAATAACACTAGAACTTCCCGCGAGACTAGGCGGATTCAACGTTGGTGGTGATGATAGAAGTCAACGTTATATGGCAGCTGGGGGCGGTTCATATACCGTCAGATCATTGGTCAGCGAAGAGCAAACGGGTGCAGCGCGAAATATCTCTACGCCGGGACAAAGGATCGTTCCAACCCATCCAGCTCGAGACCGGAAGAGACGGCTGACAAGCACAGCTGAGCAAGGTCGACTGCAGCGAACACGCTCTGGAGAAATGAGCAGATCTAGTGCTCAGACATTGCCGCATCGATCTGCATCTATGATTACCCCGTCGTCAAAGGGAAAGGCCAATTCAGCTGCTTCTGGGTCCACGTGGGCAACTGCGATTGATATCACTTCTTCCCCGCCAGACGCTGGTCCATCTGGTAGCCAGGGACAAGCCAATAGACAGATTAGCGAGACAGCTATGCCGATGCGTCCACCAAAACTCGGTTCTGCGAGTTCCCATGGCTATGGACAAGTGCATATCGATGCTGTACTACCAGGAACACGCACAGGTTCAAGCTTATCCAGAAACGCCGAAAACCCACTTCCAAGTCTCCCGTGGGAGGCGAGATCAAGAACTAGATATCAAAATCAAGAACACGACCCAAGAGCAGGTGCCTCATGGGAGTCAGTTTCATCTGCTTCAGCCCCTCGACCAAGACGCCGGCAATATTCTAATAGCTTGCGGGATGCAATGTTTGAACAGCCGTCACATAGTGGTAGACCAAGAGGAACGTCTGATGCGATGCGCAACACTAGGAATGAAAGGGTTGGCGGTGGTGGGTGGCAATTATCAGGAACTGACGAGAGGACCCTACGTGCGTTTTTGTCGGGTTCTTCAGATACACAGACACTTGCAGAAGCACTGAGAACCCCGCACACCGAAGCAGAGATGGAACCAACCCTACCTCGCTGGCAACCTGATGCTGAAGTGACAAGCTGCCCAATTTGTGCTGTGGTTTTCAATTTCTGGCATAGAAAGCACCATTGCCGAAAGTGTGGTCGTGTTGTGTGTGCCTCTTGCTCCCCTCATCGGATCACTATTCCCAGGCAGTACATTGTACGCCCACCCGAATCCGCTCAGCCACTTGAATCTTCCCCCGCTCCCCCGCGACAAATAGTTGATCTGACTAGCGATGTCGATCTTATTCCCACCACACAAGCTATCAATCCCGCTCTGGGAGGAGGCGAAGAGGTCCGTCTTTGCAATCCCTGTGTGCCAGATCCCAATCCAAATCCGCTCGGCTACGGCGTACGATCACGCGGTCACCGCTCGACCAACTCATTGCCTTCCAGCATGGGTAATTACATGTCCAGTGAGGTAGGTTTTCTAACATCTTTATTTATCCTTCATTATCAAAATCTGACAATTCTTTCAGGAGGAGAGTGCGTCGAACAACCAGGCCCATCGTGGCTATAGCCCTGAATTCCTACAAGAATTGGGCTATAATGTACGACAGAGTCTCCGAGATCAAGGCACAGAGCGAAATGGCTCCGGTCACCACCACCATCACTCTCAATCTGACCTTCCATCTTCCCATCATTCCGTCACAATAGCGGCATCGCCACGACGCTCCACAGTATCAGAGCAAGATCTCTGCCCTATCTGCGGGCGTCGGTTCCCCGAAATCAGCAACGAGCAGCCCCTCGAAGCACGCGAGGCGCACATCAGGCAGTGCATCGAGAACTACGGGGCCCCAGTTGCAACCACCACAGCCTCTACCTCCACGCGCAGGGGGCTAGCACCACCACCGCCGCCGCCGCCAACACCACCCGTGGCTCGAATGCTTGAGTTCACGGCCACGGAGAAGGACTGCATTGGCGAGGATGCGGGGGCCGCCGAGTGCCCCATCTGCTTGGTGGAGTACGAGGTCGGAGACGTGCTGATCCGACTGGAGTGCTTGTGCAAATTCCACAAGCACTGCATCTTGGGTTGGTTCGAGCGCAAGATGGAGTGTCCAACCCACAAGGTTTCCTAAATATCTGGGAAACCTTTTGGGCTGAGTCCCATCTGCGCTCGGGGGAGGAGGATGGATGAAGTATGTCTCGGGGCAGAGGCTTTTTTGTTTTCTTTTTTTCTTTTGGTGTTTCTCTTTTTAGCGGGCGCTGTTGGAATACCTTGTCTTTGTCTTCTGTTGATATCCCCAATGCCGAGATGAAAACAGGACCCTCCATACTCAGAGTAGTCTGAGTTTTAAGCCTTCCTTCATCAGACGTTAGTTTCTACGATAACCATTCGTATTTCTGTAATATCAATTTATTTATTTGCTATTTAAAGGCCTAAATACGATACAATTTGTACCAATCCTGCGACTATAAAAAAGCTTGGTATTTGTCAGGTCACGTGGCATCGACGCCCGGCGCCAAAGTACCCCAACGACAATTCGAAATCACTCCCAATCCTAGTCCCATTATCGGGCTCATTTTCTCTTGCTTTAAAGAAAGTCCACTTCTAGAGTGACGAAACCGCAACTTGCTAACATCTGCAAGTCCCGCTTGGATTCGTGCCCCTGGCCACTTACATTCCACGAGGTGACCCAGGTCGGTGATCGGAGTTTTTGTCCACCGTCCTCCGTCTTATTGCGTCCGACTGCTCCATAAAGGAAAAAAAGAAAAAGAAAACAAACCAATACTGTGGGGACGAGCAGATTGATCTACACACAAGAATTATACAGAAACAAGCAGCTCGGAGTATGATCCATTTGATCTAATGCTCTAGACGCTACATATAGATTCCAAAAAAAGCAAAGAAAAAGAGAGTACAACATCCTGGCATAGCCGATCGAACAGGGGCCCCGCACAACAAGTCTGGGGAAAACCAGACGGTCCGTTGTACTCCGTCCACATTCTCCAACGGCCCTAGTTGACGCCGTTCCGACCGGTCCGAATCCAACACCATGGCATCAGATTACCCAGAGCCTCCGACGCATATACAATCAATATCCACAACGGCGGACTCCCACGTGCGAGCGCGAGCTCAGGCCAGTTCCGCGGCCGATCGGGCCGCATTCGCGTTGGCGTCACAGGCACAAGCCCCGTCACAGTTACACGGACAACATGGCGAGACCACCTCGACCGAACCGGAGGATCATGAGGCACAGCTAGATCCCTCTATGGGAATCAAGCGACCACGTGCCTGTGAACCATGCAGACAATTAAAAGTGCGCTGTGATCCTGACCCGACCCATCCTGATGGTGCGTGTAAGCGATGTGCCAAGGCACGCCGGCAATGTGTCGTTACAGCGCCGTCAAGGAAACGTCAGAAGAAGACTGATAGTCGGGTTACGGAGTTGGAGCGTAAAATCGATGCCTTGACGGCTACCCTGCAGGCGTCTCATCACTCGCAGCTTGCAGCGGGTGCAGCTGTACAGTCACAGTCACAGCCCCAATCGCAACCACAGCAGATTCCTATCCAGACTCGCGAAGAACAAAACCATTCAAGGCGCTGGCTGCGAGAGGACTCGTCACACTTAGCGGGAAATAAACGACATCATGATGGGTTCATGGTGTCGCAGTATTCCCACCCGGATAGTCCATCTGCAGAACAGATCCATACTAAACAGCAGCAGGCGCCAACTCCAAAGATGCCGAATTGGCGAGGACCTTATGCTGGTGAGACGACGCCAGCACCGAAGAATGATTTTCTTGACGTGATTGACCGGGGTTTAATCGATTTAGAGACCGCGAAAGCGTCTTTTGATCGTTATGTGAACCGTATGGCGATCGAGATGCCTTTTGTCGTCTTCCCACCAGGCACAACGATGGGCCAGGTACGCTGTGAAAAGCCGGCTCTTTTTCTTGCGATACTTGGTGTTTCAGTCGCCACCTTTAAAAAGGAGCTCCAAATGCCGTTGATCAATGATTGTTATCGGTTGATTGCCGAGAAAGTAGTTGTCAAGGGTCACAAGTCCCTTGAACTAATTCAGGCTCTGATGGTCATTTCTATGTGGTATGTCCCACCGGATAATCTGGATGAGCTCAAGTTCTACCAAATGATTCATATGGCAATTGCTCTTGCTATGGAACTGGGCTTGAATCGACGCTCAAATGGAGACTTGAAACCTCTCAAACGTATAAGAGAGATCATGGTAAGAAATACGATAACGGAGGATGTGGATTTAAATGGACCCGAAGCACGAAGGACTTGGATTGCTTGCTACTTTATGGGAATTCAGTGAGCATTATTCACTACCATGGAAAAATATATGTGAATAGACTGCTAACTCCGACAGGGTGGCCACGGCTTTGAGACGAATGCAGCTAGTACGGTGGCAACCTTATATGGACGAGTCAATCCAAATACTGGAAAATCACCCCGATGCGTTACCGTCTGATCGCACGATCGTTTGGTGGGCAAAATTGGGTTGGATTATGGAACAAGCTGGCTTGCAATTAATCTCGGATGACAGCCAATCGGTCGTGGCGTTCACAGATAGCAAAGTGAGATACACTATTAAAGCATTTGGGAAACAACTTGCCCAGTATCGAAGGGATATCCCTGAAGAGTCGTGGACCGGTAAGTATCGATGTTATCCCTTAACAGATACCGTTCCCGTCTAACTTTCAACTGTTCAGCACCATTGGCCCATACATACTTTGCACTGGATCTCTTTGTACATGAGAGCGCCATGGGTGTTGACTGCCGGGATAGCATTCAACCAAATGTCCTAGACAATGAAGATTTCCCTGCCACAACCATGGCGCCGCTGATTGATGCACTCACAACTTGTATTAAATCCATCCACAAAACATTCGATGTTATCACGAGCGTCGATGTGGAAAGATTCACTTGTCTCCCGACTCTGGCCATTGCAAGAACGGCATATCCAGTTGTTAGTCTCATCAAGATTTACTCTCTCCTTACGGCTCCCGAGTCCCGTATTGGCCAAGTGATCGATATGCAAAGCCTTAAAATTGAATACTATCTGGAAAAAGTGCTCAATTACTATCGAGCTGCTGCTGCTCTTGACAGTGGGAGGGTCGCAACCAAGTTTGGAAACATCCTTCAGATGCTTTGCACATGGTTTTCCAAGAAGAAGGGCAATGGGCCCGAGTTACGTGAGATGTTTGGCGCAGAAATGCGATCCGATAATTCAAGCGACAAGAACCCGGTATGCACTATCTGGGAATTCCTTCCATGTGAAATGAGACTAGTTGCTAACATTAAAAAAGATGAAAGAAGGCACCACGCCACTGCATGTACTTAGTGAACTGGCTATGGAAAATCCTAACAACCACGCCCCTGGGAATCATTCCCACCAGCCACGCTTAGGTCCGGGAAATATGTATTCTCCCGCGAGCCTGAATCAGGAGTTCGGACGTAATCCCACAACGCCAACCCAGAATCCAGGAAACACGAACTACGGGACAACAGAGCCCCATAGAATGGGTAGTATGGTATCTACCAGAAGTGACCCGATCGCCGGACCAGTGCCTACTACGACTTGGTCATCAACGCCATCCTTTTCTCCTCTTATGCCAGTCCCAGGGATGAGAGATGCAAATATGGGGAACAAACCATACTACCCACAATTCCCATCCCCGCAAGGCCCAACACAGCCATACAGTATGCCGAATCCACCAACGCCTCAGTATGCCGAGATGTCTGGTGCTGGGACTATGCCTTTTGGACAGTCGATGGGGCTAATTCAGGAGGTACCTTTGGATCCAAATAACCTGTCAGCATTGGGAACAATTATGGATGAGTGGCTATTTGGGTTCCCGTCCGCTTTTGACGAGAGCTTTCAGATGTAGATGGTGACTTCTACTTAAGTATTATATCTTGTGTTTTAACATCCTCTGTTCACAGTTGTCTACAGCATATTGTCTCTGCCTTTTTGATTCCTCAAATCTAGCAAAAGATACCCCAAAATGTCATTGTCTTATTTTTTCACTTTCAAAACCATAGCAAATCAAATTCTCAGTACGCACAAAACCGAGCAAAACTGCACATAGCTATGGCACGTCTATCTATACCCGGAGCTAGTATTCGTGCTCTTCATTTTGCTTGTGCTGATCATCTTGATCGGCACTATCCGACGCTGAACCGGTGTCGCGATGAAGTACCGAATGAACATCTCAAGGGGTGCCGTTTTTTCATGCCGAAAACTCCAAAGTTGAGAGCATTGCACATGTATTTCCCACCCATTACATGAGACTTGAATAATGCGCCCCTGTTGTGGCCCCATGAAAGACAACATCAATAACTTCAAAGGGAATTAGTAAGATCTCCTAATGCCCATCATTCCAAGGAATGTTTGCGATAGAAAACACTAACCGGATAGACAGTCCGCAATCCAAGCTCCTCATGGAATACCCTTCCTGTGATTAATTCAACAATAGCCTTTAAATGGGTAGTAAGGCCACTCTCAATGTCAGATACAGTAACATCTGCAGCACATGTGGCGATGGTATGTGGCCAAGGCATTCCGTAAACATGATAACACTTTCTTGGGCTCGGGACATTTTCTCTATCACTTTCATCACGATATCGAAATTCACAAGTAGTATAATCAGACACAACTTGAAACTCGGGGTATTTTCTTAAGCAGAAATCTTTAGGCCAGTCAATTTGTATCCCCGTTGGTGTATATCTGTCACTATGGTAGGTTTAGTACCATAGGGACCCCATAGGTATACATATGGATATCATGATGGGGTAATAAGAATAGGAATTTTGAAATATACCACACTTACATTGTTTTATCAAAGACAGTTAAGCCTCTAAATTCCCTAAGTTGGAATGTTGAGGAAAGCCGATGCGACCAATCCAGAAACTTGCGACCTTCAAGTTTGGGATATCGAGAACATGTTACATGCGCATCGATATAAGAAAGTATATAATGAGCTTCTTTAATGCGAGCACCCAAGCCCGGTGGTTTAGTGTCTTAGGATATTCCAGTTCGAGGGCAACATGCAGCCCGATCTTTAAGCTTCGATTGGATTATATCGATATTTCGGTGACCGTGACTCTTGGTTGCTTTCACATCGATAGGATATTCTTCGAGAACATTTTCTGGGTGTGGTAGAAAGAAACGCGGATTAAACTGAAGAATCCCGTTCGAGCCTTCTGCTATTTTCACCTTAGTGACTCGGATCTTAATTTCACTTCCCAGGTTCTGAATATCGTCCGCTGTTGGAATATTGGTCTCCAAGTCGCTGACCTTCTGGTAGAGGCTCGCGAGGGAATTGCAGAGATCACTCCGGGAACTCAAGTTGATTTTCATATTGACGGTAAAGCGAGGCTTTAGAGTTGGATAGATGAGAAGGGAACTTTAGATGCGGGTTTGAGGAGAGGATAGTCTCAGTTGATAAATCCTGCCCATATGAGGTCACCATTTCCTAATCTAGATTCAGTCATGAACCAAGCACCTGGGCACCTTTCGCCTAACTGGGCTTGGTCTATAAGCGCCCATGCATAGGTGTCGGGTGTGTCCCAAGGTTCACGTTCTCTCAGAAACTGCGTTCAAGCAAACACCTTGTTGACTTAGATCACTGAAATCCATCATCGGAACTGATGGATGATCAATTCGTGGATGTTTTTCAGGGTAGTGTGCCCCCAAGAGAATGGAAATAGATGAGTTCCCCTTCTACCCTTTGAAGGCTTAGAATATCAGTGAGTCTGTGCGAGAGGCGAGAAATATACACAACGATTCAAGTTTCCGGCCTTCGACCGATATGTGCAGATGGATTGGGAAGAAATTGAGGTTAAGATGCGTCACGCCTACCTAATATCATCATCATCACCTGGGCATCATCTACCGTTACGCATCTTTTGGTCGTTTGTTCCTGTCAAGAAACCTTGGAACTTATAACGGTAATAATCTTCATGATGCACAATTTTTCTGCAGTTCTAGACAATATGAAAATGGGTATATGAAAAACAAAAGACGTCTCAGCTCGCTTTATAAGGTTCCAATGTCATCGTGAACCTCCTTGCCAAGTATGCAGAATTCGTTGCTCAACATAAGCCCACGGCCACCCATTTTCCCTTTCAGTCCTACGTAGAAGATCGAAGAGAAGGTTCTGTGCGGCAGGGTCATCGATCCATGCGCTGCCTATTAGAGGAAAGAATGTTAGACAAATAACTCAATAAACGATGGGGAAAACTGATTTTGACTCACATGCACACAAGGCGTGGCAAGCCATTATTCGCAGTGATGGTTCGTCATCTGCCGATAGCGCAATACCGAAGAGATAGTTGAGATTTTCGGATATTTGCTCCTATAAAGGTATTAGCAAATCACGTCTTCTCATCCGTACGCACTGCAACGATCTCGTGCACATGTGGCTTCCTTGACTTACCTTCAGCTTGATGCGTTGTTCCCTTGATATCACCCCATTATCATACATCTCAAATTCCCGGATCAGCATAAGTGCTTTAGCAAGACAGACATGCTGCATTGCCGTAGCTATACAAACAGAAAAAAGTTAGCGCCTAATCACCAGGGACAAGAAGAATCTAACTCACAATGCACAAGACTAGTATACCAAACAACAGGAAACGGCTTCCCCCTCGCAGGATCCGGCGGCGAGATATGCAACGGGGTAAAGGAATCCGACCTCGTCAACTCCCACTCTCCAATGCGCTGCTTCAACGCATTCTCCCCAGCAACACCTAGATGACCTCCGTAATTCCGACCAGAGACATTGTAGCAGAAATCAATGGTCTCGGCCAATAACCAAATGGCCCGGTTGACCCAGTCCCCGTCATTGAGAACCGGCTTGGCGACCCACCATCGGCGGAGACGCTCATCGAATGGAGCGAAGGTTAGCCGAAGACATTTCTGGTACGTAAGAGCGAATTGAATGTCTTGAATTACGAAGACCCAGAATGAAGCCGAGGCTAGACCGCCGGATATAGCGCAGTCGACGTGAGAGCTGATATAGACTGAGCCTGCGAGGAGGTGACGTTGGGGGTCATTTGAGGGCGTATGAGCTATATATGGATTAGTTTGCCAATCTCCTTTCCTTGTAGTGGTGGTTTCTCTGGATTAGAGTACTCACATGAAATTTGCTCGAAGAATCGGAGAATCACAGTGGAGCTGAGAAGAATGTCGATGCCGATGTCTGATTCCGGTTTATCGAGCACTGGCAGCATAATCGACACGCAGCGCTCATGATAACTATCCGCTACCTCGGGTGAAACTGTATGTGCTGTTCGCGAGAGATGACATGCCGCCACTGCTATACAGGCGTATAGAAGGAGTGGAGATTGGCTAGCCCGCCTGGCGACATCCGCCGAGAAATGCCGCTCCGGATCACCGGCATCGAGCTGGTTTGGTTAGCAAAATGACAAGTAAAATGTCTGGTTTTACCGCGACGAATAGCCGGGACGAAAAAGAAGGTTCAAACATACCCAGTCTGCCAGATGTCTCTGAAAATGTCGTAATAAATAAGCTTCATTCACATTTGTTAGTCGGGGCTGACCGGTCGGTAAAGTCAGCTGGGATGAATGTTCCGAGGCAGAACGGGATCCATGCGATTCCACAATATAAGAAGGAAATGTGAGATTTTGCCCTGGCACAGTATCCATATTGGATGATGGTGTTGAGCGCGCCTCAGATGATGATCGGGAAACGGATTGATGCACATGTCCCGTTACCCCTACCACAAAATACTCTGCGGCCGTCTGGTCCGTTTCATCTTTGAAGGCATCTGATTGAAACCCATTAGTCTATGTTTCAAATGAGAGAATCGCGTAGAATAAATATTTTTTTCTCTGGGGATAGAATTTTCAGACTAAACGCCACTTACACTCAGGCAAGGTGTCAACCCAAATCTGGTCATTCGGGAAAGCCAGGTCGCTCTCCCCGTACCTTGGGGGCCCCTTTCCACGTAGAGATGGATTCTGGCCATGACGAAAGGACACCTCTTCAGATTTGGCTGGGGCAGGCACGCATTCGCGGCCAGATCGTTGGCAGCGCAGACATTTTGCTCCAGTTTTATCACCTGGCGGGGGAAGGGTGTTAGCAGGTGATTTCCCCTGAATAACAGAAAATGGAAATGAACATACATTTCAGATGGCGCAAACGACATGTGAGGCTAGAAAATAAATTAGTCAATTGGGAGTTCAAGATAGTAGCAATGGAAAATACTGACCATCCCCTCATTACGCAGTCGAGGAGGTTAAAGGGACGAACAAGGAAAGATTCCAGAAGGAAAACAGAATCGGCATCCCGGGCCCGAATAAATAGTAACTAGTAACTTATAGCCACTTCACTTTGTATTATAGTAGATTCAAGTTGCGGAGGAGTGGAGTTAAATGATTAAAGAATAATCTTAAATAAATTCAAGTTCGATTTTCTTTAAATGCTAGTAAAAAGTAATAAAAAATACTGGATATTTGTAGATCATGGAAATAATCAATTTGGGGTAAAACAGTTTCATTATACAGATGAATCCACCTATAATAGAATTACCTGTTTAACTATTTAACTCTTTAGTCTTATTTATTTACCTACTTTTTATTCCTAATGTTCAATATAGAACGACATAGCTACTAGTATAACCTGATCAGAGATTTCTTGAACACATATGCAGTCACAAAAGTACCATTATAATGATACAAAATACATAATCAAAAATACCCCAAATGCTCCAATTTGAAATGCCTACACGCCATACACCGTACACTGTAACGCCCCCCACTGTGTCCCAGTGTTTTGACAGTCCATAACTCATTCTACTCATCCTGGTTGGATAAAACACATCGCTCCCCCACGTAGCCAACACCAAAGGCGCAAACAAAGTTTCGCATTTTCCCCGCTGATCAAAGATCGTTACTACAAGTAGAATGATCTCGTAGAATGTGTTCTGGCCGAGACACAACACGTTGACCGCGGCTTGCTTCGGGAACCCGCAACTAGGAACTAGGGCAATCACAAGCGAGTGATCCCCGGATGATTCATATCTTCAATGTGATTTGCTTATAGAGATGTAGATGGGTAGGACCAGTGCCGGTGGCGACTGATACACTCAGACTGTAGACTTTTCACCCTCCAGTACTCAAGTGCTGAACTGAAGACTAGTATTTCTTTTTTTTGTTACCAATTCTTATTTGCTCCCTGATACTCCATACATGCGGAAATTAGATAGGAGAACCATATGTTTCCCGATGTGCAGAGGATTGCGTAGTGTTGTAGACCCACCAACTCCATTCAGGCAAAAATCTCCATGCTGACATGCAAACCGGAGATCTTATATTTTAAATCCGAGCCAGGACGAAGTACTACATAGTATAAAGTATGTGATGTTTGTCCTTCAAGTTCTTTTCAATGTTCTTATATCATGGAGCCGCGGCGCTTAGTAGAGATTTCATCTTATCTTGATTCTTGGGATGAAAATTCCACAGTCCCATACTGGTCAACCTTCAAATTCTTTCAGTTCAATTACTTTGATAATTGAAATACTGAATTCAGGCTAATTTCAACTTGATCCAATTAAAGCCAAGATTTCAGTCTCCCAAATCAAGTGTAGATAGGCGACAGCGTTGAGATCGTGGCTTATAAACCAGGTGTACATCCATATCCAGGTATTTGCGCCCAGTTGCTTCAGACCCACCACAACCAGCCCACCGGTCGCACCCGCATTAACGCGGCTCCATGTCCTTGGTATTACACACCAGTGCCCATTTGATTCAAATTTCACCAAAGAACTCGGGTATCTACGGTATTGAGAGATCCTTCGTGATACATCTGCTAATGCAAGTTAAGTATAGCGGATAACTTCATCTGGGTGGATTTTTTGGTGATTGGCCTCACCGACAGCCTTGTTGAGATCTGACGCGCGGTGGCTGCAAGTGGCTAGAGGCCGAACCTAGGTACAATCCAGGTACGAGCTCGAGCTCGTACGAGATGTCAAGCATCGCCATGTGGCGGTCACAATTTGAAGCCACACATCAAACTTAAACTCATCTCAACAAGGAATGATCAGTCTTTGTACGAACCAGACACACTTCTCGAAAAGTAATTGGATCGGCGACGCCGGGTGCAATTCTGGTGCTTGAGAAATCCCGCAGTTGGTCACGGTGGAGAGAGAGACAGTGGACTTGTGGGCCTAAATTCAAGGAAATTCGGCACAGTCCGCGATTTGCTCATGTTGGGTTTAATTTCAATGGATCCGTGGATGGCGAATTCGGGACCCGTCGAACCCTGTAGATCTCGAGGACAGAATCAAAATGAAGCCCGAGCACTCACGGCATCTGGAAGCCGATGCTGTGATTCGTAGTGAAGCCCGCTGGTAAATCCCGAGACCCGTCTGCAGACCAAAGTTAACAAAGTTAAAGCCACAAAATAAGATATACTCTCATGGTCCCCGGAGCTTTATCCTGATGGGTTCGTGGATGATGTGGATATCTAACAATGCCGAGTTATCGAGCTGCCTTTTTGAGGAGAGTATGCCGAGCGGGTCAGTATATGGAGAAAAAGTAGTTTATAATAGTGGAAGATCATGTTAACAAGCACTATGGTTTAATAGGGGTAATTAGGAGAGTGTACGAACCATGTGGTAATTTAGCAGTACCAGTTGACTATAATTTTCTTCCCATCCTATATAGTCAAAAGTACCTAAATAATTTAGACTAATGTACGACAAAAGTACAGATAAGCTAATATATTATCATTAAATATCACCAATAATCATCATTAGCGTGATCACTTATCGAGCGGGGAGAAATGTCAGGTGACGGCCTGCATCCCGCCTTCTTTGACATCATTCTGCTTTTTTTTTCTGTACAGGTTCACTGGATGAGAATATCCTAGAATATAACCAAGAATGTCCCTCAATCGCGTCTCCTTCTTAGAAGGGTGGGAACGCAACCCAGCAGCATTTCTGCGGGGCCGGGAAGAGCCCCCATCAGATACGGACGACGATACTTTCCAGGACATACCAGATACCTCCTCCTTGTCATCCTCATTCCCCTCCACGTATAGCAGACTCAATTTCAATCCCTATGCGGGTCCCGGCTGGAACGAGACCGCTGATGACCGTGATGATCGCCCCTCGTTGCTCGGATCCCTGGGCCTGGGACTCTCCCCCACGACGACGCGGGATAGCCAGGTTCGTGTGGACCCGCTTCGTCCGGCAAGTCCTGCGGCTGTGTCAGGACCACCCAAGGATCATCGGGAGCCGGCATCCTGGTCAGATACGACGGGTGCTTTTGAAGTGAGCCCCGCAAAACGTGTTGGTATGTGGGAAAGAACCTTTGGAATTGGGGTGAATTGGGGTCAGTTCGTGTTTAAGCTAACATTTGAAAATTCTAGCCCAAGTATGCTTGGCAGTAGTATATTGTTTTCTTGCCGCTGGAATTGTATTTGGGTTCGCGGCTTTGAAGCCGGTTCTCATACGTGAGAATGTTTATCGCAATCTCTGCTCCCAGCAGGAGTTGAAGGATAACGTGGAGGTCTGTGATGGACAAGAAATTCGGTAAGTCTTTCTGTCGGGCTTAGAATCGCCTAAAGTCGATTTGAGATCTACGAGGCGAACACGCTGTCTCATTTTCTATATACCAATTGTTAACATCAAAAATTAGGCTAAACTTGATGTTCACCATCGCTGCCGTTGCTACCAATGTCTCAGCTTTACCTATAGGAACCATACTGGATGCGTATGGCCCTCGCGTGTGCGGGATAATAGGCAGTATCTGTCTGGCAGCTGGCGCAATACTATTTGGTAGTGCTCATAAACTTGCATTCGATGGATATATCCCAGGATACCTGCTGCTATCTCTTGGAGGTCCATTCATCTTCATCTCCTCGTTCCAGCTGTCGAATACCTTCCCGCGACGATCTGGTCTGATCTTGTCCATGTTGACCGGTGCCTTTGATGCATCTAGCGCATTATTCTTGATCTTCCGTCTTCTGAGTGAGCACACTCAAGGGAGTATTTCAGTGCAGAAGTTCTTCATGGTCTATCTCCTTGCCCCAATTTTCATCATTGCCGTCCAGCTCACAGTCATGCCTGCGACCTCGTATAAAACTACCGGCGAGCTAGTCCTCCATGCTGAAGTGCAGGCTATTGAAGAAATTAACGACCGAGTCGATGCCACGATTCATGACCGCCAAGAAAGCGAACGTCAACGAAATGACCGACGTATGCGTCGACAGAGCATCGTCCATCATATTCAAGATCTTCTAGACGATGACACCGCCTCCATTGTTTCCGGTGGCATCAATGAAGCTGTCTTCAATCCTCACCAGCCCTTCGTACACAATGATAACGAAAATCAACCCACAAGTAGCCCGGGGGTACAGACTCCCAAGCCTCAATTACAGCCACAACCCACACCACCCAATACCAGCGGTGTATGGGGTGTTCTCCATGGCAAATCAGCTCTAAGACAACTCGCAACGCCCTGGTTCATACTAATAACGCTTTTCACGATCCTAATGATGTTACGCATAAACTACTTCGTTGCAACACTGCACAGCCAGTACACATCCCTCCTAGACCCTACTCAAGCGCGCGCCATAAACAACATGTTCGATATTCTCCTACCAGTCGGTGGTCTGGTTTCCATCCCATTCATTGGAACGTTCCTCGATAATCTACGCACGCGTACCGTGCTATCCATCCTAGTCGCAACCGCAACCGCCATCGGCGTCTTAGGTTGCATACCACATAGCCTCGGTGCTGCATACGGGAATATCATTCTCTTCGTACTGTACCGACCATTCTACTATACTGCCGTATCAGACTACGCGGCGAAGGTATTCGGATTCCAGACCTTCGGTAAGGTTTACGGCTTGATTATTTGTCTTGCTGGTGTGGGTAACTTTGCGCAGGCAGGACTGGATGCTATTACTCTGGGACAGTTTGATGGGGATCCTGTACCGGTCAACGTTGGATTGACCGCGGCGGTGGCTATTGTGGGAGCATCCCTGGTTGCATTTGTTAGTTGGCAGACGAGCGTGTTGTTGAGCAAGGAGCAGGAGAGTCAGGTTCCGACCAGAGATTTACATATTGCTACTACTATTGGTGGTGATAGTATGAGGTCTGGAAATGGAGGTCGGCATCCGGATGTGGTGTCGAGGGATTGGGAAAGAGAGCCTTTGTTGATTCCTGAGAGCGAAACACGAAGATATGGATCTTGATGACTGGACCTGGAAACTGATATCAATATGACAAATGCATGCATATGAATCACTCGGCCAGATGAGAGTTGCTCTCATCTATGTTAGACTTGGTAGATACCAAGTAGGTTCCAGAGACTCGGACTCGAAAAGGTCCAAACCATGCTGTATGGAGCTTGGATGAGCTTTAAAATTCTTTCGGATTATATAAATACTCTACCTACTATCAACAAGGATGATTATCTTTTGTAAAGGCTGTATTGGTCCCTAGTCACCTAAGATAAAACAATATTACACTGGCATGGCAGACATGGCATTGTAGGAAGCCCTGGAGAGGAATTGGACATCTGGAACCATCGATAGTATCATGTAAAGTGATCATTATCTTGACCAAAGAGATACAGGTACTAATAATTTCAGCGTCTGAGGCTTGTCCACTGGGGGTATCGGTCTTAGGAGTCATGACAGCGGTACTAAGAACTGTCAGCCTTGGAAGTTCGTTCCTTTCCATCCATACTTCTATTCCTCTTCCCTATCCAACTATTTGCCAAATAAACAGCCCTGAAGAAAATGGAACAGACAAAAGATATGTGATATTTCAGATATATACCAGTCATGCAGGTGTCAGGACCTGCTTGACCTAAATGTGTCCGTACGATTAAATCGACGGCATCACAAACTATATACCGATAAGAACGCCAATAGCCAGAAGCGACATCCAAAAATTGTGTTAAACAAATATTCGAACGCAGGATTCGAGACAAGACCGTGACTTCATTCCGTGAGGGTATAGGAGGAGCTAGGGTGGGTAACTAGGTAACCAATACGACAGGGAGGGTTCAAAGGTGGGAGAGAGTAGAGCGAGTTGAGATAAACAGAGGGACGAATAGCAAATGAATAAGAAACATAGAATGAAAAATTAGAGAAATGAGGTGGAAGTGAGAGGATCAAAGACCATGATCATGAAGGGCTAGTTTTGATCATAGGTTCCGTCTCCCATTTCGTCTCTGGCCAGAATTGTTCAACTTCCTTCCAGAGAACCTTGCCAGGTTTATCTCCAGCCTTGTGATACCAAAGAATATTTTCCAATAAGCATTTGACTTCATCCCAACTGTGGATGTTACTGCTTCGGGCTGTGGATGCGAGGGAAGAGACATAGAAAGGACGGCAAGGGGTATCAAACGCCGCGATACCACCAATAACCAAAATCCAAATCAAGGCGGCACGAGTGCTTTGGGATGACCAAAGAGCGGTGGCGGTTTGTTGAAGCAGGACACAGCTAATCTCCTGAGCAAGTCGTTGAAGAGGGCTATTCTGAGCCGGGATGGGGAAGATAACGCCGACCCCAAAGATGAGGCTTGCGAGACGACAAGCCTCGTAGGTGGTTGCCTGAGTAGGGTGTGAGAAGTAGGGTAGGACTGCTGAGGCTGGTGGTAAGGCGAGCAGGGTGTATTCGGTGAGATTGCGTTGGTCAGTCAATAAAGCAAAATTAACATCAATGCGATTGGGGGCATCAGAGCCTATATTCTCAACAATCTTCATGTAGGTGCGAGCGGCCTGAAAGGCCTCTGCCATTTGGGGCGTGAAGCCGATGACTTGCAATTTCCCAAAACCATTTTGGATGTCTGATGGGCCAAAACCAAGTAGGTCCTGTATAGAAACTCCCACTTGGCTTTGGTCTGTTGGCCAAAATTCAAATATAGGCTGGATGCACCAGCAGGCGGCAGCAAATACTTCCGAGCTATGTGTCTGAGTCAGTGGGGATCTCTGGTAGTTGACATGAAATGAGGGAAGATAATCACATGACACGATGCGGATGTAGATGGGATGAAAGGAGAAAGGAACCAAGAGAAACTCACAAGCTAATTGTTGCTGCTAATCCAGGCAACTTGATATTCCGCAACCCGCGTAATTTGATCAACTCCACCAATCCGCCAATATGGAGTTCATTTGGCTGAAGACATCCATAAACGTTCAGCCACTGAAGCCACTGAAACGGCGGATCAAAGGGCGTCTTCTTCACCTGGCTAAGCTTTAGATCCTGGGTGGCCCTATGATGCGCCAAGCAGATAACACTCAACAACACTGCATCAGAAAGCATACGTGTTGAATCTTGAAGAGCCTCGTTAATGAGACGAATAGAATCCCTTTCGCATTGTCGTAAGAGGTGATCCTGAGCCGGTCCATACTCAACAACATTATTACCATACCATTTATTCACCCACAAAACTCGCTGATGGCATAGCGAGGCATACATGAAGGCCGCGAAAAGTGCGGGGTCCGACCGTGATAATGAGTACCATAATTCCGGGGCTTTGCTTTGGAGGGCTAATTCGGGGGTTTTCTTCAAGTTCACATTCCTAGGAACAATTCCTGGCCAGAGCACATCGAGACCTAGGATATTGGACGGAGAGGTTAGTAATGTGTTTTGAAGCTCAGGAAAACAAGACCCTCAATCATAAAACGTCACGACTAGGGGAACTTACAATACCGCTGGCATAAGTCCACGAGTGTCGGCGACACAGGCGACTGTAATGGATATGTGCCGAAAGGGTCTAAGAAAGCGGAGATCTGGGCCTCAACCGTCAGGGGAGGAGATGGACCCGATCCACTTGACCCGGGGCTTACAGTGGTCTCTTCGGTGCTACTACTGTCGCTATCACTTGTGGTTGTGGTGGTAGCAGTGCTTGTGCTTTCGACTAGAATGGGAGAACGCGACCATTTTCGATCTGGGGGATCATCATCGAAGCAAGAAAAATCATTGACGGGGCTCGCAGAGCGGGGGCGAGCGTGAGGGGAACGGGCATGCGATCGAGACGGAGGAGAAGGACGCGAGACGAGAGTAAAAGAGGAGAAAGAGGGATCAAAGTCCACGATATCGGTATGAAGAGTGGTTAAGTTCAATGTAGTTGAATTGACGATGGGTGGATTCGGGCGGGAAGGATTGGAGACCTCGGCGCGATCTCTTGTTTGGTCGGAGATCCAGCGGCCAACATGCGCGCGCACAAGTCGTTGCGCCTTCAGACGCTCGAGCTCAGAGGTTGGTCTAGCATTCACAAAATGGATGCCATCTTTTTGAGCATTTTTCTTTTTCGACGCCATTCTTGCGACATCCTCTTCTTCCCTTTATTTTAATACCCTTTTTTTCCCTCACCCTATCACTGATGTAAGTGATTGTGATAATGCGACCAGGGCCAATCGGTTCAGCATCCTGGTTTTTAAGTGAAGATATTTTTTTTTCTAGGGTATCTTGGGTGAGAATGGCGAGTACAGGGGATCATGAACTGGTATCAAGGATTCAAGGCCCAAGGGCACGGAACGGCCATGATAGATTGAAAATCGAACCGAAGTCAAGCGTATTTAACCAAAAGATTGGGTGAGAATGAAGGAGGAATAAGTGGGGAACAGGGGAAAAGGGAAAAGAGGTGGGATGTATAGTGTTCAAAAGAGTATACGAGGTTCCAAGTTGAAAAGTAATCATCTAGTACTACAGTCCCCGTGACCCTCACCATAACTTGATCCTCATATAATAATAGCTTGAAAATATTAATCTTTTCAATCTTTTCACTCACTCCAGTAGAACCCGAATATCCTGATTCAATTTCTTGATCGGTCTAGATCGGGACATGGATCTTAGCCCCCAGCTTTATCATTTTCTGATCTATCATGGCGAATCTCTTTTTAGCGCCTGCATATTAGCACATACTTGATAGGACAACTATGCCCATTGTCCTCGAGGGTTCGGTGTATCGAAATTGCCCGTACAATGTACCTCCAGTTCATATCTACAGCCCTGAATGAATCCTTGAAGGTCTAGATGCCTTACACAATGGGTGGATCCCTTCAGAAGCTCCAAAAATTGAGTTCAAGTGGACCATGACACCTTGACGCGTTGATCTACCCCGCTTAATGAGTAGAGAAATCACTCACATCTATTGGTGTCTACCAGTAAATTATACACAAATTACGAGCCAACCTTGGAAGTTGCCATCCTCGTTTTTACGAACATGCATGATGATGCTGTAACGGTGGATGGGTGACACGCAGTGCAGTGCCCCGCCCCGCTTAAGACATTATAGGGTTGCACGACAGTACCCGCGTGACGCAGGATGGTTCGGAGGGGACACATTGTTGACTTGATGCATGTTTCATTGGCTAAGATATAAGGCTAGGCGCCCGGATAAAGATTTGTATAATCCAGTATTTCGTGGTCGGAGACCGAGATAGAAAGGGAGAGACAGAAAAAGAAAAAGAAAAGAAAAACAGACTGAAGAATATGACAACGGGATTGTGGGTAAAAACAATTTGTCAGATGAAGAGTACAAATCACCTGCACATGGTGATCTACGAGCCTCGTTAAATGGATGCCCGAAAAATGATACATATACTCCGTATGATTCAAATGTTCAAGTTGTTGCTAGTAGTGAGCTAGACTGACAAAGTCATACCTTGTCACCAGAGCCCAGGTGTCTGGTTGTCTACCTTATTTTTAAGTAAGTACATATCTTCTATGCAGCACTAGCCTTTAAGTTGGAAATCACTTTCATACTATTTAAGGTAATCTTGAATAAAAGGTACATTGTGTAGTTGATTGATTACCCAATAGCCTTGATGCATCAGTCAATCTCTAATAGGGTATATCTGGAACTCTCACCCGTATGAGGATCCCGATATTGTTCGAGGGCTTGTTCAACAACGGACATGTACCCGAGAACTTGCTCCTCCTGCCAACGTCGACCAACAATCTGCACAGCGGTGGGGAGACCAGCCATTTGGATAGCATCATAGTGCTTCCAGGCCCCTCGCGCAACAGCATGATCACTACCCAGTCGACGGAGAACCTTACGGTACGGACCATCCAAGGAATCCCGGGCAACCTCAACGTAACCCACGGGCATCACACCGGCCGAGTAATCCAATAAATTCCAAAGAAAGGTATATCCACAAGAAGACATGGCATCGTGCATGGCTTTGTGCGGCAATGCAGGCGTGGCATTGGCAGGACACAGAATAAAATCAAATTGTTGTGGTTCCGCGTTCCACCAATTGTGCCAGGTGGCGCGGAAAGCTTCACGCTGCGCAACCAGCGGCCACAGTTGAGCGGAGGACTTGGGACCGAAATCACGGATCAAAGTGGCCAGGATGCTGTCCCGCTTGATATACCGCACGTAGAGGTAGTAGAGGTAGCGCAGGCCTCGCGGGAGGTGAGCAATACGGGTAAGCTGATCGGCACCCGGATCCGAGGGCTCAAAGCTACGAATTGGGACGTTGAAGTGGTGACAACCATCCGAATTAAGAAGTTGAGAAGCAAGGTTTAGACCAGTGAACGGGTCAGCACCATTAGGGGTCGTGATATCAGTCACGGTGTGACCTGCTTCAGTCAATGCAGCAACAGTGGTTGCTAGCGCACGTTCAATAGCTGGAGTAGGAGGGATAACACCTTTACAGATATTCCTGATTAGCAAAGCACTCATACACATTTCAAGAATTATACATACCATCATTGCTCATCAATCCGATGCGAAGGGGCTTGTTTTGAGCCTCTACTTCTAACTCATCCCGCCACACAATTGGGTGTACAGTATGATCATACTTCCAAGGCTGCATCCCAATCATGGCACGAGTAAAGTAGGTCAAATCATTCAACGTACGAGCCATTGGGCTGAAGACACTGGGGATACCCTCCTGACCCGCCATACTGGTACTGACACCCGCCTTCGGCCAACGACCGGTACTACAGCGGAGCGAGTAAATTCCACTCCAAGCCGCAGGAACACGAACCGACCCAGCAACATCTGAACCGATTCCAATGCGACCACCCTGAGCCAGGAGTGCACCCTCACCACCGGTTGAGCCACCGGGCGAGTATCTCAGTCCATGGGGGTTCAGACAGGGACCCCAAAGTCCGTTTGCAGATTCGAACGAGAGAAGGGTAATCGGCAAGGCAGTCTTAGCGTACGGAACAGCACCTGCATGAGATTTTAGTTTCGACTGAGCCGGGCCGATACTGGAGAACGGGGACGGGAACGGGAACGGGGGACTTACCGGCATCCTTTAGCAACTTGATCATCGCTCCATCCTCGGGGAATGGCTGCCCTGCCAACGAAGAGTATCCCAGAGTGGTATCGAAGCCCTTGACCTGAAGAGAGTCCTTTACAGAGACGGGGATTCCCGCTAAGGGACCCTTCAGGTTCACCTCGGACTCAAGCCATGATTCAGCTTCTGGGAGAAGAAGCTCTGTGATACAGTTTGTGCGTTTCTGTGCGCGGACAGCGACTTTGCCGTACGTGCGGAGAACAGTGAGAGCTGATGTTTTGGAGGTTTGAATATCTTCCACCAGCTGTTCAATGGGCTGATTGATAATCTCCTTGTCGGACTTTGTAATACCAAGTAGATATGGGTGGGGCAGTGACGAAAAGCGGCGATCTCGGTCCGCTTGTTTTTGGTTCCTGGGGTCGAGTTAGATCTATATGTGGTATGAGAGTGGGGGCAGCGAGGTCAGTATTTTCTCAGCTTACCGTATGCGGCGGTACGTCAGGTAATCAAATGGAGGAAGCATTTTGACTGGATCTGGGTAAGAAGAAGATGAGAGACAGCGGCCTTTTATCCCAGTGGTCTAAGCTCTTGCGGGGAATGAGCTTATCGGATAAGCCCAGATAACAACCTCGGCTGGAGTCGGCGGTGTTAAGTCCGCCAGGGAGAGGCGTTGCTCTTCTTACGTTCGGAGTCTGAGTCAAAGTCTACGGCTTATTGATCAGAGGTTGAAATTTAAATGCTCTGGTTCAAAATATTCTAACTGAGACTTGTACTATTGATTTGAAGTTCTCAAGCCTGAGGTTGTCCGATAAGCAGATTTACCCCATACTAGTACATAACTAAGCTATTTATAGTAGGTCCATGCGAGCGATAAATAATGCCAAAGAACACGTTTCATTATCCCCATTTCTATGGAGATGTAGATATGAAGCCCAGGCTGTGGAGTGCGAGCTAAGGTGTATCAGATAACGGTGGTCACCCCATTACCTCCAAGGCTGGCGTGACCGACCGGCTCTTACTAACACCAGTTGACCTCACTCCCCCACGGTCCCTAATATCCTAAGGATCCTGAACGAGGCCCCAGGCTCGAGTCGCACTATTCTCCCAGTCTCTGTCGCATACTTTGCCTGCATCAATATGACTTCCATTGTTATCTCCCAATGCAGCGTCATCGACGGCCCCGCCCTAGCTGCCAATAGCATCCCCGCTTTCTGGGCTGACCCGCACTGGGTCCTGGCCTGGCGTCATCGGACCCTCGAGTACCATATTTCGCAGATAGCCCTGCGCTTCCCGCGCAACCTGCTGAACAACCGGGACACCATGCGACATCAGAAAGCAGTGGATCCAGAGACGGGTCGCATACTCGGCTATGCCCGATGGTGCCTGCCACCGTCCTATGAGATAAACGCAGATGATGGCACGCCGATATGGCCCGAGGCCCAGGTCCCGGCTGTTGAGGCTGATAAGGAGGCTGAAATTCGACAGGCTGCGGAGACTGTTGTCTGGGATCCTAATAATGATGCTGATGAGCTATCAGATCGTGTGACTGCGCTCAAGAAGGAAGTGACGCCAAAGACGCCACATATAAGTAAGTCGGTATCTGTATACCATGTAGCGGCTAGTATTCTTTGGGCTAAACGGTTGATAGGTTTGGAATACCTTGCTGTAAATCCGGACAACCAGCGTAGAGGAGTCGGGACAGCGTTGGTGAAGAGTGGGATCGACCAAGCGAACAAGATGGGATTAGAAATTTTTGTCCACGCTTTCCAGGAAGGTGTTCCACTGTATAAGCGAATGGGCTTTCGACTTATAGCAGAGCTCATCCAAGATGACTCAAAATATGGTGGCAGTGGGGAGTATGGTGCATATTTCTTCATCTATCCATGAGTCGGGACTGAGGTTCAATGGATCATCCATATTCCCTACGAACCGATTTAGCAAAGCAAACTTGAAGTAGCCTCCATGATGATAGTGCCTAACTAGAAATCAGAATCAGTGTGCAATATTTGATTTGTATTTCTATTTTCATGTTCATGATAACTGAAAAATTAAACTATTTACTAACATTAAAACACCAAGCCCAATCTCGAAACCGCCCTGGAGGCGCGGCGGGTATATCTCCAGTGATCCGTCAAGTCAATAAATAATAAGGCACGAAAAGTAGGAAGGAAATAAGGAAGGGGAAAAGCAAAACACTTTGAGAACAAATGAAGTCTCAATATGCAATCCAATAATCCACCATTTTCATGACACTATGGCTCAATGCTTTGAAGCCAGTTGTGCTTGCTCAACCACCATACAATGACACCACCAGTAACAAGGAGGATAATGGCAAAGAAGATGACGAACCCCCCAGATCAGGGACTTCTTGCTTTTTCGGCGTTCACGTTCCAGCCATGAGTCCTGTGGTCTTCAGTTCTCGTTAGTTAATTGCATACTGCGCCGGAGTTCGAGGGAACCTACTTCTCTGACGCCGGTGTTGATACTTCACTGGGAATGCCCTTCGCTTCCTCATCCAGATGAACAGCTGTTGAGAATCGCTTCCAAAAGTATGGATCACGCACGAGGGCCATTTTGTGAAGCTCGAATCAGGGGCTCGATAAAGCGGGATGGTGCAGCAAAGCCCCTTGCTGTGTTTATTGCCAACTGGTTCAGGGGTTGACAGTGACAGATTCAATTCCGATTTTGCAGAAGTGGTGGGATCGAGCTGTTCGTAAATAATGGTGAGATTGGAGAGTGATTTCGAGACGGCGTTGGGCGTGGGTTGACTGGTAGAAATGGGACGTTGGACAGAGTGGGATTTCCTAGGTGGGAGCGGTGCACTTAACACGCAACCAAAAAAGGAGGAAGGGTCAGGTGCCACCTTGTGGTGGAATTCTATTGCAGTGATAAAGCCAGTTGAATGAGGGCTAGACTGAGAGGCAGCCTTGGTTCTTCCAGCCAGGGTATGTGACAGGTCTCCCAGCGCCAGCTGTATACACAGGTAAATGAGCCGTTAGATAACAATTTCGCTGCCATGGTGATGAATACACCAATGGTCTTGCATAAAATGGAAGATCAGATGCCGTTTCTGAGCATGGTATGTTCATCGGGAATGAAGGGGTTCGCGAAAGTCTATCGGCACCTTGGATGTGGTGATTGAACTCAATCCAATCCTGTTTGTGAGTCCCGTCTGGAATGTCGATCCTGTTGAATCCATCCTATTGGGTGCCAAAATAACCAATCATGCCCATGGCACTTGATGGACTGCGATCTTGGGTTCTGGCCAGTCAAGCACACATAACATTGGTTAGATATCGCGGCAAAGATCGAATCGTTGCGGGAGCCACGGGAACCACGCGAACCAGCCACAATAGCACGTCTGCATTTTCGGGTAACTTGTACCGCTTGGATGATCTATTCTGATACATATCGCCTGTCGGGGTGTGCGAGCCCGAGCAAGGGCGCGGCCCCTTGGTCCACCAGAAGGAGATGATAGCAGTTGACCAGTGAACAGATGATTCAACTTGGTTCAAATGTTCATTGTGAATGCTTAGTACTACGAAGGCACACGTTCAACCTCATGATGATTAAACTCTTGGCTGGCTAAGTAATAGTACTGTCAACTTGCTTTGAAGCTCTTTTCAATTAAGATCTCTATATCGTAATGAGCATGAGATTTGGATTTAAACCATCAAGAACTCATGTTCACATACTCAGCGGGACTGCTAGCTATAACAGCCATATTGCTAGAGCCCATTTTCCTATAATAAATTTTGACCACCTAGCTTACTGTTAGTTGCGTTGCTTTACGATTATGATAGAAAATTCTTTACAATATATGAGGCTAAGGTGAGAGAGAGCTAAAGTGAGAAACATATGGAGTCAGAGATATCCAACTTGAAATTGAGAGATATCTGAAGTGAGGGATGAAGTAAAAGGGCCATATAGTTGCTGAACCTCCTGAGAAGAAGCAGAAGGAAAAGCATGAAAACTTGAAAGGATGAACTAGAAAAAAGAGATAAAAAATCCACCACTGCCAGTGTGGACCGATCTGGTCCAAGGACGTCCGAGACATCTGGACCAGACCGAATGGATTTCAGGAAGCAGAGTCTTGTTATTTCCTTTTGTTACTCAGTGCCTGCAACTTAGAGATGTAGAGAATAGAAAATTTTGTTTTGATCTGAGTCTCTAATATCATATTGGCAGCATTTTTAGATATTCTGGTAGCATGAAATTACATAGTATTTGTTCAGAAGGCGAGGATATTCCTTCAACAGCTGAGTATGTAAACATGAGTCCTTGATTAAATCTCACGCTCATTGCGATATGAGGTATTCACATATACATTCAACAGAGCCTTATAGCAAAGCATACCTAGTCAGGATTCTGTTCTGGCAAATAACTTGGGACTCAGCACCTTCAAGAAGCTCCCTGTTGTCTAAGTGCTCCAAGGGAGCTAGCTATGTACTACATAGTGTCTACAGAGTTATAGCCGGGTACTGTAGTTCACTGTGAATGTTGAAATCGAAGGCACACATTCAACACGACTCGGATTGAAGAAATATTTTCGCCCTCTGAAGAAATAATCTCATGCTTCAACAATCTGCACAGGCGCTGCCAATATGATGTTAGAGCCTCTTTTTCCTGTTTTGTGAGGCCGAAAACTGAAATTCGCTGACAGGGAATACACTCGAGAGATAAAACAAGAATGGAATGTCGGAGGATAGACCCGACTGGTAGGCAGCGTGACCAATATCTCCATGGACGCAGTATATACCGTTCGTTTTCCCATCTCGCCATCATCGCTCCGTATGCAAAGACTCCAATTGGGCACTATCTCGTCCGATAATACTGGCACACTATCGGACCAATAAGCTCTTCGAGTATCCCAGTCACCGGGATGGGTCAGGTCTGGGAAGTCCTCCCAGGGCTCCACACCAAAAAATGTCATAGCCTTCAACTTGACTTTTGTGAATATCGACCTTGGGAGCATGCTATCTGGATTTGCAGGTTCAAAAGCAAGATTGACTTTTAAAGTTGTTGACAATTTTGCGGTATTCTGAGATTGAGAGGCTCCAGATAGCTCAATTGCTGGAGGCTGGAATGTTGATGCAGATAAAGAGCCGACTGATGGTTGAAATATCCCTTTCTTGAGTGCTTTCTGTGCATTGAGCTGATAGAACCAACTATCCGGTGGGATAAGGATAGGCGCGTTCTCTGAGGCCTTGGGGAGGATATAGATAGGATGCTTGTATTCTCGAGTCTTCTTCCAAAGTTTATTCTTTCCACCAGGGTTTCTTATCGTGAATGTGATTGCATATGATATCTTTGCTTCCTTAGGTGCCATATCGTGAGCATTATCGAAGAACCGATCAGTGTGTCCCAGACTTGCGGGTAGATTCAGGTGCTCTTGGTTGACCTGAATATTCATGCACTTGTGAGGACAGAACTGAACTGGAAGCTGTATAGGAACGACGAAGTGAAATGGAATTGGATATTGAATTCCTGCCTGGAGTTCGACTTCAGGTATGCACTCGTAGACTGGCAAATCCATGCGAAGGAATCGTCTGTTTAGGACATTGACAGGTACAGGAACATGAGTCCCCATGTTTTGAATGGTGATTTCCATATTCCCTGGTAGATTTTAGCCTGCATTCTCTTTGATTTGCAAGTTGAACTCTACCTTGTAGGCCCAGAAATAAGTTTTCTACCTGTGTTAATTCGCCGGGAGTAAACAGAACTTGACCATTAATCACATCGCTGGTCTGAAAGACAATATTTTGGGAGACCTCAATGTTGACAATAGGACGCTTCATTTTGTGGAGGGTGAATGGGAGACTTCAATACCTGGGAGTACTAGTATTGAAATTTTGGTGTTTAAATAGAAGAGTTCAAATGTTCAAGTTCGGCGTGGGGTTCGGCGAAAACTTCACTTCCCCGGACACATTTGATTCACAGATTACCCTAAAATGCTACAGCCTGAGAGATGACCAGGGAACCATGTTTCAAGTTGAACCTTTAAAGTGCACATGTGTCTACATAGACACATATGTGAAAATGTGCCCTTGACAGATTTTCCTTTTTACACTATTGCCGCTATTGGGGACTACTCAGGATCAGGCTCACTAAGTAGGGCATGATAGAAACTGTTATTCCTGATCTGACCTGATCCAAGCATGTGACTACTCATTAGGCCATCGGTGACTTGCTCAATGCTCAGGTATCAATTTCTTGAACGCAGATTGGAGCTTGATGTCCAGCTAGTTATCCACCCCATTCCTAGTAAGGGATAATTATCTTCACAAATCGTGTTAATAGGGTAGGCTCAGCCTCCTATTCCGTGCGAGCGCTATTGCTCCCTCCGCTCTCGATCTGTCTGCCTTACTAGACTTACCATCGATCCTCCCCGCATTTCAATTCGTAGATTCATCACTCTCTCTTCATCCCATTTCATCATCCGATGGCTGTTTCACGGGGAACCCTTGAGCTTCCCTTAGAAGGGATGTCTCTCTTTTCCATTTCCAAAATCCAGACTCCCTGTCATTCGTGGGTAGATGACCCATCGTGTTCCCTGGACCTCTAAACTGTAGGCGAGCTAGCCAAGCTGCGAGATCAAATTCACCATGTAGTTGCCCATCAACAAGCATCCGGATAGTCCCAATATGTATGCTCATACAAAGGCTGTCCGAACATGGAAGTATAATAACTCGTATGAAGAAGACCGCCTATCCAGCTTTGCAGATATTCACAGAGCCACTCAGGGCGCGTCGTATATGATGATAATGTCTCTGAGATTTCACTTTGGTCTCCCCGATCGAGACCCCGATGTCGCTCCGACCAATGCTTGTATGTCACAGCTTCTGGTGGGAAGGCAAGCTCTAGTTCCGCAGACTGGAAATCGAGAACAAGTGTGTCACCAGTATGCCGCGGTCTGCGAATTCCTTCGTGTTTCGAAAATAATCAGATAACTCATCTTCTTCTTTGTGCTTTTTTCTTCCCACAGGACCATAGCGGAGAAAACGCTCTGATGCGGCATAGAATGACCAATGGAAGCCTAGCCGGCCACCATCGCCGATTTGGCTACGGACGACGCACTTCTCAATGATGTGGCCAAAAAGACGGACATTCGCGTAGAGGGTCGATACATGGGTTGTGAGACATGGCACCGACAGCCATGTTAGAAAGAGATTCAAGTCATCCTTGACTGAAATGTCAAGGTCATAGTCGACTTTCATGCGTCCAAGGCTCATCTGAGTCTCGGCTGAAATTTGACGATTTGTGAGAAGAAGGGACAGACAGCTCGAAGAGCTTGCCGTGCTCTGCGGCTTATAATAATAAGTCTTACTACCACGTCCAACCCATCCCTTGTACCTAAGATCATTGTATTCGATACCATCGGATTGAAGAGGAGTCACAGGTGGGCTGAGCGGGGTAAAGAGCACATGTTCGATGATGAGTGCTCGGAGCTCAGATGGGATAGTAAGAAGCAGACACATTGAATATATTCAAAGTCTTTAGAGTGAGGACTTTGGACAAATATAGTCAAATCCTAAACTTGAAGAGGTTGAAGCTCACAGGTTTTCCCTGGGGAGATGAGGCCGGCCGTCTCGAGTGCGGGGGAGTGCCCGAAGACTCTAGTCTCTTGCTGTGAAAGCCTTGACAAAGAAATCGAGTACAAAGAAAATGCGGCATGGGTATGAGACCAAAAGTATTTTCCCATACCCGTTTATCGCCTTTGGAGTAATTTTTTTTAGAATTTTCATTTGGCCTATGCCAATTCTCCTCCTTTTTCTTACTAGTATTTCCGACATGCGGATATTCTAGGAAATAGCCACGATGCGCTAAGGTATTGGCGGTAGGTCCAGAAAAGAGTTATCAAATGTAAATCGGTCAGTACATAGTACTACTAGGTACTACTAGTACTAGTACAATGCACGTTCCAAGGTTCAAGTTCAACTTGAAGTTATCGACACTTCCAAGGTTTTATCTTCAAGTTCCTGTCCCTTGCTAGCAAATTATAATAAACTTCAAAGTCATTTGGAAGTTGACTTTCAATGTTAGAATAAAAAGGATTAATAGTTCCAAATTTCCTTGAATAGAATTGTTATGTTTAATCCAACCTCGGAAAATAAAGATAGCCTTGAATTTGCCACTCGGCATTGCCGGCAAGATGAATATTCGCCGAGATTTCCACACGCCGAACCTCTTCTCCAACTTCCAGAGCAAGAATTTTATCTTACGAGTAATAAACACGTGAAAAAATCCGAGCCTTGGAGAATCATGGTGTCTGCAAGTAAAGGACCCGGAGAGGCTGGAATCAAACGCCAGAAAAAGAAATCTATTGCGTAAGTAGCCTATGTCTGCTGATCAACCGACATTTGAATTAACTGCGTGATGTAGTTGTCGCCGGTGTCATACACACAAGATCAAATGTTCTGGCGGTCAGCCATGTACCAAATGCCGGCAAGCAGGATGTCCTGCCGATTGCACGTATGTAAGCCGTGATCGTCAAATCAAGGTACATGAGAGGTATGTTGAGGCTCGGAGTGAGGCCCCGGGAATATCGGTTTCACCCCGGTTAACCATATCCCAGCTACCTGGAGCAACTTGCTTTGGAGAATGAACGGCTTCGTGCGCAATTATCCCAATCGCCAGCAGGAAATACCCCCGAAACATTAGTGCCATATAGTCAGGGTATTTGTTCACTCAAGCCCTCTTAGATCCATGGGCCACCACTAAAATTTTTGATAGACACCTCTACACACGACTCTGACACGCATGTCCAGAATCCGATGTTAGGAGAACAAGCTTGGTTTCAGCCATATGATCCATCAGCACCCCCAATTCATATTGGCGAGGCTGCTTGCACCGCGTTCGCTACTCGCCTTCGCCAGGTACTGAGCAAGGACAGCAAGACCTCCCATATGCCGCGAACACAATACACATCTGAGGCAACTTTGATGAAAATGCGCAACCCTGTTCTGCAATGGCCAACCTTGGCCCAAGCTCGACTGCTCATTCAGGTCGTCTTCAACCAAGTGGGCAGAGTCTATCACCTTGTTCTCCGTAAATCGACAATGGAAGAACTAGAGGACGCCTATCGCAAAGCAGAGTTCGATGACCCGATAACGACTTGTAAATTCTTTGCCTTGTTTGCACTGGGTGAGGTATATTCAGCACGAACCAAACCGGATCTTGAGTGTGGCGTTCCAGGAGCATCGTTCTATGTAAATGCCATGATGATGATACCTATCCTGCCCGAGCGACCGAGTCTTACTCATATCGAGTCTCTTCTACTCTTGGTGAGTGATATCAATTTCAAATGCAAGGCAAGTTCTCACATATTATAGTCTCTATATTCATATTTTTTGAACCGTCGCCACTCTGCATTTCTTCTGGTTGGAAATGCTATGCGGCTAGGTTTAACACTAGGTCTCAACCATGACATTCCCGAATGTCAATGTCCTGACTTGGTTGATCGGCAGCATCGGATTCGTCTCTGGTGGGCAATCTATGTCTTCGATCGCATGTATGGATCTAAAACTGGCTGGCCTATCCAGATCGCGGATGATGACATTCACGTGGAGATGCCATCCACTATACCATGTGCTATTAATGATGAACAATTTTCTGATACTGAGTTCTTGGTTGCGAGTATTGAGCTTGCTCGGATCATTGGACAGGTCACTGAAAATATTTACAGTCGCAAGAAGCAGCCTGATTCTTTCCTGCAAAGAGAACAGAAACTATTGACAGCTTTGAAGCAATGGGCTCAATCTTTGCCACCACATATCCGTCTCAACCGCGATGGATCAGTTCCGAAAAATGTTATTTCTTTGCATCTCCAATTTAATCAAGTGAGTACTACTACTCATGATTAAACCCGAAAACCCGCTATTGTGTGCAACGACTGACACATGCCGAAGTGCATCATTTTAGCAACAAGACCTATCTTGCTATACAACCTCATCCAATCGAAAGAGCCTCGTCAAATCGACAAAAATACCACACAGATAAACGGTCAAACTTTGAAGACCCTGAGTGACGCATGTATCCATGCTGCAAGGCACACACATTCGCTGATCGTGGAAGAATGGACGAACGGCACTCTACCCGTCTTGGGGTATTTCTATGCACATTATCTCTTCTCCTGTGCGCTTACAATGGTGGTTTCCAGTCAAATAAACAAGACTAATCAGAGTGACTTTGCACTCTTTGAAACCTCATTTGAGATTCTACGTGCTATGAGCGACCATGGGAACTTAGCAGCAACGGAGTTCTACGACAACCTAGCATGTATAAGAAGATGCTTGGACAAGAAACACGGATCGAGAAGTCGCCACTCAATATCGAGTCATCTACATTCTTACCCACCTGACTCGCACGCCCTTGATGAAGGACCTTCAGTCCCTGACCCGGCCGCACGGGGCCTCGACCAGGGCCTGTCAGGCCACCACCCGATGCTGCCCGAACCCACCGCACCAGGTAACCTAACAGATGAAATGGAGTTCTTAGGCGCTAGTATGGAAGAATTCCTTGCCCAACCTGATATCGACTTCGAGCCGCTAGACTCTTCGGGAGAACCGATTAGCGTGGCGGATGCGATGTACTCGTGGCCAAATTTCTCGCTTTGGACTGCATGATGAATGCGCAGAGCAATGTTAAATAGACACTCCTTAACCTAAATAGGTTTAGCCTCAAATTTCAAGTCCACATACAAACAGATGCATGTACTCATAGACGACGACACGTACTATTGTTACTAGCAGTTAGTTAGATCGCAAATTCATACCTTTACCTTCCTTTGAATGCCTGGTTGTCTACCCCCTCCGGTTCATAAGTACACATATGCATGTATGGTTACCTACCTTGATACCCACTACTCTACTAGTACTACTGGGTAGTAGCCTTAGAAATCTCTTTGATATTCACAGTAACTTTTGAGATCAAACTCCAAATTTTGAAGTAGTTATATGTACATCCTGGTGAGATGCACATACATGGGCTTACAAACTAAGCCTAACAGGAAACAAGGGATCCATTTAACAACGCTCGATGCGCGGAAGAAAATTCGGGAAGAAATGGGAGCCCAATACAGAGCTAAAATCATGCATTACTAGCGTGCATTTAAAACTAATATTACTGGTATTAGCTAAGAGACTAGGTAGGTTTGTGCCTGGTCACTTTGTACCTGGCAATGTTATTACTGGCTATTGGCTCATTCGGAATGCGCCTCGTATGATGAATCCAGCTGAGTGCATCATAAGAATGTTTATTATCAAAATATTAATATTATGACTCTTTTCCCTTATTCTGTCATACATGAGATATCTCATTTTATTTCCATTCGCCTCACTCTCTTGTGCTTCTTTATACACTTCACTCTCGTATAGTGGGGACCCCCCCACATCCTTATGTGCCTGACCGCCCCCTCGTCTTTTGACTCTGTTGACTCCCCAGATCCTGGAAATGAGTTGGCCGCGATCTCGAGATCCGACCCTGGTAGCTCTGATGCGATGTCTTGGGGAACACTGATCAATCCGGACAAGAGTCCTGCCCCATTACTGGAACAGCTATGTCTCGGAATTGCGACCCAGTTGATGGTGAGGATACCGCGTCCAGACTCAGACCGCCAGATGGAACCTTGGAGCTAACCGATCTGCAGCCATCGTTTGATGCTAGTGGCACAACAGAAATCACTCCCAATCGTATCGCAACCTTCTATCGTAAGGTCGGCGGAAACTATGATGCATTGTTTCTCGGTACTAAGGCACAGGCGCTGTCTTTTATTTACCAATCGCTTGGCTGCTTCCACAGTCTTCAACCATCACCAAACCCATACGAATCGCCATGTATTCCATCATTGCTCCCGACTGGCTTTGTGCGCTGGCAAACAATCCAGTTATTAATGGACCCAGATGAGCACAGCCAATATCTCCAAAATGCAGTCGAAATGTGGGATATTGTGGATGCAAAAGGCGACATCTTTCCGAAAGACCTTCCAAGAGATGCATTTCCCGCTGAGCCCGATGCAGAAATGCTACAGTGGCATGAAACTGTGAGCAAACGACTTGAGCAGGACTATGAGAAGTGTCAGCGCCAGCGTCAGCGTGGATCACCGCCCAATTTCACGGGGTATCATTATCGATTTAGCGGGAAGGACCCGTTGCCGGATGAAGAAGAGTTCTTTTCATCAGCTCCACGCCGGTCGGGATCTCGACACCAAAGCCATTTCGATACAGAGAAACCTAGTCACAGGCGTCATCACAATTGCCGACCGAGTGAAGAACGTCCCAGCTATCACGGTCGCAGACCAGATCCAGCATTCTTTGCCCGACCAGATGGAGGCCGATCGGGAATGTCATCTCCGCGAGGTCCTTCACCATCTTCACGAATGGATCATAATGGCCGATCGAGAGGCCGAGACCGACCATTCTGGCACGGTCGCAGATTGAGTCGAGACAGGAATGAGCCGCAGGAGTCTGAATCTGAATCTGACTCTGATGACACTATTCACGAGGATGAACGCGAGCCCCCACCACCACCTAGACAACATTCCCGCCGCCACAATCTATCACCTCCGACACCCTCTAGCGCTCGCCGACACTCACATGACGCGTATAAGCGTAAACCAGCCCGCGATCTGTCTCCGCATGCACCACGAAGAAGCCATCGGGGCTACGAGTATGAACATCCGATGTCCAGAACGCACAAATCACATTCTGATGGTGCCACCAGAAACCACCATGGCCACCACAGTGATGATCACTCTCACTCCCGATCATCTGGCTTCAAGTTCAGGGACTTTAACTTCGATGGACGTCGGCCACACCCTAATGTCGCTCCGGATCCACAAATGTACTCGCATGCGCCCCCACCACCTCCACCACGAGCAGTTCCTCGCCATCGGTACAACATAGATCCGTACGCGGACGACCCACGACGAGCCAGCTATGGCGGTGGGAGCCGGCCTGGCAGTGGAAGCAGTTCGGAGCGGCCGCGTGCATACAGCAACGCGGCATACACAACTCGTGGGCCTCGCTACCCCAGTCCCCATCGCGGGAGTGGGAAGCGTTATGCCCCAATGAAACATGCCGAGGATCTGGGGTACACCCACTCACGGAGGGGGCCCCCAATTTATGATTAATGATTTATGTTTACGCTGATGATGCATTCTCGGTTTTGGTTTCGGGTCAGCCTGGGTTTGTTTTTTGTTTATTTTTAACGCTGCAACGACTCTCCTCTTACCTCACTTTGAGTGTTTCTCTTAAAGTTGCATACCATCGACAGATATGATGTTCAAGTTTTATGACTTATGACTGGGAAGGTGTTTCAGGGATGGGGGTCAAGGGTGTAGTGTTACTTTATTCTTAGTTATCAATCACATTTCCGTGACATTGAACTTGAATCCCCTATTTAAAAGTCTTATATTGCATAGAGCTAACATTTATGTATGATGCCAGAGGTCTTGATTCGCCGAGGGCATCGAATTTATGACCCAGATCACACTGGCAGGCACCAATTGATATTTCTCCAACTCGAAGTCAGAACTATGGTGTAAAAGTAATCGAAAACAAAATTATCACATTAAATCACAAGGGAACTTTCAATATTCTCACGACGCTCAACCTTGACCAAATAGCGGGGTTTAATAAAAGGTCTTCTCCAAAAGTTCAAGAAGCTCTGCTGGAAAGTCACGATAAGGCTCCAATCCGCCATTTGAAAACAACTCATTCAAAGTCTTCTTCTTATATCCCTCAACCTCCCAAATGTCGTTCCCGATCGCCGCCTCGTATCCACCTGCACCCCAAACACGACGACCGTACCAGACCAGCGTCAACGGGGCACCTTCATCCAGGGTCTTTTGGTTATGATTATCTACCTGTTCGAGAGTATGATGGAAGATCTGTGGCGAAGAGCCATTTCTAGCTTCAAGAGCACTTGCAATCTCAGTGCCTGTGGGTTGTATCTCTGAGAGACTGATTACCCGGCCTTGAAGCTCAGATACAGGTGTTCGGGCGAAGATGGACGCATATGAAGCTGCGATATACTGGCGGGTACTATTGGATAATATTAGCTGATTTAATCAGTGAGTCCTAGCATTTTGTTGTAAGAGATCTACCAAATGTTCATCTTTTGGTGTTCGCCATCACCAGGGAAAGCGACACAATTCTTAATCAGATCGATTCCAAGTAATCTGAGATTTGAAAGTTAGGAGATTGTCATACGGAATAATAGATAAAGAAATAGCAATGGTAGAACATACGGAGCATTCAATGCAGACTCTGCGAAAAGACCTGGCAAGACAATCGTCATGGGGATTCCAGCTGCGGAGGCAGCCTTCTCAACCTTGTTTTTCTCTCTGTTGACGGGCACTCGCAGACCTTGTTCATCACAGCGAAATGCTAGATTGGAAGGTACAAATAGCTTGACGCTGGTGTGGGGAAGCGCTTCAACAAAAGCATGCTGCAGCTTCACGCCTGATTGACCAACAAGGGATCTGGAATAATGGTCAGTGTTCATAAATTCTCAAAAGTGTTTGTTGGCTTATCTCACTTACATGAGGATATCGATATCTTGAAGTGATTTCCTGACTGCGTCTTGATCCTCTAGGTCCACTTCGACTTTTTCTACATGACTGGGGACGTTACTGATGTCCGAGCCTGGTCTGTAGAGAACACGAATAGGAGCGCTCGATTCAGCAGAGAGCATTGAAAATCTTTGAGCTGGCCCAGCCACGATGACCATAAACTGCTAGTCTGTTGAAAGGCATTTTTTTTTAGATTGTGAATTCAATGGTGTAGTTGTGAGAGAAGTATGTAAGAAGCTGGAGACAAGGAGATCGAAGCTGTGGTTTTAGGTGAGAAATTATCCTCAGACCCATGGGAATAGACTTTTTTATACACATCCATCTTTGCGATGTCCATCTTCCTAAGGACTATGAATCATTGCAAACATCTCAAATCCATGGATCGAGTTTGCAATAGTTTGCACCAGTTTGTTGATGGATGAGGCCACCAATGATGTGGCGTCAGGCCTGTTTGGTTAGTTTGGTCTGTTTGAACACGTATATTTGTTATCCAATCATATGAAGACAAACAGGTACTTTGTCACTTTTCCCATGTCTCAAACATTGAATTCTTAGGATGGAGTTTGAACTCTTTCAACCTGAAAGAATGAATCCTTTGGTCTGGACATTGGAGTCCGAACGTTCCCGGTGAAGCGTGAATAGCCACTACCACAGTCCAAATTGGCTAGCAAGACGGGTATTTGGAAATTTCAACTAAAAATTGATCGAGGTCCTCATGGAATGTAGCGACAGTCGGCGGCTTATTCGACCTTGTGGTGCATTTCCAACATCAAGACCATGGCCAAGGACCCCGGTAAGAGGGTAGCCTAACCCGGAGTGTCTGGGGAAGAAGCGGAGCAAGTGGAGGGATGTGGGATGACCACATTGGCCATATTCCGAATTGCGACCATAAACTTACATGCGCCACACAACCTACTTATTTCTCATCAATATGAAGTCTCATGATCAAGGAGGTTGCAAATACGATTTTCAGTGAACGCGATTGGAACTCGTCCATATGTTTATGATACTCTATTCAAGAGAGACCTTTCTCGCTAATCATACAACTCTCTAGATGTCACGGACCAAATCCCTGTACGGGTTATTTGGATCTTGCTCTTCTTCCTCAACTGAAGGAATACTCTTTATCACCTTGCACGGACTCCCTACTGCAACAGAGTAAGGTGGGATATCCTTAGTAACGATAGATCCAGCGCCAATTGTGCAGCCCTTGCCAATGCGAACACCGGGGAGAATGATTGCGTTGCCTCCAATCCAGCAATCATCTTCAATGAAAACAGGATGGCCGAATTCCACAAATTTCTGCCGGGACAGGACACTCGTATCGTGACCGGCAGTGAAGATGCTCACTCCAGTTCCAATCTGAACTCGATCACCAATGACAACCAAGCTTGTATCCAGAATCGTGACACTTGGATGAATTAGCGTTGCGCCTTGAGCATTTTCATGAAATATTTACTCACTTCCAGTTGATAAAGCAATTCTTGCCAATAATTGTATTGCATCCATAATCTGGCATAAACGGGGTCTCCACAAATGTACCGTCACCAACGCTGCCTAGAAGTTTACGTAAAAGCTCCAGACGTGTATCTGCCAGTTGATCATAGGAGACGGTCTTTGTATCGAAGTTGTTAAGATCAGCCGTCAGACCTCTACACCTGTGACGCGCCTCTACCAACTTCGGGATGGTCGGATTGTACCTGGAGATAGTCAGCTTCATGAAAGATGAAGAATCAACAACATGATTCGACCATACATCATGCCTGATATCATACGCTCGTAGTCCTCGCATTGCGGGACGCCTTGGAGGCCGCGTGACAGCTCGATTATCTCTGGGCGCTTTTCCAGGGATGCCATTGTGTTGCACGTACAGATGAGAGTGGAATCGGTTTGAGTGATCTCTCTGGGAAATTTGAGGTTCTGGAAATCTGCAGTTCAATTAAATATCATCTAAAAAATGCCAAGGCTTAGTGTGTTGGCGGGGCAGCATCGCTACATTATCCTTAACCCCGCTGACTGGCGGTATCGATAACCTGATTGAGTCAAAAGCTCAACCCCGAAGTTTCTCCGTGGCGGCTCGGCAAGCCATATGACCTAGAGTCAGAATTGAGACATTCGAAGAGTCGAGCCTTATGAAAATTTCGATTTTGAATCGAACATATATGCTTCCGAGATTTTTGTAGGATCGCGGAGATCGTTCATCCAGTACCAAGCACTACGGTCCATCTCAAAGTCTCTGAGTCTTCACACATTTGAATGGTCTCACTTATGCCTGCCGATGAAGATGTCGCCGTACCATTTTCTTGGCTGGAATGATGTTGCTCAATTCAAGTGAGGCGCTGGAACGGCTCTGTGTGAAAAATTGAGGTACTCCATTCAAGTTTGAAGTCCAGCCAATTATGGCTATTTATTGCCTTCCACCAAGACCTCTATCGTGATCATCTTAGCCTCGGCCAGGCTTCCACAATATACAGCAAAGAAGCTCTCTTTGACCTCAAACCGGGGGCAAGTGGGATACATCGATCCCCAGCCTAGAATGGCCACCTGCCCAGACAAAGTATCAAGTCAGAGACAGGGAAGCATTCATACAGTCCATGGCAGCGAGAATGGCCCATGTGTGGGAGTTTTGATGTTACCCTCCCCAATGAAATGGAACAAGGTTTGTATCAAAACAGGCATCAGAAGCAATCTTGAGAGGAATCAACAATCCCGGTGACCACTTGTGGGGTAATAGGCAACAAAGCGATCAACAGGGAGTTTGCAACTCACGAGCAAACCATGGCCCTTAACAAGAGCGATTACCAAGAAAGAACCGTGGTGGTTATCAACATGGTGTATTTTCAATTGTGCCATCATTGATCAGTTTGTCCTCGAGGCAGAAGTTGATCACCCACCATATCGTTGCTTGCCTCCACATGAGTTCTGGCAAAGATCTCTCTCCGACCACTAAATCCCGAATGTCGAGGCCCTAAGCTTGCTTTATACGAGCACTACATTCATGACCTCAGGAGAGAACTGGGAATGTTCCTCTTAATACACATAAAAATACCTACTAGGTATCTCTCTGTTGCTGCGAATTAATGGTATATCGGTCAAGCCAGCCCTGGAGGCTCTTGCTGTGATCAAGCTACCAGTATTTCCAGAATATTTCGATGCTATATCTTCAAGTTGATTAGATTGAAATTTCCCACTAGATGTGCATTGCAAATGTTCATCAAAAAGATTCCTCTACAACCGATGGGTTGGAATATGAAGTCATATCAATGTGGTGATTATTGTGGGGCATTGGCTACTACATATACAAGCGACTCGGAAATGAGGGGGCTGGGGATCTTAGTGCTTGTGAGATTTGTACCAACATTTGAACGCAATACCTACTGGAGTAGGCAAGAAAGAAAAAGGAAAGCCAGATTATCTTGAGAGTAATTTGTGAAGTAAGAGAAAAAAACAGAGGTGCTTCCATGAAATCTGTAAATATTGATCTTATCTCGATAATGAAGGTTGTCAATATTTGGTGAATCGTGATGATGGTCCGCTGATGTGGGACCGCCGCACAAAGTCCCCCGCTTAATATCAATCATACAAACATCAAACAGCTTCGCGTGAATTCACAACACATTGACTCACAAGTGGCAATACTGTTTCTCTTATCTTCAAACCTCCACTTGACTCTTCTTTTCTCTCCCACAACACGTCCACTGCACCCAAGGCTTTACTTCAGTAGCACTTACCCGACCAGCTCACTTCTATCAACGCCACAAATTATCCAGAACTTGGAAGTGTCGGAAGTCAAGATGTCTGAATCTCAACCTACAAAGCGAGCTCGTGCGAACACCGCAGGAGAGGCTCTCAAGCCTAACACTGCCCCCCAGGGATCCGAATCACAAGCCACAGAGCAAGGTCACCAAAAGCCCACTGATCGGGAGATGAAACTACTCACCTCTCCAATCATCAAGGAGCTTCTCGAAAAGGCCGCTGAAATGCACCCAGACGTCAACAACCTAGTAATGGATGCCATTCGACGCGTCCAAGAGCAGCACCGACAACGCGTTATCAATTTCGACCACTACTCTTCTAGTATCTGGAAGCAAATCAATGTCACATACCGTTCCATGAGAGGCTCAAAGCAGTACGACATGGCTTGGGAGGTTGTAGGTGATGTTGTCGCCACCATCACTACTATTTCAGGCCAATGTGATGAGTTTTCAAGCCCCCAAACCCGAGAAAATGGACTTTCTGTGCTGCGGAAGATTGGCAAGACGATCTGCCTCTCTTCAAATGATACTCTTGGCCATGAAGTTCAGAAACAGTTCCAATCTGACCCAAGTTTGGAGAGAGGGATGTACGATATCGTATCGGCTATGTCGGTTGAAGAGAGACAGAGCATCGTCAATTCTCCCAACAAATCGGATGGATTGTGGGCGAAGCTGAAGGAGCTCCAGGAACTGTCGGAAGGTTACTGTGTTTTTGAGGGACTGTGGAAAGTTATGGCTCTACTTTCTGGCGCAGAGAATCACGAGGGATTTGACGATGACGATGACGATGACGAAGATGATGATGAGGACGACGACGATGATGACGATGATGAAGGCGAATTTGACGAAGATGACCCCGAGAACTACGATGAAAAGGATATGCATGTGCAGACGGGCGACGAGCACGATATCTACTAAATTCTACCGTCCATCATGTTCTGGACTGCATAGTCCGCCTTATGAGCTATGAGCTACCTTTGTATGAGCTACAAGTCATGTTTTTGCCGGGCGCAAAGTTGCTGCAGGTGTGGAGTTTGATGGAGTATTTCTTTATGTTGCAATCCCACTTATGAGACATGACTATTAACATTTTTTTTCTCTCTTTCTACGGAGTACGAAACTTCCACTTCAACATAGGATCAACAACACCGCGTCAACTGGTGACCAATGAAGCGGTGAGCGGGTAACCACAGGAGGGAATCGGCATACTCGGCAATGAGTCCGCAGAGTGGAGTGATCTCACGCGACGTTTTGTAGGCCCAGGAATACGCTTAATTCTTGTAAAGTGTAGAATAGTGGACGACAAAACAACTAATAATCCACAGCATGTCTCATTCAGGGCCATGGGTATCTTGGTTGCCTTGTGGAGTTCAGGGGAATTATTCTTTACTGCCAGGTGTAGTTACTGCAGTAGCGTCGGTAATCCTGCCCATAATTGAGTCTACTCAGCGCCCTGCCAATGCAATACGCAGGGGCAGATCCTTCGCGAACATGCCACATTCGCATTAACCTTGGGCGATCACTTTGTTCCTAGAGATATTTGTGTGCTAACGATTAGAATCACAGACTATGTAGATTGGAAAAATGACTGAATCGTGATCATCTAGCGGGACCAACCGACAGGAGTCTGGATTCCCCCTGAAATTCCCACTTTCACCCGAGATGAGGGACCAAGATCACTAGTCTGGATTATCCTCGGTCGTGATGAAATGATCTACACAAATTAAATGTCACACGCCACCAAGCCTCACAAACATAGGGGGGATTTCGGAATCCATGCATGAGATTTAATAAATGATTCAAGAAAAAACAACGCCTCAAAAGCCAAAAGAAGAGATGAATTGCACATGAACGGAAATCATTTCAGCCCTGACTAATCGGATACCAACGCCCCGAGAGCATCATAGCGTTGTTTATTGGTCCAAGGTCAATCTGTGGGGAAAGCGGGGAAAACATAGGGAGATGATTCTCTTCGAACTTAACCTCAAACCTATTCTGTGATTCAAATATCGTTGAAGCTGAGTCAACTGAAGTTGCGACTTCGCCGAGATGGTCGTGAAGGCATGCAATCGCTGTCATTCCGCCAAAGAGAAATGCACCTTCCTCGGTAGTGATCAACAATGCACGAGATGCCGCCGGTTGAAGATTCCATGCTCGGTATCCCGTCGTAGCGGACGCATAGGGCGTCGCCCATCTGCTAAGACATTCCCTCATGGCCAAATGCAGGTGTGGAGTGTCGAAACGATAGAGCACAGTACTTCAACGGCGTCTAGTAGCAAGGACAAACCATCTCGTGCACCAAGCCGAGGCTCAGAGTCAGCCTCTCAGTCAGATGCCACCGAAGAACTGCAAACCCCCACCTCTAATAATAGTATCATCTTATCTTGTTCGCCGGAGAGATTGCTTGCGTCTCCGAAGAAGCTACAAACAATGTCCGACGCCTTGCAGACTGTGTTAGACATGCAGCAGTTCTCGATGATTCATGCACCTTTCGCGCTTGGAACCAGCTTTATACCCGAATCTCAAAAGACAATATATGCCATCTTGTCATTTTCAGGGTCAACGTTGGCGGAAGGATACCTGGCGTTCTTGGGATTGATGACGACTCATCAACGATCTCTTGTCCTGCGTCCTCAGCAGCCTGATATGCGAAAAGCCGCCAAGGGTTTACAGCGATTGAGAGATGTGACCATTAGCCACGATTATGATGCCGCTTGCGCTCTGTTTCTTGGACAGACGATGTACGTGTTCAATGTACTCAGCGCCCCGTATTCGAACACAGCGCACTCGATCGTGCGCAGCGCGCTTCTATCCGCAAAGCCGTGGTTTCCAAGATTGATTCAAGCCCCGATCATGGACACTGTTATCATGTCGCCAGTTCTGATCGATACAGTCGAGTGTTTGGCGCATCGTGAGGTTCCTATAATCCGACTCCCTAATACAGAACGCGTTATTATTGATCGATACGCGGGGCTCTGTGCAACACTCTTACCTCATCTATGGGACATCTGCGAATGTAGTCACACCTTCAAGAAAAGCCTGCAAGACCCCCATATGGAGCCATATGTGGAGTTCTATGATCGGCTGGCCGTGATAGAACAACGGATTAGAGACTGGGCCCCTCCGAATCCGCCTGAGTTGTATGCCAACTTTGGGCAGCATGAGGTAGTGGCGATGATGACTCAAGCGAATGTATATCGACTAGCAGGTCTGCTGGTGATTCATCGTCACCGATTTCCGCTAGGTGTGGAGGACGAAACGGCCAAAGCTTTGGCTGAGAGTATTTTTTCGGCGATGAAATTGTTTGCTCAATCAGCTGCTGAAAAGTCCACTGCGTTACCCATGGTATTTCCGATCACGATGGCCATGTTGGAGGTTGAAGGACCAGGAGAAGCTTTGTTGGATATATTTGCGGCGTTCACTGTTCAGATAGCAAGTGCACATAGGTTGAAGGAATTTGTGAAGCAGATGAGAGCAGCGAGGGAAGCTAGATATGAGGGGGGTTTGGTACGAACTAGTGGAGACACATTTGCAGGTGGCCATGCCGCCCTAGCTTCTGGAACAGAGGCTTATACTATCAAGGGACTATTAATCCGGACCCATGAGGTCATTTTTTGTCAATAATCTTCCCTATTTGAGATGCAGAAGGAATTGCAGATCGCATGAACCAGACAGACCGGATCTTATTTACAAACTAGTTCATAGCCGATATTCCGGATCATCCCCCGCCTTCAGTCTTAGGTACATTTACATAGTCTTTAATGCAATTTGAAGCAAATTTCTAAGGAGTTCTAGTGAGCCACACTCATAATTGGCTGTTTAAAAGACTACTTTCGGAAAGAATTGACCGGGCTTACTCCACACTCTCCACATTACCAAGACTGAGTGGAAGATTTCCACGAGATTTGACGTCTGTGCGACCCACATAGCACTTAACCTGATCGAGCAAAAACTGACCGGATGACACTGAAGAAGTGATGCAAGTGGTTATTAAATCAGGTCAGGAGTTGATCATGCTTTTCTTTGCTGATTCGAGATTCCTTAAATGACAAGCATGGCCCGCTATTTGAATTCGCCTACAATGACGATTTATGCATGATCCTACAGATTCTTACTTGATTTTAGGACTTCTCTGTATTACCAAAATTATTTAATTCATGTCATCTGGATATGATTTTGGCCATATTTCTTATCGTTGGCCTCAGTAAAAGCATTGTACGACCTGGACCGTGAATGCTCGAATTTTAGCTACTTCATACTAAGCTGGGAACTGCACCTTCACGACGCGAAAGACTTCGGACGACTCATCACCATATTGGAATTCATCAAGAGGAAGGCAAAATGGCCAAACAACCCACCCAGGCCAAACCTGCCAGCAAGAGGAATCAACGAGCATGTCAATTGTGTCACATCACCAAAGTTCGATGCATTGCAGTCCCTGGATCCCCATGTCAGAATTGTTATCAGCGAGGGGTGGAATGCATTACGAACAAAAATAATTGTCAAAGGTAATTCACCTACAGGCCTTAGGATTACGAATTTGTTCTAATCTTCATATAGGCAACGGACGCAGATCAAAACAGCAGGAATCCCCGCCACTCCGAATCGGACAGGAGCTATGACAGAGTGGTCGCCGAAAAGCATAGGAGACAGTGTGGCAAATAATTCCGTTCTCAATTCAGGACCTCAAATGCATGGCTGGAATGATGGCTTTACATTTCAAATGTCCCCAACTGAGGCCGAATGGCGAGACTCTTCGCTAAGTCCAACTCGTGAGCATATGCCAGAATCAACAATTTACTCGACAAGCCCTTCGTCTAACAGAAACATAGCTCCACAAATACCGTTCTTCGATCCAGATCAATTGTTCAATCAACGCGAGGAGGAAGTATGGAATACATTCACCAATTTGGGTTCTCCAGACTCAATCACTTCCGAAGCATCCAATTCAGGTGGAATTCTACCGAATTTCATTCAACCCCTACCAATGATGATGAACCCAACGAATATTGAATTTCTTTATGTGAATGGCGTTTTTAATCTTCCGACAATTCAACTACAAAACGCTCTGTTGCAGTCATTTGTTGAATGTGTACTCCCAAATATGCCGATGATCGATTGGCCTGCCTTCATCAAAGCAATCTGCAATCGGGATACCGATAACGGATCTGTTAGCCTTCTGTTATTTTACGCGATGATGACAGCTGCCATTACCTTCGTGGATATTGGCCATCTTCAAGAAGCAGGATACTCGTACAGACAAGAGGCTCAGGAAGCCTTTTACCAAAAAGCCAAGGTGAGAATTGTAAGAAGGTTCTACTTTTACTTATACTAATCGCTGGTGCAGCTTCTTTACCAAGCGGAATATGAGTCCAATACCATGACCATTGTACAATCACTTCTCTTGATGACCTACCGACTCGAGACAGCCGATGGCGAGGACAGTCACTACTGGTGCTCGATAGCAGTCTCGACAGCTCAAAATATCGGACTTTTCCGTGATATTGCTGGCGTGAAGAATATTAGACTGAACTCAAAGTTCTGGAAGCGACTGGCTTGGACGTGTTACATGACAGACAGTCAAATCGCTCTGCGACTACGATGCCGACCACTAATCCAAGGCCCGGTATTCTGCCATCAAATGTTAACAGAGGACGACTTCGATATTTACAATCTTTCGCCTGAGAGTTTGATTCAATCACTCGGATACCCGCTGTCCTACAATATCAACGTGCAAAGGGATCTCGCCTTGATGTGTATCGCAAATGCCCAACTGTGTGTGTCCATCAACAAAGTCCTCGAGCTCCAAAGCGAAGGTCGCAACCACCAACATTCTGCATCATCATATAACCAAGCAAACAACGAGACAACAGACCACCATACCCGAGTCGCAGCGTGCGAAGCCAAGCTAGCAACATGGGCAAGCACGTTTCCATCAACAGCCCAGACCTACACCTTTGAAATAGACACCATGGATGACCAACCTACAATTTCCCTCCAACAAAATCTCCTCCACATGCAATTCTTTACCACACTTGCAGTTTTCTACCAATCACAACCACTCCCATCATCAAAATTCTGCGTTCCATATGCCGCGCAACAAATAATCCGAAATGCTTCAGAACTATATCAGAAGGGTCTCCATCGCAGGCTCCCGATCATCGGAGTGACAGCCATCCTTGTCGCATTGATCATACATATCTCAGAAATGAAGAAGGAACCGACTCAGGACAGGTTACAGGCTATCCAGAGTTTCCAGTCTGGATTGGAGGTTATGGCCGATTTGAGAGATGTTTACCGAGAGGCTGATGAGATCACGAACTCGGCTGTGAAGATTATGGACAGTATTCCGCTTGGTGGTGGTATGCAGTATGCTGGGGCGCCGGGACCGGGAATGAATATCATGAGCCTGCCACAGGTGATGTAAATGCATTCATTTGAAATCTTCGCATTGGGTCATTTTTTTTATCCGCAACTTGCATGGGCATATTCTTTTTCAGAGGCAGAGTTTATTGTATGAATATTACGTATTTCATTCTTTTCAGGGGTACAATGTTCAGTCCAAATTATACCCAATATTTATCAAGTTGTCGCTCCTTTCTTTCGCGAAACAGTACAATCAGACGCTTTACTTGGCAAATGACCGATTTGGTTTACGGTGAGAATTCACTGCCCAGTGACAGAGCTCTCACCTAAAATTATCGAGATCGGAAGAATGTTTTGATGACACGCCCAACCTCGGCAATGCTTCCTTCTATGAGTCACCGGCAAGATTGTTGACAGTCCATACCAATGGTGAAGCTCGAACAGCATCTATTTCCGTCAGTATCCTTTCACTGCATCCCCTTGGTCGAAATTTGTTTGATTACATTGTGAAATTTAAGCTCAAGAGAATGCCTACCACCGACGATTCCTTCCGCGCTGAACTCCGAAATACAAAAGTATTGGAAGGCCCATTTCCGAACCTAAATTTCGACACTTTCCCCGAGACACCACAAGATGCCTTCAAACAATGGTTTCACGAAGCAGTGGAAGAAGGTGTAAAAGAGCCACATGCCATGACCCTTTCGACCGTGGATTCGGATGGCCAACCCGACGCACGAGTCCTGATTCTCAAGAACGTCGATTCTCGTGGCTGGCATTTCGCAATCAAGGCCAACAGCCCCAAAGGCAAGCAGTTGATCAGCAATGGATACGCTGCGTTGACATTTTACTGGCCTCAAGTCGCTCGACAAGTTCGGTTGAAAGGAAAAGCTGTTGCACTGCCAGATGAGGAGAGTGCTTTGGACTACCAAGCTCGGCCTGTAGCATCGCGGGCAAGCGCGGTCGCCTCAAAGCAAAGTGAAATATTATCCAGTCGGGGGGGACCTTGATCGTAGCTTGGCTGAAACTCAGGCAAAGCTAGCGGTGGATCCCTTGCTTGGTATGGAGAAGTGGCGGGTATTCGCTGTTGCGCCACAGACGGTTGAGTTTTGGCAGGGTGATGCTAGTCGGCTTCATCAAAGACTGCAGTATGTGTCTGAGGATGATGATACTTGCTGGAAGAAACATCTGCTTTGGCCATGAGGTGAATTGAACCTACTCAACTTGGGTCAACTGGTCAGGAGACGTCGTTAATTTGGGAGTGAAGTCAAACAAAGTCCAGGTTCTGCTAGATGAAGTAAATCCCTGGATTTATTCGAAGCTTGACGTAATTTCTGTCCAACCACCGCATAGCTTTGTCCGAAGAATTGAATAAAAATATAATCTGAGGCTTCTGACCCGTCGATTCTATGCGTCATTACCCTTAACACGGTTATACAGAGCATATGAAGTATCGGCACTAAAGTTGCCGGCTGGCTTTATTTTAAAGAGATCCCACGATCTGAAAATACCATGGATTAAAATCCAGCCCAGATCATAAGATGGGACTGGTTTGGATGTGATATTGAGATCAATTCAAAGATGTCTAAGATGAAGGGAGATCTGATCAGAACTAAGAGACCCTTTTATTTGCCAAGCAATTGTATTCAGATTGAATGGATCGACCCCTGAAAGCTTTGGGATGCACAAATTACGTATTCCGAGATGCGTGAGCTACATGTTGGCATTGGTTCGTGTTACTGTTGTACTAAACGAGGGGAACGTAACGCAAAGATCTCGGTATCCTGGAGTTCCGCCAATACGAAGTTTAGCTGTACTCGAATAGTACTGCAACATCATGACAAACTCCATGCCTTAGTGTGATATCGTCACTTGAGACCTTGAATATGAGTACTCTTGTAGTAGTTCCAGTAGACTTGAATCTTACTATCTGCAGATATTTTGTATCTGCATCCTCCATATCCCTCAAAACCAATTCCTCAAAAACAACGAGCCACAATCATGAAGCTGTCTCTCGCATCCCAAATCCTGCCAATCGCAGCTTTTTTGATCCACTTCGCGTCTACGTCTGCAGACCCTGATCTCGAGGCTCTAACAGCAAGGTTAGCGACTGGAAATTTCAGTGGTCCAGATTATGACAAACTGGAACACTTCATTGACAGCCTGGAAAGATCAAATATGCCTCTCCTCACTCCCGTGATTTGCCGACTAGCATCCTTCCATCTAGGACAATCTTGCGGTGAGCCTTACTATACCTGAATCTAGACAAGGAAATATACTAACTTTGTGACTATTCATTAGTTGGCAACTCATGCATGCTGGCCCCTGACGAATTCCATTTTATTTGCCCTCGAATGCCTCTGCTGCCTCTAGACTAGATCTGGACACCCATTTTGAATCAAGATATTCAATCTGATCACTAAATCCTCTGTAGAGAGTAATTGTTAATGGCGAACTTGGAATAGGTGTATCTGTGTACAAGTCTACTAATCCACAAGACTGGTTTCGTTAATCGTGCAAACTTATCTTTCATCGCAAGTTCCAAAGTAAAAAAAGTTCCCATTCACACTTGGTTCTAAGATCAAGTACTCTTGTTCACAATACTAGTACTAAGAATATCTAGTATTCTACTGCGGAGTAGCTGTTCATACACATCAAGTCGTTGTGAATAAGTTCTAACTATTTTCAGCATCAACTATCCAACGTCCTTTCTAGCCTCAAAGTTTTCTGGTCCTTTAGGACCAAACAGAAATTCTAGATATAGGTAATTTTCCAGGTCCAACTTGAAGTAGACCCTGGAGATCCGCTTAATGTCCTATTTCAGAACATTATCTTAACATCTCATAATTTGAATCTTGATTGTTGAGGCTTATTTGACTTCAAAACTGCCACATATCATGATAGAAATGGATATGAGGAATGAGAAAGTACAGTCCGAACCAAGACATTAAAAGTCTAGCTAGTATCCGATGCATTCTCCGAGCCCTTTGGTCCGAGGTCAAACCGACATGCACTGACACAAGGACAGTATCTCAGTCAGGCGTCTCTGGGCATTGTGATACAAATATTTAGTAGCTGATCTTTCAACCTACACCTTATTTGAGTTATTGTAACTGCAACACATTAAGTACTGTTATATTCTGGCCATATTGCTCTTAGAAATGCTCGGGTTCAACAGGGTAGTGCTCGCATGGAAATGACCATACTGAGCCAAGGCTTGAATGAAGTCCGACTCACGTGAAGTGACACCCGTCCAGATGTCAAGTCTATAAAGAAGACAGCCTGCCACTGTATCCTGTACTTTCTTCTCCAGAGCATCAAGGAAAACAGTTCCAACGCACCTCATTAACAATCTTCAATCCCAACAATTTGACACCCGTCAAACTCAACCATCAAAATGAAGGCCCAAACCATCGCTGCAACATTGTTCTCCATCTTTGTCGCTGCCTCCGCAGCCCCAGCCACCGGCACCAAGACCGTTGAGCTGAGCGGAAGCCAGCTGAACAGCGCTCTTCAGAAGCACGGCAAGGCCGCAAGCTTTGATGTCAACCAGGTCATCAACTGCACTGTGTCCTACACCCTTGCCCTGAGTAAGTAGATCTGATCATCAACCGACAGGTTGTAGCACAGACTTCTAACCACCTATATTAGGCACCGGTGGCCCACCATACACCATTGACCTGGCCAGCCTGGACCTGTCCAACTGCACCTACTCTGGCGCATGAGCTTCGAGTTGTCCGGCCTAGGAATGACCGGTGACCCTCGCTGGGCATCTGCGTGTCACCTGGTCTGCATTTTAAACCACTTTTTGAGATTGGCTTCAAATTTTTGGTAGTTGCCTCGTAGATACTACCATGGCTTGGCACATGTGGGGATTATGTATTCAATTCGATGTCTCAAGCAGAACCAATACAAATAAATACATGTGGTTATTAAAAATCTGTTCCAGTACTCTTCAGGACTGATAAGAGGTTGACCCTATCTATTACTCTTCACTCTGGTAAGCCTCATCGTTGTCCCTCATCGGCTCATCCTCATCATCCTTATCTATAAAGATATTAGTAGGTTTTATATAAAGGATTGATAGGACATACTGTTATCTGGCAGAGGGACATTGGCTGCAAGCTCTCTTTCATAGTCTTGCTCGACCACTTCTGCACGCCATGCCATATAATTTTGGCTAGCACCTTTTCAATGCGCTCCAGTCTGGAGATAATCGAATCTGGGCCGGCCGCCTTGTTCGGTGTGGCCAATCGATCCTCAATCAATTGAGTTTGATTTTCAATACGCTGCAGTTTGGGGAGTGTCCCATCGCCCGGTGAGTATGGGATAGTTGAGTAGCCCAATCAATTCTTAATTGCTTGTCTCGAAGTTGTGAAATCTTCATTTCCGGTCGATACTTCGCCAAAGGAAGGACGACGGATGCCGCTGTCTTGACCCGACTGCTCAAAGCCGCCTAATCTTCTCTGGATCTCCTTTATCTTTTCATCTATCTTTGGAGGGTGAGGCCTCGGTATGATGTACGCTGCGCGATCGATTACTGGATCGCCTGTCCGCTCAGGTCGGGGGAGAGGAGTATGAGGGACAGGCGATCCAGATTGATCGCGGTGATCATGTCGGGGATGCGGTGGTGATGGTTGGCATGATTGCCACCAGGTTGGTGAGGCCTGTGGCGCTCCTCACTTTGCTCGGGATTTGGGGGATTACGGGGGCCCCGATCCCCAACCTGGTGGTTTCGACGTTGGTGGTGTTGATTGTTTGTCAAACGCCCATGCAACTAGATAGGAAGGATTAGACTAAATAATCATTTACCAAAGGAAGAAGAAGATAGAGTAAACCCACATTCATCCATGCATTTGAGACAAATGCAGTCTCGCGGCGGACATTATCACAGTCCATTGCTTGGTGGCTATATCCACCACAAAAGCACAAGGCTAAAAGGATAATTAGTAATGGCATCATTCAAGAATACACTCAAAACCATGATAAAATAAATCAAAGCTCGAGCAGAGGAGTCAAGTGGACATCATTGAGACATACCATCCCCAGGTAGTTCGACCTAAGTGGCCTTGTATAAGGGCATAAAGGAAGAGTTTGAAAAATCCTTGTTCAATGGATTCAAAGGGTCCAGTCTGGTCCGGTGGAAGAAGGAAAGTTGGAGTGGGAAGGGTTTATCAAGTACACCTGCTACACAGGTATATATCTTCCTTTTTCATTTTTGTTTTGGGTCAGGTGATGGTCAGGGCTTGATACCCAGGTGTACCTGAATACTGAGACTATTCTGAGCTCTTTATCAAGGTCATGGAGTTCAAGTTTGATTCATGTTTCCCTCACTTATCCTTTCCTTTTTGCTCACTTCTGTTTTACTTTTCTCTCACTTCTGGTTTACTTTTTATTCATGAGACATAGCTTGAAGCCCATGGATATGTAAGAGCTAGCAATAGCCTTGAAATCTCACATTTCCACCTCCGATTATCATGTGGTCTCTTCACTAAATTAATATGGCATTTTCACTTCCAAGTCACCGAAAGGAATAAGTGGCGTCTTGAAATTGGATTTTGTGCCAGCAGCATCCTGCATAATTCACAGCAGACAGAGTCAATCCCGGCTCCGAGTCTTCATCTTATAATGATCCTATCACTACACTCAAAAAACCCTGTGTAGTCCGCCTTTATCTCCAAACAAACCAGCTTCAAGCCTGCTTTACCGGATCTCTTTAGCATGTAATACTTTGCGATCATTTGTCGCGGAATATGGTTCCCTGGCCCTTGACCGGTTATAGGAATTTCAAGTTGGTGCTCAACCCGACTCAAGCTGCTGTCAGTCACCAGGCTGTCCTGTTGTTTTGACCTCCAATTCAGGTCAATGAGCTGTTTCCTCAGTGTAATCACGAATACAGCAACAGAACCGGACCTCGAATTCAAGCCATCAGATCGATGCTTCCGTTAGGATTTCATGCCTTGTTAGGTCACTCCGAGTAGCCCTGCTCCTCTTATGAAGGCCATTCTACCAACGCATAGGACTGCCCGGGGACGGTCCCCGATGCGTAAATGAACAAATTTTGATGTTAAGATATTGGTCTAGTCTGAATCACAGTTTCATCGTTCCTTTACGAGCTCGATTTTATTACCAGCCAGCCACAGATACTATTCACGCAAATATACCCTGTGAATCAGAAGGATGTGTCCTTTCAACAAATTAGCAAGCTTACTGAGACGCAAAATAGCAACTTCTTATTATCCACAAAGGGTACGATAGAGACTCCTCCAGTATCGGTAAAATGAAACTTGGCATTATTTTTGACAACAAGAATTTTTCCGCTATGGAATCTCTTTCACCCACTGAAAGTTGCAGACACTAGTTTCTTGAGGCATTTTCCTTCCAATTCCTCCCGTTTGGATACATTATTCTGACCTTAAGCTTCCTCTGCAGAATCGAGTTACATTCTTCATCTACGCGACTTAACGGCGAGCTCCGCTCGCTAATGGACACTTCTAAAATGGGCCTGTCCCCGTTACAGCCCGATCCAAACTCTTTTTTGTCGAAGTTCACGACCTGGGTCAATTCATGAAATTTTAGTACCGAAAGGCCACCTGTCGACCCGAAATGCCCATTTCCGGACTAACAGGCGAGAGGCAAGAGAGTCTTGACCCCTAGGGCCAAACACAAAGGCAGGAAATATCTCATTCTATGATGATCAAACTTGTGCAATACAATAAGCACCTAACCGTCCTCATTTTTCTCCTTGCTATTATCCTTGCATCATATTTATCAGTCTCTGTCACGTGAAATTGGAGTGAGGACTTTTCTGATACTAAGGTACATTAGGGGTACTATGGAATGATTGCCGAGGAGACTCCAGGATGGATAATACAATGATAGGAAATGGTGACTTGATCAGGGTTCAGAAAGAAGGCACATGTGCAGGCCTGAAAAGCCTGACGACACTGATCAAGAAAATACAGTGCAGACAGGGAAGATTTGAAGTGGCTCCATACCTCTAATGTGATCAATCAGATCCCGGTTTGTATAAGTCAACCTTGGAAGTGTTGTCAGGCTTTTCAGGCCTGCACATGTGCCTTCTTTCTGAACCCTGATCAAGTCACCATTTCCTATCATTGTATTATCCATCCTGGAGTCTCCTCGGCAATCATTCCATAGTACTTTCTTTGTGCCGTTGCGGTCAAATATTCGCTTTGAGCCCCTGTCCCCGACGACCGAATATGCAGTCTATCCTTACGCTCCAACGGGTTTGATGTATTCTGAGCAGGTAAAGAAGACCTGAGAAGTTTATTTATGTCTGATCTATTTACTACTAGTGTTTGTGTATGTCTATGTCATTCTCGTGCCCAGGTCAGAAACCTTGAAAGAAAGCAACACCGCGGAAACAAAAGACCAGGAAAGCTTAGACTGGAAGAATCTCAATCAACGATCCCTTCCGGCAAGATTGAGATATAATCCAGTGGAGCAAGCTCGGTACCATCAGGTTGTCCGACGACTTTGAGAATATCACCCGATTCGACCAGCACTCCTTTGAACGTTATTCTAGTGGCGGAGTGGCCATCCAAGTACTCTGAGAAATCATGGCCAAGCTTCTCTTGCAAATTGCCCGACCATTTTCCAATCACTTGATTGTTCAGGGAGATCTCATACTTCGATGTACCGCCCATGTGGTCGAAGTAATTTACCGCAATATTGTATTTTCCAGATGGATAAGGTATCTTCGCCATCGCAGTTCCTGGACTTTGGTTCGATTCAGTAATGATGGCTTTCCCTCCAGATGCCGCTTCGAAAGGCGTAACAGCAACAATTTTATACCCGGATAGTCGCATGTCCTCGGCCTCGATCCGCCACTGATAGTTGGCGACTCGGTTCTTCTCGTCAGGGATCTGGCACTTGGCGGAGTAAAAGTTATTGACTGAGTCTCGCCAGACAAGTGCATGGCCAGCCTGATACTCCAATTTGAACGCGACATGTTCAAACCGATGGTTGTCAATCAAACCTTTCAGTTTCGCCCATCGCTTGGGGAAGGTTTGAGCGTTAGCTGCACCTTCATAGTGCGCGTCGTAGAAATGTTGAATAACGGTCTTGCCGGATTTCAGACGATGAGTATAAGGAACGTGGTGAAACCACAGGAGAAGCTCGTCAGGCGTTTTTTCAATATCTTCGAAGATTGCCGCCACCTCTGGCGGGTATTGCCCAGCATTGCCTGAGCCTGTCGCGACAGTGCGATCCACCCCAATACTCGTCGAATTTGCTCTGATGCCAGTTCCCGTTAGCCCTGTGTTTATCTCTTATAAAAAGGTCATAAAAATACCTCGTGAATTGGCCCCATCCATTCCCGTCCATGCTTGCTGGACTGGGACCATAATGAGTGTAAATGATATCACAGAGTGTTTGGATTCCGAGGTTGCCACTGTAGTTCTCGTAGGTCGGCCAAGATTCCATTGAGATCTTTGTTATTGTATCAACCACGGTTGGATTGAGGCTGAAGGTGAGTCGGGACCATCCTTCAATCATATTAATTGGATCTGAAAGTGGGTTCCAAGCCATTCGACCATATGCATACAAGTTCGAGAGGGACAAGTGGTGCCCGATCCAAGTAGTGTCACTGCCAATGTTGAGGACAGTTGTGGACCCAGAAACAATATCCCGGATGGCAGAATCTTGGCCATCAATTCTCATATCAAAGTCTAGAATCTCTTTCCAAAGTGGCGCCATGTACACAAAATGACTTTGTTGCCCCAGATACTCCTGCGCGACCTGTGTCTCAATCACAACTTTAGTCTTTCGTAGATTCGCAAAGAGAGGTGACGGAGCCTCTCTAACTTGAAAGTCTATAGGACCCCATTTGAGGCAAATTTGAACGTTGTCCTCGAATTGACCGTCAAGATGTTTGAAATAATCAACGGCGGCGTTGGCGCGATCATTGGTCCAAACTGATTCATCCAAGTGATGATTGTACACGAACGCACGATATAGCACAATGGCGTCTCCGTATGGCTGCAAAGCCCGGGCAAACATATTTGCTCCATCTGCGAGTGTGCGGTTGTATGTCAGGGGACCTGGTTGACCTTCCGAGTTCGCTTTGATCGTATAACCGACTAGGTCTGGTACCTTCTCGAAAATCTTTCGAGTGATATCCTGCCACCACGCAATGACGTCAGGATCCAAAGGATCGGCAGTAGAAAGGCCACCAAACTCTCGAGGGGAATCGAAGTAAAGTGATATACCAATGCGGATGCCCCATGGTCTCATCGTATCCGCAATCCGCTGAAGACCGCGAAGGTTTGTCTCACTGAAGAGCTTGGGGTTGGCATTAACGTTATTGACCACGACTGCATTCAGACGGATGGAAGACAAAAGCCGGGCAAATTGAGAAATACGTGTCATGTCCTCAACAACCTCACCATCTTTGAAGAAGATGGATGGGCCTGCGTATCCACGTTCAATGCTTCCGTCGAGGTTATCCCATTGATTGACCCATCGTATCAGCGCGCTGGGGTTATCGACGATAGACACAGGCTCGAAATTCCCTTGTGCCAGGCGCATCAGGAATTCAAAGGCACCGTAAAGAGCACCACTCTCACTTTCGCCCATAATATGAACATTGCCATTTCCAGCCTGAGTGTTGAGGTAAAAGCCGTCCGGTTTGAACTCTTCTGGTGGTGGGTCGACTCCCAGTCTGGAGAAAGCATCGAGAGTACCGACAACAATTGATGGTTGTTTTGCCGCGACATTGTCAAATAAAGTCTCCAGCTTCAGGGTTTGGCCGAGGATACGTTGTAAGCCATCTTGTAGCTCTTTCGCAGCTGTGTAGACGGGACTGGTTTGAACTCCATCAAGGACAATAATGCCAGAGTATTGATCTTGCTTTGTGCGAAGGTCAGCTGGCAGCTCAGCATATCGCAGCCAGCCGTCAATGCCACTTTCTAGAGCCATGTTGGCAAGATTTGAAAAAGAGGGATGGTAAGAAAAAAACGAAGATGTCTTACCCCTCAAGCGGGGTACATTCACAGCGTTTTATTAGACCCTGGTCAATACAACAGATCTATTTATCCGTTGCAGGCTAAAATAACAAGTGAGAGAACGTGGGGTCTGGTTAATTGCTCGCAGGCTAACTCATCCCTGTTCCTCAGAATTACGTGGCTGATTTGACGGCACGGCACTGACCTACTTCCATTTCAGCCTAGATGGCCACTGGTAAGTGATCTGTCTACAAATCTCATAACCACGATTCATCTTAGTAGTAACAATAAGCTATACCATGCCCAGTTCCAAGGCACGTGCTGTAGGAGAAACTCTAACTGGATTATGCTTTACCGTTACCGAGGAATTATCTTAACTTGTACTCAATGCAAACTTTGCAACATGAAAACTGATTCCAGGCTTAATAACTAGCCCTGCTTCGTTATGGCCTCCGCCTCATCACTGTCAATAACTGCATCTTTGAACTCTCGAGCTTTGAGGTTTCGCGAAAACAAAATATCAAGCTCCTCGTAAGTACGCCCTCTCGACTCAGGCAGCCTATAATAGGCCCAGATGAAAATAACAAAGCCACACCCAGCGGCAAGAAATGCGGTTTTGCCTTTCCAGTCTCCCTCTCCAGGGTTAAGCGCGTAAGGGGCCACAACAGAGCTAAAGATGTTGGCAACATTATAGGCGTTGCGGCCAAGGGAGATACTCTTCGATCGCAGCCGCGTTGAAGATATCTCGCTGACAATAATGAATGCGAGAGGGCCAATGGTGAGCTCGTAGAAAACGTACCACAGAAGATACATTGCAGACTCGCCATATCCCAGTCCTGAGCTTTGTTTAGGGACACATGCCATGATGCCAATAATCATCATACAGGCGAACATGCCCGCATAGCCCCAAAACAGAATGGAGCGTCGACCGTAGTTACCGGTGATCAACACAGACAACAGGGTGCAAAGGAAATGCAGACCGGATTGCCCCACTGAAAGCTTGTAGGCGTTAGCCGCCTTTAAACCTGCCTGTTCGTAGAAGTATGTTGCGTATGAGGTGATTGCAAATCCACACAGTACCTGCGAAGTCCAGACAACGCAGCCGATCTCAGTTCGCCATGCGTTGGTACCACGGAAACAGTCGATATATGAAGCACCCTCCGTCATTGTCACTTCAAGCTCGGTCGTATGAACCATGAGCGCGACAGCCTTTTTGGCATGGTCGGGATCAGTGGAGGAAGTCAGACGCTTCATAGACTTTTCTGCCTCCTGGATGCGACCTTTGCGCACAAGCCACCAGGGAGACTCAGGGGCGAAGATGAGAAGGGGCACACTATAAAGGAAAGTGAGTCAGATTGTAGCTCAAGATAAACAGAGTCATACATGAATCACCGTTGAACTTGAGAAGCTCAACGCACAATGCCATCCGTCGGTCCAGATTTCATTAGGGAAGGTCATCATTGCTTTGACTTACATTAATACCGGCCATATCCATTGCACCGCTAGAGGAATTCTCCATGGCCAGTCCCCGTTTGATCTATGTTCCAGGCTGTCCAAAATACCAGTCGCCACAAACTGGCCGATACCCCAGCATAGAACAACATATGTCTCAAGATAAGAACGCAGCACAACAGGCGCAATTTCAGAAACGTAAGCAGGGGCTAATGTTGTAAAGACACCCCAAGCGAGACCACAGAGAAGCTCTCCGGCAAAGAGGACCTCAATCGATTTGGAGAAGAAAGGGATGAAGAGGGTGCCTGTTAGGTAGGCAAGAGTGAGGAGACAAGTCTTCTTATGACCCCATTTTTCAGTCACAAAGGCATTGATGTAGATGCCGACCAGATTTCCAAGAGGAGACGCAATACCAAGCGCAGTTTGCCACTTCGCCTCAAGTTGGTAGCTACCACTTCCAGGGCTGGTCTCATGGCCAAACCGCTTCTGGAATGCCGGAAAAGCAAAAAGTGACCCAATGAGTGCCGTATCATAGCCATCTAAAATCATTAACGCTTGTTCATACCCAGAAATCAATCAATTTGGCCAAACTCACCTAAGATTACAACAAGAGAGACTGCGACAGCCCAGAAACATGCTTTGGGATATCGCTTGACAGCCTCCGAAAAGGTCAAACTATGCTCTTCAATGGTAGCATTGCGGGCATCTTCGGCCAATGCAATCCGGCTTTGGACCTCAGGGCTAGGTGTTGTCGTTTCATGATGGGTCATATGTGGGGCTGCTTCATTCTTGGCTGAGGCGGTATCCATAATGGCGATGCTCGACCAAATAACGAGAGTTAAAGTGAGAGGAAAGGAGGGTAAGTGGTCTTTATTAAATCATTCCAGAGTGTCCGAGCTCCATTAACATAACACCAGAATGGGACTAACCCATCTTGCTCGGGCATCTCATTTTTGCCGGATAGCATAAATTCGAACGAATGGGCTGATGGTTTGGACCTTGTGACGAATGGCTAGGATTCTAAGTTAAGCGATAGCAAAAGGAAGGGTAATGCGCGCAGACTCATGATTCGCGCTTGAGAATTGGAGGAACGCGTGGCTTAAGCCACTAGGGTGCTCTGAGCAAAGGATATGCAAAATCACATTCTGATCATGATCTCCCAACTGCTCCAATTTTTAGGACAAGGATTCCTTCCTGTTTCTCAGAAAATGAGGACGCCAATGACCTTTGAAACTGAATACCTGGCTGGTATATGTTGGTTACCTTGCGGTGGCTAAACCTCGGGGTGTACTCCACGTCAATAAATGTGGGCTCCCCGTGATGTGTTACGCGACGTGGGGGAATCCAGGGATGAATGAGGAATAAGGAGAGTTTACTGGACATTGTCTCGGTGATGATTACCCCGTTTGCAAAATATCAAAAAGGCAAATAACACAATGAGTCGATCACCTCACAAATCCTGGGAGGGTCTTAGTTCCGAGTCTGGGGATACCCACTTGTCTCCGGACCCCCAGTATTTCCCCGCGTCCCACCCCCACGCTATTTCCCCAGGCTAACCCCAAAAAATGAATCAGCCGGGAGAATGACCAGATGCCAACAAAGAGACACATCACTTGATTCTGATTTATCCATGAGATGGATTTAGGCAAAAAACAGCTGAATACAGTTTGGCCACGCTTATATTAGCCGTCATCGAGCTTCTGGCTTTTTCTTTAGCCGGGAAGCCGAGCCTGGGGTAATAGGCTATGGTATTTACCCTCGTTAGTTTGGAAGCTTGGATGACGAAGTTGGTAGTTTTCAAAGCCCAGTAAGCTTGATTATCTCTCGAATTTCCTCTCTTCCGGACCATTGAGCATAACTGCCTAGGTGACGCTTTACAATTGCTAGTGCTTCTCCTACTAGCAGTCCAAGTCTGAGATATATCAATTGATATCATCATGCATTTAATTGCTCCAAGGAACGCGTTCCTCCTACTAAGCACGCTACTTCCGGGCAGTGTCAACGCAAACCCCGCACCTTCAAGTTCAACTCATGTCTCGATTTCAGTCAACCCCAAAATACATTTTCAAGAGGTGGACGGCTTTGGGGCCTCTCAAGCATTTCAGCGTGCCGAGGATATTTTCGGAAAATACGGTCTCCCCAAAGTCAATCAGACCCTCGTTCTCAATTTGCTCTATGATGAGATCATCGGCGCGGGATTCACCATTCTGCGTAATGGGATCGGTTCCAGCAATACCTCAACGAGCAACCTGATGAACTCCATCGAGCCCTATTCCCCAGGCAGCCCCGCGGCGAAGCCTCATTACACATGGGACGACTACAACAGCGGCCAATTCCCATTGGCACAGCAAGCCTACGATCGCGGCTTGCAAACGCTATATGCTAATGCCTGGTCTGCTCCCGGATTCATGAAGACGAACGATGACGAAAACAACGGTGGCTATTTGTGTGGCGTTACCAATGAGCAGACTTGCTCAACAGGGGACTGGATACAGGCTTATGCGAACTATCTCGTGCATTATGTGCGATTCTACGAGCAGTCTGGCGTGAAGGTGACCCATTTGGGGTTCTTAAACGAGCCTCAATTTGCGGCCACTTACGCGGGCATGCTTTCCAATGGTACACAAGCAGCGGATGTAATCCGTATTCTTGCCAAAACTATTAAGGAAGCTGGGTTCGATATCAAGATAAATTGCTGCGATGGCATTGGCTGGGATGATCAGGAAAGCATGATGGCTGGTCTACAGGCTGGCCCTGACCCCGCAATCAACTACCTCAATGCAGTGACTGGCCACGGCTATGACTCGGCTCCTACCTACCCCTTGAGCACAAATAAGAAGACATGGTTGACAGAATGGGCTGATCTAACCGGCGACTACACACCGGTGACATTCTACGAGGACGGAGGTCCAGGAGAGGGAATGACTTGGGCAAATCATATCCAAGTCGCCATGCGAGACGCCGGCACCAGCGCATTCTTGTACTGGATTGGAGCAGAGAACTCTACTACAAACAGTGCACTCATCAACCTCCTCGGTAATGAGGTTCAGCCCTCGAAGCGTTTCTGGGCCTTTGCACAGTTTAGCAAGTTTGTTCGTCCGGGTGCGCGCCGTATCGAGGCCTCCAGCTCACACTCTAATGTTACCATCAGCTCGTTTGAGAATCAGAATGGAAAGATTGCCACTCAATTGCTGAATCAGCTTGATGTTGATGTTGAGGTTGCAATCAAGGTTACTGGAGTTAGAGCGGGTGTGGTAGTTCAACCTTATCTCACGAATAACGATTATGACCTGGAGGTTATGGAATCTTTGAAGACTGGGACTGGGGGCTCATTCAATACTCGCGTGCCCGCAAGATCTATGGTCAGCTTTGTCACATCATCCTCTTGAGCATGTTTGAACCTTGGAATGCTCTTGGAATGTCAAGTTGTGGTATATGTACATAGTGGAATTGATAATGCTCACTGGCAGTACATATGTATAGACAAATCCCCACGCTGCGCTTCACGCAGTACTGTAGCATCGGAAATTTCAAAGGTATGTCCTTAGCATTCGACTGCTCAAGCGCTTGACCAGGTGCTTCTACATCCTCTCAGACAGGAATGTTCACATATGTACTTAAGTACTCAGCAGTATCTACAGGTGACCGGTGACCTACACTCCCTTTCTATGTAGGTATTTAAAGGGTTAGCTACAGGTTTAGCTACGGAGTTAGGCTAGAGGTTACCTAGAAGGGAAGAAATGCTAGGTTCTATTCCTCTACCTAATACATGGATGATATTACACCCTCCGAGTTGGTAACTGAAAGATTCTTATTTTCCAACTCTTCTCTACTGCAAGTTGTATCCTTCCTATGAATCGTAATCTCTATTTCTACAATTTGAGGTTCCCTTTCTGGAGTCTTGAGTTTTTGTTAAGTACCTTAACTTCTTCATTACTTTTATGTGATATCCTATAGGCTTAAGTGTACTTTTTGAAGATTTTGATTTTCTTTTTGAAACTTGAATCTTCTATCCTGTAGACTTAAGTATACTTTTGGAGCTGTCAATCTTGTTTTTGAAACTTGAAGTTTCTATTTTGTAGACTTAGGTACCTATGCTTTTTGGAGTCTTTGAAAATTTTCGAAACTTGAGTCTTTTATCCTGTAGACTCTTGGACTTCAAGTTGAGTGTTTGTTCTCTTTGGAACATTTCAACATCCATCATTTCCAAGGTTGAACCTTAAACATGTGAATTTCTAAGTTTTTGTACAAGGTATTGACTATTTTCAATATTTCTTTTGTCCATATATTTCTACGTCTTTCTTTTTATGGGCCTTAGATTTTTTGAAGTTTTACTACTATTAGTTCTTGAGTGTAATGATTTTTATTTCAATCTGCTCTTATACTATAGATAGCAAGTATTGTCATTCCCTTCCAATCGTTCTCAACTCTTATACTATTTTGGGAGGATTCCTCTTATTGTACTCCCCAATGCCTTGCAAATAGTGAGTGAGTATTTTGGACGAGCTTTTTTAAGCTTGGTATTCAAATATTTACAATCCAAGGTTGATACGCAGTTTGTATGAAAGATCAAAAACCTTGAAATATCAGGGGCATGGTATATCAGCTAATCTATTCCCGAGGTCCTCGAGTGCTCTTTACTCTATTATCCGTTCTTCCCACTCGCCCAACAGCCCCCTCATACCCCAACTTGCAAAACCAATCCAAACATTTTGAACTCCTCAAGTGCCACATGCAGTGCTTTTATAATACCCATTCCAAGATTGTACAAACTCTATCACTCCAGCCCTGGAGGGCTATTCCCATCAATTTCCCACTACTTAGTGTAACAGAAATACACAGTGTACTATGAAACTTCCTTGTGCAAGAACAGCATCCGATGAACAGACCGAACGCAAGCAATCCAGTGCAAGGAGCAGGCCTCTCCATACCGAATAACACCTTCAAATGTTTTAAGAACGTTGCAGTGGGACTTTGCATGAAATATACCTTCCATGCCCTTCTAGTGTGTGTGACCACTGGCAGGCACCTGGGAGTGACATGAAGTTCAACTCAAGTGCTTGAAGTTCATTCAATATTATATACCTAAGTGAAGCGGGTTACGAGTAGTAGTAAAGGCAACTACCTAATGAGTAAATATTTCTAGGCCAAATGAATCAGCCAAGGCTTGGAACGCTACCGCGTTGGGATGCAACCTGTCACCTCCGTCAAATCGACTTGCCAGCGACGAAGCATGATTGGGGTCCCTCAAGACACTATCGAAGTCAACTATAGCATCGAAACTACTGCTCTCTCGTATCCAGTCATTGACCCTGAGTCTCGTACACTCTCGACGCGGATGAGAGTACCAGGTAACACCCTGCGCCTCAGGATCACTCACAACCTCGCCTATTCTCCGTCCAAACGGGGTGATCGTGGCTGCAAAAATCTTGATACCGTTGGCATGGACACGCGTTGCGATTTGTTTATAAGCCGCGATTAAACGATCACCGATATTAGCCTGGGTCTCTTCGTCGGCCTCCGCGGCGCCTATATCATTCACACCTTCGAATAGGACTACATATTGCACTCTGGATAGCGACAGAATATCCCGATCTAAGCGACTTAGGAGATTTGGTCCGATTCCATCTGTTAGCACGCGATTTCCTCCCGCTGCTTGGCTAATGATCGACAAGGAGGCTGTGGCAGGATTGGACTGCAGGCGAGAAAATAGACGATCGGGCCAGCTGAAAAGATCAGTTAATTTTCGATCGTCGAAGAGAGCATGAGGGTTTCATTTCACCGACCGATCATTCTGGTTTGCTGTACTCTCACGACCATCAGTAATACTATCGCCTATAATCGCGATTGTTCCGGTCTCGGAGGAACTTTGAATCTCAACGCCAGAGATGTAATACCTATTCTACAATGAATAGTCTGCAATTTGCATGATCTCTGGGGTGGAAGTCAAAATCTTACCAGTGTTCAATTTCTTCAAGGGAGGGCTCTGTCCATTCTGGCTCTAGGGAGAAATCACCCAGAACACAGAAAGAAGTCGTCCGACTCCCAGGATGCGAAGTGATCCCAGTCCTCACATCTTGCCCTTCTTTGAAGAAAAGACTGATACTCAAGATAATATTTGCTGGCAGTGGACCATCGAAATCGATGGGATCGGAAACAGCTAGTGCGCCCCCAACGATAGTGGTCGTGCCAGAACCATCGAAGGTTACTGTTCTCATTGTATGCGGCTCAACATTAGGGACACCGCACGCTTGGTTTTTTGAGAGAGCAACCGTTGCATGATCAATTTTAAGATTTTCAGTGCCAAAGGCATTTGAGAAACGCAAGCGAAAATATTTCTCTGTGCCGAGGGTCATTTTGATTGTTTGGCGGAGGGTGGTGTTCGCGAACACGAATGAGTCTCGGATCTGTGAACTGAATGAGCCTCGGCTGGTCTTACAACAGAAGATGCTTGCGCTTTTGCCAGTGAATGAAACTTACGAAATTTTTCGATGGCAGCTTGTCTGGCTCTGGCTCTACAAGTATAGGCATCGCAGTCCATGTGTGAATCCAATGTTCCGACATGTTGTCTAACGAGAAAGAGCACTTCACGATGAATAACTGAAATAGATGGGTTTGAGAGAGGAAGAGGAAGCACTGGCAGCACAATTATACTCACTAGAGCACGTACCTGGTCAATTGGAGGGGTTCAGGCTGCGGCTAAATTCGGATAAATCCGAGTCCACATCCGGCCCATATAAGCACATTCAACTTGTTACAATTTACTTAAAATAATGCTGTCACTGTAGTTTATACGTGATCGATTGTACATATTAGTACTGACAGAACATCTGAAATTCCCAGCACCCTTTAAAGCGCTATATAGTCAACTCCTTCATGTATAGATAATGTTCAAAAGGTATCAATATAAGTACAGGATTCGTAGATCGGGTATCTCAATGCCTTGAAAATTGGAAATCGGTATGAATAGTGCCTAGGCAGAGAACTGCCTATGACTCGGACTCAGCAATGTAGCCTTCTTCCACTCCGATTGGGTATTTTCTTCTCAACAACGCGTCTCTTCCACCCTTTCATGCCAATTGTAGTGAAAATGACGCCATTCCAGAAACCTCGCAGAGAGCCCAAGGTGCTCACCGCAAGTAATAGAGAGTATGATTGATAGTCCGGATTGATAAAAGTGGAAATGCGATTGATTGTGGGAGCAACCCAGGTCGCAAGTAAAGCTAGGAAGAAAAGTGCAGGCATGAGGATATATTGTTTGAATGAGACGCGGCGCTGTTTCGGTGATTGGTAGTTCATTGGCGTTGAATTTGATGTGAGCGGGCGAGACGTGACGGCTTGGTGGACGGATGAGAAGCTTGTAATATGTGATTCTGATGTGTCAGCTTGCTTGATTGCATCAGAAGAATTTGTCTCGATGGTGGTAGTGACCGAGGCCTGCGTTCGGTCGGGAATGAATTGATTGTTTGAGAGGTTGGATGTTAAAGCAATGTTTTCGTCGTCTGTTAATTTGAATTCGACTCGAAGGCGAGTGATTTCGATCCCGATGAGGGCATAACATATAATAATAAGACCTATGGCCAGCCTGTAGGCGAAAGCGGTTAGATACCAGCAAGTCATGCGTGTAGTCGATGAAGATAATGCACCAAACGGGCCCATAGTATAGAGCAAAGCGAAGAATGAGCCAATTTGGAGATATTGAGCACCATATCTGGAAAGGATTTAGATTCTCCGCAAACTTTGGAGCCTGTTCATGAGGAGAAGCTACTCACTGTCTCATTACCATATACGGGGCCCTTCGCGGGCGACCGGATAAAGAGAAAGACGATGGCAGGTATAAACGTGACAATAGTAATCGAACCGATAAACTTATACTCTAACTTCTGGAGGGAATGCGCATCGTGGTGATGAAAAACCACAAGATAAGTATCCAGTGCCATCGCCAGCGTCCAAAGCACATCGGCTAGAGGAAACCTTTACTCAATACCCTTTGATCAGTCCCTGGAACTGGTACTTCGACCGTTGTTTTTGAATGCGAAGACTTACATCTGAAGCGCAAAGCCTTGGAACTGACAAAGTGAGGAATAATCCCCAGCTTCAGGCCCGCTCACTGAGATCATGGTCGCGACCGAGTCGAGTAGATTGAAGAAGGCATTGAAAAAGATGATACGATGAATCGGGCTGCGAAAGTGACGAGAGAACACAAATGTAGAGATGATCGTGATTGTTCCCAGCATAGACAGTGAGCTAGTAACCCGCCCCGTGATGCCTATATTATTGATTTGCTCTGCGGTTAATACCATGGCGGGCGTTGCCCTCCGTAGAGGCGATCTCACGATGATGATCCACCGTTATAGATTTATAACTTCATGGTAAAGATAGGATGTTTAGGCGGGGAAATAGATGTCGAAATTATATTCATTGTCCACGCAATTGCATATTGCACCACAATTTGACTGTCCTGATGACAACTGTTTGGCTTAGATGACGTGATTCCGTTTTAGGGAACGATCGTGTGCATCAATGGCGAACTGCGGTCCATGAGTGGGTCATGACAAAGACTCAACACTTTTCTCACACGAGCACCATTGTGTTTGGTTTGTCGGATCATCCCAATTGCTTAATCTGGGTCTGGAATCTCGATGAAAATGGAATATAACCCGTATAGTGGATGGGTTCACCCATGAACTGCATCATCCAACACTCCAATTATCAATCTTACATCGCCTGCGGTATCCACTTTGCCGTGAAAGTAGCCCCGATCTGCGATCCTCACACATTCTAGATGCACCACGCATAGACTGCACCTATCATCTGGAGAGATTGTGTTCCTGAATCTGCATGAGAGATCAAATCTTGGTATTGCGTATGGAGTACTCCGTACCTGGTGACCAGGTGTGACAGATCGAGCAGTTCGTGAACTGATACACCGGGTATGCAACAATTCGACTCGCCGCAGTTGCCGTACGACTAGAGTGGGACTCGACCAGACCGTTGGAATGCACTTTGTTGCCTGCAAAGCCACTAGCAGCCCTGAAGTTGGTTTCTATATTTACTTCTTTGCAGTGCTTGTGAGGGTCGTAGCTCACATTCAAGTTTCATGCTCATGTGCAGGGTCTATGAACTCAGCTTTCAATGTCTCGGCCCTGGGACTATTGTAAATGTCCACAGACTAAGCATCGTCAATCTCCGTCAAAGAGATAACATCCGATATTCAAGATTTAGGAGATGCATCTGTGATGGGTTAACCATAACACACAGATCACTGTTGTAAATGGCCCAGTGGCTGGTAAATATTCCACGAATGGGAAGGCAATCAACAAAAAGATTTGAAGAAAAAAGCAAAAATCCATAGATCACACGAGAAAGAGTCGGAAACATTCAGCTTGAAAATCTTACTGCGTGCTCATTAGATTTTCCTCGGAGCAGATCAGATAGGCGAGTCTCTTCCCCCAAAACTTCACTCACCGCCGCATGCGGCGGTTGTCATAATCGAGTTAGCATGATCGGGATCAAGGATCTTCGCCTTGGATGGGAGTCCATAATTAGTATCAACGGGTTCTTTGTAAACATCTCAAGAAAATCTACTTAGGTATTGCCGGGCTGGATACTAGTGCAGTTTCGGCAGTTTTTAATCGTAGCGACTCAAGCCTCACTACAACAATTTGAAAGAACTTTCCAAGGTTGTAACCTTGGAACAGAGTAAACTCCCAAAATGGGACAAGTCCCATCCACCACCTGGGCCTCGGATGGAATTTTGACAATATGTCAACATCGGATCTTCGCAATTTTGATACTCGATGAAAATGGGGTTTTACCGATTTTCCACCCGCCAGTAATGATAACTCCCACGAGGATTGAATTTATTTATGTGAATGCCATTTTTACTCGTCACACAAGCAGCCCTGGAGGATACTCGGGATTTACCTCCCTCCAGAGCTATGGCGAGCACTTGAGTGATTCAAGATATAAGCTAGGCTTGCTCATCGTCACCCAGATGTATACTCTTGAAGATATTTTAAAGGGCTGTTCGTGACCATGGAACGGTTAGTGAACCTCCAACTCCTCGCAGCTTTCACGGTAGACGCTCACCATTGACTCCCATGATCTCGAGGGCGTGACTGCTGTTTTCTCCCAGCTTCCCCCGCACTTTTTCCCGACATTTATCAATGCGTTTCCATCTCCAAATAGTTCTCATTTGTTCAAGGATGCTTTGTTAAACTCCTCAATCTCCATGATGATACCCACTTCCAGCCCATTTGTTGCAGCACGTGAGAAATTCATGTCAGGTCTGAAACATGCACCCAGTAAGTCAACGGTGATTAAGAAAGGGCTTCGACGACTCGGAGTAAGACGCTCTCTTGGATCTAGGGCAATCCTCGCCAACAAAGACACCGTGGAAGATTTGGGTTAGATAACTCGTCAAGTGGGATAGATATGACCTTCTCCAGTCAGCTTCCTTCAATTTCCTGCTCTTTTCATTTTGGGGTTGTTTCCTTGATTGACTATTGATTGGCTACAGAGTAAATTAGCATGAACTGCAGATCATTGCATTTCAATCGACCTCACCTCCATAAAATCAAGTTTGCTGCCTTCCACCTCTTCCATTAAGCTCCTTGCGCCCCGCCTATTCCTCGTCCTCCCATGACTCGACCTGGGAACGGTAAATATACACTCAAAGACGATTTGATGCGCACACTGACCTTGGGTTAATAAAACCCTCGCCACCACCTTGACCCCTCCTCCTCGGCTGCGGTTGGATATCAGTCGGACCTGATTTGAGACAAGCTCCTATAGTTCGGAAGCCGAGATTTCAGTGACAAAAATGTAACCCGCAGCTGGGCTTCGTTTGATCAACAATTGTGCCCAAGTCTGAGTCTACAGGCACTCAACCATGCTATACTTCTGCAGAGCTTGCTTATGGTCTTGATGGTCGTTCTCACCTTCAATTCTTTGGCACCCGTGTTCACGATGATAGCAATTAGAACAAATTTGCACTCCGAGCTTCAGGATATTCTCCCATTCAACTTGGCACCTTTTGAAATGACGATTCGGCATCTCAAAATCCTGGCAGCCAGGGTGAGAGCGATGACGGGCCTTCGGGAATGCTTTCTCATTACGACATTTTCTGCAAAGTAGTGCGTCGGCCTCAAGTTTTCCTCTCGCTTCCGGGTTGGATCCTGTTCAAAAGTTCCATCTTGCTGCCTTGAACAGGATTGCATGATTTGCGACTGATTTTGGCCTGACTCGGAGTGGCCCCGGGCCTTGCATAACTTGAAACAGCCTATTGCTACGATATAATATCACATATGTGGTCTTCAGACCGCAGATATTTCCACCATTCAATTTTCCGGGAAAACGGTCAGATATCTCGACAGGCTGACGGCAAGGAAAGGCGCAGTAATCGCTATCAAGTTATCTTTCTGGATGAAACATTGCGATGGAACAATCGAATCAACCTCAAGCTTTATATCGAATCCCAGCTGGGTCTCATTGAAGAATCGATTTATTCGAACGCGCATGCTGGCCCAATGCAGCCCTTGCATACCCTCTTACCATTGACTTGCTCATATCCAAGTGGGCGGTCCTGGGCCAGATTCATGGCTCTAATTCAATTCACCATTGAGCATTGGCGTATAGCTGCACAGACTGGCGCTTCGTTCCTTGCAGAAGGGGCCAGGTCGTATTCAAGCCATCGAGGAGCTGGTGCCAGATCGACCTTGTTGAGGATCTCCGTGATCATAAATATTGCTGTTTTTTTTCTTGTACGTGTGACTCCTCGCTTGGACTCAACGTGTCCCAAGGAATGCGCAACTCATAAATTCACCTCATAGCTCATCCTGAGAATGTTCCTTCAAAATGTGGATAGCAATGATTTGCGCTTTTCTGAGTTTGGTATCACTTCCGGAAGGATCATTCTTGTGAGCCCCAAGGCGGTTTCCGAGTATCTTATGCTTCTTCTCGTAGATGCGCTTGGTTCGCCAATGGACTCTGACTCGTTCATCCTCACTTGCATCATATAAGTCATCAAATTCATGTTCGCTATCAGAGCCAATAATGTTAATTTCAGATAGCTGCTCATCTTCTTTGGCACGATCCTCTTGGTAATTCAACTTGACCTTCTATACGTCGGTGGTTATATGTCATACTATAGCCTCCAGGGCTGATCGGACTCAACACATCCAGGGGGTGTTAATTCTCAACTTGTTAATCAGACCCCTCGTCGTCGGTGTCCGAAATGACGGTGTTTGGGGAGTATTTCCTCTCAACGTTCTCGTTGGCTATACGCAGTGGTCGTCTGCGAGCTGAGATTGTGAATTCATCATCGTATAAGTCATCAAACTCAGACCCTTCATCCTCGGTGTCCTGGACAACGGCATCAGGCAGAAATGTCCTCATGCGTGTGACATTGCTGTCAATTTTACATCAAGGCGTTTTGCTAGCTAAGGGAGTGGAACCTCTAGAGCCCGATAGAGTACCAATGAAGGCTGATGGTGTACTAGCCAAAGCTGATTAATGTATATGACCAGTCAAAAATGACGAAGCACCAGCCACTCACATTGAAGCACCGACTGAGACCGATGAAACAATAGCTAGAGGCGATGAGGCACCAGCCAAAGACAGTGAAGCACCAACCGAAGCTGATGGGACAGTAGCCAAAGGCGATGAAGAAGTATCATCAGTCGAAATCGATGACGCACCAGCCAAGGGCAATGCAGCGCCGGCTAAGCCGACGAAGCAGTAGCCAAAGGCGATGAAACAATAGCCGAAGCAGATGAAGCACTTGTAAAGTCGATAAAACGGGCGCCGTTTTGACCTCCGTTTGCGAGCTTTTCCTCGGAGGGACTCCATCGTTTTTACCGGTTTCAGTCGGGAAAAAGCTGACGATGAGCTTATTGATACTCTGCTGCGAATCAGTCGTACCCCATTTTTCCCCTACGGCCACTCACCTTACGCCCCCCACCTGAGGGCAAACCACCGGCCATGACTTTCTTTTATATATAAAAGAAAAGTAAGAAAGGTTTTGTGAAAAAGGGAATTCAGTTTGCCCTCAAAATTGATATTCTTATTCACGGTGGTAGAAAAATAGAAGTGAGGGAAGGAATTAAGAGAAGGAAGTAAAAGAAGGAAGTAGGAGGAGGAAGTGAGGGAAGAGGAAAATAGGTGAGAGATAGTCTATGCCCAGCTGCCTATGTACCTTCCCTTTTCAGTTTAGAGCAGATTATCTCAGAAGAGACCCCTCTAGTGCTAGACTCTTATTTTCTTCATCATTCAAGCTCATAACATGTCTACTTAAAGGCCTTGCCTTTATTGTAGAGCTTTTGTTGGGGTTCATTTACTCCCCGCTATCTTTACGATGTCAGTTTTTTCCTACTCTTTTTGAACTTATTAACTAAATTCTTTACCTAGCTCTATGAAGAGAATTTATCACGCCAGGAGTTTCCCTCTTCTCATCGCTCAAACCTCTCAAATTCCTCTCATCGATCTCACTCAAGCCATCCTCAATCTTCCCACCAATCCACACAATCCTACAGAGATCGATTCATCCCCCAATCACAATCCATCTCAAGGAAATCGCTCTGAATCCCACCATAATCGCTCTGAGTCTCACAAAGATCAAAATGAATCCCGCCCCTCAGAATCTGAATCTCGTGAAGACCGGAATGAGTCCCAAACCCGTCACTCACAATCTCGAAGGGATCGTCTTGAATCTCCCCTCTCTCCCCAACAATCTCATCATCTCCGCGAAAGATCTCGATCTCCGCAAAGAGAATCCGAATCCTCCCCCAAAACCCACCACACGGGCTCCCAGCCCCCCTCTGCCTCCGAAGCCCTGGTTGATTCCCCGAACAAACCCTACAGCCATCAGCCGGGAGGAATTCCTCCGTCTCAGCGCGGACGAGGCAGAGCGGGCCTGGGAGGCCCGTGTGGCATCTCAAACAGCACTTCCATCAGGTATATCTTGAATTCCCCTGTTGTCTTGGCCTATGCTACTATACTTATAGATGAGGAAGTTGTAATGACCGGTGCACTTTTAGTTGAGGGTCTAGAGAACAGGGAGGAGGATGGTAGCAAAGATGCTCATTAGTATCCAGCTTTTATATTATTCTTACATATAAATAGAATTATATATTATATTCTTTGATATAAGATATTTTCTTTATCACTTTCACTTCAATTATCATCCTTGTTTTAGACCATATGGTAGAATCCCATCATCCTCAAATCTATTCAAGTATTCTACACTTTGATAAGATGGGCGTTATAGATCTAACTTAGGCATCATAAATTTATAGTACTAAGGCATAGTTAGAGGATATATCATAGAAGAAGGGATTTTCTATACCCTACTTTAGATATTATCAAATATTCAGTAAATATCCCCTAAAAATATCCAAATCCTTTTATTTCATCTTTTCTAGTCTTCTCAAAGAGCTCCTTGATTTCTTTTGATCTACTAATCTTGATAGGAGTTGTATTCCCACCTACCATCTTTCCCCTTCTATCTATAATCTTTTCCCTATCTTTCTTAATCTTAGCTTTTCTCGTCACCCTCTCTTTCCCCTGTATGCCTGAGCTTTTCATCTTGGATTTTTTGATTAGCCTCTCTTTCCTTCTATATGCCTAACTTTTAAGTCTTTACTTATTTGATTAGCCTCTCTCTCCTTCCGTATATCTAAACTTTTAATCCTATCTTTTTTGATCAGCCGTTTTATCCCCTTATATTCCTAAATTTTTAATATTCTATCCCTAGTCACTCTAGGCCTTAATTTCTTATATCACTTTTTGATCTTTTCCTACTTCTCTCTTATTACCTCTCTTTGGTCTCTTAGTTCGAAGGTTCAAATCTCAAATCTCCCATCACTACTCTTAAGATTATATTCCTCCTTATGTCACGGTACTACTAACTTGCACATGAAATGATCTGGTGATGATATGTATTGAAGAGGGGAACTTTCAAGGCTGCACATGTACTTTGATACCTGTACTCATCGGGGTTGCAGCCCTGGGGCGTGATGGAACATTTGAATATGTATACAATTCAAATGTTAGGGAACGCTATCAATCGTGCTCTGCATTCACGCTGTTATATGTAGCCAGGCAAAACTCCTCTATCAAGCCCAACGTATTTCTGAAGGGAATATTTGAAAAGAGATAGATAAATAGATTTGAGTGAATTGCAGAATTTCCACCGCATCTAAGACCATAGAAATCTGTCAGTCAATATTCAAGTCTCACGAGCAAAGGATCTCCTTGAGTTAAACTCAGGAAGCTGAGGAAATGCAAACCGATCCCCTAGAGATCCGATCTCGTGACTTGCATCAACCGTCTGAAAATCATCTAGATCTTCAGACGATTCATGAGTCCCATGGTCATGAGGCAACAGAACGCGTGCCTAGAAGGCTTTAACAGTAAACGATTCTTCTCCATACACCTTTCTCTTCACCCATCCCCACCACTTGGTGGTCATACCACTCGGTCGATAGGAATCATAAATCAAAGGATCTCGCCAATTTCAGAGAGTCAGCAATCATGCGTTCTCTATTTCCACACAAAAATGAAGTAAGTTTTGAGCCGCAACAGCTCTTCGATCCTAGGATAATATGTTGTTCAGTCTACTGACAGATCCAGTTCTCCAACGGCGCTGCCCTGGATGACCAGACTGACTTGCTGGGCCCCGGCAGCCCTGTGTCTCAGGTTGCTGGTGCTTGGAATAGCATTCTCACCTGGTGGTTTCCTCCTGATGAAGAGTACCAGATCCGTTGGAGCCCCAGTGAGGAATGGATTGAGGTCAAAGTGATCCGTATCGCAAAGCGCCCTGATGAGACCAGAGTTACCTCCACCCCCGTTTTCATGGTTCGGTGCTACGGCGGCCACCCAGCAGCTCCACAGCTGGGAATTCCGGACACTGCGATGAGACAGATGACTGGAAGCATCAGACGGATGACTGCCTCCCTGAGAGCCAAAACCTCCGCAAAGCACGCTGCGATTGGTAGTGGTAATATCGTTTACCTTTACGAAGTTGACCCCGACACGGCTGAGCTCCGCACCTCCACTGAGTCGCCCGGTGCTTACTTCCTCAGCGCATCCAGCCCGGAGTTGCAGGAGTTCTTGGACAATGTCAAGCTCCGGTTTGCGAAGGAATGGGGTCACCCATACTCCCGGCACTGTAAAGATCACTTTATTGAGCTGGAGGACGCTGACAGCAACAATGAAGGCGATGAGGAGGTTGGTGAGGGAGAAGAGGAGGAGGAAGAGGAAGATGGGGAGGAAAGTGAAGGCGAGCTGAGCTTACAGCAAAGCCTGTATTGGGAAGGTGGTCCGCGCATGCATGGCTACATGAGCGGGAGGCGTGTGGTACGTGCTTCGCCCGAAACTGAAGATAATTGAAGATATGAGGAAAGTTACTGATAGTAGTGAGCATTCAGGCCGGGCGGTGAATAAGAGCACCGACAGCAATCCCCTGAATGGGCCGCCTGGCGGTCTTTGCATTGATTGGCCCTGATAAATGCGGCCCTGGCGCTGTTTTTTTCTTTGCTTTGCTTTTCTTTCACTCTCGGTGCTCTAAGTGACAGTTACCTAAGAGAACAGGGTTGAAATCAAGCCCCGTTATTCTTATCGAATGGTATGGATGCAGTAGCTCAGATGTCTGCGGATCATCACATACCTATGTCTTTACATTTAAGGAACTATACTCAGTAAGCGTGGTTCCAATCCCGTAGTGCACCTTCAGTCTTGAGATTAAGTAATAGACTAGTATATGATGGGAGAATCTTGCCATTGAGTGCGGTATCTAGTGTTGAGGTCCAAGATATCCCCATTGATGTAGTTCAATATATGACAACAAGAATAAATTAAGACAGTCCGGCAATACCTACAAGTGTGTTCCATGGATGTTCTACATGTTCTAGAAACTTTGGAAGGATTGTTCTATGACGTCACCGATCGGGTATTCGGCTGGATCCAGTTCAGAATCCAGATTCAAGTAAGAGAGAATCATGCCATTTGATGACTGACACAGTAAATACTAGGCTTGAATATCTTGATTTATTTCTTTATGAAAGTACTCCGACTGTCACTATGATGCAACCTCAGAAGTTCTTTAAAACCAGTGCCAAGATACTTTGTTGAGGTCAAGCTTTGTTCTACAACGATAACTTTGTTTATAGATAAGAGAGATCTTATTTTCACATTGCAGCAGTACATTCATAACCTAAGCTACACATTTCGATTGATTTATTGATTACCACTCAAAATGTTGTCTAAAGACCATACACACCACCTGCACCAGTACGTTTCCTCTTTCTGCAGCGCTTGTATGCAACAGGCTAAGACCAACCTAGCATGGGCAATTGGATGCCAGCAAACCATGAGGCTCATCGGGAATGGCTTGGTGGAGTGATCAAAGAAGCAGACAGCAATGACAAAGAGCTTCATCCTGTGATTCAAGAGTTTAAGACTCTAATTGAAACCAACACGCGTGTTTATTTACTCCTCGAAGGCATGTTCAAGGAGGTACCAAATAAGAAGCCTTACAGACAAGATCCGACTGGTCATCCTGAGATTCGAGGCTACAATCACTTCTTACAAGTCCTTAATCACTTGCTTACCACAGCCCCTTCTTGGACCGACAAGGCCCATCGCGTGGGTTTGGTTGGCCTGCCTATCAATGCTGTTCTAGATTGGCCAATGGGTACACCTAGCGGCTACGCTGCATTCCTGGATCCAGAGATCAACGCCATGCTTAAGAAGATATTGAATGCCTGGGGCGATTTTCTGAGCTCCCCGGCGTCAGCCTACGTTCTCAATAACACCGACCATGGGTGGCTAGGCCAGGCAGGTTATCGAGACCTGACCGCTGCTGCCAAAGTAGGTCCTACAGCAGCAGGAGCCCTGGAGTTCCATGAAATGTTCCAATGTGACCCCTCAGCTCCAAACTACGGCTTCAAGTCCTGGAACGACTTCTTCACTCGCGAATTCCGAGATGGGATGCGTCCGGTTGCCGAACCGGATAACAACAAAGTCATTGCAAATGCATGTGAATCGCGGCCGTATCGGGTTGCTCACAATGTGAAGGGCCGGGACCAATTTTGGATAAAGAGCCAACCCTACTCTGTGCTTGATATGCTGGCACATGATCCGTACGCTGAACAGTTTATTGGTGGCACAGTATATCAGGCATTCCTGAGTGCTTTGAGCTACCATCGCTGGCATGCCCTGTCTCCGGAAAAGTTGTCAGGGCTTTCGTGAAGGATGGGACGTATTACTCGGAGCCATTATTTGAGGGAGTGGGTAACCCACAGCCCCATTCACAGGATATCGATATAGCTGGGCAAGTGACGTCTCAGGGCTACATTACTGCCACAGCTACCCGTGCCATAATTCTCATAGAGGCAGATGAGCCAGCGATTGGTTTAATTGGCATAATAGCAGTTGGGATGGCAGAGGTGAGCTCGTGCGTTATCACCGTTAAAGAGGGACAGCATATTGTGAAGGGAGAGGCGATTGGCATGTTCCGTTTCGGGGGTTCTACATTTGTGCAATTGCTGATGCCAGGCGTTGATGTTTCAGGATTCCCTGAGCCGGGCATGGAAGAAAATATGCCAGTCCGCAGCAGACTTGCAGTTGTTTCCTAGTTTTGTGGCATGTATGATAGTCAGATAGTAGCTATCCAGGTCTATTTACATAAAGTCAACATTGAGTAGTTCGAAATACAGATTTTGATAAGCATCTAATATCAGGGACTCTAGCATTCACAGAATTTCACTCGCTGTTCTGTCATAGGTATAAACGTCCAGGGCGTACTTGGTTGGTATCAAAGATTGATCCCACTGCCAGCTCACCAATCCCTTCTTCACCTCGTAAATCTCCCAGTCGGATTTCAAGCGGTCGGATAGATCGGGTCTTTCTGTCCGCAGGAATGAACGTGCCTGACTGGGGCAGGTCTAATGATGGCGAGCTCCAAATAAAAGTAGACACGTAGCCCAGCACGTCTGGATTCAGACTCAACATTGTCAGCACAACAGTGACTACAGCTGCTGCTGCCATGATGATCGTGGCCACGAGAAAAACCCTAGCCAGACAAAGTTGACATTGCATATAGACCCAGGATTGTAAGATACTCGTGCAGCACTTGTATATACTGGATTGGATGGCTCACCCTGTAGTGAGCCTGTTGGGTCGGTGGTGCTGAAGAAAATTGTATTAAGTAGTTATGACAGTCGTACTCTGAGGTCTTCTATCGATGGAGATGCTGTAGATGTATCGGAGAGTTGAGCGTCAAGTGGAGATTAAGGGTATCTGAGGTATGCTTCAGAGAGCGAAAAGTTCTGTCCTGAAAGAAGGGAGTTCCATTGCAATCCGATATTACCAATGGTAATCCAGTTAAACTCTGGGGGTGTGCTTGATCTGCTAGTTTTTATTGCCTTAACACTGCAATCACGATCGCTGACCTGATCTCCGGTCACAATACACTCAACTTCTGAGTGGAAGTATTCCTGAGTCCATTGGAATGTCGCTTCAAAGCTTTGGTTCACTGGGCTGAAAATGACATAAAATGTCTCATTAGTTCCCGGAGAAGACTCATTCCATGGTACGAAGTTCTCATGATAGGTCAAATTTGCGACCACGCCCTTTCCCGACAGCTCTAGAGTTCCCGTGGTGTTGACAAGACTGAGTGAGAAGTAGGTTGACTCAATTATTGCCGTGACATTCCCAGTCTCATTAAGCCCGCTTAGTGGTACTCCTGTTAGCGCGGAATATGTGATATTTTGATCAGCCTGAGGCACAGAGACCCAGCCTGTTGAGTTCGGAGCGGATGACAGAGCCTCAAAGCTTGGGATTTTCAAGTTGACCCACGGGTCCATCGAGGAATATCTAAATTTCCCAGCAGCGATAATACTTGTTGTGTAGAGCGCATCCATGTACGGCGAATAATAATCCAAATCGGCTGACCCATCAACGACAGAAGAAGTATTGATCGGCCGGTACCCAACATTCTGGTGAGATGTCCTGACGGTCTGGGCTGTGAAAAGAACATGCAAGGGAGACTGGCTCCCAACTGGTGAAACTGACCAAAGGATTGCCATCAAGAAGGATAAAATCCCGAAATTTCGGAGTCTTAGCTGAGTAATTATTGTGTTGATAAATGTAGAGCTCCCATTCAGGGTTTCAAGCGTGTATAACAGGCTTCCTCTCTCGAGCCTCCACTCTGCTATCCGCTTGGTCATCCTGCTGCCCACAGCGCTAAAAACAAGTGTAAATGCGGTAGCAGACTAGGCATTCGATCAGCAAGGAATAATTATAATTCTGGCTGTCCTTTCAACTTGGAGAGAGATTAAACGTACTGCCCATAGTCCTTGGTTCATTCGATTTAGTTCAGGTTCGTCCACCGTCTTGTTATTCTTTGCTGCACAGAAGATAACCAGAAACAAGAAGGGAACAACAAGCAAGATACACAGAATATCGACTGTGATACTGCCCCATTTCCACTTTCGTAATATCTGAGGCTCATTCTGGTCTTTGCTTGTGGTATTGTTGTACTTCAAGCTAGCCGACCGTTGAGGACGGGATAGAAGCTCAACCCCAGTATCATCCTCTCCCACAGATACCCTCTTCACCTGTGCGGATTTATGGTGTAAGATCATGGTGGCATCTCATAAGATGGAATCTAGAAATTTCATTGACATCGAATTTCCCTAAGTCTGGGGTATATGGTTCGCTTCTGCTTTGACCCTGATTGCATCCTACCAAATTTGGAGGTGTGGTACTTATGCATGCCAGCGCACCCTTCGGTGGATATTCCAACATCATTGGCTGGGAACCCTTGGCGTTGTGATCCTCCAATTACCGAAGAATCCTGGCGCATCCGCTTGGATTTGAATGGACAAGGATATGGCCCCCGGGGCCAGGAGCGCTTGGTGCGGAGGCTCAGAATCACAAAATTAGAAACACATATGACCTCTCACGTTGGCGTTTCAAATTGAATAGCTCAGCTTGTGCTATGAACATGATTCAATCTCAGTATATCTTCCTTTCCTAAATTATAATACTCACAAGTACAGTATGTTGCGTCTTCCTGGTCGTGCCAAGTTTCGATCTGTACCCAGCGAGGACCTGGGTTTCGTGCAAAACGAAGAGGATAGGGATGGAGTGACTTATAATAATCTTGTCGGAGATGAATTTCACACCAATAACGACCAGCTGAAAAGCACTGCAAACATAAATTCTGGGCGTAAACTTTCCCAGTGTGAGCCTGCGACCCTTAGACCATCAGGTCAACGGTGGCTAGCACTTATTGCATCTCTAATTGGAATCACTCCATTCTTTTGCCTTGCCTGGGCTGCCGTTGGATTGAATGGTAAGAAGATATCTCAAAGTTCATGGGATGCCATAAAAATTGCGATGAAAGTCGTAAGTCAGTCGATCCTAGTCTGTGTGGGACAAGGAAAACAAAGATCTAACTGAATGACAACAATTGTTAGGAGGTGACATTATTCCCACTCGTATATGCCGCTATCGTGGGACGTATGTCCCGACAGTTGGCACACTGGAAATAGCAGAAGGGGGCTTCTTTATCCATCATTCAGCGATTCCTGGGCAGTACAACAGTGTTCAGAACACTCTACACCTCATGAGTACTTCGGTCTATCGACTTGGTGGCTCTAGTACTGATCATACTATGGGCATTTTCCCCGCTAGCTGCACAAGCTAGCCTACGAATTCTCTCTGCTAGTCCAGGCAAGACGCAATCCACTTTGCAACTACAATGCTTTGATTTTGCGGCGACGAATGATATTACTCCAATATCAGACTGGTATTGGATTGACGATCCAGGAGATGAGCTATTTATTGCAAGTTTGGTTACGGCCAAGATCACACGAGGATCGACGACTGATATTTGGGGGAATGTGAACATACCTCTCTTGAGTAATCTCACGGAGAGTGGGAATTCTTCAGACTGGATTGATGTGAGCGGAGACAATGTGAGATACGCTTCGCAATTGGGAATGCCCATTTTCGGTCTTCTCAGTGATGGTCTCACGTCAACGACTATCAATACTTCCTACCTCGACTTTCAGTGTTATGACCTCCGGCAAATGACTTTTGAGGCAGCCAATGTCAGTGCCCTCAATGTCCCGGAAATAATCTACGTGGAGGGAAACGACACAGAAGCGAGTGTTGTCTGGAAATCATTCAACTTTGAAAATGGATGGGAGCGAGATAGCGAAGAGGTGGCCGCAGCTAATTGCACTGTGACTCTGCAAAGTGTTCTGATGGACATTAGTTGCAACAGAACAAGCGACTCGTCGCGTACACAAGGGGAATGCCGTGCAACTCGGGTACAGAAGAACAACGTGGCGGACTCCAGTCTCCCGGACTTTTTTTCATCCTCAAAAACCTTCGACAATTTCACGCAGAGCATTTTAAAAGCTCTGCCGTTCGGCCAGGAAGCAACCCCCACGGTCCTCGATTACTGGATGTCAACCCCATTTGGTACATTCCCTCAATTGGATGCAAATATTACTCTTTACGAGCTGAGTCCAGATATATTTTCACAGCGACTAACGCAAATGGTCAATTCGTTCTATATGGCTCGCCTGGGATATCAATTTATGACACGCACCTCCCTGGATGGGCTTCAATCTAGCACCAGTGGTAATGGGACAACTGTGAAATCAGATTCAGGCTCTGTGAAATTCACTTTGGTTTCTGGGAATGCTGTCGAGATCGACACAGACCTCACTCTATCCACTAATCCGGGCTGGATTACAGCTTTCATATTGACTATCGTGGTTATGATGGCCGCATCGATAATAACATTCTATATCACCACTGAGATTTGATTCCGGATGTTTTGGGCTATGTCTCGTCGCTAACATGGGATAATCCGCATATCCCTGATAGCGATATTCCTGTGGTGGTTGGTGGCTTACAGAGAACTCATCTGTTAGGGTCTATGGCTCTTCGGATGGGTGATGCCAACCCTCAAGATGAGATAGGAACATTGGGTGTTGGAAGATTGTCCTCTACAACACGGTCTAAAGCTCGACGGCTGTTTCGGTGAAAAACAGTATTTCTTGTATTCAAGTGATGAAATTATGATAATGCCAAAAATAGGCTTCAAGTGAAACTGGAGATGAATGTTTTCTGATTTTCAAAGCAGTTGAAATTTTATCTTATAAGCAGACATCGATACAGTTACCAACCTGTAAAAGTTGATGTACCAGACACACATGCATGTGCGTATTTAGTGTACTGAGACCCCTGATACGTACATAGGGTCTGCAAATTATGGATCCACGGTACGGGTCCCGGGGCCGTGGACCTGGGCAACCTTCTCGGAACGGCCACACATTGAATACAAACCACCATTATCATCCCAACTAGATTACACCATAAGTTGTAACAACTACATTTGGTTTTCTATTCGGCATAGATGATTTGAGACCCAGATGTATCAAAGTTTAGAAATCTGGATGCCAGAGCGAAGTAGAGTAATAAATTGCAAATGTTGCTATGGAAGTACTAAATGTCACCTTTCAGGTCAAGAACTTGAATAGACGAAATTTCTTGACCGAGGCCACGCTCCTATGTACTAGAGCCTGGCCACTGGCAGAAGAGAAAGAAGAGAACCAAGGTCAATAAACATGGGATCAATTGCTACCAATGAGCATACCCAAGGAAGTAAACAAGCTCAAACAGGGTAGACAGAGGTAGGCGAGGCACTGGCTAGAGCGCTATAAGGAGTCAAGCCAGGATAGAATGAGGTCGGAATGGTAGGAATAGGAATGGATGAATCAGTGCCAAAGGCAGAAGTCAAGTCCGCAGCCATGCTAGTGGCAGAGTAGCCAGATGGAGCAGAGGTCACAGTAACAGTAGTGGTGTACGAGGTGTAATCATCGCCACTCTCAAGGCAAGCTCCATCTCCGTATGCACTCTCGCATAGATACCACTGGGAATCGCCCTCCTCAGTCCACATAGCGAAGTCCTCAATTGTGATATCAGTGCAAGGGGCGGTATCGGAACAAACGACCCGGATGGGACCACGTTCAGCGCCATCCGCTTCAGTACCTTTCCAGTTGCTGATAGTGACGTTGTTCAATTGGACTCCATCTCCTGCAGCGGTGCTCTCACTGCTCCAGTACTGATCGATATCAAGGGAGTATGCGTTTCCGTGGCCTGTTTCTTTGATCAGAGGATTTTCAAGGTTCGCACTTCGTGGACCTACCGATGAAGTTCTCCAAGAGGACATTCGAGACGGTGCCATTTCCGCCATTGCTCTTGATCATATACATTTGATTTGAGGACCAAGTGTAAACATTTCGGTATGTAATGTCCGAGATATCGGTGTCATCGGCCAAAGAGCCCATGGCACAGCCGCCGCTCCAGTTGCAGTAGATACTCTCTACCAGGATATTCTGAGCCGGGCTCTAGATAAATTTTAGTTGAGAATCCATCAATCAAACATTCCAAGGTCGCTTAAGACACTTACCTTGACAGTAACACACTCATCCTTGTTGGTGACAGATCTAGTCACGTGATTAGCATATTGTTTTCAACCGCAGGGTATTATCTCGTCCCTGAAGAGATCAAGGCATGGAATACACATACATATCGTGAATCCACATGTTGTCAGACCACACATCGATCCCATCCAGTCCGCCTTCGTTTCCTCCACGAATGATCATATTATAAACCTCACCATTGGAACAAGTGTCCATCGAGAAATGGAAAGAAGGAGAGTCAACAAGGATCAGATCATGAACCGAGAAATCCTCAACTTCGTACAGACGTAAAATACGGGGGCCAGAAATGTCCCCCTCCGCATGGTAGACGTAACCAAAGCCTTGCACTGCGCCGGCGGAAGTAGAGCTGAGCAATTCGAAGTCGGTAGTGTGCTCAATGTAGATCATATTACCACCATCGGTTCCAGTCCGATAGAGGATTCCATCAATGTTGATAGCACAGCTACTCCCACCTGTAAGGTCAACCCAGGTGTTAAGAGCGTAATCACCAGGTGGGATATAAACCACACCACCATCCTTGCACTCATCCCAGGCGTCACTGATAGGTGCTCCAACGTCAGTAGAGTTGTCAGCGACAGCACCATAATCTAAGACATTGCAAATCTTGTTGTCGGCCTTAGATGCGTAGGATGTTGTTGGGCCCACGGAGTCTGCGCTCACTTGAGCAGTTGCTAGCAGTGGCGCCAGGCCGATTGCAAGAAAGGCAAAAAGCATTTCGATGAAAAAAAAAGCGCGAGAATGAGATCAAAAGGAAAGAACGAGGTTGAGAAGAATGAGCGAAAAGTAAACAGGGCCCTGGGGAGAGGGTGAGCACAGCATGTATAAATGCCCCTGAGAAACTGGAGAAGATCTCATGTTTAGTGGCTCCAATTAGTATGAATTTCAGACCGTCGAGTTGTACCATGCAAACCAATCAGCAGGTCTGGAAATTTTCTGTTCAATAGACAGATGAAACCCCTCGGAGCTTTCTGCATGGTTGAACTAAGCTCCACGGGGCCCTTCATCCCGAATGAACGGAGACACTACGGAGTACGAGCCGCTTCATGATTCAAGTGGTCTCCACAAGATACTCCGCTCTTCTTCTAGAAGTAAGAACAGTCAAACGAATCATGGGATATTGAGTGGGGTGCATGTTGGGTCAACAGGGGCGTGCAAGAAGGTATCTCAGGAACCAAAGATTGGAGGGTTAAAGAGGAGCCGAAGACCGTTTGAGGTTGAGTGATCGACTTGTTTAGGGTTCATATTGGTGAGGGGGCCCGGTTCCTTGTAGGTTGTATCGTATATTCCTTCAAGTTTCTGCGGGCGCTAATGAATTGGGCGTTCTCACTTCCCCTTGAACCCCCTCCCCTTCACATCGTGGCTGTGTGCTCCACAATCTTATGTGGACATGGATCTTGGCATGGATTCGGACTGGTTGGTCTGCCGGAGTTTTACCAGGTTCGAGCGAACGCACCGGTGGACCCCACTCCTTAATGTGCATGTGTGAATTCGTCAGCCAGGAGGCTCGTGGGTCTTCCTCGACAGCTATTGAGACCAAGCATTGTGGCGTTCAAAAATTCAGGATTCAGACCGGGGGAGGATAACCCGAATCATCCAGCGTCAGACCTGGGGATATGCTGAAATTGCACCAATGCCAACGAAAATTGCACCCTCTGGAAACTAGTTTCTCCGAGCTATGTGTCATCGTACTTGGTGATCACCTGGGCATACTCCGTGAGATGAGGATATGCAAGGAACTCACTTGGCGACGTCGTAAGCATACACTAATGCCGCATTACGTTGCAGAGTACGGGGAAACAGCTGACCTTAGGCTGAATACATGAGCATTCGGCAGTTGAGCAACCTCGGGTAAATAGATCATTGCCGAAGTGTCCTAAGCTCAAAAGAGTATTGTGGAGAGCACATCTGTAAATGCTGAGTTGATAACCTACGGTTCTGGCAAAATTGGATGGGCAAAATCTTGAGAGAAAGTGGAAGTTGAACTACGAGGTAAAGAAAACAAATTTCTGCAAAGAAATTGGAATTATATCTCCACTCTGAATAGATCTAGTTAAAGATTTCAACAGCAAATGGCACAGGAAAGAGGTACGAAATTTTCTTTACCAAAAGATCACCCCGTAAGTCATTCTGCAACCCCGAATTTTTGTTCCGCTTTGGATGCAGCCGTCCGTTTTTGTGTCCGATTTCAATCAAATACTTACAGCATCAGACGCTCAACGGCGGTCTTGATGGTGCGGATCTGGTTGGTCAACTCAGAGGCCTCGTTGGTGGTGATGGAGCAGGCAATGACGGGGCGAGAGACACCGGTAGCACGTCCAAGGGCCATCTTGCTGGGAACGTAGACGTAAGGAACGTTCTTGTCCTCAGCGAGAAGGGGAAGGTGGAGGACGATAGCGAGGGGGTTGGTGTCAGCAGCAAGGACAATCAGCTCGGAGGTACCGCGGTTAAGAGTCTTGGTGGCTTCGTTCTAAATGATTATCATTGTTAGAGATAAGTCTGGATTGGATGGTGGTGCATGCATGGGATTGAGATGGCTCGGGTAATGCCATGTGGGTATTCAACTTACAGCTCCACGCTTCAGCTGGCGGTAGTGGCCGGCTTGCTGAACGAGGTCCAGAAGAGACTGAGTCAGGGACTCATCGGCGATGGGCCAGGCTGTGATTCATTAGATTTGTCTTCCGATAATGCGCTGGTTCAAGATGGGTTCAAGGCTTACCGGCGTTGGTGTCTTCGGCCATTGTTTCGATGGGATTATAGAACCAAAGTCTTTTAAGAAATGGGCTCACTCAGAGGATCACTGCCTAGGAAAGGTAGAGGAAGTAAATGTGGATGGGGATAGAGGATTAAGATCTTCTGAAAATTTTTGCAAATGGGCCCGGGGATGGGCATATGCTCTACCGCCTTCCCTTTTTACATGACCATGTGAAGAAATTTTGGAGCGTTACTATCTCACCGCCTTTGAGCTCCTTACCCCCAGTGCCTCAGCACCACAACCTTGGAACTTCGTCGAGAAGGTCATGAAGAGTTGACCACATATTTATAAATCTAACAATTCCCTGAGTTCGATTTTGAAAAGTGCAAAGTCAAAATTTGAAGTTCATGCTTTCATTCACGATTTCATAAGCCATAGATTTGTACGAACACCACACTCCAATATTTAGCAAGTTCAACCCACATTTGAATGTATCAACTTGGACTCTTCCAGTATTTGAAAAATCCGAAACTGAACTAGAGAACGTTTGCGGCGACAGTGGAGCTCGCTAGCTTGGAACGAGCGCGCAGAGCAGGTCCATACTTATATAGTATGAAAGGAATGAAGGTCAAAGCAGTAGCAACGAGAGCCAGCAGAAGACCAGCATACTGGCTGCCCAGGTTCTCGAAGAATTGGGTGGCAAACAGCGGGGACACTGCTCCAAGGGTGTTTCTCATGAAGCCTTGACCAGCGATGGCTGAAGAAGAATTTTCACCGTAGCAATCCGACGTATAGGAATATGTGGATTCAAAGATGAAGAAAATTCCAATACCGATGAGCGCCAAACCGATGACAGGGCCGACCCAGGTAAGCTCTGCGTACTGAGTGAAACTGTAGATGAAAAGTCCAACAGGTAGCCAGACAGCTCCATACATGGCTCCATACAGACGAGCCTCGGGGCTAACCTTGATGGCTGGATCTTCAACAAGGGACTTGTACTTGTTAATCTGGAGGAAGTTCAAACCAAAACCAACGGTAATACCGACGCAGAGAGCAATATAAGGAAGGCCAGCCACACCCTCACCCCATCCGCGCTTATCGGAGAATGTTATAGGGATAACACTTAAGAATAAAAAGGTCAAAAACCAGGCAAAGCTGATCCACAAACCGAAGGCGAACACAACAGGCTCGGTGAAAAGCATACGGATAGATTTGACAGAGGAGTTATGGAGCATTTTCTTGATGCCAGGGGCTTCAAGGTCGTTGTGAGTGACGAAACGCTCATCGCCAGTATTTTTGCGGAGCATCTTGGCCCTCTTGGTCAGAGTAACACCGCCGCGAGTCTCGCATAGGAAGACAGCTATCAAAATGACAAGCGGGACATTTGCGAGACCCTGAATGCCTTCAACCCACCTCCATCCCAGTGCTTGATCAATGAAACCAGCGTAGATGGGAGCGGCAACGGTACCAAAAATGGCGACGAACGAAAATGACGCCATTGGGATGGCCCTGTGAGCAGGAGTATACATGTCTCCGAAAGTACCGCCAACGAGGATGGTGCCAACACAGCCAAACAGACCGAGAAGGGCACGGCAGACAATGATCGTAGCGATGTTTTTACCGAGTGAAAGACCGATGAACATCAGAGCAAAGCAAATGTAAGACCCAAGGTAAATGACTCGACGTCCAGCCAGCTCGCAGAAAGGGGCCAGAAACAGAGGAGCCAGAGCACAAGTGAAATTGAATGTAAAAAGGCCCAACTCTCCAACTTCAGTATTAGTCCCCAGATCCTCAACCATGTCTGAAATACCTGAGCTGTATGCAGTTGTCGAGAGTCCGATAGAAATTGTCATAGTACAAAGGAAGAGACTTATGAAAGCTTTGCGTTTCGTACTCCAATTGAAAGGATTCTCAACATCGCCCTCCACAAATTCCAGGACGAGATTTCCATCTTGTGGGTTTGTAAGAGTAAGAGGCAGATCAAAGTCAACCTCTTGCAACAGTCGGTTGTCGAAATCAGGAGACTGTTGATCATAGAGCTGTTCCCTGTATTTCCCTCCAACAATATATCTCTTTTGGTTTAAGTTTTCGCCGGTTGTCTCGTCGTGCGTGCCGGTCATTTCGGGAACGGGGATGCTCTCTGTGTGCGACGCACTGGCAGAGGCCGGATTCTGTTGTTCTTTTGACTTCATGTTGATGGGAATATAGTACGGAACGCTTAAGAAAATATTAAAAGCATCAGGAGGGATAATGAAAATTGCAGAGAAGACCTGGGGAAAGCAGAATATATGGATCGTGTGATCCCAGGGGATAACTACCTGTCGTCATCCGTAAAACTCCGGGTTTTGCTGGCCAATATATGGGGCTGTGGGCCTCCAGGAATCAACATTTGTTGAAACCCATGGGGAGTTTACATCTGCTGTAACCAACACGTCCTCGGATCTCTCATTTGGCCTCAAGGTGGATATGAATGCAGAAGAAATTTCACTCAACCATGCAGATCTCGACATATTACAGGGAAGAGATTGGGATCCCTGCCATGCTTCAATTCATCAAAAATCTCTGTACTTCGTCCTCTTCGCCTAGTTCACCCTAGCTACTATCGATCAATGAAGAATATCAGAACCAGCGAGAACACCCGATCAACTGCCTCGACTTGGCCTCTGTTCCTTCAAGCTGTATACTGTCCTTGTTTGGGAGAACAGATCCAGTATTTGGAAACATGAACTGGGCGAGCTGTGGACCGTACGAGGATGTTGACCGAATTGGATTCAAGAATTGGAACGCCACCTATTCAATATCAGACCAACTTCGGACAAGCACCGGGGTCCGAGGTCTATACATACGTAGATTCTCCGAGGATGCCCCGATCCTAATGTCTCCGAAGCCGATTCGGCATCGTTGTAGTTGAAACAAAGCCGGCTGCCAAGAATTCGGTATGACGTCGGGAACTCGGCATGCCGTGATTATAGTCGGCATCTCTCAAAGTAAACTATTTTGCGGATTATTGATTGAAAAATTAAAAATGAGCGATGAAGACTCTCAAAATGATATTAGTTTCATGGTGGGAGGTTTTGGTGACTGGAGAATGGTGGACTCCGTTCAACTCGGTTCTTTTCCCGTTGTGTTGACCGAAAAGTGATCGCCCCGTCGGCCACGGTAGATCCTCGGCGAACCCACATAGATCTGAATCTTGTCGAATGATACGGGGAAGCTGAAGGACCCTGAAACAACTTTAATCACGCCATTGCGGGAACCCATTCAACATCAAAAGCAAGGAATGTCAGCAGGTAGAGTTTACCAAGCAGATATTCGCGAAACATGATTCGATCCCGTTGATGCACATTCTAAGCTTCTTGCGCAAGGAGATGATCCAGGGCAATATGTTACATCCAGTGATGGGCTGAAATTGAGGTTCGGCATTCAACTTGAAGTTCCCGACATCCTCTCATTATCCTCTGGGCACCAGCAGCGCATCCGTTCCTGACTGAGAGACTTGACACCGTCAACTTGAACTTCGAGTTCATGAAGCTCCGAGTCACTGCAGATTCAAAATTTGAATCATTGGTAGCAGCAAAATCTTGGCAATTGCTGAGATAAACTTTCGACAAAAATCTTGAAACGTTTCAACCATGTCAGAACCTTCCAAAGTATTTCAATCTCAGCTCTCAGCGCCTGAAAACTCGCAGGCTACAGAAGAGTCCACCACTTTAACGACTGACAAAGCTGACCAAACCTACAATGCCAAAGCCGAAGTCCTGAACCGTGCGATCCAAGAAATTGGTATGGGCAGGTATCAATGGCAATTATTTGTGGTGATCGGCTTCGGCTGGGCAAGTGATAATCTCTGGCCGATCGTGACATCGCTCATTCTCGCACCGGTGGCATATGAATTCCAGATCAGCAAGGAGTCATTCTGACCCTCGCCCAAAACATCGGGCTACTGATCGGTGCGGTGTCCTGGGGATTTGGCTGTGATATTTTCGGTCGGACTTTGGGCTTTAATTTAACAATCGGGGTCACCGCTGTGTTTGCGTTGGTCGCGGCTGGATCACCCAATTTCGCTGCAATATGTGTGTTTGCAGCGCTGTGGTCCATTGGCGTGGGCGGAAATCTACCTGTCGATTCGGCTACTTTTCTGGAATTTTTGCCTGGGTCGCATCAATACCTATTGACCGTTTTATCAATTGATTGGGCGCTCGCGCAGGTTCTGGCAAATTTGGTTGCGTGGCCACTGCTTGGAGATATGACCTGCTCTTCAGCCGATGGGTGTACAAAAGCAAAGAATATGGGGTGGAGGTATTACATGATCACCATGGGTGGACTGGGTATGCTCATGTTCGTTGTTCGCTTCGTCTTCTTCACTATCTATGAATCGCCTAAGTATCTGATGGGTAAGGGCCAAAATGGACAAGCAGTAAAAGTGGTCCATGAAGTGGCTCGACGAAATGGAGGGACGTCGACGCTATCACAAGATGATTTGGATGAATTCGACCGGAGTCAGAATCAACCACAGGTTGTGAGTACAAAAAGTCTCATCCAGCAGTGACTTGAAAAGATTCGCTTCGAGCATATCCGTGCGCTATTCAACTCGCCTAAACAGGCATATTCCACTACTCTCACTATTTTGGTCTGGGCATTTATCGGACTGGGATACCCTCTGTATAACGCTTTTCTTCCATATATCACTGCCCAGCGAGGTGCATCATATGGCGACGGGTCCACATATCTCACATACCGGAACTCTCTGATAATTGCTGTTATGGGCGTCCAGGATGTCTTCTTGGCGGAGTTCTGGTCGAACTACCTCGCTTTGGACGAAAAAGCGCTCTGTCCAGTTCCACTATATTAACCGGAGCTTTCTTTACTTGCGTCCACTACGGCATCATCATCTAATAGTCTGCTTGGATGGAACTGCGCCTTTAATTTCATGAGCAGCCTTATGTATGCTGTGCTTTATGCATACACTCCTGAGATATTTCTTACCAAGGACCGTGGCACAGGAAATGCGCTGACTGCCTCCGCAAATCGCATCTTTGGAATTATGTCGCCCATCATTGCCATTTTTGCCAACCTCGAAACGGCTGTGCCAGTCTATGTCAGTGGTGCCCTTTTTATTTCGGCTGGTATCCTAGTCACCCTGATGCCATACGAGTCTCGAGGCAAAGCGAGTCTCTGAGAATTACATTAATCGAGTGTTTTTAATCATACGTCATCCGTCTGATGTGAGCGATATGCGTGCCAGCTGCACATGTGTTTATTCGACTTTGCCACTACACCAGTAACCAACTTCACATAGCTCACATATGCCTTAGGATGTCTCAGTGGATTTTGAGTGATGGTTTCAACTTGAAGTTCCGGCGACCATTCTATGTAGGTTTAGATCTCGCTTGATACTATGACATCATTTCAACCCGCCACCAACATGGTACGACTTAGAGCATCCATGTTTGAAAATCTCCTCCCACTAGTAGATCTTTAATTTAGAGAAACTTCTCAATGACAGATAAATGCCACCTCATATCAACTTTGAGCACATCCCAGCCAATAGAATCCTGGTACAATGGGCCATGAGATCAAGTGGAGTGGAGGCCCTGGGGTACATCTACGTCAGGTAGTGTTTCACTGGATCCGAGAAAATCGGCTGTCATATTGAGAAAAACATTTCATTTGCTGAGTAGAGTGTACTTAATCTATTAAAGTGGCCTGTGGCTTGAGAAAGTGGTACATATTATATCATGGCTCATAACAGGTTTTTGGCGTCAATCCGCATAGCAGAAGCCGCCAGCGCCAGTGTTCATTTAAAAGCCTGAGAGATGAGATGGTGGGATTTGAGACACCACATCAATCACTGGCACTTTGAAAATCAGAAAGCACCAGTCGACTCATCATCCTTTTTCCTTGAAGCCTATTTTTCGTTATCTGCCATTTCCAAGATCAAGTATCTCGTCGTTAATAGTATCACCAGTCGATCGTGAACCTTTACCATGTCTCAGCAACAGAAGAGTAAGAAAACGTCCCCTTTATATGCAACATCAGGCTTGGACCATAAAGCTTACATAGTACCGGCATCAAAGCCGCTCCGCTATGAAAAGATAACTGATATCTCCGTGTATATAGGTGGTGGTTTGCTTGGTGGGCTCGGCGATACTGTTGGCAAAACCGTGGGTGGACTCACTGGCACAGTTGGCAACACAGTCGCCGGACTAGGAAGCACCGTGGGCGGCGCGACAGAAGGGATTGGCAAAACAGTGTCATCTGCGACGGACGGTCTAGGGAACTCTACTAAGAGCGTTGGACAGGGCGTCTCGAATGGCTTCCAGAGTATTGGTGGAGAGGCACAAACTGCAGATAACCCACTCGGTTTGAACCGATCATGAAGGGGATCTATGTGAGATCAGGTGCGAAGTTGCCAACACAGATTATAGTTCTCCCTGAGTCTTGAGTCTTCTTTTCGATTTTTCCCGTTTTCAGCCTGTATTTTTGAATGCCTCGAGTTTATCGCTGTTTTTCTCACCATTGATAATGCAGAAGCTGAGAAATAAGATTCTTTGATTGCGTTTTTAACATGATGAACTTTAACCAATGCTCGTGCTTAAGATCATTCAAGATGATTATGAATCTCCTCAACTTGCTAAATAATTCCTATGGTCAAACTGGGGTATGCTTGAAGATGAATTGCTGTTATTGAAGCTGGCCTTTACCTAGAAAATTCTCTATAATCAAAGACCCGAAGGCATATTTTCAAGGTACCCAACAGGTGTCGTCTCTTCCCAAGGTGAAATCATCATTCAAGCCGTGATTATAGCGAGGGACGAGCAGGCAGGTCGCGGAACGGCGTAAAATAGATGAATCTGAATCAGTCCAATAAACTGAATCGTAATGGCTTTTTAGAATTATATCTAGATTAAGCCATTTGGCTACTACCTATTAAAAATTTACTAGGTGTCTATTATTATTGACAGAAAAAGATATCCAGATTAATCTTATTTCATTCTAGTCTATATCAGACAAATCAGAATAATCCAGAATACCTTTCACACCTCAGATCAAATCCACTTTAGGCCATTCCATACACACATGCTCGCAGAATTCTAAAAAGCCATTACGATCCAGTTTATTAGAATAATCCAAATTCATCTAGGTTACACCATTCCACAACCAGAATTTCGCCATTTCATCAGTCTGACTATCAGAGATAAAGGGATGGGTCCTAAGCCCCATCAGTAACTCTTCAAACGGCTCGGATAGTCCATTAGAGGACCGAATTTCGGGTTCAAAAATGCCAACAACCCAAGGCATTCAACTGCTCATGTGCTCGAGTCTATAGGATCAATGATATTTACAATGAGGCCTTAAGGCATAAGTCATGATTTTTACAGATACATGCACCTGCATTCCGGGGTTTGACTTAAGCTTAAATCCATGAGGCCTGCCAAGCCCTTTCCTACAAAGCCCGATTGACTAACCGGGGATTAAAATCCCAATCGGCGATTGGGTTCCAGGATCCAAACTCGCTCAACCAATGAAAATTTAGAAATTTAGAGAATTTATCCGCATGGCCGTTTGGAATGTGGGGATGATCATGAACCATTAGATTTCTAGCCAGTTTCATGGGTCGAGACCCGCTGAGCCGCATCGATCTCGGCCGACATTAGTCTTTGACTCTCGAGTCATTGGGGAACTTGAATGACATTACTCAGAACATTTATTTAAATTGATAACATTTGAAATTGATGTTCTCTATTTTCTTGAAACGAAATTAATTCATTCATTGCTTGATGAGAAGTGTCATGTTCAAAACCTGCAACGGCTAATACTTCGTAGCATTCCAGTACATCTCATACAGCAAGTTTAACCAGTCGACCATTCTAATTCAGAATGACGAACGAATCTCAAAGAACAGTACAGCCGCCTACCACAAAACATGATCAAGGATGGAGAAGAGTGGTTCGCAATTTCACCCCATCGTCAGTGACCCTCCCAGTAGGTAGGTATTACCGTATGACTAGCGCTAACCTGACTGTAGATGGTTCTCTGTGACAATGGGGACGGGAATCGTTTCAATACTGCTTCACAATATCCCATATAATGGTGCATGGATTTATTGGATCTCTTCAGGCATTTTTGCGCTAAATGTGCTCCTCTTCGGACTGGGATGTGTAATCAGCATCCTTCGGTATACCTTATATCCAGAGATTTTTAAGGTGATGATCACGCATCCAGTGCAGTCCATGTTTATTGGAACATTTCCCATGAGCCTTGCCACGATCATCAACATGACCGTTTCTGTATGTGTTCCAGTATGGGGAGAATGGGTCAAATATCTCGCTTGGGGACTCTGGATCTTCGACGCAGTGGTCTCTGTGGTGACTGCTTTGTCATTAGCCTTCATTTTGTATGTCTGCCCCAGCCTATGTTGGTGCTCATTTGGCTAATAAAACATCACTGGCTCTTAGAATGACGCATGGAAATGAGATTCACCTGTCTTCAATGACAGCCGTCTGGCTCCTCCTTATCGTGAGTTGTATTGTGGCTGCCTCCTCGGGTGCCATTGTCGCCGAGGTCCTTCCAAACAAAAAATATGCCCTCTGGACTCTTCTTGTAAGTTATGTGCTGTGGGGAATTGGGGTTCCTCTTGCGTTGATGGTTATGGCTATATACTTTCAACGCTTGACGCTGCATAAACTTCCACCAAAAGCCGTTATTGTGAGCGTCTTCTTGCCCCTGGGACCACTAGGACAGGGTGGCTATGGGTATGGTATTCCTCACTTTTTCATATCCCGACTTTTCTTACGGTTTAGAACTGACCAGCCATAGAATTATGAAGCTGGGCCAATGCGTTCAAGATATCTTTGCCAAGACTCAGACTCTGGAAACAACCTCGGGGCCCATCTTGTACACCTTGGGCTTTCTGGTTGCCTTTGTGATGTGGTCTTTTGGGCTAGTTTGGCTGTTCTTTGCTTTAGCATCTATTACTAAAAGTCAGAAATTCTCTTTCAATATCGGGTGGTGGGGATTCACTTTCCCATTGGGGGTGTACGCTGCTAGTACAATTCAGATAGGCACTGAACTGCCCTCGAGTTTCTTCCAGGTGCTAGGGATGGTGAGTGAAACTCCTTCTCTTCATGCCAACCCTGCCTTGAGCTTTTGATTAATGTATCCATTTTCTGTGGCAGATCCTAGCGTTTTTCGTTGTTCTTCTATGGATTATTGTTAGTATTGGGACATTGCGCAGAGTGATTTCGGGGAAGTTATTTTTTGCCCCGTGTTTAGCCGATATTCGTGTTTTAGAAGAGGATAAAGAGGCGGGAAAGGCGGCATAAGAAGGTAGGAAATGGAAATGATGGAGGATAGACCTAGAAATTCAACTATTTCGTGAAAAATTGGTAATGTTAACAGCAACCTTGGAGAGACATCGGATCACTACTTGTATTTGATCTTGAGGTCAACTGGTCAGTTGAATTAGTAATCCCCCACTCACGCTCACGTGATCAATGTGGAGAGAATCTCGCCCGCAAATTCTTTTTCTATTTTTTCCTTTTTTTTTTATCGATTTATTTAATTTTATTTTTTTATTTTATTTAGATTATTGACCCTTTTGCTCTTCGAGATCCCCGTCATCATCATCCACTTTGCTTTCCCCCGATCTTCCCGTGTATCCCACCTTTATCTGGTACTTCATTCAGTTAGGATCCTGCTGGTCCTAGCCTGAAAGGCCTGGTGGTTCCTCAACCCCCTGAATCACCCTTTCCTGTGTGCTGGTTGATTTTCTCTCAACTTGCGCTGACCGGCGTTACTCGGCCTCCGTAGCCGCTAAACCGGTTTGGGATCCCCGGAGGCAAACTTGAGGCAAACTTAGTGCCTTGCAGCCTTACTGCCTGACTTTCGCCTGAGGCATCTGTCTTACTGGCCCGCCCGACAACCAAAACACAATTGTGACGCGGCGCGACTCACAATCAACGAGAAGTCTAGTGACGATTTCCCTCAACACGCGACCACTGCGAAGGATATAGGGTTTGGCAATTGTATTTTCTGGTCTTGGTGACTTTTTCCCCCTTGCGAGCAGTGGTCGCATGTGTTGCGCGTGAACAGAGCTCGAACCCTTCTCAAATTCTATCTACCGCGGCTTACAGCTGATTTGAGAAATCCACATCATTGAAGATGATGGGCTACGGGGGTCCACCCTTTCATCCTTCCCAGCAGCAACAGCAACCGCAACAGCCACATCAGCCGTCTCAAGCCCAGCATCCCCTGGGTCCCCAGCGTCAGCATGTTCCCTCGCCTTCGCTAGGCGCTGCGCCGAATCTCCCACAACATGGAAGTCCCTTTCCTAGTACTAAGCCGCTGTTCCGGGCGCAACCACAGCAGAGTTTCACATCCGCGCAATCCCCCGATCTCCGTAAGATGGCTCCCACGTCTACCGGCCCATTAGCGGGGTATCCCACTACGACTAGCTTTGCAGCACAGTACACTGGCCATTTTGGTACACAGGGCTCGCCTGATTTGATGACACGAAATCCCGATCCCATGGCTTTACAAAATATACAAAGAGGAGGATATGGTCCAATTGCGCACCTGCGACCGCAACCTGGAATGAGTCCTGGTATGAGTCCACCAACCGCCATGCCACATTCTCACACAACCAGTGTGTCATCACCGCAACAATCGCTGAACAGACTCTCCCAAGCAGGTCTGCATCAGCGAGATAGTTATCCAACTGCTAGCCCATCTATGGCTAGCCCCTCTATGTTTGCCATGAATCAGCAGCAGAGGCAGCCTCAGTCCCAACCCCAGTCACCCCAACAAGCTCAACAGCAGCTGCAAAGACAACAGCAATACCAACAGCAGCAGCAACAGCAGCAGCAACAACATCATCAGGAGCGGTTCCAGCAGCAACAACGAATGGAGCAACAGAAGCAGCTTCAACAACAGCAGCAGCAGCAGCAGCAGCAGCAGCAGCAGCAGCGTCTGGAGCAACAGCAACAATTGGAGCAACAAAAGCTAGAACAACAGAAACGTCTCGAGCAGCAGCAACAACAACAGCAGCAGCGCCTCGAGCAGCAACGACTTGAGCAACAACGACTCGAACAACAACAGAGGCAACACCAGCAACAGCAACTGTTGGAAACCCAAAGGTTGGAGCAGCAACAAAAGGAAAGACTTGAGCAACAGAGATTGCAAAAGTTGAAACAACAAACCCAGGCTCAGCCTTCCTATCAGCAACAACAGGCATCTCCATTTATACCACATGCTCAGTCTCCGTTTCATCAGTACCAACCATCAGGCCAATACACTCAACAGCAGTCCGTTCAATTCCCCCAGTCATCGCAGCAAGCCCAGTTTTCTTCAACACAGCCAACTCCTCAGTTTCAACACTACCAACCGCGGTCACAATCTTCCACAGACACGGCGGCTCGTTCATCCTCATCTGTTGTGCAGCCCGGATCGACAGCCACCTCAGGAAATTCAGCTGTTAAGGTGAAGTCTGAGAGTCCTGCTCCGAAAAAGAAGGCCAAACCTCGACCTTCTAATGTGGCTCAACCTCAAGTGGCACAGGCTCAATCGCAGCAGAATGCACCTGGGTCTGCACCATCTTCCACTCCAGTTCAATCCAATGGCCAGGGGCAGATAGCCACTGGAAACCCACCTGAGACTCCAACCCCCCGCCGCAAACGAGGGCGTCCACGGAAGGAGGAGGCTGCGGCCAGGGCAGCTCAAGCTGCCGCCCAAGCGGCTCAATCTGGTCAGCCTATTCCAGGATCCCACCCTGGACAAGCATCTTTTAATCCCAATATGACACCAACTGCTCCTGGTTCGGGCTTGGCACCTGGGTCTGCCTCTACGCTTACCCCCATTATTGGTCCTGACGGGACCCCACTCCCCCTGAAGCGGAAACGTGGCCGCCCTCGCAAGGCTGATCAGATTGCTTGGGCGATGGCAACCGGCCAGCCATTGCCAGTCCCGAAACCTCGGAAACCAGCTGCCCCTAGAGAAAAGAAGCCCAAACCGCCCGGCACTGGTCGCCCTCGTGGCAGGCCTCGCAAAGCAGATGTAGCTGCCGCCGCTGCTGCTGCTGCTGCTGCTGCTGGTGAGGCAGGTGGAGCAGGTGGTGACTCGGCTCAGACAGATAATAAGCCCAGTACAGGCGACAATGCGGATTTGAATCAGGCTCACAAGCGCCCGGCAACTACTGGAGATAATGATCCAAGCAAGCGACCCTGCCCAACCCCTCCATTCCACCAGCAAGGCCAGAACTTATCCCACCAACAGGGTCAGCAGCTCGCTGGCCAGAACCAGGCTCTTCCCCAGTCCACACATCAAATGCCGGGGCAGCAGATGCCGAGTCAGCAGATGTCGGCTCACCAGATGTCAGGTCAACAAATTTCGGGTCAGCAAATGTCGGGTCAGCAAATTTCGGGTCAACAAATGTCAGGTCAACAGATGCCGGGTCAACAAATGCCTGGTCAGCAACATCATATGCAGCCACAAATTCAGCACATGACGACTCAGGCAGGTCATCAACATGTCCTCCAACCGCAACAACAGCAGCTTCCCCCTCAACCTGGCCAGCCATTGTCAATGCCTCACATGCGTATGCACCAGCAGTCGCCTGCTCACCAACCACAATCCTCACCCGCGCATGGCTTCATGCCAATGCCTCCTATGCAACATCTTCAGCCCCAACAATCCCTCCATGGTCACCCTCAGCCTCAGCTTCAAGGGCAACCTCAGCTCCATGGAACTCGACCTCCTGCCCGACCAGCACCACAACATCAGCATCAGCATACATTCCAGATTCAGCTTCAGCCTCAGCCGACATGACTAGGCTACTGAACCACATGATGTTCTTTTGATCGGTTCTATATATTTTCATCTCATCTTGCGCTTTAGATGATTACTTCCCAACTATGAAGTAGTCATAACTCCGTCGTGGTGGTTATTTTGTCAATATCGCTGTCCTTGCGTCGAATTCGGCGTTTAGTTTCCTGTCTTTCGACCCCAATCTCTCCCCTGCATCGATTCCCCTTCCTGGATGACTCCCAGGCCTTGCTTTCATCTTTTCTTTTTCTCTTTTATATTCTCTCATCCTCATTTCTTCGTGCGTACCTTATCATTTGGCATGTCTCTTTATGAACGTCGGGGAGGTGGTGGTTAGGATATCTCTTTATCTGTATCGTGGCGTTTACGTGATATGTTAGCTCGATCTAAGCATGATGGGCATGTTTGGTGAACCCTGTTTCTTATCCCCTCTCGTCCTTTCTGCGTGTTCGCTTAGCCGGTTGGTTTGGTCTCGATTGTGACTTTCCTTTTGTCATATATATCTAATGCTGTAGTACATATTCTTAATTTCATTGTACGGGTCATTATATTGAGTGAAGTATTCTTCAACATTCAAATGTTTGAATGCTGCGTTGTCAATGTATATGTACACACTTTTACGAATAACTGTCACGGAGAGCGGTTGTTCACTTAGTTCCTATCTAAGAACCAGGCTATCGAGTCACTGGCAGGACTCAGGCTTAGTACCACTACTAGTAGGGGAAGTGAGAGATAAATGAGACTAATATGAGTGTGGATTCAAATGTTATGAACACTCCAAGGATTTGAGTCAGACTCGGACTCGGAGACACTTATATTTTGACTTTATAGACATCTGGATAAAAGTAGTATGAGACAGTTCCGCGTCTGTCTCAATTATCTCAGCGTCACGGCGGCTCTGTTCGATCTGGGTCTTTTCGGATGTGATCTGGTTGATTGAATCGAGCAAAAGATCTTTCTGTTTGCGAGATTGCTCGTAACGAGTTTCCCAGTCGATGCATTCCTGGGAGAGTTCAGTCCATTTTTCAGCCCTGATATCCTATTTTTCAGAGTGATCCTTTTTATCGGTCTCAGACTCGGCTTCCAACTTACGAACCTTCAGGTCCAGTTCATCAGCCTTGACACGAATTTCCTGAAGCTATGAACATATAGAAACGTTGATGGACTCGGATATAAAGAACTTGAACTTGAACCTCTTAATCTACTGGTACTTTCAAGTTCTCTCTCCAGGGCTAATCAATCGATACTAGTATTATTAATTAAGACCTATTTCCATACTACTAGTAGTACTATAGCTAGTATATACCTTCAAGTTGAGCTTACTTAACCTTCAAGTTGGAATATTGATTGATAGATCATCAACTGAGTACTACTAGTAGATCTGATCCATATGTATCAATTGATATTTTCCGAGTCCACCTTCAAATATGTATTGGAAGTTTTTCCCTTTTATAAATAATTCAAATGTTATCCTTCTTACCTAATGCCTTTAAACATGAAAGTTTTTTTTATCTCAGCTCCAGGGTAAAAATCCCATTCAAATGTTGTATCGTACATCATGATTCTACTAACTTCAATACCTCATCCAGATGTCGGCAATCAGAAACCACTGGCAGCATGATACATATTCAAAACTTGAAACCAAAATGCCATTCCTTGAGCTTAAGAGTGTCACATTTCAGAATTAAAAGTAGTCTCAAAATCGACTAGTTCCTCCAACTCATCCATCCTCATAATCGGATGATCATCATCACCGCGACCCTTATCACCCATCTCATCAATCAACAACGCTACACTAGGCCATCCATTCAAATCAACGTTGACTCTAGGTGCGATCTTCCTGACAACACTATCACATAGTATGAAAGCCCGTTTCGCAGCTGCATCCACAGATGCCATAGCATACATCCAGCAACCAGCCTTCTTGCAAATCGCAAATGCAGTACTCAGATCCGTTTCCAGAAGAGTTGGGTGCGGAATTCCGGATACCCCGGCTGAGGAGTCATCTGTCTGGCCATGAGCATTGGCATGGATATGGTTATTTGATAAATTCTGCGAATCTGTCGGTGCAAAGGAACCATATGATAGACCAAGGAGTATGGCGATGGTAGATTGCATGAGGAAATGCAAAACGGCCCATGAGGGCGTCACGCGAGCTAGCCATGCAATGTCGACTTTATCGGGGAAGATGGAGATAAGTGAGCAAGATGCTTGGAGACACTGGGCAGCTAGCTCGGCACGGAGCTTATCTCGAGAGGACTTGTCGACGGAATAGCCCGGGTTACGGGAGTAGTTCAGACTGAGACAGGGTCTGCTTAGTGTGATACGACCAGAGTAGTAGCTCATTGCGAGGCAGACTCGTTCACGAGTGAAAAGAGCTGTCTCATCATCAAGCATGCTATGGTTTAGATGCCATGGCCCTGCCTCGGGTAGATGGAACTGGTAGCAGGGTGGTAACTTTGTGAGCCAGCGGTCCATGCGGATGGAATATTTCTGAATTCGGTATTCTGTCTGCGTAGACCCTTCACGTATACCCTCAATGCTGTAGACCTTGTTCAGGACGGATTGGGAGATAAGGGCTAGATCCACCATATAATGGAAGAATAGGGAGGGACAAGGCTGTGCTGATAGGGTCCATGCGGGAGAACTGTGGGATTTGGAAAGCTTCTCGAAAAGCATAGCACAAAGATCGCTCTCCCGGGCTTCCTCATCTTGGAACAATCGACTGATATCTGGATGGTTGAATGATTCCTCCTCGGCTGGTATTGGGAGGTGCAAAGAAGAAAGAGCTTCTCCAACGCTAGAAGCTCGACCATGCATAGACGAGAGGAGATGCTGGAGGGAATAGATAGACCACCATAGTCGACAGCGGGCCTCCTTCGCTTCATCGTAGTCTCGGCCATCTACTAACCGAAGGTTCACTCCGAGTGAAACTGCGGAATGAACAGCCATATCTGCGAATTTCGACGCCCTGCAAAGCATTACTATCATTGCCCAAACAATGCTTGGTGTCAAGTGAACTTACCTATTCAACTGGCCCTCACAAAGCAGATATAAGGAGATCAAAAGTTCAAACTGAACCTGTTGCAGTGTTGTATGCTCAAACAAAGTATTTCCATTCAAACTCAACTGTCGCGCACGCGTCAAGAAGACCACCTCATTGTCATAGATCTCATTCTTCTCATGATTCATCAGACGACAGTGCCAACAACCAATAGCAAAGATCATATTCAAAATCGCAAGCCATTTCAGTGATGGCACCGCCCGTCGATCGAATAAATTGATATATTGCGCTGTGAAAGTCGACTTGCGAATCGCATGAAAGAACGGATCGACCAGGATCATATACGCATTGAAGTATTCATCAGCCAATTCCCTCGCTGGGATAACACTCGGGTCCGACTGTCTGTCCACTGGGGGAATATCCAAATCATCCAAGTGATAGTTCATCGTCGCAAGAGGGGTATCATTTGTCGCATCGTTTCGCTGTACGGAATTCATACCAGAACCGGTCATAACATCATTGATAGGTCTTTGCGTGGTGTTCTCAAGTCGCTGTATCCACGAAACCTCAGAATTCTTGCCGAAAAATCCTGATGCGCGTGTGTTCTCGTTACGGTTCAAATCTTCGGCCACTACATCAACAGCTTCTAGCGAGCCCACTGACGCAGAGGAGTCAGATTGGTCTCCTTCGGCTTGTTCGGAAGGATCTCCATCGTTGAACTGTATCGTAAAGCTCATATGTTAAAACACAGGTTCGAGTCTTTATGAGGAAAATCGACTTTGGGGGGAGGGAGCCTAAGGTGTACATGAGGCTCGTGTCGGTAACTACAACTCACCTTGAGCGCCTTTCGGATTTTGCGAGATGTAGGAGAATCGACTTCCCCTTCAATAGAACGCAACAACTTCTCGTAACGATTCACGTTGGATGCCAAAGACTTGATTTGCTTCGCATCGCGAATTCGTTTGATATCTTCATAATTACAACGGCTCTTGTGATAGGCACACTGTCCACAAGTTGGTTTTATTCCGTCGCATTTGATCTTCCGGTGTCGACAAGGTTCGCACGCACGGGCTGATCGCTTTCGACTCTGAACGTGATTGACACCAGCAATTCGGGGGATGGCCACCTTATTTGGGGGCACGATATCTGGGGTATGGGATGGATCCGTGCCAGATGTTGAAGTCATTGATCCAAATCCAGGCTGAGGCTGCATGAAAGATGTGCTCATAGAGCTCACTGTAGAATATGAAGCTGCATCGCTGAATGAAAATGGAGACTGTGGAGGAAATAGAGACTGCTGGGGGGGCATGATTAAGGGAAGGTACCCAGTTTGATCCCGGGGTGGGTGGATAAGATCCATCATTGGAAGAGATCCGTCGCTCATTCATTGGTGGCAATAAGATTCCATTCTAATGTATCCTACAGATTTGGAAACGTAAGATATGGAGAGGTGAAATTTTTACCACTCGAGGTATGTTGTTCAAAAGAAAGATCCAGGTGTCGCAGGATTGGCGCTTTTTAAAATCACATAGAGAGGGGCGAAGAGGGGCCAAGCTAACGCAATCAGGAAGAATGAACAAGAAAGGCTCGTCAGGTTCCAGAGCCAGGTAATGTCCTTCATCTTGCGACCGGTTCCAGCTTCGACTTCATCCAGAGATATCACACTTCCCCTCAGCTTGTGTTCCATAGTTGGGACAACCTGGGATGAATACCATATTCCGACTTGTTGCTCGTGTGGCCATGTGGAGACATGAAACAGGACTTTGAGTACAGGTTTTCAGGTATGGAAACCAGATAGATTTGACGTCATATTTGAAGATCAGTACCAATTTTGTTAACGCGGGACGGGATAGCGGATAAGGACCAATGTATGAAGTACTACTCCATACATTCACCTGCATTGGATTGTTGCAAGAGTCCAGATTCTCCAGAATGTTTGATCGGCAGGTGACCACATGAAATCATGCCCTGGAATGGTGTCAATCAAGCAAACAAACAAAAAAAAAACTTCATTATCATCCATGCTGTGCAAGGTTCTAAATCTTGTCCTGCAGCCACTAACAGCGTGCTGAGCGATGTCTGTCAATCAGCACACTGTCTTTCCCAAGACTCAGGCTTTCATAGCGGTCAAGCATGTCGGATAACCCCATACCGGGGTAATCCTGGAGATTGGTACCGCCATTCCCGCCAATCCCATGGTATTTTTGCTTCTTGTTCAACTTTTCCAGTCCTTCTGCATATTCATCAAATCGATTATGACCCTTGCTTGAAGGTTCCTCGTCGAATAAATCTTTAAGCTCATCAGGGATAGACTTCGCTTGGCGGATCCTGTCACCTTGAGCTTTGGCCCGCGTCGACTGCCGGAATATGTGAAACAGATTTCGCCCCAACGCTGATCGGCTGGCAACGATGGAAAAAGCACTTGCCAAGGAAAGGAAGTCCCGGTCAAGGACATCAAAGGATTCCTGTTCAAGTAGCGTGAACAGGGCCAGATTAATCGCGTACATCGCAAAATGATGGGCTCGGTTCAGGCCGAATTCCTGTCGGTGTAAATGCGCTAATGCAGCTATATCCCGCGCTGCCAGTTGCGTCACCTGCCAAGGATTATACTTCGAATCGGGTGTTTGCCTTGGAGGACTTTCTGGTGTATGTGGGGCTTCTGATGCAAGGCTGGCAAGTCCTCCTCCTGAGATACAGCTGAACAGATTGATGATCAACGCATTATACCGCATTCTATGAGATTAGTGATTTTTATTAAATCATCCTTGAATGAGTATTGATGATAATTAATGAGTTATCTTACCTCAACAAAATTATATGGGGCGGCAGCTCTGGTGAAGAAAAAGCGGTAGGTAACAACTCTTGCCACCGTTGTAATTGTTCAAACAAGACTTCTCGACTCTGGCGCTGCATTGGCTCCGCATCCCGATTACTGCTGTTATCGCCAAACATGCTACGTGAGATATCACGCGCAATAGTAGAGAGGTTACTCGCCTCATCAAAGAAGATATCAATATAAGACGGACATGGCTGGCGATGGGTAGGATATGGTGTCCATTGAGATTGATGCTGCAAGGAATTACCATCGATGCGAGGCATGTTGACATTATCAATCAGGCAAGGTCTTAGAAACCCAGTATGAATCATCCTATTCAAGGTCAGCAAAGTGTAGACATTAGAAAAAAAAGGTTAACATACGTGTCAATATTGAAGAGCCCCCATGCAGCACTCCTACATGAAAAGTCCATATCCTGCGATAGTTGATTAGAAGTTATCCTGGGCCCTCTATCACCGACCAAGCCCAAGGATTCTCCCATTTTGATCGCCTCATGCAGCGTGATATAACCCAAGTCATCGTTGCGCGACATGGCATACCTCTCATACATGAGAAGTGTTCCTTGAAGAAGCACCAGACTAGGCTGAGGATCTTGCAAGTCTTTCAGTCGCTCGGCCTCGGCCAGAAAATAACAACCCTTGGAAGCGATATTGCCTGTATCTACATATGCTTCTGAGAACTCCGAGAAGTACTGTTGAGTGTTAGTCATGCACCACTTTAGGGCAAGTTTCAGGAAGTATCGAGAGCCTCACGCATGCGTTACTCAGCAGAGCATTGACCAAATAGGGACTGCAGAATTCCGAGTGCAGGTCTCCACTTCTCATATGTTTTAAAAAGACATCTCTATCCAAGACTCCTTGGAATGGATAGTTCCACGTAAAGTAAAGGGAAACAAGGTGAGAGACAAGATCCGCATCACTTGTAACAGATGTCCACGGCTGTGCAGGAACCTTGAATGGTGCCTCATCACAAAGATAATGGATATCCATCACCTTACTTCGGAAAGATGGACCCTCAGCATCGATATTTATAAGGTACCGGGCATCCTCCAACTTTGCAACTGTTTCGCGAGGTGCCGTATTATCCGCGCCGAGTTTAGCCAGGGTCTCATTGATGTAAGTTCTGATCTCGTGAGGTGGGGCGTTTCGTCGAATAATATCGAGCAATTGTAGCGCATTGGACTCGTCCGCCTCTCGTACCATCTTGAATAGATCATTCAACAGGTCTCGGTGATATGAAAGCTCGTCGGCTGTGCGTTTTGCCGCAACACGACGGCGTTGGTCGAGGGATTCGTCGAAAATGCAGGTGCGCTGGAAGGAACGACAATTGTCACACGGCGGGGTTCCAGAACACTATTAGTATAAACCTGAATATTAGCCAAGTTCTAAAGAAATTATTTGAAAACATTCTCCAGTTTCATCGCCGTTAGTCTATTACCTTGCGTTTAGACTTCTTGCAAGCCAAGCATGCCGTCGACACCCTTTTCTTCCACGTATGACCCGTAGTAGACCTAGTATCATCTCCTGGTGGGCTACCGTGCTCCGATGATGGCGATGTATCCAGGGCAATTTGGCGGTGATGTTCATTCATCGTGGGGTTGACAGAAATGTACACGGTGCGGGCTGTAAAGGGCTCCGAACTCGGGAGTATATACAGCTTGAATAGTATGTGAAAATGTACTCGTACAGAGCAGGCTGCTCAGAGGCTTCTAAAGATCTTAGTGGATAGTGGCGGTGGCACAGGACATTTTGAAATAGCCACACCTGTTTTGAGGTTATATCATATCCGAGGTAGGCGTGGTTGGGATGGCGGCGGGGGCGAAGAATCACCAGTGTTGGGTGAGAGGCAAGCCATTTTTAAGGAAAATCCCACCAGGGCAGTCATGAAATAAAATGCAGGGATAAACGACGCTTACGCTATCGAAATAATTCAAAAATCCGTCAAAATAGATTCAATGATAGCAAGGATGAAGGAGCACGGGGCATTATCACCATTTGCTTCGCGATGAAAGGGGGCTTGGGGGACAAGGAAACAGCCATATTACAGGCTAAACCAGGCTCTTACAGGGGCCAGTGACGTGAAATGAAATCACCGGCGAAAGCATCCGCCTATACCAGAGAGCCTCGGGAATACGCAGAGAATGTAGTTGGCCACTGGAAAAAGAACTCGATGCATTGTTGTGCTCGGTGTGGATACCGTAGTGGAGGCCTTGTAACTGACCTTCGGGGATAATTTGTTCTCGTGAGATGGCAATGGTAGGCATGTCTGGTGGTTCTCTTCTCCAGTGGCTCAAATTTGAGCTCTTGACCTCAATGTAGACACTGCACATATGGAAAACGAAGGATAGTCGTCGGAACTGACTGCCGACCACGTGATGTCATGCTTGTGCTTGCCACAGTGTATAAAAGGATAGATTGACTAGTGTCGATTGGGATTGAACGAGATACATAAGTAGAGATCAATCAGAATCTAAAATTTTGATTTGGTGGTAGATGTATAAATCAAATTATGGATAAAATCTAGTGTATTGAACTATACATGCAGAGCTTCCAATTCCAGCAGAATGAGGCCCGGGTGCTATAGTTCTTAACCTGACTCCGAATGTGTCCAGAATCGTGCCATACACACATGCAGCTAGGCTTTTCAAGGAACCAGCTTCAGGACCGTCTTCTAATCGTCATGGAAGGTGGCAATATAGCCTTGGAGCGCGTTAAGACTAGGGTTAGTACGTCGTGAGTAATATCCGCTGGAATCTATGGCAAGGGAGTTGTACTTAGCAAGAAGAGAGAAATCTAGAATCATAGTTGGTATTAGTGAATATTTCGACTACCCGCAAACATTTCATCTATACTCTTTGTACAACCTGAGAACATCATGTCAACAATTCCAAGGTTGGGAAGACACGTCAGGGACACTACCCAAGTACTTCAGTTTGAGACTTAGAATGTCAGTCAGTGGCAATGAGATCTATGAGTGCTCTCAGTCTCCAGGGCTATCTATACCCATTATTTCAAAAGCTGATTAGATGCTCAGTCATCGGTCATGGTATTTGGGAAGATCAGGTGATGATCTCATAGGGTCATGGTGGTGGCAAAATCACCTGGCGTTCAGATCCGTGTTCTTGATGAAAATATGAACTACACAATTATCTACAATTACGATAGAAGGTCGGGAAAGTTTTTAGAAATCAGAAGGATGGCATTGACTCGGACAGTCCAGGACAAAAATAGCGCTTGAAAAAAAAAGACCAGGATCCCTATGCAGCCGGAAACCAGGGTAGTCACGAAAGAGAAGTAAAAAGGACAGAAAAAGCACAAACGCTGATTATTCAAATGTAATACAAGCACATGTTTTGCATACTCCATGGGATTCCGTAGCCACGAATGCACCTTAAGAAAAAAAAGTCAACATCAAACTAAAACTTCACAACAGCCGTAGGTGACTCCTTAGCAAGACCTCAGCGTCGATCCGGGTGATATTAAAAAGAAGGAACAAGAAGTGTAAAGTTGAAGTCGTCTAGTGCTCCAGGATGCGCAAGCTTCCCTGGACAACACAGTTCTCCAGAATAGAACCGGGAGGAATGTCGATGGTGCTGCCCTCGGTGGCAACAATGATCACAGTACCCTTGAGGGTGACGTTGCGGCCCAGGTTAACAGCACCAGTGATGGTGAGGTGATCCAGCTCGACAATGCGGGGAATGCTGCCAATACGCTTCTGGAAGTCAGAGACCTTCTTGAAGTCGGAACCGAGCTTGATAACGGGAACACCACCGAAGCGGTTGGGGTCCATGACCAGCTGGCCGTGCTCCAGGCGGTACAGATCAGACTTGACAACCATGAGATCAGAGCAGGTCTTGACGGGAAGGAAACGACGACGGGGGACGTTGACACCGTGGGCGTTCTTGAAGTGACGGATAGCGGCACCAACAGCGGTCTCCAGCTGGTAGATAGCCTGGTCGGCCTCACCCTTCTTGTCAGCAGGGATGGACTTCTCGTTGGCGATAATCTCCATCTCCAGCTCGTTCTCCTCAACAACACGCTTGATAGCACGGACGTTCATCCAGATGTTGTTGGTGTTGAAGTACTTGAACTTCTTAATGGACTTGAACTCGTTGACGTGCTCCTTGGGGACCTGGGCAATCTCGAGCAGACGGACCTTGCCGTCGTTGTCAATGATGGTACCACCCTTAACATCGGCCTTGGTCTTGTCAGTCAACTCCATGATGTACTCAGCCTGGGAGTCAACCATGTGCTGCAGGATACGGAGATCGACCACGGCACCCAGGTTGTCAGCGTTGGACAGGAAGATGTACTCAATGCCACGCTCAATCAGCTTGTCGAGAGTGCCGGAGTTGTACAGAGACTCGAAGACGTCACCGTGACCGGGAGGGTACCAGTCCTGGAGGGGAGCATCGAAGCTCTTGGGGGCGGGGAGAAGGGAGTCCTTGATGATGCGGGGGTAGCGGGACTGGTTGAAGGTGATGATGTCGACATTGTGGCCCTCGTACTTCTTAATGATGGACTGGGTGTCCTGGTCGGTGTTGAAGGAGTTCATGAGGACGAAGGGAACGTTGACGTTGAAGGTACGGTTGAGGTGCTCGATCTGGCGCACAGACAGATCCAGGAAGGACATGCCCTCACGGACCTCGATGACGGACTTGGGACCAACACAACCCATAGAGGTACCGAGACCACCGTTAAGCTTGACAACAGCCAGCTTGTTCAGGAACTCAACCGAAGCTTCGGCGCCAAGCTCCTCATAGCCAACAACCTGGGAGGGCTGGGGAGGAGCAATGCGGTCCCAGTTGACGGCGTTACCCTTAGCCTTATCGTTCAAGAAGCGGCGGAACAGAGCGAAGAAGTTGTCCATCTCAGCCTCAAAGCGCTTCTTCTCACTGCCCTCGGGGACAGAGTCAGACAGAGCGTTCAGGGCGTTGCGCATCTGGGAGGCGGCCACACTGGTGGAGGCATTCTCGAATGCCTGGATGGAGGCGATTCTGGTTAGCGGGGACTCAGGCATGGCGAAGAATTGGTATTAATGCAAGTGAGGGGAAGTCAAGATAAGAGGGGAAAGCTCTCCTGTACACAAAGGAGCGTAGAAATCGGACGTAAACAACCAAATCAATACAGAGTAAACAATGTCACGAATGAGAGGATGGGGAGATAGAGGGGGAGAGGGGGGGGGGAGACGACAAGAGATGAAGCTTGTTCTCTCCGAACTCTCTTTGGGAGGAGCGACTAAGCAACCTTCCCAATTGTCCCAATGTGGTTGTTCCTTCCCCGACGTTTCTTGTTTTGACGGTTCCGTTCATACGGTTCACGGGTTTGACGCGTTTGTCCGGGGTATATAAACTTGAGACGCATCAGATTCACTTACCATGTGTGACTGAGACTTGCCATGGTGCTTGCCAAAGCCAGCAGAGGCATCGGTAGCAGGAGCTCGGAGGTGGGTGGGGAGTGCCTTGCCAGACATGATGAAGGTGGGGGATGGAAAAAGAGGGGAATAGGAAGAAGGAAAGATGGGAAAGTCTGGAATAATATAAGTCAGTGGAGATCCCAGGTTCCAAGCTAAGCACCTGGGCAGTAAACGTGGCTATTTTCTCTTAATTTTTTTTTCCTTTTTTAAATTAAGAGGGGGGATGTGGCCACCGTCGATCAAATTGGGTCCAGGACGGGATGGCGACAAATTGCCGTCATAGTAAAATAAAAGGCGGAGAGGGGAGAAAGCTATGGGGCAACTTACATGAAGTCAAAGCTCACACAGCATTCAGGGAACTTGAACCTAGTAAGAGTACAAGGTACAAGGTACAGAAGAATGAAGAACTTGGAAGTAGTAAAAAGTTCAAGAGAGGGGAAGTACAAGGGAGGGGGAAGTAACGTGATATTTATCCTCCCTTTTACCCCCTACTATAAGGAGTACATAAGGAGTATATGCAAGTAAAAATAAACAGTCCCATTTTTAGCCTGGAATTATTTTTTTTATTATAAATAACAGAGTACATACATATGTATTATTCTATATTTTGACTATATATGGATTTTCTACTAAATCATGCACATCCAGTCACTCTAGCACGTTCACCGTAAGTGTAACCTGTAATTCGGAAATAATCTCCCAAGTTGACTTCTATCAGAGCTAAGCTGATAAGTGGCATAAATGGCTCTAGGGCTACTTATAGGGTACATATTAGAGCCAAGACTCGAGACCTGAGACCTATCAACTCACACCTTCAAGACCTAAGACATACAGTAAGACCAAATTCCAAGGTCCATCGGGATGCTATGCCGGTGCCAGGGTCCTGTCAATGATATCTACAGAGTAAAGGGGGGGCTCTGAAAATATTAAATAAAAATAATACGGAGTAAATCAACCTTGGGAAATTTATAAAATAAAATAAAATAATTATAAAATTATAACCAAAAAATCAAGGAAAAGGGGTGGGATCCATAAAGGGGGAGAAGGCAGAACACTCTCCCGTCAACCTTGGAAGAGTCCATCGGATTGTGGATATGGATCAAAAGAACCCCTCCAGAATTCGACGTTCCAGAAAAGAACTTGAACTTCAGCATCCAGACTCTCCCCCTTTTTCGCTCTGGTGCAGTTCCACCCGACTTGTCCCTCCAGTCGGGTGTGCTATATCCACTTGCCCCACTAGGTGTCGTCGCTGGGAATCTGAGAAGGTCCGGATGTGGTGTTCAGTGTATTACTTGTTCTAGAACAGTTGACCTGTCACAGACTTGAATACGAAGCACATTGTGAAGGGAGGCGTCGGAGGATTCAATACATTCTCCCTCGTGTCTAAGATATCCCTTGAATGTATACTGCCAATGACCTTGCCATGCAGATCTAATTATATCTACGGAATGCGGAGCGGATCACCATTCCACGTCCAGTCCCGAGAGAGATCATGGTACACAACGTTGAACATTGGAACTGATTCAGATGTCAAATTTGAATTGAGAACCACTGGCAGCTCTGAGCTCCAGACACTGGCAGATACTCGCCTGGTACCACGATTCAGACTTGAACAACAAGCTGTTGAAACAATCGCAATACTCTTCTAACACGAGGTACACCTTGACCCCTTGGAGTCCATACTAATGTACGGAGTAGCTTCATATATCTCAAGTGGATTCTGACTCTGTTCGGAGTACAGTACACCTGAAACCAGATCCACGATGAAAGCCACCAGAGTCAACCCATCCCAATTCGGCTAGGAGTGGATACTGAGACCCAAACTATCATTCACGATCTTTTATTAAACCCGCCGAACCAACAAGAATCAGAATGCCCTACGTAATATAAGTCTATCGCCAAGACTTGAGCTTCAAGTTGTGGAAGATTAGCTCTATGTAGTAGGGCTCTGTCGGACTCCTTACTAGAATGACAATAATGACCTGAAGTCACGGTGGTATTAAGTACTCCATACTCCTTATGATAAGGAGAAATCTATAGCTCTCAGTCCTGTATCTGTATGTATGCATGTCCAATCGCTTGTTCTACCAGTAACAGCTTCCTTGTCACTGAGACACTTGGCACCAGTCGTTATAGCTCATGAGATGACCCTTAACCTTATTCTACTCCGAGTCTGGGAAGAGCCGCTCGATCTTCAAGGTTCTATGTAGACTAAGTTTCATTTATAATTGCTGATAGCCAGAAGCAAAAGACGAGCCCTGGAGATAATTCAAGTTGTGTATAAATCAGCCAAAATTTGGTATATAAGTGCAATGCATTCTCGAGGTCGTCAACTGGTGTGAGCGCATTGGACAACGCAGATCAGCACTGATCATCATGATTCCACCAATATTTGAACATTGGAGACATGGATGAGGTGGAGGAATCTCAGGCTGCTGCGCACGGACTCAAATGGTCAATCCTGACATGAATGTACATGATAAGATGTCCACGAATGTATCTCCCAGTGCCGCGGGGACAAGATACTAGTAGAGGATTCATGAGGAGCACATACTGTCGATGCAGTTCAACCTCACATGCAGCTACATAGTACTGTAGATTACATCTCCAGATATCTCAAATAAATCGGTACTTCAATGCTCAGTTGGGCATCCCTATAGAACCCGACAAGCGCCACAGAACGGAACACAGGCGGAGTACACAGACCCGAACTTGAAATGCAGATCATCGTTTCAACGGGGCTGTGCAGCAACAAGGTTTCGATATGAGATCTACACGACCTAATTGAAATCTTGGAATCTTGCACGTTGGTTAAATTGGCCGTTTTATCGGATGTTAATTTCAAGTTGGACTATCGCTCAGTACTGTGTAGTCCCAACGGACCTCGGGAGTACTGACTACTAGGTAGTTACTACTCCGCCCGGGCGTACATACTTTAAACTGCCTTACGATAAATAGTCGGAGACCTCCAGATGTCTATTGTGGAACTTCAAGACCAAACTAGCAGATATGTCTAAACAGCATCAGTTGAAGCAGATTGACATTTAGCATTCAGATGGATAATTCGCAAACCTCAAGCTGAAGTTCTCCCTTGAAGCCACCAACTATCTTGTACCTCCAGTCCATAGTCCATGTGCGGGCACTTCAAATTACATCTATAGTTGCTAGGTGACTGCCAATTAAATGACCATACTCAATTGCTAGATCTAGAACAGGCTAAACAGCTTCATTGCATGAATCACGCTCAATTCCAAGATTGGACAGAACAGATCATTAGATAGGAAGACAAACAAAAAAAAAGATGAGAGCCTCACAACAAAACAGAAGAAAAAATAAAGGATATCACAGAACAACAGCAGCAACAGGTCATTGAAGTTTTTAGGTTTTTTTTTCCTTCTCATGTACTAGACTTACTACCAGTTTCATACCCAAGTAGAGTCACAAAAAAAAGTTGAAATAGTCAGAGATAAAAAGAAATATCTTTCAAGGAGAGACAAAATTTTCACTCATTCACAGATGTATAGCAGTTAGCTTATACCCCACTGACATTTCGCTTGCCAAGGAAGCTACGGCGAGGTTTGCGAGAGTCAGGGCTATCAGGGCTCTCGTCACCGTTACCACCAGCAGTAGAGTGCGAGGTAGTAGGACGCAGACCAGCGTCTGAGGCAGCGAAGCTAGATCGAATAGTCACACTTCCAGAACCAACGGTGATACTCTTGTCCTGACCAGCACTGGAGCCTTGGTCCTCAACGAAGAAAAGTGTCTCACCCAGAGTCTCATCAGAGCCAAAGGTGGAGTGGTTGACGACACGGACTTGGTACTGCACGTCGGCGGTGGTATTGGGCACCTTGAAAGTATCGTTGAACTCAACCTCGCCGCCCTTGTGGGACTTGGTCTTGTGGATATCCTTGGGGGGACTTGCCCTGTTGCACGCGGAGAATCACAACACGCAGGTTCGCAGTAGGAGGGAAGTTCGATGCAGAGACGACAGTGATGTGCGCAGTTCCCGCATCGCCACGACCACCACCGCCAAAGACACTGAGGCGGTCGCCGTATTGAGATGCTGTGCTTCGGGAGCGACTGTGCTCCTTAGTAGGAGTGGTAGCTCCAGAAGGAGCATCTCCCAAAGCGACCGCTGGGCTCAAGCCACCACCGGTGATCCGGGGAGGAGAAGAGGGGGCTTCCTCGACAGCTCCGTCTGGAACCTCCGCCAAGGAGGCAGCATCGGAATCGCTGTGTTTGTTCTTGTGGATGCGGGACATAACACCGTGCTTCAGGAAGGAAGCACCGCGAACGACATTGCCACCAACGAATCCGACACCCTTGACGGGGGCACCGACAATCTTGCCGGGCACAGCGAAGGTGCCGGCAAAAGTGGCGGAACCCTGTCGAGCCCGGACCACGTAGGTAGGCTTGAAGAGAAGCTTCAATCGGATAGCACCAGACTTTCCATTCAGAGGCAGAGTCACCTCTTGAGCCTGGAAGGGTTCTATGGACTCAAGCTCAATTGGGGCAGCACCCAGCCAATCAGCCGAGTCACCAAAGTCCCAGTCGTATACATCGACATGGAAATTGGCCCCAATACGGGATTTGATGGGGATCTCGAAGAATTCATTCCACGCGGGGTGGAGAGTCTTCTTCTGTACCTTGGTCTTGAAAACATCCTTGTGGTCCTCGCCAATGCGGAACTTACAGTAAGGATCACTGAATCCGTTGCGGTCAGCGGAGGGCAGGTCAGCAGCGTCCAGAACATCGACACGGAGAGTTCCCATGTTGTTGATGCTCTCCTTGGGGTCGAGCTTCATCTGTACAGGAATGTAGCGAGCGCTGACAGTGACCTTGCTGACCTCACCAGAGTTGGAACGGAGAACAAGCTCGGTGGGAGTGTACTAAGAACAGATTAGTCTCAAGGCTTGTAAAGGTTTTTGCCATGCCGGAACCTACCAGGATGCGTTGCAGGGTGGGTAGAGTATCACCAGTGAGCTTGCCAACAGTGTGCTCCTCGCTGGAGTCCTTGGGATCATCCTTGTTGACCAAGCGCAGGGTGAGCTTGGAGAATTCGAGCTCACGAACGAAAGCCTCGCCAACTATCCAGAGGTTAGTAGAGATCCCAGATTCAAATTCATTGAAAATTTCAACTTACTATCAGAAGTCTTCACTGTTTGACTGTGGATCTTGGGCGAGGTGTAGGCAGGGAACATGTAGTCATCAATCAGAACCTCCAACTGCACATCTTTATGCGCCAATTGACCTTCGTGGAACTTGAATACAATGAAACCCGACTCTGTAAAAATGTTAGTCGCCGCTTTTTCTTGTTTTGCTCGGCACCACTGAGCTTACCGTATTTGCTGAGATCATCAACACCAACGTAGGTCTTGGGGACCTCCTTGAATGACCGAACAGAGGCAGTCTCGGAATCGCGAGCTGTGGCAGCACGAGATACAGTAGTGTCAAGACTGGCCCGACCGTTGGCGGTTGGCTCTCCATTCGTGACGCCGTTAGTAGCAGTTCCGTTAGACAGAGGCTTGGAGACCTTGGAAGCCTTGGAGTCCACGCTGGCAGTCTTCGAGTGGTTGCTCTTGAGAGGAGTGAGAGGGGGCTCGGAAGGAGTGCCGTCACCCTTCTGCTCTTCCTCTTCCTCCTCAACCTCATCTTCGGGGTTCACCACAGGAATAGTGGGGAAGAAGGAAACAGTGTAGTTGATATGACCCTTAGGGTTTCCAGTGCCGATACGAAGAGAGCTGGTAATCAGCTGCTTCTCATCGTCGATTTCGTACTCGCCAGTCTCAGTCTCGCGAACAAAGTCGGATGCCTTGAGTTCAGTCCAGCCAAGAGTACGGTCCTTGTTGATAGTCTCCTCATCCATGACTTCCACGCTCAGCTTCTCGCGAGCGCTGCGAATAGGAACATACACAATCTCGTCCCAGTCGGGGTTGAGGTTGTTGCGGAAGGTAACAGTACGGCCCTTGGTTAGGCCAGACAAGAGAATACGAGCGTAAGGGTCAGACTTGCCCATGGCTTCGAGGTTGCGCAGATCAGTGGCACTCTTGAAGTGGAAACGCATAACACCGATTGGATCAATGTAGCCAGCACCGCCGGCAACACTGCCCAAAGCAACAGGCTTCCATTGCAGCATCAGTTTAGCACGTCCAGCATTAGCTCCATGAAGGTGGAACCATTGCTTGCCTTGCTCTTGCATCTTGATCATATCGTTCATCTTAATCTGGTAGCGGCCAATGATGGGGTCGGCCATCAGGTCACGGTCATCCTTGATAATCAGTCCCAGCTTCGCGTTCTTGCGATCGGTAACTAAGAATTCCTTGGCAGCATCCTGGAAGATAGGGTTGTTGGTACGCTTCAACTTCTTGGTAATGTGGATTTCCTTTCCGTTCAGAAGCAGAACACCGTAGGGGTTCAGCTTGCCAACCAAACTCTTGGATCCATCCAAGTCCTTGGCCTGCTCAACAGTGAACTGAGCGATACCGGTGTTCAGCTCTGGTGGGGGCTCAGTCTCGCCGCTGTCCAGCTTTCTGCCTTCAATCACAGGGAAGAAGCGGATATCAGCCTGAATAGCACCACGGTGACGGCCACTGGACAAGACTTCCAACATGACACCTTCGTGAGTAGGCTCGGCTTCCAGTTTATCCAATCCAAAGGAAGAAGTTCCAAGTTCCTTATCCTTACGGAATTCATTCCAATCAAAGGTCTTGATTGTCAATGCGTCAGTGTAGGAGGTGATGATAACATAGATGGTTTCGTTCCAACGAGGACTGTCGGTATCCCGCTCAACCTTCGTACGGCCCAATTCTACTCTGCCATTCAGAGACACAACCGCGTAAGGATCGGGAGTACCAGCGAATTTATCGGGGTTCTTCAATTGATTGGCTCCGTGCAGAGTGACGGCAACCACGCCAATGGCTTGATCAACAGGGTTTCCAGCCAGCATCTTGGCAATTTCAATAGGGAAGACGTTCGGGTCGTACATCATGGGCTGCAAGTTGGCATGAATCTGCTCCTTGATAAAGTTCTCGAGACCGGGGATAAAGTTGATATCGAAACCGAGTAGATCACCTCCCAAGGGCTTACAGGCGTAATCGAGATCTGGCTTGTCCAAGAAACAGACATCCACACGTTCAATGTGAGGGAAAGGAATCTGCAGCTTAACCTTGACACGCATCAAACCTGAGCAAGCCATATCCTCCACAATTACATCCAGACCCTTGCTGAGAAGACCTTTACCCACACGAACCTCCAGAACGACCTTAGGATTGATCTTGTTCTTCAATTGACGAGCGGTCAAATCCATAGTGTCATTCGGGGTGAAGCTGAACTTCCAGTCCATGATAACGGTATCGGGTTCGGTCTTGGGGTAGGTCTTGACATGCTCGAGACGCGGGGGCTTGGTACCCAGGACGAAGGTCTTCAGGCGCAAACTATCGAGGAAAGCGGGGGTGGAGGTACTCAGGACCTGATCGACGGAGCTGATGATAGTATCGCAAAGAACGGGGGCATAGATAGGCCAGAACTTAACAAGGAAGCTGTTAATCCACTCGAGACTCTCGGTATCGGTCTCCAGGCGCTGCTTGGACATTTCACGGTTAACATCGTCACGGTAATTGCGGCGCACCCGACGCAACGATGTGCGGTAGTAGGTACTGCATGCCGCCATCACCATGAGGACCCAACCAATACCACCACCCAGATTGGCGATGATCCATGAGGCCAGACACGCGAAAACGATCACTCCTGCATTGTGGTACCAATCGCCGAAAAACTTATCCGACAGACGGCCCTCCAAGAAGGTTTGGTGATCGATCAAGGTCCCCTCAGCCTGTTCCTCCTCAGTGAGATCCTGGTGGAATTTTGGCGCCCACCCAGTACGATCCCGCGCCCATCTCATGTCCTCATCCTGATCGATTTTCTCGCCCTCCGCTGCATTCGCATCCTCGGCAATTAGGGTCGTTGCTGATCGGGGTGGGGGAAGGTCGTAATCTGCCTTTCCGTCATCCTTGACTGGGGGTTAGCATTCCTCGATCGCTCTCGATCGCTCTGGATCAGCTCGCGTGGGCGCGTACCTTATCTGTAATCACTGCAATTCCCTTTGGTTTCTTGTCATGGTGAAAACCCGGCGGCAAACGCTATAGATTGGGACAGTTAGTGACAATTCCCCCCTGTATTTATCTATTCTTGCGTGTTTCTCTTCATTCTTGTTTATTTCTTTTCTTATGACCAAATACGTACCGCCTGGGCTGCTGCCGCCTTATCTTCGGGCGAGCTATTAGGATCGAATTGGTATGCAGGGATACCAGCTTCTTTTGTTTCCTTAACAAGAGTCTCTTCAACAGTGTCCGGGTTCACCTTGGATTGAGGATCCTGGGTTAACTCTGTAGCCGCTTGAATGATCCCCTCCTCCTTCAACTCAGTTCTCTCCGCCTCGACAGACGCCATGGCGGCGGTTGGCACTTAATATATGATGTCGGTGGAAGCTGCGGGAAAGCTAGGGAACACTCGATTATAAGAAAAAGACCCCGAAAAGACCGGAATTGATGACTGGGGACAGTTAGTGGAAATTGGAGATCCATGGATGGTTCGATGCGGGACCAGATTGGGTGATCCGGGGGAGAGGGAGGTATGCTCACTATGTAACAGGGGATGGGATTGAGGGTGTAAGTCAACCACCAGAAGGTGTAAAGAGGAATGAAAGTGCGAAGAAGGATTTGAGGGAGAAATGGGGCCCAGGCCAAAGTGGAGAGAGGAGAAAAAAGGTAAAATGGGTGATGAGGAGAGCTCTCGGGGATAGGCGCCGCTTGCGTCAAGAAGGTCGGGTCAATTAAGGGTATCTCCGCCAGTTGAAATGTTAATTATGTTAAGTACTTTAAAAGTGATATAGTATAATGAATTTAATTTAATTTAATTAGCTTCCTAGATCCTTGAAGTGAGAAAATAGGAATAAAAAAAAGAGGCAAAAAAAGGAAAAGGGAGGATCGGCCAGGATCGAAGATCAGTGACGTAGGAAAAGGTGATACTATGATACTATACTTGGAATATGACTAGGTACAAGTATAGTATAGTACGCTTTTACGAGGACTATATAACTTAGGATTCGCTTTAGAGAAGTTAAAGATGAACTAATATCATGATTCAAAGATAGGAGTCAATAGTGAAATTATCGGAGATGAGTTTAACGACCCATAAGATAAAGTAGAATGTGAACTGGTCTCGCTAATGTCCATCCCCTCCCCCCTGTGGAACTATGGGGACTATTGATTTATTTGCACCGCCACATTCCAAGGTTCTCAACTGTGGCTCATTTCGGTGAACGAAGTACGGAGTACAGTATAGGCAACTAAATTTATTTGGATTTATGCCCGGCGGTTGTTAATTTAGTAATATTTTGCATGAATATTCTTCTATTAATACCTAGATATAATGTAGTACACGTGGCACAACAAATATGTCCGAGTGCATTCATCTCATGTACCTAACAATGAAGCAATTCCAAAAATCAATAGTTCTAGTAAATTCGGAGCTCATATCATTCAAAGTAGTACTCCACTTATGGAATCAGTTAGGTTTTCGCTAGTTCCAGGGCTGATCCAAGATCCGAGAAAAAATAAAAAGACTAACTATACCGAGGTTAATTATGATTCGTTGTTTATCTATTCCAGCCACGCCATTTTTTGGACCTATCATTTTCTACTTGGGGATTGCGTATGAGCCCTCTAGGGCTGGAGAAGAACTCCTGCTTATAAGAGATTTTTAGCCGAGAACAATCCTAGCTACTCAAACAGTATATCTAAAGAATGAACATTCAAAGAGATTGATCCCATTGTCTCAATTTATATGTACTCCAATAGAGCCCTGGAGGCATCTGGATCAGGTCTACTCCGTACTATGTAGTACTTATCAGAGTTTGCTTAGAGTCAGCACTTGAATGCAGTGGAACTCACACATGGATCTGTGTGCTAGACCCTCCAGGGCTCGGCCGAGTCTCCACATTGGTTCATTGCCGCCGATCGGCAAGTGCGGTGGACGAGAGAGATGCGATCTTCATTGACACGTTGACCTGCATAGACCACAAAGATGAAAAAAGCAAAGAAAAAGAAACTTGAACTACCCCTCTTTGCCGGGTTAGACCTTGGAATTGACCAATGAATGCAAGGTTGAATGACATCAAAGCACTGGAGGTCTGATCTCACGAGGTACCCGGGACTTGATACTACAGTACATACAACGGCTTAAATCTACACGAATTATCAACACATCCATGGATGGATTGAACACTGACACTGTATAGTAGTCTTTAGAAAGTATATTCCATGCTAAGCAACTCATGAGAAAGAAAAATGATTTTAGAACAGAAGAAAGTGATATCTGCAAGCTCGTCACATCTTGACTTCGTCGCAATACGTTCCATTTCCACTCCAGAGCAAATGGTCAACAGATTTACCGGCCCATACGGATCACACCAGCAGCCATCAGCTTCTGGATCTTGATGCGCACTTGGTCGTTCTTCATGTGCTCTTGCAAAGCGGCAGGGTCGCTCTTAGCTTGGTTCAGAATGCTCTGCATGACAGGGTCCTGGAGGATAGACATGATCTAAGATGGGGTCAGTAAATATTCAAGAAAATGTATGTTGATATCAAGAGATCAACTCGTATCAATGGATATGCATACCTCGGGATCATTCTGGATACGCTCCATGGTCTGTTGCTCAGTCTCACCAGCACGAGCACTGAACTGCGCCTCAAGACACTTCTGCTGTTGCTGCTCAATCTCACGAGCGTGGGTACCGTCATCGTGGGTACCGGCCTCGGTAAAAGTATCCAGAGCGCGGTTGTACTCCTTCATAGCAACGAGGGCCTGACCCTTACGCATGTACGCGCGAATGAACTTGGGGTCACGGCTGGTGGCCTCGTCGCAGTCAGTCACAGCCTGGGGGAAAGCCATCAGCTTGATCAAAGCGGCGGCACGGTTGGAGAAACCACGGGGATCAGTGGGAGCACGCTTGGTCATCTCGGTGAAAGCATCAACGGCAGCGGGCCAGTTGCCCTCCTGGAACTTCTGCTGGCCAAGCTCGCGGGCCTTCTCAGCCTCAGCCTCGTCGATGTAGGCATCCTTCTCGGTGGTGGCCTTGGTCTTCTCGGCGTTACGCAGCTTGGTCAGGGCTTCGGGGGTGCGGTGCTCGGTGAGGGACTTGTGGTAGAACTCGATGGCCTGGGTGAGATCACCCAGCTTCTCGTAGGCACTACCGATACGAGTGAAAGCCCTATATCATATATCACATTAGCACCATGACTTATGTTTCACCTGCTCGGGCTGGAATCATACTTTGCAATGGTCTTGAAGTCGGCACGCAGGTCACGGCCCTCCTGCACAGCCTTCTGGCAGGTCTCAACGGTACCCTGGTAGTCGCCCTTCTCGAACTTGGCAGCACCAATGTTGTTCAAGTAGGTCACGTCCTGGTGCAGCTCCCAAGCCTTCTCGTAGTGCTCAATGGCCTGGTCGAACTCCTTCTTCTTGTAGAACTCATTACCGATCTTCTTCTCCGCATCACCAGCCTCCTGGGCCTTCTTCTTAGCAATGGCCTCCTCATCCACAGGCTCAGGCTCTGGGGTAGGCTCCTTCTTGGGCTGTTGACGAGGAGCAGGCTTGGCATCAGTCATGGGGGTGTCCTGGGGCTGATCCGAAGGACCACCCTCACCGCCAAAGTTCATATCAATGCCCAGCAGCACACTCATCACCTGCAAGAAACGAGGATCCCGGATCTCCTCACCAACACTGTTGGGGTTCTGCTGGATCTTCTTGAGCTTGGCCATGAACTCGGCATCGGCCAGGAGGGGTGCGGTCTTAGGGTTGTTGGCCAGCTTCTGGAACAGGGCTGGGTCGTTGAACATGCCACCCAGACCGGCAGATGGGTCACCAGCGATTCCGTCAGCGTTAGCCTCCTCATTGATGGCGCGCTGGACGGCGCTCATTCCAGACTTTGCTTGCGCGTTCTCGGGTTCGATCTTCAATGCCTCCTCGTAAGCATCGTGGGCGGCCACTATTACAAAGGAAATTCGTCAGTCATTCGTTCCCGGCCGCAAAAAAATGTATCCCAATTCATGTTGTTTCCTTACAGAGATCTCCCAGTCCCTTATAAGCAGCTCCCTTGCGGGCGTGGCCCTTGGACCAGTCGGGCTTGATAGTAATAGCCTTCTCGGCATCATCCAGAGCTTTTTGGTATTCGGCCTGGGCAGAGTATACGGCGGAACGGTTGGAGAAGAGGATGTGATTCTCGGGTTCGATCTCGATAGCCTGAGTGAACTTCTCACTGTTATATCTCACATTAGTGACTGGGCTTCATATGGAGTCAAGACAACAAAGGCGGGGTAGGATCATACATGGCAGTGGGATAGTCCTTGGCCGAGAAGGCCTTGTTGCCTTCAGCCTTCAAAGCGTCAGCCATTATGAGAGAAATAGTGTTTCAAAAATGAAGAAAAGCAAGAAAAAAGGGTATAAAGTTGGAGGTTCACAAAGAAACTGGATTATGAGGTTCAAAGAGCTTCTCGAAATTTCCGTCTATCAAATTGGTGCCTGAGGCGTCCAAGTATAAAGCTCCGGATACGCTAGTCCCAAATAGGCAGCCCGACATCCCCGCTGAAAAAAGTCGCCAAAAAACACAAAGACTCCCATTTTAACCTGACTCATTGACTAAAGAGAAGTCACCATGCTTCTTTAAATTATCTTCTGCTCTTGCAAGAGGCTTGAGTCGAATCATGCCATCTCCCACCATCAAATGATCCCCTGATTGCCCCTCTTCTTACCCCTCGCCATTCAACTACCGCCCGTTGTCTTACTATTCCTTTTCTCCAACTTCCGATCATGGCCGCAGCGGGGTCTCGTGTCAACGAGCTCGCCTCGCAGCTCTACGATGCTTGCGCCGACCAGTTCGATGCCGACCATTCATTTTACCAGCAAGACCTACTCAGTCTGGGCATCATTCCTGGTGATGACCTTGCGCTCTTACTGCAATGCACCCAATCGCTGGTCAATCAAAAATTGTTCCGACTTCTCGAAACCCAGAACAAGCGCCTCGTCTGGCGCCTCGTCGCTCGTGAAGATGCTGAAAAGTATGCCAATTGCCACAATATTTCCTAGCAAGGGTTTTATTTTCTAGATCTATGAGTCAAAGGGGCAATTTTTGACTAACGTTCTTCCCCGCACAGACTCCAAACCCTGAAAGGCGACGAGAGCCTGGTCTTCGGCGTCATCCACTCCAGTGGTCGCTCGGGTGTCTGGATTCGCAACATCCAATCCCGAACCAATCTCCACAAATCCATCTTGGACCGCTGCTTGAAAACGCTTGAGGGCAAGAATTACATCAAAACCGTCCACAATGTCAAACACCCGACAAAGAAGATGTACATGCTGGCGGGCCTGGCACCTAGCGAGGACGTCACAGGAGGAGCCTGGTTCACTGATGGTGTGCTAGATGCAAACTTCATTAACAGTGTCGCCGGTTACATCGAGTACACTGTGAGCCGTAAGAGTTGGTACGAAGTCCCCGCCGACCGTGGCCGTGGGGCGAAGCGAATCAAGACAGAGACCGGCAAGACGGAGATCATGACTGAGCCAGCTGAAAAATCATTCCTCCCGTACCCTGCAAGTTACGCCGGATACCCGACTGTCGAGGCAATCACTCGTGCAGTCAACGAGAGTGGAATCACACCCGTGCAGCTTGGTTCAGAGAGTGTCGTCCAACTGTTGCAGATGCTTTGCTTTGACCGAAAACTGGTTTCGCTGAATAACGGAAGCCAGTACAAGTCCCTCAAAAACCCCGAGATCGTCAAGGGTAACCAGACTCGAAAGCCCGTAATTGAGGGTGAAGAGCCTCAGTCTAGTGTTAACCTTGGCAAGAACGGCATGACTGAATCGCCCTGTGGTCCGTGCCCAAGCTTCCGGCTTTGCACTCCTGGTGGAGCTATCAGTCCCGAGACCTGTGAATACTTCGACCCTTGGTTCGAGAAGGTGCTTGGGTTCTAAGGAAACTAGTCTCGAGAGAAGCCGATTCTTTTCTTCTTCATCACCAATCTCACTCTATCACAATCCTCAAACCAGGAATCTGGCTTGGATTAATCTCAGTCACCTAGAGCAAGAGCATCACCTACCAGCTCTGCGTCTCTCTCATCCTCTCTCTCTGTGTACCTGATCTACTGACACGGTGGCTTTGCTCAACTATGTCTGCACATTTTCAATGGAACATGGAAGGAAAACAAAAAAGGATTTTATTGCATAGCGTCGGCGTTGATTGATATGGGTGCTTTTATCTACCCATGGCATCCACCACTGTGGAAGGCGATTATGGCTGTGTCTTTATGCCCTCTGTGGACGAGCATATGCTGAAGCTTCTAGAAAAAAATATTATTCTAGATGAATATCACTATGGTTTTCTTAGATTGAGAGCCTTGCTATTGTCAGGGAAGTAAAATCTCCCATCAGAGCCTGGGGTATGGAGTATGTAAACTTCCAAGTTGAAGTTACCACTGGCAGTACACCATGGAAACCTTGGAACGAATTCAAATACTATATATGTTCAACGACACCTTTTCAAGGACTCAAATGTGCAAATGGATTTCAGCTTTCTACTCGTAGCATTCCAAGAGTCATAATGTGATGCGTAACTCAATTGTAAGTATTTTGTTTAAAAAGAATTCCTGCATACCTGCCCAACGCCGGGGGGTATATCAAAACTATGAACCGAAAACAAGAAAAAGACGAAACAAAATTAGAGAAAGAATATTACTTCCCAAGGGTCTTCCTGCATTCATCACAATACCACGTCCCAACCGGCTCCCTGGTCAAACCAACACACTTCCAATGAAACCACTCATAAGGACAATTATCATTGTCGCACGCCACCATATCTCCATGGCTAACAGTGCGACAAGTACAATAAACCTTAGTATCCTCATTGCCCTCATCCTCCTCATCATCATCCATATCATCCTCGCCACCGCCTGTATCACTCTTATCCGAGTCTGACATATCGGCACTGCTAAGCATGGAATCGTCATCTTCATCGCCTTCCCCAGCCGGCGACTTCTTCGATAATTTCACCCGCCCACTCGTACTAGAAGACCGTTTACTCGGTTTTCCGTGTGAAGAACTCTTAAGTTTCTTAACCTGGTGGTGTGGCGCCACTTTCTTCGTTAATGCCTTCTTAATTGCTCCACTGGCTCGTGGCCCAGCACTTCCAGCCCGACTGGAGGCCGGTGTGCCTGGCTTTGGAGTCCCAGGCCCCATAGATGATTGCCGGAGATTAGATGAGGCGGCTGGAAGCGTTCCCAGCGAGGGATGATTAAGGCGACGGCGTTTACTGTCAACAGCACCGGCGGAGGACTCGCGCTGGCGCTGTTGGAGGTGAACGCCCGTTGAGCCGACGGGAGTAGCGGGGGCGGAGCTTCGAGCGGTGGCTTGTGCGACGAGAGAAGCGGAGCCAACAGCGCGAGGGATAGGGTTTGGAGTAGATGTAGATTGGTTCAGGCGCTGAGCAGCTGCTAGGATGGGGTTTGCGTTTCCAGAGGTCGGGTTGAGGGGTGTTGAGTAGGAGGGTGAGTCTGAGGTAGTGGAAGCGTCTGGAAAGAAGATTCTCGGGGGGTCACGGTAGTTGTTTTTGTTATCGAATAGAGAAGGGAGAGGAGGGTCGTTTGTGAGGAGACCTTCATTGACGAGCTCTCGGATGCGAACGTCTAGTCGCTTGATTTGCCGATCGAGCAGAACGCAGGCTTTTTCGCTCAAATGGATTTTCTCTTCTTGAAGTTGCTGGCTGCGGTCGAGATTCTGAAGCACGGATTTGCTATATTGGTCCTCTTTTGGATTCGGTGCCAGGCTGCCGTTCATTTTGATGAACTTTTGGATGCTGCCGTCGCGCGTGTTGATAGTCGCCCGGCATTCCTGCATAATCTTGTCTTTCGCTTGGATTTCTTCCATCAGATGGTTGATCTCTGCGGGCAAGTTCGCGGCGTCGTGGACGAACTGCTCCAGGACGGTCGCGCAGTCCTCCGCGCCGTGCGCCATGATGGGTGATTTGAAGGGGTGAACGGATGATCTGCTGGTCGGATGTGGCAAATAAAAAGAGTAATCTCTGAGGTCAAATCACTCGGTTGATCTGACGGGCGCTTTTAATGATTTGAAGCCGAGAGCGATGAGAGTTAGACGTCGCAGATTGAATCGTGGGAGAGATCAAATCCGGAGTTGAAGGTGATCCGCTTACTCATCGTTGATTTTGAGGCCCGCATTACGGTAGAACTATAACATCAACTTCACTTGGATAACATGAGACTCGTTTACACACACAACTCTGACCATTTATTTCTAAACTAATACTCAAGGCTGCTGTCGCAGTTTATGTGAGATGGATCCCTCAGCGACCCTTCTGAACGATCCATGATTCGGATTTCAAAGAGTCATTCCAGTGCCGAAACACCTCCAGGGTGGATGAAACCCACCTGGGCAAATCTCAATTAAAGACTAATTTAGTCACATGGATGATGATCTTGGATCAGCCTGAAACTCGCATGCGATCTTCATTGAAGATAAACATATTGAACAATGATTGGCGGCTCCATTTATACTAAACCTCCTTTGGCACACCGCGATAAGCAGCAGGAAGGACCCCCTCGAGTGCAGCCTTGATTTGCAAAGCAAGATGCCATGAATAGTATCGATGATGATTCGTGCCGCCACCAGTAACCCAAAAGTTATTCACTCGTAGATGACGTTTCCACATACCACGGAGTTCTCCCTCAATATCAAGTCCCCAGAGTTCATCGCGCAGCAAAGCTATCTCCCCGGGTCCTAACATTGTCTCATCTCGGTCCTGACTCTGAGGGAATGGATTTCTACCGAGGGTATTAATGGTAATCTCACGATCATTATCCTCAAATCCTGTGCACCAGATGATTGCATCGGCATCCAGTGTCGACCCGTCGCTGAATCTCAATCCAGTCGAAGTGAACTCGGCAGGCTGAACGTGAGCTTTCACGGCAATGACGCCAGATATAATGAGTTGAGTCCCGTCACCAATCTCATTGTAGTGACCTCCGCCTTTTTCAAGAAGGTGATGGATGAGATCGCCACCTTGAGAGCTATCATATACTGGGAATCCTGCCTCAGCGAGTGCTTTGTACCGATTTGGTTCCTTAGCTGCCAACGAAACATATTGGTCTCGCGAGATTTGTCCTCCAATAGCAAGTGGACCGCTAACAAAGAGCTTGTCTGCAAAGTCAGGAGGAACTAAGTCATAGAAGCCCAACCCCTTTGGGTCAAAACAATAATCTCGCGGGAAGATGTATGTCGGACTACGGACATTCATAGTCGTCTTCAGTCCTGCTTTTGCACAGTCTTCTGCGATATCAAAGGCAGTGTTACCAGATCCGGCAATTATGACAGACTGAGCTCAGTTTCAGTAAAACCAACGGAAATATAAGACATGAAAGAGGTAATCTTCATACCTTGACACCAGTCTCACTTAGAACCTGAGGATTCTTGTACTTTGTTGAATGAATGCTTATACCGTTATACTGCCCTGGTATTTTAGGAAGAAACAAATTGCCCGCTACCAATCCAGTTGCCTGGATCAAATGCCTGGAGACCACAGTCTTTGGTCCCCAGGGCGTTCGAATTTTAAAGTGCCAGGTCCCCTTTGACTCGTTGAAAGAACTGCCTTCCACCGTCGAGGAATTCAATAGATTTAGATTAAAAGTCTCCGCATAGCGCTTCATGTGCTCGACTAGCATAGATTTTTCCAGAATTGCTGGGTATTCATCGGGATATGCTGAGGAGAGACTGAGCCAGAGAAGATGTCAATTTGATTAAATCGATACTCACGTAGGTAAGGTGTCTGGCAACACGACTTTTGGATATGGAATTTCAAACAATCATATCTTTCAGCCCAATTACCCCCTGCTTGTTCGGTCTTATCCATGATCACACAATCAACACCTAGAGTTTCAGACGTGCTGCTTGAATCAGACCTCTGTTTGAGAAGAATAAGTCAGTGATCACGAGGCTCAAGTGAAGTCATTGAAAGGGTCACTGACGCGTTTCCACCACCAATGATGAATACATCCGTATCAATTTCTTCAACATCCACCAAATTTCGTCCAGGATTCCTCAGAACAGCTTCATTCTGAGGGTATAACTCAAAGTCATCAATCCAAGTTGCCATGCTCCAGATCTTCCACACAAAGCCATTATCTTCCTCTTCAGGTAAAATAATGACAGTTCCCCCACATTGTGCTGCTGGCTCTTGTGTTTTAAACGAGAACATCCCCTGAATCCACTCTAGAGTGGCAGTAGCACTGAATTTGACCACACTATCTGGCATCAGCTGGAAACCCTCAACCAGTTTACGTTTTTTACTAAGCTCTAGCATCGCCGGTGCTATGATTCCGCCGCCACTGATTGTTCGCAGGTGGTATGTGAAAGCCAGTACATCTCGCCAGTACGCCTGACTCGCGAAAAAGCATGACTTCACGCTGAGCACATCCCCGCTCTCGAGTGCCTGGCTGAGGGATTGGAGAGCGGTGGAAACCAACTCTCGGTATTCTGACTCGGATAGTTCTGGGAGGCCGCTTGGAAAACTGGGAAGTGGTCGATATATGTCCTTCTGGAGGCTAGCAAGAGGAGGGTATCTTTCGAAAGATGGAGTGACTTCATACGATAGGTTAGCAATCCCAGATGCCACCAGGCTTCTCATCGACAGTGAGGCTTTGAACTCATACCAGAACCCATGACGTATTCCAACCTGAACGTTTAGATTCTTCTAAATTCACGGTGACTTCAATTAGTACTAGTATTTGTAGTGTAGTGGGTTGGTTCCCAAGTCCGAATTGGAGCTTTCAAGCGTTTCTCGGGAGTCTTGGCCTGGATTGAAAGATGACCGGGTCTTACTACATTAAAATAATAAGTAGACTGAGGAAAATATGGGCAATTTAAAAGTGAGAGAGGTGTCGCAAACCAAAACTAGCCAAGATAGATTAATTGGCAGTGGTACTGACTCGGACTTACTATGACGACACATAGAATCCCTAGCTTCAAGTTACCAGATTAAGCAGGTCATGCGAGACACTTGTGGCCTGGGGAAGAGAAGACAGAAATGGAAATATGACGTTGGTGAAGCATTTCATCCTAATTGAACTGGAATGATTCAATTTTCTCAAGCTGTATAATCCTCCTATACATCGTATTCAAAACCATAAGTCGAAAAACCTGGGCTGAGCTAACAAGATCCTTGGAAACTTTCACCATCCGTATTGGGCAAAAGGTGCGAGATCTTGTGAACAATAGAAATTTATTATGATTCATACTACCATAGCTGGTGAATTTTCATGTCTCCATTGATTTTCTTAATACCTGTATATTATGAGTTCTCCTACATAGTAGATTATGATCCATTATAATACTATTTAAACGTTTGGAACATTGTGAACTGTTTAAGCAAGAGACTCCTCAAGTCCTACTATTAGTATCCTGATTATGGCCTATTGTTCGAATGTACGATCATTCAAAAAGATTCGTTGCAAATTGAAGCGTTCAAGTTGTCTTGACTCATCTATCATAAGTTGGATATCTTGAGAACTATTCTAATTTCCGCCCCCATGTGCAGGTTTCATCCAGCAAAAGATTGCAGACCTCCACGAAAATTGCTAAAAAGAAAAAAAGACATGCCTCCCCAGCGATAATCAGTATGTATCCTGAATCTGCCAGCCCTTGAACTCAGTAGCCCAGGAGAAATCCTCTAGTTTTTCTGTGTCCAGCGATTGCTCTCATCGATCTGGACACCTGACTGCTCGACATAGCCGAGCTTCTTCTTAACCTCTGCTACCTTGGCACTGTCACCGGTGTTTTTGCCCATGTTATCGCTGAGCTTCACAGCTGGTCGACCGTTCGCAGCAGAGATCTTAATAACAATGTTAAGAGGCTTCGATTTCTCGCCATTTGTCTTGTTAAGATAGTCGTCTTTTCGCATCCAAGTTAGTAAATATACACTTTGGGATTATAATCGGTCGAACTTACTTGTGAAAAAGGTGCCTACTCCAAAGGACGGGGTGAAGCCGGATTCCTCGGCAAGGGCCTTGTATCGCAGACAAGACTCAATGTCTAATGAATCGGAGAACACCACCGTCTTCTTATCGGTGATGCCTTCGCGATCATAAAACTCGCGAACAATCTTAACAAACTGTGATGGGTCACCTGAGTCTTGACGGACACCAGTGTAAGTCTGTGCGTAGGTCTTGGAAGACTGAACTTGATCTTTTTGATCAGGGGTGCTAATAGGCTTGCGGAAGGCATCCAGGAAAGCCGGTGTACCAAAGGTATCAGTAAGAGCGATGCCAAGAACCTGTAATCAGTCAGCTACCAGCCAAACAGTGTAATTGAGCTTAAAATATAGTAAGTTGAAACTCACTCCTTCTCCAAAGCATCCAAGCCAATACTGCAGTGCCAATTCATTGGCATTCTCGTAATCATCCGTGATAGCCGCAATGGTCATGTACCACTCATGTGCCACAGTACCCACTGCATTGACGTCGTACTTCATAGCAAAGTGCACATTACTTGTACCTGTCAAAGCGCCCTTCCACCCATTCTTTCGACCTTCTTCGGCCGCACGGGTCAAGCCCTTCATGACAATATCTTGGGTGTGGTAGTCTCGTCGTCGTCGAGTTCCGAATTCTGAAAAGACACATCCATTCTCCAGAAGAGTGGATCCTTTGCGGAACGCCTTCTCTTCCTGATCCTCGTAGTCCCAGTCTTTTTCACTGAACATGAAATAGGCCTGGCTAGTCAGCGCAAGCAGTGGGATCTCATAGAGAATAGTGTCAAGCCAGAGACCCTTAATGACGTAGTCAATTGTGCCCTCATCCTCATCGCTACCGGTGTCTTGTGTAGGAGTAAACTTGATCTCGACTTGCTCGTCTGGCTTGAGCTGGAAGGTTTCGAGGAAGGAAAGGTAGGCATCGTTGAGGTATGGGCATTTTCTCTTGAGAAAAGCGCGCTCTTCGGCTGTGACGCGGAGGGTTGCAAGCTCTGAATGAGGATCCAAGTTAGTACATGTGGGTTAAGCTTGAGCGTGATAAAAGCTCCATGCGAAGAATAACCCACTCTCCATCTGCTGCAAAAGCCATTTGTATGCCCCGCGCCGAAGCTTCATGTGAGGGGTGCGGTTCGTAAAGCCATAAGTTACATCTAGCGTCTGTTCAGAAGGATTGATCATAAAGTGAGACCCGGGGATAGTCTACTTACAGACATCCGGGAAGTATTTGAGGATTGCGCATTGCATCGTCAGCTTGTAAAGATCGGTATCCAGAAGAGAAGAGACGCCCTGCGGCGAAAGATTGGTTTCCTGGCCCATGATGTTGATAAGGCCGGGAGATCCGGTCAGAGTGATCGCGGGAAGCTGGTATCAGTGGAAGCAGAGGTTCTCAAGGCGAGAGAGTGTTGGTGGGTTAGTGTCCGAAAGAACGCGCAATGCGAGCGGGGAGTTGAATGGTTATATTTGGAGAACCCCCTTTCCTGTTTGGGACTAGCGTCATTTAGCTATCTGCATTATTCAGGCTTCCAGGCACCAACGCCGTTGGAGGACAAACGCCTCAACTAGAATCATCATGATTGCGTCTAGGGCTCTTTGTCTAGCTATTGTCAAGTGATAACCAACAATGAAACTGAATCTCATTTCTTTTGAGTCTGTTTTGAAAGTCCCTTTCTTTCTGATGGCCTGAAAACAGCCCCGAGGGTACTAGTACTACTAGGACCACTGGCGTCCAATAGAAAATAAAACTTCCAAGGTTGAAATACATACTAGTATTCAGTATTCGATCATATATACATTCAAAATACTTACATACAAGCTTTGAAATACCATGGTGATGTCAATTAAACGCTAATTGTATCACTGAAAGACCGTGCGCAGATAAAGAGAAAGGTGGATAAAATGTTAGCCGACCTAAAACATCTCATCGCCAGTCTGAAAGCCCAAGTCCCGATCCAAATCTCCCGTGATATCATGAGTATGACTCCTAGAGTGATAGCTTCCCGGACTTTTGTCATCCTTCAGTGCGAATGCAAAGATATCCTCCTCTTGCTCCCGGTTGATTAGATGTGGTGTATCTAAACTCTGGGATTGACGAGGTCGTCCAAGAGTCAGGGACCCTAGCCCGGAGACCGATTTAGCCAGGGAAGGTAATGGCGTTTCTTGGAATAGAGCTTTTGTCCAGTCCATGTCATCGAAATCCTCAGTGGGAAGCACATCGATGGTTTCATTGGTATGGTGATGCATAATATTGGAGCTTGAATCAACTATATCGGGGAAAGAATCGAATTCAGTAGTCAGGAAGGTAAAGGGATTGGTCGCATCTGTAGTTGTGGTGGCCCCGAAATGGTCATCGAAATCGTTGGGGAAAGGGCGGGTGGATGGCTGAGGTGTGTAAGGTTGGTCGCGAGGTGTAGGTATACTGTGATTGCGATGCTGAGATTGGCTACTTTCATGGACAGATGGTGTTCTGGCTTGGTGGGATGCCATTGATTGGCCATCACGAACAGACTTGTTGTCCTGCCCATAGAATGAATTGGGTGTGCTTATTGATTCCGGATTGCCTTGATTGCGCGCGCTCTCTGCACTTTCGAGCGGCGACTCTGAGTTGTCGAAATTATATTGCATGATTTGGAAAAAGGTATTGGAGTTGTAATTGCCTGATTGAAGCTTTATCGCAGCCTCTAAGTTTGCGAACTCGACATTGGCGGCTGGGTACATATCTTTCAGACAGTGTAGGACGTGGATGCAACGTTGGAAATTGCAGATACTGCTCTCACGAATTGCTGGATTGTCAGACATAGAATTGGAAAGATGGGCAACTGCGGCCGGTAATATGACTGTCACTCCAGATTGCGGTAAAAATCGAGTGAGGTTAAGCTGGTTAAGGCCCTGGATAATATGGGTGATTCCAGAAGCTGCCTCCTGCATTTTTGTGCGTGCTATGTTGCGCCATTCAATACGGGACTTCGATTGATCTTTGGAGTGCGCTGCCCAGGGTCGGTGCAGAGCACTGCTAGTAGCATGATAAAGCATCCGAAGCATAGCGCCATGTAACAGCAGTACATCCTCTCCATCGCGAAATTTTGATTTAGACGCTGGAATAAACTGGGCATCTTTGGGTAGAGCCCCAAGCCACGAGTCAAGTTTCTGGTTGCAACGAGTAAATTCTGATTCCGACGCCTGTCGGGGAATCAAAGTCACTGTGGTTCTATCTGTGGAACCAAACTGATGCTGTGACGGTGCATACTGTGCAAATAATACTCGACCAATACATTGGCAGAGTTTGACTTTCTCGATGAACATGGTGGCGAGGCGTTTCTGATGTGACACGTCCTCGAGTTGTCGACAGTGGAAAAGAGCGACAGCGGCGGGAGAAAAAGGCTCAAAGTCAAAGTCTTCAAGCTTCAGCATTGGCACATTACTGGTTCCTTCGTTCACTTGCAGTGGGCGACGCATCCCCATGGCAATCAATCGGTCTCGCGAGTATAGACACCACCATATTCTTGTACGTAGCCTCTTCATCCGTGGGTCGATATCGGCGGTGGATGAATCATTGTTTAAGCCAATAGAATGCACTTGAGTATTACACACCCCAATCCAGTCCCAGATGTCTCGCTGTGGGGAGTTCTCGGTATCAGACCAATATGTCATTAGCAATACAGCCTGTGCGATGACGATGCGGTCTTCCTCGCAATCAAGGGAATAAAGGAGCTATACAAAATTGAAAAGTTAGCACTGAATATGACAGCTGCGATTTTGTTGGGATTCCCTACTCGTAATCGGGTGAAGAAGGCATTGCGTGCACTTTTCCTCGTTGAGTACCCTGCATCTTGGAGATGCTTAAGGTCGACAAAGGCCGTTCCGACAAACATTACCGCCTGGAACAGCAGTACGCTAATGTTTCCCTTCGTATCATTCTCAGCCACACATCTTAAAAGTTCTTGCAAATTAAGGATGGGCATGAAACTGTGAATCCATTGGATGTAGGATCGTAACAGCTCATTCCGCAAACCGCTCTCTGGGATGGACAGGGCGCCTCGGAACCGCAGGAACTCCAAGTCTTCCGGTGCTATTCGACTCGGCAGGGGTTTCAAAAAACGTGGCTCTTCGTCCAAGATCGCGGTCAGTGGATCAAAGTCTGGGTCGATGAGGTCTTGAACCGCAGACACCATATTCGCCAGTGGCAACGAGTTATGGACTGCAGGATCGCCTAGCGTACGCCAGCCGTTGAGTGGCTTGGCGGTCTCATACAGCCATGGTGTCTGTGGATCATACCCCGAGATGCTATGACGCTTGCTTGTAGGCTCGCGCTGGCTCTCTGCTTGTTGCAGTTTGCGCTTAAGAGCCAGCGCGTTGCTGTTTGGAGACAGAGGCATCACCACATGTGTATGCGTATTAAGCCCTCATGTAACTGCTATACTAGCCGTAATGTTTCTTTGAGAACTAAATCGGCCCGTGAGAAGATCGTCATGTAGAATTCACTGGAAATGGCAAATGGCAACCCCAAATTGTCTAGCCCCGGTGAGCGGGCAAAGGCGGTGTTCGGAAGTTTGGGGAATGTGGGGTTTTTGCGGAGGCTCACGTGGGGTCAATATCAATGGCTAAAACCTATAAAAAGTATCTGCTATATCTCAGCAAGCCTTATGAGTGGTCAACCTGACAAAAAAATTCCGAGTAGAGAGCCCAGGGCCGTAGGTGGTGAAAATTGATGCACGTTAAGGTTCAACGCCTCGATGAATATGCCGGCCAGACTGCCGTGACTGTTGATTAATCTACAAGTACATGAGATTAGATCGTCCTATCTATAAAATTTATGTTTAAAAATCAATCAAAGTATCGAATATATTCATTCAAGAGATGAAAGTAGGGGGGTTCAAAAGAGTGGACTTGAACCTACCCGTGGACGTTCATACCAGTTGAGAGCATATCGGCAGAATCATCACCGCCTAGCACATATGTACTTGGTTAAGCAACATGAAAACAGCACATAGAAGCCAAGACTGCCAGTGATAACTTCAAGGTCCGAGTCCAGAGCAACTTGAATCCTCTGATACATAGTTTTTGAGTGCATGATATCTGTAAATGAAATGCCCAATATCAAATCTTCCAGTTCAAGTAGATCATCGTTGATAACGCCCAGATATTACGATTCTTTCTCTTTGGTAAGCTCTATATAGTAGAGAGGAGGTAGTGCATAGGTTTTGTGTCAATAAGAACTTGAGCCAGCCTATTCAAAAAAAAAAAAGAAAGAAAGAAAAAGCTGCAAAGAATTTCCAAGGAAATACAAGGCAAGATAGGCAGGGATTGTCCATTTTTAGAGGTGGAGTTGCAACGCTTCCTTTCGATGGCATAGGCGAGCACATCAAACAGTAGAACTTTGAATCATCGTACTGCCAAATTTCAAAGAATCGTTGCAATTTTGTCGTTCCGTTCTTATAGGACGGGCCGGGTTAGCTCTCGGCATGGTGGTATATCCTCGAGCTTCTCCAGAGCCAAGTCACCGGTTACGCGTAGACGATATATTGTGATCAAAATCCTTGGTATTCATAACAAATTGGCGACACAGTCCACATGGTGTCATGAGAGTTGTGCCCCTGTAAAGAGACTATTGTACAGAGAGAAAATGCATCTGGGTCCCCTTGACCGACGCCATTATGCTTCCATTGAAAGGAACGGTTCGAGCGGAGAAGATGGTGGGGATTCGAAGAGAGAAAAAGCAGGCGGTTGGTTTACATACTGAGACACGTTAGTACAGTCTCTGGGGACCAATCATGATCATATGTTGATCAATCTTAGATGTCGACGTTCAGGGATAAAGTCGACTTACGGAGGAAGGAGGATCTCGCCGAGGCTGCTGTGTAGGAAGGCAACACCAACCTATAAATCAAGTTAGTTTCAAATGGTGATTTCAATGATGGATTTCAAGGGGAGAGAGTCAAGCAAAGACGTACAGTGAAGATCGCAATGCTGCGGACAATGGTGGCGTTCTCAGGGTTGCGAGCCTCATCAAGGGCGGTGCTGAAGAAGCCCTTCTGGGCGGTGATGTGCTTAGGGGCCATTGTGGTTGGAATTTGAGATGAAGACCGGTGGAAGAAGGATGGCTTGTATGGAAGATGCAGTTCGGATCGAGAAATCTGCGGCCTCGGGAGCTCTTGGCGCCACTGCGTAGTGGGTCCGTCTTGGTCTCCGTATATGTTTCGCGCGGGCGCATCGCAAGCAACGACCCTGTCCTACTTGATCAGTAATTAGAACTTGAAGACTTCAATTTGATTTCTTCGGGTTGATTGCTCTATAAGTTCCATTCCCTGGAATATATTCTAGGGTTTCAAACCTAGGTACTCTTCCGCCATTTTACACTGCTACAGAGCACGCGCCGCAGTCATGACCAGCGTCGACGAGCTCTTCAAGGTATTTCATAGCTTCGCCCTATCTCATGGAACTCTTTCTGACTTTTAAAGAAACCTTCGGGTGCAGGAAGCTCCAAGCGCAAATTCGAGCCCGTTCAAGATCCGAGTACACCTCCCTTTGCTCGACCAATATGTTCGCAACCTCCAGCTAACAAGCCATATCTAGATGAGCTCTACAAGGCAGCAAAACTCGACTCAAACGGCGATGTAAGGTCCAAGGGAAAGGCACCTATGGTGGAAGATCAAATGGAAGACGACGATGGCGAAGCTGGTCCTGAATTGCCCCCAGATATGGACGAGGAAGACATCCCCGACGATGAGGAAGGCCGCTTCTTTGGTGGAGGAATGGAGCAGAAGACAGCTCAAGCGATGCATTATATTGATCAACAGGAAACAGATGAGGTAGCAGTATGTATACCCCGAACAAAATTGCAGGGCGACTTCGAGCTAAAGAGCTCATCTTGTACAGCCTGAGAAATTCGACACAGCCTGGGTTCGGCGTTTCGCTCTGAACTTCGAAAGAAATATATCAAAAAACTCCGAGCTTCGAGCTAAGTTTGACAACGACCCAAAAAAGTATGTAGCCGCTGGATGTTGGGATTGATCGAACACTAACTCTTTACAAACAGATTCATGACATCTGAGGCCGACCTGGATACTGAGATCAAAGGACTTTCGATCCTATCGGAACATCCAGAACTTTATGAGGAATTTGCCAAGCTGGGCTGTGTGGGCTCACTGATCTCGCTACTTTCCCATGAGAATGCGGACATTTCAATCGATGTTATCCAACTCATTAGCGAGCTTACAGATGAGGATGTCGAAGCAGAGCAGGAGCAATGGGATGTACTGGTCAATGCTATGGTAGGTTATCAAACGGAATGTGTCATAGAAGAAGAAACAACCCGGGAGGATGAGAACGGAATTCACTAACATATATCTCAGATGGATGCGGACCTTATTGAGTTGTTGATGTCAAATCTGACTCGTCTTGACGAGAAGCAGGAGACTGACAGAACTGGAGTTTATTACGTTCTCAGTAAGCCCAACCCAAATTTTCATGACTTTTGGCAATATCACTCATTTATTGCATCTAGGTGTCCTGGAAAACTTGTCATCGCAAACTGCTCTCGTTGAAAAGATCGGACAAGACGCCTCCGTCATGCCGTGGATATTGGCTCGCATCCAACAAAAAGAGTCCCCCGTCACTCAAAATAAGCAGTACTCGGCGGAAATCCTGGCAATCATGCTACAGTCTTCCTCGAAAAATCGGGACCGATTCATCAAGCTTGATGGTGTTGATGTGATCCTACAGCTTCTAAGTCAATACCGAAAACGCGACCCTGTGAAGGATTCCGACGAGGAAGAATTCGTGGAGAATCTCTTCGATTGTCTCATTTGCCTCGTTGACGAACCGTCAGGCAAAGAGAAGTTTGTTGAAGCAGAAGGAATCGAGTTGGCACAGATTATGCTCAAGGAAAGCAAGTTCAGTAAGCCACGAGCTCTAAGAGTCCTTGATCATCTCTTTGGTGGCCCCTCGGGGGCCCCAGCCTGTGAACACTTGATTGAAGCAGCGGGTTTGAGGACAGTCTTCGGAATGTTCATGAAAAAGGTAAATCTCATATCCCTGACTATGCGATGTGTCATGCTTACAATTAAACAGCAAGAGGGACAAAATATCGAACATTTGCTGGGCATTTTTGCTTCACTACTCCGACTTCTACCTGGCGGGTCGGCTGCTCGTATCCGAACTCTAGCCAAATTCATGGAAAAGGATTATGAAAAGATCGAGAAGCTTGTCAAGTTAAGGCGCGAGTATGCTTCTCGCGTGGCTCCAGTCGAGCAAGCCATTGAGAAGGAACGCAAGTCATACTCACCTGAGGAGCAAGAATTCATGGCCAGCGAATGGCTGTCTCGTCGGTTTGATGTTGGCCTTTTCTCACTACAGGTATGGATCACATAGTGTAGTATATTCAATTGTCCCATCACTTACAAATTATGCAGACCATTGACGTTATTCTGGCATGGCTGGTTGCCGAGGATGATGGAGCGCAGAAGAAGGTTGTCTCCCTTCTGGCAGACCGCGATGAAGATTTGTCTCTGGTCCGGGGTACCCTTAAAGGTAGGTTCCACATCTGCGAGGCTTCATATTTTCAAGATGCTAATTTGTATAGAACAATTGGACGGACTTACCGATGAAGATGCTGGACAAAAGGAGGTGAAGGATATGCTGAATACTCTACTTCAGTTTGTATAGTATCACCGAGTCCCCGATAATCTGATACGCAATGAATGTACCATAATAGCCCCAAAACAATCCAATATCACTCATTCTGAAAAGTGAAACATTTGAATACATCATGATAGTTGTATATTGATGAGTCAGATTGACAGGGGCGGGCCAGTGTCTAGGTACAGTGCTAGTATTCGACCACTGCCCAGGTGGTGATGGCACCTCGCATCCATTATTACGGGGGCCTAGTAGTAGGTAGTTGTACGTACCTGTGCACTATGAGTACTACTAGTATATCTATGCTCAGGTGCTAGTACATTCAAGTTATTCTGACACCTTCAAGTTGTTAACCGTGGACTAGTACTAGGTAGTACCAACTTCTCATAGGATTATATCCATAATCCTAGTATATCGGGGCTACTACTACCAGTGCCCACTAGCACATACGTAGGTGGAAATATATACTAGTAGTAGTACTTGCCTCGGGCTAGAAATCGGTAGTGGGCAGCACTGCCACCGTGTGACACCTGGGCAGTGAACAGCTTGAGGTTAAATTTCTCCTAATAATGAAAAATGTATATATCATCTAAACAATAAATAGAAACAATGTTCATTCACTGGTAGGAGTATATTTAGTTTGTGGTCTTTTCAGTGAATGATAAGCACGTGACCCTACATACCCACGTGACGAGATATGTTACCATATCAGGACTAGCGTGGGCAGTTCGGCGCCGCCGAAGCATCAAGATCCTGGGAGATCGCCAGTCCCTTCATCCTGTCACCGCTGGGATATTTTTCCTCCATCCCACCGATCACTCCCCTCTGCTTCCTCACTTGTCTGGGACGACTGCGGAATTGCTTTCTCCAGTCACTGACAGGCGGGTGTTGTAGCGCGTGGGTGAAAATCACCTCTCACTTCTCCCGGTCCCGACGCGCCTCCCTTAAGACGTTCGCCGATCGTCCTTTCACCTCTCTTTCCCACCACTTTCGAAAACGCGCTGGACGGCTCCAGCAGACCCTGACACAATGGCCGAATTCGAAGAAACCTACGAAGAAGAGTTTTACGATGAGGTGGATGAGGGAATCACCTCGGAAGATTGCTGGACGGTGATCTCTTCGTTTTTCGACACAAAGGGTCTCGTATCCCAACAGCTTGATTCATTCGATGAATTTATCTCTTCAACCATGCAGGAGCTTGTTGAGGAGCAAGGACAAGTTGTGCTCGATCAGACCCTCCCACCCGCCGAAGATGAAGATGACCCAATTGTTGTCCGCCGTTACGAGCTTAAATTCGGCACCGTCATGCTTTCGCGACCATCCGTCACTGAAGGCGATGGCTCCACAACCATCATGTTACCGCAAGAAGCCCGTCTACGAAACCTTACCTACGCCAGTCCGCTGTACCTCGGAGTCACAAAGACAGTCATGGAGGGACGAGAGCGTCTCGTTGCTGACCGTGATGATGATGAAATTGGCGGAACCGAGGAAGAGCGCAAGGCTCGAGGCACATATCTGGAGTGGAGCCCGAGAGATGCTTCGGATGGTTTCGTGAAGGAAGAGACAGTGTTCATCGGCAAGATGCCTATCATGCTCAAATCCAAGTACTGTATCTTGAAGGACCTGAACGAACAGTCCCTCTACGCCTGGAACGAGTGTCCTTACGACTCCGGTGGTTACTTCATCATCAACGGAAGTGAAAAGGTTCTTATCGCCCAAGAGCGCAGTGCCGGAAATATCGTCCAAGTCTTTAAGAAGGCACCACCGAGCCCTACACCTTACGTCGCGGAAATTCGCAGTGCTGTTGAAAAGGGCTCCCGACTTCTGTCTCAGCTTGCGCTGAAGCTTTTCGCAAAGGGTGACAGTGCCAAGGGTGGCTTTGGCCCTACAATTCGATCGACTCTGCCGTACGTCAAGGCCGACATTCCTATTGTCGTTGTTTTCCGAGCTTTGGGTGTTGTCTCCGATGAGGATATCCTGAATCACATCTGCTACGACCGCAATGATATCCCTATGCTGGAGATGTTGAAGCCTTGTATTGAGGAGGGTTTCGTTATCCAGGACCGAGAAGTCGCTCTTGACTTTATTGCCAAGCGTGGTTCGTCTCAGTCAAATCTTAATCACGAGCGACGTGTCCGTTATGCCAGAGAAATCATGCAGAAGGAGTTGTTGCCTCACATCTCGCAGAGTGAAGGCAGTGAAACTCGCAAGGCGTTCTTCCTGGGTTACATGGTGCACCGTTTGCTGCAATGTGCGCTTGGTCGTCGCGATGTTGATGATCGTGATCACTTCGGAAAGAAGCGTCTGGACTTGGCTGGTCCACTTCTGGCCAACCTTTTCCGTGTTCTGTTTACTCGCGTCACCCGTGACCTCCAACGTTATGTACAGCGCTGTGTTGAGACCGAGCGCGAAATGTACCTCAACATGGGTATCAAGGCTGCCACTCTCACTGGTGGTTTGAAGTATGCTCTGGCGACAGGAAACTGGGGAGAGCAAAAGAAGGCGGCAAGTGCCAAGGCTGGAGTCTCCCAAGTGCTCAGTCGATACACCTTTGCCTCCTCACTATCCCATTTGCGACGTACCAATACCCCCATTGGACGAGATGGTAAGATCGCCAAACCTCGTCAGCTTCATAACACTCACTGGGGTCTGGTGTGTCCTGCCGAAACACCCGAAGGACAGGCTTGCGGTCTTGTCAAGAACTTGGCACTCATGTGCTATATCACTGTCGGAACACCCAGTGAGCCGATCATTGATTTCATGATTCAGCGTAATATGGAAGTCCTCGAAGAATTTGAGCCCCAAGTCACGCCCAATGCTACCAAGGTGTTTGTCAACGGTGTGTGGGTTGGTATCCACCGGGACCCTTCACATCTTGTCACCACTATGCAGTCTCTTCGACGACGAAACATGATTTCGAACGAAGTTAGTTTGATTCGTGACATTCGTGAGCGGGAGTTCAAGATCTTCACCGATGCTGGGCGTGTCTGTCGACCGCTCTTTGTGGTTGATAATGACCCTAAGAGTGAAAATGCAGGATCTTTGGTTCTCAACAAGGACCATATCCGTAAACTGGAACAGGATAAAGACCTGCCAGCTGATCTGGACATGGAAGAACGCCGGGAGCGCTACTTTGGATGGGAAGGCTTGGTCAGATCCGGTGCCATTGAGATTGTCGATGCGGAGGAAGAGGAAACTATTATGATTGTGATGACACCTGAAGACTTGGAGATTTCCAAACAACTACAGGCAGGCTACGCTTTGCCAGAGGACGAGACAGCCGACCCCAACAAGCGTGTTCGCTCAATTCTCAGCCAGCGCGCTCACACTTGGACTCACTGCGAGATTCATCCCAGTATGATTTTGGGTGTTTGTGCCAGTATCATTCCCTTCCCAGATCACAACCAGTCGCCTCGTAACACCTATCAATCTGCCATGGGTAAACAGGCCATGGGTGTGTTTTTGACAAACTTTGCTCAACGTATGGAGACCATGGCGAATATTCTCTACTACCCCCAGAAACCACTCGCCACCACCAGATCCATGGAATTCTTGCGTTTCCGTGAGCTGCCTGCTGGCCAGAATGCTATTGTGGCTATTGCTTGTTACTCGGGATACAACCAGGAAGATTCAGTTGTTATGAACCAGAGCAGTATTGATCGTGGTCTTTTCCGCAGTCTGTTCTACCGTACATACACTGACTCGGAGAAGACGGTTGCCTTGTCTGTTGTGGAGAAATTTGAGAAGCCCATGCGAGCTGACACAATTGGTATGCGAAAGGGCACATACGACAAGCTTGATGATGATGGTATTATTGCTCCTGGTGTGCGTGTCTCTGGAGAAGACATCATCATCGGTAAGACTGCTCCCCTTGCCCCCGATGCTGAGGAGCTCGGCCAGCGTACCAAGGCCCATACCAAGATTGATGTCTCGACGCCCTTGCGTAGCACTGAGAATGGTATTGTGGATCAAGTCATGATCTCCACTGGTCACGACGGTCTCAACTTTGTGAAGGTCCGTATGCGTACGACCAAGGTCCCACAGATTGGTGATAAGTTCGCTTCTCGTCACGGTCAGAAGGGTACTATTGGTATCACTTATCGACAGGAAGATATGCCTTTCACTCGTGAAGGTGTGGTGCCTGATTTGATTATCAACCCGCACGCCATTCCGTCTCGTATGACAATTGCCCATTTGATTGAGTGTCAACTCAGTAAGGTGTCGGCGCTCCGTGGTTTCGAAGGTGATGCTACTCCTTTCACTGACGTGACGGTCGACTCTATTTCGCGTTTGCTTCGTGAGCATGGATACCAGTCTCGAGGATTCGAGGTTATGTACAATGGATACACTGGTCGTAAGATGGTGGCGCAAGTGTTCTTGGGTCCAACATACTACCAGCGTCTTCGTCACATGGTCGATGACAAGATCCACGCTCGTGCTCGTGGTCCTACTCAGATCTTGACCCGACAGCCTGTTGAGGGTCGTGCTCGTGATGGTGGTTTGCGTTTCGGAGAGATGGAGCGTGATTGTATGATCGCTCACGGTGCCAGTGCCTTCTTGAAGGAGCGTCTGTTTGATGTGTCTGATCCTTTCCGCGTTCATATCTGTGATGACTGCGGTCTGATGACTCCTATTGCGTGAGTTCCTCCCCCCTCTTTTCCGCCCTCTCTTTGTTCTTGTGAAATTCAATACTGATATCTGTGAATAGTAAACTGAAGAAGGGCCTCTTTGAGTGCCGTCTTTGCAACAACAAGCACCGCATCTCACAGGTCCATATCCCCTACGCCGCCAAGCTTTTGTTCCAAGAGCTGGCCTCCATGAACATTGCGGCTCGCATGTTTACCGATCGCTCTGGAGTGTCAGTGCGGTGATTTCAGCATTCAGCGCGGTTTGCACTCTTTTTTCTTTTTACCTTGTACTTTAATGATTCACTCAAAATCGCGGGTCCTTAGGGACTATTGCTGTGGCGTCCGGGTGGGAGATTTGGCCATCGCATCTATTTCAATCATACATAGTTGAAAATCAAATTTTGTGTATTGCCTGGTGCTTTGTAGACAGTGTAGCCTGAATGGGCCGAATACTATCCACTAGTAAACTTGAAGGCTCACTTGGTCTCTACCTATGCACATGTCTTCATATATCCAGACATCCATGATCATCTACTAGCCACCCTTACTCGGGGGTATAAAGCACATATCGGAAAACAGACGCAAGGTACGTACAAAATGAACGATTCTAAATCCTCCGGTTCACTAATCAAAAATCAAGCCAAAGAACTTCCACACTCAGCACAATTACCCCAGAACTACCATGATGCCATCTGACCATCATTGCAGACTTGGATGGACAGACACAAAGCACAAAGAGGAATTTGAACAATCTATTTTGCAAGTGTTACCAACTTCTTCGCCGACACGCCCTTCTTCAGGATATCCAAAGCCTCCTGAATTCCCTCAACTCCCTTTGTTGGAACAACTTCCGGGACAGGGGCAACCTTGTAGGTGCCCTTAGCTAATGCCTCAGGTAGATAACCCGCAAAAGTAGCCAGGTTGGTCTCATAGTAGATGACAGCACCCCCAGAGGCAAAGATCATCTTGGCCTCAACACCCTCCGGGACGACGTCCTCGGTGACAGGGTTGGTAGCAGCTACACGCAGCGTTTGTTTGGACTTATATGCGACTTGGCAGGATGGGCCAGGCTCACCAGCCGCTTGGAAGATACCGATGCACTCGCTCTTGTCCAGCTCCGCGACGACCTGATCAATGACGTTCTTGTCGGTATAATCGAAGACAATATCTGCACCCAGATCTTTGACGTACTTAGCGTTACGAGAGGAACATGTTGTAATAACTTCAAAGCCTGCCGCTTTGCAGAGCTGGATCGCATTACTACCGACACCTGAGCTACCGCCCCAGATGAGGATAGACTTACCCATGCTGTTTGGGCCAGTAGTAGTCGAGGGAAATGACAGGCTGAGATATTCCTTGGAAAACAAGCCTTGCGCAGCAGTCGCGATACAGAGTGGAAAGACAGATGCATCGGTGAAAGATAGAGTATCTGGGATTTTACAAGCCAGATTGTAATCGAGGATCACATAGTCCTGAAAGGCGCCCTGTTCAGGCTTTGCCACGACTGCCCCAAGAGCCAGGCCAACAATACGATCACCGGGTTGAAATTTGGTACCGGCTATTGATCCTACGCTTTCAATGGTGCCCGCGATATCCTGCCCTAGAATAAGGGGATATTTGATGAATGGCAGGGGGATGTCTTGGACCACGGCGTCGGCTGGGTTCATCGCCCAGGCATGGACTTTGACCACGATATTTTCATCGGAAATTTGGGAGGGAATCGGACTCTCTCGGATGACTCCTGGCACCCCTGCCTGATGTTGCCAGAGGGATCGGTTCATGGTGAATGTGAAGTGGAGCCCCGGTGGCCTTGATAATAATGTGATTTGTATGAATCTGCAAGAAAGAATTCATCTAGACTCGGACAGAACTTGACCTTTTATACCCAGATGTCTGGGATTGGGGTGCATATTGGCCCTCTCTTGCTAGCAGACCGGTAAGTCCGTGGCATGATTGATGTTCAGCTCAACACGACACCCCTTTATGTGAGTTAGTGTACCGGACCTAAGCCTTTCTCTAGGGATGGCTGAGAAACATCCCTGCTAGCCTCATGTCAAAACAAGAGAATTGGAGGGGTCCAGTTACATGATATCTAAGAAAATACCCAAAAAGTCCAACAGGAATAGATCTCTAGCGACTTCCCGGGGGGGTTAACGGACCTAACCGGACTTAACAGGGTTACTCTATTTCCCATCATAGTTCATTTTATACAGAAAGCTCGGATTGGAATGATCCGAAGCATATCTCACATATATTCATCACTACTCGGGTTTTAGAGAATTATCTAGTGATTTTAGTCGGGTAAAGTGGCAGTAGAAATGACAGTACACGACTATCCCGGCGAGAGGAACCCTTGCGGGTCAGGTTCGATCCCACGGATTCAAATGTTGTCCAAGACCTGGAAGTGAAGATTCTTCCACACTGGGATTAAGCTTCTTCTTGATCTGCTTGTTCAAATGTTCGCTCTGGGCCCCTTCGTCTGGGCCCGGTATGGACCAGCGCTCGGATGGTCCCTGGGTATGAATGAGCTCTCTTCTATTCTCCGTGGTTGATGCTTCTGTTCTTTTTACTCTTCTTTTCATTTCTATTTCTTAGCGTTGTGTTTATTGCAACAGATGGCAGAACTGTGATCATGTTTAACTATATGAATTTTCAATGTATACTAAAACAATAACTTGGATTTCCTAGACACCACCCTGACAACTAATACTACCGCGGAAGAAGAGCAGTGATTACGGAGGTCGGTCCGGAAAGTTCTCGCCAGAAATTATAATTTCTTTTTCTCACACTAGGCTATATACAGTAAATATTGAAATATATCGCGTAATCAAGATGTATATAAAACGGAAATATATAGTACTGAAATATAATAACAGCTTGAAACAGTAAATATTCACATATCTTCCCATATATCGCTGTCGCTGTCGCTGTCGCTGTCGCTGTCGTTGCCGCTGCCGCTGTTATAGGCGTTATCACCTAACCCGCTAGGGGCTACTTCACCTAATTTATCACGCCCCTCACCGTATTCGTTGCCCCCTTCTAGTCTAATGACTTGCTGTATATGCCATGGTATACGTTCAATCCAAGCTTGAATTTGCGCCTGTGGTAGATCACGCCACGCAGCCTCCCATACTTTAATCCCTTCTTTACGCGATTTAGGTGCTCCTTTTCGCGTAGTGTATCTCTTCATCCAAGGCCATGCAGGTTCAATCATATTTAGATCAGGCGAATTTCCAGGCCAGATCATTCGTTGGACCCCCATTATATCAAATATTCGCTGTTGGTAGTGATGTGAATGGGCTGGTGCTTTATCCTCTTGAACTATTGTTTTCGTTCGAATTCGAGCACATTCTTGGGCGAATGGAAGTAGTTTTGGGGCTAAAATCACGGTGTTGTATCGGTACCAATCGATTCCACCTTTCGAATTGCGTGCAAGCTTTCCATTCTTCTGAGTCCATCTCCACTGAGGTTGTCTTCCAGGCTTATTGCGTAGCCCTAATCGCTGTATACCTGAATTAAGCTCCCATTCTGCACGCATAATAGGCTCTAATTCAGTATTCCATTCGGCGATTTGGTGTTCTGCTTCACGCTTTTGGGCTGTAGTTTCAGGTACCCAACAATGACAGGGGCCCTTCTGATCATAAGAAAAAGCACCCCAAAACATGAACTCAGAGGCCCCCTTCCAACGTTCTCGAATACAGCTTCGGACGAACCGCTCACTAGAAGTACGCCATACACGATATCCACCCCGACGGTGTAATAAAACAACCGCAGTTTCATCAGTCCAAATCACATTCTTCCAGTCTTCTATAGTCCAATGGGCGTGTTTTAAACACCATTCAAGACGTTGTTTTTTCTGCTCAGCGGCAAGCCCAGGCTTACGTGTAGGCTTTGTTTTTCGTAGGCCAATTTTTCGTAGTACATGCCAAACTGTTGTTTTTGATATATTAATCCCTAATTATAGAAGAAATATTAGAGGAAATAACATATCAAGTAACATATGAGATAACATATCAAATAACACACCAAGTAACACATCAAATATTATACTAAATAACATATTAAATAACACACTAAATAAAATATCAAATCTTAGAATAACTAACCTGATTCACTGCGTAGCTCTGCAGCTAGCTGTTCACATGTTTTCTCACGCCCATAGCGGTCTACACGGATTTTCGCCCCAAGTGTGGTTTTAAGCTCATCTGTTTGCTTAGATGGACGCCCAGAACGTGCTTTATCAGCTAACATTTCATCTGATATATTGAATGGTCGCTGATTCGGCTGAAAACCTCGTTCGAGTGCACGGTTCCATATGTCTCCTATAGTACGCCGTGGAATATTCATAAATTCACTGATCTCCTTAGGGGCATGTCCTTGGGCCCTTAGGTATACAATGACAGCACGTTGCGCAATATTGGTCTTCATTGTAGCTGTATAGGTGGGACAAAAGTGTAGCTGTGTAGGTGGGATAAAAGTGTGAAGGGGTGTACGGACTGTAGGCGGGGTAAAAGATAAAGATCTACGTGTCCACGGGTGTTATAAGCAATATTTAGCCTAGTACGTAACACGGCAATACATCCAATATACAGCAGGCTATACACCTGACATACAGGGCCGGTAATATATCAAGAAAAAGAAATTATAATTTCTGGCGAGAACTTTCCGGACCGACCTCCGTACTATTGTCCCCGAAAAGCAGGAGGTTGGGAGAAATTCATATTTTTATTCTTAATTACTCCTATTAATGCATTAGGCCTCCAGGGTCGAATGTCCTGAGTACGTAGCAAATTCTTCCTGATGTTGAACCTCCCCAAGACACGGAGTATCATAGCTCTGATGGATTTCCAATACGTTGTGCACAGTTACCTTTGCTCTCTATTTGAATTGCCGAGTTGGGCTTTCTTCCACAGAGACTACTCGGTTGCTAGAGAATGATTAGAAATGACTTCAAATGTTCCAAGGTTGTAACTCGATTTTTAGAGAGTCAAAAAAGTTGAGGTTGATATACTATAATACTGATAATACTACGGCTCTGCGCCAATAGCACCTGACGGTAGTGTGCATGAACCTGAACTTCTCACAACTCACATCTGGTATATTAACATAGACAAGTATTTGGTCCCGAGCGAAGTGAGTGGCATATCATAAGCACTTGAGGGGAGTGGATTTCAGATAGCTGATTAAAATATCTGATGTTGATAGCTGATATCAGTACTAGTAGCTGTAGCCTCTCGGTGATGGAAAAGGCTATGGATTTTGCATATCTTTACTCCTCACCAACTCAAATTTCAACTCCGACCATGCACTTTCCTCAGCGTTAAACTGCTCACACTGTCCTTGACAAGGCACATATTACTTTCTACATCAGGGCATAGCACATCGCAGCGGCTTAAAGTTTCACACATTTGATTCGGCCACGTTTGAGTCTCGGCACTGCACTACAGCTAGACCCTGTACGGAGTGCTCCGTACCAAGTCTGCACTGCAGTGATCCTCGCACAGTTAAACCGAAATGCACCAATCGATTCCTTGCATTAGCCGTCTGCGGGGTTATGTATGTGGATGTTCTTCGAGTTGATGAGAACAAAGAAAGCTACCACAGCCACCATTACAGCTGGTCTCAGTGGAGAGTCCATGCAATACTAACAAGGCCCCCTGTCTTATACGCAATATCCTAGCAAGCCCATACAATTAGTCGCCCGTTATATCGACTCGGAGTATATTGGTGTGATGGTATTTTGACTTCATAGTGTCCCCGCCCCGGTACTTCGGAATACTCATGCGGGGAATCACCAGGATCCAAGTACACATCCACTTTACAGACAACTCGGTGAATTCCTCCCAATAAATCCTCTATTAAAGTTCAATAAAGTGGACTGTGCACTAATTGGAGAGGTATATTGTGTGATTGCAGCCATATCCCGGTTCTATTCTTGGTCTTGAGTACCCTTCGATGTACTCGTACAAGGCGCATTTTGTTGGCTCCATGTTATGATGTCAAATCTTACAGAAAAATGAATATTTGGAAGAATATCTCTGTCTGAATTAGTAGTCAATATTCAGATTAGTTATTCCTTCAAGTCCGGATTATCATTCAATCGGGATAAAAATCAGGATCTCTCGGTCGCAAATTAATATCATCCCGTGTTGACTTCTGACATGCATGATGAATGTCACTTTCATTCTCGGAATGGTGCGAATGGATTCTGCAGGTGGCACTCGGTAACTCAGCACATTGAGAATGAGAAGAGTGATTCGACCAGCCCCTCTCATCTGGTCTCACTGAGAGCGTCAAGGCCCTCAGGTTGATTGGTTAATGATGGTGATGTTATCCCATCACTGTACAGCACCCAACGGACCAACCAAGTTGCAAGATTACCCGCTCACGCCAACTCGCTCGTTTCTGCAGCGCTGATCCATTCAATTCCCATAAAACTGTGTCATAACCGCCCAGGCTGACTTCTTCTTCTTCTTCTTTTTTTCTCCAGCGAGTTTTTGTTGTTTGAGCTGTTCGAGTCGAATTCAGGCACTGGTTGCTTGTTTCTCTTTTCATTTTTTTCATCTTCATTATTATTCTATTCTTAATTTTATCCCCCATAACACCAAGAGCTGTGCTCCGAAGTGTTATTTTCACCAAATTCAGCCTTGCATTCATCTCGAATCCTTTCAATCAAGTTCACAGCCTCAATCTTTGTTGCCGGTCAACATTGTGCCTTGCTGTACCAGCTCTTTCAACAAACACGTTAATCTAATCTCGCTCGATAATCGTTTTTATATTCTCGTCGTGGACCGGTTCCCTTCAAGACACACTTTCAAGATTCAAATCAAACGCTTACAATCGAAACTCCGGTAGTTTTTGATTTTTTATTACATTTGACTCTTTTTGACGTCTATACTCTACGACATTCTATATATCAACACGTTCTTTTGTCTTCACATCATTCATAATGGCCGCAGTTCAACTCAAGTTTTCCCTGCGTACCTCTTCCAATGTCAAGACCGTCCACCTGGTTGGCTCCTGGGACAACTATGCCCGCCAGCTGCCCCTCTCTGCTAATGAGAAGCCCGGTTCCTGGGTCGGAAAGTTCCGCTTCCAGACCTCCATGCTTCAATTGGGTAGCCGCTACTGGTACTACTACATCATGGATGGGTACCACGTCTCCCACGACCCCGCCGTTGAGTACACCGTCGAGCCCACCACTGGCCGCAAGCTGAACATCCTCGATGTTCCCGGTGGCAAGACCAGCTCCCGCAGCGCCGCCAGCGGTCGCCGCTCCTCGACCGTTGCTCAGGGCCGTGGCCTTTCGCCATCCCGCATCCAGCACCCCAAGCCCTCCAAGCCCTACGCCTCGCGCTCCCTGCGTGAAGCCGAGTTTGGCGCTCCCACCGTTGACGACATCACCCGCCGCTTTGCTGGCTCTCGTCTCTCTGACGATTACGAGTACTCCAGCAGCCCTCCAAGCTCTTCCGGCTCGTCTCTGTCGTCCCGCTCTGGTTCCTCCGGCTCCAGCTCTCCCTCGTCTCTGTCTTCCCTCTCCTCCACCCAGTCTCACTGCTCTTGTGAGCGCTACGGAATCACCCGCAAGGGCGACCGTGTCAAGCTTGACTGTGGTGGTGACCGCTGCGGTTACTACGAGGAGTCCTCGGATGACAGCTGCTCCGACAGCGAGGATGATGAGGAGTACCGCCATGCTCGCAGCGCTGCTCGCCGCCAGGGTATCGTTGTTCGCCGCTAAACTCGTCCAATCCGTTTAACCAAAGTTGTGTTATGTTTTCCTTTTACACAGCTCTGGCTCTGGGGTCTACAATTCAATCGACATACGTCTGGACCTTGGTAGCAGGTATTTGCTTCATTGCTTCCTGTTTGATTGCCTTGCTTTCCAAGAAAATCATATGAAAAATTTACGAAAAAAGCCCGACGCCGTGGGTGAACCGGCTTCGCTTCGCGGTATGGGCGGGGATGATAATTGTTGTTGTTGTAAGGGGAGGAAAAAGAAAGTGGAAGAGAAAGTTGAAGAGTGAGAAAGGCGCAAGGAAGCATCGATGATTCCAATACGATGCACCAATCCGACAACTTCCATCCTGGATCTCACTTTTTGAGAAGTATCCAGACCAGGTGGATCTGACAAGCTTATCTTGTATATTTTTTTACAAGCCATATTTGACAATGCCGCTCTGTGATCCCTGTCATGACAAGGTTCTATCATCAGGGACACAGCCTCGTGGACAAAGCACGCATCTCGCAAGCCAAGAGAATCCATGAATGTCCTGGGCTTTACTAGATCCCAGGCCTTGGTTAGGTCTTATTCTTGAGATGCTACGAATAATGAGATATGACCATTGGATCTCTTGGTGCAAATTTCTCCTGATAAATTGTAGAATTTAAGCATCTATCCGATGTCTGCAGGCCTCCACCGCTATAGAATAAGCAGTGGATTTCTAAACGCATAGGAAATACATAAATCGTACATTGATGTTAGCATTCCAATAATAGTACTTGAATGATGTGTAGAACTTGAGATATTACTTCCTAGTATGTACTACCAGTTTGTGTTTAGTCTGAAAAATTGTCTGTGCTTTGCGAACTGTCACTAGGGCCATATTGGACAGCGCCTTCAGAGATCTCTGGAGCCTCAACTTGGGAGCCCGGGCCCACAAACTCATAATTTCAAGTCTGACAGGAAGCACGATTTGATCAATGAAAATTACAATAATGCTTTTCGCATTCCTATTATCCTGAGGACTTAGAGCTACTCTGTTCTTGGAAAAGATTCATCAAAAGTCATAAATTAGTGTACGGAACATAAGAGACTCCCTGCATATATTGTGAGACTATCTTTGATGAAATCATGAATCTTAAAAAGCAAATTAAGAACCAATGAAAATCGTCTCATGTCTCTGATAACAAAAATTAAAGAAAAAAACCAAAAAGCCCGTAGGCCAAAGACATATGGTAAAAAGGCACCAGAGGTGAATCTGTGCAGAAGAGCCCAAGTTGCCTGATTCATGTCACATCATAGAAACAAGATGTGCAGAGCCAGGCAAAGGTCTTTCAAAATGCGGAAGAAGCTTACAGCATGAAAGCGAGGGCACCTCCAACAACACCAACCGCAGCGGCGGGGTGAGCCAGAATAGCGGCACCTGCATTAGTGGAATGAAGGGGAGCCGCAGTGCTGTTGGTGCCAGTGGTCTGGGCTCCAGTAGAGCCGGAGGCGGTGGTAACCATACCAGTGGTGCCGGCAGTGTGGGTGTTGTTCACCGCAGTAGTAATGGCGACGGTGGTGCTGACACCGGTGCTGGTAGAAATGACAACACCAGTGGAGCCCTTTGTGATGCTGGAGCTAGCAGAGGAAGTGCTAGTAGAGGAGCCAGTGGAGGACCAAGTGGTGGTAGCGGATGAAGTAGTGGAAGAGGACGAGGTCTCAGAAGAATCGGTGACGTTGAACTGGCCAGTCTGAGCAAGGATACCGGTGTTCATGCTGGCATCAGAGACCAGGTTGATCTGGTAGCCATGTCTATTTCTTGTTAGCTTGAAGTCATTGAACAAGACCAGGTTTATAGAGTGTGTTACCCGTTGGGAACGTCGCCGATGTTGACAGTGTAGGAGTCCTTGGAGGTCTCGATGTCCTTAGCAAGCTCCTTGTTGACAGGAGGGTAGACCGCATTGTTGACCAGGTAGATATCGAAGTGAGAGGCGTCGGTGCTGTTGCATTTTAGTTCTGCGACCATATAGAAAGTGGGACTTTGGCAACATACTCAACGGAGGTCCACTTGACAGTGACGGAGCTGGAGGGGCCGATGTTAGAACCCTTCTGAGGCTCAGTGACGGAGAGAGCTGAATGTTTATTAGTAAGAACTTGAAGCTTTTCAAGGTTGATATCACCGCAGCGATGAGAGTGAACTTACCTCCAGCGGAGATGGCCAAAGCCACGGCAGACACGAGTGAGAGACGCATGGTGATACGAGTGATGACTTAAACGAGTGTTAGAAGAAGAGGAAAGTTTGGAAGGAAGATTTTGAAGTAAGAGTTGTAGTATCAACAAAGGAAGAGGAAGAGTGTAGGAAAGATGAGTGTATTAAGTAGTAGGTAACCAAGAGCAAACAAGTTGGGACGAAGTTGGGACGAAGTTTCAAAACAAAAAAAGATCTCCTCTATTAGTGAGGATACGAACATGAGCCCATGACTCTAATAATACCTGAATCAAAGCATTTCATTATACAATAAGCAACAGATCTTGTCTAAGATGATGTCTCTCAGGCCTAGGATAAGGTAACCATGGACCCAGAGAGGCAGTGCGGGAACTATCCGATGTCACTGCTTGAAATTTTCACATTTGCCAAGTCAAAAGTACTCAGGTACATATGGGTACATGATGGATCTGAATATGAGATATTGAGTGATTGTATGTTCAATTCCTGGGTCCAAATAGTGTAGCCTTGACTGTTTCTCTTTGAGGGATCATTATTGGTTGCTATTCTCATTCACATCGGGGTCGGATTAAGCCGAATTCAGGCAATTAAGACCCTTTTTTCCCCGGTCAAAAGCCGCTAGCGCCAGTTGCGAAAAATGGCGTTCGGAAGGCGGAGCACTAGTCTCTGTTCTCTTGTAGTGGGAATCGGAAGTGGAATCCCAAGTGGATAAGCCGCATCTATACACAATACAGGATTTTCAGGGTCCGGGCCCACTGGTATTGTCATGGTATTTCAAAGACGCAAATCCCGGATCGTCACCGGTGAGATCGTTATCTTGTTACCACATTACGAAAATTACTCATATCAACTCATGAATCAGTGGCGTCCACCTGGGCATCGAGAACAGACCCTCAAGATACGAACGAGATACGAACGTTGCATTTAATGGTTCTTAATATAAATCTATGGCACTAAATTGAAAGGTTTGTAGATAAGATGTAATCTACGTCTAGACTTGGACAATGCCATTTATCAAAGTTAAATGATTGAATCTATTCAACTTGAACCCTTTTTAATGCCACGGTAGTTTTGAACAAAAGAAATACCGAATATGAATTATTTTGAAAGACATCGATCCATCAATTATGAAATATTTTCCACACTATAGGCTGGCATGGTCAATGCAAAACCTGATTCATGCTGCGACATGAACAGAAAAAAATAGATCGAGTGGATATTAGACATCCTTGGCGAATATCCAGCTATGGTGTTATTTGGAGTCATAAATGGAATAAAAATCTTACAAAGTACCCATGGACAGGGTACAGGGATTATTAATCCAAATATTCGAGAAATGGAGTCGAAATTGACCCACTCCTGAGAACCTTAGGTTGGGGATGGTTTTAAGACATTCAGGCGTTGACCCACGGATGATTCAGGGACCAGCCGCCACGATGTTTCACTGACACCAACCACGATATTACACCGACTCGGAGTAATAACGTGCTTCATCGTGTGGGACGGGGCGTCAGCCATATTACTCCTGATTATGATATGTAAACTTGTATCACATACGGGAAATTAGATCTCGATATGGTGTCATCCCCTGGGCAGTGCGAGATAGTACTGTTTATGTGCGACGGAACATTTGAAGACTAGTATCTACAGAGATTAATTCAAGTTCTAGTAAATTTTAAGAAAGTTCTAGTAAATTTTAAGATCGAGATAAGAACTTGTGTTGGCCGTAAATGGACTAGTTTCAATAGCCATAGATATCCGAGTTGCTATTAAAAATTAGCATCATCAAAACACAGAAATAGGCCAATTCAAGTACTCAAAAAGGGGACGTTTAAAACATACAAGCTCTTTTGAAGACTTCCAATGTTGGCAGCATCAGAGTTAACCCAGACACTGACACTCATCGCAGACACCGGAAATACGCCATAGCCCCGGGAATTAATGGTGACCGATGCGCCGTGATGCTCAAGAATATCGATCCACTCTTGACCCCCGTTCTCTCGCCCAATGAACATCTTTTTCTTGCTTGGCCCTGCGTTACTGATGACACAAGCGAGACCGGAAGGATGACCGGGATTCCCAGCACGAACAAAACCTAGCCTCATTAATATTAAGCCCTACTTTCAGGGGTCAGAGACACGAACCTATGCAGTTTGGTTGGTCAAAATAGTCCTTCTGTTTGCCATTGGCGTACAACTTCCGAGCCTGGGCAAGGATAGGAAGCTTTCCATTACATGCAGGCGTCATCGGATCCGAGACATTGGCTCGTATCCCATAAAGGTCGCCGTAAAATAGACAGGGAAACCCATCTTTGCGAAGAAGGATTAACGAGTATGCTATCTCTTTGAAGTCGGGAGCTATTGGGGTCTGGGATTTGATGAGTATGGTCAACAGTAGATCCGGCGGAGGTATTGATATCACTTACTTCAAGCATCTGTCCAGGTTGCTTTGGGTAAAATAGTTAGCTTTTTGATATCTCTTCTATGGGCGCCTTTCTTGGGAAGTCTTACTGTATCATGGTTCGAAACAAGTGTCTTCAGTAGTCAGTATTAATTTCGAATGCCCAATATTGAAGGACTCACCACGGCATGATTGGGCCTGCACTGAACCAACGTATTATCAAAAATACCACGGAGATCCGCTGCTTTGGTATGGGACAGTTTCGAAAACTTCTCTAGAAGAGGAACATCATAGGCTGCAATCCTGTATCCGGTATCCTCCAGGTAGTTCAGGATCGCTCGGGTATCTGCAGTCCAATACTCTCCGATGACCAGAAACTCCGAGTTCGTGTTTTTCTGCACATGAGCCACAAAGTCTTTCTGGAATCCACTGGAGATATGTTTAGCAGCATCCAGTCTCATCCCACTAAGCGATAGCTCATTTGTGATCCAGGTGCCCCAGTTAAGGAGATCATTCCGGACCTCAGGATGTGAGTGGTCCAGATCAGCAAACATTAGATAGTCATAGTTCCCATTCTCTGTTGAGACATCTGGTGCCCAGTCTTTTCCGGGCGCATGAATCTTGTAGAGAGCGTTCTCTTTGCTCTTATCATCCCAGTCAACACCGGTAAAATGTTGCCAACGATACTTCAGTGAACTGTATGTGGACCCACGCCCGGGGAAATCAAAGCCTACCCAACCATCTATTTTCAATGGTTTAGAAACTTGAACTGTCCGTTCTTTAATAATTAAAAACATTAGCTCAATTCAGATAGTGCAGGAAATCATGGTGAGCGGATCTTACTTTTCGGGTGTACCTTGACAGCCTGGAATTGCTCAGGAAAATCGGCCCCGGCTTTGTGATTCAAAACAGCATCCCAAATAATGCCAATTCCCAATGACCGGGCTTCATGTACCAGATCCTCAAGTTGTTTCTTATTGCCCCATTTTGTCGAGATTGACCCCTTTTGATCAAATTCGCCCAGATCAAATAAGTCGTAAATGTCATACCCGTTACCTGCTGGGTCCATCCCTTTACATCCGGGCGGGATCCATATCTGGTCAACACCAATAGCCTTGAAATCAGGCAATGCAAGCCTTAATCGAGTCCAATGATATTGATCAGCGGGCATATGCCATTCAAATGCTTGGAATATTAATGCGTTCTTTGGAGCAGCCCATGCAAGAGGCCGATCACTCTTTTTGGCTATTTCAAACGCGACCAATATCAGTCTTGGGCGCGTCAACATGTACCGGGAGTATACTTACTGGCTTCTGAGGAACGGTTTTCTTTCCGGCGGGATCCGCTGCAGCAGGAAAGCAGGGAAATCATTGAAGGTGCCGAATCAATTGTTGATACAAAGCAATACAAGGCATCAATTCTTGCCCAGGTGATGATGATAAAAGACAAGGAACAATCTACGTGAACAGAAATAATGAATTATGCTCCTGGAATATAGCTCACCCAAATTGTAATTGAATATCCCAAGTTCAATTTTTATGAGCAGGAGCCATTTCAAGAATCATTGTCTCACAGTCCATTGCATCTATCGAATCGTGCCAGGAACCAAACTGGGCACCTTGGCAGTGGAGTTCAAACGTTGAGAAAATTTCAACTTGCGGGGCGCGTTATTTGTTTAACTTACGGTAAATTACATACTGTAAGAATGACTCCAGTTGACCGGGCAGAGTGACTTCGAACAACCATCTGTGCACTAAAAATTGAATTCAAGTGCTTCGAATGACATTAGGTAATAGATGGCCCATAAAATATGCACATTGGCTGTAGGAATGTGATCATTTCCGAGTTCAAGTTGTTCTATTATTGTCTTATTCTCTTTGTTCTTTTACACACATTCCTACAGCCAATGTGCATATTTTATGGGCCATCTATTACCTAATGTCATTCGAAGCACTTGAATTCAATTTTTAGTGCACAGATGGTTGTTCGAAGTATAAAGGGGTTTTTCATAATAGTGAGAGAGCTGAATCGCTAATTTTCACCGCAGTGCTTAAAATGTGAAGCTAAAAGATAATGAACATAAAAGTCAAGAAAAGAGTCATACCCAGAGCCTGCGGTGTGATGTGAATCCCTCCAGCAGCTAACGAGGTCTTCAGAGATCCACTACCGGTCATAATGTCCGCGAAGGTCAGATTGACAGAGGGGTAACCGCAGAGCCCACTGCCATCCATAAGCTCAGTGGGAAAGAACACACGAGGCAGTCCCTCCACCATGTCCACAGTCAGATCACCATCTCCATCAACCAAGTATGTCTTGCAGTTCAGAACCTCAGTGACATTTACGCCAGCATTGTAGCTGACCCAGAGGTTGACATCATATGGTTTTGCATTGACTCCTTGTGTTGAAAGAAGCATGATAACCTGTCGTCCCTCAATGCCCTTTCTGAAGCCCAGCTCACTGCCACCTTGGTAGATGTTTGAAGTTTGATGATCCATGTAGCTGTTGTCCATCCGATGGGCATGCTTCCGAATCATGTTTAGGGTGGTGATTAAGCTGTAAAGCTCAGTGCTGTTGTCATAATTGGAGAGCCACACAGCTTCGCGATTTGACGGAGTTGTCGATCCGTTGAGATGTTGCTCCTGGCCTTGGTAGATAAATGGAACACCGTCGAAGAGCATCGTAAAAGTGATTGCGTTCTTGGCAAGCTGCGAATGAAGATCATAGTTAGTAATTGAGAGCGATGGTACGTAATATTGTTATATCACATACCGACAGGTCATCTGTAAAGCTGGCAAAACGTGCAACGTCGTGGTTCTCGGAAAAGGAAACAAGAGCAGCAACGTCTGAACATGCAGCTTTCATATTGTTGACAGCCAAAGCAAGATCGGCAGTAATCCCTTTAGTGAAAGCACTCAACATTGCGTAGTAGACTGGATAATTGGGAAGACTACCAATATACTCATTCTGGTAATCACAAATGATGCTCACACTTGACTCCATGACCTCTCCAGTCATGAAACCACCAATCTGATCCTGATACTTCCGTAGAAATGACGGTGTAACACTCTTAGCAGCATCGATACGAAGCCCGTCGATGGAGTATTTGCTCATGGTATTCAGTGTCCAGTTGAGCAGCAGCGACTGGACATCCTCATGTTCAGTAAATAGATCGGGCAAGGCGGTTTGGTTATCACCAGTCTGGCACAATTGCGCTTGTGTGTAGTTGCTCCAATTTATGATCGGGCAATATGAATGGAAGTAGTCCTCGTTATTGAAGGGCGTAAAGACCGAGTAGTCGATGCTTGTTGCCGGGTTACTGCCATTCGTCATGTATGCCATGTTGTTGATGACGGTGTCCATCATCAAGTACATTCCCCGATCATGTAAAGCTTGACCCAAATCTAACAAATCTTGTGACGTGCCGAAGTGAGAGTTGAGTGAGTAAAGGTCCAGCGGCCAGTATCCGTGGTATGCCTCGCCGTATTCAACATGACCCTCCAGATTTTGAATAATTGGAGAAATCATGACTGCGTCGAATCCCATTCCCTGGATGTAATCCAGTTTGTCGATTGTTCCTTGCCATGTTCCTCCACAGTATAGACCCGCAGTAGTGTTGCAAGGTGAGGTTGTTGAGCCGTCCGTGCGCGCAAAACGATCTGTCATTGTCTGATAGACGCTCCGTGTCTTCCATTCAGCTATGCTGGCAGCTGAGACTGCGTCGAAGAGACATAATGTTCCAACGAGGCCACCGATCAGGTAGCTCATCGGTGAGGTTGGTCGCATGAGGGTCGTGTGTGCGCTTCCGTGCGCAATAAACGGAAGAGAAACGCCGGGTGAGTACAAGGGAGTCGAGGGACGACAAAAGAATGGACAGGCAAAAATAGCCCAATCAGAGATAGATTAAATGAGGGACACAAACATGGGGATGGTGATTTTAATGAAAGTTGAAGGGAGTGAAGAACTCAAGGCAGAACATGAGAAAAGAGGAGTTCCGAGTCACTTGATCCAAGGTCTTCAGAGGGGAACTGGGGCAAATGGGATGATCCCTAGTTTAGCCATTGCCTAGGTCAAACTACTGTGCTGATCCCCGGTTCAATACATAGGTCAAAACAGTGATTGACCTCGGGAAAGTCAGTGCTACTTTATTCAAAGCCACTAGTACAGCTATAGCCAAAAGTCATAATACATTAATTGATAGTGAGTCTAGGGGATAGTGCCATGAAGAATGACTGCATAGTTCATTGACGCAAGACCAAGCTTTCACTTGCACTCATGATCTCCTGGAATAATTATTCAGGACCAAGTTCCCCAGTGTTTGCTAGTGGAGTATGGTCAGGTGGAGTGAGGAAACTATTTTTATGCTATTTTTATGCTGCAAAATTCTTCAGAAAATGGGACCTGAAAACTGTGGAGATGATTTCACAAAGATGAGCTTGTATTTGTAGAGTAAATCCTGATCAAAATTGATATGCCTATGAGCTCACTATTCTCCTGGTGGACTATAGTGGCTGAGACAACTGCCCGCGAATTTCCGGGATGCGCGGTTAGATCGCAAAGTTGAAATATGATTCAAAATCGCTTAAAGGGGAACATCCGAGACAATATGCCAAGTGTTTTGGGTCCCGATGAGCCAGTAGCAGTTATCTCGAGCATATCTCTACTATCAATAGCGCTACCGTGCCATGGAATCATAGCACTGGAGGCAAAAGTTCACATTGCGATTGTTTGACTTGATACTAATCAACTTGAACAACAACAAATAATGGCGGCCCGGGGTATCTGCACTGTATGTAACCACGAAAAAGTAATGATAGACAATGTTGCCAGGTATACTTGGTCTAATTTCCGTACTTCATTTGACAGATCTCTGAATCAAACACACAAATTAGGACCAGCTAAGAGATGCCTGAGAAAAGCCATATTTCTTGGCCTCTCAGTGCCTAAGAAATAGGTTCTGCCTTAATTAACCGAGATACTCCAAATGGTTCAGATTATATGTGTAATTTATTGAAAAAACCATGGTTCAACTGGCTGCCACCTGGCAGGTATCAGTCATAGTACGCAGTATATTATTTCGATACATAGAACGGAAAATTACAAGTGGGTCAGATATGGGGATGGTCTCAGTATAATCCAACATCTGAACCAATCGGATCAGTCAAATTGGGACCCACTCGGGATGAGACCCTGATAAGTTGATCCCGAGCCCGTATTTTTTATATCAATTTTGATAGTTGGTATTTTTATATTTTATATTTTATATTTTATATTTTATATTTTATATTTTATATTTTAGTATTTTCAGGGACTGATTACTCGGAGAATAAGTACCGATTTCTGTATGTGATACAGTACAACCTATAATTTTAGGCTACTTGAGGTTACAGTGAATTAATTTGTTATTGATGCTTATCCTCCAGGGGACTAAGTCGGTATTGTTTAACTATGCCCAGGTGGTGACTATACCTATTACCCGGTGAGATTGATATCATTTGCAACATCAAACATTTGAATACCCAAGTGTCCCCAATATCCTCAGTGCTATAATCTCCAAAGAGGAGAGGCAGAAGCCTGATAAAACTGCGGGTAGTATGTAATTCGTATGGTGACATGGATATCCACCTGGGCATCTTGTTGTAAACCTTTCCTTGGTGCATCGAGTGGGTCATAGAAAATTCAGCAAATACATACCATGCAAGAACAAGGAATAATTAAATCAAAGATAAATAAAATAGACAGAATAAAACTCGGGTACAGCGGAAGAATATGAGTGGTAGTGAACTCCAGAAAGTGGATGCGTTCTCTTCTAGTCACCGTTAGGCTTCAAGGGTCCATCCAAGATAGGATAAAGTCAAGTCTACCTTTTCATCGCGTATCATGTCCCGAAGGAGTGGCCAAACGAGGTCCAGGAGCTTGGCTGTAAGAATGCAATGCCAATTAAGAGGCAGGATAGACTCATCCATGGACGACTCATCCATATTTCCCTCGTATAAGGCTAAGCCTGGGGCCACCGGAGTACACCGGCCCATGATGCTCCACAGACTGCGATATACTCATTGATACGGAGAGCAACCCATGTCTGTGCCAAAATGCCAAGATAGAGTATCCAGATTAGTTTGACTCTTGTCTCATTTGGTAGTCTAGAATAGAAACACCAAGCAGTCTAGCTTTGAGTAGGACATCAGCACTATACGCCACTAAGTGCACCGTATTTCCAGCCTGACACAATATGTGATCCTATCTTTCTGTTCCTTCGTTCTCTCACCTCTTCTTTCCATCTTCAATCTCCAATTTCATTGCCTAACCGGTGGTCACTACTTGTGAATGCCTCACACTCGTTTTTGAAAGAAACCTGAAGTCTCCAGACAACCTGGAACACACCCCACTTCTTGTTACCCTCTACCATTCATCTGCACATCTCTTCTATGCTCTAGATTGACATAATTCTTGAGAACTTCGAGGTGTCTCGACACCCAGCCCGGCAACCATGAGAGGGTGGTTCTCTATTGGGCTTATTGCTCTTCTCACCAAGACCTCGACTTGCTGGCCTTACGATGAGTCTTTGGTTGACTACAACTTAAATGAGAACAAAACTGCGACAAACCCCGCAGAGTACTGGGGAGAATGGCCAGACCACGAGGGCAAATATTTCCCTTCCCCAGATAATTGGCGTTTCCCTTTCTACACCATCTTCTTGGACCGATTTGTCAATGGCGACCCTACTAATGACAACATCAACGGAACACTATTCGAACACGACCTTCACTCGAACCAGATGCGCCACGGTGGTGATGTAGCTGGCTTGGTCGACACATTGGATTATCTCCAGGGAATGGGTATCAAGGTTGGACTCCCTCAGTTGGAATTTAGAGCGCGAATACTCACAAGATATAGGGTCTTTACCTCGCTGGAACATCTTTGATGAATCAACCTTGGGGATTTGACGGATACTCAGCTCTGGATACAACCTTGCTTGACCAACATTACGGTACGATTCAGATCTGGCGCAATGCCATTACTGAGATCCACAATCGAGGAATGTATGTCCTCTTTGACAACACTATTGCTACGTAAGTCCACCTGTATTCCAGTAAATTGATAAGAGAGACTAACTGTTTTATCTACTATTAGACTCGGTGACCTGATCGGCTTCGACGGATATTTGAACACAACCGCTCCTTTCACAGTGAAGGAGCACCAGACAACCTGGAAGACCGATCGACGATATGTGGACTTCGACATTGGTCAGGAATACAATGCTACCTGTGATTACCCTCGCTTCTGGTTCGAAAATGGATTTCCCGTCAACGAATCCCAAGTGGAGGGCCTAGTCGGCTGTTACAACAGTGATTTTGACCAATACGGCGATGTTGAGGCCTTTGGTGTGTTTCCCGATTGGCAACGAGAACTTGCCAAGTTTGCTTCGGTGCAAGATCGTCTCCGAGAATGGTATCCGCCAGTTCGAGAGAGATTGATCCGTCACTCCTGTATGATAATCGCTTCTTTGGATATTGATGGGTTCCGTTATGATAAGGCCACTCAGTCGACGGTTGATGCACTCGGAGACATGTCAGCCGCCTATCGAGAGTGCGCTCGCGCTGTTGGAAAAGAGAATTTCTTCATCGCCGGCGAGATCACAGGTGGTAACAACTTTGGATCGGTGTATCTAGGCCGTGGTCGTCAGCCTGATCAGTATATAAGTGCGATCGATGCCATGAACTCAACAAACGAGACTTCGGCGCAGTACTTCCTGCGCGACCTGGGACAGGAGGCGATCGATGGTGCAGCTTTCCACTACTCGACATATCGTGCTCTTACCCGATTCCTGGGTATGGATGGACAACTTTCAGCAGGATTTGACGTGCCCGATGATTTCGTTACTGCTTGGAACATCATGCTAGGATCGAATGATATGGTGAATGCAAATACCGGAAAATTTGACCCTCGGCACATGTTCGGTGCTACCAACCAGGATGTCTTCCGCTGGCCTGCCGTTCAGTACGGAGTACAAAGGCAGCTTCTGGGGTCTTTTGTTACCACCCTGCTTCTTCCAGGTATCCCTCTTCTTCTGTGGGGTGAAGAGCAGGCATTTTACATCTTGGATGCCACTGCGTCTAATTACATTTACGGACGACAGTCGATCTCACCTGCAAATGCCTGGAGGTCCCACGGTTGCTTTGCTTTGAATTCATCCCAGTACTACCAGTGGCCCCTCGAGTCTGCCCGTGAAGGATGTCACGATGAAGCCGCCGCCTACGACCACCGTGATCCCAGCCATCCTCTGCATAACATCATGAAACACATGTATCAGCTACGTGAGCAATTCCCAGTTCTGAACGATGGATACAGTGTTCAGGCTCTTTCCAATATCACAGAGCAAGTGTTTTATCCTGGTTCTGCCGGTGTGCCTACTGAGACTGGAATGTGGTCGGTTCTTCGCGACGTTAATTCCGCAGTGCAAAACCTGAGTTCCAATCATGATGCCGAGAACCAGCCTGTCTGGCTGGTTTACCAAAATGTCAACCGAACTATGCAGTACGAGTTTGATTGCACTGACGAGGACCGTGCTCTGATTGCTCCATTTGACACCGGAACTCGCGTGGTGAACCTGTTCTATCCCCACGATGAGTTAACCCTAGTCGATAGCCCAACCAAGCTTGGTTTGGATGGATCAACAAAGTTCAGTGGTTGCTATCCTAATTTGACTTTGAGCGCATATGAGTTCCGTGCATATGTCCCTAAATCCAACTTTGTTGGTCCTCGTCCGATGGTCACCAAATTCACCCCTGGCCATGACTATCCCATCCAGTCAACCGTTGCACCTAACCTTCCGGAGGATGTGAAAATCGAGCTATACTTCTCCGAAGAGATGAATTGCACTTCTGTGACAGATGGCATATCTTTTAACTCGTCGACTGAAATTGGCAAGCTCCCATCAATTAACACCAAGTCGGTGAACTGCACAAACATTCCAGCAACCAATACTTCATGGAGTGGAGAAATTCCTAGTCGTTGGATGTGGGCAGCAACCCTTACCGATGTCTATAACGGAGTGCATCGATTGAACTTGAACAATGTCACCAATGCTGGCAATAATGCCACCACCAACGCAAATGACCATTTCCTCTTCCGAATTGGTCAGCTCGATAATCCGATGATCTTCAGCTCAGCGAATTACTCGATTAGTTTGCTTCACCAGCAGACAGAGAACGATACCCTTTTCATTCAGCATCACGCTGCTGGTGCTGACAAATACCGTTATTCCACCAACTGGGGAACCAGTTTCTCTGACTGGAAGACCTACAAGGGTGGCAATGATACCATTGATCGACTTGCGTGGTCTGGAACCAAGAGTCAGGAATGGAAGGGAGATCATGTGCGTGTCGAGTACTGGAGTCGATTGACTGGGAGCAGTGATTATATGCAAGAAGGCGATGCAAACTGGAATTCCCAGATCCAGCGCCGTTTCCCTCATATCTTCTTCAATGGTCCATACAACGAGTACGGCTATGATGGTGGTCTTGACAACGTGATGAAACTTGATGAGAAAGAGGGATACTGGAAATACCACTTCACGTCAGAATGGCCCGCAGTTGGTCAGCTCAACATCTGGGGAATCAATCCAGACGGACAACCAGATCAGTCTTGGGTTCTTGGCGATATCGACGACGACTATGTGTTGGACCGAATGCCACCATCTAGTCTTTCTGCTACCCTGATCAATATCACCTACGCCCCAGCTGCTGGCTACCTCTCATGGGAAGTCAACATTGACGATGCTACTCAACGCTACCATTTGGTGCCTAAGGGAAACCAGAAGATTCAGATCGCCATGTTCGTTCTTTTCTGGATCGTGCCAATTTTGACTGGTTCCGCTTGTGTCTACATCTTCGTGAAATCCTTCTACAAAGTCAAGTTCAACCAGGTTGGTATCAGTGAGAAGCGTGGTCTGGCTCCGATGGTGCTGTTGAAGAGATTCAAGCTATCTCACACTTCAAAAGACGAAACCAACAATGGCTTCTTGCGTCGCGCAAACAAGTCTGGATTCATGCAAAGCACTACTGCATTGGCTGCTGCTGCTTCATGCAAGCGTCGCATGGTCCTCATCGCCACCATGGAATATGACATCGAGGATTGGGCAATCAAGATCAAAATTGGTGGTCTTGGTGTCATGGCTCAGTTGATGGGTAAGACTCTCGGGCACCAAGATCTGATCTGGGTTGTTCCTTGCGTCGGTGGCATTGACTACCCTGTGGATCAAGTCGCAGAGCCCATGACCGTGACCATTCTGGGCAGTGAATACAAGGTCCAAGTGCAATACCACGTCCTGAACAATATCACCTATGTGTTACTCGACGCACCCGTTTTCCGTCAGCAGTCTAAGTCTGAGCCATATCCCGCTCGCATGGATGACCTTGACAGTGCTGTTTACTATTCCGCATGGAACCAGTGTATCGCAGAAGCGATCAAGCGTTTCCCGATCGATCTCTACCATATTAACGATTATCACGGCTCTCTCGCTCCCTTGTACCTCTTGCCTCAAACCATTCCCGCTTGTTTGTCCCTCCATAATGCCGAGTTCCAAGGTCTTTGGCCCATGCGCACATTGAAGGAAAAACGTGAAGTTTGTTCCGTCTTCAACCTTGATGAAGAAACCGCTCGCCGGTACATCCAGTTCGGAGAAGTCTTCAACTTACTCCATGCGGGTGCAAGCTACCTCCGTGTTCACCAGCAAGGATTTGGTGCCGTTGGAGTCTCAAAGAAGTACGGCAAGCGATCCTATGCCCGTTATCCTATTTTCTGGGGTCTTCGCAAGGTAGGAAATCTGCCCAATCCTGATCCCTCAGATGTGGGAGAATGGACAAAACAGCCCACCGAAGAGAAGGACATTACAGTCGATGCCCAGTACGAGGCCGGTCGTGGAGAACTGAAAAGACAAGCCCAGGAGTGGGCAGGTCTCGATCAAAACCCCGATGCCGATCTGTTGGTCTTCGTTGGTCGTTGGTCTATGCAGAAGGGTGTTGATTTGATCGCCGACGCGATGCCAGCAGTCCTAGAAGCTCGTCCCAATGTTCAACTGATCTGTATTGGACCCGTGATTGATCTTTATGGAAAGTTTGCCGCGCTTAAGCTCGGTCGCATGATGGAGGTTTACCCGGGCAGAGTGTACTCAAAGCCTGAGTTCACTGCTCTCCCACCATTTATTTTCTCTGGAGCCGAATTCGCCCTTATCCCATCTCGTGATGAGCCCTTCGGCCTTGTTGCAGTGGAATTCGGTCGTAAAGGAGCCCTGGGTATTGGAGCACGCGTTGGCGGCTTGGGTCAAATGCCAGGCTGGTGGTATAATGTGGAATCTACATCAACATCGCATTTGCTTGTCCAGTTCAAATTGGCTATCGATGCTGCGCTCAGCTCAAAAACTGATACTCGTGCGATGATGCGTGCCAGATCTGCCAAACAGCGCTTCCCCGTTGCGCAGTGGGTCGAGGATCTCGAGATCTTACAATCAACATCGATTCAGGTTCACAATAAGGAAATCTCCAAGGGTCATGGTGTTGGTCGTACCCAGCCATCATCTGGTACTAGCACACCTGGTGGAACAGTGGGGGCACCAAATATGACCTTGAGTCCATTGCCTTCGCCAGGAATTCACTCCGCATTCCCGCAGTCCAGGGATAGCGCATACTCCAACTTCAGCCAGAACACCGATCTGGGCTCACCAAAGCGCACCTTGTTCAGTCGCGATGGTATGCCGTCTGAAACCGAGAAGCCTAAGTCTGGTTTAAGTCGGTCTCTATCACTTGGTGTTCGTGTTGGTCCCGGTCATTCCGGACGACGTGAACGTCGCGCTGAGAATGATGATGATGCGCAGGGCTCTGGTGATAGCAGTGATGTCGATGCTATTGAGGAAGAAAGCAGTGATGAGCATAGTGTTTATGGTGATGAGGAGTACACTCTGACTTCTGCTCAGGCTGAAGAGGGGAGACAGGTGGCTCACCGACCCATGTCCTCGCATAGTAGACGTCCTCCAAGCCAGGAGTATGTCCAGCCCAGATACATGACACCTCTGGCAAGCCCTGGTACACCACCAACTGCTGATCAGCTACTCCTGCCACCTCAACCCATTCTGGGTAACAGCCGGTTCAGCAATGCCTCGGTTCTGTCACTTGACTCTGTTGTTGGAAACAAGAAGGACTTCAAGTTGCAGAAGGTCGATCCTTTCTTTACTGATGGCAACGGTGACTACTATCATATCTTTGAACAGAAGCTGGCCGATCTGAACGGAGCCAATTCTGAGGGACCACTTTGTATCGAGGAATACTTGATCAAGAGTGAGCAGGAATGGTTTGACAAGTTCCGCAATGCCAGACTCGGTCGTCACAACAAGGAAGCCACTCCCTCTATCATTCGTTCAAGACACAATGGCTCTCCGACTGCATCCTTTAACGATGAAGCACTTTCCCATATCGCTGATAGTGAAGACCACGAATCAGACGATGATGAGTTCCTCCTTGGAAAAGACTACGTTCCCCCGACCGGACTTAGAAAGTGGATGCAGATCAAGGTTGGCGACTGGCCAATTTACTCTCTTTTCTTGGCTTTGGGTCAGATCATCGCGGCAAACTCATACCAGATCACTTTGCTCACAGGCGAGGTTGGAGAGACTGCTGAAAAGCTTTATGGCATTGCCACCACCTATGCTATTACATCTGTCTGCTGGTGGCTGGTATACCGGTACTTCAAGTCAGTTGTGTGTCTTTCAACGCCCTGGTTCTTCTATGCCATCGCTTTTCTTTTGATCGGCTCGGCTCACTGGGTGGACGATTCTTTCAATCGTGGATGGGTACAGAACATTGGAAGTGGATGCTACGCAGCAGCTTCATCCAGTGGTTCTATTTTCTTTGCCTCGAACTTTGGTGATGAAGGAGGTGCGCCTGTCAAAACATGGATCTTCCGTGCCTGTGTTATCCAAGGTGTTCAACAGGCATATGTGATTGCTCTCTGGTACTGGGGTTCGACCTTAAGCAAGGCAAACAGTGCGGGTTTGTTAAGTGCAGACAACACTATCTCCAGTACCTGGAAGATGACGTGCGTATCCACCATTATCATATCTGCTGCTCATGAACTAACCATTTCTATAGAGCCATTTGCTATCCCATCGCGCTCCTACTCTTTGCCATTGGTCTTCTTCTCATCTTTGGACTTCCCGATTACTACCGCCAGAAGCCAGGCAAGGTGCCTTCTTTCTACAAGTCTCTTTTCCGTAGAAAGATCGTGCTCTGGAATTTCGTCGCCGTTATTCTGCAGAACTTCTTCCTCAGTGCCCCATACGGTCGCAATTGGAGCTGTAAGTATCATCCTCCATTTCACAATCTACTTTCATTCTGATCTGTGACAATATACTAACATATTTCTCTTTTAGTCCTCTGGAATTCCATCCACACTCACCCCTGGGAGATCGTCCTTCTTTGTGTAGTCTTCTTTGGATTCATTTGGTGCGCTTTCCTCTTCATTGTAAGCCGCTTCTCCAAGCGACACAGTTGGTTCCTACCCGTCTTCGCCTGTGGTTTAGGCGCTCCACGTTTCATTCAAATCTGGTGGGGTGTCTCCGGCATCGGATACTATCTCCCTTGGGCAGGAGGATACACCAGTGGAGCTTTAGCATCACGCAGTATCTGGCTGTGGCTTGGTGTCCTCGACTCTATTCAAGGTCTTGGATTCGGTATCATCCTTCTGCAGACTTTGACTCGCGTTCACATGTGCTTCGCACTTATTGCGTCTCAAGTCCTTGGATCTATTGCAACGATTTGTGCTCGTGCTTTTGGACCTAATGGCGTTGGCCCTGGTCCAATTTCTCCAGATGTGACTCAGGGTGTGCATTCTATTGCAAATGCTTGGTTTTGGGTGGCGTTATTCTGTCAGCTTTTGATTTGGTAAGTCATCACTCACACTGGATCTCAATATATGATGTTTCAGTTACTAACAGTTCTCAATAGTGCTGGATTTTTGTTGTTCTTCCGGAAGGAACAGCTCTCGAAACCATAATCTTCCGTGTACACACTTAATTTTCTTTCATTTCTGCCATCTTATTCTCATTCATGGTCATACTCAGGTGTAAAATCCATTCTGGCTATACCCAAGCTTGGTAGCCAGCATGATCTGTTTGAACTAAAATAATTGTTCACTTTCTTTGTTACTATTTAGCCTGCATATTTACATAGCCACCTTGGCACCTTCATTAATATCTTCTACACTATAGAGGTCCCTGTCCAATATACTTCTCCAAGAAATCAAATCCTAGTCGCTGTAACTCCCAAGTCTGCGACCCAACCTTCATCTTCATTGCAAATGAATGATCCTCCCCAGGAACCTCAGTCATACCACATGGGATTCCCTTCTCCTGGAGAATCCTATACAGTTCTCTGCTCGTTTCAATAGTAACCATGGCATCCGCAAGTCCGTGTACAATATAGGTAGGTGGGAAATTCTCGGAAATGTTCTTCACGGGATCAACCAGCTTATACTCCGGGTCTGCACCACCTGCCTCGCCATCCGGATAGATCTTCGCGATAACGTTTCCAGTTGAGATCTGCGTAAAGGCGAACGCATCACGAGGATTAGAGAAGTCGGGTCCCTTTGAGACACCGGTCTCGGATTGACCTTCCAGGGAGACGGAGCTGTCTGTTGGTACTGGGAGTTGGTCGTAGACTTTGTTGAGAAAGGATTCCTCAAGATTAGGTGGGAGGATAGAAGCGATTTTAGGGATGCGTTCTTTCCAGAAGGGATGGGAGAAATGAACGGCGCCATAGAGACTGAGAATCGCCTTCGGGGATCTTGGGACGTCGAAGCCCTGGTTTAATTAGCATAAAGGTCAATCTGGATATTATTTGAGTTCTTTTTTCGTACCAAGCTAAGAGCCAAATGTCCACCGGCGGAAGTACCAAACGCAGCGACGTTATCCAGGTCTGCTCGGTGGTTTCCATTCTCGGCTAGGAACGCGTCAAGGTGACCATCATAGATCCAGGCCAGGAGGTCTCGAATATCTTCCATTGGACCTTCGAGAAGATTGACACCCGGACACAATCGGTGGTTGGTAACGAGAACGATCCATCCACGCTTGAGACAGTCCTCTACCTGAGGCATAGATACCATGCGCGAGTGACCGAGCATAAAAGCGCCGCCATGGATATTGATCACTAATTAGGGAAGAGTGTTAGATGCATAGCTTTAAACAATCCCATTGAAAGCTCTTCGTCGCATTTTGCTCAGTGTGTGGGGTAAATATCATGCGGGATAGCCGGGGAAAAGGATCACTCACAAACAGGGAACTTCTGGGGAGAGGACAGCTCGGTTTGTGGGAGGTAGACATCTGTATTGATTCTACTCCCATTAACCTCTTTGAATTCAACGACTAGGGGGTTATCGAGAGACATTGTGAATGATTTTTGGTCTGTTAGCAACGATTGAGGGGAACAGAGTCCTTATATAAGAGATCATGGGGGAATCCCCGGATCAGAAACTCGGGAATTCCGGCCCCCACATCCCGGAGATCCCGTACTTCTGACCAGTTGACAGTCTTGAGATTGTGAAGATACATTTGAACGATGATAATAATTAAAGAAAGTGTGTTTTTAAACATTTCAATGATAATAATGGTCATATCTACCCCAATTCGCTCATCAATGCAGAGATGCAGAATATCACTGTCGAACCAGTCCACAGCAATAGAATAAACCCCGAAAAACATCAAAATCAAAATCAAGCACAGAACAAAAGAAAGGTATCGGACTGCCAGAGCCCAGGTCTAAGGCTTCTCACATAATTCCATATCCATCTCCGTGTACTATACAATGTCGTGCCAGTTTCGTGGTTCGTTGCAAGAATACACGCATGTCCAATTCATCACTCATGATCTTTTCATCACATGCATCCACCATCATGAGTAAGATTCTACTAATGCCTCAATCCAGTACTGCGGTTCACAAAAAGTAAAGTCACGGGCCAGCGGAGATTCCTTTCTGGTGGATTAACTCGACTAGCGAGGATCCGGACATCGCAGTAACTGGATAGAAGATGGCATCATGAGGAGGAATCCCCGAGCCAGCGAGGAACTCGGACCTCATTAGTGATCTCATTCCCATCTAATATGTTCCTCTCATACCCCTTCATGCAAATCGTACATTCCGTGTCCCACGTAAATCAATATTATAGCATCGTTCCATCATGATCCCGGCATGGCGACAGGCGCAACACGAGGCGCAAGTTGGCATCGATTCGATCAAGATCCAGTCCGAAGAATCGAATCCTTCCATTATTCCATCCTCACTCAACCATAATCCATATTATATTCCATGACTGAATCAACCAGTCAACAGAACAGAAATGAAAAATCTAACAGTTCCAAGCGATCAGTCGGTATAATTTCAAAGATTCAGTAAATCGTTTCACGACCCACAACCTGGCAGATCCGTGAAAAGAAAAATCAGATGTTCAACATCTACCGATATGATCCCTTAGAACTAGAGTAGCCGGAATCCGGCCAGCCACCGCTTGAAGGTGAGGAGGATGAACCACGAGTAGAGTGTCTTGGGCAAGCATAACCAACCAAGACGGTCTTTTCCTGGACGGAGTGACCTCGTTGGCCGTAGGCGGAACAAGGGTCAATGGAGTGTTGAAAATAGACACATTTGCAGACGGAGAATCGTTCAACGACTTTGTAACACATTTTGACGGATTAACTTTGAGTTTTAATTTTGTATATTTGTTCGTTCTTGGGGGTCTTCGCTAGGAAGTATAACTTCGGTGATGTCGTTTCTCGTTGGGTGTGGTATGAAGAATGAGACCGAGTAGAATCGAAGGTAAAGATCGAGTTTAAGTATGCGTTCGAGTCAACGACGACTGATATTCAGAATTGAAAGCGTTCTTGGCGTAACGGGTGAAATGATCGGTGAGGACTAAATTCTCGTAGGTAATAAAGAGCGCGAGCGCGACGAGACAAAAAAAAGGATGAGACCAGGCCGATATTAGATGATCGATCCGGGGAGATGATTAAATGAAGCCGAGGGATTCGGAGAGAGGGATGTTTAAAGAATGCAATGCAGATCCGCACTAGTAGACGCAGGTGCGATGCAGATTCAGATGCAGAATGAAAGAGAATAGTCAACTTGAAAACAGAAATTAAAAAAATGCCTTATAGCGAAGGTAAGAAAGAGAGAACCGCGCTGTCGAGAATGAATCCACAGAGCACCGGGGCTCCGGGCGTTATATACATAACTAAAAAATATTGACATCAGTGGAGACATGGAAACACCAGAGCTCCGATATGAGAAGAATTGGAGTTCCACTCCGATGGAATATCCACTTGATGATCCCATACTAATCCTGCAAGGCATCCCGCAACGGCCAGCCCTACGGTGGGAGCCCCAGGCAGGAGTCAGAGACCGGAAAAGACCGATGGGGCTCGGGGCGCCAATGGACGAATGGGCGAATACGAAACCTTGGAAGGGCGCTGAGTCGCTGACGGGGAGAAAGAGCTTAGCTTTTCCGAGGTCATTCCGGTAGCTCGTCTCAAGGTGGAGACCAGGTTATGCTATTATTATTTTCTCTTCCTGATCCAGAATACTGGTATGAACCTGGAAAAAAAGCCGGAAACAATGGAACCCATAGCTGGGGGACACCAAATAGAAAATGAGACTAATCTCTTGGTAAATCTAGATCGGGACTAGGATTCCATGAGCTGTGTACTGTAAATCTGTAACATGATGCTCATGATCGTGCATTTTTGCAATGCTTCACGTCAGAAGAGAGTTCCAGTGGCGCTGATCATATGTGGCTCACACTTGGAGCCAAGCCGCAAAGACGGTGAACACAGCATAGAACTGGGGTCAAGAAGGACATAATTTCGCTGGACGAGTCGGTGAGTAACCATTTCAACCACATGGGGAGGCTGAGGACAAGTGCCATAACTGCTCCAAAAACCGACTAACATGAACTAAGTGGGAGTAGTGCGAGTCTCAAAGAACGTAAAGATCCACTTTTCTCCTCTTTTGAAGGACCTTGGTGGTTGACTGGTTGATCAGGATGATTCATCGGGGCGTTGGAGTTGACTCCGCCTCAATAGTGTGGCTAAGGCACTTCACACTTTCCCCTTTACAGTAATATCCAGTTAGAACCTATGACACCATTCAATTATTATCCTGGAAATGGTTTATCTTGCAAAATAAATTATTCAAATTCCTCACCGTCTCATACTCTTCAATCTTCCATAGTAATTGCAATAATTACTTCGTTTCCAACACCGGAATACGCGGTGTCCCGTTCCCACTTCAGTGGAGAACGCCCTAGGCTCCCGTGTTCAGCTGCTGACGTTCACTGGATGAAGACCCGGTTTTTTGCTCTTCATCTTCTTTTTTTGAATCCCGTGACGAATCCCAGAGTTATAGGGCTGAAGAGGGGTTTGATCCACTTAGCATACCCATATTGGGGATGGTGTGACGCCGATGCCTTGGTTCTCAGCTGGGTTTGACACCGTGATGCCATAAAGGTAAAGTCTTCATTTGCCGAGTTACTCATAAACCTGATTCTGGAGGTTTCTAGTTTCCTCTGACAAATGAGAACCGCCAGTAGTTCATGCAGGGGGTTTACGGAGTACGGACTCCTACGGAGATAGAGATGATCAAAATGCCTAGAAATAGTTGGGACAATGTCTACGATCCCACACTATTCAGCGAATGAGAATACTACAATGTAAAACAAGCAGAAAATGAAAAAAAGAAATATGATGATAACAGTAATGATGATCCAATAGATTGTTGAGAAAAGCCAGTGTCCCAGTTCACAAAATAATCATACATGATAACAACGGCCTTTTCATATTTTTCAGCTGGTGTCTAAACAGACCCCAATGCCCCTTGACTCAGGCCACAAGCCAATCCCATTCGCAACATCTGAAGCACATCCTGACCCCTCGTAGTATCGGGAAGTCCCACTCGCCAGTCCCATCCTCGGGACCGGCCCGCATCCTTGTCTCCGGGATGAGGAACTAGGACTCCTGAACTACCCACAGATGTAGGGCCAGAACCATTACGAGCTGATCCCAGCATATCATTACCAATTAAAGAGAAAGTTGAAGCCGAAAGCGAAGAAACAGACTTCTTCAGGAGAGAGCGCGGGTCGGGTGGAGCATAGCCATCATTGGAATTGCGGCCGGAAGTATTGTTATACTCCAGCAGCGTCGATCGGAAGCACTCTTCACACTGGGCGAATACTCGAGGAGTCACTGTCTCGAGATCTTCAACAGCCGAAAGGATTGTGAATTGTTCATTGATGGACAGGATTGGTGTGGATTCTAAATCATAGGTGAGCATGATATCAGGGTTATGGTTCAGATCTTGAGACTTACGGTTCACAAACACCAAGGCCTCCCCAAGCAAGGCGAGCAATCCATCCACTTGCACCGCCGAGTCACGGCTGGGGTCGTACAGACCACCGTAAATGTTGTCCGCCGCACTGCTGATAACAGCTGCCAGGGCCTTGGCGGCCATGCGTCGTCGGGCGAGGGGCTTGTATCGTGGACGCTGGCCATCTTGCAAATCAATAGCCTCATCACGAATATCATAGAATCGGCGCAAGCAAGCATATCCACTGAGGTAGTACTGCAGAATACGAGCAGCCTCCTCATCGAATGATGCGATCGATGAGAGGCACGCCTTAGGGTCTTTGATCAATGATCGCAGCTGACCATCCAAATCAGCCGTTGCTGGGAACGCTCTCGATTGCACCAAGCTGTAGGAGATCAGCAAGTCCACAATGGACTTCACCTTGCGTCTGTTATGAGCACGGGCATAACAAATGAGAGCAAGACCAAAGTCCTCGCTGTCAGAGGCGGTCTGGTCACCGAATCGCTGTGGGTAAGTCATGTTAGTTCATGTGTTCTCGTAGGCGTACTAAGGTCAAGACAAAACTAACCTCCGATACTTGTCGACCTTCCTCTTCCAGGCCCAGGTCCGAGCACAGCATAACAAGTCGATCCACCTGAGAGATATCATCCAGTGGTAAACTGCTCACAACATCCGCTACGGCCGCCTTCATCATAGCCGTGTCGTCGACTCGACTCAGAACCTCCAATGCTACCTCCCAGCCCTCACGAGCGCCATTCTCGTTCTCAATGGAACCACACTTGTTCAATCCGAATGCATATGTGCGCAGGATTTCATCCTTGTTGAGGCTAGGAGTAGGTGTTCGGCTGTCCTGTCCATAAGAGAGCACCATCAAATCGTGCTCGCTCAGACCAGACATCTTCTTGGCGCCGCCTGCCTCAAACCAGCCTCCAAGGGTAGCAACTTCAGTGACAGCTGCAGTAACGCAGAGCGACCAAGATTGCAGGAGTTCCAATACTCCTTGCACATTACCCTCAAAGACGGATGCCAATCCAACCTCAAGACTGTTCAGGGTGTTCACCTGGAAGCCCTTGTGATCGGAAGGCTCATTAGTAGCGCTGCCAAAGGCCAGATCCAAACGGCGGAGATAGGCATCTCGCATGTTACGATCCACAGCTCGAAGCTGAGTTCTAGAACCACGAGAACGCTGGAAATCAATGCTGGATGTGCTGGCCCGGAAATCCACACCTGGTGTACTATCATCATCCTCTCCATCCCACCACACGGTCAACCCAACTGTAGCTTCCACCCAATCCTGGGAGCATGCCTTAATTGCGGCAGGGTCACCAAGGATGATGCGGTATAGAGTTCTGAGGTTCTGGTAGATGGTCCAAGGTACACGACTCTCAGCCATACGTGCAGACTGTGCGAAGCTAACCGGCTTTTGTTGGCCCAGGTTCGGGAAGCCGAAGTTGACAGCCTGGAACGTGTTTGTCTGTGCAGGAGAAGCTTCGGTCTGTCCCTTATCTTCACCCTCGGCAAACTCTTCAAGATCATTGACCGCCGCCAGAACACGGTGGCGATACTCCGTCCAGTCTTGACCTGTAATGTTCCAGTCATCATCTTGGAACCCAGGGCAGGAGTCCAGAATCTGCAATGCCTTATTCACGCAACGCTGGATGTTCTGCAGCTGGATACCGCGATAGCCCGGTTGGGGAAGACCATCTTCCAAAGCAGACCGAGCGTAATTGAAATCAGCTGAGCGCAGAATTTCCGCAGCCTCAGCAAACCGACCCCGAAGGACAGTCGCGTTGATAATATCCCAGAAATTTGAGGAGGCACTTGGGTTTGGCTCCACGTAACGCAAAGCCTGGAGGTCATTACTTTGGGATGCATGGTTTCCATTCAACCAGTCCAGTAGAATTTGAGGTAACGGAGTAGCAACACTGGCCCGCTGCATGGCCTTGACCATGCTGTTGGGCTGAGCTCTAGCGGCTGGGTTAGAGGCGGACGCAATTGGGGCAGAGGCACGAGAAGGGTGGTGAATCTGAAGGAGCAAGCATGCAAGAAAACTGGCTTTCACGAGAGCAGGAGCCTGTTCTCCCGGGCCAATCTTGGACCCGGCACCGTAAGGCCGCGTGATTCCACTGCGGTCTGCGCAAGTGTCCCAGTTTCCTACCAGCTTGGTAACAATGTAGGCCAAAACGGCATCAAGGTCCAAGTGTCGGTATTCGGTTTCTCTGAGCTCATCCCACATGCGACCCAACGTATCCTCTGTATTAATGATCATATCGGCGGGTTCGTCAACGGGGGGTGGTACACGGCTTCTGGTAGCGAGATTGTGTAGGATCGAAGGCATGGCAGTGGCTTTCTTAGGGGACAGTTTTGTCTTGCGAAGTGGCGACTGGTTCGCCCATTGCTCATCGAGCCTTGGACGCTTAGCATCGGTGGGGTTTGAATAGATAGGCTTGCGCTGTTGCTGCTGTGGAGCAAAAATTGGCTGCTGCTTTGGCGGCTCTTGCTGCTGGCCAAAAATGAGTGGCTGCTTTGGTTTTTCTTGCTGCTGACCGAACATGGACGGCGGCTGCGACTGCGGCTTTGGCGCGAATTGACCGAAGATATTCGGTGGCTGCGACTGCGGCTGCTTCTGCTGTTGCTGGCCAAAGCTGGGTGGCTGTTGGGTGGGAATTGGGTTCGTGAAGGTGGAATCCAAGAAGCTGAGCCGGTTCGAGGCGTCCTGGGTACTCATATCCAGATCTCCTTCCGTCACTTCTTCCTCTTCGGGCTCCATTTCTCCTTCACCGTCATCGTATTCCTCGTGGTATTCGCTCAATTTCGATGACGCAAAGGAATCGGTCTGGGCAAATGTGACGGAGTGACCGAATGATGCTCTGTTTTTAGTACCAAAGCTATTCTGTGATTTGATTGAGCTTGGCTTTGTTTTCTGGGGCGGTGCAAAGTCGGTCGAACCAAAGGAGGATCCGAAAATGCTGTCATTGGTGTTGAAGCCTCCAGACTTTGTGAAGAGAGAATTCGAATGTTCGTTGCGCGATTCGCCAAACTGAGAGATATCGTGCGTCTTGGAGGAAGGATGGCCTAGCGGTGTAAGCGAGTTCGTGGATGAGGGCGGCGGCCCAGCGGGTGTCGTAGAGATGTTACTCCAGAAACTCTGTCCTTTGGATTTATCAGGCGTAGATGGAGGGCTCGACCCTTGGTCAAAGGAACCCTTGAACGACATTGTGGCTTTGGTAGCGTTGGAATAAAATCAATGCCGATGGATCAACAGCACTTGACAGAGTACGCAAGTTTAAGGCCGCAAGACCTGCAATACACTATGAGAAAAGCGACAATCACCCAGGGAGAGGTATTATGGGTGTCTGCGCCAAGGATTTGAGTAGCAGGCAATTGTTGTTGTCAAGCGATCATGCTTGAGATGATGTTTGGATTCTTTCTCACTGTGATGAATGAACGCGCTTCAAAGTCGCCGCGACCGGGTCATGTGACCCAAGCTTATTTGGGACATTTCATCCAACCTTCAGAACCTTAGATCAACCTACTATTCATGATTTCATATGGATTTGTCAATTAATGATTTCGGTTCCCTTTCTCTTCATGTTCAGTTATTTGTGTGAATTATCCCCAGCTCATCGCCTCTGGGGTCAACATCCGAGTCCCCTTTCGTGTATCCAGACAATGAAACAAGAAGCTAGACTATGTCAATATGTGTTGGATCAACTTGAAGCAAGTTTCATCTCATTCTTATTTTTCTGAAACTGAGCTATCTCTAGTGCTTAGCAACCTTCTATACTGGTCAGTGCCAGTGTCAAGCTATGTTCGTATTATCGGATCTCGATCGTATCCAGCTAAATATATCCGATCGAAGATCCACAACTTGAACAGGGCAACTTGAACATCAGAGGATCTTCAAGTTTTCATATACCTCAAACTTGAACCTGAACTCCGAGTCGTCGCCGTGACCGTCGTCAGTTCCGATAGTATTACCATCGCACAAGTTCAAATTCTGATACACGCGGCACTTTCTGAGTGATTCCATCAGGCCAACCTTCTCTCAAGTTCCCCTCAGGATATCTCGTCAAGTCATAAATGATCATGATGATCACCATATTGATTTGACGTATGTGTTGTCAAAACCAACGGGGACTAGAGCCCCCAGGTGTAACTGAAGCTCGCACTTCATACTAGTAATATTTGAACCTGCACGCATACATCATAGGTGGATAGAGTAAAAAACCCGAGATTCGCGGTGGTTCCCCATTTCAGTCAAGGGGCCGACCTGCAAGATCCTTGTCGCGCAAATTCCACTGGGCCCCATCAACCCATAGTCCCGGGTTTTACATAACAGCACTGGAGCCCTGGAGGTTATCTCCAGTTGACATGGGATACTCCGTATTCCTCACAAAATCCCCGAAATAGTATCAAGATTAATGACATGAAATCCTACAGGGCTATGAAGATTATATCAGGGCTAAAAATCCTTTTACTTTGAGTAAAAGGGTAAATATAGGTCAACGGCTGAGTGTCAGGGATGTGAGAAGACTCCATTTTTATTTGGGGGCGGACCCCCTGATTGGTCCTCTCGCATCAACAAATACCATTTCACGAGCTTGACATCGCTGAATGTCCCTTTTGTGGGGTCCAACAGGGGCCTAAACAGGCTTGTGCCCATAACAAGTTCCGCACGGTCAGCTCTGTGGCCTCAGCCTCGCCCCGATTCGATAAATTTAGGAATCGTTTTAGGAAGATTGAACGAGTGGAGGGATAGTAAATTCCCCCTGAAAAAAAGCTTGACATATAAGAAGTGCCTCGATCGTTTTAATCCATAAAATTAAATCTTCCAGATCTCAAGTGCTCTAAAGAATCCAAAATCCAGCCTTGTCACTTTCCGCTCCGTGCACTCCGAGAGTCCGTACCCACTACCATTATTACATCTCCTGATACTCCGTACTACGAATCAGTCTACGATCATCATGCCTCGATCTACATCAAGGCTCGCATCCCAATACGCTATCACCCACAGCCTCTTCCGCCATGACTACGACATCATTTCGGCCAATGGAAAACACAGCTACCACGTGGATAATTCCCACTTGACACCGGGAAAACCGGATCTGACATTTCACGAGGGCGACGCTAAAGGCCCCATCGCGGGTGTTTGCAAATACCGACATTTCTCATCAGATGCTATTATCGGCCTCGGCGATCCTACCCACCCACATCGTATGAGTTGGGAACATTTTACTCGAGAAGGTCTTCTATCCTGTCGATACTCATTCCGTGTGAAGTTGGGAGGTGGACGCGCCCGAACTTTTACTTGGAGATATAGCAACCAAATGAGTTGTAGTAGCGGGGACCTTTCAAGTCGCTCATCATCCACATCTCCATCTCCATCTCAATCTCCATCCCGATCATCTTCCCGATCCAGTTCTCGATCCAGATCCTCCTCTTCATCGACAAATCCTACAGAGAAATTGGAGCTTGTCCATGAAGCTACCCAGGAGGTGATCGCAGAGTTATCCTCAGGCACGACATTTTTCAGAAAGGCGGGGCAGTTGAATATTTACAAATCTTACTGTACTCAGTTTGATCTGTTGGTACTAGTTACTGGCCTAGCCTTGCGAGAGAAACTCAGACGGACAAGATCAAACTCCGGCACTGCCCAGTAATGAAGTTGCAGTTATAGCGGGGACACAGTGGGATTGTGAGAGGTCACTCTCAAACACGAATAAGCTCAAAGAAAGAAAGAAAAGGGCCGACGGGCCAAGATATTAAAAGAGCCAAGGCTCAATTCATGCAGCTAACTACTTTCTGCATGTTATACGAAGTCACGAACTATGCATTGGCATTTTGGGGGGTGGGAACTAGAAGCGGAAAGGGGGGGGGGGGGGGGATGTACTTATATCTTTTTTGCGTGATACCACCAGGGAATTAGTCTATTTAGCGCATTCACCAATCAACGAATATTTAATTTCAATTATGATATAAAAACTGGGGGAACACAGATTGATTAAATAATTAAACAAAATATTGGGTTGAAACCTAGGGAGGCAGTGCTCAAGTGCTAGCGAGACAATGTTTCAGATGTTGTACCAAGCCTTTTATCGGGTTTGATCGACAGGGTTCGATCTTAGTCATTCATTTGAGTGCCGAGGACATATCCATGGATAACATTTACTAAGGTTACTAAGTAAATTTTGGGTCTATATCCGTGGGAATGATGATATCCCGAATCCTGTTGCCTACTCACAGTGCTAGTTCCCTCGACTAATTTCACCAACAAAAAAAAAATATTATTAAAAAAAAAACTTAGATTTTTTTCCTACTAAAAACTAGCTTGTTTTTATGCTTGATTCTTTCCCCTTTTTTCTTACTCTTCATTTAATCCTATATCAAAAAAAGATTCTTCACTCAATTCGCCTTGGAACCTTTATCCCGAGTTCCGAATTCCGAGCCTCCTCCTAACTTGAAGAAAAAAAACCATTTTCTAAGGCCATGGAAATGATCAAATTACTGGCTTGACAATGGCACTCAGAAGGCCACACCGAAAATCAAGACATGGGTGTTTGGAATGTAAACGAAGAAGAGTAAAGGTAAATCTTCAACCTCGCGATCTTCAAGTTCAATGTTCTATTTTGATATGTTGTTTCATGTTTAAGTTGATCCCTTGCTTACACTAATGCAACTGACTTTTAGTGCGACGAGGCCAGACCAACATGCACCAATTGTGCAAAACGTCATGCAGAATGTGAATATGGATCTTCAAGCTCATTACTGTGGGCAAATGAGGAGCAATCCACGCGGGCCACATTTCGAACATCAGGCTCAGATAGTGGTCAACACAGTGAATCAGTTCTAGGATCACCTACTGCGTCGGATTCATTAGGCATTCTAGGAAGACTGAACAGTTCAGGTGGCGCCGTCGCCACATCCTCAGTCCCAGCGTTAAATCTCGAGGATCTGGAGTTGATGATGCAGTGGTGTAACTCCACGTATCTCACACTGTCACGAAATGAACTCACTGATGCTATCTGGCGTATTGCTGTGCCAGAAGAAGCTCTCTCTCACCCATTCTTAATGCATGGCATTTTAGCGCTGGCCGCTTTACACCTTGCTCGGATGGGCCCTGATCCATCTCGTCGTGCAGCACACCTCAATCGTGCTGTAGCACACCAGAACCAGGCACTCGCTTTATTTCGTGAACTACTGGGTGATATTCAAGAATCAAACGCAAAAGCAATGTTCGCATTTGCTAGCATCGTCGTCGTGTATACTTTTGGATTCCCTCATTCCCCCGATGTGCAAGACCCTTGGACCTGTGTCGACGATTTCCACCAAGTCCTCGTCCTTACTCGTGGCGTCCAGCAAGTTATCAAACTACCAACAAGTCACTTGGGCAGTGGTTCCTTCGCACCGATATTCCAAGTCGATAAGACCCGTGCGCCACTCCCCGAGGAAACACAAGCAATTATACACCAGTTACAAGAAGCGAATGAGTCCTGTGGTATCCGCGCTCCTGTGCACGAGACTGACATCTATGCCAAGACTATTGAGAATATGGCTGACATGCTGAGCTGGACTTACGCGGGTATGACGGCCAGCGCTGTAGCGGGCCGATGGGCAATTGCCCTCCCGCCCCGTTATCTGGAGCTTCTTCGGGAGCGGGAACCTTTCTCACTCGTCATGTTAGCTCACTATGGCGTGCTCTTGCAGTATTTGAAGCATCGGTGGTGCTTTGACGGCTGGTGTGTGCGGGTTGCTAAAGCCGTATGGGCCATTTTGGACGATCAGTGGAGGCCCCTAGTTCATTGGGCTATGCGAGAGATCCTCGGTCAAAATTACTTGGAACGGGTGGATAATTTCTGAAGTGATGATCTTGACAGAAGGAAATGATGAAATGAACCATCATGGTGGATGTTTCAATATTGTTGTGAGATGATCTCACTTCTGGTGTCTTTACAGCCTTGATAACTGGAGGGGGACGGAGAAGCTGGAATTGTGCCACTTCAGCAATCATACTCATTTGAAAAGAAAGCCCACAACACGACAGCAATTGTGATACAAACAAACGATATTCCGAAAACCGCTTCTAAGCGATATGACAGTGGAAGAACGAAACCTCAACTTCAAGCCCACCTCAAACCTTTCGAGTCCTCGCGAACCCCAACAATCAACCGACCTGAACATTGTTGCTGCGATGATAATATTGGCGAGGCGACCAACAAGCTATGGAGACCATGAATTCATGATCCGATCGTCCAACCGAAGCATACGGTAGACGGAATCACAATCTCTCAGTGGTGTTGTATGATACGGCAACGAAGCTCTCATCATTGCCTTCTTCATCTTCACAGGAAACGTCTTCGCCAATTCTTGAGTCTTTTAGAGCGGGTCGTCGATGCTTGTCCGCCTGGGATAGCTTCCAAAAATAGGAAATAATCAGAGCGACCAGAAGATGCGCCATCGAGAAGTGGCTTATATTCATAGCCAAGTTCCTCGCAGATCCTCTTGGACGAATCTTTGGCGCTAATACGCTGGCTAATATCCTCAGCCTCATCAGCGTTCTTACACTCGCCATGGGGGCCATTGTAATCTCTGAGAGAGATCTTGCGTTGCACGTGGGCTTTCCCTAGCCCAACAGATTCCAGTGGCTCGCCTCAAATATTTCTTGTCAAAGCATCCGGGGCCCTTAAGGCACTTAAGTGCTTTCTTAACATTGGGGTTAAGACATCGCTTTCGGGTTCCAAACCCGCGAATCTCGAAATCCGGGAAGCCTGGGCAGGGTACGGAATCGACAATTTTGGTCAGTTCTGGGAGATGGGAAATTGGGTGGATGAATTTTGTGGATGGATGGTTTAAGTTGAGGATGTTTTATTATGAATCTCTCAACTTGAAGCCTCATCTACTCTGTACATGTATAAGTATTTTTAAATACTCAGTTGGATAGTACTCTCCTATTCGACTTGAAATGTTTATTTATAAACCCCTACAATTATACCTAGGTATTCTAGTAATTGGAGTAATACAGGTCCTCGAACCGCGCTTTGCGCGGCACTACTTGGTATTCTGTAAGCTACTGAACGTCCGCCCGGCGGCTTTCCACCTTAAAGAAACACAGACTCCCTTCAAGTTCAAGTACTTGAAGGGCATTCAAGTTTTAAGGTCCTGGTGATTTGAGTTTCTTCAAGTTGATGAGAAATCGAGTCCTGGTGAACCGGTGTAGTGTCTTTAGGCTGGTTTTTAGAATGACCTAAATCTGAAACAATTGAAATTAACTGTTAAACCAGAGATACCTCATTAGCTACATACGCTTTTAAGCAAAACCTCAGTCGAATAATCTAAAATTGTGGTTTTGATGGGCTCTCACGTCACAGTCTGTCAAATGCCAGTGGAACACACTCATTCGGCAACCTCAGCAGCTCTTTTAGATGCCTGGATATCTTGAATAATGCGAATATCACAGGATTCCAATGGTGAAAAGAAAACCATTTCCTAGTATCATGAGATCGATCATATCTGGATTTTCAAGTCTTTTTTCCAAATCCTTCTTTTTTTCTTCGCCTTCATTGACCGAAACCTCCAGGCTGACTCCTCGAAAGGATTTACAGCAAGGAAATACTGGAGTGCAATGGCCTCTACCCCCAGATTCCATTGAATGATGTCTCGATTTCCAACATCCACAGCCCCGGCTACAACAGCCGCCTTGATAATAACACTCCTGACTCAATGATTGCGCATATACCACAGACTTTGACCTCTCAAATGATTGTAGTCTAGTTGTAAAACTGGTGGTAGCTTGGAAAGCGTATCGCGCAGACGAGACTCTCGGTGATAGAGCTCTCGCTGAATTTTTTCCAGATCTCTCCTTCGCAATCCTTGCTCTTCTATGCAGATAATTTTTACCTTTGCAAGACTCTCCGACGATGGATAACTTCGCGTACGGCGTACTCAGCTATAAGAAAGTCGTAAACACCCCTCGAGTCCGTAAACTCATCGTTGTATGCTAGACAGCGTCCAGCAGACTTGGTATTTCCTGGCGAGTCTTCATCAACCTGAGGTCTAGGCTTAAGTGCACAGGAAAATCCTCTGTTTTTCCTGAAAGTCATAGTAGGGAAGTGGCCGTTGCGATTAGGTGTTTCAAAACCAACGAGAATAGGAGTTAAGAAAAGCTTGAACATGTAGGTATGGGAATAGCAGTGATCAATAGTTCAAATACTATGACCTGGAGATGACCGCTTCACCTGAAACTTGAGTTCTACTACGAGTAATGATGCTTCTAGAGCTCACAAGGTCCTCACAAACTTTAAGCTTCCTAGGTAATTTGTACCACCGTGAAATCCTCACTAGTAGTAAAACAGTCCCATTTTTGAAAAAGACTATAGCTTTGCCTGTTGCTCGCTGTTCTGTAACACAAACCTATATCTTGCCTTTCCTTCATGCATGTCTACCAATGCAGAATTGACATCCTTCATGGGCCGTTTCTGAATCCATGGTAGAACCCGCTTCTCCGCAGCCAGCTGCAACATATTACGAATATCTTCTGGTGACCCAATATTGGATCCAGTCACCTTGACAGCTTTCTGAATCAAAGAATAAGCTGCCAGCGGAGGCAACGGCTCCTCAGGCGCCCCAAGCTGAATGAAAGTACCGTCTCGCTTGAGGAGTTTCAAATACTGCGCAAATGGCATATCACCACCCGAAACAGTCGAAAGAATAATATCCAGTGACCGCGAATGTGGTTTCGCCCATCCCTTCTCTTCCCCCGTCGCAATAAACCCATCCGCACCCAGACCCCGAATCGCTTCGTCGCGCTTTCTCGAAGACCGCGAAATCGCAATAACCCGATCCGCACCTAGCGCCTTCGCAAATAGGATACCGAGATGTCCTAGTCCACCAATACCCACAACACCGACCGTCTTGCCTGGCCCAGCACCGTGTTTACGCAGTGGCGCATAAACAGTAACACCTGCACAGAGTAGCGGTGCAGCCTCAGCAGAGGGTAGGGTGTCGGGAATCTTGAGCACAAAGTGCGCAGGGCCCCGCCAGCGATCCGCAAATCCGCCGTACGATTTGCTCTTATCCGCATACCGACTGTTATATGTCATGGTTGCACGGTTGCAGTATGATTCTTCACCATCGGCACAGGCTTCGCAGTCTACTCGAAGGCAGGACATGCTCTGTGCGCCTATGCCGACACGATCGCCGATTTGGATCTCACGCGATGCGGGTGAGGATGCCAATGTGGGGACACCGGTGCCGACGCGTTCGACTATCCCGATAATCTCGTGGCCTACCACGCAGGGGTAGTCAGTTGGCGACCAGCCAGAGCGGAGGGTATGTACATCTGTGCCACAAATTCCGCAATGAGTGATGCGGATTTCGATGTCGGTTTCTGTGAAGGGTTTGGGTTCGAAGGTTGTGTACGTTAATGGGCTTGTTGCATCGTGGGCAACCCAGCCAGAGAATGTTTTAGCCGGATCTGAGGACATGCTGAGCACAGTGGACTCTGTGAGACCCGTGGACTGCAGGGATGTTTGGAGCTGGCACCTAGAAGCCTGGATAGTGGGTCATGCGGAGAACCGAGCTGTCGCAGTGTGGAAAATCTTCAGGCGAGATTTTGCAATTATGCTAGTGGTAATCTTTCGGACCCTAAATTCGATATGTTCAGATGTGTTTCTTGGAAAATGTGCAATCTTTGCTAAAAAAAAGAGAGAAGGAGAAAGGAGAAGATGAATTACATCTGCTTGAAGATGCCGATTTTGAGCCGAGGAACTTGCCTAATTGGGTTAGGATCTGTGAGGACTGGGTTCTATGAAATATGTCAACTTCAAGTTATCTAATTGACAAGGACAGACGACTGGACCAGCAGTGGATTTTATTTTCTGCGGATTGACTTAGATATCGGTTGATCCAGTTCAGGTCCTTCCTTATCAAAATACTATGCTAAGTCTAGTCCGTACGTAAACTTGAATTGCTTCCCCGCATGATCGATCTCCAACCTCGGAAACTACCAGGCATAATAATGCAACTATACTAAACAAGGCTCGATAAAAACCTCGAAAGTAGATTTTTCATTGTTGACAGCCGGACGGTCATCCACGGAGCACCTGGTATTGATTTTTTTTGTTCAGGTTCCATTGATGTTCAATCTAGCAACAAACTACCGGCCCCATGTAAAGTTAATCTTGCCACTGCAGCTGGCACATGAAGTTTATGGAACTTGAAATTAAATTGCCTAGACCTGATGCTCTCAGGACATGGGTTGTTCTGGCTTAAAAGCTAATACTGAACTGGGCATCATGATGATCATGTCATTTAATATCTCCTGGTCACTAATTTGACCAACAGAACCAAAATTTGACAGTAACGAGTATTCCAACTTGAAACATTGAACGGTCTATCTCATTGTTTTGTGAATTATAGTGACTAGAACACACACGAAGGTTCCGAGTCCATATGGAGCATCAAAATTAGTAAAAATGGGCAGCCCGTGATACGCTGTTCCAAGGGAGAGTTGATGGAATCGAGAGGATGGCTGCATTGACCCGTTTCTCAAAATGCATTCGAGCCTGGGAATATCTCCTGCAGCAAGTCAGATGCTACTAGCCTTTATAATTGTTCGAAGTACGTCAGTCAAGATCCCCCGATATGCTATGACAATTTCCGGCGATGATCATCGGCTCGGCAGATCGCTCGGGGTTTCCAAGGGGAATCTTCGGGTGACTGACGCCATGGTCATTTGACAGCCAGTCAATGCACCACTTATTCAGAGCAGCATTCTTCTGTATGATGCTCTATATCAAATTGCCGTAAATCTTTCTCCGGAGCCCCTCTATTCACCCCACTCAATCTGCCGACCACCCGAAGATATGGCGATTCAAACCCGGAGACCGCACTAAGTGCTTCAAGCCTCCTAAATGAATGAATGGAATCCCAAAATTATCTTAACCTAGCATTGTATCCCCCTATAGCTCCCAGAGACGACTTCATATTAGCCATGAAGGTGGCGTCCTCAGCTTTATTGGTGGTGCTTGGCACCATGGCCTCATCGGTATGCGGGAAGACTCTCACGGCAAATGAGATTGAGAAAATGGAGAATAACACATTGTTCACTCTGGCACGATGGAGACCATCTTCTCACTTCCTTGCCCCAGCAGGATGGATGAATGTAGGTAATTCATATTTGAAAATGGTGGCAGCCAAGCTGATCAGGTATAGGATCCTTGCGGACCAATGTACGATCCAGTTCGGAATCTCTATCATTTGCATTATCAGTTTCATTCCAATCATATTGAATGGGGTATGTATCCAGGCTTCTCGCATGGATTCAGATACTGACATTATTTAAACTCCAGGAAATGTCTCTTGGGGCCATGCCACATCTCCAGATATGATCACGTGGACTGATGTCGACCATTACCCTGAGGACGATCTCCCAGCGTGGAAGGATTACCAAGCCCAATCCATTGGAACCACTAATCTGACAAGCAATCATCATGTCCCAGCTCTTTACAATCATCTCTCAATCTTCTCGGGTAGTGCATATGCCGTGAACTTGACAGGAGGTGTCGATGGTACAATCTTGGCTTTCTATACTGCTGCCTCTGAGCTCCCAACCGCATGGGACGAGACTTATCTTTCAGGCACAGAGAGCCAGGCGTTAGCCATCTCAAAGGATGGGGGTGTGACATGGGAGGATTATAAGAATAATCCAATTCTCAGCGATCCGCCCGGAGACTGGAACATCACCGGTTGGCGTGATCCATTCTTTCTGCCATGGCCACAGCTTGATACATCGCTGAACCTGACAGAGCCTCACTGGTATGCTGTTTGGGGTTCTGGTATCCGAGGTATCGGGCCGCGTATGCCGTTGTATCGAGCCCCAGCGTCTGATCTGACCAGCTGGACATTTTTGGGTGCTCTTTGGGAACCAGAGAAGAATACTTCACTTGGCACGCTCGAGGAAACCGGCTCTTATGGATTTAACTTCGAACTTTCCAATTTCTTTTCGATTGAAGATCGATATTTTGTGAGTATGGGAGCCGAGGGGGGTAATGTGAGCTTCCATCGGAACAAATGGTCATTGTGGAATGAGGGAACTGTCTCTGTCCGTGAGAACGGTAGTATTGCATTCGATCCTATTTCTGGAGGAGCAAGTGACTATGGTCTCCTATACGCAGTAAGAAGACCCCAATCAACAACACACAGCTTCGGTATAACTGATAGAGTCTAAATTGACTAGATCAACTCATTCGATGATGCTAAGAACAATCGTCGTATTCAGTGGGGATGGGCTCAAGAGGATACAAATGACTTTGGAGCCACCCAAATCGGCTACCAAGGAGCTCTTTCACACCCGCGAGAGATTTTCATTAAGAACACCTCAGGTGTCGCTCATGACCCCTCAGATATGACGCCAAAGAGTGCTCGTTATTTTCAAAACACCGATGGTAGCTGGACTGCCAGTACTCTCGGCGTCCGTCCCGCTCCAGATGTGATTCAAGGCCTGCACCAAGGCGCGCGCCACATCAAGTATCCATGCAGTAAGAGCAAGTGTGACACAACGAGATTCGTGCTGCCAAGTAATCTCACCACCTCATATCATCTCAATCTGACCATTGCACGAACTACGGGCGTGGCTGGAGTCACTGTTGGCGCATCTCCAGGGCGTGAGGAGTACACCGACATTTATTATGATCCTTCGACTAACAATATCGTTGTTGATCGTACGCATTCTTCTCTGATCAAGAACTTTACCACCACGTCCCATATCGGCTTCTTTGAGCCTTACCAGATCAAACAAAAGAATCGTACTGATCAAACTGAACCTATCCAAATGAACTTGTTCATTGATGGTTCTCTTGTGGAGGTATATGTCAACGATCGTTTTGCTTTGACCAGCCGGATATACCCCAGTCGTGATGATAGTACCGGCATCTCTCTCTTTGCAGCAGATGACACTGAGTTCACGTTGACCAATATTGAGATCTGGGATGGATTGTTGAACGTTTGGCCAGAGAGACCCCAAAACAGTAGCTCTTTGCTAATATGGGATACTGCGGCTGCCACGGGGAACTATACATGGTGGACGGGGAACTAGACAGTGCTGTCTGATTTCTGTCCATTGCTGCCCTTGCGTCTGTATTGAAATGGCAGACAAAATATAGAAACATGGACTACTAGTACCGTACATAGTACGTCGCGTAAAACTTCTGAGTATCCGAGGGAAGAAGCGAGGGCGAAGCCTGAAGCACCGAAAGGATTCAAATAATCGTACAAGAAACACGCCTTATTTACATGCTCGCTCATTCATTGATATGTACAGGTGAAATTAAGATGATAGCAAGTGCGCATTTTCATATCCCTTAGCGGGATGGAACTCCCATAAGATCGTCAAGCTCGTCAATGGTAAGAGTGCTTCGGCGTCGGTTACCAGTCCTGCTGGATGCTGCTGGCCGACTGCGTTTCCTCGACTCGCGCTCTTTACGAGAATTTTCAGCTGCGCGAGCCTCATCCTCTGCAGCGGCTAGTTTCTGATTAACACTCATAGATTCGGGTTCATCCATCTAATGAAAAGCAAAGTCAGTACTGGGTCATAATTTGGAAATATTTCGGTGTTGATCTTTCTCACCTGGCTGGTTGATTTGAAATCGGTCTTGCGACGAGATGGCCTGCGAGTTACCGCATCCGATTTATGGGCCTTGATTTGGAGTGTTTCATCGTCAGGAATCGATACACACGGTGATCCCTGCAGACCAGGAGTAAAAGAAACCTTTCGGAGTCGTTTGGGTCTGGCCACTGCATTGTCACTGCGTTCCTGCAAAGCTCGCTCTGCACGTTCAGGAACTTTGCGAATCTTAGAACGAGTTAGTGAGGGCTTCTGAACTGGACGCTCACCCTCGCTCAGTTCTTCCTCTTGTTCATCCTCGAGGATCGGTGAGATAGGGTTGTTTTCCCTATCACATTGCGCGCTCAGATCTTCGGCAGAGTTGACGCTCATGTCGAGAGTCATGCCTAGCTTTAGCTCCTCTACTCTGACGGAGTCACCGCCATCCGTGAGACGACGTTGCCATCCATCCATCATGGTCACAGCTTGTTTCCAACGGGTTTCCATCTTCTCCCAGCCTTCACGTAGTCGCTTGATCTCTTCATCCCGAACTTCGACCTCTTCCAGTGGTACAAATGAGGGGTTTGTAAGGAGGGTTCGCAAATGATCCAATACTGTCTCCATGCCCGCCGATAGTTCATCGCAGGATGTAGGAAGCGTAGTCACGGCGTTGGCGGGCGTTTTCTGTGGTCCAACACTTGCAGCCATTCCCGCTATGTCATCGCCGTTATCTCCATCTTCCTCGTGGGGGAATCCTTGTAGCTCCTTGAGGGTCTCAACTGTGTTTCTCGCAAGCTCGATCAGGGTATCATTTTCATCACTCAAATTCTGACAGAGCTCTGTCAGGAAATCTGTTGTTTCCTGTTTGAGACTGTATCCTGGGTCATTGACTCGATCACCTCCACTCGATCTCAATCGGGAACGGCTGGAACCGGGGTTGATATTGATGGTGGTAACGCTTAATCCCTCTCGCTTTCCTCGTTGTCGCTCAGCTAGATGTGACTTCAATCTCTGCATTTCAAGGTCGCGTTTTCGGATATCGTTTGCGCATTGAGCGCGCACTTGTTGGACCGTTGACTTCATGCGCTGGACTTGCTCTTTAAGCCCACGGATCGTCGTCTCGGCACTAGACATGTTAGACCGGAGCGCACGCTCTTGTGCTTCTGTCAATGCTAGTGATCGTGCTAGCTCGGTCGATTTGGTCTTGTATTTGGTCTGAAAAGAAGAAGAAATAGCAGGTCAGCTAGCTGCCGATCTTGATTATCGTATGATTTCACGTACAATCTCCGCAGTCTGCTCTGACTCGGTCACGCGCAAAGTTCGAATTGTTGTTGCCAAGTTCTCGCGGTGTTCGGCTTCACGCTGTTATACTGTCAGATATATCGCGACGCCCATGGAAAACAGCAACTGACGTCTCTCCTTAAAACCAGGTCATTGATCAAGTTAATGACCCGAGCCATGGTCGCTTCTGTCCCTCCTTCTCCATTATCGGGTTGGGCGAAGTCGATCGCCTGTCCTCCATTTAATAAGCCCCGTGCCAGCAAGATATTGTTGACATATGTCGACGCCGCCTGCAAATTATGCGTTTCCATGACGTTGCGACTTTGCGACGTTTCGATGATGTGGAGTCGGCGGAGAATCCTCAAAGAGGAAGAAAGTAAACATTGACAACAATTTATGACTAAGCAACGGGGTTTCGCCCGGGCGGGGGATCCAGACGCGCAGGAACACGTGCCGATCATATCTAAGTAAGGGCGTCTTGTTCATATCGTAACTTCATCTCTTCTTAGTTCTCATAGTTGACACTTTACTGCATTCATGAATTATTTCAGACATGCCGTTGACTGTGTCCGGGCATCATCAACGCGGCCAGAAGCTCTATCAAAAAGGGGACTTTAAAGCCGCTATTGAAGCCTTTGGCGAGGTAACCAAATCTACGCTAAACTCAAAATGTCAATTATTGACAATTACTAGGCTCTGAAGCAGAAAGATGCCGATGCAATAGGCATTCTTGATAATCGTGCAGCCACTTATTGCAAACTTGAACAATGGGACTCAGCGCGTCGAGATGCGAAGAATATGATCAAAACGGCAAACCAAGATGAAAGAGTAGGTAATTACTTATCGCATAAGAGTACCGTTCTGACTATATACCAGGGCTATTTGCGATGTGCTAAGGTTCTTCTCCTTGATGGGAAACCGGAAAAAGCACTGGAGATTTATGCATATGGGTTGAAGACACTTGGAAACAAACATCCACGACGAGAGGTATGTTTCTTTCCAGATGGCGATTAGTTCCTTTAATATGAGCTTTCCCTTCTCTGACCGTTCCAGATGCTGGAGCAATTGCATAAAAAGCTTCAAGATCGCATGCTACTCAACAGGAAGGACCCTTTCACTTTGCTGCCTCTGGAGATGGCCATGTTGGTAATCGAACACTTCTCCTTCAAGCAAATCGTGGGCATAATGCGCGTGTGCAAAGGCTGGCAACGGTTCTTTGGATCTTTATCGCCCATTTGGATGAACCTTGACTTTAGTGGCGCCCGAGGAACCGTGTCATTCAATGCTGTAAGGTCATATATCCGAAGATCAAGGGGCTTGCTTACCCACGCTACTATCAAGAGTTTACCTGTGCCCCAAATTCAGAGAAGTCTGGAGTTCTTGAGCAGGTGCCCCCATTTACAGCATCTAGAGCTGTGGGTGCCCTACGAACACAAAGAATTCTTTGAAAAATTTAAACGCTGCAAGAAGATCAAGACTCTGTTATTTTCACCGGATCTCCAAATTCCTCTTGATTCTGTCAGTCGAATCTTCAATGAGCTCCCCAAGCTGGAAAAGCTCACTATCTGGAGCTGTGGACGACCGGCTCTGGCAGCTGTTCCCATAGGATCTTGGCCTAGCAGTCTTCCAAATTTAAAAAGTTTCACCCTTGCCGCACACCAGGCAGCGCCAGACATAAGGGTAGTACCTTTACGAATTCCTCATTTGATATCTGTATGTGCCACTTGCCTTCTCCATGCTTTTTATACTAATATTTTGCAGAGCAAGCGGCCTCATCCCTATCCGAATTTGGAAGTGTTGAGACTTGACTGGGACCCCCCCAGTATCTTCTCTTCTCTCCTTCCCTTTGAGCTTCCTTGATGATCTGGACTCTTCTCAAGAGCCTGAGCATGAAGCACCCCCCTAAGCTTCGTCGTCTTGACCTTCGTGGCATAATACCTTCCCCACTTCTATTCTCAAGTTTGCCTGAAAACTTAGAATACTTGCGATTCTCGGGTGGAAATTCGCGACCCTTCCCAATAGAACATACGGAGAAGAAATTCTCCCGCCTACATACGCTCATCTTCAGTGATACAGGTTGGGTTACCAAGCCCAATCTTGAGGTCTTTCTTTTTGACATACAGCCTCCGATTCGTACACTGTACTTGGACCAGTGCTTTAATCTAACTTGGCATGGATTTGTCTCCATCATCGAAATGCAGGGACTTAATCCCGAGCTGGCAAAACTGGAGGAACTAGGCATTACCCATTGGCGAGATCTCGACGATACGTATGCGAGTGCGCTACGTCAAAGCTTCACACATCTTAAAATACTTGACCTCTCATCCACAGGTATTACAGGATGTACGATTCGAGAGCTTGCAGATTCGCGAGCATCTGAATCTGATCAAGGGGCCAAGATTGATAGATTGGTTGTACGGGGTTGTGAAGGTGTTTCTTCAGATGCTGTTGCATATGGACGGGCGAAAGGGCTGGATGTGGTTACTTGAGTTTTTACTCAACTTCGATCACTTGATACTCCGGTATCAGGGGTCAAAAATTCTCAAGAATCATTGCATTTGATTGGCTGTCAAGAGTTGCCAGCGTTTCCGGACAGTTTCTCTCTCGGGCACTCAATCGAAACCCCTCTTCATATCGCCTCGTCACTCTGAACGAGAATCATCTGAGAGGCTCCTATCGAAGTACCACATAGTGGATATGGAACCCGAAAAGGGTAACATAACCCACAGTCGGTGAGAGCTGCATCAAAGAACGTTGGAGGAAGTGTCCGTGCGGATGAAGATAATGGATACAACCGGGCCGGTTTGAAGCATCAAAAAACAAACTTTGTTTTTCAAATGTTCACATGATGGACTTGACACAAAGCATCCCCATGATAACTTCAATTTGTGGTTTACAAGGCATCTCAAAATCGTCTCAAGGCTACTCAGAACTAAGTCCAAATCAAACAGATCGCTGGTCGGTCAAACTTGAGTTTCATTATTTGGCGAAAAAAAAAAGACATTCAAAATAAATCTCCAGAAAATCGTGAGATGGACTAAATCCACACTATCTAACGTAACACGATTCAATTTGTAAATTAAATCAGATCTCTGTAATACCAAAATGCAGTCTTAGACCCCTCGTTCCTGGCACCACTTCTGAACCTCCTTCGCCAGCTTATCCCTCTGATCACGAACAAGTTCCATCATGGGCTCAACCTGCTTTCGGTGGGAGGCAATCAGATCCTTCTGTCCGTTTACAATCGTAACACCCTCCTTAGGTGCAAGATGAGCATCGTAGATGCTGACCATCAGATCCATAACGGCAGACAGCTGGTTAGGCAGCCACTAAATGATAATCAGTATATGAACAAAAATCATGATGGGATTGAGGCAAGTATCGTTGAGCTTACGGTTACGATTGGACTTCCACCAGTGGCTGTGGGGTGTGGTGTGCGCTTAATGATATACTCACGCGCAAAAAGCCAGTGACGCCAGCGGAAGCTGCGCACATGGTTGAGCACCCTCAAAAATAGAACGGCAGTCTCGGAATCCTGCACGGAATAATCCTGAACGCCGATCTCCTCTGACTTTTCGCGGATGTATGTCAAGAATTCTCTGTGAGGGAGTGGTCGGTAGGCGCGGAATTCGTGGAGAATTTTGGTGAGAGGAGTTGAAGGCATGGGAATCTGGCAGAGATGATCCAGAAGAGGAATCTAAAAAAAGATTTTGTTAGTTTGTTTTCGCCTTTTTTAAAGAAAAAGGGAGTAAATAAATTGAGGACGGAAACCATACAATGCTGTCATTGGCACCGCTCTCGCCACGGAAAGAAAGTGGCTTGTTATCCTCGACACCGTCGTAGATCACACCATTAGGGAACATGGACTGCGAGGTGATACCGAAGATGAAGACGCGGAAGGATAGGTACTCGGATGGCTTGGAGTTACCCCACATATCTATCGACCGACATTAATATAAGTCGAAGATTTCTAGGAAAGGAGCATGACATACCTTCCATCGATGCTTCGATCTTTTCCATAGCATGAAGAATCTCACGGAAGCCGTCATTGATCTCATTTCGTGGACCACGATGCTCAATAGTATCAACTACTCGAAGCGCACCACTGATGAGCGCACCAGTCTCCTTGACCATGTCCACATGAGTCAAGATGAAGCCTGCCTCGGAGCTCTTGGGGTCCAGACCACGCTCAAAGCCACGAATCAGGCGCAGATTAGAGTACTCAGACAGACCCTTGGAGGGATCAGCAAGAGTATAGTTGAAGAGAGCATAAGATGCAGCATAGGACATGAAAGGAGGAAGGTCCAAACTAAGAGCCGAGTTAGATAATTGCATCAGGTTTCCAGCATAAAGGAGAATAGGTAAAATGCCTCTCAATAAAGGGAAAAGAGAAGGTTTAGACATACATCTGTGCACAGAGATACATAGGACGAGCAACAGATTTGGGAAGTAGCTCTCGACCTAGTCCGTACCCCTGGTCAGGGCTCTTGCACCAGTTCTCCCAACATGGCTCAAGCAGGTAAGATGAGGCCACAAAGGTATAGTCCCGGAAGACAGCAGCAATGTTGAAGCGATCAGGAGAACCATCCGGTAGGACAAGCTTCTCAATCTCATCAGTCAAGTCGGGCATATCAGCCTCAACAGCAGGACCGAACTCATACGTAGCCAGCAGACCAGGTGTGCCATCGGCCTTGACAACGGGCATGCGCTCGACAAGAGATTTCAAAGGTTGAAAGGCCTCAGGGAGCTCAACAGGGGCAGTAGCATAGGGGAGAAACCCTGTGGAAGTGGTGATGGTGAAGGGGTCCAAGGAGTGAGACAAGGTGGATGGATCATCATGCACATGAGGGAACTTCTTAAGGGTAGTGGGTGAGGGATAAGGCACTTGGGTGATAGTCATGATGAATGTTGGGTAAAGGATACAAGCTTGATATGAAGAATGTATCCTCTTTGGTCAATGGTAGATGGAAGAAAGGTTACACAAGTAAGAGAGGGTTTGGTATAAGGGTAAAACCAAGGTGCAAGACTAAGTCAAGACTTAGGAAGGTAGGGGAAACGGGTTAAAAAAGAGGATAGAAGAGAGGTTGCTTGTGTTGTGATGAAAGAAGAAGACAAAGAGCAGAGATTTGGGCGGGTGAAGAGCAGATTCTTATAATACTCAGAGGCCGGTATCAATTCCGGCCTCAAGGCCGCCATTACGAAATGGACGCAACATGGCGTGGATCTAGTGACATCGGGCATTGAGCGGGGTCTAAAAGCTCCGATAAGGAATAACTGACTTATTTGGACTCAATATGATGTTTCCCACGTCAAATCCAAGCATCCCATCATCTATGAAGCTATCCAGATGTTCTATATAGATGCCCAGAGAACAAGGGCAGCCAATGGTCACGGGAATGGCGCTAAGCCTGTTTAAGTAATGTATCGTAAGACGACACCATCGATTATTGGAGCGGCCACAGCCTTAAAAGTACTTTAAAGGAGCTTGGCAGGTATATCAACTACAATTTATGTCTGTCAAATCCCAATTGACCCGAAAATAATGTGAGAGATAGGTAGTTCTCATCTGTAAAGTCATGATGTAGGCTCTATACTTCACCCGGTGCCAAGACTGCCATCTGAGATCTTACATTTTGATTGGCCGATAAGCCACTTTTAGACTTTCCTAGTGCGAAGAGGCCGGAATTCAGCCGGCCTCCGATTATAACCGGCCTTTTCTGTATAAGACATGCATACTTGGAGGCTGATAACCTCTTATTCCGGATTAAATCGTGATATCGGAACTCACCAGGATTCCGGCAAAGACATAAATTAGTGTACTACATTATGTGTCAAATGCTTGAGTATACTTATTACGAATTGGAGGATCCTCAGAGAGATTTTGAGGAATAAAAACTTGAAACCCAGGCGGTTATCTCTGCTTTTGTCAAATTATAAATTTTAATAAGAAATCTTGGAAGTGATACTAGGAGAAACTGACCAGCTACTGCTTAATCTTCAAGAAATGTTTACAGCTTACATCCATCATATTCCAGACACTAGTATGGACTGAAGATCGGGTACGCTTCTTAGCTAGAACTTACAATCTTGTTCGTACCGGTGGACAATCAATATGTAACAACACCGTGACCCATGGACATGACCTCGAGACATAAGAAAACAAAACAGAACTTGTATCGTTACATAGCTAGGTAGGTATGTAGGCATGATAGTGGGTTATCCGCTACTAAACTAGGTGCCCAGGTAGCTAGTCCTGGAGACAATCAGAGGACAATAGCCCAAAGATTATGTACTCTATATGGATCAGACAAAAAGTCCACAGGTCGAAGTAGGTCGAGACGAAAGCTACTGAAAGTCGACCTTTCATCACATTTTTATGAGGACAAAATAGCCGAGTGGTTAATGCGATGTGGTACAAAATGTTCAGGTATTTTCTCCGTATTTCGAGAAAAATCATCCGCATTCAAATGTTGCGAAAGCGCGTGGGCTAGGCATCGAAACGACTAGTTCCATGGTTTTACTGCAAGCAGGTAGATACATAGAGCGCTGTATCTGGGCAAAGGGACACATGAATTTGAGAGACTAGTTCATTTGTTCTCTTGATTTTGGTTAAATTATGGTCCTTGCAAGTTTGGTCTTTCCTTATATTTGAAGTTGGTCGATCTTGGGCAGCCTGCGCCAAATTTCAAGCGGCACGGGGTGAATCTGGCGGCAATCTAGCGAAAAGAGCTCAATTGTACCTCGAACCTTAGGACATGAGATGGTATTTTCCATATATGAAAGGCAACGTCGCGTCATCTTGTATAAATGAAATAAAGTCCGAGGAAGCGGAGATTGATGCTGGAGGTATAATAACAACACATAATATCGTACACGGCACCAGCTTTATATAAGAGGATATACATTGCGAAATATTGAAAACTCCCTATGCAACGTAACGCATTAGAATACCGCATGGGGCAACAAGTCTATGCAGAAAGACATCGTTTACCGAGTATGCATGATGGTCAACCATATGGACCAATTGTCAAAATAATGTCACATCCATCTTTGTTATGTCCCCGTATTCGATGGTTGTGCTGATGGGCTTTTGTCACCGGTCGTGCTGGAAACGGTCTGAAGCTTCAGGTATTCTTCCTGCAACCTCTTCTGCAACTCGAATTCGGCTTGGCGTTCTTGTCGTATACGCTGCTTCTCCATGTCTCGTTCAACACCTCTGTGCATCGCCTATCAGAAGACCAAGAATTAGTATCTGCACCTCCTATCCAGGAAACATCATAACCTACCGCCCGGTCCGCCTCTTGCGCCCAATGCACAAACCAGACAATACCCGCAGTCCCCAGGCCCGTGGCCGCCAGTGTCAGCTTCGAAGCACTAGACATTCTCAATCACACTCCCAAAGGCACTTTTCGACAAGTTTTCAATCGTCAATTGGAGGTAACGTCGAAAGCCAAAAATGCGGGATTATCGGTTTATCGCGATAATGGCGGTGTGATGAGGCAGTATCATCCCCACCGCCTTGGGGGGGTCATGCGTGGCTGATCGAGCTTCGAAGCTCCGATTCCCCCACAGCGAACGCTTCTCTCCTTACATTCCATCATAATTTAAAGAGGGTTTTAGGAGCAAATATGGTAAGCTCGGAGTATCTGGATGATTCTAAATTGTGTGTCAGTGCTGACGGTGGTTGGAAATTAGTCGGCTCAGAACTCCGCGGGCATTCAAACCCTCCTCGATGTACGTTTGGACTGGACTCCGATCGCGGAGCAATGAAACTGATAGTATTTGCAGGCCGAGAGAGAGGCTCAGAAGATTGTGCAACAAGGTATGCTGAGGCTAATTATTCGAGTTTAAAGTGCAGATGCTGATGTCCGATTTCGTTAGCCCGGGAATGTACGAGCCCCCGATAGCCCCTCCGATCAGCGTGCGCTGGCCATCTAACGTATTCTTTGACTATAGACCGTACCAAGCGGATAAGAGAGGCTAAGGCCGAGGCTCAGAAGGAGATCGAGGAGTACCGCAGCTCCAAGGACGAGGAATACAAGAAGTTCGAGGCCGAGGTAAGATCAATTACGGCATTCCAGCATTGTTCAATTGCCAATAACACTTGCTAATGTGGCTTTGCGTAATATAGCACTCCAGCGGGTTCAAGAAGGCCGAGGAGGATGCCAACAAGGAGGCTGAAGAGAAGCTCAAGGAGATCCAATCTGCCGGCCAGAAGCAGGGCGACAAGGTCGTGGAGGATTTGATCAAGGCCACCACTGATGTGAAGCCCGAGGTTCCTGAGAAGATTGTTAAGGCATAGAGGTAACATTTTGAGTTCTTTTTCTGTTTCTGTGATTGTCGCTAGAAGATGCGATTTCGTCTGTTCATCGATATCCAACGTTCGAGACATATAAGTTCCCCTATTTTGTTTTTCTGATGCTGTGAAAAAATCATCTGTATTGTTTTTGAAGTAGCAAAGTAAAAAAATGTTGCAAGCTTGAAGACAGAGTGTCCTCCCATGTAGTTCTCATCTGAATACCTACTGGTATTGATGGATGCTTCCCCACATAGATAAGCCGATCATGGAAACCTTAGAACCGTATTGGAATCGCTTTTATTGGGTGATCCTCCCAACTGTAAGTAATTAAGAGCATTGAATTCGAACAAGTCTCTTATGCTGTTATGATATGCATGACAGGGATTCGATGTATAGTTCATCAGACGATGGTTGGCCAATCGCCGAATGGATACCCCAGGCGCGATTATCTTTCCCACTGCGTCATCCCGCGACAATTACAACTTGAACCAGTTCGTGTCGTTGAAGAAGACGATGGAATATGCAGTCGCTGCAAAAGTTGCTACGCCAGCGATAAGTGGTAGGAATATTTCGCGCGCGATATGCTTTTCATCTAGACGCGCATTTCACGCGTCCTCCGCTAGACAGAACCCCATTCTTGAACCACGCTTGGAAGACCACGGTCATGTTATCCATGACAAGTACTCGACGATTCGAGAAAAATATGGTCTGTTCTCCTTTCGCTAGATTCATGTTGCGCATAATATCATTACTAAATAATGACACAGATGCCCCCAAGAACCCTGTGGTCCTAGCCCATGGGCTGCTGGGCTTTGACGAATTGCGCCTCGCTGGTCCATATCTCCCAAGTGTCCAGTATTGGCGCGGGATTAAGGAAGCACTATCCGCTCAAGGGATTGAAGTAATTACGGCTAAGGTACCCCCTTCTAGCTCGATTGAGCAGCGGGCTGAGGAATTGGCTCGTGAGATCGAAGTTGGGGCGCGAGGAAAAGATGTGAATATCATTGCGTATGCATAGCGCCCTCACTATTTGGACGTTTAGTATTGACTATTTGTTTTTACAAAATACAGTCATAGCATGGTAAGACACTCCACTGCTCTTTAAAGTGGGATTTATACTGACTTTAACGTAGGGGTCAGTTCTCAAATACATGCAATGCTATATTCTGCACATCTAATATGTCCTTAGTGGTCTTGATTCTCGATATATGATCAGTCGGCTTAAACAGGACAAATTCAAAGTACTTTCACTGACGACGATTGCTACTCCTCATCGAGGTTTGTAATACAAATGGACTACCGAATCGAGTCCTACTAACATTGTGCCCCAGGTTCCGCCGTCGCAGACTATATCTTCGACCAGATCGGAGGTGGGTAACATTACTACCATATTCCTCTCATGCTCGGAGCATATACTGAATCGTTCGAAATTCTGCATAGCCGATCGCCTACCACAAATTTATTACACCTTAAATCGGCTCAGTGTCGAGACAGGGGCCTTTGACCAGCTAACCAGGAAATACATGACAGAAACATTCAACCCGCATACACCCGACATGGAAGATGTTCGGTAAGTCTGTGCCTTGGTAAGTACCACTCTGGACATCGCTCGCTAATCAAGTATCAGATACTTTTCTTATGGCGCGGCGGTTAATCCGAGTATTTGGTCTGTCTTCCGCCTCTCTCATAAGATCCTAGCTGAAGCAGAAGGCCCCAATGATGGACTGGTGAGTGTGGCGAGTAGTCATTGGGGAGGAGAGAAGGGCTACAAAGGAACTCTCGTGGGAGTCAGCCATTTAGATCTGATCAATTGGAGCAACCGATTGAAATGGCTTGTTGGGGAGGTAATAGGACAACGGCGGAATTTCAACGCTATCGCATTTTATCTGGATATCACAGGTATGAAAAGGTCTGGAAGTTCTAATTTGACATTGCTAATCTTTATTCAGACATGTTGGCGAAAGAAGGTCTTTGACATGGATGAATTGCATATGTATGTAGTGTCAGGGTCTTATATCCATACATAAATAGTCTCTTCAACCTTGGAATGTTTCTGTTGCTCTGGCAGTATTTGAATGGTACATACTGCTTAATTGGGCTTCAGATGTTCAAATTAATTAGACAGATGTACTGATAGTATGGGCTATTTGGTCCAATATACTATTGCTTGAGTAATTCAAGATCAAAACAAGCACTTGAGAATTTGGACAGTTCAAATGTTGCAGATACCTTCAATGTTCCTCAGGCCGTATATTCCGTTACTTGTACTAGGTACCTCCAGAAACATAGTGGTTGACCCGGTACTAGTATTTCACGAGTGCCCACATGTGCAGGTGGGGTGCAAGTCTCAAGATATATTCCATGTTTAATGCGCATCCATTGCATGGATTTCCTTTCGATGAGCCCAATTGGTGTCAGCCTGTCATGACTCGGAGTACTATTCATAAATCTCTCTTTTATGGTATTACGGAGTTGACGGAATGGAATATTATCCTTTATTGCATGGCTATCTTCTCCAAATGGGACAATTGCCCGAACTACAGAACTGGAATAATGGAGACTGGGGCGGCTTCATAGAGTCAGTGAGATAAAGAAGGTATCTCAAGTGCTTGAAGCGACAGGCCACTCATCAATTGATGAGTGTCATGCTGCCTTATGAACAAAGCCCAGCACTCGAGAATATTTTGAATGTTGATACTCTTATAGATGCACATGGTACCCATTATAGAGATGATTATTACATACTAGACACCCGTGGACTGTGGTATGGACATCTAGACAGTTCTCTAAGACTACTCTTAGTTTCAAGTTGGTTAATGCGCATTTCCAGAGCTATGCTCATTTAATTTGGAGGATTGTTATCAGACTAATTTGTGTGGTCTGATAGCTCTAGATAAATAAATCTCCTAACACATGTAGATTTCTTTCCCTTTCCATACTCCATGAGCCTTGCCATCTTTGATCGATTCTAAATATATTGCCGGATGCTGCGAGTGTAAGTCAGTTAGGACTCTGTGTATATCATAGAATGGTATAAAGGAACATACTTTTTTCTTCGTTCACACTCTATTTAGCAGTGACCTTGAAAGAGGAAAAGGAATTGTCGAAGGCACCGTAGTGGATACACTGAGCGGTGGGAGGCAGAACATAGCCCGAAGTGGTATCACAGTCGTCAGAAGTGTACACAGTAACCTCAAAGTTATCGATATCGTAGACTGCTTGAATGCTGTCGATGGTGGCGGTGAAAGCAGTGCAGCTCTTAGCAGCGGTACCAGAGTGCAAGCTAACCTCGGTAGCACATGATTTGTCACTGTAGACGTAGAGCTCCCATGCGGAAATGGTGCTGGCAGCAGAAAGAAAGCATGCGAGGTAGCTGGTGGCCTTCATTTTGTATGATTGAGCAAGGATTAAGGCAAAAAAGCTTAGAGGGTTTATAGCAAGAAAAAGAGAGGGATATTAGAGGAAGGAAATAGTTAAAGAGAAAAGAGGAGAGAGAAGACAAACAGTCTTTTCATGAGTTCTTATTCGTATTGATAGAGGCCCCCTCCCCCTGGCTTCCTTTAAAAATCTAATATAAAAAAATAAAAGGTATTTTAAGGAAATTCCCTATGGGTTTGCACGAGGTAGCTGGCTGTATTTTTCAAATATTCTAGATACAATAGTTTCTTCCAAGGTTAGATATTGGTATTTCACTATCTGAGCCTTGGAATATTTCGTATATAGTTCAAATATACCTACCTAGGTACTCTATAGCAGCGCTTGAGGTATTTACTCGATGACTTCACTATGTAGTCTCTTCTTTTATCCTAGTGACCGGCGATGTCCGGTAATTGTTTATCTTGTCACTTTTTAATGTGGAAATACAACAAATACTCTGCCTTTTCATCCTAGTAACTTGAATCTAAGCTCGCTAAAAACTGATAATCGTTAGTGTGGTAGAGTTGGTATAGTGAACTTGAAGCTAGTAACCGGTGATGTCCGGTAATGGTTCATTTTGTCGCTTTTTTACTTTGGGAATACAACTAATAATCCACCTTGCTATCCTAATAACTTGAATCTATGCTTGCTAAAAAATTGATAATCGTTAGTGTGGTAGAGTTGGTATAGTGAACTTGAAGCTAGTAACCTATGCATTGCGCGTCTGTGGAGTGCAGGAATTATGTGGAGATGGTCTTGGCATACCCAACCCAACGGATTTGCACATGGATGTAGCCGGCGTAACCGGCACTAGTATAAGGCTAATTGAGGCTAACAGAGAACTTCACATTACCGACGTCCAAAGTGATCTAGTGGGTGAAATTTTACTTGTGGACCTTGGAACTTGTTACCTAGTTGCTCAGTGCTTGACTTAATGTGGAAACATTTGAATATTTTTCTACGGAAAGACTTGAGGAACTCCGAGAAAGCATGATCAAGCAGAATGAATGATGATTGACTTTTAGCTACTATCTAATATAGGAAAATTTAAATTGTCAACTTGTTGTTATGGTGGTTATTAAATATTTTCCTATCACTAAAGTACTTTGAAAAGACTATTATGTATCAACATAGGGACGAGGAATAATTTTTAGTGAAGCATGGAGAGAGAAGGAAGAAGAAAACAACAATATGTAGTACTTGGTCCCATCTATCTATGTACAAACATGGCAATTGGGACCAGTGGTGCTGACATTATGCAGCAAGTAAGTAATGAAGAGCAGCTTGACTGCCTTCATCTTTTGAATATTACTTAGATTTCAAATTCACCAGAGGTGATTCTACAGTAGCATTCAATGAGAGAAAATCTAGACATATATGGCATTTCAAATAAAAGCATACAAATGAGTTTCTGCTAAACAAATCTTCCTCTGAAAATCCTCCATAAATATTATCTTGCCGAATATCATTCACTCTGCTCCAAACATTGGCTTATGAATTTGCACTTTTCCGTCTTAGTATCCGCTAGATAAGGCAAAGAAGGTATCAATCTAACCATTGCTTAGACTCAGAAGTTTTAGGATAACTCACATTAGACACTGATAACTTCATAAGACATGATGTTCCAGTCCGACTTAGCGCAGTATGACTCCGAGTCACCCCTCATGAGGTCCGGTCTGTGGGTGCCATCACCAACACAATCCAGAGCGGAGTAGCCGATAATATAGAAGTTGGAATCGTCGAAATTAGGACTGAAGCCAAAAACCTTGTAACCGGTTCCAAGATCCATGTTGTAGCAGCCAGTCTCCTGGGAGTTCATCATCTGGTAAACCAGGGTTGAGTCTTTGCAGAACTCTCCGTGGTAACCTTGCACTTGCCAGGCGGAGGCAGATGCAGCCATGGCGGCGAGGGAGGCAACGACTGAGAGGAACTTCATATTGAATGATCGTATGAGGAAGGAAGAAATATTATTGTAAGACAAGATTATGAATAAATAGCTTAGACGAATAGCGATTGACACCTTCTCGAATTGTTTTGGAGATGTGGTTCAATACTATTTATATTGTTTTATTCGCGATATCCTTTTGCTTACATTATACAGAGTATGTATGGATAACCTTGAATTGTTCTTGACTCTCTCTCGTTTGACACTAGTTCTAGCCTATTGGTCGTATTTTAATCGAGTGTACGGAGTAGAGAAAAAAGATAGGAGAAGTGGAGTGAGAGGGGCAGAAATCCAAATTATGCGAAGAGCCAGGATTATTTTCATAACACGACGATGCTCTATGCTTCGATACGCAATGAAACATCTGAACGAATATCCTCAAGACTTGGGGTCTCCGATCTCCAGTCAATACCGGAATCTAGAATTCCCCTAGAGAAGGGGTTGGAGTATCCGAAGACGCGGGTCGTTCCTGATAGAGGAAATCCACAAGCGTGAAGCGTGGTAGAGATTTTCAAGGTTATCCAAGAAAGTTTAGCCTGACTAAGCTCGATTAGACTACAGGTGTGGAGCGACACTGGAGCCTCAGTAACTTAGACAAGCCGCAGACCCGAAACCATGACGACTACATAGCTCTAGTCCAGTTAGTCTGCCAAGAGGTCTAGTGGTAGCGTATGTACGGGGTAGTTGTATTAGGAGACTAATGCTCCCAAGAAGCCTATTGTTAATTTAGCTTGTATTGGACTAAATTTCCTAGCTCCGAGAGCCTTGCTTCTTCGGCCTCAAGTCACGATTTCAGTCGCATCTTTATGCAATTCCGATGCTAGTTCTGAGTGGGGCCGTCGATTTTCCTCAAAATCCTAATACCGCTCTCGAACACATGGCCAAAATGTGTTCACGATCCTTCGAGTCTACTAGCGTCCCAGCAGATGGTTCGCTACCGAACAGTCAGTGTGCAGGTCTCCGAAATGGCTATAGTCCATTGCCGAGGCACATACCACTCAAACGAGTACGACATATAGCATCCACTGGCAGCCAATGGAATGGTCACTGTATACGAAGTACCTATGATCTTACCAGAAAAGAAAAACTCATTATGGGACCGAACGGGTGGCTTCATCAAAGAGGGGAACTGCGGCAGACAGATGAGCTACAGGCAAATCAGGGAGACTGAAGGTCCAAGGCAGAGGCCAGGGCTACGGCCTCCGGGCGCCGGAGAACGAACTCCCAATTTTCGTACCCACCATGGATCCCGATCGTATCAGTTGAACTCCAGCCTGGCTTTTCACAAACGTTGTCGGGTATTCCGGCACTACCACCAACTTCACCCGCTAGTGTTACTAGTCTATGATCATATGTAGCGCACATGGCTATTTAGGGGGGGAAATGTTCGGGTGGATCTGGGATCCATTCTGCGATCTTTACAACCTAGAAACAACTTCAATACATGAACCGAAGATTTATGGGGCGTTTCACTTGCTTTAAATTACCAAAATATCTAATTTTTCCATGCTTGGTTTCAGAAATATCTCTATGCCTGATAAAGGTTAGATTAATAGAAATCAGTACATATACTGTCGAGTATATAAGATATCAAGACCGCCCAGAACTCGAAAATTTCCGTATCCAAGGCAAAAACCAAACTCTTCTATTTTCATTTGAAGTTTCCATCGATTTTCTCCATTGATCATTTCTTCTGGGACAAAAGCCATTTCAAGATGCAGCTCCTTCAGTCTCTTGCTTTCCTCGGAGCGATCTCCTCTGTGTCCGCTTATACTCTCTCTATCTACACAGCAGAAAGCTGCGAGACAGCCTTGATGTCATGGACCTCTACCTATACTGGCTGTATGAACATTAAAATGGGTACGTCTGTCCACTCCATTGAGGCGACAGATGTTAGTGGCTACCAAATCTGGACACATCCTACTGCCAATTGCGCTTGGGATCTTTACTCGACTGAATTGACAGCCGATGATACATGTACGACAGCCGGCGAAGACGAGGCTATCAAGTCGGTCAAGATTATTGCCGTTTAGGATTATTTTATTGGAGAAATTAGCCAGTGAGTATTAAAAGCTTTCATTCCAATTTTCTTTCACTTTCCTTCGGGCGAACATCGTGTTCTAATATGCACTCCTGCCAGTGAGAAAACAGTAATATGGAACTTCAAGTTGGTCAAAGTTTCCCCGGGAATTTTGTTATCAGCTTTTCTTTGTGTCTGTTGGACTCATGATCGGCAATGTTTTCAAAGACACTCTCGGTACAAGCTTGGGATCTAACAGGGTAGAAGGGTGACGAATTGGGCTGCCTGCTACTTGCCATCATGATGGTCGATGTATTCATATTAGAAACACCTTTTTAACTTGAAGTTACTATATGAAAGCCTTGATACCTAGTCTCAAGCGCTCCTCTTCTCCTAACCATCCGATCTTCTCTTTTATACAAGGCTTCTTCTTTCAATTTTTCCCTCTTCAAGTTCCATTAACTTGAAGTCATTCTACCCGTGGACCTTAAATTGGATTAGTAGTAATAGTAACACTGGCATTTATAGGTACTACCTACCTATGTACTTATGCTTCAATGTTGAAGCAAGGGGTCAAATTTTTCAATGTGAATCCTATACGTATATTTAGGCTTCTAATGCATACCTACTAGAAACTCATTATGCTCTTCTCGGACGATCGCCAGGTTCGTGAGAGAAGCAGAATCTCGCTACCACTGGCATGAACAGCACTATCACTGATTGAGAATGTTGAAATGTTCAATGTTCAATTTTTATACTCAAAGCATTATGCTCCCGAGGTACCCGATTTACCAGTGCTATCACAGATGCCTTATATCTCGTAACAACTTGGAATTTGTATTATATCGAGGTAGAGCTAGTAATAATCGGAGATCATATATAGTACTAGCACTAACCTTCAAGTTGGAAGGCATGATGAAATACCGACCCCGTAGGAACAAAAGGCTATCAAAAAATTCACGCAAAGTCATCGATTCTGTGCCCAGGTGGAGACTCGGAGTTAAAACAATGTTTGATAGGTATGGGTGTCAAGTAAACTATGTGCCACTGGCAAATAGATGTCTCTTGCCCAGGTGATAATGAATATGTAAGATGAGTCAGCAAATGCCCAGTAGGTATGGATCCATCCATATATCATGATATATGGTAGCCTGGAGCCTGAGCCCTGAAGTACTCAAGTGCTGGTAGTATCTACTCCGTACTGCTATTAATTATAATAATTAAAATCCCAACTTCCCATCGGCTCTCGTGCACCTAAATTGAAGTTGCAAGTTCAAACTTGAATGATCCAAGTTACATGTCAACATCCATTGGAAGTTTCAATATTTGAAATTTTGTCAAGTTCGTTCCCCGTACCATTGAGCTGGATATGTACACTAACAGAATAAAAAGTTTGGAACAATCGAATATTTGACTAATTCAGGTAAATTATATTCGCATGTCGCATGATAAATTCTATTTTTTGTCTACGATTACGCATCCTGCAGCTCTACCTAGAGCCCAACTTGAACTTGCAAGTGCCCGGTTTTACGGAAACTCGGATGCCTGGTGGATACATTGCACCACTAAGCTTCAATCATGGTACATTCACATCGTGTTCAAGCTTGAATAGTTCAAAATGTTCCGTAGTTTGCAGACTGAAGCAGTGGAACATTGAGTTATTGTAGAGTATATGAACTATATGGATCCATGGATCATTCCATCTAAACGTAGGAACTATGAACTTGCATCCAGATCATGCGAACATGCCACAACTCCCCATTCTTCATGCCAGGGATAGTACATCCTCCCTGATCCAATGAATGATCGTGGCTGAGCTGGGAAATGAGGCGCAGCTCAATTTTTTTTCTCTCTATCTTATTTACCATGACAGCATTAACCAAGTCCATTAAAGAAACATGGGGCAAGCATAAAAGAGGCCCCGTTGATCGGCGACCCAACGTCATTCCCGCTCCCCGCCAACTCTCATTTCCGTAATCTTTCCTTTGTTAAAAAAAACACTCCGATCTCTGCTTCCACTACAACGTACCCAAACCCAAAGCCCTACGATCGCAAACCCATCCGAAGACCGAATCTGTTCGATATCCTCGCTATACCTCGACAGAATACCTGAGGCTGCCCCGCCGCGACCCGGGCGCTTGCCGCCATGTCCGCCACGGCCACAGTCTTGCTGGACAGCCAACACACGCACTTTACAAACTTGGACTCTCTATGTGGCCGGGTGGTGCTCAATCTTCCAACAGAAGCTGCTATTGCTGGAATCCAAGTCAAATTGGAAGGAGAAAGTCGAACAAGACTGTCTGGGCCTAAGAATCCTCAAAATGTGAACTCCGATAAAAAGCGAACAGAGCTGGAGGTCCATAAGGTACGACACAATTGACGATATAAAGTGACCGTCAGGGGAAATAACTCAGATTTCTAGATATTATACAAAGTCGCGACCGTTTTCCCGAGTCCAGCTGTGGTGCAAACTGGACCGGCGGCAACTTCCTACACGTTCGCCGCGGGCTCATATGAATATCCCTTCCAATTCAAGGTCGGTCTTTGGTCTTCGAAAAAGAAGCTTAGAAATTATTCTAATCCCCTCCTAGTTTCCCTTCAACAATGCCTGCAGTACCCATAACAGTATGCTTACAAACCTCAATTTCACCGGGCTTCGCGTTGAGATGGCCCGCGACCCTCATCGACATGTTAAAAAGACTCTCCCTCCTTCTTTGAGTGGATTCCCTGGTATGGCCGATATTCGATACTATGTGAAAGCTACCATTATTCGCCCCCAATTTTACAAAGAAAATATTCGGGCGGTATGGATTTCCCCCCCTTTAAAATGGATTCGAGCTCAGCTAATTAATGAAATTAGGTTGTGCCTTTGATGTTTCTCCCCATTGAGCCCCCAAGAACTGGGAATCCAAAGGAAGAAACATATGCTAGACGACAACACCAGTTTACAAAATTCGAACCTGGGAAATCGAAGAAGAATCTCTTCTCTCGACCTTCAACTCGGGATGTCCGAGGTAGCTCTACGGAGCCTCCGCGGGTATCGGTGGATGCTCGACTGCCGTATCCTTCCATCCTCACATGCAATGAGCCCATTCCACTTCGGCTGATCGCCAGGAAGCTAACTGATTCACCGGACACGCTCTACCTTCAAATGCTTCAGATTGAACTGATCTCCTACACCAAAGTTATCGCGCACGATCTCACTCGTTCCGAACTAAACAGTTGGGTCGTTTTGAGTCGCAGCAATATGGGTCAACCATTAGGTCAACCAGGCGACTCGGCAGGAACTGACTGGACTATCGATCCGAGGCTGTGGAACACCCTTCCTCTACCTAACTCGGTGGCACCATCATTTGAAACATGTAACATTGAACGCAAATATGAATTGGAAGTGCGTGTCGGGCTGACTCACGGCTCATCGGGAAGTATGAAGGTATGTTTTCCTTTTTTTTCTTCCTTGCCTTTCTCTTTCCAATTTCTGTCTTACGTTTGGGGGCCATCGATCATGAACGATGACTAACTTTGACTTTTATAGCCGCAATTGATCATTGTTCCTCTGCGAATGCCAGTTAAAATATTTTCTGGTATCGCTCCTCCTCAAGCCTTATTGGATGCCATGGCGGCAGCAACCCTTCAACAGGCACCTCCCAAGATAAACCCTTCACCCACTTGGCCAGCAGATAACCGTTCGGATAATCCACCCCCGATGCCACCCCGGCCATCCGGACCTGTAACTGCAGTTGTACCCGCAGATTCAAGCGCGGCCTATGATGACGCACCCCCAAGCTATGAGGATGCAATGGCAGATAATCTTAGCCCGGTAGATGGACCACGCCGCGAGTATCACCCACCAGACGCCTCTTCCTCCCGAAGTTCAGTGGACTCTGGAACTGATACCAAATCCCCAGTCGAATCTGGCCGGACAAGTGAGAGGGGATCCGCCCCAGCCCCAGAAGGGCACCTCACTTCCCGGACTCGAGACCGAGAGCCTGAAGGCCGTTCCTCCTCCGAATCCTTCGATATGCTGCCCAACACCCCTCCCGAATCCATTTCCGGTTCTCCGCCTGGTTCCCCCGTGAGACGCTCCCATAGTATGATGAAGGTTTCTCGGAATGCCGTGGATGACGAGAGTCCACCACAGTATCAGCCTGTTGCGGAGAGTCACCTCCAAGCCTCGAGTAGTACTATCCAGCATCGACCCTCGCGGAATAGCCTCCGGCCCATGAACTTGGGTGTTCCGATGCGAAAACCGGTTCCTAGAAACGGGGACATTCTTCAGAGACGACCTACAACTTGATTAGAAGTTCGGGTGTTATTCTTTTTTCTTTCTTCTACAGACAATATCCCTTTCTTCGTACATATGTGGAGACTTAATCTCTGCCACCTGCATTTCTGATATCCTGATGATACTTGATGCTGTTTTGGCGGTTTAAACGGCTTCCTTTTACAGTTTTGCATTCGTGCGGGTTTAGGTCACCGCGTATACGTTACAATTACATAATATCACTTGTAATTGAACCCATGAAATGTCCATTGTAGTTAGAGCTCTATCTTTAGCTTGAATAATCCATATACCTAAGAACAAAATCCCTCTCAATCACGAAGACCAGCCCCGGAATCGTTGTAAAAAGCTTTGGCAGAACGACCTCCATGAAGAATGAATATAGATATCTTCGCCAGAACGGTTGGAAACTAAGAGCCAGCTCAGGTCCCAACAAGCCTTTGCGAACCAACGCTTGACACTTCTTCGTCTCCTTGGCTGAGTCGATAGCCGTGTACCCAAGTTCAGTATCCCCGAACATATGCTTTGTCTTGCGCTTGAAATCATATGCGATTAACGCCATTGTAGGTTAGACGTTATACCAACAAGCCGAAATAAGACCATCAAAGACTTCGTTTCTATTCAGTTTCGGAAACTCCAACTCTTTCCCGAACCGATCCCATTCCTCGATGCTAAGTTCAAGATCTTCGTAGGGCTCATGGCCGTAGACCATCAAATATAGAAGAGTTCCAAGGGCAAATTGCTCAGTTCTAGCAGAGCAGAGACCGCGTGAACCCTGCAAAGGACCATCGAAAATCGGTAAAGCGCGTGGAGGGAAGATACCTTCAAGAAGCTGTCCAATAGTAATAGCGCGACCGAAATCAGTCAGCTTCAGGTTGAAGTCACTGTCAAGAAGACAGTTACTTGCATGCAGATCATTATGACAGAATCCCATTTTCTCGATAAACTCAAGGGCTGATGCAAGTTGTTGGATCCATCGGGCGATGAGAGCGGGATCTTCGTACTCGTTCAATTTTACAACACGCCCTCGGAGGTTATCCTTGGCCTCCACTCGTTCTTGACGGTCGAAAAAACGAGACGACATTGCCTTGTGAGTGCAATATGACAGAAAGATATGGTCTGGGAGCACAAGAAAACATTCGATAATTTCTTGGCATCGATCCTGGCGTGAATTCAGACGTTTGTAAAACTCAACTTCCTTGCAGAAATCGTAACATTGCGCCGTTGCAGGAGGGTTTTTGTTGGTGCGAATAGCTTTCACAACAACAGTTGAAGTGACATGGTAGATATCAGCTTCGAGTCCTCCGCCAACCAAAGCATACTTTTCGAGAGGTTCGGTATATTGGAAATCCATAGAAAATCAATATGTGAGCAATTTTAGTTGTAGTAGGTACATAGCCGTTCAGACTGTGCAAAGAGATAAACAAGTACAAGAGCGGTTCAGTGGAGACAGCAGGAGTGGGGGGTGGGGAGCGAGAAAAAGGCCCCTTCATGATACATTCCAAGCCATTGCAAGGTTAAGGGGCTGCGCCCGGGTGCAGTACTCCGTACGGGTACGCTAAGCCCTTTTAGTCAAAAGTCGTTCTCGATCACCTGGACGCTTCTACTCCATATCTAGTCCAAATTACAAGCACACAATAATGAAGTCAATATAAAAGAGTGAAACTTCTGCTTAGCAATGTTGAATTGCCAGCAGAATAAATTTCAAAGGGCCAAAAAGAAAACACCGCATGTGAGTAGGTAATGACCGTTAAGTACATAGTTGAATGCATCCGATAAGTTCGCGTGGGTCACAGCAGAGCCGCCTTGAGAACCCAACACAACTACAGGCCTTCATCCAACAGAACAACAAACTCCAAAAAAAGAAAGAAAGAAAGAAAGAAAACAACATTGAAAGCTACAATACTCTAGGAAAACTTAAAAGAATGACTGATGTACTCTCCAATACCTAGGTACTGGACGTTGGCCCCTTAGCCCTCTGAAGATGACGACTGGCTGACTCTACGCCATGCGATCTGAGGAACAACTGAGGCATCCTACATAGAAGATTCATTAAATCACAAGATACTTTTCAAGTCTCACAGCTTTGGACGAGAAACTGACAGGGAAATTAAAAGGGCTCAAATTTCAGAGCTCCGCCCTGTGCAGTCGGGTACCCCTTCCCACCAGCTCCTTGTGTCCAAGTGCCGTTGTACTTGCAGTCATTGCAAGGATCATCCGAACGAGTGTTGCGAATATCATCAGTTCTGCCTTTCTCAATCCCGCAACTGTTGCATCCAGGCTCAGGGACCAGATGGCCAGGGGTCTCAAGAACATGGCCGCAGGCATATTTGACTATGCTATAGCTTCTTCGGCACATGGTAGCGTCGGTGATCTGCCTTTCTTTTTTATTCTCTGAGTCTCAAGCTTTTTTTTGCTTTGTTTTTTTTTTCAAAAAAAAAAAGAACGACAAACAAACATAGGAGGTACGATAGATACCTGTAAGGTGTATCCTTAATGAGGCAGATGCTTTGTCTATGTATGATACCAAAAAAAGAGGACTCAGAATAAAAATGATCTCAGAAGTCAAGATTGATTGATGGGTTTGATTTTGAAAGCTTGGGGGAAAGGCCCCTTTTTATAATCAATTGATGGGCTTCACTTGTTATGAAAACTGATTCTTATTCGAGCTTTCTAGTGGCTGACGTGTCTATGAGCAAGAGCTCTTGTAGTGAGCACATGAGAAAGCTGTTTTGTTGGGCAAGAAATATTCGAAGAGCTTCTCTTGGGGTTAGACACGTCAACTTGAAAATGGTCGTAGTCATTTGATAGTAGAACATATTGCACAAATATACAGGGGGCTAGAGGAGATTTTGCAGCAACAGGAGATAATAGGTCACGAAGAAGTGACAAATAGGCAGTGATGGTTGCCAATAAGGCAATAAATGTTGGTAATGATCACGTTTGAATAGTATTGGGCAGCAAGTGCCACAAGACAGACTAGAACTGGCATGAGACAGACATCGCCTGGGCTTAATGTTTGTGTTTGAATAAGGCAACAGGGCGTCTCAAGGCAGACCTCAAGGCAGATCCCAAGGCAGGTACTAGGATGTTTGTGCTTGAAAAGTATTAGGCAGAATGGGCCAAGGGCCCAAGGCAGACTGGCAGACAACCGCAAAACTCGAGCTTTGGGACTAAATTGCAATCTTCGCTTCACTTCCTTTGGCCATCCTAGGGTTGTGTTTGGTGTAACAGCCTAAGCGACTAGTATCTCTTGTCGTCCGAGTCCATGGATGCAGACTACTGCGGCCATGTCATATATTAATATTTGGGATGGTTAAGCCACGAAAACACGGCTCTCGCCCACTTTGACCCATTGCTTTTATTAAATGACACTTTGAGACTATACGGCTATCAAAGTAAACATGCATAGCAATATCAACAAAAATTCAGGATCGGTCGCATAATTGGGCAGTTTCTTGATGATAGGCTAAAGCTAGTACCTCTCTCAAACGTTGCTCGGTGGCCAACCAGGTCGAGTATAGTAATGGATCGTGGGCTTCTGCACTTTTACATATGTAGCGTCTTCAATGGAAAGACTGGCACGCGCCATGCTTTGATAAGTTTTGTGAGCATCCTCTGCACGGATTCAAATAGTTTTAAACCCTTTTAACGTGGGCGCAATCATGCCTTGTAAGTACTCCCCCTCACTTTGAACGTAATTTCCATAGTGGTAGATCTCGGGCTCAACCAAGATAAGGCGATTGTCCCTAGGGGACTCCTGATCAATACAAAAGAATGGATCACAGATATAGCCCAATCCTTGGAACTTGTCCACTTGGACAAGGATGTTGAATATATCATCACAATTTCCATCTTCTTGCTTTTCCCATGGCACAAAGCGAGCATATTTTCGTTTCTCAAGATTATCGTCATAGTAGTCCCAACAATCGTCAGAGTCCTCTTGATAATTAGATTTGTCGTAGACCTTGTAAATCTCCCTTTTAATTGATTTGTCCTCATCATCTGTTAGATGTTTTGTGAGATAGAAGACCGGAATAGAACCAAATTGCTCTGAGGGTCGATGGCACTCATTACATATAGGAGAGTCCTTCCATGGTGGAGGATTACAATAGAATGGCTGCTTTAGATGATATGCCACTTCAGCAGCCTCAGTATGACCAAGTCCAGCATCATCAAAATAGCGATCGTCAACAACATTTTCCCAAAGGTTCGGATTGATCACGTTGAATAGCGAAGTGAGAAGAAATTTGAATGGACCATGCGGATCAAAGCCACGGTATACTAAATAGAAATGACACTCGAGGGGTGATCGCGGATTGAAGGTGATAGCAAAAGAATAAAAGGTGGAAAGCCCGCTTCTAAGGAGGATGTATGGAGACGATAATTGTCTTTGAATGTCATCACATCACTTCGTGACTGCATATGATGCTTTTCGATGGGAATCAGTTCAAACTGTATGGCTTCGCCTGCCCAGCGGACGCTAGTTTTTTCCAGATCTTTGGTCATAGCGCTAATTTTGTTGGCAGTCGCTGGGAACATCACGAAAATGTGGAGATGTTCTTCGCTCTGAGGAAAATTCCACAGTGGGTATTGGATCGAGGGATTCAACTGTGTGCAAACCATCTGGAACAATTCAGGTGGGAGTCGTCATGCCACGACTGACAATATTTTTTATAGATCTCTCCCGCGGGCAATCTCGCAAATCTGACACAATGTGTTGAGTCGTAAAGGGAGCTGCATTCGGATCACGGAGTACCATACTAGCACGCAAGTTATTGACGCAGTCGTACTCATCAAATCCACTCCCTTCATATTCTTGAAAATAATGGTGACTGTTGCCAGCTTGATATTTGTTCAGGAGAGCCGGCAGCCTGCCAAAGTGGGAGTTCTCATATTCAGCATCTGCTGCATACCCGGTATTACCAACCGAGTGATCCGCTCTCTGATCCTCTCCCTTCCATTGCATTGCTAACTGTTGGAAGGTCTGGCGTTGGAAGCGAGTGACAACCACCCGAATGCCATCTTTGTTCGTGTCAGGCTCTGGGCGTGGCTTGTATGACACCTTGCCAAGTCGAAATTCTGATTCTGAATCATGATTCACGTAGAAATCGTCGTCAATCGACCTCATGGTTGTCTTGCGAGGTTCTGTGCGAACAGTGACCATGACCACAATATCTTTCTTGCTTTCAATAGGTATGAGAGTTCGCTGGAGAATACGTTTGGTGAGATCATCAGCCACGAGGAAGGATGTGCCAGCGGATCCAAATTCCAAGCCAGATTTCAGAGCAAGCATCGCAAGAGCATAGATATTTGCCTGGCTGTCACGATATGGGCCTTGCTTGGAGATAGAGCTGAGTAGTTCAAGAGATGGAGTCCAAGTTTTAATCTCAATTCCATTCTTAATGTATTTGTCTAGCTCCTTACAGACAAGGTTGTTTTTGTCTTTCTCGGTCAAGTCGGTTAAAAAAATTTGCTGCAGCACCTTGTCGTGCCTCTTGAAAGCAGGCATCTCATCGGGAGACCCGCAGTCTGAGACTGACTTATCACTGGGTTTAGATTTGAACATCGTGGGGCCGCGGACTGGGTGAGCTGTAGATTATGTCGAATCCACGTAGAGGTCTTGATATGGAGATTGGACAAGTTGCGTATCTCCTGAGGACGCGTCTAGATTAACTGATAACAGCCATGGAATTAGATTGTAGAACAAAGAAAATTGGCGAGGACATCCAAGATTGACCTTCGGACTGAATATTTCAAGTTGATATTGACATAGTACGCGTCAAAATGACGGAATGGCCATAGGAAACATTGAATCCAGAAGAGAGAGTAAAAGCATCCATGGATCTGGATGAAATGAGTGCCAGTACTAGGCACTAACATGTTCAATAGTACTGTATTTGACTGAAAGGTTGGAGGTGATGCTGTGCCCAGGTGATAATTCACGTTCGACGACAACTTGCTTAGTAGATCACTTTTTCGACAATTCATTCAACGATGAGACATCATGATATACTCACTCAATTTAGAGGGCTTAGCTTCTTGGGAGAACAATTGGACAATATTTATTCATAATTGTAATCCTAATCAACCATACGGTTCATCCTTCCAGGACGATATAGATCCTGTTTATTTCTGCCTGAGGTGTCAGTATCCTAATCAGGCTAGCGCATCTCCAGGTTTTGGAGCTGCACGAGGCACCTCTTGCTTGACCGACTCCCTGTTCTGTGTTATTCATTTAGTAAGGGGCATATCTGTGTCTTCGCTGTCCGGATATTTCAATACTACTGGAATTCTGAACTCCTACTTTCTTTGAAGAGAAATCTCCCATTCACGCGTCTTGGATCGCCCAGCGCGAAATTTGACGCGCAACCCGATCCTGCCCATCCTATTTCTTGCCCGGCTCTTCTTCCTCCCTGTCGGCTTATTCCCGATGATCTAGTCCGTCAAATCGCATAATAATGCGCCTTCATTTGATTATCTCGCGGCATGGCTTGCCTGCCACCCGTGTCCTATGGACGACCGCTGCAGGAGGATATGGCTCTCATGGCCCAGCTCCCACTTCAGCCATTGCCTCATCACGTACGCCGAATATCGCATTTGCCAATGGCGGATACACAATTGCTCAGTTACTGGAGGATGTGAACGAGGTGGTGCCTCTTGAAACAGAACCTAGTGTTTTTGACCCGGAATTCAGCGGCCACTGGGGATTGGAAGATTACGTGGTGGAAGTTAGTGGATCTGAGTGTCTGCACTTTATGGAAGTTGAGGGACTGCTTAGAGATGGAGATGAAGTCGTGTAAGTTGCCATTTTGTTCATGATGGGTTGAATCCCATTTGCTAATGTCCCTGGCCAGCATCCGAGCTTTGCAGCTTGCAGATTTGCGCGCAAGAAGACTTTGCGGCCGTCATCAGATCACCTCAGATGGAAAACACCTCATCGATGGAGTTCCTTTCGGTTTACCTTTCAAGCATCGCAATACCTCTCATAGACCCGCTGTTACCATTCCCCCGAGAAAGAAGAGACGCACTTTGCTTTCGGGCTGGGATCAAGATCCCGGCTACGCATTCGACAACCCCAATCCCGATGAGGAGGGTGGTGACGGAGAGTGGCTGCCACCTAGTGACACAGGATTTGGAAAGGAGCTTTCCATACTACCTACAGAGCATGACATGTCCTTGGGAACGGTCATCAGACATCCCGTTGCCCACTCTGCGGATGAAGACAGCGAGGATGCAGAAGACTATGAGATGGAGGAAGATGAACTTGAAAGCGAACTCGAGGCTTTAAAGGCAGACTTTGAAGTGCCTGCTTCTCAATTCCTCAATGTTCAACCAGAAGCTCGGCGGGTTGTTGATTCTTCCATTCAGCGACCAAATTCTGCGGGAAATAGACCTGATTCGTCAAGTACTCAAGGCAAAGCATCCTTGGTAGGCGTTTCTTCCTTATCTAGTAAAAGATCTCGTGGGGATGATTCTTCACCTAGAACCTCGAAAGCCGTGAGGTTTAACAAAGGAGATGACTTAGAACTGCCACAACAAATCCAACCTGCCAAACTTGAAGTTGAAGTTGAAGTTGAAGATCGTTCGGCGGCGTCATGTTCCCAATCTGAATCGGACTCTGACTCTTCCGATTCGGATTCGGATTCGGATTCAGACTCTGATTCTGATATGTCTTCCAGTGAATCAGAGGCAGAAAATTCGTCTGAAGAACATGATTCCTCAGAAGAGGAGGAAGACTCTGACGTGAATGGCTCATCATCTTCATCTTCATCCTCATCCGAAGACTCTAGCTCCGAAGAAGACTCGTCTGACGAGGAATCTGCCCTCCCCGCCCACAAAAAAGTGCGACTTTCTATTATGGCCCCCCCCTGGTCAGGGTTCCATACGAACAAAGAAGAGTAATACCCGTTACAAACTTCGACGTCGTCTATCCAAACTTAAGGAAATCGGTGTGCTTCCCGCTGAAGCTGACTTTTCCGCTCTTCGCTCTTGGGAGGAACAAAACGGCGGTTGGCATTACCCTGAAGAGTCAAGTATTATGTCTACCCGGCCAAGCAAGTCCGAAAAGCAGGAGCAGGAGCGGCTGGAGTTTGAGGCGAAACGACAGAAACTGCTGAATGATCTTGCTTCCGGAGGCATTGACGTTGAAGAAGCATCTGAGAAGGAAAACATGCCCCCACGTACCTCCACCGTCTCAGAATCTGCCATCCCAGAGCAGTCTAAAGATGAAGCACCTGAACCAGAACGCCCGAGTCGTCGTACCTTAGATATCGCAAGCTCGCGTCGATTGATTTTTGGACCTCTTGGGCTACGCACGCCAAAGACGAAAGAAGATGAGGAGGCAACTCGCACAAAGTTGGCCGCCCTAGCCAGCAAGGGGAATCGCAAGAAGCCGATTGAAGCACCGCCAGTCGAATCGAATGAAGAAGAGAACGATGGTCGTGATCCTAACTGGCAAGAGAAGCTTACCATCACAGCCACGGAGTGCATGCTTCCTGACATCACACTAACCGCACCACCTTTTCCCTTCGTGAATCGTTGGGATAAAGATGCAAATGATAAAATTCGAGCTGAAATGGGTTGGGGGAAGAAGCGAAAGCGAAAGCAGAGAATTCAAGTTTACGAAGGTCACGAGGATGAAGCCTATGGGGACTATCAGAATGAAAATGACAACTACGAAGATCATAGCAATTGGGAAGAGACCGAGCTCGATTACAATGAAGAACCGGAAGCGGAAAATGCCCCAAGTGAGCAAGCTGCTGCTACTGACGACCTCCCTGCCCTGCCCAATGACCCGAGCTCTCTTGCAGACTTGCTTGAATGTGAGGCAAATCCTGGGGCCGTAATCGCATTTCGTCAATTAGACATGTCCAAGGATACAAATTGGCAGCCTCGGATGTCCGAGTATCGAGTGGCTGAAGTGCACCAAGTTGACCAAGGCAACCTGCATGTACAGCTAGCGGTGAGGGATCGGAAACCGAAGAAAAACGACTACAACTCCGAAGATGACGAACCACGGGAATACAGTGGCTTTGAGATGCCTGGCTTCGACGATGATGATGGAGATGATGATGGCTTTCGTGAACTTGCCTTTGCGGAACTGAGCGACCCCAAACTTCTCAAGCCCGCACCGTCGGCCTATGAGAACGAGGAGAACGACAAGAACAATGCTCAAGAAGGTAGCATGTCAGTGAATTGACCTTGGTTTTTGTTTCCAATGCTCACTCGCTTTTAAGTGTCTCCATAGTCGAGGATTCGATGCCGAACGCCCAATTGGCTCCCCCAGTGGCAGACATGGACCTCGATGAAACAACTTTTGTGACTTTAGTCACTGCCAATGAATCCCCCGTGCGACTTTCCGATGTCCCCTCTATCCCCTCCATTCAAACCCCGGGAGGTCGCCTAATCACTGCGACACGAGGCCAAGATGCCGATGACGAGCGTAGCGACAGCCCGGTAGTGCCCTCGCCTTCATTCTCCGGGTTCCACTCTGTTCGGTCATCTCCAGGCACAACCATGCGCTTCCATAATGAATGCGAAGAGAGCAATATCCTTGACGGTCATACTCTCATAGAAGAGGCCCAGACTACTCTTGCCGATATTTCAAATCAGGATTTCTCGGGACTTTCATTCTTATCTGCCAACCAATATTTTTCCAATGATCGTTCTCAGAGCGAGGAACAGCATGATCGCCAAGTAGTTGAGGAGCCCCAGGCTGCTTCCGGGGGAAATACATCCGGAAGTAATTCTCTCCTCTTTCAGCTGCAGGTTAACGACGGCGCCAACTTAACTTCTTCTAAGGCCCCACCTGTCCAGAGTGCTGTTGAAGAAAGCCCCAATGTCCAAGGGGAAGATATGGGTCGAGCATCGCAGGCATGGAGCGAGGTCACGAGATTTCTACACAAAGATCAATCTTCTTTAGATCACACTGATCAGGACAAGGACGAGCTCGAGGACGATACGGACGGTGATCAAGAAGATGGAGATAGCCTTCTTCATAGCAATCAGAGCCTGGATCTCTCTCCGCATCCATCTCCATTTCCCTCCAGCTCACACTCATCCCGCAGACCACCTCCGAGTGCCCAGCGTCAAACTCCATCCCAGTCTCAACCAACTCCGACAAACAAGAAATCTAAAACATCCAAACGCAACGCTGAATCACCTGCTGGGTCTACCCACTCCAAGCGTAGCGCTCGCCCAGTTGGTTCCCAGATCAGTGCATCGCAGATGTCCGAAGTCATAGATCTTACCTCTAGCCCGGCCCCTGAGGCTTTGACGCACAATCAATCAGCGTCGGTGTCGAAGCCAGGCGCTGATGATCGCGTTCTCGAAGTTTCTGGACCTGAGAGTCGACCATCAACCTCAAAAGTCCAGCACATGACGGAAGTCAGTATCAGCTCGCCAATAATTCCAAAGAAGACTAAGAAGAAGCGATTGTCCCGTAAATTTTGAGACTTTCTCGGCTTTTGAGTCTCATTTTCCTTTGACTTCTCTAGGTCAATGTCCCTTCCTTATTCTCACTATCTTATTCCCACCGTCTCTGTGCATTTACGAGATATCCATTCCTTGTATCTTATCTACGAAATTGGCGTCATGCCATGGACAAATCTATGATTCTTCCCAAATCAACTGGCAAATTATTTATCCCTTCCTTTTCCAAGTTTATAACTATTAAATGGCATTAAGTATGAAGTAAGTAATCATGATCATGAAGCAGTGAAGCCAAATACAGGAATTGTTGACCAATTCAGACCATTTATTGGCTCAATATGACGTCACTACGCGTCTAGTTAGTCTCAACTCTCAATACAATGATCCACATCAACTTTATCAATTGAAGTCATGATAGTTTCAACCCTCAAATCCATGTTCCATGGTCATAAACACTGTGGAACCAGCGTGAATGGTCATATTTAATCATTCATGTATTCCTACATTTCCTTTCAACCTCATCTCCTCATGTTATCTCTTCACCCTCTTCCCCGCTCTCTGCACCTCTCTCCTTCACCAATCAGGACTCTATCTCAAGGCCGGGCTAGCCTGGTACTAAGGTGTCGGTGTGACTCGCAACTCACAAGGTGTTCGCGTCCCTGCACATATCCAATTGTCAGCCGGGGGATTCGTAATACACCTACTTCCTTGTCATACTCTACCAACATTCAACATTCCATCTCATCTAGTCAGCACATTCGAGCTTCACAATACTTTAATAATCAATCTGTTCAATCACGAGCTCCGGTTCTTCCATTGCGTTTTCCTCTGTCACCATTGCCCTCTTTTCCTCGCAAACTTATTAATCCTCCCCTCTTTCAAACCCCGCATTCCCAAATACAACTCCAAACCCAAGGTCGCCATTTTTCATCAACGTTCCAAATGGCTCAAGAGTATAAACTCAAGGGTATCACCTCGTTGAGTGAACTGAAATCCTCTACTGATAAAATTGAGGTGGATGTTGAAGGCATTCCCGATGGAAAGGTCCTGCTTGTCAATCTCGACGGCAACATCCACGCCCTGAGTCCACGATGTACGCATTATGGCGCACCACTGAAGAATGGTGTAGTGGCACCTGATGGACGAATTACTTGTCCTTGGCACGGAGGTATGCATCTCAATAATCCGCAATAGGGCTCAGTGGTATACATATCCTAGTTATACCGAGTCTATAGTTCAAGCATGGATGACAGCGCTAACGAATGATAGCTTGCTTCAATGTCACGACCGGAGATGTCGAAGATGCTCCTGCTCTCAACGCTCTGCATAAATATGACGTCTTCGAGAAAGACGGCGCAGTCTACATCAGTGCTGCAGAAGCCGATATCAAATTTGCTCAGCGAGACCCAGTCTGGAAATGCAGTCCTTCCAAATCCGAGGAAAAGGTCGTTGTTGTAGGAGGGTAAGACATATCGCAATGCTAGAAAGATGCAAATACTAATTAATGGAAACAGTGGAAGTGGAGCAATCGGCGTTGTCCAATCCCTCCGCGAACTGAAATACCCCGGTCAAATCACCATAATCTCCACAGAGCCAGAATATGTTATCGACCGTCCCAAGCTCTCCAAAGCCCTCATTCCAGATGCATCAAAGATTCTCTGGCGCCCCGCAGAATGGTACACCGAGGCCGGAATCGAGACCTTAGTCGACGAAGTCAAAGGCGTAGACTTCACTTCAAAGAGTCTCTCAACAGCCTCCGGTAAAACAATCTCCTACACAAAACTTGTTCTCGCAACAGGCGGTGTTCCACGCACACTACCATTGCCGGGTTTCAAGAATAATGAACTCAAAAACATCTTCACCCTGCGTACTGTCGCAGATGTAGCCGCCATACTAGATGCAGCAGGAACCACACGCAAGAATATCGTTGTAATCGGCAGTTCCTTCATCGGTATGGAGGTTGGAAATGCTCTTGCAGGCAAAGACCATGCCGTAACAATTGTCGGCATGGAAAGTGCCCCAATGGAACGAGTCATGGGCGTGGAAGTTGGCCAGATTTTCCAACGAAATTTAGAGAAATCAGGCGTGGTGTTTAAACTATCTGCGGGTGTGGAAAAAGCTACTCCATCTCAGGAGGGTACTGTCGGTGCTGTTCATCTGAAGGATGGGACCGTTCTTCCAGCTGATCTCGTTGTTCTGGGCGTTGGTGTTCGTCCTGCGACGGATTATCTACAAGGGAACTCGGCTATCTCCTTGCTGAAAGATGGTTCTATTGCTACGGATGGACACTTCGTTGTCCCAGGATTACGGGACTCCGTCTTTGCGGTGGGCGATATCGCGACGTACCCGTATCATGGACCTGGTGGCAATGGTGCGCCGGTTAGGATTGAACATTGGAATGTTGCGCAGAATGCTGGCCGGGCTGTTGCGAGAGCGATTGTTCATGAGCGCAGAGCAGCGTTGACGTCTTTGGCGCCAAGACTGTTCATTCCTATCTTCTGGTCGGCCCTTGGTGCTCAATTGCGCTACTGTGGAAACACGGTCAATGGGTATGATGATGTGGTTTTGCGCGGAGAGCCGGAGAACGGGAAGTTCGTTGCGTACTATACGCTTGATGATGTGGTTGTGGCGGTTGCTACTATGGGAGTGGATCCTGTGATGTCTCAGTCGGCGGAATTGATGAGGAGAGGAAAGATGCCAGGTAAGAAGGATATCCTTGGAGGATTGGATGTGTTGCAGGTGAAGTCGTAACTTCCAAGGTTGGATATGTGGCACAGGTATGCTACCTATTGATTGAACCGTGTGATGTAGTCTTTATACAGAGAGCTTGTTGTTGAACCAGCAGCCAAGCTCTGGTAGTCAGTATCTTTATGACACTCTGGTTATAAATTTCTGCAGAGATTATGATTTGATGTACGGATGTATTTTTATCAAGTTGGCATGTACACATTTGCATAGATCTTTTGACCGGAACGCCTACCGCGAATGTAGAGGAAATGTCAAAGGTAGAACAGACAATATCAAAGACAGACAATCCAGAGAGGTGAGACTCTGCTGGCTCCAGTATACAAGAATTCTATTTCTTCTCCTTCTTCTCCTTCTTCTCCTTCTTCTCCTTCTTCTCCTTCTTCTCCTTCTTCTCCTTCTTTTCTTTCTTTTCCTTTTTCTCCTTCTTCTCCTTCTTCTCGACCTTCTCAACCTTCTCACTTGGCTCCTCCAATTCAATATCAGCCACCTGCACCGACTCAGCTGGCGGCGAAAGAGAAATAGGAATCACCCGGTTGAACTTCTTATCGGTAGAAGACGCCGACTCTGAAAGAATAGCAGCAGGCACCGACTGACCCTGGTACTCAGACAAGACAAGCTTCTCCTCCTCAGCGGGCTCCAGCATAGTACCCTCAATACTCAAAAAGCCACGGTCCCGCTCCGAGCCCGGAATGACATCAACATCGACAACACGGAATTTCACATTGCCACGCACCCGGTGACCAGACACAGACTGGAAGTGACCCGAACCAGCCTCCTCCTCCTCATCACCATCGAGACCAAGCTCGTCCGCAGCCAGTGAGATGGGCTGGAAATGTTCCTTCTCGGCATCGAAGAAAGCCTTATCGTTTCCGCTGTTCTCATCGTCCGTTGTCATGGACTCCTTAGCGGTGTCGGTTTCTGTCTCGCCTTCCTCGCCTGGTGGAACCCACTTCCAACTTTTGGGGAGGCGCTTGCGCTCAATACCCACGGAGAACAGGTTGAAGACAACGGCGCCGAGGAAACCCTCTGATTGCACGTTCACCCAGCCATCTAGCGTTTGGCCTCGTTGGGGACGAAAGACGAGGAACGTCGCGGTGAGGTAGACGTATAGAACGCCGTACTCGTCGGCCGTCTTGGCGTGAGTCAATTGGGCAGGATTGGGATCTGTGCTGGACTGGTTGGATTTAGAGGAAGGTGGGAAGCTGGAGATTGAAGCGTTGGAGTAGGCCATAACCACACCCTTCAGAGGGGGGTAGTAGGTTAAGAGCAGCGGGGCGAGATGCTCCGCCTGGAGGGAAGCCAGCGCATGAGTTGGCGAGATGGAGATAGGCGCAAGAGGCAGGTATAGTGTAGCCTTTGTGAGCGAGAAGGGAGACTTGGAATTAGAGTAGGAAGATTCTGACAAGGACTTCTGGTCCTTCTTTTTAGATTTGGATTTGACATCGTCGGTCTGCTTGCGCTTCTTGGTTGGAGACGAGACATCTTGCTTCTTGTGTTTGCGCTTGCGCTCAACCTCTGTGGCTGTTACAGGGGAGCTGTCAATGTCCATTGCATCGATGGCCATGATGAATGCAATTGAACTTGCTCCAAAGAGCTGTGAAGAATGGTGTTTAATGCGGCGTTGAGTTTCTTTTTTTTTCTTGAAACTTTTTTTTCCATTGCATTTTCGAGTTTAGATTGGAAGGCGGTGGAGTTGGGCGGTGAGCGGGGAAATGGGTCCCCGTTTACGCGCTTTGAGGACAGATGAGTTGCTTTCAACCTCGACCATATTGCATGTTGATATTAAACGATTGATGAGTTGAAAGGTGCTGTATCTTTAAAGATATTTGTGCCTTCAACTCTATCTGTCATGGCATCTATTCTACCCTATATTGGGTGGGCCATTCTCCCCAATGTATGCGGATCCTATTCCCCCACGAACTTAAATGCGGAGTATACAGTAGCTTGGAATATGCTAACTCGAGACTTTACAATAGTATGCCACAAACATTCTTCAGAGTGTCTATTATGGAATTACTATCAGAGCAGGCGAGCCTCGACCATTACCCCAAACAACACGCTATGAGCGTCACCGCCGCCGCATCTTCCTCTTTGTCATAGTCGCCTACCTCCTGTATACCCTCTATGAAACCTTCCACCAGGTCCAACTAGCAGGCGACTTTTATCAAGTCCTTGGCGTATCACCATTTGCCGATGAGCGCGCTATCAAGTCCCGGTTCCGCCGTCTAGCAGCACAGCACCATCCAGATAAAGTAACAATCGACAATGGTTCAGAAGCCTACTTCATGTTCCTTCGTCGCGCACAAGAAACACTTGTGGACCCAGTCAAGCGCTTCGCATACGACCGATTCGGTCCAGATATGCAAAATTGGGGCGAGCAGAAGACGATGCGAGACTTTGTTATGCGATCGTTGATCAAGTCCGTGCTACCCCAGTATGCGGGAGCTTTCGCAATGATGGTAGTCTGCAACTGGCTATGGTGGGCGAATTGGGGTCGCTACGTAAGTCAACCCACTCTTTTGGGTATAAATTATGCGCAGAATTTATATCAAGAAACAAAATATCCGTATATTGCTCTATTACTAACCCCATTCATATTTATAGTGGCGCTTTTATACCTTCGCTGCCATGCTTACCCTCGAAATAACCCTAATCACTCATCCTCAAGCCGTCTTCATGCCAACAACTTACCTCCCCGACTCTATTCAAGATCTTCTCCCAACAAACTCCTACTACCTCCTCCCCTTCCAGATCCTAACATTGGCCCGTCGTGCCTCGATCACTCTCCATATCTTTATCTCTCAAGCTGCACCACAGAGCAGCCGCACTGCTGGCGGTAATGGTGATCGAATCTCGCCACAGACTATGCAACGTATGGGTCAGCTAGTCGCTGCTTCGCGGTCAGCAGATGTCGAGGCGACGCGCATGATGCAAATGGGATTGGCGCCGTTCCGAGGGGATCGGGAGAGCGTTTCGGCTTTGAGGAGAGGAATGAAGGAAGGGTTAATCCTTGGTGGTGTGAGGACTAGTCCTGAAGTTCAGAAGGCTGTTGCAGAGGTTGTGGAGCGGCGCAAAGCTCAAAGAGAACAGAAGGTTGAGTAGAGCTTGGATATTGTTTTATATTGGAGTTTGATGGATAGAATGGCTTGCATATTTTGTGCATATAATCATATTCTTGAAAATACCTTGAAAATTGATTATAGTATAGATTTCATACGCTAAGCAATTAGATGTCCCATGATGAGTACCTAGTAGGTAATGATGTGTAGGCGATATCAAGAGGTTGTCCAATTTCATGGATCAGGAAACTGCCAGTAGATAGTCAGCGTGAACATTTTCAAGGGTGCTAGGTAGTAGTAATAGCACATAGGTAACCTTAAGACTCGGAGTACCATCATCGAATGTATACTGGGCCTAGCGAGTAAATCACTGAAACAAGTTCAATTAAAACATATTGATTCATTTGTACTCTATAACCTATCAATCTTATTTTTATTTTTTACCATTAAACTCCTCAAAAACAACCCCGCCCAAAAATAAGTTTATTGACGTCTTCCAATGCTCCGCTGACCAGCATTAACAGCCTTTGTAACTTCATCCAGACATCCAGCAGCAGCAGCGAAGAAACCAAGGAAAGCCTTGCTGGGGCTCAACACACGACTGAGGTACTCAGGGTGGAACTGCACACCAACGAACCAGGGGTGGTCCTTGATCTCGACGATCTCCATACGCTCACCCTTGATGTCCTTACCGATGAACGAGAGACCAGCCTTCTCAATCTGATCAATCATCGCAGGGTTCACCTCGTAACGGTGACGGTGACGCTCCTCAACTTGGGTGGTGGTGGGACCGTACAGAGCCCGCAGACGGGACCACTCAGTACCCTCCTGGAAGATACAGGGGTGCTTACCCAAACGCATGGTTCCACCGAGCTTGTCCTTGTCAACCTCAGGCATGTAGACAATGGCGTGGTTCTTGGCGTTGGGGTGAAGCTCCTCGCTGCCGACATCCTCGATACCGGCGACGTTGCGGCAGTACTCGAGAACAGCCAGCTGCATACCGAGACACACGCCGAGGAAGGGCTTCTTCTGCGTGCGAGCCCAGGTGATGGCCTTGATCTTGCCCTCAGTGGCACGGTTACCGAATCCACCAGTAACCAGGACACCATCCGCAGTGCAGACGGCGTGCCACGCCTTGTGGTACTCGGCCGGCGAGTTGAATTCCTCCTCAAGGTGCGAGGCATCGACCCAGACAATCTGGACCTTCTTGTGGCAGTACATAGCAGCGTGCTCGAGAGCCTTGGAAACACTGATGTACGCATCGTGGAGCGAGATGTATTTACCCACCAGGGCGATGGAGACGGTGTCATGGACAAACTCCTGGCCGCGAGCGAGCTCGCACCAGTCGTCCCACATGCGCTTACCGCTCTCGATGCGCTCGGCAGGGGGAGGGGTGACAGTGGAGGTGGGCGAGTTGAGGTTGAAGAGCTCGCTGATGGTACCGACCAGGTTCTGCTTCTCCAGGAGCATTGGCACGTGGTAGGTAGTGGTTACGTTGTGCACACCCAGAACCTGGTGAGGCTCCATAGAGCACATGTTGGCGATCTTCTGGATCGTGGGAGCCTCGAGGGGCAGCTCACAGCGACAGGCGATCAGATCGGGGTTCAGACCGGCGCTGCGCACATCACTCATAGCACGCTGGGTGGGCTTAGTCTTTTGCTCACCACCAGGGCCAGGAGGGATCACGGGGACGTAGGAAACGTGGATCTGGACGAAGTTGGACTTGCCAGCGCGGCGCTGGAGCTGACTCAGAGCGTGAATGAAAGGAGCACTCTCGATATCTCCAACAGTACCACCCAGCTCAATGATACAAACGTCGGGCTCAACACCAGACTCGTCGACAGGGATCCGGGCCACACGCTCAATCCAATCTTGAATGGCATCGGTCACGTGGGGGACAACCTGGACGGTCTTACCCAGGTAGTGGCCAATTCGCTCGCGGTTGATAACGTGCTGGTAGATCTTGCCGGTGGTGATGTTGTGATCGCGGGACAGGGTGGTGAGCAGGTAGCGTTCGTAGTTGCCCAGGTCAAGGTCCATTTCGCCGCCGTCATCTGTGACATAGACCTCGCCGTGTCTATAGCAAATTTTTACTCCGGTGAGTCAAACGGCCTTCAATCGAGACGATGGGAATCGCAGAATACTGACTCGGTGGGGGCCATAGTACCCGCATCGATGTTGATGTAGGGATCGATCTTGATACTGGTAACAGCAAGACCAGTAGTCTTCAGCAACAGGCCAGTGCTGGAGGCAATAATGCCCTTGCCGACGCCGGAGATGACACCTGCCGCGGGGAAAGAAATTTGAAATTAGCTTATGATTTGAGGTAGATATAGAGATTTTTTTGGCTCTTGTCCAACTGCTCTCTAATTCAATTCGAATCAAGGATGAATCTTACCTCCGGAAACCAAAACGTACTTCATCTTGCCGGCGACCAAAGCAATAGCAACAGTGCTCAAGATGGACGACTCGGCAGAAAATCAAAAGAAAATGGAGATTTGCGTCTGCGGTGAAAAGATTTGACGCTAGTCCTTATTTGGCGGTCACATGACATTTTTTGCGATAGAAGTATATGATCGAGAGAACATGATAAGAATTCATTGATGATCTGAATATAGTGTAGTTACTGAGAGATGGACTATTTTAAATTATTGCAATTAACTCAATTGAAATATTTAAGTGCATGAATGGTATATTGGTGCAGAGCAGGAGTAAGCAGTAGTAAAGTAGGCGAAACACCTAGATCCATGCATGTGCATGACCTACCTCATACTGTAAATCAGTATACTAATGATCACCTGAAAAAAAGTACAGTGGACCGATGACCAATACTCGTGATAGGGAAAACATCCGAGTCATCGGGGAAATTGTCTTAGCATAAGGATCATGACGAATCTGTCTATGATCAGTCTGCCGAGAGCGATTTCCGGGACCCAGCGGGTACGGTACGCCTCTTAGACTGGAATGAGATCCATTCACGGAGTTAGGGTTGGCGAAATTGGATTCGGAATGAGCTGTGTCGCGTCGGACCATTCACTACGCAGTAGTACATATGATAAGTTAAGACTTAAGAGAGATTATTATTTTAAGAATCTCAATATGAAAATTTTGTATTTATATCTCTATAAAATCTATAAATAAGAATTCTATCATCCTCATACTTAACGCGAGTTGAAGTACGGGAGCCCTGGAGTACTTTGTCTACAGATTCTTCGGGTCCAAAAATGGTAATATTGGTAATTATGGTATTTGTATGGTCACGCAGCATCTTGCCTCCTCATACAAATCAACTCATTCTCTCCCAACTTACTCTAAATCTCACCATCTGATGACCCTGTAATCTTCGTCACACTGTGTACCATCGGAACGCGAGGCCCTTTCACCTCTCTTCCCCCCCCTGGTTCCCTCTCTCTCACGACGAAACCTTTTTCTGCGGATTCGATCAAGGAAATTAAACGAGATGAAATCCACTTACAACATCCCTTCTTTTATCCCTTTTCATCTTATCCCTCCCCCCCACAACTCTGGACTATGATCCCATCTTCATTCACTGTTGACACTTTTGCTTCATACTACCATAAAATCATTCACCCAAAATATATTCACTGTCGGGCGGTGGACAACCCACGTCACGATCGCCCTACTAATTATTCCCCCTTATAATTATCTCCTTCAACTTTCCATCCTTCCATCGACCCTGCATCAACCCAAGGACGAGGTCAACCTTCCCAACCTCCCACTATGCCTGCCGCCGGTTCTAACGGTCGCTCCAATCGCGCCAGTACGGCCAAAATCACTCCAACTACTTTAGTGGTGACTTTGAAACTGTCTCCCGGGGCCCTTCAGCAGTTTGAGCCTGCCCCCGTCGACCAAACTCCTTCCTCGCAACCCAACCCTGAAAAGGGTACTGAACGCTCCTCACCAGCCTCTTCTGCTGAAGCCGCCGTGCCTCGTCCTTCCTCTGCCGATAACGCATCAGATGTCGACGCCACCTCAACTCCTGCCGCTGGGGCAACCCCTGGGGACACTCCTCGCCGGAAGGGAGTTCCGGGCCCTAAGCCGGGCAACAAACGAACCAATGGACAGACGGAACCTACTGCGCGTTCAAGAGGTAGACCAGGACCAAAGAAGAAACCCCGACTGTATGTGGCAAAACCCTACCTATTCCCGCTGATGGAAGTATAGTTGAAACCAATACTAACACGTCTGATCTTTATAGTGAGGAAGGTGCCGATGCGAGCAAGCTGGCAGCTGGCCACCGTCTAGGCCCGAAGGCCAACACCGGCGCGATTAATGCAGGTCTGCGAGCTCTCGACCGCACCGGGGCTCCGTGTCGCAAGTGGGATCGACAGCCATTTAAGCTCCGCAGCTTCACGGGTGTCGCCTGGGAACTCCCCGCATGGCATACGTTTAAATCCATCCATATCGAATCCGAAGAGAATAAGGACGCAGTACTTGAGAGCGGCGACAGTGATACCAAGGCCCACCTGGTAGCCCCCGGCGCCGATACTGTCAATGGCAGCAGTGCAGTCCCTAGCGAGAAGAGCGCTGCTGGAGATATAACACCCGCCCCTTCCAACCTGGTTGAGCCCTCCTCTCCAGCGATTGCCATGACGGCATGAGCCATGCAATGTACATTACGGTTGATCAAGGTACTTTTACTGTTTGATCCTGTATTTGCCTTCTATCTTTTATGATCTTGTTTTCGGTTTTGGGTTTGGTCTGGCGTACTAGGGCGAATGGTCTTATGTTTCTTTTTTTTATGGGCAACAGGAGCATGGCATGTCGCGCCACTCTGAGGATAGGATTATGGCTGGGTTTCAAAGTTCCAAGGTTATTTCACTTCTGTATCATATTTATTCGGTGCTTTATTTTCTCTTGCTCTCTGTGATGAGCGATCAAAATGATCTCAAACTTTTCCTACTATTTGCTACTTTCAGTTGCTTTCAAATGTTCCTTTCAAGCAATGTCTATATTTGCGGTATGGTATTCGTGTGCACGGGGTTTTTGCTTTCAAGTTCTCGGGATCGCGATGTCGCGTGAGATGGTATCATACCGCTGCCTAGTCCTGTGCTTTAGCCCGAAAAGGTCCACGGGTCCAAGTCCGAGGCCGAGGATTTGCTTATCTTTATATATTGGGAGTGCTGTTGTCTGCTTTATGATGGCGGATTCAGTATTCGATCTCCCCGGCACTTGCCAGTGAGGGCCCCTGGGCTCTGTGGCGCTAAAAAGCTAGTTGCAAGTATTGGAGAAAATATCAATAATTCACGTTCATATGTTCAAACCTGAGGTTTTAAACGCCTGATCTTAGTAGTAGATTCAACTTCAACTTCAGATAGTACTCGATGTCCATGGGATTCTCACATGCACATGTGCAGGCTGAAAACTTGATATTCCGACTCGGAGTATAGATAAGTGCCTGTGTGCTTCAGGTTCAAGTTACAGAGGATATCAATACCATCCCGAGGTCTATATCGCTCTACTACATATTACAAATAGTGGATAGGAACTTTGAAGAAAAGAGGCATACTAATAAAGTGCTAGATACCATGTATGGTACTAGTATTTGTATCCCTAAGCTTCAACTTGTAGTATAAGGCTACTATGTACTATATATAAACCCCTCTAACTATAAGGGTTACAGATGTACACCTGGGCATACTAGCCCTCGTGACCCCCGTAATTCCCCTCTTTTAGGTCACTTCAAATGTTCAAACTTGAATGTTTGTCCAATCCTGCCCCCTTCCCTCTCTGATACCAGTTGAATCATCTGAACTTTCTCTTCTTCCGGGTTATCTTGTGGACTCCACATTCAAGTTTTCCCTCTCTTACGTTGTCCGGTTCGCTGTTTCCGGTCAGGACCCATCGGAGATCTGGGCTATGATCTGACAAAAGACCGAAGAAAAAGAAAACACAGACAGAAGGGGGATAAAAAAAAAGACAAAAGGGTAAAATTAAAGAGGAATTCCAAAAAAAATCTCATAAAAATTGAGCATACAAAAAACCAGAGGAAGTAACGAAAATCTTTCCCCTGTTCGCAGTTGGGAAAAGAGAGTCGCCCCCCCTCATCTATTCGGGGTGGGTGACCCGCACCGCCATGGCCAATGTTCCTTTCCCCGGAGCTCCAGGAGCTCCAGCATACAGCATCTCTTCGGGCCCACGTCGTTCATCCTACGCCTCCGTCGTTTCAGGAAACGCTTTCTCCCCTCCTATTTCCAGCTCATTCTCTCATCTACTCAACGCCAACCCCATCTCTTCCTATCCACCGCTTTCTCAGTCCGACGGCCATCTCCACCGGGCCTTGTCCGGGTTGGATGCCGATATGCATCTAAACTCGGCCTGGAGGTCCACCACCTCTTCGGATTCCCTACCAGCTTACTCTCGTAAATATGCTGGGGCGACTGCACGTTCGACAGACATCCCGCAAGGCCTTAGTCTCGGACTAGGCGAGTCCTCCTCCTTCTTCACACCTTCTTATCTTAGTCGCTCCCGCTACATCTCTCGACTCGATGCTGCCCACCGAGCCAAAGTCGCTGCCCATCATCGTGAGGCATCTTCAGGCACCTCTTCCTCCAATCCTCCTCTGTCTGCATCCTCCAGCCATGTTCATCTCCATCGTATGGCTCCGTCTCACCGTGGCATGACCTATGACCTCATCGAGAAAGAACCTCCCACTACTTCCGACAACATCAACCCTCTCCCCACCCAGTGGAGCTCCTTAGACAAATACACCGGTCTAGAACTGTCGAGCGATGGCCTCGAAGTGCGCTACACCGGTCCAATACACAAGCATGACCATGAAGCTGCTGCACTGCGTGCCGATAATCCCATGCCACCTCAGTGCGGCATATACTATTTTGAAATAAAAATCGAATCCAAACCTAAGGAGGGGTATGTCCGTTTTGAAACTCGTTGTCTACTTCTCTTTTATCTGCATCATCCTCGCTACTGTTCAACGGAGAGCGGGGAAATAGTCCTCAAAAAACGATGATTTGTTTATCTCTATACTAATATCTATATCTTTCTCTACCTTACAGCATGATCGGAATCGGGTTTTCAAGTCCAAAGGCATCCGTTGAGAGACTCCCCGGCTGGGAGCAGGAATCATGGGCATATCATGGTGATGATGGAAAGTCATTCTTCGGCGAAAGTCAAGGACAAGGCCGGCCGTATGGACCAACCTTTGGGGTTGGTGATACGGTCGGATGTGGAGTGAACTTTTCCACAGGAGAAGCCTTTTTCACGAAAAATGGAGCCTGGCTAGGTAAGAGATGAGATATTTCGAACACCAAGTTAGAAATGAGAAACAACTAACACCTCGATCAGGAACTGCCTTTCATGAACTGCGAAGCGTTAAGCTTTATCCATCCGTGGGCATGAAGAAACAGCCACCCGTACATTTGAAGGCGAATTTTGGTCAGGAGCCGTTTGTGTTTGACATTGATGGCATGGTTGAGGTATGACGCCAGCCAAATGAGGGTTTCTCCAATCACTTGCCTTGATTTTACTGACTGTTCCAGCACGAAATGAACAAGATCAATGCCGATATCAGGGCCACAAGCCTCACCAGCTTACAGCCCCCACTTGACGAATCATCACTGCTTCAGGAGCTAGTAGCCCAATTTTTGGCACACGATGGCTACGTGGAAACCGCGCGGGCGTTTGCTGAAGAGGTGGCTACCGAAACCGCAGCTCTACAAAAGGGCCACGATGAGCCACTGAAGAAGTATGAGGTTGAAGAAGATCGCGAGGCAATTAACAGGAACCGTAAGAAATCCATCATTCCCACCCCAACTTTCACAAATACAGATGGAGGTGCCTTTGCGGACGCGAACTAATGAATGTAGGAATTCGAGCTGCTATTCTGGATGGAGACATTGACAAAGCCCTCAAACATACCAAGGCCTATTATTCCAACGTCTTGGAAGACTACCCTCAGATTTACTTCAAATTACGATGTCGCAAGTTCCTCGAGATGATGCGTCGCTCGAACGAATTGTCAGCCGAAGTTGCCGACGAAGCCCAGAAACGCCGACGCTCGGCATCTCCAGGAATTGCAGATGAACATGCGGTGTTTGACCAAGAGATGGAGCTTGATGATAGCGAAGCCTGGGATGCCGATGGAATGGACACCGAGGAACCCGAGGCAGCTGCACAATTTAATCAGCTTCTGACAGAGGCAGTTCAATACGGTCAGCAACTACGCATAGACTACCCATCTGATGAGAATGGCGGCGACAAGAAGATGCTGGACGATATTTTCTCACTGGTCGCGTATGCCGACCCTAAGCGCTCTGTGCATGGCCATTATCTTGCTCCTGAGGGCCGAGTGGCCGTGGCAGAGGAACTCAACTCAGCTATTTTAGGTACAGGTTCCTCCCCTTCTTATCATTCATACAGCTGTGCAAGGATATATACTGACATCTAGTTCTAAAGTGTCTCTTGGAAAATCATCTACTGCTGCTTTAGAGCGATTGTACCAGCAAACTGAAGCCCTGGTAAACGAGCTCAGTGAAGACGGCGGCGCTGGGGCGTTCATCAATGTTCGGGATATAGCTTTCCCATGATACGGCGTTCGAGCAAGTCTATTATTATTCTTATCAACTTCATCCTCCTCTTTCCAATTCCTTGATCGTTCCTTATGACTGGGCCTTTTTATGCCACACCCCTTGCTTCGCAGTTGAACCTTTGAGTCTTCGGTTCTACGTCTGCTCTTCAGCATTGAATCTACTCCGTACTTTGGTACCATTTGTGTGCTATTCTGCCTTTCTCTACCGTGACCGGAATGCTATTTGCCCCTCACTCTTACGAGAGGAATCATTCGTGCGGCTTTCCGTTTCCCTGCCCAATCTCTTCTCCGTTGCATTCACCCCCCCCCCTCCCCCACACTCTTAGCCTTTGCGCCGCTGGTTCATTTGTCTTGCGCTTCCCCCCCTTTTTTGACTCCCACGTCGCGCAATTCGCAGTTTCACGTGCTGCCGAACTTGTGATGTGGACCAATGCATGCTTTCGAGATGGGATTGGTGCGATGCTGCCTACGCGCCTTCGCACACGGATTTGATATCTAGTTGATTTCTAGTGCCCGCTAGAGAAATAATGATGAATCTCCCTTCTGAGCAGATCCACTTCCTGGGTTCCGCTGTGGCGATACACCAGTCGTAAATTATTGTAAAACTTTGATTCTAAAGGCCTTATAGATCGCTTAGATGTTCGCTAGAAAAAAGCAAGAAGAAAAAAAGAAAAACGGTCGAAGGCCCTCAAGAAGCGTTGGAGGAGCAAAAAAACGTTTGAGTGATCTTATATAAGAACTATGCAGAATCTAGCCTTGAACTTGATGCTAAATGCATGGTAGATCTCAATGCAAGGCTACCGACTGGGGCATGGAATGTAAGCGCTTGAGTAGATGGATCGACTTCTCTTACTCCGTATCTGTACTGCTACCCCATTATTACTTCGCCTCCCTCATACATATCAGCCCAACCACCCTAAAAATCTTATGTATCTTTTTATCTATATCAAAAAAATTCAAACCTTGAACCATCCAACTCGTTATCTTGGGCAGAAATCACTTTTCCTATTTAGGAACACTGTATACCAATTACCTAATCAGTGCATTACGTCAGCGTTTCAGCGCTGATTTCTCCGCTTCTTGCGCCAGCAGCTTGTGATACCTGTACGCTGCATCAGACAAAAGAGCGCTGGGCTCTGTGATAGCTCAAATCCAGAGACACCAGGGGGAACGGATGCTCAGCGCCCTCAAATTTTGCTGCCCTCAGGGGCTACATTCTCACATCTCCCATGGATTCCTTTTCACATAGCTCGGACGGGAACCATTTTCCCAGCATTCCGACACATCATTCTCGGGCACCATCTACTCTGCGCTGCTGCTGTGGTCGTGAGGACTGTGCTCTGCTCGAACACAATCATGTCGCCCTCGAGGGTCTGGAAAAAGACCTCGAAGCCGCTGCGAAACTCGGTCAGGTAGGTTTTTATTTCTCTTTTATCGTTCGTTCTTACATAGTTGTGCGTTGCGGCTCCGAGATTCTGTGACACAAGCGGGGATGGTACCTGAACAGAAAAGCTGAACCCTATGCATGTTTTGATACATCGCTTTTGGAGGCTGTTTCGTCATTCCTGGGGAATTTGACTTGGTTCATTTTTGGTGGAAGGAGTTTCCTTCCCAGCCATTTCCCTCCTGTTTACCCTTGTCTCTGCTATACCTCCTGAGAAAATATTTCTTCGAGGACAACAAAGAGGTTGTTTCAGACTATTTTATTTTTCTTTGTTCATTGCTTGTGTCTCATATGGAATACCTCTATTTGGGGTCTCCCGTGTTATCTCGTTGCGTGGGCGTCCGTCATGACTACCTCACACATTCACGAATACTCTACACCGGGAGAATGTCATGCGTCCTCGTCGCTGACCTTTGCTCTACAGGCTCTCCTCCATCGCCATGAAAGTTATATGGCCGAGGCAGAAGATGATCGTCGACGATTGATCGAAAGTGTTGACGCCCTCGAGCGGGAGAAGCGTGAAGTTCAGGCCGAGAATGCGCGCATAGTTGAGGAGAATCGCAACCTCTTGGAACAGCTTGATGGTTTGAATAATTCCGTCTCTGAATCAGACACCCAAGTGCGGTCATTGACGTTCACGTTGGAGAGTACGCAGGCGGAATTGCGCAGATTGACGATGGCTGCGTCTCGTGCTGCCGAGTTGGAGATGCAGTTGGCCATGATGGAGACGGAGCAGTCGAAATTGCAGGAAAGTCTGACATTTGCGCAAGAAGATGAAAGATCTGCTCTACAGCGTTGGCGCAATGCTGAGAATACACTGCGCGATCTTCATGACCAGGTTGAGCGGATCGAGTCAGAGGCTCGAGCTGAGCGTGAAAGGCATGAAGAAGTGGTTCAACGGATGGAGCGTAAACGCCATGTTGAAAGGGAACTCGATAATGCTGCGGTTCGGTTGAAAGGTGCTGCCGCTGCATCTGAATTGGGGCGTAAACCTGGTACCCAAGTTGTCTCACGCTTTGTCAAGGATATCTTGCAAGACAATGCAAATTTGCAAGTCGGGATTATGGAGTTGCGCGAGATGCTCGAGAGTTCCAATCAGGAAGTACAGAATCTTCGAGATCAAGTTCTTTCTCATCAACCGCTGGACGGACTCAATGATGAGAACGACCCCGAAGGCGCAGCGACAACGACGTTATCTGAGGAACTGGAAGGAAAAGAACGACGTGTTTCGCAAGAATTTCATGTACATCACCATTATCACACTCCCAAATCGGCGCGGAAGGACAAGGGTACTCTCAATCGCCGTGTCAAGAAGAAACGGCCTGCTCTGGCAAGCCCTGTTCCTATGCACTCTGCCATGGGATCTCATTCCCCTCGACGCTCCATCCATCGTTCTCAATCATCGGGCTCTTCTATGAACACTATTCTGTCACAAACTCCCGTTTCGATTCCACCTCCATCCTCCTCTCGCAGATGGTCATTGCATTCTCCTCCCGCTGATTCGTTAGCAAGTTCGCCGCAGTCTGCATTTCGGACCTCTTCCATCTTTGATCGGGTTGACCGCGGGTATGATTTCTCTGAGCCAACCTCCCCTGAGAGCACTGTGTTCTCGTCGCCTCTTATCGGAGCACATCATGCCAAAGGATTCGACTTCCCGTCCCGGCCTCCCAGCGGATTTGACAACTATGACCAACCTTTCGACGGCCCATCTGATTACCTCAATGCAGATCAATACGATAGGCCCGCTTTCCTGGATCTCTGCGACGGAATCACCGCACATCCAGCCATACCGGAAGAAACAGAGTCATCATCTCCTGGACTCTACTCACAGTCCTCTGAAATTGAGCGTCGCCCATCAGCTACTACGGAAGATATCCTGGGGCTACAAGCGCCTTTCAAACCCTCGCTTCGTAGGTCTACATCACATGACAGCTTGCTCTCAGTCGCTGGCATGGACATACATACCCCGATTATCCGCCAATCCCGTATGGGCGACTGGCATTTAGGCATGCGAATCCCCAAACGTCTCATGTCGCCAACCGTCCAGCTATCTTCCACGCCTCCGGTTATATCAGCGCCCACAGTCACAGCGGACCGAATCAAGGGGCGAGAACAATCTTCTCTCTCTCTTCTCGCATCCATGGCTGCAGCAAGTGCCACAGGGAGCAGCGTGCTTTCAGACGCCGCATCTGTCACTTCGGCAGATAGCAACAGCACTACCTCGACAACAACCCCAAGTCAACGCAAGTCCTCCACATTGGGTCGCCGCGTCGGGGGTTGGGTGCTGGGTCGTTGGGGGATGGCGCCGGTTTCAGAGGACCTGGATCCCGAGTGCGCAAATCGAATTGCTGCCATCGAATCGGCATTATCTCCAGATGATCCTTCATTATCGGTCCCCGTGCCGAGATCCCGTCCACCTAACATATCAAACCCATTCCCCTCATCATCCCTCCATTTCAGGTTCCCCGGCGTGAACCAAAAGGGCCCTATTATGGGTCTTCGCCCTCCACCTCAAGCACCAGTTGTTATTAATCCTCAGGGCATCGATGAAAATCTGTTGCGAGAGAGTCTCGCTGATAATAGCTGATCCCCTGTTCTAACCTATATCCCCTCCCCATCTGTTCATTCCTTCTATAGTTTCCCCCCTTACCTCTGTTGACCTCCTTTCTCCTTCTTGTCCTCGATCTTCTACAGTTCCGCGGTATTTTTAGCATTGCATTGGGTTGGCTGTCTACTGGTTTTGCATTGCGTGGTATATCCAGTATTGGACTTGCATTGGTTGTTGATCTCAGTTCTCTGTCTTGGGTAGAGCCGTGTTGGCGTTGTTGATGTTATTGCTATGATGATACCCTAAAGACGTTCTCTTATTGATTGCCCACAAGTTTTATTTTGACTTTGGGGCTTTGTTTATTTCCTTGAATTGGGGTCTCTTTTGTCTGATAGACAATCCATTCGCTGAGGTACTATTTTAGATTAGTTTTGCTGCTCACATGAATTATACCGTCTTCCAACACATAATAAAAAACAACGAGTAGTTTGAAATGGGTATTTGATATGACTATGTGGGTAGTTCATAGCTTTCTTAGAGGAGCTTCATGCTCGAGAAATTCGATAAGTTCGAATTGGGATACTTGTCGAATGGAAAAATCCAGTCTGCTCTTCCGAGGCGGTAGATTTAAATGGGAGATGCTCTGCTTTGAATTCGTTTGTTTCTATGCTCTAAATTAGTTTTTGTAGCTTGCCACTATAAAGAGAGAGAAAAGCACGACTTACCACATCCTCTCAAGAAGGTGTTGAATGTATTCTCATTGCGCACAGTCGAAGCAATGATGAACTGCTCAACTCCATAGTTCTCGAACAAATCTCGAACAGTCGAAAGCAGCAGGGGGACCAAATCTGTGTCATAAATCTAGAGATTATTAGCAACGATCAGATAAAAATTTGTTACTCAAAAAAAGAAAATCACGAAAGAAAGGCAAAAAGATAAAACATACCAAATCCGCACCAAGAGCAACATCAAATTGTAAAGCCTCGTCGTCTCCCAAAGAGCTCATATCGTCAGTCTTTTGCAAAGGAGTCCCCCAATCCCAAATAGCAGGATACATGGGAATCAGTCCCTTATCCGCAAAGACAGATTCTGAGTTTTTATAACCGGATCCCGAATTCAAGCGCACACACTCCCTCATATTCTCAATGAGGACAGGTTCTCGATCCGTCGCAACAACACTGCGTACCCCGAGATGTCGCGCACAGAATAGAGAAATGAATCCTGTTCCTGCGCCAAGTTCAATCACTCTTTTCCCGTGCACGAGAGCTTTTCCAGCTGGAGAAGCGAGGAATGAGCCTAGATGGAGTGCCGCTTCCCATGTGCGGTTGCCGGTTGTACCGCCAGAGAGAATGACGCCGCGCGATTCGACAGTAATGACAGTTCTTTCTGAAGAGATTGTGGATTCGGATGTAGACGAGGGGGATGGTGGTTGTGTTGAATTTGCAGGAGATTGTGTTTGGAGTGGAGCAGTGTATTTGACATGCGAAAGTTGCTGTGCTGCTTCTATCGCACTTGGTTTTGGTTGAGCAAGTAGAGTACCCCAGCATGACATGAGATCATCGAGAATTTCCTATACGGTGACAAAAGCAATTGTCAGCTAATACATATCAATTGGATGCGCAGAAGACAAAGCTCCGGCCACAATGTACATTTTTGTTGTAACATTGAATTGGAGTTGGCTCGAGTTGTGCAATTGTGGTAACATACATCCTCTTCTGGATCTATGATAGCATTCTCGATACGTGCAATGAGCAGCTTGAGAATTCGAGTTCGATATGTTGGTGGTGGTAGTGGGGTTAATGATTCATCGAACATGTGCTCATATAGTGCTGTCTGGACCTCGGGGCGTAGGAGAACATTGTCTGGTGGGAGAGATAGATGTGGTGGGTCAACCAATTGGAAGTATTGAGCTGCTAAAGTACGTATAGTGTCCGCCATTTGTGCTGTTGCCGTTGGATTGAAGCTTGAAATGTTCAAAAATGTTAAAACGGCAGTGACGCTGTATTACTATATCGGGTTTAGCGTGGATCTTATCGGAGCAGAACATCTTAACTCCGAACTACATCAACATCAACATCACTATTGATCATGGCATTTTCGTGCATCCAGCTCCACATTGTGGCATCTAAGCCCTTCGAAGTGTCCAGTCTTAAGATAACGAAAGGGATACTTCATATCTGTAGTTAAGGGCTAAAAACGATGTTTTGATAGCTGTGAAAATAAGAAATGATATTCTAATAAGATAGCTTTAGGTTTATCTACTAATAGCCTACTATATTATAGTATAGTAGGATAGGAGATTAGTATTATTTTCTACACGATATACACTATACTAACTAATACCAAAGATACACACTAGATTTCATCTATCATAATATACCACCACAAACATTTTAAAACAACTATATTCCTGCATAACTCACTACCCCATCACTCATCTTTTTTCAAACGTAGACCAAATAAACGCCACTGTCAAGGAGTATACTTACCGAAAAGATAAAAAAAAGAAATCGTTTGAGACTGTGCAAATTGAACCGATGACCTTTGAGGTTCCAAAAGAGGCGAAAAGAGACAGTAACCAGACAGTACTCGGACAGTAAATGGGACACGACCAGGTCAGATGGCTAGGCCACCTAACCTGGTCAGCATAGCAAAACCCCTTTGATCCCTTTGAGGGAACAAATGCATTTCAGTTTGGACATATTTTTCTTATGCTCAAACTCTACAAATCCTAGTTGTATATATAGAAGGATGAACTATTATCAAGATACTATTCGCTAGGTTATCATACGATATAGGCTTGGACCATCAGGCATATCTTAAGTCAAGGCTAATGTTGAGGATGAGAAAAGCACATAATTTCCAGAAAATCCACCTGGGCATGTGGTTATATGAGAGACGTGATTAACCTCAAAAGCTAGTAGCATATGGATCATCTATGATCCCATACCAGATATAGTATTCTCGTAGTATGGCTCCAGTCCAACCCGAAACAAAATTCTAGCCAATTTTTCCCAGCTGGCTTCTCCAGGGCTACACTCATTGCTACCAGGGCTGACGATACAAAAGCGCGGACCGCTATTTATGATATACTCGATAGTAATGCCCAGATGTCAGCGCCAATGCTCCGTCCTTCCCGAGGTCACATATATGCCTTCCATACCCAGGTGGACGTTAACTCGCCCTTATTCATAGAACGCTATGGCTCTCCCAACCCAAATCGACTCTTTTTTGTTGTAGAAAGTCCCGGGACGATCCTTTTACGGGCTATATCCACATCACCTCTTTCAACATGACTGTGGAAAAGGTCGAAAAGCTCAACAACCATGGATCTTGACACTTCGACAGTCTGGACATTCTGATGGCTCGTGGGTGCTGAACTATTGGTGGCAAGAAGAATCTGACGCTGTCATTATCGCATCCGGTCATCCTAGTCCCAGATATTCCTGGATTTGATTTCGCATTTTCAAAGTTTCCTCACCAACTCGAGCACTCGAAATCTTTGAGGGATAAGACAGACTATTCTAAGAAGAAAGGTCTCGTTGTCGGAGGCAGTTTCTCATCGTCGGATCTAGTTGTTGATTTATACAAAATCGTCACTGCTCCACTGGAAGTCTCTCAGCGTGGGAAAGACGAGATCCGTGTATCTGCTTGGACGTTGCCTAATGTGTGAATGAGAAATACCAATTAAAAACATACATACCAGCAGCCAAGACATCACGGTTGAGTTCGTCGATGGTACATATACGGCCTGGTAAGATTATCTTTCTGGCTGGATATTAGCTGTCATATCCATTCCTCACGCCGAACCCAGTCACAAATCAGAACAAACTTGCAGGATTCTATCAGCACATCTTCAACATTGACGATCCTTCACGAGTCACCGTTGGCCAGGTATGAGGAGGAATTACTTTCCGACTTCGATTTTCTATCTAATCCGGCTGGACCTTCGGCCACCGGCGCAGATAGCTATTCTTTGCCACGCTAGGAATATCAATACCAGGTGGTGAAGGAGGCCGTCGAAATTTTGAGATATTCAAAGACGAATACTGGAAGTTCTTGCAAAGGGATGTTGAGACTTCTGTGGCATGATAATATCCTAGTTTGGGAGCTTGTCTCAAAATGAGGGGACTATCTGTTACTCTTTTTTTTGCTTTATTATCCTGTTCACAATGTGATTCTCACCAAGAAATAGAATTATGGAATCGATTGCATGTATCGCGAGATTCAACCTTAAATGTCGTGGTCTCCACTAGCGGCACACTAGTGACTAGACAACTTGAAGGATTTGTCTATGTAAGAATATTCAACCATTGGAAAGCAATGAAATTGATTATTAATTGATTGTAAATCCATGAGAACCCGATTAATCATTCAAATGTTATCTTCGAATGCTGCCCAGGTGAGAATTGTCATCCATTGAACAATAATCAGATGGCACAGAACTATTAGCAGCACTGTAGTGGAGGTCCTTAATTAAAATGTTGATTGATTGTAAATAAATAGGAAACTGATTTATCATTGTTTTCTAACTACTTTGGAATGTATCAATTGATTGACCATGGTATTAATTATAGCCTCATTTACCATGTAGTGCCTATAAAAGGAACATCTAAGAACTTCCAAGGTTGGACAACACTGAATCTGAGTAAAAGGTTCGATATAGTATACCAATCTTCATCTCACATAGAGATCTGACCTCCATATTCAACGTGACATCTTCATCATGACGAACATCCTAATTTCCGGTACCAACAAGGGTTAGTTGTCAGATTGCTCCTATTTGACGATATGGACAAACCACAAAATACTAATATGATAAAATCCAGGAATTGGTCGTGCGATGGTTGAGAGATACCTGACCCGTGAAAATGTGACTGTGATCGCGAGTGTTCGCAACCCGAACTCACCTGAATCAGTCTCATTGTCTCGCCTGCCGACTGGAAACGGAAGCCGAGTGATTATAGTTAAGATCGATGCCACCTCCGACACTGATGCTAAAGAAGCTGTCAACTTCTTGGTGAGCCAGGGTATCTCATCCTTGGACATTGTTATTGCAAATGCAGGAACCTTTCCCACAGCCGAGTTCACGACCGTGGCTGATGCAAATATCACGGACATTCAACACAGTCTAGATGTGAACACTGTCGGACCTGTTCGTCTATTCCAGGCAACTTTACCCTTGTTGCTGAAGTCTCCATCACCTCGATTCATCTTGATCAGTAGTTTGATGGGTACCATTACTGGTATCAAGGATATTCCATTGAAGGTCGCCGCTTATGGTGCCAGTAAAGCTGCAGCCAACTTCTTTGTTCGCAAGATCAATTATGAGCAGGAGAAGATTGCTACTTTGGCTATTCATCCCGGGTAAGTAGTATATTATCCCTTTCCCGCTCCCTCTGGTATTTTGATTTTCTAACTTCTTGTTGAAGAGCTGTGAAGACTGTCTCTGGGAATGACGCGGCCCGTGCTGCAGGTTATCCTAGCGCATTCGTTGAAGTTGAGGATAGTGTGAATGCACTGATCCCTAAGATTGATGGACTGACCAAGGAAAATGGTGCAGGAGAGTTCTGGAGTTTCGATGATACAACCATCGCCTGGTGAAGATGATACCTAGAGGAGATGCAGATCTGTATATCCGATTCAACTTGAACCCAATTGAGAGTATTCCGTAGTACATATTTGTGCATTATCTTAAGGCTCCGAAGACCCTCTCGAGATGAGCCCTTGAATGGAATGCCGACAGCTTTGGGATAGTCCGTATTTAGAATTTCTCCGAAGTGGACTTTAACCGGAAAATAGGAAAAGAGGCAAAAGGGAAAATAAGAGAGAAGAAAAACCAAGAGTTCGATCATATCATGGTGGTATCAGACTGAGCTTAGCCTGAAAGAATTTAAGGTCTGCCCTATTCTAGTGGCGTGATCTATTATTATCGGCCCTGTGACTCTAGCAAAAAAAGTCACGAACACGATCTATTGCATTGATGGATGCCTTTCAAGTGATCTTCACATACGCCTCATTTTCCAATGAGCCGTCGTGCGAGCCAAACTCTGCTGTGGCAACATGCTCTGAACCCTCTACCTCTGGGGCGGCTTCGTTTCCGTGATATAAGATTCCGGCATTGACGACTGCTCCAGACTCCTTCACGTACGGCCAGTCATCCTCCCAGCCCAGCTCGTTCCAGCCATATCGGTATCCGTCGTTGCCATCGCCACCAGATTCCTTGAGTGCAAGCGGATAGTACTGGTAGTACAAGAAGAGGCCGAATTCCTTATCCGTGAGGACACCCCTAAAAGCTCTTGTCAGCAGATGATCTATTTATCGTCTTGAAATTTAGGTCACGTACTGTCCACCAGGGGCATAGATCTGGTCATGACTCTCAAGTAGTATAGAGCCACCTGAGTTCAGGCATGAAGCGCCTGACTTATCAACCTGAATAGGAATAGGTTAGAATATGTTCGCTTTGAGGGTTCTGGTGAAGACTTACAAAGCCCCCGGTTCCGGTAGTCGAGCGACACATATGAATTCGGTATTCCTCGCCTACAGGTGGGTTTGTCGCTGTGTAGGAGCCAGCAATACCACCACTGTATAGGAGGTAGTAGTAATCACCATGCTGGAAGATGAAAGAGGCCTCTTCGCGGTGATTCAGGCTAGCATTATAGGCCAGTTGGTGTGGAACCGCCGAGCTGACCTTCAACGAGGTTGCTAATTCAACCTGATAAAGATCTTTCCAGTAGGATCCGAATTGCAAGTACTCCTTCCCGTCAATAGTGATCCAGCTAGGGTCAATACGATTGTACGCGCTGTTTGCAGGAAGGCCAATTGCGCCGTGATCGGTCCATGAGCCTGGCTCTAACGTTGTGGAGGTTGCTACACCAATTTGCGAGTTCTGTGTGCCGAGCTGGGATAACACATAATACATGTAGTAGGTGCCATCCAAGTGATGGAGATCCGGAGCCTTGAAGCTTTTGTATTAGTCGGGTTCCTCTGTTGTTATATTTTTCTGCACATACCCAAATGTCCATGCTATCGACATTGTCCAGCTTGATTACGGAACCTTTCGGCAGCGCTGCGCCCACATCCTTCCATGGACCCTCAATTGAGGGCGAGGTCATCGTGTTGACACCCGAGCCTGTTGAAAAACGGAAGTATGTACCATCCGAAACACGCTGGATCATGGCCGGATCATGGGTCCAACAGTCCCCGGTACAGGGACCTGGGTTTGGATAAGCGCTGGCCAGCGCAGAAATAGACAGGAAGAGAAGTTGAGGAGCCCACATATTGCCCAGGTGGTTAAGGCAAGAGAGGTTGGCGGATAGGTGAGGTGAGACGAAAGACAAAATCCCGGCTGGACCAGGAGGGACTTCCGGGGCTAGATATTGACAGAGCCATAAAGCTGAAGTATTTTGTCTTAAATATGCTTGTTGCTTTTGTCTCTCAAAAAGCTCGTGGAATGCGGGCCTGGCCCACCTTTTCAAATGTTGCAGTTGGGGGTGTGTATCTGGAATCTAGGAAATGCAAACTAAGCATTCATTGTTTATGTCTATCCATTCCACGGATAAAAGTTGAGAAACAGTAAATAATGAGTTCGGAGGGAAGGTTTCTAGTGACACTCAGGCTGGCACATTAAATCTCACATACAGAGATATGTACATACATGTCACGGTGCAGCCCTGGACAGTCTCATTCTTGAGAAAGGATCTCAACAAAAGCTCAACGTGGACTCTCAACGCTATTTCAAATCTTTAAATTCAATGTTTGTAATGCGATATGCTCAGCTTTAAATAATTCGTGTAGTTACTAATCTTTTCAAATGTTAAGTCTTTCTTAGGTAGTTAACCTGCTGTTGGTATGTCGGTGTACCGCGTAAGGGGGTGATTCCGTCTCCCTCAAGTCCCAGTGCTTCTATCTACTAGTAGCATTCAAAACTTATCCTCCCATTTGTATAGTTAATAGCTTAAAATATCTAGATAGTTGAGCCGTTAGTTATCATGATAAGCCGAGCTGTTTTGGGTGGCGGCGTCCAGTTGCGACATTTGGATTACTAAAGTGCTGTATACTAGTTATTGACATCTCCGCCACTACTTTCAGCCCTCCGCAGGTAATTTATCTAGAACTTCAAGTTGACCTTTTTTGGAACATTTGAATCATTATGATGCCCATTCGCATTCAAATGTTATATAATATCATTTGAAAGTTCTCGCCCGCACTGTTGCACCTGCTCCGTTACTATTGATTAATCAGGATTGTCAGTGCTTCAAATTTGATCCTTTTCTATCTCATAAGCCAGTCTTTTAGTACCGAGCGTGTCCCAAAATGCTATCATTCAATATTAAGAGTATTGTGACTCGGAACGATTTGAAACAGAAGGGCTTCGAAAGGTGCAACTCGGAAGATAGAGGCAACATTACTCATGTCCGCTGGAGGTCGCAAAATGTCAAAACTGTATATCTTATCCGTTTATTCCGGGCCGAGCAGGCTATACGCAGGACTGATCAGCTTGAGGAAACCTGGAGTCACAAACTCAAAGCCATACAAAAGAATGCGATTGTCGAAGATGATTCGTCGAGCAGCAGTGCCAGGCTTCAAGTTGAGGAGATCAATGAGCAGCTTCTGAAGATGCAGGTGCAATACACAGAACAAGAGCTTAAGCTTTACAATGAGGTCTCTATCCTTCCATTGCAGTGGAAGACGGCTTATCGGGAATTGAGATTGAATGAGAAATGGTTTCTGCGCCCTGAGATGATAATGGATTGCTCCGATCAAGGTGGCTGTTGTAGCCGAGATTGTGGATGTTGTGACAAAAGACAGCTTTCGAAAAGAGACAAGGGCAGAGGTCACTGCACTCTTGAATGCTGGTGCTGTATTAATCTTTGCAGCTTGGATTCCCTCCCAAATCATTCGAAAATTAAAATCCAAGAGAATCTTGATGGTAGATGGGATGGTACATGTGATTACAGGGCTTCCGACTTTCTATTACAGATGGCGAACTGGAACTTTTGTCCCATCAAATAGCTGCATATGCACATGTGTGAGCGGCAGGTGTTTTGAATCTTGATTTAATTATCTGCTCAAGTTGATCCAAGTTGTCCCAACTGGCATACTTGCTAAAATCTCAAAGTGCTATTCAATTCTTGCCAGTGAATATCGATCATGATATTTCATCTCTACACTATTAGCTGACATCTGGAGACTCAATCAATCCATGATATGGATATCTGATCTAGAAATAAAACATTTTTATCATCATCGAAGTAGATATTAAGCATTCAAAGTTAAACCCTTTCAAGGTTATGATTTCCGAGTGTTATGGCTATAACTGAACTATGTAGTATGCAGAACAATGACTTACGGCCATTAGTCCTGTTTAGTCTGGCACTAAACTCGCTAATCACCCGAGGCCATCAATCAGCCATGAATTCGACATGGAATCGAGGAATTTCGGCAGGGGGCGTCCATATAATTACCTATGATGTTGTGCACTAAATATACCGTGACGTTCAGCCTGAAAACCAAACACACTACACATTTGGTCCTATGTATAGAGATACTTAGCCAAATGAGTGGAAACACTTGGAAGTGATGAATAGTGCAAAATATAATCTCAAGGTACCCATTGTCTTTGATTCGTAGAGGTTTAGAAAAGAGCACTCCATCATTCTAGAGCCTCAGGCATTGGAGAGCCTTAGGCTTCGTTGGGGTGGCTCTTGGGGCTTCAATATTCGCCCCACTTCAACTCGTCTAAAGCTGCCGTGTACGGGGTGGGGTGCTTGGGCCTAGAACACCTCCCCAGGACCTCGGCAGAGAAGACCAGATCCTTGAACATCATATCTGATAAATACTCCAAGTTAAGTACCAAAATTGGGGGGTTCGAGGCTGCCGATGAACAGCGGTGCGCCATCTTGGATCTCACACCAATCCGATTCCCGATAGCTGGATTCTGGAACGAACATGTTCATTACATCCGAGTCCACGATGACTGCGGCAACATCTGGAGCTGAGAGCATCATTCAGCTGCCAAGATTTTGTTTTTTTGCGGCACTCAAATATCGAGGAGAAAATAGCCGCTGTCATACGAGCTATCTTCCGAGTCCTCATGAGTCGTGGTGATATCGGTCTCCTCTCCTTTGAAATAAAAATCGTCGGCTAAAAATACTGTACTCTTAGGCCCTCTCCATTTCAGCATTGAAAATAGCCCGTAGCGCGCACAAAGTTACAGGCAATGGTAACGATTGGACTATGCGGAAAGTGACTTGCGATGATCGTTGAGGATTCTTTTTCAAGTACGGAGTACGCCGGGCGTATGAGTAGACTGAAATATAAAAGGTGAAATATGGCCATTCTTCTCATTTTTGAAACTATTTGCCAATCTTTCCATTTTCCCAGACATTGGAGCACTTCAAGATCTTCAACTCAAGTCCTTGTTTACCACTGATCATGTCCAGCTCAAGTGGACTCGCTGCAAGCAATATGCCGCCCGAAGAGCAGACAGAGGCGCGAATGAGCAATCTTCATGCCGATGCCAATTTAAATGAAAAGGCACTTCTCTCTTCCATAGAGGATACTTCATTTCCTGATATGACCGTTCAGCCAGGCGATATGAACACGGCCATCAAGAACTTGACCCGTGGCATTTTAGGTGCTCCTCCTCTGGGAACCAAGGCCCAAACCGTTCTGCTGTCCAAGCTAGCGGATGAAATGAAGGACATCAGGCGCTGCCTCGACGATGTTTCAGTATGTGCCTTGTAACCTCTATATGCCTTTGATCGGATCTCATGTATTAACAGATGGATCTTCGATAATTAGGACCATCCGTACCTGAAGAGGTGTGATGCGACTCTGAACAGGGCTCCCATTGTAGGGATCAAGGGCGATGATATCGTCTATATCAATACCATTTCAACTCCCTTGGAGAAGGTGATTAGCGAAAAATGGACTTTATTTGGCCCCAAGCCTGATGGTGTGAACCTCACCGAGGGCCAGGCAAACCACTTTTTTCCTTATCAAGGGGATCTATGCTTCGCAGTGGGGAGGTCTCTTTGGCGAAAGAGACATCGGTCGGAGGATGACCCTCTCATCAACAAAGCTGTGAATCACTGGCCGTCGCTTTATGAAGATAGCTGGGAGAAGGTGGGTGATCAGTGTCTCCCTGATACGAACCTTCTCAGCGTGATCTCATATGCAGCTCTTTCGATGGACTGTACTAAGATCCTGTTCCACCTGATAATTTTGACTGGAGATGGGACGATCATGGTTTCCAATAATGATCGCCTAGTCGACGCCGCTTCGTTCCAAAAAATGAGCAACACCAGAAATGAAACTGTGACTTGGAAAAAGATCGCCTACTGGAATGATAAAGTCGTCGGCTTGGACTCCAATAACTGCACCTGGAACTTGACTATGAATTTTGTCGAGCACACCTACAAAGCCGAGGAAAAGCTTCAAGTTAGGGCGTTTTCCGAGTTCACGGCTACCGATATGGGCCTTGTGGGCCTGGGTGAAAACGGAACTCTGTATAGACGGATAGTCAACCGCGAACTGAGAAATCAAGATACAAACAAAGGCATACTCAAATGGGAGAGCTGGATGCCACAATTTGGAGTGACAAGTATTGGCGTTGCTTCTCCTGGAGCTCGGCTGGATCTGCGTGGGCTGGCAAGAATCTTGAAATCGCGATATGTTGAATCCGCGACAGCTCTTTATCTATTCTTTGACAGGCTCAAGACATTTGGCATCACCCACAGCGTCTACCTGGAAAGCCATCTACTGAGACGTGACCAAGGAGTACCAGGAAGCTTATTGGGATGACAAGGAAAAAATTGCCGTAAAAGCAGGAAAGAAGATGGCCACTCATACGAAGATGTGGTGCAAAGTGTTAGAAAGACAGACCGCAATGTGCCGCGAAGCTGCCGCCAAGATACTCAAGGACATTGACGATGTGAGAACAGGCTTGAACTATCAAAAGATTATCATCATTGATCAGCTGGAGTCAGCCGAGGGCTTCGTGAATATTCTCAATTCCGATCATGACAAGATTGACGCGTGGCTCTGGGGACCTATTGCAACTTCAGTTGCTGGTAAGCTTCCTTGCTTTGCGCGCTGGTCAGTTGGATAGACGTTAACTATGACATAGGACTTGACCGGACTATATTTTCAGAATCTACCGGTGTTGCGATGCAAGATTTCGCTGCCGCTGGATCTTTGTTTGTCGGAGGATTGATTGTAGCCTCTTCACCAGGTGAACGAGGCAAAAACATCATGGACGCGATCTCGAATGCTAGATCTGAGCATGCACGTCTAAAGACATCATTGAATCTGATGGTCTTTGCTCTAGATACTCTCAAGCGACTGGAAGATTGCAGCAAGAAAATCCATGAGTTTTGGAATGGCATGTTGACCAATGCCATGATACTCCAGTACATGGATCTGGCGACAACCAAGAGGCTCGGCGAAGAAATCCTAAAGCCTGACAATATCGAGTCCTCAAACAAAGCCACAAGAGATTTTGAGAGAGTTAATCGGAGTCTCCTTGGTATTTTGAATAGAGATGGGATCAGGCCACCCATAGATGATGATGATGATGATGAGTGCGAGTAAATGATGACAACTGCGATTGTGAGGCACTTATTTGATAGGTAGCGCTGAAGAAATAGCAAATGAACATTGGAACTTATGATCATGAGACCAAAACTGTATCAGACCAGAATACTTCTCAAATACAACTTAATTTGATTACAGATAAAATAAATCTCAGCCAACTAATAATATCGTGGACTGACTATGGAGTATATTGAGGCCCGATAAGCGACCGATAACTGATGGCGATAAGCTTGGGGCGATAAGAGATCAATGAGTCAGCAATCCCGTGATTGGCTTGATATCTTACCTCAGCATTTCCCAAATCAGACTAGCGTTAAGCCGTAGCCGAGCGACGCACACGAAAATTGAAAGTCCATCATCGTCCTCAATCATTCGACATCCGACCTTCGCATCACCACTCACCACCAAAATGTCCGACGCTCCCGTTACTCTGCGGACTCGCAAGTTCATCCGCAACCCTCTGCTTGCCCGTAAGCAGATGGTCGTGTAAGAAACCCCTCTCTTTTTCCTCCGGTCTAGGCGCATATGCAAATTGGCACAAATCCACGAATCCTCGAGCAAGAGATCGAAATACGACCTATTCGACCTGGCAACACACAACCATCAAAGAATGAAGGAAAAATGAAGCGAAGCCCAGCGACTCGAATGCAACAAGGAAACGTTCCGGATTGTCGTCAATTTTGCGAAAATTTGCTGCCCACAGACACGACAAATATCCAATAAGACCACGCGACTGACTTTTCTCTCTGCTATTCAGTGATGTCCTTCACCCTAACCGCCCCAACGTCTCCAAAGACGAGCTCCGTGAGAAGCTGGCCGACCTGTACAAGTCCAACAAGGACCAGGTCTCCGTCTTCGGTTTCCGCACACAGTACGGTGGTGGCAAGTCCACTGGCTTCGCTCTGGTCTACGACTCCCAGGAGGCCCTGAAGAAGTTCGAGCCCCACTACCGCCTCGTCCGCATCGGTGTTGCCGACAAGATCGAGAAGCCTTCTCGCCAGCAGCGTATGTCTTACCCCTTTATCCCCTCGATTGTTCGGAACTTGTGTTCCAAAATATCATTTTCCCACTTGTGGGATCTTGATATTTACCTCTTCGTGAGGTGGCCCTGAACAAGGCCTGACCCTGTATATTGGTCACCCACACTGACACGCTACTGATTACAGGCAAGCAACGCAAGAACCGCTCCAAGAAGTTCCGCGGTGTCGCCAAGGTCAAGGGTCCCAAGAAGTCCAAGGACTAAGCGTCTCGCCCTCCTTGAATCTTTATGGATCCATGAATGGCATGGTGAAACGTTTGGTGGCTTGGTGGATTTCTGGAGTGCCCGTCTGTCTTCAATTTTCTCTTTCCTCTGGAAATTGAAGGCAGTTGTGGTCTCTGGTGGATGATGACGGAGGTGGTTTTTCATCGACACAATGCAAAGAAAAGAAAATATGTTTCTGTTGTCGACTGTGAGGCCATTCTCTTGATTCCCCAGAAGGAAAAAAAGGTGGTTATGCCCCCCTGTGGGAGCCGGATCTACTTTTTGTATTATGTGGTAGACTCTGGTTTCTAGTGAAATGTGATGATTCCCCCACCCTTTCAAAAGGCGTCAAGTGTTGGTTTTCTTTTTTTATCGTGGGTTGGATAATCAATTTCGAATCAAAAACAGCGAGGGATACGAATCCGGGCTTCGGCTGGTTCCCCGGTATGAATTGCACGTTTTGTTTCTGTTCAGCTATAGTCTGTTCAGTGTAGATGTAGATCTGTATATGGTGATGACCCTACCCCGACATTCGCTGCTCCCCACCCTTCATGCCACTACACTTAGTCCAAGCGGTAATAGTTCAAGGTCTAGACCTATTAAGACTTTGAATGTGGTCCATAGTCTGGCCCCATTCCATCAATTGATCAAGTCAAAGCAACATTGAACCCTACTCATTGCTCTTTATACTAGTATACTGTAGATTGATTACTTCAAATGTTGAGAGTTCAACGCCCTATCCTTGGAGAAACATTTGAATCTACAAAGTATAGTCACACAACCTACCCCGACAAAGCCCAAACTCAGTCCATCTTACCCACCTAGGCAATACCCAAAGGCAATCAATTGATGTTCAATGTTGGAAGTGATAGTAATACCCAGGAACTTGACCTTGTGAAGGTAGACAATCCAACATTCTACCTTTTGAATTCAATCAGTTTTCATATCTATCAATATCACAGATTAAATTTGAACAGTCCATCTGCTTGTCCCTTCTGTACTGAAGCAAATGGCTCCACCACCACTGGCAGGTTGAAACCACCACAATCAGAAAATAGAAGCACTCGACTTAGGTTATCTCAAATACTGTCGGAAGATATTAGCCCTCTTACAAGCATCGAGACGCATGTAGGGTCAACTTATTCCAAATCATGGGGTCTATGGGGATAGGGTTGTGCAGAGATTACACAGGGCTGGGTTTTACTATTTCCTTTTTGATAACGCAGATTACCAGAAAAGGGAGCTTAGAGCTTCAAGAGACATCCCAGCTTACTAGTATTCTTTGTTTTCCTCTTTCATCCCTAGACTCCCTTCTTAGGTATCTGACTCGGGAGAGACATCGGCAGTTAGGCTAGGACTTGCCTTTGGTCTCAATTTGGACGCCTAAGATCAGGATATCTGTCCTTGGTATGGTTACAAGAATTCAGGAAGTGCTACTATTGAAGGTACCACCTTTGTATACTCAGCTACTTCTGGATGTCCCGCAAATGACAAATCAGGTACATTGGAATGTACTACCTATCACCTGGGCAGTCTCTGGACATGCATAGGACTTTTTCAAGGTCCTGATGTCCTGGTTTAGGAAGGAGGACACGTTTTCATCTGGGTTTCATGCCACGGTATAAGATGTGATTGCAGTTTTTTTCATTAGAATAAGTGATCATTAAATAGAGGGCTCATTAGTCGGATCATCATATCAAGATCAAAAACATGTAGGAAAGAGATCATTATGCACGACTCTTGGGTGATTAAGGGATAGTTTCGTGGAAAGTGATATAGTTAAAGACAGATATCCTCCAGTGCAAAGAGTAAAATTAATAAAATGAAAGAAAAGAACTAGGAATTGATAGGGTAAACCCCGAAGCTTAGACTTTTTTTCTCTTCTTTGCTTTGGCTTCAAGGATTGGTGATATTTGAACAAGGTAGATGTGATAAACAAAAATCAAGATACCAACCATGGCAGAAATGAAACTTTGACAAAACAGGAAGAAGCAGGAATGGGGAAATAGAACGAAGTACAACGCAACAAAATAACAAATAGCAGATGGCCTCCACACAAATGCCGCCTCGGCTTCAGGGTATGAACATTTGCCGTGTCCAATCAGACTCGAACCAAGTATTTTGCAGAAGAATATGACGCAAAAGGGAATTTTGCAGGAAGACCCAAAAAGAGCCAACGTGATCAAAGAGGGTCGCCTCGAAAAAAAAAGACGAAAGGGAAAAAAAAACATGCAGGTACACAAGGGACCAATAGTAAGAAAAACACAAGGCAAAAACGGGGAAATAAACGATGTAAGACATATGCAACACCACAAGATCAATGATGGTCCCACCGTAGAGTCAGACATACAAGCATGCCATAGACCCTGCAGAAGAGGCTGATCTCTCCGTCAAGTCCGGATGTGTTCCGGTTGGAAAGCCAGACTTTGATCCATGTCATCTCAGAACAAGGCGTGATAACAGAACAGAAGTAAAAGAGCGAGATCTGGATGAAGAATATACTCCGATTCGACCCATCTGGCTCGACGTCCATACACAAGCACCAAGATCGGTACTTTTGGGACTTTTGAGGGTGGGTTGTCCATCCATTGAGAAGTTCATCAACACAGAATTTTCAATCACAAGTCAAGAACACAAGAAAGATTCCAAATCAAGAAAAAAAGCAAGCAAAGAAACGCCATCCAAAAAGAAGTGTTTGAGGTGTGTGGTTACGAAGACTCCCTAGTAAGCTCCCTGGTTACCCAAGGGCTCAACAGGTGGGCGATGTACGTTCTCGACCACAGCACGGTGATACTCGGGCAGTGCTTCCGGAAGTAAATTGAATGAGAAGCTAGTGCCGGGTGAGTCCCGATGCTGCACACGAGTGTATGGTAGCCCACTGACAAGGGTACGGGTATCGGGGTCAGAGCCACCACGTGCCTTACGCTTTGCACTGCTGCTGTATCCATAGATGTCCGAGGTACATTCGTTGGTCAGTGCATGATGCCGTTGGCCGGCACGGGTGTGGTCTCGGGAGGATTTTCGAATTGGTTTGATGTCGCTGGCCATACTTGAGTAGTCTGATGCGGTATCAAGCGTTCCAAGGATAGGGTATGTGGAGGTGACGCTGCTTGCTGTAGATGGTAATGCTGCGGAAGATATAGAAGAAGAGCAAAGTAGAGCTGTGTTTGAATCTTCGGAGGTAGTGGGATATGTGAAGATCAGATCTGGAGCATTGACACCCTTGTTTAAGAGTTCAGGACTGCTGGTAAAGGGAACATTGCTTGGAATAGTCTGTTGTGGGCTTCCAATAGAGGTTGCTACACGTGGACTCCAAAATACCCCTTTGAAATCTCCTTTGAAATCGGGTGGAGACCAAGACATGTTCGAATTTCCCTCAGTGGGAAGAAATCCCAGATTAGGGACAGGACCTTGCTGGTTCCGAGAAGTGGGAGTGGGCAAGGTACGGTCTGATCCAGACATATCAGGAGAGGAAACTGCACTCATAGCAGTATTTGTGGACGGGGGAAGCTCAGATAAAGGGTGACCTTGACTGGGTAGCATGTAGGCAAACTGCGGTTGATTCATCGAGGCATTTGTCTGTAGTTCAGGATATATGCCCCCATTAGACGTTCTGCCAGTGTTGGACATAGAGTCCCAGCCTTTGGTCCAAACAGGTGATCCGTAATCCATCATCACTCCAGGTGCATTTGGCATCATGTACTGAGAGGACTGGGTGAAGTTGACCGGTGGCTCATCCTCATACAGTATGGCATTTGCAATTCCGGATCGCTGAAAGACATGGGCATCCGCTGGATTAAGATCAAAATCCGGTGTACGCTGAAACGCGGCATGGTGAGTCGGAGTCTGTGGAGACCTCATAGAGGCAAGTGCTGCTTTTTGTTGAGCATGGCTCGGTATCCCAAGCTGGGATGGTGCAGCTACTCCCATGTTCAGGTAAGGATCCCATCCTTTCGCCTTGTGGTGTGCAGTTATCTCTTTATCATCAAGATTGTGAGCTCTCACCTGATAAGAACGATCATTAGTCTCCTAGATAAATCTTCGTGGTGCCCTTATACTATACTTACTCGAAAGAATTGGCAGTCTTTACTCCCAGAGCTACGGCAGTTGGAGCAGCCTTGGCCATCTCCAGCATCACCACTGCACTTGATCTTCCTTTTTCGACATCGGTGACACTGATGGAGGAGACAATATTAGAAGAGTGTCTTCATATGACTGATGAATTCGACTTCAGCTTACCGCCACTGGAACACGGCGTCGTTGCGTGTTGCGTAACTTGGCATCTAAATCCGTTGACGGACTACCACAGGTATTCGACCGATCTCCCATCTCATGTCGATTCATACTTCTCATCGAGCGAGAGAGCGAATCATGTCGAGAGTGGTCAAAGACGATCTTCTCTGGATAGTAAGAGTCCATTGCTGAAGCACTGAAACCAGTCAGCATAACTTGTCAGACAGTTGAGCTGATGCATTCATACCAGAAAAAAAAATGAAATAAAGGAAGAGACGATTCAGCGCAACAAGAAGATACCTATGTTCCTTTAAAGTCAATGATGGGTCATGTCTGGGTAATAAATGAAGTGGTGGAGAGGGGGAAATAGGAGAAAGAAAGAAGATGTCTCTGGCGAGTAGGGCTAGATTTAAGTGTGCTTTACTCACAATAAATGTGTAGGTCTAGGTCTCTCTCTCTTCTTCTCTATGGGGATTTTTTTAGGGGGGGAAGTTTTGTATGTAGGTCCGATTTGAATTTTTCATGTTGTTTTATTTTTTATTTTTATTTTTATTTTTATTTTTTTTTTCTACTATGAAGAACACCCCTGGAGATGGCGCTAAATTGATTTCCATGATCAATCTCATATGCCCCGTTGAACTATCATGTTCTAGGTCAAGTTATGGGGAAGATTGCATAAAGGGTGGAGAAGTGAGCATAGTAACAAGAGGTATCTTGTTTCCACCGTTTTTTTATTTTTATTATTTTATTATTTTACTTTTTCTCTATTTTCTATTTTTCATTTTTTCTCTTTCATCTGAATTATGACATATTTTTTATTCTTTTTTTTCCCTCTTGTACCCAGGGGAGATATGCAAATTTCCGTCAAATCCAGATCAGAGCAAGACCAGCAGCACCGCCCCCGGCGTTTTAGAGGCTTGGTTTCACAACGTAACGTCACACGGGACATGACCTGATAGCCATGACAATAATATTTGATGTTGACTTCAATACGAAGGTTCTAAGGTTTCCCACGTTTTCTGGCGTAGGGTATGGCCCATATGGGAGTCATTCAAGAGATTATCATATATTAGACACCTTAGAACAGGGAAGTGGACTTTTCTCCTTAGTCTCACTTACTATGAGATAAAATAAAAAAGGAGATGAACTAGGATTAAGAAAAGAAAAAGAAAAGAAAAGAAAGAGAAGCAAGAGGGGGCAAGATACGGAAGACCACTTGCCAACGTTTGCCGAAATTCCTGGTGTCGATCCGGGGGAGAGATTCCGGTGGATCGATCAAGATGAAGATTCAACGTAAATGTTTGCTAGGTCTAGCCTAGTCCAAACGTTGATTGGTTTAGATGCGCCCAATATCCTATAGTGGAAGAGGAAGAGGGTCTTTCCAGATGCATCAAACAAGGCGTTAAACAGTCCGAACTAGGGAGTCCGGGACGTTGAGCCGTGTGGGGCTCATAGTTATGATGATTGGTTTCTTTTAAGGATTTTTCCCCCTTATCCCCCAAACATATCTTGCGACAAACGCGCACTTAGTGAGAGGGATTTCATTCTCGTGGGTTCCCTATGTCTCAGAACCATGGGACACGTAGTTGATGTCTCAATAACCCATGGCTTCTGAAAGGAACAGAGAAGAAGAAAAAATCTGATATGACGGAGAAAAGAGAACAGCGAAAGAAAAAGAAAAAAAACAAAGGGAATAAGTTGGTTGACACCTGTCAATTTGATCAGCCGGCACTAACACGTTCTTGAAAGGCTTAAGGGACTAAGTGGGCCCCACAACCTTGAAAAGCGCGCAACTCAACAAGCAGTATAAGCAGGGATCAATGGTCTTAAGGTTGCGTCGTGATCGACATCATGGATTGTAAGTCTGTTTGGGTGTTGTTAGCGCTTCCACAATCGCCGCAGCTAGATCGAAATGGCAAGTCCCCCCCCCAAAAAAAGCAATTTGAATGAGCCTAGAAAATGAGATTTTTTTTTCTTGCCTCAAATCCACCAGTCTCACCAGATAAGTTGGTCTGGAACCGTTGAAAGACCGATAGATCGGGGAAAAGGGAAGAATCGGAATCCCTAAGCTCAAAAAGGCAAAGGGGAGAAAAGGGGAGGAAGTCGACAACTCCGCCGCTTACTATGTATGGATTATACTGCAGGTAGTTCCAGGATATTGAGTTGGACAATTCATAGCTTTCTTTCAAGATTTTGGGAGAGAAGCCATTGTCATAGCACCTAGAATAAATCTGGTTTCGGTATCTGCGTATGGAAGAATCACAGAATCAGATCTGGATATGGGTCCAAGACCTATGATAGGGAAACTTCCACATGTTCTCCATTCTTTGAGGTTTCATATACGTAATTGGGATCCATGGGAATGAAAGAGTCCTCAGTGGCTGAGTTCTAATCAACACTGACTCCGGGTCTGACATTGCACAACATAGGCAGAAGACCAAGTTGGGAGAGTCAGAGATACAAAGAGAGTCAGGAGAGACAGATCGGGCTGAGCCAGCTGACTGTGGATTGACTCGCCAGGAACGCTCGCCCAAATTGAAATTGAGTCCTCCATTTTTGGCATTTTTTGGGGCGCCATTAGCGATACGTGAGTCTCCCCTGGAGTGTTTGTGGGAGCCTCTAGTTTTGGATTTCTTTGCTTTTTTTCATTCTTGGCAGGTTTTCCATTCCCCACTAGGTCTGTAGCTATCCAAAAGGGGAAAACCTATGACAAGCATGATCTTTTTCTCGCCATTTCCACGTGTGGATTCTGAGATTGAAAAAGAACAGATTGATGTTGCCATGATGTCGTAGACCTCTCATTTCTGCAGGACGCCGTCCGCTCCCTCCGCCGTTTTTTTTCTGCAGTGAAACGAGTCATCCGAGAGGGGAGAAAGATACTCAACGAAACCAAAAAAGGATAGTAAGAGGTCATTGCGCTGGTAGTACTGTATACCTGGTCCGAGGTTGGAGCGGTAATATCATCCTGAGCTCAGAGGGAAAAAATAATCCCTTACTTGTGGCTGGTGAAAATGATGATAAGCGCTTCCCATTCCTCTATACCCGTACTAATCCTGCAGGAGGTTCAAAAAAGCCTCGAAGAGAATGTCTAGTTCTTTCGACCCGGACTGACTGATGCATTTGACGCTATTCCGAGAAATCGGTGAGAAGATCTGCAACAAACAGCTAGGTCGATCCACTGATCCATTGCATCTCGATTCAGAAAAGGACATAAATATCTTGTCCAACTGGGGCATTCGGAAGATATGCCGGTCGATTGTGAAGGCAAGGCTCGTGAGGTTGCACCAAGGCACCCGGGTCGATCATCCGCGAAGCTAGTTAGTCTGCATGTGGACTTTTTAGAGATTGAAGAGAGAAAAAAAAAACCTCCTAAGTTCAAGTCATGACATGAAGAAAAAAGTAAAGAAGTAATATGCAAGAGATCAGTTCCCCGCCAATGGTGCTGGATGAGTATGTGAGGATTTGCAGCCCTGGAGTGGACCCTCGGAGGTGATAAGTATTATTGGTCCGAGCTCCAATCTCTCACCCGTCACAACCTCCAGCTTTCGATAGTATCTTCATTTTTTACTCCACAGCTCCTAATCTTTCCACTTTATTTCCCCGATGAGTGTCTTGTTAGAGACTTCTCTGGGCGATATCGTCATAGACCTTTTGGTTGATGATTCGCCCAAGGCTTCTGAGAAGTAAGTGCCCCCCTGTCTCTCTCTACCCTGGTCATCAACCCTTCAACTTTTCCCCCAAAACCTGTTCCCCCCCAGTCTCCAGTCCAGGTCGTTCAGTGATGTACCACATTAAACTGTGCTGAAAAAAAAATAAAAACTAAGCTTCTTATCCGTTATAGCTTCTTGAAGCTCTGCAAAATCAAGTATTACAATTTCGCACCCGTTCACAGCGTTCAAAAGAACTTTTCCTTTCAGACTGGAGACCCGCTTGGCCCTGACGCCCCCGAGAGTGATGGCGGGTCTTCAATCTGGGGGGTTCTGGACGGGCCCTCGAAGCGTACCTTTCCAATCGATCTGCCGAAGCTGAAGCACACCGAACGCGGAATGGTGAGCATGGCAACCGTTCCAGCCACCAACGATCCCGACCAACGCCTGGCAGCCAGTCAGTTCTTAATCACATTGGGCGATAATCTAGACTATCTGGATGGGAAGGCTGCCATTTTTGGAAAGGTCGTGGAAGGATTTGATGTGTTAGAAAAAATTAATGACTCCTTCATTGATGACCGAGGCCGGCCCCTGAAAGATATTCGAATCCGTCATACTGTCGTGCTGGATGATCCATTCGATGATCCAGCTGGGCTAGTTGAGCCTCCGGAGAGTCCTTTACCCTCCAAGGCTCAGTTGGCGACAGTACGTATTGCGGATGATGAAGAGTTAGATGATGAGATGGATGAGGATGCCATGGAGAAATTACGCCGGGAACGTGAAGCTCGTGCCCAGGCATTGACTTTGGAGATGGTGGGAGATCTACCATTTGCTGATGTCAAGCCCCCAGAGAATATTCTCTTTGTGTGCAAGCTCAATCCTGTCACTCAAGGTATGTGTTGGGGGAATTTTACAACTTGATAGGATACACTACTAACCCTCCTTCTCTCAGATGAGGATCTCCAGTTGATTTTCAGCCGATTTGGTACCATCTTATCCTGCGAAGTGATCCGGGATAAGCGTACTGGGGATAGTTTGCAGTATGCCTTTATTGAATTTGATAACCAGAAAGACTGCGAACAAGCCTACTTCAAAATGCAGGGCGTACTCATTGATGATCATCGAATCCACGTTGACTTCTCTCAAAGTGTATGTTTATTTATAGCTTTTTGCCTTCTCTTATTGAGACAACAGTGCTGACAAGCAGTTCAGGTTTCCAAACTCTCCGAAAGCTGGAGAAATGCCACCGTGACTAAGCGCAGACAGCGAGGTGGATTCGGTGGTGTCGCAGATCTCGAACAGAAACGACAGTATCGAGTCTCTGATGACCGTCGAGATGATGACCAGGATGCTAGTTATCGAATGGTCTTTGATAAGTCCAAGCGCCGAGGTCCTGGGCCTGATTCTCGTGAGGATGGTCCCCGTAGCCCTCCACGGGACTCAGACTCGAACCGTGATCGACGAGACCAATATCAATCCCGCCGTCGATCCTACAGTCGAAGTCCTGACCGAAAGGGTTCTCGACAAAATCGGGATCGCTACCGTGATCGTGAGCGTGATCGTAACCGTGATGGACGACGAGATGACCGGTATGACCGACGACGATGAATGTAAATCTATCTCATTCCAGTCATGAAACCCAAAAATGGAATTGATGCTAGATGCCAATGAATTGTACAATATAACCCCAACAATTTTGTTCTATATATACTATGTAATAAATTCAATAAATGCACTAAATGTGATACATAACTTCCAACTTCTCACACCCAAAACTTGAACCGGCTCCGCACTGGGCCCCGCTGGCGGGGCAAGTCGGGAATCTGTAAGAAACCAGTGGACAGGTCTCACCTTGAGAGTCAGGTTGTTGTATCCATGGCTCCGATTCGTCTTTTGACACTAAAAATAATTGGCTAAGCCATCGAAGTGGACTCAGTATTGGTGTGTATCCCTAGTTACGGTGTAGAAGGTGCCTGAAGCTCTGTTCAGCTTCACCCCGCGAATTTGTTATTTACTTTTTTGACTTCCCGCCACTTTTTCCCTTCTTCATCTATTTTCAATACCTCCTTTTTCCCACCTCCCCCTCTTATTTCCTCCAATATCTTGTTTCTCTTTACAAATAATCACAATGTCTGCAATCGCTACCGCATTTAGCAACTTGGTGCGAAGTTTCGTGGGCCAGGCCCCAGAGGAGGCTAAACGTGCTCCTAAAGATGAAGAGTTTCAGACTTTAAGGGAGATGTACCAGAATGCAGGACAAGGCCACGTCTTTGCCTTTGCTGATGAGCTCTCCACCGACGAAAAGACACAGCTCTTCCACCAGATCTTGTCCACTGAGCCCAACTGGATTAACAAGCTGGCTGACGAGAGCATCAACCCGAAACCCAAGACTGAGCAAGCCGCCGCCGTCCTCGAGCCCCTCCCCGAGTCTGTCACCGCCTCAATTATTGATTCTGACCCCGCGGATCTCAAGTCCTGGTTCGATATCGGTTTGAAGGAGGTTGCGTTGAACCGTGTTGCTGTTGTGTTGATGGCTGGTGGACAAGGAACTCGTTTGGGTAGCTCCGCACCCAAGGGTTGCTATGATATTGGTCTCTTGAGCGAGAAGTCGCTCTTCCAATTGCAGGCCGAGCGTATCAGGAAGTTGCAGGAGCTCGCGCAGAAGGTCCACGGTGTTGAGGAGGCGATCATCCCCTGGTACGTTATGACCAGTGGACCTACAGATGCTCCGACAAAGGAGTTCTTCGCAAAGAATAAATATTTCGGTCTTTCAGAGAGCAATGTTCACATCATTGAGCAAGGTACGCTACCTTGTATCTCCAACGAGGGCAAGATCATGCTCGAAAGCAAGTATAAGGTAAGTTCCTAACCCCCCTGAGCTGTGAATAAACAATACTAGTATTTGAGGCATAAACGACTGACTTATTCAACCTCTAGGTTGCTATGGCTCCCGATGGAAATGGTGGTCTTTATAAGGCTCTGATTACCTCCGGGGCCCGTGAGAATATGCGTACCCGTGGTATCAAGCACATCCACGTTTTCGGTGTTGACAACTGCCTGGTCAAGGTGGCCGACCCGATCTTCATTGGTTTCTCTGTCTCCAAGGGTGTGGATATTGCCACCAAGGTGGTGCGCAAGCGTGATGCCGCCGAGTCCGTTGGTCTGATTATGCTGAAGAACGGCAAGCCCGACGTTGTTGAGTATTCCGAGATCGACCAGGAAACTCGCGAGGCCATTGACCCCAAGCAGGCCGGCGTGCTCAAGTTCCGTGCCGCCAACATTGTCAACCACTACTACTCCTTTGAGTTCCTCGATACCATCCCTCAATGGATGGCCAATCTCCCTCACCACGTGGCCCGCAAGAAGATCCCTTGTATCAACCCTGAGAACGGTGAGGCTGTCAAGCCTACCACACCCAATGGTATCAAGTTGGAGCAGTTCATCTTTGATGTGTTCCCCATGATTCCCCTGCAAAAGTTTGCTTGTCTTGAGGTGCGCCGCGAGGAGGAGTTCTCTGCCTTGAAGAATGCTCGTGGTGCTGGCGAGGATGACCCAGATACCAGCCGTGCCGATATTATGAAGCAGGGCCAGCGCTGGGTTGAGGAGGCCGGTGCTGTTGTTGTCACTGATGGTGAGGCCTTTGGTGTTGAGGTTTCTCCTCTGATCAGCTACGTATGTTTGACCCTTATCCCCTTCAATGACACATGATACTAATGATTTATTTTTTTAGACTGGTGAGAACCTGGAGTTCCTCTCTGGTCGGGAGATCAAAGCCCCAGCTATCCTGGAGCGGGGAGGAGTAAAAGGTGATGTATCAGACATCAGACCTTCCCTAGACATTCTCTCTTGGATGATCTAGTGCAGGTGTAAAATAACAAAATCTCGGGCTGTTTTTCTGTTTCTTCTCCTTTCCTATTTTTTGCACCTCCCTATAATGGTTTCTCTACCAGACCATTGGAACGAAGAAATGAATTGCATGTTTTGTGCTCTTTTTAATAATATTATCTGTTGATCAGAGAATGGACTTGGTTGCATTGACTATAAGTGCTATATGGTGTAGTATGCTGGAATGAAGGGAGTATTGAATGCTGTATACCTGGTGTAAATGATCCATTCTTCATACTGATATTGGTCTCATTTCTTATGAGTCTTTTCCATGTTGATATATAGCTTCAATTATGATCTGTGTATCTCATGCACTACCCCGTATACAAATATAAAGGGGCAAGAGACCTTACGCAATAGGGAAAAGTTCGGGAGCTAAAGTTTTTGACGAGTTTGCATCTCCCCAGATCATCTAATTCCCCATCTTTCTCCTTCATTCCTCATTAAAAAATAACATTTGAATCATTCACGACTAGTTTGTCTTATTAGGGGTCTTTTGATTGGGTTGTGTGAGTGAAGTCATTGTGCGCTTTGGGGCTAACGCTCCTCTCCCCACTTTTTTTCTTCTATTTTTTTCCCCTTCAAAGTGGGCTGTCAAGAACGTGGTGCTTTTTTGAGTTTCATTTATTGGCACTTGAATCTTTTCATTTACTAGATTCTCACTAACAAGGTCCTCTTAGACCTGGAACTATCACCATCTAGAACTTCATTTGTGAGTGCGCGTGAGCACCTTGATTCGCTCGATCTTTCTCCCCCGCGCGGATCGTCAGATCCCCCTCCCCGACAATGCAAAATTTCAGGCCCTCCAACTTTGGAACTCTTGGAAGACCTCGGTTTTCACACCAGTCTCTGGTGAGGCATTTCCATCCTATCAATGGGTTGATGGCCTCTATCTATGGTGTTTGAGGGGAATCAAAGATCTTCAAATCATGATGGAGAGTCATCTCCAGCTGGAACCTTGTGGACTGAAGCGGAGCTTGATTTTTTTTTTCTGGAGAATTGGTTCTAACCATGTGGGTAGATCCCTAAATTCGGAATGATGCTGTCCCGTCGTGCGTGCTACAAGTGTGGCAACATTGGCCACTTTGCTGGTTAGTTGATGTTGAAAGATTCTGGGGTCATTTGAAACATCCCACTAACTGACGTAGAGGTCTGCTCTTCCTCTGAGCGTCTCTGCTACAACTGTATGTTGAATCCTTCCTTTGGTTTTTGATCGCACATTTTGAAAGATTCTAACAATGATCTCATAGGCAAGCAGCCTGGTACGTCTTTCGCTTCCATATGACCTCTTGTATGACATCGTCCATCGATCCCAATCTTACACATACTATCAAACAGGCCACGAGTCTAGCGCCTGCCCCAGCCCTCGTACCACCGAGAGTAAGAGCTCACCTCCATTTCACGACCTCCCATTTCTCCGCCATATATCTGACTTTCATACAGCTAAGCAGTGCTACAACTGCCAGGGTGTTGGCCATGTCCAGGCTGACTGCCCCACTCTGCGCCTGAACGGCGGCAATGGTCGCTGCTACAACTGTGGCCAGCCCGGTCACCTTGCCGTACGTTGAATCACAATATATCTATCATACTCCAAGATTTTGCTGCTGACCATCCACAGCGCAACTGCACTAACGCTGCCAACCCCGCCGGCGTCAGTGCTCCCCGTCCTACCGCTCCTCGTGGTAACTTCCAGGCTGGTTTCCGTGGTGCCTTCCAGGGTGGTGCCCGTACTGCCACCTGCTACAAGTGCGGTGGTCCCAACCACTTTGCCCGCGACTGCCAGGCTCAGGCTATGAAGTGCTACGCCTGCGGCAAGCTCGGTCACATCTCTCGTGACTGCACCTCTCCCAACGGTGGCCCTCTGAGCCAGGCCGGTAAGGTCTGCTACAAGTGTGGCCAGCCCGGTCACATTTCCCGCGACTGCCCTGTCACCGCTGAGGCTTCTGCTTCCGGTGCTGCTGCCGCCGCTACTCCTGCTGCTCCCGCTGCTCCCGCCCCCGCTGCTGAGGCTGAGGCCGCCGCTCCTGCTGCTGCTCCCGCTGCCCCTGCTGCTGAGGTTGCCGCCGAGGCTGCCCCCGTTGCTCCCGTTGCTCCTGCGGCTCCTGCGGCTCCTACTACCGCTGCCGCTTAAAGTGACTTTGCCTTCATTTCTTCTGTTGTCTCACCACCGTGCATTGTTTTTTTTTCCTTTTTTGGGAGCTATTTTACCCCCATATCTTCTCCTCTGTATTACGGTCACTTTTTTTTCTGAACCTCGAAACAATCTTCTTTACCCTCTTCGGAGTCTGCCCCCTTTTTCTTCCTTTGCATATATTCACCAATCTTCCATTGGGGTTTGGCTTGGATCTGTTTCTTAATGATCTCCCTTTTTCGGCTCTTTTTTTACCCCCTTTTCACTTGTACACGACACTCAAGAAAAAGTTCTACCCTCTTCTTTTCTTGTTTTGAAATCACGAACTACCCCACTTTTTCTCAGCTGACTTGGTACTGATCAAGTCTCATGGTTGGCGTCTTGTTTGTTTCTCCTACGGATCAATCTTTTTCTCGATTCGATGAAATCTACTCTTGATTGCGGTTTTCACGGATGGGCCCGGAGAGCGAGAGCGAGAGAGGATGAGGAAAGGACGAGGTATGTGGATGCAGAGAGCAAGAGAAGAGCAGATCGCTGTGTGTTTGGAATGGGGCCTTTTCCGGTGGGAAGATGACTCGGTGCTGAGAATATGAAAACGCAATTTATTTCAGAGATTTCCAATCTAAGATCAGTGCTTTGGATCGTAGAAGCCATTTGTATAATCTCGAATACTTCATGGTCAATGAGATCCGGCCAGTGAGTACCATGAGATGTGTCTCCCATCACATGTGCATGATTGATGCCAGTCACTCGCCATCTTCTGGGCTTTATGGTTACTTATCATTCTGGACACATACCATGATCTCGAATTAGGATATCCAGTGATGGTGAACTTGAAAAATCATACTAGGAGTGTTGATTTGATGATATCCATTTGTTTCTTATGTATGTCTCACATATGGATGTAGTATCATGTAAGTAGACGATTTGAATCAGAATGAATCATGGTAGTATATTTCACGTAACGAATGCTGATAGAAATATAGACAGGATAGTATATTGAAATTGTTCATTTCTATTTTTTACGAAACAGGAAAATAATTCAGTTGTAGTTGAGTGTCTCCGTGGTAATGAAGTTGTGTGCTTTCATCCCATTTGGGAATTCCAAGCAGCTCGTGACTCTTCCTTTCCAATCTAACCACTCTTTCATCCTCTACACAGTTCCATCCCATCAATTCTATCAAGATGCCTGGTTCTGATGGTAGCGAAGAGCTCAACGATGAGGTATTTATGACCTGGTCATCCTTACTCTCATGAATGGATAATAGTGACTCTACAACAGGACTTCATCGTCGACATCGATGGCATTCAATCCCACGGTATTGGCGCAGCGGACATCACCAAGCTGAAAGCAAATGGATTCTTTACTGTTGCTGTAAGTATCTCTCTGTCTTCAGCCATTCTGTTTCATGCTCAGATACATTGCTCATATTTACTTCTAGTCTGTCCATGGCGCTACCCGCAGAACACTCCTCAAAGTCAAGGGCTTCAGCGAAGTCAAGGTCGAGAAAATCAAGGAAGCTGTGCAGAAGTGTCTAGTAAGTTTTCACTCATCTCATTTCTTTCGATGTTATACATCTTCATGGCGAATCACTATCTAATCCCGATAACCCTAGCCCTCGGCATCGGGCTTCATCACCGCGATGGAGCTATTCCACCAGCGAAAGAAAGTCGTCCGCATCTCCACTGGGAGCAAGCAATTTGACTCCATCCTAGGAGGGTAAATTCAAGGCCTTGTCTTCTTTCTCCCTTCCTATTCCATCTAAATTCATCAAATATTAATCTCATATCACAGCGGCTTCCAAAGTATGAGCATCAGCGAAGTCTTCGGTGAATTCCGCTGCGGCAAGACCCAACTCTCACACACAATGTCCGTTGTCGCCCAGCTCCCCAAATCCCTCGGTGGTGCAGATGGCAAAGTCGCATACATCGACACTGAAGGCACGTTCCGACCCGAGCGTATTGCGCAGATTGCGGAACGCTTCGGTATGGATCCTGATGTGGCGCAGGAGAATATTGCGTATGCTCGTGCCCTGAATAGCGAGCACCAGCTTGAGCTTCTGAATACCCTGAGTCGAGAATTTGCGGAGGGCGCTTATCGCTTGCTTGTTATTGACAGTATTATGAACTGTTTTCGGGTGGATTATTGTGGGCGTGGTGAGCTGGCGGAGAGACAGCAGAAGTTGAATCAGTTTTTGATGAAGCTGGCGCATATGGCTGAAGGTAAGACTTTCCACTCTACAGTGCATCTATGGATGTTTCCCCCTTTTCCTTTGGAGGTCTGAGTCTGATGGTCCTTGCAGAATTCAATGTTTGTGTCTTGATGGTCAGTATCTTGTCTTTCAACCAGGTTCCCAATCACCTTCCGACCTAATCATTCTTCTCAGACAAATCAGGTTCAAAGTGACCCTGGTGCAAGTGCACTCTTTGCTGGTGCTGATGGTCGCAAGCCTGTTGGCGGTCATGTTCTTGCCCATGCGTCTACAACTCGCGTGCTTCTTCGAAAGGGCCGAGGTGAGGAGCGTGTCGCAAAGATTCAAGACTCTCCTGGTAGGTATGCCCATTTATATTTCCTTGGATATTCCTAATGCTGTTCAGACTGTCCTGAGAGAGAAGCCACTTACGTTATCACGAATGGAGGCATCAATGATCCGGATAAGATTTGAGTGGATGTCGAACTTGAAACCCGAAGACCTGCTGACGTTGGACTGAAAACTTATATCATTTAAGATGTCTGCGAGGAAACATTGAAGCTGGATAACATATATTATACAAGCAGCCTATTAGTACTTTTACTAATCATTTAACAATATTGGATCAAATCAAAATTATCATTCTCACGGAGATTGACAGCTTCTAAGGTTGTGCATTGTCTGGCCAATATTGTAGAGTTCCCCGTCACCGCCTATACACCGCCCTCAACAAGACGGCAGAATAGAAAAACTGCACGAGGAAAAAAGTCAACGATCTCGAACTCCAGGATATATCCAACACACACCCACAGAGATGAAGATATCCGCCCCAGAAGTGGAAGGGTACCTTACCCTCCCACTGCAATTCCCCTCAACTTCAATCTTCCCCCAAGCAGCAGCTCACTACCTTTACATCCGCCCCCACGAACCTCGCATCCCAGACCCAGACTCCACCCGCTCTCTCTTCATCGTCAACGCCCCCATCGACACAACAGAAACCCACCTCCGCCACCTCTTCGGCAAACAGCTCTCCGCCGGCCGTGTCGCCAGCGTGCAATTTGAAGATGTACCAACCAAGAAAGCCGGCGTAGCAGCCGCGACAGAAAGCAACCTTTCGCACCGCAACAAAAAGCGCAAGCGCGCAACAGCCGACGACCTCCAATCCACACTAGACCAGATCAACCTCCCAGAAACCTGGGATCGCAAGCTCCACAAGAGTGGCACACACGCCATCGTTGTCTTCGCAGACCGCGCTAGCATGGAAGCGAGTCTGAAGGCCGTCGCAAAGGCTGTGAAGAAGGGCTCATCGATCATCTGGGGTGAAGGAATCCCAGAGGGCCGGGTCCCTGAACTTGGTATTCGTCGTTATCGCACACACGACCGGGCGCGGTACCCAGCCCGCGCGGAGGTTCTTTCTGCTGTCAATGACTTCATGACTGTCTTTGCAGAGGGTTTCTGAGGCACGGAAGAGAGAGGAGACGAGGAAGTTGGCTGAGCCTGATGAGGATGGCTTCGTTACTGTTACACATGGACCTAAGTTGAATTCTATTGCAAGGGAAGACGAGATGAAGGAGTTGGTTGAGCGACAGAAGAAGAAGGCGGCAGGATTGGAGGACTTTTATCGGTTCCAGTCTCGTGAGAAGAGGAAGGAGAAACAACAGGAATTGCTTAGGCAGTTTGGAGAGGATAAGAAGAAGTTGGAGGAGATTAAGATGCGGAAGGGCAAGATTCGGGTGAGTTACATTTTTTTTGCTTCCTTCCTCTTGAGTTCATTGCTAATAATCTTTCCTTCAGCCTGAGTGATGAATTCTATTGCATATGCAAGGCGTTTTCGGAGTTTGCTTCCAGTTTTTGGGCAAGAATCAAAACTCTCTCGTACATACCCGTACATAGAGTGTGAGTTGTTGAATTTCACTTTGATTATTCTCCTCCATCTCTATAGCTCTAATGATGAATCCGCTGGGGCCAGTGTAGCAAGACGCGCTTTGCCGCTGTCTGCCATGTCATCAAAAACCAGCACTATAAAATCTTCTCACCCTCTGAAAGGAGCCCAGCATCAAGTCCTGCTGTATCCGATATATAGCCTTTGCTAATTATTGTATCAATAGATTGGTCTGACACTGCTTCAGGCTATGAAGAGTCATCAAAAGAATCTATAGTGTCAGCATACACCTTAAGTACTATATAAAATGTTATACCGAATTATATGAGCCGTTCAAGTTACCATAATTCCGCATTTAATGGCTATAGTATACAGACCTCTGAAGTACGGAGTACTATGTATCCAGATCCATCGATAAGGGAGCACAGACCAAGGCTTGGCATGATATCCCACATGGATAAGTTAGTAGACTCGGAGCTTCCATTGTTATACATATGCAGGGCAGCCTGAGGATAAGACCTAGGTTTGTGGGTGATCAAAGAAAGATATCACATGCAATAGTCACTATGAATCACTTCGCTTATCAGAATAAAGTCGTCCGAAGTTCAACGGTCACCTAGTCCACAAATTATCTCCCCGCTCTTCACATTCACACCTTACTCCTACCCTGCCGTATCATTCATTGTGTTCAACCCTGCTCTGTTCGTCTCAGCGCGTCTCGGCGTGTCCGGGGGAGAACAATATCGTACCCATCTCTGTTCGACCCTGTTCGTCAAGGGAAAAGCAGTATCGCTCCCATCTCTGGTCGTCCAGGGAAGAATACCATCGCTCCAATCTCTGATCGCCTGAGGAAGAACAACATCGCTCCCATATCTACATCTTCTCTGACCCCGCACAACCACAACCGTACCTGTACCCCAACTCAAATTCATCCTTGACGCGTTAACAATGTCGGCCAATGGGGGATACGACTCAGATGAGGACGTCGAATTTGAGGACGTTCCTCTCTCGACTCTTTCGACATCGACCCGTACTCAAGCCCCAGAATCCGCAGAATCACCTGAAGCTGCTCATAACGCGTCCTCGTACTACGGTCTTGATGCTTCCCGATATCACTGGACTCCCCCACTTAATCTACCAGGCCAGCGGTCTGCGCCTTTACCCTCGGGCTCGTATGGAGAGAATCAGATCCGCGGTCAACTCAATGCAGGCCTGGAAAGAATCGATCTCCGTCTAATGAAAGCTCGACTGGGCATTGATGTCACGACTCTACCAACGGAAACCCGGTATCACGACTTTGCGGAATTCAGCACAGAAGTGGAGCGATTTGTTGATATCCTATGGATATCTGCGACGCGTAAGTTTGTTTATTTCCTTTTTTTCTTTTACCCCGGAATAGTCATATCAGATCTTTGTTCCCCGCAATGCATGTTCGCATAAGTTTCATCTCCTGCATGAGATACTCAATAAGGTAACGAGATATTGTCTACGTCATATGATCTAACATGAATTCACAGCATCCATTCAAATTGAAGGCCTTCTCGCACTTGCCGGCATTACTGAACAGGCAATCCCTGTCTTTGAGTTCGATCCCGAGGCTGTTATGACTATCCTCCACAAATTCGACGTGATTTTTGTGGCTCTGTGCACTGGTCAACACCCTACCACTCAGGAGCCCCTGCCCGGTGTGGTGGCAGGCCAACCAATTGTGACGCAGACCCAACAGGTCCGAATGCGGAGTTTGGCTGAGGAGACCCGGTCTGCAGTCTTCCTAGCTTTTTCTTTGAACGACTCTGACAACTCTGATGAAGAAGAAGGGAATGTCAATCAATCTGTGCTGATGCCGTTGACTTACATCTATGAAAAAACGTTGACGTCGCTGCCAACTTAGGGGGATGAAGAAGAGTTGCTTTGCGGATGTCAAGAGGTGCCTGGCGCGTGCTTATGGGGAGTTTCTTTTCGTTCCCATGTTTCTGTCTTTGCATAGCGCCATCTGGAGTTCTGCCGCTTGACCTGTACTTTTATTAAACATCAATTGATGAAATGAAATTCAACCCGAGTAAAAGGATCTGGTAATAGGTCAAGTGAGCTCAAACTGAGCTGATGATCACGTAAGGTATAATCGATATCTCAATCGATCTAGGATTGTAATCAAAGAAATTTACGATTGGGTAGCTGGAGTTCCAACATTTGAATGACTCGGGTCTATGCACCATGTATGTACTGTACAGCCTGTACTAACTAAAATCTCGTCCCCACATTTGAACATTGAATATTGATTCATATTTCACCAACTGGTGACATCAGCATCACAGTCAACTATAGGAATCAAGAACCTTCTCGAAGTAACTAGACCGACCCCATTAAGAGAAAAAATCAGTCAAGGCCCAAAAAAAGAAACCCAAGTGGAGCTTCAGGTACAAAAAAATAGCAAGCGTTCCAAACCTCCGAGCTGAGAAGCGGGCCCCCAGAGGAGAATTGTAACGGCCAGAACCGGTCCAGTGTTGTGTAAGAGTGATACATGACGAGCGGCAAAATACAATGAGCAACGCTTGTAATGAACGAAGCGAGTCCTAGGCATCTCTTTGGATGGAGCGTCACGAACTAGTGTGGATGCGAGCCCTGAAAGTGGAGCTTGAGTCTTGGAGAGTTGCTCAGCCTCGGGCCTGAGCCACTGGTGCTTTGTGGGATACATGAGACAGTATAGTACGGAGAACAGAATAGAGAATCTAGTTTTGTTTCTTTTTTTTATTCCAAGTTTTTGTTCTTTTTTTTTAAAAAAAAAAGAAAAAAGAAAAAAAGCATTTGATGAATCCTATAGAAAGAGATAGTATAGGGTACATGCCCTGATTTCCTGTTTTTGGTGAAAGAGCTGCTTTCCATGGTTCAGTCAGGGCTTCATTATTAATATGACTTTATTGGGAAATGCGCGGTTTTCCGCGTCCCAGCTCGTGTTTCGCGTGTATACGGGTACCATTAATGTCCATTAATGTCCATGTAGAGTCTCCTAGGCAATGCTGCAGGGTGACAGGCATCCATAGAGGTTAAATCAAGTCCATGTGAGTGTCGCCTAAAGATATCAATATCTAACACCAGTTGATGCAAGGGTAATTTTCCAGTGATCTTAGGATTTAGGCATCAAATGTTCACCCGCTCTGATATCATCGATCACCGGTCCCTTACTCATACCAAATCCCCTCAAGGAAGAAAGTTCCGATAGCGCAAGGTGATCGAGATTGAGATCAAGGGTGAGTCATTTTAACATATAGAATCAGAAAGAACATATCAGCAATGTTTGAATCAAACTCTCAGATCTAGTCAGACTCAATACTCCTCTCGTACTCAGTAGAACTGAACGCGTCCCAGACTCCCACCTGGCATCTTTGTCTCTCCCCGCCAAGCTTGAGCTTCCAGGTAATTCCAATACAGCCGAAGGGCTCCATCCCAACCAATCACCAAGTGTAAGCCCTCCTGCATGAGTCCCATGGTTCTGGTTCCTGATGTCGCTCAACTTGTATTGTGCACTGGGTGACGTATTATTATATCCTTGCGTAGTAGTAAGCGCGGAATATCATGGGAGAACCTTGCTTCGAGAAGGTCTGCAGAAAGGATGGAGTACTTGAGTGTGTTCAATTGATTGAGGAGGAGCTGCCCCTCCCCCAGCTGCAGCTGCAGATTTAATTCGATTTAATTCGATTTAATGGGGATTTTTCAGTTTTTGGTTTAAGAAAAATATGATTTTTGATTTCATTTCATTTTTATTTTATTTTTATTTTCTATTTTTTTTTTTGCTTTTTTTTTTTCTTTTTCTCTAGTATTGGGCTGACATGTTAGGTATGGGCAAGTGGTTATGAAAGAGAAATACCCATTCATTTCCACGGTTCTGTGGCGTTGGAGTGGAGTTTTTCCTTCTTTTCCCGTTCTGCAGGTTTTTTGATTGAAACTGGAAAATCACTTGAATACATGCAGATTTTTAAGTTTGAGGCTTTCGGGGTGCTTTAAAGGCTTTATCACTTAGGTACTATATTATCCCCAGCTTTGTAAAGTGTTAAAACTGTTTGGAATGTATACGCCTTGCTCATGGATTCATACATGAGTGGTACTCCGTATACAGTGGAGAGGTCTTTGTAGATGCCCAGGTGTGAGAGTTTGAAATGCCCTGACCCATATTTAGTATTTGAAAGGGCCACCTATGCTTTGACTGACAGAGCTCAGGTTTAGTTAAGTTCAGTGTTTGTCTGGGGTTTTGGATAAGTCACATTGCAAGGAAGCCGACAGATGGTCCTTGCAGCTCCCTTGTACGGAATGGAATACATCTGGGGTTTACTAGTAGAAGCCCCAAGCTTTAAACATAAAAATTGAACACAATTGAAATTAAAATAAGCCAAAGCATCTGTTGAGAATCATTTTTCAAAACAAAGAAATAATCAGAGACCGGGATCTGGCGGAAGATTCATATGGAATGCACAGTGATCTTACATAGGCCCGAGAACCTGGAACAGGCAGGTGATCATAGATGGGGGAGACATGGATATCCATGAGATACATGATTCAAGTTTTGAGTTCTTGGTATTATCTTGTATAAAAGAATCATGACTATATAGCTAATTAGACAGTTAATAGTAAATATAGTCTTGTTTAGTTAATGTATAGTTAATAGCGACAAACATATCAAACACCATCGGAGCAAAGAATACTTATGTGACCATACCATACTGTAATATACAATGTATTACCCATTACCTAGGCGTATCATGCATCCCGGCTGTAATGGACTTTCCCACTTCCCCCTCACTACTAAGGAAATCTGAGATTTCAATTCTTCATCGCTCTCTTTCCCCTCAACTTCTTCATCCCCCTCCTTTCTTATTGTTCCACCTCTCGTGCGGATTTCGTTCTGTTCTGCGCCGTTTTCGGGAGTTTCTGCTTCTTCAGGTTTTCTCACTACCTTTTTTTCTTTTGAATTTCGCTTCCAAATTTTTGGTAAGTCGCTCTTGTGCCCTCTAACAGCCTCTTTCATCATCGCCTGCCCCATCAGCCCCCAACCCCTTCATCATCACCACTTGCAATCTAGGTCACTATGCCTCTACGAATCAAAATCCATGTCGGGTCTCAAAGCCGCCATGCCTTTCAGCTGCGACAATGCTATAACTCCCATCGCCGTCGCCATCGCCGCCCCAGCTTGATCGCACTTGCGGTCCGATCCAGGTCTTAGTGGAATTTTGCCCGTGCTACTAGGCTCCCTCTCCATGCGCCTTTGTAACGGTCACGTTCGCTTCCATAAGCGCATCCACCATACGAATCATAAAAACCAGTCGCGACGTCCACAGCTGGTCGCATGGGTCGGGTGGACATGGGCGAGTCGGAAAGTGGAGCCTAATGGACGGTCGCAATTCAACACTGGAACCTGGACGGAAACGGCCGGCGCATCGCCATGCGGAGCCAAGTGAATGAGAAAATCTGCCACCCACTTCTTCTTGTCTCGAAAGTCTCATTGCTGCCTTGAATTCAAGAACACAAAGAAAAATCGAAGAGCAGGGAAGAAAGAAGCCGAAATAGTACCTACTGCGGTGGTTTTCGACCAACCACCCTCCAGTCGTTACACTTGAAAGAAGAAGGTGCGAAAGAAGAGAAAGAAACAAAGCTCTCTGGTTTCTGGTCTCTGATCAATTTCCCGCATTTGGTCGTGCCTGAACTTTGGGTCTTTTCTTGCAATTTTATCATCGCTTTGGCTCGCTCGATATTCACTTCGGCCCCCAATATCGACTCTACATTCACTTTCATCTCGCCCCGACGTGGATTTTGATTCTAGTTGCTTCTCACCTGATTGCTTTGGCCATCTTTTAACTCCGCCATCTCTCTTTCCTTTTCTCCCTCTCACACTTTCCTATCGCGTGGTCCATCTTGCGTCTTCGATCGACCTGCTTTATATCGCTTCCTCGTGGCAGCCAGTTTTAACATTCGCTTGTCTCTAGGAAACGTAACGCCCATCCCTTTGTTCCCGAGCTCGTTTACGAAGTGCTTCTTGATCTGACGGTCTTTCGTTTCACGACTCCACGAACCTTTAGTCGCAACAGGCCGTTTTATATTCTTAACTTGAATTTTCGGACAAGTTTGATTGCACAATGTCTTTCAACAACTTTGATTCCTTCCCCAACCAGGCTGAGGGTGCCCCTGCCCCTGGTGCCCAGGCTCCTACCGACGCCACCATGACCGGTCAGGCTGATCCCGCTACTGCTGGTTTCCAGGGTCCTACTCCCGATGGCGCTTCCGCCGCTGGCCCTCAGCAGGGTGCCGATGGCAAGACCACTCTCTGGTATGATTGAAATCACGTCGAATCTTGCAATATTATTCATGGAATAAATCATTGACAATTCTTTTTCAACAGGATGGGTGAGCTTGAGCCCTGGATTGATGAGAACTTCATCCGCAACCTTTGGTTCCAGATGGGTGAGCAGGTCAACGTCAAGATGATCCGTGACAAGTTCTCTGGGTAAGAACATAATTCCTCCTTCCACTTCATATTTAACCCACCCCTTCTTTTTGTTGATACCGAGGTCCTAATGTTGGTAGTAGGAGCAACGCTGGTTACTGCTTCGTTGATTTCTCTTCCCCGGCCGCTGCTGCCAAGGCTCTCTCCCTGAACGGTACCCCCATGCCTAACACCAACCGTGTCTTCAAGCTGAACTGGGCCACCGGCGGCGGTCTCGCTGATCGCAGGTAAGCGCAAAAATTCTCTTATTCTTCAGTTATCAAGTTGGTTGTGACTAATCCTGAGTCCGTTTCTCTCTACTATTTTACAGCCGTGATGACCGTGGTCCTGAGTACTCCATCTTTGTTGGTGACCTTGGTCCCGAGGTTAACGAATACGTTCTTGTCTCGCTTTTCCAGAGCCGCTTCCCTTCTTGCAAGTCTGCCAAGATCATGACCGACCCCATCAGCGGCATGTCCCGCGGTTACGGATTCGTTCGCTTCTCTGATGAGAACGACCAGCAGCGCGCCTTGACCGAGATGCAGGGTGTCTACTGTGGCAACCGCCCCATGCGCATTTCCACCGCTACCCCCAAGAACAAGGGTCCCGGTGTTGGTGCTGCCAACATGGGCATGCCCGGTCCCGCCGGCATGTACCCCCCCTATGGGCGGTCCCCCCATGGGTTTCTACGGTGCTCCCCAGCCCATGAATCAGTTCACTGACCCCAACAACACCACTGTTTTCGTTGGTGGCCTGTCCGGCTACGTCACCGAGGATGAGCTCCGCTCTTTCTTTCAGGGATTCGGAGAAATCACCTACGTCAAGATTCCCCCTGGCAAGGGTTGCGGTTTCGTTCAGTTCGTTCAGCGCCACGCTGCCGAGATGGCCATCAACCAGATGCAAGGCTACCCCATCGGTAACTCCCGTGTCCGTCTGAGCTGGGGTCGTTCCCAGAACAACTCCGGCCCTGCTGGCAGCCCCTACCGCCCCGCTCCCCCTCCTCCCCCCATGTACCCCGCCATGGGTATGCCTCCCGCTGCCCAGCACTATGGAGGATTTGCCCCTATGAAGGTTAGCAGTCACCCCGGCAGCCCGGCCCCAGAACACTCTTGAGTTACAGGCTCGGTCGGCTGACTCTTACATTCTCTCTTCACAGTAAGCGTTCCTTTGATTCAAGAAAGCACTAGCAGGAGTTGTTTTGCATCATTCCAATGATGGGCCCCCCTTTTTTGTTCCTTAAACAAATTTGCTCTTTCCTCCCCCCTTCTTCTGGTTTCGAGACTCAGCGCTCTATAGCTCTTGATGGGCATTCTTTTCCTCCTGTGCTACGCATTTCCGTGAGCGCTTATTATCCTAGCAAGATCTGAGCCTTCCCTCCGTTCGCGTTTCTCTTTTTTTTTCGTCTTTTCAGGGGGTCTTTTTTTCTCTCTTCTACTTGATTTGCCCCGTTCTCTTAACTTCTTTTTTCTTGTTTCCTCTCTCTGGAATCCCCGTTTTACTTTTGTATCTCAACACACAACTCCTCGTACTGCTTTCGACTTTCACGTTGTGTTTCTTATCGATGCCCCCCCTTCTATTACGTCTATGCTGCAACTGCTATTTTCCTTTTTCCCCGCCCTGGGGTCCTTCTCGCGTGTAACGAAAGTGCGTATTCTTCATGCGTTTCTCTTTACTCTATACTCCTTGGGCAGGCATTCTGCGAAAAGTTCCACTTTTTCCATCCCTCGCAAATCTTTACTTTCCTATGTTCCTTTTTTTCTATCTCTTCATCGAGCAGCTAAATTGAAACTTATGTTCGCTTCGACTAATGTTGCGTTCCGCCGTTTCTTTCTTTCTCTATTTCTATCTCTTTATATCTTGTTAGACTGATGACGGCTTGTACAACACGCTCTGTTTCGTACGTCTCCGCGTTTGTCAATTCCTTTCCCTACGACCATTGTGATGCGCTCTATTCCTTATGATGTGGGTTTTCTGATGTCTTATGCATCTTATGCTGCCATGCGTCCTGGTACTGGTCTTATCTTCGTAACACCCCCTTTTTTGCCTTCGAGTCTCCCACTTCCCATACTTTCTCTTCCATCGGTTTAAAGATGTTCAGAAAACTTTTGTAGGATTGGTCTTTGGCAATTCCCATCCACAATCATTTTTTTTATTATTGAATCTGGCAGAGACTTGAGACTCTTGGAGACTCCTGTAGCTGTGGAATCATTCTTCTGGCGCACCTTCGGGATAGGCGTTGTCTGGTCTTTTGTTTCTTCCGAATCCTTTCCTGCATTGGATGAATCTTGTCCAGGTTGGCCCATTTCGTATTTCTGTAATATTTGGAGACTCGCATATCTAGGTTTCTTGCCGGCGTTCCTGTCTTTTCTTTTTGGCTGAAATGATTCCCCTCCTTCGCTATATCCGCTTATTCCGCCAGTCCTTTTTGTATTGGGCTGGGCTTGGAATCACCGCAGAAATATGACTCGGTATTTGGATGTACTCTATTCTCTTTTAGTTCTCAATATCTCACTTTTGGATTCATCGACTTGGTGTTAGTAGTCTTGTAGTTCAAGTTAGGGTTGCGATGTGCATTAGTAGTCGAGAGGGAACCACGTCTTACTGGGGTCTGTCTGCGAGTAGTAGTAATTCAAGTTTCTTCATGACCCAAAATATATTGACTGAAAGATTTTCGTCTTATACCCAGTTCAGTCTGATTTGGTGATGTAAACACATACACTTTCACTTGGGCAGGTTGGGGACTAAGTCGTGACTTCTCTTCCTCACTTCTTCACCTCTCACTCAGCACCTTCCTCGCCTTAAAATGTTCGGTTTCACAAACACTCTCTATTTACCCCCATCATCTATGCATCCTTTATTCCTCCCATTGCCATACATTTGGAAACTCATCACATCATGCGCTACGAAAACTGGGATATCTTGCTCTTCCCGGAGGGCTCCAAGGTGCCCATCCAAGAGTTTAAGACTCAATGTTACGTGACCAAAGACACCGAATCCCCTTACCTCCAAGTCCCTGATATTCTGAGTCCTCAGCAATACTTTCGTGTTCAGGGAAACGTCGGTCAAGTCCCAGTTCTAACATCGTTTGTTCCGAGCATGCCCAAGGACAGCCCGTTTCGAGTATCCATTCACAGCTGGGAGAAACCTCACCCTAGTCGTTTCATCGAGAAAATGATGCAACCAGATGATGTGTTGGTATTTGAGGCTCGGGTCTTGATTGATGGTCATCCAGTTGCGTGAGTATTGTCAAGGCTAATCGTGATTGTTATCGTTTGACTTCAACCAGTGAGACGTTTGAATCTCTTCAAGCTGACTTTCTGTCCCTAGAGGCGGTGTCTTTGGTCAGAGGTTTTCATGGCCTTACGTGATTGGTATGTCTGGACTTCTCATTTTGATTTCAAGAACTGAGGCTGGTTGATTTGGTTCTTTTGCTGACTTGTTTTGTTGAATAGACTTCAGCTCTCGTATGCAATCACCCTCTGGTCCCTGCGATCGAGATGAATGTGCTGACAAAGCTTCAGATATCGATAGAGATGGCAATCAAGATATCATACGCTTTCCAGCATTTCATCCTGAGATCCTTGAGCAGCGACATTGGGATGCGGCAGATCCATTTGGCCGCATCAAGGTGATTATTGCCGAAGGTTTTGCTCGGCCCAATCGGTCTCCTCCTTTCGAACGAGTCAAAGATGTTATCTGCATGTCTTTTCAACATGCTCCTTTGCGTAAGGATTCCTCTGAATTTATTTTGCCGTTAACAAAAGTTGTCATCTACTGATATGAGATACAGATATTCTTGAGTATTCGAACATTGCGTGGCCCAATGCTAGCATGTGGACGAGGGCGGTGCCAATGAGTACCAAATTCAACGCCGCGGGCGATTTCGTTGCAATGAAGTCTGATGACACTCCGCATAGCCATTCCCCTGCTCGACCGGAACCCCGACTACTGCCAACGGCGAGCAGCCAGTCGTCCAGTAGTCAAGGCATGCTCTACAACGCATGGGTCGCCAACCGCGCGTTTCCTCTTCCTGCATCTCAGTGGCAAAATCAGCCCAATGACCCACGTCGATGGGGACTATATCAGGACCGATATCTCGGACCGTTCATGACTGAGCAGAACATTGATACATTAATCAACGAGGAAGCCTGGACTCATCGCGGTGCTCGGTCATCCCGTGAGGATGTCCCCATGCTGGATTACTCCAGTTCTTCTGGCAGTCGTGCCTTCTCGAGTATGACCGGTGTCAGCTATGAGCACAGCAAGCAACCTAGCCTGGAAGCACCGATGGATGATGAACAATACAATGCATTGATCCAAGCATTGACTCCCACCAAGCCACCGACCATGGGCACTCGTGCACCTTCCAACACACCATCTGCCGTTCCTCAGATACCTAAGCCATCAGCAGCAGCTAAAGCACGCTCCAAAGGATACTCTCGAAGCAGTGCCCGTACCTCTGTTCTTCGTGACGTCTCGAACTCGAACCCTAGCACTCGAGAGGTCTCGGGCTCAACCAACATATCCAACGCTGTTCCGGTTCCCGACAAAATCATCACTCCGTCCAAGCTCGGGACCAGTCCCAGTGGAAATGTCAAGGGCAAGAAAGAAGGAGCTAAAGAGAATGCCAAGGAGACGCCAAAGCGAAGTCCACGGGGAGATCTCAAGAAGCGTGTCACTCCCCAGAAAGACCAGGAGAAAGGGAATGTTTCTATACATGAATCCGGAGATACTCTGCAAGAGGAAGACGACGAGAACGACGACGAGAACGTGACTCTTACGGCATGTTTACTATGAAGAATTATCCCAGGTTATGCTCAGGAGGAGGTTTTGGTGAACGATGTTATTCTTATAGCGGTCTTCTCTTCTTATTCTCTTCCATAATGTGTATTCATATCCAAGTTAGCCAACATAGCAGGAGGAAATTCCACCACCACAATGCTACTTTAAATCTGTATCTTATGAGTTGTTTCCTCTCATTGAACTAAACCTCTCTCATTCTGTATGTTAATTTATCTGTAGGAACTATCAGGTGAGAACTCTTCATCTTGTCATCTCCTCTCTCTCTCTCTCTCACTCACTTTCTACATTAAGTGCTCTTTTCTGTCTTGTTTTTCTCTTTCTCTTGGGATGTTTGCTTAACCGAACCTTCCTTATCTGAGGCCACTCTCGCCTTCCTCTCTTACTTTTTGATTCTTTCCTCTTCCCGTGCTTCTCTTTTGTTGACATCCCCCTCCCCTCCAACACAACCCTCCAGCACCACCCCTCCAACGCGTCAAATCGAACCTCTCTGTTTATTACCCTTTTCCTCACCTTTCTCAGCCCTTTGTTTTCTTTCCTGTCTACGCCATGAATATCGAGCTGCCGCCGATTCATGATGTGGTTCCGAATGCGGATCTCTCAACCCATGGGACTAGGAAGGAACTGTCTATCAGAACAGGCAGAAACCCAGTCCCAACATGGGATGAGATGAGTCCTACCATCGAGAAGACATTTAGCTCGGCTCTAGATGATTTTTCTCGTGGTCCTCTCACTGGAGAATCGGCTCTAGCTGAGGGATTTATCCCTCAGTCGGAGAATGATGCTGAAGCTACATACGGCTCCATGAGTGCACCAGCTCCGGCCCCTTTGCTCGATAACCCATCAGAGCCCCAGGGCGCTCAGAATTTTGATTCGTCTGCTGAGGGAATGGGAGACTCGCGTGCCTCTTCATTCCCTGCATCAGTGGCAATGTCAATGACCATGGAGAATTGGGGACCCGGTTCTTCCAATGAAAGATTTCCAACTTCTGTTTTCCAGGTCTTCCCCTCGGGCAACGATTTCTTTCAGTCTTGTCAGCAAGACTTGCCATTCTCTCAGGTTGCTCTGGGTGATCCCCTGGTACACTTGGAACAAGGTCAGATATTTGACGCTTCCGCTGCGCGGCCATCCAATGAGGCTAAGCCCTCCATGGAGAATGGCCGATACCCTGTGAGTCCTGCTAATGAGCACTGATTTTGATCTTTGACCAGCTCGTATATAGCTGCTGGCTGAATGATCTTGAGCTGACTGCAGAATAGGTTACATTAGGGGAGCTCGATCTGGAATCCCTCACGGCTAACCAGATACTGTTTACTTTTGGGGTTATTTGTATCATGGCTCGCTTGACTCCACGCTTCCAGTTCAAATACGGTGGTGTGAATGGAAACAAAGTTGGAGTGAGACTGACCGTGTACGGACACACTGTTGTGATCCAACCCCAATCAGAAAATGCGCACCTGTCTAGAGTTTCGGCTTGCAAGAAAGCTTTGTTTAAGCTGCGCAAGTTTCATCCCCTGTGGCTGACTCCTCCCCTTCCGGGTGACCGTCCCACTGGACCAGAGTGGAACTGGGCCAGACTTCTAGAAGGCGTGTACTCGATTCCCTCGACGCTACTACTTGAAATATTTTGGCGGGATTCATGCTAACCTCTGCGGTATCTCTAGAGTTTTGTACCCCTCTCAACTTTCCTATGCCTTTGTACAATCCTACGCTTTGTGCTGGCCAATGGCACTGTGATCTTTCTTTGCAAGGTCGTCTGTTCAGAACCGCCTCTGCTTCGGACAGCCTAGACGAGGCTCAAAATACCGTTTCCCATATTGCAATTTACTCTCTGCTTGTGGATGACAGAGTCCCATCAAACATAATTGAGCCGGCGAGTGACTTGCCGGTTCAAATCAAGATGGAAAAGGAGAAGGGACAGGGAAATGTCCCTGTGCCCCCGAATGTGTCCGAAGTTACTGACAACCCGAGCCTTTCTCCTACTCTGCCACCCAGAATGGTTGAGTTTTTGAAAGGAGCCGGTCTTCTCAGAGGTGGTTTTGGAGGTGCCCAACGAGGCAACAAACGGAATAAGGCTGGTCGTGGTGGTGCGAAAAACATCGCTCATCAACCTCCCAAGCCTGCGACACCTAAGAATCCTCCAAAGCACTCGAAGCCTCAGACTCAGAACCCTGCCAACTCTGGCGCCCCTCCTTTGAGTAAGAGAGCTGCGAAGGCTGCGAGAAAGGCTGCTGCCGAAAAGGCGGCGCAAGAAGGTTTGGATGATGTAAACCATCTCCCGCTGACCAGCAGCCGTGTGGCTCCTCTTGTGGAGAAGCCCAAGGTTGCTGTTGACCCTTTGGCTACGCTGAAAAAGATTCAGCAGCAGTTGGGTCAGAACAAAAGTGCCTCATACCGGGGAATTCTCACACGTAAGTTTGTTTCACAACATAGGGCTTCTGCTGTTCTCTTTTTCCCTCTCGCTCTTCCTCTTCTTGTACGGTACTGACCATTGACCCATCTATATAGGTATCTGTTCTATTTTGGGCATCAGTGATGCTGAGATTCGTCGAGAGGATAATCCCAATTCTGGTGACCCGCTGGTGTGGGTAATTGTTGCGTATTTCGATACGCAGAACCCATTCCTGAGCCGGGCCAGCCCAGTTACTTTATGCAAGCTTCCAAAGATGGATGAGGGCGATGCAATCTCTCTCGGTGCGAAGAAGGCCACGATCTTCCTTCTTGATATGATCAAGGAGGATGCTGGCCTCGACCCTGGGATTCCGGATTATCCCAAGGGTCTTGGTGGTGTGAGAGAACTGCGACGGGAGTTTGACTTGCGGTACCGGGATGATCTCTACAAGTTTGGCGGTGTGTCTGCTTAGGGCTATCCCATCCTGCCATCCTTGCATATTCCTTGTTCTTTGTTGTCTCATTTTGGGATATTTAGAGATTCTAGCTGTTGATTTGGCTCGATGAGCTTTAAGTCCGACTTGAGAATTCTTTGTTGTCTCATTTTGGAACATTGAGAGATACCTAGGTATCGTAGGAAAAACTGAGTTGCATAGTTGTTGATTTGGCTCTATGAGCTTTAAGTCCGACTTGGAAATTCTGGATAGGTTGGCGTGTTATTGCGGTTATTTGGCTCCATTTTTACTTTGAAGGTTCCAAACACAAATTGTATGATTCAGTAGTAGTTAAGTCAATGTACAACATCTCATCTGCAGGTTTGATCTCCAAGGATAGTATCATTTCATATTGAATGCTTCAAGTTCAATTGAAGATTTCTCAATGTGATCATCAAAAGATGGAGAAATGACTTTGAAATGGATTCATTCAATCCAACGAGAGCCTGGGTGTATGCTACATCCATGTTTCATATGAATTGCGTATTTGTTCGAATTTTACACTTGAGTATCTCCATATAGTAACTACTCTGCAGGTTATCGAGGCCTTTCACACGCCCGTTCTAGGGTTTGCTGGTGATATAGCAGCATTTGCATGTAGGACTATACACACACTGGTACACCAGGAATCAGACCATCCATACCCACTGGTGGTAAACACATTTGTATCATCCAGCCAGACTGAAATAGTCAACATTAAGACCGTGACTTGAGCAACTTGAACCTTCAAGTTGATGAGCAAACCGAACACCGTACACATCCAGTATACCAGAGAGAACACCTTGAACAACTTTGGAAACATTTGAACAATCCATGAATCAACTTGAACTACATACGCGCCAGGATATATGGATATCGATTGTGTCCCAGAACAAAAACACCAAGATAAAAAACAGACATGGAATCAAGATATCCAGGTAAAAAGAAACGAGACATCACGCGTGGACCACATTCCTTTTCTCCATTCCACTTCCAACATGCCAAATGTCAAATCACCCATCAGGTTGATGGGAGCTTTTCATGGCTTGAACCTCCAGTCAATTAACCCGTTATGAGTCCTATAGGCTTATAGAACTCATATCCTCCAGTAAACATTGTTTTGGCCTTCCTTTTTGTTGCCCCGTGCTTCAGGGCTGAAAACGTATAGATAGAATGGACATTCCTGTTCCGAGATGAGCAAAATGCGAAATATGAGAAAATGGGGGAAAACAAAGTCAAAAAGCAACGATCCACAGAAAAGTAACTTGGGAAGAAGAATTTTGAAAAGGAGATCTGTTCAAGGTCTTTACACGTAATAATGCAGGAGCTTGCCGGATTCACAAAGAGCATAGGCTGCATGATCCTAGCTCAGATCTCCATTGATATCAAGAACGCCCGGCATCCGAGTTCAAGAAAGAAAAGAGAGAGAAAAGAAGGGAACGTTTCAATGCACCTTTTGTAGGGAAAGGGAGAAAATAGCGACAAGGCACTTGGGATACTGATAAGGGCTCTCAAGATGGCATACCACGTTAAGGAGCAAGAAATTAAGTAACCAGACGAGAGAATAGGTAATAATAATAGAAAGAAAGAAGAGAAGCCAAAACTCGTAGGTCACAGTGCACTAATCTCGAATACAGAAAGAGGATCCAAAGCCAGTCTGAGTATATCTGGGGGACTGGCAAACTGGCGGACTTGATTGACAAGGAAGGTAGAGGAAGAGGATTGAAGGGAGAAAAGGGAGAAAAGTAAGGGAGAGAAGAGGTAGGGAGATAATGCGATCATTCGAAACACACCAACGCCAATCTCATAGCATATGTGTACGAACACATATCCAATGTAGAACCAACCAAGAACAGGAAAGCAGGAGAGATATAAAGAAAGGAGAAAAAAAACCAGAGAACAAGATTCCAGAGAAATGGAAAATCAAATCAAATCAAATGTACAAAACAAGGGTATATCGGAGAGGTTTGAAGCACCTGAAGAGAACCGTCAAGACTTTTTCATCATTCAAAGACCGTCGCCGGCCCCAGTCTCAACACCATCGGTTGGGTATGGCATGTTCGGGTCAAATCCGAAGCCAGTAGTATCCGCATCGGTGTTGAGGAATGTATCAAAATCAAAGCTCTCCAGGATATCTGGGTTATCCAAGGCGCTGAAGTCAAGGTTGAAAGATGTAGACTATTGAGTGGAAATATTAGCAACTGAAAAAGAAGAGGAAGAAAAAAAGAAGTGGGGGGAAGTGGGGGGGAAGTGGGGGAGAAGAGACTCACATCACTGATACCCATATCAGTAGGGAATTGCTGAGACTGATCGGATGCCTGGACCATTGGTGGTGGTGGAACAGGCGCCGCAGTCTGTTGGGGTGGAGCGCCTGCCGCGTTGGCTTGACCCCGCAAGGTATTATTAGGAGGGTGAGGAGTGACAGGAGTAGAGGGATTTGGCGTTTGTGGGGGATCAGCAGCCTCTGTGGATGGAGTGGCTCCAGTGGCTTGATTAGCCGCAGCATTCTTCTTGCTCTGCTTGGGCGCGTTCTTCTTCTTTTCCCTCTTGGGTGCTGCCTTGGAAGGCGGCTGGGGAGTAGGAGGCGCGTTCCCACCAGCAGGAGACTCTTGAGCACGGCCCACATTACCAGCAGCACCTGGAGGCGCCTGAGGAGGAGGCATATTGCTGCGCTGATCCTGTGGGGTGCCAGCCTGAGGTTGCGTAGCAGGTGAGTGTTGAGGCGGCATCTGTCCTGGCTGCCACTGGCCACTAGGCAAGCGATTAGCATTAGCGGGAAGAGGCTGACCCATTGAAGGTCCACTGAAGGATGATGGGTTAGAGCTTGGAGGACGCATGTTAGGTCCACCCTGGAAAAATTGAGCTGCCATTTCGGGGGGGCATCTGGCCGGCGAGGTTCATGGATCCTGGAGACCCGCGATTCTGACCGAGATCAGCAGCGCTGGGGGATCCAGGAAGGCCAGTCTGAGGCATCTTGGGTGTGCCGCGTTTCATTTGGTCCGTCGGATTCGGTGAGGTACCTGTCCGACTACCTGGAGAGGTGCCCGGAGGCAAACCTCCTTGTCCAGGTATCTGCTGGCCATCACGAGCCATCGTGTCCTGCTCCTGTCGAGCCATCATCAGACGACGCTTATTCTGTTGCTCGAGCAACATAAGCTGCATCTGGTAATCTTGGAGGGCGTGGTTGCCGTGCTGACCGTTCGGTGCGCCTGCCATACCGGGACGGACCGGGGCCATCTGACCGTTGGGAGCACCATAGTACTCCCCCATAGGATACATTCCTTGGGCATCGGGCATCGCCACCAGATCCGCCTGGGTTGACATCACACCAGGGTTCATCATACCACCATTCGGAATAGCCTGGGAATTCAATGCTGAGCGAGAGTGATGAAGGGCCAAGTTTTGAGCATATACCTGCATGGATTTTTGTTGCGCCGCGACCGGTCCCGACGGGAACTGCTGGAATTGCGCTGGGTTGATCCGACCCTGAGCCATCCCATTCTGCAAGACCATCTGTGGGTTCTGACCCTGCATAGTCTGTCCTTGTCCTCGTCCACCAGGAGCCAACGGTTGGCCATTCACTGCACCGTCTGCGAGGCGAGGGCGTTTCGACGGCGAAGGGGCGTTATCGGCAGAGGCGGGCGACTGGGGCCGGTTTCCGTTCATGTCAATTTCGGACTGTTCACGTTGCATCTGCTGCATGATTTGCAACTGTTGCTTCTGCTGGAGTTGCGCCATTTGTTGTTGGGTTCTAGAGAACGTTAGGAAAAGAGGGATTCGTCAGCAAACCGCCACTACTTCCACTGAAGTACCTGGAAAGGGCGCAGATATTAGGGGAGAATCGCATACAGTCCAGAGGTGTTGTTCTGCAACACTGTCTTAGTTAGGTTGTTTGGGGCGACCATGCCATTGCGGGGTCCACGCATCATCTGGCCCATGTGACCGGGCATCATCTGCTGCGGCCGCATAAGTTGATTTTGCTGTTCTCGCATACGCATAAATTGCTGTAAGCCAAAGTCAGATTCCAGGGACAGTGTCCACCCCCTCGGTATAGAGTCCACGAACCTGAGTATGTTGAAGGTATTGCCTCACTTCATGTTTGTTACCCTGTTTGCGCTGAGTAAAGAAGAAGTCCCAAAATAGGCTGAACCAGTCCAGAAGAAACGATGACTGAAGACTTTCACTCGGGAGGCTTGGGCGGGGGAGATCATCAGGGATCTTGATCTTTTCCCCGTCCTTACCATCGGTCATCATCGCATCTCCATCAATCCCGTTCATGTCGCCATCACGCCGGTTTCCTGGGCTTGTCTTGGTACCGGGATCAGTGTTGAGTTTGATACTCTCATCCTGAATAAGAGCGCGAGCGCAATCGTGGTAGCCACGTTTCAAGAAATAGTCGTAGATGTAGGTGTTGAGTTGATTGATCATGTGTTCAGGGTTGTTCATGGAGCCGTCGTTACGAGGAGCCGAGGAGCCGTTGTTCATCATCGGGACACCACCCACGGGGCCTTGCATCCCAGGATTCATGCCGACGTTCATCTGGTTCATTGTGGCGAACGGTGGAGTTGCGACCACCCTTGCCTCTGTATATATTAAATTTGAATCAAATCCTCTGTGCGATCTAAGAGTTCCAAGCGCGCATCCACCGGTTTCAGGCAATGAAGCCTTTAACGTGGGGTGGAAAGAGCGACGCGAGAGAACGGGGGGTTGGAAGAGTGGATAGGGAGAAGCGGTCAGGGCGCTTCGAAGATTGGATGGCAATAAAGGACGCAATGACACTTCTGGGGTATCTAAAACGCGTGAGAATGGATTGCGCACGCGAATGAAGTCCGAAATCGTCACGGAAAATCAGTTGCGATAAATATATGCGGCGGTGACAAGATGTCTTCTCCCGGAGGAAGCCACGCGACGAGATAGGGAAAAAGGATCTCTAAATGCGGGTGGCGCGGAGGATCACTCTCGGATAAACCCCAACTACTTCTATAACAGCCGGCGACGATTAGAAAAGTATTAAAATAAGGGTAGGACCATGAGGTAGATCGAATAAAAAAAAAGAGGCAGCGCGGGTTGATATGGTTTGAGCGATGACGGAGGTACCAGGAGGCGGGAAAAGTAGTGAAACCAGTGAAACCAAGTGAGATGGGGGCGGGCTACTGAGGGGAGCCCGATCGGGTCGGGGGGGGTTGGTAAAGGGTGTTTTCCACCACGACCAAAGGGAAATCTCACCAAGTGGAACAAATCGTCGAGTCAGAGATATCTCTCTTCTTTTTTCCAGGTGGAAAGGGTAAAAGAGGATGGGGGTAGGGAATGGGATTAACGGCGACAACTGCTTTGCTTCTCTTCGTTCTCAGTAGGAATCGCTTGCTCGGATCGGATTAAATGAGATTCCGGGGCTGGGGATGGCGCGGGTCGGCGTATTTCTGGGCATGCAGTTTAGCACTTTATATAGCCTTTTCAAAAAACAGTAGAATTCCCGGATCTTTTTTTTTCTATTCAATCTTCTGAGATGGGAAGAAAAGATGGAAAAGATGAAAAGAGTAGAGGAGAGGAGAGAAAAAAAATGAACAGAATGAAAAGAATCAAAGAGAGGGAGAATAGAAAGGAAAATAAAGAAGTGGAAAGATCCGGGAGGTCAATGGGATGATTGATACATACCTCCAGAATGGGGATCCCGTCTTAACCTTCTCCCGCGTAAAGTGGAGGATCGACGATCGAACCAATGGAGACAAAACAAAGATTGCAAAAAAGAGATCAAATGAAGAAAGAAGTAATGGTAGGAGACATATGAAAGGGAAGAGGGGAGAGAGAGAAAGAATTGAAATTGATCTGTAAGATTTTTTCTGTGGTTCAAAGGCGGAGGTATGTCAATACCGTATTGTTACACTCAGGTGCTTCTCCTCGCCCGCATTCTGATCGGAGACACCCAGTTGACCCCATCTTTATACTACACATTACCTAGGTACAAAGTTCATATAGATCTATTCTACCCCCCTAATTTAAAATGTTCGATCATGTCAGATCTGTCTTCTTATTGATTATCAGAGAATCTCATTAAACTCTACTTTCAATGTTTACTAAAATTACACTAAAAAAAAAATTAAACCTGATGTTCGCGATAAATCGCGTGGCGGGGAAAGTTCGTTCCTACATGCCGATAGATCATAAACCCTAAAGTATACAAGTAAAAACGAACTCCGTAGAAGAGAAGTGAAAAATCAATCAATCGAATAAAAACAGTGAAATGGAGTCATTGTGGACCATTCCAATAATCAAAATAGAATTGCAGCCCTCGAATCATTACCCATCATAGCCCAAACGCCGATTTGATGCAGTGCGCTTTTACTCCTCCTCGGGAGGCATCTCATCTTCGATGTATCGCACCAGTGAGACCCGCATCTCCGTAGTGTCGTCGCCACGCAGCACATCGCTCACAAAGTGTGCCTCGATCTGCATTTGAACCTAGATATCGGGTCAGCGATCAGACCCAGCACAGAGGATCCCCGGGGATTAAGATCTAAGCGAAGGGAAAACGTTGAAGCAAAAAAAAAAACAGGGAAAGGGGAAAAAAGGTACCATTTCAAGAGCTCCCCGAAGAACACCACAGAGGATGTTTGAAAACCAAAGCTCATCTTGGGCCCGCCCATCATCAGGTAATTCCACAAAGTCCGCCAGAGGGTTATCCTCGAAGATCAATGAGAACTGATTGTTGTCACTGGTCCAGTTGGTGACCGTTGGAGCAACGTTCAAAAAGATCTTAAATCCCACCTATTCGATCGTCAGTCACAGAAATTTCTTTTTTTCTCTCCAGATTAGGAAATTCTACAGGGGTCCAGAACGCACTTTCGCAACCATATCCGCAGTCTCGCGGAAATTAGCACAACGGCCAACTCCCGACTTGGCCAGGAAGTCTTCGATCAATCGCATGCCAATATTGTATCCCATCTTGTCCAGTTGCTTATTCACCTCTTGATAATCGCTATCGTAGTCTTGGCATAATTGGGCGACAATGGTTCCGTACGTTAATGTGACCAGTTCCGCGTTCACTTTATCGATTCTCGTTCTATCATTTCGGACCACCAAGTTAGATCGGACGGCCAAGATAACACGGCGGGATTCATTCAATAAGCAGATCCCAATATCTTGGATTTAAACAGCTTACTGACTTCCAAATTCTGTTCCGAATAATCATTAGCCATAGGTATGCGCTGCACGAAATAGAGCTGTACTCACTCTTCTCCTATTCTGGAGGCTTTGTTGGTCGACATAGTGAACGGATGGCCTGGAGCTTCACTCAAGAATTCCAGATAGAGTATTCAAATGACTTAAACAGTTTAAAGTAGGCAATATAATCTTGCTTGGTTTTGTGGACGTTGTTGATTGCGGGGAGGGCAAGGTTGCTGGAGCTTGTCGCTGTACTCCGTACACATTGCTACTCACCGCCCTCACCGCCCGCAAAGAGTGGGATTATCATTCTTCCCGCTTTCTTCAGATCTCCAGGCGATAATATCGGCGCTCGTCTTGCTCACACCAATCCTCAAATTTCAAGCGGTTCTTCTTGTTGGTTGAGTTCAGGCCTTTTGAGACCTACTAGCATCATGTCGGGTGAAAAGCGCCCCGCTCAGGAGGCCTTTGGGTCTTGGTCTTCCAGTCAAATCGTCGTGAAAAGAAAGAAGTCCGATGCCGACCTCAACCCCGGTACGGCTATTGTCAAGGGCTCTTCCCAGAGTGGAGCTCTTGTTCAAGCTGTAGGTCTCTCTTTTCAATCATAAGGTCTTCAGTACCAATTGGACGGGTTCCAGCTAACCTTAAGGAAAGGTCCCCCGTACCAGCGGCCTCGAGGCCCCGATTATGGAACTTACTGGTAGGACATGTTCACCAATTGACCTCCTATATCGCCTCTAACACTATTCAAATAGGTCACTCGGGAGAAGTCTTCGCGGTTCGATTTGACCCTACTGCACAGCACATTGCCTCCGGTTCAATGGACCGGTCCATTTGTATGCTCTACCAACAAAATCTTGTCTTGCATGGAAGTGTTTGGACTAATCATAATCTGCAAACAGTGCTCTGGAACACATACGGAAACTGCGAAAATTACGGTCAATTAACCGGTCACAAGGGCGCCATTCTCGACCTTCAATGGGCGCGCGATTCGAGAGCGCTTTTCTCAGCATCAGCAGATATGACACTCGGAAGTTGGGATTTGGAGACTGGACAACGCGTGCGTCGTCATGTAGGCCATGAGGAGATTATCAACTGTCTCGACATTAGCAAGCGCGGGCAGGAGCTGCTGGTGAGCGGCAGTGACGACGGTTGCATAGGCATCTGGGACCCACGCCAAAAGGATGCGCTGGAGTATCTGGAAACTGAGCTTCCCATCACTGCAGTGGCACTCTCAGAAGCAGGCAATGAGATTTACAGCGGAGGCATTGACAACACAATCCATGTCTGGGACCTGCGCAAGAAAGCTGTGGTTTACTCCATGGCTGGACATAACGACACTATCACTTCTCTTCAAATCTCTCCTGATTCACAGACCCTCCTTTCCAACTCCCATGACTCGACTGTCCGAACATGGGATATCAGACCCTTTGCTCCTACCAACCGCCTGGTCAGGACGTACGACGGTGCCCCCGTCGGCCTAGAGAAGAACTTGATTCGCGCCAGCTGGGATCCCAAGGGAGAGAAGATCGCAGCAGGAAGCGGCGATCGCAGCGTTGTCGTATGGGATGCGAAAACTGGAAAGCTCTTATACAAGCTCCCTGGTCACAAGGGTACTGTCAATGATGTGCAGTTCTCTCCTAACGATGAGCCTATCAGTAAGTCCAAGTTTCACTTCCATAAGGATTCTATGGAAAATTTCTAACCTTTATCTCAGTTGTTTCTTGCTCTTCGGATCGCAATCTCCTGCTGGGAGAGTTGGGCAAATAAACATGAGCAATTATCATTCCAATCGAAATGACAAAAGAAAACAAATATTTGTAATGATGATAAGCGGGCGTTGAATTGATTTAATTCTATATTATCCGAACATCTCGAAGCCATATATTGGCTAAGGGTCCAGCCAATATGAAGGCTGCCCAGATGAATGAGCCATTTCCTTCGCCTTCTCCTTCACATGCAGAACCGACGGTGTACAATATCCTTTTTGAAATCAGGCGTTTTCGATAATCCTTACTGTCTGGGCATTGTATAAACTTGCAATGGTGATTCTCTAGCAAGTAATCAGACCAAAACCTCGATAACATTGACCCTCCAACATCTTCCTTTGACCAACGGATGTCTAAACTAGTGGCGAATCTCTCGTTAGAAGCCCATAGAATGGGATAGTGACTTAATATTTCCATGTGCATAAGGTCAACTGATGCATCACCTGATCGAATCATGCTGAGACCAAAACCTATCACATGACTAGATCGAATGATACAAGTTGTTCAACTATATTCATCGAATCTCATATTAGTAGTACTAGATTTCTTAACAAGGGTCGAAAGACCATGCCAGTGTTTGGTATAAATAGATTTTCATCTGAAGAAGACTCCTCCGAGTCATTAGCAGATGTTCAAGTTGTTCAAGACTCGAAGTGTAAATATCACTGGCAATATGAACTTTTGATTAATACATAGTAGAAACTATATACAACCCGCACTGCAAAGCAGTGGATTGAATTCGAGCCCTGGAGGTACTGCAGTCATACCACAATGGATACGTCCCGAGTATAACGAAGCCCCTTAAATAATATTATTTTCATCTCAAATTTCCTCACCTTCGTGTATGCCAAGTTCGTCAGGGTCTAATATGATGCAATGATAATGGATACGCAAAAAAAAAGATTCCCGAATCGGCTTATCTGGCCGTATCCACTCTCCCCGTTCACTTTTCCCTCCATCACCAGCCCTGGGCATTCCATTCCCTTCAATATTGTCATTACTAGCCCAGGACCGGACGCTCTAACACCTTGCAACATACACGCTCTCTTCTGTTGCTACTAAATATACCTCTCTTTGGCGGTTGACCGCTCTGGTGATGCGCACGCCATGTTGGAGCTTGCAAATGTTCTACCCTAATCGCGCCTGGATAATGGTAGTCTGGGCCATCCTATTTGCGCTATGGCTTCCCCTAGCGCAGGGAATGAGAGACTACCAAATTAAAGAACTACGGTATGAAATGCTTGATCTCTATGTGTCCGGCTACGCGAGACCGCTCTTCTCAATGCCCACAATGCTGACTACTTGGGGTCCGACAGACAAGAAACAGAGCGCATGTTCTACCATGGCTTTGAAAATTACCTCGCTCATGCATTCCCCGAAGACGAACTGCGTCCCCTCACCTGTGGCCCCTTAACTCGCGACGACAAGCAAAATGAGCATAACGATGTATTGGGCAACTATTCCTTAACTTTGATCGATAGCTTGTCCACATTGGCTATTCTGGCATCGAGCCCGGAGAATGGGGATCGGTCTTTGGGATATTTTCAAGATGGTGTAAAAGATTTCGTTAGACTATATGGGGATGGTTCGCGTGGTCCTGCCGGTCAGGGAGAGCGTTCCAGGGGGTTTGACATCGATAGCAAAGTACAAGTATTTGAGACTGTTATTCGGGGACTAGGTATGATATCTCACGATATATGGAGTCGATATCGGCTTTGCGTTCTCGCTGCTAACGTGCTGCAGGTGGATTGCTCAGTTCGCATCTTTTTGCCATAGGCGAATTGCCTATTACTGGATATAACCCGTCAGAGCATGAGGCTGACTTTGCGGCTGCATGGAATAAAAGTGCTTTTTCGGAGCACGATCATGGAATTGAATGGAGGAACGGATTTGTCTATGACGGGCAACTGCTTCGCTTGGCGGTCGATCTAGCAAACCGTCTTCTTCCTGTGTTTTATACAGAAACGGGTCTTCCTTACCCGCGTGTCAATCTGCGGCATGGGATCCCGTTCTACGAGAACTCACCGTTGAATGTCAAATCTGCGGCTGAAAAAAGTAAACGGAAGAAGTATTCCTACCTCGCGAGTGCTGAGGTCACAGAGACCTGCAGTGCGGGTGCGGGCAGCCTGGTTCTCGAATTTACGGTCCTGAGCAGGCTCACAGGAAACGGTCGTTATGAGGAACTGGCGAAGAGAGCATTCTGGGCAGTCTGGTCTCATCGGAGTGACATCGACTTACTGGGTTTTGGAATTGATGCGGAGACAGGGAAATGGGTTGGGTCGTATGCGGGGGTAAGTGTGGAGAACAAAGAGGAACCAACAATGGAGATATGCTAAACAAAGACCACAGATTGGTGCCGGGATCGACAGTTTCTATGAATACGCCTTTAAATCCCACGTTCTCCTCTCGGAGGGAGAGCGTCCTCCTTTTGATAAGAAGAGTCCGTGGTCAGTTCTAGACGACTATTATCTCCCCTTGACGAATGATCAGCATTCTCCCGATGCCTTCCTCCAGGTCTGGGAGGATTCGCATACGTCCATCAATCGCCACTTGTACCGAGGCGAGGGATACCAACATCCCCATTTAGTAGTTGGGGATGTGATCACTGGAGCCACTCGAGCTTTCTGGATCGATAGTCTGAGTGCATACTATCCTGGACTTCTTGCTCTAGATGGAAAGCTAGATGAGGCAATTCAGATCCACCTTCTCACAACTGCAGTCTGGACTCGCTTTTCAGGTCTTCCTGAGCGATGGAATGTGGCTACGGGTGACATCGACAATGGCCTGTCCTGGTATGGTGGTCGACCCGAATTTATCGAATCCACGTACTACATTTATCAGGCAACCCATGACCCTTGGTACTTGCACGTTGGAGAGATGGTACTACGTGATATCAAGCGAAGATGCTGGACAAAGTGCGGTTGGGCGGGTCTGCGCGATGTTCAGACAGGAGAGATGATCGACCGTATGGAAAGTTTCTTCCTCGGAGAGACTGCCAAGTACATGTTTCTTCTCTTTACACCGGAGCATCCATTGAACAAATTCGATGCTCCCTGGGTCTTTTCCACGGAAGGTCATCCTTTGGTCATCCCAAAGAAGACTAGATCTCCTCAGCCGCGTCGTCGGCAGACAGATGTTTCTTCATTTCAACATACTGCTGAGGATACTTGTCATGTGGTCCCTGCCCCCAGCTTTGGTGTCTCGTCTACAGCATCGCGATCGGACATCTTCCACGCTGCCAGCCTGGCACGTTTGCATCTTCGACCTCGTCGTGGCACGAGTAAAGGGGCCATCGTGGCTGAGTCGCCGAATCACCCTAGTGTATCAGTGGCTGATTTGACCTCGCCGTCAAATTATACATTCTACCCTTGGACATTACCACCGCAGCTTGTGCCCTATAACGCCACCAGCGCACCCATGGCCATCCGCCCCACGCTTGACATCTCCTTCCCATCTCTACCTGGTGGTGTCAACTTGGGCCCAGGGGCCTTGGAGCGAGTTGCAGACGGTATTTTGGTCAAAACCATTGGAGGCCTTAGGTTGAGTATGATCCAGGATGTTCCCCTGATAACTGGTGGAAACGGCAAGGAAGAGGACGGCTTCCGTGTGCAAGTGATCAATAATGTGCCTCTGGGCAAAGATGAGAAGGTATATCTCTCGCGCCAGATCACCTTTGATGTCGTCGATCCCTATGATCCCAACTTCACACGAGTCCGTGACAGCGCCATGCTTGACCTCGTCATTGACGTTCTTCCAGAGCTCCCTCGCCGAAACAATGGATCAACTGATCCTCGATCTGAGCAATCTGAAACAGAACGTTCAAATGATTCAGAAAAAAATCCAAAGCCTCCACTCGGTCGAGGCCGATCCGCCGCCCCTATCGACGGTAGCATCGGGGTCGAGTCCCCTATGAAGACCTTACTGTCGTCGTTAGTCAATTCGGTTTCCTCTCTCCTCCGTGATGACGAGCCTGAGGAAGATGTTCCACTCAGACTTACTCTCCCTGCCACTATCCCCACTGGCATCGGTGCAGCGCCCCTCCCTGACGTGGACGATGCCATGAGTGTCTCGTTATTTGGTCATTCATCCACATCCCGTCTCTCCTGGTCATCAATCTACTACGCAGATGACATCTGCGACGAGCGAATCCTGCGCGACGTCGCCCAAACGCATGAGGTCCTCGTCATAAAACGTGGCGGTTGTACATTCTCCCAAAAACTTCGCAACATCGCAGCATACCGACAATCACGCACCTCACTGAAACTCATTGTTGTCGTCTCATACGATGATGAGGTCCCGCCTCCATCACCAGAGGGGTTTGAATATGATTCCGAGACAGGAGAGTCGCCCGATGAGGGCCTTGAAACATCACGGGTAGCCCCTCTCGCTGCTCTTCGCGCAGAACGATACCTTATTCGTCCACATCTTGATGAAAATCAGATTACAGCCAGTGGTATCCCTCGCAACAATCTCATCAGCATGATCATGGTTGGTGGTGGTGAAGAGACGTATGCTCTTTTACGGGCTTCGACTGGCATTGGTATTCGAAGGAGGTATACGATGCGCTCCCAAGGAGTGCCGATCACAAATTTGTATATCATTTGATTGCTATATACCCGAATGACTGAATTTCTTGTTTCAAGTTGATCTTCATTTGATGCGGTAGATCAGAAAACTATTTAAACTTAAAATGTTTTAGGTTGATTTTTGTATGAATAAACTGAATAGATGTCTTTTGCATAATCTTGAACCACGCAATTCAAATGTTGCTCCTGGCATTGAAATACCAGTGTCCATGGATTACTGGACCATAGATTTTGACTAGTAATTGATCAATTCAAGTTGAACCTCAAACATCCAATTGTGATGCTCTACCCACCATACAACGATATCTACTTCTACTCAAAGATATGATACTCTACATAGTCCATTCCAAGGAAACTCGATTCAATCTTCCATATCAATTGATTTTTATTTGATATACTTTATAGAGGCATGACCTGTTTACTCGAGAGCAATGCACTCAATCTCAACGGGAACACCCTTGGGCAGCTGAGCAACAGCAACACAGCTGCGAGCAGGCTTGTGGGTGAAGAACTTCTCGTAGGTAGCGTTCATCTCAGCGAAGTTGGCCATATCAGTCAGGAAAACCTGGAAACAGTTAGTTGAAGCGTCACAGCAAGGAAGTCCTTGGAGATTTGTCCTCCAGTGTTCCACAGATACGAGTATGACTTACGTTGACCTTGACGATCTTAGACACGCTGGATCCAGCAGCGGTGACGATGGCCTGGATGTTGTCGCAGCAGGCCTGGGTCAGGACACCGATGTTACCCTCAACCAGGTTGCCGGAGGCATCGGCGGGGATCTGACCGGAGACGAAGATCTGGCCGTTGGCGCGGATAGCCTGGGACTATAGATTTTGTTAATTGGGTATCCTGTATGTTTCTGTTTGTGATCTGATGTTGGGCTTAATGTTTATCGATGGCGGGTATGTCATTGAGTCATAGGCTCATAGGTGGATGTTCTGTGGGATTTGTAGTGGGGTTGGGATTTGGAGGGCAGATAGAAGCTGGGCATGGTCGGAGCTGGATAGGAGGGTATCACGTACGTAAGGGCCAGCAGCTAGGGAAGTCAATTGATGTTAGCAATTGGGTTTCCATTGATTCATGATGTCGAGGTGGGGGAGCTTGAATTGACGATGGTATGGCGGTCTGGAACTTACGAGGGCAGGCATCCTTGGCAGTGATGGCAGACATGTTGGCAGACATTTTGGGAGAGATAGGAGGACGGAAAGATGTAGGATTGAAAGTACGAGAAAGAGCTTGAAGACGAGAAACGGAGCGCAGCATCTTCTGGAAAAGGTGGATTATATGGATGAACTGCCGCAGCACCCCGCCCTGGATTAGTGGGGTTATTTGGACTTCCGTTTCCCGCGGTGAACTGATACTAAGACCGGGAAACAAGTGATAAGAATTGGGGTAAATGGAGTCTACAATTAAAAGTAACATGAAGGTTATACTGAGAATAGATAAGATAACAATAAGTGTATTTCAATTCGCTCATTGATACAAATACAAGGTTAAGTCATCTCGTCGTAAGAATAAGGACCCGCTGCACGCCGCAAGTTGAAGTGACGAGAGACAAGGCTAAACAAAAAAAGAAACGACAGGGGTATCATGGTTTGCACTTATTAAGATGAAGGCCTGCCGAGGTTTAAGTCGTGAAACTGCTGCAATAAGCTAACAGTTTGCTCAGCAGAGTAGCCGAAAAACACGGGACCGTTGAACGTAACATGGGATGGCATGGGCTTCGGGTCTGCTTGGGCTGGGGGGGTCTTCAGTCAGTCGCAGAAATTGAGGTGGTTTGTCCTTGGGGTATTTACCGTTTGCGTCTTTGTCCTTTGCATCTTTGCCCGTTGCCCAGGGTGGCATGTTAGCCCAAAGTGGTGCGAGTGGTTCGGCGTCGGGGGCAGTAGCCGCAAGGCCAGTAGTAGCGGCATGAGGCTCGGGGGGTGCAGGCTCTGTGGCTTTTGGTTTAGGGGCACCATGCCCAAATGGACAACGACCAGCTGGCTTAACTGGCCCATCGGCGGGCGCTTTATCGGGGGATTCGACAGGGTGAGATTTATCGAGGGGATCGACAGGTCGAGGTTCGGGAGACGTCGGACCAGGTACGGATCCAGAGAAAGGAAGGGAGGCATTTGTCTGCTCTGTAATTGGTACGTGAATACCCCAAGGCCGGCTTGGGGATTCACCCAAACGAACCTCGCGGAGGGGACGATCAAAACGACTCTCACGGTTATCATCATCGGCTTCAGGTTTATTCTGGGGCTCATTTGGGGGTTCGGCGGGTGCAGGCCCATCGCTGGCCAGATCCACGTTCTCGGCCCATTTCTCTACTCTTTCGGTAGATGCAGACTTCTCCGTAGCATGTCCATTACCACCTACATTTTCTTCACGGGTTGGAAGGAATGCTTGATGTTTGACTGAGAGACCACTGATCATATTGATCAATCCACCATACTTTGCATCCAGTTGCCGCATGTTCTGAGGATCCTTTTGGTATCGCTTCACACAAATGGCATGACTTCGTGGAATTTCATGCTTGTGTCTCTCCACGTATTCAGCGATTTCCTCTGGCGAATGCTTATCCAAGAATCGGATCGGGCAACGGGAGATGGGGCATCGACTCGAAGAGGTTCCGGCGGAGGGGGTTATGCTGGAGCGTCGCTCTTCCTGTTCAGCCTTGATGGGGTCCAGATCGGCATGTCCACATGTATCAACACGGATCTTAGGGCCATCATCCTTGCCATTCTTTGGCTCGGTTCCTACTGGCGTCTGGGGCTTTGAGAAAGGACAATGCAGACTGCCTTGAGCACCAATGGTGGTAAAGTCCTGCTCTAGGAACTCTGAAGGGTCTGGGCCTCTTATCAACATGCAGGAGTTGGAGGAAATTTGAGAATGAGAATCCTGGGAACGGAGCAGGGCCTTATAGCCCTTCACGCCGGCCGCGATGGCTCGGGTGGCAGTTTCGTCTACATTTTGGTGTGCAACGAGCGTCTTGATTACGTCCATGGAATTCAGGGATTGTTCATCGATTGAGGATTTGTTGTGCACGAGGCCTAGACACAATTCTTTCTGTTGATCCAGTAACCCTTGTTGCACTTCCATCGCATGGGGTCTATCTTGAAGGGGAAGCTTTCTGGTGACATTGGTGTACTAAGAGGTTGCATGTTAGCATCCGTGTCAAAGATTTTCAAATGGCGAAAGCCATCAAAGAAATGAAAAACAATGAGTCTCATCAGATAATACATGTTAATCCGTCATCGTCACATGTAGTGACTCCTGATCTAGAGCTAATTCCTCGTCACTTGAGACTGGGCCGCCCGGGCGGGATTGGGCCGAGATGGTGCAATGAAAAGGGGGAGGATATGGAGAGGGTATTTACCTGTTTGAAAATGTCCTCAGTGTGATTTTTGAGGTCATTGTGTCTGTTGGTAAGTCGGTAGAGCGTCAGTAACAGGGCATCGAATGCTTTGCCCACGGCTTCAAGCTGCTGATCGAGATGCAGGTCCGCCTGCACCTCCTCCACGACGGGGGCCGGCATCTCTCGCGATCAAGCCGAATTGATTACGGGTTGAAAAGAAAGCTCATTCAACATTTCAAGAGCTGTACTCCATTGGGTGGACCTTACACCGGAGACACGGAAGGGTGATGAAGCAAGACAGGTGAAGCAGACATTTTATAGCTAAGAGCAGGCAGAAGGCCGGAAAAACGTTAAGCGAGTTGGTCCGTGCGCGAAGTTAAGTCACGTGGAATAGGTGGTGATATTCCGATGTCCCGATATTCCCGATTTGGAATTGTCCGAGGCTCACCTTGAACAGGGAGCAGAGCCCTATTACACATGCAGGACTACGGGCCTTCTGTCTATGAATAATTATTCGGTAGTGCTAAAATTCTTGACATATGCATCAATTATTCCATTATCTTGAGTTTCATACAGTTATGTATCATATTGTCATGCTCTTTGTACGATTCCCTGAATAGACTTCTTAGTCCAGTTGGTGAAAACTAGCACATACTATTGATTGAGATCAAAGAACTCGAATAACGTAATTTCCATTGCAGGCAAGAATATGGCCTGTTCTAGGCCTAAGCCTTGGAAGTGCATGGCTATTCTACCTTTGTACTCCGTACTGGTAAGGGAGATAGTATGACACCTATGTATAGGCACTTGCTGGTCTAGACACTGCTAGAACAACTTAATGTGGCCCCGGAGGTGTGTACATTTGTTAAAGACATTCCGCCCCGCTCAAAGCTCCGTGCACATATGGTCTTATGGACCTACATCCATGGATCTTAAGGCCCAGATGGCCAGATGCTATGCTCCAAGATCAAACAGCATGATCCTCCAGGGCTGTGGTCTAAATTCGCCACTTTCCCCATAACGTTTCAACTAGCTGATACATGTAGAGATAAGATGGATACGTTACAGTTCCACAGAAAGTCAACTGGTGCCTGATCCTTCATATGTATCAATTAAGTATTACTGATATCACCTGGGCAATGAGTACATGGGTGGCACAATTGAATATTAGATCCACGGTTCTCAACTGCATGTGGTATTATTTGGTTATTTTTATTTGCTATGTGCCATTGAGCTTTGTGTTCCAGCCCTGGAGGCCTGGAGGTTATTTTGCATCCATTATGTCCATGGTGGACGGGTACATGTGGTAGTGGTCAACTGGTGGTACTGGTGGTACATCCATGTCATCTTGGTCTGACGCGGCCCCCGGGCGCTGAAGATATACTTCCATTTTCCAACTGAGTACCTAGAGGATATGTCAAAGCCCCTGTACCTAGTAACTTGAATCGATCAGACCTCGTGGATCTCAGGATTTTATGAGATACTAGAGACACAGGTACTTGAAACGTCAGTAATGATATATACAATGTCAGCTTGAAGCACTTGAGCAATATCAGGGACTTGAATATTCCAATGTCACTACAAGTCTATCTTGGTGATGTTTTTGTACCTTTGAAAAATTCTGGGTTATGTAGCCAAAAGTTGAACCCCTTCCAACCAGCCCTGCCGGGCTAGCTCAATCGGTAGAGCATGAGACTCTTAATCTCAAGGTTGGGGGTTCGACCCCCCCCGTTCGGCTATTCCTAAAAACAAAACCCTGAGAATTCTTTTTTGCTTCCTTTTTGAGGTGTTTCTTTTCTTTTCTTTCCTTTTCTTTCTTTTTTGTCACTTATTAATTAATTCAAGTGATACGTATCTCGATCGAGATTCTTACTCCTGAAAAAGTACGATTACCCCTCTCTGGGTTGCACCAATCTGGCCAAGTATGAGATTCGAGGTACCCGTCCCCCTCCTGCAGAACAGACTTGCACGAAATGGCCTCCACATATTCCCTAGCGCTGCATGCGCAGTCCCAACGAGTTTCAAGATCATGCTGCAATCTGGTTTAAACATCTTTATTGGCCCCCATTCCGACTAGCAAGACTAGCACGGGGCTGTACGATGTGTCAATGCTGTACCCTGCACCAGGTACATAGCGCTCAGCTGCGATGTGAGGGTCTTAGACCACGACTAGGTCTATCCAGATCCCCGACTGGTTATCCCAACTTCTGGGATCTTAGTATTATTCTCTTGAGATACCGCATCTAGTATACACCATCATTCAGCCACATTGGTCTGGACAAGGCTAAATGCTCGGTTAGACCATGAGTCATTTTATTTATGGCAAGATGTCTTGCCTTTTTTCCCTTTTCTGTTTAAATTTGCCTTGAATGAGTCTCGTCAGTAGGCCCCCCCCCCCAAGCATGATGGTGTGATGGGCAGAATGTGTTCGTTGATTCGTTCGGGTCGATTAGAAGAGGCGTCCGTTAGTCCCAAGGCTAGGCAGCATGCATGTCTAGGCAAGTGGGCGATTTGCGCAGATCAGAACGAACTGGGCACTGAACCCAAGGCCCGCAGCGGGACGGACCCTCCTTGAACCAGACACATCGCTGTATTCTGTCCTTGTGCTGCATGGGCGGATTCTAGAAACTGGTGCAAATGCATTGCGTGACACAGTATCATTACCAGATGAATTCAAATAATCGAATCGGGGAGATATAAGTGCGAGTGCATGAGGACGATAGGTACATAAATGTACTTGGTCTTTCTATGGGATCTGAGCGCAGAGAATGGGTCCTTTTTTTACTGTATATTGAACATTATAGAAGTCTAAGAGTTATTAGTTGGGTAGAAATCAATATACCCAGATTAGATTAGCATATTGAATGTCACTATAGAAGATAAAAGATATTATACCTAATTATTACACTAACCTTTGAAATAAATCAATATTAATGAAGTTATATAGGTTCTCTATGACCGTCAATTTACCCCTCCAATCTAGAACGGAGGGGCTAATCTGCTTATCAAACCCGTAATTTACCGTTTGGGAATGGTTATTTTACCCATTTACCCTATTTTTCACCTATTTTCGGTGATTTCTTTTAGGAAATTCTTTTATTTCAAATTTTTATTTTTCAATTTTACCCTATTTTACTTAGTTTGATTTATTTCATTTTTTTTTACCTTTTTTTTTTACCTTTTTTAATTTTTTTTATTTTACTATCTTTACTTCTATAACCTTTTCTCAATCTTTTACCCCTCCTCTCGCCTCCTTTCCTCTTCCTCTTTCACCATGTCCTCTTCTACCCTTCCTGATGCCTCCGCCCAAGTCTCCGGACACGCCGCCGCCAATTCCACCAGCGCCGCCGAACTCGCCAGTCTTAAAGTAAGCCTGCGCTCCGCTCTGCGCCAGTTCCCGGACTTCCCCTCCCCGGGAATCTTGTTCGAGGATATTCTCCCTATCTTCGCCAATCCGACTCTTCATGAGGCCCTGATCCGCTCTCTGGAGCTCGAGATTCTGGCCAAGAGCGGTGGCCAGAAGCCCGATGTCATTGTTGGTCTTGAGGCCCGTGGCTTCCTGATCGGCCCCAGCCTGGCGCTGCGTCTCGGTGCTGGCTTCGTCCCCGTTCGCAAGCAGGGCAAGCTCCCTGGTCCTTGCATGACCCAGGCCTACGAGAAGGAGTACGGTCAGGACTTCTTCCAGATGCAGTCTGATGCCATCAAGCCCGGCCAGAAGGTCATTGTCGTGGACGACATCATTGCCACCGGTGAGTTTTGAAATTCCATGTCCCTCCATAGTTTAAGATATATCCACTAACGCTTTATAAATTTCCAGGTGGTTCTGCTTACGCAGCTGGTGAGATGATCAACAAGATGGGTGGCGAGCTTCTGAGCTTCCTCTTCATTCTCGAACTCGAATTCCTTCACGGACGTGACAAGCTTCCGGCTCCTGTCAACACTCTTCTCTCTGGCCAGGCTTAATTGCATTTTGGTCATTCCAAAAGCACAAGATTGTTCTTCATATTAAAAGAGCATTATCTACGATATCTGATATCGTCGAATCATAATATATTAAAAATGCCCGCACCGGATTCTAGCGGTGTCCCCACCCTCCACCCGACCAGCCGCTACTCCCGAAATCATGCTCATGCAACCCAAACGATCCGAGTTCCCGAGAATCAAGGATTATTCCGTGTACGGATTAATTCACGGGTCGTTATTGTTTTTTTTTTTTTTTTACTGCCCCGCTATAATTTCGTTTGTGGTGGTTTTTTGTCGTGGGAGTAGAGCCGGGCTCATACGATCTCCCAATTCCATGAAAAGGAAAAATCCCAAAAACTCGAGAATTCATTCTATATAGACGGATACCTCTTGCCAATGCGTTTCTTTGTTTTAAATGCAGACATATTGATAGTTCTAGCTAATGTCAACTTTGAATCGCTTTGCAATGTCTATTCACAAGCATCTAGTACCTAGAGTATAACCATGGCGGCACCTTGGCAGTATCAACAACACCAGATATGCAATATAGAATAAAAATAGAGGACATTCCGACTCTACTTCGGAATAAACCGCCTCATAACCTCGTCAACCCACTTCTCCGAAACCCCAAGGGCAACTGATTCCCGAATCGCCCGATTCATTCGCCCAATATACTCTTCCTTCGGCGGCCCAAGTCTAATCCGCTCTTCATCAACATAAACAAGCACAGAGACTTGTTCTCCACTTGATCCCTTTCCTTCAAGACCGTCATCAAGCCACTCCACAATCGTAGCATCAAGATACCATTTATTATAATCACCCTCCCCTTGTTCCCTCGGTCTAATATCCACACTCACATCCCCACCCCCGCCTCCTCCGCATCCCGATCCACGCCCTCATACCCATCGAGTATAGTCTCATCCGCAGGATCCATCGCGTAAAGAACTCCGTACACAGCATCTTCACTTCCAGAGACGGGTACTTTCTCGGCAATCTCACTTTTCTGAGTCCCGACGCGGAGGCCTTTCGGTGGTAGCACGTTCGCGTACCCCGCTTCACAGATTAGCCATCTCCATTTTGGGAGAGTGGCGATTGCAAGCGGTTTACCCGAGTGTGAGGGGTTCACAGTGCATCGGATCTTCATTTGCGTTGGGGAGAGGTTGGAGCCATAGGCAAAGTAGAGGTAAGGTGGGTTGGGTCCAGTGCGGGGGGAGGAGTCGGGGCATGTTGTTGCTGAAACGGGGAGAGTTGTTTCAGAGGGAGGATCGGTGAGATTGATATTGATGTGCATTTTCGGATTTTCGAGATTTGGGAGTTTTGATTATGTATGTCTTTGAGGTATGTAGTTGTGTTGGGGTAGATTGGATGGATTGAAAGAAAGTTAAGCTTAATGTGCGGGGAGAATTTCTTATTTGGTACCTCGGAGTAAACAATGAGTCGAGATTGATTATTCAACGCACACGATACTGAAATTAATTATATTGTTCACAAATTTAAGAGTATGCATATTGGTTTTAGTTTAGGGCATCTTTGAATAGTTCTTCACATTTGAACTTTGGAATGAGGCTTGTACGGGCCAAGGTAGATATCAAATAAGCATGGAAAGCTTGTACGATCAAGGATGCTTACTAGCATGATAGGAAAATACTTGGTAATCTTAGAATTTGCTTGTATAGCTTTATGTAGCATGCTACATAGTCCAGGGTATCCTTTTAATTGTTCTTAATATGGCGTCATACGCCCTCTCCACATTGAGTGAATCAGCCCGGATCATGACAATCCTAGAATTAAGCGAGGTAATACTCTGTATGAGAAAGAAACTTTGAATTTCTCAATATAATAATATAGTAGCTATCATTACGTGTAGGCTAAATGTATGAATCACACCATATTGCCACTTAATGGTGCTATCGTTGGACCAAACCACTAGACCAAAACATCTGCTTGACTCAATCATATGATGATCCACATATTCGTACATGTGCATACGTGTGCTAAACAAATATCATGACGGATTAAAGCCGAGTCGCTGAAAAAGGCACCGAGGAATGGAAAACAAGGAAGATTAATGTATTCGTCTTATATCGGCAATTTGCTCAGAGAAGGGTATGGAAATAAGTGAGCAAATATGGAAGCGAAGGTCCATATTTTCAGTATATCTGGTACTGAAGATTCAGAAGATTCAGGCAATTGAAAAGAAAGATGAAGTCGGATAAAATATTGCAATGATAACCCGTCAACGAATTCTCAAGAAGAGTTATCTGTTCAACAAGTTCAAAACCCAAGTACCTTTCAGAATGCGATGCACTCAGTCTCATAGATAGGAATAGTAACCTCATACAGAGTATCCGACCAGATGTCCGTAACATAAGCCTCAATGTCAAAGACAAAGTCACATGCATACCAATAACCATTGCTACAAGAGCCACTTCCATCAGTGAGGCTAGCTCCAGTAGTGCTACTGAGACTGAAGTTGCCATCAACAGAGAACTCATTCAAAATTTCAGCAGTTGCCTCAATACCAACCGAGATGTCGACAACATCAAGAATCTCAATGCCAATGGAAAGGTCAAGTTCCACATAGGGATTAAGCTCCGCATCGACCTCAGTGGTTAAGTTTGCATCCGCAGTGTAAGTCGGAGTCCATCCAGAAGTGTAGGATCCACTGCTCTCAAGCAGGTCGATGTAGATTTTCCCATCGGTTACTTCCATTGTGACGTCGGCGGTGACATTTGCAGATCCGGTAATAGCGAACTCAACACCAAGGGAAAGCTCGATGGTTGGTCCGATTTTGATAATATCGTCGATATCAATGGCTGAGACTGAAACATCTGCGACGGTGTAGTCATACAGATCGTCCGAGTAGGATGCTTTCGCGTATGCCTGAACATCAATATCACCTACGAAGCCGAGGTCAAACTCCAGATAGCCACTGTAGGCTTTGGTGGTCGAATTGTAATTGATTCCACCGCTTAATTCCACAGTAGCTGTTAGAGTTGATGAGTAAACATCGATCTCTAGGTCGTCTAGATTGATGAGCTCTCCACTCCAATCATAGTCCAGTGTATCGGAGACACTGAAGTCACGTCTCTTCTTCCCCGAGATGGGAGCACTAGAGTTGAATTGGACGGAGAAGTATTCGATGTGATCACTGAAGGAAGATTATGTCGTCGTTGCAACAACGGAGAGGGTATTATCGTCGAAAGAAACGGAGCTAGCCTTGTAGACTCCACGCTTGCTTTCAGTATCGCAATTTCCCAGGTGGTTGGTGACGAGAAGGAAATCTGAGGATGGCCATGATGAAAGGGAATCTTCATAAGCACTTTCACTGCTGAAGGTGACAGTGACTGAGGTAGTAGAACACTCCACACTGCTAAGAGAAGCGACATCTTCTAGGTTAAACGTGAGAAGATTAAAGTCAGCTTCGACCTGCGCGACGGCCGACGAGTTGTCTGACTGATAAGGCAATGAGACATGACGGCTGGGAGAAACACTGCTTTGAGCTGCAGTTCTTCGTGCTCGTACTGGTTTGAAGGCTGGCACGGGCTGGAGGGCTGCAACAAATGGCAGAACGGCCAAGGCCGCGAGGGTATGAGGAACTGTCAGCATTTAGTCTTAGAAAAGCAAAGATAAGGATTGAGAAGATGCTAGTATCTAGATATGAGTATTTAGGACATCCCTTCAGCGAACTTTTATATCTTTATAAATACCAAGTTACTTGAAGAAGCTAATCTAAGTCGTACTGACTAGTATGGATCCACTACCAATAAGACATTTAGAAATGAGCACGACGATCCCGACCGGACTATCAAACCGAGGGGCAGCAGAACTTTTAATCAGTTGTAAATTGCTCGTTACTGATGGTGAATTTCATATTGGTGGGAATACTGCAAGTTGCATCGGGCGTCCCGTGAAGTGTTCGAAGCGATGTTGGATTATCATGAGGAACTGGTGGCGCTGACGGGTACAAAACCTGGAGGAATCCGAGTATAAATGTACAAGTCCTCACGCCGCACTTTGCGCGGCACTGCCAGTGTACATAGTAGCAGCGAGCATTTGAAATTGGGAAAGATACCTATATCCCCAGCACTCAGGTGCTTGGCCAGGTCAACTGGTGTGTTCACATACTTAAGTATAGGGCTAAGTCTGAGTCAGTAGCATCTACAGGTGACTGATGACCGACCCCTCTTTGTATGCAGGTACCTACAGGATTACCTATAGGGTTAGCTGGAGGTTTATCCGGAAGGGAAGTTAGCTGTTATATTCAAGTTGTTGGATATAGGCAACTGGCAGCCCTAGGGATAAGCTGTAGGCTATCCTCAGGTACCAAGACAGGCGGTGAATAAAAGTTCAGAAACCCAAGTAGTAAAAGAGGTCTATAGTAAAAGAGGTCTACATAAAATGGCACAAAAAGAACTTGAGTTGTTGATGAATTAATCATTTCGATTGCAAGCTTCGTGTAAAGAACATTGAAAGTAGGAAAGGATTACGAATTCCCATCATACACGCCATACACACACAAACACGACACACGGTATCATGAAATCAATCAACTCATCGCTGCATATGAACAAAGGGAATGATGAGATAAAAGAAAAGAACAAGAAAATTATGAAAAAAGACACCCCCATATCTAATGCCGGGGAATCATCCCACTCATTCGACTTCCAACTCCTGCCATCAGACTTTGCTTCACAATGGCATCCGCCGCAGCCGCCGCAGCCAGTCGTTCCTTTTGACGACTCCGATCACGCAGGTATCCGGCAGCTTCGGGCCGCATGCGAAGGATACGCAGGATCATGTCATCATTTGGATCCGCTTGGGCCTCCCGGCGCTTCTCTTCTTTCACCTTTCTCATGGTCCCAAGGTTACGTGACAGCATGATACTCTTCGCGCGACGCGCAGAAGGAACACCCAGAGTCCCGAAGCTGGTACCGGTGGCACCAAAGTGCGCAGGGGCAGATGAACGGTTGCGATTGGCTTGTTGGCGATTCACATTGGCTGCGGCCATCCGCTCAGATGTGCGAATCAAATGCTCCGTGGGCTCGAAGTAGAAGAAGTTCAAGCTTTGGATCTCATGGTACTTGGGGGATTTTAGAATATCGATAGGAACACCATTGGCTTCGCCGGTTTCCTCATCAATTGCATGGAAGAAGTTCAGCAACAGCACGAGCCAGCGTGACACAATGTCCACTTCTTGAATCGTGAGTGGCTTCTGGTGGGATGGTTTATCGGACAGAGGGGGAACCAATAGACTCTCAATAGTGGCAAGGACCTCCTTCCACAAACGAGCCATGACCATTCGCATCGCTTCGGTGGTCAGTGTCTTATTCATAATGGCGAAGTTGGCGTTAAAGTAGTTGAACAAGGGAGTTAAGGCATTCTCCACATCGGACTGTGTGGGGGCCGGGGCGGTTTGTTGTGCTCGATTGCGATTAAGGAAATTGGATACGCTCGAGATACTAATCCCACGAGAAAGCAGGGACTTTAATGTTCGACGTGACAGACAATGGCTGATGTACGCAGAGAGCTTATATGAAAGTCAGTAGACTGTACCAAGCTTAAAACGAGAGAAACACAAACCTTTTCGGTAATTCGGCGAGTCATATCCCTCTCCGTTCGCTTGAGAGTACGGAAGGCCTTGCCGAAGTAGAATTGGATATCATCGCGCTCACCCTCCATGCTAACACGAAGTAAAAGACGTCCTTGGGTATCCAGATCAAGCCAATATTCTCTTGGCAAGAAGTCGCTGAAGTGGACCGGGTCAAGTTTGATAGATGTACGACCAACATAATCGTGATCACCAACTGCATCCCAATCCCAGATTGTAGCGATGATGTTCAGAGGTCCCTGAGTTGTGATGTCCACCGAGTCTTCCCAGCGTGGATTGAGGTTGTTGTAGATGATACGGGTCTTTGCAATTCTCTTTTGATACTCATCTGTCAGGACCACGTATGGGTCGCTACCACCATTCATGTCGCAGGCTTTGAGGTCCTCTGCCTCTACTACCTTGATCGTAAAAACATAAGTTGTTGACTTGCGCACTTTCTTGAGCTGCGGAGGAGTGTGCTGTGCAATCACATCGGCACATCCATCGACGTTGATCTCTTGCTCAAGCAAATCTAATTGAGAAAGCGCATATTCGATGTTGTTTAATTTCACCAAGGACTTTTATTTTGATAAGTGACTGATATACCGCGGAATAAGAAAATGGTCATACCTCTGATAAGAATTGAAACGGCTCGATTTTGTCCTGTTTCGTCCAGGTATCCTTGGCGAATTGCATGAACTTCTCCTGAGTGGTTTGATTCAAAGCTGCCTCTTGCTCCGGCGTGAGTCGGTCCAGTTCTCGAGCAAACGACTGTTCCAAGGATTCACAATATTGTGCGACACCTTTACCTATAGAGTTAGATAACGCAGTCATGAACTTCGCATATTGAAGATCATCATCCCACTCGAGATTAACCAGGTTCTCCACGACCGAATTAAATGATCGAAATACATCGATCACAGACACGCTGTGTCGGGAGTCTTCCGGGACGTCGTCGGTTGCTTGATCTGAACGAATTGAGAAGGCGTCCTGCCTGGTAGCTTGATTGACCCATTCCATCACGCTCTGATCTGTCAGACGAAGCCATCGCCATACGAATTCTTCCAATAAAGTCTCAATCTGGAACGGGAAGGGGACACTAGAAGGAAATTAGTTAATGGTAAAAACTCAAGGGGAGCGATGTTCTTACTCTGGAATTGTGCTCATAAATAGCCGTCTAATGGTAGCGAGCCTCTTATAGAGATCAAATCCTTCCTCGATGTCAATTTCTTCGTCCCTGGACTTGGTCTGCTCAAGGATTCGGATGACCATTTCATGAGCATCCTCGGCAAACATGGGCAGCACGTTGGAGCAGAGTGTTGTGTATGGGTTGACACTAGTGTGTGTTAGACCGAGGTTTTCTTTCCATACGTAAGAAAGAAAGGAATCACTTACCCCATGATCTCAGGGTTGTTCCTGTATCGCTTTTGAATTTTCTGTGCCAGCTTTGAGATAGCATCGCCCAGCTGAATGACATCGTCAACTCGCCAAGCTTCTTGATTGACAGAAATCAACTGACTCAGAAGACTCTGGTACTTGTCAGTTGCCTTTTGAGCAAGACCGTCTTGCACATACGAGCCAAATCGGTGAATGCCCTCCGGGTCCTCTGTATAGTTTGGATCCATTTGTATATGATTTTCGAGGACATACATGACGGGTCCAATAGGACGAGGCTTTGTCTCAAAACAATCCATCATCACATCATAAAGTTCTCGTAGTAAAGCCTCGTGGAGCTTTGAAAGCAGCTCTTGCATCATCTGCAAATCGTGCACAGTCCATTTTCGTCGATCGAAAACTGTAGATGCGACAAAACTGCTGCGCTTGTTACGATTATCACTTGGAGGCGATTCCTTTGCAAACGTAAATGCCGAGTCCAGGGTGCTGAGGTCAATTTCGTTATCCACAAACTTTGATTGCACAACATCCAAGAAGAGCACAATGCGGGAGAAATTAGGTATTCGCCAGCGGACACAGATCTCGTTCAGCATTTCAGAGGACTGTTTAGATAGTAGCTTCATGGATGGCGTATCGGACGTGGCTTGAGTTGCCTCAATATCGCGATCCCGTAGATCATGAGCCAAGGTTTGTGACAGGATGAGCCTGTACACAGATCGAGGGTCAGAGGGGATAAATGTATATGTATCCGACTCTTCAGAATCGCCATTAGCACCACCCAATGAGAGTCCACTGAGATCAACAGGCTGATCAATGGAGTAAGTTCTATCGCTATGTCCAGAGGATATTTTGGACAAATCTTCCTCTTCTATTGTTGGGTTAAGCTGAGGCAAAGTTCCGGGTGTGCTCTTAGCAAGTTCCGGATTCGACTGCACGATAGCAAGCATCATCTGGGAGAGGTCGGGTCCTTCACTCTTCTTCCAGCTTTCATAGGCTTCATCAGTTTCGAAGTCATCTCTGGAGAATGTTTTATGAGTCTGAAGACTCAAATGGTACTGATAAGTTTTGAGGTCATGCAGGGCTGCTTTTTCAGTCCAGATCTTCCTGTGCTTATCAATCTCCGCTTGTGTCTGAGCTGTCGTCATCCTGAAGATCTTGGCAACATGTTGGACCAGGGGCATGTCTTTCACATCGTAGCTTAGCGGAGCAACTACCTCGGTGGTAGTTGTTGCGCTAGTCCCTTGCATCAAATCTTGATCTTGCACCAGCAGCTTGTTCTCCAAGACGGACAATCGGTTTGTCAACTCTGGGCGGTCCTTGGACCAGTCGTGTCCTTTCAGAACCAGCGCAAGGAGTCGAACAAAAAGCGCAACGTGTCGGTCCACCATCAACTTCCAGCTATCATCGTCATGTTCCTTGCCCTTACCCAACTCCTTGATAGCGTTGGAATAGAATATGAGTACTAGATCCTCTGCGCGCCGGTCTTTCTCCATGCGCTTTCTAAAGGAGTCTTCCTTAAGCACATTGAGAAAGGCGGCAAATGTTCGCACCACCAGATGATCTTGGTATTCCTTCCGCTTCTCTTTCCCAATCAACACTCCCGTCAACCGTTTCTCCAGTTCGGCCACGAAGCCATGTGGAATCCTGGTGCTCTTTGAATCCCTGACCAGCGAGAAGTCGCTCATCAAATCATGGATGGAGGTAGATGCCCGCTTGGGCCGCGCCGGCGCGGCAGGCACAGTCTGTGTGCGACGAGAACGAGGATGTAAGAGGTAGGCCAGGTAAGCTACACGGAGCGCATGACTGGATGCGACGTTGGCGCTAACGGGCCGACGGCGTGAAATGGAGGAGTTACGGGAATGGCGACCTTCATTCTGGATGCTGTTGATCCGTCGGTTGACTCCTCGGGACTGACTAGATGCTGTCGACATGAGGCGATTCTCAGGATTCGTGAACGGCTCGGAGGCAAGTAGAGGAATGTGGGACCATGGATGGAGCTGGACGCAGACCAGCAGCCAGCATCTGGAGTAGACGAAGCCCTTTTTGCGCGACCTGGGTTTATTTTAAGCGAATTTGGTGGCAGTCAAGAAGTGGGTATTGTCTCAGAAAGGAAACTAGCTTGGGCGACCAGGAGGGGCGCGGAAATAGGACTTTTGACTGTTTACTAGGGAAGAAAGGAGAGGGGAACGGATGAAACAAGCTCCCTGACGTAGACGCGCGGACCCTGCGAAAATACTAGGTAACAAGATGAAACACTGACCACAAGAGCAGCTTTTTTGAAGTCAATACATGAATAAAGAGAAGACCTCCAAGTGAAGAAGGGGGGGTTTGATTTATTCTTATTTTTAATCAATTTATTATGAAATTTTTTTGGACTTTGTAAAAGCTGACGCACCCTGGTCTCCCTTGGAGGGGCCTGATCTACATTGGGCGCTAAGGAGATACTCACATTACAACGTAAGGGTGACCTACACTTAGATTTTATAATGAGAGCTATTCAGGATGGGAAAATACGTCCCATAGGTGCATAGAAGTACACCAGATGTTCTATACCTTGATACCTGGGGCTGTGTATACCTATGGAGTCTAGATGAACACGGAGCTGTAGTAGTGGCCAAGACGGCTATTACAAGCGTAGTATCCGAGTAAGACAATATGTATCAAATGGAAGAAAGAAATTGGGAGAAAACTGTTTTGGAACAGAACTTCTAGTTCTGGTGCTGGTCCAATATACGTCAAAGAGCCGGAAATCCACTTCTCGGCGAATCGACACTTGAATGACGCCAAACGGGAGAGAAACACAAATCGTCTTGGTATTTACACATACACAAATAAGGAACAAAAAGGAAAAAGAACGAAAAGGAAGGAATGAAGTGTTTACCACTTGTCCTCACCAGCCTTGCGGGCCTAGATATATTGCTCATGTTAGCAGATGACGTTTAATATGGGAGTATATCAACTATGGACAAAGGGTCCAATTCTTACCGGAACAGCATTTGGACCACCCAATTCCTTCTCTAGGCCATCAACGTAGACCTTGGGAACGCTGGGCTTATCGGGGTAGTAGAGGCTGACAACGCCGCACACACTGAGGAAGGCGGCAACCCAGATACCGAGGTGGAGGAAACCCTTGCCGGCAGGGACATGAGTATATTGTTCAGGACTGAAGACACCGAGAATTTCGTTCTCCTCGTGGACAGGCTCGCCGAAGTTTCGCTTCTCTTGCGCATCCCACCAGCCGCCGTAGGGGTCTCTGAAGGCGCGCTTGACGCGGGGAGGGTTCTGGTAGCCACCGTTCTGCCAATCCGGTTAGCTCATCGAAAGATAATAGCGGACATACGGAAGCCCAACCTGGAGAGGATCCTCAACCTCCGCGGCACGGAGAGCTGGAACCTGAGAGAATGATGCGCGGGGGGGGCAATGGCCTGGCGGGCAGCCAGCTGGGGCAGACGCCGGGCTAGGATCCGTTGGGACAGCATCTGGGAAGAAGGGGGAATTGGGTGTTAGTGATACCTCATGAAGGATTTGAACGATAGTTATGAATTGAGTCCATCACTTACTGCTCTGCCAAAAGATCAAAGACCAATGGGGACGGGGATATAGGTCAGGGAAATCGGTGGAGTTGAAGTGCAGGATGATTCGATGATGGAAACGGAGGTTTGCGGCAATTGACACCTTAGGCAAGAAGCATAGCTCACACCTGAAATGTAAGGCACCAAATGCGCGGCGCGCTTACCAGTCGAAAGTGTTCGCCCCGACAAAAAAACCACTTCCTCACGTATTCCCCCCATCGGACGGCCTTTTTCCTTCTCCTTCAGGCTCCTGTACCGATAAGCATGCCAAACTCGGGGTGGTAATTTAACTCGATTGTAGCTACTTTTTGATGCCCAAATCGATAATTTTGACCGCGCCATCGTTGGGATAACTGGGGTCACCTGCGAAGAAGGCCCCTGTCGTCTGCGGCTACAAGTCATGCAAAACGGCAGCCCAAACGGCCCATCACCCCACGATGAACGCGTGACGCCTGTGCCTACCTCCCCACGTCCTGAAGATTCTACATTGGAAATTCCAGCCGATTCTACCTCCAGCGAGTCGATCCCTTCCCTACCGAACGACAATGAACTTGGTCATCAACTGGACGAGCCTCCATCGAAGAAACGACGCCTAACAGACACAACCCCGTCGCGTCGTTCAACCCCCCGACCTCCTTCGCCACCATGGAAGAAGGTTGGTGTGGAGGGCCCGACGTCCTTCGTGGTGGAGGGTAAGCGCAGGTCGTCGCGGACGAACGCGGTTCCTATGGAAATGCAGCCACCGTCCGATAAGCGTCATACGCGTGCAGCGCAGCAGACTTATGCGAATAAGAATACCCGTGGTGGCGCGAAACCGAACACATCGTCACCGCTAGCTGTCACCCAGTCGCGTACCGAGATTAATGGGAAGTCCGGTGGCAAGCAGGTGACAAATGGTTCACCCAAGACCGTGTCTACTAAGGCCACATCTGGCAGACAGCAACCGCCATCACAATCTCCTGCGCCCAAATCATCACATTCTCGTACCCGATCCCGAACCTCTACTTCCGCCCCTCGAGCTCGTTCAAGCGTGAACGGTGCTAGCCCTCATCAAACCCGCGACCGCTCCTCCCTTTCCGCCACATCCCCAGCGCCATTTGAAGCGAGTCTCGATGGCGCAGGTGAAATTGACAATCAGGTACAGTCTGGACCTCAGATTGTGCCGCGACTCCGAATCAAAGTGAAAAAGCCAGTTCTTCCAATTCGACACCCTGGCCACGTGCTCAGCAGGAAATTTGAGTCCTTTAAGGAATGGATGGATCATGAAGATGCTCCGGCTTTGCTCTCATCGGAAGAAGCTCTCGAAGAAGCCAAGAGACGACAAGAAGTTCTTGATGCGGCGGAACCCGGTGGACCGTTAAGTTCAGAGGTCTGCTCTGCATACATCACGGAAGAACAGGAGGAACCGCCGTCACAATACTCGCATCAAGATCACTTGGTTGCGCATGCACTTTATTTCCAGAAGCTTTTGGATAAGGAGCACAAGCGTCATCGTCAGATGGCCAAGCTTTTTGCTCAGTGGTGCGCCGATGCCTACAGAAAACGTCATAAGAACCCAGAGGACATTCTTCGAGAACAGCAAGAAGAGATGCGCGGAAAGCGCAAGCAGCTGGGCAAAGATCTCCAAAAGATGTTTGATTTGGCACGCGCTGAAATCGACCGGGTACGTCTTGCACGGTGGGAGGAAGAGCGAAAGGTTCAAGATCAGCTAGCTCTTGATCGTGCCATCCGAAAATCAACCATGCTCTTCGAAAAACGTCGGTCCGAAATTCTTGGAGAGGTTCCCAGTGATGCTCCTGGATCGAGCGAAGACGAAGATGGAGAGACTGATTATTCGTCGGACTCCTCAGCAGCAGGTAACGGAAGCAATATGTCAACATCGGAGTCTGGATCTGATGACGAAGCCAATTTGGACGATGATGCCAAGTTGACTGCAGAAGAGCTTCGATTAAAGTATGCCAATCTACCAACCGAAGACACACTTGATCAAGTGTCCGTGATATCTGCGTCAATTGACAACAGCGAAGCGGTAATCGATGATACAGACTCTCAGGCAATCCCTGGTGACACCAAGCTGGATGACGTTGATTCTGTCTTGATGGATGATAGTGACGAATCTATCGACATGGACGATGACATAAGTGATAGTGAGGATGAGAGTGGATCTGGCGACGAAGGTTCTGATGCGGACTCTGAAGGGAGTGATGCTCCATCTGATATGTTTGGGTTCTTCTCACGCAAGCAACGGGCTAAAAATGCAGATTCTGGTGAAGTGGACACAGAAGAAGTCGACGAGGACGATGATAATGACGAAGAATTTACACCCAAAGGAGAAGAACCCGAAGAGAATGAGACCGAGGGTCAAGATGATGTTTCGATTCTTCCAGCCGAGTTAGATATCGCCGAGGACCAGGAAATGGCCGATGAGGGTACGCCCGCAGAAGTCGTGGAAGCCTCCATAGACACCCCTGCCTTCACCGAGGATGCATCAATAGCCGATACTCCCATGGACGATGTGCTTACTGAAGCAAGTCTATCTGAGCCGAATGCCCTTGTCGAGATTTCGGAAGATGCGACAGCAGCTATCGACACAGAGCCACTTCAAGACAACCATGCCAGTGGAGAGGTATCCAGTGAAGCATCTCCTGGAACATTTGAAACTAAACCTTCCGAGCCTGACTCTGTTTCTTCATACGAACCTACAACTGAGAAAGCACTTCAGGAGGTCAATTCACCTGCACCAGGCTTGAAGACACCTATTCCACACCTTCTTCGTGGCACTTTGCGTGAATACCAGCACTATGGATTGGACTGGCTTGCGGGTCTTTACAATAACCATATCAACGGTATCTTGGCAGATGAAATGGGTCTTGGTAAAACTATTCAAACCATCGCCCTGCTTGCTCATCTTGCTGTAGATCATGGTGTCTGGGGTCCCCACCTTGTGGTAGTGCCCACTAGTGTCATGCTGAACTGGGAAATGGAATTCAAAAAATGGTGCCCTGGCTTTAAAATCATGACCTACTATGGAAATCAAGAGGAGCGCAAACAGAAACGCCGAGGTTGGAACGACGACAACTCATGGAATGTGTTGATCACGTCGTATCAACTTATCCTGCAGGATCAAACGTCTCTCAAGAGACGGAATTGGCATTACATGGTTCTGGATGAAGCACATAACATCAAGAACTTCCGGTCGCAAAGATGGCAAGCTCTCCTTACATTCAGGACTCGAGCCAGGCTTCTTTTGACTGGTACACCCCTTCAGAACAACTTAACTGAATTGTGGTCTCTTCTGTTCTTCTTGATGCCTTCCGATGGAGATAATACGGGTGTTGAAGGCTTCGCTGACTTGAAAGACTTCTCTGAGTGGTTCCGACGACCAGTCGAGCAGATCTTAGAGCACGGCAGAGAAACAATGGATGACGAGGCCAAGCAAGTGATCACCAAGCTTCACACCGTTCTTCGTCCTTACATTTTGCGTCGAATGAAGGCCGATGTTGAGAAGCAGATGCCTGGAAAGTATGAGCATGTGATGTACTGCCGACTCTCTAAGCGGCAGCGATTCCTTTATGATGGCTTCATGTCGATGGCTCAAACCAAAGAAACACTCGCCTCGGGCAACTTCCTTTCTATCATCCACTGTCTCATGCAACTTCGCAAGGTCTGCAACCATCCGGATCTCTTTGAAACACGACCCATCTCCACATCCTTCGCCATGCCTCGATCTGTGGCTACTGATTACAACGTAAAGGAGAGTCTCGTCCGCCGAAGACTTCTCTTTGACCATCCTCTCACCAAGGTCGATTTAGACTTCCTCAATCTTGCACCCATCTCTCGTGAAGATATCTCGCGACGACTAGCGGATGATAGCATTCGACTGATGGCCTTCGGCCCATTCAAGACTCTCCGCGAGCGCCAATACAACCGAACCAATTGGAACATGCAGTTCAACGGTTCTACGATGGAAACAATCTTGTCCTCGTTGGAGAATGCCTGTCGCAAGAGGCGAATGGCTGAATTAGAGCGATGCTTGTACTTCGAATCAAAGCGTCATGGTCGCCGCCCTGTGTACGGTAGCAGTTTGGTTGAGTTCCTACGAGCCGGGACCAAGGAACATGCTCTGTCCAATGCTCCCTTGCGAAAAAGTAACATGGCCGAGTGGCTCTCAAGCCGTTCATCTGTTCTTGCATCTATGATTCTCACTCTTGAGGAGCGATCTTATGAAATGGATGGTTACGTCCAAAGATTTGCCTGTGTTACTCCGGCTGCCGTTGCCTCGGGCATGACAGAAGCCGCATTGACTCCTGTTGAGACGCGTCTCCTGACCAATACTGCCAAAGATCAACCGTATGATCCCTTCCACGAAGCTCGCATGCGCCTTTCAATTGCATTCCCCGACAAGAGATTGCTGCAATATGACTGCGGTAAACTCCAGCGATTGGATAAGCTACTACGTGATCTGAAAGCTGGCGGCCATCGTGCTCTGATCTTCACGCAGATGACTAAGATGCTGGATATCCTGGAGCAGTTCCTCAACATTCATGGCCACCGCTACCTACGTCTGGATGGAACCACGAAGGTCGAATCGCGACAAATGTTGACTGAGCGATTCAACAGTGATCCCCGTATTCTGGCCTTCATTCTATCTAGTCGATCTGGTGGTCTGGGTATCAACTTGACAGGTGCCGACACTGTCATCTTCTACGATCTAGACTGGAATCCTGCCATGGACAAACAGTGTCAAGATCGTTGCCATCGTATCGGTCAAACCCGTGACGTCCATATCTACCGCTTTGTTTCGGAGTATACGATTGAATCTAACATCCTCCGCAAGGCCAATCAAAAACGGATGCTGGACGATGTGATCATCCAAGAGGGAGAGTTCACAACAGACTACTTCACCAAGCTTCAGAATGCGCCGGTAGAAGAGACTGATGACCGTGATGGTAAAGACGAAGCCAGTGCTGCTATGGATCGTGTTCTGGGCAACCGGGTTACAACCGGCTCTCGTGCGTTCGAACAAGCCGAAGACAAAGAGGATATTGATGCGGCCAAGAATGCTCAGAAGGAATTGGAACATGCCGATGACGGTGACTTTGATGAGCGTACTCCTTCCAATGGGACACCGGCACAGACTGGTACTCCATTGCCCGACACTGGTGAAGCTACTCACTCCCCCACTGCGGTTGACCCTGAAGAGCCGGAATCCATCGAACCAAATCACATTGATGATTATCTGCTTCGTTTCATGGAATGGAACATGCGCGATGAACCCCTGGTGCTACCCCAAGACAAGAGCAAGAAGAAGTCGAAGAAGGGCAAGGAGCATCACCTCAAACGCCGTCGTTAATCTGCACCTCTTCCCCCGGGCCCTCGGATATTGTGACTAAGTTTCATCATTCTCTTGGCCTCTGTGAAATCCTCCAAGCCATCACGCTTCTATCCACCAGGCTTGTCTCCGATCGTTCTAAAAGTCACGAGAACGCCCTTCTGACTCCACTCTCCCCCACCCGTTTCACCATTTCACTGCATGTTCTCTTTCTTGTCGGAGGTGACTACCTAATTGAGCGTTCTTGATTTGACCTTGGTGTTTTTCTCGTGTACTCTTTTTTCCCTATTTGTCAATTGCCATTTACCATTTTTTTCCTGGCGATTCATATTCCCCTCTCTTCTTGTCTTGTCTTTTTAACAACTTTTGATCTCACGACTCCTTGCCCCTTTACCAAGCCTCCCTTTTCCATTTATCTTCTGTTCTGTGTTTTAAAAATTCTTTTGCACTGCGTCATAGCCATGTGGGTATGTACTTTCTTTGTACGGAGTAATAGTGTCCCTAAAAGAGTGGAGAGAGACCCAAAGACAGAGAGAGAATCCCTAAACCAAGACATGCGAAGATCCAGATCAATCTAGAGGTTCTAGTGATTCTTAGTGAAGATTTCCTGTGTTCTTCTACTCATTCTACTTGAAGCTAGCGCTAATTCAACCTGAATGTTTAAATTATGTCTATACTCTATTCAGTAGTGTTCCACTTTTCGTCTTACGCCTTATAAAAAAAAGTTAATATCTAACCTATGGAGTGCATATACGATGAATTTGACTTTATTCTTAGATCCACTTCATATGGAGTAACTATGGAGCCCTGGAGTACAGTGTGATAGGATATCCAAGGTTAGGGCACCTTCTACTTATCCGAAACTCTCCCCGATCGGATATTGTACCATAGTTGACAAATACTATTGGAGTCGTGGTAAATAAGGCTTATGCATAGGTTTATTCATAACAGAATGGATAAACTTGAACACATGGGCACTATCCTTGGAATAATTTGAGCATTTTGAATTATTCAATGTACGGTGGATTGGTTATTATAGGATTGAATAAGATGAATATTCAATATCTGGTCTGTGTGCTTCTTATCCGATATTCTGTGGGGACTCTTAGTTTAATTTATCAATAGATAATGAGATTTGAAATCTGCAGAGGTTATGTATTAAATTTAATAATCCCATTCTCTTCATGTACATATCAATGTTTACTCCGGAAGGTGAGTCCCGCGGCAATCCCCTTAGCCCCATTAACTTGAATCCGGTCCATCACGGACTCTTCTCTCCCTCCGTTTTGCGTCTGCGTCATTGACTATATCTGAATTTGACTATATCTGACTTAGGTTTAGACCTCGTCGCGAGGTTTAGATGAAACTTAACCATAGGATCTTTGGAAAGCCTCGTTCAAGTTAATTTGGAATGAGAACGCAAAGTCCGAAGGAGCCGGCACTGTAGGTGTAGGAATAAGCAGGGGGGATTGGATGGTCATGTATCCAGAAAGCTAAAGCTCGATAGAGCTTGAGGATTAACCCCAGATGCCCAGACCAGATCATCATTTCCTCGGCCGAAGCTTCATCTGTATGGAGTAAGGAAGTACAGTGAGTAAGGAGCCCTAACAGAATTCCATTTTGAAATCAGACTCTAATGCAAAGGAACCAGGATCCGTCCACTATTGTACTGAGCTCAAGCAGGCCAGGCTGCACATGGCACGAAGGATTCTGGTCGATCGCATTCGGGACTCGGGAGGCTGTCGATCACGGCGGGTTCTCGCGCTTCGGCCAAACTGCTCCGAAGAGTATCAATGCATCATGTTGGTGGGGACTAAACGCTTACACTGTACATAGTGCATCTGAGAAAGAAAAAATGAAAATAAAAATCAGGGATAAAGACTCCATACTCCTGAGTACTCCGTCCGGAGTACGGAGTAAGAGATCATGATCATGGTCTGGATAGTGGAGAAGATCCGCCACGAACGATGTGCCCAGGTGGACGATGTGGAGATGCTGACATGACCGGAAATTAACCTTGGAACGATACGATGAAAGTACGATGAATTGGAGTCAAATTCGCTTACTCCAACTTTCATGATCACCACGTTGTTCCCCGTTGGAAAAGAGGGGATATCATTTCCATGGTTCAAGTTCTTCACACATGAACCTCGGAATTCCATGGGATTGGCCATTCTTGTTCATCATTAAGCATTTGCCGAGACTGACTTAATGTCGTGATAATGCATCCTTGGAGTACGGCTGTACGGAGAACAGAAAAGAAAAGTGGAGGGAATAGAGTGAGAGTGATCCACCAAATCCGGTGGTTATGCCGCTTTAGGCGTGAGATCCGATAAACTTGGAATGTTTGGGGGGAGAAAACGACAAGCCAGGTGGTTGGTGCTAGAGGATCATGAGCTGCAGGCCGATCCACGGAAATCCGGAGATCGTCTTTTTTTAATTGTTTAAGGCGTTCACTATGATTGACCAGGTTTCATCCAAATAGGTAAAAAGTGACCGGTATAATTGGGGGAAATTTCATGATTGGAAGAAACTTGGTTAATATTGAAAATAATATAAGGAGTCTTCGTATGCACACCAAATTAACCGCGATATTCCAATGTTGACATCAAATGTTGATATATTATGAGGCATTCCTTAATAGTCGTAGTCTTTAGAAAGATTCAAATGTTCGGGAACTCAACTCGGAATGATGATCTTTGTTTTCAACCCCTTAAGTTGTGCATATCGTGTGGATTCAAGTTTCCGCGATATTTCGCCGACGTGTTCTTTGATCATGACTAGGAGGGGTATAGAGCGAGTCAAGGAAAGAGATCCTGTTTGCCGATCTCCACGAATCAAGAGTGTCTCCCCGACTAGCCCCAAACTACTCCATACTAGACGACGCCCTTGGTCTCGGTCTTAATGACTTAATCGGCCCCTGAGATTTTCAAATGTTCCTCGTCAAATTCGAGAAGCTGTTAGGGTTTCGGGTTCCTCCCCCCGTGAATGAAGTTTACCATGAAAAGTGAAAGTATTGGAGTACAATCTTCTAAAAACCTTCACGGCAGTTGGGGACCATATCTTTTCCCGAAAAGCTATTGAGCTATTGAGTTAAAAAACGTGGAAACATGGAAACGTGGGAATGCGGAGATGCGATGAGGCGTAGATCCGAGGATGGAATGGCCCGAATTGATTTGCACATGTTGGGGCAATCACCTCTCCTAAAGATAGTAAGGTAAGGAGGATTGACAGTTCTGCAACGTGCAAGAGTGTGACATATGCAGCCGTAAGAACACTACTCGAGTGATTGGCGTGAAGCTTCCAAGTGGCGACTTCGGCCCCAGGCCCGTGCTGGGGAGGGGAGATGAGTATTTGCTTTTTTCCCCGTTCCTTTTTGTTACTATTAATTCATTAATTTAAATTTTGTTTGCTATTTTGCTTCCCCGATTTCACCTCGGGACAATTCCTCCCTAGATGTCACCCTTGGGAAGCAATTTTCCGATCTGTCAGTTTTAGTAGCTGGGCAGTGGCGTTCAACGATATCATCGGCGGCTAAGGTAAAGTAGGCGGTGGAAAGATCCACTTTGTCCACTATTGAGTACCCGGGAAGATCAGGGAGATCCACATCTCATGTCGATTGGCGCATTCATGAACTGTTGCTCCATGGGTCTGACTGTCATTGGTCTCGCCCGAGAGTGCCGAGGGACTTTGCTCACTAGACCCAACACCATCCCTAATACTACCTTAGTGCAGTCGGCTCAAAACGACACCCATAAGGGGGAAAATATCGTCAAATTAAACACGGCAGGAGAAACCGGAGAGGGGAGACTGAAATCCGTACTCCGTAATACATTTTTTTTCCCTCGTGCAATCTGTGCAATCTGTGCAATCTGTGCAGTCCCCGCATGGAGAAGATCAGAAGATCTGGAGCCGCTTTAATCGGGACCTCAGGAACCATGGTCGATTTCAGATTTCGGATATTTCATCGGATGTTCTTTTCTATAGTAATGCTTGTTTTTTTCGCCCCTCGGCAAATATCTTCTTATACCCATGTGTTGATTTTCGAAAAAAAGAAACATGAAATAAAGATTGGAATCCAACGGTTCCCGATCATCTGATTTGGGGAAGGCATCCGGTGAAAAAAAAGTCCAAAGAGACCGCGTGAGATCCCCGGTCCGGTCATGATCGGCAAGACTTGGCTTTCGAGATCCGGAACTAGTACCTCTTCTCCTAGAGTGGAGAACCGGGCTGGAAGAACGAGGAGAAGAGAGTGAGAGAGGGCTTATCTGGGTCCCAGCAAGGAGAACCATCTGCGGTCATGACGCCGGTAAACTTCAAGGTTTAATGGGTTTAATAGGTGGCTGTGGTAGCCCTGTGGCCCAATGTAAATCAAAACCCACGGGGGATTCGGGGCACAATCCCATGTTCGTATGGTTGGTCCGATATGATAGAAAAATGCATGGGGACAAAATCCCTCAAGTTTCGACCAGCCATTCCCATGGGTATGAATCTGGACCTTCTCCCCTTGTATTTACCGACCTCGATTGAGTTGGATAGATCACCTTCGAGAAGGAAGATAAAAGGACTAGTTTTGATTGTAGTGGAACTCGGAGACGTTGCTGCCCGAATAGCGAGAAATTTTCAAACAAAGAACTGTCAGCTGTCATGGTAACAGATCCTCCATCTCAAGATGATCAGTCGAATCTGTGTCTTTGTTCATCCGGTTATGCGCCAAGTTCCCCATTGGGGATAGTAAACCGGGTCAACTGGTTGTTTGGCTGCGATGGCGCGAGATACTCATGATCCACTCTTAAGCCCTGAGGATCGTCGTAGATCCAATTCCCATATCGTCATCAGGATCGACGGAGAGAAGAGGGGGGCAACGTTGACAGACCCGATACCTTGGAAAATTAAGGTGGAGAGTGGGAGGAGAGAGAGAGGAACCAGACAAGATTTTGGAGACCCTGAGTTCATAGTGACTTGGTCCATGTTCCTCTCTCCTCCCCGACTCTCCACTTTCCAAATATTCTTTTTTATTTTATTTTATATTTTATTTTATTAATTCTAAAATATTTTATTTTCCTGATTATAAAAAAATTTATAGTTATATATTAGTCTCTCGTTCTGCTGTCCGATTCGTCTTTCATGATTTCCTCCACTTAGTACTTAACACTACATAGAGGATCCCCTCCCCCCCTATCACACTTATCCTCTTATCCATCTTCTCACATATTTATCACCCAATATTTTTGAGATGAAAACATCTATCTCTGCTGATGTGTGGGAGAGGAAGAAGGGCTTGATTGCCAAGTTGTATATGGAAGAGGAATGGCCATTGAAGCAGGTCATCAAACAGATTCGCTCCCCTGATTTTGATCCAAGGTGAGTTATTCTCGACTTTGAGTTATTATTGTGACTCAGAGTCCTTCATCTCCCATATGCCATTAACCTCATACTGACTCCCATTATTTAGCGAAACACAATTGCGCAGTCGGTTAAAGAAATGGCGGGTCACAAAGCCTTCGCGGCAGACCCGGAAGAAATCTCAGGTCACAGATGATGGACTCTCAGACAAGGAGGAAAAAGGTTCATCGGCTTCTCCCAGTATGAGCCGGCCATCTATCAAGAGAGAGATGAGCAAGGAACTCTCGACCGCCAGTTCCGACTGGGCCGGTGCACACCCAGTTTACGTTTCAGAGGCAGAGATGCGATCAACGGAGCAATCATTCAAGTGGAATCCGTCGCTGGCTCAGCAGTTGACTCCCAGCCCAACAGGTGAACATGGTCTGGTTCTTGACAGACCACCTACTCAACCTTACAATCCAAGCCCGACAACCACATCATTTGAGCCAGCACAGAATTCTCCTGTGGACGAAAGTTTCATTCCAAACACCACATCCGCCTTGACTCCGACCTTTACTGGCTATCCACTATCACCTGAGTCATGTATTCCTAGTCCAGGATCAACCACTGCCACAATGCCCTGGGGGCCTCGCTCAGTGTCGGTCGATCTGAGCCTCAACCCGACCATGCATTCGGCTTCATGGTACCCAATGCCTTTTGAGGCTATCACTCCACCACCTACCGTGTCTGTGCCACACTCTACTCACATGGCTCCTCCACCTGGCTATCGGGACTCTATGCCCATGATCGCATCTTCCGCCCCGAGCGTTCTCCCTCCCCAGTTCGCTCCTTATGAGACACCGCAGTATCCCGGTGACTACGATGCAAAGCCTTGGAAACGGACTATGTCTATGCAGTATGACTACACAAGCCATCCAAATGGCTTGCCGATGATGCCGGACCAGATGGATCGGAAACATATGCCACATTACAGCCTTCCTCCACCGGGTAATCATATGATGGCCATGCCTGCAACTCAGCCTGGACCCCAAGGGGGACTCTGTGCACCTCTTGTCCCATACATGGGCCAAGCCCCAGTGGTGCAAAAGCAGCATCATGGTGCAGGCTACTAAGATTCAAGCAATCTTTGTGAAATGTCTCTGATACCTTTTGTTATGATCTCGTTTCTTCCATTCTCTTTCTGTGTTTCCTATTTATCATTTTATTCCCCTTTATCCATTTTCTTGATTCCAATCCAGGAGAAAATGGGCAACGATATGTATTGATAGTTTCTTGTGTATATGGCATAACGGTGTTGATCTGTCTGGAGCGGGTGGCTGTTTCTGACTACTTGGGTTCTGGCGTTGGTTTGGCAAGGCGGCATTTGTCCATTGATACCTCTACATACTGGTGAATTAACCTATATTTTGAACTTCATCTGATCTTTGACTTCGCACTCCGTAATGGTAGTACTGATATTAATTCCCGGGTAACTCCTTACTATACTCAGTTCATCTGTTACCTCGTTTCTTAGCCGAGGTCATTGCCAACTCCGCAGAGCTATGGTATGAATGCCAAGTACACACACCTTTACTAGTAGGCACATCACTGACCCTCCCAGCCTGGATGATCAAGATCGACCTGTTGATGAAGATCTGCAACCATCAGTCTAGCCCTGAAGGGGTAATTGTCCCTCGTCTGTGCTGCAATGTGGATCTGCGCTGTAGACCTTGACTGATTTTTGACTCTGGCCAAACTAGCGAATACTCTAAATCTCCAATTCACCCGAGTCCCAAAGGAGTTATTTCGCGCCGGCTGAAGAATAAGGAGATTGGTACTTTTAAATTTACGAGTTCCTTCCGAAACCGTATGAAGCTTTGATCTAATTCATGAAGATATTCCACATGGTCCTCGTATATGAAGATCGACCAGCATCACCGTCGAATTTTTGGTCTTTATTCCAAATAACCGTGTTCAATAACTGCTCGGAAATTGTTGAGATAACATGTGAATCTGCAAAGTTCGGACCGAGTCTGTGAAATTGAATATTTGGTGATCAGAGCAAGTTGATACCTTGTACTCCGTAGATCGATGCCCAGATGGATCTCGAGACTAAAAGCTGACTAAGGCCTAAGCGAGTCACCTGACTACCGACTATCATTTTTTCCTCTCTTGTTTTCTCTCCTTCATCCTTGGAATCTTCAGTACAATTCTATCATTTCATCATTAATGCCAGAATCTGATGTTGCATTCTGTGTACCAATTGGTGTTTTAAATTGTTTCTTACAACATTCTCTTTGACTAACCATTCCAGCACTTTCAATGCCAATGGCATCCCTTATCCTTCTATTCACCAAACCTCCCACCGCAATTCATCAATCCAGCTGTTCCAGTCCTTAATGGACTCTCCACGGACCCTTCTTTGAAGGACAGTTGACACAGCGCCGCGTCTTGTGGTCGTGTCTGACTGGAGCTGGATTGCGCGTTCGAGACTCCTCGTCAGAGGTTTCTTGGGCGTATTCATCATTACGAGTTGCTAGAGCAAAAAGGGCCTTCATAGTTCATGTTATACTTGCTCGAGTCTTCCTCCTTTGGAGGATGTTTCTTTGTCTACGAGAGCATGACTCCTTGCGCACTACATCTCTAATCACTACATATTCAATCTTACTATCATTCATGCCATTCTCATATAAAAGATTTCTTGTGTCTATTCACTGTATCCGCGAGATATCCCAACGATCGCATCGACTCCCAAGGCTGGTTTTCTCGCCAAAACCAGCTAAATTATCCCTTACAATCGACTCTTGGTCTTCTCCTCTCCAACAACGTTCACCACAACCTTCCCCCAAGTTTCACGTCCACCCAATGCCTGAAGAGCCCGAGGAACACTTTCCAATCCAACGAAGCTCTCATCCTTGAACGCCGTACCCCGGAACTGACCCTTAGCAACCAAATCAAAGATTCCCTTCCAGACCGCCTCAACCGTCTCGGTCTCAAAGCGAGCATATTGTCCCCAATGAATACCAACGAGACTCACATTCTTCAACAAGACCCGATTCAACGCAACCTTCTCAATCTTGCCAGCCGCAAACCCAATAACCAGCAATCGCGCATTCCAAGCCACGCACTTGAGACTCGTCTCAATCATACCCACAGGATCATAAACAATATCCACACCAGCCTTCCCATTCCCCTCTCTCTTCGCCGCACAAAGCTTCTTAACTTCTTCCGGCCAAGCCTTATCCGTATAATCAATCACATAGTCCGCCCCGAACTCCTTCGCAATATCCCGTTTCCGTTGCGTTCCCGCCGTCGCAATGACAGTCGCACCCTTCGCCTTGGCAATCTGCACAGCAGCTAAACCAACACCACCAGCTGCCGCATGAACAAGAACCCAGTCTCCCTCTTTCACACCAGCACGGTGTACAAGAGCACCATAGGAAGTTGGGGCTGTAACGAATAATCCTGCCGCATCTTCGAAACTCCACCCCTGGGGTACGGGGAGGAGAGAAGCCTCTGGTGCAAGGACGTGAGTAGCGTAGGCACCTTGAATAGCTCCGAAAACTCGATCTCCGACCTTAAACCGGGGTGAGGCTGATGCACTTGGTACGGCGGCGATTGTACCGGCGAACTCGGATCCCCCGACCCATGGGAGAGGGGGCTGGTGTTGGTATTTGCCTTGAATTTGGAGGATATCGAAGAAATTGGTACCGGCGGAGTGAATCTCGATGAGATATTTATCTGCGGCTGGGGCTGGGGTTGGGATGGTTGAGACTTTTAGGTCAAGGGGCCCCTGATGATTTTTGTTAGGAGCTTCAAAGATGCGGCTGAGTTCTTGGAGAACTTACCTTGACATATTCGCTAACTTGAACGGCGCGCATCTTGTGCTTTGATGGATGTGTAGACTAGGGTATATTGAACTTGCTGGGATTTCTTGTTTCTGTGATCAAGGATGAGATTCGTAGGTAGAGCTGAATATCTTTCCCCGCGTAAGATGCCGAGGTTGATTTTCGGATACTGCACGGTACTTATTGCTTGGCACACCACGTGGTCTACCCCGACATTTACTAGTAGATCATTCGAGTTGTCATGTTTGGCATGAGTATAGGAGATTTACATCCGGAAGGAAAGCATTGAGAAGAACAAGATAAACATCTCATTATTTTGCATGTATGATTAGAATCAATTGCTACCGGCACCTTGGAGCCATCCTCCACACTCGCCGAAACCACCAATATTCCTCCATCTTCCTAGATACCATCATATCATTTGATAAATCGTTCAAGCACAGTTTAAACTGCGCCGATTGTCATGAAGTTTGAATGAAACCCGCCACAGTATCAAGCTCGAGGCCGCAGTGTCGTCAGAGCAAGGCTGATTGTCCTGAAGTTTCATTAAAACCCGCCACGGTCACAGAGGCTTGAATGTCGTAGAAAGATTGGTCACTCGTATGATTCAGAAGGGAGGGATTTCGTCGCTGACTATGCCGGCTGCGCTGAAGCTCAACTGAACTGTGTGGGAACCTTTTGTGGAAGAGGCTTTTGAGGAGGCATTGAGGAGGCATTTGAAGAGGCTTGTGGCTTTTTTCTTTTGTTTTTGTTGGAATAGAAGTTTTTGGAGGTTGTTTTGGTAGATGGTTTTTTATTGAAGAGTGACAATGCTCCGCCCATCAAAAAGAGTATAAAAATATATTGCCTAGGAGCATAGTAAAAATGAATTGCCCAAGAGAAGAGAACCCAATTTACCCAAATAAAAGGGCAAAGTGACAGTGTTTTCGCCCAAAAAGATTCAATCCATGACATCCTCTGGCCTGGAATAGGCACAGTGACCGATTTCCTGCCCGAATAAGTGAAAATGATTGACCTCAAAAAGGGTAAAGTGTTTTTTGCCTTAAAAAGTTCAATAAAGCCAGCGCCGGTCATAGTTGTGGATTTTAAATCCCAAATCGCTCAAGCAAAGTTTAAACTGCGCCGATTGTCCTGAAGTCTTAGTGAAACCCGCCACAGTACCAAGCTCGAGGTCGCAGTGTCGTCAGAGCAAGGGCTGATTGTCCTGAAGTTTCATTAAGACCCGCCACGGTCACAGAGGCTAGAGTGTCGTAGATAGTTCGTTTGTGCAGTTTGGCTCAGCTCGAGGGTGGAAGATCGAGAGGGATTTTGTGGAAGCTGACCATGACAGATGTGTTGAAGTTGTATTGAACCTCGCGTGGAGCTTTTTTTGGAGGATGCTTTTTGGAAGAGGCATTTGTGGAAAGGGCTTTGTGGATGAAACCTGTTGTGATTTCTTTTTTTTTCTGTTTTTTTTTTGTTGTTTTTGCCATTGGGTTGAAGCCTGTGGTAAGGTGGAAGAGCCTTGAGGAGGAAGAGGAAGCCTTTCTGTTGTAGTAGCCTTTGAGTTTTTTTGTTTTGTTTTGTTTATTTTTTGTGTACGCGTTCCCAGCTCAGTGGATGTAAGGTCGAGGTTCAATACAGACTTCGCTGTCAGAGTCGCGTCAAATCCCAAATCGCGCGGTCAGATGTTATAGCAGAGATAACAAGTGATGCAAGCAAAGAGTAGATCAGAGATCTTTCAAGCAAAGTTTAAACTGTGCCGATTGTCCTGAAGTTTTGATGAAGCCCGCCACAGTATCAAGCTCGAGGTCGAAGTGTTGTCAGAGCAGGTCTGATTGTCCTGAAGCTTCATCAAAACCCGCCACGGTCACAGAGGCTTGAATTTTGTAAGTAGGTTGGTTGTGGGAGTGATGAATATGTGAAATGGTTCTTGAGCCAGCCATGCCTGATTGTCCTGAAACTTCATTGAACCTGCGGAGAGACTTTTGTGGAGTGTAGCTTGAGTTGAGGCCAGGCGCGGTGCTCTCGTGTTGATATTTTGAAGGTTCAATGAAGCCCGCCACAGTCATGGGGCTCAAGTTGAAGTAGAGAAATGAAACGCGCTCAGTAGCCAGAGATTAATCAAGGTGATGATGGTGAAGGTTTGATTGTTCCATCCACAGAGATTGTATTGTGTGTTGACCTGCCATGGGTTAGCAACTGCTGATGAGATGGGATATGTTGGAAGTGTTATTACTTAGAAAGTTAAGTCATGTTGATGAAGTGTAGTCATGTCAACAAGATGAAGTAGTGAGAGGACAACAAGGTGAGGTAGTGTCATGTCAACAAGGTAAAGTGTTGACAACAAGGTGAAGTAGTGAGAGGTCAACAAGGTGAAGTAAAGTCAACATGTCAACGCGTCAACGCGTCAACAAAGTCATGCGGGGTCATGTCAACAAGACAGGAGATGAAGCATGAGGTAGATATTGAGACATGTTGATGATCAAACAACAAGTTGTTGATGTGACCAAGTATCAAGATGATGAAGAAGAGGATGGAAAAGATGAGGTTTGATGAAGAAGATGAAGAAGATGAAGTAGGCTGAAGAGCGCGAAGTGGAAGATTGGAAGAAGTTCAAAAGTGAGTGAGACCTGGGGAATTTATACCCTGGGGGTGGGGCATGGAAAACACGCCAGGATCACACATGGAGATTCGAATCGACCGATCAGAAGCTCAAGATCACCACAAAGGTACCCACGCATTGCTCCTGATATCAAAATGGCTGAGAGTCGATGCTTAATTACTTCACGCTCAGGATCACCAACCTCAGAACAAGCGAGCCAATCAAACGCTAGGATCACAGATTCTAAGCGAGTTCTTGATCTGGACAGCGAGAGTTACCTGCGTCTGCCACGTGCCTACGTGCTCTAGCTGGCTGTGACATGGATTTCTGAGGCTTTCAATATCCATGCTGCCCTCTAGACCTGAATTCTTTCCAGTAGAGTCCCACTGCCCTCTTAATTCTGACCGAAGCCGAATCCACCTTTACAACCTGCCGATGAACTCTGCAATGCCCCATCTTAAACATACTGACTTTTCACTTTGCGGTATTGCCTTGTAGTTGAATTAGAATTTGCACCAAGCAAGCTATTTACATGCTACTGGGACTTTAAAGGAGGTAACTGGTGGGGATTTTGGAGCCATTATAATGATGCAAACTGCTTATATAGTGTAGCCATTTCTTTAACCATGAAAGCGAGCAAATGAGAAATGCAGCGTGAGTCACATTGTATCTAGGAGTTTACAATCTTCACTTTGGGAGGAACCGAAAATATACTATAAGTAAATGAGAATAGAATGACTTGAATTGGAGATATCGAGAAAGTTGAAGTCAAATACTCTAGTTACATCGATCGCCGAAAACATCTTGCAGTTCATAATTCATTCCTACAGATCGTCTGATTTGTCATAAAGTCGTGTATGTTGAGACAAAAAAGATTCAATCAATGATACCTTTCTCGCATATGAACAAGAGCAGTCCATCCCTGACAACAGGACTTACTCATATTATGTCCACACCAACAGCACTGAGGACGGTAAAGGGGTGGAGATTGTGGCGCTGGTGCTCCACGACCATCACCTGCCGGACCACGAGTATTAGGAGGTTCATTTTGAGGATGGGTTCGTCTGGGGAGCGGCATTCGTCGAGGATCATTTGGGTCCGAAGCGAAGATCGCATTCCGGACTGAGTTTCGTCGAGAAAAGGTCCTCACCAAGCGGGAATCAGATGGAAGACGTTCGGGACAGGCAAGCTTGGCGTACATCTCGGATGGCATGTCGTGCCAATACTTGCATTGGCAACAGATGACGAAGAGTTTGGCGATCACATCTTCTGCACGGGGTGACTTGACTTTTTGCATGGGCTTTTTGCGTAACATGCTCAATGGACCGCTGGGGGCGAGTGGTGGGTTACCCCGGAAGTTTGTTGGGGTCATAGGCAAGCCGCTTCTGGCCATAATCTCTGGTGTAGACTCGGTTGGTTTCTTTGGACTTGGGTCGCGGACTCGAGTAGGTACATTGCTGGGTCGTTTCTTTGGAACATCGAGTACTTCTTCATCTGCAGTATCATAGCTCGATGCCCCGTCTGATGAGTGGGGTGACGGAGATCTATCATGACCACCTTCATTCAAGCCCATGGTGGTCTGCTCCTTTGATGCCTTATCATCGGCAAGAGGGGACTCTTGCGAGTTAGGCGGTACAGAAGGCTTCAAGGGAGAGAAACCCGGAGGAGCGCCATTGTTTGCACCCTTTGAAGCATGCTCTTCAAGACTTCGCCGACCTGGATTCTTGAGAGGGAGAGTTGGTAGTGGCGACTTTTGTAAATCAAAAGATTCCGACCGCGGACCCCAAGTCTCGCGCCGATTCTCATCTCGAGCTGTCTTAAGCCAACTTGGAATTGACTGGCGATTACGTCCCTGAGACTCCTCAGGTGGAGATGGCTTCACTATTCTTAAAGGCTCTGGAACCTGAACATGCGTCAAGGGCAACGAGAAGTTGCGGTTCGGTGACCGATTTGGTTGCTCTGGAGTGTTTGGGTGCATGGCCAGAGGCGAAGATATGTACTGTCTCGATGGAGGCTGCGACGAAGCTTCTTTTGAAGTCCTCTTGGGAGAACCATTCTTCATGCTGGCCAATATGGAGGAAGATGATCGGGTGCTGCCTTTGCTGTGCGAGCTAGGTGAGCCGTTTGGCGTCTCTGGGATTGAGTCGGAGAGTTCACGAAACTGACGAGCGGTCGTGATGCGGGTAGAAGCACTGGGAGGGCTTTTTGTAGAGGACCCCGTGGATCGGTCTATTGTGGTTCCAGTGCTTGGAGCTTCAGCAAAAGACTCCATTGCCTTGAGTGACTTTAGATCAGACATCGGGTTGGTATCAACCAGCTCTACATTGTGCTGCTGAGACCGACCGCCCGTCAGGGATTCCAGCCTGCGAGCAAGGAGCTCAGTGCTCATGCCATGGTTATCGTTGTTTTTCTTCCACTCCTGTGCTGTCTTCCAGTTTTCTCGAAGATCATCAGACTTGGGTGTTGTATGAAGTGAGCGTGGTAGTTGATGAGGTGTATGCGACAGCTGCGATTGACTGGACGGGGGTTGAGTTAGACTAGTAGGCATCAAGGTAGTTCCATGACGATCCGCCAATTCTCGAGAAACATTAGCCCCAAAACGTTCAGAAAGCGCCAGTGGGACGGATGGTGGACCAGGTGGCCCTGCTGGTTGAGTCGAAGCATCATCTTCATTTATTGAGTTCGCCCGTGACGCTCGACGAGAGCCCGTGAAAAACGCAGTGATACTGGATGATCTCAGTCGCGAGCTGCCAGTGCTAGAAGAGCGGGAGGAGCTTCCCTGTGTATGTTTCTTGGACAGGCGACGCGAGGCTCGATCGAAGATGCCATTGTCGACCCTGGACTGGCACTCTTCTAAATGAAGCAGGCGTTTCTCCAGCTCCTTTCTCTCAGCCTCTAGGCGCTTCGTGGCTCGTCTTTCCTTGCGAGAATTCTCTTTACCCCATGTTGGCGACGAGCATATATTGCTTCGGTCCGTGTTTGGGTTATTGACCTTTGCCATTGGTTGCGATATCGACTTCTCATCACTGGGGACGACTTGTAGAACAGAGGGGCTGGATTCTGGAGTGTCGAGTGAGGGAATGTGAGAGTTGGAGGAAAAATTAAACGAACTGACTCCTGTCTCCTCAGGTCCTGAATGGGCCGCAGTTGCCTCCAGCTTTGGATCATGGCCATCACTTGGCGTCCACGATAAACGAGATGGGTCTTGCGAACTGTCTTGACCGCGACTTTGGCGCTTCTATAATCCGGTTAGCCGGGCATTTCGCGCGCTCAAAACGTAGACCACGTACCTTCTCTGCTGAATCAACGTGAAAGACGCGCTGGAAATGGGTCGAGATAGACGATCTCCGCCTGCGGGGCGGATCGGCTGACATTGTGTCCACAGACCCTAGGGACAGCCCAAGTTGATGGAGAAGGGTTCATGAGAGTTGAGTGTCTGTGTCTGGTAGACTTTGAGATAAATCTGATTTTCCTGGTTCTTGTGAGACCGGTTGGATTTCAAGTACTCGATTCACAATTGTGCTGGATTTTCGGTGACACTGGAGATGCAAAGGTGAAACCTGCAGCTCCGAACCCTATTCTTAGTGCCTCTGTGCCTGGAATTTCAGGTAGTTCAGGAGTTAGTTATATAACTAACTAGATCACATGTGCATTGTTTCATTTATTTGAGCATTGACTCTCAGATTATACTATGGATATATATTGTTTCTATCTGAATATACCCGTGAACCTACTCGATGCTCGAGAATTCAGAATCCTATTAGATCTATTTGAATATCAACAACACGTACGGTTGAATTGGAAATCCAGCGCATTAGCCGTTGCACAATATCCCGATCTCATTTCAATGACCAACATGATCAAAACAATGCAAGTCTCAGGGTCTGTTTTGAATTTCAATTTTGAGTGTAGATGAATATACTAGGTAGAATGTATACCTAATCTGTTGTATGATAACCTTGGAACCTTGGACATAAACAAAGAAACCATGGGTTTCATCCCCGCACAGCCCCACTTGGCACAAAGGGTCCATCTTAGAAAGAATCAGAGTCAGAACTTTTACAATCATCCTACAAAAGACTCGGAAGTTGATCAAAATTCGATCAGAACTCGATCAGAACAAGACAAAATATCAGCACCATGTCAAGAAATACTCAGTTCTGGGGCCCACCACCTACCTATGAGGCAAGCTCGAGTCAGGGTGATCCCCCACCATACCATAACTGGCAAGAGGCGGTACCAGATACATCGACCTTTCCGCCACCTCCAATTTCCGGCTACTACAGTTCAGGAACAGGGAATGCCAACATCGATGACGCAGACCGAGCTCACCGGTTTTGTGATCAGACCCCACTCTGGATCCCCAGTAACCCGTCCGATGCCGTCTACAGTGCTGTGCAGTATCATGATCTACGACCAGTTCGACAAAGAGAGTACATGGGTGACCTCACAGTCACTGGTCCAGGTAGATGGTGGGGTCGCACAGTCGATTCCAACGGCGACTGTCTAGTCCTAAGTCATCTCCCACTCTACTTCGCCGCAGTGGATTCCCCATTCACGCGCCAAACACACAAAACCATCTACTTTGAAGTGAAACTGACCGCATTACGGGCTGGACCGGGGACCGGGAATGCAGATGCCAGTGGATTCTCGATCGGGTTTGCGGCTCAGCCTTATCCGTCCTGGCGATCTCCCGGATGGGAGCGGGGAAGTGTAGGGGGTATTCTCAGATGATGGATGCCGATTTGTGAATGACTCGTGGGGAGGGCGGGACTTCACGGCTCCGATCCAAGTGGGTGAGACTGTTGGGCTCGGCATGGTGTTTTCCATTCCTGAGATTAGTGGGACGGAGGGAGGCAAGAAAGGGAAAAGTCCATGCAGGGTGCAGGTCTTTTTCACCCGGAATGGGCAACGCGCTGGTGAGTGGGACTTGCACGAGGAGGTGGATGAAGACTCCGGCAGCATTCAGGGCTTAGAAGGGGACTTTGACCTGTATGGGGCCATCGGGCTGTTTGGTGGCGTCGATTTTGAGTCCTGTTTTAACCCTGCAGGTTGGCTTTGGCAGCCCACTGTGTAGATTTAGTTGCCTTTTGGTTGCTTAGAGGATTTGCTCATGCTGTGCCAAGTCTTGCAGAGGAGTTTTATGGCGATGGAACTATAAGTTGATAACAGCCGACCTCAACATGAGAGATGAATTGACTCTTGGAGATCAAATGATGGTCTGGTGAAACTTGAACAGATCACTGTTATTTGCTTCTATTTTTCTCTTTCCTCTTACGGCAAGCCCCTATTCTCTGCTGTATTTCTTATCTTTAGCCGAATCAATTGATATCTTCAGGCCTAAATCAGTTCGCTGCCAGTGAAGATGGATTATTAAGCTCGTATAAAACATCCATGGAAGGTTTGAATGGATCACTATCCCTGCTGCTTGGCTCAGCGGGCGATATTCGTTCTAGAATCATCCTAGAATCATACCATAATAGTACTCGTATGCATCAATTGATCTATTTGAGTTCAATGTTCTCAACATAAGCTAGTTTCATTCAAATATCAAGGATTCGTGGCAAATGTGGCAATTTCTATACTTAGCATATATCAGAACACATTATTGCATATCCGGGAGACATTAGAACTCGCATCTCCGAGTCCAGATGAATCGGCATAGCCAAACCTTGCAAAAGAAAAAGAAAAAGAAAAAGTAAAGGCAAAAATATGACAGCGGCTATCGCGATTTGCCCGAGCGTTCACATATGTACGTACCCCAGAGGACGCAGCTAGAGACTGGCGCATTATCGTACATGGTTCTAGAAATGCATCGGCCACCCACCCTTTTCAGGTACTTCCAGGATTCCATCCTTGTAAAGGCACACATTAGCGGCTTCGGGGGGAAGTAAGAGCTGCATTTCCGATATGCAACACGGTTGTATCAAAGGCGTGGGAGATGACCAGGGGCATGTCATCCTTCCGCCCCAAGCTTAAAGGCCCCTCTCCGAGATCCCTATTTATCGAGCTGCATGAACAGCCTGATTTGGATTGACGTCACAAAATGCATCTACTATATCATTCCTGTCGGTCTATGCAGTGGCTCGTGCCTGTTCTGCTTGTGAAGATCCGGGTAGTTCGGTCCTATAACCCTACAGTAAGTGGTTTAAACCAAGAACTATACTTTTAGGTACTTGCTACTGTACATGTGTAGTATGGCTATTGCATGTGTACACATGTGGCAGATGACAGATTCAGGGGATGGGGAATTTACTAGTTTTTTAGTCTCATTCCATCAGGATTACATTTTTTCCCTTTAAAAAGATGTTTTCGTGGGGGTTCAAGTTTGGGTTTGAACTCTTAGTTCTAGTTCATGTTTGATTCCAATAGTTATCCATGGACTCGGTAGCGAAGTGTAGCTGCCTTTCAAATGTTTATGCTTACAAGGGCCTTTAGCCTCAGCTCAACTACGTAGCTGGTTCGCAATCTTCTCAAAGCAGCTATGTACATGCTTCTCGGGGTTCGGCGAGAGGCCTGAGCACAACCACCCCCATCCTTTTTACTTTTTACTAACAACGCCATGACCGCAACGCGGCTGCATGTAATGCGCATTGACAAAGTTAAGCCGAAATCAGGAAACACAAAGCGGGATGATGGGTAAGGGGGGAAGATCCAAGCTCATTTAATACTAAATTGGTGCTATTAATGTGATATGCGATAAAAAAGAACCTTGTCAATCTCAGCTGCAGCTTATAGCTGTCTCTTTCAGCCTTTTTGGCTAGGTAAAGTCTATTTGGTTCATTTTTCATTCTGCATATGTCAAAACACCTCTAGATGTCTCTGAATCATGGTCGATCATGAAGAATTGCTTTTTTGAATCATCGATAAAGTTCTTCTTCGCACTATCTTTCATCGTCAATTTCAATTTCTTTGTATTTGATGTAATTTTTATAAAGTAAAAAAAAAATAAAAGAGAATGAAGAAACAAGAATTAGTTTATTAAATTCCTGATTCTAGAATCCAGACCATTCAAAACCAGAAATTGATTGCGCCATCCTTGGTGTTTTTCTCTTCCACTAATTAATTATTTTTTATACACGGGAGAGAGAGGAAAAATAGTGAACTAGATTGAAACTATACTGTTAGTATAGAGACCAAAATTATACCGAGGTCCGATAAATCCATTATTCATAGCCCCTACGGAGTAGATGATAGGGGCAAAAAAGAGACTCAGACACGGAAAAAAGAGGGGCGCAAAAGACACCAAAAAAAGTACACAATGTACGGAAGTAATCCAAGTTGAATTCAATAATTACCGGACAAAGTCCATAAGAAGAAAGAGACGTCGAAGTTCTCAAAGTGGGCAAGAAGAACACGGGCAGTGGGGGACCGAAGTCGGTGATTAAGCCGAGACTATCCATGACCGGGTACTGCAGCTTGCATTCAAGCTAGCCAGCCTCGCTGCAACTAGAGGATCAGAGCGAACAAGCCAATCCCCGATAGTGGTGGGGGGGGTGGAAATGGTTCTCTCGACGTCGTATCAGCCGACTGTTCTGAGCCTCCGGAGAATGGGGATCTGACACGGGACAGTGCGCGATGGGGCCCCCTGCAGTTCTATTGTTTTAATTATTATTATTATTATATTATTGTTATTATTTGTTATAGGTGGAGCGTGTGTCGGCCGTTGCCACCAGATCGCGCTACTAATGTTCAACTAACCCATTCAGATCCCACATATCGATTTCAAATTGTGGATTGCTGACCACGTCGACTGTATGATCTGGAGAGAGGATACTGGACACAGTTGTACGAGGTGGAGCACGCAACCGAGGGGCAAGATGGGGATTGCCAGTGGGCAGAGAAAATCCAATTTTTTTTTATTACAACTTACTGTGGACTTGGTCACATCACAGATGTGGATTCTTAAGAGATTTGGTATGCGAATATGTGGATATAGAGGAACACTTTGTCAGGACTGACTACATACTCCATAGTGGGATTGTACCATTGATGATAACCGGCTATGGTCAACCGCATGTCTCTCCACTAAGTGGCTTTTCTCAGGCTTGCACTTGTAACAACGCTACGGCTAATACCATAACTCAGCCCCACTAGATGATCTGGACGTTCCTATTCATTCTCTTGTCCTTAATAGGCGATAGTGTGAGAGGAAATCATAAGAACAGGACAGAAATCATTATATTATTCGTCGGAAGTTGAAGGTGGCTAAATGGGCGTATGTCAAAACGACCGAAAATTTTAATATTAATAATAGACATAATTTTGGAGTACTCAAGTGCTTGAGAGAGGAAAAAAAATTACTAGCAGGGACATCTGGAAATATGAAATAAAAATAATTATAATAATAATAACAAGCCCCAAACCGGTCATGACAAGAGGGGAAAAGCCGTCTGATCGACCTTAAGCTGCATGTCATTTCCGCCCCCGTGCTGTCAATTCAATTGTTCATAATTCCCTTTTAATTTCTCTCTTAAGGGGAAATTATATCATCTAAAATTAAGCCTCACACTGGGGAACCCATGAACAGGGTATATAATATTATAGTCTTTTATAGTACTCCGTAGATACCCCTGCTCTTTTCTCCCCCTCCCCCTATCAAGTGCTCTCAGGAACACCCGCATAGACCAGGATTACTCTCTTACACGATTTCAATAATGGATCCGGCCCTTCCCGGAATTTGAAGTGGACTTTTTCGAGGGGGCGCTACGGGTACAGTGGAGATTGTCCGGGAAGAAGAAGAAAAAAAGTCCGTGCAGCTAAGATACGCGTCTGTTTCACTCCATGATACTCTCTCTGAGCGAATCGGTCCTAATTTTACATCACATCGCGAGATTCGGCCGAATAGTGTGATTTAGATGACATGACAAGCCCTATTTAGTACTAGTGGAGATAGGAATGAACAAAAATGCAGAATATAAACGAAATAGGGAAAAAAAAGAGAGAAGAAAAAGCAAAGAAATATGCATAAAAGGTGGGAGAAATGCAAAAGGCTGAAAATTCCATGATGTGGCGCTTCTTTGGTCACATTTTACCTGGTTATTTTTCTCTTAAAAACTCAAGAAAAAATAAATTCAGAGGACATGGTTGCCACTGGAGAATGTAACGGCCTGTGCATAACCTTGGCGAACGTTTTTCATTTAATTTTCATTTATTTATTTAGAGGAAAGGAGAGAGAAAGAAAAAAAGTACGAAAAGTACCACTAAGTTGAAGTGCGAGTTTGTAACCTACACTGTACAACTGTATACTGTATACGGAGTTCGGAGTGTAGATTAGCCCAGATTGCGTGGACTCGGACACCAATTCCAGGCGATCTTGGCGAGATATGAATCATAGAGATTAATATGATTGTTCGGAAATACTCTTTAATAATCTCCTGTAAAATGGCCGATCATGGGCTTCTCTCGTGGATGCATGGGGGCGGAGATCCAAGTTGGAGTTCCCCATTCGGCTTGCTGCATGATGCACTGGCCGAGTCCGTTAAGGCGGACTCCGGGTTGTCAGCACGAGCTCCCTTGCTCCATTAGACGCCCATTCGCGCCTGCGAGTAAGCCATGAGGGGTCGGGAAAGACGTTTTAATACGCCAATCATAATCCTGGGGTGGATGAGCACTTGAGAACATGGGGGCATCCATGGTTTGTACCTAGGTAGAGGGGGGGCCCTGGTCCACTATAGACGTTTGATGTGTACTAGTAAAGTGTACAGTTGAACTCCGTGCTCTGTACTCCGTTTACCATATCGGCAAAGAGATGAATCCACCTGTACTCAAGTACTGGTATCCACGTAGTTTCAAAATGTTGTAACTAGTATTTTCTATGCACATGTGTTAGAGGAAGTGTTACTACGTGTTCAAGTTACTACCAAGGTTGCCCAGGTGAGTTGAATGGTTCGAAGCAGGTAGTATAGACTACCCTAAAATAGTAAATATCGACAAGTTAGTCCAGGACACGGGCCGAGAATGTGTTTCCCGTTTCCCATCTGACAGAGACAGAGACACCCCCGTCAATGAGAAATAACTGGGGCGCCACCCATTTTGAACCCATTTTGGGTGGCCTGAACTCTTTATGGAGGACTGCGCGGACATAACCGCAGAGTTATTCGAGTTATTCGAGTTGCCTGCTCCTAATTTACCCAGAGAGTTCGAAAGAATGCGCAGAAGTATTCGGGACTTCGTATCGTCGATTCGTAATCCCACCGAGTTTGTCCATCCCCAGCCCCACTCTATTATTTCTATTCTCTTAGCGAGGACTATTATAATTAATATTACTCCGTATTATTAACTTATTGTTCCTAGGCTATTCCTTGATCTTACGAGCGTGCTCTTTTCATATCACTTATACCTAGGTAGCTCTGGAACCTTGGAATTATCACTTCAAACTTCAAGTCCTCGAGGGTCAGTACGTAGTACGTAGTACGTAAATAAAACGGTAATTGATCGCCGCTAGGGTTTCCTTTTGCTAGACTCCCGACACGGGCTCCCGGTTGGCTCTGAGCCACAGTTTTCCGTGCCCCAGTTGCTGTACGGAAGTGGATTGCCCGATTGTACGTCTTGGCCGATGAGATGCACGTTAAAATTAAGAAATCCATCTTGTGCCACAAGGCGTGCGAATCATAACTGATCATCATTGCTGTCTGAGCTGTCTGAAGCGGGAAAGAATCACTACGAAAGGTACTAAACGGGATCCACAACTGCCACTGCCAGCGCGCTAGTACTAGCTCTCGGTATAGAATTTTCAATTGTTGCTTCCAATACTAGTAGAGGAGGTAATGTTTGGTACTGACTTGAAGTTCATGACTCGCAAGCCTCTAGGGTATGGATGATGTGGAGGGGTCCCATTCAGTCCTCATATGTATGCCGAGTGCATACATACTACTAGCTGGCACTTGTGGCATATGTGCAGTTCGTGACTCCATAAATTGCAGAATTCTCAAAATCAATGATTCAATGAGCTTAAGATTTGAGAAAAAGAAATTATAAAATAAATCCCGCTGATCTATGCAGCCAAAGGTCAAAAAGATTTCTCGGCGATGGACTGGGCACCAATGGCGATCCACCTTCGAAACAAGGGGAACATGGAACATGGAACTTGAACTTGAACGTGAAAGGGGGGGGATCTCGCGTGCACCGGAGACCTTCTCCTTGATTCATTTGGCCCCCATTCGTTATGTTTGTACCTAAGTATTATGTACCGTACCGAGTACCCCCAGGTGCCGCTGGTTTTTCCTCGTGTCCAAGGTTGTGATAATGAGCTTCTTGTTTTTCATGAAGATTCATTGTACCTGGAACTTGATTTTAATTTATTGGTCATAGAATGAATAACTAGGTCAACTGACAATACTACATATTTCATACCTAAGACATATTCAAATCTAAGTATAGATGAACATTGATACAATGTCACGGGACTAGTAGTTCGATCGCGCATTGGTACCTGCGACAAGCCAGAGCCAACCGGAACAAATGGCAAGGTCAAGTGTCCAGATGTCCAAATGTCCCAGCACTTGAGATGTTCAGGTGCTCATGGTTGCCTTGACTGTGTCGTCAACTGTGTCGTCATGTCGATTATGAACAGATTATTTATGCAAATAAACCTTGAGACATCTGGAATGTGGTGCAGCTGATCATGATCTGATGTCCAAGCTCCCATGAATCGCGTCGCTCTAAGTTGATCCCTCCTCTAGCCGAGTGACAATCAAAGGGTACTTGATGCTACACGATAGGGAAAGAGGCTCTTGTTCGAGTTCAGCTTGAACCTTGGAGGGTTGATTGCCACTCAACTCGCCATGTATTATACACAGTACATTCCATGATTATAGCCTGGAGTAGTCCATGTGACTATGCTCTCTTAAACGGCTTTATGAAATGCTCTCTAACTAGTCATGCAGGAAATCCCAAGCGCGGATAGATTTCAGTGTAATACCCATGTACCTTACCCGGGAACTCCACTGTCATTATGCATGGACCGCCGCCAATCCCTCTCCACCTTCAAATGCCTCCATCTAGATCCAGGGTCTCTGACGCACGAGGCAATGTACACAACCTGCAGCCAACTCAAAACGACAACTGGGACTGGGGCGCTTTTTTTTTTTGCTTGAATTTTTTTTTTGTATGGTGCAGATAGTCTTTTTGTTTTATTTTTATTTTTTTAATATTTCATTTTTTAAAAAATTTTCTTTTCTTTTCATTTTAATTTTCATTTATTTATTTTCGGATTTTTATTTATTATCTTGTTGCTTTAAGAAATTCAGAATTATGGGTTTTTTTAGTCTCCAGATGTCTGGTCCTAGTCTTAGTATTATACGTACTGATTTAACCTTGGAATCCCCCAAGGACCAGGCTCTTTTTTGTTTCTTTTTCTCTTTTTATTGATTCCTCTCTCACGCCTCTCCCCCCTCTTTCTTTTCTGTTTCTTTTCTCCTCCTGGGCTGGTTGGGGAAGCTGCAGACTTCCCCGACATTCGTTCTTTTTGATAACCTCTCCTAGCCCGACAAAAGCTTGTCGCATTCGCTAGGTATCAATTCTAAGAACCCATTGGATCTATACCAGGTGAGATTTCTTGTCCGACATACTCATAAATTGTAACTAACATTAGGAATTGGAGATCTAGTTCAATTGGAGAAAACCCTCGGGAACAACCACGAAACAATCGCAAAAAAAGAAGATTAAAAAGATAAGACAAAAATTCTCCGAATCAAAAGAAAAACTTGGAATTCTCTTTAAAAAGAGAAAGAAGCAAAAAAGGACAAGAGAGAAAAACAAGGAGAAAAGGGGAAGTTATATCCGCCGGGGAAACCTGGGTATTGAATCATTATGGCATTTCCCTTCTTACGGGCATTTGTGGCGCTCTTGTGAGTTCAAATTTGGAAAATCAAATTTCTCTGGGGAATCTCCCCCCAAGAATAAGATACAAGGGAATAAATTGATTCACTCAATTTCAATGGATAACTAATTGGAAGGTAATCTTACAGTCTCTATCGCTACGTTCGCCTCGTGGTCAATCTATTTTCCTTCTGGTCATTTAAGCCGATCCCACCACCGGAGAACCCGAAATTGACCTCTCAAGATGTCTCGGTTATCATTCCTAGCTTGGATGGATGTGGTGAGGAATTGGTCGAAACAATTCGCTCTATTTTAGTCAATCAGCCCAAAGAGATCTTGCTGGTGACTATTGAGGCCAATCGGAAGAAGGCTGAGCAAATGATCAATGCGATGCCCGCAAGCGAGAAACATATTCGCCTTTTCACTATCACTCACCCTAATAAACGGCGCCAAATGACCAGGGCCATCCCCGAGGTGAGGACAGCAATAACTGTACTAGCTGACGACGACGTGAGCTGGCCTTCTACCGTACTACCGTGGATTCTCGCGCCTTTTGAGAAAAGTGATCGATATGGAGGCGTGGTGACCTGCCAGCGATTGCGTCGAGCTATCGCGCCAACCCTCTCACAGCGCGTCTGGGGGTTCCTGGGAGCTTTGTACCTAGAGCGTCGCAACTTTGATTGCGGGGCTACGACCAATGTGGATGGTGGATTACCATGCATGTCTGGGCGGACAGTGGCATATCGAACCACGATTCTTCAAGACTCGCAATTTACATACGATTTCACTAATGAAGAATGGTGGTGGGGGAAGTATCAACTCAATGCCGATGATGATAACTTCATCACTCGCTGGATGGTTAACCATAAATGGGAGACCTTTATGCAGTATCACCCTGAAGCGGAGGTGCTCACTACACTGGAGGATAACCCCCGATTCTTGAAGCAATGCGCACGTTGGTCTCGAAGCAATTGGCGGAGTAATCTCACCAGTATGTTTCACGAGAACACGATTTGGCAGTAAGTCACACCCTCCTTTCAACTTTTTTTTTCTCTTTTCCTTGGCTTCTCCCTGTTCGTCCATTTCTTTTCTCCGATCGATAAAATCGATGCGGGACCTTTTTTTCACTTTTCTTTTTTCAATCTTTTTTTTGCCTCTCTTTTCCCCATTGGGTCTCTTGCGGATGGTCCTCCGGGGTTTGCGACGCGTCTGCCATGCATGACGCCTTGTCTGCAGCTGTGCACTCGTACAAATGCCCGTTTTTTCGGTCTTAGCCATGGGCCGGAAGGGACTGTGGGTAACCACGGAGATGTACACCCTCAGAAAGCACCAAGAAACCGATCACGAGAAAATAAACAAGGACCTTATCGGTGTTTCCGAGGAGGTGTTCCCTGATTTCTTTCTCGCTTGGTCTTTTTTTTTCTTTTTTTGTCGCCTCTGCATGTCTTCGTGATTCTATACGCCTCTTCGAGGGAAGAGCTGAGTACATTCAGCCGCTAACTTTTTCATTTTTTTCAGTCGTCAACCTTGGAGTGCTTATGCTGTCCACTTGACCACACTATCGCCTCCGGCCCTTTTAGGAGACTTGTTATTGGTCTGGTTGTGTCACCGAGCGACTGCTTCGTGGGGTGATCTTCTTCATGATCGTGCTATGAAAGCTCTCCTTATGTGGATGTTCACTAGCAAATGGATCAAATTGTTAGGTCACTATATCAGGTATCCTGTTGATGTGTTCCTTCTACCTGTCTCCATTGTGTTCGGATATTTACACGGTGCAATCAAGATGTACGCCGTCATGACACTAAATGTGGTAAGTAACGTATTGTTTCTTTTTTTTTTTCAAGGAAATTTTTTCTTCTTTTCATTTTATTTCTATGATTATTTTTTTTTCCTTTGGTGGCGGATCAAGTATAGCACCATCCCTCGTGGTCTTGATCGGACGAGGCGTTGCTTTCCCCCGAGCCCCTCTTCCCCGTCTTGGTTCTTCCTATAACATTTCTGCATCACAACGCTTTGATCACGACTCCTCTCTCATGCAGCTGGATTTATCCACCATCTTCCCGTGCGAGTAATTTTTTACCCTCGGTCTGCTAGTTTTGGATAGCTCTAGCCCAGTCTGGTACTGGCTCTTCCACTGCATGATGATAGGCTCTTTTTTCCGTTTTGGTTGCTTTTTTTTGATATGCGTCTACATTTCCCGGATTCAATCTGACCGTGCGTTCGCCTAGACAACATGGGGTAGCCGTGACGGTGCTGATGATTATGACGCCGAGCGTATGAAAAAACGTACCGATGCCGATCGCAAAACGCAGCTCAAAACGCAGCATTACTTTCCTGGCTTCTTGACTTCATCAGCTAGTGACGGATTCGGGATCCGTCCACATTACGCTCAGCGCTGAAATCAGCATGTGCTGTGTGTGGCCGGGACTATCGAATACATTCACAAATTAGAAAGGATTTGAGGATGTGTGTGGCCCTAGCCAAAATTCCCTTTACGATGAAATGCCGTGACGAACTATCCTTTCACCATATCCGACCTTTTTTTCTTTTTTTCGATGAATTTTCCGATATCTTTTGATCGCTTCTTCTCTCTGGTCTCCATTTCGATTTCGATCCCGATTTTAGATGCTTCCAGTTATTCAGCGCTTTGGTTTTTCCCCAATGGCTTGATAATCCCATTTTTGCGCCGACCTTCGCCCATGATCTATACAAAAGAGGAAGGATACAGGCATGCTTGCATGTGAGATGCATGATCATTCCTAAAGGATTCTTCCTTTTCGATCTTCTAATTCGACAGAAATTGATGTGCGATGCCATTTTCGTTCTCATGGTATCCCAGCAGAAGCAACTTGAACGAGAACCTATTGCGTTTCGGCTTTTTCTCTTCGCTCTTCGCTCTTCACTTGCCTTATCCTTCTTCTCTCTTCTATCTGCACATGATTGGTTTTTCAAAAGCAAAAAGGGCGGCCAACCTCGAGCTTTCAAGTCTTTCGGACATTCAATTTTCCCTTCTTCTTGTAAATTACAAAAGCATGGGCGGATCTCGTCGTTTTGCATTTGTTACTTCGTGCTTTGCATCTCGATGAACTGTTCAGCTGGTTTTTGATTCCCCTGGATTCTTTTGCTCGTGATCTACTTTTTCCAATTTGGCCTATAACTTTGGATTTTTTTTTTTCATTTATTTCCTTTGGTTTCTAGATGCACGGGAGGTCTTCTGCTATTCAAATGTTTTTTTTCTTATTGGTTTCTTTTGGTCCTTCTCCAACCGCTCTTGCTGTTGATAATCTTAATCGATTGAAATCCGCACAGTATAACTCAGCTCCGACATAACTTTTTGTAGATCCACATGGTTTTCAGCCACCTTGGTGTCATCGTACATGTTCTTCGATCATAGCGCGGATCCCTGATTCAATAATGCAGTAGATTCGCCCCGCTTGTCGTTCGGAGAAGAAACCCGTAGAATCGTTGATTATCAGAGAAAAGAAAAATCGGAATAATATGGAATTGACTTCGGAATTAACGCAAGACACTGTAGAACCAATATATGTGCATATAATATAGTCAAGATATGTAGTGAAAGGGTCCTATGAACTATATGGAGTGCTCCATAGTTAATGTGATCTGTAAGCACGGGAGAGCATAGGTAATCGGGCCGAGACTCGAAAAGTTCCAGTTCCAGTTCCTCCGCAACATCTCCGGTCCTTGTCCACTCCAACTCAACCTCAAGGGATCATGGCTAGTATCTCTCGTGCTGCGTTCCCGCAGCTTACCTCCATTGTACGACATAATGCTACGCGCCGATTCCACTCCTCCCCCTTGAAAGCCGCCGTTGCACACCCGATCACTGCCCATGGTCCCCCGCCCAAGGCCCCGGCTCCTTCAGCAGAGTTCAAGGGCAAGGCAAGCCAATCGCAAAACTCAGAGATCTCCCAGGAACAAAATTCGTTACCCAGCCCAGCTAAGCCTACTGGACTGAAGGCGCGTTTCTGGAACAATGTCCACGTGCAGGCACAGGCTGGTACGTTGAACATCAATTCTTTTGAATTAGCTACAGCGGCTTGCCATTGCATTGTCTATGAAGAACTACAACATTGATGCTCGTTCATGATTAGGAGAATACCATGTCCTTCTCGATAAGCGACCCGTCAGAACTCCGAACAAAGATATCCTCTCTATTCCCCACACAAAGCCTCATTTGGCACACGCGGTCGCCCTGGAATGGGATGTGATGACCTCCGCTCAACAAGCTCTGAAGAGCCACCTTATCCCCCTGACCTCCCTCTCCGCACGCGCCGCCGATATCGCCATAGAAGATGCTCAGGGTGACACAACTACCCGACAACAGATCATCCAGACTGCCATGCGCTACCTAGACACCGACACTCTTCTCTGCTGGGAGCCGGAGCGGGAATCAAATATTTTCGACCGGAAGCCGGAAGCAGGAGAAGAGAAGACCGAGAGCTTGCGCGAGATCCAGATTCGCGTCTCTCAAGATATCATGGCTTTCTTGTCTACCAAGGTCTGGCCAGGTCTTGAAATTAAGCCCATCCTGGATTCCAACAGTATCCTCCCGGTGTCTCAGTCTCAGGCCACTAAGGATAGCATTAAAACTTGGGTGTCCGAATTGGCCCCTCATGATCTTGCTGGCCTGGAGCGAGGCATTCTCGCCTCAAAGAGTCTGCTGGTTGCCGTGCGTCTCATGGTGGAATGGAGTGAGAACTTCCGTCACCTGCAGCGCTCCGGTGTGAAGAAGTTTGGTCTGGATGAGGCGGCCGAGGCCTCTAACTTGGAGGTTAAGTGGCAGACTGATATGTGGGGTGAGGTTGAAGATACCCACGATGTGGCCAACGAGGATCTGAAGCGACAACTTGGCAGTGTTGTCATTCTGGTCAGCGGTGAGACTCGATAGAGAGGCTTCCCAGTCGTGAAAGCCGTTGGAGGAAACCATGTACTATAAATGTGTCTATTATTGATCTATATATAACCTCGTAAGCCTGCGCATTATGTTGCATTGATCTTTTTTCTTATGCATTGCATAATTCAATCCCTTGCAGACTCTCAAGAAACTTGAACTTGAATAAACCAATGGAAATAACACTTAGAATTACACCTTAAATTAGCTAAATTAGGCCCCAGCCATAACCAGATCTTAAAAGGACTCTTCGAGTCCTCATTGATAGATTTCCCCGGGTGATATCTACGGGGACGCCAAGACTAGCGACGATCCCCTTTCCCTTCCAAAACAAGCCCGCCTCTTTGACCCTTTATTTTCCTCAATCTCCTCGTTCCTTGGAATTATTTGGTTAAAACCATCTAGGACAGAAGATACCCAGTGGGCTATTTTGTCCATTATGACTGAGAAACCTGAAGGGTAAGTTTGTTCCATTGCACTCCTATCTAGTCCCCGAATTCCCCCCTCCAAAACACCGCTTGGACCCATGGTTCATATGCTGTCTACCCAGACTCTCACTCTCTGTCATGTCCCAACAAAAGAGATAAGGTATTCGAGAGAGGGAGAAGGTGGGCGAGTCAAAAAGAGGACACTGTGAAGCCAAACCCTTTGCCATTTATCAACATTATTGCTGGAAGGGAAAGTGCGATCTATATATAATCCACTGAGCACCTGACTTTCATGTGACTGACCGGGAAATGCCCTTCTCTCGCAGACACAAGCGCTCACGGAGCTCTATAGCGCTATCTCTTTTACACCGCGATAAATCTCGCGGCGAAGATAAAAGCCAGGACGAAACCACTGACGCCAACTCGGTCGCATCAGGCTCGACGAATGGCTCTTCTCGAATGACCCACGCCCGCAGCCTAAGCCGTCACAGCCGCCGCAAGACTGCCCAGGACCCGAGTCCACCTCCCACAAGTTCAACCCCGGCCATCCTCGAACACGCCCCTACCGATCAGAGTCCTCAGGATATGGATCAGACAGATTCCGCTCCTCCAACTGAAAGCGGCAGCATGTCCCTGGACCAGTCCGTGCGAACCTTTCGTTTATTCGAGATCCTGCGCAGTGGAGATACCAATGCCATCGGCAAGGTCATCCAGGAGTCCGGGGATCCACAGGTGGCCAACAACCTTTATGGAACGACTATTCTCCATTTGGCCCTACAGTGTGCTGAACCCCAGGTTGTAGAGTTCGTGCTGTCTTCGGGTAACGGGCTAGACATCAACGCGCGCGATCGTGAAGGGAACACACCGCTGCATCTGGCGGCTCAGCTAGGACGAGTCTCGTTGGTTCGTGACCTGATCAGCAGACCCGAGGTCAACGATGCCATAGTGAACTACCGTGGCCAGACACCTCTGGATGTTGCGCGGAACCCTGAGATCTTCCAGCAGCTGCAACTAGCTCGGTCCCTGTTCATCGATAGCAAGACCCAGGAGATCCAGGTCTTGATCAGCAAAAAGGACTATGAGAATTTGGAGAAATTATTGGAGGAACCTCGCGCGGAGGGCATTTTGGATGTCAATAGCTTGGAGTTGGTTACTGACAAGGCCACTGTACAATCAGGGGGTACTCTGTTGCACGAGGGCGCTCGGAATAAAGATGCCCAACTTATTCAGATTCTTCTTACCCATGGCGCGGATCCTTTCCGTCGTGATAAGAAGGGGAAACTGCCTCAAGATGTTACCAAGGATGACAAGACCCGGGCGCTTTTGAAAAAGTCCCCGGCTGCTGTTATTGCACAGCGCGGGATCCAGGAGCGGGCTATCCTTGGAAACAGCAATGCGCAGGGTCTCTCTGGACGTGCCTCTATCGGCGAGGCACCGCTCGCTGGTAAAGATGCTCGTGAAATGAGAGGCTATCTTAAGAAATGGACTAACTACACAAGTGGTTACAAACTGCGGTGGTTTGTACTTGAGGATGGTGTTCTGAGCTACTACAAGCATCAAGGTATGTTTCAAAATTTACTACACTGGAATATCAAATGTTATATCTACCCATCACGATCCATCTCTAACTCAGTAACTAGATGATGCTGGCTCCGCTTGCCGTGGAGCTATAAATATGAAGATTGCACGTCTCAACATGGATGCTCAGGATAAGACTCGGTTTGAAATTCATGGAAAGTCATCTGTCAAGTATCATTTGAAAGCGAACCATGTCGTGGAAGCCAAGCGCTGGTTCTGGTCTCTGAACAATGCGATCCAGTGGGCCAAGGACGAAGCCAAAGAGGAAGAACGGCAACGATCCAAGAACGCGGAAGTACTCCGTCAAGCCAAGATGGACCAAGCAACTGATACACCTTCTGAGTCTGGGCTAAGTCGCAAAACCAGTGGCAGAAGTCCTCTCCCATCTTCTCTTGGCATCCCTGGCAGCAGCACCAACAGACTTAGTTCATTTACATCAAGAACGACACTAGACACATTGCCTGGAGAGGACGATGGTTCTGTATATGGCTCAGTGGACCAGAGTGTTGCTCCAAATGAGGTGAACCGAGTCATTAGCCACGTCACCACAGCCCCTGATGGAGATGTGGATGATGATGACTTTAATGACTATGCTTCTAGCCGTGAGATGCCTGATAATGATAAGGATGCCCTTAATATTACGGCCCAGTCTGCTAAATTACAGTTGGATCTTCTTGCAAATGTCGCTGCCTCTCTCCAGGCCGAAAGAACAAAGAACCCTGAAATGTCAATTGCCGACCCTGCTGTTGAGCAAGCGCTCACTGCCTATGAAGCCGCTGTGAGCAGTCTTAAGGGCCTTGTTCAGAACCTCCTCAAGATTTCACGAGACCGCGACTCCTACTGGCAATACCGATTGAACCGTGAAGAGCACCTTCGCCACATGTGGGAAGAAAGCATGGCACGTGTTGCCCAAGAGCATGAAGAATTACAAGGGAAGATGGGTGAATCAGAAGAAAAGCGAAAGCGAACTAAGAAGGCTCTGAAGGAGGCATTGGAGAGTGCAACCGCCGCGAGCCGCTCTATGACAGAGTCCTCATCACGCATCCCTGCTGAACAAACCAGTGATCTGGAGACAAGCCAACCAGAGATCCGTGAGCCTGGGCTAGCATCAGAAACAGATCTGCTGGTGCAGTCAACAGCTGAGCCAGCCATAAGCCGCAAGCCCTCTGTCCTTTCTCATATTAGCAGCCTTTATGACTCTGAGTCAGACGGAGATGAGTTCTTTGATGCCATCGACGCTGGTGAGATTGAAGTCGAAGAATTTGACCAAGCTCCAGAGGCTCAGGAGCCCGAGGAGCCCGAGGACGAAATTACTCAAATTCGAAACGAGAAGGCTATAGTGATTAAGCCGTCCTTTAGAGGTTACGAAGATCCTGTTAGACAAAGACTCAAGATGGACAATGACGATCGACCAAAGATCTCGCTTTGGGGAATTCTGAAATCTATGATTGGCAAGGATATGACGAAGATGACTTTGCCTGTGTCTTTCAACGAGCCTACCTCATTGCTGCAGCGAGTCGCTGAAGATCTGGAGTACACCGATCTACTTGATGTCGCCGCAGACCGCGCAGACTCCATGGAGCGTCTTCTTTATGTGGCTTCGTATGCCGCCAGTGAATATGCCTCGACAATTGGACGTGTGGCTAAGCCATTTAACCCTCTGTTGGGTGAAACCTTTGAGTATGTTCGACCTGACAAGGGCTACCGGTTCTTCGTTGAGCAAGTTAGCCACCACCCTCCAATTGGTGCGGCGTGGGCTGAGTCTCCCAAGTGGGACTACTGGGTAAGTTTACTCCCTTTTTGGATGCTTCAAATCCTTCCCTTGTTTATAGTATCATTTCTAACGAAATATGTGATTGTAGGGAGAATCCTCGCTTAAGTCTAAATTCTACGGCAAGTCATTTGACATCAATCTCCTGGGTACTTGGTTCCTTAAGCTACGCCCATGCACTGGAGGAGAAGAATTGTATACTTGGAAGAAGGTCACCTCTTCTGTGATTGGTATCATCACAGGAAACCCCACCGTGGACAATTATGGTTTGATGGAAATTAAGAACTGGACTACTGGCGAGGTCTGCTATCTGGACTTCAAGCCTCGTGGATGGAAAGCATCATCTGCCTACCAAGTCACCGGTAAAGTTGTTGACCGTGACGGCTCCCCGAAGTGGAGCATTGGTGGTCGATGGAACGACAAGATCTATGCTCGTCACACTCCAGGATTCGAGGCTCCTGTTTCTGGTCAAGATCCTGAATCTGCCAAGACATTGTTGGTTTGGCAGGCTCATGAACGTCCCAAGGGTATTCCATTCAACCTTACGCCGTTTGTTCTCACTCTTAATGCCATTCCCGACAACCTGCGCTCTTGGCTACCCCCTACCGATACCCGACTACGTCCCGATCAGCGTGCTATGGAGGATGGAGAGTATGACTTTGCAGCAAATGAGAAACACCGTGTGGAAGAGAAGCAGCGTGCGAAGAGGCGAGAGCGGGAAACTACTGGCGAAACTTATTCCCCACAGTGGTTTGGTCGAGCTAGATGTCCTATCACTGGTGAAGAATATTGGGCACATAACGGAAAATACTGGGTTAGTCGGGATGCTCAGGATTGGAGCCTGTCTGAGGATATCTTCTAATCATGAGGGATCTTGCATACACTTGCTTTACTCTCTAAGCTTACCCATACCTTCAGAAGTGGAAAGTTTGTCTTTGTTTTCAGTTATTCTTTTCATTCGCAACTGTAATTTTGTTATGTATAAGACCCTCTTTTGCATTGATCATGAATCTACAATTGAACACCGACTGCATCAAGCACTGCTACTACTATTAATTTATATCAATAACCAGTTCTTTATCCATATTAATTAGTTCTACCTAAGATAATCCTGGAACATGTTCAGATGTATACTTCCAACTCCCCCGAAGTCACGTGCACTGGCATCTTCGGGAAAAACGATGAGTTCCGCCGTCAGTCCACCTGCTTTCGTGACAGCTTTCTTCCCCACACTCACAATGGCTGGTGGTTACACTTGTGCCCAATGCCTCCAGGTGATTCGCCAGGGAGTCAGAGCACCTAGTGCTTCAGCTCGCCTGCAGAGTCTTGCCCATTCGCGCCGCAGATTTGCAGTTACTCCAGCATGGACTCGCAGCTTTGGCTCCGGCCCTGAGCGTCCTAACCGTCCCTTGGGTACTGCTTTGCCGGAACAGGGTAAAACTAATGTCAAGCCTGCCCCGAAGGTCACCTCATGCTGTTCAGGCCCATCAGTCGCCAACCGAGCTGCCTCAACATCCCCAGGACCCTCCGCCGATACACGAGCTTACTTGAATCCTGATAATCTCTACCATTCATTCTCCAACTCGCCTTCTTCTGCTATCCGCAAGCGCGCCGACTTCATTAAGCAAAATGCCTTCTGTCCTCACCCAAGCCACCAACAGACCCGTGTCCCTGAATCCCCCCCATGATCCGGAAGCACGAAAGAGCACAGACGCGTCCAGTTTACCCCCAGCCCACTCGCACTTCGAATGTCCCGACTGTGGTGTGCCAATCTACTGCTCTGAGGGCCATTGGATGGATGACTTCGAGTCCCATCTTGAGGTCTGTGAGACTATTCGTCAGATCAACGAGGATGACCACGACTTGCACTCTGGTCGCTATTTCCATGAATTCAACTACCCCGGTGTTCAGGATGATAACTTTGTTATCAACATGACTAACTGGGATACCTACCTCTACACCCGCGAGTTTGATGCGATCAACTCCGACCGCTCTATGCGCCAGGTCACTCGTATGCTCACCTTCCCACAGACCATTGCTAGTGTTCTGCATGAGTTGAGCCCGTACAATGTGCGAGGCAAGAACCGCATGACTGCTGAGGGATTGAAGAGTTTCAGCGGTATGTTTCAACTCCAATGTAGTGCTTATCATATGTTACTAATCTTTTATATCGTTCAGCCCTTCGATACTCCCTGCACCCTCCTCGCACTGGTGAAGATGTCGACGTTAAAGGTCTCCGCTTGAAGGCACCCCCAGTCCGAATCTTCCTTCTTGGTGCTCGAGCCGAGTCTTCCTTGCCCCGTGAAGTGTGGCTGCAACTCCAATACATGTTCCCCCGGTCCCTCCTGCACCTCATCTTCATCGGACCCGAGAGCATGGCCAACCGTGACGGGGAGTACCCATTGCCCGAGCGCACACCCGAGAACCCATTCGGCGGTATTGTTGAGGATCGTCTGGGTGGCCAGATGAAGATCACTACTTACGTCGACTACTTCCACACCATGTACAAGGCAAACTACTTCCAGCCTTTCGACCCCTACCTGGACGTCTTTATGCTCTTCCATCCTGGACTGGGTCACCCGGCTAGCTCACACGAGTGGGAGGAGACTCTGCCGCAGTTGCTTGAGACTAAGGTTCCTATTCTTTGCACTGGGTACACACAGTGGGATATGGAGCGTGATATTAACTGGGTTAAGGAGAAGTGTGCTGGAGAGTTCGATGTTCTCCTTGAGCCTGGTGAGAATATCTTCCGTAGTTTGCGTTGGGATTTGAATGACCTGGACCCGCATGATGTTTCTTGTGGTAACTGGGGTTTGTGGGCATTCCGAGGCAAGAGGTATGTTTTATTCTTTTCCCCATTTACTTTATTGCTGGTTTTACTAACTGATTGATATAGATATGAGGCCACATTCAAATCTGAGGATTAGGTGGTTCTGATTTAGCAAAACGCTTCCTGTATGATACTATTTTCTTTATTTCTTATTCTGGCCCTCCATTGGCTCGACAAACTGTAGTAGATAGCCATGAACCTAGTCCTCTCCCTGACATTGCTTGTTTCTCCACTGCCAGTAGTCAGTATTGTTTGCTTGTAGACTACAATAATCCATGATGGATTAGTGTAGAATCTTGTCTATTATAAGATCATGCAATTCCAAGGGTCTTTTGGTACTTTGTGCGCACTACAGTGCTCCGAATTGTCTTTTGAATTGCGATCGACCAAGCTGGCCTCTTCCTGTTGATTCAATTTCTTTCATCTTTCATTTTTTCATTCACTGGTGGCTTTCAAGGTCCTCTTTCATGAGAGTAGATACGCGAGGTTGACCACTGTATCAAGGGGTTTCCCTATTGAGTAGTGTTTTCCACTTATGCAGGGACTTCAGAGCATATGATGCATGAAATCAATCTTCTCCACAGACACAGACATACGCACGTGCATTACGAATAGTTGAGCCTCGTGTTTCATCTGATAGAGCATATGCAGGTACCAACTACCCCTCAACCCTAGACCCACTACTTTAAAAAAGCCCCTCAAGATTTCTAGGGCTAGGGATCTAATGGACAAATCTACGTTCATCGAACAGATATGACGTCCAAGCCTTAGCATTGACGGTTCCCAATGCCGAATAAAAGATCGATTAACACTAGGATTAATCTAAAAAAATGGTACAAAGGCCAAAATGCAAGGACGTGACAAAAGAGGTCGATCGAAAGATGTATAGGGTATAGACATGAAAAAATTCGGAGAACACATCACAGCAGCCGTGGTCATCTCGACGGAGAATCGAAGAAAAAGTGTGTATCAAAGTAATATATATGGTTCAAGGTGGGCGACCAAGACAAGAAGAAGAATGTTATAAAAAAAAATAAAAGCCCAAAGGTTCCAAAAAGGAGATAGGAAATGAATTAAAGTCGGATACCATCCTAGATGGTTTGTGGGGTTTGACAGCCCGAGAGGCTGAGAGGCCTTCGCAGGAAGACAATTGGAGAGATCCTCAAGATCTGGACGCGTAGAAAACGCGCATTTTCACAGATGGGTTGGAAAAAGGAATCCCCTTAGACCATCAGGAGACCAACAGCAGCCAGAACACCGACCGCGATGGCACCAGGTACCTGGCGAGAGGCGGCACCGGTAACTGGGGAGGAAGCAGCCGCAGCAGCAGAGGTGGTGGCAGCAGGCTCGGAAGCGGCACTAGTCTCCTCAGAAGCGGGAGCGACAGTAGTAGCGGCCTTAATCAAAGGAGTAGAGCTGAGCTTAACAGAGAAGCTGGAAGAGCTGGGGATGTAGGGAGTGCTGGTGCGCTGAGGAGTAGGAGTGTAGGTGGGAGTAGGAGTCGGAGTCGAGATCACCAAGGGGGTTGAGGTCGAGGTGGGAGTAGGAGTAGGAGTAGGAGTCGAGCTGCTGGAGGTCCAGCCAGAAGGAACCAAGGTCACAGTACTGGTGAGAGTAGTAGTGCTGGTAGAGAAGGTGACAGCCTCAGCGGCCAGAGCGACCGGAGCGAGAAGAAGAACAAGAGCCTTGGCGAAGTACATTGTTGCGGTTTTTGTTTTGGGAGTTTAGAAAGTGCTAAAGATCCTGAAATGCGCAGAAGATGGAGAGCGAATTTGGTAAAAAGAGTGAATGGAGCTGAACAAAAAAGAACGAAGGACAGCCCGTGTCTGGATCAAAAAGAATGGCACTGGAAGATTTCAGTGAGGAAGGGAAAGAGAGAAGGACTCAGATATATAAGGGGGCGAAAAGTGGGAAATGAAGCCCAATCTCAGGAGATCCCGCGCTTTCCTTTTTCGAGTTTAGCGGAAGACGTAACCGCCCCGACGGGCGGAATGTGAATTCTCCACCGGGTCAGGTACGGATTACATATACGGAGTATACGATATTTACTTATAGTAGATTATAATAAATAGTAGAGACAGAAGCAAAAGTTCATCCCGGGGTATCAGATATAAAACATAATAAACAGCCACCCTGGTTCATAGCTATGTACAAAGCAAGTTTTTTCTCGTCATCATCATTAAGCAATACAAGTGCATGATAACAATGCGTATCAGGGCAGAGTACAAATGAGGAATCCACTTATACTCTGCCCCCAATTCCCAATTCCCAATTCCACCTAGGCGCACTTCATGGCTATTTGTAGCTCATTAGAAACCCCATACCAGTGCAAAGACCAGAGCGATAGTCACCCAGTATCCACTTGATTGCAGCATACTTGCCATAGCCCCAGAAGCGGCTGAGCTGTCCGCAGCGGTAGTTCCATTCGCCAGTGTGCCGTTGACATAGATCTTCTTGGTGCCGTTGACAGTGGCCACACTTACCACGCTGGTATTGCGAGGCTGAGTACTATTAAAAAGCGATTCGAAGTAAGTACTGTTTGTGTTATCATCACAACCACACTCTTGATACTCTTCACACAGGCACGCCACTGGCAATGAGCTGTTGCTATTGGTGTTGTCATTGTGGTAGTTGTAGTTGTTGTTGTAATCATAGACGTAGACTGGATGGTACCAGAGGCCGGGAAAGAAGGCCAAAGCAGCCACTGGAAGAAGAAATGGAGTGATTCCCAATGGTGAAATTGCGCCGGATCGATAAGGAGTACTTGCGCCTCCAGCATAATATCTGTTTTTGCCGTAAGCTTTTCCGATATATTTGCGTAAACTTGAACTCGATCCATATTTGCTGCGAGTGGGGCCATATGTAGAACCATATGTAGTGCCATAGGAAGTATCGTACCTGCCGCCGCCATATGATGTAGACACACCGGACCCTTTGCTGGTCGTTCCACCGATATTGCTGGATGAACTAGTTTTTCCACTGCCACTTCCACTGCTGCTGCCACTGCTACTTCCACTGCGACTGGATCCACTGCTGCTGCTGCTACTGCTGCTACTTCCACCACGGCCTCCACCTCCGCCGCGACGCTTCTCTAGCCTATCCGGCTCATAATCCCCAGGAACGCCGAATAGTTCACCCACATCCGTCTGGAAGTTGGTGGTTGGTAGGGATGTAACCGCTGTGCAGCAAAGAAGTAATAAAGCTGTCGCCCAGGTCACCTTCATCTTGGCACGGGAAACCGATGAGCGGAGATTCACGAAAAAGAGAAACCAAAAAGACCAGAATAGAAAGATGGGGTTGAAGGATGAGGGGTGCAGGGGAAGGGGCCAAGAGATTTATTAGGAAGAAATAGGGTGGTCCCAGCGGGCCAGCGCTTTCAGGGCCCCGGTCCCCCTTTGAGGCTTAATGTGGAGCGGCGCCCGATCCGAGTACGAGAAACAAACGTCAAGTTAAACACCGCCACGATTTTGGGCTTTCAATGTGTCACGGAGCGGTCTGAAGTGTCTCAATTTCTATGGATTATAAAAGCCGTTTTATTCCTCGAAAGTGTGGTACATATTGTGTGATACTGTGTGGTGCTTCGAGGTCAACAGCCTTGCTTATGCGCCACGAGGCGCAGCTGAATGACAGCTGCAAGGTCGATTTAAGCGATCTCATCCCTGCGCCTTAAGACTAAACCTGAAACAGCAGAAACTGCCTGGAGAATGCAAGGTTATTTTTCTTTCAAAGCTTGGAAATTATCGTCATAGGTACGAAGTTCTTTCCAGTTAGTGATGATCTTCAGACTGTTCCATGGAACCGCGTCTTTCTCGGCTATACAACCTTTGACCTTGAATTAGTAAATAAAGACTAGGATATACCTGGGCACCTGGGCAACTTTCTTTCAGTCTTTGACTACTCACTTCTGTGTACTCCATAGCTTGAGAATCATCCTAGAATGTGGTATGAATGCATAATTTAAGATGAAACAGTGGGATCCCTGTTATGCATTTATCCGGTAATTCAGCCTCATTATGGAGTAATTTACCGCCACGTTCTTGTGCTCCATACTTGATTGTTAGGTAGTTTCATATCTGTAGAGTAAATGAGGTCAATTTATATCATTCATTCTAATTTCAGTGGTAATCATCATTCAAAAATCAATGGATTCAAAATCGAGTGCTCGACATAACAAACTTTCAATAGTGCCGAGATCAGCACTTAGGCACGATAAGGATCAGTCAACTGGTCATTAAGGACCTTGAGGGGATCTACACCTCTTCCCTCTTCATCCTTCTCCCCTCCACCCTTTTTACATTTCTCTATGGGGCGTCCCAGGGGTCTGTCTAGTGTCTCTACGGTCTCCTCAGTTCCTGATCAGGATCAGGTATCACACTTTTAACCCCCTCCCTATTTACCCCTTGGACTATCGGCTAATGATTTTTAGGAACTGGGGAGCATGTATGATTACCTTGCTAAGGTAATCCTACTGGGACCCAGTGGCGCGGGGAAGTAAGTTCTCAAGGAATGTGAATGGGGTTCAACCCCCGTAGATTCCGAATTCGCTGACCATCGGCGTCCCGATCCTAGATCCTGCGTCCTACACCGATTCGTTAAGAATGAATGTGCGAAACCCCCTCCGTCTCTCCTCCGCAACCACGACTAACCTGGGATTCTTCAAAATACAATAGGGCGAGTCTTGTCATCACAAACCATCGGAGTAGAATTCTCATCGCGCATCGTCAAGCTGGGCACCGGTTCAAGCAGGAAACGCATAAAGCTACAGCTGTGGGATACAGCAGGGACAGAACGTTTTCGATCAGTCTCTCGGTCATACTATCGCGGCGCAGCCGGCGCTATTCTGATCTATGATGTAGCCTCCTATGCCTCCTTCGCTGCCCTACCAACCTTCCTCATGGATGCGCGCGCGCTAGCCTCCCCGAACCTGACAGTCCTGCTAGCTGGGAACAAAGCCGACTTGACCGATGCCGCGACCTCCGACATACATGACGACGCCTCGCGACCTCCACCTACACCGTCCAGTACCTCCAGCAAACAGTCCTACCCGTTCGATGCGAATAGCTCGATGCGCTCTACCAATTACTTTGGCCCAGGGACTCGTTTGACTGCGACATTCGGCGAAGGTCGGGAGGTCAGCCGGGAGGACACGGTTCGCTGGGCCGCGCAATCCAATATCCCCGTGGCAGTCGAGGTCTCTGCGCTGACTGGCGACGGTGTGGAGGAGGTCTTTCAGCGGCTTGCTCGGATCATTTTGACCAAGATTGAATTGGGCGAAATCGACCCTGACGATCCTCAGAGTGGGATTCAATATGGAGATGGTGGCATGTATGGCCATGGCAACAGCGAAGCCTCGAGTATTCGAAGCAAAGCTACGTTGGATGACAATGCCTTACCACTTCACATGAACTCTCGTCGGCGTACCAATAGGCCTGGCTCTGCTGGCTGGAAGAACGGCATGAGAGAATGGGAAGACGTGTTTCGGTTGAACGGTTCTCAGCCACGGCGAAACCAGGGATGCTGTTAATCTTTTCGCATCCCTGACATCTTCTCTCGCTGCATTGGTTTTCTTTTTCGCCCGTACTTTGTTGGCCTGTCTTTCGTTGAATCCTTGCACGATACCCCATCTTTTGACCTTCCTTTCACCCAAGTACATTGTTTTATCTTTTTGCGTTACTGCACAAATATTTTAATCGATGGCATTTACAAGAGGATATTGTATTCCTGCCAGCTTCCCCTTGACTTGCGATGCAATTCAATATGATTCTCTTTTTACATTTTCCCTTTTGCAGGATTAAAGGACAAAGCTAATGATAGTGTTGGCACCAACTTGAGTTTTTCATTTTCATTTTTTTTGAATCTCATGGATTTCAGAGCGTCACGTCATATCTATTACTTTGAACCAGGAATTACACATTACACGTCGATTCCTGCAATCAAAGTCTTGATTCCCTTTCCAGCCTTGACCTCCTTGAAAGCCTGCTCTGCCTCCTCGAACTTAACCGTACCTGTGATCAACTTCTTCACATCGATCTTGCCCGATGCGACCAAGCTGACTGCCAGCTTGTAGTCACCGCTGCCATAACGGAAGCTACCCTTGAGGGTCAACTCCTTAGCACAGGCGGCCATAATGGGGAACTGAATCTCGCTACGACCCATACCACCCTGTACATAGCTACCACCGTTACGGAGAACGTGAATACCAGTGTGCACAGATGCCTCAGCTCCCGAAGCATCAATAGCAACATCAGCACCACCACCCAAGTTATTCTCCTTGATCAAGCGCTCAGCGTTCTCTTGGTGTGGCACCTTGGATGGCATGAAGGTAGAGGTAGTAGCGTATTCCTTTGCAAAGTCCAGACGAGGCTGCTGGATATCCACCGCGATAACCTTTGAAGCACCGAAAGCAGTAGCCACAGCACAGCACAGCAGACCAACGGGACCCGCACCAAAGACAACAACAGATTGACCAGGGCTCACTTGAGCCTGTCGCACAATATGAACAGCAACACTCAATGGCTCCATCAGAGCACCCTCCTGCAGAGAGAGGTTCTCAGGAAGCTTGTAGCAGAAATCCTCGGGGAGGACATAGTACTTGGCCAGAGTTCCATCATATGGTGGGGTTGCAGCGAACGTCATGTTCTCACACAGGTTGTATTTTCCACCCTTGCAGGGCTCGCAACGACGACACGCGATACCAGGCTCCATGGCGACACGATCGCCCACTTTCAGTGACTTGACAGCTGATCCGACCTTGCTGATCACACCGGCGGACTCGTGGCCCAGGACCATTGGGTCCTTGACGACGAATTGGCCAATGGCTCCGTGCTCCCAGTAGTGAACCTATTTCCTCGATGATCAGCTTTCAGGTCTTTCTCTGGGTTGGATTGATTCTCGGTGTGACCTACATCACTGCCACAAATACCGGTGTATTTTACATTGATCAGGACATCGTGGGGGTTCTTGAGTTCAGGGATGGGTCGATCTTCGAATGTGACCTGGTGAATGCCCTGCAGGACAAAAGAAAGGTTCTATCCAGATCAATTAGCCAGGTCCATTCTCTGTTTCCTTTCTTTACCCGGTTCAGGGTAACTTGGAGCGGTGTGTTTGGGCTGATGATAAGGGAGGGGCAGAAGAAGTATACCTGGGCAGTGGCGGAAGCCATAATGTGTATGGTGAGAGGTGAGAGGTGATGGATATGAGAGAGAGAGAGAGAGAGATGAAGAGAAGATGATTGAGATATTTTCAGGAGATTGAAATAAATGAAGATTCTTTTTGATTCTGTTTCACGGTAAAATAGAAAGTTGTTGCTCCCCGCAAGCTCATCCGGTGACCTGGAGTGGATCCTAGTTGGATTTAACCGCGGGGGAATTTTACCCGATTTTGCCTATGTGACGTGTAGCTGCCCGCGGGTGGAGTAAGGCATAGCCATCTGAGTTCACTTAGATCCGGTGGATTTATACAGGTCCACCCGGGCAGTTTCTTAAGCACTTGAGAAGAACATTTATCTCATATGAATTTACGTATTTAGTCCAATGTATTAGTAACTATCTTTAATCATGAGTATCAAAACCTTGGAAACTTCCAAGGTTCTAAGGTTAACAATCAGGCACATTCATCTCAAGATGGATCAGATACTAATAGATATATATCCACATATATGAATGGATGCAGGCACACTTGGGCACTGCCCAGCCCTGGAGGTGGCACTCTCGAGGTCTACACGCACAAACTTGAACGTAACTTCCAAGGAATATAGGTATCACCTACTGGTCATGAATAAATGTGCAAATAACCTTAAAACATTGAAAGTAGCTACATCCATGCCACTGGCAGTGGATACAACCTTGGAAGAACAATACTTCTTCAAATGTTCGGGCTTTATTATGTACCCTCTTATCTACACTACATGTGACTCGGACTTCCACACTATAAAGCTCGAGTACTCTTAAGAGTCACATAAGTATCGTCCTCCTGGGTCTATCAACTTATGCAGGTGTGTATAGAAGAATTTTTATGGAGATGGTTTGAGCATTACCTTCGAAGGAATGCAAAAAATCCTACTAGAAGATCACGTCTTCCAAGGTTGCATATTTAGAAAAGAAAAAAGCCATGGTCCCAGGGTAACCCTCGACTTTGGCGTTATTAGCACCACACTCTAACCAACTGAGTTATGGAACCTTGAGCTATATGAAGCAAAAAAGAACTGGAAGAGTACCGGGTTTGATGTGATGCAGCTGAGATGACCTCGATGTGAGGAATAGCACTTGAGCCTTCAGATTTGGAATCTGACGCGCTAGCCAATTGCGCTACGAAGCCAGTTCATGTCTGGATTTCGAATCTCTGCCCTTTTTCCCCCAAAGTAATCGATGCGAATTAAAAATGAGAGCCCATAGCCAAAATCGGCAATAATTCCTATGGTTTTAGTTTGGCTTCTGAATGTAACAGCGAAAGTGCTAGACTAGGATGGCACCTAAATGAATCCAAAGGAAAGAACCTTGGAAAATCCTACTTTATATACCGAGGATTCTATTGATCTCACAATGATCAGCATGATACCTAGATACTTGATCATACCCGTGGATAAGTATAAGTATCAGTCTATATTGCTTATAGGGTCTCCGCCTTCTTCTTTATCTCTGCCTTTCCTGACTCGTAGTTTGATCTATTTCACTTCGCTCCCGAGGTCATCCTTCAGATAAAGCCATGCTCTGACATTCACCCCTTCAAAATTCCAATACTTGAACATATGGGACACCCAAAATAAGATGACAGACCGAGTCCCCTGCAAAAGACCTCGAATCCCTCAGGAATCACGACCGAACCTTCGCTCTGAGCTTCCAGTATCTCAGACTACGGACAATCCAACCACCAATGAGAAAACCAACAGTTTAGCCTTTAGAGCCTTGGAGATAATTTGCGAAAATAAAGACATCTTCCCTGAATTGAAGCTGAATACCAACCTCGAGGTACGTACCGAGTGGATACACGACCTTTACTACTTCTTCAGTTCGTTCCCCGATGATTATCCACCTAAATCTTGGGCTCTAATTGCACTATGGCGATTAAATCCTAAATTTCGTATCCACTGGGTTTATCATCTGGAGATGCTAGATGAAATCAAAAGGAAAAAAGGTTCGACATGACTGGGAATTTTTCTAGATATGGATCTTGACATTCTGCACAACTTACTCACCCTATGATCCTCCCGATCTCATAAGACGTAGGGTGATTAAGGAGTAATCCTCGTACCCATCTTGCTGATCATACTTGTTCCATGATGAGATCAATAGGAGTGTCCTGAGATCAGATCCTTGGGATCTGCTTTCCTGCAGATTTCCTTTCCTGCAAGCAAGCTATCCGTCTCGGGAACCTTTCAAGGATGATTCAGGGTGGATTCGGTTCTCAAAGCCCTCATCCGGCCTGCAGGCTTTGAGACGGCTCACGTGTTTCATAATTTTTTCACTTTTTTTATATCACTTTTTTTTTTTTTGCTGGACATGTGAGAGGACCGCGGGTTTTTACCTTGAATGTTCGCCCTGGAGAAATTTTACGTTGGAAGTATCAACTTTTAGTAATATTCAAATGTTTAATCTTCTTTGTATACTCGTTCCTGCTTCTACTGGTATATTTCAACCTTAGACGTCTGGAGTTTAAAGATAGGTACCTGGATGGTCGCATTTTGGAAGCTGCCCAGGTGCCCTATAGTCAGTAGATATGTAAATGTTAATATAGATCGATACGTAGGTACCTCTAGGTATTATTTTAAATATAGCCCTGCCCAGGTGGAGGTATTTATCTAGATTCCTCTTATCGGAGTAACCCCCGGGCCGTCCAGAAGACTGATTTGTGATCTCAAGAAGACTCGGACCAGAGCAGACTCCATTGATGGACCCCAGTGGTGGGTGAATGGACCCCTAGGCGACAAAGGGACGAAGGGACAAAGGGGGTAAGTGGCCCCCGGGGCGAAACGCTTAAACGCTAAAACATTTGAAGTCTCTGGGTATCCACTATGCGGTGCCCGTAAGCCCTGGAGGCCCGTGAGGCGCATGGACCCTTAAATACTCTTGACAAAGCCAAGCTTTGTCCCGAGGTCCTAAGAAGCTTGTTTTGTGAGCCCTGCATCTTCAACTTGGAAGTATTCAAGTATCTTTTAATATATGGCACCAGAGTATTTAGCTTATAATATATCGTCAAAGGCATGTTGAGTAGTAACTTGAATTCAAGAAATAAATAAAATATTCACGTTAGTTATTTGTGAAAACTTCAAATGTTGGCCCCCAATTTCGCGGAATCTCAACTTCCTTATCAGTCTCTTTACCCACTATCAATTGATGAAACCATTCACTTAATAACATTTTGTTGATCATTTGTAAATTACTTTCTGATCAGCACAAGTAGTATCATAAATTTCATAGTCCCACCCGAAGTACGGATTCATTTGTTATACTTATTGCCCCAACAATATTTAGCCTCTTTTTTCTCTCTCCTTACCTTTTCTTTCTTAACATAACCTGTTGGGAACCAGGCGTCTTGTTTAGGGATAGCGAATAGTACGGGGAACTCCCGTCCTCACTACATGACATCTGGACCTAGCCTAAATTGGTCATGGAGCTCGGAGTCTTTTCAAGAACCCTGCCACCTGGGGCACCTGGTGATCTAATTACGTAAATTCTCTTGAGAAGGATGACGGCTTCCTTGCCTGCGTTCTTCGGATATCACCGAAAGGATTGATCATGTAATTCAAATTATCATTGAGTTGTATTCTTGGGATCCACTCCCGGGGCCTAATACTGCCAGTGGGAAGAAGTGCGAGCTGCCGGAGAAGATTAACAAGAAGACAGCCGACGAGGCTGCCCAATTGAAGGCGCAGAATGCTGTTTCATAGCTGAGCGATTTCCCGGATTAGCCATCAGCCGGAGAAAATGGGCACCTGGGGGCGACCAAGCACTAACTCATTACGAGAGGTCGTGTATCGGGTGTGATTGCCAGGTGGTTTATGATTGCTTGAACGTCAGCGCACTGGACGATTACTTCTATGACACCCGTGGACTGCTCTTTTAAGGACAAATATTGGACTTTAAGAGTATCATGAGGGCCTGCGTGATGACCTTTCGTAAAACTCTCCAATCTAGGTACAGGCTAGATCTCGCCATGTTAATCGATCTAATCAATCTACCTTGGCCTAGGTCATTCATAGGGCCCCGGGGGCGAAACCTCGGAATATTTATGGCCCCGGGAGGCTGAGACATTCCTCTAAATGGACTAGTCAACTCGAATCATCTAGTAATTCATGCATTCACGAGCTCTCGCTAGAAGACAAGTCGGTCGTCCTCCAGATGTCGAAATATAAATTGAGCTATATCCAACATTTGAACTTACTTCATTATCACCGTTCATATCACCTTCTCAAAGTTTCTCAAATCTTCGCGACCTTTCACAATCCTTCGGAATCTTCGCAATGATGTTCATTGTGAGTTCAATCCTGATGTGCTTTTAAACCTCTCATTAATATTCGCAATCTCTAGCAAAACTACCTAGCCGGCCTTCTTGCCCTTGCCTTGGCCTCGACTGCCATGCCGGCCGACGCCTCTACGAACCTTGAAGTGCGCGAGGCCTGCTTTGGCGGCTCATACTCAACTTGTGTCGAGACATACTTTGATGATTTCTGCCTCGTGCAATGCGCAAGTGCTAACCTTATTGGCGGGGAGGACTGCCGCCAAGAGTGCACCACGTCCGGTGGCACCTACTGCGAGAACGAGTGCACATAGACGCTATAACTGTGGCAAGTCTTCGCTTTAAGGGGTGTTTTCAGAAGTGATTAGGTACTATGACTTCTAAGTGCTTGGATCGCCGATGTATGGGGAAGAGAGAGTGTTGAATTTACCCCGGTTTTATGTTTACTCTAGAGCCAGAGCTTTTAAGCCCGCTGTTAAACTTGATTAGGACTCCTAATTGATTACTTGTTTTACTGTCTTTACTATCTACCACGATCATATCTTAATGAATGTGATCTTCTTGCCTTGATCTACCAATATTAAATTATGACCGAGGACGTAGATATGCGGAACAGACAAAAGAAGTGCACTAGCTGGAGGTGAATAAGCAAAAGTTATCAAATCAAATAGACTCTGCTCTATGCACACCTAAGAAGTTGGGATAGCTTACTCTTTTTTCATTAGTTTAAAAGAAGGTTTAGTCGTAGCCCTGGAGGGTCAGTGGTCAAATTTCATACCCTTAGAATTTCACACATTTTGTTGAACATTTGAACCTTGGATGTGAATGAAAGGTTTGAAGTAAAATTATGCACTAAAGTGATTAGATAACTCGATCTTATAATTTATAAGGAATATTCGATGAACCATCTTGGAACTTGAAGGTCCCCTGGTTATCCTTAGTTTATATCTTGCCATTGAAATATTGCTTTTCTACAGACATGTTTTGATTATCATGGTTGTGAATTAATATTAATTGATCATCCAATATTGGAGCTCTTGGAGTCTTGGTTGGAGTATCAGCATATGAGTGTATAGATAGCAAGCGATTTATCAGTAATACCCTTCTCCAAGTTTCTCTGTGATAACCTCCAGGGCTCTGAATTTGACATTTTCTCTTCCATACCGCCCGCTATATAGTTTGAAATATCATTAAAATAGTGATTTTTCTACGGTAGTTCAGAAAGTGCGGCCACCTGAACTTTCTAATTTCGAAGACGGTATTTCAACATCAATTGATATTCCAAGGTTCTTCTATTTGAAAAATAATGTTCTCCTTTTTTACCTTATGTGTTTTATATTACGTTCTAATATCTTTTAGATAGGGGGAAATCCAGAACCTAGGTAGGTCCACCTGGCACGGGTGTCCCAAGATTGACGCCAACTTGAATCTTAGACCTCAGAAATGCTTGGATTTGTGGCAGATTTCATGATACTCTACACTGTCAGTATCTGCTTATGTAGTAGTTAATATCAGTGATTAGTCCCATAGAGTGTCCCGTCCAAGGTTCTAACTTTCCACGTATATCATGATGTCACGGTTTGAATACTTCTATCAATTGATTGTCCTGCAATGGCATATGTATTAATGAAACCGATCGTGATTGATTAATACTAAATAGTAAAGCCATAACGCCCCTTCAAGACTCTTAGTATTAGATTATTAGATACAGTGAAGATCCCGAGGTCATTGACTTGATAGTCTGGGCCCGTGCGTGCCAAGCCATGCGGAGAATCGCGTAATTCCGCATGTTCACATCGCAATTCCATGGGAGGAAGATAACAGTTTGCAAGAGCTATCTTTTGCTCTTTCAACCATCTTGAACAATGTTGCGTCAGACCTCGATTGCCCTTCGAGGGGCATTACGCAGCTCACCAGCTCGTCCCCTCCAACAGAGATTCTTCGGCGCATCGGCCCGATACTACGCAAATGAGAAGGCGTCCTTCAAAAGCCAGCTCTACGAGAGTACCCAACAACGTCTGCAGCGTGAGCGAGCCGAGCAGGAACGCTTCGCTCAGTTCCAAACACAATCATCCGGAGGCCGATATGCCGCTCTAGTCTTCGGTAAGTCCTAATAATCCCGTCTGCCGAACGGACCGTCGCTAATTCTATTCCGATAGCTTTGGTCTTCTTTTCCACCGGAGCATACTACCTCGGATCCCTCAAGCCTGCTGCCCTCCCAACCACATCTACTAGTCAGCTGTCCGAGCTCGACTCTCCCAAGCACAATTTCTCTCCATCCAACCTCCAGGCCGCCTGGTCCGACTTCGTCGAGATTCTAGGTAAAGACAATGTCTCTACCACCCCAGGTGACCTCGAGTCCCACGCCGGATCGGACTGGTCTTCCTACTCTCGGAGGGAAGACGAGAAGCCTTTCCTGATTCTTTACCCGGAAACCACCGAGGAGGTATCCCGTATCATGAAGGTCTGCCACCAGCGCGTGATTCCGGTGACTCCGTACTCAGGTGGTACCAGTCTCGAGGGTCACTTTGCCCCAACGCGGGGCGGAGTATGCATTGACTTCCGCCGGATGGACCGTATCATCAAGCTCAACAAGCACGACCTTGATGTAGTTGTTCAGCCTGCATTGGGCTGGGAAGAGCTTAACGAAGAGTTGACAAAGGATGGTCTCTTCTTCCCACCGGACCCAGGCCCTGGAGCCATGATCGGCGGTATGGTTGGCACAGGCTGTTCCGGAACAAACGCTTACCGTTATGGAACCATGCGCGAATGGGTCCTCTCCTTAACAGTTGTCCTGGCTGACGGAACTGTCATCAAGACCCGACAGCGCCCGCGCAAGTCCAGTGCTGGATATGACCTCACCAGGCTTTTCATTGGTAGCGAGGGTACCCTTGGTCTTGTCACCGAAGCAACATTGAAGCTCACTGTTCGTCCCAAGAGTGAGAGTGTGGCCGTGGCTAGCTTCCCTAGCATTCAGAATGCCGCGGAATGTGTCACCAAGGTTGTCGAGGAGGGTATCCCTGTTGCGGGTGTGGAGATTCTGGACGATGTACAGATGAAGTGCATTAATGCTAGCCAGAGCACCAGTCGCCAGTGGAAGGAGTCGCCTACTATCTTCTTCAAGTTTACCGGAACCCCGGCTGCTGTGAAGGAACAGATTAGTATGGTCCAGAAGATCGCTTCCAATGCCTCTGGAAAATCATTTGAGTTTGCTCGCGGTCAAGAGGAGATTAAGGAGCTGTGGAGCGCCCGCAAACAGGCCTTGTGGAGTGTTATGGCTATGCGCAGAGGACCTGAGGATCGTGTCTGGACAACTGATGTGGCCGTGCCAATGAGCCGACTACCAGAGATTATTGATATCACCAAGGATGATATGGTCAAGAGTGGATTGTTGGCTGGTATCTGCGGTCATGTTGGCGATGGAAACTTCCACGGTAAGTAAACCTCAAAGAGATGGAGGTTCAGGGGAGGAAACATAAGCTAAATGCAAACTAGCCATCATTCTTTTCAACGAAAGCGAGAAGAAGGCCGCCGAGGGTGTGATCCATCGCATGGTCAAGCGGGCTGTGGAGATGGAGGGTACTGTGACAGGAGAACATGGCGTTGGTCTTGTCAAGCGAGACTACCTTGCCCATGAACTGGGTGAAACTACTGTAGATGCCATGCGTCGGGTAAGTCTTAATGATTCTTATGATCAACATTCTCGATTTTACAATTTGTGACTAATACACATTTACAGTTGAAATTGGCCTTTGATCCCCTCCGTTTATTGAACTGCGACAAAGTTGTCCGAACCGAGATCCCAGCTCCTGGCGAAGTCAAGGAGTGGTAAAAAGATTACTCTTTGAGCTTTTTTGTAAGCCTAAGATTTAATCCGAATCCGACCCCGAATGATCATCATCATCATGGTGGTGATGGTGATGATGATGGCGATGGTGTCGGTGGTGTGGACGGGACTCTTCATCACCATCACCACTTCGCGATCCATCCTCATCATCTCGCCGCTCGTAACGCCCCTCCGCATACTCAACATTTTCCTCATCAAAATCTTGCCTGAAGCCGTTCCCAGGAGTTGGGTAACTGGGTCTGGAAAATTGATCGAAATCGCCTGGTGGAGGCGGAGGGAAACCGGGTGGAAATTCCCTAAATAAAGTTGATCAGCCATCAATATCCTGTTCATATCACTCATCTAATCAAACTTACTGTCCAAATCCTTCGTGTCCGTAGCTGCTTTGTTCAATGGGTGGGAAGGCAGGTGGTGGAGGACCATAATCATAGCGAGATTGCGTCTCCACGTATTCCGTCTCAGTGCTTTCATAGTACTCCCGTCGCTCTTCGTGGTAGTAACTTCCATTTTCCTCTTGTCGGTAACTCTGGTACTCCTCACGATGATAACTCTCCACGGCAGGGGGTTCCGGGTTGTATTCTGGTTGGGAATAGTCATCTTGCGAAGGCTGATCATCCTCGTGCGAATGATGGTGCTTGTGTCGATGTCTATGCGAATGTTCTCTTCCAGAATCGCTGGCATCATCCTCATCTTGAGAGCCTTCTCGACCACTGTCCTCATCCTTGTTCAAAGCCATAGAGCTCATGCCACCCACAATACCTCCAAGCAACCCTCCCAGGGCTCCGCCGCCCAATGCTTCCGAGGCGATATTCTGGATATCGAAATTCTCAGGCTGCGAGTCTCCACCGGAATTGTTCTTGATCTTGGGTAGGGCTAGGGGTTTTCCACAACCATGGCCACAATCCTCTACACCTTCTTTATGGTTCTTGCCCTCCAAGACACCATCCCGGCTCAACTGTTCGCGCAGATAATCACGCGCCTCATCGCTGTGCTCACTCCACCACTGTTCCACCGTGGAGAACATGATGTGACGAATTTCGTTCGCGCCGTCATCTCCGTATTCTCGTAGTGCGGGGTGGTGAAAGACACCGGAAATGATTCTAGTCAATACCCGGTCGATATCTGCATCCTCATCATCCCAGCATTGCATAAGCTGGGGCACTGTCCATTTGACAACATTAGAAGCAATCCGCCCAGCTGGCTCGTTGAGCACATTCGAGAAATGATCCTTTGAAAGCATTGAATGAGTAGGGTTGGAGGAGGAGTCATCGTTGAACACGATATGCTGTTGCTGCCGACTACTCTGAATGACCTCCGAGGAACCAGTCTCTAACTCCGATTTGACTTGCTGGATGATAGGCAGAACATACGGAGCGAGAACAGAAAAGACAAAGACGGTGATCTCATCCTGGACCTGCTCAATCAGGTCTGGGAGAACGGGGATCTTCTCAATTGCCTCGTTGATTGATTTCAGTAGGTGGTCGTGCCATTCCAAGACGGGATAGACCTGTTTCTGGACATCGTCAAGATAACGAGCCCATTCCTCTGGTTCCCGGGGAGAGATATTAGATGCGTTATGCTTCGCCTCGTCGGCTTTTGCCTTGAAATCATCCATCTGGCTTGATGAAGTATCACTACCACCGAATAACCCACTGGGTATCTTGCTCAGCAGTCCCTGTAGTATGCTCTCGGATGAGTCGTCATTCTCAGATTCGGCAATCACACCCTCCAACGACTGTATCTCAGATTGCTTGGCTTTGTCAGAGAACTCGCCGAGTACGGAGTGGAAGAAATCAACTCCACCAAAGGTTCCAGTCACGATGGGATAGACATAATCTCGCGCACCTGAGACTTCCAGCATTGTATTCCGGCCAACATGTGGGAAGACATCTCTCTCACCAAGCTCAATGAGACTCAGTTCGGTGTAGTTGGAGTGGGCGGCATAGTCTTCCAAGCAGTGTAAGCCCGTTCCAAGTAATCGAAGAGCCTCATAAAGGTCCTCTTCACGGCCAGAACGGGCATAGCGACGACCAAGCTGGATGGAATGACCGAGAACACGACGAATGAGGTTTGCGGATGTGTCAATTCCCATATCTTCAGAGGCAATGTAGCATTTCAGACCTGTACGTGGATCAATGGATAATTCACGTTCCTCGTCCACAGGTCCACGCAGACGATGGTCATAATTGCGCGCATCTTCGCCTTCCGCATATCCGAGGGGATTATCAATATGTTCCGTCGGTTGGTAACAGCCAAGTCGCTCCGTAGTGACCTCAAATTCGCCAGTACCGTAACTAGAAGACTAGGTCAACTGGATCCACATAGGGTTTGAAAAATGTATTTGTTGGCGAACCCACCCGAAAGTCATGAATCCTAGAACCCAAATCAGAATACGGATAGCTTCTGCGCTCACATATTTCACAGTCCCGACGTCAACAGCTTGACTGTAATCTCGTAGCCAGTTGCCAAAGTACACTCGCTTCACATCCAGCTTGCTGAATTTCCGTCCTCCGGCTACACGGGCCAAGAATAAAGTCAATAACGCATCTTCGATATCTCCATGTCGCCAGTTTTGTCCTTCAATCTTTGAGAGCGAGGCGATATTTCCAGCGCCAAAGGCATAAGCCTGACTGGAGATCGCAAGAATAACAAAGAAGATAAGACACATGTTCTGCGTCGGTGCATGCATGATGGAGTCGGAGTTGGGAGAAGCCTGAGGTGAAAGTAAGGGGGAAGAGATGGATCAGAGCTGATTTTCAGGCTTGGGTTCTCATCTTAACTAGATCATTCAAATATTGAAAAGTGGGAGGAAAAGTTCTGCCCAACGCGCCAGGTTGATGGCGGGGACAAATTGTGTACACGATTCTTGGCTGCAGCCCGTGTTGTATTTAGCTGGCTTGGCGCCAGTTGGGTCTAGTATAGTGGTACTTGATGACAGAATAAATATATTTGGCTTTAGATACTGGGCTACAGGTACTAAGAGTGATACCTAGGTAGTCCTGGTTGTATTAAGTCTACGTGTATACCTAAGGCCAACCTCGAATCTGGAGTATATACTACCTAGTTCAAGATACTACCAAGTTGGTGTATATTGATAGTTGCGTTTACTTATATTATACCTATGTGTGAAACTTCAATTTGAAATGTTAAAATTAACTGGATGTAGATAAATAAATACCCTGCTTCAGTTAACTGGTTTTATATTTGAGTCATTTCTTATATAGCCCTGATGTAGCCCTGGAGGTGAGGTAGGGTAGGATTTAGTCACGGGAAGAAATACTAGATCCAGATGTCGTGGCAAACTGGTGGCGTCTAAAGGTCAGACCGAATTAGAATTAAGAACATGTGCTTATGTATACTTATGCATTATGAATTAGTCCAATAATCCAGGTACTTAGGCACATACCACATGATGATGCGTACCCCTGTCAGTATCCATGGATGTAGATGTAGAATAGTTTGGGTATACCAGTTGACTTCCAGGTACCCAATATTGAAAGGGTAATATGTTTGGACTATGATCTTGAGTACTAGTATCCAGACTATCTACTACCTAGGAACTCACCTAGGTAGAGAGAAGAGGAGTTGATTCTACTAGTAAAATGGGTTGCATAGTGAATGGATAATGATTGGACGGGATACTAGGAGAACTCGGACTGACGTGTAGATCGACACTGCCAGATCTTAGTGATAAGATGAAGTATCTACTAGTATCATGTCCTTGTTTAGTAAGAAAAAATACAATAGATCCATGATCCATGATGTCTAGTAAATTATTCTATACTATTGCGTGCATGCCCAGGTGGTGAACTGGGTGGGTATAGGTGATAGGTACCAAGGTTAATGTGATAATGATGATATTCATTCTTATAGGATAGCACAATACATCTGCATGATGTCGAATCATAATTCTATAGATTAAATTAACGAATAATAAGTAATAACTCGCTTAGAATCAATAGGATCTACCCGACTAATCCGTACGAATTATTGCTTGGCCGCATCTTCAGCCCCGTGGCTTGGCGGGATTCCTTATTTAATGGGTTAAAAACTTGGCCAATGATCCCTATCCGCCTTGAATGTCCATCTGACTTGCATTTTGGCCACGCTAAAATTCTAAAATTCTAAAATTCAAGGAAAACTCCGATAGCACATCTGGACCCGCAAAAGACTGTAAAAGATTGGACTCGATTGACCCAAAGAACCCCGATTTTTTGTTCGATAGTTGCGCCGGCCCCGCATGCGGTAGTCCCCGGCTTCACCGCTCCGTCTTTCTCTTTCTCCTCTTTTTTCTTTTGACTCCAGACCTTTTCGACCCCGGCCCCCCTTTCAATCTTTTCACCCTCTACTTCGCCTTGATTTCCTGCTTCCCCAGTTACCAGGATTTCCCAGGCGGGGTTTACTGTGCTTATCGGGCATGCGCCTGCAGAATACGCGGCCCTCAGCTGTGTGATATCAACCTTGCGCCGCCCCCGCGCTTACACTCCCCACCCCATTGCCTGATGCTCGAGCCCAGACTCTCGTGCGCTGCATCTTAAAGTCTTTCTTTAGCCCCTCTTTCCCGCCTGATCCCAGGTTACCCTAGAGTTGGCCCCCCCTCCTCCCTCCACTTCAGGGCTGTGCTCTCACTCTCTCCCCTCGAAATCACTTGTGGCTCCCTCTCTCCTCGGTGATAATCATGCGCCACGCGACTCTTTCTTAAGGGCTCTTTTTCGCTAAGAGTTGGGAGAAGGGCCTATCGAAATGGCTCGCACCGACAGTCAATATGGCCGCGAGCCGAGGGTTCCGTCTGCTAAGGGTCGAATCTCTACTGATTCTATGAAATCGTGGTCTAAGAAAGACACCGGTTCTAAAACAAAGTTAACAAAGGACCGGTCATGGGTCGCAGAGGACCCCGGGCTGGTCCCGTCCCGTCCACTTGGAAACGATTTCCATGAACCAGTTCCCTTCCCCGAGTATTCCGATATACAAACACCGGGTTCCAAAGACCGCGACGCGGATTCAATCAGAAACCTCCCAAATATGACCCCAAGCGATCCATGGAGTCCAACACCCAATGAATCGTCCGATGCGCTTGATTATCGCTCCAAGAGCAAGCAGATGAAACCCAAAGTTCATATTAAACCAATGCTTCGCAAGATGTCTCGCGATGATGCGCCTACTGCCTCTATTGATCTCTCTCGCTCATCGACTGAACAGGAGGGGTTGGGGATTTACATGAACATGGAAAGAGACCGGCGCCGAAGCGAGTCCCTGACTGGAGCATCATACCGGCGAACATCGGGAGCTCATCATCGATCCATCAGTGGCGCTTCTCAGTTTTCAGCCGGAACAGGGTCGAGCGGAGGAAGATCGGGATCGCAATACGTTTATCCTATGCGCCCAACCCCCAAAGTATACACCCCCCCCACTGAGTGAATCCTACCACAACTCGGGGAACGAGAGCGATGAACTGGAAGACGATGGTCTAGAAAGTGATCCCAGAGCTTTGTCCACGGAAACCAACCGATATGTCCGAGCCTCATCCGGGCCAGTCCCACGAGCATCATTGCAAATCGAAGACGAATCATTCACTCGTCTCCCAGGGGCGTCGCAAACCAATATCTCTGGTCGTCCTTCCTTTGGCTACTCACGAGACAATGGGAGCACGTATGAACATAACTCGATTGGCCGGAATTCTCTTGACATTGTTTTTCGCTCTCGAACTCGCAACAGCACGGATCCAATCACCCGAGCAGCTACAGTCCAGGCTGCCCGACAGGCCTTTGAGGAGAAGGAGGCTGCCAAGACTCGCCGGATCGAGAAGCAGCAGCTGAAGGCTGAAGAACGCCAATCCCGTCGCCACCTGAAGCGTCAAGCATCGGAAGGGCCGGAGATACCCACGTTGCATTCCACTGAGGAGATTTCGGAAAAGCCAAAGCCTCCAGGTGCTAAGCCGGCAGCCTCAGGTCAGCAGAATCAATCGGCATCGTGGAAATCCCAATCTAAGAGTACCTGGGTACTCTTCATGACGTGGCTTCGAACCCGAGTGTTCAAGTTTCGTCGAAAGCTGCGCAAGATGACCTGATTTATTTTATTTTTGAACTCTATTCCTCTCACATATTCATTCATGTTGATAGCCCTCTCTCTGAGCGATCTTATTTCGAGTTTTTGGCTTTATCCCCTTCTTGTTTCTTTTTTTCTTCTTGTTTCTTTTTTTTTATCATGATGGAGCATTTCCATGTAGCTTCAAGGGCTCTACTTGCAATCTGGGGGTCAGGAGTAACAGGTGCTTTACAATTTTTTTTTAAGGGTGATTCCAATTATGTTCTTGAATTTCGAGATTTTATTTGCTGCATAACAACCTTGGAATACGAATACCGTCTTTTCAATAACTAAGTCAAACCTCGAAGTCAATGATCAGTAAAAGAACATATGGAGTAGCCCTATCATTATGCGAAGTCACACGTAACACGTGACTCGGAATTGCGCAAGTGGACTTGTGCCTCGCCACATCCTTTCTTCCCCAAACACTACGGCGTACAATAGCGACAACAAGCGCCTGATAAGAGCTCCAGTTGTTGATCACCTTATTATTCCCTCCCCTCCTCGAGGGGGCTCCCCCTCAATTATGGTGTACGATTGGGCAGGGAAGCGGGACATCTGCTTCCAGATGTACATCCAAGAGAAGAAGGCACTGGAGGAGATCATGGAATACATGAGGAACTACTATCAGTTTTCCCCAAGGTATAGATCCCGCAGCTATCAGGTCCAATATTCCATCTTTAATTCACAGAGCTAACCATGACTTGATTTACTAGTAAGCGCGCCTTTCAGACTCAATTCAAACGATGGGGATTCCCTTCGAAGCAAAACCCCGCTCATAAGAATGTTGAGCTTGTCGCCCGAGTGAAGCAACTATGGGAACACAACACGAATCAACGCGATATGCTTCGCATCCTGAACGACGAGGGCTTCGAGATTAAAGAACGAGAACTAATGCGCGTGCGCGCGAAAAACCGATGGTTACTTCGGGTCCCCAATGGGATGAAGTCCCAGCCGAGTCCGGTTTCACAAGAGACGCGGGCCGAGGACGAAGGGTTATTGGCTCTTCAACAAGAGGTCTACAAGCAAGACGTGATATTCGATCCCACAGAGCCCATGCCTACCGAATTGCCTGTAGACCCTGCAGAGGGTGATCCCTCTGAACCGGGTTTATCACCAGAGGTCATAGCGAAGCGCAAGGAAAGGCTGGATCGTCTCAAGTCGGAGAGTGAAGAGCGATGGGCATCCAGGAAACGTCGACGTCGTACACGTGGCTGGGCTGGACTTCCAGCAGACCCTCCAGGACCACCCCGGTTCCCGTCAGAGACTACGATCGATGAGAGTAAGCAATATCTCAATCTGGACAACACGATGTATCGTCAACTACGCGAACGCTTTCAGCAGATATGCGAAGAAGCTGGATTTATCAAGAAAACAATTGCAGGCCCGGAAAAATGGCAAGCGGCAAAGGACAAATTGATTCAAGAATCTACACATCTTCAACAGGTCTTTAATGCTGAACCTAACGAGCGCGATGCGAAAGTCCTCGCTTTAGATGTTGTCTGCACAGATGTCACGAAACGAATGAGAACGCTGGAGAAAAGAATGACCATCGCCGAGGCTAAGAATGCTTTAGGAATCAATCCAGAGGAAAGTCGACTGATTCGCAATGCTTTCTATGATACTCTCAAACTCGATCATTTCACAAGTAAACTGGAAGCAGGCGATGAACACTGGCAGGAGTTGAAGGAGAATTGGATTCGAGGAAATCCACTGCTACAGCAAATACTTGAGCCAGGACAAGCCGACCCGCATCATTCGGATAAGCTGAAAGCCCTGGAGGTTCTCTGCCGCGATGTGATGAAACGACTACGCGACGACCAAACAAAACGGGACCCTGCTCGCAAGCGATCTTCCACACGTACTGGCCCGTCTCAGTCCGAGCCGGGTGCTCCAGCTCCTAATATCCTGGGTAATGAGATTAGCAACGGAATAAGCACCCTTGCATCCCAGGCTCTCGCAAGTGCGCCAATCAGCGCTAGCGAAATCGGTGATATGCAAATCGATCCTTCGCTACTTCAAGCAGCCAATGAACCACCTCCACAATTCACAGGCAACCCTCAACACGAAGCAGCCAGTGCATTTGAATACATGGATCCGATGATTCACTCCGCATTACTCAACACTTATGTGAATTTCGAGATTCGGGCTCAGGGTGTTTTACCCGGTGGATCTGCGAAAAGCTGGAGTGATAAATTAACGACACGAACCATCGAGGAAATCCGTCAACTGACTGCTGGTCGGTATCCGTACTCAGTTATCAGTAAGATTGAGGGTGTGGATAAGGATGATCATGGTAATGAGGCCTCCTTCAAGTTTACCATTCAGGAGGATCATGAATTGGATGCCTATTTGACGCATCTACATGAACGGAAACCTTTGCTTGTGCTGACATTAGGTCAGATTTAGATCCAAAATTAGTTCGCATAGCATTTAGCATCAATGACAAATTATACTATTAGTATTTTTCGCAGATCCTGACCCAGAATGATCCTAGTATGGTATAGTCTTTGTTCTACAAGTCCTTCTGTAGCATACCTTCTATATACTAGTTTTACAAGTTAGAGCGGTATAGTTTTGGATAGACAGAAATGGTTTAGTATATCAACCAGGTTAAAAATAATCAAGAAAAACACCTGAGTTGGTCCTTGCAGTCAAAAAAGAAATAAAAAGAAATGAAGGGAGCAGGGATTGAACCAGGGACTTTTAGATTTCGCGATGTTTGTACCAAGTGAGGCATCAAAATGAGCAAGATGATGCCAGCCTCAACTTCCCAAAAATCATAACAAATCCAATAAAATAGATAAAAATATAAAAATGATATCAAAGGAAAGAGCAAAAAAGACAAAGGCTCTGCAGAAGTCTTTCACATAGCCCGCTGCATGCTTTCTCACGGTGGTGTTCCACTTAGGCAAGTCTCACGCTCGCTGATGCTACTTGACAACCCTCAGTCCCAGCATTCTAGTCTTATGGTATCATAGTGTCAAATCGCATCGGGACAGACACGATAGCCCGCTGAGCTACTACGATGCGGATGATTACCAGAACTCCTGATTTTACCCTATAACTGAGAAACCACATCAAGCCCAGAATTTGCAGGCACCCACACCCACCACCAAGTCACTTCTCCCACATGAAGACTTTAAATAACACCCGCCCATAATACTATTATTCTCCTACTGTACTTCTAATGTTATGTATACCGATTGGGTATATGAATATGTATATATGGCCTTGGACTATATTGGATATTAGATTAATGTCCCTAGAGTTGTATCAAGTTCAAATGTCCTACTGGTGAATGGTCGAAAACGGATGGCAATAGTAGTATGTAGATCAAATATTTTGGTCAATGTCGACGGAATAAAACATTTTGAACTCCTCTCCTATACATACAATGGTAGCAGGCGCAAATATTTGACATTTACTTGACATTGGAAAGGCATCGGCAACAGCGAACTTAGATGCAAAAGAATTTCATAAGACCCAGGTTTAGCTGCTTCCTAGCGTTTGGACAACATTTCTGAATAAAACACCCATAGAAGGCAAAGAGAATGAAGGAGTGTCACCAAAGACACTAGCCAATCCCTTGGTTTGAGCAGAGGAGTAATCACCCTCAATAGCCTGTACAGGAGCCCTCTCAGGTCCTTGGCTGAAGATACTAGCCAATCCTGAGGTAAGGTGGCTTGTCACTTCTGAAGATTGGACGTTCTTCTGGGAGGCCTTCTCCAAGCAGCCAAGTCGGAGGATACTGGCTGTGGAATCAATGATGATGTAGTCACCGGAGTAGACATCAGAGAGAAGGGTAAGAGGACAGCTGCCAAGAGTTTCTTGGAAGACCAACTCCATGGATGGCAGGTCGTAGATTCGGAAATGGTACTGAGCCTTGCGTCGCTTCTTTGCGTTTGTGCTATCGGCTCCGCGGCTGGCAATGGCCAGGGTTTGAGTTCTGGAGTTTACGGCAATGAGCGGAGCGGTTCCGGACTTGGTGTTGGTCTGGTCAATAGATGCAGGAAGCTGAGCAGGCTTGACGACATCATCGACGGTATCCCAAACTGTTACTGATCCCATGGATGCAACAATGAGGTTACGTCCCAGGAACTTGGCTGAGTGAGGAACACCGAGGAAGATACCAGTTCGTCGGTAGTGTACGGAGCAACTGTGAACATCGATCAGAAGAACGAGACCGTCGTTAGCGCCGGAGTCCGATGGCAGGCAAACGGCGAGTACTGAACCATCCTCGGAGAAGCTGATGCATGCCTGCTTGACAGGTACAGCTGTGTCACCAAGGAATCCAGTCAAGTCAACGGCGCTACGGCACTTCCATGTGTCCAGGTGTTGCTCGTTAGAGTCTGTCTTCAGACCACTGCGGTGTCGAGCGGTGGGGCACCAGAAACGAAGGAAGGCATCTGCGCCGAGGGTTGCAAATTCATGTGAGAGAGGACGGGCGGCTAGGCCGAGGACCGTTGAGTGGTGGTTGTCATTAAAGTGAGGTCCATCAATACGAGTAACCAGTTCCCAAATATTAGAGGATGCACTCCACTTCCAGAACTTGAGGAAGATCTCTGGTCGCAGTGAAGAGTCGTTCTGCTTTGAGCTAACTCCAGCCAGAACCTCCACGTCCTGAGAGCGTGGGTTCCAAGTATCAACAGTGGCCAACCATTTGCCGTTGTGAAGAATATCCATATTCCGAATATCAGGTGTGGTTATCGGTGAGCCTTCAGGACCAATGTTGATTGTGGTAGTGTTGGTTCGGGCCAGGGCTTGGCGAGAGATATGGGAGTTAGATCTGATATCGAAAGTCTGCAGTACGGCGGCGTTAGTGCGCTGAGAGCCTTGCTGAGAGGCAGGAACAGCAACGAGCAGGTGCTCAGGGTGTTGCGGGTGCAAAGCTGCAACGGGGCTGAGAGCCTTCCTTGAAGCGGACTCCTTGGCGTTTCCAGCATCGCAACCGAGTTGTAAACCGGTAATGGTGGCGGATGGCTGGAGCTCTCGTGCAGATAAGACAATGATGGAGTTATCAGCCAGCTGCACCAAGTAGGAAGTCCCTTGTGGTGAAACAGTAACGTTGAGGATAGGAGAAGACAAATGAGGCAAGAATTGTTTCCTGCCGGTATCTAATTGCCATAAAACAATGACGGACTCGTTTCCTCCGGAAATAACGTAGTTACCTATAGAAAAACAGAGGTTAGGGTTATTGTAAGACACAAGGACATTCAAGTTGTAGGGAACTTACCATCTCTGGACCACCTCACAGTATTCACAGAGCCACGGTGCCAGTGTAATTTCCTAGGGGATGACTTCTTATCCGAAGCACGGGCGAACAGAGTGTTCAAAATATCTTGGTAAATCAAGATGGATCCACCAGTTTCACCTAGGGCCAAATCAATGGTCTCTGAGGCCTTCAGGCCCTTCACTTCGGGAGCCTGGTTCTTTGTGGATGAGGATTCTCGCAAGTGGAAACATGTGGCGGAAACCGGAAGGGTAGCTTCCCTCCAAGTATATTGTGTGGCATTGGGGATCTCAAGGTCAATACTGGCTGTGGTACCCAGGAAAATGCGTGGGCCATCACAAGCAACAACGACCCGTCCACCGTAGGCAACTTGAATAGTGTTGATCTGCTCGCCAGTTTGAAGAGCAACAATGGGAGTCGACTTCTTGTCTCCCAACGCATTGAATACAACCTGTCTCTTTCCATCCTTTTGAACCAGAATGGAATAAGCAGCTGGGCTATCCACGTTGGCAATAGTGGTCACATCAACTGCAACCGTGCGAGCGCCTGCTTCCCAGCGGGCAATTCGCTTCCCAGAATCCCAGTTCCACTTAGTCACAAAGCCGGATGTGAAGATATAGAGGACCTCCTGGTCGGTAGGGCAGATCTGGTATCCAATGACATGCTGTCCAGCCTCCATCTGCAAGGTTCGCACAAGACGGGATGTCGAAGTTGCAAAGACTTGGACGGCTGTATCGAGTCCAACAAAGAGGTACCTAGAAAGATATCAGAACGGATCACGTACTGAACGGTACAAATAGAGCACTTACGCCTCATCCTGGGTCATCACAGGGTTCACATTGCTGTAGCGACCACCAACAGGGCGTGAAAATGACCATGGAGCAGTGCTCTGCTGTTTCTGCACGGCCAATGATGAGGCCTCGACTGCCGGGACAACCTCCGTAGAGGTGGAACTCTTTGCCTTTTTGGTATCCTTCACATTGGGAGTATCTGAAGTTCGGCGTCTCTTGACTCGTTCCTCGGTCGGTCGAGGTGGTTTGTCGGCAGCATCGTTGGCTCGGGAACGTTTTTGGTGTTTCGGCGACATATTGCTGGCGATTGCGGCGGCCCAATTAGGGGGTTAGATCCGCAAAATAAATAATCGAAGGGGGTACAATAAAGTCGAATCAGTTAATCCAACTTCAGGTTCATCCGGAGTCAATGATCCAGAATAGCCAGAGTCGCATATAGATCCCTCCTAAGTTGAAGTCGCAACTTTTTTTTTCTTCGGAAGCAAAACCAGGCGGAGAGAAGAGGCAGAAAACCGTCCCTCCGCCATCCTACTGACCGCCTTCCGGGGCCGTGACTGGAAAAGTTTGAGCTTCATCTTTAGATCTGCAATTCATTCTAATCTTCACGCCACAATGATTATCCCTGTGCGCTGTTTCTCTTGCGGAAAGGTAAGTTCACGATTGATTGAAAATATTGAGCTATTCCCACTGACCTTGACTGTAGGTCGTTGGTGACCTGTGGGAGCGTTATCTGCAGCTCCTCGACGAGGGTATCCCTGACGGGTATGAATGACCCTCAATCTCTATTTATGAGTGTGTCTTTGTTTTTAACCTTCATTAGTGATGCCATGGACCAGCTGGGCTGCCGTCGCTACTGCTGCCGCCGAATGGTCATGACCCACGTCGATCTTATTGAGAAGCTGCTCCGGTATGGACCGACGATCCTAATGCTCAAAGGCATCATTTTTACTGATACTTGGTTCGATAGATACAACTCTGCTGAGAAGGATCGCTCCAAGGCTCTTGCCTAATTTCCTCTCACATCTTAATCATTCGGAATCTCTCTCTTTTTCCTTTTTTTACGTGCGATCTACTTTCGGAGGAAGTCTACACGACCCATTTGCGCCAGCACTACACGTTGATCTTTTAGCTCGCTAGCGGCTTTGAACCCTCAATCACCAGCGATACCCCCGCCAGCAGCAAAAAAAAGTACATGTGGAAAGGGTCGCAACATTCCACCCTTCGTCTCGCTTTATCCCCTTTTATCACTTTGGGGTTCCCCTCCGATGGGAATGGATAAAATCTTCATTTCTTCCCTTTGAAAATGACTTGGACAAGAGCTGGACTTGGTTTTTCTTTGGGAAGATGGAACTTTTTTCTTGTTTCTCCCTCGCATGCATTTGAGGAGGCGTTGTACAGTACACACCACAGGGAATTCGGCGTCTACGGAGGGCATTATTAGAACAAGTCAAAAAAAATCCACCGCAATTTGAAAGTTGCCAGCTATTTTGCCTTGATCATTCAGTATCATATGCAATCCGGAGTACTCGGTAGTATTATTCTGATTGATCAGCCGCATGAGTTACTCCGGTATATGAACTTGGTAAGCTTGTCCACATATTGCCGGGATGTTCTCCGGAGTACCCAATTCCCCCCACAAGGAATATCCCAATTTAGAACAATTCCTTCCAACAGACCCTTCGTATTTTATCAAATGTGACCCGTGCAAGCGCCTTGCAGCCCAAAGAAGGTTAGTGGGGGGTGCGTCAGAGTGGAGACTTAACAAGAGTCAATGCATGTTCATCACGCCCCAGGCGCTTAGTCCCGTGTGCTTTCGCTCTTCTGGACAGTCTTTTCCCTTGATTTCTCTGTTCTTTTCTGGACTTTACACCCTTCTGCTCCGTTGTATCAGTTTGATTGGAACCAAGACAAATACTGGAATATCCGAGTACCGGATTGATGGGTATTCTGTAGAGGCGCGGCGGCCTGAGCTCGTTCAGGATTAGATGCGCGGGGATTGCGCTCAACTCCTCTTTTCCTCTCAACTCTCTTCAACCCACCCCTTTAAGAACTGATTGTTTCACTTTATCCTCGTTCACCAATTTTGGCCATGATGGCCGTTAGGTCGCCCGTGCCTGTACTATCGTATCGCGACACTTCCAGTCCATACGCTGGGTCGGACCCGATGTAAGCCCCAGATGCCCAGCTGAATAGATACGTGGTTGCTGATCAGTTTCCTCTTCTATAGGTCTTTCGAACGTCCTTCGCCCCCTAGTACGAGGAATTCAATCTACTCAACAGTTTCGGATTCAAAGACAATCGCTGAACCGGAGTCTGTTCCTGCGATCACTGCCCCTACACCATCAGATAACAATAAAGCGGAGTTGGAGGACGATCATAATGGGTCCACCATAACAACACCAGACCAGGGTTCGGTGCCAAGGTCATCACCATCGAAGTTGACGGTATGATTTCTAAAAATCCTATTGAGTTGTATATGGTGCTAATGAGAACAGATTAAAACTACATATGCGCATCTTCCAGGTCCTAATACAAGATCTGACGATGATGAACCCCCACAATCCGTTATACATGCTCCGTCGGGTTTCCGAGATTTTGTAAGATATGCCTAATCATTTCTTTGGGCTTTCCCATTCTGTTATGGTGCTAATGATCGAAATAAGACCCAAGCGCATGCGCAACCGTCCGTTGAAGAGTCATGCGAGGAAGATGACTCTTCTCCCGATTCCGAGCATGCGCAGGTGTTGCTTGTCCCTAATAAATCAAAGAAGGTATATTTACAACATTCTTTTAATTCCTCCGTGTCAAGGTGGATATTTTTTATTTTATTCCTTTATGTGCCCGCTAACGATGTAATCAACCTGAAAGATTGGTAATAGTCCTATATCCCCACCGCCCATAACGACCACTATACCACCTCAGGCTCCCAAGGACTGGTCAGACAGAGCAACCCCTCAGGCGCAGACAAGACAAGACTTTGAGGAAACAGAACGACGCTCGCGGTCCGTTAGTAGCTTAGAAGGTACAGTTCAGCCCTTCTTCTGGTGTTATCTAGTCTATGCTGACTCTTGTTGAAATAGGTATCCCAGAAGGTACACAAAACCAAGCGATGGACAATCAGAATTATAGAGTAGGCACTGACATTCAAATAGGAGCCTTCTCTAGCCAGGACATCGAAATCAGTGCTTTGCGAACCGCCCTGGCTGAATGCTGGACCCTATGTAATACGCTGGCTAGTTTAAGTTATATTAATCGAGAGCGACTTTTGAGAACCCCCGAGGATGGAATGCAGGAGGATGCATGGAGGTCATGTTGGCGACTTTGTCAAAAGTTATATGCTACGCAAGATGATGATTTTGCCCTACAAGTCAACCCCACGCTCGACCTTTGCCGGGACTTCTGCCAGGCTCTCTTCGAGGTCCGAGTTTGCGACAGCGACTTGACGGACTCGGTTCTCAGAGTCAGCTTTGAACTTAACAATCATCTCTATAACACTCATGATCGCAATCTTCCCGACGCGTTTCGTGAGCGCACGCTCGACTTTTACATCACTCTCTGTCACCGCCTCATGAAGCAGCGCACCCGTCTCACCGCGACCGATTCGCTGCTCAGTGCATGTTGGACCTTAGCGGAGATGCTTTTCAGCATCCGGCAAAGTAAGCGAGAACGGAAAGAATTGGATGAGGAGCTCCTGGGATCTGCAGTCCAGGCCTGTTGGGAACTCTGTGATATCTTCCGCGAGGGCTGGACCCTACAAAGTATGCGCAACTCTGATCGTGGCACGCCACGACCAAGCCAGACAACGTTCGCCCACGCTTTTCAACAAGCGACTACTTACTCTGAGGTTGACTTTGTGGATGATTCCGGGCAGCTTTGGAATCCAGAGACTCCAACTACTATTTTCGAAGACACAGCAACGGTGTCCCCGGATGAAGCACCGGTCCCGAACATACTTGTTCTTGGACATGGTAATGGTCACGGTCACAGTCACAGTTCACATCCGAAGTGGCCATCGAGTGCTTCGAGTATCTCGGAACAGTCTCGCTCTTCTGGACATACAGCGTCGTCGGCTAATACTGTGACAACTGTATCCGAAGATCCGAACTTTACTCGATTGAAGATATTAATCACCAAGGCCGCTGTCAACAGTGGGTACCAACGGGCTAGCAATCAAGTCCTATCTTCTTTTGTGAAGTCTTTACCTGCAGATGCATTTGGTTCAGCACCGTGGCAGGTTTCCCTATTCAAGTATTATCGAAAGTTAGTTGCGTTTGATCCGGCCTTTCGCAGTGTTGGCTCTCAGGCTCGGGTGAGTGCGATTGAAGTGGCCCGGGCGTGTCAAGCCATGCTCCAGAGTGGGCAGTACTCTTGGCTTCGAGATTTGTATCGTCTCGTGTTTGGATTTCAGATAGAGGATGCAATGGGACGGAAGGGGGTCATCATTCAAACATGAGACCGAAGTTGCATATGTTCCCCCTTATCCTTTCTTTAATACTATTATCTCTATACCCCTTCATATCTGTCTGTCTTTCTCTATTTGTCTCTCTTCAAGTTCTGTTGGTCATGGACGGAGTCAAGAATCATTTTTGCAGGACTTAGTTTCAAGTGAAGAGAATTGCAACTTTAGGCTTATGACAAGATTTTCAAGTTCTTTTGGTCGTCATTCCCATGTAGCATTCAGAGAAACCAGGTTCAACATGAACTTCATATGTCAAACTCTTCTCTTTCTACTCCGAGTCTCATTGTTTCTACCGAATATGTCGGCTCTTTGAATGTCCGGAATAAAGAATAACCCTCTTACTGACCGCTAATTGGATGTGAATATGTAATTGAAAAATCCTCTCTAACGCTCACAAGTCCCCTGCCGATCTCTTCTTGTAATCTTTTCGATCCACATCTATTCAGGCTGACCAGGCATTCGTTACATTTAATCCTGGTGTCTCGGAGACCCACAAGGCGACGTTTTCAATGTTTGTACGGGACCGAAGCGAGATCGCGTAAGACCGGAGTATCTATTTCAATGTCCGATTTTTTTTTATTGTCGTAAATTCAAAATATCGGAATACGGGATCCTTATAGGAGAATATTACAAAATATTGAAGAAATAAAGTCATGTTTTAGTAATGGCCCACTTATTAACCCGAGTAAGGGACCGAGATACATCCCGAAAGTGGTTCTCATTACTCTGCTTAACGTTGGTCCATTAGGGCACGTATGGGTATGAATGCTCCATTATGGAGTACTAAAGAATTAATGGGAAACATTCAAATTCTTGAACTTCATACTCATATTATAAGCTCCATATAATTCAATGTTCAATGTTGTGGGTTGAACTAAGTCCCCGGGATAGCATATGGTGGCTGGCGCCGCTGACGCCTTTGGGGTCTGGTGGATGAACGAAAAGTCGGGGAAAACCCGCCCTTAAGTTGATTGCAATCCTCCGGGGAAGACACCCTCATATGGACTAATTTGATAAGGTCGGTACATGCACAATGTGTATTTCACCGAGTCACGTCCGAGTCGGGATAACTCGGCCTCGGGCAGGAAAGATTTCGGGTTTCCCGTGCAAGCGATTTGTGCGATCAATCAGTCGGAGATGTGGCGCCATGCTAAATCCACTTGACTAATCTGGAATTAGATTAGTTTGACCTTAGGTAGCGAGGATTTTCGTGAGATTGAGGATTTGAGAATGAGAATGGAGTCAAAGTGTCCGGGGGTAAAAAGCCTTCTACGTAGGTGTTCCGTGCCGTTCAAATGTTCAAGGGTATGCACATAATCCATGAGGATTCATGATATAGAACTAGGATCATACAATCAATAGACCATACATACTTCAAATCAGATAAACTACTAACATCTGAGTACTTTACATACCTCCTTCCTCTATCTCATCCAAAGATTGTTGAGTGAAGACGAATAGATCCACATTGAAGACGTATCACACACGGCAAACCTGCCCTTTTAGCCGTAATAGTAACATTGGAATATCCACCAGGATCAATCAAGTCAATCAAAATAAAGAGAAAATCCGGAGAAGTTATTAATTCGCCAAGATTTCGGATTGGAGATTTGAGATTATCGGGAGGATTTAATTATCTGTCCGAATGTTTTCCGTGATGTCCAATGTATGCCAGTGTTTACATGTGGATGGAGTACTATAGTAAATCACTGGCAGATCCACTAACAGTAGATATCTCCCACTTGAACTGTTCGGGGATCATCACTATAAGCCTTCTCTCTATTGATCATCGCTATCACTTGGCCGATCTTTAGTACGGACTACGGAGTAAGTATCCTTGGAAGAGATCTGTGCTCGGAGCACTCCCGGACCTCTCAAGAAACAGTCAAGCATTGACGGTGGGGGCTGATTTAGCTTAATTAGCTTAATGACTCTTGGCTCTTAGATCCAATCATATCCTCTATCACTACTCCGCTTCATACAAGGGCCAAATCGACCGGCTTTGAATTTATCACTCCGAGCCTCCAGTGGACTTTTTCCCACCCTTTCTTCCCCAAATTCGGCTATTGGATCCCACGTTCCATGTGTCCTAGTGGATCCTGGAGAGATGAGAGGTAAGGAAAGGAGCCAACAGGAGAGGGGGAATACGACATGGAAAGAGAATGTTGACGGAGAGACCTCTATATAATATGGTAAAGATTCCCCGGCTCTTCGCTCTTCTTCATGCCGACTTGAGACTTGAATGTTTCCGGTCTTCTTCTGCTTTTATCTTTTTGTAGCAGATTGTTGGTGACTTTGATTTTCACCATGTCTGTTGTTCCTACATTCGCTGGCTTGTCCGGCAACAAGCTGTCACGAACAGTGACAGCTACTGCTACTATGGGTTTCCTCCTTTTCGGTTATGACCGTAAGTGTTACTGACATCTACTACAGACTCTAGTGGTGTCTGATAATGTCAGTTTTCAAATACTAACATAGTTCTATAGAGGGTGTCATGAGTAGTATTATCGACTCCGATGCTTTTTACGAATTGTTGCCTCAGCTAGATGGCAACTCTACTCTTCAAGGAACCGTCACTGCCCTCTATGAAATCGGTATGTCAATAGATCAGAGAACTACAAGACTTGGTTGGACCTCTAGTATAGATCACTAACATTCTTCTAGGTTGTCTCTTCGGTGCTATCTTCATGCTGATCTACGGTGACTGGCTCGGTCGTCGCAAGGCTATCATCTGTGGTGCCTTTATCATGATCATCGGTGTTATTATTCAAGTTACGTCTTACTCTCATCACAAGCCCATGGCTCAATTCATCATCGGCCGAATCGTCACCGGTGTTGGAAACGGAATGAACACATCCACAATCCCTACCTACCAAGCAGAATGTTCACGTACCTCCAACCGTGGTCTACTTATCTGTATTGAAGGTGGTACTATCGCTTTCGGTACCCTGATTGCTTACTGGATCGACTTTGGAGCCTCCTACGGCCCCACAGACCTGGTCTGGCGTTTCCCTATCGCCTTCCAGTGTACCTTTGGTGTCTTGATTATTATTGGAATGTCCTTCCTGCCTGAATCTCCTCGCTGGCTCTTCACTCGCGAGCGCTATGAGGAGGGTGAGCAGGTCATTGGTGCTTTACTGGGCCAACCTATCGACTCTCATGAGGTGCATCTCCAGAAGAACATTATTATTGACTCCATCCGGGCGTAAGTACCCTTTTATCTCAAATATAATAACTTTTCTAACTTTACTCTGATAAAGATCTGGCCAGGCTGGAAAGAACACCCCTTTCTCTGCTGTCTTCACTGGAGGAAAAACCCAGCATTTCCGCCGTATGCTTCTGGGTGCTTCTTCCCAATTCATGCAGCAAATTGGTGGCTGTAACGCAGTTATCTACTACCTGCCTATTCTCTTTAAGAGTTCCGTTGGTCTAACAGGCAAGATGCCCACCATTCTTGGTGGTGTGAACATGGTAGTCTATGCTATCTTCGCCACTCTTTCCTGGTTCCTTATTGAACGTGTCGGCCGCCGAAAGCTATTCCTCTACGGTACTATCGGCCAGATGGTCTCGATGATTATCGTTTTTGCTTGCTTGATTCCTGGTACTACCCAGGCTGCTAAGGGTGCTGCCGTTGGTCTGTTCACCTACATCGCTAGTTTCGGTGCTACCTGGCTTCCATTGCCATGGTTGTACCCTGCCGAGATCTCTCCCATCAAGACTCGCGCTAAGGCTAACGCCCTGTCGACCTGTTCGAACTGGATGTTTAACTTCTTGATTGTTATGGTTACCCCTATCATGATTGACCACATTGGATGGGGAACTTACCTGTTCTTCGCTGTTGTCAACGCCTGCTTCTTGCCCGTTATTTACTTCCTTTACCCCGAGACTGCCCGTCGCTCCCTCGAGGAGATTGATCTTATTTTCGCCAAGGGTTTCTCAGAGAACATGAGCTATGTTCGCGCTGCGAAGGAAATGCCTTACCTCACTGATGAGGATGTTGAGCGTGTCGCTATCCAATATGGATTCGGTCCTGCTGATGAGGTCATGAGCGATAATGATGCTAAGGCTATTGGCAGTGATGAATCACCTGAATCCCCTATCGAAAAGCCCAGAGTCGAGACTGTCTAAGTTTACTTCTTATTAGAACATGACAGTCAGGAGAAAAAAAACTGCCAATCATGTAAGATTCGGTAGATTATGAATATCGGTCTCAGATTCAAGTTGTTCTGAGACTTAATATGATGTTATATCCTATATACACTCGTTCTGGGATCCGGCAAAATGTAAAATTATTAGATGTATTCATTTGTAAGATGCGTAGTGCATTGTATGTTTGAGCCTGTAGTCCGATTCAGATATTCTAACTGACTCAAGTAGTAGCACAAACCATCATTTTAGTATGGATCTCACAATTGTATTGTACAGAATTTCAACTCTCAATTAAAATTCTCAAATGGGCACAGGTTTCAACAGACATGCAACTCATTTCTGTAGATTCCCGTGATCGGACTCGTGATTCACGACCTGAAAGCTCAGTATGAAATTAATTCACTATCCCAAACCCATCGTGCATCACAAGACCTCCATAGCCCAGCCGGAAGAGCTCGACGAAACCAAAACCGAACCATTGCCTCTTGTGGAAAAAAGTCAACCCGCGTTGCATCGATCCGAGCTCCTTCAGGAATGATATCCAGTGGAGTGAGATTCTTCGACTCGATCTCGATTAATCGTGCCAGGACCAACGCCGGCCCAGAAACCGACCAGATCCCCTTTTCACGCTCCCATCCACTCATCAGAGCTAGTGCTTCCCGCCTGACATACCAATCACGACACTTGAAGGCACAGAAGAAGATCGGAGTAATAATCACGGCTCGGGTCCAAGCTAATGAACCAAGTTTCAGAAGCCCTTTAACCAGCTCGATGATGCGTTTAAAATGAGGTAAACAGGAATCATATCGACTTTCTCCTTTCTCAATTTTATCATCCGTGAGCATTTTAACGAGCATCATCTCCGCCCATATATCAAAGATAGCGACCGTCTTCTGAATATCCAGCCATACTTCATCCTCATATTCCTCACCCGTAGACTGAAGAGCTTGAATTTTCCACTGCAAAATTCGATCCAGTGTAGCTTGTGCAGCACTTTGAATATGACTCGCAGGAGATTTCCGTCCCCCAATATCTTTAGGTCTTATTTGTAAAACAAGCCATCCCAGAATAACCATAATCCCGCCCGCTTCCTCCGGCGTCTTGACTGATGTAATCAAGTCATAACTTCCAGCCAGCATCACTGGCCAGAAGTAACTTACTTCAAGTCCATGCCGAGGATCGGTCAGGGGAAGCCATTCCAGGTGTGGCTGGTTCAGTGTTTGCAGTACTGTCGGTCCGATGGGACTGTTGTACATACCGACCTTTTGCCAATCGTGTAAAAGTTGATACGCAGCCTGGAGATGACAGCTAGCTGCCTGCGCATCACCATATGAAAAGGAGAATGCGATAAGGATGAGACAGGACACGAGAACACTTTCCATTCGGGTGCGACTGGATAGATTCGCGGAAAGGTTATCTTGAAGATGTTGGAGTGCTTTCCCACATTGTTGAAGTGGGAGTGAGATGACAACGTCCTGAGATCCTTTTTGGATTTGCATGATTCGATTCCAATGTAATGCGCTCATACCAATCACCGCGTGGCAAACTGCTGGTTCGCTCTCGCTAGCTTGATTAACGAGGTAGCGCCAAAAAGAGCGAGTGAAGTAGCCGGCGCATTGTGGTGATGTGACCTTACGGAAGAAATCTAGGAATCCACGTTCCTGATGTGTTAGGTCCACTTGGCATGTATCGATAATCACGGCGGATGGACTTGATCGTGTACTCCTGCTTTCTTCCTCTGCAATCGCTACTTCTAACCCCGTGGAGGCAACGGCGTTCCTCCATGTACGTGTCCTTTTATCGGGGAGAGAATCATAACCGTCACATTGACGGCCTGTGCTCGTACATTTGTGACACGATGGTCGGGTTTCATCGCATTTGATATGTCGTAGCCTAAGATATGTCAGTTTTCGTCCTAAGGTCTAGTGACATCATAGATGTAGAAGACAATGATATCCAGGTGCTGTACAGGGTACAGCTATGTAGATCCTCGTAATATTGAAGTTTGTTAAGATAACATACTTGCATGTTAAGCAACCAGTTCGTACCCTCCGACCGCGTCCACGGTTCCTAGTCCTTTGCTCCATGGTGATCTCGGGAGTTGAAGATAGAGTGGAGGTGAGGTTAGAGGCGTACTCCACCCCACCCAGACGATTTTTTGAGTATGATAGAGGGCGAGAATAGAATCGGATACGTTATTTCGGCCACTGTGGTGAGCGATTCCTATAAACATCATGATCAAGCCTGTCACGGTGGAGGTGGATGAGTAAAAGAGCGGAAGTCCCCCTTGCTATGACGGCTGTTCCGTTGTGCTTATCCTTGCAATATGCTAACTGAATATGGCGTGGGGGCTGAACTTGAAATGCGCCATAAATAGTAAGCTGACTACTTAGATGAATAATTCCACAGAAGTACAACTTGGTCATTTTCAACCTAATGATTCTTTATGGAAGGATGCATAGTGGTCCAAGCTGGCCATTTAACTCACTAGCGCGATAGGGCCAATGCTTTAAGCTTATAACCGCGACCAGATCAACTGGCCCCCGGCGGCAGTCTAAATCGATGTTCGTATTCAATCTACTCGTGCTTTTTGATTAAGACCCGGAGTTAAGCCTGAAACCTAGTATTAGTAGTATGGAATGAACGAAATACATGGCATGACTTTTCATTTGATGAAGACAAGTTCATCATGCTATTAACTATGTGTAGGTACATTAAAACGTTGATAATGATTTCTATGCGAAGTGGTGGTGAGGAATACCTCAACTCAACTGAAGTATTTCAAACCAGATAGAAAAGAGAAAGGTGAGGCCAGGAATCTACCCCAAAGCGCCCAAAAAAGACAAAGTTCGTCTGATACACTCACTGGGCCTTCTTCTCAGCCCGACGCTTCTGAATAGACTCGGGGTTGTACTCGGTGTCGAGAACGTAGTCCCACCAGCGGAAGCTGCTCGAGTAGTTACCGATGAACTTCTCGTGGTGAAGGTCGTGGTGGTCGGCGCCAGCCCAGAAGGGAAGGAAGTGGTGGAGACTCCAGGGGAACTCGTAACCACTGTGAGCATCGATGGCCTGGAAGAGTCGCAGAACGATCCAGATGTACATGGTGAGGATGTGCAAATCACCAGTGAAAGCACACCAGACAATGGGGCAACCAACAGTACCAAAGCCGAGAATCATGACCTCAATGGGAGAAGCGTATTCAGCCGCCAAACCGAAGGGAGCCGAGTACTGGTGGTGGATCTTGTGAATAGCCTTGTAGAGAGGACCCCAGTGAAGTGCGCGGTGAGAGAAGTAGTGCCAAGTGTCCTCCATAACAAAGAAAATCGCGATCTGAATGGCCATGGTCCAAATGGAGGGGAAAGGAATCGAGGTCGAGAGGCCAAAGTATTGAGCCATAGGGTGGAAGAGCCTGTCGAGTACAATTAACACATTGCAATCGCATCGAATCAACAATCATATTTTATCAACGTACCAAATCTGGGGCAGCTCAACAGTGAAGTGGCTCAGAAGGACAAATTTAGCGCAGTCCCATTGTTCCTTGAGTGTGGGGATTTTGTTCTAATGAAAATAATATTAGTGACAAAGCCCTGGAAGGAGACCGGATCTTGTATCCATTGCTCGACTCACGTTCTGAATTTTGTATCCCTTGAAAAAGCCCATGCTGTCAATCAGGATCCAAGGCAACGAGCGGCCGAAGTAAACCAATTCGTGCATCATAAATGACATGATACCGGTGGCCAGAACATCATTTTGCATCCAGGCGTACCAAGCCGCCCACAATCGCTCGGGAATGTTCAGGTTGGAGTTGTATTCTCCAATGGTCTCGAATTGACCCCAGTAGGTGAGTGGTGAAGTTGTGGAATTCCTATAGAAAGACATATTAGTTTCAATCGGAGACGAGATAACTTGGAATTTTGTGGTGGAAAACAAGTGCAACGTACATTGTGATTTCCGAAGATGAAGAAGAAGAAAAAAAGGGAGAGCGCCGGAGATTAGACCAGCAAAGAAAAGGGAGGCAAACGAGCCAAAAGGGAAAGAGAAGAGAGAGAGAAGGTACACTTCTATTCTCAAGATTGAGTGAGAGATATTCAATCAAATTGCGAAATGCAATGATATAAGAAGAAGAAGGAAGGAGGGGAGAGAAAAAAAAGCTCCTAATTAATGTTGACGGGGAAAGTCAGGACAAGCCATTCCCGAAGTGGCGAGACCAGCTTATCGTCAGGGGAAAACCAGTCATTAACCAGTTAAGGCGCAGTAAAAGGGGCGGCAAGGTAAGGCCACTGGCAAGCCGATCACCATCCGAAGCCCCATTTGCCCCACCATGGGGACATAATGGAACATAATGGGCATTGGCCCCTTTCTAGTTGGTTGAATTATCAGTCAGACCATCTGGATCTTCTGGAAGATATTGTCTGATTTTCATGATCTGATTCTTAATTTCTGACTCGGATGTTCCTTAACTCCATTCTGGGGTAAATTTAGTATTTTGAGTTGGTTCTTTTTGTTCTTTTTGTTCAAAGGGCTAAATGTATATCAACATTATAGAAACCTGAGGCATTACTGTCTAGTCAACTGGTGTGCATAACTTGGAAGCCTGCATAGTAGTACAATGGAGGTTTGCTCAAGATGCAAACATGTGAAATTTATGAAATCTATTGAAATTTTCAATACCGGGTTATTTATTTCCTGGGGCTCAGAACTACACGTTCCCTCTCGGTACTTTTAAGCACGATCAGCGATCCTGTTTGTTCTGTTTGTCTTGTTTGCCTCCAAGATTTCCAAGGTTCATATGACGACATGCAGTAGTCCAGATCGAAGCTTCCCATATTGACATACTAACGACCTAATTGGCACGGGTTATACTGTGATATGACCCTTACGCCATGTCGATTGTTCAGGAGTAAGATCCCATAAATTTAATCTAACTGCAAGGAGTCTTTCTGATCTGTTATTTTTCCTCAATAGGAATGCCTGTGCCCTGAATATCAAGTTAGACCTCCTCCAGCAACAAATTAGTCTTCCGGAAAGGCGCTTCGATGCTGCAGAAGTACCCGGCCACCATGTGCGCCAGCTCCAAAATGTGATCAACTCCATTTCTGTCACATCTAAAACGCAGTCCTTGCTGTCAGCAGCTCGATTGGTGGAAATACTCTCAGATCCTATCCTCGGGAGCGAGCGCCTTGGGTCCTCCGAGGTAATCAGCGAGCAACATGTCTCCGATCATCTATGGTTGGTGGCGGCGAAGGCTACAGTTCAAGCATCGGGATTGGTGATGCACTCTCTGCTAGAACGTACCCTCCAGCTCCAGGAAGAGATTTACTATTGGGATGAGGTGCTGGGCTCCGGATGGTTGACGGGTCTGTATGCGGCACAAACCTCACCGACCCGCCTGTGGCACTGGTCTAGGGATATATATGCAGACCATCGCTCTCAGGGAGTTTTCTCAACGGCTGTATCGAGGTCTTTTGTGGCAGGCTGGGCCCAGTTTTACCAAGTCGCTCGACAGAGCCTACAGGGTACCTCAGAGCACCCCAATGTATGGAAGTGGTCGTCGCCCATTAGACTTTGCCGGTCAGAGATCCAGCGAAAACGAGATCGGCTCGTTGCCGTAAAGGATCTTCATGCTAGCAGTCTTGGACTTTTAATGGAGGGTTGGCATGCCTTTCGACCAGAAGATACTGCCGTTCAACTGAATACCTCACCGGAGGAATGGCGCGCTACGGTATCCAAAACAGTTCACCTGACAGAAGCAATCCTTCAGCATGTTGCTAGCCAGTCGAACACTGCCAAATTCGAACAATCCGTTTTTCAAGCCGTCGAAAATGATAACACTCGTGTGCTAATGCAGGGAAGTCTTCCATCGCCTGCTCATCTGCCGATGGAATTGATTCAGCGTCTTAACCATGTTCTGCTAGAGGGACTCCCGGTCCATGAGTTCTCCGTCTCAACTTTCATGAGCCATGAAGGCCGCCCTTCGAGAGTCGTGCGGTACTGGCTACCTCTTTCGGTGGCATTGTTTTCAGGTAGTCTGTCATTGAATATTTTATTCCGACGTCGATACGATATCACTCAATGGATCATGAACATTGGTTCCACTATCATCGATTTTGGAAGCAACTGGGTGGTAGAGCCAATCCACAAACTTATCGGCACTATCAGACATGATGAGAAGAGCGAGATTGCCATTATGAGCAAGAACAGTCTGCTTGCTGATCGCGCTAGCTTGGAACGTATGGTTGTTGATTTTGTGCGCGATAGACCCGACCCAAGCTGGGGCAGTGCCGGTGATGATGATGCGGCGGCTATTGTGAATGCTGTCAAAGAGGGCGACTTGACACCTGTTTTGAAAGCATATGAAAGAGATTTACGTTCTCCATTCAAGGGAACCGTGCGTGGTGATCTAGTTCGCGCTCTTCTCATTCAGATCCAGAAGACCAAAGTGGACGTGGAAATTGCCATTAGTGGAATCAACTCTCTCTTGAAGAGCCAGGAACTTGTTTTTGGGTAAGTTCCTTGAACTGCCTTCTCTCTATATTTTGATAGCTTCTCTAACCATCCTTGCAGCTTCATTGGTCTCACACCAGGAATCTTGGTTTCGTATACTTCCATTCAATGGTTGGTGGGACTCTTTGGCGATCGCCGGGGTCTACGACAAGGCAAAAAGCGACACGAACTTAAACGCGGACTTCGGTATGTTAACGTTGCCGGTTAACAAAGAGAAATGTGTTGTACTAATAGGAAATATAGCCATGCAACCCGGATTCTAACGTCGGCATCTCTATCCAACGGCGTGATTTCATATAAAGATTCAGGACGACTCATATGTGAAGCTGAGGCTCTGCTCCAACAATTCAAGGCTATCCTCGGGAGAGTTCAGTACCGGGAATTCCGAGAGGATATTGAGGACCTTTTGGATATCCAAGGAGGAGTTGACAAACAGCTTCAAGTCGTGGAGAGGATTCGATGGACCTATTTCCACTAGATCGAGACCAAACAGATACTAGATCGAGACCAAACAGATAAATATCATTTAATTGGCATACCAAGAGACACAAAGATGGTATATTGTGATTATTCCATAGTAATCATTCAGGCCTTCATTATCAAGATCAAATAGGATAGGAACAAGTCTCAAATAGCCCATGTACTATGATGTCGAAGGCATCCATACAAATCTACCTGGGCATGAGACCGCCTGCGGATTAAGGATTATGTAACCTCCGAGGGGGCATCTACCGTACCGTCATCACTCCACTTGGATGTTAACCACATTTCCAGTTAACCCCTTTATCTACTGGTTGACTCGAGGCTATATGCTCTGAACTGTGAGTTTTGACTGTGAATTTACTATTGCGTCGGAGTTTTACTTTGTCCGTCTTGATCCTGTCTGGTGCGGATCAGTATCTTGCCTATCCTGCATCCAAACACGCTCCTGATAATGTCCCTGGAGGCACGGGATTTAAGGAACCTCACCCAATAACAACCTAGTCACCTTACTGATCTCTGACAAGTTCTCTAAGTTTCATCACAGCGCCTGCCTCAAATTTCTTCCATCAAATCCTATACCTCTTCCCCCTTGAAGTTGGTAGAAGTCACCGCAACTCCGACCGTCTCCTATCTCCGAAGATCGATCCTTGTTATTTCCCACGAAGACGAAATAACTCCAGAATGGCGGGTACCAGAAACTACGATTTCCTAGTAGGTTTTGTTACCACCATAATTTTAACTGCGGTGGACTAACTCACATTTCTCTCACAGATCAAGCTGCTCTTGATCGGAGATTCCGGTGTCGGCAAGTCCTGCTGTCTCCTGCGTTTCAGTGAAGACTCCTTCACCCCCTCTTTCATCACCACAATCGGTATCGATTTCAAGATTCGCACAATCGAGTTGGATGGCAAGAGAGTCAAGCTGCAGATCTGGGACACAGCTGGCCAGGAACGTTTCCGTACTATCACCACAGCATACTACCGTGGTGCTATGGGAATCTTGCTTGTCTACGATGTGACTGATGAGCGCTCATTCCAAAGTAAATTTACCCATGTTTTTATAACTCTGTGTATCACTCCGCTGACTTTTTTCTTCACTCAACAGACATCCGTACCTGGTTTTCCAACGTCGAGCAACACGCCAGTGAAGGAGTTCACAAGATCCTTATCGGAAACAAGTGTGACTGGGAAGAGAAGAGAGCCGTTACCACTGAGCAAGGACAAGAGCTGGCTGATGAACTTGGCATCCCCTTCCTCGAGGTCTCCGCGAAGAATAACATCAACATTGAGAAGGCTTTCTACAGCCTTGCCACAGATATCAAGAAGGGCATGGATACCTCTAAGACTGAGTCTTCTGGTGCCCAGGGTGTCAGTATAGACCAGCAGGGATCTGGTCTGAACGGTGGCTCTGGAGGAAAGTGCTGTTAAAGACCTTGTACCATCATTTCCCCTTTCTCCTCAATATGCCTCTACTCCCTTATCCTTCTCACCGTGCGGCATGATCCTCTATCTCTTCCCATCCCTCTTGCTGACACCCTCTCCCTCTCCCTCTCTCTATCTCCCTACTTTCCTCCAGTTTCCTTTCTATTTCCCCTACCTGTTTCTCCTTTGGCTACTATTTCTTATTTCTCTAAACTGCGGATGGATGTGAGTTTGTCTTTTTTTTTGTTTTTTTTTTCCTTGCGTACTTGCGAATGGTCCCTTCCAGACCACCCGCTACATATCCTTTTCGCTTGCAATTTCATGTGCTAAGATCTGAATGTCCAATTTCTATGGAAAGTTGGCGTCTGTTACCACGGAGTATCCTAAACCCCTGTTCATAGCTGGCGCTTTGTTCCTACTTGTATGTTTTATGTCTAGTAGTTGGACGCGTGTTCACTTTTCGAGGGGGACAGATGTTCATAGGTTCTTTTCTATTCTCATACTTTGCGATAAATTTACAGATTTGCTTGTATTGTATGAGTCCAGATTGATGTCTAAAAATTTAGTATTGTCTGCAAGCCATAAACTCTTAGTACTGCAGCCCATAGTTAACTCCCCTCTCTCGACCCACTTTTCGTCTTGGTATCAGGCCGATAAGATCCCCCCACCACCAAATTTCTTAATGAATAATTTAACTCTCTTTCCCCAATTCTTTTTGCAATGCTTGTGTGATCTTGATTTACAAGTTAGATCCTCACGTAGACTGCAAATATTCAATCACCCCTACGCCTACTTCGGTGATTTCTTAACTCGAACAGCAGGGCGCAATGGCGGATGTTCGTAGTTTTACTGCACGTCCGCTATCGAAACAGCCAAGGAGCGATCACAAGGATGCATTCCGAGTATACCTGTCATCCTCCTCGCTAGCTGGCCTAAGACTCCGAGCCGATGATCTTTGCACATTATCTTCCGCCGAAGGAGCCCCGAAAACCGCGATTGCTTGGACCGCCGTGGAGAACATACAGGGCACCGTCGTGCAAACTTCAAGAACTCTCCAAGAGTGCTATGGAATCAAGGTCGGAGAAAAACTCGGCATCACTAGAATCGACGGTAAACTGGAAAACATCAACACCGTTGTTCTGACAGACTGCTCAGACCCCGAGAAGATCGAACGATATGGCTCTATCTCAGCAGAGGAGCGAGGTCACTGGGAATGGGCTTTGGAATATCAACTCTCAAGATGTGAGGTTCTTACCAAGGGACTGAGCTTTGAGCTTGACCTCAAGGGTCAGCGTCGATCTTTTAAAATCGTGAACATTCACGCAGAGAACTCGGTTTCCAGCCGTACTATCTTCCGGTTCACAAATACTACCAAAGTATCCATTGGAACCGAAATCGAGGAAGCTCAACAGACTTCGTTTGAACTGCGTGTTGAATCTACAGGCCTTGGTGGCCTTGAAAAGCAGGTCGGCGATATCAATGAAAGCCTGTTCGATTTCAATGTCGACCCGCGCAGACCAGTCATGCCTTCCTTTTACAATAGCGGCCATGGCATTCTTCTCTTTGGTCCGAAAGGAACAGGAAAGACATCTCTCCTTCAACAAATTGAAAAGGCCGGCTGGCGACAAGTTTTCAACATCAATTCATCAACTCTCGGAAGGAGTACTAGTGAGAGCGAGTCCAAAATGCGCAATATGTTCCAAGAAGCTGCACGATCCCAACCCAGCGTGATCATCATAGATCAGCTAGAATTCATTGCCCCGAAAAGAACATCCCTCGACTCCCAGTCATTAGCATCCGTGCTATGCCAGAGTCTGGATGCAATCCGTGATACGTCCATTCTCGTAGTGGCCGCAACACGACACCCCAATAACGTCGATGATGCACTCAGAACTCCTCATCGACTTGGCACTGAGATTGAGATCCAGATTCCTACGGCGCAGGACCGAGCTGAAATTCTACGCGCGCTTCGTGGACCTGCTTCTGGTGGATTGACTGATGAACTGGTCGAGTTGCTTGCTGAGAAGACGCACGGATACGTCGGTGCAGACTTGTTCGCTTTGCTTCAGCTTATTTGCCGAAAGGCTCGCCAACGCCAGATGCTGGAACAAGGCCCTGTTGATCTACCCACCATTCAGACACTCTCGATATCTGATTTACCAGATGCCGAGGATGGTGAAAATGGCGAAAATGTTGCTATTGAATTGAACATCAGAGAAGTCGATATCTGGGCTTCACTTCAGGAGATCCGCCCTACAGCCATGCGAGAGGTGTTCCTTGAGACACCTAAAGTCAGATGGACCGATATCGGTGGACAGCATGATATCAAACGGCGCCTACAGCAGGCAGTTGAGAGGCCTCTCAAGGTAATTTTCGTCTCTACTATTTTTTAAGTGTTGCTCAATGACTAATCGACTACTATAGCATCCTGAACGCATGAAGCGTCTCAACGTGAAGAGCAAAAAGGGTGTTCTGCTGTACGGACCACCTGGTTGCTCGAAGACACTCACGGTCAAGGCTTTGGCTACAGAAGCTGGACTGAACTTCCTGGCTGTTAAGGGTGCCGAGATATTGAGCATGTACGTTGGCGAATCCGAGCGCTCATTGCGAGAGATTTTCCGCAAAGCCCGCGCAGCACGACCCAGTATTATCTTCTTCGACGAGATTGATGCAATTGCTGCTCGACGAAGCAGCTCTTCTCAGGGAGGCGTCAATGTTCTGACCACTTTGCTTAATGAGATGGACGGTATTGAGGAGTTACGGAATGTGTTGGTCGTTGCGGCCACTAACAAACCTGATGTTCTGGATCCCGCGCTCATGCGTCCAGGTCGTCTGGATAATATTCTTTACATTGGTCCACCAGACTTCGAGGCGCGAAAGGAAATCCTGCGCATCTGGACCAGTAAATCTGTGATCCATGCGGATGTTGATTTGGATGAATTGGCGACTCTGACTGAAGGGTACTCGGGTGCGGAACTTGTCAGTATTTGTGAGACTGCAGGTGATGCGGCACTGGATGATGAAGAGGAAACTTTACAAGAACAGGAGATTCAAAACAAGCACTTTGAGTATGCCTTGAGTCAAGTCAGACGACAGATTACACCGGATGTCATTGCATCGTACGAAAATTGGCGAGATTCATAAATAGAGAGTTGTGATTTAGATTCTGTTGAAAGTTATAATGGCATGTATTTATAAATTCAATACTATCTGCTTCCGTACATATACTTCAATCTCCAAATTCTGATTAAAAAAGAAATTTAAGAAGAAACTAAAGACAAAGGAAATCATATAATTGAGTCTCAGACTTCCAAGCTTTAAAATACCAAACCGCACTAATTAATTTCAATTTAAGGTGCATTGGAACGCACCCCATGTCATCCAAAGGTGAGGATCACCCCATGTTAGGTCACTACAGGTGGTAGTGGGCGTCGTCAACGGAACAACATCAGCACCTGATACACAGGTTGATGAATATACATCACAATCAGCTCCTTCTAACTCCCACGATGCAACTCCCCATTCTGTACCTAAGTCGCAGACCTCTGCGGCCGCGTCAGGATCCGCATAATATTCGCAGGATGCATCAGTTCCTGAGATTACCTCGCTGAGGCCACCATGCAGGACAAGGCATTTCGAATTTGCTAACACGTTGCCGTGAAGCACGAAGCGACCGTACTCTCCTCTACAATTCCAGTCTTGGTAGATACTTATTGCCCATGTGGCTGTATTTGTTAAGGTCGACAGTCCGACGCTTGTTATGGACTCGGTTATCAGTGTTGTCAGGGGTTTGGTTGTGGACGTGGTTTTGTGAGCGGTTACAGAGTCGTCTGAGGTCTTGGTATGGCTTGTAGTTGTTGTCGTTGCAGATGCTTTTGAAGGCTCTTTGGATGTTGATTGAGATTTGGTTTCACTTGTGGATTCAGTCTTGTGTGTAGACGTGGATTCACTTGTGGATTCACTTGTAGTTTCTGCTTTCTGTGTAGTTGTGGTTTTGGTTGTCGTGGATTCTGCGTTGTAACTTGAAGTAGACTTCGTTTCATAGGTAAATTGGGCTTTGCTTGTAGGATCAGATTCCTTTATAGTGGTGGTTTTAGATGTTGTTTTTTTCTTTTCTGTGGATGTGGGTTTGGTGGTCATGGATTCTACTGCGTGAGCTGACTGGGTGGATTGATCTTTGCTCGTCGAATCTGTTTTTTTTGTGTAGATGGGGATTTAGTTTTAGGCTGGACTTCATAAGTTGATTGCCCTTTCTGTGTAGACTGGGCTTCATGGGTAGACTGACCTTTGCTCGTGGTTTGAGCCTCAGAAGTTTTCCTCTCCGTACTGCTAGTAATACTAGACTTAGTAGTAGTGCTAGTAGTACTCCCTGATGAACTCTCGCAGTTCGAGATACATTCACTAGATATACAATTATCCACATCTGTCGCACAGTAGCCTCCCAGAATACACTGTTAAATATCCTTTATCAGCTTGGTCCAAGGAGAGACATAGAAGGAATGAGGGTACAGACACATTCGTCATTCTTGCATGGATTCAATGAAGACAAATCCGAGTAATTTCCTGGTCGAGCAGTACCTGGCACTTGGGGCCCACAGGTTGCTTCAGGAAGAGCAACTGGCATTGGAGGCTCTCCTGAACTCAGGCAGAGGAAATATCCTTGCTGGATGCCAGAGCATCCCGGCCACATCCAGTCATCGGTATTGTATTTCTCGATCTCTGCCACGGTAATTCCATATGCGGTCGCAACTTTCTGACAAGTATCGTCACCCTGGAATGTATAAATGTAGCAAACCCCATCACTGCTTGCATGAAGTGTAGTGGATGCAGTGTTGGTATAGGTTGTGGTACTGGTATATGATTTAGAGGTTGACGTTCCCTGCGAACCTGCTAGAACAGCGCCCGAAAAGACTCCAGCGGAGATCAATAAACTGATCAACTTCATTTTTGGGCAAAATAAACGAGCTCAGGGTAAGGAGAGAGGCGAGCCGGAGCATTAACATCTTAAATAGGAACCCCGATATTGCCACAGGCTATCCTAGTTAGTCTTCATTAGTCTTCATTATCAATGGAGGCTCAATGGAGCTGGACTCTTGAGAATGATTGGATCATGCAGAGAAAGAAGTTTTTGGGGATAATATCTCGCTGAAAGTATTCTCTGTTTAGGGAATAACGGATCCATATACGGAACGTCAAAGGGTAACGGATAGATAATGAAACTCGACACAGAGGACCACTGGAGATATGGAACGGACAAAGAGCTGTCAAGGCGGCACAGACGAAAATCGATATTGCAAAGATCAGTTCAAGTTGATCTTTATAATCTTTGGGAAATGATCAAGTTAAAACATTCCTAGTTCGGCAAGTGGCTGCTTCTGTGACAGTCCTGGAGTATCATCTATTTCAATAACAATCAAAGAGCGCTGGCGCCAATGTTTGTTGGTATTTCCAAGACGAATCATAGTACACGCTATGGCCGAAGCCCTCCAGCAGGGCTACTATGTTGGTCACGGAGGCACGTCACGGTACTAGTAGCCGACCTCCCATATTAACACCCGAACATACACGGAAAGCTCCGAGTTCTTTCTTTGAGATTAATGAAACTGCATATTGGTTAATGTACACGGAAATGTGCACATACATAACAACCTCCACCCGTGGGCAGGGGTCCGAATATTCCTTGAAAGTTTATCACGCGCGGGGAACCTTGAAAAACTGGGGAAAACGTGGGGTCGGATATTCCTTGGAAGTATATCTGCCAGTATATCTGCCGAGGAAAACAAAAGTGAAGACTCCGAGTCGGCACGTACTCCACCTGCCCTGTTAGCCGCTATGAGGATCCTTGATCATCTGAAGTATGGGCTGATAACAACATGATGGCTTTTGAGTATCCCTGGAGTCAATTCAATGCCATTGACGCAGGAACTTCCGAGACTTTGTTCCCAGATATCTGTCACTGTTGCCCAAAATTCATCCTCTATCTGGCCGTGGCAGGAATATATGTCGTCTAATGCACAGCCACCATATTTGGAGATCAATTTCACCGGCGAGCAGCTTGCGCCGGGTCTTATCTTTTTTGCTCCTCAGATTGGCATTGACGCCGAATCATACATCCCTGATAAAGCTCCTTTTATTATGACCGACACCGGTGACCTCGTCTGGTCAGGGCCTGTTACCCAGATGCCTCGACTTCCGTGTGCAAACCTTGTACGGTGAACCAGTGATCACTTATTGGGCTGGTCGCGGTGGTGCTGCAGAGTCTACTTCCGCATCCCACGGTTACGTCATATTGTAATCTACAATTCTTCATACGACCAAACTGGGATTATCTGTCCAAATTTCAACTTGACTCTCCCTCCTGGAACAGATGTACCCTGCCAAGCTGATGTCCATGAATCTTTTATCACCAAAGACAATACAATCATCGTCACAGCCTACAACACAACTAAGGCAGACCTGCGAGATATTGGTGGCCCAGAAGATGGGTGGGTTCTTGATCCTCTCGTGTTTGAGGTCGATATCCACACTTCAGAGATCCTTTTCTCTTGGAGTCCCCTCGCCCATGTGCCAATAACAGACTCAAGACTCCCGCTAGATGGTGCAGGAAAAAACACCAGCAATCCATTCGACTTTTTCCACACAAACTCCGTCCGGCCCTTCGAGGGGAATTATCTCATCAATAGCCGGAGTACCTGGAAGACGTACCTAGTTGACAAAGACGGGAATATTCTTTGGCAAGTTGATAGAGAGACGGGAGGTGACTTTGGGAGCCTGCCTGAAGGGGGTCGATTTGTAAGTTCCCCCATAATCTTGATCGCTGAAGGTGAACTAACCATTGGGGTTCTTAGTCTTGGGAACACTTTGCTCGACTCGAACGCACGTCCGATACCCAACTTCAGCTTAGATACTTTGCAAACAACGACGAAAACCCAACCACAGCAAATGCATCAGTTGGTCTCGAACTCCTCTTGACGGTTCCCCCAACTCCCGACCACCCACCTCAGCTACTCAAGAACCTTTCAGACCCACTGTTTCCGGTTGTATCTCTGGCCATGGGATCTTATGATATCCTCTCAAATGGTAATCATTTCCTTGGCTATGGAATCCAACCTGTGATGAAAGAGTTTGGCCCACACATCCCACAAGGTGACGATGTTCGTTGGTCAGCAAGATATAATTTTGAGAGCGGCGCTGCTAGTTATCGAACCTACAAGACTTCTTGGAGGGCTACCCCCTCCAGCAAACCGGATCTTAAAATAACGAAATCTGACCATAGTAGCCATACATCTTCTGGGTTGCATGGCACTGAGTGCGGCTCATCAGCGATCCGAGGCTACGTCAGTTGGAATGGGGCAACCGATGTCAAATACTACGTGGTATACACAGGAAGTAAGAAGAACTCGATGACAGCAGTTGGAATTGTCCAGAAGCAAGGCTTTGAAACAGAACTTGTTATTCCTGAGAAGCGAGGACACAATCTATTCCAGGTGGGCGCAGTTGAAAATGCTCAATCCGGGGTTATCAGGAAATCCGCAGTTATGGAAATGTGATTTTAATAAACATTTGAATTATACAGTTGTCCAGGTGTGTTCACATACTTAAGTACTCAGTTAGTAGTATGTACACAGTACAGGTGACTGATGACCGACCCCTCTTTGTATGTAGGTACCTACGGCCTACAGGGTTACCTATAGGGTTATCTACAGGGTTAGCTGGAGGGGTATCTGGAAGGGAAGGTTAGCTGTTATATTGTTTCAAGGTTGGATATAGGCAATTGGTAGCCCTATGGAATCAAGCTGTAGGCTCTCCTGGGGTACCAAGACAGGCGATGAATAAGAGTGCAGGTCTAATATAGTTATTAGTGACTATTAGTGAGCACTAGTCCGAAAATAGTATAGAGGTCATTGCCTAGTCCGGTTAGTATGAATATGTTTGCACCATTTGCACCATTTGCTCGATTTGTTCCATTTGATTGGTTTGATTCACATCATACTGCTATCTCTTTCTAACCTTTGGATCGTTTGATCATCTTTTACTTCTAAGTTACGGGTTCTTGTTCACTTCAAGTTTAGCTCGATTGTCAATCGCTGAAATCAGAACATCGAATTCATCATGTCGTTGCGTTCCCCCGCGGACGGTCGCCCATCCCTTCAAACCCCGATCAAGATCAAGCTCCGTCGCGTTCCTTGCGCTCCAGATCTCGTCAAGACTCACAACCTCATGACTACTCTCGCAGTCCATCCCCTGATCATGCAGATCGCCATGATCACCAGTCAAGAAGCCGTTCTCGATCTTCATCCCGCGGTCGTAGCAAAGGTGGCCGACGCTATCGAAGCCGAAGCCCGGGTTACAGTCGTTCACCCAGTCGCTCACCCAGCCCTCCCAGAAGCGCAAAGGTCAGTGTGTCACAGAAGCCAGCTCAAATTGGTGCATTTGCAATCAAGATTGCTAACAGAAGGAGCAGATTGTTGTGGAGAAATTGACAAAAAACGTAACGGAAGCCCACCTTCGAGAGATATTCGGCAGCTTTGGTGATATCGAGCACCTCGAACTCCCCATGAATCGAGCTTGTAAGTTCTCCATACGTCAGTTCATAAATATGCGCCTCCCTCCTGACTTCTGAAATTAGTTATGACCAACCGTGGTACTGCCTACATCATCTATTACGACCCCGCCGACGCCGAAGCAGCGATCGCTCACATGCACGAAGCCCAGCTGGACGGGGCAGTTCTGAACGTTTCAATTATTCTTCCCCGACGCGCGTTTTCACGATCACCCCCTCCTGCAGCGAATAGAGGAAACGGACGTGGCAGGTTTGGCAAAGGCTCTTTTGCAAACTCCCCTCCGAGAAGACATGGTCGTGGTGCTCGACCTGCCGAGAGACATGATACATACCGACCTCAATCGCGATCACGATCGAGATCCCCCATTCGATCTCGCTCATATTCTCGTCAACAGTCTCCACCAAGAAGAGGAAGTACCCGAGATGAAAGCCCACGACAGCGCCGACGACGAAGCCCTAGCTACAGTAGTTACAGCAGTCGCAGTGAGCGGAGCCGGAGCCCAAACAGAAGTCGCAGTCCTAGCCGTAGCCGCAATCGGCGCTGAGTGACTTTTCAGGGTATGTGAAGCAGTTGGAAGAGTGTATGATCAAGTTTGATTGCCTCCGTGATTGCGGATTGCAAAGACCTCAAAAAATCAATGAACTATTATCAAACATATCTATTGCGCCCATCGCTAAATCCACGAGTAACTATCAAAAACACTAAATCAACCTTGTAACCTTGTGTAATGCCTCCACACATATGAAAGCAGAACGCCGCCCCATCGTCAGTAGAACTCGTAAATAGCTTAGAAGAAAGCACACCATCCGATATACATCGCGGCCAGATTCTTTTTGTCGGTTGCCTGCATAATCAATTCATCAACTTGCCCATCGACGGAGAGGGCGATCGGCTGTTTAGACATGAATCCGCGAAGTTTGTTACGGACATCCTCGAGGACACCGGCGGGAGTATCAGGAACGTTTGTATGATTGCGACGCTTCAAGAAGTAAATAGTTAGTAATCTACCATCAATTTCGGGATGGACAGGCTTACTCTTTTGCCGATGAAGTCTGTTGTGGGGTCATGCAAGAAAGTCTCTAGGATCGTCATCAAAGCGTCCTCGTTTTGCCGCAAGAGACTGAGAGTGATTTCGCAAGTGCGCCGGAAAGGTCCTAAAGGAGATGATTTTTATTAGTACCGGTTGATAGTGATTATTTTGTGCCATTCCAATGTACCGTTGTAACCATAAGCACCAAAGGCGTCAATCATATTATGTGTCAGTCGGAATGGAACCACCTCTGGTTTCTCGAACGTTTGACCCTAGCCTTGAGTTAGCATTCTGGACATACAGAAATAATCATTCTAGAGCTTACTTTGTCGAAGAGACAGTTGAAATCAACGTGCAGAATTCCTCCGGTTCCTTCTTCAAATGACAGGTTTTCCCCGTGTCGATCACCAAGGCTGTGCAAAAGAATGTCAGTATACAGGTTGATTGAAGAACCGAGGATTTCTTCAATATAGACATACCCAAGAACATATCCAACCATAGACATCACCGCTGCAGACCGGGTGTATCGCATCCTAGCCGTGAACCATGCCTCGGTCTCTGGGAACATCTCAACAAACCACTCATGTAGCACAGGAGGAAGTCTATATTATTGTTAGAGTATATCACTTAACGTTGGATGCAGGAGGATCGAACTTGGCCAAGATCTTGGTGGTAAAGAGGGATAGCTTGGAGAGTCCCGCTTTTTCTGCACAGATCTCGTTGAGATAATGCTTGATGTCGGTGTACTGGTTGCAAATTGTCAGCTACGGTCATCATCATTTCCTCATGGCATGAATCACAAGCTCACATTTGGTGAAATGCCTCTTTCACGGAGAAGCTTGATCACAATCTCTCTCAGGGTGCGTAGGTTGTCCACCCACTCGATTAAACCGCACTCTTCATTCAATGGCGTCACTGCATAGGTTTTGATGTCTATTTCCTCAAGTCAGTCGTGAAGTTCGAAGTGCACATCTCTTCCTCATGTACTTACAAATCCGTCGTTTACTGGCTTCAACATCCCGCTTCAAAAATCGATTGATCATGTTGTTGAACTCCATGAGACGTTGATCCTTCCGCAGATCATCCTTGGGCTTGCAAAGTGCGTTGTAGATCTTGCCATCGGAGCCACGAATGCTGATCTTGCGTGGCTTTTGAAGCGAGTTCAAAATTTGAGCTTCGTCGAGAACGGCTAGAAAAGAAGGTTAGTGATTTGATGCACAAAATAAAAGAGAACAATCAGAAGATAAAACCTACTTTCAATAGTCGTTGGGTCTCTTGGGAAAGCTCTGAATCCTTTCAAGTATTCTGCATCGTGACTCGTGGGGAGGCTAGGAATCAACATAGCCTGGAAGGGTACAACAAGTCGACATGGTGCAACCTTGTGATTAAACCCAAGACCGCGAGCGAGGTTAACTTTCGAGACTCGATCCTCAACTCGAGCATTACATAGCTGGAGCAATTCCTCCGAGAACTTTTGACCCGTATTGATCATTCGGCGAATGTCAGCTGACGGGATGTCTGTCTTGTGCTTCGTAGTGAAATCCTGGATATATGAATTTAGCTCCGATTTACCCCGTGATAAGAGATGCCATTTACCGTTATTTTCTGAAGACAGTTGTAGCCCTTCGCGGCTCGATCTTTATTTGAGGATTTGACGACAGCCAGAACAGTCCAAAGTCCTTGCTGTGGGAAGAAGTGAACAGCCTTGGCCACAATTCTGGCCAGCAGCTCGTAGACTGTGTTGTTTGGATGGCAAATTCGGGCCATGACTTGAGGCAGAATAGTAAACAACTATGGCTATTTAGTAATCTTCTTTCTTCATGGTAATATCATATGGTCCGGCTTACCAAGGCAGGTTGGAGACGAGACGCGATGTATTTCTTCAACTGGGCATGCATCTCATCCAAGCTCTTCTGTCGCTGCGCTTTTGTATGTCTTTGGAAGTCCCTAGATGATGTTGAATTAGTTTGAGTAGGTGATATTCTTGATGATAACAAATTTCTTACTCGTTATCTCCTCGCTTCGGATCAATCGGCTGGTCAACAATAGAAGCATGTTCTAACCAAAGGGTCAACAGCTTCGGAAGCGTCTGGAAGACATATTTGCTTCCATAGGTTAAAGAGCGCAGGTAGTTGTCAATCACCAACTTAGTAGCTTCGCCGCTCAAACTAAGACAGTTGTCAGCCTCGATAACAATATTAGTCCAAAGCAAGTAAGTCTTACTATATCTGGGCCTCCTTCCCCATAGGCTTGGCCTTTTCAGAGTCGAGGATCTTGTTGTAATGTTTTCCCAGGTAATAATGGGCTTTTTCCCACCTTTACATAGCATGATTAGTTCAACTCAAGGGAAACGGGTTGGTGTGTACTCACCTCGGATACAACTTGATGGCTTCACGATAGCGTTGTACAATCGCCTGGGAGTGGGTTTGACCAGCTCGATCGGTCCATTTCGCCAGCAGGAGATGAGCCTAGTGAAGTTTAGCATTGAACTGAGTGCTAATATATGGAATAGCACATACCCTGGCTGGGACGTCGTTTTGCTTTTGCCCACGACTTGAAGAAACAAATGAGATGATATCGGATTCAGCTGGGTTGGATGCTGCCGGAGTGGCTTCATTGACGGATATGGCGCCTTCCAGAGTCTGAATCGCTTTCCGATGATGTCCATCTTGCCAAAGAAGTTTTGCATGTTCGATGGCAGCTGAACGATCTTTGAGTCTTGCTGCATTGAGCATCGAGTGATATGCTTGACTAGTGAATTTGCCCTTCCGTGAGAGATGTGCACTGGTAAGCCATGCAGCAGAGATATCAGAATCACCGAATCCGCCTCTGAGAGATGAAAAAAGAAAGTTAGCTCATACACAGAAACGCATAACATTTCCTTTTCTTCAACTCACGCTAATTCCATGGCCGCTCGTCTTATACCCAAGAGGTACTGTTTGTCAGCAATGTACCCTCCTAAAACATCCAATCGTCGTTTGAGAGCAGCCGGCAAATCCGGATAGGAAGGGTTTCCAGCTCCTGCATTAGCTATAGCTTCCACATCCGCCAAAGCATGCAACCGGAGCATATCGTCATGACACGACTGTAACGAGGCAATAGAGTTCGCCGTCAAGGACTTGGCGACATTCAACCTGAGCTCATCAATAACTTTGGCGAAAGCCCCTGGATCTTGCTGGACCTCGGAGTCGTTGTTTTCGAGACGTTCACGAAGACTGTGGAGGGCTGAGCCGATGCCTACGTTAAAATCGCCAGTTCCTTGCTCTGCACACAATTCCAAATAACCTTTCAGTTTCGACCATCGACCTGTGATCCAAGATGCCTCTACTGCAAATGGAAGAAATCTGGAGGTCGCAGCATCGTTCTCCTTCAGTGTTTCGAAACGGGTTAGAATAGCATCTGGAGGCAGTTAGTTTAGTTAATCCCGTGAGGGAAGACATCGTTCAATGTGACTTACCTTGTTGTCCAGATTCCTTGAGACAGGTGACCAGGTTCCACTGAGCCTCGAAGTTATCGGGCTCTTTTTCAAGCTGGAGTTCATACCAACTTTGTGCCGTAGCGCATCTACCAGCCTTTCGGTGTTCCAAAACCTGTTGGTCGACATTGAGTCCAGAAAGATGGCTAGAGATGCCTTCTATTCCATCAGGCTCGTCAATCTCGCTGTAAATGTCTTGTAGTCTTTGGTAGAGCTGCTCAGAGCTGGCATTGTCCAGAGGTTCCGGTTGCGTGTTGCATTTTCGAATGTACTGCTCCCAGTGGTACAGTGCTCGAGAGAATGATTTACATTCAACAGCGCGCTTCGAAATGATTTCAGGGGGTATTGCGGACAGGAGAGCTTCGACTGATTTGATTTGAGAAGCATACTTCTCATGGAGTACATCTCGATTGCCGTCTCCACGAGAGCGACTTGACTGATAAGACTGATTGTTCATACCGTTTAGCTGTTTCTTCTTCCCTTGTAACCATCGAGACAGATAGTCTAGGACTTCAAAAACACTCTGTAAATAAGTTAATATCATGGACAAGTCTCATATAGTGGGTTTCATTTCCAGGAATGTCTTACCTGGCTGCAAGAGATGATTGTCTCACGAGCATTGTTGTTCGTATCAGGAAGTGGATGCGAGAGGACCTTCATGAACTCAAGCTCAATGTCCCGCTGTTCCTGCACTGTTCCTCCAACAACACGGTTTAGAACGGCAAATGGCAACAGAAATGAGGAGATAGAAATATCTTGACCCTTAACCACACGACTGCATACAGCAAATATGAGCTTGGCATTGTCGGCGTTGCCTGCTTGGAGCAAGTCTTGAACCAGAGTTCGAAGCCATTCACTGTGAGTCTTTTCAGGGCAGAACAAAGGATATTCCACCTTGGGATTAGTCGCAACGACAGTAACAGTGTACGTTGACGTCAGGAACGGTGTGAGAGTATTTCTGATGCCTTCTGGAAGCTCTATCCACCGCTGATATTTTTCGTCTCCTTGAAGATCACGGGCGTTCTGGGTGATGGTAGTGTGCAAATGACAGATTTTAAGAAGACCCTGCATAGCATACGCCAAAAACCCTTGTGCTCTAGTGTTGGAGGCGGACAAGAATGCCTCGACTAGCACATGCTGGAGAAAGAAGAGAACAAACTCCACAGTTTCCTCCATCCGATCGAAATTTGACAATACAAGAATGTCCATCTTCTCCTTGATGGTCTCGACACGGTTAGGATCCAGACAGCCAACAAGGCCCAAACATCGTGCGGACATTAAAGTGATGTGATCTGAACTGGTGTTGAACTTGACGCAACAGTCCAATAATGCTCTTGTAAGCTGTGCAATCACAGGGTCAGGCTGCTCGCTAAGAGCAGATAGGTGGAGAAATTCTTCATTCTGCGAGAGGAAAGGGAGTAATTCGGTTAATGCTTGCTCAACAACTGTCGCGTTTTCGTTCTGGCAGCGGTAAATCAAGGACATCAACCGGCTTCGAACATCCTGCGTCGCACGCAGTTCATTCATCTTGGCCTCGAATGGGGCCATCTCCGGAATAGAGGCTAATGATGGCATTGAAGTGCAAATATCCCGCAGAAGATTTGGATGAGTTGCCAAAATGTGATCGACAAGCTCATATGCTTGCTCTCTGCTTTTATCTGTCAATTTCGGCCAGTAGCGAATCACGATTGCCAGTGTCTGGTCGATAAGAGGCTCGAAGTCATCGCCAGCGAGGGAGCTGATTAATGTCTTCCAAGCCGAAAAGGCTTGATCACATAGCTCCTCAATCTCAAGCGCAGATCGAAGACAAGCGCAGACTTGGGGCAATGCATTGCTGACATGGCCGTTGGCAATATCAATCATCTCTTCAATTGCTTTGAGATTCCGCCTCTTCTCGGCTAATGTTTGCCTGACTTGAAAGTCATTGATTGCATTCGCGAATTGAGTGATAATTCCAAGGACATGCTCCTCAATGAAGTGGATCAGATGGTTTAATTTCCTTGAGGAGCCACTGTGCCCAAACTTCCGTGGCACAAAGGACGCCAAGCGACACAGTCCTTGATAAAACTATTTTCACAGGTCAGTTTGAGACACATTGTGCTATTACATAGGAGGAGCATATACTTACTCTTTCTTTATTCTGCTCACCGGCTTCGCCCAGACTTTTCAACAGATCACAGGCAATCAAGATTGGTTCGATTCTGACCAATTCCGCAAGCGTACGTCCCTTGAAGGCAGGGTCTATCTCCGCCAAGAGAGACATGATCATGCCCTCGGGATTGCTGGATTCTTGGGCTAAAAGAAATGCCAAAATAGCCGCGAGGTTGTTCTTCTCGGAGCATACATCGAAAGGTGACTCCACTTCATCACGACTTGCTCCAATCCGGCAGATGATGTCTCTTTTTCTTGTTAAAACAAGATAGGGCAGCACGTGGACTTCTGTCAGACGCAAAAAGCTGTCAACTTTCATTCCAAGTAGTTCGCAGAGCTGCTCAGCCATATACGGTCGAGACTGGAGATTTTTAACCACCACAACCGACAGTGTTCTCCAGTACGGCCGAAATAAGCCTGCAGGCGTCAATGTGAATTGCTGAGCAAGCTTGGACAACTGTTTCAACTATTAGTTCTCTATTCCAAAAAAAGATTTGATAATTGATAATAATATGAAGGAAGACCAAAAGATTCCAGCTCTTACCTCATTGTATGCTACTGCACAGATGTAAGGATTCGGGTGACCAAGGTATTCCAACAAGCGCAGAAGAATGATGTTCTTTTCTTCCTCATCTGAAACCCTATAATCGTATAATATATTAGCTCTTAGAGGCTCAAGCAATAAAGAACCTCATAACATACTTTGCAAGGCAGCACAATGTTAGAACACATGCTTCATGAAGAGGCATGTCGTTTTTCTCCGAAAGGTTCTTCAACCATTCGAGTACAATGACAAAGTTCGCTCTTCGAATATCTGGTTGCAACGAGGAACGCACGAACGCTACGACCGAATTACTAAAAGATAGTTAGAGATTTTGCAAGAAGGATCCTGGGATTGGAGATCAAACCATGTGGCAATACGAAGTTCTCGGATAGAACTTCGAAGCGAGTGAAGACAGAACTCCCCAGACGCAGATGATGAGAGATGTAGCTGGTCCATACAGGGCGAATGCATCAAAATCCTTCTCAGGGCGACCATAGCCGCTATCCGCGGCCCTGGCGTTCTTGTGAGTTTCGGAAGAATGAAATTGAACATCGTCCATAGTTCCTGGAACTTTACGGTGTCCTTCTCGAGTTCATTTTCTTGAGGACCTTGTTCGAAATCGCAGGTTTGACAGAGAGTTGTATTCCGACCTACAATATCAGATGGCCTCTGCTCGAGGCTACCTGTAATGGCACAAGAGATCTTTCCCATGATTTCCAATAAGTCGGACCTTTGAGGCTCTGTAAGCCCATCGTATGATTTTCTGAGAGAGATAAGAGTCAGTATGATTCATTATGGGCAGATGTCTCCAATACTTACTCCAGAGAAGCGCTTAAACCCGCCAATTCCTCCCCGCTGTCGCAACCTAGTAAAGCTGCTAGTTGATCCATTGATATGGCCAAAATTCCTGTGTTTGCGGGCTCGGCAGAGACACAAAGACGTTTTGATGCCCGTGTATCTTCACTATCTTCTTCTTCATCGCCAGAGACTCCGGGCCTTTGAACAGGGGCGCCATTTTCAGACGGCGGGGCACTAGAGGAAGCTTCAGTAGGCTCCGGGGTGTAAAGCAGCGCAGACTGCAATGATTGAACTGAATCCTAGTGAATAGTTAGTATATATACCCGAGAGTAGAATTAAGAAATGGATTCTCATAATTACCAACAAACACGCCTCCATTGCTATCCAGTTACCAGCCTTGTCTTTGATTTCCTCAAGGGCAGGTAGAAAGAACTCCCGCATCTCCAATCCGAATGACCCGGAAATACTTGCCGCTTGAAGAGTCTCCTCCAAAAAAAGGCTCAGTCCTATCTGGAGGGTAGGTAATTGGTTGGAAATACTGAGCAGAAGCATCTCACTTAGACATTGAGTCCAAGCAGAGGCCAGACACATATCCGAGCGTAAGGCGGACCCAGCTGTGTCAGACTTGCAGAATCGAGATGCGTAATTCATGAAATGGAGAACATTTTGTTCGTCCTCTGCAGTGGGGTGAGATCCGGTTTTCTGTAACCATGTAACGACTGTTTTGCGCAAGCGGTTGTATCCATTCAATGCCCAGGGAAGGTTCAGGCGAGAAACGAGAGTTTGCCGCTTCAAATCGCCTGGAATTGCAGCTTGTAAGCTGAAAGAATCTAACAATAGAGAAGCGAGAATTACTGCTTGGGAAAATGACCCTAAGGCTATGGTTTCCCTCAGCAGACCACGAGGAAGAGCTTGGTTATCCAGCTCCACTCCCAATGACCCGTCTATTGTTGGTAAGAACAAGCCTCTACTCCGAGGATGAAGTAGACCAACACTATGAAATGACTCCAACGCGAACAATATGTCTAATACAATGTTAGCGGGTATGACATGATGATAATTTTTAAAAGTATGACAAACCCGAGGTACAAGCGCGAAGGAGAGCTGAAATCCCATAGCACGAAGGTGATGAGCGAGCTTGTTTAGATTGAAAATTGATCATGGTACTCAAAATCAAGTGAGTTTTCTCTTGAATCGCTTGAGATGTCCAAATGCTTATTAACCTAATCAATCGTAAGATCAACCAGGCATACAAGGGCGCTTGGACATCCTCCCCCAGGATAAGTGGATCTGACACTTCCCATAATGCCTGAGGAGCCTTCTCAATACTCGCTTGAATAATATCGAGGCAATCCAAATTTTGGTCCTGGAGATCATTTTCCGGGGTGCTGTTACTGGGATTCGCTTCCAGACCTGCCTTGAGAACGATGCAGATGAGCTTGTTGATGTCAGTGATGCCCTCATCTACGCGCATTTGGCTTTGTCGTTCCCCTAGAATCTCTTGGCGAAGCTGGGAGAAAGTCTCCCGCGAAAGGCGATGTCCGTCATGTGCTTGAGTAGCCAGAGGGGCGAAATGCGCCGCCAAGATAGACGAAGCGGGCTCCATGGGTCGTTGCCCATTCTCAGAGACAAGACTGCGGTTATTTTGCTTAGCCGCCATCTGCCTTAGACATGACTAGTCGATTTCGAGGCGAAAAATGGGTACTGAAGGTGTGCGACACGCGTTGGAGAATGAAGAAAGGCACGCGGAGTTGATATTGAAATTGGTACCTGAGGCACCAACTCCCCACATGGGATTCCCAGTTTCGACGTTCAGATGAATAAATGATATTTGACGAATATTAAAAAAATACTATAAGATCCCTCCAGTCCTGAGGTTCTCAGATTAAAGACTTTCATTACCGTAAATGGAAAAGAATCGGGTCTATACTAGTAGAGTGTGGTGCCCACTGGGAGTGCCTACTCCGTTAGTCCTGCCACTACGCTCCATAGTCATTACCACTTAGGAACGTTCCCGTAGAAAATTTACTTAGTTGATCTCTCACTCTCACTCAACACACCACTTGATAGATTTCTCTTCTCTTTATTCCCGACACAAATCTGAGCCACAAAAATGGATTTTCCAACTACAGAGATTCAAGTTTCGCCTGCAGTGACGGCGGATCCCAAACATGCCTACTTCATGCAACAGGCCTTACTGATGGTAAGTGCGCCACAGTGCAACTTGGTAACGTGAGATGCCGATGCTGAATATCCAAATTATAGGGTGAGAAGGCCTTGGAGTCGGGGGGAGACACCTGTTGGGTGTGTGCTCGTGCATAATGACCAAATTGTGGGATATGGGATGAATGATACCAATCGGTCCATGAATGTCGGTACCTTTCCCCAAAGAACACTTGATAGTTATAATTCACTTACAATCCCCAGGGAACTCGACATGCCGAATTTCTTGCTATCGCAGAGGTTCTACAGACCTACCCCAAGTCAATTCTTCAATCTACAGACCTCTACGTGACCGTTGAACCGTGTGTCATGTGTGCGTCAGCTCTGAAGCAGTATCGCATTCGCAGTGTATATTTCGGTTGTCCTAATGACCGATTTGGAGGCACTGGCGGTGTCCTGTCACTTCATTCCGAGTAAGTGGATCGTTCCTAGCTTCATCATCGAGATCTCATGCTAATCTAGATTAGCCCCTCTATTGACCCCGCATATCCAGTGTATGGAGGATTGTTTCATAATGAGGCCATTATGCTACTCCGCCGTTTTTACATACAAGAGAATGAGAAAGGTCAGTGCATAGAGCAAAAACTCCTCAGATAACTCACGCTGACCATTTACTAGCGCCAAACCCTCGGCCAAAGAAGAATCGCGAGCTGAACACGAAGTTTGAAAATGGAGGCAGTTCAACTTCGACCCCAGATATCAATACCTCACTTTGAATAATATTACTAGATCAATAAGAAAAGTTTCATCTTGCCGAGAATCCAATTTGACCCAGCGGCATGGATTGTGCAGGATGGTGGTATGAGTTTATAACTGTTAATTGAATATTGCGCCTTTTCAAAAACACACAAAAGAAAAATGGATATGTGTACAAAGATTTTGCAACCCAAGATCCCGATTTGGGAAACGAATAGTTTCAGATATCATAGCCATAATTTAGGCAGTTCGCTCAGCCTCCAACTCCCGCTCCGCTTGTTGGTAGTACTTAGCAGTGTCGACTCCGTGCTATATTGAGACAAAAATAAGTAAAGTTTCTTTCAACCACGCAGGAACTATCAGGGTCAAAGGAACTAACCTGGTTGTGGTTGACAAGGTTGAACCACGGCAGAACGTGGATGAACAGCTCGGAGTAGCGAGAGTTACGGGCAGCAACACCCTGGAGGTAATCTGAGACCTTGGAGGTGCCGTACAGGGACTCGCCCTTCTTAACCTTGTCCACCATCTCGCGCATATCCATCTCAACCTCGCGAGTGTTTTCCGTGAAGCCGTAGAAGCGTTCTGGTAAGTATGTAAGCATCTTAGCTGATATTGAGATATACTGGTATACTTACGGCATGATCGCTGGTAGAAGATGTGGAGACCACCAATGAGACCAACGGCGGTTGCAAGACGCATAACAGGGGAGAAACCACCCCGACCAACATGCGATGGGCTCACTCGTTCCATGACCCAGAAAGCAATGGGGGAAATGGTCGCCATACCACCCGCAATAGCATAATCAGAGGAGCGGGCATATCCAAACACACGACGCAGATGACTGAATCAAAGATTAGTATCCGAGCAATAAACATGGGGAAGGAGAGAAGGGTTCGGGGTAGGACTGTACGGGTCGGAGTCGATGAGCTATGAAAGCGGGTTAGTTCGGGTCAACGAGAAGCAATTGAGCAGACTTACGGGATAATCGGTACTGGCCCGCTTAGAGGGCACAATGGCTGTGGTCGGAGAAGCCATGGCGATAGTTTGATATGGTGGGATAGAGCGTTGTGCAGAGTTGAAGTTCGGAAGTTGGAGGAGGTAATGACACTAACCTGTTTTGGATTAGCGTATGCGGGCGGCCACCTTTCCCGCAAACCAATCACATCAATGCTGACTCGGCGCGTCCAGAACGCGTTAACTGGATAATAGATCGATTATCGGGAGATCAATCTTGTCCATTGTTCACAGCAATTATCTCCCCATTGAATCAACCCTTCTACTTCAAGATGGCTACCGAAGAACCAAGAGATACCCCCCCTGGCGATCTCGATGATCTATTCAACTATGACGTCGGTCTAGAAGATATCTTCCAGGATCAGAATAACACATCCACGAAGCCAGCTGGGGATCCCGATTCGCTTGGCCTTGGACTGGATGAGGAAGTGAAAGTTACAAAAAAGCGACAGCCAGTAGCTAAATTGGATGAGAATCGGTAGGGAACGCGTATCCTGTTCAGGATGTACCTATAGAACTAACAGCTACTACAGACTACTCTCTCAACCAGGAATCCCTAAACTACGACGCACAGCTAAGACAAAGCTTCGATTCAAGGGCAAGGGACACGAGGTAAGTCAATATATTCTTCAAATGTGGTATACTTGACTAACGTTGGAATCTAGTTATCGGATGCCGGCCGCCTATTGAATTTCTACCAACTATGGCTAGACGATCTATTTCCTCGAGCGAAGTTTGCAGACGGTCTGGCGATGATTGAGAAATTGGGACATACGAAACGTATTCAGACTATGCGACGAGAATGGGTTGAGGAGGAGAAACGAAAGGTCTTTCACAAATCTACCGAATCGGACGAGATTCCCAGGCTTGGGGATCTTCCTACAAGAACATTTACAGATCCGAATGGCACGACAAATAATTCAACAACCTTGCCATCAAGACCGCAAGGGCAAAGTGCTGCAGATGACGACCTTTTCATGCCAGATTCTGGGCCACCGGCTCAAGTCTCGGTTAGCCATCCCCAGCCCGATGACGATGAACTTGAGGATCTTTTGAGGGAGCAAGATGAACCTACTGTCAAGGTACCACAACCAGTGACAGCAGCACCGGACCTCAACGATGATGACTTTGATGATGAGTATGAAGTGATGAGAGAGTTGGGGATGTAAATGTAAACGGCGGTGTTGTTTTATGATAGCGATGACATTAATTAATCCGATATCCAATCTACTGCTTCACATCTTGAATATTACTTCAAGGCTTGATTGCTTTTGTTCCTATCACTTATGGAAGATGAGCTCATTAAATTTTTTGGGATAAGAATAGATTTGAAGGTAAGAATAAAGACAATAAGAAAACCAGCTAAAAAATGAACAGAAACCAAACAAACGCCCGCACGGTAAGAGGTCGTAGTCCTTAACGGACTTAGATAGTGGCAGGGTCGGTGAACACGGAGAATTGGCCTCCGGCACCGGCCCAGTTCAGCTGCTTGCCACGGACAGCGGTGTTGTCAATGATGGTGGCAACCTCGATGTCGTCCTGGGTTCCCTGCCCAGTCTGGTAGGTGGCAGAGAAGCCCCAGGACCAGGCGCGACCATCAGTGTCGATGGCAAGGGAGTGGTCAGAAGCAGCGGCAACGACCTTGGCATTGATGCCGGGGACTGTAGTGGGCTCGATCAGAATGCGAGGGCGGCCACGCTCATCCTTGATCACGGCGTTGTCGCTGAGTGAGTCGACCTTCAATCCACTCTGGAATCCATCCAGGCGGCCCCAGACGAGGCATTCGCCGCTGGCAGTGCGAGCAATTGAGTGGTGGGAACCACCGCAGACCTGGGTGATCTCCTTGTCGGAAAGAGACTTAACGACCACGGGGTGAACAATGGCGGCCTCGTCGTCACCGGCGCCCTCGCGGATAGCAGTAGCTCCGAAACTGTTCAGGCCCCATGCGTAAACCTTGCCGGAGGTGTGGACGGCGAAGGAGTGGTACGATCCACTTCCGATGGAGACGATGTTCTTAGGGAGACCGAACTCGCGAGGCTGGAGACCGTTGAGCTTGTTACGCTCGACAATGCGACGGCCGAGCTGGTTCTGCTGGCCGGAACCCCAGGAAAAGACGCTGCCCTTGTCGTTCAAGGCGAGGACGTGGTTGGCACCGCAGGTCAGGTGCTTGATCTTCTTAAGGTCGGGGATCAGGACGGGAGTGTTCTGCACCTTGTTCACGGGATCGAAGCCTAGAATGCCATCATTGCTCTGAAAAAGAATATAAAGTTAGGATTAAACGAAGTAAGATAGGATAGTGAAGTTCAGCATACTCGAAAGGTTCCCCAACCATAGACCAGACCATCATCGGTCAGAGCAAAGCTAGAGCTGTCGGCAGCTGCAACTTCAACAAAAACAGTTCCTTCGGGGAAGGCATTGGCAGGAATAGCAGTGGGAGTAGCCTCCTTAGGGCTCAGGCCGCTGTCCTCATCATCGGAGTCGGAGTCGCTGTTCTCGTCGACGTCCTTGTATCCGCCGTCCCAGTTGGTCTCGCGACCCAGGGCGCCCTGGTCGTTGACACCCCAAGTGTAGATCTGGTTGTCGTGGGTCAATGCGACACAGTGCATACCGCCAACGGCGACCTGGACGACACCGACCTTGTCGGCAGCCAAAAGTGCATTCAGACGGGGGCGCTTGACATCAATGACGTTCTTCGCGGTACCAAGGCCAAGCTCACCGGAGCTGCCTTCACCGCAGACGTAAACGTTGAGGCGAGTCTTGGGGGCCTCATTGATAACAACCTTGGGCTTCGTGGCCTTGACGGACTTGGGCTTGGGAGCGCGCGGTTTGGCGATGACACGAGGCTTCTTAGCCTCACGGGGCTTCTCTTCGGCATCATCGGCCTTGCGCTTCTTCGAGGCAGTGGGGGCAGTGGGGGCAGCAGCAGTCTTAGTCTTGCGCGTCTTCTCGGTGGTGGCTTTCTTGCCGGAAGTCTTCGTAGCAGTCTCAGTGCTCATCTTCTTGGGGCGTCCGCGTCCGCGCTTGGTGTCAGAGGAATTGGTTTCGGTGGTTTTCTTCTTCTTTTCAATGGACTCAGCAGTCTTTGTCTCGGTAGACTTGGTCTTGGACACACCCTTGGAGCGGGGCTTTGTGGCGGACTTCTCCTTGGTCGCAGTCTTTGTTGTGGCGGGCTTCGCGCCGGACTTGGGAGCAGACTTGGCCGCAGGCTTTGAAGCCATTTTTTCAACGGCGGAAGTAGCCGCAGCCCGTTTGGGAGGCATGCTTGATAAAGAATGTGGAATTGAAAATAAAAAGGGGTTTTTTGGGTAAGAAAAGTAAAGTGGTGAGTAGAAAACGCGTTGGGGAAACGAGGAAAGAAAAAAAGTTGGAGAGAAAATGAGAGCGGCAAGGCACATAAATAATGCGGCATTCTCGGCCCTTCACTTACACACTTCAATGTTTGTATTCACTCTAATTTACATTCACTACTAACTTCCAAAATTATCTATGTCATCGCTCTAATAGGTAATAAAAGACGGACACATGATAACCCTCATGTCATACCACTTATATATTCACTCGAAGGTTACGTAAACAACACACACCCTCCCAGGTCCAGTGGCTGGGAATCCCCTCCATCATAGTACATAGTAAATGGTGCCATATATTCCCACTACGCCCATCTGTGTGGTCTTAAAAGGATAAGATGAGATGTATTCACGGGGTATATCATTCCAACGAATCAATTGACTGTATAATCATTCGAACTTTGTATTTTGCATTCATGGAAATAATTTGCTGTCTTTTCTAAGCAGGTATAGAGATCAAGCTCGAAAAGTATGGTTCATTATTGAGGCGCAATATCAACACCACTGGCACCATTTTCTGGCCGAATTTTACCACACATGATAACATTTTGCCCCAATGGAGTCCACTTAACATCGCGTGGGTTTAGGGCTGCATTTGGATTACCCTCATTATCCAGCTTTGACTCAGGACTGACCCCGACTCCTCCATGACCCAGATACGTAGGGGCCACCGTCACAATGATCGAGTCAACCAAGTTGGTATATTCGGGATTAAGTAGCTCGCTGAGGACTGTCCCACCACCTTCAATCATAACACTCTTGATTCCCTCCTGAGCAAGGGCTCCAAGAATCGCTTCCCACCGGAGTCGCCAGTCTTGGTTATATTCAATGATCCGGAGAAAGTCACCACCATAACCCTTCAGCAGTACAACCCGTTCTGAGTTGAGCGGAGCTCCCGGTGAGACAACAACCCATGGAGCTCTACCTTTTCCTTCCACTGCAGTTCGAAGTATCCGATCATCATGGTGAATGGGCCATCGCCCTGTGGGATCAATGACCACTGGACGTGGCTGCCACATTCGTCCTAGCCCACCAAAGCCTCCAGCGCCTTCTAATCGGCAGTTCAACCCAGGATTATCAGCTAAAACTGTTCCAACTCCGATGAGAATCGCATCATGACGGGATCGAAGGTAATGGGTCATCAACTTGGCCTCAGGACCAGAAAGCACGGTTTGCATACCGGCACGTAGAGAGATTTTTGAATCCATTGATGATGCATATGATAGGGTCACATGAGGATATGTACGTTTTTCAGCGTGGTACTTATCTACATTGGGTAGATATGGCTGTAGAAAGTCCAAGGGAAATTGGGGAAAGGATAGTGTATCTGGCGGTAAGCGAGATGATGATTTTGTAGGCGTAGGTTTCGGTGGTGATTCATGATCGGTGCCATTCGCGGAATTCGTCTTGACAATCCCATGTCCCTGGTGATATTGATAGCCTTCATGAGCTACGAGCTGAACCTCCGGATTTTGTATACGCCATTTGGCAGCAACGTTGCGTACATCAGTCACGGAGAGGGAGCGACCTCCAGCTTCAAGAAGCCGTTCTGGTTCTTCCTGAAACTTGGCATAGATTGATGATGGTAAATATCCTTTCACAGCCTCCCTGCGCACAAACTCCATAACTCCCGAGTTACGCTTCACGCGATCACTGTAGTCGAGATCGTGGGTGTGAGCAGTATCACTTCCTGGGGTTCTAAAAATCTTCACAGCTGAATAGGCGCCTTCGAACCGAACAACCTTGATCTGAAAGTTACATATGCCACCTTCTCGTGACCTTTTCTTTCGAGTACGCTTGCCCTCGGGCAATGGCGGCCGTGTCTCTGATGGGCGATGTGTGGCGCGTCGTAGTCGACACATGTAGTAATCTGTAGTGCAATGACCCTCCTTGCTGGCATTGGATCTCTGTTTGACCCAGACATTGTCAATGAATGGCCAGTAGGTCTCAAATTCAGCCTGGCTGATCTCGATGGGATCCTTGCACTCGAACAGAAGCCTCCGGATTTGTAATAAATTCGGTGGGTTCTCAAACAAGCTGCTAGCAGACTCTCCTACTGTAGGGGTTGGTTTTGATCTGCTGTTGTCATTGGGCGCACTATCGTGTCGAGGATAACTTGAATCATTTGCCTCGCCCCGCCGCGCTTGTTTTTCCAATGCGCCAGTCAGATTTACAGGCGTTGAATTATCTTCGGGATTTTGAGGATCTTCGTCCATCGCATCTTCTCTAGAGTTGGGTACTGGGCCATCTCTTGAATCTGTCTTTTCTGGTCCATCTCGTGTTCGCGTTTCGTTTATCTGTGATGGTGCTGATCCCTCTCCAGATGTTACGGCCTGTGGGCCCACGCCTGATTCGTTGAGGTCATGGGCCATTTTGTACTGGGACCCGTTGATAATGCACGGGCAGGGACACGTCAGAAGAATCCCAGTCAGTGGAGCTGATGGAACATCCAAGAGGTTTGGAATGGCTCCATCAACAAGTAGTGGGACTTGCCGGATGGTGTATTGAAGATGCCGAACAATTTCTAGCAGGCTTGGCATTTCCATCTACGGATCCTTATACATCACAATCACAACCTCCACTCTACTTTTGAATATTCCACTACGACCTTTGATTTTCGAGTCTCTGCCTGGTTCAAAGATTCCTAGGTTTTTGTCCACAGCTAACTTTGACAGATCAAAATCCAATCTAGTATGTAGCACTCACTGATGATATCTCCAGTCAGCATTTCAACTTGAACAAATTAAGCTACACATTAAGCTACACCAAAGACAACCTTGGAACATTTAGAACTGGATTAAAATTCGATCAAGGATACATGACCATTGAGAAGGATCATTTAGATACAAGCACACATTCAAAAAGCTCCAATGTTGGCTCCTGCACGAGCCAATGCCTCATAAACCTTGGGCGGCAACTTGTACTTCACCATACCAGAGAAGATCATGAGATCCTTGGCCATTCCAAGAAGGCGCTCTGCAAATCCCTGGTGCATCTCCGTCTCATACGGACCTGAAATCTGGCGGCGTCGCTCATGATCAATGCACGCAATAGACCACATAATCACAGGGCCAACATTACGCGAGATGATCTCCGGAAGGGATGAGAAGGCTTGAGCCGAGCTTCGAATCTGCGGCATAGAGCCATGGGCTTGCAGAGGAAGAATGGCCAACTTGTCAATAGCCTGTATATAATGATTAGTTTTTCTCAGGGTAATACAGAGGAATGCATGGATATAACATATGCTGATGTGTCACAACTTACATCAAGTGCTGGGGCCCACCTGCCAGCCTCCACTTCAATCTTGGCTTCCATCATGCAAAGCAAAAGTCTGCAGGCATCGCGGTTGATAGGGCGAATCTTCTCATAATACATCGGGTTAGAGTTGTAGAGGAATATCATGTTCTTGCCTAGAACAACAGGGTCGTCAACTGTGGTCAGGCTCAAACTGCTTCCAGGTGCGGCAGCACCGGACTGATCGCTCATCTGGTCTTCTTGACCTTGCGCGACCCGTGGACGGAGAGGCTGCAGCTTCGGGATTATTCCACCCAGTTCCACAGCGATAGACTCTGATAGAGCACGGTTAATGATGCCAACCACACGATCGTAATTCTCGGCCAAGTGATAAAGAAGGACTGCATCGGTGATCAGGCCCTTGTCATCAGCCACACCTGCCGCTTGCACAGTGATGTTCTTCAAGAAATCCTGCTGATCCGCCAAGAAGATCAAATCAAGCCGCTGCTCAATAATACCCTTAATTCTCGTTCCATCAGCGCGGATATCACCCAGTAACTTGGCGAAATCACGAGTCTCAAGAATAAACTCGCGCAGGGCCTCATGACAAACCGATGCCTGGGATTTACCCAGGGCGCCCGGTAGGTCTGCATTAAGACAAATCAATGTGAAGTAATCAACGGCCGCTTCCACATGTCCGGTACGGAATTCTCGGGTGTACTGAGTAATGAGATATCCAAAGTTGATTTGAGGATATTGCTTGACAGTGAAAGATACTGCGAAGACCCAAGGCCCATAGGTTAGCAACAAGAACAACATAAATGAATGAGAATATGAAGGGAGCAAGCGGGATATTCTTACAAATCTCTTCTCCGGAAGCGTAAAAGTCAGAAACTCGCAAAAGACCGTAGTAAGCCAGAGAAATGGCGAAATGAACGGCAGTGACAGGTGCGTAGGTAGCCAGGTAAGCGACGGCCTGTTCAAACATGCCACCCAGAACTTGGAGGATGAAAAAGGTTCCATAGCCGCCAGGAGCATCTTGACCCTTGGCGAATAATTGCTGGCCAATCTCGGTAATGTCAGTTTGGATATCCTCCAGGCCGAAAACATCACCTGCGACTTCCTCGACACGATCATCTTCCCTGGCGAGACTGAACTGCAGCCACATCCAGTCTTCAACGCTCTGGCTCACGCCCTGCAGACGGCGCTGGGAAAGATCGCAACGTCCAATAATCTTGTAGCATGCCATCCTGTAAGGGTCCACACTGTCAGGGTTATTCCACGCGCGCTGCTGGAACTCTCCGTTAATCCTTTGCTGCATGTCTCGTGGCAGGCGTCGGTTTTGGGCGTAGGTTGTCATGTATGTCACAAACTTGTGATCCATTGTTCTGAAGCCAGAATCCTGGCTGACGTATTCAGCAGCCTCCGTGACGAAACCGCATCGCAAAAGGTAAAAGATCAGAGCCCAGCAGTATTCATCAGTATCTTTCACACGCTGCAATTCAACTCCATCCGGTGCCAGATCCTTCCTGGCAGCACGCAGACGGATGTAGGCCCGGATTTTGTTGGTTACGGTGGGTATACCACCCAGCTGAGCCTCACGAGGGTTTTTGGTGATGAGATGTTCCACTTCATTATAGAACGTTTGTTCAAGATATTGTCTAGAGCCTTCAATAATTTGCTTCTTGAGATTGATGGCTCTGCGGGACTTGTTAGATTCGTCCAAATAGTCTTCTGAGAACTGGCGTTCTTTTACTGCATCGGGATCGGATGCGCCGGTGATGTTTGGATTCTCGTGGACAATCTTGATCAATGCTTGATAAGCATCGAACAATTGGCGTGGAGCCTGAATCTAATGTTAGCTTGTGTAAATCGGCAGCAAAACAGAATTCGGGATATACGTACATCTCCTCCAGTGTGCAGTTCAACATCAGAGAACTGATGGAGAACAGGATATGTTTGTTCGTGGAGTCGAGCCATGTTTAGCTGTTGAACTTTCTCGGCATAGTGTCCCATCTTCTCTCGCAGGAACCGGAGGTCGGGCGATGTAGTAAGTCCTTCATTGCGCTCAGTTGGATCCTCAAACAGTTGGCGGCTTTTAAGACCGTTGCCAGGAGTCCCAATGACGGATTTATCGAGACCTGAACGACCAAAGACACTTCGGCGAGATGCTGCAGCGCCGCCAGCTTGCTTCGACTGTCTCGCTGAACGGCCAAAAGCACCACCCCGTACTGTAGCCTTCATGCTTCCGCCATTGTTGTCTTTTTGCGAAAGGCCGAAATGGTTGAAAATAGCCTGGCGCTGCTCTTCCCAATCCATTTCTACTTTATCCTCCAAGAACGCATCGAAATCCTTTTGTGCCCGCAATAGGCTTTCCTCGATCATCACCTGTCGGCCACGCTGTTGAATGGTTCTCAGGAATCGCTGGTTGTCCGGGTCAAAGGTGTCTGTTTCTCTCACTGTAGCCAGAGACGCCTGCGGGTCAAGTGCACGAAGGTCTCGAAGTGTCCGGCCAGGCGAAATTCCAGATGATGCAAGAAGGTAATGGCTATTAAAAAGGTTCATAAAGTTAGCTATGGGTGCTTGGTCGGACTGAGGAGGTTTTGGTGGAAGGCTTACGCTTTGCTGGTCGTGCCATTCTGGGGGGGAGTCTTTGGCTCCTCCAAGCTCTCGAGCCTTTCTCCGAATATCATCCAGACCCAGGTGCAGACTGGGAACATCTTCAAAGTTACCATTCTGGACGGTGGCTGCCAGTGGGCGCTTCTTGCCACGCTCCAGAAGACTGTTGAAGAAGGCAGGCTTGGTTGACTGGGTCGACATTGGGTCTTGAGCTTGGAGAGGCTTTGCCTGTGGCTGGGGTTGGCCTAGAAGCGAAGACTGGAGGGGCTGCTGCTGTTGCTGAGCTGCTGGTTGGCCAAACAAGGACGAGGTCTGAGGAGTACTAGTAAACGAATTTGATTGCTGGGCTGCTGGCTGGCCGAACAAGGATGAAGTTTGCGCCGGCTGGGTAGTAGCTGATGTTGTATTTCCAAATGCGCTTGTGGTCTGTGGAGTAGTTGTGGCACCAAGGCCACCACCTCCGAATAAAGAACTCATGCTGCACAGAGGATTGAGTGCTGATGTTGTGTTGAGAAGGGAAGAAAGAGTGAGCAAAAAAGAGCTGCCAAGATCGCGCCGCCCAAGGATGATCAGCTTGTACGCTGAGTGGGTTCAAAGGCTGAAACTGAATTTGGCCTCAGAAACCAATGTTACAGCAGGCTTAATGCTGAATAAACAGAAAAAGGATATTTGATGGCAACAATTCATCAAATCCCGCTAACACTGAAGGAGGTAGTTCCTCTTGTCGCGCCCAAACAAAAGTTACCCGGCACCCCGGACAATCCATTTTCCCGACTTTAAGTGATCTCCAGATTCCATCAGTCGATTTTATTCACCTTGACATCTCTCCTAATTATGCCTACATTTCAATCTAAGACTTTTCGTCGAGCGACGACAGCTTCATCTTCACTCAGTGAGAAGCTTGGGGCTATCTATCGGGCGCGACTATCACGGCACCCTTTTCTTCTCTTCGGGCTTCCGTTCATCTCCGTCATTGTGGCCGCATCCTTTGCTCTAACTCCCGCGGCAGCCTTACGCTATGAACGTTACGACCGTAAAGTCCAGCAAATGAGCAAAGAGGAAGCATTCAATTTGGGTCTCAAGGGACCTGATGGAGAAGAAGGGATCAAACGTAACCCGCGCAGGAGAGTTATTGGCGATGAACGAGAAGAGTACTATGTAAGTATACAGGCTATATATACGTAGCGAAGGGGCTGCTCGTGCTGGATGTATCACTAACAATCATATTTCAGCGCCTTATGGCCAAGGACTTGGACGATTGGGAACAGAAACGAGTCAAGAGATTTGAGGGTGAACCAGATGGTCGAATTTGATGACTGCAATTCACATCATCTAAAATCGAGATATACCTCCTACGCCAATGCCGTTCACTGAAATCAGCACAACTTCTAAGGAAACTTTCACCTTTGTACCAATGTGATACCGGATAAGCATAGTGATTGCCGCTATCAAACGTACCCTATATCCTCCGTTCAACCTCAGGCTCTTGGCTTGTTGAATCGGAAGACTGAGATGACAAAATACACCTCAGCGGTGCTTTCAGTGCTTTCATCTCACCCAAATAAGTTTGCCTCATTTGAAATGGTTCGACGATCCACCGCTACTGGGTCCCATTGACGTGCGAACGTGGAGGCAGTGGAGACGCTTATATGTATACCCTGCAAACAGGGTCGTGCATTTTGGCCCTAATCCCAACTTGGGGCATTGATGCAAGATCGTCATCGCTATGATGGCCGATATTGAGCGTTTTTAGTCCCTTTGGTGCATTTGGCTCCTCTCTCAAGCTTATACCCGGAATGTATTATACTGTATGTTGTAAATATTAGTTTTCTGATTATTTAGATCTAATTAATGGAACCTTGGAACATCTTAGTATGTATGTGAAACTGAACCATTGGGGGAATCCGTACTACTAGAACATAGACGGGGATTTCTTCTTATTATTATTGTTATTGCGTCCTCACTGAAGGTCCGAGTCTACATTAGTGGGTACAACCGAGAGTATAGGATGAACATAACACTATGCGCATAGTTACCACCATACAACATCTATCTGCTATGTAAAAGTCTGTAAACAAGTTGAACTAAATATTTCATGCTAGTATTAGCATAATATATGTCGAAATTCCTCGTACTTCCATAAAAAATTATTAGACATCCCTATCAATGATCTTTTACATCCATAGTGGTGAGACCGGGATCCCCACCATAACGTCATAAGATTCTGGAAGTTCTCTTCGTCCGTTTTTCCCTTTTCCCACTTCAAGTTCCATTCCCCTTCTCCTCCCATTTGGACTCGTCTTATACATGGTCGGGTCTAGCCATCACCAACCCCCCCTTTTTAATGACGTATCATGCCCCCCTATGTTCTCCAGTCTCTTCCTCTCGCTTCCATTGGCCTAAATTAGGTCATCTCTGGCTGGACCCTGTTCGCCTCAGCCCCTCGAACGCCATCCGAACCATCTTACGTCAGTCATTTTTGAGACTTGCTTTTCTCCTTTCCCCACCATTCTCATTCAACTTCAGATAGTATCGAGATATCGAAATAGTCTTCGCGATTTCGCTTGCGATTACAGCTTCGCCAGAATCCTACTCTAAATCGGGCAGATGGTGTGATTAACCCTTGTCACTCTATTGAACCTGTTCGGTCCCAAGTGCTGGGAGCAAGACCAGCTGCCATGACGGGTCCAGGATCATCATCACCTTCTTCACCATGGGTACATACGCCACAAGGAGGAGTTCGGGATGGCCGAACTCCCCATTCTTTTCATCCCACCCTATCTCCAGCCACAACCGGCATCCACTCCAGCGCTGTCGCCGAGCGAGCGAGCCCTAACTACTTCGGCATCACCGTTGGACATTCGAGTAATTCGCCCAATTCAAATCCCGGTCCGCATGCCCAGAAAAACTGGGGTCCATTCCCACCTTCCCAGTCTCTCCCGAGTCCCACGAAACTGCAACTGTATTCACAAGAATCCATGTCAGAAGGACTGATCAATCTTTTGAGAGCAGAGTCAGAAATCGATAAAGGTCGTAGAGAATCTGCCCTGCAGGGGTTTCCGTCTGGTGGAAATCAGTTTCAAGAAAGTATAAGTATTGACCATGCGAGGGTTTGGTCTCAAGGGTCCTTCAGTGGAATGAGTTCCCAGTACAGGAAATCCTCCCTCGGTATGTAACATGGAGACCTACAATATTCATCCCCTTTCACGCATGAACATTGGCCATATCTAACCTTTGATTAGCCTCGGTACCTGAAACCTCTCAATGGATATCAGCTGACCGTAGTGCTGAACTTCTCAAATCTTCCCCACGCAGCGTTCTTTTGTTGGATGTTCGACCGTTTGCCCACTATTCTAAAGCAAATATCCGGGGATCTTTGAATCTGTGTATTCCCACAACCTTGCTGAAACGACGTTCGTTTGATACACAGAAACTAGAAGGCACATTCACCAGTGATCATGATAAACGACGCTTTACTCGCTGGAGAGAATGCAACACCATTATCGTTTATGACTCTGCTACTGCTGATGTCAAAGATGCTGTACCTCTTCTGAATGTTATCAACAAATTTCAGGCAGAAGGTTGGAACGGTGAGGGATTGATCTTGCAGGGTGGCTTTAAGAACTTCTCTGGTCAGTTTCCAGACTTGCTTCACCGCCCCCAAAGTCAGGCGACAGGTCCTTCTACCAAGAAAAGATCTCCCATGAGCATTGATCTTCCATCTGTTGCACCTGTTGTCGGAGGCTGTGCACTTCCGGATTCAGCATCGGCTGTCAATCCCTTTTTTGGGAACATTCGGCAAAACATGGACCTGGTGGGAGGGGTGGGCCAAATTCCTCTGAAATTACCGCGCGGGTTAACTCAAGCAAAACGACAAGGGCTCCCTGTCTGGCTCCGCAATGCTTCAGATGTCAAGGATCAAGGTCAAATTGTTTCTGAGAGATTCCTAGACCTAGAGAAGACAGAACTTCAACGTATGAAGCAGGCATTGTCGTACGAAGGATCCTCGGCTTCCGCTGGTGGTGCATCCAAAAAGTACAGAGTTGCTGGCATTGAAAAGGGTACCAAGAATCGCTACAACGACATCTACCCGTTCGAACATTCACGCGTCCGTCTGGAAGGCGTCTCTCTGGGCGAGTGTGACTATGTGAATGCAAACCACATCCAAGCCGAGTTCAGTAACCGCCGATACATTGCGACCCAAGCCCCTGTTCCGGATACATTCAATGTAAGATGCTTCTATCCTGCTTCTTTCTCGTGATCCTACTACTCTTTCGTATAATCTTGTTTCCATGCTGACAATGTGTATAGGACTTCTGGCGGGTAATCTGGGAGCAAGACGTCCGGGTCCTAGTTTCATTGACCGCTGAGATAGAGCGAGGGCAGGTAAAATGCCATCCCTATTGGCGGACTGGAGATTACGGGCCTTTCAAGGTCAAGGCCTACTCGGAGCAATTCATCCGGGTTGAATCCAATGGTCAATCGGACAATACAGGCCAGCCCCCTGATGGAACTAATGAAAACCCCGTTATCATTGTGCGGCATTTCAGTCTTTACCATACCGCGATGCCATTCCAACCTCTTCGGGATATCACACAGCTCCAGTATCCATACTGGCCCGACTTCGGAACTACTTCACAACCAACTCACTTGCTTGCTCTTATCGAGCAATGTAACAAGGCCGTTCGTGCCTCCAGCAACCTAGGCTTTGGCAGCCAAGATGCCGAACCTAGTGGCCAGCGGCCCATCCTCGTACACTGCAGCGCTGGTTGTGGACGCACCGGCACCTTCTGCACCGTTGACAGTGTGCTGGACATGCTGAAACGGCAGCGGGCATCGCAAACACATTCCTCCGGACTTCCGGACTGGATTAATGATACCAATCGCGACCTGATTCTCAAGGCAGTTGAAGACTTTCGGACTCAACGGCCTAGTATGGTGCAGAATCTGAGTCAATATGTACTCTGTTATGAAAGCGTTCTTGAATGGCTTGTCTCTCGGATGGATAACAACCACAACAATTCTTGAAACGAAATTCTTGAATGATTGGAGATACCCCTTTTTTCTCTTATTTTGGCAATTTCAAATGGTTCTATCAGGCTTGTATTTTTTGGGAAGAAATTTGCATTCCTCGGTGTTTTAATGCGATTTTTATTTGGGGGGGAGGGCATATGGAGTTTTGTCAATAATGAACACATAAAAGGCACCATTTGCTTAGCAATAGATATACGAATGACTCCTCTTTGTTTGCTATCAACTTGAAGTTTGTGCGCCCTGTAGCTTATTATAGTGTAAAACAACTTTGTGATATCTCTCACGGCTGATCCCGATATGGGAAAATCATAATAGTTAGGATCTGGAGAAGTCCGGTTTATCCGCTACTAGGGAGTAAATATTAAATGAGGTAGAGCGACTCTTGCTAGTAATTTATTCCAGATGTTAGGAACTCGAACACCAAGTGAGAAAATCCCCACATTAAACATTAGGCATCTGTTTCCCTAGTTCAATGTCATCTCTGCCTGGAAGTGGTTACCCCATATCACACTCTAATTTGAGCCCCAAGGCAGCAAAGGGCCCCCGGCCTTAGGGGATCACCCACTCTATATAAGACAAACAACCTTTTAACATTTGGATCTCTTTCTATTTCCTCCACCTTCCACCTTCCTTTCTCAACACATCCATCCCCCCATACCTGATTTTTCAATAATGTTACTCTCACTACCCCCTGAGCTAATACAGCTCATTTTGCGAAGCTGCGACCCATCCTCGTTCTTGCAGGCTGCTTTTAGCTGCATCAAGCTACTAGAGCTTGCTATATCTAGTCGGGAACTCGTTTTATTTCAACTCCACCAGACACCGGGGAGACTTGAAGACTGGGACTCTCTAGAACACAGACAACTCTTTCGGCTGCTTCTGCAGCGTGCCCAAAAACAACTGTTTGGAGTTGAGACTCAGTTTGAAAGCAAGATTTTTCGGTTTAAGGGAAAAGCGATTGCTACTCGCGCGACTTCGCTCCGGGATTCAGGCACCCAAAAGGAAATTCTCCTGGTCTTCAAAAATGACCCCACTGTGTACCTGATGGAGATCCAAGGCGGGCAACTGAGCCTTCAGCGACAATTCCAAATTCCAGCACCAAAATTCGGCAAGGTTCAAATATTGCATACAGCTTTCAGTTCTACATCTATTTATGTGTTGCATCGTTTACAGCACCTTCCCGACCAGGAGCTGGACATGAACCACCCTTTCGTGAGACAGGCTTTGACGTCTAACCCTTTCGGAAGTATATTTCTGGCCTGCTACAGTCTGAGACCTGAAACAGGCGTCGTGAAAATCTATGGGTTCCCCGAACAGAGCGATTACGAGCCAATTTGCCTCGCGGCACAGTATGATATGTTTGCGATCTCCTGGCAGCATCCGCAGGATTCCTTCGATCATCAAGTGGTCCTCTACACCATGGATGATGAGGACGAGGAGGATGAAATGGACTTGGATTTCGTGCCAAGTGACTCCGAGGTAGATGCTCGCAATGGCCAAGTCAGTGGTATACAGCCGTTGAGGAATAGTCCTCTAACCATCAGTTTGTTCCACCCATTCCTACAGTTTTAACGTGAAGCATAGTTTCTAATACTAGCACTTGGTAGCCTCAAGATATACATCATATCTCCTGTCATCCTCTGTTGAGGATAATCCCGGCGATAGCCCGGGCCAAAGAAAAGGCCCGACGGTGCGACTGGCGTTCAATGATCGAGGGCAACAGCTGCTGCACTACTATAGAGCTCAGACGCTATATAACTCCTTCCAGAGGATCCATTGGCTTCCAGCACCTGGTCACCTAAGGCCAAACGTCGTTGATAACGGGTGTGTCGTAGAATTTACGAGATCGCTCTCGCTCCGTTTCTCAATTGGGATCCCTTTCTTCGGTACTCATCAGGCAGGTGATGGAACTATCGGGTCGCGGTGTCACTGGCAATATCTCGCTGTTGGAATTGCCACCCACCGCGTGGAGCATTGGTCTGTGGCCTGTATATTGAGATCGGAGTCATTTCCTGGATCTCATCACTGCGGACATATCATGAATCTTGAGCGAGGCAGACGATTCCAAGATTGGCATATCATGGCCCAATTGGGAGGGTTCCAAGAAGCGAGTACATCACAGGGTTCTCTCATTGCAGCTTCTCATCAAGGAACTCGTCTTGCAATGGCTAGCTGGAAGACTATCTCTATTTGGGCTCTGGAGCCCAATGCGTTAATTCAAATGGACCATGGAGATGAATTCTATCCTGAGTCGTGGAGATCTGCAGAGGAACATCTGGAGATCCCACCTGTCATCATCCAGTTGGATGCTGTTTGTTCCCAGTTGCAATTCACGGAGAATGAGAATGAACTATTCGCCCTCACCGACCGAGGGATTATGCTTCTCCGTCTTAAGCCCGATGGACAAGGAATTCGAGTTGCGGAGATTGAAGGGAATCATATTCTCGCCGGTTCACCAGATGGACTTTAATTGATATTTTTATGGTTTCGCTGCGAGTTTTATATTTTCTGCTCTTAGGATACCAACTTGAACTTGAACTGCATGGCGTTATTGACATCCCACCTTAAGAGTGTTGTTTTCGGGATTTCGCAACAAGAACCAGACGAAATTGCAACTTGAGTTACTCTCTTTTTGGCTTTAGAAAGAATAAAATTATAACCTTTGCATAATCTATGGTTTTTCAAGATCAATATCACTCTCCGCCGCCACCACCACCACCAGACATCGTCAAGAATGTGACAATCAAAAGCACCCACCAGTATCTATCCACGACAATTTATTAGTAAACACTCCCATGTGGACAAAGCTCCGGGTACCAATAATCCAACTTACTTCTGGAAAAAGGTCTTTTCCGGCTCCTCCTCCGTATTCTGTCCATCAGGACCAACAACAACAGGACGATTCAAATGCGGCTGAGCACCCGGTTCCGTGGAAACAAGCTCAACCTGAGGAGTGGCAGAAGTATTCTTCGACGCAGCTAAAGACACATGATAGATTTCATTGGAAGCAGCAAGGTGCAGACGAATAGCGGGGGCGTTCTCTCCTGTCAAAGCAGACAAAGAGACAAGACTACCAGCCCATTGCTTCGAATTTGAAGCAGTCGACTTGTAGATACCGATGCGAACAAGCTCATCGGAAGTAGATTCTGACGGAGCATGGTAGGAGACCAGCTCGGACTTCAGTGAGGTCGGGTCGTATGTGACGCGTGCGAGGAGGGAGGGTTGGGCGGTGCCCAGGGGCCAGTACAGGATATCGGAGGACTCGGCGAGGGCGGAAACGATTAGGAGCATGAATGCCCCGAGTACAGAGGGGAGGTACATGTCGAAGTGGGTGAGATGGAGGTCTTAGGAGAGTCGAACACTACTTGAAGTGTCAGATATCGCGGAGTTGGAGATTAAGGCGGTTGGGTCCGTGCGCTGCATATATCCACTGGCACTTTGTATAGGGAAATCAGTGTAGGTGACCTCTATCAAGATTTGAGGTAGGATATCAGATTTATTGCTCATTATGTCGAAAATAGAAGTTTGATTTCAGTACTAACCATCTTCAATGCTTCTCTCACTTCTGGGTAGGCCTTGTACTCTCGAATCAAACCAGTTGGCCCGATACATACTACCTAGGTACGTGAACAACGTATCAACATTTGAATATTTCAAGTTCCATATATTTAAGAAAGTTATATTTATTCAGAATCCTGAGAGCTCAAGACCTCCAAGACCCAACTTTTTATGAAGTTTTATTTTTTCGAACAAGTGGTGATTATTGCCTTGGCTCTGGGCGCAGATTATTTTTCGAGCCATATTTCAAACCCTCATATCAATATTTTAGTAATTTTTAGTTCATTGGAAAGCTGAGACTTCAAGACTACCAAAAACCAGATTTTGACATAAATTTATTTTTGAAGCCTGGGTCATTATTCAATATTTGTATGGGCTCAAGGTCAAGTAGGCAGTGTGACTTCAAACAACTTGGCCCAAGTCAACCTTGGAATCCAACTTGAAGATTATGTACACAAATTGTAAGTCTCCAGGACTGTACATATTGCCAGTCATACTAAGCATCGTTAAGTTCAATTGAGATTATGAGTACTTTTTGTCTGATATATTGTATAATCATGTATCTATACACCTGAATATCTGAAGTATATGGGCTACTATGGCGATCCATGTCAATACTACATATCTCATCTCATCATCTGACATTAAAATGTTCTCAACTCTTCTTAAGTGCTTAATATCAATGGATTGAATTTTGCTTGCCACAACTTTATCCAAGAATAATAACAACACTCGAATCACTGCTTAAATCTCTTGTTGTTTCCCCATACTGAACCCTCCCGAGGTCCGGCTAATCTGTCCCGCAAAGTGACCGAAACTTATCATCTCACCCCACAATTCAACTGAACCCAACTTTCACTTCCCATCGAAGTCCCCAGACTAACCAACTTCGACTTGTGAACGTAGTCATGACCTCTTTGCCTTACCGTAAAGGCTCACGACAGGCCTCCTTGGATCCCCGCAATGATCTGTCAGTACACATGGACCATTTCATCGGTATAGATGTGGGGACAGGTAGTGCGCGGGCCTGCATCATCGATGCCAAGGGAGACATTGTAGGCCTAGCCTCAGAAAACATTGGACTCTGGCAACCGGAGCACGGCTACTATGTATGATCTCACTCTATACACGGTAACAATTACAGAATTTCACTCGAGGCTAACGAGGTACTTATAGGAGCAATCCACATCTGATATCTGGCGCTGCATCTGTAAAGCCGTGCAACGAGCCATCAGCGAACAGAATGTTAACCCAGAGACTGTCCGTGGTGTCGGATTCGATGCAACTTGCTCATTGGCTGTATTCAATACCGAGACCGATGAACCCATCTCAGTGACGGGACCGAACTTTGACTCGGATCGAAATGTCATTCTGTGGCTGGATCACCGTCCTGGAGATGAAGCGGCGAAGATTAATGCCACGAATCATAATCTTCTCCGTTACGTTGGAGGCACCATGTCCGTGGAAATGGAGGTTCCTAAAGTTCTTTGGTTAAAGAATAATATGCCTGCAGAGCTATATGATAAGTGCCAGTTTTTTGACCTGGCAGATGCACTTACCCATATCGCAACGGGCAATGAGAAACGCAGCTTTTGCAGTGTGGTCTGCAAACAGGGATATGTTCCTGTTGGAGTGGACGGGAGTGTCAAGGGTTGGCAAGAGGATTTCCTACATGAGATCGGACTGGGTGATCTGACAGAGGACAATTTTAAGCGCATGGGCGGCGTTGACGGGGTGGTGAGCCTTTCCAAAATATGGACATGAAATTTCCTGCTAATCTTTTCTCACGCAGAATGGAGATTACCTAAGTGCTGGCGAGCTCGTCGGGCATCTGTGTGAAAAAGCTGCGACGGAGCTAGGCTTGCCCGCCGGCATCGCAATTGGTAGCGGTGTTATTGACGCATATGCTGGCTGGATCGGTACAGTTGGAGCCAAGGTCAATTTGGATGCCGATCAGCTAAACAACGAGGTCGCCAAAAACGATCCTGCGCAGGCTTTCTCCCGCCTTGCAGCAGTTGCTGGAACCTCAACCTGTCATCTGGCCATGTCTCCAGACCCGGTCTTCGTGAATGGGGTTTGGGGTCCATACCGAGATACAATCATTCCGGGATATTGGATGGCTGAAGGCGGCCAGTCTGCGACTGGTGAATTACTAAAGCATGTTATTGAAACACACCCAGCATTCAACCAAGCGCTTTCAGTCGCCGAATCCTACCATGCCAATATTTACGAGTACTTGAACGAGCACCTCAAAGAAATGGCGCAGGAGCAGAATGCCCCATCTGTCTCTTACTTAGGGAGACACTTCTTTTTCTACGGTGACCTTTGGGGTAATCGATCCCCTATCGCTGATCCCAACATGACGGGATCTATCTTCGGTTTAACGAGTGATAAAACGGTCGACGGTCTCGCTGTTTACTATTACGCCACACTGGAATTCATTGCTCTGCAAACCAAGCAAATCGTAGAGACAATGAATAACTCCGGCCACAAAATCACCTCGATCTTCATGTCAGGCTCGCAATGCCAGAACGATATTCTTGTTAAGCTCATTGCGTCTGCTTGTGATATGCCTGTCGTGATTCCACGGTACATTCATGCCGCAGTATGTCATGGTGCTGCCATGCTTGGTGCAAAGGCTGCTAGTGCCAATGACGAGGGTGTGACCGAGAATCTGTGGGAGATTATGGATCGTATGAGCAAGCCTGGTAAGAAGGTATTGCCTACGGTAGATGCGAAGGAGAAGGCACTGTTGAAAGCGAAGTATGAGGTCTTCCTCGAGCAGTGCTTCAAGCAGCAAAAGTACCGTCAGATAGTCGATGAGGCTGTGGGTGATTGGGGCTCAGCTTAATCGTCAGGTCTAAGATGAACACGCATTGGGAAGAGATTTGGGTTGAAAATGCCTAGTAGAGGGGCATGCTTTACTCTACAATCCAACATGCAAGGCTTATAATGACAATGAAAAAGCAAGAGAAAAGGACAAACTGGAATCGAGCACTTGAGCAATGTCATTCGAGTACCATTGGACCAAACTCTGAAATAAGAATACATGCAATGGATATTTCCCTAGTCTAGCAAGAAACCGATTCAAGGTACAAAAAAAGCGGCAAAGAAAAACGCCCAAAGCATGAATGCGCTACGTACAAGGCGAAAAATAATGGACAAAGAATCATGGCCAAGATACTGGATCTAGGCAATTTCGGGCATCAAACCATTATGGTGGTGGTCCACCTGTAGTAAAAGTTGTTCTAATATGCCACACCGGCTTGCGTGCGGCCGATGGTATAAAACTTCTCTGAGCGGCTGGAGCCCAGAGCGAGAGTGTCGAATCGGTCCACGCCCATGCCATCCATGTTGCTGTATCCCGACAGATAGAATCCGAGAACAACAACCAAATAGGTCAAGACAAGGACAGAGCCCTTGAAGTAGTTGCTCTTGCCTTCACCGTAGACGTATGAGAGGAGGAAGACACACAGGATGACGGTGATCATGTCCCATTGGGGGAAGATAAGACTATAGAACGGAATTTGTTAGTAGCTGGCCATTGGTACATCACTGTAAGAGTTTTGTTGAAATTTACTTGAAAGAGTGCTTGGCGAGCTCGGCTGGGTCGATCGAGCTGGTGTATATGGCACTGAATAGAACCAGGGCAGGCACCTGTAACAGACAGACTTGCAGGGCATAGGCCGATCCAATCTCCATAGACAGAGCGATATTGCCGTTCATTGCAAAGGAAATAGCATTCTGTGAGGAGTATCAGTATCATGGGTGGTAGTGGGCAGGGGTTAATTAGAGAAGGGCCAACTTACAAGGAATTCGGTGGTGTTAGGCACCAAAGCAAAAAGGGTTATACCAAGAAACTTCTCGTCAATGTCCACGCTCTCCAGCACTACATCAACGGTATTGACAAGGATTTCCGCAATAATGGCATAAAAGAGAGTTGCGCTAAGGAGGATGACTGAACTCTTGACTTTACTCCAATTTGGAGCATCATGGCCGCCACCAGCGTGAGCCGCTTCGGTGGGGAGACCAACATCCTCTGCTTCCTCGACGGGAGCCGGCTTGGTTTGCTCCGCCAAATTACGACCAGCATGACGGCCGGTACTCTGTTGACCAGTAAATTTCCGGTTCCGAGCGGCATCGCGAGCCGCCACTGCTGCGGCTGTTGCTGCAACCTCCGTGACCTGGCGTACAAGGCGCTCGTTATCCTCCCCAGTTAAACCACGGATGGCCTTGGGGATTTTCCGATCATCACAACCGCCGCTTGATGGCGGCACCAGATGAAGAGGATTGTTCCGATTTTCTGTTATCGAGCTATTATCAGTCTGTTCCCAGGTACTGATACTTCCATCTTCTAGCCCAACGTGTCTTAACGACTGGCCCAGGATCCGCTTGTACAGCTGAGAATCCCGAATCGAGTCTTTATGATTAGTGAGCGCACCAGAAGCCTCAGGTGACCCTGAGAAAAGCATATGTCTTGACTCATAAGACATCATATCATGGGCAGCTTGAGATGCCTTCTTCTCCTCATTCTCAGTAGCCCAGATCAAGGCGGCATGAGTCCTCAGAGTGAACCAAAGACCAATAATGTATGATAGAAACAGGAAGCCAGCGGAGGCGAATGCATACGGTTGGACTGCTTTCTGAAAGAATACATCCTGATGCGTCGCCGTTTGGGTAAAATAACATTGACGGCAATCTCGGTTCTCTTGGTTACCCTGTGCAAAACACGAGTGGCAATTGAGTTCATGCTGCAAAGCTGGTTAGTAAAAAGCTCAGTCTATCATGCTTGAAGTATAGGGGCCACTTACACTGCCATAAACCTGGTAGAATAGAGTAGGGCCAAATGCAGCGATCATTGCAAATAGCAGCATAGTCGATGTTACACCGGCAGATTTAACATTGAACCGTTGGGTCTTGCGTTTGATAGCGCCAAAGCACATGGATAATCCCGGGAGGAAAAGAATACCGGCAAATATACTGCCGATGATGCTGCCCTCCACAAGTTGAGCCTTGCCCTCTGTCAGTGCAACACAGTAGAGATAGACCTCTACCACGGTCGAGAAAAATGCATTAATCGCAGCACCTAATCCCATCGAAGATTGGGCAGAAATAGAAGCAACCGCTTGGCCAATGAAATACGCCAGAGGAATGATTGAAAACAAGGCGAGTGTGAAAATGAGCCCAGGATGGGTCAACCACGACTCTACTCCCAGAAATTTGCTCAGAAAATGGTAGTCGACAATGACGAAGAGCACGACCCCAAGCAGGTTAATGAAAAAGATGTTTGTGCCATCAATTGTGTATTTCCAGTATCTGCTTCCAGCGGCACGGTATGTGCACAGGAGGATAGAGGGCGAAGAAGAACCAGAGCTGAGTCTTGCATATGAGGTATCGGTATGGAAAGACAGGGCGAGAGGGTGGCGTCGCAGATGGCTCACCAGGACGAGCGTCACACGACCCATTGGAATAAAAAATACCAGTAGCCAGCAGATAAGAGACACCAAAAGCGTCAAGGGTCCAACCCAGAAGTAGAAGAAAATAAAGAACACGACTCGACCTGTAGTCCATTCACCGCGGCCGAAGAGACGACGCTTAGAATGAGAGAATTGCGAATCCTGGCCTTGTCCTCGCTGGGGCCGGCCCAGCAGACTATCTTGTTCGCCTGCGGAATCCACGCTGTTTCGTCGGCGTCCTACTAGTGATCGGTCTCTGCGTGGACCAAAAAATAATCGGCCATGTTCCAAGTCCCCATTCTGCCATTGCTCATACTCGCTGATACTGCGACCTTCACCTTCGTCTTCTTCAGCGTAAATTTCATCAGTCTGGAGAAGAACGAAAGAGCCGAAGGGGTAAAGCAGATAACGTGAAAGACCCGAGAAAACTCTCCCATAAGCCAAGGCGCTGGAGGAGTAGGCAAAGAAAAAGCAGGCGATGGCCGCCAGCAAAGCAGCCAAAGCAAGCCACCATCCAAAGCATATCGTCCACAGAAGATTAGCTAAGAATATGGTAGGACTAACACGACCTCCCGGGGAAGAATGAATATCTCCCTCTGCCGTCTTTTCCACCGATCGGCTCTTCTTGTATAGGGCCGGCTTCCAAATTCGAATACCAAATGGATGTGTTTCATTAATGGCTTGCTGCCGATCTTTGAGCGTGAAGCTCTCCGCATCACTTGTCGATGCCTCATCATCGTCGTCCTCGTCCTCGTGCTGAGAATCATCTACGCTGTCAAGATCACTCCCACCGTCTGATTGCTCTAGCGGCGGAAGCTCGCCTGAGGCTTCCAGGCCTTGCTTTGGCAGACCAGGATCTTCCAAGCTGATGTTGTCCGGGTCAGCTTGTGCCAGCGGACTCGGTTGGGCACGAGCACTGGGGCGTCGTCGCAGAGTGGAACTTGGGGCACGCAAGGGGCGAATTCTCGGAGATGGTATGGTGGTGGAGGCCTGTTGCAATGCAATATCCTCCTCGATCTCTTTTAGGTCGTCATCAGTTGAGAATTCCTGGCCTTTATGGGGTACCTGGCGTTTGGAGGACATGCGGCGGGTAACCGATGGCTTTCTAGGCCTATCCGGAGCTGTGGACGATGAGGTAAAGGCGCGCGTCGAGAGATCCTCTTGAGTTTCTTCATAGCGCATCTCAGAGGTGGACTCAGTATCCAAGGTTCCTAATTGCGGAGGTCAGTTTGATTATGCGACTTTTCCATTACTTTTTTTAAATTTTTTTTTCTTCCTCCTGTTACACGGGAAGTGCAGTCTCACCGTAAGTTCTTCGCACAGAGGACGTTGATCTTGGATCCGGGATAGATGATCCAGAAGCGTATTCATTCCCTGTCATCCCCGAAAGCCGGTTTGCCTCGGGGATTTCGGAGTCCTTTGTGTCGCCTGCCATTTCAGGGGAGCTGTGTTGGTCCAACGAATAGGACAAGATAACAGGAGTGGGAAAATCCTAGCCCCGCGAATAACGGAAAAAAGGAAAAACAAAAAGTAAAAAGTAAAGATCAAAAAGAACCTTCAAAAATAACAGGGATCAACTAAGTAACGATGATTTCGCAATTACATGGCGGGGTGGATGAAACGGGTCTGATCTCAATCATTGCATCAGCTGAGATGCAGATGATAGAGTACAGAGTAAATGAACTGCAAATCAACTCCATCATCAAATCCGCGTGGAGAACTACATAAGCAGATGACCCGTGGTTCGCCGCCAATCATGGGTCCAATGACTTATCAAGTGGGGAGCTATATGTTTGTACTGTTTGTCTTTAAGTGAGCCTCGTTGCCTTGACACCTATTTTATCGGGCGTCAAGATCATGTGTTTGGTTCCCGCAGCTTCGAGAGACCTGGGAGCTGGTTCCACAGCTCTCCAACTGTGACATCTTAGATCATCTCAACTGCCATCATACCCATCAGCCCTCGCACTTCCACACGCTACTCACTCTGTCTCTGACCTCATCTCTGGACACGTTTCTCAGGGCGGAAGTAGTGAATTCCTTCCAACATTTCCCATCCCTCTGTGGACGTCAATAGCCCGTGCCATCTCCATTAGTGTCATCTTTTCAACATGGCGCTCGACAATTACTACCGCAATAAGATCGAGGGGATGAAGCTGGAGATTATCCAGGGTCAAGCAGTTCTACGACGATTAGAGGCACAGCGCAACGATTACAACTCGCGGGTGCGTCTGTTGCGGGAGGAGCTCGGTCTTTTGCAGCAACCTGGCTCGTATGTTGGTGAAGTTGTCAAGGTGATGAGCACCAAGAAGGTCCTGGTTAAGGTTCACCCGGAGGGGAAAATACGGTAAGTCCTTATCCTGTTGAATGCCACCTGCCTGGGGCCCAGCCTTGGCTTGGTACACAACCTTTTTAACGCGGGCCAAATATCCAGTCGTCGATATCGCGGATGGCGTAGACATTGCCAAGCTTACCGTGGGCAAGCGGGTCGCCCTTCTTTCCGACTCATACAAGCTGGAGAAGATGCTCCCATCCTCCGTCGATCCCCTCGTTTCGCTCATGATGGTGGAGAAGGTTCCCGACAGCACATATGACATGATCGGTGGATTGGACCAACAAATCAAAGAAATCAAGGAGGTTATTGAGCTCGGTCTTAAGCACCCCGAGCTATTTGAATCTCTGGGTATTGCACAGCCCAAGGGTGTCTTGCTATATGGCCCACCCGGTACCGGTAAGACGCTTCTGGCTCGAGCTGTGGCTCATCACACGGATTGTCGATTTATCCGAGTCAGCGGTTCAGAATTGGTTCAAAAGTACATTGGTGAGGGTAGTCGAATGGTGCGTGAGCTGTTCGTCATGGCCCGTGAACATGCACCTAGTATTATCTTCATGGATGAGATTGATAGTATTGGATCCAGTCGTATAGACTCGGCAGGAGGTGGTGATTCTGAGGTTCAGCGTACCATGCTGGAGTTGCTGAATCAACTGGACGGCTTCGAGCCAACTAAGAACATCAAGATCATTATGGCAACCAATCGATTGGACATCCTGGATCCGGCCTTGCTGCGACCCGGGCGAATTGATCGCAAGATTGAGTTCCCACCTCCATCGTGAGTTTCCCTTTTTCCCTCTTGCGGCACAACCTAGTCCCGACGAACACAATACTAACCACTATTTGCCTGATCTAGGGTCGAGGCTCGTGCGGATATTCTACGGATCCACTCTCGCTCAATGAACCTTACTCGTGGTATCAACCTTACCAAGATCGCCGAGAAAATGAACGGATGCTCGGGAGCCGAACTGAAGGGAGTTTGTACCGAAGCTGGTATGTATGCGCTGCGTGAGCGACGTGTGCATGTGACCCAGGAGGACTTCGACCTTGCTACTGCCAAGATCCTCAACAAGCACGATGACAAGGAAGTTGCCGTCTCTAAGTTGTGGAAGTAGATAGTTGGTTCGTCATGTATCACTAGTTCTAATCTGACTCTTGGGCTGAGTTTGTCTCTACGTATTCATCCCTCTCGGCGGCTTCCACTTTCAAATCAGGTCCTTTGGACTCGTAGAAATGACTCGCATATGCCTTGTGTCTATTTAATGTTGCAGTCCCCAAGAAACCTTTTCATGCATCAACTGCACCCTTCTCCCATAGTTCCAAGGTTTCAAGTCTCAGTTATCAATGGCATCCCTGCACTTTTTGGGCACACATTCTTGGCCAAGACTGTGTACGTGGCTCATCAATAGTGCAGAAACAATTTTTTGGCAAAGATTCCAAGGTTTTATTACATCTAATTATTTCTTTGGCGATAGAGAAATTCATACTTGCTAAAGTGACAGTATATGGAGTCATTCGTACGTCGTACCCTAGGGTAAATCTCACTCAAGACTGAGCACTAGCAGGGTACATGTACTTTGCGGTCCAATCTTTGAGGCGATCATCGGACTGGGCCATTAACGGCAGAAATACTACTCCGTACTTCGTACACATTAGGCAGTATGCCACTCTTTGTGTTCCCAAGCAAACTGCGGCCTGGAAAGAGGTAGGAGAAACCTATTGGCTTGGCCGTCATCCCTTGGGGTCTTGGCTGAAGTTCTCGGGGATAGACCTGTGCAGAAGATCATGGTTATCTTTAGGAGAATGTCAGATCAACTGCTTGGCGTTGATCTTCCGATGATCTTCACCTGGTGAATTATTGGCTTGGCAGTCTAGGATTAAACTGCAGTTTGCTGCAGTCTGCACACTTAGCGGCTTTCACTAGTAGTCGAAGTACTCCGTACTGAGCGCAGAGAACGAAGGACAAGTAGATCCAGGGCTGGGGGTATATACCCGGTATGTATATCGGGTAGAAAGGGATTTGTTGAAAAGTGTCAATCTTGATACCTATTAGTAGTGTAGATCAAGTCTGATTATAGAAATCAAATTCCGTCCTGATATCGCATTGCCTACCACGATGAAATATGTCCATAAAAAGTGGATACATAGTTAACCGCGTGACCAGCGGATCAGTGGGGGTTGGATAGTGGAGAGTGTGGACTCCGGGGGGGATTTACTCCGTCTTAGTACTAAGTATTAAGTACTTCCCCTTTATACTATTATCTCATATGATCTCTAAGTATTGAGTACTTTGCCCCTGTTCTTCCTCCTTACGCACTTATGTATATCTTTCCCAAAAACATGCCATCTGTGTGCACCGTGGATCATTGGATCATTCCATTGGTGTTCTATTTTCTTTTTCTTTTTCTCCTTCCTTTTTTTGCTGTACATCATCGCCACCTTATCTGTCATAGTGATAGACTCCTGTTGTTCCATATAGTCTATATAGATACCTCCCTTTTTTTCCTCTCTCCTTTAAAGATATAAGACAGAGAGATCTAATAGAAACTCTATCCCTCGAAAGGTCTTTAATTCCAAGCCTCAATCAGTGTACTAGTAGCAGACATCTACCACCTGGCATCCGCAAACAGCTACTATCACCATACTATTGATCCCCGCATTATCGGACCTACTCTATTGGGATCATCCGTAACGCGCTGACCGACACTCTTATCATTACTCAATGGAATAATCCAATTCCTACCTGGCACCATTCAATCAATTCTATCACACCGTTCCACCATCTCCACCGTCCGGATCTTTGTTTCCGTCCCGCTGCTTGACATTCGCACTAGGCTGTTTTCTTCTATCTCGGTGAAGACCCATGTTCCCAGATCAGCCGATCTGATCTATTTCTACCGTCATCTCCCCCCACGTCCCTGATTCCCCACTCCACCGGCCTTACTTAGTGGAACCCAGACACCCGTGTCCCAAACTATAAGAATCCCCGGACTACTACGGTATGTCCGACTTGTGGTTGGATCTTGTTTCTACAATAAACCCCGACAACGAAGCCATGCCAGCAGTTCTACAATCTACTATCAGTCTCCTAGAGTTGGAGCTGGGTAAGGCGCGTGCTGCCTTGCAACAGCTTCAGCCTCCTACCCCGTTCCTTAGCATTGGCGATGAAGTTGCTGTTGGTGCTATGGCCGCATATCGCCAGAACCTCATCAACCGTGCTCCTGACTTTTATGGATCGCGTCGCTTGACTGCTAAAGAACTAGGGCTGGAGCCTGTCGTTTGTGAACTTCCCCAAGAGAAAATGATTCCAAGTCCATTGTCTCTAGAAACGGCACCCGTTACACGACGTGCGCCGATTGAGCGGGCTTTGAGCAATAGTCTGATCTTGGATCATGTTGCACCCTACCTCTCGATCCCATCCTTGATTGCTCTCGCATCAACATCACAACTCATGCATGGCATGGTGACTCGCACCCCATACATATTCCGACACGTTGACCTGTCAAACTGCAAGGGAGCACAGCTTCCTACCACGCCCCAGTCTCAGGATAATACTCAGACAGAGGATCAGGCTTATTCAGCCCCACTGCGACACATTTTCAACAGCCTGGAGAAAAGATCAGTGTTGCAAGATGTTCGCACATTGGTCTTGGATGGCTTACCTGTGACCACTGATCTTGTGTCAGACATCATCCTCAGTGACCGATTCAATGTCAACATCCTATCAATCCGTGAATGCCAACACCTTAATGAATGCAAACTTATGCAGCTGATTCAATATGCTGTTCGACCTACCCGCCCCCAGGGAACTCCACGAGTGAAGGGTATCTACCACTTTTCACCCCGGGTCAAGGCTCCCCGGACCCCCGTACGACGCCGGGTTCACGACTGGTGGGGCTCTCGTAATGGACGGGCCCAGGCCTCAAGCGCAAGTTCCTCCACTGCATCATCAGACAACGAAGATGATGGTGTCTCTACAATTCCCAGACCCCAGCAAAATGAATGGTACAGCCCATCAGGCAAATTATTCAAGCATAGCTTGGAGGATGGCTGGGCTGAGACCTTACAGAAATGTGAAGGAATCATTGCATTTGATGCTGTACTCTGTCGTGGACCACGCCATGATGTCAATCTTTATTCCTCTACTGATGAAGATAATCCTGCCCCAGAGGCTTCGCTTCTAGGCCCAGCCATCGCCACAGTGGCCCTGGGCCCACGAGGCTGCGATGGATGTCACAGTTCACCAGAGGGACCAGCAATCTGGGGTCAATCTCCAGATCACCAGTTCCCCCTACTGGATCCTGTGCCATTGCATGTATCTAGTGTTGCTGCTGCCAAGCGCCCCGAGCAGATTCCCGGAAAACACCCTTTACTCATTGCGCGCTGTACAGACTGCCTGACTGATCGCTGGTGCCACCGATGCAATAAGTGGTTCTGTTCCAGCTGTCTACCCAATCCTCAACATGTTCAGATGAGCCTGTCACCACATCAGACTGCCGTGCGCCCGCCTCAGGGACATGACTCCCCTCGCCGACGTCAGGTAAGGAAATTCTAACAGATCTGATAGCTTGATGAGTTGCTAACATATTCTTAGAATCTTGAACCAGGCGTGAGCAAGGACTGCTGGGAATGTGGACCAACTGTGGGTAGCTCTAAATACTTTCTACATCACTTTAGTCAAACAAATGTTCTAACGGATTTCTAGTGTGCTTCGTGCAAGCTGGATTGTCAGTACAATTGCCAGGGCTGCGGTGGTGCCTACTGCATTGATCACAATGTGGGATGCTCTGCTAAAATGGTGTGTTTCCCTTGATTATATTGTTATTTTGTGCCCCAGCTAATATACCATCCCCAGTGCGACTGGTGCAACAATACTAGAGCAAATGACCGAATCCGAACATTGATGCGAAACGGAAGACGTTAAAAGGATTATGATTTCTAAGCGATCAGATTTCCCACCTGGGCAGGTTTTATTCAAGCGGAGGAGTTTTCGAGATTTATTCGATAGCGTCACAAGTTTAGGATATTTTTAATCCTACTCCACTCTATTAAATTCTTCGTCTTTCTAAGCTTATTGTGTAGAATACTGTATGTAGTAGATTGATTAGTATAGCCAGAGAGGCTTCCAGAACCCACCTCTAAGCTTCGCCGCAGCCCCGCGCGCAAGCTCCACCTTAAAATACTCCCGCCTCAACTAAGTATTTTCACACCATGGCAGACAATCTAGTATGGTCAGCCCAACTGGCTGTAGCTTCTTCAAGTTCACAGCATGCATCCAAATTACCAGGCGACAAGATTATTCTACCCCAATCTGCTCTAGAACAACTTCTCGCCGCGGCACCGCTACAAGCCGTATCTTCGAACCCTCGCGTGCAGACCGTAGCCTTCGATCCCTTTAACCCTCACACATTTGCGGCCGAAACTCGAGCTCGTCAGCAAGCTGAGCACAGACAACAGCAACTTCCTCATCCGCTTACATTCCGAATTGTGAATCCTCAGAATGATCGCTTTGTGTATGCCGGAATCCGGGAGTTCTCCGCTGAGGAGAATGAGGTTGTGCTGAGTTCTTTGCTCCGTGAATCTCTCGGGATTCAGGATGGGGAAGAAGTCAACTCGGAGACAGATGGAGTGATACCACAGGCGGCTGGGGAACAAGAGTCGTCAACTACATCAATCCCATATGTAACTGTACATGCGAAGCAACTGCCCAAGGGCACGTATGTGCGGTTACGGCCTTTGGAAGCTGGATATGATCCTGAAGACTGGAAGGCATTGCTGGAGCGACACCTGCGCGATAATTTTACAACTTTGACTGTTGGCGAGCTATTAAATGTTCCAACGCGCAATGAGGCGTTTCGATTCTTGGTCGATAAAGTATCTCCAGAGGGAGATGGAATTTGTGTCGTGGACACCGACTTGGAAGTGGATATTGTCGCTTTATCGGAAGAGCAAGCGCGAGAGACTTTGCGGAAACGACTAGAACGCGCAGCGCGAGCACCTGGAACCACGAGTGGGAGCTCGGTTGGTGGTGTTCTCACCCTTGGAGAGGAAGTTGAAGCCCAGGTTTTACCTGGTGAATACGTGGATTATGAGCTTCGAGCATGGACTTTTTCAGATACGCTCCAGGTCCAAGCTATCAGCGATGATCCGAGCATTGCTCTTTTTGTGAGTCCGTTCAGTGCTCATCAACAAGGACGACCTCGGGCGGACATGCATGTCTGGGGAGACTTTTCAACTCAGTCTTCTAAGCAAATGAAGATTCAATCAACGAATGTGGCTCTTGAAGGTGCAGATGCTCTTTACGTTTCGGTTCACGCTCTATCTTCTGGATCTGAGGGTGCGGCTACACAGTCGCCAGTACCATATCGCCTGCGAATAACTGCTGGTCAGGCTAGTACAGAGGAAAACCAAGAGGGCGCAGATGAGTCTCACGAACCCGATGATGTACAGTGTCAAAATTGTCGGCAATGGGTACCACAACGAACGTTAGTTCTTCACGAGAACTTCTGTCTACGAAACAATATCCTCTGTTCTCAGTGTCATCGTGTCTTCCAGAAACGATCTCCCGAATGGGAAAACCACTGGCACTGTCCGCATGACTCGTCTCATGGTAACGACCCAAGCAGCAAAGTCACCCATGATTCTATTTTCCACCAATCGTGCAAGTGTCCAGACTGTCAGGCCGAGTTCGAAGGACTTCCCTCTCTAGCACAACACAGAACCACCGAGTGTCCAGGAAAACTGATCATGTGTCAATTCTGCCATCTAATTGTACCTCAGAAGGGTGATTCAGATCCCGATCTCCTCGATCCAGAAGTGATGTTATCCGGTCTAACCCCACACGAGCTGGTCGATGGAGGTCGAACCACCGAATGCCATTTATGTGGGAAGATCACTCGACTACGAGATATGAACACCCATCTCCGACACCACGACCTAGAGCGTCTATCCCGACCATCACCACGGATCTGCTTAAACCAGAATTGCGGCCGTACACTCAGCGCAAGCAAACATTCGCTCGGTTTATGCAGTATTTGCTTTGGGCCTTTGTATGTGGATACATATGATCCGGAAGGAAAAGCTCTCCGTCGTCGCATTGAACGACGATATCTCTCACAATTGATGACTGGATGTGGTAAAGCGTGGTGTCAGAATACGTATTGCAAAACTGGAAAGCAGAATATTATGCAAGTTACAGAAAGTGACGCGATGAGCGTGGCTGATATCATGAAAAACACACGCCCGCTCGTCGATGCCATCAATGTGAAGCCAGACGTGCCAAACGACTCTTCATTCTACCTCTGTACGGATGAGACGGGACAGACTCGTCGCAATTTAGCGGAGATGATCTCGGCTGAAGGGTCGATGGATGGTGGTAAAGGATATGATCTTGAATGGTGTATTGCTGGTGCCGAGGCGTCTTCTGGTGATTTGGAGAAGACTAGAGAATGGTTGGCTAAATGGGCACCTGCTCGGGGTGAGGCTATGCCATAGAAGGAACTCAATTTGCATGAGTGATCTATGGGTCCATGAGTTTTAATTTGCATGATACATATGTGGGCTTTGTTTCATTTTATGGTGTATTGGTAGAGCGAGCATAGAATGAGTCTAATGATGCATAATGATATATGACACGCGCTTATTTTCGTAATATTCATGAATTAGATGCAAGAAGAGCAAATGGGTAAATCGCTTCCCATGTCTTCAAAGTCTTGTACCGGATAACCTCCCCACAGAAAGCATAAAGGGATGCCATTTTTTCCATACCAACCCAAGCTTGAAGAAATAAGGCTGTGATCCTTAATGTAAGAAAAAGAGAACCCCTCAAAATACAGCTCTAAGCAGCACCGGTTTTAGCAGCCAGAGTGCCAGTTCCTCGCGAGGAGAAAATACCCATAATTCCAAAGACAACATAGAACAAAGCCAAAGGATAAGCCACCAGTCCACGCATACCACTCATACGAGCCACGGCACAGAACATCCCGGACGAGCTGTATGTGCACCAACCCACTGCAGCGGTTGTCAAAAGGTATCCAAACAGGGTATCCATAGGGAGCAGGACACCAATCAGAGCAGTCAACACGAGTGGAAGGAAGCAGTATCCCAGAACGCTGGCTGAGCGGGGGAAAGTCAAGGTTGCAGAGAAATGGCCAGCGGTAGAGGCTCCGGACATGGAGGGCTTGTGGTGCGGGTTATAGTTGCTGGGATCGGCGGCATTTGGGGTTGAGGCTGTATCGAGGACGGGGGACATGAGACTTAGGATCAGATGTAAGGAGACGGTGCCAAAAACAGCGACACCGTAGATGTAGCCGTAGAAGACTTTCCCGGATAAGAGGAGGAAGAGGCCGTAGAGGAAGACGTAGAGGAGTGCGCCGTAGAGGTCGCTGTCGTCCATCAAGTGGTTATCGATCGAGGCGAAGGGGTTGAGGACAGTAAGAGTCTATATTTCCAAAATATTAGTTTTAATTTCAATGATACGTAGACCATAAGCCTGAGGAGGGGAGCTGAATCTCCGAGGGTTCGAGATGCGGATGTGTAGATCGCGAATCCACACATGCCATCCCTCACCCCTCTCCTTGGCTTGGTGTTCAATAGCTCACCTTAGTTTTGATATGTCCCAGATTTATTCCCAGCTCCTCCTGCAAAGATGGCTCTCCATCGTATCCCTCTGCGCCAAACGCAGCTAACCAGCCAGTCCGCAGGCCACCCTGTTCACCCATTCTTCCACTCACACCTGCAGCTGGAGATCCAAATCCGCCATAGCCACCGCCGGGATAAGCCTGCGAAGAAGGGTTGGAAGCACCGCCAAACCCAGCGCCATAGGAGGCCTGTGAAGGAGTTGTATGGCCGGATACTGAGGAGTAGGACGAGGGGAAGAACTGGAGATTCTGTGCAGAACCTTGAGGGCCGTAGCCCTGCGGCTGCTGTTGAGGATAGTATTGAGACATTGCCGTGCAACGGCCAGTAGACAAACCTAATTTAGCAATGGGCGGGGAGAAGGTGAAACGTGCGCCGTGGGGAGAGCTGTGAAGCTCGAAGTGTCCAACTTGGCGGTTCGGTTGCGCTGATGCCTGCTGACTCAGCTGAAGTATACCAGCCCTGAGAAATACAATTAAAAAAACATAACAGTGGCGCAAACTAATATGAAGGCAGGAATGAAGTGAGGTATAATTCAACTCCGCTAAAATCTAAGAGAAAAAATAGGACAAAATATTCTACAGGAAGCTGATGCCAATGCCCAGCTGCAGGCCCTTCCGGCCTTCCTCGCCCTTGCGAAGGACCAGTGGCAGAGAGAAATTCAGCTCGAATCGTGCCGCTGGGTGGGCGTACACAATACCAACACCAGCTGCAATACTGGGCAGGCCATTTTGCAGTTCAGAGATGGTGGAAACCACGGCATCTTGCACTTCTCCGCTGCTGGTAGGTGTAGTTTTCTGTGACGTGCGCAGTGGTAGCAATCGGCCACCGTTCAAGAAGGCCTGCATACGCAAAGGCTTCTCGGCTCCCACTCTTGGGAGAGGGAAGAGCAGGTTCGCACTTCCGGCGGCGTAAAGATCTCCTCCAAGGGAATCGACACCTTCACGAGGGCCCAGACCGCAGAGACGGAATCCACGGACGTCAGTGGGACCGCCAAGGAGGAAACGATCATTGATGCGAGAAAGCTGAGGCTGGGCGCTCGAATCAAGTCCCAAGGGGCACAGAAGACCAGCGCGGAAGCCTGTAGTCAAGCTGATGCCACTGTCACCGCTGATACCGGGAATGGGGATCGGGATAGCACCCTGGGTCTCGATTTCTGACTTCCAGAAAGATACGTCTCCCTTCAAGGGACCCCAGCCGGCAACTTCGTTGAAAACCTTAGCGTAATAACCGCGAGAGGGGAGCATGGGGTGATCGCGCTGATCATTCACCCAGCTGTGGAAAACGCTGCTCTTAACGCTGTCTCCAGCATCAGCTCGGACAGTGGCGGAAGCATTCTCCGCAAGGCCAGTAACTTGTCTCCAGAAACCATTGTAGCCCAATTCGTGACGGTGTCCAGATTGAGAGAGCCATCGAAGCTTACTCCAGCCACCCCGGACGACCTCCTCATGGCTAGCCCAGGATTTCTGGGTGGCACTTGCGATACCACCAACTTCAAGGCGGAAATCGGGATCACCGAAGACTGGAGTCTCAAAAGCAGCCTGGTATGCCGATCGTGTGCGTGTTCCCAGGGAGGCATTGAGGTTCAAGGTCTCGGCACCGCCAAACACATTACGCCACAAGAGGTTACCGTAAGCTGAGCCCTCGGCATTTCCAAGGTCAGTACCGGTCTTCAAAAGTACACGAGACTTCTCTCGGGTAGCAAAGTGAACATCGATGGTGCGCAAGCCAGTGGTAGGGTCTCTTTGCGACTCGTCCAAGTGGACGGAGATAGGCTGCTGAAACAGGTCTGAATATCAAAATTAGCATGATTATGCTAGATTGGAATGCGCCGTGGAAGTCACCCACCAAACCGTCCAAGCTTGTCCGCCGTAGCCGATATTTCCCGCAGTGCCTCGGAAAGAGTGTAGGGACGGTCACGGTTCGCGCTGAGAAGAGGGTTGACAATCTTCTCAAGGAAGCTTCGGCGAGTGTTGGGAGCATGAAGAAACTGGACCGACGAGACAGTGCATGGCAAGGTGGAATTTTGATCGAGCTGATGATAACAATTGCGGTTAGCCGGAAGCTCTTCAAAAAAAAAAGCTCACAGCAAAGATGCTGGAGGGTAGATGGCCTTGAATATTCAAGAAATAGATTTCATACCAATTCCGAGAGACGATTTTGGGCCTTCTGAAGAATTGCCTGCATGCGCTCATTCACAGCCTGCTGCTGCTCTTCAAGGACCTTAGGGTCCTTGCGCTGCTGCAGGCGCTCGAAGATCTACAGACGGAATAAGTTAGCATAGCCGCAATAGATAAATGATACATGAGCTCTCAAGCTGTGTAATAAATAGACGTACATCTTCATCTCCGGCTGATAGAGGAGAGGTCATTGTGACGGCTGCAACAACCAAGACCGAGGCTGGCAGAGCAGCAATTCCATGATCGCGAGGGAAAGCGATAATCCCACGTGACTCCGGGGGCATTCGCCGTACGCAAACTGTCTTGTTTCGGCCTCTTCATCACTCCACTCTCTTTGAAGCTACTCCTCACCTGTTTCTTTATTTCGCCTATTCATCTTCTCCTTTCCTCTTGAGTCAATAACCCATTTTAAATCTATCCTCCTTGTCCAAAATGGCCACCAAAGCCGCCTTCAAGCGTGTGAGTAGCGAAAGACCAACATCCATGCGACAAGTAATCGTGTCTAACGATATATATATAGCTCACTCGGGAATATCAAAATATTCAAAAGAACCCGCCTCCATTTATCGTCGCTCACCCATCGGAGACCAATATTCTGGAGTCAGTATCCTAAATTTTCTATGATTCAACCGGCGAGTCAGAGTACTAACTTCAACCCAGATGGCATTACATCCTTACTGGTCCTCCAGGGACCCCTTATGAGAATGGACAATACTGGGGAACCCTGATGTTTCCACCAGAATATCCTTTTGCGCCCCCGGCCATCCGCATGCATACCCCCAGCGGTCGATTTCAGCCGTCCACTCGTCTCTGCCTCAGCATCAGTGACTTTCACCCCAAATCATTCAATCCCGCCTGGGAGGTTTCGACCATTCTTATCGGATTATTATCATTTATGACTAGCGAAGAGATGACAACAGGAAGCGTTAGTGCATCAGAAGCCGAACGCCGAGTGTTTGCCGCCCGGTCGCGGTGGTGGAACTCTACTGGGGGGAGGCTCGCATGTCAGTGCTACCCCCGGAGTAACTCGCACAGCCAAAGGGATCAATAATGTCAAAGCGGGAGATGGGGGTTTGAAGTTCCGAACTGAGTGGCCCGAGCTGGATGAGGAAAATTGGGCCTGGTTGAAGGAACATCGCATTGATACCAGTACCGGTCAAATTCTCCCGGATCCTAATGCCCCCACTCGGTGTTCCCCAGAGACAAGTGCTCTACGTCGACGTCCAAATGGGAGCGCCCCGGGAATTGGAGCGGTAATGGAGGGGGGCCATGTGGCTCGGGAAGCCGGACAAGGATGGGCACGGCGAAACCGTTTGTGGATCGGGTTGGGAATCCTTTTTGGGTATGCATTAATCACTAGACTTGTGAGTGACATGCAGGGATAATCAGAGTTCCGGAGAGTTCAACGATTTGCTCGAGAATCATGGGGTTTCATACCAATTGTGTTGTGTTAGCGAGTTTCCCGTTACTAGGTAGCATCTTCAGGCGCATTACAGAGGAAGTGTCATTTCTTCAAGTTTGTTTCTTTTTTAATTTTCGAGTTGTTTTCTTTTGAAATACCAAGTAGTACTATATAGCTCTGAGCTTTTGAAATAGATTTTCATTCTTGGTTTTTTATACTTCATACTTTATGCCAAATGTCCGTAGGGTTGTACCTGGCAGTATATAAAGTTGGTGACACACTCATATACCACCGGATCATCCCACGTTTGACTCGTTTGACTCGTTTGACTCCGCCTCGAACTATTAACCTGAATGGAGCTGGTGCTCTATTCTCCTTTTCTTTTCATATTCACCCCCGCATTGTCAACGTAACTAACTCGTCTTTTACTCTTCTAAATTTGCCTTCTTATCCCCACATAAGTTTGAACTATTCATTGGTCTTGGTTAATCTTTCTGGCGCTGGCCTTCGGGCCCACGATGGATCATCTGCAGCCCTTCACATTCTCAGGCGCTAGACCTTCCCATTCAGGTTTGTGCTGTTTCGTCCTTATGCCCACTTTACCCCTGTGGAGACCCACCCTATCCGCCGTCATTTGTGGATCTGTGCCCATACGCTCCCCCAGAACGGGCGATCTACATACAACTAGGCTTGCGGGTGGCTGAAAGGAGCCGACAGCTCCCACTTTAATCAACAAGTCGAGTTTTCTGATCCTACTAGTGGGATGAAGGAGAGCTAGAGAAGGAGATTGGTCTGAGTGGAGAAATGATTTATACTAACGATTAATTGAACTAGAACCCACCTCCAAGGCGGCTCCGCTTGACCGGCCGTCCTTCACATTCATCGACCACGACGATGACTTGACCTCGAAAAGAATCAAGGATGTTAATGCTCGCAAGGCGATCCGTTCCCATGTGATGCGCGATGTGCGCCGACGAGAGAGACTTGCTGGAACAAAACGAACCTCCAAAAGGGAGGGTCGTGGACAACCGACCACCACAAAATCACAGTGCAATACTGTGGAAGACTCGGAAGAGCGGCGATTGGTCTTAAGAAATCCATCACAATCATTGACTACAACAACGATCGAAGCCAGCATAGTAGGAACCTGTTTCAGCCCAAGGAGTCGACTCGGGCGAGATCGACCACCGCGATGGACGGCCGCCCCAGTACAGTGCCATTTTAATCCGAATCCACGGTCCTTACCCACGGCATGGTTCTTTGATCCTTTTTGCTCACTACCAGGTGCAGACGAGCTCCCATCAAGAGTTGCGCATCTAATTTATTACTGTATGTGATGTCTATTGGAACCGGCGGTGCAGACTACTAAGCTAATAACCCGATCTAGGGAAAACGGTTTTCGTTCCAATGACTTTTCCAAGTGGCCTCGTGGGGTCTGAGATTCCCGAATTAGACCTAATGGTTCGATCATCTTTCTCTGATCCGGGTAGTTTCTTTGGCCTCATGAGCATGTGTGCAGCACATCGAGCTGCTCTGGGCGTGAACCACCTCGATGCCTTAGAAGCGACAGGGGATCGTAACCGGGTTGGTAATGACACCGACTACTGTATTATGAAAGCAAAATCCATGCGAGAGATGACTGTCAAATGCCACAGCCTCGAGCTCTCGACCACCAACGAGGCCTTCGATACCATTGTCAATCTCCTCACCGGCGCAGTAAGACCCTCTCCTGGTTTTTCGTTTTAATGATCCATGACTACCCTACTCTCTAACACCTTTCATAGCTGATCGCAGGTCTATTTGATGAGGCTAGAATCCACCTGACTGGCCTGAAGCGCATGGTAGAACTTAGGGGAGGTCTCATGCATCAGAGCATCAGCTCCTCGTCAATATTGTCGGCTATTATAACGTACGAAAATACTCATTTATCCAATTTTCATTTATTGACACAGTGAGCTCACAATCCTACAGAAGTGATGTGAAAGCCGGTACAGGCCTCTTGGCTAAACCAGTCTTCCCGCTCGCATGGGATACACAACCTGTGCCTCATCAAATCCAGCAGCGGATTCGACCCCCCTGAATCGTCACCTATCCGACGGCTTGGCTCCGGATTTTGGGCAAATACCCTCTTGAGTCCAGCCTTGTTGCGTATCTTGAATGTAGCACGCGACATAATCTTCTACAGTATCAGTGTCCATCTTGCGCCCCATGCCATTCTTCAAAGTGATCATGATTTCTTCCGAGTTCTAAATTGCGAAACCGAACATCAACTACTCAGCTATGTCTATGATAACGGGGCAGATAATAACCAGAAAGAACCCGAAATCTATCCGATTGAAGCTGTCACCCGTGTTGCATCAATTTGCTTTCTCAATTACTTTCTCATTGTCTCTCCTCCTTCCTCGGGCCTTGGTCGAGCCCTTACAAGACATCTCATGAAAGCAGTGAACAACTGTAAACTTACACTGCTCATGGAGCTCCCGAAGGAGAATTTCGGATTATATGCCTGGGCTTTATTCATTGGGGCTCAAGGATCTCTCGGCCAGAACGAGCGACCATGGTTTGTAGAGCGGCTGGCCCGTGTTGCCATCCTTTGTGAATGGCAATCTTGGGAGCAAGTCTCTCGGCTTTTAACAGATTATTTCTACATTGCAGTCGCACAGGGACCAGGTTGGCAAGCTGTGTGGGATGAGGCGATGGCAGGATTTGTGATTGCGGATGAAGCATGAGACAATTTAGTTCACATTGCTATATCAGAATTCCTGTTGCTGCGTATATGAACTTGAGATGTGTAGTAATAATAATGCTAATTTTGAATTTCCTTCTATTTTTATTATTATTATTATTTTATTCATATACATAAACTTGGAAGTATCCACCTTGTACTCCATACATCCAACCATATCTCGTTGATTTCTCATTGGTCCTAAATCTTCGGACCGCGTGGGTGGATTATGTCAGCGTGCCTCACTTCCCCGATCTTTTATCGCGGCCTGAATCTTTGAGACTTTTTTTTTAAACCCTGAACACGACCACCTTACCTAAATTTCTTCTTTTAATTTCTTATCTACGCCATATTCACGTCAAAATGGGTTGGTTCTGGGCAGACTCACAGCCAAAGGCCCCAGAGGCCCCTCATCCTCCTTATCCTTCCAATGCTGCACCTCCGGTAAGTCTGTTCCGTCGCATGTCGACTTTTTTTACCTCTCATCTTGACTGACTCTGGTCACGTTAGCCTTCATGCCCTATGCATGAATCGCGTGCTGCACAGCCTGCTGCACCAACCAGCACTGAAATTCCCAGCGCTTGTCCCATGAAATCCACCGATTCTCCTTTCTACGTTGCTCCGAAATCTACTCCGACGGACTCTCCGCAGGAACAAGCTGCGCCCGCCAAATCCTCCTCCACCTTATCTAAGTTAAACCCATTAAACTACATGTTTGCCTCCATCTCCCAAGAGCGTGCTGCCGACCAGACTGTCGATCTTGGCGTGGACCGCGAGGTCTCTTCCATTCCCGCGGCGATTCGGAGGGCAACTGGGAGTACCCATCTCCACAGCAGATGTACAACGCTATGCTGCGCAAGGGTCACACTGATACCCCTCAGGATGCGGTCGAGGCCATGGTTGCTGTACACAACTTCCTGAATGAAGGCGCCTGGAATGAGATTGTTGGATGGGAGCGCACCTTCGCTAAGGGTCTTTCGGAAGGATGGGCGAAGTGCCGCCGCGGCGAAGAGAACCTCGGCTGGCAACTTGCCATGGAAGAGATGCATGGAACTATCGACCAGACCACTGAGCCCCGTTTGATTCGTTTCCAAGGTCGCCCCAAGGAACTCACTCCCAAGGCTCGCATTCTCCAGGCTCTGGGATATGTCTACCCATCCAAATTTGAGTATGTTTTCCTTGTCGCAACTAGGCCCCTCTGCCATATATACTAACGTTTATTTTTCTTAGGTCCAAACCTCCATTCGACCGGCACGACTGGTTTGTTCAGCGTCATACACCCTGGGGCTCCAAGGAAGTCCGCTACGTGATTGATTACTACTCCGGCCCTCCGGAGCCCACTGGCGAGCCCGTCTTCTACCTCGATATTCGACCTGCTTTGGATTCACCCACGGCTGCTGTTGAGCGACTTATGCGATGGGGAGGTGATGTATGGTGGAGAGCTAGTGGTGCTTCCGCTCGGGAGGAGAGTTCATGAGCTGGCTCTGATTCATCTGCGTGCTTCTCCACTCTAAACCTGTATTATTCTAAGCATTACATGGCGTTCTCATGATTGTACTTCTACCGGTTCTGCTCAAATCCATCTATTCAGATGTTATGTACTACCTACGTGATATGCTTGAAGCGGCAATACCACTACTGCTGTAATTATGTTTTTCCCTTCATTCTGCTTTTATTTTACCACATTGATTATAAACTTGAAGTCTGTTCCTCATTTTAATGGGTCCAATCATCAGACTCTATCAGTCCTCTTATTCGCATGACTTGGAAGATCTGCTTCCCACTATTAGTGTAGGTTTCAGATCGAGACTAAAAGACGAGGGACAGAAAAAGACCAATTCTCAGCCGAGTAACAAGATCTAGATCCTGATTCAGTCTAAATAATAAGAATGTGGCTCTTCGGATCAAAACGAGCACATCATTTACAAGCTGATTGTATCATTTCAGAAGGATGACGCTCCACATTCAAGATTTTCCCCACAGTTTAGCCTTGATATTGAGCCAAACTATGAGCCTTTGGCCTCATACATAAGAGGGAAATAAATAGTAGATCTTCAACTGAACCTTAACCCTCAATGCGGCCCTGATCTATTGAACAGGTCAATCAAGGCTTGATGTCATCTGTGTCTGCAATGGTGCGATAGAATAGTATTCCAATAATAAAAGGGTTATAGCTTTTTTTTAAAGAACCTTTATACTTATACGACTGTTATTAAAGAAAGCATTGGTTTACTGTTTTGAGTCAAATCGACCTTCAATTTTCTATTGACGATATTTGACATCTAATCGACAACTATGTCTACCAAGACATCACAAGACGATGTCAATGACAAGCGCAGAGCCAGCGATTCTGTAGACGTCGAGCAACAAGGAAGACCAGTTGCCCTAGATTCTGGTCTTCCAAAGTCTTTGAGTGCAGGTGTAAGTGAAATAATACACTGTTCGTGTTATAGAGATCTAACAAGTACTTCCAGTCTGCATTAGCCCTTGGTGCCTTTGGCACGACGTTGACCACTCTTTCACTGGGTCTAATGGAATGGAGAGGAGTCACAACCTACAATGTCTTCGTGGCCAACTTCTTCTTCATCGCTGCATTTGGTCTATTGATCACGGCGCAATGGGAACTATCTATTGGGAATGGCTTTGCGTATACCGTGTTCAGCGCTTTCGGTCAGTCTAAGTTCAAATTAATCAGAAGCTTCGACTATGGATACAGTGATTACTAACATATATTTCCAATAGGCCTTTTTTACGCAGGTTACGGAGCTTTACTTACTCCAGCTTTTGGGGTTGCCCAAGCATATGGTGGAACCGACGCAGCAGAGTATAACAACGCGGTGGGGTTTTTCATGATTCTATGGACGGTATTCGTCTTTACATTCCTCATCGCATCACTTGCAAGCAATATTGCCTACATTTTGGTCTTCTTCCTTGTTGATCTTGGATTCTTGACCGTTGCTGCAAGCTATTTTGCGAAAGCTGATGGCCATGCTGCGTCTGCTCTCGCATTACAGAAGTCCGGTGGAGTTTTCTGTTTCTTGGCTGGTTTAGTAGGATGGTATATCGTGTTTCATCTGCTATTACAGGATTCTATTGTTGATCTGCCGCTTGGTGATACATCTCGATACTTTGGGAAGAAGAAGGGGAAGGGAGAGTAGATTGCGTGATTGGAGTCGGGATGGGATTATCAAAGAGAAGATGAGTAGAACTGGATGTTCGTAAGATATCGATAATTATGTGATAACTTTAAATTTATTACAATATCTTGGGTTTTCTACTGAGTATTATTTCCATAACTATGTATGTGAGCACTGACTACTTAATCAAATCGCCCAAACTCGAAGTGTTCCGCTCGTCCATAGTGGAGCAGTGGGGAATATGGATGATCTACTGCATATTGATCTGGATAACGACATCCCCTTCCAAACTGACGAAACCATTAACTGCCAATATGGAACGAATAGAAGGAATGTGTCTCACATGCATTTTGTCGGCCGAGTCACTGTCTAAATGCCCTAATTTTGAGTTGTCTCTTTGCTGGATGGCGTACATGGCATCATCAACTACGAACATCATGTCATTTGAGAGAACCAATTTTTGTGGTTATTTCAAGTTAATATAATTCTCATGCCTTTCCTATGCTCTTGATCAAAAAGATCTTCTAATATCTGAATATCTACACACACACACACACACACACACAATAATATCTCAAGAATGAGTGACGAAGTTCCTGCCACTGATCCATCGATCTATACTTCCTACGAAGCAAAGTGGGCTTCACTGCCTGATACTGCCGATGCCTGGCTTGCTAGAGCTCGTGAGGTAGCACAAGTATTGTCCCAAGATGCGGCACAGAGAGACCAAGAGAACAAGTCTCCTCGTGCAGAGGTCGCACTCTTGAAGCACTCTGGCTTGCTTAAGCTTCTGGGTCCCAAGAAATATGGTGGCGGAGAGCAGTCATGGAGTGTTGGTTATCAGGTCATTCGAGAAGTTGCCAAAGCAGATGGGTAAGACCTGGCCTTTCCCATTTCAAATATGATTCAAATTGAGGATATTGTGTGCTGATACTAGGGATATCTATTAGTTCCATCGGTATGCTACTCGGTTACCATCTTCTCTGGTCGACCACAGCAAATGTCGTTGGCACACCGGAGCAAATCGAGCGAACACACCAATTGATCATTTCAAACAACTATTTTGTTGGTGGCGCGGTCAATCCTCGAGATAGCGACCTGAAGATCACCTCTGACGGCGATTATATCGTTTTTAATGGAGCCAAGCACTTCAATACCGGTGGCGTTGTCTCGGACCTCACTGTCTTGGAGGGTGTGCTGGAGGGTACTGAAGGTCATATCTTTGCCCTGGTTGAAACCCGACAGCCGGGGATTGAATTCGCCCATAACTGGCACAACATCGGTTTGCGTCTGACAGAGTCTGGCGGTGTTAAGATCAACAACATCCGAGTTCCATGGTCTGATGCATTAGGTTGGGATGCGTCTACCAAGACACCCCGTAAAGATACTCTTCTAATCCCATTTGCGACTCTCCTGCTTCCAACGTAAGTAAACTCCCAAATTCATTCAAACTAGGCCCGCATTGACATGTTTTTCTCCTCAGTATTCAATTGGTTTTCAGCAACTTTTACCTCGGAATTGCCATTGGGGCTCTGGAATTTGCATCAAAGTACACCACTAATGGTACACGCCCTTGGCCATTTGGCGGAGACAACAAGGAATCTGCCACGGATGAGTTTTATATCCTGGAGCGATATGGTAACTTCTTTGCCCATCTCCGAGCAACTGAAGCATTAGCCGACCGTGCTGGTGACCAGATCTCTGCGCTATACATTAAACACGGTTCCAATCGCTCTGCTTTGACGGCAGAAGAGCGCGGTGAGGTTGCCGAATGGGTTGCCAGTGTCAAGGTTGTCACCACGGATGTCGGACTCCGGGTTACTTCAGGAGTGTTTGAAGTGACTGGAGCTCGTGCAACTGCATTGAAAGTGGGACTTGACCGATTCTGGCGAGATATCCGTACCCATACACTTCATGATCCCGTCGCGTACAAGAACCGGGAACTAGGGCGATTTGCACTCTTGCATGAATACCCAGAGCCATCTTGGTACACATAGGAGGACTTTGAGTCTGTGAACAAGTAATGGGTATGGTCAATTTTTTAATAGGAATAAATGAAATTATGTTATGAATTGTGCATAATATGTAATTCACATGTAGGAAGTAGATACTTGTTTCCCATTATGACGTATAACACGTGCCGGTTATCGGGATCTTTATCGCCGGCGGCTCATCATCTTCCTCTCAGCTTCTCCCATATGCACTTCCAAATAAGATCATGAGGACGGTCCTCCTCGGCCGTTTCTTCTTTAGACGTGGGATTCCGCGCATCCCACAATATCGTTCATTTTCATGGCGACCTCCCAAGCAAGCCCCGAGGCGAGGGCCCATAATCGGTGGAATGGTGATGGCTGCTTTGGCACCTAGCGCATTCCTGAAGCTAGCAGAGTCCGAGGATCCTGAAAAGACCGGAGAGATGCAGATGCTGGAGGCTTCCCGGGATGAGATCAGAAAGACTGTTTCTCCGGGTTCTCATGGCTTATACCGGGTCTGCGAGTCACTCTCCGTGGCCTTTTATTGTTATATCCACGACCCAATCGCGACTGGGTTCCGATTCCTTTATCTTTTTGTTATCTTTATGCCTGTGATTGTCACCGTGCCAGCAATATGGCTTGGTCGAACGATTGGGAGTAAAAATGGGGCGCGATCGGGTACACTCTGGTGGTATCGATTCTTGGTAAAGGCAATGGAGCGCGCCGGGCCAGCTTTCATCAAGGTATGTTCACTGGCAACTTGCGCTGTGAAAACATTCATTATATTTGATACTGATAAACAATGTTTATAGCTAGGTCAATGGGCCGCCTCTCGCACCGATATATTCCCTCCGGAAATGTGCACCGTCATGTCCTCTCTTCACTCGAACGCTCCCGCTCATTCCCTGCGAGATACCAAGCGAATAATCCAAAAGGCATTTAATGGTCTGCCGTTCGAGGAGATCTTTGCAGAGTTTCAGGAAGAACCTTTGGGGGTGGGTGCGATTGCGCAAGTGTACAAAGCCAAGCTCAAGCCCAGTTTAGCTACCAGCAGTCAAGAACTCGGTCAAGAACCCATAACATTGGGAGAGAAGATGCGGAAGAATGTAGATGTGTTGGTGAAAAACTCACCACAAAGAGTTCCATCGTCATATGTCGCGATCAAAGTCTTGCACCCCCGAGTGGAAAAGATGATCCGCCGGGATCTACGCATCATGTCCTTCTTCGCTTCATTGCTCAACGCCATACCTACCATGAACTGGCTCTCTTTCCCAGATGAGGTCCAGCAATTCGGAGAAATGATGAAGCTTCAATTGGACATGCGTATCGAAGGTACGAACCTAGTTATGTTTCGGGAGAAATTCAAGACCCGAACTACAGCTTGGTTTCCTTATCCATATCTTGACTACACCACTCGAGAGGTGCTAGTTGAGGAATTTGCACAGGGAATCCCACTAGCCACCTTTTTGGACATTGGAGGCGGCGTCTATCAGCGGGAGATTGCAAATGAGGGCCTGGATGCCTTTTTACATATGCTTCTGATCGATAACTTTGTTCATGCGGATTTACACCCCGGGAACATCATGGTTCGGTTCTATCAGCCGGGCGAACTCAACCTTTCACTTAGCAAGGATTCGAGGGCTTTTGAGGCTCCGACTAGAGCGGAAGTAGATGTGACTGAGTCTGTGTTGGCCCGATTGCGCCCGCATGTGGGCAATCATCAAGAATGGGACACCGCTCTGGCTCAGCTGAATAAAGAGGGATATCGTCCACAGTTGATTTTCATTGACACAGGCTTGGTGACAGAGTTAAATGATACCAACCGACGGAATTTCCTGGATCTTTTCCGGGCTATTGCAGAATTCGATGGATACCGAGCAGGTCAACTTATGGTTGAGCGATGTCGTACCCCCGAACAGGTTCTCGACCCCGAAACCTTTGCCTTGAAAATGCAACATCTTGTGCTAAGCATCAAAACGCGCACATTTGCCTTGGGAAATATCAAGATTGGCGATGTCTTAAGCGAGGTCCTAACAATGGTCCGCGGTCATCATGTTCGTTTTGAGGGAGACTTCGTCAATGTTGTCATATCGTGTCTGCTGCTGGAAGGTATTGGGCGAAGCCTCAATCCGGATCTAGACTTATTCAAGAGGTAAGTAAACTGTCAATATCCTTACGTGCAGCAATCTAACTGTCTATATCTAGTGCACTTCCTATCCTCCGACAGCTGGGCTCTGGATCCAGCTTCTTAAAAACCGTTCGGTCGGGCGACACTTCCATGCTTCGTGTTTGGGTCGGCTTAGAAGCTCGTGGATTGCTGCAGGCCAGCATCGAGAGCGTGGAGCAGTGTGTCAAGTATGATCAATTATCTCCTAACATTTGAACAGGGTCAGGCATTTAGAGCCAATACATTTAGATTACGGATGGTTGGGCTTCGTACATTGGAGGAGTTGATCATTGATCTAAACTAGCTGCCATCAGGACTCATGACCCTGTCCCAGATGGACACATATCTCAGCTCATAGTAAATAACATAATGGATCATGTATTTAATGCACAGGTGGAATTTTGAAACTTGAGAAATAAATTGATGTTTACCGGTACAATGTAGAGAGGTCTGATGCTTAAAGTGATATTGAGTCTGACTACTCCGTATATCAACAAAGCATTTACCTACCGTAGGAAGACTCGGACTACACCACCAAAAAAGGTCCAATTTGAAGTTCTTACACTGACAGGACATTTAAAATGAGTCGGGGAAAAAAAGAAAAGAAAAAAAAGGATGGACTATCGGGGAATCGAACCCCGGACCTCTCGTAGTCTCATAGTGCGAAACGAGCATTATACCCCTAAACCAACAGCCCATATTATGCTTCATAGGATCTTTTTTGAGATCGTAACGGACTGCCCTACCCGCTCTCGCTGTATACTCTGATCTGGATAACTTCATTGGTGATATCCATTTCAGGGCTGTTTCCTTTGTCTTCTTTATTAAAACTGCAATTCATAGAACTAAGTCTCAAGGTATCAACTGTAATAATGCTGGATTTTCTATCTATTATATGAAGTCTACAATAATATAAGGGAGATTCGTTTTCGTAGAGATCAGATTGTTGAACCACGCAGTCCACATTCCTCTCCACATTCCTGTCAACATTCCTAATCTCTTATCCGTTTTCTGTAGAAAGACTACCTTTTTCGGCAGTGAATATCTTGATGCTAGATAACAGATGCAGTAAATGTTGATCTTGGTTTTTTGCGGGTGTTCTAAATCCAAATGAGAGATGCTAGGCCCGAAAGCAGGTAGAATAATTCAGACAACAATCAACAAGACCGGTAATAGTTGGCATTAAATTAACAGCGATGGTCCAGGCTGACCAGAATCTCTTTTTGACTTCTTTTGACCTTTTGACCTTTTGATTCCTTTGAACCTCCATAGTTCACATCTACCAGTGGACAGCTCACCATGGGTCGCCAACCAGCCGTTCATGATGATGTGGAATCAAACAGCGACAAGCAATCTACAACCTGGAAGGACTGGGCTGTAGTATTAACCTGGAGTTTAGTCAGCTATTTGTGCCTCATCCTTATCATCATTGGCTATTTCAATCCATCTCTTCTGCCAATTGATCCCACGTCCCTGATGTTCAACAAGGATATCTCTCCATTCTTCGCTTTCTCTCGTGGCTCCGGCCATTTTCCCAAGCCGACTGGGTTCAATATCATCGCTTTGGTTCCCTTCAGAGACTATGAGCGTACAGAAATCCTCGATTGTTACCTACAGGTATGCCTCTTCGGTCTCTTCTTTCGCATTGGGGTTATGGTTATACTAACTCAATATCTCTCTCATAGAAAAACCTAATTCACAATCACGGCTTCCTTGATCAAGTCGTTTTTATTCCCGAGACACATGACCCATCAAGCCTGGATTGGCTGAGATCGAAAGTTGTGCAAACGCCAGAGTATGCGATAGCCCCTCCAGGCCATGGCATTGACTGGACAATCCCTCGCGACAATGTCATGTATGTTCGGATCGACGGAGACACCGTCTTTCTGGAAGAACACACCATCCCAATCATTGTGAAGACCAAGTTAGACCACCCTGATTCATTAATGGTCTCAGCCAATGTGGTAAACGAAGCTGCACTTGCATCGTTGCACAGTCACCCCGGCGTGGCTCTTCCATACCTCCCAGAACTGTATCATGTCAAGCAACCCTCCCGAACCAAATCCCAGCTGCAAAATGACTGGCGCACTTCAAGCTTCCCAGCCTGGCAAGGTCCCGCAAGCTTTAGAGTTCGAAAGGGATTCAAAGCTCCATTCCAAGGCCACCGGTGGCTCTTACCGACTGAACCAGGCTCTGATCGGGATCCTATCGCTTCATCGGTCTACACTGATACTGGACCAAGTTTGAAGGATTGGACTGTTGCTGCCCAGCAACACTATTCTTTCCTTCATAATCTGGAATGGGATCGGTTGAGTCGGTATAAATTCCCGATTTGGGTGGATCCGATCGAGCCGATTAGTGATAACTTCGGATGTTTCTGGGGGAATGATGCGTCTACACTGCAGCGGATCTTTGATCGCAAGGGTACTGGAGAACTCACAAATTCTTGGATTAGGGAGAATGGTACTCGACCCCATGTGAGCATTGATGGCAAAGGACTGGTTTCGCATTATCCTGCCGATCTGGGGGCCGATGGTTTAGATGCTACTGATTTGTTGGATCGGTATCGAGCTTATGCCCAGGAGAAGGTCTGTCGACACACCATGGGAGAGTGAACGCAAGTTTATTTGAATGAGAAGTTTCAAAAATGTTTAGTAAGTTGTGAACTGGCATATGCGCACTGGCATGAACATGGATTTGAATCTAGGCTGCACTTGGTATGGTAAATTTTAGAATTGCATGTATAAATACCTAGCCCTACAACTTGAATCATCAGCATTTTAATTCAGATGAAACTACAAACTAATTTCACAATACTAACCTAGGTAGCACTTGAGTGCACATAGTATGTATTCGCCAGTACTACCAACCAACCACCTGGCACTTAATAAATCTCATTTGAAACATATAAAGATTGATTGAATAAGTCATTGTTCTTTCATCTCGAGTCCATACTATATACTGTATGCGGGATATGGCAGGTGTCAACGATAAGCCCCGCACAGATAACAGATGGCCGATCCCGATTGAAAATTTTGTGTGGAATTTCGAGACTTTTTTTTCTTCCCCGTCCAAGGATACATACCTCACTTCACAAGAACTTCCAAGTTCCCTTGGGTTACCGACTTTCTATCTTAACTCCCTATCCAGTCCACTTCTAAATCCGTCAAAATGGTTCAGAAAGTCTATGTCACCTACAACCAGGTACGATCTTGATCACCCCACTATGGATCGATCTATAGTTGCGCATATTATGCGCCTAGTCTTTGATCTCAGATCTCTCGAGAAACCTATTGACTCAAGATGGCAAATGAGTGAAGAAACAACAGAGACTGATTGCTTGGATAGGTGCACAAGCTGTGCCAGCAGTCGGCAGACGTCATCCTGAAGGATTTCCACCCTAACTTGATGATCGCGATTGGTGGTGGTGGTTACGTTCCTGCTCGTATCCTCCGGTATGTATTCGATATCTACGCACCATATCACAACCCGAGCATAGCCTATAATAGCGCATGTTCTAACGACTCGACCTGCGAACAGCTCCTTCCTTAAGCGCCCCGGTGATGCCAACATCCCCATTCAGGCCATCGGTCTGTCCCTCTACGAGGATCTCGGTCGCGGTGATGCCGAGGAGGTCCCTGGTACCAAGGTTACCCGTACACAATGGTTGGACATGAGCTCTTTGGAGATGGCCAACTTGATTGGCAAGAACATCCTGATTGTTGACGAGGTCGATGATACCCGTACTACTCTGGAGTACGCTGTGCGCGAGTTGGAGAAGGATGTTGAGCTTGCTCAGAAGCAGCTTGGTCGCGAGGCCGAGAAGACCAACTTCTTCATCTTCGTTCTGCACGTGAGTTATCTTCCCTTTGCTTTGAATTCTACGAGATGTTCTCCTTTCGATACTAATATTACTTGCTATCAATAGAACAAGAACAAGGAGAAGAAGGGTGTTCTGCCCGCTGACATGATGGAGGCTGGTCGTTACCACGCTTCCGTCACCACTGACGATGTCTGGATCTGCTACCCCTGGGAGGCTAAGTATGTTTTCACAAAGCAATATATATGATAATTAAACAGAGACTCACATTTCACAGGGACATTGACGAGCACGATGCTCTCTCCAAGGAGAACCCTCTCTTCTAGACTACCACCCATTTTGCATAGTCGAAACAGCATTTCCTTCTGCGCGGCGCTCTGACATAGCAGGCAGCTATTTTGGTCCCTTGGAAACCCTTTGAACTCGGTGTTTCCCTAGACCCGGGCATGTTAATTTACGATCACAGTTATGAATTAGAGATAAAAAAGTGACTTATTCCGAAAAGACTACTCCCAACCGAGCCCATGTCAAGTTTATATACTAAATTCCCACGGGTCTTAACAGCCCACCTTACGACAGAAGATGATTGAATGGTGAAGGGTATCAAACGTATGTTTATTGGTGAAAGAAAGAGCAATTAAACAGAGCACCGTATTTTGCAATGCTTTGCTGCGCCGTATCCTATGACGTGTCCCGAGAGAGTACACGTTCGCATAATCCAACCTTGGAAAGTCCTCGTGTTTCGTATGGAGATTTATTTTATATGTTATTCGCGCAACAATGTATCCAAAAGAAATCTGCCCTAAGCAGATTTAGTCGACATCGATCTTGCCCTGGCGCAGTTCGATCTTAGCCTGCTCAATCTCCTTCTGCAGCTCCGCGTGGGCCTCAGGGACGTCGTTAAAAGTGAAGATAGCAAGACCGAGACGGGAAAGGAGGTAACATCCGAAGCAGATGATTGCCCAGAATGGGAGCTAGTACACAATATTCAGATCAGTCTTTCGTTCCTGATTCTCCGGGGAAGCTCTCTAGCTTGAATGCGACGTACCACGGGGATGATTTCAGTCTGGATAGTCTCGTTGAGGGGGACAAGTCCAAGGTAGAGACTGAGATAAAGCTGGAAGAAAAGTTATGTTATGTTAGCTTTGTTTGTGGGGTTGCCTTGTGCTAAACGTGGGCGCGAAGGTAGTGCACGTACGGAGGAGACGAGGAGGAGAACGGAGAGGGTCTGTTGCGCGCGCGTCATAGTGGGTGGGTTTTGTTCTTGTATTGAGTTTAAGGGAGTAGAAAGGAGAGATAGCTGAACTTTTTTTGCGCTCAGGAACAATTGACCGAGAATAAAGGAGTGAATGGGTGATGGGAAGGGGAAGCAGAGGCCAGTTTGGGCAGTTGACGGTTTCTCCGAAGGCGGAACTCCTAACGCGGATCAGCTTCATGGATGTCACTATGTTATATTAAGAATGATATGCTTAATGTGAATTTAAATGTGAATTACGACGAAAAAAAAAAAGTTTATTCTGGTAACCTTTAATTTTCCTTTTATTTCATTATTTTCTGTTTGAAGAATAACACAAACCAGCAATGGAGCATATCAATGATCGAGTCCTTGTTATCTACCGTGTACAATGTTGCTTAACAAGTTTGAAACCCAATAGAGACCGCTTTCATTATGCCGCTACTTTTCCGCTGACATAACTCAATTTATCCTTATTATTTTAGCTTTGCATATTTGGCGCTAACTTATTAAGGCAAGCGGAAAGGAAAGCGGTCTATAGGTGGCTTCAAACTCTTTCAACGCAATATAAGTGTACAATGGGGTACACATCCCGCAGATGCCTGATTTCACCTCAGGCATCAGTCTCCACATCGATGCGGTGCCTATTCTTCTCGGTTTAACGGATTCAACTATTCAAGGCAACAATCGAGGCTCTGACCAGCCTAGAATAGAAGACAGTTACAACAATGGCCTCTCTTGGAGGTATAAATGCGACCCATGATGCCGCACAGGAGGCGAGCCAATCGCCAGTTCCTGTATCGGTTCTCGACTTGCCATCAGTGGATAAAGTCCTATCAGGCCAACCTGATATACTGAGCTCACTTGAGTCAAGAAACACTGCCAAAACAGGATCGGAAGAGCAAGAGACCATGTTCCGTGCTTTGAAACATATCATTGAAAATGCCGGGGAGCCGTCTGTCGCGGGAACCAACTTCGATCTGAAGGCATTGCATGCTTCCCTAGAACAAGCAGAGGGAGAGGCACGTCTGGGCAAACGTGATGCAAAATCCCTAGAGAGTGTGCTCAATACACTGCATCAACTCTGGTCATGCAATTCTCCGTTCATGAGCCAAGCGGCTGAAATTCTGGCCAATGGAAGCCGAGAGCGTAAGTGTGGGACAGAACTATTCACATTAATTGTCAAACTGACAAATGGGTAGAATCATGGAGAGTTCCGTTTGGAGAGTCTGGAATTCTTGAATTCTTCTTGAATGTCATTTCATCGAAGCTGGATATCGAAACGGGATTGTTGCTTCACTCCTTGCGCTTGGTCGGTAACTCCTGTGCGGACACTGATGAGAACAGGGCTATTGTTGTCAAGGGAAATTATACTCTTGCCATAATTAGGCACTTTCTCAATCCTGATTTGATCAAGGTGGCGATCCCTGTGATCTATAATATTTGTATGGACTACGGTAAGGCTGGCTTTATCTTGTTTACCAACGCACAATTGGTACTGACAGAGATTTAGAACCGGCGCATGCTCAAATAGCCGAGAACCGAACAGCGTATATCATTTTGCGACTTCTGAAAGATCGAGCTGTTGGTGATAATGAGGCTTTGCTTAGCTTCTCATATGATCTAGTCGAGTTAGCTTCTGAGCAAGGTATGGGCACCCGATGATGAACACCAAGGCAAGCAACTGATCCGGAGTAATAGCACAAGGCGTTGAGAACTCACCCGATGGTACTATCCTCCTTCTTATGGAACTTGCATTGGACGAAAGTATCGAGTTGGAGCATTTTACGTCTCTCACGAATTCTCTTTCTGCGTACATGGAGAAAGAACAGTTTCAAAATGCCTGCATTGCGCACAAAATGGTGGAGACTCTACTGTCTGTTCTGAACCAGTCATTTTCTATCGAATTTGATCCTTCTTCTCAAGAAGACGTTCAGTCCCTGGCTCAATCACGTCTCAAAATCAACCAGGCATTGGCCGAGGTCTCTGCATCTTCCCTATTTGCAGAAAATTATCCCCTGGAATCTACTCTTTCACAGACTCTCAAATCGTGGATTCGCGCTAAGGAAGATCAACTCCAAATTTGCGCTTGTGTGATGTTGGGTAACCTGGCTCGATCTGACGAGGTCTGCGAGGCAATGATTCGGGATTTGAAAATTCACGAAGAGCTGATTGCTGTGCTTCAAAGCGATGCTCGAGGCGCCGTCCTACATTCCGCTCTGGGATTCTTGAAGAACCTGGCAATCGCTGGCGACAATCGTTCTTATTTAGCCGAGGCAGAGATCATTCCCGCCGTCTCGAAACTATGGGCTTTTGAATCTGTCCCACAGGTACAGTTCTCCGCTGCAACCATCGCACGTCAAGTCATCATCTCTTCTATAGAGAATATCTCAAGACTGTTGGCTCCACTCTCGGACGATGTTGATTCTCCCGCCAATCGACGCACGTATCTGTCCTTATTACTTGCACTCTTCGAGGCGACAGATTCCGCACCCATCAAGACAGAGATTGGACGTACCGTGGCTTCCATTTGTCGGACTCTCACTCCTAAGGTCCGTGATGGAGACGAACAAGCAACCTCTTTACTGGACACTTTTTATGGCTTGCATGAGGGTGTTGCTCGTCCAGTTGGTGCAATGATTACGCAGTCTCAGTGGCCAGTTGTTCGAAGTGAAGGATGGTTCGCATTAGCTCTGATGGCAAATAACAAATCTGGCTGTGCGGCAATTGCGGATTGCCTCCAAAACGAGGAAGTCTCGGAGCTGCTCCAGAAGACACTCAGTGAGAAGTTGGATGATGAAGCCACAGAGAAAACTGAGGAGTCCCAAGCGAAGAAGGATCGAGACAATGTGTTTGTTCTTGTACAGGAGCTATTGAAGAATGAGGTATGTTTCCTGAACGAGGACTTGATCTATACACATACTAATGTTTGATAGGGCGGTGCACTACCAGCTGGGTATAGAGATATTATGGAGGATCTAATCAGCAAGCAGTCTTCTAAGCATTTGACAGATTGATTCGCATAACAACATTTGAAGATTAGACGAGCGCTATGAAACTTTGAATAGAAATTGATGGCATAGCCATTGTTGATATTGCGATGAAACCCCTTAATACCAGTGATAGTAAAATTTAAACGAAAGCATTGATATAGAGGACAGCTTTAAATATCATAATTAACTGTCAGCTTCTACAGTATCACAGCTGCGATCACTGAGAGTCATGGCGCATGCATGTGGTATTAGTAGGCAATAACGCCTGATACTGTGCCAATATGAAGTGAGCAGAATTAAAGTTGTACTAGTATTGTGTTAAATGAAATCTATTCCTCATCATGGCCAAGAAAGAAGTGCGCAGGGGTATCTCGAGAGATGAGCAACGCAAAATAAGGACAGGTATTTACAACGGGAGTCAACAGTCTTGTAATCACAGGTCAGGACCTTCATACAATCCCGACGTCCTCGGTATCCTCTGCATCAGGATTGATCTGATGGATTTCGAATCCACCTTCATCTCGATCCTCACCCTTCTGTGGCCAGAGAATCTGGTGATGAACGATGGCTCGAATCATCATATAACAAACAAAGAAGTACATCAATAGCAATGGAAGCACCATCACACACCCCACGATCTTTATCGACTCACAAGAAAATGCCTTGCCGATTGCGAATGTACCGGTGATCAGTGCAGTGTTTGGAAAAACGTAAGAGAACCAGGTCATGGAGAAAACCATTTTGCCTGGTCCGATAGCAGACAAGTTAGCTGCGGCGGCAATTATGAAGAAGAAAATCGCCAATCTGTTCAAGTCAGAGGATGCTATGTCAAAAAAGGGTCTGGGAAAATGACTTACCCCCATAGCCATAAGCAGGAAAAATCAACCATTACTTTTAGCACATCCGCTGCCAACGCCCCGTTGCCCATAAAGTCGGCTGGAAATGAGCGTTTCGCTTCAGATGCCATATTCACTAGACCAGCAACTGTAAAGGCGCTGGGTCCAACAGAGACGAACATTCCAGGTCGCATATTCTCTTTGGGAAGCTTTTGAGTCATGAGTCGGTAGATAAAGGCTGAATATACCATCAGCGATACCAAAAACCCAACTCCCTGGATAGTTGTCCCTCCCACGATGATACGTAATGACCGTGACTGCTCTAGCTTCGCACTTAAGATACCAGCATGGGGACCAATGATGAGCATGGGATATGCAGGGAAAATCCAGATAGGCGTCATTTGAGCTATTGTGAATGTCTGTGTCGACCATCTGAGGCCAAGTTAGCAATCATGCAAACAAGGGCGCTATAAGGTGAACTGTACAAGATAAGATAGATTCCTGCTGAGAATACCACCGCGAGAATACAGTCAATCCAAAACAAAACACCGACTGCCATTTCCAGCCACGCGCCTGCTTTTTGAGGCCCATACTGGGAGACATTGATCAAGATAGTGCCGAACGAGACGACCGAGGCGGGAATGAATAAAGATTCTGTAGGGTGCAGGAAGGATGCTTTGAATGTATATGGGTAAAAGTAGAATCTTGCAATCAAAAGTGACCAGATTAAGAGGTACAGTGCAATGTTGATCAAGAAGATCACGGTGCCAATCATCTCTAATCCGTTGAAACGGTATGGCACTATAAATTATTAGTGATCAACGCCAATCAAAGTTTCAATTTCATATTTACCTTCATACAACACATTTGCTAACCCTCCAGTAGCCATAGTCAACGTAAAGTATGCCCAGGTGATATGACGAATACGTTTCTTCCAGCCAAGACGGGCTGTTGATGATTCCGTTATTGTCCGATCGAGGTGTTGGCCATTGGGTTCGGCACAATGACTGGACTCTCTCTTAAATTTATCAGTCGTCCTGGATGAGGTCTTTTGCATTGTTGCTTCTAATGCTGTCGTGTGTACATCGCGTGCCACACTACTGTGGCGGTCCACACCCCCAAGAATAGAGATGGTTCGCTCGGCATCTTCTATCGTTGGAGTTCGATAACCATCATCACCAGGGCTCCTCATATACCGGGGGACTGTGTATTCAAAAGCCATGACTATGAATGCCGCCCTAGCGGGGACCCCACACCTGAAAACAGACTGATCTGATGGCTTTTCCGATTTTCCAATGTTGGATTTAGCACTTGATTTAGACTCGTTGAGGGTGGAGATGATCCTTTGGGACTTTAGTCCTATCAGAATGAGTACTTCAATACGATGATTGCGCGCAGGAAGAACACTGGGAATAGAATTTAACGTCTTCGACAGGAAATTTGACTAAAATCAAGGATCGTCGCCCAGACTGTTCTTTTCTGGCTTTTGGCATTGTGCCTAAGTACCAAGGCAAATTCATTGAGTTTAGTGGACTCGGATATCGGCACAGACCCCACGTCATAGTCATGGAGAAGATAGAGGATGGAGTCAACCTATGAGAATGTTCGGAATTCGTGGATCTGGAGATCTGCCATTCCGGGTTGAGGAGAAACAAGCTTCAGTGTTTTTGTTAGTTAAATGCTCCATCTTCCCCGTAGGAGAGGCTTCAGATGGTTCAAGTTGTATGGTGGTCGATCCTTCAAGCTTGGAACATCCCGAGCGGTGAATTGCAATCAATGCCAGGCATTCAAAGCATACAAACCAACGATTTACATCTGAATGTGGTCATGTTCTATCAAACTTTTGGATAGTACCTAGGTAGTCACTGAGATATTTGCGGTGAACTCAAGTGCTCAAAATGGTAATAGGGTTTAGGGTTAATGAATATCGTGATGCCGAGGCATAGATAGTGATACAGCAAGGGCTTGGTTGAGGTTGTACAGCAACTTCTTCTCAGTTAAGACTCAAATCTAGGCCCCTTAGCCACTACGAGCTTGAATGCTCTAAGCTCAATCGCATTAGGGATGACTGATAATCGCAAATCTGTCCTGATAACAGGGTAAGTGACCTTGTTGAGATCAAGCTTGAAAGACTACAAGCTAATATCATGTTCAAGGTGCTCTCCAGGTGGTATTGGAAATGCCCTGGCTCGAGAATTCCATCGCAATGGGTTGCGTGTGCTAGCCACGGCCCGCAAAACGGCAACCATCTCCGATCTGAAAGAGCTCGGTATTGACACACTGAGTCTAGTGGTTGATGACCTCGAAAGTGTCAAAGCGTGTCGAACCCAGGTCGAGGCATTGCTGGGCGATAAGGGACTGGATTACCTCGTGAACAATGCGTGAGTAGAAGGCACGTTTCCGCTTAAGTTTGATATGAATGCTAATGGAGTATTAGAGGCCGAAGTATGCTTTTCACCTTGCTGTGAGCTATGCCCATGAGACTAATAGCTATTAGACTATACGGTTCCTGCCATGGAGGCTGAACTCCACGAAATCCGTCAGACTTTCGAGACCAACCTCTTCGCTGTCATTACAATGTGTCAAACTTTTGTGCCATTGCTAATCAAGGCCAAGGGGACCATTGTCCAGATTGGATCAATTGCTGGAGTATGTAGTTCCTTATCGATCAACCCCTTGAACCCAAAAGACAAGTATGGCTAACCAATCCAGATAATGCCCTACGTCTTTGGATCGGTCTACAATGCATCCAAAGCAGCTCTGCACTCTTTTAGTGATACACTCCGAGTAGAGTTGGCGCCTTATGGGTATGTCCCAACCCAGTTCTCATTTCTACATCTTGATTATCAAGTTCTTGCACTGACTCTCAAGAAGCGTCCATGTTACCACTGTTGTAACTGGTGGAGTACAATCGCGAATTGCACGCACTGAGCGTCACTTGAAGCCAGATTCCCTTTATCGGGACATCGAGGCAGAGTATGAACAGCGGGTCATTCACAGCCAGCATAATTCCACGCCCCATGATGCGTACGCTAAGAGCGTCGTAGCTCAAGTGTTATATGGATCTGCACCATGGCGGTGGCTATGGCCATGGGCGCAAGGACGAAAGCTGTGGATCTGGGAAGGTCATGCTAGCTGGTTGATCTGGTTGGTCTCGGGAGGTTGGGCGTGGAATGGAACCATCGGATGGGTATTGAGTAGGATGTTCAAGTTGGGAAAGATCAAGCCTGGGAACTATAAGTCATAGATGAGCCCCATAGATCGAAATTAATCAATATCTTCATAGTTCTTCATGATATTCATAGTAATTCATGATGTGAAGTCAAGTTCCGTGATATTCGCGTCTCCCCGAGGCTTGAGCTGAGTCAGCCAGGGACGGGAGCTGGTTGGCTGCAACACCCGGTTTTACCGCGACTGCAATGTCATTCCGAGAAAAAGAAGAAACAGCTTTCTCCCCGAGTTCCCGATATCTCTCCTTCTCTAAACTCCCTCCCAAAGGGCTCATCATATCTATATTCTCCCCTCTCCCCTCTCTTTCTTCCTTTTCTCGCCATAATGTTCAAGCTCGCTCGCGGTCGTCCCATTGCTGCCGCCCTTCGGGCTGCGACTGTAAGTTCTTCGCGACTGCCGTGATATCGGCCCGTGGCTCGGTTTCTCTGTCAAGATGTATCAAGGGTGAAAAAAAAGAGACACTGACGTTTTCAATCAAATTTAGGAGTCCTCATTCCAGTCCCGTCTGGCTCAGCAGAAGCGTAACCTGTCTATTCACGAGTACCTGTCCGCGCGCCTCCTGAAGCAGGTATGTTATACTGCATCGCCCTTCGGTCGCAGAGACTCTATTGAAGTCCGATCGGTTTGCTGATAACAAGATATAGTACGGTGTTGGTGTGCCTAAGGGTGAGGTCGCTCACACTCCTGAGGAGGCTGAGGCTGTCGCTAAGTCTATCGGTATATTTATCCTTTTCTTTTTCTCCCATTCACGTTTTCACGCATGGCCCCCGGGCTATCCCTTGGTTGCGCCCTGCTAACCGTGTTAATTCACAGGTAACGATGACATGGTTATCAAGGCTCAGGTTCTTGCCGGTGGTCGTGGTAAGGGTCACTTCACCAACGGTCTCAAGGGTGGTGTCCGTGTGATTTACTCGTAAGTATAGAGGTTGATTTTTGAGAGGAATGGAGGAATGTCAAAATTAACTAACAATTCTCATCTCAGTCCTACCGAGGCCAAGATGTTCGCCGGACAGATGATCGGTGAGAAGCTCATCACCAAGCAGACTGGTGCCGCCGGTCGCGACTGCAACTCCGTCTACATTTGCGAGCGCAAGTTCGCCCGCCGTGAGTTCTACCTCGCCATTCTGATGGACCGTGCTACCCAGAGCCCCGTCATTGTCGCCTCTTCGCAGGGTGGTATGGATATCGAGACCGTCGCCAAGGAGAACCCCGATGCTATCATCACCACCCCCATCGACATCCACGCTGGTGTCACTGACGACATTGCCCGCACCATTGCCACCGACCTTGGTTTCTCCGAGCAGTGCATTGAGGAGGCCAAGACCACCATCCAGAACCTCTACCGTGTCTTCATGGAGAAGGATGCTACCCAGCTCGAGATCAACCCCCTGTCCGAGACCTCCGACCACCAGGTTATGGCTATGGACGCCAAGCTCGGCTTCGATGACAACGCCGAGTTCCGTCAGAAGGAGGTCTTCTCGTGGCGCGATCACTCCCAGGAGGATGCTGATGAGGTCAAGGCTGCTGAGCACGGCCTGAACTTCATCAAGCTGGATGGTGACATTGGCTGCCTGGTCAACGGTGCCGGTCTTGCCATGGCTACCATGGATATCATCAAGCTGAACGGCGGTAGCCCCGCTAACTTCCTTGACGTCGGTGGTGGTGCTACCCCCGCTGCTATCAAGAGCGCTTTCGAGCTGATCACCAGCGACCCCAAGGTCTCTGCTGTCTTCGTCAACATCTTCGGTGGTATTGTCCGCTGTGACGCTATCGCTCAGGGTCTGATCAACGTTGTTAACGAGATGGGCCTGCGCACCCCCATCATTGCCCGTCTCCAGGGTACTAACATGGAGCAGGCTCACAAGCTGGTATGATTGAACTTCCCAATATTTCTATTATTAATTTGTCACTAACCCTCTTTTCTCTCTTCAGATCAACGAGTCTGGTCTTAAGATTTTCTCCATTGAGGACCTCCAGACCGCCGCTGAGAAGTCCGTCCAGTTCTCCAAGGTCGTCAAGATGGCCCGCGAGATCGACGTTGGTGTTGAGTTCACTCTGGGCATCTAAGCGATGTTATAAATTTGAACTCAAATAGATGAGGGCATGCATTTGAGAGCCCGCGAGCTCGTAGTTACGCTTTATTAGAGAATTACCCCCCGTGAAGCTATGCTGCTCGTTCCTGTGTCATTTACTTTTTCTTTTGTCACTGTATTCTTGAGTGTTTCTATGACCCTTTTTTCTTTATTTATCATTTCCTAATCGGAAGGGAATCTGAGATTTCAATCGTATGAGATGTTTTTCCATTAAGTGTATGTAGAGTGTGTATGTAGTTGATAAAGTAATGATGGAGAATAAAAACCGGACTGCTGGTCACTCAAGGTCACCGTCTGACAAGGGCTCTCAGTGAGGATTGGAGAAGCGCCAGATTTCTACTTGCTGCAAATTAGCCATAACTAGGAATTCGCTATCTCCAAATAACCAGCAGCATTTGTAGGCTGGCGTGTCTCCTAGAACCGCATGATGACACTCCCTCATAATCTTGGATGAAGGATTTGGAGGTTTCTTGTATGTGGTGTTGAAAATCATCATAATATCAACGTCCTTGATAGCAGCATAGGTCACGTTTGGTCCCATGCATACCACGTTGGTTATTGGGAGCAGAGGGGGCAAAGTATGAGTGATGACCTGGTTGCCTTCCAGGGAGAAATACAATGACATCCTGTGACCATGAAGCTCGTTGCCCTTTTTGGATATTAGGGTACTGCTTTGACCTTCATAGATCTCCTGTGCCTCGTGGGCATCATAGAGTTCCTCGGAGTCGACAAAGGGGAATCTTTGATCTTGTGATTCCTGGCAGTGGAATTGGTTGGAGTCGTCGAGAACATACTGCTCTGCATACATCTGGCAGTTCTTGCCTGCAATAACCGTTGAACTGCCATAGTAGACTTCTTCACCTACGCGAAGGATGGTGAACTGGTCTTCTGTCGGGTGAAGAGCTACCAGAACGGCTCGAGTTTTGACTGGAATGGTACGAGCGATGCCTGAATCCCATCCCCAGTGAATCAAATAGGCACGGTAACCGATAACCACCTTATGTCCGTGAATCAAGAAATGTGTAAAATTTAGAGAAGATAGTCGAAACTCTCGATGTTCTTGGGTACGTAGATCCCAGATGTGGCAATAACCCCGCGTGGAGACGGCAGCGATCAGCAGCTTAGACACTCGCAGCTCGGTGAGCTGTTCCCGGTTCTCAGTTGTCAAGCGGATGCTTTCGTGGGTTTTCAAGTTTGTTAGTGTGATTGAAGTTCGGCCATCATCTCCGGTGATGTATGCATAGATGCCATGAGCATATCCCATGCTTCGAAGCCTGCCAAAGGTATCATGCTCTGGTGTTAAGGGGGAATCCAAGCGATGAATCGTCGCTGGGTGTCCACGCTCCAGTCGTAGTCGCTGATGGATGATTTCTTTGGGATTTAAATTTGAGATCTCACAAGCTAAAGTAGCTCGTATGGCGGCATTTTGTACCATGGACGATGAAAGAACCTGGAACCATCTCCGAGACACTCTCTGCAGACGCACCAGATCGGCTAGATTCAAATGCTCGGCCACCAGTGCTATCACTTCTAGTGGTAGATTTCCCAATACATCACATTGAAAAGTAAGGGAATCGGCGCGTACTTTTACCTCCCGCCATTCTCCGCGGCGCAGCTGATCTAGGATTCCATGGTATCTGCAGGATTTGACGATCAGTAGATGCATATAAACGTGCAGGGTTCAGGATCAAGTCTCCAGGGCAAATAAATACACGGCATGCCGACTCAATGGAGATAAAGCATTGAATTGAGTCAATAAGGACTGAGCCTCTGGGTCCATTCCAGCTTCAAGTTGATTAATATTTTTTTTTCTGGTGATTTGAAATGGAGATATGAACTTTGGAAGATAGTAAGATGAGAGTAGTAAGAAGATACACAAGAAAGTACACACAGGTGACAGAAGTATGGTGTGGAGCAGGAGCAAAGGAAAAAAAAGTCTCATTCCTCTTTAACTAAGAAACTTCCCCCCCCCCCTTTTTCTCTTTTTCTCCACCCTTTAAACCTCTTCATTGAGAGTTCAACCTTTTCATTTTATCGATCTTTTAATCTAGATTGTTATTTGAAATCTTGAAATCTCTCCACTGTTTTTTTTATTCATCCCGAGAATCTTTCGCGTTCCGGCTTCCCACAGCCCCCCCCTTCTTCCCCGCAGCCCTGTGAACTGGTTTTCTCCAACCTTCAAAATCCTTTCATCAAACTGGACCTTCAATTCATGGGCGCGATGACAGTCCAAGTGTCAATGCTTGGGTGTTGATCTGCGCCTCTATGATCTTCCGCGAAAACTGCTTACTTCCCCACGTTCTCCCGCCACGAGCAACCCGCTAACGGTCAATCGCGTTTTCCCTGCATCCCGAACACTTCGGGTTCTCTCCGATCTTCTTTATCAGCTATATACCTGTCGCCCTCGATCGCTCACCGTCGCCTATTCAGTACACCTGGCGCCACAAAAGAAAAAAAAAGCCCCCCCCCCTTTATATTTCTCGCGCGATATGAGTGGTCTCGCCGATCCTCCCTCCAGGAACACTTTCGCCGGTGCAGATGCTCCTGGCAAAACACGAAACATCCCGGTCCTTTCTTCCTCTGCCCATCATTCCACCACACCCATGGAGATCACACCTCCGTCATCCGCCGCGCCAGCTATGAGAGTGCATAGTAGCCCTGATGGCGACCGGGGCGCAATGAATACCAACGGTTCTGAGGCTGGGAACACGAGTAACCCCCCAAACCCAGCGGTTGGGGCTGCTGCTGCAGCCCAGCAACCTAAAGTGGTACAAACTGCTTTTATTCATAAGCTCTACAAGTACAGTGCCCCTCATATTGAAGCTTGATGGAGGTTCCGGTGACTAATGCTTCGTCCAAAAAATAGTATGCTCGAAGATAATAGCATCCAACACCTTATCTCTTGGTCAAACACCAATGACAGTTTTGTGATGTCTCCGACTTCAGAATTCTCCAAAGTTTTAGCGTAAGTTTCGAGTTACCTTTGGTCTCATTTTGATTTGATTGATGTCAATTGCTGACCTTCCCAAAGCCAGTACTTTAAGCACACTAATATCTCATCCTTTGTTCGACAACTGAATATGTATGGGTTTCACAAAGGTATGAAGCTTTTTGGTTCTACTACACTAAAATCATAATTAACTCAGGACTTCGTTTTTAGTGAGCGATGTATTTCATACTGGGTCCCCTGATTCTGCGTTGTGGGAGTTCAAACATGGGAATGGGAATTTCAAACGAGGCGACCTCGTTGGTCTGCGAGAAATCAAACGACGACCATCCCGACATGCATTGATCCATCGCGACTCGTTCCCTAGTCACAAAGCTGCTGCGTCACAACCAGGAACCCCAGCAGAGCCTGTTTCCGACGCCACTGAAGCTAGGTTGATGAACCTCGAGCACTCGTTATATGATATGCACAATCGGCTATCCCGGGCTGAAGAAGGAAATATGGCCCTCAACTCGAAATGCCAAAGCATGGCCGAGGGCTTAGCCAAATGCTATCACGTAAGTCCGGGTATTTTTTGTTTGCGACGAACTCACATGAGCTAACCCGGTTGGTATTTCCAGTGGACTCATTCTATCTCTCGCTTCCTCCAAGTTGTGGTTCCTGACAGGGAAAACCCTCTATACCGTGAAAGTAGGACATCATCCTTCTTCCAAAGGTGATTCTTTCTCGCTAACGGCTTTGTAGTCTCAAATATGCAAAGAGAAGTTGAGAAGCACCTGGAAACTGTGCGCGCCATGGAAACTTCCCACGACAGTCTCATGCCGCCGCGCCAGCAGTATTTTGGAAATTTAACCGTCGAATCTGGACCGCCTCTTTCTCCTCGTCAACTGCCACAGGATGATGGCCGGCGTCAATCCATGATTCGGCCACCCGTTCCGCCGCATCTTGCGGTGTCACCGCGACGATATGGTTCAATTGGTGGCGCCAATGCTCCGCCTAGTTATAACCGGCCACAGGCTCCCCAGGTAGCACCCTCACATCAACCCGGACCATCACCCTTATCTATATCGACTCCGCCAGGTCCAAACATGGGTCGTCGCCACACATTTGCAGATATCCGACAACATGACTGGCCACCGGGAGCATCTTCTCCCTTTCCGCCAGGGAACACTGGTAGTGGACCTTGGCCCTCATCTCCAAACCGGGTACCAGGCTCAAGTGATCAACAAGTCCGCGATGTTCTTGCTCAATATGAAATGGGGGCGCCTCGTCGACTTCAAGACCAGTCCCGTCATGCCACACCACCAGGGAATGCCGAACCATCACCATCCTTGCTGAGTGTTGATAATGGCTGGACTATTGCTGGCTCTAGATTCCCTCGACAAGACTCCTCATTACCGGCAACTCGTCGCTCCAGCATGGCAAGTAACGTTCATTCCCTATTGAATCCCGCAGATACAATTGAAAGACCCGACGAGGATCTGCAAATGGGCGAAGATCGAAAGCGCAAGCGATTGGAATAGAGGAACTCCTCATACAAATTCCTGAAACTTCCCATTGGATACCATATCCACGACCTACCATTTACTCAGCACGGTTATAAAGACCTGCTTTGCCATCTGACAACATCTGTATACTTGAAACACACAAGGCACGATCTTCTCTCTTATTCCCCTTTACACCGAGAGAACGTCGACTGCAGCGCCAGACTTTCTGTTTCCTTTCTTTCTTTCTTTCTCTCTTTCTTTATTTGTGCCTGTAGATGTCTCGATTTGTCACACCCTCTTTTTTCTCAATTCCTTTTTGTCAACATTCTCCTTATTTTTTCTATTTTTATTTCTTGGATATTCCAGGCGGAGTCGTGCTGTCGCACCCGAGTCATTGAAGACTTGGGGTTTATACTTCATTCCTACCGCATATTTTATATACCCTTGGGTTGGGCGGAGTAACAAAAAATCATGGTGACATCTAGAAGATTGGAATGAATTTTGTACTTTAAGCCCGGTCCTTCCTTAATTATATTGATTGAATGGACAGCGAACGCCTTTGGTGTGCGCATGCGAGAGAGTTGGCACGCAGGTCTAATTTGACAATATCGTAATATACCGTAGAAATGAGTCGCGACCCAGCGCCGACTTATGAGCTGCCCATCTTGTGAGATGCCAATTGATCAGAGGGAATGATCACGGTGAACCCTGGAGATGGCGTTCCAACCATGAAGAACAAGAGAAAAAAAATGAACCAATTGGACATAAATCCTTATTTCTTCTTTCTCTTCTTCGCCCGCTCAGCCAAAAGCTCATCCAAATAGCTCGTAGCCTTCTTTCTCCCCTTCGAAGGAGCCTGTCGCACAGGAACCTCATTTGGCGTAGACGCATCCTGTTCACCCTGAACATCCTTCTCTTGATCCTCGGAGTTCACAACAGCCTTGACTTTCTTCGGCATAACATTCCTCTTCTTCTGTCCAATAGTGGCCGTCCGACCCTCCTCATCATCCTCGCTATCATTATCTTGTGTATTCGAAGTTGTCGCCTGTGTCGCCGGAGTAGTTTTCAACTGTGCCTTATTCGCCGCAGCAGCTTTCATAAATCGATCATAGTTTTTGCCAAGTAACTGTTTTCGTAGTTTATCGTTTGAGCCTAGTTCTGTACGGTTCCAGCTTCCGTCGGCTGCTTTTTCAGGGAGAGGGGCGCCGATTCCGAGGCTGATGACTCGATGTTAGAGATAAAAACTTAAGATAGAGGAATATGATTGAAGAGAATATCTTACGTCTCTGGAACTGCAGTAAAGATCTCATCTTCTTCGCGTTGGAGCTCTTCATCGGTTTTCGTATTGGCTAGCTCTTCTTCGCTCTGTGGGGAGCCATGATGCGACGAGACGCTGACTGCGAGATAGAGCGACATTCGCGCGATTGAGAATAATATCCGATTCGCTTTTTGAGAGTGACATTTTGAAAATTGGGAATCTATTTTTCCCTCTAGACCAAAGAACAGAATGGATGTGGTGGGCAATATAATTTTGTGATAAGCGTTATCTTGAAGGCGGTGAGAGAGCAGAATATATTCTCAATGAGGATAGATGCAGGTAGTAGTATACAACGTTTGAATAGAAGTACATGAGACGATAACTAACAGAGATGCTAGTTGTACCGAGTAAATTCAAGTGTTGTACAGAAATGAAAAAAATGTCAAGTCACAATGCAATGGAAGAGGGACCGGCTCGAATATTGACACACAGAAAAGAAATCCAATAGATACAAACCCCGTTCAAATGTTATACAAATAATTATGAAAGCTCTTTCTCCCCTCTCTCTTCAACGTTCACTAAGAGCTCTTTGTCTTGTTCGTGATCTCAGTCTGAAGCTTCCTTTAGATCCGGGGCTAGATCTTGGCCTTGGCCTTGTTCTAGTGCTTGGGCCAGGGCTTGATCTTCGTCTTCGTCTTGATCTTGGTCTAGATCCGGGCCTTTTGTTTTCCACTTCACAGACATCAACTTGAGGGTACGTTCCGCTTCCCAAGCTTCCTGGAGTGATACTACATGGAGGACGGCTCCTCGCAAATTTCTGATCAAAGACGTACCAAGGGGCATGTGATCCGAACGTTCTCCTTCAACTCGTCGCCACATCCGCTCTCTCATGACTCTAAACGTGGCAGCAAAAGCCTAGAAGAAAGATTCAGTATTAGTATTGAACGGATATGGAATTGACAGGGCAGGTATTGCTCACCAGGGCAATGCTTTGATGATAGTCGATCAGTGTCTGCGCGGTCTCGTCTTCGGTGAAGGCACTTTCGGGTTTGACTAGCACAGGTAACCAAGAGCCGAATCGAAGGACCTCTCCATTCTGGATCAGCTTGTCTCCCAATAAACATGGGACTATAGGGCTGGTTGGAGAGACGTTTAATATGTTGATTAGATCCCCGATTTGAACCTTTCCAGTGTATGTAAGCGACTCCTGTATTAAACCGCTACGAAGTCTGGCGGCAGCGCTGGTACTTTCTATAATGGCGAGTTTTTCGGTCTTGGTAGAGCATGTCGCTTTTCTGGTTCGAATTGCAAATCTCGACGATAGGGTGTGGGTGACCAAAGCTTTGATAAGTGAGACATCGTGCGAATGCGTGTTGAGCACGTCGTGACCAAATTGCTTATTTTCAAATCTTGAAGTTCCTGCAATATAGCGTGCGTTCGAAAGCCATCGCATAATCAGACGACTATTTTGCATGTTCTGAAAAAAGACTGGCAGCTCGAGATGGTTGGAGAGGGCAAACTCCTCAGCTAAACCTTCTTCGACCTTCTGCCGAAGAGCATTGAAGGCATTGACCTCGGCGATATGGTCACTGTGGGATCCTTGGGCAAAGCGTTCGCGGCGCTTGCGAATTTCTGCGACATCCTGCGACTCCTTGGGCCATCGGAACAGACTCTCACCATCCATTCTTACTGCTAGAATAATCATCGGGTTCAAGCATCGAAACAGCACACCCAGAATGACCAACTTTGCAGCGTGCGGGGTTAGCCCGAGGCCGCCGAGAATCACACCAAGGTCAGTAATGCGTTCATCTTCATCCAATGCCTTCAAAACTTTCAAAGACTCGAGGGTACCAAGAACCTTGACAGTATCAGGAGGCTCAATGGCCTGCTGGAGCATCTCAAGAACGGGAACATCAGGCGCGATATCCTTTGCCTGGAGACAGATGCTATGCAGGTCCTCTCGCTGGATCGCAGGAGATCTCGAAATTCGAAGACTATCGTAGCACTTCTTTGTTCCCAGAAAGTAGTATTCTCCGTTCTGGACTCTACCAGCTCGGCCGGCCCGCTGGGTTGCGTTGGAACGGCTGATCCAAGACGTGACCAATTGACGAGAATGCGTTGCAGAGTTATGGAAAATCTGCTTCACCCTGCCAGTATCAATCACAAATTTCACATCTGGGAGAGTGACCGAAGCCTCGGCCACATCCGTGGAGAGGAGAATCCGTCGACAACCTCCCGGGAAAGATTCCGAGAGCTTAGCCATTTCTTTAGGGAGGCCAGCATGCAACTTCAAGACTCGAAGCTTGCTTGCATTTGAAAAATCAATCCCACACTCGGGTCTGCTTGCGAGGCAAGGAATTTCATCGTGCAACTTGTCGATGGCCTGAAGACCAGGAAGGAAGATCAATATAGAGCCCGACTCAGTAGTGCTCAGAATATGGACTATCAGCGCAGAAATAATGCCATAGGGCATAAATGGATCCTCTTCCAAGGCAGCTGAAGCTGGTGTGGCAGGATCCTTCGTTAATTCAAGTTCCTTAGACGTGTCGTGCTCACCAAATTTGGCATAATGTCTCTCCAAGAAAGGCAATGTGTCCTTTGCCCCCAGAAGCGTGGTCAGAAATTTGGGCTCAAGCGTAGTCGCCAGGTCATCGAGGATGTCGTCGAGGAAGTGTTCATTTACCTGATGCTGACGACCAGGGATAGTTATGGACGGTGCAGGAATGGAAGTCCCATCTGGACCAACACTGTGAAAGTAGGATGTAAAAAGATCCAGATCCAAGGTTGCACTCATTATTACAACTCGCGGCGCGGGAGTAGAGAGTGACTGACATTGATCAACATGGCGCTTTAAAAGCAACATCATGAAATCAATGTTGACATCTCGTACATGAACTTCGTCAAGAATAATATGAGTATACCTTCTAAGCGAATCGCCATCATTTTGGAACATCTTCAACGCGAGACCAGTAGTACAATATGTGATACTGCCATTCCTATCAGGCCATATCTTGTCAAATCGGGTCGCGTATCCGACAGTCTCCCCAATAGGCTCCTCTCTTTCATCAGCCACTCGCTTTCCTAGCATTTGCGCAGCAATTCGTCGGGGCTGAATACAAAGAACGTTGCATTCTCCTCCACTCCCGCCGCGAATTGCTTCTTCTAAGATCATTTGAGGAATCTGGGTAGACTTTCCTGATCCAGTCTCAGCAGAAAGAATACTGTATGGATGTTGTTCGATCATCCTTAAGATTTCTTCTCGCTTTCGAGATACGGGTAGTTGAGCCCTATCAGACAAGATAGCACAGGTTTTCGGATGCTGCGAAGTAAGTCGCTTATCCAAGGAACGAGCTAACTCTCCAGATCTCCGCACTTCACGACGATCAGGACCAGAAGCTAGAGATTTCTTCTCCTGGGAGCGTGTGATTGGTAAGAAACTAGCAGTGCGCATCGCGCGAGACAATCTATCTCTTCTTTCTTGAAGTCCCCACACGAAATCATCGTCTAGTGAAAGCTCGAAGGTGTTTTGTTTGAGCGACCTCAATTGAGACAAGAGGTTAGTGCATTCCAGCTTTGAGATCAGAAGCTTCATAGCCCTGGTTTGGAGCTGAGCCTGTTATAACACAACGTTAGAAACTGAGGCGACGACACTAACTCGATTGAATTGAGGAAGAAAGCAACCTACCCCTGAAATCGGCTCAGCAGGATCGACTGTTATACTGGCCTCTCTCATGTCGTAGAGCCCCTCATTGTAGATAGCACGGCAGACTCGTAATCCTTGAGCATCAAAGTGAGTTTTGGTGTTAAGTTGAACCAAGCTCTTTATGCTCTCGTACAATTCGACATCCCCATGTTGGACAACATATTCTTCAAACAACTTGTTTATCGATTTCTGCGACATGTTCATATTGCCATCCCGAGCCCCCGGAGGCGTTTTTTCCAAGAATGGTTGTAGGGTCGAATTCTGGTTTGATTGTTGAAAGGGGACTTTCACAAGATCTTCCCAGATCCCGTCCTTTTGCATCTCTTCAATTAACACTGAGATTGTGTTTACCAACAGTTCTGGGTTTTTCTCGAGTGATTTCTGTGAAGGAGAGCCATTAAAATTTAAAGTCATAATTGTAAAGTTTGATGGTTAATGATTAAACAAACCCAATTTAGTTGCTGATCAAGGCTAACACTGAAAACCTTCTCCGTGCCTGGTACCCGGAGCACGGCTTTTTGCTCAAGAAGCGAGAATCGGAGGATCAAACGATCAGTAATCATCATCTCCAAAAATCTTGCGCGTGCTCGTAGAGGGGTATGACTAGCAGTCAAATGATTATTCCAGTCAGAAATCTGCTGCAATTGAGGAATTAAGGGGGCAATAGCTCGTTTTTTTGCGCTTAACTATGTGATAGCCGGTCAGATTTATGCCTCGATAATGTTGATACACAGAGAGAGAAAGGGAAGAAAGCATACGGTTGTGTGCTTACTCCATGCAGAATATTTCCACAGTTTCTCCGTAGCGGGATTATAGAGCTCATAATCAAACCATGAACCCGGGACGGTACGTGAAACAGTCGATGCAGACGCAAACTGAATGTGTCCTAATTCTGTCTTCACGTCAAGCCATGCACACATGGCTTGCATCTTCATAGATGCCTTCTTAATAAATTCTTGCTTAGGCTTTGGACTTGGGGGAAGCGATGAATTGACTTCAGAAAGACTTTCATCACTTTGCGAAGTCACTGCAGCCGAACCGTTATGTGTCGGTGCCGAAGTATGCAAAGAGGCCTTCGCGGGTCGATGACATCTCATGGTAGACAGGGTCGCTTTTTTGGATCCATCGTGCAATTGAGTCTTATAATTATCTTTCCCAGTCCCTTTGGACAATATCACCGGACGAGAGGACGAAGTAAACGGTCGTGAAGTTGGCGTTGCGAAAGTCTGTTGGGGCGACGACGGACGTAATCTGGGCTGTCGGAGCCCTCGAGTGATAACATGACCAAAGTAGTCTGCTCGACGTGAGCCCAGAGCCAGGGTAAAATTCCGCATGCTATTGCATGCGTTGGCCTTGGTTGCCATGAGTATCTGTTCACGAGGAGTTCGAAAAATAGCAAGCGGCGTGCATTGCGACTAGATCGATTGGGTGAGTCGAGTCCGTTTGAACAAGTTGAAATCGAAGCAGCCTAACTAAATGAGCGTAATGAACACGATTGGAGGCTTGAAGCACGCGGCTCTAAGCTCTGGAAGTCAAAGATCAAAAAGGTCGGGATGAAATTGCGGCGATGCTTAGGCCCGGATGGCTTGGCATGTATCCACTCCAACATCTGATCCACACTCACACTCCAGATGTCCAGTGCTCACGTGTGGACATTCAAATGTTTGCAGGCAACTCAATCTCTACTAATCTCTACTAGTAACTAATATGATTTATTTTAAGATCTACTCAAGTGCTACTACATATGCAATCAGAAATAGAATACAGTGCTATGTACTAGTATTAGTCTGAGAAGAGGAAAATTTGAACAATCATAACGTCGTAGTGATCTCTATATACAAGGTCTAGTCTTAATGTACATATCTAGTATGTGTCTGTGCAACGCTTGTCCCCAATATCAAACATAATACCAGTTGACCAGTAGGTCTCCAAGCTCCTATGACGCAGGGTATCATATTGAGGGAGAACTGAACAAAGGAACAACTTGAAGTAAAAACCTCAAGAAGACAGATGATTTTAAGCCGAAGCCTGAGCCTCCTTTTGATCCCGAAGTTTCTTCTCGATCTTCATGAACTCTCGAATTCCAACTGGGATATTGGCGAATAATTCCTCATCTTGATTCGGAGCAGGCCAATTAGCTTCGCTGCCACCTCCATCTTCATCCAAGCTGAGACTAGCGGAATCAACCTTGGCACGAGGCGCAGTGCGCATGTCCCGAGTTTCCTTCTCAGAGCCACCTTTGGCTTTGGCTTGTGCGACTCGACCTGCCCATTCTTCCATTTCGTCTCGAAAGTCATCCCAAACGCAATGTACACAACCGCTCATACAGCAGTTCTCGGGTTCCTCTGGGCGGGGTGGGATAGGCACTCCGTTGATAGTTTTCCATTCGGATTCTGGTGGAATTTCGCCGGGATTGTAACGAGACTCGCGGCCAGGACCAGCAAGGCGAGTGCCAAAAACAATTGCCATTTTTTCTTGGGGTGTTTGTGCTTCATATAAGTTTGTCGGAGCTGGCTTTACCTCGGGTGGAGGTGTAGTTGGGCGTGCAGTTTTCGCACGGCTGTGATATGGGGAATTCAAGATCAAGGCATAGTAACCAGATAAAGGATAGGCTTGAGAATTGTCGGTATCTTCCAAGGAACCACGGTTATGGTTTGACGATTGACTATGCGTCATGCGCCGAGAGGACAAGGCCAACGCACATTGTCGGTTCGGGGTCATAGAATGAATAGACTGATAATAGAAAGGAGTAGAGAATAATTTCACCCGCCGGAAAGATTGCCTTCCCACCGTGAGGCACTCCATCGTAAACTGGCGCAGTACCTAAAAGGAATCTTGGATTCTCCAACTTCCAAGGTTCAAAAGCGGCGGAGGCGGCTACAGGCGCGGCAGAACGATTAGGTCATAGATGCAAACAATACAAACATGGTTGTTTATGCTCCCCGCGAGTGCAGCGCGATTTCGAGTAGATCTTAAACATCGCAAGAATGAATTCACCCCCGAAACGTCGAAGAAGTGCCAATATTGTTGGGGATGCTGGGGGCACATCACATATCACAATGGCTGGCCCCGCGATCGTACCCTCCGGTCAACTATCCTTCCAGTCACCCACGCGATCGAGTTTGGCCAAATCACACCCCAAAGTTCTCGAGCGCGCCCTCAGTAGATCTCCAAGCCGCCGACCAACAAGTCGAGAAGCCCAGGGAAAACAACCAGACCGCAGTACACTTGGGCTCCGGGGTCGAAAAGCCCTTCGAGCTTCGTTAGGTGGGATGTCTAGTCCGTTAAAAAAGCGTCAGATGCCCGACAATTCACCTTTACTATCATCAGCTAGACGACCAAGTGGCATTCAGTCTTTTACGAAGCCACCCCGCCGATTGTCAAGGAAAATTCTACCAGGAGACTTTTGGTTTGGGTCGCCTACCAAGAAGCAACCTTATCCAACGGAGGAGGATCTTTCTAATACACCGGAAGGCCAATTGGCTTTGGAGCTGGGAAGCGCAACTCGACAAGCGGATACTCGTGAAGCTATTGATGTTGGCCTTGATGGTGGATTCGATGACAACTCTATGGAACCAGATCTTCCACCTACCCCTACACAGCTCGGGTTAGAGAAGGCACCCGATCGCCCAAGAGGATTGTTAAGCAGCAGCCCGAGTGCAAGGCATGAGAAAAACAGAAAACGGAAAGCGATTGACGCTATTCAAGGAAGCCCCTTGAAAACCATGCGATTTCGACATCAAAGTCCCGAAATCTCAGTATCTGACTCGGATATGGATGATGCTGGACTATCAGTGGCTGCTCTGGAAAAGCGAAAGCTGCGCAAGAGTCTGACGGCGGAGCTACAAAAGTTGAAGGATGATGTTGCGGAGCTGACAGAATGGACTGGGAAAATCGAGTCCAACTCGAGCCTGGCTGATGACCCACATAAGCTCAACCATTTCTTGTAAGCTGAAGATCCCTTGCTGCAATACTAAATTGACTCTAACCAATATATAGGGATCTGCTCTCCGAAGAATCATCTCATATAAACCGACCTATGCCACGTCAGGCTCCAGTGCCAATCTCTTCTCTTTTGTGTACTTTGCTCCCATTTTCCAAAAACATCCCCCATCCTTCTCGCCAGACATCACCATTACCTACGAATCCGTTCGCCTTGAAAGAATCGTCACAGGCGCCATCTTATTTGACAGTCTTTGCTCCGCTAGCTCTTCAAACAAGCACAAGCCGCTCCACCGCCTCAAGGACCAGCACTATTGTGGAGACACATACACTGACATTCACACCACCTTCCCCATTTCCGTCTTCATTATACAACATTTCAGTTGTCTACGAGACAGACCCAGAGGCACAAGCTATTGTCTCCGTATCTGTACCCACAGGGAGAACCAGCAAGAAACGACGAATCCCCGAGGTACTCCGTCGATGGATCGAGGCCCGTTTAGCAAACTCTCTTCTCAAGCTTGACGTGGCAACATTATGCTGGGGTATTAAAAGATACTGGGAAGCCTCTATCTCTCGCGCCGAGCTATGGGCATACATCGACCACAAATATGGCAGCGGTGAAAAGAAGGGCGATCTACCAAAATCTCAATCTGGAGTCCTTATGCTTTCGGAGCTGCGGCGATTGATACCACACTTGGAGCGTAGCACTATGGTTATCAAGTCCAAGTCTGAAAGAAATGCACCTCAAGTCCTTTTGTCTAATGCTTTGACTATTGATGATTGGACTGGAGAGCCACAATTGAGACCGGAGCTTAGTGTTTCTACTATTTCCGGTTCCGGACCAAGCAAGAAGATTGACCAAGAAACCAAAAAGCTCTTCCATGCTTTGGTGCATGAAGATACTACTGGGTCGATGCAAGCTAGTGCTGGGAGTTTTTCTTTGGATGCTATCATCCGAGCCACTGAAGGTGCCATTGGCGCCTTGTTCAGTCGTGATTAATGTTGTTAGTTTTTTTAAGGTAGCGTCGGCGCATGGAATTGGATTTGGGAGTGATTTTTAAGATACCATGGGAATGTGCGCTTTTGCAATGAATTGAAGAATCGAAAGATTTATGTTGGTTTCACCCCTTGTTTTCACATTTTATAAGGTCATCATATACTACTGGTACCTAGAACGGCAGATAGCTTCAAGTTGAGAAGTGCACATGTGCAAGTGCCCAGGTGAGATACTACTATCTAGTGATAGTATCAGGCCAGTTGTACATACTTTTTATCCATGGATATATGAAATCAATCAAAGTCCTACATTTAAAAATAATTTGTGGGTGGACGTTATACTTGATATTGCTTCAATTCATCTCAATAGATAGTATGATAGAAGACATCAAATTATTAGTTACAGTATTTCAATGTTTGCTCGTAGACAGTACACAAACAGCACATCTATCGTTGGAATTAAAAAGCAAGGAAGTTCGCAACAGCAACCACACAGAGGAAAAGTGCGCTGTCTGTAACCTTTTTAGCTGCAGCACCCGTGAAAACAGCGACCGGAGCACTCGAGGTACTCGAGGCACTGGATGAAGTGCCGATGCGAACAGATGAGGCGCTTTGGGCAATTCCAGCAGAAGACGTAATTGCGTGAGAAATATTCGATTTGACACCGCTAGTGTAACCAATCCAGCTACTTTCACTTCCCACGCTCGTAGTTTGCGATTGTTCGGTAGCGCTATTATTCGTTCCACTGGGCTGTGAGATATAGATATCGGAGGCGGGAGCACTGGCCGATTCGACGATCCTGGTAAATATTCCAGTTCCAGGGATGGTACCAGTGGTGGTGCTGGAAGTTATAGTTGTATCCTCAATAGCAGATGCGCTCGGGGAAGTGCTGGATGTCCAAGTGTAGGTGGGGATGTTGGTTGTTTCTTCTCCAGAGGCTGGACTTGTAGTGGCGGCTAAATTACCAGTCTTCCCCTCGCCCTCCTCACTGACAGGACAAACAGTCACATATGCAATCACTGTTTCAGTGGCTGTGGATGTAGTTTTTTGAGATTGAGCACAGTTGTGGATTGACGAGGGGCAAACTGCAGTGGTATGATGGTGCGTTGTGTAAACCGTAGATGTAGTGAGTTTTTCACTAGGTAGTCCAGTTGAGTTCCCCTTCGTCATTGCGACAGATGGCAGTGTAGTCTTGCTCTCCACATTGGTCACTGGGCAGATAGTGGTATATACAGCAACCGTTTCAGTAGTGATGTGAGTCGTCCGCTCTGACGCCGGGCAGTCCCGAACTGATGGTGGACACGCAGTTACTGTATGCACCTCAGTTGTAAAGCTAGTTGAAATGGTGAACTTTGGTGGAAGGGGTGGCTCAGTAGCGTCCAATAGTACGGTGTTGGTGGTTGTTGTTGTTACAGGTATAGTATCTGTACTCGGAGCCGAAGCTGTGGATGGTGCAGAAGCCGATGATGTGAACTTTGAAAGTAAAGTAGATTGAGAAGTCGACTCGGATACGAGAGCCGACGTAAACTGGGAAACCGATGCAGACTGGGAAGCCGACTCGGAGGTGGAAGCCGATGCAAGCTGGGAAGGCGTCGTAGACTGGGAGGTTGTTGCAGAAGATAGAGAGAAGGAAGAGGAAGATGAATAAGACAAAGATGGTAAAGAAGAATGTCTCATAATAGAAAGAGATGAGGTTTGTGATCGTGATAAATGGGTTGAGACGGATGTAGAAATCGGCCTTGATGGCACTGTTGTGTATGAATGCATTCTTGTATGAGACTTCCAAGCCGGTCTTGAAGTATTTCCAGAAGATATAGCAGCTGACGCCGAAGCAAGTGGCGAAGCAGCGACTGACGACGAATTGGCGATTGAAGAAGAAGCGACTGATGATGAAGCAATTGGCGACGAGGCTACTGGCGATGAAGCAGCAATTGATGATGAAGAAGAAGTGATTGGCCAAGAAGAGGCGACTGATGTAGAAGCAGCTGGCGACGAAACAACTGGTGTAGAAGAAGCGACTGGTGAAGAAGTGGATGACGAAGAAGCAGCGATTGACAAAGAAGAAATGACTGATGAAGAAGCGATAGCAGAAGAGGAGACCACGTTGATAGAACTACTAGTAGTTGGTGTAGAGGTACTCGTAGCAAAAGTAATAGTCGAGGTGATGGTAGTCGTATATTCTACGACGTCCGTTGTAGTAGATAATACTTCTGTTGACGCTCCGGTGACCGTGACAATACACGGATTTGTGGTGAATCTCTCAACTGCGGCATATTTCGAGGAACTATATGAAACTGTCGCTGTCACTTCCTGTAATAAAATACACCGGTAGTTCGCAGTCATGAAGTTTGCAGCCACACACGACGCGCTGTAAATGCTACACGCATCATAACACTCAAAACCATTGACTTCCGATAAGGAAATAAAGACCTCTCCCGCCAGGGAAGATGTTGTGCACCATTGGCTCCAGTAGACTCCATTGAGTGACCATACACTATTCGTGCATTGAGTGTCGAAGAATCCAGTGCCAGGAGTACATGTAGTCTGAACGGTCGTCACCGGGGCATAGCTCGTGATAGTGCTGGTTACGGTCTCTGAGTAAGTCGAAGTGAGGGTGGTGAGAGACGTAGAAGTCGGAAGACTAATGTCTGGGACTGTGAGGGCAAGAGACCCCTGAATGAGACCCCAAAGGACGGAAGGCCAGGCCCGTGATTGACCCATTGGTCTCAGTAGAAGAAAAGAGTTGTAAGTTGAAAAACGAATGTGTTTAGTTCACAGAAGGTCTTTCCAACTTGAACTTATAAATGAAGGGAATGGATAATTCAAGTCTGGAGAAGGCAAACCCATTCAAGGTCCCTGAATCCCAGTCCGAAATAGTATATCAAAATTTGAATATAGTACCTATGAATGGTTTGTTTTGTAGTATATTCAGCCGAGGCGCCACCACAGTTAATTCGTGGACTGTTTAGACCCACTCCAGGGCTATCGTTTTGACTATAGCCAAGACGAGCGAACTGTTTCCTCCAGGGCTAAGTGCTGATCAGCTTTGATTTTGTTCCAAGAAAGCTTATGCGCCATAATTCTTTCATAAGAATCATATTTTCAAACAGAGAAATACTGCCAAGGTTCAAAAGTTATGGATCATTGAAAATGTCCAGGAGCTTCAAATGTTATACCACATGGGAGTTCGGACTCACACTAACTGGATTCGGTAGGAAACAGCGAGGCTATTATGACTCGATTTTCTTTTAGAATTTCGGCTTCCGCGAAGATGATCTGTGCGAGTGCGACAGGAGATGATTATACATTGATAGAATGCCCGAGGCTAGGTACGAGAGCTGCGAGTTGGATTAAGAAGAAAGGCTGGGGACGCGTTGTACAATTGGGAAGCTCAAACGAAGGCGGGAAAGGTAAAGCAGACATCGTCCACACTCTCGAGGGCAAACTTGAAGTCCCGGCCGGACTTCGCCGAGGCGTCACAACGATTTCGCAGTCGTGCGCCATAAGGCCCCCGGGGCAGCCAAACAAAGGGAGGGGCAATGGGCCATGAAAGGCCCTGCCGAGGTTCTACTAGTAAGTGTATGTCAGGAACCTTGGAAGTGGATCATCTCAAATGTAGGTACCCGGACATAAAGTTGTTCAAGTTGTATCCTGCATATCCAGATGTCGTTCGTGAGGGGACTGTGTAAATGAATAGTAGTAGTAGTAGTAGTAGTAGTAGTACTACTACTACTACTACTACTACTATACACTATGTATATACTCATAATAACTGTAATGTCAGTTGAATTCCAGTGAATAGTTCTGCAAAAAGATGTTATTAAGAATTACAATCGCAATATTCGATAAAATTTTCATGAATTGAGAGTGCTGATAGTCGATCAGATCTAACAGTCTATGAATTATAACATTGTGTTATACACAAAAATCGTCGAGCTGCCATTTTGATATTGCGTCTGAATTCCAAAGCTGTCTACTATTTCGACGAAACTCTACCTAAAATTTGCGATTCGAGCAGTCTCTAGTAGTATTACACGGAGGTAAGTATTAGTCCTTTCCCAAGGTTCCCCTCAGGCCGTTAAGGATCTTTCGGTCTCACTTTTACCGCATCTAACGACTCTCATACTAGTACTGTTCGAGTTCGGAGAAGCGATTTCTTAGACACTCACAAAATACTGTCTTTGTGAGTGGAATATCCTCTGACTGTGGCCCTTCCGCTGTGGCATGTCTAAGAACGGGCTTCTCCAAACACATATTCATTCAAGGTCTTCCAACGCAAAGTTATTGATAAATTCATTCAAATGTTTGTATGTGGGTCTTCCTCGGAATCGATTCCATAAAGGGCTCCATGATGGTTACTCGAGGGCAAGAGATAGCAGAACATTCAAGTTGATATAGCGGACTGATGTCTACGTGTAAGCGTGGGCTTAACTACTACATCCATGGGTGTGTACAGTCTACTGTAGAGACGCCTGCTCACGCAAAGCTATGTTGTAAACCTGGAAGCCCTTTTCATTTATGAGACTACAGAAAGCTTTCACGGCATGGTCCTCTACCCTCTTTCCAGTTTGGATCAAATCCATAGTTCCAATGTACTCCAACTCCGTTGAAAGTTACCAACGCCAAAGAAATCGAGAAACCCCGTTCCTGGGCACCTGGTAGCATCCAATCAAGGCGAGCGAAGTCGAAGACCAGGGGAACCACCGAATAAAAAACACCAACACCAAGAAGCACGGCCGAGGATAAACTTTTTGAGAAAAATTGGGCGGTTTTGCATTTCGAAGGATCTTCCGAGTTCTTTCTTTTAAGAGACAAAAAAAGGGGGTAGTTTCAAGGGTAGAGGGGGAGGGGAGGGAAAAAGAGGGATTCAGTTTGAAAGAAATGGAAGAGGCGCCATGCCATGCCACAGTACACTCATCCCCGATCCGAAAACCGACCCGATCATCATCATCAGCACGAGCAGTAAATTAACACATTTATTTCTTGGCGTTGGCCTCCTCCTCAGCCTTGAGCTTGGCGCGCTTCTCACGAATACCCTTGTGGCGGGCCTCGGAGCGAGCGTCACGCAGGCGGCGGTAGACAGACTCCTCAGACTTGACGAGGGAGTCACGCTTGACCTCGGTGATGGCGTTGGCCTCAGCAGCGTTGACGATGGGGAAGCTGGCGCTGGCACGGGTAGCGAAACCCTCGGTCTTGCCGGAGGCAAGAGCGGCCTTGACAGCGTTGACGTCCTCAGCGGAAGAGTCGAGCTTCTTGAACTGACCGCTCTTGCGGGGAAGAGGATCAGGCGGGCCTTGTAGTCCTGGAGACGGGCAACGTTGGCGACCAGGGACTCCTTAGAGTAGTTGGTACGGCGGTGATCAACGGAGATACCGACGGTGGAAGCGAGCTTCTTGGGGATACCGGCCTCCTATAAGTTGCAAAAAATTATATGTGAGCCCCTCAATTCCACGCAGTTCCGATGGAAATAGACGAAGTCGAATTTACCTTGAGTTCAGCCAGGGTGAAACCACGACCGGCACGGACACGGCGGTTGTACTTGACGGTGGGGCATCGGACAACGGGACGCAGCTTGTCGACCGGACGGGGAGCAACGGCAGCAGCCTTGGCGATACGGTTCTCACGACGACGGTGCTTACGACCGGGCTATAGGGTCGAAGAAAAATTCCATGTTAGTCGTTTTTGGTCCTGGGGTAAAAATTCTCTCGCTTTTTTCGATAGGTCCTAGGTCGATGGACGATATTCCGTAGGACGAGATTTTGGGTGGGAGAGAAAAAGATTTTTCGAAGTCGTACCTGGTCGAAGTGCACGCGAACACGCTTCTGCCAATCCTTGCGGAAGTCTAATCAAGAAATGTCAGTCGACTGAATCTAATTTGGAGAGCGACTGGTTCTTTGCAACGGGCGTTGAAAGACAATGGCGCATAGAGGCGATTCAGGGCCACTCACGGTTCTTCTGGATCTGGTTGTTGTGCTTGATCGCCTATAATCCCAAATGATAAATCCATCAGCCATCACTTCCACCACAAAATTCCAAGATACAGTCGTTCATTGACGACAATTCCATTCATTTCCAACACATAATCGCAGAGAATCGAGGGGAACGCACCATGGTGACGGATGGGGATCGAGCCGGGTGGTGGTCGTCGGAGGGTTGCTGGTCAAATCTCCCTTCAACGGCAGAAACTCTGAAGTTCCCATTTTTCGTGTGGCCCGCTTTGCCACTGACCGCCTCGCTTAGCGAGCCCTAACTAATCCTAATCAAGATCCACTGGATATCTGCCGTTGCTGAGTCAGCAGACTGGACTGCTTCTGTTCTGGGGATCTATATACTTCCACCCGACGTTCGAAGGTTCATTAGAGCACTTTAGTTACAAAATATCAGTGTGTTATTTAATGATGAGAAGAGATAAGATGAATTAACTTGCTCAAGCCATGACGGGTATGTACATAGTCGGAGGCCGTGAGAAAACGACGATTTATCCAGACCCCCCAATGTTGAGTTCTCGGTTCTTACAGTCAATACCAAATACTGGGAAACATCTGGTACTTCTTTCATATGGTTCATTGTTCCTATTCTATTGTACAGAGCTGCAGGCCGATGCATTCTGAAGCTAATTTCCCAACAGGTGCCACTGTAAAAGAGGGTCTTGATGGCTGTAACCTATCCCATTTTTAAAACGCCGTGAGTAGTCATGAGTTGAACTACTAGAGAACATTGTAACGAAAACACCCCAAGTAAAAATCAAAAATCAAAAATAAAACAGAAAATCAAATCGCTAGGTCGGAAGAGCCCGTATCGTTAAAAAGTGTCGTTCATCATTCATAATACTCCCCAAGGGAGATCGTAACAAGGGCAAGCTAAAGTGCAGAGAACAGCGCTAGTTCATGAATCATTCCCTGGGCATGACAGCATCAATAAAGATGGGAGCGAGAAACAAAATGTTCAAGTTTCAATCCCCAATCCAATCTTTGCAGTAGTCCGGGACTTCTTCATGGCCGGGCTGGACTCGCTAGAGCTGGCCTTGCGCTTGGAGGATGGCTTCTGCTCGACACCAGACTTCTTCACCTGTCCAAACAACTTGGATTGAAGCAAGGCGCTTGTTTTGGGAGGCATGTGTCGCATCTCAGAGCGATGGGCCTGCACAGTGTCGTCCTCGGAGTCCGGAGCGGACAAAGAGACTGTGCTATCACTGTCATACTGTTGCTCACGCGAACCTTGACCGGGAGTCAAGTACTGACGTTCGTGGCGGGCGGAGCGGTTGGGAGTGACAGGAACAGAGGTGTGAGATCCATAGGGGCCATGGGGCTCGTGAAGACGGTTGGTAAATTTGTCCGCAAAGAGCAAGGCTGCAAGGCCATCGGTATGCTCACCGCGACAGATAGTATGAAGTTCATTCTGCATACCAGGTGACAGGGATCCGTAGTTGTAAATCTGAGAGAAATGGCGGCGATTGTCTTCGATGCGCCTCTTCAGCATGTCGTTCTGTTCGGTTAACTCGACCGATCGAGAGGTCGCATCGTCAATGGCGCGCTTAGCTCGGCGCAGTCGTCGATCCAGAACGGCGTTGACACCCTCGAGTTCTTGGGATCGCTGGATTGCAGTGAAATAATCATTGCTTGAGAAGGACTGCTTGGGGGTGGCGAGTTCGGCGGGATGTGTGCGACGATATTCAGCGCTCTGGAGAATTTCGACCTCGCGCTTTGCAAGTTGATGTTCTACCTCGGCACGCTTGACAGCCTCATTGCTAGCGAAGGAGACTAAGCTGTTCTGCAGCTTGAAATGCAAAGCGGACATGCGAGCCTCTTGGGCAACTGCAAGGAGGTCTTTGGCGATGGTGCGCAGTTGGGCATCACTGGCCTTGTCAATATCTTCAATGGTGGGAAGATCTTCCGATGCTCCATAAGCATCACGAAGTGACTTGTCCAGGCCAGCTGGATTAGATAGAGAGGGTGTGATGGATAGGGAGCGGGAGCGGCGAAGAGGCGCACCCGGGATCTGGGTTGAAGGTGGTGGTGTCATGTCGGACGATGATGCAGGTGGTGGGGAGAAGTGCTTTGATTCTGACGAGCGGTCTTTGAACCCGGCGCTCAGGTCAGGTGAGGGTGAGAGAGTTGGGCGACGAGTTGGAGTAGCCGGGGCAAGAATCTCAGCTGGTGCTGCGAGAGGGCTTGGAGACAGGCGTCTAGACTGAAACATGACCGGGAATGACGAATTGGATTGGGCAATGATGATAAGACAGCTATGCGTCAACCGTGGGGAAAGGAATCCGCGCACTGGAATATGTTAGCTTATTGTTCTCTAAGAGCGATATCTGTGATAAGCGATTGAATCCGGGGGGCGCATACCGGAGAATGGCAAAAGCGGGGTAAGGCAAAAAGCAAACGAATAGAGGGGGTTTGAGAAATGATTCAAAGTGGTGTTTGAAGGGAGTTAGAGAATATGTGTGGAGGATAAGAGGGATGGAGGGATGGAAGTGGGCACTTTGTATGCGATCGTGGAGGAGGGGGGGCTGGGAGGCTGGGAACAGCCATTGTGGAAATGCGGCTGGGGGGTGTGCCCAGCCTCAGTCAACCATTTATAGCCATAAACCAATCATACTAGTCAGGTACAGACCCACATTCCTCGATGCGGCTAGAGTGACGATCACGGGACGCTCAGGGCAAGTAAACAGCCGTGAACATCGATGTGTAAAGGTTGGACTGGCAACCGATAAGCTAGGATCTTACTACGTAGTAGATACTATACTACATTAAAGTAGTATCTAAGATGTATTTGAAGGTACCCAAGGTATTCGATTGATGCCACTTATTGAATATTATAATGTCGATATTAAAGATATTGAATTATTTTAATGGTTTCATATATCTGAGTCATTGATTCATTCAACTGTATCTAGGGAGAGACAGACACCTTCCCAGTACCTACTTAGAGGCCAAGGTTGAATTACATCATCCATAGACCCTGAAAGAGAGCATTTGAGTGGTATATTGCGACGTGATCTACAGGTGTCAATCCCAATTACAACAAATTTCCAAGATTCAAAATGGGATCAAAAGGCCATGTTAGTATTAAGACTAGTAGATAGAGGAAACACCTATATGGCATCTGGATATAATTGACACTTCGAATTTTGTCACTAAAAATAGAGTGATTCAGTCTTTGTCTTTTTTACTCAAAAATTGTGAGTCCCCTAGATAGTGGAATTCTACCACGCGAAAAAAACACAACGCTACCTAGGTAATACCTAGTATTCACCCAGTACTTGAGTAATACTATTTGAACACTCAGAAATCTTGGGAAATATTATCAGCGCAAACTGGAATTCATCCCAATATTGCATTCCTGGAGGCTGAAATCCCACGCGATCCATATCTGATGGATACTCCTTGCTAGTCCTAGCCTCCCATATCCACCCCCAGAATTCTCTTAGCATAAGACACTGTAGATCTTTACTAGGAACTCCATCTTGCAACTTCAATTCTCCTATCCAGCTATCTGTATAATTCTTAAATTCCCCGAATATATAAAGCTTGGCCCAGTTATCAATTTAAGCCATCTTCCGGTTTGTGTAGTAAATATCACTGCAAATTGAATATAGAACGCGGAATGGTTCGCTGCCTAAGGCGGCTATCGGCGATCGCGGGTGAAATGTAAACAACTTCAACCTTAAAACAATCCCATTCGGTTGCCGTTGCCTGGGGTAAAGAACAAGCTAGGAAAGTGGGCCTGTCATTGACAGAATTTCCATTTTGATTTCCTTGACACCTCCCGGTATTCTTAATTCCAATAATAGCTACACATCCTGCAACTATTTCATCTAAAAATCCCCCCTCCCCCGCGCCATGGAAGGCCAGCCCAAGGTCAACCGTCCACCAAGTGGTATTCCACGACCAGCTTCCAGATTGCCCCTACCAACTTCCACAGCATCGAAATCTGTCCGCCCATCTCCATCCCGAGACCGATTACGAGCTGATCCTGGCCTGGACGACCGGCGTCTGCGAAGACCATCCTACGAATCCTTGCTCAAGAAGCCCACTACGCGCTATTCGCCTGCAAAGCCCCGAGCCGAAGTTCTCCCAAGCCAAGAGGAACAACCCGGTGAAGATGGAGCCAATACACCGGATGAAGCGGGTTCCATGATCGGAGATGATGAGAGTGTATCGGGCGAAATCCGGGGCCGTACACGCCCCTCCCTATCAGAGCGGACAATCGAGACTTTGGCCCATATTCCGCCATCTCCAGCCTCTGTGCAAAGGCAATCCAGTTTTTTCAATGGAGCTAGCCCAATTCGCTCGCCTTCTCGAACTCCGTCCAATGTGTCCAGTTATTCACGGTCCCCATCACGATCGTCATCTCATCAGACCAACAGCAGTGACTTGTTATCTCAACCCGTGTCTAAACTGCGACTTCCATCTCGACCTCGTATGTCTTTGGCCTCGGCTTCTGAATTGTCAACAACAGTTGTTGAGGCTCTTCAGAGCCCTTCAAAGTTGAAACAACCGTCCAAAAGGAGAAGTCTTGCAGCCTTGAGTACAGCTTCCGGAAATAGTGCGCCACCAAAGAAAAGTATCGCGCCGCCAAAAACATCGATTGTGCGCCCTACTCCAAGCACGGCTTCAAAGCCCTCGAACTCAAATATGGGCCCCCCGGAACGGCCTCTCCAAGTTCGAAAGACGCGGAAGCCCCAGACAGACTCCCCTTCATCACTGAGATCTCCATCGACTGCTTCACGATATGTATCTGCTGCGTCCTCTTTGCAGGATGACTTAACCCCAGAACAGCAAGCGGAAAGTGAATCAAGAAAGGCCTCGAAGTCATCGAGTGCTTTACGTGAAACCATCGCAAAGGCCAAGGCAGCTCGGAAGGCAGTCGCAGCAACAGAAAAACCAAATGAACATCTCCCACAGGCCAAAGTCGCTGTCCAAACTGCTGTCGAGTCATGGAGCAATATGGATGATGACGACCCATTTAATCAACTCCCTAAAGGCTCAAGTGATATGGTGCTTCGCCAACGGGTGGGAGGGGCACGTTCGTCAGGGACTTTGAACATCGCAGCGCTGTCTTTGAAAGAGATTCCTCAGGAGGTGATTACTATGTACGAATTTGATCCTGAGAGCACATCCAATTGGTTTGAGAACGTCGACCTGGTCAAATTCATCGCCGCTGATAATGAGTTGTCCGAGCTGCCCGACGCAGTTTTCCCTGATATCAATCTCGAGGATTTTGATCCGGAAAGTGATGAACGGGGTCCTCAGTTCGGCGGAATTGAAGCACTGGATCTTCATGGCAATGTTCTTCACTCTCTTCCAATTGGGCTTAGGCGACTGAACCAGCTTCGCTCTCTGAACCTATCAAACAACGCCATTGGGATGGATCAGCTCACCAGAATCGTAGAGATTACCTCTCTAGTCGATTTGAAACTAGCAAGCAACAAGCTGGAAGGTCCATTGCTTCCAGCTTTGTGCTCTCTTACAAAGTTAGAGTCGTTGGATCTACGTGGCAACGCTCTAACAGAGCTACCGAGCGAACTGGGCGAACTGAAGTCTCTTAGGGTCTTGGATGTTGGAGAGAACCAATTGTCATCTTTGCCATTTGAAGCCCTGAGCAAACTTCCCTTGATTACACTCAATGCTCCCAAAAATAATTTGAACGGCACTCTCATCCCTGCATCTGTGGACCGACTCGAGAAGTTGCAGTCTTTGAACATCGCGCACAATTCTATTGAAGTCTTTGCTGCCAACAACATGTTATCTCTACCGAGCCTTCACAGTCTATTCCTCAGTGTTAACCGTGTCACAAGCTTGCCTTGTCTGTCCTCATGGCAATCTCTCTTGCTCCTTTCCGCAGACGACAACAGAATTGCAGAGATCCCTGCTGGGTTTGTGGATCTGAAGAATTTAAAGACTGCCGATTTCACTGGAAATAACATTACACGGCTGGATGAAAAGCTTGGTTTCATGGAGAAGCTCTCGACTTTGCGGATTGCTAACAATCCACTGCGCGAGCGTAAGCTTCTCACCATGGATACAGAGGACATCAAACTAGACATGCGTAATAGATGCGAGCCCGATCCTCTAGACACAGATGATGAGGGATCTGTGGCAACCCAGTTCACTCTTGCACCAGAAACTCCAGCACTCGAAAGCGGTTGGAGAATTAAGCCTGGCGGTGTCCTCGATCGATCATACGCCGATCTCAGTGATCTAGACACACACAAGTTGGAATTGATCAACGCACAAGAGGTTCGCAATTTGTATGCACAGCATAACGAACTGCGTATTTTCCCTGTCCCAGCTCTTGCGATGTTATCTCAGACTCTCATCGAGCTTGACCTCTCACACAATGCTATGGACAGCTCTGAATACCTGGCCTCATCGCTGGAACTGCCTAAACTCCAGACACTCAACATCAGTGCCACGAGGGTAACTACATTAGAGCCTCTCTTGGCCAACCTTAAAGCACCTTCACTTACCTTCATCGATATCTCCAACAACCGTCTCACTGGAGCTCTGCCGCATATTCGACTGATTTACCCAGAGGTCAAAACAGTTCTCGCTTCTGACAATCAGCTTTCGCGATTGGAATTTGAAGCAGTGCAAGGTCTTCAAGTCCTTGACGTCAGCAACAACGATATTGACTCGCTGCCATCGAAGATTGGCTTGCTGGGCGCAGAGCGGTCACCAAAGAATTGGGGGGTCTGGCTCTGCCCTCAGACGTTTCGAGGTTGCTGGTAATCGTTTCCGTGTTCCACGGTGGCAGACTGTCGCCAAGGGGACTGATGCTGTGTTGGAATTTCTACGTGAACATATCTCCGTACACGATTTGCCTGAATGGGAGCGTGAAGATGAAATTGTTGAAGAGTATTGAAGAACCAATCTGGTATCAATACTAAAATGTCCTTCGGATGGGAGATCTCGGCAAATGCCCTGTAAATACTACTATTGTTCGTTTCTTGTTCTTGTATAGATATAATTCAAATTCCAAGGTTACCTAATTACAGTCAATATGCATCATGACATGATCCATTGAATCTCTGACTAGTACTTACTTGAAATTTCAACTTGCCAGTGAAGTTGAATACATGGATTCAAACTTGAACTTCAACCTTGGAAATTGAAGCCGTCCGAAGTTCGAGGATATACATAGTTCCGTGGCCCACCTTAACTTGCCCAGGTGAACTTCAAGTTAGTAAATGATTCCCAACTGCAGTCACTGGCAGGACGACGTATTAATGCAAATTTTGACTTCTTTTATGACGAAATTGAAATTTACAATTCGGTATCCGTTATGTAGAAACATAGAAGGAAACTTGAAGTTTTTGATAATGGTACGACCCTACAACTGATGTGCACCTCATGCACCAACGGGCGAATTCCAAGGCGGCACAACACGGCAGAACGATATACAAACATAGCAAACACCATTTGTTCATGATCTGAAGCATGCGGTCACTTCTGTCTCTTCAAGCATCCAACTTCCGCCAGAATGGGAACATCAAAAGCGCGCCCTTCGACAAAAGCGAAAAAGATTACCCCAGATGTCCCAGCGCGACACCTCCCAGAAAGGACCTTTGTTCTCGACAATGGCGCATACACAATGAAAGCGGGCTACGCCGCGGACCCCGGTCTGTCTTCCGAAGATGCACTCGCAGCTTGCACCTCTATACCGAATACTATTGTGAAAACTCGCGATAATAAAATCGTGGTTGGTGCCCAGCTCTCGACACAAGTTACAGACTGGAATGAAGCTGTGTTTCGCCGACCAGTGGAGAAGGGATACATTGTGAATTGGGAAGCAGAGAGAGAGATTTGGGAGCAGACTTTCTTCGAAGAGAAGGCTACTGCGCGAAACAAGAACCTTCGTATTCCTGCGCCAGAAGAAACGACTCTCATCCTGACCGAAGCTCCGAATGCCATGCCGATTTTGCAACGAAACGCGGATGAAATGGTAATGGAGGAATGGGGATTTGGTGGATATGCGAGATGTCTTGGTAGGGACCATGAATTTTCGACATTGATCTTATGTGTTCGATCAATACTGATAAATTGACCCTCCTAGGTCCGACCCTTAACGCTTGGAATGAAATCCACTCTTTATTCGGCGATCCCCTTACCAGCAAGCCCGACACAGATATTTTGCCCATGGACTGCCTACTTGTCGTTGACTCCGGTTACTCACATACAACGGTAACGCCTATTTTCAAGGGGCGTCCGCTGCAACGTGCGATCCGGCGCCTCGATATTGGTGGAAAACTCCTCACCAACTATCTCAAAGAAATTGTGTCAGTGCGACAGTACAACATGGTGGACGAAAGTTACATTATGAATGAGGTGAAAGAGGCTGTCTCATTTGTGAGCAACGACTTTGCGGCGGATATGGAGCGCACTTGGAAAGCCAGGGCCAAGAACCGTCTTGAAGAAGGGGTTGTTTTGGACTATGTCCTACCGGACCCAAATGCAGGGAAGAAAGGATTCACGCGGCCGCATGATCCCCTTCTTCATGCGAAGAAAAAGAAGGGTGCTGCTTCTGGTCTCAGCGCTGAGGTACTATCCGAGGATGTACTTGTTTTGGGCAATGAACGTTTTACGGTGCCGGAGCTTCTATTCAATCCTGGTGATATTGGAATGACACAAGCTGGCATACCCGACATGATCATTCAAAGCCTGTCTGTTCTTCCACCTGCCTTGCACGCCGCGTTCCTAGCCAATACTCTAGTTGTTGGTGGAAACTCTCTTATTCCAGGTTTTATGGAAAGACTGTAGGTTCCAAACCAAATATCTACCTTGGTAGGTGTCAGGACTCATACTGATCTTGAAATATTTAGGGAAACCGACCTTCGTCCCATTGCATCCGCCGACTGCGTTGTCAGGGTCTGTCGTGCTCAGGAGTATGTATACTTGGCTTATCTTCAATAGTTTATTATTGAGCTCCAGGCTAACTAATGATGAATTATAGCCCCATCTTCTCAAGCTGGTTAGGAGGATCTCGCCTTGCCAGTAATCGGGAAGAATTGAGCAAGGTTGCAATCACACGACAGGAATATCAAGAATACGGTTCCGGGTGGGCAGGTAGACGATTTGCTGGGGCAGTGTAGGATACGAGCTGAAGGACTAGATCTCAGAGCTATGTGAACATTCTGTGAGTTTGCCGGTTTGGTTTTATACGAAGGTGTTTGTGGTGCATCAGTGATACCCATGTGTTTTTAATAGTGCTTATGTCAAAAAAAGATATCAGTTGCATAACCACGGTTGACCTCAATCTCCTAAATGGGTCTTCCTAAACATTCAAACGTTAAATGTAAATAACATTAACTTTCGGAGAGTTATTTTCTGAAGAGTGTGACGCAGCCTTGACTCGCTCATGCATTGTAGTTGGATTTCCAACTTGTGCCCTGGTGGGATATTGGTGTTTCCCCTCTATAAACCACATTCACTGCCACACAAGCAATTCACTATGTGGAAACTTTGAAAATGATTACCTCATGTGAATTTGAACTACTACCACTACCTAAGGAAGCTCTGAAGGTATGCTTACCGTTCTGACATTTCTCAGTCTCTTACTCACTATCTCAGATGCATAGGAAGATGCATATGAAGACGGCGTATAAAGGTGCTATGTCCTCTCAGACATCTAACCATTCTGACCAGCACAATCTTCAACGTGAAGTTGCAACGCAAAAAGCAGCGATCCCGGCTACAGCGAATGATAAGGAAACTGCACGGAGCAGCTCAAGCTCAACTCCAGTCCGTGAGCAGTCGACCACGGCTATCGACGACCGACTGAAAGATCCACCGCCAGCGCGAGAGACCTTCCTTGCCTCTCTCTGTAGAGCTATAGGCCGGAGCCACCTAACGCAGTGGCTTCATGATTCGAATACAGTACCTGCGGAAGTTTGCGATACATCGACAGTCAACCTTTCAAAAAAAGAGAACCGAGCGACGCCATCTTCATCGAAGCAAGATAAGTCCACCGCCAAAGCCGAATCTCCACAAAACGCAGCTCTGAGCCATTGTCATGGCAAAGAGAATCATAAGGTGCAAGTCAAGCATCGTTATTCACTCAGAGAACGTCTGAAGGGGGTCTGGAAAACTACTTTACCTAACACAGAGTTAGTATTGCTCCTATATGCCTCATATCGAGCACTTAAACTTCAAGCTCTATTTGCTAATATACAGCAGAAAATGCGTTAGTTGTGACAGGGATGTCCAGGTCACCAGAATGATCACTGGGCCCTGTAAGCATAAGTACTGCCCAAAGTGTATATCCAAAATGACCAGTCTTGCCATGAAAGACAAGACCCTATTCCCAGTTCAATGCTGCGGTCAAGAATTTCCACCGAAGCAAGTTGCATCAACACTTGGAACCCGAGAAAGAAGACAATATCTTTCACATAGAGAAGAGCACGGAATTCCACCTAGTGATCGCATGTACTGCCCGAAAACAAGTTGTGCTCGATTTATTCACCCACGACACTTGAGTAACTCCAAGGAGTCTAAGGAACTGAAATGTCCTTTTTGTCGGGTTCAGATCTGCTTGAAATGTCGGGACCTAGCCCATGAGGCTCGTTCGTGTACCGTTGATAAGAATCTGAATGATGTCCTTCTTTTTGCGCGGCGGAAACATTGGCAGCGATGTTATAGCTGTCATGCTTTGATTGAGAAGGTCGGTGGCTGCACCCATATGAGATGTGTTTGCAAAGCACAATTTTGGTACGTTACTACATTTTCTTTTTACATTAGTATATGAATATGTGAGCTTCCCGCTCTTGGATGATGCTTACGCTAAACTAGTTATGTCTGCGGTGATCCATATCCTTGCACCTGTCGAGGAACTGAAGTGGCGTACGATGGTATACAGCTGGAATATGGTGACCTTGATGTCAACACGGTGGTTGCTGCGATGGAGCATGCGGAGAGAGATGATGATTAGTGAAATTGACACAAGAGCAGACTCGGATGACATGTCATTACATAGCGTCATCAATGCATCGTCATTCTGGGTGTCTATGCGTTGAGATATGCTAAAATGGTCAGGCCAAGTGATAAAGTGTTTGAATAGACTGGATTCAGTATTTCTACAGACTTCACCCAAAGTCAGTGTTCAGCCTTCGGAATTTGTGATCATAGATGGATGGTATTTGATTAGTATTTTGAGATAACTTAACAACTTGCAACTTGAATGAAAATGGAAAATATTCGTCAAATGTCTAGAGTGCTAGCATACAAAGGTATCTTTCAATGCAGACGGAAGAAACCCGTGTCAATATTATAGATGAAGGCAGTGGACTCAATAATCGTAGAAGCCCTTCCCAGATTTCTTTCCCAACCAACCAGCATCTACCATCCGACGCAGAAGGCCAGCAGGCCTGTACTTGCTATCTCCAGACTCTTGATGAAGGACGTTCATAATCGCTAGACAGGTGTCCAGACCAATGAAATCAGCCAGTGTCAGTGGGCCCATGGGAACATTGGTACCCGTCTTCATGATATTGTCAATATCATTACGACCACCAACACCTGTCTCCAAACAGATAATAGCCTCATTGATGTAAGGCATGAGGATACGATTGGCCAGGAAGCCAGGAGAATCCGCAGAAACCGACGCTACCTTGCCCATGCGCTCCACAAATGCGATGGCAGTTTCCATGGTTTCCTGAGAGGTCTGCAAGCCTCGGATAATCTCAACTCCTTTCTGAATGGGGACTGGGTTCATAAAGTGGGTAGAAATGACCCGCGATGGGGCCTGCAGGTCTGTCGGATCGGTGGTTGTGGCAGCCGCGATCTTGGTGATAGAGATTGAGGAAGTGTTAGTTGCCAGAATAGCATGCTTGGGAGCAATCTGGGCGAGTTGAGAGAAAATGGACTGTTTCAGGTCTGGATTTTCGGGGACAGCCTCAATAACAAAATCAACCGAGGATAGATCGTCGAGCTTCAAACTCGTGGTAAGAAGCCCACGGGCCGCATCGGCGGCTTCTCGGGTAATACGCTGCTTTGAGACATCTTTCTCAAGAAGCTTGTCTGGGAATTGGAATTTTGTAAGCAATTCATCGCAGGATTGTATGTGGTGATAATTGAACCATTTATTCGAGCTTGATCTGCGAGGGAGACTCCATACCAGCAAACTTGAGACCCTTATCCAAGGAGGCTTGAGAGCTATCAACCAGAGTTACAGGGACCTGGGCCTTCTGTGCAGCCACAAGAGCAATTCCTAGGCCCTAAAATCTGTGATTAGAGATTGAAACATCAGGAGTTGCCAGAAGTCACCACAAAACTCACCATCTGACCGGCACCGATTACACCCAACGACTTGACCTCGGCTGCCTTTGTAGCAGCCGTGGAGCTAAAGTTGCGGGCCGCTCTAGGGCCATTGTGACAGAATGAACGAAGAGAAGTAGCAAACATGACGAAGATGAGATAAACCAATAAATTTTAGAAGAAAAAAACAAAGGAATAAGGAAATAAGGAAAGATGTCTGCGAGGGGAGGAAAGTATACATTCACGTGCCGACGTCATCGGTTATCTTCGGCATTTTCTCGCTGGTCAAGGCGGTGAATATTTTACATTATTTTACGGCAATATCTCTATCGCCGAGGCGGAGAGCGCGGAGAACGCGTTCTTTACGACGCGTTTCCCTTTTGAGTTACATTTATTGAAGACGCCGAATCCTTGGAAGTCAACTCATTATGGAGCAGGAGCCGATAGCTCTGGGCCATGATGTCCAAGTGGTTGATCCAGATGTCCGTGGTTACGTGTACAGTCTGGTAACTGCTGTAAGTGTGCTCCTCTGACCCTGTCCTCTATACGCGTACTAATACAATGTGTTCCTAGTTGGGAGGTTTTAATGGCGAAGATGCAGATCGCTATGTCTTGGGTGATGATGCCCTGGCCTGCCTTCGAGACATTAAGCGATGGTTGAAATTGTACGACGAAAAGAACAATCGAATGGATGTGGCTCGGTGTCTGGGAGAAGCCAATTTGGTGAATGGCGACCTATTTCCCATTCTGTCAGTTTGGTGGACCAATGGACAAAAGAACAAGCATATGACACGAATCGCGTTGGCATGCTGTATGTGATACTTGATTTGTGGGATCTTTCAGAAGGAGCAGAGGTAACTAATTGTATATCTAGTGGAACTTCTCGTGCCATTGACCTGGCCTGTTGAGTTTCATAGCCAGATGACCGTCAATCACCACCGCCACACACCCTACATCCAGCAAGCACAAGTCCAATACAAACGAGGAGCTCTCAAACATGGAAGCTCTGACCTTCTCCGCGCTATCATCCGCATCGCTCTTCCTAGCATGGCTATGCCCCGATCCGAACGCGAATCTCGAGACGAAGGCATTTTGAAGCTCATGTTGTACTTTATGCGAAATATTGCAATTATATCACCTAATGCACGTCTTGCAGCCGATGGCGAGGAGGAGGAGACTTCGAGATCGGCTACAATTGATGCATTCCAACAACAGGATGCATTTGCGCTTATCCTGACCATGTGCTCCAATGTTGGAGATGACTTCAACTTGCAAGATGTGATATTATTGGAGATCCTTTTCCACCTGGTGAAAGGTGTGAATGTTGAGAAGCTGTTCATGGATGAGGATCAACGGAAGGTCAAGCGCTCAGATGAACTGGGTGACCTCCTGAAGAAGGAGAACCAGGTACGCAGAGAGTATGCCAGAAATGCTCCTACCCGACATGGACGATTCGGAACCATGATCTGGGTCAAGCGTGACGACGCCAAGGTGTCGACAGTTTCTGGACAGGACGTTTTACGCGACGATCAAACCACTTTACAGAAGATGGATCAAAGTAAGAAGTGGACCAAGCCTCGACCACGCCGCAAGCAGGATGATGTTGTTCAGAATAACAACTTCAACATGCCTGCTTATCTTTCCTCCTCAGCGTCCAAGAACCTCCGCACCTTTGTAGAGGAATTTTTGGATTCTGGATTCAACCCTCTTTTCACTCATGTTCGCAAAGCGATCGAGCGTGAGGCAGAACGGATTCTGGAGATCAATGTCCGCCAGTATTTCTATACCGTTGCTTGGTTCTTAGAAGCTGAGCGCACGCGACGAACTCGACAGATGAAGCAGCATATGGAAGATGGGAAGAAAGCCAAGGACCTGGAGCCAGATAGTTACGGTCTAGTAGCCGGCGTTCTGAACCAGGAGACGTTCATATCTTTGAACCGTTCTATGCAGAACAGCCTAGATAACAAGGAGTGGGAGGATCTGACTGCACAAATGCGCTGCTTTACACAGATTCTGCTGACGGTCCAAGAGATGGCGGCCTCGAAAATCGACGAGGACCAGGAAATTGCGGAAAATATCCAAAACCGTATCTTCTACGAGGAAACCACCCACGACCGAGTTCTTGCTATCGTGCGAGGCTACAAGGACCAGGGTCTTGGCTATCTCGATGCTGCTACCGAGCTCTTCCATGTCTTCCTCCGTATGCTCGAACGATATTCCAAAGAAAATGCCGACATGCAGATCAGATCCCGGCGTAGGGCCAAGCGCAATAAGAAGAAGGCCACCGAGGCTAGCGGGCAAGATGATGGCGACAACGAGGAGGCACAAAACTCAGAGGATGAGGACATGGTCGATGCCACGCAGACTGTGAAGGAGCGAGGATTCGATTTCAAACGCTTTGCCGCCAAGTTCTGTAACCAGAAATGTGTGGATACGTTCGTGGCATTTACCGAATTCTACCGCGAATTGAGCTCGGAGCAACTGAAGCGAGCTCATCGCTACTTCTATCGGATTGCGTTCAAGCAAGAGATGACTGTCTTGTTGTTCCGCCTGGACATTATTAACCTATTCCATCGGATGGTCAAGGGACCCGGTGGCATAGACTCAAGCAAGTCAGTCTTTAAAGAATGGGAGGAGCTGGTCCGCCAGCTTATTCGTCGACTTGTGAAGAGGATTGACCAGCGTCCTGCCCTGATCACGGAGTTGCTGTTTAGCAAAATGAGCTCCACCGTTTATTATCTGGAATACGGACATGAAAGGCAGACTATGTCCACCGCTAAGCGTGCCCCAGCCGAGTTAGAAATTATTTCCACAGACGCCAGTACGCCTGCATCCAAGCAAAGTATCGTGGCCGGTGCACTGGCTCTTGATGGGCGAGCAGATCTCGGCAAATGGGTCGTGGATGTTCTCAGCTCGGCAGCCTCCGAGAGAGAGTCTTGGGACGCACAATATGAGGCGCGCCTTGCAGAGGACCCCGATACCGAACGCACAGCCTACCCTATGATTTGTATGTTTCACCTCTTACCTTTATCCCATCATCTATATTCTTGCATCAATACTAATCTATCTATTCTATAGATGTGAATGCACAGGACGAGTTTTGCCAAAATGCCATGTTCGCCAATGCTAAGCTTCGACTACTCATGGGGCTGGTTGGATTTGAGCGACTCGGAGTGGAAGACGTTCCTGGTGCCTCCTGGGTGATCACACCGACATTGAAAGCCAGTGATTTACGAGAAACCATTTCAAATCTTAATCACACCCTTGTCAACCCGATTCCGGAGGGTAGCGACGAAGACCCTCGCACCCTGCTGCGACGTAAAGACATTGGCAGCGGCCGGAATAGCGGAGTACACGAGGCCCTTGATGTCAACTTTGGTTCAGAGTCTGAAGGAGAAGAAACGGTTCCTGATGGGATCATGTTCCCTCTCAACCCTCGGTCAAAGTCCAGTGCACTGGATGAACTAAAGAAGAAACGAAAGAAGAAGACCAGAGCTACTTCTGAAGGAGAACGAGAGCCTCTGGATGATGAAATACTAGAGGCTCACCGACAGGCTCGTCTTGCGAATGCGCTGGCCCGTCAACAAAAGATCAAGAGTGAATTGTTTATCCATCCTAGTGATGAAGAGAGCGACGAAGAGGCAGACAGAGAATTCTTCCGCTTAGAAGAGGAGCGACGAAAGGCTCAAGCAGAGAACATCAAGACTGCTATGCTGACTGGAATTGTGGCCAAGTCCACAGCAAAGGGCAAGAAAAAGGCGAGTGTGCGGAAGCGCAAGAGTGATGAAGGGATCTCTGCTGCCGGTAAATCGAAGAGACGACGACGTGAGTCTGGCTCTGCTGAGAGTGATGCCGACAGTGACAGTGATGGTGATGTTGTCATGATGGATATGGATGCCGCATCGCCTCAATCCCAACAGGCAGTCTCCACCAGCCATGGGGCGCAGGATAACGAGGACACTCCCCTCACGTCCGCGGAGGATGATATGGATTTTGATGAAGACTTTGCATTTGGCGGGAATCGCCAGACGAAGCCATCAGCACCTGCCGATGATTCAGACGGAGAAGAGGATACTCCGATTGCTTCCTCTCGTCGCATGCGGGGAGGATTTGTGATTGAGAGTGACTCAGAGTAAACTTGGAGCTGATGACATGTTTCTGATGACCTGATGAGGCGTTTGACATTATTTCAATGGGTGGAATTGTAAAAATAAGAGTGATACCAATTCAATGAACAAAATATTTGATTTCTATATTATCATGCACTTCATTTCCTAAGTCCATCTAACAGCGCTGCCAGTGGTTGAGACGACCTAGAAAGTATGACTCGGATGACTGTATAATAGTCTGGATACGGTCCGTGCACAGGAATACGACGAATGTCCATCTCCCCTCTTAGTCCTTGAAGTAACTTGAAGGGATATTTATATCTGATCTCATCTGAAAATGAATTCTCAAGAGAGCATGAAGGTGCTAACAGCATCTTGCCATTGTCGTAAAGTGCAATTCACCATTTCTATACCAGCGGATGCTCTCCCATTGAATGTACATTTATGCCATTGCAGCATCTGTCGCCACACGCATGGCACGCCATGTATTTTTCATACTCGATTACCTCTGGGATTAAACCAGAATTCATTTTCCCATCCACATCGGACGAATCGACTGCTTACGACTACCCCGACTCACTGTCAACACGATACTGATGTAGCACGTGTGGCTGCCAGATTGGAGACCAAAGCCACAAGGATAAAAACTGGGTCATCTCAACTGCTATATTTGATCTCAATAAAGATGATCAGGGTATTCGGAGATTTTCTACCCATCTATACCCGGGTTCAGCACCCGATGGTCTTGCTACTATCATCCCCGTGATCGATGGAAATACCATGGAGATGGTTGATCCAGAGTCTAACACGCAAATAACCCCAGTCACGGAATCTGCAGAGCCAGATCTGCTTGCGCAGTGTCACTGTGGCGGTGTTTCATTCAAGATAGCCAGACCAAAAGCCGAGTTCATCGCCAATCCAGAAAGTCAAGTCTGGCTTTCTCCGATATATCAAAACAAGTGGCTCGCATGCATGGATACCTGTGATGATTGCCGGCTGGTGAACGGCACTCATGTCATCGGGTGGATGTTTATCCCGGTGAGCCATCTCTCTCCGATTCCACCTACCAATCTGGTGATTGGGTCTTCCAAGACCTATCGCTCCACCACGGATGTGCTTAGAACATTCTGCGACACTTGTGGAGCGACAGTATTGTACAGCTGTCAGGAAAGAGCAGAGATAGTCGATGTTGCAGTTGGAATCCTAAGAGCACCAGAAGGGGTTATGGCTGAGAATTGGGTATCATGGAGAGCAGGTCGAGTTGCGTGGTTGGAGAATGGACAACGATATCATGCGGGGTTCAGTAAAGCGTTGATGGAAGGGTTGAAGTTATGGGGAGTTAAGCGGGGTCATCCAGATGAATTTATCATTCCATAGGATAGTATGGAAGACCGTTCAACCTACTATTAGGCTATACTCCATATATTATATGACATTTTCTTGATTTCTAGACTGAAAATTCTCATTTCCCGATGACAAGCGGCACGCTTCGGCAGCGTGTAAGACCCACTATGATCCACATCTGCAATGCGAAATGAGTCAAATCAAGTGGGGAAGAGTATAAAATCCACCTTTGGACCCTAGTATTTCTCTACAATTCAAAGTTGATCGAAACATCAATCTACCCAATATGACTCAACTCCGCTTCGTCACTCTCGACGTCTTCACTTCAAAGCCATACTCCGGAAACCCTCTAGCTGTGGTCTTCCTACCAGAAGATGAATCGCAAGCACTGACTCAACGTCAAAAGCACCAGATCACACTGGAGTTTAACCTCTCTGAAACCATCTTCGTCTACCCAGTGAAAGATGCATCCAAGCGCCAAATTGACATCTTCACCATTGAATGCGAGATTCCATTCGCTGGTCACCCTACTATCGGCGCCGCAACTTGGTTCTTATGCCATGGTCCGGACGCAGCCGGTAATGGCGTGAATACTCTGATCACCAAGTCTGGAGAGATCCCGATATCGATTCAGGATCCAGCAACCAAGTATGTTGCTGCGCGAATTGCGCATAATACCCGTATTCATGCGTCACGCTACCCACTCCAAGAATTACTGCGTCTTCACCCGACTCTGGCGCCGTTTTTCCCTAAGTCGGATGTTACGTTCCCTTATTCTCTATTGTGAATGGAATGGCTCAGACTTTTATTGAGTTACCCTCGCTGGAAGCCTTAGCGGTTGTTACACCCGCTACGGGTGGGGAATTTGTCTCTGTAGACAAGCATCTCGATGAGGGATGGCGATCGGGACTTGTCTGTGTTTACTTCTTTGTGCGTGATGTTGAGGATAGTGTTATGAGTCAGAAGGTTATTCGCACTCGCATGATGCTGGGTAATTTGGAGGACCCGGCGACTGGTAGCTCGGCCAGTGGGTTGACTGCTTACCTGACTCTGACAGAGGGTCAAGCTGGACAAGAGCACAGGTATCACATTGTACAGGGTGTTGAGATGGGTCGACGAAGTGATATTGGAGTGAACGTTACGCTTGGTAACGATAAGAAGATCGAGCAGGTGGAGTTGACCGGTACAGCGGTGCAGGTATCAGAAGGTACTATTCTGGCACCTGAAGCGTGAGCAGCAGTGGAATAACGATGTATGGAAATTAGTCGAATGACTCATGTTAGAATAAATGAATTAAAACTTGAATGGCTTTAGTGTTTTCCCCAATAAACTTCCAAGCTATAGAAGTATATGGGCTATGTAGAGTACTTGAAAAAAATCTATAACAAAACAGACATCAAAACAGAATAATCCTCCAAATATCTCTAAAGCTTCTTTTCCAATGCCAAATGATGCAATGCCTGTATCGTCCCTTCAACCGCCACTCGAGCCATAGACTTTTCCTTCACCAAAAACGCCTCCAGTTCTTCCTTTGAAGCACCATCATGTTTCCATTGGAAGATGTATGTCATATACAGCTCCCCATTCGCCCCTTCACTAATGACATTGCTAATATTTCCTCCATCCTGTTGGAAGTCCACGCGAGTGGGCTCATAAGCCACGACAGTTTCTCGCACTGTCTTGCCTGATTCCAGGAAGAAGACTTCTCGCACCGTCACTGGGTTGCCGGTAGGGTCAATTGACTCGCTTAGGACCTTTGTGTGCGAAATAGCGGCTGGAACGAAGGTCTCTGCCGAACGAATCTTCAAGAGAAGACCGGCCCAAATTTGATCGTGCGAGAGTGGGGTTGATCCGTTTGGATTGATGAGAGCCGTGTAGGCGATATTGTTTGCAGAGGACATGATGAGGTTTTTGAGGTTTTTGATATTCACTTGACTTGATTGAGTTGAATTGAAATGAAATGAAGTTGATTTTTGAAAAAGATCTTAGGCTAATCAGTGCTTTATGTAGTTTTCAAGCTCAGAGTTTCCCGCATGCGGATATGACGCAGATGTTGACAAACATCTCGGGAATGTGTAAGCTCGGCATTTCATGTCCCCGGATCAACAATCACGATTCACGATCCACGATTCATCATTCGGACAAAGTATACATCAAATCCGACCGAACTGTATACTTGATACCCCGAAAAACATCATCACCACAATGCATCAAGTTCCTCTGCTGGAATATCAGAAGAGATCCTGTTTTGGGAAATACACGCACAACCTCACTCGCACGGTAATCATCGGTGAATGAAGTAGCACCACCCAACAGCGTCTCTTTACTTCGAGCATCAACATCATTACTAGGAGACTGCAACCCAGACTCAGATTGAGTCTCTCTAATATCCATCAAATCCACCTCCCCATCCTTTACAAAGAGTGCATTCCTCTTCTCTGCACGCTCAATCTCAGGCATCAACTCCTCCATATCCTGTTCCCCATCCCCATTCAAATACAGATGAATAGTAAAAAGCGACCGCTCATTCCCATCAGGAGTAACATAAGTCCCATCCCAATGCGGGCGAAAATAATCTCCACCTTCATAGCGCAAAAATCTCAATCGTTCATTAATCCCTGATAACTGATACGATTCACCACGTCGTGCAGAACCAAGACCAGTTACAAGGGGCATATTATGCACAGTATCGATATTGAAGTCACGCATGAAAGGCATTAAGCGATCGAGGATTCGCTGTGCGATATCCGCGGAATCAAGGATTATTCGTCCGCTTTTTCGTGTATCAACTGACATGACTTGTTTGCCCCCGCCTGCATTGATCATGGCTCGTTCCCAAATCGGGGTGTTTGGGTTAGACGAGTTTGTGGATTCTTCAGCGAGTCGGAGAAGCTCGGTACATTCAGCTTCGCTAATGAAATTTTCTATTACGGCGGCGAATCTATCTTTGAATGCCATGATTGGTGGTGTTGTTCTTGTGAAGTCGATGTGATGGACTGAAGCATTTTGAGGAGGGCCTCGGAGGAAGTCTGAGTTCTGTTTCATGGACATTGTGATATTTCGGATCAGTTAGAATATAGGACGAATATGGAGAATTTTTGGAAATAGAGATCATTGTTGTGAGGTATTTGTTTTCTCAAATATCTTTTACTCTGAATCACCCTGAGTCAACCTTGCGAGGCTCTGTCGTGGAGTGTGGGGTACAAGGCTAGGCACCAGTGCCGCATCACAGCCTGGTGGCGCAGCCATAATACCATCATAGTATTCTACCTAACCAGAAGAGTACTCTACTAACACCTGGCTATATACCCCCGGCGCTGTATACTTGAATTTATTACTAGAAGTCTCTCAAGTTGCCATATATGTGTTGTTCCTGTCAAGTATCCCGGACTAATTTCACAGCTATCCATACAATTCACCACGTGTAAATCGGAGATTATCATATTACTCAGGCGTTGTCTTATGGAAGAAAAATAAGATCTTTAGCCATTCGAGAAAAAGATAATCACATGTGCAAGTCAGATCGGATCAGACATCCGATATGTAATTAACAGAAATTAAAGATCACTTGTCGATCCGCACTTATTGAGGGCCCACTCAGGAACAAAGTACCTGAAATAGAACTTGAAACTTGAAATGACATCAATAAATCTATGACTTGAACTTCCAAGGTTGAATCTTCGCTAAGGCATCACCGCACACATATTGGCCCAACATTATCGGATCTATATCGACTTACGGTGTGCGCGCCGGGTCAAAGCCGAGGGAAAGCGCATAAAACCGGGCCGGTGAGTCAATCGGTGGGGTTACGATAAGGACTCACACAAGGAGATTGACAAATTTTAGGAAATGTAGTTGGTAAAAGAGAAAAAATGCAGAGAAAAAAAAAGTAAAAGGGTATATTGGTCTTTATTTTATATAGGGAAACTTGGGTTAGGAAGGACGGCGCTGTTCATCTAACTGGTCATGTAGATATAACCGCCCTTCTGTATTGAGAAACCCACCGATACCAAAGGCGGGGATGATTCGACACATTCGAAGAAGAGAAGCACCGATCCAGTCACGACTGATTCGTGAGATACGGTCTTTTGTCGGAAGGACTTGTGGTCTGTTATAGACATCTAGTCCGAAAAGGTGAATCGGGGTGCTGATGAGCTGGATAGAAGCCGGAATGGCAAGTTGGGCAATCAGGATCTTTAAATATTCCTGAGAGGCGATTGAATCGGGAATATTTGCAGAGAGCATTGCGGGCAGACTGAAAGATCCGAAGATTGTGAGGCCATCTCGAAGTAAGAAGGCGGAGTATGTGGCTAAGGGAATTCGGGTTCGGCCAATCGAGCGAACGGTTTTGGGTGGTGATGTAGAGTTGGTTGGTCCAGTAGACGATGTTGATGGTGATGATGTATTATTATTGTGGCCGAAGAGTTGAGCAAATTTGACGTCCTTCCAGATCCCCACGGATGAGTTCACGAAGAATGTAGAGGCGAATGTGGTCATGCCTGCAATCGCGTGGTCGATTTTTGGATAGACCTTATTCAAGATTGTCTCGGACATGTTTGCAGTCGCGAATGTAGCAGTATAGAGGGACCAGACGAGAAGACTGGGGCGAGATGTTAAGAAGGTGGCTGGTTGTGTGATTGAGAACCATAGATGCTTGCGGAATGCGGGTAGAAGGGGTTGATTGTAGAATGACTTTTCGACCACGAGTCTATATCATGTTAGGGAATCTGTGCAATTGTAATAATCTTGAGGAACGTGAACTCACCTATCAAAGATCATCACGGCGGGCGTTATAAGAGTTGCTGAGCCTGCAGCAACGACTGTATCGGCTACCAGAAGGTCCCCGAGTCGGCTTCGGCTGCGCTGAATGCCCATTTGGATGGGACTTTCCTGGAGAGTCTGAGACATGGTATTTCGAGATTCAGGTTGGCAACGGGGTCATTATCCAGTGACAGTCCCGGTTAGTCGAGTAGTCGAGTAGTCGAGGTTGGAAAAGGGGAGAAAGAGAATGTAGAGACAGGTAGATCCCCCACTGAACCTATAGTTTATCTGAGAGAAAACTATCGATTAGATAAAAGAACCTTGGGAATCCCACCGCGGGGCAGTGTATCACTTGTCGCAGAGACAACTCACTGTGGATCAGTCTAGGGCTGGTACCCAAATCTGTAACCGGTGAAACAAAGATAGTTGGAGCCCAAAATGAATGATATAGTGTGAAGAGTAAAGGAGAGAAAGAGTCACGAAAGTTGCAGTCCAAGATATAACATTCGAAACCCACTAGATCATGTAATGCCAACCATCTTATCAACACAGTATATCAAGCACACAACACTTTTATAGATCGGACTTGGAAACCGACTATTTAATCGGTGATTTAGTCCAATAAGAGTCCAACCGGCCCGGGCCCCGGTGATGTATGTAGATCATTGATTGGCTGAACCTGCCGATGATCGCCCTCCCTCTTTCAGGCACCAAATTGTTCTAGAAGTCGACCGTGTTTCTTCCTCCTTAACTATGTGAACAAGCCATCGGGAAGAATTGGACGCATGGGCTTGCCTCAAATGGAATGATGTGATTATTCCCCGCATTATTCCGATACTGTCTGTGTAGAACGACAGTGGCTGTTCATACCCAAGTTCTCCTATCCTGATTCCTCACCGCATCGGTACGGAGTGGGGTTGCTCTCCTTTCGCTAAATCAGGCATTAGCAAGAGACAAGGTTTTGTGGAGGATTCGCTGTACAGAGTACACGTAGACTCATTTCTTTGATGGGTGGATCAGGTTGGAATCGCCATGGTGGTTGAATATCTGCTGTCCATTCAAATATGGAGTTCAAGGGAATTAGTGTATAGCTTAGCATTCTGGCCACACAGACCTCATAAGACTGAGGGGTCATCCAGGTGTCCATGTGCCCACCTGCCCAGCCCTGGAGGTGGAAGATGACCTGACTTAGTCATCTCTCTGGCAGCCATCCATGACTGGAGCACTGGCTATGTACTCAGTACTTTCTATGCCTGAATTCTAATTTTTGGTTTTAATTCATCTTTTCTTCTACTATTGATCCATTCGAAGAGCACTTAAAGCGAGAACTATTCTTTCGTTGGCCCTTGAAGGATTATTGAACTTGAACCGATTGAGAACATCATCCACTCACTGCAATTTAGTATTTACATCAGAATCCAGGACATATCGAAACGAAGATGGACGTGGAGTTGTACTGCTACTAAAAATTGCTGCGCCTCGATTTGGCAAGGCTGATTCTCCAATATTGGAATCTTGTCCAGGTGGAAGCTCATTCGAGATGGCCAAAAGATCAGCGCGAATCAAATGCGCAGGAGCCTCATGCTATATATATATCACATTCAACGCCAGATATGGGGAGCGACAAGGATACAAGTACATGTACATGTCGTGACTCATGAATTTCCAACAAAAAATGACTCAACCAACATTCAACCAACATCTAACAGACTATCCAGTTTGAACAGATCATCCACATATTATTGACCTCGATCGCCAGAGTCAGTTCTGAGCATGATATTTCAAGACTCGGAATCACTTTTTAACTACAGCATGGAAGACGCTGTGCACCTCCCCTATACTCTGCAAACGAGGCTTGGAGAGATCCATAACCCCGGTCGAGCAGAGCGATCGCCAGACCCAATTCCCAGTAAACTTGGCAAGTTTCGACTTGAGCAACTTGAACACCTGATACCACATTTGATCACGACATCGGTTTCGAGGAATACCTACAAACTGACTGGTCCACTCACACTCAACTTGTTAACACGGTCATCGCATATTTCCGAGATGATTACCCGATGTCAATCGAAAAAAGAATTTCGATTAACCTCTCTCTCGGAAACAATGCCATGGTGTGTTGGTTGGAGCTATTACTTAGAGCAGTCAAGTACAGAATCATCAACAGAATCATTACTCTACCCGCGCCACCATGATCCCAAAAAAAGAATACTCGGAAATATTCAAGCGGGCCGAGAAAATATCACCCAGAACGACCTGAAGAGATTCATTCTTTCGAGGAGTTATTTCCGTCTTGAGCAGACTGCTGCCATAGTAGTCTCTGCCATGGTGACTGCAGGTCGATTGGATTATGCGAGGAGGCTTATAAGAGAGATGACCGGGACCTTGACAACAAGTTGCATGTGGACTCCAAGTTACCAAGTAACTGAAACGTACGTCGTCAAAACCATGGCACTCAATATTTTTTGCGCAAAACTGCCTCGCTGGTTCGAAAGGGTAGGGACAAAAATCGAAAAGCCTGAATCCTTATCCGATCTCGTGCGAGTACTTATTCGTGTGAGAAGGTGTGAACCCGTGGACCGCTGTCTTTATATTCCACTCTGGATGTTCAAGGAATCAGAACCGAGCCGCCAGAGCATTTACGAAAGTTCCTTGACGCACAGGACCATAAGGGAATTTCCTGTCCCTTCTTATCCTCCCAGAAGGGATGCCATCTTTCTCTCCAAAAGGACTTTCAGCACGCTACAAAGTCGCATCTTCGAACTCTTCCGCTTCTGGAAACCAGAGTGCTGGTTACAACGAGAGGCCAGTAATCTTGAGCGTGAGGCTCTCTTCCCAATGAAATGGATTGAACATAATGTTCTTAGCACCGACAACATCGTACACCTCTGCCAATGTTTCTTCCATTGCCAGAGACAAGCTCAGGAGAAAGTAATAAGTACTGTTCACTGGTGGGCACTGGTGCGCAAATGGGAAGGAAAAGACCTCTACCAGAACGACATCAAGTTGGAGTCCACTTTTGAACGAGTGTTGGCAGACATTGCCGCGGAACAAACTACATTCGATACGAAAACCATTGTGGAAACCAAAGTTCGGGAAACTCCTGAGAGGGTAGCGACTCTTGTAGAGCAAAATTGTCTCCTGATGAGAGATTACGTGGATATGTATGGCGCCGGGAACAGGAAAAATCTCGTCATGACATCGATGGAGCAGAAAGGGATCAGAGGCCCAACTAATCAGTACAATCTCTTATGCAGTATTCTCTCTGATTTGAAGATGAAAGCTTGGGCTCTAGGAATTGATGATCTTCCAGGCCAAGTACATAAAATTTTGCGGAATGATATGATGGCGTTGCGTGATAATTGGGACGATGGTGCGTTTGCGAATGGTAGGATTCCTGGATGGGAGCTATGGCTAGCTGACAGAGAAGTTGAAAAGGGATGGTAGTGAGGGTTTATCAGTATCATTTATCATATTTTCATCTTTAACGACATAATAGTTCTACTAGCGCTTTGATTATTCTTTAATCAACAATCTGGAGTTATTAATACGTTTGTTGTTACTAGTTGGGGAGGAAATTTTACTAGAAAAAGGTAGGATTGAGTTTCAATTTCGAAATAAATGTGATCCGAGGAGATAATTCAAAAACGCAGTAGGCCAAGAAAAGCCCCGAAGAGAAGAAAAGGCACGGTTTCAAGACTTGGTATTGTTGAACTCCGGCAAGTAATAGACTCTTTCTGGCAACTCCACATCTTTGGGAGCAGTCAGAATTCCAAACTGGTGAATGAAACCTGATTTGGCGTCGCTCTGCCCGTAGAATCCAACAATAACCTCATCTTCAGTTGGCTCGAGAGTGAACACAGATTTACCTTGTTTATCTTGCTCCTCATGTCTCTCAGCAGTCTCGGTCTCAGAATTCCCATCACTATTATGATCGCCATTCTTGTTGAGGCAGCCCCAGTGGACTCCATTACTCAGGATCACGCGAATCCCAGCCAAGCTTCCACTATCATGCTTACGGATGAGAACCTTGATAATGTTCTCATCGCCAGGTAGGTAGCCATGGTGCAGTGAGGCATGTCCAAAAGTATGAGGCTGGCGAGTGTCTTTTGGACTATAGTTCTCATAATGACCATCCGCATAGTGCACAGCTATTCCATTCATGGTATCCCCAACTTGGAGGTCAATGCAAAGGGCACGATAAATCTGGCCATTCTTTCCTCGGTGGCGGAGGAGCATAGCCCAGTCGACGACATAGCCTTCAATGTCATTTTCACCAAGCCCCTCAAATTGAACACTCCGCTTCCGAAGTTTGACCTTGCTCCCAAAAATCCAGATATAGGAGTTTTTCTTCAGCAAGGCCCATCCATCCATGACTGTCTCTTCCTTTCCATTCATACCCGCTGCAGTGATTTTCAATGGCTTGTTTGGGTCAATGAATTCATGATCAAAGTGAATACATAAGATACCTTTTCTCGAAGTCATGTCCCCATCATCTTCAGGCCATACATCCGATATATCCTTTTCGCCATTTCGAATTTGGACATCTGCAATGCCTGCCGAACAAGAAACCTTGATAATAACATCGCTCTCCCGATCCCAAAACAAGCGGAGACTTTGAATTGGAACTAAGTTTTTCCTGAGCGATGATCTCAATTTTGACAGCGGCATTCTTGAAATCCTCCGTCATGGGAAGATCTCCAGGTAGTGCAAACTGTGGAAGGGATCTGAACCAAAAAGCGTCGCGTAGATCCCATTTCTCATCAAGACCCATGTCCGCATTGAAATTATTCTCGATAAAATTCGCAGTCCAATACCAAGTCCAGGAGTAGTGATCTTTGGCCATGATCCTAGTGGTATGCCTGGCACCAAATGCATGACCGACTTGATGGAGGAATGTGCATTGACTGAAAGCACATGTGTCCCACATGCTATCACATTCGCCATTCTTATTTCCCAAGATATTACCGGTAGAAGTCTCATCAGTGAGACATGCAGGGACTTCTTGAAGGAAGCGAGGCCAGGAGTAGGTCAAGTGACTACCAAAGATTCCCAATGAGATACCGTTAGGCTTATGGCAGCCCAATGCGGCATGGCCGAGGATAATGGATTGATCTGCTGAGTAATGTGCATCGAAGATCAAGCCTGCAACAACTGGACGAGATCTGGGTTCAAAAGGAGCACCCGATTTCAGTAGAGTGGCCTCAAACTATCTGTGCAAGGTATCTCGATCGTGATCGCAAGGATTCTGCTGAGCCACACTCATATCCCGGATCTCTGCGACTGATTTTTCACATCGAATAATGTGAACTTTTGCGACCATGCCCATAGCAGCAGAGTGATCTGGGCCTGCTTGGTGGGCTATTTGCGTTGTGATGTTAACAGTCCATTCCTCATCAAAACGGAACGAACGTCTCCCCGTTTTCTTTCCACGAAAATATTCTGCTGTAAGAGCCTGCCACATGTATGCCGTCATGCGGAATTTGGAGATTGCTGCATCCAAACTGCTGTGAGCAGTTGAAATACCACCATACTTTGCTGGAGGACAGTCAATCAACAGGGGTGAATCCTTGGCTACAAGAATCGCCAAATGAAGCGGGGGCAGTTGTAGCAGAGGAACGTAGTTGACCGTGATTTTGAGTGAGTCCTCGACTTGGACGCTGCCATAACGATGTAAATCAAGCTTGATTTTATTGACGCCGGGAGTCAACATTATCAGTGCTGTCCAAGACCCTATATGATGTGGCCAATGTGTGCTTGGCTGGGTTCGATGCAGAGAAGAGAATCAGTTACTGCAACTGATATGTAGGTGTTTTTATCGGCTTTATCCCAGGAATAACCACAATCCCCAGAGACCAGAATGCATGCCTGGTAGAATGTCTCACCCTCTTTTAGATCGCTGATTCGGAAAGGTTTGCCTCTGATGGGGTTTGAGGGGTTCGGACGCTTTGAAGCGCGAGTGGGAGAAAAGTCGATGGATCGCTTTTCCATTTTGAGATATCCTTGGCCTAGTCGACTGAGTGGTTTGATGAATGGAAAGAAGAGATGGCAGAGAAGCCAGAGAAAAAGAAAGAGAAAGAAGTTGAGGGGAACTTGAGGGAGGGAAGACGAGGGAAGAGGACATAGGACAGAGGAGAGAGGAGAGAGAAAACATGAAGATGGTCGGTGTTAAAACATTTTTTGTAACCGTGATTTAGTCCGAACTTTAGATTTGGAAATGTGAGAGCCTTGAAATATCTCAATTGAATTGACTGGCTTTATAGATGGAGAAGTATGAGATTCATAGCGTTATAGTTGAGGCGGCCGCTACCTGTTGCCTCCAGGGCTTTACTAAATGTTTCAAATGGTGGCATACGGATCAGACTCCGAGTCTGAGATTGAGGCTACACCTATAGTCTATATGTAAGTGAAACTTGAGCAAAATGGTGACTATTTCCTAGGAGATAAAGGATGGATATTTGAAGCCAATGAGATTTCGAAATTCGGGATAACATCAAACCAAATCTTTACAGTTTCTGAACAGAAGAAGACAATTATTTTGTGGACGACTTCTTTAGGTCTGGATTTGAGACTTGAAAGGCGAAAGTTAGCTCTGATTGTGGCATTTTCGTTGAAGGAAACCAGTACCATCTCCGAGATACTCTCTGTAGACGCGCAAATGTCCACTGTGTAGGTGGTATTGAGTACTAGCGAAAAAAGTACCAGTCAAGTCTCCATTTTGATTCAAAATGAGCGAACCGGAATCGCCCTCATCTCTCACTTTCATTTCAAGAATACCAGCATTGCTCGGTCTGCGATTCCCACCATGTCGCCCGACTTGGGGGTTGAGTCTCCAGGGCTGCCGAGTGAAGGACGTGTGTCGCCATAGTCAAGCAAGAAAACCTTTCCTGGGGCAAATTCCGGGGAGCAGTCTCTTATGGGATCTAGATCAATGTAAAAGATACCAGTATACTCGTATGTACTCCAAGTTCAGATCAAATGAAAGATGATAGGAAGATTGTAATACTTCCTGTTTGATTGGTTGACTAAGAGCTTATCATTGATAAGCGCCCGGGCGTACTTGATTGATTGCGGTTGAGTCTTGATGCTCATCCGCCATCCCGCATCCCCGCATCTCTTTAAGACCCATACGTCAATACGAGCCTCAAAGGTCTCATTGAGAGTCCTAAAACGAGAAGGTATAGCCTGTGGGGTTGAAGTTGATTCTATGCCCGAAAGTGACACGGCTGGCTCTTTACGCGTCTCGCAGCGCCGGCCTATGGCCTGTCGAGGTATTTGTAATCACCCCTGACTCTAAAGAGTCATTGTATTAACATGATCTACTTTCAGAATGCACCAAGAGGAAGAGAAAATGTGATAAACAGATCCCGTGCTCAAGATGCCGGAGACTCAATCTGCACTGCTCCGTTGAAATTGTGCAGTTGCGAAGGAACACAGTGCAGCATGCATCCGAAATCCAGTTCCTGGCTTCAATACTCGCGGACTTGGATTCAGCAAGTGAAAGGTCCCCACATGTCAGTGCTAAGCTGAGAGATCGAATATCCCAGCTACAGACTGGCCGAGCGGACGATCCTGATGTTCCGCTCAGTGCTGGATCCTTAACGGAAGATCCGGAGCCGGAACTTCCTAATATTCGCAAAGACCAAACTCTACACCATCGATTTGCAGAGGCTCCATTGGAAAGCACAGATCCACCACTTCTGACTGCAATAGAGCATCTGGCCTGGGGAAGAAATGCCGCTGGCTGCTTTCCACATAGGAGATGCGGATGTCAATACCGAAGAGATACCCCAGAACAGTTATCTATGAACAGCGGAACCTTTCAACTATATGGTTCATATTTGGAGCCTCTCGTTCAAAATCAACTACCCAGAGCTGTGGATGCGCAAAGCCTTATAAGTTTTCATATCAGTCACCTCGCCTGGCATCACAATAGTTTCCACGGACCGACTTTTCTCGAGCAATGTGAATTGTTTTGGAAAACGGGAAGATGCGATCATCCTCTTTGGCTAGCACTCTACTTTTCTGTTTTAAGCTGCACGGTCAACTCGATACAGAACAGCCAAAAGTTAACAGTGCTGATCAACGTCGATCTGAGCGCTATGCAGTCTGCCCAGCAACTCTTTTCCACCATGGTGCAGATACTTTATAACGCCCACTTTCTGAACAACCTGTCAATATACTCTGTCCAAGCTGTTGTCATATCGACAGAGATTGCCCATAATCTAGGTCTTAGCCAGTTAAACGCAACTCTTTTCAATGCTGCTGTGCGTATTGCAGAGTGTCTGGGCATTCACAAAATTAAAAATCACCCTCCCATCCAGAATAAAACGAATGATGGATGGGAAGAGAGAGTGGAGCGAGAGGTCGGAAGAAGAGTATGGTGTCAAATGCTTATCCAGGATCACTTCGCCATTCCATTCACAGACACGTATAGCATCTCCCCGATGCACTTTTCAACAGGTCGGCCCCTCAACGCAGATGATCATGACCTAGCAGGTCTACTATCTGAAATTCCAACCATCAGCAGCTATGTTCGAGTTCTTGTGGATTTAGCTGCCCTGATGCCCGGCTTAGTCGATGGACTTGGACCTATGCACCGCCGCAAATCCCTCCGAGAGCAATATGAACATATTCTTCGAGTAGACCAAAAGATGCGGGCCATTGTAAAAGGTATACCATCATTCATGTTACGGCCAGACCCACTCAAAGAAGCCGAAATTCCTTGGCTTACGATCGCTCGTCGAAGCCTTGCAATTACCGCAGCAGAGAAAATCATCATGATTCATCGGTTATTTTTGTTTCGTTCATTTCATGATCCCATCTTCATTCACTCTCGAAGGACCTGTGTTGCAGCTGCGATGACCATTCTGCGCGAACATGAGACAATCGTTGACGACGATGATCTATCTATCTGGACACATACCGCATTTGCAATCACAGCGGCCGTTATATTATGCTTTGAAGTGAATACAGTCATGGAAACTCCAGATAAGAGACTGGTACCAATGTATCGAACAGCTGTTCTTGCCGCTCGCGACCGTCTTGCCTCTAGGGATGGCGATGTTCTTGCCCAGCGAGGTGTTGCTCTGATAAATGCTATCTTCATTGCTGAACAATCTGGTTCCAATGTCTCGGAGATGAACCGACTCACCTCTATTGATTTCAATCGGGTGTTCACGAACTTCTCAACCCTGAGCAAAGCGAGTATGATTCCATTCGCCGATGAATTGACGCCGGGCAGAATCTCTAGCGGCACACCTGAGACTATTGATACGGTTGATGTGGGCGAAATGCAATTACCATGGAATCAAGAAGAAATTGATTTTGATCTTTGGTTCAATGGGATTTTTAATAATTTCCCAGATCAAATGTCATGAGTTTACGTTGTTTGGAGGACTAGATGGATGTTTTGAAACGATGGAGCCGAAAAGATGATGATTGATGATTGATGAACGCCTGTTATCTGTGTGAATAGTTCCAATTTAGACTCTGACATATCCTGTCTCGTTGACTCCTTCATAGCTGCGAAATGCTTTTGGTGGCTCCATGCTGGTCATGGTACATTGCCACAATAATCGTCTCTTATCCTCGTCCAGCTTGTGCTTCGATAATTGTCCTGTGATGCTGTGCATAACGCCCCTGTTGTGGAAGATCACCAAGTCACCCTCTTCCCAGCGATGGGGGTAAATGTTCTCGGCTGCGTAGATCTTCTTCTGCATATTGTACACCACATTTCTGACCTTTTCGACATCATCCATAACTGTGATCTCACCAGTTTTCGGGTCGCGTGTTGTCAGCTTGTAAACGCAGCAGCCGTGAACTTGGAGGAAGGGTCTATCTGGATTGAGTGGATTGCGCCAAACCATCTATTGAAACACCGTTAGTCCACTGTGATTATGTTGGCTGGTTTCTGGGTATACTTACAGGGTGCTCTGCAACCTTATCCCAGCTCCACTCTGACAACTTCTCAACTGGAACTTCACGTCCCATTGTTGGGATAGTCAGGCCATCAGGGGAAGCCTTGCACTGCCTGATGTATTCATAGGCCTGTGGAGCATATGTAACGGTGGTGTTCAATGCGAACTCTTGTTCCTCGGGAGTCAAGAGAGCAAAAGCACGAGCGCCCGAGAAGACTAGAACCATTTCACAAGTTATTAAGATATTCAAATGATATAGAAAGGTTTCGCAAGTGCTGACTTACAAGCAGTTGCACCTGCACCAATGGTCTTCTCTGTTCCATCTGGGAATTTGATCTTCTGATCTGGAACATTTGGGATGCGAATCGAGTGTAGAATAGTTACCTCGCCCGGCAATCGCTCATAAAATGGGGTATCCATGTGCCATCTGTAAGGGCGAGTAAATCCCTGATCCAGCTTCTCTTGCTCAAGTGGAGTCTCATGAAACAAAGTATGATCCTAGTAGCCAAATTAGACTCTAGTGTCATCCTCTCATAAAGAAACAAACTCACCAGGTGAATAACCTCTAACTTCTTCAGACCTTCATAATCATGAAAAGTACCCGACCCAATAATTCCAACCTGTGGAGCCTTGGGAATTCTTCCAGCCTTGTAAGCTGAGAGAATGTTCTTCGGGTCGCTGACAGCTTTCTCTCCAGCCGAATGAATATCAGAGGCGTTCGGGTCGAAGATCTTGGCGAATTTGGGTAGAACAGTAGGATCGATTCCCTTTTGCTTGCGGATCACGATGACCTGATTCTCGAACAGAGTCTTTCGTAGAGTATCTTTGTCATCTTCGGTCAATTTATCAAGGTCCAGAATGGACATTCCAGGTGGAAGTTGTACTTCAGCACCGATAGCTGAGCTTTGTCGGATGCTCTCCGGGAGGAGGCTGAAGGTGAGATTGGTTGCTTCTGGCATTTTGAAAGTCAAATTTGTTTAGAACTTGGATGAATGAGTGATTTAGACAAAATGATGTTGTTCTGGATTATATAGACCTTGAAATTCGATCTGGCGGGTGAGTTGCCGCACTCATCCGCCGGGAACTCATCCGCACCCACGCGTTTAGATTTGGACCTCAGGATGTTATCTGTTTTGATTTTGGTCATCTCGTTAGCAATTTTGTCATTGAAATCAAATCTCGGGATGAATGCGTTTTCTCTCCCGCATTTTGATACATGTCGTTCGAGGAGGAGTTTAAAAGCTCACCCGCAGCTGTGGAGCAGGACGATGAGCTTCTGCGAATGAGTAATGTATAAGTATTTGGACTCTTCGCAATTGTTGAATAATCTTTTCAAGTTTACTCTCGATTTCAAGATCTTCAATTTATAGAAGCCATGGCTACCGTAACCATTTGCTCGAAACCTCTCACGCAGCCTATGGGTTCCAACATAGACTTCGGCGTTGAGCTGACAGGAATGAATGTTGAATCCATGGATGGTATGACTACTTTTAACCGTTCGAATATGGAAGGTCATTTGCTAATGATGTTCAGACGACGACTTTGCAATCCTCAGAAAAGCTCTATACGAAAACCAGGTGGTCGTCATCAAGAATCAAGGCGATCTCTCTCCTCGGGGACAATATGAACTCACCCGACGATTTGACCCTGCTGCAGGAGTGTATAGTCATGGAAAGTCGATCGATAAACGAAGTGTACTCCACGCCGATCTCACAACCATTCCCCATCAGCCCCAAGTACAAGTCATCGGTCATGGCTCCGTGAAGGAATATGAGGGATTGACCAATATCCAACTCCGACACCCACACCACAAGACCTTTCACAAAGACCCAATCTCAGCAGAAGAGAATGATGACTTCACTCATTTCTACCGCTGGCACATCGACTCAGCCATGTACAATTTGGACCCACCTCTTGTCACATCTCTTTTGGCTGTTCAGGTCCCCAAGGGACGTCGTCAGATCTGTCGCTATGACGATGGAACCAAAACTGAGATAGATGTCCCTCTTGGCACAACGGCATTCTGCAGCGGGTATAGATTATACGACATGCTATCCGAAGAAGAAAAGCTGTTTGTCCGCACAAGCAAAGTTGAATATGCGCCTCACCCGTATATCTGGATGAGCAAAGCCAAATCTCGTTCCAATGGATTAGGTATCGTATCCGAAGGCCTTGAACTCTCAGAAGAGGATTTACCTCCATTTGAGTCTTCCAAGATCAAGACATACCCGATGCTCTGGAAGAACCCGGTTACTGGAAAATTGGCTATGATGGTCTACCCTACGTGTGTCAGGAAGATTCATCTTGAGAATGGAGAGGTTCTCGATAACCTTCCGGAAATTCGTGAGCGTCTGTATAAGCTGCAGAGACGCGCGATCGACCCATCTCTCATTTATCCACATGACTGGCAGGAGGGAGATTTGGTTCTGTTCAACAACCATGGTGTCATGCATTCTATTGTTGGTTCGTTCAAGGATCATGAGGTTCGTATCTTTAGACAGTGTAACATGGCGGCGAGTCGGCCTCCAATGGGTCCTGATGATCAAGTTTTGGCTTAGCCAGAATTCAAAGCCTACTATTCATTAAATTCAAAAATTTCATTCCACTTTACTCTGATCTTCTAAGTGAAAAGTAGAATCAATAAAATGGTCCCGCCATCAGTGCCTCGGGCGGAACTAATCCCCGGACCAAAGCACCTCGGGGAATAGAAAGTCCCGGGCTACCCGGGCGCACTTTTCTAATCTCCGATGCCTCCTCTCCTGAAATATCATAAACCATTTCCGATCTCTCGTGAAGAAAACCTTTGCAAATTCTCATTTCCAACCTAATAATCAGATACAGCCCGGGAAATTCACAAAGGAATTCAAATTCCTGGTTATATCATGGCGGAGCGTGGACCTCCAAATCTACCGGACTCTCGGGCGGGTCTATCTCCCGATTCACCACGCCCTCGGTCGCGCGTTTTGGCTTGTGTAAACTGTCAGCAACGCAAGATCAAATGCGATCGCAAATCTCCCTGTGCAAACTGTTTGAAGCATCGTTTTCAATGTGTGCCAGCGACACAGACACGCACAAGAAAACGCCGTTTCCCAGAGCGGGAACTTCTGGGTCGTCTCCGGAGATATGAGGAACTACTTCGACAAAACAAAATCAAGTTTGATCCTCTTCATAAGGATGAAAGCTCGGTGGAAGACGATATAGCAGAGAGCAGGTCTGATACTGAAACGCAAGAAGACCAGGATGAATCTAATGGACCGTCTCCTTATCGACATGCAAGGTCGGACAATGATCATGAACCGAAGTAAGTCTCGTGTAATGTTTTCACGGTTTATACCGTCCTCGGCGAATCGTATACTAATAATTGCATAGGAGTCTGTGGAGGGTCATGTGTCAAGGGGTAAGCTGTTCTCTTCATACCAAGTCAGCGTTGAAAAACTAATACCGAATGTAGATTCGTTCAAGTTCTTCTAATAGACCCAAGCAGCCAACCATCATCAATGGCTTCCGCGAGGCAACAGTCAAATTCTCATGGGATCAGATGTATGCAAGTGACGACCACATCATCCTTGGTTCTCCTAAATCATCCGTTGATCTTGCCACTTTGCATCCTGAACCCGTTCATATATTTAAGCTGTGGCAGATATACCTTGAGAAGATCAATCCGTTGTTGAAAATCATCCACGCTCCTACTTTGCAAGGGAGAATTATCGAGGCGGCTGGCAATACAGCAAAAATTGAGCCTCGCCTTGAGGCACTGATGTTTGGCGTGTATTGCATGTCTATCCAGACTGTCAAAACAGAAACTTTCCAGTCGATGTTCGGCTTATCCAAGGATGATCTCCTAGCAAGATATCAATTTGGCTGTCAGCAAGCATTGCTAAATTGTCAGTACTTGCGCTCGGACAATCGCGACTGTCTGACTGCACTATGCTTCTTTCTCGTAAGTCTAAAAACGTGTGAATTACCCTTATGAGAATCCGTTTCCTGATTTTGTTTAAAATTGCAGTATTCTCTCCAACCGAACACAAACCCTCGATCCCTCTCATCAATCCTTGGCATCGCACTTCAGCTCGCCCAGCGGATGGGTATTCATAGTGAATCATTCCTAGCAAATTGCAGCGTTTTCGAAGCTGAAATGCGACGGAGGCTATGGTGGTCGCTTACAGTTTTCGATGCTCGACTGGGTGAACTTTCAGGAATCAAAACTTCATCACTGAATCCTACATGGGACTGCAAAATCCCTATGAATGTGAACGATTCTGATCTCTGGGCAGAGATGAAGGAGCCTCCTGTTGTGCAAGCTGGAGCGACTGAGTCAACATTCATCGTGATGCGCGCTCAAATCGCTGATTTCGTTCGAAGTTCTTCCTTTCACCTTGAATTCTTCAACCCAGCCCTCAAAAAGATCGCTAAGAAACTTCCAAATGGGGGTGATGTAGCTACCTTTGAGAAAATGATGGAAGATGAATTCTTCAAATTCTGTGATGAGGAAAATCCTCTTCATTTCATGACGATTTGGACAGGCAGGGCACATTTTTCGAAATGCTATCTCCTAGAGGCTTACGCAAAATACATCGATTCTTCCACTCCGCCATCACAGGCTGAAAGTGACGCTCTGGTAGCCCAGGCATTTCGTATGCTTGATTCAGATACAAAGATCATCACCTCACCCCGGACTGCGGGCTTCTTCTGGGCTGCACGGGCTTACTTTCCTTTCCCTGCTTATTTCCATATAATCCACGACTTGAAGAAGCGGCCGATAAGCTATCACTCTAATCAAGCATGGGAGGTGATGAATGCCAACTATGAAGCTCGGTTCACCTGCAGTGAGGGATACGACTATCCTCTTTTTGCGATATTCAGCAACGTTATTCTTCAGGCCTGGGAGGCTCTTGAAGAAGTTATCAGACGATCTGGAGAGCCATTGGCTCCGCCGAAGATTGTCGTGACAATTAAGCAGAGACTACTTGAGATGACACCAAATGCGCCAACACCCAGCAATGAACAGTCAGATGGCAGTCTTGATACACTGCTGGATCAACCACCGATGACAATGCCAATGCCAATGGAATTCGGAATGGGGCTTGGAAATGAGGGATTCTTTAGTGGAATAGGTGGACAGAGTGATTTTTCTGGACCAGATCCTCGGTTATTTACTAGTATGCAGCCTCCACTCACATCCGATTTGAATCATCTTAATTGGATGTCGATGTTTTGGGGCATGCGTGACGGCCGCGGGTGGTGAGACTCATATTCCTCAGTTCGCAGCTTCTAAAATCTGTGGATTTTCCGCCTAGTTCACGACCGTAGGGATATCATGAACACTTGAATGTGGCCATATTCTTCTTATACCCTTGAAATAATCTCAAATCATCGATTTTGGTCATCTAAAGAATTTCAATTGACCACGAAAGCTTTAATTACAGACAAGAAGTCCATAAGTAAACTAGTATTAAGCCATAGCCTCTGTTAATTGTACGCTCAGCTCTAGTTTCCAACATGTGTAGAATCAAGAGGGTAGAACCTCCAAGAAGATTTGAAATCAGTTGTAAGCTTCTGATCCTGCATCAGGGCTCGCACCAATTCAATAGGCATACGATTCCCCTTCAAGAACCGATCATGGAATTCTTTTTCCTTCACTCGTCCCGTCTCAACCATCTCCTTGCGCAACGCGTGTATCTGCAATGCACCCAGCATGTAGCCAGCCTGGTATAACGGTGAATAATCTCCATTCAGAGATCGTCGAACCTCTCCTTCTGCTGTTGCTCGCTCATGGCCGACTTGATCCACAAGAAGATCAATGCATTCCTGGGGAGACATCTGACCAAGATGGAACTTAATGGAGAAGATAATTCGAGCACAGCGATGAAGCCTCCAGAAAAGCATTCCAATACGGTTCTCGGGAGTTTTCTTCCACCGATCATCATCCCATAGAAGAAACTCCCAGTATAGAGACCACCCTTCAATCCAGAAAGGGCTATCAAACAGACGTCTATAGGGTTTGTGCCTTGCGTTCATATACATCTGCAAATGATGACCAGGAATCATTTCATGGAAGACCGTTGCCCGAGAGAAATGAATGTTGTTTCCACGCATACTCATCAGCTTGGCTTCATGATTCATGGAGCTTACCGGATACGACACGATAATAGATGTCCCACCTAGGAAGAAGGGGTTCACTTTCTGTCGCTCGGGGGACATCATGAACATTTGCCATGTTTCTTTGGCAATCTGTGGCACACTCACGAGATCGTATTTCTCAACAAAAGAGATGGCCTCTTGTGCAAGATCAGAAACAAGCTGTGTCTGTTGTCCCGGCTCGACATAATCGTTTTTGACATGTTCCAGAGCTTGGCGCCAATCATCATAGCCCAAACTACTCGATGCCTTTTCCATCTCGTTGATACACCAAGCAAACTCCTTCTCGCCTATTGAGATAATCTCTTTGGGAGTATACGGAATCATTTCGGCCTGAAGTTCGGCAGATAACCCATCACGCCCAATAGGTTGTCCCACGATAGTGTCCTCACTGGCTGGATCTATGCCAACCAGCTTCTCACGTATGAGGTTTATAACACGATCCAGGCTCCATTTCAGAGCCTTATAGGGATCTGAGACCCACCAATCGAACAAGGGGTCATACCCTTTGTAAAACCCATGCCACTCTCGCAGGTGATCTTGCAAAGAGACGACGGTGTTCGCTGCTCGAAAAGCCGAGGTTTTACTCAAGCTGAACTGAGTCGAGTCCTTTTGAATCTCATTGCTCAACTGATCAATCTGATTTTGTGCCTCAAATAGCCTTTGCGCAGTCTCCTTCGGCTTCAATGGAGAAACGACAGCCCGTTCTTCGCAGAGGCTTATTAATGTGTCCACGAATGGGAAGAGTCGAAGAGCTTCTTGATCTCGATTTTGCTCAAGAGCCAAGTCGCGTAGCTGGCGCTCCAGGTAATTCTTGATCAAAAGATAGTCTACCTTCTCTTCCTGGGTGTATAATTCAAATGGTAGATTGCCGAGCTCATTTAATTCCTCATTCAGGAAATTGCGCAATCGATTTATCCTTGTCGCAGAGATTGTGATCGCGTAAAACTTTTTGATCTCTTTGAGATCTTGCGTGATTCTCTCTATTCTATCGCGAATATTGCCACTTTGTGCGCGTCGAAACGCAAGGCCACGAGGTGAGTCCAGGTCAACCATGTTGTGAACTAATCGCGCCACTAGAGAGGTCCGCTGGTGGTTTATGATAAGTAAAAGAAGAGTAAGGGTAAATAGTCGGTTAGGCAGCTCTTAGCGAGCACCACGGTAGTATAAGCCGATAATAAGCTAAATGTCGCTGGATGATCCGAGTGGTTCAAAGATTGATCATATCGAAGTCACGAGGATGGCTAAGATAAAGTGCGGGATAGCGTTGACTTACTCCGCATTCTTACCAGAATGGGTCAATTTGTTATCTAACGGGAGAGTCTAGTGCTAGTCAGCCTGGTCTTAGTATCTCTTAGTGTCACTCTTAGCGTCTAAAATGTTCTTAGTCTAACTTGATATACTAAACTTGCTGGACGTGCGTCGGACTCCTATCCGCCAAGAGAAAGCAAGCCGTGTTTAGGCGACACAAGGAGGAATGAAGGGGTTGCATTGGTACTCAACTGCCGAGGGGATACATGGCGTATCTTAGGATTTTAGTGGTCAATTTAAGAGATAACTCGGGGTAATTCATGATAGCAATTTAAACTGTATAAATAGAGAGATGCGGGGTTCAAGTCGCACGGCAGTTGAATTCAAGTGTTTCACTAAACATCCTCACGATGCCAATGGTATTACGCCCTACTCAGTTTGAGGATGGACCAGATCTATCCCCAATACAATCAGAGACCATAATGGAGACCACCAAAGACTCGGATGTCTTTACCAAGACTCACAAGGAGCTCAAGGATATTCAATTATCGCATCAATGGGATCCGAACTTACCCCAAGAGGAACTAGACGCTATCAACGAGGCTGCGAATACCAGTGATCAAGAGAAAGCTGTGGAGTTCGAGAAGTCAATCGTGCAGGAATCGCAGTATGAGTCTGTTCGTGCTGCTGTGCGCAATACAGATGGGGGAGAAGTCGCGAACACAGTGCGTGCATGGATTTTGGGGATGTTTTTCACCACTATTGGTAGTGGATTGAACATGTTCTTGAGTATGAGGTACTATATCCCATTGACTTTTCTCAGCCAATCTCAGCCTTACTGATTGAAATTTATAGGAGCCCAGCAATTTCCTTCCCTTCGATCGTGGTACAATTGCTTGTGTATCCGATGGGTTGCTTCTGGGCAAAAACAATGCCCACCAAGACATTTAACACATTTGGTCTCAAATGGACATTGAACCCAGGACCTTTTACTATCAAGGAGCATACAGTTATCACGGTAAGATCCTCAGCCTCTTTTCCAATTAAGATTGATACTAATCATTATTCTAGATTATGGCAAAGTGAGTACCAATCACTACATGTGAAGTCATATCTAACAAAGTGTAGCGTCTCAATCGGATATGCATACTGCACCGATGCACTCCTGGCCTTGAAAGCGAAATGTGAGCCAAGATGCAACCTTCGAATGTTTTTCTATCGGACGTGCTCTTACTAATTAAATCTAGCCCTGTATGGTCTTGACATCAGCTGGGGATTTCAGCTTTTGTTTGCACTCAGCAGTCAAATTGTTGGAATTGCTCTGGCTGGTATGTTCCGCCGATTGCTTGTGTGGTAAGTTGACAAGACTTACTCTAATTGAAGTACTCATACTGATCGCTTATAGGCCTGCTGCCATGATATGGCCTACTCAATTTGCCAATACAACTTTATTCTATGCATTGCATGATAAGAGCGACTCAGATCCATCGCAGACTAACGGCTGGACTATTTCGCGATACCGCTATTTCCTTTATGTCATGCTCGGTTCATTTTGCTGGTATTGGTAAGTTTTGACTGGGTTTAATTCAATCTGAGCAATTGGTATTAAGCTCACTTTATCCTAGGTTTCCTGGCGTTATTTGGCAGAGTCTATCTATTTTCGCATTTGTGACATGTAAGTTTCACTCCCCTCGCTCGTCAAAACAATGCTTACTATTTACATAGGGATCAAGCCTAATAATGTGGTGGTAAATCAACTATTTGGAGGCTATACCGGCCTTTCTCTCATTCCGTTGACGTTTGACTGGACGTCAGTATACCAAATACTTGGGGCTCCAAGAAGCAAAACTGACTTCAAACAGCTATGTCTCGGCATACCTCCTCGACCCCCTTCTTTCGCCCGTTCATGCAATCATGAACACTTTCATCGGACTTGTGATATTTGTGTTGATCACCACTATTGGAATCGCCTATACTGGAGCGTTGTAAGTGAAGCTCATTGTCAGAGTCTTGACAGGTCTAACACATCGACAGCTATTCCGACTATCTACCCATCAACACATCAACCACCTATGATAACACGCAACAACAATATAACGTCAGCAAGATTCTGGGCACTGGTTTCACGTTTGATGAACAGAAATACAAGGCTTATTCGCCCATGTTCCTTGCTCCAACATTCCTATTGAACTATGGTCTCTCCTTTGCAGCCTTGACAGCCGTTCTTGTTCACGTCGTTCTATACCATCGGAAGGAAATTTGGCACCGTGCCAAGGCTGCTCGTGATCAAGAGCCAGATATCCATTTGACTCTTATGAAAAAATATGTTGAAGTTCCGGAGTGGTGGTACGGAGCTCTCTTCCTGTTGGCGATAGCTCTGGGATTGGGCGGTATTCTCGGATATGATTCTCAGCTGCCTTGTAAGTGCTCAATATCTACTTGTCTTCGGAACTTAGTACTAACTGAATATCCAGGGTGGGGCTTTTTTGTCTCCATTATCATCGCCGTTGTTTTCATTGTATGTTCTTCCCAGTACCCTGGAGATTCATGCTAATTTATCCAGATTCCAACCAGCATGGTACTGGCTGTCACCAATATTACAATTTGTAAGTTCATCCACACCAAATTCAATGATTTTCATCTAATGACTGTAGCTCTCAACGTTCTATCTCCCTTCCTTGCTGGATTCATGATCCCCGGGAAACCGATCGGTGTCATGGTTTTCAAGGTCTTCAGTACAATCACATTAGGACAAGCGTAAGTCCTGCATGCCTCCTTTGATTGCTATATCTAGCATTGATGCTCTTCTAGTCAAACATACTGTTCAGATCTTAAGGTGAGTCTCTACTCAAAAGTAGAGAAAATCGAATCCTGGCTAACAATCGTCTAACAGCTCGCCCACTACATGAAGGTTCCACCACGAGTCACCTTTATGTGCCAAGTCGTTGCGACAATCTGGGCATGTTTTGTGCAAATTGCAGTGATGAACTGGACACTTGGAACTATCCCTAACGCCTGCTCCGAGTAAGTGCATTAAATCCTTTTTCTGATAGGAATTACATAGCTGATGAAACAATAGGGATCAACCTGACCATTTCTCGTGCCCGAATGGACGCACATTCTTCTCTTCAAGCATTGTTTGGGGTAGGCTCACGATCTGATTTTCCCTTTTTTATTTCCATGTCATAACTAACCATCATACAGGTGTCATTGGGCCAAGCCGTATCTTTGGACCCGGCGCAATATATACATCGATTCAATATTTCTGGCTCCTGGGAGCACTTCTCCCGGTCGCCTTCTATGCCCTGATGCGAATCTTCCCCAGATCCAAAGCTCGATACCTCAGCGCCCCTGTGTATGTAATCCAACTTCTCTGATATGACTTCCACTAACAAAAATATGACAATAGGATGCTGGGCGCTATGTCTTGGTTGCCTCCGTAAGTAGATTCTGACCGTGACCGATATTGCTATCAGACGTGAAGAAATACTGACGATAATATAGTGCCACGCCCATTAGCTATACATCTTGGGTCATTTTCGGTCTGATTTTCAACTACTGGATCCGAAACAGATGGGGTGGTTGGTGGCGCCAATACAACTATGTCACTGCAGCCGCACTCGACAGTGGACTGATTCTCTCGACAATTGTCATCTTCTGTGCTATTACCCTCCCTGGTGTCTCGGTGCCAAATTGGTGGGGAAATACAACTGCGTTTGAGACTATGGTGAGAAACACTTTCAATCTTGGCTTGTCAAATACTAACAGAGTCAATAGGACTATCTTTATACGGCTATTCGAAAGACGGTTGCAGATGGAGAGACTTTTGGCCCTTCAACTTGGTAAATGGGGATTTTGACTTTACTTGGAGTAGTTTTTTTTCCTTCCAGTCAAGGGATTTTGTGCCTTTGAGATCCGAATCATTGTTATACACGAAAGCAGTTGATATTCAGATACCTATGCAAATCTCATAGCTCCCGAGGTTCAATTTCTGCTCCGTAAATTCATCACATTTGTGCTTATGCTTAGATGTCATGTATATAAATTTCTATATTTACAAATTTAGACTTGAATTGCCTTCAAGAATGCTGGGCTTTCGTGTCCCTGCACAACCTTGGAGATGGGAGTGAGGAAGGCATCCTCATGGCCTTGGCTTTGGCTGTCTTGGAGGTGGCGAACATAGGCCTGGGCAACCTTGATCCACAGAGCCTTCTCTCTTTCGCTAGCCTGAAGACCTTGCCAGACCCACAGTCGGCTCCCAGAGTCATAGATAAAGATATCGTTGCCCTCGAAATCGGATTTTTGAACACGGGCACCGTCCTTGACAAGATCGAATGACACCGTTCCAGAGTTATCGCTGAGTCTGAACAATTTACGGGGTCGAGAGGTACCGCTGTTCTCATGAGAAGCCTTGGCAAAGTAGCCTGGTCGGGCTGCCTGCAGAGAGGACTGGTCGGCGTCTTTTCCGCCTAGCAGATCCACAATGATCTTGGATCTTGACTCAAGCTGGGATAGGACCTCGACATCCACATGCTTCGCCAAAGTCAAGTCATTAACGACTTGAGCTGCCTTGGCCTTCTCCATCGGACTGCATTTCTTACCCTGCCAGACCCAGATCTTCTCGCCTTTATCCAAGACGAATACATCATTTTCATCCAAGCTTTGCCATATTGGCTCCACTTCATGCACAATGATGGGACTGATGCGGCCAGAACCAGGATACTTGAAAATGCGAAGCAATGTGAGGACTTCCTTTGGTTCCTCGGGTTCAACATGGTGGAAGCCCGAGCGCACGCCGCCAGAGCGAATGGAAACATGACGGAAGAGAGACAAGAACTCTTCTGATGGTTGTTGCTGAATCTCGCGATGCTGCGTCGCAGCGCCATGCAGGAATTCATCCAGTTCCACTGTCTTGTATGCAGCAGTCCCAGCTTCATCCTGTGTAGTCTTGCTGCCTAGCCAGAAGAAGATATCGTGACCCAATTTCACATCATCGCCTTCATCACCGACCTTGTAAGAATGAAGTACGATGAAACTATCTCCATCATAGAATTCTCCGTTCTTTTCCTTGGGCCATGGGACAACTTGGAAGTTCTCAATTCGCCATATGAACAGTCCAGCTTCTTGCCCCACCTTGCCGTTGTTCCATGCAGGCTCAGAGGCGGCGGAGTTGTATTTCACGCGGTGGTCGAGGTCGGATCCAATCAATTCTATATTGCTGTCTTTGATGTCATACTCTTTGAGGTGGACTAATCCTTCATGAGGAGGCATTTTGAGGCTGATATTGGGGTGGTACGCTTTGAACTCTGAATAGATAGGTGTTGTCCATTGTTGATGAGGGAAGCAGCGGTGATGTCATCTCACATGAAGTCACATGATAATCGGTCAATTGATAATCCGGTGGCTATCATTTCCTAATTTGGTTGTATAAATTCACCTAGGCAGTAATATCAACAGCAGTTACATACAGTAGACTTGTCCTTCGAGATGTGAAAATAAAATACAGATCTGAACTTCATAAATGGGAAATTTGGAATATTCATACCATTCAAGACTCCAAAAAACCTCAGCATTTAAGTTAGTCTAAAAAATACTATCTCATTTGTACCTGTATTGGAGATCACCTATGTATGTAAATGCTAATGGAGAGCTAGCCCTGTACGAGCATCAATATGAAAACACTACATAAATCACCTACTGTTATTAAAATCTCCAATTAGAAATATTTAAACATTTACTGGTATTTGAATATGCACCTGTTTTTTTTCAGACGTGAGTTTGATATCAAAGTGCACCTGTGGCGCACATGTGTGAAGACCAGACTTAGTAGGATTCCCATCTCTCATCCTCAATACTCCATCCTTCTTTATGTTTACTACCTAGGTATTAGTTGTTTCATTAATTATGTAATGCCTTCAAGCGGCCACCCTGTCTTAATGAAATGCTTTATCCTACTAAACTAAACGGCCAACTAATTAGATCTACAGACATTTGAAGCTGAAAAAAAAATCTGCAAACAAGCTTCCAAGGTTGTCAGTACGAGTACATGTGAAACTAAGAAAAAAGCAGCTTTGGAATACTACCTAGGTCGTGCCTTGAATGTACTAGGATTTCAATCAAACTAGTAGTCCCTTCCAAGGTTCTGTTCAAGTTGGGACAAAGTTAGGTCCCTCCTCGTAGATGTTCGTTCCCTCACCACACTTAATCTTCTTCTCTCCCTTATCACACCTCCTCCCACCCCCTCTTATTCTACATCGGTTTTTCAATAACTTGAAAATCCTCCTTATCATCACCATCAACATGGGTCGCTGCAGCTGGCGTAAGTGTGACATCCCCTCATACTCTCATAGACCATCTCCAAGGATACAACCAACTTCTCATTCCAGGTCTCTTTGAAGGAGACCAAGTTGTCGATATCGCACGCGACCTTGAACACAAACTTGGGCTTAGTGGTGACGACTGGAAATGGAAACTCACTACGACTATCATCAACTGCGATATTCTCAACCCAGGCATGTCACAAGTCAACTTCCAGAATCGCGACTTCACAGATATCCTTAACGACGACATGATTCCATATCTGTGTAAAAAACTCAACAAGGATAACTGTGGCTTTGATCTATTCGCAAAATGCCGCTCTCTGGACGAAGACTTTCTTCAAGGAAAATACCCAATCATTATCTTCGGTGCCATGATGATGAGAGTCGGCGCCAACATAAAACAGGAAGACCTGCAATACCTGCGTGAAGTGGCACTTGCTACACACTCTAGTCCAGGTTATGCTTGCCCCTTTGCTGATCAAGGGTTCCGTGACCCTGGTCGAGCTCAGTTCTTGGCTGCCTTGGATCATTATCAGGCTGATGTACCCAGAAGCTTTGAGCAGCCTAGGTAAGATCTGCTCTTTAAAATAATCCTTTCTCCGAGTGTTGAAGTATTGACTCATTACTCTTTTTAGTTGCTTTCTCTGCGGCCAGATTCAAAGTGACGTTGGACGCGTTCTGCAGAAATGTAGTCGGTGCAAAGCAGCTTACTATTGCGGAGTTGTAAGAATTTTCTCTATCGTGGATATTTCTGAGATCTAAAAAATTGACTTTTCATAGGTGTGCCAGAAACAACACTGGAAGGACCATAAGCCCTCTTGCCACGTTCTTGGATCGAGATTTTCTATGAATGTTTAACGAAAGACACGTCTTGCTGGCCAGGTCGAGGGGGGTTATGTGCTGCTGCCCCTCATGGCCCGGGAGCAATTGATGCGTATGGGTTGTCAAAAGAAGATTCGGGCATTCGAACTTTGAATTGGGCGTTATTTACTTGATTTTTGTTGCATGGTCTACATTGACCCTAGTTGATATCTTATGGTTAGACCCCAATTTAAATGATTATTTTAGGTAGTCAAGAACTTCCAGATCACACAGTTATCCAGTAAGGTGCTCAAGTCTCCATTGGAGAGTAAGACGCAATATTCTAATTGAATTAAGTTTTTTTTCTCGCCACTAAAGGAGGATGAATGAACTTGGTATAAACCGACCAGCCGTAAAGGCATGCAAATATTGGGTATTGATGCAACGCTTTGAGAAATCATAACTTCGTGATGTAAATTTGCAAAAAGGCAGCCCATAATTGGACGCTATTTTTCACTAGGGGTGCGATGATGCTTGTGGGTCGGGATAGACAGGATATTGGAATACCATGGTATTCAGCGAGCAGTTGATGCTGGGAATTTCCAGTGGACTCGGCCAGAGCGACCACCTAGCCTGAAGCGCAGATCCTTTGGCACTCGGGAACTCCATTAAATGTAATAGCGTAGACCACGCTCGCGAAGACTTGACCCGAGTGTCGTGACAGAATACTTTGAAGTGTTGTACGAGAGACGGTCGATGCTTGGTGGTCGCACACAGGGCGGGATAGTCGATGATGCGCGCTGGCGGGAGTTCGCGCAGATCTTCATGGAGGATGAACATTTGAAGCCAAAATAGCATGTAAACTCCTGTCATGGCTCTTCGTAATCAATTGCTTCGAGTCCGGTAGCACGGCCTTTCAAGTTTGAGCTTTGACTTGTCGGCAAAGAGTCAGAGTGATTGAAGTCGGCGTGGTTGTAATCGGATGTGATCTGGGAGGGATCGACAAAGGAAGGGTAACGACCTCCAGCGACACGAGAGGTTTGCCAAAGATGTTGATGGGCAATGTTGACCAATTTACCCAAGACAGCAATTTCCAACTTCAGCTTGATGCTGTAAAGGGTCGCTTTGAGTGTAGTTTGGTATATATAAAAGTTCATGAACTCTATAACCATCAATGCGATATCCATCAAAACACAAGCGACGTTAACAGCGAGGAGCTGAAAGATGGTTTTGCGACTTCCGCGATCGGGGTTCAGTTTCAGCATTCGGTTGGTCTCCCACATGTATATACTAGAGATGATAACCTCCTGGACACAGAACCCGGTCAATTGGATTTTCTCCATAATATCGTACCCATCGATGGAGGCTTGGGATTCGGAGAAATTGGCGTCGAAAGTCAAGACGGTAGTAGGCACATGAAGTAAGAAAATATTCGTGATGATCATTCCCTTGACCATACTCAGAATACGTGGATTTTGGATGATCAAATGCAGTCGCGAATATAGAACAAATGATTGGCCAGTGACCATGGTCCACCAACCCACAGTGAGCAAAGTGACAGGCAGCCAAGTCTGGGAAGTCAAAGCAAAGAATTTCATCAGATAGCCGACGGAGTAAGGAAGGATTCCGACCGAGGATATCAACAGACTCCAAAAGTAGGGACCATGATACCGTTTAAAGGTCAGGAAAATGAGTACAATGAGTTCAATGACATTGTACCACGCGACGCCCACAAAGGTCGCGATTGTGATGCGTACCCCAAGACTATTGCCTGTATAGCTGCCGGTAATCCAGTGGCCGGGACTGGCTTCGCTGGACGAGGACATGTCCTGCAGGCATATGGCTTAAAAGAAGGGGGTTGGAAGAGAAGGTAAAAGCGTGTAAAAAGATGTTAAAGGGGAAAAACAACCAGGGATGAGATTTCGCGGGGTTGGGGGAGCCTTGGCTATTAGAAAAACATTTCAGTGACCCACTTGGCCCTATAACCCCCCTGAGTTTGACCCTTGAATGGTTGTAACTTGAAGGCTTATGATAATTGAAGAAGAGGTCCGTGATTTAAGCTTATTTTTGATTCAATCCCAGTGAGATAATTGGGATACGAGGAATATCAGATCTGACTTTAGAACAATGATCGTGATCGCGATCGTGAACAAAGTGCCTCTTCGGAGTGCACAGGCCATCTGACGTACGATCTCCACTTTACATGGGATCCACTTCACCATCTTGGGGATGAATACTCCGTAGTATATGGTATGATAAAGGAACTTGGATCAAATTGGACATTGACTAGCTAATATGCTAGCTTTAAGTCAGAATAACAGAGCGCACATTCAAGTTCTCACAGTGGTGGTGTATCAGCAACCCAGTTAATACCCATGCTATATAGGTAATAAACAAACAATTAGTACCATGAAACAAACGGCTTAAACACTGAATAGTAGTAGTAAAACTTACCCTGATGTATACCGATCCCCTTCAACCTCAGTACGCTGAATAAGCTGTCGAATAGTCTGCACCTCCTCATCAGTGAGCTTAATCAGTGCAGCATTGGTGTTCTCATCCACCCGCTGAGGCGACCGAGTGCCCGGGATCGGAATGATTTCAGGGCCCTGGGCCAACAACCATGCAAGTGTCACCTGCGAGGGTGTAGCTTGATGCGCATCAGCCACCTTCTTTAGACCTTCCACCAGCTCAAGGATCTTAGGGAAATGTTCTGGCTGGTATTTAGGCAAGATCCGACGAAAGTCGTCTTGCGGGATATCCTCGAACTTCTGGATCTGTCCCGTCAGAAGACCTCGTCCAATGGGACTGTATGCAACGACTGCAATACCCAGCTCACGACAAGTGTTGAGGAGGTCGACCTTGGGCGATTCAATGTCGAGAGCGAAGGGACTGTATTCTATCTGTAGAGCGGTGATAGGGTGGACAGCATGGGCGCGACGGAGAGTGGCTGCTGACACTTCGGAAAGACCAAGGTATCGAATTTTTCCCTCACTATAATGAGTATTAATTATAGGTCAGACTTGGGTTATTGTTGGGTGAGTAGTCAAAGGGTACGTACTTCTTCAGTTCCACCATGGCTTCCACGGTCTTCTCAATGGGGGTGACTTCATCTACCCGATGGCAGTAATACAAATCGATCACATCAACACCTAGTCGTTTAAGGCTTTTCTCACAGGCAAGCTTCACATATTCCGGATCCGACCGGATTGTGATTTTATAGTTGGCGTCCATCTGGATGGCAAACTTCGTAGCAAGAAAGATGTCATCACGATTGCCCGAGCGCTTGACCCATTCGCCGACAATATCCTCACTGTCGGCATACAAATCAGCGGTATCCCAAAACCACTGACCTGTGGCATGAGCATGCTCCAAGACGGCGACCTTTTCATCAAGGGAGCCAGCAGATCCATATGTACCCCCAATGCTCATCAGGCCAAACCCAATAGCAGGGACCTGGGGACCACCAAGGCCAAGAGCTCGAGTTGGAATTGGCATTTTGAATTGTGCAAGGTTTGAATTTGAAGCAATAATATTGAAGAAACTTTAGAGTCAAAGTGAGTCACCACTGGTAAACTTGAAGGGATACTAGTGAGAGTTCGAGTTGAGAGTCTGGAATTCATATTTCAAGCGGGACATGACGAGCCTTTAAATATTGATTCCCGGATAGAATCATAGAATCGTGCCGAAATCAATCGGCACGGCTGTGAGGCTTGGCTCCATTGATTTCTAAAAGATTAGTCTAATCAGGGAGTAAATCTTGACCTTGAATGGAAGGTTTCGTCAACACTTTGCATTATTCTTGCATTATTCTTGAATCCAGAATATAGGATCGGAGTTAATTGACGGCTTTAAACGCCATTCAACCAATCAGAGCTCAATACAGTCAGAAGGATCCACCGAGGCGCTTCCGGACCAATCATATCTCATAAGTTGCGAGCCGTCCAATCATTTCGTTTCTCCCCCGAATAATAGTCTATTTGATCTATTTCTCCCATCTTCCTCAATTCTACCTTGTTCAAATACTCATCGTATGAAGAATGCATGATCCTCAGAATAAAAAACAGTCTCGGAGCGTGAAGAGGGTCAAATCGGGCTGTAGGACTTGCAAGTAAGTTCCACTCACTAGTTTCTATATGGTATCATCTAACCAGATGTAGGATCCGTCGTGTTAAATGTGACGAAAGTAGACCAGCCTGCCGGCGCTGCGTTTCCACTGGAAGAGCCTGTGATGGCTATGGAATTTGGGGAGGAGGTGGTAACCCATACGGTCAACCACAGAGCAATCGGGCTCTTTCAGTATACTGTACCCCGGTTCCATCCGGCAGCATGACAGTCGATGAGCAGATGTATTTCAACTGGTTTATGGAGAAAACCACCAAGAAATTCGCTGGTCTCTTCGCATCTGACTTTTGGGAGACCCTTGTCTTGCAAGCCAGTGCACAAGAACCTGCTGTGCGCCATGCGGTGGTCGCCTTGTCAGCAGCTCACAGATTCGATCGAAGCGACAGCCCATGGGCTATCCCTGCAACTTATGGCTTCGATGCGGAACAATTCACGTTACAGCAATATAATAAGGCCATCCACTTCTTACGTTCAACGACGGGCTCCACAAATCCATACACTCTACGTGTGGCTCTAATTACCTGTCTGGTCTTTGTGACGTTGGAATTCCTGCGCGGGCAGTACAAAATGGGCAGTGCACATCTCCGCTATGGAATCAAATTACTTTCCAATATTTCATCGCCACATCCTCGATCCCTGATGTCGCCGAGTATACTAAGCCCCGCGGAGGATTTTGCGCATAATGCCTTGATTGACTCATACTCACGTCTTACTGTCCAATCAGCTCTGTTCGGTCAAGTACCATCCAATTTGTGCATTATTACAAGGGATCCAAAAGAAAATGCTATCCCATACACATTTTCTGACGTGCTTGATGCGCGACGAACACTGGATGACCTCTTGAATCGAGTCCATTGTCTCAAAAGATACTATTATGATGTCTACTCAGAGGAGAGTCAAGATGAACCTTCCATGTTTGAGACGCAGAAACGTATCCTAGCAGATCTATCTCTATGGCGCAAATCATTCAATGCCTCCTTACCTCTTCTTGATTCTGGAGAAAGTATCAGCCAAAAGTTCAGAGCTACACTACTATCTGTATACCATGAAATGGCAACAATCATGGCCTCTGTCTGTCTATCAGACGATGAAATGATCTTCGACTCATATACCGAAAACTTCATCGCCATTCTAAAAGGGTTTACCGACTTGTGGAATTTATGGGCAAGTGTTTCAGTGGCAGTGAAGGAAGTCAAGGATATATTCAGTACTCCAGAGTCAGATCTCGACTGCCATGAGTTTACAGTGGAATCTGGGTTCATTCCACCTGTGTACTTCACAGCGCTTAAGTGTCGCATTCCTCAGATCAGACGACAGGCCGTTCGAATTCTGAAGGCTGCACCACATAGAGAAGGCGTATGGAACGGCGCACTTCTTGCCCAAGTCTTGGATGAGGTGATCAGAATTGAAGAAGATGGAATTGAGAGCAAAGAGGCTAGTATTGACGTGCCCCTCTTTCCATTTGTGCCATCTGCCAAGGACTTCCCACCACCGAATATCAACGGTTCATCGCGTCTCTCAGATGTAGCGGTTATTCTACCAGATCGAGTGAAGGAGGATACGGTCCTGAGCTACAAAAAGCTCCAAGCTGGAAATTGGAGCTACTATAAACACACAATCAAACCAAACAGGGAGAAAGATACAGAGTCATATTTTCAGCTCTTTCGGAATTAATCTGGACAGAGAATATCCACCGAAAACATGATGAATTAAAACTAAATGATCTTTTTTATTGTTCAAATGTGATGAGAATACTTAGTATGAAGCGCAAACAAATCATTATGTCGTAAGATGCCATTCCAGACCTAAGAAACGCCAGCCTGGTATCACAAAGAATGCCAGCCCCGTAAACCGATCAATGCAACCTCGCAAAACTACAAGGCACTTATTTCTTCTGTCTTAGAAATGCAGCCACCTGCTCATGTCTAGATACGAAGAACATGCGCTTTTTGTCCGACTTCCAGACCAACACACCAATTTCCGCGGCGTACCTACATGGCGCCTCGTACTCGGCTGCGTTGTTGAATTCCTTGAACAGGAAGCCACTCGTGGACCGAAGACGATCACGCTCGAGCTGCCAGAGACGGATCTGATCTGTCACGGTAGGCGGAAGTACTGATGGCGGCATTCCTGATGTGTTGGATGTAGAATGGGCGGCATTTTGTTTGCGTAGTTGAGGGTGGGCATGCGACATCAAGTAGGCAATGATTTGATCGGCTGTAATGCCCATATCAATGGCGCGACGCACCGATTGTCGCGTAACCTTACCGGTCACCAAATTAGGGAACCGGTATTTCAGATTTGTGAAGAGGGATATAAGGGAGATCTGAAGCGGAGATGAGGTGTATGCATAGAGACGATAGTTGGTCTCGATAATGATGAATCCGCCTGAGCCGGCGCCCTCGCCGGTAGGTCCAGTCAAGGAGCTAGCACCGGGAGTTCCGAGCGCACTGGAGTCGGATGTCAAAGTTGTGGCCAGTCTGGTGGGATAGAAACGCGTTGCTTCGGGAGTCTCTTGGTAAATAATACCAAAGTCTGCCAAGTCTGCCAGAGTGCGAAGTTGGGTGGATGACATGTGCTTTTTCTCGTAAGACTGGCCCAGCTCCAAACTGCTGAGCAGGAACAAAAATGACAGAACCTCCACGCTGTCCATACCGAGTGAATCGGCACTCTCAACGTAGAGAATCATGATATGCCAGACCTGCGTATTGACATCTTGCAGCACGAAGCCAAAGCCCTCCTTGGTGATGTCTACGCGGCGATCTCTGATCTCAACGAGATTACCCGCCTGAAGCAGCTGTTTCACACCCCTGCTCAGGTTCACCGGATCACTGTCTCCTGTCAAAGCACTTGTCCCCACCATGTATCCCAAAACTCCTTCCCATTGCCTTCGAGCGTATTCGTCTAAACCTGCAATCGTGATTTTCCTTTCATCGGGGATATTTGAAAAGACACCAAATGATTGGGGGTCATCAGAACCAGTAAGAGCTTGGCGGAGCGACGAGGCGAATTCGCTTGTGACCATGTAAGCTCGAGCATTTTCCGCCGTTCGGGTAGTCGATAGAATGTGAAGTCTTCCGAGGATGGAAAGCGCGTTATCTCGTTGCCTTTAAGTCGATGAATAACAAATGATTAGCTTAAACTTCGGTTCTCCAATAACGGTCATCCTTACTTTTTGCTCTCTGCTTTCACCCAGATTTCAAGGTCCGCTGTAGGAACGGGATCATCTGGATCTAGGTAGAGCAAGGCCATCACAAAACATTTTGCTGTTTTCAGTCAGTTTAGGCGGTTGATATTGAAATTCAGAGAGCTCCATATACCAAGGTCAGGCAGCATGCGCCGAAAAATCGCAAGAGCTGTAGATGGTTGCTTATAAAGCCGGCGGAAAGTAGCACCTGGAAGTCCCTCCAGGTACTCAAGAGGTCGAGACGTGGATGTCACCATGTTTATGACCTGAGAGACCTAGGGCCTCTATGCCTCGTTGCAGAAAGTTGATCAAAGAAGTGTAGTGAAGTAATGGAGTTTCATACGGAGGGCGTAGCGGCCACTTTGTGCAGTTCCCGAGATGAGATGAACGCGACAACCAAATCACTTCCTCTTCACTCTTATCTATAATTCATTGATAAATTACAATGACGACTCTGCGCTTTGTTCGATCAGTAAGTTTATTTATTGTTAGAACCTACTATCATTTGCACTATGCTCATACATATATGATTCATCCAGGTTTGGGAGTCCTTTCGGGCTTCCTCGGGTCTAAAGCCTCGGTAAGTGAACCCGATTCTGTTTGCAGGTATCGTTCACTAATCGGCATCCCGTCTTGCATTTTGAAGACTCTTGGACAGTGTATGTATACTTTGAACTATGTGACCAATCTCGAGTCCTAGAGGACTTTTGGAGCTAGATCAATATCTGATTTGGACATCCCTATAGCTCCGTGTCACTGCCGCTCGGCCAGGAACTGTCAACTTCGAGCTGGAGATTCTCAAGCAGCACACTGTAAGTTAGAGTGAAAATGTCTGGGTTTACCCCCTCCAAAGCTACAACTATTTTATGAATCTTACATCCGAATATAACATCAATTCTTCATGTACTGTGACTGATCAACCGAACTATAGAACCGCTTGAACATTCTTCATGGAGGCACCATTGCAAGCATGGGTATGCTTATTTGAGACCTAGACACTTGCAAGTTTTTATTCAGGTAGATGCTTATCAATTCGCATTTAGTGGACCTTGGTGGCTCCCTCGCAGTAGCATCCCGTGGTTTGTTCGCAACTGGCGTATCAACCGATCTCAATGGTAAGGTTCTCGCTGAAACATTGGTCTCTATCTTCTAAAACACATTGCTAATGAAAATAGTCACATACTTGAACTCTGGTGGCAAGGTTGGCGACAAGATCCTGGCTGTAAGTCTCACCTATGAAATGAAGTGATAATTGCTAAGCTAACAATTAATGTAGGAGGTGACCTGCGACAAGTGTATGTTGAAATGGCTCTTCTGCTTCAATGAATTACTACTAATACTGAACAGTCGGAAAAACACTCGCATTTACCAACATCAAGTTCACTAACGCCCAGGGCGAAGTTGTTGCACGAGGCAGCCACACCAAGTAAGTTGATCTTTGAAACTATCCTTTAGCTGTTTTTATACAGATACTTATCGAATATAGGTACGTCACTCTGGCATGGAGAGACCCTCAGAACATTGTTGAGGAGATCAACAAAATCAAATAGTCAAAGTCCAGACTCCAACTTGAATTCAGCAACCTAGATGTACAGAATACCAATTTCATTCAAGTATAGTACGACCCGGAGTCAGCTACTGGCACACCGATAGAGATACTACCAGTACATAGGTCCAGGATCAGCTCACGTGTGCACAAACATTCATCCAGTTTAAGACGCTTTACCAGTGGAGCTGGATCATGCAGCCGCAACATGATCCAATATAAACATGAAATAATACATCAATATCAAACATCATTCATGCGTCTTCAAATGATTAATTTAAATCCGCTTTTGTATCAATAACTACTGAAATTGTTCATACAATGTCAATATCCTCATCTTCACCAGCGCCTTCCATGACCTCATCCTCGTCTAGAAGCCCATCCTCAACCGGAGCAGCATCATCAAGAACCATTGCCCCATCACCCATTGCCTTCACCTTAGCCTGTGTCATCTCAAAGACATACTGGCCAAGATGCTCGACTCCTTCCATGGGGGTGCCCTCAGTCTCAGCGTCCAGCGCTCGGGTAGTTGGGAACATCTCACCCGGGGCAAGCATCAACTTATCCGGGCGCTGTAGAAGGCGATCGAACGCAGGCTTGAGCTCGTAGCAGCCCTCGAAAACCTCACGACGACCAAGGATGTAAAGACCCAATCGAGCACGCGACAGGGCCACAGTGAGACGACGAACATCACGTAGGTAGCCAACAGAACGGGTGCGGGTCAGAGAAAGAATAACGTCTGGAAAGAAAGAACATAGTCAGTACAAAGTGAAGGAGGGATAAGATAACCATAATGAGAAGGGAATTGAACTTACAGTCATTTTGCTCTCCCTGGTATCGGTCTACTGTAGTCACAATCTTGGGGAGACCGAAGAGAGGATTCTTGCCACAACGATGATTCAATACATCCCGAATCAAAGCCGTCTGTCCAGCATACGTGGCCAAAATCGAGATTTTCGCGGCTGGGTAACCCAGCAATCGCATGTACTGATACAAAGCGACCGCATACTCTGCTTCGCCCAGATTCTGAATGAAATGAGGTGTAGGTTCGCGTTCACCATTGCCCTGGTAATCGGGAACATTGATGAATTGGTAATCGAACTGGAAGCCTGCATTCGCCTGCTTGAACTCCGAGACGGTCTCGACAGATGGAAGATCTCCCAATTGCTGATAGCGCCAGCGGAAAAGCTCGGCAATGCTCGGGCGACATCTCCCTTGTTTATCCAAAGTGATCACGGGAACACCTAGACGGGCCAGACGGAGGAAAAGACTTTGCTCGAAGTGTGCGTATTGCCGGAAGGCAAGGTTCTGGATGATCGGTGAATTCTGGAAATGATCTCCACAGAGGACGACACGCTTAAGAGGGAGCTCCCCGTTCTTCATGTTCTGAAGAGCGGCGGGGATAAAGCTCTCAATCTCAGTGATCTGCGCGGCTTCTTCCATGATCACATTATCATAATGGAAGCCCAGGTCTGCAATTTCCTGACGGCGCATCGCAGCGTGTGTTGAGGTCATTGCAATGACACGTGCCTCTTTCAATAGGAGATAATTGGCTTTGTCCCGAGGCTGTCGCAAAATTTCAAAGGGTCGAATATCTTCGAGCTCAGTGAAGATCCGTTCAATGTGTCTTTGGCAACCTGCAGCGACATCCAAGATGGTCTCTTTTGAGTCATCAGCCTGGAATAAGGGGTGAGGGGCATTCGAGAAATAGTCATAGAATGGGAATGAAGAGAGAATATCTTCTGTAGAAGTCTCGTCAGAGCCAGCTCTATCCCAGAACTTAGCCCACGCAGGCTGAATGTAGACCGTGTTGAAGTATCCAGCAGTCTCGCAAGAGTTACCGTGTGCTCCTTCAGCTCTAATTGAGGCTGCCAGGCGCATGACTTCTGACAAGTAATGGTTGCGGTTGTCGAGGAAGGATTCGACTCGGCCATATTTGCTATAGTTGGAATCTGTATCCAACTCTTCCTCACCATGACCCAGTCGCAACAAGTGACGTTCGTCAATGTCCAGTGCAATAATTTTCTGGAACAGCTGATTGAGTGCCTGATTGCTATGAGCAATGAGGAGTGTGCGTTCCTTGGGGAAGTTGTGGTAAAGGTTGTTGATTATTTGTGTTGCAACGTCAGTCTTGCCGGTTCCAGGCGGACCCACGATGACAGTAAGTCCTGGCTGAGTACCGGAAGCGACGGCCTCCACTTGGGCAGGTGTGAACCTCACTGTGTTGTGCTTGCGCGTGTCAACAGGGTAAGGACCAGGGTTAGGAGGCTTGTATGTTGAAACACGAAGGGTAGCAGGACCTTGCTCCGCCTCCTCGGCTTGATCGCGTCGGCGTTTCTTTGCTGGGGCCGCACTGGCAGGGGCTGCAGTCGCCTCGCCCTCGACAGATTCAAGAACATAGGGAGGAACGAAGCTAGATGATTCAGCACCAGATGGTTCAATGATCTTGCCAGGGAAACTCTCCACCAGATGGGTCCAGTCCAAGAAAGTATCACGGTAGTCAACCGATTTGAATCGATTAGGCAAGTTAGTATACTGGGCACCTGCAGGATCACCGTATCCGAGGAAGATATCTTGAAGCCAGGCAGGAAGCTCCATGTCTGAGACGATCAATTTCTGCATAGTCTCCAGAATGGACTTGAAGTTATTCTCTCGGCCCTTCCGACGAGCAACCACATTAATCAAAGGATAAATATCCGGCTTGCCCTGAACCTGTCGGTCCTTATCAGCCTTGAATGATGCTGCATCCAAGTTCACCAGAAGTCTACGCAATCGTGGGCGAGACTGGTGTCCATTTGATTGACCGGCAGCTGGCTGTCTCAGTGGACGACCTTGCTCGTCGAGTACTTGTACGATCTCAGCTGTCCGCAGATGAGTCATGTGTGGCGCCTCTGAAGTATTATCACCCAGTGATGACGGCTGAACTGCCATTAGATAGACAACATCATCTGGACGAAGTGCCTCCCATTCCTTGCGGATATTTTCTGCAAGCCTTCCGACTTCAATTGAAATTTCCGCACGAACAAATGCAGGGTTTGGTGATCCTACCTTCGCAGGCGCAACTTCAATAATGGCAGGTTTAGAAATGGGAATTGCCATCCGAGAGAATCCCTCGAACTCCATGCTTCCACTGCGGTTAGCTCGGGGTTGCATGCGCTTCACAATAGCTTCCATATCCTTGCGAATTTGGAAAAATGCCTCTGACCTGTACAGAAGGAACGATCGCCAAAGGAAATCACCAAGACTCAAGTACTGAAGGTTCAATTTGGGAATTGCCAAGGGTCTGGATCCATCATAAGTCTCATTTCTCAGCAGGGCTGGGTCGTACAGGCTCTCCTCTGTTGGTATCACACTCAATTGAGATGCAATTTCTTGGAAGGGTAGCCTGCGTTCGTAGTAAGACAAGAGAACTTCTAGGCAAAGCTGGCGATCTGGATTAATATTTGATGACTTGGGGTAGTTTGTGCGGAAGCCCAAGTGGGAGCACAGGCTCTGCAGCTCTGGCTCTTCCAAGGTTGAAAGTTGGCCTTCAAGTTCAGATCGTTGTTCGATCGATCCAAGGTTAGACAGGGCAAGAATCATGAGCTTATCTTTGAAGAATTTCATAGATGTTCTCTGTAGCTGTGCTAGCTCCTTGCAGTGCAAATCATAGACTGCTTGAGGCGAAAGAGCTTCTCCAGAGTAATCGTCAATTGCGAAATCCATGAAATGCTTAAGAAGATTGTAGAAGTCACGTAGAAGACCATTCTCTGGGTTGCGGTAGAGTTGTGACAGGCGAATAATGGGTAGAAGGTTGAGATCTTTGAGAAGCGTATTGGCATAGCGCCGGGTTGGAAGTTGACTCAAAAGATCCACGAGGAGCTCCAAGAATCGCTCACAGTACAGCAAGTTTTCGGTCTGCTGCTGCTCTGAGCCATTCAGCTTCCGCAGAAAATCCAACAGCATGGTGTACAGCCAGGACCGTTCGAACCGACTCTTGGCCTTGGCCGCCTCGTCACCTGCATCATATCGCTTTCCTGCGGCCCTCCATGCCTTTTTGACGGCAGGGGATTTCGCAATCAACTTCTCCCTGGCTTCCTCGCTGGCTAGGTTGTGCCAGATCGAGATCGAGACGAGCGGAGCACATTCTTTCCGGATCAAGACGTTTTCGAGGGATTGGAAAGCGCCGATGATGAATGAGATGATCGACATGCGTGAATGAGTCGGCAGTGAAGGATCGATACTCATGGAGAGAATGCGGTGGAAGAGGCTCGAGAAATCATCGCTGCGATCGGAGAAGATGTCTGCATTCACTGTCAGTATTGGCCCACTATAGTTAGATATCCCATTCACTCGAGTATTTATTCACTCACCCCAGATTGGGAGATGCTCGCGATATTTAACGCTGACAATAAGAGCGATAAGAAGGACATGGTGATTCGAAGCATCCTCAGTGTATGTCGGCCACAGAAACCTTCAATCGCGACCGAGTTAGCCTTGCGCGCGCACACATACTCAAAGTAAATACTCGCAAAGAACTTACTTTTCCAGAATATTCAGATTCTCCAAGATCAACAAAGAGCGACTGTTGAAGCCTTCTTTCTCCAGTGGATCCCATAATTGCTGCTTGATCACATCGGGTTTGGCCTTGGGCACTTTCGCATCCAACCAGTGAGCCTTGGCTAGCTGCACCCACGGGCTATCCTCGCGAAAGTCCACCACCGTCGGTCTGGCTTCGAGACTCTGCGCCATTGCAGCACTCGATTGTCCCTATTCCTGATAGACTGGGGTTGGTTGGACGTGTGGATCTACGCACGTCGGGAACATTGAGGTTGAAGCTGGGGAGCTTTTTCAAGTCTTGGCTTTTTCTCTCCGCCGAGCCGCAGACGTGACCCCTTCAACTCCGTCACTCATTCAACTTTACCTGACTACCCCACCACTCATTAACCTGCGTCGACATTATTCACGTCTGAATTGTCTGAAACATCAAGATGGCGTCGTCGGTCGAAGTCGAAGCAGTGCAGGTTTACAAAGCGCTTGTGGATGGGCTGTTAGACCGCGCGGCGCAAATCAAGCCCGACAAGCAGATCGAACCCCCATTGACCGAGGCTCTTCTCGGCGACCCAATCTGGGAAGTTCCGTCTCACCAAGAGGAGAGCATCAAGCTCTTGAACCCGCAGACCCGTTTCGCTGCAGTGGAGATCGCTTTTCGCGAGAAGTTCTATCATACTCTGGTAAGAAGCCGCGGTTACAATGAATGGAATGTAACTGTTGAAGATTTGCTAACCACCCACATCTTCTCTCAGGCCTCGACATCTATTAACGGCCCTTCCTCTATTCATATTTGGAATCTCCTCGACATCGTTTCCATCTTCTCTGATAACGGTCCGTCCGAGTCGCCTAAGCCAATACAAAGCTACGACATCCTTGCTGACTCCTAATAGAACAATGCGAACCCGGCTTAATATTTTGGCTCATTGAAGAGCTGCTGGACAGTCAGACTATCGATGGCTGTCGCAAGGTATTCGACTATCTAGAATCACGCCGAGAACGCAATATCAAGGTATGTCCGATGGATGCATTCTATAACTGACTTGAATTGAATATGCTTGCTAACCTATCGCATAGAAACACTTCAAACAAAAGAACTTGATCATCCTAAGATCCTGCAATGAACTCCTCCGAAGACTTTCCCGAGCCGAAGATACGGTATTCTGTGGACGTGTGTTTATTTTCTTATTCCAGAGCTTCCCACTTGGCGACAAGAGCTCAGTAAATCTTCGCGGCGAGTTTCACACCGAAAATGTCACCAGCTTTGATGAAATTTCCAAACCCACCACGGCAGATGAGAACGAAGACACAACAATGACCGAGGGCAACGACGAGTCGGCTAGCACAGATGGCCTCCCGGAGGGAACAACAGACAAGCAGGAGATTGGAGTTTCCTCAGATCGGTCCGGCTCGCAAGTTCCAAAGGTCGTTGTTTCTGGAGGTTCCAACGGCAATTCCAAGGATAACGTGGACCTTGATGCCCTATATCCCTTATTCTGGAACCTTCAATCCTTCTTCTCCGCCCCAAGCAAGATGTTTGATGCCGAACGCTTCGCATCTTTTAAAACCGGCCTCGATGCTACCTTGCAGGCTTTCAATAACATTCAGACCGACATCGAAAATCAATCGGCCTCTCGACCTTCAGAGGATGCCCACAAGTCTCACAAGCGAAAACGTGCGCCCGATGAGAATGAGGTGGGAACCAGCTTCAACCCTAAATACTTGACCAGCCGAGATCTATTTGACCTTGAAGTCGGCGACACCGCCTTCCGACGACACGTTCTGGTCCAGGCGCTCATCCTCCTAGATTTCATGCTATCGCTTACCTCAAAATCCAAAGCAAAGATGACGGATCTAACAAATAAGTCTGTCCTATACGGCTTTGTTTTGAGCGAGGATGATGCTAGGTGGGTGGCAGATATGCGAAAGAGGATCGAAGGGTACCTGCAGACCGGCCCGGGAGGCAAATTCTACTATCGCATGGTGGATACTGTTTTGTCCCGAGACAAGAACTGGGTACGATGGAAGGCTGAAGGATGCCCACCCATTGAACGTCCAGCGATCACAGTGCCTGACTACAAGAAGGCACAAGATGAGGCCCGCAAAATTTATTCCAACAAGCGCCTCCGCCCCACACCGATGGGATCTCTTGACTTGAAATTCCTCTCTGATGCTGAAGCATCAGCCAACATTGAGCGCCTCAAAGAATCTGACCGTTTCTCTATCCCCTCCACCGATTCATTAATGATGAGTATCATGGATGACGATATGGATATCGACATGGCGCAAACTCCGGACGATAAGGAAGCTGCGGTTCGAGCCAAGTCTAGTAAGACATGGCGAATTCTCCGCCTAACTGCTAAGACGAAGCTCTCTGCATTCGACAAGATTGAAGACGGCTTGAAACTCCAGGCTCTATTTGAGGAGCCAACAGCGCCAGTGGATACTCCTCAGCCGACTGAAGAGAATGAGGATACTGAAGATGCTGAAGGTGCTGAGGATCAACATTCTGAAGATGCCGAAGATCAACATGTCGAAGATGCCGAAGATGCCGAAGATGTTAACGACGAGAGTACTGAACAAGGTGTCAAAAGCCCAGCCCAGGAATCTATTCCCGTCGTCGAATCATTAGGTTGATTTCAAAATTTGAAATTGACACGACTTAAAATATTAATGACCATCCTCATACTAGTAATGTACATATTAACCTTTAAATACTATTATTATCTTAAAATAATCGAATCTACCTACCTACTACTGGTAGCCCTGGGGATAAACTTGGATTTGAATGATCCGATTGATCAGCTTCCAAGGTTGAGCATTCAAAGCCAGGCGATCTTCCAAGGTTTGGATATCATATGTGCATACTAGTAAGTAGGCCTGAGCTATTGATTAGAACTATTCGTACGTTCAATGCTAGCACTTGAGTATTTCTAGAAACTGAGGCAGTGCCAGTGGTTCAGTGGATCTCAATGACAAAATCGAAATTGAAAAGATATAGAAAGATATAGTCCATCTTAACTTGTTGGATCTTGGACCCATCTCTGCGGAACTTAAACTTGGAACTTGAGACAGTTGACTTCTACTAAACAGTTGGATCAGATGTTGGACCCTTTTGCTGATGACATGACCTTCATGGATGCACATATGTGGCCACCTGCCAGTGGAAGCCACCCGGGGGTGTATGTATAAGCCCGTCTACTACCACCTGGGCACTGACCCTCGCCCACGGTTCCATCGAATTTACCGACGACGGATTTTCAATCAGACGCCTACTAAGTATTCAAGCTTCCAGGGTATTTTGAGACATGAAAGTGTGCGACTCCCCGGCGGATCTCTGATGATATATCACCGTGACCGTCCACTGGCACTGGTCTCCATCATCGTCAACTGGTACTACTGGTGGCACTCCACCATGATACTTTGATCCAGACTCAGACCGCCCACTGCCCCTGTCTCTACTTGTTGTGTCAACATTGAAGTTCTTCTTGACTGACTGCTTCTTGAAAAGGATCGTCCCTTCGAATTTTCATGTATCGTGTTGTCTCTCTGTTGACGACCAGGGGCCAGCGATGTGCCACTCGCCGAGGACCAGGTATTGCTTGGGAAAGTGTCTGTGAATTCAGACCAGACGAAAGGGCGCATATCATAATGGAGGGTCTTGGACGAAGCGATAAAAATGGTGAGGCTTATGGAACATGGAGAAAGAGGATGTGAGAGTGGTGTCTACTATCTACTTGGGAAAGGTTACCTAACATCAATTTAATCTGTGATTCTCACGGTGGTATATACTACGAATACTGGACGAAATCATGATGAAGACAAAACTATCAGATATCGATACAAGGACGACAATAATTTCTCGAGTTGCAAGGAGTTGCGCATACGCTCCATGAACTCGAAGTTGCGGGACTCCAAGGGTCGACGTAACTCGCGATGTCTTCACAACTGTCAAATCCGAGATCACTGAGCCAGATGCAAACCAGGAAACTACTTCTTTACTAGTAGTACTTGCATGAATGAGTTAGGTTAATTTCAGAAATTGCACATGATGTGAAATCAACATGAATTTTGGAGATTAATGTCAACCTGCTGCTACATAATATGATATTGAAATTTCCGAAGATACCTACTCGTTCGTACCATCAAGTGAACAATACTGCAACTTGAAGTGATCATATTTGAAGATTTTAAGAGAGATTGGTACCTGTGGTAATAGCAATCTTCTCTCATTATGTTAAATCAGGTTTGATTTCATCATCTAACGCCGGACGATACTGTAGTGAGATCATTGATTTACTTTGAAACAGGGAGGATTCCTGGTCCAAGAAAAGCGCTGTAGCATGCCGAGCTGGTCTGTCTTACTCGTCCTTCTTCGGCCAATGCAACAAACATCTATGTCTTCAGGGTTCTGATGGTTGCAGATAAGAGCCACGCTTCTATGATAACCAAGAGGCCAATCTCCAGGATTGCCACACTTCCATTGGTCGAAATGAGGCGGCGTTTTAGCTTCAGAGAACTCCTCACTGCTCTTTCTTCTCTTTTTCTTCTCTCAAATCTGCTGACTTTCGCTCTCAGTCCCATAGGATCCTTGCTGCAAGGTTCTGTCGTTTTCTCACAGGAACAGGATCACTAACCAAGGTCCCGGATCCAGGCCCCCGAGGTGCTTAGCGCCGCTTCCGGAGATAATAACTTGAAGGACTTGGTGACGTGATGGCGTGGCAGAATTGGCACACTAAAGCCTTGGAATGTTTTATCAGTTTGTCCATCGCTTGGACGCCTTTCATCTGCGGAGCAATATCCCCAACGGGTATCGTTTAACGGGCGTGTCATATTTGACCAGCCACGGGCAGGTGGCTGAGTTGTTAGACTCTTCCTGGAAGAATATGATATCCGAGTACCAGATTATGCATAGATACAATATGCGCTTGGGCCACTCACCTGCATTTCTGCTCTACCCTGATAGCATGGAAAATATGCAAGTGACTCGGAGTGTAAATAGAAACCGACCTTGGGCTAATACCCCTTGAGTCTTCCCAAGTCCCGAATTCGGACATCGGGAGTATTCTTCGGGAGATTAAGTGCCTTAGAGGTAAACGTGTCGTGCATATTCTTCCGTTCCTTCAACTTTGATAACAACTTCTCCCGACATCTGCGCTTGCCGAAACGTCCACTAAGCTTCTTGCTTCTTACACCATGCACCCACCAGGACCATGACACAGTTCGTGATTCGCTTGCCGCTTGAACATCTCCCATGACCTTTCTTCCTCTTCCTCTTTGGTTCTTCCGAACAGACCCGGTTATGCAATGCACGTCGCGTGATCTATGGTGTGGTGGTTCCCTCTCCCCACTCTGATCTGCTGGGGGTAATTGCGAGGCCTGGTGCAGGAAACAGCTCAGGCGATTCGAAGCCATGTCGATCAAGAACTAGTTGTCGTACCACCGGGTTTCATGGTAGTGTAGCGGAGAAAGCTTAGCGAGTTAGCGAGGTTCGCAGGATGAAGTTTTCCGAGCACCATGCAGATAGGTTTATCCCGATGTAGAAATGTGGACAAATAAAAGAACTTTTTTTCTCTTATTTACACGTCCTATATGGAGTAGATTATACTAGTCAAGTGGGACCCTCAATGAACTTTGCATGTTGAATCAGCTACCGACGTGGGGTCCAAGATTCTAGCTAATCGGCAACTCTATTGAACCGCAAGGTTCCTGCATGAAATGAAACAATTAGTCTTTGTTAGTTATGGTTAGTTATATTCTGTGTTCTTGTTTTTCGTACCTTTTTCCATTTTTTCGTTTATTTGGTTTTTTTTCTTTCAGTCTAAAATTCTTATCATGTGCCATTAGTCCAATATTACCCCTGGTCTAATTACAGTGGGAATGCTGGGGCGCCGAACCGTCGCAGCCATGTTTCACTTTAGTTCAAAGCCAATTGACTAAAATGCAGTAGGGAAGCTTCGGTGTCAGAGGATTTCGAGCTATGAGACTATGGGTAGCTTAGCGGGATGTACTACGGAGTAAGCGAGTGGGCACATAAGTTTGGCCCCTGCGTAACGACATCTATTTTTCCGAGGATTCCGCTGATTCCGATGGGAGTCCGATAGGGGAGAATGAAGGAGAATAAAAGAGAATTGAGGAGAATGAGAGGGGCGGGTTAGAGACCACGCATTGTACTTTTTACTCGGATTCGTACCTGAAAGCAGAGTGGATTCTGTATTGACTTGCATGTTCGCATGGTGGACTATTCTCGAAAAAAAAAAGACTCAAAACGCATTGATCGTAAAATGCACCGTGTGTAAAGAACACTCTGGCCCACAGCTCGAGAGTCACGTTGCGAGATCCACAGTGGAGCTTTAGGTGGACGCTACAAACGGAGAGTTCTTTGTCTTTGTCTTTTATTTGTCTCCGAGGTCTCAAGTTATTCCATAGGAACTCCGTGTCCGTATCCGTACGAGTTGCAAGATGCACATGTGCGTAGCTTTTTATCTTGATTGTATGGACCTTGTGAGTTATGCCTTGAAACTAACTCCATGATTTTAAAAGATTCTACTAGTATCCTTAGCCCACGACTCGAACTGCATCACTACGTATACTTGTATGACACCAATTAGTATACGTAGTTCTGGAGCAAATTCCCCTCAATTGATTTCGTATCCGTACACAGGACATGATATCCTGAAATCTTTCCAATTCAGGGATATAACATTTGAAGACCCATGGAAAAGATACGGCCGAATGTGTCAACCAAAGTTTTGAACGGGGTGAGCCGCCACGCGATATTCAGGGAAGAGAAAAATGTTCAAGTTGTGGATAGCACTTGAGTACACGCAAAAGCTCGGATAAAAAAAAAACCTCAAATTTTAGGAGTGCTTAAAAAGTCGTATGGTTTGCAGCTCATCCCGATCTGCAGGGCTAAGGATGTTTTTTTTTTCGGCCCATTTTGCCGGGCTACGAACGTGCATGGGGCCGTACATCAGGGGAGCTTTACTCTCCCTGTGCTCGGTAGCCAAGCGATCGGCTTGCGTCAGCCTTTGATCGTTTTCAACTTCGTTTACTCTGTATGACGACGTGCAGTATACTTGCGATGTACTTGGAGTATAGGCGGAATACTAGGTGCATTAGCCTATGAGAATGGGCGCGATACGAAATTGAAGGAGCAGGCCTAGTGTTGCAACTTGGTGCTTCTCTTACGCCCCCGAAATTAAAGTTGATATTTCGGATTGTTTCGATTTTTTCCACGCGATCAGAGCATCGATCGGATTCCCCGCTTTGATATTCGTATTCAGGTACTTCAGGTTTCAATTTTTCAAGTCGTGGCTTGAGTTCCCACTGCAGCTTCGACTATATCCATACTAGTTTCAACTTGGAAGGCTTGGAATTATGCACATGGAAATCACATTTCTTGTAATACTCACCGAGTTACAGATGTTCGAGTCTGCATAAATGTATATTACTAGTTGACGCCCCAGAAACTTTCTAATAGTCGAAGGTTGAAAATTCAATATAAACTTCAAGTTGAATACTGACGCATCTCACATGGGATGAACCAGCATAAACCAGTTGACTTCAAACTACTTGAAGAAACCCCTTAATATACCCGATTGATCTGAATTTACCTTGTCGTTCATAACATTTGATCCCATTTTTATTTTAATTCCTTTACCTATTTGATTCCTTTCCACCCCCACACGGAGCCGACCGGATGGATAAAATGAGAACTTGGACGCGTTGAAGGCCTGAGACTTGCAGCGATCGACAGAGGTTTCGGCCGTAGAGATGGTCGCTATGCCCTGTGATTCGGGATCGAAGGGCTAACGGTTCCGAGTTTTCTCCTCCGAAACTCGTTTAAAGTCAAGTCCCCAGTTTGTCTCCACGTTGCCTCGATTCAATGTCTCCCGATGTCCTGCGTAATGGACTCGGGCCCCCACTTACTATTGATTCCGGGTATGCACTGTAGATGTAACTAGCCTATTAGCTCGACGTTGAGAAAAATAAATATTTAATAAATTAAAAAAAAAAAAACCTGGACCAAAAATTAAAAATTCGTTTTCCCTTCCTATCTGATTTCCGGATGATTCTAGGGGGATTTTTTTATCGGTCATGCTTCTTCTTCAGTGCGGGTGTGGCACAGTACATGACCTCATTCTAGAATTCCCTGATTCCCAGTTTGGAAGAGATAGGCGGATGAGAAGTACCTAGGTATAGATATTCGAGTTGTTCAAGATCACAGTGAATGGGTACAAGTGCTAGTTACTAGTAACTTAGTAGTAGTCAAGTGCTAGAATAGGACCCCATACAAGATAGAATACTAAGCACTGGTAGATTGTAAAGGAACAACACTGATCTAGGAAAGTCCAGGCCTAAAGACGAAATTCCCGAAGTCATCGGAGAAATTCACCGGTCCATTAGGGAGATTCTCCGTAGAATGCCGCAGTCTAGAAGATAATCCTGATCCACTTCCTTCCATCCAAACGTAGATTTATGACTCCTCAAAGAACATAATGTATGCAAGGAAATTGATCAATGAACCATGTAGTACTTCGTTATAGTGCTCATTTCCCAGCTGTGACCTGGATTGTTTCATGGTGTTGGATGTGGAGATTTCAAGGAGCTTTCCTGGGTGGAGAGGTCCTACGGCTTCTGACCCATGGTAACCCTAACAGGAGGCTCGGAGTCCGTAGCGTCGGGTGAAACCTCTCTCCAGGACTGTAAGAAGCGCCGTTTAAAAAAGAATTTTGATGTAAATTATAGTCAATTATGAATATTTCATATCATTGAATGATTAAGGAAATTCAAGGTTATTAGGTACCTCCGTGCAGCACGATGTAGGTACCATGATCCTGGTAGGGGACTCGGAGTACTACAGGGGATAATCAACTGGACATTTAAGACATCTGGAGGCTCTAACGAGATACGTTGAGTGTTTCCGATCCATGTGATAATTTCTCCTTTTGTTTAATATTTTTATTATTTTATTTTATCTCTTTATTATTTTTTTTTGGTTATAATTGTAGCCCACTTTTTCTATGTTCCTTTCTCCGTCCTAACCGACCAATGCCCCATCATGGGTTTCAGGGATCATTGTTAATCACCCATAAGGCCTTTACATTATATTCCACATCAAGTCCACGTCCCATGGATCACCACCTTAGAAGTAGAAAGTAACCCGTATGGTTCTAATTATTATTTCCTTTATACATTATATGTGGATTAATATTTCATTTCCGTAAATTTTCTTGCTTTCTTGGCTGGTACAATTTCTCCACTGGGTCAGCAAGCCACTCATGCACCCTCTCGCATCACACCCATTCACAGTGGACTGTGGCGGGCAGCGCGCTGAGTGGCTGAAAGCTGCCTGGATCGATAATCCCGAGGGGACCAGAGGCGTTAGGCTGACCTATGGATCCAGCACGCCAGCCAACCCGACAGGATTTCCACATGGTGGCCAGCCTCAATTCGTGCCGGTGAGCAAGGGTCTGACATGTATTTCGATCCCCTCCGGCCCTAGCGTTTGGCTGGTGGTCAATGCAGTAATATCTGGGCTTTGGCCACTTGCCACAGCCAGATCGGCCACTACAAAAAAAGGCCCATGTCGGAAAATTTTCTCAATGGTCCCTTGTAGCCAAGGCTGTGAGCGCTTTCCTGTAAGTGTAGTGGATTCCCCCATTATGTACTCCCATACGGAGTTCTCGGTGCAATCGGCACGGAGATAGAAGTACTGAGCAAGGACCTCCATACGTATTCTACGGAGTAGTACATTTAGTACCTAGGTAGTGTCCCAGTCTAGGACGGAGTATACGTATCTGGTAAGCGTTCCATGTGGGTACTTGATACGGATCAGGATGTCCACTTTCAACCGCTTCTTTGCCTTATCCCAGGAGCTTGTCTGGGTCCTTTACAGCTTACAAGAAGAGAGATTCTAGTCCGTGGTCTTCATTCCCACAGGGCTTTTTCAGCTCGGGCAGAACCGTAATTCGCCACAAGACCCATCGGAAGGTCCTGGCCGTGGTCATTAATGGGGAATCGAAGGTGCTTTGTGTTCTGTGCACGGCACAAGTAGGGATGCCCACGCTTTCTGAATGATCCTGATTTGTTACCCCGTACTTTTCTCCTATTCTACTACAACCTCGGAACTTCTAGAGGTATCTTATTCTTGTTTCGTATGTTTCAAACCTGGTGGACGGTTGCACCTTATACCGAATCTGGTACAGAGATCTAGGGCTTTCAGATCGGGATTTTATTTTATTTTATTATGTATTATTTGCCCCTGCTTTTTTTCAAGTTTTATCATGGCTTGATATACGTATCATACATCATAGAAAATCCTTCACCTCCATGGGGATTGCTGATCTTTTCAAATTTTACTACCACAGGCGTGTGCACCTTCTACGCGTAGTTCTGTTCGGTGCCACTACTTCGCCCTCTACTATGCCCCCCTCCTTGAGGCCCACTTTCTCTCTCTTAAACCCGGATCAAGGTTTAGATCATTGAAATCATTGGATGTACTGTATTCCCTGCTTTTTCCTGGTATTTTCCTTATTTCTTGTTATTTTATTTTATAATATTTTTTATTTTACTTTTCGCTCTTTCGGACCATTTAGACCGTTGCGAGATCGTCATTTTCCAGAACGACCAAGCGTCATTTATATTCCTTTAAAAAAAAAACAATTCTTTTCTTTTAATTATTTTTCTCTAATGCTTGTAAGTTTAAAGAGAATAGTATTCGTCTTCTAATACTCAAGTACTACTCCTTACAACTACAATTGTGATCCTTCTTGGTGGACCCTTTCAAGGATTGTCTGGTTTAATATCTGGGACTGGTAGTTATTTCCACTTCCTCGGACGTATCCTATTTGGCTTGGTCCCAGTAATTACGCTTGGTCACCACTGGCATTCTCTCTCTCTCTTTTTCTTCTTGATTTGGCTCTTGATTTGGGTCTGAATTTTTTTTATTTTTTTATTTTATTTTATTACCTTTTTCACCTTTTTTGACCTTGCTTCGTCATTGTTTAGGAGATCTCCGGCTGATCCCTGGTCAACCCTCTCCTCCCCCTCCACCGGCCTTTGCACAGGCACCACTCCATTGTGGATATCTGGATCTCCTCGTGTCTGTTTTACTGCCGAGATACGTAAGGATCATCACCATACGAATCGTGCGAGTGATCTAAGATCTGAAGAGGACGCTTTGTTAGCCGTTGTCCCGCTCTTGACGTTTCTTCTACTATCTCTTTGGCGAAAGAACCATCTTCCTTGGACGCTTCTTCACCATTTTTATACAGAAAAGGGGTTCATAGAACTTTGATTTAAGTTGACCCTTTCTTCCGTTTTAATTGATTAAGGCAATTAAAAGAAGCCCCGACTTTATTGCGCAAGCGCCCCGGTACTTCGATCCCGACCCACCCACGTCTCACCTTGGGGAAGGGCGTCTTGGTTCATTTGACCCTTATTTTTTTCTTCTTGACTTTATTTGTTTCGTGTCAGCTCAGGGTGTAAGCCTGACGCGTTCTGAGGCTCCCAAACTGACTCCGTGGATCGTGGATTTGATCTTACTATCGTGAGACTATTCCGGTCACAAGGAAGCCCCAAGTTACAACTTCTACCATGTCAGTCGGCGGCCCTTGTCTCTGGGTGTCTTCTTTATCCTCGCCCATTCCATCATCTCTATCTGCAGTGACTTCTCACTTCTCTGCGGCTTGTCACGGAGACCGGTTTTCATCACCAAGAACCATTTCACCGTTGCGAAACTTGCAGAAGGAACGAGAGTCTAGTTCCTCCAACTCACTTTCTAATCCCACGCAGCTGGCCAGCATGAACGCTGAGAATGCTTTCAATACTGCCTCGAATCCAGTAAGCATGTCTGGATCTGGATCGTATTCTGAGGGGAAAATCCTGTCGCGCGATACGGAGAGCCAAAGACCTTCAACTACCAAGGAAGATCTGCTCTCACGAGTGAAGCTAGATATTCCCGGTGCCAACTCAAGCTACTCCATGTTCCAGCCTCGGAATGAGTCTGAAGACCTAGAGAAAGACATGGATCTTGACGTCAAGGAGGACCCCGACAGAGAGTTCACCATCAGTCCTTCCGACGAGAAAGGCGACACAGCTGGTAGCGACGGGGACAACAAGTCATCGATAGACAGGAAGAAGATGAAGCGATTCAGGTAGGATACGGACCGGTGGTCATCGGACGAATCTGCCAGGTGTTAACGACTACTCGACAGGTTAACTCACAATCAAACTCGGTTCTTGATGAGCGAGTTCACTCGCCAGGCACACCCAGACGCTGCTAACCGTGAGCGCTTGTCAAGAGAAATCCCTGGCTTGACACCACGTCAGGTTCAAGTGTGGTTTCAGAACAGGTAGGTTATGACTCTTCTCCGACCCAAAGCACCAGCTGGATCTTTAATCTGACAATATTCATTCTTGTAGACGAGCGAAGCTCAAGCGCCTCACTACAAATGACCGTGAGAGAGTGCTCAAGTCGCGAGCATTGCCCGATGACTTCGACACAACCAAGGTGCTTCGTACGCCGTTCGAGAGCAAATCAACAGGGCAGACTCCAGTTGCATCGCCGCAAGACTACAGTGCTCCAAACCAAGACTTTGCGGCATTGAGGGGACTACGCACCGACTGCTACCAGCGTCCCAGCGAGGATGATTACCTTGTCTCACCCCTTAGTTCTGCGTCAACAGCAGGAACCTACATGTCCTCTGCTGGACAGGGACGGAACGACAGTCTGGCTCAGTCCAGTATGATGTTTAATCGACCTGCAGCATCGGCTTCGATGCATGACCTACACAGAACGATTCGAAGCGATTATTCTATCACTAGATCCAGTAGTCTGTCGGATGCCTCTTCTCAGCATTCCTCCTTCCACAGTGGCTACCCTCTTCATGGCCGTTTTGCAGCTGCTTCAAACCCACCCCATATGCCCTATGGACGACAAGCGATGGACTATGGAGTTGCTCGTCAAGCCGGAATGGTGACACCATTTGACCAACATCAATCTTTCGAAGGATCAGTATCTCCAACAGACTCGCAAGGACCTCAAATGACATACGACATGAGTAATCTAGGTTTGTCTAGCCCTTATTCAATTCTGACAGCAAACACCTCCATAGAAACAAGTCTAACACGGAATCCTCAACAATAGGCACACAAGCACAAGGCTACTCATCCCACCTCTCCATGGCAGGACCCAAGGACTACTCTGGAATGGGAATGGCTTCCCAATTATCAGCACACAACAGGCCTATGCCAACACTCCATTCTCTCCCCGTTTCCACCTCACAAGAATACCGTCCTTACTCCTATGGAGCCCCCTCAGTGGGTACAATCCCTTATACGCAGGCCAACAACTCAACACTGAGCATTCCCACATCATTTGCATCAACCGATCCAACTGCTACTGCTGTTACAAATGATCAACTCCAGCAGCCAACAACTCAATCTCTCGAATCTCTGCGAAGCAAGTTCGCTAATCCATCATTCAACTATGCAAGCTATATCCAGCAATGATATGATACGGGCAGGACCACCAAAAAAGGAAACGTGTTTCCACTTCCACCTTGTTTCGCTGCTTTCTACACCGAGTCAGCTTTTGGGCTGGTACCCTCGCTTTTTTATTATTACTTGGCTTCTGTGGTAGCCATTGCCCATTTGACCTACATCAGCGTGTTTTAATCTTAATGCTTGTACAGCTTTCTTCCTTTTTCTTTTCCTTCTTTTCCCTTCAAAATCTTTTCTTTTCTCCTGGTTTGATACTTGTCTTCTGTTTTCAGGCTGTTTATACTTCTCCCCTTTTCTTTCACCTGTACATGTTAACTATCTGCTTTTACATTTTTGGTTTGGGAGTGAAAGTCTTGTGCTTGGGGCGTGCGTCTTCTGAGGTTCGATTTTTCTTTCTGGTGGCCCTTGCATTGTCTCTGGCCTTTTGGTATTCTAGCGTTTATCATACATATCCATGGATCTCTGGAATGAGAAGAAGTTAGGCTAATTTAACCATCTCCATTTGGGTACATACTGTATCATTGTCAATCGTATTTTTGTACTGCCTGAAACTTTAGGATTAAAGACACATGTGCTAGACGGCCTATATCCTGTCCCTGTGTAATTCAATAGAAGCACCGTCCACGGGTCAGTCGCAAGTTCAAGTTGAAACTTGGAACCAATCCATGATTGTGATAATGCATGCATAGGTATACTACAGTATCATGAATCATGGTCCACCACCAGTTGGACACTATCGTTCCAATGTTTAACTGAAGTTAGTGAAAATGTCAACTCAGACTTTCAAGTTTGATGCTAGCACTTGAGAACTTCATATACCCCTGGATAGATGCATCCCATGCCACTTGTGGTGCATGTATAGTATAACTAACCTAGGAGTCTAGGCCTGAGGCTGACAATGGATAGGTAAGGGTGGATCCATGCCCAGGTGACTAAGTTTGTGAATGACCCAACATTCCCAAGCCTTGGAGGTTGTTCCTGAATCTTCCAAACCTCGATGTAAGCATTTCTTGCTGATCTTCCTAGAATGACATGCAGAAAACAGTCGTCTAGATCACAACCTCGAATCAGAGAGCTCGTAAAGGTCATCAAAGGTCATCAATAGTAGAATGAAGTTGATCTGGCCAGTCAAGTAACGAGGAATTCATAGCGAATGGGAGTGGACCAATCAGCGACTTCGAATACCCTCGTCATAAAGCACGTGACTTTGCCACTCCAGCCAATCAGCGTTTTGATGATAATAATCAGGCCACTGGGTGGCACTTGCCTCTGGTGAACAGTGACGCATCCAGATGAGTATAAATATTCAAGATGCTGCTGTCATCTTAAATTCTTTCCATTTTATTCCATCATCTACCTGCAATTGACAAGCTTCTCGCAACCTTCACAACCACAATCAAATTCCTGTTTTCGCAACAGTTTCAATCTACATCTCAACTATCAACTTCAAGAATACTATCCATTCTCCACCTTCCAAAATGGTTCACCCCGCTTCTACCTGCTGCAAGACCTCCGGTGCTGGAGAGTGTGTTTGTGCCGCTCAGGCTAAGTGCTCCTGCGGCAAGGAAAGCGCCCTCAACTGCTCTTGCAACAAGGCCTCCGCTGAGAACACCACTGCTGGTCCCCGTTGCTCATGCCGTATGTTTCATACTATCTCTCATTGTTCAGTGGGGCAAAGTAGCTAACATGCTTTATAGGTGCTCGTCCCGCTGGTCAGTGCACCTGCGAGCGCTCTGTGAGCGAGAACAAGCCTGTTGCTGGTGATACTTGCGCCTGTGGCAGCCGCCCTTCTGGTGAGTAACCAGTCTCTCCGAATCTCAAATTTCAAACTGTATGGATCTAGTTCTAACATTTTTATAGCTTCTTGCACTTGTGAGAAGTCTGAGGGTGTTGAGTCTGCCCTTGAGGTCGACTTCACCACTCGCGCCTAAACGTTCTACACTTGAATGTTGTTGCTTGCTCTCGGAGAGCATTTGATTCCCCGGCTATGAATTGCATTGTTATGGGCTTGGAGTAAGGATGGCGTCTAAATCAAGCTTATCGGGTTGCTTTTTTGTTTTGCATCATGGATTGATCCACTACCTTAAGAATGGCTGAGTTATTGACTAGTCATGAGAAATGAATAAATCAAAATAATATCTTCTTCATCCTTGTCTTTTTAAACATATGTCCATAGTATTTCAAGCTATACGTACTCCATCTACTCCGTACTCCGTATAGCATTGATAGAGTAAGATCTACTATGCAGGTCTGGAGTATAAAGCACTTGCACCGCCACATCCGCATCAACGTTATTCCTGTGCCACTGTGCCACAGCGGAAGGGAGTGATCGACAGCGGAAAGTGGCCCAAGGGAAAGAGGGAGGTTCGTGTGATGAGAAGATCCAGCCGGAACTACTAGTTTACTCCTATTTCTTTCCTTAGGAAGATCCTCATCAATCTCTTGAGTGCTTGATTGAGAAAGGTAATTCCCATACCCTTTCTAAATGCCATACTCTACTCTAACCGTCTCGATTCTAGGGATCCGTCGCGACCGGGCTAACCCCCTGTTTCTAAGCTACTAAGCTTCGCCCCATCCAGAATCCCCGTGGACTCGATTCCGGCCAATGCACATTCGACGTTGCCACACAATAGGGACATGGTTGTGTGACGCTGTCAGTCCGATCACAAACCCCTGAGGTGAACATCCCCGCGTGGCATGCGATATATCCCCGACTCCACCCCACTCCTCATTCCCGAAGTCTAGTGTTTACCGAGTCCAAAGGGACATTGTAGGCTTCGGCCCACGAAAAGAAAGACAGAAGGTCCAAAGAAGGAGGGAAACCATACAACAATAACCACAACGAAGAGCGAGAACAAGAGGCCAAACCGCAATCATGTCATCCATGAAAGGACTGGTCCAGTTCATCGCGGACCTGCGTAATGCGCGGGCACGAGAATTGGAGGAGAAGCGCGTGAATAAGGAGTTGGCCAATATTCGACAGAAGTTCAAGTCTGGTAACCTGAATGGCTACCAGAAGAAGAAATACGTTTGCAAGCTGCTTTATGTCTACATCCAGGGTTACGATGTCGACTTCGGCCACTTGGAAGCCGTCAATCTCATTTCCTCCACTAAGTACTCCGAGAAGCAGATCGGATATCTCGCCGTCACCCTTTTCTTACATGAAGAGCATGAACTGCTTCATCTGGTCGTCAACAGTATTCGGAAAGACTTGATGGATAACAGTGAGCTGAATATTTGTTTGGCATTGCATGCGGTCGCCAACGTCGGTGGTCGGGAGCTTGGAGAGGCTCTGGGAGCTGAAGTCCACCGACTTTTGATCTCACCGTGAGTTTGAAATCTACCGAGTCATTTATTTGCTTCGCCAAGGCAATTTTCTTACAGTTTCCAGGACTTCGAAGGCATTTGTTAAGAAGAAGGCCGCCCTCACGTTGCTTCGCCTGTACCGTAAATACCCCGGCATTGTTCGAAATGAATGGGCCGAAAGAATTATTTCGATCATGGATGATCCCGACATGGGTGTCACGCTATCTGTCACATCCCTAGTCATGGCACTGGCTCAGGATATGCCCGAGGAGTACAAAGGAAGTTACGTGAAGGCTGCACAGCGCTTGAAGCGGATTGTGGTCGACAACGATATTGCGCCAGACTACCTTTACTACCGTGTTCCATGTCCATGGATTCAAGTTAAGATGCTGCGTTTGTTGCAGTATTATCCCCCATCAGGTACGTGGAATCTTCCTCCAGAAACCAGCATCTTTTCAATCTTCAATTACTTACCCCCATTGCAGAGGATAGCCATGTTCGCGAGATCATCCGCGAGTCACTTAGACAGATCATGCAAGCTGCCATGGAGACCCCCAAGAACGTACAGCAGAACAATGCGCAAAATGCAATCCTCTTCGAAGCCATTAACCTCCTTATTCATCTCGACTCTGAACATACCCTGATGATGCAGATCTCCGCTCGCCTCGGCAAATACATACAATCTCGTGAAACCAACGTCCGATACCTCGGCCTGGATGCCATGACACATTTCGCTGCACGAGCGGAAACCCTTGATCCGATCAAGAAACACCAAAACATAATTCTGGGTTCTCTTCGAGACCGTGATATTAGTGTCCGCCGCAAGGGACTGGATCTGCTGTACAGCATGTGTGATACCACTAATGCAGGTCCTATCGTGAATGAGCTTCTGCGTTATCTTCAGACCGCTGATTACGCCATTCGAGAGGAGATGGTTTTGAAGGTTGCGATTCTTACCGAGAAATATGCGACGGATGCTCAATGGTACATTGACATGACTCTGAAGCTTTTGTCACTTGCAGGCGATCACGTCAATGAAGAAGTCTGGCAACGAGTCATTCAGATTGTGACCAACAACGAAGAACTACAGGCTTATGCGTCCCACACTCTCCTCGGATATCTCAAGACCGACTGTCACGAGAGCCTCGTCAAGATTGGCTGTTACGTCCTTGGCGAGTTCGGTCATCTCATCGCTGAAAATCCTGGATCAAGTCCCATTGAGCAATTCTTGGCCTTGCAGGCGAAGATGTTCAGTGGCTCTGACAATGCAAGGGCCATGATTCTCTCGTCATTTGTCAAATTTGTCAACCTGTTCCCCGAAATTAAGCCACAGCTGCTCCAGATCTTCCGTCTATACAGCCACTCTCCTGATTCTGAATTGCAACAGCGAGCCTTTGAGTATCTGTCCCTCGCGACACTTCCAACGGACGATCTGCTGCGAACTGTCTGCGATGAAATGCCGCCATTCTCGGAGCGCACTTCCATCTTGCTGTCCCGTCTCCACCAGAAGACAGCTGGGACCAGCGAGCGGAAGACATGGGTGGTTGGCGGCAAAGATGCTAATGCAGACAAGAAGGAAGTGCTCATGGCACAAACCACTGGTCTCAAGCGTTCCTTCACTACTATTGTCAATGGTACTCGGACTGGATCCAATGGCAATACCCCAACAAGCGCAACGAGTGCATCTGGCGATCTTGCAGGTCTTGATCTCAGCGGACCGCCGGCTCCTGCTCCAAACATGGCTAGTGCGGCCCATCTGACACCAGACTGGGATGTTGGATACAACAGATTGTACTTCTCTGAAGAGGGCGTATTATTCCAAGACGCTCAGATTCAGGTTGGGTTACGGTCGGAATACCGTGGCCATATGGGTGTCGTCAAACTCTACATCTCCAACAAATCCTCATATTCTATCGGATCATTGACTACGACTATTGATAATCCCGCCAACCCCAACCTCAAAATCGACAGCAAAAACCTTCCCGATTCTAGCGTTGCTGCCGCCGGACAGACCCAGCAGACATTCTTTTGCGCATCCCATGGGCCTTTCTCCGATGCCCCAACCATTCGTATTTCTTACCTGGCTGGTGCGCTGCAAGCATACACCCTCCAGCTACCTATTCTGATGCACCGGTACATGGAACCGTCGTCTCTTTCCGCAGAAGACTTCTTCAAGCGCTGGAGGCAGATCAATGGCGGACCTCTGGAGTCTCAGAAGACGTTCGGGTTGAGTGGAAAGAACAAGACTATCACAGAGGCATATACTCGAGAGACTGTGGAAGGCTTTGGATGGAAGATCCTGGATGGCGTGGACCCGAACCCCAAGAATATCGTGGGCTGCGCCGTGTACCAGTTTGAAGTAGGCAAGACAGGATGTCTGTTGCGCCTGGAGCCCAACTACGAGAAGTCGGTATGTTAATAACCTCACGCGTTTTCTGTTATCTACTTTGAACACTGCTAATTTTCTCACAGATGTACCGAGTGACAATTCGTGCCACTCAAGAGGGTGTTCCACAGGCACTTTCTCGACAGATGGAGCAGAAATTGGGACAAGGGCTCAAAAATGATGGCTCGTCTTATTAGTACCTAGTTCCGATTGCATTTTCAGGACCAGCGAAGAGGCAATGCATGTATATTTCTAACCAACTTCCGAGTCAAATATCAGCGAGCGTTCCTTACGACTGGGTCCTCGTCTTGTATAATTTCTTGTATAATTTTTGAGTGCAGTAATCCATATTGACATGATATATAATACCTTCGTCTTTATTTTCAACCATTGAACTTCCACTTTTCCTCGCCTTTATACAACTCGAGCCTCCGACTTTGGCGGCCGATCCCCGAAGATCGTCGTACCAACACGAACCTGATCCGATCCCATAACAATAGCCCCCTCAAAATCAGAGCTCATTCCCATACTCAATTCCAACTCCGCATCATCTCCAACCAACCCCAACTCCGCCACAATCCGATCCCTCGTCTCCCGCAAACAAACAAAATCCTCATTCTCATTCTCCGGCGTCGTAGCCTTGGAGCGTGCAATAGCTCCAATAGTCATAACACCCTGCAACTTCAACCGAACACACTTCTCCCTAATAAACCGACAAAGACCCGGTGCCGCAGAGGGCTCAATACCAGCCTTATTCTCCTCGCCAGATGTATTAACCTGAACATAAACACGAAGTCGTGAGTCCGACTCCGTAGCATCAATACCCATATCCTCGGCCTTTCTCTCACCCCAACCCTTATCCAATAATGAGGCCTTCTTCTCCGTATCAACACTCTCAACAGCCCATAATCCGCGCACGTCTCGCGCAAGCGTAACGCATTTATTCGATTGGAGTCCACCGATAAAGTGCCATTTCACACTCAATGGAAGAAGACGAGACTTCTCGAGTAGTTCTTGAAGGTAGTTCTCGCCAAAGTGGAGCTGTGAGGCTGGGGGTTGGTGTAGAGCTAGGATGTCGGATGCGGGCTTGAGCTTGGAAACTGCTACTAGGCGTACGGGCTTGGTGCGGGATTGAGCTTGTGTCGCGGCGGTTGTGACGCGCGCGGAGACGGCTGTTAAATTTGCGAGGAGAGTAGAGGCTCGCGCGGGGGTTGTGGCCATGTTGGGTGGAATTTCGGGGGTTGTCATTGCAGGTTCAGATGTTTTTTGAAATCCTTTAAGGATGGTTGTATGGGATTTCTTGTTGTATGGGGTGTTTTGTGTAGATTTTCAAGAGTAGTTGGCGTAATAGCTTGTTGATTGGGTCAAGCACTTAAAGAAGTATCCCACCGAGTCAATTGAGCAAGGGAAAGTGCAGATAGGATGATGATGATATTGATTGTGGCCTGAGGCTCACTCCGCGGGAAAGTGACAGGTCACATGAGGTGCAGTATAGTTACACCGCCTACTTAATTTAATCTGACAGGTTTGCGTACGTTGCACTCTTTGCATCTTTTGCATCTCCGTTTGCAGCCAAAAGACATAATGTTCCACATGACTCGGATGTCCTTCGGGATCTTAATTCCCATGCGACGTTAGGAATGTTGCCTGTTCTAACTTAAGGAAAACCTGCCCAGGGCGCCAAATGAGACTTGGGCTACTTTGACCCTGCATTAGGCGGCAAGTCCAGAGCCAATCAAGGAGCTTGAGTGGGTGAGAACCGCTTGAAGAACCGCCCGGGTCTGCGCGGATCCCTGATGATCTAGCTTATGTCGATCAAATGGATCGGATTGTTCACCGTTGAGTTTCAAACCAGATCCATTGCTCTCTTGAAGCTTTATTCTCACCGGTAGAACCCTATCTCTAACCTTCAGAGCCGCCTATCAGAAATAGCATCCTTAGCATCATTAGCTACTTCCAGGAGAGGTTGACATTTCCCCTTAGTATCCTAAAATGTGAAATCTGATCTGTCAATGGCTTTTAGCCAAGACCAATATTTTCTCTCTATTACCTCATTTTGGCTGAATTTTTATTCCTTTTGTAGACTAGATCCAACTCATAACTCCAGTGAATGGTCAACTAGTCCCAACCAATACCACCCAGCTTAACGAACGAAGATGTAACCCGAAGCGCCGAACAGGGCAATTCACCATTAAATCCAGCCTCGGTTGGTCCTTTTGGCTTGTATGAGCCGCCCAATCCCGTTTAGTTCCTAGTCTCTTTGACGTCAAACCTCGCAGGATCCATGGTTCCTGGGCGTGCTACCATTCACGCATGATCCCCGTTCATACTAGTTAATAGTCTACTAATCTAGATCTAGAACATAAAATCTGCAGACCTTCTCACCGTTACTCTTTTTCTATCTTTGTACCTACTCTACACCTACATCAGCTGGTCTGAAACAAATATTGTCTCGTATCTGCATTCATTTTGATCTTCAGACGATCCTATCTCAGCTTTTATTCCATACACGTCAACGTCAGCATCGTGAGACCTTCCACACAAATCTTCGGAACACATCACCGTTGATCTTTCACTTCAAATTTCGTTTTCCAACAAATCAGATTCATTTCTCCTACGACAATCTTCAGGCTTTGAAGCTCAAAGACTCCTTTACCGGATCTGATCGGCTGTCTATTCCAAATCTTACTCCACTTCCCCTGTTCCATTCAATTCGATAGGGGTTCAACCTCGCCAACATATCACACAAATTTAAACACCAGTCCTCAAGATGTGCCGTCAATACTACACTCTATATGAGTGGTGCCATTGTGAAGAGGACGGCGGCCAAAGTGTTTGCTCTGGGCACCGTCGCAACAGTTGCCCGGGCGTCAGCGTTGAAACAGTCCACATGCACTGTTTTTGCCACACTCACGCCACGCGTGGATTCAAAACTGAGAAACAGACACGAAAGGAAGCAGACAAGAATCGTCGTCGATCTCAGGAGTCCCTAGATGAGAAGTCTTCTCTGGGTCGTCGCTGGTATCAATGGTATCAATGGTATCAGTGGCGTGGTCTTTGGTCTCGCTAGATGAGACATACTATTTGGAACATTTTGTCTTTCATTTTACCTTCTTTTTTTTTCTTGTCATTCTCTTTCTTTTCATGTCTCTGATATCTTCTTTCTTGTTTATGTTTTTTACAGCCTCGGTGTCTTGGGTGTTTTTATGGGCAAAATGGAGTCCCCCGTCAGTAGTACAGAGCTAAGTGATTTCATTTTCTTTTCTTTCAGGCATATACACTTGTGAAGATATGCCAGATGAATAAAACATTTAAATTCAAAGATACTTGACTTTAAGTTATTCGTATTTACTACTAGTAGCAATTGATAGACATAAAGATACCTCCAGGGCCATATAGGGATCTAGGTAGGGACCTAGGTAGGTACTAGCTCTACTAGTGGGACTTCAACTTGACCCGCATAGAATCCATACATTGATAGTACTACAACTAGGCATGGAACTGACAAGTCTGGCACAATTTTATTTTCAAGACTTTTCTTTGTTTTACATTTGATTGAATTATTGATAAAGAATGTGATTTTCATTATATCCAAGTGAAACATAGACATAAGTGAAGGACAATATACAAGAATGTAGGGGATCGACGAGCTAACTAATCCCTTGCCCCATAGAACTAGAGGGGAGATGATCGATCCCGTCTTTTGTCACTTCATACTCCCCTGATTATTGTCAACACAAATAAACAAAGAGAGAAAAGATATCTAAAAATTCTACATTGTGTTTTTGTTGTCTCATGCGTTTTATATCTATGATCCAGAATCATGGACCCCTCCAGAACATTTCAGGATGATCCGCCTTTGCCTTTGCGCCTTATTGATCCCAACTCAAACAAGCATGTGATGGAACAAACTTGCGATTTAACTGATTCTTTGGATCGTTTATCACTAGGAAATGATTCTGCGACTGCGACACCGTTGCCTCCATCTCCATCTCTCTTATCTCCAAACAACGTCGCGTCACGTCCTGTGCCTGTGAAGCAACCTACCCCAAGACGTACCCCCAGCTCCAGCTCTTTGCGCGACGAACGTCGCAAATCAACCCCTGTACTTCAAAAACGCCAGTCGACTGCTTCACTTCGTTCGGCCACTGGTAACACTGGTTCCTCTTCCCCACTCGACTCATCGCGTCGTTCCTCTGCCAATTTCGCGGGGTCCCCGACCTCCACCGCGTCTCCCGCAATGTTGCCACCCCGGCTCGCGTTTGCCCCTCCGGAGCCCCAGGGCCCCACGGCAGCTTCGATCGCAGCAGAACACTTTCAGAAAGAGGTCAACCTCCATCAATCAGTTGATCTAGGTTCCAAAACTGTGGTTGTTGTTCATGATGCTTGTTATGGTCATCGCTTCTCGCGCCCTCGTACTACCAAGGCACAGCTTAGTACTATTGTGGAGAGACCGGAGCGCATTCGCGCCTGTGTAGTTGGAGTTGCTGCCGCTTATGTTTTGCTTGGTCGTCGATATGCAGGAGAACCATTTGCGCCTCATCCTCACCTCGATCTACACAATTTACCCCCACCACCATTCCAGATTCGCAAGTCCTCCCGTTCTCTGCCACTCACTGATGAAGCTGTGACCAGCGTCCATGGCACAAAATGGATGACTGAACTCAAGGGAATGTGTGACCTTGCAGAGTCACGTCTTGCTCTGACTGGTAAAGAACTGGTCCGGAACCGTACTCAGGATAATGATGGTCTAGCTTCCAGTGGACCAGAACTCCACTCGGGCGATCTCTACCTGTGCTCGGAATCGCAGAATGCCTTCCAGGGTGCTCTGGGTGCTGTCTGCGATGGAATTGATCTTGTGTTTGGGCAAGGGCCAACTACTCGTGCGTTTGTTTGCATTCGCCCTCCTGGACACCATTGCTCTGCGGATTTTCCATCTGGATTTTGCTGGATCAACAACGTCCATGTCGGGATTTCGTACGCAGCTGCCCAGTATGGCTTGACCCATGCTGCCATCCTCGATTTCGATTTACACCATGGTGATGGCTCGCAGGACATTGCATGGGACCACAACCAAAAGGCATGGACTGCTTCGCGTAAATCCTCGGCCTATGAGAAGACTCCGATCGGATACTACAGTCTCCACGATATCAATTCCTACCCCTGTGAGGATGGTAACCCAGAGAAAGTCCGTAATGCTAGTGTCTGTATGGATGGTGCACATGGACAGTCTATCTGGAACGTCCATCTTGACACCTGGGAAACTGAAAATGACTTCTGGAAAATCTATCGAAACAAATACATGATTTTGATCAGCAAAGCTCGCGCCTTTCTTAAGAAGCAAACTAAGCAACTCGCTCAAAACCCAAATGGCCCGCCTCCAAAGGCGGCTATCTTCATCTCTGCCGGCTTCGATGCCAGTGAATGGGAAGGTACCGGTATGCAGCGACACAGGGTCAATGTGCCAACCGAGTTTTATGCCAGATTTACCGAGGATGTTGTGCGAATTTCCCAAGAGGAAGGCCTTGGTGTCGATGGACGTGTTATTAGTGTGCTCGAGGGCGGCTATAGTGACCGTGCTCTAACCAGTGGTGTCATAAGTCACTTGGCTGGATTGGGAACTACATCCGCGAACGCCCAACCACGACGACCGAGTATTCCCGGCATCTCGCCCAAGGATACCTTGAAGCCACTGCTCTGCCAGCCGGAGTATGATGTTGCATGGTGGTCTCCGCATCATCTCGATGAGCTAGAGGCACTGGTCACTGCGCCGACCAAACGTGATAAGTCTGCGCCAACCTTCTTGAATTCTACTCGTTCATTCTCAGCCAAAGTCGTCACTCCTACCCGTGATCGTCGGAGTATTGGATCATATCCCGGTCTTGATCCTAGTCTCCCACCTCTGCCCGACGTGGGCTGGGCTACGGCTGCCCATGAACTGTCTAAGATTCTTATCCCGGACTCACGACAGACCATGAGTTGCAGGCCCGAGGATCTCAATGCTGCAGCCTCTCGTCAAAGATTGGAACGGCAGGTAGCGCTTGACGGAGGCGTGATGAATCCAGCAATCATTCCTCCTCCGCCCCCAGCTCCCGTCGACGACAAGCGACAGCTTCGTGTGCGGAAGGCCAAATCTCCAACCCCTTACTCACCTCGACCTGCGACTCCTCGACAGCAGGCAATGCGCAAAAATCGGCGCAAAACTATTGATGGGAATGAACTTCCAGATGGTTCAAGCGAGTCCTCCCCCTCTGTGGATGCAGGTCGACGAAAGAGTGCAACGGGAGTATCCCCTGTTGCTATTGACCTCAATGCTTCGAATGAGGAACAGAAAACTTCTCGGAGAACCGCTTCAGCGGGATCGCAACCCACACAATCCAGCAGTGCAAAGAAGGCCAGTACATCACGTCCAGCAACTCCGAAACGATCTGCTAGCCCGCGCAAGCCCCCGCCTGTTCCGAAGGTCCCTTCTCCATTTCTGTCAAGAACGAAATCTTCTGATGGAGTAATTCAGCCTCAAGACGACGTAGAGAATCTATCATCTGGCCTTCGCAAGATTAAACTGAGAATGCCCTCGCCAGAGGAGCAGGCTGCCCGAGAGAAGAAGGCTGCTGAGGAGCGAAAGCAGACCCTGAAAGTGACCAAGGCTCCCAAATCTCCAAAGTCTGCCAAGAAGACAACTGGCGTTAGATCTGCGCGCGGGAAAGCAGCAGCCCGATCTGGAACAACACCTGCTGGCTCTCCACCTGTCCCTACTGCCGAGTGGAAACTAGGTGGTGACGGCGCACCAAGCCACATGCTGAACAACCAGGGCAATTTCGGGTTTGGCTTTGGTATCTCCTCTGATGCCATGCTCTCTAACACAGCCTCTGGATCAGGATCTATTGACCCGATGGACACTGCTTTTAAGCCTTCCGAATCGACTACTCCGGTGATTTCTCCCTCTATCGGCACAATGCCAGTCTTTTTCGCAGGCAACTCTCCTCCTCACACCCCCGATCATTACAATCAAAACATGAATGTACATCGTACTCAGTCCAATGTTTTCTCTCCCCCTACTTCCGAGACTCAAACTAAGACAGGACTGCCTGTCTTCACTTCCAACGCTGCCATTCCTTTTGCCACGGGCGTTCAGACAGAGAACAAGCCCTTGAATCCTACTACTAACCCCCAGGATCACCCTTAAAATGGTTGGTTCTATTACCTGCCAGTCTACTGAGAAATTGCAGTTTCCTCTTGTGTTATTTGTGCTTGGGATATCTCTGGCGTTGAGGAACTATGGTGCCATGGTCATGGTTTTCTGTTGTCGGATTGTATGTTTTCCTCATATACCCCTTATGTTGAGTGTTCTTCTTGTATTTGCCCCATTGTATGCTAGTCCCTGGCCCTTCTTCCCTTCCCCTTTGTTTTCTTTAATCCCCCCCCCCTGGAGTGTGATGTCGACTCCAATTGCTGTCTTTTTAATCTCCATTTCTTAAATCAAGTCCTGTATGGGGAATCCTAATCAAATAACGATTCATATTCAATTATGATAATTCGTAAGTAGTAAAAATAGATGTCACTGAACTTAAATCATCATAGTTCTCACTGTGGCTTATGTTTATCCTTGTCTACGCGCCGGGGCTTTAAGGTGAAACAGTGATCCTTGTGGGGCTACTGCGACGACCGGGGATCGCCTGGAGATTGGACAGCTAAACGCTGGCGCTATATCCCCCATCGAATCCACTATGAACACAAAGCACAAATACTTGGAAGATTCTATGCTTAATGGGACTAAATCCTTTCGCTTGGATATTACTATATGATTTTGATCTCATAGCCCCCGGGGCCGCTTCCTGGCGGTTCCCTGGCTCGAAGAGTCCACATATAGCCATGCCATCCTTCAAGTTATCCATACGTGTATTGGGCTATTCTTGCCGGCAGTTATAATGTTTATTCCAATATTAAATGCTCATCCTCTTTTTGGAGATAATAATGTCTCTTGAAGTTGTGTTTATCAATTAATTCCTGCCTTTTTAACTCTCTCAATCGAGAGAGTTCCTTTTTGCTGCCATCGGTGTGCAGCATGGACTTTGGAGAAAAGAAAGTAGGGATTACTACTGTCTCTCCAGTTTCGTCGATTGGGAAAGGTTCCTCGGCTTCTTCGATTCACTCAGTCTCTACAATATCACCCAAAGACTATACATCTATAGCAGTATCACCTCCTGGCTGGCGACCGGCGTACCTTCGAAAGCGTGTGATAACTGGATTCGCGATCATCTTCTGCGCAATTATCATCGCCCTTGAAATCTTGAACTATGTCTCGTCAAAAAACCAGGGCCTTACCTCCTCCACCGAAAGCCGGCACTATCTCTGGACATATGGGCCAACTGCAATCCTCACCCTAGTGTCTGCATTCTGGGCGCGTGTGGAATTTCAAGCGAAGCAAAGTGCACCATGGCAAGCCATGCTCAAAGGGCCGGAGGAGTCGGGAAAGAGTGTTCTGCTGGATTATATCTCACAAATGCAGCCCTTTGCACTGGTCAGAGCTATCCGAAACCGCCATTACCCTGTCATTTCTGGCATTAGCGGCTCGCTACTGTTGCGTCTACTTATTATCATCTCGACTTCTCTATTTAGCCTGCAAGAGGTCAAAGTACACAAGAAGAATGTTTTGATACAAGTCCAAGGCAATCTCAGCACGCTTAGCACTGCAGACTTCTCCACCACCTATAGTGAGCCATTTGACACCGTTAACGGTATTCTTTTCGAAGGCGTTTCCTATCTCGACGGTACCACTTCGAATTTCTCCTTTCCGACATTTTCGGCGTCTAGCATGTCTAACGACTCCGTGATCATTGCAAATGTCACTGGACTGGCGCCGGACCTGGAGTGCGAGAATGCCACCTTGGATGTGGAGGTTTGGCAGATGGTAGCGACTTGGATTAATAGTAAAAGCTCAGCTGGGAGCCACCAAGTTCAGGAAAATGTCCTTTCGACATCATCGTGCACTTTATACAACGTTTCTATTGATATCCCGTCCAACCAGGAATTAGGGATTGAGGTTACTTTGAAAACATCATATGCTGCCCGTTACCAAACCGCGCAGTGTGAGGGCTCCACTGACTTGGATGGAAAGCGCATTGTATTAGTCGCAGTGGAGACTGAAATGAGCCCCAATGTCACTACCTCAGCATTTGGCAATTACACATCAGATGGCATCGAGTTTTATGGGAACTCGGATTGGCATACGACGACACGAAACATCACTGTTATACGCTCGGCGGCAGCAATCTGCAAACCCAAAATATCCCTCGTCAAACTCCTTGCAAAGACCAACATGACGGAATCTTCCTCTACAACGGGCTGGCAGAAACTTGGAGAGGAAATCACTACGTTGCCCAATTTGACCGCTTGGGACATCGCTAGCAATGTTAACTCGGAGTCTCATGACACTGATGGCTACCAGCCTATCTCAAGCTCAACCCAATTTCCAGAAACAGATGACACTTTGGTGGATGTCGATTATGCAATCCAACTGGGAGCCGTGTTCACAGGAAAGACAGGCAATGTCAGCCATCTTTTCGAGAACGATATGCTTTCAGACGCCGCTTCTGCTTACCATCGTGCGACTGGTGCTCAGCTACTTCGTGAGGGGTTTCTATCACAAAAGACATCGGAGTCTACTGGATCCGCGATTGTTAGTGAGAATCGAGTTGTCATGACCCAGTTTACACTGCGCGCCATGGAAGCATGTCTTATTTTGATTATTACATTCGTGATAGCCATGATTGTGTTTGTTCCACGCGGTGATCTGGCTCCGTATAATCCTACAACTATCTCGGCAACTGCAGCGATCATGTCGAATAGCAAAATGCTTCGAAAACGTCTACATGGAAGTAGCTCTATGCCCTTGGAGAACATTTCTGTTCTCTTGGATGGAAAGCGGTATTACACAGAGCTAGCCCTTGGCGGGTTCTCAATTGCAGCTATGGACGATGATACGAAAATATGCGCGCCATGCGAAAACCTCCCCGATCACAAGACCCAAAATCCAAAATGGAGTCCCTTCCCAAATTCCACCGTCCGAATGATTGTCTTCATCGTGGTGGGATGCTTGATTGCTGCCTTGGAAGCTATTCTACAGATCTCTCAGAGAGATGATGGACTAGGAAACGTCTCCTCCAGCAGTGGAATTGTACACTACATATGGACCATGATTCCTGCTCTGGTCATGGTCCTCATTGGCCTTGCCTTTTCCAGTATGAATTCTCACGCCCGATCTCTGGCACCATACGTACACTTGCGAGACGAATCTGGCACAGCATCATCCCAGTTCATGACATTAAACTTCAACGACGCACTCGACGTGACCAACCTCGTCAGCTCCACCAAGCTTAGGCAGTACGCTGTTCTAGCTACGACACTATCCACCCTTATTACTTCTGTCTTAACAATCGTCACAAGCGGTCTCTATACCGCCACAGACATCTCTGGAAATCTGAAGCGGAACTTCAACCAGACAACAACATTCCACAACGCCAACTCCGATAACGAAACTAGTGGTATAACCACAGCAAAATACATTCTTCTCGATAACCTTGACTACCCCAAATGGACATATCAAAACCTCGCATTTCCAAAACTCTCCTTCAACGCCTCATCTCTCACAAAGAAACAATCCACAAATTCCTACGTCGATATAATCGTCCCTGCCATGCGCGGAACACTAACTTGTGAGCTTCAAACAAACACCTCACTCCAAGCCTCATGGATAGACGTCGATAACAGGATACTATACACCGTCTTTGCTCCAACCTGTGATTCAAACAGCACCTCACCAACCTGGACAAACCAAAGCGTACTCTCAGACGAACTATCCTCTACACAAACGATGTTCGGATTCGAACAAGAGGTTGAATGCAAAGGAAACAATAACAATACCAGAACTTCCATCGCAGGAACCGTGGAGTCAGAAACGGCAGCAAGCCAAACAGCCACCCTCACCAAGGGCGGCGGAGCAATCTCCTATATATGGGGTGAACTACAAAATAAAACAATCACACACATAGCAGCCTTAACATGTCGTGAATGGGCCGAAATAGTCGATACGAAAACCCGGTTCATCTTACCGGATTTTAATATCTCAACCGAAGTCCCGCCTCAACCTGATGAGTCTACTGCGAGAAGAGTCCAGAATTACACAGATGGAGAGGACTGGTACTGGGTTGATGGTATTATCGCTGATTCCAGCATTGATAATTTCTTCGAGGCACTTGTTGAGGGTAAATACGCCATTCCGATGAACTATCTCAGATTGGAGAAGTATAATGAAAAAGTTGCTAGTGCTATTAAGTTCCAGAGTGAGATTGTCAAAGCGCAGCAGTTCAATACCTATAATCGGATATCTATTGAGGAGTCGTCTGGTGATGAGTACCTTATACAGGGGAATATCACTACGTCTGGAGGAATTCGCTTATTCCAGGATGCGGTCTCGACGCGGGTTTTGGAGGCGTTGCTGGGGGTTTTGCTTATCTTGGGTGCGTTGGGTTCTTGGTTGATGAATACGGATCATGTTTTACCAAAGAATCCGTGTAGCATTGCTGCTGTGGCGAGTTTACTTGCCGATTCAAATTTCTTGCATCGATACGGTCCTGGTGTTGGGGATCCGAATGCAAAGCAGGTGGAGGAGAGGCTTTTTGCGGATTGTCGGTTTTTCATGGGAATGTGTTATGATGGGCCTTTGAGAGGATTTAACGATGACCGATTTACGATTTATCTTACTGATTATGGGATGGACAAAAAGCTTGCTGCTACTCCTGAAGGATAAATCTGAGTTCAAGTTTGGATATGAAGTTATGACCATTAAAGACGAAGTAATGGTTCAATTCATGTAATATACTGATTCAGTGAGCGTTCAAGTCGTTAAATGGGTGACCTGCGCCAAAGTAGACATAATAATAGCCTGCAACTGTACCTACTACTCTATACGTCCTTTCAGCCTAAGGGGGTATTCTTAGAAATCTCTTTCCAACTTGATTTAAATTCACAGTATGTAGTCAAGGTTCAATGAGAGGTACATGTATAGATGATTTATGCCTTTTGAGCCCAGGTGACTGGAACCTTGGGACTATAGGTGTCATTCCATGGATCTCACCAGTTGATGAGACTCGATACGATATATAGAGTCGGAGCCCCAAAACGCCGATCGCCGTGCTTAAATAAGCCATGAGATCTCCGCATTAGTCAAACAAACCAGCACCTTCTACTCATTACTAGACCTAAACCTCTCGTCATTCTTAAGTACTGCGCTCAAATCTCCTTTCGCTTCACATATCCTATTTCTCCATTTTAAACAACACTCGTTACCATGTCTCCACTCTCAATATCCAGAGGTGGAACTCCCGCGGCCGATGAATCATTTACACAGATGGCCAACGAAGACCTAGAGTCGATTGGCCGCCACTGTCAATTTGAATACTGCGGACAACTCGATTTCCTCCCCTTCCGCTGCGAATCCTGCAGAAGCACCTACTGCCTCGATCACCGGTCCGAAATAGCACACAAATGTCCCCGCGCAGGCGAATGGGCTCGACGCCGAGCGGCAAATAATCAAGAGAACCGCACTCCAACCGTGAAACCCAATATCTACAATTCCGACCAGTGCTATGAGGTCTCTCTGCAAAACTCTCATTAATACTCTGAAAGACCCCGGCGTACGCTGCCCAAACTGCAACCACCAATACTGTTTGAAGCACCGACTCCGCGAGGAACACGATTGCGCCAAGCTTACCCCGCTGGGCGCAAGACAAGGCAACGGCTCAACGCCAAATGAAACGATCAAGTCCATGTTTGCGCGCGTGCGTGGTTGGGGCAAGGAGAAACAGGCGGCGGGTGCGAGTCTACTTCCGAAGACGAAGCCCAAACCGAATAGTCCGGCTGCGAGGGCTGTGGAAGTCAATACTATGAAACGAACGGCGAAAGGCGAAGCTGGTGTTCCGGCTGATAAACGCTTATATCTACATACTGTTGGAACGGCGGATACGCAAGCTGCTGAGCCCCCGTCCGGGGATTTCTATTACGACGAGCGGTGGAAGGTTGGACGGGTGCTGGATGATGTGGCCAAGAGGTTACGGGTTGAGAACTTGAATAATCGAAGTGGTGGAGAGGAGGCACGGTTGCGCATTTTCCATGTTGAGTCGGGAGAGTTTTTAGATTTTTCGGATTCTATTAGTGGAAAGGTTAAGTCTGGAGATACGATTGTGTTATTGCGAGGTGCTGGTGTGATTCTCGAGAACTCATGATGCATCAAGCCTTTCATTCATGCGCCATTTATTTGCATTTACAAACATTTGAAGCGTCTGCATGTGAATCTTGAAATGATACCTAGTTGTTTACTCCGTGTCTGACGGAGCCATGGAAATAATATATACATGATAGCTCAGCAAGGAACTAGCATTTTCCACGGAACATGGATTTTAATTCATCGCAGCTATCCCGAAACACTGGTATCGTCTAAACATCGTAGCATAATTCAAACTCAAATGACCAAAAGAGCAAGCGAAGCAAGACTTTAAACGCTCATCTTCATCTTGATAATCTTGTGAGGTTTGTAGCCAATCACCTCAAACTCATCCTCCTTCCACCCATCAATCACGGCACTTCCACGGTCGTCACGCTTGATGCGGAGCTCAGGGAACTCAGTAGGCTCACGAGTGAGCTGCTCGTTCAGCGCATCAACGTGATCAAGGTAGACATGGGCATCACCCATAGTATGAATAAGAGTACCAGGGTTCAGATCCGCCGCATGGGCCAGAATATGGGTAAGAAGAGCGTAGGAAGCGATATTGAAGGGAACACCCAGACCCATATCACAAGAGCGCTGGTAGAGAAGACAAGACAGAGATCCCTTCTCATTGGGGCGACCATTCTCATCAAGCTTCATTGTGGGAGGGAAAGAGACATAGAATTGCGCGAACATGTGGCAGGGCGGGAGAGCCATCTTGCCCAGATCCGCAGGGTTCCAGGCACTCATAATGATGCGGCGATCAAAAGGTGAGTTCATGATCTTGTTCACAACTTCCTTCAGTTGGTCAACACCTTGACCTGTATAATCGGTCTCGGCGTCGACGTACTCGGCACCGAAATGCCGCCACTGGAACCCGTACACGGGTCCCAAGTCACCTTCTTCCCGGTGACCCAGACCAACCTTGTCGAGGAACTCGCGGCTGCCATTTCCATCCCAGATCTTGATGCCGGCTTCGGAGAGGGGTATTGAGGATGTGGTACCTGCGATAAACCACAAGAGCTCGGCAAGGACTGCGCGCAAGAAGACTCGCTTTGTGGTCAGGAGGGGCAGAACAGGGATGGGGGCGCCGCCCTTGGGATTGGGCTTTGAGAGGGAGAATCGAAGTTGTGGTGGGGCAAATAGGGAGCGAGTGCCTGTGCCTGTTCGGTCTGGTCTATGTTCTCCTTGGGCAAGGATATCACGAATCAAGTTGAGGTATTGGTGCTCCTCATGCGAGGGATCGTGAGGTGGCGATGAAGCCACAGGGGCGACAGTGGGCACTTGTTCTTGGGTCATGATGGATATGATCTGGTGTTTTGTATGGAATACCCTTGTATAATTTTTGGGAAGAAAAGATCAATTGAGGAAATCCTAAATGTTGTCGGATCCCGGGTATCTTTTTGCGCGTCAAACGCGACACGCTATCACGTGGTATATCTTATCTTATCGATGATGCACAGTGGTCTGTCAACTGGTAAATGGTAACCTTATATGGGATTATTTTATCCTCCAGATCTCTTTTCTTAGGGCAATAATTGGAGAACGGGCTATCAAACACTTGCTTAGATGAGTGTATGTGCATTATTCTGGATGGCAATCTTTCAACAATTCAAAACTATGAGGCCCCCATTCCTCGGTCTACTCTTCGTCACTGGCATAGAATTTTGGAGTAAACCACTATAGCAGTAGGCATATAGCTTTTTTCGACCAAAATCATAAAATCATCTTCATTGTTCATCAATAAGGGGAACATGATGCTGTCTCATCAATAAATGCAAGGAACACATGTACAAATGCTTTTAACAGGGAACCCATCAAGATCCATGAAATGCTCAGTATCAATCTGCCAACAGGTCCATTCCAACTCCACGCAGCGCACCGACTGCCCACTCAGGATACTTAGACTTATCCCCGTCGTAAATCTTGGAGAAGAAATCGCGAACGAAGGCGGGGTATCTATCTTCAAGAATAGCCTGTCGCACCTTGCCCATTAAGTTCAACATGAAATGCACATTATGGATTGAGAGCCTATGTTTGTCAGTAAGGAACTTATAAAAGTCAAGAATTTTTATAAAGCCTTACAGATGAGCACCGACGGTTTCTTTCGCCGTCACATGGTGCATATATGCCTTGGTAAGACCAAGGCCACCTTGATCCGTAGGCCGGCAACAGGTGCAATCGCAGCCTTCGTCGATGGGAGTGAAGTCCTCGGAATAAATTTTATTGCGTAGGTTCATTGTGCCCGATGAGACAATCGCTTGTCCGAAGCGCTGTTTTTGATTAGTGTTTGAATAGTAGAAAATACTGGGATGAAACCTACCGCTGTTCTTGTCGGCCAAACGCAGTCGAACATATCAGCTCCAAGAGCGACTGCGACAACGATATCTTCAGGATATCCCTGATAAAAACAGTGAGCTTGAGTCCCGAGGATTAAGCATTATAGAACATTTGAAATTACCACGCCCATCACATATCTCGGCTTGTTATCTGGAAGAGCTGAAGTGCAGGTATCCACACTATTTCGGAAGTCAGAATGGATCAGAAGACACTGGAAAAAGCAACCTACACTTTACAAAACTCCTCCTTAGCTTCACCACCGGACAACCCTCCGATAGCGATTCCGGGAGTATCTCGGGCTACCATTTCCTCACAGCACTGTTTCCGAAGTCCCAAATCTAGACCACCTTGGATAATGCAGAAAAGATTTTGTCGTTCGGGGTACTGATGCGCATCAATGCAGCGATCCAACCACCGAATAGAACGCTCCATGGCCTCTTTGATTCGTGCATGATCTGGGGAAGTCGTTGCAATCACATCATCCAATTGCATGATGATGTCTGAGCCAATCGAGTTCTGAAGTGAGATCGAGTGCTCGGGAGTCAAAAGCCTGTCAATTATTAACCACTTATACTCTTGTTAAGCTGCGAGTTGTAATACACGGGAGACATACATGGGCGAGCCATCGTGCGGACTGAGAAATCGCACACCTTCCTCAGTAACAGTAGCCAACTTAAGGAGAGATACCATCTGGAAGCTATTAAAAACCAAGATGGCTCAGTTAGCGCAATTGAGGAGATTGCCGCATTTAGAAGTATTTCTCACCCTCCACTGTCGGTAAGCAAGTTACGATCCCAGCCTTGTAATTTGTGTGCGCCACCGACAGCATCAAGGACTTCCTGTCCCGGCTTCAATCCGAGATGGTAGGTGTTATTGAGGCATAGCATGCACCCTGTATCGCGCAGTTGATCATATGTAAGGCCTTTGAGGGACGCTTGCGTTGCGACGGGCATGAAAATTGGCAGAGGAACAGCGCCATGGGGAAGATGGAGGGTACTCGCTCGGGCTTTTGTAGCCTATTAGAGACAAATCCAATTCCATTGTCAGTAAGGGTTCTATAGTAGACGTAGAGGGGTAGAGGGGACAATACCGAACATTTCGCGTGCCGTTCAAATGTCAATGCAGAGGGCATGTTCTTGCGGGTGGATTCGGCGGTGGTCGACATCCTTGCGATCGGGCTAGAAAATACTGCACGTATGTTATTAGACAGCAATCTGACCAATGGACCGCGTTGCATGGAGAATTGTCGCAAATGCAACGTTTGCGATGCGATCAAGAACCCTTATCGCGATAGATGTTTGTTTGGTTTGCATTGCGGCCCAAGTGTTTGACTCCAGTCGAAAATGTAAATGATCGTCTTCCAAGTGGATATTTTCCACCCTTCAAAAAGAAATGCAGAGAATGGCTTTGCGAGAACCGTGTGGGGATTGGAGTGTTGAAAGGGTACAACAAAACTGGAGAATGCTAGGTGAAATTGACACTTGCACCATTATGTTGATCCGAGTGTTAGTAGTAGGCGCATATACCTTATCCAAACCTCACGGGGATCATAATTAATGTGAACTTGAATCCATTCCAAGGTTGCGGCTGAATGGAAAAGACTGAAAATATCCGAGTCCGAGAAGGGAATATGCATGATTTTACCAAATACGCAGTGTAAATTTGCTAGCATGTATACATTATGCTTCTAATCTACTAGTATAGCCTCAAGAGCACGAACTTAAATTCCAAAACCTCTTACTATAAGAATAATAGTTTAATAGTCATCCGGGTTTCCAAGAGCATGGGCTAGAAATCAAAACACTCTTCATCTGATAACTGGTATTGTTTTTATCTGAAATCGAATGAGAGATCGAGTCACACCGCTACAAGATCAATGAATAGGACAACTGACAATGAACATGTACTGCTATCATCGGCTCTTTTCACTTTCTGCAGAGATACTAGTGAAATGTGATATCCAATGAGATTGGTTAAAGATAGGTTTTCAGTCCCATTTAGAATCCGAATGACCGGTGAGAGCTGATCGAGACTAGCACATACATACCGAGGATAAATCTATCTGCTAAGTCCGAGTCCGACATCAAGTGCTGAAGTACTAGATGACATCGGATTTGAAGGATGTCCTTAACATCTGAATTGATCCGTTTAGAGGATGTCTATAAATTAATCAAAGTTTATTCAGGGTTAATATGGGATCCCTGAATCCAAGTCGGGAAACCCCCCCATGTTCACCATGTTCGGAGAATGCCCGAGGTCAGTGCGGAGATGCGGGGGCATTCTCCGGGGTTCAGGGACAAGCTTATGCCGAGAGGGAGAAAAAGCAAACAAACTAAATAAAAGGGGGGGCTCTGGACTTTCAAAGTTTCTAGGATTTTTGACTCATCTTCTTGTGATTGATCGGCGCGAGATTCCTCATCTCTGGTCTCAACATGGCTGACGAAAAATACACACAAGATATTGAGCACACCGGAGAGGTGAGTGTACAATACTTGAATTTTGAGTGGGTTCTTGGAATTATGTGGGCTAATACAAAATACATCAGATCTCCAATGAAGATACAGATCCTGTTCTCGAGGCTCGAGAGAAGGCTTTAGTATGGAAGCAAGATCTACGAATCGTCCCGCTTTGTGCGGCAATCTACTTATTATGTTACTTGGATCGCTCAAACATTGGTGAGTTTTGCGACTGTCATCCTCAATTTAAGATGAAAGCTAATTTTTGAAAGGAAATGCGAAACTTTTGAACGCAGACACTGGCAATGATCTCCTCTCCGAAACACGTATGACTTCATACGATTATACGTGCGTCTACAATATACTCTCGAGCGACAATATCACTGACGAAAAATGACTAGAATTGCGTTGATGGTCTTTTTGATTGCTTACGCTATTTTCGAAGTCCCTTCAAATTATCTTTTGAAGAAATTGAGGCCGAGTGTACGTCAATCTCATGTACAAAAGGGTTACCGAAAACAGCACTGAAAAATACTAAACATTCACAGCGATGGATCGCCTTTCTTATGCTATCCTGGGGCGCAAAATCTATGGGACTGGGAGGAGCTCACAGCTACGCTCAAGTCACTGGCATTCGATTTTTATTAGGTGCTGTGGAGGCAGGCCTGTTCCCCGGATTCGTTTACTATCTTACCTTCTGGTACCGGAATTCCGAACGATCCATACGAGTCGCCTTAATCCTAGCTTCTGCAACCCTGGCAGGAGCTTTCGGTGGAGCTATAGCCTATGGTGTGGGTCATATGAACGGTGCACAGGGACTCTCCGCTTGGCGATGGCTATTCATTATTGAAGGAGCACCATCTTGCGCGTCTGCTATCTTGGTCTGGTTCTTTTTACCAGACTACCCCGAGACGGCGAAGTGGTTAACAACTGATGAGAAGGAGTTGGCGGCGTATCGCCTGCAAACTGAAGGCTCGCATGGCTCTGCAAGCGCTATGTCGTGGCCAGATGCTAAAGCTGTGCTGACAGAGTGGAGGTTATATGCCCATTATGCGGTTTGTCACTCTAGAGGAAAAGATAAGGAACTGTGGAGTTAATCATTTTCTAGGTTTATTTTGGTATATCGACACCATTTTCTAGTCTTTCATTGTTCACGCCCGCTATTACAGCTGGCTTGGGATACTCCAATCTCCGAGCACAACTTATGACTGTGCCTCCCTATGCGGTGGCATACGCTGTAACCGTAGCGGTAGCCTGGTCTGCAGACCATTTCAATAGGTACGTTCTCCGTTATAATATAGAACAAGTTTACTAACATCCCCCACAGTCGAGGTCTACATTCGGCAATTTTCGCATTTATTGGAGCGATGGGGTTTCTCGCATCGGCTGTTCTTCCAGCTGAGGCATACCTGGTGAGTGAAGTGTACCTAAAGAGTAACAGGGAACTGAACTCCTACTAATAAATTTCCAGCATCGTTATGGTTGTCTGATCGTCGCTGCGAGTGGTGCTTTCGCTTGCATTCCACCACTTCTAGGATGGCTATCATCGAATCTTCGATCCACAGCGGGGGCGGGACTAGCCATCGCACTGAATGTCTCATTCGGGGCACCGGGACAGATCGTTGGAGTATGGATCTACAAACGCGATGAGGAAAATAAGGGATACCCGACGGGACATTGGACCAATGCAGCACTTCTTTTATTCGTCACGGCAGGATGTATCCTGCTAAGACTATATTATGGGTGGAGAAATAAGCGGTGGAATGGTGATGGAAATGGAAAGAAATTTGCATATTAGATAGCTCATCTACTACTTGTGGGGCGGATTTTTGGAGACTGGGACTACTTGGAGTCTAGGCTTTCGGAAGGGGGTTCCATATGGTGAATTGATGGTATATCACAAATGAGTGTTGGTGGCGTAGCTGAAGAGACGAAGTATGGAATTTGAATTTCCAATTTCATCTACAAAGTCATGCAGTCTTCACCCTTGCAGCCAATTGGATTACCGTGTTTCTTTGTGATACCACTCTGAAGATCTGAAGATGGGAGTAGGGCATTAAATACTTGGAAAATAAAAATTCTCAAGTTCGCAGGGTGCATAGAGTTTCTGCGCTTCGAAATATAACTTGTAAGGACAAGTATACAGAATGCATGAACACGTAGAATGAAGCAACCTGGACCACTAAATAGAAGAAACATTTGAAATGCAAGGCGTCCCATGACCCGGTAGCAATTCTTCCAAATCAAGGATTCCAAGAAGCACTCGACCATCATCAAAATTACTATCAATACTAGTATTTACATGTCGACACTCGATAGCTGAATCAAAGGAATCTCTTTTAACATCCTCCACCACCTCCACCTCCACCTCCACATCCTCCGACGCCGCCGCCACCACCACCAAAACCACCCCATCCTGCGACTCCTGCCGTCGCAGCTCCTCCACCGATCATACCTGCGTGGGCACGGCGTTTCTTACGAGCCTTAGTCTTGTAATAACTCGCAAGGTCTCTGTCGTATTTATCGTGAGCCCGAAAGTATCCAGCGTCATTATTCACGTACTCCTCACGGCGTGGAGGTTGGGGTTTCAGTTCACTAAACCCGAAGCACATATTGAGGCCCTGAAGACCTCAAGTGATTGAGAACAACTTGAATATGTATCGGACGAGAAAAAAAAGAAAAAAGAGAAGAGATGGTTTAAATGGTCTTAAAAAGGTCCGGTAGTTGCGCTTATACTCTCAGTTGTACGGAGTAATATTGCAAGTTGCAAGTATGTTGTGGACAGTATAAGCATTCTTCAAGTTATAATCGATTAATGACCTGAGGCTCGTGGAATGGGTCATTTTATACTCCGTAGACTACTGACATCTTGGGCGCCCCAAATTACCATTTCGAGGACATTTCCACAGCCACCGCCCGGTTGATCGGGCCCGGGCGAAATCACGAGTCAGTTGCTTGGATCCTGAATCTCCCCGGATTTGATTGGAGTGTCAAAACAAAATAGGAAATCAAATTGACGATCTTTAATACCAATGAGGTCACATGTGCCCCGGTGGATTTTATTATCCGGCTAAGCTATCAACCTTGGAAGATATTGGGGCGGTTTAACAGGGCGTAGTAGAATTAATTTCGGAAAATTTCCCAAGCTAACTTGGACTACTATCCATAATATGGATACTAGGTACTGGTATAGATAGTTTTTCTTTGCCTTATTATGACTATCAATGACACCTAGCATGCATCGAGCATCCCTGTGTTGCTGCTGATTGGTGGCCCGAGTCAAACATTTGAAGCTGCAGCTTGCTGACTACATGGATTGAGCTGGTTTATGTATGCATGGACTACAGAGTACATTGCCAGCTGTCTTCAATACAACCATTTATAGGTAGTAGTATTTGAATGTCATGCCATTTATTGACTCTGAGTCACGAAGACATGCCTAAATTGAACATTGAATGTATTATTAACATCGCACCTAGAACTTCAAGTTTGTAAAGGCCCATTAAGTCTACCTAGGTAGCTACCATATTCAACCTTGGAAATATCCAATGTCGGAGAATTTATCACTTCATCAAGGTTGGAATCTTTCAATATTGCTACTATACACATGGCAACGTTCCACAAGCCGAAGCTTTTTTGAATTCCAGGTTTCTAGAATCAAATGAAAATGGAAAAAATACAAGGGTCCGTCTGGTAGTATTCAAGTATCCAGAAAATAGTGGACTTATTTATTAGAAAGTGTCCTGTCGATATTTGTATAGCCGAAGCAATTGCAACATTAGACAATGAACCAATTTGATGAAACCCAGCCTTGGCACCAGATTTGTGACATTAAGGCAGAAGGGAAAAAGAAGAGAAGTCAAGATGAAAACAACCTAAAATGCAGTCCCAAGTCCCACACAGCCGTACAATAACTACCCAAAGGAAAACTCCCATTCAAACTCATATCACAAAGGAAATTCATAGCAAATGGTCATAAAAAAGGGTTCAAGTTAAATAGAGCAAGCAAGCAACACATGCTTTTTGTGCTTGAATAGAAGAAAGAAAAGTCACAAATGAAAAACAAGAACAAGTAAACAAAATAAAGGGAAGGATCTGAAGCCTGTCGTTTAAAAATATTTGTTCTGTAACTCTCTCAGATTTCACCGCCTCCATTGCCACTGCAGTGGTGACATCGTGCCTGGCTCGTTTTGAATTCAGGCGACATGCTTCCCGCTTCAAGTTACACATGTATCGATATATGCCAGATGTTCCTGAGACAAAGACAACGGCAATGCCAGAGCCCTTTAGCTTCTTTTGTGATGCACAAGGAGCAGGGATTATCACGAGGGCACCCTGCAAGGAAGTACCACGTAGGTATCTCTTCAAAGTACCCAAGCGGAGAGATTGACCTGCCAGGATTGACCACTTTCCCTTTTCCTAAAAATAAAAGGAAAATAAATCATACGACCCATGCGGGAACCAGAGAGACACAGTGTTTCTTCTGGGAAAGGGTCAGGCGGGTGGCTGACGGGAAGGCCCCACAGGTATGGTCATCTTCACCGATTCATTTTCCAAGTCAGTGGCGAGAGACCACAGCCACGCACAGACTGCAGAGTGCAGGTATATTCCTGGTCATGATGCAATGAAATTTCATCTCAAGCTGAACCATCGTAAGGTAGGAACTTTTAGATCCTGGGTTCTGGATTCGGATGTTCCGTTGAATGCGAATGCCAGCATGGATTCCAGGATACAAGGGTCCCTGAAATCCACCGGACAAGAAGAAAGCCGCGAAATTGGACACTGCTGTTCCTGGGCCATTAAGATTGAGTTGGGTATCACAACCACAACAGGAAGTCACACAAAGCCAAGACCAGGTTGCAAGATAGTGAAGCCTTGCAGGTGGTTGTTGATGGGAACAAAGAAAATGCCAGATGAAGCAAGAGGTAATAGACAGCAAGGCCTCCCAGCTGCATCTGCATATGTTTGGTCCCCTTTCAACTGCTTCGCTGGCCAGAATCCTATTTCGTCGAATTCCGGTTCTCCCGGACAACGGTGAAGAAGACCTGCAGGGCCTTTCGCAGACGGCCAACTGTTAATGTTTCACCGGGGCAGCGTGCATATCCGAGATTCGAGGAGGAAAGGACGTTCGATGCAGGATGAGGTAGGAGAGTGCGTGGCGGTTTTTTCGGCCTGCATTGCGCATAGAAAGAACAAATGAGAGAGTAACAGCGAGGTCTTGCTGATGTGGGCCTGCGCGGGGAGCGCGTAGCAGCAGCAGGAACACAAAAAGACAAGGAAAACAAGAAAAAAAGGAAGAAAGGATTCCTCCCCGATGTCTGCAGAAAAGAGTTAAAAAAAACTCCGCAGGCCAGACCACACACATCAGCAGACACTCGAGATCGAGTAAAAAAAATAACAAAAGTAGAGAGAATGCCACCCGGACAAAAGAAAAAAGTATTCAATAATAAATTGAACTCAGCGTCCACCAGGACCCCGACCAATGCCGGATGCTGCCTGGGGGAAGAGTTGCCCAGGAAAGATGGTGGAGGCCTGGGGCTGCTGGTTCAGCAACTGAAGGGCGACTTCGGCGGCGTCTTCTTTGGCATTGTTGATGTACTGGCCATCGTACCAGTATCGAGCCGCTATATTTCGGCCATGAACGCTGACAGTACTCGACCAGGCAGTACGACCTCCTGCATTTCCGAAGTAAGGGTATCAGCATCCGCTGTCAAGTGTCGGAACTAAAAGTCGGTGTACGAGTTCTTTCTGCAGCTCCACACCTGTAATGCCGAGACACGCGATGATGGTAGAGATAGACAAGGCATATATGCCCGAAGAAAAGAAGCCCAGACAGCCATGGGAGGGGTAGAACAGAAGATACAAGGGAGTAATGAAAGGATTATGAAGAGATATGACAAATGGTGGCAAAAGGAAGGTGTAAGCAGGGAGAAAAACGGAAATGGGGTAGGTACCTCGCCGATCGGAGACAATATTGAAGACAGGAGGAGCCAATTTGGCACGTCTGCAATGATCTTTTTGGTAATTGATTAGTTCTGATGATTCTTTAATGTTCCATGGCCTTTAGGGGTTTAAGGACAGTGTGTATAGAGAGGGGTATAGTCCGATTGGCTTACCCGAGAGTTGATCTTGCCAGCTAGGACGACCGGTATTTCCTGGGGGGGCTATTTGGCAGTGACATGATCAATTGAGAAGATTGATAAGTGATAAATCAAGATCTGAGATCCAATTGAGGATTATGGTTGGAATAGTTCGTTTAACGGGGAGGAAAGATTAGTGGGGGGAAGAATGAACAATTGGGTATAGGAACAAAGATCTTAAGTCAAAGTAGACTTTAAAATGTAAACCGGAAAAAGAGAAAGAAAAAATCACCGGGGAAAACGAAGTAAATATAATGGAGAAAGAAATCCACCTAAGCTCAATGGACCGGGAATCTTGCGTGACCTTTTTAAATGCCCCTCGGCGATGGACATGGGGAGCGGGGAGTCATATAAACGGTGGGCCATATCTCCAAGGCAAAGAGAGAAAAATAAATAATAATTTTTTTTTTATTATATATTAATGATTCCAGTAAAGAATTAAAGATCCCCATTTAGGGTGTTAGGGAAGGGATCCATGTTAAAAAAAAAATTAAAAAAATCTAGTAAAAATAAAAATATAATAAATCAGATTTTTTTTTTCAGGCCCTTTTTTTTCATCATTTTTTTAATAATTCTTTACCCATTCCCTGGCTTGACAAACATGGAGCCCAACCCGTCAAACCTAACCAAAAGGAACGGGCTTATGCATGGTTATGGATACATGGTACAGAGTCAGCCTGAGTACCCCCCTCTCTTATCCACCAGTGAAGGAGTGGTGCGGGAAGGACATGCGGATCATTTGAGGCTGCAAGCTGGAACGGGCCGGCGCACGCCGACCAGACCAACCCTTGAAGAAACGCTAGACAGGACAATGCCGTAAGGGTTGAAAGATAGGCGGATGTCCCACAGAATCCACAATGTGACAGATTTCAGGTTGTATTAGTTATTCGACTATTAAGCAAGGGGATAAAATAAAGGTCCTATTTCGGGGAAAAGAATAAGCCCCCCCGGGGAGAAAATAAAAATGATTAACTGAAAATGAAGCAATGCAGAACTGAAAAAGAAAAAAAAAGAAAAATTTCAAATCAAATCCATGGAAATAGAAATGGTAACAAGACCAGGGGAAAGAAGAAGAACCAGACAAAAAAATCTATAAAATAATGAAAATAAAATAAAATAATGAAAAATAGTAATAACGGGGCCGATGGTGAATAGGGATTGGTTCAAGACGATGAACAACTCAGAGATCCCCACGTTGATAAAATATTACAATTTTTGCCCCGTCCCTGCCTCATCATCCAGGCGTTGAGATGCCATACTGGCAGTACAGATACCAAATTTCAATGTGGGGTTCTGGAAACCCTACCTAGTATGAATTGCATGGTGGCGGAAGCGATATGTCTGTGGGTGATCTCTGCCCAAGCGGAGTAGGGCTATGGTCCCCGTCATAACTAGTTTATGACGAATGGCTGGTGCCCAAAAGTACCGGGGAAACGAAGCACAACCCGAAAAGTTATTAGATCAGTTTGAATTTAACTGTTTCTAAACTACTGTGTATAATATCTCTCATACCTTAAGAACCGTTGGGCCGCATAGTATGTAGGAATCTAAAAATGGACAAATATTAAATAAGTAAATAATGAAGCGACTCAAGCGAGTGCCAGCTCATCAACTTGAAATAGATGAGATCATAATCTAGAATCCAGAAAAAGAAATGTTCACATTCTAGCTCTTCAAATGTTCGCCTCTCCGAGGCCCTTGACTAGTAGTCTACTAGTAGAAGTAGCCCCGGGAATAAAGGATAAGGGCTTAGCTATGACCTGGGACTTTAGTCACACTGGTATAGGCCGGGCCGCTCTGCATAACTCGATAATTCAGATTGGTAGCCAAGATTGAATAATAGACAACTCCAGACTGTGCACATCGTGACGAAGACCAGCATCAAAATGTTCTCATTTTATTTTTTATTTTTGCATAGATTTTTTTGTCATAATGACAGCACCCTTGAAAATGATAGACATGATAGACATTCTTCACTAGGTACATACATGCACCCAGTAGCCTGAGGTACCTTAGGTCCGATTGTAACATTTGAACAAATGACGATCATTACCATTGCTCCGGTAGAGACACCCATAGGAACTCCAGTTCGCTGTCCTAAGATCCACTAAATTATGTACATACATCTTTTAGGTACATATATTAGGGTTGGACATTGGTACCAATAATGTAGGTCATCCCTCCAAATGTCGGGTCCATTGGGAGTCTAAGCTCCGTTATTCGGGTTCTAACCGTCCCCCCGGCCCTGCATTGAAACCACAAGAAGCCCTGGAGGGGGGACACGAGCCAAGAGTAAAGAACAATAATCTCCCGAAAAATTAGAAGAAATTCTTTTTTAATAAATATGATGAACCACTGTAGCAAACCCAATGGAATCATAAAATAAAATAAAATAATTAATGAAATAATAATTAAATCCATTCTAGATAGAGAGGGGCATGATTCGCCGCTTTCCTTTAGCAGTGTGAGTTGGGCACTCATACATTGCAGTTGATGATTATGTGGTGGTTCCATGGTTCCCTCGGTTTCATACCCGGGGATATGATGACTAGGTATGCGGCTACAAGATAGACGACTTAGCTTGAGAAAAGTCCAGGGCTAACGTTCAAATGTTCTGGGCTGTTCAGAGATGTAAGCGCCTTGGGCCCCGCACAAGCTTAAACTCAGGCAGCAAACAAGAAAGTAAATAATATAAATACTAATCTAATATGATATAAGTAGACTATTATTAGTTAACTTAACGTGATTCCCGGTCGAGCTGCGCACCCGGCCGAGCTGCGCACCCACCACCATTAGACAAATTCAAATTCAAATATTTCAACCCAATGCGAATAAATTCAGTTATAAATACGATTTTTACATACATTGATCCGATGGCCAGCCTCTCGACATCCACTACACCTAGGCTGAGCCCTGGGGGCTGGCTGATTCGGCTGAATAGGCAATTCAACCTGGGTGTGTGGTTCGACCGCAGGTGCTTCTACTGGCAATTCTAGCTGCGTGAGTAGCTGCAGGCCTTCTTCAACAGTCAAGCCCTGTTCACATGGCACCTGCCTAGTTGACCGACTGCGCTTCTGTCGTTTCTTCTCGTTCACTGCACGTAAATTGGCGTTTTCTTGTGCTAGTAGCGCAGTGTTGTGTAGCGATATACAGTGTCCCTTGATGATTTGATCTAGCATCAATTTCGATGGGCTTAGAGGGCTGTTTGATCGCTGTCTTAGAAGATCTTTAAGCATTGAAGCTTGCTTTTGAAGCTGGACCACAGTTCTAGGTGTCTTAGGTGAAAATTGACTGCTTCGGCTGCCTGGTTGAGTGCCTGGTGGTGTAGGTGTTCGTAGCGAAATATTCAATTTAGAAAGAACTTTTTCAGCATCAATTGGTACTAGTCCTGTAGCTATAAAGCTATTCTGGATAGTAGCTGGTTTAAAAGCTTCAAGCCGGGCACGTTGAAAATCAGCTAAGAAATCAAGCTTATCAATATGGTTATAGCCTGTACGTGCAAGGTCACTTATAAAGCGACCATAGGTAATTTTCAACACAGAAAAACAGCCAACATCCAGTGGCTGTAGAAGATGTGAAGAATGCAGTGGCATGCAGAGAGGTATAATGTTATTCTCTGAGCAGATTCGATCAAATTGAGGTGTGAGATGGCTTCCATGGCCATCAAGAATCAATAGCCGAAAACGGCCACGGACACGTGAATTTGTTGATGGGATGAATAGCTTCTCAAGCCAACGTAGGCCAATATCATCGGTAGTCCAACCATTAGCTGAGACCTCAAACCGCCAGTCTTTTGGTAGGTTATCGAACCAACTAGCAATAGCAACCTTTCCCTTAAAAATCACACATGGTGGTAATGAATAACCATCTACACAGATAGCTTCAATTGCCGTCACCCATTCACGGTTCCCAGGCTGTACAATAGCTCGCCGACCGTAGTATTCTTGCCGTGTTACAACCGTCTGTGTTGAAATAAGGCCCATCGCAAAGCCTGTCTCATCCAAGTTGTAAATATCCTCAGGTTGGATCCCATTCTTATCGATAACTTGTTGTACAGTTGTAAACCATGCTTGGATTGATTTAGGGTCTTCGTTTAGAGCACGTTGGTAGTCATATTGCCTAGAGACGCGTGTTCGAATCTCTTCGCGTCGATTTATAAAGGTTGATGGCCAATTCTTGCTAACTGTTGGTGGGGGGGTGGCTACCACGCGCAGCTAGTAGAATATTGGCCATATCTCGTACAGTAGCTGGCCTAGGCGCCGCTCCACGGGAGTCCATAGAGATAATCCATTCAATAAGCGGATCCTCTTCCAACTGGGTCAATTTATGGCCATTTGGGCGTGTATCGACGCGAGATTGAATGCCGTGCGCGCGACTGCGTAGTGTGGACTCAGGCACGCTAAATAGCCTGGCCGCTGCGCGAAGAGACTTGATTTGGCCCTTTTGAATAGCCTGTAAGGCTAATAAAACCTTGCCCTCTTGTTCGACATTTTTTTCGGCCGAAATATTACGAATTGGTGGCATGGTAGGTGTTTGAATTAGGTAGGGTGGTAGAAAGACGCGATTTTAGATGGGGTGCGCAGCTCGGCCGGGTGCGCAGCTCGACCGGGAATCACGTTAGTTATAATCCTGTCTTACTAATGCAAGTACAGGGTCTCCTCTTGGGTACGATCCGAAAAAAAAGATTCATCCATAGCCAATCGATTGTCTAACCCTGTGGAGATAAATCCTTATTTCAGATAAATTGATTCCATGATTACTAGTATTAGTCCCAAGGTTCCTAATGATGAATGCAGTTATTTTCAAGTTCTTCAATGGTTCATGCTTAGTGGGGCTTTTCCTCCCCGATTCCAGTAAATGCACCTTAATTAGGACACCGGCTCTTCCTACCCATTTTCCACCGTCTATTACCTAAATACCAATGGTTGAATTTGAAACTCACCAAGGAGTAAAAAAAAGAATCTAGTAATTCATGAATAGAATAGTAGTTCTCAGAACCATTTTGTTGAGAAACTACAAAGAATATGCATCGCCAGCGGAGCAGCGCAGAATAAAAAACGTCATGTACACGCAGGTCCTGAGCAGCATAAGACCGTGACAGCGGATAAAAGAAAAAGAAAAGAAAAAAAGAGGGGAAAAGAACACATCCTAGAAGTCAATACTCAGAAACACAATAATTGATCAAAAAGCCACATGGCCCACAAACTGTTTCCTATTGCCATGCAGAACGAAAAATAAAATAGATAAACCGCCCAACGCCCTCCGAGATTCCGAACTTGCCATCCAATAGATAAACCCGGACCAGGTCCAAGGGATCTCCCCGATGCAAGTTCGCCTGAGATGGGTCCTAAAACTGACCCACTCAGAGAAAAATGGATGGAAAAAATATTACTCACATAGGAAGGAGGTGAGCATGTATGCAGACAAAAGACCCGCCATAGAACCACGAACCATCATAACCATGTCATAAAATGTCGTCAAAGCATCTAGGCCAGATGTGGCCCAGTACATAAGGGAGATACATAAGAGAGGAGTGGTTTTTTTTTCAAAAGAAAAAAAGAAAAAAAGAAAACGCGATCAGGATTGAACAAAAGCACCAGCCAGCTCATGGGTCTCATGATTCATGTGCATCATGTTCATGCTCATGTCGAGATGAGTTTGTCGGCCCCGCTCTAGGCGGATCCTCTCCGTTGTAGTACCTCGCCGATCAGTCGACGTGGGCCCATGCGCTCTAGGCTCTTAGTGAGGGAGGATCGTGCGGGGAGCATCCACGGAACACGACGCTCGTGATGCCAGCGACGACGAATGCAATCATCCACGAGAGTGACTAGACCAGTTGCGACAATCACACTAAAAAAGGAACCAGTTCATCAGCCTCACTGTAGCCCTGCAATGCAGCCACGACAATTTGTAGCGAATCAAAAATGAAGGTGGAGCTGGGAAAGGGAAAGGAGGGGCCGAGACCAGGGGTAGTTGGCAAGAGGAACAGGAAAGGTGAGAGGGGAAAGGGGGTGGGGACTAAAATCAGACTAGGATGATTGGGAAGCAATCACAAAAAAAACAAAAACAAATGAAGAACAACTCATAGCTTCAGAGGGTACTTACTCGGCAATGTCAGGCATCCGCTCATAAACTGTAGTATCGCTGATCCAAAGTGAACAGGGGGGGTACCCATCCACCTTTACTTTCTTCTTCAACCGCCTCCAGGGGTGTGAGAATCTCTGGTACCATATGGGCGATTGTTTTGGATGTGCGTGTGTCGACAAGGTAGTATGATACCTCACGCAAATCACCTTTTTCGTGATAATCACGACGCCACTGGTACTTCGTGGACCAGTACTCGTATTCATATCGTTTTGTTGCACCAGGACCTCGTCGCTTGAGCTCTACATGCGCATAGTTGGAAAACTCCATCAAGATGGTATTCTCAAGTGCTGGGCCCTTCTCTGGCGTTGATTCCGATTCTTCACTTCCAGAGCGACGGTGCCCATGCTTCTTATCATCTTCAAATCCTGAATCATGTCGCTTGAAACTTCCACCAAAGGGTGCAGAGTGTCCACTTGATCCCGGCCGGAAGCTAGCCAAGACACTGCTCAGTGAGCGGCGACGTTGTCCCGGGGTATCGGTATGAGTTGTCGGGGCTTCTTTCCGTGTTGAATGACAAACCTCGCGACCCGAATCACGACAATAGCGACGGAAGGAGAACTTGCGAGCGAAGAGATCATACATGCGCAGATGAAAGAGAATCACATCTTGCTGGTAGCCACCGCGACGTGGGACGACGGTATCAACACGCAGATTCATGTTTCCATCCAGAGTCGCATCGTCATGTCTGATAAGCAGTCTCCGCGTTGAAGGAAATAATGTTGCGAAAGAGGATGGAGTCGATGACAGTGCATCTGTTGGGAAGTTTTCCTGGCGGTCTTCTACACCATACTTTGGTTCTTCAGGTGGGATTTCTGCAGCTGAGCGGGTTGTTGATGCATATGTTGATACCGAATCACGAGGTCCACCTTCATCTTCCAGTTCATCATCATAACCATCGTCATCGTGCTCAAACTCATCATGCCAATCTTGGTACTTTGCTGATACTGTACGGTCGCTGAAGATTGTTCCGGTGGTACTTTTTGTATGCACTGAGTTGCTTGTATCTGTCGAACTGGAACTACTTCCTCTGTCGGCTGGGCGATCTTGGCGTGACTTATAAGAACCCATAGCTGCTGACCCACTCATGTGTAAGTCTACAGAGCAACGGAATCCTTGGATGGTAGGCGAAATAGGCGGCAAGGTTTGATAAAGAGAGATGTAGTGATGTTAGAAGTGAGGGGACAATAAAGAGGTGTTAACAAAGCGGTGACACAAAAGTCTGGGGTTCCCAGTTGATTTTGAGATTTCTGAATTTCAGAATCTTAAAAAAGTTCAAGTGGGGGGAATCTTAGATTTCCATGACGCAGTTCATATCAAATTATGAATGAATGGTATGAAAAAGGGAGAGAATTCTTCGGAAAGCCACGCGAGAAATGATTGCGGTATATCGGAGAGAATAGGCAGCCCCTGGGCCAGAATCATATGATGGGCTCGGGACACAAGAGCAGGGATTAGTTGGATTAGAGAGAGATTTCGGCCCGGATGTAGTGTTATATGAGACCAAGTATAGGGAAGGGAATAAAAAAAATAAACAAAGGTAATCACAGTAAGGGGGGAAATGATCAGGTTGATGAAGCCCAACGAGGGCTTTCAAGTTGGGAGGGAAAAAAAAGTGGAAAAGTGGAGAGTGCGAGGAGAGGGGCCTTGTAACCCAAAGTCAAAGCAAAATTTAGAAAATGAAAGTCTGAAGAGTGTTGAGAATGTGAGAATTGTACATAGGTGAAGAGTACAGAGTACGTAGAAGAAGAAGAATGAGGAGAATGAGGCCAAGGAATGTCTCATCCGGTTTTCATGTTTGGTCGATCACTACATGCACCTATACTTTTTCCACATAAAGGCTGTTTAGAAGAAAAAAAAGGAAAAAGAACATTTCAAAACACTGATTGAAAATTAAATTTAGATTTAGAATGATTAGAATTGTAGTAATAGATTAAGGCGTCCTTCTGATATCTTCTCATATTCTCATAACCAAGAGGAACCCTCCTATAGAAGAAAATACCGAACCTCAAGGCGTACAGCATAGCCTGCAACATAAAACAGACTCTCGCAGTTGGGAACCACAAGAAACATGTCGCCTCACCATCGGAAAGGAACCTACCTATGAGAAGAAAGCTTCGGCCGGACTTCTAGCCCAAAAGAAGCAGTTGTGTGATGCGTAACCCCCGTGAAGGCGGTTTAGGCTGAGAGACTAAGAAGCTCGGGGTTTCTGTGTCTGGTGTGTCGGGCCTCTATTCGTTGGTGAACCCCCCCTCTTCATGTATTGTGCTTCTTCCCCCACTCTCATCTACCAGTGAGCGCTAAGCGGTCAGTGCATCGAACAGGGTCTGGACAATGAGGGGTGATCGCATTCTGGAAATGTATGCCCTCGTTACCAGATAATCCCGTGAGATAGATTATGTCATAAAACGGGATGCAGGGTCCGGTAGTTTTCCGTTTCGTTTCTCGAACCTGTTCGGGATTCTGATATTTCTTTTGCCCCCCTTTATTGTGCATGAGTTGGTCTCGTATAGAATACCCGAGACGTCATGGACTAAACAGTGGGGTAAAGCACGGTCCGATCCGGAACCAATCTTTTGGTGATTTTGGTGCGTGATGACCTCTGGTATATGTAGCAATGCGCCCTATTGTTTGTCATGAGGTATGAAGAGCATATTAAGAGGGAGAATATAGACCAGGAACATTGCCCAGAGGTTCATGGGGTTTGGAATTTGACAGTTGGGTTCGTCATAGAACTTGAAGTTTGATGTGGAGAACTCCGATGACGGAGTTCGACATATCGGGGAGAAATATCGAAGATCATTCAATGTTTGCATATTTCTCATCGCAACATCGTCATTGTCAATTTCATCCGAATATAAAATCATAACCTTAGAATTAAGATCAACAATAATGAGATGGAACGTGGAACTCGAGCGCACAGACAGCACTTGAAGTATAGACTTTAGCGGAGAATTCCAAACTCTCCATAGTAGAACTTAGTTGAAGCCAGTGTTTACGCCATGTCAGACTATTGCCGAAGATGTTGTAATATAGAATATTTCAAGTGCTCAATCTAGGCAAGTTTCAATTTCAAGTTGATCAAATCTTAAGTCATTACACATAAAATTCAATAATGGAGCCTAGATGACTTCAGACCGCTAGTCATAGCCCCAACAATTATCACCCTTACTTCAAGTCCATTATGCCTCCCCGGCAACACGCGGATGGGAGTGGAAATATTCAATTAAAACCATATATACATAGTATTTCAACATAGAAAATAACCCAAGCCTGACTGGTCCATGCCAGCCTGGCATTATTACAAGAGAATCCGAAATAAATACCCAGCGGGATGCCCCACAAAGAAAAGAAAGTCTACATCCAGTCCAACAGTGAGGATGGTATGACGAAACGAAAGGAATCTAAATCTGTGTGTACAGAGGCTGAGGAAGTTCTTCACCTGGCTTAAGCAGCTCTGACTGGCAGGCAGGATGAGTGACGAGCCCAACGCGGCTGCCAGGGCTGGGTGGGTTGAAGCCCACATAGGCTTCGCGGCGAGCAGGGCTACCGACCGTCACAGACCAGGTATGCAATCCGTAATAGGCGGCGATAGAATGCACGAGCCAGCGACTAAACACAAAATCAGTACTCTGTCGAAGCTGACATACCATCTACCAAGCCTAGACTTACCCAAACGCTGCCGCACGATCTTCCACCAAGCTCTCAAACACCATCTTCTCGCCGTCACGTTCATCGTGTGAACTGAGCTCTTGACGGAGCTGCTGCAGTTTCTGCTTGCGCTCAGGGGAATCATGCATCTGCCCATTACGACCAACAAAAACAATCTCATCCTCTGACTCATCGCTACCCGAGGACTCGGGAGCATCTTGAAGTCCCTCGCTCATGAGATACTGTTGCTTCTCGTTCCACTTGCGGATAAAGAGTCGAACGTCATCCTCCAAGTCTTGCAACATGCCAAGGGCAGCACGAGTATGCTTCAGTCTCGAGCGAAGCTCCTTAGGAACACGATGCTTTGTATTGGCGGCCTTCGCAGCGTTCTTCCGAGCCGAATCATGATCAGCAACACGGGAGAAGTGGACATCCCAGAGCGGTGCCAGATAGTATGGCATCGGGTTATGACGTGTGTGAGTAGGTTGGATTACCCAGTCCTTTGGGGATGGTGGCTCTGCCCATGGGTTATGTAGCAACCGGTCTTGCATATAATTAGCTTTCATGATTCTACCTTATTTTTGATATTGATTCAAGTTCTCATAGAACCAGAACACGGGAGACGGGACGAGATCACACACCGTTCTCCCAGCGCTGTCGCCGCCGGCTACCATCTTTGCCTTTCAACAAGGCCTCGCGACTCTTCATGCTATCTCGGGTCAAAGGCTCTCGGCGCCGAAAACTGACTGTCGGCGCCCGAGTCTGTGGTGGTCCAGCGACCTTAACACTGGAAGGAATGACCGGCTCATCGTCAAGCGGAATCGAGAGAGATACAGTCGCTCCCCGCAGAGTAGAGCGTGTTGGTGTTGATGGCAGTACAGGTCCGTTGGCTCCGTTACACTCTGAGAGGGACAAATCCTGAAGCGACGCGGCGGCTTGTTCCGTCCACGCGGAAATAGCCATAGTTTGCTGTGGCGACAGGCTCCCCTGAGAGTCCTGGGGCCGTAATCTCGGATGAATAGCCATGATGGTGAGTAATTATAAGAATGTAGGATCGCAATGTAGGAGAGGTCCTGAGGGGGTATAAGAATACTGTAAGGATGAAAGGACCCCTCGAGCACGTAGACGTAGATAAGGAGATAAAGACGCCTCGCTGCTGCACGGGATTCAGATAACGCGTTGATTGGCGGAAAGTGGACCAACTGGTGAGCCCTAGCCCTGCTTTCCTAAATAGGAAACAATGACTCGCGCCTTTGTCACAAATCACGTGAAATATCACGAGACCGTCGCGTGACTTGATTTGGTTCCAATCGATTGTCTTTTTGTCTGATTTCTGCCTGATTAACTCCAGATCCAATGGATATCTCGAGGTATTTGTCCAAACAGAATCAAGAGAACTATCTCATCGATCCCCGGTTCTTTATACACAGCCTAGATTCGTGTTTTGTATGTCTAATGATGAATCACTCTCCACAAGTGACTCACGGACAAATCAAGAGTGGAGCTATCTCCTCTCCACCCAATCCCCGCGCGAAAATCATTTTGCGATTACGATTTTACCGAGGAACCTGGTATGACCGGGTGGGGAACCTGGCATGGGAGTTACTGATACCCAACAAAAAGGGATAATAACGCCATCACAAAAGATGTTGAACATCTTACGACGAACTCCGTAGTGGATCATAGATAGCTCTGTTGAAACAAGGGATATCTCTTTACTTAGAGCAAGGCTGCTTCGCTATTAATAACCCTGTTTAGCGCGGGGTCCGAATAGGCAATCAAGGGCTTGGCGGTCTCCATTTCTGCGATGCCTAGGCGCGTGCGCTCCGCCCCCAACTCCTCACAATTCTCCTCTTTATAAGAGCTCTTTGTTTATTCCTGCATATTCCCATCTTTATTTTATCCTTTCTTTCAAAATTACTGGGATATCATGAAGTTCCTGACTCCCTTAGCGCTAAGCGCAACATTCTCGACCGCTCTAGCTGCGGTCATTCCTCAGGAACCACTTGGGCCTTCAATCGTCCAAAATACCCAGGAGCCTAAATGGCTGATTGAATTGGCCCCATATACCACTCGCTGGGTCACAGAAGAAGAGAAGTGGGCATTGAAGCTTGTATGTAGTACATTCAAACATGTGTTGGTTATCATTTGGTCGCGGTTACTAATCTTTCGTTTACTATTAGGATGGAGTCAACTTCATCGACGTTACCGATGAATTTCAGTCGGGTTCCTACGGTGTCTTGCATACCCAGCGCATCGTCCGATACCCTGGACAAATGGAACACTCCAGTGACGTGTTCCCACTAGCCAAGGATCTATCAAAGAGCAACATGAAGAAGAACCTGGAGCATTTCACTTCCTATCACACCCGCTACTACAAGTCTAAGACTGGTATTGAGTCTGCCGAGTGGCTATTATCACAGGTTTCCGATGTGGTCCACGATTCGGGCGCAAGTGAGCATGGCGCATCTGTGGAGCGTTTCGACCACCCATGGGGCCAATTCAGTATCATTGCGCGAATCCCGGGTCAGACCAACAACACCGTGGTGTTGGGCGCCCACCAGGACAGCATCAACCTTTTCCTTCCCTCTATCCTGGCTGCGCCAGGTGCTGATGACGATGGCAGTGGAACTGTCACTATCCTTGAAACGCTCCGGACTCTGCTGCAGTCTGAAGCCATTGTTCGGGGACAGGCGGAGAACACCATTGAGTTCCACTGGTACTCTGCCGAGGAAGGCGGCCTGCTGGGTTCTCAGGCCATCTTTTCTAGCTACAAGAAAGATTATCGCGAGATCAAGGCTATGCTTCAGCAGGATATGACCGGCTACGTCCAAGGCACCCTGGACGCTGGTCTGCCAGAATCAGTTGGAGTCATTGTCGACTACGTGGACCAAGGCCTCACCGAATTCATCAAGGAAGTTATCACAACTGTAAGTCATTCCCCTATGAACATGCAAGGATCCACTTTTCTAACTGCCGCCCCGCTTCACTAGTACTGTGATATCCCTTACGTTGAGACCAAGTGCGGCTATGCCTGTTCGGACCACGCATCGGCTAGCCGATTTGGCTACCCTTCGGCATTCGTGATCGAGTCCCAGTTTGAGAATTCGGACAAGAAGATCCACTCAACTGATGACTTGATCAAGTACCTGAGCTTTGATCACATGCTCCAGCATGCTAAGATGAGCCTAGCCTTTGCATACGAGTTGGCATTTGCGCCTTTCTGATCGAGGGAATGTCTCTTTCCTCCCCTTGACGATTGTTAATGTTCCTTCTTCTTGTTTATTAATACCGGAGTTTGCGAGATATACCTATGGGGCATTCGTTTACATACACTCAGGACGATCTTAGATCTTAGATCCGTCTTTGGCTTCCAATTCGTGGCTGGGCTTGGACCCTGCACTGAACATTCGAATCAATAGATTCCTTCCTCTCTTTCAACTTCAGATGTCATTCCTGACTCGGGATTTGCTATTTATATAGCACTCAAGTCAATTGTGTTTAATATTCCATTTGATTTCAGTAAATAATTTGTAGTATCTGAATGACGCATGCGCTCGCACCACGTGACTCATTATAAAGGGGACCGGGATCGACGAAATGTATTTCGACAATTGCAACCTTGGAAGATCCTCGCACCACAGATAAATCACATTTTGGCCGGTCCAATTACTACGGGGACACCTGTCCCATTTTGATTCCTACACTTATCTAGCCCCCCTCTTCTTGTTCAAAGTTTCAACCCAATTTGAGAAACCGCAAACATGAGTCACGCCTACACCCAAGAGCTCCACCTAGCTTGCCTCGCCGTCCAGCGCGCCGCAATTCTAACGAAACAATTGCTATATGAGGTTGACAAGGGCTCCCTAAGCAAAAGCGACGCATCTCCCGTGACGATAGCCGATTTTGCCGCCCAAGCCTCCATCATCGCCGCGATCCACCACACGTTCCCGGACGATGACATCGTCGGCGAAGAAGACGCTACGGCCCTCCGCGAGGACCCCGCCCTCCTAGAGCGAACATGGGAACTTGCCACATCTGTTCACCTTGACGACGAAGCCAGCGAAGCTCTTCTACATACCCCACAATCTCGGGAAGAACTTCTCGATCTAATTGATCTCGGAGCCCGCGGCGAGTGCAGGCACGGCCGCCGGGCGTGGACACTGGACCCCGTAGACGGCACGGCCACATACATTCGCGGACAACAATATGCAGTCTGTCTTTCCCTTGTGGAAGATGGGAAACAGAAGCTCGGTGTTATCGGATGCCCAAATCTTCATCTCGGCACTGGGCGCGTCGCCGAGGACCTGGTGGATCGGGACGGCTACGGCCAACTTTTAACTGCGATCGCTGGGCAAGGAGCCTTCATCCAACCACTTGGCACAGGCTATTTACTACCTGGGAAACAGTTGGAACCTGTACCACAAATTACAAAGACCAGTGAGGTACGACTAGTTGATACACACGAAGCGAGTTCCCAACGGCTTGATACACACGAGAAAATCGCAGCGAATCTAAGCTGCGCGTGGCCGAACTCTGTGGATCTCTGGTCAGCTCAAATGCGGTACATTGCTATCGCGGTACAGGGAGGGTGTAACTCTTTCATCAAGGTGCCACGGAAAGCGACGTACCGATCGAAGATCTGGGACCATTCTGGTGGGATGTTGCTTGCGCAGGAGCTTGGGTGCGTGGTGTCAGATCTAGAGGGTCGCCCAGTGGATTGCGGCTTGGGTCGGACTTTAGCTGGATGTCACGGCATGGTCGTGGCGCCTGCGTCCATTCATGGACAGATCCTCGAGGCTGTTCGGGTTGTACGACAGCAACTTGAAGTTGTTGAGTAATTTACTTCAATGATCATGCCTAAGGAACTAACCTTCCAGGGCCTGGTATTTTAAATGGAAGAAAAAGGAGGAGATACCATTCATATGAGACAAACCTATAAAATGAATAATATGATTTAATGCTATTCTGTGTAGATGCATACTCAGCTTTCTTTCAGCGGTCAGTCTACCAGGGCGCGCAAGGGCACTATTGATACCCCGTTAGGATGGGATCTCCAATTTTCAGTTTAATAGTTCTCGCTGCATGATGTGCCTAGGTCTTTACGCATTATGTGAGTCAGATCGGCTCTTAGGCTTGTGGCACTGGCCTCCAAGGCGTTTGCCCCGCGTTCTCAAATTCGTGTTAGCCTAGGTAACAACATTATAAAGTACATGTGTGTACATCTGCATGTTTCTTTTTCTTTATAAGTCACTGATGTATTTCTCCTTTAAGTTTTCCAAAGCATACTTCTGCTTGTTAGTATAGTAGATGTTGCTGAATGTGAACTATATACTATATTTTAGACTAAACTAAGAATATTTCATCTGATATCCATATGCTAGTACCCGGGACTTGCCTAGTTGGGAGTGGTTTGAACCAACTTGCACTTCAGTTCAACTTGAACTTAAAGCTCTCAACTTGCTACAACTAGTATTAATACTACTCATCAGGTACTAGTACCTCTTTGTACTACTCCCTAGGATCCTGTAGGATCCTCTCGACCCCAGGTTGATCTGCTACATGGGGACCGTGCACGTCGATCAGCACCACGAGTAGACAGTTGCGCCATTCAAATGGCAGCTTTGTTGCACCTGCTACATATGCATCGCGCCAGACGAAGCCCTTGTGCTTAAAATGTTTCAAATCTTCATCCTCATTCTTCTCACAATATTCAACTGGTCATATTGATCAAGTCTTCACCAAGTACAGCAAAACTTGGTTATGGTGGGGCATGAGCTGCCAACTTTAATCTTGGTTCCATCATTCATTCGACCAAGTTGCACTGTTCGTACAAAATTTGACATCACTGAAGATTGAGTTCATTGACCTCATTGTACCGCGCCACTGCAGCTCCTTGAACCATGACTGGTGGGAACCTGGTCACCAGATCATTGCGGGGATCCCTTCTTGTATATAACACCACTGACATCCCTTTCCCCCCCCCACCTTACCACTACTATGTACTAGTAGCCTTGGAGACTTCTTGAAATCATCATGGCCAACTATTACAATCCTTTCGCCAGGCGTGAGACTCATAATGCTCACGCGCTAAATGTATATCGCATCTTTGTTCCTCTCACCTGGGCGCTGGTCGTCATCGTTGGGATTTACTATTCCACCAATTCGACAGATGACACTAAGCATGGTAAGAAGATCTGGAAGCAGATCAAGAATCATCCCACACCTTTCACCCAGAACCAGACTGTCACTGAGATCTATTGGTAAATAAGTTCACAGTAGCACAAAGTATAACCATTTCGAGTCATTCTAATACTCGCATAGGGTCCTCTTGCTACTCTCTCAGCTAAGCTATGTGTGGCATCTCTTCAGTAAGGATGTTGCGCTGGTAGCTTCCGCTGCCAATGTGGCAACTCACTTTATCCTGAATAATCTATTTACCCTCGCCTGGATTCTACTCTGGACTCGTAACTTTTTCTGGAGTGCGGAGATTATTCTCGTCGCCCATTTGATCAACCAGAGTTCGTGTTACTGGCGCCACCGGGGACTTCCGGCTTTCGTACACTTGCCCGCTGTGGCAGGTCCATATGCTTGGACACTGACTGCGTTGTTCTGGAATGGTGCCGTGGCTGTACACAGCCATAATCTCCCCGGTCGCATCGTGGCTAACATCTTTATTTGGGTGATCCTGGCTATCGGTCTGTTTGATATTGTCATTTATCAGGATTATATCCTGGGTTACTGCCTGAGCTTCCTGACTCTCTGTAAGTGAAGACTGGTTACAAAAGATCAATGTTTTGTATGGGACAAGTTTACTAATAAGTACTATAGCACTGGCCGTCCAGCAATTCTCTATCAAGATCATTGCTTTGCAGTGGATCTTTGCCTTTACCATCTTCGGCGTCTTCCTCGTAAGCTCGCTGTACATTTCCACTACGAAGTACGCGGGCCGGGATTCGCTATTCCGTCGGGTCGCGCATCCCGAGTCAACCGATCGTGAAAGACAACCTCTGCTTAACGAGGAAGCCTAAATCTTGTTCCTGCAGGATTGGGGGCTACTTGGGGTTAGCAATAACTTGAAAGACAAACGTGGGAACCCACTAGGACTTGGAAAAAGGACGCTAATCAGGTATGGTGAAATGGATGTGATGTAGTGGCAAGGACGGCATGATATGATGTTCTTTTGTGATTACAGATGATCTCCCCTCTCTTTTGCAGTCGTAATACCATCTGGAGTTGGTTTAGCTTGGATTGATTTGGGTCGGGATATATGAACTTAACGCACTGTTAACACCGGGATTGCGCAGCTTCAAGCGCCTCTGACCCACTTAGTGCCCAAGTGGAGCAGGGATCTGGAAGTATCAGTTGTTTACATCACAAGTTGATGTGGAATATTTGAAGGGACTGCGATGAACTGATAATATTGGTGATATTAATAATGAAATTCAAATCGAGTGTTATTTGAAATGATTGTATTGTCAATATCTCCCTTGAGAGTATATATGATGTAAAAGTTAGGATTAAAGTAGAAACATGAAATCAATCACGTTATCCCGTGCCTGGTCAAGCGCGAGTTGTCCTGGCAACAAACTCCACCTCCGCTTTGTTGATCCAGCACGGAGGAACCGGGCCAGACTTGATTTCTCAACCTTGCATATCTATTGTGGCTCTCTACTTTTATCAACTGGAGTCTGGATCCATTTCTGTTCCTCAATTCTTTCATATCTCACCTTCTCGATTTTGTACTTGATCCATCGAGGTGTGTAGCATTCTTTCGCGATCAACATTCCTCAACCTTCCCGATTATCCACTAACGCAACTGTCAACCTGTCAGACTGCGACCACTCTCTCAGTGCTGGTAGCTGAGAATTGTGCTCAAAGTACTGCAAACCAGCCTTTTTGAACAATAGACCTTTCCCGTACTATGAGCCATTGAGATACAAGAATACGCATTCCATTATGAACCGTCAGCCACTGTCTGGCTACGGGGACGCACCCCCAGCCTATGACATGGAAACAACATCATTTTTATCCGAAGCAGAATCTCCGTCACGCCAAAATGGCGCGACAATGCGATTGCTTCCAACAAGTGGGGAGGAATACGATCATCATGACTTGGGTGACAGTCCAACCACTGCTCAATCATACTACTCACAAGAGTATGACACTACTCCGTAAGTTTTATAGATTCCGTACACTGCAATGACTTGGGACCGATGGCACATTCCAGTCGTTGCCCCGCGACATGACGACAGACGCGTTTCGTCAATTTTGGCTCTCCCTTATCAAATTCCATAATACTGTGGTGCTTGATTGGACTGCCCAAGAATGAACGGCCGCATTTGGTAGAGCATTATTGGCGCTTGAGGAAACTTGTTGCGTTTTTGCCTGCCATAAACACCGGGCATATTGCACCTGTTTATCGCAGTGTCCCGCAAGCTACCCAACCAACACTGCGAGATGCCGCCGCCGTTTCATGTCATGGATTCTCGGGCGCGACCGCGAACTAACACTCGCGGACGAACTAGGACCGGACAAGCGGCTTACGACAGTCGATTTTACCAAGTTCCCAGTGTTTCCTCACCATCTCGTCCCACATCAAGCTTAGGAAGCGCCCCTCATATGCCCCCACCCACAGCCAACCTAGCAGATCCATCAGTGTATCCTTCGATTCCCCCACGAACAGGCTCCCCCACGCGTCCATGGAGTCCCGGTCATGTTCGACCTCCCTCTGTCTCAAGTGTTGGATATGAACGTGCCGATATCAATGGTAGCCCACGACCGGGCACCCCAAGCTCACGATATGGAGGCAGTCCACGTCGACCATTGCCACCTGCTCCTTTGTTTTCCGGACCAGCCTCGTCTGGTGTTGACTCAAGTATTGACATCGGAGATGGTATGGACGGAGAAGACCCCTTCGGAGGTGGCGGTCGAACCATTCATCACAACTCACGCGGTAGTGTGCGCTCATTCATGAGTGAATCGACCTACATGGGTGATGAGAAAGATGGAATGTCCAAGGTTGATCTTGATGAGGAAGACGAGGAGGGTGTCAATATGGTTGACCCCAACATGCACTACGGGCCTGCTCCTGATAAGCAGACTCGTCGAGGTGTGCGTGAGGCGCAGATGGCCAAGAAGGAGGTGCAACTGATTAACGGCGAGCTTATCCTGGAGTGCAAAATCCCGACTATTCTTCACAGTTTCCTACCTCGTCGCGATGACCGCGAGTTTACTCATATGCGATACACCGCGGTTACTTCTGATCCGGATGACTTCTCAAGTCGAGGCTACAAGCTGCGACAGCAGATTGGAACGACTGCCCGCGAGACTGAGCTCTTTATCTGTGTCACCATGTACAACGAAGATGAAATTGGTTTCACCCGCACTATGCACGGTATCATGCGCAATATCAGCCACTTCTGTTCGCGTACCAAATCCCGTACCTGGGGTAAGGACGGTTGGAAGAAGATTGTTGTCTGTATTATCTCCGATGGTCGTAAGAAGGTTCATCCTCGTACTCTCAACGCCTTGGCTGCTTTGGGTGTTTACCAAGAGGGTATTGCGAAGAACGTTGTCAACCAGAAAGAAGTCCAGGCTCACGTCTATGAGTACACCACTCAGGTCTCCCTCGACTCTGATCTGAAGTTCAAGGGTGCGGAGAAGGGCATTGTTCCTTGCCAGGTTATCTTTTGTCTAAAGGAGCACAATCAGAAGAAGCTCAACTCCCACCGTTGGTTCTTCAATGCCTTCGGTCGTGCTCTCCAGCCAAATATCTGTATCCTTCTGGATGTCGGTACCAAGCCCGAGCCAACTGCTTTGTACCACCTTTGGAAGGCCTTTGATCAGGACTCCAATATTGCTGGCGCTGCTGGTGAAATTAAGGCCGGTAAGGGCAAAGGCATGCTTGGCTTGCTTAATCCTCTTGTTGCCAGTCAGAACTTTGAATACAAGATGTCCAACATCCTGGATAAGCCTTTGGAGTCTGTCTTTGGATACATTACTGTGTTGCCTGGTGCGCTCAGTGCGTATCGTTTCTTCGCTCTGCAAAATGATGCCGATGGTAATGGTCCTCTGAATCAATACTTCAAGGGTGAAACCCTACACGGTCAAGATGCCGACGTTTTCACCGCCAACATGTACCTTGCCGAAGATCGTATTCTCTGCTGGGAGTTGGTAGCTAAACGTGAAGAAAGATGGGTTCTGAAGTTCGTCAAAAGTGCCGTTGGTGAGACTGATGTTCCTGATACGATTCCTGAGTTCATCTCTCAACGTCGTCGTTGGCTGAACGGTGCTTTCTTCGCTGCTGTGTACTCCAACTTCAATGCAAAGCAGATTTGGTACACCGATCACAGTATTGGTCGCAAGATCCTGTTGCACATTGAATTCGCATACCAATTTTTCAACCTCCTGTTTACATACTTCGGATTGGTAAGTTCTTCCATCGTATGAATGCGTCCCAACGCGCTTAACTGAAATTTTTTTATTCAGGCAAATTTCTATCTCGCTTTTTACTTCATCGCTGGCTCCCTGACTGACAAAAAAATTGATCCCTTCGGTCACAACATGGGCAAATACATCTTCCTGGTCTTGCGCTACGCCTGTGTCCTGGTCATGTGTCTGCAGTTCATTATCTCTCTGGGTAATCGTCCGCAAGGTGCTAAAAACCTCTATCTGTCTGGTATCATCGTCTACAGTGTTATCATGGCTTACACAATTTTCTGCGCGCTTTACCTCTGTGTTTTGGAGTTGATGGCCCGCGCGGGAGTGGGCGACACATCATTGGATGTCAGCAACTCCCTTCTTATGAACATCGTTATTTCCATGTTGAGTACTGTCGGCCTTTACTTCTACATTTCAATTCTCTACCTCGACCCCTGGCACATGATCACCTCCTCGCTGCAGTACTTCCTGCTCATGCCAAGTTACGTTTGCACACTGCAAGTGTATGCTTTCTGTAACACTCACGATGTTACCTGGGGTACGAAGGGTGATAACGTGATGAACACTGATCTTGGTGCTGCGAAGACTATCGACGGCAAAACTGTTTTACTTGAGATGCCATCAGAGCAATTGGATATTGACAGTGGCTACGATGCTGCCCTCCGCAACCTGCGTGACCGCCTCGAGGTTCCTGAGACCCCTCTTAGCGAAGCCCAGATGCAGGAAGACTACTACCGTGCTGTGCGTACATACATGGTGTCCGTCTGGATGATTGCCAACTTGATTCTCGCCATGGCTATTTCCGAAGTCTACGGTGTTGATTCCGGTGGCACGAACATCTATCTCTCCATTATTCTTTGGTCCGTGGCCGGTCTAGCTTTGGTTCGTGCTGTTGGTTCCACAACCTATGCCATCTTGCACTTGATCCACAAGATCGTTGAAACAAAGACCAAATTCGATGCTGGAAACCTGACAAACTTCGCTCCGAGTGCCTTTGGCGGAAGTAGTGTTGGCACTAGCTCCGAAGGTGGGTCCTCGAAGCCTATCCGCTACAGTGGTAAGCCTAGCTTCAAGGACCGTGTCTCTGAGGCCCGCTGGGCGGTTGGACGAACAATGGGCAAAGCCATGTTCTGGCGCAAAAACTAGATTCCCCCATTTGCCTGTTCTGATATGATTTTCCTACTATCTCGGCGTTACTTTTTTTTCTTTCTTGGAGTTTATGTTTTCCTTCTGCTTCATGATGGAAATATTTGACATGATCCTGATTTACTTTATGCCGTGGGACTTATGGGTCTATGCGTGATGGATGGATGTATTTATGCGTTTGACTCAATCTAATCATCAACACTACCTAATTCTGCTTCTCGTAATTCCTGCTATACATCTAGTTCATAAGCACAGCATAAATCATCATGATACTCTCAAATGTTGAAATGTGAGTAGACCATTAAGTCAAGATCCCTTGTTGTGTTTTTCTTTGTTTTCCATTTAGTTGCAGCCGCGTCAACCATGCTGACGACACTATTGATTGATTTGGCGACAATTAACACAGCACGGAACTTGTTTCGGTGCATTAATCAAGCTGAGGCGGGGCTGTAACAGGGTCTGATCCTTTGATTGATGTTATTGGGAGTGGATGGTTTGGGACTATGATCAGCGTTATTTGGCTTCTGTTTAGCCCTGTTATGTAGGGTGTGTACCTTTGGGGGGCATGGATATCGAATGAAAAATCAGAAAACTCCGGAATAAGGCTCTCGCATCAAATTCAAGATGACAGAAAAGGAAATATCAATATTGAGTGTTTCAATTTTCTCTCACCGTTAGTTTTTTGTGAGGCAGCAAGGGGACAGAGTGAAAGAAATTCTCAAATACTCCAGTTCAAAAGATTTGTGCTTCCAGGGCTCCTAAGACTGCAACTAGAATTTACCATATTCAAAACTTGAGACCTCGTGTGGTTTGGGGCGATGTTTCACATAAAATGAGTGCATGGTTAAAGCAATGCCTAACTTCAACTTGGAGTTGCTCTATATGATCTTTCTCCAAAGAATGGAACAGGATAAAGAATTTTATACGAAGGAATACTATCATTGATACCTCTCCTACTGGCAGTAAACCTCATCATGATGTGGATATGCTGGCTCAGGCAATGCGTCTTTCACTGCAAACGTGGCAGGATTTCGTGCAGATCTTCAAACAAAGGACACTTTGCTATATTACTATCCCACGATGGAGGCGATATTCAGTTCATATTCATCCCAAATTATTATTCTACTATTTACCTCATTACAAGAGCAAATTGCTAAAATGACCACTACGCCTGAAAAGAATAACTCCATAGATGTTGACACCAAGAGACGCTCCCAAACATTTTTCTTTGGAACTCAAGAAAACACAATTCGCTGGTCGGAAAAAGATGGATGGGACCTATCTTGGCAACCAAGTGTGAACTTGTAGTCAGCATCGCTGAATAACAGCATGACCCTTGACTGTACACCAGGCCCAGTCAAGATCAATCCCAAAAGGACTGACTGCATTAGTGATTGTTGATATGCCAAATCACTTCCTGAACGATGAGTTCCGCATGTGGTATAAGATGTCAAAGTGGCGAGATTTGGCCTTGAATGCACTTTTATAGCATGCCATACCAGCGGCACGTAAGCTTGGTATTCAGATTCTCTGGTTGAACTTGGGTTTTACGAAAGAAGAAGCCAACAGCTTTGGAGTTTATGTTTGGAGAACTCGAACGAGCTTCCGGTGAGAGTAAAACACTCGGTGGAAAACCCAAAGATGAACTGCTTAAGCAACAAACGGACAGTGAAACATCTGCTGCAAGCCCTTTACGCCTTTCCAAGCGCCGGGAAATCCACACTCCCCACCTGAGCGACAGGCCTGGTGAGCCAACAAATGAGATTCAATTGCCCAATGGGAGCCTTGTTGAACCAGGGCGAGTCCTGGTCAAAGGAACTTGAGATGCGGCTCTGTATGAACCCTTCAACGACTCATATGAAGGAAGCAAGAAGATTACTCGCCCAGACATTCTGATTGAAAGGTATCGTAACTACGGCCTCTATGCTGAAGGGACCACTTTGGGCGACAGCCTGCGGAAGGAAGGAATCCGCACTTTGCTCTGGTAATAGTGCTGATGTCTGTGCTTCCATTGGGAGTCAGGAAGCTCATGTCGCAGGCTTTGATACTATTATGCTGAAGGATGGATTGATGGATGGTGGTCCATCTTTCCGGGAGTCAGCATTATTCAAAAACTGGGCATTTAGTTTCATAGGCCCTTGCAGCGTTATTTTTGAACTGGCAAATGCAAGAGAGAATAGAGAGGTGCAGCAGCTCAAACTAGCACAAAATCTATTCTTCACAGCTGAGCCATGCAGGTTTTCCGACGCTGCATGGTGCGCAAAACGTCTTGTCAAATCCATGCTATCAATAAGTAACTTTACGAAAGCGATGCAACATTACGAACAGGCCCGCGACTGGAGAATCCAAGAGCATATTGAGACCAACCATGGAGAGAGTTCAGAAGAATCCCCTTTGAGTTTCGAGTGGTCACGTCAAATATGTCTGTTTGAGCTTGCAAGAGGCAATGATGCAGAGCAGATGGAAGTCATATGGGATTTGGGCAGTAACATCGCTTCAAAGCCTTTGTCAGGTCACCCAAAGCATGTACAACGGAACACGATTCCATAGTAAGATCTCCTATTTGGTTGATATTGAGACATATAGGTTCAAGATGCTAACTTCTTGCAGTGTGAACTTTGCCTTGGGCACTATGTATCAATCGCTGGGTTTGCTATCTTCTGCCGAGACTTTTTTTAATCAGGCCATCAAGACTCGGAACTGCCTTATACAAGAAGATTCAGCTGAGGGAAAATATGGAAAACAACACCACGAACTTTTGAATTTGGACCCTTTGATTGTTGCGTGTCTTTATCGAAAGGCGTGCATAGCACTTGATAAAGGCAAGGAATATATGGCGCGGTATGTGGCCCATCCCTCATGTTTTAAACTCACGTTGTTGAACTTTTCTCACAGGCCTGTTAGGATCCATCTTCATAATGCAGAAGAAATCACATGCCGGTACAAGGAGAGTATGCCAGTGGAGCACACCAGAGTGCTACTCAAGAAGGCAGAGATCGACGAAATGAATGACAATCCAGAAGACTCCGATGACGCAGTCAGTCTATACGCTAAGGAGCTACGCGAGGAGGCTGTGAAGCTTCTACGAACTCGTTTCCCTGATGCAAAGGAAGTTGATTCTTTGAAGACATACAATGATGCTGTTTTCATTTTGTGGCGATGATTATAGAGTATGAAGGCATATGGGTACTGAGGTACCTCACCTAGAGATAGTAGCGGTAAAGATGCAAGAACATTGGAATGACCTCGAGAGGGTATATTACGATTGCCATTTACAATCAATTTCAAGATCTCAAATTGACGTCACGCCGGTGCATCCTTACAGATTATTCTTTTTTATCCGATGTCCAGCTACTAACTATTCTAGGTTATAATTGTAGTTTCATCAACTCAAGGTAGTATTCATCCCGAGGTTCTCGCCCTCAGATTTAAATCCATTCTCATATGAATTACGCACAAACTTCTAAATGGAGATTTCGAAATGTGTTATGCATAGCCTCACGACCCACTAATAGGTGGGTACGACCCTTGGGCTAAACCCTGAATCGTAGATGGTATCTCGGGCGAGGCTTTCAACGAGCTGAAGGATTTCTGCAGATCACTATGTCCTAATGCATTGAAAGTACAAAATAAACCGCTTGAGCATGTTGTAAGAGTGGTTCAATTGGATTTTTACCCAGGAAGACTAGGACTAGTATGATCATAAATGTTTGTCTGGGTACTGGCATCCATCTGCACTAGCACTCCTTCGGTGCAGTTGTATTCCGAATAGCAATTTTGACCAGTGTTCCTTGAGCAGAAGTAGATCGTTTCCTGGTTCGAATAGTAAGAAAGAGATCTACCCATGTGTCTCTTGGCGGAGTTTGATCGACACTTTTTAGGGCGGCCCCCGGTTTTTACACGGCCATGATTGAGAAATCAACTGGGAGGTTGTGGAGATGAACAAGGGTCTGCTCCACTTAACGGCCCACTATGATAGCCTTGCGGCTCACTCATCGTCATAAAAGGCCCACTTCATGTAGGCTCAATGTACCCTTGGGGCGACGGGGCAACAATGCATGCGTGAAACACGGGCGAGGGGGCTAGATAATACTTGTGAAGCCGGATGATGCTTGTGAGCCCGGATGATTGCGCATGTATGTTGAGTCCTTTGAATCCTTTGAGATAATCAAGTCATTCAAGTTGATGTTCTTTGCGACTCAAAAAAGGGCATAAATAGCTGGAATCTCCTCGAGAGACTGAGTATCATTCAACAACTCCTTCAAACAAGTCTCTTCCATTCGAATATCCTCTCACTTCCAAATTTCCAAGTCCTTTGACTACCTCCTCTATCAAAAATCATCATGAAATTCTTCAGCATGCTCGCTATTGCTGCCTTTGTTGGCCTCTCAAGTGCCGCTGGTATGTAAAAGAAGCCATATTCCAATTGAAATGAGCTCAGGTTATGATCATGATGCTAATTGAAATTCATAATAAACAGCTACATCTATCGATTGTACCACTGATGCCGACTGTCCCTCCAACTTGCCCAACTGTGTTCACTGGGAATCTGAGCAGCCCTACTGCGGTCCTGCTGCCTAAGCATCTGATCCGCATGTTCAATTTTGTAGTATACTGAGCTCAGTGTACTTACGGGTCTATGGATATTTTGTAATAGCAAATTATCCAATAAGTACGAGATGAGAAATCTGAATTGAATCTTATAGCCTACATCGATTGATTTTGTATAAAGTAGACCACTAGTAGAACTGAGAGAAACTTGAAAATCTTATTCCGTTTTACTTTACCATCCGTCCAAGGCCTATTCGTCTTGATTTTCTAACTCAAGATATTTGAGACCAGACTCTTTGTTAATAAGGCTTGTGAAGAGGCCATATGGCAAGAAGGTGTTGCAGAACCAGCTGAGGGTGGAAGCTGCACCATGTCGAATGAAATTTTCATTCCGTCCCAGAACGTCCTTGACTATGTTATTTGCTGTGACATCCACATCTGCTTTACCAGGATGCACCAGGACCTTCTTATGACGATCTATGGTCGACCATATTTGGTGATAGTAAGAATCCGAAGGTAATTCAAGGTCGGCGATTTTTGTCGGGTCGTTTCCATTTGTCTTAACACCCCCAAGCACAACCGTGACAACTCGCACACCAAGAGGCGCCATTTCAAGGCGTAAAGTTTCGGATATTCTAGTCCCAGCACTTCTCGAGCTCCCATAGACACCTGTATCGAAGTTAGTCCATCATCAGCGTGCTCACGGGAGGCTCACGGCGTACCATGCCACGCAAAAGTCATTTCACCAGTTACCGAACTGATATTGCATATCACCCCTTGAGCTTTGATAAGCATCGGAGAAAATTCCTGTGCCATCGCGACAACGGACCAAACGTTGGTGTTGTATAACTTCTTGGCTTCATCTATTGAAGTGTCCAACAATGGCATAACGGTACTCATGCCGGCATTATTGACGAGAATATCGAGTGTTCCTCCTGTGTGTTTTTCAACGACTTTCGCGCACTGCGCAATGGATTCACTCGATGTAACATCCAGATCCAGGATAGTTATATCCTTATTATCGCTTAGTGAGCCAAGCTTGGTCATGTTACGCACAGTTGCGAAAACTCTGAAGCCTTTGGCATGGTAAACCTTTGCCATTGCCTCTCCAAGGCCACCACCGCTGCAACCGGTTATCAGGACTGTTTTTTGGCTCATGCTGGTTTCAATGGTAATATTGAAGAAAGTATCTCAAGAAATTTTGATTCATCCTTATCCTTCGGGTAGGACCATGATCTGAATTTAAAGCCTATCGTCCGATGTGGAAGGGGAGGCAACCGGGTACGGACTTCAGAGCATGAAATCCGTCGGCAACCATAGAGCCCGAGTCAATTGATGGCACCCGCGTTAAAAGCCAAAACCCGGAGGTATCACCCTTGTCAGTCTGGAAAATTATTCAAATGCCGATTTCCTGTGCCAGAAACTTTCTCTAGCTGCCCGGTGATACAGAGTGAACCCCGGCGGAGCTCTCTTCCGACTTGGACATGACACAGAATGATGCACAAAGGATATCTCAAATGAGTCAAATGCAACTTCACGGTCTGGAACTGAGAATATAAGAATATTTCTAGTGAATATTGAGAATAAAGCTTTTTGTTGTTCGAATCATTGTGATTATCTTGGTGGTGTTCAGAATAGACACCCTCGGCGTCCGTTGCTACTGAAAAGTAGTACCACACCTATTTTTGACATTAATTCAAGTTCCACAAGGAGCGATTGATTTTCGCTGGAATTCTTAATCCATATTGGAAACATTAATTATAGCTCGCAATGATTTATTTAAAAGAATCTAGTCCAAAATTGGGATGGCAATGAGGAGACATGTCAAAATGGTAGCATTCTACACGGTCGAAAAGTGAGGCTATCCAGGTTATAGGGACTGATTGTTGACGGCTACTAACGATACAAATTTGTCACTGAATCTACTAAGAGCTGATTCTAGATTAAAAATCTGAAAATTGTCATGAGCTGTGTAATTCAATGGTTCATTTCACGTCATTGTAGGTAGCTTTCTAGATGGCTAACCTAGATCCGCTCAGAGCTTAGAATCCTTCTTTCCACCCTTGATAACTTCCTCCACCAACTTGGCTGCAGCCAAAGTCTCCTCATCTTTGAAGTGTCTACCAGTAACCTGTAATGCTACAGGTGCACCCTCATACCGATCCGGGCCTTGATACTTCTCCCACTCCCTTTCATCAACCTCGCTGCGCGGCTTATATTTCTTATCTTGTTCGGTTAATGCATCCAGTTTTGGATCAACACTGATTCCAGATGGGAAGATAGCAGCAGGCAGATCCAAGACATTCCAAATCGCGGTATAGTTCCAATAATGCGATTCGCCGTATACCGCTGCAACACCTGGGTATGCAGGAGAGAGAATGAAATCGACTCCGCGACTCTTCATGAGAGCATTGTAATCGTCTCGGTAAACATCTCTGTCGTGCTGCAACTCCCAGGCCTCGGGATGACTGAGGGGACTAGAGCGCGAGAAGTTGAATACCCAGTCGCTTAATGGCAGAACCGGCTCGCCCGATTCGCGAATGATCTTGCGCTGTAGGGCTGCACTATCAGGGTAGTATAAACTGGACTGTTTGGATATATGAGTGAGCAACTTGTGATCAATTCTAGAGGCCAATTCATAACTCACAATGATGTTATAGCCGTGGTCGTGCTTATACGGCTCCCAGTCAACGACCTTAATCCCGGCAGCAAGCAACTTTTCCTTTGCGAGTTTGAGGCCTCGAACAATTGGAGGGTGAGGACGGACACATCTTTGATATGATTAGTCATGTTGCTCTGTAATCTTATGAACGAGAGAGGTGTTGAATCTTACCCATCATCCCACATAATACCAACAGTCATATTCCGATTAGGCGTGACTGTCTTCCACGGGACAGGTGCTAACGAGGTCTCGGTATCCCAAGGCTCTTGGTCCAGTACGGCTTTCTGGAATAACTCAATATCTTCCAAAGAGCTACTCGCTAACGGACCCACGACACCATTAATCGTCTCTTGTCCACTAGCGGCAACTTTAAGACCTGCCCTTGGGAGACGCATTGATGTTGGCCGGAATCCATAAGAGCCACAGAACGCAGCCGGCACGCGGATGGATCCACCAATATCAGTTCCAATGCCGAGAGGTGAACATTTGAAGCCGGTTGAAGCACCTTCGCCTCCAGATGAACCTCCTGGTGTCAAAGTCCGGTTATAAGGGTTCAGTGTTGCGCCGGTTATGTTGTTGACACAGCAAAGATGCTGAGAATATCCAAACATTAGCTGATTTCCAACCCACTTTTTGAGATGCACTAACCATGAGTGTTTGGGGCTGGTTTGTTCGGACGTGGAACACGGCACCAGCATTCGATAGCAGTTGCACTAGATAAGCATCTTCAGTAGCAATCTGATCAACCCTGCCACGTTGTCAGTTTTACTTCCTTTCTCAAGAGTCATTTTCGGCATACCATGCCACATATCCTGTATTGCAAGTCCTGTTCTTGAGCTCGACATGTTCTTTGACACTTATAGGGACACCATGCTGCCGGGAAGAAAATTATAATCAGTATGCGGCTTTTCTCATACCCAGTTATATGTTACTCACCAGAGGTCCAACTAATTTCCCAGTACGTTGAAAGTACGCATCTAGTTCTTTCGCTCGAGAAATCGCTTGGTCTGCCATGAATTCCGTGGCAAAGTTAAGCTGTATGTTGTCTTAGAATTATGGTTTATGTAGGAGCGACTGCGACGATTCTCACCAGCTGGTGTCCAAGGACTGCCCTCTTTAGAAACGCGATGACCACCTCCTCAGCCTTAAGCTTCCCTCCTCCCATTTCTGTTACCAGTTGCGTCGCGGAAAGTTCGGTTATGGAGAGCTCTCGCTCGCTGAGGAGACCACTCTTTCTTGGGAAATCGATCACATTCTTTTGGGTTGCGGGAGGGAGAGTGTCGGTTGGTGCAAGCCATTGCTTTGGAATAGAATTGTTGAGGATATCTCTGCCACGTTGAGCTTGGCTCTCCCAGCGGTGGAGAGACATATTGGCTAATCTTTATGGTTATTCGACTTCGGTGGAAAGTATCGTGTTCAAGGTCTTGCAGATAGGTTAATGAGATGGGAGAAGGAATTTCGGAAACACTGCAGGATCAATGCAGGTTTTAAGCAGATGCGGCATTGGTAACCTGATGTATAGATTAGCGGAATCGGAACCAATTCCTGTACTTGCCGAGGCGGACTCTTCCCCGCGTCTTGAGATAAGGTGGAGCTTGCCCATCTAGTAGGGCGTTATCTCTCGGGTGGTGGAGTTGATGGCAGAGAACGCCCCTCAATGGATCTGCCGCTGCGGAGATATTCCGTGAATTTGAAGTTACTTTACGAACATCTGAAGTATTTATGGTCTAGATGGCTTTGAGTTGAGTACGAAGTATTACCATTGGTTACTTGTATGCATGAATGTGGGATGCAAGGTTGCAATATTGAAACCTTGTCAATTTGAATTTTGAGTCCTGAGGCAGAAATTGGTTCAAGTTGGAGCACTGGCACTTTGGTCAGCTTGAAATATATTAGAGAGATATTGAGAGATAGTAATCTTGGAGGTAGTATATACAAAAGGGGTTAGCTTTAATCGGAGTGGATTTGAATTGTACATGGAATGTGGTCTGTGAACTGGCCAGAACATTCAAGGTATAGTGACAAACCAAGCTACCCTGAAAAATGCAGGCAGTATTTCTCAATAAAACTGAATGACTAAAAGGAAATTTTGGAAAGAAAAAAAAACTTCAAGTTTATGCATCTACAAGGGTCATATTTCTGAATATGAAAAATAAATGCAAAAATAAACTCTCCCTCGGGGAATCGAACCCCGGTCTCCCGCGCTTATCGGTGTTAATGACAAGCGGAAATCATGACCACTAGACCAAGGAAGATGAGATAGTCGAGTTCCACTCGACCACTTGGGGTGGTTGATGTTAGTCTGGCAACTTTTGACATTATGATTCCCGTTACTAAATATCTCTTGAGGCACTATGCTCATCCACAACAGGTCAGTCCCTCACACAGCGTCCCACACCCGATTTGACAACGCGCCACCTTCTCCCCGTGCGGGAGCACAGCATCACCGTTGAACTCTGATAACGCCTCTGGCTGCAAAGTGGCTGAATGGATACCATACGCATGGAAGCACTGGTTGATTATTTTAGCCGTCTTGAGGAAACCGGCGACCGAAGGGTCAGACACAACAACATGCACTGAAGCGAGAGTTTTTCGTTGGTTCAAACGCCAGATATGGAGCTCGTGGATCGAATGAACTCCTGGGACCTGAAAAAATGCGTTAGCCCCATGATATCACCAATCAAGCTCACAAGGTCAAGGGTCCGACGTACCTTCTCAAGGTCATGTTGCACATCACTCAGATCAAGACCGACGGGGGCGCTTTCCAGCAGGATTGAACCCGATCGACGCACTGCGAGTGCAAAGAATGAGTTTCAAATCGTCATGTGGTCCAATGCAGGGACCTGCAGTGTACTACTAAGGTTGCCTTACCTAGTGGGAGGGAAGATATAATTATCATCACGGCTATTCCCATGCTAACACCCGGGTCGGCATAGTATCTGCCGTCATACTTCGCAAGCCAGATAACCAACGCAGCAGCGATGACACCGAGATTGTTAGCTGCGTCGCATAGGACGTGTACGAGGACTCCCATCATCCCCAAATCGCCGTGGTCGTGCCCGTGTCCATGTCCATGCCCGTGACCGTGATCGTGACAGTGGCCAGATACTGGGGAGTTGGGATTTTCAAGGCGCACATGTTTATGATCATCATGCTGGTGATTGTCAGTAAAGGACAGAAAAATTGAAGATTCTGGAGTCACCTTTGAAATGGAATCGGAATCGTCTTTGCTGATAGGCGAAAGCCCTTCTTCTATTGTCAGAGATGTGTGATTGTTGTTTCCATGATCATAATCGTGTCCGTGTTCTGGTTTCCGTTAGTTTAAAATTCATATGACGGCTTTGCCTGGTCAAGATCCTCACCGTGAAGGAAAAGTACACTGATGATGTTAAGACCTAGGCCGATACAACCAACGATGAAGACCAATTTCGGCTCCTCGATGCCTATATTCAAGGATACAGCAGTCAATATCATCATCATGTATAGCCTGGAAGGAATGCTCACGTTGCAGGGAAATGAATCTTTCGATGGATTGTAGGAATATGCTGATTCCCAGCGCAAATAGTAGAACGCCATTGAAAAAGGCCCCCAAGAGTTGAGCCCGTTGCCATCCAAAGGAAAGTCCCTGAGGGGAATCCCCCCCGTTCTGATATCTTCGACATTATCAATATTTTCTTCTTCCAGAGTTGAACCTTTGATACTCGGTCATACCTTCAATGCAACCAGTGCAATGACAAACCCTGCCAAGTCATTTAACTAAAAAATTATTAGTGACTCGGATCTTATACCGAATAATAGTCATCAGGAATTGAAGCTCACGTAGTGAAAAGCGTCTGCAATAAGTGCCAGTGAATGTGTGTAGAACCCAACTGTTTCAAGTTTCATATCAGGATTTGCACATATTCAATGTTTGTAAACCTTGCGGGAAGGGGTCTATTTTGTACCTGAAATTTCTCCAAGAAAGAAGCATGTTGATATGGCAATGACAACAGAGAGTCTTGTTGAACGTGATAACTGAAATGCCATGTTGTCTTGGTATTCAGCAGATGGCGCCTCTCCTGCTCAGCAAAATTCTTCAAATTCCAAGGTTGTAGCCCTTCAAAACCTGCGAAGCACTGTGTTGGGTAGAAGGTAGAAAGGTAGAAGTGAGTTGACTGGGGTATAAGAGAGGAACAGCAATATATAGCAAACGCGTCAAATATATAGAGGAAAAAAGTACATAGAAAGGTACAATTGAGAAGTAGGCAGAAATGTAAAGCAAACTTAAGATCAAAGACGAATTCAAATTTCCGAGATGAGATCTGGGTAAATGAGAGCTTTCATTCAAGACATCTAAAATTTTCTGCCTTCATGCTAGTCCAAAAATCAATGATGACTAGTCGAGTGCAGTGTTATGTGTTATTATGACACCAGTTGTGTAACTATGCCATGGCTAGTCCCGGCCGCTGAGAGGTATGTGCTAACAGCGATGCGGTATGTTAATGGAGCCATATTTCTACCCAGGTCCCCACTTCAAGTGCTGCTAAAGACTCTAATTTACACCTGTGGACTTTTGTTTCACGGCATATTGCAGATAAATGAACTGATTCAGATGTGGCTTTGAATGCATTCATGCACGATCCAAGAATTCAGCCTCATCTGCATTATCTCTTTCTCTGAGATAAGCATCACTCTCAGTGCTATCTAATGTACTATTGTATAAAATATAAAACTAAACTATACTGAATCATCTATTCTAGCTGAAGGGAATTTGATTTCTAGAAGAAAAGATAATTATGCTAAAAGGGATCTTCATTCTATCCCAGCCTTACACAAGCGCGTAGGGCAAATTTTAAAACTTGATCCGTGCCAGATGATCTGCCCCGTGAGGAATGCAGGTTTGCGACACGAGGTCAAACTTGAATCTGGAGCATTTATGGTGTAATTTCATAAGAATATTATTCAGAAAGGCCTCCAAGGTTCTTTGTTCGGCCTTTAAATATTTTTCATTTTGAATTATATCCCTCAAATTCTGTTTCTACTCACTTCAAATGTTTATACACCCTGCGCGCGGGCATTCTCACAAATTTTTGAAACATAATGACCCTTGTCTTACCTTCCATTACTTGATTGAAGTCTTCTTATAGGTTTGGATGAGATGAAACCCGATCAAGGGTTTTTGAAATGGAAATTATTCCAACATTTGAAGGTTTAGTTACTATTCGAAGAGTTGTCGACACGTATAGAATCATGAAAATTAAATGATCTCAGGCTGAAACTAGCAGCAATTTTATGCAGCAATCTGGTCTGCCAGTCCATCTAACTCACGCTGCCAATTGCGATGGCGAGAAATATGCCAGATAAACTGCTCTGCAAATCCCTTCGAATCAGGACCCACGTTTTCAACATTCAGCATTGTCGCATCACCATGACCAGTTACAACACCATAAGACTCAGTGATAGAGGCTGGAGACTTGGCAACCTTCACCTCTTCAAGACCAATCTGCTTCGAGATAAAAGGCACAGCCTCGTTGATACCTGCGATTGGCTTCAGGTGGGCGAAAGACTCGGTGATCCAGAACTTTGCAACACCATTCTTGGACAATGCATTTGCAATATGCTTTCCACCTGGTACAAAAGTCGCATCAAAGAGCGTGGATCGCATGCCAGAGAAGAAGTTATCAGGAACAACCTTTTGTCCTGTTTCAGCGGTAACACCCTGACGTTGAGCGCCAATAGTGAAGACGAAGGCACTGCGAGCCTCGAGGACCTCTTTCATGGTAAGATAAGTTGAATAGTCAAATCCATCAGCAATCAGAATGGCGATTCGTCGAGTAACGATTGTGGGTTTCTCGGGCATGTACTCGAGCTGGCTCAGACCCTTTGCCTTTTGTCCCTTGTTCGGCTTTGAAGATTTAGTTGGGGTATCTCCGCCAACATTTTTCGCTACTTTCTGGGCGAGGTCCAGGCTGACTGCTGAGATACGCTCCGACATGCGCTTGTAGACTATAGGGTCATCGCAATGATCAAGTTCGAAGGAAAATGCCTTTGCGAGATGCATCTTCTCGATCTCGGATAGAGAGTTGTAAAATGTCTGGGCTTGATTATAGTGTTCCTTGAATTTCTCAGACAAAGCGCGAGTCTTGATTCCGTGTTGCTTCTCGGGGAAACTAGTAAATCCACCCTGAGCGGGTTTAGCGGGAGGATTCGCTTCAAAGCGGTTAGGCCAGTAGTTGACTGTTCCCTTTGTGATGCGATGCCGAGCAGCGCCGTCACGATTGACGAGGCTCATGTATGGACAGACAGGTCGGTTAACAGGCAGTTCCTCCCAGTTAGCACCCAGACGAGAAATTTGAGTATCAAAGTAAGAGAAGTTCCGACCCTGCAGCAAGGGATCATTGGAGAAGTCAATACCGGGCACAATGTGACTGGTACAAAAGGCAGCCTGTTCGGTTTGTGGGAAGAACTCGTCAACATTGCGATTGAGCTCCATTTCGCCGATGTATCGAATGGGTACCAGCTCTTCAGGCCAGACCTTGGTAGCATCCAGTGGATCAAACTCGAAATCATCCAGCTTATCTTCGGGGATGAGCTGTAAGCCGAACTTCCACTTGGGGAAGTGTCCAGCATCAATAGCAGACATTAAATCCTTGCGGTGGAAATCAGGATCTTGGCCACAGATCTTCAAGGCCTCATCCCAGACCAGCGAGTGAACTCCAAGCTCGGGAGTGAAGTGAAACTTGACGAAGTGACGCTTACCCTCTTTATTGATGAAGGAATAGGTGTTCACACCAAAGCCTTGCATCATTCGGTAAGAGCGAGGAATAGCTCGGTCGGACATTTGCTGTGACAAGTGTTAGGAATTCAGTACTCAAGTCATTCTGGTTCACAAACTTACCCAGTAGTTCATATGAGTCGTCTCGGAGTGCATGTAAACAAAGTCCCAGAAATTATTATGAGCGCTCTGGCCCTGAGGTACTTCATTATGAGGCTCTGGCTTCACTGAGTGGATTAAATCGGGGAACTTGATTGCATCTTGAATAAAGAAGACAGGGATGTTGTTTCCGACTATATCCCAGTTTCCCTCAGAGGTGTACATTTTCACGGCGAATCCGCGTACATCTCTAACGGTATCAGCACTGCCCTTGCTGCCTTGTACTGTTGAGAAACGCAAGAAGAGGGGTGTTGTGCGATTGGTATCGGTCAAAACACCAGCAGTTGTAACATCCGCTGCGCTTTCGAATAATTTGAATGTGCCAAATGCTCCGGTGCCACGAGCGTGAACAACTCTCTCGGGTATGCGCTCATGATCAAATCTCATAATCTAAGGTCTAAGTAAGTATTTTTTTTCTGGATATAACTCGGGACATAAATCTACCTTCTCGCGGGCAATCTGATCTTCTAGAAGCATTGGCCCGGTGCTGGAATTACTTGCCACTCGCAACCAATGATCTGGATCAGATATTTTGATTCCATAGTCGGTAGTCATATGTTGCTTTCCATTGACCTCCACTGTGTCTTTTTGCATATCAGCGAATTTGCCGTCTTCGGTTTTTGAGTTGGCTACAGCTGTCATATTGGCGGTATGAGTGTATGGGTTGAGGTGAGAAAAGTGAATATCAGGGGATCTCTAGACTGGTAGAAATTTTGATTCTTAATCAGGATTTATAAGTGCTCCAATGCTTAAACAGATACAGGATATATGGATCCAGCGACATGATGTAACTTGTCCCAGAACAAGACACCAATCAAAAAATGATGAAATCAAACCAAGTGGACCACCAGATAGGATTATTCATCCTGTGTATCTCCCTTCAAGCGAGAATTCCGTTAAATAACCTGTTGATTAGTTGGTTTGAATCCCAGTTGCACATTGAAGATGTTGTAAATGATCCAATGATGATTCAGTTTTGTGGTCATCGCGAACCGATGCGCAAACATTGGCCTATGGGTTATATTTTGCAATGAACCTGCCCAGGTGTCTTCAAGAAATATCCAGGTAATTATTATTGCGACTGAAGTGGCTTTCATTGGCGGGTCAGTAGATTCAATCACTCGGTCGATATTCTTTTCACTGATATGAATCGGCATTCCCTTGGTTTCGGGAGGTGGATCGGGTTTACTCCAGTCTCTGTGATTTCCGATCGCAGCATTCATGACGATCTAGCTGTTGTCCACGGGTCTGGAGGTCCGGCTATGATTAATCATATTCGACAGTTCCCTGTGAATGGTAATAGACCACAGAATACTTGATCCTGAGTCGTCTGTCCTGTTTCTGAGCTGCTGAGTATTCGACCCGCAATAGTGACGTCAGATACAAGTTTGAAGTAAACCAACTTGGGACGAACAGACATTTGGGGTATGTGAGATAATAGCCATTTAAAAAATGATGATAGAAATATATGCAGTGTTCATATATTAATATTGGAGTTGAGGATGATGCTGGCTCCGGCGCTTAGTCCGTCCATGGCCTCAGGTTCGCCGAAATCCGTCTTGTAGCATAGTAGCCACAATATGAGATCAATATCATGACAAGACTTGCAAAGAATTAATGGGGCCACAATGGACTCCTTTCGCCAGTTATTTCGCACATAAGAGCACTTGAGTGGGAAAATGGAACCAACCGACCGGCTCCGAGTCTGCATCATGCTTGACCGACACGAGTTCCCCGATCACTCGATCTTCCAACAGAAGCTTCCCCAAAACACTTGTTATGAGGATTTTATCTCCTCTTACTCTTTCTCTTCTGGATTATACATAATTCCTTTTTCCGCACTTTAGGAACATTTGAATGAATTGTGAACTGTAATGTTTTTTTTAATTCATTAGCTAGTAGAATAATCATAGTGTAAACCCCCAAACATTGAAGCCACACCTCCAGGAATATGTATATTTTCACTTCTTTGCGTCAAAAACCTACTGTCTGAGGAAAGCAAGATTGTTCTGTGAGATAATGATATCGTTCGGCATCCGTCGGACCTCGGGAGGTCTTCTGGTAAGATTGTGGAAAGACAGTACCAATGGCGCTGTAACAGAAATTTGTCGAGTCGTTGTATTTTTGGTGATTTCACTGCGAGCCAATTCTGCAATTGGCCTCTGGTCCTGATCGAGTGTATGTTGTTGCGTGATTCCATAGCTTAATCGTTATCTTCAGATGATCCTTATCAATCTTTATAGTCATCACAAGTGGAAGATTGGGTAAATTCTGCATCCAGATTTCGGCATCAATAGTTAGGCGTGCACAGGATTCGATCATGCCGATTTCCACAACAAAGGATCTCCCCATATTAAGGCGTGTTTGCGCAGAAAAAGAGGCATCGAGTTCTTTGATCACATTGTGAAAATTTTCCGTTGATGATCCATCCATAGACAATACTCGCGAGGCACCCATAGAATACATCTCGCAAGTAATTATCCTGGTTATTTCTCTGGTTGCTCGCTCATACTGCGACTATGGTAATAAGTTTACGCATTGTGTCCACTGGCAGTCCCAGATACTGATGAACTTGCCGGAGCTGTTTGGGCATCTCATATGTTGAAGTAGGCATTAGACATCCTGCCCCGTGTGTTCATGGCTCTCGCTAGTAGATTACGATAATTATCAATAACGGGATATAAAATTGTTCGGAATTCACAAGCTACACAGGCTAGGTATCCTTTTTGCTCTTTGACCTACAAGCCCGTCAAAATAAGCAAGAAGGATCTCGACTTGAAGCATATCCAAGACACCAAGCGTTGGGTGGCTGCTTTTCAGTACTTGCCCACTCCACAAGACTCGGATGTAATATTGCTGGTCCACTTTCCTCTTATAAAGCTCAAATACCAGCTCACTGCCCATGCCTGGCCACATCATCTTTTCTATCTGTAAGATGCTCAATATATAACTAATGCTTCCGTCATGGGCAATGTTGTGTCGATATCTCATACCACTATTCGTCCTGTTACCGATAATCGCTGGGTCAGTTGCATGCATCGCGTCTCGTAAATTTTGGGCCAATTCTGCGATCCATATGCCGAATTTGCTAGTGCTATACTCAAGTGTGCGTGCCCCAGCGTCTCTGTAGAGATAGCTGTACTCGTATTGCCCTAATCTAAAAACCCCATCAGCCATCGCCTGCGTAACGCAGAGAGACGGGTTGCTGGCATTGCAGGGGAGCGGCATGGAATGGCAGAGCCGCGCAGAGAGATTGTCAAAATAATGATCGAAGGAAATGTGAAAGCCCCAATCCGTAGGTGAAATACCAGAAATGGTATCGAGATTTGCGAATAGGTCAGACGCAGCCTTTAGGTGCGAAGTCCAGCCTGGATCGCTGCTTCCGACACCATACGCTGAGAAATTTCTAGCCGCCGCTAAGCAGGGGTATGCGGGCTCGAGACTGTCGATGCTGGCAGGCTGAACATGCAAGGGTAAGTTCTGCTGTGCCTGGCCGCCGCCAAACATACCCGATATAACCATGCTGGCGACCTGCGAAGTGATAATATTGTTCGTGACGCGGAAACTGACAAGATTTGGATCGTATTCATCAGGTAGGAACCTAAGCAGATCGTGGTAGACTTCGTATAAATCATGGCCATGCTGCCAGCTGTCGTCAAGCCCTCCGCGGGTGATCTGTGGAAACTGGCAGGTTCCTTTAAATCCTCGCGGTGCAAGTGGATTAGACGAGGAGGTGTATACATTCCAGTATGTTTTGGCAGAAGAGTTGCTACCGTGAGTTGGTAAGGGCGTGCCGTAGTAGAAGAGCGCCTCGTTGTCGCAGTACCATGGGTCGACCTCGACTGGGAAAGTATTGGCAGCGTACGGGGTGCGCTTATGATGCCGGTGAATTACCTCAACGTATTCGAGAACATACGAAGAGTTCACCTTTGGATATTCGGTGCGTCGGACATGCGGCATATTGCACCAGTTGTACGTTCCTAAGTAGAAGTAAGCTATCGAGTTTTTGAAAGATAGGAGGAAGATTAAGATACCATATGGGATTCCTTCTGGTAGTATTGAAGAGTTGAACCAAAAGCCATAGGTTCCTGTACCATTTATCGCTGAATTAAGGCTGTTGATTCCCGAGGAAATTGGCGCATGCCAGCTCAGATTCGCCGATATACTAGTATTAATCGTTGCAGCTTGAATAACGGACAGGTTTGGTATGAAGAAGCCGGCTGCTAATTCGAAGAATGGTGTTAATACGCAGTAGCCTGCCAGTATCATGCCAGTGGTAAGCAACAGCCACCACATCTTAAGTTGTTTAATCAAATGCATCTGCTATCTGCCCTGGATAGATTTAGGTACAACCTGCGAACACAAAAGCGCGTTCTAGAGATTAACAAGCCAGAATTTCGGATAGAAGTTTATCCGAATGGAAATAAGGGGGCTCCTTTCTGCCCCAACCCAAGTGGGGGTTTGGGGCCATTTAACCCCATGATCATCTCAGGGTGATTTTCAACAAAGGCAGCGGCCCGCGAGAAACACCCACCCAAGACCCAGATGCCCTATCTAATCCCAAAAAAGCAAAGAAAAGTTGACATCCCATTTTACATTAAATTGTGCGGTTGATTTCAATTAGATAACGGTATTGCCATTTTTGTGCTTCTTATCGGGATGAGTGATTGATATACTGGCTAGCACTGAACCTGTCTAATAGAATCAGTTGATTGAATTAATTAAAGATGAGAGTGGTCCTCATGAGAGCCTGTATCACCTATCTGTGGTGTCCGAGTCTAACCCAGTTACCATAGGAATGATTTGGGAGTTGGGTGGGCGATGAACATTTTATCCCAAAAGGATCTTAGTGGTATTTGCCATGTACACGCTTCTCAAGACGATTCAATTACCAACTAGGGCTTATTGAACACCCTAGATCACCGAGAGTGTGTTTTACAACCATGGAACGCGTGGTCGATGGGAACGGTATTCAACCAGAGGATATCTATAACTTTTATGAGACCTATACGCAATAGACCTAATGTCAACGCAAAAGGTGGTTGGTTACTCGCACTAGGTACTAACGGTTGCCGATCAGCTTTGCAATCAAGAAATCGCGTATGGGTCACTACCTAGGTACGATTGAAACAATTAGCGCTGATAGGCTTGACTACTGCCATGTGTGGCTCTAAAGGGCCCGGTCTATATGATGCCGAGGCCTGGTTTGACAACCTATCAAAAGAATGACGATTTAAGGTCTCGAATATAGACTACTCAAGTGCTGGTGAGACCGGTCAACTGGTACTTGCTGGATTCAAAAGCTATGTATAAAACGCACAGACGCTGGTAAAATGAGCCTCCGATTTATCTGACAGTTAGAGTTTCAGCTCTCTTGCGCCATTGAGCTGAGATTGCAATCGAGGCTGTCACATTAACTCTAAAGTCTCCAGTTCTATGCCTCTTCTCTTGATAGCTTCTGCTGACATCCTCGGATCATTCATGCTGATGTCTCTCTTCTCTTTATTCTCGAATACGAAAGGTGGCAAAAAAGGATCGAGCGACGTCACCTCTTCCCAACCAGTAGGTAACAATCCAAGCCGTGGATCACTCTTCAACAGCACGCCTGTGTCTGTGTTGATCAAGTATGGTAGCGCCCAGCCTCGGGTGACAGGCAGGACATCTTTCCAAGGCGGCTCCAGTGGCGGCTTCAAGGCCTCGCCGAGCATCAGCCCATGCACGAAGCACGGCCCAACGACCTCGTATTTGTTGGAACCTTTAGGTCGTAGGATCAATGGGAAGTCGCATCCAAGAATCACAGCTATTTCGTCGTCTAGTTTAGAGATTAGAACGTGGGTTGTAAGTGATCAAGGATAAGCTACTAAATAAGAAACTCACCTTCACGAAGGCCTTTTGCGGAAACACCCAGGTACCCCTCTCTAGTAGAAAAGAGGCTTTCATTCGCGAAAAAGCAGTCTTTGAATCCACGTGCCACTTCGTCATCAAGTTCAGCACTAGCTAGTAGTTGACGCAAGAGCTCTCTAAGCCGCCTAATAGATGGGCACGGGTTATCGCCCAGAGCTCTGTCGCTGGTTCTGCCACGTACTAGCACTTCAACATATGCATCAATGGAAAGCCCTCCTGAGACGTATATCTCGCTTTCTGGCTTTTTAGGGGCCCAATGAAAGATCTCGTCGATGACTTCTGCAAATGTACCACTCAAGTTACGGCCTACACAAGTGATGGTGGCAACACGCCTTCCAGCGACTTGCAGATGATAATCTGGCTCGATGAGGTTTGCAACAGCGCTGGAACGTGCGGAGGCATGAAATCTTCGAATGCTCAAATATCCTGTATTTGCACCTTCAATTGGCTGAGCCAAGTTTGGCACCCACGATGGATATCCCTCACAGCGCGTTGTAATGTTGCAGTGGTTGATCATATTCAATTTTTGGTAGACTTCCATCTCAGCTAATACGAGCTGCAAGTATGTCTTCCAGACAGGAGTTGAATAGTCTACCTCAATCTTGGCAACAATTCTAGGATCTAGAAGGCCCAAGATTCCATAAATCTTGTCTCGAGGGTCTGTGCATCTCTGATTTCGCGTCCAGAGGAGTAAGTGCTCAGTTGAAGCAAGCGGTGGTGCCATCAAGCCTCGTGCATATGGGAGGAGGCGATCCCTGATTTCAGGCGGTAATATGCTTGTTTTCTGTCTGAAAACCAGCAATGCTTTGCGCACATTGACCCAAGGAATGTTGTCTCGCCCACACTGAAGTAGCACTCGGTCGCACGAAAGAGCTTCCTGCAGAACCCAGACTCTTTCAAACCACGGCCGATTCAGCAGCGACAAGATTGATTTCCAGCTCTTCTTTTCATAGGGCAGTGCGTACCCGTCTCGCCACCAGTCGCGCTCCTGCGCGTTTGGTGCATCGCCCCATCGATGAGAGATGACGTATTCCACCTGTTCGCTGAAATAATTCAACGTCTCTAGCGCATGTGTGCTGTCTTCGGACTCGATGCCTAACCAGATTATAACATTGTCGGAACGAGGATAAATCTGACTCATTTGCTTAACCTGTCGGCCGCGTTCACCAAGATTGACTTGGTTGATAGAGATAGCGTCGACCCAAAATGTGCGCTCCCGATCAGGATATCTAAGATGCCTTAATGCTGTGGCGAGATTATCCCGGATCCGTAAATAGGATGATGTTTGAAGGGGTTCGGCTGGGTTGGTAACGTGGATGTATTCTTCGTTGTCATTGGTCCCCCAGCAATAAGACAAGGCCTCATATGGAGGTACGTGCCACGAGAAGCTATCTTCAGCAGAACGCTTCGGCAGCTCATACGCTTTTACGTTATAACCGGCATCTGGGTGCTTCCAAGAATTAGGGATTCCTGAGTTGCGTGGACTCATGAACAGATATCGTCCATCCAAAGTCTGGTCCACTGTCCAGCCATCTGAGAGAGTTTTCTGCAGTTCGCTGACAGGTAACCGTTCATCCTTGATAGGTGTCACTGGATCGAAAATTGGATAATGAGCAATTTTGCACCTAAGAGCGTCGTGGTAGCTGCCCGGCTGTAAAAATACCAACCTCAACTCATCCACTTTAGCTTGAAGTTCTGTGTAAACATATGAAGCCATCGGTATTTGACTAGCCTCCCTGTTAGCATTGACGAATCCTGGAAGTGTGATATAGGTTGAGAAGCCGGTTTTTTGGTCGGGGGCTGATGTGTGGAATGAATCCGAATGACAGTCCTGGAGGAGAAAACCGAGAAGAATTATTTACAGGGAAGAAACGATACGTGGGGAAGCGTGGAGAGGGGAAGTTTTACCGGCACAGCGAGAGCTATCTTCTACAAAGCGCAGGGGTCTGGAGACGTGCAGGCACTACAGGGGCACCTTTCAAACCCGACACAGAAATATTGCCAAACCGACCGGCAGTCCACAGTACTATTCACCGTGTTTCTGTATCGGTGAGCCGACACAGAAACCTACATGAAATAGTATAAATGGCCAACGATTGCATAAACATAAAGGATTTGAATTTCCGTATTCTTTTGGTTATCTCGATCAGTAGAATTCAAGTTTTAACTTAGATATAGAGGGTCCACCCCACACCTATACTATTTCTACGGTCGCAATAATCAGCCTACCTAAGGCCTACAATTTCTACAGTCGCAACCTTAGAATAATCCAAATTTAATTAACTTACATACCAAATTTAATATTAAATCAATTGATTTATACACTTCTAAGGTTAATTTGGTTGTTCAGTATCTCTATGTTACTTATTCAAAATGTTTTGACTGAGGTCTTCACCGTCCTACACATCAAATCACCTTACCATAGGTAAAATGAAAGTCTGTCGCTTTCTTCGGGGTTGAAGCTTAATTAAGAGCAATGCCATTAACTAGGAAATATGTGATAGCGAACTTGATCTTATGAATTTCACAATTTAGCGCATCAGAGAAATAGATAACTCAAGGCTTTACGGCACAAGTCAGTATATTGGTCTGAATTTTTATCAATATTAATTGGTCGTCAGATCATTAAAATCTCAGCTCTTGAGACGAACTTACTTCAAGCAGACTTCATAATGCTGGGATAATCATTGAATATTCTGAACCTTGGAAGAATTGAAATACTCACGTGTTCATAGATACGTCGATTTACTGTCAGGTAAAATGCCACTGGCAGTATGTGGCCATTTTAGTATGTAGTCGCTCACCTCTACAATTCGTGCCTCATTCAAAATCTTCGTCTGTAAAACTTTCTGATGGATCTAACAACAAAAAAGAGTTGAGATTTGCCCTCAACATCCGCGCATCTTCGGGATTGACTACGGTTATACATCTATGCTAGTACTTCAGAAAGATGCCGCCAATTCAAGGTTATGGCACGGACTCACGGAATCCCGCAAGCGGACGTGGGGATTTGAGTTTTCTGCACCCAACCCCAGTTGCTAGTTCTGATATAAGCTTTTACAAGTATCGGGATACAATCCTAAGATCTTCGAATTCCGGATAGGGCGGCATCCGGGAAAACGGCATTGGGCCAGCGAAACTTCAAATGCTTCAAATATTTACCCAATTACCCCACACTACATTCCGGATCACATTCCGAAGTGCATATAAAACGAGAGGAATGCCATATACCTTTCTCTTGAACCAACGCTATCCCACGCACACTATCAAGATTCAATTCTATCTATCAAAATGGTTGTCATCGATACCCACCATCACTTTGTGCCTGACTTCTATGCTCAAGGTAAACGAACTCCCAGACTATTGGACGGAGAATGAGACTCTAGTTTTACATTTACAGCTGTTGAGGAAGCTGGAGGTGACCCCTCAGGCTGGCCAACACCTTCATGGTCTTTTGAAGGCTCAATTTCGTCCATGGATAGAAACGGCTGCACCAAGGCAATTCTGTCTCTAACTGCTCCTGGAGCCGTCATCGCCCCAACCGATGAGAAGAGGAGGGCATTGGCACGTAAAACCAACGATTATGCAGCCGCGAAGCGTGATGAAGACCCCAATAGATGGGGCTTCTTTGCAGCTCTGCCCTGCCTTCTTGATACCCAGGGAGCTCTAACCGAAATCAGATATGCTCTCGATGTGCTGAAGGCAGAGGGTGTCACTTTGTTCACAAGATACGGTGATGGTAACCAGTATCTAGGTCATCCAGCATTCAAGCCTATTTGGGAGGAACTAAATACCAGAAAGGCCGTGGTTTTCATTCACCCCACTCACCCTGCTGATACAACCCGGGTCAATCCCCTTCTGCCACAACCAGCCATCGATTACCCGCATGAGACCACCAGGACAGCTGTGGATATGATCATTCCCAATACGAAGAGGACCTACCCCGCTTGCAAAGTTATTCTCTCCCACGCGGGTGGTACTCTTCCATTCCTAATCACTCGGATGAGTACTATGTCCAAAAAAGCAGCTCCCACCGCACGTATCTACGGAAAGACATCCGAGGAAATCATGGAGGATTTCCGGTCTTTCTATTTTGACTTAGAGCTCTCTAGCTCAGAAGCCGTGCTTAAACTGGTCTTAGAGGTCATCCCCAATGACCAACTTCTCTATGGTAGGTTCTCGAGAGGTCCCGGGTTGGTCCCGATATCCACTAACATGACGCAGGCTCTGACTACCCATACGCATCCCCTGATAAAACACGTGGATTTAAGGAAATTCTGGACGATTTTTCACTGAATCAAGAGCTGCGTGACAAGATTTATTTCAAGAATGCCGAAGTTCTTTTTGAATAGAGTAACTTCCGATGTAGATTTTAGGAATGAATTTACTTGCGAATTGTCTCAGTTGGAATTTTCCCCCGTAGTTTTAAAGCATAGACTATTTATCAAATGATAGTTTTATAACCGTCATTCAGGGCATATCTAGTAGGAAATTTCGAATTGAACCATTCCATCATCTCCGAGTCTGAATGTGAGGTGCTCTCTCGAAGGACAACCCGTAAGCTCATGTTGAGGGCCGGGATGATTCCGGAGCCTGAGTGCAAGCCGATCATCCGAGCCACGGTCCGATCTACCCCCGGGTCTCCACTTTTTCCGGGTACAGCCCGGGCACAGATACATTATCCATGAGCCTCAATTTGACATGATTAATCTTGGGCAATTTTGAAAGCCAGATCTTCCATCATATTATCCAGGACCACATTTCCAAATTCTTCATGAATTCATATACCCTGGCAGACCCTGGCACACTATGTAAAGTGTTGCGGGCACCTGACTCAGACATCTCCAGGGCTGGAGTAAACTACTACCCATTACTATGTAGTAGCGTTAGTCAACTGGTAGTAGTACACCTGGGCATACTACGTACTATAGATCAATATTGGCCCCGGAACTTTGGAACATTCCAAGGTCACATGTACTAGCCACCCAGACGCCACATATTCATCTATAGGAGCCTCAGGCTATACAGGTACTAGTATGGGCTATTTATAGTACTACGTATTTTCAAGTTCGCGCCGGGACTTGATCAATCAATCCGAGTCACTGGCAATCCATACTAGTAGTGTGTCTGCTAGTACTAGTAAGTAGGTGTCTGCCCAGGTGTTCAATATAAACTCCCAAGCCGTCAAGCTGGACCTCGGAGGTTGAACTTGGAATTTTCATGTTACAATTCAAATGTTCAAACTTGAACCTTCAAATGTTGGGATGTTGCCCAGATGAAGCCGCGCATACCATGGACATCCATCTGGACTCGGATGTACACCTGGGCATAACTCCCAAGGTTGTTGTTTGAATGATGCCGAGACTGCATCCGAGTCATGATGTAGCACACTCAAGTGCTGGCATGTGTCAACGTACTACTACTACTACTACTACTACTACTACTACTACTAGGTACCTAGGTGGTAATAGTAGGACTGTACATACTGGGGGGGTAGAATTGTAGCACTCAAGTGCTTGAGTACTACTACTAGTACATAGTACTAGTAGTAAGTCCAGACATATGTCTGCCAGTGGGAGAGCGGGTACATAGAGTAGTAAGACTCGAATGTATCAATATATCCCGTGCGGGATTGGCGTCAAAAATTGAACATCATCCATCATACACAATCCGACATCTGGAGTCCTAAAGTCGTCTTATTAATTACATATTCTACCTATGTAGTAGTATGTAATCAATTGGTTCGCTTTGACCAAATTACATATAGAAAATCAAAAATTAATTGATTCATTTTTTTTTTTAAACTTTTGATTACGGGCCAAAAAAAATAAAAAAATGAAATAGGCCCGAACCCGGGATCGAACCGGGGACCTCGCGCAATTATGCTTTGGGTGAACCCTAAGCGCGAATCATACCACTAGACCATCCGGGCTATTGATATTAGGAACCAAAATTTTGTCTATATGAAGCCATACTACGAAACCTCCTACCGAATTGTATTCCTCAATCCATTACCATTCCTTGATTTGCTTTAAAACCCCCTAGGGCTGGTAATATCAACTTCCTTTTCCTTTTCATAATACGTCAGCTAATTTTATTTTGATCGTGTATGAAAACATCTAGAAAGTTCATGTTATTTCTCTTTCATAAATACCAAATCTTCAGAAAAACGATTGCTCCTCGAGTGATGACTAGATGCTGCAGTAATTCATATGCCGTAGCGGAAATGTGAATATGACATGCTGCCCAGGTGGGTTTTCAAACTTTCTCTATGACATGCCTCTCAGATCTCACTGCGACCCCATTTAGTCTCCAGGACACCATTCCGAGTCGCATCTTCTTTAATGAGTTTAGCATGCTCTTCACTTCTCACAGTTACTTTGACAGGGAATGGTTCGTCGGTGCTATGATGGTTAAGCCGATGGGAGTTATAAGAACCAGCCTATATGCGTTTGAATCAATGTTAATACCTTCGTAATTCGTTATGGAGGGCAGAGAAATCTTACCGCCGCATAATCGTAGCACATCACTAAGCAAGCGATGTTAAGGGAAAGGCCCCTTTGAGCGAGACGATATCCAACGCAAATATGCCGTCCTCCTCCAAATTGCCATAAGCCGTGCGCCGCGTCAGTTTCGTGCCCATCCAGCCATCTCTCCGGGTTGAAAATGTCCGGATCCTCACATTCCTCGCAGACTGCAATACCGTTGATTACCAAACCAACACCAGCTGGGAAGTGATATCCTTCGAATTCCATATCCGAGGTGAGCACATGATCAGGCGTAAATGGGAAAATTGGTCTCCAACGCAGGACCTCCTTGATGCTTGCACATATATAGGGCATTTTATCCATATCAGTCATGACTGGGAGCCTCAAATCATCATTATCAGGTGCGCAAACGCGGTCAACCTCTTCGCGTGCTTTCTGGTACCATCTGGGTGATAGAGAGAGGCCATCGCAAATATGTTGAGAGCCTCGCGAGTAGTGTCACTTCCAGCCTCAATGATCTGCATCGCAACGTACATAGCTTCTTGATCATCACCAGTGAATTTTGTGTCATCATGCAGAAGAACATCCCGAACGAATGAAGGCGGCGCAATCCCCGCATTGATTTGCTCGCGTACTGGTACCCACCATGACCGGTATAAATTGTAGTTCCATACAGCTAGCTTTTCCCAATGAGCACGCCACAGATGAAGAAACTTTGACAGCGACTCTAGTTCTGGAAACCAGTCTACCATGCTTGAGCCAATGCTGCCAATGGAATGGGTCACAACATCTTGAAGGTCCGCTAGCTCCTTGCCTGTCTTGACTAGCCGCCCACCAAGAACGATACGATGAACAACGGAATTGGCATATCTGTAGTGGTGTCGATACCATAGTTCGGGCTGAAATAGATACTCAGCCAAAAGCTGTGTACTCTCGAGTTCTTGCCACGCAGCGTACTGCCGTAGTGCTGTGCCACTAAGGAGAGAATGCATAACGCGGCGCTTTTCAGTCCATCCGCTAGGCGGCAATAGTAGTGAGCGACCATAACGGCTGACTATACCACTAGCAACAGGCATTGGGGAGCAACCGTTGGTAAGAGATCCTTTCTTAGCAATGATCTCACTCACGACGCGTTGACTGTTGAGCAGAATCCACGTTTTAGACCCGAGATGCAAAGTAGTCATTTCGCCATATTTCGCGAGATCTCGATGCTGCAATCAATATTTTAGATTCAATCTGTGAAAAATTAGATGACTGACACTCACCATTTCATGGTCTGGATCTTTGCGTATAGAGTGCATAGTAAGGAGACTATCGAATATAGGTATCCCCTTTGGACCAGGTGGTAGGCGCCATTTTTTGCCAGAAAAAGATCTTCGTTTGCCAACTGGTCTGAATATCTCGCTGATCAACAAGAAAGTAGATCCAAGCAATATAGTGATGACCAATAGTGTTGATGTGATGGAATGTCCACCTAAATAGTCTGCGACATGCGCACGAACTGACGAATCCATGTCGTATCTAATGGTATTGCATACAGAATGAACTCGGAGAGAGAATTAGTTCTTGAAGGAAATTTTTGCAGACTGAGTCCATCCCGGTTCTCCATCATTTGTGACATCGGGTCAAACCCGGGATACGCGTAATCTCAGATGCCGAAAAGGCCGCGGCATTCGGCGCGTGAATGAGTGGAGTCCGGAGGCACTTGAGATATCTGCGAACAGGAAAGGAGACAGCTTAGTTTGCAATGTAGTTGAACTTCTTGCTTTCACACGGAAGCCCCGGATCATTGCTATAGATACCGGGTTTATCCCGAATGATCAGGGTATGTATGACTTCATGTTTTGCCTTTTCTTTGGAGTTCTGAGATCCAAGTATGTTTTTTGTTTTTCCTGTGGTTCTTTCTACTCTAATTTTATGCTTCACATGGAAGGGAAGCTTCAATAACATGGCGGACGAAACAGCTGACTGGCTGCAAGACAAGTTCCTGGGCGGGAGGTGATTATACTACTATCCTATCCATTTCGAAGTCATTTTAACACATTATACTAGGTGACCCTAGTGGGTGGCCTGCCCCATCTTGGATTCTCCTCCGATCCAAGCTTCTCATGAAACGACTAGGTGTGAAGACAGCTATTTTATCCGTCACAGCTCCCGGTGCCTGTATCTTGGACGGCCAAGCGTCCTTCGATCTAGCACGGAAACTTAATGACTACGGCGCTGAACTACGCAACAAAGAGCCACAGACCTTCGGTTTCTTTGCATCGCTGCCAAGTCTTCTCGATACACAAGCTGCACTTGCTGAGATCAAATATGCATTGGATACACTGCATGCTGATGGCGTCACTGTCTTCACTCGCTACGGCACAGGTAATACGCAACAAAGAGCCACAGACCTTCGGTTTCTTTGCATCGCTGCCAAGTCTTCTCGATACACAAGCTGCACTTGCTGAGATCAAATATGCATTGGATACACTGCATGCTGATGGCGTCACTGTCTTCACTCGCTACGGCACAGGTAATGTCTACTTGGGTCATCCCTCGCTGGAACCGATATGGGCAGAGCTCTACTGCCGCAAGTGTGTTGTTTTTGTGCATCCTACACACCCCGTTGATACAACCCCCGTGAATGAATTGCTTCCACAACCTGCGATCGACTATCCTCATGAAACAACACGAGCAGCTATGGATATGATTATCCGGGGAACACGGCGGAAGTTTCCCGATTGTAAAGTCATTTTATCACATGCAGGTGGTGCCTCACCATATCTAATAACGCGTGTAGCAACCCCAATGCGTAAGGCGCCAGACTTTGCGGTTATTCATCGCATGAGCACGACACACGCTCGGGTCATGGAGGATCTTCGCAGCTTTTATTACGAGCTAGCTCTCTCGGCATCGCCATCGGTGCTAGATCTGGCCTTGAAAATGATTCCGCATGATCATATTCTATATGGGGTGAGTTATCTCTCATATTGATCGAGTTTTATGTGTGGGTTTCCTGACAATTGTTATATACTAGAGCGACTTTCCATATGCTCTGATCACGGCTTATCCCGCATTTCTGGAAGATCTGGAGAATTATGAGATGGGAACAGAGCTCAGAGACAAGGTCAATTTTGGGAATGCACAACATCTCATTCCAAGATTACAAAATAACTCGAAATATGAAGATCATGAGGCAAGAAGGTGACGTGGAAAGGGGCATGGTTACTAGTACTATTCTCTCATTTTTTATTCAAGTGCTGGATGTTTCATACTACGTTTCATCTTATCACATTTTTATTTATTCAAACCATCCATTTATCCCAACTGAAGATTTTCTTTCTCCTTGGGCAGAGCTATTAAGCAAGTTTCAATTTGAGCAAAAAATGAAACAAGACTTCCCATAAAAAGAGTAGATACATGCCACTTTAAGGAGTTTGAAGTTGCTAGAAGTATCACAGATGCAGTTAAATCCTTTCTAAAGCTGTCGTGTTGCATGAAAGGCGAAAATAGGTAATTGAAAAGTGAAAGAGTAATGACTCTTTGTCTGGTTTAATTTGGAATCTGGGGTTCGTTCCACCTTCAAACGTTAATTTCTTTCACTTTGCCTGTCTTTATCTTTTTTAATCTGCTTCTCCATTGTCGACTTTTCTTTACTTATTTACTGCTCAAACTCATCATATCACTCGGACTCTTCATATCCATCACCAAAACTTTGAATTTACGCTCCAAGCTCCGAGACAGCCCAAAATGGCCCCCAAGCCAGCATTCGATGTCTTAACGACAAACTGTGTCGAGCTCCAGAAGCTTCTCACTGCAGGAACCATCACATCCGTCGGTATAGTTGAGGCCTTTCTCAGCCAGATCGAGCATCACAATGTTAATGGCGTGAAGTTGAATGCTATGATTACCACCACCCCAAAGGAATTACTTCTCTCAATCGCTCAGCAGAGGGACCGGGAAAGACAAGAAGGCATTATCCGCGGACCTCTCCACGGTATTCCCATATCAGTGAAGGTAGCCATTTCTCCCAAATATCATTGATGAAGTGTCTCAGCTCACTCACATAGGATAATATCATGACTGGACCTGAGCTAGGGATGCCAACTACTGTAGGATCTGCAGCTCTTAGGTCAGCTGTGGCGCGAAAAAATGCACCTATTGTGGACATGGTACGTCAGGACCTTACCCTCTTTATTTGTATGATAATTTACTAATACCTCAAAGATTATTGAGGCAGGCGCTATAGTGATTGGAAAGGCAAACCTATCGGTACGAAGAAGAAAGACTGGAGTTTTTCTCGTAAATGGTTGTGTTCTAACTCCCGCATGCAGGAAATGGCAGGATGGAAAGATGCTGGTCTTACCTCGGGCTGGTCAGCTGTAGGTGGTCAGACACAGAGTCCCTACGTATTGGGTGGAGTCAAACCTGACGATAGGCCACTGGGACATACTGTAAGGACGCCTCATCTTTATTCCACAAGAAAATTTGCCATTTGCTCATTACCAAAACTAGACTCCCGGTGGATCATCGTCAGGAAGCGCACACGGTGTAGCTGCAGGGTTTGCACCGCTAGCCCTGGCAACTGAATCGGATGGCTCGATTGTGCAGCCAGCTAATCGAGCAGCTTTATACGGACTCAAGGCCACAGTTGGGCTCATCCCAACAGAGGGAACATCTCCATGGAGTTCATTTACAGACAGTATTGGTGGAATGGCTCGAACACCTGCTGATATTGCTATATTACTGAGTATTCTAACCAAGACTGACTTCTCTAGCTCTTTGACAGAATCATGGGAAGGCCAGCGAGTTGGTTTTGTGAACCCCCAATTTTGGAATTTTGCTTACTTTACATGTGAGCCTGAACCTATTCTCATACACCAACAAATACGAGCTCTCGAGGACGCTAGAGATGCTATACACCTGAATGGCGGAGTTGCCAAACAGCCCGTACCTCTGCCAACAATGTACGAGCTGATTGAGAGACTCCACACTACTCTAGACCAGATATGGAGTGAGTTCCATAAACTTGGATGAATTAGATTGAATTCTGCTAACCATGACGTTAGATCATGACTTTGCGAGAGAATGGAATTTGTTTCTGAAGGGCTACCAAGATATCAACATTCATTCATTAGCCGATATTGTAGAGTTCAATGAACAGCATAAAGATGAAGCCTTGCCGCCTAGTAAGTATTCCGACCGTAAGAGTTGACCAGGAATCTATAATAATCTGGTATATGCAGATCATCCCGATCAAGATCTCTTAAAGTGGGCTCTTCACAGTGAAATGTCTGAACAGGAATACACCGAAGGTGCTAAGATGATTCGTGAAACAGCCAGAGTCAATGGCATTGAGCGCGTGCTAGCTGCCTACGACTTGGATGTCATTATGGGGCCAATGGATAGCAAGATTCACACTGTCGCTTCAGCAGCAGGATGTCCTGTTGGAACCATGCCTCTTGGATACTCGTCTCTCAATGGCAGACCCTTTGGAGTATGTGTAATCTCCCGCGCTGGTGGTGAGGCCAGTATACTGAAGGCCATGAGTGCATGGCATGCTACTATGCCTGCACGGCAGCCACCGCCTCAACTGGTCGACTATATGTGAAGCCTTAAAGGGAATTCCGTAAAGATTCTGAGCTTATTATGAGAATAGATAAATTGAGCAGCAATTGAGTAGAATCAAACGTTATTTCAAGCGTATATCATCTCTTGGCATACTATGTGAAAAGTAGAAAGAAGTTGAACCTCGGAACTTGAAGTGGACGAGCTACAAGGCTACAACAAACACATTAGTTATTACCCCTTAACATTATCGCCCCCTAGTTTTCTTTTCTACGACACAGACAAAATTAATTGATTCAAGTCCAATCATTTCCTAAATTCGCCATACTTTTCATTCATTGTTTTACTATTTAACAACGGAATTTTCCTATGTCCTCAATCTCAATCGTACCGACAGACCCACAAAGATGGCCTCTCCACGTCAATGCGGGTGTTCATCACTGGCAATATCTTGACCTCGCTGCATCCACAAAACAGCCACAATCTGTAGCTGAGAAGTATTTTCTTGGCCTCCTTACTGTGAGAAATACTTCAATTTGAACTGACATCTCGAATGATAAATCATATTGACTGAGATCGATAGGAACTACCGAATCTTCCGGTCGCATCCAATTTCCAGGACGCTTCTCGCAATGGATTTCGATTCTACCAAAAGCTGCAATTGAATGATGGTCATTGGGGCTGTGCATATGGTGGTCCTAGCTTCCTACTTGCTGGGTCTGTCATCGCAATGTACATATCAGAGACCGAGATTCCCGCAGAGTGGAAGATTGAGATCATACAGTACCTGTCAAACACCGTGAATAAAGATGGTGGCTGGGGCTTGCATTTCGCCGGTGACACTACAGTCTTTGCCACAGCTCTCTACTATATTGCATTACGGATTCTAGGTCTTGAACCGACAGAGCCACTGGTATCCAAGGCTCGTGCACGTCTCCTTGAACTAGGTATGTCTTCATTTCATTTAGCGAGATGCAAAGCTAAGTATCAACACAGGTGGCGCGACCGCTGTACCGCAATGGGGAAAGGTTTGGCTTGCATTGTTGAACCTGTATAGCTGGAGCGCAGTCAACCCAATCCCTCCTGAGTTTTGGCTACTTCCAGACTGGGTGCCATTCCATCCATGGCGCTGGTGGGTACAATGTCGCGTTGTCTATCTCCCGGTGTCATATCTATACGCCAACAAAGTGACCAAACCTCTCAATCCGCTCCTTCAAAGTCTTCGTCAAGAAATCTTCACGCGCCCATTTGAGGAGATTGACTTCAATCGCTTTCGAAACACAACAGCTCCTACTGACCTCAAGAAACCACTTTCGCCGTTGCTTCGCGCAGCAAATGTACTACTTCGTTTCTGGGAGAACTATATTCGACCAGATTGGCTTGCTTAGTGGGCTAATCAGTGAGTCTGTGCTCTTATTCTCCGCGAAGATGAGAATACCTCTTATAATTGTTTGGCTCCGGTTAACAAGGCTCTTCACATGGTATCTGTATGGCATTCAGAAGGTACCGATAGCGCTCGCATGAATATGCACAGAGAAAAGATAGCGCCATACATGTGGAAAGGAGAAAACGGAATGACGTGCAGTGGAACAAATGGTGTCCAGGCATGGGACACTGCGTTTACCATCCAAGCTATTGTGGATGCAGGATATGGCGCCGAGCCGGAGTTCCGATCATCGCTGGAAAATGCTTTGAACTATCTGGATATGTCTCAATTGCGAGACAATCTGGATGATCCATATCGACAGCCGCGGAAAGGGGGCTGGCCATTCAGCACTAAGGATAATGGCTATGTTGTCTCAGACTGCGCAGCGGAGGGTCTCAAGGCTGTATTGATGTTTCAACGAGAATGGTAAGTATCACATCTGACTTTGTTCGTCTAGTATTAAGCTCACATGCTTACAGTAATTTCCCCAAAATCATCTCCGATGACCGGCTTTATGATTGTGTTGACACTTTGTTGCTGCTGCAGAACTCAAGTGGTGGCTTCAGTAGCTATGAGCGAAGTCGCGCAAGTACAATGTTGGAATATCTCAATGCCTCAGAGATCTTTGATCGTATCATGGTCGAGTATTCATATCCAGAGTGCTCAACGGCTGTTGTGACTGCATTGTCTCTCTTTCGACGACATTTCCCGGCATATCGGTCCAATAAGATTGAAAAAGCCATCAGCTGCGCCGTTAACTGGATCACCAGTGAACAAAGACCCAATCGAGGTTGGTATGGTTCATGGGGGGGGGGTCTGCTTCACGTATGCTTCGCTCTTTGCCATGCAAAGTCTAGAGTTGGTAGGTCAGACCTGGCAGTCGAGTGATGCTGTCAGGAAGTGCTGCAAATTGCTGCTTCGCACTCAGAAAGACGATGGCGGCTGGGGCGAGAATTATAGCTCATGTGAACTTGAGGAGTACATTCAACACGAGCAGAGTCAGGTGGTTAATACGGCGTGGGCTTGCTTGGCTCTGATGCATGCACAATTCCCGGACAAGGACGTTATTGAGAGAGGGCTCAAGGTATGATATCGTTTCCCTCTCAAGTCTTGAACTTTTTTCCTTGCTCTTACTAAATTGCTGCAGTTCATTATGAGTCGTCAACAAAGTAACGGGGAGTGGCTACAGGAAGATGTGGAAGGCGTGTTCAACAACACATGGTAAGTTTTGAATGATATCTTCTCATTGAAATTTGAAGAGAATAACAGCTAATATTTTCCTGCTATCAAGTATGATCGAATATCCCAATTACAAGCTTTATTTTACTTCATGGGCGTTGGGAAGATACAACCATATCTATCTCCCTACAATTCAGAAGGTGGGCCAAGTTGTCAAGTAGGAAGCATGGGACAAATATGAAGTTGGGACTAGTATAGTAATGATGATTGTGACGAGACAGAATAAGTGCCCAAATCTATTTGGAGCTATGACAACTTGTCTTCATCAAATATAAGCAGGGGCGAGGGAATAATGACTTCCTCTCCACTGCCAGTGGTTCCAAGGTTATTAAACATCAAATCTTAGTTGTTATTAGTACAATTTGTCCAAAAAATCTATCTAGGTGACTACTTCTCACCTCGAATGTTTGAAGACTACTAGTCCTATATTCAGTACTGTTTTTCTAGTACACAATAGTTCAAGTTGGGCACGTACTTGAAGCGACCGCTGAACGATTAAACTTGGCCCAACCTCAAACCTAAATTGTGATCTACATATCCTAGGCCGTATACACTGAATCCATATTTACGCAGTTGAAAAAGATCTTCATTTTCTCTCCTAGTGATGATCTTCCAAGTTTCATTGGCCATGCTTGTATTTCTTAGCAGTGTGGCGCAGCGGAGAGTGAACGTTGGGCATTGGCAGTCACTCACAAAATGCTAGAATATCAGACTATTGGTTAGTGAAAACCTTTTTCTGAATGATCACTGCCTATCCAAGATGATCAGCCCAAAAGTGCGCAGAGCGCGGGACGAATGATATTCATTTTATGCGAATCATGCCTAGCGGGTAAGGCAGAAGACTAAAATTTCGCTTGTTTCGCTTAAGAGATTATCTGATCAGATTATCGGATCAGTTGATTGATAGCCGGTACCAACCCACTAACCGCATTTTTGACTTCGCCTCAAGTGGAATTGTTACTTAACACACTGAGAATTGGCTCCACTTGTCATGAAACGATGGTCATTTCGATCAGTAAACGGTCGTGGAACTCACTGTAGGGATTAAATGACCTAGAAAGCAATCTTCCACAAAATTTACTCAATAAAGCTATTTTGAATCCTACTTCATGAATAAAGATGACGGATCTTTCTTCCGCTTTTCAGAATGCCTGGTTCTCTTATTTTATTTCTTTGTTCTATAATTTTTTCAAATGACCAGGATTGCCCCTCTTCATTGCCGCACGGAGAAAAGTGGCCAGTGAGAGATGTTGAGAGCTCTGACCCACCACACCTACCAGGATATTAGCGTCGATCGATACGAGTTGAACCGGTGGTGAGAAGTGGTCTGAGTAAGTTGAGGGGATTTTGTTGCTTTTTTCTCACTTCCTCTTGTTTCTAGCCCCCGAGTGGAGCCACTACTGCACGAGTTGATTGATTCATTTCCACTCAACGAATGATGATCCAAAGCCAAGATGGCCCCCGGTCTGCTTTGCTCGTGCTAGCTTGTTTCCGATGGCCCATCCGATTTCGGGGCTTGTGCACAATATTAGCAAAGATCCGACGTTATGTTCAGCTGTTATTTAGTACCTGGGCTGGGCCCATGCTTGAAACATTGATCACATTATGCCGATATGGGTCTCCGACCCTTGATTCGAAGAGGCCGTACGGTCTGGAGGCATATTTTGTCTTCAAATGACGAAGAAAATGAGAGGAATTCGGTTCAAATGAGCGCGGCTCAAAGTAAGGGCGATGGAGAACTCGGTCGCCCGCCGAGTTATAGTAGCTCTGAGCCCCATGATTTGACGCCAAATCCATATGCGCAGCAGGGTGTTCAAGATGTTGAAGCTGTCGCTATTACTTGGTCTAAGGGCGCTTTAATTGCGGTCTTCATAAAGTATGTTGAACTGCATCTTGTGCTCGTGTGACTATTCATCCGACTGTTAAACTGACAAATCTTGAATTCCACAGCATCTGGTTCCTATATCTCGTGAACGCATTCATATCCACGACGAATAGCAGTCTAAATCCATATGTGACGAGTCAATTCCAAGCGCACTCACTATCTGCGGTTCCCACCGCTCTTGGTGATGCCTTTGCAGCTGCTCTGTATCTTCCCATGGCAAAAATGATGGATGTATGGGGTCGCGCAGAAGGTTTTCTCCTCATGGAAATCTGTCTTACAATTGGATTGGTGATTATGGCCTCGTGCAATACCTTTGAAGCCTACTGCGCAGCGAATGTGAGTTTCACTTGAGTATGTCATGGTCTATTGCGAAGCTGACAAGCGATACTATTAGGTCTTCTACTACGTTGGTTTTTATGGCCTGGAATATGCTGTGGATGTCGTGACAGCAGATGTTTCCACTTTGAGGAACCGTGCTTTTGCCTATGCATTTACCTCATCCCCATACATCATTACAGCCTTCGCGGGTCCAAAGATTGCAAGTGAATTTTATTATCGAGTTTCCTGGCGATGGGGCTATGGCTGCTGGGCAATCATTGCGCCTATTGTTGCTGCACCTCTTTATATTATGCTGAAATGGAATTTACACAAGGCGGAAAAAGAGGGCCACCGGATTAAACGACCAAGTGGTCGAACAGTGTGGGAGAGCATTTGCCATTGGACCATTGAATTTGACTGTGAGTTCTATGACTCAATCTACGATAATTTAACTCTAACCTAGAGATCTTAGTGATTGGAGTTTTTCTGTTCACAATCGGCCTCGTTCTATTTGAATTACCCTTCGATATTGCCTCATATGCACCCTACGGCTGGGCCTCGGGCTATATCATTGCTATGTTGGTGGTTGGATTTTCCATGATCTTTTTCTTTGGGATCTGGGAATGGTATGTGGCACCAGTACCTCTTGTCGGAATGGATTGGCGACTCTTCATGGATCCAACCATTATCGGCGCAGTCCTCCTCGACACGACATATCAAATCTCAAATTACTGCTGGAGCTATTACTTGACATCCTGGCTGCGGGTCAATAACGATCTGTCACTTACCACAGCCAACTACATCGACAACATTTTTGATATGGTTTCAGGTGTGCTTTTACTCTTGGTCGGATGGATCATCCGCAGAGTTGGTCGCTTCAAGTGGACCCTTTACATTGCGGTCCCCCTTTATATCTTCACACAGGGCTTGATGATCTATTTCCGACGACCGAATATGAATGTTGGCTATCAGGTCATGTGCCAGATTTTCCTTGCGGTCGGAGGTTCTATATTCATTCTTGTTGAGCAAATCGCCATCTTGTCCACTGTGGATCACCAGCATGTTGCCACTGCCCTGGCCATATTGAATGTTGTTGGTACAATTGGTGACTCGGCTGGTTTAACGATCAGCACAGTCATCTGGCAGAACACATACCTGAAGGCTCTGCGTGAATACCTCCCCGAATCGGCGATGTCGAGCATAAACGATATTTATGAGAGCCTTGAGACTCAAATCAGTTATCCTGTAGGAACTGAGACAAGATTGGGCATTCAAAAGGCGTATGCTTATTCTGAATTGCGACTGCTTGCTGTTGGATGTGGTGTGGTAGTCCTGGCCATTCCTTGGACCCTTTTGATCAAGAATGTCGATCTAAGGAAGAAGGTCCAGGTCCGGGGCACAGTCTTCTAAGACTTAAGCCTCCTGGAACGCTACTTGAATATTCGATAGATCTCAAACACGATTTAATGAAACTCGATCCACTCATCTTGAATTAGAACACTTTAATTTTCAAGGGCTATTCCTAGAATTGCCTCTCTTCACAGTACTAGTAAAATTTATCCGAGTTTCATGTGTCAGGAAATTGGAAAAGAAGGCTAGCTCTAGTGGATTTTATCCCAGAAATTCGATTCATTCCATATGAACAGTAGAGCCTAGAAGTAGCAAATACAGCCCACCTGGGCACCTCCAAGCTAGGTAAATTGGCTCGTGAGTGCCACGCGTCACAGTCAGCAGTGGGGCCGCCCACTTAGCACTTACGTCAAAGAGAATTGATTTTCCCTTATATGGGAAAGTCGTTTTTCTTAGATTATTTGTGGTCCGACTAAAAGGGACTATCGGCCCGAAGGGATGCAGTCTGCGCTAGCTTGCATTTCAAGCATCTCCAAAGGAGCTTCTTTAACGAGCAATACGGGAACCATCCCTCGACACGGGATCTGTTGTGTCTAGATTCAATGCACGCCAAGGGGGCGGCGAAGATCCGAAATTGGGCGCAGCCCAATCACTCCCATGTCGCTCTGAGCGCGTACGACCGGATTTCCTGTGCGTGCTGGAGTGGAGTCCATGTCTGCCATGTGCACAATGTGGCCTTGCGCTGGAGACGAGACCCCACTACGGAGCACCCGAATCAATACATATCATTGCATCCTCTTTTTTCTGACTCGGTTCCTTGATTTATTCCTGCCTCAATAAAAGCATCTAGGAAATCGCAGATAAAATCTTTGGTAGCGAATGCTGCTGGCTCAGCTACGTGTCGTATGACAGCGGAAATCACGCACCCGCGTCCAAGCAGATGAAGAGAAACTTGAACTTAGATGGTTCATGCCCAGCGGCTTAGATCTTGCGGGGTCGTATCGTCAATATGAATCAACAAGATGCAAAACAACGGAAGGATTCCAACTCTGATCATATCGAATGTCCAGCAGATGAAATCATCTTTGACCACAGTGGGGGCTATGAAGCCGTCAAAGCTGGGAGTCTTGCAGCCTTAGTGGAGAATCTGACTCGACATGATAAGCTAGACGCCCTATTCAATCGCGCATTTTTGACCACATACACATATTTCACATCAACAGCCACCTTGATTGATCTTTTAATCGCTCGCTTTGACCGTTCAGCTCTTGGATCAGATCAAACTAAGTCGTTGATCCGGCTAAGAGTGATAAACGTGTTGAAACAATGGCTCGAACATTTTTGGATCGAACCTCACAGTCCAGAAACAGATCAACACTTGGAAAGGATACGAAAATTTGCATCCGCCGCAACAGCCTCTACGGAGACCAGCGCAGTCCAACAACTTCTGGGCATCATTCAACGACGACTTGCAGGTCTTACTATCATGAAAGTATCTCGACCATCCATCTCAAATCCACCAAAACCAATTCTTCCTCGAAAACTGGACAAACTCCAGTTCCTCAAAATCGATGCCCGTGAGTTTGCGCGACAGTTGACTATTATGGAAGCACACCTATTCCGCAAAATCCGACCAAATGAACTCTTGAAAAAGGCCTGGCAAAAGAAAGAAAGCTTCGCCGGATCTGCACCAGCCCCAAATATTCGGGCTTTAATTCGATATTCTAATCAGCTCTCCAACTGGGTGGGAGCTCTCATACTGGCAGAATCAGACTATAAGAAGCGAGCCCAGATTATAGGGCACCTGGTCAATATAGCAAACGTATGACTTTCCAAACATCCTAGCCAGCTAATTTCACAGCCCCATACTAAATCAAAACTCAATATAGTCATGTGTTGAACTTCAAAACTACTCTGCGGTCGTATCCATCTTATCTGGATTCCAAAGCGCTCCTATCTACCGACTTACTCGCACATGGGCAATGGTTACAGAGAAGTGTTGCAACTTGTTAAGGCCCTTACAAAGCCTCACATCTTGTACCCAAAATTATGCTGCCTATCGTGAGACATTAAATATGGCAATACCACCCTGCATCCCATTCCTTGGTCAGTCCCAATTCATAATAGACAAGAGCAAGTGCTCTGTCTCTCCTTTACTCGACCCAAATCGTGATAAAAGATGAACTCGAGACTAATGAGTCGTGAAAACAGGTCTTTATCTCAAGGACTTAACATTCATTGAAGACGGAAACCAAGCTCTTACAACAGAAGGATTAATCATCTTCCACAAATACACCATGTTAGCCGCTTCTGTCCACGAACTCCAACGCTTCAAAGAAGCTCCTTACAGCCTGTTTCCCGTCCCGGAGCTTCAGGAATATCTTGCTGGTCAGTTACAGTCCGCCGTTGGACTAGATGAGATGTGGGATCGGAGCTGCGAACTAGAGCCCCGAGGTCGCGGCGAGATGAGACCAAGAGACTTTTATACCCCCACTGGTGGGATGACGACTTCCATGGTGATTGCGTGTATGGTTTTAGATGACTGATGATATAATGAAATTGATATCCGAACGCTTGCTCTAGGTAGTTTGAATATCATTGACGGCATTTTTCTAATGTTCCTAGATATGAATCTCATGTACAAGTGTATAGCCTCGAGGATTAGATAACTTTGGATACGTCAAAGATTCCTCTTGGAAAAGGGATCTTCAATACATTTGCTGCAGTGATCAAAAGATCTTAGCTGGTTCACGCGCATATAAAAGACTGGAGGGAAACCCTGTAATCGTTGTTGGTATCAATGATATTTGAGCGCAATTCACCTTTTAATAACATTTGAAGACCATTGCATCCAGAGCCTACCGACGGTGGCGCGGGATAACATATCCAAGTCCATCAGTACTTTTCTTCCTCTTTGATCAATCATCATTCCAGAGACTGACCAGCAGCATTCTACACAGCCGGGCCAGTCAAGAACAAACATAAAAGACAATGAGCTAATATCAGAGCTTTGAGCCTAGCTTCAGTCGTGCGATACATATGAATGTTTGCTCCGCGTTGGATTTGATTTTTGGAGGAATAAAAAACTTGACGAGGGATGTCCCCGTCTTGGTTATTGGTTGCTGGACGATTCTCAGAACGTCAATGGATACAGGAGTAACAGGACCTCCTGAGCAGCTTCAAGGTGAGACAACTTGTTTTCCAATGCGATGATAATTGTTGCGGCCTTTCGCTTACCCTTGTTGGGACGCGGTCGCGGCCGTCTTAGGTTTTTGGAAGCATGCTGAAGCGGTGGTGAGTTGATGAGTAGGAAAAGTTAGTAAGTTGGAGCCCAGGATATTGGGCTTGAAAAGAACCAAGAAGGAGATTAGAAGAAACACTTGAGGACTTTATAGTCGGACTCTCTCATTTTGAGATAGCGAGTTACCCATGTGACGGTTTTTAACCACCAGAACTTGGCAGCTCATGTCGGCCGACTATGAATATATTCTTAGCTGTTTATCAAGTAAAGGAAGATATTGTGGGACTCACCGGAGTATATGGACCAATAGCAAGGTTTTGCTGCAGTTTTAAACCGAAATTTTCCTTCTGAGACCAGTTACAAAACTGTTGCCTGCAAATTTTTGATGAAACTTGGAGGTCTGCGTAAGGTTAGATATGGCCTCCAAATGAATTCTCAACGAAACAAATAAAAGTGAAGATAAAAAGGAGATATACTTGCACTCTATTTTTTCCCATAAAATCTGATATGCAGCAAGCAAAGCCCCACAGCATGACGTGCAAAGGCCAGGCACTACCTGGATTTCGCAGTCCTTGCCAAATCTCATTGAATCATCCTATGCAACAAGCCTCGACGCCACCAAGGAGGCATTTGGAGTGATGCTCGGGGTCAACCCAGACCAAAAGGTCCGGTCGGCCTTTCAGGTTGCTGTAGGTTTTCCCCTTGTGAGTTAGGAGTTTCCGCGAGATGAATTTGTTCTCTGGCTAGATCCGCGGCGCTTGTTGGTGCGATGCTCACACGCGGCCAATCTGGCGTAAAAGACCAGCAGATTAAATGAAATCCATGAGCCGCTTTCATCCAACCAAATCCCTGGCACAGCTGGCTATAGACCGCGTACCACTCGGGAGGGAATGTGATGCTGAGGTCAGGGGTTCTCCAAAAGTGGTTGAGATCGCTTGTAACTCCGCGGCTGATGGAGTATCTGATGCCTAAGTGTGCTTCAAGCCTTCAACGACTTCCTGTACCAGACTGCTTGATGAAGTTTTGACGTCGGTTGCAACTTATGTGTTAGTCCTTGTAGACGAAGAAGATATTTCCATTCTCATCATTATGAAAGTTGTATCGGCCCCTCGAACTTTTGATGTTTCTTCAAACCCTTTCAAAAGCACCCCTGTTGTAGATTCGCTGGGAATGTAAACGGTCATCTGAATCTTTGGCTGATCCAATTCCCAATGATAAGACCTTGATTGCCATCGCTTAGTTTCATTCTCACCACGATGGCTATGTGGACTTAGCGTGGACTGGGATTGAGGCTGGCTTCCATATCTTCTTCGTAAATAGGAGAGAGATGAAAAGAAGATAGGGGACCTCGAATAAATGTGAAAATGAGATATTTGAAAGACTTACTGGGAGACTTGAATGAACAGAGGATTGGTGCATGTCCATATGTTAATTCACGCAAGAGAGATGTCGCCGAATGTGATTCGAAAACCTGGAAGGAACAGAGTCAAGAAAAGTGAAGAGAATTTCAATCTTGGAAGTTGAAGATATTAAAGAATTTCCAAAGTGAATTGTGCGTATGTAAATGAACAGACTGAACATGTGTTATTTTAGTCCTTAATTTGATTTTAAAAAGAGAAGAAATACCTGGATGGGCAAAAATAGAGCCCAATTTTATACTTTGCTAAGAGACTTAATCTGATTTAATCGACAACTCTCAAGTGCTTGTCAAGCTCAGGCTCGAATGCTCTTCGAACTCTCTTTATCAAGCACTCTGTTAGTCCATTACCTGACCTCATTATATCACACAACATGGCCACTTGAAAATGAAGTTCTTCATTACTTTTCAATCACAGACCCTACATGTTTCACTCATGGAACGAAACAACGCAGTAACTCATCACCTGACATTGAAAACTGGTCAGTGGTGACAATATGTGATCTCTTCCCTGTTTCTTCCCACTACTTGTCTCCACTGATTAGAGGGAAAAGCTTTGGAAACCTTTCTCCTGGTATACTCGACTCCTCACTTTTATGGTGAGTCGATGAGAAAGGCAGACTTGTGCTTCCTCTGGTATCCAGGTCACTCGCCAAAAATATGTGCACCATATATTTATTGCGGAAGCCCCTTATCCACCTTTCCATCTCCCCAGCTGCCAAACCCCAACTTGAACCGAAAATCCCAACTATGGCGGCGACTATGACATCGTACAAATAAACAACAGCCATCCACGGTACAGGGAATATCTGTCTTCCTCAACATCTTTTCAGGCAATCGAAAAGATAGAGATTCCCGACATACCGCCCGTTCTCTCTATGTCCGCTTTAGACTGTCAACGAGGAAAAGTATTGGGAACCGAGGTATGTGATCTGAAAATGAAATTATCAATATCATTGTCTCTGCTAACCTAATTAATAGATGGCATAGAGATGGGTCATCCGACTCTCGATCAAGGCTGATTTTCTCAAAGTCAATCAATGTTTCCGAGAACACATTCCCCGACATAAATACGAGGGCAGACTGAGATTCATGTGAGCATGAATGGAACGTCATTGAAGCAATTTTTGGAAAGAAAAAGAGCCTGAACCATTATCCACAAAGTGGCATTCCATATCCAACTGTATCGAGGATATCCTTGATTTGGTGAGTATTGCCATTATACCTTGGACCGCCCCTGAAAAAGTATCGAGAGTTGCAGTATAGAGTCTAGTAGCGATTGCTGACCGTTACAATAAAGAGATTCCAGCTGAAGATACAAACCCAAAATATCGATGAAGATAAAGATATCGATGGAAGGAAACTGGAATTTTGTGGACGTTTCAGACCAGCAGATACCTTCACTACTACCCAATTCACATCAACGGACAGCTACATTCTCCCAGGTTGAAAGAGTACAATGACTAGAGATTCACAGCAAACTATCAAATTGGCAAGAGACAACCGGTGTTTTATGAGGCCATCCCGAAGGAGAGAGCATACTTGGAATCGGTGAACACCTAACACAAGATATCCAGATATGATACAATCATGTGGATGAGTGGGAAATAAGCGACGCGCAGTTCCACCAATTTTTGCAGGTAAGTTCACGATACCAGAGATATTTTTTCCCGCAAGTTAAGCGAAGGCTATGGCGTCCGGAAGAATCAGGATCACCATTGAGGTCAACAGGAACTTAAAGAAGGGCGTTGATCAAGATTTCGTCCGCATACCGAGAAAGCAGCAGCGCAAAACGACATAAGGAAGAACGAAAACGCAGTTGGATATGAAGTTGGGAAAGGACAGACTGAGGGACGAGAGGTTAAAGCTGGAAGCTGGGGGCTCAAGGTATATTCAAGATCTCCTGGGGATTGAGACTATGGAGCTTCGAGGTAAGAGTCAATGATATATCAATTATCAATCGAGTTCTAATTGATCTAACTCCTCACAGCCCGCCATACCTTTTCAGGTCCTCGATATTTAGTGCAAAACACGCGAACAGGTGGATTTTTTGGAACGACGATAGCCGAGTACAAAACACAACCCCCAAACCTCAAAAGCTGGGTGGAATCGAAACCAATGAATCTAGTATTGGCTATATGTCTGATAGACAGTCTTGGTCGACAGTGGGCTCTCTATGTCGCAGCATCAGCTACTGTGCTATATGGCCATGCTCGCAGCAATGCTGGAAAGCCAGAGTGTGCTGTTTATGGACTTGCCTCGGACAAGAGAGACAAGGTTTTACCAGATCACCAGCTACAATTCAATTTTGTCACTCGGAAGAGTCATCTAGCGAGGACGATGTACTTGGAACGATGATTGTCCAAGGGACACCCTAATCATCCTCCATAAATTCCTTTCAAAGTCCTCTTTATTTCATGACTTCAACCAAATCGAACACCTTTTTGGACATTCCTCGCGTTTCATCCTCAACCATCCTGTCTATTTCCCACAAATTGATACCTGTCCCGTGCATCGGGGACGAAGCAGTTTTGGTTGAGGGCGTTGCTGGAACACAGCCCCCTGCTTGTTCTCTTTTCTTTCTTTTTTCTTTTGAAAAAAGAAGAAAAAAGGATCCCATCATATGCTGCTGCCGGCGGCGATGGAGGGATCCTCCTCGCCAGGATTTAAGTGAACTCCATTGAACCCCATCAAGCTAACAGTCCATTTCTATGTAGGTGTGCTATTTTGTGAGACTTTCCACCCTAGCACTTTGCAGCCCCATGGACTTTCACGGTACCTTAAACCTTAAGAGGTAACAGTCCTCTTCCTGCCTCTATCGTGGGCGATTAGCCACAATATTGAGACCTGTCAATACAAAAGACAGCAGTCATTATGTCTAATTGACTTACTGTAAGATTCTTATGGCTACTGATTTCTATAGTTGATGAATTATGTGGCTAATTATTTCCATAGATGCGAGATCGGAATCCAACGTTGTCATCATCGGCCGTGTGAAGAAAATGCACCGATGACTCTGGTCCCACCCATCCATCACCTGAAAGGGTCACCCGTGCACCAGAGCGCGAAGTGAAATAATTAGCCGGATAGACAGACCGAGCAGTTGAAGCTTCCCAACTGGGTAAAAGCAGACACAACTTAAAAGTCTGACAACAACTTCAGGTGGGCAGAATCAATTGACCATATGGAAAATTATCCTATGTTGCAAGCGAGCTTGGCCAACACCAGGACGGTGGTTGGCGGTATACCGATCGATCATTGGGGGAAATCGCGACACAGAGACACACAGAGCCGCAATAAGCGGTGTTTTCAGAGTTTTATGATGATCGCTAGGCCATCATAAAAAAGCTGATTGAACAGGAATTGGTTGGAAAAGCTCCGGCGAGAAAATATAAATGTCTACCACTTCTGTCAGTTGATCCTCCGTGAGCCTTTTGCTCGAACCGAGAATCTGGCACGGCGCAAGTGAAATCTGGCAGAACGTTGCCTTCATTCTACACGTTTACTTTTGTTGGCATGGAGTAACGATGATCCTCGTCATTCAAATGTTTTTACCATGTCCATCACCAGGAAGCATACATCCTACAAGCATAATAAAATCGTTTTATTCTTCTATACAAATAATCCACAAGGGCCACCGAGACAGTATACAAAATGCAGAAACCTTAAGACTCTAAGAATGTAGCTCAACTACATATTATCCTCACTCCAATGACTCCTAGTCTTCAACCAAGCCTCTCGATCCTCCTTACTCTCCTGCGCATCCATACCAACACCCATTCCACGCTCAACCCACTCCTTACTACCCATCTCCGCCAATCTAGAAAGCGCACGCGCAAACGCAAAGCGTTCCTCATCACCACTAAAGATAGAGGTATTCTTAAGTGCCTGCACTGACATACCCAAATCATCCATGAGATTACGCATAGCATCAGATAGATCAGAGTGATCGCCATTCTTGAGCGAATCCTTCACATCCGACGCGGAGAGAAAGAGGTTCGTAAGTGGTACTTCGGTAGTAAGAACGAGTTTGGCACGGCTTTCGTAGACCGCATCGATGAAGGTAATGAATCGGCGCGCTAGATCACGCTGGTTTAGGTTCATCCCTGGTACATCGGTGATGATAAAAGCGTTGTAGTGTCGGACTAGCTCGAGGTAGTCAGCTGCGCCGGTGGCGCTACCGATGAGCTGGTTGAAGGTGAATTTCGCGGCTTTGCCACTAGCGCAGGGGACGTTGATTGTGCGACCCCAGACGACTTGGGTATCGGGGTGTGGTGGGTCGTTGACAGGGTCGCCGAGGTAGTCGAACCATTTTTGAGCATGGGCTTCCGCGTCTGTGTCTAGAGGGTGGTGGTAGACTGCGGCGGGGGGGACGGGGGATCTTGCGGTAGTCGGTTGGGGAGTTGAGGTTTATGACGTTGAGTTCCTTGTTAAGAAGTTTGATGCAGGGGATGAATGACTCGCGCTGAATGCCGTTTTTGTACAGGTCGTCGGGATGACGGTTGGAGGTTGTGATGAGGACAACACCGTGGGTCATGAGAATTTCCAGGAGTCTGATATATTGTTAGTAAACTGTAAACTTGTTTTTGATCTCATTTGGATGTAAATCCAAAAAAATTAGTGGGTCTCACCTTCGCAAGATCATCGCATCAGCAACATCTGTGCACTGAAATTCATCGAAGCAAAGCACGCTCGCAGAGTCGGCAATATCCGCCGCAACCATAGGCAATGCATCGAAATCATTACCATACTTCATCTTAACAACATGCATGCGCTTATGTACATCCTGCATGAAGTTGTGGAAGTGGATGCGAGTCTTGGTCTTAATATTGGACGGCAAAGTATCGTAGAAGAGATCCATGAGCATGGTCTTTCCACACCCAACATCACCGTACATGTACAATCCCTCAGGAAGACTTTCAGGAATAGTGGATTTCGCGACTTCCTTCTCTCCCCGGCTGAACAAAGAGCCAAAGAACGACTGCTTAGGAGGCTCAGGGTTCAGGGACTCGACTGTCGGATGAATAACTGTAGGTGCTTCGTACTCCTTCAATGCCTCGTAAAGGTTCTGCAGGTTTTGAATGATCGCTGCACGTGCATGAAACAAATCCAATTAGCCAACATGTCCTTTGACATATACCATTTCATCCCAACCTACCTCGCTGATAAGGATCATCTCGGAGTCGACCCGACTCCACGCGATCATCATACTCCTTCAATGGTCCATCCTGCGGAGTTCCGGCCGCCTTCTCTAAGACAGTATCCTTGGATGTCGCATCATCGCTGGCAGTAGCTAGATTCCGTCTCTGTGCCGGCCGCAATGGCAGCTGAGAGGCAACAGTTCTCTCCACGGGAAGCGCACCAGACAAGCCGCGAGCCCTCCTTGCGTTCGCATTCAGCGGTGAGAGTCCACTCCGGTGCGTAGCGTAACATCGTTCTCGAGTCCCAGCGCCCCGCAGCGGTGCGGCTGCACGCAGGCCCCGGGAAGACCGCAGCGCTCCCGGGAAACACTCGGCACAGAGCTTGGCAGACGGCCGGCTCATTTGCGAAGCAGGTATTAATAAAACCGATATACGATAAAAGGGACAGGTGCAGGTCGTGAATGCGAATTTCGAGGCGAGGACGTAGCCGAGGTATCGTATTGCCGCAGGAATTGTTTTCTTCCGGGGGCGAGTAGTGATTAGGGCGGTGACAGGACGGAGTAGAACGCGGTGGTACTATAAGTTCTCAATTGGCACTTTTGTATGCCTCGGGTTCAAAGGAGTGTGAGGGATCGTCGTATCTACAATAAGAAAAAGAAAAGAATAAATGTATAGAAATAACCTTAGAGCAACCGAGCACTCCGTAATCCGATTCCGTTTAACTACGAGAAAAGAACGGGCCGATGTCAGTCACCTGACTCGGCAATTGATCAGCAGGCATCGGCAGCCAGAATTAGATACCGAGATAAAAATGATTATTTTGTAGTTGAATTGTTTGGTCACAAGTAGGGCAGAGGCCCGCGCCTTTCCTTGGATATCCAGTAAGAATAAAAAGAAGACCATATGTACATGTCACTGAAGCAGATTGAACCAGGGTATGGTACCCAAGGAACAGAGATTGAAAGCACAGATGAGAGAAGATCTCCGAGAAGAAGATATCTGAGACGGAAAGCACATAAAGATGAGACGAGTCACAAGGATTTGCAGAGAAAAAAGAATAAGGGGATAAAATATGAGAATAAAAGCCCAAATCATACATAACGCATAATATTCGTAACACCATCCTGCTCGTCGAAAAACCAAGGTGCGAATCGCTGAAAGGCAGATAAAGCACAAAGAATATCGAGAATAGGATGCCCATGACTCCCGATGCGCCGTACTCATTGCAGATAACAATAAAGATAAAATGATAATCGAGAAATGTGGACAGGAGAAAGGAAGTAGAGAGGCCACACACATAGTGGCACAGTTGTAGACAAGGAGGCATGGCTGATTACCGCAGGAACTCCATTTGATAGAATGACAGCTTTTGTGAGGGGGTATTTAAGCAATGCTGACATACAGTGTCAACTTTGTATGACGCTGCATTGCATCTTCGAGGTCCTGATCAGTGACCATATCAACAGATGTACCAGAATGTTCATCCTTGTATCGTACAATGATATTGTCTTGGATTTTGAGTCGATCTTGAAGTTTGTCCTTGAGATGTTGCATGCTAACACCGGACGGAATACGAATAGCAATCAAGTCATCCTGGAAGAACACCTTCACCTTCATCGCACTGGAAGCGGAGTTTGCAGACGCCTGTGTGAGGGAGCTAGCCTGGCGGTTCATGGGTGGTGGTCCACCATTCAAGTAAGATCCCGGACCTGGGGTACTGCGTCCCTGCTGCTGCGAGATGCGATCTTGGGATGCGTTCATGGGTGTCTGGGATGATTGGCGGGACACGGGTTGGGCGGGCTCAACGCCGGCAGAGGAGTGGTGGGAGGTATCGGAGTACCGAGCCTCCTGGCCGAAGGCATCGGGATCAATCTCAAAGTCGCCTGGTCGAGGCACAAACAACTGGCGAACCAATTGGCATCGCGCAATGTGCGAGGGCATAGCGATAAGTTTCTTGATGTACTCATCCAGACTTTGACGACGGCCGTTGGAGATCGCATCAGTCACATGCGTGACAGGGCCTGGCATGAAGGGAAGGGTTCGTGGGCGACCCCGGTTACCGGCCTCGTCCTCAAACTGGGTCAAAAGTGCAATCTGGAAATCATAGAAATCGTGGTAAAATCGCGATAGTTCCCAGCACCGGCCATCTTCCATCTGAGCCTCAATAATGTACCAGTACTTGTCATTGTCAAAGCAATAACGGGGAATGGATGCTGCGACTGGTGCGAGAATTTGCTGGTATCCTTGAGGTGGGGGCTGAGTCTGTTGGGACTGCGATGGCAAGGTGCCCTTGCTGGGTTCACGTTGATGGTATGCCTAAAAAGCGAGTGGAATTATTAGCCCGAACTGTAGTCAACGAACGTTCGGCGTCCCATATACCAAAAAGACGGAGGGAACCGCGGGTCCAAAAGAGCAATCAAGGGAGCAATCGCTTACATAGGCGTTGCCGTTTTGGCTCATATGGCTCGAAGTTGAACTCATGGACATCTTATCCATCGCGCCGGTCATTCCCATCATGCTGTTACTATTATTACCTCCACTAGGTGTCGGTTCAATCTTGCCGAGAGTGATGCTGCTGTTCTTGTATTCGGCTGTCATCTTCTTCCACTCCTCCACCTTTGGCACTCCAGCACGGCGCACAGCCTCAAGTGGGTCAGTCACGGCCTGACCAGTCTGCATATCGCGCAGTTCGATAAAGGAAACAGGAATCAATCCAGGGCCACCCAAGCGACCGATAGGCTTTGCGACAAACCATTCCGGATTGGATTGAGCAATAACAATGATGGCTTCACCAGCGCGAGCATCCAGTTCATCAGGTCGTTCAGCTTGGAAATCGTACTGAACAATTCCATAGACCATGGCGCCCTGGCCCTTCAGGGTAGACATTCTGAAAGAAGGTTGATTATTGGGAGGATAGGGGTCGGAGATATTGCGGTCGGCGAAACCAGAGTCGTGATGAACCTTTTTATGATCGTCGGAACCACCACTATCCCTTTCGTTCTTTGCGATAACTTCGAAGAAGGATACGGGCACGAGCCCCCGAGCACTAGGGATAAGAGGGTTACAGGCCTCGTACCAATCCGAATGATCCTCCCTGCTGATAACGTGAAAGAAGTCTCCCTTGCTGAAAGCCAATTCCTGACTATTGCCAGGTTCTGGTCGGTAATCGTAGAGGGCTTTAATCACCTAATGCACAGACAAGCACAGAAGAGTTCGGTCAGCCATTTGCCAAGCACGGGTGGGACACCATTCAGAGAGGGGCAACGCGACAGTTTTGTTTCCCTCGTCTTCTTATGGGAACTTTTTTTTTTTTTTTTTCCCCCGATATTATTTGCCTCCCCAGCCACCACAAAATAGAAAAAGGGGAGAAAATGCAAAAGACAAGACCCATATTACCCAAGGGGAAAAACGCTAACCAAAAAAAAAAGACTCACCTTCTTAGGAGGGATAATAGCCAGGGCAGATTTGGGGGGTTATGGAGAGATGGTGATGCTTCGGATCTTTCTCCCCTTCAAGGACCGTCTGATAGCCTGGGGATAGTGGGTTAATTAAATGACACACACAATACCATGGTAATATTTCAGTGGCGGGGACAACTGAGGGGGGGGGGCACGGGCAACTGACCTTCATCGCGAACAACCGAGAAGGCACAAGGTCAAGGGGGTTCACAACAAGTTCAGGGGGGGTGATGGAAGAAGTCAAGAAAGATTCCCAAGAGAGAGAGAGCTGGAGTCACATTGGAGGAGACATGTAATCAACGTATTGCGGTTCCAACCACAGCTGGGATTGGGATGAGTATTTGGGGACTAGAATGAGGGGCCCGCTTTTATTTGTAAAGGGATGATCTTTGTTACTCTCTTTTCTCTTTGTATTTAGTAGTTATAATATGGTACTATTACTGTAGATATACTATCATAGGTAGAATTCTTCCAGAAGACCTGATCCAGGGATACATCTATCGGGTTCCTTGTGGCAAAACTAACTCCCCGTTTCTTAACCTTGGAACAGGATGAACAAGAAAATAGAAGTCTTATTTTTATTCTAATGTGATAGATCATGCAGGGATCTTCCAATCCCACGTTCAGATGAAATGTTCCAAAATTAACCCTGTATAGGTCCGAGTCATGTCTAGAATAACCAATATTACTTCAATATTCAGTACCCCGTACACATGTGCATGCATATCTGATATTTAGATCAGATTCTAACAAGTTCCACCGGTAATTTCATTACCAGTAATGGACCAAATACAGATCCACTTTGAGTCCAGGTACCGTTGGGCAGACACATGTGCACCCCCGGCGGCTAATAACTAGTACTAATATTGGACTATCTTAACCTATGCAATTTGACTGGTCTATATTTTTATACCAAGCCAGTCCTTCCGTACTTACATCTATGGATAGTTTAGTGCTAATATTATTCAAAGTTCAAATAGTCGCCCTCTCAAGTAATAGAAGAAAAGAAATTCCCTGGTTCCCTGGTTATCCACAACCAATCCGTGGTCATATCAGCGCAGGGACCATGGATTAAACAGTGCACTGTCCCAACCTTGGAAACATACTGGGGATCGGCCCTTTCTTTGAGTGTAAATCCCGACAAGAACTTGAAATACAGGGGGATAGTACCAGAGACAAAATACCCTGCAAGAAACATTTGAACATATATATCGCTTGTCTCTAAGACATGACATCTGAAGAAAGTTACTATGGAGTATTTCGTACTACATAGTATACGAGTTCCTTAAGCCACCATGACTGTACATAACAAATAGTGAGAAAAGAAATAATAATCCAAAGAGAAAACACTACCGATAAAATAAGTGAAAGAGCCCAAATTGGAATTACTAAATTAATGAAAGCATGTAAATTAGGGATTTACATTCGCGGCTCCTGCACTCACCCGATTAACTATCCCAAACGGAACATTTGTTCCAGTTCAAGTGCCAATCGGGCTCATCAATTTGGCCCCTTTCCTTTATAGGTTCATCATTTAAAATTCAAAATAGGGTAAGAGTCGATCAGGTTCGCATATCAGGGTCTCTATCTCCATTACGCAGTACGAGATCTGGGGGCTAAATGATTATCTCTATGTTTTGCTAAAGCTTAGAGAACAAGGGTACATTAGCTAGACTATCTCCATTTTACTTCACCGCTGTTGGTCAAGACAGTGCCGATCGTGGGGGAGATGATGTCAAAGGACGTTGGGGAGATGCTCAAGTGGATTGAATCAAGATATCGGTTTTTCAATTTCAATACCATCCACAGGGGCCCTTGAACATGCATGTAATTTGGAAAAATCGGGCCAGAACGTCTATGGTCTGATTTAGTGTCAAAATTGTCAGTGATAACCCTATTGATTCCCCTACTAAGTAATATACTAGTATTAAAATGTTCCACTCTCTCTGTGCAGGATTATTTAATATACTATTAATACCTGACATATGCATTAACCTTAGAACCTTGGAAGCAACCCAGCCCTGAAGATCATTGTATTAATCCAAACACTGAATTAGGAACCAGGCACGAGACCTGTACAATTTACATTTACTCCATACTCTCATGCTTCAATATGATTTCCTAGCGTCTCAATAGTATACACTTAATTTCTTCCCCGCTACTTGAACCAGAAAATAATACCGATGACGCTAGAAATTGGTGGACGCCACTGTACTTGAAGAGCCCCTCCATCCCATGGCGGCCACGCACTTAGGACCCACGTGGCGGGGCGGTTAATGAGATTCCATGGAACAATCGAAAGATTAGAAGAAACAGATCAAATAGTGGAAAGTCGCGTGTCAGGAGTGGCGGGGAAACAGCCCACGTGCAGATCAATTAATAGAAGAAAATCTGGAGAGGCAAATAATTAGTCGGAATACTACAGTAGTGTATATGCGCTTCGGGAATACTAGTTGGGGCGAAATGACACTCTGCCTGATTTACGAGGGGAAGAGGCGTTTTAGGGCCGCGTCATGTGCCATAGACTTGAAACAAATCATGGAGTCGAGTCTGGTCTGGGCATTTGATTAAGCCTGAGACAATGGATTCGGACTCGCTACGGAGTTCCCCGCCCACAATTTACAATAGGAATGCGATACTGTCAAAATGTAACTTTATTCTGTAATCAAATGGGTTCTGCTGTAAATGAGACAAAAACTGAGATCTACTCAAAACAACACCTGTGGGCGCTATGTGCACTTCGATGCCCCCACCCACCAGCAAAGTCGAAAAAAGAAGACCGGCGGGTATTAGTATGGTCGTACGTATCTCACCGAACGTATGGATGGGATTCCGCACGTGAGAGCCAAGAAGACGGAAATGGGGAAAAATATGAAGAAATGATGCAACAACTCCAAGGCCGAAAAGGAAGCTGGAGGATTTTTGTGGGACCATGATAACGCCTCTCGCTGAAGGAATGGGGGAAACAACGACGGAAGAAACAAAAAGGAAAAACCACGGCGGCCCCCGGATGAGGCTGGAGGGGGTGCCGACCAGGCTAGTTGGGGTTAATTGGGAATCTCCGGATAGTCGGACTTTCGAGATCAGATTTGACCCTTGATATCGACGACGCGGTGGGCTTCTGCTTTGGCCTGCTCAAACAGAGCGCCCGCTTTGCCGGTCAACAGCCTTACGACCCCGTTTCTCTCTTGGAGAAGCTCGGAGCCCTGGTAGTCTAGGACGAAACGTGCGGCCTGCTCATCGGACTCGAAGCCCAACTCTTCGGTAATGAATCGGATTTCCACATCGGGTTTGTATCTGAAGTTCCATGTTAGCAATCATGTAATAAGAATAGAAGAGGGAAAATAGTAAATGATACACTTACGCTCTACAGATGGCTGCGAGGGCACTCAACCGCTCGCGATCGACAAACATATCCATAAGATAAGCACCCATATTGGGTGAGTCGAGATAGAGTGAAAAGAAACGATGATAGTTTCCAAGCGCAAGGGCAGAGCGGAGAGCAAGAGCGTGCTTGACAGCGGGATCTTTCTTATCTTCAGCAGTCACATCGGCCAGCGCGTCGTTCATAGCCGTCCAGTTGCGGGTGTAAATGAAATAGAGAATACGATAGGCCTTGAATTCCGTCGGGTGTCCACCCAAATTCTGCGCGTATAACACACGTAGTTGGGTTTGGCACTGGTTGTACTCACCAAGATCCCCTTTCTCCAAGGCGATACGGGCATGAATCTCATAGACGTCCACAGTGAATTCGTTCCGAATATGTTGGACCGTCAGATCCTGACGCAGGGACTTAAATTGATCACAAATGTATCCATAGTTGCCCTCACTCTTCCACTTCTTCTTCAAAAGGTTGAGGGTCTTTTCAAGCACAGGCAAGGGACGGACGGTATCCGGGTTCGGAGCAGAAGTCAATCGGAAATAGTTCTTTTCCAGGGTCTGGCATCTTCCCACAACAGGTCCTTGATCCACTGCGGCTCTAGGGGAATCGACTGGGGAGGAGGTCGCCGAGTTGCCGTAGCTGGCGCCAGCACCCTCAAAACGTCTCCTCCTCATCTCCAAATTAGCTTTGGACTTACTAGACTCGTCCAGCGTCATGCGTGCTTTTTTCTCTGTGGATGGGTAAGTGACTCGGTCTTCAAAACGGTTGCGATTGTTAGTTTTCCGCCACGGCGGGGATTCGGGCTCGGGCTGCTCAAAATTATCGGTCGATTTTCGCTTGCGTGAGGCATCTCCGGGGAAGATGGCCGGCTGGATGTGGCCCAGCTCGAGACGCTAGGGTTGGCCAGGATCTTGTTGCGTTCATTCTGAATCATGACCTGTGGTAGTTGCAGCTTTTCCCAGTCGATCGCGTTGAGTCGATCCTTTTCTGCCGCATCGGTGATGACTTGCCGCAGTTTCTCCTGCATCTCAGCATTGCCCACACTTGCGATCTGGTTCTCGGGGGCAAAGCATCGCTGCACATAAGTGCGAACAGCGGCAGAGAACTCCACTCGTGGAGGAGCTGTGGTTGTTGTTGACATGTTGGTCACAGGTGTAACGTTTGGGACTGAATAGGTGGGCTTGTTATGGTTGAGACTACGGCGTGCTTGTACTGGGATGTAGGCAGGGGTTGCTGTGCCGCGGTTAGCGCCCTGCCAATCTTTAGGGTGGCGGATCTTTTTCTCAGGCTTACCAGAAACTGGGAAAGCAACGGATGGCGAGGAAGGTACTGAAGCAGTTGCACGCCAAGGAGGGATGCTGGAGCTCATCCCGACTTCTAAGAAAAATGAAGCTTGATGAGGCAAAACGGGTTGGGGGGGGGGAATAGACGGAAAAAGTAGAAGATCGGGAGAGCGATGAGAGGGGGGAGAGAAGAAGAAGAAAAAAGAGACGGCTACGTTTGAGAAGAGGAAAAAAAGAAGAGAAATCCTGATGACGAGAGAAGAACTCGAGAGATGGAAAGGTCCTACGCCACTTTATCTCTCGCAAGATAAATGAGATAAAATATAAGACTGGGAGATTTAGATGAATGATTTGCTCAAGAACCTTGGGAGAGGAAAGAAGCCCACACACAACTTGCCGGTGAGAAGGGGTTCCCCAAGCGACGGATTTTCCGTTTCTCCGATCTTCCGTGCTTTATCGGTTATCGCAGCCAAGACTGGGTGAGCTCGTCACTTATATTGCTCTGAAGTTGATATCTACTAGATGTTTTTCAAGTCCCTCGATCTCACGACTGCGTTACGACCCTTACTGTTACCTGACGAGACTCTACTCTTTGTCCAGGACGCAGTAGGGTTGTACGAAGGGTGAGTGGTTTCATTTGTTATGACTCCCATTATGGATATGTATGACTGATACGGCTTTCAATCAGGAAATACAAGATACCTGATTACCAAAATGGCCATGCTTATTTGACATCACATCGGGTTTGTTATATAGCGGCTGAGGACCCTCGCAAGTTCTCTGTGGCGATTGATCTCAAGGAGATTGACCGTGCAGAGTATCAGGTATCAGCTTCCCCCTCCCCCACCTGCCGCATGATAAGGGATCTCCTTTCACTAACGCAGAGTACTTGAGTATGGAAAGGCAGGCTTCTTGAAGTCGTCACCAAAGATTACTATCTACCCCAAGCCACAAAAAAGCAAGACCGATAAGTCGCGTAGCGCAACTTCCAGTCCGGCCGTACCCTCGTCGTCCACCCTCCATCCAGGCAAGCCGCTATCTCCCTTACCACAATCGATCGCACCGCAGCCGTCTCCCTCTCCCAAGCCGGTAAATGCGACGTGGATTTGTCCCATATGCTCTTTCTCAAATCCTGTGCCCTCAAACTTTGACCCCGCGACAGCGACAGCTACAACAAATCTCCCGCCATGCTTAGCTTGTGGCATCAAACCGCCTTTGACAACGGTGTTAAAAGCCGCTGTCAATGCGGCAGCTAGTCGAGAATCGCCTTTACCGCGACCGAGCTCTTTGCCTGTCGGTGAACATACGAACTCTACTACGGGTACCCAATCAGCCTCTGGTTCCGTGTCTTGTCCTCGATGTACCTTTGTCAATCATCCATCTCTTATAGAATGTGAAATGTGTGGCACCTCATTGATAGTTGCGACTTCTTCTGCCGGAAATGGGAATATTCGTGTAGAGTCACCAGCTCCGTTTTTTGAGCAATCGCGAATTCCTAATACTGAAGTGAGCGAGACCATCAAGCTGTCTTTCCGTGCCGGCGGGGAAAAGACGTTCCATGAGAGGTTGAAAGGCGGTCTTGTTCAACGAAAATGGTTACTCCAGAATGCACCTCCAGTACCTCCCCCATCACAAATGTCGACAACGAGTGCCCCCTCTACTGCTACACTGGAGAGCCCACAGCCAGCAGCTCCACGACCAACAGCTGTTGGAATTGCGGGTCTTGAACAGCGAGGCCTGGAAGCGCGCATGAATAATCAACTAGTCATCGGCAATGCTTTTGAGGACCTTGAAGCTCTAATGGCTTCAGCCAAGCAAATTGTCGCACTGGCCGAGACTCTGGCCCGAGAATCTGGCATGTCGAGCGAGGGCTCTGCCGAGACTTACGCAGTCTTATCTGAATCTGTAGCCGCATTGGGAATGGTAACCACGAAAGATATGCTCAGTTCTGGGTCAGAGAACCTTTATCTGTCCGAACTAGCACGCAATCTGGCCGAATATTTGACAGATGACCGTAAGGGGGTTCTCCAGCGTGAAGGGGGCATCATGAGTCTTATCGACCTATGGGCAGTCTTCAACCGCTCACGGAATGGAGTGGAGCTTATCAGCCCTTCAGACTTCCAACGGGCGGCGGAACTCTGGGAGAAGCTCAAACTACCGGTTCGTCTAAGACGTTTCAAAAGTGGTCTTTTAGTGGTTCAGCGATATGACTGGAGTGACGATAAAACAGTGCGTCAAATACAGGATTGGATGGAAGAACTACGGCAGGTCCCACCGGATGAGCCAGTTCCATGGGACTGGACAGTCTTTGGTCGAGCTGTCACTGCACAGGAAACCGCCCAGCGCTTCATGTGGAGTGTTGGAGTCGCTGCTGAAGAACTTGAGATGGCAGAGGATCGAGGGGCTCTCTGTCGAGAAGAAGGAATTGAAGGACTACGATTTTGGAGTAACAGATTTACCGATTCACTGGCAGTTTTAAAGTGATACGAATGAGTGTGTGGCTTAGACCAATAGAGAATCTCTATCCCGTACCAGAAAAAAAATGGTTCCACCAGTAAGGCCTCCTGCACCGTGTGCATCCTGATGACGATATAGGATTCACCAAGAAGGAAAGTGATGCGAACTATCGGAATTCTTGGGAATGATTAAGACCAAAGAGGTAGAAAGTGACGTCAGAATATTGATGACCTAAGCAAAGTTACTTGCGGGGGGAATTCCCTATACATTATGATTGGTTGACCCCGCGATCATCAACTCTCATCCCTCCCCGGTCTCTCTCAACTCTCGGAGGGCTGTACTCCTATTGGCATCTTTCCTTTATCCTTCGTCATAACCCCCTTATTAAACATTCCCTTGTTTTGCTGTTTTTATTCTATTTTTCCTTTTATATCCAATCGCCTCCGGCGTTTTGTTCATCTAGTTGGTCTCTTTTTTTAATTCTCTCTCCTCGAATTTACTCCATCTTCAACGGCCATTTGTGGATCTTTGGAGTTCAAGATAAGCGTGACCCGCTTTAAATTGTGTGGATTTCGTGTGGATATGATCGGCGCCTTTAAGCCCCAGATCTCACACGCGAACTATCCTATCTCTTGGTGAATCTCATCTTCAGTGATACTTCCAAATCAAATACAACCCAACCTCTTATCATGAGTTTCTCTATCGCCTTATCCGCTGCGGCGGCGTCAAGACCTGGTGTCACCCGCCCAGCCATGTCCCTTCTAGTGTCTTCACATCCTGCCCAATGCCGAAGTATATGTCGTGCTGCTCGAAATACACAAGCTGGAATGGAGAAGCCAGAACGCACCTCCCGATCCTTTACCAAGTGCTTCCGCCCTCTTGCCAGTATTCGCTCCAGCTTCTCTGACATCTCATCTGGTCGCGAGAAGACCTTCTGGGAAGCTGAGCGAGAACAGATGATGCAGCGTATGGCACATCTGAAGAAAAGCATGTCAGATGATCCGTCAAATGCTCTGTTCAGTCATCAAGTAGAATCCCTTCGCCGAATGAACAAGTCTAAAGCAGCATGGTCTGGCTTTTTGCAGTCAATCATCACTACTGAGCACCAGCCTGTCCAATCTGACATGCCCCTTAAATCTCACCTTCAAGACTTCAACTTCGCCCAATCACCCGAGATAACTCGTGATGGTCGCCAATATGACCCGATCAGTGGACGCATGGCACCGCAAGCACCACAGCCATCAAATCTAAAAACTCAGACACAGAGTGCTCAGGCCATTGACTGCACCCCCGGCGGCGAGTTAGAAACGAAATTTGCCTCCAATCCATCTCTGGTAGATGAGGGTCAATTTCAGCCAGGGGCTTCCGTCTCGCACATTGCTCCTGAAGCATCTCTCAGCTCTAAAACTATTGACTGTTCCCCTGGAAGTGAACTGGAGGCTCTGTTTACCTCAAACCCTGCCAGTTACAAAGATGTTCGAACGATGACTGGCGCTTTCCAAGAGTCTGCTCATAAACCTAACATCAACATTGACTGCCCACCTGGGAACGAGTTGGAGGCTTTGTTAATCTCAGAGTCTGTTCACTCAGGACAGCCACACGCTGAATCATTCCAGCCCTCGAAAAACATTACAAAATTGTCCGCAGATGCTGGCGTCAGCGCTGGACGAACTGTCGAGTGCTCGCCTGGAAATGAATTGGATGCATTGTTCATCTCCAAGCCTGCTCTTCGCGCAGATCAGACATCTTCGCTGGAAGATTTTGGAGCCAATTCCCTCGGCCAATCCAACAATGTTACAGTCGATTGCCCTCCGGGTAATGAGTTGGAGGCAAAGTTTGTCTCGGAATTGGGTTCTCAGAGTGAGAAGGCTCACCTCAAAAATGATACGGTTGACTGCTCCTCTGGGAACGAGCTCGAGGCAAAGATAATTTCTGAGGCAGCCATGGATCGTAATGAAGCCATCATCGACTCCCCACCTGGCAATGAGCTAGAAGCCAAGTTCGTTGCCGACCCGGTTCCAGTTGAAGATGGCCAATTTCAACCTTCTTTGGTCTCCGATGAGCTCCACGCCCAACAGGCCAATATCACTCTTGACTGCCATCCAGGCAATGAATTAGAGGCTATGTTCATCTCCAAGGCGGCCAGTGGTAGCCCTTCGATGATCGAAGATCTTAGTTCTTTGCAAGCAAGCGACATCCGCACCCGATATGCTTCCCTGGATACCTTGTCTAAGCCAGAATCCCATCTATCCAAGAATGTCGATTACTCTGGCTCAGAGGACCGAATCGGTGACTACATTCTGAAAAATCAGAAAACCTCTGCACCAGAAGCGCAGCAAGAAGTGTCCCCTATTTACCGCATCCTGACCTACGATTCTTCCACTTTTGAAATTACCACAGCCGAGTCTGACCTCTTCTTTGGCGTGAACGATACCAGCCCATTGATGGAAGTCCTCTCGCGCTTACAAAACCCTGCCAAGTTTGTGCCTTATTTTGAGAAAATGCAGCGCGATGGGTACGAGATTGCCACTGGCGGTGGTGATATTCTGGTATTCCGAAAGAGCGGCAACTTAGCTGCAGCAGAGCAGGATTCTGCTATCCACGCTGATATTGCTCCATTCCTTCGACACGACTCATACCCGACCGCAAGCTCCACTGGCTCGCGGTCGCCTTTCACCAACCAGGTGAGTAGACAGTGAAGCTGTCTATTCCGACCGCCATCCTAACTGGTCGACTCCTACAGCCACCTCCCGCAGATGAATCAAATGGTGTTGGGGATGAACCTACGAAACCCTCCAGCTCCAAATCCTCTATTCGAAAGACCCTCAGTAGGGCTACTTTTGCCGTTACAGCCACTGCTGCATCGTGTTATGCTCTCGGTGTTGTGATTGAGTATTTTTGTACTGGAGGACAGGATGGTCACGGCATTGACGGGTTCACTGCCTTTGAGTCGGAGCGTCGTCACCTAGGGTAATCAACACAGTGTGTTGTCACCCGTTCCTATTCGCTGATCTCATTTTCGGATTTCCTTCAATTCTTTTTTATATGGAATTGTGATGCAGGCTTCACGATTTTACTCTTCGATATACCCCTCTTTTTTCAATGGTTTCTTTCTTATCTAGCGTCTCCTCAGATTTTATCTATGTTATGAGATATTATACAAGGGTCATACAATATAAGGCTAAGACTTATGACGGCAACTGCCATTCAAACGAATTTCTCCTTAGATCTCCTTTAAGTAATCCATTAGTGTTCAAATGTCACTGGCAGTTTGCTTTAGTCATTTCCAGGGTTCTATCTATGGATACGTACTGTAACCCTATGTAGCGCGACCGGACCCTCGGGGGCCGACTCCGCTTCTTAGTTTAATTTCCCCTTTTCACCTCAGCTAACCTTGGAAGACAGCACGTTTCTTTGTCAACCCCTCTTCGTCAAGATGCCTAGCGACTACACCCTGGAACGCACCCATGGTCAGGAGTCGGTGTTAATTCACGCCGCTGATCTGTATCTCCTGGTAATTACCTAAAACTTCTTAAAATTGGAAAATATACTAATGTAGTTGGCTGCTAGGAAGAATGGCAGAATGACTTTACTATCTCAGACGATGCCCAACGCTCGGCAATATTCAGCAAGTGGCTAGATATTGGCTCGCATGGTCGTATGGTTAGTCTATCTCATTTGCCCTTAGTCAATAAGCAATAGGTAATAGGATTGGAAGCCATATGTTGAAAGACTAGAGGATATGTCCTCGAACGACGATGATATTACAGATGACGAAAAATATCTCATCGCCCGTGTCCGCCATCCTTCAGACCGACAGGATATCAGCTATTCACGTGTCGTCCGCACTTTCTACGGTGAAGGCTCAGCCGAAAAGCTTGCGGAGCTCGCCGAGGAGGCTGAGTTTGATCAAACCACCTTCGATAATGCCGAACTTTACGATGCTGGGTCGAATGACGGCTTACAGTCGCTACATGATATTCTGACCCGTATCCCACAGATCATTGAAGAGGTGCCCCTTGTTGCCATTCAGCGTGTCGAGAACATGCAAGAAACCCGAAAGGAGGCTATCGAGCACCCGGAATTTGGCAGTGAATATCATAAAGAGATGTTTCACAAAGCGGCCAAATGGGATCATGTTCTCATCTACGATAAAGAAGCAAATGATGAGGGAGACGTGCTGCTGGTGTACTTCGATGATCGCGGCCGGGTCATACGCTACGGTCGGGTGTATGGAGCTGAGGATTGGCAGGCTGCTGACGGTATGCTATGGTCAGGCCAGGATCTCATGCATAGATGGTGGGACACCGGTGACTACGGAGAAGACTGGAAGCCCGATCAATTTGATAAGCGATGGGCCGAGTTTGAAAATGAGGACTGGGAGTGATCTTGGCAGTATTTAGCGTCTGATCTGGCAAAGCCAAGACAAAATAAAACTTTTGTCGGTACATCTGTGCGGGCTACTAGTACTTTATTATACCAGAACAGTAAATAAATCCGACTCGGACACAACTTAAAGTGGTGATATAAAGAGCCGGATTAAATACCTCGCTGTGACTTGAACCTTGGAACAAGCTTAGGTCATTTCGATGATCCGTCTCTGATTCCTTGTAGAATAGATGGGATAAAGCTATAAATATTTCTGTACCAAGGTCTCATAGTCTGCTGTCGAGTTCAGGTGGAAGAGTTCAAAAGGAGAAAAAGGGGGAGAAATAAAAACTAGAAGCAGGGCCCATCATTCCAATTGCCACTCCAACTCGGTCAACTTTCTTTTCTAGTTCGCCGAATCTCTAATCTTTCTCGCTGATAATCCGATCCTTTGCGGCAATTTCTTCCTTTTTCTGCAGAATGGACTTGTCTTGTTCTTTCGAGCCCATAGCAACGATCTCTACAATTGTACCACAATTGAAGTATCTTTTCCAGGGATTCTTCTCAGCCAATTGGAGCAAATTCTGAAGTATATTACCCAGTAAGTAATCAAGAATGGTATGTACGAACATTGGACCGACAAATCGAATGTGTTTCTTTGCCAGAGCTTCGGCAGGTCCCTATCTCGTTTTCGATGGCAGATGGGGATATGAATATCGAACATCCTGAATCGGCACAGTAAAGCCGGTTTCCAGTCTTCCATTCGTCGGCCTTGTCGTTGAAAGCGCTGAGCTCGCCATGCTCTCCAACTCGCGTTGCGAATTTGGGAAGGAAGGGTTGTCCACAACAATGAGGAGGATACAACTTTTTGGGCTCTCTCAATATGAGAGCAAGTAACTGGTAAATAATACGGCCGGATTAAACTGCTGGATGTACTGAGAGGCGCGGATGAGGCGTGGTTATCCGAGCTTGCTGATTGGAGGCTGGTATTAACCGCGATGTTGACCGTGCTGCTATGGTCCGTGTAGACGACGACGGGTAGGTCATCTGGTGCTGCTTCGATCATGTGGCGGGCTTTGTGGAGTACCCAAGCCAGGCAGTAGACTTCAAGTTCAATTGGCCAGTAGTTGTGCTCAGCCTTGTTGAGGACTCGACTGAGGATCCGTTGGACGGCCGAAAAGGGTGGTGGCTTGGCTAGGGAGCGGCCACCAGCTTGGTGCTCGGTCTACTCCGATTCTAGTATCCAGCATTTGAGTGTGTAAACCCTTGAAGTTGAAAAGATGTAGATTTAAGATAATAATAATTCAGCTGGAAAATCAAATGAACTCCTTATATTGAGGCTCCTGGTAAGAGACTTGGAGGAAATTGTGGGTGAATGAATGACAAAGCATTCTATATGTAGAGCTACTATCCAGGGTCCTAGCCTGATAGTTATAAGTTCTTTTAGAATGAATGAATAAGCTACCTTGAAGCTTATCACTTTGGTATCTAAGCCATCCACCACGTGAATTATAATAATAATAACAATATTTTACTCATCTTAAATTTGACTTTATTATGCATAAGTAATATTTTTCAAGGTTATAGGTGACATTGTAATAACTAAGATAGATCATTTTCAGTAATCACTCAGGTATTGAACAGGAAGAGATGTTAGTGTCGATTAAAGCTAGGCGAGCTTTATATTAGTTCATCTTTACTTTGATTTGCCGCTCAGAGCATAAAGTGAACAAAGAAGTAAACATAAACAAATGAAAAGGTGGGAATGAAATAAACCTCTCGTTAGGATTCAACTATCTACCAATTTCAATCCCCCCTTTCGTAGGCGGACCCAGTTGTCTAGGCTCCCCAAAGCTATTCCCTCCAAATCTTTGCCTTCCCCTTTGATCTATTCAGGCTGGATCCAAAGCGCTTCTCCCCCCAGTAATTTGTAACATCATCGCCATCACTGTCGTCGTCGCTGAGGTCAGTCCAGTCATCCTCTGAGTCAACAGGGTACGTCTTGAAGAGTCTCTTCAACATGGCACACTCTGCTTTTCCACTGAAAAGGTAAAGCTGCAATGCAACGAGTATCTTCCCTGCACAACAGAAGTCCTCCTCATCCCACAGGTCATACTCCCTTGTTACATCAACCCGAAGACGAGAGCTTCGCTCAAAACGAACAACCTTGCGCAAGACCCTGGCTCTCCGGGGAGAAAAGAACTTCTTTGGTGTGGGTGACCCAGGTGAACACAGAGAAATCTTTGGGACAGAAGCGGGAAAAAAGTCAGGCTCATTCACCTCTGTGGTATCACTGTCCCATTCTGCCTCATCTCCCGCTGGGATACCGCCCATGACAGAGGTCACAGACTGGGAAACTGGGAAGGGTACCTTGGAGACCTTCCAGCTAGGAAAATGGCAGCGCATTATGTGCAGCTTTGAGCCATAGATACCTATTAGAAAGACCTCTTGGCTGGGTCGGTCACGGTGGTGAGCTTGGAGTGGCCGGAGGTTCAACTTTAGACTGCCGAGGAGAACCTTGCATTTTTGCCGAATGATCTCTTCAAGTGTATCATGTGGTTTTTGATGAAGTGATGTTGTCTGTTTATAGTGAAGAGCATTGTCAGTTACTGATTGAGGCCCTTTTCATGCTTCTAGCCCCTTAGGCTGAAAGAACCCAAAGTGAAAGGTTGGGCATATTGTGAATGGGACAGGATAAACTCACGGCATTGATTGGGACTAGTGGAATGTGAATATGGCCAGGACATCTGTGATTTGCAGGAAGGTGTTGATGGTCAGGACAAAGGCTACGTTCCAGCATGAGGCAGCCGTCAACCCAAGGGCCATGCATCCAGCTGGGCTTTGCATTGTTTCCCACAAAGGATTTGTGTTTAGGATCACTGGCTAGGTTGGGGCTAGTGATAAATAAGAGCATTAGTATTCATATTGTGCAAATCAGATAATAGCAATGCTTGTCAAAGGAACAAGAGTTTTAAACTTATGTTCAGACTGGAAAAACTAGGGTCAAATACTCACTCTAACCGGAGAAAACCTTTCAGGCAAGAATGAGGTTGATGTGCACTCAAAAAATTATCCGCCTCCTTAAAGATTCTTTCAATAATACCAGTCTGAGCTCTGATACGTCTCCAGACTCGGTTGGTCTGTACAACTTGAACCGGCGTATGAAACATACCCATTCGAAAGCGCGGGTTCCTCTTCATGGCTCCGAAAACGAATTTGTATGCGAAATCTTTCTCCGAACGTTTTGGCTGGACCACATCATCACGAAAAAATCTGCGATGTTGAAAGAGCCATGGTCGACGATGGAAAGGAGCGGGAATGAAAAAAAGGTTAGCACGTGGTCATTAATGGGGTTGATATAAGGTTGCTTGGCAATTTATAGATGTGTGCAAATAGATCACGCTATTCAACCACAATCTAGTAGGCTCTTCCTGGGAAGAATCACATACCAGCACGTGCTATCGCTTTCAGATACTTCAGGGGAATTAGCTTATCACCAGGTTGGTCAAAGAAAACCTTGAAGTATATGCCATCCACATCACACTTGATAGGCCTCTTCTTGAGGCTTTGAGACGTATGAGATGTAGCAGGATTCATAATGAACAGAAAGTTCTCAAAAATGTGACTTTCAAGATTCGACAAAACGGTATGACCTGAGCTTAGAAAAATATGGCTCTCGGGATTCGACGAAACGAATGAGGCGAGCTTCGAAAATTGTGGACCTCAAGAGTCAAAGTATGAACTTTGAGATTTGGTGAAGAATGTCGCTGTCGATATTCGAGGAAATGATATGAATGTCCAAGTAGAGATATTCAACGAAAGATGGGGGTGTATGAAACGTGAAAGACGAAGAGGCAAAGATACTTTGGAAGATATGTTAAGGGATTGTTGCCTGGGTGTGTGTAGGAATAAAGGATTGAGAAGGGAGACTCTGGGGTGGATTTGGTGCACGCGTACTGAAGTGAGAGTCCTGTTCGGCGAAGGAGATAGGAGACTTGTGTTAAAAAAGTTTGGGAATTCCGGGACCTCATTCACTTAGTTGAGATTTTTAGAGCTCTTCTATTCAAGGCAACCTTGGAATCAGTCTGTAGAATTTCCTGCAGAACACTAGTATGTATTCCCATATCTCTCTTTAATTTATACACAAAGTCTTTTGACTATTCAATGTTCTTTATAGCCAGTTGATATGTAATAAATCTTATTCATCAGTCTGAACTATATACATCAGTGAAGCTTATACTATCAGTGAAGCTTACTGTGCGTGGTAGAAAAATACTTCCAAGGTTACCTAGGCATTAGCAGAATAGGAGATATGCAGTATGTAGTAGTATAACCTAGGAAGGTTCTAGTAATATTCAAATTCACTAGCACCTGGGCCGAGGTATACTACTCAAGTGCTAGTACTATCTTCAATGACCTTGAAACTTGATGCAATGTTACTTTGAACATTGAAGGTTGAACTCCCTTTCATTTTGGAAAGAGACCTTCTTCAGAGGAAATCATTTAGGCAATCAACATAGTCTATGTGTAAGATTTCCAGGAACCGCTCTATTTCCAAGCTTATTCTACAAACCTGGGGACTCTTGGCAGGTACTCTGATCTATAGTATTCAATCACCTTTTCGACCATTCCTCACTGACAAACGCTTAGGATCGGGCCATATATTCAAGTACTCCATATGTCTGCACAGGTGTTCTGCCCAGGTGGTGTCACCTGCATTATTGAAACAACTTGAAAACAACAACCTTCAACCTTGGAAGGTGGAAACCGCTGGTACTATTCAGGCCCTCAATTAACCATAATTTTCCGATATTCAACGTTTTCATGCCAAAAACTTGAATTTTATGTCCACCTCCTGAGTCAGGCTGCAGCGGGCATACCAGGTGCCACTGGCAGCCAGTTGATCTGGTCCCAGTGGACATCATCTGGATCATAACCTTGGAATTTCTAACATTCAAAATGTTTGAACTGGCTCCAAGCCTGAAGGCCTCCGAGTCCAGATATCCGTAAGCATTGAACATTTGAACATGCCCAGGTGTGCAATCCGCTACATACACACCGACTTTTCAATCTTTTGGTCCAGAATCAAGGGCTCTAGCCCTGATATGTGGCAAAATGGATCGATCAGATCCATTTGAAACGAAGTTGAATTTTCTGAAACTCATTACATGTGCACATTCAGCCTTAACACCCACTCTTGTTCTAGACTTGAAGGACATGACGAGCCAGATGGCTAGGCCTTACAAGCAAAATCCACATCCACGTAACCCATAGGGCAGGGCCTCCACAATACTGCACGGTAAAAAAGACGTTGTGCCTTAAACATAGTCCAGACCACCAGATTCTCCACAGGTGCGTCTAGACCGGTATATCACGTGATGACACGAATGATTATCTAATCATTGACGCATGGGGCACACCGGAAATGACCATGGATGGCGGGTGGGGCCGACAACTTGCGACACTCAGGAACAGGCTTAGTGGCTGTGTTGGTCCGTGGTTGTGCTGATGATCGTGGGGTTTATTGTATTTTTAATTTGGGTAGGGTCTTCAAGTTTTTTGTTTTTTTCTTCTTTTTCTAGTCATTGAGAAGACTTAGCATAGAGTTGGGCTTTGCCTTGTTCGATGCATATACTCCGTATTTAGGCACGGAAGATAGATTTCATGCATGATTCAATGCTAGTGGAGTGCAGAAGCTGGGGCGAACTAACAAAGAATGGTGTGAGTAGCGTATACGAGTCTCCGAGGCTATATTTAACTTGACAACCGGGTAAAATTGGACTAGACGAAAAAAGTCCCGAAGGAATAGTTGACTATTGACTATAGAAAATTAGCTACTAAGCAATATGTAGCTTAGTAGCAGTTGAATGACTAGCTCTTTCTATTCTAGAGGGTAAACAAAGCGGGAGATATGGAAATCGGCACCATAATGAATCCCCTCTGCTCCCCACAAGCAGTCTCAAGCCAAAGAATGTACCAAGTCAAATGATGGGCCCTGTCAGATGGAAGAAGGAGTTCTCCCCTTCATTCCGATAGCCCCCCCGACACACGTGGAATTGAAAAGCTTGGGATCTGCGATCGTACGGTAATGGGCGCATTTCCACCTGACTAGATCGTCGAAGTGTATGAGAAAGTTGGTCCGTGATACTGAATCCTTTTAGCCACATTATATGGGGCCTGTCAGATAACTGCAAGGGCCATTTGTGCCCAGCTTTGAAAGAAATGCGCCCGATCCAGAGGCGAGGAATTCGCATCTTGAATTCTTCACGAAGGCTTGCGGAAGGGTCAAGACACCATGACGTAGAGCGCAGGCGCTTCTAGGGCTTCTTCGAAATTTTTTAAATTTTTTAGACCCAAGAAAATCGCACTCTATTCTGGATGAACCAGCATGAGAACCTGTAGAATACAGTTCATAGGGGGGCCAGCCCCCATAGAACTAAGACGAACGCTTAGTGAAAGAGGTGCGCAAACATTGAAGAAAAAAAGGCGAAAGACTAGGAACAACTAGCGCAAAATGCATCCACTGGGATTTGATCTTGGTGTTGATCGGTTGCCCAAACAAGCCAGACGAGCGAGACTGGCGTCGAAGGAGGAATAGCACTAGTACCTGATTCGGTAAGGTGGCCCCGCGGTCTTCTTCTCCCATACGCAATGTCCGTACCTGGATGTAATCCCCGTGTATTAGGCTGTATTTGTTGTCTGCGCGGGAAGGACCATGGTCCCGCTATGTCCCACTATGTAATATTGATACACGCACTTTTGCTTTTGTTACCACAGCCAGGCACATAGTGGACTCAGACTTGGAAAGACTCCACTGCCCACGACGCCATCGGTCTGGGCCATGCGACGGACTGAACCTTAGGCGTCAAATCCGGACTGGTGTAGCCCAAAGCCTGGTTTGTTCACTGCCTAAGCGAAATAGGTTTGATTGGGATGTGCACTCTGAGCGGGGATCAACAACTTTGAGAAGGCTGAAAATCCAATTCTTTTCCTTCCGAAGACCCTGTCTCAGGGATGACCCAGTAAACTCGATTATGCTCCATTTCCTTTGCTATTTGAGATTTATTGTTGCCGGAGAGATTTTCTTGTTGCTCCACTGAGTACTTTGTATCTTGACTCGGTGATCGATCTGCCTCCAGGGCTCGTCTCCATCTGCCCCCATAACGCTCGGCTAAGTGGTCTCTGCTCTCATGTAGGTGCTTTGCCGATCATAACAGCTTTATCGAGACTGGCTTGGGTTGCACAAAACGGTTGACTGGGTCGGGAACCGTGCAGTTGAGTGAAAAGCTCCGAGCGTATCCGCGGGCGATCACGACCAGATAGAGGATGGTTAGTCCAAGCTTTGGCTTTCGTACTTCGGACTATTACTCGGGGTGGCTTTGGGGTATTGGATTCATTCCGGATTCCTGCAGTTGTATGCAGCGTACCTGAGTGATCCCGGGGAATAACCGGCAGGCATGCAGGTAAATGTTACCTAGTTACGGAGGTCGGTCCGGAAAGTTCTCGCCAGAAATTATAATTTCTTTTTCTCACACTAGGCTATATACAGTAAATATTGAAATATATCGCGTAATCAAGATGTATATAAAACGGAAATATATAGTACTGAAATATAATAACAGCTTGAAACAGTAAATATTCACATATCTTCCCATATATCGCTGTCGCTGTCGCTGTCGCTGTCGCTGTCGCTGTCGCTGTCGCTGTCGCTGTCGCTGTCGTTGCCGCTGCCGCTGTTATAGGCGTTATCACCTAACCCGCTAGGGGCTACTTCACCTAATTTATCACGCCCCTCACCGTATTCGTTGCCCCCTTCTAGTCTAATGACTTGCTGTATATGCCATGGTATACGTTCAATCCAAGCTTGAATTTGCGCCTGTGGTAGATCACGCCACGCAGCCTCCCATACTTTAATCCCTTCTTTACGCGATTTAGGTGCTCCTTTTCGCGTAGTGTATCTCTTCATCCAAGGCCATGCAGGTTCAATCATATTTAGATCAGGCGAATTTCCAGGCCAGATCATTCGTTGGACCCCCATTATATCAAATATTCGCTGTTGGTAGTGATGTGAATGGGCTGGTGCTTTATCCTCTTGAACTATTGTTTTCGTTCGAATTCGAGCACATTCTTGGGCGAATGGAAGTAGTTTTGGGGCTAAAATCACGGTGTTGTATCGGTACCAATCGATTCCACCTTTCGAATTGCGTGCAAGCTTTCCATTCTTCTGAGTCCATCTCCACTGAGGTTGTCTTCCAGGCTTATTGCGTAGCCCTAATCGCTGTATACCTGAATTAAGCTCCCATTCTGCACGCATAATAGGCTCTAATTCAGTATTCCATTCGGCGATTTGGTGTTCTGCTTCACGCTTTTGGGCTGTAGTTTCAGGTACCCAACAATGACAGGGGCCCTTCTGATCATAAGAAAAAGCACCCCAAAACATGAACTCAGAGGCCCCCTTCCAACGTTCTCGAATACAGCTTCGGACGAACCGCTCACTAGAAGTACGCCATACACGATATCCACCCCGACGGTGTAATAAAACAACCGCAGTTTCATCAGTCCAAATCACATTCTTCCAGTCTTCTATAGTCCAATGGGCGTGTTTTAAACACCATTCAAGACGTTGTTTTTTCTGCTCAGCGGCAAGCCCAGGCTTACGTGTAGGCTTTGTTTTTCGTAGGCCAATTTTTCGTAGTACATGCCAAACTGTTGTTTTTGATATATTAATCCCTAATTATAGAAGAAATATTAGAGGAAATAACATATCAAGTAACATATGAGATAACATATCAAATAACACACCAAGTAACACATCAAATATTATACTAAATAACATATTAAATAACACACTAAATAAAATATCAAATCTTAGAATAACTAACCTGATTCACTGCGTAGCTCTGCAGCTAGCTGTTCACATGTTTTCTCACGCCCATAGCGGTCTACACGGATTTTCGCCCCAAGTGTGGTTTTAAGCTCATCTGTTTGCTTAGATGGACGCCCAGAACGTGCTTTATCAGCTAACATTTCATCTGATATATTGAATGGTCGCTGATTCGGCTGAAAACCTCGTTCGAGTGCACGGTTCCATATGTCTCCTATAGTACGCCGTGGAATATTCATAAATTCACTGATCTCCTTAGGGGCATGTCCTTGGGCCCTTAGGTATACAATGACAGCACGTTGCGCAATATTGGTCTTCATTGTAGCTGTATAGGTGGGACAAAAGTGTAGCTGTGTAGGTGGGATAAAAGTGTGAAGGGGTGTACGGACTGTAGGCGGGGTAAAAGATAAAGATCTACGTGTCCACGGGTGTTATAAGCAATATTTAGCCTAGTACGTAACACGGCAATACATCCAATATACAGCAGGCTATACACCTGACATACAGGGCCGGTAATATATCAAGAAAAAGAAATTATAATTTCTGGCGAGAACTTTCCGGACCGACCTCCGTACATAGGTAGTATGATAGGACTCGGAGGGATGTATGTACGGAGTACTCCGTAGTTGTGAGAATATACTGTGTCGTAGTATGTACACCGTACACCTGGACAGATGCAGCATTGGAGATAAACACACTGGTAGTATGTAATTTCTATTCTGTATTACGATTATGCCAATGTTTCATGGCTGATTCCTTCGCTTAGTGTAGATACTCGTAAATAGTCTTGAGGGTACGGTACTGCGTATAATGTAGTGGATGCAGTGCGTGTGAATAATAATCGTCTCCTCTTTAATTTACTAGAATGACACAATTTACAGTAATTTACTGTCACAATACAAGTTAACCACGGGGGACACACGTGTACCGCCCCCATTCCACTTTGCTTTCCGCCCCTAATTCTCATGATCCGTTTCTCTCCTTAATCAATTCACCTCTATTCATTCCTTTGACTTCTTCGCGTTTTCGTTTTATTGTCGTTTAACGACTTCGGCATTTTTGCACCTGGGTCAAGCCAATTCTGCTTCTCCTTGCATTATCCCACGGTTGCCGCTTCTTTGTTCTCATTTCGTACCGCCTCAAGTAGGTCGTCGCTCGCTCCTTACAGCTACCCAACCCACATTCGCTTTTGTCGCTTTTCGGTCGTTTCAGTTTTGGGTCGACCCCTTCCATTCGTTACAATCTTCGATCGTCGTATTCTATTCGATCGGTTTCACTTGATTTCGGTTGCCCGTCGTGACGCCGAATTCTCGAATTATCTTTAATTGAAAGAGAGAGAGGGAGATTGGAGAAAAAGGATTTATCGGCGAGACGTTGCGACTGTGTCCAGCGACTCTTTCGATATTGTGTTTATCGATACCAGAACTCCGATCCGATTCGATTGCAGAGAACCGACGCGACAAAGGCCTCGGCCATATCTTTCCCTGAGGTATCTGCAGACGAGTTTAGACTACTCGTTCTGTATCCTCCAAATTATCGGACGCCTAATTTCCCGTGAATTCGCCAATTCGGTCGAATAATCAAAATGCGTGCCGATACTCTATCTGTTTTGGCCGCGTTGTCCCTCGGGGGCCTCCAGCTGGTAACTGCTCAGGAAGCTGTTCAGGATGATGTGACGCATGTGGAACGACCGCGCTACTATTTCCCTCGTGATATCAAACGTACTGTCCGGAATAACACCAGCAATGACAACCCCGTTGAATCCATTCTCGACGATGTGACCGGTGAAACCCCAAGCTCGACCACATCTTCAGATGCCGCATCTTCAACCGGAAGTGAAGTGGTTGTGGTGATTTCTATCGATAGTGAAGGACACCGCCACACTGTCACCACCGAGACTCGTTCCAAATCCGCCCTGTCAACTGACAAGGAAACCACTACGACTGCGGTGGACGACACCACAACAACCGCTAAGGATTCTACCTCGGCTACTACAACTGCAACTGCCTCCGGTACTACGACGGCTTCTGCCACTGCGACTGCAACCGCCACTGCGACTGCGACTGCAACCGCGACTGCGACTGCGACTACGTCTTCGTCTGATAACATCATTAGCGACATTGAGAACGGAGTTTCGGATCTTCTTAGTGGCGGCACCACCACTGCAGCATCCAATGGCACCACAACCGCTACTGCCAAGACTACCAGCGTGACAGCCAGTGGCAGTGGCAGTGGCAGTGTCAGTGTCAGTGCCAGTGCCAGTGCCACCTCATCATCTGCTGGAGATGATTTCCTTAGCTGGTTACTTGGATCCGAGAGTGCCACTGCCACAGGAACAGCCAGCAACTCCACCGCATCTACCATCCCAGTCAGCGTTCCTTTGACTGCCAGTCCCACTGCAACAGGCGATGCTCTCACCAGTATCCTCAACAGTATTTCGGCCGCTCTCAATGGCACTGATGCCACTACTACCGGCATTGGTGCGGTTCCCACCCCTCATGGAAGTCAGCATGTATCTGCTACTTCAACTGGTGTTTTGGGTGGTAACGGCAGCGGCAGCGGCAGCGGTAACACTGCAACCCCAACCGGTTCCATTGGCGTCATTCCTTCGCCGCACTCCCCCAGTGCTGGCTCTGGCAAGCCTTCTGGTTCCGGTGCCGTCCCTACACCTACTGGCAACCAGACCCCCAAGGCCTCAACTTCCTCTACCCCTAGCCTTACACCCGTTATTCTACCCACATCTACCTCTGAGGCTGAGACTACTGCTGCACCTACCTCCACTGAAACCCCAACAGAGAGCGCCTCTGCTGAGACCAGCAACTGGGTGGGTTCGAGTATTCTGGCCCTCCCTACCGAGACTAGCACTCAGACTGGCACTGCTCCCAGCTCCACATCAACCACTGTGGTTACTCTCCCAGATTCGATCACTCCCTCGAATGGCGTTAGCAGTGCACCTGCCGATTCTGAATTGCTTCAATTCGGTTTCGACAGCAGTCTTCCGTGGTCTTTTGTCGCTACCACTGCCCTGTCATCGTCTCAGATCTTTGAGTACATCCCCCAGGCTCTTAAGCATGCTATGCCCTACTGGGGTAGCGAGGCCGTGATGTACTCTCTTGAGCCTTACTACAGCTGGGAGACCACCGGTTACAATGCCACCCTTATCATCTTCTACTACCCCACCAAGGGATACCAGAAGCTCAAGGACGAGCACTCCAACCCTAACTCTGCCCTGTATACCGAGACCCAGAGTGAGACTGTCAAATCCCTGATGTCTATGGTTGACTCTTCTATTCCCCTGGTTTACACCGGCAGCTGGCCAAGCAATGGCAACGACGGGTCCTCCGGCTCTGATGGTGGCAGTGGTAGCAGTGGTGACGGTTCCAGCAGCAGCGGCGGCGGTAGTGACGACTCCGGCTCCGGAAACACCGATGATGGTTCCTCCAACAGCAGCAAGAGCAGCGCTAGCTCTGCTGGTATTGCCTGTGGTGCCGTTGCTGGTGCTGCCGCCTATGGCGCGGGTATGTTCTACCTTGCTCGCCGTTACCGCAAGAAGAAGCAGCTGCACCAGCGTTCCCCCTCTACTGCTGATCAGATGAGCCAGGGTGGTTCTGGCTCCATCTTCGCTGGCGCCAACCGTGTTTCTAGTCAACGCTCCCAGATGATCAGTGCCCCGGTTATGGCTGAGAACTCTCTGGGCTGGAACTAGACGGGATCTTCCTACACGAACAGAAAAATCAATACCAAAAAAATCTACATAACAACATGGATAGACCAGGTCCTCCTTCTTCGCTCTCATCCATCCTATTCTTCGGCTCTGTGACCGAAATGAGTCCCAACCACTTGACGGAACCAGCGCCCTCGCCCGTCAGAGAGAATCTCAAGTTGATATCTACTTTACCACAAGCGAAGCTGGATGGATGAGAGTTTGCACAAAACTTCCTTTCATTGTCCATCAATCTCTAAGGATACACCATTTCACATATCACGTAACCTTCCCACTGTGAAATTTTTCATTGGCCAACATTATTTGTGTTTTTCTTTTTCTTATTTCTTCTGATACTCCCCACGACGTCATCCTTGTGCCGGCGCAGTATGTATCATTTCATTTCCCATTATTTCCTTTGAAATATTCCCCCTTCTGTTCTACCATACCCTTTTTCTTTTCTGATTTCTTTTTCATGGCATTGTGAGAACTGAATGAGACCTCAATCTTGATTCCTGCCTCTGTTCATGGAAAAGAGAAAAATCCTATTACTTTTTTTACTGGTCATATTATGTTGGACTTTTGCACATCCCTAATGGTCTCTGGGTGGCCACAATCCTTGATGAGCCGACGCTAGTTCCCTGCTCCTTTCCTTTATCTCTCCAACTGTGTGTTGGATTCTGAATCATTATCGTTGTCTTTTTTCTTGCTTTCTTTCCTTATCTATTTGTACAGATGTTGTATAGTTGTCCGTATGAAGTGGTAGAATAAGAGGTGTAGACTCACTCCTATTTTAAGTATTTCCATATACTTTTAGCATTACCTAGTACCTAAGTGATACCGTGTTTCAATTCGTGCAAGGGTTATCTCTGCTGCCTTAACAATCATGCGAGGGGTATCTTCATGTTGTTTCATGTTCTTTGCTTTCCAAGTTTCAGTACCTTGCACGAAGGCTAGACCCTGCGGCTCTGCATGTGAGGTACCGAGCTGCAGGACAAGGTTTCAAATAAGGTTGCCAGAACAACGGTTTCCTGTGAGTTTCCACGGATGGGGTTTCCGTATTGTTGACATTCAATAAAGCTTGAAGTTGTTTTATTTGGTCTGACCTGTCATTTCTAGATTTGCTTTTTTAATTTGCCGCTTTTGCATGTGTAGTACCATCCTTCCCACATGTCCTACTTCTCCATATTCCCCTGAGGTTGATACTAGTAAGGTCTCTTTTATATCCGAGTTTACTATCGCGAGATAATCTTAGAAGAGTACTGGTTTAAGATTCTCACCTGGGCACAGTACTTATGATTGAGGTGCGGGTGACACATCTCAAGTGCTGGACTTACTATCAAAGCTAGTATCAGAAAGCTCCGAAGTCTGAGTCACTTGTTTCGTAGGGATTAATTACGCAGATGGTACTACTAGTAATAACTAGGTAGTACCTACGCCCACATGCTAGCGCATGCAGAGAGCAGTCGTACGTGCACTGACTGGCCACTCGAGCTACATGCACACTTATACTAGTACTAGTAGTATACCGTTCTGAGATATTATAAAACTTGATGCAATACTATAACAGTCAACTAGTTGGTGTTTTAACCGAATTCAATATTGCATACCTAGGTACTAGCGTACCGGTGCCGGAAACGTGATCGAGCGAGACATAGCATTTGCCCTAGTCCGAGTCTAGTTATGGAACGGGCACATGATAAAGAAAAATTAAAGGCTTGTCATCAAGGCTGTAGACATGAATGGGGAAAAATGTGGATGCAAAAAAAAGACTTGAAGGCAGCAATGGGATATCGATGCAACGTAAGGCTGAGAGCAGAGAATGATTATGTACATCATGACATAAGAGATGTCAACTCAGATGAGGGGAATAGAAGAGAAGAATCAGAGGGAGAAACTTTAATATACAAGGAGGAGATATCGCTCAGAATTTAATCTTTCTTGGACTTTTCATCAGATCCTGACGAGAATCCAAGCCAGCTTGACCACGACTGACCAGCCTTCTCCTCTCGGCGAACCTGACGGACTCGATCACGCTCGTCCTTGTACTCCTCCCACGAAAGCTGTGCAGCAGCCGTGGTGACGGGAGTTTCCTTGGCGGCGCTATTATCATGGTCATGGCCATGTGTGTGATCATTGCCTCGAGCGTGCGGAGGCAAGGGACGAACAGCATCCTCACCACCGTAAAGACGGAGAGCAGTGCCAAATGTCCAGTCCACAGCTTCTTCAACAGGATGATCGAACAGGTATGGGAGAAAAGGAACAACGGCAAGACCGAGCTATGAGACAGGAACATAATCAGCATGAATACCCCAAAGACGGATTAAGACCTAGAGAAGAAAACATACCCCGATAGGCGTCCAAGTGCGCAGGAATGTAGGCTTGCCCTTATTAAGCATGCGTCCAGAGTACTTGACAACGCTGTGAATAGTCAAAGCTGGCAGACCCATACTGGCGATACTCTGAAACACCGCACGCTTCACCATGATCATACGGTAATCCTCCGCGAGCGAAATCTCTGTAGTAGGCCATGGCTCAAGATCGCTGGAGCCGTTCAGTGGGCGAGACAGGTTTCCTGTCGCCATTCCTCGGAAGATCTGGTTTTGAGGCACATCGCTTGCGTCTTTGTAAGCTTCGCCGGGTAGGGTGAGAGCACGTCGATTGCGCAAATAAGCTTTGTATCCCTCATGGCTCACGTCGCCCAGCAGGTAAGCCCAGGAGATACCGTAGGCGGAGCGAACAAGTAGCGGGTGTGCAACGGGACGAAATGACTCGCCTATGTCAGATGTGTAGGCAACGTAACGGTGGGCTGAGAGTAGGATCGTGCGAATGCGGCTACCATAGGCTGCATATCGGACAGAGGTATCGGTAGAGTCGACAGTACTGTAATCATTGGAAGAGCCCATGGTTAGTATGTATGTGGGTAGAGATGAGATGATTTGGAGGTTGCTCGGAGCTGGAGCTCTGCGCGCGATGATGTCTTGAGTGGGGTATGCCCTGGCCGGAAAAGTGGAGTTGACCAGAAGTGACACCTGATTTTACAGGCAAAAGGGACATGCGACGAGAGGACAGAGGGGCATAAGACAGGAACAGATTGGGGATGTACATACTATGGAGGATAATGATCCTCATATTTGTCTGCAGAGTGAGACTTAGCTTCATCAGGTAGATTATTAGCAGGCGCAGCACTGGGTGTTTCACCCTGTTGGCTGCTACCACCCCAGCTGCCCCAGGCCATTTTGTAGGATGAGGACGATGTTAAAATATGGGGAAGCTCAATGAGATTTGAAGAAGAAGAGACTCTGATTCAGTCAGGCGTCGTATGGGAGTAATGTAACAAGCAAGACTTGGGTTGCTAGGTAGAACCTTGGAAGTAAACAATGGTGGGTTGCAGCCTGAGATCTCAAATGAAAAGAGGGAAAATCAAAAACAGCTGCAAAAAGAGAGAACAAAGTTTCTAAAAAGAACTACAGTGAGTGGATCCATCTTATAAGTGCCAATACACATCCATCAACCGTGCATGACAGCCGAAGGGATATCGCCATAACCGGGGTATACAACTTGACCATGGAATAGTTTACTTCCCCCCGAGGTTCCGTAGATGAGCTTCCTTGTGGCCGGAAACAAGAAAACAACAGCTATCAAATTTTATAGACATTGAAAATTAGAGATGAAGGCTCTATGTTTCATTCAGAATCCCAAATGATGCAAGTATTTGAAATTGAACCATCTTCCCAACACAATTGCATACATTCGATCGGGAAAGGATGCTCGTGACATACCCGACAAAATCACATGATCCCGGGACAACCCGGTGAGTCACATGACTTAGAGTCTGCTGAGTCATGCTATCACACTAACCGTATTAGGAAAGGCGGTCTCGGAGCCAACTTCATCTCTGTCAAGCCTAAGGATTCCGCTTCCACATCGCTGCATTTAATCTTCAGTTGCTCCCCCATCCCAGTCACTCAAGATGGTTGTCTACTACCAGATTGCCGGCAAGAAGGTCGGCTCCCACGTCGTAAGTGGAAAACCCATCCTTCCCCACGCCGCGGGCGTCCTCGGTCGCCCATCCCTTTTTATGTCCAGTTTGCGGCTACAGCTGGAAACCTCAACAAGCTAACCGGAACTTCCTCGTGATTCAAATAGCTCGCCATGGCCACCCTCGGCACGATCTTTGCGGGTTCCTGGGCTGCCACTGGCAGCAGTGCTAAGCCCAAGACTGCCGCCGGTCCTCCCATCAACGCCTCCTCCAAGGAAGAGGGTGACTTCATCCAGTATGTGACAATGTCTCCTCACAAACCTGCGCAATAACGCATTGAATTGCATGGCATCATTGCTACGCAGTTAGCGAACCGCGCAGTTGAAGGTTGAGTTTCGGCGCTAACAGGTTGTCTAATAGGACCTTCCTGAAGGAGGTCGATGGAGGCGACAAGAAGCCTGCCTCTGGCCACTAAACATCCCTTTTTCCTGAGAACGGATGTTAACGATGGTTCGGCCCGATATAAAACCGCGTGATGCATTAAATCGAGTCGCCTCATCCTGTTCGTCGCTTCCGCTACCCCGATGCATTGAGATACGTCGGCTTGGAGATGTCCTGCGAAACTAGACGGGTCGATCCCGGAAGTTGATGGATGGATTATCATGGATCTGTACATAGGCGTGTACGCTGCATAGAAGAATTATAACTTCTGCTCCTCGATTTATTCTCGATTTCAATGTTGTGTCCTCACAAAAAAAGGACAACGGCTTTATATTGACAAGGACATGGATCAAAAAACCAGTAAAAGGGCGTCTATAAACTTGGGTTTCCTATGTGCAGTCCTCCGTGACACCTGTGGTCATGAATCCCCCGTACTTGTCGAGCTGGACCAAGCAGTGCAGGTTTGAGACATTGACGCTGCACTCCCTGGTATAAGCCATGAAGTAAAAAAGTAGAACACTGTAGAGTCATCTATTTGACGACAATATTCGTACGAGTGATGCTTCTCAGTGTATTGAAATTGTACAAGACCCCACCATGTTCATTTGTTAAGGTTCGACCTTGAGCTCTGAGCTACAACTCCGCTAGGATCCCGACTTTCCACCTTAACTCCTCCATCCCTCTCCACAAACAACCACCACAGCTCCCAGTGGCACAAACCAACATGATTCCCTTCCCACTAGCCCTTAATGTCGGCACGGACATCGTCCACCTCCCTCGAATAACCGCCCTCCTCACCCGTCGCGGGAATTACCTATCCCGCTTCACGCGCCGCATCCTCTGCGACCAAGAACAGCGCGACTTCCACAAGCGCTTCAAAGACTCCCTTGCCCTCCAATCGCAATCCAAGCCTCCAAATTCTACGCACTCACCACCCATAACAGCTGACATGACACGCTGGCTCGCGGGTCGATTCGCCGCGAAAGAGGCAGCGCGCAAAGCTGCACCGGGTGGAGCTGCTTCGATTGGATGGAAGGATGTCATGATTCGGGTTCAGGAGGAGTCGGATATGAATTCCAGTGTACATGCTGATGCGATAAAGGCCGCAGAAGCCGAGGGGGTTAGTCGGAGGCCGGAGATTGTGTATTTGGGGATAAAGGATGATGGGAGTGATAGTCGGGTTGGGCGGCTTTCTATTTCTCACGATGGGGACTATGTTACTGCGACTGTTCTGGCGGCGGGTTGAATGATTCTCAGGTCTTTACTTGAATCTTTTCATTAGACCTCATCATCCCTTCGTCTGGCTGGGATCATCAGGACGTGGACACTCTGCAGTACCATACGGAACTGGAGCTGTGGCAGCTCACTTCGCTCGCTTTTACTTCTTCATCCCAAGGGATGAACGACAACCGGCTCTGTTCATCGGTTACATCACCGAGATTCCTGCGATTGCAGTGGCCGTGGTATATTCAGCTTGCAACACTGCCAGTGGGACCCCGTTGTGTTCGAAATCTTGGACTTGGTATACATACTATCACCAGCAGTATGTCACCAATAATAGCTTTCGAATATGACCAGTGAGTTGAATCATGCAGTTTTTACAGCTAGTATTACCATCATGATATCTATCATCCTCGTAAATTCATCCCAGCTAAATTTTATTCTGTTTTGCATGACTTGAACCTTGGAAGTCGACAGTAGGTCTTCTTAAGCGGAGGCATAAAATCCTTATCGGGCCGCTATCGACTTCTGTGACTCGGAGGATCTGCCTTCACCTATATTTCTTCTATACCCCACCAGTACAAAGCAGGACCAGAAGTTGTTATAAAAAGCCTACTCTGCATTGCATGTATTTATGCACCCACCTCTAAGTCCTCAGAACTTAACTGACCCGGTCCAGATACCACCAAGGCAGCAAATATGCCATTCTCCCACCACAGCCATTCCGGCCAGTTCTGTCCCGGCCATGCAAAGGACTCCCTGGAGGAAGTAATCCAGGCAGCAATCAGCAAGAAAATGCAAGTTTTCTGCTTAACAGAGCACATGCCCCGACACAAAGAAGACTTCTACCCAGAAGAGATCGAGGCGGGGCAAACAGAAGAGTGGCATGAAAGTAACGAAGCAGCCTACTGGGAAGAAGCCACAAGACTACGCGCCAAATACGCTTCACAGATCCAGATCATTATTGGATTCGAGTGTGATTGGATTCGCCCTGAATCAAGGGATCTAATTGACCGCTCGCTCAGTCGATTCCCCTTTGAGTTCTTCGTGGGATCCATCCACCATATGCATACTGTGCCGATCGACTTTGATAGACCAATGTATGAGCAGGCGCGCGAACTTGCAGGTGGTACAGATGAGCGCTTATTCGAAGACTATTTCGATTCCCAGTTGGAGATGCTGCAGCATTTGAAACCGCTGGTTGTGGGTCATTTTGATCTGATTCGGCTTAAAAGTGATGATATGGAGCGGAGTTTTATGACTTGGCCCGGTGTTTGGAGTCGGATTCTGAGGAATCTGGACTTCATTGCTTCTTACGGTGGCATGTTAGAACTGAATGGGGCGGCGTTGAGGAAGGGGATGAGTGAGCCGTATCCCAAGGCTGAGATTTGCAAGGTATGTATCCAATTATGGTTCTGTTTACTAGGTGCAGACAAACTAATGTTCCTTGCAGGAATTTATTGCTCGGGGAGGTCGACTTTGCCTCTCTGATGACAGTCATGGAGTCGACCAGGTTAGTCTGAACTTCCACCGTGTGCTGGAGTTCCTGGACTGCACAGGCATCTCAGAGCTGCACTATTTGCAGATGGTGGAGCAGTCAGAAACATTCATTGCGCCCGACGCGCGCTTCCCACGGACACAAGTGGCATCGATCTCTTTGGATGAGGTGAAACAGATGGCTTTTTGGAAAACCGTATAGTGCATCCAGTAGATGTGGGGCAATGTGCAAATTTCTCTATATTGGAAAGAGTTCAGAGCATTATGCAATTTGCAGCGCTTCACTATAAGATCTACGAAATATAACCGGGATTACTTTTCATGCAGGATGAATCTAGATCCCTACCTGGGCAGTCGTATACCGCCACCGAGCGCATTAAGAAGGATCGTCCACCTATCGCCCGAGCTAACCCCGCCACATTCCAATGAGGGGCATAGAGGGGTAGGAGAGGTCCAACACACATCAAATAAGACTGCAGAAAATAAATTTCCCTTAAATTCGAATAAAAACACGGTGAAAGGAATGGTTCTGGTGAGTTGGCGATGAACGCTTTTCTGATATTAGCACATAATCCCAATGTTATGGTATCCCAATCACATCCCTGCTTAGCGCCATGTCTGACTAGGATGAAGGTCGGAACACACCTCCTAGCCCATTTATGCCCTAGTTAGAGCCCACTAGTATTGCCTAGGGTCTGACCGGGGTTCTACTACGGATTACAGCAAAATATCTTTCATTCTATGGAATTCTATTTCCAGAATTCCCATTATAGACATATTGACCCCTCCTTGATAGCTACTGGGTAAATATGATGTTTGCAATGCATTATTTTTGACTTCACAAGCCTCCGTAGATCAATTGAGGTGGAGTTGTATGATTGGAGAGTAGGACAATGTCCATTATAGTCCTGGAGTAATGTTGAGGGTGGTTGCGGTTATCTATTACGTCGAGAGGGCAAAAACCCCCCACATGGAGAAAAACGGATAAAGCTTGCAGCCTTCCTCCATTTTCTTTCCTGTTCATCACTTTCTTACAACTCACTCTTTCCCTCAAAAAACTCTCTTTTACCATCTTATTCACAATGGGTGTCACCAAGACTACTTTGGAGCCTGGCAATGGCGTTGACTTTGCTGTCAAGAACTCCATGATCGAGATGCACTACAGTGGCCACCTGTATGACGCCAGCCAGCCCAACGGTCTGGGCAAGAGGTAAGTGCCTTTATTATTCATCCAATTCTTCGGATTATGTCTATATTGTAGCCATGGCTAATATTCTACGTCCTACTAGATTCGACAGCTCCTACAGCCGTAACGCCCCTCTCGCTAGCAAGATCGGCGCCGGCCGTCTCATCCAAGGTGCGTTGAGATCGTCCTCCATCTCTCCGTTTCCCATATACGCATCCCTTGAATAATTTTAGAAATATTTATCATTGACCATCTTTACGCTATATAGGTTGGGACGAGGGTGTTCCTCAGATGACTCTGGGCGAGAAGGCCATTCTCGACATCACTCCGTGAGTCTTCCACACATTTAACTTGGAAGATTAGAGATTTGAGTGACTAATTGCAATTTTTGAATAGTGACTTCGGTTACGGTGCCGGGTACGTTTTTCTCAGAAGAGGAAGAGTCTGTGTAGATTCTACCCAAACTCCTTGACAGTCCCTTTCCAAAACAACCAATACCCACTATGGAAACATGAAGAAATATGGGTGATACAATGTGCTAACTATTCACAGTGGTATCCCCGGTACCATTCCTCCCAACGCCCGCCTGGTCTTGTAAGTCATGTATTCTGGGCTTTCGGGCCCATTGCTGCTTTCGTTTGATTTGGACTATCGAAGCTAATTTTATTTCTTTTTATAGCGAGGTTCAGCTCGTTTCAATCAACGGCAAGAAGGCCCCCGGTCTGTAAAGCAAATCAGAAGCTTGCGCTACCATACCCTAAGCTTTATTTATCTCGAATATATCTACCTAAAGCCCATGGAATCGAATGGTCATCCTTATAATATTCCGAGATTGGACTAGGAGAATAAAATGAAAGAATACATAAGCTTTTACGTTAATCGTAAATTTCAAATTGAGTTCCTGTGAGCTTTTCTTGTGGCTTTCGACCGCAAATAGCCCAAAATTTCATTGATCTCTATATCATGATATAGACTGAGGATTCTTCAAGTTGCTTTCATTTACCGTGCAATGCTGTTGATGTAGTCCATTCCTGCAGTGCGATAATCGTCAAGTTCGATATAACTTTCATTTCGAGGAAGTCGGAACACGAAGTTGGATGCATTGCGCGAGAAATTAGGCCACTGTGGAATATTTGGAACTGTAGTCGTGTTAGTACCCTCTAGATAATCTAACCGATTTCCTGCTGAAAATTGAACGATGTACTGCTATCCATAGAACATTGAGTGGGTTAAACTTACTTCCATGTCCATTCGGATTCAATTCTGCGGCAAATGAAGTCCACATACGAGCCGCCATTTGTCCAAGAGCTAACCTGCCAGGTAAGGATGCCTCGAGAGTCGTAATGTTCTGTACTGAATTGGCAAAGACGAATGGAATCTATGTAGATTAGAACTAGCTTGAAACTGAGTAATCGAAAAAGGATAGATTTGCTTACCTCTGCGAAATGTTGTACGCCAATTAATGTTGAATCATTGAAAGCAGCCACATCCCACCGGTATGAGAAGACAGTTTTGTCGAAACTAGCCATTGTATGTGCCAGCATTCGACGTGGCGCTACCATGCATAAATCTCCAGCTATGGACTCGTATCGTTTGTACTCATAACCCAAGGCTGGCCATGTAGCATTGCCCCATCCGTAAGGACATCCGATTGCCGAGATATTAGGGTAGAGATTCAGAATGCGTGTGGCTTCATCAGTTGAGAGAACCCAACGCTTCGATGCTAAGCCGGATTATCAGCAAAATCAACCAAATTTGACAAAAAAAAGAAATGCAAACTGGTCAATTGTGCAATCGCTTCCTCATCTGTATTGACTCCTGTTGTGCCAAAGCTAGTGCCTTCATCTGTATTTGTGCCTAATAGGATAGGAACTTTAGCGAGCCTGCCTTCGCGATAGCTGATTTGTGGATACTCTGAGATGAAAATGTTATCAATGGTTGCGAACCACTCGAGTCCAACATAAGCAACATCATAAAATTCCTCGTAAGGGAGGTCGCGAAGGCATTGTAGAGTGTTTGTTGCATTTGAGCACCCTGCTCTCTCAACAATTCCGTCGTACATCGGCTGATGCCATTCGGTTCCGTTATATGGAGGACCAACAGCATTACCTGAGTCCATAATGGCTACAGACGGGGAAGAGTTAGCCTCTTGGCAAATTTTGAAATGAGAATTTCCTACCGGCCCTGAAGAGACCTTCATTATCTCCTCCATTTGTTACCAGATGATCTCCAACACTGTAGGCGCCTCTATAAAAGTTTTTCATGCTCGTTTAGTTCATGCCTTCAGGTGGATAGCTGGCTGGTAGACGTACGCAGATTCACCCCATATAGTGATCTTTTCGGGATCTCCACAAAATGCTTCGATATTTTGTTTGACCCAATGCATCGCAACTCGCTGATCCCGAAGCGCAAGATTGGTGTTTCCCTCAGCCTAGCTGAGTGTTAGTATCTCAATTTTGGTAGATGGTCAACGAGCAGATTTTATCTCACCCGCACTTCTTTCGAATCTAAAAACCCAAAAGCAGCCAATCTGTAGTTGATGGAGACCCCAAGCACAGGCTTATTGTTCTCCGCACTCTGCTGGATGATATAACTCATATTGTATCTGATAGTGAAGACGTTTAGTCCGATATTCAATGGTCTCAATCACAAAACCAACCTTGGATCTGCAGTCGAACCCTCGGACCATCCACCCCCATATATCCAAATCAAGACTGGGAGTAGCTCATCCGTATCAGTTTGAGGCCTTATCACGTTGAGATTGAGACAATTTTCGTTCAGACGAACGAAGCCCAGATCAACGAGCTCAGTCGTGTCTGAGCCATAACCAGGACAATCATAGCCATATTCAGTTGCATTGTAGTAAGTAACGTCAGACTGAGGCTGAAGATTTGTCACAGAAAGATCGTAGCTCCCAGAATCACTATCATTAGACGCGTAGCTTGATTTGAGTTGGGCAGGGGTAAAGCGGGCAGGCTCATCAGCAAACTTGATGCCTAAAAACACATCTTGATCAAATTCGAGAAGAGAACGACCAACAAAGATGGTGGACCTATCTTCCTCTCCGTTACTTAGGGTCGCCGTTGGTGGATCGCTGGATGTTTTCCCGCTTGCTAACCCAAGATTCAAACAGAAAAGGAAGACAAAACATCCCCAGATGCCAAGAAAGGCCATGTTTCATAATATACTAGTATTCGATATTGTCAAAATGGTCTGAATACCCATGGATCTATGCCCCAGGATTAATTCTTATATTGATCCTCTCTCAACTTTAACTTACATCCCCGCAATAATACCAATCAATCAAACCCAATCGGACTCGGCCGAAGAATCATCAGATGTAGATCATTGTTCTAAACTGGAGTAGATGACTCGAAGTTAAGCATTCATCTGTTTAAGAGGAGAATTTTATGTAGGAAATACTCCGTCTCTATGAAGAAGAGAATCCTTATAGGTGGGAAAATTTATGAAGACGATTCCGGGGTAAATAGTGCGGGGATGACGACAGTGTGTGTAGTTTTTGTAGGTATTCTTCTAATGGACCAATGATTGCACCTGTGGAGTATATAGGTATAATAAATAGGGTTCAATTATATAAATCAACATGCTGGCCAAGATGATAGACGCTATCGTCTGATCAATGTACTATTCAAAATTGTCCTTTATAACTGATCTCATGTAGACATTTGGAGTTAGCTATGATATTCAAGCCTCAATGATTGTTACTGAAATTTAAAACCCACAAACTGATCATCAAAATGAATAGGTATATCGTAAAATTGACCAGAATCGCTTGGTGGATTAAGCACTTTCTTCCTGTCACCAAGTGTTTTGGACTAAACCTTGGAACTCCCGAGGTCAGTACTCGCTGACTCACATCAACTGGGCTAGATGGTAAATAAAGTCTCGTGATCAAATATCTTCATTTGGACCAATATGAAGAATCATTCAAGTTGGTGAGAGATGCATGTGCCTAGAAAGGTATAGCCGGGATAATCATGCATAAACAGCGCATCACCGGCGCTAACTCGATCACTGGCATAGCCACTAACCCCTCTTTTTTAAAGGCAAAATTCTGACCCATGAGTGCTTAATTCTGTCTGTTATACGATTGATTTATAGAAACCTTTCATCTAATGTTACATTTTCTTCTTACGTTATGAATAAATTCAGGGAATGGCGAACACAACGCAAGTCAGCTATCATTGTCCCCACGGAGTCGCCCCGCGATGATCTGTCCCCACGATATGAGACAGATCCCCCTCAAGAACTCGATTCTTCGACTCTAAAGTTTGGACTAGATACAATTCATGAGTCCCCTGATGCAATTGTTGATATATGCTTTATTCATGGTTTGACCGGCGACCGGGATAAGACTTGGACCGCCCATGGGCAGAGCGTACCATGGCCCAAGATACTGCTTCCAAAAAAACTCAATGCTCGAATTCTTATGTATGGCTATGATGCCCATGTTACACGCAAGTCTGTTGCTTCATCCAATCGCCTGATAAACCATGCCCAGAATCTCTTGGGTGACTTGACAGCTGACCGAGGTCTCTGCAATGCCTCTTCTCGCCCCATAATCTTCGTTGCTCATAGTCTTGGCGGCCTCGTCTGCAAGAAGACGATTCTTCTTTCCCAAAATGCGGCGGAGCCTCATTCTCGCGCGCTATTCAATTCTGTGAAAGGTGTTGTGTTCATGGGGACGCCTCATAAAGGGGCATGGATGGCAGATTGGGCCAAAATCCCTGCTTCGATATTTGGCCTCGTTAAATCCACAAATCTGATGTTATTGGATATACTCCAAAAGGACAACCAACTGTTAGACTCAATCCAGGTCGATTTTCTCACAATGATTCGACGACTCCGAGAGGGCGGCCGAAGCATTGGGATTACATGTTTTTTTGAAGAACTTCCCTTCCCAGTTGTTGGCAAAATTGTAACAACCGAGTCTGCCACGCTTGATGGATATGACATCTATAGCATATACGCCAATCATCGTGATATGGCTAGATTTGCCTCTGATGAAGATCCCGGGTTCAAGAGACTGCTCTGGCAGCTTCATAGTTGGACAGCACAAGTCGGTAAAAAGGCCCCTATTGCAATCTTAATGGAAGCCTTTGTGAACTGACTTTTTTTCAAGATCAAGCCACGAAGATAGGCAGCTATGAACTAGAGAAGGAAGATCTGATGTGCTTACGCGATCTACAAGCGACCAATCCTTATGACGATAAACCACGCATCGAGAACCAAAAAGGAGGTCTATTCAAGGAGTCATATCGATGGATTTTGAGCAACGAAAAGTTCATTGAATGGCAGATTTCCGAGAAAGGTTCGAAGCTTCTTTGGATCAAAGGTGATCCTGGAAAGGGCAAAACCATGTTGCTCTGTGGCATAATTGATGAACTGTCAATGGTTAAGACTGGGATGCTCTCGTTTTTCTTCTGTCAAGCCACTGATGCAAGCTCAAATACTGCCACTTCTGTGTTGCGCGGCTTAATCTACACCATCCTTGAGCAAGAACCGTCGATGATTGCTCATGTTCGGCAGAGATATGATATGACCGGGAAGGAGCTTTTCGAGGGCCCCAATGCTTGGCAAGCCTTATCTAACATATTCATTGACATTCTGGATGAGTTGTCAAATGCTTGTCTAGTTATCGATGCGCTTGACGAGTGTGTAACTGGCCTGAATCATTTACTCGACCTAATCGTTCATGTTTCATCATCACATCCTCACGTGAAATGGATAGTGTCCAGCCGAAGTTGGCCCAATATCAAAGAACGCCTGGACCTAATATCTGACAATACAAGAGTCGAGCTTGAATTGAACGAGAAGTCAATTTCTGAAGCAGTCAGACTTTTCATTTACATCAAAGTTCAACAACTAGCGAAACTCAAAAAATACACACAGCAGATCCTGGAAGCTGTTCAAACGCATTTGTTGTCCAATGCACAAGGGACCTTTCTTTGGGTTGCTTTGGTCTGTGAGAAGCTTGCCCAGATACCTCGAATTAAAACAATTGAGAGACTCACTGCCTTTCCGGCTGGGCTTGATGCCCTGTACAGACGGATGTTGCAGCAAGTTTGCGATCAAGAGGAGGCCTCTCTATACAAGAATGTCCTCGGCATTGCCTCCACAGTGAAGCGTCCCATCACTCTGGATGAATTAGCTGTCTTTATTGATGTTCAAGATGCATATGATCGTGAATCTCTAGAGGAGATTGTAGGTTACTGTGGGTCTTTTTTGAACGTCTCCAAAAACACAATATTCTTCGTTCATCAATCTGCAAAGGAATTTCTTCTCGAGAAAGCCGGCGGTGAGATCATACCGTCTGGATTAGCCTCCCATCATCATCAAATTCTCCTTCAGTCGATGAAAGTTATGAGTGTAACACTTCGTCGCGATATTTGGAGTTTGGGTGACCTCAGCTGTTCAATAAATCAGGCTCGTGCAAGAAGACCTCACCCAGATTTACTTGCAAGAATTGCATATTCTTGTGCATATTGGATTGATCATTTGGTGGAATGTGAAGAAACAGATGCTGAAACGGATCTTCAAATTGGAGGCAGAACGTATGATTTTCTGTCCAAAAAGTATCTTCATTGGCTAGAGGCCCTGGGTCTTCTGGGCCATGTTTCAGAGGGACTGACAGCAATGTTCAAATTACAAGGATTTCTCAAAGTAAGTCAACGCCCATTTTCTCGAGCATCTTGATTCTTATATTAGCATAGGGAATGGGTGATTCAGATCTTCTGGAACAAGTTCAAGACGGAATTCGGTTCCTTCAAAATTTCAAACTTGCAATCGAAGAATGCCCTTTACAACTGTATTCATCCGCCCTGCTTTTCTGTCCAGAGCAGAGCAGCACTCGAACTTCTTTTCGGGAAGAAAGCTTGGGCAGTGTCAAAGTATATCCAAGCATAGAATATTGGAACCCTTGTCTCCAAACGCTGGAAGGTCATCGTTACAGCGTCAATCTTTTGGGAATATCACCGGACGGCAAGCGCTATCTCTCAGCATCAGAAGATGGTTGTATCAAGCTATGGGACTCGATCAATGGCGGGTGCACATTGAGTCTAGAGGGACACAGTGATGAGATTTCGTCTATCATCTGGCTCGAAGATGGGGCTTTCTTGGCTTCAGCCTCGTATGACGCAAAAATTAGCACCTGGGATTTGAGTACTGGCAAATGCATATCGACTCTTCAAGGACATACTGCAGGTGTCAATGCAATTCTAGGACTTCACAATGCAACGGAACTTGTTTCGGCATCTACCGATAAGACGATCAAGATCTGGGATCGGGCTAAGGGTGTGTGTACGAAGAGTTTAAAAGGTCATGAGAAGGCAGTTACCTTCATCATTTGGCTACCCTCTGAAGGGAAATTGGTATCCGCATCGGATGATACTACCATCAAGATCTGGGATCCTGTTTCAGGCCATAATCTCTCAACTATCACCACACATACTCAGAAAATCAGATCGATCATTTCCTCTCAGGATGGAAGCTTGGTCATTTCTGCATCAGATGGATTTCCTGTGAAGGTTTGGGATACCAACACATGGCAGTGCATCATGAGTCTTGAAACGCACTCTTTCGGATACAAAGACTTGGCGATTTCCCATGATAACAGGCTTCTGACACTCGATGCTATTACAAGCCAGATCAATATCTGGGATCTCTCAGTTGGTGAAAATCTTATAGAGTTCAGTGTCGGTCAGCGTTCCATACACTCATTTGTTTGGTTCAATGATGGAAGACTTGCAACTGCATATGCAGATGGGATAATCAAAATTTGGAATTCCTCTTCTGGTCAATGTCTGTCTACGTTGAAAGGACACAGAGACAGACTTGCATATTTGATTTCGTCTCAGGACGAAACAAAACTTATCTCGGCTTCATGGGACAAGAGCGTGAAAATATGGGACATTCCTACCACACCTATGGAAACCGAGACAGCAAAAGAACTTCAAGTTGAAAAGGCTGAATATATCGTTGGGTCGCATAGTGGGACGCTATTTGCATCGAAATATCACCAGATGGTCAAGGTCTGGGACTCAGATACTGGTCGATGCGTGTCTACCTTTAAGAACGATGAAGATGGTATAATTGGGGCTGTTTCTTGGTGGTCAGAGGATTCCATCGCTATATCGCTCGCAGACCAAAAGGCCATCCATGTATGGAACCACCTGACGAACAAGTGTAGCTTGACATTTCATGGGTTTGATGTTCAACACAAAACTGATTGGCTTGTTACTTTCATGGGCAGATCTCATCATGGATCCCAGTATGCCGCTGCTTCTGATCTTCATAGGACCGTCAGATTTTGGGACCCAGTCTCAGGTCAAAGTCTTCGATCTTTGAGAATTCCAGAAATCGGGGCGAATACAATCATTTCATATGATGGAGCCTACTTTGCTTCCGTCTGTGATGACCAAACGATCAAGGTCTGGGATGCATCAACAGGTCAACTCTTTTCAACGCTGGAGGGTCATCGCAGCCCCGACGAAGGTACATCAGTTAGCCAGTGGCGTGTTAACAGCAAGGGATTGGTTCAAGATCCTTATACTGGACAATGGTTACCTATAATGGAATCATGGCTTGTCTGGCGCAAGGTGATTGTGGATACATTCCTGTGTTGGTCAGATGACAGCAAATGGCTTGTTTCAGCATCTCTCAAGAGCATCAAGGTTTGGGATATCGCAACCAGCCAGTGCGCTCTCATGCTTGACATTGGTCGACACGCCGGCAAAATTCGATTTTCTGAAACTGATCCCTATATTTTGGACACCAGCATTGGATCATTTGATCTTCGACCATATCTGACAATGCCTATCCCCGAGACTGGCCATTTAATTTCCTCGCCGCGACCTAGAGGATATGGATTCAGCGAGGATCGGGGTTGGATCACATTGAACGGCGTGAATTTTCTATGGCTGCCACCCGAGTATCGCCCAGAGTCGACTCAGCAGACGGATTTGTATGGAGAAACTGTGGTGATTGGCAGTGTGACGGGACGAGTGTTGTTCTTGAAATTTCCAAAGGGAGACTGCTTGACAATTTGAATTTGATACGAGATGATCGGCTCTTTTGACATAATTTTGAAGTGATTTTATCAAGTCCTTGAATGAGTGATTCGAAACAAGATGTGTATATGTAAATTATCATACTAGACTATCTTGAACATTTAGCCAGAAAAGGCGGTATATTCAACAAATCCCTGATTCATCAGGGCCACCAAGCGACTCAAAAACGAAAGGGGGGTAGTGTGGATGCAAAGGAAAGGAGTAGATGAACAAAACACCAGGCCGCTCATGATAAACAAGAGATCTGAGAAAGTAAAAAAGGGGGAAGAAAAAGAGGAGACAAAAAATGCAAATCCGTGAACAATCCAATGAGTTCAGATACAAGACAGCTTCTATTATGTACGATTGCAGCTTCAATCAAACATCTCAATCGTCTTTGACTCTGTCACCGGAGCCTGATCCAAACGCACGAGACCTGCTCGTTGTGGAAGCAGAGGCTGTTGGGCGGAAAGATGAGGAAGATGAAGATGAGGCTTGCGCTGCTCTGCGTGAGGTCCCCATGACACTAGGCGACCTTCGACCTTCCGAGGCATCATCCAGTTCGATTAAATCACCCATACCCCATAGTCCAGGGCTACGGCCTCGGCCAGTCGTGGGTGGGGTTGAAGAACCTTGCATGTCACTAAGCCCGACTTTCGCACGCGTGGCCACCTTGCGGACCCATCCTTCTAATGCGCCGCCGATGTTCTCCAAGCCTGTTGAAGCGTTGGATATGACAGTAGATTCAGAACCAAATGAGGGCCTCCGGGGGGTCTTGGGGCGGTGGAGGTGGTGCCAATTGAGGCATGTGCTGAGAGAAAAACTTGCTCAGTCCATCTAGCGCAGGGCCCGGAGCAGTTGACGTGCGGTCAAGAGTTCCCACGCCGGTTCCTGAAAGATGTATACTGCTGCGTTGCCGGCGATGCTGAGGTCGGGTAGGGCGCTGGCCACGCTGGCCACCAGGTTTAGGTGTTTCTCCATCACGAGGCCGGGTCCGGGGTAGTGCAGATTGAGATGAATCCAGTTGCGATGACCCGGAGAAAGCTGGAGACGAGGCGGGGCCTTCTGACGAGACAGCAGACACAGGCTCGGAGTCGGTATATGATACAGATTTTCGGCGCGTTCGTGGAAAGAATCCAAGAGATCTTCGTGGAACTCGTCCGATTTCAATGGCTGCTGGAAACCCGTCTATTTGTACCCAGGACTCGTGTTTCCAGACCTGGTTGCTTTCCGATTCCACGTTCCCACTCGTATCCAGATTCTGAGGCGAATCGGTCAGAGAATCTGTCGGGCGGATGCAACTGCCTGTTCCATCTTCGGAATTTGGTCTCAGAAGATCTCGAGTTTCGTCTTGTCGAACAGGGCGGCCTTTCACGCTGCACGCATCAACTGGCAGGAGAACAATACTCCTGCTTTGGATGTTGTCGTTGGGCCAAAATCCATTTGCCTTCCTGAAGACCGCCGCCTGACACCCATATTTAATTGTCACTCCTGTGATGCTATCCGTCTTTTGAACACGATGCACGTACGCCAGCGCATCCTCGTCGTGATCTGGATCAATTACTTGATCAGAGAAATCGCCCGAATACCGTTTCTTATGCTGGAAATTGCGACTCGCTATGGGATCGGAGTCCGCTAGCAACAATGCTTCCCGTTTCTTCGCCTGCACTAGCGCCTGCCGCTCTTCCTTGGTCCCACTCCCGATTTCTGGGGAAGCGGGCGCCAAAGGACCCCACGTGGACGCTGACGGTGTTGACCTGGGAATACCCCGAATATATAGGTCCGATCGAGAGGGTTTCCTTCGCGAATGTGCCTTTGTTGAATTATCTGCTGCTTCCCGCCCTGTATTACTGCCGAGGACAGATGATGCCAAATTTTGGAGCGAAGACCATGGAGAATCTAGGAAATCCGATGCACCCCGTGCTGGCTTGGACGACCCATTTAAGCCAAACGATGCCAGCTCGTTGCGACTTCGATTTGCAGACTCGGTGACGCGGGAGGGATGTTTCATAGGCAGGGGCGATGCACCACGAGATGAAAGCGGCGAGGGTGTAGCACCGCGAGAACGAGCGGTTCCTTCTGTGAGGAGTGTGGTGGAGAGACCCGATGTGAAAGGTTGGGAGTCCTGGTAGGCATGATTGTTGTTTGAGCTGGTCGTGGCATCATCATCATCCATCAAGGAAACCAGGCGGCGAGGGCGCGATCGGACCGCGGAGTTTGTGGAGCTTGCGCCGATAGTATTGGAGCTCAGGGAAGCATTGGCAAGGCTGTGTTGGGAACTCATTCCTGTTAGTGAATTCGAAGGAGATCTGCTTCCCAGAACGCGAGTCAAAGGTTCCCTTTGGAAGTGTGGGTGTTGCCAAGGCACTGATTGCCATCAGTAGTCTCCTAGGAGAGACCCATTCGTCATCCACCTGCCGTGTCGCATTCGTGGCCCTATGAATAGGGTATGGCAAGCAGGCAAAGCAGGTTACCCGTCCTGCAATAGCCTCGAGCAGGTTCTCTTTATTTTTTCTTTTATATTGATCAAGTACCGTCGAGGTCTAAAGTGAATGAGGCGGGGGATGTGGAGTGAGGAGTGGTGGCTTAATGATGCGATAGGGGACAGAAGGAGGCGTGGCCGTCGTGACGATAACGACCCACACAGCGGACAACCCCAACTTGAAGAGAATTGAGCTCAAGAAGCAACAATCGCTAATGAAGGTGTTTGGGGAGGATGTAAGATAAAAGAAGAGGATCATAAAAGGCCTGTAGGAGCAAGGGTGGGTATTCGGGACACATGTTGGATGATCGGCAGGTGACTTCGCCGCTCCAGGTATCTGGTACATGACGTTGTCCCATCTTCTCCCACCACACGGTAAGTACTGTATACTTAATAGCCGCTGTGATTTTTATAGACACCAAAAGACCAATTTTGATAGAAAAGGAAGATGAAAAAAGCAAGATATGTATTATGTATTTCAGACCCAGTAACAATCATTCTACAGAAAAGATGAACGATTTCTATGCACAAACCGGTCCTGCCAGAACAGAAAGCTGAATCAAATCCTTATGAAAAATCACCCATAGATAACACCCCTTGCCATCGCACTGCGTTCGAAGAGATGTAGGATAAATAAGAAAGATAGGCACACGAAGCCAAAGAAATCATCTAAAGGAATATGGAATAGGTCACCATTACTCAGGTGACTCGGGTCTCAGAGGGTGGGTATCAGTCGAGGCAGTTTCGGATTCGGTGTACCAGTCTTCCTTCTCTTCAACAATCTTGACTGGTGCAGTTGCTAGTCGGATAGTCGATGGGATTGCCTGGATCTCCGCATCCTTGAAGAAGTTGCTCAGGCGAACGGGGTTCAATACCTCCTCGGTTGCCACTTGGTTCAGGTCTTTGCCGGTGGACAGCATCGCCTCGATCGTCTCGTAAGGGGTGGTAGTGTTGACAGCTCTGACACAGGCATCTTTGATATCGCTACCAGTCCAGCCCTCCGTCCTCCGAATTATTTGCTTCTGCATTAAGTCGGCAATAGACATCTTAATCAGATCTTCCTTCTCTTCGACAAGTTCAATGTCCTCCCAGTCAACGTAGTCGTTTTTCAGGAGCTTCTTGAAAAGAATAGCACGGCCTCGTGCATCCGGTGGTCGCACTTCGATAGGCTTGCCACCCAGACGTCTGATGAAGGCTTTATCAATAGCGTCACTACGGTTTGTAGCACCGAATACGACGATTCGTTGACGTCCTTCGGTCGAGTTCTCTGACTGCAGTCCATCCCAATGTGTCATAAATTCCGCCTTCACCATTCCGCTTGCTTCGTGGTCGCGCTCTGATCGTTTGGCGAGAAGGGCGTCAATTTCGTCAATGAAAATGATACACGGCTGAACCTTGCGCGCCAGGGTGAACACAGCTCGGACGAGTCGGTTTGATTCACCATACCATTTGTCCGTCAATGTTGAGATATTCAAGTTGATAAAAGAAGCTCCGCTTTCCGCTGCCAGTGCCTTGGCGATCATGGTCTTTCCACAGCCTGGCGGTCCCTCCAGAATTACACCAGATGGTGCACTGCGAAGTGTGGCGGGGTTGGCAGCGAATAATTTGGGATACATCAATGGCCAGATCACGGATTGTTTCAGGTCCTTGATAATATCATCCAGACCTGCAATATCGTCCCATCGTACCGGTATGTCCTTTGGATCAACTAGTTCCGTGGCGATCGCTTGTTCATATTGGTTAAGAACAAGTTCGCCTCGCGGTGAACCGTCCTTCCCACCATTCTCACCGTACAATCGGCGTAAGATTGCTGCTGACTTCTGTCGTTGTTCCTCTTTCTTCTGATTCTCTGGGTCCGGAGGAGTAAGGTGATTCAAGACTAATTTAACGCCGCCATATGCGACCACGCCCTGAATAAATGATTAGATTTGCACTTGTTGGCGACAGATGATGCTGGACCCTGAGGCTGAGAACCGGGGAAAGTGGGCGCTCACCGTAACTATCATCATCCCTAGTTCTTGAACGAACCGTACCCAAGGGATACCACTTCGATCACCTTGCGGAGCCATGGCGACACAGCAGATACGCAGGTATCGAAAATGAGACAATTAACGAAACACTGTCACAAGAAAGAAACAAGAGTTCCCCGAGATGGCCGAGATGAATCGGGCTGTGGCGCGGTCGATCTGTGGCTCGGAATGTCACATGTTCAAAGGCGGAGAGTTGTTGATGTTCACGCGTTTATCACCGCAACTACTCCATATACCTATATCCCCGCAAAATAAAGAAACTTCAGATCAATTATATATCATGCCCAAACGAAAAGCTCCGACTAGATTATCTGGTCTTACAGGCTCAGATGATGAAGATATCATGCAGATGACTACAAATGAAACCGCCCAAGAATCGCGCGCCGAACCTCCTGCCAAGAAACGTCGAGGCCGACCGCGTTCCTCGAATGAGAGTGCACCCGAGCCGAAGCCCACCACGCAAACCCGGAAGCGCGAGTCTTCTATAGCTCAAAAAGCTGAGCCTCCCGCGACGAGGAAGACGACCCGTCGAGGACGACCGCGTGGTAGCAGCCAAACGGAAGCCGCAGAAACACAACCGCAGCTCGCAGCAACACAAGAGGAATCAGACGAAGAGAGCTATGAACAGGAAATTGAGGATCCGACGGAGCAAAAAGAGACCAAACCTACACATGCAACAAGGGCAGCCAAACCTGTCCCAGCCCGTCGCAAGGCTCCCGGCGTTGCTAAGCAGGTAATAGCCGATGGGGAGTTTGAGTATACACCTTCCGGCTCTAGGCATGCTGCCATTGAAAACGAGCCTGCAGAAGAAGCAGAACCTAGCCCTCGCCCGCGAGGAGCTCAGCGACGGCTGGATGCGACTGAAGCTACAGATGTTGTAGATGAGTCAATAATAGCTGAATTACCAACTCATCCGTCCGAACGGTCCTCTGAGGCAAAGAACATCTTAGCCCAAGTGCGCAATGTGTCAGACATTTCTCCTCGTAAACGCAAGTCAATCATTGACGCGGAGCAAGGCGGAGACCCGGAATTGAGGCGTAAGATTGGTGATCTGACCAAGAAGCACGATACTCTGGAATCCAAATTCCGCAACCTCCGCGAGATTGGAATCGTAGAGGCCAACACAAATATGGAAAAGCTACGCAAACAATGTGACACTATTACAACAGGTATGATCAACTAGTGAATTCTTAAATTCCCCACCTGGCGCTCATAACTGATTGTTCTATGTAGCTTCAAATGAGCTGGTTTTCTCACTTAGATCTGAGCTGGCGGCGCAAAAGTCACTTGGTCAGCAGAGCCGTGGTCTTCAGAAACAATTAAAGGAGAAAGATGCTGAGATTGCTCGTTTGCAAGAAGAGGCAGCTGAGTTACGTGCTCAATATGCCGCAAGTCAAACTGAGAACAAGGCTCTACAGACCAAGCTCGCCGCTGCGCGTAATACAGCCGCAAGTCTGGAAAACACGGTCAAGGTCCCTGGCAGTGCCATGAAGGGAGGACCTGCGAACCGTGCTGTGGCAGCAGCTAATGCAGAAGCCGCTCAGGCTGCACAGATTGCTCAAATCCGTGAAGACTTATATAGTGATTTGACTGGCTTGATTATCCGAGATGTGAAGTCTCGAGAGACTGACCACCTGTATGATTGTATTCAAACAGGCGTCAACGGAAGTAAGTTGCCTACCTTTTACTGATTCCCGAGGCTAAATTTACTAACTTTCTTTCAAGCTTTGCATTTCAAGCTGGTTGTCCCCAAGGTGGCTAGTGCGGACTATGAGAAGGCTGTCTTTGAGTACTTACCCCTATTGGATGCCAACCGGGATCGTGAGTTGGTGGATATATTGCCAGACTTCCTGATTGATCATATTACTTTTGATCGGGACCAGGCCCCTAAGTTTTATACACGGGTGATTGATGCCTTGACCAAACGGCGGTCCAGTTCGGTATCGCGGGCATAGTTCCAAGGTTCACTTGAACAGTTATACATATAGTCATTGAAGGAGTTGATCTGTATTTATGAGCGATTTGATTCACATGTGCAATGGATTAATATTGCATATACATGGACATCTGGATTTATTCATGGATTTTAAGACTATGTTCTAGTTCTTCTGCACATACTACAGATCACAGTACTATGTCATACCAGTTCACCAGTTGACAGTAAGGAGTAAACATCGTCGTGTACAATTGGTGGCCCGTGATTGGGTGTCTCACCGCCTGTCCCTCAAGGTTCCCTTGTCAGTTCAAGAGAAGTAACTAGGAATGATTATCCATTATCCGTGATGACCTCCTTTTTATAATCACTTCCTTCTTTTCCCTTTCCTTTTCTTTTTATCTCATCAGGGGGTTCCATTTCCATTCTTTCCCATTGAACCCGGTTCCACTGTGAGATAAGTGGATAGATCATGGCGCGTCTAGGCCGCGTGGGCTTCCTAGCCCTGGCGGTGGTCTTTCACCTGATCTATACATATTCAATTTTCGATATTTACTTCGTCAGCCCTATTGTGAGTGGCATGCGATCATATGGTGTTGATCGACCCGCCGATACTCCTGCCCCAGCTGAGCGCTTGGTCCTCTTCGTCGCCGATGGTCTCCGCGCCGACAAGGCCTTCCAAGCTTTCCCCGACCCCTCGCCCGAGAACCCCGCCGAACAAAGCGATGAATTGATTCGTTTGGCTCCCTTCATTCGTTCAAAAGTCCTCTCAGAAGGCACCTTCGGCGTCTCCCACACCCGCGTCCCCACCGAGTCTCGCCCGGGCCATGTTGCATTAATTGCGGGCCTGTATGAGGATGTTTCAGCTGTCACTACAGGTTGGAAGCTGAATCCGGTCAACTTTGATAGTGTGTTTAATCAGAGTCGACACACATGGAGTTGGGGAAGTCCGGACATTCTGTTGATGTTCAGGGAGGGTGCGGAGCCCGGCCGAGTCGTTGCGGACACATATGGTGAAGAGATGGAGGACTTCAGTACCGATGCGCCGCATTTGGATACATGGGTCTTTGATAAGGTGCATGAGCTCTTTGAGGCTGCTAAGAGTGATCCAGAATTGGATAGGAAGCTGCGTGAGGACAAGCTGGTCTTCTTCCTTCATTTGCTGGGCTTAGATACCACTGGCCATGCCCATCGACCTTATTCCAAGGAATACTTGAACAATATCAAGGTTGTGGATCGGGGTATCCAAGCTGTTACCAAACTTATTGAGGACTTCTATGCGGATGACAAGACTGCTTTTGTCTTCACTGCGGACCATGGTATGAACGACTTGGGCAGCCATGGTGATGGTCACCCAGATAACACACGAACCCCTCTTGTTGCATGGGGCTCTGGTGTTGCAAAGCCAGTGTTCAATACCCCCGGTGCTTTGACCGGGCACGAGGACGGGTTTTCTTCGGATTGGGGATTCGACCAAGTCCGACGACATGACGTTGCACAGGCCGATGTAGCTGCTCTCATGGCCTACCTTGTGGGTTTGGATTACCCTGTAAACTCTGTAGGTCAATTGCCGCTGGCCTACATTGATGGTACTCCCAAGGAGAAGGCGCTGGCCGCCCTTGCCAACACACGGGGAGTGCTGGAGATGTACCGTGTGAAAGAGGAGCAAAAGAGGTCAGCCATGATCCGTTATGTTCCCTTTGAAGCTCTATCAGGTGACGGTGAAACTTCCATTGAGGGTCGCTTCGCAAACCTGAAAGCCCTCATTTCCAATGGGGCGTATGAGGAATCCATTGCTCTGTCTTCGGAGCTGTTGGTCGTTGGTCTTGAGGGTTTGCGCTATCTGCAGACCTATGACTGGTTGTTCCTGCGCACCCTGGTCACTCTGGGATATCTTGGTTGGATCGCTTATTCCTTGACCACAGTGATTGATTTGCATGTTTTGCATGGAACATCCGACTCTCACCGCACGACAGCCAGTATTTCGTTCTTTTCGTCGATTTTGGTGGCATTGTTCTCCGTTTTTATGTACCAAGGTTCTTCCTTCCGTTACTATTTCTACGGATTATTCCCTGTGTACTTTTGGGAGGAGGTTTTTGCTCGCAGAAAAGCTCTCATTGCCGGCCGTGAAATTCTTTTTGGCCACGTTCGCTCTTTCAGTGGGTATTTGAGCTTTGGCTTACAGTTGGTGGCTTTTATTGGTGTATTGGAAGCACTTGTATGTTGTGTTCAGCGTTCAACCCCCCTTTGGCACTCTTATCCTGGTGAAAAGCTCTACTGACACTCAATTACAGGTGCAAGCTTATTTCTACCGTGAGATTCTAACTATTTGCTTTGGATTGGGGGCCGTTTGGCCCATTGTGTACGGTTTTGGTTTCATCCGTCAGCACATTTTCTTGATTGCCACATGGGTCCTTGGCTGCACCCTCATGGGCATGTTCACTTTGCTGTCCGTTATTAAAATCGAGGACCTTGATACTATGTGAGAACCACTTGAGCACTCACAGTCTAGCCTGTTACTAACTTATTCTCCCAGTACCTATGGAGGTCTTTTGATGTTCTTCACCGGTGTTCTTTACTTGATGTTTGAAGATACCATTCTTGGGAAGAGCAGTTCTGCACCTAAAAGTCCAGGGGCATTGAGCACTCTTGGATCACGGGTTGTCATGGGCACCCAGGTTGGGCTGGTTCTTCTGGCCCTCATTGTTACCCGATCCAGTGTCTCCTTCCTTCAGGCTCGACAGGGTCTACCTCTTGGAAATCAAGTCGTTGGCTGGAGTGTGCTTGGTAAGTCGAGCTCTTGATCCTGATGGCTATTATTCAGGACAATACTAACAGCATTACAGGCGCCTCCGTAGTTCTCCCATTCTTCCACCGAATCTACCCCAACAGTCACTATCTACACCGTCTCATGGTGATTTTCTTGACTTTCTCCCCCGCCTTCATTATTCTCACAATCTCATGGGAGGGCTTGTTTTACTTTGTGTTCTGCATGACTGTGCTCACATGGGTTCGCCTTGAGCACGCCGTCTACGTTCACACCGGGCCCAATACGACCAAGTCGTCAGAATCTAGTAACGGATCCGCGGTGACAGCGGAGTCCAAATCTACCGCTTCAGCGACTGTCGACGGCCAAACCTACTACTACCGTACCCTTGCGGTCTCCGATGCTCGCGTGGCATTGTTCTTCCTCTTCCTTCTCCAGTCGGCATTCTTCAGCACCGGCAATATCGCATCTATCTCCTCTTTCTCTTTGAACAGTGTCCGCCGCCTCATCCCTGTCTTCGCGCCTTTCAGCCAAGGAGCGCTTCTGATCTTCCAGATCCTGATCCCCTTTGCCATCATCAGTGCAAACCTGGGTATTCTCAACCGCCGTCTGCAGGTTGGACCCAGCGCACTGTTCATGGTAGTCATGTCCATTTCGGACGTGATGACCCTGAACTTCTTCTACATGGTGCGTGACGAGGGTTCCTGGCTAGATATCGGTATGACCATCAGCCATTACTGCATTGCCAGCATCCTCTGCATCTTTGTCGCAGGTTTGGAGTTTGTGAGTGAGCAGTTTGTTAGCGGTGTGGACTTCGGTTCCGCTGCTGCTGTTGTGGCGCGGGTGGTTAATGAAACCGCGGAGTGTGGCCATGAAGCTAAGGCTCAGCCAGCTCAGCCAACTCCTGCCTCTAACCCCAAGCCTAAAGGCAAGGGTAAGAAGGGCCGAAAGGCTCACTAAGTGAATTTAATCTACACCCTATGTACTTTATTTTCGGCCTATTCTGGGCCACCTTGTTAATATAGATCCTTTGGCACTAAATCTATGGGCTCGAGTCATTATGCTATTTTAAGAGCAAAGAGAAATCAATCTAGACTGTAGTAGTAGGTAGGTTAATAAGTGTATGGGCTGCAATCGGGTATCATCGGCACCATTTTCCATCTTATAGTGAACACATGGACACATCTCTCCCAAACTGGGTAAAGTGCATAAGCTAGAAGCACCTCAGATCACAATGACCGGCGTACAGACCACGAAACCACTAGAAACCCCGAAAACAAAGTGGTGCCTGACAGTCAAGACCCGCATGGCTTCATGGCTTACTCCAAGCCTCAATTTGACTACACTTAGCGGACCATTATGATTGGTCAAAGCTTGCCCCAGTCATATCGAGTTACCGAGGCATCACAAGCTAATTAGCTGCACTCAAGACAGATGCGGTAATAACACACCGTTAGATTGGACATTTGAAAAGGATCTCATGATGATTTTGTCTCTTATTTTCATGAATATGGATATTCTGAGACCCCACAAACTCCACATCATGAGCCCCGGAATTTCCAGGGTTCAATGGATTGAAATTCCCCGCAATTGAGGGTCAACTTCATACTAGATATGGGGTACTGAGGAGATGGATTATAGAGAAAACAAAAGGCTCAATCATTCATCAAGTTCCAGTACCTTGTGATCCTTGTAATTCAAGTCCAATTTAAAAGGATCTACTTCGTTGCATAAGTACATAGCCCCATGCAGGTCTACGTAAACATCCAAGCGCACGAGGCCTAGGAAAACATTCCTGCATCCATTAAGCTGCTGACCATAATCCATTTAACATCTGAAGCATGGTAGCACTGCATATACCCGCTATGCAGGCTAGTCCACATCACACTCCTGAATGGTCCATCCCGCCAAATCTTCCGTGCGGACCTCGACTCAATCCTCAGCTCCGTACTCCGTTTAGGTCCTTCAGTGTGATCCTCTCTTTTCAGTCTAGGTATCCGCGTCTTCCCGCGTGGCGGTAAGAGTGTATCCTAGTTCAACTGTGACTTAGGCGGGAGATCGGGGATCATTTCTGGTATAGTACTAGCAGGTACTATATGCCCGAATGTCTTGAGTCATGATCAGCCACTGACAATGATGATCCTTGTAACTCACCTGGGCAATATACAGCACTGGCACTTTGTCTAGATTTGCATGAACTGGATGGATCTTGGAAGTGAATAGTGGAAGACTAAATTGTATCGATACCTTCAATGTTCGGGGCTTATTTCCAGTTTTATTGCCACGGCACGGGTGGAGATCAAATAGGGTAGACTAGTAGTAGTGTGCCTGACCTTTACCATGGAAGATGTAATGCCCTTGGCCCGTAACTCAACCCTGATCTTGGCCTGATCTTGGCTTTGGTTTTTTTCTATTTCAAGTTTCAAGTTTCTTTTGTGTTCGCTTCGTCGATCACCCTGATACAGTGCATGACTCCGACCTCACAACGTGGAACCCCTACATACTACACGTGGGATGAATTCTCTATAGGAACATAACGAGCCATTGAATTCAGTACTTGAGGTTCCAACCAGTGCTTCGGACTAGTATGAAGGTGCAATATTGTCTTTGCTGTCTACATATAGCCTATTTCACCGGTACTAGTACTAATAGCACAGCCTCATTTTTGGTATTTTAATCTATTTAGTTCACCTTGAAATTCAAGTTGTTTGCCTCCTTCATATTGTTACTAGGAAGTAAAATCATATGTTGGCTACTAATTTTTGGTAGAGTATAATCAGTATTACCTGAATCATTAGAAGGTAGTAATAACTAATAACCTATATGAAATAGAATAATTATTAGTTACTCCATATATCGCCATAAACAACCTGAAGTGAATAGGTAATGCTTGACCACTCAGCGTGAAGATGATTTGCGCTATGGAGAAACCCCACATCCAAGTTCCACGCTCTTTATTGCCACTACCCACACTTCCCTCTTAACGGTCTCCTTCTCTTCCATCTCATTACTCTCAAGTGATTCCGGTCCTTTTTCTTTTCCGATCATCCTGATCGCGTGGCGCTACTTGTCAAGAACAGGTGAATCTTTGACCTCCTTGACTAGTTTCCCCATATTTTCACTTTATATTGTGCGCTCTTGAATTCGTCCAGAACCCGTCCTATATCATTGGCAACAAGCCCCCTTCTTCCACCCCTCCGACCGGTTCCCTCTTTTGTGCGCCCAAACGCTTCCCTCTCCAGGGCTATATGGAGACTGCGCGATTATGAGCGCTATGATGGAACTTGAATCCCAGACTGAACCGATCGACCATCCCAGCCCTGCGCCTAGTGCCACTGGTTCAACAGGAACCTCCGGCATCACGGTGCGCCATGGTCCTGGTGCTAACCCACTCAGTTTTAGAAGGTGAGCCGACTTTCTGATTCTCGAAATATCACATTTATTCCTATGAGTGTGGTGAATCCAATATGGGCGATGGTCTTGTGTCGCGGGGCCGGGCGCAATGAGGGAAAAAGGATGCGGTTGAACAGGGTTTTCCCTTATTACCCCGAAATATCCAGGATTATAGAGGGGGAAATCACCAAAGGATAAAAAGAAGAGTTCAAGAATGCTAATTTGTTTTATCTAATCTCTAGACAACGTGCATCACGCGCGTGCGAGGTACGTTTTATTCTATTTTGCCAACGACGCGATCTGGTGCTAAGAGCCGAGGCTATTGTGTGCCTCGGTCCCCTCCTTATCGCATCTTTGGTATATCTCCCAACGAAATAAACATAACTAACTATGGGGTTTTTTGAATGGATTAGACATGTCATGCTCGAAAGGTATGCTTTTTATAATCAGATTTCTGGAATAAATTTGATATCTACTTCCAACATTGTTCCTCCCGGTTGCTAATTTCCCCGCTAATCCGTGCCCTCCAACTAGGTCCGCTGCGACGCCGCCAGTCTAGGAGTCCCCTGCACAAATTGTGTCGCCTTCTCCATCGAATGCAAGATCCCGACCCCTAAGCGAAAGAAGAATTCCTCAAAATCCAAAGAAGATACCCGATATGATGATAGCCCACCCCACACAGCAGCCTCCTCGTTAGTCGATGCAGCCGTTGCTCAGTTCCGCCCCTCCAGCACCGAGGACTCCACCGACAATGCACAGGTCGATCAGCGAGGTCCATCTCCGGAGTCAGATCCGAAAGATGATGCATTTGGATACCGAAAGAGTCGCATGGCTTCCGATGGCATGCCCATCACTGCCCTGTCGGACGCAGAAGCGGCTCAACAGGCCTCGGCAGATAACGCCTATGCTCAATTCATGAAGCCCAAGTTCGCACGGGCACCGATTAAGGAAGCTGGTCGGGTGGCATATCTCGGTGAATCGTCGAATCTATCACTGTTAGTCCAGGATCGCCACGGAACTACCGATGTGGTGCACTACCCACTACCGCCGAATATCAGAGGGTCGCGCGCCCGATTGACGGACTTGGATAATCTGGAGATTGAAATTCTACATCAGCGAGGTGCATTTCTGTTACCTCCCAAGCCACTCTGTGATGAGTTGGTCGAAGCGTACTTTAAATGGGTTGCGCCAGTTGTGCCGATTATCAATAAGAGTCGGTTTATGCGACACTATCGCGATCCGAAGAACCCTCCGTCGCTTCTTTTACTTCAGGCTATTCTTCTAGCAGGTTCAAGGGTCTGCACAAATCCTCAACTTATGGATGCGAACGGCTCGACTACGCCGGCTGCGATGACCTTTTATAAACGTGCTAAGGCGTTGTATGATGCTAACTATGAAGATGATCGGGTTACTATTGTTCAGGCTTTAGTACTACTAGGCTGGTACTGGGAAGGACCTGAAGGTGAGCACCATGATAATCTAATATTTTGAGGAAAGTTTGGTCTAATCCTTTTTAGATGTAACCAAAAACGTATTCTACTGGACTCGAGTCGCCATGGTTGTGGCGCAGGGTTCAGGCATGCATCGCAGTGTGGAGACTTCGCAACTCAGCAAACCTGACAAGAGACTGTGGAAGAGGATCTGGTGGACGCTCTTCACTCGAGATCGTTCGGTTGCCGTGGCTTTAGGGCGACCCATCGGAATCAACACAGAAGATTCCGATGTCGAGATGGTAACCGAGGATGATTTCATTGAAGACGAGCTTGATGTTGCAGCCGAATATCCGGCGGACCCAGTTCATGTGCAGTTCTTTCTGCAATATGTCAAGTTGTGTGAGATTATGGGTCTGGTCCTTTCGCAGCAATACTCTGTGGCATCCAAATCACGGCGTATGAATGCGATGGACCTTACTCACTCAGATATGGCGTTGGCCGATTGGCTGCAGAACTGTCCTAAGGAAGTCTGCTGGCAACGATCTAATCACCACTTTTGGGCTGCTCTTCTGCACTCGAATTACTAGTAGGCGATCCCGAACTTATTTACAATTGATCGAATGACTGACCTATTCATAGTACTACACTCTGTCTCTTGCATAGAGCTCATATGCCGCCTGCTTCCTCTGCGCCTAACAGCTACAGGGTTGAAGAAATGGCTTATCCATCGCGCACTATTGCGTTCCAAGCTGCAGGAATGATGACTGCTATTATTGAGAATCTCCATACTCATGGCGAGCTTCGCTATACTCCAGCATTCATGTATGTTCCCTGTCCAAAAGAAAATCTGGTATCGGATACTGACTTCATTCCTACAGTGTCTACAGCCTGTTCTCTGCTCTGATCATGCACGTGTATCAAATGCGTTCATCAGTCCCATCGATTGTGGCGACCTGTCAAGAACGAATTAATGTCTGCATGAGGGCGCTCAAAGACGTTTCCAAGGTATGGCTTGTAGCGAAGATGGTCAATACGCTGTTCGAGTCTATCCTTGGAAACAAATTGCTGGAGGAACGACTTCAAAAGGCCGCAGGTAAACGACACCAGCGTCGGCCTCACGATAATTCCAATGTGGCCGCTCCACCTCCCAGACGACCTGATCCGCCCAAGCGTAAATTTGACGATATGGACTTGGGTCTGCCTAACGGTGGACCTACACCTCCTGTGTCATATGAGCGATCACGGCCCCAGACTCCAGCTGTTACCCCATCTCGGGAATTGAACCAGCCTCCACTTGGTCATACATCACCGAACGCCCACCGCGGCCTCGGAGACCCAATCTCTGGACCCGGTAATTCACGAAGCAACACACGGCCCACCACTCCTTTCAACGCTCAGTTCTCCCTCCCTGCTACACCTCCCGACTTCTTCCTTGTAACCCGTACCTCACCAAATCTCTCCCCTTCTCTCTGGGAGAACTTCCAGCCCGACCAACTTTTCCCCGATGGCACTGCTATCTTCCCCGAATTGACCTCCCCGCCTCCAGCTACCATGGATCCACAACTGCAAATGCCCTCTGGTATGCCAGGCCAACGCCCTATGATGGGTAATCCATCCCAGCAACAGGGCGCTGGACGCAACATGTCTGTTTCTCAGGGTAGCCCGCAGATGATGTCTGGTGTTCCTGGTGGCATGGGTATGCAGCCAGGTACACAACAGATGTTCGGAATGGAAGGCCAGACCTGGCCAATGCAAGGGATGGATGGGGCGATGGGTGGACCAGCGCTGGACGCTGGCAGCCAAGATGATACATGGAGCAATAGTTCTCGCAGTGGACCAACTGCACCCACGACCTTGAATGTGGAAGATTGGTATGTTCTTCTCTACGCACTTTGTCTATATTGCCTGAGTACTAACTTTTGCAGGTTTCAATTCTTTGGTATCAATGGTGGCTTCGGCGATTTGGCACAATAGGATGTCACCATTATTTGCTCGTGACTTTTATTCTAATGTAATGCATTCTGGTGTATAGTTCAACTGTCTCGATTGGCTGTTCAAAATGGTATATGTGGGGTTTGGATTAGGGAATTGCTGGCGTTCCCAGGATGTTTCAGGAGGGAATACCTCATGGTTCAAGTTGTGTTGGGTTTAATTCTTTTGTTCAAATGTTTACTAGTCGTATGAAAATTCAGAGCTGATCATATCGATCACTCCTGTCATCCAATCTCCAGACGAAATTCATGTTATTGGCAGACTAGACACTATCATACTAAATCCTTGCCCATTGCAAACATCCAACTCAATAGCTCATTCTGCCAGTGGAATCCATTCCTTCCACTGTCGTAGCCAGGTACTCATCAATTTCTCATCGACAGATCCTACACTTCGCAACGTAGGACTCTCCATTTGTGAATTTCGGACACTCAACTTGAGCTTGGGAGAATCTTGTTTGTGAACAAGGAAGCGGAAGTAATCCAAAAGACCCGCAGCAGGAATATCGTCGAGATTAGCAGTTTGATTAGCAACTAGAGACTCTAACTCTTGAACCCATTCAGCAAGCGGAACGATGTTGGCATTGCATGCTCGAGCCACGGGATCTACGAGATCCCCCCATTCCACAACATTCGGGTTTGTTATGTGGTAGACCATGAAGTCAGGACGATCCTTTTGTCGTCTGCTCTGAATAATTTCCGTCATTGCGCGAGCAGCAACGTCCTATTCCGAAGTTAATAAAAATCCCCAAAGATCTCCACCATTAATGAAATACATACAATAGGCAGCCAATCCACATAGAGGGAGCCCAAGCCGGATGGAATCTTGCGCATTGTCCGTGAAGACCGAATTAGAGACGGAAACCAGTCTCGAGTATTCCATATGCCCGCTGGGGTACTAGGGCCACCCAATTGTCCAACGCGATGAATAGAAATTCGAGAACCGTTCAAGTTTTGCTCAGAAGCAATGCCACATAGATGCTCAGCTACGAACTTGGACTCTCCATATCCTTGATGAAGAGTCCGTGTCGCGTCATGCAGGGTTTCTGGAATCGTAGTGTCAGATGTTGCTGAATCGCCCAGTACGGCAGAAACAGAAGACACAAAATGGAAGTGTGCACGATGAGATGACTGCCCAATTAAGGTCAATAGTCTTCTGACTCCGACTATTTGAGGCTCGAAAAACGTAACCGGCTGGTTGAAATTAACTGTCCAGGCGTTGTGAAGTACAATTTCAACGTTTTCCTTGAGAAAATGATACTTCTCTGGTGACAGTCCTAGGTTCTCTTTTTCTAGACTGCATGTCCAAAATTGCACACGCGACATCTCTGTCAGCCAGGTGGTTGACAATCCTTTCTTTTCAAAACTCAGTATTTGTCGCTCGGCTGCACCATCGGAGCGATTCAAACAAAATATCCGGGAGATTGATGGGTCTTGCAGGAGACCGTGGAGGAGATAAGATCCCAGTTCCCCAGTTGTGCCAGTGATAGCGACAATAAGCTCACTTGGGCCTAGAAGTTGCTTCTGCTCCCAGATGAGTTTGATGAGATTGTCCTCTCTTGACCAGACAGCCTGTGATGCTCTCTCTTCGTTGAGCTCGGGTTTGCGACCATGAATATGGGTAAACAGAGCCTGAGCCAACTGAGGGATGGAGAATAGATTGTAAATCTGGGCGCTAGTCCAATTGGATGACTTCTGAAGCTGAAATATTTCACGTTCCGCACGTTCTAGAGCTTGGGCGAGCTGAAGGACTTGAAGAGAGTCCATCCCTAGAACAGAAAGATCACTGTCCTGGTCAATGGTTTTAAGCCGAAGTATCTGTGCAGCTTGACGCTGAATCCATTGCTGTATTTCCAATAGACCAGTTCCGACTACCTCATTCTCGCGCGTTGTGGGTTGTGCTGTTACACTATTTTGGTCGTAGAGTTTATCAAGTATGGCACTGTAATCTTTAAAGATATCGCGCCTGCGCAATGTTCCTTTGGGCGAAAGTTGAAATGGCTTGTCTTGAGAGGCGAACACAATGTGACTTTCAAAGATTTTGGCATGACTTGGCAAAAAGCGATTCGCGTTCTCAACTGCAGGCCAAATTGAGTGCCTTAGCAGCTCGAGTGTCCAAGAAGATACTTGCTCCCAGTTTGGTTGAATCAGCAATGCTGCTTGAAATCGGTCTTGACCAAAAATCGCGGCAGAACCGATGAGAGGGTGGGCTTCTATCAGCTTCTCAGCTTCAATGGGATTGAATTTCTCTCCATTGCTTAGAACAATGATATCATCTCTTCGACCGTCGTAGCGCCATAGTCCAGGCTTGGAAGGATGAGGTCGAAATAGATCTCCAGTGTGGTACTCTTCAAGATGTGGATGAGAATGAAAGATGCCATGGTATCGACGTGTTGCTGGCTTAGGTAAAACCAACTCCCAGAGTCCATCACCAACATCCTCCATGCGTAGATCAAAGGCAGGAATCCATTCATGATATCCCCAGTCAGCAGGATCTTCACAAAGGAGTCCAGGTGTATAGCTTGTTTCACTGCTCGCAAGAATGGTTTGAATTCTTGTTATTGAAAACAGTTTGTTTCCCGTAGACTCTGCCATGGGTGCTCCAGCATAAATAATACCTGATAGCTTTTTCAGGGCTTCGACTCCTTCTTCAGAGGCTACTAGTCCTTCAAGTGTCCAGGGAGTAAAAACCCCCCAGGTAGGTGGATGGCTGAGACTCATGATTTGAGAGAATAGGTTCGAGGTTAATGGAGAATCGGGTGCAAACAAAAATGGGGATTCGAAAAAGATGGAGTCGATAAGACAGATTATGCCCATGAAATGAAACATTGGAGTATAGAGAAAGCGGAGGTCACCCTTCCGAGAATGGCAAAATAGTGAGCTCTGTCGTCCTGAAGGCAACGGTAGATTCTGCAAGTTATCCATCGTGGCTAGATATCCGTGGGTTACTGTAATGGGCTTTGGGTGTCCTGTTGTACCAGAGCTGTGTATAAGTATGGCTGGAAGATCTTCAACATCGGTAAATTTCACGTTGTGAGGATAGTTGGCGACTTGGTCAGATATGAAGACTTCCTTCAGACTATCCATTTGCCATCGTATAAGTGGCATGTCTGAGCACATCATTTCCAGGTCATCAATAGCGCGTCGTAGTTGGATCTTTTCACTGCCATCGACAAGTACGGAACATCCAGTGGCCTTTAACAAGTGCCGCTGGGCCTGTTGGGAATTTCGTGTCGAAAGCAATAAAGCCTGGCGAATTAGTACAATTCACGAGATGTAGGCGAGTATGACTTTGAACAACAAACTTACTACATGACCTGTCTTCATACATGCCAGTATAAATGCTCCGTATCTCAAATCATTCGTTCCAATGTAAGCCAGGACCTGTTGCTTCCTTTCACCATTCGTTTTCTGGTCGATCCACCATGCCAGTCTATTTACCGCATTGGCAAATTCTTGGACTGTGATTTGATGCCAGTCACTCTTTCCATCATTTGAGCCTTGGATACAAAACAAGGAGGAGGGACTCCTCGAAGCCTGACTGTCGAACGTCTGGGTGAGAAGCCGATTTTCGAATGTGACAGAATTCATGATCATTCAAGTTCCACACATAGCTTATTGAAGGTGACTAATTGGGGAGTCTGAGTGAACTAATCGAAGGCTTTTAAGATCCACTGAGGCACCAGCTGACCGCCAGTACACAGCTTGACATTTGTACATGCATGTGTGCCCAGGGCTTGTGTGGGGAAATCAAGCCTCATGCCTTAAGGTTGACCTTAAGCTCAAGAATACCCAAGATATCCAAAAAAATAATTGATGTGACTGATCATCCACCATTAAAGTCATCCCCTTAATAGGATGCTGGAATTCTGAATCCGCGTTTGGCGCCTCAATACGTTCATCTCTGCTGTGTCACCACATCAAAATGTGATATTCAATGACTCGTATATCATAACAATGCAAAGACTCAAATCCCGATATTGGGAGCCTATTTTTCACTGGCAATACTCGGAAATTCCAAAACGAAAAAACTGGATTTTAACTTGAATTGGCTGGCTCAATATCAAATGTGAAGAAGCCATAATGCTTTACCCCCCTAGCGTATATCAAGACAGGGTTTTATGCATACATATGCCCAGTTGCAGTTGATAGGTAGGAATATAGGGGCCTATAACAGCCATATGGCCAAACCCCCTATATAAGTAGCTAGCAGAAAAGAAAAAGAAAAGAAAATTCAAACTCCAGGGCTGTATATATCCCTCTTAATTCAGCTCTTACTTTAGCAATCTCTCACTTCAGATATCTCTCACTTCAGATACTATCTCTTACTTAGCCTTATGTATTGTTTTTTTATAACATGATTCATAATAAAAAAGCAGTTGGCGGTGAGTTAGGCGATCAAATTCATTATGAGAAAATGGAGGTTGGCCGTGTGGCTGTTACAGGCTCCCATGGGCAGGATGCTGTGTCACTGTGAAGAAGCTGCATATGCGTGTAACCCAGAGAGCCATCTCCCAATAATCAGGACTCTTATCAACTAAAGAAAACATCATTATACAGCTAAGCATGACTATTCAAAAGGTTCGGTATCATTCATACTAGGTAGTGGAGAGTGTTTTGAAAATAATAGGAGTGGCTGTGGCCCACAACTGATGTCCTTACTACCTATAAATATTGAAATGGGCATATTTCGCTTCTGTAGATACCTAGTATTATTGAAAATTTGATCTTTTGAATTTTTCCTATTTCAATTACCAGTCAAACTCCGATTCTCAAAACAATGGCAACCTCCTTTCCTAAAACATTGGTTGACGATGACTTTCCCTTTCGGATAGTCTCCCATTTGATTCCTGTCCATTCATTTCGCGAGTATCAACAAGGGATTATTGACGAAACCAAAGATGTCTACTTGGCAGTAAAACAATACATACCTTTGATAAATCAGCCTTTAAATGATTCGGATCCCATAACAATCGTCTCAGCGCCTGGAGTGGGCTTTCCCAAGGAGAATTACGAGCCACTCTTTGAGCAGGTGCTTCGCAAAACGTCGCTTGCTGGATTGAATATTCGATCTATTTGGATCGCAGACCCCTTTAATATGGGTGAGAGTGCAGTGGCCAATCAAGAAAACCTAGGCCGGGATGCATCAACAGTTGATCATTCCCGTGATCTCTGGGGTATGATAAATCATTTCCGCCATCTGATGCCGAAACCAATTGTGGGCCTCGCCCATTCGATGGGATGTTCTGAGATGCTGTTACTTTCATCTTGGCATCCAAGTTTATTTCATTCATTCGCCTTCATCGAGCCCGGTATCGATCCTGACTATGGGAGGACAGCAATGGCGAAATGGATTTCTCAAACCCTTCAGCAAGGAGATTTCTGGGATACCCGGGAAGAAGCCGAAGAAGCACTAGTCAAATCTCAAATGGCTCATTCCTGGACCAAGAAGACTTTGGCAAGGCTAAAGCACTATGGTGTCTACTTAGTCAAGACGGAGACTGGCCTAAAGTGGACGTTAACAACTCCGAAGTATCAGATCGCAGTTGTGGTTTTTCGACGTATACCAAAGTCCGTCCATGTTAGTTCTGATGACCTGGCGAATTTAACTCTGGCGCAGCGGGAGTTGGTCCCGGATCTTGATCCAAATATCGCTTTACAAGGCCGCTTATTTTATCGGCCTGAGCTCCAGCATTCCTGGGATCTGCTACCTAAAATGCGACCCTGGGTACTCTATGTCAATGGTAGTAGCTCACCCCATTTTGGAGACCCTTCAACGCGAGACCTTAGAGCACAAATCACTGGTACAGGACTGGGTGGAAATGGGGGTATAAAACTCGGTGCAGTTCAGCAGATTATCATGGAGGGTGCAGGCCACGATATGCCATTCAATGATAATATTGAACAGCTCTCTGTTCATATAGTAGATTGGTTCACGAAGGAAAGTCGGCGATGGGATGACGGCGCTGGTAGGCGTCTTCGTGAGTGGAGAGCAGAAAGTCCTGGGGAAAAACATAAAGTCACCCAAGACTATGCTGCTTCTTTGCCTGGGGAGATGGCGGCAAGGAAAAAACCAGCAAAGTTATGATTCGTATGTAATATTCTCAAATACTCGTCATTGATTTCTAGCGCGATGAAGATCACGGTCTGCTTTTAGCAAACGAATTACAAATATTCATAAAAGAACTTGGAACCTCGGAACAGTGATAATAGTGTTTGTATCCCAGACCTCTCTTATTGCCTAATGAAGGTACTTCAATGTTGCTTATGTCCTCGGGTACTTACAGATGCTTCCTACTAGTACTGAACTTACTAGATAAAGCCTTCTCAGGTAATCACTGCTTTGGTTCTTCAACTTACCCAGTGGCTTGAACTGTTGAAGCGTAGTACCTTAAATTGATCAATCTCTGGATCAAGTCAGTCTTCTTACCTCGAAGGTCCCACTCTGCATAGGCTTTCAAATTCGACACTTTCTTACCGGTTCATACTCTCTGCAGTTGCTTCATGGGCACTGAGCATAGGTTCAAGTTTCATTGCTACTTTAAGTTCGTCAGCCTCTACTCAGCTGATCTACCAAGGACAACCACTACCAAGCTACTATAGTGATACCCCCAAGGGATATAATAAGAGAAATATCGGAATTACCTACATACATTCTTATTTTCTAACTAGTACATACTATCTGACACCGCTATAGACATAGTAACCTTGGAAGGTATATAAAAACATACCAAAAGTAGTGTCGAGCACATATAGTAGTCAACTGGTAGTAAAGTATGTCGGGGAAACTAGTTTCGCCGCTTTTGTTTAATTGGCCCAGATTGGCTTAGTAGCGGTTAATTTTAATATTAATTATGCGAGTGCTATTCTCTCCCCTTATACATATACTGTTGCTTTAATTTCTATTTCAAATTTATTTGTTCTTTCTATCTTTCTTATTCCATACCTACATATACAACACTGGCTGAAGCCATTAATATCACCAATCATCACAAATATATCTGATCTAACCTATCTCGGACTAGCGGATGACGAAATCGCAGTTCCTTCAATTAGACCAATCAGGACTCTCCGAGAGCGGAGTCATAGCAAGTCTGGGGGAAAGTGGAAGAACGCAGCATTCGACATTTTTTGATTCTTCAATTCCATTTCTCCCTTGACTCATCGTGATACCTTTTTTTGTTGTTTTCTGTCAATTTTTAAGATCAGTATCATCAGATCAATCCAATTACCCTCCTCTTATCACGCCTCTTTACCCACCCTCCCATCTGTGCGTCTGCCCCGCCTTGCAGAAAAGCGATGTCGGCTTCAGGATCCGGAGCATCCAACAATGATGCAGGAGCGTCAAGCTCGGTGAAGAAGGCATTCCCCCAGGTTGACCTCCAGGGCAATGACCTACCCCCATCCCCAGCTCCGTCCAGCCCACACACCGGTCGCCGGTATAATATTGCCACTGAATTGGTCTATACCGATAGCAATGACCAGTACAATGCTAGCAGTGTGCCAATTTACCAGGTATGAATGACAAACACAGGGCAGATGGCCAATTTCGATCAAAAACGTGCAAATTTGCTAATTATTATACTCTTACCATTCTACAGAGTGCTACATTCAAACAATCATCCGGCAGCGGGGGTGGTGAATATGACTACACTCGCTCTGGTAACCCTACTCGCACCCACCTCGAGCGACACCTAGCCAAGATCATGTCCGCCCAGCGTGCTCTCGTTGTTTCATCTGGTATGGCAGCCTTGGACGTCATCACTCGTCTCTTGCGACCAGGCGATGAAGTTGTCACTGGTGATGATTTGTATGGTGGTTCACACCGCCTGTTGAAGTACCTCTCAACCAATGGAGGCATTGTCGTGCACCACGTCGACACCACACAGCCAGAGAAGGTCATGGAGGTTCTGAGTGAGAAGACCGCTATGGTCCTCCTCGAGACCCCCACCAACCCCTTGATTAAGATTGTCGATATCCCCAAGATCGCTACCGCTGCCCACGAGGCCAACCCCAACTGCTTGGTGTCTGTGGATAACACTATGATGTCGCCCTTGCTACTGAACCCTCTTGAGCTGGGCGCTGATATTGTCTACGAGAGTGGTACCAAGTACCTGTCTGGTCACCATGACCTGATGGCCGGTGTTCTTGCCGTGAATGACCTGGCTTTGGGTGAGCGATTGTACTTCCCTATCAACGCATCAGGATGTGGTCTGTCACCCTTTGACTCATGGCTGTTGATGCGTGGTGTTAAGACTCTGAAGGTCCGTATGGACCAGCAGCAGAGCAACGCTCAGCGTATCGCTGAGTTCTTGGAGTCGCATGGATTCAAGGTGCGATACCCAGGTCTGCGCTCGCACCCCCAGTATGAGCTCCACAACTCGATGGCACGCGGTGCAGGCGCCGTGCTCTCCTTTGAGACTGGAGACGTTGATGTTAGTGAGCGCATTGTTGAGAGCGCAAAGATCTGGGCTATCAGTGTTAGTTTCGGCTGTGTCAACTCTCTGATTAGTATGCCTTGCCGGATGAGCCATGCTAGTATTGACGCTAAGACACGGGCGGAGCGCGCCATGCCTGAGGATCTGATTCGATTGTGTGTTGGAATTGAAGATGTTGATGATCTCATCGATGATCTGCGCCGTGCGGTATGTTTTCCCTGAATCCTGAATGGCTAAAGATAAAACTCCCATACTAATCATTTTTTTTGCCACAGCTCGTCCAATCCGGGGCCGTGAATATGAATCTGGATGGATTTACTGCGAACACTGCATCTGAGTAGGAGGTTAAATACTCAAATACTTATTTCACTTTTGTCTTTTTTTTTCTCCCATATTTGTGAATAACTGGAGGCGTTTAATGGGGATTTGTTAAAATGAAATATATGAATATGAATTACTATGATTTAAAGGTGTTTGATCGTTTATCCGCTAACCAAGAATCCGGCATCGGAGACTTCGGCACCGGGTCGCCCCCGGTCCTTTCTCGTCCGGAGTGAGCCTCACTTTCTCCGGTTAAGAGCTTGGTAATTGCATCTTCTTCATTTGCTTTTGCATCATCGTAATTCTTCTTTCTCCCATCTTCAACAAGGGAAACTCTTCAGGCACTTCATTGCTGCCCGATGAACCAGATCCCGGTAATCTTACTCGAAATTACCGCATGAGTATGACTCGCGATGCTCCAATCGCGCAGGATAATAATTTCAACATGACCACGGTCTCCGATCACCCCATTACGCGACCAAAGATGGCGCCCCCAGTGACGATACAAAAACCTCCAACATGGAATACCAAAGATCTCGGACTTCGATTGGGTGTCGATGTCGCCAGTGCAGCAACTGCCGGCGCGCTGACATGTCCGCTGATCACTATTATTGATCGGTAAGTGCGGAGTGAAGAAAAAATATCAGCGATGAGCCATTTCGAGGAATGGACCAAAGTAGGGATCAAAACAGAAAATCTCATCATTTCCTATCTACAGAGCCATTATCGAAAAGGCCTCAAAAGGTTTTCCCATCCGACAAACCCTCACCAACTGTGTACGGTCTATGGTCTCAAAACCCAGCGGATTCTTCTTGAGCACACCATTCATCCTCATCTACACCCTGTACAGCGCCACATATTTAACCGCCAATGCCATCGATACCCTCTCTTCCACTCTTCGCGATCAGTCATATTCCACCGTAACCGCCGGTCCCCCTAAAATTCCTTTCCACCACAGCCGTCAACATGGCAATCTGCGTATACAAAGATGCGCGATTTGCCAAAATCTTCGGTGCCAACCCTCCACCAACTCAACCTTCCTCCGGTGCAGGCGCAGGCACAGGCGCATCATCATTCAGTTGCCATCCCCCAATGACCGCTTCCGCCCCCAAGATCCCAAAAGTCTCATACGGCCTCTTCTGTCTCCGTGATAGTATCACCATCTTCGCCTCATTTAACGTTCCCTCTCTTATCGCACCCTCAATACCCGACTTTATCGCCGAAACTTCTCGCATGAAGGCTACTATCGCGCAATTCTCTTGTCCGGCTCTTATGCAATTCGCTAGTACGCCAATGCATCTCCTTGGTCTTGATCTGTATAACAGACAACCGCCCGGTGGATTACCCTGGGGTGATCGCGCGGCGCGTATTCGAAGAGATTATATCTCTAGTTCGTTTGCGCGTATGGGCAAGATTGTTCCGGCTTATGGTGTTGGTGGAGTTGTTAATGTCCGGATGAGAGCGGCGTTAATGGCTAAACTGGAGAAGAATTGAATTACGAATTAACGATTCTTCCCTTGTATTTGTTTGTTTTTTGTTGGTCCAGATCCTGATTCAATCTCCGCTCTAGATGTACTTTTTCTTTCTATTTCTTTCTGGGCCTTGGCTTTGTGATTGATTCGGAGTTCAGAAGAATGGAGTCTGGTCTGGATTTTTCTCTCTTTTTTGTCATTTTCTTCCCTGCTTCTCCTGTTTTGAACAGGAACTGCATTTATCATATGGCCATGGCGTTGAATAGAATCTACTAACTAGACTTGATTCTTGATTTCTGTTCGCGTTGTCGTTGACTCTTGGGTCTGTGATTTATTTTCGGTTTGATTGACCCTTGTGCTGCTGATTCGATTGTGCAATATTTCCATCTGGTATATTTACTAGAGTTGCAAAGATGCGTCTTGTTAATATCACTGATAGATCAATGATAGTCTTTTTGAACTTGGAATTGCGTGGATCTATGTCTCTACGACATAATTGATAAACTACTGGTTTTAGCAGTTCAACATTTGAATGCTACCACCTATGTCCTTCTTCCCTACTATTAATGATAATGATAGTGCTACTACTACTGTACATACTGTCTACGGAGAAGAACCCATATCCCGTGGAAAGTTGAATAGTACATATATCATCATTGGCTACTCGTTCTTGGCTGCTAGATAAAATAATGCAAAGCCATCACCCCCATATTGAGACCAATTCTCTGACCCATATCAATATCAATATCAGAGTCAATGACTCGCTCAAAGAGCCTTGAACTTGTTCAGAACTATAAAGACAGTCAGCATGTCCCACCACCAACCATTCCACATAGGAATTGCCAGACACATACTTGCAGCATGAGCAAGATCCGCCTGAGTATGCGCCTGTACATGAAGACTGATATCTAGAAGTGCGCGATAAAGATGATCCTTGTTGGAAGTATAGTAGCTCTTATCGTGGATACTCGCTCCTTCGGGGACCCTGGATCCGAATCGAACGATTAGCATCAGGCAAGAAATCATACGATCACGGTCTCCACGGAAACAAGCTAGCTCCAAGCCATGCATGCATATGTAGAAATCAGCTGATGAGATTCAAGAACCCATACCATGTAATGAAAGCCAACTTGTGACGTGGTTTATCACCACCGGGAAAATCATAACTCAATTCCACGACCGCGTAGCGAGGTGTATCATCCTTGAAATGAGCCACGAACTCTGCGTAGTCCTCGTATTTGCCTGACTCGGCGACTGTGATCTTCTTGTCGTGTGCTGAGGCCTGATAAATGACGTAATTAAGGTCGTCGGTTTCCTTGACGGCGTCGAATGCAGCCTCGCATTCGGGCGTGATGGTTGCGAAGCCGCGGGTCATGGTGGTTCAAGTTGATGTTTGGGTAGTAATGGATTTGGGGTTGCTTAATAGGGTAGCCGTTGATGGTAGAGAGATGCAGATGGAGTTGAGGAGGAAGGAAGTGGTGAGATGAGAGAGAAGACTATTCATAGGTGGAGCTTACCCCGACTTTTCGTTAACGCGGGGAAGTCGCTGCATGATTACATAGCTTTGGTTTCATCACAGTCAACCTTTCATTTATTTCAAGATCTTCCAATGCTCTCTTTGATCTGAAAGTATATCAGACTAAATAGTTTCTATTTGATGTCTACTAGTCCTTGTCCATATATACGAGATATCCAGACGATCAACAATCTAGCGCTCGGCAATGAACCTGCCAGTGCTCGCGTGCTCAGGCATCCCTGATGCGCAAATTGCAAGGAGGTAATTATAAGTGAATAAATTAAGCACATTGGTAAATGTTCAGCTAGTTCGGTAAATTATGTATAAAAGCAAGAAAATGTACTTGTCAAGAGAGCAGTATCAGACCAGCAGATAAAATACTCGAAATGAAGCAAATCACCACCTGCACATATAGTTAGTCGATGAACTGTCAAAGTCACATAGTTCAGTTCCCAGTAATACTTACGCAAAAGGTTCAGAGTGCAGGTAGAGCTCCTCAACCTCACCCCCTAGCACTCGCGCCTGAGCCAAAGCTGCCGCATTCCGAGTATCATGGATCATAGAAGCAGGTCCACAAACCAACACTCCAATCCGCTGCTTTCTTCCAACATATTTACCCTGGCTACCAGACATTGCCACTGTCCGCGCAATCAAGCCCGAGATATCAGGCCGGGCATTGCGGTGGACATTCAAACTGAAAGTTCCCGTTGTCGTGATCTCTGTCGGTGGCAATTTGCTCGTATCTTTTTCAAAGCCAATCGCTGGTGATGAGGATGCCGAGTTCACACGAGATGTAACGTGCACTGAAACAGATGTCTCGTACCCGCTATCTAGGTCTGGAGAAAGAGTCGTTGAATGAGAAAGGCGGGACTCAATCTCGGCGACGTACCAATCAGCCATCTCGGTATCACGAGTTGAGAAGATGACTTGTAAATTGCGACGACCATCATGTCCTGGTATGATATCCTTGGACTCTAAGGCAGATAGTCGTAGCGCTTCATCAACCGTCGCAAGTGAAAATCCACCTCCCGAGCCACCGGCAATGACGAGGATCGTATCGAAATGAGCCATATGGTGTGCACTTACACCTCCGTATGGTCCCTCAATCAGGATCTTCTTTGAGCACCCGGGGTTTTTCATTGCAATGGCTGCGAGGCGTCCAGTCACGCCTCCGCGAGGCTTAATATAGAAAATAAGTTCGGAGGCTTTGCTAGTTTCATTGGGGTTTTTGCAGACGGAAGAGATTGTGAACGGGTGAGCGGTTAGAAGATGTAGGTCTGAGGTCAAAAATCGCACGAATACATGTTGGCCTGGTGTCCAATTGATTGTTGTTGGGGCTGTTACCCGAACAAGACCACTTGGAATGACTTCGAGTGTCGCTGTATGGAGTCCATTGATAATGTAGGTGCGGACTTGGGATGCTACCAAGCATAGAAGGTAGATTGAACCAGTCGCGATAAAGTAGTCCCTATTTTGTGTTAGTAATTGAAGTTATCTAATAAGAGATATAGCATACCATGAGGAAAGACGGAAGTCACAGTGGAGGAAGAAAAAGACGACAAAGACAACAGCTGCAAAGATATGAGTAGCTTTAAAGAACTCATAAAACCGGTTACTGCAGGGTTATTAGTAGATTTTTTCCAAAATTCATCCATTACTGACGTACCGAATAAAAGGCAGAGACATGAGAGTCAAATACGCCTGTGAGATTATTGCAACAGTTCCAGTCCAATATACGACACTCGTCTTCCATTGTTTTACCATATCACCTTTCGAGATGTGATAGATAATGAATGGAAATGTGTGGACGAGTGCCAGAGCAAACATAGCATAGCTCGTCCAGTGGTGGAAGACCTGAAGCTTCTCATGAGGAATTCCCGTTAACACAGAGATCATATTTGCCTTGGCACTTAAAGCACTATTGTCAAGAATTAGTGACTGGTATGTTTCTCATGACTGCTGTTCACCTTACAGAACAAATGGTAGCAATGCTAGAGCCATCCACCCAGCTCGAGTCGCTATAGGAGGACTGCTCCCATAATTTGCATCTGTCGGCCAGTAGTACGGCTGCGGGCCAAGAGTCATTCCTATATGTCAAATTAGTCCTTTGTCGCTCTCAATTTGATGCCACAAATTCTCACCAAGGAAGAATCCTGCTCCGACTATACCCAGCAATAACACCCCCAATGATGGAGACCAGTACCGTAATGCTTTTGTTCCATATCCTCGATAAGCTAAGTATCGAGACATCGAAGTAGTAGCCCGCCATACTTGAGTGCGTTTGACCCAGTCCGGGGAGTATCTGACAAGAAAGTTCGAGATGGCGAATACACCGATCACCGCGCAACAGAAGTAGACTATAGCTAGTGCGTATACATGGTCAGATTGGTACCTGCAGAAACATCCCACGTCAGCATACTATATTTCAAATGTTTGTGAGACCCTCAAAGTACATACCAGTAGCGCCAGTGGGAATTCCGATATGCACACTGTTCAGGAGACAACTTGCACTTGTCTGCTCGAGACGAGTGAAGCAACACTGGTTGATCAAGCCAGGGCACACCACCTCCCATCATCTTCATGTCCATCATTATGTCAGCCGCATAAGATGCTTGTTCCTGGATGTATGGAGGTCTCCGTATACGCCTCTTGTAAACTCCTGGGTTATTATGACAAGAGCGCACCCCGCTCAGGATATATCGGATGATCGACAGTCCAAGGTTTGGAAACGGTTACTGCGGGATGGAAATCATGGTGTGAAGTTGTTGGACGTTGCACCGAAAACGGGACTGGGGAAGTATGATGGCGAATCCAAGAGGAGGCCACCCGCATTCCAGGGGCGATGAGTGATTCACCTGAGTATTCACTATGAGCAGATTTAATTTCTTATATCATATTCCTGAAACTGTTAATTTTACTCTACTATGTTGTCTTAAATTTAAATGCTTCATGCTTTCGGTGCAAGTACTATTATGAGATGAGCAAATTTGCGCACTTGCTCACTTCAATTTAGGTCTAGTGTATGAGTCTAATTATGAAATCCATGGTCTCAATTGATTTAAGAATAGAATTAATCAGGTACTGAACTTATTTCATCTGGCGTTGAGCTGTTTGGTAGAGATTTGATCATATCGCATCATAGAGACAGTGTATAGACACTGGCATAGTCTCCATATTGTTATATGACTCCTTGTACCATCAATTAATCACAGTCTCATCTCAAATGTAACAGCCATGACGTAGATTTCCTCTCTAGTCTTCTCTCAACTGATTCTTCTTACAATCTAGACTTTGGGAGATCTCGGTTCCGAGTCCATGAGGTTGTATTCCCCAGAATAATCCAGATGTCGTAACAATAAGAAAAGCCATTCTAACCAATCAAAGTGCCTTATTAACATAAAAAACATGAACAAAAAAATCCAAAAGTCCATCCATAATAGGTTTAGCGCTTCACATGGAAGATCCAACCCTACATTCCCGTCTTCCAAGGTTCTCTCGATTGCCCCTAGATGAACAGAATGAATGACGATCTCAATTCATTTCAATCAAGGGGTACTGCCGAAATAGATACCGTCGCCGCAATAGGTCCAGACACTTTAGTGGATACGGCAGGGCCCTCATTCCCGATCCCATACATCTGGAGCGCATGGAAACCTCCACGAACACTATCCGCTTGAAGGCCTTTCGCCCGAAGAACACTCGTAGCCACGCGTGCTGTGTCCCCATCGTAACATACCACCAGAACGTGATGCGGTCCGAGATCTGGGACTAGTCGGTCATCGCCGAAGATCCGTTCGAGCTCCACCCACTGTGCCTCCAGTACGGCTGGATCCGAAAACGGCGACGCTGTGCGTGACCCGACGCTAGTCAGCGGTAAGCTGATAGACTCTGGCAGATGCCAGGCTTGGAAGTCTGCTGCTTGCCGAAGATCTATCACTCGTTTCTGGGGTCTGAGCGTGATCTCACTCAGCTGGCTTTCCGCGAGGGACCGAGGAGCTCGGTACACTTGTGGGAGAACCTCCAGGGCATCCCGCTCCCAGCTCTCATCGTATCGGTGGAGGTCGACTTTGGCCAATCGCTATTCAGGATAATATGGTGTTAGCGGTACTTTGCGGGGTAAAGAGTGAAAGTCGAAACGTCATACAAGCTTTCTTACCTCATTACGGATGGGAGGGAATTGTTCAGGTGTCAGCTTTTGAAAATACTCCTCGATATACTGATAGGGTAGATCACAGCACAGAAAGACACAGTGCGTCATTCCATCTGAACCGGCTAAGTCCGCAAGAGTCCCTGCAGCTTTTCGCTTCTCTATCATCTGGAAAAGACCTTGCAGGTTGAATCCGGATGATGGACCACAAACCAGTCCCTCGCGACATAGTTTCAGGGACAGTGTAAATGAATCAACGGATCCAACTTCTTCAATGGTATCAACTGCATCTTTCCATGGAAACTCAACTGGTCGTAACAGGGCAAATGATCTAGGTCCAGGTACGCGGTCTCCTGCTGCGGTACAAACACCAACTCGTGTGACCGATGGCTTCACGCTCTTGAAGTAGGTGCCTAGTCCAGTGATTGTCCCTGAAGTACCCATGCCAGCACAAAGAACGTTGATCTCAGGTAATTGTCTGAATATCTGGGGTCCGGTCCATCGAATATGTGCTTGCCAGTTATCATCATTTTCGTATTGATTGGGGTTGACGATTTTATCTGACTGGCGGGCTTGTCTTCGGGCATCCTGGATACCACCACGAGGATCAATTGGCTCTGGCTGTGATGGACCTCCGAATAGAGTGATATCAAGACCGAAGAACTGCATCAACTTCAACTTGGCATCGCTGGTTTTATTGCTCAGGAAGGCTCGTGTGTCGTTGATACCGTGCATCACTCGGGCAATCATTGACATTGATATCACCGTTGAGCCAGAACTGTATTCGATAATGGTATCCGTCTTGTTTGGGACCACGCTAGTCTCAAGCATGTTCAGCGCTGTTGGATGAGTTCAAATGTCAACAATGGACTTTAGACGGAAGGAATCGAGGTTCTAGTGTCAGCCTTACCTGGCATCGCCTTGACATTATTGGCCGGGTGCATGGTCATCATTTTGGCATATATCCGAACACCATATTGATAATATGGATTGAGATACTCAGGAAGTTCAACCAAAGGCAAAGGAGGTTGTTGATCCGGATCAAAATACTTTTTCAATGAATCCGGCCCAAAGTAAACATTATGCTCATTTGAGATTGTCATTGTATAGGCGTCGTTTCGCTGGAACCAAAACTTCAAGTTATAATCCGATTTATACCAGGAGGCAGCTCAGTCCTTTAAAATAGTTTACAACGAGAAGGTAATCTTAAAGCAAGATAATATTAAGAAACAAAGACACGGCCCATCTCCACTGGTACAAAAACAGCCAGGTATAAGCGGCACGCATAAGCCCTTGCTATCTAACCACCTCTCTGAGGCCCATAAAGCCAAAATAAATTAAATAAATGCCGATAGAGAGGGAAAAAGAGGCAGATATTCCCCACCGTCCCACCTTGGTGGTTTTGCATACCAGTTAGCAAGATTTAGATGAGGGGCCGTGATCGTGACAGACACATGGACCCAGTTTGATCAGTAGGAATGCTGCAAGCATGATCTGCTATTTGTCAAAATTCGCCTTCAATATTTGATGAATGGGGAAGGCTAACCAAGAAATCACCAATTGACTCATGTTTAAACCTGGAATTGTGCTATGATACAATCGCTGTCATACAAATCTTACTAGGGATTTCTAGGAACTCGGCCCAGATCTCCATGAACAGGCTCATTTTATTCCGGGCATGGATCAGAAAGTATGAAAACGGCATGATCGACAATCTGACCATCATCATAAAGGGGTCTCCATTGTTATTCAGGTGCCTTGCTAACCAGATACCCCGGTATGTATGTCTTATCTCCACATAGACTCGAAGAACATAGTTCTAGAAAAGAAGTCAGAAATCCGTAAGCTATCCTGTATTCTAGTAGCCTAGGGAGCAGGTAGTAGCAGATGAACATTGTAGATCATCAAAGTCAACTGGTATTCATCCAGGGCTATGAGACATGCCAAGTCTGCCCCCATCACAGCCACAAAGCCATGAATCTTTCCGGTCCTAACTCCGCAAAATGATCCCCAAATTGACCTAGCTTGAGCATAATACGAGTACCTTGAGAGTGTTTGAGCAGTTTTGTTCTTAGCGAAAGTTACGGTAGGAAACTCGCAGATCGCTGTCAGGCTCATTCAAGGTGCTTCCGCTTTTGCAGTGTCGATCTATGTCGAATCGGGTGTTATCCGCACCGAGAAATGTGCTCAACTATGGAGTACGCATACTCCGAGTCCACCCTATCAATTCAGACGTTATGTCGTTATGTAAAATTCGAGAAGAAAAGCGTGGTTTTATCATTTAGGAGCTTTGACTTCACCTGCGATTCTGAATGCAGATTCATTCTCATCTTCAGTTCGTTCGTGAAGTGGCCCGTCATGTCTGGAGTTCTTGGACATAGGTCAGAGCAGCCTAGCTCTAGTGCCATAGGAAATAGCGAAGCAGAGGTCGCCGTGGACAGTTGTCAGAATAATGGGGCAAAGGTACTCTTTAATGAGCAGACGAATTATGTACCTAGGCGAACGATTATCACGGTAAGTCTGGTGATTTTGATCTCGAGCCACCAGGGCAACAGATTCTGGATCTATGAAGTATGAAATGAAAGCTGAGTGCTGGTATTTATCAGATCTTTTTGGCATGCTCAACTGTCGATTTAGTTGCATTGATGGACCAGACGACACTGGCCTCTTGTCTGTACATCATCGGCAATGCGCTAGGAGCGAGCGACCAATCCTCCTGGATCTCAGGTGCATACTTTGTGTAAGCAAGCCATATCAATCGAAATCAAAAAGTCGAAGCTAATGAAGTAGAACATCAACATGTTTCCAGCTTCTATACGGCAAACTATCCGATATCTGGTCCCGAAAAGTCGTCCTATTCATCGGGCTCGCGATATTCTTCTTCGGATCCTTGGCTGCTTCACTGGCCCAGAATGTCACTCAATTGATCGTTTTTCGTGCCATCACAGGAATCGGAGGGGGTGGTTTGGTAACCCTCGGACAGATGATTGTGAGCGATGTGGTTCCACTCCGTGAAAGAGGGAAGTATCAAGGTATTCTGGGCGCAGTGGTAGCCATCGCCTACGCTATTGGTCCGGTAACGGGTGGTGCATTGGCATCTGCATCTCATGATTCCTGGAGATGGATCTTTCGGTTGAACCTTCCGTTGACCGTCATCTGTGCAGGCTGTGTTTACTTCTTCATGCCTCTTCGAGAGGTAGAGGGAAACTGGAAGGCCAAGATCAAGGCAATTGATTTCTTCGGTGCGTTTTTAGCACTTGGAGGAACTGCGCTTTTGATTCTTGGCTTGAACTGGGGCGGCGGCGAGTATGCTTGGAGTTCCGCTCATGTTGTCGCGTCGTTGGTTATTGGGTTCGTGGTCTCAGTTGCTTTTGTGCTATGGCAGTGGAAGGGAACTTCCGTGCCTTTGGTCCCATTACACATTTTTCGTACGAAACTTGTCAATGGTAGCTCACTGAGCATGTTCATCATGGGATGGAACTTTCTGGTTCAGATTTACTATATCCCCACCTTTTACCAACTGGTCTTCAACTACAGTACCTTGGGTGCAGGTGCAATGCTGCTCCCTATTACGGTGACACAATGTATCATGATGTACCCTTTTTAATCCTTCAGGTCAATTTGCTAATAATCTCCTAGCTGTATGCAGTACCCTCTCTGGACTCGTTGTCCACTGGATTGGTCGATACAGAGAATGCATATTATTTGGCTGGGCAATGTGGGCAGTAGGCCTTGGTCTCTTGTCAACACTCAATCAATCATCAGGACTCGGGAAACAGATTGGATATGGTATCTTGTCTGGTGTGGGTGTTGGGAATACCCTGCAACCGTGAGTGTTACAACCTTCCAAGGTTACTGGTCCCATCTGGATTTCTAACATAGACCAATGCAGGGCATTGATTGCAATCCAAGCTGGCGTTGAACGACATGATACGGCTTTTGTCACTGCATTTCGCAAGTATGGCTCCCTCTTAAAGATCACTGCACAACATTCTAATCTCAACAGCTTCGTTCGAAATCTCGGTGGTACATTCGGCCTTGCAATCGCTGGGACAATTATGTAAGGTTCCTTTTTCTGAATTGTCACCAACTTGAACTAACTGCTGCTTTTTGCTAGTAATAATATTGTATCGTCTTCTATATCGGTCCTCGGTCTCTCCGCATCAGAGTCACGATCTCTACTGGCAAGCCCTTCGACATTTTTATCACGCCAGTCTGACTGGGACGCGGCGCATATTCGAAGTGTCCTGATTCCGGCTTACCAAAAGGGCTTTCGAATTATCTTTCTCATTGGTGCATCGTTGTCCGCTTTGGCATTTATCCTTGCATTTTGTCTGATACCCCATGTTGAACTAAACAGAGCCGATGACGCCACACTAAAGGAAGAAGCAAAGAAAAGGGCAGAAAAAAAGTCAGACGAGGAAAAAGCAACTGAGTCTTTGGGTGCAAAGACTGAATGAGAGTGACTGTGCACATGTCATGTGGCTTTTGGACATATACGTGGATTGGCTGCAAGTGTTGACTAGTGGCGGTGATTTAGTGAATAATGGTGCCTATTAGTATCCGTGTACATCATATGCATCACAACTTGAAAGAGTTGGGAATAGATCTCCGAGTCTTTACTGCATATAGAAAATGAGATCGATCTATTCTGTACTTTATCATGTCATGTATCCATTATTGCTTGGTATAAGCAATTCTCCGATGACCTATCTATTCCCTTGCATATTGGTCTAACTTGAATCTGACAACCCCTGTGCTTAATTATCTGCAATACTCTCATTCGGACCAACCATCTCCTATATTATTCATTTGCCTGATTGGAAGTTTTAAGCACAGCCCTCGAAATATGCTTGTGCATATTAATGTTGTACGCCTAATCTCCCCTCCTTCAAGTTAGTGCCTTAGTGGGAGAGTTACACTGACAATCTTTACTTATTGACAGGGCAAATTCCCACACAAATTTCAACCAAAAAGAAACTTGAACAAAATAAGATGAAAAGTCTCAAAGTTCTCATCAGTGGCGCTGGATGCGCCGGTCCTGCGTTGGCGTTCTGGTTAGCTCGCGTTGGCCATCGTGTCACCGTCGTCGAGCGAAACACTTCCCTTCGCACATCAGGCGCCCAGATTGACATTCGTAACCAAGGCGTCGAGATCATCAAGCGCATGGATCTACTAGAGAAGATCCGTGAGAAACTCGTTTATGAAAAAGGAGCACAATTTATCAACTCAGCTGGGGAGGTAACGGTGACACTGGGAACAGGTAACCAAGCTGCGACATCTGAGTACGAGATCATGCGTGGAGACCTAGTCAACATTCTCTATAACGAGACAAAAGACCACGATAATGTCAAGTACATCTTCGGTGAAACTGTCGAGAGATATGACGAGAAGGATGATAAAGTCGTCGTTCAGTTCTCAGACGGCTCGCATGATTCTTTCGATCTACTTGTTGGCGCAGATGGTCAGGGATCGCATATTCGATCAACTATCCTCCCACCGGGAAGCAATGAATATCGTAAACTGGGCGTGTACATTGCTTACTGGTTCATTCCACATATCGAGACTGATACCAACTACTTCACTTTCTACTCATGTCCTGGTCGGCGGTCGATATTACGGAGATGGCATGAACACAGTGATACGCAGGTATACTGCGTTTTCAAAGACACCTGTAACCCTGACAAATTCGATGAGCTTATGAAAGCACCTGTTGAGACGCAGAAGAAGTTCTGGGTGGAGAAGTTCCATGATGCGGGATGGGAGACGAGTCGATTCCTTGCTGGTCTTGACAATACTACGAATTTCTATTGTCAGGAGATTGTGCAAGTGACTACTGATACATGGTCCCGAGGTCGAGTGGTTCTGCTTGGGGATGCTGCGCATTGTCCGTCTCCGATGACAGGCCTTGGGACTACGAGTAGTCTCATTGGGGCGTATGTTTTGGCTGGTGAACTTACGCAGAATTCTGATGATTTGCCCCTGGCGCTCAAGAGATACGATGAAACGCTAAGACCACTTGTCAATGAGGCTCAGGAGATTAGCTCATTCAATCTGAGGCTTATGTTTCCTCAGAGTCAGTGGGCTATCAATGCGAGGTTGGCCGCTTTGAGGTTTCTATGTTGGCTGGGCATCCCAAGTTTTCTTGAGCGATTTGCGAATGATACTTCCCCTTGGAAAATGCCTCATTATCCAGCGTTGGACAAAGATGAGAAGAGTTGAGGATTTTGGTCTGTATTTAAAGCCTGCATTGTCTTATTAGTTTCATTTATCATAGGCAAGATTGATCCCAATGTTAGTATTATGATTGATTTCAAGATCAGAGTTAGTCCGAGATAGTTGCTCTTGTAGACAGTATAGTAATAAATCAAGTAGTATCCAGACAATAGGGATTTCAGTATAGGAGAAGAGAATCATGTATTAAAGCAAGGAGACTATGTTACTGTCCACTGAGAGAAAGAAAAAAGAAAGAAAACAAAACAGGCCATGCGAGTCATGTCAGTCATAATATCATTCCAAACGCCCAATTCACAGTACAATGCACAAAAGAAATCCATTCCTCCAATACACGCCAGTCCAATTGAGAAGATCCTCTTGGGAGGAATGGGAAACTGTAGCCATTCTGATGCTCCCCACGAGTTTGCTCGCCAAAGACAAATGAAATATGCAGGAGAAACAGAGATTTCGTTCTACAGAATAGTAGACACATATATCAAGGATCCTCGATCACAATGATTCGTTCCACGACCCAGTCTACTAAAGCCTGGCCTTCTAATTTCCACCTCCCATCCACCCAAACATCACCAAACCAGTAAGCCCAGGGCTTACCAGAACTAAGCTGGAGGTCCCATAATGAGGTAGAAGTGTTGCGGGCAGCAGATGAGCCTTCCGTGCCAGCCGAAAGATCTTGATTGACATTTCGAAGACCCAAAGCCGAAGCCGAAGCATTGACAGTGGAATCATTTCCCTGTCGGATAAGCCATTCGCGCTCTGCTTTCTCTCCAGCACGACGTGCAACTACTTCCTCGTCTTCAGCTTGATAGAGATCACATTTTGTGCATTCACTACAGCGAGAGCCTGGGTTAATACGGAAGTGTTCACAGAAGTGTTTATAGCCTTCTGGTTCTTCGAATTCATCATCTTCGAACATTTCTTCTTCGGCTGCGCCGTCAACATCACCGGCGAGACCATCGTAGGCTTCTAAATCGAGTCCTCGTCTTCGTCGGGCACCGTGCCGATCTTCGGTTCGGATCGGGGTGCCAAGGGCTTTGCGACAGAGGTAACACATTGAGTATCCGCAGACACAGGTAAGCTTGTTGCAGCCAGAAGACTTGACGAATGACAGACCACAGCGAGGACAGGTCCGTTTCACTGCCGCTGTGCGAGCAGCTTCCACGGTTGCTCGTAGGTCTAGTAGTAATGGCTCATGACAGACATGAGGATCTCGCCATGCTTTTTGGCAGGTCATGCAGCTTACCCGTGCGCAGGCGGAGTTAGAGCATTTAAATCTTTTTGGTCGAATCTTGAGACAGAGATTGCGGATTGAGTTGTTGAATATTTCCGCTACAGCAGAAGGGTTGAGCAATAAGAGAATCAAGAAGGGTATCACAAGTACAGGAACTAGATCAAGGAGAAGAAGGGTCATAAAAATAGTGTGGGGAACGCCTCCATCACGACGAATTCGCCAGCCGATTCCCCGAGATGAAGGATGATAGACAGGATCGGCTTCAGCATAATTGCAGAAGGGGCACCGAATCAACTTCAGTTGCGATTTCAGCAGTGTTTCGGAGGCTAGTCGATCTTCGAATTTGCGGTACGTCTCAGCACCAGCTGTATCGAGTAGAATTGCCTGGCGCACAATTTGCGGGTGAAGACATCCCTCACAAGCACCAACAGATAGTGGTGCAATGCATTTCAGGGTTGAATGTTCCAAATCCACAGATTTGCCCCAGCCTTGGCCAAAAAGGGCTTCAGAGGTAGTCCGCTGGATACAATGATAGCATATTATATGAACATTATCCGAGCAAGTCGCAATTTGTTCAAAAGTCACATCAGCTAAGCAGCACTCACACTCATATATGGCATCGGCCGCTTTGGCTTCTTTCTCATTGATATCCAAGGCAAATTGAAAGTCTGTACTTTCTTGTTCCTCGCGCTTCTGTTGCCGAAGCGGAAGGACAAGTATCGCGTCTAATTCCTCGTCCAGCTCAGCGGAGCCAGTGACTTTGAGTTTTGGCACGATTTCTCCATCACTGCGGCGTTGCCACACCATAAGCGGATGCTCTTCTCGATCTTTCTTCTTTCGAAAAGATGGCAGGATACTATTGAATGTAGCCCGCCAGGTTCGCCGTGAGAGATCTCGTAATATTGGGCGCGCACGTAGATAGCTAAAGTTCACCTCAGCCAGAACACCTTCCACGGTGCTCTTGCTCAGACTACCAAATTCTTTAGCCAGTGTCGCCCGCACAGCAGCCTTGTACTCATCCGACCGGAATCGTTCTTCTGGAGGCACGAGACCACCGTCTGGTAAAGGATTATGAATACAGCCAGCTTGAGGTCCAGCAGAATCATCTGAGCCGTCCTCATCCGCACCATCATTCCCCTCGGGTATATTCCACCTTCCTGAAACCCATTCCTTCTTGTGACGGAGCAACTGCTCCACGCAGACGTGTAGCCTGCTATCTCCGTCAAAGCGTACAAGCAGTTCCCTGAACACCTCGATCTTCACATCGGGAAAGATACGAGCAAGAGCTTCAAGGGCCAAGTTCAGATCATCACGTTCTTGCCTCCGTTCCTTTGTTTCATCGATAGGTGTCTGGACCGGGCGGGATGAGCGCGAAGGGCTACCGAAGGGGTTGTTGCGTAGAGCTTCGCTCAGCGTAATAGATTGGTTATTCGATGTTGAAGTACCACCACCCAGAACAGCTGGTTTCCAGGTGTTTCGACTGGTTGAAGAGCCGGAAGCCGAGCCGCGATGACGGCGTGGTGCGGGCGCGGTGCCATCGGCGGGGCGTGGGGGAGAAGTGGAGGATTTGGAGAAGCCGGGGACCGACAACGAGAGCACCATTGTTGGGATAGAGAAGATGCTTCTACATCTCGGTCTGCCTGAGGGAAATCCTTTCGAGGGACGGAGGATGTTTAGGCCGGTTGGGATGGAATGCAGAGGGGATGCATGGGGGCGGTGACATAAGACGTTGACTTTAATGGTTGCCTTATCCAGTGCTCCGGTGATGTCTCAGTCACTCAGTCATGGATTGATACCTGGATTTATCTTCTTCCACAATTTTCAGCAATAGAGAATAAGCTGAAATATGAATGGTCTCGGCCTTGCTTTGTGTAACTGAGGCTCTGATTATATCTATTTTGCTTTGTCTGCATCGTCACTTCCGACCCCTTGCGCGCTGCATAAGTAAATACTTGCCGATTATGCATGCAATACGGAGTAAAGAGCTTGAAATTCCAATTTGAAGATACACTGGAGTGCAATAGTACTACCTATTATCTACAATTATCACTATGTAAGACTACATGAATCCAAGGTAAAGAGATATCATTATCATGAATCAAGAAAATATCATAGGCAGTAAACAAAGTCGAAATAAAAAGATGTATGTACAAACAAGCCCACATTCTGGCTGGAATATCCCAGCTTGCATGCTATGGTATATCGTGTCAACCGCAAATCCCTTCCAAGGTTCTATTTTACAGCTTAGCCTTAGCGCCCTCCAGGAGCTCGGCACCAGCGCCGGTGATGGCAGGCTTGCCAGTCTCGACAACGGTAGCCTGGAAAAGGACAGTGTTGCCCTCCTTCCACATCTCAGTGCGGAGAGTCTGGCCAGGCAGGACGACACCAGCGAAGCGAACCTTAAGGTTCTTGTAGGCGCCGTACTTGGCAAAGACAGACTTGGCAGCCACACCGAGCGAGCACAGACCGTGCAGAATGGGGGTCTTGAAGCCACCAACCTTGCTGAACTCGGGGTCAATGTGGAGCGGGTTGCGGTCGCCATTCAGGCGGTACAGAGCAGCCTGGTCCTCGGAGGTCTTCTCCTCGACCACGGCATCAGCCGGGCGCTGAGGAGGCTTGTAAGCCGCAGTAGCAGCCTTGGGGCGAACGGCAGTGGGCTTGGGAGAGCCACCGAAGCCGCCGCTGCCACGGATGAAGACAGTGGATTCGTTGTAGAACAGGTCCTCGCCAGTAACGGCATCCTTGGTGGTGAATCCAGACACAACTAGAGCAGCGTTGCCCTTGTCAACAACGTCGATAAGCTTGGGGTAGGTCAAAGTCTTGGCCGCAGTAGGGATGGGGTACTTGCGGACCTCCATGTATTGCTCACCGTGGAGCAGCATCATGGGGGAGAAGTTCTTGACAATGTCGTCGAAGCTCCAGGGGAGGCTGGTGTTAAACCAGGGAACCACACCGAAGGAGGGAAGGGCCTGGAATTGATCGTGGTTCTCGTAAACCAGAGGCAAGTCAGTGCGCTTGGCACCCAAGCTCAGGTTGTAAAGAATGACATCGCGATCCTCGAAGTCAAATCCACTGCCCTCAGTGGTGACAGCCTTGGCAGCTTCGATGTTCTTGAGGTATTCGTTCTCGGGGGCACCACCAGAACGGTTGTTCATGTTGGCCATCACACGAGCAGAGCCCTCCTGGGCATCCTCAGGGTGGTCTGAGCGGTCATCGTCAAAGTTGACAATCTTCTCCCAGTTGGCGAGCACAGCCTCGGGGGTGAGCTTGACATCCACGGGGAAACCGTGACCGCCAGATCGCTGCCAGCGGGTACGGCCGAACCAGCCGCTACCACACTCGTAGAGTCCCTTGGTGGAGGGCTCGGGGGTCGCATCAGAGCACAGCAGTGCAACCAGAGGAGCAACATAGTCAGGCTTGAAGGCCTGGACCATCTCCTCGGGCATGATGGTACGGGTCATAGCGGTACCAGCATTGGGGGCAATGGTGTTGACCTTGATGTTGTACTTTGCACCCTCGACAGCAAGAGCACGGGAGAGACCAAGAATGCCCAGCTTGGCCGCAGCGTAGTTGGCCTGGCCGAAGTTACCGTAGATACCGCTGGTACTGGCAGTGTTGACAACACGGCCATACTTCTGCTTGAGGAAGTAGGGCCAGGCAGCCTTGGTCACCTTGTAGGTTCCGCGAAGGTGGACATTGAGAACCGAGTTCCAGAGGTTATCATCCATGTTGGTGAAAGCCTTGTCACGCAGGATGCCGGCATTGTTAACGACGATATCAATGCGTCCAAAGGCATCGATAGCGGACTTGATGACAGCGTCACCGTCCTCGCAGTTGGCCTTGTTACCAACAGCCTCACCACCAGCCTTCTTGATCTCCTGAACCACAGGCTCAGGGTCCATCAGGTCGTTGACGACAACCTTAGCACCGTACTTGGCGAACAGCAAGCAGTAAGCGCGGCCGAGACCAGCACCACCACCAGTGACCAAGGCCACACGGCCCTTGAAGTCGGGCTCCTCACCCTTGGGAGCACTGGACAGCTTCAGACCATCCTCGAGGAGACCCATGAAATCAGCAGGGCCTGAGGGGTAGTCAGGCTTAGAGAAGTCATTGACATCGGCCCACTTGCGGGCGATAGCACCTGGAGTCAAGGACTCATCGGTCTTGAGCAGAGCGCCCTTGGCCCGCTCCCAGCGGAGCTTAGCAACCGCACCACCACCAAGCTCGTAGATACCACCGGTCTCGGTAGTGTTGGAAGAGTGAACCAGACGGGCCACAACGGGGACAACCCAGTCAGGCTTCAGGTTCTCCAACACATCAGGAGGCATCACGGTAGCAGTCATACGACTGGCAGCAATGGGAGCAATCACATTGGCAATAATATTATACTTGAGACCCTCCTTGGCCAGAGTTTCTGTGAAACCAACCTGGCCCAGCTTGGCGGCGGAGTAGTTGGCCTGGCCGAAGTTGCCGAACAGACCAGCTGCCGAGGCAGTGTTAATGACGCGACCGAACTTTTGTTTGCGGAAGTGAGGCCATGCGGCACGAGCACACTATCATCAAGCAAGAAAGATTAGTATGATTATTTCCATAGTCCCTCTCATCCGCCATAGTCATAGAATAATGGGGCCATACCTTGTAAGCACCGTATGTGTGTACCCGGGTAATCAAATCCCAGTCTTGGTCCTTCATGTTCTTGAAGCTGATATCCCGCAGGATACCAGCATTGTTGATGAGAATATCCACGCGTCCGAAGTTCTTAATAGCGGTATCGATGATGGCCTCGCCGTTCTCAACACTGTCGTAGTTGGCGACCGCCTTTCCGCCCGCGGCGCGGATCTCCTCAACGACAACATCTGCGGCCTGGGTTTGGTTAGCCGGCGTTGTCAACTCCAAGTCATGGGGCAAATAAACTCGATCATACCTTTGATGACTGTCCCTCACCCTTGTGAGAGCCACCGAGGTCATTCACGACAACGTTAGCACCTCTTGAGGCAAAGAAAAGCGCATATGCCTTTCCCAAACCACCACCGGCGCCGGTGACGACGACGGTCTGATTATCAAAGCGCAGCTCTGACATTATGAATAGTTTTATGATATACCGACTAGTTCAAGGTATGGGGGTCAGAACTAGAAGTTGGGGAAAGGAGAAAAATGTGGAGGGGGATGATGATGTTTAAAGCAGCCCCAAGCTCGGTACAAATGGACCTCGGCACGTTGAAGCTGTGTAATGTAACATACATTTTACCACGGGCAGATCACGGTCACTTCACATGCCGACATGAGATATTTCGATTATGACGAGGTGAGAAATCGAGAATCATGCTGAGATATTCTATACTAAATTATCACATCTAATCTGGCACTATTCCCAACCCCTGGAGGTGATTATTATTGATTTTGTCTTATGAATTTGTGTATTGATGCCGTACTCCATGTGACCAACAACGTCATAAGTTATTGTACACATGGATAAGAATGTACTGTGATTCGAGACTATATACTCTACTAGTAGAGAAATAATTCAAGTTACTATTGGTAGTCCATATAGACAAAAAGCATAATTTCTATCCAAACCATCATGATTCTATTGAGACTATCCTCTCTATAGAAGATTCCCCGCATGTAGAAACCCCGGATTCCTGCCGATCGGAGATGCCGCATATCCTAGCCGATAAAATGCAGACTTCCCCATTATACAAACCCCATCAGAATTAACAAGTCAAGAAGGCGATAGTAGACGATAGATCGCACCACTGCATCCAATTCCGCCTAGGCTGTCTCAAAACGCATGAAGCTCGGTATAGCGTCGGTAATGCCCCACCACTCCTCCTAGGTCTCAATGGAGTGCAAGGAGCCGGTAAGACAGTGCTAGTAAGTGCCTCGCAGACCTCGGGATAAACGGGTCGGAAGACCCTCCTTCCTCGGGATTCCATCACTAATCATCATATCAATTGCCATAGATGTCAATCCTGCAGTAGACTCTCAGCTCTGATCCACTTCGAGTTCTAATCCTCAATAACTTTGTCTTTGTATTTCAATCTCTATGTGGCTGTCCCTTGCTATGGTTGAACATTTATAAAAGAAACATCCCCGGAGGTGTGCCCAAAGACAAGTAAACTTCCATCGATTGCAGAACAGTGAGGCCGAAAATCAGGAGGAAGCCATAGTACATCTCTGCCATTAACGCTTATCCACTTTTTATTGTGAACAAAGATCGCTGTTGAGGCAGAGGTATGATTCTCCGACTCGGAGTCATGTCCAGATCGAACATCGAGGCTGCCCAGGTTTGTGATTATAAATGATCCGCAAACAGAAAACTCGAGTTTAGAAACAGTTCCATCAGTGTTGAAGGAATGTTGCAAGCTGCCTGTCACCGTGTCCCAGAGTCTTAAAGTGTCATCGGAAGAGGTAGACGCTAGTAGTCGGCCATTCGGCGAGAACGCTACCAACGTAATGGGGCTTGAATCGCCCTCGAGTGTCTGAAAGCTACCTGTAGCTATATCCCAGAGCCGTATAGTCTTATCATAAGAGCCTGAAGCTAGAAGCTGACCATGTGGCGAGAAGGCCACTGAATTGATGTGGTATGCATGGCCCTTGAGTGTCTGCTTTATATTGCCTGCAGCTATATCCCAAAGACTTATAGTCTTATCGTAAGAGCCAGAAGCTAATAGCTGGCCATCGGGAGAGAAGGCTATTGACTCGACACAGCTTGTATGGCCGTTCAGAGTTTGCTGTAGGTTGCCTGTCCGGACATCCCAGAGCCAGATTTTATTATCAGATGAGCATGATGCTAGTAGTTGACCATCTGGTGAGAAGGCTATTAAGCGAATCCGATCTGAATGACCCTCGAAAGTATGCTGTAGGCTACCTGTCGCTGTGTCCCATAGCCGGATGGTATTGTCGCAAGAGGCGGATGCCAACCGTTGACTGTTAGGTGAGAAGATCACTAAACGAATCCAATCTGAATGGCCCTTGAGAGTTTGCTGCAGGCTTCTCGTTGATATGTCCCAGAGTTGCACGGTATTGTCGTTAGGGCAGGCCGCTAGCTGTTGGCCATTAGGCGAGAAGACAACTGAGGTGACCCAACCCAGTTCTACCCGTTTATCGGGCAAAGTGGCTATGGATGCAACACAGCCTGACTGGTCCTTATGTGCCTGCTGTAGGCTCAAGCTGCTCACATCCCAGATTCGAAGCGTTTCGTCGTCAGAGCTGGATCCTAGCAGCCGACCATCAGGCGAGAACGCTACTGAGGTAACGTGGTCCAAATGACCCTTGAGAGTCTGCTGTAGGCTACCTGTTGCTGTGTCCCATAGCTTTATGGTTTTATCAAAGGATCCAGAGGCTAATAGCTGGCCGTTCGGTGAGAAGGCCACTGAGAAGACCCAGCCTAGATGACCCTTGAGCCGATGCTTTACATCACCCGTTGCTATATCCCAGATATGGATAATATTCTCATTAGAACCGCATGCGAGTAGCTGGCTATCGAATGAGAAAGCTAGTGAGGAGGCTACCCCAATAAGCCAGTCTAAAGAGAAAGAATTCAGTCCGCTTCCTGTCTCTGTATCCCAAAGTTCCACTGGATCTTGTTTCGAGCCAGACGCAAGTAGTTGGCCGTTAGGCGAGAAGGCTACTGACTCAACTCCATGCGTATGGCCCTCGATTGTCTGCTTTAGACGACCAGTCGCTGTATCCCAGAGCCGCACAGTATTATCACCAGAGCCAGACACCAGTAGTTGGCCATCTGGCGAGAAGGCTACTGAGGTAACATAGCTCGAATGACCCTTGAGAGTATACCGTATACTGCCTGTCGCTATATCCCAGAGTTGTATAGTGTGATCACTGGAGTCACACGCTAGTGACTGACCGTCCGGTGAGAAAGCTACTGATTGAACTCTGCTACAAGGACTCCAAGGAGGAATACCTTTGAGAGTCTGCTGTAGGCCCCCCCGTCGCAGTGTCCCAGATATGCACAGTATCACCTGTGGAGCCAGACGCTAGCAACTTGCCGTCGGGCGAGAAGGCTACCGAGGAAACAGACATCGAATTACTCTCGAGAGTCTGCATTTCTGGACCCCATTTTTCTTTGACTTGTTCGAACTGGCAGACCCAGCTAGGGAGCTCTGACTGGAACTCTTCACGGATCATTGTTGTTCGAGGTGCAAAAAGCAACCCGGCCCAATAAATTTGAAGAGGTGCTTGATCGGCAATTTGACGGTATTTAAGAACAAAGCATCTTATGTCGTATATGAAATCCGACACTGAAGAATTGCTACCATTGTCCTTGAGCAACATGTATTAGTGTAAATCGTAGGTACCTATCCAATGGATTTCTTACCAGTATCAAGGTATGGAGGACACCAAGCATACTCACAGCCTCCGATATCAGACCCAGCAAACACATGGCTTCCACCCAGTGCAGAAAATGCTCCCGGAGGAAGTTTAGGATATCCTCCACCTCAATAGGTAAAGACTGGCTTTGTTCCAGGTGAGATATCCAGTAGCGACAGGAGTGTCGTAATTCCGGTGGGAAATACTGGCGGATACGCTGAGGGTCGATCTCTGTCCTGCGCGTTCCGGGGCTTGGTAGATTACATATATTCTTCCGTAAATGGCTCTGCATAGTTTTAAGACAGAATTGAACCATGTCTCTATGCTTTGTGGGTTCATCCATATGAAAACTGAATTCATCCATTTCGTAGGACGCGGCGAAAACACCCTTGTTCCAAGTACCTAGAAGTTATGGTTCCAAGGTTGTGATTTTGAATGTCAAATTTGGCTCTGGAGTTAGTAGGTGGGGATTGGACTTTATATGGATATCAAGAAAAGTGACTCCGAGTCGGAGCCACTACTCACGGATCCACAGATGCCTTGCTAGCGTCTATCTTGCTCGTATGGGCAAAGCTCGCCAAGAACTCGGATCACGTGTCGCCACGTCCTTATTTACAGCCAGGAGAAGAATATGAAAGAAAAGTTATGGAACTTGGCAATTTTAGGCATTGACCGAAATGAGGTTGAACTTGGAAGATAGGTGTTGGGTACAACATTGGAATTGTGTTGACCACACGAGTTCCCATAATCTATTTCTGGCCGATTATCTTGAATGTATTCTCAAATCACTGAAGATCTAACGGCAAACGGGGGAGGGGGATCTCTCTTGAATGGCTCTTATAGGCCGCTTGCCGTCGGCCTAGTACACAAATACAGGACCAAAGATCCTTCAATGACGGGACAGGGGAAAGAGAGTAGGTTATACCTGGTTAGATGGGCAGTTTTCAACTTCTTCTGCTAGCTCATGGGAAATCAATGAAATCGCAGAGGTCTCTTGAGGGAAGTCTCTCGAAACTGTCAGTCCGTAAGGATCATGGGTGTCAATGGAGAGCTTGGAATTTCCGAGCTTGATGGAGATTGGCCCGCTTGATAAGTCAACCGGTCTAGAGAGTCGAGACCATCCTAGTAAGGTCGACGAGTGTAATGGCAATAATTCATTCAATAAAACACCGCAGCTCTCTCATCCACTGTCGTCAAGTAGGTTTTGAGGTGACCAGTATTCTCTTTCCAGTCCCTGTGCATCCAACCAGACAAGGCCATCGGCAAGGAGGTCATCAATGACTGTCTGTGCTCGTGCCTTTTCCCAATTGAGGTTGAGTCGAAGCATTGAAACGCTCACAAATCCTAGAACTTGGATCACCTCTAGAACAGTTGCTTGATCGGTGTTGAGCTCCTTAGGTATGGATCGAATGTACTGCTTAGCGCCGACATGAACTATGGAAAACCCAGACCCAAGGGGTTCCAAAGACCGAACAGCACGCAAAACATCATCTCTATTTTTTTCATATGTGTCAGTAACGTATTTCAAGCAGGATCAGTCCGAGTATCGGGTCTTCCATACGCCGAAACCTCTAATCCACTTCCAATAGCTTTGCCTTTGCGCACGCGCTTCCTACACTCTTCCACCCCGATCAGTCCTCCGTTCTCGCTTCTGGTTTCACGGCATAGCTCCACAACTCGAACGGCAACCTCGAAGTAAAAGTCATTCATATCACCGCCCATGATCTGTGTCCAAAAGCTGCCTCCTTCGCCTAGCCCTCTACGACCATTCTTGCCTTTGATGTTACTCGCGGCCAAGGGATCAACCCCAATGGTATTGCACATACGCGCGAACTCGGCCCGAAACGTGGGGTTTGATTTTATCGTGGAGCTATGCTCTAAGGCGAATGTGTGTAGCAAGGATTGGAAGACGGAGAGCTGGGTCTGGAGAGATGCCAGATGTGAAGAACGTAGATTTGCTCCATGAGTAGCGTAGGATTGCGTGGCCTGATTGCGGTTAGCGAAGGCACCGAGGCCAACTCCCCGACGTGACATGATGATTTATAGAGGTGAAGGTTCGTCTGATAATGGGTCAATGTTTAGATTGAGGGGAAGACAAGTTACCCACCTAGGCAGAGCGAAGTGGAGCCGCGGGGATGAGGTCATCTGACGATAGGTGCAGCCCTAGTCACGAGGTGATAAGGGTATGATATTCTGTAAAGGGTATAGCGTATGGAAAAAATTGATATTGGCCTAATATGGTTAGCGCGGACCCAGCACCCACATAAGCGAGTTCTACTTTTCTCCTCGAACTTTTCCTTTCTGTTTTGAACTTTGCACGACAACCTTCGACCAGCCAACTCGGACCTTCGCAATGGCCGCTACCACCACGTATGCTTCCCCTTGATTCCCTATCTGACTGATGCAATCCTTCGGGATTGTGAGGTTGCAGGTATAGTCGTCCTTCTCGCTGGAGATGCTATCGACCATCGTCAAATTTGACATTGGTCGCTAAGCACCAGCTCGATCCTTCCCTTGCCCTCCTATACGATCCCGTGAGGAATATGCGTTCTGCCTGTTCAGCATGGCTTGTTGATGGAGGGCAACTGGAGTTTTGAGGTTGAAAGCCACTGTGCCTTCTCCTCCAAAATTATTGTTGTACAGCTATCGTTATAACCATTGTGGTCGATGCCGAAATGCACTCAACTCATTGGGACGAAGAGCGGCAACACATATTTCCTGAACATCTGTTTGGGGTGTTGTCGGATGAGGAGAATGATGGTATTTTTTCGGGTGGTCAAGAAAAATTTTCACCTTCGCGAACAGTGCGCTGGAATATGCCACAGTACCAAGGAAAGACCAAGAGTCCCAAATATTATCATCCTCACCGATTAAAAAAATTTCGTCGAGTTTCTATAATAATCATTATTATTTATCATTGCCTTCAGTCGAGAATGTGGCGCTATATGCTGCAGTTCTTACACTCGGCGGATTGTCTCATGTTTTCATGATTCATTCGGACAGACTATACTCACACCTCCACAGCTCTATCCCCACCAAGGACCAGGTCCTCGTCCCCGAGACCCTCCTCAAGAAGCGCAAGTCCCAGGAGGCTGCCCGCGCTGAGCGCCGTGCTGAGGCCGAGGAGAAGAAGAAGGTCAGTTTACCTTGTCTATCATTCAGTTTCCTACACACACCCCTCCCCTTCCACCATCAACCATTATGATGATAACACCAACTTCGCGACTAGACCAAAAGGTCGATGTTGTCGCATGTTAACCATCTTTCGGGTCTGACACATTGTTTGATGCTACATTTACTTGATTAATCACCCAATGCATCATTGAATCTCTTACTGACTTGAGATTTATCCAGGCCAACAAGGAGAAGCGTGGCGTTATCTTCAAGCGCGCTGAGTCCTACGTCCGCGAGTACCGTGATGCCGAGCGCGAGAAGGTCCGCCTTGCCCGTGCTGCCCGTGCTGAGGGTAACTACTACGTTCAGGATGAGCCCAAGCTGGTCTTTGTTGTCCGTATCAAGGGTATCAACAAGATCGCTCCTAAGCCCCGCAAGATCCTCCAACTGCTGCGTCTGATCCAGATCAACAGCGGTACCTTCATCCGCCTGACCAAGGCTACCCAGGAGATGTTGACCATTGTCAACCCCTACATTGCCTACGGTTACCCCAACCTCAAGTCCGTCCGTGAGCTTCTGTACAAGCGCGGTTACGGAAAGGTTGACAAGCAGCGTGTTCCCCTCACTGACAACCAGATGATTGAGGAGAACCTTGGCAAGTACGGCATTGTCTGTATGGAGGATCTGATCCACGAGATCTACACCGTTGGCCCCAACTTCAAGCAGGCCAACAACTTCCTGTGGCCCTTCAAGCTGTCCAACCCCAACGGTGGTTTCCGCACCCGCAAGTTCAAGCACTACATCCAGGGTGGTGACACCGGTAACCGTGAGGACAACATCAACGGCCTCATCCGCCAGATGAACTAGATTGTTTCCTCTCGGAAACCGGGTGGTTCATGAGGTTTTTTTTTCTCAAAATAAAATTCTTTTTCACGACTTTACTTGTCACGGGTTGTTTTGTTAGCACACTGGCTGTGTTTTATTTGATCAATTAGCGAATACGGTCTAGGATCTCCGTCAATTTAATGCTTCAGACAACCCAATGCCACCGTTCAGGTCTCGTAATTCTGTAATTCTTGTAGCAGATGTAACTGTACCCAGATTTGCTCACAGGTGGGATTCCTTAGAGAATTGGAACCCAGACAAGTAAGTATGCTATTCTGGATGCCCACCTGGGCAGTCACAGCTAGTGAAGCTACTTCAGGTGCTACAGTATCAGCATGAAAATCTCAGGCAGATCGGAGAAGGACCTAACATCAAAATCAATTTTTTCCAAAAAATTTCATGATTCAAAAGGGGAAAAAAAATATATCAAATTCGACGCCTGAGAGATTCGAACTCTCGCTCCCGAAGGAATACAGTTAGCAGCCATACGCGTTAGACCACTCCGCCAAAGCGCCTTTGATGCCTACTTTCCTCATAGTTTGCTATATGTACTGAGATAAAGAATATCGAGATTGATCCATGTTTTGAGGGCTTTCAGCCTCCATAGGTCAATTCTCCCACTTTATTGAATTTCTCTCTTTTACAGTCATTCTCGAAATTGGCTTGACCAATACACACTTGATAACTTTGTTCTGGACCCACTGCCAAGGTCTTAGCGCGAGTAAATTATTGAGCGAGTCATCTTAAACTAAGGGTCGTTGTACTGTAAAATACATCTTGTCTGGCTTGTTTCATCTTCGCGTAATATTGCCTGCTGGGTAACTATTTGCGACTAGTCTGGGCCCCGCTAAACTTGGACCGAAATTTTGTCATTTGTTTCCGCCACCTAAGCATCCATGGCTTCCCCTTTCTTTGGGTCAGTCGAAAAGAACTGACCATGTTTACTCCCACGATGTCTATCTGGCTATTCAGGTAATTCCGATTCTTCCTTTGTACCGATCCACCCACAAGTCTCTATCTTACAATCATACTGATCTCTCAGCATTCTGATGGCTCTTAATATCGTATCTTACATTTCTCAGCTTTACAACCTAAGAGGGAAAAAATACAAAACCAAAAATCCTCTCTTTTACCTCGCCTTCAATATCCTCAGCTCGGTGGAGCAGACGAATCTATGTCGTCGGTTTTCCTGGGATGTAGCAAATAAATCCCAATCATACGGAGACCGTTTTGCTCTAAGGTCTCGTCAATGGACGACTCTATCCCAAATGGCGGCGGTCTGGATGATATTTTCATTTGTACAGTAAGCGACCTACCAAACATTTCTGTCATTCCAGCTCAGCACTAGAAACCTGAATCTATCACTAATGGCCAAGTTGAGCAGATTTTTGACAAGTGTCTCCTTTAGCTCCCGATCATATAGGCGAAAAACTTCATTGATATCTCTCTGTGGGCTATACGGGTTGTTTGTACTAATCCCTCTCATGTGTGGTAATTTTCGCCAGACATTGGCTGAGGTTTTTACCGCTGATTTTCCCCACCTGCTGCTCTACATCAATCCGGCATTAATTTATGTGGGTTTTTATGCACTTTCAAAGGGAATCCTTCCGATGAGGCCAGATTCTACGTCCCCTTTGAGCATCGCAGGGCTCGCAAGCCAGGCTACGGTACACGGTATTCTGACTATGTCCTGGGCTCTGATGGTCCGACCACGGTTGAATCATTTGACTTTCGTGTGGCCTGCTTTGATTATGTCGTATAATTTTTTTTTGGTGGCCTCTGGTGGACAATGCAATCTTTGCCGTATTCCAGGGGAGGTTGCTTTGGATTGCTTTAAGAGGAGATAAGATTATCTCCAGTGAAGATCAACATAAAGGTCAGAATGACGTTGAAGATGCGCTTTTACTAATGACGGTATGAGATTTTCTACCGCTCAATCGGGGATTCAGGAATGAGCCCATAGGACATTGTATTGACAAAGTATAGAGTTACTACGATTTATTGCTTTGATCAATAACACCACGCATCTTATTCTGCTCATTCCCAATGTTCATCAAGTTCAATTATCCCCGCCTAATCTAAAGAGTATCATGCTGTTAAACATGCAATTACGACAGTATTAAGATAGATAACACTCCCTTATTCTATGCTTCGCTTTAAGGCTGCTCTAGTCAGGAAGTACTTTTTGTATCTAGTAGGTCTATTGATTGAAATGAAGGCAGTGGTGCATACAGTACAAACTTATACGTGTTGATCAACAATATTGCATTGCACACTGTCTATTATAATTGATTTAGCGTTTGATTAATTAGGCCGTATGTAATGTCAACACACCTATTCGCGACCCTCGTTCCGTATGATTTACAGAATCTCCACTTCAGGTTTCCATGAGATTTAACTGGATTCTCGCAAAGATCCTGTAATATTATGTAGTATCTTACGGTACTATACAAGGGGCATATTACTGTGTCCCTCAATTCAATGCAGCCAGCTCAAGTTTTGATCCGCGCTAAGGCCTTGAGGATGGGATGCAAACAATAGACATCAAGAGTGTATTGGTGAAGCCTATTTCGAGAAAGACTGTATGTGGAGATCACTTAGTGAAACTCACCTGACATAGAAAGAATATAACTTATGAAGCACTTTTAATGATATTTCTCTGAGCAAGCAGTCAAAATGTAATGGCTAACTGCGTTAAATCGCTGACTTTACGGTCAGATGTGACATGAAATATGAAATATATGTGATGCGGACGAAAATATATCAGAACGGTCTGGACTCAGCCACACAACTTACCACTAACCAAAATCAATCGGACGAAGGTGAGTCAAGACTCAGCGCGTGGTGCTGCAGCAACACTCGAACCCGGATCGAGCCGTGCCGTTGATATGATTATCCCCATAATAGGTTTCCAGGGACTTCCATTGGGGTCTCGTCCGCAGTAGGTAATTTACATACCAAAATACAGTACCATACTGGGTGCCTTTTTCAACGTCTATCAATTTGATGCGGCCCGCTAAATAAATGATCTGCGCTAAGGCCTTGGCGGTGGGGCCAGAAGAGAGTGACAAAGAGGGTATCTGTCAAGCCGATTTCGAGAACGACTGTATGTTTATTATGACACTATTAAGTTTATTTAAATGATCGCTAATATTTACACCGTTTTTGAACAGCATGCATCCGAGTCCCGAGGTCTATTGATGCACATGTGGATGTTGCAATATTCAAACTTGAAACTGTGTTGATTGCTAATATAAATTGTCGGAAAGCCCGGGCAGCAAACACGCAAATCAAGTATTTAGTAGGAAAGCTCCAGATCATCAGGATGTCTACCGGGATTTTCATATACGCTACACAGTACCTCATCTCCGTGATTTATCAATATTTCCAAGGTTTACATCACCCACCACCTCACGTGCTGCCAGTTGGCACCTGGGCACTGGCAGGCTTTTGAATATACTAACTATCCTCATGCATGAAGGAACTTCAAGTTGAAGCCTTCAAGTTGTACTATCATTCCAACTTAAAGGTTCTACTAGTATATTCTTTTGAACCTTGAAGGCTACTATGAACCAACTACTTTCTGCAGCAGATCTACATTGTGATGACTTAATGCGACATCTCCCTGATTTCGATGCACGGAGAACAACCAACGGAACACATGAATCACTTGCAACCCTGGAAGAAGAGTGAGGTACATCCCGAGGTCACCTGGGCACCATATATTGTCATGCAAAGGAGACGAAGGTCTTGATGAAACTTCCAAGGTTCTAAGGTTCCAAGGCTAGTGTGCCATGTCAGCGTGTTATCTCACCCTTCTTGAGAGTATGTTTAATAGTGAGTGGCTTCATCTTCACCTGCCCTGAGAAAGAATTTCAAAATTTCTAATCCGTGTTTTGTTGTCTAGATTGAATATCTGCCTGTCACATATTGGTAAGACGAGGTCAATCACTCACCCATCGGGCTTTATCATTAAACAGGAGCGCAGGGAAGACGTGGAATCTACTGTTGGAAATGTTTCATGGAAGACGTGTGGTATCAGCCTTGCGGAGCTGCTTGTGTGGTACTTTGGCACTTCTCGCGATAAGCGAAAGCCGTTCAAGATGAAATTGTCGACCGAGGGAGTACTCAAATCCCCAACTTCTTTAGCTGGCTGCTGGACGATGAGATTACCCTATTAGTCACCGAAGAGTTCAGAATGTACGACTGGCACGGGCTGCCGACTACGGCCCAACCCCAGCTTGGCTGGAGTCACACATAGTCTAATCCAGCAGGTGATCCGACAGGACACTGCGTACTACGCCCTGTATGTCATCCGGGGTCTTCCCACGAGCTATTTTCAGAACCTGGGTCATAGGACAACCACAGACAAGCGAACAGTCAAACCGTGAAAAAGATGAACGTTTCGATGATTTCGACTTTCTTCCACTCAAATTCGATATCTCGAAACCTGAATTCTCGAAAAAGCGAAATACGGGCATGTCATTCAAATGTTCTCTCTGCCCTCACAAGTGGAATAAGGTTTCTAACATATGCAGATGATAAAACTGTACAACAACAAACTGGAAGCCAAGCTCGTATACTAAGCGAAAGCGATCAGTATATGACCGATGAAGAAATTCATCCTCACTTCTATTAGAGGGTGAAGTTTACAATCGAGAAAGTAAAGGCGAAACCTGGCAATGCTCCCATATGGAAATTCATCCTGTGTGAAATGCCAACGGATCTCATTATGCATTTTATGAGTGTCGGTACCCTGAAACCCGTCAACAGAAATCTTAAGGAAGAACAGAGACAGAAAAGGATGCGGGTACTATCAAGCACAAGGAAGATAATTGTCGAAGGAATAACTTGAAAAGGTTGGCTTATGAGAAGGCCACAAAAGAAGAAAAGGCGGATAAAGCAGAGACACTCGCCAAACAGCCCACTACCAGGAATATTCAGAGGAAGAGACGAACATGAATGCGGAGATCGAAAAGAATGATCACACAAACCGACAAAGGAAGCAAGCTCTCAAAATCGCAAAAAGGATGAATAAGCTTAAGTCGCGACATAACATAGCGTCTACTACCCCAAAGGCCTACTCGAAATCCAAGAAGGCAAGAAATTGAAAGTTGCCTAAGTCATCAACAAAAATGGGAAAATGGGAAACATACCAAAGAGCCTCAGCCACTTCAATTTTGAGGAAGCTCTTTCTCTTTCCTTGGATAAGAGAATGGGTCTGGAAGTTCTCTCCTCATCCCTTAGCAGGCATCGGTGATATTGCAACAGCTTTTAAAGTTTGCACTCAAATTGGGAGAAAATTGAATCCTGCGGGTCATTCGTGTGTCTATCTACTCAATCCTTTGAGACTTGACAACGGAACTTTGAAAATACACCTGGGCAAGATATGTGTTTTTCAAGGAAGCTTATAATCCAACTGCGTACCATATTAGGATGCAGTGGCTATGTGAGGAAAACGACAACGATAACTTGAAGCGACACCGAGCGGTTGATGTCAAATGAAAGAAAGTGTTCCATCTAGTCGACAAAACATGGCTTCATGAATATGGCAGCAGGAGTCCTTTTGAATGGTCGAACTATGTCAAGACAATCTTGGAATATACAAAATCAACGATAAGCTGGCCAAAACGCAGCTTATGCCCCTAAGATGAGCTGTCCCGCTATGCCCTGGTTAGCTTAGATGGAATATTCCTGACATTTGCCTACTCCTGCGTTACGAGAAGCCTAGGTATAAAGTTGAAGATTGTGTTTGTATGGGGATCGGCGGGCACGCGGTTGTCCAAGATGATAGATCGTACGGTGTCGCTTGCGAAAAGGTAGGAATGCAGACTCGCTGCTTACCAGTTGTATCGATCTGGTCGGCCAAATCAACTCGTTCAGCCCTGTCAACCTGGCCATATATGTCAACCTGTTTGGCCATATCCAATCTGATAGACGGTACTGAATCTTATTCGGTCCCAGTACCGTACATCAGACCACCTTGGAAGTCTCTTATTGATCAAGCTTCAAATGCTCTCTATTACTGGTGCCCATCCAATGTTTAAATTTTAAAGAATACTCCAGGCAGCATGCTCAGAGACGGACATATGTGCAGGCTAGCTCAGCAAGGTCAAGGTCACATTACCACAAATACGTTGAAATATGAAAAATCGTACTATCAAGATAATCTCAAGTGCTAGCAGTTGCCTGAATATCCAGACTCCAGTACCTAGAATTATCAGGTATTTTTTCTGGCAAGTAGTGTCACAGGAGGCCAGTAAAGCTGACTGCCTTCGGGCTTGCAACTATCTTTTTGCAAGGTCTCAAGAGCGTCCATCCATTCCTTTGTGCTGGGTACAGAAGGGTCAACCTGCTTCAACTTATCCAGAATGGCGCCACTGTTCTCCAAAGCAATCAAGAATGTATTCATACACAGCGGAATATTCTGGGGCAACCACAGTTTCTTCTGGAAGTCGACTACTTCCAGATTAGCATCCGCACGGTTCACGCGCTGATCAAGCTCTTCCAGCCACCTGGAATAAAAGTCAGCCATATTTTCAGTTTTTATGACAATTCATCGTGCTTAAGGTGAACTTGATGTCAGCTGTAAACATACTGGAAGTTGATCTTTGCAGCATTGCCCATTTGGCTCATCATCTGTCGAAGCAGGGCTGCAGAGTCGCCTTTCACTATGCTGCTCTCAAATCGGGCATCCTCCCACTGAAGATAGCCTCCAGGCTCTGGAGTTGGTTGTCAAATTAGCTCATCCAGGACTTGGTTCCTTTATACGAGGGAAGACTTACTGAGCATTTTGGCGGCATTCTGGATCAACGGGCTAGGATCGTCACCGCGGACAACAAACGCCCACATGCGTAGATGAATCACATCAAATTGGCCTACCAGCTCAGAGGGAACATCTTGCAATGAATTCAGCAAGGCAAATTTGGCATTCGACGGCCAGAACTCCGGGCTGGGAAAGTGGGTTCCGGCAATATCAAATGCTGTTACCCGCAACGAGGGAAACTGATTCGCTACTTCGAGAGCCCAGAGTCTGTGAAAATAGGTATGAGCATCGATTGATATTGAAAGTCAACCTAATCTGAGGTGCTGGTTTATACTTACCCTGTGCCTGCTCCAATATCCGCAATTACCATGCCATCTGTGGTGGGTATTTCTGGATGAAGGAGATGCTTCAAATGCAGCTGCCACAATAGATGCCGGGATCCAAGTCTATAAGTGTTATTAATCCGGTGTACCTTTAGCTGTGCAGTGAGGCTCAATATCCATATCCATACCGGATGGCTTCAATTTGATCGCGCTTCAGTAAATAGGTGGATGAGGGGGTAGCCATGCTTGAGAGGACTCCAGGAACTGGAAGTCGACCTTTGCGTTAGAATAAAAGGATATCTGGTTAGGTTAATCCCTATTAATTATGCATCGTTAATTTCACTTGTTTATGTATTTTGAGTGGAAAAGAGGGGCAATTTTATGAAATCTACTTCTCAGCTAGTCTTGCGCGCGCATGTGGAATGCGTTACGTGTATGCCTATGGGATTTGGGGGACATGTTGTCATTTCATGTTGGGGCATTTCAAGTTCACGACTCTGCAACCAACCTTGGAATGGCCATAAGAGATTTATGGTTCTTTCAAATACCTCAAGTGCCTCGATAAATATGAAATACATTGCCTGGGTGCTTGCAGCCGAAGTTTAGGCTCATTAAAGTCTTAACACTCGTAGTGCATCATCTTCTTGAGAAAATCCCTCCATCAGCGGATTGGCAGACGAGGGTCGCGTATGGACCCACTACTGCGACTTTCAATCTTGGAAGTGTCCAAAAGTACAAGAATGCACATGTGTCATTCAATGTTTCTTAAACATCTGACAAAGCAAGCCAGACGGGCCGAGTCGTGATACTGATGGTGAGATAGATGGTTCCGAGGTTGTCTGGGCTTAGATCTTATGCAGTCTGGATACAAACGTACAATCCTGGACAATTTTGAATCAATTTCAAATTATTTGTTTAGCTTGAAACCTTCTGGGAAGATCATTTATTTGTTTGCCCAGGTGTTAAAACGGGCATCAAACGGGACTCCACATCATTGTCCAGGGCTCTGGATCTTCAAGTTGTCTTCTTTCAGACACTAAAAGAGTCATCATATTCACCCGTTGAATATTGGGTTTCTTCTACGTATCACCGTCCTTATTCAAGTGTTTTTGAATATGATCTCTTATATAATTAACGGCCTTTTATAGCGCACGGAATTCTCATATATTCTTCCAGTGTTGCCCATCAGCAAAGTCTCTTCCAAGGTTCTGAACGATGCTTCAACTTGAAGTTATATCTCTAGAGATACTACTTTGTCCCTCACTGACCGAGGTATACATCTCCTAACCTTGGAATGAGATATTTGAATACTGTTCATTCATGGGGAAGTCTTCAAATCTTTCAAGCCCTGGAGGTTCGACACCTCCAATTCCATCAACCTCTCTCAAACTATTTGACCTACTCTGAAGTCCTCTTCCAAGGCTCTCTCTTCAACATACTAGTAATGATTCCCAAAATCACTTTCTACGCGTGACTCTCTCAGGCTCTTCTCCCCTGTTATCTCGCTCCTCTTTTCCCACATCTCAATCAATTCACCTTCGCCAGGGTTCGTTCTAGACCTAATAAGGCAGTTAAGGCACCAAATCTTGATCCATTCACCTTCTCCTACTCCTGCAATTCAGTACCACCTATATATATGCTCTGCAACCCCGCCTTCCCTAAAAAATTACATAGCTTTTCGACCCTGCTGGCTGTGGACTGCCTCTCACTGCTGAATCATGATGTTACTGTGGAGCTCCATTATTTACTACTAGGCTAAGGACACCATTCCACCCCTCTAGCTTATACTTGGACTTAGATCTGCCTTTGAAAAATTTCCGGTTACCACTGAGCTTGAGTCTGTCATAAAGAAAAAATCTCCGGTCCACACTACGCATTCTGAAATCTATCCACAATACACTGCGTGGAAGTAAAACATTGAAAGGAGCAACGAGTGATTCGAAAGAGCGAATCCTGCGAGTCTTTTGTAAGTTTTCCTAGAGTTTTCTTCACTTACCCCTACCATGTTAAGAGCACTTGAGCTTGATCTAATGATACCAATGAATATAGTGGCTTTGTGAAGGACTGTCCCGAGGTCCGAATAAGACATTTGCCATCACACTTGAACAATTTCCTTCGTCCAAAAATCCGCAAAATTCGCTGAAAATAGAGCTACCAGCAAGGAGCCATACCAACAAATCTTGGATATCTTTGAGCTTAGATCGTCACTGCCATGTGCGCTCCAGTTCAGGCTCTGATATCGTTTGCAAGACTACGATTAACTTCTCCGAGCAGAACGGAGATGATCACAAGAAAGATGTTCGACTGCCCACATATTGTCCACTGCTTTGAGCGCACTATGTCACAGCAAAATCCCAAGAATCAGCCTGCAGACTATAACTGGAGAGCAGATCACTACTTACACACTTTTTTGTAAGATAAAAAGGAGTTCGAAATATTATATTTTGAACTTATGGAGCAGACTTGCCAGGCTGTTGATAAGCAAAGGATAAAGTAAAGGAAATGGCGAGCTGCCTAATGGATACGGCTTATATGAATGTGGTATACTCCCAGAACAATCAGCGGCCATTATTCCTTCAAGACTCCAAGTTCACAGCTAGGCCAGCGAGCTGCTTCACAGAAGGTTGCAAGCATGTGGGCTTAATTCGATATGGAGATATTCTCATCTCCACCTCACCAAGCTCAGAGCCCTGATAGCGCAGTTATCTCACATGAGTCGCAACCCGGCCTTCGAAATCTTGACCCATGTGCAGCGAGAAAATCTAGCTTTGCCGGTGGAATCAACAGGGGAGAATAACTGGAAGGATCCTGACCTAGAGTCTTCCTTGGTCAAATTGAGCCTTCCAGTCAACAATGACACTTCATTGATGAATTGAAGGCACTCCGTGAGATCACTAACATCGAGTTGAAAAGCCCATAGTCCATACACGAAATACTTGTTGTATTGAAGGTATTCATTCAGTGCTAAGCTCGGATACCTTTTCGCTATAAGACCGAATTCCATATACCTGGAACACAAGCTGGCTCAAATCTTGTATGGTAATACAAGCAGTCAATCACCAGGTCTATGAGCTCGAGCTATGCGTAGGATCATTTAACGAGCTTTGGCTAATCACAGCTCAGAATATGGAAAAATCATCAAGTCCAAGGCTGGAAGAAATATACTCGGTAAGATTCAGAATTGGAGAACACACCACCAACAAAGAAAACAAATTCAAATCCCTAGCAAATTCTAGCTTTATGAGGATGGTAACTAGATTAATCTAGTTCTGATGAGTCAGAAACTCGGAATGAGAATGAGCCTGAGCCTGAAATCCCGGATTCACGGCCGTCAATATACCAGACCCGACACCAGGTGAAGAGGGTACAATGAAGAAAATTGGCACAAAACCATGCTATGCAAAAAACACATCCAAGTTTCAGATCGTGGAAACCTGTGAAGCCGTTCTGCTCAGAGGAGTTAATCGGAGTCTTGCAAACGATATCAGAGCCTGAACTGGAGCGCACATGGCAGCCACGATCTATACTAGTGGCTACTGGACACCGGTTATGGCAACCATTTTTGCACCAGCACAGAATGGATTCTCGACTATGTCCACGAGTTGAGTTCAAGAAAATGAAATATGAGTGGGAAACTTCAATAGTAACATTTGAAGAGCGGCGATTCCTTGCGGTAGAAAATATACTGGACGTGTCTACAAAGCTACCAACTTGCCTAGTTGTTAAGGACAAGATTTGTGAGATATGCGGCCAGAATTTCCATGGAATCAGGGCTAAAATTGGCCATTATAGTCTTCGCCCACTGTGAGATGGATGTTTACCGATGCGTACAAACCTCATGAGACCCTTATACCCTTCTTGAGGCAATAGAAACACCAGTGGATGAGTGTTGACACCTTGAAACGCGTGAAAGAAATTCTAAATCAAGCATTTTTATTACGTGCAGATAACTTAGTCGGTTAAATATCGTTGCCCCAGCTCAATAAATGAGCCTCATCTTGGAAGTCAATCGTGATGGTCAGGGGTGCACGTCTATGTATGTCTATTTCAGACTTTCCTCGCCATTATTGAAGAAATGAAGAAGAGACGCGTCCATATTGGTACTTGTGGACTGACAAAGTCTTAAAACAGTCTGATCTTCTATCACCGTCGTGGGCTATTCATTTCACTTCACTCACTTTTTTTTCTCTCTCGTTATTTCCTTATTCAGTTTCCTTCCTTCACATCTTTGACTTCCAAGTCCTCAGATGCTTTTACGAATCTGATAACACTCTCTCACATCCGGAAACAATTTCTCCTCCTCCTCCAACTCACAGCTACGCAAGAAGGAGTCAAGCAAGTCATTTGTACGTCTCTTTTTTCAAAGAATTTTACGTCTCGAAACAGTCCATCTGACTATAGAACCCTGAAAACAGTGGATTTGCGAAGACTTACACAAAAAGGAGCCCCACAGGGTATCTACTCGCTCTTTCATCGAAAACATAGCAAAGATTGTGGACAAGATGTCCTTCAATGAACATGGCGACTGGTCAGCTGGTGACCGAGCCAACTACCCGAAGGAAATCTACAATGTCCATGATGAGCTTCCGGACACCAAGTGGCCGGTGGTTTACCGTGAATTCCCCATATTCCACCCTAATTATCCTAGGTGGGATATGCCCGAGCGACGTCAAGGCCCTGGTCTAGCACGGGTCCAAGTACCATGGAGGCATCCCGAGAAGTGCGTGGTCTCGTATCACAGCCCATGTGGTGAGAACAGTAACGACAACTACCACAATGTCGTCATGGCAAAGTATTGGTCGAAAAGGGAGCACGACAAAGATGAGTTCAAGGTCTTGTTTGAGGAAAACAGACATGAGGCCGTCCTTGCTCACGAGAGAGCTCGAAGGAGAAAGGCTCGAATGGAAAAGGCTCGATGGAAAGAAGCTAAAGGAGCAGAGCTCGAGTAAGAGCTCGAAGAAGGAGAGCTCGAGGGTGATGAGCACGAAGGGTAGTGTCAAGGTGAATCACAGCATTGAAAGATACCATGTCACGGGTATCGTCCTCTCCTTCGCCCTCCTCCTCCATGGTCCCCTCCCGTCATCCCCATACTCATCGACTGCACTCCGCGCACCTAACTTCTCAACGGTGATCTTTCTCCATTTTCGAGTTGGCCGGCAGCAATAGTCTAGTACGAATGTCTATTCATGTGCAGCTCCTGGGACACCCAATTTTTTACCCTAGTGGACTTGCGCATCCATCGCCTTTGTCGTCAAGCCAAGACACGTCGTCCGCCAATTCCACCATACAAATTCAAGTGATGCGAACTTCGCTATCGAAGCTGCAAATGGGTCCGAACGCTACGACATCATGGGAAATCCACATGGTCCCTCGTTCAAGTTGTTGATAACCAACCAGAAAAGGGATCCAAGGAATTTCTTTCTGTCATAGCCAGTTATAGAGCCCACCTAGAGACTAACGGGCTTGCTATTTCCTTCTGGAAATTCCCAGACATAGTCTCAAATAGCTTTTTTAATGCTATTCAATGCTTGATACTATCAACCACATCAATCACTGTACCCTTCTAGTTACTGGATGTCCCTCATCACTTGGCCCGCACTAAAAACTGTAGGTGGTTGCAGCTTATAAACTTGACGGTGCTGTATTTTCCAGTGTATTTGTTCACTAATTCCAATGTTATTGTCCTTGGATAGAGGAAGTATATGGTCCAAAACCAAAATGCTTGGGCCTAACTTGGAGAACACACAGTGGATGGCAGAACATTCCAATGTTTGAAGCAGTGAGGCCGGTTCTGAAAATATCAAATGTGTCAGTCAGCTGGATTGCTCCCGGGGCGTCTATGAAATTCAAGTGAGCAGCGATTGATATGAATATTGGTAGCACTCCGTGCTCCAGGGCTAGAAAGAGCAATTTGAACCACCGCATAGAGGCGTTCAAAAATTCAATTTGACCTCTTTCAATGTTTTCATACCCAAATGCCCTCTATTTTTTTTGTCTTTCTTGATTTTCAGACCCCCTTACATAGCAAGAAAAATTAAGAGAGGAAAAAAAAAGATAATCATTCGACGCCTGAGAGATTCGAACTCTCGCTCCCGAGGGAATACAGTTAGCAGCCATACGCGTTAGACCACTCCGCCAAAGCGCCTTTGATTGGTTATCGCTCCAAAAATTGGAATCATAATAGCAGGCCAATTTTACCGAAAATAGTTCAAGTTCCCAAGGTTCATCTGCCTCCGGATCCATATTGATTCCAAGCTTCTCACGCTCCCCATAGTAAGCCCGCGCATAAGGTTGTTTGGAAATTGTACATGTACCTTGGGGTCACATCATCAAACATTTGTCTGGAAGATATTCTTAGCTAGGCTCATCTATAGCAATACGGTGGAAAACAATCCTGATCTATGAATCCGACTGAAAGAGCTTCAAATTTTATATCAGTCATTGCTATTCAAGTTTAAATGCGAGGGGATTTCAAGGAGTGTTTAATATCTCCATAGAGCAAGTCTTTGCATGATCAGGCCACAGGTAGAGAACAAAAAAAATAAAGAAATATCGACGCCTGAGAGATTCGAACTCTCGCTCCCGAAGGAATACAGTTAGCAGCCATACGCGTTAGACCACTCCGCCAAAGCGCCGTATTTGCCCATCTTCTCCACGGGTCGGTCAATTGCCCAGATGATGCAAAATAATATGCTGACTAAGGTGTGTCAAAATAACATCACCCTGGGCTAGTATACGTTCATATGATTACTCTATTTCATCTAGTATCATGTGGCAGCTAATATATGTCTATTTATCTTATTTGGATGTAATGGTGTTATTTTTTGATGAGAACTCTTCAACCTTGGAGGTTTCAAAGGTCCTAACTTGAAGGTTCTGCACGGATGTATATCTCGATTCTCGATAACTATATTGCCAAGTTTGGGCTGCGTCCGAGTCGGCCACTGGCAGTGCCTGCAGGCTACTACTACCTACCTACCTATGTACTAGTAGTACCTAAGTAGAATCGTGTATCCAAGTTTCACTCAATGTTATGGTCCCCAAGGTTCAAGGTCACTGATATTCCAAGATCGACCTCGGGAATTCTTAGTAGTAGAGCCTGAAGTTCAAATCAACTGGTCCCCACTGTTGAGACTTGTCCACGGCAACTGTCACTGATTCACCACTAATGACACGCTACCAAGCCGCTAGAGCAGACGGGCGCTACTAGCATCATGCGCCAAAATTTCTTTTTTTGTTTTGACCCCTCTAGCACTTCGGCTTTTACGGGTAATTGCCGAGACCCCGACGAAAAACACCCAGTGCCAGTGATTGGAACATACAAGTATGGCCTCAACACCAGATACACCAGTTCCAGAAATCACGCTCCTAGAGCGCATTGGACCAAAAGGCTGGATCCGCTATATCCTCCCCTTCCAATTAAGTCCAGAGTACGATATCAACGAAGTAGCCCATGTCATCAGGGAGGGCTACAAATACATGACCCAGCAAATATCTCTTGCAAAATGTGAAATCGTTCCAGACAAGGACGTGAAACAAGGTGGCGTGGATAAGCTTCAACTTCGGACGGATGATGACTTTGAGGATGTCTTCATCAAAGACCTCCGGGATCTCAGTCAGTTCCCCTGGACGTATACCGAGCTGAAGGAGAAATCATTTCCCACGACAGCGTTCGATGAAAGGGTTTACCGACATGGCGTCTGGCCTGACCCTGGAGGAAATATTCCTGTCTCGTTTGCCCAAGCGAATTTCATTCGTGGAGGTGTTTTGCTGAACTGGTGTGCTTTCCACATGGTTATTGATGGGACGTCGGCACATACCTGGATGAAGATCTGGGCAGAGGGTTGTCGTCGCGCCCAAGATCCTCAACTCAACTCAATCTCAGATTCAATGCACATTGAGTCTCACAATGAGATTCGGCTGTGGGCTGATCGTGAAGCTGTAATGAAGGCTTCAGGTCAGAATATGGGGAAAACAGAAGATCATCCTGAGTACATCGTCTTCGATACCGTTCCAACAGGAGGCCCACCACCAAAACTCCTAGCAACGAACTATAGGACCACCATCTTTTACTTCTCGCCCGAGTCAATGCAAAGACTCAAGGCCGAATCAGCATCACAAAATGCGACCCAAGTCTCTGGTATCGATCAGAAATGGGTTTCCACGAACGATGCCCTTTCCGCACTGATCTGGCGCTCCTTAATGGCTGTTCAGAATCCATTGGAATCTCTAGAAGGAGACCCGATATCCGAGTTTGCGCTTGCGATTGATGCGCGAACTAGAATGAAGCCTGCATTGCATGAAGATACGATAGGTTCTTTTACAACCTGGATATTAGCCACTGCACCAATCAGGAAGATTCTTGGTGATTTCAATTTAGCCGATCTGGCTTTGATAATTCGGAAGACGGTTTTGACAGCGGATGACCGGTTTATCGATAACTTGATGACCCTTGTTGAGAATCTTGATGATATCGGGCAACTTATTCTTTCGCCTTTTGTGGATTGCCCGGGTCTTCATGTTTGTCAGACAACTTGGGCTCATTCTCAGTTTGCCTCGTTGGATTGGGGGAGTAAACTGGGACATAGACTTGATGCTTTGCGTGTACCTGTTAATGGGTTGGTCAATGGGATGCAGCTTGTTCTGCCGATGCTTCCTGATGGAGGGATGGAGGTTTTGATTGGAGTTGAGGAACATAACCTTGATAGACTTCTCAATGAGCCTGGCTTAAGGGAATTTGCTGTTCCGAGGACCCTTTGAAATGACCAGGCGGATTCACTGAGATCTTGAATGTAGTTCATGTGGTCTCTCAGATCGTTGTTGCCTGGGCCATCGGGCTGGTCAGAAACTAGCATTATTGGAAACATGTGCACGATATCATATTCATTAGAGCAACAATAGCAGACAATACGTACTACTATAACTAGTTATCCTGCAATGAGATCTTCACATTATGTAAACAGCACTCATAACTATCTCTGGCACCATCAAGCTCAGACATCTGGAGATAGACGGCTACAAATACTACAGGACACCCAGGTGCCTCGAACTACTGATTACCAGGAAAGGAAAGTAATGCTTTCTAACCATTTATATTCATTCATTTTGGGTCATCGAACAGAACGCGAGGGATTTCCATCGCGTCCGGCAACGGCATGAAAAAAGCAAAAGAGAAGAAGGAACCATGAGAGTAAGGGAAAATGTAGAGAGGAAAAAAAGAAAAAATAAGAGAGAAAAAAGAAACAATGAAGTAACATGCCATTACATCAATAAACCTTTATTTAAGCCTTGATAGCACCACCCAATGCACCACCTCCGAACTGCTGACCACCAGGTCGCCGGCCCTGCTGGCCACCTGGGATACGAGCACCACCACGACCCTGGTTAGGACCACGAGGACCACGGCCACGGGCACCAGGACCTTGCTCGCGCTGGAAAGCGTTGGCCATACCCTGAGTACGCTGCTCCAGAGTCTTCTCGTTGGACTCGAGGAGACCCATGGATTTGTCGGCCAGGGTAACGATCTGGGACTGCAGACGGGAGAGCTCGACACCCTTGCGGAAGATGATGGCGTCGTTGACCTGGTCGAGAGCAGCGCCGAGCTCCTCGTGAGAGATCATGCGGCTGATAATAGCGGTGATCTTCTTGGTGGGGAGCTCAAACATCTCGGACAGAGAGGAGATGGAAAGGCTGTCGTAGAAGGGGGCGTAGGTGAAGAGGTAGGTGCGCAGACCCTCCTCTTGAGTCTGCTGAGACAGCATCTCCTTGATCTTCTCGGGCTGGGGCATCAGATCCCAGATCTTAATAGAGGCCAGCATCTCGGCGGCCTTCTTCCAGTCACCGGCAGCCAGGAACTTGGCACTCATGATGACACCGTCACGGGTGTTCTCGGGGGGTCCGGTGAATACCTGGCGCTCGTTGTAGTCGAGCATACGACGGAAAGTCTTGGAGATCATGCGACGGCGGATCTCGGGGGCGGAGGAGGTCTGGGCCATGAGAGGAACCTCGAGGAACATGCTGGAAGTCAGGTAGATACACTCCAACAGCTCCAGGTTGATGTGCTGGTGGAAGGGCAGCTGGCGCTGGCGCTCCAGACGCTCCTGCTCGGGAGTGACGGTAGAGTAACGCTGAAGGATGATACCCTGGGCGAGCAGCTCCTTTTGACGGCCGCTACCGCAGATATCACCGAGGGTGTTCTGGGCCTCGTAGATGAGACCAGCACGGAAAGCGCACAGGCCGATCTGGACGAGAGTGCGGTTGAAGAGAATCTGCGTGCTGACGTCGAAGTTGGCAATGTTCTCAGACAGATGCGACATGAGCATCAGGTCGCGAGAGCGGTAGTACTGGTCGTGAAGAGCGAGGAAGTAGATCTGGCACAGCATAGAACGGGCACGGATGATACCGTCGCTGTTCTGGAACAGGTAAGTGCAGAGAGTTTGGATGAGGACGGAGACATCGCCAGCCTCAGCGCGGGTGGTGATGGCAGAGTCCAGCTCTGCGGGCAGAGCCTTCCATGTACCATCCTCCAGAATGGAGACGACCTGAGAGGGCTTGAAGTAGACGTGCTCGAGACGGCGGATGATAACACGGTTGACGCTGTCCTGTCGGGAGTCGTTCTTCTCGCCAGAGTTGAGGCCCTCAATGTAGAGCTGAGTGCGCACAATGTTGTTGTACAGCTGCTGCTCATCGCTCAGACGCTCAATGTACTCAGCAGTGTGGGGGTCGATCTGCTGGAGGGAGCGGGTGAGTTCATCGTCCAATCGCTCAATGTATGAAACCATGCTGCCGGGAATGTAAAAGATCTCGCCCTCAGCAACCTGGGGCTGCTTCTCGTCATCCTCCCACTCATCAGCACCCTCGCTAACAACGAAGTTTCGGTGCTGCTCCAGAACGGACAAAAGGGTGCCGAACTCCTGGTCGGCACTCTTCCATTGTTCAGCGCTCATGTAGGTGGCGGAAGAGGATGAGGAAAGGTCGAAGCGGGTAGAGATGAGGGTCATGTAGATACGGATGCGCTGGTAAGGGGTGGTGGCAACCTCGAGGAGCTTCTCCATTGTGCGGATCTGCTCGGTGCGGTCGGTGTTCTTCTTTCCGCGAGACTCGACAATGGTACGCAGATGCTTGAGAATGCTCTCGGAGGTGTACTGCAAAGTCTTACCACCGCGGCCAACGGTAGCAAAGCCATCGTCATCGCTGGAGGCAACGGAAGCAGCGTTGGCGAAGTTCTGAATGCGTTCAACGCGGGTGGGACGGGGAGCGGGAGCGGCGGGAGCAGGCTTCTCCTCCTCCTCGCTCTGCATGTAATCATCCTTGGCCGCACGGTACTTGTCGATCTGGGTGGCGTATTCCTTGTTGTTCTTCTTGATACGCTGCTTGACGGCATTGAATCCCTTCTGGTTGCTAGCGTTCATCTTCTTGTTAGAGGCCTTCTGTTTGGTGACGGACTCGTTGACGAAGTCCTCGAGGTCGGCGACGGCCTTGACGTAAAGCTTGGGGACAGGGCCGGACTGGAGGACCTTGACAATTTGGCGGTTCAGGCTGTCGAACTCTGTAGGGACCCTACATTAGCTGGGAGCTCATTTTCAAATATTTTTTTCGACCCCTCTCATTGACCCAGTCGATTCCGCGGGGTGACGCGATATTCCTCCCAACGCGCGTATAAAAGCATATATTCAACATGCTCCATCATACAGGTGATAGAAAAGGGCACTCACCAGTCGAAATGACGGCCCAGTCGTTAATCTTCTGAGCATTATCGATCAGGCGGATGGTGTTCTCGAGACCCTCCAAGCGCTTGTCCTTTGCACTCTTGACAACTGTGACCTTCTCCTCATCCTCCTCTTTATCACTGTCGGAATCGCTAACCAGGAAGTCGAAGGCATCACCGCCGGTGCTCTCCTTGTCGTCGTCGGAATCAGAACCGGATTCGGATTCGGAAGAGCCATCGCTAGACTCAGCGTCGCTGTCCTCCTCCTCGGAGCGCTCGTAAACATCCTCCTCCTCCTCCGAGCTGGAGTCGCTGTCGTCGCCGCCGCGGTAAAAGAATCGTGACATCGTTGCGGATTTTAATCGGGGTGGAAATCCGGGTTCACGAGCAAAGGCAGATCCTTTAAAACTTGGAGTTGATTGTCCGGGCGAGAGCCACACACGAAATTTAAGCGAGGGGTTGACTATACCCGATCGGGACTAGTGTCACCTGATATCGTTCAACTACATACAATTACACTACAACTCATCAATTTTATGTTATAGAAAAATGTAAATAATACATTCTAAACAAGAGATAACTCGGATTTACTGAGTATATTGTATTCCTATCAACTCCCCAAATCTAACAAGACTTGTCGAAGGAAACCAAACAGCAATGGTATCCGCGTTCCAATACTTGTATGCAAATCCCAACAGAGAAAACCCTTGAAATGACCATGGCGTGTATACTACCTTCCAAGTGCAACTAGAGACAGCATTAATAATAGAAATAAAGCGGTGTGGAAAAAAGACAAAGAAATAGAGCACAGAGATCCCGGATATAACCCACCAAAAAAACTCAATGCTTACTATGACCAGAGACATGGGACGGGAAAGGGGAAAATTGGACGAATTTGTGAAGTCGTTCTTTATACTCCAGGCTATGCCAAAAAAAAGAAGATAGAAGCACAATATAAAAGAACACAGAAGTCATGGCTTATAGCCCGAACCACAGCTCCAAATCGTTGTAGAACGGACAAGAGCAAGATAAGGCCAAACAAATATAGCAAGGGGGAAGAAACATAACAAAGAAACTTGAAGGTGGTGATTCAATCATGGCAAGAAGAACAAGAGTACAGAATCATAACCACTTTAGATCAGTCACTATTTGCCTAATGCGAAAGTAACCGGGGTATGCGACACAAAGCTACGGTTCAAAGAAAACGGCGGAGAAAAAAAAAAGCATTGTATCAAACGCACTCACGCCAGCCTATCCGACCATTTTGGAATGCAGATGTCGCAAATGACTCAAGACACCTCACGCTGACCATTCCATTGGGAACCAAGTAATAACTCCAATCCCAGGGTAAAGAGCAGACTTTGGCCCGTCGGCGGAAGCGGCATAGGTCGGGCAGGGGGCGTTACTCAAGCAAAATAAAACGAGTTTGGGGAAGACTCAAAGTGTATGGCACAATTTTATCGGATCGATCCTCCAGTAGGGACACACGCACCGGGCGTGCGGATGCTTGACTGTGGTAGAAGAAAGGAGAGTAACCAGGGTACCTATTCCAAGACATCGGGATGGGGCCCTTATGTATCAACGTGTGAGCAACCCTTCCCAATGGCTCGGTTAATTGAGCACTCTAATGCCACGGGTTTTGCCCCATGTATCCTTCACCCATAACTCCATCCTCGAGAGTCCGAATGAAATCGCGGTTTCGCTGATTGCCATTGCCATTGCCATTTCCATTACCTCCTCCTGCTCGACTGCCCCGGCGTCGTTGAGCATTTGCGTCTACGTAGCCATCTGGGGGAGGAGGGTAGTAGGCCGGGCTTGGCTGGAGTCGGATGGGAGCGTTGGGATCCAAGTGGCTGGCAACTCGTTGAATTGTAGCGGGAATCCCACCTCCTTGTGGATCCATGGTTGATGCACGTTGACGACCTGCCCTTGTTGTGGCTTGAGCGTACAGACTCTGTCCTTGACCATATTGAGGTTGTGGCGGTACCTGACCAGGGCCAGGCACCATGCCCATCTGATGACCATAGCTTGGGGGCTGGGTAGGGTATGGCGGTGGTGCTGCTCCCTGTTGATACATGCCATTGTAAATGGGGGAGGTGGAGGAGGCTGCGCATGAGGTTGGGGATGCGGTTGTGGTTGCGGCTGGGGATGTAACTGCGGCTGAGAATGCGGTTGTGGTGGGGGATGCGGCTGAGGAGTCTGCTGGTACGGGTTCATTTGCATTGTGTATGCAGACTGTGCTTGCGCCGCTTGAGCCGCTCTCTGCTTACTGGCCGCTTCAGCCTGCTGCTGTTGCTGGACACCAGGAGCAACAGTCTTGTTGAGAGTAGAGTACTTTAAGTTCATTGGGGGCATAAATGGCCCAGTAAACTTCTGTTGGGTGATGAAAGGGTGCAATTTGGCCTGCTGGGGAGACCACCGCTCTAGGGGGGTTGATCGACAGTAGACCGCGCACAAAATCGATAAATGCCACCCGGTTGTTCAGCTCTGTCAAATAAAGGTTAGTAAATAAAGCAAGGACAAGGAAGAAATAAGTAAATATATAGATAGAAACCATCGTACCTCTTTCAATCTCAGCTTGCTTCATGTTTTTCCTCGGCATGGGTATGCCCTAATGATCTCCTCCAAGGTTGAGGCAGCGAAGTACTTCTTACTCGGCGCTTCCTTGGTGTTGTGCTCTCGTGAGTACTGTTCCAAGCTTTTGAGCCTGTATGTCTTACGACCGAATTCATCCTGCGTTTTCTCGAAGAATTCGCCAGACTGTTTACCCATCTCCAACATCCACGCTGGAGGCAAGCCCATCATTTCTACGATTCGGCAGACTTGGTTGTATTCCGAAGAACCGGGGAAAAGGGGCAATCCCAGGAACAGCTCGACAACGATGCATCCAAGAGACCACATGTCGATTGCAGATGAGTAACTAACCTGATTAGCGGGGACTCAAAATAACCAGGAACTAAACAAGGTTAAGTGGGTTGACACATACGGCAAACCGAGCAAAACTTCCGGTGAACGGTAAAAACGCGACTGAATATACGTGTACACGGTCTGACGTTCGTCGCAGGCAGATCCAAAATCAATGACCTTGATGATGGGGCTTTCCAGGCTGTCGAAGTATGTATTAGTAAAATAAATCAAATAGTGGAAATAAGCCATCTGAACCTACTTTTTCAACAGAATATTCTCTGGCTTCAAGTCGCAGTGGATCAAATGTGCCTTGTTGAGGAGACTAAGAGCATTCAGCAGTTGTTGCGCAAAGACACGCACAAGCGTTGTGCTCAATCCCCGGAATTGATTTTGCTTGATGAGTTCGTAAAGGTTAACACTGAGTAATTCAAATGCAAGACAAAGATGCTGGCGGTGAATGAAAGTATCCTTCAGTCGAAGGAGATGGTGGTCGTCGTTCTTATCATATTTACTGTTGAGCTGTAGCGATGGTCTGGTTAGTATGTGGTGTATAGTGCAGAATCACCGCACGTACCAGATCCAACACGGAAACCTCCATCATGCTTTGGTTAAAGTATGCTGTCTTGTTCTTGATGACCTTAACGGCCACAACCTCCTGCGTCTTCAGGTTCTGGCATTTCACCACTTGACCAAATGTACCCTGACCAAGAACATCCAAAATAAGGTAGCGATTCCTATTAGAAGAAGTGAGACGGGAGACTCGTGGAAAATTAAGGGATCCCGCATGAGCATACTTATGTCCGGCCTCCTCACTGCCTAGAATGTCATTGACATAGAGAATGTAATCGCTATCCTCATTATCGTAGCCATCGTTCTTGGTGCCCTTACTAGGCTTGGTCAAAACACGACGGGGATTTCTGGAGGACTCGTAGTTGAAATTCGGGTTACAGATACGGTATGTTGCAGGTAGATGACTTGTGAGCGCATGAAGTGGCTGTACACCGTCTAGGTTAACATCGCAATGCGATACCTTTGGGAAATAAGAAAGATCGAATCAGGGGAGACAAACACTGATGAATCCGCCCTCTGGGTTGGCGCGTCGATATGCTGGTTGAGCATGAACCCGCGGTTGGAGATCTTGCACAGCCTTGATCTTCTGGAACTTGGGAACCGGACCTCGGCCCGGAACTTGGGATGGTAAGGAGCCAGACCGGGGAGATCGAGCGCCTGGAGCAAATGCACTTCCCAAGTGCGAGGATGCAGAGGAAGGATAGTATTGATCGGGGCTCATATCGGATGACTGGAGGGGTGGAAGTCTCGGGGGGCGATTCGCTGCAAAGAGAAAGTGGGTTAGCGGGTAAGCAACACAAGGTGAGGTCATTCTTGACGGAACTGATCTCTCACATGGCGGGGAATGATAGCCCTGCGGTGGAGATGAATAGTCTCCTGTCCGACCGGGCGATCGTCGCGACTGACTTTGACCTGGTGAGAAGTAGGAGCCCTGCTTCCCGGGGCTTGTAGGGTATGACATTCCGGATGGCGACAAGACGTTCATAGGAGAGTATCTGCGAGCAGCCGACGACTCTTCCGCCTGGTTAAGGAATTGGGAAGAAGCGCGACTATGATGATTTGATCGCGATGAGTACTTGGCGCGGTTGTAGGGGTCGGCGTCCTCCATGGTGGTGTCGGCATCGGTGACATAATCCCGACTACGTGGCGTGGCAGACGGCGACGACGCCATAGATACCGGTTTGGAGTTTGGGCCGGTAGAAGGAGCCTTAGATGCGGTGCCAGGAGTTTGAAAAGTCTCGTAGGTGTATCCGACTGGGGGCTGCGACTGTGGTGGCTGGCCGTACTTCGAAGCTACTTGCTGGGGATGGGCAGCCAATCCGGTATTCATCTGCGCGGGACGACCCATCAGGGGATCCTGATAGGGTTGCCATCCAGAATCCATAATGAATGGGAATCACAACCTCAAAAGAGTTCCGTTTGATCTTTTAGGGATTCGGAAGTCGAAGGAGGAGGGGGGTAGGAATTCGAGAATTGACGCCGACACCGTTTCGTGCACTGTTGCAGCCACACTGCGATCGGGGGGTTTGCGTGGGGATGCGGGCGAGGGGGGTAGACAGCAGTCACAGCACACGCGAGAAGCGCGATCGCAGGCAAGGGGAAAGGAAACCCCAATACGAGCGATGCGAGCGATTGGGAAGTGGGAAGTTTTAATATCAACTACACCACATCATCGAAGCCCCCAAAATTTCCGGAAGAGAGATTGGGTAGAATTTGGAGAGAGGGAAGAAGAGAGAGAGAGTGGGAGGGGGCGGGTCTCTGCCACCGACGTAGGCGTAGTAGTAAACCTTCAAGAATATAAGATGCACTTCGGGAGCACCTCGTAAAAGATTGAAGGTACTACCTTCGACTTGAGACTGTGCAGAATTCGAGTGAACTTTTGTTTCTCTTATTCTTTAGCTCATTGAATGTGGAGAGGAGGGGAAAGATAAATGTGGGAAGTGGAGGTTTGTGTCTAACCCTCTTAATTGAGCCCGATGAAGTCTTGATAGAATGCCAATACTAGATCACGAATGCTTACAGTATGCAGGAGGTGGATTGATTTCTTGAGTACATTAAGTTTAAAGTCTTCTACAACTTCGGAATACGTGGATCGGGATATATTTTATGGTCTGGGTCAGTGATCTCACGACTTTGGAGGATTGTGGTCTCCTCGGCGACGTGTCGGCCAGGATCGTCGCGTCATTGCATACCCAACTGCCAAAGCGTCCCGGCCTGAATGCCTAAGAGAGATCCAAGTGTTCAAAATTCTCCTATCATCACGATTTTCCCTTTGTTTTCGTTGGGGTCTGCAGATAGAAGGTCATTGGAAGCCTCGTGGTTTTATCCTATCATAAGGAGAGCTCAATTCGAGGATCAGGGATGATGACTCTTTTCTCCTTTTCTCTTCTCCCTTTTTGTCTCCCTGCATTCTAGGTCAGCTGCATGATAATTTCTCACAAGATCAAAATATTTAAGCTTGAAGGATCGTATAGATCCGTGTATGCCGAGCCAATCTCTTTAGTATGAAATACTAGTACGAAGTAGATAGTTCGTTAATTGAACCTTCAATTTTCTGGGGTTAGTCAACTGGTGACTCAGCATCAATTCTGCCGCTTTCTCCGCCTTCACATATGTTGTCCCTTCACCTCTCCTATCTCTCACCTCTGAACGGAGTAACAAATTTATTTCAGATGACTTTCATTCATTTTAACCTCAAGGATTTACTTTCCCTAGCTCCATATTTTGTACCAGACCGAAAAACCTATACTCAGCTTTAATTACCTCTCCTTCAAGGTCAACCTCAAACCCTCAAATCCAACACGGAGGACTCCAATACCAACATCGAATGGATATTCCAGGTGAGGTCATTGCCACGAAGTTTCGCAGTAGGGATGAATGCGTAGATATATGCAAGTGATGCTAGAGGAATCATTACGGAGTAGAACAGCTCAAAATTCAGAGTAAAGAGAGCTCCGGAGATCACTGCCAAGACTATATGGCAAATGACCTACATGAGTACTCCGTACTCCGTACTCCATACTGCGTCATGAATTTTGATATACTCCGCAGTAGACAAAGAAATAAGAATCATCAAGGATTCTCTGGGCCTTAAAATGTCCCACATGTGCATAATATACATCCCCTGAGTCACACTTCACAGAGTTGCCTCAAACACCTGGTCGATCATCCATTGTCTTCGTCAGCTTCCAGTATTGTTTCACTTAACCAGGGGGCCTATCTATTTCATACAAATTGCCACACGTCAACTTTTGAATAAAATAGAGTGTATGGCGTAGCATTTCCCTAGTCCTCAGTTTATTTAAATTGTCTCATGAAGACTAGAAATTCCATGCTAGGAAATTCAACAATGGCCTGGTGGGTCGATTATACCCAAGGGTTCAGGGGTCTTTTGCGAGCATTTGTACCCATGGTTAGGCGTCTTAGGCCTCTTCCAAGGTTAAAGGTTAAGGGTCTCCAGTTCAGGCAATGACGAACTCGAAAATATCACTCAACAGCAATAAAGATAATTATTTCTATGATTAGATTAAATTAAAGTATGAATGTCAATCTTTTGCTTTTCTTTCGAAATTTCAATTATGACTTCACACTCTGTTGTAAGTAATTGACATGGGCATCTCTATTTTTCCATTGGGTCTCGGACAAACTGATCTACAACCACCCCTCTCATGACTGGCTCACAACAGCTAGTGACTCCTCACTGGAGAAAGCTATGATTGAATCAATCCAACAGTCCACGGCACTAGTGAGACTAATGAAAGGACCTGGTGGATCGTCAAATTGACTCGGCAAAGACCCTAGGCTTCACAACGCAGCCACCATGGACCTGCAGGGTAGCAACCAAAGACTTCGAATGTTGTCAATCAATGACTGGTGAGATGCAGATCAATGCAGCCCCAGTCTGACTCCTTCTCTTACTCCTCAAATTAGAACAGCACCAAGGCCCTCCACTCAAGCCTTTGTGCCGCGAATCCATAGGAAACGCGATCGTGGATCCTGTTTGGTAGTGGACTTTACTCCACACTGTTTCCCAGCTTCTCCCAGCTTTCCCTAGCACCTTGGTTAAATACCTCTTCCCCCCCGAAACATCCGTTTGACTTTCCAACTTTCAAATCTCTTTGATCTTTTGGATATTTCTTACTTTAAAGAACATACCTCAATTCTACCATCGTCAAACCACAGCCAAAATGAAGTTCTTCGCCACCCTTGCTCTTCTGGCAGCCACTGCGACCGCTAGCCCTGTTACTACGACCTTCACCCTCTTAACCTCCGGTGCCTCCAACAGCAGTCTGAACGACCTGTACTTGACCACCAAGTCGACTGGTCCCTTGAACAGTTTGGCCATCTTCACCAGCGGGGCTAGCGATGCTGCCACATTCTGGCTGACCAACGGCACTGTGCGGTATAAGACGGAGAATGGTGCCCCATGGTCCATTGCTCTTGTTTCCGAGGATGGTAGGTTCTTCAAATGATGGAACTCCGAGCCGTACCATATAAACATGATTACTAACTAATTTTCCCTTATAGAACGCAAAGCTCCTGTTGAGGTGAGCGTTAGTCCTACCACTGGTGGAACTGGATTCGGCTTTGCCAGTGATGGTGATCTGGAAACCTCCATTGACCACTGGGGTGGATGGTTGGGTGAGTCAATTATTTTATTATCGAGATTTTGAAATTGAACATTTTTACTAACTGGATTGTAGCTTGCACCGACAACACCTTATACTATATCAACACAGCTGGCACTGGTACATACGATGGATGCGAGATTGTCGAGTTGAAGCCATCTTCCTAGACCGGATAATCGCATCTAGATGATTTTCTTTGAAGAGTGTTATGACAGGATTTTGCTTTTTTGGGCTTGGGGTTGGGTTCTTTCTCATGATGGCGCTTTTTAACGACTGTACATTCATTCATGATCCTGGTCAAAATATTGGATAGACTGGAGTTTAATGATAATACCTACTACACATGGTAGTATGATTTTCAATGATTCGAGCTCCGCATATCTTCAGAGAATATTCAAGTTCAAGTATTCTCAATGTTCTATACCGTACAAAGTTTTGTCATTTACTAGTAGGTTCTTTGAAGTTGAAAACTCTGTTCAATGTTGTCTGACGTTGGGACCTGTAAGAATACTTCCAAGGTTATGCCTTCAAATGTTACTTTGGACATACATACTAGTACATATGAAAGTGTTCCCATGGAGATCATTCTTGATGCTGTATTCTGGGCTAGGAACCCCGGCTTGGAAATCCCGGGGAGTCCCCTCTTGTATAGTATTCGTGTTTGATATTCAGGGGCTAGGTAATCCGTCTAATTTTTATACTAAAACGACAAAACTATTACTCCATATTATATTATACATTTTTTTGTAATATTTTGTAGATCAGTTGATTGATTGGTGTTGATAAGCCTCAATGCCAAGGCCTAACTAAATCGCCAAAACAAACCATAAACAAATAGTCTGGATCTAAGCTGACATCGGTGTGATGCTTTTTGGAATACCCCAATATCACTCAAGAAATCATCAAATGGATGATCACTTTCAACCTCATAATTAACCATATTTATTTCACCTTAATCGAGTGCCCCATTCTTGCCTCTGAGAATTGGAACCGAGATGTGGAGACAGGGTCTGAGGGGAAAATCCGATCAGGGTCCAAACACTGAAAGGATTCTCAGAATATGAGCACTGATGTATCTCTAATCACTCAGTATTGATAGAAAATTTACTTCGTATATCTGAGTAGACTTTTTTTGTAGTGATTCCTCATATTTTGCCTCTATATCTTACCTGCCCAGGTGATTTTATTCCCAACTTATAAATAGGATGTCTCACATGCCTTGACAGCCATGGCCCATTTGGGCTTAGCCCCGCAATACATCTCAAACGCCTTTCTGTCCTCCCACACTTATTCTTCCAAGTCTCTCGCTTTACTTCGTTGTATCGTTGCGTTGCCTTTTTTTGCTGCTTCAGCCACCCTCGTTTTGAGCATTCGAAGTTCCCATACCTTCATATTCGTTGCCCGACTTCCTCTCCACGCAATCCACACAAATCCTCGGGATCGCCAGGTTTTAAGGGTCCACCAGCAGATCGCCCTGTCAGCTTTTTCGTACCATCCGCCATCTCAGCCCTCGATTTCTTTCCACGGCGGAATTCACAGCGTGCCCCGGCCCTGTCAAAGAAGATACCTTACTTTCCTCTTACTTGGGACCCTCCTCTTGCCGCCCGTCGGCTGGAACCATATCCAGACTGGTAGCCGGCGCAAGGGGTTGCCAATTCGGGTTTCGATTCCGATAAGGAGATCTCCTTTTTCCTCTGCTCCTTGATCTGCTTCTCCCAGTTGCCCGGGAAGCTTGACAACCAGCATAGTCGCCATGCGGGCCTTCCTCACTATTCTGTGCACATTTTTGCTGCTGGGCACCATTGCCTCGGCTTGGCCGTGGTCCAACTATGGAGAATTATTGGGCAATGGTTTGCTAGACAAACGTGCAGGTATGCGTAATCGGCTGTCTCACCATTGACCCTCATTAACAATGCATCCATAGACTCCAATACAACCACATCCGCGTCAACATCTGAGCAAACCACCACAGTCGCCTCGCAAACCTCCACCGGATCCACTACCGATACCAAGACCGCCAGTGACCAAACCACGGGTGGCACCAGCACAGGCACCAGCACGGGTACCACTACCGGCAAAAGCGATACAAAGACCGCAAAATCAACCACCACCTCGTCGATCTCAATCAACCCGGCAGATGCAGAGGGCGGCATCTCCTTGTTGACACCAGACTCCACCACCACAACATACTACAAGATCGGGGAGAAAATCACCTTTGTCTGGAATTACACCTCGCTTTCTGTGTCACCGACTGCTGTCGATGTCGTCGCCTCTTGCAGTTTGGACAGTATGACCTACACTGTGACCCGTAACATGAGCATGGAACCCACTGGCACTGCCATTTGGGATACTAGCAAGTACGAGGGGAACGCCACTGTCCCACTGCTGACGGCCAGCTACACGCTCTTCATCTATGATGCAGACAAGTCCCTCAGTGACACTGCCAGTGCTGGCTACCTGGGATCCAATGTTGGTTATGCTTTTGGAATGTACTACACTCAAAGTCCTACTTCATTGAACGGTATGTTGATATCTTTATTTCAATTTCGTTGAATTGAGAATTCTAACATTTCAATAGGGTTCTTCTGCGTTACTTGTAACGGAGCCATGTCTGAGATGCAGCGTCAAGGCCTGAAATTCGTCGTTGGCATGGCCTTAATCACATTCCTCTCCTTTACCTGGTTTGCCGGTACATTCGGTCTCTTCTCCCTCTAAAGAGGTACTGATCCGCTTGGAAGAAAGCGAGGATCAACATGACATTCTTATGGATATATCATTGATTTCAGGGCGTTATTTGATCTGTCTTGAAAGCGAAACATTACGATTAATAGCAGGAAAACGGCGTTTGTTTATTTAAAGTCGTGGGCATAGGCTGGGATCATTGTGTCTTTTATCTTTAGGGTTTTATTAATTTTCTTCTACTTGAAAAAATTGCATCCAGTTGATATTGTATTTCGTGGTATTAGGTAGTTGTTTGATTATCCTTTTGTCCTTTATATGAAATTTAGCAGGCTGCTTGCTATCTTGCTCGGCACTTTCCGCTCTAGATCTCGAGGCTTTTCTTCACCGAGCCTTTCACTGATCATCTCTCTATCTACCATGACCTTTCTTTATCACCTCTCTCCTGGCCTCGACCCTTCTTTATCCTTACAGACTTCTTTGCATCGCTGCTACCTACCATGGACCCTACTCTCACTGTCAATTCTAAGGCGTTAAGCCCTTGGAATACCGCCGAAGTTGGTTACTTCTACCCTGAAAATGACGCCTTGAAGCATATCGAGACTGGAGACAATCATATCATCATATTTCACAACGCAGAGGCCTTTGTCAGTCACCTCCATGGCATCGCTATCTTCAAAACAGAGGCTGTAGTTCGAGCCAACGTCCACTCATGTTTGCGTGAAGTTGCCCTGGAGTGGTACATTACGGAGTTAACCCACCCTGAAAGAGAAGAGCTTCGCAACCTTCCACTTGATCAAGGGTGGTTCATGCAAATTTTGTTACGGTTCAACCCGTCCCCCAAAATAGCCCGATTTAGATATGAAACTGCCAACTTTTACAACAGGAACCCTTTCCGAATGGCCTACAATTTGATTCGAGATGGCCATGCAGCTGGTGTCCACGACTTGACTGAACATTTGTGTCAGATCTGGCGCTGTCTCGATACATCGGTTTCAAACGTGTGCTTTCTGGAACAAACCGGCTACAAAGGCCTACTTATTCAGCCTGGACCTGGGGATGTCTTGTCGATTTTCCATCGGGAACTCAATCACCGGATTATGGATTTCGCAATTAAAATGCAAGATTATGATGCTGTTGTTGAGGATGACCCTTATCTTTTCCGCGAGTGGTGCCGGGACCCTCTAAGATGGTCGAACGTCGTTGCGAATTACTCGTACAAGATTAACAGCTTTCAATCAACTGCGACACAGAATGCGGGATTCAGGCTCGAGATCTGAATTTGTTCACTTGGAAGACTTGGATTTCATTGTGACTCATTCTTGATATGCCTCCTGAAAGAAGCTGACGACTCAGCCATGTGACTTGGAGCTTGAATTTGAATATGTTTCATTGGCTTTTTTTCCCTTCCAAAAGTCCGATGTTGGCAAATCTTTGGCAGTCAATTGCTTGCAATACAGTGATGAGATCCTTCTCACCTATGCCGCTTATCTCTTGGAAAGTCCTTTACCAATTTATCTACGCTTAGCTTCTTTCAAGATCGAAGCTACTGAGAGAATCAATGCAACAGAAAGTTATTCTATGACTGAGAGTAGTACATGGGGGTTACTTCAATGCTGCTACTAGTTACTTGAAGTAAAAAGTATTTCAATGACTGGTAGTAGAGTCCAACCAGCCTGGGGCAATAATAACATTACTAATATAGCCCTGGAATGAGCAAGGAAGCCTTCACATGTGCAGGCTTAGATGTTTGTCTCGGGACTTTCCCCTTCTAGAATTTCAAGGCTTTGTTTGCTTGTTTGATTGACTATTTCTCTCCATAAATCTTCATCATCACCTTCTTTGATCGTCACTCTTTCCCATCACCTCTATGTTGGTACTGCGACAACTTTTTATCCTTCATAAAAGTCCTGATTAGTACCCCATACACATGGACAACAGAGATACTCTTATGACGCCGAAGCCACTGAAACCGCCCAGGAGGATAATCAGCTCATCATGCAACATCTAGACACGAATTTGGGAAGTGAAGCTGATACTGTGGTGACGAGCCCTTGGGATACCGGAGAAGTCGGCTTATTCTACCCTAACAACTTGAAAAATAATCACGTAAAGACCAAGCATCACACTCTCATATTCCACAATGTCTATGCCTTTGTCAGTCACCTTCGAGCCCTCATCGGCTTCAAGCTTGAGAATGAAATGAGGGCCAATATCCAGTCATGCTTACGCGAAGAAGCCCTGGAGTGGTTCATCACAGAACTCAACAACTCCAAGAGGCACGCCCTTCAAACACTTCCACTTGAGGAGGGGTGGTTCAAGCAGCTACTGCAACGATTTAGCGTGCCCCCAAGAAGAGCACTTTTTCGATGTGAAAGGGTCGATTTCTCCGTGGGAAATGTCTATCGAAAGACACACAATCTAGTGCGAAATCTCCAAGCAGCTGGTAAACACGATGAAGATAAGCAGGCGAGGGCTATCTGGCGCAAGCTTAACTCATCACATCACTACAAAGAGAGTATCCCTCTACCTAAACCAGGTGCCCCATTATCAAAGCTTCTACGGGACATCCATTTCCTGAGCCACGAGAATGGGTACCAGGAAAATGATGATGGATCTGGCTGTGATGATGATTATGATGACAATATTCACGGGAGTTATGAAGTGGTGCAAATGGAATCCCGAGAACTGAGCGTCAGGTCTCAACAGCTTGAGTGCTTGGAAGACTCGAACGTTCTTCATTCTTGTTTTGTTTTCGGAATCATGCCTCTAAGATGAATTTTGGAAAATTGATTTGATTTCAGTGGATTTATGCTTCATAAAAGTTTGCTGTTCCTATTCAAGTGACCGAATTGACAAAATATTGGCTGGTGGTGTATCGGTGGAAGAACTTTCTGCTATTTCAATTACGAGAAAATGTTAGCAATTGAGTCACTGTTAGTTCAAATCATCTTCGATATTCAAATTAAAAAAAGACTTGCCAAAAAGAAGACTAGTACTAGCATCAGATAGCACGACTTGGTGAGCCACAGCCTGAAATTCATACTCCGCAGCTTCAAGTGCTGCTAGGCACTCGAGGTCCAAATTGGCACTTTCAGGGGATAATTAATTGCCAATAAATTTTTTCATCTTCTTCATATCATGAGTTTGTTCCATATTAATAATCTCCGAGCTACTTAATTGCTGGCAAATCTACAAAGCAGCCCTGGAGTCCACCGGCCCATGGTACTCAGCGTCATATGCCGCCAAAACGGATGATGATAAAGATGATGATATGCGGCAGTCTCGTTCGTATTTCGTTGATAAAACTCTACAAGAAAGAATATTCAGACAGGGAAGAGAAACACTGCTTTTGAAAATTTGTAGGGTGATTCAGCCTCCAGGGCTACAGGATCCACAGTATCAATTTGGTGGCTAAGACCATGCTGGTTGGAATTTCAATTTCCTACAAACACCTCTTGCCTAGATCAAATGATCAATGAGAGAAGTCCATTTGGAGACCATGCAAATCAAGCATCAAAGAAATAAGAGACATGCAGTGAATCAACCTCAGGGGCTTTGTTCGGCAAATAGAAGCAATCGAGCATGATGCTGTACAAGCCAACAGAGCGAACACACCATACAACCCGACATTTACACAAAGAACGAAAAAGCTTTCAGAATATTGATTATTCTTTGCTATATCAACCATAATCTTCCCAAGATGAAACTCCATCCCTCATTGATCTTTCTCATTCTAAGATTCATGCCAGTTATCGGTCATTCACAAGGAATCCAAGACAAATCCACGACCACAACGAAAGAAAAAAAAGTCATATCATTGATACAGAGGGTGACAGATGGCTCCTCAAACCCTTGGTTGGATCTGGCCCAAAGATCCCCGACCAGGAAATCCAATCAGTTGGCCCCGTCGCTGGCGCTTCCGCGACATCCTGACGAATAAAGGCCCGGACATCTACGTCGGCGTCATCAACAAGAAGAAATCACCAGAAGGAAGACCACCAACCCCAGAAGAAGAATCCTCAGACGACTCTACGCCTTTGCCATGGTTCTCAGCTTTATCTTCGTATTCCTCATCAGACTCAGAGCCAGATATCAAACCACCCGCACGACTACAAAAGACAAACTGGGACCGCTGGGATAACACAGACTCCACATCCGGCTCTACATCTGGCTCTGAATCAAGCAAGCAACCCGGATACCAGGTTCCGTGGGCAAGGCGAAAAAGTGAGGAGCGCTACGACTTTCGTCAACGAAAATATACGATCCCAGATCTAGGGACATGGAGTCGGGTGGAGTACTGCACTACGCGCGGAAAGGGAGGATGGATGCGAATTGGGAGAAAGGGAGAGAAGCATTGTGTACCGAGACGGTACTGGGATCGGAATGGAACAGAGTATCCGGCGAATTACTGGCATGATATCATTCATGGGGAGCATGAGGATGAGGTCAAGGGGTGATGGTATGAATTTTATGGGCGTTTTTGGCATGGTGAGATGGTGTTTATTCATTTTTGAACAATAGATTTGTTTTATATGAGCAAGTTTTCCGCTTAAGCGCAGGCGGTATGGAAGGCGTCGAAGGAGAAGACGCGGTCTTTGGAATCTTCTGGTTTTGTGGGCTGAGTGGATTGTGCCCGGCGGATAGATGGAAGTCGAGCGGCGTTGTTGGCGAGACGGTTGCACTTGATGCATGGTGTTTGTTTGATGTTCGCATATGAAGCTATCATGTCCTAGAATTGAAGTTAGAATTATAGAAATTAGACGAATCTTGATATCAGAGCAAAGCAACGTACCAACAAGAAACTCAAATCCCATTTCCGTGGTCGTGAGTTCAGACAATCTAGAATAGCCTCCTCCAATTTAACAGGGGAGCGACCTGGCGGTACTTTACTAGAAACATTCCACTCAGATACATCAGTAGAGCCGGAATCTTTCACGCCTTCTACCACAAAGAGCATACCAGCTCTACCAAGCGCGATGCCCATAGAGGTATCGTTTGAGCCCTTGATAAAACGGACACCAGGGAAACCACGTTGAGTAAATCGCTCCGTAACTGCAGTCCATCCGCCTTCAGAAGATAACACCTTCGTTCGTTCAGCATCTTCCTCCTCTCGCAGGCGCTCATCTTCCTTCTTCTTCTCTGCTGAGGTAAGTTCCGCGAGGAGGACATCATAGTCCCTCTCCCAGATCCCAGTTGGTTGAATAAGCTGTCCATTGGCCTCTTTCATGCGTGCTGTTGCACGCGCCCAGACAGGCTTCAGCTCTGGCCCGCGCCACATGGACTGGAACTGCTCGATGCGGGCGAGTCGATCGCGCACCGCATGATCGAGATCATTGCGCAGAATTGGTGGGGTCTCTGCGACTGGGGTACTTGATGAGATGCCATTTGAGCTGGAGATTGGGACTAGCGGTTCCAAGACTCCGGCTGGAATGAATTGGCGAAGCTCGTGGATCTGGTGCTGTTAGCATTGGGTTCCTTCATATGCCAAGAACCGGGAAACAAAAATGAATTTTGATGAAATTCCAACATAGGTTCGAAAGGGTGGTATTGAGAGAAAGATGCATGCACTCACTTTGCTTTCGAGCTCTTGGAGCTTTGCTAGTGATGCCACGAGTTGAATTTCCGAGTCCCAATTGACGGGTGTAGCAGGACCACTACTTGATTGAGCTGTACCCTGTGTGCTGGAAAATTTCTGTTCAATTTTCGGATGACTTGGAATCGCTGTTGAGTTCGCCGCAGGCATCGCGGTATTTGGTGCGGTTGACATGGTGTGTGGAGACGGGGATGAGAATGCAAAGGCCACCAGGCTGACTCGTAAACCGCTGAATCAAATTCGTATCACACAGAATATTTTTCTCAATAGAAATAGGTCGATGGGCTTCAGAATAAGATATAGCTTTATTTATACCCAGGATTGAATGATGCTAATGCACCTGGCGGGTGGAGCGTTTTTAGGCTTTGAGGCCCCGTTGGTGGTCCGACAGTCAATCTGAATGTTTAAATTGACAAATTGAAATTATATTGACCTGAGCCGTAGTTGGCACTGGAATTTGAGACCTGGATCTCGGATTTTAATAGCTTGATGATGTTATTGGCTTTGACATCTTTCGCGAACGCGAGGAAGATGCGGGAGATGAAGCACAGCCACATCATCAACTCACCAGCCTCCCCGGACCGTGGCGGTGATATATTAAGTAAGCGGCTTCGAGATCGCTCAGCGACAATCTACGACTGAATTGATGTTCAGTCTTGGATCTTGAAACATTTGAATGAGAAACACGACACGCTCTTTGGTACGTCAGTTGGAAAAGCCATATTCAGAGAGAGCGATCAATATCGAATGATGGTGCTGTATAACCTGACAGGGCTCTCCGGAGATTTGACTGTCGCCTCGAATCGCGAAAATGGGTCAGTTAACCAGGAGTCTTTTTGAAATTTCTCAAATAGAAGCAAGAGTCTCAGTCTGCATAAGAAATCACTTTGAAAAAAAGAATTTCTCACGATAAATGGTCTCGTGAAATGAGGGATGCGCCACCAGAGAGAGTGAAAACATGCTCAAAGAATCCATACGTCAAGCGGGCGGAGCCTCAACATTCATTGGAAGTACGGATTTCATCTGTCATTTGAACTGAGATATTTTTGTACCGATTCTCTCGTCAAAAAGAAGAAACGACAGCCTGTACAACTTAAACTTGAAGGCGGTTATTGTTCAAAGGCGTTGGACAATTTGGATATCTCAGTAGTAGTCTTTGACCTTCAAATGTTTATAACAAAGCCTTGTAGACAAATAATTGAAGGTATTTTACCTGAAGTTGATTATGGTATATGTGAATCTCGAGTATACAACTCTGGTGAAGATCTCTCATGATCTCAAGGCAATCATTTCAACTTGAAACCATGAACCAACCTTCCACACTTCCATACAATACACTCATTCACTTTACGTTCTCTCAATATCTCATTATCTGCAGCCATTTTTCGACTTAGATTTCTTACTTAATCCCAGTTTTCATCCAGAAACTCCCAGAAACTATCCTTGAGATCCCCCACAATGCCATCCAAGAAAATCCTCACAGAGGCCAAGGAGTCCGAGGAGCCTTGCCAACGTTGTTTCCTTCGACTGATAACCACACCAGATCATGTGTGTAAGCGACGTGAGGAGTTAATAAGATGTGTGTACTGCAGCAACATCAAAAAAGCCTGCAACCCGGTAAGCTCAGTCATACCGAACTCCCAGAAATCCGCCCAAGCTAACAGCTCCATTGATTCCGCATGAGTTCAAAGAGGAGGCGCTGGAGACCATGCGAATGCCAAAGTGTCAACGGACTGAGCGGACTCTACAGATTCTCAAAAAGATCAAGCTACGTACACGCCGAATCAACAAGGAAATTCGAACAGAAGCCGTCAAGGCTTCCTCTGAGAGAGACACCAATGTGAAGAAGGAAGGAGATGAAACGGAGATGGATCGTCTTTTTGAGATGTCAGTGGATAACTCTGATAATTACGAGAAGTCTGACACCCTTGAAAACTCTGACATCCTTGACAACTCGGATATCTGTGACAACTCGGACAACTCGGACACCTCTGATTACTCCGATCAACCTGACCTCCCTGCCATCCTTGACTACTCCGATGAATCCGATAACATCTATGATGCTGATATTCCTGACAACTCCGATGAATCCGATGAATTCTATGATGCTGCAGCCCAGAAACAGCTTCAGGTTTCTCTCACCGAAGCAGCCCAGGCAAACATAGAGACCCCGCAGGTGGCTTACTTGGAGAGCCCGGAGAAGTGGTGGCGTGATAATTGACGGACCTAGATCTGGGAGTTTTCATACCTTTGGTGCGCAAGAGAATGGGGTTCTGTTTGATCGCGATGGCCTGGAGACCTCTTCAATGATTTGCCTATTTGAGTTCCAACATGCGTTGGAGGGAGATTGCCCGTTAATCCTCTATCCAACTTGCCAAATTGAATTCCTTTTTTTCTTTGCATAGGAGAAACCTCGAATTTTAATTGAATATTAAGGTTAATTTACACAATCAAGAAGTAACGTGTAGACCGGTGTTCACAGCGACGTGGATGTCTATACTCAGAACTACCACACGATCTGCATCAGATATCGGAGTATAGGTGGTTGGAATTTCCTAATTCAGTACTCACATTCCATTTATGGCAAACGAGGCACCGGGAGTTATAATAATCCGTCCTAAAATGATAAAATAGGAAGCTGTAACCACTTTCGGGAAGTGCCGAGCTCGGCAACTTGGAATCAGCAACCCCGTCTTCTGCCAACCAGGTCGACTATGAATACTGTGGATCATCATCATCCCCACAGAGACGTCTATTCCCTATATTTCAAGTTGATATTCATCTCCAGATTCCCCAGATAATATGGTAGGATCCACCGTGGACACTTCAAGTCGGAAACCTACGCAAAACCTCCGCAATGACGCCGTCAGAAGAAGGTCAAAGCAGGAGCTCGCATGTAACCCGGACCGGTGGACAATGGGCATATAAGAAAGCCTGTCCATGAGAATCTATCAACCGGGGATCTGCAGAATATCACAGATCTCGAGACAACAATATTCACAATGCGTTCCTGGTACGGACGGGGGAAACCCCTGCAGAAGGCAATTACAGCATGCTGTCTCGTTGCGTTCATTTTGTTTGGATACGACCAAGGAGTTTTCAGCAGCATTGTTACCAATGAGAATTGGAAGAAGCAATTCAACTATCCTAACGATTCGAAGGAAGGAATTATAGTTGCTATAACCTTGGTTGCCTGTTAGGGTGTTTCAGTAAGTCGACCCCTGTGATATCTCACATGTGCAGCATTGAACATCGCTGACCATGGAAATATAGTAAACTTCTTTGTTGGAGAAAATCTGGGTCGTCGGAAGACAATGTGGCTTGCAATGGCTGTGGTCATTGTTGGTGCTATTCTACAAACTGCTGCTTTTACAGTACCTCATTTGGGTATTGGTCGAATCGTGACTGGCGCAGGCACAGGAATCAAGACATCTACTGTCCCAATGTGAGCATAATTCATCTTGCTTATTTTATTACCCTGAAGAATGATACTGATGATTGATCTCAGGTATCAAGCGGAAATGTGCGAAGGAAAAACTCGAGGCCGCCTCATTTCTTCAGAAGTCCTTTTCACCGCTGTTGGAATCGTCATTGCATATTGGTTAGATTTTGGCATTTCTTATACCGATGGTGCCATTGCTTGGCGTCTACCCATCGCGATTCAGATCTTTTTCGCAATATTCGTCATCGTGCTTGTATTTGGCCTGCCGGAATCCCCTCGATGGCTTATGAATCATGGCAGAGAAAGAGAGGCAGTGGACGTGTTATGTGCAGTCTATGATCTAGAGGAGCACGATGATTTCATTGTTAAGGAGCACAGAGCAATCCAGTCTGCTCTCGAGCTGGATAACTTTTCTAGCAAGAAATCTGTTTGGAAAATCTTCCGGAATGATGAAATCAAAACGGGCCAGCGAGTTCTGCTTGCTTGGGGCATGCAGCTGATGAATCAGGTTGGAGGGATCAATATGATTGTCTACTACATACCAAGTGAGCTACCCTTGAATGTCTCACATATATGCAAAATTGACTAACATGTTCTCTCAGCGGTCCTGCAGAATAATGTCGGACTTACTGGAAAGCTTCCATCAATCCTGGGTGGATGCGTTGAAGTCATGTTCATGATCGGCTCTCTTCTTCCAGCATTTATGCTAGATCGAATGGGACGTCGTCGAACAATGATGATTGGTTCATTTGGCCTAGGCGTATGTATGCTCATGATCGCGGCCCTTCTCTCTCAGGTCAATGAGCCTCACGGGAAGGAATACGCCTCTGCCTCTGTCGCATTCTTTTTCTTGTATATGCTCATCCATGGCATGTCTATTAACTCCGTGCCTTGGGTGTATGTGCCCGAGATTCTTCCTTTGGAAGCCCGTACCAAAGGAACTGCCATCGGCGTCAGTTCAAATTGGCTGTGGAATTTCACTATTGTCATGATAACGCCAGTTATTATCAACCGCATCCAGTGGAAGGCCTATATCATATTTATGATGACAAATTTTCTTTTCATCCCGGTTGTTTACTTCTTCTACCCCGAAACTGGCAACTTGCGGTTGGAGGATGTTGACTTAATTTTCTCTCGTGGAGGCGATCCTGTGAAACAGGCCAGACTACTAGCAGCGGAACTGAAGGCCAATGGCCGCATTGAATCCGATGATAATCTCGACGAGAAGGAGATTGAGGCCGTTGTGATCGAACATGCTTGAGCTTTATTACATATTATGACAAGATCAGGACACTTGCCTTGAATATTTGTCTTTGATAAAGCAGAATCCCGAATCGTCTTCAAGTTTTTATGCGTATGAAAGAAGACATTATTCGAAAAGCAGTAATATTCCAATGTTGATGTATTTCACTGGCACGCATAGTGAAACAGGAAACTGATCACAAAAATGAAAATAAACTAATGGTCAATCATTTGGTTCCTCCAAAAATCCATAGATAACTTGAAGTCGCCAGAGAAATCAAGTCTTGCATCCCGCCCGGGCGGGTGCCAGTATTGACATATTCCCCTCTTGAGGGTGGTGAGCGGCCCCTCGCCAAATCCTTTCAAAGGGGGTTAATAGAGGCCGAACTGAAACTTCAATGTAACAACACAGGACTCCGCAGTCGATAGGCATTGTCTGGGTCGTGATTTTCGAAAGTAACCATAATTGGCAGCATTGCTCGGCAGACGTTGCTGGCTCGTCCTAGTACCTCAACTGCGTACTGGTTCAGTTGCTCTGTGGCTTTGAACGCAACGCGGAACGCTCCAAGCTTCGAATGTACTCAACCTGCCACGGTCAGACCATTGCTGATATCACTGAGAGCCTGATGTGTCATCCTAAGACTCGAATGGCGGGAAAACATCGGTATAGGACCTCCCAGTAACCAGGCACACCTGCAGGTAGTTGCGAGCAAGTCCCATCACTTCAAGTTCCTGCGAGTTCAGTGTGCTGAGTGACATTTGGCCTGTTGTGATTTGTATTCCACTCGAGGTCTTACTTGTCACTCACGCAAAAGAACAAGAAAACAAGTTGAAAACTGCGGAAGACTAGCATTTTGATGATGAGTAGGTTGTCACCGAGCAAGGTGTACTCATTGGTTTCATATTTTCCATGAAGGGCGATAGATGCCATCCAATGCTTGCCCAGTATGAGGTTGTAGCTCGAGATAGCGTCGACAATCAGGCACACCAGGACTCGATTAGACCCTGCGACTGATATTCAGCCAACAGCCCTTCAACGCACGATCCTGAATGTTGAGTTTGGTTGGTGGAGTGAAGAGTTGCTGAGGAGAATTTACGATTTTGATAAGCGGTCTGTCTTGCTTGGTTTTGATTGTAATCGCAATTTTGGCTTGTCATCCTGTGGGATCAACCCACATCCTCACGTCTTCACGAAGTTTGATCTCAACCATACCCACTTCCTAGACTACTGCGGGTCTGCTTCTGCCTGTGCCTGTAGTAATTATAGGAGCCCACCCTCCATCTTGGATTTCTTTTTCTGGGCATGCACATTGACTTGAACACCAACAAACGATGTAACATCGTCGCTGAGCCCCATGGCTTCGAGTTCATTCTGAATGAGCCTAGCTAGCCTCACACTCAGGCAAAGGCTGCTTTGGACGATGACGATGGCCACCGTTATCCCAGTAGACAATTACCAGATAGGCTCAATGCTCAATCTCGTGTTTTTGATTTCAGACTCTGATGAATCGCTCGATTGATGCCTGGTCATTCGGGTTCGGCCTGCTACAGATATCGCACGAAGCACTGTGAGCAGTCGAACGCAATAAACACCAGGACATCAAAGCACTGGTTCAACTTAATGCATGGACCCTGGTGGTCTAGGCTCTCGGGCGATCCGTTTTCTTCGGTCGTCATCTTCCTTGAGTTTCTCTTGAAGGAAGCTCTGTGTGTCTTTGCACATGTTGATGGCCTCTCTCGCTAGTCTCATTCCAGTCCCTCGCTCGGTGTTCTGAGCAATACCCTTGTGGTTTTGTATGAGAAGGCTTGTAGACAGTTATCTTGCCTAGACAAGGGAAGCCATGGAGACTTCTATACGGGCACTGCCGGGCTTCCACTAAATTCCGCTTGCGGATCACGGCACGATGTCCCAGAGTGATCATTTCGATGATAAGAATTTGAGTTGACGAGTCGTAGTCGTAAAATAAGCGGAGAAGATAGTGATCGCTTCAAATATTTGATATGGAAATTCGTGTGCAAAAGAAGAAAGGTCCGTCAGAAAGATGATATAGTTAGTTTTTTTTCCAATATGGGTTGGAAGGTATCACCATGTTAAATTTGGAATACCAGCTTAAGCTATAGAGATGAGATGCCAGTGGACTGTCACGTGGATGGTAGGTGATGGCTGGATGAAGGACTTGAAGTTGAAACTGGATGTGGAGGAGAAGGGAGAGGAGTTGGAACAGAGAAGTAGGAAGAGTTCAATGAGAGAAGGGACGTAGAAGCGGATGGAGTAATTGGAGAGAATGACAATCGCGCTTGATGAAAAGTAAATTTGAAGTAAGAGAAGTGGTGCGGTGAAGGTAAGGTTGGAATTGAGTTATTGTGAGGGATACTTTAGAATCTAGAATGGATTCCTGAATATGAACGAGTTTGAACTTGAAAATGAGAGGTTTTCAATTTCACGATTGTCTCCCTCATAAAGATGTGCTACCTACTATTATATTGATGAATAATCTTTTCCAAGTTAAGGATATCATTCAACCCTCTTCAATTCAACCCTCTTCAGTGTAATCCGGACAGATGTTCACCCACAAAATGTTCCAAGGTTCCCACAGATGTGTCCAGGCTATGCCTCCATGGTCATGACTTGCGTAGCAGGTCCCACCAGGGCAGAGGTTTTAACCAGTGAGTAACTTGCAGAAGCTTCCGTGGCTGCGTTATTCGCATTTTGGCCCTTTCCTATGTAGTCCCGAATTTTCTTTTTGAAGTTCAGCATTTTCACCAGAGGAGTCACGTAGGGAACATGTCCTTGTTTGTCTTTGAAAGTCATGTAAATATAGCAGCAGATAACAACAGCCCAGTACAAGTTGTATGACAGGACAGATCCATAAGTTGCCGAGTTAGTCCAGCCGAAGAGTGCGTTGAAAATTCCCCATCCACCACCTCCGCCGAGTTCTGGGTTGCAGCAGTTGACGTGCCATACACTCTGACGAATGTCATATGAGCCGGCTCCAGATCCAGTCTCAGATGCATCTCCACCGATGATATTATTCCAAGCATTGTTTTCGAAATACCAGACACCTCGGGAGCAAAGGCCTGCGGCCACAAGGTAGAGGAAACATGTCGAGCCAATCATGAAAAATTGGAGTGATGTGGAGTTTCCTCCTCTATTTTTTTTTGAATTGTCAGTCTTTGAAAATTGACTTCATACATATTATGAAAGGATGAGGTGGGAAAAACGAACCGATATAGAGCATATCCCACCAAACAGCCAGCCAGTAATCCACAGAAAACCGCGAGAGGGAAGGAAGACGCCGGTAGACCTAGACCCACGCCTCCAACATAAACAACAGCTTCCAGTCCCTCTCTTAGAACAGTAATGAATGGTAAAAAGAACATGACGTGTTTCTCTGAGTAAGCCTTCAATCGTGCCATGCAGCCCGCATTCTTCGAATCCGTCTTCTGCAAGGCATTCGCCAGCTTCAAGCGCCATTTCTCTTGCATTTTGTTCACTCTTAGCAAGGCACCTCCCATAATAGAGATGACAATGGAGGCAAATAACCCAAGAATGCCTTCCCAAATGTCCTCGGTATTGGTAAAGTGATCCGCACCAAGTCCATAGAAGGCACCAATCATGCCCGCCCCGATACAGATACAGATGAATAGTCCCATAGTGACGCCCCACCATACCTGCGAACATTAGATTAGACCAAAAAGATGAAGCAAGAAGAAACTTACCTGTTTTCGTAGTCGTTTATATACTATAATGTCACCATCTTCTCCCCCCTAGTGCTTGTTTAAGGAAGGCCAGGAGAACTGAAACAATGATACTGCTCTCCAGACATTCTCGGAAGCAAATGAAGAATACTAATACCCAGTCAGTATCCATGGATGCATCCATTGTATTTGAACCTGTCCTCGAGTCACCTACCCGTCACTGCGAATATCTCATTTGCCATTTTGCCGATTCTAAGAGGCTCAGTTATAAAAAACGAAATGCTTGTCAGAACCGCGAATTCTGGGACAAGTCCCTTGACTTTATTTTGGAATTTTCTTTTGCAGAATCAAATCTTATCTGATCCTATCAATCCTCAGGCTGTGGATACTTTGTCTTCCTCGCAACTTGAAGTTCCGACAAAATAAAATTATTTTCCGATACCGCGGTCTATTTTGACTCAATATAATTCACTATAATTATCGGATTTTAGTTTAAATTCCGGAGGTTAATCAAGGAATAGAGGATCCACTGTGGATGGGACCTGGCCAGTGGCGCCAATACTACCAACATTTGAACGCAGTGGGTCTTGGGAACAAAGACATCTGGAAAACCACTGCTGGCAAGAATGGAAGAAATGAGCAAAAATCGAACCATAACTTGAATTTTCCAATGAATCTTGGGGACGCCTGTTATCAAATCCGATATATACCTACTCACCTTCGGCTCTACATGCACTTCGTCACGGTGCCTTGAGCTTTCCTGATTTCTTTTTCAAATTCGCGAATATGGCTATTCGAGCGGTCTTCTTCTGGGCATTAGCCCTGCAGGTCGTTGGCGTTTTCTGTGACACACTCACCTTGAATTGGAATATTACTTGGGTTGAGGCTAATCCGGATGGATTAATGACTCGCCCAGTAATTGGCATCAATGATCAGTGGCCGCCGCCTGTGGTCAATGTCACCAAAGGGGATCGTATTGTCGCTTATGTGACCAACCACTTGGGTAATGAGACGACAAGTATTCACTGGCATGGTATTTATCAGACCAACACAACCTATATGGACGGTGTTCCTGGCGTGACACAATGTGCGATCTCACCAAATTATACCATGGTCTACAATTTCACGGTATGCTAGTAATCATAAATGACTCCGTTGCAGCAAAATTTCTCATGAGAACTAGGTTGATCAAACGGGTACATACTGGTACCATTCTCATGTTCGTGGACAATACCCAGACGGTCTACGCCAGTCACTTGTTGTGAATGATCCCGAAAATCCATATATTGGTGACTATGATGACGAGATCGTTGTGTCGTTATCCGATTGGTACCACGATCAGATGCCGGAGCTCTTGAAGCAATTCATCAACGTGGAAAATCCTACTGGAGCTGAACCTGTCCCCAAATCCGCCCTGATGAATGACACCCAAAACCTGACGGTCTTGGTTGAACCTGGGAAGACTTATCTTTTCCGATTGGTCAATGTGGGAGCATTTGCAAGCCAATACTTCTGGATTGAGGATCATGACATGGAAATTGTTGAGATTGATGGCATTTGGACTGAGCGCGCCGAGACAGATATGATTTACATCACGTCCGCCCAACGATATAGCTTCCTGGTTACCATGAAGAACGAGTCAGACACTAACTATGCAATGGTGGCCAGCATGGACACGGACTTGTTCGATACTGTGCCTTCTAGCCTGAATTGGAACGTCACTGGATGGCTGACATATGATGAATCGGCGTCGATGCCAACGCCAGCTATCAAGCAAAGCTTTTCCCCCTATGACGATGTCGATTTGGTCCCAACAGATGGACAGGAAATGTATACCGATCCTGTCGAGACCATCACCCTAGACTTGAGCATGAATAATCTCGGCGATGGTGCAAATTAGTAAGTCACTATCCCTTTGCAAGTACCTCAGAGAACTTGAATATACTAATAACCTGTCTCCGCAGCGCATTCTTCAACGACATCAGTTACGTGTCTCCTAAAGTGCCATCCATTTTCACTACATTGACCACCAGCTCAGCCGCGACCGACGCGGCAATATATGGCACCGACTCTCACGCATTCGTGCTGGAGAAGGACCAGGTCTACGAGATAGTGCTCAACAACGATGACACCGGCACACATCCAATCCACTTCCACGGTCGCGCGTTCCAGGTCCTCTACCGGAGTGCTGTGGATGCAGGTCATTATGATCCCTCAGCGAATGTCACATTCCACTCTGTGCCAGCCCGCCGAGATACTCTATACGTCCCAGCATCTGGGCACTTCGTCATTCGCTTCAAGGCCAATAATCCGGGAATCTGGATATTCCATTGCCATATTGAATGGCACATGGACGTCGGACTAGCGGCAATTTTTGTCGAAGCACCCATGTATATTCAAGAGCATTTCACCGTCCCTGAGAATCACTATGAAATATGCAATGCTACCGGTGTAGCTACTGCTGGCAATGCGGCAGGAAATACTGAGGATGTGTATGATCTGACCGGACAGAACAAGTCTGTCGCACCTCTACCTGCTGGTTTCACAGCAAGGGGTATTGTTGCTCTGGTTTTTAGTTGTGCTGCCGCTTTTGCTGGAATGGCGTCTATTATCTGGTAAGTGGTTTTCAAGCTGTCGAGAACATTTTCCGTTGGAATCTCATTTACTCATTCTTTTTTAACCTGTCAGGTATGGCATCGCCCCTTTTAAAGCGCCTCCTATTACGTTACAGTGAATGGGTATCTGAATCATTTGTGGAAACTATTAGTATCATCTCATTTTTATCTCAGGCTCTTCTCTTCAAGTTTTTATATGTCAATACCATTCAATTTAAAAGCTCTGTAATACATCGTCATACATAATTCTCTTCCAGACACCTTTGTGTGCTTACTATATAGGTATACGTTCCGGGGCACAACCTTGAAATTTGTAGTCAGGCGACTCTTTCATGCACATCTAGTTACCACCACTACTAACCCCCCCTCCATGCTCCATGAGTACTATCATCCTCTTCGTCAGATAGCAAGCGCCATTTTTATCATTCGTGGCGTGATCCTCTAGACTAAGGAAGGTTGTGAACTATGGACCCGTGACGGAGGATGTGAGCATTTGATGAATGGAGCCTTGGAATGTACTAGCTGCCAGTTTGTTCTGTTGTGTAGTGGTGGGTGGAACTCAGAACAAGTGAAAATATTTGAATGGTGAAGGTGAAGTCTGGATGTATGTATGATAGGTGGTACATAGTATATCCTCGGCTCGGAGAATGAGCCAAATGTTGGAGGTTATCCATTTACATGGAATAAGAGAGAGTGAGAGAGAACTGAAGCTCTGAAAATTTCCCTTGAAATAGTAATCAACAATGGACTCAATAGCTTTAGGTTTTTGATAACTGAAACTTTTTAAAACTTGAACAATGCTCCATCATACTACTCCATAATAATCTCCTGACGTTTTCTTTTGACCGCATCACCATCACCACCCATATGCCTCTTCAAAGTAATCCAGCGTGCGACATCCGTTCTTCAGGGCTTGGTGCACTGCCGCCCGTGCTTCATCAGCCATCGCTGCCGGACCGCATACCAACACAGCGGCTCGAGAGTTACTCAGCTTAGCCTCTGTCCCAGATTCTGCAATCAGAGAAGCAACTGGTGCCCGACCAGATTGGATGATGATCTGTTTGGTGACTTCATCCGATGAATGCACAGATGTAGAAATGTTTGTAGGGACATTCTTTTTCGAGCAATAGAACTCGAATTCGATTCTCTGATCACAAATTGCAGCAGAAAGATCATTTGCGCACACCTCCTCCACAAATTCTGGTTGACGGACTGTCCAGACGAGCTTGATTTTACTGGTGTATGAGATTGCGATTTTCGACTTTCCAAGGAAATCTTGAACATAAGGCACCGCGCAAGCAATGCCTGTGCCACCCATGATCATTGTAATGCTGTCATATGTATGCAGCATTTGAGTGTGGCCATAGGGACCCTCAATCAGAATCTTTGGGTAACAAACTCCGCCACCTTTGATGCATTCGTTGCGAAGGCGTTTTGTCCAACCATCGTACGGACGAATCCAAAAAGTCAAAGTGTTGCTCAAAGAGCTCGATCTGTATGATTTTAGCTTCACAGCGTCATCGGATGAATCGGACAACTGAGCTGTGGTGGTTGTTGTGACTTTCTTCTTGACAATTTCCGGGGTATTAGGCGACGAGTCCTCGAAGCCGTTGGTGAAGGCGCCAAGAGTAAAAGGATGATTCTCCCATCCTCTCAGTGTATAGGGCTGATATAGATAGTAAAATTGACCAGGACGACCTTTTAATGAGCTTGCGGTAGGCTGGAGATCGATACGAATCACATCGCTCGCAGAACTATACATGACAGATGCATTTGTTGTCTTCGCTTTCCCAGAAAAGACAGAGAAGTTGCAGTAGACCAGGCGGACCAATCGAAGGAAACGATCAAAACACCATATGGCAACAGTCGGCCATAGATATCCATTGTATTGGGTGCCAAAGTAAGAGGTGTGGATGAAGAGTGCGACGATCACGACGAGAGCCAAAACTATGTGGATGACGAGGAAGACTTCATAGGATCTTTGGCGAAGGAAAACAGAAGAAAACCCGAGCATAATCGATAACGCGATGGTTGCCTAGTGATGGGATTTGATATTAGTGTTCAATCTTGGCTCAGTAGATAAAAATTTGAAACTTACCACAATTCCGAAAATAAACCAGTTCTCCTTGAGGGACTTGAAATATTTCGGATCTGCAGGAGGTTGCTTAGTACTGGTTCAACAGGGCATGGCAACTTGAACATATCGTACAGTAGACAATCCACTCAACTGTATATCCGATGGAGTGCACAATCGCGTAGATGGTGCAGATGCGGGCAATATGACGATGGAATATGTTGAAAGACTGGAAGCTGAACCCAGTAGCCCAAAGGAAGATGTTATTCCGCCCACTGAACATCCACAGCCAGCACAGGCAGGCGTACGATAAAATAGCTGTTCGGTCTGAAAGCATCTCCCAGTTTTGCTCCGGTAAACTTGTGACCCTATTGTATGGAATTCATTAGAATGCATCGAATGAGTATGGGTTCGATCACGTACGTTGGGTTGCCGGAGAATGTATCATAGCCTGCAAATCCGAGAATGATCGATAGCGCCCAGAATCCAAACACAATGAGTGAATCAAGACGATTGGGGATATTGGACCACCAGAACAGTCTTTGGTGGTATGTACCGATTGTGGCAGGAATCACAATGTAGAGAAGGATCCAGTGACGCAGCATTGCAAGAGATTTCGGAAGAGCCAGTTCCCCCTGACTAGATTGATTCGGTTTTTCAATGTCCTTTGCTTTGGACTTGTTGAATCGAAGATAGTAAAACCACTGGCCGACTTTCCAAAGCGTTCCTAAGAACATCACGCCACCCCAGTAACCAATAAGTCCCCAGCCATATAGGAGATTGATTGGCATAGCTTCATTCGAAGCTTTCTGCAAGGAGTAAGTTAATATTCTCAAGATATACAAAGCACATGCTAATTGAGCTTTGAGGGAATTTGACATACCAAAGCATGGTGATACCTCCTATACTCTGACTTGATAACGACCACGGGGCTGCTGATCGTCTTTGTGTATGTTGAGGGGTTGATAACGGGTAGCGTAGCGACGACAGAGTCTGTCATACTGGCCTCAATTGTTGTCAAATCAATTAGTTCCGACTCGCCATTTTCACAAAAAGCCTTCCAGAATAATATGCCAGCATCCATCGTCCTAGGAGAGCAGTAGAGGGTCATTGAGGCATAGATGGACTCAACCTCCAGTTTATTTGTGCATTCTGTGGCAGAAGATGTCTTCTTTGACCATGAACCACTACTGTCTCCATGTCGTTTATGAAGTTCGCTTTCTCTCTTCTCTGACCAGGAACCACTTTTTGAACTGCTGGAGGAACTCTTGGTATAACTAGAGGAGGTTGACGAGGAAGTTGTTGAGTTTGTCGAAGAATTGCTTGATGATGAGGCACTTTCAAAGGTCAAGGATTCCAATGACTCATATATTGCATAGAAACAGTATTGGCTAGGCTTTGTAGGCTTATAGCCGCCCGCAGAGACGGAAACTGACAAGGCGAGGAGAATGGCCAACGAAGTCAACTGCATCTTGCAGTGCCGACTCACGACTTGTTGGACTACGCAAAAAAAAAACTTACAATTCAAGAAAAGAAGTTTGCTAACTGCGCTAGGGCATACTTTATATTTAGATACTAATTCCAACAGGGCTATATTGGCTACTCGGGTATGGTAGATCGTCCATATCTGGATAAACTGGCCTCACTGGACTTGGACAAGACCGGAAAATAATTCTTCATCCGAAAGTTCCAACATTCCTTGGACTTTACTGCATCAAAGATTCTGTGTCAAAGTGGAGAATATCGGATCTTAGACTTCGTTATGACTATGTACATACTTGAGGTGTGCTTGATTGATAGCGCAAATGTGGGTATGACTGCTGCCCAGGTGGACTGCGCTCCACTACTGGGGATATCATTGCTCTGATAAGCCTAGTCCCGCTGGCACATACGAATTTTCAAACTCCAGCAACTTATCAGTCTATAGACTGATCATGCTAGACTCGAAGCACATGATAGTCCTGACAAAGTTATCAATCGCCCCACTTGAGACCCACAACCGGAAGAGAATTTTCAGTTAACGCCACCGGACTTTCGCAAGATATTTATCTTCCGAGCCAGTGGAGCCTGCCAGAATTGGAAGACTAGGTAGCCCTGGAGCGCTCCGAGTCGTTTCCAAGGTTATGTATACTCTCACCAGGGGATAGTGTGTCTGTTGTCCACCAAATCCATGGTGTCTGCACCGAAAATTTGAATCCTCTATCCATATTCGAACCCTTTAATACACCGATCGATTTATATGGAGCTAGTATCCGAGTCTTAACAAACTTTGCAATTACTCAAGTGCTGCTTAGGCGCAGGTTACGCAGCTTAGTACCTAGGTACTCAAGTCCTGTAGTGCTTCAATAGAAAATCAATATTTCTCGTGTTAGTACTAACACTTCAATTTGAACATTTGAATGTTGAGTAGACTTGTAAAGGGCCCGAAGGGGTATCACAATTAGTACATCCATAGATGTATGTATGCTCTCCCAGTGGCAACATTAAACGTTCAAATGTTCGAAGTCGCGCACCTTTCGAACTCCAGGGCTTTCAAGTATAATAACATTGAATGCTCAACAAGTGCTTGGTGATACACCTGGGCACAAGTCAATACCCACTATTACTATTTACTTGCCTTGGGTGCTTTCAATGTTTGAACACGAACCCCGATGCGAACCCGGATGAGTGGAACTTGAATTTCATATATAAGATGTTCAACAAATTATTCAATTAAACAAGATAGAATGGGTGGTAACAGCCACGCCCATAATTTAAAATCAAGTGTTCAGTCGATGCATAGAGTCCCGGAGTTGAGAGACCAACCATTCCCCGTGCTAGAAAACAGAATCATGGAATCTGGCATCGGATACATAGAGTTCTTCACTCCTCATTGACGGGAAAGCTGATATGGATTCCGTCTCATTGCGTTCGAATGGACACCTCCGGGGCTCCGGCGGACAGTCGTAGTCAAGGTCACCGTACACCCCCTGGGTATCATGCTGTCGAGCCGTGAATGGCAAGTTCGAACCAAGAAGGGGCGCTGTAACAACTGTGAATGGTGCAGGCTCACAAATTGGAGTCTCAAAACTTGATAGCCATTGACTCATTTGGAACTCATCAACCCATTCACCTTTTTTGCAGGCAATTCTGGCCCAGCGGGAAGGGATTTTGTAGGTATTACCATCGCCTGCCTGTAGAAGTCTCTCTTGAATGGAGCTCAGATAGAAGCGGATATTCACCGGTCCCACGTCTATCACGTTCTTTATAGCGTCGGAATGAGTCGAATAGAAAACTTTCAAAAGCGTCGTCAATGCGGCAATGACTCGAGTGAAGATGGTGTTTGGAAATTTTCGAATCATCTCTAGATCCCAGGAAAGAAATGCATCCATAATATGGTAGGCTTCGTCGAGTCGCTTAAGAGTAATGTCGATGTCTGCGGCAGAGATCGGTGAAATGGATGTTGGTCCATTAATTACTTTTGGCGAGGGAAGGGTAAAATATTTCCTTCGGATAGCTTCTGGGTCTCGATATGCCTCGCCAATGGCAAGCTCAAGAATTGTGAGTGAGGCGAAATGATATTCAATCATTATTAGATCTAGAAAGAGAGAGTTAATCCTTGCCTGCATGACACAGCAATCACGAATAAATTTAACTTACTCGTCAAAGTTTCGGTGTGAAAACATTTTTTCCACGACAAAATTCGACTCTGAAAGTATCGCACACGTTGCTGTACTTGAGCATCGGCTGAGTTCTCAGTGGACGGCATGTTGTCCAAGATGCAAGTGGATGAGAAATCCTCCACAATTTGCTGCAACTGAAACCATGCGGCTAGGAGACGGTCTGTTGGAACTTCCGATTGCTCGATTATTTCAGCGCATTGTCTTGTAAAGGTGTTTGAAGGTAGAACACTGGGTCGATGAGTTTTCACTGCGATACTGCAAAGTTTAGTTAAGTTCACTTTCGGGCTACGTATTGAGATTCATACTTAGATGCAAAGTAGTGACAGCCGATTATGGCCCTAGCCTGGGCCAATCTGCCACTTTTGCGTACATCTTCCTCCATCCAGCTATCTGGTTCACGAAAGTCGGATGTGAGGCCGAGTTCAAAGGCCATGGTGGCGGCAATATGCGTGTATTGGTAATATTGACTCTGTCGCGACCCATTTGGTGGGTAGTAGAATGCAATCATCACCAACAAAGATTGAACGAGCTCGAGGGATTTTTCGCCTTGAACAAAGAAAACATGGGAAATCCTTGTTACTAGCTGGTCATTGAGAGTCGTAGCTAGTGAAGGCTCTGCCGTCAATGAAGCAGCAGCCACAATCGATAGAAACAGAATGGGCATAGTCCGACGCAGCTGTTCCACATTGACATCAATAGGGAGGGTCACAACTGGGAAGAATTGAACTAACTCGCTGACATAAAACCGAACAAGCCTTTCAGCCTTCTCTATGGACAGAATATTGAGATCAACAATGTCACTGGCAGCTGAGAGGCAGGAGTCATATTCCATTGATGAGAGGTTCTTGTCCTCTGGTGGTGGAGGAAACCGGTCAACCCTGCTGTCCCTTGTATAAAGCCGAGCTTCTAGAAGAGAGCGCATGGCCTGTATTTCTTCCTGTAGCATGGCCACCCGGGATCCTGTTTTGCGGCGTGATCTTTTCTGTGGTGATGCAAAAATACAAGGCCTCATCATCCTGGTGCAGCGCTGACATTGATTTGAATTGGTTAAATCTGGTAAGCATCGAACTTTGTGTGCCCTGCATCCTTCGCAGGACCGGTTCAGGCTTCTTGTGGTTCTCTGAGACTGTGACACGTCCATCGTTCGACAATAAATCGGATCAGATTAGATTGCGATATACTCATGTCCGGGAACTAGACCGCGAACAGGGATGATCAAAGTTTATTAGGAAGAATTTCTTCATCTGACCTGAAAGCCAAGAAGTCTTTGGCGGCTCGCCCAAAATCCATATACATAGCCCGAAGCCCGCTTCGAGTACCAAGTGGATCATGATAGCTCGTGTTTATACGCGTATGTAAAGACAAAAAATGGTTGAAAGTGGCTCGCCAAGAAATCAAGCACCGCTTGAAGCCGCCACAGAATAACCAAATCAGGACGTCGTACGCGGACTCTCTACTGCCAAGAACTCGCGCCATGGGAGATCATTTTAGTCTTGGCATTTAGGTCCAGCTCCATGACACGTCCAAATGTTAGCATTACTTAGGCTTCCGCTAGTAAGACAGACAGTTGGGTTTATGTCAATGAAACATGGCAATTGATCTAACAGCGTCGAGTCCTTTCAACTTGAAGCTCGTTCTGCTTCCACATGTGCATGTTTCTATTTGATATCAAAGGAAGATTGATTTGATTTCCAATCAACTTGATAGGTGTTCCAAGTTTTAATGCACATATAGCTCCGGTTTAGCCTGAATGCCCTGAATGCCCTGAATGCCACTATTTTGCATCCATTACAATATCCTGCATGTGTCTCTGCCACTCTCTGGTAATCAGCGTTGCTATCCTCATCTCAGTGAAGGCGGTGAAGAGCTCTTTCAAATGTACAGGTGGAAAAGCGGCAGTTTCTTGTGTCAATGGCTCCAAGGCTGTCATTTCCCATGTTCTATATAGAATTTCAACTTCAACTTCATACAACATCCGTACTTCCGAATTTGCCACAATGAACAATCTCGCTCTTTAAACGACAAAAACACTCAGAAAATAGAACATCCAGCTAGTCAGCTAGCCTTGGCTGCCTTAGGCGGGTACTTCTTCCCGTCCTTCTCAACCTGAGGTGCGCAGGCACACCACTCATCCTCAGGGATGGAATCCATGACAGATGGAATGTGGGCACCACAGCCCCACCAAGTGACCTTGTCTAAAGAAATGATTAGCCATCGTTACGAATCCTTTCCTATGTTGCAGACTTACTGCAGGTAGAGCACTGAGCCTTCATGCACATCGTGGAGAAATTTGCGTGACACGGGGTAATATGTGTTTATGAGGTAAATGATAGGTCTCGAAGACAGCACTTGAGTGAAGGTAGAGATTTGGTTTTTAATAGATAAAGAGCGAGCGGGAAGTGATAAAAGTCTTTTATATAACTTTTTTTCGGCATCTTGAATCTTAGTCATGGACACCGACGCCGATAGGTGAAGCCCGAACACCCCTATCGGTGTTCACTCTGGTTATTAAATGGGCCATAAATTATTTGTCATATTATCAGCTTTTATGATCATTTAGCTATTCTTTAGAAATGTTGTCGTCCCGATTGTAGACATGGTGTTTGCTTGTCATTCGTATAGCTGTTCTAGCGAACCGGCAAATGGTGGGGCTTGAAGCGGGGTGAAACCCGAGTTTTGACCCTTCACTCACACTAGCCGGGGAATCCGTGCAATTACAAGTCTACTGGAAAGGACATAAATCGACCGGAATAATTATTTAAAATGACGGTGATTGCTGTAGCTGGAGGCTCGGGAGGCGTCGGGAGGACTCTTGTCGAGAGGCTAGTGCAAGAGCCTAAATTTCAAGTCATCGTCCTATCTCGAGTAAGGAAAATCTTGGTTTAACCAAATCACACTAATACTAATCGAATACAAGGCGACGTCGAATGGGCCATCATTTCCCGGTGCTCAGACTGTGCAAATCAATTACGACGATATCTCCTCTATGGAAAAGACCCTTGATCACCACAACGTCCACACTATCATATCTGCTATTGGTCTCATTTCGGATGAAACAAGTCAATCACAATTGAACTTGATCGATGCAGCCGAAAAGTCAACGGCGACAAAGAGATTCATCCCGAGTGAATTCTCATTCATCCAAACTCCCGAGTCAGTACTTGAGTCATCAAACGTCACACACATCCTCTACTGACCACTATGCAGTCTTCTCTCGATAGACCCCAGTAGCAAGTACTGGCTTGATGCAGCCAACCGTCTGAAGGAAAGCTCGCTCAAGTATACCCGTGTTGTCCCGGGCTTCTTCATGGACTATTGGGGCATGCCACATGTTCCAACGAATCTGCTGCCATACACCTTCGGAATCAACGTAGCCAAGCATGAAGCTGCTATTCCTGGTGACGGGAATGATGCTATTTGCATGACTTACACATATGACATGGCAAACTACGTGGTCAAAGCTCTTGATCTTGATGAGTGGCCTGAGTTTAGTGTGATTGTCGGAGATGAAGTCACGTATAATCAGCTTTTGAGAATAGCTGAGGAGACTACGGGTTTGTGCAGCCATCCATCAAACTTATTAGAGTGTCTTGACTGATTCATATCAAATAGGGGCCAAGTTTAAGGTAACTTATGATACTTTTGAGCAAGTCAACTCGGGGGATGTTACCATACCACCGAATCCCAGTGGCACAGACTACCCAGAAGACGAGATGAAGGAGATGACGGCATTGGTGAGTCGGCTTACTGTTAATGGTGTATTTCAACTTCCCAAGGAAAACAGACTCAATGCACGTTTTCCTGAAGTGAGACCCATTACAGTGAGAGAGTTCATGGAGAAATACTGGGCTGGAGAATAAGCATAAAATCAAAATTGAAGATTAATTCAAACCTTTGTCACTCTCATCCACTCTCACGAACCAATGAAAAAGAATCAGCAATTTGGATCGACAATTTGAGATATCCTTGGTAGCTAGTGGACATGCCAACACATTCACAACAACTATCCCTCAGATCGAAAGCTCAGCACTGAGGGCCAGGGTAAACCACTCCAACGCAGTAGGTGCGTCCAGTAATGAGGTTGGAACACCAAGGGTTGATATCCGGGTTCCAGCACAAAAGCTCCTCGATGGTGAAGGTGTTTTGATGCTGAGAGATGATGTCCCAGCATGTATCTCCATCTTGGACTTTGTAAAACAGGTTGCCTAGATGCAAACTGTGAGTTTTCAATTTCATGGCGTGATAATTGAGCTCCGATCAACTTACAATGAGGGGTATAGCCAACAGGCCTCTTTGAACCACTAATCACATCTCTTGCCGAATTCTTGTCAATGGCGACCGACAATCCCAGAGATGCAAGACCCAATGTCCAGACCATCACATGGGTGAATGAAGGACCCATGGCAGCGTTTGGAAGGTTGATGGAGTTGATAAGCGGATAGAGTAGAGAGACTTGGAAGGCTCTCAGAATTGTCAGTTGATATAATGGGCTATGCTGCTCGTCGAATATTGGAAAGCGATGTCGTAGAATCGGCTCGTATGGCTGGTATTTATACCAAAGATTCATCTCCTTCATGTTGAATCCCCAGCTTATAAAGTCCACGGGTCCTATCATGGTCTCATACTTCACAGATAATCAGCCAGCTACCTAAGTATAGGAATGTTACAAAACTGATGCCATTTGCTGAGTTCTGCCTTGTGAACGATGCTCATATCCTTTTGTCCGGGTTGCAATCACTTGTCGTGCAACCACCTGTCACTGAACCTGAGAATATCTCCTTTCACGAAAGCAAGTGGCGATGAAATAAACATCAGATTCGCTAAAAGGAGAACTGGAATTTCGTGCGTACAGCACTTGAAGAGTCTGATGCTTATTTGCACGGCATATGTCTCGGGAAGATCGAGTGGCTCCCCGACTCCCCGACTCACCGTTTGTTCTACTGTTACATTGAGTTTGAAGATGGCGAGCTGAAGAAAGACATTCGGGGGAGTACTGCTACCTTTCGCAGGGAAGCCTGGCAGCTGATGCATGAATTGGTAATACCCTCACCAGATCGAGTATTCTGCTGTGAGATGGCAGAAAGGGGTATCGGGTTGGTGGGTTGACCAGATATTCTGCAGGGGAGATTGTGTAACATCCGTGGCCTGGGCCATGCCCAATAGAAGACGCGCTTAAATCAAGGATTTTTGACTCAAATAGAGATGAAAGCTGCAGCAAAAGCTTCGATTCAGATCACTACCAGGGTGCAGAGTGACATCGATTTTACGGTGAAACTTGAATGCTGAACGCGACTATGGATCCAAGTGCTGACTTCTAGAAATGGGTATCACGAAGAACAAGTTGCGTGCTCTCTCCCTATCTAGTATGTTTGAGCGTTTTCTGCCTTCTTCTGATAAGAAGGTCATGGCATCCTCAAGTTTATGGACTAGTATACATGTCAGCTGTCTTTGATCATGTCCAGCATCGGAGGTGAATTTGGAATCATCCCACCACCGAAGCTCGGACATCTAGATACATGTGGTCTCGCCACATTTCCTGAGTGACAATATCATAGGACTTTTCTAACTTAGGACAAAAACTTCAATCTGAAGAAAGCTTATAGCTTTTGTCTCTTAACTTAGTGGACGAATAGGCTCAACACCATGATGTGACTGATAAAGATCACTTTATAGATTTCCATGATGCCATAATGAATACGAATCGATTACCGGTGTATTGATTTCGGATTCTCTATTCTTTATTTGTTTGAAGCTGAGTTATCATCTCCTCGATGTGCAAATTAGACTAAATCAGTATGCAGTATAGGATAGTTAACTGGTCACAGACGCTTGTGCTAGGTGGCCTTAAACCTAAAATGATTTCGAAAACTTTTAAACAACTTGAAAATTCAGTACAGCAGCCTTGCGCAGCTCGCATACGTAACAATTAGTGGATTCACTGCCTAAAATGGGTACAATAGCTTGCATATTGATAGGTTGGTTTTTCAGCCCCCAAGCCAATCCTTCCACAAGGATTCTTGCACATTTAAGCCTTCCAAGGTTAACCTTAAGCCTCCATTTTTCGTTTCTTTAACCTTCAACATTTCCTTTTCCCAAAATGTCGTCTCTTCCAACAGTTGTACTTGTCCATGGTGCCTGGCACACACCGGCGAACTATCAAACTTACGTGGACGCCCTGAAGAAGCGGGGGTTTCAAGTTCATTGCCCCCAGCTACCCACATGCACTGGTATACCGCCACCAACAGGTTCCCTAGTTGAAGATATCGCCTGTGTAAAAAGTCTAGTGACTTCACTTGTCGATGATGGACAACGTGTTTTAATGATCCTACACTCCTATGGTGGCGCTGTTGGTGGAAGTGCTGTGGAGGGGCTCTCAATTCCCGAACGCGAGGCTGCGGGGAAGCTCGGAGGTGTCATCCATTTGCTGTACCTCTGTGCCTATATGGTTCCAACTGGGGTTTCTGCGGGTGACATTATCAGAGAAGCCAAGTTTGAAGAGATATTAAAGGAGAATTTGGACATCTCGCCGGATGGGTTGACGGCCTTGAAAGATCCCGGGCTGGCGTTTTTCAGCGGGAGGGCCGATCAAGCCACTGTTGAGAAAGCACTCAAATCCTTGGTCAGGTTTCCAAATCAAGCCTTGTATGATCCTACGACGGGATGTGCTTGGAAAACTATTCCTGCAACCTATATTCGTACTTTGCAAGACTATGCGGTCCCACCGATCTATCAAGAGATCATACTGGGGAAGGTCAAGTATGCCGGTATTGAGGTGAAAGTTGAGACTTTCGATGCCGATCACAGTCTCTTTATTACTGAGCAGGAGGAAATGGTACAAGCTGCGATGAATGCGGCTACGGACGAAAGGAACAGTGCTGGCAGCTACTGAGGCCTTTTACTCTTCCAAGGTTATATGGGAGTGTATTGAATAAAAGTACTATTACTTAGATTTCAGAAACAAATGTCACAAAACAATGTCTCAATCTAGATTCTAATCAGCATTCTAAAGAGTACAAAAATCATACTTCAATCTGATATAAGACATGAAAAGTCCAGTGCCTTGTATCATGCAACAGCCAAGACAGCAATCGCCCAGGGGTCCATGCTGACTGAATAATTTCCCTCTTTGCTTTCAATTTTGGTGGTGACTGTCTCAACATCCACTTCATATGGTGTGTTCCCTTGAAACCGAGAGCCACTCAACATCTCTAATGTCCCTGATTTAGTCTCAGGAATGCTCACTGTGACATTCTGCTCTTCTGGCCCGTAGTTGGCCAACTTGACATAATGCTGCGAGTCTGATTTCGATGCGACCCAATAGAGTGGCCCAAATTCTGTCGATGACTTGACTGGGATCACTGTATCTCCCTTATTTGAAGCGAACATCTTTTGAACGAAATAGGATGTTGAAGGCGTTATCGATCCTGGAGATGAGTTAAACCCATAGAGTGTTGGCTAAATCAATACAAATCTTTTTGATTAGCCATCCCGACACTTCCAAAGCGACTGATAAACCTCGAAGAGTGAAAGAGATGCCTTACCGACCAAGAAACAAACCCGAAATGTTCTAACAGGGGCGCATAAGCCGCCATTTGCACAATATCGCTGTTTCGCTCCATGCCCATCATGTATATGGCCTCGCTGCAGCTGCCTTGCATGTATGACCAATATGTCCCCTTCGCATTTGATGTGTTTCGACATCCATACTCTCCAACCATTATGCTTTGGTTCCGAGGTTGATTGTCGAATTGATTGAACAACGCCACAAAGTCATCTGGCTGACGATACAAGTGCAGATCGATGATGACTCCCTCTGGCACAGGAGATGGCAGACACGAATAGTCCCCATTCGATGCAATCAAAGTAATGTTGGGATACGCATCATGAATCGCGGTATAGATTTGGTTGAAGCGATCAGGATAGGTATCACATCCACCAGTAAGGTCATCTTCATTTCCAATTTCCACATACGGAATCTTCCACGGATCCTTGCGACCATTCTTCGCGCGCAGCGCTCCAAAGTGAGTCGACGAGTTTCCAAGGAGATACTCTAGCTCATTCAGAATATCATCGACAAATGGCTGCAGGTCGGAGCCCGATACGATACCTCCGTATGACTTTCCCGCCCATATCGCCAACAAAGGTGTCATTTGCATATCCTCACACCACCAGAGATATCCATCCAACCCAAGAGCGTCCGTGTTTGGATAAAACCAATCACTTTCTCTACCAGGTCGGTCAATCAAGGGCCCAATGGTCCTGTTCCATTTCCAACGACTGTCAATCTCCAGACCCTCGATGTTGTTCCCACCCGGAAACCGAAGAAATTTGAATTTAACCTTTTCAAAGACCGTTGCGAGGTCTTCGCGCAACCCATTCTCTCTCTCGTGATATGTCGGTGGGAATAACTCGATGTAACCGAAGTTCAATGCGCTTCCCGCAATCTTGTTGCCATCGAAGGTTAAATGCCACTCATTATCGCCATCTGGGGATGCACTTGAGTTGAAGGTTGTCTTGAATTGGGTGAAGTTGCTTTCTGTACTCTCGACCGTTAGATTGTGATCGGCGTACACAATCCCACTGTGAGACCCAATGAGTTGGAGATTGATTGTCCCTGAGTATGTGCCCGACATCCAGAATGAACTGTTGTAGGTGGCATTGCTAACAGGCACCCCGTTATAGCCCGTGTTTGCGAAGCCGACATACTCGGTTACATTCCCAGGAACTGAAACCCTGAGTGAGGAGGTTAGGGCATCGCTCACTGGCTTGGAGGTATCCTGTGAGATATTCACAGACCCGATGGGTGCATATGCTGTCATTCCAAGACTGGTTCCTTGGAACCCATTGTTCTGCAGTAATTGCCCGTGAATTCCACCATCACCTTTTCAATTCAGTTTCATGTTAGCGAAGTTGAGATTTAAGTGACAGCGGCAACCATATACCTGAATGATCCATCTCCTAGTACGTGTAAGTGTCAGTGTCATTTTCAATATACTGCGAAATGAATATCAGCTCACCTCGAACATGACTCCATAAAGCAATGGACTCGACTTGTTTCCACCCTTCCCCGAAATAGTGAGTACAATTGGATCAGAACCGCTTTCATTTGTCGCTGCATTTGCTACACATAGCTGTGACAGAATTATAAACAGAACACCTCTTAATAGAGAGTGTTCTAGTATTGAGGCGATCTTCATATTGCGGCACAGTTGAACAATTTATTGCTAAATTTAGATTCAGCCATGACATTCCGAACAGCCTGAGTATAAGGAACCCAGGACCTGAAATTATGGGTGCCAAATTTCTTCAAGACTCAAATCATTCATGCTCATTGAATGGTTCGTCATGACTATGGCTTAGATGTTCTCCACAATGAATCATGGATTGTTAGACTTGGGCTGAACTCGCTTCATATCAAAATTTGAGACTTGCCAATCCCTACCTTTTTCTTCGGAGAATCAGATTATAGAAATTTTAATAGGTTAATATTCCTTGAGAATTAATTATATTGGCAATGATAGATGATATTTCAACAAAAATTTCTCTGCCAATTCTGTAGGGTGAGAATGATTCAGGGGAGTCGTGACGTCGAATATTATTGCCCAGTTGACAGAACTTGATACGCATAGGCAGCAATTTTTGCCTATCACACTCCAATTTTTTATTTTGGTTGTCAATTTTTTTTTCTCAGTCAGAGTTCAATTCGGCTCTCGGTGAAGTGAAGTTAAGGGTCGTTTAAAACTTGGACAGTTCCAAGGTTGGAGCTCTCCTTTGTATCAAGGGCTATTCGTACTTACTCGATGGCCCGACAACCCGTCTAAAGGATGGCATTACTCGTGATCCGGAGGAGTTTCTTGGCTTTCACCTATGTGCATCTGCTTTTTAGAATGCTGGGATGGTATGCATTTGGTCGGGTGCCTTTTAAACGAGGCATCTTATGAATTTTCCTGTCTCGGAATTAGGCAGGGACATCAGCATCATCCATAGATCCAATCGCTCAAATTTTGGATTCAGCGTGTAATCTTTTGGTAGATAAAGCTAACTACAATGCCAATGTCAAGCTACATTATCATGAATTTAGAAAAGGATGGACGATGTGATGAACAGTTGATTCATGTGATTGATCGTTTCTGGGACAGGATGTTTGGATTGTTCAAACTTAATAAGTAAATTGTAGATATGCTTTGTTTTGTGCGTGCGTGCGCGTGTCCCACCAGCCGAGATAGATTGCCCCCCAGCCCAGCCCTGGAGGTAGATACAAGGTCCCAATTTTCTCCATGTATTCCAGTATTTAACCCTTTCCGTGAAGCCCACTAAGCCGATTGTTCAGGGTCTCGCGAAACCCCGCCACGGTCATAGCTATTTCCTCTTTAGCTCCCTGTGCCGATTGACCTGAGGTTCTCGCGAAACCCGCCACGGCACAGTAGCTAAGCACTAAGAGGTATCTCTCCCTTGAGAGAGAATGCCCTGCAGGTTGTGCTACTACCTGCACTGTTGGAACCAGTCGGTTCAGTGGGAGGAGGAATCATGGAGGGGTGAAGCCATGATAAGTGGATCTGAGAGATTGACCTGTTAGGAGGACTGAGTGGAATGTGGGTTGAGAAAACAAACCTTTTCATCGAGGCCAAGAGATAGCCATCAGACCATGTGACAGTAGTGAAAGTGGAGTGTTTGAACGACTCCAGGAGTGGACAGTTCGATCACATAATGTATGTGTTGATGAATGTTGAAAGGCACTTGAGGTGTCATGACACTTATGGAAGTGGAAGGTTGTATTGACTGAGGTTTGTGTTGACTGAACTTCAGGGTGGAGAGTCATGTCGATAAGACAAGGTAAACAAAGTGTCAACAAGACGGAGTGGTGTCAACAAGGCAGGGTCATGCCTGCAAGGTGAAGTCATGGGTCATGTGGATGGAGTGAAGTGTCAACAAAGTCATGTAAGTCCATGCCGACGGGCAAGAGACAGGGCCTGAGGTGGAGGTTGAGACATGTCGATGATCAAGTTGTTGATATGACCAAGCACCAAGAGGATGGTGAAGATGAAGTGGATGATGATGGAGATGATGAAGCGCGATGAGGAACGCGTTGAGGAGGGGAGTTGGAAGAAGGAAAAGGTCGACAAGCAAGAGAATCTGGGGAATTTATACGCTGGGGGTGGGGCCTAGAAAACGCGCCAGGATCACACAGTGGATTTGAATCGACCAATCAGAAGCTCGGGATCACCGCAGAAGTACCCACACATTGCTCCCATTATAAAAATGGCTGAGAACCGATGCTTATTTACTTCAGGCTCCAGGATCACCAACCTCAGAACAAGCGAGCCAATCAAGCCTCAGGATCACCGATTCTAAGCGAGCCAATAATCCGCGTGGGATTCGGGAATTGTACTTTTGTATCCCTCTCTCTTCAAAAATAGTTGATGATCGATAAAAAGATACCTGCTAGCTGTCTCTGAGGAGAACAAGACTCTGAAGATTGCCCCCCGCAATGCAGGGCAGTCCTCCCGGTAATTACTGACAGTTGACTTGAGTCCGAAACCACGTTAATCCACCCCCAGAGAATAAAAGAGGACCGCCTTCCGAACAAGTGTCACATTTGAAGGTTCGAGCTTCGACATCTGACCAATTCCTCACCCCCTTAACCGTACTATTTCGGACCTCGGGAATGTTTCGAAAAACACACAAAACGTCTTCTCCCCCGGTCTGGCTAATAATGATACCCTCATCGGCACTGGGCACCTCATTTTTCGCACAAGGCAAGTTCACGAAGCAATAAACTCATAGCAACCGCCCGGAAGGTTCGTGGCATCGATTCGTTCCCCAAAATCGGAGTCGAAACTATGCCGCTGGATATCACCGTATCCCAAGGAGAAATGGATAGAGAGGCGCGAGAAACTATCTGAATCTACGGCATATCGATCTTCTTATGGGCAACGTGGCATAAAGTATTAAGGAGGCCAGGCAAGCACTGATCATCCCACTCCCGGGATTTGACTAAATTAATATGTTGCTGATAAGTTTGAGGAATGAATGGCGCAATAAAATACGAATCTCTTTGAGTCTGTGAACATAATCGGCTCTTTTCTTCCACGCTCTCGGACAAGGAAGTCGAGTAATATTGTCTTCATACAATAATCCACTCGCTGGAAACCATTGCCCCACAAAATCCGCACTACATTGAAGGTTGCTGGTACAGAGTCTATACTCGAAATATCAGGACTAACCTTGAAAACCGAGTCCTTATTATAAGCTCCGGGGAAGTACTTTCTCGGGAGGTTGCATCAGTCAGTCTCAAGAATCTTCTAGTTCAGCCGGTTAACAAAATTTGACGAGTACCAGCCAATCTTGATAGAATACCCGGACTCCCGATAGGGCACCTGCGGACTGTCGCGGACGGTATGATTGATGTCGTTCAGGGTGAATGCTGGGCCAAAGGAAAGGAGTGACCAGGCTGGCTGATACAAGGATCCGCTGGGATTGATGCGATCTTGAAATCAAAGATTGCGTGTTTCTCCCTGTCCTACAGATTCAATGATCGATTGATACCAGTTGACTGCTTCTACTAACAATTTATACTTTTCAATTGGAAGACGAAGTCAATGGACGACCAGCTGATTTAACTTATTGTGCGCATTGATCGTTTCAAATTTGGCAATAGAGCTTCAATCTCGAAACTATGATTCGACATTGAGCTTTTAACTCACATGTGCATAAGCCTATGACTTTTAGCATATATGAGCAGCCACTTGTGTACTATACTACTTGCATCATCTGCTGGCAAAATCTGACTTTTGAATCTGGATATGGAGACATTGAAATTTCTTTCCTTGCAAGACAAAAATTGAAGAACATGCCAGTCATATTAGTAGTATGATGGCATTTGTGACAGTCACAAGCAAACTCGAACTATACCTAGGTATGCATCTATACAACACACTGGCAGAAAAGACTCGGAAATTCCCAAAGCTACTACTAGGTAAGTACCAGTTCAGGCGGATATTACGCACCATTTGGAATCCATGGAATTTATTTAACTACTATAAGTGGTCATCAGTAGTAATGGTAGACTAATTGTAGGCACGCCGCAAATATTGTGGTATCCACTTCAAGTTGCAGACTAGATAGTATGTAGTAGTATTTTAAAACTTGAACTACGTTTATTCAAATATTAAACGGCAAGCTCCTATTACAGCCTATTTATTTGCCTTACGTACTTACTTTTCTTTCACTCCTACCAACGTCTCCAGGACTTCTTGACCATCTCAATCCCCAGACTACACCGAACAGCGTGGGGCACTGAACGTGCCAATTACAAGCGGGGAGCGGGAAAGCCAATGACGTGGTGCTAACTGTGCTAACTTGCTACCCCTTGGACTCACGTGATAGCCCGAGTAAGCGACACCTCAGCAAGACAACAGCGGACCTCCTGAGGTCACTTCCGCATCTTTTGATTCCCTCTCACTGTCTCTCCTCCATCTTTTTTACCCGCCTTCCGTGATTCCTTTTTCCTTCTCTTCACCCTCCCTTTCCTTTCTTTCTCCTTCATCGTTTCCCTTGGGCGTTTATTCGGGTGGATCAGGTCGTCCTGCGGCCTAAGTAGATATGGCGAACAACGCGAATTTACCGCTCCCCATCAAGTTCACAGAACTGGTCAATGTAAGTTCACTTGACTTCTTGATGATCTACTTCCTTCTATATGGCCTCATTTACTGACAGAAAATTGAAACTAGTTGACCAATGTCGGCATTGCGGTATGTCCCTCATCTATTGTTTCTCCCCCAACCGGTTTACCCTGCGACGAGCTCCTGTGGCGACCCGGATACCCCGGTCGCTCCTGAGAATCATCGTTACCTGATTGAGGCGCTCAACTAACAAAATCTCTTCTTTTTAGCCGGCATCGGTGGGCTTCACGTCATGTGTAAGTATCTCATGCGCCCCCGTTCAAAACAAAAAGCACATTGAGACACGGTGGCTAACCAAGCTTATCACCACATTATAGACCCTAGAATCCGATAACTACATCTGTGTTCGACAGAAGCTGGACGAAGACGAGAAGCCTCAAGTGATCATCGTTGACCTAAAGAACAACAATGAGGTCATGCGCCGACCAATCAACGCCGACAGTGCGATTATGCACTGGAACAAGAACATTATCGCCCTCAAGGCCCAAGGCCGCACAATTCAGATCTTTGACCTCGGTGCGAAGTCGAAACTCAAGTCAGCAGTGATGAATGAGGATATTGTGTACTGGAAGTGGTTCAGCGAGAAGTCCCTGGGTCTGGTTACCGACACCTCCGTGTACCACTGGGATGTCTACGATGCCACTCAGCAGAGCCCTGTGAAGATGTTCGACCGACTTCCTAACCTAACTGTATGACTTCCCCACCCTTCTGACTGAGCCGGTGTCATACAAAGAAAGATGGGCTAATGGTGTTTATTCTAGGGCTGCCAAATTATCAACTACCGCGTGAATTCCGAGGAAAAATGGATGGTTGTTGTGGGTATTAGCCAACAGCAGGGTCGTGTTGTCGGTTCCATGCAACTTTACTCTAAGGAACGTGGTATCTCGCAATTTATCGAAGGTCATGCTGCTTCTTTCGCCTCCATTAATGTCGAGGGTTCTCCCTTACCCCACCACCTCTTCTCCTTCGCCGTTCGAACTTCGACTGGCGCCGCCAAACTTCAGATTGCCGAGATCGATCACCAAGAACCCAACCCACGATTCCAGAAGAAGGCTGTGGATGTGCATTTCCCCACCGAGGCTGTCAATGACTTCCCTGTGGCAATGCAAGTGTCTACGAAATACGATATCGTCTACATGGTGACCAAGTACGGCTTCATTCACTTGTATGACCTTGAGACTGGTACCTGCATCTTCATGAACCGTATCTCTAGCGAGACTATCTTCACGACCGCCCCGGATTCCGAGGGCGCTGGTATCGTTGGTGTCAACCGCAAGGGCCAGGTTTTGTCTGTTAGCGTTGACGAGAACACAATCATCAGTTACATGACAGGATCCGTGGGATTGGCACCTATCGCTGTCAAGCTCGCTTCAAAGGCTGGTCTTCCTGGAGTTGACCACATCTTCCAAACCCAATTCGACAAGTTCATCAATGATGGCGACTTTGGTGAGGCTGCTAAGGTTGCCGCTAACTCTCCTCGTGGATTCCTTCGTACTACTGAAACCATCAACCGTTTCAAGAACGCCCCCCCAGACCGGTCAAATGTCAGTGATTCTGCAGTACTTCGGTATGCTTCTGGACAAGGGATCCCTTAATCGGTACGAGAGTGTGGAGCTTGTTCGACCTGTGCTGCAGCAAAACCGCAAGCACTTGCTGGAGAAGTGGATGCGTGAAAAAAAGCTTGAGTGTTCCGAGGAGCTTGGAGACATTATCCGCCCCTACGACATGCCTCTGGCCCTGACTGTGTATCTCCAGGCCAACGTACCCCACAAGGTCGTTGCTGGTTTTGCTGAGACTGGTCAATTCGACAAGATTCTGACCTACTCCAAGCAAGCAGGCTACCAACCAGATTACATTCAGCTCCTTCAGCATATCGTGCGTGTTAACCCTCAGAAGGGTCTTGAGTTCGCTACTTCGTTGGCCAATGAGGAGTCTGGTGCTCTCTTGGATCTGGACCGCGTTGTGGATGTGTTCCTTTCCCAGAACATGATCCAGGAGACTACATCTTTCCTCCTTGATGCTTTGAAGGACAACAAGCCCGAGCAAGGTCAATTGCAGACCCGCCTCCTGGAGATGAACCTTGTCAATGCTCCCCAGGTTGCAGATGCGATCCTTGGTAATGAGATCTTTACTCACTTTGACCGCGCTCGTGTTGCCCAGCTTTGCGAGAATGCTGGTCTCATTCAGCGTGCTCTTGAAAACTCCGATGATCCCGCTGTCATCAAGCGCAACATTGTCCGCACCGACAAGCTGAGCAATGAGTGGTTGATGAGCTACTTCGGTCGTTTGTCTGTGGAACAGACCCTCGAGTGCATGGACACGATGCTGGAGGTTAACATTCGCCAGAATCTGCAGGCAGTCGTTCAAATCGCCACCAAGTTTTCCGATCTTCTGGGTGCTAACCGCCTCATCGATCTGCTTGAGAAGTACCGCACTGCTGAAGGTCTCTACTACTACTTGGGAAGTATTGTCAACCTTAGCGAGGACTCCGAGGTGCACTTCAAGTACATCGAAGCCGCCACTGCTATGAACCAGCTTACTGAGGTTGAGCGTATTTGCCGTGAGAGCAACTACTACAACCCCGAGAAGGTGAAGAACTTCCTGAAGGAGGCTCACTTGACTGAGCAGCTTCCTCTTATCATTGTCTGCGACCGTTTTGACTTCATTCACGACCTGGTCCTCTACCTTTACCAGAACCAGCAATTCAAGTCTATCGAGGTCTATGTTCAACGTGTCAACCCGTCTCGTGCCCCCGCTGTCGTTGGTGGTCTCCTGGATGTTGACTGCGATGAGAGCATTATCAAGAACCTTCTTTCTACCGTGTCACCTGAATCCATCCCTATGGACCAGCTGGTTTCTGAAGTTGAGAGCCGCAACCGTCTCAAGCTGCTTCTGCCCTTCCTCGAGGCCACTCTTGCTGCTGGCAATCAACAGCAGGCAGTCTACAACGCCCTCGCTAAGATTTACATTGACAGCAACAACAACCCCGAGAAGTTCCTCAAGGAAAATGACCTCTACGATACTCAGATTGTTGGAAAGTACTGCGAGAAGCGCGACCCTAACCTTGCGTACATTGCCTATCGTAAGGGCCAGAACGACTTGGAGCTCATCAACATCACCAACGAGAACTCTATGTACCGTGCTCAGGCCCGCTACCTGGTTGAGCGTGCCGATGCGGAGGTCTGGAGCTTTGTTCTGAGTGAAAACAACATTCACCGCCGCTCTCTTGTTGACCAAGTCGTCGCTACCGCCGTGCCTGAATCCACTGATCCCGACAATGTCTCCGTGGCTGTCAAGTGTTTCCTCGAGGCTGATCTCCCTGGTGAGCTGATTGAGCTGCTGGAGAAGATTATCCTCGAGCCCTCTCCCTTCAGCGACAACGCAAGCTTGCAGAACTTGCTGATGTTGACTGCTGCCAAAGCCGACAAGGGACGTTTGATGGATTACATCCACCAGCTCAACGAGTTCGCTGCCGATGACATCGCTGAGATGTGTATCAGCGTTGGATTGTACGAAGAGGCCTTTGAGATCTACAAGAAGGTTAACAACTACCTCGCTGCCGTCAACGTCCTCGTCGAGAACATCGTCAGTATCGACCGTGCCCAAGAATTTGCCGAGCGCTATGAACTTCCCGAGGTGTGGAGCAAGGTTGCCAAGGCCCAGCTCGATGGTCTCCGTGTCACCGACTCAATTGAGTCGTACATTCGTGCCAATGACCCATCCAACTACCACGAGGTCATCGAGACTGCTACCCACGCTGGTAAGGATGAGGACCTCGTCAAGTTCCTCCGCATGGCCCGCAAGACTCTCCGCGAGCCCGCCATCGATACTGCTCTTGCCTTCTCCTTTGCCCGTCTGGATCAGCTTGCAGAGCTTGAGGACTTCCTCCGTTCCACCAATGTTGCCGATATTGAGACATCTGGTGACAAGGCTTACGAGGAGGGCTACCACCAGGCTGCCAAGATCTTCTACACCAGTATCTCGAACTGGGCCAAGCTTGCTACCACCTTGGTTCACCTTGCGGAGTACCAAGCTGCTGTTGAGTGTGCTCGCAAGGCCAACAGTGTCAAGGTCTGGAAGCAGGTCAATGAGGCTTGCGTTGACAAGAAGGAATTCCGTCTTGCTCAGATTTGCGGTCTCAACTTGATCGTCCACGCTGAGGAGCTGCAGGCTCTTGTTCGCCAGTATGAGCGCAATGGTTACTTTGATGAGCTTATCTCAGTCCTGGAAGCCGGTCTTGGTCTGGAGCGTGCCCACATGGGTATGTTCACTGAGCTCGGTATTGCTTTGACTAAGTACCACCCCGACCGTGTGATGGAGCACCTCAAGCTCTTCTGGTCTCGCATCAATATCCCCAAGATGATCCGTGCCTGCGAGGATGCCAACCTGTGGCCCGAGCTGGTCTTCCTTTACTGCCATTACGACGAGTGGGACAACGCTGCTCTGGCTATGATGGAGCGTGCCGCTGATGCTTGGGAGCACCACTCCTTCAAGGACATTGTTGTCAAGGTTGCCAACTTGGAGATCTACTACCGCGCCCTGAACTTCTACCTGCAGGAACAACCCCTTCTCCTCACCGATCTTCTCCAGGCTCTGACTCCTCGCATTGATGTGAACCGTGTTGTGCGTCTCTTCCAGGGCTCCGACAACATCCCACTGATCAAGCCCTTCCTCCTCAATGTTCAGACCCAGAACAAGCGAGCTGTCAATGACGCCATTAACGAGCTCCTGATTGAGGAGGAGGACTACAAGACTCTCCGTGACTCCGTGGATAACTACGACAACTTCGATGCCGTGGATCTCGCCCAGCGTCTCGAGAAGCACGATTTGATCTTCTTCCGCCAGATTGCGGCCAACATCTACCGCAACAACAAGCGCTGGGAGAAGTCGATTGCCCTGTCGAAGCAAGACAAGCTTTACAAGGATGCTATTGAGACCTCTGCTATCTCTGCTAAGTCCGATGTTGTTGAGGATCTCCTTCGCTACGTAAGTTGCATTCCCTTATCTCATTTTGTTCTTGCGATAAAATGATACTAATATTTTTTGAATAGTTTGTGGACATTGGTAGCCGTGAGTGCTACGTCGGTATGCTGTATGCCTGCTACGATCTCATTCGCCCTGATGTTATCATGGAGATCTCATGGCGTAAGGGTCTGCATGACTTCACCATGCCATTCATGATTAACTTCCTGTGCGAGCAGACCCGCACCATTGAGATGCTTAAGAAGGACAACGAGGAGCGCAAGTCTCGAGAGACAACACAGAAGACCGAGGAGGACAACACACCCATCCTTGGTGGCTCTCGACTGATGCTGACTCAAGGCCCTGCCCCGTCAGCCAGTCCTATGCCGTACGGACAGCAAGCCAACGGGATCACCCCGCAGGCTACCGGCTACCGTGCTTTCTAGACAGATACCATGATTCCCTTGATTTCTCGTTCGCCCCTCCTCCTTTTTTTATGCTTTTTATTTCTCTCTTATGTGTAACATACAGCGACGTGATGAGTTCTTTGGGGTGAAGCAAAACGCACGAGTGGGAAGAAGGCAGGAGATGTGCCATAAGAAGTTCTTCATGATGGTCCGTTAATTCGTTGTTTCGCCACCTCACCTTATCTTTTTTACTACTCTTTTTTATTATCCAAATGTATTTTGATAGCCTTTGCGTTCTTTATGTTTCTTGACCTGATTGGGTATTTCAGTAATCGCATTTCGTTGCGCCAAGTAGTAGTCGGTAGTATCTTGGGCATATCCAAACCTTGGAAGTTATTGTACAGTGTATAGTACTACATGTACATAGCTGTACCTGTCTATAAAGAGGAATACCTCTTATTTCTTTTCATTCCGATGCAACATTTCAACACTGCCTAAAAATCATCAATCTATTGTCAGAGCTCAAAACCCCGCCAAGATGCCAAGGTCTCTGCAGGCCCCGTACAAATAGTACTCAATAGTGCCTAGGCTCGGCGGTAACACCAAGGGATTGATGACCAGACTCCGCACCAGACTCCGCTGCAGTCGTACATGCCCAGACATTCAGGCATTACTACGTGGATAACTTGAAGATGATTAGCAGCTAGTGATTGAAATTCTTGGCGAGATTAAGATCAAGACCACCATGTGACCTGGGCTTCACTGAAATGATACCATTGCTTTTTCAGGTACGCAAGCTTCCATATTGGGGCTATGTTAATTCCATTACTTTTTTTTCTAGAAAAAGGAAACAAAAAATACGGGATTTTCATCCCCATCTGCCTATTGCTAATATTTACCCTCTCAGTGGAACGGCTATACATATTGGCTTCACATCAACCCCACCCGTGCATGTACCAGGTACGGAATACCCCATCCTTGAGCCCGAAAACAAGCTCAATCTCTGTCCCAATCACACGGAGACCGAGACCGGGACCCAGGAATTCTGGCAGAAACAATGTACGCATCCTCGGCCCGGCTGGAGGGAACTGAAGGATGGCCGAGGAGTGATAGGTTCGAATACATGGGTTCCGGGGAAATGATTTACCCCGTGGAGAAGTGTGGAGTTAGATAGCTTCCCCCAGCTCAATGTCGGGATGAATGGTGGGAGTGAATTTTTCCGAAGATCTGGAACATTTTACTAGACTTGCGTACTACCGTATTTGCCAGTTGATTGAAACATGGTTTGTTCATGGCGAGGATTGCAGGATGATGGGTCTTAGTGCATTGATGATGTGCTGCGGCTGAAGAGCGGTTAGAAGTGGTGCTGACGTGTTACTACTAACCTTGGAAGATCAAGTTGTTTATTCTTTTTTTTGAAAAATTTAATTTTGAGGTGATCAGTAACTTTAAGAGTATCTACAACGATGAGCTTTGAATTAAAAAGAAATTTAGATTTAATGCAGAATTGAACGCCCGGGCGGATGTTTCAAGTGACGTCTGTACGGACATCTACTAGACTGCATATATGTACGATGTGCCAATAGTAGAGAGTGTCTAGGTGGCTGGGTTGATAAGGAATGTTCTATTTGAGAGATTTGATTGGTTCATAGAGTGTTTTACTTTGGCTTATCAGGCGCACATGTGTGCTCGTTGTCTCTAATGATGGGATGGAGTACATGTAGGCTGAGCTGGAAAGCTGCAGATCGTCGCATTTTTGAGATCTGGGCATCTGGGCAGTATAATTTTCTGTAAGGATGTAAAACATTAAATCCTTGACGATGATATTTTTTTTTATAAAATTTAATTAAGTGCGAACTACGGAGTATCTGTGGCTAGCCGCAATATAGATTAAGCCCGCCGGGAGTTATTGAAGGGTTTATGGCGGGGTAGCTGCCAGGTGTATATCGGCCCTCCTCCCGATCTCGCCATTTACCCCTTGATATAGTACTCAGTACTCGGTACTACTCTTCGCCACGCCTTAATAGTCTCACAGGTCCCTACCATCGGCGGGAGATCCGCAATGCCAAGTGAACAGATTAGAAGTCCTCGGTTACAGAGTAGAGTAGATTGAGGACCCTCTGTTGCGGTGGTCGGAAGAGTACACCGGGGAAGAGGAGATCCATAGGAGATCCTTTCCTCTAGAGAATGGACGCATGACCAAACCCAGATTTATCCAAGATTATCCAAGACTCGGCAAATTGAACATTTAGGGTAATTTTAGGGATGAGTCAAAAGATAGCATAAGAAGAATTGGGAAAGATGGAATTCGGAATGACTTTCCCCGAGGTGAAGATGAATACGGAGAAAATCTGGACCATTGTTGCCCCCATATTTTATTTTTTATTTTTATTTTAATTTTAATTTGTTTTAATTTTTCTATCTTACTTTCATTCTGATATCGAGAGTTCTCCGAGTCTCCCCCGGACCCTCTCCTCAAGGTTCCCCGTTGATATCCGTTCAACGAAGATGGGAATCTTTTAATCCACTTGATTCGTTCTGACACAAGCCCGAGGACCCGAGGTAGTTCATGATTATTTCTCCCCGTGGGATATACCTAATCCACCCGATCGTTTAGAATGAGATCATCGGGGAATCTCGTGCACATGAGGCCGATTTCGCCTGAATTAATAGGTATGAAATATAGAGTATATTACAATACTGATACACCTATAATACACACCTGAGCATGTGCAACTCCTAGGGCTGGGGAGTATAAAGTAATGAGGGGCTTATGTAGATATACAAAATCATATTTAAAGCGGGTAAGCGGGACTAATTGTTACTAAACTGTATTGTAGAATCTTCTTAAATATTTATAAAATATATTAAATAATAACAAAAAATAGAATAATCTATAAGGACTATTTTGGATTGATCCGCGTGAGAGTCTCTCCGGTGTACCGGTGAGTGGCGGTAAGTACCCGTTACCTCATCCTGCGTGTCACCGCATTCACCCCGGAAAGTATTAGTGACGAATTGATCTTCCCCTCCTTCTTTATATCTATCCCATCATCTCCCCCCTTCTTCTTTTCATTTCTCTTTTCCTCAATTCAACCTTTGTCTCATCATCCTCTATCCTATCTCCCTTTCCTAGAGAAGTTCATCTTTGCTTCTTTTATCTATCTTCTGTTGCGAGCCATTGCGAGCTTGCGTTCTGCCGAAACCGGCCTGGGGTTTGAACCGGAGCTTCAAATAAATCCAGCTTCCATCACCCGTGAGTCACTCCTCGCAAAACTTATTCCTATATATATCGGAAATCTCTCATATATATGCAATTGAGTTTTCCAATTCCCAAATTAACACCTCAATTTATCCTAGTTTCCCTTCCTCTCACCTACTTCTCAAATACCTCTCGCATTACACTCTCTTCCCCGCGTCACAATGGCTGCCCCGCAACGTCAACCCGAGGAGGCCATCGATGAGTCTGAGTTCGTTGAGGACCACATCGGACACCACCATGATTCCGTTCACCGTCGTCTGCGGGCGAACTCTACTATTATGCACTTCCAGAAGATCTTAGTTGCCAACCGTGGTGAAATTCCTATTCGAATCTTCCGTACAGCTCACGAACTGTCTCTTCAGACGGTCGCTGTTTTCTCACATGAAGATCGGTTGTCTATGCACCGTCAGAAGGCCGATGAAGCCTATATGATCGGACAACGGGGTCAATATACCCCGGTCGGAGCTTACTTAGCTGGCGATGAAATTATTAAGATTGCTAAGGAGCACGGAGTGCACCTGATCCACCCCGGCTACGGTTTCCTGTCGGAGAATGCCGGCTTTGCCCGAAAGGTTGAGCAGGCGGGCATCGTTTTCGTGGGTCCGACCCCGGACACTATTGATGCCTTGGGGGACAAGGTTTCTGCTCGTCGCCTGGCGATCAAGTGCGGAGTCCCGGTTGTTCCCGGTACGGAGGGTCCCGTCGAGCGCTATGAGGAAGTTAAGTCCTTCACCGACGAGTATGGCTTCCCTATTATTATTAAGGCTGCTTTCGGTGGTGGTGGCCGTGGTATGCGTGTTGTCCGCGACCAGGCTGAATTGCGTGATGCTTTTGAGCGTGCTACCTCTGAGGCCCGCTCTGCCTTCGGCAATGGCACTGTCTTTGTTGAGCGCTTCCTTGACAAGCCTAAGCACATTGAGGTTCAGTTGCTCGGTGATAACCAGGGTAATGTCGTTCACTTGTTCGAGCGTGATTGTTCAGTTCAACGTCGTCACCAGAAGGTTGTTGAGATCGCCCCCGCTAAGGACCTCCCCGTCGATGTTCGTGATAAGATCTTGGGTGATGCGGTGAGACTGGCTAAGTCAGTTAACTACCGTAACGCCGGTACCGCTGAGTTCCTGGTGGACCAGCAGAACCGCTACTACTTCATTGAGATCAACCCCCGTATTCAGGTTGAGCACACCATCACTGAGGAGATCACTGGTATCGATATTGTCGCTGCCCAGATTCAGATCGCCGCTGGTGCTACTCTGGAGCAACTCGGCCTGACTCAGGACCGCATCTCCACCCGCGGTTTTGCTATTCAATGCCGTATCACCACTGAGGACCCTGCTAAGGGCTTCTCCCCAGATACTGGTAAGATTGAGGTCTACCGCTCTGCTGGTGGTAACGGTGTTCGTCTCGATGGTGGTAACGGCTTCGCTGGTGCCATTATCACTCCTCACTACGACTCTATGCTGGTTAAGTGTACTTGCCGTGGATCCACGTATGAGATTGTTCGCCGTAAGATGCTGCGTGCTCTGGTTGAGTTCCGTATCCGCGGTGTCAAGACCAACATTCCCTTCCTAGCCTCACTTCTGAGCCACAACACTTTCATTGATGGTACTTGCTGGACCACTTTCATCGATGATACCCCTGAGCTGTTCGCCCTGGTCGGCTCCCAGAACCGTGCCCAGAAGCTGCTGGCCTACCTGGGTGATGTCGCTGTCAACGGCAGCAGCATCGCTGGCCAGATGGGTGAGCCCAAGCTCAAGAGTGATATCATCAAGCCCATCCTCAGGGATGCTGCCGGTCAGCCCATCGACGTTTCCCAGCCCTGCCTTAAGGGTTGGAAGCAAATCCTTGATAGCCAGGGCCCTGATGCCTTCGCCAAGGCCGTCCGTGCCAACAAGGGCTGCTTGCTCATGGATACCACCTGGCGTGATGCCCACCAGTCTCTCCTGGCCACCCGTGTGCGTACCATTGATATGCTGAACATCGCTCATGAGACCAGCCACGCTCTTCAGAACGCCTACTCTCTGGAGTGCTGGGGTGGTGCTACCTTTGATGTCGCCATGCGTTTCCTCTACGAGGACCCCTGGGACCGTCTTCGCAAGCTCCGCAAGGCTGTTCCCAACATCCCCTTCCAGATGCTGCTGCGCGGTGCCAACGGTGTCGCTTACTCCTCCCTTCCCGACAACGCCATCTACCACTTCTGTCTCCAGGCCAAGAAGTACGGTGTTGACATTTTCCGTGTCTTCGATGCTCTCAACGATGTCGACCAGCTTGAGGTCGGTATCAAGGCTGTTCAACAGGCTGGTGGTGTCGTCGAGGCTACCATCTGCTACAGTGGTGACATGCTGAACCCCAGCAAGAAGTACAACCTGGACTACTACCTGTCCCTGGTTGACCGCGTTGTCAAGCTGGGCACTCACGTCCTGGGTATCAAGGATATGGCTGGTGTTCTGAAGCCTCAGGCTGCTCGTCTCCTGGTCGGCACCATCCGCGAGCGCTACCCCGATCTCCCTATCCACGTTCACACCCACGACTCCGCCGGTACTGGCGTTGCCTCCATGATTGCTTGCGCCCAGGCTGGTGCTGATGCTGTCGATGCCGCCACCGACTCCCTGTCCGGTATGACCTCCCAGCCTAGCATTGGTGCCATTCTGGCCTCCCTTGCCGGCACCGAGCAGGATCCCGGTCTTGACGCGACCCATGTTCGCGCTCTTGACACCTACTGGGCTCAGCTCCGTCTCCTCTACTCTCCCTTCGAGGCTGGTCTGACCGGTCCCGACCCTGAGGTTTACGAGCACGAGATCCCCGGTGGTCAGTTGACCAACCTGATCTTCCAGGCTAGCCAGCTGGGTCTCGGTCAGCAGTGGGCTCAGACCAAGAAGGCCTACGAGTCTGCCAACGACCTTCTGGGTGACATTGTCAAGGTTACCCCTACCTCTAAGGTTGTCGGTGACTTGGCCCAGTTCATGGTTTCCAACAAGTTGACTGCCGAGGATGTCATCGAGCGTGCTGGAGAGCTTGACTTCCCTGCCTCCGTTCTGGAGTTCCTTGAGGGATTGATGGGTCAGCCGTACGGTGGATTCCCCGAGCCCCTCCGCTCCAAGGCTCTCCGCAACCGTCGCAAGCTGGAGAAGCGTCCCGGTCTCTACCTCGACCCTCTGGACCTGGTTCAGATTAAGAAGGATATCCGCGAGAAGTTCGGCTCCGCCACCGAGTGCGATGTCGCCTCTTACGCCATGTACCCCAAGGTGTTCGAGGACTACCGCAAGTTCGTCTCCAAGTTCGGTGATCTGTCTGTCCTGCCTACCCGTTTCTTCTTGGCCCGTCCTGAGATCGGTGAGGAGTTCCACGTTGAGCTGGAGCAGGGTAAGGTCCTGATTCTGAAGCTGCTCGCCATCGGTCCTCTCTCTGAGCAGACTGGTCAGCGTGAGGTCTTCTACGAGGTCAACGGTGAAGTCCGACAGGTCAGCGTTGACGACAAGAAGGCGTCCATCGACAACATTGCTCGCCCCAAGGCCGATGCTGGAGACAGCAGCCAGGTCGGCGCACCCATGAGTGGTGTTGTTGTTGAGATCCGTGTCCACAACGGCCACGAGGTTAAGAAGGGTGACCCCATTGCGGTGCTGAGCGCCATGAAGATGGTATGTGATAACTTTACTTTTCTCTTACTTTCGCATTTAAATTACTTTAGACTAACGAGGTCTCTATAGGAAATGGTCATCTCTGCCCCTCACAGCGGCAAGGTGGAGGGTCTCCAGGTCAAGGAGGGCGACTCTGTCGACGGTCAGGACCTGGTCTGCAAGATCGTCAAGGCGTAAGCCTTGACAAAAGAATAAAACGAGTGGCTGGTTTTTGTTTTTATTTCTTAAGATGCACGGGCTATGTGCAATGGCGTGAACAATAGCTTTTATTTTTTATTTTTAGCGTTTTCAAATTATGGTTTTTTTTATCCCTGCTGGTCCTGCAGTGGTCTTTATTAGTTCAATTCAATGATAAATGAACATTTTTCTTGTCAATTTACTTTCATCTGAAATTATTATTCTTTCATCAGAATGTGTTTATAAGAAACTTGAATAGAGACTTCTTTGGTCTATACTTCCCTTTAGGTTCAAGTTGTTATACGTGAAGTTACTCCAATACTGTAAACTAGCTGTAAGTCAGAACTGATCATTACTTCCATTAGTACGTGGTTCTATTCTAAATATTTTTGACACTGTGTTAACTTTCGGCACTGACACTTGGATGGTACTGGTGTGATCTACATTTTACTCTGGCAACTTCAACTTCAACTTGCACATGTGCTGATACTACCTTCTGCGGCTTTGAAAACTTCAAGGCCAACTTCAAGTTATCTCACCTACATGCTGGAAGACCTATTCCAAACCTTCAACCCTTGCTCGAAGCTATTATCACATTGAAACCAGCAAAAAGCTTCTTTATGTTCCCCCCTATATCCACTCAGTTGGAGACCCTATCCTTCGAAAACCCTTAGCGACATGGAAGCAAGATCAGGAAACAAGACCAGCACAGGAGATAGGCCAGACTGGACTCTATTCACCATAAAATGGACTTATACTTGCAATGGACCTCACACAACGTGCAAGTGTGGTGCTTACTCATTCTGTATCTACGTCAGTGTAAGTCTGTCTAATATGCTTTCTTTGTTACTGTTGGTCAAATCTAATGTGTCTATAGGCTGATTACAAAATTATTATTTTGGACGGGATCCTACCCGCTATAGAGGCATCACAAATACCAATGGGGGAGCAATGCCGCTTCGTCTGACCTTCTTAGATGGCACGGCACCATGCATTGGTACAAGAAAATGAAGGCGATGGCTTATGCGAGCCGGGATAATTCGTGGCATGAAGATGATAGTGGCGGAGGGGATATGGGAGGATATTGAAGATGAATGAGAAAGCATTGAAGCTGAACTATTCACGAGGTTGGTACCGATAATTTCTTAGGTGGTATCTGATCAAGATCTTCTTTCGCGATATCATTTTTTATCAGTTCCCACCTACTTAGTACCCAGTTGAAACAATCCACCAAGATGATCATTTCAGTCTGGCAAAAAGAGGCTGATGGTATTGGTGCGGAGTCTTGTGCTGCCTATTTTTATCCCTGTCTCTGCTCTCTAATCTTTCCTTGCAGTTCCTTCCCTTTCCAATTATTCCTTCAGGGTTATTGTCTATGTATCTCCGCCGGATCCTCACATATGGGTTGGTTTTCGCTTAACTTTGATTGTTATGCCCTGTGGTATTGAATAGTTGTCTGTGGAAAAAGCCCTACATAGCTAATTCCAGTGCTCACACTATTCAAAATAGCATAACAAAAAATTAACCAGCAATTATTCCAATGTTGCTTTAAGAGTAATATAATATGGGATAGCTCATTGCTCAATGCCCGAGCTTTCCCCGCATTCTTTATTACGTCAAAGCTGCAGCCCCGCTAAGTAATCCACTTTAGTGCACTTTAGTGTAATATAAGTGGTTGATCACTATTTGAGCTGCTCTAGGCCTATATTGGCCCTTTCCTTTGTGTTCCAATCATATCCTAGCCTTTTAATATTGGTTTTACGAATTGTCTGATGGGCGAAGTCCGGGGTCAAATCAGGTCAAATTACGGTGGTTACAGTACATGAACCATGCACACAACCTGGGCAGCCCAGGTGGAGTACAACATTTGAAGCAGACTACAATACTGGTAGAAAAGTAGCGTAGTAGTATGATTACGGGTATTTCCAGCATAAACGGAAACCACAGCACACGACATCCCTGCCCAGGTGCATTCGAGCTTTATAAATCATCTTCACCCCGCTATCACCCGATTCTAGTAAACTTCTTCAACCACGCCTACTTCAACTACAACCTGAACTACTTGAACTGGTATGTCTCCTTTTTATTGCCTCTGAATATGATACATGGTTGGAAAGATATCCCCGATCGGCCTCGATCCCTATGTCATCTAATTCCATGGATCCCTCACATACCAACCCATACTGCATGACGTCTTTGACTCCGCTCACTCCCTTTTTGTCTCGTGACTGAAACCGAGACCTCCGCCCATTATCTCATCCAGTTCTCACGCACTTTACTCTATTCCGTTCCTCTTTACTGAAATCACTTGATCTCAAGTCTGAACTGACCCGTACTTCCCATACAAGATCATACCCGTTCCCGTTGGAACATACTCAATATCTCAACACGGACTGTGCTCTTTTTGAAATCTCAAACGACATGTCTGACAACGAACGCCGCCACTGGCACGGTACTGCTGGTGATCGCCATGAGCACCATAATGTGTGGATGCAAGGTGGTGCCAAGGGTCCCAGTGCTAAGGCTCCGTGGGCTCTCACGCCTGAGATGATGGCTAACCTGAATGCCCGAAAGGTATGTCTGCATTTAATACTCTATGATTTGGATACTATTCTTGCGACACATGCGACATATTCCTGTGTATATACTTCCAGAAAACCCCAGGTGCCCCCAATTCAAATCCATGTGGACCTCAGGCTGTGGACAGCACCCGTTTTTACACTATGCTGCATATATATACATCAACCACCCAACTTGAAGTTGAAGACCTGGTCTTGAATTTTTCTCATCTACCACAAACTTGAATCTAGAAGTATAACTTGAAAGTGATGAAAAGCCAACAAATTAAAACCACAGGGCTCCGATGCCTCCACTGCCTCAACTGGCAATGCCAACGCCACTACCAACCAAGCCGGTTCTCCCACCGTCCCAACTGTCAGCGAACGCCGCCGCTCCAGCGCCTCATCTGGAAGCAGCGCTGGCCTCTTCTCAAACCTGCACACCCAGAAACGCCAGTCCGATGATGCCGCCATGGCAGGAAGACGTGCTAGCTGGAATGAGCAGCAGGGTCCTACGGGTTGGTTTGGGAAGCTTTGGGATGGTTATACGAGAAAGTAGGATCTCGGAAGATCCATTTCAGTTTACGGGTTCATGATTATTCTTTTATGCTCTTCTTTATATTTTCAAAGTGCTTCTTGTTTCTTGTTTTGGTCTCATTGGTTATCAGAGAGTCTTGATAGTGTCGGAGCAAGATCGAATATCTGTTAGTGGATGATCGCTTTCATCCAGACTGAGGCAAGGGAATTTGCAATGGATATTTCTTTTACGCAATGCCATTTTTTTACTATGAAACTCGTGCTTTTGAATTCCAGCTCTTTTGAGTATTCTTCTTGCTTTTTATCCAAACATTTGAAACTTTAAGTGACTCGTCGTTCGAGCTATAGACTGAGGTAGCACTCAGATAGCATAGTATGCATTTTATTAACGAGTTCAATGTAAAGACATGTTTGCAGAGTAGTTTTGTGAATGTAGGCTGGCGTATCAATAGAGATTGATCTTGAGGCCATGAGTCTATATCTGGTCCCAACGTTGTTGTGTGCATGTATAGGTAGCACTAGCAGCATGATTGATTGACTCGGTTTCAATGCTCATGTTGTAATAGCAATTGGACGGAACCATCCGTCTTAGAATTTCGAGATGCAGTGCTGCACATGCGAGCTACGTAGATGGCCTGTCTGAACCTTGTGCAGAGGCACACAAGGATATCGTATGATTTTGCGACTTACCGTGGATATCGATCGATAAGGTCAGGGCAGTTGTCGCGAAGGGTCTAGATCTCTGGCTGAGATCCACAGGTATACATCTGGACGCATAGCTACGAACTACGAACTACAAGATTTACTGCTACGCAAAAAGCGACACCAGGTGTAGACAGCAACGGACAAGATAGGCCAAGGGATACTCTCCACAAAGGAGAGACCCGACTCTTTGACAAGATCCAAGATCGAGTCAAGCGAGTCATAATACCAACACCAGAAACAAAGTCCAGTATCAGATTATCTTTTCAACAATGGTTATGCGGTAGAAACAACACCTCGTGTGCAGCCTTCATTGTGAAAAGAGAAAATGCGGATTGTGCAAATGTGTGTGAATTCATGTCTCTAACACGCCTATCCTGGTTGCCGTGGTAGAAAAAAGTAAAGAAAAGGGTTTCAGAACACCATATCCGACGCAGAGATCAAGAGCCCGGCCGGGTTGGTTCTCGACGGGTCCGTCCTGGGCCGAGTTTTTTGTTTCTTTTGGGCGGAAGAAATTTTTGGGCTCCCATCGATGCATCGTAAAACACAAGATTTCATTCACACCCCGGTTATCCTCAATAAGTTCCAATTAGAGGCATTTACCGGATGATACCGTCGAAGCGGTTCTTGAACCACTTCATGGTCTCAGTGGAGTTAACTATAGTCATGTCAGTACATCCCAAACCAAACCAATCCAATCCAATCTCTCAACAGAGGCATTGCTTACTCTTGTGGTTAACACCAATGGAGGACTTGCAGCGGCGACGCTTAGCAACACGCTCACCAGGGCGGGTCCTAGATATAATGTCAATTGACTTTGTTCCATTTTCCACCATCGACCACTTTGTTGTTCCTTTCCAAAGTGGTCTCGTGTCGATTGAGAGAACCACTCACATGCAAACGTAGAAGTCCATTCCGTAGATACCAATACCGGGGTCGTACTTGATACCCAGATCGATGTGCTCGGAGATACCGAATCCGAAGTTACCGGTCTCCGAGAAGTTGCGCTTGCGGAGCTCGTACTCCTTGACCTTGAGGCCACGCTCGAGAATCTCCTCAGCCTTGGGGCCACGGACGGTGACGTGGACGGAGATCTTCTCGTTACGACGGATACCGAAGGTACGGACGGTGTAACGGGCCTTGGAGTAGACGGGGGTCTGACCGCTCAGCTGCTCCAGAACCTTAGCGGCACGGGTCAGTCTGTCACCAGACTCGCCGACGGAGATGTTCAGCACGAGCTTCTGGATGCGCATCTCGCGCATGGGGTTGGCGCTCTTGTCCTTGGCGTCCGACTGCATTGTTCTGTTGTTAGAATTTGTGTTGTTCGATGGGTTTGGCATAGGTGGTTGTGGTGTAGACATACCATGGTGGCTGGTGTGGGCGTGGATATGGTTGTCGACGAGATTGAAGAAATCTGCGAAAAGCCCAAAAGCGGTTTGTGTGGGCTCGGTAGTCACGGGATTCAAAGTCACGGGAAATCGGAAGCGAGCCCTCGAGTCATGTGATGCAAATCTTAAATTCGAGGTCATGTGACACAGACTCCATCTGCTGAGCTAACCAGAGCACTTATTCTGCCAGGCGGTGGAAATATCGAGGCTGAGTCAGCATCCCATCCAGAAACTGAGCCCGTTCACCTTGTGCAGCGCTCAGAGCTCAAGCTTTACAACTGATCTCCGCGTCTTGCCAGATCTTAACTATCAAGAGAGCGCGCATTTGCAGTATCTCTTGTAAATTTCTTTTTGGATCTCTCAAGTCGCATTCGTGCGCGTTCTTAGCCAACCATGGCCTCCAGCAAGCAGGGCAAGATGGTATGTCCCCAGTTACTCTGCAAATCCACTTTATGCCTCTAATGCTCGATGCTAACTTCTCTCATATAGGCGAACCTCGTGAGTTTACATCAGTCAGATATGATATCTTTCCAATTGAATTGTCTAACCAAACGTTCCAGATCAACTACCGCATGCGAGTCACTCTTAACGATGGTCGCCAGATGACCGGTCAAATGCTGGCCTTTGATAAGGTTCGTCGCTTCACGGCTAAAAAGCTGTGGCTAGAATATACTGACCAGGAATTTTCCCTCTTATAGCACATGAACCTTGTTCTCGCCGACACAGAAGAATTCCGCCGCATTAAGCGGAAATCGAAGGCCGCCCCCGGCTCTACAGGCACCCCGCAGGTCGAAGCGGAGGAGAAGCGGACCCTCGGTCTGACCATCGTTCGTGGTGCTCAGGTTGTTTCTTGCTCTGTTGACGGTCCTCCTCCTGCCGACCCCTCCGCACGTCTCGGTGCCACCGGTCCCACCATTGGTGCCGCCGCCGCTCTCGCTGCCGGCCCCGGTGTCAGCAAGCCCGCTGGTCGTGGCCTGCCCGTTGGACTCGGTGGTCCAGTTCCTGGTGTTGGTGGCCCTGCTCCTCCAAGTGGATTTGGTGGTTTCCCTCCTGGACCTCCAGGTGGATTCCCCGGTGCGCCTCCCGGCTTTGCTGGTGGTCGTGGAGGAGCTCCTGGTGGACCTCGTAAGTTAACAATTGACTAAAAATTATACATATACATACTGACATATCATTTCTTCCAGCTGGCTTTGGTGGTCCTCCTCCTGGCTTTGCTCCCCAGGGTGGTCCTCGTGAGTGCTCCATTATCAAATACCCGTTTTAGTTACCCAGACTAACATTTCCTTTCTTTAGCTGGTTCTTTCCAACCTCCTCCTGGCTTCCAGCCTCCTGGCCAGGGACGAGGATACCCTCCTCCCGGCTACGGTGGAAGATGATCGAAAATGTGTACATTGGATGGAGATTCCACGCTTCACAATGGCGGTCTGTTTTTACTTGAAAAAAGGGTACAGGAATAGTTCCAGGTTAGAAGTGAACTGAGGCTCTTTTTTTTCTAGGAGGAACAGCACGCATAATGGCTAGATTAGCCCACAATCTACGGGCCAGGCGTTGCGGCGCATGCGGAATGGAGGTCGTGTCGAGGATTTGAATCCCCAAAAAGCCGAGAAATCCTTTTGAGATTTGCATTCAGTACCCAATAATGCTAGCTAGTTCCTATGACCTCTTATCGCAAAAATGCAATACATATTTGATTTGACATAATGATCGATGGTGGACGCCTAAGCTTAACGTTAGAATCCTTTCAAAGCATATTGCATGATCTATATGAAGAACTACGAAGATGATTGGCCCTAACCCTGCAGATGCAGTAATCTCACTAACCTTGAAGTCAGAATAAATGTGGAGAGGTCGCTAGTAGTTCATTACTTGCTCTTTATTAGAAAAAGAAACCCTTAGACGCAAAAGCATAGCGTTGCAGGTTACCTACTTGTAGGTATCACATTCATTACATGAGTCCACACGTGACTCGCGGCCGACGCCGGTTGAGTCGAGTCAATTCCGCACCCGCTGACCCCAACCTCATCCTCACCGAGCCCTTACCCTCGATTGTCCCCAAGCATCCGTCAAAATGGCCGCTGCTATCAAGGCAATCAACGCCAAGATCCGCTCCAACAAGGTGGCGGACTATGTCTGCTCAACCCGTACGTTTTCAGAATTCAATTCCCATCCCCGAGTTTCCCGCTTGCTTCCCGGAGCGAGATCGGCTTGCTATGATATCACGTTTGATGAAAGGAAAAAGGAGTGGAAGCAGACCAAATATTTGCTTTCCCTTGAGTTGGGATTAGACGATTCAATTCGTCTGGGGAAAATGCTGGAAACTTGCGGATGATGAGCTTTTGAAGCTATCCAGGTAGATTGCTAATGACGATTTACAACAGACTTCTGGGGCCCTGTCTCCAACTTCGGTATTCCATTTGCCGCTGTGATGGACACACAGAAGGATCCGGAAATGTATGTTTATCTACCTTGGTCCCCCTTTCATCTCTTCGAGACCTATCTCCTACCTTTAGTCTTAAGGATGTAACTAACGCAGTACTTCTCCGCACAGTATCTCTGGTACTATGACTGGTTGTCTGCTTGTCTATGCTGCTACTTTCATGCGCTACTCCCTCGCTATTACCCCTAAGAACTACCTGCTCTTCGCTTGCCACTTGACCAACTTCGGTGCTCAGTCTGTCCAGGGATACCGTTATCTCGCTTACTGGAAGTACGTTGACCCCGACCCCGAGACCTGACGAGATGCTCATGGATGTAGCTACGGCTACATCTTTAGTCATCAAGGTTATAATATTATCTTATGTGGACTGTGCTAATATTTGTTTGTTTAGCTGGGGCGGTCGGGAAGCTCAGCTCGCCGAGCAGGCAAAGCAGGGCAAGGTTGCTACTGAGGGTGGATCCGCATAAAAGCATTGAGCTGTACTTTATGTTCCTTTTCCGGCTTTTTTCTTCGGTTCGCTGCATTGCGTCTCTTCCTATTTATTTGTATTCTTAGAATCGGTCGAGGGAAGAGAATGATCGGAGGTTTTAGAGCGCGGTTGTTGTGATGAGGATGGCCTCGAGGGATGTGATGGCCGTCTTTTGGCCGATGAGCAGATCCCTTCCAAGGGATTGCCTGCTTTTGTGGTCACTGTACATAGATTATTCAATTGATTTATTTCATCTAAATTTTATGGTTTGATTCTTGATCAAAATATATACGCAAATATGTAGGTTTACTCTACGCATCCAAGGTCATTATCAAGAGTTTTATCTAAGCAAGCATTTGTATGAAGATGATATGTGTACAAAGAGTCCATTCCATACACGACAACTCACAAAGATAGCGCCAACAATCCAATTTTGATCAAAGAGAAAGCCGAACACCAGAAATTATACGAGTAGCTGCTCTCAACACCATGCGAGAAGGATATCTACGCTATGCCACAATCTAGTGTTGAAATTGCGAAAGGAAATTTCCAGGAAGATGTCCAACCACATAACGCCAGCGAAAATGATTATTTGGAATCACAGTAGCCCGGACTTGGGACTTCACCACCACCAATCCAATTTTGAATCGTCGTGGTCGTGGTATAGGCGCAGCCAATAACACCAAAGACAGCGAGTGCGATATCAGCAATAGCCTGGCGCCGGGAGTGGGCACAGGCGCGGAGGTGAAGAAGGGGCTATATGAAAATGTTAGATCCTTTCAAGGTTTTATAGTCAAGGGGAAGCAGAACATACCGGGTAGACATAGATCAGTGGGACACAAGCAAAACTTCCAACCAGCGAAACAAATTTATCTAGATCATCAGCTCCAGCCCAAGCAACGACGGCACACACGACCACCAAGAAGAATCGGAATGAATTCTTTTGCCACTTGATGTATGGGTTATATTTGCCGCTGCGAGTGAAGAGCTCATTCTCCATAATACGAATAGCAGGGAAGAGTTGTAGAGGCGTGCTGAGCAAAATGGCAAGAGAGTAGAGGAGCTGGACCACGTTGACGAACTTGTCATCCTGAGGCAAGTTAAGGAGAATGACGGTCTTGGTAGCCGATCCGTAAGCGGCATAGCTGAGCGCACCAGCAGAAAGGAAGACCAAGGTAACCAGGACCATGACACCAGCTAGAACACCTGGGAAGCGTTGAGGCTGCTTCATCGACTCCTGGATAGGAATGATAAGACCGATACCCTCAAAAGTGAAGATAGCTGTACCGATGAACATAGACCATGTCGCAGGGTTGAACGAGATTACGTCCGCGATGCCCCCATTGCCAATCAAGGTGCTGGCATCGTAGTAGTAGATATATAGGAGACCCAAGAGAATGAATGCGTCCGCAATCAGGGCAGTGAAGCCCAACTTGCTGATATCTCGAATCAACGAGAGAGGCAAGAAAATGATAACTTGCAGGAACATGAAATACTTAAGATCAATGAAGGACTTGCAGTTGCTCACGGCCTGCACGAACGCCTGCAAGTTCTGCGAAACGAAAACAATGTATGCAGATACGAATCCCAACTGACTGAGCACAATAGAGCCAAGAATGATGCGTCTCATGTGCTTGCCAAAAAGAACACCTCCAATGTCACCGAACGACCCATTAATCTTCATACGAGTGTTAACCAACAGAATGAAGGCATAGTAACTCAATAGAGAGACACCTAGAAGCACCAAACTACTGAATAGCAAGCCACCATTCAAGAACGCTCGGGGCAAGAAAAGAATTCCAGTACCAACAAAAGACTTAAGCAACAACATGACAGCACCAGTGACAGTTGTTGTCCCTGGAGGTGCACGTTGCTTGTGCTTTCGTTTCCTGCGGCCGGCGCTGTCACCCTGGAGCAGGGCTGCATCTTCTCCAGATTCCCTGCTCTCATCCGGTTCATCCCAAGTATCAGACGAGAAATACTCGTCAGGGCCTAGGACTTCGTCATCTTCCTCCAACTCTTCACCAGCGAAGTGGCCATACAATGTAAGGAATTCCAAAAAGCTCGAGGTAGGGAGTTGAGGCTGGGCTGGCGTAGCCCCCGAATTTGATCCGTTCACACTCCCACGGTGCGGACTGCCTGCCGTCCGACGCAGATAGTCACGTCGGAACCCTCCTGGTACGAGTATTGTGTGGATATCCTCAGTCTCTGCTGACGGAGCTGGCCGACTGACGCTGAAACTCTTGCTGCGCGCGAATCGATTTTCGGAATCCGCATCTTCTGCCCATCGGTAAACCTCTCGAGTCATGTCGCCTCCTTGTAGCTGTAGACTTGAGAAGTGATCCTCGCCACCTAAACTAGTTCCAAGCTCCGAGCCGGTATCGCGATGTTCAGAGATATGTTGTGGAAGGACAAGATGCCTTTTCACTACCTCCGGATCCTCAAATGGCGCAGGAGAGTCGCCGCCGTTTTTGTTGTCAAAAGAACCATATTGCGAAGCCATGGGGCGGTTATCTATGAACGAGGGCCCCATAGGCGAACTGGCTACTCGAGAGGGAGTCCCAAACCTCGGAGGCGAGCGACCAAGACTTTCCTGCAGTTGAGATGCAATCATAGAATGACCTGGTCCTGGAAGCGATGACAGATCATTCACAGCACGGAAATTGTGTTCAGATGTAAGGTTGGACGTTGTGGTCGTGATTGGTCGGCTGGCGGGGACACCTGGTCGAGATGAGAACGATGTTCCCAAGGACGGAGAGGGGACTGGCGATGCCAGACGGGCAATCGAGGCCTGTCGAATGCTTCCATCTGGAGCAGGCGATGCTGATCGAAGGGAGGGAGATCGAATTGGTACAGCCCGTGATGGGTTGAGAGAAGAACTCTCCCCGTTATCTGCCATGTTGATAGTGTTCCACCTCCTGATCAGGGTCCAGCAATGACAGGTGTGGGGTGATGGGCATGAGGGAAGGGAAAAAAATAAGGAATTAATAATATTAAGGACCAAGAATTCTAGGACCCTGTAATAATTCTTCCTCTATTCAGGAGAAAAAATCTGTCAAGATGATAAGTGAGGCGAAGAGAGCCCTTGAGGTCGATCGTCTCCAAGTGCGGGTGCGGGTGAGCTTTGCACTGTTTGTCCCTTTTCTTCACGTCATCTGTCATCTATTGGACGCGCGGTGACGCAGGTGGTTATCTTTTTTGTCCATATAAGACACTTTACTCCATTTTGCTACTATTTCTCTCTTTTCTTTGTCCTCTGGTTTCTTTCAATTGATTAACATACAAAGAAAGTGTACTCGTCTCCATGGTCCTCGCAGTGCGGTTACATTGTTGCGCTTGACAGCCGAACCCGGCGAATACAATCCCGCAATGTCTCGTCGACGCCCTAACTTCTCGACTCGAACCGCCGAGGAAGATGCTGCACGATTGGACCCAAATGAGCACGGTGATTCATCTGGTGGCCGGACTCGATTCTGGTCTCTAGTGCCAGTTATCTCACCCAGCCAGCAAGAGCCAACTGCTGCGGGATCCTCTGGGCGTCGCCGTTCGTCGCACACTAATCCTTTTAGCCGTCTGGGCAGATGGTGGGACGGGATGAAACAAAATGAAAATGAAGAAATAATTGCAGCAGAAGCGTCGCATATACCCTCGTCAGGTCATTTCCGTGATGCCAGTGCCGATAAGAAGGATAAAGCTGGACATCGATCTCGTTCAATGGAAGAATCGAAGAAACTTGGTACTTTCTCCGGTGTATTCGTTCCGACTACTCTCAATGTACTTAGCATCTTGATGTTCTTGCGCTTTGGATTCATTCTGGGTCAAGCAGGATTGCTGGGAATATTAGGTGAGGACCCTCTCAAGTATTATGGCCCGTGAGACAATAGCTGATCGAGATAAGCCCTTCTGATCATATCATACACGATAAATTTGGTGACCACCATGTCGCTGTCTGCAATCGCAACAAACGGTACTGTCAGAGGTGGAGGCGCATATTATCTGATCTCCCGGTCTCTGGGTCCCGAATTTGGTGGGTCCATCGGTATCGTGTTCTACCTTGGCCTCGTCTTCAATACCGGAATGAATGCAGTAGGATTGATCGACTGCTTCTCACAAAATTTTGGCACCGTCTCTGGTAGCTGGGCCAATTTCCTCGCGGAAGGCTTTTGGTGGTCTTACCTATGGGGAACAATCATTTTGATTCTCTGCACAGCTATCTGCTTGGCGGGGAGCTCGATATTCTCCAGAGCAAGCAATGGACTCCTTGTTCTTCTTCTTGTGGCCACTTTCAGTATCCCAGTGTCTGCGATTTTCATGAAGCCATTCTTTAAAGAAGGGGTCGAGTTCACAGGATTAAGCTTAAAGACCCTGACAGAGAACCTGAAGCCGCACTTGACAAAGGGTGCAGCAGGAAGTCAATTGAAAGGGAGGGAAACTTTCCAGGATCTTTTTGGCATCCTGTTTCCAGCTACAGGAGGTATCTTTGCGTAAGTTGTAATCGAAATTAAGTGCATTGTTCAACTGCTGATAATCTTCTAGTGGTGCAAGCATGTCTGGAGATCTGAAGAATCCCAGCAAGGCTATCCCTAAAGGAACACTGTCAGGCTTGGCTTTGACATTTGTAACATATGCATTGGTAGTACTTGCCATGGCAGCCTCGATTACGAGAGAGTCGTTCTATAACAACTTGAACGTGATTCAAATCGTGAGATTTCGCGTGGCCCTTACCTTTACCAATATGCAGCTAACGTGATACAGGTGAACTATTCCGATACTATTATTCTGCTCGGCGAGTTTGCGACTAGTTTCTTCTCTGCTTTGATGGGTGTCATTGGATCCGCAAAGCTTCTGCAGGCCATCGCTCGGGATAGCTTGCTTCCCGGACTTAGCATTTTTGGTCAAGGCACGAAGAAAAATGACGAGCCGGTCTACGCTATCATTGTGACTTTCATCTTTGCACAGGTTACAATGCTGTTTGATATCAATCGTATTGCATCCTTTGTGACTATGGCCTTTCTGATGACATTTCTCGTGACGAATTTAGCCTGTTTTCTGTTGAAAATTGGATCCGCTCCAAACTTTCGACCATCATTTCATTACTTCAATTGGCAGACAGCCGCCACGGGTACCTTGGTCAGTGGACTTAGCATGTACTTTGTGGACGGTCTTTATGCAACCGGGTGTGTTGGCATTCTGGTCATGCTCTTCCTTTTGATCCATTATACCTCACCACCTAAGCCGTGGGGCGATGTCAGCCAGAGTCTGATCTACCATCAAGTACGCAAATACTTGCTACGCCTGCGTCAGGAGCATGTGAAGTTCTGGCGGCCTCAGATTCTATTGTTTGTGAGCGATCTTGATAAACAACACAATATTGTTTCATTCTGCAACTCATTGAAAAAGGGTGCGCTGTTTGTTCTCGGTCATGTTATTGTGACCGATGATTTTTCATTGGCTGTTCCAGAAGCCCGTCGACAGCAAACTACATGGACTAAGCTGGTCGAATACTCCAAGATCAAAGCTTTTGTGAATATTGCGGTTGCACCTGCTGCGGAATGGGGCATGCGGAACATCGTGCTCAATTCAGGACTGGGAGGCATGCGGCCCAATATTGTTGTGATTGATCAATTCCGACAAGACCAAGCATTGGTGGAGACTTTGTCCGTGAGCAGCAACCCTAAATGGCGACGTCGCTCATCTGTGCTTGGCTCGAAGCAACAATCATCGGAGGAAGCCAATGTTCCGATCAAGCCTATGAGTCTTCAAAGTTACGTGACTGTCCTCGAAGATCTTCTCTTCAAGCTTCGCATCAATGTTGCTGTGGCTAAGGGCTTCGAGGAACTTGAATTGCCCGATCTCAATGGCCGTCACACAAAGAAATACATTGACCTCTGGCCGATCCAGATGTCAGCCGAGCTGGGGGCTGATACAGAGAGCAAGCAAAATGTTCTGACCACCAACTTCGATACTTATACCCTGATTCTCCAGCTGGGTTGCATCCTTAACACTGTCCCCTCATGGAAGAAGACATACCAATTGCGCGTGGCAGTGTTTGTAGAATATGAAACCGACGTAGAAGATGAGAGAGGACGAGTTGAAGCACTTCTGGAAAAGCTACGGATAGAAGCCGAAGTTCTCGTGTTCTGGCTTGCATGTGGGGATTTGAAAGCATACCGCATTATTGTTAACGGAGACGCTTCCCCAGACGTATCGGATGCCCAGGAGATCGTTGACACCGTTTTGCGCGACGAGGATTGGTGGCAAGGTGTCTCGAAAGCTCGCAAGAACTCCGAGGAATCAGACGCAACCATTGATGATTTGCGGGCAAGCAGATCGACTACCTGGCAAGGTCCCGCGAGTCAAGACAGTGGAAGCCGACCCCTGCAACAACGCGTGACTGGACTCAGAAAGCTCATCCAGTCCAACAGACGAAGACGCTCCGTATCCAGCTTTAGAGCGATGGGAGGAGTCAACTTGGGCATGCAAACCCACCGCCTATTGGATTCCTTTGTTGACTACGATGGGGATAACTCTAGTAGCGAGAGCAGTGATGACAGCGACTTCGACCCTTACATCAGTGATCCAGAAATGGGCAATGAAGGCGACGACGAACTTGAGCAGGAGGACATGACTCAAAACCGACATTCATCCTCTCAGCTGCTTATTCGATCCAAGAGCGATCAAAGTAGTGTGACTCCATCACCACGACCACACCCACAGTCTGTCTCTTCGTTTGAGAATGAACCCACGTCCCGCCAAGCGATTCCTTCTATCGTCACTGATGAAAACGCATCACCAAAGAAAACATCTTTTGCTCATCCTAATCGCCCCGGTATTAGCCGCTCCGCCTCCAGCAACCGATTCAGCTCCTCGCCAATCCCAGAAGCCAAGGTTAACACGGAAGAAGAAGGAGCGGGCCCGTCAATTATGTTCGCATCGAATGCATCGCCCCCTCGCTTCGCACAGAAACTTGAATCCATCTATGCCCGTCGCACATCGGCCGTCTCGCCCACTTCCACCGGTGCGCAGAGTAGCCAAACAGCGTCTGGGTTCCCAGGTCCCGCTTCGGTCCCGCTGTCATTCAATGATCTTCCCAGCCGAGCCCAACATCTTATCCTCAATGAGTTGATGGTTCAGCATAGCAGTGACACGGCTGTTATCTTCACGACGCTGCCCTCGCCGGTAGAAGGCACCTCCCTCAGTGAAGAAGATTGTGCATCGTATTTGAGTGACCTGGAGGTCCTATGGCAAGGTCTTCCTCCCTGTCTGCTGGTCCACAGCAACAGCATGACTGTGACGATGAATTTATAACGAATCGACGATGTGGTATACATGTACATTCAATTGTTCTCAATGTTAAATTAGCTATAGTTGTGATCCAAACTTTGCATATGTGAACGATGCGACTGTAGAACTTGGAATATTACATAGTATGCAAAGGTGCCATGATTGCCAGTGTTTAGTATTGTCTGCTGTACTAGGTAGCGTGAAGTTCAGCTAGTAGTATAATTGATGATATGATTCGAATATTCAGACTCGGACCATACTCCATATTCCACCACCGCAGCCCATCAATCCTCTACCGGTACTACTAGTTTGAGCAGTAACAAACCCGGCTTGCATCACAATGCACATCAATTGGTATGCCAGTACCCATCACCTGGGCATGATCAACATTTGAATGTACATATGATCTACCTACCTACTCGGGACTTGAAGTAGTACAGATACCCGGCTACTCCGCTACTCCATAGACTACTTCTCAACATGGGCTCATGCAAGTTACTAGGGAATATTACTAATTGAACCCTGGGGTACACGGGTCCCGGCGTACAGTCCGCACACTCATGCAAGGTTAGACCAGCTCAGAATTTATGAACTCAGAAAGAACATTCAATGTTCGACAACTTGAAGGCTTCATTGTCGCTTCATTGTCCCATTATGATCCGGCCTCTCCGAGTCCGCCGCGTCACTAGCTGCATATCAAAGCCGCCACGGGAAGATCGGCGGGGCTGAGTAAACTATAATAAGGAAAAGAAAAAGTCAGTGGGAGCTGAAAAGACTGAAGAGTACTCCGTAATAAAGAATTCGTTTCAGCAATTATAGCCGACAGGTCAAAGCCAGGATCAAATCTCCTTCGTAGGACCGAGTACAGAGTGAAATAGCAGAGTAGATTGATACCCTAATACAGAGAGATGCATGGATCCTTTTACTGCACAGATAACCTGCATAAACTGCGTAGAAAGTCTCGTGATGTATAAGCGAATAAGCACAGAACACAGAAACCAATTAAAACCCCAAGAATAGATTAAATGGAACGAATAAGAATTACCAATTTAAAAAAATAACGGATCAACCCCATAAAGTCGGGGATCATGACCAATCACAAATTCCCAAGCTATGATTGGTTAATACGCGTGCCGTGGTATACTCTGTATCTTAGAGAACTGAAAATCCCCCTACACCTTTCCCCTCTCCATTGTTGACTCCGGTTGCTTCTCCAGGTTTATGTGTCCAGTTAGGACCATGCCATTCATCTTATAGTGCTCTATTAAACCCACATACCTTTCATCCCACCCCTTACTGCCCAATTTTCACCGATAATTCCGTTCTTTCCACCCCTGAATTTTAATATCAACCATGACAACAGCCACAGCGCCGCGATTGAACGGCAGTGTCAGGGCTTCAAGTAGCCAACGTCGCCCAGTCGCTCGTTTCCTACAAGAAGAAATTCAGGACGGTCATCTTCACCCTTACTCCAACGGTCACAGTAACGGCAACGGCCACAGTAACGGCGCGGACTCAGACTCCCAGCTCTCCGATAGTGGCTCCACCACCTCCAGCACAGCAAACGGAACTAGATCACGACGCCCAGCCATGTCTCGCAAAGCTTCATCCCCAATGGCCCCAACCTTTATGGTCTCTGCGCCAGGAAAAGTCATTGTCTATGGCGAGCACGCTGTTGTTCACGGCAAAGCTGCCATGGCGGCCGCTATCTCCCTCCGCTCCTACCTCCTCGTCACCACCCTCTCCAAATCACAACGTACAATTACTTTGAACTTCCGGGACTTGGGTTTGAAGCATACATGGGATATTGATGCTCTTCCCTGGGACGTCTTCCACCGCGCCGATAAGAAAAAGTTCTACTACAGTCTGGTCACCTCACTGGACGATGAACTTGTGGCAGCATTGGAGCCCCACCTGGAGGATGTCTCCATTGATATCCCCGAGGAGCAACGGAAACCCCATGTTCGCTCTGCCTCTGCATTCCTCTACCTCTTCTGCTCCTTGGGTTCCCCACAAAGCCCAGGTGCTATCTACACCCTCCGCTCCACAATCCCCACCGGTGCCGGGCTGGGCAGCAGTGCCAGTGTCTGTGTCTGTCTGAGCTCTGCTCTTCTCCTCCAGATCCGAACCCTTGCCGGTCCTCACCCCGACCAGCCCCCTGATGAGGCCGAGACTCAGATCGAACGTATTAACCGCTGGGCATTTGTTGGCGAACTTTGCATTCATGGAAACCCCAGTGGGGTGGATAACACGGTCTCCGCAGGCGGCAAGGCCGTATTCTTCAAACGAACTGATTACGAGAAACCTCCGACTGTCATCTCCCTTCCAACCTTCCCCGAATTGCCTCTCCTCATTGTCGATACCCAACAAACCCGTTCTACTGCCACCGAGGTAGCCAAGGTTCTGAGCCTGAAGAAGGCTCACCCTGTCGTGACCGAGTCTATCCTCGACTCTATCGACCAGGTCACCTGCTCTGCACGCCAATTGATCGAGACACCGGACTTCGATGGCACCTCTGATGAGACGATGGCACACTTTGGAACTTTGATCCGCTTGAACCACGGCCTGCTTGTATCTTTAGGTGTCTCGCATCCTCGTTTAGAGCGGATTCGAGAACTTGTTGATTACGCCGACGTTGGCTGGACCAAATTGACCGGCGCGGGTGGTGGTGGCTGCGCCATGACTCTTCTGCGTCCCGATGCCAAGCCTGAGGACATCCAGGAATTGAAGCGGAAGCTTGCCAGCGAGGGTTTCAACAAATACGAGACTACGCTTGGCGGCGATGGCATTGGTGTTCTCTACCCCGCTGTGCTGCGCAACGGCTCGGATGAAGAGGGCGGCGAGGAGATTGATCAACAGAAATTTGAGGAGGCAGAAGGTCACGTCGGTATTGAGCGCCTCGTTGGAGTGGGATTCCACGAGAAGCGCGAAGGCTGGAAGTTCTGGAAAAGAGCTGCTCCTTGATCTTCTTTCGCATTACTCACCTAATCGACAATCCTCTTCTCATCATTCCTATTGGCATCTAATGACTCTTTCTCTTTCTTTCTGTTTTTCTGATTCTTGAGTCTGGATTAAGTCCCTTTGGGGTTCTCTATTCCCACTCTTGTCTTCTTCTCTGTACACATTGTCACCTCATATGCATTATACACCCCATTTGTGATCGTGAGCCTAAGCCTGATTCCGAACCCATTCGGAGTGTGTTTTCTTTTCTTTACAGAAGCTACGGTTGTCTCGGATTGTTTTTTTTTTTTACAAATATGTTTTTATTACTTGGTTGGGTTGTTGGATGTCACCTGGGGTTTGTGATTCCCTTAAAGTGTTTTCGCATGAGCATGTCTTCGGCGCAGTATGGCCACTGGTTAGCGCCTGCTTCAGGCAGCTTGAATATCAATTAATACATGGTAATCTTTGATAACTTCTTTTATCTCTTATAATTTCCAAGGTTCTCTCCTTAAGTTTCTAAGTGAGCACTGCTGCCTAGACTGTTGCCTGGTGCGGCTCTACTAGAATAGCCCTGGAGTAGTATCATGATGGATTTCCGTGATTACTATAAGAGTAAGATTGAAATCCCATCTATGTGCGGATAGTTCCAAGGTTCATACTATGTACGAGTAGTAGAGGTAGGTGGATTTGCTGCGAAGATTTAGAATGAGCACCGACTCGGATTCGGAGTGCCGCTCATCACTGCATCATTTGACTCCTATACTCCCTCACCTTTCCAACACAATTTTCACACGAGATGATTCTCTCTCCCTAAAATACTCTACACTTTAGCAATGGGAAAATCTATTCTAATTCTCTATTAGTATACCCATTATAAAATGACAACGTCAATGGGACCTTCAACATTTGGTGTGGTACATCCACCAGCATGTCTCCTTTGTGGTATCGATGTTCTCAACAGAATCGACCTTGGAATAGTAACCAACTTACGGGCTCTGCTGAAGCAGGATCGATGGAAATTAGACACTGGCAAACATATTTTGGTGCCCGCAACCGAAATAGAGGATAAAGAATTCATCCGGAATCCTATATTATCATCCTGCTACTTTCGAGCAGGTAGGTCATCTGCCTCATGTTTTGTCTGATAGTATTGGAACTCGGAACTCAATATACTAAAGAAAAATCAATATTATAGTTGTCAAACTTCCTTCTTCTCGCAAATTGCACCTCACAGGAATCGGATCACAAGCAATGTCTCGGCAGCCAGTTACATCAGGTCGCGAACAGCCCTTTTTATACTACCTCCCAAGGGATGTTAGCACCGCACGAGTCTGTGGACATATTCGTCCAGTACGAAAAGAACAGCTTGACGACAAGCTGTTCATCGAATTCCTTCCTGCAGACCCTCACATTCAACAACGCTACACCGAAGTCTACCCTGCTGGACACATCTTTCACTATCACTGTTGGGAGATACTCGGTCATCTCATAGGGAAAGAATCACTTTCCAAGCCATCCATATGCACACGTATTGTAAAAGCTGCCAGAGAGCATTGGAACGTCAATAATTTGCCCTGGCACTGTAGCTATTATGCAATAATGAACTCATACTGCCATAACTACAGACACTTGAGCATGGAAGAAAGAAGGGCACTTTTCCTAAACCCATGGATAATACCCGAAGTGCAACAAGAAATCGCCTTCGCTCAAGAGATACTAGGAAAACCCAAAAGCCTTTACTTCGAGAGAATTCCACTTGAAATCCTCTTGATGATCATGCAGTCCGTTTTCCCACTCGAATATACTCATTCCGATGTGCAAAGTACGAAGAACATGTTATCTGTGTTTGAGTTGAATCTCCCAGATTCATTTTGGAAAGCTCGAATAATGTCACCGGTAGCCACCAAGCAACACTTGTTCTTCGAGTCGCATGTGTTGACAGAGACTGATGCCAACTCGGTGGATTGGCGGATCTTGCAACTTGGTTGGATGGGCCTTATTCTTGATAAGAAGTTTAAGGCCAGTGGCCTTCGGAATCGTGAAAGGATATTTGATTATATAAAGAAGATCATTTCGATTGCTGAAAAGTTTCACAAGAAACCTCTTTCAAAATGTGTTCGGTATAGTACTGTTAGCTCAGGGTCTTTCTAGGTACTTCACTTGATGATGATCTATGATGCCTTATGTACGTGGACTTGGAGTTATGCAATGAATTTGTAGCTACACATCCAGTCTGGATGCCTGAAATTCCTCTGAAACATTTGAATCCTTATTTATTCTGCCTTGATATTCGACAAGTCTACTATTATCCCTGCTCTAATGAGTACAACTCTACTAGTAGTAATCAACTGGTAGATCTACTATGGGGTAAATTCCGGGTTGATCTTCGGACCCGCTGACTCAGTGTTCCTCATTGCAACTCCCCGAGCTTGAGCTTGTAACCTCACCACCATGTCTGTCCTTGCGCGCACATTAAAGGTAAGCCCATGCCTCAAGTGCGCAGATATGAAAAATCAAACTGACCATTTTGAAAGGTCAATCCGGCAAAGCTCGCGCGGTCCAATTTATCCATCTGGAGGCCCACCTTGCTGTCGCAATCCAGACTGATAGTCCTCAATTCTGGCCAAGGACCTGCTACCAGGGGACTGAGAACTTCACATGAAGTTAGAAATAAAACAGTTTGCTCAAGATCTTACACAACACAGCCCCAAATGGCTACAGCTCCACCAGAACTCAAACATACCCTTACTCCGGCTCTGCTGGCCAAGGTCCGGACCTTCTGGTTCGACCATGTTAGTGATGAAAACTCTCTAATTCTACCAACGGGACCCGAAATGCAACGTTGGTTTTCCCGGGATGTGAAATTTGATAAAGCTTGCGTGTATGTTTCTCACTTTGATTCCATCCAACCCCTCCAAGTCATGTCAAATTGTCAATTCCAATATTTAAGCTAGTAACTAATATTTCATTCAGTGCACAATTCCAACCAGCTTTAGAAGCTATCATCTCTTCAGACGCAACATCTGAACAGATCCTAGCAGCAGTCAACACATCAGACCCATTAAACTGGCTCGGTCTCGTACTCCTCCTAGATCAAGTCCCTCGGAACTGCTACCGAGGTGATGAATCCAGACTCGTATTCGAGCGTTTTGATCCTCTCGCCTCAGCCATAGCACTCCAGGCTCTTGATCTCGGAATTCCAAGCCAAAGTCCAATTCGGTATAAATTATCCTACCGATTCTGGTTTCATCTCCCACTTATGCATTCTGAATCCTTAAATGTACATCAGAGGGCCGTTACTATCCATGAAGAAACGGCACAGGATGTGGAAGATTTCCTGAGATCAGATCGGGATTCTTTGGATGAGTATGAAAATAAGTGCTTTGATGTTCTGGTTGAGAGACAGGATGGGATGAGGGCTTGGTTGGCGCAGACGCTGGATTTCGAGAAGAGGCATTTGGTTATAATTGCGCGCTTTGGGAGGTACCCTCACAGAAATGGGGCTATGGGGAGGGAATCCACTAGGGAGGAAATGGAGTATCTGGAGAATGGTGGGGAGACATTTGGATAGATATTATCTATGGGGTAACGGGATGTATGTATCAATTGATGTACTATATTGTAACTTGAATAGATTAAAAACTCCACTTTAGATTGGGAATATACGACATTATGGATCAGTGCGTAGTGAACTGCCAGTGGAGCCTGATATGTATGGTCATGGTAGTGCTAGTGCCCATTCATTCGAAAGTTGAAAATTCAAGTCAACAGATGAGATATTGACCCGATCAGGATAAGCTACCTAGTAGCTCATTATAAGAAAAAGCTTAGTATCATTCTTCCAGTCTTAGCTCTATTTTGATCTCTAGAATATAAACATATCAAGTCAATATTTTATCCGTACTCCCATTATCCCTGGTATCCCTATCCCCATCCGTCCTCTCAACATCAACATCAAAAGTCCGATAAACAGAAATATCCTTAGACTTCGGCGGGAAGGCCGGCGAAAAAGGCTCTACACTGTTATCCTGGAAACTGTGCAGCTGATATGAATGCTGTCCCTTGCTATCCTTAGGCCTGAACATATGTGGATCAGTCACATACGCTTTCCCAATACTGCGTGAACGAGAGCGAGACGAGAATAGTGATAATCGGGGAAGGTAGGTTGTGATGAGCTTTTTGAAGCGCATTGCGCAGGCGCATATTATGCCGAGATTTATTTCGACGAGCGACCAGATGCCCAGGATGGCTTCGGTGTAGGTTGTGTCGGATGTGGCGTCGAGTTTGAGGACGTAAGGGAGGCGGGCGATTGAGCAGATGACGACACTAATGGAAAGTATTAGTATGGAAATTTGACTCCATTGTATTGGAAGGCTAACAAGACGCACCCTGAGCCCAAAGCTAACAGACAGCTAACAGTGAGTTTCTGTTTCGTTGAGAATTGAAGGTTGTGAATTGTCGGCATGGGAAGAGCCACGACTGCCAGATCGGACGCGATATTCAAGACTGCTTGTGCTAAGGCGACGTTCTCTAAGCATTTTGTTGTTCCAGTTTTGAGGGGATTGCAAGGTGCACCGGTGATAACACATAAGGTCAAAGTATAGGCGAAGATTGAAACTGCGACACCTGCAACACAGTAGCGATAGATGGTTGAGGGATTAATACGGAAGAGGATGGATAGAATAGCCATTTTGGTTATCGCTGGACATATTAAGTATGTCACGGTGTTTGGTAGTAGTGCCTGTTTGACGTTAGAAATGCCATTGTACATGAGTATCCATGGATATTCGGAATTCATCGAAGCATCGTACTTTATCGAACTTGACGAGCTGTGCAATGGATACATCCCACATGTGTTTGCCCCAGCCATATCTCATGACTGTAAATTAGTTAGTCTCTAGGTACTAATTTTCTGCCCACGGATGAGGCTGAACGTACGTCGGACCAAAGTCGCAAAATAGGTCGCAGAAACACCAAAAGAGATGGTTATAATGACTATGAAGCATTGCAATTAGAATTGGATCATATGCTGTTGAAGAAAATACACACCTAGGTCTATTTCAACCTTCTTCACCAATTTAAACGCCTGGAAATAACGAAGAGCAACAAAAACCGTCGCTAGAAAATAGGTAACGCCAAATGCCACAACCGTCCCTATTTGCAGTGAATTATAAGGAGTGTAAAAATGCGAGGTTTGACCAGCTGGCGGCTCCATCCCCGGTGTTGTGTACTCATCCATTGTGACCTCGAATTATCGCAACATGCGCACCCCTGGCACAACCTTGGAAAAAGGAGACATCGCAGCGCGAAGAAATCAACATGGGCACATGGCTTGACTATAAGCATCCTACTCGCACAAGTGCCGAGACATAAAACGGTGATGTGTCTGATTTTACCAGGGGTTATGATGATCTTGTACCATCCTGACTCCAACGACTCCACATTTGACAGCCATGACACCAACGCTAGCCAGATAAGGTTGAAAAGGCCGTTGAGGTCTAGCTCTATGGAACACTTCGAACACGCTAGATCCTTTGGGAGGAAGATTTTACTGGTGAATGGCTACGGGGAATGTCAGCCGTCTCCGCTAAGAGACTAATTGATGCAGCTAAATTAGTGCTTGTTGACAGGCCAGAATTGTCACTGGCCATATTTGAAGCCACACCGAACTAGATCCTTCTGACTCGTGAAAAATGAGACTCAAGTTCTTATTCCAGTTTAATGCAGCCTTTTTATGCTCTAGCGAACGTGTATTGTGGCTTTGATTATCGAAATCAGAAATTATTCCGTACTTGTGAAACACAATGCCGGAGCCACATGGCATGGCAAATATTAGGCAAAAGGGGCTATTCGCCGAGAATGTGTTTGTTTATTGGGGTTATCAGAGTGACTAGACTTCTGCAAGAAGAGGCTGCATTCTCTGTACTGCCTGGCTCTTCTTCCTGCAAATTCACGTGCTAATTGATCATCTTCAAGTGAACTCTTCAAAATGGATATGTTCTTTGGCAGTAGGCTCATAGAGCCGATCTCCGATGATAAGATCGTGCCATTGCACTTCTTCGAGGACAGCCTCCTTGTCCAGGGGAACAATATGGCCGTTTCTCTTGTATTCGACGAGGTACTGGATCCGGAAAAGCTGCGATCATCTCTTGAAGGCCTCGTGAAGAGAGAAGGATGGCAAAGACTGGGTGGACGATTGCGAAAGAACGTGAGAATGCCTCATTTCATTTTGGGAGTAAAATGACCAATCATAAAATCTACTGTATACTAACGAGTTCACTACACTGTAAAGGCATCCGGAAAAATCGAATGGCACATCCCACTCAAGTTCACAGCAGAAAGACCCACCATTTCCTTCTCACACGTCGATTACGGAATACCCGCTGCTTCTCATCCCGCTGCCTCCAAGATCCCAAAGCCCGATACCAAGCCGGCCATTGTGGGTAACCCAGACGATCTAGAAGAACTTGCATGGGAGTCTGGATACAAGTCGAACGGAATCAAAGACTATCTCACATCTGATATCCCGGTCCTTGGACTCCGCGTGAACTCCTTCACTGATAAGACTGTGGTGGTTCTGCAATGGCAGCATGTTGCATTTGATGCCTTGGGCATGCAGTACGTCGTCGAGGGGTGGCAGTCTATGCTCTGGGGGAAAACGGACGAAGTTCTTACTCCTTGTAACTATGAGAAAGATCCCTTCCACTCGTTTTCCGATGGTTCAAGACCTTCAACAGAGAGTCATATTCTTGCAGACAAGAGAGTTGGATTACTCGGCATTCTCAAGTGGGGACTAGGATATGGAGTTGATATGGTACTCCGAGCCAAGGAGAACCGTATGGTCTGTGTTCCAGAGACATTTTGGCGTCCGCAGTGGGAGAAGGCTCTAGATGAGCTTCGGGCTGAGGCCACGGCCAACGGAGAAGACCCCTCGAAGGTATTCCTAACAGAGAACGACGTCTTAACAGCTTGGATCTTAAGATGTGTTGTTGGTCAGAGGAATATGAACCCGAACAGAACTGTAAGTTGCCAAAGCCATAATGAGCATGTCTCAATAACTAATTAAACTTGTTCTAGGTCGCTGCGGCGATCGCGATGTCTCTTCGAAAAGCATTTGAGGGTGACCTGATCCCTTCATCAGCCGAGCACCCATACGTTGGTAATGCGTTCGGCTGGGCAAACGTCCTTGTCACGGCTGGAGACGTGACTTCAAAACCACTCAGCTGGCTTGCTCGGCAGGTCCGTCGAGCAGTTAATGAGCAAGGAACACGCGCTCAGCACGAAGCATACTACGCCATGGTACGAGGCTCTGGAACCGGCTTGCCAATTGTTATCCTGGGTGATGGTGATATGGCTCAAGTCGGCTTTTCAAATTGGGATAAGGCCGGACTCTTCAACCTGGATTTTTCACCGGCCCGAAAGACCCCTACAGATGGCCAGGGCTCATGTAAGCCTTCATATGTTCAGGAGAACCATGGTCCAGTCAAACCTGCAGATGGTTTCTTCATTCTTGGTAAAGATGCAAATGGAAATTATTGGACTTCTGCATGTGCTGTAAAGGGTCAATGGGCAAAATTTGAGGAACAACTGGAGAAAGATTTTGAGATGAGTCAGTGATTGCAGAATATCTCAGTCATTATGTACAGTTATTGAGAGTATCAATATCTTGCTCGTGTGTTCAAGACATCTGAATGATACCCAACTTAGTATAAATTAGCCAAGTAAAAAGATATCGCACAAAAGATCATTTCAAATCACCGTTCATTACCTTAATCAGTTTGGATTCCATTATTGATATGTTCAAGTTTGAATATGAAAAACATGAATCATACTTACATATCAGTGTTCACCGCAAATTGCAAGAGGCGCACAAATCCTAGCTTCAGCTCCAGCTTCAAAGGATCAATTCTGGTCATTTTTTTATTAAGCTCATGAACTCGCGCATACTTATTTGTAAGACGCGTACGAACCCTAGCCCTATCGGTGCTGACTCATTCCAGTCACTCTTTCAATAAGCTTAAGGACTCGCGCAAAATTTGCTTCGCTTGATTCACCTCCACCGTGAACACTGATACTTTTTGCCATGCTCATGAAGATCTTGCAAATTTGCCAACGAGCTTCCAACATGCGGTAAGCTTTACTCTCATTTGAACTCAGAGTCTTCAATGCAAAATGGGAAAAAGCCAGTGACCAAGCGTCTAATCCTTGATCTATCTCTTTTCCTCTTAAGGGAATCCATTCTAGGACTTTGCAAGCTATGAATATGCTTGATGATGTTTCGGAGCCCGTTTGATAGGAAGCCAACGCGATTTTCATAGCTCGGTAAGCAAGCCAATCCAGGGATTCTTTTGCCTGGGCAAGTGTGTCGAATGGACTATCCACAGATGGTGCGTCGGAACTTTGTATCGTATCAATATCAGTAAAATAAGAGAAGAGAAGAATGAAGACATTGAAACGCCGGAAGAGATTAATGAGGCGCGTAGATGGTTTATATGAGGCCATGATTTCTAGACCATTTGATAATGATTCAATGCTGCGTAGATATTGCCTCGCAAGAATTCAACACCATTAAACATAATGCACGCCAGGACGACTGAATCGAGATGCTCAACTTGAGATGTCACAATGCATCGAATTGCTTTGTTGTAATGTTGTAAGGCGAAGCGTTTTTGCAATGTGTCCGCTTGCGAGGTTGGGAATTTGAACTCCTTATACAGGGTACTCATAGCTACGGTCGCATGTAGAATGGCAGGCTCTTGGTGTGCTACCTGAGGAATATCGTGAGCCCAAAACGATACAGGTAATGGACCTGCAAGGCCATCATGCATCGAAAAAAGTCCAAGCTTTGGAAGTCAGCTTCTTGGGCTCCTGGAATGGTCGAGGGTCGTATACGCCGTAGAGCCTTTGGGATCCATTCTTTATAGCCATCACATTCGCGCCCAGTTGATGTGCATCTGATACAAGATGGCTGAGCTTCATCGCATTTGACTCTGCGTATTCTGAGGTATTCAAATTAGGTTGATATCAGATTATTCAAGGCTGGTGGGGTATTCACTTGCAAGTGACACCCAGTATGTGTTCTCCGAATTCCACTTCGAGCCATGATGTGCGCTGAGGCCGTACGGCGAATCTGAGGCCCAGTATCTTTCCGTCGGATTGAGAGTAAGAACTGCCAGTTGCAGTTCTCAAATTTCGAAGATTCAAATACCAGTGGGGACCAAATGGATGAATCATGTGCCTAGAACAGTATTAATGTATCGAGAGGGGTGTCCTGTCACATATAGGGCGGGATTCCTCAATCCTGCTCCAGGGCTGTGCTGCATACAGTTAGCATTCATCCATGGATAAATTGATATGAATGGCTTGATTGACGAGGATACACTCTGCCCCACTCCAAGCGCCTCTCCAGGGGTGATAGTGGTCAAATATGAGGGAGATTATGCATGAGACTTATTGATTGGTCTATATTCGGAGTAGCCTTTAGGCCGAGATCATGGGCCAAAAACTAGGTTATTGTAGAAAATATCTAGAATATCACAGTGAGCCCAAAACCTTGGAAGTGAAGCTTAATTTCAATTTCATGAGAAAAAGTACTACAATGTATACATTAATTTGGGGACTTTCGATAGAACGAGTCCTGGAGAACTCCGTAGTAACCAGTAGTATGATAAGCCAGTGAAATTTCCGCTTGTCGGGAATGCATATCCACAACATTGGAAGATATCTGTCTAAATAATCTCTCATAAATCATAAATTATATAATACAAAAGACGATCAATATTCATGGAATCATAGATACTTCTTAGTAGTTAGTTAGTTATTGTTCTCTTTGAGCCTCAGGCCACCAATGAAATCACAGCAAACAGACAGCGGCCCCACCTCTCTCAACTCATGAATCGACTCACTTTCCAACATAAAAGAAAAAGCATTTCCTTCAAAGACCGAGAAAAGATTTAAGGAAAACCAGGCGATCTCTCAATTCCGCGAATACTGAATCAGAAGGAGTTCAAGAAAGTGGTCGAGTCACCCCCTGCACGCTTCCCCAATCAGCATAACGCGCATCATTTATCGGGAAGAAAATCCCCCGCATCAGATTTGATAGCTTCACCCACTCCATCAAAATGGCCGGAAAATACGAAAGTGACCCCGAATGGGCCTCTGTGACTCCAATCCCTTTGGATGATGGTGAAGAATCGGGCGCTATGCCTCTGGCGTCCATTGCCTATCCTACCGAGTACCTCGAAGCAACCTCTTATTTGCGGGCGGTGATGGCCGCAAATGAGATGTCGGAGCGCGCGTTGAAGTTGACGCAGGATGTTATATCCATGAACGCAGCACATTACACTGTTTGGTGAGTTTTCCACACTGCTTTTCATATCTGAGTACCTTACCTCACCTCACCTCCTTTTACGTCCCTATATCCACTTAATGAACCCCACTAATCCATCCCAGGATCTACCGCGCCAAAATCTTGGTCGCATTGGAGAAGAGTCTCGAAGAAGAGGTCGCATGGTTGAACAAAGTTGCTTTGAAGTACCTGAAAAATTATCAAATCTGGTAATACACCACAACACACCACCCTCTTCTGATCCCAAGCTAACAACTCCCCCAGGCACCACCGTCAAGTACTCATGTCCTCACGGAAAAATTTCCCAACACTCCCACCCAAGGAACAAGATTTCCTGATGGACATGTTCGCTCAAGATAGTAAGAACTACCACGTCTGGACATATCGCCACTGGCTAGTCCGCCACTTCAAGCTCTGGGACAACCCCCGCGAAATCGAGGATATCAATCATCTCCTAAAAGCCGATGTGCGGAATAACTCTGCCTGGAGTCACCGTTACATGCTTCGCTTTGGACCCCGTGACGGTGAGTTAGATGCCGGTATGGCTAACGCGGGAGATATGTCGACCACACCCGGTGAGAAGGGCGTTCTGGCTGTTGTTGACGAGGATATGGTTGATGCGGAATTGTTGTTTGCGCAGGAGGCTATTGTTCGCGCTCCGGAGAATCGTAGTCCCTGGTGGTTTGCGAGAGGTGTGTTGCTTGCTTCTGGCCGCGGACTTACTGAGTGGGAGGAGTTCGCTGAGAAGTTTGTTGATGGCGATGCGGTTAAGAGCTCACATGCTATTGAATGGTTGGCTGATGCTTATGCGGATGGAGAGAGAGATATTCAGGCGGCTGAGATGCTGAACCTGTTGAAGGATAAGTATGATCCTATTCGGAAGAATTACTGGGATTATCGGATGAAGATGCTGGATATTCCTGCCCATTAGGGATCTTTTGGGATTGATTTGTTCTTCAGGTATCCAGATGTCTGAAATGTGTATGAAAAGAACTTCAATTTGAAATCTCACTTTCTTTATTACACTTGCTTCTTTCAAGTTCAAATGTTTCTAGGTAGAAGAAATGTATTTTTGTAAAAGTAGGAAAACATGCAGCATTGAACGGGTCATGATAAGAAAAGATTAGACAACAGAATAAAATGAGTATGTGAGGTATATAAAAAATGAAAAAGAAAATGCAAAAAGTCTTTAGATCATAGCTTAGGCCCATCCCTGTTCCAGTAAGCGTCTATATTCTCCAGCCATATCAATAGTAACATTACTTCCACCACAAACAATGATGACAACCCTGCTCTGTGTGTTCAGATCAGGGAGAAGCTTCATTAACTTTGACTTAAGTTCAGGAGTTTTCGTCGATGTCCGACCATTATCGCCGTTCTCCGCCTCAGGTTCGGGGTCCGTATCATTATCCGTTGACAATCGGTCATCGCCGTATCCCTCATCAGGAGAGACAGTATCATTTGCACTCCGCTTCCGCTTCTTAGAGCTTTGACCTGCGACAGCAGTCGCCGATGAAGTAGAAGTAGAAGTAGCGGTGGCAGCATCGCCGATAGCCGCTTCAACGCACACACCGCATGCTAGCTCTACTAGCAACCTTTCGTCATCTGCAAGGCGGAGTACACCCCTCGCGGCCTCGGCATCTGTGAGCACGGCACTGTGCACCTTGATACCAGGTGGTGGGGCCACGGCATATTGGAATGTGGTTTCCGATACACGGATGGCGCCGAGAGATGTAGCTTGGGAGGTAATCTTAGGAAGGGAGACAAGGGAGTTATTGGCGATGGCTGCAGCCAAGGAATCGGTACCGTCCGTTTCGATGGCGAGGATATTGATAGGGCCTGGGTCTTTGGAAACAGACACAGAGGTAGTGCTGGGTGTTTCCAAGGAAGTATCTAGGTAAGAGTGGGCAGTGCTGGAAACACCATTCTCATTCTCGATTTGCTTCTTGCAACGTCGCTTCTCAAGACCCATTACAAGACCATTGAGAAGACCACCACCGCCAACACTGCAGAGAAGTGCATCTAGAGGAAGTGCCCGCCCGCGGTAAACTTGCTCTTCATCGGAATTGGCAGTTTGGGGTAGTTGCTTCTCCAGTTCATCGATAATAGTGCTATTGCCCTCCCAAATAGGCTCGTTATCAAATGGATGTAGTGCAATCTTGGCCACGTCCTCATCATCTCCAGAACTGGTCTTCATAATGACATCTTTCATATAAGAGCCGGCCTCAAAAAAGGTCTCTCCGTGGCGGATAACATCTGCCGCTCCGGCTGCACGTAGCTTCTCCAGCATCAAGGGCTTGGTGGAGAGAGGCACCACAACAGTACAAGGGTAGCCCAGGGTTCGGGCAGCACATACAGCTGCTAATCCAGCGTTTCCACCGGAAGAAGCGTAGAAGTGGATTCGACGGTTGGCGTATTCGGGTTTGCGAAGATGGGACAGAATCTGGTTACCCATAGCACGAGACTTGAATGAACCGCTAGGTTGAACATTCTCAAGCTTGAGGAAGATGCGGCAACCTGCCGCCCGGGAGAGAGCAGCGGATTCGACCAGTGGAGTTTCAATCCATGGGTTTTTGAGGGTTGGGGTTTGGTACTCGGCGGAAGGCATGACGTTGTGGGTCGAGGATGTTCGAATCAAAAATGTATAGTAGTATATAGAAAGTTCTTTTTGACCTGGAGAAGGCAATCCTTCCACCTTGGGGGTATAATGAAGCGAAATTGAATCCCAAATGGCTTTGAGGTATGTTTTGATATAGATCAGACTGTTACTCGATCCTCAATGGAGTATATAAGACGATTAAAAGAAGCAATCAAGATAAAGAGTATCAGTCGAAGCAAGATAGGAAAGAACTAAAACTTGTTAATTCTTAAAGAAAACCAGTAGTATACAAATATTGCAACATGTTTTGATATACACACGCAAGCCCTACTTTCCAGGCCCGCCATGGTGTTTTCCGACGGGAAACTGAGCCCGTTTCCCGCCCCGAGTCTCCGTCGAAAGTTGGAGATAAGGGCGAAATCCACGGATCTGGCCCATTATTTCCCGTCGATAACCTTCAAGTTGTGGGTATCTCCAATCAGTAAGTTAACTATGACATATAGGATCACTATGGTGGAGCTGCTTTGGGTTTATGTAGTTTCGACCCTTGCGTGTGACTCGCTGACTCCACGATTTTGTGCCGGCAATCTGCACCTATCTCGTCACGGTCCGGACATGGCGTTTGAGATGAGACAGTCTGTTCTCCTAGCCGGCCTGCTAGTCGACATCTGCAAATACAGGCACATTCGCCCTACAATCGGTTTGGGCAATCTTTCCTGTGCAGTGAGGTTGTAAATTTGCACCGCAAGAGCCTTGTCGACCTTGGTCCTTGGCTGAGGTCCTCACCCTACTAGTTTGGAACCGAATATGCCCATCTGGCAGGTGATCGGACTGGTTCGGCTGTGATATGTGTCAGCTGGTACTAGCTAAGCCAGCCCAGTTTATGTGACTAACACAAACGGTGTTTTTTTATGTTGACCGCAATAGTTCACTGCAGTCATTTCGAGACCCTATAATGGCCTGCATATCCATAAAGCCGTGAGGCGTCGCCGCCCGCGTTAGCCCACGTGGAATCTTCTCTTCAATAAAAAACAGCCCGTGTTACGTTTTTATGTCGTAAAATAATGCTCCCTGGATAAGAATTTGGAAGAGACGAGCAAAGATCCTCTGCCAGTGGTTTCAATTAATAATGCATTCACATCGATGATGAGCTTTATTTGGATACATACTGAGGAAGACGGAACTGGAAGATTTATATTCACCGGACTAGCGGTCAGGCAATCGTTATTCATAAATAGAAGACCCCCATCATGATCTCGATTGGACTGAAAATGTTGCTCAGTTGCCACATTTGACTGGTCAAGAGCTTCAATCATATTGACATCTGAACGGGTTAGCTATTGTTGAGGTTCTTCCAGAGAAACGGGCGTTTTGCAATGAGCTTTGAATGATTATCGAGTGTATCACGATGATCTGGTAATGGATAGTAATCCTCAGTCGCTGCTCTAGCTCCAATCTCTCCGGGCATCGGGTCCTTGAAGTCTGATTGAGTCCCAGTGGATGTGCGCCGGCTAAGCCACAGAAGTGCCGCATAGCAAAAAGAAATATTTGATGGTATGCTGATCAGAAAGAATAGTCGAAGATCTGTGTGCTCTCTTTGTATAACGCGACTCGGACTATCCGAATATTGAATTAGATAGATAGCATTTCCATCCGTCATGGTAGGGTGAAGTGGGAGACAAAATATTTGAATCAGGAGTTGCTTGGTCGGGGCCCCCTGGTACGGCTAGATCCGTCCTTCCAGATGTCTGGAGGCCGCGACTAAAGCTGGAAGAGGACTCCTGGAGGCTATGGGTACTCTTTTAGCAAGCCCTAAAGTGCGTAGGTGGGTGCAACCATGTCAGCAAAGTCCTGATCGGTGCCACCGTCACGGTCCAACACCTTGGTCGATAGTCCAGATGTCATATCCATTGAATCTTCGAATATTCAAGAATGATATGAATTAAACTTTAGAACACGGTAGGCATTTCCAATGTTGTGGACAGCCCACAAATGAACTTGAACCCAATATTCATCGCTTTCCGTATTCAAATGTTTATGTGTTTTAGCATGCGCGAGGGAAATGCCATTCAAGGGATCATTCCAAGATTTAATATGAGAATCAGATAGATAGAGCTCTTATATGTCCGAAGTACCACCCATCTCAAGTGCTTAGATTATATAGTCTTTTTAATCCCAACACCTGAGGTAGATATAGTGATCGGCAGGCTTTTAAATGAAACAAATCCGAATCCGAATACGAACTCAGCCTTGAACTCCAATCCGAGCCCTGGAGTCAATGCCTATTCGTAGACGACAGTTGGACGCCCCAAATAAGGATAGTCAACCTTCTGTCCATGGTCTGAGCTTAATTGATTAAAATTTACCTTTGAGCTCTGCTGCCCCGGAGGCGGGGCATTGTCCAATACATGATCTTGAAAAGTGCCACATCACCAATAGATATAAGCGTATAACGAGGGTAATTAGCACAATAAAGTAAATGCGACCATTATGTAAATCCATTGGTCGACGACATTGGAAGGCATCTTGGGGAGTCATTTAAGCCTTAATTGAAACCTTGGAATAACCGCAAGCGCCTGAAGTGCCAGTGAAAAACCGGCTAGAAATGCTAGCTTTAATGCCCTAGCCCACTAGAAACCCATGCCAGTGGCAGCCACTGGCAGTGCTACTACTATGTAGTATTTTTATCGTTGATTACCGCGCCAATGGCTGGAATGTTTATATCCACGTGTTGGAACTACTCCCAAGCTACATTCAAGATTCAATATACTCGGAAATCCCGCAGCAGGATGGTATTGTTTATAAATTATGGACGTTGACCACAAGACTCGGATGGAGTTGATTTTATCTTACACTCTGCAACAGACCACCTGCGATCACAGGAATTTGCCTCATGAAGTCCGCTCCTGCATCTGCACTTCTCTTTGCACTGTCTGGCATTTTTGCTCATGCCGCACCAGTGTCAGATGAGCGGTTTCCATATACCGGACCAGCAGTTCCAATTGGTGACTGGCTAGACAACACTGTCAATGGAAATGGCAAGGGATTCACACGTCTAGTGGAAGTTCCCGCAGTGACTCCTGCTAAGCGCAATCCCACAAACAACGTGAACGTCATATCCTTGGCATATATCCCCAATGGCATGAATATCCATTACCAAACACCTTTCGGCTTAGGCATCGCGCCTTCAGTCAAATGGGGGACGAGCAAGAATAGACTTACCAAGTTCACCCAGGGATCCACTCATACGTATGTGCACATGTGCTTGTGATCATACTACAGAACAATGCTGATTGACCATATCCATTTAGTTATGATCGTACGCCTCCTTGCTCGATGGTCAGCTTGATCACTATGTGCAACCAATACTTTCATGAGGTCAACTTGCCTAACTTGAACCCCGGTACAACCTACTATTACCAGATCCTCGCTGCAAATGGCACCACGGAATCAGAGATCTTGAGTTTTACCACTGCTCGCCAAGCTGGAGACAAGGGCTCGTTCAAAGTTGCGGTATTGAACGATTTGGGCTATACCAATGCCCAGGGGACTCACCGACAGCTCGTCGACGCGGCTAATAGTGGTGCAGCTTTTGCATGGCATGGTGGTGATATCTCGTATGCCGACCAATGGTCTTCTGGTGTCCTGCCATGCGATGATATTATACCTGTGTGTTCCAATGGAACTAGTTCGACATTGCCTGGCGGTGTTATCACCGAAGAATATGCCAAGCCCCTGCCCAAAGGAGAAATCCCTAACCAAGGTGGTCCTAATGGGGGTGATGCCAGCTCTATCTATGAGACAAACTGGGATATCTGGCAACAGTGGATGAATGATGTTACTCTCAAATTGCCATATATGGTCATGCCAGGTAACCATGAAGCCTCCTGTGCCGAATACGACCTTCCTCCTTATGAGTTGACCGCGTATCTGGTCGATGATAAGAAGAATGCCTCCGCAGCCTCAAGCAATCTAACATACTATAGCTGCCCTCCATCTCAAAGGTGCGTTCGTTCCGTCATATATCTACAAGCAACAGGACTGATTGAATACAAATAGAAACTTCACTGCTTATCAGCATCGTTTCCGTATGCCTGGACAGGAGACTGGAGGCGTTGGAAACTTTTGGTATTCCTTCGACTACGGTCTAGCCCACTTCATTTCATTGAATGGCGAGACCGATTACGCAAATAGTCCGGAATATAGTTTCCTCGAGCATGTCACTGGTAATGAAACTTTGCCGACCGAGTCAGAAACTTTGGTCAACGATAGTGGACCCTTTGGAGAAGTTCATGGCAGCGTCTACAACAACACAGCCTATGAACAGTACTGGTGGTTAAAGAACGATCTTGCCAAAGTGGACCGTAGCAAGACCCCTTGGGTCTTTGCCATGAGCCATCGTCCAATGTACAGCTCGGATCCAGCTTCCTACAAGGCTCCAATGCGGGCAGCATTTGAGGAACTAATGATTGAAAACGGAGTTGACGCTTTTTTCTCCGGGTAGGTCTTGCCTTTTTATCTCCTCTCAATTTGGAGTTTCATACTGATCAGTGGTAGTCACATTCACTGGTACGAGCGCATGTGGCCAATGGCCAATGGCACAATCGATACTTCTTCCATCGTCAACAACAATACATACTACACAAACCCTGGGGTCTCGATGACCCATGTTGTTAATGGTCAAGCAGGCAACGTTGGCGGCCATACTGTTATTGATACGGATGAAATTACCAACATCACTGCCTTTTTGGATCAGGAGCATTATGGTTTCAGTAAGCTCACAATTGAGGATGAAAGTGTGGCCAGGTGGGAGTTCATTCGCGGCGATGATGGATCTATTGGGGATTCTCTTGTTCTCATGAAACATCCTTCGACTCCTTCCCACGCCAAGGGCAACCAGATCAAAAACGACCACCACTAACCTGCCGTGTTGGTTTGAATGTTATCCAAGAATTATTTACACTTGAAAAGCGTTTTGCTTAATGAGACTCGGATCAATTTGAATTTTGGCCCGGGGTGGCTTGCAAGTCCGGATGTGCAATGTTAGATTGGCCTTGAGAGGTCTACTAGTACTAATTTGATCTATGATCTTAGGTATAAAACGCAAACTCGCTCAGTACTACTAGTACACTATCTTGTTTAAATCCTATCATGATGACGGCCGGGAAATATGGTGAAATATATATAGATAGGTGGTGTTTATTTAAACCAATTAAATGGTACGCGCCGGCAAAGTTCCCCGCGGACTTGGTGGCGGGGACAGAAATAGATCATGTTGGCTATGACATGTATCAAGGTCGAAATGCCACGGTTTTAACTCTATACCAAGGCAAAGCATGGCTATTTCACCGTCACTCCCTTTTCCACCATAGTGTACACGCCAGGCTGGCGTCACGCTGGAAAACCTGGCAACTCAGCAACCGCCGTGTGGGGAGACTCAGGAATCTTAATAAAGCTGTTGCATCTGAGCGGGGAATGCTGCCGATCTTGATTCAGACTGGCGTACCCCTTGAGATATGATTGGCCCCTGGATCATTCCTCTTATCAAATCGAAAAGACCTCGGGATCAAAATTCTTAATTCTCTGCGAGTAAGGGAGGGAAAAGATGACCTATCTTGATGCCCTCACCGTAATCTGGATCCGATCCATACCCTGTGGCCGAAAAGGTCCGCTTGGCCGGATTGGAAGTATCTATGCGGAGGAGTTCCAAAAGCTCTTGGGATTTGGCGGGCATGAACGGCTGGAGTAGAATGGCTGATATGCGAAGTGATTCCGCCACATTAAACAGGATCCGCTGAGGATTGGGATTTTTCCACGGCTCAGTCGCGTGGAAGTACTTCTGGGTCTAATTGGGGCGCAAAAAACGGTCAATCACTTACTTGTCCGATTGGGGGATGGGGGAAATGGCGGGGTCTCGGGCATCTTTTGTTCATACCTTCTCGGTTATGCTCATAATTTCCTGCAGAGCGGCACGCGGGTTTAGTCCGGTCATATGCTCGGCAACCCTCGGGGGTGCTGAAGCTAGCATCTCTTGAATTCCCACATCCTCCGGGGTTGGGGCCGGAAGCTTATCAGTCATAGCATCCTCGATATGCGAACGTAATTTTCCTTTCGAACACCCAATGGTACGCGAGGCCAGATTGCCGATGCCTCCTTGAAGCCATTTCTTATAATCTCGAACGATGAAGGAATTGTCGTAATCAGAGTCATCACCCAGACCTCCCTGGTAAGCCAGGAAGAATCGCATACCGTCCACGCCAAACCGGTCAATGGCAAAGAATGGGTTCACTACGTTGCCGGTAGATTTCGACATTTTCTCGCGGTTCATTGTCCAGTGTCCGTGCACGAGGACGTTCCGGGGCAGGGGAAGATCTAGAGCCATGAGAAATGCAGGCCAGTAAACACAATGAAACCTGTCGGGTGATCAGCGGTGAAATCCGGCTTTGCACGCCACCTGAGCACTGGATTGCGCTTACCGAACAATATCCTTGCCCACTACGTGGACGTTGGCAGGCCACATAGAGTTGTTTTCCTGCCCAGGTGGGAAAGGATATCCTGCTCGAGTCAGGTAGTTGACCAATGCATCTAGCCAGACGTATATTGTTTGCGTATTATCGCCGGGAACCGGAATACCCCAAGTCAATCGTTCTGATGGGCGGGAAATTGACAAATCTTGAAGACCAGCCGAGACAGACTGAATTACAGAAGTGGCATACTTTGATGGTGTGATGAAAGAATCCGGTCTTTTGTAAAGTTCGAGCAGGCGGTCTTGGAATGCTGAAAGGCGGAAGTGATAATTGGTTTCTGAGGACCACTCAACCTCTTTTCCTGTTTCAATTGATACCTGGACACATGTGAGCAACATCCAAGTGGAGGGGTCTGTGATATCTTACCATTCTCTTTCTACCAGTTGCTGGGTCTAGGGAATTCTGCACCTGGGTTTGTGGATAGAAAGTCTCGTCGCTAACAGAATACCATCCCTCGTGCTTCGATGTGTAAATGTAGCCTCGATGCTTAAGCATTTGCTGTTTTCCTCTGTTAATGACGTCCTTGAGTCGAAATGAATCCAACGCACCCAAAAGTATTGTACAGCATCACGGTGTTCTGGGTCGGTGGTGCGGATGAAGTGATCGTTATTGAGGTTTGCAGCTTTCGACAGGGCCTTTCGAGCGAATAATCTTAGATAGAGGCCTTGGTAATTTGTTTGCGTTCATTCAAGTTACACACCTCAAAAGTTCGGCAGTTCATATCGCAGAAAGCCTGTGTATCCATCCCGGCCTCGAGGGCAGCTTGTTGAATCTGACACATGATTGTCAACCAAGATTCTTCAACGTTGTCCAGGTTCCTTATATACCTTCATGCCGTGTTCGTCGGTGCCGGTCAACAGTTGAGCATCGGTGTTTCCCAGCAGGACTTGCCATCGTTTCAAGATATCGGCGATGACCATGGTGTAGAGGTGGCCTACATGGGGTGCTAGTGAGGGCAAGTAATTAGAGGACATTCTCAAAGAACTGTATGCCATATTTACTTACCGGCATTGACATAAAAAATAGGAGTAGTCACATAGTATGGCTTCTCCAATTTCCCCGGACTCGGAGCTGTTGGTGTCGCAAGTCCACGGTGGAGAACCTTAGGACTTCCATACCTGCAAGTCGAACAGGTCCATGACCGTCTTGAGTTCAAGAGCAGACTAGCTCTAGAAAGAGCGCGAAATGGCGCCTTTATAGAAGCCATTGGGGATATGAGTTGTAGAAAGGAAGAAATGGGATGGTCCGCATCGCGATCCGCGGAAGTCAGTGGTCCAAGCTCCACCCGTCATTTTTATGATTCATTCAATTTTTTAGAATTCTTTCTTTCTTTGACATACACCCCTACAGTTTACACCCTTTCAACCTTTGCAAATTCAGCCTTTCGATTTCGCATAATCTCTCGCTAAAACATAAAACAACATCGAACCCACTTACGTCCGAGTCCACCACCTCTCTCGTTCGTTCTTCCCACCAGACTCGTCTCAAGTACATTCCGTCGCAATGGCTTCGAAGAGAGAAGACCAGCTGACCAAAGTGTCCGTTGATGGTAAGACTTCCAAAACTACGTTCCGGCTTCATTGTGCTAATTCAGTCTTCTATTTAGCTGCTATCGCGCACGTTCAAGCCTTTTATGGAGCTCTCAACTCAAACCGCGAATTTATTGCTACCTTTTACGCGCCAACTACCTCTTCGATCGTATTCAACGGCAACCCTGTGGCAGATGGCCCTGCTGTCCAGGACATCTTCGTGAACCAAATGCCCAAGTCGCACTATGAAGCCCAATCTTTCGACAGCCAGATCATCAACCAAGCCTACCCGACTGTTACACCCACTGGTGTCAAGCCAGCTACTGAGATGACCGCCAAAGACATGTCACTTCTTCTCATTGTCAGTGGGTATGTGCGGTATGGCGAGGGCCGCGAGCAGCCTCAGCGTGGCTTCAGTGAGACTTTCGTCCTTGTGCCGAACCCGTCTAAACCCACGGACCGAAACAAGCGTCACCACGAATGGTTGATCCAGAGTGAAAACTTCCGACTTGTTGTCTGATGTCCAGTTTACTGCTCATTTAAATGATCTGGATGAAGGGATGATTATGAACTCGTCGCATATCTTGGCGACGTTAAACATTAATGATAACGCTTTGTTTGCGACTCTTTGCACACTCTACAACATGGTAAAAGGAAAAGGCAAATTGGCTGGGATTTTGAAAAATAGATGAAAGATGTAACCAATGGCTACTTGACGGGTACATGAATTGCATGAAGCCAAAACCACCTCTTGGCTATTACGACTTGGTTGCTGGTGTATTGGAGCTTCGTGGTATCCGCAGATTGGCTTTCACTCTCTCCAGCAACTCTTCTCGGGTCGCAGTTTCGCTTGGCAAAAGTCCCCTCTACGGTCAAGTTAGTAAGGGCGTTGACAAAAAGAGATATCTTGGGGAACCATACAGCACGAAGCCACCTTTTCATATCCTCTGCAGTCCAAGTTTCGGGGTCTTTTCCAGTTAGTATATGGAGAGCTGAATGGGCTCTTGATTCTTTGTTTCTTACCTCCTTTTGGATCGGACTCAGCAGGGAAGACGTCCGCTCCCCAGATAGAATAAGCTGCAACGGCTGTCACCATGCCGGCGAAACCTAGAGAATAGAATATGAGATTTGGGTCCCCTTAAAATGTTCCTGATGATGAAATTTTGCGGTCTATTTACCTAAGAATAAATTCTGTGCACCTTTGGATTAGTTCTTTGTACGCATGGCTCTTCTAAGGGTGGAGTATGGAGTACCTTGGAGTTGGAGTTTATAGCCCGATCCAGCGGAGTAGGCATCTTGACTTGTGTGAACTTGAAATATCAGGGAGTCTTGGTGTAAATGATGGTCGAAGAGTGAAGATTGGAATGAAAAATACTATCCAGCTCTTGAATGATCGTAAATTAAGGGTAAAAGAAGTGATAAGTTGTCCAGAAGTTCAAGTTACCACCTGGCACTACAATGCCAGTGTACCGCCACCCGCTACCGCCATGATATGCGGCTGCCTTCCATGCATAAAATCATGATGGGAATGAACCTCCCGAGGTCGGTGTATCCTACATTATTGTAGACATGTACTTTCCTTGTTAATTGGGACGAGTATAATAACGAAGGAAACTACTACTGGACATTTGAGGGATCTTCCATAAGTTTTAAAGTTTGTAGAGCTTCAACCATGCATTGTACAGCTACACCTTATAATGATCCTTATCTATACCCTGTCTGGTCTACACCAACCCCCAATGTATATCTTCTGCTTTCTCGGATTCCATTGAGCTCCGATATGGAAGCTGTCATCTTCTTCACTGCGGTCACATTTATGGTCGCCGTGGGAAGTGCAGTCGTGCAAGGGTAAGTAAAGCCCAACTGGAACGCCAGTCCAATACTGACAGATCTCAGAGTAATCTTTTGGAAACGATATCGAATTCGATTTCACGTCACCAATAAGACTCCATCCATCAGCAGCCGAGATTTGGAAAATCAAGATCCGGGATTAAATCCCCTCGTTGCCGCACCGGCACCTTTACTGCATACACGAGCGGAAAGCCTTGGTGTTCGTCGGTGGCCATCAACATATTATGATCAAACTCGCTGGACTGGAATAGCGCAATCCGTTCCTTCAATCCCTGTTGATCGTCGTCATCTTTCGAATCCATTTGTGCCATTCCAAGGCGTTCCAGGTGGTCCTACATTAGAAGAGATATCCGAACGAAGTCCAACCCCGGCGACTATCAGCCACTTGACAACCGCCACAGGTTCACGTGATCAGCAGGGCTACGCAGAGCCAAAACCCTAATACGATCCACACAACTTGGTCTTCGTCATTGTCAATCTTCAACATTGCAACCTCAAACCGCATCAAACCGTCACCATGCCTTCCGAAGTCTCCGATATCAAGCAGTTCATTGAGATCTGCCGCCGCAAGGACGCCTCCTGTACGTTTCGCCTATTGGACCCTCCGAGGGGGAGCTAGTGAGAGATGGCAAACGGGAGCTTCAAAGCTAACCCAAAACTACAGCTGCCCGCATCAAGCGCAACCGCAAGAACCAGCAGATCAAGTTCAAGGTCCGCTGCCAGCGTTACCTGTACACCCTTGCCCTCAAGGACTCCGACAAGGCCGACAAGCTCAAGCAGAGCCTTCCCCCTGGTTCGTCAACCCCCACATTCTCGTACCCGCATTATACCAGTGATCGCGTTGGAGCTCGATTGGAGAATTTGCCTGGAATTGGCCAACGAGGAATACAATTGGAATCACGTCAACTCAACACGGAATTATGTCCGATCGCAAACTAACATGTTTTTCCCCTATAGCTCTCAAGGTTGTCGACGTCTCCAAGGGTGACAAGAAGAAGTCCCTGTAAATGCAGTGACAATGGAATAATTGGAGGCTTGGAGTGCGGCGCGATTGGTTGTCGAATGCAAAACCAACTGTTGGAGGGAAACATGGCATGAACTTGAGTCTCTCTGCGGGCCGACACGGGATGGGGGAAGTGGAATACACGATCTCATCCTTGCGTTTAAACACCGGTTATAATCGTCGGTCGAACGAACTCGCTTTTTTCGGACGTACTCGAGGAACGCTTTTGTCGGAGTTTCCAGTCCTTACACACCAATGAAAAAAACAGTTGAAACATCCTTATTGGGCTTATCACATACCCTTCTGGGAGTTACCTTTGTCCATCTTTATGGTCTCAATACCTAAGTTTTCCACCGATGCCACTCTTGGTCTTTGTTCCATGAACCCGTAAATACGACTTCATGTCCGCAACTTGGGCTATGTGCTCTCTGCCAATGATCTTACGTAGTTGGCCACTACTAGTATCGTAACGTGCCACCAAAGAGCCCCACTAACCTTGAAACTGGAAGATCTGCAGTATAGGTATTTCGCACTGGCAGTCAAAGAACAAAGAACAAAGAGCCTTTGTTCACTTGGGCAGTCTTGAGACTCAGCCACCATCTATGGATTCTTAGAGTAAGCCCCCAACCCCATTGCCACGATCTATTATTATAACGCCCCAAAATGAAGATCCAATAATTGGTCTTAAGAGTGCTTCTTTTCAAGCACCTTGAAGCCTTGAAGACCTTTGAGATATTTCAGACACTTGAAACATGTCTCAGCACTTGAGAGCATTTCAAACGATTGAACTTATAAAGTTCACATAACACCCCCAGCGGGCAAACGCGACCTAGACTACTGTCGTGAGATTGTGCATGTTGAAGTCTTATCAAGTCCTATTATTCCTCGGGGAACTAGTCGTCACTATGTCGTCCGTCTCAGAAATAAAAGCTATGATGGAGAAACGAATCGCCACCGGGCGTGAATCTTCTGGTACTCAATCACGCGTTGTTCTTAACAAAGATAAAGTCAAGGTATACAGGAGGGATGGCCATCGAAAAATTCGAAAAAGCTCAAACTCAAGCTCAAGCAGTGGCACACGAACGCGCAAGAATTCGGCTTCTTCGATTGCATCCCGTATTGATTCCAGACGTCTATCGATCGCTACTAGTGCTAGTGTCAGCACCAATGTATCTAGTCTTCGTCCTAATCCGTTAACATCGGGTATGTCGACACCAAGACCATCTGTTGCATCAGCATCATCTGCGTCGATATTACCTGCATCGATACCAGTTCCGCCGTCAGCTGCATCGACATCAGTTTCGTTGACACCAACTCGGCTATCAGTTGCATCCATATCACCTGCGTCGATACCGGCTCCGCCCTCGGTTGCGACATCGGGTGCATCGACACCAACTCGGCTATCAATTACATCGGTATCAGCGGCGTCAGCACCAGCTCCATTCTCAGTTGTACCAGCGTTAGTTGCGTCGACACCAGCTCCGCCGTCAGTTGCGAGATCAGTTGCGTCAGAATCAGTTGCTTCAATATCACCTGTGTTGATACCGCTTCCGCCATCAGTTGCGAGATCAGTTGCGTCAACACCATCCCGGTTATCAGTTGCATCCGAATCAGCTGCCTCGATATCACATGCGTCGATACCACTTCCGCCATCGGTTGCATCGACACCAGTGCGGCCATCGAGACCAGCTTCATCAGTGGCATCAACATCAATTTCATCCATACCAGCTGCGCCGATGCCAGCTCCATTATCATTTGCACCAACATCAGTTGCGTCAATGCCAGCCCCTCTTTCAGTTGTATCGATCCAACCTGCATCGATACCAGCTCCATTATCAGTTGCGACATCAGTTGCGTCGACACCAACTCGATTATCACTTGCGTCGATATCACCACCCTCGCAACCATTATCAACCTCATCAAGTCAACCAGCCCTGTCCAAAGGCACCTGGAGAGAATCAGAACAAGAACGCCACGACAGAATTAAAGCATGCAATAAACCTGCCACAGAGACTTGGCTGGAAATGCTCATGAAAGAATGTCGAGACGAGTCATCACTTACCCACAAGACTCTATGCAATCTCATTCGATATAGCAAATCAAGCGAAAAAGCCGGGAAGGACGTTAGCGATTTTCTGAAAACCGACATTTGGATCGACTCGGAACTCAACTACGCCTACTTGGGTCCTTATTCCGAGACACAGCGTCGAAGGAAATCGTCTTTGAAAGAACTTGTTCCGATTGCTGGAAGTACCGATAAACCTCCTGATGTTATTACGAAAGTAATTCTGGATGACTGTACCGATTGCTTTGAGTTCATCTGCTCAAGATTACCTGAGTTGAATTGCTATGGCTGCAATCGATTCGGGTGGAGTTTTATTTCGATTGCGATCTTCGGGCACTCGATGCGGATCCTTGAGTATTTATTCTCTTGGAATAAACCTGCCGGTGCTACTACATTGATGATGTATATTACTTCTAATGCTCGGTATATGGCTCCTGGTCTAACTCCGCTGTGTTACATGGCACAGCAGAGAAGTGCAGATTACCTGGAGAAGGTGTTAGATCTTTGGGAACCGAATCTTGATATGAGTATCCTTGAGGATCCAACAATCGATGACTTTACTTCATCGGGAGATAAATATGATTTTTGTGGATTTATCACCTATGATTTAGCTGTTCGGCTTGCTAAATTTGGCTTAAATCTTCAAAATACTATTGTCACTGGAACGGAACCAGACGATCACCATCATATCGAAGGGGCTACCGCATGGCATGCTGGTGCTTGTAATGGACCTGGCTTCCTGGATTATTTGGAGGAATGCTCTGATGTATCAAAGCTTTCTCGTGATGAAAACGGGGATACCCCTCTTGTTTACGCAGTGCAAGCTGGTCAATATGATACTATCCGTTGGTTTAATGATCATGATAACGGTTATCTCAACTTGAAGACTATTACGCAGCGTATGTTTGAATTCTTTGTTTCCATTTCTGCGATTTTTTCTTTTGGGTCTATAGAGGAAGGCGAAGCACTTCCACCTCCTCCTTTTGGTTGTGGGCATGATACGATTTTGTATACATCTGATGTTTTGTTCTGGACCATATTTCTCGTTAATCTGGTATACTAAAACTATGATCAATGAAATATTATCGAGTATCCTTCACTGATGATCACGTTGGTAAAAAGAGATGAATTGCTCTATGGTCCTCGCTATATAGAAGACTTAGCATCACTTATTAGTAGTAAGCGCGTATAGTTTTTTCCTTCAGATTTTTAGACCAAAGTGTTGCGGGACAAAAAAACACAAGTCGACCTCAGGACATTGGGGTTTTGTTTCTTAGTTCAAGTCGAAGGTACATGCCAATGCAGCCTGGCATCCAATGAATGTTTTCATTGACCCATGCCAGTAGTTTTGATATGGGTATTCCACTGATCCTATTTCCATCTCTTGTACACAATTCTCTCCTCAATATTACTAGTAACCCAAACTTGAACTTTGCCACATCATGGTGATATTCAACATTTGAATGACTTCAAGTTCTTCCAGTTAGTTGCATCATGTCCCTTCAAGTTTTCTTTGTTTGCCCTGATAACCGACCGGATGATACCCGCTACTGAGTACTAGTAGTATACATATGCATAAAAATCCCGTGGCCGTTTGCTCCTTGGAGGGCATATATTGCGCTTCTTGGGGTACGTCCATTGTTCATGGTTCTTCCTTCTTACACCCATCCTACTCCTGGCAATATTCCAACTTCCTCCATGACGGTTTCCAAAGTTAGTAGCCCAGCCAGTAAGCCCAGGCAAGGAGGTTTCTAGTGCGTCCTCTGATCACGGTTGGCAAGACCGATTTGGCCATCTGCCCAACGACGATCTTTTTCTCTTCCAGAACCCTGAAAACTGTCAGCGTAAGTGCCAAATGCTATTGCAGTCACCATTACATTTGTTTAATAACCTTGGCAGGTCCCCTTCCACCTCCTGCTATGTCGTGGCGTCAACGGTCTTCTCAACAGTTGCAGTCGAAGGTCTCCTCGCTATGCGCCTTTTTCCAGATTCCACCTATGCCTGGATTTGATCTAGGTGCTTTCACTCATGGAGTTCATATGTTCCTTCAAATGATGTTTGTTAGTCTGGTGCTTCTTGTTGCTGGTCGATTGATTTGGGAAGAAGCTCTGTTTCGGCAGGCGTCTTCCTTCAAGGAAGCCGTACGGCCCCTTCTGGTCTTTCTGGGGATTTTGCGCGGTTCGACTACCATTCGTGCGATCTGGCGTGCCTTTTGGGACACATTGTTGGGTTGAAAGCCAAAGACAAGAAACATCAATTGATACAACCAGAGCACACCGAGAAGAAAGTCCTCTGGTCAACTATTCCCAATACATTCCTATTGTGCATCAATGCAAATCCTCAAAAGCAGCCTCTATCATACCAATGAAAACAAGTTCTCCAAAATAACATCTAAATAGAGACTAGAAACCAGTCTACTCTTTCCTTCCATAATGCAACTGAACATACCCTTCAACCCCAGCAGCATCCAAACTCTTCACAATCCCCTCTAGTCCCAAATCCATCTTTCTTAACTCAAACTCCCCAAAGAAACTGGGCTCCTCAGTCACTTTAACAAAACCAAGTGACTCAAACAAAGCCAAGCTCCTCACATTAGCCTGCCCAATCTTCACACTTAAACATTGAAACCTCATCACGCCCCCAGTAGCAGCAGCACTCTGCACCAATTTCTCCCTCTGTTCCACCGAAACATCTGAACCCTGAACAAATTCATCCAAAATCTCCGTCTGTCGCTCAACTACATACCTCATAAACGCTAATAAAGAAGCCTTCCCGAATCCTTTTCTCTGATTAATCTTTTCAGCAATCATAAGCTCAAGCTCACCAACTAACTGAGGAATCTCATCGCCCTCATCACCATCATCAACACGAAGGAAGAGATTAATATCACCAACCATCCTCTCCGCGGCCTCGTCTTCTGGGGTCACCTGGAACCCAGATTCTTTAGTCTGATCTTGTGAGATCGGACGACAGGCGATGAAGGTTAATTTATCTGCATCTTGGCGCCAGCTGCGCTGCATAGAGTATTCCTCTTCTAGCGTTAATGGCTCTGATGCTGTTGCTTCTTGGATTTCCTGGTTTAGTTAGTTCGGCTCAGACTAAAGGAACATGGTGGTTCTTACCTCATCTTGCATCCATTCGTGATAGCGGGGGACGTGCCATGAGGAGTATGGGACGAGAAGAACCTTGGAGGTTGAGAGGGCTAAACATGTTTGTAAGTATGGAACCTTGAGAAGTATTTCATTCGTTTTGGAATTTCTGAAGAATTAATTTGGGTATATAGATGGGGGAATAAAAATTGCATACCGGTCTCAGCGTTGAGCAGCATTAGTGCGGTACTAGGGAGAGAAATTTCGTTGAGGTTCAAGTTATGAAGGATAATTCCCTATCTGAGGGTTGAGATGGAATGCTCAACCGCAAGGTTATCTGTATCCTTTCCTGTTGTAGTTGTGAGAATTTGACAAGTTCAAGTTGAGGTTCAAGTCCCGCGAATCTTTCTGTGGGGGCTTGCCGATGCCGCATTGGCTAATTCGTATCTGGTCGAGATATTGAAACTTGAAGTTATTACATGACTACAACGAAGTAGATCAATCTACATCTACATATTACTTACGGAACTTGAAACTTGTGTATCATGTCATTAGCCTGTTCCAATATGCTATCTATGAATCATTTTTTCTCCTCCTGTCCAGCAAAAACACCAAATCGAATAACCTCGACCTCCAAAGTCTCAGAGTCAACCAGAATCAAATCTCCAGTATCTTTGAATCGAGGAATAGAGAGAAGTCGTACGCGGGGTATAGAAGTCTCGCCAGAATCTGTCATCTCAGTATCCCCTCCATCTAAGCGGAGAGAAATATCACCATCAATGACAGCAGTCTTGAAAGACGGTTGATTTCCTGTGAAGAAGAGGTGAGGACAGGCCTCAATGATGAACGGATCGGTTTCCTGAAATGGATACGACCCTACTATTCATTAGCATTTCTATTTCTGTCAGCATAGTATCGTGGAGAATTGAACATACAGAGTGTATCAGGAGCTGTCGGCACGCCGATTCGCCAGCGCAGCATTGCTTCCATTACTTGCATACGGGCTCTCGAGTCGTCTGAGCCTTTATCGCCGTCTTCATCGTCACCAGAGAAGTCCAAATACCGCAGGACATCATCAACGTTCTGACCACTACATCCCCATAGTCTCCAACCCTCAACTTCACCCTCCCATGGGTTGGTCACATTGTCAAACCACCCAGGTTCGGATTTCTCCTCACCCGTTGGAGGCGCGCAGAAAGGTCTTGACTGTGGAAACATGGCACGGTGAATTGCTTGTTGAGGAAGTGAGAAGTTCGCTGGGTCGGATTGACCTGGCATAAGAGTCACGGGAATACTTGGTAGAATCTCCGATAGGAAATTGTCAAGCTGTGTAATTGGCGAAGCGTTGTATGCCGACGCATCATAGCCGTACTTCTTTGGCACGGGTTTCTTCTTCCCATTGCTGTCCGTAACAAATGCTTCTGTTATTACGCTGGCGCCAAGCGAATCTCCCGCAATAATGAGCCGTGTGATCTTTGAAGCGCCCGACGAAGGGCTGTTATCCTCATTCCCAGAGAAGCCCGTGTACCCAAGTAAATAGTCTGTCAGCAGCTCCAGTGCAAGTGTGTCGCTCGAGGTTCCTGTAATCCCCAATCCACTGACAAAGGCGATCTTGCCAGATTGTTTCCCCGCTGCTTCCTTCCCAGTTCCTTTTGTGTCTGGAGACTTCTCCCATCTTCGAGGTTGCGGGGCCAGTTCTGGGACCTTAATGTCGATAACCTCGAAATCTCCATTGGCGTTCTCTGTTCCCAGGGCCGCAATGACAGTACCAGTCGTAAGATGGACGGAGGAAAGAAAGTTGCCAGACAGACGCACTCGGCCAGATGCATCCTCCAAAGTAATTTGGGTCAAATCGGGGTTGGATGGGTCGATGTAGGTAGGGCGGGGAGGGGGCGCATTGGTAAAGTTCTGGTACCAGTTAGATAACTAGCAAGAGTAGTATAGCATTCGACAAGACCTACCTGTTTGGTAAGATCCTCCAAAATATTGGGTTTCAATGGCAAGTCCATGTACACTGTGCCGGTTACCCAGCACAATTCACCTTGTCGCACATCGAGTACTCGGTGAACATAGGATGCACGCTCTCCGGCAATCTAATAGTCACGCAAAGCAATTGTCAGCTTTATTTTGAAAAGTCGCGAGGCTGGGCGAGCTCTCGTACACTGAATCCATCCCAAGCTTCTGACGCAATTTTCTCCACGGCAGGCTTCAACCCTGCGAGGCGCAGGAAATACATATCGCCATATTGTTGTTTATAGTGTCGATCCGCTCCAGGAGGGAGCTTGAACGTCGAGAGAGGGCTGTAATTGGAGGGGTTACGGAAGGTCTCTTCGTACTCCTCGTTGCTATCCAAACAGAACACGTGAGATGGTCAGCCGTGGTTGAAAAATAGGGATAGAACTAGCAATCGAAGCATACCTTGGAGGACGTAAGAAGCCAAAGTCCTCACTTGGAGTCATTTTGTTGAGATATTTAAATCTGGTGGAATATTGAAGAGTTAACAATTGAAAGTGATGCGGGAACACTGACGCGGTACGCGAGCGCGTCCAATTACATTCCCGCTTTGGGACTCCTTAGATATGGGATTGAACAATATAACTTGAAATGACTTTCAAGATTCAATTATTATTTCATTTTAGTCAATAGGTCACTGGTAAACTTGAACGATATCATAATCTATACCTAATTCATGCAGTTTCAAGTTGCCCTAGTATCGAATAAGGTCTATCTAGTACTAGACCAATATTTCCCTATAGTCACTGACTCTGCCACCGGTCTGTTTTATATAGACATCTGGACAGTCATAAAGAACTTGAAACTTCAACTTGAAATTGAACTTGGATTGAAACTCAAGAATTGAGATTCCAGCTTTCTATCAGAACATCAGTGACTCAGAGTTTGCAACTACCACCTAGGTCATACATTAGAAGCATAATAGAGACTCGGACACATGTGCAGTGGTTGATCACCTAGCATTTGGCTGAGTCGGCTGTATGGGATCGGTAAAAAATAATTCAACTGCGGCGACATGCAATAAATAGTATGAAAATGAAGGAGCATAAATTTGAAAGAAAATATTTCATAAATTATGAATCGGATCGAAAAGTTTCTTTGAGTTTGAAATGCTGATAAGCCAATTGAATATTTGAACACTGCCTAATAGCATGATGCCTCGGTCCGCTAAGCTTCCCCGCATTCTTTACTCTCATCTCATGCATCTCCAACTAATACTACTGGTGCAAATATAAACACCTATTACTATTCAAGTTGATACAATTAAAATCCTCTCACCTGAAATCTCGAGATATCTACCGATAAAAATTAACACTCTGAACATTCGAACCCACTCGCAACAAACCATAACAATGTCTCTCCAAACACCCCTATGCTCGCTCCTGAAGATCCAACACCCAGTCCTGCTAGCAGGTATGGCCCGTGCCTCTGGTGCCCCTCTCGCTGCCGCAGTCTCAAACGCAGGAGGTCTGGGTACTGTAGGCGGACTAGGTTACACACCCGAGCAACTATCCGAGATGTTAACGGAGTTAAAATCACTCCTCCGCGACCCATCTCTACCATTCGGTGTTGATCTCGCTCTTCCTCAAGTTGGAGGTGGTGCTCGTGCCACAAATCACGATTACACACACGGACAACTAGACGAGCTTGTGGAGGTTGCCATCTCCCACGGTGCGAAACTCTTCGTCTCGGCTGTTGGGGTGCCACCTGAGAAAGTGATCAAAAGATTACATGAGGCTGGATTGCTCGTTATGAATATGGTTGGTGCACCCAAACACGCTGAGAAGGCCTTACAGCGCGGTGTGGATATTGTTTGTGCCCAGGGTGGTGAGGGTGGAGGTCATACGGGTGATATCCCGTTCTCCGTGCTTATTCCTGCCGTTGTGGATGTTGCGCGTCGCTATAAGAGTCCGATGACGGGACAACCGGCACTGGTTGTTGCGGCTGGTGGTATTAACGATGGCCGTAGTCTTGCGGCCTCGTTGATGCTGGGAGCTGCGGGTGTCTGGGTTGGGACTCGGTTTGTGGCGTCGGAGGAGAGTGGTGCGAGTCGGTTGCATAAGGAAGCAGTTGTTGGGGCACAGTATGGTGAGACTAAGAGGACGCTGGTTGTTTCTGGACGGCCATTGCGTATGCTGCCCAATGACTATGTCAAGGAGTGGGAGAGTCGGCCTGCTGATATTGCGGAGTTGACTGCCAAGGGAATCGTGCCAATGATGCATGATTTGGAGAATGAGAAAGATATCGATATGCCTTTCTTGATGGGTGATGTTTCAGCTAGTGTCAAGGCTATCCAACCGGCTGGTGTCATTGTTAAGGAGATGGTGCAGCAGGCTGTGGATGTTCTTAGAACCGGGAACTCATATATCACCGGAGCTAGACAGGCGAGCAAGCTATAGAATTGAGGTTACTTTAGTCACATGGAGCAAGGAGGAACTTTTAAAGAGGATAGTTTTGAAATTGGTTGATAGTATGACATGTACTTGTACAGAAACATTGAAATTTTGAATACTTCTTGTAATTGAAAGCTGCTGAATCCACGGGCTATCTGAATTTCCTAGAAAATCACATCTTGGGCAGCTGATGTTTGGTTTTCTCTAAAATTCCACCAGTACCAAGAAACAAAGCCTTCCAGGTTATCCAAAATCCTCGGGTAATTTTTGCAACCCCATTCATGAAGTGTAGTGTAGTTCGCATCATAGTGTGCGTCAGAGGGGGCTCATTAGAAGAATGCCCATAAAAGCAGATCTTGGCAACAAAAAGGAAAAGAAAAGCGAGTTAATGACACCCGTTCACCACGCCGTTCTTCGAAGCTCGAGCCTCAAGAAGACTAGGAGGAGGGGGAGGGCCAAAAACTGGGCGCTCGGAAGGTGCAGAAGCGTTAGCAATGGTAGAATCGTGTTCGTCAAGCTCTCCCTCCTCGCTGAGATCCTCCTCGTCCTCATAGTCATCGTCGTATTCGCTTTCGGTACCTTCGTCATCATGTTCCATATGGGGGTCAGGTTCCACCAAGCCCTCTCCTCGGCCTTGTGCCTGCATACGGCGGCAAAGAGTTTCGAGGTGCTGGCACTTGCGTCGCAATCGATCGAGTTCCTCCTGGTTCCGGGTACGTTCCTCAGCCATTTCAAGGATATTGCGGTTGGTGGATTCGTGCTTTCGGTTGAGGGTATGATTCTCCTTCTCCAGGCGCTTCGTCTTCTTGGACATTTCTTCCATTTCTTTGCGGAACGTAAGAAAGAGCTCGTTGCTGTTGTTCAATGTGTCTTCGACCTGTTCTTTGTGTTAGTCACCCTGAAAGCGCGGAGCTTGGAATATGATATATATTGTATTCCCGTACCTGCTTGAATTTCTCCACGTAAATGTTAAGCTGGCTGCGGAGTTCTGCTTCCGTGTGGGAAAAAGTAGAGACCTGCGCGCTCAAGGCTCGTCCACGAGCGGCTTCACTTTCAGCAGCACGACGTTGTTCCTCATACTTGATCATCAGACTTTGAATCTCCCGCTCTCGGTAGGTCATGAGACTCTTGTAACTGATTTCACGTAGCTCGAATTGCTCGGTAAAGGTCCTCAACTTTGCCTTGAGTCTATATTTCGCATATTAGAAAAAGGTTCCAGTTTCCACGCGGGGCCAGAGTGGTGCGGTGAGGGGTATACGAACGCATCACCAAGATCCATATCAAGCATCTCGCTGCGAGGGTTTCCTTTGGAGGCCATCATGTCCTCAAGAGCGTAGAGCATGGAATCGAGTCGTTCATTGACCATTAAACGAGCTTTATTCTCGTTCTCCTCGAGCTTCTTGTTTTCGTCCTGTGGGTTGTCGTTTGTTGTTAGCACGTGCTATGATGTGGTGGGATGAAGACGAAATGCGAAATTGGATATATACCTTTACTTTCTTGTTCTCCTTCGTCAACTCCCGACACAACTTCTCTAACTTATCTTTCATAGTGACGGTCTTGCTGAGTTCCGATTTGCTCTTATCGTGATCCTTCTGAACTTGATCGGCTCGTTTCTTGCTCTTCGCATAGTCGCGGTCCAACTTTTTCATATCTGCCAGAAGCTCGGTGTACTTCTTGCTGACGGTTTCGAGACGAGTCATCGGAGACTCTATGGTGTTGAGAAGCTGGTTCAAGTCACGGGTCGCTTTCTTAACCTCACGCTCTGAACATCCAAGTCAGTGGTCTCATCTTCCAACTGCCGGTCATATTACATATGCAAGTCATGACATGTGGATGTATATAAAAATCTCCGAAAGAATCGCAAGATGCCAGACATCCACCGAATTGAATCTGGGAATGACGCACCAATTTCCATTTCTTGTTCTTTTTCACCAACAGCATCCTGCTCCAGCTGGGAGATCTTGGCGGCCAGTAATTTGGAGGTCTCGTTGGGGTCGGCCGCCTTCTTTCCCTTGTTCTTCTTCGCCATGGTTGTGGATGACATTATGCGCGGTATCCGTGGGGTTTGTCGATCCGGGGAGTCTTTCTCTGTCGGCTTGTCGTCGTCGCGTGGCCTTACGAGATCAAAAAACTGTGCAGGTTCGGGGTGGAAGCACTCGGTGAGGGTGGTGTGGGTTCAATCGGAGAGGAGAGTGGCAGGACACAAAGAAATCCCAGAGGCAACAATAGCTCCGTCAAGAGCAGCACCTCTGGGGCAAAGTAGGTATGAGTCGTAGCTTGTTCCGTTCAATCGGAGAGCACTGGTTCCTTCTTCGGAAGAGAACTCGACGAGGGGGAGGTTCCTTAGTCATCGACCCAGCCGCACGGCCAGCCACCGACTCCGACTCGACGATCTTCTTTCACAAGGTACGCTATTGAAGGAGCTAATGATGATCTTGGTGCGGTGCTAGAGACACGGTGTCACCAAGCTCCTCATTAGCATCCGGGCTCTTCGGACTTCAACTGACCGAGACGAGCCCTCATGATCCCGCTGCCGCAACGGTTAAGGTCTATGCTTTGAGCACGGATTCAGATACACCTACGAAGTACGAAGTACTAACTTCACAATTGGCCTGATAACCTTGGAAGCATTTGTTTGTTTGTGTGATCAAATATTGAGTTTTACGGCTTGAAACTCGTCTTTCATGTCTAATATTTGACCTTGCAAACATTATCCATGGATGTGACCTTTCATGCGTAGATCGTTATCAATTATACCCCATGGGGCCTTACAACAAAGAACCTTGTCCTGAGGTTAGTTTAGTAGCAGCAAGAATTAGTATTCAATACTATGCTGCTCTTTATTGAATTTCCCATGCGGTTATTCATAGTTTTTGAAGTAGTTGGAGGACATTTGATATAAACGCTTCGGATACAAAGATGTGAAGATTGAAAGAGAACCTGGAAAACTCTATAATCAATAATATCACTGAACATGATGTCCTGGTCAAAAATCTATGGACCTCAAGTTCAATTAGGGCTCCTACAAATAGGACTCTTACTGATTCGGATGTGAAGATGTCGATGTGAGTGAAGCTCCAGGGTTACAACTTCAAATGTTCAAAAATGTTCCAATGTAGGATTCTAAGGTTATGACTTTGCAATTTGTGATTGATATCCCCAATCCCCAACTCAATGCTGCTTTGTCTACGGAGTACTAGTAGAACTATCCTTTGTTTGAGCACTAGTCTCATAATGTCGTCGATGTGTTCTTCCCGAGACTTTCAAGGTTATATGTGACCTGTCACACTCAGTTATTGATACTAGCTTCCCAACTGCTTGGCCCATTCAAATATTTTCCTATTTGGAGTCAGTCTTGAATTTATCAAATAGGATGAAGTGGAACTTTTTCTTGGTGCCGTCGTACTGGGACCGGGCACCAGTAAGCACATACATGAATGGTCACAGTCCTACTACGAGTGCACATGTGTGTAAGCTTTAAATACTATGTAGCAGTATACGGGGTACATCAATTGGGTAGCAATAGATATATGGAGAAAAATGAGTGAGCCTGAGCCACAATTAGAACTTGAGCTTGAATGAGGGATCTTGGTGCACCAGAAGTACAAACTTAGCTACTGGAGGCCTCAAGTTGAGTGTATAAATCATGATATTTCAAATGTTTGATATTGTGACGTTTTTAAAAGTTCAAATGTTTTATCGGAGCCTGGACATGAAATAGATTGAATTTCATCCAATTTCGTAGTGTCATTTACCCATATAATCTGACTTAATTTGACTAGTACCTAGGGTCACAGTAGCATCCGTCTGGCTGCCTATACGTTCGACCCCCGGGATCCCTCGGCCCCATAATACACCTAAGTGCTCCAGGGGCCAGGGCTACTCCGTATGCAGCGGGATTAAGGGCCAGGGCTATAACGGCCAAGCCGCCAAAACCACTATAATATTGACCGCCTATCTCACCGCTAGCTTTATCATCTTATTTGATTCCTTTCGACCTCGGGAATAAGCGCATTATGTTTTGCCCAAAACTAGTCGTTTTCTATTGGATATTTAACCTCTAAAACCCACCCATTAATATTAACACCGGCTCACGTGGTAGATAAGAAGCACTGGAGGCATCACAGACTTCCACTATTCATCTATCTCCACAGATGTAATCTACCAGGCATCATGAGTAAACAGGGGACTATGGTCCTGGGGCCTAGGCCAACTAAGGCCTGTGGTGAGTGATGAAGTCTCCATAATAGATACGGTGCTAACGAGGCAGCCAGTGAATTGTCGGCGACTGAAGGTATATCATATTTGTCTGTATATCTCAAGAACCGGCCATTAATTCATTGAAAAATAATAGATGAAATGTGAGGTGTTGGGGAATCCTCCCTGTCGTCGATGCCGACATACACGTACACCGTGTGTTTTTAAACCTCGTGCCAATGTATGTCTTACTTTGAGGAATCACTTGTATAGATCTTTATACTTACTTTCAGTGAGGCCTCTGCTATCCATGATTTACTCGATGAACAACATTCAAGTTTACTCAATACAAGCCCGTCGTTGCATGACCAGCAGTCTATATTGGATCGATTAGATCGGATCGAAGCTGCCCTAGGAATTGGTCAGGGTGATTTAGAATCCTCTAGTATTTCTCAATATTTGGACAGGGACGAAGACAATGGAAATATACCATTGCAAGAAGCTTGGAGATCTGTTGCTCATTTAAGATCAATTACCCGACCTGAACAGGATGAGAGTATTTGGTCTCGACCCGTTATTAAACGACTTTGGACCTCGTTAGTTTGCGATATTTCAAACGATGAACTAAATTCGAATCATGAGCTAACGAATGTCAGATTTATGGATAATTTACCACTGCTGCATTTCCTAAAAGACCGCGATGTATTTGCTTCTCCAACTCCATTACTACTGGCTTCTGTTCTTTACATCTCTGCCCTTCATCATCCATCTCCAGAGATGGGATCGTTAGCATCGGCCTATTTTACTGCAAATTGTTGCGCAATCGCCGAACTGGTGTCACCTAGCCCAACTGCCTTTCTTACACTAAGAACAGAAAGCAGCGCAGAAATTGAACAATATTTGCCGCCGTTCAAAAAGCAGCAAAAAGCCTTCCATAATATTCTTGGTTTGATTATGGCAAGTCTAAGCTCCGAGGCCTATGTTGATACGACAGGTTCATGGATTGCAATGGGTTACCGAATGTGGCTCGATCACTGTGAATATGAACCAGAAGACTCCAGGATAGATTGGCCTAGCCTTTTTTCCGGTCTGCAGGTGAGTCAAAGATCTTAGCTGACATCTGGACAACTGAGCCATACTAATATCTTTGAAGGTCATTGACATTGAACATGCATCGTTACACATGTCTTATCCTCTACTCCCACCACATCCACCAACACTTGACATCCAGGGCCTAGCCAGTCACCGGAGAACCGCGTTTGAAGGCCTCGCGGAAATGATGCACTTTGGTCTAAGCCACTTTGTCGGTAGAGGACTGCCGACAATATGGTCTTCAATGAATGCAGATATCTCTAATAGTATTCCCACCGTTCGCAGCCCATTTACTGAGAAAGACTCTCATATAATTAGACTATGGGCTCGAAAGCTTGATGACTGGCTTGTCCAGTATAATGGAGCATCTCGTAAGTGAACTCAATTGGAAGCGTACTCCATTCAGATGAAACTGACAAAACTTTCATCCAGAACCATCACCATCAGACCGACAGGGTATTTTGATCTTGTTACAGTATCATCTGCATAAACTTTACGTTCTGTCTATTTATCATCCTGCTCGTGGACTGGATCTTAGCTCCGCAAATATCAGTCCTGTTGAAAGACACGAGCTCCTCGTATCGGCGCGGGCAGTGTTAAGATTACGCCAAGATGATGCCAGCATTTGGTCCAATTGGGATCTGATTGTGAGTACCAACTAAGCACACGAGACTCTGCGACCCGTGCTTCTGAGATTGCTAATATCGAATCAAGATGATCACATGGGCTGCGATATTGCTTCTTCGTGGGGTGGAAGATGGCATGACGCACCAAGACGGTACGGATCACCCTTCATCTAATTTCTTTCTTTCACTAACATTTCCAGATCTCCATCTCATTCAAGCCCACCTCCAGAGTCTTGAACGGAGCTATCAGTCTGCGGCAAGTATACACACAGTTTTATTCCAGCGCCTCGAATCCAGCATGCAAGCAATGCATACCCCTCCAGATACAAGCTCTGCATTGGCAATCCCGGGCCCTGAAACAGATGATCCCTGGACAATCTTCGATCATGAAATAATGTCCTTGGCGAACCCTCCCTGGCTGTTTCAAAACTCTACTCAGTTTCCTCAGAGTTCAAAGTCATTGGGCCAGGTGCCAGTAGGGATACCTGCTGTTTCATATGACTCCAGTTTGCTGGGAAATAGTACTCAGATCTTCGGATCAAGTACAGCCTGGAATGAAGACGAGTAAATTTGAACATATCAACATAAAAATGCATTATGTATGAACACTGGCAGTCCCTTCACTCGAAAAACTTCAAGTTTGAATGTAGATATGTACTAACCCATTCATATGTATGCGCATGTGGTCTCCCAGATTCTATCCTATCTCTTCCGACGACATCTGGAGTCTTCAAAATGTTGAATAGTATATCCCGTGTCCTCTCTTCCAACTTGAAGATTTCCTCCCCACGAGAGTTCATCTAAACCCTCTTGACAATAAACTTCAACTTATAAGTATCCATTCCCTCAAGGAAAGTCTTCATAATCTTATCCGCTCCAGCCCACTCCTCCACCCAAGCCTCAACCTCCCACTCCGTACCCGTCTCAGCACCAACTTGCTTCCAAAGCTTCTTCCAAATCTCGACATTATGCCGATAATGCTCAATGGTCTTATCCTCAGGATCAGCCGGATCAGTACGACCAACCTGTCGACCAATCAACAATGACCCAGGTTGCGCACGTAACAAGCTAACAACACGCTTCGCAACTAAGATCTGCTGGTCCCAGCTGAAAAGATGGAAGAATGAGGCTGCATTGATGATATCGACGCCATTGGAAAGTTGGTTCACGAGATCGGAGTTATCATCGAAGATATCACTGACAATGAACTGGGATTTGAGAGTTGAGCGGTCTGCGAAAAGGTCGTAGCCGATATCGAAGAAATCTTGTCGGAGATCAGAGGCGTAGATGTTTTCCGATGGGACTCCATCGTAGACCTTTTTAATGTTAGATTTTCGGGAATATGTATGAAATGGAGCTGCCCCATGGTATGAGCTGGTGGAAGGATGGAACATACTAGGTGTCGTAGCTCTTGACCAACGGCACAGCCTACATCTAGTAGTTTCTGACCTGATTTGAGACGCTCTAGGATCTCAGGGTAGGCGGGTGATTGGGGAATGCTCATATCTAAGAAGCGGAATGCACCGATACAAGGGTATGGGAACTGGATGTGAATGAGTATTGAGATGCAGCAAGAGTCATTGGAGCTGTGATTAACTTACCACTTTAAAAGCACGCTCTCTCTGAAATACAAACAGATTAGTACTCAGTACTGTCTTCAAGTAAGTCATACTTTAATGCTTCGTAGAGAACGGTCAACTCACCACATCCTTTACATGCTGAAGAACTTGATCCGGCTGGATCTTACTATAGTTCTCCAAAATTGTCTTGGCTGGCTGTTGCACTTCCTCGAGATCAGTTCTATACCAGGGCAGTTCACGCGGATCCTTGCCCTGGGTTATCATAGACCGTAGATCGGATTCAGCCTTGGCCATTGTGGAGACTGTAGATGATGATCTGCTCAATAATGATTTGCAGTGATATAGAAGTTTAAGTGCTGTCTTACAGATTCAAGAGAGGGGTACGTACTACTCCGGAACCGGCATACGTTTGTTGCCGGAGATCCGTATCCCCGCGGTGGGGCTGTGGACAGATATTAAGATCACGACTGTAAGAAGTCAGGTTCATCAAGTTGTATTGGAATTCCATTTAATTAATATGTTTTTTCCTCTTAGGCTAGATAACTCATCGATTCAAGGACTAGGACCGGAAAAGTATTGAAATATAATTCATCGTCGTCAATGGGGTATAGGTACAGCGAAAAGACAATCATCATATCGTACAGGAGATCCATGGACGCTCGCATGACATCTTCCTTTGTCAAGTTTAAGAGCGAGCTTCGTTGGATCTGTCGTCAGTATCTTGGGGACCGGCTTCATCAGTCAGTTCAACCAGTCCGCTGCCTGGAATGTTGATAGAGCTAGGTTTTGACGATGCGTCAGGGGATTCCGGCAGCGGGAATGGTGGGAATGGTTCTGTTTGATCACCCTGAGATTGCCGAATAGATGATCCGATGGACCGTTGATCATGATCTGTGAGGTGGTGCTCTATTCTTGATACGGGGCCTGCAGTAGAAGATGGCTGCTCCCTTGAATCTGAAGTTGATGCGAGCTATACAAGAGATCAGCAATTCGTCAAATCATGTTGGGCAGACTGGACTCCTGTACCATGTGAATGTTATCTGTCTCAAGACCACGCTTAGCAGCCAATTCTTGTGCGGCCATCCGTTTTCTCTTAATCGTTGACTCTTCATTAAGTGCTGCTTGGTCATCTTCCAATTTCAAGTCCGCTATTGACGGACCCTCGATATCTGGAAGAATCTCCGGCTCTGTCTCCATCGGAGACTTTGTAGATGAACGCTTCTTTTTCTTCTTGCGCTTTGACTTTTTGGAAGATGCATCTCCTAGACTAGACGTCCCAGAGACAGATCTCACCATCTCCGATTTTGAGCCTTGATCATCAGATTCCAATCCCGTTCCACGGCGTCCGAAAGCAAGAGCAAATTCATCGTCCAGCGGAACTGCATCCTCTTCCTCGTCGCTTGGAAACAGATCTCCACGGGAACTGAGCGAATTAGAGGTCCCACGAGAGGACCCAGTGCCACTCCGATTTCTCCCATTTAAATTGTAAGATATCCGGCCCCCATCCTCCTCCGCATCCTCCATAAGAGGCTCATCTTCGTGCGCATAGCGCCGAGAGCTGCCTGGGTGTTCTTGTAAGTCGGCTGCCGAGGGACGGTATTTTACCCCCTTCGCGCCAAATCGCCAGGGAAACCGTTCTAGGAATCCAATAAAGGACGAACTCGGGATGACAGTAGGATCTGTTCGATTATCTGGGATGTGGACAGTACTTCTCCGCCTTGTGTTACGTGTCCCATAACTCATTCTCCTAGGGCGGCGTGGCTGCTCCGCTGTAGCACGGGTTAATCCACTCCCTGCAAGAAGACGGTCCAATTCACCTGTGCCCCATCCCAGCAAACTGTCTTCCTCTTCGGCGTTATCCCAGTCATCGTAGAAATCAAAGTTGGCCTCGGTCTGTCCCCGGCGTCGGCGTCGCAGCTGGTCCTCCCGGTTCGGCATACATGATGCAGTGCATGAATAGACGCAATTTCCAACGGAGTTGAAACACGGAGAGAGGTAGTTCTGTGAAAAGGCGTATAGACCTTCCTGGGCGGATTCGTTGGCGGATTCAATGTTATGGGAGATCTGATTGATCCGCTGCCGGATGCGCGGATCCCGCGATCGCATCATCTTGCAATGCAATCAAGATGAGCAGAAGAATCGGAATGAGCCGGATTCACTTCATGGCAGGGGGTGTACAGAACATGAGAGAGTCCGGGGAGCTAAACGTTGAGGAGTAACGATGTCATCTGGCAAGTGGGTTAGTCATCCCGGGAGCACGTGAGATTCTGGGGTAAAAAAAGAGGAAAAAGTTAAGATGAAAGATAAAGAGAAAGAGATATACAATTGAAGATCTTAAAATTCTAAATCCATTGATTAAAGAAATATGGTCTATTATATTCGATTTCTCAAACCGCCAAAGTTTCATCAAGAAAAAAAGAATTCCAAACAATCCCGCCCCCAGCAACGAAAGTCCGTCTCTATTACCGCTCTCATCTGTATCACCACCGATCTGGGAGATGACTTCCTTGCAGAAGACGTGGATTTAGTGGCGACATGGGTTCAGCGTGCGTCTCGAGAGTCAATGGACCAATGTACTCTCCAATGGCGAGCCGGTTCCCGACAACTTGCAATCACAATGGGTCCTTATTCAGTGGACCGAGTCGCCCAACACGACGCAGTTTTACAAATCCGATCGCAAGCTGACCCACAAGATTTACTTGGAAGAAATACCACACCATTGGTCATATCAGGCTGCAGTGCCTCCTTTCAATGGCAATCAGACGCAGCGCAAAAATTGATCCAGCGCGAACTTCACATTTCAGAAAACAAAGCCATCTCGCCTTTGAAAATATGGGAGGAGACTGGCAATAGCATTGCTAGACACATCTGGTGAGTTGGAATTGAATTTAAGACTTCGAATCCGGAGGACTTGTTTGCCCATTGTTGTATTTAGAATTAATGATTTTCTCTCTTTCTTTCAATGCAAACTTTAGGGATGCGGCACTTGCATCAATCATTCTTCTTAAAGAATCTATCTCTGGCAATTCTCCCAACACACCCATTCTCAACCAGTTACTTGCAACCCGGGATCACCCCCTTCAGGTCGTGGAACTGGGGGCTGGCTGTGGCATTGTCGGTATTGCACTAGCCACAATGCTTGATGGGTGCAAGGTACTTCTCACCGATCTTCCGGAGGTGGAGGAAATTGTAACGCGCAATCTAGACGAGGCCCGTCTAAAGGCATCTTCGACGGTTGACTATCAAACACTCGACTGGGATGAACCACCCACGGATCTTTGCAGTCAACCCATTGATCTGATCCTAGTTTCCGACTGTACCTATAACGCAGACAGCCTTCCAACTTTAGTGTCAGTTCTTGACCGATTAGTCCGAACTTCCCCGAAGGCCTTGGTATTCGTGGCCTTGAAGCGACGACATGAAAGCGAAGCGGTCTTCTTCGAATTGATGGAATCTGCAGCCTTTAGTGCTCAATCAAGCAGTCTTCAATTGCCGGCGCAACATGACCAAACGGATCAAATTGAATTCCATTGTTATCAACGTGATCAGAATGCCCCGCTGTCATAGTTGTCATAGTTTTTTCAAGGTTCCTTTGATTTACAATTCCGGTGACCATTGGAACGAACCTGACAGGCTATTTTATGTGATGTGGGTCCGTGCACCCGGTAAAACCCACAGTGCGTCATTTTCGGGTTCTCGCCCTTAGCGGGTCTCATGAGCTCGTGTGCACGCTGCCCAAGCTGCCCAGGGTGAATGTTATACTCCTACATATACGGAGTACCTTCAGCTTTGAAAATCCCTCTCGGGTCATCCCTTTAGTTACCCGAGGGATTTTTTTTTCTTATCATGTGGGGGGAGTCAATGCGATTTCACACCGGTTATATCATACTAGGTACGCGGAGTGCCCAGGCACTGACAAGGATAATTGCCACACCGCATGTTTTTTTTTAGAAGAAACCTAATTGAGAAATCCCGAGAATCTTTACCATACTGTACATACATGGATACTGTACATACGCAGGCACCATCGTGAATTCTATACTACAGGGTACATCTGGTATACATGCATGCTGACTTAAATAAAATTAAAAAAAAATTATTATAGAATGTACCCCGTATACTCCAAACGTTCACTAGTCTAGAATCCTCGAAAAGAGGGAAAAAAATAAGAAATCCCGCATAGTGGATATGGTTTCCCAGTTTTTTGTGTGTGTTCTCCGTAGTAACTCCAAGTTCTCCGTTTTCCACTGTGAACCCTTCATCATTGATCAGTCAGCATCCTCCACCTGTGCCCAGGTTGTACTTGGTGGGCTTAAATTTCTCCTTTCTTCTCCTTTCGACTTCGTGCTTTTTTTGCCCATTCCCAGGTGAGTCCTTTTTTTTTTTTTCTAATTCTATATATCTCTATAACCAGGATCCTGGTTTTTGAGAATATCACCCTTGCGTTTTTTTGCTTTCTTTTTTTACCACTATTCCTGTTATGTGCCCTAAACAATCCGCACTGAGAATTTAAAACTCTGACGCTTCCCCTCCATCTCGCCCTCTCAACCGTCCATTTTTTTCTCTCATACTTAAATCCATTATACAAATCTGGGCACTGCCCCAAGTTTGACGCAACGTTAAACTGACCTATGGTAGCGTCACAGATCGCATCCCCCTCTTTCAAGTTTTTGAAAGAACTGCCTTAGGTATACTCCCCTAAGGCAATCGTCATCACGGCTCCACGAGAGTCGATTGTGCTTCTTAGCCAAATTGTCTCCACTCGACGTTCCCGCGACACTCTTAATAACATTCCACCGCCTGCTGTTCGCTGAGCTATCGTCCGGTGCGCCTTTTTTCACCCCGTTGACGCCCGCTCAGGATAATCCCGCATACCTTGAGCTGCCGCATAGGATTTCTCTGAAGGTTCTTCCTCTTAAGGGGGAAGGGTCTAGGAGGCTTGGTCCAGTCAACTACGGTTGCGACACTTTTCGTCCTCCCTAACGCGCAGTCGCGTAATTTCACTTTCTTATTTTCTCATTTTCTCTTTCTGAGACCGAATCCGTGCTGAGTCGCAGCTGTACGGATATGGCACCGACTGCGTGTGTTCCGCATACTGATGTATGCTCCCTCAAATCCGACATCAACAGTCGGGACAATCATGGTTTAATCAGTATTCATGCGGAGGAATTGTTGCAATCTCGGTTGGCTGCCAAGGACCTGGTTCTGGATGTCCTGAAGAAACGGGCCACCGAGGTGGATGTGGACCGGTGTGGTCCTGGGGAGGAGGATGCGTTCTATGTTGCTGATATGGGTGAGGTGTACCGCCAGCATATGCGCTGGAAGATGAACCTAAGCCGTGTCAAGCCTTTCTATGGTACGTATTTTCTTCCCGGTTCTTACGTGTGGGGTTGTTGGCACTATGAAACTAACTTATTACAGCTGTCAAGTGCAACCCCGATCCTGAGGTTCTTCGCCTGATGGCTCAGTTTGGTAATGGGTTTGACTGTGCTTCCAAGTCTGAGATCGATCTAGCCCTTCAGACGGGCGTCGATCCTAGCCGTATTATCTATGCTCAACCTTGCAAGACCAAGTCTTACCTTCGTTTTGCGCAAGAGGTTGGCGTCAAGCAGATGACTTTCGACAATGCCGACGAGCTTTACAAGATCAAGGCCCACTTCCCAGGTGCGGAGCTTTATCTCCGTATCCTGACCGATGACTCGACCAGCCTGTGCCGATTGAGTATGAAGTTTGGCGCCTCCCTGGATGTGGCCCATCAGCTACTCCAGCTCGCTCACCAACTCGAACTGAAGGTCGTTGGCGTTAGCTTCCACGTTGGTTCCGGCGCTGAAGACCCCCGTGCTTTCCTGAAGGCGGTTCAAGACGCTCGTTTGGTGTTCGACCAGGCGGAAGAGATTGGCCATGAGTTGCATACCCTTGATGTTGGTGGTGGTTTCTGCCAGGATACCTTCGAGAAGTTCTCTGGCATCCTCAGCGATGCTCTGGAGACTTACTTCCCGCCCAACGTCCGCATCATTGCTGAGCCTGGTCGTTACTACGTCGCCAATGCCTTTACCCTGGCAGCCAATGTGATTGCTCGTCGCGACGTGCCAGACCCGCTGGACCCTACGCGGGATGCGTACATGCTTTACCTGAATGATGGTGTCTATGGTAATTTCTCGAACATCATCTTCGATCACCAGCACCCCGTTGCTCAGGTTCTGCTGTCCGCTGCCAACTCTGAGCAGAGCACTCCGAATTCTGCGACTTTGGAGACTATCTCTTATTCGATCTGGGGCCCTACCTGCGATGGCATCGATGTGATCACTGAGCGCATCGATCTGCCTGGTCTTGTCAATACTGGGGACTGGCTCTACTTCGAGGAGATGGGCGCTTACACCAAGTGCAGTGCCACTCGCTTTAATGGTTTCTCTGATAACCACGAGGTTATCTACATCTCGAGCGAGACTGGTGCTTCTGCCCTGCTCAACTATTAATTTGATTTCTATTTTTATTTTTTATCTTATTTTTGTGTAATTCTGTACTTGTCTTGCATGTTAACGCAGCTCTGTGTTATCGTTGTAAGCCTCATTTGCTTTATGTTTCTGTTTCAAATTTTCTATTTTGATTCACTTTGGGCAAGCCACGAGAATAATCTGACTTGATGCGTCGGTTTTGTGATAGATTGAGTTTAGATTTAGAAAATTTCGCCTTTGTTTCTGCAATTCAATTTCAAGTTTTTCGCGTTGACTTTGATCGTTTCCGAAACTTCGTCTCTCAACGTCTTAGATCTGGTACATCGCTGATATTCCATTTTCTGTGTGCTTTTCTTTCACTTCAGGGCTGCATCTCAATTGAAGCTCTTCCCACCTATCAATGTACCACCATATGCAATCTAATAGAGCCCATGCTTGAGGGACTTGCAGTATCTTCTAATGGCAAATTAATATCATGACACACCTAAACTACTATTGGGATTCACGGTGAGAGCATCCGATTTCACCTGGGCATGAACTCTATATCCTTATTGAGCCTCGTGCAGGTCTTGGATGTCTCCAATCTAACCGTTTAGAACCTGGGGTACTCTTGTGGGGAACCATCCCGTGTTAAAGTACGAGATATCCGACATCACCCTTCATTACTTCCGATCGGCTTCTCCGAATCTATGTCGGCTCTGCGAAAGTCAAATTCTTATCCTTATTTCCAGTGTTGGGATTTTGAGGCTTGAATTGAATTGATGTCTTTTGAGTTGGATGCATCTATGTACGTATACGGTATACTACCATCCCTTGCAGAGTACATGCAGGACTCGTTTACGTCAACACTGCATTGCACATATTCCAATAACGTTTAAAAGAAATAAAGATGAATTTCTTTTATCTATTCGAATATGTGATTCATTTTAGAAAGATGGAACTTGAATGAGGAATTACCTGCTAGAAAGATGGATTTGAACCAACTAGTAGATACTAGTATCCATCCGAGACCTAACGCTAAACCACTTGATCCCGAGCCAACTTCAAAGGATATCCGAAAGGATCTCCCGGAGATCTTTTCCCAATGTTCAAAATCGAGTTCTTTTACGTCCACGGTACGACAAAGCTTCCCCGCTAACTCGTACTAGAGAGTTAATTGTTATAAAAGGATATGAGTCCCCAGGTTTGGCTAGGGATCTAAATCCGAGTCCTATCCGAATCATTCCAACGCAAGACTAATACCTTATCCTCGCCACGTTATATAGTCCTTGTCCTCGAGAAAGAGCTCCAGCACTTCAATCAAGGAAATCATGTCCGACATTAAACCTATCTTCGTCTTTGTTCCTGGGGCATGGCACACCGCCGACGGCTTTGATCAAGTTCGTTCCTTGCTCATGGATCAAGGATACGACAGCGAAGCTATCTCGACACCATCTGTTGGCTCCAGTAATCCTGAGAATGGGCTCCACGCAGATATCGAATACACCAAGTCTGTTATCAAGGGCTTGGTAGATAGTGGCCGCCAGGCTGTGGTTGTGAACCATTCTTATGGAGGGATAGTAGGAGCTGGGGCGGTCGAGGGACTCGGATATAAGCAGCGAGTTGAGAATGGCCAGACTGGGGGTGTGATTATGGTTGTGTGGATGGGAGCATTCGTTGCGCCTAAGGGCCTGTCATTGTACAATATGCTTGGAAATCAATGGCTTCCTTGGATGGTTCCAAAGGTATGTATACTCACGGTATTCTGGATGATTATTTTGTGATTTCTCTGAACTAACAATTGGTTTGATATAATTAGGATGAAGAGGGATACTGTTATTCGTCTCAAGAAGAGGTCATCTTCTATCATGATATGACAGAAACGGAACAGAAGAAATGGATCTCGAAGCTCCAGCCGCAGACGTTGAAATCCTTCCTTGAGCCAGCAGTTTATGAATCTTGGAAGGATATTCCTTCTATGTACATCTACTGTGTTGAAGATCAGGCCTTGCCCATGGTTGTCCAGGAGGGGTTTGTCAAAACTTTGAATGAGCCCGTGAAGTTCCATATTGATGCTTCGCATTCGCCGTTTTTGAGCAAGCCGGATGAGGTTGTGAAGGGGCTTGAGATTGCGGTTGAGGCTGGGCAGACAGCTATTGAAGTACGATGAAACGAGTAGTGAGAGTATGGAGTGATTGAATTAATGTCATTTAGCTTTCATCTTAGATTTATTAACTTGAAATTATGGCCTTTGTTGTTTGCTTTTCTTACTCGATTCTTAGTAGGAACTCATCAACCTGACTTGACCTTGACCTGAAACTCATGCCCTGGCTTTTACATCTACTCAAGACTCATATCGATTTAAACGAGCTTTAAATCAACCCTTAAGACTAAAGATGAACATTCTCCCATACTTCTTACCATACTAAACCTCCGCCTTACCCTCTTCCTCAACTGCCACTGCCTGCACATCCTCAAAAATATCCAACGTCGCCTTCCCAAATTTTCGTGCTGAAACTCCCTGCTCAAACAAAATGTCCAACTCCGCATATGTCCTCCCCTTCGGTTCTGGCAGCCTAAAGTACGTCCATATAAGACACAAAAAACAGGTTCCAGCCCAGAAAAAGCCCGCTTTCCCTTTCCAATTCCAATACGTTGGATTGATCATGTCCGGGGTAATAACGCCGTTTATGGTGCCCTGAATATTATACGCAATACGTGCAAGCACAATAGTCTTTGTGCGGAGTCGGGAAGATGGGATTTCAGCCACAACAGAATAGCAGACAGACCCGATGGTAATATCGTACACCAGCGTGAACACAAGCAGCAAACTGCCTGTTGCATAATTGGCGGCGCTGGTATGCACAAGACTTGAAATACCTACACTCAGCATCACAATTACTAAACCGGAGAGCCCGCCGAGATAGATGGTGCGTCGACCCAGATATGCCATGGCCCACCAGGAGAAGAAAACACCGATAATAGCCAGCGAATACAGCGCCATAGAAAAGTCAAATGAGATAGTCGTCGGCAGCCCGGCCTGCTCAAAAAAGTACGACGCATAACTCACTAGCGACGCCCCTGAAGCCGCCTGAGTGACCCATGCGATGCACGCAATCTCCGTGCGCCGCAGATTTATGCCTTTGAAACAATCCCAATACGACGTCCCCGCCGACAACTCCTTTTCGATTTCATCACTGTGTTTAATCATGGCAATCGAGTTGTCCAGCTCAGCGTCTGTTGGGGATGAAGTGAGGCGACGCAACGATTTACGTGCGTCGTCGATCCGCCCCTTGCGGACGAGCCACCACGGTGATTCCGGCGAGAAGGCGATGCCCAAGATTAAGGGTACGGGCCACATCCATTGCAGCGCGAAGGGGATGCGGTATGACCATTGTCCGGAGCGCGAGAGCAGGCCGCGCAGCACGCCGGTAGCTAGTAGTTGGCCGACTCCCCACATCATGTTCACGTATGTGGTGAGATAGCAGCGGAGAGCAACGGGGCAGACCTCTGCAGCGTAGGAGGTAGTAAGCGTCTGGAAGACGCCCCAGGGTATGCCCATGAGGATCTCTGCAGCGAGTAACGTCTGGATGTTTGTGGCAAAGAAAGAAATAAAAATAAACCCGCAGAGCGCGACCAACGTGCCGATCATAGTCCTCTTCATGCCAAACATCTCCGCCAGAATACCGTTGATAAACAGTCCCAAAATCTCCCCAACGCGCGCCCCATTCGATAGTCCCGATTGCCAGGGTGCGGAAACCTGGTACGAGCCCGGATCATTGGCTTCTGGTTTACCAAATTTTTTCTGGAAGGAAGGATAAGCAAAGAAAGAGGAGACGAGCACAGTGTCGTAGCCTTCCATGATGATTGCAGTGGAGAACAGAATGGACCATGCGACGGCCTTGGGGTAGCGTTTGATGGCGTCCCGGATTGAGAGGTTATGCTCGGCGTCGGTGGCGAGTTTGGCCTCGCTGCTGAGGACGGCGACTTTGGGGTTGGATGTTGCGAGCGTGTGTACCACGCTGGTATTGAGGGTGATGTGGTCTTGATCAGAAGACATGCTGTAGGTTGGGTTTGCTGCACCTGGGGTCACTCCTCTCTTTTTCTTTCTATAATCTGGGATAGGTTGGGCAGAGATCTCAACTTATATAAAAGACGTTGATTTTAAGTTGCATAATCTCCCTTGCTCTCTATTACGTGTAACGTGCGTCTGCTGTGCCCTAAAAAGCATGTATAGCACGTAAACACTGCGGAAATATACACGATTTTGCCGACAGCAATATCCGGTGTCTCCCGGTTGATGGCTGCGAAAAACCCGCGCGTTTTAATGCGGGGACAGTAAGATATTTAATTATTTCACGTGTCGCCATGGTCGTTCAGGATGATGAGCTCGTCGGCCAATGACTGTCATATAGTCTGGGGAGGGGTTTATTAGCTTCCACTAGTAGCCTCCCCGGCTTTCGTGCCGAATGATACTCCGCACATCCCAACCTCTACCATATAGGTTGATACAGCTCGAAATGCGCGCGCTACTTATCTACAGCCTGCTTGCTGTAATTCCAGCAATTGCCTGCTCTAGTAATGGTCACTACCAGCAGCAACCTCTGCAAAACTTGAACGTGCAATGCCGCGGCGATCGCCCCAACGTCGTATTCATCCTGACCGACGACCAGGACACACACCTCAACTCGCTCGACTACATGCCCCATGTGAAAAGACATCTGCTGGACCAGGGGACACACTTTAAAAAACATTACTGCACCACAGCTGTCTGCTGTCCGTCGCGCGCGACGCTGTGGACGGGCAAGCAATCGCACAATACGAACATTACGGATGTCAGTCCGCCGTATGGTATGTATCCCAATCACTACAGAATTTGCAATTGATCGATTAACTGAAAATTGGTGTAGGGGGATGGCCCAAGTTCGTTAAGAATGGCTTCAACGAAAACTACCTGCCCGTCTGGCTGCAGCAGGCCGGCTACAACATGTACTACACGGGCAAGCTGTTCAACGCGCACAGCGTGAACAACTACGACGATCCAGCGCCGGCAGGATTCACCAATTCTGTATCCCTCCCTTCTTTGCTTTTCTTGTCGAACTTCAATTAACGGGTTTGATGTAGGACTTCCTCCTCGACCCCTTCACATACAACTACCTCAACAGCACCTTCCAGCGCAAAGGCGAGCAGCCTAAAAGCTACGAAGGCGAGTATTCGACAGACATCATCGCGCAAAAAGCGCAGGAGTTGCTGCAAGATGCGGTTGCAGATAGCAAACCGTTTTTCCTGACCATCGCGCCTGTTGCGCCGCATGGGAATATTTATATGAAGGAGAATAGTAGTGGGGTTGATAAAGAGCCTATGCTTGGGCATGGCGCGCCGGTGTCTGCAAAAAGGCATGAGCATTTGTTTCAGGGTGTGAGAGTGCCGCGAACTGAGAATTTTAATCCGGACGTAGTGAGTATAAATTAAGATTAGAAGCTGTATGGCTTGTTATTGACTTGGTTGCTAGCCCTCCGGCGCAAACTGGCTCCTCGACCTCCCGCAACAAACGCAAGAAAACATTGACTACAACGACCACTATTACCGGCAGCGCCTGCGCTCGCTGCAAGCCGTCGACGAACTCGTCGACGACATTATTGTCACACTCGATGACTACGGCATCCTCAACAACACTTATGTGTTTTACAGCAGCGACAATGGCTTCCACATCGGACAACACAGACTTCAACCTGGCAAATCGTGCGGGTACGAGGAGGACATTAATGTGCCGCTGATTGTGCGTGGACCCGGTGTAGCAGCTAACTATACCACGACGGATATTGTGACGACGCACACCGATCTGGCCCCGACATTTTTCAAGTTGCTAGGTATTCCGGCCAGAGCAGATTTCGACGGTACTGCTATCCCCGTTGAGCGTGAGGGCATTGAGGCTGTGGCGCAGCGGAGACGGGAGCATGTGGCCGTTGAGTATTGGGGGTATGCGGGTGGAGAGGGTATATTCGATAGTAAGTATTACTTTCAATCAATCAATCATCACCGGCTAATGGTAATAGAAACATTGCATGAAAACAACACCTACAAAGCCATCCGCATCGCCGGCCCTGGCTACAACATCTACTACTCCATCTGGTGTAACAACGAGCATGAGCTGTACGACATGTCTGTCGATCCAGGGCAGATGCATAATCTCTTTTCCGTCATATCATCTAGTATATCAATAGCAGGCCATCCTTTCTCCAAAATCGTCTCGCGGCTCGACTCGCTCCTGCTCGTGCTGAAATCGTGCAGCGGAGAAGTATGCCGCGAACCGTGGAAATCGCTACACCCAGCGGGGGATGTTGAGACGCTGCAGGACGCGCTGGCGGAGGAATACGACGCGTTTTATGGGCGTCAGCAGATGACACGCGTCGAATTTGAGTACTGCTGGAATGGATATGTGCCTGAGGCCGAGGGGCCCATGTGGGAGACACACGGTGTGGCGTTTGTAAGGGATGGGTTGCCGTGGTATGACTGGGTTTGATCCAACTTGGCAGATAGATGGCGCATCATTCGACAATATAACCGCTCATCGAGTGCACTGGCACCGGTTAGAATATGAAATTCTACACAGGATTGTATCAGTTGGCTTGCATACATCCATGGATGGCACGAAAGAAATTCCAGATAATGGGACAACCAGGAGCGAATCCCGCTGCCCCTGAACCTATGATGATGGTATGTCTTCTATGTCTTCTATATTACTTTGGTAACATACATATACTGAATTACTAATTTAGACTTGGCAGATACAAATAGTATATGACGGAAAGCACCGGATTCAATAGTTCTAGGATGAGGACCATTTCCAAGGTTGCAATGTTAGCGCAGTTCAAGTTGAAGATTCTGTTTAATTATTTCCTAACATTGAATCTATTCATCATTCAATGTTCAAAGACGTCTTATTCTGCGACGGAGCGTGTCTTTCCTATCAACACTAAACGGTGGCACCGTGACTTGATCACCTGGGCGTTCTAGAAGGGTCACAGTTGGCTGGGAGTTCTTTTTTTTAATTTTAATTCTTTTCCTCTTTATACCCTTATGCTTCCGCCCTTTCTCCCATATATCAATATATAATCACTACTAGTATTATAGAATTTGAATAATAGCGACCATTTTTGAAAAGTTGTTACCAGCAGGATTTACCAGTTGACTAGTGTAGATAGAGGAAAACGCGGTCGCGGACTTGCGGATAAGGAACATCATCATCCAAGGTTTATCGCCTCCTCGCATCCATCATGGTCGAGCTACATCCACTTTTAAAAAGGGCTTACTGGACATTGGCAGCTGGTGGCCTGCTCTATGTGCTTTTCGTATTTGCAGTAACCTATCCAGACTTCCAACGCCTGTATGTACTAACAAAATAATTGCCCGTCGCGAGATGCTGACCAGGATGCAGTGCTCTCTATGTCAACAAATTCAATCCTAGCTACTGGCAAGACTTGAATCAGGTGGAACAATTCGGATTCCTAAGTACAGATTCAGAGGAAATGAGTTATAGCTCACTCTTGTTGACTCTTCCCAGAAACTCAAGTCCAGCCTTTCCACTTGGTGACACCCGACAATGAGACGCTCTATGGTTGGCACATCCTACCACTCCATGTTGTGCATGAGCATGAGAACGAGCTATTGGAGAATACTCCTTCCGGGCCAGCAAAGGACTACACCAAAACAGTCGCCTTCAAGACTCTATCCAGCAATCCCAATGCCAGAGTTGTCGTGAGCTGTGAGTGACTTAATGCAAATTTAACCAAGAATCAAATGATGTTAACTTGATTTCACGGCAGTCCACGGAAACGCAGCTCACATCGGCTCCGCAAACCGACCAAATGGATACAACACTCTCCTAGCTCTATCGACTCCAGAAAATCCTGTTCATGTCTTCGCACTGGATTACCGCGGATTCGGTTTCTCAACCGGCAGTCCCACAGAAGAGGGTCTGATCACCGACGGAGTCTCACTACTGAACTTCCTCACAGCAGGGCCATACAAAATCCCAACATCTCGAATCGCACTCGTGGGACAGAGTCTAGGCACAGCAGTGACAGCCGCAGTAGCTGAGCGCTTTGCATTCGGCTCACCTGATCCTAATGCCATTCAACCTGCCCTTAAGAATGCTGAGCCATTTGCAGGCGTTATTCTACTTGCATCGTTTAGTAGCTTTGCTAATGTTATCGAGTCCTACAGTATCAAGGGATTCACGCCACCAATGCTTTCACCCTTAATTGGTTATCCTCGTTTCCAGAAATGGGTACTAAGCCATATCGTTGATCATTGGGATACGGCTGCACGGGTGGCTCGTATGGCTGGGATTAATCCGGCACAACCCGATGCATCTGGATTAAAATATTCTCAGAAGGATCTTGATCTTACGATTGTGCATGCTATGAACGATGCGGATATTCCCTGGTATGAAGGTCGTCGAGTTTGGGTGGCTGCCACCGGAGAGAACATTGAAGGGGCATCTGGGGCGCTAGTTTTTGAGAAGATCGAGGCTGGAAGTCCCAATCAAATTCAAGTTTGGGAGAACAAGTTCATTGGTGAGGATGGGACTGAAGTTGTGAAGAGGGTTCGGTGGGAGCGTATACGTTATGGAGGTATGTGATATTTGCAACGTGGAATAACCATCCTACCATGCAAAGCTTTCTGCTAACTTGAGCATCAGGCCACAATCGTGTTGCCTCATCTTCTGTGGCTGGTCTAGCTGTTCTGAGGGCTTTTGAAAATTAAACCTGGTGCTCAAACGCTCGGAGATCTGTAGCAACTACAGATGACAAGACACGAATGTCTTCGCCTCTTTACAGATACTTGATGTTATGAAGCTTACATGGTCAAAACAATAGAGGCCACGGCCATTGCAAAATAGAACAGATCTAATTCACAAAGAATCCTTCCAAATTATCGGTATATACACGGTCGGTGCAAGACACTTCGCTCCCCCTCAATGTCCCGACTTAGATCGATTCTTCGAGCCTGTACGGCCATGACTTGGTTGATCGCTTGCACGGTCCCAGGATCGGTACTCTGACCGCTGTCGACGGGAGTGACGAGCAGGGGCTCCACGACTTGTCACATGCGAATGGTCTGTTTCATTGGTCTCTCCGTTATGGCGAAGATTGAGGATTTGAGCGAGGTTCTCGGCAGAACGGTATGGACTCGTAGATCGAGAAGTCATATTGTAGATTTTATAGTAATCTCTTTTATTCACAGATTTGCAGTATGTGAGATGTAGGTCGGAAGGAAAAAGAATACCTAGAATGGAGGTTTTATTTAGTGGCACGCCAGATGGCGAATGTGAGCTTTCAGCCACCATGACCACATTTTGATGTAAAAAGCCGCAAATTTACAGCAATAGGTAGGAACAATCCAATTGAGTCTCAGCAATTGAATAGAATGAGGCAAATTAACCCAAAGCTTCTAGAATTAATTAGCTAACAGATGAGTTAAGCATAATCCGACCAAGGTTAAGGTGTAAGAGTTGTTAGTGGTAGTCATAACGGATTCAGTAGAAAAGATATCTCAAGTGCTGATAGTTTGCCCAGGTGCAGGGGAATAAACTTAAAAGAATAAAACATTGTTCTAAGTTCTGTCATCTACAAGTTGGCCATGATGACATTCAAATGTTCCACGTCCGATCTGAGAATTTTATACTGGAAGTAGAATAGGAGTTCCCTCATAAATTAGTTGAGGGAGAAAGGTCACGACTCAGCCCGGCTAGCCTAACGGTCAGCGGTCTCTGACTCGATTTGAGGACAGAGGCATTGGCCAAGCGGTCTGGGTCCTGGCTGGTGGTTGAGCGTGACCAGGGGGCCGGGCAGGGTAGCGGCTTCGGCCGCGGGCAATTCTTTTTTTTTTAAAATTCTTTTTGATATTTTTATATAAAGTACCTTCAGACTCGCTCTTGCTATGCCTTTTTTCAGAAATCGAAAATAACCAATATTGAGTGAGATATCAAGGATGATATCGGGGTCATGGACGTATCAAGTGAGGCTATTCACAGCAACTCACCTTTCACATTGATGCGCGCCCGATTTTCAACATTTGAAAGTCCCTGGTTCAACTCCAGGCGCCGGCCAGATCCTTTAAATATTTTACTCAATTTGATTGAATCATCTTTTTAATCCATGGCCTGTCCATCATAACCTAGGTATGTATGTGTATTACTTAGGCCATAACGTGATATATCAGTTACTAGTACTGAAAATTGGAATAGGTTAAGCATCAAAGATTAAAGAAGTCTCTTGCTGTGGCTGAAGCTGAGAAGACTGATCCAAGGGAGTTGGACTATTGATGAATTTTGTGAAAATGATTATATGTGAGGATGGAACAGAACCTGGATTGGCCACGTCTATTGAGAGAGCCAGAATTTTACAAGAAACATCGACCAGTTCTTATTGACTTCCAAGGTTGTCAGTGTTTTGAGGGTCTATGGAGCAGTGTGGGTGCATTAATGCATACTACCAGTAAGGACTGATTCCCAGGTTGAAGCACATAGATCCATCATATACCTATACACACACATACTACTAGGTAAGCAACAACAATTACTACAACCAGCGTATTTTAACCATAAAACTAAACTCGCGTACTAATACACAGTTTAACAATGTCTATTTCACAAATTCCTCTCCCTGAATATCATTCACTTGGCGTTCCACAATGTTGTAACCATCTCCATCCAAGGCCCACAAGATGGGTCCAGCGACGTCATTACCAGGCACAACCAGCATTGATTCAGCAATAATAGAGTGAGAACCCTCCTTCCACCATCCTACCCACCAAGATCCAACGCACGATGATCTCAGCCGAGATTCTCTTACTTGGCGAAGCGACCAACCCCTCTATGAATGGCTATCTATTCCCTCTCTCCACAAAAGGCGATGTCATACCTTGACGCTAGAGCCGCCGAATCCTGGCTACTTTTCCCCTCAGCCCTACGTCAAGTTCAGCCCTACGGTTGCTCTCCAGGTCATTGAATATTTCCCTCTTCAAAGCTCTTGCACGTGTGAGGTTTCCCTCGAATAGCGAATCGAATTCCATAATGGGCTCAACGTCCGATTCTTTCTCGAATGACTCGGTCCCGCAACAACACGAACAAGATACCACGATTGACCCGGAATCTAAACAGAATGGTGTCATGACTAGCGTGAAATCCCAACTCGATCCCTTAACAGGGACGAACTCTGTCGAAGAATTCAAAGATCAAGCCGTGGCTGTTGCTGGTGAAACGGCTGCGGCCTTGAAGGAAGTCGTTATGAATACTGCAGTTCCTGTGGCTGGGGAGGCTTTGCAGAATATAGGCACTCGGATCCGGGATCTTGCGGGTGGTGTTGGTGAGGCAGTAGAGGAGACTCTTGAAGGTGAATAACTTCCATGTCCATTTGAAATTTCGATTGAGAAGTGTGGTTTTAATTTGGTCTTTCTTAGATCCTGATAGGGAGGCGCATGCTGAACGCATTGATCAGATGGATACAGAACGGATTTGTGATTTTTTACGAGAGAAGCATCAAAGTACTTCTCAACCTCCACGGACGAATTGATGAGTCAACGGGTCTATTTACTATAGTCCAAGCCGCTGGTGTTATCTTGTTGTTTAGACCATGATGTTCCGATTTAGCATGTTTGGCATTTAAGGGTGACTTTGTTTGCATCAACTGGAATTCTGCATCTATTATATAAATTTCTAGAATTATATGATGTTGGATAACTTGTTTGGACTAATTAGAGATTTGGGCTCAATCTAAGAAAATTATCAAGACATTAAGAATTTATGTAATCACCTTCGGTAACTAACTACTACAAAAGTTGTTCAGAGAAGAGTGAGAAAATTAACGCTCAAAACCTGCATTGTCTCACAGCTTAGGAGTATTGCCCATGATCACTGATAATCCCAGCCGTCTCTAAAAGCCACCGAGCACTCTCCTTGGCTGAATCACCTCCTCCAGCTTTCAGATTAATATTACGTCTTCTTTCCGCCTCTCGGGCCTCAAACTCCCACTTAGCACGCTGTGCCTGAACAGCACCAGATGCAGCATCAGAAGAAGAATCCAACTCAGGATCTGGGACAACACCCCAGATCTCCAGACTGTACAAGTCCAGACGGATCTTGGCCAGCTTGTCATTGGGCGATGAAGTACCAGGTGGTAAGAAGACACCATCATGTCTTACAGAATCGACTTGAAACTCGGCTGTTCCAAGATTCACATCTATGACAAGGCTACCAGCGCCGTATGGACTAGGAAGGGTATGTTGGCTTCGGGAGGCTGGTGGAATCTGGCAACCGATTGCAATTCCCGTTTGTGTCGAAAACCAAGCAGCCGGGAGATTGGTCTTTTGTGCGACAGATGGTGACGAATTCCCCTGAAGGACCTGGTGTGTTGGTGATAATTGAAAGAGGTAAGGCAAGGGGCTTGATAATTTGGTTGAGGATGAATTGATCGTTGACGTGGATGATTTCCAAGACTGTGGAATATACGCGCCTATTGTAACCAAGTCTGATGTTCCCTCCAAAGCACCCTGGAGAATCATTAAAGAGGAAGATTGCCAGGTCAACACGTGGTGGGAGAATGACGTGAGCGAGGAGCCGTGGGCAGAAGTGGAAAACACAGGGTGGAGGCGCGCATCACTGCGGAAGAGACTCAAAGATGGTGCGACAGATGGCAAGAAAAACGAAAGGTGAGAAATGATTGTTGGTGTCAAAATAGTTGACTCGAAACTGCCAGGAAGCATGACTATGGTTGGTGGAGGAAGTTCCTCGGACTCCTCAGACTCCTCTTTCGTTTCTTTCTCGACGGCGTTTTCTTTCTGTCGCCTTTGTGAAAGGTTTAGGTTCTTACTGAAAAGCATATGCTCAAACAATGCAGTAAGAGGATCGAATAGATATGGTAAAGAGGACGTAACCGTTCGCGCGAATGCACGGTATGAGATACCGCCGTCAGTTTCCTCTGGCGAAAAAGCAGAGATAATGCTGTCTGCTTCTTTTTGAATCGCCTCAATTCTCTCGGGTCCAAAATCCGATGTGTAGACCTTCACAGATTCCAAAGGCTTCAATGGTGCTATGACTAGCAGTAGCATCAACAGCCGACGGAACGTATCAATAGATATCCGCGTTTCATAAACAGTGCGATCAACCCGATGATCATGCTTGAACACTTCAATCGCATCAAGTGTTTCCAATGCAGCAAGAGCAAGATCGTCGTCTTCATCTTCATCGTAATCATCATTGGCCGGTTCATCAACCGAGAATCCAAGCGCATGGGACTGGATATCAGGAGCACCAGTCTCCTCTTCCGCAGCAGCTTTCCCATTACCCTCTTCAGTCTTTGAGTCTAAAATTCCAATATCCTTTCTACCAACATCAGCAAGACTTCCGAACAGCAACTTTACACGGTCCTTGCGCCCTCGTCGTAGAACTTTCCCATAGCGCTCCGTCAATAACACAACCACTTTCACCATTGCATCGAATGTCAAAACACTTGGCGCCATGGTATTCTGAAAAGGAAATGCACCCAGATATGAAACCATGCGGAAGATCACCGGGCCGGCATCAACGGGATTCTCATGGGAGGCAGAGAAACTACCATCTGGGATACCGAGGAAATCAGAGAGGGTCTTCTCATTCCAATATTTCAGTCCGCCCTGCTCAGCGGCCCGAGAAAAGAAATTATCTTTGAAATGCGTAAGCTCTAAGGGCGTAAAGCATTTTGTCGCGAATCGTTCCGCGAGAATGTAGCTCAGCTCCTCTATTTACAGTCAGATGCGGTTGAATGGGATTTAGTGCACTTGCAGGAGAAGACATAGTTTCAAGATCCTTCAATGAGACGCATCACGCGATACTTTCATATGAGACTGTTGAAACTGTCCCTATGCTGAACTCTTGAGGAAGTCAATTATACTGACCTTGAGAAGCTCCACTATATTCACTGGATTGGCCGGCACCCATATTTCGCCGAGTGCGGGGAATAGTATCCCCGTTGTATAGTTTGAGTCGGAGAGATAACTTGAATGAATGTCAAACTTGAAAAAGATAGCGAATATTCCGATCTATCCAGGTGTCAAAACCCAGTTAACGATAGTCTAGGTAACGGCGTGGAGGTGGAGAGACCGAGGTTCCAGATGACGACGGCAGATATTTCTGCCTAAGGTGTCCGTTATCAGACGCATAATCCATTTCGATTTAATTCCGGCATCATGAAGCACGGCTACATAAATTAATGACCAGTTGATGTCCAACACGTGAAGCAAAAAACAACATGGTTGTTTCACCACGGAGTACAAACAAAGAAATTCGAATTTATAGAAATATGTATTTTTTATAGTTGTTTTTCTTTTCTTTCTTAAAGCTGAATAAGAGTATTCGTTTCTGGGTATCCAAACTGCATCCAGATCCACCAACCGAGCCTGTCAAATTTACAGCATGATAATTCCAACTCCGCCCATTTGGTTCTCATCGGGTTGGTTTTTCTTGTTCACACCACCAGGGACAGGGGCTGCCCGGTAGTTGTAAAGGTAGAAATGGAGTTGACCATCACCAGCGCCAAACTTCAACTGCTCCAAGAATAGAGGGTTGTCGCTCAGAGTCAGAGCGTTAAATACATCGAACTTGGCCTAGATATAATTGGTTAGAACAAGGGAAAAGGTATGGGTGAGCAATATCGTCTTACCTTCTTGGCGCAAATCAGCGCATCGTTAATCAGTACCTGCAATCGGTCCTTCAGGGCCTTCTTGTTATCGGTGAAGGCTGTCTCGGTTGCATAGTAGTACAGGTAGGCAGCGCGGACTGTGTCGTGCTTAGGATTATCAATAACAGTAGACTCGAGGTTATAGAAGGAGACGAAGTCTGTAATCTTGTGGGTCTCAGGGTCCTCAACCACATATGACCAGATGACCTGCTCCTTGCCCTCGGCCTCCTTGTAAACGAGCCAATGTTCGATTTCTTCGCGTGTGAAAGCCTGGTTCATCTGGAAGCGATGCATGTACCGCTCGAGAAGATCGTAGACCACATCGATATCCTTAACCTCCATTGGTCGCAGACCGGGAGTCGCAGTGTTGCTTGGGAGGTGGCTCTTGGTGATCTGACGAGCCTTGGTAGAGCCGTTGGGGAGGAAGGAGAAGCCGACTTCGTACAGCTTGAGCCAGTCAAGTGGGCGGTGGTAGTAACGGCAGGAGCTGACGGGGGTCGGAAGAACGATACCACCAGTGTAGATGGCCTGGTAGATACCCTCGAGGTAGCAGCGGCGAGTAATTTCCTTGATCAGGACGGGGGTCAGGCGCTTGGAGCGCAGCTTCTTGTGGATGCAGAGGAAGTTAATTTCCGTCACCTTGATGCGCTCCCCGCGGACGCGAATATCAGTAGGTACACCACAAATGGAGGCGACCAGCTTGCGCGACTTGGTAGCGCGCACACCAACGTGCCACTCCTTTTTCCATCCTGGAGACATCAAAGCCCTATAATTCAGAAAGATATTACAGTTAGCAACGTTTCATGCGACCTGCAAAACAAGATCTAGAGGTTCTCTCACCAGTGCAGGAATGACTGAGAGTAGCTGAAACGGAACATAGCGTTGTCGTCCTCCACATAATGGTTGTTCAGCAGCTCGTAGAGCTCCTTCAACTCCTCCTCATTTGTCAAATCCAGAGTACACCACTCAAAGCCCTCAACCAACGGACCGGGAGTCTTTGAAACCTTAGCCGGGTCGATAATTTTGATCGGACCTTGCTGGATTTGCTCCTGAGATGCCTGGTCCTCAAAGCTGGGGACAGGCTGTGTCTGCCAGAACTTGTAAGAGGCCATATCCTTCTGGTTCTTTCCACCGACAGCAAGTCCTGTCATCAATTGAGAGATGTCCAGGTTAGATAGCAGCTCCGCGGCCTTGTCCTTATCCATCGACGCGAGTTCGCTCTTCAGCGCGGGGTTCATTTCCATAAGAGATTCGATCATTTTAGGAGAAAGCTTCTTCGTAGCGCCGGAGGAGCTAGAGGACGTGTCTTATTTCGCATCGCATCATTAATTGCTGTTTGGAGAAGAGGGGGATCTTCGGTTCGATCTACTTACTTTGGTTGTTCGAGTTACTGGCCTCATCGCCCTCCTCTGGGCGCTGAGGACCCTTGCCCTTGTCCTGAGAGTCTGACATGGCCGTGAATTGCGAAAAGTGAACGATCGCTGGACCTGAGAGGAAAGAGGTTGAAAGAGGGAGGATTTCGTTGGGCCCCACGTTTAACCGTATGTATCATGCGGATCGGTGGGGTAGGCCGATTGGCAACTTCTACTGATTACTTGGCTTACCCCGAATTTTGTGAAGCAATTTTAAGCCGGTAGGACAGATTTACTATTGGAGAGCATTTTGAAGCTTGAAATGTTTGTCACACTGATGTTAAAAATAGTATTGTTCCTGACTGGCATCGGGGTTACGTGGCATACTGATTACTTATCAGCCACCAAACTGCGCAGGATTCTAGAGCAAAATGAACCGAGAGAGAGAGAGAGAACGAATGGATTATAATAAATGAGTATTATTACTTTCCTTGTCCTCCGATTGGCAAATGCATTCAAATGTTCAAAATATTGTATGGGGAATCTCGAATTGTTGAAATCGACTTAAAAACCACATGGAAACACCTCTATAAGCCACCATATATCATGAAATATCCCTCAAGTGTTGATACAAGGACCAGAGACAGGGTAAATACAAAGCCAGTATGAAAGGCGATTATGCGCTCTCAGAGTACGGCTTTGTTTCAATGACATCAAGGAACCCGCCAACCAAATGCAGACTACCAGTGACAAAGGTCATAACTGGGGTCTCGTCTTTTTGCAGAGCCTTGCGTTCCTGAGCGGCCACGTCTCGCGCAAAGTCCACGGCTTCTTCGATGGTGCCAAAGACGTGGGTTTGGGCATGAGAGTCAATGGAGTTCCATGCCTCGGCCAGTGACTTTTGAACACGGAGATGATCCACGTCATCTGCATTTGTGTTCATGCTGACTAGGTCAGGTCGGTAGCCCGCCTGCTTGTAGGTCACATTGGTACAGAAAATAGCATGAGTGAAGGGTATCGTAGCTCCAAGAGCCGCGGCGAGCGTCTCATGTAGAGCAACTGCTAGTGCAGTGCTATCGCGAGTCTGCTGATTAAAGATCAAGATGCGGGGCTTCTTGGAAGCCACATCGCTTGAGGACGAGTCTTCCTGGATTCGTGAAGCAAACCATGAACCAGCCAACCTAATACTCTCAAGAGTGTGACCTCCATCGATATACCATGAGACGTTCTTCTCAGTGCGAGTTTCGCAACGGCCTCCAAGACGTGTCTTTTCAAGTCCAGTCTTGAACTTGGCAGGAAGCGGCTGAGACATAATGTCTTCAGGAATATCCGCTACTCCGGTCTTTCTCAGATACTCGGCAGCAGCCGCAACCGCCAGGGATGCATTTGTGTATTGGAAATCGCCTGCCAAGCCAAGCTTGACTTCCGTCTTACCAACCTGGAGATCGGGGTGGGGGGAGATGATATCAAGCTGGGTGCTCTTCTCCACAGCCCGCTCAGCCAACACTTTCTCTGCACTTGGAGCCTGGGGCGCGGTGAAAGCGCGAACGCCCGGCTTGATAATACCACCCTTGTGCCAAGCGATTTCTTCGATAGTAGAACCCAACATTGCGGTGTGATCAATACCGAGGCTAGTTATTGCTGTCGCTTTGGGCTTCTCGACCACATTGGTACAATCATACTGTCCTCCAATTCCGCACTCAATCACGGCGGCATCGACACCTTCACTCAGATATGTATGGAATGCCATCAGAGTCAAGTAACGGAAGTATTGAGGCTTGGTTCCTGGCGCAGTAGGGTCCTGACCCGCTGTCTTGGCCGCAGCCTCAAGACGATCCCATACTTCAAAAAAGTATTTGGCGAATTGTTCTTCTGATAGTGGGGCATTGTCGATCTGGATGCGCTCGCGTGCGAACCGGAGATGCGGGGAGGTGTAAAGTCCAACTTTGTTAATGTGCAATGCCGATGGCCCAGTCTCGGCTTTGGTGTACTGAGAGAGGATTGTTGAGATGAAAGCAGAGGTCGAACCCTTGCCTTTAGTTCCGGCAACATGGATTGGGTTTAATCGGTTCAGATCGGAGGGCTAGAGAAGTGGAGGTTCCAATGTTAGCCCCCGCATTTCAGCCTGAACAGCAATCAAACCACAACGAGAACTAAGTAATATTGCGCGAACCTTGTACCCAATGCGCTGAAGCCATTCTACAGTCTCCGGAATGGAGCGCTCATTCATTTCCTTCCTGGAAACAGATTTCCGGAGCTCCTCCACGATAGCATAGTTTGTCTGTAAGGAATTGAGTGCTACAATTGCAGCCTAAATAATGCGTCGAGTGTGAGCGAGTGCAATTATGATCATAATACGACAGGCCAGCTTCATGCAGACATGCAAATTGCTGCAACGTCCAGAGTGACTGGCGGAGATGAGCGGAAGCACATACCTCATATGTGCGAGTCATCGCGGGCGAGTGAGTTGAAACTCCCCGCCGAGGAAACAACCAAGGAATTGATCTCCAAATACCGCTCATGGACAGGTGAGAACCGTGCCTGCAAGGATTCAAGACGCAAACGGGGTTGATCGTAAGAAAAGACCCCGGTAGCTCAAAGATTATCTGGTTCAGCCGATCGTAGCTCTCCTCGGGAAGTTCATGGTTTAATGGATTGATCATCGGAAATGTCACGTGCAGTAATCTCTTATCTAGCCAAGACCCACTCTTATCGCTATCTTGTTGAATTCTTTAGTCCGGTATACGGAGTATCATAGCGCTGGGTTTATTCTGAATTTAGCAATGGAGTTGATTTTTCATTTCAATGGATATGGTAAGCTGATAATCCTGGCCCAAATATCCTCTAGCTCTTAGAGTACTGAGCAGCAAAGAAAGTGAAGTGCCACCGTCAAGGGACAAGGGCAACGTCTAGATCACACATGAAGCCATGCAGTGCGAACAAAATTGTATCAAAAAAAGTAAGGAGAAAGATAAGAAGCAAAGAGTGACACAGAGTCGAAGAATAGAAAGAGATAAGAAGAGAAGAAAAGAGGAAGAAAAGAAAAGAAGAAACAAAGGAAAAGGCTAGCATAGAAGCCGTGAGGAAGCACTAATAGTTAGGACATACAGCCATGAAGTGTACATATTCAAAAGCAAAAGAGGTAATTAGGTGGTCAGGAGCGAATAGAGCAAGGTGACTGTTTACTCAATTCTGGTCTTTCCTTCCTCGAGGAAGACAAGGCGAGCATTGCTGACACCACGTTGGTGACGTCTCGAAGGAAGCCATTGGCCAACGATTGGATCTGTGCGGGCTTTGATGATTGCATCTTGATATCCCTCGGCGCCGGCAATTGGGGTATTGAGCTTAGGCCAGTTGACCTAGAAACTAGTTAGTCCAATTATCTAGGTAGATTTGTGTAGGTAAAACTTACATAAAGCATGCCGTGTCCCTGGATGAAGTAGAGGGAATATCCACCAATGATCAACCAGAAGAGCATAAAAATGCGAAGTGGCCAAACTGCAGCGTCTGGCAATTGGCGGGTAAATAATGCAACTAGGAGCATGAACAAGCTTGCTCCAAAGACATAAGGAACAGACTGGATCACAAGCGGTCGGCGGTCGAAAAATAGCTGGATGTTCACAGCCATTGAATCCGATGGAAGATAAGTACCCAAGAAGACATCGAATCCATCTTGTCGGGGACCATCCAGGAAGTTGTTCCGCACATATCGAGTGATAGAGTTTGACAAATCTTGCAGCGCACCCGCACGAGTACGCTTACCTGTCCGGGTGAAATCTGTCTTCAGGGCCCCGGTACCAGAGTAGGATTTGGAGACGACATCCGCATTATCCGCCCAAATATTTCGGAACAGATCCTCGAATTCTCGATCATCATTGGCATTTTCCCCAGTGCGAAGGACGCCAGCATCCATCAATTGGCGGGTTAGGGCCCAGCGGCCTAGCATACTCTGTACAACGTTGGTCCGGTCAAGACAGTCCATGCAATTAGTACGGACTACACTTGATTGTGTTGATCGAATGTCCAGCTGTCCGCCTGGTGCACCGGGAGCTTCAACGCCACGGAAGTAGCCTCCTTGTGCTAAACCATCTGACAAACGATTTAGTAGTAACTCGGCACGGTGCCACTTAAGACCCTTGGTCTCGTTGTGGAAATCAAAGTAGACATAGTGCAGACGATCCATATCTTTCTGCTTCCGATCTGATTCCAGAACATGCATCTTCTCGGACGTCCCATCATTCTCAGCGGTTTCGTAAGAGGATGACAGGAGAGTGCGAACCATCTGCTCATAAGCGCTCTTTACACGCTCCTCTCGGCCTTTTTGGTTGACAAGGTTGACCAGGTAGTTCTCTCCATAAAGACGAATCTGCTCCGAGAAGTGCTTGCGAGCAGCCTCGACCGCAGTGTCTACACCTCGAACCTGGAGCTTCGGTGTGTATTTCAGGTTGTTAACCTCGGCCCAGAACACAGGGACACTACCGCGAGTCTGTACGAAGGAATAAACCTGCAAATCTTGGTTTGTCTTGTCATTGGACATTGATTGCCCACCAGCAAATCCGGACATTCCACCCGTGGAATCATTAAGAATCACGATCTGTTCGGTCTCATTGTAATTCGAAACGTGGCCGAGCTCATCGATACCGCGAGAGAAATACCGGGTTCCCGCTCGGTGTCTGGATCGACGAGTCACAAGTGCGAATGTGAAAGAAGTTGATTTGACTCGAGCAGGTGTGATACGGAGCATGCCGAACATAACAGGGAGGATGTAGGGGTCGACGCCTGGCTGAGGGCCATATCGGATGCCGCTGGTATCATTCTCTCCCAGACTGAAGTCAATCAGATCTGACTGAATGAAGCGATTCCAGAAGAAACGGTCATCGGCGCGCTTCCACATGGGCAACTCGGGAGCACATTGTGATTGACGCTGGAAACTGTTGGTCAGATCCAAAGAATAGGAGAAGTACATGGGGCCGGTGCGAAGTAGATTTTTGATCAGCGCAAGGTAGGTATCTTCATCGGTATCGTGGAGAGGACGTTCGCGCATTGGGAGGAACTCGGTCGCGGCAATTTTGTATACCATATGACCTCGAAGTCGTCCCATGGGCTGGGCTTTGGTGATAACAATGATGTACTTGTCTGCGCGCACTGTCAGCGCCATTGCGGCGGACCGGCCGCGCTAAATCGCAACTTACCCAGCTTCAACTTGATCATTCCTAAAATTCCAGCAATGCTAGATATCCGCTTTGCACCTGGGAGAGGGCCATCATTGAGACGGAGATCCCCAGTTGGTCGGTCCACAACTAGTGTTGGTGCCTGGGGAGAAGAGGGCGATGTGAAAGCATAGTGGGATGGGGATGCATGTAAATTGACATCCCTGAAAAGATGGATGTGAGGAGCCATAATGAGAACCCCAAAGAATTCGAAGTTGTGGTGGTGGGGGAAAGTCTAGGGTTAAAAGGGGAAGAAAGGAAAGAGGATGGGGTATTCTATATCGCCAGGAACACATGATCCACCGAGGCGCAGTGCAATTGGGAGCAGAACAGTGGTCCTAACTCCTAAGTCCACGCAAGCCAGGAACAACACTATAAGAATTATTACAATTCAATAGTTCTATGATTAATATCAATATTATGATCAATTGAATATAGGTAATTTGCTATCATAATTATAAATTGTAAAAATAGTCAATAAACAAGTTGCGCTTTAGTACTAAGTACAAAGCCCTGAAGCTTCTTTGTTCGTTATACTCATCCATGCTAAGGATAGTAACTGTGCCACCCCGCCAACCCCAATATATCTGCTACCGACTTTGTATAAAGAGCAAAATAGCTGTGGATAATGCCGGCAGAATCAATTCCCTATATAACACTAATAATCCCTACTATTCTCAAGTAGTCAGAAGCTTGTTCATAGTACAAATGCACCAGTCATGGTTACAGTAGCCGCCACACCGCCCCGCTCATGTGGCTGGACCAACTTCCGTCATCCACTTCCGTCTGCCTGACCTTCTGACCTTCTTGATTTCAGTGAGAGAAACCTGTACTCAGTTACGGTTCTTTGAAACTTATTTCCTCCTTAATCTGAGCTCTTCACTACACCCGCCGATCATCCCGACCCTTCCCCTCCTCAAACTACCCACCCCTGATTAAGTGACCATGGCATCCCGACCTCAAGCAGGCGCCCGCCCGGGGGCTAAGTTCGCCCAGTTCAAGCTTGTCTTGCTCGGTATGTGACCCGATAAAATATTTCTTACTTGCTGTTAAAGAGCTCTGTCTAACCCGTGCTTTTAAATATCTGTAGGAGAATCCGCTGTCGGAAAGGTTCGATTTCTTTCTGCCTTGCATGTACCGTATTCGAGTGCTAACACATGAACCTTCACTTTCTAGAGTTCTCTTGTGTTGAGATTTGTCAAGGTGAGTAGTTCTATATGTGCTCCATTCAATCTCAGGGGGTTGGATTGAGAAAGCAAAAGCTGACTGGCTGCTAAGGACCAATTCGATGATTACCGAGAGTCGACAATCGGCGCTGCCTTCCTGACCCAGACAATTTCCCTCGATGAGAGCACCACAGTCAAGTTTGAAATCTGGGATACCGCTGGCCAGGAGAGATATAAATCGCTTGCTCCTATGTATTATCGCAACGCCAACTGTGCCGTTGTGGTCTACGACATCACCCAAGCGGTATGTTCAATTATTTTCCGCTCCGTGTTTAGCCCCACTAACTCTCTTACTTGTACATAGTCATCCTTGGATAAGGCAAAGTCATGGGTGAAGGAGCTGCAGCGTCAGGCAAATGAGAATATCGTGATTGCTTTGGCAGGCAACAAGCTTGATCTAGTTACCGAGAGTCCCGATAAGCGGGCAATCCCGACGGCCGATGCTGAAGCGTATGCCCGTGAGGCTGGTCTTCTGTTCTTCGAAACATCCGCCAAGACATCCACGAACGTGAAGGAACTATTCACAGCTATTGCGAAGAAGCTGCCCCTCGACCAGGCTGGCCCTCGAAACCTGCGCGCGGCTCCAGGACCTGGAGTCAACCTACAACCCGAAGCTCCCGGCACTCAGGGTGCAGGTGCTTGCAACTGTTAATTCATGGTACATTCTTTCACTACGTTACTGGGCCTTCGATTAATTTGGTGCCAAAAGGGCCCCTACGCCCTCTGAACAATCGATCCTGACATACCGTCTTTGACCTCGGGGGGGCTTTCAGTGGTACTAGTTGGTTCCATACCTATATCGACAGGGAGACTCTCCGTTCATTGTCCACTAGTCCTCTCGGTTTCTTTCTTATGATCTTTGATTCGCTCGCCTACCTCTCATCCCCTTTTCCTTTTTCCTTGGAGTTCATCGAGTCGGCTATCGACTGGAGAATTTCGACTTTCTTCACGGACGCATCTGGAATTTGGCTTTAGACATGTCGTGGCAGGTCCCGCCTGCTTTTCTCCTTGTACTTCTTGTCACTTCTTACCCCGGCGTCTGCATCTGCTTTTCCTCTTACGTCTTCGTCGTTTCTTTACCCAGAGCCTTTCTCTTTTCTAGTATGCTATGCCCAGATAATAAATTTCTCTTACATTGTATCTATTCATCTGGTTCCAGTCTTTTCCTCTATACTCCGCACTGCTCGGATTATTCTGCATTGAGCTATCAATTTTTTAATGGCTTATTATGTCTGCGTTCATGCGTATCTGGCTCCAGTTCAAGTTGACCAGACATGCTCGCGTGCCCTGCGTTGTTCCATCAAATAGTACTCCGTAGATGGGCATGGTACTATGGATCGTAGTACTAAGTTTCAGACGGCTTGTTTCTCTTGTCCAAAAATCACACACCCAAATAATTATTGCTACACTAATGATATACAGCGTCTGCATTTGAGACTTTCTGAGCAAAATTTCGCTCTCACAGGTGCATTATTAGATGTATGAAGCTCTTGATGCCGATGATGGGGTAGAAATCGAGCTGACCGCCTGCAGGATCATCGGGGCGGATCGCGAGCGAACATCAACTTCCCGTTTTCTTACCCATCTACTTTCCCTCAATCTCTCTCTCCTCCGCTAATTGGCGATTGTGCGGCTCGTCATGCTGCGCTCTTCATTTGCCCCGAGTCGGCAGTTGCTGTCGTCTCCTGTTCGCCAACGGATCCCGTCGCAATGGCTGTCTAAGGCTGGTGCTAGCAGCCGGCTTTCGGGTCAGGTACAACCACCTCACCTTGCACATATCGGGTTCAACATTACTAACAATTGACTTCATTCTAGCGATTCTTTGCCGACTCCAAGCCACCCACAGCTAGCCCGACACCTGCTACCCCATCCTCCGAATCAACCGTCCCCCACGACAGCATCCCCAAGCCTGCGGAGCAAGGTATCGCCAGCCCACATATTAAATGCGCCATGTGTATCACGTACTAATATCATCACACCTCTCAGAAAACAAGGTTTCCGAGTCCTCGTCAACACTGGCTCCTCGTAAGACTGGTCGCTTCCGTCGCTTCCTCTTATATCTGATCCTTACCTCCGGTATCGCCTATGGCGGCAGCATCTTCCTCGCTCTGAAGTCCGACAACTTCCACGACTTTTTCACCGAGTATATCCCTTACGGCGAGGAATGTGTTCTCTACTTCGAGGAGCGTGATTTCTATCGCCGTTTCCCCAATGCCTCCAGACACTCGAACCGCATTGTCGCTGCTCCCCGAGAGGAGGGCAAGCCCGTCACAATCCCCAGCAAGAGCGGTTTGTCATGGACGGTCACTAGTGAAGAGTCTGGAAGTGACGTCTCTAAGAGCGGTCCTCATATGAGTGCCAAGGCCGAGGCGACCAAGTCGGAGTCGCCTGTCGCCAAGGCCAAGGAGGAGAAGCCCGCCAAGGTCGAGGAGGCTAAGCCTGCCCCCAAGGAGGAAAAGAAGGAGGAGAAGAAGGCCGTCTCTCTTGATGAGCCCAGACAGCCCGCTGTTTCCACGATTAACACCATTGAGTTCCTTAAGGCTCAGGATGGTGACGAGAGCGTGGTCCAGGAGCTTGTCAAGACCTTCAACGACATCGTTACTGTTATTAGCGCTGATGAGAATGCCGGAAAGTTCTCTGCTCCTGTTTCTAAGGCCAAGGAAGAGCTGCAGAAGATTGGTGAGAAGATCAACTCTATTCGCAGTGAAGCAGGAAAGGCCGCTCAGGATGAGATTAACAAGGCTCACGCCACTTTTGATGAGTCCGCCAAGGAGCTGGTGCGTCAGTTCGAGGAGGTTCGCGCATCCGACATTGCTCTGTTCCGGGAAGAATTCGAGTCCGAGCGCGAGAAGCTCGCTTTTGCCTACCAGGACAAGATTAACGTTGAGCTTCAGCGTGCCCAGGATCTTGCTGAGCAGCGCCTGAAGAATGAGCTTGTTGAGCAGGCTATTGAGCTGAACCGCAAATACGTCCACGATGTCAAGGACTTGGTTGAGCGTGAGCGTGAGGGCCGTCTCAGCAAGCTGAACGAGCTGACTGCCAACATTGCTGAGCTCGAGGAGCTTACTACCGGCTGGAGCAACGTCATTGACACTAACCTCAAGACCCAGCAGCTGCAGGTTGCTGTTGATGCCGTTCGTTCCGTTGTCGAGCGCACTGAGACCCCCCGCCCCTTCGTTCGTGAACTGGTCGCCGTCAAGGAGCTGGCTGCTGACGACCCAGTTGTTGAAGCTGCCATTGCTTCCATCAACCCTACCGCCTACCAGCGTGGTATCCCATCAACTGCTATGCTGGTTGAGCGATTCCGCCGTGTTGCCAGCGAGGTCCGCAAGGCCAGCTTGCTACCCGAGGATGCCGGTATTGCTAGCCACGCCGCCAGCATGGTTCTGAGCAAGGTCATGTTCAAGAAGGATGCCCTTGCGGATGGCGATGATGTGGAGAGCATTCTGGTTCGCACTGAGACTCTGCTCGAGGAGGGCCAAGTTGATGCTGCGGCTCGTGAAATGAACGCTCTTCAGGGTTGGGCCAAGATCCTGAGCAAGGACTGGCTTGCTGATGTTCGCCGCGTACTTGAAGTCAAGCAGGCTCTCGAGGTAAGATTTCTTCCCCTCCCCCCTCTTTAGTTTATATTGCACTCTTGTATATAATAACTAACATATTCTGTTCCCTAGGTTATTGAAACCGAGGCCCGTCTTCAGTGCTTGCGAGTTGAGTAAGCGCACTTTTGAGCGATGCCGATCTGAAATTATCCTGTACATCTTTGTTCATCTACAGGAACTGTACCTTTAGTTGACCCTTTGCGTTAGACACAAATGCTAGAAGCTTTCCTTTGTGTTCTGACAGTGCGACTGAAGGCTTTATGCCAACTGCCCCAAAATAGTACCTAGGAACCTAGGTATACCTTGTCTAGACCCCTAAACCATTCAACTCAGGCTTTAATTACTTTAGAACCAACACTTGAGGACTTATTTAATTTATCTTGAGAGTTCAACTTGAGGTGATTCGACCGAGGTGCCCACGGAGGCGAGCGTGCTATTCAGATGAGGCGGCTTTAACTAGCCGAACACCTCCCTTGAATACTTCAGTACTATTACTTCTTGAACCGACTGTTTGTAGATCAGAATATTTGGAATTTTTCATCTTCCAGATGTCCATCAATTGATATTTGATACTACTTGAGTATGTCCAGTACGGAGTAGTAGCGGCTGAGTAGTAGAAGCGGCCGGCTTGGTGCAGCAGCGGCGGTAATGGCCATCAAATTGAACTTGACAGCTATGGCGTCATCAGCTTATCAGGCTCCATTGCTCCAGGTGCCGGTGCCATACTCCATTGCCCGGCGCCACTGAAAAATTTCGTGCCAAAATTTCATCTGAGACTTATGCAGCCTGCAGTAAAAGTAATGCTTCGACATCAGTGCGATGTGGAATCGGTAACTGAGACCCAGAGGTAAAATACCTTCTGGTCGGCCGAGCACCCAGGCCCCGTGGTTCCACTTTGGGCTGAGGTATACGCTCTCAGGCTCGCACCCAGGCTCGTACCCTGGATCCTCGCTACTTTCCAGATGTGCATCTTCCCTTGCCTGCTGTGTGGACTCTGGAATGAGTGATTCATGCTCATGCACCAAAACTAGGTATCGGCGAACAATATGGTCAAAAACCGATCATGAACCCCGGCCAGGCGGGGATGTTTGATGATATCACCCAAGTACTGCGTCTCGTATGCAGATGTACAGATTTCTTTGATGTCTGCACCGTCTGGAAACCAGTTCATGAATCTGTCTCGGCGGAGGAGGTCACCTGTCTCACCCAGAACATTATCGAGACAGCTCTCTATCAAAAACCGCGCGTTCACATGCCATTCGTCATCCACCTCAGCGCCGGTATGAATAGGACCATCGACATGATCCCATTCAGGTGTCCATTTACTGGCATCATTCCAGAGCTGGTACAGGTGGTCAGGGCCGTTTTCGACAGCAAAGTGAGCAATTGTTCGCTCGAGGTCTGACGGGAGGCAGCATGTCCAGCTTGGGAGCTTGGTGAAAGGCAAGAGGGCGGTTTCGAAATCCGCGAGCTGGTTGCGATATTGAACCTCAGGCCAAGGGTTATCTCTCATCTCGTCAAGGATGCTGACCTTGAGGTTCTGTTCGTCATTCCAGTCTCCAATAAGTCTCACTTGGACTGGTGGGATATCTACAGGCGAGAGTTTATTTAATACCCGAACCAATGTGTTGCCCTTGTTCCAGTAATTGACGATACGACCAGCGTCAGAGTCCTCAGCTGAGATGATGTAGACTTCCAATATGGTCGGACTAGCTTTGGCTTCAACAAAAGCACATAGGTACTGTCGCAGCGTGTTTTCATTTTTCAACATCCATGAACACTCGAGTTTGGCCCAAGAGATCTTCACTTCCATCCATCCAGGTTGACTATGGTGTCGGATATGCAGCTTGCGCTGACAATCATGGAAGATGTGTTGGCTTATCTCTCTGTGGACATAGCGACTAGCGGAGGATGTTGGCGATGGTTTGGTTTTGACGGTCTTTGCCCGAGATGGCAGCTTCGAAAATGAGGAGATCCCAGATCATGAGACGCAGCTCAACTGGGAGCTTACTGAATTTGCCCAGTTGAGCAAGGCGGGAGGCCTCAAGTTCTTCGTGGACGTTCATTTTGGTTGGTTGCGCAGCGTCATCTTGAACGTTCATCTGGGCAAGAGACACAGCTTCTTGCAGAATGGGAAGGTTTGAAGCCATGATGGAAGCTAATAAGCCATGATGGATTCAAGATTTCTCACTTGATATTCTTGGGGCAGTTGAAGGATAGAAAACCTTAAGGATGATGAAAGTTGAAGAAGATAGTTCTAGAACAAGAACCTTAGAAGTTAGGAGAACTAACCAATTGGTAACAAATGTTTGTCGTTGATTCATATTTACATATCTGTGTGCATCAAGCGCCGGGCGATGGCATGTCCGACAAACGTTGGTGGTAGTGGTAGCCATCAGGCAACAAAGACTAACAGACGTGAACCGCAACTGCCAGCCCTACAGATATCTAAAGTAAGAGATATCTAAAGTGAGAGATAGGTGAGAGATATCTAAAGTAGAAGTAAGAGATAGCTAAATGAGGAGGGATATATTTATAGTATTCAGGTTGAATAAATAGTAAAAGCAAAATCTACATAGTTTAGTATTGGTAAATCTATGGTGGATAGTATTCTGCCAGACGGTGAGGAAACTTGAAAAACAACTGTAACTTAAGTAGGAAAAGATATCTATCAAAGATAATGGAGCAATCATTAATGATTTTGGATCCTGTTGGAAGTTACTAGGTAGTAGGTGAAAGCCTTGAAGATGTTGGCCGTATATGAATGGTACCTAGGTACAATGAAAAGACACAGCAGTGTCTCCCCGAGAATGACCTAAATGCCTGGTCGAGATTCATATTTGGTTTCAAGTCATGTTGATCCACAAGCGTTCAATGTTTCAATTTGATACTAGTATTTTCTCTACCATATATTCCGTATATCACTACCTGCGCTCTAGTTAATAGAAATGATGCCAATTATCTCATGTAAAAACAGTTTATAGTGTGTACAATGATGTCAATTAAATTTAAGGAAGATATGGTCAAGATATTGCACTTTAAAGATTGCAACCACCTGGGCATTCAAGTATACCTAAACGTTTGAACCCTTATGTTGTTATATAGTATGACTACAACTATGTGATTGGGTTCAATATAGTTGGGTCGCCCAGAGAGGAACATGATCAACGCCGCTTTAGTGCCGCGCGTAACCAGAGGATGATCGACCAGCATTACGTCCTTGCAGACCCTCGCATTAGGTCCCGCAAGTGATCCGCTGGGCTCCATACTCGTCTTTCATCCATGCTCCAGATATTTCCTTTTACTAATAAGTCATGCCTGTTATCTCTCTAAAGAGCGTGGCAACCCTCCATACATTGCCTTGACGTTGGCCCTTATGTCCCAACGTGCTCCACCCCCCGCACGAGACCCAATGTCTCCGCCAGACAGGCCACATCATGTCACGGTTCAAGGTACACGATCACCACATCGATCCGAGGGCACCTCATTTCGGCGCGCAGCTGCTCCAACAAGCGATGGTCGGGTCAGTGGGGAGCTTGAAGGAAGCACCCTAGGGAGTAGTTCCCGCGACGGGGATCGAAGAACTCCGAACCCGCGGCGGACCCAGAGCTCTGGCGGCTTCTTGCTCGACTCTTTACCTCGTGCAAGCAGTATCAGAATCGGTTCACTTCGCTCTCGCCCATCAGAGCGCCCATCAGAGAAACGGAATACCCCCGAGCCCGATATCGTGGTGCACAAGAAACGTTCACGATTACCATGGTCTCGCCACAAGACCTCTGCCTCCGAGTCGGCTGCGACCCCTTCCACATCCTCACCGCAGAACACACAGCAACTTCCGACGCCCTACCGAGAAGACCAGCAATCTGAGACCTCCCCATCGCCCCAACCACAAACCCAAGAGTCAGAGCGGACTACGACCGGCCTTGATCGAGATTCTTTACAGATTGTGAACTTGGCTTTGAACTTGAATGAATCGCGAAGAAGAAATGTCTCTGGATTTCCATTGGGATCTACTGGACACAGGCCATTATCTGTGTCTCAGTCTTTGAATGCGCCAATAATGCATGGTTCATCCTCAAGGGAAAACCGTTCATCGCAAGACCATCCATATCGCAATTATGGCCAGTTTTCGGAAGATGAACCTCTACAAACACAAGCTCAGGGACAATCTCCAGTGGTAAACTTCTTACCCGCAGCTGTGGTGAATGACAATAGAGCATACGAGTTCTCAGATAGCACGCTTGCCCGTGCAGAGAAGGCTCGTCGCCATTTTGATCTCTTCCATGAATACTTAAGGCTCCTGCCTCTGCTGCCACCTCTTCGGAATGGCCCATCTGTTGACGGCGCCGATTCTTCATCTATGTCAAGTCCCAATGTGATAAATAATCGGGAGTATAATCCATTGCAGATGGTTCGGAACAGACGAGTCAGATATCGGGAGAAATGCCCCATCAATGCAGAAGCAGAAGGCTGGCATGAAACTGGGAAAGTGCACGAATGGATAAACACCATCGAGAAACAGTATCAAAATAAGGTCTTTGATGAAACACAGTCCATCAAGCTTCCCGATTTCAAACACAGTCATCAGCGAGTCCCTGTAGGAGAAGCTGAAGACCACGAGATGATCGCTGGCTCTCCCCCATCAAGTCTAAGACATGTTAGTCGCACAAATAGTGTGAAGGCACCTAGGCTACGTCTTGACTGGAAAACCTCTCCTGCAGAGCTAATTGCAGATGCTGCCTGGGTTGAAGACATTGCAAACAAAGCCAAGATTGTTGACAAAAATGGTAGCAAGATATACCCTGATCCGATGGAACTCATCATGGTGGACTCGAACCCGGAACATGCTGCAGCTAAGAAAGGACAATTGTCAGTTGACATGGAAATTTCTGCTGACGATGGTCTTTCTTCTCGTCATACATCGTTGTCAAGTCATCATCCGGCCCGCGCCCATGAATTTAAGAGTGTGGGCCGGGGCCGCCAGAAGCATAGATTCCAAACTCATGCTCAAGGATCAAGAAGCCGCAGTGTCTCCAGTTCCCGAAAACGCTCACGATGGGATAAAATGAAAATGCGGGCGGGTAGCATTTCAAGTGATTCCAGTGGGGATGAGCGTAGATTCGTGGACTGGAAGCACCGCACTTTGGAGCATTCTCGACGAGATTTGGAAAAGCTCCTTCACCGCACTTTGCCAGACGAGAATCAGAAATCCCGCAACAAGTTGGCAGTTGCAGGTACTTTTAATGCAGACCGCAATCCGCCACACTCCTCTCAGCCTCTATCTATCAACACTAAAGCGCGCCGCGCGGCCAGGAAAGCTTCACTGTCTTCAACAGGGAGTCTTGATGATCGATATAATCCAGGGGCTTCCTTTGAAGGAATGGAAAGCACTGCACCGAATTCTCCTGCGCAGGTGGCTTACTTCCCCAGTATCGCCGTCAATCTGTCACCACCTTCAAGTCGATCTCCCTCACCAGCAAAGAAAAGCCTTCGTCACAAAATCGTTGCCCGTCATGAGCGAAGCAAGAGTAAGCAAGGGGACCGGGAGTTCCGCGACTTCGAGGTGGACAGCCCTATTCCTGAAGTACCGACTCCGGGTATATTCTCGCCTTCGTCTGAACAGACCGAATCTACATCCAAACTTGAGCCAAGTCCTCTTCCTGATATCATGTCGTATGCCGACGATCAAGGGAATGAAGTCAGTAAATTGGATTCTTCCAGAGGGCGCAAAGGTCAAAATTTGCCTGAATCTAAGCTTCGTGGAATTTTCAAAGGCCCAAGCCGGATTGCAGAGCGCGTTGGGAATGAAGTTTCTAAGGTTGGGGATTTCATTTTAAAGAAAGATCTACCCATAGACTCCCGAAAATCTTCATCTGCAACCACTCTTGCGTCTGACTCAAGTGATTCTGAAGACGACGAAAGAAGATTGGATAAGCGCTCTGGCCCCAAGGGCCTTTTGCGACGTCTACCAAATATTGCAGATGAGCCTGGGCGTCTTATTCGTCGAGATTCAGACAAAGGCACCCCTCCGAGAAGCCATGTGCCAACACTTCCAAACTTCACATCACCATTGAGGCAGGATGGTCGAGGTGGATCGGCTGAGGCAGTGGATCTCGGTAGTTCTCGCGAGCGTGAACGTGAAGGAGCACCTGCATTACGAGATGGATCTAACAGAATTGGTTTATCTCGAAGCAAGACATTCGATTCTGGCCCTTCCTTGTCCTCAAGCCGGGGTCACACCAAGCTACAAGGGATCAAGGACCCTTCAATACCCTACGGCATGCTTCGCCCACCCGTAACTGGGCTTGCCCAAGCATCACCCGGATCTCCTACAGAGAAGAGACCGCCTCTCACAAGTGATACAAGTTCATGGAGTATTTCGGGTCGCAGCCTGCAAACACTCAAAGACTCAGGCATTCCAAGAAAGGCAGAAGTGGAAAGAACCAGCACCCTGATTCTCTCATCTGGCATCAAAGCGCGTGAGATCATACGAAGAGCTCATAGTATACGCGATCCACCCGCGCATTGGCTGCAGAGCTCTTTCGGATCCACTGCATCTATCCCCCGAGTACCCAGGATTGGTGAATTTGACCTGGCCGCCCAGAACTTCCTGCGCCGCTTCGAAATAACACAATACTCTTTCCAACAATCCATGCATCATTTCACCACCGCTACCTCATCGCCCCTTCGTTCGCAGTTAAAGGACTTGGAAACTCTCATTAACCAAACCCTCACGCCCCGTGTACGAGCTACTGCTGATGAAGCGGAAGACCTATGCGTTCAACTTAATACAACCAGCACACTTGCGGTCAAGTCGCTCAGCGATGCCCTCGACAAAGGAATTCGCAAGCGTCGTCGTCGAATGAGGTGGGTTCGACGAACTGGCTTCGTCGTACTTGAATGGGCCCTCGTCGCAGTGCTGTGGTGGGTCTGGTTAATCGTCATGGCCTTCAAGCTTGTGCGCGGTGTATTCCGCGGAGCCATATCTGGTGCAAGATGGATTCTCTGGCTGTGATGGGCTTCAATTTTCGAGACTTGATATCTCATTACGCGGTGTCATGTCTCGTTATCTTTTTCTTTACTTTTATTCTTGCTGTGTTATAATTTTCATGTTGGCTTCTTTGCATAGCGTGTTGTATATACCCTCTGGTCTGGACCTGCTGGTCTTGAAGCTTCTTACTGTGATTAACTAATAATTGTACATAATAGTACCGAGGGAGTAGCCCTGAAGGTATAGGCCTCTTTTACAATATTAGGCCTCTTTTGTAGGCTTCTTTCTTCCTTCCCCCACCCCCCAGGACCTGCACATGTGCACACCGCCGGCACGTCGAAGGTTTCCGCAGGTCCGCCAATCCAAGGAACATAGACCCCATCTAGGAAGCCAGGATAGAGAATACGCATAGGCCAACAACCACAACATTGAAATGTTCTGTCCTGAAAAGTCCCAAGCCCAAGCCAACCTCCACACTAACCCATTGCATCAAGATAAGCTATGAAAGGATATACTAGTTTTACACAGAAAGGCACACAGGCAGATACAGTAACATCACAATGATCACACGAAAACGCTTTAAACTGAAAAACCTCTTGGATAGAACCACCTATATCTCCAGGCTCCACGGCTCGATTGTAAAACACATCAATATAACCTAGTCTGCAATATACACCCTCGCATATCCACCTTTAAATGTTGATTATATCATACCTACCTGAGTACCTAGGTATCTACCACCTCATCCAATAGTCCCACCAATTTGAACTTGATACACTCCCTAGCGACTCCTAGAATCTAACAAACCCCATCAGATCCAGCAACAACATGATGACGGAAAACCCATTTCTCTGTCAAGGATGCTATATTAACGATATCTTCCAGAATACAGAGCTCGCCTGTATTGACGACTCGCGAAGCCGGTGTTGCAGCTGCTTCCAAATCGAACCAATAGGCTATTCAGTAAATAACATCCATACACAGAAGAACTTTGAAGTTTCATCTGCCTCTCTAACTTCATAAATAGATTCCACCAGTTCTCGTCAATTTTGTCCAAAAGGAGTACGAAAGTACCTTCCTACTGTTCTTTGACTACCTCTGGGAGGCCCCAAGCTGGAGGAAGACGCTGAACGCCGACGAACTACTATATACGCAACGCCGCATTTTCGAATATTTCAAGCGCCACGCTTGTTCAGACTGGGCATATATGGATCACGAAACGTATGGTACAGGCCTCCACAGCTATAGATACCTACTACATCTTAACCGGAACGCTCGCCAGGTCGCAGTACACAGCGTCTACTCACAAATCCTGTCCGATAGTGTCCCAGTAAGACTAGTGGTAGAAGTTAGGAAGACAGAGACCAAAAACCACTAAGAATGTTCAAATACCTACCTGGCTAAAAATATCACTTGACCATATAAGAGCACATCCTAAAAAGACCTCTCTCCGATCTACATAAAGCCTATAACCAGCCACCAGGCTAATTGTTAGGTAGACTTTAGGTAAAAGAAAGAAAAGGAAGAAAGAGGCCTATACTACCAGGTACCTATACTATACATACCCACCCTACCTATACTATTTAACCGAGCTTCCCGACCAATCACTCGTATATCTCGTCTCGTCTCGTCTCGTCTCGCCGTTTACTACTCGGGTGTTCGTGCTTTTCTTTTAGGTGCCAGGTCTGCTGGCTCTGCCAGCCCAGACGCCTGGCGTACTTTGTTTCATTTTGCTTCAAGGTTACCTAACGACAAGCCAGTTTGCGGGCTACTACCTAGTATACTACATACGAGGCTCAGGCTTGGGTGTCACACGGTGCTACTAGTACTATGCGAATGTTCCAATTTTGACACTGTGGCCCTGTTGATTTCGTGCCAATATAAGTAGGTTCTCGCCCGTTCCTTTGTATTTAGCGTCTGCTTCCAACTTGAGCTTGGTGCCTCCCAGAGATATTCAAAGAAAAACTAGGAACGTGCTTTCGTATTCCGCTTGAACGAACTTGACCAGAACCGGTGGAATCTACTAGTATTCATATTAGACTCAGAGATGTAACCTAGGAACTTGAAATCTAACGTCTTAGAGAGAGAGTGTGAGTGTGTGTATGAGGACTTACCAAATACCCCATGGGTTCAAGTTCAATTTGGAGGCAGATGGAACAGCGACTTTTCGAATCGTGTACGTATATACGCTGAGTCTAGATTACGGAGGATATCATTCATGACGAGATACTAGTACTATGTAGCATCCTCGGCAAATAAACGGGGTTTCAGAAGCTACACCTGGGCATATAGTGTTGTTTTCAGAGGCCGTAGTGGTGTTCACGTTGTTCCAGATATTGGAATATTGTGATCTACTGGCAGTAGGTGGGTGTTAGGCTGCCAGTACGGAAGTTCTCCAGGGCTGTGTAATGCCCATGGTGAATTAGGACTTGTATCCAGATGTCCATTCTATTCTGTTAAACATTCTAATTTATGAAAATAATGGAACGCATTCAATTTCCCTTCACACCACCTCGTTCGCCCCTTATGACACAGGCATCGACAGAATGATGACAGTACTCATATGAAGATCACTCAAGGGCCTGCCAAATGTACCCAAAATTCCAATGATCATCTCACCATCCGGGGCTGTGAAGTGGAAGTATTCGTTTGGGTTGTTATGATGGCTGCCCCAAAATACCTCCCGCCCGTAGTTGGTAACCAGCCTCAGCGAAACAAAGTTATAATGCCCAACCCGAGGTGAAATGGAAACAGTTGAAATGACTTCACCCTTGGCGCCGTTGATTGGCATATGAAATCAGTCTTCATTTTTCCATGTTGGACCAATTCCACTCATTTGGCTTTTGATCTGACGACGCTTGATCATCGATAAGGGTGCATAGTCTGCCCGAAGCCCGTAAACCAAAGTCCCAAAGCCGCGTTCCTTTTTGTAGCAAGTCAACTGCCGGAGAGCACGAGCCTCACTTTTGTTTTTTGCCCATATCAAAGGCTGATATGCTTTCAGCTCAGGGGGAAATTCATCAGTACATGGAGGGGTTTGATGTATGCGCAAATTGGGCAAGTCCCAAATGGAAACGCCCGTTGCTGAGGGTGTTCGGGTGATCTGGAGACTCAGACAGAGAATTTGAAGGTCCGCATTTGAGCTCAGAGATCCAATATCTTCCATTGTGAAAATGGAACTGGAGTCGTCTGTCAAGGGAAGCGTCTTCAACAACGGACTGCGGCTCCATATTTGCCCACCGTTTCCATCCACGTGAAAGTTTTCATCGGGTCGTTCCTCCCCTTCAATTGAATCTCTGTTCATTGGGCACTGCACCAGACCAATGCGAGATATGATGTCTACCATGCCTGTGGGTGTCTCTCGTTCACCTACATGGCCTGTAAGTCCGACAATAACCATTCGCTCAGCTGCCATCATCAGCCTTTTGACACGATGAGCCTCAATGTCGCCGAAGCTTTCCTTTCTTCCAGAGTGCAAAAGAACTGTGATGCCGACGACGTCTGTCTCATCTCTCTCACTAACCTCATTGTTTTCGGGTGGGGCGTAGATTTGAGGGTAATGCAGGATGAATCCTTGGATCCAGTCCCCATCCTGGACCTGCATGGTATTGACTGTGTACCCATCTTGGCTATCCGAGGCTCCGAAAAGCCTCAGATCTGGATTATAGTTTCGATGAATCTTAACTCCCAGACCAACGAGATTCTTTTTGAAATTCCAGAAGATTTTGAGCGTAAAAGCGCTGTCGATGTCATTCCAATCTCGAACCCAGAAGACCGTCTCGGGGTGGTATTTTTTCGGCTTTGGAATGCTCACTAGTGGAATCCAAAAACAGGTCGCTGATTTCAAAATCTGGGGGTCCAAATCGATCGTCTTGCCGTTGGTAGGTTCTTGTCCAGGATATGCTGCCTGGCTTAGGTATCGCTCCACGATTGGCTCACAGACGGTCCAAATGCGACGGCGGTTTGCTACTCCCATGAATGACCCTTCCATACCATGATACGTCTCTGTCGCTTTATTTGCCCATAAGCAGAGGCGATGCAGAGACTTTCCATGGGCTGAACTCGGAGCAGTGTGATCGAAATCATCATCTTGATCGTTTGGATTCGGCGAGCTTTCAATTTCGTAACATTCAAGGGCTCCGTCGTTAAATATCTCCAGCTCAAAAAACCACGGCATATTGAAATCCAGCACTGGATGCCAGAAGGTTGGGCTGTTCCCAAATGATCGATAAAGATGTGGGGATGCCTGGAGGATGTTGATGAGACCGGATACATCCAGCCAGGAAAAAATCTTCTCAAGCAGCTCAAACGGTAGCTGTGCGAATGGGTCATCTCCTATGGCTGCTCCTGTGCATGATCCTGCCCATTTTTTTCATCTGTATCCTCCCAAGCATCCACCATCTCATCGCAAACACCCATGTCAATGTACACTGGGCCAGTAGCACCTCTTCTCCTGGTATTGCATCCCAGTCAGAACTCCTAGAATGTACCAACATTCCATAGTCAGTACCTAGGAAACTAAACGGGCCTATTTCTGCGATACTGTCCAGAACCGAGTAGAGAGTTTCCTTGTCGATTTGTGGAGCCGACAGCAACCAATCATCACATGCATCACGGTGGCTTTTTGTCCACTTCACGCCAGCTTTGTGGGCTAAGACACACATGAAAATATCCAAGCATTTTGTGTGAGAAGGGTAGGCACTAGGCATTTTGGTACTGTGCCCATATGTTTTAAGCGCAATGCCATTTGGGAAGTTTGGATCGTCATCTTCAAAAGAATCAAGGTCAATCATCCCGCACTTGTCCATCCTGCCTTCGCCCGATACAAAGCATTTTGTGGTAGAGTTCGCATATGGATTGAGACCAGCACATCTAACAGACTGAGTCCAGATAGCCCGCTCTTCCGAGAGGATATCAGGATCATAAGTGTGATCCTCTCCAAGCCTCAGTGCCTTCAATAGGGTCCTCGTCACCATATGACTTCAGCTCTTTGACTGTTCGCTCTAGGACTTCTAGCTTTGAATCCAATCTTGACTCCCAATCTGACTCCTCGTCTTGTTCCTCATCTGGGTCCTCCTCTGACTCTTCCTCTGACTCCTCGTCTTGTTTCTCATATGCCTTCTTCGCAGAATGTATGTGCTCAATCATACATCTTGCATCAGACAATCTTCGGGCTCGTTTAAAGCGCTCTGTGCGTAACTTCGAAGAGATCTGACCACCGTAGAAAGTACCGCCACAAAAAAACACAGAAGGCCTCCCAGTCCCAGTCATCCGATCCAGCCATCTCGAAAGATTGATTTGATAGAATTTTTTTGTTGATTTTCGGGATTTTTGATTTTCTGCTCACGTTCGGATAGGTTAAAAGGGAGAAAATGGAAGCAATGTAAAATCCTAGCACGTTGGATTAGAATATGTGGAATGAGGAAGTTGGGTGTGGGAAAGAGAAAGAGATGCGAAAGAGGGGAAGGTCATGAAATCTGTCAAACATTGATCTTCAAACGGGCAAACTGAGACAAAGTCAGATACCGGTAGCCGAAACGTCTTTGTTGAAGTTTCAGGAGTATCACGGTATGATGATTGTATCATTGATTCATTGTTTATAGATACCCGCTTGTATAAGAGCCTCAGGACCCACTAGTTGGTGCCTGAATTTGGCCTAACTCTGCCTTAATCTAACACATCGCCACATCTGAGATCAACGCGCATACTGGCAGCCTCAGACCAAAGTACATCTATCAATTGATGCGGGTTATTGAGTTAAATACTAGAAGGTTCAACGGGATAAGACATAGTTTGAGTCATGTTTCGTTTGTCTAGGTACTGGGAAGGTATACACAGGTAATATCATGATCTTGCAAGTGTTGACTCTCCAGTGAAGATTCGACCAAGTAGAATAGTAGTTCCTTAGATTTTGAAGTTTATAGATGTTGGATAATCCGAGTCATGACCGTCAGTGATTTGGTATATGGCTTGGTCGTTTTATTCCTTATGACCTGAAATTCAGGCCCAGGGTCGAAAGATGTTATAGAGAATGCGAGTGTGTGTACGGAGTACTACTGCTAGTATCAACCTTGAAAGAGGCAGTACTAGTAGCTAGTGTGCACTTTCCTATAACTCTACCAGTATTGATAAATTTCGTTTTAAGTACTAAATCCATATCACCTACGTCGAATGCCATACTACTGTAGTACATATGTAGATGCTGTGGGTAAATGGGTCGGGTCGGGTCGACCCATTTCCCATCCCATGGGACTCCCATGGGACTCCCATCCCATATCCCATCCCATATCCCAGTGACCCCCGAGTCTTAATGAAATTCTTAGTAATTTGAATTATTTGTGATCCATCTAATCCGATTTTTGAATTTTCTTTTCAAGTTCTCTTTTGAATCCCTTTCTCCTCCCAAATCAACTTCGACAGAATACCACATCAACTACTCCGTACTCTATCATTCCTACGGAGTGGACGTATTAAAAAAATTTTCAGCCTCCAGACTCCGACTCCTTTTTCATTCAACCACCTGGACAGCCTCTCCGTGTTATTCTTCCTCTCTGACCCGAGGTCGTTCCCTTGAAAAGTCTAAAGTGCTATTTTTATGACACTATGGGCTACAGAGAAAATGTGCTGTCGTGGCTCCAGACTGATTTTGGACGAGTCAAAGTTGGTCAGAGCAACCAAAATCGTCCGAGTCGCATGAATCCTTCTCAGTCCATCGTAAATGAGAGAAACGCACCACGGATTACCAATTATTTCGAGCGGACTGTATGTCTCTAGTGTCCCACTTTGCCTCCCTTTTCAGCAAATAGGAACATTCTATGCCAGGACAGTTCCTAGACTGAATCTTCAAGTTACTAACTGCTAAGTGCGTTGGTCTTATTTTTGATAGTCTAAACCTCCACACAAGTCACAAGAAGAGTGGGAAAATATCCAGGCTAGGATGATTCGAGAACTACCAGTTCGGGTTCTTGAGGCTACAAGTTTCTAAAACTTACTCACCGTAGATCAGGCTACCTCAGCTTGGTCCAACTTGGCATCTGCCAATACTAAACGGCAGAATCATCTAGCGCCTTCTTCTTCTTCTTTTGAAGAATGCAGAATTTCATAACACGTTGTGCTTTTGAAGAACAGCAAAAGGCTCTTTCCTCCCTGCCAGCAGATTCAAAGATGTCCATTTCATATGATTGCTGGATCTCTCCATCCTCGCAGTCTTTCATGGTTCTAACAGGCCATTTTATCGATAAAGATTTCGCTCTTCGTGAAGTCCTCCTTTACTTTAAATGCCTAGATGGAACTGAGACCACTTCCTGGAAGGCGAATGCTCTGATACAGACACTTACCGGTCATGGAATCCAGGACCGGATCTTTGCGTTGACAGTTGACACTACATTATCAAACAAAGAGACGTTTATGCTGCTTGATGCTATCAGTCATACTTCTCTCTCTTCTGATATCGAAATCCTCCGAACTCCCTACCTCACTAGTATTGTTAAACGATGCTTGAATCGGATTCTTAAACGCATCAAAGCTTTACCGCCCGATGAGATAAAACATTGCACTTTGATCAGGAGGAAATCAGTGTGAGCCCAGGCCATCGCGCGGGGTCATTTTCACGATATTTCGCATACCTTGAACAAGCTCCGCTATCTTCAAATCCATACGATCGAATGTCATGAGCGCGCAGAGACATTCAAGAACTTCCAAAAAGACATCAATGGAGAAAAGTTATTGCTCATTTCCGACGTCAAAACTCTGTGGAATTTGACTTTTCTCATGCTTCGTCGAGCCAAAAGACTTCGAGAGTTCATCGCCCCATTCTGTGCCCACTATGGCTATGAGAAACTGCTGTTAGACGATGAAGACTGGTTCCAGATTGACTATCTTCTTTGTGTTATGGAACCATTCGTCCAAGTCATGCATAATCTCACACGTGGTGGATATGCATCGATACAGTCTGTGCTGTATTATTACCAAAACTTGCTTGAGTCTCTTGCAGGATCAATGAAGCAGCTTTGAAAGAAACGGCTCCCTTGGAAAACGAAAATGCTTGAGTGTCTTGAATTCTGTCGAGAGGAGCGTGCAAATTATCATGAAGAGACAACTCGAATAGAATTTATGCAGTCCGTACCATGCTAGCACCCAATCTCAAGTTTCAATTCTTCTGTTCTGGTGATTGGAAAAAAGAAACTTGTGATATCTACCGAGACACCTTTGAAAAAGCTTTGCTTCGCTGCCAAGAGAAACTCGGACAGAACTCGTCGAAAAACTCCTTCCAGACTGGGTTAACGAAGCGTCAAGCCAACGGCTTGATAGCGGTAGGTGATACCTTTTTAGTTTGAGAACTCCTCGCGATCTTATACTTACATCTCTAGAACCACATAATGAGTGGTCACATAAAGACAGTATTGAGTTCTGGAAGAAGACGTACAATACCGCTCTTCGCCTCGTAAGGCTTGCACGGGTTTTTCTTCCGGTTCCAGCAAGTGGTGGAGCTGTTGAACGATTTTTTGATACAGCGCGACAAGCATCTTGCGACCTGAATATTCCCCACTGCTATTCTTGTCTGAATCCGAAGCGGCGTCCGATAACTGAAGTGTTCCAAAAACAGTTCACTTATACTTTCACGACGAGATTCGAGTTTTCTCCGGATCAATTAAAACAGTACAAGATATTAGTTGCTGCTCCGGAGGAGAGAGAAATTTTGACCGAAGAGGACTATATGTTGTGTCGTGGCCTTCCAAATGTGGAGGAGGAATTCTCTGGGAAATCAGTGATACTGAAGAGAAAGACGATTGTGCAGGTGATTGGGTTGATGGTGGTCTTAAGTTACAGCTGCCAGATGATAGTTCTCAGCGCCAGATGTCAGGACGAAAGCGCAAAGCTAGAGATGATGACTCGGACTCCTCCGAGTCGGATTCAAGATATCGGTATTATTGAAGTCATTCAATTATATTGAATATCAGTACGTCACTTAATATTAAAGCCCACGTCATACTACATGTGATTTTCATGTTTGAATGAGGAGTGTTTAAGAATCAGTCCATTAAGTAAAATATTAATAAGTGCAGCAATTTATGCATGACATCTGGAGTGGTAATATGTTCCGGAAATCTCCAACTGACTGAAATGTTCAACATGGTCACATACTAATAACAAATACACAAAAATCAACACAGCCTGACTAGGCAGGCTTGACACCGCCTCCTAGCTCACGCTCTCAATCGCTGTGGTATTCACTCCAAAAGACTTGGAAAACTCAGTCGAATGGATCTCACTAGACTGGAGACTGCTCTCAAAAACTGTAGTCTGGGATTGTTCACCCCAGCCCTCGTCGCCATCAGACGATGCCAAAGCAATTGAGGCACGGGCTCGTTGAGCAGCGGTAGGCTTGAGGAGAAACTGGGCTTTCTCGTAGGCCTCAGCAAGGAAACGCTCAGTTCTGAAGCCAGACTTCAACTCATCGTCCAGAATATCCACATAGGAATAAGCGGGGTGTCCTGCAATCGCCAGTCGCTCATAGGAGTCTTCACCTCCAAGTCTCCACTCGGGCAGAGTCTTCGAGCAGTGTCCAATTTGGTACTTGTACACAACATTGCCTTGGCCATCCAGCTCCCTCAAGCGTTGATACTTTCCATCGGGAGAAAGAGGTTTGTACAAGGGGTGCTTGTTGTTCTGTTTGTTGAGCTCCTTCATACGCTCAACTCTGTAGTTGACGACAGGATGAATGTACTCGAAGGTTTCACCCCCATTCTTGCCATCCTTCGGGGCATAATCTCCAGGTGTACGCCATTTCTTGCCATTCAGCCAGTACACAGATGTAAAGCTGTCCATGAGAATTCCTTCTCCCCAGCCATAGGCCCGGATACCTTTGTACACTGGGCTAGCCGGTGACTTGAGAGGGTGCATGATGACCGAAGCCGTGGATTTGGCAGTACTGCAGACCCAATCTCTAAATGATGACTTTTTTATAGCAGTAGCAGCCTCCCATTTGGCATATTCCTCATTCAACTTCTTAAGGTGGGCCTCGCGCTCTTTGAGTGAGTTGAGGATAAATCGCTCGTCGATTGAAAGGTGGCTCTTGATCTGGTCCAGCATCCATGAAAATGTGATGTTGGACATCTCTTCCATATCACCCAAATTTTCCAAGGTATCCGAGTCACCTCCACCGATGTTGACGTGGTAGCCGGGGAACCACACTTGTTTCAGCTCCGAGTGTACCTTAAGTCGGTCTTCGATCTTGACTCGTCGACGCGTCGTCTTGTTCCATGCTTTCGCAGTTTCGTTGACCTTGCGAGCGGCAGCATTAACCTCGTCGTCGGTGGCCTTGCCACTTGCCTTCAGAGCTTTCGCGTCTGAGAGCACCTTGAAGTATTGCGCTTTGGCAGCTTCTTCGTCCTTTTTCCTGGATTCCAAATCTTCGGGTGTGGCTTTCTTATTCGGGAGATACCATACGGAGGGGGTAAAACATTGGCGGTGTTCATCCAAAGCTAAGGCTTGGAAAGCGTGTCTAATGTCTTGAAGGTCATGAAGTTAGTACCATGTGATTACAAAACTGAATCATTGTCGGATCAAAAAATATTTCAAAAATGTACTCACTCGTCGATAAGCCAACATTGTGCCAACCGTCCTTTCCTGTGGATGGCAATTTGAACCCGAGTACCTCCGGCATTCCAATGGAACCGACAGTATCGAACACTCCAACAACCTCCACCTCCCTGGATCCTGGCTGAGCCCAATCACCCTCAGGAGCATGCTCGTAAAGGAACGTCCGATCTCCATCCTTCCCAGCGCCTTGGTGTTCATCAGCCTTGCCAAACATCCAATCAAACCAAAGATCACTGCGATCAAAGCGCTTTCCGTGCTTCAGCTTCTTGTACACTTTCCATAAGTCTGGGAATTTATTGAGGTCCGATTTCGAGCAAACACCGATATCCGAAATTAAACCAGCAATAGTTCGAGCGGTGTATGCGCCACGCGAGAAACCAAAACACATAATCTTGTCTCCAGGGTTGTAGTTGAGTACACAGAAGTTGTATGCCTCGATGACATTCCGCTCTACACCCTCACCAAATGCACCTTCAACAACATCTCCAACTGCACCAGCGCTTGTTCCAACTCCGGAATCATACCAGACAACCTGCTGCCATTGATCACCTTTCTCATCTGTCCCGGTGTGGTTCAGCGAGCGACAGAGACGAGTGACATTCGAGGGGATATTCTTTTCTCCAGATACAGCGGACTGCCAGGTCCCATCGCAGCAAATTACAATGCGCTTTCGGTTGGGGGCGCGGAGCGCATCCTTTCTATGACGGAGAACATAGTCCTCGCCAGGGAGGTCCTCGGCATGCACGGAAGCCATGACAAACTTCAAGTTGAAAGAAAAACAAAATATATAAAGAGACCTGGAAAGGGCCGAACAAAGCAAAGAGCCGGGATCGGGGAGAATGAAGAATTTGAAGCAATATATGGTGGGGGGGTTGGGAAGGGCTCCATTTTTCAGCCCTGCACAATTTCCACCCTGAGCTGAACGAACACGATCATTGGGGATGAGGGGCCGTGTTGGTAACACATCCATCAGCCACCGAGGTAAATATCGCCCTAAAATCCCCACTTTCAACTCGTCAGCATGAACTTGTGGAGCTGACGCGGGATTAGCTCCATATGTTGGACCAACTAGCGGTCTGTAATGCGGATGCCTCGACGCTAAGATGTTCAGCCGCTCCACTTGTGGGGATCTATTGCGAGATCCTGTTCGGCTCGCATCGCCTGTGGGTTTGTCACTAGGCCAATTATGGTTCAAGTATTGCAGATTATACGAGAACAAGAGTTCCTCACCGATATGTGCCGCTGTGGTCCCCTCATGCCAAGAGATCGAGTTCTCGATACAGATTACCCAGCAGCCCCAGGTGATCAGAGCTCCAGGTTATATGCAGCTCATACTCATCCTTAGGTCAACATGCACAAGTCTGACATAATTCAGTTTATTTGTCAACTGGTTCAAAGGATGAAAAAGGCCCCCTTGTCATGCCACGTGCATATGCACATCAATGGCCCCATCCACATGGGGGTGACTGGCCTGAATCTGCCTTGTACTATATAAAGGATAGGAGGCCTCAGGGCTGAAAGACTTGCGCCACTGCTCAGGTAATAATGATGATTCTGAGTCGCAATTTGAATACGATACTCCGTACTCCTCGCCCTTTCGTCTACTAGGTACTACTAGTAAGACTGGGACTTGGATCCCCCGACTCTGATCCTGATCACTATAAGACATTATGATATGACGATAGTCTATATCTCCACATGTGTATGATCGACATAAAAGTTGCAATCATAGTACTAGTCCCTTCTATACGGACATAGCAGAGAACACTAAGAAAATGATCTTTCTATAGGTACTTGAATCCCGTCATTCGAAATGTTTTATTCCAGGATTATACCTAGATAGCTAATCGTGGAATGCAGCTTCTATCTCTAGTTACTCTGTCGATGCTCAATCCGAGTCCATCATGATGGAAGGTTTGAATTAACTACATAAACCTGGCAGGCTTTGTACTACCAATTTGAATATGAGTAAAGACTCGTCCTGCTTCGTGTTACTTGTTCTGTCCACGTAGATCATGTGTAACCTTGGAATGGATGTCATTCGTCAGCTGCTACGAGTGGCTGTGGACCTTAAAATGCTGACATGCATTGTTCTCTCTGTACTACCAGGGCATCTTTAATCAAGCCCCAAGCTTCTACAACCTTGGAATTCAATGTTCTTCCATGATATTGATATCATAATGCAAATTTCTTTGATCATCTTTCATGTGTGATATTTCGAGAAATTTATCCTTGTCTTTAGATATCGGCTCTCCCCCCTTTCAGCATAAGAGACAATGAAACTGGAATTATTATGGGAAGCAGATGTATATAAGGACTGACTCTGTCCAGACCTGTTCAGGTAGAAGCCTGAGTTGGGCTCGAAATATCAAAATGTTGAATTCTACTCAACTTTGGAGTCATGGATAGACTAATACTGGGACTGGGTAGCAATAAAGGTAGTGGTCACAGACCTCGAATGATACTCGAGGTACTCGGATCTCACTTGGACAGAAAATGGAAATCAAGCAAACGTACCAAATATCATTCACTCGTCTGATAGGGGTCTCTCATTCACTCGCCGAGCAATCACTCACCTAGCAAACAATCACGTAGAATTCACTCACCCAACATTCACTGATCCAATCTCCCTATACCTTCAGACCAACTTTCTTCTTCATCCTCCCCAGACTTAACCTCGACATCCCCTCCCCTCAACTACCACGCACTGCTTCTCTCATCATGGAGTACAGCACCACTCAGCCTACTGGCCAGACCAAGGTCAGTATCATCAGATCACTCATCCCCTCTCAACTCATTTCAATTGCTAACCCTGATCTGAGGTACAAAGGCCATGACCAACTGGAAAGATGAGGTGAAGTGGGACTTGGACGATATGATAAGTCTCCGACAGGCCCTGCAGCACTGGGTCGCAATGGGCGTGACAGCCTCCATCATCGGCGAGTACCTCGTCGGCATCCTCTTCAACCGCGACTACCACCTCGACAACCGCATCACCTGGATGGCTCGAGCCAACTTCCCCTTTGTCACCATCGGGCTCGACATCCTTCAGTTCCTGCAGATTTGCGGGGAGGCGGGCTCTCCATTCTGGATCCCCGGCCAAGTCATCCTGGGCGACGTCCTTGCCTGTCCTAATGGACCCGCTACCTACTCGGGCCCTGCATATGAGATGGTCACCGTTCATGCAGGAGGTTTCGATGGCTCTGCCTCTATCACCGAGGCATCCAAAGTCCCTTCCAACTCAACCGCTGCAGATGAGATTGTCACGCCTCCTACAGTCGGCGCCGAAGAACCTGAGCCCGTCTTCCTCACCGCAGCCGTTTATGTCCCTCCTAAGGAGGACACGCCCCGTGAAGCCGTCGCCCCCAATGACTCCGAGCCTATCTTCCTCACCTCGGCAGTCTATGTTCCTCCTAAGGAGGACAAGCCTCTCACACCTGTCCCGGCCCCGAAGCCCGTTCGCCCCTTCGAAAAGCCGACCTTCCTGGCTGAGTCTGACGCCCACTATCGGACCAAGGAGCTGCCCTTCCGAACTGAGGCTGGGATCAAGGCTTATGTGGAGGAATTGAACAACCCAAAGCCAACAATTGCAGAGCGACGGGCCCTGAAGAGACAGCAGGCCGCAATGTGGCGTGTCTCTCCTGAGGATACGGTTTAGCATGGTTCAGGGGGTGGAGCCTTTGGCTCGAATGATAACTGTCCACGGAGAGGACACCAGCAGCACGATGGGTTTCTCAGTACTATTATTATCCTCCATCTTGCAAGAGGGGGCTCATCAAGGCTGATGAAAAATTTCTTGTCGTCCTTAGTTCAAATACCCTTATCCAATTAATGAAGGACTATTCATCTCCCATTTGCAAACATCATACTGTAGCAGCTTAAGAGCTTTTTAGGCCCCTGTAAATTATGTAACCTTTAATCTTCTCTTCGAAAAAGTAGATGTTGCTCCAATAAAAACATTTCTTGACCTCCATCCGTTCGTGTGCCTGCTTCTGTCTTGTGTAAAGAAGCTCTCATCCATAAGTATGTGCAGAGACTTATCATGATGTATGGGAAGCGGGACCTAATATTTTGCAAGGCTAGCACTGAGCAATTTGAATGCTGCAATACTAGTTCTTCATGAAGAATGACTGGAAAAAATACTATATGGTGTACTAGTATTCTGAGTTTATTCAAATGTCGAGGAGGGCTTGAATCTCGATTTCCATCGAGGTTCGTATACCTCGGATGTTATATAGTCTACTAGGGAAAAGAATTAGATCATTTAGTAGCTATATATGATTCTATGAATTAAACCAACATTCAGTTCAAGGTCAATAACTGAGGCCAACGTGAAGCCAGACATCTCCACCACTTCTCTTTACCAGGCTACATTTAGAGAGCTATGAGGGAATACGATGAAGCAAGATATCATTTACAGAAATCAGCTACACGCTACCATAGGTAGTACTAACCTTGGTCCTGGAAACTCTAAAATCTACTAAATGAAAGGCAGTAATTTCCAGGATGGGAACGAAGAACAAGAATCAAAATTCTCACAAACTAACTCCACGCACAGGGGTATCTGAACTCAAACTAAAACAAAAAAACGCAGACATAATCGAAGACCTCATCGGTGTGTGAGGCTTCACATGCAGAGGAACTGCTTCACAAGTCCCCGGACCAGCCAGGAAACTTCTCACAGCTCGGGAGCCTTGGAGCTCCAGGGGAGGGAGCGACGGCGCTTGCGCTCATCGGGCTTCTTGTTGGCGGGTCCCTTGGTCGCCTCAAGGGAGGTGGTAACAGTAGCAAAGGAGTCATGGGAGCCAGGGGCGACGACCTGGCGGAAGAGCTTCTTCGGGGTGTTGATGAAGACCTTCTTCATCTTTTTGATGAGGGTCGGGCTGGTCTTGATGGACGCCTGGGAGATGTTGGAGTTGGAGTCGTTGACTCCAACCGCAGCCTTGCTCTCCACAGGCTCAGGCATGCTGTCGTTGAGGTCAAGGTAGGAGACATCGGTGTCCGCAATGTTATAGTAGCGGGGGCTGCGGGTAACCGTCTGACGAGCTGGGTATGGGTGCACCGCACCGCTGTTGGCTCGGGCTCGGGCTCGGGCTCGGGCCTCACGCTCACGATCCTGAATGGCGAAGGACTCAGCGATGACTTCGGCTGTGAGCTGAGCCAGCTGGTCCTGGATGGAGAAGAAGCGGGTAGACATTGTTTCGTCTTGAACAAGGTAATAAGCGACAGGAATTGTGGATATGGATGTAGATGTATATGCGGCTGTCGTGTGCAAGAGGATTTTGGGAACGAGGTTGACGGAGGAAGAACGCCATCGTACGCTCGATAACCGCCTTTATAGCCTCGATCCGCTGTCGTCTTAACTTCATTAGGTAGCCGTGTTCATTGGGTGGGTATAGGATTCGTAGGCGACAGCGGAGTTGAAGCATTCACGCGTGGAAGGTGAATTCGGTGATTGATCCGACGTCATAGTTCATCAGTAATTCACGAGACAGACAAAGGCAGCCTCGACAAAAAGATTGATGATATAGTATCATGATACTGCGTGAATTTGAGATCTCTAGTAAGTGAATAGATTCGAATCATTCACGTTCAAAAGATAGTATTCAAATGTTTATACTTAGCATTCAGATTCTATGGAGGAGGTACCTAGTGAAGAGGGGAACCGTTAGGCAGTGTATTCTAGATACACGGGTCGATCCAGCTAGCATGAATGGATAACACCAACCAACATGTACGTTGTGGCCGGACTACCCCGTAGGGGTGGGATGAGAGATGTGTAGGAGTGTGTATTCTAGACTATAACGACGGGCATTCTTGTACGTACAAAGACGGGACTGAAAACATGACAAAACAGAGATGTAACCAAACGGTAATTCTTAGCACGGTACGTGTAGTAGGGGACAGGGTACCCCACTACACTAGGTAGTAGATTGGCGGTGCTTTGTAGCCCTATCTACCATGTTAGCAAATATGTACTGTGCAGACCAGGGACAAAGAATTTCAATGAAAACATTGATATATTGTTCAGACAGGAGAGTAGAAAGTAATATCTTAAAATTTAAAGTACATAACCCAAAGCCGAGTAACTTGATATAGTGCCATGACGCAAAAAGTACATGAGTGATTTTCTATTCACGGCAGCACCAGCTCCGCGAACAATGAACAAAAAGCCAGATAGTCTATTATAAAGACAACAAGTCTAGGCTGTAGCTGATCATCTAGATGGGATTTATATTGGGCACCGCCAGGCCCGGTGAGATGAGGGGGAATAATACAAGGTCAGAATGAAGGCGGGAAGATCAGAAAAGATATGTGCTCAGGTATGGCGATGAGCTTATTTCTTATTGCGGGCAGCCTGAGCCTTAAGGTACTTGGCAACCAGTTCCTTCCTATAAGTTGAAATGGTTAGTATGGATGATCAAAAATCTAAACCAAATGGAAAGATTGAAACTTACTGCACTTGAGAAGGAGCCTTCTCGTAGTGGCTGAACTCCATAGTGTATTCACCCTTACCCTGGGTGGCAGCACGGAGGTTGGAGCTGAAGCCGAACATGCCGTTCAGACTGCAGTCGGCAAAGATAGTGAACTCATCAATGCCGGTCTCAGTGTCGTTGATAGTAGCACCACGCTTGTTGAGGAGGGCAATAACATCACCCTGGAACTCAGATGGGGCAGTGACCACAGTCTTCATCAGGGGCTCCAGGATAGAGGGGTTACTGTCCATGAAAGCCTTGCGGAAAGCCTGCTGGGTGGCGTTCTTGAAGGCCATTTCGGAGGAATCAGTCATGTGGGTAGCACCATCGTTGATGACCATGCGAGTACCGAGAACCTTGTGGCCAACGAGAGGACCCTTCTCGCAAGAGATGTTGAAACCCTTCTCACAAGCGAACAAGAACTTCTCAGAAATACTACCACCAACAATCTGCTGCTCGAAGTTGTTCTCCTCGAGAGCACCAGTGGGCTCCATCCAACCCATAACACGGGCGAAATCACCAGCACCACCGGTCTGCTTCTTGAGCAGGTGGTCGAAATCGACACGGTTACCAATGGTCTCACGGTAAGCGACCTGAGGCTGACCGGTCTCACAGTCGACACGGTACTCACGGCGCATACGCTCGACGTAGATGTCAAGGTGGAGCTCACCCATTCCGGAGATGATGGTCTGCTCACTCTCACTGTCGTAAGTCACACGGAAAGTAGGGTCCTCTCTCTGGAAACGAGCCATGGCCTTGGAGAAGTTGGCAGCATCCTTGCTCTGCTTGGGCTTAATGGAAAGAGAGATGACAGGCTCGGGAACGAACATGGAAGACATGCTGTAACCCAACTGACCATCAGTGAAAGTATCACCGGAGGCACAGTCGACACCAAACACGGCACAAATTTCACCAGCACCGATCTCGTTAACCTCCTCCATCTCGTTAGAGTGCATACGCACAATACGGGGGATCTTGACCTTCTTGTTGTTACGAGCGTTGAACACGTTGGCGCTCTTGCGGAGGGTACCCTGGTACACACGAATGTAGGTCAATTGACCGAAGTTGCTCTCTTCCAGCTTGAAGGCAAGACCGACGAAGGGAAGAGAGTTGTAAGGAACAAGCTTGACAGAGGCTTCGTTACGCTTCTGGTCAAGAGCCAAGTTCTCAACCTCGGCGGGGTTGGGAAGGAAGTCAATAACACCATCCAGCATGGGCTGAACGGACTTGTTAGCAAGGGCAGATCCCATGAAGACTGGGCTGAACTTGAGGGCAATGGTGGAGCGGCGGATAGCAGCACGCAGTTGGTCCTCGGTGGGCTCAGCCTCATCAAGGAAGATCTCAGCCATCTCATCATCAACGTCGGCAAGAGTCTCAATGAGCATGGCGCGGCGCTCCTTGACAGTTTCCAAGAGCCTCTCGGGGATCTCATCAGTGACCTTGAGCTCAGTACCACTCTCACCAATGTTGTAGATGGCCTTCATCTGGATCAAGTCGACCACACCCTCGAACTCGTCCTCGGCACCAATAGGAACCTGGACGGCAGCGGCGGGCATCTTGAGCTTAGTGTTGATCTGTTCAATGGCCTTGAAGGGGTTGGCACCCATACGGTCCATCTTGTTGACGAAGGAAATACGGGGGACGTTGTAACGACGCATTTGACGATCGACGGTGATGGTCTGAGACTGAACACCAGACACAGCACACAGAATCATGACAGCTCCGTCCAGGACGCGCAGCGCTCTCTCGACTTCGATGGTGAAATCAATGTGACCGGGGGTGTCAATCAAGTTAATGTGGTACTTCTGGTCCTGGCCGTCCTTGTCCTTCTTGATCCAGTCACAGAAAGTGGCAGCAGACTGAATGGTGATACCTTTCTCACGCTCCAAATCCATCGAGTCCATCTTTGCTCCAACATTGTCACGTCCGCGGACTTCGTGGATAGCGTTGATTCGGCCGGTGTAGAAAAGGACACGCTCGGTACAAGTAGTCTTACCACTGTCGATGTGGGCCTATTATGGATATCCATCAGATAAAATTCGGAGGGGAACTTGGGATCAAAGGGGTGCTATGTACCGCAATACCGATGTTTCGAACTTTGTCCAAACGAGCAGCCTCGATGGGGTCAAGGTTGTCGATAATGGCGGCTTGTGACAGGCCATCCGGGTTGACCGCAGCAGCCTCGAGACTTGAAGAAGTGTTAGGATGTATCAAAAGGAACTTCAGGGATAAAATACTAACACTGCAGAGGCAGTAGCAGAGGCAGCGGTGCGACGTTGCTCCCAGGTTCTCAGGAGTGACTGATAAGCCGGCGCGACAGCGGAAGACCGCAAAGCAGCCGTAGATGCGCATCGGGAGTATAGCAGACTCTGAGATTGGAAACGAGAGGATCTGGCCAAGCCAGACACCGCACGGAATTGTAACCGTGCAAGAGAAGGAGACCTCATGGCGACTCTCAATTCAATACCGAATTGATCGAATCAAGTCAGATTGATTCGCGCTTGTTTGTTCCAAGAAAAAAAAAGTTCGGGGAAGCCAGGAACCCGCCACGTGACTATTGGCCTGTCAGGGCCGGGGTATTACATTTAATGCAAAGAATCTAGACAACATTTGAAGGCTATTCAAGGATTGAAATTGTGGAATTGACGAAAAATATAAACAGGCTCGAGAACGTCGTTTGGAAGTCAGGATCCATCCATATAATACCAGTGATCAATTGAGTTGAATTGATTCAAATTCAGTAGGAAGACCGTATTTTGGTCCAGAGACTATTGTACAAAAAAAGACCCAAGCGCCGCAAGAATTTCCCAATATAGCTGGGCTGAACACATATGCAAATTTATAGGCAGAGGCGGGAATCGAAGGTATCAAAGACATGCATGCCGTGGAAAGAATATGGAAGTAAAGATACCTCCACTCTATTTCCCTTGGCGCTGCTTGTGCTTGGGGTTTTTGGAGCTGGAAATACGAATGTCAATCAATTGAACTAGAATAGCTTTGATAGTTCAAGATACAAGACTCACCAGATGATATAGACACGGTTCTTTCGGCGCACAGGCTGTAGCAGATGGAAGTCAGTATCTGGTTGTTATTTCTAACACCACGGCATTCATATATCCCGAGGTCCCATTTTAGATTCGGGAGAAAAAGTGTATATATGCATTGGAGTCGTACCTTGCAACCATCACAAAGTCGCTTGACAGAGGATCGAGTCTTCATTCCCCGGACCTGCTCAAGCTGCCGGGAGGAGCCAACAGCAGCGGCGACAGCATTGCTGGTCTGTGATTGAGCGCGGAGCCTCACTAGGCCGTTCTGGATCATATGCGAGAGAGGACCGAGAGAAGCGACGCGAGAGAATGACCGGCGAGAGACGGAGGGAGGAGTTGGCGGAGAGCACCGGGGGCGCGGAGCACACTTTGAAGGGAGAACATGATGGCGATTGAGATGTCGTCAGGATATGAAGATTTTAAAGGCACACAGCCTCAATTTTGAGACTCTGAAAATTGAGATAGCGACACGCAAGAGCAGCAGTCGTTATTTGGCTACCAGGGTGCTCGCCGTTGATGCTGGAAAGAATGTTGCTCAGTGCCGGAGATTGAGGTTTTGCCGAGCCGATCCCGCAACGATGCTGATTGGTGGATCTGCAACAATACTTTATTTGTGCTAAACTAGAGCAACAAGACAACAGGATATTATACTCTAATATAATAGATCATTCGGGATAAATTGGCAGGAGGAGCTATGATACAATCGAGGTCATCACTGTTCCGTAGTCTATATTGAAAACCAAACGCCAAATGAAGCATTAAGAAGGATTTGCACTTTTCAGTCGCTGAACAAGAAAATAAAAGAAAACAAAGAATATAAGAATGTCCATCATGCCCGCCTGTCTCGGCTGTAAATAAATAACTTCGAAAATAAATATACTGCGCAATTGAAATATTACTAACGCAGGAAAGTTTGGTAGGTAGGGGAATCAGTCTGCTCGCTGAACGGGTAACCCAAATCCCGGAGGAATGACTCGAGGTCATCTTTCTCCCCAGATGGACACTGGATTCCAGCCAGGACCTTACCCACATCACCCCCGTAGTTGCGGTAGTGGAAAAGAGAGATATTCTGGTTCGGTCGAAGAGTGGTCAGGAACTTAGCGAGGGCACCCGGTCGCTCAGGGAATTCGAACATGAACAGTCGCTCATCCGCCACATTTGAACGACCTCCAACAAGGAAGCGGACATGGCGCTTGGCGAGCTCGTCATCGCTCAAGTCGCGAGCAGCCATTCCTGACTTCTCAAGATCCTCCATGATCTTTGCCAAATCTTCACGGCCTGTAACCGCAGACAGCGAGATACCCATAAGAACATCCGCATAGTCGTCTTGGGCATATCTATAGCTGAAAGCAGTCACGGCGTGGGGGAGGATCGCCTCGATAAGCTTGATGAAAGCACCTGGCTGCTCGGGAATCTTGACACTCAACAAAGCCTCCTTCTTCTCCCCGAGCGCAGCCCGTTCAGCCACGAAGCGCAGACGATCAAAATCCATGTTAGCACCGGAAGTGATGGCGATCAGCTCACGGCCAGTGTCGGGGTTGGGGTTATTGGCAACGTATTTCTTCAGACCCGCGAGAGACAGGGCACCAGCAGGCTCAATGACCGATCTGGTGTCCTCAAATGCATCCTTGATAGCAGCGCAGATCTCGTCGGTGGAGACCTGAACAATCTCATCAATCACGTCACGAGCCACACGCCATGTTTCTTCGCCGACTGACTTCACAGCAGCGCCGTCGGCAAAAAGACCAACCTCCTTCAAGAAGACACGCGTGCCCTCATCCAATGACTGAGCCATAGCATTGGCATCATAAGCCTCAACACCGATGACCTTGACATGTGGGGCAATGCGCTTCAAGTATACACCAATACCGGCAATCAGACCGCCTCCACCAACACCGCAGAAAACGGCTTCCAACTTCTCCAGGTTCGCCTGGCGCAGCAGTTCCATACCAATTGTACCCTGACCAGCAATCACATAAGGATCATCGAAAGGTGGGATGTTGGTCAGACCGTGCTGCTTCTCCAGTCGGTGAGCCTCGTCCTTAGCGGCATCGAAATCGTTTCCATGCAGAACCACACTGCCTCCGAGGCGGGCAACATTGCGGTGCTTTATAGCAGGAGTTCCTGAGGGCATGACAATAGTTGCAGGGATTCTGAGCTTACGGGCCGAATAGGCGACACCCTGGGCGTGGTTTCCCGCCGAGCAAGCAATCACACCTTTCCAACGTTGCTCGGGGTTCAAGTGAGCCATTTTGTTGTAAGCGCCACGAAGCTTAAAGCTGAACACTGGCAGCAGATCCTCACGCTTGAGGAGGACTCGGCTCTCCAATCGGTTACTCAAGTTGACGGCGTGGTGCAGAGGGGTTTCGTCGATAACATCGTAAACGCGGGAGGTTAAGATCAGTCGGAGGTACTAATTATGACTTCGGTTAGCATTAGGACCAAATAGAGAGGATATGGGATCGTTCTCACATCCGGGTATCCTGTAGGCAACAAGCATGACTCTGGGATTCCCCAGTTCGGGGGCAGACCAGGGAAATGGGGGTTGCGCTCGCAGGGAGGCGTTGGAGCGGCGGTGTATTCGGTCAAGGCCAATCCATTCATTTTGGGAGTGACGGGCCTGGTAGCGCCGTTGGTGACGAGACTTTCAGACATTTTGGAATTACGCCCAAGAACGCCAAACAAACAAGTTCAATGGCTCGAGGGTGGTGAATGAGATGATGGCAAATTCCTTTGATTCTGTGACTCTTTTTTCCTGCGGGGGACCGGGATCGGCCTTATGTCATCAACCCTGGTTTATAGCCCTATTCAATGTTTAAGCCTGATAGAGGTGTTTCGATTGATCTTTAATTATTTGAGATTTCGAAGTTTTTTATAGGTACATGAATTTTTCCAATTATATCACCTATGAAGTTTTGATCCTGGTTGTGTCCAGGTTCAAGTTGTCCTTATTACTAGTAGTTCTCATACTATATCCGAGTCCGAGTCGGAGTTCGTAGTAGCATATAGCATAACTTGTAGTATAGTATGTACTAGAGATCAAACTGCAAATACAATTCAATTATATAACTTGTTCTTTGACTGTAGTATTGAAACAAATGCAGAATGTTCAAATAGTTTATCTTCAAAATTTATGCGCAACCAACAATTCTGAAATCGTTAATGCTTGTCCACCGCAACTTGGGTGGTCCGCTCCGACTACTCAAGCCGCGAAAAACCTCCTTGGCAAAAAGCTCGCGACGTCATGCGATACTGAACATCTCTCATTCGCCCCCGCTAATCACATCACCCGCTATCAATTCAGTGCATATACAGCAGAATACTAGAAGAGCTGTTTTTACTGCCGCTATTCTCCTACTTTCCACGAAAGAGTCTCTTGAAAACTACCCAATTTGAGCTTCGATTACCTCAACCATCAAGAGCATTCAGCTCTACACTTCTCTGCCATTATGTCTCGCGAGCCTCTACCCCCCTCCACAATGGAGACAACCACGTACGTTTGACTTCTTCTGATCCTACTGAAGTTTCAGACCAATCACCGAACACGGTGCGCGAAGTGCAGTGAATCATGGCTAACATGCATTGCCCAATTCCAGGCAATTCCAAGAGGAAACCGGCATGCAAAAATTCACCCGTCGTCTTAAGGAAGAGCCCCTGGTCCCACTAGGTATGTATTTTCTCCAAGATTCCACTTTATGGATCGCATCATCGCCCTCAAAGTCCCAATCAAAGTACTCACTCTAATCCCTTCACAGGATGCGCCGCTACATGTTATGCCCTTTACCGAGCCTACCGATCCATGAGAGCCGGCGACTCCGCCGAGATGAACCGTATGTTCCGCGCACGTATCTTCGCCCAGGCATTCACTCTGGTCGCGCTAGTGGCCGGTGGAATGTATTACAAGGCAGAGCGAAAGCAGCGCCGGGAATTCGACCAGGCGGTGGAAGAGCGCAAGTCCCAAGAGAAGCGCGATGCATGGCTTCGTGAGCTGGAGATCCGTGATAAGGAAGACCGCGACTGGCGTGAGCGTCATGCTGCTATTGAAGCAGCGGCGAAGGAGGGTGGCAAGCCTCCTGGTGAACCGGATGCGGCTCGTGCGTCTATCGAGGCGGGCGATGAGAAGAAGGTTGGAGTTTTGGATGCCGTTAAGGTCTTGCTGTCACAAAGAAACAACTAAGTGGTTGTGGCATGTACAATAGTAGTGTTTGGTCTGTATTATTTGTATATAGGGGCTCCGATCTCCCCCAGCATGTTCTATGTTTTGAGTTTGGGTTGAAATCTGGTTAAGTTATTATGAAATCACATCTCTTTCATTCTACTACGGACTTCCTGGATTTCAGACTCATACATTGAAGTTTCTTTCAAGTTCGCTCCAGCAGGAAAGCTGGTGGCGTGGTCGGGATGTCATCGGGAGCTTGTCTTCTACATAACTTCTCTATACTTCTTCAAGGCCATTACGGGTCGATCAACCGCGATAACATGATCGCAGAGTTTTTTTCAACGGCCAGTCAAATGAACCGAACCCTACTGGTTACTCAAGGAATTGAAATGTTACTTACTAGTAAAGCCATCGGCGCAACCGAAGTGTGATCGCCGTTGCGAGAATTTGGTCCGTGACTCGGCCTCGGTTCATGTGAGATCGACACTTTAGCGCCATTACTATTGACTTAACACAAGCCGCACTTTGTTAGCAGGGACTAAAATTCAGATAACGGGCTTACAGGATGTGACTATTGAAAGCCATTTACGAGGTTATTTCTCTCAATGGCGGGAATTGGACTCTACCAAAGTATACAGCTTCAACCCTGGCCCCCTGTGCATTGATATTGAGGTGCCGAGGTGTCACTGCTTCTTGATGATTCCTATGGACCCGGAAAGCACCCGTGAACACGCTGATTTTTATAGTTTCAAGCTCGAATGGACTAGAACAAGGTCCCGAAAAGAGACCGGTATCCCATGCTCCACTATACACGGGTTTGTCCCTAAGACCCTGCAGGTCTCTCCGGCCCCGACTAACTAGACAAATCATACCATGACGTCTTGTCACGCTATTCACGGCCTCGGTTTAATGAAATTTTTGCTCGCAAGCATTGAGTCCTCTATATAAGCTTTGGATTCCCCTAACAGAAGTGGATCTTGTTGTCCATCACATGCGATACCATTTCTAACTGAGTGAACATTCTCATACTTGACTGTTGAATCGACCTCCTATGTTGTCTTTGTTTGATCAATTCTATCCATTTCCAAAAGAAAGCAATCCACACATACACTCAAGATGTTATCCTGGGTATACCCAATTCGAATCGTCCAGGCCCTCTTGGCCTTGGTGACTATCGGTTTAGCCTCATATGGCGCAACAACTCCATTCAACAATGTTATCTACTTCATGCTCTTCACTGGATGCTGGACAACCGCAATTGCTGTTCCATACCTAGGCCTTGCACCGCTTTGGATCCCACGCATCTCACACGAGTTCGTCATTCCCGCCGTGGATTTAATCACCATGGCACTCTGGCTTAGCGGCTGGATCGCCGTCGCCGCGCTGATTCCACACCCGAGCGCATGCAATGGCGCGTACTGCGAAGCTTTGCAAGCTCAGATTGTTATTGCTGCGATTGAATGGTAAGTAGATTGTCTCAATACTTCAGAGGGACTTTGGATATGTCCTAACTTGCTATAGGGCCCTTTTCCTGCTTACGAATATCTTTGCTCTTCTTGATGTGAGAAACTCTAGAAGTAACCGCCACATGCATGCTCGGGAGATTGAGCAGGATCAGCCTCCTGTCTCCCAAGTGGATGCGGCGGAAAGTGCTTGATCCGAGAAACAGTAGAAGAATCCTGCTGTTGTCTATTTCTGATGATGATGTACTACTTGTGTGAGACCACTATGGCGAAGATGAATATACGATGAAATGGGTTTCTGATGGACTTCAAGTTCAAGTTGGCGATAACTTGATCACAAAGAACGTTCTTGTGCTAGACTATACCTATGTATCTAATGTGTTTTTGATCGGAATATCTTGATATTCATAATAAGATAATGGAACTTTGAATGAATTTTTGATTCTTATACCGAAAGAAAACAATTTATATCCAACAAAAGATAATGAAAGCGACTCTTGGTATCATCTCGCTAAGACTCGCAGTCCAAGGAAAAACAAAGTGAAATCGTAAAATTGCACACCAATTGAGCATTTATCCTAAATCCATCCCATCGTATTCAGGAGGAAGGTGGACGGGAGAAGATCCGTTCTGGTGATATCCCAGAACCTCGGCGTACATGATTGTTTTCCACACATCGGCGGACAGGGTCGCATCAAGGAATGACCAATCGATAATCTCATTTGCGACTGGCTCGTCATCCGAATCATGGTATGGAGCAAGGTATTGCGAAGTGAGGGCCTCGCCGGCAGAGGGTCTCTTGCTGGGATCATATTGAAGCATCTTATCCAAAAGCATCGTAGCTATAAAATGTCAGTATTCATTCATGTTCTTTGGATACCTTGTCTAATACATACCTTTCATGTTGACTCCTGGAATGAGAGCCGACCAGGGCTTCCGGGAGCGTTTAGGTAAAGAACGAACAAAATTCTTAGTCTAGAGAGCGATCGTTAGTAATGATAATAGTAGACGGACTCCATGCAAACATACATTCGGACTGGTAACATTCGCAATAACATTGTCCGGTGGCGATCCAAGCAGTTTGGTAATCACGCAGAATTGATCAATGTGGTTCTTTCCAAGGAATAGAGGCTGTCCAAGTAACATCTCTGCAAAAATACATGCCGCACTCCAGATATCAACCTTCTCATTGTATCTCCTCCAGGTGAGCATAATCTCGGGGGCTCGGTAGTACCGGGTAGACACATAACCGGTCATTTGTGCGTCCGTAACGCGGGCTAGACCGAAGTCACAGATCTTCAGGTCGCAGTTTTCGTTAATCAGGATGTTGCTGGGCTTAAGATCGCGGTGGACGACACCAGCTGAGTGGACGTATTTAAGACCGCGCTGTAACATTTGAAGCAGTTAGCTTGGATTCAAGGTCGTGGAATTTCATTCTACATACCATTATCTGGTACATGAAATATTGCGTAAATTGATTGTCCAGTTTCTTACTCTTTAAAAGAGTATGGAGATCTGTTGCCATAAGATCCGTGACGAGATAACTGAATTGATGGGTTAACTTTGGTCTAATCGTGTACCTCGCTCAATGATGAACCACATACATATCTTCAGAGGGCGAAATAAAGATATCGGTAAGATGAACGATCTAGTTATAATTAGCCGGATTCATAAATATTGACCATGTAAATTTCGACAAACATTGTCATGTTTGAGTGTTTTCAACAATTTGACTTCTCGGTACATGTGTCGCGCGATGTTTTCTGTTTTGAATGGATTGACAAGCTTCTTGACAGCAATTGTTCGGTTTGAGATCTGATCTCGTGCGGAACTATAGAAAAAAAATGACCTGGTAAGCTTCCAAGGTTCTGTGATATTATAGAAGTGGGGCGATTCTCTCATACCAGACTAGACCGGAGACGCCAATGCCAATTGGTTCCAACTTAGTATATCTATAAAAAAACTCGGCGTTAGCATACAATGCTATGAATATCAATGGATATCAATGGATAGGTCTATAAACGAACCGCTCGGTAGTTTCGAATAACGTGCCTAGGATCGATTTTTGAGTGAATTGGGCCATCTCCTGCCCAGGAGTGGATGATAGTATGGGATCTTGACCCAACATGATAGGATCTACTGTATTGAGTACTGGTAAGAGTGCAGCTTGCATGAGTTTGAATACTGTTGGAAGATAAGCTAATATTTGGCAATTGTTTGAGATAGTTGTTTGTAGAAACTTGAAAGAAAAGACATTCAGGGGAGAACTGGCTGCTTTTTTATTGAAAAGACCACATGATCCACACCAGTTCTTAACAGACATATGGTGGCAATAATCCGCTTTGACATCAGCGCCTCATACGCAGCATGCACGGATTTATTGAAGCCTGTCACAGTGCCTCAGCCACAAGACAGCTTGGTTCGCTGAGCATCTTAAGCCCCACATAAAACCCGCTGTTACACGTATTGCGAGTGGTCGGCTCATTGCGCCGACTAATGGTGGTGGGCCTCTTCGACGTGCCGCATGTGGCCCGCTCAACCCGATAGAATCGCACCGTGGGATGGTCGTTCTGGTCTATGATCTATGACTGGCTTATGAACCCGCCGCATGGATCGAAGAATCCTCTCTTTCCGTCTTGAAGGAAGGCTGCAGATGTGGGTTTCCACGAATAGAGGGCCGGTTGACCTACGACGATCAATGGAGTTCTTTTTCTTTACAGCCTGACCTGTTTTGTACCTTGTTTGTACTTCACCTATGGAGTAGTTACCGGACGATCATTATGCACGAGCATCAATTGATTCATTCTTGTAGAATTGTATTCGTGTTCTTGTGATTAAGCTAGGGATTTGTTTTATCATATATTGTACATAATAATTTGATTTGGTTGACTCCATCAATGACATCAAGAGTCAAGATCATCCCCACAAGTGACAAATGCTCCAGAATTTTCAACATAGTATACACATCAACGCCAGCGCTTATTAAGAATTATCTCCACTAAACTGAGACCATTGACTTAATCGGCTTGAACAAAGTTATCAAACATGAAGTCGGGGAAATCGTCATATAGATATGCAGTCTTCTCTGGCATCATCATCGTCGGAGTTGCGTCTGGAGGATTGGCTTCTAGGAAAAAGTCCCCGTCTCCGAGTCCACTTGATTTATCCGATACTGTACTCGCAGAGAAAGTGGGAGAAGGACATTGAGCAGCTCCGATAGTATTCTGTGCAGCACGTTCACTGTACTTGGCAAGTTGGAGATTGATTTGTGGGTCGTCGCAGGATACATGGTCGAAAATTATGTTCTTGAGATGCCAGACCTGCTCCTTAAGGCAATCGATTGTGGAAATAAGAGCATCGTGCTTCTCTGTTTCTTCGATGAGAGTATGTTGGATCTCCTCTTGTCGCTTCTTCTTCTTCTGGCGACATTTGTTCGCGGCAACTCGATTGCGCTCGAGGTGTTTTGCTCTCTCAACACTCGTATTCGAATAGCGCCTTGAAGATCGCCTTGGAGCTGCTAACTGAGGATCGATATTCGGGTCTGTCAATTCGTCATGCATTTTTGGCATGCGAGGAGGCAGCATAGCCGGAGAATCGAAAGTGAACAAGTCTCGTGGGTTGAGAATGGTAGCAGACATGATTAGATTGTGGTGATCAATTGAATAGAGCCCTGGAGATTATTATAGTATTATAATAGATAATAGTAACATCAAGTTTCCAGATAGTATCAGTCATATTTTGGCGATGTCATCTATTTATTCAACATTAACTCCTCATTTGTTTTGAGTCAAGTTATCTCATCAAGTTTATTCTTCATTTTACCATGTTGGGAGGATTCGATGACGTAGTAAAATGCCAGGTGCCACAGGTTTCAACATTTTTGAACATCGCCACCATCGTTCAGATTCGTTCTAGAGCGGAGATCTCTGCCACGGATGACCAATAACAAGGTTAATTTCCGGTTTCAATTTGCAAGTCATAATGGCAAGGGGCCGATTTGGAAAATGCCCGGGGAGAGCTCATACAGGGTTATGATTGATGGATTCTTCTCCGGAGATCTGATGATACTTAAGAACTTGGCCCCACAACGTTAACAAGGGGTCTACTGTCAACTTGAGCGCCCCTCAAGCCTCAAAACACTACTCTTTGTTCCTAATGTGGTTTGTTCCTAATGTGGTTAATCGTTAATTTATAACTTTCGGTTATCGCCACTAAATCTCCGAGTATCGACTCAGGACTTTACTGCCTGTTTTCGCCCCCAGTCAGTACTGACGTAGTCAGGTTCTGTAGTACCTGGGACTTTTCTTCTCAGATACTGGATTTTGTCTCACTCAAGCGTTAGGTTAGTTGAATATGGATTAGATAATGCACTTGTTAGAGACGGAATGACGATATAAATGCATGTATCTCTCTCGGCCTCCGAATTCAAGGGGCAGTATCATGACAATAAAATCCATTTGGTCTGATGATTATCCTGGGAAGGAACCGTTGGGATTCAGGGAGAACAGAGGTGAAAGTTTTCATTCTGACGAGGCACATGACCAAAGTCGATGTAGTATTAGAATCATAGGATGTGAGGTAAAGGATTTAGGTACAACGAAAAGAGCTGAGAGATACCACGAGCGTCAACCAGCGACTTGCTCATCAATATACCTCCTCATCATATCGAATTCTGCTTTCCCGGTCTGTACAAAATTAGAATTAGTATTGAGAATCAAGTGGAAACCAGTGGATATAGAGAAGCAAGACCCATACCGAGACCAGGTATCTTATATGTGGCTATTATGGTGATATTAGCACGTAGTCTGATGAAAAACAAATAAGAACAGGTTCAACTCACAACATCCGTCACTCCACGATGTCTCTCAAATTCAGCTCTGGCATAAGATTGCAGCTCCTCCCGAGTTGATGAAGGTGGAATCTCTTTTCGAGTTCATTAGTAACAGAATGGAAAAGGGTGCCCAAAGACCGAAAGGAGTGCAGTAGGACACATACTATGTATGGCCCTGACGATCTCGCGCCATAATGCCAAAACGCGCTGTCTTTGAATAAACTATTGATGCGTTAGCGATGCCGAGGCTCTTCTATGGAGGATATTGAAGCGTGAATGAAATCATTCAGCTTTCGCGTAACTTACATGGTCGAGACTGATCGCGGGTTTCTTCAGCTTTGAGGGCTGGCTGCGAGAGACTGCAGCTAGCGCGCTTATTGAGGGCCGCATAATGTGAATTTCATATCACGTCTAGTGATAGTTCGTTGTCTATTGGTGAATATCGTGGAAAGGGCAGATGAGGCGGTCGAGTCCGAAATTTGGATATTGGTATTACTGTATTATTGACTCCACGTGACAGTTATCTCACTTTGTGCGTTATCTTACGGTACTGATGGTGTAATTATCTGCTATAGGGGTTTCCAGGTTAGATTGGGCCAGGCCTATAGAATGACCAGAATTACTAGAGAAAAGATTCATAAAACTATTAAAAATGAAGACTTTACAAGGTCCGGGGAAGTATTGAGTTTTGACTAATCTTCAATTCTTCGAGTCAGAAACTAGAAACAGATTGGATATCATAAAACAAAACACCACAAACGCTTTAATCAAGTTCGATAATAGGTACATCCTGTGATGCAGCTCGCGGTTGAGAGGGTTGAGGGGCCGGAGACCGCGAAGGCTCTGGAGTTTCTGAAGGTAATACATAATCAAATCCAGAATGGCACCTCTTCATGTGTAGCTTGAAGTTCCAGGTCCGCGCGAATCCACTGAGGTTACGTTTGCAACCAACGATTGGGCAAGTAATATTAGGTTTCCTATTCGCAGGAACAGTGCCGAAGCCAGGGTTCTTGTCCCCAGCGAGTTGCTGTTGTGGCTTTGAACTGGATGCCACGGAAGAAGCACGAACGGCGGGGGGGTGCAGGTTGTGGAACTGGTTGTGGGATTACAACCACCGGTGGAGTCATAGCTGCACGGGAGCGCGAACGAGAAGCCTGAGGCTGAGAGACTCCTGGCCCCTTCGAAGTGTCTCTGCTTATGGTTCTGCGCTTAGGTTGCCGGTTGAAGTCGCTGTCGGAGTCTTCAACATAGCCATATGTATAGGTGCTGTCTGGTAGACGGTCCAGCCGCTCTATACGGCCTTCGTGGAATGTCCGAAATGACATGTCTTGTTCGAATATGTCGGCACATCGCTTTGAGGTTCTCTCAACAGCATTAGATGGCAAACCCATTATCGAGGCGATGCCCATAACCTCGCTCCAATCGCGCAGCAGAAGCCTGTCCATCATTCTCTTACGGGCCTGGTTTGGCGTTTCTCCAGATTGCGTATCATCATCTGTTGCATCCATATATGGAGATGACCGTGACGATGAGGCTCGACTGGCGGACGGTTGATCGAGGTTTGACTCTTTCCGTCCCCGTTTCGTACCACGCGATTGGTCTTGCTTCTGACCTTTTTGTTTAGAGCGTGAGTCCGATCGCGACCGCGGACTTTCTTCATCTGTGTCGGTTGCCGAGTCATCACTGGAGTCCATATCGTTGGTTCGATGTCGCAGGAATGGTGGAGCCCCATTAAAAGCTGATCTAATTGTGAGATGACAGTGCGTGACAGAGGTCGCAGTTGACGATGTAAGATATCTTCATCGGTTTGCATGACAGGATGGCGTGGCGGAGATTGAGGCTTTTTGGGTTGAGGCTTTTTGGTTTCCTCATTCTGCTCGTTGTCATCTTTTGCAGCTTCGTCATCAACTATCGCATTGGGATCGGGATCGGTTTGATTGGCCTCTTGGGAATCCTTCACCTCCTTCCAACCCGATTCCCGAGCCATGTATGTTTCTTTGCCTACCCTCATCATGGTCGCCATGATCCACTCCTCTAGCTCTGCGCTGGGACGTGTGTCTGGTTCCATTCGATATGTATCAAATCCATCCAATCTACGTCGAAGATTCTCATCGGTCCGAGGAACTGAAGCAGAAGTCATAGGCCACGCTATCCATTTCTTGCGGAATGCCCTTGTCTTTTCTTCGTCTGAATCATCAGCGTCCGAAGGCTCACTCTGATCATGGTTGGATTTTTGCCGAATTGCAAATGCATCATACAGATGCCCAGACAGGTCATTTGCACGAAGGGCCCGAAGAGAATTATAGACACTTCTCTCCGCAACGATAGCCTGTCGGTAATTGGTTGCGTGTCCTATCCATCGGTTTGGACGCGCAACTCCGGGTGGCAGATCGACACCTCGATGTACAACATACGTTGGCTGCTGCTCTGTACCAAAGGAACGAGTTTGTCTGGTTGAAAAAAATTGGGATTGAGCGACGCTTCGCGAAGGCTTGTGGGTCTCGTCGTCACTGTCATGAAAACTGTCACCGTCGGAGCCGTAATAGGCGGCCAACGGTTGTTCGCGAAGGATCAAATCAAGTTCAGTTTCCTCTCCCTGTGTGACATCTTGTTCCATGGGATCCGACTGGATCTCCTGTCTCTGAATTACATCCTGAGAGCCGGGGCCACCAAAGATAGACCTCCGAGGTGGCTCAGGCAGTGAAGATGGCGGTGGATCAGCATCACTGCTAGGTCCACCAAATAAAGAGCTTCGTACTTGGGCTGACTGAGGTGGTAAAAATTGGGAAGACGATGTTTGATGGTTATCTGAATATGAGGACATGCCTCAACTCTGTAGTGGAAATTTCGTAAGGTTTATGCAGCCTTATTCTGTGGTCATAGCACAAACGCCAGATTTGGACTTCAATAATTCAGATTCGACCACTGGTGATAATAAGGCATCACATAAATCCTTCCGACCGCGCAAATATACGGACTTTGAACACTTGTTGCCAATTCATGAGGACGCGAAGAAGATCGAGGTTATCAAAAATTCATGAAAGTGGAGCCGGTCACGTGAGCCAAACACATCAATCAGACATGTGATTGGACGACGATATGATATACTAACCCGAATTCGGGTATTTACTAGATCCACCTATTAACCTTGGAATGTATGCTCAGAGAATGTTGATAGGATATCTATCTGAAATTATTGATTATTTGAACTAAATTTGTGCAGTGACCAAGGACCCGGAGCTTGTTTGAGTCCATCATTAAATGAAATATATCCGGGAATCCGACTCGGAGCTCTGTAGTAGTGCCAAATTTTCGAGTTACAATGTACTCCGAGTCCGTACTAGTACTATGGATATTTCTGTGCGCAGCAGCAGTGAACATCATGATGAAACTTGAACAAACTTCAACCTTGGAAGTTGAATGTGGATGCGTTGAAAGAAAATTCTAGGATCGGAAGCTCCATGAGAGTAACACTAGTATGCAAATACCGGAACCGAGAGATCTGTTGCAATATCCGGTCGAATGTGCTCCTTAAAGCCTGAGACCCCAGAATCACTGGCAGGTAATATCTCTCGAAGTCGATATCGCAGTGGACTCAAAGGATTGACACTGATAGTAGCGATGACTGCTGCATGATCTCGCAATACTTTGGTAACAGTGAGATGTGCTTCTCCAACAACGAACTTGGCACCCTGAAGCAATCCCGAAAGTGGTCTATGTTCAGTGAAGCTCAGGATTCGCGTCGCCAGAATAGTTTGCCGAAGAGAGTTGGAATGCTTGTCTTTACAGGGAAAGCGGCATGAGCGCATAAAGGCCTGATCCGGAGACTCTAGACATCTCTGACTGAACACTGCAAAGCTTGATGCATCACGCGAGTCCTTCACGACTCGGAACCAGTGATGGAGTTCTCTAGGTGAGGATGGTAATATGGGACAGTTGGCGGGACTATGGCTGAATGGCCAGCAAACCTGGAGATTACCCTCGCTATCCACACCGGAATGTTCGAGGGCAAGAATCGAGTGAATGATTATTCGACGGGCTTCAGCCCCAGTAAGATGCTTTTTCGTACCGGGAATATCATCAAGAGAATCGATCTCATCGTCAGATTGCGATTTAGTCCAGCATGACGCTATACATTCTTTGCTACCAACTGCGTGAGTGCAGTCGCGTGTATTGTCTTTGGATTGCACATCCGCTTGAGAAAGGCGAAGGGCGTCCCATAGTCTCACTCGCTGGGCATTACCCGTACATGCGCTCACTTCCAGACCAACCCACAGGTTAAGAAGAGGTACGAGCTTGGTGTCAGGTTTGGGACAATCCTCGATAAGCATGGCCTTCAATGTACGCTTCGGGAGCCGTTTGTACTTCTTGACCAGCCCTGCTGTAGCATATTGCCCAGCGGCTAGTTGAATGTCAAATCCATCATTGACGTATCGTGATTTGCATGTCCCTGGATACTGCAACCGAGAGGCAATTTGTTGTTGGATGAGGGGAATAGACGACTTGCATTTTTTGTTGACGACAAGTCCAATTTCATTTTCGTTTGGTGTCCCGATTAAGATTTTCGATGTGCCCTGTAACATAACTGGTTTATCTGGATTTTCTCTTAGAAGAAGATCTGGAATTTCAGACGTCCAGTGGCATTCAATGCCATGTTTCGATGATTCGGGCTGTTGTGGGAGCGGAACGATGAATCCTCTTTCTGTTCGAATGGCCGGCGCCTCATCTTCAGTACCTCCCACAAGGAACGCAGGACCCCATAATTCTTGGAGATCCTGAAGCGCAATGGAGATTTTCACTCCCCGTTCTCTTTGCTCCGATTGCTCGTTGGACAGCGCGGAGGATTTGCCAGTAGCTGCATTTTGCATCTCTTGTGCCAGTTCTTTGACTTGACTCTCACTTGTTCGACCTGATTGCTCATGTGTCCTGGATGGCGTTCGAGCTTTGCTTAATATCCAAGCGGGACCACCGATGAAGTCTTCAAGACAAGCCAGCTTCCGAGGTTTAAAAGCATAACCCTCAAAACCGATACTTATTTCATCAAGCTCTCTATCCCATAGGTTGAGATCAAATCGACACACATGTGAGCCAGTATAAGACAAAAGACCAATCGCCAAGGTTTGACACAGGATACGCAGTGATATAATCAAATCAACGCTAGTAGAAGTTTCATTATGGACATTGAGGATTGACCGAAGGAATTTATTCGTCAACTTTGTGATCCGCCGCTCGTCGAGTGGCTTGAGAGATCGCTCGAACTGCTCGATGAAATAGGTGATTTGAATGAATGAGACATGCAAGGCATTTGCGATGTCATTTCTCTCACTATCCTCGATCAAAAAGCTCATTTGGGAACCACAGAAGCCTTCGGATGTTAGATTCATAAAGGCCTTGTGCCAGCTTTTGCAAAATAGAAGGCAATCATCCATAGTTTCAAGGTTAGGATGTGGACTGTCCTTTAGGCCAAGAATTTCCGCAGTTCTCATTTCGAGATCGTCTAGCTCACTGAAGTAACGACTCGAGTCTAAGAGATGGGACATATCCTTCACGCTGGATATCCCTGAATCTATAGAGTCGACGTCCAGATCTGGACTTGAAATGTCTGTCTCATCTGAGCGGACACTTGATGAAGGAGATTCGTGAGGGGATGATAGTTGTTCTGGCGAGCTTAGAGTAGAGTGAGGGCCAATAGAGTTCATCCCAAAGGTAGATGGATCTGAATTGATATTGGTCGCAGATGGCTTTGAAGGTTCATTGAGTGAAGTTCCTTCTTTCTCACCACCTGTTACACCATCTCTGTCTCGCAAAAATCGATCACCGTGTGCGCGAGAGTTAGGAGCGGGTGACTTCAGGTTGTCGCTCTCAGTATCCGTTGTTTTCCTGTTACCAATATCTGATGTGGGCCTCGTAGAAGTATGGGGAAGCTCCGGTAAGCGAGGCCTCTCCATTGTAAAAGAGGACTTGTCGTGGTCATTCCTTCCATCATCACTCGAATAGTCTTTGACCCGGGCTCGGGGATGGATTTGGACTCTGCCAGACGTTGAATCTCGCACATGCTCTACTTTACGTGCACGTGCCGCTAGAAAATTCAGTATCAATAATGCAGCAATGCCTCAATCTCAACGCTGAATTCAAGCAGATGATGCGGCTTACCTCGGATCTCCTCTGTGGCTATCGCGTAATTCTCAATCTCCTTCATAGACAGTACCCTGAGTACTATTATGTGGTCGGAACGCTCCTCGAATCGCTCCTTACCCGCTTCTAATGCTGCCGGGTTCACCAGTCGGCGATGGATTTTTGTCCACCTGGCCCCGGACGGAATGCCCTGAGTCCGGTTATCTTTGGCCGGTGTGACCTCTTCTCTGACTGGCTTCGAATCATCTCGAAGCTTTTTGCCCGCAGCCTCCTTTCTGGAAGATGCCTTTTCATAAGAGGCAGGTTGCATCTCCCCGTGAATAGATTTGATCAATTCATCGTCAGGAGGGGAGTCAAATTCAAAGCCGGCATCTCGTTCAGAGTCACGCCGCCGACGATGCTGGCGCGAGCGCCTGTCGCTCAGCTTTTCGTCATCCGACATATTCGGGGCTTGCATCTTAGAAATGATCACATCAAGTTCATCGCGAGGACGAGGCTCACGTTCATAGCCAATAGTATCTCGTTTGTCAAGGCTGCGTGAGCGATCGCGGCTCCGCTCTCGGTAATTTGATGGTGTATATATACTCCTAGCTCTTACGAGTGACCTGGCTCGAGCCGTTCTTTTCGGAATCCTGTAGTCAAGTAAGTCATCATCCGAGTGTTTGGTGCTGCCATATTTATCGCTGTACTCTAATTCAGGCCTGCGTTCTCGCGATCGACTGCGGCGATCCCTGGCATAGGATGTACTTGGGCGACGACGATATCCATACGAGTCTCGATCGGTTGGAGATTCATAATCCAAGTCATCTAGCCGGGAAGCCACAGCTTGATCGCGGGCCGCATATTGTGATTCAATAATGTCTAAAGGTTCCCCCCTGGCACGAACAAAGCTTCTCCGCCGTTCGCGAGACCTAGTTGGCTGCCTTAGTGGCAGCATTTCACTCGTAATAAGTTCTGGAAAATCGTAGGGATCTGCGTCAAGATTGTCCCAGCGCCAGGTCGACTTAGTTGTCTGAGAAAAAGAGGTTGAAGGCCTCGACCGTAGCTGCGTGGGCTGCCAGGGGCGTCTCACATTCCGTAGATAATCATCGTGATCGTCGAATCTGGGAGGTGACTGATTAAGATCGTATGGGAAGCTGGGTTCCATCATTTCCGGAGCTAGTTCAAGATCATTTTCGGGACCACCTCTGTAGTACCTAGTACTACTAGTAGTACTAGTAATTGAAGGTCGAGGATGAGCCATTTTGAGAGGGACCAGGGCCAACTCTGTCAGCAAAATATTTGGACTCAGTGATTCCCGTTGGACTTGGAGAATGAGACTTCAAAATAGTAGATATGATGCTGAAGAGTTGAACGGAGGAAAGATGTTCGCGACTTCTCTCACGCGGAAATTTATAGATAGATCATTTCCTTGTCACTTCACCTGGGTAGGTCTACAGATCAAAGTGAAGGCGTTGGATAGATGGATGCTCAGGTGAGGCTGAGCAGTCTGAGTCCTAGTCGATCACCTGGGCAATGCCCCGCGTTTCACTATGTCAGCACACTTGACCTATAGGTACTTTTGCGAAAGAAGCCAATTACTGTGAGGCAAGAAACCTTAAAAGAGAGTACCTTGAGGCGAAAACGAGGCTAAGTGGTTTGTTTATTTGCATCCAGCTATAGAGGATATGATTGTTTACGAATCAGAGTCACCAGAGTTGGACATTTCTTGCCCTGGCGAGTACCCTGTGCCCGGGTGTATGACTCCAGCCTTGGAGTATAATCTCGTTCAAGTTTCAATTCTGCCAATAGTATACATCAGAAACTACCAGAAAATGATACCTAGTAGGAATTTACCTATACTCAGATGTAGTAGATAAAGGAAAACCATGACGGTCTACATTCACATCTCGTTGCAAAAAGACCATTAAATTCGATGAACATAATTTTTGTGACATGCATATACAAGGGACTATCCCATCCGAAAACGCCAACAAAGAACTTGAAGCACTCTTGATAATCTAACAGGCCACTCGAGTCTATTTCTCAGCCTTCTCGAACTTGCGACGCTTTGACCGGAGCTTGGCAGCCTCGTCGGCGGTCTTCTTGTTCGAGTAGATGATCTTCTCCAAAAGCTTACGCTTCTTGCGACTCATCATCATCTTCTGTCGCTCAAGCTCCTCGTCCTCCTGGCGCTTCTTAGCAGCGAGCTTCTTGGTCTGGGTCTTCTTCTTCTTGGAAGCCTCATCAGCTCCGTTGGATGAGAAGGGCAGACCAGCAGCCTCGGCCTCGAGTTCACGCTGGTGCTGGTTACGAGCAGCCTCGTCGTCGTCGTCCTCGGATTCAGATGCGGCTTCGATTTCCTCGAGTCCCTCGAGGTCCTCATCCTCATCCTCCTCCTCGCTGCCACTCTCATCATCATCAGTGCCAGCGATATCCATACCACCATCAACAGACTCGTCTTCAGACTCCTCAGCAATGGCAGCAGGCTTCTCTTCAGCGGCTTCATCCTCCATCTCCTCGTCGCTGTCCTCGGCCTCCTCCTCGATCTCAGCTTCACCTTCCTCCTCCTGCTCAGCCAGGGAAGCCTTAGGATCGTAAGCACCGCGGCTAGCCTTGACCCAAGGGCTCAAGTGAGGGGGAAGAGTGGCGCCAGGTCCGTAAAGGTCAGCACGGAGCAGCTTGCCGTCGTTGATACAGTCCCAGACCCACTGGGGCTGGACGTAAGTACGACCGGGAATGCGAGTACCAGGCTTGACCTTCTGGCTGGCGTTGTCGGCAGCGGGAACGGCAGGGAGAGAAGACTCTGGGAGCTGGGGACGATCGACAATCTGGTGAGTGATGCGAGGGTCGGTCTCATCGTGAGTGAAAGCACCGTCACCCATAACGGCATCCCAACCAACACGCTTGCAGCCGAAGGAACGCAGAATAAATTCGAGAGGAGCCTTGGGTGCTTCACGCGAGATGTAGAAGACGAAGGGGGAGAAAAGAGAGCCGGCCTCGCTACCGCTCATGTCGGGCTGGGGAAGAGTGTCGGCTTCGGGGGCAGCAGGTTCGAATCGGTCGATAGCCTCGGTGTCGTCCTCTGTTGTGTCCATGGGCTGCTCCTCAGTAGTCTGGTCCAAACCAGCGGCCTTGATGACCTTGTCAACCTTAGCCTGAACAGCCTTGGAAACCTCCTTGTTCGAGTTGCTCTTCTTCTGGGACTTGCTGGCCTCCAGAGCCTTGGGAGCATCGGTAAGGTTGCGGCCTTCCAGGGTGAAAGCAGCCAACTCGGCACCGTTCTCATCACTGCGAGTGTCGAACTTAGGGGGGGTATCTGAAACCGATCGAAGAGTAAAGACGGAAGTTGACGAAACCCAACAGGGTGGTGTAGAAATCAACAAAGGTAGCCATAATACGGTAATCAACATCGCCATTGACACGCTGGACGAATCGGTAGGGAACCAGCCACATAATATCTTGTCCCTGAATAGTAGCCTGGTAGTAGATACCCTTGATGGACAGGAAAGATTTGCGCAGCGAGTTAGTGGTGATCAGGTAGTGCTGGAACTCGTGGCAGACACGCTGGCACATGGCAATGGTCTTGTGAGGCACGTGGGTGGTAGAGGGGAGAGTGGCGAAGAGGAAGAGCAAAGACAAAGCATCGTCGAGGTCACGGAGGGCGTCAATGAAAGTAGGGTAACGCTCCTTGATGACATGGTCCAGAGTGAGCTTGGGGGCATGAGTCTTCTCCAAGCGCGCAGCATCGCTAACTTCACCACGACCGAGGGAACGAGCGATCTTCTTGGCAAGGGCCTTCTGATCACGGAACTTGTTCAGCAGAGGCTCATGGAGGAGATACGAAATGTCCTTGGTGTAGTAGAAGGTAGTGTTGGGTGTCGAAGTCTTGGAAGCCTTCTTCTTGTTACGAGGCTCACGAGGGTAGATACCTGTAATGAAATATCTCAATCAGTATCGCATCATAATTGCCTTTCAGATGGAGCCATTCTTACCCTTGAAAATACACAGGCGACGGAAATCAGGCAAAGAAATCTGAAGTTTGCGCACGGCCTGGGTACGAGTGATATAGTTTTTGGCCTGGCCAGAGGTACCTAATTAAAATCATTAGTAGAGTTTCATCAAAGGAATTTCCATTATAAACATACCCTTCTTCTTAATTTTACCCATGATGAAGTCTGTTGGAATCCGAAAATTGGAGAGTCCAAAACAGTTGCTGATAAGAAGAGGGAAAAAATCTCGATAACTTTTTTTTTCTTGTCCGAGGCGGTCAGTTGGTCCGTGCGGGTGCGGGCGTCCGTGGTTCCCTTCAAGAAAGGGACACTGGTGTGAGCCTTGGATTCCCTTCAATTCCGAAACAACTCGCTATTATGGCCGTGGACCGACGCAAAATCGCTGTGTTCGGTGCGGCCTTTGTGTTGCGACTCCTTCTTGTCTGTTTATTTCCTTCATTACCTGATCTGTTGACAGGCCGAGTGGAGGTCTCGACTCCGGTCAATAGCTTCAAGCGACGTATGTTGTTTACCCCATAGTGTCTATTGTTTCCAATCTTGCGATCGAAATTTTACCAGTGCAAATGCTAATATAGAACTCCAGTGCAAGAGGGTCTATTTCTCTATATTCGAAATGTCTCGCCTTATGATGGCGGTGTTTTCCACCAGGTAAGGAGATTGTTGTACATGCTCAAGATACTTGTATTGACCTCAATTGTACTTAATAGGCACCGTTCCTCCTCCCCTTATTCGCTTTACTCCCGGACGTGCAAACAAGTCCTTTTCCTACAGCAATTTTCTATTTCCTCGTCGATCTAGTAAACGCCCATGCGTTGATTACCATTTCGGAGTCGGGTCAATCGGTCCAAGCCCGGCTGCACTCTGCGATGAGGAAGCATATCCGATGGGACGGTGTGTCCATTGCAGCTTGGTGGGTTTTAATCCATACGATAAGGTCATTCCAAGTATTCGTAATCTGACTCTCTAACAGGTTTTTGTTTAATCCTTTTACAATTGCCACCTGCCTGGCCCGATCGACGAGTGTATTCACCACAACCGGAATTCTTTACGCCATTTCGAACGCCGTCGATGGAAATAGCATAAATGCAATCCTTGCCCTTGGATTTGCGTCCTACCTGTCTCTCTACCCAGCACTGTTGTTCATCCCATTGGTGCTACTCTGCTACGACCAGAAAACTCAATTATCGAAAGCTCCCAATGCTGTGGTTTTCTTCCTGCAGCATGGCGCGATACTGCTAGGTAGTGTTGTCGGCCTACTCGGATTTTCATGGCTCATTACTGGAAATTTCTGGGAGTTCATGTCCGCAACCTATGGTTTCCATCTGCTGGTTCCAGACCTGACCCCAAATGTGGGTCTTTGGTGGTACTTCTTCATTGAGATGTTCGACTCCTTCCGGGAGTTCTTCATCGGGGTCTTCTGGCTTCACCTGGCTGCCTATGTTGGCGGCTTCACTGCACGACTCCGAAGACAGCCCTTATTCATTATCACATCGCTCCTAGGCGTCTTCGCGATCTTCAAGCCGTATCCTACCATTTCCGACGCATCCCTCTACTTCGCACTGCTACCTTTGTACCGGCATCTCTTCCCCCGTGAGTCTACTAACCACACCATATCCCTTGGGTCTATTATGCTGATTCTTGCTAGTGATGCGATATACCTTTTTCGCGATCTCCGCACTCCTCTATTCTACTCTTCTAGGACCCGCTTTTTACCACTTGTGGATCTATGCGGGATCTGGCAACGCCAACTTTTTCTATGCAATTACTCTGGTCTGGAGTCTTGGACTGTCAATCCTATTAGCTGACAGTATATTTGCAGCTCTCCGGGATGAGTGGGAGCAGGCCAACCCAGAGTCACAAGGAAAAGAGGTAAAGCAAATATAGGTAATCCATATCAATTGATATGTCTGCATTCTCATCGCATCACGGGTGTTTCTTTACTTTACAACATTGGATAATAGAACCAAAAAAAGGATAAAAATAAAAATTAACTCATAAGACATAAGACATGAAACATTAATAGACATCTTCACTTCAGCCGTTTTGACAAAATCAAATAATCATACTCCTTAATCGTCCCATTCCGCAATTTCCTAGGCCGCGGCGAACATTCATCCACCTCATAACCCAGTTTTTCATAGAATGTGCAAGCAGCCACATTAGATCTGAAGACAGTGAGCATAGCCTTCTCCAGCCCGACCAACTTCCCAATTTCATCCATCCTACTCATCAACAATGCGCCCAAGCCCTGTCCCCGCACAGCCGACGACAAATGAATCTCATAGCAGTAAATAACTTCTTTCCCGTCTTCATAAGTAACCATGAAGGACAAGAATCCAAGCACACCGCCATTACTTCTCTCAGTGGCACCGCCGATCTCTTCATCGGTTTCATTCTTATGATCGTCGTCCCCACTGCGACTCTTCACGATATCTTCAACCGGCCCATCGCCTCGCTCGGCATCGGTCCCGACAGCCGAGCGCCCCGCAACACCGCGCAGAATAAGATACTTCATATCAGGAAGTTGCATCTCTTTGCGCTTCTTCGGACGTGACCAGCCAATACCAGAGGCAGCGTATGCTTCTCCGGATGTTAATTCGATTAGATCGAGACAGGCTTCTAGGTCTGTCGGTGAAATTGTTGATGCAGAGTACACGTCCAAGGACGTGTTATGGTTGGGAATATCCAGCCCATGATCGGTTTTTAGAGATCCCGATTCATCTCCAAGATCTGGAGGTGGAGTATTGGACTCTGTGGATAGGATTCTTGGAGATATGTAGGTTGAAATGAACTCTGTAATGTTCAGTGCGTTTGTACGCTCAACCAGTGGGAGTTCTGGAGCTTGTTAGTAGGAGGTCAATTCGTGTGATCCGTGAAAGTAGGCGTAAGAAGTGTATTCCAGTCGAGTGTGGGATTATTGAGCTCAATTGGGAGCTCGAAGTATAGAATTGATTGCGCGCGTGGTAAGTATGACTTACTTTTCTGGATCTTCTGGACGGTAGAGACGCGTCGTGATTGAGATATTTGGTGGGCCTTATTTTTGCAGATTCGGCCCTCTTGAACCGGCATGGTGTATAGATTGATGTTGAGCTCGATTCTCTTGGTGTTTGAGGTTGTTTTGCTCGTTTAGTAGCACTGAGGATTTGCTTGCGTTGTGACTCTGGCGAGTCAAAGGGTTGAGTGGGGCTGACCTAGGGAGAGGCCAATCATGATGGTGGGATTTATATGGATGGATAATCCACCAGTTGACTAACAATACTGAAGTATAGATAATGGTAGCATCCTGCATTGCATCAATCATTTAATTAACTATACTTGTAGCCTGAGACTCGGACAATCGGAAGGGCTTGGTACTGGTGACTTGAAGCACTTGATCTAGTTTCACAACAAAAGTTTGGATGAGGGCCTGGTCAGCTCCATGGCCTTCACATGCAATAATCCAAGTCGCAAGAAAGAACCACATGCAATGGCCAAACCCTGGCTCTCTTTAGCCTCTTCAGAATGAGAACAAGAAAAATTCATAATATCATAAGCTTTGTTGTTGTCATTTGCTATTCATACTGCATACATATAGTGTCTAAGCGACTTGATTTCAAGCTTAACGCAGGGAAGCAGCGTGCTCTTCAGCACGACGCTCAGATTCAGCGGCACCCAGTTCTCCAAAAACATCCACACCCCAGCGGAAGGGGTAGTTGTATCGCTCGTTACGGTCCAACTTGTTGAGGGCCTTGAACTCTGCGTCGGGAATGACAAAGTCTATAGAGAAATTAGTACCATTCATAATTCTGCTATTCCGGTAGCCTACCTGAGAAGTTGCTCTCAATTCGCGAGGGGGTAACACTCTTGGGCAGTACTGCAGAGCCTCGTTGGATAGCCCATGAAATGAGCAGCTGGGCGGGGTCCTTGTTCAGCTTCTTGGCGATCTCAACGACAAGAGGGTCGTCGACGACACTATGAGTCTGAATGAGTATATGATCAGAATGATATAGGGATCAGAATAGTGCCTACCGTGGCTTGTTGAAGATGTTGTTTCCTAGAGGGCTGTATGCGACGGGAAGGATTTTCTATTGTCATCAGATTAGTTAAGTCCTTCAACAGACACAACAGATATGAATAAAGAATGTCCGTACGTTATCAATCAAGTACTTGGTAAGCTCTGGCTGAAGGAGGTAGGGGTGAGCCTCGATCTGGTTCACAGTAGGAGGGATCTTCGCAGTCTCGAGCAGCTTCTTGGTGGCATCGATAGTAAAGTTGCTAATACCCAGACTGCGAATCTTGCCCGCAGCGACGAACTTCTCCAGAGCAGCCCAGGTATCGGCGGTCGGAACATCGGCAATGCGGAAACGCTTGGTCACAGGGTCTGTAGGTGTGAGAGTTTCATTGGTGTGTTCGAAGGCTACAGGCCAGTGGATCTAGTGAAATCCAATTAGCATAAATCCAAAAAAAAGGTATTTCGTATCTTGAGGTGGCGCACAAGGTACAGATCCACATAGTCGGTTTGGAGATCCTTCAAGGTCTTGTTCAGGCCCTCCTCGACATTGTCAGGGTGGTGGTGAGTGTTCCACAGCTTGCTGGTGATCTAATTGTTGAAATATTCAATGTTAGAGAAACGCTTGCGTCACAAGTAATGTAAGGTGCAGCATACAAAGATCTCCTCACGGGGCACACCCGACTTCTTCCAGCCATTTCCAACCTCGTTCTCGTTTTGGTAGCATGCTGCCGCATCAATGTGACGGTAACCACTGCGAAGCGCGTGCTCGACTGCGTTCTCGACCTCGTTGGGCTTGGACAACTATGAAAAATTTATTAGCTCTGTTTTGAGGAATGGAAGCCAGCATAGCGCGACGTACCCAAGTACCGAGACCAACTGCGGGGATCTCGTAGCCCGAGTTGAGCTTAAAGGTGCGACCAAGAGACATTTTGAAATGAAGCGGTAGTGTTTGAGATATGAAGCACAGTAGAAAGCAATCTTTGCGCTGAAAGTAATTGAGAGAATAAATTAAAAGAAGACAAGTAAATTGCAAGTCCAACTATTTATCTGCGGGCTCCTTCCTTACCCCTCCCTAGGCTAATCGATCCATCGCACTTACCCCGAATACATAGTTTCAACTTGACACGCGGTCGGTTGATCGCGTATTCTCAAGGGACATCGCCTAATCCCAGAACTGAGCCTATCGCCATAGCTTGAGTGGATGTGAAACGCATTGAGTGATATTTCCTTCAGATTGCACAATTTCTGGGCCCCTCAGTGGGGAGCGACTATATAAGCCCGGTAGTTGGTTGATCCACAGTTCCAAGGTTGGTCGCCCGCTATTCATTCTACCTTCCCTTTGCTACTCCTTTGTCCTCGTCAATTGGATAAAGACGTGATTTTCCAGACTGTCAACATTTTGCAGATCGTTTAAACCTACCGAACCACTACAGCGCACAACCAGGATGGGGGGGACTCAGAGAGAAGGATGGATGAACTGGGCGTCAACTGGCACACTCCTTGGAAATGAGCAGCCAGAGAAAACGTGAAAAACAATCGAAGAAATATTTGCTGAGAGCCAGGCACTTGAAATTCTCGGAGACATTGTTGAACAGAGCTTGGTCATCAAGTGTCCCGTGAGTACCCAGCTAAGCAGCGGAAAAGCTTCAATGTGGAGACTCGGGGGAACCAAGTCCTTCAAATGTTCCCGAGAATGTACTTAGAGTCGGTTCGATCAAAGCTTCATGTTTTGTTTCACGGAGACTTGTGACACTCGTTTATTAATCGTGCCGTCATAATGTGGGTCTAGTACTACATAAAGCTTCAAATCTTGGAAGTATTTAAAGAAACTCCTCCATCCATTGCTTGCTCTGTCAACACATTCGAGGCAAGGAAAACTGCCGTCGCACGTGTACAAATCATCTAATATAATGGCGATTATGAACTCCTGGGTGGTTGAGAATATGGACAATGGCTTTGACGGCCTTGTCTACAGAGATAGCCCGGTGCCGAAGGTGGGAGAGACCGAAGTGTTGGTGAAGCTGCATGCCGCATCGCTGAACTATCGAGACTTGATCATTCCCAAGGTATGAAATATTGCACAAAATATGCCCAAAAGTCCATTGAGTTGACACTTTGTATGACGTAGGGAATGTACCCTTTCCCGACTCAACTTCCCATTGTCCCTGGATCTGATGGCGCCGGTGAGGTTGTGGAAGTTGGAAACAAGGTGATGGAGTTCAAAAAGGGCGACCAGGTCACAACAGTCTTTAACCAAGGCCATCAGTATGGTTCAATTGATGTTCCAGCGACACAGACTGGTTTGGGTGGTGTGATCGACGGTTCGTTACGTCAGTACGGTGTCTTTCAGCAAACTGGCCTGGTCAAGTCTGCGAAGAACCTCTCTGCAGTTGAGAACAGTACTCTTCCCTGTGCTGCAGTGACAAGTTGGAACGCTCTTTATGGCCTGAAGCCGTTGAAGCCTGGTCAAGTCGTTGTGGTACAAGGCACTGGCGGTGTCAGCTTATTTGCTCTGCAAGTGAGTTAAACACGCGTAACAAAATGAGAAGCATGGCTAACAAAAAATTGTTTCCATTATATAGTTTGCTAAGGCAGCCGGAGCGACCGTGATTGCAACTACATCATCTGCGCAGAAGGCCGAGAAGCTAAAGAAGCTGGGTGCCGACCACATTATAAACTACAAGGAGGATCCCAACTGGGGAGAGACTGCCAAGAAGCTGACCCCAGGCGGTGCGGGTGTGGATCATATCATTGAGGTTGGTGGTTCCGGCACGCTGGCGCAGAGCTTCAAGGCCATCAAATTTGAAGGCGTGATTAGTGTCATTGGATTCCTCGGAGGTGTCGACCCGACGACTCAGCCCAGTATCCTTGATACTCTGGGTCATATTTGCACTGTTCGCGGTGTGTATGTCGGTAGCAGAGCTATCATGAAGGACATGATTCTTGCTATTGAAGCCAATGATATTCATCCTGTTGTGGATGAGAAGGTGTTTAGCCTTGACCAGACCCGGGAGGCCTATGACTACATGGTAAGTGGACTCCTCAGGATTGGCGGTGTGAAATCGATACTGACAGCATGCATAGTGGGATCAAAAACACTTTGGAAAACTTGCCATCAAAATTCATTGATTTCCGCATCCATATTCCATTTTGGACACGGAGACCAGCCGGACCAGGAACCGTGATTTTAATATCAACCTTGAAAAATATGAGTTTTGATGTAATCCTCAAAATTTAAGGAGCTGTATATACCTAGTCCTTAAACTTCATCAAGTGAATACTATTGAACTTTTGAGAGAGATGAATATGCAATTAGACTGCTAGTTAGTATGCTCAGGCTGTGGTCAGGTATAAATCTGAGAGGAGAAGGTTCCAAGCTTCCCCGCCACCTCGATCACGTTTTATGCATCTCAACTACAACTTCCCTCGACCTTGCAAGCTTCAAGTTGTGGCGCTCACTAGCAGCCCTGATCAGCTTAAATTAACTCTTTTATTTACTCTAAACCGGTGATCTCGGGGTCTTGCAGCTACCGATCTCATATTCCTTGTTAGCTCGTGATAAACAACACATCCGCTTACCCCTCACGACTTTCAATGCATGCCAACACTAGAAATACGACTTCCACCCACCCTATTATTGGGCCCGCTCATCGTTTGGAAAAATCCCAAATCACTTTCATCCGCCCAGCTCAGATGAGTCTCTTTGCCCGAGTGACATCGTATCCACCTTTGGGGCAGGTAACCTGCTTGAAAAGAAAGCAGGAGAAATCGAATTCCAAAGAAAATGATACTGTCAGTAATCAAACTCTCAATAAATCCATTTGATATACTTCTAGTATCCTAATAGAACTTGAAGAGCTGTGCATATGTACTGATACTGACTTTTTCCAGGTAAGCTTTACAGTCGTCATCGAGTCTAGCACATCGCTCCCGCAACAATCCTGGGAAGCACAGATCTGGCACAATATTAGCGGCCCAGAATGGGAAGCTCTCTCGTTGAAGAAGATTGATTCATCTCATGCGCCGCTATTGTCAGGGAGTGAGACCGACTATAATTTCTATCGCCATGTCTTCTCTGAGGAGATTGCGCTCCCTTTGGCGGGCGGCCATGCTCAATTCACTGTCCGATTTCGAACAAATCCAGACACTGAATGGCAATGGGCCAACCAACAGCGTCCGCTGAATAATGGCGAGTTGGTTTTCAGTCCGCGAGATTCGAAAATTGATCAGGTATCCGTACCCTTGGATGCCAGACTGGAGCTGTCCAAGTATATTGATAACCTCTCCCCCGAAGTTCAAATCGAGTCTCGTCGTAGTGATTGTCCAGGGTCATATCTCTGGGCAATCTCTGGAAATGTCGACAGGGCCACTGAGGGTGTCTCCGGTGTGAAGAAATTCACACTGGGAGTTCCCTCGTCTATGGTCAAGTATTTCTCGTTGGTGCGGATATGGAGCCCGTGGCTTGGCCCTCGCCACGGAAAGAACAAGTTCAAGTTGACAGAAGATGCTATTCTGTGTTCCTTCCTGCGCTCAGATGGAACACATCTACTCCTACTCGCTGTCTCAGGGATAAATGATGTGCTTACCGTCTTCCAATCCAGTGAAGATGCTGAAGTAGTGATCAGTGCCAAGAATGATAATAAAGAACATGCTCAATTTCTAGTCCTGGCTTCGGTGGCCGAGGACTTCGAAGTTGGCATGTCGGCCTTAATTTACGAGTCAAGAAAGGTGGTCAGGCCATTTGCGAACCCTGCGAATGAATCTTGGGAGCCGCCATTATCACCACCCGGAGATGATATGGTGCTCGTTGAAAAAGATGCAAAGGCACAGTGGATGACTGAGTGGTTTGACGGCTTGACATATTGCACTTGGAACGGACTTGGACAGAACCTGACAGAAGAGAAAATTCTGGGTGCATTGGAAGCCCTGAAGTCGCATGGTATCAACATTGTCAATCTGATCATCGATGATAATTGGCAAAGTCTTGATAACGAGGGTGAATCGCAATTCAAAAGACGTTGGCAGCGATTTGAAGCAAATACGAAGGCCTTTCCTCGTGGTTTGAAGCAGACTGTCACTACCATTCGCCAATCCCATCGCAGTATTCAGCATGTTGCGGTGTGGCACGCTTTGTTAGGATACTGGGGAGGAATCTCTCCGGACAGTGAGATAACGAAACAGTACAAAACCAAGGAGGTCAAAGTCAAAGACCCTGCCGCTGGTGGTCCCATTGCACATGATATCGCCGATGGAAAGATTCTTGCTATCGACCCCGAAGATATTCAACGCTTCTATGATGACTTCTACAAATACTTGGTTTCTGCTGGAGTCGATTCGGTTAAAGCAGATGCTCAGTTCTTTATCGATCTCCTTGAAGACCCGGAGGACCGAAAGCGTTTCATGACAGCTTATCAAGATGCTTGGTCCATCTCCTCCCTAAAGTATTTTAGCACACGAGCCATCTCATGCATGTCGCTGATCCCCCAGATGATCTTCCATTCACAGCTTCCGAACAACAAACCTGCCATTACCCTGCGGAACTCAGATGACTTTTTCCCTGAGATCCCCACATCGCATCCATGGCATGTGTTCTGCAATGCTCACAATGCACTCTTTACACGGTACCTCAATGCGCTGCCAGATTGGGATATGTTCCAGACCAGTCATTCTTACGCATCATTCCATGCTGCTGCTCGCTGTGTCTCAGGTGGTCCTGTTTACATAACTGATGAGCCTGGCAAACACGACTTGAAACTCCTAAACGAAATGACTGCACCGACGGTTTACGGAACGACCGTCATTCTCCGACCCAGTGTTATTGGTCGCACAATGGATATATATCACGACTATAATGAGGGCCATATTCTCCGTGTTGGAAGTTACACTGGCTGGGCTAAGACCGGCAGCGGAATTATGGGACTGTTCAACATATCATCGGTGGAGACATCATGCATGATTTCACTGACTGATTTCCCTGGGATTCATGAGGACTCTGATGGCCAGTATGTGGTTCGCGCGCACATAAGCGGCAAGGTCACTGGTCGGATGCAGCCATTCTCTCAAAACTCTCTTGTGTCTGTTGTTTTACAGGAAAGAGGATGGGATATTCTCACAGCGTACCCGACTCAATCCTTCGCCCTGAAAGGGAACCAGGACAGTTCAACTCATGTCGCTGTTCTGGGTCTCCTTGGGAAGATGACTGGTGCAGCTGCAGTGGTTAGCTCGGAAATATATGTCGTGGAGAATGGTCGTCTGCGATTTGATGTTCACTTGAAGGCACTTGGTACTTTGGGTCTCTATATCTCAGACCTGCAAGACCGAAGCATTTCTCAGAATTTCATCGTCACGATTTTGGGACAGGCTATACCACAGGAGACAGTATGGAAAGAAGGTGGAGAAGAGAGTCAGGTTTTGGCGATTGATATTCATGCGGCTTGGAAGGCCATGAAGTTGGATAGCGGGTGGAGTAACGAGGCCTTCGTCCAAATTTTTGTTGGATAAGGCCACTGAGACCGGATTCTTAAGTTCAACTGTTTGTTCATGGACGCTCATTTAGACAAGATTGGAAAGGAAAGTAAAGACCAGAATGATCGATAGATGTTTGAATGACGCAAAATGGCCGAGACCGTCGGCTTTTTTTAACGTATTCGTACCTCATAGTGCTTGGCATATAGTCTTGGCCGTCGATCACCATCTGCTCATCTTCTTCTTTCTGCGGCCTTTGATTCCCCTTTCGGCATCCTATGCACATGTGGCAACAAACTTGATTGATGCGATTCCCGCAGATTTCATCGGAATTTATTCGCTGTCCGTGTTCCGGTTTCAAGTGGGGTTCGTCCGTGCGATCACTATTTTAAAATTTGAACCTGATGGAAATTGATATTGAAAATACTCCATACCGCCTCTTCCAAGGTTGCATTCTGTCATTCAAGCAATATGTTTCAAATATGCCACTCTAGGATTCACATCTAGTCTGGTTACCACGGTCCACTGGTAGCTTGACTGCGAGGGGTCATTACATCGGATTTAACCAACCTTTCCCCACATGCTAGCTTCCAGGGTTGCGCCAGCAGAGTGGAGCCGCTAATTAACTGTAACTGGAATATGTATAGAAAATGATATAGTTTAATTAAGATGAAGAATCATGATCCATTTCAATCATTGATCCCTCCAAGTCCAAGGTTCGGATCCATCATGATGGTGCTGCATTGATCATCTTGACTTGGAACAATATAGACGAATTGGAACTGGTATTGATTCTCCGAGTCCTTATTCTAGATTTAAAAATACGTCTTCACACCTCTTAGTGTCTTCAATACTAGTAGTCCTTACTTCATCAGCCTAAATGTGAATTTTCTGATATGAAGACACTTTACTCAAGTGCTTCAGTTTAGTCAGGGCTCTATCTTTCCCACCTCGTATGACCTGGTTCGAAGACTCGGAGCTCTAGGGCTTAGTGCCGCAGATCCTGGGAAATCGGTATGTAATTCTTCAGCTGCATCATGATGACTGGGATCTACATTCGGAAAACATTACTAGCATAGGATATCCACCCCGTAACTGGTATCTAGGTAACTGAATAGGCCCACCCGGGCACCTCCAAGGTGGTTACTACCGCCTACTAGCTCAGGGCCAATTCTACAGAATCTCCACTCACTTGGACCTACGAAACTTGAAAACGTTAGGATTATTGCAATTTAATTAATTTTACAGGCTTCGAAATATGCTTGTCTTCCATCTGATATAGGTATACGCGTCATCATCTGACGCACCACTCATTCTGGAGAGATGTATGTTCCTGAACCGGGCTCTCGCCCGGGTTCCTGCATTTATGAAGTAAGACCTCGGGATCGAACTATATAAAGCCCTCCTCTTCAGACAAAATGATGGATCAACCAGCAGAAGATCGATTCTTTAGACTCTCGAAGTTCAATCTCGAACGAAGACAGAAATCATGCAAGAGTTTCTGTTTACACTCGGCGCATTTTCGCTGCTCAGCGTGGTAAACGCTGCCCTCTATGATAAGACTATTACGATCTCGCAAGGAAATCTTCAAGGCTCTGCTGCGTTCAACGAGACCTCTGCCCCATCTTTCATCGAAAACTGGAAAGACATCTCCGTTTGGAAAGGGATTCCTTTTGCGCCGACTGCAGGAGGAGAAAACCGTTGGAGACCCCCACAAGCTCCGCCCAACTGGAATGGTACTTTCCAAGCCACTATATTCGGACCAAGCTGTCCCGATTCCTCAACTGGAGATGGCTATGCCGAGGATTGTCTGAGCATCAACATTTGGAGTCCGGCAACCTCTACTGATGAGAAGCTCCCTGTCATTTTCTGGTCTTATGCTGCGGGAGGATCATCTTCCCAAAGCACATACGATGGATCTGGACTGGCAGGCAAGGGGGTGGTTTTTGTTAGTTACAACTACCGTGTTGGTCCACTTGGCTGGCTCACATTGAAATCACTTGAAGAGGAGACCGGTGCAACTGGCAATTATGGTCTGCTGGACTCAATTGCAGCCCTCAAATGGACTCACGCCAACATTGCAGCATTTGGTGGAGACCCAGATTCAATCACGGTAGCTGGTCAATCGTTCGGATCCGGGGCATCCTATCACCTGATGAACAGCAACGATACAAAAGGATTGATCAAGGGTGTCATTGCAGAGAGTGGACTTAAGGACCCGTACGACCCCGATATGTGGGGATTCGGCAGTGACTACCGCAACATGACTTGGGCATACAACTTCAGTGACGAATTCTATGATTCTTTGAATGTTACGAGTATTTCCGAGCTGCGTGCGCTGGATCTCGCAACTTTGTTGACTGGAACTGGAACCAGTACTTTTATTGGCTTCGATCCCGTTCTCAACTACCATTCCATTCCGAATAAATACATTGTGAGTCTCGATGAGGGTGCTCCCAACAACGTGCCTATCCTAGTTGGCAATAATTACAATGAAGATGGCATTTCAACAACCACAACATACACAGTGGCTGAATACGAAGAAGCAATCAACTCAACCTATGGGCCCTACGCAGCTGAACTGATGTCATTCTACTCCACTAAGAACACCACTGAAGCTACGACCGCATACAACTCCATTATTCGCGCCGGTTACGCTACTTCTACTTGGTCCTGGGCTAAGAGATGGAGCAAGAACTCTGACAAGTCTGTTTACTATTACATGTGGACCTTCGCTGGCGCTACCCATGGTTCTGAGGTGTCATACGCTCTTGGTAACCTTTTCGCCCAATCTTCAACATATACCGAGGCCGACTATCTTGTCGCGGATAAGATGTCTTCCTATTGGGCTAATTTTGTCAAGACTCAGAACCCGAACCAGGGTGGCTCTCACACGAATGGAACTTTGCCTACTTGGAGTTCCAATGTCCCATCTGAGAACTCGATGTTTGAATTGGGCTACAACTGGAAAAAATATCAGGTTGCTCCAATCAAGGAGAGAAATGTTCAGCTGAAGTACTTCCAATGGGCTACTCCAAACCCGTATTAAAGTACTCAGAGTTCTGCTGGTAAGGGCTACGTGAGAAATTTTATGTGGAATCCCGCTCCGACATTTAAACGTTCACCCAGTAGCAGATAAATAGTCCCTCCAGCCTGAGGGCGTGCTATTCAAAGAGTTCGGATGAAATTCAGAAGACTACATAGCTCTTACAATCAATACTTTAAGCTAGAATAGACATTAAACCGCCGGAATCGGAACGTAATGCTAGTGCTGTGATTCAGGAAATTGACAATCAAAGTATTGAAGCTCTCATATGTGCCAATGATACCCTTGGTGGTTTGTATTTAGGATTAATCACTAATACTTAGTTGGGGATGATGTCGGGACAACTGGAGCATTGGGAGATGCTGGAAGCACAGCTAGTTTTATGTACTAGTACTAAGTAGAGTGTTTTTACATTCAAATGTTCAATATCTGAAGGAGAGTCTGCATTTCACCACATCCTCGAAAGACCCATGTTTCGAGGACCAGGTAAATCGGGCGCAACTAGCAGTATCCAACATTTGAGAAATTTCCTCCATCGCTTAGTTCCGCATGATATGAGTTCATACAGACTCTTCATAACACACCGAAGCCTTATCGGTGTCTTCCATATCTGTCTTCATTTCACTTGTGACTGGCCTGCCTTCGAACCGGCAGGAGATATCCTCAAGTGAAAGGCCTTTCGGCTCAGGCAAGGTGAACCCAATCAAGATTGCGCCCACAAAAGGGATGATAATGAAGACGAGATAATATTTCCATCCAACGGTATCAAATGCTGTCGATGCGACTTGTGTATAAACTAGTGTCGAACAGAACTGAGGAAAGATTGACAGTCCAATTCCCAAACCGCGCATATGGTTCGGGAATACTTCGGCACTATAAACGTATGCTCCGTAGAAAGTGACAAAGAGGAAAAGAAAGGCAATTCCGAAACCGTTGCCAATTTTGTTTGATGTGCCTGAAAATTCAGCCACCATCGCTGCTTCGCAACAAACGGCAACCACGCTGCCAAGAAGTCCGATTTTCATGAGCCGAACTCGACCAACTCGATCGATGATGAAAGTTGATACGTAGTTCGTACCTGCTGCCAGCTGAGATAGGCCGCGTATAGCAGAAGAGGGACCGAGTTATAGAGGCCCAGCGAGTTATATAATGATACTTGGTAGTTATTGACGACCAATACTCCAGTGGATTGGCCGATAAATTGAACGAAGCATCCACAAATGAGTCTTTTGCGATAGGAGGTGTTTGTGATCAATGCCCATCTACCACCAGAGGCTTCCATCCCCTGATCAATGGAGAGCTGAGCTCGGATCTGATTCAATTCTACCTGAGCTTTCGAGTGAATATTGGACTCGTTCGGTAAAGGGTGTAGTTTTTGTAGAATTTCCAGAGCTTCACTTTGGTGGTCCTGCTCTACCAACCAGCGAGGAGACTCTGGAAGCCATGGTGTGCCCATAAGAAGTATCGCGGATGCTATAACCTGCGCGGATAGCTCAAACCTCCATTGGAATGCGAGAGAAGGGGAAAGTAGCAGCCGTAGCCTGTCCATGCGGCAAATGCCTTATCGAAGCTGGCATAGAATTGGATCAAATTGAAAGAAGATGAATCAGGAACGGAGACTTACATATCCGGTGACGATTAAAAATCCATGGCTACCCACCATGCGACCTCGATCTTCAGCGGGGGAAATCTCACTCTGATAGATTGGAACGAGCGAGACCAGAAGCCAACACCCATTCCAGAGAGTAGGCGTCCAATCAAGAACATCGCGATGTAAACGGAGCCTCCCTGAATAGCTCCCGAGATTATGCAGATAACGCATGTGGTCTGAATAGACCGAACGCGCCCGACTTTGTTCACAAGCCAGGCCGACAACAAAGCCCCAATGGCACCTCCTCCAGCGAAGAGACCCGATGTAGCACCGATGATGGAGTTGGACTTGCTATTTTCACCAGTGATGTTGAAATATATGAGAAATGATTCGAGTCCGAGAACTGAGCCGATGAGAGAGTTGTTGAAGCCATAAGTAAAGGTCCCTGGAGTAATGGTTAGAAGAATAGTTCATAGCTTGCCGAGATACATTCATATACTTACCCAGAGCAAAAAAAATACAAGCAAGTATCCGTTTGAAAACGCCATTACTGCTGCTATTGCTGCTATGTATGATTGACTTCACAGTTCAGATAGCGAGCAAAGAAGTTACTGAAAAAAATGAGGATTGACGATGTTAACTTCCCTTTTATTTGGTACATCTTGAATTCCAGTGCCTAGGAGCTGACTTCCTAGCCGCTAAAAGCCATGGTACGCATACTGCAAAATATTGGGGTACTCTCAAGAAACACGAGTTTACCCCAGATTTCCTCTGGAAAATATTGAGACAATAAGAGGCTCATACATTCAAAAGGACTCCACCTGCACGAGGATCTCAACAATGGGGTTGGAGTATTTGAGTTCGGATACCCCAGACCTAGTGCGCTGAGTAGATTGTTTGTTGCCACAATCGAGACAGAAGATGCGGAGAGCAATATGGGGTAAGTGAATCCTCCCAATATCCATCGATATGACGGGTTTTACCATATTTCACAATTTCCTCTCGGCTGCCACTCCATTATTATCACCCACAGCCCTCTGTTATAGCAGAAGTTCCTCAACCCAGTCTTAGCCACATCGGCCCTCCAGTAATGGCTATATCATTCGAGTTCTTCGAGGTTTATTGTGCCATTACTGGAGAAGTGATATTTACCATCAAGAATGGAGTGTTTGGAATATTTGGAAGCACTTGTATAATACTTCGAAGATACTATCGGATAGAAAAGGGAGCATGTAAAAATTTTGAACGCAATTCATTGTGAAACTTGAACTTTGTAAATTCTCATTCCGTCCTAAATTTACTCAGACACATCCTCAATAGTCATAGTACACGTCTTAGAGACAAGATATTCCGCAACTGCGACATCCTTACCAGACTCTTTACCATATCCGGACATTTTCATTCCGCCAAAAGGTGTCTCTGCGGCAGAGGAATTTCCGGTGTTGACACCAATCATTCCTGCTTCCAACTTGTCCATCATGCGCCACGTGCGATCAATGTTTTTCGTAAACACATAGCTCGCAAGTCCCATTTCAGTATCGTTGGCAAGCTTCAAAACTTCAGCTTCCGTCTTGAACTTGTAGACAGCTGCGATTGGAGCAAAGCTCTCCTCGTGGGTGATACTCATGGTTCCATCCATATCACGTAGGATAGTCGGATCAAAGAAATATCCACCATCGACACCAGGGTTTCCACCATGTACAACCTTTGCGCCGCGTTGGACCGCATCTTTGACTTGCCGGATGGCCTTTTCAACACTTCTTGAAGTGGTCAGAGGTCCCATATCCACGGATCCTCCACCATGACCCACACGTAAGCTCTCTGCGTGAGCAACCATCTTGGCCAAGATCTCTTCATAAATTCCTTCTTGCACATATATACGATTGGCAGTGACGCATGCCTGCCCAGCATGGCGCCATTTAAGCGTATGAAGTTGGGCAAGCGCTTGGTCCTGATTTGCATCGTCAAAGATAATAAATGGGCAGTTACCACCAAGCTCAAGTGTGACTTTCTTCAATCCAACAGAGCAATGGCCGGCAATAATACTGCCAACGTTGGTGGATCCAGTAAATGAAACCTTATGAACCAACGAATGCTTGCAGAGCGCTTCAGAGACCGCGGGTGTGTTTTTGTTTGAGGTTGTAACCACATTGAAAACACCCTTGTCAAAGCCGGCCTTCTTAGCAAGATATGCGAGAACAAGGGTGGTTAATGGGGTTTCTGGTGAGGGTTTGGCGATCATTGTGCACCCGGCAGCAAGAGCCGCGCCGACCTTTCGAAGAATCATACTAGAAGTCAAGTTAATTGGAAGATCCAATTTCGCGGACAATCTTTAGGAATAGCCTTACGCAATAGGGAAGTTCCAAGGAACCAGTGCGACGCATACTCCAATGGGCTGCTTGATGACCAGGACTCTCCGGTTTGGTGCAGCTGGAGTACTAATGTCACCACGAATACGCTCGGCTTCCCCCGCAAACCACCAGGTGAAGCCAGTGGCATAGTCAATTTCACCATATGCTTCTGCAAGTGGTTTTCCCGTCTCGTAAGTCAGGATAGTGGCAATATCATCGCGATTCTCCCTGATGAGTTCATGCCATTTCAGCAATAATTGGGCACGAATCCGAGGGTTTACATCCCGATACTTTTCAAACCCAGCCTGAGAAGACTGAACGATAGCGTCCACATCATCCGGTCCAAGATCAGGACATGAGGCAAATGTTTTGCCAGTGCCAGGATCTGATTGTCGCTGAGATTAGCTTCAATTCTCACGATCACCCTCGAAAAAACTTACCTTCTACATCAAAAATTTCACCCGAGGCAGCATCAATCCACTCTCCGTGGCTATATGCTTTAGTTTGGAACAGAGACGGGTTTTTGAGCTGCAGAATTCAGTCTTAGCATCGTTCATTCAACCTTGAGGAGGCTGGAATCTCAGTATCAACACCGTACAGTAAAAGGAAGAGAACCCATTTTGAAATTTTGATTTGATATTTTTGAATTCAAGCACTCAAGAATCTAACGTGAAACATGACCCTGGCAAACTCCATTATTTTATTTATAATTTCTACATTCTGATTTAATAACTGTTTACTTCGTCATAGACTATGAGTATCACGGCTTTCACGCTGAGGTGGCGGATGGTCATAAGCTTGAAATGCGTAAAGAAGTTGGGGAAGTTGGGGAAATGAGGAGAAACCCTGAACGGCGCTTGGGGACTGTGGATACAATGAAAATCATATCTTCACGTCTTTCCGAGTTACCCGTGAACCCCTAAGAATTTCATCCCAATAAATCATAAAATCTCCAATAAGAAAACTTTCCTGGAATCGGATAAATCTTTTGGTCGTAAGCATTCGAATGGTTATGGGATGAGTGGGTAACTTTTGGGGTTGAATGGTTTTTGGCCGTGACTTCCGTGAGAAGAATGACCGAGATCCCCCAAATTCACTACTTTACGTGAAGGAAGAATTGTATATCTATTAGCTCGAAAGCTCAACAGCGAATACTACCTACTACCCTACTTACACTCCATTTTACTTCAATTCAGAAATCTTTGATCAATTTATTCACCATGTCTGATAAGCCCGAGCTTAAGGAGCTCCATGAGCAACTCTTCGAGGAAGGTCTCAAGGTTCGCAGAGCTGTTGTTGGAGACACTTACGTGGATCGATCACTTGCGAATGGATCGAGCGAATTCGCACGTCCTGCTCAGGAGCTGGTCACAGAATGGTGCTGGGGTCACATTTGGACACGTCCCGGTCTTGAGCGAAAGCAGCGAAGCCTTCTTAGTATGCCACCCTCTAATGCTCATAACCCTTCATTTGAAACAGTCGAGCTAATAGAGTTCGATAGACCTGGGTATGCTTATCGGGCTGAAGGCGTGGCCAGAACTGGCCGTCCACACTCGTGGTGCGATCAACAATGGCCTTACCGAGAAAGAGATTAGCGAGGCTGTTCTACAAGCTACAATTTACTGTGGCGCCCCCGCTGGACTGGAAGCTTTCAGGATTACGGAGAATACCATCAAAGAAATGATTGAAAACGGAGAGTACAAGAGATCATAATTTCGGGAGCCTTCGATAGGTTGTCAGGCATTCGTTGAAATCTGTACTTTAAATTGAATGGAAGGAAAGAATATTTGCAAATAAAATCCTTGCGGAAGTTCGATTATATACATACCAGATGACTATAGGAGGGTACGGTGGCCTATACATAGTCATACTAATTCAGCCCTATACACTACTATCCACTTATGCAATGGATGGATGGATACCAGTTCCCTCCCATTCCAAGATTGATAGAGAGGGATTCATGCATAAACTATGTAAGATTTGAATCTTATCCCTTATACTATTAGTACTACTACCAGTACTATTTTACTTCGTAGCAGAAACTTGGAAAATCACAAACTTTTGTCGCATCTGCTATTTCAGCCGAACTCATTAGGCCAAAGCCGTCCCGGCATGAGGATATTACCGTAATTCAGATTGTGCCAGTTTGAAAATTTTAGATTTAATGATCCTAGGGGCGGCCGCTAGATGCCGCCGTATGAGGGGAATTTGGGGAATTGAAATCCACCTAGGTACGGACGAGTCGTGTGATAGTAGTTGGTAACTTCGCCCCTCAATTCATCCCGAGTTGCCGTAAAATACGTAAAATGCGGGGATAATGTTGCATCATGATAGTATGTAATGGGATGGTCTTTCAATTCTCCATATATAGATCCTCTGTCTTTTATCTCTCTCCTAGTTTTCACGCCAACTTGAAATCCACGCTGAACGCATAACAACTCAAAAGTATGATGAACACTGTTTCAGTTCATGCTCTACGAGCCGGCTCTTTGACACTCCCCGAAAAGCAATTTCTGGCGCCACTCGACGATATCAATAGCAGAAGAACTGTTCCTTCATTGTCTTTCTTGATAGAGCATCGCTCACAGTCAACGCGCAAAGTCACTCGTCTATTGTTTGATCTGGGCATACGTCGAGAGCCGGAGCTTTACCAGGAGAATATTCGTCGCCATACTTTGACAAGAAGGCCCCTGGATGGCCATCCCGATGTGATTGACTCTCTTTCCCTGGGAAATTTGACTAGTTCCGATATCGACTTTATCATCCTCTCTCATATACATTGGGATCATGTCGGGATGCCGTCTGACTTTCCAGATTCCTATTTTCTGGTGGGTGATGGGTCCATTTCTCTTCTGGAAGGTGACAAAAATGGAGAAAATGGCGGTCACAATCATTTCGAGAAGAATCTACTTCCAAGAGATCGTACTTTCCAGTTATGTGGGCCCGATGTTCCTCTACAAGCGGATTTCCAACCATTTGAACTCGACGGCCTTTCCTGTCAGCCCTGGAAGAGACTTGGTCAGCTACCACACACCATTGATTTGTTCTCTGACGGTTCGGTGATGATTGTGGACGCTCCAGGTCATCTTCCTGGACACATAAATCTACTTTGCCGGGTAAGAATGGACCCCGTTAAATATGTGTATCTTGCAGGAGACGCTTGTCACGATCAACGTATTCTCACAGGAGAATGCCAAGTTGCCGAGTGGCAAGATTCAAAATTCCCAGGCAAGATTTGCTGTATCCATGCCGATCGTTATAAGGCAACGGAAACGATAAAAAGTATTAGAAATTTGCAGATGGGAGGCGGTTCTCTCGGCGAGGTGGAGGTTATTCTTGCCCACGATGAAGACTGGGCAGAAGATGCGCAATTAAGGGGAAGATTCTTCCCTGGGTCGATCTGAGTTCATGCAGGTGAACCGAGTTATGGTTGAAATGTTTAGATAGCCTTCACTCAATTTTACTATCTTTTGATCATACTATAATTTGAAGCCCTGTCCCGAGGTCAATTTTGATAGAGTGTCTGCCAGTGACAACATTGAATTGTTTTACTCGACTCAAAGGATTTTAGGAGGATCAATCTCGGATCAAACAAATGGCATAACTTGAACAGATGAGATATGCATTTTGGCTAAGGAATGAAAGTTTTTCCCAAAGGATTCAAGTTGCTTCATTGGCATCAAATCACTGGGATTTTGTACTGCTGGATATTAGATTTGTAAATGTATATGTGGACTTTCATCTATACATATTGCATGTGCAGCAACCCCAAGCCCGAAGGGCGCTAAAATCTGATGAAAAAGCCCTGAACAGTCTTAAGTGTTCATTTCCTCTTGATTTCCACTTTTCATATCCTCAACAAACCCCCAAAATGCTTTTTCTTTGTATCCTTGGTCTTTCCAGTCATTTATATCTTCCTGGGGACTTTAATTATACAAAGGAAAGGTTTCAATCAGGATATTATCATGTGCCAGACAAATGAATACATTGGGGTCTGTATCCAAGGCTTTCAACTTCTCCACGCTTTGCTGGGCGACTTCCGGGTCTGAATATGCACTTTTAGAAAAGATAAACACCCATACAGCTAATGAAGCCAAATGGACGTACCATAGCCAAACTGAGTTGCATAGCATCGTGATTGCCCACAACCTCGAGTACAACATCAGCCCCGCGACCATTAGTCGCAGCTTTGATCGTGGTCTCGATAGATTCATCAAGGAGTAGCGCCTTAGCCCCAATATTTTCTGCCTCGGCCAGTCTCTCTGGAACCATATCAATGGCATAGACCGTGGGGCACCATGTAAGTGCGGCTGCGATTGCACAAATTCCCACAGGCCCGCAGCCGACGATAGACATTACACGCCAAGAATCTGACCATTGCATGGGGTCGCTGTCCAGTCAAGGGCATATTTCAAGAGTCACTGGATTGTCTCGCCAAGGTCCAAGATAAAGTTAGATTTCTTTGTGACCTCCATATGCCACTGGAGGATGCTTTTCAGGCCTATGAAATTTTCAACCAACGAAAGGCCCATAAAATTGTCCTCGACATGCCTTAGGCGTCATAACAAATGATATCCTTGGGACATAGACCATTAGACAAGCTCAATTCAAACCGAGGACTCTTTTGTACTCTAAAGAAAGCATTCCGCTCCTCAACCTTTCCTGGTTGCTTAAATACCCTGAGTAGTAGCGCCGCATACCAACTTGAATATAAGCAGGCAAAAGTCCAGGTACAATTTCCAAGGTTTAATATGTGAGTTTCTCCGTTCGTAATGTGAATCGGGTGGAATTTTTTTTTTTCGGGCAATTCCCCCAATTCCCCCAAATTTGATGCGCTTACGCCAATTACCCATATTTGGAAAGGGATCGAGGAAACTCATATCTTGCGAGGCCCCAGTTACTGGAAGCATTTAAACTCATTTGAAACTATTCTCAAAAGTGTGATTTCATAAGTGGGTTCCAAGGTTGCCCAGGTGGTGTCCAGGGCTGTAGTAATTTTTCGGGGTAACCCAGCAAAACCGGTTCCAAGGAGCTGAAGCCCTGGAGGTTGACGTAGGCCGGTATTGGTACTGTAAATACAGTAATTGGATAAAGGTCACGTGCGTGGCGGCACTTGTTCCACGCACGCGTCTGTGAGCATAGCTGCATAGGAGCTCATCAACGCGGTTATTCTCCACAAGACCCCGGAAGGAAGGAAATTCCAATAAACCCCAGAAAGTGGGGGGGTGTAAATACGGGTAGCCTGTGCCGAGCCCGAGGAACGAACCGGGAAGAGCAGGATCTCTAGACTCTGCCTTTCCCCGCAGATAACGGGAGCATTGCTCTCTTTGATTGACTTGACAAGGCAATCCATACCGTACTGTTGCGGCAACACATCGGATGATTATGAGTCCACCTCCTGATACTCAAACGGGCCCCCGTAATACAGAAAATTCTTCTACTGAGGCAAGGCGATTCAAATGTGATACGTGTCAGCGCCAGTTTCACCGACGAGAACACCTGCAGCGCCATGAAAGAATCCGTTGGTCTAGCCCAATTCTATTAAGTTTCCACGGGCAGCGGTGCTAAAATTGATATAGATTTTGGTCATAAGCCGTTCCACTGCTCATTTTGCCAGTATTCATGTCGTCGAAGGTCAATCATTCAGCCCTTTGAAAATGCGTGGAGAGCTCCGGCTAACCCATCAGAAGTGATCTTTTAAGCCGCCACGTCAAACTCTCACACTCGAAGAAAAAGGCAAAAAATGCTTCTGCTAGCCAAGAAGGGCCCTCTGGTGTGTAATTACTCATTGAAATCCGTGTACTCAGGGTACTAACCCACCATGCTAGAGCAAGCAAGCCAGCAGCCATTACCTCAATATGATTCATATACAACAGGAGCCCAGACAGGGCAGGAAATGCAAGCAGTATCAAGTGAACTATGCCCACCTGCTGTTCTAGCCCAGACCCAGCCAATGAGAGAGCTGCCACCATACACGAGCGGCGCAGGTGATGATGCATCGACGGCATTGCTCGAACCTGCTTTCTTAAATGCGGCCAATGACTCGCGATTATTTCCCTTCAGCTATCTCGACAACGTCTCTCTGCCCCCGATTTTTGACCAGGCTGTCCTATACCCCGGAGTCTCATTTAATGACTCTTTTGTTTCTCCCGTGTTCAGCACTGATCTCACCCAAGTTGACCAGTTTGGCGTTCAAGTTGGCGGCGACCCGACCGCAGGACCCTCAGGCGGGATTTTACATGGCCAGGCTCCGTTCCTGTCCGCCCCTGAGCCCGACCGTCCCCATATAAACACTAAGTCTTTTCTGCGAGTATCCCAGGATGACTGGCTATGGCTCTCTGCGCGAGTTTTCAGTTTCCATGCAGTTCTACCTACAGATGTCACCATACCTTCTCGACATGCTATTTCACGATACATGCATGGATTTATGACTGGATTCCATCCGCACTTCCCGATCATTCATCTCCAAACTCTCCAATTCAGAAAAATGGCACCGGAACTTATTTTGGCCCTGGCCGCAGTCGGAAGCCAATATTGCTTGGAAGCACATCAGGGGCTTAAACTATTTCCCTATTGCGAAAGCTATCGCGATGGAGCAATTGCGACAACGCGAAGCCGAGAAAGACGAAATCAACCATATTTCTCCTTCATCGTGGACACTCGTCCAATCTCCTAAATCACTACCCGGCACAAACCAATCAAATGCCAGTGATGGAGGACAACATTTAAACGAAAGGGGTTTAGAGTCCAGAGACCGTCACGATAGTATAGAAACAATCCAGGCATTGTTTTTCCTAATGGCCATGGCGACATGGGGAGGTGAGCATCGTTCACTTGTGAGACAAGCTCTTGCCACACAAAGTGTTTTGGCAATGGCTGTTCGCCAACATGGACTCTCGGAAAGTCCTCAGGCCCCGTCACCTCTGACTTGGGAAGAATGGGCGGGAACGGAGAGTGCCCGCCGCACCAAATTGATTATCTTCTCTTTTTTTAATCTTCATACCCTTGCGTTCAATGTTCCATGTCCACTCCTAATCGCGGATATTCAACTGCGAATGCCGTGTCCTGAAATGGAATGGAAGTCCACCGATGCTATAAGTTGGCGGAGAATCCACCAGGATACAAATGAGTCCCCTCTTTTCCAAGATTGCATTAACGCATTGCTTAGCAACAACGGAGTTTTGCCCGTCTTTTCGTCACTTGGCGCGCATGTGCTCATCCATGCCTTACTTCAACGCATTATTACCATCCAACAAGCAGTCAAATTGGTGGGCCCTGAAAGCCAGATGACTTCTGAGCTCACGTTAAGCTTGAAGCAAGCTTTGAAAAAATGGCAAAACGGATGGGAGCAAAATCCAGAGTCATCATACAGCCCGCTCGATCAATATGGCCCAATTGCCTTTAATTCAAGAGTAAGCCAGTACCCCGAAGAACTAAGCCTGAAGATGAGGGTTTACTTTTTTCCTTGTCCCCTGACCCTGACCATCTTTACATAGGCCCTATATCATTTAGCATATATCCGCCTATCGATCGACATTGGATCAGCTAGCTCTCTTTTAGAAAAAACTCCCGATGAAATTGCAAAGAACTTGCACGATAGTCCGAGGCTTCAAAAAAGCCCGCACCTACTTCTCGCTGCAAAACATGCGGTATGTTGGCTTTCCCCGACATCCTACCATATTATTTCAAATTTTGCAACTGACTTACTAAATCATCTGAAGACCGCTGCGTTATGTTCGCCTGTGCAAATGGGGGTGCACTTTGTTGGCCGCGCACCTAGTTGGTCAGTTATGCATGCTGTGTGCTCCCTTGAGTATGCGTATGCATTGAATCGTTTTCTTGAGGCGTATGTACTGTCTCCAGGAATTCTGCAGCATGATGAGCAGGCATTGATCGATACGATAAAAGAGACCTTGTATGAAGTGGAAACAGCACTGCCGGATGGCAATCTTAAGATCATTGAGACAGAACCCCGAGCCCTTGGTCCTAAAGCGGTAAGAGCCTGGGCAATGATCCTCCAAGGGATGCAGACCTGGAATGCTGTCAGTCTTATTACAAAGTGTTTATTTGCATACGCAGACCTGTTAGAGCAAGTGTCCTTCCAAAACACAACTAGGGATTTGTAAGATCAAGAAAATTGACATGAGGGCATTTATTCCGATGCTGTCTATGTGTAGTGGCCACGTAGCGGTCTGGCTTTAAGGGCGGCTGAATAATGCAATCATCATTTGAATCTACAAAGTGGTACATACTGGGCAGGAATAACTTAGTATGACTCGGACTAAATAAAGCCTTTTACTGCGAGATTCTAGGTGGGGTTTAGCGACGTCGGGTCCACACCAAATTTCCAAATCTTCAAATGTTGCGTGCAGATGCAACTTCAAGTTGAAGCTCCTTGAACCCCCCAGGGCTGGAGGACTAAACCCATTGGATACTACGAGTAGTCCACCGGTACGGTTCAAATGTTCGTGCGAGTCTTCGAGTCAGAACCTCGGACACGCCGCGGTTTTTTATAACGTACATATGTAATTTTGAAAGTAAGGACCTCCGAGTCTCTACTAGTGTATGCATGCACATGCACATGTGTGTACATAGTACCCCAACGAATTCAAATGTTTAGTTCCTGTGCAGTAGATTGACATCTGGACACTGGCAACTTGGATGAGGTATATTATTACGTATTCCAATGTTGCTGGCATGGTACCTACTACCACCTGGGCGAGCGCTACTAGTAAGGCATCAACACAATATTCAAATGTTTGAAGAGCTTCAATAAATGTCCAACACTGAAGTAAGCCTCTAGGCTATATTTCTAGAATCCATAAAATCTGCAAGTGAATCTCAAAAGTTGGATTTTTTCAGTTGAACCACGGGTTTTCATTCTTCCCCTTTTCAATCAATTGACGTTTTCTTCAAATCTTTGATTTTTCAGCAGTCGAATCTCGGACACATATTCGGAATCGGGATTGAAGTTGAAGTATCCACTTGGGCGCGGCAAGCCGAAAACTTTATATTCGGATGCTATTAGCCAATCGGATTTCAAAATAAATCCGAGTAGCTCGGATGCAAAACGATTTTCGATTGGTCAACCTTAGATCTAGTCACAAATTGACCCTCTTTGTGCCGAGTAATCTTGGAAGTTTTAAGGAATTGCTGAGTGAGAAAATGAGAAAATGAGCGAGATTGAAATGGATAATAGTATTTAAACAAAATCTAAGACCATTCAAATATTGGTGAGCTATAATCAGACGTATTCATCACTTTTGCTATTGAATTCAACATTTTGAACTTGTCTGCTGAATAGGCCACGCCTGATAGCGCGATCCATTATGAGCTTGGGCCAGGACCCGAAGGTACGTCTACTATAAACTTGGGATACATATGGAAGCTCCTAGGATTAACTAACAATATGTTGCATGACAGATGTCATCCGAAATGGATCTACCTCTCTATCGAACGAAAGGCCGTGCACTTGGTGTAGTTTTCGAGCACATGAACGTACTGGGCGCAACGGCGAGTGCAGGCGGTATTTTAGATTTGCCGTCCCTGATACTGAAAGTCACGAAATATCCCGTAGAGCTCGTTCTCTCTACATTTTCAAACCGATCCGTTTCTTCAAAGCATATTGTGCAGGATATCAGTGGTGTCCTTTTCCCAGGAGAGACAATGCTTGTCCTTGGTCGTCCGGGATCAGGCTGCTCAACAGTTCTAAAGGCCCTCGCAAACAACCATGCTCCCTTTGTTGAAGTTCAAGGACGCATCTCGTACGGGAACATTTCGTCTGATGAGATGGCCCGCAGCTTTTGTTCTGAGACTGTTTACGCAGGAGAGGATGATATTCACTTCCCAACGCTCTCCACGAAGAACACGGTTGAATTCGGCTACACGCTACGCAAGCCGGCCACACAGAAGCAATCGGACTCTAGGTTTGCTGCTGAGCAAACACAAAATATGCTGAGCTCACTGGGAATTGCGCACACCAAGGACACCGTTGTTGGAGATGCGTTCATCAGAGGTGTCTCTGGAGGCGAGCGCAAACGCATTACCCTGGCTGAAGCACTATCCATAAATTCAGCCTATGGATCTTGGGATAATCCAATTCGGGGACTGGACAGCTCTTCCGCCACACAGTTTCTGCGGTTGTTGAAGAATATTTCAAGACAGACTGGCATGTCCAACTGCGTTTCCCTCTATCAGGCATCTGAAACAATGTACCAGGAATGTTTTGATCGAGTCATGGTCCTTTATGATGGGCAGATGATCTTTTGTGGCAAAGCAGACGAGGCAAAGGAATATTTTGAAAACCTCGGATTTGAGTGCTTGGGACGTCAGACAACACCCGACTTCCTTACCGCAGTGACATCTCCTCTTGAGCGAAGAATCCGCCCGGGGTACCAGTCAGTTCCCCAAGATGCCGAGTCAATGGCGAAAGCATTTCGCAACAGCGAGAACTATCGTCGCCTGAATAACGATATTGCTTCCTATTATGGCCAAGTTGCTGAAAACGTTGAGTACACTCAGTCCTTCAAAGAAGAATCGCAAAGAATTCGGTCGAAACTTGCTGTTGCGAAAGCAATTGCCCCTCGATCCATCTTCAAGCAAACCTATTCTGCTGCCATCCGATACTATCAGCTTCTATGGGGGGGATCGTCGTACATTCTACACGGTCCTCGCTTTCAATGCAATTAATGCTGTTCTTAATGGCTCTGCCTACTATATGGCCCCGAAGACGGCGACTGGATCATTCGAGAAAAGCGGCGCTCTCTTCTTTTCTCTCATTTATTTCTTTCTCAACGCCCTCGCTGAAACTTCCGCTACTGTCAACTCCCGTGCTGTTCTTCTAAAGCAAATGAGATACGGATTCTTACATCCAGTCTCCTATGTCATTGCCCAGACCATTGCGGATATCCCTGTCGCTGCATGCCAAACGATTGTTTTCTCCTGTCTCTATTATTTTATGCTGGGTCTAGCAAAGACTGCCTCGGATTTCTGGACATTCTTTGCATTTGTCTTTGTCCATTACGGCGCTGTGCAAGCGATGTTTCGAATGATAGGAGCTTGGTCCCCAAACCTCAGTGTGGCCTTGTTGATGGCTGGTAGTGGAATGCCGGTCGCACTGTTATACTCCGGCTACGCTCCTACCATTCCTACCATGCACCGCTGGGGATCCTGGGTCCGAAGAATCAGTCCTTCTCCATGGGCTCTCGAGGCACTCATGGCTAATGAGTTCATGGATATAAACCTCCATTGTATGGACACACAAATGGTGCCGTCAGGACCTGACTACCAAGACATCCGATACCAGGGCTGTACGATTTCCGGTAGTACTGAGGGCTCTGATGTCGTTTCCGGAACTACATACCTGATTGATGTCTACCAATTCTTTCCTTCGCATATTTGGCGGAACTTTGTAATTCTCATCGCGTTCTGGGTTCTTTACACTGTTATTGCTGCGGTTGGACTTGCTATGATGACCCGGGAAAGCAGCGACTCTTACGGTCGCATGTTCAAAAAGGGTTCATACTCAGACTCTGCTTCTAGCATCTCTACCATGTTAGAGAATGAAGAAACTGGCGCGTCCAATCTACACTCCTCGTCAGAGACTGAGCTGGAACCGGAAGAAGTGAGAAGAATAAGGAAGAGCCTCAGATGTCCTTCACTTTCAATAAGCTGAGCTACCATGTTAAATCCGGATCTTCCGAAAAGCAGCTGCTCACTGAAGTCAGCGGCTATGTCCGTTCCGGGCAGCTAACAGCTCTGATGGGTGCTTCCGGTGCAGGAAAGACGACACTTCTTGATACCATCTCTCAAAGGAAATCTGAGGGTCGTGTGGAAGGGGAGCTGCTGTTGAATGGAAAGCCTTTGGATCGCACCTTTGCTCGTTCTTGTGGAATTGTCTTGCAGCAAGACGTGCACGAACCCACCGCAACAGTACAAGAAGCTTTGCAATTCTCAGCCCGCCTCAGACAGCCTGCAGATGTCCCAGAGTCCGAGAAAATGGCCTATGTTGAACATGTGATCAGATTGCTTGATCTTGAATCCCTCGCGGATGCTCTTGTTGGGGCTGTTGGTGATGGCCAGCTTAGCGTGGAAGAACGGAAACGAGTGACCATCGGTGTGGAGCTAGCTGCTCGCCCTTCTGCCCTTCTCTTCCTCGACGAACCAACATCTGGTCTCGACAGTCAAGCTGCTTACTCGTTAGTGTCTTTCTTGAAAAGGATTGCATCGGAAGGCCTCCCTATTGTTTGCACCATTCATCAGCCGTCTGGAGTCTTGTTCGATATGTTTGATCACGTTCTGCTTCTTGCACCAGGTGGAAAGACTGTTTTCTTTGGAGAGACAGGCAAACGGTCTTCGAATGTTGCAGAATACTTTGCTCGATATGGTGCTATCATTGGCGAAAATGATAATCCTGCAGAGTTCATCCTGGATACTGTTACCGAACAGGGAAGCACAAGAGACTGGCCGGCAACCTGGAATGAATCCCCCCGAGCGAAACAATTTGGAAAACAAGATTATCAACTTGAACGAAAAGGCAGCGACGTCTTCAAATCAGGATGAGACTTTGAATGAACAGCAATACGCCCTTCCAATCAACAAACAAATTCTCTACTTGACCAAGCGCCACTGGATTGCTATTTGGAGAAACGACCCATACAACTTCAGCAGACTGTTCAAAGCAATCTTTTGTGCGATTTTTATTGCCTTCAGCTTTTTCATGGCGAAGTCGGACATTCAAGGATTGCAAAACCACATGTTGGTACTCCTGTTGTTGTCCTGGATCATTCCTGCAACTGCTGCCGATATCCAAAGTATCTGGTTTGAGAAATGGGCCATTTTCTCCGCTCGTGAAAAGAACGGGATATACAAGTGGAACACGCTCCTTACTGCCCTGATTATCGTCGAAATCCCCTGGCAAATCTGTTTCTACACGATCATTTATCTGTGCAGTTACTGGACTGTGGGCTTCCCAAACAACCCAACCCTCGCCGGATTCCAGTACTTTATGTTTTTGCTGTTATCATTCTTTGGAACGGGCTATTCCTACCTCCTTGCTGCCTTATTTCCCAACGCCACTATGGCGAGTTATGCCAACTCCCTGTTTTGGGTTCTTTTGATGCTCTTCTCAGGTGTTCTGGTGCCCCATTCCGCGATGAACACGTTCTATAAACCATGGCTCTTCTGGGCAGATCCGATGCGGTACTTCTTTGGTGGTAGCGTGGCAAACATTCTGCACGGAGTGAAGGCAAAATGCTCTTCCGGTGATTTTACTCTTTTCGATCCACCATCGGGACAGACCTGCGCGGAGTACGCATCATCCTTCCTCGCCTCATCGACCGGTTACCTTGATAACCCGAACAGCACTGCACAGTGCGCTTACTGTCCTTATACTACTGGCGATGACTACACGGCAACTCTTGATTACTACTACAAGGACAAGTGGCGCGATTTTGCTGTTTTCCTTGGATTCTGTCTTACCAACGTCGCCTGCCTGTACATCATTATGTGGTTCAGACAAGGCAAATCGCAAAGATGAAGTCTTGTAACTTCAAGCTGTACACACAGTCTGGTTTGTTTCACATCCGCCTTCAAATTTTTCCAACGCCTACATCTTTTGCATGCCCGATTGTTCAATTTTTCTAGACTTCCAAACCTGAGGCTTTCTACTTGACCGCCACAGCCCTGGAGGGGTTTCGTGAGAACTCAGACCCTCAGTTGTCCACATTCTTTCGCAACCTTTCAGATGTTTGTTCTCATTTCCTTACTAGCTACTACCTAACAAAAGTCATAATATAAGCACAAATTAACTCTGCCAAACCTCCACTCTCTAACATGATGTAAGATTTTTATTTTTATTTTCATTTTTATTTTTCGTAATGACTTATCGGATGATTGAAGTGTCCGTTTCTCCAATATCCAGATCTAGTCACAAATGAGACACATAGACACTTTCTGGGTTATGACACACAAAAAAAAGACATGCATACACATCCACACACCAGATGCCAGGGAGGGTCAAAGTCAACCGTGGATGTGTCGCGGGGATGATAATAGTAATTTGCTCCTCATGTTCCAAGGCTTTCTCCTCAATTTCTCCTTACTTTCTCCTCACAATTGCTGCCTCTAGTAGACTCCATTTTCATGCGCACCCTTTGCATCAATGACGTGCGTGGCGAATTTTTGAGAAAAGAAGCCTATATCCGTGGAGGCTACGGAGTAGCCCGAGAGCAAAGGGCCATAAGATTATCCACACAGCGTAAGAAGATCCACCCATTGAACAATAGATAGATATTGACTACCTATACTATGTATTGTTGACGTTGTGTTGCTTTACTCCAACTGATGATGTACAGGATTCAGCGACGGGTGAATAAATTTGATCCAAATGTCGGTCACGGTCCTACTAGTAGGAACTAAATTGGACCCTCTCTGTAGTTGGGCTTGTATAACTTGATGTGGGTATTACTGGTTCAATAGGACATGTCAATACTGCTACATAGCCCTTTCTGAAGACTGAGTCAGGAGGGAATGCCTCCATAGTAGCTCTAGTGCAAGAAACACTTCTCCAAGAGGATCATCTTGTTCCATTATACTGAATATCTTTTTCGACCACTCTTCATTAGATAATTCTTGAGCCAAACTCCCGAGGCCTCTAGGTCTATCTACCCAAGGGACTGCTACATAGCTGTGTGCTTCCCCTCGCGACTCTACTACCCCACACTACCCCAACATTCTGCAAACCCCGGCGCGTGGGATTTTGTGGGGTTCGCGCTTGATTTTACGAGATTAAAACATCGAATGTGGTCTTTAAAGTTGCTCAGTTTCCTTAAACTCAAAAACTCACTGTTACATACTGACCTGCGATTTTACAGTTCAGGGTCTTCGGGATCTTCAGTCTCATTCAACGCTTCACACCTCCCCTCAACATGTATGCGCATTCGTGGCACGACTTGCCTCTCCAGCTAGGCAGCGTGCTCGAAAATTTCAACCAATCCATCGGCAATAACGCTCAATTCGTTGCTTTCACCGATTCCGATTACATTTCAGAAGATGTCACCTTTGCAATTAAGTCAGTGGGGAGCGATGAAACGATTCTCTTCACCTTTAGTCGGTCACACTGCACTGCTCGAGTTGGCCGACCTGAGGAGGCTCTGTTTTCACTTGCTGCACTGCCTTTTCAGTGGGAACATATGTTCAAAAAGAATCCAGTGGTACCTTACCAAAGCTTCTGGGCTCTATATGGCCAAAACATCAGACAAGAAGGCGTTGAAGTGATTGGGGACCATCTTGCATTTGCCAATTACGCTCATATCTGGCGAACCATATTAGATGTCTTACACGATGTCTACTGTGGTCCCAATGATGTGGATCTTCAGCCGGAACAGGAAGATGACTTTTTGGTTGGTCGGTATATCTTCATCAATACCGCCGCTTGGGGTAGATGCAAGGTCTTTTTCGAACGAAGTGGCACAGGCCCTCGAGAAATATTGTTTCTACACACTGCAGGCTCTGACAGCCGCCAATACCATGGTGTTATGAATGATTCAAGAATGAGGACCCGTTGTACCATGGTTGCCTTTGATTTACCTTCTCATGGTCGCAGCTTTCCCAGTGCACAAGCTCTCGGCGGCCACAGCAATAGCGAGGACGCATATATTGAGATTATTGCTGCTATCATCAAAGCTCTTGGAATGAAGAAACCAATTATATGCGGAGCGTCCATGGCAGGTCAAGCATGCATTGCTCTGGCAATTCGTGCCAGCGAGACTGGTATTGGTGGATCGATTCCTCTACAGGGGTATGTCAATTTTGGACTTAAATGTCATCCATCCCATCGCCGCGCGCAAATGCTAACATTCTGTAACAGTTGCGAACGAGTTGAAATGAAAAGAGAGTGGCACGACAAGTCACCTCTGATCAATAGTGCTACATTCAACCCGGAGTGGGTTTACGGGGTATGCTTGTCCCCATCTCTGCATCCAGCATGGCTTCTTATATCTAACGTTGTATTTCAGATGATGTGTCCAACGGCCCCTAGTGCGAATCGCAAATTACTTTGGCATACATACAGTGGTCAAGCGTATGGTGTGTATCACGGTGATTTGGACTTCTACTTCAATGGATGGGACGGTCGCGGTCGCGTGGAAACCATCGACACGAAAATATGCCCCATCTTCTTTCTCACTGGCGAATATGACTGGAGCAACACACCTCAGATGTCCGAGGACACTGCAAGAAAAATCCCTGGGGCCAAGTTCAAGAGAATGCCAAATCTGGGCCATTTTCCTGCTACTGAAAATCCTGCCATTTTCGTGCCTCATCTTCTTGAGGCTGTTAATTTTATTGATGCAGAGCTTGATTTGACTGGAAAGCTGTGAAGGTTAAATACTGTATTAGAGGAGTAGCGATGAGGGGTTTACTGATGCTTAGCAGAAACATTTTCTTGGAATGATGTATGTAGTAGCGACCTATCCAGATGGGTGTAAGAAATAGCAAGTCAGACTATTCAATCTTATCTTTCCTTCTACCAGTCAACTGATACAACTTGAAGCTTCATACTCCTAGGCCTCCAGATGTCCTTCCTATAGACTTCAAATGTTGGAGGGGTTGAAACCTTGAAACTTGACAGTCACAATCTCTTTACGGGAGTAATCACAGCTTGAAAATTCTGCATCAATATTATCTTGTGTAGTAGTGAGGCGAGGTCTCCAGTCCGCTTCGAGTCCTTTAGAGTTGTAGTTGTGGTTTGTCCATTGTAGCTTCGTTGACCTGTACACCGTTGAGTGTACGGCTGAGCTCAGACATCCCATCCATTTATTACTAGCAAACATACATAAGGAAACTTTGTTGCATTGAATGCATTCAATGTTAATTCGAGGACTGCTTTCAAATGTTGGCTTATTTTCTTCCGTTTTCGTATTTCGACTCCCCCTTCTACCTGTGGCAAGGTTTCCAAGGTTAGTTTATGTTGCCAGATAGAGAGACCGGATTTTTTCGGCTAACTATTCAACTCTTTGTTAGCATTGGGGACGATTCATCGAGTAGTTACGTCGTTCCAAGGTTTAAACGCCTTCCAAGGTTGTAACTTGTGACCTCTTTACCCTCGAGGTACTGTATGTGGCCCGTGGGGACCCCAATTTCCCCAATTCCCCCAACACATCTATACACGGACCACGACCCTCTTCAACTACACCACCCAAGCGATCCCGAAAATATGCTCTGTTGTAGTGCCGTCAGCGATTGGTTCTCTCCAGATAATTCCTTCAATGCGTTTGCCATACAGTTGGGGGCGGGGATACTCCATCCCGCACATTGGGGCTCGGTAACTCCACGGACTTGAAGCCTCATATAAGTAAGTGGACAAAGTATTCTGGGCTTCCGCCCTAGCCACAGACCAAGTAATTTTATCGCAAGCTTATCCAAGGACACTTCCAAATTCAAAGATCATGGCAACTAAATTCTCCCGACTGGGCTTCATCGGGCTCGGCGCGATGGGAAAGCATATGGCAGAACAACTTGCCATCAAGCTCCCTGACGGCGTCAAAATCTTCGTTTTCGATGTTGCAACACCACCTGTGAAGGAGCTTGTCGAGAAATACCCCGGCAAGGTCATTGAATGCTCTTCACCAAAGGAGGTTGCTGAGAAATCGGTTAGTAATCATTTCAATCGGACAAAGAAGACTTATGTCCAATGTTTGCTAAAATTTCGGCAGGATATCATACTCTCAATGGTCCCAGAAGGACGTCACGTCGCTTCAGTCTATCTGGATGAAGCTACTGGCGTAGCTGCTGCAGACCTAGGCAAGCGTGTTCTTATTGATTGTTCCACCATTGATACCGCCACCAGCCTTCGCGTCAAGAATTACATTGCCGAGCATCACCCGGCCGCATCATTCTATGATGCCCCGGTCAGTGGTGGTGTTCTCGGTGCCGCTAAAGGAACAGTTGCCTTTTTCCTTGGTTGCGACAAGCAAGACCCTCAGATTGGGGTTCTCACAGAGCTTCTCAGTCTCATGGGCAAACAAATCATTCCTTGTGGGAAGCCTTCACTCGGGCTAGCTTCGAAATTATGCAACAATTATCTCTCTGGTCTGATTGCGATCGCTAGTTCCGAGGCTTTGAATATGGGTATCAAAACCGGTCTTGACCCACGGGTGTTGTCCGATGTATTTGCAGCCGGGACAGCACAGAACGCCATTTGTGACCGTTTCAACCCTTGCCCAGGCGTCGTTCCGGATGCTCCGTCCAGCAAAGGATACGAAGGTGGGTTCAAAGTTCAACTTATGAAAAAGGATTTCTCGCTTGCAGTGAATATGGCGGAAAGTGTGGGTGCCAATATGGTGCTAGGCCAGCAAGGATTGAAAACCTACGAAGCTGCTTCCAATGACCCAAAATGTTTTGATCGGGACTCGCGTGTTGTTTTCCGTTACATTGGGGGTGATGAGAAGTGGGCTGATAAGTTTGAATAGGGAAGTTTTGTACATTTCCTTATGATCCGATGGATGTCTTTTGTTTTAAGAGAAAAAAAAACAAAACTCCGAAGAAAAAATAAATAAACATCGAATACAAGCTTAATGCATAATCAATCAGTAATAGCTCAATAATTCCAATTTATCACCTCAATTCCGGTTTCGAAGGAAAGATTTTCAATGTGATGTTGGGGTATATACTATGTATTGAGCCTGGAGGTTTGGGCTTGGACGGCCTGCGGCCCTGCAGCCAGAATCTTAGTGATCTTAGTGGGTCAGTGATCAGTAATCATGCCTGACGGTCACTCAGTGCGCTGCAAATGCTCACCTTCCACACTCTCTAGGAATATCCGCTCGAGGCAATTTTGCCGCGTCTTACCATATCTGACATTAATTTTTTCGACTCTACCGGACTTTTCCATTTGGGAAAACAATTTAATACCAACGGCAATTCTACGCGACTCGTTGGGTGGTGCGAGGCTAATCAAGCCGTCATTTCAGAGATGGAGAGTAGCCCAAACGAACAAGCAAAAAAAGAGACATCTATTGCCAAATCACGCACCAGTCGCGCGTGTGAAATATGCCGAGCGCGCAAAGTGAAGTGCAATGGGGTACAACCATGTTCTAACTGCTGGCAACACGGGCTTGATTGTGTATTCCGGACAGGGGCCCCCAGGACGTCCCGTCGAAAGCGGCCTGTACCCTTCCCTTGTTTGCCAGCCTTTCGGGTCAAGCCTCCCAACCAGCAACCATCTCCTGTCAAAACTACCCATGTTCGATATGACCCCACTCAACTGAAGAGACAAACAGAGTTGCGTGCAGGAATTGGTGTTTCAAACAATAAAACCGGCTCGTTCCAGTTCCATGGTATGAATATGAAGGCCAGACATATTTTGAAGACCAAAAAAAAAAAAACAAACAAACAAAACCCCCTGACTGATTGATGTCTATAGGGCCCTCATCTCATTTCAATTTCATTCAACGTGTTTATCAACGAATACATCAAACAGCCAATGGAACCTTTGATCAGCAGAAAAAAGCTATACCGGGTGGCCTGCAGAAATGGGGCCTGGAGCCTTTTATTTTCTCCGCCGGGTCCAACGCAGTCAAGCCAACCCGCCAGTATCAAGGAATTGTTCTTACTAAGGCCCAAGGCGATATATTCTTGAAATCGTATTTTAGGATTATTCATCCCCAGGTGCCAATTATGTCCCGGTCTGACATTTGTTCAACCTGGGAGGAATGCTGCGGTCCTCCAACTTCAAGTTTGGAGACGGATTGTTGGTCCCAAAAGATTCTATATATGGCGCTTTCTTTAGGTGCCAGGGTTTCGCAGCCAACAAGCGAATTGACAGCAGATGGATTAGAAAAATGGGCTGACTATTTCTCGTCTCAAACCAACGACCTTGCTCTGGTCTTTCAAGAACCCAGTTTCAAAGTTCTTCAATTTTTGTTACTGAAGGTTAGTGGAACTCTGGTTCTTTTGGTGACACCCTGAGCTGATACATTCACATGTGCATAGGCGATGGATTCATTGCAAGCAATGCGCCCCAACGAAGTATATCTATTTCTCGGACACGCTGCGCGGACTGCCCTTGCTCTAGGCATCAACAAGAGCCAGGTGGCTAATGGAAATAGCCTCAACATGCATCGCCTGCGAGTCACTTTCTGGGCTGTGTATGCAAATGAGAGAATGAGTGCTCTATTCACAGGGCGCCCATCGGGCCTGGTCGACGATCATATTGACGTCGCCTATCCAGAGGATCTACCCGCATTGGAAAACTTACGGTCGTTTCGAGATATAGAGAGTGATCGACCCACAAAGGAATGTGCTATGATTCGTTCGATGGCGGAAATAGGCCGCTTGGCAGAAGTAATTGCCAAGAAGGTTTACTCTTCCCTCAGTATGAAGACTTTGGAGAACCTAGCAAACATTCAAAATGTCGTTCGGGAATGCGATACTTCACTTGACCTCATGACGCAGTCTTTACCTCCCTACTTGCATTTCTTTGATGGAACAAGTCACATTGGTCAAGATTGGCAAGAGGTTCAGCGCGCTCACCTTGGACTGAACTTCAATCTCATACGAATGCTCGCACACCGTCCGGCTCTGGTATATACTTCGTTGTTCGTGTCAAAGACGGGCGTCAGAAGTGAGATATCCGATGCCATGTGTATTGACAAATCAGTTACAGCATGCATCATAGCTGGCAAGGAGATTGTGACAATCTGCAATGATGTCATTTTTAATCGGTTGCCTGCCATTCGGAACGATGCCTCTGTGGCTGCATTTCTTGTGGCTGCTTGCGTGACTCTGCTCTACGAGATCATCGGCCCTGGTGCAGATCCTGTGCATGCTAAGGAAATTTTAGGTTTCGTGGATCAAGGAGTTCATTGTCTTGATCAGATGGAGCATATCGGACCAACAACGGGAAAGGCTCTCAGTGTTGACGTGATGAATTGTGTTAAAGAAGCTTTCCAATGCTCCAGCGAAGAAATCCCCCAGTTTGACAGTCTCGTTAGTGAGTTTCCGTGGCTCAGGTATGTTTTGCCCTTATTTCTAGTTGGTCTACTATAAGATGATGCTGACCTCGTATTCGTACAGTCAAGAATATATCAATTCTGTCTCCGAGCCCCCTTATGCTGTTTCCGGTAAAACAACTTCCACTTTTCCCAACGATGTCAACTATGGTCAAAGTTCAAATCCTGCATTTCCTTCATTGAATAGGACTAGTGATATGTCCAGAGATGTTGATCTCCGGTACACTTCGCAATGGCTAAGCGGAGATTTCGCAAATATCGACCTTTTGGATCCATTATTATGAATTGCGAGATCTAGTATGCCACATGTGCATGAACTTGAAACTTAATTGGTTCAATATATGTGCAAGATTAATTTCAAATCGGATCTCAAAAAGCACTGCTTGCCAGATGGAAGTTGGGGTTCTGAATGATAGCTTCAAATTTTATGTATTCATGACGCCCAGGGAATAGGTATCGACCCAGCGTTTGTGTGTTCACAGCCATGAGCGGCCCACGTTCTGATGATCTGAGAGAGAGAGAACTGAGGCCCACTTGGACCAGCCAGAAATACCATTTTTGGCATCTACCCAGAATTCTAGCTTTATTCGTGTGCACTCAAAAAATCAATAATGCCCAAAGATGCAACTGATGTTGGCGCTATCGTGATTCGTGCCCAGGTGGACCGTGGTAACGTATAGGGGCCAATAGGTACTCATAGCAACGATCCTGTCTAGCTGGGCTTTTTTGGGCTGAGAAAAAGGTCCGTGTTTTTGGCCAATCTTGGAAAGTCAGAAAAACTTTGTGATCATCCGGCTTTCGTCTGTGGCTGGACTGCCGGATTTCCTTGCACCTTGCCGACACATAGTACTTTTGACCTTGAAAGGTTGACTGAAATTGGGGAAATTGGGGTCCCCTCACGATCCTCGGAGTATGAACCAGAAACCAGAATGGATACGCAGCATACACTAGCTGCCCACCTGGGCAGGTAGAGATGGATCCCCACCATCATATTATTAATCAGGTGTCGCCTTGAGTCAAAGAATTTCTGAGAATTCCATGTTGTGATGCTGAAGGCAATATTCGTCTAGTTTTGAGGATTGGCGAAACTTCCCTGTTTCTTTATTGGATCTTTGGAATCTATTGATGATGTAAAAGCAATGTAAACTTGGGGAAGTAAACCTCCGAGTCGGGACTTCCTACAACCTGATAAAACGCCTAATCATCTGTCAACTTCTACATTTCCTGTTGTCAAAATTTGAATTGATCCACCGAGCTTACAAATACAACCTTGGAACTGACCTCGTGGGAGGTACATACACGATTTGGAAACAGGTCAACATGAAAATGCCAAATAGTATTATATAAGTGGCTATGTTAGGTACCTAGTTCTACTAAGCGGTCCAGCTTTCATCATCTCGATTTACTGAGTAGGCACTATTTGAGATACTATCTGTCATTTCTGCCATTGCGTAGTTAAGATCAAATCTGTCCAGCATGCCCACCGACAAATTGAACTTTTCTTGTGTGCTCGTCACTGGCGGTGCAAGAGGAATTGGAAAAGCGCTTGCTGAATATTTTGTTCATCTTGGCAAGAAGGTCATTCTTGTGGGACGAAACGAATGGAACTTTTCTGCCGCCGCAAAGGAAATAGACGCCGAGGCTTATTATGTCTTGGACGTTGGTGTGAGCGCTGATATTCCTGCATTCGTCGAGCGCATCACAAAAGAACACCCTGAACTTGACTGCATAGTCAATAATGCCGGTGTGCAGCGACAAATTGATATCGTTGATGGCGATCTTGAAGATTTCCTCTCGAAGGCCGACCAAGAAATCGATATCAACATCCGCGGTCCTCTTCACCTTACTATGAACCTCCTCCTTCACCTTCGTTCAAAGCCTCAGGCGACAATTGTCAATGTCTCATCGCTTCTCGCCTTCCTTCCTACACGAATGGCCAGCCCAGTATATAACGGTACCAAGGCATGGCTGCACTTCTGGACTATGAACCTCCGGACGGCACTTGAAAGAGTCAATGATAACATACGCGTCATTGGGATCGCTCCCCCAAGTGTTGGTACAGATCTACACCGTGAAGCCGAGGATCCCGATGACAACAAGAAACACAAAAGCCCAACGGCCCTGACCATCGAGGAATTCATGGAGGAAATTGAACCCAAGTTAGAGCGAGGGGACTACTTCATCGGAGCTGGTCCAGGTGTGCAGCTTATTGAGAGGTGGCAACAGAACTTTGAGCCCGTGTACGAATCAGCCGTTGCCAAGATTAAATGGGGAAAGCCTTAACTTGAAGCCAGTAACCTGTACTAAGAAAATCACTTCCATGTGGCTTTGCAGGCCGCACAGGGACAGTGTATTTGATTGTGTAAATTGGGGATTTGCAATACCAAATTGTATGTGAATATCACGCTCCTGTAAAAATCGAATTTCATAGTTTTATCGATAGCTCCAAATATCCACCCCACCCAAGTAAGTTCAGGCTGTAAATTTGGCAATCCGAGTATATGGAGCTTTTAGACGTCATAGTATTGATTTAATAGACATCTCAAGTGCTGGAAGTAGCGGATGGAGAGGCGATCATGTTCCCTGGCTCCGCCTACTATTCAAATAAGGGCTTGAGGGGTATGAGGAGAAACCCGATGAGTGGATCTTGCCAAAAGTGCCACAGCTTAGGGTAATCGATTTCTATCATCCCAGGTGCCGGCATGCCGATCTAATCGACCCGGAGATCTGTCCGAAGGACGCGTATTCTGATGGAGTTCTGGCCGAGATATTACAGAATGCTCCATACCTCTGAAGTATACATATAAATTATAACAAGTACCGACTATTTATGCGCTAGTACTACATCTGGACAAATGTATGCAGATCCTCTTTCATACTATTACTAGAGTTGAGAAGCAACGAGCCTATTTCTTGGATGAATCCATGACAATCAGTTTATTCAAGAGTACAACAGACTTACCAGTTCAAGTTGACACAACTCATTAAAAGATTATCTTTCTTCCTTCCTCTGCTACAATGAGCAGCAGACCCTTTTGTGAGCTGCAGAGAGCAGTAACTACCAGTGATGAAAGTATAAATTCAAAATCCTCAGCAGATCATTCTCCTGAAGTCGGATCGCCGTGTGAGATGGAACTTGAAAGAATCAACACCCATCGTCTTCAGCAGCAGGAGACTGTCGGCTCAAGATCGAGCAATGTATCGCAATAGCTTCCTATGGGCGCCGGAAAGTCTTACCCATCAATGACCGCAAACCTCAATGACTTTATGGTTGAATTCGACGGACCTGATGATTTCTTGCACCCACACAATTGGCCATTGAGAAAAAAAAGTATGAATCCCAACACCAGCGTCTGGGCATAACCACTGGCATGATGATCAATGCGATAAATGGATGCTGACAGAATCTCGATTTAGAATTGCTCAGGCATGCATCCTCTCCTTTTCCGCGTGGCTTGGTGGCTTTAATAGCGCTGTTTCCTCTGCTGCTGCCCCAGTTATTATGAAAGTATTCGAATTTGGCGAAGAGGTCGCTAGTCTGGGAGCTGCTCTCTTTGTATTAGAATTTGCAACCGGTCCAGTTATATGGGCTTCAGGCTCAGAGCTTTATGGAAGGCGTCCTTCAATTCTTGTTGGAATGCTTGGGTTTGCGATTTTTTCCATTTCAACTGTAGTATCCAAGGACACGCAAACACTTATGATCTCCCGTTTCTTCTCCGGTCTTTTTTCAGCCAGTCCAATTACATTGGTTTCTGCCATTCTAGGAGACATGTTTGCCAGCTCCCAGCGTGGGATAACTATTTCCCTTTATACAATGGCTGTTTTTGGCGGCCCATTTACTGCTCCATCTGTTGGTGGGTTTGTGGTCAATTCATATCTTGGCTGGAGATGGTGCTTTTTCTTCCCTGCCATATTTGGATTTGGGATGCTAATATTTTGCTTTCTGTTCGTCCAAGAAACCTATCCTCCAATACTGTTTGTTGGCAAAGCTTATGTTCTACGTCATCAGACACAGAGCTGGGGCATTCATGCTAAACAGGAGGAGGTGGAGATAGATATCTGGGAGCTTTTGACAACAAATCTGTCTCGTCCACTGGTTTTTCTATTCACTGAGCCTATTGTGCTGCTCTTGAGCCTTTACCTCTCTTTCTTGTAGGGTTTTTGCTATGCATTGCTTGAAGCGTTCCCTCTTGTTTTTGAGGATGTCCACGGAATGACAGGCGGCGTCAGTGGCCTTCCTTTCTTCAGCCTAGTTATTGGGGCTATTTTCGTCTTCTGTCTCCAGCCTTCATACAAATAGAAAGGTGAAAGCGAATCATTACGTTGCGGTTCCTGAATGGCGGCTTCTTCCTTGTGTCGTGGGAGAGATCGTTTTTGCAATGGGATTATTCTGGTAAGGCCCCTTCTTTCAGTCATACTTCCCCAAAATTCACATTCTCCTGCTAACTTGAGGGGATTCAAGGTTCGGTTGGACAGGGGTTTTACCCTCAATCCCCCCAAATAGCACCTACGGCGGCTGGCATTTTTGTTGGATTTGGGGTTATCACAATTTTTATGCAGGGGTGGAACTATCTTCTGGACGCATATTCGACATTGTAAGTCAGAATCTTTCCTCTGTGCAGAACAGCTCAGAGCAAGACTAACATTTAAAACCAGCTCCGCTTCTGCTTTTGCTGCGAACACATTTTGAGATGTTTATTTGCTGCGGTATTTCCGCTGTTCACAAGACAGATGTTCCAGACCATGGGCATACAGTGGGCATCCACCCTTCTCGGGTGTATAGCCACGGTGATGATTCCCATTCCTCTCTTTTTCATCATTTTCGGCGCCCGGATTCGAGCTAAAAGTCGGTTTCGTTAAATCCAGATATCAAGTCTTTTATACTATTTGCACTTTCAAATGTTTCAAATTCACTGCCTGTGTGTATCAAATCCCTTCTAATACTAACAAGGTATTTGGCAACTACTAGTATAGCCATGCTTTGCCATACAATGTTCCATTCGATGCATTCAAATATTAATTTGGATAATAAGTGACCCTGCCTCGTGGGTTAATATCGACCTTCCAACCACATGTATTCAGTCCAGAACACATCTACAGGTTGAGTCTGATTATGACGCTATGGTGTGTCTATTCAACTGCCAGGGTGAGCTTCCTGGGTAAGCATTAAAATTCTGAGAATATAGCCTTTTTAGTTTCGCTGCTACAGTGCCGCGCGAGGCGCAGCGTGAGGAACCGTTGGGTGAATGTCGGGAGTAGTAATGAGAGATGCTCTGGAGGCACAACAAACTTTACTCATAACACTTAAGAGTCCCTGTGCTTTCAAATGTAACAAGGATCACATCTTGTATCACTAGTCATTATGCAGCTGATATGGTCATCTAACAGAGAGCTGATTCTGGGCATGCACTACCTGAAGGTTCTATGGCCGTGCTTCTTAAGTAGTTTCACCACTACATCATGCTCATTCTCAACTGCCCATGATAATGGTGTTTGACCAAATTTATCTTGAGAATAAATATGAGCATTCCGATCAAGAAGTAGTTTCACCACGGCATCATGCCCTTTCATAGCTGCCCACGATAGCGGTGTTTGGCCGGATCCATCTTGAGAATCCACATCGGCATTCCGATCAAGCAGTAGCTTCACCACTGCATCATGCCCATTCTCAGTTGCCCATATTAAGGGTATTCGGCCGCATAGATCTTGACAATCTACAACTGCATTCCATTCCAGCATCTTTTTCGTCAATGTCTTAAGTTTAAAACGTGCTGCAAGGTGCAACGCAGTACTCTGCACTAGTATTTGGGACTTGGCTCTCCGCCAAATCCTGCTGGAGATCATTGCCTGGCTACACGCATATACTTTCAAGGTACTGTCAAGAAAAGTCAAAGTCAAGTCGTCGTCCTCGATTCCAGAATGTTTGACATGATGTCCCTAATTTTTCGCGGCATAGCCATAAAGAGCAGTGGATCGTAACCTCTCATCCAAACTCTCCGCAGTTAAGCTGCATCCAATTTCAAAAATTCCAAATGACAAGCAGGTAACAGAAGACCTGGCAATTTTGGTGTGTGCATTCAAGAGCCAATCCTTCCGAGCCCGCAAGTACTCTTGTGTGGTATAGTGCACCAAACGTACGATACTGCTTTCATCATCCATTGTAATGAGTCCCATGCAGACCGATACCATATCTTCAATATGTGGCATATCTTCTTCATCAAACTGAGACTCTCCATGCTTTATTGCGACGGCATACCTGAGCTCTGATGCACGAAGTGGGCGGGTTGCACATGTGATCCAGGACAAAACCTTCACTGCGAGTTGTTTCAATCCTGTCTGCTGCTTTCCAATCCTTTCCATCACTGGATCATATGCATGAGCCAATATCTCAGTTTTTTGCTCTTCATTTGAACTTCGATCTTGCTTTTTGAAGTTTGTCAAAGACCTTCGGATAGCATTTGTGGTCAGTTTGTCCTCGAGGGAAGCAATATAAATTTGTGCTAACAGAAACATTCCATCCGCTGCATCTGAGATAGCACTTTTGACCTCCTCCCGCAGCTGTGAATTATCACAAATAAATGGTCATAGCTCACTCATATGGCCATCGATATACATCCTCACGTCCTCAACGGTCGCACGGATCTCCAACCAAAGGCTGCCCTTATATTGATCCATAATGTCCGGGATGAATTGCGGAGTCGCCAGGATATTCGCATTGCACCCTGATTGCAGCTTGAAAAGCTCTGATAAAAATTGCAACCGGCTAGATGTTTGACATTCATCAAGTGCATCAACGATGATGAAGAGTCTTGAAAATGTAGCGGCTACAGTCTGGAGAGCTAGCAAAATTTCTGCGACTGATGGCCGCGTCGCTCTTGGTTCATGGTGTTCATAGACTATTTTGACGCTATTTGGCAAAGATTGGCACTGTCTGGCTAGTTGTTTCAGTAAACTTGCTAGCAAATTGTTGATTTTCTGATCGTTCCGTCGTCTGAAGTTGCAGTAGACATATGCGATACCAATCGTTGACTCTGCTTGAAACTCCTGGTCAAGATGGTCGATTACAATTGAGCTGATGATAGTTTTGCCTGCTCCAGGCATATCGGGCAAAACATTGTCTGGGTTTTAGTCGCTTTCCAGGTCTGGAATTTCAGTGACTCTAAAAGCCACTGGCCCGTTCCAGGTTGTCGTCTTGCCAGAAACTCACTTTGTTCAGCGCCAAAGTCTATGGGTGTGAGCCATTCAAGTATCCTGAGATCCTGCATATTGTCCAGATGGGTTCTCATTTTGTTGACGTTTGTTGACGTTTGAGATACGGTTTCAAGAACTAGTAAATGGGCATCATTAGAATACTGTAAAGCTAAATGAAAGCTCGTCATATTCACTCACCGTGTCCGAGTATTTCTTTGATAGGTCGATCTCGTGCAACTTCACTTGCGTGTACAACTGACAACAATTCCTTGGCAAAGGCCGAAGCCCTGACTGCAGCATATTCCTGCCAGTCTTTGTTCTTGTGAGAGTCGGCGTAGTTACAGATTCCTCGGATGACGATGCAGGGGAAATTGTTCATCAGTCCTGCTGCCTCCCTCTCAACACAAAGGACATGTCCGTCGAGATCCTGTTTGAGTTTACGTCGGAGAGCAGTGTCCTTAATCACCTGATTACCTGAGGCGATTAAACCGAAGTGTACAGTCATGTCTCTTGCTTTCCTCTTCACGACCTGTGTTTTATCGCAGAATCTGCAGCTCTCGCCCTCATCCTCCTTCTCTTCTTCCTCCTCTCTTTTGCCACGATCATCTTCGTTAGAAACAGTGGAGGTGTTATTATCAAGACCCATAGTGCGCCTGATTAGGTGTTTATAACTTGCTTTGAATAATATATCCTCTAGACCACACGGAAGGTACTTGGGGACCATTCCGGGGAACTTGGTCTTCAATTCCTCCAAGTACTGTGGTATCTTGGAGAGACCCAGATCGTGTATCGTCTCCAATGTTGACAGAGCCGTGAGAAGTGATGTGGGCGGATTGTTTAGTGATCCAGTTCATTCGAAACTGCCTCCTGCATTCGCCTTGCCAAGATCCCATTGAACCACACCAGGAAGTTTCCCTACAGGTGTGCCGACCACCACGTCGCCAAGTCTGACCTTGGGTGGAATGCCCCCACCAATGCCCACCATCAGGCCAACTTTAATGTTCGGAAAGGTCGAGACCATCCAAACAGCAAAATTTGTTGCCGCGTGTGTTCCATACTGGCCTTTGGGGAGGCGAGCTATCACAACGTTGTGCTCGCCAATAGATCCAAGAGTGTAGTTATTGGAGTCATTGGGTGGTTTTGGAAGCTGGTTGTGTTCTTGATCCAGCATGGCTGTCGCCGCGATCTGCTCCTTGGGTAGAGCACATACCCATCCCACAGTGTACTCGGCGTGACTTCGGGGTTCCGTATCGATATTCATATTTGCAGTCTAGTAAGTAATAGCTTAACACTATGGCTAGAAAAGCAACCTTGGAAAGATAGATATGAACCAGCTACAGCAGATTCTGGTTGGTCACAGGACTGTTCCAATTCAAAATGAAAGATAGTGTCACTGTGCCCCGAGGCACAGCAAATTTTGTTCGCAATGAAGAAAATTGCCAGTAGCATCAAACGAAAGGAAAATCAGAATTAATCAAAAAGGTCCCTTTCATTATCGAGCCATCGGCTAAATGTTCAAGTTTGCAGCACTTGAGCCCATTGAAGCCTTGCCACGTAGGCTGCATGCGGGGGTTTGCAGACGCATTAATCTGCAGCCCCCATCGCGCGTCACTTTAAGGGCGCATAAAGCATGCCGAAATTCATATAGGACCTGCCATTCATCAACACCAGAATTAATAAGACACAGGATCCACGGGGTTAGCATGTGATATATTGGTGAACTTCATGATCTCCAAAAATTCGATAACTTGGAGGTTGGAAATTTATATGGTAAAATGCCGAAGGCCGGCGCCAGATGAAGCCTCCCCGGAGCTAACGCGGGGTCCAAACAAGAGTTGAGTCGACATAATTTACTCCGAAATCCTGACCTCAGGAGGGACTCCAGGCTGGCTCCCCGTGTAGTATGCAGTAGGTGGTAACATGCTCTCAGGGTACTGACAGCAGAGGCCCTACCGGCATCCGCCCGGTGTACCGAGAACTCCGTAGAGCAGCGTATCACACCTGGTGGGCCACAAGGTCACAAAAAAACCATATGGGCAGACGACATGATACAGGCAATGGCCCTGTATAAGATAATATCGATGGAATGACTGCGAAGCTGAAGAGGGCAACTGGAATGTAATTAGGCGTTCAAAAAACCCCCCCAAGAGGAGGTCTACTTAAGGTCTATCTATATTATGATGATCATTTTGCCGAGAATATTGCTCTGTCACCCTGGTCTTATACATGGATAATTATTACTAGTATTGCCAGGGTTCAATTAAGATGAATGGTGATATCAATAATAGTAGAGCGCCGCATCAAAGATAGTCCGGGATCTCTTATCTCGATATCGGAGTTGCTCGCGGAGAATAATTTCAATCTCAAGGTGCAATTGCCAGCTTCATTGCAATTCAATCTTCATCCTAAGTCGTCACAATGCGGCAACGGTCAGTGCCGCTCATTCGAGCGACAAGTTTCAATTCCCGTGCCTTTCAGCCAACCCCATGCGGTGCACGTAGCTTTTCCCGCTCAGTGCAAACAATTACACTCCGCAACGAGCTCCGTCGTCCGCTGCTATTCTCCCAGCATTCGGAGCGCCTGTTACAACAGAAACGGTGCATCACACAAAATTACATTAAGCGCATGGAAGATGGGAAAAAGGAGTGGGCGAGACATGCCGAGCAAATCAAGGCAGGGAAACGGAAGAGCTTTGTCACTCATTTGGAGGAGCGAGGGCTCATTCATGACGTTGTTGGGTATGTTTGGTACTTTCTGAAATTCACAAGGCTTCTACAAGCTGGTACGAAATCCAAAAGTGACATACTGACATATTCCTTACCATAGAGAGCGCGATTTGCTACACCAAGTATTTACGGAGAAGAGAGCTGGAATCTACGTTGGAATTGACCCAACCGCACCCTCAATGCACGTTGGACACATGTTGCCATTCATGGTATTGGCCTGGGGATACGTCTGGGGTCTCCCAGTTACATTCTTGGTGGGTTATTTTGAACCTATATCCTTTAATTGATTGATTACTGACGATACCTGTATATAGTTGGGCGGCGCTACATCGCGAGTCGGTGACCCTACAGGCCGATTGAAGGGCCGAGAGCAGGTTCATTCCTCGATACGAAAGGCGAACATGGCGAGTATGCATATGCAGCTGAAGAAATTGGGTTCAAGCATCGAGCAGTATGGTTCGAGGCATGGCTATGAGCGGAAGATGATCTGGAAAAGGGCTTTGGTTAACAATAACACCTGGTGGAATTCCACACCCTTCATTGAGGTTCTGCGTGATCTTGGAGCATACATGCGCCTTGGCCCGATGCTTGGTCGAGATACGTAAGTCTTGCAAATTGTTATTATTGATGTGTGGGCTCTGACATTGTTTCTAGCGTCAAAACCCGCCTAAACCAGGGAGATGGAATGTCATTTGCTGAGTTTTCTTACCCACTCTTGCAAGGCTGGGATTGGTGGCATCTCTTTCAAAAGGGTACACAGGTGCAGGTGGGTGGCTCCGACCAATATGGCAACATTCTGTTTGGAATGGATGCCGTCAAGTCTATCAGTCGCAACACTGCCAACGAACAGGCGCGGAACCCGCTTGAGTCGGAGCTGGATCGACCCATTGGTTTTACCACGCCGCTATTGACCGCAGCATCCGGAGAGAAATTCGGCAAATCTGCGGGCAATGCCATTTGGCTCGACAAGGACATGACATCGACCTTCGAGCTGTACCAGGTAAGCATACTTTTCTTTTTTTTTCAGGATCCCTGGTTACTAATCTCTGTTTAGTTCTTCGTTCGTACTCCGGATGATACCATCGAGCGTTATCTTAAGTTGTTCACTTTTATTCCCATTCCTGAGATTGCCTCAATTATGGAAGAGCAAACCGCGGACCCCTCCAAAAGAGTCGCTCAGCATCGTTTGGCCTACGAGTTCGTGGAGTTAGTTCACGGCAAGGTAGAAGCCGATGCTGTGTCGCTCCAACATCGCCAGTTATTCCGATCTCGATCCTCCACCAGTGCTCCTTCGCCTATGCCGCGGAGCTCAACTCCTCCTGCTAGCCACGCTCAGTCTCCCACTGCCGGGTTCACCACCCCACAGTCTGGCAACCCCTATGCCCCTCAGACCAACTTTGCCAACATGCCCAATGCCAATGTGAAGCTCCCGAAGTCTCTGGTTTACAACCAGCCGTTTAACAAGATTCTTTGGTCGGCTGGCCTTGTGTCTTCTAAGGGTGAAGGCCACCGAGTGATCACCAACAACGGCGCCTATGTGGGTAGTCGCCCTGGAGATAGCGGTCCCATGTCAGACGACCTCTCTTTCACTCCAATCCGAGTCTGGCCCGCGGAAAAGACAGAAAGCTTCATTCTCGACCAAAAGCTTCTCATGCTTAAGCTGGGCAAGTGGAAGTTTAAGATGGTTGAAATTGTTGGCGATGAGGAATTCCGTGAGCAGGGCCTGACTGCTCCAGGATGGGAGGAACCAACCGAGGAGTCTACGCAATAAGTATTGCCCTTGGATAATCCCCATGTAAATTTAGTCACTCTGTATATGTAGCGTATAGCATTTGTATGAATATTTTGCATTTCGAATTGCTCTCCTCTTTACTTCCTTTCAATTGATGTTTTGTACGGAGTATACATTTTCCAGTAAGGAGTCGGTAATACGTGTATTCCCGCCACCACTTAACGCGTTCGGACGCGTTGATCCGCGCCTTATCTCCTATCACCTCACACATCCCCGGGTTTACGTGCACCTGGCTTAATTTTCCTTTACGCATTGCAGAGTTCGGACTATCTATTCAATTGCGATTGATAACTTGCAATCGCCTTATTCTAGCAGCGAATTATCAACAATGGCTAAGGCCGATGCGTCTTCACCCACCGGGACGCCTCCCTCTACTGCGCTGAAGAAAACAACCTCAAGCACTCAGAATATGAAAAACCAGAAATCCATCCTAGGATTCTTCCAAAAATCCTCTCCGGCAACTCCCTCTTCTGCGAAACCCCGCGAGCCCGTTTCTTCCCCTGCCCAGCGAGCCTCCGAACAACATAGTGCAAGCACTAGCAAACAAACAAGTACACAGAAGAGAAGCTTCTCCAGTTTTGCTCAGGATCTGTCACCTGTCCCTAGTAGCGACTTACCTATACCGGACGAAGAAGAAGAGAATGGTGATGATGTAAAGGTAACTTTCAACCGATGATACTCGCAACAAGTCTTAAGACTGACAACTGCTCCAATCCTTTAGACTAATGGTAAAAATACCAAAGACACCATGTCTCCGTCGCGTCGGGTATGTTCATCCTTTCCCTCTTTCCGTGCAAGACACAAACTAAGATATGCGGCAGTCCAAAAAGAAGCAGGTCAGCTACAAGGAGTCTGACTCGGAGGGCGAGGACGATGAGGATGTGATTTTCCGTCCCAGTCGAAAGAATGGCCGAGCTACAAAAAGACAAAAGACCGCTGGAGACGAGAGCGAAGAGGAATTCCAAGCCACTGCAGATGAAGTCGGATACTCGGATGATGGTACGGACTCTGCGTGATCTGCATGAAATGACCTCCCACACTAACTTCACCTAGAAATGGACGACTTCGTTGTTCCTGATGATTCAGATGAAGATGCTGCTCCCGCAAAGAAACGCAAACGCCCAGCTACTCAGCCAGCACGCAAAAATTCGAACCATTCCTCATCAATGCCTCCCCTTCCCCCAGCCGATGAAGATCTCGATCTCGACCTCGACCTCCCCGAGGGCTCAGCTGGAACTGCCCAGAAGTGGTCATTTGACCCCGAGAACACGGAACCTCGCAAGGAGCGTGTCGCACCAACGCCGTCCAAGACCTCATCTAGCACAAAGAAGGAAAAGGCTCATATCAAGGAGCCCGAGGATCGATACCCATGGCTTGCCAATATCAAAGACATTGACGGAAACCCACCAGGCCACCCCGAATATGACCCTCGCACCATCTACATCCCTCCACTTGCTTGGAACAAGTTTTCGCCCTTTGAGAAACAGTACTGGGAGATCAAGCAGAAGTTCTGGGATACTGTGGTGTTTTTTAAGAAGGGAAAGTTCTACGAATTGTACGAGAATGATGCTACTATTGGTCACCAACTGTTCGACCTGAAACTCACGGATCGTGTCAACATGCGCATGGTTGGTGTTCCGGAAATGAGTTTAGCTCATTGGGCAAACCAGTTTGTTGCCAAGGGATTCAAGATCGCTCGTGTTGACCAGTCTGAATCCGCACTGGGTAAGGAGATGCGTGAGAGAGATGGCAAGAAAGGTAGCAAGGAAGACAAGATTATCAAGCGAGAGCTGGCATGTGTCCTTACAGCTGGTACCCTCGTTGAAGGATCGATGCTCCAAGACGATATGTCTACTTACTGTGTTGCTATTAAGGAGGCTGTCGTGGATGATCTCCCTGCCTTCGGAATTTCTTTTGTCGATACCGCCACTGGCCAGTTCTTCTTGTCTGAGTTCGTTGACGATGTGGATATGACCAAGTTTGAGACATTTGTTGCGCAAACCAGACCACGGGAGCTTTTGCTCGAAAAATCATGTGTTTCACAGAAGGCAATGCGGATTTTGAAGAACAATACCGGACCAACCACTCTCTGGAATCACTTGAAGCCAGGCAAAGAGTTCTGGGAGTCTGATATCACTGTGAGAGAGCTTGACGCAGCTGAGTACTTTGTATCTCAAGATGATGAAAATGTGAAAGCTTGGCCCGAAACTCTTCGTCAAGCTCGGGAGAAGGAGTTGGTCATCTCGGCATTTGGTGCTCTAGTCCAGTATCTACGTGTTCTGAAGATCGACAAGGACTTGATTACCATCGGTAACTTTACATGGTACGATCCGATCAAGAAGACATCCAGTCTTGTTCTCGACGGACAGACATTGATCAATATGGAAATCTTCGCAAACTCATTTGATGGAAGTGCGGAGGGAACTCTTTTCCAACTCCTGAATCGCTGCATCACACCATTTGGAAAGCGAACATTCAAGCAATGGGTCTGCCACCCATTGATGGATGCCAAGAGAATCAATGCTCGATTGGACGCTGTCGACGCCTTCAACGCTGATCCGAGTATTCGAGATCAATTCTCCTCACAGTTGACGAAGATGCCCGATTTGGAACGACTTATCTCCCGTGTCCACGCTGGCCAGTGCAAGGCTCAAGATTTCGTGCGGGTTCTTGAAGGATTCGAGCAAATCGAATACATCATGGGTCTTCTCAACGATTCCGGCGCTGGCGATGGTATCATCGGTCAGTTGATTTCAGCGATGCCAGACCTGACTGAACTTCTTGGCTACTGGAAGACCGCTTTTGACCGCTCTAAGGCTAAGGAGAAAGGTATTCTTGTGCCAGAGCCTGGTGTCGAAGAAGATTTTGATAACTCGCAAGCGCACATTGAAGGATTGCACAAAGAGCTCGATAATGTTCTTAAGAAGTCACGTCGTGATCTGGGATCAACCGCCATTTGCTACCGTGACAATGGTAAGGAGATCTATCAACTTGAAGTGCCTGTCAAGGTTAAGGGTATCCCCAAGAACTGGGATCAGATGTCTGCTACAAAGCAGGTGAAGCGATACTACTTCCCTGAGCTTCGAGCTCTCATTCGCCAGCTTCAAGAAGCGCAAGAAACTCACGGCCAGATTGTCAAGGAGGTGGCTGCCCGATTCCATGCTCGATTTGATGAGCACTACAATACCTGGCTGGCGGCTGTCCGCGTAGTCGCTCAATTAGATTGTCTCATCAGTCTTGCCAAGGCCTCTGCCTCTCTCGGTCAACCCAGCTGCCGTCCCGTGTTTGTGGAGGATGAGCGTAGTGTCCTAGAATTCGAGGAACTTCGCCATCCGTGTCTTTTATCATCAGTTGAGGACTTCATTCCAAATGACGTCCAACTTGGTGGTAAACATACCAATATTGATTTGTTAACTGGAGCTAATGCTGCCGGAAAGTCCACTCTTCTAAGAATGGTAAGTTGCATTTGTGAACACCTTTCTCAACATCCCGTCCATTTGACTAATTTCCTTAGACCTGTGTTGCCGTTATCATGGCACAAATCGGATGCTATCTGCCGTGCCAATCAGCAATACTCACACCCGTCGACCGTATTATGTCCCGTCTGGGCGCAAATGACAACATCTTCGCCGCCCAATCCACCTTCTTCGTCGAACTTTCCGAAACAAAGAAGATTCTCTCCGAGGCCACACCCCGGTCCCTGGTGATTCTCGACGAGCTTGGCCGTGGAACAAGTTCGTACGACGGTGTGGCTGTTGCACAGGCTGTGCTCCACCACATCGCTACGCACATCGGTGCTATGGGCTTCTTCGCTACACATTACCACTCCCTGGCTGCAGAGTTCGAGGGTCATCCGGAGATCTCTCCCAAGCGCATGGCTATCCATGTTGACGACATTGAGCGCCGTGTTACCTTCCTTTACAAGCTTGAGAAGGGTGTTGCAGAGGGAAGTTTCGGTATGCACTGTGCGTCTATGTGTGGTATCTCTAATAAGGTCATTGAGCGAGCTGAGGAGGCTGCCAAGCAGTGGGAGCATACTAGTCGTTTGAAGGAGAGTTTGGAGCGTCGGAAGGGCGGCGGATATGTTGGTCTTGGGTGGTGGAGTGATGTTGCCTGGGCTTTGCGAGAGTCAACCTCAAGTGAGGAGGACCAAGCGGGTGATGTCACTGATCGTGGACTTGAAGTCCTGCGAAAAGCCATTGAGGCGCTGTAACGACTTCGAGGTTCTTTCCACCGGATACCTCTTTCTTTCCTTCTATTCTTTTTTTTACCCTTTCAAAACTACCTGCTCTATTGTCATATCTATTTTCTTTGTCTTCATATCTCGGGTTCTAAGGCGTGTTTGTGTGTATGGAATGATTTTTACGTTCTCTAATGGCACACTTCTAGTTTTCAATTTACACCGAGTCATCATTATTCGAATTTTCATTAATTCCGACTCGATCGCAGACGCATAGAACATTCTTAGATCTGAGAAGAGCGTGCTGCGCATGTTCCCAGCGCCGGAAAGAGAAAACACTCCTACTGATGCTAGTTATACCTCTTGATTTGACTAGTGTCTACCTGAACACTACGTTCACGTTCAACATCGACAAGCCCCGGACCATTATCCTTTTTGAGACTGTCGAGGTCGAGACTAAGACGCAGAACAAAAATAGACTACGATTGATATGAAAATGTTAGGAGAAAATCGAACACTACAGAGACTTGGATCTTGAAAAAGCAAAAACTAGTCATGGATTCACAATTGCGCGCAACGCTTTTAGGACTGCAAAACATAAGACAGCAAAGAAGGAAGGAGGAAATCCTCGACTTGCATAGTACAATGCCTGACTCAGGTAGCAATTTGGTTTAGACTTGGGCGGGCAATGTGAGGATGCAAAACAGATCAATCTGGTAACCACAAAGATATCGTGTCCCAACAATTAGTCTCCCAATCTGAATGTCACCTTAACTGATGAATTCTTCGGTGATAGATGCGGAGAGGGAGACAACAGTGAACCGATGACTCCATGAAAGTGAGTCGAGGAAATTGAAGTTTGAAATTCATCAAAGAGCAAACAAAATTCAGGGCGGAAGGTCACGCCAAACTTTTCTTTTCGGGGAGGGGTTTTTTTCTTGTTTGGTTGGTTTGATTGTTTTTCTGGCTTTTGTTCTTTTTTTTCTTGACTGAAGCGAGTCCAGCAGGTAGTGTAAAGCGTGTGATCCATAAATATATCAATCTGGGTAATGCAGTCCAGGGGAAAGATTTTCAGTGAGAGAACTTATACCTCATCATCAGAGAGGCAAAGGCCAGCTGGGGGATCAGGAAGCACAACGTCCTCATCTTCAGAGTGGACTTTGGGCGACACAGGCCCAGGGGAAAGAACATCGGGCTCGGAATCAGACTCTGGCTCGGTCTTAGGAGCGGTATCAGTCAGCATCGAAGTATCCTCTGTATCAGAGGTCTCTGCACTGGTGACCTTCGGTCTGGGTTTTCTTCCCTTAACGGTGGAGCGACTGGGAGAACTGGTGGATTGGCCATGGGTAGAGGAAGAAGCAGAAGAGCCTAGATCGACACCCAAAGCATTCTGCAGCTTACGGCGAGCCTTGAGGTGCATGGTCTTGGCACTGACAGCGCTGATCGTGGAGGAAACGGTGCCACCGTGTCCAGCAACTTTCTCGAAGTCAATCTAAGTTATCATAGTTAGTCTTGAATTCTGAATTCGAATATGAACACTCGTTGAATGTGGGGGCCGAGAGAATAGTGAATCAAGGTCTAATGAGAATATTTTTGGTTGGCTTACACGGCCATTAGAGTCAGAGTAGACACTTCCCAGCAATAGAAGACGAGCCTCAGAAGGGGTCAGTCCAAGCAGAATATCCTTGGCAGCCATGTTCTTTTTCTTCGTCGTCGGAGGATTTTTCATGTCGTGGGAAGACGACATGTTGGCGGTTTTCAGCGAGCAAATGAGGTAATATTCAGCGAGCAGGGGATGTGTAGATAGGAGAGCAAATGGATGATGGATGATGGATGAGGAAGTCGGAAGTTGAAAGAGGTGTGAAAAGGAGGAAGTTCAGTCCAGGAGCAAACTCGTTTAAGTAGTTCGACGATTGCTATTGCCAGAGTATGTAGCGACTTGAAATGAATAGTTGGTTTAAGCAGAGCATGCATCAACGCTTTGCTATACACACACACACACACACACACACACACACACACACCACATGTAGGCAGAGATATCATCATCACCATAATATAATTCCTAATTGGAAGGCCAATCGCCTAGGTGATCAGAATATTGACAAAATCAGGCATCAAGAAACCCAGTATGATTGCCTTAAAACGAACATGGAGGCTCAAGTGCTGAAGTTCAACTCAAAGGTGGGTCCATTCGAATTGACTTCAGCCACCGAATATATCGTACATGTCTGGATTTTTTATGAGGTATATCATTCGCTCAACGTCTTCCACTGGCCTTGCTTTGGATACGCTGGTAAATCCCGGGCCAGGCCTCCGGATAAAAGGCTGAAGATTTCCGGCCAGGCTGGCTGTGATCAGAAGTATAGAACTGCGTGGGGTGTTTTCCCATCCACCAGGGTCTCAAGGCAGGTTTTGTGTTCGAAAAACTGACGGGGCGGAAGGGATTTTTATCAGCAATCAGATCTCCAACTCTCACTTGAATGGTGCGAGGGATAGTATTAAATCGCATGGTGTTGAGATACAACACAGCAGTTGGTGGTAAGTCTTTTGCATAGTGCACTGCAGCCTCGCGGGACCTTCTGGCAAAAGCAGGAAGAGCCAGGTGGACGAAATTGACATAAGGTGCTGATGTGTAAGCTACAAAGAGCATCGGCATAGCGCCACCAACCACCACTATACCAACTAGTCAGTCCTGGTCTATAGCCAAGATAGCCAAGCTGGCCAAGAACACCAAGAGTTCACATACCTAACGGTGTGATATACCAAGTAGCATCGGCAGTGTAGCATGAAGGTGCCACAATTAAACAAGCTGCGCCAAAGAGTAGAATTGTCGTCACTCTTAGCATGCCCAGAAACATTGCTCGGCCCGTTCCTCCATAATAGACCAATATACGCTCCGGGGGTCCTGAAACTCTGTTGTTAGCATGTAACCATTCCCTCGTATGGGCAAGGATTATCGAATACCCTTCCGAAGGTGTGGTTTTGAGGCAGCGCTAGTTGCAGTTGCTGGGCGTGGTGTTGTTGGGTTTAGCTCTTTGGCTTCGGGGAGAGCTGGTTCATGTCGTTTCGATGGGCGGGGGACTTGGGATTTGAATCGAAGCCATATTTGACTGTGCAGATTTTTTTGAACGGATTTTGGAAGCGCAGAGCGCAATTGAGGGTGGAGGAGAATGTGTCGCATGGTGCCGGAGAAAGTTTGGAGAAAGCTGGTGGTTCCGATTAGAGGAAAGCGGAGCGCGGGTGATCGTCGCGACCGCCTTAGACGTGTCTCGTATCGGCTCCTGAAGTCTCCCACACACCATCAACTCTTATTGAAGTGCCAAGCCGGTCTATTGAGATGAATGGTGCTTATATTTACTCTTTCAAATCATGAGCACATAGCATCTGCTCTCCACCGCCATGCCTTTGGCGTTCCGTAACCGATGTGGTCATTTCATCCTCGTATGTTTAGGCGTTCTACTACTTCTACTCCCTGGGTATGCATACGAGGAACTCTCCGATGGGTCGCTGAAGGCGCTGTCACGACCGAATGAGGATTTCGATATCCATAATGGTGCCCTCCTATCCCCCATTCTCCAAACTCGCGTTCCCGGAACCCCCGGCCACGATGCGGTTCTTCAACACCTCGTCAACTACATCCGAACAACTCTCCTCAAATGGGAGATCGACTTGCAGAATTCCACGTCGCGAACTCCCGTTTCCAATGGCAAAGATGTGCCCTTCGTCAATGTGATTGCCTATCGTGATCCCCCAGGCGCTTCGGTGGGGGATGTCGAACGGTTGACATTGGTCGCGCATTACGATAGCAAGTTGACACCGGAAGGGTTCATTGGGGCTATTGATAGTGCTGCACCATGCGCAATGATCATGCACGCAATGCGCAGCATCAATATTGCTCTTGATAAGAAGTGGGCCGATATGCAGGCGCGAGGCATGGACCCCTCCTTCGAGGAAGAGCGTGGCATCCAGGTTCTCTTCCTCGATGGCGAAGAGGCTTTCGACCACTGGACTGACGACGACTCTCTGTACGGTGCTCGCTCTTTGGCAGAGACATGGGATCAGGAAATGAACCCGGCCATGTCCACATTCAAAACTAAACTCTCGTCTATATCGCTTTTCGTTCTTTTGGATCTACTTGGCTCCAAGTCTCCTAGTATCATGTCGTTTTATCAGACCACACATTGGGCTTATCAAAACATGGGCGCTCTAGAACAGCGTCTTAGATCATTGGGTCAATTCAAGTCTTCATCGTCCGACCCTTGGTTCATTGATACCTCGAAAGATTCACGACAGGTTGTGGCGATGGGTGGTATTCAAGATGACCACATTCCTTTCTTAGCTCGAGGTGTGGATGTCTTGCATCTAATCGACTTTGCACCCTTCAAGGGATTCCCTCCCGTGTGGCACACCATGGATGATGACGCTGAACACCTGGATATGGATACCGTGGAGGACTGGACCGTGCTTGTCACCGCTTTTGCCGCCGAGTGGATGGAATTGGAAGGATTCATCGGTGAAGCAGGAAGTGTGAAGGCACGAAGGGACGCGGAAGTTGAGGCGGAGGCGATCCGGTTGAATAAAAAGACTGAGTTGTAAGCCTGTTTCGTTCCTTGATGCCATTCCTTAGACATCCTTCAGTTTTGCATGTGATACCCCAATACACCACGGGGATGGCTCTATAGATCTGGTTTTCCCAAGTGGCCTGATTCATACTGATTCTTGCCATATATAGTTCATGATTGAAGCGACTTTGCGACTTTATTCTTTCGGGCGTAATATATGCACTCTTTGCATCGAGTATCATTATCACCTGGGCACCATTGTTAGATACACCCTATATATTATTCTACCTAGGTATCAAATATTTCTATCGTTGATTCCATACCTACCTTTGAACACTCTTTTAGAGCATATTGCCAGCGATATACCCGCTCATTGAAACTAATCCCCAAGTGGGCTGAAGGACTGTGCGCAATATGGCCGGCCCGGGGCATACGCCTCTTAGACCCCAAGCAACTCCAAATGCCACCGCCCCAGCAACAAACCGCCAATCTATATCGGTGACAGTTGCAGTGGGCAGCCTCCATCTCTCAGCCAATGTCGGTTTTCTCTGAATTTCAAGTTTATCCTTTTTGTTCACTTGACCCGGCTTCCTTGAGATATAAGCCAACAATGATGGACCAATCCCGAACACAATAATTAGAGCCAATGAGGGATCAAATCGAGAGATATCGGTGGGGAACGCAAAGAACCTGAGAACCTTGGAAGAATCGGCCATTCCAGAGATTAAGAGGCCCAGTCCGAATTGCAGCCCAGCAAGGTAGGAGAATAACACTTTCGATGCTTCTGATCGGGTGAGGGTGTTCGGTACGACAAAGAAATTGGTGACAGCAGCCAAAGCGACAGCTCCACACATAAATATCAAATCATTTGCCGGCGGGTAGACAGGCGTATAGCATGGAACTGCTCCGCATGATGGAATGTTGGATCCTCCAGCCAAGTTGGCCGTTATAAGAGCGGCGGTGAAGAACAATGATGTCGCGATTAACGAACGCGGAGAGAGAAGTGATAGTCCACAAAGCATATGGCCTGAAGTACAGCCGCGGCCGTTCTAAAATGAGACAATAGCGGTTAGTGCATGTGGATGCTAAGCTTTTTAGCAATTGAGGCGAGGACACTCACCTTTGTGCCCCAACCCATCAACACTCCTACGCCGAAAGTTGCTGCAGCGGATGCGACGGAATACGGTGCCATTGGGTAGATTGGTATGAGTGAGGGTGCCAGAAGATATACTGGAATCACACTCGATACTAGCCCTGCAATGATAGGCAGATTATCTCTGTTAGGTTGGAGTATAGACCCCGAGAGCAGAGACGAGATTCCAAATACAGCCCCATTGTGATATAAGAGACCCGAGGAGCCTTGAAAGAGCAATAGAGCGCCGAGTGAAGTGTGAATCGGCGTAAACATGGTGTATGAGGGAGAGGATTCGAGAGTTCGAAATAGACTTTATCGGTAAAAGGTGAAATGTTGATGTCACAGATCCCGTAGATCAGAGTCGTCGTAAGTAGTGGTAGATGCCGACGAGTGTTCCTCAACCGAGACGAAAGACTTCAAACAAAGGTCGGTTATCGCGGTAGATAGAATTCTTGCCACTCATTCTCGCGCCATTGAAAATGAATGCCCGATTTGGGGACCATCGGTTGGTCCCCGACTTAAGCCCGCGTCTACATCCCCGATGTGGATCAAGGGTTCTGTTGATCGGGGATCTCAATTGACTTCTACAATACTATTTGTATACTGATGATGTTGGGAGCAGATATAATTCAATTTGGTACACTTAATCTGCGCCGCCATCTACGGAGTTGCATGTGTGTAGTTAAAGCTCTAATATCCGAACTATACATTGTCTTGCTACACCGTCAAGCATCAAGGGCACCAATTAAAACAGCCTCAAAATATTAAAGATAATCACTTGCGATTCATTTAAATAGGATTACTGCTCGTACTCTCTCTCTCTCTCCAACTTACAGTCTGAGAGAGGTGAGTCGCACATTCCTAGTATGGAATCTAGGAGCTTCATACTTACCTTCTTCAACTACTCAATCTAGAACTTGAACTTGACAGTCAACTTCTTTTAAGACAGATCGATTTCAATTTCAACCTTTCTTCTCTTCTTCTTCCTGACACTTCCACTCATCTCATCAAAGCTTCGGCTTAGTGATTCATCATGGGCATCGTCCACAGCTCAATCGTTCACGACTGCTTGCTTGCCGCCGTGGGCAACCATTCGAATCTCGTTACATTTCAAGGGGACTTTCTCTTTGACTCCAACATTCCCCGGTACAACTTAGACTTCCCCGTGGTCCCCGTTGCTATCACTTATCCGGAAACCACAGAGCAGGTGGCAGAGATCGTCAAATGTGCGGCTGATAACGATATCAAGGTCCAGGCATACAGTGGTGGCCACAGCTATGCGAATTATGGTAAATTTCCATTCGGACACGAGCCAAAGGATTCTGAGCTGATATTGTTCAACAGGTCTTGGAGGAAATGATGGGGCAATCGTCATACATCAGAAGAACATGCAGCATTTCTCCATGGATACCGAAACCCAAATTGCAACCGTTGGCCCGGGCACAAACCTCGGTGATCTTCAGCAGCGTCTCTACCACGCCGGTAGACGAGCTGTTGCTCATGGATCTTGTCCTCAAGTTGGTGTGGGTGGTCACTTCACTATCGGGGGCTTGGGTCCCATGTCTCGTGAGTGGGGTACAGCTCTTGATCACATTGAGGAGGTTGAGGTAGTTCTCGCAAACTCCAGTGTTATCCGGGCCTCTGAGAGACAGCATCAAGATGTCTTCTTTGCCACCAAAGGCGCTGCTTCGAGTTTCGGAATTGTCACGGAGTTCAAAATCCGCACTCACCAAGCTCCCACGGAAGCCATCCAGTATACTTACCAAGTGAACTTGGGTGATAATATTGACCTGGCTCGACTTTTCAAGGACTGGCAGAGGCTGATTATGACAAAGAACCTGACTCGAAAGTTCTCTAGCGAATTGGTTCTCTTTGAAGGTGGCGCTTTGTTATCCGGTGTCTTTTTTGGTTCAAAGGAGGAGTTTCAGGCTTTTGGACTTGAGGAACATTTTCCAATCAAGAATCATGGCACCATCGCTTACCTGACAGACTGGTTTGGAATGCTCGCCAGCCAGGCCGAAGATTTGATCATGACGACCATGGGTGGTATCCCAGCCTCGTTTTACGCTAAATCGATGTCTTTCACTCCGGATCAGTTCATCCTGGATGAAGATGTTGATGCAATGTTCGAGTATCTTCACTCCGCGAAGAAAGACACCATTGCTTGGTTCGTGATTTTTGACTTGGAAGGCGGCGCTACGAACGACCCTGCAGTTGACGCCACTGCCTATGCACACCGGGACACCTTCATGTGGATGCAATCTTATGCTATCAGTCTCATCGGTCCGGTCAGCTCTACAACCAAGTCATTTCTGAAGGGGCTGAACAATGTCATATCTTCTTCCCGTCCAGGCTCTGGCTCATATGGCGCCTATCCTGGATACGTGGATCCATATATGGAAAAGCCACAAAGCGCATACTGGGGACCCAACCTGGCGAGACTTCAGAAAATCAAGTCTGCGATTGATCCAAATGACGTGTTTCATAATCCCCAGAGTGTGAAGGGGATCAATTGAATTTCTTAGAGGATCTGCAAGCATTCGGAGACTCCGAGTTGAGGGGCCTGGGGGCAGGAGCAACATCCATGGATATCATAGTAGTACCTAGATAGTGATATTAGTATCTAGGTAGCGGGAAAACCCCTCGTTCTTCCAATGTTATTATTCAAAAATGATCTTCTTCTTATCCCTTAGTGTGACGCTTGACTCCTTAGGCTTTAGCGTTGCCCGGTACATGACCTCATCGGATCGGACTCTTCAAGTTCAGCGCAGATATCATTTCTGATTGGTCATCGATGGCGTCTTCTTACCGTACTCTCTCCCTACCTAGTAGGTAAGATATTAAGATTCAAAGAACTTGAACTTGAATCTTTGTCTTTATAGCCAACAGGTCGAAATAAAAACTACCTCCAGACCAGAGAGTAAACATCCCTCTTTTCAAACTTGTCAACATCAAATAACAGGTCAAATATCAAGTACACTCGTGCATGAAATACCCGGAATTCCAAAATACTATGTCCATGGATAAATACCAAAGTCTCCGATATCACATAGATCCCCGCGTTCAAGAGATTTAGCTCAATGGCTATCAGAAGTTCAAAGACGCTGGGGGTATCAATTATCTCTTCGTCAAGAGGTACAGCCAAATAAGGACATTGACACCGTAAATTTCCTCTATTTTTCAACCCTTAGAGAGGTCCCTGGGGAGAGATCTAATTCTAATCATCATTGGACAATTCAAAGACAGCAAAAGTCCTTTACAGCCGCGGAGGACCTCGGAATTTCTTAGATCTAGATCTGGAAATCAACTTGAAGCACAGATCTATTCTACCACCAATGGTTTAACGGACTCATATTCCTAGTTTGGATTTTCATTATCGGAGATTTCAGATATCATCAGAGAGAAATCTCAAGAGCACCTAGATTGATAAAGGTGGATATCTCCCAGGCAGTTCAATTCTTCTAAAGCCACTCATTTTTACAGGGCCAACTCCTTTACGGTACACAGCCTTGGGAACAAAGGCCCTGTTAAGTGACCCTGCAAGCCGATTCATTCTGCTAGCAGATATTGAGCCTAGTGATGCCAGTGGGACCGGGACATTCAAGTTTCACATTCTGAGAACCCATTCAAATAGTGCACCACTTAAAATTACCAGTAAAATACTGTTTGATCTAATGGAAGGTATTTGGCATGGCAAATCAGTCAAACTTGAACTACCTCGTCAATGGCAAAATCCTTCTGCACATGCACATGTGTGATCATTGATTGATTGATCGAGTAGGCCATGAATAGGCCATGGTTAAGCTTAGGTGAATACCTACTAGTAGTAGATAGGTATATAGGTATCATCTGCATGTGTATAGTAGTAGCAAAGTTTTCTTTCTTTTTTTTTTTGAACCCAATTTGAATATATATATGATTTTCTTCTCTAGGTAATAGATATCTATGATTCTTAATAATGTACCTATTCATCTTTCAAGTTCTTCTACTTTCCCTGTCTTGGTATTATTATAGTAAGAGGATATTTTCTAGGGATCCTACTATACCACCTAGTATTATTATATTCTGTTTTAATATTCCTCAGGTCCAAGTTGGAACGAAAGCCTAATAGATTAGATAAATCAAGGATGGAAGTACTTGTAACTAAGAATGATAAAACCTCTTATCAGTAAGGCAAGATGGCCGAGTGGTTAAGGCGTTGCATTTAGGTAATGACCTCTGCAATCCGAAAGGGCGTGGGTTCGAATCCCACTCTTGTCATTTTTTTTCTTTCATCAATATACATATTGAAGAGGGGAACCGTTAGGCAGTGTATTCTAGATACACGGGTCGATCCAGCTAGCATGAATGGATAACACCAATCAACATGTACGTTGTGGCCGGACTACCCCGTAGGGGTGGGATGAGAGATGTGTAGGAGTGTGTATTCTAGACTATAACGACGGGCATTCTTTGTACGTACAAAGACGGGACTGAAAACATGACAAAACAGAGATGTAACCAAACGGTAATTCTTAGCACGGTACGTGTAGTAGGGGACAGGGTACCCCACTACAATATGTAGTACTGTGTACTAGTCCAGCAGAGTACGTGGATATGACTTGGGGCATTACCAAAAGCATGTTGATCTCATTGAAACCCTTTATTCATAGCTTTGGCCCATCATTTGGCTGACCTTTTTTTTAATCCTTGAGATTCAAATTCCATATCACTTGAAATCGCTTCAAACTTGAAATCTCCCGAGCCATATCCTTGTAGATGACTAATCCACGCATTCATTCATCCAGAGCCCAGCGTCCGTAGTTGACGTCTTCCTTTGACAACACCCTTAAATCTCCTTGAATCTCAAAAAGAGAGTTGATAGTTATTATTTCCAACCATGTGCGGGCCAGTCCATGCATTCTCAACATGAAGCGAAGAGGGAGCTCGGATATTGAAGAAAGCAAAACCGTGACGCGAGCACAGCCGACCATAGAGCTTGAGGCTGCGTTTGTTCTATCAACACTTCAGAGACCAGTGTCGCCCCCACAAATAAAACGCACCTTGACACTCGAAAACATTAAGGATCACGACCTGGCCGCTATCGAAGCTGGGAAAATCAAAGTGGATGATCATCTTGGGATCTTCTCCACCAGACTCAGTCAATATAGTCGCCCCATTTCGGAAGCAACATCAACTCACCGTCTCCCCATATCGGAGTGGGTCGATCTCTATCGTCGCAATGAGCATGCTGACGGATGTCATTTTGTGATTCATCAACATGATCACCCTATCGCTGGTCCCCACTATGATCTTCGATTGCAATTTTCGGCGACTAGCTCGGTAAGCTGGTCGATAATGTATGGTCTACCCGGCGATCCGAATAGCCAGCGATTGAACCGAAATGCAACAGAGACTCGCATACACTGCTTATGGGTAAACTCATACATCACTGTATGGTAAATCTGCATTCGGTTGCTAATAATATTTCTCAGAATCATCTAGTCGAGACTGCTTCCTTGAAAACAGGGAGTATGATAATCTGGGACACCGGTGAATACGAAATCCTTCCGTACGAACCTGATACATCACAACCCGAAACCGATGATTCTAGATCTGAAATATCCAATCGATCAGTGTCCCCACAAGAGAGAATCACCAATAGTGAAAAGCTTCAGCATGCATTTAGTAATGTATTGGAAATTGCTAGGTTGAATGTGGGTCTACAACTGACGAAAGACAAACTAGCGCAAGATTCGTCTGCGGCTTCACGGCATCCGTCTTCCAAAGAACTATACTATTATCTTACGCATGGATAAATCGACGGACTATGCACGACCAATTCGGACGGGTCCCAAGCGTCGCAGAAAAGCTCTTAGGGCCAATGAACGTGCCGCAAGAGCTCCATCAACATCTGAGTCTGAGACCGAGTCCTCGCTGCTTAAAGTCACAGATGAGGCTACAGAGGAAACATCTGAGCGCGAGATCTCAACTCACTCCGATAATGAGACCGATCTACAGATTCAAATCAATAATGCATACCCTGGCTCTATTAATACGATCGGTTCCATTCACCAGCGTCGCTGGTATCTCAGCCTGGACAGACATAATTCTGGGTTTGAACGAAGAATTGCCTACCAGGAGGATAGTTCCTCAGGCTCAAGAACGAAGAAACGAATATGGGCTCGGAGTATTGGTCGTCGGAACGAGTTGTCTGGATTTGAGCCATTTTACGTTCGAGGTCCGAATGTTGAACAGAGTGTGATCACAGGCCGTCTGGGACAGGATGTCCTCAGCGATGAGGGAGTAGAAGGGTTCATACCTAGACAGGGTTGGAGACCGACATTGAATTAGAGTGATAAACCCGGGAAAAATACCGGTGGACAAGGATACTCCTACATTGATCGATAGGCTACATCAACTTCCAAATTTATCTTCCGAGGTTAGATTCGGCATGAAAGAACAAGATAATATCAAAAAGGAACAAGGCAATTCATTCCTTTTTTCTGACAGAGATCGAGTTATCCACACCTACTCAGTCATTGGTCGAGTTTTTGAGTCCTGCCTTGTCACATCGAGTATTATCAATAACAGTGATGATCAAACGTCGACTTTTCTTTGACTGATTGACATTGTTCTCATTGTATTTGGTCGCAATGCATTGTTTACAAAAGGGTTTATCTTTAGCCCTTTCAAATTTCAATACTATTGATGATCTCCACGACGCTGAGTCCTTGTTCATGACTAACAATAGCTATCTGGCTTGGTTTCCCCTTTCAAAATGGGCTTCAGACAATGAACCATTGTTATTATGATATCTGTACCAGGAATAGCATCATGAAGATGCAGAGGTCCTATATAAGACTCGATCAAGTCCACCTCAAGTCCACACTGGCATCCATCACCATCAAACACAAATACCAGACCAACAGAGCAATCGGTGCAAGCCTGAGCCCCCATCCAAAGGTTCTTCAATCCTCAGGTCGACTAACTCTTCAGATCTTTAAGACCCCGGCCTGCACCCATAATCCTCCAGATCACAAAAGCAAAAACAACCTAGCAGATTCACAAGAGTCTCTTTCAAGCATTTGATCACTTTGTTCTAGTCGAGTGGCGATGGCTGCTCCCGGTCCACTTGCTCCGGCTATCGCATTCAAGTGGGGCACTGAAGAAGAAATCGATGGTTGGCGATACCAATGCTGGATCGCCGGCCTGAATCCCGGTGTCCCTTGTCCCGTTCAACCATCTGAGCTAACCTATGACGAGCTGAATATAGAAGAGAACACACTGGATGATGATCTTAGCCGAGACCGGATAACAGGCAATCTTGTGCCGGAAGTTTACCTAGATTTTATTCGCCACTTCAATATCGCCGACTACACGACCGACCGAGGGCGTCGAGTCATGTCATACGATAGACCCGCTGTGATATTCCCGGATGCTATGGCAGCTGTGCAAGCCGGGCAATTCAACCGAGTTTTTGCCCTAGGTTGGTCCGCCTGTGTTTGTGACCAAATGATTGTCTTAGAGTTTCTACAACACCACAAAGGCAAGCCTTATATGTCTGATATTACTAACGCTGTCTATCACAACTTTTACCCTGACAACGATCCGGAGTATATCTTCGTCTCTTATATTATCAATGACGGTCTTTTGAATGTCTTGAACTTGCAGATTTATACCATCTTGAACGGATATGATAAGTCGGCTCCAGGGGGAATCGATGTCATTACTTGGGTACATAACACCCCTGAGTATATGGCCATCCTGGGGTCCCCTATAGGTAAGGTCGTGGCTGCCTTTGTATTGGGACGTTATCCACCTGGAGCTGCGAGGATTGCTTCTATCGCTATCTATATCCGGGAGGCTTCCGATGGAGATATACATGTAGCTGATGCAATGTTCACCCTTGAGGCAACCGGGGAGACTACGGAGGAGGAGGAGATTACGGAGGAGGAGGAGGAGGAGGAGGAGGAGGAGGAGGAGGAGGAGGGGCCTGCCGCTGTGCCTGCCCCCAAGGTTGCTGGGCCTGTTCCGAAGCGACCTAGACTGGTGGGCCCGGGAGCGCGTAGGACTGCCATCGCGAATCGTGCGGCCGCGATTCGGATGAGCCTCCCTAAACGTACCACTCGATCTGGCAAAGATTACAACCCAGGTGTATAGACAGCTCTGGAAGTAGTAGAGCATAGTAGAGGCAAGTGCTAACCTGTTCAAGTTTAGAGTACTTCATATGTGTATATACTCGGAGTTTATGGGTGGGTTAAAATTAGATTTACAAGTACGAGAACATCAATTGATATTTCCAAGTTCAGTCTAAGCGTGCGAGATACAAATTATACAATCATTCAACTTGAACTTGAATGTTGATGTCAGGTATTTAGTTAGGAGAAAAGGTGTAATAGAAGTAGCCGCAACGTACATATACGGGATATTAGGGAACACCACCTGGGCACCAGACCATCCCAAGGTTAGTATCTTACCAGTATCAAACTCCGGCTCGAGTTTCCTTTCAAGTTCCAAGTTGAAGTTGCTCATCTCCGTCTAGATAAGCCAGATCCACATTTGAGCTCGGACTTGAAGCTCGGACTCTCCTGCATATCACCCAATCCCGAATGGGTGCCCGCATACTCCGTTAGTGTCCCCATCTTAGTGTCCACTTTCACGGAGCTCCGGTCATGCAGCAGCACGACGCAATCCCTTGGAGTCATGAGTCACGCCAGTGACCAATGATCATCTTCGATATTTGCTATACCGTTATTTTATACCCCCAAATTCCCGGCTCTTTGGCCCGTGGTGGCTTGGGGTTCCGGTGTTATCGGTCTGCAACTGAAACCAGGGGAAGAACACGGAGTGGGAGGACTCGTGGAATTAAGCATTCCATAGGTATTCAGAGACCCATACCAAGACTAATGTGAGATCTAGAAGCGAAACAAATACGAGTCAGAAAATATCATCCAGAGAGGTTTGACTCACAATGGCTCACAATGACCGTACCTTTTTTCCCCGCTTTGCAGTCTGGACTCTGCGCGGATGTGACCTTGAGAATGGCGAAGACGCTATGACTATTCCTGCGAACTCCAAGATAAGCAAGGACGTTCGTAAGCGGAGACCACTTTCGCGATTTCATCTACTATGGCGCGCCTATTTCCCTCCACTTCCCTTTTTCTCTCTTTTTTTCTTTTCGACTTCGATTTCTCTCTTTTCTTCCCATGTGCATCTATATGGTGATATGAGGAATGCCCGTTAACACCTCTATTATAACGGGCTCAATTGCCCTGGGACTTGTGGGTCTCGATAGTATCACTGCAATTCAGAGTATCACCGATCGCATCTCTCGCAAATCTCAGTACGATGAGGCTAGTTTAGCTAAAACCATTTATCGCGATGAAGATGGTGAGGCTACAGAGGAATCACTGCGCGCTTTTTCAGATAAATGGCCTCGCGTGGCAATTATTTTATTTTCTCTCAGTGGATTGTCTGTTTCTTTGACACTGGCAGTTCTTTCAACTCTAAGCAATGATCTGGATAACCCAGTGGTCAACTGGCTGCAATTTGCCATCTGGGTAAGCAAAAATACCTAAAATCAATCTTCTTGTTTAAAAATGCTCAGAATTTCACTGAGCAGAGGGGCACCATGAGGGAAAATACTAACTTATCCATCGCATTTTCTAGGTCGTACTTGCGGTGCAATCAATTGCATTTTTCACGGAACCACGTCCAACAAGTCGATTCCGACTAGGCCAGTTTGCATTCGTAGGGAGTGTGCTCGCTCTTACAATTCCGGGCTTCGGGATTCTACAAGCATATACATCCCATGATCCTGATAGTCTGCTCTATAATGAGACTTGGCGTCGCCTGGTCGGTGGAATAATCGGAAGCGCAGTATTGCGCGCATTATTCACCATTATTTTACCTCGTCGCCCAGAGGTCTTCCACGATGGAACCGTAGTAGACAAGGAATTCACGGTCACGGCCTTTGGTCGCTATACTTTTGTATGGGCCAGCGACTTGCTGAATACCACTCTGTCGAGAAATAACCTGGAGTTGACTGATCTGCCGAAACTGAGAGCTGAAAAGCGCGTGGATCGTCTTCGAGAGCGATTTGAGAATTCAAAAGGCAGTGGCAAGATCTGGAAAGGGCTTTTCTTTGCGCACTGGCGCCCTCTTGGACTTCAACTGATTCTGACAGCGGTGATCGGTGCCTTGACCTTTGGTCCTCAGTTTGCACTATTCAATATTCTCAAATCTCTTGAAGGCCGAGATCAGGAAGGATGGACCCCTCTTCGATCCTGGATTTGGGTCATTGCCTTGGGAACTTTCATGTTGATGTCTTCTCTTGTTGAGGCATGGCTCTTCTGGTCTGTATTCTCAAAAATTGCGATCCCCGTCAATGCGGAACTGACAGCAGTCGTGTTCGCTAAATCTATGCGTCGAAAGGATGCAAAGCACACCAAGAAGTCAAAGGAGACCACCAATGACACCCACGCTTCCGCAAAGGCCCTACTGGCAGACAAGCCCAAAGAGGAGGAGGAAGATGACGAAGAAGATGGCAAGAAGAGCCGACAGAGTATTATCAACCTTGCTGCTGTCGATGCTCGACGTATCTCCGATGTCACTTCTTTCCTTTACCAGATTCCATCTGCGATCTTAAAAATTGTCATTGGGTGTGGTTTTTTGGTGAAGGTTCTGGGATGGAAGAGCGCTTTCGCTGGTCTGGGTGTCTCTCTTTTGATTGCGCCGATGAATATCTCTCTCACCAAACGATACACGAGTGCCCAGGACAAGCTCATGAAGCTTCGAGATCAGAAAATGGCTATTGTGACAGAGGTACTTCAGGGTATTCGTCAAGTCAAGTTCTCTGCCTTAGAGGAACAGTGGCAGAAAAAGATCAGACAGGTTCGAGAGAACGAACTTGGTGCACTATGGTCCTCCTTCTACTACGATGTCTTCTTAATGGCGATCTGGATTCTCGGCCCAATTGCCTTTTCCTCCGTTTCATTGACTGTTTATGCCGTTCTCAATGGCGGGTTATCCGCTTCGGTTGCTTTCACAGCTATCTCGGTCTTTGGTTCCTTGGAAATGGCGCTCGCTATCCTGCCCGAGCTTATTACAAGCTTGCTGGAGGCTATAGTCAGTGCTGATCGTATTGATGAATACATGAATGCTTCTGAAAAGATTGTCAATACTGTCCCAGGCGAGACCATTTCCTATGAGGATGCCTCTGTGGCATGGCCCGCCGAACACCATCCCGAAGAGCAGAAGGAAGACGAAGATCGATTCCAATTGCGCGATCTGAATTTTAATCTCCCGAAGAAGGGTCTCAGCGTGATCTCAGGTCGCACAGGCTCTGGAAAGAGTTTGCTTCTTGCTTCCATCCTGGGCGAATGTGATGTCTTAAGTGGTACCGTGAAGGTGCCTGTTCCGCCTGTTCTTGAAGATCGCTTTGATCACTTGGCAACAAGCGCCAATTGGATCATCGATGATGCCATCGCATATGTCGCCCAGATTCCGTGGATTGAAAATGCAACTATCAAAGCAAACATCTTGTTTGGTCTGCCCTTCAACGAGTCCCGTTACCGCAAAGTGCTCTTCGCCTGCGCCCTGGAGAAGGATCTGGAAATGCTTCCCGATGGTGAACTAACGGATATCGGTGCAAACGGTGTGAATCTGAGTGGAGGTCAACGCTGGCGTGTATCATTTGGACGTGCCTTATACTCCCGGGCTGGAACTCTTGTCATGGATGATATATTCAGTGCATTGGACGCCCAAACCGGACGACATGTATACGAGAATGCCCTGACTGGTGAGCTTGGACAGGGACGTACACGTGTCCTTGTCACTCATCACGTCTCCCTGTGTCTACCCCGAACCGATTACTCTGTGTTGTTGGAGAATGGCTGTGTGAAATATGCCGGTACCATTGAAGAGCTTCGGAAGTCTAACCATCTGGAGGACATCCTTCAGGAGGAGCATGAAGCGGAAGAAGCGCTCCAGAAGGCTGCGGATGATAAACAAACCGCTCTTGATACTGAAGGTGGAACATTGCAGAAAGTCATTTCAAACACTTCGCACCGACGCCCCAGCAACGCAGCCAATACTGATGCCAATGCACCACCAAAGGATGCTCCCAAGAAGTTTATCAAAGATGAAGAGAGAGAAAGAGGTGCTGTCCGCTTGCATGTCTACAAGACTTACTTCGGCATGGGTGGAGGTGTCTTTGCATGGGGTGTCACCTTTTCTATCTATATCCTCTATGCCACGCTTATGGTGGGACGGGTGAGTTTATACCTCGTAACCTTTCTATTATACTGTCAGACTACTAACTTTTATCATTATAGTCCTGGTGGATTAGTGTTTGGACATCCGTATCATCCAGTGTTTCAGTTAACCCGCAGGCATTGCATGCCCTCTTCCAGCAACCTATGTCGACTACAACTTCTGAGACTCACGTCAACGAGCTTTTCTTCTATTTGGGAATCTACATTGGAATCTCCGTTCTGGCTTGCATCATTGGAACTAGTCGATACTATTTCATCTTATCATCAAGCATTCGTGCATCAAGGAACCTCTTCAATGCCTTGGTATTCGCCGTGCTACGCGCACCATTGCGCTGGCTAGATACTGTTCCAATGGGTCGAATTCTCAATCGTTTTACAGCGGACTTCCACGCGATTGATTCCCGATTGGGATACGAGATGGGTTTCCTACTTGGTGAGATCCTAGAAGTCTTTGGTATCATCTTTGCAGGAATCCTGGTTTCTCCAATTGTTATTCTTCTCGCCATCGCTCTTCTTGCAATTTGCCTGAGACTCTCTTCAACATATCTTGCTGGTGCCCGTCAAGCCAAGCGCCTTGAAAGTATCGCCAAGAGTCCGGTCTTTGAACAATTTGGTTCCAGTCTTGCTGGTTTGACTACTATTCGAGCCTTTGGCAAGGCCAACGCTTTTATTGAGATTATGTATGGCAAAATCAATGGTCATGCCCAATCCTGGTGGACCGTATGGTTATTTAATCGCTGGTTGGGTATTCGCATGAACCTTGTTGGTGCCATCTTCTCGACAGTCACTGCCGCCGTCGTGGTTTCACTTACTGGTATCTCAGCCTCCATGGCTGGATTCGCTCTGAGTTTCGCATTGCAGTGCAACGCTGCTATTGCGTTTTCCATTCGTATGTACGCGAATATTGAACTTAACATGAACGCCACTGAGCGTGTCATTGAGTACTCAGAGATCACGCTGGAGAACCAGGGAGGTGTAGACGCACCGGCTGCTTGGCCAACGGAGGGTCGTCTTGAGGTTGACGATCTGGTTGTGAGCTACGCACCTGATCTGCCGCCCGTACTCAAGGGACTGAGCTTCACCGTTGAGAAGAACCAGCGGGTCGGTGTGGTTGGTCGTACAGGCGCTGGCAAATCATCGCTAACGTTGGCACTATTCCGTTTCCTTGAAGCGCAGCAGGGTAAGATCCTTATCGATGGTCTGGATGTGTCCACGATTAAGCTACATGATCTGCGTAGCCGTCTGGCTATCATTCCACAAGATCCAGTTCTTTTCTCAGGCACTATCCGAAGTAACTTGGATCCCTTTGATGAGTACTCCGATACTGAGCTGAACGATGCCTTGGCTCGTGTGCATCTGATCGCCTCGTCTGATGATGAGGCAACTCTTACCTCTCAAACTGCGACTCCACACCCATCAGGAAGCACTGGAGCAACCACGCCAGAAACTGCTACTAGTACCGTCCAAGGCAGCAACTCGAATATATTCTCCTCGTTGGCATCGCCCATCTCTGAGGGTGGCCTCAACCTTTCACAGGGTCAGCGACAGCTGCTATGTCTTGCGCGTGCTATTGTGGCCCGTCCTAAGATCATGGTCCTGGACGAAGCTACTTCAGCTGTAGACATGGAGACCGATGCCCTGATCCAGCAGTCTATTCGAGCCGAATTTGGCCGCAATGCAACCACCCTGTTGGTCATTGCGCACCGTCTCAGCACCATTGCAGACTTCGACCGTATCTTGGTGCTGGACGCTGGTAAGGCCGTTGAATTCGGTAAGCCAAGGGACCTGATGGATATTGAGAACGGTGTCTTTAAGAATTTGGTGGACAACAGCGGAGAGAAAGCTGTTTTGGAGAAGATGATCTTTGGTTGAGAGAAAAGCTTCATTCTTTGATTTCCGTTATGTATTTGCACATGTGAAACATTATACTTCTTTTCGGCTATATGTACTAGATTGACTTCAAGTGTGATTTAAATGAGACATAAATTGATTTATATTATTTCTATTCTAATTTCTTGCGAACGCCAGTGTCATAGAGTGGTAGGAAAGGTACATTGTCACGAATACGTCCATGAATTTCAAGTCCTCAGCCTTGCTCATGAAAAGACAAGCGAGCAACTTTCAATTGATATAGCGGTATCTCCAAGACCTTATCGTCCTTCCTCATGGCACTGAACGTCGCATGGGTTCCACGGCATCATGCCAGTAGATAACACCACCAAGTAAAAATTGGGTCAGAGATGCCTTCATCGCGTCCGTTAAGTAAACAAGGTTGGTGTGCCGAACGCATATTTCACTCTCCCTCCACTCGAGTCTCGCAGCCCTTAAGCCCTCCGAAAAGGGAGAGCCACAAGCCTCAGAGAGGAGAGATAAATATCATATAGAACACACTAGGCTTTCATCATCTAAATACATGTTAGTTTCATGAATGACGCGTTTCAGGGAACAGGTAGACTCACAAGTATAAAACTTGGAAGGATGAAGAAAAGAAAAAAAAGCGGTGTTGACCCGCAATTTTATAGGAAACCACTACGCTAGTCTACTTTGGGTGGGCGGCTTCGGCCACTTTGTTTTCTGCCGTTTTTAATCGTCAGATCAAAAGATCATTACTTCTAGTTCGTCATTGTTCATAAACATCATGCTGGCTGGGGGTAGACAGCTGCCAATGCGGCTTCGCTCGAGCTTGGCTCTTTCATCCTTAGTACGTGGATCCAGGGTTGCGGCACCATGGATTCGATCAACTGCATCTTCGCGGCGTTTCCATCGTCCGGCTGGTCTCCGTGAGCAACAGTCAACGGAGCTTCCTAGCTTTCTAGAGGCGTACAAAAAAGCGGGTTGGTCAAATTTACTTATATATCCATAGCTTAGCATGATCAATGGCTAATTCATTTGGTTAAATAGTGGAATTCCCCGCTGCCACACATGACTTCGAGTCCTTCCTATCGCAGGCCGAGCCGAACACGGAAGTCGTGCTACATGGATACCTTGGTCATAGAGCCGATCTTTCTAAGAAGCTCTCATTTGTACGCCTGACAGATCCTACAATGAAACACAGCTTGCAGGTCGTCGCATTTGCCAAGAACGAAGCCTTCGAGACGCTCAAATCATTAAATGTCCATAGTCCCGTCGCGGTGCGTGGTATAGTACAGAAGAAGAAAGGAAAGCCCACCGATGACGCAAATAAACCCGCCGAAGATACATGGGAACTTGCTCTGGAAGAGATTCATCCTCTGAATGACTTCCCTAAGGAAATCATCATGACTCCCGAGACCGTATTCGCACCCGAGCACCGGTACCTCCAGCTCCGCTCGGATGCAGAGTTACGTGAGGCACTGCGATTCCGAGCTCAGGTACACAATGCCTGTAAGAAGGAGCTGGAGAGCTGCCAGCCTGGATTTGTTGAGATTGAGACTCCGTTGTTGTTTAAGTCGACGCCGGAGGGTGCACGCGAATTCCTTGTCCCTACTCGCCGCCCCGGACTGGCGTATGCCTTGCCCCAAAGCCCACAGCAGTATAAGCAGATTTTGATGGCGAGTGGATTACCGCGTTATTTCCAGTTTGCGCGCTGCTTCCGTGATGAAGATCTTCGGGCTGATCGTCAACCTGAATTTACACAGGTATGTTCGAGTTACAGTTCACAGTATAAACTTAATGCTAATCTAATATGTATAGCTTGATATGGAAATGTCGTTTGCAACAGGTGAAGATGTCATGCGCACCGTTGAGGGCGTAATTCGTCGACTCTGGTCAACCTTGATGAAAGACCCTGCACCCGAAGGTCCCTTCCGCCGTGTCCCATATCAAGAAGCCATGGCGCGCTATGGATCTGACAAGCCAGATACCCGATACGGCATGGCGATCATCCGACTCGACCATGTTCTACCTGTCGATCTCGTGAACAAGATTTCAGATCTACAGAATCCCATAGTAGAGGCATTCAAGGTAGAGGGCAACGAGAATGACCCCGCTGAAACACACCAATTCATCACCCAGTTCCTTGACTCCCCCACCGGCGCGACCTACAATAACAACCCAGATGGCGGTCCAGGCGTATTCGTCTACAACGGCAAGCAGCCACTTTGCGGTTTACAACCCTTCGGCTTCGAGGCCGCCGAACAAGTCGAAGAACTCTTAGACCCTGACCACGGAGACCTAATTATCCTCCAAGCCCGTCCTCGCGCCCCCTTCTCCGGAGGCTCCACACCAATCGGCGACCTTCGTCGCGCTTTACACGCCTCCGCCGTGTCAAGAGGCTTCAAGCCTGCGCCTACTGGATTCGACTTCATGTGGGTTGTCGATTTCCCGCTCTTCTCACCTTCATCCGATACCGAACCCGGTCAAGGCGGCGCAGCAGGCCTCTCATCTACTCATCACCCCTTCACAGCCCCTAAAACAGCTGCAGATGTAGACCTCCTCCTCACAGACCCGACAAAGGTAGTAGCGGACCACTATGATCTAGTCGTGAATGGGGTTGAGCTCGGCGGTGGAAGCCGTCGTATTCATGATGCTGCTGTGCAGGAATTCATCTTCCGTGATATTCTTCAGATGCCCGCGGAGCGATTAACGGATTTCTCGCATCTACTTGATGCCTTGCGAGCCGGATGCCCGCCTCATGCGGGTCTGGCGCTCGGATTCGATCGTCTGGTTGCTGTTATGTTGGGTAAGGAGTCTGTGAGAGATGTTATTGCGTTCCCGAAGACGGGTAAGGGTGGTGATGATGCGATGGTAAAGGCGCCTAGTCCTATGACAGCCCAGGCGCTTGAGACCTATCATCTTCAGCTGCGGAAATAGACGCTTGATGTAAGCGTATACTAGCTCCTGTACACACTGTTCTGTGTTCGATGTGACAGATTTGTATTATCATTTGTACCATATATTTAGATACCCGGTCACTATCTCTTCTCAATATTTACTAGTACCCGTGGAATGTCTCATAGTAGTAAATTCTGGGGAGTACTTGAGCAACGAGTAGTGGTAGTAGAAGAAAAAAAGAAATCCAGCAAGGTCAGGAATCGAACCCAGGACGTTCAAAATCAGAAATGCGTGAATAGCCTCAACAGCTCTCACTTGATACATCCATCCCCATCACATAATCCCTTCCATCTCCATCAATTATTTTATTTTGAGGATCTGAAAGGTGTAATAGAAAGAGAATAGCTAGAAGTATGATGGGTAAAAATATAAAAAATTCAAAAAAAAGCATTATTCCCTGGCCGAAGCCAGATACCCTCCCACCCGCCGGTAATGTCTCTGCCACTGAAAATGGGTCCAGCGTCCGCATTTCAGTACCTTTGTCCCCAAGCGGGTCGCCGACCGCTAGACTAGCAGGGCAGAATCCATACCTGGGGACCTTTTTACTCGAATATAAGGGAGATGTGGTTCCTTGAATGGTCGACTCTCTAATCCCGAGGTCCGTACCCTTTACTACAATCCCTGGTACTTAGATATCCCCCCCCCCCCCAAAAAAAGCTTCCTTCCAAACAATCGATCCTTCCAAATAACTTTTAGCATTACTACCTACCTAGTAGCAGTACTCTGTATCCCTGTAGTAAAAGCCCGCACTCCGCGCGATGCCCCAGGTATGTATGTCCTGTGACTATAGCCTTTGAACTGGAGGGTTCTACGAAAAACCAGTACAACCCAACCTTGGAAGTAGTAAAAGAGCTCTATAGTATGGACTCGGAGTACTCTATACTACTAAGCCCTGGAGGCGTCTCCCGAGGCGCCTAGGTTGTGTATGATTTATTTACATATTTTGCTCCGCGGAGGTGAGGCAACGACATGGGTCAATCACTTGAAAGAATTTCTCAATTGGATGAAACAGTTGTATAGATTGAGCCAATGATCTGAGTTGGCTCGTATGGACATGTTATACAAGAATGAAAACAAAGACGCCTGTCCCAACCGCTGTATAAGTAAAATCAGACAACAAAGAAAAGAAGATATGAAAAAATTCCACGGAAATGGCATATCTAGGGCTCATTTCGAACAAGTTATATCAGAAGAGACCAATCAATCATGACTCGCTCATGCAGTGGATAATGTGCTGCGTCGATTCGCCGACGACGCAACAGCTCGATCGCATTGTTTTGAGTCGGCCTCTTCGTCGGCCTCCTCTTCATCTTCAGAATAATAATACTCCTCTTCGTCTTCTTCGGGTTGTCCAAAGATTTTCTGCCAGACACCATCCCACAGACCCTTCTTTGTCACCAACCCACCAACGAGGAGGATAGGTAGTTGCCAGATACTTGCCCAGAAGAGACCTCGGGCGCTGCCCTGCATGCCCGTGTGGCGCCAGAAATTGTAAGCCTCGCGCACAAGCCAGCCATTGGCGAACGTACTTCCAACAAGGAAGCCGTTGCCAACAACCCCAACCCACCAGAGGCCGATGGAAATGGGGAACATAAGCACGGAGTACCGCAGCGCAACACGGGCATTCTGCGCGGGATTCACCCAGCAAAGCATCTTGTAGCCCGCGCCCTTGTAGTCATCTCGAATGAGGTGAGAGAGCGCATTAAAGTGAGGAAACTGCCAGGCAAATAATATCCCGCCTAGCAGCCATCCTCCAATGCTGTTCTCACTGAACAGCATATCACGCCAAGTGTCATGGCCAGTGGTGGCTGTCTGTCCAGCTGCAGCTATCCAGCCCATCAATGGCGGGATACCACCGACGATCGCACCGACCCACGTGTTAATCACATGGATACGCTTCAGTGGGGTATACACGAAGGCATAAAGAGCAATATTAGTTGCGGACAGTGCTGTTGTCGTCGGGTTTGTTCCAATGTATAGAAGTCCAAGACCAGCAACGGCGGTACCAATCGCAAAAAGAAGGGCAGCACGAGGCGAGACCAAGCCCCGAACCAGAGGACGATTCCGTGTCCGAGCCATCAATGCATCGTATTTCGGCTCGAACATCATGTTCAATGTGTTGGCACTGCAACATGAGAGGAACGTACCCGCGGTCAAGTAAATAAAGGTCAAGGTTGAGGTGGAGAGAGTCGGGAGTGGGGTCATGGCCGGGTCCAGGGTAAGCAATGACGAGAAAGGGTACATTCCGTATGCAGAAGTGGTGGTAAGAACAACAAGGAAAGAAAGACGAGGTTTCGTCAAGGCGAGAAAGGCGGCCAGTTTACGACGGAGAGAGGTATCGGGGAGGGCGGAGGAGAAGTTTGACAATTGCGCGGATGCATCGAGCGGGAGTGAGGGCTCGGCTTGGTCATTATTTGAGTTCTGTTCCTTTAAACGTTTCCTCCGGCGATGCGGCAGTTCACTGTTGACTGATTCGGACGCGATTGAGTCGGAAGGTGTGCCAGTTGAGCTACTCGGGGATGCGGAGGAGTCGTTCGGATGTTGGGAGTTCGAGGGACCAGGTTGGGAATTGGCATTGGAGGATGCAAATGAAGATAGCATGCCACCTTTCGTTTGTGAGCCATCATATAGTCGGTTGGGAGAGAAATAGGTCTTGCGGAGCGGCGAGGTGGACTGATTCGCTAAGATGCCCATTCTCCGCGAGGACGAAAGGAACCCCCGAATCGTTGACGGGGGATGAACGCGCGAGCGAACCAGACATCGTGAGCATAAGTTCGCCTCTCGAGGCGGGCCAGGCCTCAAAATGGCGGACCGTAAAGGGTTCATGGCGCGTCTAGGGTCATGAAGAGGAGCAAAGAATGAAAAGTGGAAGGATGCGAACTTTCCCCGGCGGCGGCACAGACCAATTCCGCACTTTGCCAGTACGGAGTAGATCTACGCTATTGAGCTATAACGAATGCATATGTGGAGTTATATTGATTAAGTCGAGGTACTTTCTGAATGATCTTTTATTCTAGAAAGTTATATACTTTATAGTTTTATACAGATAGATCTATATGCGTAGTACTACAAGCTCAAATACATTGCCCACCTGCCACAGTCTGGAGTGGGCAGGTGTAAATTGATTATGTCATTCATATCTAGTCCCGGAATGTCAACAACAGCTTTGGCCTTATTATTTACTCGCCTCTCAACTTCATTCTTATCATTCTCAACTACCTATACCTAGGTACAGACATCATGGACATCCTTCAAACAAACGTCGTGACCCCTCTCCAGCCCTTTCTCCACCCAATAGTCAAGGCGATCCCCGAGCCTGTCCACGATGCTGTCATCTCGTTGATCGGCGCATCCTGCCATAGTGCCCTCCTTTTAGATCTCGACTTGACCAAAGATCCTGTCTGCACATCCTTGGCTATTTCCAAGGCTCTCGGCGTCGCAATTGTTGGCGCCAGCGCTGTCGTCAAAGTTCCCCAGATCTTGAAGCTCATCAGCTCTCGCTCCTCCGCCGGTGTTTCCTTCATCTCCTACGCCCTTGAGACCGCCAGTCTGCTCATCACCCTCTCCTATGGTGTGCGCAACCAGTTCCCATTCAGCACCTATGGCGAGTCGGCTCTTATTGCGGTTCAGGATGTGGCTGTCGGTATTCTGGTCTTGACTTTTGCTGGTCGCTCGGCTGCTGCTGCCACCTTTGTCGCAGTCGTCGCCGCTAGCGTTTACGCGCTTCTGTTCGACCAGACGCTCATCGATGCGCAAACTATGGCTTACCTGCAAGCTGGTGCTGGTCTCCTGGGTGTGGCTAGCAAGGCTCCTCAAATCTATACTATCTGGCGTGAAGGTGGAACTGGACAGCTCAGCGCGTTCGCGGTATGTAGCCAACTTTTTTTTTTACTCCACCCGAAAATCGGTGCTACGATACTAACGTCATTTTAGGTCTTCAACTACCTCGTCGGTTCCCTGTCACGTATCTTTACCACCCTCCAAGAAGTCGACGACAAGCTGATCCTTTATGGATTCATTGCTGGCTTCTCGCTTAACGTGATCCTCGCCACTCAGATGGTCTACTACTGGAACAGCCCTGTACCGAAGAAGAAGGCTTCTCGCAAGTCTGCGGACCAAGCGGTTGCCGCTCAGAGCACCGCTGTCTCGCCCAAGCCGGGTTCCAAGTCGCCCACTACCCGCCGACGAGGTTAGAAAAGTTGTTCAGTGATTAGACTGTACTTTTGGTTTCTTTCATTCTAATAAGTTTAATTAATTGATTCTTGTTTTGTTCTCAAGATGTTTTCCATGGAATAGATTCCATTCAACGCTAAGGAAACTCATAGCTCGTAGAGATAGGCATTTCTTAGACCAGATCGCGAATGCCGCTTGCAAGATAAAACAAATCATTCGAGCTTTAGTCTGACCCTCAGCAACGAAGCAGAGATAAAGAAATCACGACATCCGTCCAGTAGTCATGTATCTCAAGATATCCCCCAGCGGAACAACAGGCTGGACAGCATGAGGATGATGAGCCGCAATATCAAACTCAAGGCCCGAACCACCAGACTTGCGATGAACACCCACAATATCCATCTCTTCTCCATCCTCTTCATCTTCATCTTCCTCCTCCGAACTCCCCTCGTCATCCTCCAACTCCTTCTTCAACCCCGTAACAACATTCTCAATACCCTGTTCCCGCTCCTCAAGAGTGAAATTCCCTCCCCAATTCCTCCGTCTGGCCTCCTGGTTCGCCTCGATGGGTGCCCATTCCCATAACTCCGCTAGTTGTGCCTCGCTGAGCGGTTTTCCTCCTGTACCCGTTGAAGGTCCCGCGACGGAACCCGGGATCGATAGAACTGGATTGAATCCTGATGTAGTGACCGCGGCGGCTTCAGTGCCTGCTGTACGACCGCGCGCAACCCAGTCCTCGACGCGAGGATCGAGTTTAGTGCGCAGGAGTTGCTCGAGGGTATTGGCTTGTGTGCGACTGGGGTATTCGGGACCTGGGTAGGCTACTAGTGAGGTGAGGAGGTCGCGGTGGTCGGTGAGGTGTTCGGAGACGCCGATAAGGTTGTTGGAGATAATACTAGCTTGGGATTGGAGGGAGGACCTAGTTATTAGGAGTGAGTTGCTGTGTCCGGGTTGGGTTTGGGGGTTTTTTGCATTGCCTTGACATACCATTGCGGAAGAGGGTCACTTTGGTTAAGACTTGAGATTAGGGAGGCGAGGGAGCGGGTTAATTGAACGAGCCTTTGGCGCGACTGCTCAAGGACTTTGATCTGGTCTGGAGAGAGGGTAGACATTGTGTGTTGGTGGAGTTGAGGAGAGATGTTGGGTTGAGGTTATATTGGAGTCTCGAAGTGAAGTGAAGCTTTGGTGGGGATTCCCGGACCGAACTATGAGCATTCAACTTGAACTTTAACATACTCCACCACTTCAAGATGACAACGGAGATGAATAAGAACCTTTTCTTTCTTATTAATGTAAACTGATCGAGCTGCGAACGAAGTTATTTTCTTTTTCTTGTTTGGTTTCAGAACGCGAACTGTCCGGAATCAAGGATTACTCTTTCAAGGAGCGCAGCACCACTCCTGTTACCATTCATTAAGGATGTGGCCACTGCCATTTGTACGTCCGCGGCTGAAACTCGGAATACTATATCAGATTGGAAGCTATATTATACATCCAAAGCTCCACTACCTTTCGACAGTTGTCCGGCTTTCAACATAAGCTCTCCTGCGCCAGGTGGGTGAATCCATTAAAGGGCAACTGAATTGGTGCCTCGACATGAACAGACTGCCAAGTGTTGCTGAGGACGCTGTCGGGGCATCGAAGTGCGTTAGCATCAGTAAATATCCAATGCAATGTTTTTAAAGGCATACCTAATAACTATGGATGACGGTTGAGAGGTCGTTACCAAAGTTCCTAACCCCAGGGCTGTCAGTGTTTCATATTTCATATCAGCCAGATATTGCCTCTTCTGGATGAGAGAGTTTTGCAGGCGATATAGCCTAGTCACAGGTACTAGTATCATCGACTAGCAGTCATCTCACAACCCACCACTTTTGAACCACCATCCCGACCCAGCCTTCCTTGAATGATATGGGCTTGAGCCGAAGACGCTCGATGTGGTTCCACTCCTCAAACACTCTGGTCTTTCACTAGAGGAGCAAGCCGTGTCCGAGGAAGATAACACTCATCAGAATGTATCTATCGGATGGCGAATGCTTATGCAGGCCAAGAACCCAGATCTCTATCGAGTGACTGAATTTCGACAAACAGTACCGCTTGGTCTTGTATTTCTTGCCCACCAGATGTTCGAATACGGCGAGGCACATTTTCAATTACTTCCGATCAATCTCAGGAACTGACCTTGTCACTGAGGTCAAGGAAACAAGAGATACAACGAATGCAGAGCCATGCTCGACCAAGTCCGACGCGACATCTTTGAAGGCTTAGCCAGGACAGATCAGGAGAAGGTCGGGTATATCAAGTACTATCGGCCATTTCTTGATGTAGTACATCCAATGGATATCTTGTCGCTCTGACACTCCTTATCACTGGAAGCGATCAGGAACTCAGACTCTGGTTTGTGTGCTATTGGCTCCTACAGATGCACTATGCATTACTAGGTACGCCTTAAACGTCACGGTTCGAGCTGGTGCCTAATACTGTATGAAAAATTCCCGACTTGTATAATCATCTCAAGTGCTAGTATAATCCATCTCCCAAAATAGATTGGAGACCATACTAATCTGGAAGGTTTCCGAGGTTATTATCTTGACGATCGACCTCCACATCATCACAAAATGCACCAAAATCAGCCATATCACAATATCCAAATATGCTACCCAATAACTACCTGAGTTAATTCAAAATCACCCGCGTCCAAAAATAACATCTGTGAAGCTCCAGATCCTGATAGCGCATTGGACCCCAGACCCTTGGCAGTGCGTGCTGAAACGGCATGGAGAGATATCCAACCAATGTGAAGGAAGTGTGGCGGACCCTGAAAAGTTACGAGAGCTGAGAACGGTGAGAAAAGTCTATTTTGTTTATTTTTGGTGTCTGTTGCTTTTTAAAACTCTGAGCGAGTGATAGATCTGCCGATTTATTTGGGATAAATACTGACTCTTTGCCAGGTTTGAGTTGAAGTTTTTTACTGTGCCTATCTCAAGTCTGAGGCCAAACTTGAACTTCGAGTTCACTCAACCTTTGAACTGGTCTTGAATTTTCATGAGAACATTTTGAATTCTTTATCTCATTCAACTAAAGGAACTTCTTCCAGCTATAATCAGAAAGCTCAATGTCGGGGATATATCCAGCGCACAAGTCAAGCCAAACCAAACGCCAAAAATGAAGAGTCGATGACCAGAACATTGGAAATGAAATCATTATTTATCAACATCAAATGACACAGCGACCGGATACCCCAAAGCCACGACAGGGTTCTTCGCAGTCTTCAAGTTTTACGCAGTGCAAATCACTATACTCGCTCTTCAACCTAATCGCACAGCGCAGGTATCAGGAGAGCTCATCACATAGCATGTTTCTGGTCTATGCCAAAATTATGGGGAGCCTGTTCATTATCGGTGTACGGAGCCGGAACAACCATCTCGTTTGTTTGTTCCTGGAAGCCCTTATTCTTGATTCCGTACATCTCGTGCGCCTGTCCATACTGCTCCTGGTTGAAACCTGAGTGCAGTCCGTATCCGGCAGCATGCATCTGGGCAAATGCCTGGTAATCGGTGTACTTCTGCTGGTCGAATCCATCTTGACCCGGGGTGGGTGTTGTGATGGTGGTGTCGTTCCAGCGAGCGTACAAGTGGTCTTGGTAGTTGTTCTCGCGAGAGCGCTTTCTTCGGTAACGGATGAAGAAGAAGCAGCATGTGCCGATACCACAGCACAGGATGATGAAGGCTAGGATGGGGATCACGATCACGAGAATGAGATCGGTCTTTGAGAGGCCGGAACTGGTATGGCTCATGGATAATGTGGAGGGGAGAATATCGTCAGAGAAGATTCTCGTTGGGGAGATGGCGAAGTCATCACCACTTGTTGTGGGATAGTGACAGTTGTATCGGATGGATTCGAGGACTGGGTATGAAAAGGTTAGATGTGCGTTCTCTTCATTTTCTTTGTTTTGCTGAATACTTACAGTTTGTCAAAAAGAGCTGGTTCCAGGTGAGACTGTAGCAAAACTCGCAGACGCTGATCACATTGTCTGCGAAGGACGCGGTATCGCACCATAAGCCGATGTTGTTCACCGTAGGGTCCGTGATGTCGTACTGGATAGCATCTTGGATTGTACCACATGCAACTGGGCAAGGTGAAGAGGTATTGGAAATGGATGATGGGTACCCAAAGACACAGGTCGAGAGGGCATATCGCAGATTGACTGTTCCATTTGTTAGACACTGGATTTCCCCATGTTTCTTTTTTCGTGGATTCACTTACAAAGGCCCCAGTTGACATCGGTTTCTCCAGTCGCACTATCCACGTACGTGCTGTTCAATTCGCAAGAGATGCAGTCCTTGAAGTCTTCGCCTTTTGTTGTGCTGTTGTACGAAGTATCCAGGCATGAGATTTCAGAAGCTGTTGTGTTGGTCGCCGAACCCCATTTGCTGCAAACGTCCGTACATGATGAGCCAGATGCGACTCTGAGTGCGGATACAGAAGGGATGAAGCTGCTGAGCAAGACTGCCACCAGGGTCGTTGCTAGCATCTTGGACTGCCGGAGCCCAAACATGATGAAAAGTAGACAATATCGTACAAGATTCTTATGGCCTTGAACGAGAACCAGCAAAATAGAGACAAAAAAAAAGATTCAAGCCAAGCGCCAAATTCTGGCGATCACGATTTCATGGAAAATCCAGAATTCGGGGGTAAATGGCAAGAAACGAAGTGATGTTTGAGAGGAAAAGCTTCTTTTTTCAGTGTCCGAAAGCTCTCGCGCCGGTGTCTACGGGGGGCGTGTGTGACGATCAAGTGGAGTGATCCAATTCAGCTAAAAGAGCTGGCGACAGAGTGATTCCCACTTCAATGCAGTGTGAACTGATTAGTGCTCGGTACGAAGGATGTGCCTGTCGAATCAAGCACATCCCTCGCAGGGTGACCAGTGGGCGCTTAGAGCTCATCGCAGAGAGGCTGGTATTGGCCCCTCTTATAATTGATAGGCCAACAATTGGTTAATGGGACTGGGATTGACCAGTTATCCTTCTTCGAGTGGATCTACTCTGGGTGTGATGAGTGTGATGAAGATTGAGGGGTGATTGGTGAGTGGCGGTTGTGACTGTGACATGAGCTGCATAATGCATCTACTTGCACGGGACCCGGGCGCTCCCAATTATTCCAACCCCTCTCTTGGAGCTCCTCTTTTGGTTTTTCTCAAGGTCGAGGCATTCAAACGGAGTTCCCTGTCTAGAACAAGCAAAAAACAAGAAATTGAGAAATTTTAAGCGCCAAGCAACGTAGACCAGACGGGGGGAAGTATTCTACTCCGTGCCAGGTGTGGAGTGAGACTCGAGAGTGCTTACAATCTGTACGGAGTACTTGAGTGGACTTGGTTAGATCCCAACATTTCATCTCACAGACTCAAATTTGGAATAAATGGGATAAAAGATTCCAAACTCCGTATAAAGTATTATTAATAATATTCGAGCACTAAACCCGAATAAACTGCAATAGCAGAAGAAGAGAAAAAGAAAAACAGTTGAACCAACCCGAAGGTCTAGGTTCAATTCCACCCGCCCCAAGCAAACAATATCACCACCCAGATACACAAAAATCTCTAAATCGCTAGAAATAAAATAGATAGAAAATTGTTCAGATCCAAGATCAGCCGTAAAGCTCATCATAACCAGGAACCATCTGCTGTTGAGCCAAGTGATCGGGCTCCCTCGGTTTTGGGCGAGGGACATGTCGTTTCTCCGGTTGTGCAGAATGCATAGTATTGACTGGATATTGTGGCGTGTCCGGGGGTAAAGAGGGTGCCGACACAGAGGATGCAGCAGTACAACTCGTCCGTCTGGAACAAGTCCCCGCAGCCGATGATGCTTGAGTTGTTGAGCTTTGTACACTTGCTCGTCGCATTCGAGATGTTACAGAAAGTGCGGGAGACGGAGCTGGGCGATCCGAGTAAGAGCCGCATTCCTCGCGTCGTGGAACATCTCCAGATGAGTAACCACGAGTCATCAAGCACCGAGAATCACCCAGAGTATCGCGTTCCTCGTCTTCTTCGTCGCATGATTCATCGGAGTAATGGTCATAATCATCTATGATATCCACATCTACATCCAGGTCCATAGGACTCGGAATATGAGTGTGTGGTACTTCTTGTGGAGGACCATTTATCCCCAACCCGCGAATGTGATGCTTCGGAGCTCTTTCACTAGCAGTGCGATGTCGGATGTTCTCGTCGAAGTACCCTTTGGGAATTTCATGCTCTGGTTTCTCGTGGGTTGAATGCGTCGACTCTGGTGATGTGCGCATGGTTTGAGAGCTGGCGTCGCTCCAGCCTTGATGTGATGGCGCGACGGAATTTGAAGTGGTAGGTATATAACGTCGGGGTCCATCTGACTCGGCAGGACGAGATTCTATTGTTGCAGAAGCATTGGCCGCAAACCCTGAAGTTTGGTTCCACTGATTCCATGAGCCTTGGTTAGGGTAGCTGATCGCAGTATCACCCCAGCGATCATGCATCTCGGTTGAAAGCCTATGCTTCCTTTTGAACTTCTTCACAAAGTTCGCCATGGTATGAAATAAATTAACCATCGAATAGAGCAAAGTGAGGATATCTGAATAATAGAATAGAAAAAAGGATATAACTATGATGCTTTCAATGGGAGAGACGAAACACTCCCCCAAGCAGCGGTCATTTCAAGGTTGATTTGAAGTTCCCCTCCCACAAGGTCTGTCGAACAGGCGTCTCGCAAAAGATGTCAAGTCCAAATATGAGCCCTGAGGGATATCAAAAGGGAAAGAGACCTTTCATATGAATCACAAAAGAGGGTTCTTGAAGAAAGACTGACAAACTTCCACATCATTTTTTTTCTCTGGTTAATCCAAGAAGAGAGAAGATCTTCCAGACCTCAAGACTGATGCAAGAAGGACAAAAAACTATCCATCCAGAGTTGAGTAAATCCGGGTTGGGGCCCGGCACAATGGGTCAACCCCTCTGGCGGTGGCCCCGGGGGCGCCACTTGGGACGAGGGATATGCAACAATACAACGCTTCAGGCCGCAATGGACAAACTACAAGCGCGAGAAAGAGACGGGTGAAATAGCCCCTTAGTGTGGCTCTAGTGAAGTGGAATGCTTCAATAGCTGCAGCGATGGTGTGTACACTTGGCCCGAGAGGGGTAAGGTGTGGACAAGTAACGAAGACGACTGGATGAGCCGCCCCCAAAAGAGATGTACGATGTACATGACCCTGGTTCATCTGAGTACGGAGACTAGTCGGGAGTAGCTCACTTGAATTTTTGCATTTGACAGAGAAAACATGACAGCGAGTCAAAATGTAGGGTTGCACATAAAATGGATGCAAGTCGTCGTCCGCCATTGTCTTGGCATGGCGCTTGTTCAGGGATCTGCGCCAGCGTACATTTGACCAAGTATCCATAAGACCATAAGAGGGAAAGGAAGATCCTAGCTCACGGCCGAATGTATCTCGCCGCAGATTGGATATTAATGACTGGGGGGTATGTCCGTAACCACAAGGAGAGTCCACAGGGGTTTATTGATGGGATATCCTAGAGAAGAAGATCCCGCATGACCCCAATATCACCCACCTTGAGAGTCTCTGGTAGGAGGAAAGGGGAATTCAATCCAACCGGGATTAGAAGAGGGGGTGGGGGTTTGTTCTCTCTCTCTTCCCCCTTTTTTTTTCTTGAAAATTGATTGAAAAAATAAAAACACAATGTTTCACCATGGCGCAGTATAATCCCTGCAATAGAGTGGATTTCCTTGAGTGGAGAGTCACAGCAAAAGGACGAATTCAAGTTGAACTACTCCATAAAGGAAAAATAAATAAATTTATTCATCGAAATGGGCCCTTGACAGTATGTACATCAACGCCGAAGGCCGAGGTAGACCAATCTTTTGGTTCGGAGAAGACAGCAATTGAGAGACAAGGTTGATCGACCCGTTGACCTCGTGGTGTGTGCACCATTCCCGGAGCTTATCTAGGCACCGGGGAGGAGGGGCTGAACTGGAAATGGAAAGACTCAAATGAGTAATGTAGTCTGTACTTGACATCCCCGTTGAAGGGTAAATTGCTCCGAACCTTGTTGTACATGTTCACGCAGGTGCGAAAAAAGAGGGAGGAAAGAAAAGAGGGAAAATCGCTGCAAGATCGACAAGTGGCACAGACCATAAGGCGTTAAGAATGCTCGATCTCTCTAAGGAGCCGTGTAAAGTGGAGATCGAGATAAATCCACTTTCAAAGAGTCTGCCCAGGTAGTCGCATTCAAATGTTCGAATGATGAGAGTGGGCTAGTTACTAGTACATTCATAGTAAGTGCACATGAAAAGTACATTGTACAGTTCAAGTTAGTACGGAGTACATCCCCGAATGTATGCAATTTAGGATAAATCAATTGATTATTTTATTTTATTTGAGTCAAAATTCCAAATTCCAAATTCCAAATTCCAAATCATTCAACAAAGTCATTCAAGCAATTTCGCTAAATTGGACGCTAAATAAGTGCAACAAAATAATAAAAAAATTAAAAAAAAAATAACCTGAATCATGTCCACCTGGGCAAAGAAACATTTAAACACCAAAAGAACGCCTTCGCTCCGAGTTACCGTCATGAGGGTCATCAAAGAAAAAAAAAGAAAAAGAACCGGGCTGGGAGCCCTGTAGTCTTGCCGCAGCCAAGACTCATTTTGACCAAATAATCTAAACCTGAAAGAAAAAAAAAAAAATACGTAATATATGCCCATAAATCATTGACATAATTTAGCCGAAGTTGGTAATCAATCGTGATAGAACAGGCTTCTGTCGACGGCCCCGTGTGCCCTGACTGTCAACCGGGCCTGCAGGCATAGGTTCAGAATGACTCCTTTCTCTAGCCTCAGACCTTAGTCGCTGTTGAGCAGAAGTAGTTGACCGAGATGGAAAAGGCATAGTAGATTGACGTCTTGCAGACGCCACCGACTCATATGGTGGTAATCTTGGTGCGGAGTACTCGGTCCTCGGTGCGGGATGGGGTTGATAGATCGAGGAACGAGCATTTTGATAATGAACAGCACTTAAATGAGAAGATTGGCCGCTCGCGTATTGATTGGTGTAAAGTAAATCCGAACTTGGAATCGACATAGGGCGCATAGGCATAGGTTGGTACTTTGATGGATCGTAAGTCGGAAGTGGGGGCTGGTCGCATGAAGCTCGGGGAAGCTGTTGCGGATAATGAGCGTGGGTCTGGCGGCTTAAGTCCGGAGCAAAAGATGAGAGTGGTCGGGGATGAGCGGAGCGGGGCCCGTTGAGACTGCCATCGTAAAGATCGGCTTTGTACGCAGGTGGGACTCGTAAATGTGGCTGTGGGTGTTGTTGTTCTTCTTGTTGTTGTTTTCGTTTAGCTCTCTCTTTTCGAGAGAATCGATTTAAAAATCCTCCCGTCACTGTTTTTTTAATCAATATTGAGGTTAGCGTCTCTGTGTGCATTCAAATGTTATCACCTGGGCGCTGCCACAATGAACCCACTTGCAAGGATGTTTTGTCGCTTAGAATCAAATACACCAATGATAACCTTGATTGATGAAAATATCCTTGGTAGATCGTGTGATGAGAATCAACACAATCATTCCAAGGGCCAGATCCCGTAGAGCTAGTTGATCACAGTGCAGGACGGCTCTAGGGAGGTAGTAAAAAGGTAGTACTAGATAGTACTAGTATAAAGGGACAAATTAAGTCGCAAAGGTACAATAGTCTCCCATAAAATAATTTGGGGTTAAACTTGAATAACAAATAACCATGGATCAAGGTAATGAAACCTTGGGAAGAATCAAATAAACATGAACACTCAGGAATACTAGGCATTGATATATAATTCTAGGGGTCATTGCGCAGAACCTTGGGAAGCTTCTCTGACACAGGGACCCTGTTTCAGCACAAAGGAGAACTATTTTGAGACGCAAAGACTCGGAATTCCCCTCCTGCAATGTAAAGAGACAAAATACAAAGATAGTATCAAATTAATGATCCAAAATAGATCATGCAAAAGGCCCATAATTAGTCCTCAATTCCACTCAATTCCACCAAATCAAGTGTTCATCACACCAAACTAACTAAGCCAAGAACTACTTAGTTCACATTAGTCCCTTTTAGTCCACTTTAGTCTCATGCTTCTGCTAATTTTTGGTCAAAGGCGCCGACTTCTTTCAAATGCATGAGTCCCATCTGGCTCACTTGCATGCGTGGCGGGGAACCAACATTCCGGTTGCCTTCTGACTGGTCAACTGTAAGCGCTTCACTATACCACGAATCACCTTCCCTCGTGATGGCCAATAATTCTACATTCAAATGTTATTCCCGACGTACATATATACGAACGATCGGTGATCACCGTGATCTGCATGGCGTTTTATCCAGCGGGGTCAGTGGCTGAAGACGTGTGATGATCCTGCCCAGGTGATGATGGATACATCAATTGATGTATATGATGATCTGGACACGCAAGGTAGATTTTCAAATGACTTTTTAGGACCGTGATACGCCTAATCATCCCTCAGACCCTGATGCAGCCTTGTGGTGGAGATTCTAGGCTTTGTAGGCGCGGACGTGCCACGTCTTGACCCGTGTGGAGGTTCGGCGCAACGCTTTGTGCCACTTAAATGAATACATGCATAAGTCAAAGGATTTTGTACCGAGTACTTCTTGGCTTTTTCAAGGTCATTGGCTAGTCCCTGCAGATCCCGAAGGATTCGTCTTAACATTTGAATGAGCTATGATGAAATACAAACACTGTCATTCAAATGTTTGGTCAATTTTAACCTGATCTTGAAAGAATGCAGACGGGACTGAAAGTTGAAAGAATCTGTAATTCATACTATTAATTCTAAGATTCTTGACTCTTTCTTTCATTTTACAGGATTTTACAAGCTTTTTGTGCTTTACTACAAAGAATTATAGTTTAGTAAGGCCAAATATTGTCATTCTCGAGTACTAGGCCAACTCGGTAAACCAACCTAACGCCTAGAGATGCCAGGGAACGCCGCGCAATGATCATAAATCAAACACCTGAATCAAATACATAAAGCCATGATCAAATATCATAAATAACATAAAACATATAACCTTAAATCCATCACTCATAAAGTTCATCTGGATCCGGAACCATCGCCATAGTCATGGGCTTCAACAACGACGTCTGTCTGCGATCTGCCGGAATAAACGGCGAATTCCGTCGTCGAGGAGATAATCCAAAGTGACTGCGTCGAGAGCTCGATCCATCAGACCCATCACTTAGAATAGAGCCACGGTCATCCTCGTGATGAGAATCCCGACGTGTAAAAATACGATCTCTCTCCTCGAAGGAATCAATAGAGGTATCAACAGAACCTCGATTAGTGCGAGAGCTCCGATGAGACATGGCAGACTGACTGCGACTCGGAATATAGTTGGGTGTAGGAATCTCTTCCACGTATCGTCCGTTGGTCGGGATATACCTGAACGGAGGGGTGCGTCTGGAAGTTTCGGAGATCTCTGCCGTATAGTCTTGTTGAATAGGTTTGTAGGCAAATTCAGTTCGTTGAGAGTCTCTTCTATGGATATCTCGCTCATCTTTGTTCTCACCGCGTAGGTGCTTGGGTCGAGATGCTAGACGCACGGAAAGACGACCTGGATGTAGAGATCCCAGAGAAAGGGAGTTTCGTCGAGAGCTTGCAACGGAGGCGGATCGGGTCATAGCAGGTCTTGTTCTATGCTCCTCGTCCTCCTTTTCTTCTTCGTCTTCTTCATCGTTATCCTTTTTCCTCAAGTTGTGTACACGGTGTTTGGTTCGATTACTGGACGATGGAACAAAATCTGGAACGAACCCCGGACCATAGATCTGAGGCTGCTCTTGTGTTGGACGGTGAGGATTATCGTATTGATTCCATGAGCCCTCTGTAGGCACAGATATAGCCACGTCACCCCACCTGGTATGAAGTGGCTTGGAGTCCCCAGGCCTGCGGAAGAAGGCCAGGGGCTTATTAATGATTCCAGCCATGCTTAATGGATATTGTATCTTCAAGTGATGTTTGAAACAGTGAAGGATCCACGGAATAAACACAGCGTTTCTGAACAGAAACACTAAGGAACATGCGAGCGGGAATCAATTGGCGAAGAGGTAAAGATTTGTAAACTCCAGAGATCTGAAATTCTCTAGGAGGGGTAAAAGGATAGTGGCTTGGAATAAAACAGCGCCCACGTCCAAAGGTGACGACGTGGGATCAACAAGGCCTCCTCAATAGTCTTGGCAGATAACTCAGTGTCCTTCACAGTTGCGAAGCTAGGTTCGACTGGCACAAGACCAACATAACCAGGAATCACAGACTCGGATTGGACACAGCCTGGTTTGTGATAGACAAGGGTATGGAGAGGCGTAGTGGGGTGGCTAGCCAATGACTGCGGGGGCCTAAAGACCAAAGGCAAGACAAAAACAACAAAGAAGAAGACAGATAAAACAGATAATGAATCAAACAAATTCAATTGAGACGAGATAATGTCTGAGCTCCAACATGAAGTTTCAGCGGGATGGCGTCCGGATATAAAGCTTAATGCTTGGTTGAATAGACAACCCACCTGATGCTTTTCTAGACCTCGATATTCCCGCCATGTCTAGTACAATGCATTGGAAGCTGCAGTGTATCTCGGGATTGAAAGCAGCTGGACTCGGAGAAAACCAATTAGGGTGACGCATTACCGCCGAAACGGTGATGCACAAAGGTGGAGTCAACTCTGCGCTTAACAGGGGTGGTTTTGTTCCTTAATTAGCACACTTGGGATATATTCAAGGTAAATTTTTCTTAAAATAGAAGTAAATTAGTCCCAATTTTTAGATTGTAGTCGTGTTCATGCAGCTAATATCGCCCATATTCAGGCAGTTTTAATTAATTATTGCTAATCATGAGTCTAATGCTCCCCAGGTGGTGATCTCATATACAACTTCAAGTCGAATGCATTAGGACATCTAGCGGTGCTACGTACTACCCAAGTCTCCAGATTTTCCTGGGATGTCTTGAAGACCCTTACATCTAAACCTTGGGAGGTAAATCAATTGGTCTTAATCTTGGGACTTGAAGACTTCGTCACCGTCGTCCATAGTCCAGGGTTCATAAGCATACTAGTGGTCATAAGTAGAAATATTTGAACATTTAAATGCTCTCAGGACCATTTTGCATACAGCTTCTGGAAGTTAATAAGGAGATTTCCAGGATCTTCTAGTAGATATTATAGTGAAGGAAAATTGTATTGCCATAAGCGAATGTAATTGAAGCACATATCAAAAGAGCCCGTATCGGTGGCCATCATGACATGCAAACATTTGAACCATCTATACGTGTAGCCCATAAATCCAAAAAAGTATATCCTGTACCGGGTCCTGATCCAATCCAATTTAAAAGCCAAGACCTGCAAATCTGTACAACACGTCGTATATAGACGTTTTCACCATGTCAACTCAACACTGGTTATGTCGGTTCTGGTGTGCGTATGCGCCGTAGTAGCGCCGGGTAATTATTTAGAAGGGAGTAGGAGCTGGGCCAGAAGGTGCCGGGCCAGATCGGGCGGCGCCGTCAAACTGACGCTCCTGGAAGCCACCAAAGCCAACCATTGACGGAGCACCGGTGGGAGCGGGTCCAGATGGAGCAGGGCCAGAAGGACCAGCACCGCCAGCCTGGCGCTTGTCGAAACCACCGAAGCCACCGAAGCCGCCAGATGAGGGAGAGCCAGTGGGAGCAGCTCCAGATGGGGCGGGTCCGGAGGGTTCACCACCAAATTGACGCTTCTCCTCCATTCCACCGAAACCACCAAAGTCACCCATTGATGGAGGTCCGGTAGGTGTAGCTCCAGACGGGGCGGGACCAGAGGGCTCACCTCCAAACTGACGTCGGTGGAAACCGCCAAAGCCACCAGATGGTTCGGGGAAGGGCATGCTGGTCGAGGGGATGGCGGAGGGTTCGCCGCCAAATTGGCGCTTCTCCTCGAAGCCGCCGAATCCGCCCATTGACGGAGCTCCGGTGGGTGCGGCGCCAGAAGGAGCAGGTCCAGAGGGTTCACCACCAAACTGGCGCTTCTCCTCCATTCTACCCAAGTTGCCGAATGAAGGCATTCCACTAGGGATACCAGAGGGAGCAGGGCCGGTAGGCTGGGGCTCACCCTGAGGAGCGGGGAGGGCAAGGACGCTGCCAATCAAGCCCAGGGCAACATAAGAGTACTTCATATTGAATGAGTGGGTATGTAGTATGTTGGATCAGGAAGATAAAAGAGTGGTAGAATTGGATTAAGAAACACAATCTTAATCGAGATGTAGCTGATGAAGAGACAACAAAGTGACGGATACCACACCTTCTTTATAGGTGAGGATCATGGGTGAACAACACCCAGCCTCCGCTCCTGGGTCCTAAGCTAATTGTAGATGGAGACTCCGTGATCGGGCATGATCTCAAAGTTTGCCTCCCGCGAGTAATTACATGGCTGGGCCGCGATGAGCACGGGAATTGAAGAGGGTAATTGACGATCTTGGGGACCTGAGGATGTTGTGGGTCGTTAGGGCGTCAGGAACAAGAACAATCGGCAGGTTCAATTCGAGCCTGATACATCTATTTCCCCATGTATCCGGGATAGCGTGATAGCTGCTGGCAGGACAACGGGACAAGCACCGTCCAACTTGAAAAACGCTGAAGAAAAGTGGACTCTCTTGCACAGAAGAGGTAAGGAATCGACACTACGCTTCAAACTGTTGGAACAGGGTCACTGGGCCGCAATAACATTTGAAGTTGATCAATACACTGACGATCATGTTTCGTATACAGTGTATATCATTTCTGCCGGGTGGTCTGACTGAAGGGAAAATCTCATTGCTCAATGTTGGTTGATAGCCAGGGCCAACTACCGGATTGAGATGTGTGTTGGTGTTGCCGGGTCTAATCAAGGCAATAACACTGACAAGCTTAATTTCTGGTACCGAACAACGGTTTGATTTTATTCCGCATTCACCTTGTGATGTTTTTGTGTTTCTGAGGAGTCCAGAAACTCGCTGGTTGAAGTTTGATGACGGTTGACGCTTGGACAATACTCCAGTATGAGTTCATACCTCAGTTTGGATCTCGATCATGTGAAATCATATCCATTTTGTCACTCTTTCTTTACAGTACAAGGAATGTATGAAACAGAAACAATCCCTCCTTCGTACGGAGTATTTTCTGTGGATTCATCCACAGGTAGAGTGGACATCTTTTGAACCTTGGCCAGGAAAAAGATCATCGTTCCCACTGATTGATAAAAAGCCTGCCAATGAGTATTAGAAGATCGGCATATTGTGGAACCAGCTCGGCAGCAATTTGGGCATTTCGTTACTCGCACTCTGCTCTTAACTTGAAACTCGAGCTGGCGCATGGAGGTGTTGTATCTCCTTATCCAAGAGAGATCAAGAACTGATCATCGGAAGGGTCCATCTAGGTTTTGAGCAGTGTGGTCTGAACATTTTGTGGAGAGATCCATTCTCAGCTCTAATCCAACCTTGTAACTTGAAAATCCATGGCTGGAAACAATAGTGGCCACCGACCCTGTTTCATGGGGTGGTCGGGGTTTGAAGTCGGTAGGAGAGTTTCCACAGCTGCCCACATCGTCGTCGTCAGCCCCTTGAATCCTTCGGCTAGCGTGGCGGGTCCTTGCAGTCAAACCCTCTCAAGGTGCTTTTAGCCCCAGAAGTGGAGCCATGACTTCAGGGATCGACTTGGAGGAACACTCATATACATTCAGGTTAACAACTTGATCTCAGAAGAGTGAAGAGTATATCAAATTTGGCAATGAAAGACAACAATACTCAGCAACTGTGCACTTCTTCAAGTTCGATTCCAAAATGGGGGGGTTGATATGCAGCCTTGAAAGAGCAAGATTGAACTTGAGATGTGATATTCATACTACGATAAATTCCATGTCGATGCTTCCCTTTCTTGGCTTGCCGACCTCCACTTATGACTTCGAAATGGCCACTCTTGATCACTGCACAGTTGCCAAGTCCTCCGATCGTGATATCCCCAGCATTTTTTGTTCTCCATCGGTGTTTACGGCAAAAATGATACTAGAAAAGAAGCGCCAAGGGCGGAATTTTTCGTATTTGTTTCTGAAATTGCCATGCCGATCTAGGCGGAACGAGGTGATTATCTGACTAAAACTTTGAAGTCTAGAAAGAAAATCTTGCTATATACAAGTCTGTCGTAAAGTCATAATGCCGTAGTTTAGATTATCGGGCCAGGTCAATCTTGCCCGTAACCAGAGTCTAGTCTTGCACAGAAGAAAAGAAAGGAGCTCGAAAGTATGTACAAATTTACCAGCCCGGTCTAGACAGGAAGAAGAATCCGAAATGAGGAATTCGACCACACAAAGGTAATTAGAGCGATCCAATGAGTAAAGTAATGTGCGAGTAAGGAATCCTTGTTGTTCAAGGAGCCCAAGGCAAGAATCTATCGAACCTGTTTAGGGGTTCCAGTGGCACAAAGTTTGTGCGCGGACTGGCTGGCTTAGCTTGTCCTGGCTGGGTTACCCGATGGGTGCCCGGAACGTGGCCGATTCGTGGCCGATTCGTGGGATGGGAAGAAGGGATGTTGTAAATTAATTGCGCAGTTTCCGTGTAGAGAATTCAGGAGAGTTCGGCTGGACTGTCGGTGTCATGCTCAACTGGTGACGGGAGGATGGTGATAGAGCCATGGAGATATCTCGAGCTGACGGCATAAAGGCCTCGTTTGGAGAAACTCTTTGGCCTGAGGCAGATCGTTGTGACCTTCCAGAGAATGATGACGTCCGTGATCGGATAGGACTACGCGTTCCCTGACTCAAGTCTTCTCCGTAGGACGAAGCGTCCCAAGAATCTCGGGGCTTGGTGTGCCGATAGTGACCAGAAGAGGAAACGTCGGGCTCCTCCTCGTCGTCGCTACCAGAGCCAACCATGAAGCCCTCGCAGCCAAAGGATATTGATGATCGGCGCTTATGGGCCTTGCGGTGGCCTGACACGGAGATTAGATCGTGAGATGGCAAGGAGTGTGGGTTCTCAAGCGACACTGTGCTGCGCGCCTTTCGTGGCTGTTGTGCCGTGTTACCTTGAGATGCACCTCTAGATCGTCTTCTCTCCAGTTCAGGGCTGTGAGAGCCCCTCCTACGATTGCGTATACGCCCTCGACTAGCGCTGCTGTCCATTGAATCGTTTGAGCGCCGGGTCGAGCCTTGCATGCGCAAACGAACCTGACCCGGGCTAAAGGCTACCCGGGCCCGCATCTGCTGAATAGCTTGATCGAGGGCGAGTTCAATCGCACAGTGATTCCTAATTCGGCTTAACCTAGGCCATGTTGCTCGCTCGCCACTCAAGCAAGCCTCGAGCATGAACTCGGTCGTCGGGTTCTCCAGTATCCGGGGGAAGTTGGACGAAATCAGCTCGGGGTAAATGTTGATATCGCCACTGTACTTCTGATTAACAATAGAAGCCAATTTCGTCATGGAGGTCGGAAAGACTCCCAGCTCTGATAGAACGTTCATGCGGTGCAGCATTTCATCCTTCGCCAAGTGTGTCATTGTGTTCATCCAACGAGGAACGAATGATGGACCTTGAATAGATCCCTTGATTGGTCCATCCTCTTTTGGTAGGAATGGTACGACATGCGGATTCACTTGAGAGACGATAAAGTGGTTCACGTTGAACATCTCGGAGAGTCGTGTCATTGGAAGATCGCCATCCACAGAGCCATCTATGTATTCCTTGTGAAAATCATTCCAGGGAACGGTTTGCCCTGTCAAGGGATCCTTGGCCATCAAGGTGTATGGTCTAAAAACTAATGGCACAGAACAGGACACCGCTCTGCAATTGCATTGTCAGACAGATCTTCAAAGTAACCCGTGTTCAATTAGATGGATTTCAGTGTAACTTACACAGCGGACCAAATCAACACGTTCGGCGCAGATATATAGTTCAGCAGTCGTGGGAGCTCATACATGCCGGCACTAGATACACAGATATTCAAGATCCGACGTGTGCGGTTGTATGCCTCTTGGAAAGTGATGTCGCCTAGCCAAACTCGCATGGTATTTGCTAGATGGGAAATATCGAGGAAAGAACCGAACTTCAAGAACCGAGCCGTCTTTTGAAAAATATTCTCTTCCTGTCCAGTCTCATTGAAAACAGCGAAATCCCCATGTGCATATGTATCGAGGAGTGCCGGCAATTCCTCATCGTTGCGAGTGCAAAAGACAGCACATACGATACTACCTGCGGAGGCGCCTGATATTATTCGAGGGATCATCTTCGCTTCATAAAGGGCCTTCAGCACGCCGATATGATTCATGCCAAACGTGGCGCCACCTGAGAAGAGTAATGCACTGCGGCCAAAGGCTTGCCGAGCTGCTAAGAGTTGGTCGAGTATGTACTTCAGTTCCAGGCCATCACAGCGATTATGTACCGACAAATCCACCAATGTTGTGATCGTGTCCAGCGCGGTATTGATATATCGGTCTATTAAATCCTTTGTCCCAATATGCGAGTGGCGATACAGAGATCCATTGCTCATCATGCCCAGGTCTCGACTGAGCGCGGTGCGAACCAAGAACAGCATGCGACTGACATCGCAGCTGATACGCGCCTCCTCCAGTTGTCGCAATCGTTCCTGTACCAGCTGAGGATGATATTCGGCGCATTCGAAGGTCTCTTTCCAGTTGTTGTTTTCTTCTAGCACGTCGAGCTCGTTGGCACAGCTACACCATTCCTCGTACGACACAGCCTGCAGTCGAAGTTACGATTTAGCATGGTCACGCTGCAGATGCGACCGCCCGTTCGGGAACTAAGCCACCACCAAGGGAAGAAATTCTCACATTTTTAATTTTCAGATAGAGCACTTGTTTGCGAACCTCCACGTCCGCTCGCTGTTTCCTTTCTTCGGCTGACAATCCACCACGGTAGGAGCCCAGAGTGTCACTAGCCCAATTCCACGAATCTTTGACAATCGAAGAAACTGCCGGTATGGAGATGGCCCGTCGTAGGGATCGTCGTTGTGGCGAGGGCTTCGGATTCGTGTCTTGTTTGGAGTAGTTCGAGTAGCATTTTGGATGGACTATTGCGGAGTCGCCCAATACCGACATCGCAGGATTATGCATGGGGAATGCGCCATTTGGGGGTCTGCGACACTAAGGCCGAGAACTCAAAAGTAAAGATCAGAACAATGAAGTTATATATATGAAAAATAGTTCAAAGATTTGGACCATTTGCCGGTCATCAAGGGCGGTCTGCAATACGTCACGAGGACCAATAGTAAGCCCGATGACCCCAACTTCCAAGGTTTTCATTAACCCCAGCACAACTTCCCCACGTCTTTTTTCAGTATGGGGTAGTATAAGACAAAAAGACAAAGGATATGATTCAGATGTGGGACAAGTGATGAAGATTTGAGTCATGATATTCTATATATAAATGAACTGATCAGATCTCATTCATCCTTGCCTGTATACCGGAATATCTCTCAAGGATCATTTGAACATGCATGAAGTTCACATGCAGACGATCCTGGTAAATCGAACGCCACCAAGTCTCTCAGGCTGTGATCATGCAGGGCAATCAAGTCCGTGTGTAGATTGTTGAGATTATTCTGTTACTTGTTTCTACTTGTGCAGAAATTCAAAATTAGATTAATGGTAGTAATTCAAGTTAAAACATTTAACCTTGAGACTGAATGCTTCATTGGCTATATTTTATATTGAAGCCATTCCCGTAATATCTGTCTCGCCTCCATCTCCACACCATCCTCTCGCCAGAAATGCCCTGCTCCCTCAATCTCACACCCCCGATATCGACTATGCGGCATGCTGCCCAACTCGGCTGACCAACGTCGCAATTTGCGCACAGAGGTAAAGGTGTCCTCATCTCCAAATAACGCCAGTGTCCGGTGCCCACTCAGCTGGTCGGCTGAACCGACACCTCGGGCCTGAGCTGACCGACCCCCCACATCTACCGTGAGGGAAGAAAATACTGTCAAAAAAGAACTTACAGGGGGCAGGAGAGGAGACACAAGCAGATAAGAGATCGAGATGGACGCGCGTAGTGCACTCATATCAGCTGGACGCTGTATCCTGGTCTCCGCAGCACCGGGTAAAGACGCTGCAGCGATCTTCCTTGCCTCCCTGCTAATCTGATCAATGGATGTACCCGGAGATGTGCTAGTGCCGGGTTGAATTAGGTCAATCATGACATCAATGTTTGGGACATGCGAAGCGATCATGGATCCGTATGAATATCCCCCGAGAATGAGATCAATGTTTCCCCGATCGCCTCCGTCGGGGAGGATTCCCTGGGCAAGTTGTAACTCGTGCAAATAGTATAGCATGAACCCGTAGAATGAGGTATAGTCGCTCAGCTCCGGCTTAGCGGTCCAGCTGGTTCGTCCCTCTGAACCTCCAGCTCCACTGCGGTTTGTCTTGTGTCAGTCGTTGCTCTCCTGGCGCGAACACGGAATGTTACCGGAAATTGAAAGTCCCCACTATGTAGTCTGCATTTTGAAGCTCGCCGCCTATAAAACCAACCACGGGGTCATCGTAGCAGCCACCAAGTGATGCATAAGGGTGCGCAAAGATAGCAGCTTGAACGGGCCCGGCGGGTGTTGATTCTACATTTTCGAGGTGGCGGGGCAGATAAACACGACACTCGAGTTGACAACCATCGTGAATCGAAGGAATAGAAAAACTGAAGCTGGGACGGGATAAATACATGGCGAATTTTATCATTTACACCCAGGCACCCTTCTATTTCCAAATCATCATGGAAGGGAGTTGGATGTTGTGATAGAGTGGAGAGATTCGGGCGGCCTTTCAGGTTTGGTCTCAAACTCGTCCTACTAAACACACTGGTATCAGACGACACGTATTCGGTACTCCGCCTAAATGAAATTAAGTGAATATGCGACTGAAGTGAAATTTACTGAATGAATTAGTGGATTAGATTGGATTTATTGTAAAAAGAGAATGTGATGTTTATTGAACGCTACAAGTATGTACTGGAAATGCTATATATCCCGTCATGGTCAAGCGCTAAGATTCAAGAAGCCATGCTGGATCAGGGTCATCATCTTCTGATCTGGACACTTGGTCTGTATGAGGCTCGTCGGTAGTATCCTTTAATAAATCCGCTGGCGGTTCAGAATCATCATGCTCGAATGGAATCGTATGTCCGTGGGTATTTCCGTTTGTAATTTGGTCTGGATCATGAGCGGGTGGCGACGAGGCTGGCAACAAATCCGGTACAGGTAAACCGAAGGCTGGAAGCAGCAGTCCTTTTGCTTGTCGAAGGGCTTCTAGCTCTGCTGCAATACAACAGACAAGAAGCTTCCAATCTTTGTCCTCGGCATACTCCAGATGAGATTCAAGGCGTTGGGTGGTTTGCTGTAAATCTTGTGAGACGCTGGTTGCCACCTGTTCCTTGCCAGATCCAACGGGCACGCCATCTGTTTCTTGTGCAACTAATTGCATATACCGGCGCATGTAGCCTCTGAGTCTTTTCTCAAAGCCAGAGACGTCGGCCAAAGCCTCCTGCCAAAGTCCACCGCCTTCTTCCAGTGCCAGGATCTCCGCATCTACCTCTTGTTGTCTATAGTGTAAATCTTCCTGCTCATGCGTCCATAACTCTTGTGCCATCTCAAGGGTGCGCCGTCTGGGATTCAGGGTGTAGAATGTGGACTCGCCCGTCCGTTTCGACATAGCTTGCACAGGGGGGGTCACGAAGGTATTTTTGAACGTTTGACTGGAGAAGGGACAATGATTCAGTATACGAAGATAGCTTAGCGTCGACGGAGTTCTTAGTGTTTGCGATTTCGCTGACAAGATGCCGATGTTTGGCTTTCATCTCGAGCAGCTTGGTTTCCAGTTCATGGATGTCAGTCTCTAGGCCACGGGCTTCTTCTTGGAGGTTCGTCACTCTTTGATTTTCTTGATCACTGTGTATGACTGAAATAGCCTCTTCTAGACCACTTTGTCTCGAGGTGAAGCCTTGAATCTCACGGAGCGCAGTGTCTCTCTCATTTGACTGAGATGACAGTATTTCTCGCTCCTGTTCTCGTAGCTTGAGTAGGTCATACATCGACTGAAAAATACCCTCCCGTGCAGCCCTTAGTCCAATCTTCTTCGGCCGCGGCTGTCTCGCAGGTGTTGCAGAGAGCGACCGTGATCGACTAGCTCTGGAGGAGGTTGGAGTGGAGCTTCCATCGGAACTATTATCTGGCTGGGCTTGACCAATCCCAGATAGGAGACCCTCACTTTGTGCATCAATCAGGGTCTGTAGCGAGTGCTGAATATGTTTGGACTGTCTTTCAATGTAAAGTAGGGGGGTCTTGATGGTATGTGGAAGCCGCTGCAGGTACCGGCGGGAGCCGTTTATCGCGAAACGGCAGCAAGGTAGACATGGTTAAAATGTCAGGGAAGGCAAACTACAGTTTGAGACCAGTTGAGAAGAAACTTCAAAGGATTTCCTGGTAAAGAAAGCCCCAGGGGATGGAAGGGGTATTTAAATCACAGCCATGATCATCATTATCTAGGAGTTCAATACGAGAGCACCCGACCTTGTTCGCGGCCAGCTGATGCCCGGCGCACGTGACCTGTACAGTCAGCTCCGTTGACGTTGACGGCCTCGCGCCTGCAAAGCTTCCGTTGTCTGCTCCCAGCTTCCATTCGTACCTCCCCTTCATTCCATCGTGTCTTTTTACTTAACTTGATTTCTGTGCCGCTTGGATTAATATTGCCTGCGGCCATATCACCACACTTCCCCGATTTTACTCTGTGCCTCGGGGCTCGCTCGCTGTTCTGCCCCAAGCTCCCTCTTGGGCGACGTTGCTTCGTCACTCTAACAACAACATCATTATTGAAGCTGAAGCTTCATCACAACAATTTACACATCCACCATCTCTATCAACCAAGATGGTTGGAGTAGTTTCAGCCGCCGGTTTGGTCGGCTTCCTGTCCGAGCCAGACCCAGAGCTCAGGGTCTTTGCTTTGAAGTCATTAGACTCACAGATCGATCTGCTCTGGACAGAGGTTGTCAACGCCGTTCCTGATATGTAAGTTGCTCATTCGCGATGAATTGCCTTTCTGGCTCCTTTGATCGCGGTCGATGCCACCCTCTCCCCCAAGTTACCCCATTGGACAGGCTCTGACGACATCATCCATCCAGTGAGGCTCTGTACGAAGATGAATCATTTCCGGAACGCGAACTTGCCGCCTTAGTTGCTTCAAAGGTCTACTATCACCTGCAGGAGTACAACGAGAGCATGGTTCTTGCTTTAGGTGCGGGCAAGCTATTCAAGCTTGACAACGGTGGCGAGTACGAGGAGACAATTATCGGTAAGCTGGGAATCATTGAAAATCGTGTTATTGCTTCACTTTCTTACTGATTTTGGCTCGTTTGTTCAGCAAAATGCGTCGATACCTTCATTTCTCTATCTGCCGCCCAGAAACCGAGCACCGGTGACCAGTCCGCCCACCTGAACCAGTCCTTCCCTGCATCCGGAGAAGGCGCCACAAGTACATCAGCTAGCCTGACATCCCCCATCACACCGTTCTCGAAGTCTGCCCTACCCTCGAAGTCTTTGCTTTCGCGTCAAGAGGTTCCAGGTATTGATGCTGCTCATCCTGGTGGCGACGATACTAGTGTTCAGCACGAGGAAGCCCCGCTTGTCTCAAAGCGTGGTGTTCAGCGCCAGCTGCAGGCCGTTATCGAACGTCTTTTTGAGGAATGCTTCCGTCAAAAGAGCTACCGCCAGGTTATTGGAATTGCTATTGAGGCGAAGAACTTGGACGTTCTGCGTATGGCTATCATTCGCGCCAGCGAGGACGAGAAGAAGCAACAAGGTGAACCTCGTAAGAGTGAGGAATTAATGGAATATGTCCTGGATATTTGCATGGGCATTGTTCAAGAGCGGGCTTTCCGTAATGAGGTGAGCCCACATCTAACCCTCGAAAGTGACGAATTATACTAATCATTTCGATCTAGATTTTGAAATTGATTCTCGAACTCCTTAACGAGATTCCCGCACCTGATTATTTCTCCATCGCGAAATGTGTCGTCTACCTTAATGAACACTCCATGGCGTCCGTTATCCTCCGCCAACTTGTTGAGAAGGGCGATTCCCGGTCCTTGGCAGTCGCCTACCAGATTTCCTTCGACCTATATGATAACAGTACTCAGGAGTTCCTGCAAAAGGTTCGCCAAGAGATCGCTGAGCTCGTGCCAGAAACCGATGCCGACAAGGAGAACGCGGATGCTGAGCCTAAGGAGTCGGACCCATTACTCGAGGATCAATCAAGCTCTCGGCAATCGGGAGAGCATGATGATGATTCGCAGACCGCATTTAAGAATATTCTAGCCATCTTGGATGGAATCAAGACTATTCAGTTGAATCTGGAATTCCTCTACCGGAACAACAAGGCGGATGTCGCAATTTTGAACAAGATTCGTGACAGCCTCGAGGCTCGTAATTCGATCTTCCACACAGCAGTTACCCTTTCCAACGCTTTCATGCATGCGGGCACAACTCATGACAAGTTCTTCCGCGATAATCTGGACTGGCTTAGCAAGGCTGTTAACTGGTCCAAGTTCACAGCTACGGCAGCCCTTGGTGTTATTCACCGAGGTAACTTGAGCCAAGGTCAGAGGCTCCTTCAGCCATACCTGCCCCGCGAGCACATCGCTGGCGTGGGTGGCTCAGGATCGGTCTACAGTCAGGGTGGTTCGCTGTATGCATTCGGTCTCATTTACGCTAACCATGGTGGCATGGCCGTGGACCTCATTCGTGACCACTTCAAGAAGGCTACTGAGGAGGTTGTCCAGCACGGTGGTGCCCTTGGTTTGGGTGTGGCAGGTATGGCTACTGGTGATGAGGGTATCTACGAAGATCTGCGTAACGTTCTCTATACCGACTCTGCTCTCAATGGTGAGGCCGTTGGTCTTGCTATGGGTCTTGTCATGCTCGGGACTGGTAACATGAAGGCATTGGAGGACATGATCCAATACGCTCACGATACTCAACACGAGAAGATTGTGCGTGGTTTGGCTATGGGAATGGCTCTGATCATGTACGGCCGCCAAGAGGCTGCAGATGAGCTGATCAATGGTCTTCTCGGTGACCCCGATCCAACACTCCGGTACGGTGGTATCATGACCATTGCTCTGGCATACTGTGGTAGTGGCAGTAACAAGGCTGTTCGCAAGCTGCTCCACGTTGCTGTCAGTGATGTGAATGATGACGTTCGACGAGTTGCAGTTCTGAGCTTGGGTTTCATTCTGTTCCGCAAGCACCAGAGCGTTCCCCGTATGGTCGAGCTGCTCTCTGAATCCTACAACCCTCACGTCCGTTACGGTGCCGCTATGGCGCTCGGTATCTCCTGCGCAGGAACTGGACTGGATGAGGCTATCGATCTCCTGGAACCCATGCTCAAGGACTCCACAGATTTTGTTCGCCAGGGTGCATTGATTGCTTTGTCCATGGTCCTTGTTCAGCAAAACGAGGCCATGAATCCTCGCGTTACCAGCTTGCGCAAGGCTATGATGAAGATGATTGGGGACCGCCACGAGGATGCGATGGCCAAGTTCGGTTGTGCTGTGGCTCTTGGTATCATTGATGCTGGTGGCCGAAACTGCACCATCAGCTTGCAAACGCAGACTGGTAACCTGAACATGCCTGGTATTGTCGGTGCTGCCGTCTTCGTACAATACTGGTACTGGTTCCCCCTCACCCACTTCCTCTCCCTCAGTTTCACCCCTACCTCTGTCATTGGAGTTGATCAGAAGCTGGAGGTGCCATACTTCAAGTTCCACAGCAACACTCGCCCCAGCCTGTTCGATTATCCCCCCCGAGCAGCAGGTGAAGGCAGAGGAGGCCCCTGAAAAGGTGAAGACTGCTGTGCTCTCTACCACTGCTCAGGCCAAGCGCCGTGCCCAGCGTCGGGAGAAGCAAGCCCGTCGCGAAAGCATGGACATTGATCAAACTCCTACCACTCCTAAGGTAGCAGACCAATTACCAGAGAAGATGGAGACAGACGAGGCTGTTGCTAAGGATGGGGACGAGGCCAAGGAGGGCGAGAAGAGCACCAGTGAAGGTCAGAAGAAGAAGGCTGAGCGGGAGAAGGTTGGTTACGAGCTGGACAACATGTCAAGGGTACTACCCGCACAGCTCAAATACCTTACTTTCCCTGACCCACGATACGAGCCAGTCAAGCGGGTATGTTCTATTTCCTCTTCTATTTGCGTTGATTATGCTAACTTGCCACTTTTACAGCCTACTGGTGGTGTCGTCGTTGTTCTTGATAAGCAACCAGAGGAGCCTCGAGAGATTGTTGAATTGAAGGCTAGCAAGGAGCCCCGACAACCGGCTCCCCCTGCCGAGACTCTTCAGGATCGTCTCCAGGCTGCTATTGGCACAGCTGCCCTGCAGACCCCTCAACGGGCCGCTGCTCGGGCTGCTTTGTCAGATACCCCAGCTGGCGCTGCGGCGGCGGCTGGCGTTCTGACCGCCGCCGATGAGGACGAGGAAGGCGCGGAGGATGCACCTCTTCCAGATGATTTCACATATGAGACAGATGGAGAGGATGAGTGAAAGGGTTCTGCAACATAAACCCTTGAGGATGCTGGATGTATTACTAGATCTATTAGGTGTTCGGGACCTGATAGTACATTGGTAGTGCGGTTTCTGCCGCTTGTGATATGAAGCCTTTTCTTTACACGTTTTCATTTATTGTTTTGGATGAGTCTTCCATTCTTTGTAATATTCTATCAGCTTAAAACGACTACCCCCACGTAGTCACAGTATGCCTCTTGCATGTGCTCCCTGCCCAAATTCAGTTGCTGAATCGCCGTCACATGCCCGACTGCTTAGTCATATCAGGCCTCGGCATTTGGGCTGATGCTATGACGCACATTCAACCAATCAAGCACGGAAAATATGCGGCGATGACCGATCTGATCAGCGGCCGAGGAATAGCAGCTGAAGGTCAAGGTGAGAATCACACCGACAAGCACGAGCTATTCCTCCGAGGCCCCCAGACTAAACGAGTAGAAATCTTGAAATCGGGGGGATCCCTAGATCTGGCGGTCACGCACCGTACCTATATAGCGCATATGCTCCATCTACCCCGGACTTGATCCCTTTTTTATTTTTGCCTCTCCGCGAACTCTTTCTTCTCAATAATTTTCTTTCTCCACTGTATAGCAACTCCACTATCCTTATCTTTATCCCCAAACCAACCCTCATGTCAAAGATTTTCACAAAGGAGGACGTAGCGTCCCATAGCAAAGGCGAGAGCCTGTATATTGTGATCGATGAGGACGTCTACGATGTCTCTAAGTTCCAAGATGAGCACCCTGGTAAGTATCCTGACCATTCTCATGAGCCGGAGCAACAGAGGGAAACAATAAGGCACATGCTAACAATATATGTTTGAACAGGTGGGAAGAAAAGTACGTCATTGGTTCCAGCCCGACCCCCGAGAAATTTGACATTGACAAGTTTATAGTCTTGCAACGAGTCGCCGGAAAGGACGCCTCAAAACCGTTTTGGAAATACCACAATGAGGGAATCTTGAAGAAGTATAAAGCCCAGCTTCAGATTGGTTCATTAGACACCAAGAAGGTAGAGGAACCGGCGCCAGCGGCGGACCCAGTTCCAGCCCCTAGAGCTGAGCCCAACCCGGAGCCTGTCTCGAGTGACGTGAAGCCTTCGGCTTTCGCGGAGCCACAAGATCCTTTTGGCGAGTTGATTCCATTTGCCGATCCTTCTTGGTACCAGGGTGTAAGTTATTATGCGAAAGCAGGAGAAAAGCGCAAGATACGTGAGATGAAACCAAAGACTAACATGTGATTTCACGATAGTACTCCTCCCCCTACTTCAACGAGACTCATGCTGCTTTTCGCGAGGAGGTTCGCCAATGGGTCGACAGCGAACTCGAGCCTTATGTACACGAGTGGGACGAGGGCAAGGAAGTCCCTGCCCATATCTACAAACAGATGGGTGAACGTGGCTACTTAGCTGGTCTGCTGGGTGTCAAGTACCCTGAGGAGTACACTCCCCACCGTGTTAAGTCTGTGCCACCAGAGCGTTGGGACCATTTCCACGAGATGATCCTAACAGATGAGCTGTCTCGTGCCGGTAGCGGCGGTCTGGTGTGGAACCTGGTTGGTGGCTACGGTATTGGTTGCCCACCTTTGGTGAAGCATGGCAAGAAAGAGCTAGTGGATCGCATTCTTCCCGGAATTTTGGCTGGAGATAAGCGCATTTGCCTGGCTATTACCGAGCCTGATGCTGGTAGTGATGTTGCCAACCTTGGCTGTGAGGCGAAGCTCAGCGAGGATGGCAAGCACTACATCGTGAACGGCGAGAAGAAGTGGATCACTAACGGTATCTGGGCTGATTACTTTACCACTGCTGTCCGTACGGGCAAACCTGGTATGAATGGTCTCAGTGTTCTGCTCATTGAGCGCTCAGCTGGTGGCGTTAGCACTCGCCGTATGGACTGCCAGGGTGTGCTCAGCAGTGGTACTACCTATGTCACCTTTGAGGACGTAAAGGTTCCCGTTGAGAACATCATTGGCAAGGAGAACCAAGGATTCAAGGTCATCATGACCAACTTTAACCATGAGCGCATTGGCATTGTCATCCAGTGCGTTCGCTTTGCTCGAGTCTGCTATGAAGAGGCAATGAAATATGCCCACAAGCGTAAGACTTTTGGCCAGTGCTTGATCGAGCACCCCGTCATTCGCATGAAACTCGCCCACATGGCCCGTCAGATTGAGGCCACTTATAATTGGATGGAGAACATCATCTTCCAGGCTCAGTGCATGGAGGAGACCGAGGCTATGCTCAAGTTGGGCGGTGCCATTGCCGGTTTGAAGGCTCAATCCACACAGACCTTTGAGTTCTGCGCCCGTGAGGCCAGTCAGATCTTTGGTGGTCTCAGCTATAGCCGTGGTGGTCAAGGCGGTAAGGTCGAGAGACTTTACCGTGATGTTCGCGCCTATGCTATTCCTGGTGGAAGTGAGGAGATTATGCTTGATCTGAGTATGCGTCAAAGCTTGCGCGTGTACCAGATGTTCGGTATGAAGCTCTAATGGCCTATGATATTAGCGATGCTAGATTTGCCCCATTTGATCTCTTTGGGGGCTCCCTGCATGTCTCATCCTGGCTTTTCTGTTTTCATTTTGCTTCAATTTGGCTAGATATCCCGTCCGGTGTGACGCATTTCTTTTTGATCTTGTCTTGTACGATACATTATCGACCACACATATTTTCTTTGGCTTCAATCAATAGAATAAACACTAGTATATATGAATCTTAAAACTGTACATCATTTAGAAATTGAAGATCCAATGTTTCAGTCAGGCGGGCTGCTCGTGTTCATTCTGGCCCCTACTACTACGGAGTACTTACCACCTAGGACGGAGTAAGCTTGGCCGACATGGAAGCTCGTTTCAAGTAATGGAAAAATCATCCTCAGACCAACGATGGAAAAGATCAAAGAAAATAAAGAAATCCCGTAGAGCTATTTCTCCTCGTATTTTCCATATTAATTTTTTCTCGCATACCTGGCAGAAAATAATTCGTGGGATGCGAGTGAATGATGGTCTAAATTGGCTCAATAGTAAACACGATCCGGGTACGCAGAGAAACCAATTGCGCAGCCCTTCGACATTCACTTTCGCCGCGAACTGCTTCACTTTGAGATCAGCTCCTTTAGCCCACCTCATCTCACACCTGATACAGCCAGCGTCTTTGGGTATAAATACTCTCTACCCGCCGGCCTGCTGTATTCATCTTCTTCCATCTTTCCACTCCCTCTTTGATGAAATCCGTTTTGCGACTGTCCACCCTCTAATTCCCGTTCGGTGGCTTACCCGCAAAGCTCGCGGGACTGCTCTGCTCCTTGCGTTGGTGGTAGTCTTGCTTTCAATCATTCCGAGCACCAATTCTTGACTCACTAGTCAACCGGATCTTTCATTCTTCCGCGCGAAACCAAATTACAGAGAAAAGCATCCGTTTCTTTATCCTCGATTTTCCCACTGTTAACACCGACTCCCACCCAACATAATGTCTTCCAACCTCTTGAACCAGGACTTTGGGTCCGAGGATGAAGATGACGATTTCAACCCCGTCATTCAGGATGATTCCGATGCTGAACAGCCCAAGGTCGGTAGTATATTTCAGCAAAATGCATGCTATGATACTGATGAGACTTCAATATGCAGCCAGCGAACACCAGCCGACGTGGTAACGATCGCGTAGATGATGAGGATGAGGATGATGCCCAAAACGGCGACGACGACGAAGAAGAAGGCGCAGATGAAGAAAATGGCGACGATGACGACGACGAAGAGGAGGAAGAAGAAGAGGAAGAGGCCGTTGTAAGTACTCTCGGTCAGGTCTTTCGGCTAAAAGACCACCAACTCACACATATTTGTTTCCTAGGGTCGCCCACGCAAGCGCAGACGAGGTGGTGTCCACTCTTTCTTCGAAGAGGAGGCCGGTGTCGATGAGGAGGAAGATGAAGCTGAAGAGGACGAGGACGAACTTGCCGAGTTTGGCACTGAAATGCACCCCGATGATCTCGATGCTTTGCCTGCTGGCGCCGAAACAGATGACCGCCGTCACCGACAGCTGGATCGCCAGCGTGAACTCGATGCCACAATGGACGCGGAGAAGCAGGCGCAGATGCTCAAGGAACGTTATGGTCGTAACCGTGCCGCAGCAACCGATGCTCTTGTCGTTCCTAAGCGACTGCTTCTTCCCAGTGTGGAAGACCCTAGCATCTGGGGTGGCCGTTGCAAGCCTGGAAAGGAGCGAGAGGTTGTGTACTCCATTCAAAAGCGAATTGAAGAGCGTCCAGCTGGCTCGCGCAACCCAATTCGTATTATTTCGGCTTTCGAGCGTGGAAACATTATGCAGGGCTGGTTCTACTGTGAGGCACGCAGACAAGCCGATGTCACCGAAGGTCTTGAGGGTATCAACTTCTACTATCCGTCCCAGAAGATGACCCTGGTTCCCGTGAAGGAAATGCCTGATCTTCTTCGCGTCCAGAAGTCCGAGGACCTCAACCCTGGTGGCTGGGTCCGAATTAAGCGTGGAAAGTACCATGATGATCTGGCTCAGATTGAGGAAGTTGAAACCAATGGCCTGACTGTAACCGTACGACTTGTTCCTCGTCTGGATTACGGTATGAATGATGATTCCGCTGCCATCGTTGATCCCAAGCGCAAGCGATCAGCTGCGAATACTGCCCGACCGCCCCAACGTTTGTTCAGCGAGGCAGAAGCGAAGAAGAGACACGGCAAATTCCTGTCCTCGAACGCAGGTCTAGGCAGCAAGTCATGGAATTACCTCAACGATACCTACATCGAGGGTTTCCTTGTCAAAGACATGCGAGTGCAGCACTTGGTCACCAAGAATGTGAATCCTCGACTGGAGGAAGTCACCATGTTCGCTCGTGGAGGAGAAGACGGCACTGCCAACCTCGATCTTGCATCCCTGGCTGAAACTCTGAAGAATTCTTCTGCTGTTGACTCATACCAACCTGGCGACCCCGTGGAAGTGTACCGAGGTGAACAGCAAGGCTTGATCGGTAAAACAGTATCAACTCGCAACGACATCGTGTCATTACAAGTCACCGAGGGAGATCTGGCTGGGCAGATTATTGATGCTCCTGTTCGAACTCTCCGCAAACGCTTCCGTGAGGGTGACCACGTCAAGGTTATTGGAGGCAGCCGTTTCCAGAACGAATTGGGTATGGTGGTTCAAGTCAAGGAAGACACTGTCACCTTGCTCAGTGACATGAGTATGCAAGAGATCACTATCTTCAGCAAAGATCTCCGTCTTTCCGCTGAGATGGCAGCTGATGGACAGCTTGGTATTTATGATGTGCATGACCTTGTACAGCTTGAGTGAGTTTTTTATCCCCACTCCACGCATCTGCTACTAAATTTTTCTAACTTTATTACAGTGCCGCTACTGTCGCCTGCGTTATTAAGGTAGACCGTGAGTCTCTTCGTGTGATGGATCAGAATGGCTCTGTTCGAAACGTTCTTCCTACCCAGATCGCCAACAAGATTACTCCCCGTAAGGATGCTGTAGCTACAGACCGCAATGGCGCAGAGATCCGACACGGCGATACCGTTCGTGAAGTTTATGGAGAACAGCGAAATGGTGTTATCCGCCATATTTACCGCTCTTTCCTCTTCCTGCACAACAAGGCTCAAGCTGAGAATGCAGGCATGTCTGTTGTGCGAACTACAAATGTTGTCACTGTCTCCGCCCGAGGTGGACGTCCCACCGGTCCAGATCTGACCAAGATGAACCCTGCCATGGCAATGCAAGCAGGTGGCGGTCGCGGTGGTGGTGCGATGGCACCTCCTCAGCGTGGTCGTGACCGACTTATTGGCAAGACCGTGGCTGTCCGACGTGGCCGTTACAAGGGTTTGGTTGGTATTGTTCGAGATGCCGATGAAAAAACCGCTCAAGTTGAGCTTTACACATCAAACAAGCCTGTCCTTATTCAACGAGATATCCTTACACCAAAAGAGTAAGTCAATTCCACCTGAGTCTTTTGATGAACCAGTCGCTAACATTTAACAGCCCGATTACAAAACAATCATTGGAGGGGGGTCGTGGAAGAGGAGGCTCGCGTGTTCCGTTCGGGCATCAGCCTCAATCAAGAGATGGTTGGCATGGTGGTCGCACTCCTGTGGCTGCTGCCGACTCCTCAAGAACTCCAGCTTGGGGCGGTGCATCCTCTGCCCGCACTCCAGCTTGGTCTGGAGGCATGAGTGGTTCGCGTACCCCTGCCTGGAAGAACGATGGAAGCCGCACTGCCTACGGAGATGGAAGTCGCACTGCTTATGGCGGTCTGGGCAACAGAACCCCTGCCTGGAACTCCGGTTCTCGCACTCCCTACGACTCTAGTTCCGGTTATGACGCCTTTGCCTCTGGATCTCGTACTCCTGCCTGGGGTGGTGCCAGTGCCAACACAGGTAACCGCACACCTGCCTGGGGCGGCCTTCCCAATGGCCGAGACCAGCGCGACTACGAAGATGCCCCTACCCCCGGTGGTTATTCTGCCCCGACTCCCGGCGCATATGGTGCTCCTACTCCCGGTGCTTCGGCACCAACCCCCGGCGCATGGGCTGACAACGCTCCCACACCTGGCGGAGCTTTCAGCGCACCGACTCCTGGTGCTGGTCCTAAGCGTGGCTACGATGCGCCAACCCCTGCCGCATATGATGCACCTACTCCGGCACTGGGCGGCACTGCGGCTACCCCTGGCGCAAGCTACGATGACGATGCCGGTCCACGTTACGATGAGGGCACCCCCAGCCCTTAAACCTTGCACTTTGACTTTTTCTTTCATTTTTACACATTATCTATCTCCCCACGCCGCAAAAAGCTTCACAATTCTACTAGATATCGAGGAGGAATGGGACAGCTTCGCGTATGTATTCTACTTTGAACCAAATGTAATTTCGTCAGATAAGTACCTGGAAGCGAAATTGATCCCCGTCATAATTCTACATTTACCGAGAATTCATGATACTGCACGGTTGTATCACTGGAGTAATCACTTGTAGTACTAGCACAATATCCAAATCTTTCCGACTCGGAGTCACGACAACCTTCAAATTGGAGGTGCCAGGTTCAAATGTAGCACTTGAGTATTCAAGCTGTGGCACCCACTGGCGATAACAGCTTCAAACTGCACATATACCTGCTCTGCATTAATTGGTCGAAATTCTATGAGCAATGAATCATACTAATAACTCTTATCTCATCGATGAATGCTAGTCTTGAGCTGTGGTTACTAGTAGTCAGATAGTCATGAAGCAAAGTGGTGGTACCTATTCTTTTTCCGCGGAACTCTCAATTTCATCACGAAAAGATCATTGTTGAACACTTTTCGGGATAGATATAACCCGTGCAAGAAGATTATTTATGGTTTTATACTGGATTGTGCCAATCATATCAAGTTGATATCTTGTTCTCGCAAACTCATCCCAAATGGGTACTAGTTCGGATCCAAATACAAAAAGCGACAAATCCTCAGGGATTTAATTCTGAGGACTTGAGAAATATTCTTTTCTTCGATCTAATGGCTTCTCTACAAATCTCATTCTTGCCATTCATATTGGCCATTCTTTTCAGTCTGACTGCCTTTGGCGTCGGTGTTGCCAGCCTAGTCGACTACATCCACCAACGAGAACATCTTGTCGCACTAGTCGAAAATTCAAAAATCTATGACCGCGCATTCATCATTGTGGGCAGTTATCCCATATTCGCTAGTCTTTTCATTGCGATAATCTCTTGTCTCGGCTTCGCGCTGCTCTACTTGCAGTATTCCCTGTCGAACTTCACGAAGTTATCATGGAGAGCTAGCGTCATACTAGCTGTAACATGCTTTACAGGTGATGCTCTTGCATTGACCATTATCGTGGCCACAAAAGATGTCACATATGACAATGTTGGTCCGCATGTTACGGTGTACATGGATGAGGCTGTTGGAAGCTCTGGTGTGCCATTGGACTATAGACATGATCCGAAAGTACTAGCCGCCGTGGTTTTCACCTGGGTTGCATGGCTTTGTGCTATTTTCAGGTATGATTCAACTATCAAATTGGATGTAAAACTTACACTAATTGATTAAATTAGCTGTGTCTCATTGTTTTCAGGGCAGAAGAAAGTTGGGGTTAAATGTGACGAGAAGCAAGTGTCTAGTTCGGGCAGTTCTATGGGGAGTTCGAGTGATATGGAGAAGCCAGTTGAGAAGTCTCTGGAGTAAATACTGTCGGTATTCCGTTCAGTAGTTCTATGGCAATAATTTAGTTATTGCAGGCATAGAATCAATCTTTCAACTTGCTTGTATAATCTATCTCTATACTAGGTTCTAGGTAGTTGCCGCCAGTGGGGGAGGCTACAGCTCCAAGTCAGCTTGAGGCTCTGCAACTTGAACTTCCCTGCTCGACCAGCTCGTCTCTTGTCTCAGGCTAGATGTCCTACATTTTTCAGATGAAAGTTCCAGTGCAATCCAACTTTCAAGTGATGATTTCACCCCCATCGTCAATTCTAAACTGTGAGAACTTGAACGATCTGACCCACGCTAGTAGGAGATCTCCAGGGTCCGCTACTCAGGGTCCGCCTCGGTTAAATCACCTTAGCGCCGAAGTCCCTACTGACTCATTTCATGTCATCTCATATCGTTCTCACTTTTTCAAATTAAGGGTCATCTTCAACTTCATTCTCTTACACACCATAAGCTACCTCCTTGCTCTGAAAGGGTGTCAACAAGATGATTCCCTCGGCGCTGCAGCCGCAGATGCTACTTGGCTCGCCAAGAAATCTCTACGAGCATCTCCACTCTCTAATCAACAATGATCCATCGATCGAGAATTTGACGTCGATTAATTCGTGCCTCCTTACTCAGATACACAAAGAGGCGGTTCCTCCTGCCATTTTCAAGATCTGGCTATTCCTAATTTACCCACATTGTCCGCATCTTGTTTCCGATGCACTCCGAGATACATCTAGTGGAGTTCGCAAAGCCGGCGTCGCTGTTGCTGCAGCTCGGTTTTTCCGCGGGTCTGATTGGAAAGAGAATGGATGGGATCTGCTCGGTGGAGCGAAAGGAATCAAAGATATCCTTGATACATTACCTCTTACAGAGGTGCGCCTTCTACTGAAAGCCATTTCTCGCCATGTTGGCTCCGCTGCCAATAGACAACTCGCAATGGAATGCATAGAAGAACTCATAGACCTAGTCGAAAAATCCGATGACTGGACGATGAGACCACTCAAGGATCAAGTGGCTTTTCTCTATGGATACTGTACCAAGGAGAGACTGGCGACATTTTTGAGCTCTTCACCTTGGTCGCGGAATACCTGCGCCGTGCTTCATAGCGCAAGTCTCTTACATACTTCAATCTTGCGGGAGATTGCAGTCGGTGCACTGCAAGTACCATCAGATGTGCGCCGGGGTGTATTGGATTTCTGTTGGCAGTCGTTATTGTACTCGGAAGAAGCATACATCTCGACCACAGACGACCAATCGGCATCAGTGCTGCCTCCAGGGCTGGCCTTCGGCTTGGATCTGCTAATTACTATGAGTCGAGAACCAAAACTTCAAAACGGAAATCAGGTCTACTGTTGGATTAAGTGGATAGTCGGCCTGGCGATTCGGAAAAGGCCTCCACCCCGATCATTATTCCTGATTCTTCACACGGCCTTGTCACTGTGTCGATCAACAGAGTTCCAAAATTGGCTAAGAAAATCCATTTTCAATGATATCGTTGCGCTCTGGTCAACTGCCCGCTTTGGGGATGTTGGGACCTTCTCGCAAGTTGGTCTGGCTTCCAAAGTTTTGAAGAAAAAATGCTCTCGGAACTTGCCAGGGTACTGCTCATCTTTCGAGCAGATCTTGATACAGGATGAGCTTCAAATTGAGAGTGAAGAGCTCCCAACCAATCCAAAAATTGGGTCCTTTTTCCCAACTCTGGTCACACTAGTGACCATTGTAAAGCGTGAGGGAAGGTTTGAATTCCTTAAGCTTTTATGCCAACACTCGCCTACTCTGGCATTTGACATCACAAGCTTCCCCTCATCAGAGAAGGAGAAAGAACTCATTCCCATATGGAGCTATGATCTTCTGCATACACTTCCTCTCCAGTCTTCGAGGCTACTTTTCGATCGATCACTTTATCCCCGAGAAGGCGAGTTCATTCTAGATACCGATTTTCTATCGTGGGGGAATCAATGTAACCTCTGGGCGTACTGGGAAGCAGCGTGTGATAAACGTCATGAAGACTTTCCTGTGACCCGAAAAGGTAAGACATAAATGTTGCAGCGGTATGAAAAAGAGTTATTTATTGACGAGATGCAGCTATTGAGGATATCAAGAAGAAGGCAACGAAATCTCGCGAATCCAATGATCGGTTAAAATGGGCAAAGTTCGCCATCAGCCTTGCTGCAAAAACTGAGTCTGTACGCCTCTTTGAGGATCTGGCGAAGTGGAGTCAACGATTCCTGAGAGACCCAGTACGTATTCGATCTTCAGTACTTTTTGTTCTCTATAATTATGCTAACTTGCATCATTAGCTGGTTTTTGGTGATATCCTACGACACCTATTTGACCTTGGGAGTGATATACTTTCTGGTCAAGCTGATTTACTGCAGCCAAGAACCGACCTCAATATTTGGATTGAGGTCATCAAGACAGCAGAACGTGTTCTGAAGGATCTACTCCAAGTATTTATACTTCTTCTTCGTGAACCCTGGGCGCAGAATAAAATGGGATGGCTCACGAGTAAAGTTCCTCTCATGTTTTCACGTATTTTCAAGGATAGGGTGAAAGCTTTGAAGATTCTCTCCCAGAGAACCTCTATCAGTGAGGTGGAGTTGGACATGACCTTACTCGATCCCTTGATCTCAACAATGATTGAATATGAGAAGATGAGCAATACAAAGGGCCTGGAGCACATCGCACGTGATTGGAGTGGAGTAACAGGCATTATGTCACAAATGTCTTGCCCTTTCAATCCCAGGCAGATCGAGCTTTCATTCATTGACAGGCTGGCACAACAGCGGAACGCACTCTGGGAACACTACCATGAAGATGAAAAAGGTCCGGATTGTGTTTGGCCTCGAGGTCTTCCGATGCAGCGCCTAGTTCCAGGGAATGCATGGGTGTATCATGCTTTGAAACGTCCGGAGGAAGCGCCATACATATCGTCAAGAGTCAACAGCATTCTTTTTTGTTCATCAGAGATCATGATGACCATCGTTCCAAAAAGCCACCCCACGGAACATTGGATGGTGGACGACCTTTGGTTTGCAATTCAGGCTTCTATTGTCAAGGACAAGCCGGCTGAACGCGAGCAGCGCATTCTGAGTATCTGGGAATATTATTCCTCGAAACTAGAACAGCACAAAGCTCAACTTGAGTCTTTTAATAAGTGGCTCTCGACTCATGTATGTAAAGCAAGAATGAGAAAGGCTGCCAATATCATCAATCCCTCCTTAGCTCTTTCGTTCAGAATCGCCCCCGTTCCGACAGGCTCACTACCAGTTGAATGGATTCCTCAAGATGAAACTGAATCCAGCACATCCAAATCTTTGAATGAGGAGGAAGAAGAACCTCCCTGCACTGTTCTTCTATGTCGCATGCTGGGTAAAGTTCCGGTGACGACTGCCCTTCCGGCAAGAGACTCACGATCCAAACCGCCACCAAGCTTTCCCATGTGGACATTCGACAAGAATTTATTGGAGTCCGGATTCCAAGATGATATGACCCATTTTAAGCACTCCATAGCTTTGTCTGCACTCCTATTCCTGGCATCTTACACCAAAGGTTCCCAAGTGTTGCAAGCCGCATTTCCCGACGATGAAAATCCGCGCTACCCACCCATACGCCTTGCAGATTCATTTATCACCCGGGCCAAATCTGGCGAAGCTAGATTGGTACTGAAAGCTCCAGTGAACGCCTTGAAAAGATGCGGCAAAGGAGTTCCGGCTCAGCTGTTGCGGGATGTCATATGGTCTCTTTTGGACACCCTGAAAGCAGATCCGGATTCGACTATGTATTCGCATATCTTGTTCCGCACCCTTGACTTGATCGAGTTATTGCTCTGCTCAGATCAGCCTCAGCTTACAGTTGACATCCTTCTTCGGCTGTGGATGGAATTCCCTGACAACTCATCCCTGCACCGCAAGATTAGTCTCACCAATGTTGGCTGCAGACTACGACCTGAACAAGCCGAGGAGATGATGGTGGCCCTTGCGAAAGCAGTATGTGAAGCCATCGAGTCCCAAGAGAAGCAGGTTTCCGGGAAGCAGGGCAAACTGTTTGTCAAGGTTACTACTGCGAAGATGTTGGCGAAAGCCGTGGGCGAAACAGATTGTATCTCACAATCCAGTCGAATGCATATCCTGAAGCGTATGCTCGATGTCAGTCGCCACATTGACATTCGCAGAGGGATCTTAGACTCCATTCTGGTTCTTTTCAACATCAGTAATAGTCGCGAGCTATACGACCTTTTCTCTTCTGTTGCTTTGTCCATCGCAGGTCCAAGTGAGGAAAAGGTGACAACCGAAGAGGAGTGGATTGCAGCAGAAAGACAAGATGGACCTTTACCATTAATTGCGGAGAGCATCCAACGCCCAATAATTCAATTATTTGTCTTCACTGCCTCCTCCAGGATCCCAAAGGAGCTGCGGTCACACTATGCTGAGAACGTCTTGCTGCCACTGTTGGAGGAATCCTGTCGTCAGCATACCCGATGGCTGGCTATCGTATGTGCTAAGCTTGGTTTGTCAATTTCTAAGTTAGGTATCACAGAGCAGGAAGTTGGACCTTTCGCACCCAATCTGGTTCAAGGAATTTTCTCGGAATGGAGAGAGCATCTTCCAGCCATGTACTTGCAGAACTATCACCGTCCGTGGGCAATGGCCTATTTGCGCTTCAAATCCTTTGACAAAATAGCAAAGAAGCTTGCCAAAACAAAGGACCGTCATTTAAGCTGTTCCCAGGTTACAGGATACTGGAACTTATTCTTCAGAAACCTTCAGACACGACCTAATCTGTACAGTCTCGATTCTCGCCTCAATGACGCCCTGACTCAGCCTGAGGCTGGAATCAGTGCCGACATGATGGTTGAGGATATTCTGTGCCGTATTGAATTGATCTCCAAAACACCCATTCGACGCGATACCTCTTCTGAGAAGTGGATTCTCAGACCGAACTACAGCATTGAGATTCTACGAGATCTCCAAAAATCTCGCGTGAAGGGATTGGAGGACTCTTTCTACAGACCGACGATCTACTACCGAATCACAGATGTCATGACGCGAACCATTGAGCTTTTCAATGCAACCAGGAACCAAGACTGGCCGTCTAACCTGGCAAAAGGCTTCCCCATGACACTACCATCTTTCTTTGAGTATGAAGTATTGGTGTTACCCTCGCCAGTTTACAACCCTATTGATTCAGAGGCGAACTCATGTATCAAGATTTTCGCCGGCTCGGTGATTTCTTTGATACACAAGTACGCAAGTGACCCCGAGTGTGTCTTACTACTCCAGCTCAACGTCTTGGAGTCTATCTTCAACGAGATAGATCAAGCAGACAAAATGGAATGTGCACTGTATCTTGGTCGTATCAAACACGAGCAACTTGGTCCTGTTGAAGCTTGTGTCAGAGTCAAGCTGGCACGGAAGATTTTGGACATGGATGCTATGCCTCAGCGAAGCAAGAGAAAATCGGATGCTAGCTGTGAGGAAATGGTGGAGGAATGGAAAACCAGTGGGATTGATCTTGTTCGACAGATTGGATGGGCATATGAGCAGTCGGGGTGGTAGCGGCTTCGGATTTGTTGAGCATGCATACATAATTATTTTCTAATTGCGTTGTTTTTACAACTTGAATCTTTTTCTAGCAGCGGGTGTTCCAAGGTTCAAATGTTACCTAACATCGAAGAAGCCAACATTTGAAATTGACATTTTGAACATTCAAGGAAACTTTTGTTTCGTCCAAATCCCTACTACTGGCAGTGGATAGTAGCAGCCCTGTAGCAGTTAAGTATTTCAGAACTATTGATGCCACCCCGGGCTCATCAAATTCAAGTTCCAACCTGAAGCCCACCCGTGGACCGCAACATACGAACATTTCCAAGGTTGTGCCCAGCCCTGGAGGGAATATCAAGTTCACCTGGGCAATATAGGTTTAAGTTATATCATTATCCCGCAACTTAAATGATCACCTGGGCAATACTCCGAGTGGTACATAAACATTTGAATTGACTAGGTAGTATATGTACTACTAGAACTAGTACCTACATAGGTATTCATTTAACCCTTACTAGGTAAAATGTTCAACTCGAAGTTCAAATGTTGGATTGTTGGAATGAGACATCAGGATGGATGATTGCTAGTGTTACTTGGCAGGTATATGTTTCGGTTGAATAACTCGGATGGCGAATACTATGAGATTCAACCTTGGGAAGTTTTTGCGCCCGATCGGGAAGATTTTCATGATACTATGAAGAATGACAAATACTAGTAGAAAATCTATCAGCGTGAGTGACACATAATTTGAGAATATTTAAATCAAGATCGCAGTTAAACTACTTTCAATGTTGTTGAATCTATTTGTAGAGGTTATGGGTTAAAAGATGAGAGTCTTTGTCATCAGAAGGGGTTGTAGCTCAGTTGGTACGAGCGCTCGCTTTGCATGGTTCTACCAACCTTCATGCGAGAGGTCTGGCGTTCAAATCGCCACTGCTCCATTCTTTTTTTGTTTTTTTCTTTTCGCTCTATTTTTCTCTCTCTACATTGGTAAGATTAAAAATACCTTTTTTTCTTCGAAAAAGATAGCTGAGTTTTTTTTGATGATTCTTTGTGGTTGATATCTATCTTCTCTCAACATATGCCTTGGAAAGGACACTTTGTTTACTTCCAGGGGCGATCGAAACTGCCTTCGAGTTCCCCACACCACCTCAAGGTCTGATCTTTATTTCACCCTCGAATATCCCTGTCAATGATATCTGCAGCCCATAAACAAGTCTCATCCTGGAAGGGTGGTGCAACAATCTGAATGGCACATGGTGCACCGTCAACTTCCTCCGGGTTATCTGAGAACCTGTCAGCAACTGGTGACAATTGAGACTAATTCAAGTCACTTACAATTAGGTTGAACTTCATCACCGGTTTCCATCGTCTCCGGATCAAGTTCCTTCGACGCTTTCCCGAATGGAATAATACAAGCAGGATACTAAAGTCATATTAGCCGCTGCGGACTGCAATACCCTCGAAATTCAAAGATGGATGTACTTACATCTATCAGATTCCACATAAGTGTATAAGGGGGCCATCCGTAAGTGTCATATGCCACGGCAGTACTTTGCGACCCTGGAGCTAGAAGCACGTCCAAATGATGATCTATCCAGACCTGGCGCCATGAATCGCAAACTCGCAGACGAGCGTGGTGCAGTTCGTTGATTTTCTGTACAATTTCGAGAATTTGATCAACTGGGAATGGCCCAGTGAACATAGGCGAGGAGAATTTGGCCACTGATTCTACCAATGGCTCACCACTGGGCGTGATATGGTCTTCCGCGGGACCGTAGATGAAATATTGGAATGCAAGACGAGATGCATACGAAACCGAGAGTTCCTCACTCGGACTTTCGATTCGAACGATGCGATGTCCGGCTCGAGTTAATCGTTCAACTGCAAGGTCCAAGGCTCGCTTGATGGGTGGATGAAGTGGGAATTGCTTATCCTCAGACAAAACTCCAATCGTTAGCCTTCCATTGCGCGCATCACCTCCGCGTGGACCATCGATCCATGGCGCACCAGAAGCTGTGGTATCATATTTCCAGGCTTGACCATCTTTCAGGATAGTTTTCATGAAAAGCTGCAAATCAGAAACACTGTGTGCGAGAGGTCCAGCTGCAGGTTTTAACCCCGGTAGACCTTCCATTGCACCGGACACCTGCCCACCAAAGGGGACACGGTCTACTGTTGGCTTAAACCCGTATACACCACAGCACAGTGCTGGGATGCGAATTGAGCCAGCGATATCGGTGCCGACACCTAGGATGGACCCCCGGAACCCTACCAGGGCACCCTCACCACCGCTAGATCCACCAGCTGTTAGGGCCGTATTGTGAGGATTCAAAGTGCGACCGAAGATATTATTTTCCGAATCACCCGTCTAGAAATAGTTAGACTCTCTGGCTCAAATTATTCAGGATGGCCGACTTACCATCATGGTTTGGGGAATGTTGGTCTTCACGTATAGGACTGCACCAAGATCCAAGAGCATTGCGACAAGGGCCGAGTTCTTTGTCTCTGGTGCATTCTTCAAGAATGAGACATAGCCCACGGTCGACTGCAGACCTTCAATACAGAAACTATCCTTTACACTGATAGGAAGACCATGAAGTGGACCAATGGGCTTTTTCTCTCGTTCGAGATATGCATCTAAGAAACGAGCTCTCTCAAGAGCTTCAGGGAACGCGGTTTCCGTGAGACACAATGTCTGAGCGTGAATTAGCTGCTGCAATCTTATATACCAAAGAAGCATAGAAGAAGAGAGCTAACTTACCAATTGTTGAGCGATAGCAGCACGTTTGCAAAATGCAGTGGTAACATCCAGGGAAGTGACATTGCCCACTGCAAGCTTTCTCAGCAGTTGAGTTGCGGTATAGTTCTCAGTGATATCCAATTCGAGTTCGGAAAGGAGGCCACTTCGGCGCGGCGCATCATATTCTATCAGATGCGGAGAATTGTTAAGATGCTCGGTAGGTAAAATCCATTCCTTGGGGATCTTCTCGCGACATTCGTTGCGTTTGCGAGCAACTAACTCTAGCCAGTCAGGAATTGTGGACTCCATTTCGTATACCGTTAGGACTTGCTGATTGTAAACTCAGAATCCTGGTCATTGTCTCTGTTTAAGTACTCAGGTGATAAGTATCGGCTCTTCAATTTTGGATACCGAACGCCACTCCAAGAGCTCTCGATTTAGTGATGTGACTGTGCGTCCACATGCCTAATTGGGTTAATTACGTGAGGGGTAAATGATACTCCACTATTTAGACTAAGAAGTCGAAAATAACTAGAACAGATAAATCGAGGGATTTATGGATTTGAATAGATTTATGGGAATATGAAAGATGATAGATAAAAGGAGGAGACAATTGGACTGAAATTACTAGTAATTCATGCACATGTAGACCATTCTCAAACTTGCTTTATTTTAACATTCAAGGCTACTTGATTTACTCCTTCTAGTAATCGAAAAAGTATACTTGAAGTTCTTCATTTTTTGTCCTCAAAAATTAAATAAACCATCAGCTATACTTTCGCCATAACGTTCTCTGGTGTCTTTCCAGGAAAGTTGGTCAAGTGGTATGCGTCTATCCAGATTCTCTCGCCCTCGCAAGTCATAACACCAAGACATACGAGTCCATTGAGCCAGTTGTATGGACCTGGACCAGCCTCAAGTCTCAGATGGGAAAAGAATTCCACATCATCCTGTGAAACCGTGGCTGGTGGAACCATCATCGGGTCTGCGTCGACCTTCCTTGCATATTCCGTGTCAGGGCCGGGCCGATAGAGTCCATGTGCGCGAATGTAGATATGGTGATTATCAGAGGTGCGGACTGTGTACCGAGCATCCAGTGTCATGGACTTATGACTGATTGTTAGCAGTATTCTTTTCATTGATAGTAACTTTGGGCTTACATGTGTCCCCTTCACGACGGTCGCCCAGTCCGCTCCTCCTAGAGGAAGAACGGTACCTTCAATACCAGGTCCTTTGAGACTGCCTCGTACAATATTGGCTATATTGCGTATAACGCCTGCATCGTGAGGTGCGCCGATGTTGATTTCCTCTTTCGCAATATCGCATTCAAGTCGATAGAGAAAGGAGATAGAAGGCTGGCGCATTTGCGGGCCATTATCGAACAGGGTATTTCCGGGCGATGGCAATGGAGACATGATAAAAGAGATAAAGAGACAAATGCTGGTCTCTTCATTTTGTCTGCTATGGTCGGTTTTTATATAGTCATTGAGCTTTATCTCATTTGATAAAGTGGCAGTACTGTAGTCTGATGTATCGAATAGCTTCAAGTGGGGAAATAATCCCCGCAGATCAAGTCCAAATAGGTAAGTCGACCCACCTTATCACAATAAATGAGGATCAAAATGCAATGCAAGATTCGGTGCCCAGGTGTGGGTTAGACGCGCCCCAAAGAGGGAAGTACAAGAGGTTGCGTATGATTTGAGAAGTTGTCGTTTTCCGCCTTAATCGCGGTGTATTTCTAGATTCTCTCCATCTTGTTTATCTCTTACCTTCACCACCCTTACTAGTACGATACTACTAGACCCTCACCCAATCACCATCTTCAATCTCAACCTCATCATGTCTTTTGCTCGATTCGTTCTTGAGGATCCTGCTATCCCGGATTCAGCTCGCCAACAGGCTTTGGATCGTCTTCATTCGGATCCTGGAATTCCTCAGGCTACCACAACCTTCTCCTTCTGGGTCCAAAATCCACACCCTCAGTTTGCACAAGCTTCCAGCAAACCTTTGCCTGCTAGTGCAGATATCGTGATAATTGGATCCGGAATCTCTGCTGCATCAATCGCTCGTACAATTCTCCAAAGTCGCACCATATCTGCCTCGATTCCATCCCATCCAACGGTGGTTATTCTTGAGGCACGCGATATCTGCAGTGGAGCTACTGGAAGAAACGGAGGTCACATCATTGAAACTGCAGATGAGTACGGTGAACTGGCCGATGCTTTTGGGTCGGAGGCTGCGCGCAAGATAATGCGTTTCCGGTTATCACATTTGAAGGAGATGCTGCAAGTTGCCAAGGAGCTTGGATTATCGGAAGAGGCCCAGGCTCGTAAAGTGCAATTTTTGAGTGCCTACTTTGGAGAAAAGCCTTGGAGAGAGGCATTGGAAAGGCTTTGTCGCTTCAAGGAAGGCATGCCAGAGGAATCAGCCGAGTGGATTGCATACGATACAGGATCTATGCCCGAGGTAAATTTTCCCGGTCCGATATTTGAATTAGATCATTAGTGCTAATTCTCGTTCATAACAGGACTTCAGACTCTCTAATGCAACTGGTGTCGTTGCCGGCCCCGCTGGTGCTATTTGGCCTTACAAATTTGTCACAGGCGTTCTGGCGAACCTCGTCGCGGAGTACCCGCAGGAGATTCAGATCAGTGACCGAACAGCTGTCGAGTCAATTCAAACTGACTCTGCGACTAACAAGTATACAGTCAAGACAAGCCGAGGTGAAATAACTGCTCGTCATGTCATTCATTGCACCAATGCGCATGTGGCTCATTTGGTCCCTGGTCTACGCGGACGCGTTTTCCTGTGCGAGGTCAAATGTCAGCCCAAACACCTGGTGACAAGTTCTCCTGCCAAGCTTACGACCACTCATGGATTTTCAATTATCACCGTGGATTTGACTATTTGACACAACTGCCAGGAGGACAAATGATGCTTGGGAGAGGTTTTGCGCAAGGCGAGCTGGGAGGAATTGCCGAGTTAGGAGTTCCTGGAGACGACGAAATGAGTGTATACATTGACATTCACCTCTCTGGTGCCCTGAGTGCAGTCTTTGGTCGCGAGTCATGGGGTCGTGTAAAGGGTGACCAGGTGCAGGCAATGTGGACTGGCAATATGGGATTTAGCTCGGACAGCTTCGCCTGGGTAGGACAGTTACCCGACTCTCTCAGTAGTCGCCCATCTCTCGATAAGGGCAATGGTGCGGAATGGGTATGTGCTGCATTTGGTGGAGAGGGAATGGTACAGTGCTGGCAGTCTGGGAAAGCCTTGGCCACCATGCTTGGCTTGAAGGATAAGGAGCTTGGCTTAAATGTTCCTAGTGACTTATCATGGTTCCCTGAGCAGATGGTCGTTTCTCAGCAGCGTATTTCCGCGGCTGAGTTACCCAGCTCTGTGGCTGCTTTCCGACGCCAAGCAAACCTATAGCCCTATAGGATTGATTGGGTTTCTTGTTCAACATCTTCAAAATATTTATTATGCAGATGACTTGCTTGGCGTGGATAGCTACGAAAGAGAGGGCATGATAATTCCATTGCTATTGATACTAGTAGGTCTCCTACGAGCTTTATCCACAGTACTATAAAACTCTCACAATGCCTATTTATGTTACTGATTGGATTTGTTGAATCAAAATATAATTCCTAGTAGTAGATTGAAGGTTCCAAAATGTAACTACATTGCAATAATAAATTTGAGTCAGACCAGTATCAGGAATATTCATCTTAAGCCCTTCATATGTGCAAATCTGAGCACCAAATTCTAGCTTGAGATAGAAAGAGCCGCGATGTTTCGTATCACAAATTGGTCCCCTACCACGCGTTTTTGGGCACATCAATGACCTATGCTCACCATTCGTTGGTAGCGCGAAGCCAAGGCACGCCGAGCAGCTTTACCCCAGATCATCATTGGAATCATCAAGCAGTTCACCGCAAGGCTGATAAACCCCGCAACGATAAACATGTTTTGAATCCCGTTATTCTTCATCCAAGGACTGATAGCGAAAGGAATCCCGATACTAACCGCGTTGCGTAAAAAGGCGACTCCAGTGAAAGCATCACCAGCGATCTACAAAGTTTTGGTTAGTCTTCAATGCTTCAACGAATATAATGAATGTTGAAACAGTCATACTTCTCGGTAACTGTCAATCACCAGTGTCAAAGCTGCGTCACTGACACTGCCAAGACCAAATCCGAAAAACACACCAGCAATGCTGGGAAAAATCCAGTGCATGCCCTGGTGATACGAAAAAATTAGTCCATGATCCATGCACATCCAAGTGATGGGAAGAAAATGAATGGTGAAACCGTACCCTGGAAATCGTAACGCCAAACATAATCAGGCCTCCTGACATGAAGATCGCAGGTATAGGGAGAATGTAAAGTCGCATCTCAGGCTCGAAGTAGCCCTTGTTCTTCTGAGAGAAGTATAGGATAGACCAATCCCCCAAGACACCCCCGTAGATTGAGCCGATGAGATTTCCAATGAAGGGGCCAACGCTCATATATCCAATCTGCTCGGGATTGAATGAATATGGTGGTTCTGGAAATACCAGAGCTAGCACACTGGACATGATAGTGAGGAAAGCAACGCCGGAGGCATATTGCAAAGCTGTATACAACACCGTTGGGAAGCTGAGTAGTACATAAAAAGGTCGATAATAGTAAGCCCAGATCGGTTCTGAGGTAGGAGTGGCCAAAGCAAGACTTTTGCGCCAAGAGTTCATGGGAATGGTAAAATCTATTTCGTGGTGTAGAGTGCTCTGTTCAACGACGTGCGTGACATGGCTCTCGGATTGGACTTTCGTTTTTTGATCCTCGTCCTCAGCCTCAGGGTAGCATTCGGTCGGACTGGGCTCGTTGCGTGATTCGCCTGTGAAAATGGGGATGTATTTTGTCTCCTCATATAGAAAAACGAAGAGGACTAGGAAGATGGCATTGAAGATCCCCATTGTCCGGTAAGACGAACGCCATCCTTGATTTGTGGCTTGTGCTCCCGCTGCCATTGGAGCAAGAAATGACTAGGAATGTCGATAGGTTAGCATAATGTATTTCCATTAGGCCAAATACTTGAGCTTTAATTAAGCCTTATCGTGCAACTTGAACGGGTTGACATACCCCAATCATCACAAATGTCATGTAGAGACCATTCATTCGACCCCGATGATGCACAAAGAAGAGGTCGGCAATCTGTACGACATGATTGATTAGATATCCAATCGATACTATAATGATCAAGTACACGTACAGTTATCTCAACGATGGCTTCGTTGGTTGCACCAGCCAATCCTTGAAGCAGGTTGCAGATATAAAGCTCTGATAAACTCTGCAGCCTGGAAGTCCAGAAGGAGGTTACCAGCATCAGAATTGTCGACGCAATGTAAATTGGACGGCGACCGTATTTCTTGGCCAGAGGAATGAAGAGAACACATCCCATCGACAGACCCACGAAGTTGACAGACATGGAATTGTTGAGCTGTGTATACGTAACATCAAGATCCAGGATCATCTGCTGCCAGAAAATAGATTGCACGGAGAGTCTATCAAGAAGGTTAGAGCTTGAGACGTTGAAATACCATCTCGGGGAGGAATTTGATATACGCTGTGAACACAAGAGCTGTCATTCCGAGAATGATGGTGAAATTAACAGTCTTGCGAGTCGCACTCCAGTTCTGAATACAAAGATTGGACTATTAGCCTGGTCAAGTTCATAGTAGGGATAAAAGGTAAACCCACCAAGGGCTCGTTGGGATCCTTGGATGGAATGGGATCAAGCATAACAACGTGCTCACCCGATACCTCGGAATCGTTCTCTATGTAACGAATTAGCAATGTTCAATGAGGGCTGAGCAAGGTCATACCTCTAATCAAGAGAAAGGTCCCAGGTGGGAGATCGTTTCCCTTTCCCGAGGAAGAAGACTGAAAAGTTGAAGACATCGCAACCTTGGAAGTTTCACTTCAATATTGAAAATAAAAATATTTAGATTCTCGGATATGAAGCAGACTTCCCTGGGATGGATGCAGGGATTTAAGTGTTCAGCGCTTCCCCTTCTAAGGTTGCTAAGACGGCAGATAGATAGTAGATTCAAGTTCAAGGCTCATAGGCCGATGTCTGCGATAGACACGTACGGTCAACCTCAGCGCCACTTTCACGAATAAGGATTCAGTGATCATTATGTCCCATATGATAAGCTAGTCATTGTCAGTGCGGAGTATAGGGAATGATTGTCACTCGGTGTATGCGGAGAAAGTGTGGCTGATTTGCATGACCTCGTAGGATTTAGCGATAGAGTTAGAGAAGGGTCAGCCTTCCTGATTTGGCTAAGTTCGATATCAACGAACATCCTAACCGAGAGTAAAGTGCTCGGTTAGTCTCACGGACCTCTATTGCGATACTCCACAATCTTAATGCATTTGGGAATGTGGATACTTGTCCCGATATGGCAGGTGGACACACTAGTTTCAATATGGAGGATTCAAAACAGCCTGAGTCCTCTAGACACGGAGGCTGCCCATGTGGAGATGTATACATATAGCGGGAGATAAGCGGGTTAATATGGAATACAGAACTATTTTAGCCTTTTCAATATACAATATACTCCACTGTTGCATTTTCTGATCTTACCCATTAGTCACATGTACAAAGAGGATTCACCAATTTCTATTCTTCAAAGGGCTTTCGCCTGCGACGTCAATCGATACGACCTTGAATTTATCTTCTCGAAAGCGGTTATCAGTGCTAGTGGGCTTGGTTGAAGTTAACCATGTCAAAACTCACCAGCAGACTTGAATTACTGCAAGTCAAAAGTGGTTTGATCTCCCTCATAATAAAATGTGGCATTCCAAAAGAAATCGAACTGATATGTACCTCAATGAGAAGAATCTTTTATTCCGAGCGTTGTTCGAACAGTGAACTCTGCCTTTTCACCCGATCCTCTTATTCAATGGTTGCGACCAAATGCGGCGCCTTGGAGCCAGCAAGATGAATCAGCCTGCAAATGGCAGTATCGACGAGTTCAGTCAGTCATGTTGAATGGAAAGGTACTTCAAACAGCATCGGTTGGTGATATCACAGTTCCCAAGCTTGCAGAGCAGCAGAAGGGACCACCAATTCCCGTAGCCGAAACAGAAATCCAAGCTTTGCCTGCAATGGGCACTGGAGATGTCATAAACGGCTTGGAAGATGCCGGTGCTGTTGTTTTTTTGTTTCCGCCTAAGTTTCAGCTCAAATGGTCTATACCAAGGCTATGGCGAGCACTCAAACTTTTCATACTCAACAATCTCAAGCCGGCGTATGATACTGGCTGCAAGGAATCGGTATTTCTACCCTTGATCCCTTGAGTACTGCATCATGAAACTAACATAACACATCTATCAAGCGAGTCAATCAGCTTCTCACAGCAAACAAAAAATGCTTCAAGATTCTACAGACTCAATATTCGCGGGAAAAGCTATGGTACCTCGAGGTTATAGCTGTACATCCATCTTTGCAATCTCGTGGAATTGGTGGTAAAGTGATGTGTTGGATCTTGGAACACATTCAAGATCAACCAATTTACCTGGAATGTACACGTCGTGAGAATATTGGATTCTACGAGAGCTTCGGATTCGAGGTTGTGGATGAGGTGGAGCTCGTGGACGATGAACAGAAACTGAGTTATTGGGTGATGGTTCGACCTGGAAAAAGGGATATTTAGATCATAGAACAAGAATTCTAATTTCAAAAAACCATTTCTTTGTTCAATTTGCTAGTCAACAATGATACTATTCGTGAGGGTTCCCAAACAATTTCCACCGTCGATTGACCAACGCATCTACTCCAGCCAACCATCCTTTCCACACTCTTCCTTCATCTAACTTCAACATTAATTTCATTCGCTCATAGTCACGGACTTCCTGATCTTCCAACTCCATCTTCAGCTTCATCTCACTAAGGGGCCCCCATATCATCCATTGATCTTCTTGATGCGTATCCCACGGCTCCATTCCGTTTGCGAATCGAATCCAGGCAGAGGCAAATTCACGAGCCATCACTTTCTCCTCTTTGTTGAACATGTTCTCCAAGTTCATAAAAAGATAAAGCAGCTCGTGAGCGTGATATGCAGTGTTTTCAAACGCATTCAGGATGCGAGATCGCTGGTCAAAATGATATATGAACCGCTTCCTCCCAGCTAATTTCTGAGAAAGAAGATAGTTTGGGATTTTGAATATGGCATCACCACACATGTGCTCTACACGACCCAGGAGCTCCTCGTGAGAGAGACTATCGGTGATAACATATGCCTTCAGAATCAGGTCAGTATAAGAATCGTCTCCAATATGAGTTTGGAGAATTTTGCGGATAGACTGATAATCTTCTTCGAGCAGATTGAGATGGAAAATCACCCCTTCATGATAGGTATCACCAAACATCACTTCCTCTAACCAAGAAGGCAGTGGATTTACATCCAGAGGATTCACTTCATGACGATAAAACCAGCCGTCTAGACACGGATTTCCCGTTCCAGAAGGAACACCTTGGATATCAGGTGTCGAATTGGCCAGCTCCTGCTGTGGAATAGCACGAAGTCGCTCCAGAGCATCATTCGCCGCGGGATTAATTCCAAAATGATCGCAAACTGCCCCGAAGAACTGGTTGTGCTGTGTCATCGTCCATGCTGGAATTGCTGCGGATAGACCAGACATACAGACTGCACGGTTAAATACTGGTGGGTTCGCGGCAAGGAGTTGGTTGCTGATGGAAATTCCACCAGCGGACTCGCCCACCGCTGTCACTTTCCGTGGGTTGCCTCCTAGAGAATTGATATATTTCTGAACCCAATCGAACGCGACTTTTTGATCTGTGAAACCAAAGTTCCCGCCTCCTTGATACCCATCGGCACTTAGCTCATTGGCAATGACGTCGCCAGCTAGAAAACCACCGATACCGACGCGATAATTGAAGTTGACGCAAATCATGGGCATTTTGACAGCAATGCTCTGAGATACTAGATTGACAGCATCGAATATTGGCAGATTCGCTCCGCCATATAGCAGAGAGCCACCATGAACATAAACGAAGACTGGAAGACCTTCGGTCTCCAGGTCGAGTTCATGAGGAATGACAATATTCATGACGAGTGCCGACAGCTCATCCACCAGTCGGGAGTCAGAAAAATGAGCTGGTGGAGGAACAGGGACCAGATCATTCGCATCATCGCCGTCGACAATTGGGCTTGGGCAGTCGTTCCTATTGAGAATATTAGTTCAATTCGCTAGGGGCCGCCAGATCAGGAAGAATCTACCCTAACTTCGTCCCATCATGATATTTCCCATCCCAGTCTGTTTTCAAGGTTGATCTGGACCATCGCTTTGCAAGATTTGCATAAGGGATGCCACAGAACTGCTGTACGCCATTGGCATATTGCAGTCCGTCCAGTATCCCTAGTCCGGGGATATTCGCCCTGCAAGTTCCAACAGGGGTCTGAAAAGACATCTTGAGCAAAGACTGTCGAGTTGAACGCTTTCCTCGATACTGTTCTCTCTTTTTCTTCATTGCTCATTTATATCTCATTTCTAACGTATATACTTCTATCTACGCTGCTTCTATCGCTCAAAAAGGCAGTCAGACCCGTTATCAGCGTGGCGCTCCACCGACTCCACTATCCCCGCACTCAATACATAACGCAGAAGATCCGCTCATTTCCCCTAAATTATTCAGCGTACGCCCTGGATACGGAATGTCGACCCGCTCACATCAAGGTTGCTGGACATGCAAGCGACGTCGTCGTCGCTGCGATAACCACCGACCCAAATGTCAAAATTGCGCCCAGCGTGGAATAGAGTGTGAAGGATATGAGGTCCGATTACGGTGGGGTAGTGGCATTGCGTCGCGTGGGCAATTCACCGGTGCAGATAAGCCGCTGAAGGAGAATGTGCCGGCAAGAACAAAGGGTCGACTAAGGGATCTGAACAGGGAAAGGAAGAAGGTAGAGGCATCAGCATCCAGCGATGCCATTAGCCCTCAGGACCCACGCTTTGAGGACTACGAATCGCCCGAACAAAATTATACGATGGATTATGGGTCTGAGCCGTCTCCTACTGACTCGGAGAAATTGAGCCAGGATCAAGCCTTGTTTAATGAATGTAAGTCATACATATGAACTGTGGGGTATTAGAGAACTAAACATTGCGACATAGTCATCAATGGGGGCATTAATGTACTTCATTCTACCACAGCTCGAGATAGCATGCTACAACCACGACTACCTCAATTGTGTCAAGAATCCAGTGCATTATATACAATTTGTCTTGCATTTCAACTTTCACTGTCGAGTACTCATTCTCCCAGGTTCCTCGAGTACTTTGATGCAGCGCTTCGAGAATTCCGATCCGAACTAGCCCAAAGCACTATTCTCTCGGATGGAACACTGACAGCTGGCTTGCTGCTGTGTAGCATTGGCGTACGTCACTATTGATTCTTATTTTGATTTCTCCATGTTTATGCTTCTGATCCTTGACTTCTATTTAGCTGATGCATGGTTTGCCATGGACAGTGCACCTGGAAGGTATGCACAATATCCTCCAATGCCATGGCCTTGCGGATAGACATCGCACAGCCACGCAAACTACCTTCCGTACCCATCTACTCGAGGTCATGGGAGTCATGGACCTGCAATGCTTTTCTGTTGGTCGTCAAACATCCTGTATTGGAATCTGGCATCGTTACTGCCAGCCCACTTCCCCGAGAGAAGGAGTTGAGCCTGTCAGTGGGCTACCAAGGACTTTACTTGACCTCTTTGCTGGGATAGGAATTGATACCACAGAGCAAAGCTTCTGGGACTGGCCAGGAGAAGTGGGCAGTTTTCTGCAATGTTATCTATGGGAAGCACATAGATTAGCCGGAATTTTGACACTTCGTCGTCATGCACGATCCGAAGAGCAGAATTCTCGCAACATGCGAAATGTCTCAAATTGGAGACAGCCAGGTGCATGTCCAGCAGACGCTTCAGTTCTTGTCGCTCGAATACTGGCAAATCTGGATGCACTCCGTCTTGCTTGCGCTGAGCGCCCTAAAGAAGATACTTTCATTAAGAATGCAGTCCTCTTCCCAGTTGTCGTTGCTGGATTGGAGGTTTCAGTAATATGTCAGAATTCACAGTGGCAGGAAACAATTCGCAAGTGTACTCTTGGCTCGCGACAAGATGAGATTCTTCTTGATCTTTTGGAAGAAATGTGGCGCAAGAATGATCCTATTCTCAGTGTCGATAATTTGGCAAGGGCAAGGGGAGTGGAAATGGGCTTGTTATAACAGGTTTGCTATAATTTTGGTCTAATTCTGATTGATGACAGTTTTGCGCATATTCGCTGAGTTGTGTCAATATCTTTCTTCGGTGCCTATGGTACAGGAGCGCCGCGCAGCCACCCTTCCTGTTCCTGGACGTTTGCCTTACAGATATCTCCCACCTTCTCATCTCCCCTACTCTTCTTTACCCCCAAGCCACATTTCCAATCTTCCATCTGGCTTTTATTAGCCCCGAAACCCGCAAATTCTCATCCACCATACCGATTGTCTCTCAATTCGTATTCCTAGACGCCAACATGCCTCGTTGGGTTCAATCCAAGCACTTCCGCGGCAAAGCTCCTCCTCGTCACAGAGAGCCAGATGACGAGAACCAAGGTCAACGCCGCGCATACTGCGCCGACTGTCGCATCATTCAGCCTGCAAACCACCAATGCACTCCAATTTGCCAGCGCTGCGGCACGCCTTTCTTCGGCGGAATGGGCTGCGAGCCTACCTCCTACTGTGGTGCTTTGCCTTGCTGTGGATGCTGCGACACTACCACCCCTCCTCCTCCTCCTCCTCGACGCCAGGCGTCTAATGCCCGCCTGGACCTTGAGAAAGTCGACGAAGCCCTGGCTCAGTACCAGTCCGAGCAGTCCGCCTCACAGGTAAGAAGTCAACGAAGCTATCTCAACAATACATACTGATTGGAGGCCATTCTTCTAGGAGGCAACGTCTCCCAACCAGCCGAAGGAAGACGGAAAAGCCAAGGAGGGTAAGAGCGCCCAGAAGAAGGGCAACCTCCAGAAGAAGTGAGTGTAATCTCGCTTGGGTCTCGTCTTCAAGTGTTTGCTCAAGCACCTAGCCTTTCACGTCAGTTAATCTTCAGTCGATTTACGGACATTAGCCATCCTTGCGACCCGACGTGGAGAGCAACGAAGACCGAAGAGACCAAAGAATACAATGCACCCAAGGTGCCAAGGAAGATGAACTTTGTATATTAGCCGTCCACATTGTTACCAATGTATTTTTGTTTCATCTTCGAGTGCTAGTTTCTAAGTGAACCTTCATCGTAACAGCACTGGCCCTCAAAACTCACTTCTAGGGCTGAAGTTGGACTAGTACTAGTAGTCCTTGGGTTCATCTCCAAGGTTTGCATTCTGATGATACTATTATTGGCTTGAATAGGTCCACTCTTCTGTCTAGTCATAGAATTATTAAGTAGTAGTTCAAAATCTATCACGGAAAAATGAGATAGCAAGAACATAAACACACGGTGACACTTATAGTGTACAAACATGAGTACTGCCCACTCAATTCAAATGATGATCCTTCCAAAAAAAATATGAAAAGCAAAAAAGAAAATTGCTAGTGGAGGGGATCGAACCCTCGTCTTAGCTTTTCAATCATTACCTCTCTCATCTATCCAAATTAATTTGAATAGACTTGAAATATAATCGGAGAGCTACGCGTTTCCACTACGCCACACCAACTAATTGTTCCACTGGACCCACTATCTACAATCTCGACGAATGAGAGATACCACATTTGGACTATTTCCACTTTTACTAATCCACATCTGGTTTAGCGTCTATAAAATAACCACCCAGTGTATATAAACCTGGGGTACTCTATATCACTCTGTACAAATCTCTAAGCAGCAAAAAGTTTCCAAGAGGTGAGAAAGAATACTGGCTAAGAATGGGAAAGGAACTTTCTTTTCTTTCCCCCTTTTTACAAGTTTTTCCTTTTTTTCAAGAAAATAAAGAATTTCAAGTTTAGGCTTATTTTGAAGTTGATTTTTTCTGCTTTTTTCCTGGTTATACATTATTTATTTTATATTTTTTTTTAAAAAAAAAGAAAAAAGAAAGAAAACTGTACATGTAGGTAGTTCCTCGACGGTTTTTTTCTACTACATAATGTACCTAGTTTAGATCTAGTTCTGATATAGTTATCCACACATGCACTAGACTACTGCAGTATACTGCGAAGACTACTATCAGGATATGACTGTCAGTGACGGTTCGAATTGTTTTCTAAAAAAAAGAAAGAACCTTCAATGTTGGAACTAGTGAAAATAAAATAAAGAACTTCGAGTATAACCATCGAGCCCTGGACGTACTTTCAAGTTGACTGAAAAAAATTCGATTCAATCCAACTCCAAGGTGAAGTTGAACATTTGAATGCTGTAGGTAAAGGCCTCGATTGCCCAGGTGCCTAGTAGTGTATTCAAGTTTATCCAACATTTCAACTTTGAAGCAACTGGAAATATTTGAGAAGAAACACATATCTCGCTAATTCAAAAGATTCTCTCTATTACCGCATATTCCTCTACCGCGCGGCAGTCAATGTAACTCAGTCATATCTGCATACAAGAGAAAAAGGAGAGAAGAAAAGAAGAGGAAAAAATAAAGGGGAAAAACATCAGCCCCAAATAAGAGCTCCAAGAATACATGTTACAGAATATAAAACATCAAGGAGGCACGGCTCGTGCCAGCACGCGAACATTATCCACAAACCCCTTCACCAGCTGCTCGTACTGATTACTCGGATCACCCTTCACGGCAAGTTGACCCTGTCGGCGAATTTCAGCAGCGGAGATCTCAACCTCAAGCTCGTGCTCGAAATCATTTTTCGTTGGAGGCTATTGGAAAGGTCAGAAGACTGAACAAGGTCACACAAAGATGTAATGCTGGGGTAGTAGTCGACTCACCTCGGCCTTAGCTACTTGAGTTAGGTCGATTTGGTAGGCTAAATGCCGGTAGCTCATGCGGTCCTTGTTTCGCTCGCCACGACCACCTTTGGACATGTCGACCATGGTCAAGTTTGACACATCACCCTCATACTCCATTTCCAGGTTCACGCTGACACGCCAATCAACAACCGTCCGTGGACTACACACATCCATGTCGGCTACACGGCACTTCACGATCTTCGCTAGGATTTCGCCGGTTTTTTGGTCTGTTGTCACTCGTACCTTAGGCTTATGCCTTGGGTTTAGGTTCTGGCGAATGACTGGAGGCAGTTCGGCGGGTGAGACTTCGTAAAAGGTATCACGCTCCTTTTTGTGCGCGTATGAGATCGGGACCCGATTCGGGTTGTTAATCGGCATGGAGGACTTGACGGCATCATTAAGGAAATTGTTCATGGCGCGATGTTGTTCCTGAATGGGGTGTTCATGGTAAGAATTGGGACCACTCAATTGAAGAGAAGAGAAGAGAGAGGGATAGAGACAAGGGCTGAGGGAAAGGGGTAAATAACTTACAACACTCATGCTACTTTCAAATGAAGTTCGGAGTCGTGGGGTGTCTTTGTTGAGGACCGTTTCGGTGAGAACAGGTAACATGAGCCTCTCCCCTCGATCCATGTCCATGACATGGCCGAGTTTTGCTTCAATCTCAATGATGGCACCCTGCCCGACGGCTGCAGACCCGGCCGGTCCAGCAGCCACATCAGTTCTCATGACGACATGTTGAAACAGGAAATCACAAAGAACCTTGGTGGTTTCTTCATATGGGATAAATCCGGTGATAGAGGGCTCCCACGCACCCAAAAGCCCTCCGCTTTGGGGTTTACTGGGAATGGACACAGGGGCTGCAGACGGTGCAGATGGTGCAGACGCGGCAGGGCCGTTCATGCTTGATGGGGCCGCACTGGGTGTCCGGGCAGCAGATCTAGGTGTAGCAGCAGCTGGGACATGTCCTGCAACAGAAGAGCCTCGACGACTGCCCCAAAGATCCTCATTCGAGTCCCTGGCGTGTTTCGGGACGAGTGGGCGCGGATTCGGGATCACCGGACATTTGCCTTTATTGCGGATAATTCGCTGGGCATAAATCGGGGGCTCATTGTAGCGCCGTCTCTTCGGTTTTGGAGGCTGACTTGACAGACGTGTGTTTGGTTCGTGATCAATTTCCATCTTTACGGGATGGGAGTCGCTCCGAGAGGCTGATGGGGAGCTGTTTATCTGCATGTGGGTTGCTGCAATAGGCGACGCGAGTGAATCTGACCCAGGACCAGAGTGAAAAAGTGATGTGGGACTCTCATTCCACTTGTTATCACTTGACTGGCGAACTGAGACAGCCGCTGCGGAATCAGAGGTGGCTACGACGCTTCCTTGCCGAGAAAATTTGGGACTGACGTCTTCTGAGAATGATGATTGCTGCAGACCCGTGGGAGGATGATTGGATGAAGCCTCAGAGGGGCGAGATCCGGGGGAAAACTGACGTTGCCTTGAAGGCGATGGCACTTGCGTAGAATCTCGGGCTTGGAGGTCCTGTCCTGACCTAGGACTTGCCAGCGGATTACGTGGAGACTCGTGACCGGAAGATTGGGGACGGGTAGAAGGTGATTGACGCGACGCGAATGTAGGTGGGGGTCCTAATGGAGTGCCGGGTACTGAACGCTGCGCGGTTGGAGAAAATTGATGCGACGGGGGAGGCTGGGCGAGGGAAGGAGGGCTGTCTCGAGGGAGAGGGTGCGGGTTGGCCATGATGTTATGAAGGGAATGAGATCGTTGCTGAGCAAAGTACGATGACTGTTCAGCTTGCTGGATTCCTGCGCTCATGGGCTGTTGCGGCGTATATGGTGATGCCAAGGGGCCCGCGGGGTGTTGAGGATGCGAATTGTACGCCGATGCAGCACCGTACGGGTCACGCGACGCCGGTCCATATGGGGAGGAAGCATGTGTAGGACTTTGACTTCTTTTGGATCGTACAGCTGTATTGACAGATGGGGGGCCTGCGTTGAATTGCTGGTATGGCGATTGGGCAGGGCCGTAGGGCGAGGATCGTTCAGGCGAGATATGCTGGGCGTGCTGCAATGGAGGCTGTGGAGGACGCACTGGATATTCTGAGTAGGCCGATTGTGTGCGCTGTTTATGAGACAGATCGGATGGAGGACTCGATGATTGGGTGGGCGGCGGAGGATTGGATTTGGCACCGCTGGCGTCGCTATTCATGATGCTACTCAAATCCATGGCGACGGGCATTCGAGGGCGCAAACACAACACCAGCGCAAAAGATATTATCGGCGATCAAACAGGAACAGTCGCGACATCCAGACGATGATGACAATAATCGGCGCAGGCGTCAAGGGAGGCGGAGGGCTTAATACGTGACTGAACAAAGAAGAAGGGAGAGAAGTTCTAAAGTTCCGCGCTCCGGATCGATCGAATCAGGGAGCTTCAATAGGATCATCACCACTTCGGGGAAATACGATGGCAATGAGAAGCTACAAGATTTAAGATCAATAGGGAAATTGATTGAGCTAAAAATGAGATATTTCTACTTTTTCTATGAGTTATGAGAAGCTCCTGCTTTGGTCGCATTGGAGCTCCCAGTTATAGCTGGTGCTCGGGGGATATGGATTATGTCATCATTTAATCCGCTTACCTAATACATCTGGACACGCATCATCTTTCATCCCATATTAACTATGACTTGACCATCAAGCCCTTTTCATGTGGAAATAAGCTTAATTTGGGCGAAACGAAGTATCATCGTTAGTTCCAATAAAGAAAAATATTTTAATTGACAATAAAACCCTTCAAATTTGGTATCTTAAGCTTCAAATGTTTGTTAGTATTCAAGGTTGTTCTACTCCGTGCTCCGTATAGAATCGTATGGGCCGGATATGGATAATAAGACCAGTTGACTGCAAACCACCAGTAATGAACTAACATTTGAAGATTTCTACTTGGTCAGAACATAATGGCCTTTCGTGTACTTTTCAGAAGACATATCGAGTCAAGTGATCGAGACCCGCAAAATGTATAGATAGATAGAGAAACACCTTGACCCAAGCTGTGGACATTCTACCTTGAATAGTCAACTGGTCAACATGATTATACGAAGGCATGATCGGCGCATAAACGGCAGCTGTGGATAATCGTTTCCACTTCTTCCCCTTTCAAGATTGCACTCCTGTCACTGGCATTTATTCAAAACCGCCTAGTTGATTTCAATAGAATTCTCAGTTGTTTAGCTTAGGTCTAATGCCAAGTGGGGAAGTGTGAAACAACCCTGGAAACCTTCGTTCCCGCTGACGTATACTGCATGTTCTGCCGTTCTTTGAACACGGCTATTTCAACTTCCTACAACTCTCGCTGGTCGAGCCTCGCCTCACATTATCCAGCTTGCCGTTGCTCACAACCTTTGATGCCAATCTCAAATTGAAATCTATGTGAAAACCGCAACGTGACACCGAGAAATGTTCCTTTGAATAATCCCGTGGTTCTGCTACCATCATCACAGCATGGCATCTTACCTCGAAAACCGCGAACATCGCGCCTCTACAGGCGTCTCGATCCCCCTCAAAGACCTTGAATCCGCTTCGACAGATACAAACAATGATCATACCGCCCGCTGGAACGGGTTCTCAAGATTTCACCCGTCCAATATACTCGCCAATCCAAATACCTCACAAAATGATTGGCTAGCTACCGCAGAAGACATATGGCTTGGATTAACAATCGCGCTCACCCCCAGTTTCCTACAACAATATGTGGGCGTTGAGCCGCCTCAACCGACAAAGCTACATGCGATTGCTGCACTCGATGGACTACGAGGCTGGGCCTGCTTGCTTGTGTTCAACTTCCACTTCCTATTTACGTACACATGGGAAGTTGCGGTCGGATGGGGATTTGCGGGCGAGAATTGGGGAATCCATCAGTTGCCTTTTGTTCATATGTTGATATCTGGTCATATCATGGTAGCGATCTTCTTCGTGATCTCGGGCTATGTTCTTTCCTACAAACCGCTGAAGACGATAAGGTCTCGCTCCTTCGACCAGACTTTTACTGTGCTTGCATCATCAACGTTCAGACGGGCGCTCCGCCTCTATATTCCGTCCCTTATCGGCTTGGCTTGTGTTTTCATCGCAGTTCGGCTTGGAGTTTACAACTACTCCTGGGGTGTCATTAAAGAGGGTCGCACGATTCTCGGGACCAATGAACAACATCCGCTGGTCTACAAATCTCTTTACAAGCAATCTTGGGACTGGTATTACACCGTGGCTCGTCTCATCAACCCATTTGATTGGGGACTCTACTACAACAACTACAATCCGCACCTCTGGACTATTCCTGTTGAATTCCGCTGTTCGCTTGTGCTCTTCCTTACCACCCTGGCAACCTCTCGTCTCATTTCTCCCGTGCGAATGACTCTCGTCGCAAGTCTCACCTGGTTCTGCATGCGCTATGGCAGATGGGACGTCGTCTTGTTCCTCGTGGGCATGCAGATGGCGGAATTAGATCTGATTAATGGAACCTGGGAGCGACCCGCCATTCCTTCAGTAGGCACCGATGATACCTTGCACATCCGTTTCCCCGCGGAGGCAAAGTAGTCGGTAGCATATCCCGACGAAGTTTATGGATTGGAGTCTTCATTATCGGACTCTACTTTGGTTCATGTCCCAATATCGGGTTCAAGTGGACACCGGGCTATAGATGGCTTTGGGATATAACTCCCTGGACGTATGGAGAGCCCCACCGATTCCCACAAACGATTGGTGCGGCCTTAATCGTTTTCAGCATCAATCATTCGCCCGTAATCCAGAAGCTTTTCACCAATCCGCTCTCTCAATATCTGGGCAAAATTTCATATGCCTTTTACATTGTCCACGGACCTATTCTTCACTCTGTTGGGTACTCTATCATGCCTAACATTTGGGAAATTACAGGCAAGGAAACCAACTTCCAATATTGCTTGGGATTTTTGATTGGCTGGCTTATTTGTTTACCTATTTCTATTTGGGCTGGTGATTTATTCTGGCGTACTGTCGATATCCCCAGTGTCAAGTTTGCTCGTTGGCTCGAAGATCAACTTATTGCCAAAGGCGCTTCTGTGTCTACAACCCCCAGTCTGGTCACACCAAGGTCCCAGACTCCACGAGATCAATAGAATTTTGTTTTAGCTAGACCAAATGCATAATATCTTCTAAGGACTTCTGTGTGTACAGTGTATATATTTTGAAAAAGGCCAGAATCACCTGCCCGGCGATGTCTTTCAAGTTTTGGCACTTCAAGTCGCCAACCCTGCCTATTTACCACGCCGTAACTCAACCTCAATTTATCCATATCAGGTGTGTCGATGAGACGAAAACTTTGGAAGACACCTAAATACAACCTCCTCTTTGGCTGCCTACCTTCTTCATACGCGTTTTCCATAGCAAAGCATAATAGAAAATTGAAATGAAATAATACTTTTTTTCTTTCAGGCTTTTGATCCTCCTACTAGTACCAAGTTCAAGTCTAAACAAACAAGAGATAAAAACAGAAGCACTGAAGAGACGAAAAGAACAAGACATAAGATCCAAAGGGACGTTTCACAGCCAAGATTTCGATGTATCGTCATTCATTCATTCACTCGTACCAAATCAAAGTAAATTGCGATGATCCCTTCCTTTGTTACCCAATCCGTATATTGATATCAAAACACTACTGTCCTTGATGCACTGTCTTGTTCAACGCGGAGTATGCAGCACAAGAGACAGGATGCACAGGGGCCAAAAGGAGAGACCCATCATGGTTAACAGGAAGATGGGGGATTTTGAAGCGGCGGAAATGCAGAGCCGCTAGGGAACAAGATTGATGGAGATCGGGGAAATGAAACCATCTAATGCAGTTCGGATATCAAAAGAAAAAGAAGATCCCAGACGCACGAAATAGAAAATAAAACATGACAAAGTGCCACTGGCACATAAACAGTAAAGGGTTGATTGATCATAAAGAGAGAAAGAGACAACCTCCTGAGGCTAGATTTCCTCTTTTCGTATTTTGAGTTTCCTATCCACCTCATGAGTTCAGAGCGAAACGCCCCAGATTCCACGTCCACCGCACACTCCAAGCCATTCACGTGGATTCCCAGAGTGGTTGGATCCGCCCTGCGGTGACCAACTGATATTGGAAACTTCATAATCACATTGCCAAACTCCAGTAGGACCACGCTCAGAGGTTGTAGATTGAGCCCCGGCGGTATGAGCAGGAGGGGAAAGGGGAACCGCATTGTGTTGATTGATAAGATCCCAGATAAGAACAAGGCTGTCATCACCGCCAGAAGCGAGGTGACCACGTCGACTTGGAGACCACTCAACACAGTTAAGAGCAGCGGAATGACCTTTCAATTCAAGTAAAGCTTGACCGGGTTGCCGGACATCGAGAACACGGACAACGCTTGAGTCTTGAGAGAATGTTGCCAGAAGATGGGCGTCATGGGGGGATGCTATAGGGAAGGATTAGATTGCAATGGATCAGGAGAAATATACCAAACTGTTCATACCTGCAATTCTCAATAATGGGGGAGGCCATGCGGCCGCTGCTGGACCAGACGGACTGGCATTGCCAGGGCTTACCGCAGCTGATAGATGTTAGCAGAGATCAAAAAAGGGTGAAAAGTTTCAGTAAATCCGAAATGATACATACGCTTGCTATCAGTCTTTTCAGATGGTTCATAGATGATAGTACTGTGCTCCAAACTTCGCAGATCAAACATTCGAACACTGCCATCCGCACCACAGCTCACAAAGACGTCAACGCTGTTGGCGCAGAATCTGACGTCAAATACTTCTTTGTCATGTGCAATCAGCTGTGTTTTGGCGGTTAATGTTGGGATATCCCAGATTGTGCAGGTCGTATCAATACTTGATGTGATGATTAGACTGGGAGATATCGTATTCCAGTCCAATGAGGTAATTGGGGCAGTATGCTCGGGAGATTTCGAGTTGGAAAGCAGTGCTAACGGGGAAAGCTTTGCAGGGAGAGCATCGCGTTGACTAGGGGGCCGTGTGATGGTGTTTGAACTTGGCAGAGGTTGAGAGTTAGGGAGTGACCATAAACGAAGGTGGTCGCCTGATGTTGCCAGCAAATCGGTAGACTGTTTTTGAGATGACGGTGGTTCCCAAAGAATGCGTGTAACTGGATACGAATGTGTCGCTTCGGCTGTTTTCACATATTCAAGCTTGATCTCTCCTGCGGCAGCGTCTGGAGTATCAGGGTCAGGCTGAGCCCAGTGCGTATCGACAATTTGGATCTACAGAAGACAACGGAAGAAGCTGTCAGTACGCCCACAAATACCTAGATCTCTTTCAATGAGTGCACGCACATAGTTGTGATTGTCTTCAAGATAGCTTCCGAGAGCCAATTTCCCTCCAAATGAACTCGAATTCCCAGAGATAGGCCATTTGCACCAATCAACCGCATATATAGGCCAGGGCGCCAGATAACTGCTGTTGGTAGGTACCTGAGATTCGCCATTATATGGAAGCGCCCCTGGGCTCATGAGTGAGTCTCCTAGAAGGTGATCACCTGGAAGACGAACATCTGCCAAACCGAGAGGGGAATACTTGGATCCTTGCGGGGTTTGAGGTGGATATCCTGCTCCCGGGGAGGAGGGATACTTAGTGCCATCCGTCGTACCGTGTTGTTTGTACATGGTCTGATCAAATCCAGCTGGGCTCGACTGGGAGTGGCCGTGAGAATTAATCATGCTGGAGCGATGACTGGCTTGTTGCGACGATGCCTGTGGTAAGGTGGGGATGCCCGAGGGAGCTGTATTGACCGAAACAGCTGAAGGCCGATTCTGACCTCCCGGGGTCAAGGCGCCTGGTAGAGTGTTATTGCTGCTTCCACTGCCGGTCCCATACTGCAGGGGCTGTGAAGACGAGTGGACATTGATCGAGGGGACCTGGGTTGCGCCAGCGCCTGCACCCGGCTCTGAAGTGGCGGGGTAGTCATGGGAAGGAGGCTGACGGGGCAAATTCGAATTGATCAGACCTGTGGATGGTATATGCAATTCCTCCGGCTGCCGGGCAAACACAGCAGACCGTCGAGGTGAATCAAACGACGGATTCGACATCGTGCGGAGGGCGGGCGTCTAGGCCGTTAGGGGAGGGGGGTAGGTACGGATTTGGGGATGAGGGGTTTTCAGCTCCACTCCCCCTTGGGACCGAGAAGACCAGTCGGGAGTCCCTTGTATGGCAATAAGCTCCACAAGCTTCACAAGAAGCTTCCGAGGCACGATGATAGAAGCAGTGATGGTTGTCGCAGCTTCGAGGGTTTCATGGAGCTGGGGGTGCCCGCGCTGACTCAGCCAACCCCGGGTGACACTCCCGCTCTTGCTTGATTTGGATACAATGGAGTCCTTTTAAGTTGTCTTTGTCTTCTCTACTACAATAACTACTTCTATTCAGTACATATTTCTGTTCTCATCGACTGAATTTGATTCAAGTTCTGAAAGAACTGTACATAGAACAGCATTCATGGCTTCTCAGACAAAGTCCTCGCTATTGTTGTTACCTCCGCCTCAATCCTTCTCTTTCAGCGGGGTCAAGGAGGCTTTTGAGACCTCCGTTTCGGATGTTCTGGTGAAACTGTCCAAGACTGTTGAAAACTCCAATCAAATTGCCACACTTTACATTGCATTGGCAGTTCCGAATCTGCTGTCTTTGCCCAACAAGCCGCGTGCAAACACTTTTGCTCCATTGCAACATTACCTCAGCAGCATCTATACTTTGATTGGAGCAGTGGGGACTGCTCGGGATATCGACCTTGATTCCCCCGGTGGGATTGATACTCGAGTGATATTCATTGATCATCTATCTTCCAATACTTCTACAATCTCTCCCGGGTCTAAACTTGACGCCAGCAATGACTTGCATATTGGGCCAATTCTGAAGTTGCATTCATTGGCAACCTCGGGCCGACAATGGAACCATGTGTTTTATCTTAACAATCAAATCGGACGGGAGCTGGCCGATTCCTTTGTGACTAGTCTCCCTAGCCCATCAAAGGATCACACCGCATCAATTATGCAGAAGATTTCCTGCAGCGGAGACTGGCAAGTCCCGGCATCTGTTCTGGTTCCCGAGGACCAGCCGTCCCTCAAGCCCCACTATTCAGTTGCAGTAGGAGGAACCTTTGACCATCTTCATATTGGGCATAAACTCCTGCTCACGGCTACTGCACTAGCCTTAGAGCCGCTAGATCCCACTAATCAGGATCAGGCAAGGATTCTGACAGTCGGTGTGACAGGTGATGCACTACTAGTCAATAAAAAGTTTGCCGAGTATCTAGAAAGTTGGGAGGAGCGCTTCCAAAGTACAGCATCCTTCCTGGCTGGCATTATGGATTTTTCACCCCAGAGTCATGGTTCACTTGGACTTCCCAAGATTGAACGCAGCCGAACTTCTGATGATAAGGGTCAAGTGGTGGCAATGTACCTCCAACCCAACCTGATCTATAAATTTGTGGAATTTTTTGATATTTGCGGCCCTACTCTCACAGATGAAGACATCAGTGCGTTGGTAGTTTCGAAGGAGACGTCAGCTGGAGGGGCCATGGTCAATGAAGAGCGGGCCAAAAAGGGATGGGCTAGATTGACTATCTTTGAAGTGGACGTGCTTCAGTCTGGGGAGGCCACAGCGGTCACGGGCGCCAACCCATTTGAGGGTAAAATCAGCAGCACAGACATTCGACGACGTCGCATGAACCGAGCTAAAGTATGAGACATCCTGGGGAGAATAAAGGAGAACCATCGAATTTGGAATTCCTGATCATTCCTGACACAATGCCTGACACCGGGAGAGGGGAAAAAGGGGGGGCGGGTGATTCAGAAAAAAAAAGAAAAGAAAAAAAAACCCCTGTAGATAAAATATTATTTACAGTACTATTATTTATTTATTTTGGATTTATCACTACGACAATTCAGATTTCGGCCAATTTCCCCCCCAATGGTGATGGTGGCTTCTCCACCATACGCGAGCCCATCACTCTGCAGAGATGTGACAACTGGAGCGGGGCCATGCATTTGGCTTGGGGAGGTGGGGGCCTCCTCCTTCTATGTTGAAACCAACCATCAAGTTCATTGACACACGACTCGCTATCCGATGCCCAATCTTCTCTGCAGGTTTGCGATGTTTCACGCTGGCTGGCCGCATCATGGATCAATCATGTGATATAGTTGGAAAAGCGTCACCAATGAAGAGATCGTGAGCCCCTGCACCCAAGCGCGCTATGCCAGGGTCTTGTTGATCATCCCGGTCGCGCCGGATCGTTAGGGCGAGAACTGTCGCCATGCGTCCATGGTGAGACAAGACACTCCGTCGAACGAGTCCAATTCGACTCTCTGTACCTTTTTTTATTCCTTTTTTTTCTTGCTTTTCTAAAAAAAAAAATTTCTTTCTTTTATTTCTCGTGACGTTTTAGTACTTTTTTTTTCTCCGTTTATAGTGGGACTGGTGTCCCCCTCAACCGTGCATATGTCCATATGATCTTCCTTTTTGTTGGTTTGTAAGACTCTCAGAGTTCCTTTCTTTTTCTCTGTTACTTTGCTTCTCTTCCATGTCGCTGCTACCTGTACTGGCAGCCGAGGAGTCGGCTGCAAAACGCCGAACATGGACCAGCCACGTCAGATTCATCATCTCGCCGATGAGCTGGTGAATGAAATCTTAGCCTTTATACTCGAATCAGGCCCGCAAAATCCACATGGGAAATTGTATATCAACGGGAATCATAGTCAGGATAACCGTCGGCCTATTGCATATGGCGAAGCATCAGACTTGGATTGCTTTCGTCTGGTATGCAAACGGTTTATGCGAATTGGCACTCCTCGAAAATTTGCTCGTTTTAATCTACGGTTTTCTGAAGATGGGTTTCGGCGACTGGGGGAATTGCTGGAGATGCAGCGGGCTTGTTATGTGAAAACGGTGACATACCTCGTGCGACCTTTCTATCAAGGCAGCGGTATTGAATATTCTTGCCGCCATCAGGCTTGGGAAGAAGAAATAATGATTAGCTAACAATACTCATAGGATGGCGACCAATATTGCAAACCATCGGCTCTAAAAACCGGGCTCTGGCACAACTGCATAGCCAGCGCTTAGAGGAACAAACCAACCTAGTCGAGACCAACTTCGATCTCAGCCAGTTGTGTCTAGGAATTGCGGCATTTTCTGCCCTACAAGAAATCAAGTTGCTCCGTCTCCAGGATGAGGCAGATGAGCATCTGCTTGATCTCGTTCATGAAAACTATATCCGCGGTACTGAAACTATGGACTCGAGCCGTATTTGGTTTGACTGGGAATCAGCATGCTCGCGCGCAGTCACGAACCTGGGGATTGCCCTGTTGAACTCTCAATGCTCTGCGATACGATTTATTGGTCCACATATCAGCCCCGAAGCTACGCTTCAACTGTTAAGAGCCCCATCAACAACCCTGGCTGCAATGGGCAACCGTCTAACCAGCCTGGACATAAATTTTCACTCGCATTCCGACATTACAGCCACCATGTCTGATCTATCCAGTGTGTTCCGCCGCTTCTTCGGAGAAGCCAAAAATCTAGTCGCGATTCACATTGGATTCCCTCCAAAAACCCCCCCTTGATCTAGACCTGGAATCTATTTTCCATAATATTCGATGGAAAACTCTTCGCACTCTTAGTTTACAGGGCTGGCGCTTGGACGCAGATGAGATCATCTCATTAATCCGTCGTCATCGTCGCCAACTCCGTGATTTCCGCCTCTTCGCTGTGTACCTTCGACCACGGGGGCGTTGGAAGGACGTGCTCTGCGTTCTGCGTAACGAAATGGAGCGCCTAGACAGTGTGGAACTACGTGAAATCGACTACACAGAACACTTCGATGCACTCGCCCGCGTCGACGGCATCGAGGTCTTTGATACACCGCTATCTCCATCAGCACCATCTTCTATTTCATTTGCGGCTGGTACAACCCTCTCAGACCAGGCCTTTTTCTCGGGAATTGGACTTGGATCCGGTGTACCTATTGCGCATGGAAGACGAATCCCGATACAGCGCACTTCATTGGAAAAATTACATCATCTTTCAACAGATGATCTGGGAGATAGTGGGATCGCTGTTCAGAGAGAGCAGGTTCAGTTTTGGGCTGCGTGGGTTCTATCGGGATTCCAACGAGGTATCCAAAATACCAATGGGCATGAAAACAATGGAAACGGGAACGGTCATAGCCGGGTCCCTGCCTATCACATCTGATATCAATATTATGGAGCTAGATTCTATACCGAGGGTATTGAGTTGAGCATCATGAAAAATCGGATAGGTGATAGGATACGAAGGATGACATACGAGGAACGAATTGATTGGCGCTGGAGGCTGTTTGAACTGATTCAATGTTTGCAAGTTTGAGTTTTATCCTTTTTTCATGTCGTCACCTTGAGGTCTACTGCTATTTCGTTGTATTAGATCGTCAATGCAATGAATACATGTAATTGCTCTAATCAAAGTATTTAAAAGCCTTGCCCTACTTTATAAAGTTTTCGGAGCCTATATGTAAATCAAGCTTAAACAAGCCACCCGACTCTAAACCTTGTATACGCTACTAACACAACAGCATTTCAATCTATGGGTATCATTTTGATAGCAAATATCATACAAAACATTTGAACCACTGGTGACCAGAGCCAGCTCCATCCCAATTCCATATAATCCCTCTCATTGCATCACGATCATCTACTCATAACAGCTGGACCAATGACCTCCCTCCTTCGCAAAGCTCAACGCATTGAGGAAATCACCCTTGGTACACCGGCCCAGCTTATCAGCATGGCAGCCTTGCAATGGAACAACGCGATCATTGACCAAAACCCGAACCAAAGGTTCTGGCTCAGATGCACACTCCATCATCTCAATATAGGCTCTCGCACCAAATGGCACAGTCCAAGAAGCGGAGAATCCATCCGCGGCACCAACAGACTGGATATGGGTTGTGGGCAAAGTAGCAGTGTTGTTATACAAGCCCAGGGCAAAAAAGATGGGGATGAGACCATTGTCGTGTGTGAAATCCGCATACAGGGCTCGGTTCACAGGGAATGTGGTGTTCCATGCATCCGGTCCATTATCCAGGGTATGGTTACTGGATGTGTGGTCGTGAACTGGGGTGTGAGTAAGACGGGCGATGAGCTCGTTCACGAATCCAACACCTTGGGTAGGACCCAATGGGTTTCCGGCACCGTAGCCATAGTATTTACTCAGAGATTGCAGGTAGTTGTATTGGGACCATTCGGCATCTGTGAATAGGTGACAGAAGTCTGAGACTGTGGAGCCGTCTGATGTGTCTGAGATTGTGTTGAATGCACAGAGATCCATGAGGTAGGTTACGTCATCCAATGACAGAGTCACTCCTGGGATTTGTTCCTGGAGACGAGTCTGGATGGATGGAGCAAAGATGGCGGTGAAGTTATCTGTAGCATCGTCGCCGATGGTACTGGCTTCGAAGACAGGACAGGTATTGTGGTTGAGAGTATTGTTTGAGCCTGTGTCCTCGGAGATGACGACGTTGATCTTGGGGCTGGCTTGAGAGTGCGAGGCAGCGGTGTCATGCTTCTTGCTTTGTTGGAATCCCTGGATGAAGAGCTGACCGGATTGCACAACACGCGAAGAACCCGAGGCACGCATGAAGGGGATGTTGTTGCGGGTCAAGTTTTCATATCGGTTGTAGAACTTGATACCGGAGTTCACCATCTCATGCTCACCAAAGGTAGTCAAGTCATCACTACCAAGGGTGTAGTTGTATGTGCGCAGGAAATCAGTACCATCCTCGTAAGCGGTAGCATTGGCTTGAATTGCCTCAATAAGCGCCTTATACTTGGTGCTCTTGGATGCGGTGGGATACCGGGCTCCGTGGCGGGACAGTACCTGCACGAAGGTAACATCGCACTGCTGTGGAACCAGATCAGAGATACTGCTTTCTGCCGACAGGGAGAAGTATGGCGAGTATGGTCCCCATTTGTGGGTGAGCTCTGAGAAACATTGATAGCCTGCACCAACGCTGTTGCAGTTATGGGGACGGTGCACCACTTGCTTGTTCGACCTGGACGACACAACCGATGGCTGGTCAGGCTTACTGCTAATGGGCTCAATAGTCGCAGATGAGAGCTCATACCCGTGCTTCAGAAACAAAAGAACTATGGCTCCAACGAGGAATATCATAAGAACTATGACGCGACGGCATTTTCCTTTGCATGGAGGTGACTTTGGGGACATTGACTGGGCACCCTCCTCCAGAAGCTTCTCCTTCTCGGAGAGAGTGTATGGGTTCTTGGAATTATCCATGTTTTCAATGTTTTGAGGGATAAGTTCTTGCTTCAAGGGATGTTGATGATGTCAAGAGTCCGTGCTCCTTTGATTCCCAAGAAACATAACGAGGAGAGAAGAAAAAGAAAGGAAAAAAAGGGAAAAGAAGAAAGACGCTATAAAATACCTTAACTCGTTTAATTAACACCAAACCACGAGAGCAGTTGGGAAACACAAGCAACTTCTGATTTGGTCTAAGAGAGAAGCAGGGCCAGCTCGTGAGCTCAATCTGTGCTTTGATTGGTTAGATGAGATCAACACGTGGGAGTACAAAGCGGAAACTTACAAGGTACTTGTAATTGTATTGTAACGGTCATAGATTAAAGGGCTCCATTTAGGTACTTTTGAAGTACATAGTGAGTAAACCCCATACTGTTACATGTTCCTGTTTAAAGATCCATGTTTGCATCACTTGATAAACCCTGCTTTTCTCACTTTATCATACTCTACAAGAACTCATCAGGCATCATGGATCAGAACATGCACTACCCTGCAATAAGCCACCTCGTTTTCATACCTGTCATCAATGCAGACACACCGCCAGTCCCTGCCATCTCACGCGCCCACGTCATCCAGCATATGTATGTCTGCAAGAAGTATGGAGTACGGAGCGGAGTTAGTGAATCGGGATATCCCAAACTGAACACTTGAGGATTATTCTAGATCTCTCTCAGATAATTCGAACTAGTTAAGGCATCAGCTGTCATTCTCTAATAGACTCAAATAAAGATGGATATCTATTACTAGTAGAACATTGATTGAAGCCGATCATCGGCCGTTAGCTAGTATACATACGTCGATCGACATTGGTACCAACTTGAACCTTGAAGCAAGGGGCTAGGAATATACACTGGCACCACTAGTATGATACTGTACACATCAACCCCACTCTACCTCAGATAGATATACTAAGACCCACCGGAAATAACACCCCTAACCTACCAACAGCACTATACACACACCATCAGCCGCAGTGGGACGGTAACGGTTCCGAAGTCGCTATATCTGCATACCGGATACACCTCCGAATTCCGAGTCGCAAGTTTCTTCCATCTATCAACTTTTGCCTCAGCCCTCGCGGAAACGACTTCCTGATCGACCGGACTCCGGACTGGGGATATGTATAGAATGCCTCTAGGTGGATCCACTGAATGTACAGATCTCCATGCAGTCCCGATCTGGATAGAAAGGTACTTCTGTCACTGACATTGACATCCCTGGAGTACCAGTGTGAGTGTATAGATCCAAAGTGAAAGATCCAAGATCGGCGATCACCACTGACATATGTAGGGAGTGCGGTGCATATCGGGGACCGATTTACTATATCCACTGATAGTATTATTAGCCATGGATTCGTGGTGACATCTGGAATTTCAAATGTTCAAGATAAGAATGGAAATATTGATCCATTGCGATATTTCAAGTTCTATATTCCACGTCACATTGTATAGAACCATGTAGTAGTATGTGCGGGTGTTGCCAGTGAGAGAAATCAATAAGGGGATGATATGAAAAGTCACAGCTTAGAAATCTTTCAGTATTCGCCATTCGACCGAAACCAGACACCAGGAGACCCACTCCTTAACTTGAAACAATAAACGATTATTGACATTGAGCAAATGGGTATGTATGAGCATGACTTTTTTCAATTCCAGGATGCAGGTCGTCAGAGGATAGTATGATAAGGATAGAAGGTATAGGTCAGCGTGATAGATGTTGAGATAACACAGACAAAAGAAATAAAAAAAACATTAAAGAAACCTCAGCCGTAAATGCAATACAAGTACATCTCCTGGATGTCAAGACGATGTATAGATGTAGTAATATGATGGTTCCCGTGAAATCCTCCGAAATGACAACACTCGCCAATTGTAACAGTCAAGCCAGTAACTGTAGCCATATATACTCCAGACCAAAAAGAAACAATGAAAAGGTAGGAAATAAGATGAAAAGCTTCACAAAAGAAAAACATGAGTAGAAAAAGATTTTTATCCAATCTTGGTCAATCATAGCCTCAGTTATTGCCGACTCCAGGATCCTTGAAATGGAGGTAAAGATTCACCAGAAACAGGTGGTCCAGAAGGCGCAGCATCTCTTCCAATAGTTGGTGGTGCTGACGCATGAGCTACTGCAGGATATGATGCCGGAGTCCCAGCCCAACTTCCCTGCGGTCTAGTCACAGGTGCAGATGCAGGCTGCGCATGTGTATCAGCCACAGCTCTCATCGCATCCCCACTGGACCACGTCGTAGCAGGAGGAAGTTCAGAGGATGGGGCAGGAAGAATCGATGGGGTAGCAGAGGATACAGAGCGAGGCGAGGAAGGCCGGGCCGGGAATTGACTCAGAGAAGAGGAGCGGCCAAAATGATCGCGGAAGAAATCTCGTTCCGATCTATAGTGATCTCGTTGTTGGATGAGGATACGAATTTCCTCGCCTTGGCGTCGAATTTCGTCATGCTGCGCTGTGAGGCGTTGCTCAAGCTGGAGTTCGTTGCGCTTGCGGTTGCGGAACCGGCGTGAGGCGTCGCTATTTGCTTTGCGCTTTTCGGCTTGGCTTGTTGACCCGGACTTGAGATCCAGGACACAGGGTATCAGTGGCCCGAGAGAAGATGTACTGCCTGGTGTTCCTGGTCCTTGAGTTGTCATTCCTGCTGTTGTCTCCTCTGCTGTACTCCGTGGTACTGTAGTTACTGATCCACTGCGCGGCAAGGTTTCCATTGGCATGTATGGTGTTGATGCTGCTGAGTATGGGGCTATATTCGGTGGGACGGATGCATTAGTGCCAGGTGGGGAGACACGTCCAAAGTGACTGTATGTCGAATGAGGCGTGGTTGGGCTGGTCTCTTGTGAGTGAGGATTCGTTAATTGCGCTGGTGGTCCTGTACTGGTACGTCGCGAGTGAACATTTGGTGTGTTGTGCAATGATGCCACTCCGGGAGCCTGAGAGACTGGTAAGGATGCGAGAGGTCGAAGTGTTGCGTCCATGGGAAGGGGTGAGCTTGCTGAAGTCTGACGTAAACCGAGAGGAGGCTCATGAGGAACCATCGGAGACTGAGCAACGCTTGATTGCCCGCTTCTTCCTCCACCCACAAAGCGTGCTGATGGTGAGCCCGGGTTAATCGGTGGTCTGCCTGTCGACCTGGGAGATAATGGGTGTTGCATTATTGAATGCATAGGACGAATCAAAGGTGAAGAGCCCTTTTGCGGTCGAGGAGACGTAGCTCCCGATATACTGCGCCGATCCAAATTGCTGCTCACAGTCGACTCCATTGTAGATTGAGAGGGTGGGTTCAAGATAGAATGAACGCCTATAGATCTGGAAGTAGCCTCTAGTGGAGGCTCCACCGGCCCATATGGATGCCAGGATTGTGGTCGAGCTCGTAGCGGTGGCCGACGAGTTGGATGGCGGGTCCCTACAGAGCCGTGTTCATTGTCAATCACGCTGCGGTCTGGAATCGCATCGTCTGACAATGAAGCTGTCCGGAGAGACTCCGACATGGACGGGGCTCCTTCCACAAGCTGGGAGTTAGGGCATGACCGAGAGCCCCCTCTCTCAGAGTCAACGGGGGGGCTCACGAGGGGAATGAGAGGAAGAAGCAGGATAAGGACTTGATGGATAATGCGACAGGTTTGAGGTATGAAGCGGCCTCGGGTAAGGCGCAGTCAATACGCTGAGCCCGAGAGTAGCCACGATGAATGAGTCAAAACCAAAGGAGAAAAAAAATGGAGATTTCAGGGAATTAGATCAGAATGCGAATGCACACTGCGATAGATCCAATTCACCCACGGAATCCAGCACCACTGATTTTCCTTTTGGATGCAGTAGCCAATTGAGGCTGGGGAATCCTCCAAAGTAACGCGGAGAAAGGTCGAAGATCGATATGGAGTAGTAACGGAAGAATTTCCCAGAACCACTGGGAACAATGCCAGAATTAATGGAGCAGTCGAAAGATGTACGCAGTTCTGCGATCAGATCCCTAAGCGCATGTACAAGATGATCCGAGGCCCCCTTAGTGTATATAGGGGTTTTAAGAAAAAAAGAGGAAGATCCGAACTATCACAAAATCAAAAATATGCAGAACGAGAACGAGGTGATGGAATTAATAATATAGACCGTTGAGATACAGCGGTGAGAGAAGACATCTGGACCCATTGATTGATCCATCATCTCGGGGGCCTGCCCAGGTCTAAGTCTAAGACAGAAATCAGAGTTGTTGTCCGACCCAGAATCTCGGGTGTTGGGCAGGATCGACCTGGATTTGGTTTTTTTCTTTTTCTTTTTCTTTTTCTTTTATTTTAAACTAATTATTTATTATTATTATTATTTCTACTTCTGTAGAAGTACGGAGTATGGGGGGGGATACATCACTCGGTTGGAACTGAACCGGGTAAGAGAAAAATGACTACATCATTCTATGGAGTAAAATAATGATAAAAGACACTAGAAAATCACTAGAAACATTTGAAAATTATTTAAAAAGGAACTCTCCAAAACAGGTAAAGTGGAGAGAGATACAATAGCTTCACTTTTTTTTTTTTCTCAATCTCGTGCCAGCAGTGGAGAATCAGTTAAATGGGCATCTTGAGAGATTGGGTATAGAGAGTATGGGCCCTGACAACGCTGCCTAAATGATATTCTCCACTACGTATCTGGTGTAATATATTTCTTTTTTTCTTTATATTTTAATTCTTTTTAATTCTTTCAAGTTTATTTTTTTATTCTAAAAAATTATTTTTTTCCCCTTAATTCCCTTTTTTGGTTATTTTTGATTTATTCAGTCATTTATTTCTTTTTACCGTACGGAATCCATACAACTTACTTCCGGCATGAAATCACTGCCCGGGGGAACCAACCAGCGATCATCCACTTGCATTGCACGAATCATCGGCCGAAGGATGGAGACAAAATGCTGCAAGTGCGCGAGAGCCATCACCGTGGACAAGGGGACGGGTGGAGCCTTCTTTTTCATGGGATTTTCCCTTCAACCTCCTTCATATGTCAAAATGTGATTCTCAACTACGGAGAACTCCCATATTAGGTATGACTCTTAAACATTTTGATCTTTCCACCTGAGTCAAATCTATGACGATTAAACATGGGTGGCGGTCATTCCTAGGAAACTTTCGTGGCTTTTATTTTATTTCTATATGACTCCTAGAGGGGTGGGGGAAGCACGGGTCAGTGGATGCATACACACACACACACACCACCCCTTGTGGACTTCGTACTCCGTCACAGTTCCAAGGTTAATGAACGGGTATATTCAATATGGAGCCGTGCCATGTGTGAAGAGGAGACGATAGGGGAAAAGTGGATCCTTCGATCCATGACGCAGAACACACGATGACGGAGCTTGAGAACATTTGGGAACCAATTCCAGTTCAGATCCATACTACCTCGGGATTAGTTAGAGGCTATGAGAAGCCTCTTCTGAAGGAATGGGAAAACTTCAGAGAAAAAAAGGGGGGCGTGATAGTCGTTATCCCACATCCTGTCATTTCAATGTTCTGAGAGTTTGGCGCTCGGTGGACAGACTAACTTGAAATATATAAAAGGCGAAAATAATAATAATAATCATGATCATGGAAAAGAAAAAGAAATAAATAAATAAAAAAACATATGAATCATAAGATCCAGTGCCGTTTCAAAATACTACTGAACCAAAAAGCTGTACACATCTTTCCGTGGTACAGACTCTCCCCCAGGTTCTACTGTCAGTCCCTGGATTGTGATAGTTCCAAGGTTACTTAGGTACGGAAGTACATGAAAGGGGGAAGATTTAGTTCGACTGGTTCTGTACTCTTCTCTCCAGCAAATCCCCCCCAAACTTTAACAAGTTCGATGTTGTGCATGCATCACCAGCCCCCGTGTTAATCCCGGCATAAAGGGACCCGTTGCCGTCTGGCCGTTAGGGGACAAAAAAATACCTGGACACTAGTGATTGGAGTGGTTGCCTTCACCGATTGTTCTAGAGACCCGCCTGACCAAAAATAGTGTAGAACAGGGGGGGTCCATTAAGTGAGGCAGTTAGTGGAGACTGAAATACTTAATTGTATTTTTTTGCTTTTACCAAGACATTCCTTTTTCCGGGACGTGGAGCCGATCTTTGAAGCGCGAGAAAAAGAACCAGAAGAGAAAAGGGAAAAGTACCAAGGGTCCTAAAGAATAAAAAAAAGAAACGGTGTATTCTCATCGTTTCTTGACTCAGGTGTTCAGATAAGGGAGGACAAAGGAATTGAACTACGAGAGAATCCGAACCCCGAAATCAAGTTGTTAGCAGAGAGACCCGTTCGGAGGGATCCTTGATAGTACTCGTACTCCGTAGAGATGAACCTGAACATCCTTGTAACCTCATACGTCACCAAAGAAATTCAAGTGCACGAGAACAATGCCAACGCTGCCATCAACTCGTGTCACCATGATCATGATCTGCAATGGCATGGTCCCTTGGCAATTAAAGAGTATAATCCATTGAGAAGAAAAGGGGGCGCCACTTGAGAGCTCATGAATATTGACATCTGATTCTCTATTGGATGTATACATCAATTTTGTGATAGGGTGAATAACCCATCACATCAGATCAAACATAGATCAAACATAGGAAAAAAAGGACCTTGGAGCTTCCTTTGATCTATCAAGTCTTTGCCGGAAGGATGAGCTTCAGAAGCCGAAAGGGAGGACCTATTGAGATCACAAGTTTTTTCCTATTCTCTTTTTTTTCGTTTAGCGCGAAGGGCTTCCGCGTGACAAGGTAGAATGAATGAAGATCCAGCTAGCGCGGTGAAAGTGGAGTCGAAAATCCTTCGGAAGGAAATTTGGGGATCGTGATAGAGTGGGCTCAGCTGAAATCGCTCGCTTCATAGCTTCACTTGATGACCAATCTTGTCCTAGCTTTCTAGAAAAGAAAAGAACTTGAACTTGAAGCCACGATCTCATAGTCTGATCTAGTCCATTTTTGGTTCATGAATGTCGTCACAAGTTCAGTTCTAAACCCTGTCTCCTGATCAGATTAAAAGTGATGACTAGTTTAATATGTACTCCGTACTGCTATGGTGATGGACTGATTCAAATCAGAGCTATAAGATGATAAGAAGTAATAAATCTTTCCTAAAAAGGATAATAGTCTGAACATGATACATCCAATGTATGGTAATGCAAAGTCTGCGGCAGAGCTGTCACTGTAATCCAAACAGAGTATTCTTTTCTTTTCTTTTCTTTTCTTTTCTTTTCTTTTCTTTTCTTTGTTTACCAGGCAAGGCTTGCATCATTAGCCGCCATTATGGATCCCACAGCGAATCATCATGTGTGCCGAGTCAAGATTTGCGGTCTGATAGATCCAACGATTCTAACTGGTCAGTGGAGACAAGTATTTTTGACCTCCAGGTTTTAATTCTCGAAATTAGTTTTATGAGGAGATATGAGGAGAAAGAGGGAAAATGAGGGGACATAATTCGCCTCTCAAAAGAAATAGTTTGTGAATCTCTCCATAATTTCGGAATGGGGGAAATAAACGGGGTAAGCGGGATAAAACAAAATCATGGTGGCTGGTAATCTCAAACACCCGTCCCCATAGCGTCGGGTCATAGCACGTAATCCTATCTTGGTAAAAATGGGTCAAATTTGGTTAAATTGGGTAAAAATGGGTAAAAAGGGGGGGAGTCCGAGTCTCCGGTTCAAATGCGTGTCATGGCCATGCTATACAGAAATAGAAATACGAAAAGCGACATTGTCCACAGGTAGGTTGTCCCAGGTGTCTGGTACATGGGTTCACCGTAGGGTTAAGTCCAAGTGGATTTTAGTCGTACATGAGCCCTAGTACTACACAGTACGAAGTCACCTTTACTTTGTACATACTACTCCGTACATTCTTTTACTTTTCAATAGTGCTTGTTATTACTGGCAATTGCTCCAATCCACATCTGACACCTATGAGATACGGTGTACTAGTACGAAGTACGGAGTATAGGATTTTCTCTTTTCTTTTCCTCTCTTGTCTCACTTACTATGTAATGTACCCAGTTACTTGGAGTTTGCCACATGACCTACTTGGTGCAGAACACACCACTCGGTGGATCTGTGGGTATGAGCAATTGTATCATGCGTTCAAACATTTCTTGAGAATCATGCTCTGTTCTCCATAGATTTATTATTATGGCCGCTGCATCCGCGACCAGATAGAGACAAAAAGCAAAGATACAGAATAAGAAAAGAAAAGCCGTGGTCTTAACTCAAAAGATCTCCGCGGGCTAGAACAAATTATGGAATCGATTTCCGGGATCATATCGTCTATCTCATGAAATTGATGCAAGTCACGAAGCCTAATAAATCTAGTTTCGCCCAGAATTCCCCCACCTTCACCGTACATCATAGATGCAGACACGAAATACGTATGTACAGATAGACCTGGGACCACAACGAAACCTTGTCCAATCTACTCCACGGTGCCTGCATTTTGCCCTGCAGGGCCAGACATGCTTTAGTGGCAGTGCTGGTACGTTACATAGCAGGGAGAGAGAGACGCATAGAATAGACATTTTCGAATGCACGGGAATGCAAAAGTACGAGAGAGGGAGAGGAAAACCCACCATTTCGGTATCAAATGCATGTCCGGAGTAGTACTCCGTATCGAAGTACCAATTACAGAAGGGTTTGATCATCTGGATCGGGCACATTTCAAAATGGACCAGCTAGGTTATGGTCTACATGAATCTGAGATCAGCGGTGGGCCGAAGGGCAAAAAAAAGGTGGCTTGATTGTTGATTCGACGTGTAATTTTCTTTTTGAGTTGGGCCTTTTCTTTTTCAAAAATGTTTTTTGCTCTCCTCCCCTTGCGGTCTGCAGGCCTGAGCCCATGGAAATGACAGCGAGCCGATCCGTTATTCCCATGGCCCGTTTGGTGATCTACGTAGCAAGTATCCACCTCAAGTGCTCGCTCTCGCTCATGTGTACCCCGTAATTAGAAATGAAGAATGTGTTTAAAGTTAGACAAAAGTAAAAAATTAAAACTTGTATCAGGATTGATTATTATGTGCTTGTTAGGAAGGAACTACGTAACGCCGATTGAAACCAGCGGGGGATTGCGGATGTATCGCATTTGAGCCCACGCGCTTGGTGAGGCGGGTCAATAATGCCCGAGCGTGCAGGAGGGCACACACACATACAGACTGCACTGTATATGCAAAATGGCACAGCCTCATTAGTACCCTAAGTATAGTAAAAGTGAAAAAGGCGGGTAAAAAAAGCACTTGAGAGGTATCAACATGCGAGAGAAACAAGAAATGGGTTAGCCTACGCTGCATAGTAGATCTTTTTAGCTACATATGAAATACAGCCCTTGGAATGTATAGATGATCCAATTGGGTACAGTTATGCTGTAGGCTCGAAGCTTACTATCTCAGTCTACTCCAGGTCTCCATACCGCTGCTCGAGGAGTCATTTTCCATCCATAATATTGTGCATATACGTATGTATGTCTACCTTGAATCCACCCGGAATACTCGAGCCGTACTCCCTCGGATGTACATACCAAAAGATTTTAACTCTATACATGTACTAAAAGTGCTCCATAGTTCAAGTGGGTTGAAATTAGTTCGCAAAGCGGAACTCATTCTTAGGCTTCCCCCGGATGCCAACATCAATTCGGAAAACTCGGCCCCCATACCGCATCGACTGCGGGAATCGTTCATCATCACGAGTATCCTTCGCAGAAGTGATGAACAGCTCCGTCCCCACAAAGGTGGGACAAGTCGGATTCCGCGTGGGAAGGTCAATCTGCCCGATGAGCTTTCCGGCAGGCGAGATCCGGATAACCTTCCCGCCGCCGTAAATAGCACTCCAGATACAACCCTCAACATCTATTGCGAATCCATCCGGTTCCAGTGGCTCACCAAGATCATAGTGTACGCGTCGGTTGCTAATCGCGCCCGCCGCGGCATCGAAATCAAACGCAAAGATCTTCCCTGTTGGCGAGTCTGTTAGGTACATCGTATCGTCCGAAAGATTCCAGCCAATGCCGTTGGGAATCGTCACTGGTGCCAACACACGGTGCAGGCTTAGATCTGGGTCTAGTCTGAAGAGGATACCTTCCGGACCGGGAGCCTTGATCTTGGGGTCATTCATGGCCCCCGCCCAGAATCGGCCGTGACTATCGACGGCGCCGTCGTTGAATCGCATCCTAGATTGTGGATTCTTTGTAAGTCGGTGTGAACAAACTGATGGATTTTTGCATTTTTCTGTCTTTTTTTGGAGCTCATTTTTTTCGGGGGCTGGATTGTTTGTTGACCCCGTCTTTTGGGGACTTTTGGGGGGCTTCGGTGTAGGAAGGGAAAGAAGGCAGCCATGTCATCTCAACATGACTCGGCATGGGGGATTTCTCCCTGAAGGATGTGGATTTGTTGCCACTTACCTCTCAGCTTTCCCCGGTCCATCTTCGTCGCCCCATGCTTCACGTATATAGGAGATGTTTCCATTGGTTTGGTTCAGCCGGGCAAATCCCAGCTTGGCCCCGACTATCAGTTGATCCTTCTCGGCCTCAACCGCATTGGCAATGTTGGCGGTGACACTAGAAACAAGGAGAAACTAGTGGTTAGCGGGCTCGTCTAATTGAGTTTTTCAATACTAGTAGCTTTTTTTTGATGATTTCAAGTTTGATTGCCTGAGATACTGACCATCACAAGGCAAATCGATACAAAATAAAATGAAGAACCACTTACCCAATAGCCGCAGTTGTATCAATTGTCTTGAGAGAGTCTGGACCTTTCGCCAGATTGAGACGATAAAGTTTATGATCCCAAATATCAACAAAGCGAAACTCGTTGTTGGCTACATCGTGGTAAGGACCTTCCAGTAGTGTTCCGGCTATGTCGATATAAGGCTAAAGGGAAATTAGCATGCTGGTCAGTAAGAAAAATATATGATTGGTGCATGAGATTTTTTTTTGTTTTCTTTTTTGCTTTTTTCACATTTTCTTTTTTTTATTTCATCCTTTGATTAAATTGAGGATGGTTGGATCCGACAATTCATCATATCCTGACCGACAGAACTCCCAAGCCAATAAGAAAAATCCAAAGGAGTCAAATCCCGGGAAATTGCAGGGAAATACGAAATAATCTGACCTCATTGATTGTCCACTTCTGAATTTCAGACATGATGATCAATCTCCACTTCAAACAGATTAAAGATAAATTGAAGCGGAATTTGAAAATTGCAAAATTGAAGGAATTCTAGGATTCAAGGCGGAGACCCGAACTTGAAAAGGTGACACCGCTATTTGGAGAGAAAAAGCGGAGGAGATGTGGAGAGACTAGTACGAGTCACACAGAGTTAGTGACGGCATCAAAATTTAAATAAAAGAAAGAATTCAAAAAGAATTCCCTCAAGCCAATTGAAATCAAATAAGAAAAAAAAGAACCCCTGTTCATATAGTGGAGTGTAACAACAAACCTCAGAAAAAATCAAAAACCCGGTGGTACCAATCGCGGGAACCATTCAAAAGAATGATTTATGGAGATAAATACGATTGGATGAGAAATCCGAAACTAGATGAGAATACTGCACATGTGTTTAATCAACGGATGGCAGTTTATGAAGAAGTTAAGACTCTAAGAGTCAACAAGTTGAGAGAAACAGCTTCATGCCAAGCCCCCGCCCCCACAATCCGAAGTTCTAAACTTCTCTAATATTCTAATATCTCTATGTAAAGAGTCGGGGAAGGCATAATACCCTCATATTGGCACGAACCCGTAGGACGAGATTTTGGTAAGGTTGTGGAGTCCACGTTGCAGGATGTGGTACTTAGTCCCGGTCAAATCCCGCATTGTCTTCCCTGCATAGGTGAATCACATCAGACTTTACATGGCATCCCTGCAGATGCAGAATGGACTAACTATCTCTGGTTAGGCATGCGTGGTACGAGATGGTATACAGTATGATAAATTCATTTAATCTGAAATATAATTAAAAACTAAACTTTGGAACATTCCAAGGTTTGAAGCCTTAGGATTAATATCAATAGATAACTTAAGATCAAAACTATTATCATGATGTATACATCACCTATGCTAGCACGTGGATATCAAGTACTCACTACAAACTACAAACTACATAAATGGATGTCCCTCCAAGTATAGCCGCTAGCATGTTACCACTTTACAAATCAGACTAAGGACTAGTATTCACATGACCAACTCTGCATGCATCTGCAAGAGATTCATGTATGTATGTGCTGGTACTAAAATGGGCGCTAAATGTCGCCCCGACCCGATTTTCTGCCTAATCCTTGACCAAAAATTTGGGCATTCAAGAATCAGCGAATAAGAATGATTAAATAGAGAGTATAAAATAGCCTTGAAACATAATTTGAAAATAGCTTTGAATTACACAAACATTTGACTGCCGGGTACTACTAAATTTGAATAATTCTGAGACAAAAGAAGGGGGGGGGGGGAATCATCTTCAGTACTGCATAGCTAAGCCACAATCTTACCAGAATCCATTTTAATGGAATCCTAGTTATGTACTCCATACCTTGTACTTTTGTCTCTTATCTACCAGATTGAATCCCATTGAAATATGGCCTGATTTACTTGGGTCTATCACAGTAGTGCAAAGGAGAACCACGTCAAGCGCAACAGACAGCCCTGAGTACATAAACCATGGCCCCAGAATAAAAGTAAATGAGAGAAACTTGAAGTGAGAGTAAAAGTGACGAAATAACCCTTACCAATATTAGAATGATACTAAGATCAACATTGAAATAAAAACAAGGCTCCTACCGAAACACCGAATCCACACTAACCACCTGGCAATCACGCTCACACAGACACACACATACGTCGCCCCGAAATCTTGTCATCAACTCCATCCAATCACAATGAAGATCACTTACCAGCACACTGAAATGTAAAACAATCCAATGCACCTCATCACTCGCTAGCACTTTCGGGGTTTTTTTCGCCAACTAATGCTTGCATGCAGATTCCCGGATTTTTCCAGATTCTACCCGTAGACCCGGATCCTTCGATGTGTTACCGGAGTACCTGGGTACCCATGTGCACATGCCGTTCATGTACAGAGTACCGAGTACGGAGTACATAGCGTATGTACCCACAATCTTGGAACAGAACTTGAATCTGAATCTGCATTACGGATCCTGCTCCGTACTAATATATACTTAGGCATAGCATCCCGCGCATGTCCATGTCATAATAGTAGTCCATGAACTCAAAACTCCGTATCCAAGATTCGATCGTCGGGTCAACGCTGCAGGCGAAGAAGGAACTGTAGGCAACCGGAACGGGGAACGTGATGAGTTATTGGGCATCAATTTAAATCCATGGATCCCAGGATGAACACGCATTCCCCAAGTGATGCGCTGGTATTTGTCATGAAGTTTCATGGTCGGATGAAATCATGATTATGTATGTTCATGTTGTTTGTTGGACTCGGAATTGCATATGTGCAGTTGAGGGATATGTCATACGCATTGGTAGGGGACTCCAGGACTGGATGTCCTAATTTGGAGGGTTCTAGGTAGATATTTGGGCATTAGTACAGACTCGGAAGTATCTGGCATACGAACTTGGAGTGCATTGCGTAGGAATTTGATTCTGGGTACTAACACAAGCCATGGAGGTCAAAGATCAATATGGACTCGGAATATTGATGAAATCGTTGTTCTGTTTGAGGTTGAGTTCCTTGTGAGCGTATTATCACTTACCCAGATAGGAAGCTGGTATTTTTAAATCCAATCCTGTTCCAGGTGGCACTATGCCCGTCATTTTCAAGAACGTTTGTTCCAATGTGATGAGTTGCCTTCCCGAGGCATGTCATCGGGATTCGCGGGACGAATAGCCAATCGATCTTGTACCCTGCTCGTCACGTTGGGTCAGCACTAGATAATTAATCGTAACTTGAACTTGAAACAAATCCAGGTACGTGGCACTTGGCATTTGATGGACGCGTGTGTAGCCTGAGGCAGGGGCAGTCTAAGGGTCTCACGTGTGTAGCTGGACCTCATTCTGTCACACCGCTATACTGTTCAAGGTATAGACCTCGGGACCGGCTGATCCTTGATATCATGATGTGTACCTTTGAGTGGCATGTTCGTTGTCTGTGGATACTAATATCTGGAGAATGTATGTTTAGTAGTAGTATTGCCATTATAGCCTGGAGAATTTACACCTTTTGCAGCATATCAACAAGATGCCAGCGATCCATGTTGTTGGACAATAACTGATAGATCCATTTATGATTACAAATTTGAAATTTGAAGGTAATGGACAAGGCTACTAACCAAATAATATTTTTTGACTATGAAAACAAGATGACCAGTCATGAAACATCAAATATCATGTAATACTAGTATATAAGAACGCACGTCTTTACAGCCGGGATCCCAGGTTGACATGAATCGCCTTGGTCTGAGAGTAAGCCTCGAGGCCAGCCTCGCCGAGCTCACGACCAATACCACTCTGCTTGACACCACCGAATGGCACACGGAAGTCACTGTCATTGCTGCTGTTGATCCAGACCATACCGGCCTCGATGTCAGAGGCAACGCGGTGAGCACGCTCAATGTCCTTGGTGAAGAGAGCAGCTCCCAGGCCGTAAGTAGTATCGTTGGCACGAGTAACGGCTTCCTCCTCAGTGACGAAGCTAGAGATCACAACGAAGGGACCGAAGACTTCCTCGCGGTAGATACGCATGTTGTCCTTAACATTGGTGAAGATAGTTGGGGCAATGAAAAAGCCCTTTCCTTCGCCAACATTCTTGTATGGCTCACCACCGGCAACAAGGGTAGCACCTTCGGACTTACCGGCCTCAATGTATGAAAGAATACGGTCGTACTGAGCCTTGGTGATCTGAGGACCCTGGAAGGTGTCTTCGGCGAAGGGGTCACCAACCTTGCTAGTGGAGGCCACGACGTCCTTGAAGATAGAAACAAACTTGTCGTACACAGAGTCATGGACCAGGATACGCGAGGTGGAAGTGCAAACCTGACCCTGGTTGTACATGATACCGGTGTGCGCCCACTTGGCGGCTTGCTCAATATCAGCATCCTCAAAGACAACCAGAGGGGACTTGCCACCAGTCTCGAGGGTAATGTTCTTCAGTGTGCCAGCGGCCATCTTCATGATCTCACGACCAGTGATGGTGGAACCAGTGAAGGCAACCTTATCAACATCAGGATGTTGCACCAGTGCAGCACCGGCAACACGACCAAAGCCGTTCAGGATGTTAACGACGCCAGGAGGAAAACCAGCCTCCTTGATCAAACCAGCCAGGTAGAGAATGCTAAGAGGTGTCTGCTCGGCAGCCTTCATGACAATGGTGTTACCGCAAGCAAGGGCAGGACCCAACTTCCATGCCGCCATAAGCAGAGGGAAGTTCCAAGGGATAATCTGACCAACGACACCAAGGGGCTGACGCAGAGTGTAGGCGAACTTCTGGTGAGTGGTGCTAATAGTCTGGCCAGTCACCTTGTCGGCCCAGCCGGCGTAGTACCGGAGACAAGCAATGACCTCAGTAAGGTCATCATTGAGAGAGACAGAGTATGGCTTGCCTTTAGCGCCATCACCTGGTTAGTTACACTATATTCTGTTTTGGGCTTGACGGATTGCAAAAGCGGTACTGTACTTACCGTTGTCCCAGGTCTCAATGGTGGCGAGGGTCTCCTTGTGCTGCTCAATTAGGTCGGCAAGCTTCATCATCAGACTGCCACGATCAGTAGGAGGGAGCAGCTTCCAAGAAGGATCCTTCAGGGCCTTCCGGGCAGCCTTGACTGCGATATCAACATCCTCCTCACCGGCGGCGTAAACGGAAGCAATCTCTTTCTCGTCTCTGGTGCACACACATTGTCAGTTGTTTTCCCCTCAAAGTTTCATTTGATAGAACAACATACGAAGGGTTGATAGAAGTGACTTTCTCGCCTGCCTTGGAGGCCACAAACTCGTTGTTAATGAAGAGGCCGATAGGCTGGGTGTACGAGCGCCCGTTCGGGGCAGTTAATTGCACCGATAGGTTAGACATGGCGACGATATAACAGCGACGAGGGGAATTGAAACGAAGTGCAGATACCGAGAGATATTGCAATGGCCGGAAAGTAGAAGCTCCAAACATTTGAAGAGGGGAAAAGGGTGAGGTCTTTAAACCATGCGCAGTTCTCCCCGCTCCGATGCTCCGATAACGATAACTCTCATCTATCCACCGGGTCTGTCTCCACCGGGTTCGGGTGCACTTGCTCTTTGTGGGTAATGAATGGAGCTCTGAGTGGGATGATTTAATGCTGGTTGGCTGCACTCGCCGCCATAGCTTTAGTTATCCCCTCTTGAAGATTCCAAGGTTCCGAGTGTGGTATGTTCTCCGGTTTCTAAAGTTCCATGATTGATCATCAACATCTGTAAAAAGAGGATGATGACTCTCTACCAAGATTATCTCCGTATAAATCCGAGACAAGATAGGAAATATTTGGTCCCCGCGATCACTTAAGTGCTCTGAGTCTGCGGTTACTCTGCATTTACCTTGCAGTCTGGCCGTTTTCTCTCTGCTTTATCACTCAGCGATCAACATTTGAGGGGTAATAGAGCCCCAATCAGGAAACCAATTCCAGGTATTGTGGACTATGCAAAAACCTGAAATAGAAAATAACCTTAAAACTATGTTAAAATCCCTATTGTCCATCCCAGAACGCCGACAAATCAAATATCTTTGTTAAAGTATACAAACGAGATCCTGCAGTCATCACGTTAAAAAAGAAAAAAAAATTAAAGATCACAGGTCCTCAGATTCGGCATCCTCCTCAGATTTATCCTCTTCAGATACAGCTGTGGTGAACTTCACTGAATCCTCACCTGCGAGCTGCAGGATGAAATGCCATTGGGCTGAGGTCACTGAAGAAACACTCAAGCGAGATTGCTTAAGAGTCTGGAGGTTCTCTAGCGGCTTTCCGGCTTTGGCATGGGACTTCAAGTCATCCAAAGTGACTTGCTTCTTAAGCTTGCGGCGGAATTCAACATGCACAACCACCCACTTGGGGTTCTCACGGCTGGCCTTGGGGTCATAGTAAGGATGGGCGGAATCGAAGGCAGACTCTGAAAAATCGAAATCAGAACCATACAGCAATGTTTGGAGCAAATGTTTGGGTTCACAAACCGTCAACAGAGTGCTCTTCTACAATCTCCATGACACCTACGACTCCAGGAGTCTTGCAATTGGAGTGGTAGAAGAAGGCATAGTCGCCCTTCTTCATTTCGCGCATGAGATTCCTGGCTGTTATGTTTGTCAGAATTGCTGATCGGATCAATTGGATCATTCTTGCGATCAAGTCTTACCAACGGGGTTGCGAACACCTAATAACTTTTTGTTAGAAAGATTCATCTTTGGACTTTAAGGGCCACATACCATCCCATGGCTCTGGGGTCTCAACAGCAGCCAGATCATCAATGGAGAACTTGACATCAACACCCTTCTCTAAGCGCGACTCAGGCTCGGCCTTCATCAGCCAGTAAGAACGGCCAGACTCATCCTTGGGTGGGATGTAAGCCGGGACTTTGACCTCAGCTTCCTTTGCAGTATCGGCGCCATTCGCAGGCAGGCTCTTTCGGGGTCGTCCACGACCATCCTTCTTGGGACCGGTGGGGGTTGCTTTTGGTTTGGGGGTCTCGGTGCCTGGGAACAAAGGCGAACATCAGCGTTTTGTCCATCGTTCTTGTGTCTTCCGAACTGGGATGACTACATACCTGGTTCCTTTCGAGGACGCCCGCGTCCTTTCTTAGGGCCAGCAGGAGACTCCGCTGCCTTTACCGCAGCCGCAGCCTCTGTATCTGAGAGAAACTTGCGCGGGCGTCCACGGCCGCGCTTAGGTCCATTGGGGTCGGGCTTAGGGAAGGTTCCTTCGGGGAACTTGCGAGGACGGCCACGCTTTCGCTTTTCACCTGTATTGGGAGTAGGCTGTCGCGATTGCATTAGTGAGTGCGCGTAGACCCAGAATGGATAAAAAAACAAAATGACAGGGATCTGCCGATCAATTGTCGCATGAGAGTAAGGATCTTACCTCAGAAACCACCTCGCCTGAGGCGTCAGACATGGAGTTGCGAACTCGCTTTGAGGGGGTTGCAGCGCCCGTATCGGCCATAGTTGCGCTTTCAGACTTGCGTTTGAACGGCATTTAAATGACCTGGAGCGTTCTGCAAGTTTAAGGGGTAAACTGGAAGATATGAGAGACTCAATTCCTTTCCGTACAAGGACTGAGAACTTTGCGGCGAAGAAGTGCAGTTGGGATAAAAGATCAAAGCCGGGAATTCCTTAGAGGAAACCAAATGGAATGTTTGGGGGGGGGAAGCTTCTGCTTCACTTGAGCTGGTGGACGCGACAGTGGGTCCCGTTGGTAGATCCACGTGATACGCGCTTGATCAACATTCATTTTAAATAATTAAATTAAAAGAAAAAAACTAGAAAACAATTTCAAACCATTGATTTGCTTATTTGAAATGGCAATTTAATATTAGTCTTATAAATTATGAACAATCAATAAGCACAGGTTTGGGAAATATGATTCTGCTATAAGCCATTGTATGTATTCAAGAAGGCTCCAGGGCTGTTTTATAGGATCCCAGCTGGGCACCTCCAGGGCTGGCATCCATGCCCATGTCCACGGGTGGTTGCTCCAAGTCACATAAGCCAAGTTAATCAAAGAACAGGATAAACGGCTAGTTGCCTATTTGATCCGATATTTTCTAATAGGAAGAAGGTTCACATGTTCTAGGGTTTGGTTTGAACGTTTGAATTATTGATATTACTCCATACCTACTTTCCGTCGTACTAGGACATAGACCATTCCTTCATGGGTCCACCAGTTGACGGGTAGGAGATCAGCTAGCTTCAAAGGTTTAAGATTCGGGGAAAACTGCAAGGCGGGGATATTACTATATTTAGTAATAGATAAACATTTGATCCGAATTGACAATCAAATCGATAATTAAATGGGAGTGTAAAACAAGTATATCAATCAGATTAAAGCTTGATTGGCACTCTATGTTACTTACTTGACCTGGCATTTGGTCTGAGTACCTCCAGGGCTGAGAACATTGGATTCGGAGGGGTTCAAACTTGCATTCATACTACATATGTAGTAAGAAGCCGCATCTGGATAGCGACCTCGGAAGGAACTCCCGTACTATTATAAATGTCCATAGGTCACGGGATCACTGGCACCGCGTCTATTATCAATCTATACGAGGCTTGCTCCACGTACCTCCTACCACGATTCTATTATAAGACTCCGACATCCGCTAGCTTCAAGTTCTCAGGGTCAAGATGGCGCCGGCATAAGCAGAAGAAACCCATCGAAACGTGGCCCCACCTGGTGGGTCTTATCCCACCTCGGCATCATGATGTACTGATTACGGAGATTGACAGGCACTTTTGGAAGCACCTAGATATATGAACAAGTTCAAGACAAGATACCTATACTAGCCTCTAGCACTGAGGGGTTGATACGCGTGGCACTGACTCCTTCGAGAACGACTGTTGTTGACAAAGAAGATGGGTGGAATTGCGCCATCCAGTCGAGTCTCCATTGGCTCCATGGCGGGGTGATTATCGGCCGACTCTTCAGCTTGGACACGAACAGCTCGGCCGACATAGGAGAAGATAGTAAGCGCTATTGAGATGGATGGGTCTTGGAGAAGAATCATGAAAGCATATTATCTATGGAGGTAAATGCATGTGTATCATGTTCCTTTGAGCAACCAGAAGGGGGTACTCTAGCAGGAACCAGGGGTTAATATAGACCCAAATAGAATCTTGTCAAACCATGGAGGTGAACCTTGGGTGTACACACTAAGTTCCCCATTAACCTCGATGAATTATGGCATCAGGCACCTCCAGGGCTGCCACAGGTGGGAACACTAAACAGCCCCCACCATGTTTCTTCCTCCACCAATGAAATATATACTGCCCAAGGCGGTCAATAATTGCGTGATAGTTAACAGCCGGATGAGGTAAGTCGATCACCAACGACGAGAACCATCGCAAGCAGGAGGGGCAGCTCCCCGCCGTATATGAACCTCCGATTTCCCCCCCTGATTCTTTCCTCTTTTATTATCTTTCATACTATCCTTGCTTGATCTCCATCTTGCCTCTACAACATCACAATGTCTGAACAGCGTGCTCCGTATGTATACCTCATCTCTGAGTCCCCCCACATTCTATCTCTACATAGCTTCTCAAAGCCGTATATTAAAGACAATGGCTAACCTCATACCTCAATTAGTCTCCGTCTGGGCTCTACTGCCCCTGACTTCGACTCCGAGACCTCTAACGGTCCCATCAACTTCCACAACTTCCTTGGTGGAAAGTGGACCATCCTCTTCTCCCACCCTGATGACTTCACTCCCATCTGTACCACCGAGCTCGGTGCTTTTGCCAAGCTCGAGCCTGAGTTTACCCAGCGTGGTGTTCAGCTCATTGGTCTGAGCGCCAACCACGTCGAGTCCCACCACCGCTGGATCAAGGACATTGATGAAGTCTCTGGCTCCAGCCTCAAGTTCCCCATCATCTCCGACCCTGAGCGCAAGGTCGCCTACCTGTACGACATGGTTGACTTCCAGGATACCACCAACGTCGATTCCAAGGGTATGGCTCTGACCATCCGCTCTGTCTTCATCATCGACCCTGCCAAGAAGATCCGCCTCATCATGACCTACCCCGCCTCCACTGGCCGTAACACCGCCGAGGTCCTCCGTGTCATTGATGCTCTCCAGACCACCGACAAGCACGGTGTCACTTGCCCCATTAACTGGCTCCCCGGTGATGACGTTGTCATTCCTCCTCCCGTCTCTACCGCCGATGCCAAGGCCAAGTTCGGTGAGATCCGTGAGGTCAAGCCGTAAGTCACTTCTGATCTATATAAGCTTGTGAACGTGTACCAATGCTGACGGTTATAGTTACCTCCGCTTCACCAAGCACCCCCAGAACTAGAGGGTTCATTTTACGATTTAATGTGAGAATAAAAAGAATTAGGTGGATTTGGCCGGGAATAACCTACTTTTTGATACCAATATGAAATGATTTATCCCGTCAACTGTCAAGGTTTCTTGCTCCCCGTAAATACTCCGTCGTGAAACTTGGGCGCAGATGTTCCACTGAAGTTCGAGCGACCTAAACCCGATATGACTGGACTATATCGGTGCTTCCGATCAGATACTCTTTGTGTACGACCATGGTGAATTTTAAACCCATCGTAGAAACACAACTGCTACAGCTTACATAGAATTGCCTTCTCTCACATATGTACTATATGTTCTACTACATCATTCCAATGTTCTCCAAAAATTTGACAATTCTCTCTTTATTGAAACGTTGTCGTTATCTAGAGCAGCGTGGTCGAGTCCCACCCCAAGCCTATACGGGAAAGCGTTGAGACCGCCTTTTTTTTGTGCCGATCCAACGTCCACAGTCTGACACTTCGGCCGCTCCACTCTCTTTCGCTGTCGACAGAAAACCTTCCTCAAAAAATCCCTCGGTGCTTGATTCCTGGTCTCCCCGCGCTACATATCCGGTTTTCTCGAGACGCGGCGGGGAAAACCCACCCCCTGGTCCCAAATCCACCCCCCACAGGGCCACAAATCGAGCCGCACCGGTACCTGCGATCAGCGCCCAGCACGGAATCTCGATCGTTACACACCTCGAATCGCTCCGGTATTCGTCTTATGTACGCCGTCTGTCACTGATTGGACTGGTCTGAGAAAAAGAAAGGGGGGCGACTCTCTCGATTCCGCTTATATTTCTTCGGTTTCCCCGTGTGTCTCGGTCATTGCAGTTATCTCGCCCACGATGATGTCCAGGAGCCAGTCCAGTCTAGGCTTCTTGGATGCAGGCCAAGACCCCACTGCTACAGGCGGCGCTTCCCCATCCTTCAATCAACAACCATCATCAGGACCTATCAACCTATCGGGTCTGGTGTGCAATGTGCGTCGAACAACTGGCAAGGAACCTCACCCCCTGGTGGGGGCTACGACAACAATTTTGGGTGACAAGCTTTACGTCTTCGGAGGCCGGATCCTCTCACGAAGTCGACCAAAGCTGACATCGGATCTATATGAATTGGATCTAATCAGGCGGCATTGGACCAAGATCGAGGCCACAGGAGATATCCCTCCACCTCGTTATTTCCACAGTGTTTGTGCGCTTGGAGATAACAAATTAGTGGCCTATGGTGGAATGTCGCCAGCCCCCAGTGCTGCTGCTAAAGATCCTTCCAACCCTAGCGCATCTGGCTCAGAGTCCCAGGCGGAAGTTGTTGTCATGTCGGATATTCACATTTTCGATGTGTTATCTCGGACGTGGACTCGGGTTGCATCGCATGAATCCCCGCAAGGACGATATGCACATTGCGCCACAATACTCCCGTCTAGTGCTACTTTCGCATCGGCCACTGCACCGCTCTCCGCTATTCATAACAATCCTGAATCTTCCACGCCTCACCAAGGAAGTATTGGCGTTGACATTGATGGCTTCGGTGGCGCTGAGATGGTGGTTGTCGGTGGACAGGACAGCTCCAATCATTATATTGAGCAGATTAGCGTGTTCAACCTCCGCAGTTTGAAGTGGACCAACACTAGTCCTCTTGGACGCAGCTGCGGTGCATACCGTAGTGTCGTTGCACCCCTGGTGGGTATGGACGTCTCTGAGATTGGATCTGCGGTTCCTGACCAGGAGATTCACGAGCCAATCAAGGAATCAGAGTCGACGGGATGTCCAATGCTGATCTACTCCAATTATAATTTCCTCGATGTCAAGCTGGAGTTGCAGGTGCGCCTGCCGGACGGGCGCCTCGTGGAGCGACCGATGCAGAGTCAAGCATCCCCACCAGGTCTGCGATTCCCGAATGGTGGAATCATCAACGGACACTTCGTTGTCAGTGGCACATATTTGACTTCTTCAAAGCAGGAATATGCTCTGTGGGCGCTTGATCTGAAAACCTTGACCTGGGGCCGTATTGACGCTGGTGGATCTGTATTTGGCCAAGGCAGTTGGAACCGCGGCATTCTCTGGCCACGTCGCAGCGCCTTCGTGATATTGGGACACCGCAAGCGCAGTCTGGTGGATGATTACAACCATCGACGGATCAATTTCTCGCACATCTGTCTGGTTGAGCTTGAGGCATTTGGGCTGTATAATAATCCTTCTCGAACTTCATCAACATCGGGATACAAGTCTTACAGCTCACCTTCAGTTCCTGCGTCCCTGCAACAGAAGCTGGCTCAACTGACTACAAGTGGACGGCCCTTATCTGCTGCTTCTGATGAGCTAGGAAAACTGGCGCTTTCACTACACGAAATGGCCGATATGGAGTTACAAGCTGTTGGCGGCGAGCGCATTCCTGTCAACTCGCGTCTCCTTGCTCGACGATGGGGACCATATTTCATTCAACTCCTGCGTGAGTCGTCTGAAGGAGGAATCGCAGACGGCGGAACTCTTCGCCCTGCCTTTATTCATCCGAGTCGAAATTCCAGCGTCACCATTACACCATCCGTTGGCCATAATAGCATGTACTCTAATGCTACGACCCTGGTTAACCCTTCTGCCCCCTCTAAAGCTCTCCTTGAGAACCTAGAAGCTCCATCTGCTCATGGCCTGGCGCCAACCGCTCGACCTCGCATACTCTACCTACCTCATACTATTCTCACCCTTCAGGTTCTTGTTCAATACCTTTATACCTCCGCTCTTCCTCCTCCGGGCTCTTCCCTGTGCACACCCCAGATTCTTTGCTCTCTCCTTCAGCTCGCTCGTCCGTACCAAGTAGATGGTCTGCTTGAAGCAACTGTGGAGCGACTGCACCAAGTCCTTGATGGCCGCAACGCTGCCGCTGTCTTCAATGCAGCAGCCATGGCGGCAGGAGGTGGTCGAGGTACCGGTTTCACTGGTGGACTTGGCGGCACATTGGAAGCCCTCAATGGCTCTCATGGCAATGGCTCTATGCTTGGTGTTTCGGAGGGCGCACCCTCCCATCACGGCGGTCTGGTGGCTTCTGACTCGTCGGATACTGAGCATGGTGCGATGCCTCCCTCGGCTGCTAGCAGCACAGGCGACCTCACAAGTTACACGCGTGGCATTCCATCTCTCCGTATCGACACCAATATTCCTCAGCAACGTGGTCGCCAGCACCGCAGTGCTCATCGCGAGCGTGAAGACTCTATCAGCACTGCTAGTACCGCTACATCCGCCTCTAGTTTCAGTCAATCAGACTCGGAGTTTATCAGCGATACAGAGAGTCGCTCACAATCACGCGCTCATCACCGCCGCGACACAGATATTGGTCGTCCGAATCGCGAGATCTGGACTGGTGATCTATCCAGTGTCATTGGGTTGCAGAAACGGGGATTGCGCGGCCTAATGGAGGGTCGTCGTATGCGTGAACGAAGTGCAAAGCCTCCTAGTGTAAGCAGCGCCTCTACCTCTATTGCTCAAGCTGGCATCTCGGGAGATCATCAATTCTCCATGCAGGGTGTAGCAAGCTAGTGAGATGTCAGTTTCTCACTTTTGCTTCGCTGGAAAATAACACCAACTTAACGTCTTTTCTTCCTGCCCCTTCCATGTTTCTGGTTCTCTTTGTTACGAATTTTTTTCGAATTGTAAATATTTTCATTCTTACTTTTCACCCCAGCAGGCTGGTGAGATGGGAAGAATCATTTACATGAGGGCGGGTTGCCTTTTACTGTTATCATGTTTTCAAAATACAAAAACAAAGGAGCGATCCACGGATGTGTCTACGGGTTTTTGATTTTTGTGGACATGGGTTCACATTTGCCCATTCCCTGTTCATATTGGGCATTTCGATCATCATGTTCTAGAAGTTCTTGACATCTGGCACTAATGCCTGGAGTATCTACGGAGTTTCAATCTGGAAAACAAATATTGAATACAACTTGAATGCAGTGATGAATTTGGTATTATTTTATGATTCGCTTAATGTACAAATAGAGGCAATGTGTCGATTTGACCAACTTGAAGTCAGTTGAGATGGATATTCCCAACCTTCAAGTTGTCGTCATAGTAGACGAAGAGAGAACTAATTATCCTTATTCTCTGGTCGAGCAAATTTTTTCTGTACTTTGTCTCCATAAACTGATCATAGTAAAATTAGCAGGCTGTAAAAGCGAATGCAAGTGGCTCCGCTGATACCAAATAGAAGCCAGACAAAAGGGGAATACAAGAATAACAGAGTGAAGAAAAAACTCACCACGCTCATAAATCATGTATGATGTGACCAATACGATCGGTAAAGCAACAATAGTCGATGTCCATCTATTCAATTCATTAGTGCTCTGTAATGATATCCAATTCAATCAGCTTCGCAGAAGCATCTGCAAACAGTGGGCCGGAGTATGCCAGGTGGCTTGCTGTAAAACCATAGCAACTATACGAAAAAGCAGCCCAATCTCTTAGTTCGGCCTCAAGGACCAAGGCAGTAGGGGATGTAAGTGGAGTATACATACCTTCGTGCTGCAAGCTTATACTCCTTCGTAGACCGGATATCGGGGTGTCCCTTCAGAGATGACGGAGCTGGGCGTTGTGGGCGTCCCGTAGGTGTAGGCTGGCCCGGTCGGAATTGCTCAGATGGATATTTGGGCATTTTTTGAAAATTATGATGTGAAATTTGAGTATATCGAGGTGGAGAGATTGGACTTTAATCTTTTTGAAGGATGTTGAGACTCGAGGTGGAAAGCTTGCGGGAATTTATTGACACCTCAGGCATTAACAGAGTGGGCCCTGAAGCAAATTGGAAGTATACAAATGTGTCTAATAGAGAGAAATACCTCCGGGCTCAAGGCAATAATGTGAAGGACTTTAACAAGAAAAGTTCTTGTTAAAAATAAAATAAAATAAAAAGAGCTCACGGCTGGGATTAAACCGGGGACTTTGAAATCAAGTTGGGACATTGAAATCGGGTGTGCACCTGGGCATAAACCTGAGAGGGAGATGCTGCTAATGGCCTCACTTGATACATCCATCACCACATCATCGTCCTTGATATCTCACTCATTCTTGATTGTTTTTGATTTCTGATGAAAGGAATCGAAATAGCGAGTCTAAAAGTATTATAGATAAAAATATCAAAAATTTAAAAAAAGATTTGCCCGTAAGGCCCTCCCGCCCTCTGGAGCCACCTCAGCCATCGATCAGGGCCAGACCGTCCTGATAAATGCCTCTGTCCTCCACCTGGGCAGTCAGAGACCGCTGACCCTTGGGCCAGCTGGGCTGAGTTGTTTCTTTTCTCCCCCTCAACTAAAATATATAGGATCTCCCGCTTTGTGTCTGCCTTACAGATGAGGTTGTCATGATATAGTGTTATCCTACCCACCAGAACTCGAACCTCTTTCACTCAAGGATAATTAATCATATTTCAGGAACAGCACTCTGAGGCTAAAGCCTCGCACCACTTTTTGGTACAATAGCTGCCACAGCCTCCTTTACCCCTTCCTCTCTAGCCTCCCTTTCCAACCACAAAACCTGTTGTGCAACACATACCCGTACAAGAACCTCCGTTCCTCGAATCACATCCCATCCAGCCTTCATGGCTACATTCAAAAGTCTCGTTTCAGGCGATGGCATATAACACATATCGACCAACACGCCCCCGTCAGCATGACCGATGATTTTCTCGCAGATTTGCCAGCACACGCTTTCCTCTAGAGTAGAGGGCGGATAATCGGGAATCGTTCCCACAATTATTGAAGGAGATGGAAGCTTCTGTGCTGAATCTACGTCAGGAATATAGCGGATTCTAATCCCTGGAATGGATGAACTGAAGAACTCGATGATCTCATCAACCTCCGACTCCAACCTATTCACGACATAGATCTCAGAAGGAGAGAACCATTTCCACATCGCATAGATCGCACTTCGAGCCGCACCTCCGCCTCCAATTACCATAACTGGTTTGTCTTTTGCGATAGCGACAGAGCTAGGATTGTGTTGAAGGATAGCCTCGCGGATCCCAACGCAGTCTGTATTTGTGCCGATCCATCGTCGCTTCCCGACAGCATCAATCCGAGAGAATACGGTGTTGACGGCTCCAATGGCCTGTGCTTCTTCGGTTAAGTCGTCAAGAAGAGGGCCGAATGTCACTTTGTTGGGCATAGTGATAGACGCTCCGATAGTCGTCGGGTCGCGGAGGTACTCCAGGAATGTATTTCCTTCAGTTGTTTGGCAAAGATGATACGCGATAGGTGCTGACATTGGTTTGAAGAGGATTCCATGAAGAAGAGGTGATAGGGATTGGGATATGTTGCCGCCAAACAGGAATGCATTGCGTGGTATTGAAACTTGAGGTGAAGATGCGAGAGGCGATCTGCCATACTCGTAAGATCTGTGAAGAATGTCCATTTTTGTTCTCTGAACTAACCAAAGCTGAAGAGCTTGCTTTCTCTGGTTTTATCAAGGATGTCATGGTTATTATAACCTTGAAAGTGTTGCATAATGACAGCAATACACGCCGGACCCGGTCAATTATTTTAAGCGCCGGTAAATGATTCATACACTTCGCATCTACCGAGGTATACAGGGAATTAAAGCGAGCAAGCAGTTGACAGGAATATCATGAAATTTGACCTAGGAGATAAGAGTTCTTGAATCTGTTGATACAGTTTGAAATTCTCCAAATGGGTCGATATGAGCGAGTATCTCTTATGATCTAAGCTACTCAGCAGCCAACAACAATTCCTATTTGGCTGTAACATAGCACGCTGGAAGTGACCAGAGTGAAAGCATACTTACCTGCAGTTTAAGGACTAAGCTTCAAAATGGGAATACTTTACGAGCTGGATGTGGTCAGATAACCCCTGCACATGTGGTTCCATCTGAAACGTGAGCATGCTGCATGGCGATCAAATGAGCTTCTTCCGGTGTGATGCCCCTCTATCGCCAAGGTTCCGTATTGTCAAGACTAGGAGGGGCACCCTTGGCTGCATGGACCAGACTACATCCATCGAAGTAGTTATCTGAACGGTTCATTCTCAAGTTCTTTCCAGCGAACATGGCTGACTCTGGGATAGGTGAGTGCCCCGCTCAGAGGTACCAACAGACTGGATCTGCTGTTGGAATCTTTGAGGCGTTCGTATCTACATTCTTGGCTTGACGATTGGTATTGGGCCTGCATTGTATAAGCCCAAGATAGGAGCATGGAAGTGAGTGCGCTTTTTGCTGGGAATACTTTCTTCAGATTATATCGCATAGGATTAGCCTTCAAGTTCCAGGTATGTAGAAGGTCAGGGCAACCCTTGAAATTGGATGCAGTCTCTTGGAGACTTTTGTTTGGAATTTGGTAAACTTGCCCATACTTTGATGTCTTTATTCTGCGCCTCAAATTCGGCCTTTTACACTCAAGTGCTGCCTATACATGTGGGCGCGATCACAGCCTCATCACAGATCATACAAGCCACCATATCTAATCATATCATGACAGCTAAGTAAAATCAAGATTATGCGACTGTTGAAAAGGAAAAAGTAAACTTTTGGTAAGCAACATGGTGAATCTCTGGGATTTAGTTGTCTGATGAGATCCGTATCTATCTTCCGGATATCGCGCTAACAAGAAAACCCAACATGTAGATCCTTTTTAACATGCTATCAGTGATCCTTTAATGAAACTAGCAAATATCTCCTCTAAATTTGACGCCATCTGCACATCAAAGTCTCTCGGTGCCCAATCACAACAATGCATTACATACTGCGGAATATGACCTATCGTCGATACCACCAATGCTCGAGGGCTCGTAGATCATCACGATCCCCAGCACACCCTCGTATCAACCCACTGTGACCGTGCGCGGCCTCCAGGATCTTCCCGGGCGAGCTAATTAGCAATCAAATCGGATGCAAGACCGAGTGTCTTTATCGGCCAAAATCGGTTGATCAAAGATACGATGCATACTTGATGTCGCACAGCCTAAACCTTCGAAAATTAGAACCTTGAATACGATATATTGCCTATTTACAGTATGACGAGAGATTAACTTGCCACGATCAGTTCTTGCGAGCAAAAAGAATGACCTGAGAGAGCGCTGGGTTTCCCAATTATGATCTGCATTCCAGTGCGAACTGCCATCGATCTATCTTGGCGGTTCGACAGACCCCTTGCTTCAACAACATCATTGCTCCTTGCGTGTAACTGCCAGTGGATGTTCCAACGCTGCACTGACGCTTTATAGGCCAAGGTACATGACGTTTTTAGCTCTTCTTTTCGCTGATGCTCAGGTGAACAAGCTTAATTTCGCCCGTCCACTGCGCCAGTGCGCTTACTTCAAATCTTCTTAGCTTTCTGTACAGAACATCAACTATGATCACCCAATGACACCCTAACGCTTGTGTCGAGTTGTGAATTTCTTAATTTGTGATCGCAGGCTATCCTCTGCTAGTGTATGGCAGACCAGGGCCTCTATCTGTCTGGGCTTGAGCTTTGGTCCTGAGGGCGCGGTTACTGCCTCGCTCTTCACAATGGGAAACACGTCGCCCAGTCCTCATCAGCTTCTTATTGAGGCCGCGATATTTTGGAGCATTGGATTTATAATATATGGGGGAAGAATGTATGTCATCGCAAAAAGAATACTATCCAAATTCGCAGCAATATTCTGATGCAACCAAAGGATATCCCGTGTTATTGCAAATGGATCCATCAAACGATTATTCTGTATGAAACCTGGCTAGCAATCAGCCCGTATTTGCCGATGCTAATCAAGATGGTGGTAGGGGATGACCTTGTCATGACTGCAACGTTTGTGAGTGTATCCCATTATTCTATTGACCGGGGATGATGAACTAACTTGAAATTCAACTCGCAGATGGTATACACGACTCTACTTGTCCTCATTCAGATATCAGCACGCTACGCTACCAATCTAATGGACCCGAAAGATTATGCCTACGTGCTATCAGACCCAACCCAAGTTCGCGACCGAATATATGGCAGCAAGATTGTGATCGGACTGGAACAGTGCATGTTATTTTCCACATGGGGAGTGAAGACATGCATGCTGATCTTCTATTGGAGACTGACGCAGAGTCTGCGCTCGAATCTTTATATCAAGATTCTGACCGTCTATGTGGCCCTTGGGTTTGTGGTCATAATGGTCTGCTACTATGCTATTTATTGCCGACCTTTCTCGCAATACTGGGCTATGCCAGTTCACAATATGCAATGCGCGACTTACCAAAACTACTCAATTACTCAAGCCGTGTTCAATATTTCCTCCGATGCCGTCATGTTCGCCATTCCAATACCTCTGCTCATCCGCGCTCAACTCAAAAAGGCTCGGAAGGTTCTCCTACTCGGCGTCATGAGTCTAGGTCTGTTCACTATAATCGCCGCTATCTTGAACAAATACTTCAATTTCGCCTCTCCTCTCACCACAACATACCAGATCTGGTACATCCGCGAAGCAAGCACAGCCATCTATGTTGCGAACCTGATGTGCTGGTGGCCGTTACTCCGGAAGTTATTTGGTCTGAAAGCATTCTCCTATAATAGCAATCGAGGACGGCGAGGAGGAGCGCCCAACAATCAAAATAAAGATAATAGTGGCTATTCACAAAGTAGATCCCGCCCATCTTTCTCTTTCCCTCGTGCGCTGAACTTTGTGCGGTCTGCTTTTGCAAGATCTGAGAAGAACAATCCGGAAGGACCACGAGGGGAAACTCGTTCAAGCCAGGAAGCTATTACTCATGCATCGAGTATGGACGAGTCACGCCGAGTTGAAATACATCCCCTTGAGGACTGGGACCCGAATAAGCGCCGCGTAGGGGATATTGAACATGCGCGGCAAAAGAGTGAAGATTCTATGGGGATTTTCCAATGTGAAGATCTATCATCCCATGAGGACTACATGCCGGCCAGGAAGACATGACCACTGTACGAACATTATGGCACCGTTTAGACGCTACGCAAGGGAAAAGCGCATATGCATTTATGGTATTCAATATTATTGTTAAGAAATAAAATCATTACTCATGAGTCATGACATGATGATACATCGAGGCTGCTAGTGGTAGTTTGGACAGTATCGAGGAATATCGAAGACTTTCATTCGAGTCTTCTCGCAAGCAGCACTCATATGTTAATTACGCCGATTCCTTATTGTAGTTCTAATGTGTTTATTCCTACATCTATTAATAGGAACTATACTCCATATAATCCCCACAATATCTGGTCAACCGTGGTTGAGGGACTCCATTTTGTCTGAATTTGGTCTAATATGTGTCTATATATAGTATTTAGATTTCAATTATGGGGTTAATATCTGGCACCGATGGTCTAGTGGTAAGATGCCGCCCTCCCATGTGATAGGCGGTGGCCCGGGTTCGAACCCCGGTCGGTGCACTTCCCTTTATTTCTTTTTCTTTTTTATCATCTCACCTAATGATCATATTCAGATAGAGGTGCAGAGTAGTTTGGACGAATTCAATATATTATCCACTGACGAGTACAAACATCCTAACCTGTAGTAAACATGATAAGTGCAATAGCGGCTAAGTCGGCAATAAAGGTACATTCGGTGGGGGCAAAGTATGGTGTCAGAGTGGGAATTTTTTCCTCTTCCTGCTTAACTCTTTTAAGACTCGGATTTCTAATCTTCACTTTCTAATCTTCACCACGACAACTCAGTCCAAGTTTTCTATATACCAGACAGTATAACGCCAAGTACGATCTTCCTAGATTATACATAGATCTTCCACCCGCAATAGGAAGTACATCTACCATCCGAAGGCGTTACACCCGCTCGCGTGCCTTGTTCCCCAGGTCTTGGCTTGATGGGGTCCCCTCCACCTGAGCCCTCGGCCCAATCCCGCCCTGGCGATATAGACGTCACTATACCCTCGAACAGCGAAGCCCAAATTACAGATGTAGAGAGCCCTGACGACGATGATAACGAAACTACCCCCTTACAAAATAAGAGTATCCATCGAGTTTCACCTTCGCCGATCATTGCCGACCACCGTCGTTTCCCGTCGATCGATGAAAGCGATAGAGATGTTACTGTGGCCGAGCCAAACGAAGAAGAGGTCGCAGAAGAGAAACCAGTAACATGGAGCTCACTGCCCAAGAAAGGCCAACTGGCCATTCTGACCTTGGCTCGGTTGTCAGAACCGCTCACGCAGACATCGTTGCAAGCATACATGTTTTACCAGCTAAAGTCGTTTGACCCGTCGCTGCCGGACTCGACGATCTCGGCCCAGGCTGGTATTCTGCAGGGAAGTTTTACGGCTGCACAGTTCTTAACTGCGGTCTGGTGGGGTCGTTTGGCAGACGCAGATTGGATGGGCCGTAAGAGAGTTCTTATGATCGGATTATTTGGTACATGTGTCTCTGCACTTGGATTTGGCTTTTCCAGATCATTTGTCACTGCGGCAGTGTTCCGCACGTTGGGTGGTATACTTAACAGTAATCAGGGTGTTATGCGCACGATGATCTCCGAGATCATCGCCGAGAAAAAGTAAGTCCCTTGTCCTGCAGCTACTATGATGTCAACCCTAACATTCTTTTCGTGTAGGTACCAATCAAGGGCGTTTCTACTTCTTCCCATGTGCTTTAATATTGGTGTCATTATTGGTCCAGTACTTGGAGGATCGTTGGCGGATCCTGTCCACAGCTTCCCTTGGCTCTTTGGACCTGGATCTTTGCTTGGAGGTAAAAATGGTGTGTGGTGGATGGAACACTGGCCTTACGCACTGCCAAATATCCTGAGTGCTTGGTTCATTTTCATCTCATTCCTCGGAATTTTCTTTGGTCTTGACGAGGTAGGCTATTTCTTGGGATTGTAAACATTTGGCGATCTCTACTAATCCATGAAAAAATAGTCTCATGAAGTTGCAAAGTACCGCAGCGATTGGGGTCGCGAACTTGGCAAGAGAATTACTCGCGCTTTCGCTCGCGCTTTTCGCAGACGTACGCATCAATACAACCCCCTGACTCGCTCTGATGAGGATGCATCCATGTATCTGGGTAGATCCTCCTGGTCCGCGCCACCAAGTCCAGTTGTTGCACGATCGCAGCCACCTCGACGTCCGCGAAAACGGGCTGGACTCCGACAAATCTGCACCCGCAACGTCCTGCTCACGCTTCTGGCTCATTTCTTGCTTGCATTCCACACCAGCGCATTTAATTCCATGACATTTGTCTTCCTGCCCACACCCCGCGCTCCCGAGGATAGCCGAGATGGTTTCTTTCACTTCAGTGGAGGTCTGGGCTTGCCATCTGCACGAGTTGGTCTTGCAACTGCCATCATTGGCTTCATCGGTCTACCTCTTCAGATCTTCGTGTATCCTCGCATCCAAGGGAAACTCGGAACACTCATTTCATTCCGGACTTTCCTCCCCCTTTCCCCTATGGCGTATCTACTGATGCCTTTCCTTGTCATTCTACCTCGCGTTCCCTACATTGTTTGGCCTTCTTTCACTTTTGTGGTGTCTTTGCAAGTTCTTTCTCGCACTTTTGTGTTGCCTGCTGCCATCATCCTTGTCAACAACTCTGTGACTGACTCAACTATTTTGGGTACAGTGCACGGTGTGGCCCAAAGTATCTCCAGCGCTGCTCGTACCTTGGGTCCACTTATCGGTGGATGGGGTCTTGGCCTGGGCCTTATAAATAACATGGTTGGTGCTATTTGGTGGGCCCTGGCTGCTGAGGCTTTGCTTGGTTACGTTGTGTTATGGTTTATCTATGAGGGCAACGGGATTGAAAAGCCCAAGCCCATTGTGGAGGAGGAACAAGAGGAGTAAAATATTTTGCTTTGTAGTGGACATCTGGAGTCATTTTTGGTTTTTGGTTTATACAGGTTGAAGGGCTTGCTGTTAGAATCTGCTTTTCATTGCTTCGAGTACTATCTTACCATACTGATCTTTGACGATACACATGAGAATGAATGATTTTAGAATATTTTCGTCCATCATTTTCTAGCGAATGGAACTACCTAAATGCCGATTACTATGATCAGCGTACAACACATCAAACTTAGAGGGGCATACTCCGAGTCTGCAGCCCGGACCTACAATGTTATAATTCCACTATCAGATGTCGCCATAATGGAAGATTCACATGAACATCATTTGCTTTTTTTTTATCAAAGTCATCTTATCATAAGTGCCGCAGAAACAACTTAGTACTAATATCAAATAATTTCAATGCATGCATCCATCCATCAGCATTTTTCCCGGCTTTGAAATTGTCCAAATACCATCAACATTCCCCTCTAGAGAGAGGGAGAGATAAACGCCTTCATGGCAAGGACAACATCTCCATCATGCAATCTCAGTAGCTCCGTTGCCTTGTTCTTGTGTACCTCAAGCTGATCAACCTACAAGATGCGGGGAAATTATTAGTTTTCTTTCATACCCTCGATACCCTCAATACCTTCTAGGCACTCACCAAAAATTCAACATCCGCCGACATAATCTTAACCACTTTCTTCGCCGCAGGATCGTTCCTCTGATGTCCCGAAGTCTCCAGCCGACTCATCGCTTTCCCCAGAGCTTCTTGCTCCGCACCAGATGGACCCCCAGTGGGGCTAGCTTCCGCGCCGATTGCATTCTGATTGAGCGATAAAAGAGCCGCGGCGGCTTTACGGTCTTCGGCATTCGTTGGTAGAGATCGTTCGGATGCTTCGGGGTCTGCACTTGCGCTTGCGGATGGGATTGGGTCTGACATGTTGATGAAATTTGGATATGATGTTTGGAGCTTAATTACTCGGAGCTTGAGGAGCTTAAGGCTGAAGCTTAACGTCACTGATAAGCATTGAGTTGTCGATAACAATGGCATGTTTATATTCTATACCGCTTTTACTACCGCCTAATCCAGGGACAATACTTTGGAGTATACTACTGAGTATATTCGGTCTTTTTCAGCATACAAAGTGTTAGCTCGAGAAGAAAAGTGATGACAAATTGAAGATGAGCGTATCTTATGGGCCTCTCACATATTGTTGTACATGAATTATCGGGTGAGATGGAGGAGTTGAATGTTTTGACCGGCAGTATGTATATTAAATGCCTGTGTAACCAGGCATCACATGAGTCATCCCGAGGTCCGCGAATAAGCGTTCGGTGTAATGTTATGTTGGCGTTTTGTTTCTGTTCCTGTTTGTGGGGTTTGCCCTTTGTTAAATTCAATTCGCGTCTCTGTCATTGTCTGTTGGTGTATTGCTCTCTGCTGCGACACCATCACTCGAGAGCCAATCTCAAAGCTACTTGCCCGCATTTCACCCTCGACTTATCGTCCCACCCTACACTAGCTACATAGTGGGGTTATCGGTGATCCGCAATGTCAGACTGGAGCCCCAATTGTATGTGTTTACCCTCGATTGAGAGCCCTGACGGGTTTTGCTAACTGAAGTTTGTCAATATCAGCGTGGACTACGAAGCCCATTAAACAGGATGTGGTTTATGAAGATGCTCAAGGGGTGCAAGATGCCCTTCGGAAACTGGAGAAGCTCCCACCACTAGTTACCACACAAGAGGTAAATATGTTTCATCTTATAATATTTGAGGAACCTCAACTGACGAAAACCAAGATCAATAATCTGAAGGTGAGTTTGAGAAATGTTGCTTTGGGAAATGCATTCGTCTTACAGGGAGGTGGGTAGTGTCTTTGTGTGCCTACTTGGTCGTGTCTAACCCGTCACAGGCGATTGCGCCGAGCTATTCGATTACTGCAACCAAGATATGATTGAAGCCAAAGTTAAGCTTTTGCTACAAATGAGTTTGGTTCTTATCTGGGGTATACATATTCCATTGCAATGACATGCATGATCTATACACTAACTCTAATGAAGGAGCTAATAAACCCGTGATTCGTATTGCACGAATTGCCGGTCAATTCGCCAAGTCAGTTTCCCAAATACCCCAATCCCTGATGATTCACACACTAACTCTTCTAGACCTCGATCAAGTCCCACAGAGCTCGTCAACGGAGTTGAAATGCCCTCTTTCCGAGGTGACAACATCAACGGATTTGACGCAGACGCAGAATCTCGAAAGCCCGATCCAGCACGTCTCGTTTCAGCATACTTCCACTCCGCCGCCACGCTCAACTACCTACGTGCTTCTCTATCCTCAGGTCTAGCAGACCTGCACTCCCCTCTAGACTGGGGTTTAGGTCATGTCATCACACCCTCGATCAAAGAGCAGTACAGCAAGACCGTAAACGCCGTTAAGGATGCCCTACGCTTCATGCGTACAGTAGGCATCGATAAAGACCGCGGCATGGAGACAGCAGATATCTTCACCAGCCACGAGGGACTTTCCCTAGAATACGAGCAAACACTTACCAGACTCCTACGTAACCCCAGCGCATCTGCTCAATCAACCTCGAACTTCTACGCCACTTCCGCACACTTCCTCTGGATCGGTGACCGAACCCGTCAACTAGATGGTGCACACGTTGAATTCTTCCGCGGAATCGCCAATCCAATCGGAATAAAGATCGGTCCTAGCATGGCCGCAGAGGATCTAGTACGTCTACTAGACGTCGTGAATCCCACTAAGGAAATCGGCAAAGTCACACTAATCTCGCGGTACGGCGCATCTAAGATCGCGACGTTCCTGCCTGCGCATATAGCTGCTGTGCAGGCTTCAGGACATCTACCTGTGTGGCAGTGTGATCCCATGCACGGAAATACGCAGGCTACACCGTCTGGTGTGAAGACGAGACATTTTACTGATATCCTTGATGAGTTACGCCAAGCACTGGAAATTCATCGTGCCGCGGGGTCGTTCCTTGGTGGTATGCATCTTGAGTTAACTGGTGAGGCGGTTACGGAGTGTGTTGGTGGTGCGGCTGGATTGACGGCGGATGGACTGGGAGAGAGATATACTACTTTCTGCGATCCACGATTGAATGAGAAGCAGGCTCTTGAGCTTGCGTTCTTGGTTGCTGGGTTTTATCGGGAAGAAGAGGATATTTGAGTATGATCTTTCTAGGTGTTGTTGGACCGTGACTATCTAAAAGTGTGATTCGTATGGGTTAAGGAATATTTGAGGGGGTTCACGGAGCGAGATAAACGCTTCATAGTGAGAGGAATTTAATGGAATGTCGTTTACAATGTCCGAGTTCTCGAGTAATGTTGGTCTTAGGTCTCTCAGGTCGTACAGGTCAACCGGTACATCAGCCCTGGACATCTGGCGGCTTTACGCAGGCGAAAAGACCTTGAAGTAGGTTAATACATACCAGTCAATTTAAGTTCTTACCATCGAGTCGTATCAGCGCGAACTCGGCTCTTAATTTACTTCCACAAGACCTTGAATGATAAAAATAAACTATAGATTAAAATTGATAGCTTTTCATCTTGAGAACCGCCGCAAAATGCGATGTAACTTCATGTTGAACCAAAATGCATATGTGCATTGGAAAGGCATCATAATATCTTCGATCAACGCCGTGATATAATAACAACCCCATTCTAGATGTTCAGGTTCCTCTCACAAATAAACAAAGACCATTGGCTATAAAAAGGATCCTTTTCATGCAATAACACAATCATATATCTCCAGAGATACATGTCGAGCATCTAAGCTTCGAGATAGGCCGAATTAAAGAGTGAAAACAAAAAGAAAAGTGGCCTCTAAAAACAAGATATATGTAGCCCCCCCCAAAAAAAACAATGTATGTATATAGTAAATGCAACTTCAAATCATGGCACAAGTCCGGGAATTAGATCATCATACGACATCATACGCGCCCACAGTGCGATATCTTGGAGACTGGGACCCGTTATCTGACTTATTACCGCCTACATGAGGCAGTGGTTTCGCCAGACGCAAAGCCCAGCAAACAAAGTATTCCAGAGGTAGAAGCAACAGGAATACACGGTTAATCAAGAAGCACACTGTGACGGAGATCATAGCCATCATGGCATCCATCCAGTAGTGGTTGGCTGTTGCGACGATAACGCTCAGAACCAGGATGGAGTATAGCACTGCGAGAACGGCGTAGATGACCTGAGTGAAAGTGGACTTGCGGGTAGGCTTTCCGCGAATACGGCGAAGGATTTCGGAGTGGTAGAGGAATGTGCAACTGATCACGAAGGCATAGGTGAAGTGTAGACTGGGCATCGCGGCGAACTGGTTCACGGATTTACTATCCACCCACACACTCTCGGCGTGCTCTTGACGGACGGTGTCGAAGAAGTTGTAGGATTCTGGGAGGAGGCGGGGAGGCATGCAGGGGTAAATGCAGAAGACGGCGAAAGCGATGAAATTGCCCAGGGTCATTGTGCGGCGGGCAACGGCGAAGATATGGGCGTTAGGAGCTTCGTGGTAGTACCAGGAGAGGAAACTTGAGAGCAGGGTTAGTGAGAGTTCTGGTTATGGTCTTTTCCCCCTCGATTGGGAATACTCACAGTACAGTTCCTGGGATATGCACAAGGGAGTAAATCCGATTGAAGAAAGTTTGGATGTTGGGATGATAGGTCATGAAGAAATGCTGGTAATCGGATTCCAGGATGGGGAATAACCACCGGAAAGCCGATTGATGCTCAAACCAAAGAATATCCTCTCCATGTTGCTGTGCCACAGCCACAACACCCACTTGAGCAGGAACCAGAGTCGCAGCAACCGCTTTTGTAACAGAGTAAAAGACGTAGTTCAAAGCCCAGTAGAACATCTCCACCAAGAAAGGGAATTTATACAGGATTCGACTGTGTATATTGTTGGCCCATCGTGAGGAATCGGGGGTCTTGATGGGAATTCCACAGAATCGTTCGATCTTCAGTGGATTGGGTGACTGTGCTCGGGCTTCATCGTCGAGGGCGAAATATCCTCCGCGGGAATTTTGGTCATCCCCCTGGTCTCCGAAAATGCTGAAGTTTTTGCGTCTATTAAGCACCAACGATCCGATCATGATACCCACGACAACCTATGAAATGGTCAATAAGTGAATCATCAAGTCTGTTCAAACAATACTTACGATTGGTTCGAGCCATGAGTGCGATGCGAATTGAGGCTTTCCGAGGTCTGGCGTCTCCGACATATTGAAGGATTGAAAACTGGCGCCTAACAAGACCCAGGAACGGAAGAAGAAAAGAACAAGAATAAAAAAACAAAAAACAAATTTAACCTATGACCATAAATGGGAAAGGATCAAGGGAGTAGTAAGGGGGGGGGGGATGGGGGGAAGTTGGACAAGAAAACGAGCGGAGAGGAAACCTCAGCCTTAGCCCCCAAGTCGCAAAGTCGCGTGTGAACTTTCCAAGGTTCGGGACTCCCTATCTACCCAAGATTGTTTAAGGCCCACCCACGGATACAGTATCAGGCTGAGGATAAGGAAAGCTCGTTAACTTCTGGATGAAATGAACTTGACTTCTGAATAGGTTGCTATATTCCTTATTTCCATGTTCCTATTTCTTATTGAAGAATTGACTACACAAAGTCACGGGAGTTACGACTCCATTCATTCAGTTCCACTCTTGCATAGGGGTACTTTCTCGGCGCTCCTATTATGGTAATATGGGCGAGACTCTCCCGTTCCTCTAACAATTCTGGTTGGTTTCGTACTCGTATAGATGTCCACTTTATACTTGCCGATCTAGAAACAAATAAGTGATCTAAGTATGAGCTCGTGTGATAGTACTCCGACTCTTCAATTATTCTTAACCACTACCATTGGCAGTACATGTACTACGTAGTATATTCAAATGTTATGAACATCTGGAATCTTTAATAGGATTCCACTCCTTTTACAATCAATACTTCAAGTTTTACCATTGTATTCTTGGCCCCACTACTTGGCCCCAAATTTTACAGGGTTAGCCCCGGCTCATCAAGGTTGTGGATTGGTTCTTGGGTGGCTATGGAAATATCATCGGTGGCTTGATGATCATCTATTTATGTCTAGACCATATCTAAGTGGCTATCTAAGTATCTGAAAACGTTACTGCATATACCCCTTATGATCATTCAAGTTTCAAGTTGTTTACCAAGTTTATTTTTTTCGATATTTCTAATATTTTGAATCAATAGCCCTGAACCACTCATGTGGACCCCTCCAAGGCTGGGAAATGCTCTAATAACACTAGCGCCTACCCATGGATTTAACGGCGTTCTACGGAGTAAGTGACCACATAGATAGGGGTCAATTGAGTAATTTCCAGGCAACTGCGTAGGTGTCCTTTCTACAGAACTTAATGTTAAGATTCAGGGGAATTCATCTCAAGTGCTTATGTATCTTGGAACGCGACCGGAAGCCTCGGATGTGGCTTTGTAGTTGGTGCCTGAGGCATAAAGTTGTATTATGTCAGCGGCTCAAGGCCCTCCCGAGGTCAAATCCCGATACCTGGTGAACGTGGGAACCCATACCGAACGGCGAACACTAGGGCCTGTGATGTCTGCATGTCCGATACATACCTAGTAGTGACTACCTACGCAGTAACACATTGATGATCATATTTTCATCTCTTATATTCACTAAACTGAAAACAACCTTCAAATCAAAGCAATGATACATGGATATTGAAACGTAAACCCAGCACCCATCCCATAACCAAGAACAACTTGAATCTCAATCCAGCCATAATCCCAAAAACGCCGTTTGAAGGAACCAAAAATCCCCCATATGTACAGTGGATACCAAAATGTTTAACGTAGTGACATAAAATGAATTATCGTGCAAGTGGACTTGCAACAACTGGCTTGTGGAAGTGACTCTTGCGTCGCGCGGCCTCCATCCGGGCTCGCTGCTGGCGCCTGGCATCTTGTTCATCTTCCTCAGCGAAGCTCAATGTTGGCTTCTTCTCGCCAGAGAACAAGCCGCGTCCGCTCTGCTTTGGGGGGGCAAGATTGCTGGACTAGTTGGGTACGGTTGGAGAGGAAATAAGGCGTAGCGGGAGACATGCCGATGGCATCGAGGTTGGCAAAGTTGTAACCAGGAGTCTGGGGAATCTGGTAGCGATCGGTGGAGGTTTGTCCTCTGGGTGTAGATGGCGAGGCGCCGAGAGGAGTTGGGGGCGTGATCTTGCGGAACCCCTCGATGGCATTCCGATCAGCGCCGCAGCGACGTCCACTGGCAGATGGTGTAGAAGGTTCGGCAATACGCTTCAGAGTGCCGTTGATATTGCTCAGAGCGCGAGGCTCCATGCTCTTACGACGTTTAGCGCCACCTCGGGGAATGATAGAGCTGTCGATCACGTATGGGGCCTCGTCGAGCCATTTGTTCTCTCGCTCGCAACTAAGGAAAGTAATGTTAGAATATGAAAACTATGTTAGAAGATAGGTGATAAACTTACTCAAGTACCCAGCCGACACCGACACATTTCACCAACCCAGCAGCAGACTTGACTTTCTCTAAAGTCCGCAGGCCACCATCCTTATACACCACATGAGTGATACCAACCTTGCCAATTGTATGCGCGGGATCCACGCCGTCAACCGGCGACATGCTGGCTCGAGGATTCCATGACCATGACTTGAAGCAACGGGCCCCCATCTGCTGCAAAAGCTCAATGAAAATGCCAGAAGCATCCTCACCTTCAGTTGTGTGAACATCCACGTAAACAACAGCACCTCGAAGCGCTTGCTTTTTAGGACTCGGGTTACGACGCGGAGTCTTTCCGGGACTGCTGGCGACAGCAGGACTCTTGGGTGGAGGCATCGAGGTCATTCGAACACTGGATAGTCGAGCAGCACTACGTCGACGTTTGGGACTGGGGCTGCGAGGAGATTGACCATCTGCTCGAGGTGAAATAGCAGGAGCACTGTCGGTACGTGGGAGGAGTATCGAGTTGCGGAGACGGGAAGACGAGCGGGTGGGCGATGTATTTGAGACCGAGTGTCCACGCTTGCGAGGCATTTTCAATGGAGAGGTTTCGCCTTCGCCTTTCAAGGGCACCTTTGACACTGTGTGGACAGTGCGTAGGTGCTCAGGTACTGCTTTCATCGGAGTGGCTGGCAAGGGGGTAGGGGCTGGGAGATTTTCTTTGTCCTCGGATGAAGAGTCCCCTTCCTCGTCTGCAGTTGGCTGATGAGGCAAGCTCGCACGAAGGTGAGCAGGGACAACTGGCTGCAGGTCTTCAAAAATATCACTTCTGCTAGGTGAACTGGTCATGTCGTGATCATTATGAGCCGACTTGTATTTTGACCCAGATGCTGGAGTCATGGCAGTATCATCATTGTAAGAGTGAAGCGGCAATTCACAGAAGAGGTGCGGCGTGTTGGCGAGAGAGGTACGTGAGAGATCAGGGTAGGAAACATCGCCTTCGTCTGGAATGTGGGTCTCAGCAGGTCGCTCTAACGGGCCAACGAGAGAAAAAAATGCCTCGTCGACGGGGACGAAGTGGTCGCTCTCGGGTTGGAGTATTGGCTTCCCAGTGTCCAAACTGGCTTGCTAGTGGTGTGAAACCTAGCTTGACGTTGAAGCCGGATCCTCGCCGGTTTCGAGTGCCTGGTGTCCCGGACAACCTTCGCATGGTAGGAGTGGGAATGTCAGTCTGGGTGGTTTCCATGGGACTATCCACTGCACCAAAACGCTCTTCGGTGTTTTCGATATCGAAGAGACGGCTGTGGGACTGAGCACTATCCATCATAGCCATTGTAGCTTTGCCGGCTGGGGGAGTCGGCACGAGTGAGGGAATTGGTCCCATTCTTTGAAGTGGGCTACTTTCACCGGAGTTAACCTCGTCTGGTGAGCGAGGTTGGGGCAAGGCAGTGAATGTAGCGTCAGATGGGATAGCAGACGGGACATCATGCATCACATCATCCTCTTCGATCTCGGCTTCTTGTTCTTCAAACGGCTGGTAAATAATGCTTCCGGTCTCACTCAAATCATCATCCTCGCGCATTTCCATATCGCCAATTAAAATAGTGCTTCGTAGATTCCGCACGGGAGTGGGAGACTCGGGTTCTTGAACAGCATATTCCTCGAGCAGGTCCATATTGAGGGGCGACTCTGAGACAGGGGTGACATGTACTGATGAGTGAACACTTTGAGGTGCTGGCGAGGAGTAACCTAGCTCAGTAACAGCCTCAGCATGCTCAGGTTCAATAGACTCAATTTCAGCAGGCTCAATGGACTCCACTGCGAAATCGTCTCCGGCTTCCTCTTGATCGCTCTCATCAGCTTGGCCAATTGAATCAGCATCATCGAAATCCATCTCAGATTCAATGTCCTCTTCAGCAGGAAGGTTTTTGAATGGTCTCTGAAGCTCTTCCATAGTATTGAAACAGATTGTTCCAAAGTCATCCTGCTCATGTCGAATCTCCTCTAGATCCTGAATCTCCTGGTCAACATCTCTCTCTTCCATCTCTTCTTCCTCTGTTTCTTCTGTTTCTTCCGCCTCACTAATATCAGCACAGTGGGCTTCTTCCATCCGAGTCTCAACAGGTTCGGGATCTTCAAGGACCTCCTGTGATGAGGGAGATGGGGTGGATGTTTTGCTAGATTGCAGCTCAATGCCAAAGATATCACGGGCAACTTCCTCTACCATCTCGAGATCTTCATCCAAAGCTTCATTCTCTTCTGATTCTTGATGGGATGACAGCCGTCGGTTGAGAGAGTTAGAACCAAAAAGCCCTCCTGTACTCTCATCGATGGGCGCAGCGGCCTGATTTATTGACTTGGCTGAGAAGAGAGAATTCTTGAATGGCGATGCAATCCTCTTTGCTGGACTCTGAATCAATGATGATCGAGCCGAGAAAATCGGTGCTTCGGCTTTGGATGGCGATTGAGAAAATGAGGCACCCAAGTGACCCTTCCGAGGAGACATCTTCAAAGGCGAGGATGGCGCATGAGAGAGATTAAGAGCTGGGGCGGCGTTCAATTCATCGCGGAAAAGAGAACTACCATTTGGTGTATCCCTGAATGAAAATCGGAATGGGGATGATTGCTCAGGGCGCTTAGCAGGACTAGACATAAAAACAGAATCACTGAAATCAATGGTCTTGCCAGCAGGAAGAGCTAGATGCCCATTGTCTGCAGCAGTCTGTTGACTCCGGTTTGGCGTGAAGTTGATTTTTCGAACTGGAGAACTCAATCCAGTCACTGTAGATCCGTGTTTTGGTGTTGGAAGTTTCGGTTCGCCATTCTCATCAACACTCTTTTTCGGAGTGAAATTAATCCTCCGTACAGGTGAGCTCAGACCCACAGAGTCCGATGACTGCTTTGTAGGGGAATGAACAACAAGTTTCACAGCCCCCTTCATTTCGTTCATTGCCCCGCTCAGTTCATCCTCCTCGCCATCCGAGCTGGCATAGGCAGAAAGAGACTTGGCTACCTGTTTAGCCTTCTTAGGTGAAAGAGGTTTTGTCGCGCTCTTCGCTGTAGTGGTCTTGCTTCCACGAGTTGTGACAATTCGTTTTCGCACAGGAGTAGATCTTAAGCCGCCTTGTCTGCCAGCTCTCCTGCCTCCAGCTGCTGGTGCCACTGATTCCTCTGTTTCTCCTTCAGATTCCTGATCCGATACGTTTTGGAAGGTAACTGTCTTCTTCTTCGCAGGACCACGCAGAATGTTGGATCGCACGATTGTCGAATTGGTTGAAATAACGATATTCTTGGGTGCTGCGGATTCGGTAGAGGAGTCATTGTCGGTTGCATTTCGAGCAATTTTCCGTGTCGCGAGATTGGTTTTGCTGGTCTCTACCTTTGGCCTTCCTCGAGCCTTGCTGGTCGCTGTAGGCTTGGTGGCGGATTCTGCTTCCTGGTTCTTCCTCGGCCGTCCGACGCGCTTCTTAGGGGCTTCAGATTGAGTCTCTTGAATTGCCTCACGGTCGCCTTGCGATTTATTGATTGCAGGTGTTGTCGTCGGTTTTCTCCCTCGTGGCACGGTCGGCTTGGTCACTGGACGTCCAGTCGCACGGCTTCGGGGCGGGGCAACCTTCTTGGTTTCCTCCATCATCATTCCCAGCTCATCATCGGTATCCGAGCCCATATCCTCGCGGGTGGCTGTCGAAGTTGATCTAACTGGGGCGCGCTTCTTCGGTTCGGCGGTCTTGGTCTTGGTAGCCTTGTTCATTGTTGACTTCGTCGCCGTCCGTGCCCATTTGGCAGGGGACTGCGGGAGGACGGCCGCGCGCGCCATGGTGTGCTGATTTTGTCGATGTTAGGGTCGTTTGTCGATAGGTCGAAAGGAGTAAGGTGCATTAAAGATGTCGGCACCACCTTGCACTCATGACGGTCCACCTTGAAAGTTGTTTGTGGTTAGTGGAATATGTTAAGCTGCAAGGCAAAATAGAACGAGTGGGACCATGTTTGGTTATGGGTCTTGGTTTCCATGGTAACACGGTCACCAGCCTCCACCAACCCCGAATCTCAGATCAAAACTTGTATGTATATTATTACTAGAAAGAGACAAAGAAAAGAAAAGAAACTATTTATCTGTTCTTCACTAGCTATGAAATCTAATGCTAGGAGACCAATTTCAAAGAAGACCTCCACCCCCTTTATCTGAAGGGTCTGAGAGGCACTCAGCTAAATTCTCCAACTCCTCTAGAAGCAAGTTTGGGTCATCACATTTCTGTGATGTGTCAAAATCAAGGTAGCCTTCGAACTTGAATCATGGATGAGAAAGTTCCAGCGATTTGTATCCCCATGTCGTACTCCTATGTCATGTAGTCGAGATAGTACCTCTTTGCAGGCCTCGAGATCCTGAGCACCACATGTAGCGTGCCTTGCATTAAATATCCGCTCCATTAAGAACCCAATAACCCGGCCATTTTCCGTTAAATGACCAATAAATCCAGGCCCAATATTCAACCCGGATATCCATTGGTACGCCTTGGTCTCATTTTCCAGATACTGGATCTCCCAAGGAAAGCGAGCGAACTTGGCGACAATGGTCCTGTTGGGGATTTGTGATTTGTATTCCACTTCGTAGATACCCGTCCGTAATTTTTCTCCGATTGAAAGCTCTGAGTAGTCGATGAAGTTTTTGTGCCAAATGTTTGGAATACCAGGAAATTGGGTCATCTTCATGCTTGCAAAGTATGGTTGGCCTTCTTTATTCTTGGATACGAGTCCATCGTTCCAGTCTCCTGGAGGGAGCACTGGTAAAAGAGAGGCTAGAGAAGGACCAAAACACATATCATCGGTGCTGTAAATGCCGGTGTCGATGGTGAGGTATTTGATGTACCGATCCTCAATGAGAAGACGGAAAAAGCTTTGGTCGTCTCCGTCACAGTCGACTTCGGCTTGAAGTAATTCAATTTTTGGCTGTCCGTTCATTTCGAGTCAACTGCCAGTGCCAGTGGTGTAGTATCTTGGAGATCGCAATAAGCGGGAAAGGGTTCAGAAAGCATCCAAATTTTCTAAGATTGAATATTGTTCACGTGCGTGAGTGCGCTGTGTATAGTCGTACCTTTAAGTTCAAGTTGAGTGCTGTTTTGGCATAGCAACGAAAATTAGAGTAAGATGACCAGCAACCCCGTGGCATCAATATTATTGGTCTCAGGCTGCACATGTGCCATCGCCCTATACCTATAACAGCCCCCCAGCCAAAATCTATTTTTCCTCTAATGAATTTGATTATCTGTTTACTGCCTGTTGCTTTCAAGTTGTTATTATAATATAGAGACTTTCGTAATATTTAAGGCTAAATTAAGAGCTAAAGTAAAAGATATCTAAAGTGAAAGTAAGAGATATCTAAAGTATAACTGAGAGATAAGTAGGGGATAAGTGAGAGATATCAAACGTGAGAGTGAGAGATAGCTTCTAAGATTATACTACTATGTATAGCTTTATTTTTTAAGTTTCTACCAGCCATATAGGAGGTTTGGTTAGCTGTATAACTGTTATACTAGGCCCCTACATACATATCACCTTGAACCTCGAATTTAAAACAGTACATTAAAATCAAGACCTTCAAAGCTATTTCTGATGATAAGCCTTAATCCTTCTAGAAATCCTGATTGCTAGTAGCATCAATCTTACAAATAGTTAAAAAGATGAGATTAACCACCCAGGCGGTTATTAATATTATTTATTCCAATTCTCCTAGGTCTATGCCATCTGATGTTATACATATCTGAGTCCTTTTCTTCCCGTCAACTGCAGTGTTACAAGTACTCCGAGTCGGACTACTTACTACTACAACTTCCAAGGTTGAACTGGATATCCACCTTCTTGCGATCCAACTGCGAGAATTGGCCACTGACTAGTATACTATTGATAAAGCTATCTGTCAACCTGCACCTAAAATTATGCACTACATTGGGAGGCCTGAGTTGAGCGCAGTGTTCAATTTGGAAAGTTTCATGTTCATCCATGTCCTAGCTATGCACATGTGGGCTGTAGGGCGCCTTGACAGCCCTCAAGGCGGGAGCTACCTTAGACATGATAAGATTTGAAGTACATGTAGCCCGAACAAGAATATGCATATAATGAAGAACCTCCAAGGATTGAAACCTTCAGTTTCCTCCTAATATCCCTGGGTCATCCCATCTTTTTGCAAGGTCTGATCCCTCCGTAGATAGCGGCTGGTGTCACCGTCCCAATAAGCACCGTAACACTACTGCTCTCCAAGCCAGACATCGGACATCTAGAAGTTCTGATCAAGAAGTAATTAAAGTCCATCATAATAGTCAGAGCTGTCAAGGTATAGTCCGCATTAGTGTAACCTTGCCACTTCAAGTCTTTGATCGAGTCCCTTTATCGCTGCACGCTCCAATCAAGCGATCGTCACAACCTAGTGCTTACATCTTACCAAAACAGACATCCACTTCCCTCAAGCCTCTAGATTAACTCTCCACACGATAGAAAATATGATAGGGTTCATTTCACTTTGACACTGCCAATGCAATCTTCCTGGCAGTGTTACATTCGGGTTTGGTCCAAAGCGTTCGTATCGGCCAATAGTGTTTCCCTGTCAGGTACAAATTAAGCCATGTTTCACTCCGCATCACATCTAACTTAAAAGCCATGTGAGTGATCTTGAAGTAAAAAGTCACCCTGAGCACACACCGTAGATCAGAATCAAACTCAGCTTTGTTTGATTTTTAGCTTAGGGCCACCAAACATTTGTTTTTGTGGGGGTGGAGCACTCGGCTTCCCCGTTGTGTGGTCTAGTGATTATGTAATGTGTATCAGGCGACCATTGACCCCCTATAATTAGAATTTCGGTCTGCTTACTCCGTTAAAAGTGGCTTATCAGGCCCGGAGTTGAGTATTCTGCGCTCGAGCACATCTGGGCATCAACTTAGACTTTTTGGAGACCCTGAGGATGCCTTATTGGCTAGGATCAGGCCTTTGAATACCTGGCAGCGAAATATTATGATGATACTTTAATACTCCTTCTCCCCGCCTCTTCGGCTTCTTTTTGAAAATATTCCTCTGACTGAGTTAGCTTAGACATTCTTCAACATGGCCACTGAAGATATAGCCATTGGAACTGCCGGCAACCCGGAGGTAGCTCAGAATGTTACTCATGATGCCGATTACCAAGAAGCAAGCACAGTTCCTGATCTTCCTTCCGGCTGGAAGTATAGACAAGTTCGGATATTTGGAATGAGACTTCCATGGTACGCATCGCCTAAAACTCAACTACTATTTGTCTCGTTCGTTTGCTTTATGTGTCCTGGCATGTTTAACGCATTGAACGGGATGGGAGGTGGTGGACGGACAGATGCGACATTGGCAGACAATATGGTGGGTGAATACACGACTAATCCTTATGTGTATTTCAAGTTGAAGAACTTCAATACACATTTCTATGGATCAATTGATTCACATAACCATCATCGAGAACATCGTCTAACCTTGGAACTACAATTGATTTAGAACACCGCCTTGTATAGTGCATTCGCCGTCTTCGGTATCTTCGGTGGTACATTCGTCAATAAGCTCGGAGTGAAATGGACACTCGCCTTCGGAGGAATAGGATACTGCATCTACGCAATTAGTCTCCTCGTCTCTCTCCACGCCAGCGTAAGCGGCTTCAATCTCTTCGCCGGTGCCTTCCTCGGAATCTGCGCTGGACTCCTCTGGACCGCCCAGGGAACTATCATGATCTCCTATCCATCCGAAGAAGAGAAAGGGAAGTACTTTGCTTGGTTCTGGGGAATTTTCAATATGGGCGCGGTGATCGGTAGTTTGGTAAAATATTCATCCGTAATGAGTCTTCGCATTAATCCTAACAATGGCCATTACACAGATCCCTCTAGGTCAAAACATTAATGTGACAACCAACGCCACCGTCTCAGATGGTACCTACATTGGTTTTATCGTCCTCATGGCTTTTGGTGCTGTTCTCGCCGTCTGCCTTTGCAATGCAAACGACATCGTTCGACCCGATGGATCTCGCGTTATCCTAATGAAGAACCCAAGTTGGCAATCTGAACTCAAGGGATTATGGGAAACACTACGCTTCGAGCCATTTGTTGTCCTTCTTTTCCCGATGTTCTTCTCCTCAAACTGGTTCTACGTCTACCAGCAGAACGCTGTCAATAGCGCCCACTTCACAACTCGTACCAAAGCATTGAATGGTCTTCTCTACTGGCTTGCGCAAATCGTCGCAGCAGGTATCTGGGGAAATTTACTCGATATGACGCGCCTGCGACGCTCCGTTCGTGCAAAGATTAACTGGGGTGTACTTGTTGTGCTTACGTTTGCCATTTATGGTGGTGGATATGCGTACGAGAAAACCTATACACGAGCATCCGTGAAAGCAGTGGGATTCGAGGCAACGGACTGGACTTCGAGTGGATATGTGGGGCCGATGTTTTTGTATATCTTCTATGGGTTTTATGATGCGGCTTGGCAGGCTAGTATCTACTGGTGAGTTACTATTTCTTAGGCTCCTATTCTGTGGTGAGACTGGTTGAAGCTAATCGTGGTACTCTTTCTTGATAGGTTCATGGGAGCTCTCTCGAACTCAGGACGACGGTCTGCAAACTATGTTGGATTTTATAAGGGAATCCAGTCTGTTGGAGCTGCGGTCAGCAATAATCTTGACGCGCGGTCGCTTTCATATAAGAAAGAGTTCATCAGTAACTGGGTTCTTCTGGCTGGATCTTTGATTTTCGCGGCTCCTGTTATCTTTATGAAGATTAGAGATCATGTTGCCGTGGAGGATGATCTTGCTGGGACGGATGAGACGATTGCTGATGTCTTACCGGCCGATCACCCTGAGAAACTGGGAGCATGATCCGCGTCTCTTCGAATTTAGCAAAGCATGGAATCTGGGATTAGAGATGAGTTTATGAATATTAAACATACATAATATCCACTTTGAGCATTTAAATAAATGCACACTGGCATTTGGAAGTTTGCTAAAGACCTTCGGAGGTTTTAAATTCGTCTAATTCAGATCGAGATACGATTGATTAGTACTACTAGGTAGTAGGTATGTCTGAGCGTCAAATTCATAACTTGAAGCTATCTATAGCCCTGTAGGTCTAAAAAGGGTGCTGACGAGCCTCAGGCCTCGGGAATTCACCTTGGCATGTGTGGTCTACTAGTAATAACTCGGAAACATTGCGATAGCATGTTAGCTTACTACTAGTACTATCAAACACCCTCTCATTGCATGTAAATCAGCCTGATTTAGCCCTATTGGAAGGCTTCGTCGGTAAACACTGCGAGTTGTGGGAAAGTTTGGAGAGGTGTGGACCTTGTGGTCGAAGATCTATGAGTACATGCACATGTGTGGTCCGAACTACGCGTTCATGGGACCAACATTAGCAAGTCCCCGTTCAAATGTAATTGGGATCTACATCCTCGCATCTCAAATTACGTCCAGGTTCAGGTCAAGCCTAAGACCCAATCTAACTGACCAACTGTTTCCAGGTACTCCAAGTACTAGCACACGCTAGCTGGTGATTCTTTGTCTCCAACCCCACCTATGCATTTGGCCCCAACACCATAGATACTCGATTTATCTGGAGTTCTCGAAATCGGAATGCCCACCCTCTTCTTGAACTCCCATCCCGTTAATCCCTGTCAACGTGAAGCCTTCTCCAAATGTGGAGCTGATAATGACATGCGATTCATATCTACCGGGCCAGCCTTGGAGAGAACCTACGCGTGTGCTTACTGCATATGAGTCCACGGGTGAATACATAGCCCTGGAGCTATTTCAACCGGAGTATTTCGTGCACATACTGCCAATATTTGGCACCAGTTGACCTTATTACGGCATTTGTGACCTCTAGAGGATGGAGTCCCAGCAACGCATGAAAGTAGAAGTAGCGTGTGGAGCAATTGATGGATGTAACTTGGATTCGAAATTTGAATTATTAGCTGCAGTCCAAAATCCACCATTGAATACTCACCCTCGAATGGGGATTCTCTCCTTCGAATGTGGGATCTTTTTTAAATCTCCAGGGCTGAATGTACCTGGGCAGCTTGTGGGCCTCTTTTGATCTCCACTTTAGATGACGTTTCCTCTGAGCTCTTGTCGACTTTGGAATCAATGATCGTTGATCTTTCTCTCTAGTTGTGGAGAGTACCTCTAATCCCTGACCACTCCAGGCCTGAATCAAGCTACATAAATGCCCAGGCGCCCACCTGGGCATGTGCATTTTGTTTCATTCAGACAGCTCTTAAATTCATTTTTTATCTTCTTGAAATCTTGTTTTCATATTATACTGAACTTGGTATCTTTTACTAAGAATCACTCACTCTTCGGACGATCCCATTGTTTTTGTCGCTCATCTCTGCGCTTCAAAATGGCTGACAACTATGTTTTCACTCGAGACTACCTCGACAACGACCGGTATGGGAACCCATACCCTTATAACAATAAGTATGATATGACCTATGAGAATTACTTGAGCTGACAACATTATCACTGACAGGATGAATCTTCATCATTATCTTCTGCGGGAGATGCATGGGTACCTAGTTCACCCTTCTATCCCTACAGACAACCCCAATCTGAGAGTTGCCGATGTTGGAACAGGAACCGGGTAATATGGTCCAGCATTGATATTTTTATTTCGAATATCTCATGTTATATTATGCTGATTTTGACCCGCACGCACAGTATCTGGCTTACAGATTTGGCTCGCCAGCTCCCTTCCACCGTCTCCCTCGATGGATTGGATATTTCATCTGAGGCTGCTCCACCCAAGGAATGGCTACCAAAAAACATGACTCTCCGGAGGTTTGACCTTATGTCCGAGGTTCCTGAGGATCTGACTGGAGTCTACGACATTGTCCATATTCGACTATTTGCCTTTGTCCTCAAAAATGACCATATGAAGACAGCAATGGATAATCTACTGAAGCTGTTGAGTAAGTAACACTTTTGGAATATCACCCATGATTTGACCAATATGCTAATTGAGTGTGATGCACAAAGAACCAGGTAATTACATTCAATGGTCTGAGCCAGATATCCTATCTTGGCGCGTTAGAACAACCACCCCGGATAAGAAAACAGAAGCTCTGACAAACTTGATGACTATTAGTCAACCAAGGGATGAGCGCTTAAAGCCAACTTGGATTGCAAGACTTACAGATGATTTCCGTGAGCACGGTCTAAGCTCCATTGATGCTGATTTTAAAGATCCATCGCTCGAAATTATTATGCCTCTTCACGAGTGTAACCTGTTGATCCATGAATTTCTGGCTCGCAAGGCACAGAGTACTGAGTGGGCGGAGTGGATTAAGAAGATTCTTCCAGAGGTTCTTCGTGAGACGAGAGAGGGAGCAGCCTGGGATTTCACTCGTGTTGTAGTGGTTGGTCAAAAACCACTTTGAATGAGCATTGACTAATAGAAGGGTATTACTGTCCGCCAGATTCGCTGTTATCTGGAGTCACATCCAAATGTCAAATGTCAAATTCTTGTATAAATTGTGAAACTAGTAAAAGGGTCCAAGGTTTGTTCTGGGCATGCATGTGTGAAATCAATATCCCGAGCCCTCATACTTTCAAGTTCTTCTTGGACCGCCAAAGCCTCTTCCAACTTCAAATGCTGAACTTGAAGCTTGAGGTTATCTTCCATTCATACCTATGAACTTGTTGCTTAATACTACATACCTAGTATCTTTAACTTCCGAGGTCTACGTGAGAACTTGAATGGATGCTATGCCCGGTACTACTGATAGTGCCTAACCACTAGCAGTAATATTGAGTATAACTACTAGTATCTACATAATTAGATATGAGGCGAACTTGAAGGTCATCGAAAAATGTGCATATATTGCAAAGTATGGTTTGTAAATCTCCCTAGGGGTATATATATAGTCGTACAGCTTTTCAAAAAGCAAAAAAAAAGCCCGTAAATCATGGCGCAATAGCGCGAGAGTGCAGGATGATGTGAGGTTAAATGCGGGAAAGTAGATTGCGCAAAGCTTGCAAATCATTATGCATCACCAATTTATGCCAGGGCGAAAATAGCCACACCAAATGCCACCACAGAAGACAAGATGGTAGGCATCATGGTGAAGCTAGCATCCGAGGATGCCATCAAGTCAGCTGGAGCGTAGGCGACGGGATCAGTGGCGTTGGTGGTTCCGTTCCAGCAGTAGTTTGTGAAGCACTGGTCACAGATATCAGGGAGATCGGTACCGGTGCGCTCAAAAGAACGGCTCAGAATGGCACAGCCAACACAGGCAGTAAAGTTACCATCACGGGTACCGTTACCCATGGTGACGACCTCGTAGGCGTTTGTGATGATGTTGTCACGCTGCCAATCCTCGTAGGTCATCTGGTATGTCGATGTGTTGGATTGAGAAGTGTAGGGGTAGTTGGGGAGGTACACGACGATAGGCGCAGGACCTGTAATGTTTGAGCTGTTGCAGCCGAAGAAGGTGGGTCGGGTGTTCAGGCCCAGGTTGACAAAGGTGTTCTGATCTGGGATGGCTGGGAATGCGGTGCCGTTTGCAATTCCACTGCTGTTCAAGCTGCGCTCGTAGGTAGCCACAAGAGAGGTTCCATTGGGCCAGTTATTGTCGGTATCCGCAGAGGCATCGTAGGCGAAGATGATGTCAACTGCGCGCTCGGGCTGGATGAGCGGGTGAAGGGGAACGTTCTCTCCATCCTCTCCACCATCGCAGATGTTCAGGGTTTCTTCGTTGGCAAAGGGCGAGGAATCTGGGTTGTATCCGTAGAATGGGTTGGGGTTGTACTCAGCGATATCCTTGTCGGTGCTGTCGATCGAATCAAAGAGATCCTTGAGAATATCTTCTGCCCAGGCGGTAATCGTCGAGGAGTTACTTCCCAGCTCCGTTATGACCTCGTTGAAGAGGGTAGCAGATGATCCAATGACGAAACCGGCATTATCATACCCACGAACACAGGTCCCATTGCTGGGGACTGAGCCGTTCTCAAAGTGAGAGCCAAGATATTCCAGGGGAGCAAATCCATAGACTGTAGGATCGAATGATCCAAATTCCCAAGGGTTGAACTCGAAGATAGTCGCGTTCAAGGATGCGAGAACTTGGCCTGGGTAACGGCTGTCGGTAACAACCAGTGGCATTGGGTAGTTACCATCCTTGAAGTCTTGGGTTTCAGCGATAGATGACCAGGTGTAGTCGATTCCACCTTCAGTGGCATTAAACATCTGAAAGGCCAGAGAACGACCCCTATATCAAAATAGTCAGCATTGATATGATATAAAATATCTCATCCTGGTTGAATTCCCAGTTACAATACAATGTAAAAGAGCATTTTACATACCAAACGTCAGTAATGGAGACATCGAAACCAGCGTCTCTCTTATCCTCAATTGCTTCAGCCAGGTTCTTATAATAGTCCGCAGAATCTAGCAGCTGGATACCACCAGTATCTGGGCCTTCGAAGACGTTGTTTCCAAGTTGCCAAACCTCCCCAGAAGAGTATGTCTGCAGATCCGCAACTGAAGTAAAGTTATTTATAAAGATGGAGCCAACCAACCAACTGCCACCACTCAGACCAGCAACATAGGTAGATGACTGCAGCAGTCCACCCAAGTGGCCGGTGGTAGTGGCATTTGTAACTCGACTATCATAAGCCTTGAGAGCACCGGCACCGTTGAGCATCGCACGGTACCCACCACCCGACACAGCAATGGCGATGTTGGGGATATTCGAAATGTTCGACGAGTGTTTATCAATGTACGAGCCGACATCGTATCCTCCGACGGAAACATGGTTGAAAAATTCTTTCATAGGCGTAAGGGTCTTGTTACGTCGGATCTCAAGCCATGAGGTCTCATTTGGCGAGAGCTTGGCAGCACTTCGAATCGATGGTTTGCTTGAAGGGCAGGTCACATTGGTTGGTGTGTATCCGTTAGGGGCATTGGGGAGAGCACGACGAATAACATCGGCCGCAAGCTGAGCACTGTCTCTTTCGAATTTGCTTTGTTCTGCGACTGCACCTGGAAATTTGAATAGAATGAATTAGCAATCTCACACTTGAATTGTTGAAGCAGTCTTGATACCGCTACCATAATGCCGCGGTGCATAGACTTCAAATGAAACAAAATGGAACACATCATATCACATACCAGGCAGAGCGGCTAGCCCAATGGCGCCAATCAGCGCTGAGACTTTCATGTTGAGTCTGCAACAACCTCACTTTCACAGGGTATAGAGAGAAAGAAAGTGATGCAACGATCAGCAGAAAGGGCAGCTAGGGGTGCCTAAATTTATTTATGCACCGGACGAGCCGGATGCTTAGCCCCGATATTGAGCTCTTGGTATGTTCATCCCTTAAATAGTGTATTAGCGTTCCCAGTGATGGACGAATCATAGTGAACCGAATGAGTGGGGGCTTAGACCCTAAGAACCTGGTGATGTCAAAGCCGGTGGATATTGAACCCTCCGAGGCTCTCCGTGACTCCGTGAGGCGGTGTACTCTATACTATTCGCTATGGCCCCCAAATGATACCCACTCGCAGTAATGGGTGATGATTTTTTTTATCCCATTTCAGCATCGTGTGATACCTCCTTTTGGCCCCTACAAGGCTGAAGTGATACAGAAGCCACGCTAGCCAGGGGTTTCTTTTTCAGATGTCACAGTGAAATGCTCGCATGGTTTCAAGAGAGGAGGAGAATTAGAGGGTCAGCTAATGGATTGGGCATTTTTGCGTGTTGACAAGGAGCTCAGCTGTGGCTGAAAGGATTTCAGGATCAAAAGAAATGCTTGAATAAGTATTACCTAAAAAGGTATTTGTATCTTGACAGTTTAGTGACCTGCAATGTGAGCTTTGTCTCCCCACCTAGCAATCAATTTGAAGAGAATATTATTTGTTTTTTTCTACTAGTTTTGGTTAGAATGTTATCGCGCTTTTTTTCGTAGAGTCTTACCTCTTAAATTGATCTCGCACTTCACTATGGAGTACTAACTATACAGTCCGCTAGTACCTATCCCTTGTCCTTGAATATTACAACGTGCCTTTCAATGTTCCCGATGTCATACAGAATCAAAATGAATCCCTGGGTGGCCTAGGACTTGGGATACTCCGTACAGAGTAGCAATCTCACGCTGCGGGTCAGTCACAGCCACAAATAATGCACTCAAGTGCTGGCATAAATTAGGCACCTAGGAAAACAAAACTTACCTTGGCAGTGGAAACCCCTTCTGGAGTAGTAATTCCCAATCAGGAGTGCCTCTCAGTCCCCCACATTCTATTCTGTGGCTCAAATGAGGATCTGGCGGATGTGGCGGAAGGAATCCTCCCTTCCTCAAATCCTCCAAGGTTCTGCCCCCCACATGTGCGAAGTTTCTATTTGCGCCCTAGCTTAGGATCATTACCCAAAACCTCGGCATCCACTAGGGGTGCCGAGGTGCCCATTGGTGGTCTCATCGCCTCCGAGGAGCCCCGGAGCCCCGGATTCCGCCTCTTACTCAGCGTAGTTATTTTACCTAGAACATCCATTTTGATAGCAGAATTGACAACAAACCAGATCAACATACAGCCTGGCGTGCTAATTAGAAATTTGTTGCCTATTTAAACACTGTTGAAGTTTGACACCTCGGCTTCCTTCCATCAGGGGATAAGTCCAGGCTATCTACTCCATAGTGGGCACTCGCAATCCTAGATTTTAGATACATACTATCCCTATGTGGTAACTCCGGGCCACCGTCTTCTAGTTTGATGCCAGTGCCTGAAAACATCAAGCTTAATAAAATAAAAATACTGTCATCATCCGATTGCGTTGCCAATGTCATTGATGTTGTCTACACAAACTTGGGTTAACACCTGCCCAGGTGACGGACTCGGAGTCCTGGAGTGCATGTAATTCTTGAGTTATAAGCCCTTTATAGTAATGGGCGGTATCCGCCTCAACTTGAATCACCGGAGTAGCTCATACCCGTGGACGGCGGCACAAAATTTACCTAGCCACCTGGGTAGCTTCCAGTGTTTGACAATTTCCAAGGTTCGAGTATTCAATGGATGTATTTTTTTTCTTTACCTATTTGGCCGATTTCTATGAAGCACTTGAGGTCATGAACGGCGTTTTCAAGGATCTAATCAGATCAGTTAGACATGGCATATTCCAACCAGTTGGCGCGTCTAGAATTTCGCTCAAGTGCTTATATCTCGATCCCCTCCAAAGCTTGAACAACATGAGCCCCATGATGTCAACTGGTAACATCGAACTGAATTTATGTGGAGAGCTTCAAATGTTTGGGGGTTTAATTTGAGTTTTGAGGTTATCTACTAGTAGTACTTAACCCTAACCTTGCAAGATGGAAATCCCCAGTTTCCAGATTTCCACGGTTTACACCTGCATCGATCAGTGCAGATAGCCCAGACGGTCTGAATTGAGGAAACCAACTCAAGACACTAGTACTCATAGCAGTGGAAGGCTCCTTATCTATTTCACACCCAGAAGTATCAACTGGTTCAAGTTACCAAGACTTCATGTCTCCCAATAATCAGTGAATCCAGATGTCTCAACGGGTAGAAGAGTCTGGTTCCATGTCTAGCACCTTAAGAGTGTGAAATGCTGCTACATAACTCATTGGGACAGGATCATGATGTGACCAGAGGCACAGTTTCGGCTGCAGATGCCAACACATCTCTGTGGGGCTACTTCTACTCGACCACAACAAACCAGCCAGTACCGTGTTTAGTTGATGGTCATGCATGTATACAGTACATGCAAGCTCGGAGACTACAGTGATTATTGGATCTTTTGTTTTATTTAGATGTGTGAGCCCCGATCTCCGCAACATTGATACAAGGAGGCTTACTAGGACTGTTATTTTTGCCCAGGTGTGTGCAATGATGGAGATTTCTGATGCAAACGACACAGAGAATGGATCAAAAATTCGCGGTTATTCACCCTTATTATCCTCTTCGTCATCTTCATTACGAAACAATGTGGGAGGCTATGTGAGATCCGACCCAAGGCCCAGAGCCCCGCCCATTATACCGTCTTTCGCGTCTCCACTGGCACGCAACCCACGATCAGTATCAAGCTTCGGGGCTTTAACAACACCACCAGCCACCGGAGGAGGAAAAAAATATCAGCCGCAGCAATTTTCAGGCCCTCGTCACCCCTCTTATCCGTACTCCTCGCCTTACTTCCCTTACCCATCCTATCCGCCTTACAGCCCCAATGCATATTACCAATGCCACTCACCATATCTAGCTTCAAGTTATCAGTATTACCCGACTTACTATCCACCGCTTCTCCCGTATGCCCCGGGCGCATTCAATACACCAGCACTAGACCCTCCTGGTTTGTCCGAAACAAAAATTCGGGAAAGCAAGGTTCAGGCCGTACCTTTGGCGCCCCCTAGCATTACACAAACCTGCGATCCTCTTCATCATCCTAGTTTCATAGATTGCAACAACGATGTCACCGATGAATTCGAGAGATCAAAAGCTACAGTCAACTGTCACATCAAAATCCCCCATCCTTCACTCGCAGCCCAAGATCAAGGAAAGGACAGTCTCCTGCTTCCCAACCCGAGGGTACAAACCCAGCCAACATTCAATTACGGAGAAGAGTTCATTTATCGAGAAGATTATGAGATCATCCAAACCAAGCTCATTCCAAATTCTGATCAAATAGCCTTGACTTTGCAAAGCTGATATTTGGTGGCGAAGGCAGTCTACCTGAGCCTCAAACACGGTGGATGTAAGCTAAAGGTTCTCGCCGACAGTATTCCCACTAATAAGGCACTTAACTAACTGGGATTTCTCTAAGCCACATTAAGAGCAGTTCTATGAGCCTCAAGGTTTTCCAAGGCTGTTCTCGAATAAGCTTCCAGCGGTTCTCTAACTACTTTAAATATTAGAACGAAGCACAAAGACTCAATAACCTTTCAGAGGCAACTCGGTTTCTGATATGGTCCGCTTTCAAGCGTCTTCACCTGAAGGAGAATAGCTTTATCCATGGGAAATACTTTGATTCGATGGCCATGAATTTCTTCCCAGAAAGTGATAGTTTCTTTGCTGAGGAGTCTGATAGGCGGTGCTCTGTTACCTTTTTTGCTTTTCCTTTCTTGGCTTTTTAATCTCTTGGTTTTTTTAATGGTTCTGATACATTTGCTCATCCCGTGAGAAGTCTTCTTCAATTTCAATACTCGTTTGAATCAACCACAAATCAGGATGAGCGCCAAACAGTTCTTGAGTCTGGTGAGTCAAATGATGCATTGCATGTACCACAAGCATGGATGCTCCTGATCAACGGAAGTAAGTTCTAAGTATCATGAATATATTGGAGAGGCTTGTTGATTGCTAATATCAGACAAGACGTTCTTCTGAGTATGAGCCCCACGGACTTGAAGGAGCTTCAAGGAGATTACCTTGTATTCGAAAAGGCCGAGAATCCTGGATTGGCTGCGGAGGCCGCTCAAGTTCGGGTTGTCGATCTTGACGGCAATGAGTGCTGCCTACCCAAGAAGCGGTGCCAGACATGGTTTGTAGGTGACATGACAGGATGTTTTCCCGATCAATTCAATTAAGCTTACTGACGCTGAGATATTAAAAGAATTTATTTACATGTTCGTAGGAGCTCTAGGACAAGAAAACTCCATGTCAATATCGCTATATGATGACGCCTGGAAAGAAAGCTACGAATTGCAATCGAACATGGAGCCAGTGTCAGAGAAGAACTGGTCTCAACTTACTAAAAGAACAAAGAATGAGGATGTTGTTATTCATATCCGACTTAAGAAAAAAGAACAATCTCTAGAATCTGAACCTCAGGCTGGCCAAGTACCAACACACATACCGCCTGCGCAACATATGTCACCAATATATTCCCCAATGTACCAGAAATCAAATGGCCAAGTTCCTCCTGAGCCACGGAAACAGGTGCAAAACAATGACTTGATACCCTCCCTGGGCTATATAATCTGTTTGGTCCTAACGGGCCGATTACTCCCTCTGAATGGGACCAAAAGGTTTTTCCTGGTTGCAAGATCGAGCTCAGGAGCAGATACCCGGCTCCACTGGAGCCTCCGATGCTTCAAATATCAGCCAGTCCATACCCAAATAAATTCTCGGCAGGGAGTGAGAGCTCAGCGGTAACTGTGGTCCCATGACCCGTCACTCCACATTCCTTGAGCGAGAAAACAACAAACGAAAAGGTTCAATTGGAGGCATTCTCACCACAGAAGCTGTCTGAAAGTCCAAAATCATTTCCCCTCAAATATCAGCCTGAGGCTACGGATGCTTAAGATTTCATAGAATCTGTGGATATGGATACATCGCAGCAAAGTCCAGATTCTGGTTTCGGTGCCAAAGCTTCCTTGAGACCCTAACGTCGATGGGACCGATAGCTTGACCAAGGAGCTTGAGTCAGAGGATATTGTCCTTTTGTGAAAAGATGATGACGAAAATATTGCCATGAAACTCTTGCGAAAGAATACCGATCTTCAGAGCTTCGTTGGGGATGCCACGGATGAGGATGATGACGACCATTCCTCAATTCCACCTCTCGACTCAATTCTACCAAAAGCCCCAACGCAGAAAATTGATATTGATATTGTTGACGATAAAAATGATCTTACGGAGATCAATCTTGAGTCCACAGCTGGCACAAACCAGTGGCAAGAAAGTGGAACACATCGAATCTTTCCATGTGTGGGAACTAGCACATAATCATCAGTAGGCTAACTACGTCCAGAAAGAAATCATTCTCTAATACAGCCAGCTCAGGAGGTCTCTGTCCAAGAGATAAACTCAAAATCGACGATAGACTTGACAGTCCCAACGAGAACCGAGTCCCTTGAGTCGATAGCCCGGACGGATCAAAGTTCGGATGTTAACGTCTGGGACTATATAGCTGATGATGATGATGATAACAACCTACAAGTATCCGCCGATGTTGGATCTTCATCCTTGAACATCCTGGACTATTTGGTTATTCCCCAGAGGGCGGGAAGTATTGATGGATTAAACCCCTTTTATTACCAGGACCGCGATGATGTTTGGACAATAGGTGTAATAAATAGATGGATTATCTTTCCTCATGACAATATCGACTGATACTATTGACTAATCGCATATTCCAGTCAACAACGAGCTTTCTAAGGGACAAATCCCCATCCGCAGACGGTATAGCTCCCAAAGCTACGGAAATACTTTCAAAGAGCCGAAAGTTCGCTTCATTCACCGGTCTCTCACCGGGAGGAATGGATGATACATTATCTTCTTCAAATAGCGATGGTCAACCAGAAAATAAATCATCACCTGATTCTAGCGAGGAAACAAAGCCTTGTCCTATCTTTGCCTGGGAATCCAATACGACGGTCGGGATACAGATTGATGTTTCTCACAGTCAGCCAGGGGTTCCTGATCGCTTCAAAGACATCGACAGCAAGATTCAGGCGCTGCTAGAGGACCAAGATGAGCTAGCTTTATGGTCCGTCAAGCATGCCGGGGAGCTAGCAGCAGTACAAGATGTTCCAGAATTCTCCAGAGTGCCACTGGAAGCGCTCATGGCGCGAGCCCAAGTCAAATTGATACAGTTGGATGAACATGGTGGGTTTTCGGAGGAAAGAGCAAAATGGGGATTAAAAAGCAGGTGATTTCAAAAATCCTCGGAGTTCTGAATGCATCTACCCCTCAGTATTATCAAGATAGCTGCTCATCTTGGGCAGTTGGGAGATTTTACGGTGCGGCAATGAGGATTGCAACTGAAGATGTCAGGCATTACGAACCTAATTAATTCTTCCTTATATTCGCTCCACGTATACTAACAAGAAGAGTAGTTCCCAGAACTTTACCTCAAAAACATCGAACAAGACCTATCATCCTTCCACCAGAAGTTGGAACAAATTCTAGCTGGTGTTTCAGGCGGGTCAGCTGAATCCCCTACCAAATGTTCAATACCCCTAGTACTAGTTGACATTTTCAGCTTGCTGCTGTTTTATGTTTTTGCTTGCACTCAGATTCGTGTTTTGGAATTCCCAGGATGGAACTCTCTTCGAGAGAGAGCATGAAGAATCCGAGGAGAACTTCGCGAGGTTCGATATCAGCTTATGAACACGATTAGTACCGGTGACTACAGCGAAGCTAAAGGTTTCAGACGTGTCGATGCTCAAGCAATGATCACCATGGTGATTGGGCGACTTGTGAGAATGCCAAGGGAATTGTCAACAGTGAAAGTCAATTTTCAACACAAACTTGATATTCTTCATGTCTACCGAAGGCAAATTGAGCATTTCGTAAGCTTGAGCTCCCTTTCCCAGAGTCATACATGAAGCTCACGTTTTGGAAGGAGTTTCAAGCGCGACACTTTCCAATTGCCGCCACATTTGATCAAATTCAGCAGCTGAGAAAAGAGCTTGGGATTATGGATGCCATTTTTGACCAGCAATTGCAATTTCTTGAGCAAATGGCACTAATGTGGGGCTTCTCTAAACAATCAAGAAGTCAACTTGCGCAGCAAAAGACTCATCAAGTCCAGCGATATCTGAGAGGGACGAAGCATGATCTAGCTGGACTTGATCAATTCGCCAAGAAAACCTCTATCGTGGTGAGCCTGCACATTCCTCGAGATCGTTTTTTGCTAATTACTTCAAATAGCTCCGGTCAATGATCGAGGTACGAAAATAATCCAACAGCAAAGCGATTACCATATTCACTACTGTGACTGTTGTGTTTCTACCACTATCATTTGTGACATCCTACCTGGGCATGAACAGTGTGGATATAAGAGATGGTACGTTCCACCAAAGCTTGTTTTGGATCATTGCTCTTCCCAGTCCAGCCAGTTTAATCTTCCTTTTGTGGTTCATTATAAAGTTCAGGCGGAGGATGAGGAGTTTTGGGTGCTCTTCTTGGCTAAGATCACCTCGAGGGCGATGCCTTCCCGCTCCTTACCATAGCCACTGTAGATAAATGAACTCTCCACAACTTACTAGAATAGCCTCTCAAAATCAGAATTTGTGTTAAATAGTAGACGGGAATGCCTACATGGGTTCACGGGTCACAGTGTAACTTGAAAGATTCTTCAAGTTCAACTCTTCAGTAGCATCGGCATCGGCAAGACACATTGTGGTATGAATTCAAGTTCCCAAGGTTGCATTCGAATCAATAACTTGAAACCCATGACTTAAACATAGACAACAATCAAGTATATAAATGCTCCTCAAGTAGCAGAACGAGTTTTTCGAGGAGAAGGAAAAAGAACTTTCAATGGTATGTTTTTCAAATGTTATGTTCTTCTTATCTATGTTAAGCTTTTAAAATCAGAACTAAGTTTGCTTCAACCTTGGGTATGATATCCCGTGACCTTGAAGAGGGTATAAGGTTTTGTTGAGGCTAGGAACAATCAATAGTAACCTTGGAATGATCTGATTGATGAAGATTTACCAGCCCAATGGGACTCAGATTCCATACTTTCTATGAATACCGGCCGGTTCTCGGCTATCCACTTTTGTAATCGGGTGTCAGATAGAGCAGCTGTCAAAATGGGTGCCACTCACGGTTCCAAGGTTCTTTAATTTGCTACATGTATTTCTAGGTTGTCCAATGACAACCCTGAAACAATGATACTCACATGTGCATGTGGATGCCACATGGGCATCGTGGTGTTACAATTGCCTGAATCAGCTCCTGCAGCTCCTGCAGTGCAAGGGTCCTTCTAGTAGAGATACCAATCGGTAATTTTGAAATCCTGCGATCCCTGCATTAGTGCGACCATCCCATATGGATTCCAGAGATTCCAGAAGTTTTGGTGGTGGCTAAACCTACCTAACCCTAGACAGTCCGTGCACAGGAATTGTCTTGGCAGCGGAAATCCGAGCTGGATGGTTAGGACTCGAAGGTGGAAGAGACGGGAAAAGAGTAATCCGGAGAGTTTGGCCAAGCTCGTCTATTCATTGAAAGATAACGAGGTGAACGGGGAGTGGAGAAATCAGTAATCTGACTATTGCCAAGGCGGATTAAACATACTAACGCATGCTAAGAGATGCTAAGTTGAACAAAAATCCGCTGTCCACGAGTCCGCCAAGACCACTTGTACTATGATAAGCCCGGTCCAAGAGATTTAGTGGAGGCATCGGGATGACCGTGTGTTAATGCCCGTCGGAGTTCCCTTAAAACTCCTGTCGCCTCCTTAACTCTATACTCTTCTCAAAAGTTTATTCTTCAAGTTACCATATACAGTCTCATTCTCCACTTGGGTAGCTACTCTGGCCAAATTAAATCTCCTGGAGAAGTATTTCCCTTTTAAAAAACTAAGCACATTATGGGGTTCCGAGTAAAACTAGGTTAAGCTTGTTTTCTATCTCTGTGGGTCTCGGCATAATAAACCTCCAGGGCATCTTGCCATGGTTATATTATAAGGGCCTAGGTTGCATACACTATCCCTAATCTGAGATAGATCGTGAATGATTATTGGTGGTAATCAGCCTTATCTGCACCATTTGCCGAGAAGTTACGGAAATTCCCCCCTAATTTGGTTTAGTCTCATTAGCTGCATGGATGGCGTGATAAGTCTGTATGTAGTCTGGGGTAATAAAATTAACTAAGAAAAAAAAGAGAATTTGTACCATCCAAAAGAGAAAGAGTAGTAAGAGGGGACCTCAAAGGAGCCTTGGCAAGACACTAAGTACAGAGTAGCTGAATATACAGATGAAGGATACGCCAATGAGAAATTTCTTTTAGTCTATGGAAATCCTCTGGCATGGTTCACCTGGGCAGTATTTAAGGGTGGAATCTCCTACCTAGTAGTCTTGTCCTTCTTTCCTTCTTTCCTTCTTAGTCTGCGGATCACCTTCCCTCTTCATCTCTCCTCTTCCCCAGTTGATCTCTCTCAGCTTGGCAAGATGGCTACCTCGGAGATTGAACAGTTCTCAGAGATCCAAGTCTCCTCTTTGACTGAGAAGAATATCATCACCACAGATAGCGATGAGGTGGTGGACCCTCATAAGCCGGAGAAAAGCCTCGTCTCGGATTCATACCTTTGGCAACTTGGCGATGAAGAACCTGCCGAAGGTGAATTGCATGGTCCCAATGCGCTGCGTCGTGTATCAGCCCCCATCCCATGGGCTGTGTACACGGTCGCCTTCGTCGAACTGTGCGAGCGATTCTCTTACTATGGAACTCAAGTTTTGTGTACGTTCAGGCAAAATCCCTGAAGTTTGTGTGACACTGATTCTAACCTGATGATATAACCGCAGATTCGAACTTCGTGAACCATTCCCTCCCTCAGATCAATGGCCCTGCCGGTTCGAATCACTACACTGGTGCTGGTGGTGGGTCCTCTCAGGGTGTCTCTGGAGCTCTGGGTAAAGGTGTGGAGACTGCAAACGGAGTCAACACATTCAATACCTTCTGGTGCTATTGTGTGCCACTCTTCAGCGCTTGGCTGGCCGATGAGCACTGGGGCCGATACAAGACTATCTGCTGGTCTATTGCGGCTGCGATCCTGGGTCACATAATCCTGGTCATGTCGGCCATCCCCCCCAGTCATCACTAATACCAATGCTTGTTTTGGTGTCTTCATGCTTGGTGTCATTATTATGGGCCTGGGCACTGGTGGTTTCAAGCCAAATATCTCCGCGTTGGTCGTTGAACAAATCCCCGTGGTGAACTTGAAGGTGCGCACGCTGCCCTCTGGTGAGCGTGTGATCATTGATCCTACAATTACTCAGAGCCGAATTTACCACTACTTCTACCTCTTCATCAACATCGGCGCCCTCATCGGCCAGATTGGTATGGCCTACGCTGAGAAGTACGTCGGCTTCTGGTTGGCTTTCCTTCTCCCTACCATTATGTTCTTGACCACTCCCTTCGTGATGTGGTGGGGTCGCAAGCGTTACCGTCAAACTCCTCCTCAGGGCTCCGTGACTTCCAAGGCTATCCGAGCTTTCATGTTTGCTCTCCGTGACCGCTGGCATTGGAACCCAGTCAAACTGTGGAAGCGCACTCACGATGGCACCCTGTGGGAAGCGGCAAAGCCATCCAACATCCCACCCCACTTGCGCCCTGCATGGATGACCTTTGACGATGCCTGGGTGGATGAGGTGCGCCGTGGTTTTGCTGCATGTGCCGTCTTTTGCTGGTATCCGCTATACTGGCTGGCATACGGCCAGCTGACCAACAACCTGACCTCCCAAGCCAGTACCATGACTTTGCACGGTGTACCCAACGATGTCGTCAACAACTTGGATCCCTTTGCCCTGATCATCTGCATTCCTCTATGTGACGCCTTCCTGTATCCTGGACTCCGCAAAATGGGCTTCCAGTTTACTGCCATCAAGAAGATCTTTGTCGGTTTCATTTTTGCAGCTATTGCCATGATCTGGTCTGCTGCTGTGCAGTACTACATCTACAAGACATCCCCTTGTGGCTACAATGCTAACGATTGTTACACCGCTGATGGCGCTATCCGTGCGGCACCTCTCAGCGTCTGGATCCAGACCGGTGCTTACATTTTTATCGCTTTGTCGGAGATCTTCGCATCCATCACTTCTCTCGAGTATGCGTACTCCAAGGCTCCACGAAACATGCGTTCCCTGATTCAGGCTATCTCCCTTTTCACTAATGCCATCTCCGCCGCCATCGCTGAGGCTCTGAACCCACTGTCCAGTGATCCTCTGCTGATCTGGAACTACGGTGTCTTTGCTGTTTTGGCTGGTGTTGGTGGATTTGGATTCATTTGGCAATTCTGGAGCCTGGATAAGGAAGAAGATGAGCTGAACAACTTGCCTGAGGGCCATGTCATGGCAGATGAGAAAGCCGTTGTGGCTACTCTCGAAGCTGCTGAGATTGGTCCTGTTAAGGGATAAATGTTCGTTCTGAGATGGATGGTTCGTCATAGGAGTATTTCTCCCCTTTTTCGTTAACTTTTACTTTTTTTAACTTGGTCTTATGGGGTTCAAATGCTTTTTGTATGGATTTTTTTGGTCTAATGCTGCAAACCTGGGAAGGTCCGAGTCTGCAATACGCATGTATCGACACGACGACATGCTAGTAACGTCATTACGATTCCAATCGTTCAATTTATAATATTAGCCCATGCAGAGTGTGCACATGCACTGCTAGTGGGAATTTCAAGGAATGGTTTTATAATGAATGTTAAATTCTACTACGTCCACGGGTATCGATAAACACATAGGTACTATATTCCACATCTCCCCGAGCCGCTAATGGAACTCGGCACATGTGCATACTCAGTACTAGTACTTGAGGTGCTCCAACCATGGATTGACTATTATTTATTAACCTCAAGTGCTAATGGCATCGCTCATATTGTCTGATAGGACTTCAAGTTGACAGAAATTATCTTTCAAGGTTAGCATTATGATTGATTGATCATATAACTTCCGCATTGAAAATTAGGTTGACATTCAATTTTCTTGAGACGGAATATAAGGCGATAGTTTTAGCCTGATGACATCCATTGGCCGGATGGTGTAGTTGGTTATCACGTGTCGTTAACAGTCTTCTGACTCTTAATCCGACAAGGTCCTCGGATCGAGCCCGGGTCTGGTCATTTCTTTAGGTGCTGTCGTCCAGTTGGTTAAGACACTTCGTTGTGGTTGGAAACAACCTTCGAATAATAAAATTCGGGTTCATCCCGAAGAAACCCCGGTTCGAATCCGGGCAGCGCCATTTCTTTTTTGCTCTTTTTCTTTTGCTTCTAGATTTGAATCAAGGGTTTGAATTTTTGGTCTTGTGCGACATCATGAGGCGTATTGGGGTCTTGTCGAATTTGTCAACCTTGTAAAGGGAAAGGGGAGCAACATTCCATAACCAGTCAGGGGAACTGAGCATGCAAAAAAGGAGAGAGTACAGAAGGAACATAATGCAGACATCTTCTACGCCTAGTCGGGTGGGTGAGCCAAATATTTGATCATCCGAATCGTCCTGGGCTGCTTCTTTGTTCCGTCTTTCCCCTCATCTTCTTCCCTTTCTCGCGAGTTATTTTCCTTACTGGGTGGGTCACATATTTTAGAAGTGGCAGTGTGCAAAACGCGACATGAAAATACAAACCAAGTTGAAAAGCATCACAAACTTCAAAATAGCATTTAATCTGGCAATCTAGAAACAATCTCCCTTTCCAAGCAATCAATCAACAATTTCCCTCTTTCATCTGTTCGTCCGAGACGGCCAAAATGGTCTCTCTCCCTTCATTGCAAGCCATTCAAAGTACTCCCAGATGGCTGCTCTTGAACCCCCCATCCCCATTCCCATGCAACAGCCAATCAGTCAATACTCAGTGCGACCCCTTTTCGTCCAATCACACGTCCGTTGTATGAAGCAATGAACTCTAGCAGCCCGTTCTCTTGATCCAGAGACACTTGAATGGAGATTATCAAACCGTAGTCAGTGTACCCATTGTGAGTGGACAACTGAGAGTTGGAAATATTCGTATGTCGAAAATCACACTGGATGTTGTCCACAAAGTTGATCTCGGGGGTCTGGTCTGTTGAGGTCACGTAAGTAGTGGTCCAGTAGGTAGCTGTTGAGGAGTCTCCAGAAGCATCAACCGTACCTCCGACAGAATCAGGTAAAGTGTCTAAAGCACACTCGTAAATCCTGATCATTTTGATCAATGAATCCGATGAGACATGGAGAATTTGAATCTCTTGAGGGACCTTGTAAGGTGACCTGTATTTCACGTCCTTTTTGTTGTTAAATTGAGAGGCAAATGTCAGTTCTTTCAGCAAATACTCTGAAATGGAACCAAGGAGACACTTACTTTCTGGAGTACCCAGCGGAAATAATGAAATGGTGGAGGAATATTGGGCTGTAACTAATTGCTTGAAACAGGAGACAATGGAAGAACTGCCAAGCCATAATGTCGCCGACACTTTTCAGAATAAGGCATTGCTGATGCTTGCCCATAGAATTCTTCAATGCCTGCCAAAACAGCTCCCTTGGCTACAAGCAAATCCCTTAAGGAGAAGGTAGATTTCAACGTAATGAAAGAGAGAGAGAGAGAGAGAGAGAGAGAGAGAGATGAGGGGGGTCAAATCAGGAAGCCACAGCAACGTACGGATCGCGCTGAATGAAGGTAGGTGTAATTTGGTAGCTCTGTTGGAAATTTCTTGTCATCCATAGTTGCAGATACGGTGATTGGCTAAACCCGCTAATAAAGACGATGCGCTTGAATGGGATAGTGTCAGCTTTGCTCTCACGGAGAAGAGAATAAAAGAGAGGCAAGATTACATTGATCATCTGTTGATTAGACTTCGCCGTAACACGTCTCATCTGCGTTTGAATCATCTCGAAAATTTGGCGAAGAATAGGATCATAAAGATCCCGTATTATGTGTGAGTCAACCTAAATGTTTGGTGCCGTATTCTGAGCTGACTTTGAATGGAAAGGCATCTGGAGGCAAGATGTATTCCTCGTCCCCAGAGCCTGAAAAGCTAGCCTTGAGGTCTTCAAATGATCTCAAGAGTGCACGCATTTCAACGCTAGAACCAAATGGAAGGAACCAGGATTCTCTTTGTGAACGATCGCGAAGATGATCACAAAGTCTGCAGTCAATGGCTGCTCCACCGCACTTGCCACCTGATCTTGTAAGCTTCCATGAAAGCACAAAGAGAGAAAAAAAGAAAATCGATAGAAAGATAATATTGCCATACCTTTTGGGCTGCCGATTCTCTTTGTTACCTGGGGGGAAAGTTCTTTGATCAGATAGGAAACAGTATCCTAATCCCGCTGTTAGTGAATTTTTCAGAAAGCATAGAAAGCATTACTGTAGATCTTAAAAAAATTTCAAGATGAAACTGAAAGACTCACCACAGTACCACCACCACAGTCACATAGTAGTACTCTATCGCCGACGCTGAACTGAGGAAAAAGATGAGCTCTTGTCATGATAATGATTTGGATGATGTTCAGTCTTACCTGGAGGCTGATGATGTCTTCAAGTTTGTTTGATATCACATACTGAGCAGCCACTTTGGGCTCTGACCTCAGCTTGAATTTATGCAAGTCAGAATAGCCAAAGCCCGCAGCTTCAATTGCATTGCGCATGGCATTATGGGTTTCACTAGGCCAGTACGCTGGGAAAGTAAAATAAAAGTACACAGATCCTTGATAGTAGGGTTGAGTCCCAAATTCTTGCTGTAAAGTTGCCTCCACATGTATTTGAAGTTGAAATAAAAATCTGGTCATAATTGCCTTTGGAGTAAACTGATTTGTTGAGTTCAAAAAATTCGACCCAAGCAGAGTTCTTAGGGTTTTGTCATAAAATCCGTAGCGCTGCCATTCTTCATCTAATGTTAGTTTGAACCAAACATGCGCATCTTTTTCTGGAGGGACACCAAAGGCCCAGGAAGTTGGCTGGCCCCCTTGAGGCCCAAAGGCAACAATAGATGGACATCTTGGAGTTAGCAGATGTGAGTGGGGCCATTCATAGATCAGGTCGATCTTGCCATGTCCTTGGTTGTTGACTTGACAGAACGCGACCTCTGGAATAGAATGAGTCAAAAGGGAAGCCAAAATATTTGAGAAAAGAGAATAGAAAAAGTACCCGTGGTAGTTGTTCCAACATCAATGCCCACAATGATCCTTCCCTCTTCTATTTCCATTTTGGTTGGAAATGGATACTCTGGGATGCTCAAAGTCGAAATTTCTTGACTTTCTGAAAGGTACAGACTGCAGGTGAGGGGGAGGGATTCCAAGGTTTTAATAAGATTTCCAAGGTTGAAACTGAAGATCTCATTACCAGGCAGAGGAATGAAATACAACTTTGGAATGAATAAAATGCAATGAAACACGGGAAAGGAGCTCCTTCCTAGCTTGGTAGGTATAGCAAAAATGTATTGATATAAACCCTGCAAGCTGCACATGTGAGAGAATATTTTCAGTCTCATGGTGGACTACATCATATTTCTAACAGGCCATATGACGGGAATCTACAGCTTAAAGGATTACTAGTACATGCGCCCGCGTGAGACAACAAATTGAATGGTCCCTCCTCTCGGAAAATGAGCCATCAAACATTTGAATCAGCCTTGACCGCTAGTCTATTATTACCAGCCTTGGAATTTTGTGAGGATAAGTACATGGATCATCTGGGGGGGGGGAGAGGCATTGAGAGCGCCAGGAATGCATCCACCCAGCAAGTACTTCCAATGTTGATCATTACAATTGGGACGGTCAATGTCCATATTTCAATTTAAATCAAAACGTCATGCTAGCAATATACGGTCCAGATCTTGGTTTTCTGGTCTATTCTGATTTCTGATACATGTATCGGGTGGCCTCGACTCGGAGCCTTGGAAAATGATATTGCCATTTCAATATCGACTGAACTTGTTTCGGCCACTTCGGCCCCGGATGCTCACATCTGCTGAAATTCTTCCAGTAACCGGGGGATATCAATTTGCACTAACATAGTAAACGGCTCAGCTATTACCTAGGTACTAGTACAGCAAGGGATCGGCAACATCCATGTCTTAGCGCAACTTGAAGAAAAAAAAATGTATGCGATATTTTTAGGATAAGAAATTTCTTTTTTCAAAACGGCCGGAATCTTTGACTGTCCTAAAGCCGATCAAGTTTTTCAAGTGACTTTCATGATTAAGGCGGCTTTCATCAAACGGTTTCAACCTTGGAAAGAGACAGAGACTCTCGGAACTGGGTAATTGCCCAGGTTGCATTACTGGAGCTTAAATTCTTTCAAATTTCCATCTTTCTTTCCTTCCATCAACTTTTCATCAATTCGACTGAATAGAAATTTGAACTGTCTAAATAAATCTGCCATGCCTACCAAAAAGGGAAAAAAAGAAATCTCAGGTGAGCCATGCCTACAGGGCTCTGACTTATCTCATATTTGAGTTCAAAAATACTAATTTGAACCCGAGGTTGAACCTGAGGCATCTGACCAGGAGAATCTTCCAGCCACTGAGCCTCCTCCAAAGAAAGTGAGAAAGACAAGCGAACCTCCAGATGTCGATCTGAATTCCTATGCCTTGTCCGAGCAAAGCAGAAATACTGATGACTACCAATCCGAATATTCGGTATCATTCGGACGAGTGCCAGTGCCGATTGCCGATCAGCACGCCTTTTTTGAGCGAATACATCTTCATGGACTTCAGCGTGAGGACCTTATGAGAGAAAGTTGTTCTGTTCTAAATGGAGGCGCAGCCGGATGGGTGAGAGCAGACCACGCTCAATCGAGGTTCAGTTCCAATCAAATGGTTCTAACCTGGGCACGATGCTGGTGTTTCCCCAAACTTGAAGCTTTATCCCATATAACGGAGGACCAAAAGAACGCCATAATGCAGAGACTAGAGCATTGCTGTTTCGAGTCAACCTGGGATGGTCTTTTGGCACGTCTCACTCCTTTGCAAGCAGAGAAGATTGCCAGCGTTATCATGGAATGTTTTTTGTGGAATGCAGTCGTTTCCCTATACGAAGAAAACCAATTTTGGTTTATTGACGGAGGTTTCAGCCCGGAAGATGATCAAGGACAAGAGAGCTTTACTCGTGGTCTCAACCACCTTTATGAGAGATTTTATTCGAGTATGCAGATAATCCTTTTTGTCCATTTAGTAACTGGTCAGACTAACCATTCTGACAGCCAATCCAATCGAAGCTGCCTACTGGAGATCTGAGACCTGGCAACTCGCAATTCCATGTAGCTGGGCCCAAGCTAGTGATCGCACGCTTGGTGAGAAACACAAACACCGTCGAGAGGAGCACTATAAATCTATGGTGGAAAAATTTCTTTCTGACGAGCTTGTCCAAGCACTGCTAGACCATCAATCAAAGAAACCTCTGAAAACCAACGACAAAAAGAGCTTTTGAAATCATTCATCGTCATCGATGAATTTCTGACCCAAGATATATTCATTCATCGTGGACATGTACAATTCAGGTGGAAACGTGGAGTTCCCGAACGATTTCACTCGCGTGACCAATTCCAGGAAGCGCATTATCTCCATGGCTGGATTCATGACTTCCAAGAAGGTCAGCATGATGGCTACCCAGTCATCCTGGTTGTTATCCCTGAGATTGTTGTCACATGGAATGGGATATGGAAGAGCACATTTAAAGAACTTACCTACTGCGAATCCCTTGTGCTGCTAGAAGATACTAATGCTCATGAAATGTCTACACTGGTCGACCCCTCGGGTGACTACCATAAGCTCGTTGATGAACTTAACGATGTTTAATCTTGTTGCAGTCGTCTTTTTACTCTTGTTACATGTGCCTACTGTTACTTGCTTCACATGCTCATGCCCATTTTCATTTTGCTCATTTTGCTCATTTTCAATTCTTGATCTAAGTCATTCTTTGAGATCGTGTTAGTCATCATAAGAAAATCAGAACTAGAATACAACTTTGCGTTCAACTTTGCGTTCAAATTTGCCAAATTATACATACTAGTATGAGGCCTTCTTACGGAAACCAGAGCTTCCCCTTCTATTCCCAATCGTAGAAAAAGAAAGAAAAGAAAATTGAAAAGAATTGGGGCATTTGAGTGAGACTGACATTAGGATTAATCCTAGCTGCCACATGTGCAGTGACCTTGCACCGTGTAGATGGAGACCATTCCCCACTATAATTTCCAAGCCTTTCGTGGATCATGTCCCCAATTCAATGTTCTTAAGTGATTTCCTTCTACTCTTGTGCTAAACGCCTTTTGTTGTACGGCACAAAGCGGAGCATATGCTCAATATCCGCTTCTCTGTACTGAGCTGGATTCCTTTTTCAGATTATGAGATAAAATGTCAACTATGCTCCGTCCACCGAATAATGAATCAGTCCTATCACCACACTCAGAGCCAGATCCACCTTGGCTTCCAATACTAGATGCTGATGGGAAATGCCTTTCATGTCCAACTGTTTCGCCTGACTCATCTTGCCATCCAGAATCTTCAGATTGCTCTTGCATGTGTTTAAGCCAGTCTTTGAGCTTGTCAGCTGTCATGTTGACAATCTGATTCAATTTTCGGAATCTAATTAGTTGATTGTTCATAAATGCTCAAATCTTACTTCATGGCTGTCTCAACACCCTTGACCATTGTGACTTCAAATGTTCGGCTAAGGGTTCTGAATATCGAAGTGACTGAGTGATAATTATCCAAAGACTCGAATTTTCAGACAAATATAACCAAATTCCAGGCGGGTTCCGTATATATGCCAAACTCAGACTTGGAACTTGAAGACTCTAAGAGCATCAATACTATACTTGACGTCATGAAATCCTTGGTGGAACCGTGGTTCCCTTGCACTGGAATCGGATTATTCCAGCTTACACGGGCCCCTAAAACTGTTCATCAAACTGCTTTGGCTACGGATAATTCCTTGTATCCGAATGTTGAATGACAAACTTCAAGTTCCAGGTTGCTTTTAGCCAACTTCAGAACATCATGATTCCTGAGGGTCCTATGAGATATCACTAAAAATGCTAGCATTTGGAGAGAGAACATGCGTATATGACAACTTGAATAATTTTCCGCTTCTTATCACCTTTCACTGTCTTATACTAAAAGTTTCAAGTCGTTTTTATGTGTGATTTCAACTTGAACAGGAACAGTAGCGCTAGGAACGTTTTAGGTAGCACCCAGAAGTGACTAGATATCTACTATGTACACCTGGGCATACTAAGCGCTCCATATAGTATATGCTGACTACATAGACCCGTCTTCACCACAGGGCTCAGTTAAATCCCAGAATGAAAGTCGTAAGTACTACTGAGAGCATTCGATATTGTCAATTTATGTTTAACTGGGCAAGATTCTACTGGCTGAGCACCGAGAGGCATGGAAATGCGGCAATTCCACTAATATTTGAATCCCCGACATGACCCCGTATTATTCTTTTGCCAATTTCAGATATCTCCAGTTCAACCTACTACATCAGGATATCCCGTTAGTAGGAAAAAGCACAGGGAAGTCTACATAGTAGTCATGACTTCATCAGATCAAAACAGCCCAAAGCCATCAGTATCCGGTACTCTCCCCCTTAAAGCGTGAGCATATCAGAGACAAACACAAGGCATGTCATCTGCTGACCTCGGGACTCGAAGAATCAACAGTGCGTACAAATAACATGACACGCATACATCTTCTAGTCCACCCCTTACATACACGTAATCAGCCCCAATAACGGCCCCCGCCAAGCGACACCCATTAAAACAAGTGCATCAAATGAAAGGGCATCGTAACGTGAGAAGAGCATGATTGGCTACCCGGACCGGTTATTCAAACTCACACAAGATATACCAGAATAGTCCTGGACACTCAGGATGATAAGAGGGCCGAGCGAAGCTTGAACTGTATGATTGGGTGACAGGACTGTCTCCGCATCTTCCCCAGAATTCTGGGGCAGGGTTCTTTGGTAGTACCAGGCAATAAGAGCTTAGGACATGGTAGTGGAAGATGAACCTTGGTGCTGGGATTATGGATTTGTGGCAACTTGAAATATTATGTTCAATTTATCAAGGACAGGTTTGTTCTTCTTTCGCTAGGACTAGATCGACGTGAAGGTTACTGTGGCTGGCTTTGAATTTTACTTTCAACTTGGATGATTTTTTTCCCTTAGCGACTTGGCAAATGTAGTTAATTCTAATTTAATTTCTAATTCGATGTTGTTCATTGCGTTAGATTAAGTCGGTGAATACAACACCTAGATAGAATTTAAGTGTCTACATAGAGATTCTTGCATGCGAACACGTTTCCAGTGGATCCGAATAGGAAAGGATCGCAGGCTTGATGCCGGCAAATGACCATAAAAGTGGAGTCGATCTCCAGGGCTGACAGTGGACAAGTGGGTCTGATCATACCAGGATTATATGTATTAACTCGAGCGGTCGATTAGTCTAACATCATCATGACAGGATTCCGAGATAGAGACACATAAGACACTCGCTGATCATCGGAACACGTACGAGACAACAAATCAAAATCAGAATCAATTCAAAGCGCTTTGCTGATCCCATCCAAAAAAAGAAAATTATAAAAGCAAAATTTGACAACGCCATGCAATGAGGGACTCCTATACAAGGGTCACGCGTAGATGGATACAACTCATCATTCTCCCATTTTCCCCCATTATCTTTTTCCGTGCCGATTCCGGGATTCAGAAAAATTCTGAAAGAATGATATATTAAGTGATAAAAGTGTTTTACCACGCAGCGTGACCACCGTCCATGCGCAAGTCGCTACCAGTCATAAAGCTGCTAGCGTCACTCAGCAAGAAGACTGCGGCACCACGGTATTCCTCGGGGCGGGAGAGACGACCGAGCATGTTCTCCTTAGGCCACTGGTCGCGACGCTCAGGGAAGTCGATAAACAGCTTCTCAACCATAGCAGTAACAATGTAGCCAGGAGAGATGGTGTTAACACGAATGTTGTATTGACCCCACTCGGCGGCGAGGTTACGACCCAGTTGAATGACAGCTGCCTTGCTAGCATTGTAAGCGGGGCAAATCAGACCCTGTTAGAATCCATGTTAGTCTTACTGAATCTCCCCGCAGAAAAGCGACAATAAAAAAAACAGAAGGGGCAGGGATAGAATGCCAAGCGGGGTATATCAAGTCGGAAGAGCAGTGCCGGAGTGTGTGGGGCATTAAAGAAAGATTCAAGAATTCAAAGCCAAGAACAGGATATGGAGGGGTGGCAACGTACCCGATTGGCAATGGTACCACTCATAGAGGCGATCATGGCGATGCTACCACCGTTGCCAAAGCGAATCATTTGCTTGGCTACGGCCTGAGAAGTCATGAACACACCGGTGACATTGACCTCGAACATAGTGTTGCTGTCCTTGGCGGAGTACTCCAGAGCAGGGGTTTCCTGTTGGATACCAGCGGCGGCAACCAGACCGTCCATACGGCCTTCGGTATTGGCGATGTCCTCGATCACGCTGTTGAGCAACTCTGTGTCACGCACATCGATGCGGCGGTAGTGCAGTTCTGTTCCGAGTTCCTTGGCACGCTGTTGGATCTCAGCGAACTCGGAGGCCTAATTTTTTTGGATTTCATGTTAGAGAATGATATTCAGGTTCATAGATTGGGATAAAACGGGAACATACGGGTTCCTCCAGACGGTCAAGAGCGTAGACCTTCGCACCGGCTTCCAAGAGGGCCTCAGTTTGAGTCAAACCAAGACCGCGGCCAGCACCGGAGACCAGTACAACCTTGCCAGCAAGACTGAATTCAGGCATTCTGGCATTCTGACCCAGAAGAACAGGCTGGGAGGTCATAGGGGCGGTGGGAATTTCGGTGGTTTCAATGGAGACCGACATTGTGTATATAGTTGTGTGAGAGGGATGGATTAAATTAAGGAGTAAAAAGGGTATCAAGATGGTATACAAAGACCGAAAAGATGAGTGATTAAGATATTATCGAGAGTAGAGAAACAAATGAAGTGATGAAGTGATGAAGACGTTCAACCCACGGAATATCAGGCCCTTTAAATAATGAAGGAATCTCTAATATCGGCACCAGATCCGCCATAGATCCCGGGCGAAGAGGTCTCGTGAACATGAAGAAATTGACAGACTGAGACTAGCCATACTTCAAAGAAAATAAAAAATAAAATGAAATAAAAATCACTAAAGAGACTACTGGGGCTCGGTCCAGGCCGGGCCCATCCGGGGAATGGGAACTGGGGAATGCGTTGGCCCAGTCAAAACGGCCGTGGCGATATTGTACATAAAGTACCTTGGTACGGAGTACGGAGTACATGATCTCTATATTTTATTTCGTACTTTATTTGCCATCTGTTTTGATTATCCTTGTTCGCTAAGTAGTTGTAGTCTAGAAACCATGTTAATTCTACATCATAGGTCATGAGAAACGAAACAGACTTGCCACCAAAATCGCCCTCTTAAGCCAAGGACCCTCTCAAATCATGAATTTCCATGTTCGACGTACGGAGTATTGTTTTATTTTTATTTTATTGTTTCTCAAATATTTTCTTATTTTCTTATTTTCTTATTTTCTTATTATGTCCCCGGGGGGACTGGCATCCCGCGTACGTGTAAGTACATGTAGATCGGATGTCTGGTTTGGGAAAGCCGATCCCCCGCGCCACAGTGTTCAGGTGACCTCTACGGAGTAGAAAATCTTAGTCGATCTCTAATTTTAATCAATTTATATTTGTATATCCCTACGAAGAATATAATCATGGGATCATGTGGCCTCAAGTGCTTCTCCAATAGCTGCCGCCACCAACCCCCGTGGTTCCTGTCCCTGGATGTTGAGAAAGTCAATGGCTCATTCCGCGAATCTAGGTTTTTTTTTTCTGTACATGTACATCCATAGAGACATTCTCATGTTTGGATATCACAGTTATAAAAATAAATTCATTGATTGAATCATCTATATCACATAATTGAGATCAATTGTTCACAAAGATATACATCTACTTGAATCAAAGTGATCAGTAATTCACTATCAGAATAGCACATGTGCACCCCCACGCTCACAAAGACAAACTCCTAATCGGAGTCACCTACTAACTCAAATCAAAATCAGAATCAAAACTAGAACTACGGATAGAATGGTCCAGTTTAGAGCGGCGTTTATCAAGGCCGTGTGACCAACAAAAAAAAACACACTTACTCATTCGGGTGATTCCGAGAGACCCGTCAACACGATAGGGGGGGGGGAAAGCCACCACAAGCCCTGGAGCCCAATTCCTACTTTTCCCTGTTCTCATGAAAAAAAGACACTAAACAATAAACATCGGCATCCCTGATCTTCTAGAATTTTTCCATTGCGACAATCTTGGAATCCCCACCCCTTGGAAACCCACCAGTTTGGTCCGAATACGCACTAATAGTTCAGGCCTTTGTTTCTCCCGCAGGCTCAACGCACACACCGCTGACGAACCGATCCCAGGTCTAGACCCAACTAGATCTAGATCTAGAGTGGGTTGAAGTTCTTCTGTTGGTTGTTTATCTTCCGATTTTGCTGTTCATATAGTTCTACATACTTTCTGACTCGCGTATCTGGCTGCTTGTTGATCCTGTTCTCATCTCTTCGCCAACTAAGCTGTGGCCTGTGTGTTCTTCCAGCGTGCCGTCCTAAGCCATATGGAGTATTCCGTTCTCTGTTCTCCGTACTATTAATGGTCTCTGCCGTTCGGCCTGCCGAGCCTGGTTCCACATTCATACTCATCTCAAAGACATCCGCGTTATGCTTCTTCCGCTTTCCCCGGAGATAGCTAGTGCCTGGATGAGACTTTCAATTTTTCTTTCCTTTTTAGATACTGGATTTTATGACCTGACTCTATGTCCGCGTGACTGTCGATCTTTTCACTCCCCAGGCACAGAACTATTTTCACTATGTCGATGCCCGCTTAGCCCACGCTGTATACTCTATAGTAGCAGACGAAGTCCAGGCCTATGAACTACGCACTCTGACTAATAGCTTCAAATTGCTGCCCTAGGTACTAAAAACTTCAAGTTTGAATGCCAATAATAGACCTGCATGTTTTTTCTTTTATCATTTTGAATACATGTACTCCATAATTTCCTATGTACCCCAGACTCGGAAATAAATCTTGTAGCCGTCAAAACCCAGTACCAGTACTCCCAGGTACAACATTGCAAGTCATTTTCCAAGTATCCGCCGATTTTCGGAGAAAATATGAACATTGAAAGCATTTGAAATCGAACGACGGAGTACAGTAAAAGCAATTGACAAAACAATATGCAATGCCATTTTTCCGCGACAGGACCGCCAAGATGATATTGGATTTCAAGCGCGTGATCTGTTTTGCTTCTTTTCCAATTTTTGCATCATGATCTTAAGTTAGCATTAGCCGTTACCCACCATTGAAGCTCGGGATTCGGATTAGGACTGGGTACCAATACCGTGAGTTTGAGGGGAAAGAAGGCCCTCCTTTGTTAATTCCCCCAGATTCTACTAGTATTTCAAATATCCTCGAGTGATATCATGATCTAGGTGAATCCATCTCTTATAACCCATCAATTATTTCAAATCTTGGCCAAGCTTACATTACTACTAATATAGAGGATGTCATCTTCTAATATCCACGGACTCTCTCTACTCAGCCGCATAAGTTGAGATCTGCCAGGCCAACATTGGAACTCTCAGTCCAATTACATTGTGCCAGGTATCCCTTAGTCACCTATCACATACATAAGCAGCCATTACAGACCCATCAGCATCACATGGTGACCCTAAGCCGGTATTCTCGGTGGCCACCTAGCGGTAAAGCAACTAGTTGGCGCCTTTAACCATGTTACTGGTCTCTACCTACATGAAGGAGGCTATGTTCTTCGGAAACATCACAACTGGGACCTCTTCACACTGTATATAGGTGCAGATGAAGGACTAGTAAATGATGTCGAGTCTCGGAGAACATTTGAAGGAAAGCGAGAGCACTTGAGAGTATTTGGTCTATTTAATGGTGAAGCTCCACCTAACACCAGCAACATTTTGAATTTGGATCAATTAAAGTTGGGGTGAGTTTTAAGTTGAATCCAGCATGCACATGCTCTATTTGGAAATGTTTACATGATTCATATATTAGGTCTATGATAGTCTTTCAGCCACTGGCAACTTCTATATCTGATGACTCCGAGTCGGAGGACCCGCTCACCCTGGAAACCAGATCCGGATATAGATAAACACCTTTTAAGGAACCGTAAAACGGTTATGAATATTCCTCTAGATTTTTAAAAAGGGTCTCTCGGCATTCTTTCTGCGACCTGTCAGGGGACAAAAGTATTGTTTGGGGCTCGGACATCTGCCAGTGGATTGTTTGTTGCCAGTGGGTCCCTTTCGATGGTAGAAGTGCTGACCAACGGGCCAACTGCCCACCTGGGCAGGTGGTAGTTGGGAATCTCCAGGGCTAGCATTTGCGAGTAGGGATAATATACTAGTATAGTGTAAATCTGGATTTCTCTTTAATTTTTGAATACATGTATTTTATTTGAAATACTTCTAATTTTTTTTCTTTCCACGAGAAGATTTGACATTCTCAACATGGTAAAGATTAATGGAGACATCTATATGGAAATACTAGCAATAACTACGTCAGTCAGTTAACCATGTGGTTTCTAATTTCCAAGACCTCGAGTTAGATTCCAGCACTCGAGGTACTACGTACTGGATTTTCTTTTTATCTCTTCAAGCTGTACTTTGAAATCGGTGCTTTATATGTAAGGTTGACTTAGGGGCTTGCTTGCGTATGCCGCGACTACTTCTGGCTGAACTTATACTCCAGGGTTCATATGGACATAACCATCCGGTCCATCCCATAAAGCTTTTCTAACAAATTTTCATAATCCTTTGACTCTGCACACTGTTTTTCTTATTTATGCCTGTTTAATTCGAAGTAAACTTGGGAAATAATGCTAAATTGATATACTAGGTATGCTATCATGTGATCGAGCATCGGATTGATGCCGCGGCAATAGATGTATACGGGGAAATGGCGATTCTAGGGGTCTCGAAATGAACTTGAAACTTCAAGCTGGGCCCTTCATTTGAAGGATAATCATGATCTTTTATCTTCAAACATTTGAATGTTCCAAGTTGTTATCGCTGCTGTCACTGCGGGCGTGATTCAAATGCTAAGTCCAACATTTGAAGGTTGATTCTACTAGTAGCCCTGCCGAGTCTTAGACATTGTAATATACATAATAGTACACACGAAGTCAGTCTTGGAATTGAAAGTATTCACAACTTGAAACACCGGCATCAATGTCAGTACATGATCTCCAGGGCTAGCTCCGTTGCTAGAGATAGCGACCTTTAGCGCTGTCTAATTTCTTCGAACAGGAAAACTTGAAATCAGAACTTAGACGGTTTCATTATATTGAGGTATTCCCCACCTCAGTTGACCAAGAAGCACACCGGACAAAACACCTCATTACCCATGCTCCGGTAAGCCCCTTAGAACGAAGATATGTACATGGGCACAATTGGAAGACCCGATAATTCGAAGATCATGGTATGCCGCACTGGGCATTTCCAGAGTCTTCCACCCCCCTCACTTTTGATAAGTGTGAATATGTCACAGATAAGACCGCCCGAAACAATTGAACAAAAAAAGAAAATAAAGAGAATGCAGCCTGAACGCCGTCCTGGTTTAACATTGACAAGATGGCATCGTGAGATCGAGTATGGACGTCGACGTAAAATAAGTTGAGAAATGGAATGATGAATGAGTCGTTGGATGAATGTGGTACGAAGCTCAGGAATAAAAAAGTAGGAGAATAAAATATGTATCAACTCGATTGATATCGAGATGCAAGCCCGGCTAGTAGCGAGGCGTAGATGGATTGAAAAGATTGGGACCAGGTAAAGGCACTGGAAAAGGCTGTGGTTACGCCTCCCGGTATCCCCAGATGCGGCGTTGGTTACTCGCCCACCATTTGCCGACTTGCTCAGCTTCTTCAAGCCATTCACCGGCATCTTCATCGTATTTAGACAGGACCTCTTCCAGAAGCTGGGTCAACGTCCACGCCTTGATGGGGTGTAACTCGCCGGGATCTTTGTCCAGATGCGTGAAGACATACTCGAAGCCTTCCCGAAGAGGCAAGATAAGTCGGTATGGAAGACTAGCTGACGTTATGGAGATCATGGATCCACCGGCGTTGATGAGACCAAAGTTCCAGGCATAGCGGGTTTTCGGCTTTGAGGGCCCGTGTTTCTTATGCGGGGCTCGCTTTTCAATATCATCTGGACGCTCGGTGTGGCTGTCGTGATCGTGGTCTTTGTTGGGATTTGGCTTAATTGATGAGACGAAGGGGCGGATGAGTGATTGGCCTTGGTACTCGGGAAGCATAGCGGATGCAATCTCCGAATCGCGTATATCAATAGATTGGGATTGAACAAGCATATCCAGAATGGTAGGCATAATGGAAAGAGAGGTTGCGTTGGCTGTGATGTCGATGCGAGGCATGTGTGGGTGTCGGAAAATGAGGGGCACACGGAAATTGCTAATATGACCGTTCTCATAGGTCCCGGTCATGTCCTTGTTATCTTCACCAAAAGCTTGGCCGTGGTCGCCAACTATGACGACCAGTGTTGAGTTGGCGATCCCTGTTTCATCGAGGAGGTTCATGATGTCGCCGAGCCAGTTGTCCACGAATCGTGCTGCGTTTAGGTAGTTGTTCATCAGATCATGATTGACTGTGCCGACGGAGCCCATGTATTTTTCCTTCTTGAAGTCATCCGGCGTGGACCAAGGGTGATGCGTTGTGCTGGTAACATGAGAGAGGAAGACACGGGTATTGTTGTTGGCCGCCTCGTAGAAGAGATCTCGGACGTATGGCTTCAATTCCGTCTCTGCGTATCCGAAGTAGTTGATCTCATCACCCTTGGCTCTGTACTTGGCCCGAGGTGACGAAATAGTCTTCTTGACAACCTTGTGCTTGAAACCCATGTTTTCATCCAGAATATCTTGTCGATCATAGTCATCGGTGATAGATTGCATGAAAACAGACTTCCACGGATTTTCGAGAACTGGTGAGCTTTCAGAGCTTCCAGAGCTATTAGACCGTCCAAGAATCTCGTTTGTTGACTTGACCTGATTGAACAGCTCAAGGATCTGTGGTAAGCACGGCTGGTAAATCTCGAGCATAGATTCCTCCAGAAGATCCACTGGCAAAGGATGAACGCCGCAGTGACTTCCCAGAATACTCTTAAAGGTCAAAGAGCTTCCTGTGAGTGCTCCGCGGATGTTTAGCCCACCCATGCCATCTTCTGCTGAATCCTGCCACTTTACATCACTCAGATCCACCTTAGTACCATTACTGTCGCTCACGTATTCTCCCGTCAACATCTGCGCAATGGGGGTCATTTTGACCAACCGGTCAATTGCTTGATCTCTCTTCCCCTCGGCGTGAGAGGCGAGTAACGCATCGAACATGGGTGTACCCTGTTGCATGGGAAACATTTCCTTCCGACCACTTTCCAACGTCAACAAAACGATATTGTTAATTTCCACCGAATGTTCCTTGAAGGCCTTCTGCAAGGGCTCATAGATATCGCCACCCAAGTTCGAGATCTTCAGAGGATCTGACTTCGGGTTAAAGAATGCATCCTCATCACCACCGCTACACAGGAAGTGAGAAGGATTGTCATCCTGCGCCCTCTGTGAAGGGTTCGTACCCCAACGGCTGAATCCTGGTGGTGGGTCTTGAGGTAACCACGAGGCTCGGGACCACCCTTCCGCCAACGGACTAGCATTGTTTACTTCCCACAGAGGAAAGGTCTTCGCGGGATTTCGACATCCTTCAGCCGTGCTTGTCTTCTTCGTGAATGCATCCAATATTGTTAGAGGTAAAGCCCCCGAAAGATGATCATACGGGATCGAAGGTCGAGATATTTCCAGGAAAACGAGTGAGATAAACGCAGCCGTGAGGAGACCCACTCGGCGGAAAGACCGAAGGTCTATAGATGCCCACCATGCCTTGCTGGGAGCCGATAGAAGGCTGTATCGTGCTTTCACTGCGCCCGCAACCAAATCACGAATTCCCTGTAAACAGGCACCGGTTAGAGCATAGAGATGGGCATGGATCAACCATGCAACGAGACCGAGGACTATAGCTGCAGCGGAGACGGTCGAGACTCCACTCAGTAGAATCTTCATAGCAGCCGGGTCGCTGAGGAAGCTATTACTAGCTGCCCAGGCTACCTCGGCACCGGTTTGCATGAAAAAGCCGAATTGGATCGAGGCCGCTCCCCAGGTAACTAGGCTGATGTGACCTGTCAGTTTTGCTTGAAGATCCTATATATAGGTCATCTAGGGGTTGATGAAAAACACTCACGAGAGAAACCCTCCCAACACAGTCGAAATCCATTGAAGACGTGATTCTGGCGCGGGGAATTGAAGTAAGAGTCGCACGAAGACGATGATCAAGATATCGGGTAAAACGAGTGTGGATGAGTATAGCACCAGGTAGAGAAACGGTAATGAGCGAAAGTGTAGACCGATATGTAGAGCCTTAGAAGCAAGACCACCGACGACCAAAGTCGCGAACAAGAGAGGCACGAGTGGCTGTAGGAAAGTACGGATGGCCATGATGTTAGCTCATGATTCGAAGGTCGCGGAGATAGAAAAGCGTGAAGCGCGTGCAGGCCTAAGAGAGGAAAAAAGGGAAAAGAAAAAAGAGAAAAAAAAAATTCAAGGGATGTGGAATGGAAGAATTAGAGAAAAAGAGACGAAAAGGACTGGAATGAGGGGAATGAAGACCCCGGAATGAACTGTCACAAATGCACGAAAAAGAAGAATAGAAAGTCAAGTTTAAAGCACGAGAAGAGAAAAGAAAAGAGTTATACAAAAATAATCAGGAACAAACCAATCATATTAGGGGAATAGAATTACTAGTACAAGTATAGGGGCACGCGACTAGAAATGCACCTCACATTAGAACGTAATTAGAGCTATTTACTACTTAATATTTACTATTACTTATTTACTTATTACTACTTATTACTTACAATTTATTATTATTACTTTATTACTTTTATGAGTGGATCCAAACCCCTAGACATCCGCTGGTCGGATGCAACGGAAATCCTGAATACACTGGCTACACAGTCCAAAAATATCCTGTTCCACATATAAATGATGCTAAACAATAATCGTGGAGATTCTAATTGGTTTCATTTCATGGGGCAAACTTGGATTGGGCTTATGACGTTCAAGTTTTTTGCTTCTTGTTTTTTTGCTGCCTGAAGCTTGACTCAAACCTCGATCCACTGTCTCCATACGAACTCTGAGACATTCTAAGCAAACCTTGGAAAGTATCAAACAGTGGAAAATTATGTAACTTTCTCACATGTGCAGTCTGTGGAATGACCTTGCAACCCCAGAGCGGTACCAAACTCTCTCCAACTCCAGAAAAAGGACCCTGCACGAGCTCGCAGGGCCATCCCAGCATGATTGGAAGAGATCTGGGGAAGAGAGATCTACTAGCACACCGCACCCATACGGATTAAACAGCCGACAGGAGCCAAGATACCTCTCATCGCCTCCAATGACCCATCACTCCATTGGGTCCTGTTCTACGCCCGATTCCCCGATTGATCTATCTATTTACGGCTTATGTGGAGATGACCAGCTGAGACCCTGCATCTTCACCTCAAAATTTCATCACTCATTTCTTCATGTGCCTATCTGACGTGATCTCCAGTCCGATCTTAGCCGTGTGGATCTAGCGATCTGCATTCCAATCTAATTCATTCTGCCAGATGGCCACAGAGCTGTGGATTTCAACAGGTTGTTCTTTCTATTCTGCGCGGGCCCGGAATTGCGGCTCACGGTCTAAAATCTTACCATCAGAAAACGATATATGGCTGAGACTAGCAAAAAGCATAAAGACCCTGAATCGTGCCACCCGTTGGAACCATACGAGGTGAATCAAAACTTAGTTTCCATGGTAGAAGTAGATAGAAAAAGGTCTGATCGTCCTAGGTGGATTAATAAGGTCAGCCCTGCCGGGACCGAGGTTGTGAGAGGGATTTGATGGCGCATTATTGCACCTTGAAGATGTAATCAGGGTCCATGTAAAAGGGGGAGGCGCAGGAAAGGCGTTCTAGTAAGCTGGAACTCAACTCCAAGGGCTCACTCAAGTAATTCCCTTTTCAAATTAGTCTCAAGCTGAAATGATATAGTCTCGTGACCACTTCCTTTATTTAAGTTATCTTAGCTTCTTCATGTCTGCCTGAGGCCAATGGTGGGGGTTCATCATGATTTAAGAATGTGTATGGATTTTTAAAAGTGTTTGAACTTTGGTAGATTCAAGTTGTTCTATTAATAAAATTGAAATTTTTTGTGAAAAGCTGACATCCGTGGCTTTGTTGCTTAATTCAAGTTTAAGATCAAATAGTATGTATAGAGGTGGCGATCAACATTCAGCTGAGACTATTATCCCATTGTATCCCAGATTAATCAATCAATCTGAATTTTAGTAGTTCGATGATCAGGATGTAAATGTATATGTCTATCTTGTCCTGCTCTATTCCTGTCCTATTCATAAGCCGTTCAAATGTGGGGAATACATGCTTGACCACCTGGCAATAGCAGCAACTTGAAACCCCCAGCCCTGGAGTAAAATATCGACAACTTGAAGAAACCAACTTGAACTTCAATAGCTGAGAAGCACATTGATACTAATCAAAGACCAGATTCAATACTCACCAGTATCTCAGTTATTCACGTCGATCCTTCATCTCCCCTCGCTCCATAACCATCCTCGCAATTCCCTCCCCAACATCCGTCCCCAACTCCTCAAACCCCTTGATAACCCCCTCCCGGTCGCCCTTACTCATCTCCTGGCTCATCTTGAATTTCCCTTGCAATCGCTCAACCCGAATCTCAATCCCAATAATATTCTTCTTCAACAATTCCACATAAGAACTCGGCGCCTCCCCCACATTCCACGCCGTCGGTTTCCCCTCACAGCCCGTATACCCCATAACCGAGGTCTCCGCATGTCGCGAGAGATCCTCAACTTGCTTCTGTAGGAAAGCACCCGTCTCTTCGGACTTTGAGTCACTGTAGATCTTGATCTTGCCGTAGGCTTGAACGGCAGAGTAGTTCCATGTTGGCACGACCTTACCAGTTGTGGGTTTGGTTTCGGTGTAGAATTTCGGTGTGACATAGTGGTGGTGTGGTCCGTTAAATAGAATGAGGACTTCGTCTGGAAGCTCGAGAGATACTGAGCTCCCTGGTTGAGTTTCAAGTTGTTCTTTTTGGGTGGCTAGTGCCTCCATTAGAACTTTGGCTTGGGGGTTTTGCTTTGCGATGTGGCCGCGGAGGATCCCGTATTCTGGTTCCTCATCATTGGTTTCAGGTGAGATATCCAGTAGAAATGGGATGTGACTGGATTGAATAAGTGGGTGATTTGGTGATTTGATGGCTGTTGTAAGGATGCCGAGGGGATTCTCGTGGATGAATTGTTGGAGAAGTGGGATATCTGTCTCCGCGTGGGCTGCACGGAGATACATTGTGACGATTATGAAGCCAAATTATTGGATATTGACCTGGAATTGGTTGATAATGGCACAAGCACTGCGCATTTATAAATGTTGTACGGAGTAAACACTGACTCATTGTATCTCTTGTCAGGTCGAGATCTAGATGCGTTATCATATTGTCATTGGGGATTTGCGGGATGTGATTGGTACTCGGCGCCGATGATCAACGGTTCTCCGCATTTCAGACTCGTCTCTACTCAAGAGTCAAGAGTATATAGCATTGGAGTCAATTAGGCAGTAGACAGGCTCATTAGTTTCATCTGTATGACTGGAGAACTGACAGGGCGCGCAGTGTGACCGGCAGCTTGGTGATTGACTCAGGAGTGTTGGCCATGTGTGACCAAGATTTCCCGGAAATAGAAGTCGCTTCTATTTACGGAGAAGCTTGGAGGCAGCTCTCCAATACAGAAAGTCTCATCTGAGACTTGGAATTATCAGAGCTGGCTTTTGAGTCTAAAAATTCGGCTCTTCCACCTAGACAGGCTTCTTGGAATCAGCATTTCAAGTTGCAAACAACAATCTTGAATGCACTACCGCATACCCCAACATGAATTCAATAGAAATAATTAGATGGGAGTATCATTTGATGAAATGATATACAGATATTTATATCATATGCAATCATAGCACACAGACGCCAGCACCAAACACCTAAAATCACCACCAGTCAAATCGAAGCCTCCACTTGTATTGAACAAGATGATCAAGCAGCCTGAGAGACAATACCACTCTTCCCTAACTTGTCAATAGTTCCCTTCTTCAACCTCAGCATCCGCTCAATCTCCCCACTCGGTAATTTCTGCTGGTCACGCATCGTCAATGCCTGATGAATAGTCAACGAATCCAGGAACTGGCGACCCGTGAAATTGGGGTTCCCAACTGCTAAAGCCTCATCATGTGCAGCCTTTGTGATCCGTTGACGGGCATTGACAACAATGAGAGCTGGGTTGGAGGATGTAGGGAAGACGGTTTGGAGGGTGCCACGGTTGAAGGGGTTGGGGTGGGAGAAGTTGCCGGATGGGTCGACTGGTCCGATTGTACGGAGGGAGGCGGCGAAGTCGGGATCACGGCCGTCAAGGTCAATGGCTAGAGATTATACATTAGTATTCATAGCTTGTCACAGAATATAAAGCTGAAGCACAAAGGACAAGACGAGAAATTGGTATTTGGACATTGTTTCTTCCTCTTGGTTGAAATATGCAGTGATGGCTACGTACCATTGGATTTTGTGGTAGATGGTTGTTCCTTAGAATGATATGTCGGTCCCTGTTGCGCAGGTGGTGGTCGAACTGGTGAAGGTGTGGGTGCAGATGTAGGGAGTAGACTGTGGCGCCTCTCTGGCTTGTTTTGGCGCAGCGGGTGTCCTTGGAGGAGGGGCAGCCTTTTTAGGATACTGGCGCTTTGCAGCTGCACCAGCAGCTGAGCGCACTGGTTTTGAGGCGCCTGAACCCATTGAGAATGGGTTGGTGTTCTGATAATGTGGGAGCTGGAGGTGATTATCAGCTTCTGCGGCGGAGATCAGTGGAAAAATGCGCAGGTTTGACTTGGCATTCGACGGGGCAGAAGAGCCACTCAAGTGACGTCAAAATATAATCAACTCTGCCACGTATATTTTTAGTTACATATACGTAACTGCTGAGGAATTCTAATGCGAATATGCTTAATCTGAACTTGGTTACTTCCAAGGTTGAAATAGTATAGGGTGAGCTTGTGAAGTTGCTGGGAAATAGCCTGCGTGAGCATCTTGAAGTATATGATGAAAATAGGTGGAACTTCACCATTGATCACACTCAACATTTTACAAAATTTGATATTCTTAGACAAATCCGATAGAAGTTTGGTGCCTTACAATGAAATAATTGAAAGGCGACAAGAAATATTTACAAAGTGATTTCAGAGCTTGTTTGATTCGAAAGCATGGATATCACAGCTAAGATACAGTGCCGACAGAGCTCGATTCAAAGATATCAAAGATATTCAATGATATTGCCCCATCATTGAGCTGAGATTTCAGTGCTCAACGCAAACCAGCAAGGCGACGGCCTTGAACCTCACCCAATGCGCGGCTACCACTGACAAACGCGACCGCACCTGCAGCGGCGGCAGCAGGCAGGATCTGGAACAGGTTCCAAGAGGTATAGTAGAGGAAGAAGATACCCTCGAAGGCAAACAGAGACCCGAGGAAAATAGCGTGAGGAAGAGGGGCAGATTTGAAAGCGGACGAAAGGTGGTTCACATTGGCACCGAGGAAGAGCCACTAGGAGTCAAGTCAGTCAACCGTCCAAACGCGAGGGGGGAAAAAACCAAACTTACCAGTCCAGCCAGAACAGGAAGGGAAGCGCCAACCAGGGCGACAAAGGCCAGGGTAATTATAACGGGCGGGCTGGTAGCAGCATCCTTGAAGATGTGGTGGATCTCGGGAAGCTTGCCGTATCTGGCGGCTTCGACAGTGGGGACGGGATGATCGAGATCGCGGTCAATTGAAAGAGAGAAGACAGAGCTATCGTACGCCTCAGAGCTGCCAAAGGAACCGATGACCACACGGGCGTCAATGGGCTCAGAGAGCGACAGGAATTGAACTGGAAGCTCCTTCTGGGTCTAGAATGTCCACGTTAGTCTATTTACTTGACCCCACCGGAGCTTGAGACATTGCATACCAATTCCACTCGCGACTTGCCATTCTCCTTAACGGTAAATGGGTAGGAGATATCCAATCCTGTTTGGGAATCCTTCAACAACAGGAAAGCTTGGTGTGGGCGCTTCGCAGAGCTTCCTTCCTGGGTAGTCAAGATGACGCGCAATGTATCGGCACCGGCAAAGGAGACGGGTTGGGAGAGTGGTTTGGAGGAAGAAAGCCTATGTAAGATCATCCATTAGCTTCCAATCAAGTTTCTGATCGTCAGAAACATTGATATAACTCACGATTCCTTGAATCCGCTGTTAACACCGGCACCCTTAGGTTGAACTGCCACGGTGGCATCAGTAAAGCCCCAAGCTGAAGCCGCAGCAACAGGGAGAGCAGCTGAGGCCAGCAGACAGAAAGGAAGAGTGGCCTGCCACAGATGCATTTTTGTAAAGAACAATTGAAACCCCCTCAAAAAAAGCAAAATATTGTAAAGAGAATATGGAGGAGCCAAGGAGGAGCTGGTGACAGATTGCAGAATAAAGGCGGACAGGAGATTGGGACCGATAAGCGCCGATCAACTTTAGCCCTAATTTCTTTTCTGCTCCGACTTCATCTCTCTTTCCCTATGAAACTACATCCCTTGACCGGAACAACCCGTCCACCTCACTGATACGATCCTGGTTGTTGGGATATTCCTCTTACAGGTGAAACTTCGGATGGGGTTTCTTGAATTTCGACATGTAAGTGTTGTGGTGCCCGTGATCTCCCCCTGGGCCCTAAACCCCAACCTAACGTCGTTGCCTTTACTCTTTGTGTTGAATCACCATGTACCACAACCGATTCAACCAACCAAGACCAAAGATAGTAAAGAAAAGGATGGGAACGGTGAATGAATCATCTTGATCTATGATTCACTATCTCCCTTTCCTTTTTGGGCACATATCTTTGCTGGTCAGCCCATCACTAGCACTCAAAACAGTTTCATGAACCTTATGTAGCTAACCGGTTGAGGGGAACTGTATAGATTATCATTCATTATGCCTCCTAAAAGGGCCCGTAACTCGGGATCGGGCATCTCTGTTAATGCAACGACATTAACCCTAACGCCATCCCGTCGCTCGCCCCGTTCTCCGAAACTTGAAGCGCCGAGCCCTAGTTTAAATAACATTTCTCATTCAAACAAACATACCTTTTCCTCCTCTCCATCTTCAGAAGATATCCGTCTCTACTATCCGAAGACCCCACCTTCGACCAAGTCTGTAAAAACGACATCTTCTTCGCCTGATCTACCATCCACCCATCGCCGCAAGTTTCAAGCTCGTCCTTCTCGTCTTTCAACAGTGTACACTCCAGTAGTGGACACACCAAACTCCTCTGGCGAAGTGAGTCGACAATCTCGACGTGTGACTGCTCTCAATACCCCACAAGATCCGCTGTCCGACCACGAAGTCCCTGACAGTATTGGATCAACAGGTTGGACCTTTGATCAATACATGAGTGGATACGACACAGCGATGGATCCGACTTCTCCCTCTGCCGCTTCTTCGAAGACTACCCGCTCTTCAGCTCGTCTCCGAAAGCCCACATCTCGGGCCGTGGAAGCCTCTCTTGAGCCGAAGAAGCAAACCCGCCGCGGGCTCGTCACACCCGCAACCACCACCAACACCACCAAGGAGGAGACTAGTGAGTCATCCACCGGTCAGGCCCAAGAGCCAGCAAAGGCCACCACCCAGAAGGCCTCAAAGGGTAAGAAGGGCACCAACAAAAAGGCCTCGAAGGTCCAGGCTGCTCCCAAAGACATGGATATCGATATTGAAGCCGCAGGCCTTTTGCTTTACCAGGTTGCGGTAGAGGCCCTGGGCCCTGATTTTGTCCTTCCTGCCGATCCTGAATGGGAGTTGAATAATGCCCGATTCAACTACTTCCAGAGCAAGACTGGCGCTCAGCGTATCCGGGAGGCCACACCCCAAAACGACGACGACCAACACCCAGACCTGTACGACAGCGAGGCCGACACAGGCGTCTGCAAGTTTAAGAAAACTTCAGAGCCTTCTGTCGCGCCTGACGGCTATCTGCAGCTAGGTGTCGTGAACAGAAACGGCGAAGAGGTGTTCATTCACCCGGCGGCGTGCAGCCCTTACTGGATGCCCCGCACATATGGCGATGAGAGCCTTCCATACCCTCCCGTCCGCGTCCGATCCTCTGAGCAGCAGCTGAAGGATACCACCCTCGGCTTCCCGCCTCTGATTGGCGATCGAAACACCCCCTTCGACGTTCAGTCCCAGTTCGTCGCTGAAGCTCTTACGGCAGAGGAGCAAGCGCGTGTCCATGCTCGTGATGAGCTTCGCCAGAACGCAGCTGCCGCCATCCCTGATGCGCCCGAGCCACGAAAGGCGAGGGCAAAGCGCCGACAGAGCGCTCCGGCTACCGAGGTCGACGAGCCAAAGCCCAAGCGCCGTCGTGGAGGTACGCGGGCTTCGATGCCCAGCGCCAGCGCGGACAACAGCACAGGTCACAGTGCTACTTCCCCCAACACCAACAAGCCAAGGGGTCAGAGAAAGACCCCAGCACCCAAGCCTACAAAGGCAATGGCGAAGAAGGCCGGATCTGGGTCAGAGGCCGCTCGAAAAACCGCTTCAAATGAAGCCCAGGCCGCTGGTGACGATGTTCAGCGCCCTATTATCCGCTTGAAGCTCAGTGCACCCAAGCCTGAAGTGCGAGGGTCCACTGAGTCAAGTAGCCAGCAGTCGGCGGAGACACCTCGCGTTGCTTCTGACGCTGAGGAAGTGTCTACCCCGGCCGGTCGAAAGCGTGCGACACCAGCTGCTAAAATGTCGACACCGAGAGGCTCCAGCCGAACTCGTGGTCGAGACCGTGGCTGAAGGAGATACTGGTGTCTGGCATCGTGGAGAGGGGAGGGGAGGGGAGTCAAAATAACTGTGTTTTCTTTCCTTCGGGATGGGCACACCACCTTACGAATTATTGCGTTTTGTTTTCGGTTACTTTGATCCGCCGTAATGAAAAAAGCGTTTACCGGCAGTGAGCATTTCAAGGTTATTTCAGCGTTTATCATCCTGCATTCCGACGAGTTCTTTGTTGGTTTCAAATCTTCCCTTGCATAGCGCTGGTGTTCACCATATCTCTTTTTTCAACTTTGCTTTCGATCATCTCTCGGTTCTCGCTGGGTTTGAGCTCTGTTCTCGCCCTTTACATGGTTTCAGCTTCGACTGCTTGTTTAATCATCTTACCGGAACGTGACCTGGATATTTTTAATGTACAAATTGATATCCGTTCATCCACATACAAACCTGCATTTTCCATTCTGTAATTTGTAATCAAACCCTGAATTAGATGCCTACCTATGGCAGCTGAGATACTCCAACCCCAACTCCAACTCAGTCTACTATAGATACTACTTACCATGTTTTCACCTTAGTTTGTGGGAATTAGGAGGTTTCTTTTGCACTTCGTAGAATCTCCAACAAAATTCATTCACGCCCGTTCTACATGGGCTACTTTGATTGACAATATCACTACGAAATATCAACTGATCATCTTTAGGAACTTTACCGGGGCTCATCAAGCTTACTTTGCTCTCTCTATGATATCAAATGGCTTCAGACAGCATGCAGCCTGCCTCTCTTCTGCGCAGCTCTATGGTGTATACCTACTGTCGAGTGTTAACGACTCGACACCTCAAAAATAATTTCTCGAGTCCCGCAAAATCGTGCTGAGGTATCTTCACTGTGCTGCTGGTTGATGCAAAGTGGGGTTACGTTCAGAGGCCGATTTGTTGACTCTTCCAAGGTTTGCAACTTCTCGGATTTAGCTTATCGGCCACTGGATAGTAGGGAAGAGGCCAATCAATTCAATCACTCCTCCCATCGATAATGATAATCTAACTGACAGGAGACCATGGTGATTGACTGGTGGTCTTGGGCTTTCGTTCAATTACCGCCGATGAGCGAGTTTCGTTTTCCAAAGGTTTCTGGATTCCCTGGGCATTCACGCCGGTCCGGTCTGTCGCAGACTAGGGGTCTGGGTATTCTGGGCATCGATGTCCTTGTCTTTGTAAGTGTAACAGCCAGTAGAGGAGGTTCTGATTTCTCCAGTATGTAAATATGACTTGGAATAAGCAATGATGGAAATTGAGAAAGAGAGTGTCTTCTGCCATGTTGCTTGCCGGGGGAGGACCATGTTGAGAACGGCACTGTGGTAAACAGCTCTGGCGACCGGCGACCTGCACATGTGGTGAAATAACCTAAGGCTTGAAACTTGAAATACTAAACCGTCTTTAGTAAACTCAGAGCACATGGAGAGTAGAAAAAACTGAAGGTCACAGAGAAGTTGACTTTTAAAGAAGATATACTTAGTTCAACAGGTGAATAAAAGTAAAACGTCTACGCACAAGAGGCCTTTGAATCAGAATCTATTCATTTTGAGCATATAGAAAAACGAAGGCTTCTTGAACTTGGACTCATGAAGCATCACGCATGATGCGAAAACCAGAAAATATAGAAGAAAGAAAGCACAAGACCCCAAAATAGCCTCATTTAAAGTCGTGACTTGATGCTCTGACCACCTTCCCACGAGTCTCCCGCTTCAAGAGTCTGCCAACCAGAAACAGATCCGGCCTCAACGCAGATCATGTTCTTGTATGCCTCATCCGGGCCAAAGTCTGCCATACCCTTGGCCTTCTCGATCCATGGGTTCCAGACCACAACATCTGTCAATGCCTCGCGAGTGATTGAGAAAAGGGGGGTGTCGTCAGCAGCGGAAGAAACGATGATTGGAACGGTGGGATCAAGGCTTTGGTAGATACGGTCGGTTTCCTCGGTGATAGCAAGAGCCGGCGAGGCCTCAGTGTGGGAGGTTGCATCGCGAGTCTTGTCCACGTAGGTCTTGGACTCGAGATTCTTGACGCGAATTGCAGAGATATCCTGAAATACAAGTTAGCTTTTGTATCCAGCACATTTTTATGGAAGGGCCATGAGAAAAGAAGGAAACTTACTGCGACACTGAGGTACGTGTGCATCAAGACCTGGAACTCAAAGCTCTTGGTACCCTCGTTGCGGACTTGTAACTGAGTTCGCAACGAGGTCTTAGTCAGGGTGACACTGTATACAAGGCCAAACTCATATGGCCAAGCAGTGCGGAACTCCTTGCTCAACATAGTGTGTGAGAGGCCAAAGTCCAGCTTCACAGCCTGGCCAGACTGGTTATCAGCAGACTCGGCAGAAGATTTGCCCAGGTACTCCCAGTTTGAGCTACGGGCGAATCCATGCTGAGGGAGGGGGGAGGTGACGTGGTCTTTTGGAGGAGGGCCGAAGACCTGTTGATAGGAAGTATCAATTAGCGATCCAGATCTCATACAATGAAGGCTTCAGGGATACTGTCAAATGTTAGGCTAGGGATGTCTTCATACCGGGAAAACAAGTGGAATTCCTCCACGGATGGGCTTAGAGCCATCCAAGTGAGCCGTCTCACTTAGAAACAGCTGTTCCTGGCCATGAGCCTTCCATGAGGTAACAGTTGCGCCGTAAAGGTGGATAGTAACGGATTCACCAGAAGGCAGGCTAGCTTCAACGGTGTTCTCCTTGATAGAGACGCTTGGCTGAGGGACGGAGGTGCCCAGTCCGATGGCAGCGGGTTTGTTAGAACGTTCCATCGTGAATGATATAAAGGGGATGTTGAAGAGAAGAGAGAGAAGAGCTGTGTTGAGGTCATGGCGGGGAATCGGATCTCAGCCCCACTTATCACCGTTGTTTACATTGGATCGTCGATTGACAAGCACTGCATGACCTTGCATTTATTCAAGTTATATTAAGCTATATTCTAGAATAATCTGGATGTTTCTATAAATAATGTTCGATTCAATATAAACTAAAACATATATAAACTCGAAATATTGCTTGATATCTGTTAAATACAGATGAGTGCAAAACCAGCTTCACCAATTTACACTCTTACATTCTTTCTGGGCCCCACTGCCAAGGCTTTAGTACGAGAAATGAGTGTTGTTTAGAGGGGTGACGGGTACTATGTATACCCTTTCCTGCTGTGTTGACCAATCTTGGTCGAGTCGCTGACTCAGCAATATAGAGCTGTGGCTGTCAGAACACGGGTGTAGAACTAGCCCGATCGGGTTGGTTCACACCACTATTGAATGGAGATCTATGATTGGTCGAACCAGAGTGGATCACATGATCGATCAGGTGATCTCCAAGGCAGAATTTATGTGCGTAATCATCAGAATTAGAAAATCAGACCTGTTACGAGTTTCCATTGGCGACCGCCTACTGCATTAGACCATTTAGTCTGTTAGTGGCTTTAGAGCCTAGTGGAACTTGGCGAACATTCTATTATGTAATTATAGCAGGAAGTTTGATATAAATTTCTTTTCCTTCCCAGTCCCTCCTTTTACAAAGAGATTAGAAAATAGAGAGAAGATTAAAAATAGAAAGCATTGAATTCTACTGTAGACGAAATCGTAGAAAAGTAACTCGCCCTGATGTATGTCCCAAAGCAACTAAGTTCCTATTGACCGCGGAGCAGCTAGGCCGGAAGTGAGGTGGAAGCCACAGTATATCGTTACGGTGCAGATTGATCCATTGGTTTTGGTCAATGGAGATTGGCAGACGCGTATAGGTTGAATGAGGAACGTCGTTTTCGTGCCTAGGCTGAAGGTCAAGGGTGCCTAAGTTGGTGATTACATTTGAACCATCTTGCGAGAACTCGAGATCGTAGACAGTTGCATTCGTGTGAAGAGTCTGCCGCAGGTCGCCCGTCACCGGGTCCCAGAGCCGCACGGTTTTATCGCCAGAGCCAGACGCTAGCAATCGGCCATCGGGCGAGAACGCGACCGATCCAACCCAACCTGAGTGGCCCTCAAGAGTCTGCCGCAGGTTGCCCGTCACCGGGTCCCAGAGCCGCATGGTTTTATCAATACCATTCTCTTGAATCGTCTGAAAAACAAGATTGAACCACTCTTGAACCACTTTTGATCCTCCATTTTCGCACGTTCATAATTATGTCGTCGAGAGAAACGGGTGGTAAGCTCTAAGTGTCGTTTTACGAAGTTGGTGACCCAATTTTTACCGACAATTTGAGAGGGGGTCTGGCCACGCGCTGCGAGTAGAATATTGGCCATTTCTTGGACAGTAGCTGGACGGGGTGCAGCTCCACGTATATCCATAGAGACAACCCACTGAAAAAGTGAATTCTCTTCATTCTCAGTTAATTTATGGTTGTTGGCGCGAGTTTCGAATCGATTTGTATGGCCATTTAGTCGGCGGTGGAGGGATGTAAATGGAACGTCAAATCGGCGTGCGGCTTCACGGATAGAGGTAGTTTGATCATTTTTAATAGCCTGTAGGGCAACTAGTATTCGACCCTATTGATTGCCATTTTTTTCGGCCGAAATAGTACGTTTTGGTGGCATGGTGGGTGGTTGAAGATGGAAGGACGCGGTCGCGACGCGATTCTTTGGTTAGCTGATCCGCTCGCTTCGGAATCACGCTAACTACATGCTTCTGGATGTTCGATAACAATTGTATTATTCATAGGAAGAGGGTGCCATGCCATGCCATAGGATTTCTCCCCCAAACTACGATCTTTCTAGATAAGGTGAACATTGTATTGAGAGAGCTTTGAATAAGACCTATCTGTTTATGTAAAAAATAAGAGGAAGTTCCTATAGGAAGTGTGATCGTTCGTTGGTTTTCTCCTATATAGACTAACTAGGGCCCTAGCCCAAACCCTCCAAGGGTTACCTTTTAGGTGACCCTCCACCCTCCCGCTAGTAAGGGCGAGTGTGATGGTGAAGCTATCTTTACTGAGGACACAAAAAAGTAAGGGGCAGAAGAGGCCTCCATTATCAAAGAAAACGAATGTGAGGGAAGAAAGACTAAAAGTAAGGTAAAGAACTTATCCTACCCGTCATCCCCTGCTCTGTCAAGGCGTGGCCTAACCAGAACCCAGGTATGTTCCAATGTAACTGGCCATGGAACCGCAAATAGTCAGACTCTCATAGTTCAATCCAAAGCCATCAAGCTCAAAGATAGTGCGAAAGAATAGAGCGCCGACGTTCTCTTTTTCCACAAATCCAAGCATATTCGCGTAGCCCTCCTTGGCATATGACAAAAACTTGGTCGCAATAGCCAACGCAGAAGCATCCCGAGCTGAAGACGAGGTAACCCTAGCAGATCCAAGCTTGAAAGCAACTTTGACACCTGCAGCTGATGTCCGCTTTTGATAGGAAGCAGTGGTGTTTCCAAAGCCGGTACTTGAAACGTGTAGCTGCCCGGTGCCATCCTCGAATCCCAGCAACACGTAATCTCGACCTGACTGGCCAACTCTTCTCAAATTTGCAGATGGTATCGCGCGGTCAAGGCTGGATCATCTTTCCTTGCTTTAAATCCGCTGACTGGAGAAGTCGTATTATGAATGGCGTCGTATTCATAGCCAATGCTTCGCAAAACATCACCAAGGTCTTCTGGGGCATCCGAATCACTTTCGTTGGAAAACGATCGACGGTCCCAATGGATCGCTGAATGGGTTGCAAGATAAGCGGCCACGGCTCCATAGCCCTTCTTTGTAGCAGATAAACCCTGAAGTATATCCATAATTTCTTTAACTTCCTCAGCCCAGTACACACAATCCTCGGCTTCGGTCTTTTTGTAGATCTTTTTGATAATTAACGAGGATGTGTCCAAGAAGATAATACTAATGTGCATTCATCATTCGCTGATCAGCCGTCCCTACCAATTAAACCGGGTTCTAAATATAACCTTGAAATACTTACGCTGCTTCCATAGTCACAGTAGCGTAGATTGCCTTTACGACATCCACACATGATGACCGCTCTTCCAAATGAGAGCAAGCGAGATCTCGATTCACGATAGAGATCTCCTTATCGTTGGGAATAGCCACCGAGTTTATGGTAGGAATTGCCACCGCTGCTCCAAGGAGAGACAGTGCAAAAAAAGATTGGAGAAACTTCATTTTGAAGCACTTGAAGGACAAAAGCCGGCCTATTAGGTAAAAACCTTGGAATGGCTCGGAGGCTGCAGAAAATTTTTGAAGGAAACTAAGCTGTGGGATTCAAATGTTGGTACCTGGGCAGTGTTTATTCTAATTTCTGGCACGCTTCTTGAAAACATACTAGTACTAGTTAGTACTAATATTAACGCTTAACCACTGAATTCACAACATTTGAGGCTGGTATCCCTCTCTTTACACACAAGTGTGAAAACTCAGCCAATATAGCCCGAGTTTGGGGTGGCCAAGCTGTCTTGAAACTTGATTTATGTTACTAGAACGCCACTAATAAGTGCATAGCAGCTTCAAGTTTGCTTCATCGGAACTTGAATTTCCGAGGCTGAACTAGTCTACTTGAAGCTTCAATCATCGAAAAGACTACTAGTCTAACTTCAGTCACACATATATAGTTTAGTAAAGATTTGGGAATGAAAAGAGTATAATACATCTCTGATCATCATGTTCGAAAACAATCTGTTGATCTTACAAGGCTCACATCCATTATATTATGGATAACCGTACATGTACCTAGTAGCTTGACCAGATTCGACGTCAATTGAGTATTCAAGTCATTACTATGTCATGTATTCCTGAGAAGAGTCCTTTGAGGGAATAGAGAGAATTTAAGTGGGTAGTGCTAGTACATAAAATATACTACTATATCTACCTAGGTACCTGTACGTACTGGATTCCCCCCCGAAAAGTGGGGCTTTCCTAATTTGGTGACCGCCGCTTTAATGAGGGTGCTCAGGCTCAGGCTCACTGAGTAGTTTGCAGTCTGGGGCTCAGGCTCACTGAGCGAGTCTGAGGATCACGTGAGCGCTCAGTGAGTGCTCAGTGATCCTGATCCTGATCGTTCGCTGACTCATCGCACTGACTAAAAGGGGGCATCTAAATGGTACCCAAGCTACTTCCTACTCATCAGAGAAGTAGTATCAATCATCAACCAGGCCCATTAATGTTTCCATCAAGTTCTTGATGGCCCTTCATTTCCACATGGTCGGCATTTCCTCGTATCTCAATATCCTTTATGTATTATTAGCTCTAGACTATGGCGCATACCCACCATCCTAATCCATGTCTTATTAATCGTCTTGGTTACCAACATAAATAATGCTGAGATCTCCTCCATTTTGTCTACATCATATCTAAGTCTTGCTTTCTGAAATGGTCATTCTTCACAAGAGCTTTATCATTGAGATTCAAACGACATCTTCAGTATCCTCGAGGCTCAATTGAAACATGAATCCGACTCTGAAAAGGAAAATTTCCACTCCTGGAAAAGAAGATCTTGTCCAACGCAAGAAGATAAAACGACAGATACAGGATGGCTATGTGTTTGGCGCCCATGCAAAGGAGGATGCGATCAGAAATAAAGACAAGCGTTTGCCGATCACAAAGGACATGTGCGCACAGATCCTGAAGTCTTGGACGAAGTACGTTTTCATAAAACTCTTTCTTATAAATTGAGTACTTAACGGATTATTGATCTGAATACAGATTTGTCATGAAGTACAATCTCACGCAGTACGAATTGAGGCCAGGCAGCGCGGTTCCGGACCACGCCACAATCAAAGAGTTCATCCGCTTCTACATATACGATGCAAAAGGAAGGATATGTGAGAATGGTCGACCAGTGATGTCAAGTGTCGTCAACTGCGCAGAAAGACTTCTCGGTGGATTTCAAGAGAAAATTTCTGTCACCATTGTAGAAGAAGATCGGCAGGAAATTTACAATGTGAGTGCGGATTAATAATTTGCGATCTTCTTGTGAGCAAGTCACGCTTATCATGAACAGTGGATCAAGAATACCTTGACCGCAAAAGAAAAAGTGATTGAAGATGTCAAGTCCCCGAACCTCAAGTTTACGAAAAAGGACTTCTTGAGAACAGTCTCTTCCTTGTGGCAAACAGACCATCCCCGATTTATGCCTGGATTGCTGAAAGTCACGATTCTTCTGGTACTTCAACTATATTTGTTCACTGGAGCGAGAATCGGTGCTTTTGTTCCATGTATCAAGCAGAAAAAAGAAAGAGGTCTCCGCTACAAGGTAGGTGAAACATCTTGGATTTATCGAAGGAGCTTGTGCTGAGGGTCTTTAGCACATTGAATTGGTTTTGTTTCCATCTTCCACAGCTCCATGGAGGATTGATTTCAAGGTAGATCAAGTTTGGATGAAGAACAATCGAAATGCAAAATACACAGCTCTCTGCGGGAGTAATAATTGGTATCATTGGTTATAGCATGCGGCGATCTAGGCCTAGCCCGCTAATTGGTCTATTGGGCAAGCGTGCGTGTACTGAAATCCGACTACATCCTGATAGACAGGTCATTAACTACGAGAGAGTCACATAGGTATTTGTGTATAGGTGGTAGCACGCTTCCACTTCTGGGCCCATTCGGCCAATGAAATCCCAAAATTATATGCTCGCTGGGTTTGTGGCAGCAAGGAGTGCGCGATTTCCCCGCAGGTAAACTTGCTGTGTTCGCCGCATAGCTTCTGATAAAGGCATCGACTTAAAGGGCATCGCTTCCTCTTTTGGATCACTTGAGATGTTAGTCAATCCAAATTTCCCGTGGTTTCGAGATTGACCGTCCGTTATAGACGCTCTTGAAAACATTTCGAAACTTTACTTTACCACACGTATAGACAACTATTTCAGGGAACTCCTTTCCAACTTGAAAGAATGGTGATTGGTTAACATCGGATGCGTTCGATGATGGTGTGGTGATGCGCCTGAATACGAGAATTCGATATCTGACTGCATTACCCGAAACTTGACGTAGGTGCAATCAAGACTTCAACATGAAAGGGATTTGAGATACATTGAGTTGATTGGCTTCATGATACATACGCAATATTTGATTCAAATATCTGGCAAGAAAGGCCCACCAATGATTGACAGCCTTTTAATCATTGTGAAATGACCCCAAGGGTTTACTTCACCTATTTAATGCCAGATTCCCCAAAAGCACATTTTAGAAAACCATCGAAAATGTTACTTCCATTGTTAAGATCCACTCGTCTTCCAAAGAGATTCGGCAATCGATTACAGCGACGGTGCTTATCCAGAACGACTGTCATGTCCGGCATCAGTGAAGCAATCATGAAAGATCACCGCGAGGTCGAGGATTACCATAATAAGATCCTCAGTGCTGGCACAGACAAAGAGAAGACCCAGTGGCAAAACCAATTCACATGGGAGCTGGCTCGTCATTCTATTGGCGAGGAGCTTGTCGTCTACCCTCAGTTCGAAAGAAAGCTACCTAATGGCCAAGCCATGGCGGACAAAGATCGCCAAGAGCACCAAGCAGCGGGCGCTTAATTCCTCACACATTACCTTTGGATCTATGGCTGATATCAAAGGACAGATTAAAGAATTACTCAAAGCGTTCCAAAATATGCAGCCTTCGGATCCTCAGTTCGAGCCTGCCCTTGAGAGTCTCATGAGTGATCTTTCCAAGCACATCAGAGAGGAAGAAAGCGAAGACCTTTCCAAACTAGAAGACAACCTGTTGACTGAAGAGAGTAACGATCTGGCCGCTTCTTTCGGCCGAATTAAGATTTTTGTTCCCTCGCGCTCTCATCCGAGTGCTCCTGACAAGCCTCCTTTCGAGACTGCTGTCGGGCTTATGACGGCCCCTATCGATCACCTTGCCGATTTGTTCCGGTCTTGGCCTCATACTTCTGGCATGCCAAATCCGTCGACCAAATAGTATTGTGGTTAGCTAATCTATTTTAGTAAAAATTGGGCTTTGTATTTTGATACCTGTATACTGGCTTTCTTGGGATGTCCGTGGTACTACCAAGAAGGGGTAACACCCACCCCCAAGGCTCTTATCAGCGCGAATCTTCGCAGACAGATTATGAGTTTGAATGTTACTTTTTATCAACGGGCGCAGGGGCTCAGTGACTTTTGTGTTTTTCGTCATGCTCGAATAGAAAAGATATCAAATTTCAAACGTTTCCCAATCCAGGGGTAAGTCAGCAAGATTGTAATTCAGCAAAGTCGCGTCGCAATTGATTAGCACTTACGCAAATAGGAATCGCCAGCTTTTAAGCAACGTCATGTAGCGAACTGGCTAACAAAAAGAGATTTGATCCAGGAGCCATCCATTACCACATATCGTACGCATGTCAATCACAGCGCCTGGCGACTCTATCGACCTACTATACAGACTGACACAATTCGATTTCGTAGCCTAGTCTACGTGAATAGACGAATCTCTACCTCCTCACACCGCCAGATACCGTGCGACCACCCGGATGTCGCAGCCAAAGATCTGGTCAGCCGACCTCCAAATCATTATCTTTCCAGTCTACATACCTTTAGCACCGCTTTTCAGGGCCGGTGATGAGTTAGTATTACTAGCCCTTACAGCAATACAAAACACCATCACGGCCGCGATGCAAAACGAGCAACGGGCTACAAATATTATCCTTTCCGGAGAATTTAACCGATATTATCCACTATGGGGAGACAATCACATCTCACCTAGATTAATCGAGGATGCTAGTGACCTGATTAACTTGTTCCAAACTCACAACCTCTATAGCTTCCTCTATCGAGGAACGGTGACTTATTATACCTTAAACAACCTAGGCTAACACTCAACTATTAACCTAACAATGACAGATAGAACAGAACTACTTATAAAATGCTATCTATATTATGAGAACTATAGGTTGGACCACTGTGCCATATGCTCGGAATGGAATATTTAACCCCAGAGTAAATCAAACGACAAAACGAGAAAAGTGTATAAACATGTGGACTAGGCCAAAATCGGCAAGGATGTAGCTCGGAAGATAAGCCCCTAGAAGGCAAGACCCGGCTAACACTTGACTAGATAGTGGAAAATTTCATATTGGCTCAGGCTCAGGCTGTTGACCGATTCACACCCGATACCCGCCTAACACCATACTCTAAGCGATGGTTCACACCAGACCTCAAGGTACAACAGGTCGAAGTCAACCAATTACAAAGGAGGTGGTAGGCAAACCATACGGAGCTTGGACGAGACCATACGGGCACCACTACGGCGTTTCAGGCAATGCAAAAGAAGCGCAGAGCGTAGACTCGGACGATTAAGAAGGCTAAAGCACTACATTGGAAGCAGTTCCTCGATGAAGCAGGTGAAGGGAAGCTATGGAAAGGTGCGACCTATTTAAAGCCTCAAGAGGATTCGAGCTGCGTCCCAGCTCTACGAGTTGGCTCAGAGGAGCTCACCCAGAACGAAGATAAAGCGAAGGCCTTTCTTGAAGCGTTCTTTCCCGTAATGAGCATACCCGATCCTAGCCGACCAATGTCACCGCAGCAGGACCTTCAATAGCCCCCGATCACCAAACATGAGACTGAACGATCATTGAAAGCAGACCGCAGTAGCATAGTCCTGAGAGCGTACCTAGGTGCTGGATTTTTCCACTTGAATTTTGTTTTCCCTTTCCAGATTAGTGCTCACTAAGTCGCCGCTTTTACTCACTAAGTAGATCTAAGCACGGCAGTAGATCTAAGCACGGCTTCCATAGTAACGTGCCTAATGTAGTAACGAGGGACTACCCCTAAGGGGATGTGTTAGAGCCTTGAAGGTGTGTAGAAGGGTGGTATTTCTAAAGCTATAAAGACAGGTATCCTTATATGTACACAACAAAGCCAAGGGATTTAAGGGAAACCACAATCTAAAGAACATAAGATGATATAGAACTAATCAAAGTACAGGGACTAGGTTCCCCACTACAGTATATAAAAATATCGAACAAAAATCTACGAGCCGCTCACTCCTACCTCACCTAGACATTGCCGCTTTAACAGGGTAACCAGGGCAAGTCAGGTAACCAACTAACCCATCCAAGGTGATTCGCTTACCCCAGGTCGCTTATACTCACTCTAACCTTACCCATCCCTCCTCAAACCACACACTAGTTCTTTAACAGCTCACCAATAGAGTCAAAAATACGTCAAGCATAGAGAAATTCGAGGGTAGAAGGGGTAAGTAGTTCCACTGCTACCTACAGAGATTAGCAAGCAAAACCTAGGGGGTTCCCCTACTCCCACTTCTCGCAGCTATTAGAATTTCCAAATCTTTCTTTCTTGCTATTTCCAATTTCCTTATTTTTGGGTTACTTGGATACTCCGAAATCTTTATCTCGGCTGCTTTTTTAATCTCGCGGGGTTTATACTATTTCTACAATGGCCAAGGAAAGAGGCAAGGCAAAAGTTGACAAGAGTGCTTTTGCTAAAGCCAATGGCTATTTTCGTGGGGTAAACCGGGAAAAAAGACAGTATTCACAACGAAAACAAGTACTCTGATGATACAATCGAACTTCAAAACAGAGCCTTAGAAGAATACCAAAAGTATGCTTCTTTCACTCCATGTTGCTTAGATTCAATTCTAATCCTCGTTAGATAGATTACTGAAGAGGACGAGATCAGTGAAGACGAATGTCTTCAAAAAAGCAAAGCGTGACCTACGCTATAAGGTATTATACACAAATTGACCTGCTTAACTGGCAAATTACTCACGGCTTGTTGGCATTAGTATTTGCCGACAGAGCTCTTTTTGATATTGATTCTCTTGAAGAATTAGAACGTTGGGATCCTGAGAACAATAAGCCAATTCTAATACTGTGGAATTCAGCAGTAGCAAAAGAACCAATTATGCGGATGGTTACCAGATCTGGCGGCGCCTCTAAAGATCCCTTGACCCGTTACATATTTTGCCTTCTGTTTAGGACCATCGTTTGTAATGCAGGATACTTTGAGATTATTACAATCCATAGTTTACGTCGAGGCCTTGCAAATAAGATTGACAGTGAGTGGCATTCAAGATTGAAAAAATGAAGATGCTCATCATTTTACAGAGGTAGCAACAGAAGCAGAAAGGGGCCAGCTCCTAACACAGAAGGATCCGAATGTCTATGGCTAGAGCGATATTGATAATACTTTAGCTTTGAGTAGTATGTATGTCTTCCTTGGCGGAAAAATGCGCCTAGACCATATTAAGTACCTTCGAGACGTTGAAAAATATCGCGAGAAGGGTTAGGCAAGACGTCTGCAAGCCAAAAAGCATCATGCTCTTCAAAATGATACTGATTTGTAAGAGCTTCAGCTGCAGTTTCAGTAGTTGGAATTAGAAGATCACGATCTATTTGAACTTAGTATTATGAAAAAAACGTGTGCAAATTCTCAAAAATCGCCTTGAAACCGATACTTTCAAGAAATACCGAGAGGCCTGAGTTCAAATCCACCTAGAAGGAAAAGTCATATCCAGAGGATATCGATTCCAAGTAGTGTTATGCAAAATGATGTATCACGTTGTCTTTTCATGATTCTTCCTGAACGTCAGCATCTCGCGAAGATGATTACCTCTGATAAGATCCTCTTTCACAATGAAACACTCTCTGTAGTTAGAGATCTGCTAGCATTATGCAAGCGAGATTATAATGTCTTCTTTCGACCTGGTGAAAAATCACCGAACGGTGTATGTCTGGCCGGGGACTGCAATATTGCCCTTGAAAAGTAAGCCAGCATTCCATATATATTGATAGAGCTTCTGCTGATGTTCTTAGATTGCCTTGACCGTAACGAAGCAATCACATTCAGGATTGCCGACTCCGCGAACTCTGTAATACATATAAATACGAAAAAAAGAAGTGAAATACTGTGATGAATGCTCCGATATCATCACAGGAAACCGATTGGAGGATTACTGTTAAGAACATCTTTCTTCAATCACTTCACAGCGTTGTGAGATAATCACCTATTGCGTTACGCTTATTCGACCAGGGTATTGTCCTCTGTGCCTGGGCAACGAGTCTCTGCTACCATCCCAACGTGTGAGACACTGGAAACCAAGCAATGATTTAAGAGCCCATGTACTAGAGGGTATAAGAAAGATGGAAGGCAAATATCCGTGTACCCATCCCATATGTTGTACAAATTGCGCCAGTGAAATCGACCTCTGTTACCATTTAAACGATATACATAGATTGCAGAAAGCAATCTGGGACAAGAAAGACATACTCGCCGGTGTTGTCAATGACCTGGTATCTGAATATAATGACTGTAGAAGCAGCATAGGGAGCAACAGACAGTCTTCTCAGGATGAAGACATTAATGTAGAGATCAAACGGGAAAAACAAAATCGAAGGATATATCAAAAGTTAGTTGGGAGCCTGTGTTAATCTATTGGTAAGGGAAACCTTAGCTTGATTGTGAACCAGGTCATCAGACATTCCCTCCATAAGCTAACATTGAAAATAAATACAATCTATATACTCATGAGTCATGCGGAACCTTTTCATCGAGAAAGACTTGGTGAAAAATACCCGGGTGCGCATTCTAGAGCTATGCTGCCATATCGTGCACGTCGAGCTAATCGTCGAGCTAATGATCTGCGACGACAACATAGCATCCTCAATCCTTATTTTCCTTTATCTCCCAGGATGTATCATTGGTGGGTGGAAGATGAAAGTTCCAACTAACTTTTTATATATCTCTTTCTTTTTCTCTTGAAAGAAAATCTAAAGGTTGAAGGTGGTAAAGAACGAAAAAGAATTCATGGAGATCTCAAAATACACAGAAAAAAAGAACGTAACAAATATAATCAAGACTTAAAAAGTAAAAAGCAAGTTGTCTTCAACGTTCCAGGAGTAAGACTCCTTCAAGTCCTCACTGGAATTCTACAAAAGTAATAATGGACAGTATCATCAAAATGATTACTCTGTCCAAGAACTTCCACTCCATATTGCTGATATAATGGAAGACCTTGTTGTGTCGATATGAAGTACATCGGAATCTGGTCAATGGCAGCCTGGTTCATACCCCATTCGAACAACTTTCTTGCAATTCCTTGCCGTTGATACGTGGGATGGGTAGCCAGCAATCTCAGATCTAATTCATCAGAAAATCATCTTGCAATAACGTTTACTTCTCGCAATATCAATTAAACTCACACCAGTGATCATCAAGATTCTTCCAAATTAGTGGCCTGGCACTACTTATCTGCTGCTGGAACAGTTGACAGACATTGGCTCGAGCAGTAGACGGAAGAGGTGGACGCTTTAACTTGGGATATTCTTGAAGCCTTTCCAATTCACGATCATGTTTAATGTAGCTTTCTGGAGATAGCCAGAATGCCGCTGCTACTGTTCGGTCTTCTTGATCTGTATCGATCGCCTTCCACATAATTGAGCAAGGATTTGATCTCAAAAGGTGTTCTAGATTTCCCTCCTCATATTTGCGAGTTGAATCGGTATAAAGACCAGTTTTTAGATCAGGAGGAAAGCGTTCATCTTGGTCGATAGCACCAGACCGTGCGTGCGACATGATTTCAATTATATCGGGAATATCGGCCTGTGTGGCCCGTCTCATTTCGATTGGCATGACGTATAAATTTTAAACAAAATTTTTTTAAAGAGAAAAAATGAGTTAAAGTCTTGGAATAGTTTGTGGGAAGTAATCCAAAATTATGTGTAGTTTTCTGTTCAATGCTAATTTCTTGAAATGAGTCACTTTGCCTTTGACTCGTTTTGATTTTTAACCCCCCCCCCCCCTGTTACCTTATCGCGTGACTAGGGCCATACTTAGCTATGTTAGATTACCGTCGGCTCAAAGTATTTCTGCTATGTAACACTATATAGTGTAGTTTCCTATGTACCTACATCCCCGGGTGAATGGCTCAGATTAAAGGATTCTTGATAGGGTCTGCTCTCTCCCACCATAAATTTTATTAATGAAAAATGCGAATCCATGCGAATCAACATATGATGTTTCTGTGAGTTCTGAATTAATAACCATGCATATTGAAATACAGGAAAATTCAACTAAGGAATCCAGAATTATATTTTATTTTGTATATCTCAATGAAGTAAAGTCTGAAAAGATCACAATTCTACTTTTGTGATATAGATTTAATCCAGGCTTCTAAGCCATTGTAGGCTTTACTCGAGTTAGCTAAACATCAATATATGTATAAATTCCAACGTAATTTTTAAGGATATATTCAAAGAGAGCCTCTTTTTCCTTTCAATTTCACATTGAAGTATCAGATTTTATCAGTAATATCTGGCAGTAAAATGCATACAATGGATCTGATAATGATAGTGCTAATAATTATTTACATTGATTCAAAGAGAATCAAGCGGGTTAAGTGGGGAGGATAATCAAAGTAAAGAAAGGTAGCGAAAGGGCTATCTATAGTTTTAAATCTACAAAAGTCCCCTAAGCCAGAGGGCACCGCTTTCCAGTTGAATTCAGAAGTCCGGTATGCTTGCCATCTAACAGGGGGCCGGCTGGCTTAGTCTATTGTGGCTTATAAAAATTACGTATACAATCGCCAGAACATCTACCCTCCACCCCCTTCCTTTACTTTAAAAATACCTTCCAGCACAAAAATCGTAATACGGCGCTAAAATAATGTAACAAGGTATGCTTGTATATATAGCGTGGGGTAACTCTTGTGATTAGTGCTGTCGGGATGGTCTTGATGGAGACCTTCAATGCATGACTGCCACGTATGTATATGACTCTAAGCTTTGGTTCGGGGGGAGGGGGATGATCAATATTTGTTCAACACCAGTCTTATGTACGTGGTATCAAAATTGTCAGGATTGAGGATTGAGAACTCGCGTAAAATCTTCTTAGAAGCGTAACGTGTTCAATAACAGGCCCCACATAATATTGCAACGATTATGTGGGGCCTGTTAGAGGTGGAATGGTTTGATAACGTATCATCGCTGTAAGATAGATATATTTCAAGATAAATCCATTAGCTTAGAGCCTGTTGGGCTTGGGGGATTTTGTGGATAAAAGTCGTCAACGGTATTATGCTAATATGAGACAATTGATTGCGACCCTACACTGTAACGCTCGGCTAGTTGTAGTTTGTGTATATCTAAGTTTTGAGAAATACAGTCCACTACTACTTAGTCTAGTAAGTTGGATCTAGGATTGGAGGAAGTTTAAAGGGGCAAACATTCTTTTAGATATTAAAGCGGGGAACACCACAAGGCTGTGTTTTCTAGGATACACGGGTCGAATCAGTTACAATGAACAAACCAACACCAACGTGCTTGGTGTAGTAACGAGGGACTACCCTTAAGGGGGTGTGTTGGAGGTGTGCAGAAGGGTGGTATTCTAAAGCTGTAAAGACAGGTATCCGTATACGTACACAACGAAGCCAAATGACACAAGGGAAAACACAATCCGAAGAACACATGATGCACAGAACCAATATTTAGCCTTAATCAAGGTCAGGGTAAGAGGAGTCGTCCTTCTTCGCGTCTCGAGAAGATCTAGTCATATTTTGATTACACAAAAAAACAAGCAATTGAATATTCCCTCAGTCAACAAGCTCCCTCGCACAAGCCATGTCATACATTCAGAAAACATGTTCACGGGAAAGCAGCAATGAATTCTGTCGTGATATGGAGATACAGGACGACGGAATCCATACGAAGGATGAGAATTGCGGTCTTTTACATGAGGATGATCCTCACCTTTCCCTAGCAAAGGAAAGCACCCCGCATCCAACATTACGACCACTTCTCATTCATGGTCTGCTCGTCACATTTTACACACTTTTATTCTTATTCTTCTTTTGGTTCTCGCATCACAAACCTGTCGAGCGATTGTGCAGGTCAAACCCTGTATCTGTTGTTGCATTGGACGATCTGAATATCAGTTACGTTCCCCAGATCTTCAATAGACTCGCCGGCAAAGGCAATCACACGACAAGCTTGGCCGGACCACCCACTCCAGAGCGCGATGCAGCATGGAGAGAATTCTCTCTCCCAATGAATATAAGGGTCCAGAAAGACGAGCTGGACAGGAGCAATATGGAAAGCGTTGCTTTGCCGAACGGAGGTTTCATGGGTCGCCTGGGGTTTTATCATGATATTCACTGTTTGGCATTATTGCGTCAATGGAATTACAGAGAGCATTATTACGGTGATATAGACAACTCTCAGAAACGGTTTCTTGAGGAGCATGCGGATCATTGCATTGAGATGTTGAGATTGAGTACCATGTGCCATGGCGATGCCAGTCTGCAGACTTTTAAGTGGCCAAAAGACTTGGATGGTAAAGATATGGAGGAAATTGTACCAGAGTTCGATGCTCGAAGCCCTAGTGTTCATGCATGTGTAGACTGGGAGTCGTTGACTGACAGTTTACGAGGGAGAGAAGTTAGCCGCGATGAGATAAAGCTGCTCCGATGGCCGGGGAACTCATAGCCATGTGGAAATCTATGACAATTCAGAAAATTTTAGTGAGAAAAAGAGAATGAATTGATTGTGGTTGATCAAGAAGTAACTAAACTGTTCTATTCAGAAGCAGGAAACTAGCTAGGCAGGAATTTCCTTGAACCAAGCTTCTTTTCTTTGATCCTCTGTAGGGTGGTTGTTTGGATGTTCCTCAGCATTATGGCGCAACGCCCATTCCTGTAACTTGCTAAAGTTTCTACAAGTATGCAGATTATCTAAATCCGGCACGGTCCTGTTCCTGGCCTCAATCCAGTCCACAGTAACTAGTGAAATATCCCCATTACACATCAATGTCTGCCGAAGTGAATCAATGCAGTGGTCAAGGTGATAGATATTCTTGATACTCCTCTCCGGTATTTATGTTGTAGCGAGCCTTGTCTGTAATCTTAAGCTCTATAAGGACCATCTTACTATTAAGTTTATTAAGTAAGTCTATCAATTTGTCAATATTAATCAGCATTCTATCCGCCTTTTTAAGGAGCTATATTCCCCTTCCTCTTTGTTCACACCGGTCAACTATCCTAAGCTATTAGCCCAATTATGACTCTGCTTGATTAATAGACTTTTAGAGGTCGGAAAGAGTATCTCCGGAGATACTCTTCCAGATCAAGACGGTACGGCTACGGTCACAAAAAGACTGGGCTTTGGCAGCGAAAGTTAGGACTACAATATATACCTGGACGAGAGCCGTCTTAACGTATTGATCGGTATTCGGGTCCTTCTGATATTCCCCCTCCATAAAGCTATATTGGGTAAGGATATCTACAAGGAATGCGTTTGATTCCAACCAAGCTACTTTCTGACTGTGATAGATTTGCGTTATCTAAACGTCATAACTATTAGTTACTTAGCCTTTGATTTTTCAGGGTGGAGATAAAACAGCATATACTCAACCTTAAAGATATAATTACCCAGACGCTGGTTGCATACCCTGTCGGATCAAATACCGTAGCTGCCTGGATAAGGTCCTAAAAGCTAAGAATGGCCTTGATGATTTTCTAGGTTAGCTCTTAATCTTGGATTTTTGTTGATCAATTTTATAATAGGTTTTCACGGCTTTGAATACCCTATTTAATGCCTTTAAATGGCCTACGACACCGGGATTAATGTTCATATGACTGGAGTCGATACTATTGTTGGATTCTGGTATCAATATAGACTGGATTAGTTCTTATTCTTTAGGCTCGAGGCCATTAAAAGCCTGTTGCCATAGATCTGGTTTCGAGGCAGAGGCGGAGGCGGATATATAGTGATTATTCGAAGAATCTTCCGCGGATTGGGTTCCCTGTCTATACCCCAAATTCTTCAGACCGTCTTTATCTGAGTGATTGTTCTTATCTGACGGCTCTTCTTGAATGAAGTGATTCTTTAATCGCTTGAATCTATCACGGACCATGGCTGAATAGATGGGTTCTCAAACTAATGTAAAGGCGTCGTTGTTTACGGATGAATATCTTGGGTAGAATCGTCAGGCAGGGAGAGAGCGGGGTTCAGCACTTCTTAGGTATATTACCTAAACTAGAGGATATTTGCTTTTTATCAGCATTTGAGTATAAGTTAACACTACTCTAAACTAAAGGCTATATGAAAGTTCAATCCATTCAAAATAGTAAAGAAGGCCTTATACTTTCAGATATATCCAATCTAAATATTCCAAATTTTACTTTTTACTCCAGGAAACACGGACGGAAGGGCAACATTGGTTGGACCTGACAAAGTAACGGGATTAACAGTCGGCCCGAGCCGACCCACACCATTTCCGTGTGATACCCCGACCACCTTGGTCCAAGTTGGCGGCGGCATCACAATCATGGCGCCCAGACTTGCACTTTCCCAACTTGAAATGATCCGCGACATGATTATTAGTCAATCACTGACTACATCTCAAATGGCCGAAGCAGCTGGCTGCAGCAAACGTTCAATCATAACGATCAGCGCAAACCTCCGAATGTTTGGCGATGTCCGGGCACCCTTGATCCCAGGTGGCCGCCCACGTGTAATCACGCCAATCATGCTCGAATCGCTGTGCGATCACCTATTAGAGAAACCGGATTTATATCTGGATGAGATGGCAGAATTTTTGTTCGATGAATTTGAGGTGGTCGTATCCTCGTACACCATCAGCCGGGCTCTTCGTTCGCATGGCTGGACCAAGAAGGTGGCTCAACGGATCGCTCAAGAAAGGAATGCGGATCTGAGAGACTACTATCTGCACCAGCTATCAGATTTCTGCTCGTACCATTTAGTCTATATAGATAAATCAGGATGTGACAAACGAGCTGGCTTCAGAAGAACTGGTTGGTCTCCCCGCGGCGTGGCACCGACCCAGATTTCCCGTTTCCAGCGAGGTCAGCGATATCAAATTCTTCCAGCGTACTGCCAGGATGGCATTTTAATGTCGCGAATATTCCAAGGGTCAACTGATGCTACAATGTTCGAAGACTTTATTGAACAGCTTCTGGAGCACTGCGGCAAATGGCCGGAGCCAAAGTCTGTCCTTGTTATGGACAATGCGTCTTTCCACCATACCGAAAGGATAAGAGAGCTGTGCTCGAATGCCGGTGTCAAGCTGTTATACTTACCACCGTACTCACCTGACCTGAACCCAATTGAGGAGCTCTTTGCAGAGCTCAAAGCATTTATAAGACGTAATTGGCAGAAGCACGCCGGTGAAGATTTCAAAGAATTCCTTGAATGGAGCCTAGATATCGTCGGATCAAGGGGTAAGAGTGCACAAGGTCATTTCCAACATGCGAATATTGAGGTTGAAGAATATTGAAATTAGATACATTATATACTGTACAGTACATGTTGTCGAGTACAGTGACTTTTTTATAGTACTACCGCATTTACTCTGGAAAGTTTCCTCATTTGAGTTGTTTTGTAGAGGCTTCTGCATACCCAGAATGAAGCTACGGATGGTACATGTACAATAAAAGCGTAGTCATGGTTTGTTGTCATTTTGAGGGGTTTAGTCTAACGTGAAGTCCGGTTGCGCGGGCGACCCGGTTGCGCGAGCGACCCCACCAAAAATACACTTCAATAACAACACCTCTTTTTTAACCATCACAATAATGCCCCCCCCCAGCGCTCTGATAAAAAAAAAAGTTGACGGAGCAGGAGGGTCGCCTTTTATTAGCTATAAAAGCTATAAAAGATGGCAAGTATCCCTCTGCTGCCGCTGCTGCACGATCTTTTGAGATACCTGTCTCAACTTTGAAGGCCCGGATCAATGGGCGCGAATCTGCTACTGAAAAGCGACACAATCGCTTTATTTTTACCGAAGCTGAGGAGGGATCGATTGAAAAATGGCTACTGGATATGGATTCTAGAGGGGCAGCTCTTACTTTGCCTATGTTGCGAGATATGGCTAATCTTCTACTTGATGCCCGAAAAACTACACCCTCTACTGTGGGTAAACATTGGCCTGCTGAATTTATCAAACGACGCCCAAATCTCTCTACTCGCCTCTCTCGTAGATACGATTATCAGAGAGCTCTTTCAGAAGACCCTCGAATCATTAAACCATGGTTTGATTTGGTTCAAAGGACGATAGAAAAGTGGGGTATCGCTTCAGACGATATCTTCAACTTTGATGAGTCTGGTTTTGCGATGGGTATTGGCGCAACACAAAAGATTATCACTTCAGCGGAATACCATGGGAAAAGAGCTCTTTTACAAGCTGGAAATCGTGACTGGGTGACTTCGATTGAGTGTATTAGAGCTTCTGGAAGTGTTCTCCCGCCGCTTTTTATTTTTAAGGGAAAAAAGTTTCCAGAGCATCTACGCCCTTATCTCCTTTTAAATCAAAAAGGAGCTCGTTTGACTATAAGCGAAAATGGCTGGACTACCAATACAATTGGTTTATGGTGGTTAAAATATCATTTTATCCCAAACATTGGGATAAGAGTGGGAAAATATTGCTTATTAGTCCTTGATGGTCATGGGAGTCATTTAACCCCTGAATTTGACCAAATCTGTGAAGAAAACCAAATCATCGCAATCTGTATGCCTCCTCATGCTTCTCATCTTTTACAACCTTTGGATGTGGGTTGTTTTTCGGTTTTGAAGAGGCTTTATAGAGGAGCGGTCTCGACTTTGATGCGAAACGGAGTTAACTCTATTGACAAGGAAGATTTCCTTGAACTGATCGCAGATGCGAGAATGGGTACTTTTAAGTCTTCTACTATACAGAATAGCTTTTCAGCTACTGGATTAGCACCATTCGATGCTAATAGGGTCTTGGAATAGCTAAATTTACACCTGGATTCCCTTCCTTCTTTGGAGATCCTTTCTCAGCGACCAGTCTCTTCTGGTAGCGATAGCGATCCAAATACTCTCTGGACCCTTTCAAAGTTTATAAAATCGCAATCTCGGGTCAAAAAAGGTCTACAATCTTCTTCTTCAATCCTTTCTTCGCCTACAAAAAAGGAGATTGAGAAGACCTACGAGATGACTATAAAAGTGGTCCACCACCATATTTTTCTCCAGAATCGCTGCACTCAATTAGAGGCTGCCAATAAGAGACAGACCAAAAAGCAAGAGACCAAACATAAGTTTACTACCCAGAAAGGCATCTTTGGGGGTCTAGAAGGTGGTCAGGACGATGTGGTGGTCGAGGATAAGGATGAAAGCAAAGATATATCTTTACCACAGGTGCAGGCAGAACCAACAATTGAGCCAACTTTACCCTCTGTGCCCTTGGTTCGACGACAAATAACCTGTTCTGCGTGTGGGATTAAAGGTCATGCTTATACTAAGTGCCCTGGACGTGTTTAATAGTCAATATTTTATTATTTTTGTGGTTTTAATAGTTTTTAAAAAATGGTAGTTTTTGAAAATTTGGTGGGGTCGCTCGCGCAACCGGGTCGCCCGCGCAACCGGACTTCACGTTAGAGAGTCGTATTTCATGACGTAATGTACATAGGTCCATTTAGATCTACCCATTTCTCTGGCTAGCGTCTTGGCAGTGGGGCGCAGAAAGAATGGAAGAGTGTAAATTGGTGAAGCTGGTTTTGCTGCCAGCTGTATCATTACTTTGCTGCGCCTACAGGTACCGGGTTCCACAACGAGGGTTACGGAGAAGTTGAACCCCTTTCTAAGCCCTGGAGTTATTTATAGAACCCTTAACAGTACTCATCTACTACTGGTAATAAAAAACACAGATTGCATCAACAATTATGGCAACATTTGAACATTGAAGGACATTAAAATGGACAGGGAAAAAAGATAAAATACAAAGTCCTTAAGACCAGCCACAATCAAATCACTCGAAGCGAAAACAATTCCAAAATTTATGCAACGGCGCTATTTGTTTTATGGGACATATGTATGCACCTGGGGAATAAAGACGATGAGAGCCAAAAATACACAGAGAAAATCCAATGGACAAAAAAGTATTTCACGTTAAACGCCGTCGCTATGCGGTATGGTTGGGGTTGTGTCGCTTTGATGCATCATGCGCCTCGACACGAATGTTGAAAAGGAGGTCGTCAATCTCACGAAGAGCATCTTGACCCAAGGTGGCATGTTTCATAGTATTCAACAGATTCTTGAGAGATTCGGTGATTCCTGCCTCGCTGGTATCAGGCTCAGGAGGGGGGATGGAGTCGGTTTGAATTGCTGCTGTGGTGATAGTTGTGACGGGTTCAGCTGCATCATCATTCGAAATCGTTTCGGTATCCACATCCATTTGCTCATCCAAGACTGGAGGTGCTGAATCTGTCTCCTGGGAATCAGTTAATTCCTCTGTGGAGACTGGAGGAACATCGGCAGTTTCATGGATTTCAGGAAGGATGAGATCGGAAACGATTTCAACGTGGGGGCGTTCGAGTTGTTGAATAAATGGTTCTGAGGTTGTTGACTCAGATTGCACCAGTGTCTGGCTGTCTCCTTGTCTTTGGGATGAACGCGTAGATCGGGTACTACGGGTGGATTGGGAGGGCACTATGCTCTCTTTTACAGGAGTGGATTTCTTCTCGCTGCGCAAAGATTTGCGGGCCGGCTTGACAGGTGATGGCTGAGTCGACTCTTGAGATTCGACTTCCATTAGGGCGGGATCAATGGGTTTGGGGGAAGTTGGTGGATCAGGAGCACCAGAGTCATCTTTGCGCTGGGAATTACGCGTCGATCGACGAGGCGTGGGTGTAGATGTTGAAACTTCAGGTACTGGAACGGCGAGAGACTCGTGAGAGGATTGAGAGATATCTGGCTCTTGAGACAGTGAAGCAGCATCTTCTTCGAGATCGACGGGTATCAGTTCCTTGGCAGTAGAAAGTCTAGTCGAGCGACGTTTCTCTGAAGCGGCGGTTGAAGGCTCGTCATCTACACTTCGCTTTCTCTTCTTCGCTCTCGTGCTCTGTGAAGGAGTGGGTGCTTCAATACTGGGCTCCTCTTGAGGCTCCTCTTGCGTCTCTTGCGGCTGGCTACATTGATCCGCAGCGAGAACCAAATCTTGTGAAAGCTGGGATGCAATTTGCATATCCAAGTCATCGCCCGAATCCAGGTAGTCCGGGACTACCGGGGTTGGCAAGGCATCATCTCCCTCATCAGCGGATTGCTCCACCTGTTGCTGGCCATTGTCAACTTCCGGCTTTGTTGAAGATTTCTTCTTCTTCCGAGACGCTGATTTGGATCTGGAGCTACGAGCAGAAGGGCCCTCAATTGGCCTAACCGGTGTTCCGCTAGGGGTTGCGGCCGGCTCCGAATTTTGGTCATTTTCAGTGCTCTGGCTCAAAGCAGATCGAGTACGCTTGTTTAGTGGTTTTTGATCCACCTGAGGAGCTGCATCATTTTCTTTCGGATCCTCGGTCACAGGAACGCTGGACGCTTCTGCGGTATCATCCAACAGGGCCACATGAGAGCCGTTGAGTGCTCGCTGCGTGCTGGCGCTTCGACTTCGACGGGCCCTCTCTCGTCTTGCTGATCTGCGTCGTGCATTCTTTGAAAGCCTCGAGATTTTCGAGGGACTCGGGCTGCGAGAAGTAATCTCGGGTGGGGATGATGGAATATCTGCTACATCATCCATAACAAGATCATGGGGTTGCAAAACAGGCGCATCGATGTTCACCGCAGGGGTCGGGTCCCGAGTGGCTGGGGTGGGAGACGACCCAATAAAAGCCTCCTCATTCTCAGCTAGTGCAAGGGTTGGAGTCAAGGGTACTTCAGATGCCGAATGTGAGGCGCGCAGTCTACGCAGATGTACGGGCGTATCGAAGCCCAGTCCCCCAGGGGTATTTGCAGGCGATGAGGATCGAATAGAATCAATCATTTGGAAGATATCCCGCCGATTGCCTGGAAAAGAGGAAATCGAATAATTTCCACTATTCTCAGACTGAATGTTTGCAGGTAGCTGCGGCTCGTCTACTGACTCTGAAGTCCCTGGGGCTAGTAGCTCGCTGGGCCCGATGACAGGAGACGAGTTAAACTGGGCATATTTCTGAGATGTAGTTGATGCGGATGCAGTCATAACACGGGAAATTGATCCGTCAATTGGCCTTTGTGCGGCTAAGATCGGCAAGGTATTCTTGAAAGTCATTGTTAGTGATCGTCATATATGGAGAAGGCTAGGAGACAAGGATACCTCTGTGGATTTTCCAGACAGTTCGATCAAATTAAGAGTATGTAGAGCGGCCTTGAATGACTCCCCGATGGAGGTCTCAGCGGAGGCCTCATCAGCGTGAGAGGCTGTCGATGACCAGAAATCTGCAAATCTTTTGACCCTAGACGCATGTGAAGACTCCAAACCAGCACAGATAACACCATTATACGGTTTCATAGAAGGCACATCATCACGAACGGAGGATTGCAAGACATTGATAATAGCAAATGTTAAAGCCCGGCACTATCGACTAGTCAGTATAATGCGGCATTTTTTTCCATTTGAGAATTGAGGACTTACCGATGTTAAAATCCGGCTATCCGCGCCATTATCGACAGAAAACTTGAACTCCTTATCTTGGACCAATGAAATTAGAGCCGGTTGAAGGGTTTCAAGGAGTCGTGATCGAAAGCGGAGAGCACCAGAGACCAGGAAAGAAGTGAGCGACTCGATGAAGCGGGCAAGACCTTGAGTCTGAGAAGCGTTGAATCCGTCATAGGCGAATCGAAGAGTCCTGCCAATAGACTCTACCAGTTTGGTCGGAAATGGAATAGGCTGCATCTGTTGAGCGACGGTGTACATATTTCCTTCATCATTGCCTTGCAAGAAAGGAATTGACAAAGACTGGCTTAGCAAAGATGCTGAAGGCAAAGTGGTATCCTGGACTGGGAGATTGATGAGTATTTCGGCCAAGGGCTCGATTATGAGAGCAGGAAGATTATGTTCTCCCTTTTCCGTTCTTGCCACTCGTACGAAAGAACTCAAGAGATGGGTCCATTCTTGGAATACATCTTGTAGCTTAAGTCCAGAAGCGAGAATCTTGGTAACATTGTCGTAGTCACGAGAAACAGATCCATCGCGCTCTCGGGCGGACTCCATTGGGAATGACTGCAAAGCATCAGCAGCGGCCCGTGCGCTGGCCTTCCAGACGACTGCCAAGAGTGGTGAAGATGACAATTCTGGCTTCGGCAAGTCGGCACACTGTTGTAAAAGTTCGAGACGGGATCCACGCGAGATTCTACCTTTGCAAGATGCCTGAATAACTCCTTCAACGAGACGGACATACTCTAAAGTTGGCGTGGAAGATAGACAAGTCTCACTGATTGCTCGCAGAAGATGAAGAATCGGGCTACTCAGGTTTGTCCCGGATGTGGATTGGCGGTGTGTGGGAGTGTTAGAGCTTTGGAATGATCCATCAGACGCTTTCAAAAGCAGTCTCTCAGTAAATGGGATGCTCCCCAGAGAGATGATCATAGTCGTAGCCAAAAATTGAATGCGCTCGAAGAAAACGTTGGGCTCGTTATCAGGCACATTGAGCGAAGAGGGACCAGCATTCCAGAGACGCTGCAAAAGTGCAAGAACACTCGCAACAGCTTGCATGGACTCCGAGGATGGTGTGATCTCTTTGCTCGAAGCCAAAGATAGTGCACTAGCAAGGCTGCTCCACGCCAGGGCAATGTTTGACTTTGCAAGATCATTGTCATCCCAGACTGACGCCTTTAGCAAAGATTCAAAGACTTTCAAGATTGTCGATACTCTTGAGCGCACCCATTTTGAATCAATGGAAGGAAGCTCCTCAGGCCTGATCTTGCTCACGTCGTTGATGCGAGATTCCGACCAAATTTTGAGTTGGGGACTCCATAGAATATGAGTCAAAACGCGAGCTTGCATGTCGCTGAATGTGGAGACGGATGAGAATGTAGATGTAGTAGGGTTGGCGATGAACTCTTCCCAGATGAAGTCCAGGTGATTTTGGGATGGAGAAGGACGGAAAGTATAGTACAGCAAATTGTAATAGCTTTCCCGGGCTAGTTGAGCGGGTGCTGAGCCTGGTTTGTCGGACTTTCGTCGTTCAAACTGCGAGAGGATTGGCTTGCTTAGCATCTTGAGCAGGGTCTTATCTGTAAATTCATTGGGATTCATGGCATAAATGAATCGATTCCAGCCCAAAATTGCCTGTCCTTTGATAGAGGGCTCGCTGCAGTTAAAACATCTCTGGAGGACGAGAAGCCAATCCTTGAAATGTTCCCACTGCTCCAAGTTCCAGTTCTTAGACCTTAGAAGGAGAATAATTACGCTCCAGATCTGCGGAACATGAACTCCACTTTCAGCGGTCGGCATCATGCGGCCCATTCTTTCTTTAACTTCTGTGATCAGCTTCCTGTCTCTATCCAGTGATTGATCAAAGAGGTCTCGGAGACTTCTGGAGAGTGTGTAGTTAGGGCCCATCACTATCGCGATTTCGAAGCCTAAATTAATTGCTTTTAATCGGGTGTCTTTGATCGGATTCAGTAGCCCGGAGACCAAATGCTCTACCCACAAAGTAGCCTGGGACACGAATGTTGATCTGGACTGGGAAAGAAGGCGCTGGTAGATGCTTAAACGGTGGAGTGCAATTCCTTTACCAGACACGTGTTTGGTAATATCTTGCAAGGCTGTAAGAAGGCGAATGATTCGAGCGTTCGTCATGACTCGAGGACCGAAATTTTGGGAAGACAGGATGGACATGTAGTGCGTCAAGACGGATTTTGGTGCTTTGACTTCGTACAATGAAGTAGTTCCATGATCTACCAAAAAGACCTTGAAGTCTTCAGATAGCTGCGATGCGACATCTGAATGCCAGACAAACGCATTTGCCAACTTCAAGGCCTGGTTGGCAACATTTGTATCCACTGGACCGTTCACAGAGTCTCGACTGACATCCCGTTGGATGAAGCTAGTGATAAGGCTCAATTTCTCCGCAATGGCTTTTGTTGACGGCAACCGGTCGTAAGTGCGAAGCGTGTTGAAAAACTGCATGTAGGCATCGCGTCTCGAGGTGATGGATTCGCCAGCTAGCTGTTGGATGACGGATTCAAGGAGCATTGTCAGGGATTCGGAATTGGATGTTATATCAACTTGCTGTGGCGCAAAAACTGGGATTGGAGAGTTCGACTCCTTGAGAATTGACTTGAATGGACTGGCCCACGGTTTAGGATCCTTCCGCATGAACGGGCTATCCTTGGGCACTGGCTTCAGCGGATCCGGGAGTTCGATTGTAGTACAGAGGTACGGCGACCAGCCCACTTGTTTCGATCCCCGACTCGAAGGGGCTACTCTGGTTGAATTGACAGTCTGCGGTGTTGCGGCGAGGGTCTGATTCGGGGTTTCGATTTCGGTTTCGCTCTCATCGATCCGTGAACCTGGCCTGGGAGGTGTGGGTGGGCGAGCCGGCAGAGGGCCGAGTATCTCCACCATGGTTCAAATCAGGGGGGTGCGAGAAGGGGAAGAAGAGACAAGGACCATTGCTTTTTGAAATTGGCTGGAATGGTCAAGTCAAGGTGATCGATCCCATGGAAGGGTTTGAGCGCGGACGTAGCTAGGGCCAGCGGTGAAAACTGGTCCGACGCGGCGGAGCGCGTTAAGTGCCCGCGTGATCGACCGCCTTCGTCTGACGCGCTTTTTCTTGACCGCGAAGTACAGATCAGGTTCAGTTGTTGCAGCTTTACTGATTTGTTTTATTTATGGTAAAGTTGAATTTATCATTTAACTCTGTTATTTTTTCCAAAACTCGAATCTTGGAGATACTATGTCGTGTCTTGTTGCAATAACTGACGATGCCAGCACGAGATACGAATACAAACACGGCACGTCAAATTTGATACATGACTCTGGCAGTCCCCATTCCAATTCATCTTTCAGCCACTGGAATTTAAAATTTCTTATTCAAGTTTCGAGGCCCTCGAAGCCCATGATTGTTACTGATGCATTCAAGTTAAACCTGTTAGGTACCACTCAGATCACACTGTGGAGAAATTCTTTTACATTTCCAGATCTTGATCCACATTCAAGTTAGAACAATACCCACCCGAACCTGGCAAATTTATGCAGTTAAGACAATAAATACATGGAATTCCATGCCAGTGTATGATGTTTTCAATGTTGCTCAACATATGAAATTCCAAGTAGATCCATGGATATTGACGGGCTATTTAATATCACCTGAGCAGGGTCATGACTCGAACTCCACATACAGGGCTCGGATGCTGCAGATGCATAGTGCATGTGAAGGAATATAGCTTAGGATAAAGGCACTGGATCAATTCACGTCCACGGTGTACTACTAGTACATATGTTGAAAATTATTAGAATGTAGATACTAGCACTTCAAGTTGAGAGAGCTTTAACAAATATCAGTATAAGATCCTGGAATACTATTGCAATTGACTCCAAGGTTCGATCAAGTCACTTGCAGCGCGAGATCGGATGTAATGGTAGATCGATTATGCTGACGATGAGTGATTGCACCACTATGTTCTCTGCAGACCAACGTTGACCATGAATGTACATGTATTGAAATTTGAATTTCCTAGTACCAAGTTAACGAAATACCAACTTCCAATGTTATTTTCAAAATTGATACTCGTTCGAGCTGTTATATGTAGACCAAAGGCGGGGAGCCATGACGTTATGTTATTTCGGCAGTATCGCTCTCCGCCCGCCGAAAAATTATTCGCGGGGCACAGCGATTTCCACCCCACTCCTCCTGCCTATTCATCTCATCTTATTCATTTAAGAAAAGCTGACAGCTTCAAAAACCGTCGATATGTCTAAGCCATTCAACCCCGAGGAGGCGGAGAACCTGGAGGATGTATGTTCTTGAATGTTCCTGTGCGAGAAACCAGCCACTAATCATTCAACAGATGGAGAAGCAGTTCGCAGTCAAAGGTTCGTAGGAGATTTGATGCCCCAAACTTAACCGGGATCATTGGGGATTGGTTGGCTTCAATTTATATCCATGTTCGCGAAAACTAACATCATCTTCATCGTAGCCGTCGAACACCTGATGACATACTGGGCTATCCTGGAGAAGGTGAAGGGCTCCCAGCTGCGCCTCACCAAGATGGACGACGAGATCTACGAATCCTTCAAGGAGGCATTCCCCGAGTACACCCCCACCGATACCCTCAACGAGGACGAGATGAAGAGCAAGGCCGGCAAGGAGAAGTGGCGCAACTGGATCAACAAGTTTGAGAAGAAGATTGACGACTTCAACTTCGGAACCATGATTCGCACCCGTGCCGATGTTGAATACGACCAGGACACCACCATCTTCGGTGTCCGCATGCAGTTCTACGCTGTCGAGATTGCTCGCAATCGTGCGGGCCTTAACGACTGGATCTACGAGCGGTCCCAGAAGGCCAGCGCCTGATCGCATTATCTACACTCGATAGATTTTGGATTTAACTTGTCCAGGTTCAATCCCCCATCCGGGCTACTGTACCGACGGCATGTGGCTACTTCTTTTCCCTCATGGGCTGCTTGAAGCATCATAGGTGCGACAAGAGTGGCGTCAACATCGGAAGTAGTTCGGAAGGAATCATTGATGACCATGTCATTGGAGGACTTACAGCCACGATACCAAGGATGTGATTTATATAGACCTGTTTTAAAGCTCGTGTTCAGAAATTATCATGAACATTGATGACATACCCGCAAATAAAAGAGCATTTGATTACTTCTGATCGAGTTCCCTGCAAACTTGAATATAGGATGTTCAAGTTACACATACCGAATTAGGATGCTTCTATTATAGCCTTTGTTCTGGTTTTTGATTGCTAAGCTTTCATCCTATTTTTACAGGATTGGCATTGTGTGCCAGGAACTAGGTTCCTAGTCTTGTTCTCTTTGTACAATCGTCCGGGTGGTTCCTAACCTCGAGACTTCGTCCTTCACTCCCACCTTCAGACACCTACACAGCCTACCTCATCATGGGGTTTCATAGAAAGCGTCTCCTTCATGAATTTGTTCAACAAGCACCTTCAAAATGTCTCACAATTCTGAGGCAGAGTGGGAAGACGACGATCCAGGTCATATTCGAACAAGTTGGAAGTCCCTCTTCAGCTTTACAACGTGAAAACACCTACCTATTCTGATCGCCGGATAAATATTCACTCTCTTTGCTGGCTGCGTGACTCCAGTGTTGGCAGTTCTCCTTGGAAATGTTTTTGACGATTTTACCTCCTACGGAGCTGGACAAAGCGATGCGGATACCCTGCGTTCCAAGATAGCTACCAATTGTCTTGGGATGGTTGGACTGGGAGCTGCCGGGTGGTTCTTGAACAGCGCATATTTCATGATCTTTGTGGCATTTCGAGAATTCCAAGCATCGAGTATTCGTGGGAAGATTTTCGTGGAGCTACTGAAACGCGATGTGGCATGGTTTGAGGCACAGAAAGAAGGCTCAGGAGCATTCCTATCAGGTATTCAAGCGTAAGTATGTCCGACTTGGTGATTCATGACAAAATTGGCTTACAGGTGTGACAGTAATATTCACGATTTACAGTCGGCGACTTCTCAACCTCTGGGCCTCGTGTTGCAGTATGGCTGTCGGTCGCTGGCATCCTTGATACTGGCTTTGGTTATTTCGTGGAAGCTAGCTTTGGTCACTCTTGCAGGTATTCCTTTGTTTTCATCAATAATTGCGTATCTGTCCACTCGAATGAAAGCGAGTATCACGGCACAACAGGTCGAGCTCACTCATGTGTCGAAAATTGCGAACAATGCTATTGCCTCGATCGATACGGTAAAATGCCTCAACGGTCAATCATTCGAATTGAAAAACTTCGCGAGTCGGGTCGAGCAGGCTGCAATACACTACCTCAAACAAGCGCGGCTGAATTCCATACAAATTGCGATGATCCGATGGATGATGTTCGGGATGTTTGTCCAGGGCTTTTGGTATGGCAGCAGTCTGACCCGCTCTGGGAAAATTTCATCTGGAGATGTTATCACTACATTCTGGGCGTGCACGACCGCAGCCCAATCTATCGAGCAGGTCCTTCCACAGATGATTGTTATGGAGAAAGGCAAAGTTGCAAGTTTTATCCTGAAAAGGATGATACGAGAGCGTGCGAAAGATGCGATTGGCAGCGAACTTAATGGTAAAGTGTATCCTCGTCATTGCGACGGGGATATTGAAGTGAACAATGTACATTCGCCGTGAAGAGCAGATATCAAGTGCTAAATACTGTTGTTCCGGGATTTAACAACTTTATAGGTATCTTTCTCCTATTCATCTCAGCCCGAAACGTGCGTTCTGAATCCTTCCACATTTTCTTCCCTGCTGAGGAGACGACCTTTGTGATAGGGAAGAGTGGATCAGGCAAAAGCACACTCGGTCAGCTACTCATGCGGTTTTACCTTCCCACATCTGGACAGATACTTATCGATGGTCACTCGATCGAATCTCTGGACATTAATTGGATTCGGAATAATATCACTCTTCTGGAGCAACGATCCGTTTTATTCAACGACTCCGTATTACAAAACTTTATGTTTGGACGTCATGATTCGGAGTCTATTTCCAAAAGGGACATTGAAGATTCGATTGAGCTTGCAATGCTCCAGAATACGATCGGAGGACTACCTCGCGGCATTGATACTTCTGTCGGCCCCGGTGGGAGCTTTCTCAGTGGAGGCCAAAGACAAAGGGTTGCAATTGCTAGAGCCGGGCTTCGGGACACGCCTATTCTCATTCTGGACGAGCCAACTAGTGCTCTAGATCAAACAAACCGTGTAGCAGTCATGAAGGCAATCCGCAGGTGGCGTAGGAGAAAAACGACGATCATCATTACCCACGACATGTCCCAGATTTCAGAAAGTGATTTCGTTTACATTTTGGAGCATGGTTCAATCATGCAATCTGGTTTCAGACACGAGCTTCAGAACCGTGCCGGATGCGAGAAGTATTTCTCCTCGTCAACAAAGGCAGGCGCTAGTTCCTCAAATCAACACATCGCGGGAAATCGCAATTCGCCTCCTTCAACTCTCTCGTCTCCCCAAGTTTGGATCACACGAACATCGCGGCTCACTCACCCTTTCTACACTAACACCCATCAAGCTTAAAAACGTCTACTTTCGCTATCCTTCACAACCAGACACATTAGTCCTGAGAAATGTTTCTCTGACCATATCCCGAAATTCGTGCACCGCCATTGTGGGACGTTCCGGCTCTGGAAAGTCAACCATCGCTTCACTCCTATTAGCACTCTACGAATCCCCCGAATCTCGAAGCCATGAGCCCACAGTGATGCTAGGTGGAAGGGATATCCAGCTTCTCCACGTCCCCCTTCTTCGCTCCCAGATCTCCATCGTATCCCAACAACCAACTATTTTTCCCGGGAGCATCCACGCAATCATTACCTATGGAATCAAGTCAAATGCCCCAATGGCATCAATGGAAAGTGTTCGTACTGCAGCGAATGCAGCAGGAATCGATGAGTTTATCATGTCCCTTCCGAAGGGGTACTGGACAGTGATAGGTGATGGTGGCATCGGTCTCTCTGGGGGACAAAAACAGCGGATAGTTATTGCGCGCGCACTACTGCGTCACCCGCAGATCCTCATTTTAGATGAAGCTACGTCAAGTCTTGATCCAGCGGGCGCTGAAGTTGTACGTCAAACGATTCAGAGACTGGTTTCTTTGCGTCGAGATCTTACTGTTATCATCATCACGCATGCTAGGGAGATGAATCAGATTGCGGATCATGTCGTTGTCCTGGATCAGGGTTTTGTTGTTGAAGATGGTCCCTATGATGCTCTTGCGGAGAGAGTGGGCGGTAGATTGTATGAGCTGATGAATGATCCCCCGGATGGAGGTGCGTAAGTAATCCATTACTTCGTAATTTCTTGGAGTTACATAGTTTTCAATTTGAAGATTCAGCTATTCGATCATTCCTAGTAAGAACTAGTAGCCGGTTCCATCTATACTGCTGTCTTCTCCACTGCTGTTGAATTAATATCCTATTATTAGAATCCCATTTCCACTGTTTCTTATACATCTACAAAAATTACAACGATCTACCTAAAAAAAGGAGAGATTGAAGTAAAGAACGTTGATTGGTATTGTTCGAATAAAAATAAAATCAAGCAACATGCCAAAATATCAGATCAGTATGTACGAGAACAGATGAAAGGAAATCCAATCTGGGTATAAGCAATGATCGTGTACACATTCATACACATTCAAGAGCTACTCTTGCCACGAGTCAGCTTGCGCAACGCGTTCTTCATAGCCTGAAGCAAACCCTGCTTCTGAGTGACCTGAGCAGTTGTAGTCTTTGCAATTACCTGTTTAGTAACCGCCTGCTTGACAGATTTATTCGTCGAAGAGCTAGTAGTTGGACCACCAACAGTAACAGTCAACAGCTTGGGACTAGAATCCGAAATACTGCCAGACTGATCAGCCCCACCACTCGGACCAACATCATCATATGGGAAGGAGTATCCACGGCCATCAAGTGTAGTAGCATGGCAAAGGCGCGCATAGTGATTCGTGATCGAGTTCGTATAATAAGTAGACACGACCTCGCCATCCGGCTGATCAGTATCAATCAATAGAGTAGATCGATTAAACGCAGCAGCCAAGCGAGCAGTCACCGCATTCTGGGTACCACTGCTAACATTAGCAAAAGCACCAGAGCTATTACTCCAAATTGCGGAAGATGATGGCTGAGCGTATGCGATGCTATCAGATGAGAAAGTCAACTCGTTGTTCGTGACCGTTGCCGTGAGACTTCCTGCAGCTGCCTGCGTATCGACTGTCAAAGTGGCGTCGGTATACTTTGACCACACTGAATCGACGTAGGAATCCCAGTAGCTGCCAAGTAGACCACTAGTCAGGGTCCCGCCTATGTTTGGGGACACGGCACGTAGATTGGCGCCTCCGGTTGTTATGATCAGCTCATCCCAGCCTGCACCGTCACTATCATTCTGGGTCGTAAGACCCGTACAGATAGTATCGAGTCCATCAGATGGGAGTCCCTCGACGGTCTGTGTGGTACCGGAGGTATTCTCCAAGGACAGAGCGATGGGGAGACAGACAAAATCGACGAATGTGATATTGACGAAAAGCTCCGTGGAGTTCCAAGTGAATTCACAGAAATCCCAGTAGAGATTATAGTTCGCATCTGACTTATTTGAAACCGATGGCTCCACGAGCGCCGGGCCAGGGTTCAGGTAAAAGGTCAACTTGGAGCCGCGCGAGAACCAGAGTCGAGCACCGGCTAAATGGGGAATTGTCACCGTAGTCGTACTCCCCGATGCTCCAAGTGATATGGCACAATCTGCCGACAGAGCCGTTCCGTCAGATGATGGCGAGGTCGGGTAGTAAGCTGTCTTGCCGTCTGACTCGAGCAGGAAAAGTGCATCATTGTTGTCAATTGCCAGGCCAGTAATATAGGCATACACGGTATCCGATCCCGTGTTATTGACCAGGGCAAAATCCAGGGTACTCATTTTGGGCTTTGTTAATGGGTATAATAACCGACAAGTCTGAAACAGTCCGACAGGTGAAAACGTGGTTAGAGCGTGCTCTTAAATAGAAGTAATAAAAGCCGACAAAGCGTAAAACAAAGGCCCCACAGGGCTGATAGTGTGTAGTTCGGAAAGCTGCATGTAATGTCTCGGCTCTTGAATAGTAGAGGGAAAAAAGAAAATATTATGCATAATGCCCATACATATACCCTGTTGCAGCCAACCGGGCCCTAGGGATTATTTTGCATTTCCTGGAATTTTCTAAGGGCAGCCTGACAATATCCGGTGATACAGGGTTGCGATGAGCTCAGAAATCCTTTTAATAAATGATCTGAAGTGTTGATTGGACCAGCATACTCTTCGCCAACTAACATGTGTCGATCATTCCTTGGAAGAGTCGACGCGCCGGAAGTCAACGAGAGCGCATCCTCTTCAGCTCTGGCGCGGCAAGCCCCGACAAGATCATGCTATGCCAGCAGATGATATAGTACCCGCGAAACGATGATCCTGGACGCGAGGTGTTCATTTGCGGGGAGTTTAATGACCGAAAAGAGCGAAATCCGGGGACTGTTTTGGATTGTATACAGCAGAAAAGGGTTGTTGTCCGTCACCAGGGCATGATGATCATTAAACTCTATGTTCTTTTGGCTTCTTCATTACTTTTTCTTCATAGAGATTTGAGCATAAGCTTGGGAATATAGTATGATTCTTACACACACCATCATGAATAAATTTATTGGCAATGCAACATGAAATTCTGTGAATTATTCGATACAGTATATGATGATGTTTGAATTTGATCACTCGACTCGTTCCCCCGCTCGAGCCTTGGCCTTTCGCTGATCCAACAATGTCTTGGGGTCCGGCAAATTCACTTGAGGGAATCGATTATCTTTAGTATATGGAAGGAAATCACTGGTCTCGACCATCCATCGGAACATGTGGCTTTCCATAAGGCGTGCCTGGTGTATAAACCGTGGATCAGCCGCTAGATTGTGTAATTCATGAGGATCGGCTTTGCGATCATAGAGCTCAGCCGGCTCATACAATCGGTAAATGTATGTCCAGTTATGATCGCGCATAGAGATGGCTTTTCCAACCCACGATGTATCATCATGTTGAAGCTGTGATTTCAAGTCATAAGGGAATGAGGCTCGTTCAAGGAGTGGTTCTTCCGAGAGGAGGAATCCTCCTTCAGAGAACGCATATTGTCGGTGTGGCGTGTCGTGCAGGATGGTGGGGAGCAGGGATTTGCCATTGTGGGGGAAGGTTTCATCAATACCACATAGCTGCAGGATGGTTGGAACCAAGTCAACCATCTCGGCCATGCCGTCACGAACGAGTCCTGAGGGAATGCCACCACCGGCTATGATCAGGGGTTCTCGAACGAGAGTTTCAGATAATCCACTAGGCCATTTTTCGATTAACCCATGATCACCGAGGTACTCGCCATGATCAGTGAAGAACATGGTTATCGTGTTTGACCATAATCCTGTTGACTCAATCTTGTTTACGATGCGCCCGAATTGATCATCAAGCCGAGAGATCATTCCGTGATAAGTCGCCGAGACCTCAGCCCAGATTTCCGGCGTGGCCCGGTGTGTGCCATAACTATCCCTGATCATCTGCATATATTTGGGTTCATACCCTGTCTGCGAGTGGAACGCGTCAGCACATGTTTATTTGATCTTGATTACAGGGAAACATACCTTTTCTTGATAGGTCGATGGTGCGATCATGTCGTCGCGCTTGTACATTGAGAAATATGGCTCCTCAACCGTGAAAGGACAGTGAGGGAATAAGAGAGGTAAGAATAACACCCACGGCTTGTCGTCTGGGGGACATTCCAGCCACTTCTCTGCACTCCGGACGGCCGCTTCATCATAATCAACTGCCTTACTGACATCCCGACGTCCTTTATAGAACAGACGCTCCCAGATCGTGATATCCTCTTCCGACCTTTCCGCCCCCTTTGCGCCGATGATTTTCGTTACTTCGGGAGGTTCCAAAAAGCCATACTCAGTCAAGCTGAGCTCAGTGACAGTTGGCGCAAACAAATCTCCACGAGGGGCCATACACGCGACATGATACCCATTATCCTTCAAAGCTCGGAACAAATTCGGTTCCCATGGCTTGATCAGATTTTCCAATGATCGGTGACCCGATACATGGGGGTATAACCCGGTGAACATTGAACAACGCGACTGGGAGCAGACAGAGGCTTGGACATAGCACTCCGAGAAGCGCACTCCACGAGAAGCAAATGCATCAATGTTGGGTGTTTTGATGTTCGGATTTAATCCAGAGCATTGCAGTGAGTCGTAGCGCAGTTGATCCGGCATGAAAATTACAATGTTCGGTCGCGCATTGGGTAAGCCACTTGGCTCCTGTGGGATAACATATGGAGGCTCATCGTCGCCGACTTTTTGCATTTTGGCGACAAGTTCAAGTTGAAGCTATTTCGAACTGCTCAGTGCGACCAATACACCCGTGTGGACAACTTTTTTGCGTCCAAAAGCGTTTCTATCGTGTATGAATTTTGAAAGAATGGAACTGAGCACAGGAATAGAATAATTTCATAGCTTTTAAACAACTATTTTGAACGTGGGAATCAACAACGTTCATATATAGGAACTTGATGAGCTAACCATTTGCCTTGTCGACCGAGATCCGATACTGAACTCCACTTATATTAGCTGATCTACTAATGACCCTAGCTTTGAAGAACGGGGAGCTTCAAATGTTGGCTTGTACATTTGAATAGATTTCATAAAGAGGATACCTAGTCATGCTTCTAAAAGAGAATACCTATGTATTCTTATTTGGCTAGTTCTGTATACAAAATGTGAGATTCTTACCTCTGTGAGCCTGAAACTCAGTGGATCTCAATTCAGGCTGTCGGGCCCGATAGCCGTAGTGTCGCCATCCTCGCTCTAGATGAGCCATGACCCACAGAATCTACGGAAGAAAAAGGTACAGAAGGAGAATGCGGGGAAAGAAGCCCATTCGCACTTGCGCACTTTACCTTCAAGTTCATAACATTTTTTGAATGAGGTATATGGTCGAGTCCGAGGTCACAGGTCAACTGGTGAGTGACCCGAATACGTATGCATAGGACCCGCAGACACGCACTCGACCAACAACCAAGGTATAAGGAACCATGAGACGCAGGGCTGTCTAGTCATTCGAATGGCTAATGGCATTGAATTTTTCATTTATCCAGAGCTATACTAGTACTAGTAGAACTTAAATTTTGAAACTCGAAGGTGCACTTGCATGCATATTATTATTTAGTAGTAGCCTTGAACGGCCCGGGGTGAATGTATACAACTTGGAAATGGGGGAAGTCACTTTAAGTTGTAGGGGAGAGAACTTTGGAAAGGTCTATGAAGTGGGTTAATATTAGGTGGTAGGCGACAGAATTATTGAGCCTCAAGTGGTTGAAAATATAGATATCCATGGCCCTCTTCTTGTGTTCGCCTATTATAGTAATAGCAGGACAACTTGAATGTATCAGTAGGTAGTAGTAATATGTGAACTTGAAGTTGAGAGATCCTATATAGTTTAGTTGAGGGGGAGAAAAGTAACAACTCAGCCCAGCTGGCCCAAGGGTTAGTGGTATCTGACTGCCCAGGTGGAGGACAGAGGCATTTATCAGGATGGTCTGGCCCTGATCGATGGCTGAGGTGACACCAGAGGGCGGGTGGTTAAAGGGTCAATTTCTTTTTTTGAAAATTTTTGAGACTTTTACCTATAATACTTTTAGACTTGCTATTGCTGTTCCCCTTTTCAGAAATAAAAAATAATCAAGAATGAGTAAGATATCAAAGATGATGATGGGTTATGGATGCATGAAGTGAGGCTATTCGCAGCATCTCTCCTCTGGCGTCGATGCGCACCTGATTTCAAGGTCCCCGGTTCAATCCCAGCCGTGAGCTTTTTTTTTATTCAAAATTAGTTTGTTAAATTCTTCCTTACAGCCTGCATACTCAAATTCAAGTTAAACTTGGAATCAACCATATCTACCTCTACGGAGTATTAGACACCAGTTGACCAATCTTATCTACCTAGGTAGTAGATAGAGCGTGGCTGAGCCAGGTGTCAGTATACATGTCAGTCCTGTCAGACTCCTAATTCAGCTGGACCCCGGTGGATTTGGACCCTGAACTTCCAATTGACTTCCAATTCTAGACAATCTAGGTGATTCAACACTAGTGTCAGAATAATTTTAATCCAGTCTTCTTGATCAAGCCAACTCATATGTCTCTCTTTCTCCCCAAGTAAGGAAAACTGGAACACGGGATGATCCTTGCGTACGGCTGTGATTCTAAGCCACAACTCGTGCAGATCAACTTTCCACGAGCTCCAATGGTGATAAGCCACCTCGAGACAACGTTTCACTTTTTTAATCAATTTTTTTCTCCACTTCTTTTTTGATGATAAAGAAGCTGGGGGGGTTTGAAAGTGCGAAGGACCGTGCTCCAGTGACGAGGCGTCCAAGGATCTTCAAGTTTCTTGTACTCCAGTCTCCGTTAAAGGATCCACTGGATTCGTCTCACGACTCCACTTTTCGACCTGGTTAATAATAGTTCTACTGGTTATGAGTGGACTAACCTCCTGCGCCTAGAATTGATTACGATGGGGTGGCTGGTAAGACCTTTGTGTTCCCTCTTCACTTTCCTCTCCCTAAACTTCTCATGCCTTCCATTCTATAGGGCCACTTGCCCATCATGTACATTCCACAGAAACGGGGTACGATCGACCACAAGAACACCATCTTTATTGTTGTATGTTTTCTCTCGGCATCTCAACTTTCCGCTAGCATCCGATGCATCGAGTCGGTCTTAGCCGATCAGTACTTGTGACCTGTTGCTAACTGATTTTCAACTAGGTATTCGTCATAATTGTTTTTGTGCTCGCATGTTGTGCACTCGGCTTCTTCCTCGCCCGATATCTTCGACAACGCCATTTTGAACCGAAGTATATCCCGGGTCAGTTCTTGAAACGCAAGTGGAAACAATGGCACCCAGGAAGCGCCTCATATGGTCAGGTCCCGACGCAGTCTGCCGTTAGTGGCGACCAGAATACTTCGTACCAAGGTGCCGGTGCGACGAATTCTGAAATGACAACCAACGCAACTGGAGTACAACGAGAGACATCGATTCGATCGATCATGACTTTACCCGCTTATTCACCCAGCCCAAAGCCGACCGAACAAGTCATCGGACGAGAGGGCGAACGTGAAGGTATGGATATGGTGGTCGAATTCCCAGAAACTGCAGAAGAGGAGGAGTCTCGTCGTGAGGATCAAATGGAATCACTATATCAACTCCGCTTGCAACGTCGCCAAGAGCTAGCTGATCGGGAGGCACGACGCCAAGAACGACGGTCAGCCCGAGCTCGTGGAGACTCGACTCGACTACAAGAGCTGGCCGCTGAATCTCGGGCTCGTAGCAATCGTCGCCGCGAAGAGAATAGCAGCAGCACCTCACTCAACGCATCTACTGTTATAGCAGAGAACCAGTCCCGTGAGCGAGAACGCCGGATCTCTACCGTGAGCTACGCTTCAATTGGTCATGTTCGACATGATGGTTCTCGTCTACGAGCAGATTCTCACGAATCTGACTCTCATCCGCTGCTGGAAAACGCCGCTGTGAACCCATCATCGGCGTCAATAAACGATCAGACAAGTAGCCTCCGCTCCCGTGGTCAGTCGCTCGCATCTTCGATCATAACCGCCGATACCGGTACACCAGATGGGGAAGCGCTTTCTTTGCGTCTCACATCTACACGAGGCTCCAGTCGTCCTGTCTCCCAACTTGAAACCGAAGATACCGACCTCGGCACTCTCGACATCCCACCACCCCCTGAATACGACCATCTTGATTGGGGTGATGCGCCCGCCTACGAGAGTCCAATCCGAGAACGACACCGAGGACGTAATGAGACCGGAGATGCATCACCCACTCCATCCCGCTTGCCATCTATTCACATTGACGTCGCAAGTCCTATTACCGCATCGCCGGCCACTCCTGAACCTCAACACACAGAATCAGACAGTGACCCGGATACTCCGAGGGGACCCACCCGTCTGCCTGCGTCCACCGTTTCAGAGGTTGGAGCTGGTGACAGAGTGGACCACGCCCCTGTCGCATAAAAAGTTCTTTGGTTTCAGAACCGGGAATCCTTTCGGAATTAATGAGCATGATTCATGACCTGTATTAAGCATCTTCCCATGGTGATATTTCTTTCAATACGTCGGTCCAGCAAGGCGTTTATGGGTATTGGCCGACAGTTTCGCATTATTCTTTTTTAGCTTGTCTTTTTTTAATTTCTTTATCGGTACTTCGGGGAACGCTGGGTCTGGGAATTAGTATTGGTGTGGCCGCAATTACAACTTGTCCACTTTTGGACGGTCTTAGATAGTTAATGAATGTAACATTTCCAATTTGAACACTGCAAATTTGAACAATGATTGAATTTTATTTCAAAGGAATGACTCTTGTATATGGGAAGAAAGACCAAACATTCTGAAGACACGAAACAGTAATTAAATTGCCATCGTCCCTGTCTCCATTCGATTTACTTTTCGAGTCGCTTTCAACTTGAAGTATTCCGTATCCACAAGTCGGGTAGCATCATCCCTTTACCAAGTAGAAGTAAAAGGATAGATAACCTTGTGAGCTATGCATCGAAATCACCTGGGCACTGAAGCCACCAGTTGACAACTTTAATCCTTTAAATAAAGTTCTCATCGAGTGATTTAGAGCGAGCATGACACAGGATGTCTCTCATAGCTCTCCCAAGCAATGTCAACCTCCTTCGCAAAATCATAACCAAAGAGAAATTCCTGTAAGCTTGGATCCGCAAACAGGAATGGAAACCCTTCAGATGGGGTATCGTTCAGCAGTGCTCTATCACGTTCCTGCTGCAAAGGCCCATCCTCCATATGAAAGATCACCCTAAAATCAGCACTTTTCTGAACAATTCGTGCTGTTCTATCCCGTCGAAGCTGCTCATACATCCGAAGGATATCAGTCATGTATACCCTTCCAGCAGATGGCGCTACCTTGGAAAACAAGGCTCCTAATACAGCGCCATCTTCAACAGCCTGAGCAGCACCTTGAGCTCTAAAAGAAATTAGCAAATCAATTCGAACTCAATCCATCCAATTCAAGACTATCATCAGACTCACAAATAAGGAAGCGTGGCATGACAAGCATCGCCAAGTAAAACAAACTTATTCGCCTCATGAACCCATTGCTCCATCTTCACACTGTCCTGTAACCTCCACTTAGTTGTACTTCCAACACACTTTAAGAGCTCCACAAGTTGCGGATCCCACGAGTCAAAATTGGCTTGCATCTCCTCCACCGAAGCGGATTTCACATTCACACCTGGTGGTAGATTATCCGGGATAATCAACACGACATTACAGGTTTGATCCCTTTCAATAAAATAGCACATTGCATGCATATTCGCACCCATCCAGTAATTTGTACAAGGCTTCCTGATAAGATCTCGTAGTATCGGACTCGTCATATCAGATACTTTAACCAAAGATCTGTATGCCAGGTCCCCAGTTAAACGTGGTGGATCAGGACGAGCGAGGAATTTCTCCCGACATAATGAGCGAAGACCATCAGCGCCTATGATTAGATCGGATGTAAGTTCGTAGTCCGGGTCTCCTTTTATTCGAACGGAAGGTATATTGAAATTGATATCCTGAACAGTGCATTTTAGACGGATTTTTACACCGAGTCTGATTGCTTCTTCCGTTAAGATACGATGGTATCCTGCGCGATGAACTTGGAAATATGGGTGTCCGTATTTCTTTTCAATGAAAGGTTGGATGTTCTGTGTTGAAAGGATTTCACCATGTTTGCTTCGGAGGTGGAAGTCGTGTGGAAGGGTTGCGATGGTGCGGATTTTGTTAAGTAGGCCCCATTGATCTAAGACTCGCGAGGAAGATGGGGGAATTTGGATCCCGGCTCCAACCTGGTAAATGTTAATTTGATTTTCAGAATGTTCTCGATTTTTCTGAATAGGAATCTGGTAAGTGTACCTCGCCAAGTTGCTCAGCTTGTTCGAGAATGGTCACTTGGTGGCCGGCTTTGGTGATTCCAATTGCTGCTGCTAGTCCTCCTAGGCCAGCGCCGACGATGATTACATGCAGGGGGTTCGTCATGATTGTTTGAGCTCGAACGCAGTTCTGAGAAGAGAGGTCGGTTCTTATTATGTTTTTTCATCGCTGAATTTATGGTCAAATGTTAATAGACTTAGATCGGACTGTCCGAAGTTCCCCGCTCTATCTACTCTGGGGTGAACTACTTATAAATCTGGAATGATATCCCTTAATATCGGAGAGTCCGCCCGGGAAAGATGTGATAATATTTGATATATTGATGCTTCCTCATATAATATTTCATCAGGATGGACTTGAACTTAAAGCTGTTAGAATCAAGGACTGGACAACTGGTGAATAGTTAGTCGAAATGTCGACCAATATCGGCCTGTTCAAATTGGGATGAGAAAGTGCGTAAATTTGCAGCTTTGTATTTCGAAATCTGATAGTAGCGTGAGAGAGGAAGAGAAATTACAAGTTTCATAACTTAGAGTCCTCAAGGGTAGGCCATCATCTTAGGAGACTTGATCGTAATAAGATCTCTATTATGAGTCACTACTAGTTACAGGGACTAGTTACAGGGGTCTATAATAGCCATAACCCATATTTGGAAGATAGAAAAAAAGAAAATTATATATAATATTCATCCATCTTAATCCAGCCATCTCTCACTTGAGCCATCTCTCACTTGAGCTATCTCTCACTTTACCTACCTCTTGCTTTAGCCATTCATTAGTTTATCAATCTCTTACTTGGGCCTTATATATTATTAAGATTCCGTGATGGCAACCTTGGAAAGCAACTGGTGATAAGCTTAGTCAAAATACATTATAGGAAAATGGGGCTTGGCCATATACGCCGCCGCAACTGGTAGTACGACAAGGACAGTATCGAAGACGATTTCTTTAAAGAGTATCACATGTGCAAGGACGAGAGAAAAAGAAATTACTCGGACCTGCATGAAAAAAAAGAGACGAAAAATAAACGATTTGAAAAACCATGAAAATAATCCAGATGGGGTTTATCATTACCTGGCTGTCCCTATCACAGACCTTGTCATAGTTCACCATTGGATTAACTATTCTCTAGCATCCACTCATCAAATCTGCAGACCGCCACAAAATTGAACAACCAAAGAGAAAAGACCAAAAAAAGTGAAGCTGTGGAAAACCAGACCGGTTCCCGACGATGTAGACAAATCAAGTAGTGAGGCCCGCAGTTGGGTTTCTTCGAAGGCTGGGATTGGGCACAAACACCCACTGCCGCCCATTCTAGTGCAGCAACCCCAAGCAAATCGAACCCATATGTTTCACGATTGTAGTCCAAGATTATTAAAACTGCATCATGACCGCAGTATGCAGATTCGAATATGCCGACACGGTGTTCGTAAACGTCCACGCTACTCTGCTGCGTAGGTCTCAGCGAGGATTACACTACTCTGTAAGTCTAATTAATTGTGCTTCGACCTCCAAATTGTCCAAGATACCTCATCAAAGGCATCATTAGGTACCTAATTTACTTTCGTTTATCGCGATTTGGAGGGATCCGAGTCGGTCTGCTGGCATGTTGGCGTCGATGCTATTCCCACCCCACACACCCATCAGAGCTGCACACGTAGCAGACTAGAGGGTCTATATGGGTCTCATGGGGCGCGTGAGCTATCTTTGTAATTTTGCCCAAAGTTGATACAAATTATTTAAGAGAATGAGTCCCATAGCTTTGTAGACCCTGCACCAGGTACAACCTTGATGATCTTTTATTTAGTTCGTGCATAGCTGTTCGCAAATCAATCAGCTCCTCATGGACCCCACTCGTGATTATAGTAGGTGTGTATTGACTCATGGATCTGCCAAGCGAAAGCTTCATTCCCAAGTAACTCTGCTGACAGCAATCCTCATCGTCAATAAACAGCATTATCCTTTCGCCTTCTTTCACCTTCCTGGTTGGGCCTCGACACACGAAGCTGACAATTCAGTCGGGATTGGCCCAACATGTCTCCAAACCGTTACACAATCTCATGAACAATGGTCATACCCGAGAATCAAAACATCGTATCGCAGTTCTGGAAGATCAAGATGTTGAAACCTTCGTCGCATTCTGTGAATATGCATACACGGGGGACTACAATGTGCCACAGGCACCAATCCCTCGCCTGGATGAACGGACAAGGATAGGCGCTTCCGAGACTGCAACTAGTCCTGCAAAATCATGGCGGGAAATTCATCGCACCGACTCAATGTCCACCGGTGTGCCACCTCCTGCACCATCTCCACCTCCATCTGTCGGTTCCGCTAGTCGAAGAGCACAGGCACCAGCCGCGCCCGAACAGGCCATCGAAGATGACTCTCCAGCAGAGCCGGCAGTGGAAGAGCAGCAGCCAGCGACAGAAGAAGCGCCTTCAACTGAGGCTAATGATGCTTCAAATCAGCCAGAGGAGTCGAATTTGTCAAATACCGCCGAAGGTGAAGTCGAGCCCGAGTCGGTACCGGAGCCCGAGGCAGATGCGGATGCAGGTCCAGCCGATGAGGCTGATGAATGGGGTTCGTCGCCAGCTTCCACAAAGAAGGGCAAAAAGGCGAACAAGAAGAAGAAGAAGGGTGGGTCAAAGCCCGCTGAGGAGCCAGCATTGCACCTAACACCTCCATCAACACCTCCCTTGGAGGCTTCACCTGAAGTCCAGGAAGTTTCAATGGAGGCGGAAGCGTCCGAGCAACCCCGGGAGCATACCTTGGAAGAATCAGCACAACCGACAGAAGCGGCGCCAATGGAGGAGTCTTCTGAGGCTATGCCTTCGCCCGAGGCCGGGACTGAACAGGAAGCCGACTCTGCACCAGCAGAGGAGTGGAGCGAGCCAGCAGAGAGTGCTCCAGTGGAAGACACTCCCACTCGAGATGAGTGGCAAGAGGCTGAGAGTGGAATTGATAGCCAAGAGGAGCAGAAGGAGGCTCCCCAGAAGCCATTCATTGATATGTCATTCGCCAAGCAGTCTCGATCCGATTCCTCACCTCGCACACCGGGTCAGAGCCTTTGGGATGAATTCGCTGAACTTGATTACAATGACGAAACACCCGATTCATTTCTCCCCACCCCCGACTCCTCTACTGCCGATCTCCCATACCTCACCTTCCACGCCAAGGTATACGTCTTCGCTACACGCTACCTCATTCCCGCACTAGCCCAGCTCTGCCTCCGAAAACTCCACCGAGATCTCCTAAGTTTGACCTTTGAAGATGCAGAATCCATGAACCCGATGCTGGATTCACAGCCCCTTATTGGCTTGGTTGCACTCCAAGTCCCCATGGTCCTGGATCTGTTGCAATACTCATACACCAAGACGACGCGTCTGGAGCCGATCATACCCAACTCGGCGACGCAGCTTCGGGAGAACGAGCTTCGAAGATTGGTTGTTCATTATGCTGCTTGCAAGGTGAAGGAACTTGCACGCTATCATCTACCTGGAGATAGTGGAGCTGCTACTCCGGCTGTTCGACCAATGGATGCGTCGGCGACACGCACTGAGAGGCCGCCTGTGAAGAGTCTTCGAGTGTTGTTGGATATGACTCCTGAGTTGGCGTCTGATCTTGTTTACCGTATGATGTGAATGCCAGTGTGCACGAGAGGAGGAATTTGATTGGAGGATGCAAGAATACATCCAAGCCCTGGAGATCCTGTTTTGAAACTTGTAAGTTCTTGGTCTTGGAGCTCTGGGTTTATACTACGGAGTCGCATTTCTTGGTTTCTGGGTCCTGGTTAGGCGTCTTGCCACATTTCATTATATTTCATTATTTCAAGTTCAAGTTGATACAGTTTGTTAATGTTAGTTTGTTGATGATTTTTGTACAGTTTCTTTACTCTCATATGTCCTGCATTGTTCCAAGGTTGTCTCTTCATGCTATCTGAATGTTAAATTTGTCATATTATACGAATTAATGATTCAATTTCTTATCTTAACAGACCTGGACCATGAAACTCAATAGTACTGTGCCTAATGACCATGCAAATCTAGTTCTCCATTCTTGGCAGAGGGCGTCAATAGTTCTGGTTGGTGCGGAGGCTGTGTAGTAGATAAGGGGTGCTACACTTCGCTGCACTTCGGAGCAATACGGGTTCTCAATGTATCAATCCTGCTCCACTCTCCTCACTCATCTCATCAAATCCCCCTTCTATCCTTGCTCCCTGCCAATCACCACTGTCTGTTTCTTCACTGCCTCGGAAAAGCTTGGCAGCGGACCGTCTAATGATGCACCGTCGATCCCAGTCGCCTTGGCCCTTGGCTCTTGGCTCTTGGTCACCGATGTAAATACTACAATTTTGCAAGGTCCCCGCAGGTGTGAAGAGGCTCCTACAGTTATGACATCAATTTTCAGTCTGCGCCATAACACTGAGTCGAATTTCTAGTCCATGTTACATTTCAATATTCTCGTGTTCAATACCCGTTGCCAATTGTCAATCCGGCCTTGTTTTCAGGGGTTCTATACAAACACGACGGATTGCAGATCCAAACCCACACTACTGAACTGCGGTCTTCTTGGCCCATCACCATCTAACTTTATTCTCTTTAGGCATCGCAGTTTCCTCATAAACCAAAATACTAGAACACTATGCCAAGACCACGATGAGTTACTCAACCCCCGTTCTCCATATGAGGCGCCTCTTTCTGGGGCTATGATTTCATCGGAGAGATGCATAACACTCAGCATAACAAACAATGAAATTTGCCGAGTCTTATAGGTCAAGTCGATCTATTCTTATGTCTTGGCTTTTACGTGGCTTTGAAGTGTTCCGATAACCATACTCACGCTGGTAGGTTCTTGCTCTCAATTGCCCTTCGGAATTCCCCCTATTCTATCTTTTTGAATCAGTTCACAGTTCTTGGTGATTTCTTGGCCGGTGCGTTTACGATTCTTGTGAGCATAGATCAAATCTGGGCATTCCCCGTGGGCTGGATGCCTCTCGCCCCAGATTCCATAATTCGAGGCTTTAAATTCACCCCGCTCGCCTTCTTCTAGATCAATACCAACGATATCGACTTCCATTCATCTCAATCAATCATTACCTCAAGCCTGTCTCTAACAATCCGCTTCATTAATCTTTTGACAATCCATACACTGTGCATTCACCTCCTTTCCTTCGCCATGTCCAATCCCGCTCTCCTCGGGGCAGAGTCCTATGAACTACCTCCCCACTCATCTCACTCTGATACACCCATGATCGATACAGAGAAATTTCAGAAGCCCATTCGTTTAAACTTTAGCGATCGACTAAGGCACTTCACATGGGCGTGGTATACACTTAGTATGAGTACTGGAGGCCTGGCTCTTTTGATTGCCAGTCAGCCAAACAGATTCAAAGGCCTAGACGAGATCGGCCTCGCGATCTATATTATCAACTTAATCATGTTTGCCCTTGTCTGTTCACTTATGGCTGCGCGATTCATAATCCACGGTGGTCTTATCCAATCTCTCACACACGAGCGAGAAGGTCTATTCTTCCCAACATTCTGGCTTTCTATTGCAACAATGATCACTGGCCTAGAGAAATACTTCGGAGACGACCCTGCCAAGGCCTTCTCTACTACCCTGGAAGTTCTCTTCTGGATATACTGTGTCTGTACCTTCGCTGTTGCTGCCATTCAATACTCTTTCGTCTTCTCCTCTGTCACATATCGACTACAGACCATGATGCCCTCTTGGATCCTCCCTGCCTTCCCCATCATGCTCAGTGGCACAATTGCTTCCGTCATCGCCGAACGACAACCTGATCGCTCTGCAATCCCCATCGTTACCGCCGGCATGACCTTCCAAGGTCTTGGCTTTTGCATCAGCTTCATGATGTACTCTCACTACATTGGTCGACTTATGGAATCCGGACTTCCAAATCGGGAGCATAGACCAGGAATGTTCATTTGCGTGGGCCCACCAGCTTTCACAGCATTAGCCCTTATCGGTATGGCTCGTGGTTTACCAGAGACCTTTAGTGTCATGGGTAGCGAAGATACAGGTGCAGATGGTCGGATGCTTGAGATTCTAGCTCTGGCTGCAGGCTCTTTCCTTTGGGCTCTTAGTCTCTGGTTTTTCTGCATTGCGCTGATTGCTGTACTCCGATCACCGCCAACTGCTTTCCATCTAAGCTGGTGGGCTATGGTCTTTCCTAATACTGGCTTTACTATCGCTACTATTACACTTGGTAATTCTTTTGAGAGCTCTGCTATTAAAGGGTTTGGTTCGGCACTTTCTGTTTGCATTATATCAATGTGGCTCTTTGTGTTTGTTAATCATATTCTCGCTGTCATTCGACAGGATATTATGTTTCCTGGCAAGGATGAAGATGTCTCAGACTAGCTTTCAGCGTTCTTTTCATTATTGTTTCTCATAGCATGTTTTGGCGTTGACGCATCCTTGATTTCTTACTCGATTATCCACCTGGTCAATGCTTCAAGTTTCTTTTCCACCTGGGCATATACTATACAGGAACTATATCAGTTCAAGTTGATAGAACCATAGAATAGATTTCCGTTTGACGACACGTCTCTCTCCTCCAATTTCCTGCCCAGGTTACTACTAGTAATAAGAATCAAACTTTCGATAAACAACCTTGAATTGAAGAGATGTATTTTTCAAATATTTTACTGGCAGTATATACAGAAACCCCAAACCAACTGGGAGCGCCTTCAAATGCGATGCAAATATAGATCTGAGACTTTTGGAGTTGAATAATAAGAGACATCGGGTATCATGATTCGAGTTCGAGAAGCAATGAGGAGATTGAGTGATCCAATGGTGGCACCAAGGCAGGCCAGGCATCATAGACTGCAACTTGAGATCCCTCATTCGTCGGTGAAAGCGCGTCGATTCGCAATTCCAAGTAGAGAGGACGGCGTAACACGGGATAACTCCGAAGTCGTCACGGAGCGATCATCTGCAGATGTGCCCTTCCTGCAGAGAACAATGAGAGCCGTCTATAATGCTTCAAGTGCGTCAAGATTCGCAGCGAGTGATCAAAAGAGACAGACACAGCTGTTCCTTTAAGCAACCTTTCTGCCAACATTGCCAATACCACGTCCCACCACACTGATGATCACATCACCTGTATCGTTCTCACTCGAGGCATCACGGATACCCCAACCAGGAGCACCGAACTGGGTCAAATCACGCGCAAGCTGGATCAGATTGGGATCAGCGATAACCTCCCGACCCACCTGCAATCGGCCCACATCTTCTGAACCCATAGTCATAAGAGTCAACATGGTTGTGGCAGCAGCTGGAGCCACACAGCCGCCCTTGGAGACAGTCTCCAGCAGCTGGAACGCGCACTGCTTGCCAATATCCTCAGGAGGCACACCACCCGATGGTGGGGAAGCCACATCAGCAGAGAAAAGACACCCAGTAGAGGACTCCGCAACTAGGGACAGACCGAAACCCAGACCGATCTTCCTCTTCGCATTAGGGTTGTCCTTAGTGGGTGCGGGGATCAGAGGCGCAGACGAAACGTCGGAGAAAATGTAGGTATCAGGACTGAGAGGGTTGAGAATACCACGGGAAACTTCGATCATGCGGGCGTTATTGGATCCCGCGACACCAATGGAGTATGCGACACCACGAATGCGCTTAATCCGACCAGGGTTCATCAGGTGCAGTGTTTTCGGGAGACGAATCTGGTGACCGAATGAGAATTGAACTTCTCCACCACCACCGCGGCCATTGGGACCGGGATTCGAGCGTCGGAGAATGCGCAGCTCGACGTTGTTGAACATGCCGAATTGGTTGTAGAGCGGGAGGATGGCGGTTCGGACACTGTCGACGGACATATCACCGGTGGGTGTGGAGGAAGTAATGACACCGGAGCCGGTGAAAAGGACCTTCATGGGGGCTTTGGAGAACGGGGCCAGGAGGCAGAGAGGAATCAGGTAGTAACTGAGACCGCGGCTGCAGTTTGAGGGCAATTCATGTGTGATGAAGCCTCCGCTGGCACCTACACCTGTAGCGCTACCGGTGATCAGACCGGGCTTGAAGATGACAATTGTACCAGTGTATGAAATTTCCATTTGGGAGCCATTGGTGACGGCCTCCAAGAGGCGAAGGAAAGAAATCTCATGGGGAGCTAAACCGGGGTTGGTCGGCGAGTTAGGACGGATTTGCGAGATATGCACAGTGCGGCCAGTCAAAGTAGCAAGAACGAGGCGATAGACCAGGTTCTGGTGACCGGTAAACCTCAAAGGAGGTTGTTGAGTGGCCATTTTGTTGCTGGTTTGATTAGCTCTTCATATAGCGAGACCGTTGAAGCTTCGACTCGAAAAAAGAAAAATCGGGCGGGAACATGTTATTCCGCTCCGGCGCATCGGTTTAACTCCGATATGTTATCACCGATCAGATAGCGGGTTGATGAACAATCCCCAAGACCCTGATCTCACGCGACTCCATGACTCCACGTTCTTATTCATAGAAGTTGTCGATTCTGAGAACTGATCATCTCGAACTCAAGCTCATTGAGTCATAACTGTGCCACATGTTACCACCAGCCCTCAACATCCCTAAATGGTATGATATCTCTTCCCTTTATTACCCGATTCCACTCCGGTGAATCATCGCGGGGTGATCGTAATAAGCGTTGCAGGAATTGAAGCCCAAATTTTATATCGCAAATTACATATTGACTAACCGATTACCTGAATTCTATATACAGGCTTGAAGCCAATTCCCATCTACTTCAACCACCCGTCAATAATTATTGTGTTTATCATCCCTCCTCGCCGGCAACAGCCGGTTACACAGTTATGATTGTCGGTGGCCCCAATGCGCGAACAGATTATCACATCAATACGACTCCGGAATTCTTTTATCAATACCGTGGCTCTATGTTGTTGAAAACTGTGGATACATCTACAACGCCGCCAACATTTCAAGATATCCCAATCCACGAGGGATCTATCTTCCTCTTACCAGCGAATACTCCGCACTGTCCTGTGCGGTTTAAAGATACAGTGGGTGTGGTGATGGAACAACCCCGAGCAAAAGATGCTGCGGACATTATGCGGTGGTATTGCCGAGCATGCAGTGGGGTAGTATGGGAAAAGAAGTTCGTATGTACAGATCTAGGAACACAGGTCAAGGAGGTCGTGGAAGAGTTTGGCGCAGATGAGGAGAAGAGGCGGTGCAAGGGCTGTGGAGAGATTGCGGCCACTAAATACCAGGAAGGAGAAATTGTACAACCGCCAGCGCAACCCGAATAAGGGAGATCTAGAGGCAATGGAATCACTATGTATCTGATAAGCAAGGAGGGGTTCATTACTCTCATTGACACTGGCAGGACCGAAAAGTTCGAAAGTTTGAATGTATTACGATAGACGAATTCAACATTCTTAATGACGATCACTAGTTGATTGTACTAGTAATTGTTATCGGCCAGGTGCATATCTATTGTTGCAAAATGCCCACCCTTGCTGGAAAGGAAGTGCGGGTCTGAGACAAAGTTATTGTAGTATGATGAATTAGATTTATATTGTCCCTCATTCGAGGGTAGAAGTATGATAGAGGATCTCAAGGACCCAAGATGCTGGTTTGAATCTTGGGAGACATCAACAATTGACATGGGTTGGAGGGTAAACAATGTGAGAAAAAAATGTGAAAGAAGTGGTGAGGATTAAAAGATGCAAGACAGTGTCCGTAGACCAGAGTGTATATCAATCAACAATAAACAAGGAAGAGAAAGAATGGTCCAGGGTGCTGAAATATTCGAATGGAATAATACATTTTGTAGAAAGAAGGGAAGCAACAGGACGACATCAAAATAGTGGCAAATTGGATATCGTGCGCAGCGCGAAGAACAGAAGAGGGAAAATAAAAAAAGGGACACAGAAACCATGTACTAGAAAAATGGCGACGATGATAACATTCAACTCCAGTGGGTTGCTGCCTGATGTCGTTCGTTGAAAGTCCTCCAACCCACATCTCATGCTCTTTAGCCATCGAACATTATTCATCATAAGGACAGTCGATGCTCTCATGACCATCTCGCTCACAAAGAGCACACCACTTTGACACATCAATGATTCCAGAGGATTTGCCAGCGGCGGGATCCATGGAGTTACCCAGACCGCCAATGCCTTTCAGTCCTTCAAGGACGACATCTCGGCCAGTCTTGGGCGAGGGAGATTTATCAGCGTGGCTTTCATTGTCATCGCTGGGGTTCAAGTTGGCATGGTCTTCAGGCTTGTGATCCTGCTGCGCCTGGTGGCCATTCGCGTTAGCAGCGTCATTGCCTGCCCCAAACATGCTGGTGCAGTTCAAAATATCATGACCACCAGTCTCACAGATCTCACACCACAAAGTGTCATCATCGGAAGATCTCTCTGACTCAGGCATGGTCTCAAGTCGTGGGTGGGAAGAGCTGGACGTGCCACGGTTGTGCTGCCGAGGCTCTGAAGGGGCGTCATGCCAATCAGGCGGAACAATCGTACGATCAGAAAGACGGTTAATGTGACCGATATTTTTCACAGCCATGCTGCTTTGGGAGCTCGATGACTTGTGCTGCTTGGGAGGAGACACGGTCACGGTGGAGCTACGGTTGCGACCTCCTTCATCGGAACTCAGTCGAAGCTCCTGCATTTCACGCTCGAGCTCTTCAATCCGGTTATCCTTGCGGCCAGTATTGCCCTCAGCCTCTTGAAGAAGTTGCTCAAGGTGGGAAATACGCTCAAGCTGCTCATTGTAAGCGTCCGCGTCCATTCCATTGGGGTTGGCCGCCATTGGGTTGCCGCGACTCAAGGAGTGGATTATAGCCTTGAGACCTCGGATTTCATCATCTTTCTGGTCGAGATCACTCGAGTGACGAGGGCCATCAGAAGCGGCTTGGGCGTCTTTGAGGGCTGCCGCGGAGTGATCGCGTTCTTTCTTCAATTCCAACTTGGTTCTCTCCACCTCCCCACGAAGGAACTCGACCTCGGCTCTAGCTTCCGCTTCACCGCGCCGTGCATCTTCGAGTCCCTCTTCCAATTCGGACACTAATTCTTCCAGTTGCTTCAGTTGTTGTGCAACAATCTCAACGTCCTCCCCACGGTCTTGAAGCTCCTTGTTCTGTTGCATGAGCTCATCCAGACGTTGCTCATAAACACGCTCAGTCTCAGATGCAGCAATTTCCAGTGTATCCAATGTGCTGCGAAAATCCGCGCGATGACCATCAAATTCCGTGGTCAGCTGATTGATTCGCTCGTTTCTCTCGCGCAATTGGACACGAACGGACATAGCATCAGATCCCTCTAACTCCTCCAAGGTTCTCTGGAAGTCGCTCAGTGTTCGTGACTGCTCATCTAACTGTCTGTCTCGGTCCAGTAGCTGCTTTTCCAAACCCTTTACTTGTTCCCTCAACTCTTGTGTCTCCACGGATGAAGGTCTCTGGAAGTCTGAGGGTCTGCCATAGGATGAAGCATCATCATCAACACTGATTCGCGACGGTGGTCGATCAGACAATCGTGATGGCGCCTTGGTAGGGCTCCGCTGGTAGCCATTGGAGGCAGACGTTCGAGACGCGGCAGAAGGAGTGCGCAAGCCACTCAGGCTCAATTTGGGAGCAGGCACACGAGGGGATTCGGGTCGAGGGAGAGATGGACGGCGGATTCGAGGACGAGGAGTAGAAAGGCTTGGACCGACGGACTTGCTAAAGTTGGCTGGCGGGGCACGCCCAGGAGTTGTAGGCACGGCGAAGTTGGCAGATCTTCGAGTGACGTATTTGCTGTTGTTCATAGGAACAAAGATGCCTGAGCCCGGGACTGATGTCACAAAGTATTTTCGTCCCTCCACATCCCCACTGTTTTTGCCTCGTTGAGCGTGTTCACTACTCAACTCAACACCCGCAAATCGACCCGGCTTGCCCGCCACAGTTCCCAAGTATTTTACTGTACCGTACATACCGCCAGGTACGTTGACGATATCACCGACATGGACATCGTCAAGAGCCGCCATGGCTGGTAGACGTTTTCAGGTGGAGGTGTAGAGAGGTGTAGGTAGAAAAGTTTGGTGAGAGCGGAGCAATTTTTGGTTTAAATGGGTTGTTTTTGTCAGGAGAACCCAAGTTAAAGCCCAATAACAATCATTATTATTTGAGACCCAACACCAATCTTGAGATATTGGATAAAAGGGAATGAAAGAAAACGGTATCTTTCTTTTTTTAAAAAAAAAAGAGAAACCCCAGAGTATCTAATAAGGGGAGGGGAGGGAACATAACAAACCCAACCATGGATACAGCAACAACTTGTCCGGTGCTCCACTCCGCGTAATCATCATTCCCCGATCCTCCCTCTTACACTTCACCATCCCCTTACCTCCAACCCTGCTACTTGCATCTTCTGTATTTCACTTATTCCAGATTACTGAGACTGATACTGCCGATTCCGAATACGATCCTATTACTCCGCTAGTATCCTTCTGTTAAGTACATAGCCATCATGGCGCAGTACTTCTTCGACCTTCTCTACAACTTCACAGATTGCATGTGCTGTTTTCCCAGTTCACCGCAACTCAAGATCAATAATCGAAGCTTCAAGTTATTGCGACTATTAGGCGAGGTACGAAATGCGAACAAAGGAAGGCCCTCAAGGGACACGAAGATGAGACCGTGGCCTCCGTACTCATTGATGTACTAATCGATCCACTCCCAATCCAATAGGGCGGTTTCTCCTATGTCTACCTCGTACAAGATAAGTCGAGCTCTGAATTGTTCGCCTTGAAGAAAATTCGGTGTCCCTTCGGTCAAGAATCCGTGTCGCAAGCCTTAAAGGAAGTCGAAGCGTACAACCTATTCACCTCACAAGCCAACATCATCCATTCCATCGATCATTCCGTCTCTACCGAGTCAGGCTCCAAGTTCCGATCCGATGGCGGCGACGCAGGCTCCAAGACAGTATACATCCTCTTGCCCTACTACCAACGGGGTAATCTTCAAGATGCCATCAACGCCAATCTGGTCAACCACACCCGCTTCCCGGAGAAGCGCTTGATGATGCTCATTTTGGGCGTAGCGACTGCGCTTCGCGCCATGCACCAATATCGTGTCAAGAGTGGCGCGGAAGCTACCCGCAAGGCCAAGGGCGTACGGAGGCAAGGGGACGAGGCAGATGCGGAGAGGACAATGCAGATGAAACCACAGCGACGGGCAAGCCATCGTGTGCAGCAAGAGGAGGAGGATGAAGAAAATGAGCCATTGATGGATGATGAGGTGACACGTAGCCAGGAGGGTGTGCAAGACGGTGATCTGCGCCCGTATGCGCACCGCGATATCAAGCCCGGTGAGTTCTAGTGTGGACACGTTTTTGATAACCGCCCGCTAATTTTTCATGTCGCAGGAAACATCATGATTGATGACGATGGTCAATCCCCAATTCTTATGGATCTGGGCTCTTTGGCACCCAGTCCTATTGCTATCACATCCCGCTCTCTGGCATTGGCGGTCCAGGATACAGCCGCAGAGCACAGCACTATGCCTTACCGTGCACCTGAATTATTTGACGTCAAGACCGGATCCATAATCGATACCAAGGTCGATATTTGGTCGCTAGGCTGCACTTTGTATGCATGCCTTGTCGGAAAAAGTCCATTCGAGGCTCGCAGCGAGGAAACCGGTGGTAGTCTGAGCATGTGTGTTCTTGGTGGCGACTGGCGATTCCCCGACGAAAAATCCAATGCTACCAAGGGCAAAGGCAAGTCTGGAGGCGACGTCGATGACGCATCCAAGAGCAGCGGAAGCAGCACAATCAGCGCTCCAGTCAAGGAAATTGTTCGCAAGTGTCTCGAAGTTGAACCTTCCGAGCGTCCTGACATTGACGAGTTGATCGAACTCATCAAGGATGTTGTTAGCCAGTTGCCGGATGATGACGCGGCAGGTTCATCTCATTAAACCTCCTTCGTCTTCCTTTTCCTCTCTCTTTCTCTTTCATTTCCCCTTTTATTCATTTCCCTTTCACCAAGTTTGAGTACCGGCAGGCTCCGCTCCATCATCTTGTCCGCGAACTTTCCTTGGCGATCTGTACAGTATAAGTTGAAAGTTGTTATATGGCATCAAGGTTAATTAGGTGATGTGCACTGTGTTTCAATATCATTGCAGGTTCCTCTAGGTTCATACATGCAATCCACGTTGATTTTTTGTCCTTTTACTAAAAATAACAATAGAGTACTAGTACTAGTAGTCGATTGACATACCCGCGTCCTGAGATGTGCAACACGATATTGAATAGTACATACTTCTCTCAGGATTCATCCCAATCTTTCCACTACTCATTGAAGCTACTAGCAGTACTGGAAGATCGTGCCTGTTCCCCATGAGCCCTTGGGTATACCCTGGAATGCAGAGAATACACATACTCACCGAGTCCATGTGGTCTCAAATAATGTGACCGTTTCACGACGGAAATAATGAACTCACTAACAACGCATGCTTCTGATCTTCCGAGATCCGATGTGATTATATTGGAAGGGCACGGTATTTGGTAGTTGAAGGGAATGGCATCCGTTACTGTCACCTGAGCACTTATCAATATGAAGTAAAGCGAAGGACCACTTCGAGGCCGAGTTTAAGTTTCCTATATTCTATGTTCCCTCTAACCGCACTTGATTTTACCACTCTGAATCCATCATGTTTCTTACGGAAAGAATGCTACTTGCTGTCGCTTTAGTGTTCTCTTTCGTGAGAACTTCCTGTCTTGCCCAGTCAGGGCCCAGTCGTGGCGTTCCTGACTTGAGTCCATTCCGTTGGGCTCAACGAGCTGTCTATGTGAATTCAAACAGTACAATACACACTGAAATTTCCTCCACCCTTACAACAGACCACTACCTTGATGTCGCAAAGGAGTTGGTTCAGGCTGTAGCCGCAGGTGCTGCCTTTCGCGTTGTAGGTGATCACTACATCGACGATAATGGCGTTGCCCATGTCTACTTCCGTCAGATGCTCCATGGTATTGATATTGAAAATTCCGACTTTAACGTGAATGTGAGCATGAAGTCTTTCCCTTCATCGCTCGAAGTTCAATGAACAATTCCTGCGGGCAGATTGGAAAAGACGGAAGAATTCTTTCTTATGGCAATTCTTTTATAACCGATAGGCTCTCGGAAGTCAGCGTCGTCTCCCATGGGAGTATTTCAGATCCAATCTCCTCTTTTGGAAGTGCATTGAGCCAGCTCAAGCTGCCAATTGACATGGATGGAAGGTGGGAAGAAGCCATACAGAAGGGTATATCCTACATGATCAAGGGCATTTCGGGAACCGCCTCTGATTCCACAGCCAAACTGGTATACTTCATCCACCCAACAACACTGTTGCTCTTAGCTCGAGGTTTGAGATAAATACAGGTCTCAGCTGGGTCGTGGCTTATATTGACGCTCAAAATGGCGAAGAGATCCACGGTGCGGTGGACTACGTCTCCCACGCAAGTTATCAGGTCTAGTAAGCGAATGACCAGCTCACCTTTCCTCGTCTTATCATGAATAGCATCTGACATTGGAGTCAAACAGCAAATGGGGGCTTGGTAACCCGTTGGAAGGGCCCCGGTCTATTGTCAATGATCCATGGGATATGGCCGCGTCTCCTTTCACTTGGATTAGTGATGGAAGCGTAAATTACACCACCACTCGCGGCAATAACGCCATTGCTCAATACAATCCATCGGGTCATCCTCCATACCTCGACAATTATAGACCTGTTAGCCCTGAGTTGAAATTTGAATATTTATACTCTCCGTCCATGTCGGATCCATCTTCATACATCAATGCGTCTATCGCGCAGATATTCTATACTGTCAACACTTATCATGATTTACTCTACACACTCAGTTTCAATGAGAAGGCAGGCAACTTTCAATGAAACAACAGTGGCAAGGGCGGTAACTATTGGAGGTGATTATGTCATTGTAGATGTCCAAGACGGATACTCCTATGACTATGCCTCATTCTCAGCTCCTGCGGATGGGCAGCCAGGTCGCCTAAATATGGGCATTTGGCATCATTCTCACCCTTATCGCGATGGTTCTTTCGATGCTGGGATAAATATTCACGAGTATACCCATGGCTGTAGGATCCCCACAACATGTTGAGGTAAAACGATCATGCTCATGACAGTTCTCTTAGTATCCAGCCGACTGACTGGCGGTCCTGCAAATCCCGGATGCTTATTTAGTCTCGAAGCTGAGGGTATGAGCGAAGGATGGAGCGACTGCATGGCCATCGCCCTCCGTATCAAGTCAAATGATACCCGAGCATCTAGCTATCCGATTGGTGAATGGGCTCAAGATATCACAAATGGCATTCGGCCCTGGCTTTACTCCACCTCAATGAGCACTAACCCTCTCACATGTGCCAGTGTGAATGCTATGGTAGATGGACACCAGGTTGGCAATGTTTGGGGCAATATGCTCTATGAGATCCTGTGGAATTTGATAGATAAACACGGCAATACTAACGAACCCGGTCCAACGTTTGATCATGGCGTCCCCAACGATGGCAAATATTTGACCATGAAGTTGGTGATTGATGGAATGGCCTTGTGAGTAATTCAATTTCTCTTCATCCCTTCATAAACGCCGCCAGTGTATATGCTGAGTCATTTAATACAGGCAGCCGTGTACTCCAAACTTTTTACAAGCCCGAGATGCTATTCTTGATGCCGATACGGTGCTAACCAATGGTTCAAACCATCGTGATATTTGGAAAGGGTTCGCTAAGCGTGGTCTTGGTCAGGGGTGCATATATAGTGCACAGAACCGGATCGATAACTTCAATGTCCCCACAGGTATCTGCTAATGTTACAGCATCAGAACGAGCATCAGTACGACTCAAGAAAGAGCTTGCAAATATTAGCAATCTATTATTCCCTGCGGAAATGCCTCAAACTACACCTAGTATAGATATGCGGTACTACTAGTAGATGCAGACAATAAAATCCATCATCTACCTGCCAGTTGCGTGCTGATATGCGAAAGAGGAGACGAAAAACTAAAATCAAGACAAATAGCTCACTTCATGTAAAGAATGACGGGGTGGCACTGATAACAACCCAAATCGTAAGTGAGAACTTGAAACCAAATCTTTCGAAGTTGGAGAAGCATCCATCCGAATTTTGTGTGTTTTTATCCAAATCCCTTCTAGTCAAAGTCTTCATCATGACTCAGACCCTACTGATCTAGTACCTCGGAATTATAAGTTTAGAACCGACTTGAAAATTCAAAATAGTTCTTTTATTCAACAAGGATATGATTTCTAGCTTAAAATATAAGATCAATCTAGGTCAGTCCAAACAACTTGAGATTTGATCATCAGGTAAGAACTATCAGCCGAAGCTTACTAGTGAACTTCTGACTAGTAATGACAATATCGATTGATGCTTCAGTGAAGAGCTCTACCTTGAATGGTACGCGTGGATTCTTATGTGTGAAGAGGTACGCCTCCATTAGATGAAACAATTTCAATCAATCAATACCTTGCCAAGAAAAAAAAAATTATTTCGAATACTTACCAATTCTACCCCAACAAGCTCCCAAGTCTCTCCCGGGCTAGTACGGTAGTACCATGGTGGTACTCCACGGGTTGGATCCAACCCCACACCTGTCAAGTCACTCAAGTGGAGCTATTATGAACCAGCCGAGGGAGATGAAGCCGGGACCATCTGGATAATTTACAGTGAATTCTGACCTTCAAATTTCTTTCTAGACATTACCAGAACAAAAGTAGTTCACGGGTACGGTATGAATAAGATGATTGGGCGAGAAGAAGTTCATCGCTAGCATTGGGATTAGGAATTGTTAAGATAATATGGAAACAAAGGGACGATCGGGAGTCGGAACTTGATTTGTATGCCGAGATAAAGCTTCAGTCTTTGGAGATTTAGCTATCGCGATTGAGCCAATGGGTCTCTTTGATAAGTGTTAGAGCAGCGGTCTTCAGTCCGCCAGGTCTGCAATCTGACGGTCTAGACGTCATTGGTGAAGACGAATCGGCACAGGACGGAAGCGTTGATAAGAGAGCTTACTTGGGCATCGTCTCAATTCTCACTTCTCATTTTAGGTCTGATCTGCCATCATATTGAGCCGATGTATTCGTTGGCTTATTTCATGAGGATTGATGCAGGCTGCGGTTTCTCACGCAATCTAGCATAATTGGTTGATCAAAGCTTATCTTGATTTCAACTCTTCAATCTTATCTTAATTGGGAAAAGATAGGATAGATATCAAGACATGCATGCAGGTATCTTGTCAACTTGAATGTAGTCATCCAGATATCCCTTGGAAGGTAGTCAACTGTTCCACATACATTGATAATCCACGGATATCTTAACCACGCAAAGCCACCAAGCCACCAAGCCACATTACAATCAGCAACTAAATAACTCCGTACTCTTAAAATCATTCCGCTATCTATCAGTTCAGTTTCCTGTTTAAGTAAGTAATCTACATCTCCACTTACAAAGTGCGGGGAAACAAGTTATCATATCAGATGCCGTAGCTTATCGCAGTCTGCATTCCACGCTGCAATTGGAGTCATAGCTCACACACCGGAAAACTTCCACAAATCTTTGTTTTTTTAGTACCTTGCGTCTGATTTAGTATCTTTGCCACTTTGCCGACTCCCCGCTTATCGGCAACTATCAAGTTCTCTATCATGCTTTGACGTGGTCGGTCGTTTCTCAAATAGACCGCTTGCTGCAAGGAGACACCTGCGAGATGCGCGACATTACCGCCTTTAATCCCACTTCAACGACCACTCAACCCACTATGGCACCAGTGGTAGATACCTCAGCGATTCCAGGTACAGTAACCCTGGTTGATGTGCAGCATGTCCTGCATACTCGACATCTAGATCGAGGCGATCAGGATATCGTCTTGATTCCTACCCCATCTTCCGATCCCGATGACCCCCTCAATTGGAGTCCAAGGAGAAAGTTACTGTCCACCATCTGCGTGAGCGTGTAAGTGGTATTATAACGCCTTGGTGATTAATTGGTGGAACAACACTGATTCAAGTCTTTCACTTAGGTATACTCTGTTCGCGGGAATTGCTTGCTCGGTGGTCTACTCAGTACTCACGCAGTTGTCGGAGGATACGGGAATTTCGGTCGATACACTAAACCAAGGAACGGGATACATGTTTTTGCTAGCAGGATGGGGGTTGTTATTTTGGCAACCTTTTGCTATGCAGTATGGAAAGCGGGCGACATATCTTCTATCCCTGGCGGGAATCCTGGTGGGTTTATTCTGTGGGTCTCGGAACTTGAATAGAGGAACGGACAGGCTAATCAGCTGCAGGGTACGACTATGTGGGGGTAAGATCATATCTTATTGACTCCTTGAGATATTCTGATCAGTATGAGCGATGTATGCTAATTCTCATTTAGTCCCTACGGAAAAACACAAGGTCAATGGATTGCGAGGAACGTTGTACAAGGCTTCTTCACGGCACCAATTGAAGCTCTTCCAGAAATCTCAGTCACTGATGTGGTATGTATAGCCCTCCTGCTCCAATTCCATAAATGTATCTCTGATGAATTCAGTACTTCACTCACGAGCGCGGAACTTATATGGGTTTATATGCGTTCTTCCTGGCGGGCAGTAACTACTTTGCGCCAGTCATCTGTGGCTTCATTGCGCAGTACCAAGGCTGGCAATGGGTCTTTTACTGGCCTAGTATCTTCTGTGGCTGTGCCATGATCTTTCTATTCTTCTTTATGGAGGAAACAAACTATGTTCGCAAGGACAGTGTCGAAAGCTCTACTGTCGCCAATGTGCGGTTGAGTTCTTCTCATGACTCTCACAGCAGCGACCATGAGAAGGCTCCGGTTTCCGATGAACCTGTTTCTACGCCGGAGCTTGGATCAATGCACACGAAGAAAAGCTATTGGCAGAAACTGTCACTTCTGGGACCTCAACAGGAACAGAATACAATGCTACGCAGAATTTGGCAGAGTCTGTATTTCTTGTCTTGGCCCGTGATCTTCTACGCTGGGTATGTCATCTTTTTCATTATCTCTTGATTGAAAATATTTCATGCTAACTTGAATAAGATTCTCATATGGCTCGTACCTGGTGCTCTTCAATATCCTCAATGGAACCGCATCTATTATCCTGGGTGGCTCTCCGTATAACTTCGGGTAGGATACGCTCTCAATATTCTTTCAGGACTACTAACTAACACAAAGCAGGACATCAATGGTTGGTCTCAGTTACATAGCTTGTTGTCTCGGCGTGGCTCTTGGGTAAGCGATCATGTTCGTTTCTTCTCCCTTCTCGATGCTAAATTAATGTAGATCAATCTTCACCGGACGATTCAGTGACTGGCTAACTATCAACCTTGCTCGTCGCAATGGAGGAGTTATGGAGGCCGAACATCGTCTCTGGCCATTCGTTGCCTGTCTCTTCTTCGTGCCTGGCTCACTTCTGCTCTGGGGAGTAGGAGCGGCACACGATGTACACTGGTTCGGTCTCATTGTGGCTATGTGCATGCTTGCATTTACGAATACCTGCGGTATTACTCTCAGCGTAAACTACATGGTTGACAGCTATCGGGAGTTGAGTGGAGTAGCAATGGCTACTGTTATCTTGGTGCGAAACACCATGTCTTTTGCCATTGGCTATGGGTGAGTTGAGATTCCAATCCTTCATTATGAAACTGGTAACTGACGAATGATTTCAAAGAATTACTCCATGGGTTGATGATCTCGGATATCAGAACTGTTTCGTCTCAGCCGCGTTTGTCGGTATGGCATGTGCATCTGTGTTCCTGGTGATGATCAAGTTCGGAAAGTCTTGTCGCATTCGCAGTCGGGAGAAGTACTGGAAGATTGTACAGGAAAACTGGGAGAAGGGAATGGGCCACTGATTAAATTGAAGCTTTATACTACTCATAAATGTGTAGATTATAATGACCATTTGAAGCATTGCGCAAACAAAATCTCATATTTAATCAATTCATACATTCTAGAAAGTAATGTATTGGGTAAAATGTTCTGAATACCCTCCCAATCAAGCCAAATGAATTCTGCCCTCTTCATCATACACGATTTCCCTCATTTTGACAGATCTCAGATGATCAACCCCATCAGATAACTCACAATCGTGATAAAACAAAAACCACTTTCCTTGAAACTCAACAATAGAATGATGAGTGGTCCAGCCCAACACAGGCTCCAGAATCCGTCCCTGATAGGTGAATGGACCCAAGGGCGAGGAACCAGTAGCATACGCCAGGTAATGAGTATCACCAGTAGAGTAAGAGAAATAGTACGTCCCATTGTAGCGATGCATCCAAGCAGCTTCAAAGAATCGCCTCTCATGATCATCCGCTGCAATGGGCTCGCCAGACTCAGGAGCTAGGATCTGAAGATCGTGCGGCGGTGCTGAGAATGAGAGCATATCATCTGATAACTGGGCCACACGAGGAGAAAGAGCAGGAACACCATCGCCAGATGGCTCCTGTGGACCAGACTTTGAAGCATCAAAGACCAGTCCATTCACATCGTGGGGACTACTCTCTCCATTGCCCTTTGACCAGCACTGCAGCTGACCACCCCAGATTCCTCCGAAGTACAGATATGCCTTCCCATCCTCGTCAACAAAAGACGCGGGATCGATGCTATAACTCCCTGGGATATATGATTCCTCGGGAACAAATGGACCCTCTGGCGCATTTGCGACTGCAACGCCGATACGAAAAATGCCTGACTTGTCGCGGGCAGGGAAGTATAGGTAGTATTTGCCGTTTTTCTCAGCAGCGTCTGGGGCCCACATCTGTTTCGAGACCCACGGAACATCCTCTACTGAGAGGACAACTCCATGATCCGTGACTGGGCCGTCTGCTGAGTCCATTGAAAATACATGGTAGTCGACCATGTCATATTGGTCACCATTATCGTTGAATTCGATATCTGTTTCGCGGTCATGGGAAGGGTAGATGTAGATCTTGTTGTTGAAGACATGCGCAGAAGGGTCTGCCGAGTAGAGTTGGGTGATGAGAGGTTTAGGAGACATTTTGAAGATCAATCTTGGAAGAGCTTCAAGTTGAAATTCAAGTTCAAACTTGAATGTTGCTTTAAGTTTCAAGTCTTGCACGGCTTTCAAGTTAAGGCCAATATTTATTCAAGTTGGGGATGTCCGTGAAGATGCTTTGGACTCGGAGGTTGGAATGGGAGTTGTGCACTATGTCAAGAAACAACGTACCACACCTGCATTCGTGGTCAAAATAAATCCGATATTCATCCCGAGCCTATTTAAATCACCGGATGAATACTATTAGACCAAAGTCAATATCTGGTGCTTTTATCCGTTACGGCTAAGTGTCCGAATCGCGGGGAAACCCCGCATACCCCATGTGTAAGACCGGATAAATAGAGAACACCCAACCTACCATATTCAACTTGAAAAATGCTCGGCAAAAAACCCTGCTAGTAGCTAATCAGTGCCCGACAACTTACGTTGGGAACAACTTCAAATTGATAGGACACAGTATTTGGGAGACTAAGAGGCTGAACTCGCAAAGCAAAAGCGTGGAAAGGATCACTGCTTTGTTTTATGACAATATAGATTCAATTCGTTTCTTCAAATGTTAGTCCTGGCGGCTTTTTGTAAGTCTCGTACTAGGCATGGGCGCATCGTGACACTAACATTTGAAGCTGCAGATAACATTGAACTTAGACCAATCTTTTTCGTTCTCTTTTCGTAGCTCTTTTCAGGGCTCATCGAACCTACTCGTCGAAATAGCTCTTTACCAAATTCACTTCTGGCGATTTGACGATGAGAACCGGGACAGTGCAGATTTCCAAGATCTTTTGACACGTCCTGCAGATCGATCTTTCGCAGAGTCATCAGACATATATCCTCTCTGGCTAGCCTCCTCGAACCCTTCGGTAGGATCTTGTTCGTAGGCCTCTTGTTCAGAATCACCATCAGAATAGTCATTAGAGCTCTGCGCATAAGATGTGTGGTGGAAAGGCCGACGAGTTAGCTGTGGCATAGCATCATCTGAAGAACAGTATATATTAGAATTTTCCTGGTTAGCCATATCTTGGGTCAGTCCTTAAGGGTATGTTCACAGTCAAGCCTCTCTGGCCCATGACAAAGGTTGGTAGTCTGAAATGACTAAAGTGTCTCCGGGCTCCATTGTCAAAATTCGATTGCAGACATCCCCAACTTCCGAATGGGGAGTTGCAAAAGAAATCAGGATCAGGAGCCATCAAGGAGTTTTCAAACAAGTTTCACACGTGGTTGTTTTTGACTTTAAGATCGAAGTCATCATATCCTAGATGGTTCGGCATTCCCCAAATGTGAATGGTAACATCGTCATTCGATCTCATGACATCTTCCTGTAGCCTAAGAAAAGCTCGATCCCCTTCACCATAGAGCAAAGGCATGTATACACCGAAAAGGCCTAATAGGCAGTATGCCTTGTCTTCAAGCCTCGTGATATTTCTTTTTCGCCGCCCATGACATCCACTCAGCCACAGTAGCGGTTTGACTGGCAGCTTTGTCTCCCCCACGGAGATAAAGCCTTCTGATACCAGTAATATGCGGGATAAGATCACATAGTTCAATTTTGTCACCCACTTTTTGCCATGAGCAATTGAAATAGTCAACTTTTGTCGGAGCCAGAAGTTCTTGCAAAGTCCAGCCTCGGGTGAACCACCGTGATCGTTGAAACTGTTCATCATGCTGGCGCTCCGATGTATGAGAGGATTCAACATCAGACAGATAGGCGAAACATATAGCTGATTTAGAGTAACAAGCAAACATCGAGTTGGTTGACTCCTGGAGCTCGGCACTGCTGGACTTGTCTATGCAGCAAGTATCAATCCACATATATTCGTAGTTGTATTCCAGCGCTTTCGCACATGCTTGTGCTACTTTTTCCCAGCCAGGACGCTTTGAATCGTAGAGATCTCGCGAATGCCAGTGTTTTATATCATCAAAGGTAATCTCATTCTGGGGTTCTCCCCATGTGTGTGAGATAATAGCGTAAGGAGAAGCGTCCCGCTCGCTAACGACAAATTCCACCTGAATGGTTCTGGCGTTGATGATCCACATTATGAGAGACGTATGTTGATCCTGAGGTAAAAAGCAAAGGGGGTTTCAAATATTTCTGCTTCAAAATAGGGAGTTGAGAAAAATATAAGCATCCTGGTCGTTGCTTGTTCGTTCATGCAGTCAGCCCCTCATTAGTATTATCTACTCTGTCAGTCGCGGGGTCGGTGGAATGGATCATCGATGACAATCTGAGACTAAAATGGCAGGCCATCACGTAGTGATCCAAGGCCGTCAACAAATGCAAAAAAAGAAACTCAAACATTGGGAGACTTGATATTTTGAATTGTAGTAAAGATGGATCTATTCATATACTACCTAGTAGGTTGGCGAGGTTCATCTACTCCATAAACTGAAGGGATCCACATCCAACTTGAACCTCAGATGAAAAGGTTTTCTTCAAATAGCCTAAATTTGATAGCTGGATCAAGTTTCTAAAACAAGAAGTTGCTATTATTGTTTCAAAGAAGATCAAGTAAAGCGGCAAACAACTTGAATTAAACGATTGTTACACAGCTGAAACCAAGAGCCGCCAAAGGATATAGTATTTATCGTTATAGACACAAAAAGACGCTGCCCAAACAAATCCCGGTCGATAAAAGCACTCCTCTAAACAAAGCCATCAGACAGAAATTCTGCCTAACGCTCAACCTTTCACCATTCCCATCCCTACGTAGCCTGGCTCAGGCTGTCTCTGCCCCAGGCCCGCCTGCCACTCACATTCCATCTCCCACTCCACCTCCAACGCACCCTCGACATCTCCCAAAAGATCGGAGAGAAATTCGTCCTGTTTCTCATTGTTCAGAGCGGGCAATGGAGCAATAGGTTCATCAGATAATGGATGGGGTTCCAGCGGGCTTTCGCAGCCTTTTAGCCCGATGAAGCGACCGAACCGCAGGCGCTTGGTTTCAACAGTCACGGATGGGTCTGCCTTCGGACCAACCCAGGGCTTATCGATAGGTAATGGATAATTTTTGGTTTCTGAAGTGGGAGGCGAGGTTTGATGGAAGAAACGGGCAAGGCCGTCAAGTTGCTCATGAGTGAGGACCTGCCAGGCGAAGAGTGTCTTTGGAAAATTTGCAGGGGCTTGGTTTGAAGTACAGCTTCTCAGAGGGTGTAGAGGCTGACTGAGGATTTCGATCAGTCTTCTGAAGTCTGGGTGGGGCGGGATTTGCAAAGCAGGAAGCTGCCTTGCAGAAACTTGAGAGGTGGATTCAGTCATGATGAATTGAAGATGGTAGATAGTGGTAGTATTGGAACTGGAGAAAAAGTAGACAATTCGTATAAACAGGACTTGACTTGAAAGTGTATTCGCTAGATAAAAACCAAGAAGCATGGAATTAGAAAAGATGAATAGTCAGGTCAAGGTCATCGCTCTTATATGTATTCTGTAAATCCAGTTGTCTTATAATGGCAATGATATAGATAATGATGTGAAACATCCCGAAATAGCGCTTTGACGTTCTAAAACGAAAGCGCGCCGCCCCTTATAGCTGTTCAAAGGAAGCGTCTCAAAAACCTGCAGGGTCGTGTTACCCGATGCTTTGATCGGAGTCATCGCGCATACCAGAAGGAAATTTTGAGCCACAGAATCATTACGAACCATCGTCAGTGTTTCACATTGTTGCGTCACTGCAAAGCCACAAGTTTGACCATTAAAGAGCCAGGCTGTGCATACCCGACGAAACGTCTGGTTCGTCAGAGAATGGAGGCAGTTCAACATATTTGTTGATCCAGTTCAGCACCGTCTTGTGCCACAGAAGGGAATTTTCAGGGTTTAGAACCCAATGATTCTCATCTGGGAAGGTTAGGAAGGCGCTGTCAATACCACGCATCTGTAGCACATTGAATGCTGCTAGGCCTTCCGCAATCGATAGTCGGTAATCAAGTTCGTTGTGGATAATGAGGTGTGGCGTCTGCCAATGGGCAGTGAAACGGGACGGATCCCATCGAGTCCAATTTTCAGGATTTTCCCAGATTGGACCTTGGAGGTCATGGAGAGGGAAATATTGCTCGTCACTGGCCAACTGAGATGCAATATTGAAGACACCATCATGAGTTACCAAGGCTTTGAACTTGCGCCCCAGTGGATGACCTTGAATCCAGTTCGTCATATATCCACCGTAGGAGGCACCCAAGGCAACAGCTCGTGATGTGTCAACATAAGCCAGATTCTGTTCAATATACTCGAAACCCTTCACCAAATCTTCGTATGGTCGACCTCCCCATTGGTTCTTAATCCCATCAGTGAAATCCTGCCCATATCCAGTGCTACCGGTAGGATTTGGCGTAATGACAACATACCCCTGCTCCGCAAATACGGCAGGATTCCAACGAGTACTCCATTGGTCGTTCCATGCACCTTGCGGACCACCATGGATTAAATAGGCAAGAGGGTATTTCTCACCGGGCTTAAAGTCAGAAGGCTTCACGACCCAAGCATGAATCGGGTGGTCTTCTGCGCCTCGGAACCAAATCTCATCAACCTGAGAGGGCGAGAGACCGAAGGCCGATCCACCACGTCCACTGGATGAGACGATGCGATGCTCCTCAGGATTTGAGGGGTCGATAATTGACCACATGCTGTTATCCACAAAGCTGCTGCTGGAAATGAACAATTTTGAAGACCCGACCGCCGCAGGAACCACGTCATTCACGTATCCCGAACGAGTAAGCCTCTTCAAGGAATCAGGCTTAGTGTGCCTGATATTATCTAGAGAGAGCTGATAGAGAACACCGCGTCCGACCTCCTCGGTTTGAATAAATAGCGACTTATCATCATGGGCAAATGAGATGGCAGAGGGGCTCAGGTCCCAGTGTCCCTTTCCATCAGCAGATTCAAAAACCTCGATCATCTCCCCATTCCATGGGTTTGGAATATACAGGATCCGATTTTTGTCGGATTCGTATCCATCCTCCTTCATCGCGAGGAGAGCAATAGAGCTACCATCTGAAGACAAAACTGGAGAAGCCATGGCACCCTGAAGCGCAGTGACCTTGCAAGGCTTAATTTCTGAAGTCCCCATGCTAGTCCAGGAAAACATAGGCGCATAGTAGCAGGAGCAAGCGGTATGTGTAGCAGGGTTCAGGTCGGGGTCTTTGCCAATAAACACGATTGCTGATGGACTGATGTCAAAGTCACCAGTACCGCCAAATGGTGGCATTGGTGATTCAACACCAGCCAGCCCAGAAACTGTAATCAGATTGGTGAGGCCCGACACCGAGTACTTGCCAGCCATTCTGCGAGCAGGTGATAGAGGAGCCTGCTCCAAGAGGCCATACCAAATTGAGTTCTTCTGAGGCTCCACATAGGCATCCCAATGTCGGACAAAGAGCGATGTATACAAGCGACCCGTTGTTTGGGGCTTCTTCGCATCGTGGGGGTTATACAGAGATCCATCTGGGTTTGCTTTGCCAGTAACAGCATATCCAATCTTGCCCGGTTCGATAACTGTTAATTTCAAGTCCGAGACTGGACCCGGAACAGTACCCGCAGTGTAAGTCTTATCGGCTTCGCGTGCATCACCGACGATAAAGCTAGTGTTCCCGTTGGACTTGTTCTTCAGCCAAACCAACTGGTCCTCACCTCCGAGCCACTGAGGATTGCTGGCACCGGGATCATTGGTGATGAGAGCGGACCGACCAGTCTCGATCTCAATGACTCGAATCTCATTAGTCTTGGAGTGTGACTCGAAGGAGTAGGACGTTTGAGTGTAGACTGCCAGGGTACCCGCCGCGTTTGGAACGGCCGAAGAGCGTCTAGGTGCGCCGAGGAGGACCCTGTGGATTGTCAATTGGTATCAAGCCCCAAATGAAGGTGCGTTATGGAATATAAGTGAAGTTCTCAAATTCTGGGGGAACTTACTCCGGTGTGAACTTCATTGAGCGGATAGCCATATCGCCTGTATGGTCCGATGGGGCGATTGCGATAAGATAGAGCTAACAATGACGATGAAGCTTCAAACCTCGGAAGGTTCGTAAGGAATTAAATGAAGTAAAGAGTGTTTAGCAAGTTCTCAAAGGCATGCAGGCAGTGATGAGGAGAAGAGGAGAAAGAGGGGGAAGATTGGAGGAAGCAAGTAATAAATCACGGTGAGACGAATCGGGAGGGGGAAGCTCCGTCCTTCCTCTTCCAAGGGGGTTACAACGTGACTCCATGCGGGGATTTGCGCCACTGATCTACTGAATTGCATAAACACTATGTAGCACTATGTAATACTTATACTGCTTATGGTAATACATGAGATGATCAATCTGATAAATTTAAATCTACGATCCTGAAGAAATATTGAGAAAGGGGTTGAACATTTCTAACGCCTTTTGTATCCGAGTAAGCTCCAAGGAATATTATTACACAAAAACATAAAACATTTGAAAGAAAAGACATAAAGGATTCATTTACTCCTCTTCTTCCTCACTCTCATCTTCATCCATTCCTTCAGCTGCGGTCACGGTGAATGTGGGGGCTTGATCCACACCAACATAACTATCACTCATTAGGTAAAGAGTGAGCTCATGCTCTCCAGGAGTGGGGACAACATATTCTAGGCGCAGCTCCAACTTGCGACCGATCGTAACACGCTTGATTGCGAGTAAATTCTTGGTCTTTTCATCGCCGACAACAAGCCACCAGTTCTCCATCTTCTCGTTAGGATAGAATGGGGCGTGGACAACGGTATCTGGCTCTTCGTCATCTTCAACCTCACGCTCGATCTTGACCTTAAGGTAGGCAGGGTCACCAGAGGTGATGTTCTCAGGATCTTCAACCTCAAAGTCCAGGTCAATGTTGGGGTATTTCTCGTTGGTGAAAGCGGCCGCTTGCGCCAATTGCTTGTTGTTCAAGCCCAAGCGCTTGACGAGAGTTTGGTAGTCCTTGTTCTCGGAGGGGTCCATAGCGTCCATGAATTCAAAGATATCATTAATGCTGCAGAGAAATAAAAAGTTAGTAATGATTCAGACATAGAATTAGATATTGGAAAATGCATACCTGTATTCCTTAGCCACATCGATGGCCTCGGATGAGAAGTGGGGGATCTGCTTAAGTGAACTATCACGGTCCCACATGGCCTGGACCACCATCTGCGACAGCTCCATGGCATTCATAGCATTAATGTGGCCCTCTGAAGACAATACATCCACACAGGCACTAAGCAAGTTGAGAACCTTGCGAATGATGTCCTCTTGATCCTTCGCAAGATCAATTGGCAGCTGCATGCGGGAGAAATGAGCCTGCAGGAGTACAAATGCCTTGAAGTGAGGCGAGTCATATGCCACCTGCGACATCTTGACGGGTACACGATCGTAGACACGGCGAAGGATATGCTCCTCGTGACGACGGATCTGAACAGATTCAAACTCAGTGGCCGAGGTGACAATTTCCAGGATACCCTTGAGCTTGGTGCGAGCTGAAAGCGACAACAAGAATGTTTGCATGGTGATGAAGGAAATATTGTAGTATGCGCTAATCATAGCGGCATTCAAGGGCGACACAGTGTCATCATCCTCGTCGAGGTCAATGATCTTAGCCTCAGACAGCTCCTTCAGCGTGTTCTCAACCAATTCAGACAGGAATGTGCTCAGCCCTTCGTGGCTAACATCACTGAGACCATAGAAGCTGGGGTTGGCGAGCAGCCGGCGGTAGAAGTATGTGTATGTCATCCAGTCGACGGCATCCTGAGTCGAAGAAATGGTCTTGGTGCTAGCCTCAGTGACAAATGCATCGTGGAGGTAGACCTGCAGATGACTCTCCACAGGCAACGCCTCGCTAAGGAACTTCTTGTAGTAGTCACGCTTGACCGCAGGTACCATCAGAACACCGCGACCAATCTTGTCTTGACCGGGTCGGGAAGCCTTGCCGAACATCTGAAGAATCTCGCTGATAGGGTAATCAATGTAACGGTGTTCACGGCCATCGAAGAATTGAGTGTTCATAACAATCACCAGATGGGCTGTCAAGTCCAATTCCCAACAGACATCACGCGAGGCCAGGAGCACCTGGATGGCACCAATACTGAACAAGTGTGACACAATACGCTTATCAGTAGGAGACAATGCCTCGTGGTAATATCCAATACCGTGAGACAGGGAAGCGGCGAGAGTCTGTTCTTGGACACGACTAAGAAGAGGTGCGAGCTCCTCGGCATCGGCGTTCAGGAATCGATCTTCATTGTCATCCATACCACAAGCTGTCAGGAGATCCATGGCTGTTGATCGGGCCTGCTTCCGGCTGGGCACAAAGATAAGAGCGGACTTGTCAGGCGACAATTGCAAGATGGATTGGTAGGCTGGGCGAGACATCGCAAGCATCAGGGAGGGGAAATGAGGAATGGTGAAAGACTGAATGTGAAGCTCCAAGGGTACAGGGCGAGCGTTCGGGCTGAAGTTGTAGATAGTATGCTTATTGGCACCAATCCACTCTCCGATATCACGGGCATTGGCAAGCGGAACACTCAGGCCAAGAATACGCATGTCATTTTCAGTCTGGAGAGCAATGTAGTGCATACGTGAAACAACAACTTCGTAGATATAGCCTCCGAAGCCACCAAGCATGTGCAGTTCATCAGCGATGAACAATTGCACAGTCTGGATGTTCTTTCGTCGCTGCCACTGCCTAGAGAGGACATCCCATTGGACGGGGGTGGCGAGAACAAGATCAGCGCGCTCTAGAAGTTTCAGATCGGCTGTAGTCTCTCCAGTCAGCTTGACAATAGTCTTGCCCCCTGCAAGACCACTGAGTCGTTTCTCCCAGTCGGCGAGGCGCAGGTCAACCAGCTCTTGGAAAGGAGCAACATAGACTGCGCGGCCGCTGTTCTCAGTTGACCAATGACGAAGCAAGGCTAATTCGGCACAGACAGTCTTGCCGCTACCAGTTGGAGCACCAATGAAGACATTGTCGTCCGAGTCAAACACAGACTTGAAGACCTGGGTTTGAATCTTGTTAAAGTGGTCCCAGTTGGGGTAGAGTTTCTGGTACTCGTCACGCTTCAAAGCCTTGACAGGTGCACGCTGCATATCAAGCAATGGGGTGTGAGGAGGGAAGCGCTCTGGGAGGACGAGCTTTTGGAAAGAGACAGCGATCTTAGTCTCAGAGTGCATCCAGCGATCAGACACCAGCGAGATGAAGTAGTTAGGAGGCATTGGCTCCGTAATGGGAACGGTGAATTCAACGAGATGTTCGTTCATCTCAGATTGCGCAAACTCACGCCGTAACAGGAAACGATCGTGGTGCAAAATCTCTTCACCATCACAGTCTTCAACCAAGATCCAGAAGTCTTGGGCGTTACCGTGTACAGCATCGTCCCAGACAAAGTTAGGGGTCAGTGTCAACTCCACGCGAAGCAAGGATCGAGTAATTGGCTGCACCTGAGCCTGAACTTCAAGTCGAGGGAATTTGGAAACGAGATCGCAGACAACGCGTCCAGCCTTAGGCATACCGAGAAGTTCACCCATACGCGGTGGGTCCAAGTCAAAGTAACTAGCCCAAGGCACGTCAATCCGCTCGGCCTTTTGCAGGATATCTCTCGGACAGTTATGGAACTGACGCAGAGGAGACATTGTTGGCCACATACGCTTCTCGGCCATTTTACAGAGATCAAGTGCAGTCTTCGCCACTGATGACCAGCCCTTCTTCAAGCAAATCTCAAAGATAGCCCGGATGATACGGCCAGCAGATTGTGTGACATAAACCATATCAGCCATCAACGCCAGTCCGTCGAGCTTCAGACGAGAAATGTAAGCTTGAAGGAGAACATTGATCTTCGCATGGGGCTCATCAATCGTCTCCTTGACAGGCACTGGAACTCTGCCAAGAAGTTTGCCAAGCTCCAACTTCTCATCCTGACGCACGGGAATGTATTTGAATTCGTCGCTGAGAGCGAAAATACGGAACAGCTCGATGGTTGTGATGGAAGGCTGAAGATGCTGAGAGTAAGTGAGCATGGAATTGTGGCCGATGTAATAATGCGAAGAAATGCGACCCAGCTCGGTTGATTGGAGTCGTCCAGTCTTTTTATCATACTTGACGAGTCCAGCTCTCTCGAGTACAGTGGCGGCGGAGTGGATAAGATCAACACGCTTCTGTTCTAGAGCGTCATCGTTTTCGTAGTCTGCACCAACACTGTATAAGCCAGGGGAACGCAGCATTCGAACGTAAAGATAGCTGTATCCAAGCCATTCAACGCCCTCGTCACGGGTACGAACGTTGCCCAAAACAATCTCAGCGTTGAGGTTATCAGCCAACTTGCTTACAAGCTGAGACTCAATCGGCAGTTGCATGTTCAGAAGCGAGAGATAATATTGCATCTCAGATTGAGAGGTAATGATGATACCCTCTCCGAAGGTATCGTACTGGGGTCGACCAGCACGGCCAAGCATTTGAAGTACATCTTGGGGACTCAGTTCAACCCAGCTACCCTTCTCAGGGGAATACACTTGGGTTCCCTTGATGATGACAGTGTGCGCGGGAAGGTTAACACCCCAGGCGAGGGTTGCGGTACAGATCAGAACTTGGATACTACCATCGGCGAAAAGCGCCTGGACAGAATCACGATCTGCCAGACTCAGACCAGCATGATGGATTCCCAGGCCGTAAGGCAGAAGATCTTTGAGAGAAGCATCATCAACGGACTCAGCCTCTTCTGAAAGAATGGCGCGACTAGCGGCGTCACTTCGAAGAATCTGGCCAATAGTTTCCATTTCGACAGCCTTGTCTCTGATATACTTGGCTGTCTTCGCGGTCTCCTTTCTTGAGTGGACGAAAATAAGCATCTGGTTTCGACGCTGACCGACTTGCTCAAGAACTTTGGTATAACAGATGTCGTTCATAGTCTTGAGCTGCTTGATGGCTTTCTTGTCAGTGACACCGATGAATTCCTGTTTCAAAGGACAAGGTCGGAATGAGCCATCAAAATGAAAAACACCCTTCTCGGGATCGGCACGAAGGAAGTTTCCAACATCACGGTAGTTTGGCAAGGTGGCACTGAGACCCACGATTCGCACAGGGTCGCCAGTTTGTTCGACGCGGCGGATAATACGACTAACAATGCTCTCAATGACAGGACCACGATCATCGTGAAGCAGATGAATCTCATCAATGACAATGAGTCGGACAAGATTGGTGTAACTGGTCTCGGAAGCCTTTCGGGTAATGACATCAAACTTCTCGGGGGTAGTAACAATGACCTGCGTGTCGGCAATTTGCTGCTTGGTGAGTTGACGATCACCAGTGAGCTCAGCCACACGAATGCCATAGGGTTCGAGACGTTTTCCAAGGTTTCCAACCTGCTCCTGAACCAACGCCTTGAGAGGAGAGATATATACAATTTTGAAGTCGTCGAGCATTACCTCTCCGGTCTCTGGGTTGCGGTGCTTACCAATTTCTCGCAAAATAGTAAGCATGGCAACGTTGGTTTTTCCAGAGCCAGTAGGTGCGCAGACAAGAAGGTTTCCATCATCGTGGAAGGCTGAGGGGTAACACTTGGTCTGTACTCGGTTCAGTTCCTTCGAGCTTCCAAATCCAACACGCGCCCAGTCAGGTAATTCCGTAGTCGGGATGTTTTTCTCTCCAGCCTCTCTCTTCGCCTTGGGCGGTGGGACATGGATCTCTTCATATCCCTTGAAAGTCCGCTTAGTGGAGCCTTGAGGGAGCTTGACATTGGGGTTGGTCATGAGATGGTTGCCCTGATGGAAAACCAGATTCTCAAGGTTGATGAGTTTCTTGGGCTGGAGACCACCGACCAATCCACCTTCCGTAGCAGGCTTCTCCTCTTCTTTTGGTGCTGAGGGAACATCGACGTCCATCAAGTCAAGCTTGATACGCTTGTCAGGACGATCGGCAAGATCATCACGAGCAGACTTTCCGCGGATTTCGTCCAGAATAGCGCGATGACCAGCTTCGACCATTTGACTTTCCACAAGGTGACGGGCGTCCGCATCTTCAGCAACCTGCTTCCATCGGGTGACCCAGTTGACTTTGTCCCGGTTTGTCACCAATTTTGCGACAAGCTTGGCATGCTCATAGTCAAAGAGCTCCATCAGGTCATTCTCAACATCTCGAAGAGGTCGCTCGGAACCATCCTCTGTTTGACCACCAAGAATCTCAAGGGCTTCCCGGGTCTTTTCTTGTTGAATATGGGCATCTGAGTACAACGCACCAATTTGTCGCTGCAACCAGTAAGCGTCAATCTCGTGAGCAGAGACCTTCAGACCAGCTTTGTCTCCGGACTTAGTATCACGGTCGAAGCCTCCATCGATGACCATTTCATCACCCTCATCGGCCTCTTGGGCGGCGACATCAGGTTGATCTTGCTCGTCTTCTTCATCCTCGTCGCTGTCCTCCTCTCGAATCTCGTCAACGGTGCCCATACGCTCTTCGTCTTCGTCTTCTTCGTCGAAAACAACGGCAACACCTTGACGTTCATCAAGCTCAGAACCTGCCTCATCAAAGCCACCGTCCATATCCTCGTCATCGTCCTGGGCGTCGTAGTCTGTAATTTTCTTCCCAAGGTTCACCAGCTCATTAAACTCTTTCGGGTTCATAGAACTGCCCAGAAGGTCATCAACTTCCTTTTTCTTATCGAAATCTTTCATATCTTCGTCCTTAAGGTATTCCAAAACGGCATCGGCGGCACTTCGAACAACTTCGTGGGGTACATCGCCCAAGTGGGTTCCGGTAATCGTAAGGATAAGGTCATATGTCGCTCGAGTCGCGGGTGTCCGAGGGCGATATTTTAAGCCTTCAACGAGAGCATCGGCAGCGGAGAGGATACCCTGGCCTCGGGGTTGTGCTGGTTGGCCACGGCGCTTTTTCTGTTCACGGAATAAAACGTCTTCACCCTCATGAATCGCACCCCTTTCGACGTCCGTAGGTCCGGCTTTCTTTTTCGACTTTGGCGCATCATCACGAGCGATACGTGAGCCCATCTCCCGAATCCCAATGCGACCTGCCAATGACTCGGGATCTCCGGTTGCCTCGTCATTAACGCGGCTGATGAAACGACGGTCCGCCTGGAGAACCAGGTTGGACATTGCCGAATATTTGTACTGAGAAATATTTTGGTCCGCCATGTTGGTGGTTGTGTAATTTAGTCGTAAAAATGATTAACGAAATGGAATAAAAAAATGAATGAATCGCGCGACTTGAATCAACTTGGATGCGCCGGTCAGCAAGTCAACCACGCCCCACGTCGAACCGGGAGGAATTGGATTTTTCAAATGGTCTCACAAACCTGGCTCATTCTCCGGCCGCAAGTGAGTAGACTTGAATTGGGGGGAGAAATGGAGGCCAGGGTTGGGATTTAAGTCAGAAAGTGAGGTTAACTGAAGAAGCTCGGGAAGATTTCGGTGGCGAAGGCGGAAAGGAGCCCTGGAGGGGAGCTTTTGGGTTCTGCCGCTTATACATACAAGTCCTCCTATGTACTTGCTTCGCAACAATGCGCATAACTGGGACTCCAGTTGCTCGGTGGACTCAATTTAGGATTTCATCATGCTCTAGTGTACAATTATTACGTGTTAAAGCCTATCAATGTCCTGTTCATCGAACTATATGTCACCATGCGCGTCCATCATTGATTCACTCACGCGTCTCTGCCAAAGTGCCGCAAGTACAAGTTCGAAGAGGCGCCAAATCCCAGGCCACTGTCAAGCTCAAGGATCTCCCACAGGGTGTGGTTAAGCTAGAGGCATATGATGATGGAGTTGACGATGCTCCTCGGTATCCAACAGTGGTCCAAGGGCACCGTAACAACGTGCAGAAATTCAAGAACTGTGTTGTTCTCACACGAGTCGGTGGCTTTTACGAGGTATAGTTAAGCTAAAATCCAACAAAGCACGTATCAAACTCACACTCTATTTAGCTTTACTTTGAGCAAGCTGAGGAATTCGCGCCATTACTTAGCTTGAAATTAGCATCAAAGAAGACCAGCGCCGGACCAGTTCCCATGGCTGGTTTTCCCTTTTTCCAACTGGATCGTTTTCTCAAGATTCTTGTCCAAGATCTCAACAAGTATGTTGCAATCAGCGAGGAATTTGCTATTGGAGCAGAGGATAAGGCCCGCTCTGGAGGGTTGATGTTTGATCGAAGAGTAGCCAGGATCGTCACACCGGGCACTTTAATCGATGAAAAATTCATTGATCCATCTGAAAACAACTTCCTTTTAGCCATTTATCTCGACATGCCTGCTCTGAAAGCTGAAACAAAAGAAAATATTGACCCGCATTCGTCACAGCATGTGTTGTCCTCGGTACCTCAGCGTGTAGGATTAGCATGGCTAGATCTGTCAACAGGAGACTTTTTTTACCCAATTGACAACGGCCCGGATGCTGCCATCTGCGATTGCTCGGATTGGAGCGCGTGAAATTCTGGTAGATCAGAATGTCCAAGATATCATTGGACAAGAATTGCAGCAGCTCGTGGGACATGAACATCGTCTTGTCACATTCTTTCGATATCCAGATGTATTCTCACCAATGTCAGAATGGGATTCTATGCTCGAAGCCCCGATTCCAGAAGATACACATGCGTCTTTCACAGCGGAGGAAGTAGCTGCTGGCTACAGCCTACTTGAGTATATTCGAGTACAACTGCAAGGCTCTAACCTCAAACTCCAGCCTCCCCGTCGGAGACATTTAGAGGAATCAATGAGCATCGACCGTAATAGTCTTAGAGGGCTCGAAATTTTGGAGACCTCGCGGGATGGATTCGGGAAGGGAAGCCTGCTTCATGCGGTCCGTAGGACTTCTACAAAAAGTGGTGCTCGCCTTCTACGAGATCGACTCAGTAAGCTATAAGTCCAGACCACTTCACTCTGTCTTGACACTAATCTGTTTCATGCAGCTTCCCCCTCCACTTCACTCCTGGCTATCAATGAACGACTTGATCTAGTTTCAATCTTCATTGAGAATGAGAATCTTCGCGATAATGTCGTTCAATTATTAAAACGCAGCTATGATTCCCAACGGCTAGTGCAGAAGTTTGCTATGGGAAAGGGAGATCCAGACGATTTGATCTGCCTCTCGAGGGCCATTGAGGCTTCCCAGGGGGTGAAGCAGGTTCTTTCTGACCATGAACGGCTATTCACGTCTGGTCTCCCATCTGGTGCTAGAGGTAGTCTCCTTTCTATGATTTCACGGCTCTATCTTGAAGGGCCCGTTGCGCTCGCCAACAAAATATCTTCTGCCATCGACGAAGAAGGTGTCCTGCGGCAACAACGGATTCAGGATAGCACTGCTGCTGAAGCTGTCAGCTTAGCGCAGGAGGTTGCTATAAATGAAGGCACATCGAGTGAATTGGAGTCATTGCCCAAGAAAGTAAGAACCAAGGCTAGTGAGAAAGCTGCGGTAGACCCTGAAGCTGGAGAATTTGAGACATGGATTATGAGACGCAACGCCAGTGAGAATCTAAACGCTCTACATACTGAGTTGGAGGATCTGTTCAACGAGAAAATTACGCTAATTAAGAAGCTCCGTGATTACGTTGGCTCGTCAGCCCTAAATTTGAAATGGACTCCAGGTCTGGGTCACATCTGCCATGTCAAAGGTCCCAAAATTTCCCAACAGTCTCTTGAGGAATTAGGAGTCACACGGAATGTCTCTTCGACCAAATCTACACGCTCGTTCTATCTTCCGGCATGGACAGAACTAGGAAATAAGATGGATCGTGTCAAGATACAAATTCGACAAGAAGAGCAAGCAATCTTCGAACATCTCCGCCGCGAAGTGATACTGAATTTGGTGAAAATCCGCCGCAACGCAGCAGTGATGGACGAACTGGATGTGGCCTGTTCCTTTGCCACGCTCGCTCAAGAACAAAAAATGGTTCGACCTATCCTTAACGAAGGAACGAAGCATAAAATCGCAGGTGGGAGGCACGCAACCGTAAAGCTTGGGCTTGAAGAGCAGGGAAGATCATTCGTGAGCAACGACTGCTTTCTTGGTGATCAAGAACGGATCTGGCTTATCACTGGGCCGAATATGGCTGGAAAAAGTACATTCTTGCGCCAAAATGCTCTTATCACCATCCTCGCACAGGTCGGGTCATATGTGCCAGCAGCTTACGCCGAGATCGGACTTGTGGATCAGATATTCAGTCGTATTGGAGCGGCAGATGATCTGTTCCGTGATCAATCTACTTTCATGGTGGAGATGCTTGAGACCGCTGCTATTCTTAAGCAGGCTACCCCAAGATCCTTCGTGATTATGGATGAAGTTGGCCGTGGAACAACGCCCGAAGACGGAACCGCTGTCAGTTTTGCTTGTCTGCACCACTTGCATTATCATAACCAGTGCCGCACTCTTTTTGCTACCCATTTCCACGGTCTTGCCGACATGACGCAGAAGTTTGAACATTTGGAAAGATACTGCACTGACGTCAAAGCGACAGGCCGGGGGTCTTTTTCTTTCGTGCACCGTCTTCGAAAAGGTGTCAATCGTGAATCACACGCATTGAAGGTTGCTCAGCTAGCTGGTCTTCCTCGAGAAACAATCGAACTGGCTACAAGTGTGCGAGATAAGCTGAGGAACAAGAAACACTCTTCAATAGCTAGTGATGGTCTCTCGGACTCTCATTGAGCATAGCAAAAATCTCAAGCAGGCCCGGATGTTTGTTTGGCACATCATCATCGCCACTTGACATGTATTATACCTAGGTAGTTTTGTACGATACCATATATCATTCAATTTTCTTCTTGGTAATATCTTAACTGTCACTTGCCTCTCAAGCTCTAATCTCAAGGTTTCACGCTTGACTGCAAATTCACAAGGTTCAATGAAAAGATAGTATTAGTAAGGACTTGACTGGTGACTTTTTTTCTTTTTTAGCATCGCTGATTTTAGAATAAGCGAGATCACTCAAGTGCTAATACAACTAAAACTACTACTACTACTACTACTTCTACAAGTAATATATGCTCAAAGAATGGTGCTTTGGAACAGGATGGATATAGGATAAATAATGTACATTGTCTGGTGGTATGGATGTGGAGGTTTTGCTCAACACGCTCGATAGTAGACCATGTCTCGGAGTAAATGTCGCTAACCCGTCTGAAATGGCGATCTGGTCCAAAATATAGGACCAGTCATTTGAACCCATTTGTGGGAATTGCAAATGTATGGTTTCCATTTCATATGGTCACTGGAATAAGTCATCACGCTCAAATTCCAAATAGCCAACTGGATGTCATGATGGCTGTCAGGCGGCTAGCATTAATGTAATTACCATAAGACATGGATTTAGGGGCTTCGTTTTGAGGAGCCAATGGCTCTGCTTGCGCGGTTAATGTAGGCGCAAGGTGTTTCCCTGGGCGGCGGCATTCATTCCACAATGGAATTCCTCTAGTATAGATCAAGTAAAAATCGGAAAACTCTCAGCTTGCATCTGGTCCGAGAGTTTCCAACCGAGCTTTCTTTGCTCGCCGTTTCAATTCCCGCTTTGATAAGTGCTTCTCGGCTTCTTCCGCCACCGCGTCAGAGCCGATAGACGCCTTTCTTTTCAGGTTATCCGCATCTTTACTCTTCTCGGGAGACGCATTGGACTTGTTCGTGGCTTTTTGTGTTGGCGTGGGCTTCTCGGAGCTGGCTTTCTCTCCACCGTGGATAATGTCAACAATTCCCCGCCAGCTATTTCGCTTCAGTTTTGCCAATGCTGTCACTTTTCGTGCTTCCTCGCAGATAGCCTCCTTACCACGTTCTTGTGATAGACCCCATATACATGTTAAATTGATCACATCCCACGGAGCTCGCAAGCTCAACGCCCTCCGAGCCTCACTTGACACAATAATGCCACGTCCGCGTGTTGCCCGAACCAAGGCCATAGCATTCCCAATCAGATTGCGGCGAGCATCTACTCCGCTTCCCGTGACTCCCGGTCCATAGCAGATCTCTAGACGAACCCCACGTGACACTGCAGCAGACAGCATCTTGAATTTGAAGTGGTATGGGAGTCGAACTGAGAGGTCAAGTGAGACGATATCACATTCTAGGTTTGTACAGGCGTTCAAAAGAGCTTTTTCATTTGTTGGGCGAAGCGCAACCAAGTCATAAGCTTGGGACAGATTGTTCAAACGTTGATTTTGGGCGGGATCGGCGAGGGTCAAGTTCAGGCGGGTCAATAGTTGGAGGGATTTAGGTGGATTCTGCGGAAGAAGTGGTGGTTTGATGGTTGTAGGGAGCTTTCCGGTGATAGTTTGGGACAGGGCGACGGTGGTGTAACCAACTTGAAGAGTCAGGTCAATACCTCATGTGGTCTAGAAGCAACACCCATGAGCTAACTTGGGTTGGCAGGATGACTTACGTTCAGCCAGAAAATTTAGAGTGTGGGGCACCTCTGGGTCATCCGGGCTATATGGGACATTGAGATCATAGAACATGATGTGCTGATAAGTCCTGTACCGAAGAATAAAGAGCTGATGAGACCCAGGTTGCTGGGAGGTCTTGTCGCAACACACAGAACCAAAAAGTCACAGCTTGTCCGAAATAGGCAACTGAAAACCACCTGGACAGAAAAACCGCCGGAACATTGTGTTTCCGAGGGTCCATAGTCTAACCGTATTTAGCTTGCTCTCCACACAGCAAGTCCCGTGACAAGGCGGAACAGCAGATCTCGCTCTCACATTAATATCTCCCCCTCCATTAAACATTGCTTTCAGGACCGATCGATCGAACGGTTACGTTCGGGCTGGTCAGTTGCTGGGCCTTCTATTTCTCATCTTCATCTCTCTTGTTTCTCTCTCGACCCTTCAAACAACGTTCCTCATTCGCGACCCCCGCTTAAACCCCCACTCGCCGCATCTGATTTCGGTTGTGGGCGGACTCAGAAGCCGTCTACGATCACCATGGCGCGCGTTTATGCCGATGTAAACGAGCATATGCCTCGATCCTACTGGGATTATGACAGTGTCAACATCTCTTGGGGCGTTTTGGAGAACTACGAAATCGTTCGTAAGATAGGTACGGTACATCTCGATTGCAGCCTCCACCCTGGTTGAGCGTATCGCCCGCGGTCATGCCTGAAGTGTGGAGACACCCCTGTGATTGACCGACCTCCTGCTGACCTTATCCATTCTAGGCCGAGGAAAATACTCCGAAGTATTCGAAGGTATCAACGTGGTCAACTATCAGAAATGTGTTATCAAGGTCCTCAAGCCCGTCAAGAAGAAGAAGATCAAGCGTGAGATCAAGATTCTTCAGAACCTTGCCGGAGGTCCGAACGTTGTCGCACTCCTGGATGTAGTGCGTGATAACCAGAGCAAAACCCCCAGTCTTGTGTTTGAGGCTGTCAATAACACCGATTTCCGCACCCTGTACCCCCGCTTCACGGATTATGACGTGCGTTTCTACGTTTTTGAGTTGTTGAAGGCGCTCGACTTCTGTCACAGTAAGGGTATCATGCACCGAGACGTGAAGCCCCACAACGTTATGATTGATCACGAGAAGCGCAAGGTTCGTAATTACATTCCTGACCTTAAAGTTCGTTCTTCATTCTAACTTATTTTAGTTGCGCTTGATTGATTGGGGTCTCGCTGAGTTTTACCACAAGGGTACGGAATACAACGTTCGTGTAGCCTCCCGCTACTTCAAGGGTCCTGAGCTGCTGGTCGATTTCCAAGAGTACGATTACTCCTTGGATATGTGGTCACTGGGTGCGATGTTCGCCTCAATGATCTTCCGCAAGGAGCCCTTCTTCCACGGCAACAGCAACTCTGACCAATTGGTCAAAATCGCCAAGGTTCTTGGTACCGAGGAGCTTTTCGAGTACCTGGACAAATATGATATTGAGTTGGACCCGCAATATGATGAGATTCTCTCGCGCTTCCCTCGCAAGCCCTGGCACTCGTTTGTTACTGCTGAAAACCAGCGCTTTGTGAGCGACGAGGCGATTGATTTCCTCGACAAGCTCCTACGCTACGATCATGCTGTATGTCATCTCTGATTTTGTTTTCCTCCTCTCTTGCATCAATTTTCTCTTTCTAATCATCATATCACTTATAGGAACGTCTGACTGCCCAAGAGGCTATGGCACACCCGTACTTTGAGCCTGTTCGTGCTGACGCAGCACGAAACAACGCCGCTCAGTCCTGAATTCTCCCAGTGTGATAATGATGATGATGGCATCCCTATTCTCTCTGTCTTCTTTTTTTTCATGTTCTCCTTGTCCCCACCCTCTCCATCTCACGCTACCATCAGAATAAGCACATTGCTATCACGATCTTCCCAACTGCTTTTATCTGAATTTGAATAACGCCCTTACAAACGGTGTGCACAATCGAGGGAAAAAAATCGGAAGGAGGATGATTGACGCAATCGCCAGGCTGTCTCTTCACTCAGTCCTTCTACACCTCATGTGAAGAGTGGCTGCAGCGGGTAACCGACTCCCGAACGGAGACGACGTTGATGACAAGATATGACCTCTAATCTTCTTGGGCCCAATGGGCCTACACTGCCTCGGTTCTACGGGCGTATTAGTGAGCGCAATAAATCAGTTGACGTCTTAGAGCGGGAGGAGTTTCTCTCCCATATCTGCCTAATTGTATAGCGCTTTTTCTTTTATCTTCGCCATTCCATTCTCGAGTGCTCTCTTCTTCCCTTCGTGGTTGGTCCGGTGTTCTGGATTCATGAATCACTTTGTTTTCCCTCGTACTCCCCGCCCATGATTTTGATATGCTATTCCCTTTCCTGCTTTTTATGCACAGTTTCTTCTGGAGTGACGGGGTTAGGGAGGTATCTTATGTTACTGACCAGAGCCACGGAAGAGTGGTTTGAAGAGATAATTGCATTTCAAATTTTGAAATTCCGAAGACCGACTACTAGTAGTAGACCTACTACGCAGTAACTACGCTATACAGTATACGGATATATCTTCATACTATGTAGGAATTTGCTACTACATACTAGTAGTGGGCCCGAGTCTCCCGACGCCTTAACACTAGCATGTACTAGTAGGCCAGTAGCTTGAACTTACTCTTGGGAGTAGTTTCGGTCTCAATATCTAGCTTTAACTTCCGAGGGTTGGATAAATATGGATGATCAATGGCGCCAGTAATGCATAGTAGCTAATTGGGCATGGATACCTTGTTTAAATCATATTTGTGCCCAATGCACCACTGTAGCACCACAGTTTACCCTGAAATTTTTCAGATAGCATCCCTGAATATTGCCCATGGGAAAAAGCAGTAGCAATATCAGACTGATGCTTTATATAGACTTGGATAGTATATGAGATGGAGGGATTCATAGATCAGATCGCCCGTTGGCACCAGCGCCATCACGTGAGAACGCGACCGTTCTTCGAACTTCATTGAAATTGACTCATTGAGAATAGGTCAATGCGACAACCCATGAGATAATATCACCTCCCTAATTATTATTTAGTCCAATGTTGCATACATAGCTGTATATAGTCAGTGAGTCATTGTTCTCAAGCCTCGGGGTGTCTCCACCGATCCTCAGTTGAGCCCCGCCTTCTCATTCGTTGCCTCTGCGTGGGAAATTTAATTTGCCCGCAATTCGCACAACCACCCCTCCTTCTTGTCCGCAACTCCCTCAAGATACTTATTCGGCGATTCGTGGCGCGATCGGCGCCTTGGAGATTACCTCCGCTATATCGATCATCTTCCAGGATGGCTCAAAACTCCGCCTCCCAGATCCCCAGTACGTCTTGCCCCGGGAAAACGAATCCCCTCTATGCGGCAGCTCACTAACTTCATGTTTGATAGCTGGGGACTCTACTACCCCCGCTGCCCAGCAACCGCAAGCCCAGGCTGGACAAGATGCCCCAGCCGTTCCCAAGGTGAAGACCGAGAAGGAGCGTATGTTTATCCATCCCACGGAATATACTCGACCCCATATACTTCGACAATAAGACAACCGGCTGACAGTGGTTATCATCCTAGTTGAGCGCGAGCGCAAGAAGGCTGAAAAGGCGAAGAAGTTCGCGGAGAAGAAGGCTAAGGCTGCTACTGCCCAACCTGCTGCTCCCAAGGCTGAGAAGAAGGCCAACAAGGTGGAGAAGGAGAAGACCACCGACGCCTATGACCCTAAGACCATCGAAGAGGGCCGCCTCGATTGGTGGGAAGAGCGTGATCTCTTCAAGCCTGAATGGGGTCCTGACGGCAACGTCAAGCCCGAGGGCTCCTTCGTCATCCCCATTCCTCCCCCGAACGTTACCGGTTCCCTGCACATGGGTCACGCCTTGACCAATGCCCTCCAAGATACGATGATTCGTTGGCAACGCATGAAGGGTAAGACCACCCTGTGGCTTCCTGGAATGGACCACGCTGGTATTTCGACCCAGAGTGTTGTCGAGAAGATGCTTTGGAAGAAGGAGAAGAAGACTCGTCACGACGTCGGTCGCGAGGCCATGACCAAGTTAATTTGGGATTGGAAGGATCAATACCACAGCAACATTAAGAACTCCCTGCGAAGACTTGGTGGTTCTTTCGACTGGTCTCGCGAGGCGTTCACCATGGACCCTAACCTGTCCGCCGCTGTGACTGAGACTTTCGTTCGTCTCCACGAGGAGGGCATCATCTACCGTGCCAACCGTCTGGTTAACTGGTGTGTTGCCTTGAACACCTCGCTTTCTAACCTTGAGGTCGATAACAAGGAAATCGAGGGCCGTACCCTCCTCGATGTGCCCGGCTATGAGAAGAAGGTCGAGTTCGGTGTCTTGACCCACTTCTGCTATGAGATTGATGGCACTGCAGAGCGCATTGAAATTGCTACTACCCGTCCGGAAACCATGGTCGGTGATACTGGTATTGCTGTTCACCCCACTGATAAGCGCTATGCACACCTAATTGGCAAGAACGCACGCCACCCCTTCATTGATCGTCTGATGCCTATCGTCGCCGACGATGGTGTGGACCCCGAGTTCGGTACTGGAGCTGTTAAGATTACTCCCGCCCACGATTTCAACGATTTCAACCGTGGAAAGCAGCACAACTTGGAATTCATTTCTGTTATGAACGATGACGGTACCTTCAACAAGAACGCTGGTCCTTACGAAGGCATGAAGCGCTTTGATGCCCGTTACCAGGTTATCAACGACCTGAAGGAGAAGGGCCTGTACGTGAAGTGGGAGCACAACCCTATGAAGGTTCCCCGTTGCTCCAAGTCCAACGATGTTATTGAGCCCATTCTTAAGCCTCAATGGTGGATGAAGATGGAGAGCCTCGTTGGTCCTGCCATCAAGGCTGTTCAGGACGGTGAGATCATCATTCGTCCCGAGAGCGCTGAAAAGAGCTACTTCCGATGGATGGAAAACCTGAACGACTGGTGCTTGTCCCGTCAGCTGTGGTGGGGTCACCAGGCCCCTGCTTACTTTGTCAAGATTGAGGGTGAGCAAAATGATGACAGTGATGGCAACTCCTGGGTCACTGGGCGCACCGAGGAAGATGCTCGCAAGAAGGCCGAGGCCAAGTTCCCCGGCAAGAAGTTTGAATTGGTCCGCGATCCCGATGTTCTCGACACTTGGTTCTCTTCTGGCCTTTGGCCCTTCTCGACTCTGGGCTGGCCTCGTCAGACTCACGACTTCGAGCAACTCTACCCCACTTCCGTCCTGGAGACTGGTTGGGATATTCTCTTCTTCTGGGTCGCACGTATGATCATGCTTGGTATTAAGTTGACCGGCAAGGTTCCCTTCAAGGAGGTGTACTGTCACTCCCTGATCCGAGACTCTGAGGGTCGTAAGATGTCCAAGTCTCTGGGTAACGTGGTTGACCCTCTTGATGTCATGGAGGGTATTCAGCTGCAAACTCTTCACGATAAGCTCTTGCTTGGTAACCTTGCAGACAAGGAGGTTGCTACTGCTACCAAGTACCAGAAGAAGGCATTCCCTAAGGGTATTCCTGAGTGTGGTGCTGATGCCCTGCGCTTTGCCCTTGTTTCTTACACTACTGGTGGTATGTGAATGTTCTTTAATAGGGTTCCGTATTTATTTACTGACATTGTATTGTTTTAGGTGGCGATATTGCCTTCGATGTCCAGGTTATTTTTGGATACCGCCGTTTCTGTAACAAGATTTACCAGGCCACCAAGTTCGTCCTTGGTAAGCTGGGCGAAGACTTCAAGCCCCAGGCTAAGGTTACCAAGACTGGCAAGGAGTCTTTGTCTGAGCGCTGGATTCTGCACAAGCTCAACTCTGCCGCCAAGGAAGTGAACGAGTTGCTGGAGAAGCGTGACTTCTCTAACACTGCCAACCTCATCTACCAATACTGGTACTCCCAGTTGTGCGATGTCTTCATCGAGAACTCTAAGTATCTGTTGGCAGAGGATGCCTCACCCGAGACTCAGGAGTCTGCCAAGCAGACCCTGTACACCGCTCTCGAGGGAGCTCTCACTCTGATTCACCCGATCATGCCTTTCGTCACTGAGCACTTGTGGCAGCGTCTGCCCCGCCGTCCCGAAGATAAGACAATCTCTATCATGACTGCCAAGTTCCCCGAGTACCAGGCTGAGTTCGACGACTCCACTGCTGAGACTGCCTATGAGCTCATTTTGAACACCTCTAAGGCTATCCGTTCTATCCTGGCTCAGTACGATGTCAAGACCAAGGGCGACATCATCATTCAGACCTACGATGCTACTAGCCAGCAGACCATCTCTGAGCAGATGACTAGCATCAAGTCTCTTGGTGGTAAGACCCTGGGTGAGTTGTCTCAGCTTGGTCCCGAGAACACCAACCCACCTTCGGGCTGCGTTGTGGCTACTGTCGGTTCCGAGGCTGCTGTCTACCTGCGCGTGTCTAAGGAGGTTGCTTTGGAGCAGGAGGAGAAGGCCAAGGCTGCTCTTGAACGGGCTCGTGAGACCGCCCGCAGATCTCAGAATGTCATGAGCGCTCCTTCATGGAAGGACAAGGTCAAGGCTGAGGTTCGTGAGCAGGAGGAGAAGCGTCTCCGTGATGCTGAGAGCGAAGCTGCTCGCCTGGAGGAGCAGATCAAGGAGTTCGAGAAGCTTCGCCTGGAGTAAATTGCCAAAAAGTGGAAATCCAGGAATATCTAGAAACAGACAAAATAATCAAACCTAAAGATAGGAATGAATATCTCTTTTATTTTATTTATTATTTTCTCTTCATTTTATAATAGTCACTGGGTCGAGACTCGAATTTACTTGGTGCTTATCAGTTTTGCGCAAGTTGGCTTATCGATAAGGACGCCAAGCCTTTCCCCCAAAACTTTTCTGCGTTTTTTACTCTCTCTGTCCGGAGTTCTCTACAAGAAAAACCATCCCCCGCCATCATGTTGCGTGAAGTGTACGTATATGAAACTCGTATACACCAATTTATGATACTAATAGACTATTTTACAGTAAAGCAAAGAACCCGCGCACCGCGCGAATTCTCAAGGCGCGCGAGCCCCAACTCATCGAAGGCCCGAAGAAGACTCTCCTGCTGCACGGCACAAAATGCCCCCAGGCACTCAACACTGTCCTGAAGACATTCAACTCACTCACTAAGCCCCACTCGGTGCTGTTCCACAAGAAGAATGCAAACGTCCACCCATTCGAGAACACAGAAAGCCTGGAGTTCATGGCGAACAAGAACGAGTGCGGTCTGGCAGTCTACGGAAGCAGCAACAAGAAGCGCCCTAACTGTCTTACAATGGCCCGAATTTTCAACTCACAACTATTGGATATGTGCGAGTTGATCCTGCTGCCGCCTTCCGATGCCGACTCCATTCCTCCTATCAACGAACTGGTTATGCACGTTGGTCAGGGTCTGCGCCCGATGATGTTGTTCGCTGGAAGCCCGTGGGAAGACCCAACATCCGCTTCGCACGTTATGCTGAAGAGCTTTTTCCTGGATATGTTCAAGGGCGAGGAAACCGACCGTATCGACGTTGAGGGTCTGCAGTACGTTCTGATGGTTGCCGCAGAGGAGGCCCGTGAGGGTCTGTCACCTATTGTCCACCTGCGCTGGTACAAGGTTATTACCAAGCGCAGTGGTCACAAGCTTCCTCGTGTCGAGTTGGAGGAGATTGGTCCTAAGTTCGACTTCAAGATTGGCCGTATGCGTCCTGCAGCGCCAGATGCCATCAAGCAGGCTATGAAGCAGGGCAAGCGGCCGAATGAGGAGGGCAGAACCAAGAAGAACATTACCATGGATTCTATTGGTGATAAGGTTGGTCGCGTTCACTTGGCCAAGCAGGACCTGGGCAACCTCCAGACTCGCAAGATGAAGGGTCTGAAGCGTCGGGCCGGCATGGAGTCGGATGAGGATGAGGATGACGACGAGGATATGATGGATATGGATGATGAGAGCTCGGAGGATGAGAGCCACAAGCGGGCTCGTAAGGAGTAGACTTACTTGCATTGTTATAAATTCTTGTCAAGGCGTTTCTTCGGGCCGGTTTAGGGTTTGTGCTTCTTTTAATGTCCGCGATTCTGCAGGATAATCATGTATACCGGGCATGGAAAAGTACTATGTTCGATGGACTGTGATGATGATAAATACAGGCATTTTATTTACCCACCCTTTTCATCCTTACTTTTGTATCTAGACTCTACAATGAAAAGATATTGATACTCATGGCAATCATTTATATCATAGTATGCTACTGCCAATCTCCAAAATCGTATTTGTATAGAACACGTGACCATGACGTTGGCGTGCTCGGCATCCTCTCACATGCCGAGGCCCTTTTCACTCGTGCTGGCCCGAGCTAAGTGCCGTCATTCTCATTCCCCTTCCCCCTCCATATCCTCATTTATTCTTCCCCTAATGACCTTCATCGCTCTGAGGACTTTTCGCTGTGGTGAGATTCCCGAGTAGCCTTTTCTTTGTCCACGTCCGACCTCCTGCCGAGGACTTGCGACGCTATGGATAAGCTTTTAGTGAGAACTTGTCCCCACCAGTACATGCATACGCAGAAAGAAGAAATACTAACATAAGCCTTCTGCAAGACACAACTGGATACTATCGTCCTCAAGCCCGAGCTTGCGCCCTTCCTATCATTAATCAAGGGCGCCCGTAATGGCATCGTGTACGGATCGAAGGTGCGGTTTCCGCACGCGCTTGTGTAAGTTGAAATACTGGAACTATTGAGCTGAACAAGGCATATGAGGGAACATGGTTGAAACTAACTGCGCATGTGATACTTAGAATGATATTTTTGTTTCGATCAGGAACGTATGTGCCAACACTCCTCTCTCCTTTACGGCTCTTAGGTTTCCCGGCGGGCTAACGGCTCACCATTTAGATTCCGGGAAAAGCTCAAGCTCGTTCTTAAAGCAACACGCCAACATGCGCGAAATCTTTCCACATTTGCGGTCGTTTACAAACTCTCCATGATCGTTCTCCGAAACCTCAACCCCGCAGGCTCTGGGAAGGAGGGTCGATATGATAGCTTCTTTGCGGGGTTAATGGGTGGATATACTGTCTTCGGACGGAACCCGGGAAGTATTAGCCAGCAGGTATGAGCATCGCAAGCTCCGAGTCTTGCATCTGAATGGCATTTGGGTTGAGATATCGAAATACTAACACATTTCTAGATCGTTATCTACGTCTTTGCCCGCGTGATGCTCTCCCTCGCCAAACTTGCCGTCGAACCCAATATGCACCCTCTCTCCCCTCTCGTCACCCCTGAAGCTCGAGCCAAGATTTACGAACACGCTTGGCCAGCGTTCGCCAGTTTCACCTGGGCGTTCGTTATGTATATCTTCCGATGGTACCCAGATACCCTGGTGACCAGCTTGCGAAGTAGCATGGTCTATATGTACGTGATGCGCGCACTATTTTTTTCCTATTCATGCTCTTAATCACATGTTCGTCTCGATACTAATCAATATGAATCAACAGCTACGCGGACTCAGATCATTGGGACTCATTCCGAACGTTGTTCATACACAACAAATGAGATCCCAACGAAACGACACGGTTACTCACCACTGAATGTCCCAGATTTCTTTGTAGATTCCCAGGCTTGCCCATTATCATTTTTCTTCCTCTCCAACTGGTTTTGGATGTTGACGGCGTATAGAATGGAGTTTGTTTCAATGTTACCCGTTTTGTGGGGTTTACGGTCTTTATCACAAGACATGCATTTTTATATACTAGGGATAGGCTAGCGATATCATATTCAATCTGATATGAATGATGAACATAAGGTGCCGATAGCACATGGAATGAATTGCTCACGACTCGAGCTTGAAGTCCTAACTTGAATGTTCCTCAGGCTTTAGTCTAAAAGATAGGCAGCGTTACCGACGACATCTGGAGTAGGCGAGATCAATCGAGATCGATCCATGGATGCCATACTGATTCTACTAGCACCCGGGCACTGCGCATGAACTCCAAGTTTTGATACCAGCATCAGATAGTAGATACTAAGACTGCCATGCCACAATTAATGATTCAAATTTTTCACATTTTACTAATCTGCGCTGACAATAAGTCCGTCGGTACAGTAACAAACAACACAAGAGGGTATGAGAAAGCAAATCGAAAAGAACATTGCGCCGCCATCGTCATCAAAAACTCTCGAAGGAGTTGCTAATAATACATCAGTGCCATCCATGGAGACCACGAATTGAAAATAAAAAAAAAGAGCAGCCAAGGGGTAAACTGCGATAGTGCAAAAGCGCAGAGTCTACTGCGAACTGTTCGAATCGACCTCCACGAGTACCTTCAGTTCCCCATCCATCCAGTCTACAGTATCAGCAGACAGGAGGGCAATTGTCCATTCTTTTTCATTATGAATGGTGACAAGTCCCTCGGGAAGTAAAACTCTGGTTCTCCAGTAGGAACTCGCAGCATCTCGTGCCTGTTGAGTAACGGGATCAACGTTGTCGGGATCCTGCAGGAAGGAGAGGCCTGGGATTTGGGTTGGGTAGCGGCGCATAATAGCTTGTTTTAGCCTTTCGGTATTGGGGCACTGCGCAGCTGGGATATCGAATCGAGGAAGGATGCGTTTTCCTTTCTGGAGGATATTAATGCGGACATATGTTTGGTTGTTGGAGATGTTTGTTGAGGGTGCGATAGGAACAAATGGCTGATGGTGGAATTGGTGGTCTGGGGCTGATACGTGTGTCGTAGGGCCGCCCTGTCTGGTGGCAATGTTCTCTCGAATGATGCGCGAGACATCTCGAGTAATACTGCTCGCACTGTGGATAAGGTCAGTAAATGGTGGCTTTAACAGTTGGGTACGTAGACTTACAAATCATCTCGTGCTGGGATGTTACGTTCGCCGCCGATACGCCAAGGAAGGCCCATGGTTGAGTCTGCATGAATGATGCGATTGACATTGGCATCTTCGCAGGGGCCCGGACAGTCATATTCGCCGTTGTGGACCACACGGTAGTGACTGTCCACAGCTGCGACCAGCCCATGCCATTGAGGTTGCTGAAGTCCGGACAAGGACCACAGGTTGTCCAGTTCGTATCCTTGATTGTACATCTCGTAGGACTTAGCAAAGTCGTTCCAATCCATGGTGTATCCATCCAGGAGAAGGTCAGTTAAACCAAGATCCATGATCTGTGTAGGATCTATTGGATCTTGGTGGTTTTGACCAGTTGATGATGATTGGATTGTTTGGTCCACACCCTTGGCTCGGTTATCTTGTTCATGCATTTGCAGTTGTTGATCAGGCGAAAAACTGTCTTGGAAACCTTCGTTTGTTTGACGTCGGCGACGGTCGTCCGGTGCACCACCTCTACGGGTTTCAATCGCATATTGGCGTTGTCGTTCATTGGTAACCATTCTTCGCAGTAATGGAATAACTAAAGAAATAATCTTCTGCTGATCGCGAGGCCAGATGTAAGTTCGCGGATTTGGGGTGTCGGTCGCCGCATTCTCTCCGAAGAATCGTTCGCCATGACCCTCAGCCTCCAGGAAGTGCTTGACACAGTTCCACAGACGCAATTTAACCATCTCAGTATCTCCTTTACCACGTTGACCTACACATTCTCGCCGATCGGGATGATCGTCATCAAGCATGAACACCTTAGCGGCTGCTTGAAGGTGGAGGAAATTCTCCGGTGTCAATTCAAGCGAAGCAAAGAGTTTAGACATTGGCGGGCGAGTGTATTTCTTATTGGTGGAGGGCTGGCGAAACAGTGCTGCAGCTGAGTGTACACCTACAGCGCGAGCTTCATGCAAAGACTGCACGAATTGTGGGTGGACATCCCCGTTTTCGCCCGCATAGAGATGCGATCCTTTGAGACCTGACTGCGAGCGTTGCTGCTGAGAGCCAGACACGCCAGGTCCAGCCAAGGCAGGATCCAGATTCTCATCGTTCCTTTTGCGCTTTTTCGACACAGTGCGAGACAGGCCTGAGTCTTGAGAATGCTCATTCGGGACCCTTAGGTGCCTGCCACTTCCTATGCCACCACCGAAATTTGTATCGCCGAACCCATCCTCTCCAAGATGCATATCCCCGCCATAAGCATCCAATTGCTGGTGGCTTGCAGCGGTTGCTGCAGCTGCGGCAGCCCAATGCGACAAATCCTGGTCTTGATCGGCCGCGGCGGTTGCAGCTTCCACTAAGCCAGCGAGCTGGTTATCGTTTGCTGTGTAGCTATTATTCGGATCGATGTGGGCGTTCGCATTTGATTGTGGTGGGTGGTCATTGAGAGAGGTGGGGGGATGTTGGTTGGAGTTCGAGGCGGACATTGTTCACTTCGGCGCGAAGCTTAGCGGGACTCGGAATTCTTCTTGGGACGACGCGAGTATTTGAGAGCAAGCTCGGGCTTCCTGCGCGTGTTTCGTCGCAATGTCACAGCGATATCTCACGCAACTGCACTAATAGTCCCAAAATTGCTGCTGTTTTTGGGAATGAAATTCGACTGGTGGAGCTCCGCAGGTAGCTTTATCTGAGGATGATCGCTGTCCGCCGCGAGTCTGCAATGTCGCAGAGCGCGCGGTCAAGGACGAAAAAATAAATCCCCAAGTCACTCAGCTTTAAAAGGTAGAACAATGAGTTAGGTAACAGTAGTGCGAGTGTTTCAAGCCTGAGGCGTGTAGCTGATAAGAGCGCAACGCGACGAGATGATAGATGTTTGCGTGGTTTGAAGAAACAGCAGACAGTGCAAACCTGTGCTGTGGATTCGGAAGTCACGTGAACAACCCTTTTGGTCCAATGATATACATCATGGATTTATGCATCGATGCATCCGATAGCGTTACAATCCACAAGAAAAATGGTTGCTTCAAACACACCCATAACTGATCAGAATTGGGGCAATTCTCATCATTGTTGTTTTCAAAGATCTGACCTTGAAAATTTTGAATGGTTCAGATATAATCTCACGGTATAGCTCTGAGGTCTGATACCAGTTCTCAGCATCTCACAGGCTTGATAAGATCGAGCAAAGCGGAGGCAAAAATGAATAATACTACATCAAAATGAATCAAACAAACTTGGGGCATATAAGTATTGCAACATTTGAATGTTGAAATTCTTCCAGACGTCCTGTATCTCCTCAAGTGCCAGTGCACTGTTGCAATCTTGAAGCTTGAATTCCTCACCAAGTCTGGGGCCGCAGCAACGCCAATTCCAACCATAAGAAGCTTGAGCTCGGAAATTACAGTCAAGCTCAAGAAAAGAAAAAGAAAAGCCTTCAAACATGCATAATTTTTGTTCGAACTGATCTGAAATGGTTGATGTACATTATCAGTGGCGGTGGAGCTGGAACGCGTACTACTCACTGTGCAAGTTAGAGCAACTTGGATGCAGCACTGAGGGGAAGGTACATGTATCATGTTAAGGGGCAAACTCGAGCAGCTTGAAGACTCCAGAGCCTTGGAACTTGAAGCACATCATCCAAAGGATTCAATATTGATACTGGGCTTCAGGGGAAGGGGTAATATCGGCATTTGCCCCAAGCTTCTGAGGCTGTACACGAAGATCCTAGATTCCCGGTCAATGCAATTTACATAATGATACCAATTCTGACCGTAGCACAGCAGGACAATAATTTCCGATTTGACCAAATATGCAACCTTGGCAGACAGTTGAGAGTACAATGTGTTGATAAGAGAAAACCTGCAAAGAGACCCAATAGTAAGTTGTGATGATTGCACAAAGCGACAGATTAACTTGAAGGTAGAGTAGTAATGCCAGGTCCAGGAGGGGCAAATGGATCCCAATCAACATTGAAATGTTACATATACAAAGTACATCTGAAATCACTCAAGTGTCCATCATATGTAGATGAAAGAGCAGGGGGTGGACCCTCCGAGCCGTCAATCTTCAGCTCTCACTGCAAGACAAACCAAAACTGGGAAGAAGCCGGAAGACAAAAATCACTTGCCACCAGCAGAAACCAATCTCAATGAGGGGAACAGACGGGAAATTGCCTCATAAGTGGATATGATTAAATCTACAAGGCTCAATTTGAAGGTTTGCATTAGAGTAATGTACATTGATATCACGTGGAATTGGCCAAATTTTTACTCAGGGCTGCATACAGAGTACACATCAATTTTTTTCTCCTAAACGAGATCCATTAATGTGTCTATGTGGAGCCTCTTCTATGCCGTTGACCCGCAAAAGGATTGTTGACACTTTTCTAAGGTTAGATGTGATATATCAACTCCATGATTCGTGTTCGGCTGCATCTACGGAGCATCACTGGTAACACCCCGCACCGGGATCTGAAAGAAATGCCCCCGAATAACCTTTGAATAACATTTCCAAGATTGAGTACCCTTGCATCTTCATTCGAACTTTCAAATGATCTTACAAACTGACTTTAAATAAAGAATCCCAGTTATCCTAGGTAGTTCGTTTCTAAATCTTTTTTCCCGAATTTGCCATCGGTCAGGAACTCCGAACAGGATTAGCTACCCAAGTGGATTCTAATTGCTTTCTCCGGTGAAGATGAGAAGTTGTGTCCAATGCATTGCCAAAAGCAACTAATACTGTGGGTAATGCATCAACTCTCCAAGAAATGCACGTCAGCTAGTCGTTTCTGATATGTCGAAGGGCAATCTGCGAGATACAACCGTAAGAGATGACCTATCCCGAAAGCTTCTTTGTCTGTGATAGCAAGGCATTGAGACAAGATTGAACCTTTTTGATGCAGTCAATGCACTCTGAACCATGGTTTCTGGAGAGCATGATAACTTTTGAAATCGTCGATCCTCACTCGCCGTGCATCCCTTGAGATCTATGCGCGGCACTATCAACGTCCATGGCTTTTATTGATATTTTACCATCCTCTCGGCGGGGCCGTCTCGTACCCCATCTGTCATAATGTTTTGTGATTGGTGTATACTCTCCCTGACACCTCCTTTGATCTATCAATAAACTTTGCCCCATATGACATATCTGGGTGGATCTACCTATGGGTGTGTTGGCGTTATCCCTATACAAAAGTCCTAACTTCTGGAACCTGTAGTAGCACTTGAGTATAATAACGGCCACCACCCTGCCCCATTATTCCAAATCATCAAACCTTCCTTCGTCTCTTTTTGCCACTTTCTTCAAGTCCTTGCAAAGCCCTATCAGCCCTACCCGTCATGTCTTCTAATCAGACTTCCACGGGAACGGAAGGCGATTTCAATCATCCCAATGAGGAATTGCAAAGAGCTGTCAAAATCTCTCTCGTCTTCTCCTTCTTATTGCCTACAGTTGCAGTCGGCTTGCGAATCTGGGCACGAAAATTGACTGGGAACAGGTTGTTCCTGGATGATTACTTGATCCTTATTGCTCTGGTATGCAATGCACCTTCTACATGAACATTTGAACCTTCGACAGTGGGTCAACGGCTTGTAGTGGAGAGCTAATTCACGTTTCAATCTGTTTAGCTGTTCAAATATGGTTGTTCTATCGGAGTTACAATTCGTGAGTATTTGGAATTACCCGGGACATTCTGCAGCTAGTGCTAACGGACAATTAGTCCTCTTCAACGGTCTGGGGTCCCACATGGACACTATTCCGGAGAAAAATCTAGTTGTCTATTTCAAGGTATGCATTTGGCGTAGCAAGCTGAAACGCATATGTGCACTTGTTAATGTCGAGTCTATCTAGATCGGATGGTCGAATCCCTTTGTATACACTACATGTGTGGCCTTCGTCAAGCTTTCCGTCCTGGCACTCTACAAACGTCTGTTTGCTGTGAAGCACATGATTCTAGCAGTCAATGTCGTTGCTTCGATTGTTGTGTTATGGGCAGTTAGCATCATGGTCGCGGCGACATTGAACTGTATTCCCATCAACAAATTCTGGAATCGGTCCATCGAGGGCTCCTGCATCGACACAGCCAACTTCTACTATGGCATGCAAATCCCAAACATCATCACAGACCTTGTCATTCTCATTATGCCTATCAAGGTCGTGATTGGTCTGCCCATTCCAAAATCCCAGAAAATGCTTCTTTCTGGAGTCTTCCTCATTGGTGGATTGTACGTTGGGCATCATAGATATGACTTGTCAAGAACATGCTAACAAAAGTTTCTAGAACTTTGGTCTTCGATATTGTCCGATTATGGGTGGCAATTCAGCTCACTAAGTCAGGACCAGACATTACTTGTAAGTGATTTATCAGATTCCTTCCCATGTTTGTACTAGCCAGTCCCTTACATCTTGCAGATAACCAAGCCCCCACCGCCATGTGGACCTGTCTCGAGGCGGCTGTCGGCATCATCGGAGCCTGTCTCCCCAACCTGAGGCCATTATTCAAATTTGATGGAGGCAATTTCTGGTCTCAGATTCGATCCAGTCGAGGATCTAGCCGAGGCTCAAGCAGGGGTCGTTTGACCTCGAAGGATGGAGACATGACAGCTACAGTGAACTCGACAAGCACATCTGAGACCCTCACATGCGATACTTTCATTATTCCGAAGCCACACATGGAAGAGCACATTTCCGATCAAGGGACTCAAGGCATTGAAGTGCATCGATATAGTAAATATATGGATGCTGAGAAATAAAGGGAAGAAACATTTGCCGTGAAGGATTTTTTCAGAAATTTGAAAAATGACAGGTCCAAGGAATTTCCATACAGCTTAGGCAGCTTAGTTTCATTTCTTATGTTAGAACATTCTTTGAGATAAATAATTTAATATGTACAGATAATTTCAATATCAACCTATCCTGGTAGCTTTAGAAAAAATTTGAATGATTTCAAGTTTTTTTGTTGTTATTCTGAGAAATGACCACCGTATGAGTGAGGGCTGTCTTCCGTCCCAAATATATTCCGAGTCATCTTACTACGTAGTACTAGTTAGTAGTCCCATGTGAATCATGACTCACTTACTATACAACTCCAGGTTGAACTCAGCTTAGATTTCAAAGATTCAGAAACTTGAAATAATGTATTTCTAAAAATCACAGCAAATAAATACATTGACCCCAGAGTCTAGACATTAAACTGTTTGGTTCCTGGACAATCTAGTCCAAATGTGGCGGTGGCGTTTATCAGGGATTTGTTATCTCACGTGATAGCGTGAAAACTTGCGGCCCCGAACTTATCCCCGGAAATTTGTCAAAACTTCAATTGATCTTCAAGTTTCTTAATCACCAAAGAATGCGCTGTCATGATGCAGCAAAGTCCCAAGATACATGCTCAATCTTCTCAGGAGAGTGTTGCCTTGCGGACCTCTCAGACAGCCCCTAAGAAGGCTCATGACCCGTGGTCACATCTTCTAGCTGGCGCGTAAGTGATCCAGATCTCAATTGACTCCCGTCATCCAAATGAATCATTTTTAACACCATATACAGGAGCGGAGGCTTTGCTACAGCAATTGTCACGTCCCCTCTTGATGTCCTCCGAACACGTCTCCAATCCGATTTCTATCAACCCATTCCCCGATCTTCCACCTCATCCGCAACTTCCATTCCTCCCCAAACAAATCACAAAACCCTCCGCATTATCGGCAACATCTACAAAGCCGAAGGATGGCGCGCATTTTTCCGCGGTCTCGGTCCCAGTCTCGCAGGTGTCGTCCCTGCCACAGCCATCAAATTCTGGGTCTACGGAAATAGCAAGCGCATCGGAGCCGAAGTCCTTAACCTCCCTGAAAACTCAACAATCCTTCACGCACAAGCTGCCATCTCCGCTGGTATCGCAACTGCAACTGCCACAAACCCCATCTGGCTTGTAAAGACTCGCCTGCAACTCGATCGCGCTCAAACAACCACTGGAGCTCGGCGCTACCGGAACAGTCTCGACTGCGTGCAACAGGTTCTTCGCCAAGAAGGTATTCGCGGTCTCTATAAGGGACTGAGTGCTAGTTATCTTGGCTCGGTTGAGACTGCTCTGCACTTGGTTCTTTATGAGCGCTTGAAAATTACAATGGCGCAGTCGCTTGGTTCCCCCGATGGAAAGGATACCGCTATGCAAAAGGAAATCACTAGCTGGATTAGCACTACTGGAGCTGCGGGCTCGGCCAAGTTTGCTGCTGCTTTGCTTGCGTATCCCCACGAGGTAAGCTCAACTCAAACCATTTTAATGCAATCAAATCAAGTTGAGTCGATTTACTGACTGATTTTTTCTTTACAGGTTATCCGAACACGACTTCGTCAGGCACCACTCGAAAACGGCGTCCCCAAATATACCGGTCTCGCGCAATGCTTTTCACTTATTGCTAAGGAGGAAGGAATGGCCGGTCTCTATGGTGGTTTGATGCCACACATGGTCCGCTCGATTCCCTCCGCTATCATCACCCTTGGAGTTTATGAGTTCGTCTTGAGATTCGTGGGCACTTCATGAACATGATGCATTTTCTGCGTCTTTGTATCTGGTCATTTAATGCTCCACTCTGTACACTATCATCCCTGATTTTGCTACTCTGGCTAGACTGGGCAGCCGTCGATTTTTTTTTTAATTTGCATGTATTCTACAGGGCGTTTGTGGATGGGATTTTTCTTTTTGGACTGTTAATAGAATCTCCTGTCTTGGGACTTGTACCATATTGAAATACTCTATTCGCTTGTTACTATTACTATTATTGCATATGGAGGTGGGAATGTGATACGTTTGCGTCTTATGAAATCGTCCAGCTGAGAAACGTAGATTTATAAATTTTGCTTGCCAACTGGATTCAATTCTAGACTTGACATCTGGAGTAGTATGGTGAGGTGAATTGCGCATAATAGAAAAAATAAAAATTTCATAAACCGTTCAAAATGAGGGGGACGGAGTATTTATTCTGGAGCACAAATATTGAGAAATTCAAACTCATCATGATATAAAGAAGACTAGAAGCCGGGTATGGTACTTTGCTCAAGAACGCCATGCAACGCTGATCCGAATGGGGAATACGATCAGGTGGGAAATCAAAACAAGGGGAGAATCCGAACCCATTTAATCACCGTGAATAGACAAAAAAAGTACAGGAGGAGGGACAGAGATAGTGCAACTTTTATGTTTCGTTCAAGATGCTTCTTCGTCAACTGTTTCTTCCACAGTGGCCGCACGACCCTTGGCCTTGGACTCCGGTTGAGCATCGTGCTCCGTCGATGGCGAGCCTGTGGCTCCGGTAGAGGAGCTGGCGTCGGCTACTTGGTCGGGTCGCACATCTGTCCATTCCTGAGATAGAGAGTCGGTGCGAGGATCCTCTGTCGAGGTATTTTGTGAGCCCCAGCTTGGCAAAGCTTGACTTGTGAGAGACGGGAGAGCATCGCTCGTCGTGGCCTCGATATTTGTGGATGTGCTCGTTTCATTAATAACGGCGCTGTCGGTGTGACTGGTCTCTTGAGTGGTAGGGCCCTGAGATGTGTTTGGTTCGTTAGAAGGCGCAACAGATGCTGGGCGACCCGAGGTAGTAGGAGTTGGGCTGAGGCCTTGCGAAGGACCCGCAGGGCCAGTACCAGGAACGATTGGGTGCCATGGAGTAAGAGTCCAGCCTGGAGGAATGGTCATTCCCTCTGGTATACGGGGATCACCGGCAGGAATTGCTTCTGCGCCAGGGTTTATGATGACTGGACGACGGTTGGGAATATGAGGAATATTGAGAGGCATCTGAGGCATCTGAGGCATTGAAAAGGCACCGGATGGAGCCGGAGCCGCTTGCTGTGCAAAGCCGTTGGTCTGTTGTAGGCGAAGTCGCTCAAGTTCAATTTGGAGGCCGCGCACACCGATGAGTTGTTCTGAAGCGAGGCGCAAAGATTCAATCTCCCGTGCTAATTGCTGTTCAATTTGCCGTAGCTGTGTGGGTATATCGGCAATGTTTGAATGAGTTGCGGTGGGCGGGTTATGCATGGGCTCTGCACCGGGTGGACGACGGCCAAAGCCGAAACCAAAACCAATCTGACGTGCTCCCGGTTGGTTAGCATCAGGTGCAGGTTGAAGCGGGGCGTGGCCTTGATGAAGTTGATTGTGCATATTCTGGAAAAGGTCGCCTCGCACAGCACCGAAGCCAATTCGGAAGGGGCCAAACTGGTATACCCGAGCTCTGGGTACACCTTCTCCTTGGCCACCGATCTGACCAGGACCCTGATCGCCGCCAGCACCATTCTGCTGCTGGCCGACGCCATTGCCAGGCGCATTTGCGTTGGCACCGCCTTGTGTGCTGCCCGGTCCGACTACCGGGCGACGACAAGTTGGGCAATTCTGTTGTCGCTCCAACCAACTCCGAAGACAGGCGAAGTGAAGAATATGACCACAGGGAAGCTTCTTGGGGCGTAGCCGATCGGGAACAGCCCTGGCATTGGCTGCTGCTGCTGGCTGTCCGTTATTCTGACCCGCATCCGGAGCTGGTTGAGCGGAGACCATATCCTCTCGACAGATAATACAGACCTCCTCTCGCCCAACCTCTTCGGGTGTCGCATCTGGATATCTCTCATTCATGTCACGAGTTGCGTTGCGGTATCGAATGAAGTCCATGATTCGTCGACCGAAAGACCGGATCGTGACCACAACGTCGCGGAGGATGTGAATGGGTAAGCCGTAGAATGTGAGAAGGATTGCGAAAAAGACAAGGTAAACAATCAGTTTCACGAAGTCGGTGAGGAGATCTAGGTAGAAAACCCAGCGGCCTTTCTCCTCCCAGCCCGGAACATCAATCTCCAGCTCATTGACATCATTCTCATCCGGCAGATTGGTAGGCGGCGAGCCTTCGCCAGCCCGCGCATGAGCACGGATGGCTTCCAGACGAGCTTCCCGGACCTCCGCTCGGCGCTCCTCCATCTTTGCCTTGACCTGCTGGCGAGTAATGTAGAGTTCCGTTAGGGCGATGCAATACCTAGCGGTGGTAGACGTGGATAGAATAGTCAAAATCGCAAACTCGAACCCAAACATTACCATCATGTCGGGTTTCGCCTGATGGTATACTGTATTGATGCAATACTGTAGCATTGAGGCGTTAAATAGGACCGACAGTACGAGCGAGATGGCCAGACGGGTATGGAACAGACGCGGATTCGCAGGAGGTTGCTGTTCCAGGTATTCCACTCGGCCTTCTCCAATCCATCCCCAAACTTTACCCACGAGCAGAGAGATGAACATGACCAAGAACCACCCTCCAAGTGAACCTCGGAAGATGGTCATAGCTAGACATGTCTCCGTGACCGCGAACCATGCTCGCTCGTAGAGTTGTTCGGTTTCTATAGGACGTAGGGGACCGTAAAGGAGTCGCTGTAGCCAGAACAGCACAAAGCCGGTGGCAAGAAGACAAAGGTTCGTGAGGATCTGGCGCATAGTCCGGTCAGTGGTTTGAAGCGGGGAAGAAATGATGATTTGAATGACAAAGGCATTGCGAAGCATCGAATACAGGGTGGTTGTAACTTACCATGAGGTTGGCACTACTTTGAGAGAGATAAACGCAAGCTGAATAGAAATTCGATCTCTGATGTAGAGCTTTTAAGAACACACCGGTGGCTAGGACCACCGAGGCCTACATGGGAGGGTCAGCAGGCATCACTAAAGTAGGACAAGTGAAGAGTAAGGCACCCACCCCAGCATATGCGGCTAGTCTCATGGCGAAAGGCTGAGACTTCTAGGCGGGGGCATCAGAAAAGGAATAATTGAGTGAGAAGTGGATTGGGGGACATCGATGTGAATGTAGTAGGACTATAGTATGATCTGGACAGCTTTCCAGAATAAACCCCCGGGCGGTTCGCCTCCGCATATTACGTCAGCCTAGCTCCGCTCGCACGTGCCTTGACTGTTGAGTGCATACCAATGATACTATACAATGATGAGAAATTATAAGATAAAAGAATAATATTGGATGAATAGATGGTAGATTGTGAGCCTCTTGCTTGATCAAATTCATCTGGGAGAGGATGGGATTTAATTCTGCTGGTTAAGTAGGAAATGAGCACTTGAGGAATCCCACTCTATATGTAGGTGCCCACTGGCAGTATGAGGTGTATTCGTACTTCCCAGCACTTGTAGTTTGAGTAGTTAATTATTTTCCATTTTAACCATACTAAAACTAGAATTTTGGCATTATTTAAAATAGTGAAAATCATGCTTTCAAAAAGGTGCAACCCCATTGGAGTCATGATTTTCATTAAATCATGAATCCATGATCAAGACTCGGATCTAATAGTATTAGAAGTGGGTCCAGCCTCGAAGCTAGTATAATGGGCCATATAAACTTCAACTTGAACGAACTTGAACATTCAATGTTGGACATGTGCCTATAGTATTACTCTTCAATCCATCTTCCAGATGTCAGCTGTACATAAGCCCTCAGGCTGGAGTGTCATACATAGTACCTACCCACTATCAAGCCTGAATTAGGCAGCCTCGAACATTCATGAATGCTGCCGGTAATTCAATGAGCTAGATAGGAATAATCCTAGGTAGTGTTTACATTGAGGTTGAAGGTCGGGTTTCAGGTTTCATTCAGATGTCCATTCCCAGAACTCGTTCACACATGTGCACTTGAATAGATGAACCCATGACGTTGTTCCCTTGACAGCACTATGGCCCCGGGGCGTTAAGGATCAGATTACGCCACCCAGATGACATTCTAGTACTCCGTACAGCCCTGGCGCATGCAAGACTTTAGGTGCCAATGATCGGCAAACGAATCAACAGTAGCCATAAAACCATTTTTTTTTACAGCTTATTCGCAAGAATTGACTTGCATGTGGTTCCTGTTTGGGTGAAAAAAGGCGGTGAGAGCTTGCAAGGACCACCCGGCTACACAGCATTCCGGGGCGACACAAGCTAAGATGAGAGAATCCGCCGATCATTCTCGATCTTCCTTTCTCTCCTGGAAATCCCCCGCAAAGCAATGTTCGTTTAGTGATGGCTTCATCCCCCGCGTTGTTTACAGCCGCAAGGCGTCAGACCCTGACTTACCTGTTAGCGGTCTGTCCCTTCTCAATCGCGTTTTTAGTATTCATTAATTCCTCCATCTCCTTCGTGGTAACCGATTTGGTCGGTTTGCATGATGGAGAAGGAGACGCGGTGGGCACTTTAGGATTCGCCGATGAATTGTTGGCGTTGGTAGCCTGTCCACTATGGGGAGTACTCTCGGACCGCATCGGCGTTCGCCATGTAAGCATGATCCACTCATATCTATTTGGCCCCAAACAAGATCTAGATGACTGACCGGGAGAGACGAGGGACGAAACAGGTGTGTACTATTGGGTATGCCATAATTGCTCTTGCATTGGTTCTATTCGTGCAGGCCACGAAAGTGTACCCGCAGCTCCTGCTGGGACGTCTCCTTTTCAGTCTCGGAGGCTCGGCTGTGTCAACCATGGTGACTGCAGTCTTGCCTACTGTGACAGGCAAGGCACTCCATAAAGAGGCGTACCGCACCTCCGTGTCTTCTGATCTGACCATTACACCTGAGCGAGTTTGCGGTTTCCAAAATAACAATACAAACTCTCCTGCACCCAGTGCTTCACCATCCGCCCGCCTATCTGGGTTTGTTGGCCTCTTCGCAGGATGCGGTGCCCTGGTTTCCCTGGGTGTCTTCCTGCCTCTGCCCGCACGATTTGCAAAAGTGGGTCTCTCACCATCTGAGGCAATCCAACGCAGTTATTACCTAGTGGCTGTTGTAGCCATCATAATCAGTGGAGTTAGCTTCCTGGGTCTTCGCAATCTTCCTGGAGAGGAACAGAAAGGATGGCGCTCTTTACGAAACTCCAATTCGCAGCATTTGGATGATTCACCAGCTGGACTTATAGAGCCGAAAAGGCTCCCGTACTGGAAACAATTGGCCACAGCAATGCTTCTCGGATTCCAGAATCGCAGTATTGGTCTGGGTTACATTGGAGGATTTGTTGCTCGGGCATCCTCGGTGGGAATTTCCCTGTTCATTCCTCTGGCGGTGAATCATTATTTCCGTATCTCGGGGCTCTGTGACGAGGAGCATGAACCAGAACCAGGATCTGGAATGAGAGATATGAAGAAATCATGTCCACAGGCATATATACTTGCCTCAATTTTGACAGGTGTCTCTCAACTGATTGCCTTGATTGCCGCCCCAGCATTTGGGTTCTTGACGGATAAATCACGCCGCTACAACGTGCCACTGCTAGTGGCTGCCTTCACGGGTGTGGTTGGGTATATTGCGTTTGCCCAGCTTCCAAATCCCCAGTTCAAGGGTCCTGAGGGTAATCTCAGTGTTTTTGTCATCATGGGACTCATCGGTATCAGTCAAATTGGTGCAATTGTTTGCAGCCTCGCGGTGCTGAGCAATGGGATCCTACGGGTGAGTCTTGACGATGACAACTTCCACAAAATCTACGATGCGCAGAGAGATTGTCCGGATGTCCAGGATGATTGCAGTGAGAGAGGCGAGGAGGACCAGCCGTTATTGGTTGGGTCGGTGAATCGGCGGTTAGAACACCTGTCGCATTTGAAAGGGTCTATTGCTGGAGTATACTCACTCTACGGCGGGGCCGGAATATTGCTGCTCACCAAGGTTGGGGGCCTTTTATTCGACCGGATATCATCTGGCGCCCCATTCTATATCATGGCGGCGTTTAATGGAATCCTATTGGTGGTGGGAATCCTATGCGGCATCTTGAATCAGGTAGCACCAGTGGTGGAATTATCAGTCTAAGACTGGGCTGCTTACCGAGTATTAGTATAAGCCAGCCAAGAAGAAACCTTGTATTAAAATGAGTAACACGAAGCGAGTCCCAATTTTCGCTCTTATCTTCCCACTAACATTGTGTCCACTTTATCATTTCAGCTGGACTCGGGCTGCCCCGGATCGGCTTTGAGTTCTAGACTGAAGGGTTTAATTAGAGGTGGATCATTTTTGCAAAAATTTCAAAGGAATCTATGGAATATTGAAAACCTCTTTGATTAAAATTGTTAATTTTAAGAGACTATGACTATTCTGGTAGTAACGTGGATGCGCAAATTACGATGATCTAGTGGCGCTAACGCATGACCCGCTTCCGAAAGCGCTTTCTCCAACTTCGTTAAAAAAGGGGTCTCAGGGTCTAAGGGTCCAGGAACAAGGTCTGAATCTTTTACTCTGTCTAGAATTCTCTTTTGAAATAGAAACTTGCCATTTATCTAGGACCATCAAAAATTACTATGAAATCCGGACTTTGCGCCGAGATCGCATTGTTTATGAGGAGCGACTCTGCACTTACCATATGGAGCTGGATTGAGCCAAGGGCTCACTCATTTGTATTGGGACTCTAACCCAACTATAGCTTAGTGGCGCTGATAGATGGACACGAACCCCCTGATGTCCACTTTTTCTTACCCTTTTGAACCCTGATGGCCTTGGTTCCTGACACGGGTTCCTGAACCAAACGGCGGGACCTTGGCAATTCCTACCAACTCATGGCCTGTGATGCTCATCATCCCGCAGGGTTCACGGGCCTATCACAGTTAATTAAGAATTCAGAAACCAAAGTAGGGAAAGAAAAAAGCCGCCCCTTTATAGTCCCATATGCGGCTTAGCGTAGGGCTCACTCTGTGTGAGCGCAAGACCCCGGCTTTGGCGCCTCCCCCGGCGGCATCTCTGCTTCTTCACTCTGCACGCTGTACACACACACTCTGGGTCTAACCCTGCCGGTCTTTTTTTTCTACAGTCTTTCGTTAATCATTCAGTCGCTCATTATCTACCGGTAGTTGATTCTACTTGTATTTTCACGTACAGTCTACATTCTTTACCTCTACACACAATTCAATTCGTCCTTTTGTAGCCATGCGTTTCCACACTGTCGCCCTTTTGACCGGCGCTACTGCCGTTGCAGCGGGTAACAATGCGAATCTTCTGCTTCCTGGCTTCGAGGGTCATGATCTGCAAGCTGGTGTTCTGAACAAGGTATGCATTGATATGTGAATGCGCGTTTCATCGCAGTATGGTTGGTCCTCAACCTACTTCGGACGGAATGGCTCGGACGACAACAACAATAAACAAACATCAAAACTAACCACATCACCAGGATGCGGATGCGACCACTTACCTGGTCACTTGCCCTTCTACTGTGGCCTCCGCTGCTTGCGGAATCCCCGGTAGCGGTATGACCGCGATCGCAGCTCCCACCTCTGCCCAGCTGATCCATGTCAACGATGGAAAGTAAGTACTTCAGACAGATACCCCACTATTTCAACTCATATTAACATTGATCTCCCCAGCACTGCATCTCTGTCTTGCAATGTCGCAGGTACCACTTACGCCTCTTGCTACGCGACATACGGCACCGCCACCGCGCACCAGACCCTGACTGGTACCAACCTTAACTGGATGGCCGTCACTGTGACAACTAGCAGCACTCCCACCCCTACTCCCACGTTGACTTCCACTACCTCGACTTCGACCTCGACTTCCACTTCAACCCACACCACTGTTAGCCCGACTTCGACTTCGACTTCGACTTTCACCCCATCTTCCACCTCGACCCCGGTCTGGACTCCTAAGAAGTCCCCCAAGTCTTCTTCGCGCGTCGCAACCTCCACCCCTCTGGTGACTAGCGCTCCTACTGCTACTGGTAGCTCAGTGCCAGGCTCGGCTACCCAGTCTGCGGCAGTTACTACTCCCGCCACTGCTGGCGCTGGAACCCTGGCACGTAACGGCTGGGTTCTTGGTGGTGCCCTGGCTCTGGCTTACGCTTTCGCATAAGTGAATAATTTCTTTTTCCTTTTTACCTTCGAGCTCGTTACTCTTCCAGAATTTTCTTGTGGATTGTTCATTGTGACCGGTGTGAATACTTTCTTGGGTTGAAGGTAACGTTCGCGTTATCTCAAGGATGTAATTGTCTATTCCCTGGGAACATTATGTACATCTAATTTTTTCTAATGATTGATACCTTTTTCTACGACATTCAGCTAGCACAGAATTTATTCCTGTGTCTTCCCTTATCTTTTTGAAGTTTGGATACAATTTGGGTAGGCGTTTACTAGAATTCCTAACCCCGGACCTTGAGTGCTTGGACGCATGTCCATATGTCATTGTGGCTTGATAAAGTATTAAACAGTCTATTTTTGTAATTTATGCAAACTTGACCTTGAGTCAGCCCCGCTTCATCGAAATGCATATGTTGAAGCCACCAAAAGAAAAGAAGTACGATCCGAGAGACTGCATGTGACAGATAATAAAAGGACATCTGAAAAAGACCGCCGTTACCACGAGAAAACAAAAGCAAGAACGAATGTGCTGAGTACTAGTAGTAGCTAGTAATTGAAATGCAATATCCCAAGGTCATCAACTTGGAATTGATCTGTCAAACTCTCCGCTTGGGTAGTCCAGTATTCTGAAAGCATCACTGGGCACTACCATCCTTCTCCCCGGAGATCGAGGCTGTAGTGTAACCATCAACGAAGGTTTATCCCACAAAAAATAAACCTTCTGGTCTGTCCAATTAGCGCTTTCGGAACAAAGCGTGATATCAAAGTGATACAACAACTTGCAAATGATGAGACGGATCTCGCAATACGCCAAACTTCAGAAATTATGTTAGCATCAAGACACAATCATGTGAGTCTAGGAATTCTTAGCTTACTTTTTACCAAGACAGTTCCGTGGACCTAAACTAAAGGGCTGGAGAACATCTCTTTTATCAGCACTGAAACGGGGATCTTGACCGAGCCATCGTTCGGGTAAGAAATCATGTGGGAAGGTGAAGTTGGAGGCGGAGTGGTAGGATGCGTAGTGGTGACATGCGACAGTTGTCTGATACGATTAGCTATTTTCTTAGTATAAAAGAATGGAATACTTACTCCTTCCGGGATGAATTCGCCGTCGATGATGGTTCCACCCTTTGGTACTTTTCTGGCCAAGCTCGTTACGAAGGGCGGATACATTCGTAGTGACTCCTCGATAACAGCAGATAGATATGTCAGTGTACTGATATTGCGAAATGTGATTTCAGCATCTGATTTAAACGTGGATCGAATCTCAATGGTGAGTCGACGCATGGCGTGTGGATTTGTACAGAGGTAGAAGATGCAGCCTGATAACAGGGTAGCAGAGGTCTCGCTTCCTGCGACGATGAGACTATAATAGCAGATCGATGTCAGCTTTAGCCTCATATTCAGATTTATATGCAGAGAAATTGAATCGGATAGGGACAAAATATTTGTAGAGAAGAACGTACATGAACGCATTCGAGTGGATCTCAGCCCTACTCATAATCCTCTCACCATCTCGATAGGCACCTTTAGTTTCACTCAACCCATTCTGCAAGATAGCAGACATAAAATCCGGGCGGGAGATATTCGCATCCAATCGACGATCAACCCTGTCGGCAGCAAGATCGAAATGCTCTCGTGCTTTCCGAACCACATCTCTCGGAATAAAGGCCTTAAGGAATACCCACAAGAAAGGGAACTGCTGTGCTGCACCAACAAAAGAGAGAGCCTTAATAGAATTGAAGATCAGTTCGATCCAAGGGTGTAACTGGTTATCCTTGAGACAGTCGAAGGATTCCCCAAACATAAGATCACCCGTGATATCAAAGGTGGTATAGTTCATCCATTTCTTGATATCCACAGCCGAATTGCTCTCTTTCCTCTCCACCTCTGCTCGAAGCTTCTTGATCAGTGTATCCACGTATCCCCGAATGAGATCTTCTTGACCTCTCAATGCATTGTCTGAAAATGCATGCGAGAGCAATCTTCTTTGCCGCGCGTGTACGCTGCTATCTACAGCGCAGACCAGATGATCTACCCCATTTGCTGGGGCAATATAGTGACTACGATCCTTAGGCAGGCAGCCACCCGGTCTGGCACCGTAGATATCTCGGAATGCGCGAGGGGTATTGAACGCCAGTTCTGTAGGGCTAATTCGTACGACGGGGCCATAGCGCTCATGTAGTGCGGTGACGTCTAGATGATTGTGGCCACGCAGAACTGAAAGCTGCAGAGGAATTTGGGAGAACGCAAAGTTTTTTGGGCCTGGGAATCGACTCAAAGGGGAGAAGAAGAGGTGGTAGAGTATGGATCCTGTAAACCAGAGAAGGAGCTGGAAATAGTGGAAACAAGACGAAGGCAGATGTTAGTATCAGCCGATCGAAAAACGCTTTGAGAAGAATAAAAAAAATCATATTATATCAATTATATCAATCGGGAATTTGGATTGGGCAGGGATGACAGATGCTGTAAGATCCTGCAGCTGCATCATGAGGGCGTACGGAGATGCAACTTACCAGACTTCCTGCAGATATAGTCCCGAATAGGATACTTGAATTTGGCCAGTCCAAATGCATCATGAAGATTGATGGAAGTAAGGGGATGGACTCCAGATTCTTGCCGATACCCAAGTTCATATGCTGGATTCTGGATTCGGGGCCATCCAGAGCTCTTTGACTGAATCTGGAGCTTGAGACTCCCTGTAAATTCAACAACTCACTGAATCGAAAGATGAAGTAAAACCAAGGAAAGAAAATTAATGAAGTGGAGATAAGACAATTCAAGGGGAAGGTGGAGGGGAAGTCAAGGAAGAAAGAACAAACAAAGAAACAGAGCAACGTGATGGAGCTAAAGCGTGATACAACGACATTTTCGATTCTACGGGTTCAACAACTACTGGTATTTCCCACTGAGCATGATGTTCAATAAAAAATTAACTTAAAGAGTAATCTGCGTGGGAAGGAAGCAGAAAGAGAAAGAAAAAAATGATGAATCTCTTGATAGTATTGCTAAACTGACCATGAGAATTAATCTACATGTCCGACTCATATCCCTTCCAGTCCGATTCCAGACTGAGCTACATTGCGCCCCGAGAATGAGGATCCGGCTTCCGGCCGTACACAATGTGCAGGTTGCAATAGGTATGAACATCTGGATTCTTCAGATCTCTACGTACGCCAGCTAGGAAAACCTGGGTTTCAGTATTGGACCATCCCAGGACCCGGGTAAACAATGCGAGAGAGTAAGCTTCAACTGCCATCAGCAGGGAGCACAGATTATATCGACCAATTTGTTTTTGAATGGGATCCCTGGGCCAAGTACTGGATGGAACCTAGAGAGGTGTTTCATAAATCAGCATTAGGTGCAAAAAAGCTCAAAAGACAAAAAGTGAAACAGAAAATATGTCCAAAGCCGAATGACAAACGACAGCCGCAATAAAAAGAGAATGGATCATCCAACAGGGAAAAAGACATGGATTATACCTTGTACACCTCATCTCTGACATCTTCAAAACCAGCCTCCACCAGCCCCTGCCGATGTCCCTCGGCGATATTCATGGGTCGGTGAAACGCTTCGCTGGCCTGGTGCAGCCGGCCGAGAAACTCGCACAAGGTCGGCGCCAAACGAAGTGAGTCGTTGTCCGACTTCAGCGTGACTTCAAATTCCTGCAACTCAATCCATCCCCCAGGTTTCAGATTGGCGTAGGCCTGTTCTAGGAGCCGGGGCCAGTCTGCAATGGAGCCTCCAAGATCACGGATATGGATGAAGTCAAATGGTCGAGTAGAGCTGAATAGCCATGGCGACTCCGCGTCATCTACTAGGAATCGTAGATTTGGAGGCACCCATGATGGTTGAATTGGACTTAGATCTGTGCCGATGACTTCGGCGCCGGGGTGGCTGTCGGCGAAATCAATTGCCCAAATGCCTGTGCCAGTACCTATGTCAAGGACTCGCTGTAAGCTATTCTCGTTCATTGGAGCGCGGTAGAGATCTCCATTCAGAACGAGGTTGCGGACATGGTGAAGTAGGTCTTGTCGGTCTTGTTCTTGATCATCATTTGGGAGCACATAGTGACCCTCACGGTAAGAGTGGTATCTTCGACCATTTTCGTATGCGTAGTCTTTCACATCTGATAAGAGGGATGCAGTATAGCTGGATGTAACAGAATGATAGTCATCGTCGAATATAGAGTTGTTATCCTCATTGGTAGAATCAGTTTCTGATACATCCCCACTGTCATCACCTGCACTGGGACTTATCCCAATGGGTTGGACATCAGGTGCAGAATTTGACGTTCCAGTAAAGTTCTGATGTGGTGCCAGTGGTGATGATGGTGATGGTGATGGTGGTATAACCAGGCCTTCTGTAATACCCGAGGTGGGAATTGATGAAGTAGTGTCCGTCTCACCAGACATGGGCCATGTAGTCGCCGCTACTAGGACATCGTCGACAGCAGTTATTATTGGAGTTGTGGGCGACGGCAGTGAAGATGATTCCGGGATCAAAGGTTTTCGGGTCGACCCACACCCGTCGTCATTTTCAGCAATTTCTTCGGGTATAGAAGCCAAATGCGGCGCAGTTGCTAATATATGCTCCTCCACATCTTCGATGATTGTGCGCGAGTCTGAGTCTGAAGGACATTGTGTTGGGGGAAGCGCTGTGAGGCTTTCATGTTCATATTGCAGATCAATTGTGGACTGTGTGTGTGATCTTGGAAGTGGTTCGCAGGACGGCGACGGCGATGGCGACAATGGCGTAAGCTCCGCATCACGGATCCCCGGCTCAAAATCCAGTACCTGCACAGGCTGAAGAAGTAACGGCGACGGGGATGAGGTTACTTGCTCAGGCCGGGGAGCCGCGTTTTGTATTCGGGACTCCGGATCTTTCCCTTCATACTGATGCGAATGTTCAATTGAGTCCCCATCAGTAGTGTTAGAAGAGAAAGGGCGAGAAAATGAGGAAGAAGACAAAACCATCTCGAGCTCAAATCGAGATAAAGAAGAGTGAACAATATTAGGCTCAAAGTACATTGTAGAATCAAGAGGTATGGAAATGGGCAAAATGCTTCCATACTCTTGAGCAGCAGTAGATCGAGTCATGGCTTCGTCTCACAATACCGTTGCCCTTGTTAAACAATCAGATGAGAAACAAGACCAGTGTAGCACACCAGCGGACCTTGACGTCCAGTCAGCAATGACTATCGTCTATATGAGGGTAGGACTGCGCTAATCAACCGCGCAAGATATCTCATGCCCTGTTGGCGAGAACGTGGCGACGAATCGGGGGATAAAATGACGAGGTAGGACAAAAAAGAAGGAAAAGGCCCAATTTGTATGCTCTTTGCCCATTGCACCGGTAGCGAGCTTATTCGCTTGTACAATTCCCAAGAGACTGGATGACCCGACATGTCAATCATTCAAATGAACGCAACTTTCCAGACGTGCAGCAATATCCCGTTGGCCCTAAGTCCAGTCCTTGTTGAAACCTCAGCCCTGCATCATCAATTTGCAAATCCCCACACCATTTATTCACTTTTTCTTTTTTTTCTTTTTTAATTACGTGAACTCAGAAGTCCAGCATGAAATTGAGGAGAATACCCCTGGTCAAGAATGAGACATGGTTCTTGAAGTTGAAGTGATTTTCTTTGTTTGAAATAACGCCGAACCAGTCCATCGGGTCAACTGGTTTTATGACACTCCTGAATGTTCAAATTTTGGGGCAACATTACTGTGTATAAATGAGGTACAAATTTCCTTTGACTAGACTGTGGGGTTTGCACATGTGCTAGGTACTAAATAAGCACTTGAATTTATAGAAATTAGAGAGAGCAGGACATGGAGCTAAGAACATTCCGAGCAATGATATTGTATTTCCTAAACCGAGCGACGGTGTGATATTTTTGTCTGTCCACGGGGATTTTTTTTTATTTCTTTTGTTATGATTTTCTGCTTTGAAACTTCGACTTGCTTGTTCCACCTGACACCGGCGCTCCCACATGCGCGAAGGTTGTAAATTTGCTCGGTAACTTGGGTATTATCTCATCTCTCATGAAAATCCGTCGATCACATAACCCATTCAGAAAAGCCATGGCACTGGACTCGCAACCAAGCTCATGCCACTTAAGTGGCATGGATGCCCTTGAAGGGATTGCTGCCAGCTTGGAAATCAGGAAGGTTGGGATCGTTCTGACGGCGGTGTGCTCGATCTGCAGGAGTGGCACTTTCAATTGCCATTCCGGACTCAATAATCTCCATGTTCAACATTCGAAGGCGAACTGCCTCATCGAACTGGGCTGCGTTCAGCAGAATTTCTCTCTGAACCTGGGCGCGGAGGTCAACTTGGTTCCTGACCAGGAAGCCCCCAACGAGATCAAGGCGGAAATCGATAAGGCCATCCTCGATGAGATGAATAAGTTCCCGTATGAAGGGAGACAAAAGACTGAATGGCTTGGCTTCACCACCAATCAGCTCCGGGGAAAAGATAGCTATCATGTCCTTTAAAACGGTCTTGCTGGAGGGAACGAGGTACTGCTGGATAGATTTGACGCGGATCTGGTGGTAGAGGGTGTTAATGTGTTTGTGGAGATGAATATCGAGCATGTAATCGACGCGGTAGGACTCCAGTATATCCAAAAGAGGGCGATAGCGAGCCTCCCAGAAGCATTTGATGGCACGGCGGATATGCGGCTCAAGCTCCAGGAAGTTGCGGAAATATTTGTTGTCCAGCACACGGCGCTTCAAGTCCTCACGTGTCATAGAAGCTAAAGCACATAGACCACCATAAACAGCCACATCGTTCGCGCTGATCACCTCATCGAAGGTTTCCTCTAGGACGCCAGTGGGGTCGAGAGAAAGGAAGGTGTTTGCAGCGTCCAAGTATTGACCTTGATGCATTTGAGACAAACCCAAAGCAATTACGGTGCGAGGGGTATTTTTGGCCATATCCTCGGGCTTGGACAGCGCATTTCGTAGACGATAAACGTAGCCGTGGGTGCTGATCCAGTCGTTCCGATCCATTGAGACGGTGATGAGCTTTAAATACATGGAAGAAACGTGGGTGGGAGTGGTGCAGAAGTCGCGCATCTGCCAGTAAGCTCGCGACGCAGAAGGTAAGTCGCCTGTTGCATAAAAATGATTGCCCAGATCCTCATTCCCCATCTAGTGGTCGTCAGCACGAATTATATTTAGGTTTGAGAACAGATAACACTTACTCGGATACTCTCTTTGATCAGGTTGTTCTTGTACCCACGAAGCTCTGATTCCAACCGCTCAGTTTTGGCTTGCATATCACCACGAACCTTTCCAACCCAACCAGGGTTAGGAACGAGTTCTGGATCCTTGGGAGCCAATCTAGCAAGAGCCTGAACTGCCTTCAGATATTGATCGACATCGGTTTCAGACAGAGCCTGAGCTACTGCCAATTTCAATGCATCGAGTGCGAGGACATCCGAGCTCGTTCCGATATGCAAGAGGCGGTTGAATCGTCCGCGGCCTATGAGCACGTTCGTTAGACTCCAGTGGTGACTTTTGGCTCGTAGAGTTCACTTGCCTTTGTAGTTGGAAATGTATGATTCAAGCTCAAACTTGGGAGCTCCTGTTATGGACTAGTTGTCAGCATATTCTGTAGATGCCTATAGCTCTTATCAGCAGGCGCAGTCCAGTGCCCCGCGAGAGTTATCACACACCGATTACTTGAGGGATGGGCTTGAGCGGTGCACTCAGAATGCCAGGAGGAGCAGCCATATTTGAGTCACTTGGTCCTGGATTCTTGGATTTTGCTGCAACCGCCTTACTAGAACAACCGGGGGCCATATTGACTGCGGCGTCAAGGTGACGCCCACTGCCCGTTGGGCCGGAGTCGATAGCAGTAGTTCTTTGCGGCAGAGAAAGGCACTTGAGAGTATTGAACAGCTCTGAGGCCTCTAGCTCCAGTACAGAGCTGAAAAGGTCGAGGGAATATGTTTGGAACGTTCAGTGATGGATGAGTATGAAGTTCAAGTTGATTGTTGTAAGTGGTTGCTTGTTGACTAGCTGGTCTGGCACTACGTCACCGCCTTTCAGACCGCTTTCTATGCTGAATACTTCACGTCATTCATCAATCCACCAATAATCCCGAGATCTAAAGGTTCAAAGTTCAGGAGATTAACAATTGACAAGTTCCAGACAAAGACCCCCTGTCTACTCATTGCCTGCATGATAGAGTTTGTCATTCACAAGCAATGTGAAGTTATCCACTGCAGCTCCCGCCTCGGAACTAAGTCTAGGTCTCTAGAGCCTCGGGAAAATGCTTTGGTGAGTAATCAGGAAAGCATCGGCCCGGGGTTTAGTCTTTGGAGAAAGGACTCCACCAGGACAATCTACTTCAAATAGTCCCGCATGCCCTGCTGCTTTGAAAAGAAACAGACTCAACTTCTTATCCTCCGGCCGGAGAAATTACTTGTCCAGGTAATCATTTCACGATTGATTTTACCAACTTCAAGTTACCGAGTTATCACATCGATACTTTGAATATACTACACCTGTGACCTGGCCCACATATGCCCCGCTTCTATACCTAGTACTATGATACACTAAACCAATCTTCACTCTTTGTGCTACATTCACAATGGATATTGTTCAGCCCGTAGCCCTTATCATGGGTGCGTCTCGAGGCATTGGTCGACAGGTAGCAATTGATCTGTCCAAAAATGGATATGCAGGTATGAAGCCCCAACAGTCAAGGGAAGAGCTAAGCAGGTGGACCCGACTCACATTGATATAGTCATGCTGGCCGCCAAAACAACGTCAGATGCCAACAAAACGGTGCCATTTCCACCAGACCCGAATTCTTCCCAGTCTACTATCAATACAGTAGAGCGGGAGATCCGAGAAGCTGGGGGCCGCGCCGCAGCAGTGGCCGTTGATGTGCGAGATGAAGCACAGATTCAACATGCAGTCGACGAGACTGTTCGAATCTTTGGCAAGTTGGATGTTCTGGTCTATAACTCTGGTGCGATTTGGTGGTCCTCTGTGGAGAATACGCCTTTGAAACGCTTCCGATTGATGCAGCAGATCAACCCGGAAGGGTTGTATGCTACAGTGCAGGCTTCTTTGCCGTACTTTGCGAAGAATAATTGGAAAGGTCGAATTGTGGTGGTTTCACCTCCTATTTATTCGAGGTTCTTTCGTGGAAAGACGGCATATGCTATGGGTAAGTTGAATGAACCTTAGCCAGAGAGTATATGGATCTGATAAAGCTCTTACATAGGCAAGGTCGGCATGAGTGTCTTAGTCAAAGGGCTGGCCATGGACTTCGTGCGACAAGAGCGATCAGATATGAGCATTACAAGCATTTGGCCTGCTTCGGTATGTCAGCTTTTTGTCTGTGGAAAGGACTATGAGGGGTCGCTAATGTGTATTCAGTCCATTGAATCCGCTGCAACTGAACATAACAAAGCGTCGGATCCATCTCGCAAGAAAGATCTACGAAAACCAGTATGAAGACCTTGAGATCCGGCTTTCCAAGCATGCATATTAGCTAACACTACTCTAGAATATCTTCTCTGATGCAATCATCGAGATGCTCCGAGCGCCAACAAGCACTGTGAATGGATTATTGGATACCGACGAAGATTTTCTTCGTGAGAAATGTGGTATCACTGATTTTTCCAAGTATTCTGTGATCCCGGGTTCTACACCACGCCGGATTATGCCAGCCAAGTTCCCTGTTTTAGAGGTCGCAGAGCAGGATGATGAAGGACAGAGGATGGATAGTACCAAACTACGGGCAAAGATGTAAACTGAACTTGATGGTTCAATTAAATGCAGCGCTATTTGTGAATACAGATTAAGTGACCTCCCTGATTAATGCAAGATACCATGCCGCAGAGCAGAAAATAAAAAGAATGCTGGGCGCTAAATTAGAAAAGAGAAAACGAGGTTCAGGATAGTGACCTCAAAGTAGTCGGTGTTGCATCGCCTCTCAAGCATAAGAAAATCTTGCTTCCGACCGTGATCGTCAACGGCAGCTTCTTCAAGTTCCTAGACACACTTCATCCGAGTCTTCATAGCAGAATAGCGAAACCCGCAATAAACCCACCAATGACAACGCAGAGGCCATAAATGTGGCTCATATCATTGACCAGAAGTCGGGGAGCTTTACCGGTAGCCGTCTCAGTAAAGACACTGGCCACGGTAGTAGTACTGGCCGCATGGATACCTGGGCTAATAGTAGCAGTGGAAGTATTGACAGGTGTGGGATGCTGAGCACCACAGGGGTGATCATCGCGACAGGCGGCTTGGCAGCTGGAGTCGCTGCACTTGTTGACACACTGGTTGTTGGCCTCGGTGCAGACGAAGTAGGGGATAGTTTCGGAGTACTCGGAGGCATTCGGAGAGAGGCCATTGTTGCATTGACAGTTGAAGGTCAAGGTTTTCTAATGACATGAAATAATTAGTATTCAATTTTTGTTCAACACTTTTTGAGACCTGGGGGTGACTTCATGATTTAACTCACTGCAGAGCAGGTATTTGCGTTTGCTCCAGTAGTGTTGGGCATCTGCATACAGAGGATGGGGCAGGAGGATGTCTGAGACAAGCACCAGTTCTCTGAAGTATGTTTCATTAGCCTCATGCTGGTTACAACCTGGTGGCTGGTTTTGATGCTCAAGATAGATACTTACCACGCGTGGCCATCGGCACTGAATTTGGGTCAATCGTGGGAGTCCATGTGTATTGGCAGCTCACCATGGCGACGGCCGAGGCCAAGAGCAGCACAAGCATTGACAACATGATGATGGTAATGGAAGCAACTTCTCAGAAGAGTAAACTGAGTGAGCCTTGCCTAGAAAAAAGGATGTCGCGTCAATGATTCTGAGGTAGAGAATTCCAGATCAACAGTGAGAGACACTGTCAATGTAAAAATAGACTGGCTGAAGTGGGTGGAATGAAGGGATGCTTGGCTGCAATGAGGACTAGAGCTTACCCGGCTACGTTCCAGGACAGTTTTGAGATTGGAAGGAGTCAAGAAGGATTGAAAGAATGGGGATGATGGGAAAAGAGTGTGTATCAGTGTGTGGTTATGGGAAGAGGGGAGCAAACTGGGAAGTAGAAAGTGAGCACTTGAGTGTAGTATGCTTGGAAGATAAAGGAAAGTGCCAGCACTTGAGCCCAGCTTGAACCACCTCAACTCAACATTTGAGCTCAAATTGATCACACGCCCTGGATCACCTGCCATTGTTATATTATTGATATATTTGGCTACAGGTCATTGTAGGTGATACTGCATTTGCTATCTGAGGGTTCGTGAGCATGGTGAGGTAGTATGGTCCAGATTGCAAACATTGGTGGCATCCCACCCATACATAGTATTGATTCTGGAATGAGACTAATGTCCGCTGCTAGTGATTCGAGTTCCACTCTTCTTGAAGGACCCTTCGAATCAAAGAGTCGGCCCGAAAGACATGTAGATCCGGGGATATAGAGCTGCGAGTCATATATTTATCCTGTAGAAAGATGACCACCGTGACCTATACAGGATATCTCTCTCCAGGACCCAGTCCCAACTTCACTCATCATATCATGCATCCTCCAGAAGATGATTGTCACTGGGACCAGTCCTGCTTGCAACGAAAATGACGATAAGGATGTCTCAGCTCCAAATGATCGCCCAACGATTCCCGAGTCAGGATTAGCATAGTTAGGCATAGTTTTAGGTACATGAACAATTCCACATTGGAAATTCAAGAATCGATTGAGATATGAGCGTCAGAGATGAATTACCGAGTATAGATATGGATAGAATTAATTTAAAAGACTAATCATCAGAGCGTTTGGACTCTCGAAACAGGTTCTTTGACAGAACATCCGCTTACATAACATCCCCGCAACCTTGAAAGCTCCACTGACCTGCAGCTTTTCACCACCTCCTTGACGAACTCTCCTCATCCTAATTCTTCTCTGTCCGCTTGGACTCGGTCCGTTCCAAGGTCAGTGCTACTGTACTACATGTAGTGGTCATCTGCCCTCCTATCAGCAATCTCAAGGCTATTTCCCCATACCCTCAGATAGAATCCTCCTCCCCCTCTGATGAAATCAACCTCTCCTTTCCCCAATTCTCCCCGCACGGATCAACGCGCGGAGTACAAACTCTCAAAACCCGCATAGCTGAACATTCACCCGCACAATGACAATCTCAGAACACAATGCTCATACTTTTAATGTAGTCTACATCCTGAATAGCTGATGGATGGAGCGCGCTCATGAGGAGGCCGCCCATGAGGAGGCCAGATCAGCGACGCACCCCCACACTTCTCTCCCCGCAGATACCGAATTCCTCCCCACTGAACACGAGCATGAGGATGACAATGAAAGCCCAACCGAAGAAATAGACACTCAGTTCTTGCCTACAGATTCTGGATCTGATGTCTCCCCCAAGACACGACCTATCTCCGGCGTTGTTCCACCATATTGGCAACGACATGAGCGCAACGCTTCTCGTGCATCACAGAGCTCGTTGGCACGGTCAACAATGATCACATTGGAGGATAATACGGTGGACCCAGAGTCCGAGACTACAAGGGGTCTTTGGGCGCAGAGTGTGTCGATTGAGGATCATGTAGTTGTGCAGGGAAAGACAGGGGTTGGGGCATACGTGGTATGGAACTGCAAAATTCAGACATTGGATGTGAGTTTCACTTACCTGCTTAGTGACCTCTCCCAAATTTTTATTAACCGTGTTCATGCAGGGAGGTCCAATGGTTGTTCGCATGAGGTATGTTCACTGGATTCGACTTTATCTTCATTTTAGTGCAATTTAGCTAATCCTTGTTAATTTGCTAGATACTCTGAGTTTGATGAATTGCGACAACGCCTTGTTTCTTCCTTTCCACATGCAAAGAGTGCCCTTCCCGCACTACCCCGAAAAGTGTCTTCTGTATGTCCCTGATACCCCTATCAAGATTACACTGTCGCTGACGAAGACTATGAAGACAAATTCCGGCCCAATTTTCTTGAGAATCGACGAGTTGGCTTGGAATATTTCCTCAAGTGAGTACTAGTGGAATATGTCTTTCTGGTTGGTTTAACTGACCCGTCTAGTTGTGTTCTTCTCAACCCTGAGTTCTCGAGCTCACCTATCGTCAAAGACTTTCTTTTTGGCCGACTTTCATAATCCTTTCTTTTCTTCCAGTCGGAACATACATACTCCCTTTCTTCCCATTTACCCACATATTCTACTTCATGGAGATATCCATTCACATGTAATTATTTAGAGTGCACAGCTTTGCGTTGGAGTTCAAGGAGCAACATACATACACCATGTGAAGGTTCAAACTCCAACTTGAATATCAATCAATTTTCCAAGATACTAAACTGCTTTCCATTCTACTCCTAGACAGTCCTCATTGGTGAAGGTTTCAGGTGGAGGAAGAGCGACAGCAACACGATTGAATTAGGGCTGAAAGACAATATGGGCAGATGCGACTTGACAAAAGGAAAATAGAAAGAGAATGGACTAGATATCCTTCCCGAGACCTGATTTTGGGGCCTGAACCAAAATTCAAAGCAGCGAAAAGGGATAGCAACTTGGACTGGGAACACCAGTGATATGATACAAAAAACCAACTTAACATTCATATGATACAGAAGCCCCACTTCACGGAAATAAACCTGTGCCTCCTGACCGAGCGAGCCTTATTACCCCCCCACCTCCATTCATGCACCACAACTTCATTAAAGAAAGGGAAGCAGAAGATGAATTACTCTCTGGCAGAGACGGGTCGCAGTATCTCTTGTTCAACAGTAGTATCAGCTGACACATCTGGAGATGAAGTCGCTTTCTTTGATTTGCCAGCGGATAAGCAGGTACGTAGATCGGTCCAAAGCATCTTCCGAACACTGATGTTAGCCATGTGCATCATAGCTAAGAAATGTCGCGGCCCTGGTACACCGTCAGGGAATACAAGATACAAGCCTGAGTCCTGTGGTGGATCGGGGCGAAACTTGTCATGATAAGCTTTCTTTCCGTGAATAGGAAGACGGAGGAACGTGTGGGCGTATAGGTCCCGAGTGATACTAGCCAATGGTCCTGGCATCCCACTAACATCCTCAGGTGAGAGAACATGGGTCGGCTCAAAGCCGAACCCGAGGTATGAGACCTCCGCACGGTGAAGAAGAGCCATAGCCGCAACAATTAGTAGGTCACTAATTCCCTTTGGGCTATTGGGCGCCGCAATACAAGGGTCAATGTGATAACCAGAGCAGCCGAGTCGACGCAAGGCTGAGAATCCATTAATTCGACCATCGGATCCACAACTGTAGACGAATGTCATAAGAGAGGGTAAAGCGAAGGGGTCGTAAACAGTGATAAAGGCTTGAGGACCGGTGGAATTATTACGTTCCGCACGCCAGGCATCGTAGATGGCTACAAGTTCTTTCTCCAGCTGATTGTCTGTTCCATGGATGGCTGGTACGTATAAGCCCAATGTGGTGCCTCCCTTTTGAGGGTGTAGAAGTTGTCGATTTTGTACAGCAATACGCTTCCCGCTTTTTTCCAGCAAAACCTCATTAGTCTGAGGATTCAGAACTCTTTCCGTGCCAAAGCGTATCGCAGTCCAATTGGATGACTGCTTCTTGGCATATTCCTGGACAAACCATTCACTTGCGCCCATGAACGCGATTCCCCAGCGACGACGCCGACGGTATAGTGAAAATTCATCTAATAGCGCCGTGATAGTATCTGTATCTGGACTGCAAAGCGGATCACCGCCCACGATAGCCACACAGTTCTGAACTTTGAATGACAATGCCGCGGTTCTTGTCTTGTTCACAAAGAATCGATAACTGTGATCCAGCATGCCCATATGTGCCACGCGACCATACTGGGCTGTCAGGCGTTGTATGGCGGTCATTGTAGAGAATTCATCCAGGGAAAATACATCGCCTTGTTCATGATTACTCTTCACATGATGTAGGTCAGTGTCCATACCAGAAGGAGGAACCACTGTTGTTGCAGCTGAGGAGATTTGGTGTGTGAGATTGAGGTCATTGTGGTGGTTATGGTCAGTGGAGGGTGTGCTTTCGACTCCTGTCAATGTACGGCTGCTGCTGCTCATTGAGCTGGCATTGGAAGACGCAAGAGTCGTGCTGAGACTGGTTCGCAGATGATCGAGAACTGATGGGGTTGAGGCATTCGGATGGGTGTTTATTTTAGGGATGTAATAGTGACCCATCAACGCATCCCCCAACTCATCAACCAAGTGTACTTTCTTAAAGTTGGTGCTGAGATCATTGCCCTTGACCTTGTTACCGCGACGAGCGCGCCTCTTCTTATCTGGAGCTGGAGCTATTGGCGCAGTAGTCGGGGGTTGGATGGGATCGGGCGCTGTGGTGATCATGATCGGTGGGACAACCTTTTCGGAAAGTGACACTGGGGATTGCTGCAAGAGTGCCATCGCGGCAAGGATGGAGGCCAATGTTGATAGAAGTAGGATAAGTAGGATAGAATATGGAGATTGCGAGGTGTGGGAAATGAGAGGAAGAAATTGCGGTGTAATTAGACAACAGTCGCGAAGTGAGAGGAAGAGGGAAACAAAAGAGAACACAAAACAGAGGGAAACAGCGGAAATCTACACACAAACATGACACCTCCAGCCTTGAACCTTCCTATTTCACGGTTCATATTTTCCTAGGTTCTACGGGTCACTCCCGAGGTCTCTCACGCCTGATTTGGGACCTTAGCTATAGGCAGAGGGATTTTTTGGGATATTATCTCGGATGCTTTGTGTTCCAATTGACCTGACACAGCCCCTGTAAAACTACAGAGTGACATTCAAGACCCACCATTTTGACCCTTATGAGTATAAACGAGTTTGGAAGGATCTAGCTTATACTAGGGATCTACTAGTATGTACCATCGACACAGGGCTGAGGTGGGGCGAGTGGAGAGAGATCCAAGGAATATCGGAACCAGACCCGAGTATATCATTAAAGAGATGCGCACGTTTAGACAGTGTCCAGGGTTAAATGAGAGCCTAGTAACTACATTTAGTAAATGGCAAAGAGGTAGCAATTCACGGATACGAATTGTATTCTAGGCCATCCAAGGTTCATCCACGCCCGTATAGATGCTCACTATTGCTTATTTGGTGAACTCTAGAGCTCGGAATGGTACAGAAGAAATGCTGGTGCCTGAGATACGTGAAATGACGGCATGGCCACACTCAAATTGAAATTAACTCTAACAACCAAGCCTCGCGGATCTACCAGGTCAACTGGTTATGTCAATCCAAGGCTTGGAATAACCTAGAACGGGAGTATACGTATGCTCAGTATATCCCAATCTCCACCATCCATAGCTTGGTAGATCTTAATAAAGGACTTGGTAAGTATTTCACTTCACTACTTGTGGCACCATCGCTGTGTTCATGAAGCTTTGATGGCTGCCTAGTGGCGGTATCAGGGTCCAGCCGTGAAGATTGTGGGGCATACGGCATACCCGTATTATGTCTGGTGCCTGCGGAGTCCGAAAGAATGGAACGCCTCGGGGAAAGCGTCTGACCAGATGGTGAATAAAATAAGCTCATAAATAAGCACTGGGGATTAGGATAATGCTCACGTTTCTATTCTTGGCCGGTGTCGTGAGTTGACCAATTGAAATTAGTCGGAGTTGGATGGATGTCAGGCATCACTATAGTTAACTTATTAACTAGTTAATAGTTAACGTGATTCCCGGTCGAGCTGCGCACCCGGCCGAGCTGCGCACCCACCACCATTAGACAAATTCAAATTCAAATATTTCAACCCAATGCGAATAAATTCAGTTATAAATACGATTTTTACATACATTGATCCGATGGCCAACCTCTCGACATCCACTACACCTAGGCTGAGCCCTGGGGGCTGGCTGATTCGGCTGAATAGGCAATTCAACCTGGGTGTGTGGTTCGACCGCAGGTGCTTCTACTGGCAATTCTAGCTGCGTGAGTAGCTGCAGGCCTTCTTCAACAGTCAAGCCCTGTTCACATGGCACCTGCCTAGTTGACCGACTGCGCTTCTGTCGTTTCTTCTCGTTCGCTGCACGTAAATTGGCGTTTTCTTGTGCTAGTAGCGCAGTGTTGTGTAGCGATATACAGTGTCCCTTGATGATTTGATCTAGCATCAATTTCGATGGGCTTGGAGGGCTGTTTGATCGCTGTCTTAGAAGATCTTTAAGCATTGAAGCTTGCTTTTGAAGCTGGACCACAGTTCTAGGTGTCTTAGGTGAAAATTGACTGCTTCGGCTGCCTGGTCGAGTGCCTGGTGGTGTAGGTGTTCGTAGCGAAATATTCAATTTAGAAAGAACTTTTTCAGCATCAATTGGTACTAGTCCTGTAGCTATAAAGCTATTCTGGATAGTAGCTGGTTTAAAAGCTTCAAGCCGGGCACGTTGAAAATCAGCTAAGAAATCAAGCTTATCAATATGGTTATAGCCTGTACGTGCAAGATCACTTATAAAGCGACCATAGGTAATTTTCAACACAGAAAAACAGCCAACATCTAGTGGCTGTAGAAGATGTGAAGAATGCGGTGGCATACAGAGAGGTATAATGTTATTCTCTGAGCAGATTCGATCAAATTGAGGTGTGAGATGGCTTCCATGGCCATCAAGAATCAAAAGCCGAAAACGGCCACGGACACGTGAATTTGTTGATGGGATGAACAGCTTCTCAAGCCAACGTAGGCCAATATCATCGGTAGTCCAACCATTAGCTGAGACCTCAAACCGCCAGTCTTTTGGTAGGTTATCGAACCAACTAGCAATAGCAACCTTTCCCTTAAAAATCACACATGGTGGTAATGAATAACCATCTACACAGATAGCTTCAATTGCCGTCACCCATTCACGGTTCCCAGGCTGTAAAATAGCTCGCCGACCGTAGTATTCTTGCCGTGTTACAACCGTCTGTGTTGAAATAAGGCCCATCGCAAAGCCTGTCTCATCAAAGTTATAAATATCCTCAGGTTGGATCCCATTCTTATCGATAACTTGTTGTACAGTTGTAAACCATGCTTGGATTGATTTAGGGTCTTCGTTTAGAGCACGGTGGTAGTCATATCGCCTAGAGACGCGTGTTCGAATCTCTTCGCGTCGATTTATAAAGGTTGATGGCCAATTCTTGCTAACTGTTGGTGGGGGGTGGCTACCACGCGCAGCTAGTAGAATATTGGCCATATCTCGTACAGTAGCTGGCCTAGGCGCCGCTCCACGGGAGTCCATAGAGATAATCCATTCAATAAGCGAATCCTCTTCCAACTGGGTCAATTTATGGCCATTTGGGCGTGTATCGACGCGAGATTGAATGCCGTGCGCGCGACTGCGTAGTGTGGACTCAGGCACGCTAAATAGCCTGGCCGCTGCGCGAAGAGACTTGATTTGGCCCTTTTGAATAGCCTGTAAGGCTAATAAAACCTTGCCCTCTTGTTCGACATTTTTTTTCGGCCGAAATATTACGAATTGGTGGCATGGTAGGTGTTTGAATTAGGTAGGGTGGTAGAAAGACGCGATTTTAGATGGGGTGCGCAGCTCGGCCGGGTGCGCAGCTCGACCGGGAATCACGTTAGTTAGTTAACGTGATCGGTAAGCGAGTGGCCAATGTAAGCGAGTGGCCACCCTACCCAAGTTATTTCTACTTTTTTAAGATTATCTCAACCACAACGCCGTTAAATTGTCTAATCTGTAGCTATACACATATTTCGCTTATGTCCTAACTCGCCACATTTACCACACTTGGGTGGGCGCCGTGCTACCGGAGTATATGAAGCCTGCTGTGCTGCGACCATTGCTGGTGTTCTAGCTTGGAAGAGCTGGTTATGAGCTTGTTCGTGCTCCTGAGCTTCCTGAACAGATACACCGGCATCATATTCAACCCATCTATTAACACGAGTACGCTTTTGTCTTTGAATAGCGTTTGCAGCTCGTAGTTGCTTATTCTCTTGCTCAAGTAGTATACCATTATGCATCGCAATTTGACAGCCTTTGATAAGCTGATTTAATGCAGTGTGTGATGGTGATGGTGGGCTATTTGAGCGTTGCTTGAGAAAAGCTTTAATAGAAGATGCTTGTTTTAAAAGCTCATGAACATTTGCAGGTGTATGTGGGCAAAAAGCACTTGATTGGCTGCCACGGCTTCCAGGGGGTGTAGGTGTTCGAAGTTGAATATTTAGCTTAGAAAGTACTCTTTGAGGATCAAATGGTACAATTCCAGATGCTTGGAAGCTATTTTTGATTATAGATAGCTTAAAAGCATTAGTACGAGCTTGTGGATAAGCTAGTAGAAAATCAAGCTTGTCGATATGGTTGATCCCAACTCGCATCTTTTGGCCGATTAAATCACCATATGAATGTTTTAATACTGCAAAACATCCAATATCAAGAGACTGAAGAAGATGTGATGAATGTGCTGGCATACAAATTGGTATAATTTGATGATCAGCACAAATCTGATCAAATTGTGGTGTAAGATGGCTTCCATGCCCATCAAGAATTAAAAGTCGATATTGCCCATGCGTACGACTAGTTGTTAATGGAATAAAGTGTTGTTGAAGCCAGCGAAGGCCTATTTCATCACTTGTCCATCCATTAGGACTAACTTCAAAGCGCCAATCAGATGGAAGATCTGTAAACCATGCTTGGTTATATCGTTTACTTTTGAAAATGAGTGTTGGTGGAAGCGCCCATCCAGAAGTATTGATTGATTCGATTGCAGTTACCCACTCACGATTTCCAGGCTGCAAAACTGATCTCCGACCGTAGTATTCTGCTCGGGTAATCACTTTCTGTGCTGAGCAAAGCCCCATTGCGAATCCAGTCTCGTCAAAGTTATAGATATCATCTGCGAGGATACCATATTGCTGGATTGTGGTTTGGACTAAATCAAACCATTCTTGAATGATTTTTGGATCCTCTTGTTGCGCTCGTTGGTAGTCATATCGTCGTGAATAGCGAGATTTAAGCTCTGGATGACGTTGAGTAAAGTTATATACCCATTTTTCACCAACAGTTTGAATATGGATAGAACCACGCTTAGCAAGTAGAATATTTGCCATTTCTCGTACGTGAGCTTGTGTCGGGGCAGCTCCACGTGAATCAAGAGACAATATCCGTTGCTTAAGCGATTCCTCTTCAAGTTGGGTCAATTTATGACCATTTGCGCGAGTATCAGCTCGAAAAGTATCACCGGTGATACGGCGACGGAGGGTTGTACGAGGTACATCAAATCGATGTGCAGCTTCGGCAACAGACCGTATTTCTTCGTTTTTGATAGCTTGTATAGCTAACAAGATACGCCCTTCTTGTTCGGCTAATTTTTTAGCCTGTCGAATACGATCTGGAGGCATGGTGGTTGATAGAAAAGAGGTGCATGAAACGGGACGCGAAAAAATTAGGTGGGGTGGCCACTCGCTTACATTGGCCACTCGCTTACCGATCACGTTAAAAATTGGTGCCTTACATCTAAGGGCTCCAGATTCCCAAATCCGGTAAGAGTGAAAACACCTGGGCGGCGAGAATGACTCTGAATGAGTATGTGGGAAAGAAATCTGAAAGCTCAACATTGATTTAAGTTTGAGAGAAGATCAACGTGGAAGGTCTGCGGGCTGATGGCATTTCTCAACTTGTATAGAAGATTGGGTGCATCCTCTAAGTTTTTCATCCGAAGGCCTTTGAACGTAGGATAACCGCCACTAGCACACATTATTCTAAAGGCAGAAAATAAAACACATGTCTACTCTTATTTAAATATCCATAGAATACTGTCTTATTTGCTAGCAGAGAACCTTGGAGTTGTGTGACTGATAGATATTTACGGGTTTGAAGTCTAACTCCGTTGAACCCACAAGGTCCGTCTCATCCTTACACAGCAAAAAATCACATTTCTTGGATATAAGTGATTGTGATTCTCTCACTAGTAGGAGGTCAGGATTCACTCATGTATGGATGCATTCCACACTGAGCACTAGTCAAAACAATTCGGAACTTGGGAGCGTTAGCATACTAAAAAGAAATTAACAGGGCAAAGGAAACTCCAAGTATCTGACAGTTATGGCGCTAGCATCTCTCCAGCTCCATCATAGTGCGAGGCTTCATAATTCAAGAGCTCCTATGTAGTGGTATGTATATGTGCTAATTTCGGGGCGTTTTAAAAGTAGAAAAAGTATCACTGCGCTATCTCCATCTTTAAGTAAGAGGTACAGAGTCAATAGTAGTCGTGAGTTGTAGCCCGGTCCACTCTAAAGTAAATCAAATGCCAAATCTGAAACGTGGGTCAACTTATTTTCCACAGAGAGATTCTTCACAACTACCAACCCCACTAGCGTCTACTAAGAGCTTAGTGATGAATGGAGGCTTAACCAGGATCGTGCCGATCTATGCAAAAGGTGCATATGCATAGAAGGCTATCTTGAAGATTAACTCTATTTGTTATAGTGTATGCACTCTCAATAGATTATCTTTAGGATCGGCGTTTTCAAATTGATACCTTCACCTATCAACTTCGAAGTCCCTTAATATGTACATTTCGAGCACAACAACATTGTCAAACCGAGGCCGTGATTACTCCCTAGCGAGACGTCTTACCCATACACAGAACTAAAAAGCTAATAAGGAGAGAATCCATAGTAAGCACTAAAGAGATCCATGGATATTCGCTCAAGGATTTGGGAGTAATGACTACTAATTAAAAAACTTGGGAAGCCCTTCAACCTTCTACAATAAGGCAAGCGTGGAAGCTCCCTCCTACAGCTGATTACAGCTACTCAAGTGCTGATGGTATGTCATCTTTCAATTCTACCTTCATCTAGGCTCACTGGCAGGTGCCCAGACTTGTAGCTTGTTTGTACACCAGGATACTCTTCACTACTTGCAATAATATGATAGTGCTAACCTTGGAACATTTGACCGAGCAGTTTGTCATCCTCATAGTTATAGAGAAAACATCAGAAGAGAAAAACCGGATATACATCGGATGATAGTAAAATGGGCATCGGTAATAAGATATGAAGACTCCGGAGTCTTTGTATCTCGAACATGGAAATAATCAGATTATCGCACGTGGTGAGAGAACATGGGCATAATAAGCATCCTGATTGGGTGAGTACCATATCAGACCAATGCCGCTGAGCGGGTCCCGGTCAGAAGGTGATTGGTTGTGAAGAACGCCCAGACCCACTCATCAGGTACATGCACGATGCTTAGCTCCGGATTTCTAACCACAACAACGAATGTGCTTATCCCTATTACCAGCAGAATCAACATATTCGAATATGTGATGCAGGGCTTCCTACCGAATCCCCCGCCCCTTGCAAGCTAAGATCCTCCTCCACTTCATTGCCTGGATTTTGTGGAGCCTTGAAGATTCCTTGTGGCCTATGACAATTACCCCTTTGCACATGTGAAGTCAATCCCCACCCGCCATTTGCCTTGTCGGAGGGATTAATCTACGTCAATTGGGACCTTTTCGGACGGTCACCGAAGATGGAACGTGCAGGCTGCATTTTCCGCAAAACTAGATATAAAATGGCATTCCTTCGCGGTTAGGGAAAGGATTCTCGTCCTCACACCAGAGTCCCTTCCCCTTGTTGGTTCAGTCCCATAATGAAGTCAAACACCTTCGTCTCTCTGCTTGGTCTCTCTGGTAGTGCTCTGGGCGCTGCTGTCGCCCGGGACACCCAGGAGCCCTGGGGATACAAGTCCGGCTCCAAGGAGTCAATTGCCAACCTGAAGGATAAGATTGACAATGTTGTCTGGCTCCTGCTGGAGAACCGTGCCTTCGACAACATCCTGGGTGGTGTCCACCGTGATGGTCTTGACAATGTGGTCAACAATGGTCCTTTCTGGAATCCTCAGCTGGTTAATGAGACCAGCAGCCGCAAGTGGTACAGTCAGTTCAAGGACTACGACTCTGTCGCCCACGACCCTGACCACTCGGTGACTGGAGTCAACTTTGAGTTCTTTGGCACATTCACTCCTGACAATGAGGCCATTGCCAGTGGTTCTCTCACACCCGACCTGAAGGGTTTCGTCGAGCGCCAGATGGATTACTACCCGGCTATCACCGCCGAGCGGGCTCATGATGAAGTCCTCGGATACTACTCCGAGGACGAGATCCCCACCCTGGTGGATCTGGTTGATGAGTTCACTACCTTCAACTACTGGCACTCCTGTGTCCCTGGTGTAAGTTCTATCTGCAGATAAGATTTGATCTTTCAAATACTAATATCTTCACCAGCCCACCAACCCCAACCGTCTCTGTGCCCTTGCTGGTACCTCTGACGGCCACGGTGAAAATGACGAGGACTTCCTTGACTCCGGCATCGTTGGTGTGAACAACATCTTCGAGGAGGCTACCAACAAGGGTATCTCGTGGAAGAACTACGACGGTACCAACGGAGATTTCCTTCCTGACTCTCTGTTCTTCAACTGGACCGCCAACAACGCCGCGAGCAACGTTGTTCCCCTGGAGGACTTCTACCAGGATGCTTACCTGGGTCTGCTTCCCAAGCTCTCCTACATCAACCCCTCCTGCTGTGACCTTAACACCAACTCCATGCACCCCAGCGGAAATGTGTCTTTCGGTCAGGTTCTCGTTAAGCAGGTCTACGATGCCGTCCGTGCTGGACCCCAGTGGAACAGCACTCTCATTCTGCTGACCTTCGATGAGACTGGTGGTTTCTTCGACCACATTGCTCCCCCTCTTGCTGTCCGCCCCGACAACAAGACCTACGTCGAGACTGCCCCCAATGGCCAGAACTACACCCTGAACTTCGACCGTCTGGGTGGTCGTATGCCTACCTGGTTGATCTCCCCCTACGCTCCCCAGGGTTACATTGAGAACTACGGCACCAACCCTGCCACTGGCAAGAGCGAGTCCTACAGTGCTACCTCCGTTCTCAAGACCCTTGGCTACCTCTGGGACCTGGAGGACTTCACTCCCCGTGTTTCCAACTCCCCTGCCTTTGACCACTTGATTGGCCCCAAGATGCGCAAATCTACTCCCCAGAACTTGGCTACTCCCCACACCTTTGCCAATGCTATCTAGATGCATTGCTAGGCTTATGAACATGGATTATTTTGTATGAGGGATGACCTGTTGAGCATAGTCTTATAGACTGTGCACAACGACAATGTACTATATAGTACGTTTACTGATGTTTCAATGTTGGAAATAAAGATTATTAGTAATGAGAATAAGAATATACCGGGGTACAGCCTGTGCATTATGAAAAACTGGGTTTCATGTAAAATTTGAATGTCGATTGGAAAGAATCATTGAAGTCAAATAATTTGCTTCTAGCTCAACTACAGGACATTGGTGACCGCCACTCCATCCTGATGATAGTATTAGCACTTGTTCGAATCATACCATGCGGATCAATTGATCTTACCGTCCTTCCACTGTGCCCCTGGAATTCATGAAGCTTTGTCTCATAAGAGTATGTTCCAGTTCCTGGCACATTACTCAAGTCCAATCCAGTCTTTTTGACACCATTCTCCTTGATCAGCCTAGCCAGCTCAACACCACCAAAATCATCAGTGAATGTATATTGTGCCAGAGTAGCCTCTTTATCCGCTGCACTGGCATGCAGCCAATTCATATACTCTGTTCCGCGCGAATAAGAAGGAGAAATGTTATCAGCAATAATAACAGACTTTCCAGGTTGGAGAAGACCCAGCTGCTCAACAAGCCACAAGTCGGAAATATAGCGATGCTTCACATGATCCACGAACAAAAGCTCGATAGACTCAATGAGCAACTCGTGCACTAGCTTGGCGAGACCTTCATAGCTTGCAGCCACGATCACAGTGACGATATCCTGTAAGCCAGCTAGCTCGATAAGCAGCTTTGCGACAGATGCATTGATGGGGTTGATTTCGAGACTATAGTATTTCTTGCCTCCTGCACGTCGAACCGCATTGCCGAATCTGATTGCAGAGTAACCGACATAGCAACCTAACTCGACCATGATAGATGGCTTCTTCTCTTCAATGATCTTCTCGATTAAGGGTCCCTTTCTGGGTCCAATGTTTATGAGGCGATTTTCTTCTGTGTTGAACTTGTCAATCGCATCTAGGATTTTCTCGGGATTTCCGGGAAGCTCGTCGAAATTTGGCAGATTCCAGATATAAGTGAGGACATCAGGTTCTCGACCTGGCTATCAGATGAAGAGGATCAGAGATAGTCGGGAGTATAGTGGAATCATGAGTCATGACTAACCTCAATTCTGGGACGAGGCTCAGTGGCAGTCATATTGATAGCAAGGTTTCCTTGAAGTGAAGAAGAATTTGAAGAGTTTGATAAATTGAATTGAGTTTCCCCTCTTTCAAATCTGGATTCTTATATAGACCCCTCTCGGAGATTGAGACTCGGATACATCAGCTCGGCGATAAGCCCGAAGACATTCTAGTCCGGTCATTAGCGCCGAGGATTGTGGAACCGGAGACAAGCTTTCCGTGATCATTGGAGTCACTCCACGACTTTGACGACATAGTTGAATATCCTTGCGTATGACTGGCCAATGGATCCTCTGAAAATCGTGGAGAATTATTGGAAATTGGACCCCTCAGTCAAGATATCCCTCATACGCCCTCGGCCCGGTGATAAACCACGCTGGTTTTGAACATTGTAAGGGACTAGACAACCGGACACTGGAAGATATTAACTAAAGTATGAAGAGATTAAAGTCAAAGATTGACCATAGATTTGACTTGGATCAATTCATGACTTGGAAATGAGATTGAAAGTCCGCATGTATGAATACTTGAAGTTGATACATGGGTGAAAAGTAAACCTCTCCCGAACCTCACCCTCACTCATCGCGCTCTTTCTCTTATTACCCCACATGAAGGAAACCTCCAATGCCAATGCCGCCAGGAGAGCCGTACCACCAAACGCCAAGGATAACCCAAAACCGGTGGGATATGTTGGAGCCTCACTATCAAGGTACATGTAGCTCCCAATGATTCCACCGATATTTCCCATACAAATGTTGAACGCACTTCCGATTGCTCGACGGTTTGAAGGGGCTAAATTGTTCATTGTCCAGGTCGTTGTAGCTGGATGAGTTGGATAAATGCCTATGCAAGTCAGAATAATTGCGAAGAATCCTGGACCAAGATTCTCCTTCAGATGTCCGCCTAGTCCGATGATTATGGAATACCCGATCACAATAAGCAGGAGAGGAATAGCCACGAATGGCATTCTCCAGTAGAAGCGATCTGATAATTTGGAGAAAACCACAGCGGAAATTGCGCCGGCGATGTAAGGGGGTACTGTCATGAGCTGAGCGTCTGTGCCGTTGAATCCCATCCCTTTGGTTATGGTGGGAAGGGTAAACTTTGTGCCTGAAAGAGAAAGATTAGTATGTCATCTCATTCACATTGTGCAATGTTGACGAACCGTAGGAGCAAGCGGATTGGCAGAGCAAAATGTATGCCAGTAAATACGTCCGCCAGTTTGATATGACTGCTCGGATGTCTTTCCACGATGTTTTTGATCTCTCCTCCTTGAATTGACCACCATCCTTGATAAAGTGTTGGAGTTCCAGGTATCGGATTTCTTCTGGTGTCAGCCAGCGCTGTGAGAATCGAGGTGCATCAATCAGAAGAAAGAAGCAAAGGACCCCAAGTATTACTGTAGCCATCCCTTCAAGCAGGAATATCCAGCGCCACCCTTCATATCCTCCAACTCCATGCATCTTCGCGATGCCTGCTGCTAGGAGGCCTGAGAACGCGCCCGAAAGTGCGCTTGCACAGTAGAAGAAGGCAATGCGGGTGGCCAGATCTCTCGGCATATACCAGAAGGAACAAAGGTACACTGCACCTGGAAAGAAGCCGGCTCTATTGGAATTAGCAAGTGTCTTTGCATGTTTCTTGGAAGCACATACTCGAATATACCCAGCATGATTCGAACCGCAACTAATCCACCGAAGTTTTGCACCACACCTGTCAGGGTCATTATGATGCCCCAGCAAATGATGAGAATTCCTAAGTAGACTGATGGTCTTGCGAATCTTTTCAAGAGCATATTACTTGGCACCTCTTTTTCATATCAGCATCCACTCATTTTCTTTTGGCTTTCATGCTCACTTACCAAGTAGGACATATGGTATGAAGAATAGGCTGAGTGCTATATTGTACTGGATTCCGCTCAGACCGAGATCCTTTGTGAGACCTGCAATTTTTGCATTCCCAATGTTGGATCTGTCCAGATGAGAAACCAGGTAGAGGACGGAGAGCATAGGTACTAAACGGTAATCGACCTGTGGAAGACCATACAAATTAGCGATCTCTCCTTCACTTGGTCAACCATGTTGACTTACTTTCCGCAAAACGGCTTTTCTTTGCTCTTGAGAGAAGCTCTGGTAAAAATCAGCATCATCAGGAGTCAACCCGAGAACCTGAATGCCATCGATATTTGTGAGGTTGGAGGTATCTTCGACATGGTTCGCTTGGCGAGCTTTCTCGTCAACCAAGTCTTCATCGTCAATCTGAGAGTTTCTCACGGAGGTCATTCTGAAAAATCACCAAATAACCCAAAATTGATGCAGGTTTGCCAGGAAGATCTCAATTGCCGAGACAGTCTCTGTCTCTATATAGTGCCACAGTGCGGGACAATTCCATCCAAGACCGGCCTTAATGCCATGCGCTGTACCCTGCACTCTGCACCCCGCAAAAGCCTATGCACGAGAATGACCTCCATATCCCCGCGTTGGACTCCTTGGCAGAATCGATATGATGGTAGAAGCGACAGAGCCAAGAATTCCCCCACAGCCAAGACGCCTGGAGTTCACTCCACCGGCCATGTGAATGATTTGAGAGGCGCGCAATAGTCCTTAGCTGTGTATACGATCCGGGGGAACCTTGGCACCGTGGTACAATCACTGCTCCGGTTGGGATATTGATATGTTGCTTGATATCCGAACCTGCTTATCCGCGACTTCTCCGGGACTTTTCCGCTATCCGTTTCGATTTGTCTCCATTTTATCAAAAGTCACCGATTATATGGCGGATTATATGGCGGATTATGTGGCGGATTTCATGGCGGATTATTCGATCTATGGATTTTTGGGGACAGCTTCGTTTGCTTTATCTGGATCAAATTAATAATCATTGAATATATGCCTAAGACGCACCAGTTGACAGTGTCATCAAATGTACCTGGTATTAAGGTTCACCCCACATATTGTTCATATCCGAGCCTTGGAAGCAAGCCTGAAGCTTCGCAGGAGATCAAAATCCGACTTCAAGTTGGAAATACAGAGGAAATATGCTGATCTACCGCGAAGCTGAGCTGGCAGACCTGCCCGAGATCCAAGACATCGACACCTACTACGTTCTTCATACCTCGCTTACATTGATGAGATCCCCGCCTCCCTTGGAGACAAACGATGACAAATGGAGTGACCTCAAGAACAGTGGATTACCATTCCTCGTTGCAGTAGACAATACAGCGAGCACCAGTGAGAAGGTTGGTGTCGTTGGGTATACTTATTTGTCACCATTTCGAGGCCATCTCCTCTCCTATGCGCCTACTGTTGAACTAAGTCTCTTCGTGCATCCGGATTATCGATCCCAAAATATTGGAACAAGTCTTCTCCATCGAATACTCGAGCTTGTTAACTATGGAAATGTGCATCACAGGGTTGAACTTAATACTGACCAGGAAACCGGTGTGGAAGATGCCATTCAGGTGAACGCTCGCAGTCGAGTACGGAATATCATTGTCGTCATAGCCGTTGATCCGGAAGGACTATATTCAACTGAGTGGTTGAAAACATGGTATATCCAGCAAGGGTTCAAGGAGTGAGGCAGATTAGAAAAGGTTGGATTTAAAAGGGGGCATTGCTATGTGGCCTTAGGTTCAATTTTAAAAGTCGCGTTCTCAACTAATATCTTAAGGATTGATACTATCTATCTACAGCACTCTACTGTTTCATAAAAGATCTTTGAAGAAACAAATGGAATCTCATAAATGATATTTACGATATGATGTTATTCTCCGAGCTTCAAGCCTTTTCCTGTCCATCGTTTACAATCAATGTCGTGTCATGCTCTTCTCGAGCACGCTGCACCGTCTCTGAATACTTTTTACCTGCAATGAGCCACCATCCAAGTTCTATGATCAAGAATCCACCCACAACCACACAAGTATAGTTCATGTTGGCAGCTGCATCCTCATTAGTAAAACAAGCACCTTCTAAGACCTCATCCAGAGTTCAGGGCTACAATGTACTCACTAGTTGCAGGCATTTCGAAAGGAAAGGAGAAGAAGATGATCGCGAAAGTCAACCAAAGGACGGAGACGATATTGACTAGCATTCCCCAGAATTGGTTTAACGCAAACGGCCCCCGGTGCATTGTCCGACGGAAAAGCAACACGTTCGTGAGGATGGGAACGATGTACGCAAGATTGTTAATTGTGCTGGGAAATTATTAGCTGACATTAATAGCGCCAAGATCTGCTATCAACTGACACTGCTGAACTCATCATTGAATTGAAAGCAGTGCTAGATCCAAGATAAATGCAACCTAGCAGTGCAATAATAACTCCCACGCATAACTGCGCGTTGAAGGGAGAGCCGAGTTTTGGGTGTACACGAGCCCAGCTGAAAGGATTTAGCCTTTTGATGAGATCTAATCGTCAAGGAAACATACACATGGGAAAGTGGAAGACCATTGTCACGAGAAAAGGCCCAGAATACACGACCGGTACCTAGAGAATGATTAGAACGATCGGTATGGGCTTAATGAGGAGGGCAGTTCATACTCAACTGTGAGCCAATCACACAAGGACCAAGTGCAATCCAGACCATGAACACTAAACCAAATGCTCCTCCACGCGTTGAGGTTGCCTGGTTAAAAATCTCCGCCAGCGGTAGACCTGTTCGAGTAGCCGATAAAGAGGAGTAATCTTGAATTGAAAACATCAAACTCAGTAGATACGTGATTCCCGTCACAAATGCGATGGAGAGGGTGATGGCTATTTTTGTATCAGCTTATGTCCAGATATCACTCATGGCAAGTAATCATACCGAGACCAAGAGGGGCATTACGACCAGGCTGTCAAATCTGTTAATATACTGAAAAAGCTCAAAGATTGTGGAAGAGCTCACATTTGGCATTTCCTCTGTGATGTGCTATTGAATCATTCAAATGTCAGCATTGATTCATTCGTTGGATAATTCTGCAATCCTTACCGCGATTCCATCCAGTCCACCCAATGCGTACAAGGGATTGACCAAGCCCGTGATAAAACACATCACATTACTATCCCAACCGGTGTTATTCATCCAAGTTGTAAACACAAACTTGCTATCATTGTGAACTGGGGCCGCCGCTGCTACAGTGACCATCGTGACGAGCCAAGCGATTTGCAAGTAGATCACTACATTATAATATATGATTAGTATCAGCGAAGAGAACTGTCAAGGGTTGAGCTCACGCGAAAATTTATTAATAGCGGGAATGAATCGGTTTCCGAACATGACGATTCCCGATGTGACGATATTAAGGATTTGATATGCGACAAAGGTCATCCATGGCTTCACGACCATATCGTCGTGATAGAGCGCAATTAAGGCCATTATAACAATTGCGTAAATCAGGTTCGTTGAAGCCGTTGTAAAAATCCCTGACATTGTCAGCATTCTGCACATTTTATAATTCCATTTTTGTGTTCCTCACAGCCAAATACCGTGCACCATCCAGTCGCGAAGCTCAAAAGACTGTTGTATCGTTTTGGGGCGATTGCGGCGATCCAATGGTACATTCCTCCTTCGGTAGGATATGCGGATACAAATTCTGCTAGGGAGACACCGACGAAGGACTGGAGAATGAAAACAAGAATAAATCCATAGATAACTACATCTTATTAGCTTGGAATCGTAATTGACAGTACAGGACAGAAATGGGCTTACGCGCGCCAGGACCGCCGGAATTCAGATCAGTAATAAGACCAGTACCAAGACCTTTATATAGTTCACGTCAGCATGATACAAGAACTTGAATTGAAATGCGAGCTATACGGGAAACACACCTGTCCATGAGATTGTACAGTTGGCAGCTAAGCCAATTAAGCTCCATACCGAGAAATGTCGCTTCAATTCTTGTTTATGGCCTTGATGATGATCAGAAACGATAGCTATTGTTTGGAGAATAGCAAATTCATCATACCCATTTGAGCCAGTCGCAATTCATCCCGATCTAGAACCTTAGCAACTTCCACAACTTGCTTGCCATGCGCCTCTCCAGGCGATGTAGTAGCCTCGACTCCACCCATTTTAAGATGAAAAAGGGTTGTATGGAGGGAGAAAAAGAAGAAGAAAAAAATGAAAACAAGTCACCCCCGCAGCCGTGCGATTGTTTTAACAGGCGTATATCATGCTGTTATCGATCTGCAGCTCTTATCGCTTCGCACCGGTCATTTCGTGCACTTGGCCGACTTCGCCGGTTTGATAGCCGGAGAGGGGAAGCGGGGGCCAATCATATTGCGGAATGTGTGGCCCGTCGCGCTGCATTGTGGCTTTTTGCACCGGTGATCAAGGTTATTTTTCCGGTTGACAGGTGGAGGTGGCAAGGGTTGATAACATTTTAGATTAGTTAGTCGATATTCTTGTATAGTTGGAGTGGAAGTTTTGGTTGTCGCTAACCCAGATGGTAAGCTTGGTGCGTCCCTGAATGCTCATTGGCAACAATGTGGGGCATAAAAAGGAAAACAAATGAATCTAGCCCTGGAGCCAGTTGCCGACTTGAACGTTTGAGGCACTGGTTCAAGGTCCACGGGTACCCATACATAGGACTGTGATTACATGTAGGATATGACCCTTTTACTACTCAGGTTTCTGTGGTTTTTTTTTCTGCCACCGCGTGGCATAAACAGAGAGCCCAGGCTTTGCCTACTCCTACAGCTTATCCCTAGGTAGGGGCCAGGGCCGCCAGTTGTCTATAAACAATTTGAACTATGGAGCAGCTAGCCTTCCTTCCCCGTAGGTAACCCCGTAGGTACTTACATAGAAAAAGGTGTAGTACATCCAGATGTCGGTCACATGTAGATGCTACTGACTGAGCCCTGTCTTTAAGTATGTGGACATCTCAGAGGATGTGAACACACCTGCCAAGCACTTGAGTGCTGGGACATACATTTCCCAATTTCGCTGCTACTGTATCATGCGAAGTGCCAGTGTGGCACGAGGACTTTTATACATACTACCTAGGCAAATTTGAGGTGTTGACCAGAAGAGCGCCGCGCTACACTGAACTAGCCCAGACTCGGAGCGGCATATTGAAATTTGACATAAGTGGTTCCAAGGTTCATATGAGATATCAAGATAAGAGGGAATCTCAGTGGGAAAAAGAAAAAGAGAAAAAGAAAGGAATTTTCACTTTACTAGTAAATGTTATCTTTTAGATTTAAATCATGACAACCAGACATCTGAACACTGCATGTGTCTATTGGCGCAGTGGGATTGTGATAGTATAGCGACTTCAAGTTGAAGTATGGACATCTGGACGTTCGGCTGATGTAGTAGTTGTAGTAATTCAAGTTAGTACGGGTGGCCCAGTTGACGGCCAGATTTATATGCAAGTGCCACTGGCAGTGGGTACGGACTTGGATACTAGGTACTAGTATTGGACCCTGCATGAGTTTAAGATTACATATGTACGCCCCAATCTATCCTTTTATTTGATAAAGCACCTGAGGGTGATTTCTCTAAGAAACTACTAGTTGGGCATCTGGATACCACTCATAATAAACTTAAGTTCATCATGATTCAATCCTGTCCCGGGCAATCGGCAAGAAACTCTCAAGAACTTGAAATAAGCAAACCTAAACGATGTTTTTGTCCGAGACGTAAAGTTAATCAGGCAAATCTCCATGCTCACCCTCAAACATTTGAATCTGGGAATGACTCAGAAGATTTCACTCGGGCACACTAGGCACTCAAGTGCTACTATCACCAGAGGTGGTTCTTCGGAAACAACCCGACACCATAATGAAGATCTTAATTTCTCAGAGATTGTCTCAAATGGAGAGAATTCTATTATTGTTTTGAAATGAGCCGATTGTTCTACATACTAAAACTATGTACAGGTAGTGGTACATAGCCCCGGGGGCTAAAGAAGACTGCTACTACTCTGCAAACCGTAACCCCGTGATGCAATGGGGCCGTTGCATAGTCTGCATAGCCGCAATAAAAACTAGAATCATCCTGAGGGTCATATCGTGGTGATATTTCAAATCCTGTATTCTCAGCGAAGAAATCAAGGATATCTGGAAGACTTCTACTTCAAGTGGAACTTGAGGTCTGACTCAGACATTCATGTTGTTTTATGGATGAGCGGTTACTAGTAGTCTATGAGATCTGCGGAAGTCTCTATAGCTAGAATATAAGATCAAGTTTTACAGACTGTCTGTCTTCAAATTAATGTGAACCTCAGAATATTCCATAAATTAACTACCGCATCCAAGTGTTATGGTCAACTGGTCAATCAGCCGGTAATTTATGACGTTTCAGGCCTCCCACGTCCGTGAGAGTGAGAGTGAGACCCTGATTGCGCCATTTCCTTCCACTCAGCATCATCTTCACAGCCCTTTGAAGACCCTGAACTAAAATAGGTCAAGCAATTACTAAAGCCATTTTCGATATAGAATGTTCTGCATGTTTTCAAATTGTCCAGAAAAACGATCATGATGTGTCTAGGTGGGCCTTAGAGTAACAATATTTGAACATTTGAACTCTTGTACTCACTGGCTTTCAAATGTTCATAATCATAAAGTTCAAAGTACTTTGTACTAGACAACATTTGAACTTGAATATGATTAATGCATCATTTCCACAACTTCGTATAGAAAGTCCGAACTCGGATACCTCGGATACCTCGGCTTGATCAATAGGTCAACTGGTAAAAGGGGGCTGTGGGTTACAGGTGAAAAGGTCCAGAAGTCTTTAAATTTTCCCCGAGACAAAAGTTATGTAAAAAAAAAACATCCATTTGATCAAGCTCACCTAGGCACTGTTGTGGTTTTGGCTTAGCTTTACTCTAATTTTTGGAGAATCTCGATCATTGTTCCAGTACTCCGTGTTGACAAGCCAATCCCATTGAGATCCCTGGAGATCAAGTGGACTTGTTAATTTTTTTCCCTCGGATGGAGGATCAGAGCCTGAAAGTGTGTGTTGTTCCAGATTCAAGTTCAAGTTCCGGTTCTACTCCACTTTTTCACTTACATTTCGCCCCCAATGACCCGAAATTCTCGAATCAAATTCAGATTCATCAAAACGTCACACCTGAAGTTTTAACATCGTCACGATTCGGGCCTTGTGTTAGCTCTGTGTAGTGGTTTATGTGTAACAATCCCTGTCAATAGGCTGAATTTGTACCATTGACGTCTGCTCCATTACTACTAGTATTAATGTGAAGATTCTGCTACTAGTGGCCTTAACTATTATTCAGGATTTCAGCCTGACGGAGAGGCCGGTAATTAGGTGGGTAATGAGAGAAAAAGAACCTCTAAAATGGTCTAAAATGGGGGTGAGAAGAGTATTTGACCCACAATAAAGAGAAAAAACCCCAATTATGCCAAGCCTTGACTATTCTGAGCCGCATTTTCTGTTCCGGTAGTTGATCTTGTGCCTGGATTCGACTTCATAGGAGTCCACCCCTGAAAGGCTAGAAAGAAGGCTGCACAATAAATACAAAAAAGCCCCGCTGAACTTGTTCAGGCACCCACTCCAAATCCACTGGTACTCTCAGGCACCGAGTCTATGCATATACCACATAAGAAAAAGGGGCATGCGTTGGAACCTTATGCATGACCATGCACAAACTTGACCTGTGCAACGTGGGACTACGACAAAAATGTATTAATTTCAACCTTCATATTCCACGCGAAGCCACCTGGGCACCAAACTCAACAATCACACAGCCTCGCTATGGTGCAGGGGCCGTAAAGAAGTGAGACCATGTGGAGATCATCTCGCACGGAAGCCCGGAGAGATGACATTTTCCGAGTTGATGGATCCCATTTAGACCCATTTAGTCTGGTCTAAACCAATGAATCCTTCGAGATGATCATTAGGTAAGAGGAAACTATATGGATGGATGGACCCTGGGGGACCCTCATTTGGCCTATTTGGGGAATTCACCGCATGACTCCAAAGCCAAAGAAGAATGGATGAAACCCTGGTCGCTCCACCAAGCATTTACCAAGATCAATTGCAATAGCTTGGGGCTGAGTGGCGCCTGGTTTCCCCATATTCTATTTATTACTTTGGACCTCTCGCGTCAGGCTCCAAGGATTCTGTTAAAATTCCTTTGCTTGTCACTTGTCACCTTTGACTACATTCGGATTCCCTCAACCCGTTCCCATGCTGCCTTCAGAGCTGGCTTCCACATTCATTTCTGACTAAAAATCATATTAAGTCAGTCAAACTCCAATCTGAGACAGACTCGTGTCAGGCAAACAGGAAAATTTCCGACTCGTTGATCACACGAAGATCATCCAAGATGATCGCGGGACGGACTACGGAATGCCTCAGCTTTGTCTGCTGTGCGCTTCCATCTCGCGCTATTAAGAGTACTTTGAACTGGGATATCGCACGCAAGTTCTGGTTCTCCTTTCTTTTCATCGCCGTTGTCTGCGCCAAAATCCTCCATATCTACGCCCATTGGGATTCAGTACCTCTCAAGAAACTCATTCTATGGGGACCTACATTCTTTCTTCAGGACTTCTTTTTCTTACTCGCTGGTTATGCTTTGACTCAGAACTTCAAATGGATGGCCGCTCGAATTTTGGCGGGTCTGGTTGTGGTGGTGACCAGGTGAGTGATGGGTACTATAATTGATACTTGGTGAAATGTCTCTAATCTTCCATGTTTAATAGTCTTACCCTCTCCATAATGGCCGCTGCGAATACCTCTTTCTACTTCCTAACCGGTGCAGAGATCCATTGGCGCCAAGCGGGCTCTGTGAACCGCGATCCTGCATCTATCAACACGCTGCTGACAGGTCTTACTGGTCTGGTCATTGTCGAAGCTATCGTCCTTGTGGCATCCATTTTCGCCTCTCCCTATCCTTATAACGGCATGGAAAAAATGATGAATGTATGGGGTCAAGCCTTGGGCGCAATCTCTCGACCTGCACTTGCAGCATCCAAGCCAGCGGTGGACGCCATGATTGACCGATCTAGACCCCACGTTGAACGTTTGCTGAGTCGCACTTCGCGCGGCAGAGAAATCTTCTCCAAGATGAAAATCTATGAGCCGGTACCTCTTACTGACTATGATGAGGAGGACAAGATCATGTCCAATTCCGCTCCACTACTCGACCAGCCGGAGCAAGCGATTCAAACTCCAGAAAACCACCGCTGGAACCACAAGCAACTAATCTTGGGTGCGCTCATAATTGCAGCTTCTCTTTTTGTCTTCATCCTACGATGCTTCCGTCCACAGAACGAATCCTACAACTTCCTCTCCCAGACTATCATTCTGTCACCTTTTGTCGGTGTCAATTCGGAGGATAAGCTCCAGAGTATCACTGGTGAACGTGAGCTGCGTGGAAAACTCACGGCGCTCACCACTCCGCCAAAGTTCGATTGGTTACCCGAGGGCGATTGGCCTGGTTTCCGAGACTGGGAGACTTCCTCTAATGGCACATCCCAATACAAGCACTATAACTCGACCGAAGATCCACTGCACATCTCCAATCTGGATCAAGATGTGATTGAACCACTCCGTGAAGTCCTCAAGAATAATGAGGTTAAGATCAAGCACGTCCTAGTTTTCAAGATGGAAAGCACCCGCTACGATGTCTTCCCGCTCCGAAAGGGTTCCTACGTTCACGACCGCATTCTTTCTTCTTACCAGGATAAGAAGATCCCCAAGGACGTGAAGAAGCGTCTCGCTAATCTTACTCATACCGCCGAACGTCTCACAGGAACTGAGTCTGGTTTCCACAAAAACGGAACAGTTAAGCCATACGGTGGTATCTACGCTTCCAATTCGTACACTTCGGGAACATTCACGTTAAAGAGTATCGAGGGTACTACCTGCGGTCTTTCGCCACTGGTCATGGACTTCAACCACGAGTACGAGCATCACATTTACCAGCCGTGTTTGCCTCAAATTCTCGATGTCCTCAGTGCCAATACAAACGACAGCTCAAGCAGCGATTTCACCAACTGGCCCTGGCACCCTCACTTCATGCAGTCGATTACCGATTCCTACGACCACCAAGACCGCCTTCTCCCGGCTCTTGGATTCGAACCCGAGAATATTTTGACTTTGGAGTCTATCGAAAAGAAGCACTCCAATGACTCCTCGTTTACCGAGAAGTTCAACTTCTGGGGCTACCCGGATCACGACCTTGCTGATTACTTCCGTGGTATCATTAACCAGGCCGAGGAGAAACATGAGCGTCTTTTCGTCGAGCATCTGACAGGTCTCACCCACCAGCCTTGGGATACACCTGGAGGAAAGTACAAAGAGCTGATCAGTTCCTCCTGGGGTGGAAATAACGATGACGTGAACAAATACCTCAACACAATCGGCATCAATGATAAGTGGTTCGGCACGGTTCTGGACATCCTTGAAGAGACCGGCGTTGCCAACGAGACCCTGGTCATTATGACTGGCGACCAGTATGTATACCATTATCCCATCTCCTGAATCTCTTTACTAACTTGGCTCTAGTGGAATCTCCCTTCTCGAGAACAACGGCATCACTCCTTACGACAACCCCCACGTGGCTAATTTCCACGTCCCACTCGTTATCGTGAGTCTCACCTATAATAAACCTTTCACAACAAAGCCATGCTAACAAGGCAAAATTATAGTCCAACCCTCGTCTTCCTCCTATCGAGGTAAACTCCTCGGTAACATCAATTCAAATTCTCCCAACAATTCTCGACCTCCTCAATGAATCCGGCTCCCTCGACGAGCAAAGCGAACGCGCCATCAAAGACCTCCTCCCAATGTACGAAGGTCAATCAATCATTCGACCAATCATCAACCAGACAGAAGAAACCCGAAACTGGCAGTTCAGCGTAATGAACACCGGAGGCTCCATGGTCGCCATGCGCTCCGCCGGAGAACTCTACCGACTAATCGTCCCACTCGTACCTGAGGTAGAGTGGCGATTTACCAATCTCGAAGTTGATCCTCACGAAGAGAAACCGATCAAGTCATTTGATCTCGAAACACTCCGATCAGCAATCGCCATGAAATATGGTTCCGAGGCCGTGGGCTGGCTCAATGAAGCTGCTCGGGCGGCTCAGTGGTGGGTTGCTGATAATTGGCGCCGATATGAATACTCGCCATCATAATGGGTTGAAATTCCTTAACAAAACATCCTGCGAAATATAGCCCCATACTCGCAGGATCTATTCCCCGCTCTTTTCTCTTTTTTTGTGTACTTTACGGACTCAAGATTCTCCGATGACTCCGATCAGCATGGCGCATGGCATACAGATATCCGGTTTTCTTTTTTTTTATTTGCACATACTTGGTTCTAAATACCTTTGCATTGGGTGGTTCTCATATTTTCAACTTTTCATGAATTGAATCTAAAAATATCTTGACTCGGAATCTATCCTATTCTGGTAGCTGAAATTGTAATGTTATCAGTGTCCCAGTATTCAGTCAATGGCCACTGGCATGTTCGGGTGACGAACTCTCAATATGTACACCTGGGCATAGTCCTGTCACTGGGATTAATTTTTCGTCTTAGGTGTACAGAAATCACTCAATACTCCGAGTCGAAGTACACATTATAGAAGCAAGTAAATCCCCATAAATCCCCTCATAAACCTCGGACCGTATCAGAATATCGAATCCAGGCACGCAACAGATGCACACCATTATCGGCGACTTCGCTCAGTCCATAGGCGAGTCGAAAAAATCACACTGCAGGGAATGTGTCATAATCTGCAGGTTGAATCCCGGGCACCGAATCAGGAATAAAGATACGAATCTGAAGGCAAGGTGGTGCCGATTGTAGATCCGATCGGCGTCAGCTCGGATGAACCATCAATTCCAGCCCCGCGAACACCCAATTCCACTCGAGGATTTTTAACATCTCATTTTCAAGTCCCTCACATGTGCAAGTTTGTCCCGCCATCATGACGCAGAACGAGAGGGAAAGATCGTGGCTTTTTGATTTTAGATCTTCTGAGACGTTTGTTGTGGTGACAGTTAGCATCGCTATTTTTACGGTGAGTACGAATGAGTGCGGAGGGTTTGTAGTTTGTTCTTGATGCTTCGGTACATATATTTTCTTGATTTTTGGGAATACTAATGTTCAATTTCCCATAGGATGCCTTTATATATGGAATGGTGAGTACGAGGTCATTCATTACAAGATCCCCTTGAATCCATGAAGCTGAACACCTTTAGATTGTTCCCATTATCCCGGTAGCACTGGTTAAACGGGTAGGCGCCCGTCAGGAAGATGGTAAGAATCACCTGAATAACAGGTTGGCGTTGCATATCTCTAACTTGAACATGTGAAGCACAATCTCTGGTATCTATCTTGTTAGCAGTATACGGGGCAACTCTACTCATCGGATCTCGTGAGTAGCAATATCAACTTGAACCTGACAATTCCACATTAATCTAACCCCATTAGCCCTTTTTGGATATGTCGCAGACCAGTCTCGACTCCGAAGACTTCCCTTCGTCATTGGTCTTATTGCACTAGCAGCCTCGACTGCCCTTTTTGCATTCGCAACTAGCTTCCCTGTTTTCGTTCTTGCTCGCGGTCTGCAAGGCTTATCCGGTGCAGCAGTTTGGGTCGTTGGCCTTGCTATCGTATCGGATAGTGTTCCACCGGAGCGTGCGGGTGCTGCAATGGGATATACGACCATTGGATTAACATGGGGATTTGTCCTCGGTCCGATGATGGGTGGGTATATCTATGAGTATATGGGATGGTATGGGGCTTTTGTTGTTCCCACAGCCTTGATTGTGTTGGATGTAGTACTGCGATTTTTGATGATCGAACTGCCGAGTTAGTATACCACCGCTTTCTGGGGGGAGAGGAACGAACTTTCTAATATTTACTTTCTAGGGAAATCTCGTCAGGCTAAACATGAATCGCACTTGCATCCGTCGCATTCTGGGAATGGGGTGAGCTCATATGACACCTTCAATGGCGAAGGTATTCAGAGCCCGGGTCATGCGTCATTATGCCAGGATCATGACAGTGAAGGTGCGCCACTTCTGCTATCCTCAAGATGTGCAGACGGAGGACAGAAGAAAGCCACCATTCTCAGTCTCTTGGTCTCCCCACGAATGCCAGTTGCTATGCTAGCCACTTTTATAATGGCAACAATGTTTGTTGCTCTGGAAACTGTGAGTATTAGCAGTCCTCGTCTATTCCATTTAGAATCAACTAACGGCATCCCTGAATAGACACTTCCATTGTATACGATGGAGACATTCAACTGGGGTTCTAGTGGAGCCGGCTTGGTTTTCCTGGCAGTCTCTCTGCCCACGTTTGGCGGCGTTTATATTGGCAAAGCAATTGACCGAATGGGCGTTCGTTCTATGGGGACCATAGGATTCGGAATGGGATGTCTTGCCTGGGTCCTTATGCGATTTATCACCAGCAATACACCTGGGACCATCGCATCGCTAGTTATACTTTTGCTGCTTCTGGGATCATCAATTGCAGCAATTGAAATCACTGCAATGACAGAGGTGTCACAGGTAATTGGGGACTACGAAATTGAAAACCCAGGGGCCTTTGGCGATAAGAGTCCAATTGCACAAGGCTATGCGCTGTTTAACATGTCCTTTGCTGGAGGCCAGTTGATCGGACCACTTGTGGCTGGTGCAATCCGGGTGCATTCTGGCTGGAGTACCATGACTCTGGTACTTGGAGTCATGTGTGCTGTGGCGGCAATCCCGTTTGTGTTTTTCAGTGGCCCACCACAAAAGAGGAAACAGGCTGAGGTCAACAGCAGTGTTTGATGTGCGACGTACAAAATCCCTCACAAATTCCCATTTCATAAGGAAGACGTTCTTGCTTGGTGGAGAGCGAGTGTCCTTGGAATTTGCTGAAGGTGCTTGTTGCGAGACTATTCTCCTCTTCCTGTCAGCGTTAAAGCTTACATTAACTTCGGGTCGCTTTGCGAGGTATGTCTAGGCGCCTTTGGGTTGATGAGTTACGAAACACGATGTGATGGCTCCGAGTGGGCCCAGTGATCAGATAGAAAAATGAAACATCCTCTTTCTGCACTTCCTTCTTCCTATGTCAATTCCCAGGAATGATAGAGAGAGTGAAATATCATGTGGTCGCTTATGGTAAACACTAGTGTAGTTAGTAATGTAGCAGCAGTTGGCAAATTCTGAATGGGTTATAAAAGCGCTCTCCAGTCCCTTTCAAGTTGCATTGGAATCAGGGCTGTATCCGGTTTGGGACGTGCAATGTGTGGCGGAACTGAGATCCTGATCAACCTAGAGAATTATAGTCAAACTGGTCACTAAGACCCATTTCCAACTCCACAGTAGATTGCTATCTATTATAGCTTGTAAATACTGGGATCGTGACAACCTAGCTCCTGATATCGATAGTTTCCATATAAATAACAAAAGAAATAGGTGGGCTTCCGCCACGCCAACTTGAATCAATTTGAACGGAGTGTGCTGGCCTGCAGACCCACACCGTGATGAGGAGGGTCTCGTTTTGACTGCACTGCTTGAATAGCATCGGATGCGATAAGTCTCTTGCCCACGAGGTGACGAATATATTCCATCGTCCATTCTTGACATCGTTTATTGGTCGTCTAGTCGAGAAGAAGGATTAGCAAGGTTGTTAGCATCGGTCGCGCCCGCCGAATCATAAATACATCTGTAACTGGTGCTAGGAAGTTCTCGCTGATCCCTGGAGTTGGAATCTCCGCTGCCGAAGCCTCAATAATATCACTTGGTGTTGCATCACTGCTCTTCTCGCCAGGTTGAGAGTCGACTATGTTGGCCGAATCAACCTCTCCGATGGGAAAAATTGTGTATTTCTCTGTAGAGTCCGAGGGAGAATGGTTTCGCTTGAATTCCAGGAAATATCCGACCATCGGAGCTCCTACCGCTTGTATCAACGTTCCATGATCGGGATCTAGCTCGGTAGGGATAAAGATGGCAAAGTGTGCTCTCTGAGCCTCACTATCTCGCGATGTGATAAGAGAAATTGTTCTGGATGTCATGGTGGTGTAGTCTATGTGAAGAGAAAGGAGCCGGGATCTATAGCTATACTGAACTGACGTCAGGCGAGCACTTGGCAGCACGATGCTTGATGCGGGGTAACAAACACCGTTATTTCTTGGGTGACTGGACTCGCTGGAGATCCTCATGTGTTACCTTCTTCGGATCCTGGGGTAGGATTCATTTTTCCTTCCTTCATAGCAAGATTTCAAGGTTTCAAGTTTTCAAGTTTCCATGAAAAATGACAAAAGCCGCCGGAACCAGATTCATAATCAGCGTGTCCATAGTAGTTCCCCGCATTTGCCCAGATTTACCAGGCGCCACATCTTCACAACCTTGGAATACACCTTGACTTATGATTGCTCAGTTGAACATTTTGAAGGACTACTATATCAGGAAGAAGAATTTCCCTGCACCTTTTATTCCAAATTCTTGAATCAAGTCTATAACATTGGGCGTGGGAATTATGACAATTACTATTCTACCATATCGCCATCATCTTCACCAACATTTTGAACATTTGACTCAAAAGATACTTATAAGATATCCTTTCTCATAAATACCGTCTTCGTATCCCAAATCTTGTCATTCTTGTCTTTGATGTTGTAAAAGTTCAGGACAGTTTTAATGAGACGATATCCCCTTTGGCCATACCAGACCTCATTTGGGACCTATACAATTTGTCAGTATCCATTGCATCTCTACAATGTCACCTTCCTGAATTATAATGCTAGACCCACCTTTGGTATAGCTCCATAGCTAATTATTGCAAAGTCCTCCCGCATTTGATCATCCTTTTCGACAGTATCGAGAAGCAAGGTTTTCGCATTCAGAGGCTCTCGGATTGCCATCTCCTCAACCTGGTCCATTGCCGCTCGACCAATACCTTGACTTTGTAGACACTGAGTAACGTAGAAAGTCTTGATCCAAAATGCGCCACTTGAAGGAATATCTAGTTCAACGTCTTTAGCGTCTGGATTTTCCGAGTCCAATGAGATGTGTCCAATTGGAGTGAAGACTGCCTGCGATGGCTCTCGAGGGACGGCATTGATAGAAGTAGCCGTGTCTTGAATTGTCTCATCGGCCTATTCATTGTCAATATGCCTCTTGCTGAATGATGGTATCATCCATGACCTGGAGCACGTTTTACCTTAGGACCAAGCAATGTCCTCAATTGCTGAGTTGTCGGCGAGTCATCGGGTGGGATGACCTTCAGAACAATCGGTCAGAATCGTCGATATTTGGGATCAATTATGACATCTGGAAGAATTGCGCGGCAATTTCCTGATTTTCACTCACAATCCAGTATATGCATTTTCCACCCGTCTTTTGTAGTTCTCGCCATTGATGCTCGACTTTCTCCATGTGCCAACTACACTTGATCCGCTGCTTTAGTAAAGCCTGTCTGTGAACAACAGACTCGGGATCCCAAGGGATCAACAAAACATTGGATTTAGAGCTCATTGTCACGAATGAGTTGTCAAGTATTTTGAATATTGGAATATTCAGGGGAGACGATTTGAGGCTTGAAAGCGGGAGAGTTCAAGATAACAAGCCGTCTTACCAAGCGCCCTCAAGTGAGTCAGCTCTGGAGGTTATACCCGTGATTCTGGACTTTAAGACTCGGATCTTCGGACTGGGAATATCGGCCGAGCCGTCTGACATTCGAGGTCTCCGGCTCCACACTCTACTATTTTTATTGCTGTGGGAATTGAAATTACATCTAATTCTCAGATAGTATGGATACTCATCCGATTCCTGGACGAATCAAATAATAAATAGTTGTAAATTTAAAGTATCAACACGCTGCGCTATCTTCACTGTATCTCAATCGTTTATTACACGTGTGCAAAATATCAGACATCATCAACGTCCACCTCTATACATCATCACCCTTGACACGTGTCTCCTCATTATACCACTTTGAGAAGGCCCGAGTGGGGATATTCGACTCAAACATTGCGTCAATCTCCAATGCTGTACGGCCCTTCATTTCAGGCACTACGAGCCAGGTCACAGCAAAGGCTATGAAGCACAAACCAGCATATACAAAGCCTGTCTTGCCCTTCAGATCGCCTTCATCGGTGTTGTAGATGTAAGGCAGAACGAGGTTGAAAACAACGTTTGACAGCATGTAACACAGGACTCCCACTCCCTGGGCCTTAGCGCGAAGACGTAGCGCAGAGGCCTCTCCAGAAACAGCGAATGAGGCGGGCCAGGCGCCCATTCCACAGACAGCCACAACAGCCATCATGCAAGCAGCGGTGTACCTAAATAATTTGTCAGATATGTATACCAAGGGGCTGATGTGGAAGGTTCTGGAATAATAAAGGAGTCACTTACCAAATGACAACATCGCCAGACCAGCATCCCGCAATTCCCATGCTCAACCAAATTACAGTCGAAATTGCCAACGTAGTAAGCATCAAGCGACGCCGCCCAACTCGGCTCATGAGCCAGACACCAAGGCCATTAGCAATGAGACCCAAGATAATGCCGATGATTAGAACGATAAGACTGAGAGATGAAGACATTCCGACAACTTGCATAAAGTAGCTGGCGCTTGACAAAAGAGGAACACCGAAAAGACTGGGTACTGTGAATGCAAATGCCACGATAAGGGTTCGTCGACGGTTCACGCTGTTAAAGCAGTCCCAGTAAGAGAGCTCAGCTGATAGATGCTCTTCCTGAATGATTGATAGACGCAGCTCTTCAACAAGAGGGGAAACATCCTTCTTGGAACCATGAAGTTTCTTCATGGCGCTGTGTGCTTCGTCGTACTGCTCCTTGCGCAGCAAGTGAGAAGGACTTTCCGGCATGATGACAGCGATTATGAATGGAAGCAAAGTAGTGACCCACTGCGTGCCAAAAGGGATCAGGTAAGCAGCTGATGAGTCCTTATGCTCACAACCATAGATCACAGCAGCACCAATGAGTTCACCAAGAAGCATAAATGTTGGTGAAAGTGCCATCGCAGATCCTCTCAAGGTAGTTGGGACAGTCTCGGAAAGATATGTTTGGGCACCAGCCATGGCACCACCAACTCCCAGACCCTGCACGGCTCGCCCGACGAGGAAGGTTCCTCGTCGAGAATCCATCGCAGCGGGTAGGTTCGCGCAGAACGCGATCGCGATACCGACGGCACAAACCACACAACTAACTGCAAGAGACCAGCGACGACCCAGTCGATCTTGAAACCATCCAGCGGCGGCAGCACCTGCCATCGAACCGATTGGGCCGAATGCACTCCAGATAGATAGCCATGATGAAGGGATGATGAAAGAGCCGTCGTAAAGCTCGCCGAATTCTCGTTTGAAGTAAGGGACAGCGGTGATGGTTCCAAGGATAACAGTATCGTAGCCGGTGAGTAGGAAGGCAAGTGCTAAGCCGAGCGAATAAGCGGATAGTTTGGGATATTTGCGAATTTCGTCAAGTAGTCGTGTCTTCTCCTGAGTCTCAGTAGTATAATCCGGGGTAGAAGAAACCACAGTAGGTTCTTTATCTTCTCGCAACTCTTGGTGATCTGGTAATTCCGATGACATTTTGATAGACGACATCGAGGTATCTTCTCGAACTATGAAAATGGTCAGATATTTCACCACCTCCCCCGACAGGTCCAACCCATGCACTTCTTATACTGGTGGGTCCTTATCAAGACTTAGCCACCATGTTATGTTGGGATAAAAGACGCGTGGGGAATTTCCCAATCAGATCCAAGTATCCAATCATTTCGCCACTATTGGCTTGGATTTATCATACTTCATTCTCGAAGGTCTTCGCTTCGAACAATTTGAACGCGGGGAGAGCATTTGAAGATCTATAAAAGATGCCGACGCAGCCAATGAACACTCTTCACTTGCCGATACCACCAATCATCGTGAGAGATGGAGTCTAATCTACTATCATTGTCTCCACTAACAACGCGTGACTCCTAATTTTTATTCCTAGCGAGGATATTGTTGAGATTATTGAATTTGCCGAGGTGTTTAAAATTGGATCATGGAACAATAATGGATCTGGACACATTTCAAACTCACTGGTGGAGACTCGGAGTTCAAGTTCTCCAGGAATTCGCTCCTATATAAAGACTTTGACCTCGGGACGCCGCGGGAGTTCGAACATTTTTCACGATTATCTCAACTTGAACTGGGCTCGGAATAACCTGGAACATTCATAACCAACATGGATATCTCTCGAATTATTAAGCCTTGGTTGCGCCAACCTCACAAGACTTTTGTCTTCGCCAATGCCACCATCATCGATCCCGTCGAGGGAACTTTGATTCCCAATGCGACTGTCCGCGTCTCCGAGGGCAAGATTGTTCAAATCGACACCACCGACTCAGCTACTGTTAAGGAAAATGTCCCCGAGGAGGATATTATCGACCTGAGCGGAAAGTACTTATGTCCGGGTCTGATTGATTGTCACGTTCATATCGCCGTCGTGCCGGGAGAGACCGATTTGCGAGCCTACAATGATATGTCGGAGCGAGTCAGTCTTACTCGGCAACCACATGTCCTGAGAACTATGATTCAGCGTGGTTTCACATCGATTCGAGACTGTGGTGGTGCTAGTTTGGCTATGAAGCAGGCTGTCGAAGACGGTGTCCCTCCCGGTCCTCGTATGTTCATTGCTGGATTTGCGCTTTCTCAGACAGGTGGTCATGGTGATATGCGTGGTCCCCACAATGATCAGTTGTGCTGTGGTGGCTCCATCTCTGGTATTAGTCGAATTGTGGATGGCCCGGCTGAGTGTTACAAATTTGCCCGAGATGAGCTTCGTCAAGGCGCGGACTTTATTAAGATCATGGGAGGAGGTGGTGTGGTGAGTTCCAGTTAGTTAATAATATGTCTGGATATGGCTGACTAGATACTCCTACAGGCAAGTCCCACAGATCGCATTGAGCATGTCCAATTCTCCGATGAGGAAATCAAGGCTATCGTCACCGTGGCCAAGAATGCAGGCACATACGTCACAAGTCACAGCTACACTCCCCAGGCAATTCAACAAGCCATCAACCTGGGCGTGCGCGGAATCGAGCACGGAAATCTGATCGACCTGGAGACAGCCAAGCTAATGGCTGAGAAGGGCACATTCCTCACACCAACCTTGATCGCCCATGTTATGTCCAAGCAGATGAACTTCCTGCCTGCTGAAAGTGCTGCTAAGAACGACGAAGTTCTCGAAAAGGGACTCCGCGCAATGAAGATGGCCGTGGATGCCGGAGTTACGGTCTGTTTCGGTACTGATCTTCTGGGTCCCATGCATTTCGCCCAGAGCAAGGAGTTCTCTGTTCGCAGCAAGGTCCTCACCCCTCTCCAAATCCTGCGCAGTGCAACAATCAATGCTGCTCGCCTTGTCATGCGGGAGGACGAATTGGGTCAGATTAAGGAGGGATTCACTGCGGATATGTTGGTTCTGAATGCTAACCCGCTTGAGGATATCACTGTCTTGGATCGGGCCGAGCAGAGCATTCTGAGTGTTATTAAGGATGGCAGAATTATGACATCCCGATTGGAAAAATTGGTAGCTGAGCACTAGTGAGGGAATTAAGTTTCTCAAATAGTACACGCAGCTGTGATACTGCGATAATTAATGTTTCAAAATTCAATTGGCATAAGTACATGTGCAGGATATAACACTGCATGCAGATGGTAGTGGTGAAGTACACGGGTCAACAAGTACCCTAGTAAAACATGAACCAAGGAGGTTATGACGTTCTAATTACAACAAATATAGAGGGCGTATAGACAAGAATGCATCATCCGTGACAAGAAATGTGAGTGTGCAATGCAAAGACGTGGTGGCGCCCTTCAGACATGAGGGCCCAATGTTTCATTATTCCAACAAATTCCGGCAAATCCCAACATCTAAGAACGTCAGGTTCGAACTCAGTGGTTCTTGAAGGTGTCCTCCGTACCGTTGCTTCCAGAAGCCAAGCCAAGGCCAGCTTCACCAAAGTCGCGGTAGACACGGTCGCGAGCTACGGATCGGTCTTTGCGAATGGTAAGGCAGTTAATGCCAAGGAAAGTAGTGATGCGGTTGATAACCAGAACAGCCCAATGCATGTAGATCACAAGTGCAAAGACCAAGTATAAGCGCAGGTACCAAATTTCGAACCAGGCGCTAACCATTGGGAAACCAAGGCGAGGCAGGTTGGCAAGTACAGCACCACCGATGAGGGGCGCCTGCAGGACTGTCCAGTAAGGGAATGGTTGGCGCAGAAGGTGAGCGAGAATAATCATGGTGGTCATACGACCAAAGACGAAGGAAATGACCCAGCAGTAGAGAACCAGGTGGTTATTGACCAGGAGGTACGAGTAAGGCGAGAAGAGCCAGGCAACATTGCAGATTGTGAACAGAATCATTGGCACCCATTCCTTGAGCAGAGGAGTGAAGGGTAGGCCCTGCTTCTTGCGAGCAGCATAGACGTTCATCACGCATCCTGGCAAGTGGCCAAAGAAGAAGCCGCCAACAAGAATCGGCACCCACAAGTCCTTGACAGAGTTGGTGCCGAAGATTTGGGGGAGATTGATGAGATCAGTAATTGGCTGCGCCCAGATGCCGGGTCCCCAAATGCCCGAAGCAATCATGATGCTGATAGCAATGAGAAGTCCCTCAGTGGGGCCATTGAAGTAACCCAGGTACAAGGTGTGGGTGTGGAAGGTTTCCCAGGTCGAGAAGTACATCGCCAAGCAGGGCACAAGGGCAGTGTATGCACCAAGCTGGGAAGCACCAAATCCCATGGCGGCAGTCTCCAAAAGACTAGCAAGAGTGCAGTTCAAAGAGTCGATTCCATGACTGGTGTTTTGATTAGCAATCTATCCACGGCTGGCTCAGGGACGGTACGAACTCAAAAAGTTCTCCCAGCCCGCTGGAAGTTCCTGTCCTCCGTGCTTGTTTACCGTCGACATTATCTAAAGTTGAGTACCTATGATATGTCAGCCAGTGCCAACATAACATTTTAGAGACTGGTGTACTAACATCCACATGCCCAGAGCAAAACTGAAGTACAACCACGAAGGGCCCTAGAGATAATGAGTGAGCGTTCGGTAACAATAGATGAAAATAATGGGTGTGTCGAGGGTACCTACCGGTCCCAACAAATCGGGAATTAAGAAGACGATCAGGAAGACATTGCCCACGATGAACAGGAAACCCAACAGGGTGACCATGTTCGGGGCAATCCACATGGGCAGAAGTTCCACAAAGGCATTCCACTGTATGCATATTCAATATCAGCCATGTTCTCTAAACGCGTATGGTCTTTGTCTGGGCAATCGTACGTAGTGCTTGAGAATGTAATTCGAAATCGGTGACTTGTCGACACTGGAGTACTTGTAAGACTTCAAAGGAAGGAGGGCCTCATCGGAAAGGGAGTCCTGGGTCTCTGTAGAATCAAACCCGAGTTAATTAGTACGTGTATCCCTGACAAAATCGAGGCCTGGCCTCTCATCGGAATAAACGTACCTTGGACCATCCGTTGAATTACGTTCATTTTGGAGTAATTGAGGGCCGCGTCGCGTCCACGTTCAGGGCGGGTCAACCAGGAACTATATACCACTTGGTTTTTTTGGACAGTAAGGCTGCAGGAGAAAGAAAAGTCAAAAGTAGAGAGAAATGAGACCCCATAAAATGGATCTGGGTCCAATAATAGCCAAAAATAGCCCCAAGGGAAATTCAGGGTCTTGAAGAATGTCTCACTCTGGACTCAGGGATTTTCCGTTTCGGGTCACGTGCCGACACCTCCGCATCAGCGCGCGGAACGCGATCGCTCCACAAGGTTAGGCTCAACTGCCTTCTTTGGTCTCACTATTCTCCAAAAGAGTTGTCGATCTTTTATTTGAGACCTTACATTCAATTTCACTTCATTCACCGACGTTGCTATCCACCACAACGAGCTATCAGCCAACCTCCCACGTCCTTACACCGAGTCAGATCCTTGAGCTCCCAACATTCACCTGCGCGCAACGGACTTTCCTTCCTACACTTCGCTATCTCATCGCTCACTTCGCTCCGCTGCTGTCATGCCCACCTACTAACTTGAATGGACATGACGGTTGAGGTTTCTCATAGCGCTCGTCGCGCAGCTTGCCAGTAAGGATATTTCGCGATGCCGGGCGTCGTCGAAATGACATCCAACGCTCCAATGCCCGGCCAGGATTTTGGCGTCGCACACCAGAAAGTCGAGCTGGAGATCGACTTCAGCAGCAAGAGTTTGAGAGGAAGCACGGAAATCACAATTCATCCGCAGAGAAAGGACTTGAGGGAAATCCGCCTAAATTTTCGCCAGGGCGAGATCAAACGATTGAACGTGAACGGGAAACCTGCCGCAAGCTGGGAATACGCCGATTTATACGAGAATATTCACCTTTACGGAGCGCAATACCATCAACGATTGACCCCGAGGATTGACACGCTTCTCAAGACCCCACGCGAGCCCGAGTTGAAAGTCATACTTCCGAAGAGTGTCAGGATCGAAGAGCTTGATCCTTGTTCTGCAGAGGCGCAGGATCAGATCGCACTTCAGGGTGCTGGGGATGGTGTTGATGGGCCGGTGGCTGGTCGGGGGCCTGAGGCCAACCTTCCACGCTTCAAGGCAGTAGTTTTGAGTATCGAATTCTCAACCGACCGTATTCGTGATGGATTGCAGTTTGTCGGAGTGGATGGTGGAGATAGACGCTATCCACATGCATACACCACAAATTCGCTTGACTTGGGAGTCGGTTGTCCCTTGTTCCCTTGTGTTGATGATGCAATGTCACGGTGCACCTGGGAAATTTCCATTTCATGCCCCTCTTCATTGAAAGATGTCTTCGAGCGAAAGAACCGCGATAGTGCTAGCTCTCGCTCACGGCCCCAACCACCTAGGCACATTTCTGCGGATGACGAGGGGTTAGATATGTCTGTCGTTTGCTCTGGTGAACTTACAGATGATATCATTGACCCAAAAGATCCTAGTCGCAAAACCGTTTCGTTTGGATGCTATTCTCCACTTTCTGCTCGACAAATTGGGTTTGCTGTTGGTCCTTTTGAATACGTCAATCTGGCAGATTTTCGTGAGAGTGACCAGGATGAACAACTTGGTCAGAATGCAATCCCTTTGCATGCCTTCTGTTTGCCGGGTAGAGGTGATGAAGTTCAAAACACCAGTTTCCCCATGGCCCAGGCCATTGATTTCTTTTCACTCTCTTATGGGTCTTATCCATTCTCTAGCTACAAAGTTTGCTTTGTTGATGATGTTCCATCAGACACGCTCCCGACAGCATGTTTAGCAATTTGCAGCAATCATCTTCTCTTCCCCCCCTGAGATCATCGACCCTATGTACGACTCAACGCGAGCACTGGTGCACGCACTGGCATGTCAGTGGATTGGAATCAATATCATTCCAAGCGAGCCTGCAGATACCTGGGTCACAGTTGGCGTTGCCTGGTACATCACTGATACGTTCATGAAGAAGTTGTGCGGAAACAATGAATATCGGTATCGCCTCAAGCAGATGTCTGATCGGGCCTGTGAGCTGGACTACGAACGTCCCTCCATTCATGACATGGGAAACTTTCTAAAGATTGATCCATCTGAGAATCAATTCATTGCACTGAAAGCCCCTTTGGTTTTGTTCATCCTCGACCGTCGTTTGACAAAGGCCAGTGGAAAAGCCACTATGTCCCGTATCATATCCCGACTATTTCTCAATTCTCGCATGGGGGATATCCCCAATGGTGCGGTTACATCATCATTATTCCAAAAGACCTGCGAGCGTCTCGGGCATGCCAAGCTTGACGTTTTCTTCCAACAATGGGTTTATGGTGCCGGATGTCCTCGTTTCCAGGCTACGCAGCGTTTCAACAAGAAGAAGCTTGTGGTTGAAATGATGATCAGACAGGTTCAATCTGAGCAACAGGCAGCTCGAGACCTCGACAAGAATGCCTTTCTGCGTGACGTCAAGGAGGAGGTTCGCCATGTTTATGCCGGTGCTATCCAACCTGTATTCACAGGTTCAATGACTATCCGTATTCACGAAGCTGATGGCACCCCATATGAACACATTGTCGAGATCAAGGAAGGAATAACGAAGTTTGACATCCCCTACAACACAAAGTACAAGCGACTCAAGCGAAACAAGAAGCAAAGAGAGCGTGCGGTTGCAAATGGAGACTCAGAAACTCAAGAAGATGTACTTCTCTACTGTCTTGGAGATGTTCTGCAGACTGAGGAAGAAACACAGCAGTGGCGCCTGGCGGACTGGACCAAGGAAGACGAAGAACGAATGGGTCAAGAGTCTTACGAATGGATCCGAATGGATGCCGATTTCGAGTGGGTTTGCAGGCTATCTCTTGGTATGCCTGGTTACATGTACCTGTCGCAGCTCCAACAAGATCGAGACGTTGTTGCTCAGTTGGAGGTAGGTTATTTACCATGTACATGTTCACTCACCACGACTTCATGCTAATCTCTTTCCCCAGTCCCTTCAATACATGGCAGCACAACGTGAACATCCACTTATCTCGACCATTTTCGCTCGAACCCTCATGGATAGTCGTTATTTCCACGGCATTCGTGTGACTGCTGCACGAGCCTTGGTTAAACATGCCAAAGATGAAGTGGATTGGATTGGATTATTCCATCTCGAGCAGGCGTTCCAGGAACTCTTCTGTCTTCCGGGATCACCAATGACTCGGTCAAACGATTTCTCGGACAGGGCCGCGTATATTCTTCAACAAGAGATCCCAGAGGCGATCTCGAAGGTGCGCGATAACAGTGGCAAAACCCCCATGCGAGTCAAGCAATTCCTTTTCGACAAGCTCAAGTTTAATGATAACTCAAACAATGAGTACTCCGATAACTACTATGTGGCGTCTTTAATGCGCTCGCTCTGCCACGCCCTCCTTGGGCGGAATGAGTCACGTCAAGACGATGAGTTGGAGAATTTTGACATGCAGCGCGCCCTCGATGCCCAGGCTGAGGAACAGTTAGAGAAGGATGCCCTCGCGGAGTTTGATCGTTACCGACGAATGGATGAATGGTCAGGTTCTTATCAAAACCTCTACGCAAGAGCTGCACTGCAGTGTCAGATGCAAATGATGCAAGTCAAGATTCAGGAGGTCGACCTCATGCGTTTTATCCCTTACACTAGAGCTGGAACATACGATCTTCTGCGATTGCAGGCATTCGATTGCCTGGTCGAACTTGATATCTCTCAACTCCCAGAAATCATTCGCTGGCTGATTTACAGCATGACCAGTGATTCATCTGCATACGTCCGGCACCATTGCCAACAATTATTTGGTCGAGCCTTGGCTATGATTGCATTCGGTCGCCCTCCACAGCCAGAGAATAACAACCTTGATGGCTTGATTATTGAGCAGGAGTCCTCTACTGAGGTCCGACAGGCTGATCTCGCACGTCGTCAAACTGTACCTGGCGCAATTGAGGCTCTCAAGCGAGAGCTCGCTGGTGATGCCTCCCTCAAGGAATACATTTGGGCTGCCGCCAATTCATGGCCTCTTGGAATTCTCGAGATATCCGAGCTAGTCGACATTTGCAGTATTATGTTCGAGCCCGTTACGTCTAAAATGGCCCGGATCAAACTTCCTCGTTTCTGGAAAGTCCAACATATGGGACGTGGAAAGATGCGATTCTATCGGTCAAACAATGTGCGCACAAGTCTTGCGCCGTCGAAGGAGTCGGCCAAGCGCAAGCGCGAAGAGCAGGTTATGCCACCACCTGCTCCTCGTATCACCTTCAAACAATCCAAAACACACTCCACTCCTGTTCCTCCTTCTACCCCGAGTCTTCCCAAGCTTCATATCCCCAAACCATCACCCACCCCTGCAGCGCCAAGTACACCTGGTGCCTCTACCCCATCCACTCCGGGCACACTCAAGCTCAAGCTTAAGTTTGGGCAAAAACCAAAACAGTCTTAGAGCCATATGATACCTGCATTTCCATAGCTTCATGTGTTCCCCGTCTACCCTTTCCGTTCCTACATCAGCTTTGACATTTTTTTAGGGTGAAAGACGTCAAGCATGGCTTTTGGCGTCGACCGGATGATACTATATTCTTGAGAACAATAATCAAAATTTTATGCCCCATATCTACATATTCAATATTTCTTGTTCGTAGTTCTCTCCGAGTCTCTTCCATAGTAAACTTCATCTGTATCGTGAATCAACATTTGGAACATTCGAACAGAACTCGGAAGTTTCCAAGATTGAAGGTTCCTCTATGTACTAGTAGTAATCTGTCGTGACTGACCAACTTGGTTTGGAATGGAAAGTCGACAATCGTGACCTTCCCCGGCCTGCCAGTGGATCTACTACGGAGAACCTTCAAATTGAAGACAGTTGGGTTCCAAGATTGGACAATATGTACTATCCAGATGACATTTGTGCATGTTCAGGAAACCTTTCCCGGGGTTCAGATTTGAATAGTAGTACTCTCAAGTGCTACATATTTGGGTTTCAAATACTATGGACTCCTCTTGAATATATCCATATGTTTAATGCGGCATTAGTACTAGGTACCTTGGATGAAATTGGGACATACATCGTTTCAAGATACCCACTCAAATATGCGGGTCATTTCAATTTTGATAAAAGGGATTTCTTTACCCAGAAACAGAAAAAAAACAAGGACTGCAGTAGAAACAGAAAAAAGGTTTTGATGGTCCCCAGAAGAGCAACCGACCCATAAACTCCCTGTAGCATTATGATCATCCCCAGCCGCCGGTCAAGCCGCGAGCTTTGTGTGTCGCCCCTTTAGATAACATGTCATCGATCGTAGATGGTATATGTGTGCTTATTTGTCGCTAATACGTTCGAGAGCCTCCAGCATGACGACGGAGTTACCACGGATGACCTAGACACTTGATTAGTACTGTTTTTAAAGCAATGGGCTGAAATACGCACAATCATGCCAATGGCAACCTTCTCACCACCAGCCTTCTCTTCGAAAGCCTCATCCAGGACAATGTTCATGAAGACCTTAAAAATCGAATCAGTGATTACTCTTCAAAGCGGGCAGACCATCCCGAGCTGTTTTGGCGCTGCCGCAGTTCCAAATCGGACACAGGATAAGCTCGCCCGGGCGCATATGGTTTAAATGACTCGAGGGAAGTAGACTGTAGAACGTACATCGTAGCCACGGAGGATACCAATCACTTTGCGGTTGCCGTTCAATTGGCAGAAGACCCGCTTCTCCATGTACTGCGCGGAAGAGTCAGAGACGGTTCAAGAGACATAAGATGGAGTATCTGGATTTCGACCTACCTTCTTCAACTCCGGCTGAGCTTGAGGCATTTTGGGCAAGCTGGACACGGGGTTTGATGGTTTGGCAAGAATGGGTTGAACTCATCGCGCTGCGTGCTTTGGTATCGGCGGCCCCGGAACATCTTATCTCCGGAATCCGGATAGGCGATAAGAAGAGCTTAAGAGCTTCAGATCTCGCCGCATTCTTCACCATCTGTCACTTTATACACGCCCACCATGAGCTCAGCATTTTTAAATCGTCGGAAGCCACGAAAGGTTGGGGGAGATGAAGAGGATGAGGCAGATGGGGGTGCCACTCCTGGTGAGTCTACAATGATTCTTCATAGTATGAAAGATCTAACAAGTATGCAGAGCCGGTCGTCAAGAGACCAACAAAGTCGAAACCCAAGTCGAAGCTGCGCATGTCATTCAACCCCGGCGGTACATCAATGGCCGATGAGGGAGAAGAGCCAAGCGAAGTCGTCATCCCGAAACGACATGGCTTAGGACGAAAGGCGATGGAGCGCAATGCTTCTCAACGAAATATCCTTCTTTCAGGCGCGGCAGAGCAATTATCTTCACGTTTCGGACATGATCTGGATCGCCCTAGCTACAGCAGCGACTATCTCAAAGAACTCAAAGACTCGACGCCATCCACACCGAAGAGCACAGATGACGAGTCGAAGGCGGTCGATGTGGCAGCCAAGTTTGGCGAGGTCATGGTGGTTTCCGCCCCGTCAGCTATCCCCAGCGAAGCTGAAATCCGAGAAAAGAAAGCTCGTCGAGCGCGATTAGCCTTGGAACACAGTGCTAAGTCTACAGAGGAAGACTTTATTTCACTGGATGAAGGTGCGCTGAGCGATGATGATTGGGACGCGATCGCGCGTGGGGAAAAATCAGCCGAGGATGCGAAGGACACACGACTTATTCGCGACGATGAGGACTTTGCTGAAGGATTTGATGAATACGTGGAGGATGGAAAGATCTCGCTGGGGAATCAAGCGGAGCGTGAACAAAAACGTAAACAACGTGATGCTATGCGTGAGCTTATCGAAAATGCCGAAGGACCTTCGGACGAGGAAGATTCCGATCTCGAAGAGAAAGCCGCATACGAAGCGAAGCAAACCAAAGCTGCTATTGGTCACAAGTCCGATGGCATCGAGCGTCCTCGTACTCCACCTAAGATGACATCCTTGCCTCGGCTGTCTAACAGTCTTGAAAGACTGCGGATGTCTCTGGCAGCAATGGAAACGTCTAAGACCCAAATGATCGTCCGTATGGAGGACCTTCGCAAAGAAAAGGCAGATATCGCTGTTCGTGAGGTCGAAATTCAAACCCTCATCAAAGAGGCGGGAGAAAATTACGAACGGTTGAAAAAGGAGGCCGGTGTTGACCCATCTGCAAATGAGGATGTCACGGCAGGGGCGTTGGAGAAGTCGCGAGGATTGGAGAGTATCGGAGCGTCACTACAAGTTTCCGATTCCAGTTCTGAGGAATTATGAGTCTCGCTTTCCTCTTTTGCGTCTGCTTGGTCATCCGTGTACTGAACCTCAGGAGCCCGTCTCAAATTATTTTAGATCTCAGTTTTGTTATAGTTGACTCGTTTGATACCCCATGTTCCTATTCTTCAACAAAATCTACCATGCCTCCACAGGGCTTTTTGTCTATATTTCGCCATCCTTCCCACAAGTCCAGAGCAGTTCTTTCAGACGATGACCATTCGTGCGTTCTCTAATGATTCCCTACTTTTTACATGGTCACGCTTATGATAGGTATCTAAACAACAGCCATATTGGCCCGCTGCCGTGGATCGCCAACCCCGTGGACTTGACTCTTGAAACCGGTCCTCGCCTTTATCGCCGCTCAGATGCAGCTCCCATCGAACTCTTCTTCGATCTATTTTTCGTGGCCAATCTATCGACTTTCACCGCGACTCATGAGATAAACAATGTCACCGGTATGTTCCAAATCGACTTTCTGGCCAATGCGTTTCATGATCGTATTCTGATATGTATGGCTTCAGCGTTAGGTGCGTACGTCGGATTTCTCGGAGTCATATGGTTCACCTGGCTACAAGTGACTCTGTTTGATATACGCTTTGCTCGAGATTCTGTCATGGAAAGAGTTTTCAAAGCGTTCCAGCTCGGTGCAATGATCGGCTTTGCCTCTGCCGGGACTCGATTTACAACCCGTGTTCGTGATGATAATCTCTGGGCATTTCAGTTGCTAAGTTTGATGCTAGCTGTTAGTCGAATACAGCTGGCGATTCAATATACTATCACCTTAGGCTTCATGCATGAACACATGAAAGACGATGCAAAGGGTGTTTGGTATACTGCACTTGTGTTTTGGACGACTACCATCCTCTACATTGCAGTAAGGCTACCCTTTATCCTTTTTCAATGCCAATTAACAATTTGCTAGCTTTTCTTCGTGTTCAAACGACCTCGTGGCATTCCATCTCGAATTTGGATTATTTGGTTTGTGTTATTTGGCTTTGAGATGTGGACGGTAATGGGCATCTCTTGTATTTGGACAGCGCTCAGCTTCAAAAAAACACACCTCAACGGTCGAATGAGCCTCCTTACGCTGATAATCATTGGAGAGGGCGTCATTGCGGTGACTCGGATTGTCAACAAGACTGTGCGGCCAGGAGGGTGGACCCCTTGGACTTTTTTCCACATCCTGGGGGTGACCACCAACGTTGTATGTTTCCCCAAGAAGGAGATTTCCCCCTTCTCTTTCATCTCCATGGTCCTTCCAAATTCTTCTACAATTTTGTCCCATTATCTTCGCTCTTTCTTATATGTGAAGAGACCTGACTGACAACCTCTTAATAGTATTTGCTTTGGCAGGTTTATTTTGATCTTTCTCCTCAACAGCTCGGTATATTGGCCCAGCAGATCTGGGCCCAGCTTCATTTCCCCTTTCATGTGTCCCTCATTCTTTTGCTGGAAGGCTCTCAGATCTTGGCACTGACACTCGATGTCACGCTTAAGCTGAAGTACCTAGCCCAAACATTTTCATTTGTGTGTGAGGAAAATCGTCCTAGCCAGGACCGCGCTATTGCACTTATCAGGAGCACAATCAACGATATGGAGATTCCATTCAGTCGGGGTGCAACACAGGAGTGGAATGCCATTTCCAAACTGTTGGACGATCTTGCAAAACAACCGCTCTGTCCAGATATGAGGATATTGCTGAACAAGGCAACGGGAATACGAATAGAAGTCGATACTATGAATCCGGGCACTTTGGTCTATACTGAAGATATTTTTAGTGACCTGATGGGCAATGTGACAGCCGCCCTTTTTTCTAGCATGGACATTACCCCGCCAGTCAAGGTAGACATCAGTCTTCTTGACAGTCAACAACTACTGCAGATGTACATGAAAGTTTTGGCCTTTGTGTATATATACTTCTTTGCCGTCGCAAGTATATCAATGGCTCTGTTCGCCGCATTCAACCTTCTCTCTCGCTCGCATGAGAGGCGTATGTATCTAGCTCTTTCAACTGCCGTGCGACTTATACTTGCCATCTTCTTGGCTGGACTCGTTTCATTCGTTGCTAACTTCGCGCTGGCCTATTCATTCATGACATCGCCGATAATCTTGTACGCCTTGAGCCTGACACTTTTGACTGGTCAGTTGTTTTGTGGTGTTTTTGTCCCTTCTCCTCTTGTTCAAAATTCTAATTGGCTACAGTTTTGCTGTTTGACCGACTTTTTGACGGTCTAGCATCCCGGAGAGACGCAGCCGGCCGGCGGAAGCGGGAAGATCGCAGAGAGTCCAAGTTTCCCACACCTGCATCGATAACGGTTGAACAGGCCCCAACTGCCGCTATAGAGTCTAATGAGGATCGAAGGATCTCTTTGTCTCTGCCCATTTCTGGAGAGGGGGATGTTCACTCTCGGGTATCTGATTCTTAACCGTTGATCTACATCCCTGTGGTTGTGTGTATGTTGGAACCTCGAGCAGCCAACTCAAAGTTCAATTTTAGCCTCCTTGTTTCTAGTCAGGCAGAAATCCTGCATTCTGCATGAGTGCCCATTATTTTGTGTCCCCATGTCCTCGAATCAGTTCCTCGAGAATAAAAAGTCTATTGACCGACAATAGTGATCAGCTACCCTGTTCCTGAATAGCCACTCTGTGTAGCATGACCATCATTGCATTTGCTCGAACTCGTCGTAATTCATGATGATTTTGGAGCTGAGGGGCACTGGTGATTTTTCATTCTTGCAAAGTCTAATGAATGGCTTCAAGACATTATATCTGATGCTGGCCAGTTTTGACAACCCGAATTCAGTTTCTGAGTTAACAAAATTCCAATCTGGATTATCTCCATATCTGACAAGATGCCTTGAGGTTTGTGGCCTGAGTGCATTACACTATTCGCCTTATCTCATCCAACTGTTTCCATATTAGCAATAGGCATCATGAATTGGTAAGTCAGACCCGAATTTGGCATTCGCGATAGCTTCCCTAATGAAAATACTAGTAGTCACTAGTACAAGTTGCTTTCAACTTGTGAGTAACAAAGCCACCCGAGACCCCTGCGGTGAAGAATAGTAACAGGCTGCAGGGCTCAATCTGCTGTATCATATCGATGTCACTAATTAGTGCAATATCCGCGACAGCGCATACCTACAGGCTCTTGGCAGAATCACTGGCATTATGGGGCTAATGATCTGCAGCAAGCCATTGTTTATGTCTGGGTGGATTATCATACTCCCTGTCTCTGCTTCAAAGCTGGAGATATCTCGGCTATTCTCTAAAGCAGATACAGATAAAGATACTAAGAGTCTTATTATGATGGAATTTTCTGTTTATAAAGTTATTTTCAGTATGATGACCCAGCATACTCCAGAGCTCATTCGGATATGTCAATGTAAACCAATCTCAATCGAAGGCTTCCAAGGATATTAATCTCTTGATACTACTTTCAGGCTGGGATGATGAATGCCATTCCAACTGGGCAGCCACTAATTTATTCTGAGTTCCCCAGATTCGCCTCCAACATTCAAAGTCCAGACCGCAAAAAAGATCCAAACATCCTTAAGGGAACCAATTGGATTTTCAAAAAGTGATATGCATATGCAGTTCATTATCTCATCCCGGTCATCCTGATCCCCACTCCTAGCGGAGATCGTTAGAAAAAAATATACACAACCCCCTTTGAATTCAATAAAGACGAGTTGTATATCGTACATCTGCAAGTATGGTGGACAGGTGGGACCGGGAGTACTTCCGAGTGGATCTTAGAGGACTGTGCGCCTTGACAGCAATGCAGAGCACAGCCGTTGCTCGTTCGCATTCCCTGCGGGCTGGTTCCCTATCCTGCCGGTTTCAACGCCACCCAGCCCATCCCATAAAATGGAGAGAAGCTTCTTTGAAATGGGGCTTAGGATTGGGATGTGTCGGTTTGGAGGGAGGTGGGGTTTTGAGGGTCTAATCTATATTTAGGGGAGATTTGAGTATTAAAGGTGTTTAGTGCTATCTATTGAGATCAATACAATGGTGGAACTACATAGTAGATATTACTATCTTGTATGGATTTGCTGAGAGATTTGATACTTCAAAGTTGTTAAAGAAAACCTGAGCATTGAGGCACGTCGCCGAAGAATTGAGGCCATGTAAATAAACATTTGAATAGTTCCAAGGTTCTCTTATCACTCTCATTGAAATGTAATAATATTGACGATGCAAATAGCCTCTTGTATCGGTTGATCGCATCCCCAGAGTAGACAGGTCACTTCAACCCCCAAAGCCTCCTTTGAGCCACCAATATCGTTATGAGAGTTTGAAATATTCAAAATATGAATATTCCCATTCAGAAAGTTATTGGATCAGCCATTTCTAGAAATCTTTCATTGGTGCGGATGAACAAGAGACCCTCCAGTTCAAGTTAGCCCTATGTACGTAACCGATGAGGTTGGTACATTACCAAGCTGCCTGTGCCAAGACCAAAACATGAGGGAGAATTTACCTGTCAAGAAATTATTTCTATCTTACTTATGAATACCGTGGCTTGGGTTGATCTGGTTTAGGGCTGTATCATGAGAGGTGTGGGCTGGGGTTGCTTTGGTTCTACTCACGATATAATAGACCGCTCCTTATAAAATGGCATAACTAGTAGTATTGAATACTAGTAGCTTCTAAGAAGCTGAATATTAAGTAAAGAGCCAGCTCACAATAAGTAATGCTAGTTGAGGAACCAGTCAAAGATTGAATTCATCATTAGACAAAATATGCTCAGTCCTCGGTCCATCCACGCCGTTCGTCTGTCTCACACTATATCTGCCCAAGTCGAGGATCAGTCAAGACATTACTTCAATAGAAAATGATCTGAAACTGACGGCAAGTGGATCATCGCGGCAGTTATTAAAGATCCGAGCATTTTGGGTCTGGCTAGGGTTAACGGTCAGTTCGGCAACCACAACCCATACTATCTTGATCTTCATTGACTCCTTGATGAACGGTCATAGTGGAACCTGGAAACGGAAAATCAGCCCCTGAATCCGGGGAATTTAACGGTTCTCTAGATCAACAGCTCGGGGGATGTAGGCTCAGGAGTATATCGGAAATGAATCCGAGGCGTTTATTAAAGCATCGAGACCGAGCAAGAGATATGAATATCCCCTTGTTCAAACCCGCTGTCGTCCATAAATATCTGCTCATTTTATTCTGTCAGCAGGAGGGTTCAAGACTTGCATATCAACATAGAATCTCAGACCTCGCCCGGAGTTTCACCCGTTCATTCTGAATCATCAGCTTCCCGTCAGATCTGAGACCGCATTGCATCCAACGGTCTGCCTGCAATCTGGGATATTCGACTCCAATTCCGCTACCCAGGCTCCTGCTAAGGACCTTCAGGTCCACTCTTCCTCATCCCAAGCAGCAGCGATATACCAGCTGAGTTATAGCCGGCTTGCCTGAAATCAAAGCCTTCAAGAAATCCCTCGAGTTAGCTAGCTTTTCATCACAGGAGTGGCAACTGGGAAATACTAAACAAAAAAAAAGAGAAAATCCCTCCCGTGGCCTGCAGGTGAAACCTCGCCATCCACGAGACATCAGAGCCTAATCTAACGGCCAGTGCTGCAGTTATCAGCTGTCGTCTATCCGCCCAACGGTTGCGCATTGACAATTCAATCTCTGGGGACACACAAAAAGAGCCTATATCGACAGTGGTCCACACCCCGCGGCGACAACCCGTGTACAACCAGACTATCAACCCAGCAAGCACCTGCAATTGCGGTGAATCCAGATCCACGGGAATTGCCATTCATCTTGTGCACTCAATCCCTAGCAGTGTTTTGCCATGGTGGATGTACTGTTCAATCCTGGAGTCCCGAAGTCATGGGCTTTTCATCAGAGGGAGACTTCCGGCTCGGGCCCACGATTTATTTATGGGAGTGCTTGCTCTTTCAACAGGAGTGAACAATCTCATGTTCAAAACTCACAGCGCCTTTTATCAAACTGCGTGGCCAACTACGGGTCCTCCCTTCTCGGCGCTACTTCAAAATTCAATCTTTCTCAGTCGCCTTCAACTTCCCAGTCACCCTCACCTCCTTTGAAAGGACTTAAAACACAACCTTCATCACCAGAAAGTCCGCAAAGCGACCTTTCAATGGATCCTCCTCCTCCTGTCAACCCTCCTTTCTACTATGGTTCTGAGCCCCAATATCTCCACCAACCCGAAATGTCATCAAACGCCGACCCTGCTGCCCCTCCTATGAAAGCTACCCCCTCGAGTAGTGGGAGCTTTAGTGATGATGCAGGATACTTTGACTACAGATCTACCCCAGATCAATTGGGAGGGATGAATAGTTCGATGATCCCGATTGAATCAGGATGGTCTACTCAACACAACGCTTGGTCAAAGATGGAAGACACGCATTCCTTTTCCTCGTCATACGATGTTGATGTCCCCAAAGAGCAGTTGGCCATCCCGGATATGTTTTGGCAGCCATCTGGTTCTATGGGGATACCTGATCAGACGGGCAACACCAAAAAAGAAGTGCCTTTCCAAGAATTTGAGCCACAGCTCCCCATGGAAGATTTCAGCTATTCATCTTGGGCCTCCTATCCATGGAATTCACACAACAATCCAGACCCATGGGCGGACTCATATGGGATTGGCACAGACTACGATTATTCCAATGCAGGATATTATGACTCGCGGTCGAATATTTCGAGACAACATGCCTACAACCAGGAGGCTGAGCCATTGATGACTGAACTATTGCCCGCAGATTATCTCCAGCAGCCTCATTTGAGCCAGCCCATCCAGTCATCCCCTGTTGCAGCTGGAGTTACAACTCATATTCCTACCGTCCCAGCTTTCCCAATCACTACCAATCCAGAGGCTCCAAGCATTTCAAATATCTCGGGCTACCAAAGCACTACCTTCCATGTCTGTGATGGAAATCCAGGAACCAATACCTCATTGATCAACCCAGTCCACCCGGATAACAACATCATCAACAACATGACTAGCAACCTGCAGCCTGTAACCCAGATGTCTGTCACCTCATTGTCGTACCCGCAGCCTCAATTCACCGCTCCAAATCCCATCAACACAAACCTCCAATCTGATGATGCACGGAACAGCCTCCTCGTTGAGTGGAAGCGCAGTGGGCTATCCTACAAGGATATCAAGCGCCTTGGAAAGTTCAAAGAAGCAGAGTCAACCTTGCGAGGGCGCTTTCGTACCTTGACGAAGGCCAAGGAGCAAAGAGTTCGAAAGCCAAAGTGGCAGGAGAAGGATGTGAGTTTTAATTTTCGATTGCCCTACTGCAACTTTGACCTACTTAGTCAGATCCCTACAACAAGTTACAGAAGCTAGTCGAGCATGAACAAGAAGTATAATCACTAACACAAGTTCAATTAGATCCAACTTCTTAACGAAGCAGTCAAGATCCATACCGAGAAGACAACCTCTGAGTCCTACCCAGAACCCGCTCCTCTTCCCCCGTGGTCCCACTCAAAACCCAGTGATTCCAACGAGCACCCTGGACATACACTGGGTGCATCCTCAACACAGAGCCATCCCGACTCTGTGCCCAACAATCAGTTAGGCCAAATCCCTACCCAGCCTCCCAAAGTATCGTGGAAGAAGGTTTCGGAATACATCTTCGCGCATGGTGGATCATACGAGTTTGGAAATGCTACATGTAAGAAAAAGTGGTGTGAGATTCATGGTATCTCAATTTGAGGTCTCGCCTTCATGCTATCAAGTAGACGTGTATGGTACACTGTTTTTTGTACTTTGACTTGCTGATTCCTGGTTTTTTGTTTTTTTTGTGGGCTCAAGGCCATGGTGTTATTGATATCCAATGTTGAAGATTGACCTGGGTGGAATTATGCTATTTGTTCATTATTCTCGAGCTACTTTGCAGCTGGTCTCAGCGTCGAATTCTATTATTTCTACTTTGATTGTGCTTTAAGCTATTTAATATCCGAGATCCCAGCATGGAGTTTACACAAGCTGGATGTCTGGGTCAGGGTTGGAACATCAACTGATTCCTATCTAGTTTTTTGCGGAGATTATTCTCGCTTGATCAAGACTGATTTTGTGATCCTCAAGCTCTATTGGTTCGCTTATTCTGGATGTTTGACATGACAGAGTGAGAGTGGAAGTCCCAGAGCATCGCTGACCAGCCATCTTGACATAGAAGAAAATACACGACGTAAGATCAATCTCTCACTTCGCCGTCTCTCCCAATATGGAAATGTGTGATCCTGGTGCCTGCTCCCACGGTACAAATACTTACAACTTTTCTGATTTCAAACTTCTTCTTCCTTCCATCTCCCAGCTCTCTTCCTCCACACTTCCTCGTCCACTTCATCCTTCCCTCGTCCATGTCAACACTCCATCCTGACGCCTTGTCAATATTGGCTTGTACACAATCACCATTAACTTGTTTATACTTTATTGATCAGGTGAGATCGATGAACCCACTCTAATCCACGTAGGTGAATGGAACGGTGCCTTGTGTCACTCACTCTGTCTGTGTGTCCTTTGCGCGACTCATACTTTTGGCGAACGTACTTAAGATGCTGTCAAGAAATACCCAGGCTGACGTATTGCGTGGCCACAGATCTCACTTTCCTCGATTGTTGCCTACCTCGTTGATTTTCTACTCCACCATGACTAAGTTCCCATCAACATGTCTTGACGCGTCCTTCTTGAACATCGTGTCATACAACATGACTCCAGAGATCTTCATCAGTCATGACCATGACCATAGCCTTGTTGACATGTGCATCCCGACCTTGATGCAGACACTTGTGGGTTTCAACGCGCAGGCATCAATCTTCCAGGTGAGCCTTCCGTGTCCATGGTCTCGTCCTGGGATTTTTGTACTTTTATTGCTCTACGGAGCTGCTCTACGGAGTCCGCCCACGGTGCCACTCGCAACCCTTGCTGAGAGGAGACTTGCTCGGTCTTCTCAAGACCTGAGGTCCCGTTCCACATTCACTCCACAACAACACAACACAATCATTAAGGTGAGCCTTCCCGTGCCCATGGTCTCGTCCGATTTATATTTTTATTACTCTACGGAGTCTTGCCCACGGTGCCACTGGCAACACTCTTGCTAAGAGGAGACGCATTTTGGTCTTCTCAAGACCCTAGGTCTCATTATAAATCCACTACAAGGACTCCACAACGATAGCGTAAGACAACCCGGGGCTTCAGCTCGCAGGCGCCAATCTTCCAGGTGAGCTTGACCGTGCCCATGACCTCATCTTGGGATCTTTGTATTTTTATTTCTCTACGCAGTCCATCCACGGTGCCACTAGTATAAAACCTTTGCTAAGAGGAGACGCGGTCTTCTCAAGACCATTTAGGTTCTTTTTCCCATCCCGACCTTGATGAAGAAGCCTGCAAGCGCCAACCTGCAGGCATCAATCTTCCAGGTGAGCCTTCCGTGCCCATGGTCTCATCCTGGGATTTTTGTACTTTTATTGCTCTACGGAGCTGCTCTACGGAGTCCGCCCACGATGCCACTAGCAACCTTTGCTAAGAGGAGACTCTGTCGGTCTTCTCAAGACCTTAGGCTCTGTTCCAGACTTCAGACATTGATGCCGCACAGCAGAGAGGAAGCCCTGAGTGCATCACAATATACACGATATGCAGGTGGCGGCACAATCTGCAGGGATGTCTTGGATGAGACGCACCGCGGGGAGGAGGCTCCAAGTGCAACTTGGAATTTGCGTTCAAGGCTTGAATCATGGAATGATTAAGCCTATTTAGGGGTACATAGGTTTTAGGTTTTTCTTTGTATGTTGTCAACATTGACAACTTTTTTCTTTGTTATGATATCATGTTATACTTGCGTGGTTCAATTAATGCTCTGTCTGCAATGTAAATCCATATCAACCTTCATGCTTACTGTATCCCTCCCTCTATAAGTCACGTACTAGATCATGAATACCAAGGAAGCCTGGGAGTATGGCCTCTGGGATCCACCATAACTGTATACAAGACTCTTTATTGGCGTTGTCTGGGGCGGAGGTCATACCCCTGCTAGTGCGACATAACTTGAACCGGTGTGCGTAACATCGCCTGACCGCACCACGATCAGCCTCATCTCAGCAGTGCTCGGAACTGTTGAACCTCGTATTTTCCAACATTTCTCAGCGTGCTATCCTGGCAGTCTCAGGATATATTCTCCAAGAACGGTATGCGATATGCTTCCAACCAAGGTTCTTTTCACTTTGACCGGTTCAGTGGCAACTTGAAGTGAGTGGGGAAGATGGCCTTAAACTCTTGGCCATGATGTATAAAGCAACTCTAATCTTTCGACTATCTACAGATTATCATATTTCCTCGAGCCCCTGGAAATCCTTGAGCTAGATTTTTCCCTACTTTGTTCAACTTTGCACCTCATTCCATATGTCGGTCACTAAAAGTATACGCACCACGAAAGCCGTCGTTGTGATGGAGTTAAAGGTTGCCGCTGTTCGTGAAGTACTACTTCCAGTTGTGCGTGATGACTGGGTACTTGTGAAAGTTAAAGCTGTTGCCATCAATCCCACCGACTGGAAGCATATCGATTATGGAGCTGCGGATATCGGGTGCAGAGTAGGAGTTGACTATGCCGGTATTGTGGAGGAGGTTGGGAGTAAGGTCACCAACTTCTTCAAAGGCGATCGTATCACGGATTGGACTCATGGGCAGTAATTTTCTCCGTTGTCAGTCAATAATCATCCAAATTATATGATCTACATACTGAGCTTTTCAGGAATCGAGCCGATCATGAATCTGGAGCATTTGCCGAGTATGCCGTTGCAAAGGCTTGTGTCCAGAGGAAAATTCCCGACAACTTGAGTTTCGAAGAAGCAGCAAGCTTGAAGGTTGCCATCATGATCATTGTAAGATGGAGCCAAGTCATATATTCCGTGATTGCAGATATGCTAACATTGAAACTAGGGACAAGGAACGTATAAGAATCTCGATCTGCCATTACCTACAGAACCAACCAAAGAACCCTTTCCTTTTCTCATCTACGGCGGAAGTACTGCAACAGGCATGGCTGCCATTCAGCTTGCCAAACTCTCCGGCCTCGTTGTCATTACAACCTGCTCCCCTCACAACTTCGACTTGATGAAAAGCCTAGGAGCCGATGCAGTATTCGACTCTAATTCTCCAACCTGAGGCGCGGACCTCAAAGAACTAACTAAGAACTGCCTGAGATATGCTTTCGATTGCACGGGTGATGGTGCATCTGTTTGCGCGTATGCCATGTCAGACACCGAGCCGGGTATCTATGGGGACATTATGCCCGCAGACTACGATTTCCTGAAAGCTACTAATCCCAAGGTTCATTGCCAGGATTTTCTCCGTGGGTATGATACCATGGGTGAAGATTACTACTGGCTTGCTGAGGAGGCGGTCTCACCTAACCCAGATGAAATGGACTTTTATAAATCGTTTTTGGCGTTGACTCAGCCTTTGTTGGAAAATGGAAGTCTTAAGCCCCTGCCTATGGACTTGAATAGGCATGGTAGTGGGTTGGATGGCGTGCTGAAGGGTCTGGATGAACTGAGAAAGGGCAAAGTCAGTGGAGTGAGACTAGTTTATAACATCTAGTCAGGTCACTTGGATCAATGGCATGATGTAACTTGAATTTAGTCTTATTCAACGACTTAAAGTAGATAAGTTCATTCCAAGATTTATTTTCAAGGTTATATCCATAAATTTCAAGGTGTGCAAGGCTCTGTTCATTACCAGCGTGTACGTTATGATTGCCTCAGCTGCCAATGTGTTCAACAAGGGTAGATCCAATCAAATGCTATGCACAAAGAACCACCATATCACACTTAGTCTTGCTCATAAAACCGAATTCCCATAAGAATCAACTCTCGAGAATCCCACATCCCTCAAAACTCGACTGAGATTCTCAGGATTCGATCGTAAAGCATCCCACTCCGCCTCCGCCTTAACCATCAACGTACCCGCAAGGATAGTTCCATTCAATGAAAGCACACCCGGGTCAACGATATCACCCGCCGCAATAGGATCCATTGGGATCTTCGCCGTCTCTGATCGACGTGGAGCAATCATCATTGTTGAGAGCGTCATGGCAAGGTTGTAGCTTATCGCTGATGGACCATCAATAGACAAAGCGGGCTCTGTAGGTCCTTGCCTCGGGTCTCGACCTTCTGTGGCGGCGACTGCAGCGCAGTAGAGTGATATGTAGATGGATTGAAGGGTATCTGCGGAGGGATTTTTAGGGAGTGGGAGGGCGAAGTGCGCGAAGGGGAGGTGGGGGAGGTATTGGAATGTTGAAGATCCGGGATGCGATTGCGCGTGTGCGGTTAGGACGTCGATTAGAGGGTGCCAGCCTTCGGTTTCGGGTTGGCGCATTGCCTCGACAGGAAGGAATTGGAGATGTCGATGAGGTTGACTTGCGCCACTGTCTTCGCCGGAATTGAAGAAGGCGAATAGACGCCTTGGTGCTGGTCCGGTTGTGGTGTTGTCATCCTGACCCCATGTTCGTAGACACTCGTATGCGGCTTCGAGATCTGCTTTCTCGAGGAGATCTGTTTGTGCTCTCCATTCTTTGGTTGAGAGGATGAAGTGATTTGGAATCACGGGGAACTTGTTCAACACGAGAGCGTGGGAGGGGTTCTCGGGCGGGAAGTGCGCGATTAGAAGCTCTGGTGAGGGGTTTTCGAAGGGATCGAACTTTGGTCTTGGTAAGGTGGTTTCGGGTTTCAGGTTTGATGGTTTCTTTCCTAGAGCGGGACAATAGCGGAGTTGATACTGGTGATGAAGCTTGGTTAGAATCTCGTGGCTCGTGCCAGGTGAGGCCACTCACCGGTATCCCTGCAGCCGTAATCAGGGACAAATGTGTCTGGGAGAAAACAAGATCACCGCCTTCTTTGGCGGCAATAAAGCGCCGCGCGACCAGCGCGGACAGGCTTTCCGAGAGACCGAGTTGCATGGTGTGTGAGTGTAAAGGCAATTGACACAGCTCGGAGCCTCGGACGTGGGGAATGAAGAGCGGGGAGATCGCGATAAGGCGGAACAAGCCGATTTCGGTGCAAGTGAGAAAGAGAGAGAGAGCGAGGAACTAATTTACAACTACAAAGTATTGAAATAAGGAAGTGAATATTATTAATTCATCAATTGAATTTCTTGGGTAATTGGATATATCCCATTATAATAAAATATTTTCCATGCCATCAAGACCCGAATCACCTGAGCCTGCAGGGTCGAGGTATGGTGTATGGCAACACTGTATAGAGACAGAAGTGAATCCCAGGGAAAATAACATAAGAAAATCGTATCCAACATCATCAAAGGTATCATATCCGTGGTCCATATTCAGACAAATTGCTCATCAAGACGCCGTTCGCTGCTGTACGGAAACATGAGATGACACAAGTAAACAAAAACAAAAAAAAATAAAGTAGACACAAAATACAAGAGGTCCTATGGCCAAGCCCTCGGTGGAGAAGAAGATCAAAGATAGGAGATGATCATCAGAGGTTCGTTCAAGCCATGAGTTCATGAATCGATACCTCATCGTCGTGGGAGTGGCACAGCTCAGGGAGGAGAACAGCTGGGGGACCCATGAGATGGTTACTTGGGCCACTCAGCCAGGCACCACGCTGCTCATCGTTGGCACTGTGAACTCCTTCAGCGCGCTTCATGGTCTCCACATCGAGATCAGTCACATAGGCATCCCGGTTGGTACCATCTCCTGGACCGCCTGGCAGACGGAGACGGACTTCGAATTCGTTGTTCAGCATCATCTCGTCTTTCCATAGCCGGCGGGGGCCATCGAAGACGCAGAGAACACGCTTCTTGGTCTTCATGCTGCTGTTCGGGCATCCCCAGGATTGGGGGTAGTTGCCGCGGTTATTGCGACGGCGGTTCACAACGGCCCGGGGACCTTTGCCGGTGGCGCTGGAAGCGTTGGTCTTATTGATCGCGTTGCCGTTTCCAATGATCGGTCGGGAGGAGCCAGAAGCTCCCTTGGTAGATTTTGGTACGCCACGGCCAGCGCGCCAGTTAGAGGGGTCATGAGAGTCGTCATCGTCATGAGAGTCATTATCATCGTACTGTTCCACGGGACCAGCCGTGTCAAACAGTTGATGCTTCTCCATCGTCTTCATCACCTCCTCGTCAGAGGCAACATCAGCCAGATGCTGCTGGTTGATCGCCTCAGATGGTTCCTCCTGTTGCACCACTCGGAGAACACAGTCATCCAAATGCTCATAGAAGTCCTGTGCGTTGCTGAACATTGTTGAGCAAGTAGAACACTTGCCAGTTGCATCACCACTGTAGTTGGTACCCTTCTTGCTGGATGCTGTCGGGCTGCGCTTGCGACAGTTGGGTGGTGTCTGCTCAACACCGTGGACGGAAGTCAAGTGGCGCTTGAAAACATCTGCGCGGTTGAAGCTCTTCTCTGCGGGGGAGCCGGATCCCGGACAGAAGCCGCACACCATCGTTCCCTTATAGTGGGTCAGGGTGTGACGGTTCTTATCGTATTTGCGGGCAAAGCCCTTGGTGTGGTATTCACAGTTCATAATTGGGCACTTCTCAGGTCGCTCGGACAAGTGAGTAAGCTTGTGGGCTCTCAGGTCCTTGAAGACCCGGCCACAGTCCATACACCGTCCTTTTTCCTTGACCTCGTCGTCTCCATCAAGACTGCTCAAAGCTGGACTTTGCTGGGAACGTCGAGATTGAATGAGAAGAGATAGAAGACCTTCGGTCATATACTGAAACTGGACGAGAGTTGTATCCTGAGTTCATCATCAATGGAGATGGCTGCTGAACTGGGTTCAGTGCTGGCGACTGTTGCTCCACGCTGCCGTTATATGGGAGAGGTGATGTGGCGGGAGATTGTGAGACAAAGCTAGGAGGTACGTTGTAGTACATGGCATTTGTTTGTTGATCAGGATGTGAGAGGGTGTGTGTAAAGTTCGGGCCCATTGGCACTGGTTGAATCAAGGATGGATCTGAAATATGCCTGTCAGCTACCACTACCATTTGGGGCGCATTTTCAGATTCAAAACAACATTTCGACGTACCAACAAAAGGATCGGGGATTTTCTCTCTGTAGAAGCCATCCATATCCAACGCACCTGCCATATATTCATTGGAGAAAAGATCAGGCATAACAGCCATTGGTAGACCCAAGCCGTGGTTGGTGTTGACCCAATTATCCTGGTAGACTGGTGTTGGTCCTGAATATGGTGATCCAATAGCTGATGAAGGGGCACTCGCAATGGATGGCCCTGAAGCTGCAGATCCTGTGGGAATGTGTGGTTCGGTTGCGTGGGAAGTAGTGAGGGAAGGAGGAGTGGCAGGCATAGAGGAGAAATTGCCGGAAATCTTGGACATTTCCGCTTCCGCAAACTGGGGCTGGAGATCGAAGTATGACTGAGGAAGTCTAGCGAAATCGGCCGGCGCATAACTTGTATGCATGTCGTCGCTGGGAAAAGGAAACATATCCATCATGTTGGGATCCATCATGGGTTGGAAGTAGGAATTTTGTTTGGGTCTGGCGACTTCGATGGCGAGCATCTTGGAAGGAATGAATGGGTAAAGAACAAAATCCTCGGAACTAAACATATGCCCTTGAATATTATTTTTCTGAATATTGGTGAGCTTTCGAGTTTCTTCTATATTTTATTTTTAGTTGTCACCCATGGAACATACCAATAAGGTTCCGGATTGCGGCCCGTCACCCCAAGTGCGAACCTCGGAATGAACAAGGCAACGTGCACGGGATTGACACCCGGGTACGGGAGGTAGATGGAGTCACCACGCTTGAAACTCTGCAAGGGGTGCTAATCAACACGCATTCAAGATATTTGCCCCCGAAATTGAGATCCTTGCGTCGTGAAGAAAGTTGGGTGTAGTGACGTGGGGGAGGAGTGGTTGTATATGGACTGGGGTAATCAAAGTACTTAATAACCCTAGGATAAGTCCAAATAAGTCCAGATGTCGAGAGATATTTAAATGTTCGAAAAAAGAAGAAGCTTGGAAGGGGGAAGAAGAGAAGTATTATAGAACACTGTAGTACGCTACAATTAGTTTATACTTGTGCGTCTTGGAATAAAATAAAATATTTTTTTATTCAAAAAATGTTTTAATAGATTTATTGAATTATAAAATGAAAATAAAAATAAAAATAAAATAAAAATAAAAGGATAATTTAATTGTGGAATAATTAATCGGGGGAAATGGGGGTCAAAAAAGGCGAGAAGAATAAAATAAAATTCATGAAAAATAACAAAAAAAATAACATTTAAAAAATAAGATAAAAATAAATTATGAAAATCATTTTTTATTTTATCCCTGTGCAGATGTCATCATTACCATACAATACTCCACTCACGAACTCATAGTGGCTGTGACCCCTTAGTGGATCCCGATCAAATTGAGCATGAACACCGAATACATCCAGATACACACGATACATCATTACTTATCCTCTTCCCTTTTTCTATCTAGCTTCAAATCTCATCCCTCTCATTTCTGCCATCTTATTCGATATTACACATGGACTAGCCTAAACTCAGCCTCCTGTCAGGCGTCCAGTTAACTATTCATCACTGCTAAAATGGTTCTTGACATATACCCACATTCAAGCCCCTTTGTCCATTATGAAGTCAATCCTCTAACATACACACACTGTTTAGAAGATTATAGTCAAATCAAATTAATTACTTTGAAGATTTTCATTCTGCCCTACAAGGTTCCCGACCCCACGGGCCCTTCCAAGGTTCTGGATATCTCCGTGGTCTGGTCCCCTCCTGCAGTATTCTCAATAGTCGCATCGTGTGGAGCGGGAGAGTAGGTTCACGGACCCGATAATCTGGTCTTGTAGATTGTCCCAAGGTCTTCTCCCGTTCAAATTAAAATCATCCGTGTAATCCTGGTCCCCGTGAACCGTGAAGATATGATCCAGAGCCTGAGGTGCACATGTGTCTGGAAAATGTCAGAACTCCCGGTCAATGCTAGTGATCGATTACCCCACGCCCCAGAGATTAGTCCTAATATGGCCAAGACTGCGCAATGATATGTAAGGCATCATACTAGAAAACTCCGTATGGTCCACGGGGTATACAGATGTATGTGCTGCTATGTACTCTGTGCTACAGCTGGATGCATCTTAACTTGAAAAAAAAATAAAATTTACTCCGTGGAAAATTCACCCGGGCAATGATCATCCATACGAGATGAAAATTCTGTTTAATCTATTCAAGTGCTCCGTATGCTGTCAGTCGATCTTTGCACGGGAGGGGGCCCCATATCCCCCCCTTATTCTTCTTATTTTTCTTATTATTTAGGTCTCGGAAGGCCCGTGAGTACTTTTGATCCCAATGACACGGATCAAGATTTGTCACTCTTCTAATAGGGATAAGTCAAGATTGGCATTAGCCTAAGACCTAACATGTAGATCCTCTTACGTTACTCCGTAACATACTCCGAACCTTGGAAGTTACTATGTACTAGTAAGTATACTAGTGATAGAGTATATACATGGATAATTTTCTGTTGAATCAGTAATCAATATGGAGTCGGAGTAATTAAATAAAAAAGACATCAGAAAAAAGAAACATACGTACATGTGCATCCTTCGAATAAATCACATATTGAATAAGGGGGAAGCGAGTGGTTATCCACGATCTTAGACGGCCCCATAGTATTCCATCCGATCCGCTCCAACGAATGATAGAGAGGTTGGATGACGATCCTTGGCCCATCTCATCTTTGATTCTTCCTTTACTTTTCCCCACAATTTCGTTTTTGGCAAGCGTCAATACCACTTTGTGGGTCATGATTGGATGACAGCAAATGAAACGTAAAATGAACCCCCGAATTACTCGTTCCAATCGAAGATGCCAGATGGCTTTTTCCGTAGAGACGGGCCTTAGGGCGATGTTCGCCCTCGGTTCACCCTGTATCACCACTAATCCTTCTTTGGTCTGGTGGTAGTCGATCATTCTTGGTGTTCGAGTCATGCGTCTGTATCACGTACTGCTTTGGACTTCAAATTCGTCTTCTGGTAATAACAGAGCCGCATAGCTCGGGCTATTGGAATTTGGCCTGCACCCTGGTTTTTCAGGGTGAAATCCTTTTTGCCTTGGTTCCATCAGGCTTTGTAAATTTTTCATTTCCCTGTTTTTGTTCAAGTAGATCGATAGAACTTGAAATTTTGTATCTTTTCTTTTTCAGATTATTTTGTGTGTATGGAGTACACCCCCCATCCATGGATAATGTATGACGGTATCTCTCTGGACTCCCTTACCTCGGTGATCCACAGACACATGGAACATCCACAACATCACAAAAAAATACAAACATTCCACACTTCAACATTTCCAGAAAAGCCATTCTTGGTCTGGAAGCAGTGGGTCCGATAAGACGGGAATGTCAGAAAATCGTGTCAATAATGCTTTCGGGGTTCCCGCTTAACTTCCTAGTTCCCTTAAAATTGGGTTTGACAGCCAGAACTACCAGTAAACTATTCTTGACTAAGTTATACTCTGGCATTAGTTTACTTGTACATCCACTCTACTGGGTTGTGTCAGACCGGAAAAAATAAACAAGACCAATCCTGTTGTGTCATAACCCCATCTTCCAGCTAGCCATGGAAACCTTTTCTCCATAAGCGTGGGGCCACCAGAAAAGAAAGAAAACAAAAAATACAAAACCAGAAAATACAAAGGTTCCCAACTACGCCATGTCACAGCCCTAGCGGCTGCAGTGAAAGGACTAGACCATCCGGAGTGGCCGTGAAGGAATAAAAGCGACAAGGAAAACTAAGCCACTGGTCGGTGAAGAGCACACCCGAGACGAACTAGCGCCACAACCCTTGACTCCTAGCCACATTCGGGGTTCTCCTAGTGTCCAATAAAGATCCACAAAATGAATACTTAGCGGGTCAATGTACGACCGGTCGCGAGACTGAGGCGCAGCAGACCACTTCTTTCACCGCTGGGATCTGTCGGCGTTCCCGGCGCCAGTGCTACTAGTGAGGAAAGTGACGACATGAATTAAGAGATGTGCCATGAGATCATGTTTGGGGAAGAGAACACATGCCTCGTATTGATCCAAGTTCTGACCCACGCTTCCCGCTCTGGGGGAGATGATGTCCCAGAACAAACAACTGAAATGGGAGAAATCTCATTCTTGTCCGAGACTTTCTTCAAAGTCTGTGTACGGTCGGGCATCGCCTGCCCTACGGTATAGCTGCAGATTACATCTAACCGAAAGAACGGTATTACACTTCTATTGGATAATTGATATGAAGAAGTAAAAGAAAAAAACACGAACAACGCATGTCAAAGTTCATGATCGCCAGGTGGCAGTGTCAATCCCCAATACCACCCCAGAGACGCGGTAACGGGGAAAGAATTGACCAACGGCCAAGCCCATTCCTCCCGGACGTACCGATGTACCACCTTGAAACAACAGGGCTGAATAGAGTAGCCAGTCAACACCGAGAAAAGGGTTGTCGGGTCGGGAAGCCCCTGCGCACACGTGTGATGGGGAATCACCCACAGATCCAATCTGCGGTGCCAGCCTTGCTGTATCCTCCCTTTAGCCCCCAAATTCGAGAGCCCCCTCCACTTTCTACCAGGAGAGGAAAGATCAAGCTAAAAGCTCATAGGATGGATTCCGGAGGATCAATACATTACTCCGTCTACGCGAAGGGAAAGGATTAATATGCTTAGTCTCCACGGCCGTTGCCGTGGGCTCGGGTATGTCAGACATTTCATTTGAAATGGCCTTAGAATTTGGAAAAAAATGTGTGGAATAGGAAATTATGGAATCATCTCAGCTATGTTCTGACCGGCGACTCCGACACCATTTTTTCAAGGCCCGCTAAGGTGGGGTTGGTAGTCTCGTGGCATCACTAAAGAGGGTCCTCGGACGGGAAGATAATCCAAGCTTGGATCAATACGAGGTCTAATGGGATCATTCGTTGAGTTGACAGACTATTCTTACTAGTATGGAGCACCGACAATAAATCATTTCAATGTTGCATCTCATTCCGGAGTCATTCTTAATTGCCCATATCCATGGATCATTAATTCACCCCTTAATTAATACGAGTCCTTCATTAATCAACTTCCTTTTTTTAATCCCAGTACTTTCACATCGTATTGTAGTTGCGTACTACGGTCCAAAACATATTACCTAAATCGTCATCAGTCCTGTGGATTTCTATGGAAATTCCATGGATCAACGCCCGAACCCCACCACGCATAGTTACGAAGTATCATGATGTACTTCATGAAACGAATGCAACACACCACCAGAAACACTGCATATGATTTGCACTTGATTTTCAGAGCCGCAGGTTCCTGCAGAAGAAACCTAAGAATATCCTGGGGCTAAAACAATGACCTTTAAGAACTTGAACCACGAGGAAGATGCTGGGGCCGGCGTCTACGGACATATATCCACATCCATTAATACATTCATCCGAACGAATCCGCATTTGAGCAGTTGAATTATGGCGCCGGGCGCGCGAGAAAGAATCCAGGATTGGACCATTAAATTAGAAC